CCAAAGATATCGTGTCTTTCATTCTCTGGTGGACACATCATATTATTAGTTGAAGCAACAAATTTAATCCTGAATATTTTGTGTCCATCAGTAGACTTCTTTGATACAACTGGCTTCAATGTTTTGACGACAATACCCCCCTCCAGCTTGTCATCAGGGATAAACAAGCAAGAAAGAGAGTCAGGGAAAACATTCTGAACACTAGGTAAATGGACAACCGTAAAGATGTAATCGAGGATAGTGTCCAACCAGGTAAGCATCATGGGATTTGCAATCTTCTGAGTATGAAGATAAACAGGCGCCTTATAGTCGATATAAAGTCTGAACGGTTTACCCCAAAGATACTGGTGAAACTTCTGGAGAGCATAAACAATGGCCAATAGCTCTCTCTTCATAGTGAAGTAGTTACGTTCGGATTTACTGTACTGAGAGCTCGAGCCATGAAGGAAATGTATTGTGTCCTTTTACCTTGCATCTAAAATAATACAGCACCAATACCACCTTAGAAAAAAAGTATTCCAAAAATATTCGAGTATTCGATTTTTTGAATATTGCAGGTTCGAATATTCACAAACAATTCAAAAAATTGAATATAACAGTCACGAGTATTTAAAAAGTATTCCAAAAAGATTTCTTGATTAAGTTGATTAACGAATGTACGATAACTTGTAATCGATTGGAATTTCTTCCATTTTCTGGGTCCAATAAAGATGTTCCCAAGTACCTGAGCCCTTTGCTCGGCCTACAGGCCCGACAACACACTCGACGCCAACGATCACGAGCTTTGAGCCACCAGACTCAGTCTTGTATGGCCAGCAACAACCATCCACTTTCACCGTCTTGCAGACTTCGACCAATGCAAGCATTTTTTCATGCCCCTGAAAGGTATGGCAAAAAAATAGCTTGAGATCGCTAAAATATTTTCTCTGCGCTTGGCGGATGGAACCGTGCCGAGCACTTCTGTCAGTGTCGACCCAAACATGCAGATAGACGAAGGATTCTCTGGTGTTTCCACCAAAGACCCTCCCGTTGCTAAACAGATAGCTTCCGGTTTCCACGATTTCATGTTCATCGATTTGAATTCCATCGTAAGATTGACATTGCCAGGCCCAAAAGTTACGCAACTGGCTCTTGCACTGCAGTTCGGCAATCGACTGCTGGGCAAACGGACTCCAGATTTCCGGACCATTGGCAACATCAGACAGGGCAATGACATTCCTTTTTCTCGTATTAGAAGTGGGCACATCACTGAGGTCGTTGTCGTTGTCATCATTATCCTCCAGTCTTTTTCTTCCTCTGACAGCAGAAAGCTCGACAAATACATTACCAGCATTCACTCCTGTATGTCTCTTGGAATGGATTCTTCGTTTCAATTCACCGATAGCTCGTTCCATCGCGAAAGCCGCCATAAAAGGCAAAGGTCCAAGTCTTTCAATGATCTTGTATAAGTGACTCAAGTAATATTGATTTACCGTGAACACAGCAGCAGCAATTTTCTTTAAGCGCACTTGTTCATGCAGCTATGCAGTCCATGAAAAGACAGTGACTTTCAATGACCTGATTTGGTTTACTGAGAGTTCACGACTAAGCGCGTAGCAGTAGATCTCGCTCAGATCAATGATGGCTTTCCGTACACCAGGGTCTGTGTAGAATTCAAGTACAATAGTTGGAACGAAAAATCGCACAAAGTGAATCCAATCCACTGCACGGTAGAAGCCACTTTGAGTTGCTACATCGCCACAGTCACCGGCAAAAGAAGATGGTATCAGACTTCTCGAGGCTGCAATTCTGGCTCCAATCAATTGGCGATTTTTGGGCAACAGATAGAAGGGATTTGCGGATTCGCCATAGTCACCAAGGATAAGTCGCCAGAGCTGCTTACCAATCCCGGGACCGAGCAGGTGCATAGGGTCAACCAGAAAAAAAGTTGCACCATGGAATGATGACAATGTTACAAATGGGCTTGCCTTCTGTTGACCAAGGCATTGATCGGAGATTTGAAATGTTTGTGAGAGACGAATGCTTGCTTTGGGCTGGTGATCAGCTTGAGCTTCATCTCTTCCATTCTAACAAGCAGTTATATCTCCATTCATGCGAATCTATATTTATGACCTTACTTTAAAAACGGGTGGAAATGTCATGCGATTCTCTTATATACCCCACGGATAGTGCAGAATCGGCAACCATGATAATGGTTATGACCAGCATGCCCACACATCTTGGCAACCGCAGGAATATCTCCACCAACAAACATAAGATGTCCTTTCACTTTGAGTGTATCGCTTCCTATCCGTACAATCATGCCACTCTCAGAAAGTTCGTGCACTTCAGTAAGAAATGGTTCCAAAAAGCTAAAGATGTCTGCAGGCTTATTAGGACCAGATGTAACGCAGACTTGAAGCATGTACTTGTCTTCTGTACGTTTCTTGGGAGGAAGATTGAGTAAAACTATGTGCACAATTGTCATGGAATACTGTCCACGCTTGAACGGCTGAAAGTCGTCTGTATACAGTCCAAGCGCCAGATCCAGTTCGTTTTCAAACATCAAGTTCTTCATCTCCTTGTATACATTTTCATCAAAAATATCTTTCATCACGGATGGCGATGACTCTCTGCTAGATCTGTACCAAAGCAAATTATGCGTTTAATCATCACTGATCAAAAGTGCAAGCTGCTCTTTCAAGGACAATTGCTGCATTGTCATTGCTGGAGTGCACAAATCAGCTTTGAACCGGGGTTCCTGACAGTGCGTACACGCAAGACTGTCCTCACCAGCCTGATACATCTTGCAGCCATTGCGGCAGACGTCATATATCTTCGGCTGGATAGGATATGAACGCCGAAGAGCATTTCGTGAACAATGGTAGCTTAACAGCAGTGAGAGCAGACCATCCGTATAATTGTTGATGATTTTCACCATCCGTCCAAAAAATTCTCTGGAGGCTCCGAACTCCACAGTCAGCGTATAAAGATCAATGCTAGCTTTGACATTGTCTTCTTCAGGGATGAGCACGTTGTGCATGTCATATACCTTAGCATCATTGGCATTTCTACTTTTATATAAACACATTAGCACTGACTCTATCGGAGAAAAAATAAGATTTACATTGCTTCTGGCACCATCTCGATCCCAAATGCTTCATGCTCTTCCACTACCGTATCATAGACCAACTCCTCGTCCAAATCCATGTAGTCCTCTTGATCAATTGCTTCCATGTGATATGCAGGACCAGTCTCCTATGTAAAGATAGTTTAAGCATTTGATGTTGTTTCTATCACGAAGAATATTAAAGTTATCATTGACGACAATGCCAATACTTATGTTAATGGGCGCAAGATTGACAGCATCATTGTGGAGGTTACTTTCAACGTTGCCATTAGTTGCACTAGGCTAACAAAAAGAAGTCTATTAGATTGGTGTCACTGCTTAGTAACGCCGAGATGGGCTTATTACTTGGCGCATACAACGGCCACCTAGTTCTGGTACGGCCAAGAGCTCTCCAGCTGGGATTGTTGCACGCAATAAGTCGATTTTTTTTGGAATACAATTATCATAGTGGATGTTCAAATGGTCTGAAGAGCCTTTGATGTAACGGCGGCAGATGATGCATACAGTAATTTCATTTCAATTCTTTTTGACATGACGTGAAATGAATAAAAGGGGTAAAGGGTGCTGAGATCGATTTTGCGTTGAAAAAAACTTTTGCGCCCTGGTTGTTTACTTTTTCTCTTTCTCTCTTCTTTATTCGTTTTTCAATGTCACAAAGTCAAGATACTGCGACCCAGCTATTCACCACCTTCATTGGAATAGTTTCTAAGTTCAAAGCTCTGGTGAAGAGTGAGTCTTCCTCAACAGATGCGAAAATAGATACTGTAGTTTGTGCGCTGCAGTCGACGAGTTGAAAGACACAGTTGCAGCAATGAACTCCAAACTTGACGAGTTCAATACCTGACTCCAAAGGGAGGTGGAGTCGCGAAACGACATCTTGCACGTACTCCCATTGTACCAGCACGTCGGTGGTGAGTCGAGTCCGTTCGCGGACATGCCGATCAGACGCACGGTACAGCATCTCCAAGATGCTTCTGGTGCACCCAGAAAGTGGAGCTGGGAGCTCTTCAAGATCTTGGGGTGCGACGTCCTCAAGGAAAGGTGGGAAGACTGCCTCCTGACCACCTTTAAAAAGAACGTAAAAGTGTTTATGAAGAGGCTGGTTTGGGACCTCCGGTGAGGCATTTGTTACCCGCAATGGCAACATGGTCAGATCTTCCCTCCCAGATCCAGAACGAAGCTGTGCTGTTGTTGGAGGGAGGAGTAGGTGTGGATTTCCCGTTGAAAGCTTGTGTGGGCAACTGGGGCGCGCGCCTTCTGATGGTTCACGCATTCCAAAAATGCAAAGTGAAAGGTAAGCTTGCAAATGGGCTGTTGCTAACCTGTGTCAGGTATTAAATCTTGTTATTAGAAGCCGTGGAACCTGAAGAAGGTGACGCCAGGTATGTTATAATGCGATAAATGTCTTTGATGTTTTATGAACTAATGAAGAGCTACTTCAACGGATTCTACAGAATCAATGCTTCAGCTGAGGGAAGATACGTTTTACTCCGTGTGTTCTTGTATAGATGAAGGCCTGTCGAAGCTGGTTCACTTACATCTCACAGCTAACTAATCACATTCTCTTATGATGCAGCATTTGCGACAAAGAAGTCTTGGCGCAGGACGAGCAGGTGGCCGTTTCTGCTGAAGTTCACGCTCTCACCAACGAGGTGAGCACATCACCTTTGTGCACAGCTGTGCGAATGGGCTTTGACACTCACCTGTCCAGCAATGAGGACAACGAATTTGCCGGTGCTAAAGCTTTGCCAGGTAGGAGTAATGATAGTAGCAGCATCGAACCAAACAGTGTAGCAAAAACATTAGGTTCATCTTGCCAGAGTTGACTTCCTTGACAAATCATCTAACATCTTTCTGAAGGCAAGAAACGTAGTTGCTCAGCGAAAGCTAGCAATTCCCGTAGTCTGTCCAAAGCTGCAACTACGAAGAGAGTCAAGAAGACTTTGAAAAATAGGAAATCTCTTGAATAATCCTATTAATTTATTTAATAAACCAAATTATAAAAACCATTCGTGCGTGCTATTGCTATTTGAATAAAAAAAAATGGAAGTGAGGTTCCAACCAATAACAATGCCGATTGGAAGCCAATCAGAGAGACCCAACATGTTCCGAGATTCAGAAAATACTCTAAAAGTATTCAAAATTATTCAATCAGATACTCGAAAAATAATTGGAAAATCCCTGATTTTTTACAAATTTGAGTATCCAAATATCCGAATATTTTCGGAGTACTTTCCGAATATTTTTTTCCTAAGGTGCATGGTTCTTCGACTGCTGCGCTCAAACGCCATTGGAGGATTGTCAAAAGGAACTGGAATAGTTACTTATTTAGTTGGGTACTCAGCAACATCCTGCAGACAAAGCAGGTGCTGTTAGAGACGAGGCCCACAAACTCTTGGTAGAGAGAGAGTCTTTCTGTCAACTCCTGGCCAGTTATGACGTTCCGGATATGAGGAATCCGCTCCAGTCCTCTGCTTGGGAGAGTAAGATTGGGGATTCTTATCCTATGAAGGGTATCAAGGGCCCTAAAATTACTGCTAGGGACATTCCTTTGTTCTGATGGCGTGGTTGTCCCTGGACCTTGAATAAGAACAGAGATGTTTTCACTTCGGTGGAGCATTTCTGCGCCAATTTCCGTCACCTGTTGGTTCAAGCCAATTATGAGCTTGACCAGCATTGGGAAGAATGGTTTATGTTTGCGCTTCTGGACCAAGCAGATGATTGGTTCAACACAAATGTGGCGAACCATGGTTTGGGATGGGAACAGGCATGCGTTCTCTTTAAAGAACGTTATGAAAATCCCGACCATTATAACAAAGCGGTGAAGAAAATTGTCATTATGAAAATGAATGGGAGCGAATCCCTTACTCGTTTTGGTGAGCGCTTTTTGCACACTTTGAAAGAGTGCAAACTCACTGACAGTCCTCTGGCTGCTGGTGTTTTCCAGATAAATATGACCGCATATGTGGAGAATCAAGTGCTCAACACTTGGACCCAACGTAATGGCTCCAAGCCTATCTCTTCTGTGGAGGCCTTGCTCCAAATTGCTCCATTCATTGTCGACAAGAGAGTAACGGAGGGTGATAGTCACCATGGTGACTACAAACACAAGGCGGGTAAGCGTTACCACCAATCTGTGTCTCCCATTTTATGCAAGCGGCCCTTTAAGGATGAGAACGTAAAGAAGGAGAAGGTCGAAAACAGCCGACCAAATTTGCCACAGACTTGCCTGTATTGCAAGAAAGCCTGGTTCCAAGGCCACCATTGTGAGGCTTACCAGGAGGCGCACAAGATTAAGCACCAAGAGAAATGTCTCCATCATTTGCACCTGGACGAAAAGTCCGGAAAAGCCAAAGCTAGTGCTAACCAAGCACTACGTACTGTAAGCAGATGCAAGATGACCACCCTGCCAAGGAGGTTATCGATACCATCCTAACTGAAGAAGAAGAGCTCAGCCGAACTGCATAACGTAAGTCTCTTAAGCTATACAGCATCTGCAATGAACAAAATTCAAGTATGCTAAAGACACCTATCATGATTCAGAATGAACGAATCTTGGGTCTCGTGGACACTGGTGCAGAAATGTCCATCGTCAGCAAAAACTTGTGTTCGTAAATAAATGGCCAATTTTTAATGCCAAAGAATCTATCTTGTATGCTAGTAGAGGAGACACAGTGAAGCGCATTGAAACTACTGCTCCACTGGATATTATTTACAATGGTCGTAACATCCGTCATAGCTTTGAAGTTATGGAGTTAGCAGATGAATGTGAATTAATTCTGGGTATTGATTTATTGCCGCAACTTGGAATTGCTCTCACTGGCGTCGTGATTGATTGAGATACATCAGAAACCCATCAGGCCAAAGAGGAAATGGCAATCGTGCCAAAAGCCGAAACATATCAACCCAATGAATCACCAGCAGGTACAGAAACAGAACATACTGTATTCACTCCATGCGATCTGTTCAGTCATTTATTAAGGTCAATACTGCTATACCTAAGGGAAGTTTTTGTACTTTACCTGAATCTATTATTCATCTATCAATGCCCGAAGGAGTTACTGCATATCAAAGACAGTACCCTTTGCCATTTACCATGAGACTAGTCATTGATAAGGCTGTTCAAGGTTGGTTGGATGAGGGAATTATTGTCCGTACTGCTATGAATTCGTTTTGAACAGTCCATTGACTTTGGCTGACAAGAAGGATGCATATGGCAATAAAACAGGCAAACGACCTTGCCTGGATCCCCCTCATATCAACAAACATTTACCTGATGATCGCTACCCTTTATCATTGATCAAGGAAATTTTTTTTCAATCCTTAGGAGGAAACACTGTGTTCACTACATTGGATCTAAAAAGCGCATTTCATCGTTTTAAGATCCACGAAGCGGACCAGTATAAAACCATGTTCACTCATGATGGTGTTCAATATATGTTTCAAGGATGTCCCTTTGGTTTGAAGCCGATTTCATCCAAGTTTTAGAGAGTGATGTCTTTGATTTATCAACATCTGCCATTCGTGCAGACATTTGTGGATAATATCGTTATTTTCTCTCCATCGATTTCTGAGCATATCATGCATGTTCAAACAGCCATTCAGGCTCTGACCGACATGAATTTACTGCTCAATACTGCAAAATGCCATTTTGCGCAATCTTGCATCTTCATACTTGGTTTTTGCATTTCAGCTGAAGGCGTCGTACCTGATAGCTGCAAACTTACCAATGTAATGTCATGGCCAATTCCACGTACTGGTAAGGAGGTCCAGAAATTTATGGGTGTTATCAATTATTTCTGCGATTATATTCCTACTGTTGCTACCATCAGTGCTTCTATCGATGCACTTCGTTCGGCTGGTAGTTTAATGAACCTACACACTAAGCATTTCCAGATGCTTAAAGATATACTGGCTCAACAGCTTTTGCTGGAATATCCTGATCTCAACAAGCCATTCCTTGTCGTCACTGATGCATCCAACTATGGTACACCTTAGGAAAAAAATATTCGGAAAGTACTCCGAAAATATTCGGATATTTGGATACTCAAATTTGTAAAAAATCAGGGATTTTCCAATTATTTTTCGAGTATCTGATTGAATAATTTTGAATACTTTTAGAGTATTTTCTGAATCTCGGAACATGTTGGGTCTCTCTGATTGGCTTCCAATCGGCATTGTTATTGGTTGGAACCTCACTTCCATTTTTTTTTATTCAAATAGCAATAGCACGCACGAATGGTTTTTATAATTTGGTTTATTAAATAAATTAATAGGATTATTCAAGAGATTTCCTATTTTTCAAAGTCTTCTTGACTCTCTTCGTAGTTGCAGCTTTGGACAGACTACGGGAATTGCTAGCTTTCGCTGAGCAACTACGTTTCTTGCCTTCAGAAAGATGTTAGATGATTTGTCAAGGAAGTCAACTCTGGCAAGATGAACCTAATGTTTTTGCTACACTGTTTGGTTCGATGCTGCTACTATCATTACTCCTACCTGGCAAAGCTTTAGCACCGGCAAATTCGTTGTCCTCATTGCTGGACAGGTGAGTGTCAAAGCCCATTCGCACAGCTGTGCACAAAGGTGATGTGCTCACCTCGTTGGTGAGAGCGTGAACTTCAGCAGAAACGGCCACCTGCTCGTCCTGCGCCAAGACTTCTTTGTCGCAAATGCTGCATCATAAGAGAATGTGATTAGTTAGCTGTGAGATGTAAGTGAACCAGCTTCGACAGGCCTTCATCTATACAAGAACACACGGAGTAAAACGTATCTTCCCTCAGCTGAAGCATTGATTCTGTAGAATCCGTTGAAGTAGCTCTTCATTAGTTCATAAAACATCAAAGACATTTATCGCATTATAACATACCTGGCGTCACCTTCTTCAGGTTCCACGGCTTCTAATAACAAGATTTAATACCTGACACAGGTTAGCAACAGCCCATTTGCAAGCTTACCTTTCACTTTGCATTTTTGGAATGCGTGAACCATCAGAAGGCGCGCGCCCCAGTTGCCCACACAAGCTTTCAACGGGAAATCCACACCTACTCCTCCCTCCAACAACAGCACAGCTTCGTTCTGGATCTGGGAGGGAAGATCTGACCATGTTGCCATTGCGGGTAACAAATGCCTCACCGGAGGTCCCAAACCAGCCTCTTCATAAACACTTTTACGTTCTTTTTAAAGGTGGTCAGGAGGCAGTCTTCCCACCTTTCCTTGAGGACGTCGCACCCCAAGATCTTGAAGAGCTCCCAGCTCCACTTTCTGGGTGCACCAGAAGCATCTTGGAGATGCTGTACCGTGCGTCTGATCGGCATGTCCGCGAACGGACTCGACTCACCACCGACGTGCTGGTACAATGGGAGTACGTGCAAGATGTCGTTTCGCGACTCCACCTCCCTTTGGAGTCAGGTATTGAACTCGTCAAGTTTGGAGTTCATTGCTGCAACTGTGTCTTTCAACTCGTCGACTGCAGCGCACAAACTACAGTATCTATTTTCGCATCTGTTGAGGAAGACTCACTCTTCACCAGAGCTTTGAACTTAGAAACTATTCCAATGAAGGTGGTGAATAGCTGGGTCGCAGTATCTTGACTTTGTGACATTGAAAAACGAATAAAGAAGAGAGAAAGAGAAAAAGTAAACAACCAGGGCGCAAAAGTTTTTTTCAACGCAAAATCGATCTCAGCACCCTTTACCCCTTTTATTCATTTCACGTCATGTCAAAAAGAATTGAAATGAAATTACTGTATGCATCATCTGCCGCCGTTACATCAAAGGCTCTTCAGACCATTTGAACATCCACTATGATAATTGTATTCCAAAAAAAATCGACTTATTGCGTGCAACAATCCCAGCTGGAGAGCTCTTGGCCGTACCAGAACTAGGTGGCCGTTGTATGCGCCAAGTAATAAGCCCATCTCGGCGTTACTAAGCAGTGACACCAATCTAATAGACTTCTTTTTGTTAGCCTAGTGCAACTAATGGCAACGTTGAAAGTAACCTCCACAATGATGCTGTCAATCTTGCGCCCATTAACATAAGTATTGGCATTGTCGTCAATGATAACTTTAATATTCTTCGTGATAGAAACAACATCAAATGCTTAAACTATCTTTACATAGGAGACTGGTCCTGCATATCACATGGAAGCAATTGATCAAGAGGACTACATGGATTTGGACGAGGAGTTGGTCTATGATACGGTAGTGGAAGAGCATGAAGCATTTGGGATCGAGATGGTGCCAGAAGCAATGTAAATCTTATTTTTTCTCCGATAGAGTCAGTGCTAATGTGTTTATATAAAAGTAGAAATGCCAATGATGCTAAGGTATATGACATGCACAACGTGCTCATCCCTGAAGAAGACAATGTCAAAGCTAGCATTGATCTTTATACGCTGACTGTGGAGTTCGGAGCCTCCAGAGAATTTTTTGGACGGATGGTGAAAATCATCAACAATTATACGGATGGTCTGCTCTCACTGCTGTTAAGCTACCATTGTTCACGAAATGCTCTTCGGCGTTCATATCCTATCCAGCCGAAGATATATGACGTCTGCCGCAATGGCTGCAAGATGTATCAGGCTGGTGAGGACAGTCTTGCGTGTACGCACTGTCAGGAACCCCGGTTCAAAGCTGATTTGTGCACTCCAGCAATGACAATGCAGCAATTGTCCTTGAAAGAGCAGCTTGCACTTTTGATCAGTGATGATTAAACGCATAATTTGCTTTGGTACAGATCTAGCAGAGAGTCATCGCCATCCGTGATGAAAGATATTTTTGATGAAAATGTATACAAGGAGATGAAGAACTTGATGTTTGAAAACGAACTGGATCTGGCGCTTGGACTGTATACAGACGACTTTCAGCCGTTCAAGCGTGGACAGTATTCCATGACAATTGTGCACATAGTTTTACTCAATCTTCCTCCCAAGAAACGTACAGAAGACAAGTACATGCTTCAAGTCTGCGTTACATCTGGTCCTAATAAGCCTGCAGACATCTTTAGCTTTTTGGAACCATTTCTTACTGAAGTGCACGAACTTTCTGAGAGTGGCATGATTGTACGGATAGGAAGCGATACACTCAAAGTGAAAGGACATCTTATGTTTGTTGGTGGAGATATTCCTGCGGTTGCCAAGATGTGTGGGCATGCTGGTCATAACCATTATCATGGTTGCCGATTCTGCACTATCCGTGGGGTATATAAGAGAATCGCATGACATTTCCACCCGTTTTTAAAGTAAGGTCATAAATATAGATTCGCATGAATGGAGATATAACTGCTTGTTAGAATGGAAGAGATGAAGCTCAAGCTGATCACCAGCCCAAAGCAAGCATTCGTCTCTCACAAACATTTCAAATCTCCGATCAATGCCTTGGTCAACAGAAGGCAAGCCCATTTGTAACATTGTCATCATTCCATGGTGCAACTTTTTTTCTGGTTGACCCTATGCACCTGCTCGGTCCCGGGATTGGTAAGCAGCTCTGGCGACTTATCCTTGGTGACTATGGCGAATCCGCAAATCCCTTCTATCTGTTGCCCAAAAATCGCCAATTGATTGGAGCCAGAATTGCAGCCTCGAGAAGTCTGATACCATCTTCTTTTGCCGGTGACTGTGGCGATGTAGCAACTCAAAGTGGCTTCTACCGTGCAGTGGATTGGATTCACTTTGTGCGATTTTTCGTTCCAACTATTGTACTTGAATTCTACACAGACCCTGGTGTACGGAAAGCCATCATTGATCTGAGCGAGATCTACTGCTACGCGCTTAGTCGTGAACTCTCAGTAAACCAAATCAGGTCATTGAAAGTCACTGTCTTTTCATGGACTGCATAGCTGCATGAACAAGTGCGCTTAAAGAAAATTGCTGCTGCTGTGTTCACGGTAAATCAATATTACTTGAGTCACTTATACAAGATCATTGAAAGACTTGGACCTTTGCCTTTTATGGCGGCTTTCGCGATGGAACGAGCTATCGGTGAATTGAAACGAAGAATCCATTCCAAGAGACATACAGGAGTGAATGCTGGTAATGTATTTGTCGAGCTTTCTGCTGTCAGAGGAAGAAAAAGACTGGAGGATAATGATGACAACGACAACGACCTCAGTGATGTGCCCACTTCTAATACGAGAAAAAGGAATGTCATTGCCCTGTCTGATGTTGCCAATGGTCCGGAAATCTGGAGTCCGTTTGCCCAGCAGTCGATTGCCGAACTGCAGTGCAAGAGCCAGTTGCGTAACTTTTGGGCCTGGCAATGTCAATCTTACGATGGAATTCAAATCGATGAACATGAAATCGTGGAAACCGGAAGCTATCTGTTTAGCAACGGGAGGGTCTTTGGTGGAAACACCAGAGAATCCTTCGTCTATCTGCATGTTTGGGTCGACACTGACAGAAGTGCTCGGCACGGTTCCATCCGCCAAGCGCAGAGAAAATATTTTAGCGATCTCAAGCTATTTTTTTGCCATACCTTTCAGGGGCATGAAAAAATGCTTGCATTGGTCGAAGTCTGCAAGACGGTGAAAGTGGATGGTTGTTGCTGGCCATACAAGACTGAGTCTGGTGGCTCAAAGCTCGTGATCGTTGGCGTCGAGTGTGTTGTCGGGCCTGTAGGCCGAGCAAAGGGCTCAGGTACTTGGGAACATCTTTATTGGACCCAGAAAATGGAAGAAATTCCAATCGATTACAAGTTATCGTACATTCGTTAATCAACTTAATCAAGAAATCTTTTTGGAATACTTTTTAAATACTCGTGACTGTTATATTCAATTTTTTGAATTGTTTGTGAATATTCGAACCTGCAATATTCAAAAAATCGAATACTCGAATATTTTTGGAATACTTTTTTTCTAAGGTGATGCTTGGATGCCCAAGTTGACTGGGCCATAGGGGAACTCTGATTGGTGGATGCATCCGATGCATCTGTCATTGGCATGTCCTTGGATGTGTGCATCTCGGTCGAATTCTCGTTGGTGGGGTTCATGTTGGTAGTATTCACCGTAAAAAATGTGATATAGATGGATAGAGACGTTGAGTACGGTGAGACTGTTGTTTATTCTCGAAAGAGATGATCCCTTTAGTATCTGGTATTCAAAGATAATAACTGGTATCAGAATTTAAATGTACAAGTAGTGTGTAACTACTCTAGTGTCTCTTATCTGCTTAAACCGTGGTAATTCTTATGTAGTGGCATATGAACCCTATCTATGCGGCAGATACTACTTCATTATATCACTTAGTCATCTACTATATGATTAATTTATATTACCCAATCTATAAGAGAAAATAATTATCAGCGATTCCATAATCAATCAGATCATATTATTATATCATGTCAAATACAGTATGTCTGATCTACTGTATACTGTACAGTATATCTGATCATTTCTCAGTTTTTCTTACAGTATGTGAATAAATCTCACATTCAAATTCATATTGTGATATATCCACTACTTGTCATATTATTCATCCCAAACTGGTTGTTATGCACTGATTACGGGAGGATCAGTGCAAGCTGGACAAGAGGGTGGTGTTAAGTGCTTTCGCAAGACAAGGACAAGACAAGACAAGAAAAGGAATACAGTAAAACAGGAACAAGAAACAAGAACGAAATCGGAACAAGAATAGAAACAGGAAAAGAACCAAGACAAGGACAAGACAAGATGGAGAACAAGATAGTATGAGAGAATACACACAACACACACAATTCTTGACTGAGGTTTATTTCATGAGAAGGGATCGGATATTTATACTAAAGGATCGGATACAGAACAGACAACGATAATAAAATAGTTAAATGAAATGCAGAGCATAACATGAGGTAAAGCATAGATCAGCAAAAGGAGAGGACAACAGTAAGAGAGGAATATAGAGACCAAGTAAGGGGTATGCGCATGGACCAGCACGGCAACAGTGGAGAGCGTGCTTGGGCCAATAATACACATGGTCGTGCATTATGGCCAAGACAACGTGTACGCGGGAATGGTCATGACACTGGTGTTGCCAAACAGAAACGATCAGGATCTAGACATATTTTCGTTCTGAGTGAGCTTTTTCCATTAAAACACTGACTGAGTCTCTTCATTCATAACTTGGATCTACAGTATTGCCAAGATCAATTCATATGGGTAAAGCTGTCACATCACAGCATGTGGATCCTTTCTAATACACCTTATTGTTGTATAAATACACTAGGCTCCAAAATTACTCAGTTACAGTAGCTGGTGGAATCATTGTTAAGCTGACCTTAATTATATTTGCTTGATTTAGCAGAGTGTCGGCCTCATTCTGCATCATACTTTGGCATTGATAAATGTAGGCTACCATGTCTTCATATCATGTTTCAAGGATAATAAAGATGATATCCTTATCCTTATCAGTAGATTCAGACTATTGGTCAGCTGCTTCCTCCTTCAAATCTGCAAACTATCAGCTAGAGGCGACTGATGGAATGTGGGAAGGATTGAAGGCAGGGACTGGGCGAGTGGCAGTATTCAGGGAAGACTCTGAGGGAGGAACAATGGGCAACATAGTCAGTGAGCCAGCTTCTCCACCAATGTAAAATCTGTTTTTAGGATCGGGGATTAAATTACAAAGTAGGTCCAGCATAGCTTCACTTAAGGCGAACTATAAGGGCCTGATGTTTTTCTTAGAAAAAAGAACTGATTTTATTTCTTCATAATTTTTGAGGATATTTATATTAGTCTATGTGTTCGTTGTTCTTAGTGCGATCGGTGTTAAGCCAAAGTAACTATTAATGGTTCGTTGTCTGAACTGTTGAGTGGCTTGGCTGAGGCATTACATTCATGTGCATTTCGTGTGCATGTAGTGTTGGCCCAAAGAATAGTCCACCCCAAGAAACGTTTATCAAAGACAGGAAACAAGTCCTACGAACTGTCAATAGGTTCGCCATCTGTATCACTAGCAAATGCGTCGCACGACTGAACAGTTTCTCCACTTTTCCTCACGATGCCAAGTCAGCGGTAGCTATATGCCTAATGATTGAATTCGGAAAACCAATCGCGACTTTCGATCCATCTCGCATAATGGAAATCAGACAACCCTAGGCTGAAGCTCACGAAGCACTTGAAACCCGGCCCAATCTGCAAAGATTGCAGCCTGAAGGGCACCAATTGGTTGATGAGACAACTCAAATTTGCACAGCTTGGAAAAAACTGTCACACTGTACAGCTTATTCGAAGAGGAGTCTACAGCAGCAGGCGAGTCGAAATGAGATAACCCAGTGCAGACTCAGTTATTAACCAGCCTGTATGCAAAAAAGCCATGACTTGTTGTTGGCCGGGTAATGTCACGACAAACTAACCCGACTGAGGGCAGAGCAGAGAAACTCATCAATTTAGGAGGTGAGCAGAAACTATCCAATTAAGATTAGGAACTGAGCAAAGCACATTAAATAAGGAATCAAAAAGGGGCCAACAATCGGAGAATCGATAAGCAGGCTCCAAAGTTTGTTAGTAGATGATAACAGATATTGTTATTAATGGCACAGAAAGTGAACGACAGAAGGTTTATACAAATATCATCGCAGGATATTAGGAACTTCGCTGTGACCGGTTTACGTCGTCCACTTTTTCTAGATCCGCTCCCCCAAAAAAAAGGGAATCCGGAACTGTGGCAACGACGATCTTCCCTTAAGCAACTTGATCAAATGGGTGCGATCAGTAAGTGCTGAGCAACAATTCTACTGCCATTGAAGAACATATGACTAATCTTTTGTATTCTTCGAATAGAGGGTAAAAAGACGGCTCGAGAAGCAAAGCGATTGAATGCAAGCAGTAAGAGATCAAGTTTGTGATCCCGAGGATGCTCTCGACTTACTCTTGTGGATGTAGAAATAAAAAAGGATCCCGGCGTACCTAATCTGTCGCATTTCAAGCAAAAACAGTCGAACAAAGACGAGGAGCGCAAAAAAAGAGTATGTCCGGTAAGAACTAGTCAGTGTTTGTGATCATCGCTGACAATATCAACAAATAGATTGCCGAAGCCAAGGAACGTCATGCACAGGCTCGTCAGAATGCGCAAAAGAAGAAGCCAACCATTCCTAGTTCTTTATATGAAATGGTCCACCAGGCCGAACAGCGAAGCCGTGCTTTTGATGAGCAGGCCCCTGTTGTTGAGGAAGACAAAATCCAGCAAGATGCCGGCGCCACTGGTCAAAAAGATAACTCCAAGAAGGCTTATTACCGAGAGTTCCGCAAAGTATTGGAAAATGCTGATGTTGTATTGGAAGTTCTCGATGCGCGTGATCCCTTGGGCACCCGAACTCGTCATGTGGAACGGATGATTCTGGATAGCGGTTTGAACAAGAAAGTCATTTTAGTCCTTAACAAAATCGGTAGGAAGCAAATACTAACATCGAATGTCAGCAAAAGAAAAATAACTCATCAGCCTATGCTGTATAGACCTTGTACCGAGGGAAAATGTCGAGCAATGGTTGAAATACTTACGTAACGAATATCCCGCGATTGCCTTCAAGGCTTCCACTCAAAGTCAACGACGAAACCTGAGTCAATCAAACGTGGCGACCGATGTGGCTACTGAAGATATGTTGAATTCGGCTGAATGCTTGGGTGCGGATACCCTCGTGAAATTGTTAAAGAACTATTGCCGTAATGTGAACATCAAAACATCGATCACTGTGGGCATCATCGGTTACCCCAATGTCGGGAAATCATCAGTGATCAATTCTCTCAAACGATCCAAAGTATGCGGCGTAGGTTCTACACCCGGTTTCACCAAAGTCGCTCAACAAATTACATTGGACAAGAACATCAAATTACTGGACTGCCCCGGTATCGTATTTGCCCAGCAAGGTCAAGATGGTCAGACAGATGCGGAAATTGCATTACGAAATTGTGTCAAGGTGGAATTACTGGAAGACCCCATCACACCAGGTACAAGGCTAATTAATGCACCAAAAAAAAAGGCAACAGACAATCAAACGACTCATTCGACACAGGATACTAACGCATGATATGTGATAGTGGAGGTGATTGTTTCGCGATGTTCTGTAGAGCAACTCATGGTGATGTACAACGTCGGCTACTTCAACAATGCCCACGAATTTTTGGTTTTACTTGCAATGCAACGCGGTAAACTGAAGAAAGGCGGCGTTCCCGATATCCAACTTGTTGCCCGACACGTCCTTCAAGATTGGAATGGAGGCAAGATTCCCTTTTACACTATTCCGCCCTCATCCAAAAAATCACACATCGCTTCCTCGATTGTGGATTCTTGGGGTCAACAGCTGGATATCGACCTTGTCAATGCTGATCAATCCGTACTCAGTGGTCTTAAAGCCAGCTCAGATTTTGGCTCGAGTGCCGTAGTTATGGTGAGTAAATGACAGGTTTTATTTACGTATGCGTACATGACAATGCTATTAACCACATATACATTTTTTTGTTCAGCATTCCTCGGATGCAACGATGGATATGGACATGGAAATGGATATGAATATGATGGAGGAGTAAGTTTTGAAGGAGAAAGAAATTTCTAATACATATACTAATGTTGGTATGAATAATAGTGGTGAAGGAAGAATAGAAGATTCTGCCGATGCTATTCGATCGCAGCCTATTATCCAAGTGGACCGTATGCGGCTGAAGAAATACAAGACCAACCGACCGCAACACATTATTTCCGAAGCGGAAGGGCAGCTTAATCCCCAAGTAAACCAGCAGTTAAAAAAGCAACAAAAGGCGCAAGCAAAGAAGCTTCGCAGACAACAGGGCAGCGGTCAACCTATTGAAGAAGACGATGATATGGTCGAGGAGGACGATGTGGTTGCTGCGAATCAGTTTGGTAGCTTCGGTGCACCAATCCCAGACGAGGACGAAGATTTGTAAACTCAGATTGGCTGGATTTCACTTCATCTGGGTTCATGCAAATTTTCTGATTGTCGCTCACACCATTTTTTTTAAAGAAAAAAGGCAATTTCTCTCAATGTGTCAATCTTTATTGTTTCTCCATTTCTCTTTTTATTTCTCTTCACTATCACAATAATACATCATGTTTTCCCGTGTCATCTCATCCGTACGTGACCATTTTATGAAACCGATCAGAGATCCTGCAGACATGAATGATGATACTCGACGCCGCTCATCAGTAGATGAAGGCGATTCTTTGTCAAGATTACACACTACACAGTCTATGCCAGCGGAACGAAGGACTTCTGTCGTCGAAGCTATTCCAATGAGCAACAATGACGGCTCGTCCGTACGACGAAGAGCTACGATCTTTGGCATCTCGAGAAATTCGGCGGATGACTATATTCAAAAAGATCTCATTTCGAGTTCTTGGAGTTAATTCCTTGTACTATCGCTTATTTTGTCAACCTCACTTTCTCATACCTTTGTCTCAATGGCAGTCTTCATTGTTTCATATAATTTATCTGTTTCGTATTTGTTTCCTCCGTTCCTTTGTACAAAAAATAAACTGGGAATATAATCTAACAAGCCGTACACCCACTGTGCAATGGATGCCGCCTGCCACCGGAAGCCGCCCTCTTACATTGAGCGACTTTCGTCAGACAAAAAGCCTAACGCATACACGGCATAACCTGAGCGAGAATCTTGACGGACTTTGGTATATTAATGACAACCTTATGGCAATACCATGCAACGTGATTTGTTTCTGAACACGCGCAAAGCAGCACTGATTGACCCCCTCAGTTCCATCCCGCCCAGGCTATGATAGATCTAGAAAGATGTGTGGGTATGTTGGGTATATAAAAAATTGAGTTAGTAAGCTCTTTGATTGATTCAAATTTCGTCAAGATATTTTACCTTTGTTATTTGAGTTTTCAATAGCCATTTGATCGCTTGACATGACTTGGATTATATGACATTGAAAAATTTTGAGTCAGTATACGTTCATTACATCATAGCAAAGGAAAAGAAACTGGACTTGCCTTTGAAGCAAATGGTGTACCGAAAAAAAAACGATGAATACGGATCACAGGTAAGCTTCTTCTTCGATGCGGACGATAGAATTGCTTCCAGGGACGGTTAAGCGATAGATCGGTGGTGTCAGCTTGAGCAGGCAAAAAATATTGACGTGGCCAGAAGTGACGGTAATTTCGAGTTGGATTCCAGATATCGAGAGTCCCCCGAATAAAAAGAAAGAAAAACAAATAAAGTACATGATGATAAAAAAAACAATGGTCGCGTCAGTAAAAACCTCCTAAAAATCCCTGTGAGAAAAAAAGAGGAAAAGACTGCGAAAAGAATATGTACATGAAATATAAAATACAAAATACAAAATACAATAATCGGGAAGACATCTCGAATACCATATGATGAGAAGCAATCAAAGGAGAGGAACATGAAGAGGACACGTAAGCGTTTTTCTGATTAAAAAGAGAGCCACACCACCAACAATGGCCTTTGACGCCATCCGGTTTCGCCAGATGGATGGATGGATGGTGAGAGAAAGTCAACTTGTAGTATCCAGAACTTGTCAGGCGAAAAGAAAACGGAGAACACCGAAGCTCAAAGAAGGATGGAAAAAAAGAGAGGTAAGTCTGTTTTGCCGGAGCAAAATCGATGGTAGACCACTCGACGCTTACTTTTGAGGATGGTAGTCGATTTAATCAAGTTAGATACACGGGATAAGAATGGTCTGGATGATGGATGCGGATGGGATTTTGATACAATGATAGTGAGGGTTTATCAAGCAAGAAAGAGAGAGAGAAAATCAAAAGAAAAAAAGATAAAACTGAAGACAAAAATATATGATTTTCCATGGATGAAACAATAGTCACCCCACTGATGCATGAATTCATAGATCGAAGCATATCTGCTCCATGTATCACTCGATCATCGAAAACTGAAGAGAATGAAAGGGCATAAAAAGTATAATTGACAGAAAAACCAAACTAAATGATGCTACAGAACACCCAGATCGACATCGACAACAGCCTTTCTTCAAAAAGGAGCTCTACCCACATTTTATTTGGACAACGACGATGCTCTGTTTGACCACAACTGGCGCAAACCGCATCTTGCTGCTGATTTTTTCGCCTATTACCGTGGAAGTGGGTAGCGAGGCATGGTTGAAAGATAAAAATAAAAAAAGGTTTAACAGGTCCTGATATCTTGGTGTAAATCATGTGATTATTGTAGTGCTCTCAGTTTTACTTCTCTTGGTGTAAATTTAGACGAAAGTGTAATGAATGGCAGACGGGCGCTTACTGCTTCAGTATTCATGGAAGTGTTTACCACTTGATGGGATCGCTACTTCCTGCTAATGGCCAACGACCTGCATTTGCACAAATATACGTCCATGATACTGATATATAGACTAGTAGCGCCTGTTGATCTTAAAGATCACAAAGTTATGCTCTTTCGGTCTGTACTTTGTTGATAATCTGAGGCTAGTGGGAATAGTAGCTGATTAAAGATGCGTTTGGAATGGGATGCTCCATTTGCAATATTCAGACTCCGCACTCGAATTTGTGTATCCAAAGGTCTCGCTTGATGGTACTCTAATCTTTTGTCAATAAGCGGTTGATTTTTCGGTAAGATTTAGTTGATGTGCGCATAAATCTTTGCGTATTCAATGGACAATAGAGTAGTACAGTCTCTTTTTCTTTTTTCCCGGGGGTCTTGCCCCCCTGACCTACCGCCACATAGCGATCATTTTCTTCATCCACGACAGAGGAACAACAATATGTACACAAAGTTAGGAACCGAAATAGTCAGACATCGTATAATATTAAATGGAGAGACAAAAATGGATAACAGAAAAAATCGTACTTGGTAAAACATAGCATAAGGATAAAATCAAAAGGAACATAAGGACAAAAAGCATACAGTAAAACATAAAGGTGAAGAATAACTTGAAAAATCATAGCAAAGGATGAAAGCAAAGGAGCATAAGACAAAATACATACAGTAAAATATAAAGGAATAATAAAAAGAACAACATAAGGGTAAAGACGCCACCAGGACCATCAACAAAGAACAATCGGGCTGATTCGTTGCTTCCATGCGTGACACTCTGGAGAATTGCGTGGTATACGGCATGTTGATAACGGTTTAGGTACTCGTGTGTTTGGGGAACATTGGCAGCGTCTACGATGAGATCGAATTGTTCTCTTACCAGTCTGGGTTGACGGCGAAGTGTGCTTCTGCCAATTTCTTGGCGATCAGGAAGAACAAAGCGATCGTAATTCAGCAGTGAACTCGATTGGCGGTTCAGATGCTCTTCAATGTCCAGCAAAGCGCGATCGTACACGATTTGGGGCGGCTCAATTTGATGATCATTGTCTTGACTTTGATTGCTCCAAAAATGGAAATAGTCTTCTGCCAAATGCTCGCGGAACTGCATCCAAAGCGCAAACGGTTCAGGAGCCTGAAATTTTCTGTCATTGCCGGCATGATACATTGCTGCTGCAGCATGATCGTGGTCCTTGTAAACATACTTGTACAGGTATTTGACGCTTTCCAGAGAAGTACAGATTTCGACGTTAATGTGAGCGTTATATCTTGCACAGAGGTATCGATTGTGGGGAACAACCCATCTATTGTCCAACTGGACATGGTTCTTGACCACAAAATCACCATTGTTGCGACGACGGTATAACGGGTAACCCCTGTGATCTTCGATAGTAGCTTCATTGAAGGACGCGGGTAACGCTTTGTACATGAGCCGTTTTCCATGCAGGGAGACCTCGGATGCGTTGTTCCACACGGACCGTGCATAATACATCTGCTGACAGTGTCGTAGAGATCAGGAAATCTCTCTCTGTCCGGAAGTTCGGCACACACGATACGATCATAGTCATCAAGTGTTCTCGGCTTATCCTCCGTAGTAACACCAAAAGCAAATGAAGATGCGGTAAGCCTCGCTTCTGAAACTCCGCCGTGTGTACATGGGTAACGACTTTTCCCAAAACATGGTTCTTCTTTAGATCTTCCATCAGAGCTTTACGCTTCATGTTAAAAATTCGAGCGCAAAGTCGCGCCGATCAACAGCTGTCTGGTTTCGTTTCAACCAATCATATATATTTGTTTTTCAAAAATTACTCAATCAAGCCGACAAATGTAGCAAAAACCCAATGTGACTGCCTTGTGACTGAAAATTAGCGCGCATAACTCCCCAAGCATTTTATAAGGTTGAGACAGATTATGCCGCGCTTGTCACCAGAAAAAGCCACGACGTGTAACCATGATTGGTGTCATTTTTGGATCATGGACATTTTTATTGGAATTCAAATTCCGCTTGCCTAGCTTCTCACATGAACAGCACGGAAAGCATCAGTGTTGAACGGTTTCCCCGATAGAATCGGCGTGGCTTCACAATGCAATGCCGGGTTCAAAAAAGCATTATAAATGGTGCATTTGTTCGGTCAGATTTTACGCAGTGTATAGCTTGCTTAAATATAGTTGATCGTAGTCTTTAGCTGAGAATCCCAGGAATAACAAGGAATATAAAAACAGAAAAACGGTCATTCTATATCTTTTTTGTCAACTGTGCAGAGTAACTATCGTTTGTCAGGCTCTTCCTATTATTCGGAGGATCTGGTGTGGCGCTGTAAAACATATCAGGACAGATACAGATATGAACTTGCAATGAGGATTCTCTGAAGCTCCAAAGATGCCAGTTCTCTCCGATTTCATGAGATGAAGAGCGAGATAGGTATAGAGGAGGTCTTTACCTTCACAGTTAAGTGGTAATTGTACAAATAAATGCTCATATTCTCTCGGTTATTGGAAAGGCATACGCACCAACAGTTTCGTTGACTGATTGCCCGAGAAATAATTTCCGGTTGAGGTCATTATGAAGGTCACGGGTGCTATCAGCGAATGAAATCAAAGACACGAGGTTAAAAAGAATGGAATATAGTGCATATCCTTAGATGAGTGGGAAGGATGAGAACTACAATAGGAAAGGGTAGCATCCAGAATTCCACGCCTAGTCCATGGACTAGAAGCGGGCAGAAACACTGAAAAAACTGTTTTATTTATAATCATCAACGGACAAAAACAAACAATTAAGCAGATCCTACCTGGGAGTAATGCATCGAATAAAAACGCGTGGCAAAAAAGCTCTGATGGCGCAGGGTCTGTGTTTGCCATCTGGCTAGAAAAGGGGGACATGGGTGAAGTGACTTTGCAAAAGAAATTGCTATAGCATTTTTTTCAACCCCGCTTTTTCATATGCGTGATTTCGTCTTCTGTTCCTGTCTGCCTGTATGAGTTCCCCTTTACATTTTACCGAAAACGAACGACGTCGTTATGAAGCCATCGTAGAGAAAGGACGGTGGACGGTGGATAACTCAGAAAGCCGTATTGCTTCACGACTTATTCCCGAGGTAAAGTAACTTGATCTGTCACAGATGCCATCGAAATTTCCCATTCATACATTGGAGTAACAAAACTTGCCGGATCTAGTCTCCTCGAAAAAGCATTCTAAAGGGATGGCAAACCCCAGAGACTCATCGGACTTCCATTTATGATCGACAGTAACTACTCATGTCACATCGACCATTCAGCACCGTAATCTGACACACCACTTTACTATAGAAAACGACGCCGGGAACTGATTGAGCGACGACGCGTCAGTTTTGCGCCGGATGCTCGCGTACGGTATGTCCCGTCAGTCTAGCTTTTCCATACCCCTTTGTCACTGTGATTTAATGCATATACCTTGCAGATTATTTGGACGCAATGACTCGTTGCTGACCAGTCCTCAGAAAAGAACCAACATGACCGACGATCGCCCCGACTCGAGCGTGTTTGACGACCCTTCTGAACAAAATGTATCGACCCACGACAAGTAAGGGACTAATATTTTTTAAGGTCGCATCCATGCTCACTTTACTGATCAAGAGATATGGCAGTCCTTTCCTTGCTCGTCTGACAGGGTCACCCATTGACCGAAAGCGACGGTGAGCATCGCATACGGTACAATCGTACAGTCATATTATCCATATCTCATGCATTGCGTTTCGCAGACGATCTGTTTTATTAGGAAGTCCAACGCCCGATGTGCGAAGCCCGCAGCATCATTTCACACGTATCAGAGAGGATCCGTTCAATGCATTTGACTTCCATTACCGATCCAATTCCAACGACGCGATAGAGTTTCCAAATAACCCGACGGGAAACTCGCCACAATCTCGTAAATCATATTATCCAAACGAACATGATGCTGTCATGAATTTCCTCAACCGACTGGATCGAACAGATTCAAGAACCAGTCCAGTCGTTGACAAACAGCTACACGGACGTGTTGATGCCGTAGACCTTCATCTGTCGCCACAGCCCCAGAATATGCAGACACAGCATACAGCTAATGTCACAGGAGCGGGTTCGCATGACGGCGACACAATGCAACTAACACAAATGTTACAACAAGAGGAAGATGGTGGAGACACGATGCAGTTAACGCAGATAATACAAAATCACGACAGTATTGAAGCGCCAATGGAATTCTCGCAAGCACTACGAGAAGAAAATCACGATGATGAAGAACCGATGCAGTTAACACAAGTGATCGTATCACCAGACATTCGGGTCGCAAATAACGTCTCTTTGAACCGCACCCCACGGCGTAGATTATCCTCGCTTTCATTTGGTAGAGACTCAACCGCTGATCACAGTATTGGTTCTGATTACGGCGATCGAATGGTATCAATGCATGGCAATGAGAATGGTATATCATTTTTCTGCTTGTTTATCTGCTGGACCTGTGATTAACTTGACCGGCCGTTAGTCAATATACTGGAAGAAGAATATCCGCATCTCAGCAACTCTTTCCTCGATGATGTACGGATTATAACGCTTATCAACTGACCCAAAAAGGAAGGACGATTCACATTTCTCTTTGCTCGGATAGAACACTATCACACAAAATATCTCTCTCTCTGACTTTCTACAGTACGTTGGCATCACTTTCAAAGAAAACATCACCGTTAAAAATCGTCGGCGTACGTCAGGTTTCAATCAAAGCCGAGGTGAGTTAAACCACTATGCTTTTTATGAGTACCAAAAGTAAAGCTGATTGATCTTCACAAGGAGCATCGACCATGCTTGAACAAGCCACTACAGCAGCCTGTATCATGCCCGAATTAGACATGTATAAGACGGTACGTTTTCGCCACAGATAGATAGTGGATCTTTGAATTTCCGCTCATACAATGATGTTGTTAGCGTTGCGAAGAGTTGGTGGAGCTCATAGATGCGGATCACAAGGCGTTAAAAGCCATCGACAAAGAAGTTAGCGAGAAAAACCCTCAGTTTTTCGCTGAATATCTGGAAGCTAATGTGCAATTACGAAGCCAGCTAGAGGTACCCCCTGGACCAGTTTCTCGGCGTATACCTTGTTAAAACAGGCACATTAGGAACGTTTTAGACTGATACGGAAGTATGCTCAAGCTGGTACACGACGTCTTTGGTATGAATACAGGTCAAGTTTTACCGAGGAACTGAATGACCTATTGAAAGAAAAGATTCAAAAGTTTGACGAGGTATAGAATTATGCGCAAACGTGCTTTATCAACAATATGTCGCTCAAACAAAATGCATATAGGATAAGCAGTTCTTACGGATGATGGAAAACGAACTACGGAGGCAACTCCCTTATCTGTCGGCCTACAAAGATGGACTGAAAAAGTCATTGGAGGAAGCACGTAAAAGGTATAGTATCAGAACAGAAAAATGCTTAACCTTACGGCGACCAAACAAGCTCATGCATCAATTATATAACAGAGAAGAAGAATATCATCAAATTGACCAGGAACAGCTAGCAAGTTTGGAAGCCGAAATTGAAGAACAGAAGTAAATCGATGACCACCATTGTCAAAGATTCCATTTTAAAATTCAAGTATCCTCTACATCTAGGATCATACTGGAAGGTTTTAAAGAAGACACCAAAAGTTTGGAGCAAGAAGAGAATGAACTCAGTCAAAGAAAGACTGAAATGGAGCATCTTAAGGATGAGGCTGCAGCCGTAAGTTGGTTTAGATCCAAGAAACCAAAAGTCTCGGGAATATAAACTTATTTGTACATGTTTAGGCCATTGATCGTGCCAACAAGACGATCGCCGAAAATCAATACGCAACGATTGACGACTTGGTTAACGCGAAACGTAAGTCGCAAATCTAATCATGCTAGCGACTGACGTCTCAAACATTGTCGTTCATTTTCTTAGAGCAATTTGCAGCTTGCTGTGCTCTTGGACAGTGGCGTCTGCTACAAAATGACGAAACCATGACGAATGTTATGATAGATAATGATTTGCAAGTGACAATCGCTTCCCTCAAGTTAAAGCAACAAGAAGAAGGCGCCGTCAATATACGAGTTGTTGAAACTGAAGATGAAGGTGTCGGGTTACTTGCAGAGCTGGCTCATGGCCTAAATACCTTAGTGTCCGACGCTATTCCTCAGTCTGAGGTAACTCCCGGTGATAAAGGAGCGCATGGGTTGACGATCAGTGCTTACATAATGATATAGATGTTGCAGAAGATGGCTATCTATTGGAACCGTGTAAAGATGATTCATCGAGAAATTCTGAGGGCTCAACGACGGTTTTGGGTTGAACTGACGAAGCTCACCGAAAACGAGGATACAGATCCGGGAGATCATGGTGTTCAATGTGATATCACGCTATTGAGCTACCTGAACAGCACCAAGTTTTCCTTTTCATTACAAATTCGTCCAAAAGATGTCATGGCGTTCCCGAAATTGATTACAGATGGATTAAGAGTGCGATTGGATTACGGACATATCAAGTAAGTGCAGTTCTTCGTAAGTAGACCCTTTTTTGCATTGGATGCCTGACCTCTATATAGGGAAGAAGAATTGGAAGCCTTGATTGCAATGGAACTGAGAGAGAATGGTATAATTGATTTTGTCGATAGTCTTCGAAACGTAATTGAGAAAATACAGTAAATAAGTTTTGTGAATATGGCATCTCAACACAAGAAATGACAGATTGTATTGAAAATAAGGTGATGGACATGATTGAAATGAATGGCTATAGACAGACAGAGTGAGGAATATATTTGTGGAGAGATATGTAATGAGACAAGGCTGGAAATGGAACTGAACGGAACGGACCAAAGGAAATTGAACAATATACGGAAAGGGTTACAGACGGAACTGAGTTGATCAATGATGATCGTCAAGAATCAGGAACAGAAGTATGCAAGGGTGTATTGTACACACAGGTCTAGACAAGATGCGCTTAGGTGCTTACCGCATAAACGGACAAGACAAGACAGCACAAGACAAGGAACAAGGAACAGGAAGTGGACTGGGGACAAGATAATCTGATACGGATTTATTGTAGAGATGGTGGGATATTTATACCAGGATAAAATGTAATAACTATGGAATACCGGAAATATGCAAAGAGAATAGCTGTTACTTGGCTAACAATTCATGACAGAATATGCATACAAGCAATGATGCGAAAGGGTAAAAAACATAGCATATTATACATCAATGCAATGACGGCTCAAACCACATGTCGTATTTGCACATATCATTATATCATTCCCACCTCTCATCCGTATGATACCACTCCATTACATCACTTAGTCATCCATGATTAATCCAAATCTCCCGATCTACAAGAGAAAACAATTACCAATAATTTCATAATCACCATACCAATCGGGCACGTCATTATGTCACGTCAAACACGTCTGATCTACATATCCTATCATTCCCCATTTTCTCTTATGTGAATCAACCTCATATCAAAACCCATACCGCAAATATAGCCTATTATTGGCTTATCCGCCATCTATTCTTTCCATTCATCTTTACTAGGAAAAATAACCATTATCGATCATTATCTAAGCAGTATGGAAACCAATCCTTGATTAAGCAACATGGAAAACACACTTTAGTCTGTCACAGATCATACCACATCTAAAAATCCCCAGCTAGTATAAAAGACATACCTTGTATCAAATCCCCACTCATTAGAATTATTCTTCTTCCTACTTTTACGCACCACTCTCTCGAGAATAAAAGGAGTCTCACAGGGTTTATTTTTGTTACTACTAATCCCTTGCTTTCTAGACTCGAAACAGCACACCACAGAAAGTCCAACGTTCGGGGCAGCTTGTTCAGTGCCATTCATCTCAAAAATGGCAAATGGTTTTAGGTCAAGGGTACCAACGATATAAAGGGTTACTCTGCTCAATAAGCTCACTGCCTGACTGTTGGCAAGCGTCGATGACTCTTCGTCAAAGTTACTTCTCGGTGGGTCGACATTGATGGGATTTATGGCAATGTTACCAAACTGAAGCGTTGTCCTTTCTTCAACACGGGGACACGAATGGTTCGGAAGAGGGTCGCGCCAGGATTGTTGCGTCGATCATTGTCCGCCAAACTAAACACCGTGCATGGTTGGCAAACATGTGCACGAGTGATACGTCTGGTGGAGCGGCAAAGGGCGTATGAGGATGATGTGGCAAGAGAAAGCCTCACCGCAAAGTGAATCAGCAGTCGAGCCAACGTATGGCTTCACTTTGCGTCGAGGCGCATGCTCGACGTAATCAACACATTGCAACTTGTGTGCCGATCAGAAGTTTCACGCCATCAGCATGTTGAAGGCTGATGGCCAAACGTCATACTTCGTCAGAATCGGTGGTCAGAGTGAGGTCTCTAGAACCGTGTCTTTGAGGTGGCCACATGTTTCGCGGTGGCTATCCACATGTTCGATGGATGTACTGATTCCCCTCTTGTTCAGCCAAACCAGAATAAGCCGCCCAAATCAGAATCATACTACAGGCTTTCTAAACTTCCACAGTATTAACCACGATGGCTTGCCCGCTGGGGATGTTGTGGGTGATGGCGCCAGAGAAGAGAATCGCCGCCAATTACCGCAGAATGGAATTCTCACATTTGGTTCAATCGTTTGCATATTGCTGATGAAAACTCCGCATACAGTGGTGGCAAAAATGACTGGCACAGCAAACGGTTCAGGAGTGGACGAAAGAAAAGAAAGGGGTGGTGGTTCTCAAGACAATGAATTTTTTGCGGGAGTGGGATTTCCCCACAAAGCACCATCGTTTCAGTTCGCAGAACAGTTGCCAATTTGGACAATGTATTGGGAGTGTGACGATTTTTCATTTTCAGCCTCTCAAATCTGGGCGGTAGGGGTGTGTCCAATTTATTTTCTCTTAGTTGCCTGAATTAAGTCGAATAGACAATCGTTACTCAGCATGTTTTCGACAGCACAGGCATTGACGACGGGACGATTGGCTGTGAATGCTGTACGAGGTACAAAATACAATGCAGTGCTCATATAAAAATAATATTTATCAGTAATCGTTGACTTACCCTGATTCGTTTCGCAGTGCCTCGCATGGCGGCAGCTTTCTTGCATGCTAATTCGGTCGTCCGTAGTGAAGCCACATTCCAAGCGGATGCTGCTGAATTGACAGATAAACAAAAAGACGCTGCATTGGCTGCCTTTGGAGCTCGCTTGGGCCTTCAGAATCTCGATTCACATGTATTGGAAAAAGCGGTGACCCATGCTTCTGCCAGTCAGGAAAACAACGCCGTCTTCACCGCTCTCGGTAAGTGATCTGCGGATTAATTCCTTCGTTTTGGAGCATGCGGTGATTAACTAATAGGGCTATATTAGGCAAACGTGTTTCTTCCTTGTATACTCTTGAGTATTTGCACTGCAGATATCCCTGGATCCCTACCAAGACTCTTGACAACGTGGTAGGCGCCTATGTCGGCAACAAATTCTTTTCCCGTTTGGGTAAGCATATGGGATTGCAGCATGTTATGCGTTGGCAACCGACACAGGTATGTGAAGGGGGCGGATCATGGTGTAAATGGATGTTGATGGGTACTAATAAAGTGTATCCAGGGAGTTGAGGGAATCGAGGATAAACCGTTGGTTCATGAAGTGGCTCTCAGTGACTGCATGAACGCCTTGATTGGTGTCATATACGAAAAACAGGGCGAAGATGCAGCAAAAAAATTCATCCACGCACATATCTTATCCGCCGATACAATCGTGAAAGATATCGTACGAGAAACATGGAAGAACAACCCCAAACGCCATTTATCCGCACTGTTACGCAAGGTTCATAAAGAATCGCCTATTTCTCGTTTGGTCTCGGAAACAGGTCGCCATTCCAGTGCACCAGTATATGTTGTTGGTGTGTTCTCAGGGGAAGAAAAGTTGGGTGAAGGATTTGGCTCTTCATTACAAATGGCTGAGCATCGAGTAAGTTGTAGTGCAGCTCGCGCACCGTGATCGTGATGAATTATGAAAAGGAACTTCTGTATGATTGACCTTTTTGGGCTTTATGTAGGCTTGTATTGACGCACTGCAAACTCATTACTGCAGAGAAGAAAAGACATTTACATTGCCTTCGGATGCAGACAAGGTCGACCACTACAAACCGCCTGTCCTTGGCGACAGTCAAGCACAAATTTAGAGATAGCTCATCATCATCATAATAATAAAAGAGACACACACACACAAAAAAAAAGCAAAGTACACATCAACACAAGCAGGACGTATTCTGGTTCAGTCATTCTAATGCAAAGTCGAAGAAAAATAGATGCCTTCCTACAGAACATGAGGTGGAATGAGCTTTAACATGAAATCCGATGATTTGACACCCACTAAAATGACGTACCTGAGCCATCCATTGGGCATTTTTTGATGTAGATTTGGCGGCGGCTACTTCCAGTTGTCCCGGGATAGGATTTCCATAGCGATGATTGGGGCTGCACGTTAAATAGGCTTGACTGTCCACATGAAGTAGCTGGATAGGATCTTCGCGATGCCAATAATCACGCGATGACCCCACACATTCCACCTTCCAGTCGTCACCTAGTGACCAGAGCGACAATTAGGAGATGCATATCCATTTACTCCATCATTTTACTTTTCATTTTACCTGTATCTTGTCCATCAAAGCAACTGACTTCTTGTTGATGAGATAAGGGTGAGGCGTGCAAATGACTATGCAGGTACCCTTTGGTATTAATGTGGCGTAACCGAATTACCGATCCACAAGGCACAGGTTCACTGAGTCAATGATACTGTATTAGCCGTCTCGAAACACTGCAGGAGAAACATGGCGATATTTACCCGCGTTTGCAGCGTTTGCCATAGCCTGCTTGCACTAGCCAAAAGCTATTGCCGTCGGTGGTTTCAACGAAACCAGTAACTGATTGTTGACCTGATCCACCACCTGTTTTAAACAGTTAGGATTTAGCTCAAAGCAATGAATACTGTTCAATGTACCGTAAGAAACACCATGTGAGTGAAGCTTATGATCGGTGGCCTTGTTCGTTAGCTTGATGGTGCTGCCACAGGTCACCTTCTCGAAACCTAGTTCAACATGAGTAATGGTTTTAGAACCCGTCGTGGAAGTATTACCTTCTTCAATTTCAGGAACTGTCGCTGCCAAGACAAGAGGTAATAGGGCTAACCAAATAAATCGCATGAGGTGATGATTGTGCTTGATGGGCACTTTTTTTGCTGCCGAACACACGAAATTTCTGGTGCACCTTTCAAAAACGGAACTTCAATTTCACAAGAAAATATCCCAGCCAGCCTCCTTCATAGACGCCCTGTTTTTACGGCGCTTCCTCGTTGCGTTGTTAGACATAAAAAAGCTGTTTGCTCGCTTCTTTGGCACCTGATGTATTACCAGCCCTTTGTTGACTGTCTAACGCAGCTGATATTTCGATTGCTTCTCGTGAGTGACCAGTTCATGTAACTTTACAATAATACTATAGGTAGGTATCGTGTCTGTCAAAGCTATTTGTTTTCCCAAAGCTCTCACCTACCTTCAAGACGACTGTTGTTTTTCCCAAGGTCACCGTTTTTAACGGCACTGAACCAAGGTGAGCTCAAAACAAGTTGGGCTGCAGAAATATATTAATGATTTCATACAAGTCAACCATAGACCATCGACAGTTACCACGCATGCTCTCAACCTTGATTAAATGTACCAGTTAGTTTGTCTGACGTTTTTTTTTTTTTTTTTTTTTTTCATTCGACCACAATTTTTTTGACTACTGTAAAATGTCATGGAGTTGGTCAAGCCGGAACGACGAAAATTCAAGGTCAGCTGTCGGTATGCCTTAGGAATTGCGTGTATCTATCTGTATTGCACGCTTTTCATTAAGCAATCATCTATCAGCTTTCCACATGTGCATTTTTAATATACGTTACAACTCCCCTCGTTTGATTGACAACTTTTATCCGTTCTAGAATAGCTGCTATGTTTGATCGAAATATCTGATGAGCATGAATCTGAGCTGGGTATCTCTCGATAGATGAAGCCTGGCGCGTACCTCTACCGTATCTGTCCATCGGTGTTCTCGGCAATTCAAATAATATGCTCATGTATAGTACAGTACTGTATTCTGGAAGGTCAGCATTCCGATCGCAATGATTAACTTTCCCCTTCAGCCCGTAACCACGGCAACAAGGTGCTTCAGTCTTCAGTCTCTTGAGAAATGATACACCGTCTCGTCATCTCTTTCTCATGCGCGCGAAGAATGTGGATGAAACGCGCGGCGATCCCTGCCGTGCCGTCACTGCCATCATCCAGGCCACGGCTCCTGCTGCTGAATTGAACGGTATCCACGCAACGCCAGCAATGGGAAGCGCGACAACGAAAATCGTGCTGCCAAAGGTTCCAAAAGCCTCTCAAGATGAGTGCCGCGTCGAATGCTTCATGCGACGTTCAGCCGAATGTATCGCAAGCGTCGCGAACGCGATACATCAATCCGTAAAAGGCCTACAAAATGCGACGAACGTGTGAGGTACACATATAGAAATTCTACATGTATCAATGGATCTCTCCTTCCGTGCTTTATCATCATTAGCCTTCTTCTTCTCAATAAAAATCTGCAACTGGAAGAGCTCGATTTCAAAGAACCAGGGAGCGAAATCGCATGCTTGCAGTATTTGGACCGTACAGCAGCAAAAGTAATTGCATCAAAGGGCTGCGTACGGGATTTAATTTTAAGCTCAGCCAAGCGATAGATGCCCCGGAAAACGACCAGTTCATGTTAGCGACGTCTATAATGCGATCAAACCTATGTCTGTACTGCTTGCATCATATTGAATGCTCTCGCTATCGCTATCGCCGAAATGGTAAGCTCGTGCGCCGCACTGTCTGGTATGATCGATAAATTATATGACACGAGGTCGTGGTGCACCACCAACAACACCAACGAGACATTTCTCCGGTAATCTCTGTAGAAGGAAAGCTGTTGCCAGTATCGGCGGTCCGTTCGAAACAAGAGTTATAAAGTTTTACCAGTGTTCGCTAAGTATGCATCGCACCAAGTATGGTCAAATCGAGTGTAACGGCAGGCGGAAAGGCCAATGCGGATGAGTGAGTTCCTTTTTCGATCGTCGCTGCCTGTAGAACCCCTTTTCTAACCCGCTTGGTTTAGAATTGCTAATTTTTCTGATCGCCTTGTCATGGACCGCAGAAGCTTGTTCGCAAAATCCTTACGTAGCAATTAGGAGCCAGGCAGCACATCACACTTCATATTACATAGCAGATCTAAGCACATGGGTTACCGATTTGTGCTGTGCTTGTATCTTGCTTTGATGCTGTCATGATCAAAGCCATCGTAAAAGAGCGTCACATGGTTCTTTTTCGATTATCTCATTGTTCTCCAAAAAAAAAAAAAAAAAAAAAAAAAAAATTTCGATTCCCTTTATTTTTTTCATTACAGCTCATTTTATTAAAACTTAGCCCATTGTTTTGGATATGCCTGCTAAAGTTATTACGCCGGCGGAATACTATGATCAAGTACGTCTCACGACCGAGTATAATCTGTCATGATGACATGTAGCGTTAATGAAGTGAATGCAAATAAAGGACAATGGTGGATCCATTCCAGTCTTTCGACCGACCATGGCCCAGTTCAGAGATTTCGCTTCCTTTATGGAGGCCATAGATAGCTACGGAAAAGAGGCCGGGATCGTTAAAGTGATACCACCCAAAGAATGGTATTATTTGCTTATCCGGATCAGAAAAAAAATGGACAACGTTACTTCTTAACACAGACTGTAGGATCGACGCATTACCGAATAACCGGAAAGCTTTAGAACGTGTTCGCGTACGGAATCCTATTGTATGTATACGGGAACTCGTTATTGACGCAATATCTGTGCTTACATTGGATGATAGATCCAACATATTCTCGGCAGCCAAGGCCTTTATACGCAAACAAATATAGAAAAACGACGTCCCTATACATTGAATCAATGGCGTACATTATGCGACCAGAAGCAACACAGACCTCCAACCATTGGTTTAGGTCGCACAGCTCAATCTCCTGTTACGCCAAAACGGGCCAAAACCAGTCCAACACACTCTGTAACTAGCGTTTACTATACCAAATACCACACTGTCTTGTGTTTGCTAATATGGATACCCGGGATATGTCATAGAAAACTAGAGCAATGCCCGCTTCTGACCCAACACCATTAGCTGGAGCAGCGAAGCGAGCCTTGGAACAGGAAGAAATCGAATTGGCAGAATCGGATAAACCGGTTCCGATTCATTTCGATCCCCACACCTTGGATCAAACGCAATATTCGGTGGAGTATTGTAAAGAAGTGGAACGTATTTACTGGCGCAATTTGACATATTCGCAGCCAATGTACGGAGCTGATATGGCTGGCAGTAAGGTTTTGTGTCACCATCACCACTGAGTCTTATCTTAAAAACAACCAAAATAGCATTATTTGACAAGTCCGTGAGCTCGTGGAACGTAAGCTCGCTTGACAACATCCTTAACCACCTTGATGTTGCCATTCCCGGTGTGAACGAGCCCTATCTTTATTTTGGTATGTGGAAAGCCACATTTCCATGGCATGTCGAGGTATAATTTTATAAAAAGGAACCAAGTGTCAGTAGGGACTGCTGTAGGACTGACTCCTGTTTGTTTGCATAGGATATGGACCTTTACTCCATTAATTATCTTCATTTCGGCGCCCCCAAGCAGTGGTATGCTATTCCGTCGCGACACAGCAAAAAATTTGAAGGGGTGATGCAAAGTAAGCCAATCATTATTATCTTTCTCTCTATTTCTCGTCATTCTGTATCCAATATTTACATAATTTATTGTCAGGTACATTTTATCAGCAATACAAGGCCTGTTCTGAATTTCTGCGACATAAAACCCACATTGCTTCGCCCAAATTTCTTGCCAATCATGCTATTTCTGTTCAAAGATGCGTTCAATATCAAGGCGAATTTATAATCACGTTTCCTTTTGGATATCACTCTGGCTACAATCTTGGATTAAATTGTGCCGAAAGTGTTAATTTTGCCTTGGCATCCTGGATCGACATAGGAAAACGAGCCAAGGCATGCAATTGTATTGCCGATAGTGTTACTATCGATGTGTCCGCGTTGCAACCATCTGCAGTTATCAAGACCAAACCTGTAGCACAAAAAAAGCTCCTACAAAAGCAGGTAAAATACCAGCATGCCACTTTCCAGCGAATTGTAACTCATGCTAGGCGACCTTTTGGCAATGGAATAGTGCATTTTATGCCCGTCTATCCATGCATCAGTACGGCCATCGTCTATGGTGAAAACCGAAGAGGGCAATTGGATTCATCGTCTCTGTGCTGAAGCTATTGCCGGCCTTTCTATACACCGTTTATCGAAAAGCCGTTGTAAAGTCAAGGGACTGACCAATGTACCCCGAGCTCGATGGAAACTGGTAAGTAGGGCGATCAATTTTTTTTCGTACAGGTCAACAACATTAAGAGCTTACTATTTGATCAAGCTGTGTCTGTACTGTCGTGAACCACAGGGAGCTTGTGCACAATGCTGTAGCATGAAATGTTGTCGAGCCTTTCACGTCACATGTGCCGAAAAAGCCGGCGCCACGATGATAAAGAACAATGATGAAAATTACTCTGACATTTACTGTCCCCAGCATGATCCGGTAAGCACGCAGATAATCCCAGAAAAGACAAAACAGACTCAAATCAGGGCCTCCAATGAATTGTATAGAAACACATTCAAAAACGGCAAGCATCAAAACAAGCATTCTATGATCAGTTAGCGCGTCAGCTTTATGTAGGCAGACGAATATGGGCAGTCTTTCGTGGAACAGAGAACTGCAGTGGGACGATTGAAAGTATCAACAATGAAAAGCGTACATGTCGAATACGCTGCGATCTTGGTTTCACTTCTACCGTTCCATGGCGAGACATTCGTTTGGAGTAGAACCTACTCTGCTTTCTTTGCACTATTATTAATACTTGCTTTCCCCTTCCCTTATTCTACTTCGCCTTGTATGTATGTTCATAAACTAAGATGTACATAAATAAATTTTATCTGAAAGACTTTATCACGATAAAAAATGGAGTAATAGATAATATTAAAGAATTTTGATGATCGAATTGGGTATAATATGCTATGTTATTGTTTTGCCTTTAAATGTCGGTGCAAATGACTGAGTTAATCCATCATTGGACAGAGACCTTTTTCTTTATCGTACGTGATTTATGCCATTTTGAATCTCGTTGCTGGCAAGCTTTGGTACCGTGTTATTTGGAAGTTGATTTCGTTTGAATGATTCGAGCGGGTCTTGGCCGGGGGCGCCACGAGCCTGTCGCGACTTTTCAAGCTCGCCATCCATCATGGTGCTCGAATCAAGTTCATCTTCGTTCAAAGTCTCGAAAGCATAACCTTGCCAATCATCTTCTTGTACTTGCAGCCTGATTTCCATTTTCCAATGCGCTTCCTGTTTTGATGCATGATAGCCCTTCCATTCTTCCGACGTCTCTGACTGCGACGAGCCCCGTCGAGGGCTACCCTGACTTCCAGTGCTCTCTGTAGGACCTGGATAGCCTTTCCAAACCTCTTCCTCGTCTTCCTCATCCGATGGCTGATCGATATTTCCATTCAGGTGTTTGGCAAATCCATGCTGAGGTTCAGGACCGGGGTAACCATGCCATTTCTCTGATTCGTTGTCATCATCTTTCTGAGCCCCATTGATGGAAGAAGCCCGTGAAGTCGTAATGCTAGATAGACCATGACCCCGTGGATGATGCGCACTCTGAGGTGAAAGCAGAGGTTGTGTCAGTTTTGATGGAACAAATTCAGGCGCGGTTGGAGAGAGACGTGATTTTTTGGTTTGTTTACTGGTGGCTGAATCTTGCTGCGACGAAACGGTGGTCATCGATTGACCAGTCACACTCTTCTCTCTCTGTCGCTCGATGGCCGGCGACTCAGTCATCATTTTATCCTCTTCAGGACTTGGATGATCTGCATCGTTCACGGTATTTTCGTCGGATGCCGATGCGGTAGGTGTTTCTTTGCGCAGAGCCGTCGATGCAAGTGCTTCAGTGGTGATTTCTCGATGCTCCGATGTCACTGACGGTGGGGAGGGTTGCTGTTCTTCTTCTGCTGGTAACAAGATGGCAATATCCGTAGATCCGTCCGTGGGTGGCACAGATGCAGGCTTTGCATATTTGTCTTCGGAAGGCGTCATCGGGGAATCTCCGCGTTCATGAAACAGAACGGAAGGCATGGTATCGTTGGGGGGTAAAGGATCGGGAACAATCACATCATCAGTGAAGTCGCCACCGTCGCCACCGTCCCAGTCTGTGGATGAATCTTGGCTTTCCTGATCATCTTTGTTGGTGGTCAACTCCTTTTCAACATCGGCTGCTGTCAAAGTAAGCGGACGGGAACTTGCTGAAGCTTCGACACCCTGTATTGGGGATAGTTCGACCGAATGAGCATCGGTTTCCGTTTCTGGATGGACAGAGGCTCGGGGAGGTGACATCGAGATAGCGAGGTCCTGCAAATATTGTTCATCCTCATCGTGAGGGTTGTATTCTAGTTGTTCTCCAGGTAGAAGAGGTTCCACTTCAATACTTTCATCGGTTAACTGATCTTTCCGCAGATAGACGCGTGAAACCAACCAATGATGCACCAACGCATCGCCTGGAGCCAACCGCGTTAAATCGGGAACCGGAACGACTGATGCCCGTAATCCTTCAATGTGAATTGGCTTGGTTGCCATGGAAGCCCTTTTGTTGGTGGACGTGGTGGATGCGGTCAATCCGAGCTCATCTTCAATAAGGTCCGCGGACTCGGTGGTTGAATTATGTTGACAAAGTTCCAATAGCGCCACCGTCACCGCCAGTTTCCGTGCGCCCGGTGCTGACAAGACGATTTCCGGCGTGTCTTGAGGACTGGCAGCCATGGCACGCAAGGCATCTTCGTTGCCACCGGCGGCATAGGCGGTAACGATCGATTGAATTGATTCCAAATGCGGCTTCATCCAAGGAATGGCGACCATCACCCCGGTATGTCGCTGTTGGCGATCACGGGAAAAAATATTCAGTTTTTGCCGAAGCATTTCGTGATAAACGTGATACTGGTTGGCGGGAGCGACAACGGTCGCTAATTCACGGTACATCTCCTTGGTTCTCGAAGAGCAGTGATGCCACAGCTTTCGGATACGTCGTACCTCCGGCATCATCAGGGCCTTCATGATGGCTGCAAAACCGGAGAAATCGCGATAAGCATGCAATAACAAATAAGCAACCTTCACCAGGTGAGAGATCAAATTGTCTTTGGGGTGGACGGGTGGTACGACGGATACGGTGGTCCCGCTTTTGGTAAGCTCCGCCCAGTAGATAAGTTGATGAGCGAAACTGTGCGAAAGGTAACGATGGAAGTCGAGTAAATGCAATACACCGGAAGACTTTTTATCGGCCTGACATAACAGACGCTTTTCAAGGATAACGTGCTCAAACAGTTGACAGTCAACGACAGCAATTTGTTTGGCCAGAACGTCGGGGTCCCAGTTGAAGACGGTGGCTGCCTCCACCGATTTCATCTGACGGGTCAAATGATCCAATTTATGTCGTTCCACTCGTACATCTTCAATGAGCCTTCTTAACGTTCCCACTGGGACAGGAGGGTTTTCTTGTTTCGCTACAGCCAGACGGTCGGTGGCTTTCGAAAGGGCGTTCGCACATACAGTCGATGCCTTGGCCGTCGGAGATAGTGGAATAAGGGGCAAACCACCGGCAGCAGTGGCCATTTTATCGGCAAAATAGTAAAAAGGTTTATGCGCAAAGGGGCAAGGGAAAAAAAAGTGAAGAAAAAAAAAATATCGAAGTTTAGAATAAGGCACCGACCGTAGGACAGGGCAACTTCTTTTTTCAGTTTCCGACAAGGTCGGGATGGTGATTTCAATGATTCGAATCATCCATTCATCCCTTTTCACACGCACATCCCGTTTCTTTTATATAGTGCTTATAACCTATTTGCAGTCTCTGTAACCATACCAACATCGATTACATATATTTTTTTTCTATCTACTCTATAGAATGGATGTATGCCAACAAGCGTCATCTGCTTGTTATCGGTTATGGAAAAGCGCAAAAAAAAAGAAAACAAAAAACTCAAAACTCAAAACTCAAAAGACTGCAGTTTCCCAAATCTGTACGCTTCCATGGATGGTTCTACTGTCTTAAAAGCATTTCTGTTGGCTTCTTTGCCATTCTATGTATCCAATTACGTTTTATCACAACGGCTCAATCGTTCAACAAGCTTTTCAGCTTGTCCCATCAGAAGCCATGGCAGTCTGTCATAACCGTCGTCTGCAACGAAAGTCTGCTAGCTTTTTGCTGCTCAATGACTTTTAAACTTTCCTTGCCAGAAATTTCCTTTTCCGACTGGCTTTGTAATTTATTGTACGCAGAAAATGCCGCATCAGTCTGCGTGCACCTGGAGGATTAAGGAATTTTTTCATGCAAAAAATCTACACCTCAAGCTCTATCGGCACTTGCCAAGTCAGAATGGCTTTCAGTTCCTTAAGAGTACAACCTATACCTCCTTGTTGGGTATTGTATTTCGCCCTGCAGTCATTCCTGTGCGGTCAGGTGACTAACCAGGCAAAAACCGTCCATACAACTGGAATCACTTGCAAAGTAATTTGTTTAGATTATTTTGTCTTCTTTCTTCTTTAGTTACATGGACACGGGGAATTATATTACAAATGGGAAGGTTGCAAGACTACTGTAAATTACTCTACAGCGCTCTTTTTTCGTTCTTTGGCAACAATGGATGCCTGTCGGGTATGAGAACTCGCGGAAGAATTGCCATCGGCCGTTTTGAATATGTTGATTTGCTCGGTCACGTCATCTAGCATTTCTACAGCCATTTGATACACTTCCGTGCCCTCCCTGTTATACATCAGAGAATTCGTCAGCATCAGCATGATATCTCGTTCAAATTCAACCGTTGTTCTAATCACCTACATCAAAAGAAAAAAAACTTCATTAATACACATTGTTCAAGCCATTCGTTTTACTGTTCTTTACTCACGCCATCTCGGATACGATTCTTGATTGTCTTTAGATCCATCGGATGTTTAACGATATCATAATACAGAGGAGCCGTAGCCTCTTTGATTGGGTTCATAAACATCGCTCCATTTTTATGATTAGCAATTTCACGCCATAATAAATTGATGTTCTTTTGCCATGACTTTTGACGCGGATCATCTTTCGCCCGTTTTCGTTCGCTGGACGTAGGAGTCAAGGTTGTAGTCGGAGTCGCGGCATTGCTGTCGGTACCCGCCACACTTTCGGTTCCTTCCGTATCGCCAGCGACATGCCGTTCAGTTGTATCAATAGGAGATGGAACAGGAGCATGCTGTGAGAATGTATCCGGACCTGCCATCTCATCCACTCTTTGGTCTCCTGTGTTCGTGGGGACGGTAGTGTCTTTGCCTTTTTCGGCGCCATCACGTTTTTCTTTTTCGGTTGCCTTTTCCTTATTTACCTCGGCCGCGACTGCATCAATCTGGGATTCTGTTTCCACTCTGTTCTCTATTTCGGCCTCGTCTTTTTTGCGTTGTCTATCTTTTTCTTGCGTCGTAGGCTCTATTGGTTGTGCTTCATGGCTTGCTGTCGACGGCACCGGTGTGGTTGAAACAGAAGACTCGATCCGTGATTCCAGATCCAGCTTTGGGCGCTTGGCGGTTTCTCCACCAACATACGATGTATCAGGCGATACGATATCGTCCAATGTACGCTTCTTTGCATGTTCGCTCTCTAACAGTTCCATACCCGTTCCTCCGGGGGTATCGGTGGTCACTGATTCTTCGAGCAAGACCTCAGGTGTGGTTGACAACGATTGTTCCGATGAAGCGAGTGAGGACGATAAAGCTGCTGTGGTCGTCGGCAAGAGTCCGCTTTGTGCTTGGTCTGCGACAACTGAGGAAGGAGGAGCTGGATTCTCAAAGGCAGCGGCAGTGGACGGTTGTTCCACGGTCGGTTTATCAACGATCATTGGTTCCACATGCTCATCTACAGCCGATTGAAAGCTTTCCTCCGAACCAGGCGAGCCATTTTCCCTTGATTTCACAGTATCCTGGATCATCGTTATGGGTGAACTCGTGTTGGTTGTGACTGTGGGTTCGACTGCTGCACCACTTGTGACAGATGGCGCGGCAGCAATATCCGTGTCATCTTTGAGAATCTCTGTGACAGCCGCCGCGTCGCTGGATGTGATGGGGGTGCTTTCCGTTTCTGCATTCATTCGAACGGGTGTATTTTCACTTGAAGGATTAAATGAAGCTATGTTATCCATCGCGGTCGCACCTTCGAAAACGGGTTCCTCGATCGACGGTTTACTGATGTCGGTTACTTGCGCTGGTTCATTGATTCGATTTTCTACTTTTGTGGTTGCTTCTGTCGTATGTGAAGGTGTAAGTGATGGTTCAACCGGTGTCGTGGTTTCCGATGGCTGTTCAATGACGGGCACTGTTTCCGATGACTTTTGTTGCAAGATGTCCTTCAACTTATTATCCCAACGACCAGATCGAATATCGTCAATTTCCGATACGACGGCCATGAACTGATCTTCGTCTTGCTTGATTGCCATTTTCACTTCGTCCATTCGCTGCATGTACAATCGTCGAGCTAATTTGACAACCGAGGGCATCTCTTGCAAAGACGATAGCCCTATTTTGTTCTGTCGCCTGGGACACAAGAAAAAAAAAAAAGGTTAATACAATATTCCACGATGAGCGTTTTGCAATATTGGATCGGTATGATCTTACTTTTCAGTCTCTAGATCTTCGATTAATAAATAGTATTGCAGTGAACAGTTCTACGTTTGTGAGTTTGAGTGTAAGAATAAAAACGATCTTGAGTGCTATTGCTGAGTTTCGCGTGGACCAGCAAGTCAATAGCTGCTGGCGTACGGTGGATTTTCAAACAAGACGCACTTACTTTCTGATTGAAAAATTCTGGCTGCCGATTCAACATGGCATGTTGTCGCAGATTACGCGCAATTTGGAACCAGTTGTCTTCGCCAAATTTATATACAGATTGAGCCAGTAGCAGTTTCTCCAATACAGTCCATTCTGACGTTTGCATTGTGAATACCATATATAATTTTTTTATATGTGGTTTTTAATAAAAATGAAGAAGGAAAAAAAAAAAGACAAACCCAGTCAACGGGTACTTCAAAGAAGATTATTTGGAGGTATTTCGTCGTTCAGCCCTCAATTGCTTGACAAAAAAAAAAGTCGCATCTCACTCCGCAAAGTGGGTGTTTTTCTGGTTGGTTGCACACACCCAAGGATTTTTTTTTGGCATGTCGTCATCACCTAAAGACAGAGTTTTGATTGGCTTAAACCTCAAAGAAAGTGAATTCATTTTCCATCCCAAATTGGGAACGTTGGTTCAATTACAGATGTCGCATTGAGCAAAAGAAGATGTTGAAACTGCTCAAGCCTATGGCGGGACTTTCCAAATTCTTGCTATTAATCTATTGATATCTTCTTCAACCGCTGCTTTACGACAAAAACTGTACGTAGTATACTGCCTTACAGATACATCAAATAAAGAAACGAAAGGGATAGTCATGTTTATCTTTACTGAAATATCTCGTTTCCTCACATGAACGCTGCCAAGTTGTTCACAGTCTAGTGCTTGCATTTAGTAATTCAAATAATTATATTAACGGATTTCACTGCTCCAATGTCTATCACTTTATACCGGTCACCTAATACACATTTCATCGGTCTCTTGTATGTACGTTACGATAACTACTCTAACAATGTGGCTTATAGTAATGTAATTTCTACTTCCCAAGATACGATCATATCGTTTCCAACATTAACATAGGGTGAAAATTATATCATTTATGAATGCTTTGTAAGACTAATAGTTATTGGCCAATGGTTTGACACACGGAAGAAGAAAACTAGTATAGCTTGAGGTAGCGTACAATAAAGCATCGGGTTAACCGATATCATATTCCTACAATATGCGAAATTCTAGGCACCGTATCAATCACTGACGAAAGTTTGACGTATACTTTTCTAGAAAACATACTGTACGCATGACCAAAGCTTTCATTACAAGAAACTGGCATAGAACATGTGTACTGCAGTCTTAATTTTGATGCTGATATTACAAATGGTGCCATAATATTCATGCAAATCACATTGTTCGGGGCCAAAAAACAAACTATTTACCGATGTAATTCTATGTCAGGCATGAGCTGCACCATGGAAATACTGGATATCGTTATAGGGGAGGCCAAAAATTTCTCGCTGCTACTGATTATTGCTCAAAGGTCCAAACATGATAGCAAGAACCAGTGACGAACCGATGAACCGACGGACGTTTCTATTCATTCAGACGCTGCGCGGATCGTTTTGAAGGTCTCGTAGGAAAGATCAGGAGTCTCTTTATCGCTTCTTCTCCTCCACTTCGGTTTTCCATTGCTGCTTGATATACTTACCGAGCCAAAATGGATCGGAATACCGAATATCTTGATAATCAACGCATACGGTGAGCCAAGGCTTTCGCTCTTGCATCTTCTCGAGCAGTTTGGAAGACCCTTCACTCATTACATAATTACGTATGCCGTATTATTTCGTAGAAGCAAGATTAGCGAGAAATCAGTCATCAGCAACAATGGATCGATTTTCTTTTGACTGCTTCTGGACGGTGGCAATTTGCAACACCGACGACTCGGTTGTGCACAGCAACAAAAATATCCCCTTGTTTTCAAATTATTGAGCAACCGAGAAGTTTTTCAAAAAGACGTGGTGCTGATATACCAATGAGTTCTACGACGGATGAGCCTTGGAAACAATCAGAGTCCAATACGTCTGCATCGCAGTCAACTCCGTCATTACCTCCACCGCCGATTCCATTCACAAACGATGTCAAATTCACTACTGTACCACCAACATTGCCAACGCGAATAGTCGACGAATCAGAAGACGACCGATTAACTCGTGCTGGACTGGCTCCTAAACCAAGAGTTATTTTGCTCACTGCAGTTGGCTCATTTTGGGGATTCGGTATTGGGTCATTCTTGGGTGGTCGTCAAGCAGGTTTACAGTACTTGGCGGAAAACGCCCATCGTTTACCGACGACTGTACAAGGGTGGTATTTCTATCATAAAGCAAAGAACTACCGCATGATGCTCGGCGGTGTCAAGCGAGGTATAAGATTTGCTGGAAAGACGGGCGGTCTTTGTCTGTTATATGGTGCACTTGAAGCCAGCTTGGATGATCTTCGAGGAGAAGCCGACGTCGTCAACTCAGTCACTGCGGGTGTATCGGCTGGTGCTCTATTTTCCGCATTAAGTAAGCATTGGGTTGTCATGAATCGTCTTTGCTAGTGCATGTACTAAATTGTTTAATTTGAACCATCACAGCTAAATTAACAAGAGGCAGTTTCCGGTATTCGATTTTGTTTGGTGCCACATTTGGTTTGGCTGCAGGAGGCCTTTCAGACATCCATCGTTATGTATCAGGGCAGCCGCCATCGTACGTCCAATGGCTTCGATCCAAATTCTAAACCACCCACTCTGTTTCACACATTCACACCTGCGTTTCTATGCCATAAGTCTGTGCACTATGGAAAGTTACATACTGTCATACCATTTCCGTGCATCATCCCAAAATAAATGAAATTCGAAGCCATTGAATTCAGCTATTATGCGGATCTTCACGCAACGTTGCGTAAGAGAGGCGAGAAAATGAAAATGTAGGCGACTGAATCCAGGCCGTTTTGGGTCTGTGGACATCGACAGCAATAAGCTCTAGGTTACTCATACGCAGCATGAGGAACAAGAAATCCGAAATTTTCGATGTAGTGCTTACAGACGCCTGTCATAGTTATCGACAGGATTAGAAAATGGGTTCCGTCTCTTTTAGTCTCAATAGAAATGACACATGATTGCAACAAATAATAAGATATCCAGTCGATGGATGTTCCTATAAACTTGGAGAATCGTGCTATTGATTTTCATTCCACTGGATCCGAATTGCCGTCGATATTGCGCCATTTCGCATACGACAGCGTAACTTGATCGATTACGAACTACAAACATTGAGCACGTCAGCTCCACACGGAAAGACGAATAGTGCGATGACGACAACCTCTGTGTGCAACCATGATCGATTGAAAATCATATTGAAGAAAAATCCCCCACTATAATCCCAAAAACGCAGAACAAGGGCATTTGATACTGTCTATTACAGCATCTCATATTTTATCCATCGGCCAAGCAAGCCATGCATATACCATTGACTTTTGTAAAGAAAGCCCAAAGTTGGTTGCACAGGATGTGAGCATAATGATCGCGCAAGCGTTCTAGATATGGCGTGCAGTAGGTAACACGAACTGCACCGATCTCGTCAACTTTGCAAGGAAATGCATCCATAGCCTCGACATATAAAGTACCATCATGCAGACCTTTAATTCACACTTTCTTCTTTTTACTCGAAATAATCACGATGATTCCTATCACATCATCGGATACAAAACCAATCGTAGTGGAAAGCGCCACCCAATCGGTCAAGGTTCTTGAAGATATTAAGTTTGCAGAATATGCATCGACCGAATCCAACCATGACACAGTCCGAGATCCTGAAAGTGGCTTGAAACGCACTTTGAAATCAAGGCATTTGGCTGTATGTTCTGCTCACATTTCGTATATCGAAAGCTCGTATAAACGTCTTACTTATTCCCTGATGGATAGATGATCTCGATTGGTGGTGTCATTGGACAAGGTCTTTTCCTTTCGTCCGGTGCTAATTTAGCAAAAGCAGGTAAATATATAATTCGATATGTTTCTAATACATACAGAACGGTTATTTGTTTTTCTAATGCAATGTTGTATAGGTCCTGCAGGTTTACTGATTGCATATGCAGTGGTCGGCTTTATCGTATTCTGGGTTGCTTTCCAATTAGGCGAAATTGCGGCCTATATACCGGTACTTTGTCAAATGTCCAAATTGATTTTTTGCCCTCTCTTCCTAAGTTTTTTGTGATTATCAGATTTCTGGCTCTTTCACTGTCTATTGTCGTCGCTTTGTTGACAAGTCGTTTGGCACGGTGATTGGATACAACTACTGGGTAATGAATGCGGATCTGCGAAAGGAGGTCCATAATAATAATAATAAGACTGACTTTTTTTATAATTACAGGCATGTTGGTCTATTATTGTGGCTGTCGGCAAGTAGCATCCAGATCAAAAGTATAGACCGACACATATACTAATTAAAATCTACTTATAGAGCTAGTAGCGATACCGCTCGTCATGCGCTTCTGGACGGACCGCGTCCCTGACTGGGCATGTATGTAAAGACTTGATCTCAAAAAGTGTGGGATGTGATGTTGACGAAATAGCAATGTAGGGTCAGCGATTTTTCTGGTCATCATGTTTTGTATGAACCTATATGGTGCCCGTTGCTGGGGTGAAATTGAGTACTGGTTTAGTATGGTATATTTCGCAGCCTCTATCATATATTCAGCGTCTTGTGCAAGAGCTTTTTCATTGAAACATCTTATCACACCACCCAGGTCAAAATCTTGGCAGTCATTGTGTTTGTCATTGTCGGTTGCTGTACATCTGGGGGCCTGGTTGGGTGAGTTGTAATCCGTCAAAAACAATGTTTTCTGTACTGATAATGTCGTAACAGAGACCAAGTTTATGGCTTCAAGTATTGGAACGATCCTGGTGCTTTCTCCAATGGTGCTCTTGGCGTGATTAATGCTCTGGTACTTGCTGCATTGACAATGACAGGAACCGATATTGTTGGCGTATCAGCGGGAGAGTCGTCTAATCCTCGCAAGGTAAGTTTCCAAGACTTGCTTACCTAATTTTTTGGTAGGAAACTCATTATTGCCTTAGGCTATTCCTGCTGCTGTGAAAAACGTCTTCTACCGTATCATCTGCATCTATGTTTTTTCAGGTACAAAGATGGAACGGGGACTCTGTCTCAAGACCAAGACTAACAGCTGATTTCTTCCTATAGTATTTGTTATGGGCATGATTATCCCGTGGAACGATCCTCACAACCTTCGAGCGGGAAACCGTGATGTGAGTGTTTCGCCTTTCACCCTTGTATTCCAAAAAGCGGGTCTTTCCGGTGCATCACACGTTGTTAATGCGGTGGTTTTGGTCACGGTTAGTATATACTATGGCATAACCTTGTTGTATGTAAGCTGATCTCCAGGCCATTCTGTTGTCATTAGCTTATCTCTTGCGGCAACAGTGGGATGTACGTCACGACCCGCACTTTGTGTGCCCTAGCGAACGAAGGCATTGCCCATCACAAATTAGGTAGGTTTTACCAAACGGGTGCAATTTTACCAGCCAAATTACTCACAGGATATTATTTAGCCTATGTGAACAAGCGCGGGGTTCCCATCTATGCGCTCCTGTGTACCAGTGCGGTTTCTCTTGTTTGCTTCTTGACCTCCTTTATTCCCGGTGAAGCGCTCTTTTTGGTTTTAGCTGATCTTGCGGGTATTGCCGGCATGGTAAGCATAATGAAAAAAAAAGACAACGAGAGTGGAGGTTGCTCATTTAATTACTCGAATAGATAACGTGGACAGGTATTGCAATTTCTCACTACCGCTTCCGTAAAGCATTCATTGCTCAAGGGAAAGATTTGAATTCGCTCCCATATGTTGCTCCGGGACATCCGTACATGAATATTCTGGTCATTGTCGCTTGTGTGGTCATTATCCTTATGTCCGGCTGGTCGTACTTCGTTCCTGCCTCCGCCACTGGCTTGGTAGGATCCTACGGCGGTGTCATTCTTGTAGTCGTGGGGTTCATTGTGCTCAAATTTTGGACAAAATCTAGACTTGTCCCACTGGCAGAAATCGACCTCGACACTGACGTCCGCCAATACAGTGCAGAAGAGTTGGAAATCGAGAAAGAAGAAAACGCCTCGCGCGGTATATGGCAAAAACTCAAGCTCATTTTCACGTAACAGTGAGAGTTATAGGTTTACCTCTCCTTTTGTGCAAAATTCTGTAGGCTTATCATACCAAAACATCGCTTTCTCATCGATTCCCCCTACTTCTCTGTTTCCCATTCATTCAACTTTCATCTTTTTCGCTCTTTTTACTGTATATTTTAACACTAGGCTTTGTAATTTTTGTCCTATCTAAAAATTTATAATAATATCGATCTGCATCATTTTACAAACTATGCCCATGTTATGTATGATCTAAGCGCTCTTCTGATTGAATAGTTCAAAAAGGTACAAATCTTTGGAATCAAATAGCAAATTTTGATTGGTTGGACAAACAGAAAATAGATGCTCATATTTTCTGTTTCGAATTTGCCATTGGAAATATATCGGTCGGAGTATTAACTTGGCCACTATTGTAAATGCCGCCATTCTCCATCGATCTATTACAGCCGATACTCCTTTAGTCTATTTGGCTTCACTACCCATTCTTCGATGACTATGTGGCTTCATAGATGTTTAAATTGGAGGAAAATGTGTGGTTATGGAACAAACGACTGGTGGAAGAAGAAAAGTATACGTATCGAAGAGAAGATGTAAAGCATCATAATGCAAGCATGCTCATCTGGCAAGGATTCGAATGCAGATCACTGCCTCCGTCGCACAACAACCGACATTTAGACTTTCGACATGGTACGAGCCTTTGCAGATTCTGCCACTCTTGATCATTGACCTGGGGACGAGGAGACTGAGCATGAGTTAAATCTTGGTTTTTTCCTGGAAAAATGCTTTCAAAAATAGAAAGGAATGATTTTCTCTGGCCAATAGATCTCACATGCGGGGGGAAATCAACTTTCTGTATTTTTTTCTTTGCCATTTGGCATTTGCGAATTTCCTGAATTGGAAGAATTGTAACGATAGAATGAAAATTTTAGCTCTTTGCCGGATGAGGTCATTTTTACATTGTTCTTTGACATCGATCCATTGACAGATTTTTCTGAACAGTTCATTAGCTGCTTTCATCTCAGACATTGCCATTGATTTTATCGGTGGTGGCCACTGCTGAACTTGATCCAATTTTTTTTTCTTTCGCCGCTCCTACAGCAGCAAAGACCAGGTTCTCCTGCGGCAGTTTCACTTTGCTTCCTTTTTTTCACAGGATCTGTTGTCTATTTAACCCAAAAATAAGAAATCCTACTTTACTATCCAGTGCCCCTGCAAACATTTACCCCATTTTTTTTTCTTCCCTCACCAAGTTACCACCGTACTACCGTAACTCTGACAGTATCGTCCGACAGCTGCCATATATATCTAGCAGAAGATATCCGTTCATTCAGTAACGTGCCCAGTCATTCCACTAATGGCCACGCCGAACATTGCACCCTATATTGCTAAAGCAAGTCATTCTTTTTCTTTCAACAACCACAACATTACCAACTACATGTTCACTAACCTAACGCTTACAGTATGTCCGCTCCCTTCATGCATTGTATGACAATGTGGAGATCCCTTATCGGCATACGCAATTCGGAGCTGTTCTCATGGTGGACGTCGTAGGTAAGATAACCTTGATCTATTTAAATAACGAACAAATAACTTAAGGTTTTCTTTAGGATTCAGTCAGGTAGAACAATGACATCCAACAGAGGATGTGGCAAGTAGGAGCTAACATGAAGATAAATTCTTAGTTAACCACTTTGGCGACCGAAAAAGGAGACTCTGGAGCCGAGGCCATTGCATTGGAAGTTGGCACCTACATGGGCGAAGTACGTCCAAATTAAAATATTTACAGAAAGTTCATGGATTCTCATCTCCCCCTTTTTTTTGTGCTTAAAATAGTGTATCGAGATCATTGAACATTTTGGTGGCGATGTTGTAAAGGTAAATCCAATGGGTCGGTTGAAAGACTGGAACATGCTTTGTTGAACGCGCGCGCATTAGTTTCTTGGTGACGCCGTCCTAGTATGCTTCCAAGCCGACTTGGAAGACGACCAAACTGCCGATGATCCATTGCAGGGTTCGAGAAGTCGCAACGCTATATCACTACGTCAAAAAAGTGTACTTGTACGCCGAGCTGTAGAATGCGGTTTACAGCTGCTTGCACGACAATCTCACTACCGTGTTTACTTGACCGCCGAAGAACGATCAAAACACCGAGGTTCGACAAACCGTGAAATTGAACGACGAGACCGAGGTTCCGGTTCATCCCGCTTTTTCTTATTCGATGGCGGTTCAACAAGCAATAACAGCCGTACCAGCAGCGATGATCGACGTGCGTCTTCTATTGATAGCATACCGATACCCACACTGCAGCAGCAAAACGTCAATAATCCCGAAGAATACTCGATGGCTTTCAGTTTTTGGCATTGTTTTCCCTTCTTTCACAAGAAAAACAGGGTGTACGCTTTGCGTCACAGCTTGAATACCAACCATTCTGATGACGACCGAAATGCCATTGATCTCGAACTTCATATTGCCGTATCATGCGGAGATATTACAAACGTCATTGTCGGTGATGTAGGGACTAACACCCATATAGAAACGCCCCTGAGTCCTAGTAAGGCGACGAATCGAAAATCACACTATTCGTATGCGAGTATGGAAGGCAGCGATGCCACGGGAAGTGACCAATACCTCGAATATTTCGGACGTCTAGAATACGCAGTGTGTGGCAACACCGTTGAAGCACTTGAACCGGCATTGACTCTAGCCAAAGCCGGCGAAATGAGTATCACGCCTGAAGTGTACGTCTACATACAACAGCAACCGCTTGTTGCTTCATTTGAAAGACGACGCGATTTTTACATCATCAAAAGCACCCACAATAACCACAACCAATCGCCCCCACCACGAAAAACCAGCCCGTTACGACATCCAATGCAAAAGTCCAGCACCGCACCCAACCTTAGTTACCTTGCGGATCGGCCCGCACTGAAACAACAAGCCAACAACCTGAACATCGAGCCGATTATTCCCCGTATTCGAAATACATCGTATCTGCGTTTATCAACAGATGCCAATCCCAATTACCACAAATACCTCAATCGCAGTGCTTTGTACCGTCTACAGCACAGTGTGGACGACAATTTTCCCGCCCAGTTTCGCGATGTCACCATCATGTTTATCAACCTGGGCAATGTCAACGTCGCCAACAAAGATGGTCTAATGATGGCGCAAAAAGCCGTGAAAATCGCCATGAAAGCACTGGTCAAATATGAAGGTTTGTACACATATTTCCGTATTTCAACAGCGCAGCTTCAATGCATGGTTTTTTTTTACGCTTATTTATTTTATTTGCATCCTCTTCTTTTTTCACGCTATCCTTACAGGTGTACTGCAACAATTTGCCGTGGATGATAAAGGTATGTCATTTTTGCACCCACTCTCGCTGTAGCATGGCGATAGTTGACTTTGATGAAACTATTTTGAAGGTGCCACATTACTTGCTGTGTTTGGTTTACCTCCTCAGTCGCATGAACGTGAGGCGATATTTGCCGCTAAAGCCGCGATTGACATTCGAGATAAATACTCGCAATTTTTGCCGGGATTCGCTATCGCATTGTCTACCGGTATTATCTTCAACGCTGTTATGCCTCAGAGTAATCCGTACCGTCGAGATCCCGGGATTGCCGGTGACACCATTGTACTTGCTGTGCGTATGCTGAAATTCTCCTTTGCTCGAGAGAGTATCGTATGCGATTATGCCACCAAAGCGCAAATTGGAGGACAGTGTGAATTTGAGGAATACGGCGAAAATTTTGTCAAGGGAAAGGTGAAACCGGTCCCGATTTATGGCATTCAGAATTTTACCGTGGCGAAAACAAAACGACTTTCGTTGAAAAGCCTGGGAAAGACATCAGACTTCATCGGGTACAAGACGGAAATGTCAATTGCCAAACGAGTCGTGGACGAGTGGGACGATATACCCAACCACCACGTTCTTATCATCTCCGGTCCCTCTGGCGTAGGAAAAAGTTTCTTTTGTCACGCTTTGCACAAAACCTTGAGTGCCCACGGTGTCACATGCTGGTAAGGCCTCAACTACATGGTTGAAAAGATGGAGTAGTAGAGAGATTGACCTGTTTATTTTTGTCTTACGAACCAGCTGGTCATCCTCAACGGAAGGTGAGTCTCTCTGCCCTCTTTTTGGTACGTTATCGAGAATGGCTGTCTGATGTTGTCTTGTGTAATAGTGGAAAAGGGCTCCAAATACTATCTGGTCAAAAATCTGTTGCTCTCTTTGTTTGAAATCATCGATTCCGACAGTGTGCCTCAACGAGCCAAAAGGCGTACTTCCTGCCTTTATAACGGGCTGGTTCCCTTGACCAGCGGATCCTGTTGCTCCAACAACCAGAATGAATCGATTCGTTCCTCGCAGACGTCGCTACCTTCCCCGCTTTACAGCAAGAAAAAGTTTCAGCGTTTACCGTCGAATTCGACTATGAATCGGTCTTCTGCCGCTACCTCGAGCTTACAACAGCAGCCAGAGATGAGCAACGAGGTCATGGAGTTGATATCACGGTGCCTGAAAAAATGCGGCGAGGATGAAGGCTTTCTTCCGTTGTTCAAGGTCGCTTTTCCTACATTGAGCGATGTCGTGGAGAATAAGCATACGGTTCGTCTGGATGGTCGCGGACGTGATGTTCTGTTTACCGGCGTAATTAGTCGCATGGTGCGCCATGTCTCGGAACACGTGGGTCTTGTCTTTGTGTGTGACGATGTACAATGTAGGGTTGACTGGGTTTCATACTGCATAAGTCAATAAGAAAACTGAGGAGTCACTGTTTCATTTTGTAGGGGCGGATTCAGCATCGATGCGTGTGCTTCAGTACATCCATGAACAGTGTCAACGGGTTATGCTCCTGTTAGCTACACGGCCGGTGAAAGATTACCATGTCACGTTTATCAAACATTTTTGCAATACGGGTTCGCCTGTGGAGATTACGCTCAACGGTTTAAGCGCGGATGAAATTGGAGAAATCATTCTTCAGACTTTCCAGGCCGGTGTCAATCGCGTCAGCTCCGAAATTGTCCACGTGATCCAGGTAGATCAAAGCAAAATCAAATTTGATATTGCACAAATATTCACGCAGCTTTCAACTTGCCTCAGAAACGAACCGGTGGCAATCCGCTTTACGTCAAGTAAGAAGCTTAGGCAGTGTCTGTGCCCATCGGCTTACTAACGAAACGCCATATTTTCTTTTCTATTTGGATCAGGAATATGGCCATTATTCTGAAAGATTTTAATCATGTAACAGTTGTACAAGGCGAACTAGTGCCCCGAAGCAACCGATTTGATCTGGAGGATCTATTGGGAAATTTTGACTATAAACGAATTATCAAGATGCAGTTTGATCGTCTTGATGCCAATTTTCAAGAATTCTTGACGGTAGGGTCGTTGGAAAGACCTGTACATCACTTTTATCATACTGACACTTCCATTTACAGGTGGCTAGCTGTCTGGACCAGCATTTCACAATCTATGAAGTAGAAGCGGTGATCAAATCCTCTAATGCGATTTTTCAGGAACATGATCCGCAAAAGATACGAAGTATCATCCAAAAATACGATGTTTACCATTTCCTACAACCGGTGACGGAAAGTTCGATCGACAATTCCAACGAAACGTATTCCTTTGCTCATATTACAATCCCCCAAAGTATTTATTACATGGTCTCATACGAAACCCGGATTCTCCTTCATCGGCTGCTAGCTCGCTATTACGAAAGTCAGCTGACGCGCGAGAATTATTCGCAACTGCTTGGCAAAGTCACTCGTCATTTCTTGGAAACAGATTGGCTTGATAAACAGCTATATTACCTGGAAGCGTTAGCCGACCTCAATATGCGATCGTACCTTTTACCAGAAGCGACGAACAATCTGGAACGAATTGTCAAGCTGTTGGATAATAACGAGGAGTTGGCGCTGAAGTACGGCCATCTTCATCGGAGCGATATCTATCGACGCCTTGGCATTTGCCTTGCCATGCGGACCAAACTCGTGGAAGGAGAGAAGTATCTATTTATGGCGTTACGATGCCTTGGTGAACCGTGGCCCGAGAGCCATCCTGACTTTCTTTACCGATACTGGAAGAACCGCTTCGTCCAATACCAGCACCGTCGATGGCGGGTGTTTCACAAGACGAAAAAAGATCTCAAACGACAAATCCATCTTCGTGTTACGGAAATCATGGCCCAGCTTTCAAATATTTATTTCTATACAGGAAAAGGTCGAGCTTTCATTTACACATGTCTGGTCGGCTTAAACGCTTGTGAAAGGCTGGGCGACGTGGGACCAAATTATACTTTGTTTCTGGCCCGAAATTCGCTTCTGTGCTGGCTCAACGACAAAAAGGAACACAGTATCTTTTACATCACGCGGGCGTTGCAATACATGGACGAGAAAAGTGATGCGGGGACCTTGACGATCTATGCGCATCTATGCTTTGCGGCGGGAAAATTTAGTATGGCTCGAGAACGGTTATATCAATCGATCGATGCGGTGAGAACATACGGCGTCGCTACGGACTGCCAGTCGTTCTATCGGTGTGTGGGTCTTATCGTGACGATGCGCATCTTTGAAGGCACGTTGGATCAGTCACCGGACGACCTGGTCTTGCTGAAACAAATGGCCGACACGGCGCATAGTAACAGCGATTTCGAGGCAGAGATCTGGTTAGGCGTCTACAATATTGCCAACGCGCTCATCATGGACCGACTCAGGGAATGCGAGCCTTTTGTGGCGCTTTTGGAAGCCCATTTGAAAGAAGCGGCAGACTACAACCGAATCGCCATCCACGGTACGCTGTTATGCTACTATGCTCGCTGTCGAAGCTATGAGAATGCACGAAGACATACCCGGTGTTTGGTTGCTGTTCTACCGGCATTAACGGTGACACGTAAGTATAAGGGTCTCGAACGGACTTTCTCTAGGTTGGATGGCATGTGGACTTAACATACGACCTTTTTTAACAGCCAACATATTTCCTATCTTTGGATTAATATTTGCCACCATGGGAATGTTTTGCCTGATTGAAGATGAGGAAGTGGATATCGTATCGATGGGAGATCACAAAAACTATGAACGATTCATCCGTGGTATCACTCGCATCAACCATGCGTTTCAACAAGTGAAATTCTGGGAATTCACCCAGCCTTGTTTGTATCTCGCCCGAGCCTTGCCATACCTTAGCACGGGCCGCACCGTCGAAGGATTCACGGTAAAAGCGTCTAAATTTAACGGCACAATCCAACATACTAACCCTCTGTTTTTACAGGTGTTACGACATGGCGTTTATGAAATGCATTTCATCCAGGAGATTCGATTCCTCCGAGCTTATTATTGGGCTATTTTAGGAAAGTATGCGTTTATGCCGTCGGAAAGAATCGAATGGACCAACCGCGCTAAAGCCGATCTCGAAGCGTTGGAGATTCCCTCCCATGTGTATTGTAATCCTGACCCTGGGAAATATTATTCCTGGGGCACACCCGCCGACCTTGCCGAGTAACCAACTATTTTTCCCCTTTTCTCCACCGCTGGACGGGTCATGCAACATTTTCAGCTTATTTTATTTATTGATATTTTAGCTTATTACACCATTAATGTTCAGCTTCTGTTGCTGGTTTGTAAATTGCCTAATTCATTGACATTGTATTGTAAAAGCCGAAACTAAAAAAAATCGGGTTGAAGTAATAAATCACCGCTTTTGTAAATGCTCATCAGATAAATATACAGCGACACTTTCGGTGCATGAACGGTGTTGTGCCAATTCATTGTCACACAGAGATCTTTTCCTCGCATTGGACTGTGCAATCCACGTTAGCAGTAGAATAGATATCAGTGTGCCTTTTATTAAAAGTGGGCATGTGACTGGCCAGTGACGAAAAATCGCGTCTGCCACTAGGTCATCGCCATTTCGGGAAAAAAGAAGTCGCGTTACGCGCCAACAGTTGCTTCTCCGCTGCCACTTTCGACGATCTTCTGCTCGTTGAGTCTCATGGAACCAGAAATTCCTGCTAGTCTTGAGACTATCATTGAAGAGCAGATCCAAGACAGAGACGATATTGCTGGTTTGTTGAGTCCTGTGAGCTTGCCGTCGTTTTAAACCACTAATTCTGACCGACTTCAAAATTGCAGACATTGGCCGAACACTCCATGAATGCCTCAAACTAGATCTCGATCTGAGCTTCTGCTTCCGCCTCTTGGAGAAGATCATATATCATGCGGCCGACGCACAAGGATTCTCAAAAGATACAATTCACGAATACAGCTTGACGATTTCCAAGCTTATCATCTATATTGCTGATTCGGATCCGAAACTCACGCGAAAATTGCTCAACGATTACGTGCATTTGCTGAAAGGTATGTTATGAGCATGTATACGAGAAAAGTGCGTTATTAAAATTACAATTATCTAGAATTGCTCAATGCGGTGAACAGTGATATTTCGCAAGATATAAAAAAATTGGATATGCATATTGAATTGTCGATGGGATCAAATTCGACCCTTGATCTCTCCCATCTTAATCTGGAAAGCGATATTCATGTTACACTTCGACTGCTGTCTATTGTCATACGCTCATTAGCTTCCGTTGCAGAAACTACCTTCATATTATTTGGTGATGTGTTCCGACGGAACAGCTCGCTACTTCCCTATATGCTGGATATGAAAGTATCTCCTGCGAATCCCGTGTACTTGATTTTGACAGAGGTAATGGGAAAAAGGTACGATGGATGGAAAATTAAAACTAAATGCCCATATATAGTCGTGTAGTCATCTCATCAAGACCATGATCATTCACCAACTCATCGATATTCAGAACTGCCATGCTGAAAATATCCTTGTTCGATGGTTATCGGACATTGATCAACTATCTTCTTACCAACAGCAGCCGTAAGAATTGAAGAATTGGTTCACACCTGGCTACACATGGACAGTAACTGATTTGTTTTAACAGAGATGTCCGTGATCTTCTGGAAGAGCTTACATTATCCCTGCACCTTTTTCTCGAAACATTTCCGACATTGGATATCATCGATCATATCGACATCCTGAGCTCCATTTACGATACCCTTTTAAGCGACCCACATCGCGCCCTCCCCCTTGATTTTCAGGTACAACTAAAGAATCTTTGTGGTCGCATACGCAGAAGCGGATCATCTGACGTCTATATATATTTCAGGAATGTATGCTGAAGCTGGCTTCACTTCTTCTTCGCAATCATATCATCCCACCGCATTTGAAATCATATCTTGACCGTTTTGATGAAAATGATGACCACCTACAAGTATTGGCAATACATATCCGTCAATTACTCGACGCCGCGTCTTTGAAAGACGACCAGCTGATGGTAAAAGTTTTGAAAAGTCACCACTGGCACAATTTGATAATAACGTTCATGAGAAAAAAATAGTTGCACAGCGTGTATTCGAATCCGGCCGAACTCGATAAGCATATGTAAGTAGTTGGAAGATATGTTAATCACGAAACCGTACTCATTTGCTGATTTAAAAAAAATTGAATAGGTCGGATGAAAACTCTCAAAGGGTAAGCATGAAAAGCTCATGTGCCGATAAAAGCATGAACCATTGACGATGATTTGTTCATACTATGATTAGGTTAGTGATACACTGTTGGCTTTGGTTCCAGAAACGGTTCCGTCCATCGGAGACGGTGATAATGGAATAGTTGCCGTGATAAAGGTACTGTTGCAAGTTGGAACGTTGGGGATATCGTAACTTACACAGAAAAACATTATACAGCTAAAGACGATTGCAAAAGTAACCCAAGTAAAGATGACCGAACTGCTTCTTCCCTTTGAGCGCGAATTGGCTCAGTTGGCTGTCTATTATTTGACAGTGGACCCTATCATTTTGCAAAACATTGCTTCGCTATATGATATGAAAGTCCACAGCTATCTCGCCTCGAAAATGGGTTATGTGCTACCCTACGCTCTGGCTGCTTCACAAGATAATGACGCCATTGAAGAACTGGCCCGTGTATTTGGTCTCACGCCAACCGCTCTGTGTGATCAAGAGGGCTTTTACATCTTTGTGGATCTATTCCTTAGCCATGATCAAAATTACGCTGACAATGGTTTTTCTCACATCAAACGACTGTACAATACACCCAACGCAATCACAACATTGCTAAAAAAGCATAAAACCAAGGTAACTTCCTTGCTGGCGATGGAGTTTGGCGAACCGTTCAAGAAAGATAAAGTAAGTACCAGCACCTTTCGTCATTATTTGTTACCGCTGAACAAGAGAAGAAAAAATTCATTTATGCTTGTAACAGGTGCTTGAGGCGTTGCAGTCAGTGATTGACCTTATGCAACCGAAAGAACCGCTCACGCCTACACGACTTCTTTCCCGATTTTTTCTTGCCATCTTGGACAGAGTGGGCAATTTCATTACTGAGGAACGACTCGGTAGTCGCAAGACAAGTCATCCTTACACACTAGACGCCTTGATGGAAATTATGCGCATTGTCGGACCTGACATTCGCTCACATGTATTGCAGGTAATGAAAAAAAAAAAAAAATGAAAAATCAGACGATGCATCCGCGCACAGCTGAGACCACGCTGGTCAAGATGAACCATTCTCACCGGATGGATTTAGCTTATGAGTATTCTTCATTCCGTGGGGGACTTACCGTCGCGGGTGGACGAGGCTCTGCGGCTATGGTCATTACTTATCGATATTCTTCCTGCTGCCGATCTTTTGATCCATATGACGGCTATCGTGAGCGGGCTTCTGGATCTGTTTGCCTTGTGTGATCGCACCAACAAGGATCGATTGGCTACATTGTTGCGAGACCTTGTCCTGGAAAAAGTCGACCTGACCAGTTCGGTATTGGAGCGACTGCCAAAAATCCCTGATGTGGAAGAACTAGCGCCGGTGAAATCTTACATTGACACGGCACGAGAAGAAGTCACTTTAGATCAAGCGATTCCGGCCATTATTCAGCAAGCTTATCAGGGAGGGGCGTTGGAAACCCTCAGTGCTCTCGAACAGCTGCATCAGCTTTTCAAGGACCATGGCACGCTGAGTGATACGGTCGCCAAATATCAAAGCGAATTATACTCCCTTTTGCTGGAAATGTCGAGAAAACGCATGGAAAACGACAAAATTCGCAAGGTGGCCGCCTTATGCCTTGGGCTCTTGGGCGCCCGAGATCCTAGTTTACTCGACATCCATATGGCCGAAACGAGCATGATCCTCCTTCAAAATTTTACAGACAAGAACGAGAATCGTGATTTCATTTGCAACCTGATCAAACATCATTTGGTGCCTGCGTTTCATGCATCCTCGAACGAACTCGTCCATCAGTGCCTTCAATACACCTTGCAAGAGCTCTTGAAACAAGCCAATTTTGTCATCATTCTCGAGGGCGCCTCCGTCAATCCGAATGTGCAACATCACTGGATGCAATTTCCCGCTGCGGTTCAAACCATGTTGACTCCCCTATTGTCTTCATCGTTCGAGTGCAAATGGGATTTCTCGGCTCCCGCTAGTCCGATTTACCCTACGTGCCAGAGTTTTACGGAATGGATGACAATTTGGTACAATACACTCGTTGAACAAGCCCGTGGAGACGCGAAATCGCTCTTTTCCGCTTGCATCCCCAGCATCAAATCAGGGCATCTAGGCCTCGCAATTTACCTGCAACCTTACCTGGTGCTCCACGTCTTGCTCGCAGGAACTTCCAAACAGCGGGACAACATCATCATGGAACTGAAAACCGTATTGAATACCAATAGTCAAGCGTCTTCACGGTCGGAAAATATGGCCCAAGCCTCCTTTCAGGTAATATCCGTTTTCCTTTTTTTCTGCAAAGGGTTGGGTCCACTTGGCTCCTGTGACATACTGAGAAGAGCAATATTACTAGGCAACCGTTCGTATCACGGAACACTGTCGTAAATGGATTCATCGACGTCGTGCAGCGACCCAGAATTCGGTATCAAAGAAAGAAATTGCCCTTATTCAGTCATTTCTCATGGAGATCCCTAATGAACTCATGGCCATGGCTTCGTTCCGTTCTCGAGCTTACGCCCAAGCATTGATGCATTTGGAGACCTACGTGTCTGAAACCTTTCAAAATCAGGACGATATCCCATCCGCTATTCTCAGAAACTTGCGGCAAAGTTACGCTCAACTTGATGATAAGGACGATATGCAGGCCATTTTTGTCTTGCTTAAAGGGGAACTCACGCTTGAGGAGGAAATCTTGCAGTTTCAATCGTTGGGTTACCTGGACAAAGCCAAAGTGTGCTATGAGGAATTGTTATCACGTCACCCCGACGATTTATCCAAGCATACGGATTACATCAATTGCTTACGTATAAGTGACAACTTTGGTAAGGCAATACAAGGGAAAATCGATCAGCGATACAACCACAAACCTTATGCTGACGGGTTTCATTTTTTTCCGGCGATTTTGTTTCGCAGAGACGGTGTCGCTGATGGTGAACCATTACATTGAAAGACGTCCGGAATGGTTACCTCAACTCAATGTGTATCGAGCCGAAGCAGCATGGAAATTAGGCGATTGGTCAGCTCTTGAACGATACAGCCAAGTACCCATGGGAAAGACGTTTGAAGCATACTTGGCTAGCGCGCTGGCGAACTTGCGTAAGAATCGAATGCTGGCCTTCTTCTGTGATCTTGAACAAGCCCGACAAGAACAACTGGAGTATTTGTCGACAAGCAGCATGGAATCGTATCAGAAATCACTCGAACACATCTTGCAACTGCAAATCTTGCAGGAACTGGAAGACAGTCAAGTCGCTTGGGAACGTAGCCTTCGTGTCCAAGACAAGCAACCTATGCGGGATCTATGCAGTAACTGGGATCGACAAATCTCATTGGCCCCACCGTCTTATGCTCTCCAGAAAAACATCTTTAAACTTCGGCAAACCGTTTTATTTTCCCTGAGGTAACTGGGGGGAGACATCCCATGTTGATCTTGTGAATGTGCATAAATAATGAACTCGTCTGCTATTTACGACTCAAGGCCCAGCCATGCCACTTTAAATGGAAATACGTTGGATCTTTCGGTGGATGGCGGTAGTTTCTGGTTGCTGAAAGCCAGGAAAGCGCGCAAATCAGGTGATATGCCCGACGCTTTGCATGCTTTGCTCAAAGCAGAAGCCCTGGATACCCCCGAAGCCTACCTTGAAAGAGCGAGGTGGTACTGGGCCAACGATGAATGCATCAAGGCACTAGCTGTTCTTCAAAATCGACGCGATTTAACGCCGCAGGTCAGTTGGACCGCGATTTCTTGATAAAGCTTAGGGTGAATAACACACTTACGCTATTTTTGTCGATGATATAGGCCATGTTATTGAAAGCCAAGTATTCCGAAGAACTGATGGTAGAACAGAAAATAGTGCATACCATATTTCGCGAGGTGACCAAGCGCAATCCTACGTAAGTTGGTGAAGAATTGATTGATGATGGCTGTGCATGAAATTTACTCACGGCACCTTGAAGCTGGGAAAAGGCCTTTTTTAGACTTGGAAAATTCTTTGACAATGCAATGGCAAAAAGCAATGATTCTCCCCAAAAGAAAATGTGAGTGTATGAAAACGGTCTTCAATACACGGCCTGCTGGCCGCTCTGACTTGAAAGCTTATTCAGCGTCGGCTATTCCTCGCACATTGTTGGGTTCTATGTGCGAGCGCTAAAAATGGGCTCCAAGTACTATTACTATACTATGCCAAGATTGATCACCGTCTGGTTTCAGGTAGCTGATTTAATGGATAAATATATGGCAGCGTACGTATTGAAAGCTCGTGATTGAGATTACTGTCGGTGAGCTTATACCTTTATTTTTCTAGAAAATCCTCGTCTCCCAACTTGGAGAAAACATACAACAATGTCAACAAAATGATGGAGCAATATTCGCAACAAATTCCGCTCTACCAGGTATAACGAATTTATAAGACAGAGGCCCATAACATGTGATTGAACGCTTCATAGTTTATCAGCGTTTTACCTCGCCTTATATCCCGATTGGTGAAAGAAAACGAAACGATCGCCGCCATCATTCGCGACATCATTATCCGAGTATTCAATGCGTATCCGCAAACGACGGTGTGGGCTTTGCAGGGTCCTTATGATTCCGCCAATATGCTGTTACAGAAGCGGTGTCGAGAAATTTTGGCTCGTATAGAGGTTCGTCTGAATGGTTCACATTGGAGTACTGGTATCATTCTGTGACTGACGTGCAAAATGTAGGCCAAGAAGCCAGAGACATCACCCATCAAAAAAATAATCAGGGTATGTAATATACAGTATTGTTATGAATCCGTCGTTTGTCACTAATGATAGTATCGATAGCATGCTCAACAATTTACAGCTGCACTTAAAGAGCTCGCTCGTGAGCCGTTTGAGGATAATGTACGAGAAGTAGAGCTTTCTGCGTTTCCTGGCATTTCCAAGATACGCAATTTGGCTATATCTGTCCCCATTGAGAAGACGTTGATTCCATCATTGCCTGAACATTCATCAAGCGGCCATATGCCGTTTCCCGATGACCTTCCTACCGTTGCCGGTGAGTCATTCATCATTAAAAATAGAAAGGAGGATTATTGTATTTTGTATTGCCTCTCTTATTTTGATGTGATGTAGGATTTGGGAAATATGTGCAAGTGATGCATTCGTTGCAAAAGCCCAAGACGATCACCATTTTGGGCAGTGATGGCAAGCGGTACAAATTTCTATGCAAAAGAAATGATGATCTCCGACGTGATGCACGTGTGATGGAATTCTGTACCATGATCAACAAGTTCTTGAAGCATGATACGGAAGCCAGACAGAAGGAGCTCTGTAAGTTGGACAATGTGAGAAGGTCGGTTCGCTGTATTCGTAGATCGATTGACGAAGCTGTCGTCTATCAGATATCCGAACCTATGCCATTATCCCGCTCGGTGAAAGATGGGGTCTATTGCAATGGATTGAAAATCTTCAGACTCTGAAATCGATTGTGTGCACTTACTGGCAAAAGCAAGGACTTGATCCAAAGGTAATTGTTGCGGTATTGTTCCTTTGGCAACAATGAATCAGAATTCGGTAACAGGCGTACATTACAGTTGATATTTGGCATTGCCAAGACAGGACTGACCAGCAAAAATGTGAATGAGCTCGATGCAGCTTTCAGACGGGATATTTTGCCAAGGTAGATAGAGGAAGCTCTGACGAAACATCTGTTCCAAGAGTTGATCTCCTAAATCATTGGTATGGGCTTTGTTTTCCATAGGTCGCCTCCTGTGTTTTATAAATGGTTTGTTGAAAATTTTCCTGAACCATCCGAATGGCTTGCAAGTCGCAAAAGGTACACGAAAACGTTGGCTGTCATGTCCATTCTGGGATATATCCTCGGGTAAGTAGAGCGTATTACAGGATGACGGAGACAGTGTGTGTAATGACTTGCTGTTTCTAGACTAGGTGACCGTCATGCAGAGAATATTTTGTTCGATACGAGCAACGGCGACTGTGTTCATGTGGACGTCAATATGCTGTTTGAAAAGGTGAGAACAGTAAGTTTGACGGTCGTAAACTTGCATTGACGGAAAATGTCTTCTTTCAGGGCGTTAAATTGGCAGTGCCTGAAATCGTCCCTTTTCGATTGACACATAACATGACCCACGCCATGGGCACGGTTCGCACCAACGGAAATTTCCGACGATCGTTTGAACTGACGCTTCAAGTGCTTCGAGCGAATAAAACGCAACTGATGAGTGTATTCGAAACACTGATTTACGATCATGTCAACGAAGTATCACCTAGAGGTGATATATCATCCGTAAGTGGTTTTCAAAATGATAGGAAGATGGTGGGAGGCACTAAGACGTTCGTTTTATGGTACAAGAATGATATTTCTTCTCAAGTGGCCAAGATGGAGGCTAAGATTGATTCTGGTCTCGGTATCAAAGAGCAAGCTCAGAAACTCATTGACGAAGCCAGCAGTCCTCGCAACTTGTGCCGCATGTATATAGGTAGGTCACATCGTGTATAGGTTCTCCCAGCTTGACGACTGATTTCGATTCCATAGGATGGGCACCCTTCATTTAAACTATTAGCTTAATTTATTTTCGGCCTTCATTCTGGTTCATTTCTCTTGCATTGTATTATACTCGCCATCCTAAAATCGAATTTTCTAATGCATATCAACGCGCATCATAATCACCATCATCGTATCATTATGACTATTGAGGTTATTCGGATAAAATCGTCTATCATATCAAATAAATGCCTTGGTTCAACGACCTTTATAAAAAAAAAAACTATTCATCGTCTCTACGACCCAATGCGGCCATCACATTTGCAATAGATTTTGTTCCCCGCTTCTTCTTATCACCATATCATAGTTATTCAAGCCCACTGTTGCTCCAAGACAACTTAAGCTTACCCTGATAACCCTGGTAGGACGTAATGGCTAATCCACGCGATTTTAAAAAAGAATATGCGTCGAAGCGGCCAAAATCATTGAAGAGGGAAACGTACAAGGACCCACATAGTCACGTTTGAAAGCATTTTCAAGTATTTTCTGATTAACCTTGTTTGGTGAAGCCAAAATGGCTTCCGATGTGAATCGTGAATGCAAACTTTTTGAAGTGTTGATATTTTGCGTGTAGTATGTGTAATTGTATGTTTCGATTCTTCTACCTCCCATTACACGACAAAGAAGCGAATAATATTTCAACTCTGGTCATCTTTTCTTTCGCGCCTTCTACAACTAAAACGCAAGGCGAACAATAGACCAGTGTGACCGTGCGTTCTTGCATGGTCCTATAAGCCAGATCATGTAATACTATAATTCAATGAAGATGGATAACGTTCACAGTAAAATTAAAAGAAAAGGAGCTAGTATTTTTCTTTGGATTTCCATTTAAAAGTCTGCCTTGACAAAATCTAATCGTATCTCAACTTGTTCAAAAGAGAAGAAAAATGTCGACAATGCCAAAATATCATTTTCCAATATTTCAGCAAAAAAAAAAAAAAAAAAAAATATACCCTTTTTTGCGAAAAAAAGGCAAAAAGGAATTGCGGCCTATGTGGATTGAACACATGACCTTTAGATCTTCAGTCTAACGCTCTCCCAACTGAGCTAAGGCCGCTTCATGAAAGTTTAACCAAAATGACATTGAAGAGCCGCTTGTAGGAGTAATTTTCCGCGATTTTTGGTCTGTCACTCTCTCGCCTCTGATGCAAATCTTCAGATATAATGAATGCCGATTAAGCTGATGTACTAGAGGTTGTGTTGCCCTTTATTTTTATATAGGGCTTAGTGCGTGATTTGATCAATGTAAAGAAAAAAAAAGGTTAAATTCTGGCGGAGCATCAAAAATTATACTGGTTTTTTTCGTTGTCAAAATAGAAGAATGGCGTAGCAGGGACAACGCGAACGCAAGGAAAATCTGCATCCATAAACAAGAGCCCAATTCCTGCTTGGAACATGTCCTTGGAGCTTAATAGGTGCATAACTGGAATGAGCTGAAAAAAAGCAGTAAAGACTGATAACATCAGGATCTGACAGCTACTGGCCGTTTGACAGAAACCATTAAATAATTTACTTCAACGGTCACTTAGTCATCGTATATTCCGGATTATCCTAAAGCGAATCGTATATTGTAGCTTGGACTTTGGCAAGTATGAAGAATCTATAGACTTCTCTATGGATCACACATCTTAAAAGGCCTCGGATAATTAAATAATCTGCATTCGCACTGCTTTTCATCTTTTACTGTTTCCCATTAGCAGTGACATTGCAAAAAAAATGAAACAATTAGTACCAGTCAAGCGCAATGTATCGCTGACATTACTACTGTCTAACAGATTTTAGGTTTGCCACTTGACCGTCGTTTACTGTTGTCCCGTATCATGCGTATTTTCACATCCAAAGGGAAGATATATCAGCTTGGTCCAGGATAAAATAAAATAAAAATGACGCAACAGTAAACCGTTACACTACTTTAATATTTTGACAGGGCATAATTGTGCTATGGATCACTGCCAAGTGCATTTTGATTGATCAACATGGGCCAAGCAGAATATTTTAAGGATTTAAGAAACCGGGACTTTTTTTTGTCAAATACAAAATACATACGCGGTTGATCAAACTCCAGTGCAGCAATGATTAAGACTCAGTTGCAGATAAAATTGACGTCGTATATCATGCTGCATTTTCATGTATGTAAGTATGTGCCACAGAAACGTTATTGTTGGTGAATTTCATATTTACATACGTTCTCGGTTTCTAGAAGGAGCAAAGGCCAACTTGAACCTTCGGTGTTGGGACGATCGGGTAAGATCGCAACCCGTGGTGAAGGTTGTGTGACACTCAGTGGACGGCACGTGAAGTTTCGGCATCCGAAAATGAGTACCGATTTGTAAGATTTTGAAAGAAATCAGTCAGACATTACAGTTTGACAGTCCATGGGTGGAAAAGCCGGACGGGGCGATTAATCATTTTTGCTTCCTCGCATATTCACCTTTGCTTTTCTGGTTTCAGTCGTTCTTTTTTTACCTATCATAACGGGAAATGGTCAATATGCAAGCAGTTCCGGAAAAGCTCCAGTTTCATTCCGTAGAGGATGCTTTAAAAGATTTCGGTAAGTAGGGGGTTGGGATAAAAAAAGAGAACTGCGCCATGAGATGGTGTTGAAATTCAGTTTTACTGACATTGAGTTTCTAGCTGAGAATAAGTTTGTCCTTGTAATGGACGATGAGGACCGCGAAAATGAAGGTGATCTAATTATTGCTGCCGAGAACATTACAACTGCCCAAATGGCATTTTTGGTCAAATACTCGAGGTAAAAAACCCCAAGTGGAAAATGACGACTCCAAAAGATTATACAATATAAGCTCATACACGCTCTCGACAGTGGTTATATTTGCGTACCAACAACGGGGGAACGTCTAGACACTTTAGAATTACCTTTGATGGTACCCCGGAATACCGAGCTCATGCGAACGGCTTACACTGTCTCCGTGGATTATAAACACGGCACGACGACCGGCATCAGCGCTCACGATCGAGCATTAACAGCACGCAAACTGGCTGACTCTACAAGTAAACCGGACGACTTTTCTCGACCTGGCCATATCCTACCCTTACGTGCGGTGCCGAATGGGGTGTTTGAGCGGTTTGGTCACACCGAGGCGGCCGTAGACTTGTGTAAGCTTGCTAAACTCCCCCCCGTGGCGTGCATCGGTGAATTGGTTAAAGAAGATGACGAGGAAGGAGGCATGGCTCGACGAGATGATTGCATAAAATTCAGCAACAAGCATGGTATCAAGATCATCACTATAAAAGACCTCATCGCATACAGACGCAAGGTGGAATCATCTTAATACTCTTTTTACACGTTACAATTGGAATTAAAAAATACAGAAATTGTGCATAGACATGGAAAAAGGGGTTTCACTTGTATGTGCAAGGATTTACGGAGATCATCGGTCGAGTTGGAAGCCTGGGAGCTTATGCTTCAATTTTTCTTATTCGGCTAATTGTGCATCGCGCGGGTTCAAAAATGCTGCAAGATAAAAATAATAATAAAAAACATTGGAAGCATGACCATAGTCTATCACGAAAGGGACTACCTTGTACCCTCATGTCATGATAAATTCCGGTGTTTTATTTTATTTTTCTCTAAGATGAGCGTTGTACAAACTGGATAGCATAGTCCAGCAAATCATTCAAAAGACCGTCGTCTTCTCTTGGCTCTTTCACAAACACCGGGGGTCTGCCGATCGGTGCATCTACGGCAATGTAACTTCCGTCAGCAGGATAGTACTTGCCAGTCCAAATGTGACGCCATGTGGTCTCGCGATTCTCCTCCTTTGGGAAATAGACCTTGGTGAAAGAAGCCGACGGGGTGGTGACAGGAGCTACTAAGAGACAGCTACCCAGTAAAAATTGCTGATAGCTTAATTCACGAACAACAGCATCCTTTGGATAATACATGATCAGGTGGCGCATTACAGGCCACCCCTTTTCCATTGCTTCTTGGAACAGATGGTTCCGGTAAGGTGTCAAAGACGTATACAATTGAGCAGTATGAGCCAATTGTATCATGGAATCTGTCACTGAGTAAGAACGCTGTGGGAAGGATTCTGACAAAGCAAGATGTTACCTTCATGATCATAAAATTGAGCATTTTTGCCGGGTAGATCCCCTGTTTGGATATATATCATGAATTTTTATGCTTCTCTCACATACTAAAAAGAGTCATCGTTACCTTCTGCGGTTTTGAACAGCGCTGTAAAGGCAGACAATTCCATCCACCGATGCAATAATTCTCGAGAGCGTGAGGGTGGATGGTTTCCTGGCAACGCCGCAGTATGCGCGGTCGTACCGCCAATGTCGCTGTGAATCACCGAGTAACCCGAAAATCCCGCACACAGCATACCAGCGATCTGGAACGATGGAAAGGATTAATTCAAGGAACCATGCATGTGTTGAGGCCGGGTATACCTACAGCAGATTTCAAACCATGTTGTGCATCCCACGTCACGTCACGATCGTTGACAAGCATGGCATTTGTGTATCCCGGTGCACGCATATATCCACTCGTATGTACAATCGCTGTGTCCTCTTCCATATCAAGTTCTCGTACAACTTCACGATGTAATTGAGCCCAATCGTCCGCATAGCGACTTTTATAACTGTCAATACTTTCGCCAGAGTCAAACGAAATATGTCCAGCTCCCGGAATCAGATACTGATCATCCGCGTTGGTGACAATTCCTACGATCAGAAATATGCATTCAGTCGTTTGTTTACTACTCAATCCGGTTCGATTTTTTTTTTTTTTTTTTTTTTTTTTTTTTTTTTTTTTGCTTTATACCTGAAATTCCTGCTGTCCATACCCGGTCTTTGATAATATGTTTCAGCCATTGACGAGCTTCGGGATTGGTGAGATCCACAAGGTTGCCTTTGCGTTTTTCGTGATCTTCCATGATCCAATTGTATCCCTGACGGTTCTTCAACAGGTATCCCTTTTCATGAGCTTCCACAAAGACATTGGAATTTTGCTGATTGTTCTCTTTGATGATGCCATGGACTTCTACCAGCACGCGTAACGTCGTTGATTGGTTCTGATTGCTCAGTTGATCGATGAAGAGATCCCAATTAGGATACAATGCGCGGTTAATTTGCCAATCATTCTCCCCAAAGCAGTCCGTGATACAAATAGCAGCCACAGGAACCTTGAATTCTTGAATTCGTGTTACAATCTGCTGGATCTTCTCTTGTCCACCTTGCAAACTGATGATAGCCCCCTTGAAAGCCCAAGAGGGTAAAGAGACCATTCGGCCAGACAATTGTTGCGTGTATTCAGAAAGCACATCAAGCATTGAATCACCATTGAACATGCGCCCTTAAAATGATACACATGTCATTAGCGACTTAGGAGCAAGTGATGGGTCGCTTGCTCTGAAATGGCTTACCCGTCATTTGGGTACTGTTCAGACGCACGGTGACACGATCGGACTCTCTGAGATCGAAATGACCGTACTCTGAGTTTTCCAAGAAAAAGCATCGATTGTCGGTGCTAATGAATTGCGGTACAGCCACGCTCGTGGGCAGATTCTCATATGCGCCGGTCATCATGCTGTTGAATGAGGAACTGAGATGCGCCATAAACTATATACATCATATTCCCATTAACGTCCATCACGAGTTGGAAACGTGCAAGCATTAACATACACCACTGTTTTTTGAATACGATGGTCGTCGGGTTTGAATAGGAACCTTATGCCCTTTGAGACTTGAATAGCCATACTGTTCACCAAATCCGTAAAAATGTTCATTCGTGCGGCTTTCAAATGTGAGTAGAATTCTTCGATAGTCGGTCATGGGCGGTTCCGCTTTCCCCAAGGTGACCGTGAATTGCAATTGATTAGGTTGCACAGCTGTCAGGGTGAACGTGTAATCCAAATGCGTTGAGATTAATTTGACGCCAAGCCCGCCTGACAGTTTTAACGATTGTTCTTTCGCATCGTAATCGATTTGCATGACGGTTTGAAAATGAGTGCGATTCTCGTCATGCTCGATAATTCGACCAGCCTCCTCCGTGCTGACTTGGTCGTCGCCTAGAGAGCTGAATACGAATGGAATATTATGCAGAGCTGCAATTGATTTTTTTTAGTATGCTGCCGAGTAACACGTGAAGATGGATAAATAGCCAACTAGGCAACGTACACTTCCAAACGATGCGGTCTTGTTTATCCTTGATAATAAGCGCACGGGCCTCGGCATCCATACGGATGGCGAATTCACCCACATTGTACACTCGATTTGGTACGGCATTACCAATGTATAATCGTGGAGGGACATAATCTTGATTCGAACCGAGACCCACAAAGTTCAAAACGGTATCCATTGTTTTTACAGTATAAAAAATAAAAAAGGACAAAATGAAAAATAAAACTGAGGAAAAAGGAAAAAAAAATGCTGATACTAGTGTACGAAAAATTCCCGAAAAACCAACGTCATTCCTTCGTCAATGGGGTTGTAAGATGGTTTTTTTTTCTCTCATCTTAGGTGAGACGGCGAACAGTATGTGACCAGCGAACAAGTCGCTCAAAAGTAGCATTCAGTCGTTCGGATGAGGATGAAGCGTGTTCAAAGGCGGATAATTTCTCGTTTTCCGCAGTAAGGAGGGCCTTTTCATATTGCACGCGATGAAATTCGCATAAATCATCGGTATCTGCCTCCCTCTCATCATATTCCACAGGATCACGCTCAGGTGGCGCCAAAATTGTGGATACAAAGGGTGTGTCCCATATAATTTTATCCGCACGTTCTACAAAACTTTGCGCTTGATTGTAAAGTTTCGCCTTGACTTGCCATGTTTTGGCTAATGACTTTAATGATTCGATATCCGCTACTCCCAGCTCGCTCATCAGGGCCTATGGGTATTTTACCGATGTTCAATGATTTTCGTATCTTCAAGCCACTTCCCTACATAACGTTGGCGAACCTCAAGCTCTTTTGCTCTTTCTCTTAACTTTTGCTCCTCATCGATAGGGATAACCGGACCTTGTAGCGCTGTCTGCACACCTTCAATATTATCATTGTTTACTGACAATTTTATCATTGACCTCATCAATTGATTCACGACGACCTACCTCGTGCCATATATTCCCTCTGTATAGCTTTCATTTCTTCCACACCCGCGCGAGAGGATTCCAGTTGCAGTTTCGCAGATCGAAATTCGTTTTCCAATGACTGTAATACCGTGATCCACTGCAAGATTAGTTTCTACCTCTCTAAGATGGCCGACTGACGAAGGAGTAAGACTTGCCTGCATGCGTTCGTCCAGAGATTGCTTGAGTGCTTCGCAACGATCCTCAATGCGCTTCACAAGCATTTCTTGTTCTTGCTCCATTTTGTTTCTCAGCTTTTTGGCCTTCAATGATTTGGCGGTTTGAGATGGGCGGTGCGAGGAACGCGATTGCTGGTGCGACTCAAGCGATCGATTGTCGCTGCTCGATGTGGTAGGCGGCGGTTGCAGGGATGACGAGACACCCGTCGATAGGGTAGTATTACTCCGCGCTGAGGCTCTTGAGAGGGATCTGAGATGATTGATTTTGGATAAAGACTGTTCGATACGTTTTCGCGTCTCGGATGTTTCAAGTAATCGACCCAATGATGGCCTGGAGGAGTGGACGGCTGGCGAGTTTAAGATTTGATCATTCTGCGTGACAATGGCATGTGCATATTTTGCCTGCTTATCAAAAGTTTCTTCATCCATGGAGAGGGAAGGGGTGTAAGCAAAGGAGGAGGATTTGACGTGATGACGATTTGATTTTTCAGAGTCGCTGATACTGGAAGGGCGGAGTTCGGGTGCTTTGGTTGCATGATAGACAGCGGTTGGGGCGAAAAAAGGATGGTCTACCTGATCGTCCGGTTCATCCGAATCATACCGATTAAGCAAACGCTGTACTGATCTGCATTCATCAATGATTTCCCTTGGTGAGCACCATTGATTGATATTGATATTTCCAGACTTACAAACCTATTGAGGCACGCGACGACTTCGGCGAGGAAAAGGATGAGGCGAGATCTCGATCGATACTTGGGTGATTTAAGCTTTCTGTATCACTATAGTCATAGTGTGAGTCGGAAGAACGGTGGGAAGCGGCGTATGCAAAAGACATGAAAGTGATAAAGAAGAAAAAAAAAGTGAGACGACCCTGAGCGGAAATGAAAAAAATTAGCAGCAGTTTTTTGGATGCCCTCATTGTTTGACACCCACGATGGACCCACCCTCGGGTGGCTTGTGACGGCTAAATTTTCCAGGAATGGAAAAAGCCCTGGGTGGGGGGAGGCCTACTTTTTTTTTGTCAACTTTTTTTTTTCGAGCAAGGGCAAATTCTCACCACCAAGTCCCAATGTCATTTCTAAAATCCTTGTCGACTACTGCGCTGCCAATGTCAGCAGCATTAAAGGTATTCTTTCTGACATGTTGGGTTTTTTCTCCAGGTCAATATTCACCTTTTTTACCAATGTAGACGGCTTCGCTCCAGAAACGAGCATTAGCTACAGTGGCAACTCAAGGTACGACCGAGAATTCTCATGATTGGATTCGACGAATGGGATCTAAAACGAAACGTTGTATTTTTTTTTTAGCCATTCCTTCTTTCCCAACCCATGTTCAAGCTTTTCTCCGTGATTTCAAAACCAACGAACCTGTATCTATCATCAATCTTAACCGCCAAGTGTTTAATGCGCCGTTACGACGAGACATTCTGCATCGTGTAGTAGTGTGGCAACGGGATGCTATGCGTCAAGGAACACATTCAACAAAAGGTCGTGCCGATGTAACCGGTACTTCCAAGAAAGCAGCACCGCAAAAGGGTCGAGGCAAAGCTCGTGTGGGTAACCGAAAGGCACCGCAGTTCAGAGGAGGTAATGTCGTTTTGCCACTGTCATTTTAACATGGAACCATGAGATCCAAACTGTCAAGAAGAATGAATAACTCAAATTTAATTAACTAGGTGGTATCGCCTTTGGTCCTAAACCCAGAGACCATGCTACTGATCTTCCAAGAAAGGTTCAAGAGTTGGGTCTTCGTGTGGCATTAAGCGCTAAATACGCTCAAGATCAGCTGATTGTGGTGGATTCTTTGCAAGATTATGAATCGTTCAAAACACGCGAGTTGGATGGTTTGCTGCGACAAGCGTATGGTGAACCCACGACACTCATCGTAATGAACCATTGCAACAGCTACTTGGAATTGGCGGCTCGTAATATTCCCCGATGTGAAGTGATTCACGTAGAGGAGACCAATGTACTGGATTTGCTCACCTACGACAAGGTGATCATTGAAAAGGACGCCATCAATACTTTAGAAGAATCATTGTTAGAAGCATAAATAAATAAATAAATAGATCAATAATGGATGCTCTTTTTTCTTGTTGTTCGTTATCATTCGTGCCTGACATTGCTGTCTATCAATCCATGCCTTTTTGCAATCGTTTGGCTTGCAGTTACTGCTGCGGTCGGACTAGCTGTCATTGACTGAGGTATTGCCACTTTCAATGATGTTTATGCAAGCCCTAGGTCAATTGTATAAAATTGACCTTGAGAGTAAACCGCCGCATCAAGGCATGCTTCGGAATAAATTCGAGAAAAAAGGATTGCTTTTTTCCTATTAAGAGGGTTTTTTTTAGGCACGATCTAGACAGAATGGAAATTATATCCATTTTGTTGGACATGAGGGCATCTCCGTCGATCGCAGCATTTCTTTTACTTTTTCAGTGGGAGAATTTATGGCAGACACACCGATGACGTTCAGGGATAAACTGTGTAATATATACACATGGTGCCGATTCCTCACACTGATGCTGAACGTCCTATTCCTGGTAAACGCAAGAAAAAAAGAGCCAGCTGATACAAGTCGAGCCTTTTTTCTTATTTCGAACCTAGATGCATACTTTCGGTGGATTGTACGGAGCCGGGGCGAGGATTGCTGATGGTAAGGATGCAAAAAAAGTCGAATGATTCAACGCATAATAAATGTAGCGCAACAAGACGACATGTTATTGATAAAATAAAACTACAGCTCAAAAAGACAAGCTAGCGTCCATACCGGCGGAAGCAATTGCCCGCATTTTTATCTATGTATCTATGCTCTTTTGTCTCGTCATCGATCTCATTGTTATCACAACGGTAAACAGCACCTTATCGTATCTATAGAGGTGGAAAAAGGCAACCATCTTTTCCATCGGAAGCTAATCCCCCCCAAAAAATTGCCTCTACAGACCAAGCTGCATGTAGCCAATTGGTACTGGCGTCCTGGGATATTTTTTTTAGCCTTCACCTGCTGCGATGAGTTGATCACATTGATAGGGTTACTGCTGGATACAGACGAGCTACAGCAGCAGTGTTTGCAACATATTCGTAGACTGACTCCTGCGATTTCCATGCTAACCACGGCTCTGTGCGATCTGGATGTTCGAGTTAATCATATGTACAGCATGCTCGTTTTACTTCGTGATATGTTGGCTTGCGTAAGTAAGAGAGGAAGGCATGGGTGTATAACCTCATTCATACATATATTTATACGAATAGGCACTGTACGCTGGTGTAGGTCATTTCCACTTGAACCACCTGGTTACCATGTTAAGACATGAGGCATTGAATGATCCGGTATCCACACATCATCCTCTCGAATTCATGCGAACCTATAACCATCGACAAAGCCTGGCTGTCAGCGAAGCTCCTACCCTCATAGAACACAGACGATGAGATGGACAGTCTAGTTATCTCACTTTCTTCTCCCTTTCTCTCTTTTTTCTTTTTCTTTTCACGGGACAAGATGCCACCTATGTATTGACACGGTTTTCGAAATTTTTGATGCTCATAAATATATTTATCATTTTTATGGTTATCGTCGATCTCTTCGTCGATCCGATCTGTAATCTCTTCGTCTATCTGGGCTACGACTATCGCGACGATCTCTTTTACGATCAGATCGATCATCATATCGACGGTCTCTTCGTCGATGAGGGCTTTCATCGTCGTCTCGTCGACTTCTCTTGCGGTCGGAACTGTGTGATCGGCGATGATCTGATCGCGATTCATCCCGTGGTCGGTGACTCGAACGATGGGATCGTTTCTCTTTCTCTTTTGTTTCAAACACCATCTCATACCCTTCACCACGTGTATTCTCACTCTCTTCTTTGTATCGTGTACGTCGTTGCAAACCTTCAAAGCCGCCCATAGATTCGCCGGCGGCTTGCATACGCTTGGAAATCCAATCTTTGTGTAATTTTGATACCGACTGAGAAAAGTCAACGTGAATACGACGATCGTCAATTAAAACGGATTGCATCTTAAAGTAAGCCTACAGGGACAGCAGCAAACTCAGTATGGATGGTATGGCGTGACCTGGTTTTTTTTTGGATTCCTATATGTTACCTCTTCCGCATCTTCCTTGTTTTCAAATTCAATGAAAGCATAACACAGTGAATCGCCGGTTTGACGATCACGGATGATTTCACAGCTGTTAATTTGCCCAAACCGGGAAAAAATCATTTCCAAATCCTCATCTCGGGTGACAGCATTCAGCTTGCAAACGAAGAGAACGTTCTCTGGCGGTTTGACTTCAGCAAACGGTAAATCGCCAATCATTTCCAGCGTTAATGCTTGAGCTTTCGCTTCACGTGCTCTTTGAATCCTCTCAATCTCCTCGGGGTCTCCTTGTTCTTCGATTTCTTCGTCCTCACCAATACGCATGGAGTCAAGCTGTTCCTTGGTCGGTAGCGGAGACGCGTCAGGCACTTGCAATCCTTCGGGATCAGGGAATGGATCGTCGAGAATAATGGTGTGACGGATACGAATGTCGCGAAATGGACGACCCTGCTCATCGCAGAAAGCGTCGTTGATCTTGTCCAACGTATCGAATCCTTCTGCCACTTCACCGAAAATGGTATATTTGCCGTCCAAATAATCCAAATCATCGGCCAACGTAATGAAAAATTGACTCCCACTGACGCCGCCACTTTCAATGGACGCATCCGGTGCCACAGCCATGGAAACGGTGCCACGAGATTTGTGCTTCAGCTTGGGTGAGATTTCGGCAGGAAAGTAACGTTGCGCAGGTCCGTGGAGAATGCCGTAGATCGATTCGCCCTGATCTCCTTTACCTGTAGGATCGCCGGTTTGTGCCATGAAATCCTTTTGCACATTATGGAAAGGCGAGAAATTATAGTATTTAATCTTGCACAGTTTCAAGAAATTAAGCGTTGTTTTGGGACATTGTTCTGTAAACAAGTCGATCACAATGTCGCCAGCCGATGTCTCCAAGAGCACAGACTACATAATAACAAGTACACACAGATCTTGGTTAGTTTACTGTTTACAGTTGGTATCGATTAAACTGCATAAGCTTACCATAGTATTGGAAAGTAGGAAATAGGGAATGCGAGTGCAACATTTGGACAGGCCAGCGGAATTCCCGTCTTTTGACAAAGCGAGCGGGAATCCCGTGATTTTTTTTGCGTTGGTATTTCACTGAGCGACAGGTCCATTTGGCTTTTTTTGCACAGTTTATTGAATTGAAAAATGGATTGCAAAATCAAACAATCTAGTTAAAAATAATGTACGTTATTAGGAAGAGCTCAAGTGGATCTATAAATCCAAAGGAAAAACACATACAATAGATAGGCTTATTAGACGAACGAGAATTTCACTCATTTGGTTTTCACTCATCATGAAGGAGGGTTTTTCGGTGCGCAAGCCATGTGTGAAAGTTTAGTTTTCTCGACTGCTCGTTGATCATGAGCCTTAGAGTGGCAGACTTCACGGATATTGTCTGCTATCTGATACCTCTTTTTTTTTTTTCATGGAAAATGAGGATCAGCCAGAGTTGCTACACTTTGCGTTTTTCTAGTTCCGATTGATATTTTGTCCACGAAAATTTCGTGGACTGTAATTTTGACAACACCCTTGTTCTTGCCACAGTGGTTGCAACCGTTTGATTTCCGTGATCTTTTTTCTTCCTTTGCTCCCTTTGTTTCCTTTGCACGACCAAAACGTCCTCTTTCTTTTTCTCCACTATTACAAACCGCCATGACAGCTGCAGCATCTCGAAAACGAAATCGATCACCGGTTCCTGAAAGTGCACACACGATCCGTGATTATAAACGGGCCCGTCCGCAAGAAGTGCTCACTAGTCTCACTACCATTCTAGAAGACATCAAATCCACCCCTTCCTCAGCAGAGATCTCTTCAGATAAACTCGAAACGCTGAAACACCTGTTACTTCACATTGAACACTTGGCATCCGATGAAACCAACATGGAAGCAAAGCAAATGAGAGATGAAAGCGATCGATGTCTCGAAAATTGGTTTGGCGATTTACTAGAGCAATGTGAAGCCGATGGATTTACCGAGTGGGATTTAGCCTATGAGGATGACGAAGACGATATTGACCTGCTGGCTTTGGCATTAGCCTGGGAAGATTCACAGCAAGACGCTCAAGGTGAAGATCACCAAGACGACGAAGAAGACGAAGACGAAGAAATCATCATTGTAGACGACGATGATCTTGGTGTACCAGGACAAGCCCAGCTTATGTATGCCTCATCATAGTATCAATAAGGAAACAGCCCGAAACTCCCTTTGGTTCCGTCCTCTCACATAGCCTTAAAACTTTCCCTTTTTACTTCACACCTTTTTTTTCTTTTTTCGTGACCAAACCCATGAAATTATAAAAAAGTCCATCTTTTTTACCGCCCAATCTTTCACTCCACTCGATACTCTATTGCCGATCGCACTTCCATCACAGCAATGCGCACTAATGATCCTTCGTCCAGCTTCCTCCTTCTCACAGATTATCCATTCATCAACATATGACACCTTTGCGCCTGAATAATCCCGCCCATCATCTCAATGGAACCGACACAGTCAACTTGGCAGCATCCGATGCATTTACTGCTTGGGTATCGCGGTAACATAGGAACGAAAAGATAAAACATGTCACTACTGACGGGAAAGACCTTTTTTTTTCACTTTAGAATTTTTAGATATTGGGTACAAATGGTCATCTTTTTCATTTTATGGTACAAAGGGGGCGAACTCGAACTGTTTTTTTTTAATGGTGGAAGAGTCTGAGCGTAGTATGCGCAATCACCATATCGTTTTCATCGGCGGCGGCAATCACTTCAGCATCCTGGACGGAACCCGAAGGAGCAGCAATGTACTTCACACCGGAACGCTTGGCACGGTACACGTTATCGGTGAAGGGGAAGAAAGCGTCAGAGGAAACGACGGTATCCTTCAACTGGGCCATCCATTCCTTGCGTTCTTCAGCCGTCAAAGGTTCAGGGATCGTGTTGAACTTGTCTTCCCAAGCCTTACGTTCAGTACCCTATTATTTCATTCATGCCTCAATTAGGTACCGCTGACACTAGTTTTCCCCGACCCCGACCGCGCAATGAATATTTACCTCGCCAATCTCGTTGATCACGTAAAGATCGATGGCATTGGACTTGTCAGCACGCTTCACTTCCTTCTTGAAGTCGAAAGCAAGAACCTTGGGATGATGACGCAACCACCTAGACACAACCCAAGTTCGTCAGTATACACAAAGCTCATATTCTGATACTTTAAAAAGATTCGTTTACCAGTTATCAGCCTTATCACCGGCGAGGCGGGTACAGTGAATTCTGGATTGTTGACCAGCACCAAGACCAATCACCATACCGTTCTTTGCGTAACAGACAGAGTTGGATTGAGTATATTTAAGAGCAATCGTAGCAACAATCAAATCAGTCACAGCTTCCTTGGGCATCTATACACAATAGGTCGTTAATCATCACTTCCTTCTTTTTGATTTCTTTTTTACATCGCATTTTCCGTTTACTTACGTCCTTGTTCTTGGTTACAAGGTTGGAGAATAAAGAGGCATCAATCTGCACATTGTTTCTCTTTTGTTCGAGGTAGAGACCATACACTTGACGGATTTCACGGTCCTCAGGCTCGTAGTTGGGATCCATTTGAAGCACGACGTATTTACCGCCCTTCTTCTTTTGCAAGATGGCAAGAGCCGCTTCATCGTAATCGGGGGCAATCACACCATCCGAGACTTCACGAGAGATGATCTTGGCGGTAGCGACATCGACCTTGTCGGACAAGGCAATGAAGTCACCAAAAGAGGACATACGGTCGGCACCACGGGCACGAGCGTAAGCACAGGCAAGAGGAGTCAAGGGTTCCTTGAGATCATCCACTTGATAAACCTTCTTATCGGTCTCGTTCAAAGGCAGACCCACAGCAGCACCAGCCGGCGAAACGTGCTTGAAGGAAGCAGCAGCAGGAAGTCCAGTAGCTTGACGAAGCTCCTTCACAAGAGCCCACGAGTTGAGAGCATCCAAAAAGTTGATATAACCGGGGGAACCGCAACGAACCGTCACGGGTAAACGGCCTTCCTTGACAAAGATTTGAGCCGGCTTTTGGTGAGGGTTGGCACCGTAACGAAGGGTCATCATAGCCACATCCTTGGTATATTCGTGACGGAAGTAGTTGGAGATAGCGTCATCATAGTCAGCTGTGTGGTTGAAAGCCTATAGTTCCGATTTTGGGGCGTGAGTCTGTCTGTGTGAATGGGCATGCAGAACTTAATTTTTTGACGGTGGGTATTACCTTCAATGCCAACAAGTTGCGAGTATCCTGGGAAACTTCACCGGACTTGAGCTCGGCAATCACCTTGGCGTAATCGGTAGGATCTGAAACGATGGCAACGCGGGCGTGGTTCTTGGCGGCAGCACGAAGCAAAGTGACACCACCTGATAAAATTTTGAGTAACCTGTCAAACAGAGCCATACTTTTTTTTTTTTTTTTTCACAAGCTTCTTTTAGATGCTTACCAATATCAATTTCTTCCACAGCCTGGGGAATGGTTACATCAGGCTGAGCCACGGTCTTTTTGAAAGGGTACAAGTTGCAGACAACAATGTCAATTTTGTCAATATGCTGCTCGGCAAGGTCCTTTTCATCACTTTCGATGTTACGGGCCAAGATACCTTTGAAATAAAATACCAAAAATAATTCATGAGTTCATCTATTCACAGCATAGAAGAAGCTTGTTTGACCTAAACTTGGTGTCATCACTTACCACCGTGAACAGCAGGATGCAAGGTCTTAACACGACCACCCAACATCTCGGGAGCTTTGGTAATCTCAGAGACATCACTAAGCACGCACAATTTGAGTGAGTGACAACCGCCTGAAGAGGCGCCTATGGTTTTCTTACCCAATGGGGATACCGGCTTCACGCACCAACTTGGCCGTGCCTCCGGAACCCAACAGACGCACGTTCAAGGCGTGGAGGTCGCGAGCAAAGTCGACGAGACCCGTCTTATCATAGACAGACAAAATGGCTACAAGAGTTAACACGACTTTAGCATGCAATAGGCAACATATTTCACAACTCGTGACTATTACCAATTTTCTGCGACATGGTAGAGACGAAAATACAGTTATCGGAATGGAAGGAGAATCCTTGGATTTGGCAGTTTCAGTTCCCCGGCGCCTTTTTAGAAGCATTGAGGGTGGTGACTGCTGATCTTCGAATTTGTCATAATTGTCCCTTGCAAATCTGCCCCCCCAAAAAGTGTCATCGAAAGCCACCCATTATCTTATCTCCAGCTTTGGTGGGTGTGATTCCCCGCATTTTCTTTCTCGTACCATTTACCCTCGCAGGATGGTCACTAGATAGGATTACTATGAAAGTGAACAAAAATCTGAAGCACTGGCAACAACCATGCTTTTCTTTCCCCATTTTTGCTCAACATTTTTTTTTTCTTCATCAATCTAACGGAGTCGAAACTCAGATCGAAACCACCTGTCAAACTTGGGATTCTCACTGAAAGCCCCATATCCACATGTGGACAATATTCAATAGACTTATGCCTCGAAATAACCATTCGTTGATGCTTTAAGAAAAACAAAAAGGGAAAAAGGGAGAGGACCTTTTGGTCGCTGCCAGGTCAACCCATGATCTTCGTCGTTATTTCTATCTATACAATAGTTTATCTAAGAGGGGAAAATCAGTATACAGTCTACAGTCTTGAGTTTTTTTTTCATTAGGGAAGTTCGTTGTCTGCTATGCTTTTAATACATCCAGCATATCTTGGATACGACTGAATTTCTCGCGGGGTTTACCGAGTTGGGCTCCAATAGCGAATTCGGCCGCTTCAATCTTCTTCCAGTCTGCGTAAGATACTGGTCGAATGTTGCGTTCTTTCAAGAGGGCTGCCAAACCATCTGCGCCTTCCTTTTTACCAGGGCTTAACATGGGCTTTCCCTCCTTCAAATCATTCACAATGGTGTCGGCTGTTTCATAAGCGTCCGACATGGTAGACACAATCACGCCGGTGGGACCCCGCTTCAGCCATCCAGCCGTATATAAACCAGGCAACTATTCGTATGCATTAGAGAGGGAACTCGAGTGATACATCATTTTTCGTATTTTTACCTCCTCGTCATTCTTATCCATAATTTTGCCAAAGTTGTTAGGAACCCGTCCTTGTCGTTCATCAAACGGTACACCTTCCATTGGCAAACTTTTGTAGCCGATACTTCTCAAAACCAAGCCGCACGATTGGGTCTCAAACTCTCCCGTGCCAATGGCTTTACATCGATCGAAAGGACCTTCCAGTCGATTGATTTCGTATCGGATGCCTTCCACGGCGGATCCGTCCGCATTGGGGATCACTTCAGTTGGGCTACGCAAGAATTGAAGCGACCATGATTTGTCACCGTTCTTGGTTGGCGATCCCTTTTCAAGCAGGCTCATCATTCGCTTCAATGGTCGGTTCTTGCTTAGATCCACCGACGCAATCTGTGATTTCACCCACTCGGAATCCGTTTTGAACACAACGCCTGGCAATGACATTTGTTCACGCAATTCTTTGGTGGTAAACGCAGCCTACATCCGCATTTGTCAATACAATGTATGACATCGAGCAACGCCTCTTATCAATTAACGAAATTACCTGCAGTGGTCCTCGACGTCCAACAACATGGACATGTTTGATTCGACTCTTTGACAATGTTTCCAGGGCATATTCGGTGATATCGGTTTTGCGCAATTCATCAAGGGGACTTAGTAATACACGAGCAACGTCAAGTGCTACATTGCCTTGACCGATAACGACGGCCGTATCGGTTTGATCCAGAGGAAGTTGAAGGTCTCGATGACGCGGTAAGCCGTTGTACCAGCCAACAAACGCACGTGCGGATTCCACCCCATACAAATCCTCGTTGGGAATACCCAGCCTTCGATCCTCACTAGCACCATATGAAAACAGAATAGCATCATAGTGTTGTTTCAACTCGTCAACGGCTATACCGTCACTGCCAACGGTAACATTGCCCAGGAATCGGAATCGATCGTCTTCTGCGACTTTGTCAAATGTTGTCATGACATTCTACGAATAACAACTGTCAAATTCGAAAACATGAGAAATAAAAAACACCTGCAAGTTAGGTACCTTTACTTCGGGATGATCAGGGGCAACACCGAATCGGACGAGACCATGCGGCACTGGGAGAGCATCGTACATATCAATACGAGTATTGGGCCAATCTTTCAGCAAGCGGTGAGAGGTATAAAAGCCTGCAGGGCCACTACCGACCACGGCGAGTCTGAAAGGCGACACCGCGGCAGTGGACAAACTTCGGGCCAATGGCAATAGAATGGTCATGCTTGTAAAATTCGGAAGAAGCAGGCGCTCCAGGAGATCCGGGCAAATAATTTTTTATCCCCTTGTCCGAGTTTCCAAAAGTAGAAATAGTAAGGTTGAGCTTATTTTTGCATGGAGCGGAGATTGGGTGGCTTTGGGGAGTTTTTCCACCGAGTCAAGAATGGTTCAGAAACCAATATTCCTCGTTTCTTTTCATGGAAAGAAGTAAAGTCCATGACAGCGATCGTATAATAGGAAGTTTACGGGGCAGGTTACAGCATCTGTAATTAGTGAATAGAAATTGATAGAGCTGTGATGATGGTCGCTAACTTTTTTTCCAACCACAATACCGGAAAGCGAGACAGCCCCAATGGTAAATCGTTACAGCAGTGAACTTACCAAATCCAATGAAATGCGGGGAGTTATGGACAAACTTTCGGTCGGAGTTCTCGCAAACGAGTTGACCGCCAGCGGAAAAACCCACCATTGTCACCGATGTTGGACAATGACAGCATGCCAACCTCCCTCTTTGTAAAAGATATTGACTTCCGTTTTGCTTTGTCTCTCTAATACTTCCTTGTCTTCACTTGTTACCACCGTTTTGGCCATATTTCTTTGTTGTGTTCCATTTCCTCCTCCTTGGGCGGATATGCTCTGTTCAGCCTCGTATTGGGGGAGGTTATTGTGCGTGTCTGACCTTGACCAGATTTTACCCAGTTCCCATAAATCTTGCTCTCGCCTTTTCATGACAGCATCGCTAGTGTATATAACATGAGGGTAATGTGTTGTACAGAATGCAACCGCAACATCACCAGGGCGCCCGTCTGCAAGGCGTTAGCAGGAATGCCCTCAGTGATGTGCTTGCCAGATAAGTACCAGGAAATACGTTCGACTGGCGCCTTATTTATGATCTTCATGAATAAGTTGTCAGAAAGAATTCAAGGGACCTGATCCATATTATCGGGTTTCAAACCTTGAAACACTAGTTTGCGGTTTGTTCATGGACAACAGACAATGGACAATGGACAACGGACTGCGGACTACGAACACTGGTGGCTGTTTTGCAATAATCTACTGTGAACTCCAGGATCCGTGCACGATGCTCGTATCATATTGCCCCGCTGGCGTTTGCGCCAGACATTTCAACAGGTCATAGAACACCTGCTTGTTCATCACCCTGACTGCATACAGTGCGTTAAGGCCCGAAATTGACACGCACCTTCAAATCCAAGGCTGTCGGTTAAAAACCATATCCAATCGGTGCCAATCTATATTAACGACCTGGTTAAACCACCTTTGGTCTCGACAACTGCACTGACTCCAAGATGAATACATCAAAGCATTCCAGGTAATTTTACTACTGGGTTGAAATTCAGTATAAACGTTCGAATTCAATTCGACATGAACATTTTTTATTTTCGAACTTTTTTCGTTAAGCCATAGATCAAGCTATGTGCGTCTCCCAACTAAAACCTGGTAATACCATTGGCTTGCAAATGTTTTTAAGACATCAAAATTATGCGTATGAATCGGTGATCCTTGACTTTGTGTGTCCAGAAATTTATGGGCTCCAATCAAAACAATAGAGCTTTCCACTTTTTTCGCCCTAGGTGCACATTTTCTTTCTGAAGATTATTCCAGTTACTCTTGGAAAAAGGGCAATACTTTAATGGAATCATTTACAAGTTCGACGACATTGAGAATTAAGAGAGAAATGAAGCACCCTTTTTTTTGGACTGAAATAAAGGCAGTTTGATCTGAAAAGAACGACATGTAGACAAAAATGTTCTATCAGAATTCAGTAACCGTATCCTGGAATCAGCAACGGCATGACCCAGAGGTTGCAACTCTGAGGATTCCCAAAGTGCGTGGAGCCTGCTTATTGTTATGATTTGATTCCTTCTATGTCCTTGATCGGTGTTCTCAAAAAAGATGAAGCATCGTTTTCTTGGTGGTATATGTCATTACTATGGGCGCATTAGCCGTAGCCTAATGGTTGGCATAAAAACAAAAAGGAAAAACCGTAACTCGGCCCGGTGCACCTCTACAGAGGTGCTTCAAATTTATACGGATTCGTCATGAAAAGGCGGCTTCGGATGGATCAGAATCAGAACAAAAGTAATGAATGCCGTACTTTGGGACAGGATCATGTAAATCGGACCCATGGACCGCTTCCATCTTGTTCGATGCCTTTCGGACTTGAAATCATCAAAAAAGTCCGCTTGGACTTCTTCAGTTGCATCGTCCTTTTTCTTTTTCTTGAAGACGTGCGTGAAACTTTTCATAGTGAGAAACCTTCTTGTTTCTTCCCCATTCTTGCCGGGATACCCATGAATTTTTTTACGCATCGATACCATTACGGCCCATCTCTACGCCCAAATCTGGCAAAGTTAGTCTTCGACGTTTCGTTCGATGGCTGCCATTCAACCATTCAGTGCATTTGAAAAAAAAGGACGAAAAGGTGCTGCGGCAAAGAATTTTTTTTCCTCCTCTTCCCGTCTCCTTTTTCTTTCCCCAGACGCCTCTTGATCATCGCTGCCGACCGACCTGCCGATAGTACTAACATTCTGTAGGGCAGTTGGGAACATACTAACATTTTGTAGGCTTCAAGCCGCTCTTCTCTGTTCTGTTCTGCTCTGCTCTGGTCCGTTCTGCTCTTTCGGTGACGACTTGGTGCCCACTGATTGGCGTTTCAGCAAGTTTTGGCTGTACTAACATTTTGTAGGGCATGACGGGGTACTGCCATTTTTAAGGCTTCCGACCAGACGAGCCGGCTCCCGAGCCCATGGCACAGCTATAAGTTGGACGGGGGGTGGGATAGGGGGACAAGTTACAACAACTTGCCCAGCCAAGTTGTTGGTTGGGGGTCACCCGTCACAACTCATAGCTGAATGTCAAGGATACAGTTTTTTTTTCTTCATTTTCAATTGTCTTCCCTAGTTTACCTTTTTCGCCTTCATAAATTTTCCTCTAATAAAAGCAATGCCACCTTATGCGTCGCACTTGTAATACCGTCAAATGATCAAATGATTTCCATTTTCTTTAAAATATTGGAGCTACCATTGAATGAAATGACAAATGCGATTGCCTTCCAGCCGCAGCAACACTAAGTAAGCAATTCCAGGAGGTTCCTCGTAAATGCCCACTTCTGCACGAACCATTCTCCTACGGGACGTTCAGAATATTGGACCACGCGCAACAATACTGGCTATTGACAATCCCGCTCTCTGTATGTTATAAAAGCGATTGTGTACCATCGCCACTTGACGTTGATTTTCTCTGCTCCTGCCTTCGGCGTCTTGATACATAACAGGGCTGGGCTCCTTCGTAATCAATTAGTCTGAATACTTGCTATCAAAACGTGAAAAAGTATTTTGGAAATAGATTATTTTACGTTTGAAAATCTTCAGGTAGGTGAGTTGGGAGAGCAAAATGAACGGTTATCTGTTAGCTGGGAAATGGTTCTCCGGTCAGACGGGTCAATAGATGGACTTTTTTGATGTGGCTGATCGGTATACATATTGGAGGAGCTCGGGTTGCCGTGTTCAGTATCAAATCAAAGAAATTTGTGAACAGGCTGTTATTAGGCCACATTGGGCAATAATAACTAGACGCTTTTTCTGCAAGCTTGGTTCATTAACGCCTCTGTGTTGACTGCGCTTCCGCTTGAAAGGGAACTGCTGCATTTAAAATACGGAGAAGTTCTTTTTTATATCTCCGCTGTGTATTGGGAGTACGGGCAGACCTCTCGAAATAAGCCTCAGCAGTCACTGCTACAAAAATTCCCTTTGAAGCACAGCACCGTCGACTCTTCTTTTTTTTTGACGTATTAAAAAAAACTTGAATATAATGGCACATACCCCTATTGAGGATGATTCCGCTGGCAACAGCCCTATTACTACGCCCGAGGAGGAAGTGATTATGGACGAGACCGAAGAACAGGGTTCCGACGAAGAAATGGACGAAGACGAAAATGAGGAAGATTTGGTCGTGAGTGCCGACAAGGTCGAAATTGTAAGTAAAGACATAGATCAAAGTCTTGGTCACCAAAGTCCAGATAATGACATGGTCCCATCCGATAGATTGCCGGTGCCCATAGCGATCAGACAGCCATGACATTTGCCTTCAAGGAAGAAGATCATACCCTCGGTAACTCTCTTCGACACATGATCAACAAGAAGTAGGTGACACTCAGACAAACTGCAAATATTCAGCACTCATTTTGGTACTCTTTTTTTGTCAGTCCCGAGGTTGATTTATGCGGTTACTCTATTCCTCATCCCTCTGAAGCGAAAATGCATTTGCGTATTCAGACCACAGGTACATGATGACTGTCAAAGAAGCGGAACGAAAGAGCATGCAAGTGATTGATTCTCTTTGAGTAGAAAACACCACGGCGATAGATGCGTTAAAAAAGGGTATGGACGATTTATATGATCTCTGTGCGCATATTCGACAGACATACGAACAGGAACTCGCCAAGGGAGATTTCGAAAGAGTCGATGCATCCGGCGATTCAAAGATGGTGTAATTTGTAGAGCACTTGTATATTTAAACATCACATAACTCATTAAACCTCTTTATCATATGCAATACCGAGTGGACAAGTAAGTGTATGTGGGGATGGTTTGACTTGTCGTCGTCATGGGAATGTTATTGTCCAGCAATGAAATAATGATACTGCGCGAGTCTCCGTGTAATCGATACCACACCGGTATGCTTTTTTTGTGGTGGAAAATCTTCGACATGGGATAGCTAGTTTGAGAGCCTGCATTTTGACTACTAAGCAGTTGGATCGCGAATACTTGGTTAAAGTTACTGACAAGAATTACTTCACGCATGTAACCAGCCAAAGATTACTATAATAGACACAATATTGTTAGCAGAATCGCAACACGGGTAGAAAAATCGGTATAATATGATCCTGAGAATGAGATTTATTTCATGAGAAGTGCACGAGCTCTTTTGTTTCCATGATTTGTTAGGTGGGTGATGCATGAACCGCAAGCATCAGAACGCGCGACTGGGTCACGTGCGGGCGGGATGTGACGATCTTGAATTTAAGCGGCATCCAATGGCAGCTGTCCATGTTCCACGCTGGCCCACGACAGTCGACTCTTCTCTCTCGTTCCTTTTTATCATGAAGCGATATTCGTTGCTTCTGCTGGTGACCATTTTGCAGGTGTTCTTCTTTGGAAGCATCTTTGCTCAAAAGGATACGAAAAAGCAAAAGCTTCTGAAATTAGCCAAAGAAAACAACGGCCTTGTCCATCTTAATTCGAGAAGTTACAGTCAGTTCACCGAAGGCAGACGCAACTATGGTATTGTCGTGCTTTTGACCGCACTGGACGATCGTTTCCGCTGTATACCTTGCCGGTAAAATGAGGAGCTACTCAAGCAACATCATTGGCATTCTCATCTGACATGTCTACTCACTTGGCTCGCGTCATCCTAGTGAATTTGATCCGGAATACCGACTTGTCGCTTCCAGTTATCAGAAAACCCAGGATCCCTCACGAGTATTTTTTGGTCGACTGGATTTTAACGACGGTCAAGAGATATATCAAAAGGTGAGTTAAGGCAGCAAGGAACACCGTGAAAGTTGTATGTAAATTTTATCTATTATCAGCTGGGTTTGCAAACCGCACCCAATGTCTTTTACTTCCCTCCGTCCGACAGCGGCGCGAAAAAAGAACCCATCAGATATGACATTGCACGAAGGTACGCTATGACGGGAGAAATGCGAAAGGGTGGATGGTTCTCCATAAAAGGAATACGCATCAGAAGCTAACGCGTTCAACAGTGGATTCACCGCTGAAACATTTGCCGAATTTTTGACTGGAGAAACGGGAGCCACTGTGCCTGTGCACCGTCCCTTTGATTATTTCAAAGCGGGTGTCAAGATTTTCATGGTGTTGGGTCTTGCTGCCTCGATTAAATTGGCTTATGCACACTTGGGATTCATTATATTTCATAAGAACACCTGGGCGGCCATTTCCATCGTAAGTAAAACTGAACTGTGGTGTGGGAGGGGGAAAAGGCCCGAGTCAATCTCATTATGTTATCTACAGATTATCGTCTTGGTAATGACTTCAGGTCATATGTGGAACCGTATTCGCAATCCGCCTTACGTGATGCCAGGTCCCAATGGAAAAATCAACTATGTCGCCAATGGGTAAGAGTCGTGGACGGAGAGGCAAGAGAAGTGCATTGTTCATCCAATACTAATTGCACTTTTATTCTCCCGCTTCCAGATTCACTCAACAGTTGGGCATGGAATCACAAATCGTCGCCAGCATGTGTAAGTACCTGAGCAAAAAACGTGAATAAGCGTAGGATGAATTTGTATCTAAGCAAGTTTTCACAGATGGCGTGCTTGCTTTTGCAGTCGTCTCACTGGCGGTGTCGGTTCCCAAATTTGATGATAAACTGCGTCAACGAATTGGCGTGTATATCTGGATGGGCTGTATTATTATAGTCTTCAGTTGTTTGGTAAATATGTTCAAGCTTAAGAATGGTAGTTATCCATTCAGTCTTCTTTTCTGAATAAAGGACATGAAATGATGAATAAACAAAATGCAATCTTCTAAAATATAATAAAAACACAGAAACTTGAGAGGGTAGAGCAGGTTTTCTAGTTGTGATGAGACCGTCTGATACTGATACCATGACAGCGTGATGGGGCAGAAATTCGAGAACCGGGATGAAAGCAAAGGGTATTCAAGAAAAAAAATGGCTGCTTAAGCTTTCTTTTGTGCGGGCTCCTTGTTGCTGTCATTGGATTCGTCGCCACTCGCATCATCGTCCTCGTCCTCGTCGTCATCCTCGAGATCACTTTCGAAGTCGCTAAAGTCGAAATCACTGTCGTCAAAGTCTTCCTCCTTAATGCCGGAAACATCATCACCCCGTTCAAGTTTGCGAAGATAACTTCGCTGTTGTCGCAAAGACATTCTCGATAACAAGCGTTCCAAGCTTTGTTGTTCCTTCACAAGATCGGCATCCGTTTTGATCTCGGTTTTGCTGTGTTGGTAAGAAAATGAGCTCTTCCACGTTCGATTACGGTAGGCAACGAGAGAATAAATAAAAGAAAACTTACTCTGTAATGACTTCTTTAGATTCAAGACATTTGGCGCAAACCTTCTTATCTGTGGCACACTTGTTGCAAAGCACATGGTAAGCTTCCTTGATCGCTTTCTCCTGACAGTTTGTGCTAAAAGAAAAAAAAAGACAAGGGAGGACGATCCTCGATTAGAAATTGGCTGAGAAATGCAGATTTGTTTTCTATGAATTGGATTGACAGTGTTACCATCGTTTGACGGATGTTAAAGGCTTATACTTTCTGTACTTCTTGCGCCAGAGAATGACATCGGTACAACGTTGACATAAACCGTAGACGGGTAAAGCGTTGATCTCTCTCGACTTTTTAGAGTTTTTGTTAGGTTTCCAAGCAGTCGTATTCTGATGCGCTTGGCCTTTCTTCTTGTTCTGGCCCTTTCTAAACGTGGCCTTCTTCTCGTACGTCGACATGGTCAATAAAAATGGCTCTGAATAGAAAAAAAAATTTGCGAATCAGACTTTTTTGGTCCCAAAGCTTGCCAGCGGTGCCTGATGTGACGGTTTTCCCTTTTAGGCCTTGTTCAATCGTTCATTGGAAAACGCCGCAAGCCTGATTATTGGACAGCAACCGATCGTTTCTGTCCTATCCATTGATTATTGATGCGTCTCGTCAAATTGGATCGCTTTATTATATTGTTCTTCACATGTAACATCTTTCGATGCTTGAATTCCTATCCTTAAAAAATACTAACGACAAGAATCGGTGGCGTTATCGCATTATCGCTTATCTGCACTTCCCCTATTTCGCATTTGAGCCACAACCAGTGTTCATGCTTGCTTTCAAAAGCACGCTCACTGCTGCAATGCCGATTCGTTCCATAGGTTCTTAGATTTTTGTTGTTAGGTGTCCCAAAATTACACGTATTCCAGCTTTCGACAAGGTTTCAGCCTCATCCTTAGACAAAAAGTTCTCCCAAGGAAAAAGCTATTACACAGTTGAAACGTAAAATGGACATCTGCAACGAACGTTACGGAATTGCTTATTTGGTGTCGTTGTGGCTGAGAGGCAATCGCATTTGTCATTTTCATTCATTGGTAATTCCAATACTTCAAAGGAAATTTTTTGATCATTTACGGTATTAAAAGTGCTATCCATAAGGTGGCATTGCTTTCTATTAAAGGAGAATTTGAATAGGAAAAAAGTAAACTAGGAAAGAAATTGAAGCTATTGTATCGTTGGCATTCAGCTATGAGTTGTGACGGGTGACCCCCAACCAACAACTTGCCCAGCCAAGTTGTTGTAACTTATCCCCCTATCCCACCCCCCGTCCAACGTATAGCTATGCGATGGGCTCGGGAGCCGGCTCGTCTGGTCGAAAGCCTACAAAATGTCAGTACCCCGTCACGCCCTACAAAATGTTAGTTCAGCCAAAACTTGCTAAAACGCCAATCAGTGGGCACCAAGTCGTCACCGAAAGAGCAGAACGGACCAGAGCAGAGCAGAACAGAACAGAGAAGAGCGGCTTGAAGCCTACAAAATGTTAGTATTGTCCCAACTGCCCTACAGAATGTTAGTACTACCGGCAGGTCGGTCGGCAGCGATGGTCAAGAGGCGTCTGGGGAAAGAAAAAGGAGACGGGAAGAGGAGGAAAAAAAATTCTTTGCCGCAGCACCTTTTTGTCCTTTTTTTTTCAAATGCATTGAATGGTTGAATGGCAGCCATCGAATGAAACGTCGAAGAAGACTAACTTTGCCAGATTTGGGCGTAGAGAGATGGGCCGTAATGGTATCGATGCGTAAAAAAATTCATGGGTATCCCGGCAAGAATGGGGAAGAAACAAGAAGGTTTCTCACTATGAAAAGTTTCACACACGTCTTCAAGAAAAAGAAAAAGGACGATGCAACTGAAGATGTCCAAGCGGACTTTTTTGATGATTTCAAGTCCGAAAGGCATCGAACAAGATGGAAGCGGTCCATGGGTCGATTTACATGATCCTGTCCCAAAGTACGGCATTCATTACTTTCGTTCTGATTCTGATCCATCCGAAACCGCCTTTTTATGACGAATCCGTACAAATTTAAAGCACCTCTGTGAGTTCGATTTTTCCTCTTTTTTTTATGCCAACCATTAGGCTACGGCTAATGCGTCCATAGTAATGACATATACCACCAAGAAAACGATGCTTCATCTTTTTAAGAACACTGATCAAGGACACAACGCGAGAAACAGGCGTATATCGTCGTTAAAAATGGCCAAGGCGATGAATTGAAGATCATACAGTACGCTTCGGTTGGGCGGTAAGCTAGGCAAATGAACGCTCGTAGGAGAAATTTCCACCTTTTGACTAGTAGCAGCGTTGGGTCTGTTGCTTAAGTCTAAGCATCCTTCGCCTAAAAAAAAGTGGATAAAATAACGAGCATCAGTCGCCCACCCATACTTGGTGAAAATCACCTTGTTGCGAAAATTCAGGGTCAGACCGGTCGATTTGGTTGGGATTGAGTCGTGCGTAAGCGCGGAAAAAAAAAGACCAAAAGTGATTCGAATAACTGTTGGCAACAGACATGGAAATTTTGTAAACGCTTTTTTCTAAGCTGTGGTATACAACAAAATCTTATGGGCTTATTCTCAATTTTTTCCCTTGCCATATTCCGTATAGATGACCTGAAAAAGAAAAGGGCCGTCTACAGTGCCTGATTGGTCAATGTCAGGACAAAAGCTCTTCGCGAGGAACTGCTCTTTCAGAAGGAACTTGCAGGTTGACCAAGCGTGATAAACATTACTTTGCTTGTTTGAGTTTCAAGGAATGAAGGCGTGAAATTTCTATTTTCCGTAATAGCTAATCGTACATCAGGCTTTGTTGGATCTCAAAGTCACGATGGTCGTTTGTTGCTGCAGCATCAAGACTAGCAGTAGGACGTACCTCAACATTCGAGAGTACGGTGGTTCTTCCAGAATTACAAAGCAAAGCTTAGATATGTAACAGTGAAAGGTTAAGAACGTCAGTTAGACGCAGGGAAAACTCACCAACTAATCAATTTCTTGTTCACAAGTATGTCTGTGGGAAAGAACAGAGATCGATGATTGTGGAATTGGTCGATTCAATCACAAAATGGTATGTAATAGATAAATCTCGGACAGTCCTGGGATTGAGCGGACAATCACCGTTGCTGGATAGAGAATGAGTAGGACTTGCGCAGGAAAGGCAAGGCATTTATGCAGTATGTCAAAATCTCATAGCAAGGTGTAACTTACTGTGCCTGATCCAATTGTTTTATGGATTACCTTGAATGATCAACAGCTCTTATCACCACAGCGAATGTGATACTTGTTACACGGCACCATTTTAAAAAGGCGATGGATTTTCGTCCGTGACAAATATAAAACTCGGGCAGAATAGTTTGTTGCTTGCAAGATAAACAAGAGACTGTCAGCTGCCAAAAGAAGAAAAATCAACATTGGTCAATGAAGACCGATACTAAAAGGTGTTACAGAAGCCTGCAGTGTGGACAAAGTCACTTCAAGCATTTCGATTCGCATTGGGCAAGTGCTGGGAAGAATGTCGAAACGGAGAACCTATGTGATGGACGCCAATGGCTTTATAAAATACCCACAATGGAGTGAAAACGATAATGTAAAGAAGTAAGGTCAAAAAAAATATGCAACCTTTCTACCGTCAAATGCAGATGGGCATTGCTAGAGAAAAAAAAACTCCTGCATTACTCCATATCGATCCACATCTGTTCACTGTCAATTCGTAGTAACTTTGGAACTCCCTCTTGGTGTTTTGGTCCCCAAAGTTTGCCAATTTGCATCCCTCTGGTGATTCCATTAAATCGCTCGTTTAGTCAAGAGGATAACTACGTCTTTATCCTAAAAACCCAAATTAGCATACATCAAAATTTCTTCAAAATTCATGCTTCCCACCTCGTCATTGATCTGATCTAGTCCCCAATGTTTTGACGTCAAATATTTCATAGGTTCGCCGCCTCAATTTTTTTTTGGTTGAATCTCACACTGTCACTTCTTCGCTTTCCCTTTTTTTCTACCTCAGTAACCGTATCATGGATACATGGGGGGGAACAGTCACGCATAAAAAAGTTTCCCCATATTGCTGGCCTTTTGGTTCCCTTTTTTTTTCTGGCAGGTTGAAAAGAACGTGAATTATTGGGCATGTCTAGTGCGACGAATCTTTCTCCTCCTCACAATGCGAGTCCGGTTTCTCACGATACACAGAACACAGTGGATGCGGAATCGGCCTCATCGCCCTCATCGCCGAAAAATTCCATTGCGGATGTCGACGAAAGCGATCTCACTTCTCGCCCTTTAGAAGTTGGAGCCAAGATCATCTCCACCAAAAAGGCTGCCCAAGCTCGCTTGCTCAAAGTGATGGCCGACATGACGGCCGGCAATCAGGCACTGCGAGAAGCTGAAGATAATCTCAACCAAGCCAAAGATGCTTGGATGTCGTTTCAGTTTGCTACAAAAGACGATTCAACTATGCCTGCCACGGTCTTGGTGGCCAAAGAACTTCCCGTATTCCAAGTCGAAGGAGGACCGATTGCGGACAGCAGCAAAACCGTTTACAGTTCGGTGGAAGCGTATGTCGAAGTGTTTGAGGAACAACTTCGAGCATATAACATGGTACCGATGGATCAGTACTGGGAAGATTTATTCGCCATGTCTTGTCATGGACGCCAGCAGATCTGGTTCAACCTTACTCTTGCCAAACATAATTACAAATGGTCAGAGGTGTGCGATTATCTGGAACGCGAATTCAAAGATCCTTTGTATCTGTGGTATAAAAAAGCGGAATACTACCATTTGACTCAACAACCCAATGAACCCATTGCGGTTTTCCTCGATCGATTCTTGTCTTTGTCCTACGAAGCCGACGTTGAGGAAAATTTGCAAATGGCATACCATTTCGTATCTGCTCTGGATGACTTTTCCCGTATGATGGCTTGGCATGTGCTCGTCAGCCATTTTGGTTCACGATTGAAAAACATTACTTTTGACCAAGTCACTAGCGTCTTGCTGCCCTATTACGAACCAAAAACCGCCGGTCAACCGGCTGCCGTGGCAACAGAACAACAACCGCCTTACATAAATGACATTCCTTTGGAACATCCATCGGCGTCCCCAGCGCCTCCCATGACCCCTCCACCAAGACACGTTTCACCGGTTCCCAGACCCACTTCACCAGCATCACCCAGCAGGATAGCTTCACCACCTCCGCGGTCTCACTCACCGTCTCCGCGATTCATTTCACCCCCTCCAAAGTATGATGTGGCATCCCCGAGGTTCGATTCGCCATCTTCCAGATTCAAATCGCCAGATTTGAGAACAGCATCACCCATTCCGCCAGCTTCGAAACGGCATTACACTGACCATTACTCTGACCGTTACCCTGATCATTACTCTGATCATTACTCTGACCATTACCCAGAACATTCCACCGATCAGTACACTGATCAGTACAGTGACCACCACAGTGATCATGGTAGTGAGGCTACTTATATTGGCGTTAAGCGTCCACGAATCGAACCTGATGATCCTTGTCCTATTCATCGTTTCGGCCGTCATACCAAAGGTGAATGTCGAGTGATTAACGGACCCCTCGAGCCATCTCGCAGCAGTTACAGCAGGAAACGGCCGTTATGTCGATACTGTTTAAGGGAGGAATATGTGAGAGGGCACTCATGCTGGGAAATGCGAACCGCCAAAAAGGAAGAAGCACTCGCGAGGAAAGCCAATCGCAACCGAAGCTATCGGTCCATCAGCCCGTAAGTCACCGACGGGTAGGGTCAAAAAAGAAGGAGATCCAATAAGTTTTGTGAATGTCGATGCCCGATTTGATAACCTTTCTCCCTCTATTCACCGGAAGCCTAGAGAGAGTCCGCCCTCATTTGCACCACCTGGCTGTCATCATCAATGCATAGAGTTTTGATGAATTTTGTATTTAAATTGCACACTATCGCCGTGATAATTGTAAAGAACCACCCACCACCATGTATAGCCCTCGATCGTCGTATTCGTAACGATAGCAGCGATAAACGAAAAAAAAAGTCACTGTTCATAATACACGCACAGAAAGTTAAAGGGGATGGTCTTCTTTACCATAATGATGTTACTCTGGATGATGATTAGGTTTATTATTTATGCTTGCTAGGTTTTCCATGCTGATTCTGATTTACAATAGAGCGTCGGTACGAGGAGTAAACCTCACCTTATAAGGCGTGGGTAAGATGACCAATCCAGCATCCGTGGCATCATCCAAACTGACGTGAATGGGGTTACCGTTGTTATCCAATTCGGGCTCAATGACACATTTAGCGAAAATGCGAGTCCATGTGTAAAAAAGCTCGGTTTCAGCCAGATGAATTCCCGGACAAAGACGTCTGTTGTTCAAAAGCAAAGGTGGAATATTTTTAGGCATCCATAAGGTGTTTTCGCCACACAATAAAATCCTCATTACCTGCCCCAGCCAAAGTTGAAGTGATCCCGTTTCTCAATTTTTCCATTAGCGGCAGCCATCATGGTTTGTGTATTATCGATATACCGTTCGGGGATGAACTCCGTTGGGTTCGGGAACCGTTTCGCGTCTAAATGAACGGCATTGAAGTTGACTGTGATGGCCGTGTTTTTCGGAATAAGGTAGCCGCGACACTCAACTATGATTCCTCGGGTTAATAACAGATATCCGCATGGTATTACCCCCAGACCGCTTCTCACTACTATTTACCGTCTTCTGTCGTTAGATGGGGGATACCGAAAAGGCTGATAGGGCGATAACGGAAACACTCTTTCTGGACGGATAGCAGATAAGGGAACGCGTCTCGTTCAGTAAAATTAGGGAATCGATGGTGCTCCTTAATGAAAGCATCGACTTCATCGCGAATCTTTTTTTGAACCTCAGGGTGCTGTGACAGGATGAGGAACGCCCATGATAATGTCACCGAAACGGTATCTGAACCGGCACTGAGGAGGTCATCTGTGAATTTTCGATAAGTTGGTGCTTCCTGATACAATTTCCATTACCAAGGGCCCATTACGTACTTATAGTTACCAGAATATCGTCTTCGGTCAAAGCATACTGTGAATCATAAAACGATTTGACGAAACAATCCTGTTCCCCTTGAAGAGCTTCGGCAATCAGGCGTTTAAAGGTAGGATCACGTTTGTTCTTGATAAAGTCCTCCATGTTTTTGATCTTATTGGAAAACAAGTTCATGAAACTTAACAGCGGTAGGAAAGTGCTGATATCGTTGTCGACGGCCGCGCGCTTCATTCCTTCATCAACGACATGAATAATTTCTTTGAATAACGGGTCATCGACAGATGTCACTCTCTTCGCCAAAGTCGTGGTTAGTATCACGTTCAACGAAAATGCTTGCAACGATTTCACGGGGTTGATTCCGCCTTCTCTCTCGGTAGCTTTCATCAAACTTTCCAAAAGCACGTCGGCCTCGTTCTGGATCAGGTCGTCAAATTCACCGACTCTTTTTGGAGCCAAAATCGAGAGAGCTTTTCCAATAAAAAAATGTCTCTGTAAGTCGACATGCCAGTTCGTTCTTTGTTTCTTTTTGCCGATAGTTAGTCAAATGCTTACCTGCTGTTCTCGTTCGTTTCCAGTTGGTGTCGGACGAAGCAAACACAATGCCCCTAATGATAGTCACACATACGTGAATAGGTCCATCTATGTAATTCAGTTGATATATTTTCGTACCTTCCCTTAAGACTGTAATAATTGGTAGTAAATGTGTGAAACGTTCGGGATGAGGTGACACTGCCTTTGGTGACGAAAATTTCATGGGCGATTTCGGCGTCGCTGATCATAACATAAGGTAACACACCCATGTTGACTTGAATAATGGGTCCTACGAGCCGAGCATGAGGTTCATTAGTCATCCCATATCATTCATTTTGCACTTACCTAGTTCTTCATGCCACTTTGCCATCAGCCGAGTGGGCATAGGGCCAAGAGACAACAAGTGACCTGATGCATAATTGTCAGTGATCGTTTTTAACGCGTTCACTTGGTGAAGGAAAAGAAAAGCTTCAACGCTTACCGAAATAGGGCCAACCTCCTTCGGCAACAGGGATTTTCTTGTACGGTGAATCGGAACGACGACGGAAAGTAGCATAAGCAGCGACAGCCGCTGCAGCCGCCACGCTAACAATGGGACCGATATGCTCACGCTTAACAAGTTCTGACAAAGCCATGGCAAAAAGAAAAACGTCAAAAAGCAAAAAGGAGAAGAAAATAAACAGGAGCCAGTATTTATAGGGCGCTGTAAAAGTTACACGTTAGACTGTTTGTGGCACATGAAATATGCATTGAGTTGTTGATCTCTCCAAAGTTCCGTGCGATAACATGCAGCAGGCGCCCACATCAGCGCTACGAGTAACTTTTATCAGCTGCAAGGCGTTCTGTTACTGACTTTTGGCATCCCCCATGAATTGTCGAACATTGAAAGGTCCATAAAGTATACCTTCATTCCGCAGCTTCGTGTTTGAATTAACAGTGATACGTACCCGTATTGTAAAACAGGTTGTGTATCCTCACCTTCATCTGCGGCTCAAATCGGCGTTGCACCAGAATCCTCAGCCGCTCAGATAACTGTTACTATTTGTTTAAAATTTTGATTTGTGCATTCGCATCACTTTATCGATGGCCAACCCAGGTGGCGTTCTCCTGCTTTGAGCGTCAATGCCGAGGCTTGTCCGTATGACATGCGCGCAAACTCATTTGATCACATGAAAATGATATTTCAAGTTAGTAAACAACGTCGATCCATTTTTTTCACAAACATACAAACCTTTAATCTGGTTTATTTTTAGGCGGCTTGTCAACGTTTACGAACGGAATTTATCTGTGAACGACTAAAAAGATTTAACGCCGCCATACCCGCGAGTCATCGCGCCCAGCTGTCCAAACAAGAGCCAAAAAAGTATCATCCTAATCATTTTTCTCGAAAAAGATGAAAAGAATGTGAGTACTAGGTTTTATTGATTGTATGATTATCATGAAGAACAGATCTGACAATGATCCGCCAAAAAAAAAAAAAAAATGTAATGCATCAAAAACAAAAAAAGAGATATGCTAGAAAATCTGAAGGGGACGCTGTCAAAGCGAAAAAATAAAGGAGAAAACCTATTTAATCCCATCCACCGACATCCAAGCCTGTACTGGATTCTTGTGTTGTGCTGTTGTGCTCTAATGCGCTGAGTACATCGTTCTTTGGTGCGACTGATTTGGCCTTCTTTGTCTTGTCAATCACAGACACCACACCGGTTCGCACTTCAACTGGCTTGGCTGAGGCAACCACAGCAGAGGTGGTGCTCTGTGCATTTGCAGTTTTCTTTTTGCCACTCTCTGCAGGTGCTGCAGCTTGAGCCTTATTGGGGACAGCCGTCGCCGCGTCTTTCTTGGCTTCGGAAGCAGGCTCTTTAACAAAGAAAGCATCGGCCTTCTTCTTTTCCTTGGCAGGTTGAGCTTTCTGTTGATTTTTGGATCCATCGGCTGCCTTGGCCTCTTTCTTCTTGGTATCACCACCGCTAATTTGACCCTTGGCATCGGACGTTTTCTTTTGTGCACCGTCGCTCGCCGCACCCTTTAGCTTTTTGTTTTGCTTCTTTTCGACGTCCTCTGCCTTTCTCTTCTTCGCATCGTCCTCATTGTTAGGTTTCGCTACTTTTTTCTTTGCTGGACCTTCGGTTTTTGCGTGCTTGACAGGTTGTTTGCTACCCGCATCGTCGTTCTTTCTCTTCTTTGAGACCGACTTGTTCGTCTTTGCTTCGGACGTTTCATCATCCTGACCATCGTCTGCGGATGCTTCTCGTTTCAACTTTTTGTGTCGTGGCTTTCTCTCCTTTGGTGCACTTTCTTCTCCATTCACCTTTTCCAATTCCTTCATCTTCTTTTCACGTTTGAGACGTTCCTTCTTTTCCATCAATTTGGGATTCGATTCCTGTTTCTTCTTACGCTCCAAAAATCTGGGATCGAAACGTTCACCATCCAAAATACGTAAAGAAGGAATCAAGGCCAAAATCTAAACAAAACGATGCTCAGTTGATGAACAATGATTATCTAGTACTGTGATCTCCAATGTTTACCTTTTCTCGATATCCTTCCTTGGAAGCAACAGGGTTTCCTTTGAGATTCAGATTATTCAATCGGATCAACGAACCGAGAGGGGCAATATCACTTTGGGAAAACACATGGATCAGCCATCAATTCATAGAAAACAATCAAACCTGTGTAAAAATAAAAGCAGTACCTCCATTCTGACAATAAATTATTGCCAAAATCGATAATTTCGAGGGCGTTGCAGTTTCTCAAGGAATCGGGTATCTTTGTGATTTTGTTGTCGTTGAGTCTCAGTTCCTTCAGGGACTCATTGGCCGATAAATCCGGGATTTCGCGCAAGACATTGTGAGCGACGGATAATTTGGTTAATTCCGTCAAGTACGGAAGACTCGGCAGTTTCTCGATTCGATTATGCGATAACACTGGCTAAAGATTAGACCCAAATACACGGATAGAAGAAGATTTGCTCTTATGAACACTTACCAATGGTATTCAGGTTCACGAGGTCAAAAATGTTATCGATTGTCTTGATGGTGTTGTGACTCAGAATGAGAGCTTTGAGTTCGGTCAGTTTGGAAACATGGATACTGATACGATTCAACTGATTATGGCTCATGTTAAGGACTGGGATCAAAAATGGGTGTTAGACATGGAAACATAAATTCGCTTGGTTGAGACTGGGCACCCACCAAAAAGAGTCTTGAGGTTCTCAAGACCTTCGAAACTGTCGAGTTGATTGTGCGCCAAGTTGAGCCATGTCACGGCGGCCAGGTAGCGTAAGCCAGAGATGGAATGTTCACCAGACAAGCTGTTGCTGGTCAAATTGAGTTTACGCAAAGACACGCAAACGGAAATATCGTCAATGTGAGTAATTTCTTTGTTGCTCAGGTTGAGATCCTTCACATCCTGAAGCGGTTGATCGATCCACTCGGATAAAGTGGCTGGTGTTAACTTCATAATGTATCTAATAACAGATTCTCGAGGTTCGCAGCGAAGAAGAAAAAAAAAAAGGCCAGAAATCTTTCAAGCGCGAGAAAACGGTCACAAAAAAGGACTGTAAAAAAGCGAGTAAAGAATCCTGCAGCCGGTTTTTTTTATCATGCATACTTGCTTTGCGACTGTACCTCATTTTTACAGTTTCATATTATCCTCCAACAACTTCAAAGCTGCATACAGATGTCTATATTGACAGCTTCATACCAGAAACGCAAACCCATGGTTGATATGGCTGATGAGTTCAGCAATGTATGCTCTTCGGGTTGCGCGAGCCAGCTGGCAACCCCGAGGAAAATATGGCGTAGAAACGCAGAAATAACCATAACAATGACTCTGCATTTAGAGGTTTCTCTTATACATGCATCTGCACACAGAGATATGTGGCAAACTTTGTAAGGTTTTTTTGAATTCAAAATATATTCCAGTTTCCACAATCTCCACGGTACAATATATAACATATCATGTTTATACATTTAACTTTTCCACTTGTCCTTGGCTTGATATAGTAGTATGGAGAGATGATATGATCCTTTGCTTTGGTACGATTTACTAATGTGAACATGACAATCTGATAGCGCCTGACAGGATGATTCTAAGATCAGGAGTTTCCGGGTGGGCTTGCTAGGACATGATATGATCCTTAAATAATAACACAGAGTAAAGAAACAGTTTCCTTTTGTTTACTCACGAATAAACCGCATTATTTTCTATGTGAGGAACAATTTTCTGGGACGAGGACAGTCATCAAGGAGATATCCTAGGAAACAGCAGTGATCTACCGATAATCTTTTTTAGATTCATGCAGTCGACTGCCTTTTTGGGTTCGATAGCCGAACGTATACCATATTGGATTCGTCGCCTAATACCTTATTATGGCAATCGACAGATCAAAACGCCTTGAACGACTTGGCTTGGGTAAAACGGTTGAAATCTTTAACTTTCTCTCATCATCAATAAGCGCATGTCAATATACAATCCTCTATATTTAACGCTTTCTCGCATGATGAATAGAGGAGTTTTTCAATGCAACGTAGAACATGCGATTGTGCGAGGTTATGTTGAACTGCAGAAAAACAATGCGTCTGCCATTGTTGTTGTGGCACATTACAGTAACAGCAACACACTCACACGTCTAACTTGTATTACCCACCTCTCCTTGGGTTTTGATCTTTTTCTTTTCTTTTCATCCCTCATATTTCCGGTCAATATAGTGTCTCCAGTTTGTGAAAATTGTAAGCATTGCGCAGTTCCATACTTTCAGTAAAAAGTTAAAAGCGACGGATGGAAAGAAAGATTGTGATGTATTGATCCGTTATTGTACAACCTTTTATGCTGGCAAACTATGGGTGGAATTTGTAAGCAAGATTCCCAGGGTATGCTATAGAATCTGGAAAATTTAAATTGATCGATCTTTTTTTCTATGAAAAGAATCTCGAATGTTATTTTGCCTTGATATACAGAATTCTATACATGTATGATAAAAAAAAACCGTGCGTTCAGAATTACTGGCGGAAAAGATCTAGCTGCGATCACAGTATCTAGAAATCAGAAGCTTTCGAAAACATCCCTCTTTTATCTATTGGTTACGTTCTTTACGATTAAAAAAAAAAACAAACAAAAGAGGAAAAGAAGAGTGAATGAAGGATGGGGTTCCAGGCACATGTTAAACGCGCGGATAAATTTTTGATTTTGGCATGGAACAAAGCTCAAACTCTATTTGCATTGCTTGAGAATGGAAAGATACCGACGCGCGCTTAATTAGCAATCTTTGTTTTACACCTCATGAACTATTTCATGCGCATATGTACTTTTCTTATATATACCAATAAAAGCTTACATTTGATAATGGCACATGGTTGGAGATATGGTTGGTGAATGCTACCAATTACCGTCTTGGTTTTCTTTTGTAGGCCATGACGCAGTGGCTATATACCGAAGAGGGGATTGCCAAAAACATGGCTTGAGCGAAACGCCGAAATGAGGTCCGACTTTGACTCTTGAGGTGATCGATGATGCTGAGTTTGTGTGACTCGTGTTCATTTCCATCGGCATCTTTTTTAAAAATCTCGTCCAAAACCCGGGCATTGGTCAAGTGGATTTTCTCTTTTGCTTTATTTTTCAATCTCATTTTTATCATTGATGCCTTCCAACACTATACAGGAACTTGCCAAGTCGCTCGGCTATGATCTTTTGTCGGTGGACTTCGCCAATGCGTTAGATAAGCAGGACAAGCTGGCTCACTTCCGTGACGAGTTTGCTATTCCTATTCGTCGTCAGGTTTCAGGGGATCATCCTGTCGTAGGTAGGGCCAACCTCTTCGCCTTCATCGAAATATTTTCTTCTTCCTCCGCGGGTTAACTGAATAATATGATAGCCAATGAATCGGATCTCGATGAACCTTGCACTTATCTCTGTGGTAACTCGCTCGGTCTGATGCCCAAGCGTGCCCGCAAACTTGTCGAACAGGAATTTGATGCCTGGGCTCAATGGTAAAAGAATAGCTTTGGAAAGGGCGACCGAGAAGGCGGAGAGACGCAGTTTATTAAGAACAGTGGGACTCAATTTCTTTTTTCTTGTAGCGGTGTGGAGGGTCATTGGAACCATCCTTACAATAGACCTTGGGCAGTGATTGATGAAGCTGTCAAGGATTCGCTTGCTCGAGTCGTTGGTAAAAAGTCGTGCCTTTTATGCATTTTTGTTCCTGTACATTATGGAACTTTGTTTTTCTCTAACGGAGGGTTTCCATAGGCGCCAAACCTATTGAAGTGTCACCCATGAATACGTTGACCGCCAATGTTCACTTTATGTTGGTGTCATTTTATCGTCCCACTGATACCCGTTTCAAAATCCTTATTGAGAGCAAGGCTTTCCCATCAGATCATGTAAGCGGAATTTTTTTGACTACTCTTTTTTTTTTCTCACACAGTGACGATGAACCATTTTTTTTCTCACGATATGGTAGTACGCTGTGGTATCGCACTTGCACTCCCGCGGTATTGATCCGGCGGTTGGACTTATCACCGTGAGCCCTCGCGAAGGGGAAAGCACTTTACGCACGGAAGATATCATTGATGTCATCCAAAAGAATAATGATATTGCCCTGGTGATGTTGTCGGGTGTCCAATATTACACTGGTCAATATTTCGAAATGGAGAAAATTACAAAGGCAGCTCATGACGCGGTACGGTAAAACTCCTCTTCCCCTCCCCCCCCCCCTCAAAAAAAAAAAAAAAAAGAAATCGGGACGCGAGGGTACTTTTGAAAAAATCGAGCGACAAGAAGAATACTGATGCATTGGTATAGGGTTGCATGGTTGGATGGGATTTGGCTCACGCTGTAGGCAATGTGCCATTGAAGTTGCATGATTGGAACGTCGACTTTGCATGCTGGTGCTCGTACAAATACTTGAATTCCGGCCCGGGCGCTATTGCCGGGACTTTCATTCACGAAAAATACGCACATGATTCTACCCGTCCAAGGTAAGCGGTATCATGATCTGATCCTGTTTGACTCAAATTCGATCTGACCTTTTTTTATCATGGCAGATACGCTGGTTGGTGGGGTAATGAAAAATCCACTCGATTTGAGATGGCTCCAGGTAAAGCAAAATAATAGCGATATTTTTTTTTATCGGAACATCTTTATCTCATTGTTGCAATGGATCGTTTTATTTTATTTGGCAGAATTCCGCCCTAGCGAAGGTGCTGCCGGTTATCAGTTGAGCAACCCGAGCATTTTCCCTACGACCTGTTTGTTGGGTTCGCTGCAATTATTCGATGAAGCTGGCATGGATCAGTTACGTGCCAAGTCCGTTTTGCTGACAAGTTACCTCGAGACATTACTGCTCACCGTGTTGAAAGACCATCAGGAAGCCGGCCATTTCCGTATCCTTACTCCGGTCGACCCGGAACAGCGTGGTTGCCAGTTGTCATTGGAATTCCCCGAGAAAATGTTGCAAGTGTTTGCCGCATTGCAAGCACGTGGTGTGGTGTGTGACGAACGAAAGCCTACTGTTATTCGTATCTCACCGGCACCCCTTTACAATTCATTTAATGATGTCCTTCGCGTTGTCACCTGTCTGAAAGAAGCCATGAACGAGATTTTTAAATAGAGTGGATGCTGAATTCATTTATGTACGACTTTAATAAAAACAAGCGATCTCAAGCGTATTTTTATTAGCGATGTGGAAACCGATGACGCGGCCGCTTTTTTGGCAGAGCTGGCCGGATGAGTATCCGAATAAAGATTAGCAGACACTGGAAGGAGAGGAAGTGGTGCCAAGCTTTTTTGGCAAAAGATTTTTACTTTCATTTGCTTATTTGAGATAGGCAGCACGATCGTCAATGAAGACACAGTTGCCTTTTTTGTCCAGCTTTGCGAAAACTAGGCTACAAGAAAAACTAACATAGTCGTACGCTTTTGGAAAGAGGGTTCCGTTTACATAGTAATAGTAACGTCAAGATGTACTTTTTTCGGGGGCATTTTGTTAAGCGTTGATATTGTAAAACGAAAAACGTAGCAAGGCACCATGCGTCGTCTGTCCTGCTTCAACTAATAAAGAGCCATCTGAGGGATAATTTGATCTACTTCAATGATCTTGATACTATTTTTTTTTTTTTTTTTACCTTGCGGATGGCGTAGTTAAGATTATACGATTCCTTGTGGTATTGGTATTTATGGTGTTGTACGATTTGTTGTCTTTGGATGTGGAGCATCCGAAGAAAGAGGAACATATACATATTGCAGCAAGGAGTCGATGTCACGGTGATGACTGTTATGACGCGATGGTTTCAATCAATGAAGGGGACGTGACCAGTCTTTCACTTCAAGCTGATTGATGGAAAGAACCAACAATGTCCGGAAAGCCAAGAAAAAAGGTCAGTTGGAGAAGTCGTCTCTTTGTTGGGGACTGCAAAGTAAGCTTCCGATGCATGATATTTCATAAACAGCCCAGAGTACCTCTGGTTATTTCACACGAGTCGCCAGTCTTGAACACTAAGTTGGGATGTCAAATCCTTCGGCACTTTGTTGAGATTTCTTGTTCCTCTTACTGAAGAGGCTGCGCAGCCGAGACTTGAAAAACTGTGTACGGAAGCAGGAGGAATCAGACGAGCATGTTAGCAGCAATAATGACAGGATTATTGCGTAAAACGACAGATCGCCTTTCCAGACATTGGTCCTTGCTGATAGGAAGGGCAGGAAGTCGTTCCTTGGAACAGCAAGACGAGGGGCGTTTCGAGACCGATCGCCGCAGCCAAAACTCAGAGACTCAGTCTTTCGTGGAGAGTGCGCAGAGACCATACATGGGCGCTTAATTGCTGACCTAGTCGGTACTTTATTACGCTTTCTTTGAGAAAAACGATAAGCTGATTTGAGGCTGATGTATTATAACAACGAATGTTTCAACAAGGTTGTGTTAAAAGGTGCCAAGAGAAATTGACTTTTTTGCATGCTCATAACCGACATCCCTTGAATTTTAAACACCCGCGATGGGATCAAAGAAACAAAAGCACGCAAAACACCATTGGAATATTCGGATCAAATGGTCCTTGTGAAGTAATAACAAAAGTATAACCCGCTCTTCGATCGTCCACATACCGGAGGCACCGCTCGAGTTTGTGCCATATTGATTTTTTCTTAAAAAAGAGTAGACTGGAAGAAGGCTTGGAAGAGAAAAGGATTTTTTCAAGCCATTTTTATTTTACAACAATTACTCTATTTCCAATAGAATGGCATCAGAAGTTCTTATTCTTGCTCTTCTTTCTTGTCAGCTACAAGAGAAAGACACTAAATGATTAAATATATAAGATAGATAAATAATTAGGGAAAAAGGGATAGACACAACGGAACAGAAAAGGAAAAGGGAAAATAAAATAAAATAAAAAAAAGGGAAATAAAAGAATAGGAGACATACAACAAAGCAATATAGGGAAGAAAAAAATAAGATTTGAACAAGAATTATCTTTTACGCTTCTTGATTGGATGCAGTACATATTCGTCGGATTCGAATGGATAAGTGTCTGCATCTTCGGCTCGACAGACATACGGATAAGGACGAGGGGGGGACTGAAATCCGAGCGGTGGAAGATCTCGCTGTTCATGCTTGGGTTCGGCTAAATGCGCTGCATAAGCCGTGGGGGCCGAAAGGTTATGAATCGAGGGTAATCGAAAATCATGTGAAGCCGAGGACAAGGAAGGCGGTGGAAGGTTGGATGAGCAAGACCCGGCCGTGGAGCTGGGCGGAGATAGTGCACCTAATTCCGTTGTAGCAGGAATGGAACGCGGTGTTCCTGGGTTACTGGTGGCGGAGACGTGAGCAGCAGCAAGTGATGATGGAAGTGCGGCTGGAACAGGAGGAGCAGGAGCAGGAGCAGAAGAGGTGGAAGACGAAAGAATAGGCGAAGATGGAACGTGTTTGTCTCTGTTTAAGAAGTTGTGGACGGCCACCGGGTCCAGATCGGTAGGAACAATACGGGATTGTAATATTGTTCGGAGCATATCTTCAATGGCTTTTAAGCGTACTTCAATGGCATCCAAAGCCGCTTTGTTATGAGCATTCCGTTTCTCGTCGCTGTTGGCGGAAGGATAGATACAAGGCACCGCCGCTTTCTGACAGTTACGACATGGTTGTTCGCCATGGCATTTTGTCTTTTTACGACGGCATTCGCTGCATGCACTGACGATTTTGGCGCGTTTCCGTCGAGGCTCGTTGTTAAGTTCGTCTGCCGGCATGACCAATGACCCAAGTGACCCAAATGACCAAGGTAAGAAAAAGAGTTGCAAAGAAAGAAAGGAAACAGGGAAAGCAATCCAAACGCTTCTGAAAAAATAAAAAAATAAATGGCCGTTCGCAAGTCCGAAAAAAATAAAAAAGACCGTAAGCCCACTTTTTTTTTTATTGGGCATGGTTGAACAACAGCATTTCCACGTTTCTTTGCTGCCGTCGTTTTTCATTTCCAAAAACGATTAATACAATTTAGAAACCCGAGTCATGAGACTCTCCTGCTCAACAGCCGATTCATGGCCCATGCCTTTTCATCCAATGATTTTATTCATGCCCTTTTTTCAACCTCATTGTTCGTTATCAACCACCGTTCCCACTACGCTACATTGTAAATGTCATAGGATCTCTCTTTACCTCTGATTTCTAGGCAATATCATGCTGTATCATTGATACATTATATATCGTCGTTTTTCTTCAGGGAAATGACAGAAATTGATCGACAGAACAGGATCGGTTTTTTTTTTTTCTCAACCCTTCGGATGGTGCCACAAATAAGGTACGTAGAAGGCGCAGCGCTGCTGAGAGTAGCTTCAATGCTAAAAATAAAAATAAAAACAAAAAGCAAGACTCATCCGATGAAATGCAACCACCACATCTAACGGAATTCTACGGAGATCCCATCGTCACGGTCGTCAGGATCATCCATCAAAGAGCAGTGTTGCCTTGTTTCTTTGTTTATCTTCAAAAGGGCAATTTCGTCGGTTCACAAAACATTGTGTCACGTGAGTCGAAAATCATTAAGTAATGACTAGCTATCTCTTGCCTCGCTTCGCTTCGACTGAATGAGCCCCTTCGCTACGCTTCGGGTCATTCATCAGAGTTAGCGTCGCCAAGGGGGGTAAACCCCCTGGACCCCCGACTGGGAAAATTCAGATCCGACGAAGTCAGCTATCATTTCTGGAACTCTGTTTCTTACAATCATGCTTGATCCCAATCAATGATTTTTCTTTTGTGAGGCGTATCTTTATTAAATGGATTCAAAAATGAGGAAAAGCCTCGTGGTATACGATATTTTATTATGCGCGTCTCAACATGCTCCTGTGCCAGTGTCACCTTTAAATGTTGGCCGTCAGTTACACGCGAAACAGTAACGTACAACTGACCATGGCTGAACACTGGCACCGGAAGGTATAATACGACTTTGCTCAACGATTGGCCCTGTGATTTGTTGATCGTTAGGGCAAAAACCGGGCGTAAGGGTAGTTGCCGTCGTGACAGGGTAAATGGCAGATCGGCTTTTTCGTAGTAGAGCATGATGCGGGGTATGGTAACTTGGTGACCCACATGATTCTCAACGGTAATGGTGGCCATAACGAAATGTTCATGTAAAGAGTTGAGAATATGCGGGTACCGTTACAAAGTCCAGCCTTGGTAACGAGGTTGCGCATCAACATCACAGGCATGTTCACTTTTAGTGTCAGCCTGTGTTCGGGCAACCCTAAATTGAAGATTAATAAGTGATTATTTAGTACGCATGGCGGGCAATGTAGCCTACCTGGGAATGATAGCGAGGCCAAAAGTTCGGGTGGCATCGAATTTTCTTGGTTAAGGGGCCACGTCTGCGCTGAGGTATACCTTTTCCTGGCCTGGGAAATGGTTGGTACAAATGGTATTGATTGCATCGGTATCTCTATTCGTGGGCGCTAAGGTGCATGGCTAGAGAACCGTACCATGTCCTCCAGGGAAGCGTTCTCCAAATTCGGGTATATGGCAGAGATAAGGTGATGAACGTTCGTGGGGGGCATGGTCCATAGGAAGACGGATATGTTCCCGCGAAGGTAGAATGTTCTTGACCGGGAAGGGTATGTGTCCTCCCATCGCCTATGGCGAGGCAGAATGATGCAAACGAACGTTGCTGCATGGCGTGGATATCATTGCCTTGGACATTTTGCAGCCGCATGTTGATTGTAAGGCGCATGTTATGGATCAACGGCCATAAAGAAGATAAGGATATGGCGATATCGATGGTATCAGAACGTGTGCCTTTTCGGATGACTGGTAGGACCTGCCTAAAGTCGCCTCCAAACACAACGATCTTGCCTCCAAAGGGTATAAATGCTGTGTAAGGATCTGACACTCTCATGATGTCACGTAGAGGCCGATCAACGGCCTCTACGCTGTAGCGGTTCATGAGAGGTGCCTCGTCCAAGACGATCAATGCAGCATCGCGGATTTCACCGACTTGGCGATCATCATGCACATCAAATTGCATGTGATGGTATCATCCACGACCTGAGTCACCGGTACTGTATTTTGGATCTTGAGTGCGCAGTCGTTCCTCCATCAAGCAATAAAGCCGCCATTGCAGTTGCGGCGACTGCAATGGCCTTGTGGCCGGAAGAATGAACATGTGCCAGAAGGGTATTGTAAAAAAAAATTCTTGCCGCAACCTCCAGGGCCATCCACAAAGAACAAATGAGAGTGGGCGGTAGTTGGAGTGGTATTGAGTGAAGCGATGATGGTATCAAAGGCAGCTTTTTGATCAGGATTCGGGTATCGGTGCCGTTGGTCGACCAAACGCAAGTCCTCATCATCCTGCTGGATATCGATATCTCCATTATTGCGGAGCTGCTGGAACATTGCATAGTCGTTCTGCGTGCCAGGTATAAGTGAAGTTGACACGGCGCGAAAGGAGACGATCAGTATGCAGTAGAGCTCGCGCTCTACATAGGGGGATATCTGGCTCCTTCGCGGGATCGATATTGGTATCGATAATCGAGACAGAGCTGCTCAGCAAAGGTATCCCACGAAGCCCAGGATCATCAGGGTAAGCCCAAATGAAAAGGGTCACAAACAACTGACGAAGGCGGGTATATTGGTAACGACTGTCCCAGCTTCTGCTAGGCATTGGAATTGCTCTCGACTGGAATTGATCAACCCATGGGCACGGGCAGCCTCTCAAAAGAGGGGTATAGAACAACCTCATGCGTCCGGAGGTATTCAAAGGACGTGGCGCCGGATATATAATGCAGAAGCAAGCGCAAAGCAAAGCGCTCTCTATCGATAGGAGGGGCAAAATAGACACCTCCAACCGCCAGCTGTCCACGCTGGCACCTGCACCAATGACCGTGGACATGCCGGGAGCCTTTGATAAAAATGAACTCGGAAGGAAGCTGATAATAACAGAGATGTCTGGAAGACTCGTTCTCCCGATTCAGAATGAAGTAGGCGTTGAGAGTTGTCAGGTCGTTTTCTGTGCGTAGGAGCACATCCTCTAGGGTATCATCCTCGTTAAAGAACACTTGCTGGCGGTCGGGTAAATGCAGAGCCAGCTGCATGACTGCCGGTGACCGATGGTGGAGGGAAAAGGAGTATATGCGCCAGAGCGCTTCAGGCGCCGAGATATATCGAGCATCTTGGTATAATTGAAATTCATCCACTGGTTGCTGCTCGTCCACTGTCGCATCGATCTCTTGCTGCTGTTGCTGTTGTTGTTGTTCCTGAGCACGCAAAGTAACCTGATGCGATCATGGCCTTTGTAGACGTATTTAAATGAGTATTTAATGGCACTGATCGAGGAGCATATCTCGTAAAGTTGATAAAAATTATAAAAAGCGCAAAAAAAAAATCCCTATTTTTTTATTATGCACTATCTCATAGCAGTAAAAAAAGCAGCGGAGCATAAAAAGTAAAAAGCCAATTGCAAGGCTTCACTGAGATCCAGCAGAACTTACCTTTTACGACGGTTTACAGAGTAGATAAAACGCTCAAAAAGGAAATGTTTTAGGCATAACTTTCTTAATTAATACGCTCTTTTGTTGTCAATAATTCGAAATGCACTCATTTCTATACTTTATGAAGCAATCAATCAACTTCATCAACCCACATCCCCTAACATAGCAGTCACGTCGCAGTCACACTTTTTATGCCATCTATATATTTGATTTCAAACAAAAAATGTGGAGAGATGGCCGAGTTGGTCTAAGGCGTCACGTTAAGGCCGTGATCTCTTCGGAGGCGTGGGTTCGAATCCCACTCTCTTCACTTCTTTTTATTTACACTCTAATTCTTTTTGGCCAATCAGAAGCCGTAATTGATACAAGAGAGAAATAGTCAGGAAAAATCATGGTCTGAAGGGGATATCTTTTTAATATCTCGTACATTTTTTTATTGTTAAAGTAGAGTAATTTTTTTTATTAGGGTTGTGTTAACCAGATATCCGTTGCGGCACCATTGCTCGCCCCGATATCTATAGGAAAGTATGCAATTGGGAAAAAAAAGCGACAAGGGAAAAGCAAAGGTCAAATTGTGCGTAGAAAGCGTGGGGTGGCACTTCTTTTCTTGATAGCTATGGCTTCTGATAATCATTGAAGCGCCAAAGCTTTTTCCTTTTATTAAGAATGAGTGAGCACACATCCCTTGCGGTACGCCAATTACCCCAGTACGTTAATAGACCGATAAGTGTTCGAACATTTTATGCGCAACTGTCAAGTTCAAATGAAACGCCATCTAAATATTTAAAAGTCTCTTTCACATTATGACCTCTAATCCACGAAATGATCACAGAAGAAGTTTTTTCTGCTAACTTAAATCCTTTTACTTAGTCAATGATAGCGATATCCTTTGGTGTCAGAAAATGCTTGACAGTTTCGATTGGTAAAAAAACCCAAAAATGAGAAGATAAGAAAACGATGATGTGTCGAATCGACTAAAGGAATCGCGTTATCGAAAAGAGCATCGATAAATGTTCATTGTGTAAAAGAGTGTCCTTGTGGATAAGGTATCTCTGGAAAAAAACAAAAAAAAAACAAATTGAATCTGTAGATTATTTTTTGCATCTTGTTAAGATAATTTGCTTACTTGTTCGCGACATAATTATGTAAGGCTAAAAATTAGCCAATACCACACAAGGGGAAAAGTCTAAAAAGGTAGCGTTACGAATTTTAATGAGAATAGATATTTAGCGTTAAATATTCATGTAAATTTACAAAAAAAAAATCATACATTAAGAGAAAGAAAAAAATATATTTTAAAGAAACAGGTATCTGTAGAAGAGGAAAAGGATAAATAACAGGAAAAAACGAGACTATCGTGATATATAAGAGAATTGTGTATCTTGATTTTCATTTTCGTGGTCCGGAGGGACCCAACCGGTGGAAGGCGCCGTGGCAACAAGGGTGGGCAACATGACGGAAGCGGCCAAGGCGCTCTTGCGACGACCATCTGGGTGACCGATCACAGCATCGGTAGGAATGTTGTTGGGAGCATGAGTAGCAGAAGGGTATTTGAGAGATTGAAGACTTTGTTGCACGTTGGTATAAGCGTGATTCCACGCCACGCGTTCGTTTCCTGCCATATAAACTGAAGGAGGGACAGATCCACTGAGAGGTCCACCCAAGTAACGTTGACGGGTGGCCGGGTTCCAGAACAGAAACGAAAAGATGTTATCCGGAATAAGACGGATCACTACACCAATAGGAAGCGAAAGGAGACCCACAACGATAGCGATAGCCCATTGAGGTCCGCCCACAGGAGTGACCTGGAACGCCGCACCTCCAAAATTGACAATAAGACATTGAAGTGTCACGCAAAGAATAAAGATAAAGATGAAGAATCGATTAGCAAGAATATTGTGGAAAATATTCAACTTGCTGTCAATGCGGCGACAACTGAAAAAAAAAAAAAAAGATATGTTAATACCGAAAACGAAGCAGAAGAGACGAAATCTTTCAAGTACTTACTTGATTTCATTGAACAGTTGGCAAAACACAAACGTGTTAAAGACAATGGTCTGCAATACGACGCTTTCGCTGTCATAATGCAAGACATCACTGTACAACAGCACGAGGGTGACAACGACTTGGAAGATGGCCTGGCCGATGATCATCTTCCACATCTTGAACGTAATCAAGGGCGCCGAACGAGGCTCAGGAGCACGGTAAAGCAATTCTTCGGTAGGAGGATCGGTCGCCAAGGCCAGAGCGGCCAAGGTATCCATGATCAGATTGACCCACAGTAACTGGACAGCTGTCAGCACCGATTTCTGATTCGAACTGGCCACTGCGGAGATAAACGTTAAGATGACGGCAGTAACGTTGACGGTCAGTTGGAATTCCAAAAACTTTTTGACGGCATCGTTCACACAACGACCCCACATGATGGCCTTGACGATGCTTGAAAAGTTATCATCCATCAAAATGATACTGGAAGCTTCTTTGGCCACTTCGGTACCGGCAATACCCATGGAGAAACCGACATCGGCCAACTTCAATGCAGGACCATCATTCGTACCATCGCCCGTGACGGCGACAATATCGCCCAATTCTTTCAGCCGGCCCACCAGAATCTGTTTATCCTCAGGACTCGATCGAGCCAAGACCTGGAGACGTGGTAGAATGGCATCCATTTCGGACGGCGGCAAGTTGCGGAAAACAGGACCTTCCATGACAATACCACCAGGAGTGTAAATCCCGCATTGTTTCGCAATACTTTTAGCCGTGACAACGTTATCACCTGTGACCATGCGCACAAAGACACCGGCTTTCTGGCACGATTTCACGGCTTCCTTGACACCGGGACGAAGAGGATCTTCAATACCGACAATACCAAGCAGGGTCAGACCATTGTTAGAAACGATATCTTCAAAGGGAACATCGGCTTCGGCGCCCATCTTGACGCCATCATCAATTTCTTCCTTTGAAGGAGGCCATTGATCAAAGTCACGATAACCAATACCAATGGTACGAAGGCAACGAGTGGCATAACTCTGGATAATGTGTTCCGTGCGTTTACGATCTTCGTCGGTAAGAGCGCGGGTCTTGATATCGTAATCGTGATCGAGGGATTTGTACTCGGACGGTTTCAGTGTAATGATATTGGAGCAGTGAGTCAAAAGGATTTCGGAAGCGCCCTTGACATGGGCCCGGTAGATGAAGCGACTCGGTTCGGTAGGATGCGGTAAGCGAATCACGGTGGCCATGGCCTTACGTTCAGAGTTGAAAGGGAGCACTTGCTCGACAGGCCAGCGATTACGGAGGTCTTGGAAATTCTCGGACCCAGTGTCACGAGCAAAAGCAAGTAAAGCGGTTTCGGTTTTGTTACCGACAAAGGCCATTTCACCCTTTTCGTCTTTGCTTTCAAAGGCGGTGGAGTTAATCGCGATGGATTGATTGACAAAGTTCAGGACGGGCTTGGGTACGTGTTGAGGCAGTTCAGCCATTTCCTTGAGGTCCACACGGTTGGCAGGTGCATCCTTGACAAACCGGAAGGAGGAACCCAAAGTGCCAGCGACGACGGTCATCTTGTTCTGCGTCAATGTGCCGGTCTTGTCAGAGCACACGGTAGTGGCATTGCCCATGGTTTCACAAGCCGCAAGAACACGGACCAGATTATTATCCTTGAGCATCCGCTGAGTTGCATAGGCGAGAGCTAAAAATAGAAGTGAGCATGAAATGTTGCACCAATGTAAATATCGGTAGATAACGAAATCCACTCTTACCTAGTGTGACAGCCAATGGTAGGCCTTCAGGGACAGCAACGACGACAATGGTGACGACAACAATAAGGATATCCATGATTTGGCTAACGATGGTGGTGGCTTCGGTCGGAATACCATTTCGCCAGCCGACGAAATATCGGATCAGCAAAACAATCAGCATGAGCAAACCGGCGGCCGAGCCCAACTTGGCAATCATCTCGGCTAGCGCATTGAGCTTTTCCTGAAGTGGGGTGCTTTCCGATTCGGTTCGTAAAGCCATCAGGGTGCGTCCATAATAAGAGTGGATTCCGACGCTTGTCACCAAATACGTGGCAACGCCTTCGAGGACCTTGGAACCGGAGATAATGAATGGATCAGGCAACGACTTATGACTATCGACGTTGGGACGTGAACCCTCGGACTTTTTTTCATTGTCGGTTGAAGATGAAACTTCTTGCGCTTCGGCTTGAGCCATGCGCCAGCAGACGTCATATGCCAGTTTTCGCACGGCATCGGATTCACCAGTCGCGGCGGATTCGTCACATTTGAGGTTGTGACCTTCGATAAAGATACCGTCAGCAGCAACAATGTCACCTGGCTCCAAATGCAAAACATCGCCCACTTGGATATCATGAACAGAGATAAGAGAGGTTGTACCATCTCTCGTGGCCTAAAAAAATACAAGGGTTATTAAAATCGACGTTAGATACGATATGTTTATTATAGGAGAAGGAAAGGGAAAAACTTTACCTTAACCATGCGGTCTTCCTTTTTGGCATTCAGTTTACGAAATTGCTTTTCCTTTTGAAGGTCGTTGACACTTCCAACGAGTACGACGATTAAAATAGCTACAATGATGGCGACGCCTTCTACCCATTGAACGCCCGCCACTTTGTTGCCTTGAGCATCATAATGAGTTTCGGCAATATCTTCATACAAGCCTACGGCTAGCGATACAAAAGCAGCCACCGTTAAAAGGATCTATATAATAAAGTTTGGCGATTAATAACATTGCGTCACAACACATGACCAACCAGACGTAAAAGAAGACAAAGAAGAACAAGAACAAAGAAAAAAAAAAGGAAGAGAAAAGCGCCCCGTCCTCTCCTCCCTCCAAAAAAGAAGAAGAAGAAAGGTGGACTGAATAGTGAACATACCAAAGTTTTGTCCTTCATGGCCATCCACATTAGCTGAAAGATGTTTTTTGATCGGACAGGTGGAAGCACATTGGTGCCAAAGATGTCGGTGCGTGCAGAGGCGAATGGGGAATCATGGTGAGTGGAAGAAGCTTGATCGTTTTGGTGTTGAGAGCGAATAGATGGAGGAGAGGAGGTATGAGTAGGTGTGTTCTCTTGTTGTTGTTGAGTAGTATCTGCGGGATCTTGTGGTTGATGATGGATAATATCAGTGAGCGAGATAGGAGTGTGAATTTGGGCATTGGTGCTGAGACCGTGCTGAATGTTGGCATGGAGACCTTTGGCGACACCGACCAAACCATCAAAGGTATGTAAGAGTGGTAAATTTTTCGGATCCATCAAAGCCGACAGTTGATTCGGTGTAAACGCAAATGGATTTGAAGGATCATTATGGGGACTGGTCAAGTCCGTTCGCATATCAATATTGACAGTAGAAGATTTTTCATTGTCGGCTATTGACGGTGCGGGTGATGCTCGTTCCTTTTTACCCATGGTTTATGTATTGTTTCGGTGGAGGGGTTAAAAAAAAAGAAGAAGAGTAACTAGCAACGAAACGAAAAACTGCCAGTGAGGAAGAGGTAGAAGGTTAAAGTAGTTTTTTTTTTCGCTCTTCTTTTTTTTTATTAGGAAGATCCAGTAAAAAGAGAGATTGGAATGGCTTTTATATAAATTAGAATGAGGGGAGTACAGGATTCGAAGATGAGTGGATCGGCCACTCAAAATTTTGAGTGGAAGTTTCTTCGACTTCTGCTTTGGGTAGTACTTGCTCATCCTTTTATCGATTGGCCAAGTTTCTTAAAAAGACATGACATAAGGGCATGGCAGCCGGGGTGTCGGATGGTTCCACCATGAATTCTCGCTGTTCCATGCGGGAGGCGAACGCCACAGACAATCCAGTCGATCTTGTTAATAACCTTTTTCTATTTGTCTTTTGCCCACGTTACACAACGGAGATCGTAGAAGGACCAAAGACGAAACAAGCTTCGATCATACTTTTTTTTTTGTTTTTGTCAGTCCGCGAAATCCCCAAAAGACTAAAAACTTGCCTTTTAAAGAACTATGGTCTCGTTATGTCCGAGAAAAAAGTCAAAAGTTACATGGAACATGAAGAAAAAGGGAAAAAAGAAATCCCTCCACTCATAACCATGAGATCGACAAAATCGCTGCCAAAAAAAAAAGTAGAATTGCGAGAATCTGAAAATTCCGATCATTTTATCGCTCTCAGAAACCTTCTGTATACACACTTAACACACAGACACATACATAGAAAGACGCACACACGCCATGCATATGCGGGCACTAACGCCAAGGAAAAAAAAGAAAAAAAATCTCATCTCAAATGGAATCTCGTCTCATAGAAATGACGCTTATCTTTGGTTTTTTCTTTCTTTTCATGTGATAAGAGAAAAAAATAATAAACGTAATAAACGATTGATTTATAAGAAAATATAAACAGGAAAATGCAATAAGTTCTGTTTTGGTATTATATGTGTATTTTGTATCTATAGATCGAAAAGGGACCGAATCTCTTGGGTGGTCAACTTGGAACTCTTGATCATGCCATCTCCCAAGGCGCCTTTGGCAATTTGGGCCTAATCAAAACATCACATCAGTCAATAAATAAAAATAAAACGAAACAAGAGCAAAGAGACGGACAGACATGACAAAATAAACAAACACAACATGAACAGTGTCAACAAGAACAAATAGATCTTATCAATGATAGATAACGAACCCATGTAAGAAAAAAGATTATCGAGAGAATATACCGTACCTTCTTCTGCTGTAATTGAATTATCTTTTGTTCAATGGTCTTGTCAATCATGAGTCGGACTACTCGAACAGGAAGTTTTTGGCCAATACGGTGAACTCGGTCAATGGCTTGCTCTATAAAGAAAATGACGGGATTTAATTTTTTTTTCAGTTCCCTTCTGTGACCTCCCACACTGCATGTTTATTCGCGCCTCTTCTTTTTCTTTTTAAGGGTTCTTTACCTTCCACAGCAGGGTTCCACCATATATCCATCAGAATCACACGATTCGCCGCGGTCAGATTAAGCCTGAAAAAAAAGGAGTCCCGTTAGTCCCTTCTACAACGAACGCACAGAATCCTCACGGTTTCTCTTTTTTCGACGGTTGAGGATGGAGTTTTTCTAAAGGTTCAAACACTTTACCCTAAAGAGCCACATTTGAGGGAGATAAGCATCACTAGACATTCCGGATCGGTTCGAAGTGCATGCAGATTCTTTTCACGCAGTTGGCTTGGCATGGAACCATCATCTATACAGGAATTTAAGCATGTGATCTATTGTATATATATAAAAAAAGGAAACAGTGGAAACCACATTGGGGTCAATCAACCCACACTTACAACGACAGAATTTGAAACCACTCTTTCGAAGTGGTTCTTCCATTAAATCCAACATGGACGTAAACTGGGAAAAAATAATGGTTTTCTCCCCCGGGTAATCCTTTCGCGCTGCTGATAACAGCTCCAGCATCTTATTAATCTTGGTGCTTGTCAAGAACTTTCCTCCCGGGATTCCACCGTCGGACTCGGAACCAGTGGCCACTGTCATTGGTCGAGCATACTGTTCTACCTGTTCATTGCATGTCGAACAAAAAGTTCCCTCTTCTGATTCCTCAGGTTTTAAATTCCTACATTAACAAACAAAAAAAAGTTAGCGCTATCTGGATCTGTCTTTGGATTTTCTGGGTTTCCTTTTTTCTTTTTTTTTTTTTCTCAACTTGCATGTGCGTATGGTTTTTCTAGAAGATCTAAAAAAGAAAACTTACTTTCCGCACAGTTCACACGTCTGAAAGGGCGTCGTCGATGGTGCTGGGGTCTTGTCAAATACGGATTGTCCTACTTGGCCTACCCCTTCCCATCCGAGATCGGCAGCCATTTTTGCCATGATGAGTCGTTGCGCAGCCGCTTCACTGGCTTCACGCGCTTCTCGACGACTGCTCGGTCCAGATGACGGTGTCGTGCCTTCGGTGGCCAACTCTAAAGCATCGGTATCGGACCCAATTGATTTTAATACCAGCTGCGGATGGTCACACGCTTGCCGTAACCGTAGCAGCATGCACAACATATTGAGGTAGTTGCGTTCGCCTTTGCCTGAGCGAAATAATTTTTCCACCGTCGACTTGGTCTTGCTCGTCAATAAATCATACAAGGCTTGCTCCTCTTGACCAAAGGTCAACATAATATCCTTCTTTTCACGAGCCGGCAGTTGCAGCGACAATTTGGTCGACAGTGATGTGGCATCGGCGGCTTTGCTCGAGGAGGGCGTATCCGTCGAGGTAGAGGGCGACAGCGAAGCAGATGGCGTCACAGAGGCTGACGGACCATCGGAGACATCCATTTCCACATCCGAGGACTCTTTGCTAGATACTTTTAGAATATCTTTGGTACGTCGTAACATGACGGCCATTAATACGGCTTTCAAACGTTCCATCGCCAACCGTCCTTGTCCGAGCTGAATAGGCAACGAGATGGTTTTCTTGAATGTCTGATAATCCGACAGCGGTTGAATACGCAGGAACCGTAACAAGCTGTATAGTTCATCCACATGATTCTGGATAGGCGTGCCCGTCAGACACCATCGCTTCTTGGCTATTAACTCGGTGCACGAAATGGCGGATCTTGTATTTCGATTCTTGATTTGTTGAGCCTCGTCTGCGAAAAAAAAAATGAATGAGACTGTGGTAGTATTTTTGTCACCCCTTTCTTTGATGGTGCAACTTACCGAGTACTACACGATACCATTTTGTCTGAAACAAGGGGCCAAAGCCAGGTCTGCATGGTGCGGAGGTTGAAGTTTCTTCCAAAGGCTCGGTGTTCATGGCTGCGTCGCTCGGACTAGGTGAAGTCATGGCACTGCTCGAACCGCTCGTCGGCTCTTGCGACAACGCCGCTTCCTCTTCGACACCGCCTGATTTCGCCTTTTTACGCCCCTTTTTCTCAGTGCTGGGCATATCGGAAGCGACTACTTGATATGTGGTGACAACGACATCGTATTTTCGAAAAATTGAAGGATCCTTGCTTCGTCCAGGGCCATGATGAACAAGCACCTTAATCTTATCGTCCGTCGTTTTGGTGCGAATCTCGTTCGCCCACTGTTGGATCAGGGCAAGCGGCGTCACAATCAATGTCGTGCGTCGGTGTTCATCATTGTTTTCCGCTGCTTTCGTGGAAGCCACCAATGCAATCGTCTGGATCGTTTTTCCTAGACCCATCTATTAATTGCAAATCATGATTTTAAAAAAAATAAAGTCAGTATATAAAAACGTCGCAAGCATTCCGTTCATTTTTTCATCATTACATCCTAAAGGGAAAAAGAAGTGCGCGTGAGCTTTTTATGATTCGACAATTACGTCTATACGAGTACGTATGGAATTTTGTTTTTTCTCGCTTACATCTGCCAGGATACCGCCACTGCTGCTTTCATTGTTTTCGCGATCCATCATCCATGCTACGCCCCGAGCTTGATGCGACATGAGCGAGATACTGAGCCCTTCCACATGGAGATCCTCTTCTTCCTCTTCCTCCTCTTCATCTTCGTTTTCCCTTGATGGCTCATCCATTGGTTCCTCCCTGACTGATGCCGATGTCTCTTGGTGACGCTGTTCCATACTGGAGGATGGCTCTGTATGGGTCACTTCCATAGTTTCTCCTTCTACTTGTCTATCCGTTGGTCTATGCAATTTGTCTTGTCGTTTCTTCTTTTTCTTGTGCAAATTGATAATATCGGTAGGAATGCTGTCTAAAAGTTGGGCAATATCGCGTTTCGTTTGATCTTCCTGAAACTGAGAACCGGCTCTGTCCGAGCCTCTGGCCAGACGGTCGGAAGTGGAAGATTTGGTGTCATGCAAATGGGTATGTGGGTTTCTGTAACGACAGGAAGGGTTGAAAAAGGGGGTTTCTCGAAGGATGGCTTGATGACTCAGGAAGAAACGCGAGACAGGATCGACATGACTGGGGCGACAGTAAAGAATAATCCACAGTGGGGTCCGTGCCTGATTCACTTTGGCCCGCGGAATCACTGCGTCCCACCATATAATACGATTATCCGCCAAAGGACCAAGCACTTTTGTATCCTCAAAAGGAACCCAACCATACTATAACAATCCAAATAAAATAAAAATCACACAACTGTCAGTCACTCAAATCAATTCCATGTGCCAGTTCTTTGTAAGAATACTGTACGAATTTACGAGGTATGCCGCGCGATGTCACTGTAAATGCTATTTTTTTTTTTTTTTTTTTTTTTTTTTTTGTTGTTGAAAATACCCACATTAGCCTCATGTGCAATACAATTACGAGCGCGTACTTACAGTAATTAACCGAGTCCCTTTTACCCTCCGATTCCAGACGTACGGGTTCGTATTGTTCGTCTTTGGGGAAATCCAATGTCTTTAAAGTGACAATATCAGTTTTCATCATGCCGATACACACGTTGCGGTTGGTCATTTCTTCATCAATGATGAGTTCATCGTCGTCGTCCTGTTGGGATTGGGATGCCGGCGTGGTAGGCTGGGACTGGGTTGCTTGTGTATAAAATGGGTGCTGTTGTCCAAGCCATGCACTCACATGAGGCATTTCCTCCAGGGAAAGCTGATGCATCGAGCGAGTAGGAATGTGGGACGACGATGGCGGCCGAACCGCTGTGTGGGTTGGACTCATATTATTGGAAATCGATCGTAAAGACATGAAGGAGTGGGATCGGACGAGATCGTGAGGTTGGAACGGTGCATAGAGATTGGAGGATGAATGGGACAGTAGCGACGGCGATTGTGAACGGTGAGAAAACGTATTGATGCCTACAAGATCCTGCCGAGACCATTTTTTACGTCAGTTGTCAACGGAATTCTTTAGACCTTCACAGAAAGAGGGTTCATCCAATGAGGTGATCATACTATCGGATTCAAATTGCTTACAGGGTTCGCGGATGGAGATAGGTGAGGCGCCATGGCGGCATAGGATAAAGGAGGTAAATCGACTTGAAGACGACGTCGTTTGGTTTCCATGGCGGGATCGTCGTTGATTACAATAGGAGAAGCGGGACGGCTGCCGGGTTTGGAGGGTACGGACCCACAGCCGTTTGTGCTTTGCTGATAAAAAGGTAGCTTATCACCGGGATCCATTATTCTCCCTCTTTTCTCTATGCATAACGTGATACGAACAAAAAAAGTACTTCAAAGAAGACCCATCCATTGAAAATTTATTCCAAAACTTTGAAGCACCGTTTCGCACTTTTTGGACCATCACATGACAAGGCAGATGACCCAAATTTTTTTATTCATAATTCTGGGCTAACCGATCCAATGTTTTTTCTTTTCGTATGGAATGGCAAAACTCATATATACCCCATGGGACACCGTATTAAACATGTTTCCAATGCAATTCAACCTGAGATACCATCGATTTATCCAACCTATTCTCAAAACCCCGTCTTGAAAATAGGTCATCAGATGGTCGTCAGGTTAGAAACAGATCCTCTCATTGCGGTAATACGTCTTTAGGAACCTCCCTTTCGCAGCTTACTTTTTCAAATAACTCTGAAAGAAATCGGTCGACTTCTATCTGATGATGCATAGTCTTGATGCTAAAGAAGCCCCTTCCACCTGTACGGCACGGTCGTTTGATACATTTGGAAGCACAAAGCAAGTAAACCATGGCACAGTCACAGTGGTCATGTGAGCATTTCCTTCTTGGGGGATGCCGCGTCTCGTCAGGAAAACGCTGCCCATGGACCGAAGTCATACGCAAAATAAATATCCGTGAAGCTAGAGCGTTTAATTTATGATGTTCTTGATCGTTTCCTGCGCACAAACTTGTACCTATATCTTTTGTCGACCTTTTTTTTTTACCGCATTAACTTATGCCTCTTGCGTTGGCAGAAAACTGCACGCAGATAGTAATAGCATTCATTCCATAAAAAGCAGAGATACAGCTGTAATAATGTCCCTTGCGAAAATTATCAAGGATGCTGGCTGCGTTGCTAGACATATCGCTTTGCAGTAACCGTAGCAATGACAAGCAAGCGGGATCCGATGATAACAATAAATTTTCTTTCATCATTACCCCAAACGAGTCAATGATGTGCATCGGCAGTACTTGCAACCAGAGTTTGGTTATAGAGAAGCATAGTGATTTTATTACTAGAGCAAAAAATGATCTAAATTGGACTCCGAATTTTGATGGTTCCCCATGGTTGCTTCCCAGCCCTTGAAATGATTGGAAAAAGGCTTTACAAAAGCAAAGGCCCTAGTATTGCATGTAAAAGCCATGAGTAATATTAACTGTACCTGATACTCGCATCTTGCTAATGATCCTGTGTTTACAAGTTCATCTTTGAAGAAAAAACCCCCAAAACAGGGAGAGCACGATGCTGACATCACCGACTATTTGATTCTCCGCAACACACTGCCGTTTGAGTTGGACCTTTTTTTTTTTTATTCCAGCCCAACTTGTTGCTGCGACATTTTCTAGACGAGTGTATTTTTTTTGTCAAGAATAATTCACTTGTGTCAATATGGATCATTTTGACGCTGCTTCTCAAGATGACTTTACCTTTCTAGAGTATGGTGCAGACACGCAATCTTCTCAGTTTGATTTCAATAATTTCACGCAAACGCAAACCAAACTGCACGATCACGATCCCGATTTATCGCTTGCTTCTCTTTCGTTGGAGCCGTCGCAGACGGATGAAGCTCAGAATGCCAAAACCAACGGAACGACTTCGTTTGTGAATGAATTTCAGTTTGAAGGCACCGATGACTTTGACGCTTTTGAAGACATGGCCGGTCCTCCCGATGAACGAGATTTGCCGAGTCACGCTTGCAAATACTGTGGCATTCACTCACCGGCTTCGGTTGTCAAGTGTGTCACCTGCAATCGCTGGTTCTGCAATGCTCGAGGAAATACTTCTGGATCCCACATTGTCAATCATTTGGTTCGAGCCAAACATAAAGAAGTCATGCTGCATCCCGAATCGCCCCTGGGTGAAACTATCTTGGAATGCTACAACTGTGGTTGCCGCAACGTCTTTTTGCTTGGTTTTATTCCCGCCAAAAGTGATACCGTCGTTGTCTTGCTTTGTCGGTAGGTGAAAGATTCCAATCTTGGACAACCCTCGTCGGCATCGCTGTATCGGCGGGTTAGGTTCTTTTACAAGGATGGTGCGTTAACCAAATCCTCTGTTTTTTTTTTACCAGACAACCTTGTGCAGCTGTGCCTTCATCCAAAGACATGAATTGGGATACATCGCAATGGATGCCCTTGATCGATGATCGTTGTTTCCTCAGCTGGCTTATCAAAATCCCTGGAGAACAGGAACAGCTTCGTGCCCGACAAATTACCTCGCATCAAATCAATAAGCTCGAAGAGCTGTGGAAAGATAACGGAGAAGCCACCTTGGAAGATTTGGAAAAACCAGGTGTCGATGATGAACCTCATCCTGTTTTGCTGAGGTAATTGAGCGAGAACCTTCTCACAGAAGCGGACGCGGTACATGTAGTGCGTGGATGCTAATTTCTTGTTTTGCTGTAGATATGAGGACGCTTATCAATATCAGAACATTTTGGGTCCCTTGGTACAAATGGAAGCGGACTATGACAAGAAGTTGAAGGAATCCCAGGTATGCATACCCCGAATATTCACAGTGTGCACGTTTCAGTTCTCAGGGCTCATCTTTTACGTTGTTGCTTTGTAGACTTGCGATGATATTGTTGTACGCTGGGATGTGGGTCTGAATCAAAAAAATGTGGCATGGTTCTATTTCCCGAAATTGGAGATGGGTGAAGTCAAGTTGGCCGTGGGTGACGAACTTCGCTTGAGATACCGTGGTGAACTTCATGAGCCTTGGGCTGGCGAAGGCCATGTCATCAAAATCCCCAACAGTAAGTATCCTCGAAATGTTGTAGAGCAATAGAGAAAAAAGGCAAGAAAGATATTGAAAGTTTTTCATTGTAGACGTGAGCGATGAAGTGGCCTTGGAACTTCGACGTAGTGTGGCTCCTCCCGTTGAATGCACGCATAATTTCTCTGTGGATTTTGTTTGGAAATCCACCAGTTTCGACCGTATGCAATTAGCCATGAAAACATTTGCTGTGGATGAAACCAGTGTCAGTGGATATATTTACCATCGTTTGCTCGGTCACGATGTCGAACCTCAAGTGCTCAAGACACAGATGCCGAAGCGGTAAGTTGTTTGGAAAGAGAATGGCGGGAGTAAATGAGTAATGAATTAAATGTAATCCTCCCCCCCCCCCGGTTGAACAGGTTCTCGGCGCCCAACTTGCCTGAACTAAATCATTCTCAAGTATACGCGGTCAAATCAGTTTTGCAGAAACCACTTAGTTTGATTCAAGGTCCTCCCGGTACGGGTAAAACGGTGACTTCGGCTTCGATTGTCTATCATTTGGCAAAAATGAATCCGGGCCAAGTTCTTGTAACCGCTCCCTCCAATGTGGCGGTGGATCAGCTTGCTATGAAGATTCATCAAACCGGTCTCAAGGTGGTGCGTGTCACGGCCAAATCGCGCGAAGCTTTAGATTCCCCCGTTTCCTTCCTGACCCTCCATGAACAAGTGCTCAACAACGATACCAACGTGGAGTTCCAGAAACTCGTCCGCTTGAAACGCGATCAAGGCGAATTGAGCGCCTCCGATGAACGAAAGTACGAGAAATTGAAACGTGAATCGGAACGAGAAATTTTGTCGGTGAGTCTACACTCCTTCATGATCCATTTTCTATTTTGGTGTACATATGTTTGTCCTTGTTACTCATTTTTTGAAATTGGACATGTAGAATGCGGATGTCATTTGTTGTACGTGTGTTGGTGCGGGTGATCCTCGTGTGGCTGTGCTGAATTTCCGTACGGTGCTGATGGACGAGGCCACGCAAGCGTCTGAGCCGGAATGTATGATTCCTCTGGTGCTCGGTTGTAAGCAAGCTGTTTTGGTCGGTGATCATCAGCAGTTGGGACCGGTGATCATGAACAAGAAAGCCGCTCGTGCGGGTCTGTGCCAATCTTTGTTCGAACGTTTGGTGATCCTGGGTATTCGTCCCATTCGTCTTCAGGTTCAGTATCGTATGCATCCTTGCTTGTCGGAATTCCCTAGCAACATGTTCTACGAAGGCACACTTCAGAATGGTATCACGGCTCAAGAACGACTTCGCAAGAACATCGATTTCCCCTGGCCAGCTCCCGAAACTCCCATGATGTTCTACGTAAATCTCGGCAACGAGGAAATCTCCACCTCGGGTACTTCGTACCTCAACCGAACCGAAGCGTCCAACTGTGAAAAGATCGTCACTCGATTCATGAAAGCCGGTGTGCTTCCATCTCAGATTGGTATCGTCACGCCTTACGAAGGTCAACGTTCGTACATTGTGCAATACATGCAATTCAATGGTTCACTTCGCAAAGATCTCTACAAGGAAATCGAAGTCGCTAGTGTGGATGCTTTCCAGGGTCGTGAAAAGGATTACATCATTCTCAGCTGCGTAAGAAGCAACGAACATCAAGGTCTTGGTTTTTTGAGCGATCCTCGTCGTCTCAATGTCGCTTTGACTCGTGCCAAATACGGTATCGTCATTCTCGGCAATCCCAAAGTTCTCAGCAAGGTGAGTGAAAGAAAAAGAAATGGTACGAGGAAAGGTAGACTGATAATGTCAATATTTTGTAGCATCCTTTGTGGCATCATCTTTTGGTGCATTACAAGGAAATGCAATGTCTTGTGGATGGTGCTTTGAATAATCTGCGTGTGTCCATGATTCAGTTTAGTCGTCCACGCAAATCGTATCGCAAAGACGACAAATTCCGTCAAGGACTGGCTCATCAGATTGATGCTCGTGAAGCGTTCGCCCGTGCTCCTTTGGCGACTGAAAGTAAGAATTCTTTTTCTTCGCATTTAGGAATCGTGAGTAAATTAACATTTTTTTCTTTCTCTGCCTTTACAGATCGTCGTGGTAATCGTATGTATGGTCAAGAATACATGCAAACCCATGATCCTGTTGGTTATATCCCGTCGGAATTGGGATCCCTTCCTACCTCGCAATTCAGTATTCCTTTCATTCCTTCTGCCAGTGGTCCTTTCACTCAAGACATGTCTCAATCGAGTGTATTTAACCGTAAAACGACGCGACAGAATGCTTTAACCGACAACGCTTCACGCTACGTTCCTGGATCGTCGACGTTCGCCAGTCATGCATTTGGATGGCAAATGGGAGCAGGATCTCAGAACCTTTACAGCAGTCAGTCGTCGATTGGATTAGCGCTTTCACAAAGCGATCGGTTAAGAATGATGGCTGAAATGAGTAGTCAGGCCGGTGGTCAAGGGTCGATGCTCAGTCAAGACAGCATCAACTACGATTACGACGATTACAAGACATCCTACCTGTCGGGCATAAACTATTAGTGGTTACGACAACACGTTTTTCAACGACATAACGCGGGATTCCATTGAGTGGCAGATGAAACAGGAAGATACGATGATTTTGACGAAAACCAGCCCAGAGTCATGATGGATGTTAGATTTACTGACGGTCAAACGGACATCAGCCAATCGATTTTTTTTTTTTACCGTTACCTTCCCCACTTCTCCACACGCCGCCCCTTCCATCCATGTATACACACACACACAACTCGACTCCTCAGGGAACAAACGTCGTGGTATGTTTTTAAGGCGAATGGGTTTGTTCTCAAGAAAAAAAAAACGAAATCATCCGTCATCTGTATGCAATGTATTCTTTTCTTTCGGTTTCCTTTCCCCAAGTTGCAGTCTGCAATAACCAAGGAAGAAGATCCGTAGATTTTGGATGCAGTGCTTGTCAACCTTTGCTAGTCACCCATCAGTATCTTGTCATCGCGTCATAAAAAAAAAACTGCCGTCAATGTATAAAAACCATTTTTCTTTTCCCCTCTTTCTGTTCTATTTTACGAACGATTAGTACATGTAGCCCTGATGATGAAAAGGAAAACGTGGTGTGAAACGCAGACTTAACAAATCAAAAGAAACAGTTCCATCTGCTGTTCAGTGACGATGACAATGTGTTTATTCCTTTTTAAAAGAAAAAATTGTAATAATATAGATACATACGCGAGTAGCAAAAAAAAGAAAACCAAAGTATGTTTCGTCTATCAGGAGTAAACATGAAGCCATCTCATGAGAAAAACTGCATAATTTCGTCTAGCGCGGTCTTTTTTCGGTCGTGACACAGGCTGTCGAGTTTTTCTTGAATGGGGTCAGTGTAACGAGGTTCGACAAACGTACTTTCGGAGGTCACCGTGATAATGTCGCCGTTGAGTTGAGGATCAAAGACTGCACGAAAATAAGCATCAAGACAACGACCCATAGGTACTGTGCCAAGAGCATTTGCGATTTGTTTGGATTTCCCAACAATCATAGGGGTTTCAACAAAGTGAGGTGCGATGGCATTCACGCGGATATTGGTGGATCGTAACAGAGTACCATAACTCTTGGTCAGTCCTATGATCTGATCTCCCCACACACATACATTAGTTTGATTTCGCTTCGTTGCCAGCAGTAGCAAAAAAAAAAAAATAGCTTACCGCATGTTTGGAAGCGGAATACAGTGGAGCAAGTGGGGCGGCACAAAATCCGTAAATGGAAGACGTGTTGATCACACAACCTGCTTTCTTTGTTCGAAAAAAATGCTGAATGGCCAGTCGATTCGCTTTGGCGGCGGCAGTCAAGTTGACTTCCAATGTCCTGTATGAGCCATCTGCCATATGGATTTTTTGATGTTAGAACTAGGCTTAATATCTTTTTACAGCACCACACATTTTTTTTTACCTAGTTCATCATCTTTTGTCAGAGAAGAAGATTCCAAAATTCCCGCCACAATAATCACAATATCGATGGTTCGTGAAAAAGCGGCGTTGGCGACTTTATAGAGTTCCACTTGGGAAGGCCAGTGAGTGATATCGCATGCGTGGAATAAGGCTTGTTGTCTTTCAATGATTGAGGGAGAGTCATGATCATAGATAATATTAGAAATAAGAATAAAAAAAGAAGGGTCAGCATATAGAATTAAGGGCAGGGGAGTGTATTATTTGCATCCAAAAGCACTGACCGTCTAATGTTTGCTTGCGTCATAATCGCTAATCCTTTTTCGTTATTTGTTCCAGAAAAGATCACATTGGCACTAGGAAAAAAATAAGAAGAATAAAAAAACCAGCTTTTCAACTTGGAACCCTGCGTCATCGCTTTTTGTACAGAGCTTACTTTAACGCGACAGACTTGTATACCAAAGCTTCGCCAATGCCTAGTTGCAAAATTTTCGATGTGTTTTCTTGCCTTAATCGTACTGACACTCCAATTGCGTCATCTTGCAATACCTGAAGTACCGCCCAAAATCAAAACGGTCTTGTCACTTAGATCCATATCAAAATGTGGGCACGGGTGAGGAATCAAGAAGGAGGAATGAGACAATGAAACTTGGGATCGTTTTATAGTCAATAGAGTAAGAGTTTTTCGAATCTTCGGCTTTTTTCCAGTTTTGGATTCAGGAAAAAAGGAGACAATGGAAACGCGGCTAGAACACGAGCACTATTGCCAGTGATGAAGGTAGGAGAAGTAACACAGTGAAAGGATGAGGATTCTCGCTATATATATATACTCTCGTTCTTCATACTGCCGGTAGGTCGAATGACCCGCGCAGAAGATCAATCCAAGATGCGCATTTTTACTTTTTCATTCTTCACTGCATATTGTAAACATGCATGCAATAAGAAAAAAAAACCATTGATTATCGCTTTTCGAAGTGTGCTTTATCCCCCGCAATGAACATGCATTTCATACCACCAAACTCATGTATGAGCCCTTTCTTTTGTGGAAATAGGGTTCATGTTGAATCTCTTTCTGTGGATCCCGCCCTGCTTCTTTGCATAAAGACCCGTCAGTAGACAAAACAGTCGTCTACTAAGCTCCTCAATCTGTCCATTAGTACAGACTGCATCAAGTTCCACTCCCGCCAAGGGATGGTAAGATACTGGATAAAAGCGGATGAACCTGTAACCACAAAGAACTCTCCATTTTATACTCCTCACATGTGTGTCATTTTTTCTGATGCACACACCGTTTGGAGAGGTATTTACTTTCTTGGTATTTGCACAAATAAGGTCGCTTCTCCCTATTACCTGTATCTACACATAAACGATACATCGTCTATTTACGATCCTGATTCAACAAATGGAAGGTTGTGTTATAATTGCTGCATAACAAACAACGGGTCATGCTTGATTGTATGTGTCCCGATGGTCGCAGAACATTTGCAACACGTCCCAGCAGCAACAGCCTTCTTTTTTCCCTTGGACTTTTTACAACAGGGATACGTATGCTGTAGAGCCATCTTTTTCTTTCTTTGTTCATCACTTGAGGAGTCAAAACCGAATTTGGTTTGTTTCGTGTGTGTGGCTTTCATTGCATAAATGGTTTTCATGATGCGCTTCCTTGGTGATAAAAATTGTGATTATATGATATTAAAAACCACACCTTTTACGTGATGAGCAGAGTTTCAGATATGTTGGTTTAAAGGTTTTTTTTTTGAGCAACACGGCTGCATGAAGACTAATATGGCATACGTCAGGTTCGAACGAGAAGGAACGCCATGAAAGGAACATGTTTGATGGAGTCATGAAATTATCATCTTTTCCCTAAGCATAGCTACTAGTGAATTCGTGCAACGCGTCTGTTGGGAGTGAGCCAGTTCAAACGAGTTACATAAATGTGATGAAAGTTTTTCTCAGCTCCAGAACTCGGAGATGCGAAATTTGTTGAATGACTGGAAACGATGTAAAAAAAAGTGAAATTGATCGATACTCCATCCTGAAACCGTGTAATGCAATGCGATTTTACAACAAGTATAAAGCCATGTGGGAGAAGGGGAGTTTTCTCAAATTAATGTTCTCTTTTCTTTGATTTTAGTTTATCACAGAAAACAGACGCAAAATATCAAAATGAACAACAGTACATGGGACAAAGCTGCTGGTGATGCCAAGAACAAGTTTGGCAATATGACTGGCAATGACCGCATGGCTGCCAAAGGAACTACACAGAACACCACTTGCAAGATCGAAGAAACGTTGCAAAATGCCGAAAACCGTGCTTCCGGTATGGCTGATCAAGTTAGGGACAAATTCAGCAACCTCACCAGCGGCAATAGTACCTCGCGCAACGCTGGTGACAGTACTCAGCAGAATTTGTAATCACAGTGTTAAACCTGTAATGCAGTTAGTAACAATGCATGAATAAAAAGAAACATATTTCTGTTTGTTACAAAAAAAATGCTGTCCATTGCGTTTTTAGTCTTAAATAAGCTTTCTTATTCCATAATTAGTATAATCAGAGCATGGGAGTTTTGTGCGTCGTTCAGTAGCAGTTTAACCACAATAACTAAAGGCCACCCTCTTGATGAAACCTGACCGCAAGAAAAAGGTGGTTACGCGGTTCATGCGTGGCGGACATGCTAAAAAAGGCATACCGAATGACTCGGTGACGTCAAGCGGATTGTGACTACCAATTTTTTCACTGCTGCTGCAAAAGGAACCAGCTTGTGGAGGACAATTCGACCACTTCAGACCCATTTTTGCTGCGTATATTCAGTTTTGTGTGAAATAACACCATGTCGGATCCACAACAGGTAATAACTTTTTTACCTTGTGTTAACTTATATACACTGGCATATGGAGCGCTAAATTTTTTACTTATTTCTAGGCGGCAGCACTGGTCGCTGCCAAACGAGCCGAAGTGATGGCGAAGCTTGCGAAATTCCAGCAATCCAGCGGGATGTCGCCTTCCAGTTCTCGATCGCCGGGCAATTCACAACAGCAGCATCGACCGTCGCAACCTAGAATGTCGGCCAGTCAATGGAAACCTCCACCAACTCCACCTAAAGCTTCGCCAAGTCCAGTTCCCGTTTTACCTCCCACTGGCGGACTCAATGCATCCGGCAAAATCGATCTGGTGGAAATCCAAAGAAAAATTGCAGAAGCCAAAGCCAGAGTTACCGCAAGTGGCGCTTCCCTGGTGAGTTGTGATCGCTTGTGTTTTGCTTCTAGAGACTTGGTGAATTAACCACAAGATCTGTAATTAGCCTCGATCGCCCGTGGCCAGCATGCGAACCGCTGACAAAATCCCAGCCGCACCTCCACAGATAGCTTTGGATGAAGCCGGTAATCTCGATCTCAAAGCCATGTTGGACAAAGGCATTATTCCCAAGAGAGAAACTCTTACCTCAAAGGTACAAAAGAAAAAAGCCAAGCAGATCGGGATCTCATTCAATGACGCGCAACTAATCCTTTTTTTTTAGGCCAACGAACGTAAAGCGGCGGCCGCGGCTGCTGCAGCCAAACCAAATAAAGAAGCAAAAACATTAAAGATCGAGCAACCCCCCGAAGATTTTACGGACACGACCAAGAATCCTTACTATGATCCCAACTTACACGCGCAGGCAGCACCGAAACTACGTCGATCCCGTCCTCTCAAATTTGTGCAGCCCGGCAAATTCGTACAACAAGCAAATCAAGAACGAGCCAAAGCCCAGCTCGAAAAACTCAAACAGGAAATCGCAGAAAGTGTACGAAAAGCAGGCATGGAAGTGGAAATGGATGTATCAGATAAAGCAATCAAAGTAAGAAAGTGCAACTTTATTTTTATTATACATGAAGGACAGAGGCTGAAAGAGCGTGTTTTTATTATTTGCAGAAAGAGCCGCCACCAGCGGCCGAGTGGTGGGATGCGCCGTTTTTACCAAACAAGACATATGACGATCTCGAGACGGCTCCTGTTAATCCTGATGAATTGGGTGCCTTGGTCACCTTGTACGTTCATCATCCTATTCCCATCAAACCGCCGACGGATAACAGTGCAGCCACGCCTGTACGGTCATTGATGCTGACGAAAAAAGAACGAAAGAAACTGAGACGACAGCGAAGACAGGAAGCACAAAAGGAAAAACAAGACAGAATTCGATTGGGCTTATTACCGCCCGATCCTCCCAAAGGTAAGAAATTATATATTCACAGAGGTGAAGAAAAAAATCGTAACTGACATTGTTATTTTCCGCGCGGTTACCATAGTGAAAATTAGCAATTTGATGCGCGTGTTGGGACAGGAAGCGATCCAAGATCCGACCAAGATCGAAGCAAAAGTACGAAAAGAAATGGAAATGCGTCAAAAGCAGCACGAATTGGCCAATGCACAACGTCAACTGACGCCGGAAGAACGAAGAGCGAAAATCATGAATAAATTGAAGGAAGATCAGAAGACGAGCAACGAAGTAGCGGTCTTCAAGTAAGTGTCTCGGCGAACGATATTACCAAAAACAATGACTAAGTATTCATTCGGCTGCTGTGTTTGATGTAGGGTCATCAATTGCTCGCATCCAAAGCATCGTTACAAAATTGAAGTGAATGCGCAGCAGTATCAATTGACGGGCATGGTGATTGTGCATCCAAAATGTCATTTGGTGATTGTGGAAGGCGGTCCCAAGAGTATCAAGGCATACAAAAAGTTGATGCTTCGGCGAATCGATTGGAATGATATGCCACCACCGAAGGACGGAAGCAGTGATGCCATGGAAATCGATCACCCCGAAGGCGAACAACAAGAGAATCGATGCTTCCTGGTATGGGAAGGTCAAGTGAAACAAAAGGCATTCAAAAAATTCACCTGGCGAACATTTGAAAGTGAGAAGATGGCACGTGAAGAGTTATCCAAATGGCATGTAGAGCAATACTGGGATGCGGCTGTGCTTGTTTCGAATGAAGAACTGGCAGCTAGACAACCCGAACTATAAATAAAAAATAAAAGAAATATGAAATATCCCAGTTTTTTGGCAGTAATAAATCTCGATGGGATTCCCTCCCCCCCAATGCTTGAACATTTTTAACTCCGCTACCGGACCACTGATTGGAGGATGAAACCGATTTGCTGCCACCATCCAAAGAAGTTCCCTTCTCTCTTCTGGCTCGATTGTGATTCACCATGGTGAGTTTTTGTTGCATCCCCCCTTCCATCTCATCTTTCTAGCATCCATCCATCCATCCGTCATCAATTACCGTCCAATTCGCGTTAAAACGAACGATTCATTTTTTTTTTTCGCTGTTTTCGCAACGGATCACGCCCCAATGCATCAGTTTTCCGAGAAAATTAAGATGTCGCTATTGGAACCCCCATGATGCTTTACCACTTTTTTTCCCATTCTCCTCATGAAACCCCAAAATGACATTTGGAATAAGAGAACGAGTTATTGATATTTTCCTTTTTTTTTCGACGTCTTTCCTTTTTCTTTTTCGGCATATAGGTCAATATTCCTAAGACCAGAAATACCTACTGCAAAGGTATCAAGTGCAGAAAGCACACTCCTCACAAGGTGACCCAGTACAAGGCTGGTAAGGCCTCCTTGTACGCTCAGGGTAAGAGACGTTACGATCGTAAGCAGTCCGGTTATGGTGGTCAGACCAAGCCCGTTTTCCACAAGAAGGCCAAGACCACCAAGAAAGTCGTTCTCCGTCTTGAATGTACCGTCTGCAAGTACAAGATGCAACAACCCCTCAAGCGTTGCAAGCACTTTGAATTGGGTGGTGAAAAGAAGACCAAGGGTGCCGCTCTCGTTTTCTAAACAACCTGTCATTGTTTCTATATTCACATCCGCCCTTTTCTTCCCATTTTTTGTCTGCTATATGTAAAATAAAACAATAGCCTTCAATAACAATAAAAAAGCCAGCATTGCAGAAAAAGAAAAACCAAATTTACCGACTTTGTCACTCTCTTTCTCTTTCTTTTCATGATTTCAAAGCATGTCACGGAAGCGGTGGCTCACAGGTACGCCATCCTTTCGGAGAGGTCTTCCTCTTCCTCCTTATTAATCATGGCCAATGATGGATGCATAGATTAGCCTCCTGTAAAGCGTATGAATTGAGAGAGATTGCACTGAAAAGCGGAGTGAAAACCATAGGTACCAAAGCCGCTTTGGAATCGCGCCTTTTGAGTCATTATCAAGGTGTCATTGACGAAAGTACACGACAAGGAAGATTCTCGTTTGAGGACGGGCTTCCGTCGTCGGTGCTTTCCGTCGATCTTGGTTATCGCAATCTGGCGTTTGTTCAATTGACCAAGAACAATACGGTGAAAGCGTGGTCCCGGGTGGACCTGGAATTACCATCGTTTCATCCCTCGGTTGCCGCTCCTCTGGTACGCGAATTCGTAAAATCGCGATTGATGCCTTTGATGCCATCGACGGGCGCGATTGCTGTAGAGCAGCAACGAGCAAGAAGCAATGGATCGTTTGGTGTTTTTGAAGTCACGTTGAGGGTCAACTGCGTTGAAGCCATGCTGTGGTGTGCGTTGCACGAAGTCACCGAAGGTCGATCAATGCCCAAGGAAGCCATTCCACGCCAGATCGTCGATGGCTATTGGAAAGACACCCTTTTGCAGTTTGCTTCGGATCCATCCACCGCCAAATTGACAGGCAAAGATAAAAAGCAAGCCGGTACACGACTGGTCGAACATTGGCTGGAAAATAATCATACCATTCACTGCAGTGATACCTTAAAAGCTCAGTTTGCCCAAGAAAGCAAAAAAGATGATCTTAGTGATTGTTTATTACAAGCGCTTACTTGGTATCAATGGCGCCGATTTATTCTTGAATACACTCAAAACGCAATAAAATAATCCTGCAAGTATAAAAATAACTTCCTCTGTCAAACCATTTTCCATCAAAGGTCTGCTTCCATCCAAGACCTGAGTCCATAGATTTAGGAGCATCAGTTCACAGCGACACCTTTACCGTGAATGTCGACAAAGCTGCCGTGGATCGTGGTGGCATGGAAAGTACCCAATGTGGTGCGTCCCAGTTCGGCCATGGTAGCAGCGTCAAGAATTAAAAGATAGTGTGATTCTTGCTTGTCTTGGTCAATGGTATTCACGGTGGATAAAATCACGCCGTCGTCTTCGGCCGTGCCTTCTGGATTCGGTACAAAGATTGGTTCAGAACAAGAGCTGCCGGGTTCGTCCCATATTTTGGCCGAGCTTTTCTCGTCGGTATTCTTTCCTTCGTAAGGTCGGTTGAGATCCAGTTTGATCAATCCGTTCACCACGGCTCCCGAAGCGTACGAAGGCGCATGACGTGATTCACAGACTCCCCACAGGTAACGATAGGGACGTAGATTATATCGAGGATTGAATCGTGGCAATTCCAAATCGTACCCAAGTACGGAATACGAAGCCACGCGTCGTTTGTTGTATTCGAGACCAAAGCTCCACGCATCGGGCGTCCAGCGCTTCGATGAGGACGGAGAAGGCACGTGGCCCAGACGATATCTTCGGACTTGCGAGGGAGCAATTGCATGGTTCTTCTTGTCTCTGGTATGCTTCTTGATCACAAACTTGGCCGGTGCCACTTGAGCCAGGTCAATGTCGCCTGAAGAAAGTTTGCCCAGTTCAAAACTGGCATCCACAATGTCGGTATTTTCATACGTACAATAGTCCATGTAAATCACATGTTCGGTCCCGCCACCGGGTAGCTTGATCTCTTCGTCCCACGCATTCGCACTGTGGAAAGCAAAACAGGGGTCCGCATCATAAGTCGCGATATGGCGACCAGTGTGACGATCCACCACTTGAAACAAAGTAGGCCGCGTCTCATCCCAGTAAAAGGTTTGATACGCGCACGAGTAGTAGATCGCAGATAAACCGCCAAAAGAGTAGTAGTAAGGAAAGTTGGGGATGATGATATAGTTCTTGGTGAGGCTAAACGAATGGATGTACGCAGGTTTGAGTGGCTGCATCGTTTTCCAGGCCCCCAAGTGACGCCAGATGGGTTCGCACAAACGTGGCTCCGGTGGCGGCTGCGAAGGATTGGGAAGGTACGGTCCCAGAATAAAGAGTTGAAACGATGGAAAGGGACCAAGTTTGACCATGAAATTCACGTATTCATCCGTTTCTTCGTCATACTGATGATGAGAAGCACATAGTTGCCCCTGAAGCTTGTCACTGATATGGCCATAGGTGAACATTTTGATAGGTTCTGAACACCAAACAAACGGGTTCAGTCATCCATACATCGTCATTGTCACTAATTTTTTTTAGCCTTCACTTACCCAACGTGGTGTTATCAACGACCTGAAGTGTATTGGCATCCCGTTTGATGACCAGCGCTTGTCCTCGGGGAATCCCCGTTTCGGCTTCCAGTCGTTCCCCAAGGGGAAAATTCGGTGTGATGGTGACATTGACCATATCAAACTCGGGGTCGTTCTCTTGCAGCTTGGCATTGGACCCAAATCTTGAAATATGGTGGTACACCGTTTGCATGCGTCCAAAGATGGTTTTGCAAGGATCAGGACCAAACGTCAGCAAGGTGGGATCTCTTTCACCGATACGCCGCTCCACACCGTGCGAAGTGTGGCGAGAACTGTATTTGACAGTCTGCGTCTCACCATTGATCTCGAACCGATGAAGCATCGCTAGACCGTCAAACGGATGACTGATATGATGCGTGTCCCCATTGTCCAACAATATATTGTATCTTCCCGCCCCTAACACCCAAACTTAGTGGGGTATCGCAACAATAAGTGTATGCACTTTTTGGACTTACCCGAGCGATACATGATACCGTTGACCCACTTGGGCACCTCTCCCTGAAGTTGCAAGCTGATGGCCTGCTGGGTAGCGGGCACATTCTTTAAACCGACCGGAGAAGGAGCCGCTTCGTTCTTTAGACGGTTTGGATTGTCGGCAGCAGGCGTAATCATGGTCAATTGGAGTCGACGAAGAAGTAACGAACGAATTCATGACAGGGAAACCATGGATGCGTTTTTATAAAAATCCTCAATTTCATTGTCTCACTGTCAGGGGCAAACTTTATGCAGGCAATTCAGTCGCGTACATGTTGGATAAAAAAAAGAGGCAGAAACCGGAACGAAATTGCATGCAATCTGACCATTACTCTTTTCTTTTTCTTTTGTATGCTGTAAACAGGCAGGCATGGAAGTAATACAAAAAAAAGAGTCATCTGTGTTGCAGCATAGTCCATCACGTATCAATTGCACCCATGAAATAAATAAAAATTTAAGTGAATCTATGATAAATGATTTGGTAATATATGCCAATTCTGAAGTCTTTACAGTTCTTGATAGAGCGGTGTTTGTTGAGGCGGGAAATGGGCTCCTTTCTTGAGTACTATTCAGTTATCAGGTAAGTACCAATGGCATGGCTTGTGACATGGAGGTCCGACTTACGTGTAATCACATCTTTGTCCATGTGTGTGGGGAACACCACCTGGTATTCTACGTAGAGATCGCCATGGTGCGATGGATTGTCATGGTGAGGCATACCAGCGCCTTTGATCGTCTGCACATATCCATATTGAGTCACGGTGTCTCTTTGTAGCTTCACTTTGGAACCGTCCAAATGGGTCAATGATTTTTCAAATCCAACCAGGGCCTCAATGAGAGAAATGGTTTGCTTGGTATACAAGTGATGGCCTCGTCGTTCAAACACGGGATGAGGGATGGTGGAGACCGTGAATACCACATCGCCGGGAATCACGCCCGGCATTTCATCACCTTCCTGTTCCAATACCAAGGTTTGACCATCCTCTACCCCCTTGTCAATGGCAATATTGTACTGCTCGTTGCCACGACGAACTTTTTGTCCTGCACAAGCAGGGCAAACGTGGGTAATGACTTTTCCTTGTCCTCTACATTTATCACACTGCTGTTGAATTTGCTGGACCATGCCCGGGGCCAGTTGCACTCGACGGATGACAACGCCGTGACCGCCGCAAGCGGTACACGTCTTGATGTCTTCGGATCGACGAGCTCCGCTGCCGTGACAGTGATCACAGACCACTTGTTTCGAAATATCGATATCGATCGACGCCCCATTGTATAAATCCTCCAAAGTCACTTCCAGCATCACCTGCATATCCGGACCTCGTCGTTCCTGAGGCTGTCCGTGACCTCCACCTGGGGGCAATACGCTGAGATGAGCGACATGATAGACAAATAAGACAAAACTGATCAGCTCTTACCGAAGCCTCCGCCAAAGAAATGAGAAAAGATGTCAAAAGGATTCTGGAAAGGGGATCCATGACCTCCGTTTTTATGCTGTTCCAAGCCTTCTTCACCGTACCGATCGTAAATGGCTCGCTTCTCATCATCCATCAAAACAGTGTAAGCTGTATCCACCAAAAAAAGATAATCGAGACCATGAGTTAAGCAACCGTTACTATGGTAAACCATCACACTTGTTTTTTTTTTGGTCTTACCGTCGGCCACTTCCATAAACTTGGTAGCAGCTTCCTTGTTGTCTGGGTTCTTGTCAGGATGGTATACTCTGGACAGCTTTTTGTAATGACGTTTGATTTGGTTCTTGGGCGCATCGCGAGGCACATCAAGAATTTTATAATAATCTCGCCCTGCCTGTACTGTCACCAGCAACAGCACGGCTATGCTCATCAATACAAACAGCAGTCGCATGGTTGAAGGGAGCAAAAAAGACAAAGAAACGACAAACAGAACCAATGCCGGCCAACAGCGTGTTGCTGCCCGTCAAAGCAGATCCCATTTGGCCAACGCCCATTGGATTCGCGATTCGCTCTAAAAGGAAATCAACGTCACAGCTCGGCTCGAGAACCCGCAAAAGGGGAAGCGTTCGCTTTTGTCAGGAACATCCGCAAAAAAAATGCATGCTTAATAGATGCTTTCTGTTTATTGATAATCGAGAAGTAGGGAATCACAAAACTTGAATGCCCTCAGTCTTTGAATGGGCCAACATGGGACGACTGTGCATATGGAATGGGTTGCCTGACCAGACAACGAAACTGTCATCCATGGAAAGACTGTTGTAGGACTGAAGTCCAAAGATTTCTTGCAAGTTGCTGGTGACGAAACGGACTGCTTCGGCTTCGGTGATGTCGCCCAACGCCAGCGGAGAATGCGGCGACGTGACCGATAACCAACCGGCATCCCAGGCCAGATTACGTGCTGCCGCGTCGTCCGTCACCGCGATACCGATCTTGACACCGTGGCGTTGAAGTACGTGAGCAGCCGTACCGTTGGTCAGGGGCGCACCCGTCAAACAATGGATAGACTCAAAGTGTTCCGGGGTACACAAGGCAGGTTGAAGAATCACGGGAATTTGGGCTTCAGCAAGATGAGAAGCCACAAGATGGGATTCGGCACCACCAAGAATTACAAATCGAGCGCTGGGGAAATGTGATTTTTTAAGACGGATAATGGAGGCGATTTCATCCTTATTGTTGACTTTGATCACGGTAGGAATGTCTCCGCGGCTGGCTTGGCCATAGTAATTGTTCTCTTTGATGTTTTCCGTGAGAATCTGACGAATGTACGCCACTTGCGATGAAATGGTAGGGAAGCTGTCGCATTTCCATTGCTCACCAATTTGCAAGTGAAGAGCCACCGCTGGTGCAATGACAGCGCCTTCGGAAAGCACTAGGGTTTTTTTTCTTTCTTTCAGTATCATGGAAAACGTTTTCCGATAGCATAATAAGATTACAACTTACCCGAGTCTGCTCCCGTCTTGAAAGCAACACTGACGCCAGCGACCACATTGGAAGAGATCGGGGCGGTAATGCTAGTCAGGACGCCTCCCTTGTATGCTTCTTCCAAATGACGTGTGCCCAGTTTCAGACCATCCACAGCTTCCACTACCGCTTTGGCATCATGGGAAACTGAGGGTCGTACGGTACCATCGCTCGTCGAAGATTCCGAAGGAATTTCTACCATACCCAAAGAAGAGCCGACGGCAATAAGGCCCTAGATTTCAAACTTGAATGAGAAAAATCCAGGCGGAGTGATAAAACGAGATGTCTACTTACAGGAATCACGTAACCTCCCTGAGTATCAATGGTTTCAAGCGCATTGCCAAATTGATTCATGGTGGCGATCGCATGGTGGCAATCTGCGGCAGCACATGTCACGGCGCCATCTTCCACTACAACATCCACTGGCCCTTGCATCACTTTATCGTGGAGCATCACTTGTCCAACGTTGGTCAATCGGAAATTCTTGGCGCCTTGGACTTGATCTTTGACGTAATCAAAGGAAAGGGCCTGGGCTTTAACTGGCTTATCTTCTTCTTTCACGGGAGCAATAGGTCGCTCGTCGAACAAGGGGACACCGTCAATAAAGACTTGAAGGGGGGAAGCGCCGAGTTCGAGCGGTTCACGGTCCCAAATGACGACGTCTGCGTCATAACCCACTTTGAGTGAACCGACACGGTGACCCAATCCCAGTGCTTTGGCAGGAACAGAGGTGACGGTCTTGAATGCCTCCTGAGCCGAGAGACCGTAATGGGTGGCTTTAGCCGCTTCAAAAATGAGATGCTGTGAATTGAGGACCGGGTGATCACTCTTCAAAGCGACCGTAATACCGGCATCTCTCAATATCTTTGGAGCATGCGGTGTGGCCTGGAACGCTTCCTTCTTGTAACCCCACTTGTCGGCAAATGTGGCAATCGTGATATTGTTTCGCGCGCGTCTCAGGATGTCAGGAATACGGTAAGCATCGAGGGCGTGATGGAACGCACTGATGGTGAAATTGAATTCGAGAGAATGGCGTATCATGGCTTCAATATCGTGGGTTTCATAGCAATGAACGTTCAGCAAGACATCACCACGCAAAAGAGCCACCAACGATTCCAAGCTGAGATCTTCCGGGAAACGGGTCTCGAGGCGACCTTCATCGAGATTCTCGGCCGCACTGCACCAATCGTCTTGTTTGAACATTAGTTGCTGGGCTTCCGCCAATTTTTGTCGGAAAAGGTAGGCTTCACCGAGTCCTGATATATTGGGCAAACATGATTTAAAAACAAGTACTCACAAGAGTGTACAATGTTCTCACTTACGTGTCGAAGGCATTTGTCCACGTCTGCCATAGTTTCTCTATGTTTTTTGATCAGTAAACGAATAAACATATGGAATAGGCCGTGCTTGTAAACTTTTTTTTTTTTTTTTGGGCCACGGTCATAGAAGGGGTTCGCCTTTTTTACCTTTGGATTTTCTCCGCATGCCATCTTCATCCATCGCCATTTAGCTTCTTGGTCCTCGTCAATCTTGGATTGTACCAGCATATCTTCGTTGCTGGTGGTGGGCATGGGACGAAGTTTGAATGTGAATGCTTCACCACCCATCAAGTTGCTCGATCCAGGCAATACCAAGACGGTGGTGACACCGCCCGAAGCAACAATGCGAATGGCTTTATCGGAAGGATTAAATGCATCTAAGGATCGTACAAAAGGCACCAATGGCATCGTCATTTCATTGGTATCTGCCGTAGCCTCCAATGCTGGCCATGAAGCAAGGCCAATGTGACTGAAAATAAAATCAAAAGTTGAGAAAGTGATCCGGGGTCGATCGACCGTTGGGTGCTTTTTACCTGTGCATATCAACCAATCCTGGAGAAACAATGTGACCTTTGACATCGATAATCTTTACCGATGCATCCGTAACTTTAAGGCCACGTTGCACATTACGGATGACACCATCCTGCAGTAAAATATCGACATCATGCTGAACGTTGCCTTCGCCATCCCAAACGGTGGCATGAGTCAATAAGACGGGTGGAGCATTGCCAGCTCGAGGGTTTTTGCGGGTTTCCGAAGGTACGTTGATTTTGCGCGCCTTTTGAAGGCGCTGGCAGTGAGCGAGACCCGATTGCATCGCGCTCTCGGAGATACCAGGATTGACAGGGATATCGACGGTATTACCTCTGGAAGGGAACGGTTTGGTGGAAGGCACGAACATGGCGATCAGGAACAACACCAGTGACACAATGGCGAGCAGAACAAGGATAATCTTGGTAATATGGCGCCGTAAATAGCGCTTGATAAAGAACCATTTCGCATTTTGGTAATGACTGTTGGCATTCAGTGGTGCGGATTCACTGTTGTTGACGGCTTCGTTATCCGGAATGGCTTGGTAGCCATTAGTGTGAGAAGCCGACATGGTATACTACTGGAAGTAAAGCAGTCGTAATAGAACAAAACAACTGTTTATATTCGAGTAAACAAGACGAAAGAAACCAGTGTGGATGGGTATCAAAAAAAATATGACAAGAAATAGGACGCGTGAGAAGCCTTCAGGAGGCGAGAGATCGGGACCAACATGGTTGCCAAAATTGGCGATTTTTGCTTTTTTCAACGCCAACGGCGAATGGCGCACGATAACACATTCACGGACAGTCTGATGCATGATCCAAACTCTATGGTACTGAGCATCACCATGCTTTCTTTTAAGCATCATCTCCAATCCATCCTTATCCTACTCTAAAAAAATCCGTTGATCCCGAAAAGAAGAAACGCGCACATCAATGCTGTATGTGAGAAGTTTATCATGCAGATCCTTGTTTCCAAGTTTCTTTATTTGTTTTTTTTTTAGGTTTTTGTTTTTGGGTTGTCTCGACAAAGGAAGTAGGTGTCATGTGCATATATGATTAAAGCACGTCTAATAGTGGCAAAAGGGAAAAAAAGGTATGGGTATGTTTTCTGTACGACTAGTTACAAAGGCTATTGCGCCAATAGGATGCTGATGAACGCCAACCCAAGGAGGGTGGTTACCATGGGAGTTGCGTGGTAGCCTTGGTTAGAAATCGGTATAGCCCCCATCGTTGGTCTGAGTGTACTGGCCGGAGAAACTAAAGCAGACAGACCAAAAAAATATAATCAGTCATGCTGATCAAGGCGATGGATTTAATAATGTGAGAAAATTTACCAATGGGACGTGAAGAGGGCATGGACAGGCTAGCCGAACTGGGTTTTACAAGATTCGATGACACAGCTGCGGAGATCGATGCACTGCTTGCCGCACTAACGGTTTGGACAGCACTGCTGCTAGCGCCTGTGTTCATGCTAGGTAAACCACCTGATACGGCGGATGCAGCGGACGCAGCGGTTTGAACAGAGGCCGAGCCTGTGGCGGAGGGAACTTTGGTAGAGGATGCCACGTCATCAATTGCTGTAGAAGAGGTGCTGGCGGCTTCGGTGGCTAAAGCCGACACGCTGTTGCTGGCAGTTTCCACGGCACGGCTCGCACTTCTGTCAGGTGCTCCAGGCCAATGGTCTGAAATGCAGTTTTGATAACAGTCATTATCACTACAGCCCTTCATACAGCTCTGTGTACTTTCCACTGTCAAAAAAAAAGAAGGTTTAGAATACACAAAAAAAAGGAGGGAAAAGCATAGTGATAAGGTATCATGGAGCAAGGTTTGTCTTACCACATGTGTTGAGACACACTGTATCTTCCGGTTTACAGGCGCATTGAGCGCGAACTTGGTTTTGAGCGAGGAAAAAGGCAAAGATGAGAAGACTGATTTTCATGGCAGAGAGGATAATAGTGAAGATAGGTGGGTGTCAATTTAATGTTCGATTTGAAGTGAATGAACCCAGTGTTTATATATCTTCGGTACGAACATGCTATGGCCCGGAGATCCTATGTATAGCAGCTGCAACGAACAAACAGTGCGTTATTTCGTTTTGATCTCCTTTTTTCTTTATCGTCCTTTAACCCCCTTGAAGTATAAGGTACAATGGCACTTTTTTTTTTCGAAAGTAGCCAATAAGGCTTCGAGGCCGATCGTCTCATGCTTCGGTTCCCGGTCTTTTTTTTTTTAAAAAAAAAGTTTACAAGATTTGTTTCATGACAAAGATGAGTCTTGAATTTCGATTGATTATATTGCACCATAGGTTGACAAGGCGAGATTCATATAATTTGAGGAAATCAACAAAGATGCCTCCAAACACGGGTATTTCAAAACCGGGACCTTATTCTCCTATAATCCGTTTGCCCTGTGATGAAACGGTGGTCTCGATCCCATTGAATTTGTATCCGAATGATTATTATTTCGTCCTTGTCAAAAAGTTATCCTTAACCCCTCTTTTTCATTATGTTTAGGACAGCGTTCATTATTAAAAAAGAAATAACAATTTCGAATCGTGAAATGAAATCAGACGTCAGTGGTCACTTCTAAAAAGTTTATCTAACAGGACGAAGGTTTCCTTTCACGGATATAAGCCATTCGAGATGCGTTGAAACGGATCACCCATCTGTATCATTCAATAAAAAGAATATCAAGCATTTATTTGCCTGTAATTTTGACACTTTTGTTTCAAATGAACTCGGGCGATCGTTGCCACGTTATAGAAAAAAAAAGCTCTTGCCGTTTTGGATTCGATGTTTTAGGAGGAATAGTGTGGGGTTTTCATGTTTCCTTTATTGAAAATTATCAATGCCCTCTCAACCCCTCGTTCCTGATTTCAGGTGATCCCGATGGAACTTGGCTTGAATACAGGACGATGAAATAAGAACACTAACACTCATCGATGCAAGAAATCTGCGAGATGCTGTAACTTATTATTTTCCACTCCTTAGCTCACATTGTATCAAAATGCAATCATGCATTTGCACGGTATTCGGCAAGCGTAGGTCATCCAAACCCATACAGCACTTTAATTTTGGGTTACATTATCTTATTTCATTAACCGAGAATTTATTACAAAACCACTCCTGCCTTTTTTTTTTTACCCCATCTTAGTTTACTTGGAGCATCCTCACTCTTTGTTACTTTTACCTTGTACTATTTTTGAGACGATGCATGAAGAACCATGACAATGATAATATTGGTTACAAATAGAACTCTTCATATCTCGGAAAATTGCCCGAATCGCTCCATCCCTTTGCATTTTATCGGCAAAGCTATTGCAGCTTTGGACCTGCTTTCTGAATATCCACGGATTGCTTGCGCTCTTGATTGAGATTGTTACTTATGCCAAAATTTATATGGCAGATTGGACAGAAGAAATAAGGAATAAATCACTGCTTTATAAGACAAAAAAGTCAATGGCATCGAAGCAGCCTATGTGTTCTTTCAAGCAGTGCGTGGCGATGGCCCCCATTGACGCGGATCCAAGGGAAATGAATCTTGTCCAATCAGAGGTTTTGGATTTTTCAAACCGACCGAATCTGCTGTGTGGAAAAATTTCGGGGGGTCAAAGGTGGGCAGCGATCCCCTCCCGGGCCAAAGGGCCTCCGCACCTGATGGAGCATGTCCAAAGGCGGACTTGGGTGAACTTTCTCTTTCGTTATACATAAATCATGAGCCAACGGTAAGCCATTAGCCTAGGCAATCATGGATGGAAACGGTTAGGGAATGGATGGATGGCATGGATGATATGGGGAAAAGACGCAAAAAGAGATGGATGGATGTTCATTCACTTTGGGACTTGGAACCGACAATGGAAGCGCAAAAACGTACGAACGATGATTACCAGTCCTTTTTCGCATAAAAAGATCATTGGCGCTCACAAGACGAGGGAACATGGAATAAGAGGATGTGCAGCAAATTGGGATTGCTTTTGGAGTCCATTTAAAAGATGGCGAAATTAATCAATGTCAAAATTGTAGACTTTACAGCAAGGGCCGTGTCTTGGGCTACGAACGTGCTAAGCGCAACCAGAACCCCAACACTTCTCTCATTCAGATTGAGGGTGTTCAGACCACTAAAGATGCTCAGTTCTACCTCGGCAAGCGCATTGCTTACGTCTACCGTGCTCAAAAGGCCGTCAATGGCTCCAAGATCCGTGTGATCTGGGGTCGCATTGCTCGCACTCACGGTACCAATGGTGTCGTCAAGGCCCGTTTCCGCAACAACTTGCCTCCCAAGACCTTTGGTGCCAGTGTTCGTGTGGTAAGTTAATTGTCTTGCCGGATACAATATATATATATATATATATATATATATAAGTAGGAATAGAGAACTAATTCTTGATTTGATTCTGCAATGATTAGATGCTTTATCCTTCCAACATTTAAGGGGCCTCTGATTTTGTATGATATAACACTTTAGTAATACAATTTTTTTTTGTGGAAAGAAAAAAGAACAACAACAACAACGTCATTCACTGTTTTTCCTACATCCACTGTTATTTCTGCTCGTGAATTTCCTTTTTCTCATTTTGCATGATTCAACAGAAAGACCAAAAAAGAAAAAAGTTTAATTTCAAGAAAGCAGTTGCGGGGACTTGCGGAACAAAACGACACACGTGGATGCACTAGGCGTACACTTGAATGACCTATCGCTGTCAGCACCGAATGGCCGCTTAGGCGGGCAATGAAAATATTATACACCATCACCGGTTCCTCAAAGTAATGAGGAGCAATCGTTTTACCCCAGTTCCAACAAGACTTGATATGTGGATGGAATGCAATGGATAGTAAATTGGCACATGTCAATGTCGTTGACGTTTTTTTCCCCAGTGTTTCCAGTGTGTTTAGGCTTAGCTTAGGGAAAATAAACAGTGTCCGGGCAGGCCAATCAGATAAGTGATGGGGTAAAAAAAAAGAGCAGTCCCGAGTCAACATCGGATATCTGATTTTTTTCCCTTATAAAAGTGTGCAGGGTATTTTTTTTTTTCTACTTCATTTCTCCCTCAGAGTTTTTTAACCGTCATCACACTACATACCATGTTGCGTACTACTTTTAATGCCCTTAGCCGATCTACTCAAAGCATTCATAAACCTTTGAGCTTGTCTGGTGCTCGTTTCTATCACGAAAAGGTGAGTCGTCCATCCTTGATGATGCCATCATTTGGATGGGGTTGATTTTCTTTTTTTTTTTTTTCTTTGCTAATGATCGGACCAAAATGATAGGTTATTGATCATTACGAACGACCGCGCAATGTTGGTTCATTCCCAAAGACGGATATCGATGTTGGTACTGGACTTGTGGGAGCTCCTGCGTGCGGTGATGTGATGAAATTGCAAATTAAAGTGGACGAGGAAAGCGGCAAGATTGTCGATGTCAAGTTCAAGACGTTTGGCTGTGGTTCAGCCATTGCTTCCAGCAGCTTCATGACCGAACGCGTGAGAGGCATGACCTTGGAACAGGCCGGTCAAATCAAGAATACCGAAATCGCAAAGGAATTGTGCTTACCTCCCGTGAAATTGCATTGTTCCAGTAAGTTTGGATTGGACTAGGATCTCAGTGGGGTGGTAGTTTTTGCGTACTAAAACGGAGCTCCGTGCTTTTTTACAGTGTTGGCTGAAGATGCTATTAAATCGGCTATCAAAGATTATCACAGCAAGCGCAGCAAGAGAATGGGAGGACAACCCGCCGCCGCAGCATCGAGCGGTCAAGCACAGCAGGCCACCGCATAAAAAAAAACCTGAATAATCTCACAGAATATTTATGGAAAGATAGGCCGACTGGATATATTGAGTTCATATTCAACCATCATCATCTTTCCTTATATCCTTAAAATTCATATGAAGAAAAAAGAGTTGGATTGCTTTTTTCCCGATGCCACTCTTTTTTTTTATGTTCATCCCCTCTTATTGTAAATAACTCGCTTTTTTCTCAAGAAGAAAAGAAAGACAACAGAAACTTTTTTTTTAATAAAATTTCAAAAGCATGGCAACAAAAGCAGAAGTCATAGTTGGCTAAATAATGATTCGTCAAACTTATTTTCTCTTTTTTTTCAGTTCCCCTTTGTGGTCTAGTTCAACAGACGGAGGAAGTTTGTCCGACCGTCCAATTCATTTCTTTCCTCCCCGCACTTTCCATGATCTCTAATGATTTGTCACAAATTTTAGGCGGAGAAGTAACTACGTTTATCCGTGCAGTCTCTTTTGTACAGTTGAACAAGCACCTATATTTTGATCATTTTTAAGAGATCCCACACAAGTTAACTAAACTGCAAGATCCTCAATAAAAATAAGCAATGTATAACTGCTTCTTTTTAAATGATAGACAGAGTGATCAAACATAATAAGAATTGGCGATTAAAAAACAAGGTTTCAACCGAACGTGTGAATCGGAAGGAAGATCTTTAGCTGCGCAAGGTATCCCAGGATTCGTGAGCGGAATGTCCCAGCCGCCAGCCTTGTTATGTTCCTGCACGTCGGAGAATAAAAAACGTTTTTTTAGGGTTTGGTAAGTGCTGACATTGTTTTTTTTTTTTTTTTTTGTGTAGACGGAAGTCCAAAAAAAAGGCAAGAAAAGAAAAAGAATGATAGGTATGGTAAATCAGGAGACTGTCAAAGAGGAAAGGGTGAAAGGAGCAAGGGAATTAGGTTCACGGCAGGCTTTTTGTTTTGAAAATGATCCATGCTTCTGGAAAAGGCAAAAAAAGTAACAAGATAAGCGGGATGGCGGTGATTGGTTTATGAGGTGAACCACCTATTGACAGCCATTTTGATTCTCCTCCTAGTATTTAAATCCCAACCTTCAAAGGACCTTTTCTGAGCTTCTATCTCTGTACTTTGAAGCCATTATCTATCCTTGTTCTTTTTTGTTAACTCTTTGTTTCTTTGCCTCTTTGTGTTTTTTATATAATTCCATATTGTTTCTGTTATTATTTCTATCTATCTATTCTATCTATCTGTTACACCATCTCTTATTTAATAATATAAACCTACCATGTCCATCAGTCCAATTATATCCACAGTTTGTTCTCGAAGTCCTGAAGCACTTCTGTGTAAGTTTTCTTCAATGATCCCTGGATAATCGTGGAAAAAAAAAGAAAAGAAAACAAGCAGTTAGCTCACGCTGCTGAATTTTTTCTTGTTCAGCTTTCACGACAAATACGGCTACCACGTTATTACCATGTTCCAAACGATCGAAACGTACCGTGACCCATAAAATGAGCGCCAAACACCTTCCTCCACTCAATGATTTCATTGCGGCGATATTCCGTCGATCTCAACTTCCACCGTCGGTCTGCCTCGTGTCGTTAATTTATCTCCAACGGCTGAAATCCAGTTTACCGCGTCACGCACGCGGTGACATTGACACCCCTTACCGCCTCTTCCTTGCCGCCATCATGACCGCCTCCAAATTCATGTCCGAAACCGGTTCTTGTCTAACAAGTCAGGTCGTGGCGGAAATGACCGATCATGTGTATACACCCAAAGATGTCAATCTCATGGAACGCAGTTTCCTGGGCTTGATTAAATATGATCTCTTTGTAAATATTGAAGGAATCAAGGATTATCTGGCCATGCATGGTGAACTACTCGAAATGGATCTGGTTGAGGAGGTTCTGGACCAACAATAGCCCTTTCAAGAAAAAACTCTAATGTATGCACAATGTGACCATCCTGTATTATACCGTTCTCTTTCTTTATACACCCATTCTCTATTTAATTTCCCTTCTTCTTCTACATCATCGTCCTCTTATTTCTTGTTCCTTTTTGTTCTTTTTTTCTTTGTGTAGATAATTTTTTTTTCTGATGAGGAGATCCTATTTTTCCTTTATTTTTTTTTCGCCATGTTACTGGTTGTACATATTAAAATATACCCATTTAGAATCCAAGATGCTTTTGCAGAATAATGCATCCCTCCATTCACCTTGTCTATGACTATCTAATTTCTCTGTTGATCTTACAACACAAGAAAAAAAAAAGACGGAGGTGCGGAAGAAAAAATGAATACTTGAGATTGAATCACATGAAGACAATGGAAAAAAAGAAAAAAAAAATGAAGCAAGGAGACATTGTCGAAGCGCGATGATGCATCATGTTGCTATCATTGACAAAAAAAAAAAGAGTTTCACCAACCATGCATTCACCCTTTCTTTCTGCCTGAATATGTCAGTTGCATCTTCGACTTGACGAATTTGAATGTATTGGCCATGCTAAATAAGAGAGCAAATGACCCGTATTTTCTTTGTATCAAACACACTGTTGGCAAGGGATTTGGTGGTATTTAAAATCAGAGACCACGCGATCTGGACACTGTTGATGGATGATTTGGAACAGATGGTATGTGGGAAGCTAGTTTTGAAAGATAGTTAAATTCATCTGACGATCTCGGAGCCGTCAACCGAGCCACACTTGGAAGAAAGCAAGAAAGCACAAGATCATGCATGCTGGATACAAAAAAAAATAAAATAAGGGGAGATCGTCATAATGGCCTTGAATCTAGGCCAAAGGTCATCTGCCAAATGAATAATGCTGAATGCAATAAAAGGAAATACCGACCTTCCGTTAGCATCATCACATGAGACATGCTGTTAATTCCTTTAGTTCTTCCATGTTCCTTTAACGTTGAACAAACTTCAAGAAGAGGCCAGGTACGACCATCTTTTTTTTTGTTCACACACTATTTTCGCATGGAAAGAAAGAAACATGGCTTGTCATTATGATGGCATCTACTCGTTTGTAGAATAGTGAACAGAATTCCATGACGAAAGACCATGGGAAACACCATGCTTCTTCTTATGTATATGGCAGAAAAAAACAAATTCTAAAATGCCCATTCTACATGCATTATGTGCCAAATCAAATTGCCCAATACATGGTGTCAACTTGGACTAGGAAAAAAAAAAAGCAACCAACATTGGTAGGACAGACAATGTAAGTATGATGATATTTTCTCGACCTTTTGCTGTCATCTTTGACGCATCCGTCCGCATTACGGCTGGTAGGCAGGATGTTTAATTGTTGGGTACTGGTACTTACTTGTACCTGTCTCCAGTCCAGTTGATCATAAGGGTTTCTCTGAAAGTCAAGATGGATAGTGACATTTACTGTTTATTTCCCTCTCCGCTTGTTTCCCGCAGCAGATATGCCTAAATAGATAATGTTTTACGGTACGTGAACAAACAAACGAAGCGGGGTGCCGTCGGTTTGTAAGTTTTTTTTTTTTTTTTTTTTTTTTTTTATTGCATAAAAGAATTGCCAACTGTGGATCGCGAACCTTTCTCCGAGTAGGCTGTTATTAAAAACGTCTGTTTGCATTGATCCTGAGGATTCGCAATTTTGGTTTTCAAAAATATACTTCCAAGCAGATTGTGTAAGCTTTTGCACAATATGGTTATGAGTGATGTTACGGGTTACACTCAATTTTGTATGAAATTTCCAGCATCCTGTATGATCAGTTTTTTTATGTTTGCAACATGCCATATAAACTTGGCTTTTTTTATTTTTCTTTGGTCATCTCCTTTTTGGAGGGGGATCTAATGATACTCTTGCTTATGAGAGACCTCTCTGTACTATCTCTTCTTGTATTTGGGCTAGAATGGTATCATAGAATAAATGCACGGATCGCTGCCGATGGACGACAATCGAGTGTTAAATAAGATGGGTATCAAACCGTTTTACCACCATGCTGATAAGCAGTGATTGATCGTATGATACAAATCACCTTTTTTAAATTCCTGGAGAATCTGCGGGGCCGTTTTAAGACAGTGATAGATTTGAACGAATGCGTCTGAGTGGGGTCACACGGGGTGCAAAATAAAAAAAAGAGAGGAGCAGTCACTCCAATGGGCTGCTGGCTGCTTGAACAGAGACCATTGTTGCGTTATTTTTCACCAGCGTTTTATAAGAGTCGCCTCACGCACTGCTGTAGTTTTCTTTTTTTCTGCCTTTCTTTTTTTCAAATGTCTGGCCGGTTAACATTAGCAGTGCCGGAAGCGGCTGCTTCCGCCGATACCATCCAGTTCAAACTTGTCTTGGGCGGAGATGTAGGGGATATTTTTTCACCACCACTGAAGATGTCTGCACCAAACTCATTCAAGTTTTCTTTGCTTTGAAACCGGTTGAAATAGGGACTGGAATCATATATGCAACGGCATGACCTTGCTCAGACCATTGCATTTCGCTCGTTTCAGCAAATAAGCTGGCTTCACGACCGACTGGCCCACGCTTTTACCGAAGTGGTGATTCCGCCGTTGCCAGAACCGCCAGTGGAATCGCGAATGGACGATCAAGATTACGTCGAACGAAAACGACTTCAGATTGAACGCTTCTTTGAAAAATTAATGCGTCGCCGGGTGTTTGCCAATCACACTGATTTTATTCATTTTCTATCCAATGATATGGTAAGATGATGAATGGGTGTGGGGGTTGGGGGGGGGGAAGGGTGTTACGGGAAAAAGAGCGCGCTCACCCTTTTATTTTCGGATTTTTTAGACACCGACAGAAGTAGGCCGCAAAGGCAAAGGCGTTCTGTCCTTCCTTCGGTTCAACCGGGTCATGAAACCCAGCTCAGACCAAGGCTTCAAATCCTACAAAGTAACCGAACCCGTTGACGGGGTAAGTGACTCGAACAAAAGCCATGATCTCGAACCCCACTTGACCGTTGGATTCGATAGGATGATCAAGATACTTTTCATGGCCATCAAATCTATATTTTAATGCTTGAATCCTACTTTGGTGTGATTGCCGAGTGTCTGCTGCAAAGTATTCAAGTGCGTGAAGGTAAAAAGGAAAAAAAAAATTTCACCAGGCCTTTCTGGTGGATAAAAAAGCTGAAAACAATGTAGGACTCGGTGATGCTTTGGCACATATGGGAGATCTCGTGATTGAGACGACCCAGAGCAAGTATCGACTAGGTCACGGTGATAAAGAAACGGATAGAGAAGCACAGAGAAATCTTGATCGCCGGATGCAGATTTTCGGCTTGCTGATGGATGAACTAGGGTTTATCTTTACACGGCAGGTAAAGAAGAATCAAACCAATGCGGCGGTCAGGCGAACGATGGATAACTGAAAGAGACCATGGGTTTTTCTTAGGGCAAAGAAGAAACGATGAAAATGGTGGACGTTCTGATCGAACATAAAAATTCAATGGATGCACTCAAGGCGAGTTTATAGGCTAAATGTAAAAAAGAAAGAGCATCAGACATTGACTGTCCTTCAATAACCCTGACTTGTTTTACTATTTCTTTTTTTTTTTTCTCCCTTAGAGTATCTTCAATGTGCGAACGCAGAAATTGATGGATTACGTCGACAGTATGAAGCATCGTAATAAGAAACGGGACAAGGCCGATAAACTGAAATTGCGTTTGGGACTGAATGCACCGGAAGTTCAGACGACAATGGCCGAGGAAGAAGAGGTGGGTACACCTTTTGACTCGTACAAAGAGGGAGAAAAAAAAATTGATCGAATGGATATTGGGTGGGTTGTTTTTTAGGCACGAGTTGCACTTGAAGCAAATCGACAGCAATTCAATGAATCGCAAATCAAAGTCAAGAGGGAGATGCGAATATTCGAAGCGCAAAAAAGCCGCGATTTGACACGGTCACTCAACGACTATGTGCAGGCCAATCTTCGTTACGAGCGTGTGAAATTGCAAACCTTAGAAAAGGCGTTGCAAGAAATGCGGCACGCCAAGCCAAAACCCATCTATGATCTGTCAGCGCCCGAGGAAGATGACGGCGCGTCGATCACTTCGACGTCCACCTATGATACCGCAGCGGCACGAGCGAAACGACGGCAAAAGTCACGTCAATCCAAAGACTTTGAACGCACGTTGCAATCATCGGCTTCCCTGCCTACATGGACACGGAAGAAAGATCAGGAGGATGACACCGGCTCTACCTCGCGAGTCTCACCCTTTGCACGTTATGATAATCCCCTGTCTACATCGTATGATGAACGCATGCGAAACAGTCCATGGCCGAAAGATTAAAAACGAAGTAACCAATAATTCATATCCCGTCGATCTCTCTCTCTATCTCTGTCTTCATTCTCTACTAACAAACAATAATAAATATGCCGATCGCTTGCATTAACATAGTAAAACCAAAAAAGAAAAAGAAATCATTGTCAAGACAACCGTCAGACGTTAAAAGGCAACCATCCGATTTAAAAGACCACAGACAAAAAGATCATATAGACATTTGATGAGACCATACTGTAGTGCTATAGGTTAATGTAAAGCGTTGCCTGTAGGCGGCGTGAAAAATTGGAATGGGTAGGTATGACATGATAAACAAACATTTTGAACGAGTGAAACGATCCATGATACATCGGATGACTATTTTTTTGTTTTCTGGGAAATAGAAAGGACAGCATTATCAGAGCGAGGACCACGTGGCGTATCATTCTGTGGACAACAATGGAATTGGGGATTGGGTGCTGCGGGAAGTTCCTGGTGTGTCTTTTTTTTTGGGTGGTCACTCCATCGTTCCCAATGGTGTCATGTTAGCGGGGCCCCTGTCATACGCATTGGTATCAAAAACATTAGCTTGCAACGAAAATAAAATGGTTACACAAAGATAAGATAGAATGACAAAAAAAATTCGAAAAGTAAAGCAAAAAAAAATTGGGTGGTTGGCTTTTTTTTAAGGGACGATGATGATCCGTTCAATGAGCCAAAAGTGTGGCTCGAGTGTTTCTTGCCCTGAAAAGATCAAGGAGATGGGGTCCAATCATCCGGTCGTGTGCGCATTAAAGTTGAACCTCCGCCTTCCCACCGATTTGCTCATGGTTCCGTTGGCAAGACTAAAAATTAAGGAACGCTGAACAGGGCGACGGTCACCTCGGATTCCTTCCAGAATAAAAGCTGCTCTGCTTTTATTTTTTTATTTTTAGTAACCACTCTATTGGCACTTTTGTAAGACTCAGACTACTTGAGTGAATAACCCATGGTGTCCATGGCTCATCAAAGGCAAGGATCATTCCAATGTCCTCGATGAGGAACAAACGGATGGAGTCAAGATGGGCGAGTTTGGCGAGGTTGCGTAGAACATGAAATTAAAAAAAAACCGTGCCATATATAAAACCATAGAAAGGTCAACAACTCTCTTTATAAATTTGATATGGCAACATTAGACATTATTTGTTTTTTTTTCTGAAAAAGTAAAAGATGACACTGGCGCTTGTTAAAGAAAATTCAATGCAGAATTGGGGGACGGGGTAAAAAAAATGAAAAAAGGTAGAAATTTGTAGAAGAGCGGAAGAAGAAAGAAGAAGAATTTAAAAAGATCTACTTTTTTGTTATAAAAATTGCGGCGATGACAAGGCTTTTACCTAAAAATGATCAAGATGAAAAATGGGATAGCAACAAAAAAGATGGTTGCATGGAAATCGGCGCGTGATCTCAAAAAAAAAGTTTTTTTGAACTGATGACGAAATAACCACGCTTGCTGCTTTACAGGCCGGTATAAAAAAATAGTTCAAGCTAAACGATGGTCGCTTTTTTCCTGCTTTTTTCTCCCTTTTTTTTATTTTTATAATCGTATTAAAGGAAAAACAAAAAAATTAATACACTATAAAAAAATAAAAAAAAACTCCCCCATGTCAGTGAAAACCGACTCCACCTCCACTCGACCCGGTCTTTCTTCGCTAGGCAAATATTCTTCCGCGACCAACATGCATAGTAACAGCAGCCCTGGACTGCTCACCCATCACTTACATTCGGGGATGGTAAGCGCTGGGCCACCCGCCGAGCAACTTGATGTGAACCGCAATCCACTAGATGCCTCAGAATCTAACGTACCGTCATGCTACACCGTGATTGACCTCAAGTAAGTGTCCCTTATTTCTTTTCTGGAATGAAATTTCTGGATATTTCACAATCAACCGTTTATTTTATCGTTTTTTTCTTCCGCTATTTCTTTTTTCTACCTTTCTGTCTTCTGCCTTTTTTTTTGTTTTCTTCTTGTCCTTTGTACGTTGGGATGGTGTAGAAAGGTTTCCTTTTTTCCGTGTTTCAATTTGTGTGTGTGTATGTTTTGAGGATTGCGTTTTTCCCTGTTTTCAAAGTTTCCTGTTTCTTACTCACACGGTGATTGTTCTGTTCTTTTTCATTTCATTTCATTTCGCCCTGGTTTTTTTTATTTTATTTTTTTTCGGTTGTTTTTTTTGTTGCTCCGAAGCGTCACATCAACTTATGTTTGGTTTGGTTTTTTTCTTTTTCTTGCTCCGTGTGTGATAGTGATTTAAAAGGCGATGAACTTCGACAGGCGGTTTTCCAATTAATTGAAACTTTGTTTCCCGGCATGGCTTCTCCAGACCAAGGAACTATCACGTTGGAACGCATGTGTGGTGCCATGACAAAGTAAGTATTTATGCCGTATGACAGGGGAAAATACAACCAGAAAAAAAAAGATTCGGCTGTTCTTTTCTTTTTTTCCTCTTTAGCATGGCTCACAAAGAAAAATGGAGTAGTTCTGTCTTTTTAGTCACCGTCAATGATAACCAACGAATGTTAATGCGTATTTACGGGAACGGGTGTGATCAGATCATCGACCGTAATAAAGAGTTGCACTGGATCTCACGCCTGTCACAGTTGGATCTCGGTCCGCGACTGTTGGCAATCTTTGGTAATGGCCGCTTTGAAGAGTACCTTCCTTCCACTACTTTGTCCCGTACCGATATTCGGAATCCTACCTTATCACGCCAAGTCGCTTCCAGATTGTGTCACTTACATACAATTGTCCAAGTCTATCCTCCCTCTCCCGAAGAAGCTCAGCAACTGGAAGTGTGGAAAAATGTCGACAAATGGTACCGTCTCGTTCTCTCATTGTTACCCGAACTGACCTCCAAAGAAGCTCAAGCCACCAAGCTTCAAGAATTTGATATTGTACGACTGCGAAAGGAAATTGAACTTTGCAAAATTATTTTAGGCCGTTTGCGAAGTCCTATCGTATTTGCACACAACGATGTAAGTTCTCATTTTCCCCTTTCCTCACCCCCCCCCCCTTTTATTCCCAATACAGAACACACACGCGCACACATATACATTCGAAAAGAGAGAGAGAGAGCGCTCAGAAAAAAAGGAAGCCGAGGGAAAAAAATAACGAGTGATGAAATCATCCAACATTGAACGTGATCAGAGAACTGACGACGGTTCCTTTTTTTTTTTTGGCCTTAGACCCAATATGGTAATATCTTGAAACTTGAAGGATCGGGAGATCTTGTGGTGATTGATTTTGAGTATGCCGGTTACAATGCTCGCGGTTATGATATTGCCAATCATTTCTGTGAATGGATGTACGATTACCATTGCGAGAAGCCTGCTTTATTGCAATTGGATCAGTTTCCGACCATTGATGAACAATTAACGTTTTTAAAAGCGTACGTGGACGCCAATGAAAATGATCACACCGATATGGAGGTGCTACACACCGAAGTGTCCATGTGGGTTATGGCCAGTCATCTTTCATGGGGATTGTGGGGTTTGATTCAAGCCTGCCACAGCGATATCGAATTCGACTACTTTTTATATTCTATGCAACGACTCGGTGCTTTCCGTAGTGAGCTCACTAAATGGACCTCAGCTTAGATTGTTTAATGAACCTTTTTGCTTGCTTGCTTGTTTTTTTTTTCTCCTTTCTTGTTTACTCTTATTGCTTTTTGTCCATTTTCTTTTTCTTCTTCTTCTCTCGTTCCTCTATATTCCATGGTTGAATTATTCTGTTCTCTTCCCCAAAGCCCATTCAATTTTTTTTCTATCTGTTCCTTATCACAACACACATGCAATCCCCCCAAAAAAAGGAAACAAAAAAAAAAGCGTCTCATCATATTAAAAAACACACCCATCCGGTTCTCACTCCAGCAAATCATCATTGTGTTCTTGGTTAGGCATTTGAAAAATTACTTGCAAGCGTAGGGCATGAAAAAAAAAAAACTGGCGTTGTAGGTCACGCTCTTCATCGCGGCATTGTTAGAAAGACCATCGCGATTGTCGATCCAAGAAAATGGTCAGCCACTACAGGACACAAGACGAGAAAAGAACAATAGACTTTGTCTTGGCAAGGAAAATATTACAGCGAGAGTATTGTTTATGGAATGCCTTGTCATGGAGGATGGCCCATGTTATTATAAGCGATTTATAATTTTCTATTTTATTATTGTATGCAGAGAGGGATGAGAAGGGAGAGTTCTTAGAAATTGTCAAAGTTGCCATAGCCTCGGCCGGATAACTTGGGTTTCTTTGGTGGCATAGCGGATGGAATGTCATCGCTCTCCGCCACACCGCTCTTTGAGGAGACGGACTGAGTCGATGACTGTAAATATTTACCAATGCCACCCCCGCCTCCACCGCTCGTAGACGTGGCTTGATTCAGTTTCTTTTTGATATTGGGGCCGAACCATCCCATACTGTCCTCTTTTTCACGCTGTTGACGTCGCTTCTCTTCATCGGCTTCCGCATTCGCTTCACGTTCGAGTTTGCGCTTTAACCGCTTGGTATACTCCTCATACGGATCGACAAACACCGACACTTCTCTCATTCGAATATCGCGTTCCGGCCGATCGGCATCATCCACAGGCACCGCTTCCATCTTGTTCAGAACATCCAAGCCGCCAACCACACGGCCAAAAATGGTGTGTTTTCGATCCAACTGCGTACAAGGTCCATACGTAATGAAACTAAAAGACGCCACGCATTACATCTCGCACAAACAACACACGTTTTCATCCCAAACGTTAAAGATGACTTACAATTGTGATCCATTGGTATCTTTGCCCTTATTCGCCATACTCAGAATGCCGCGATCATCGTGCGATAAATTGAACTTGATTTCATCTGGAAAAGGTTGCTTCCAGTAGGATTCGCCACCTCTTCCTGTTCCTGTCGGGTCACCGCCCTGGATCTATTTTGACCGGCGGGTGTTAGTTAAATTCAGATTTTTGCGTAACAGGTTCAAAGCAAGTCAACTTGCGTACCATGAAATTCTTGATATTTCGGTGAAATATGACGCCGTTATAATAACCGGATTTTGCTAGCATGATAAAATTGTGACATGCGCGAGGGGCCTATTTTCATTCCTTGTCAGCAAATTGCATGCAAACCGTGTTCCTCACTAATCCGTCGTACCTTGTCACAATACAGCTCAATGTTCAAGTTGCCAAAGTTGGTCATGATCCGCGCATAACCTTTGGTTTTGATGTATTTATACATGAATTCTTCTTCATCAATCAACGCTCGTTCATTCACCGTGACTGTATCGACGGCTGTCGAAGTGAACGAAGCCGCGGCACGACCTGTCGAATAGTGAGCCGCATTGTAAGGGGTGGCCGCTTTTTTTGGATGGAATATTGTGGCTTTTTGCTCTTTCTTTACTGCGGCCACGGCTGTTCCTGAACTGCCCGCGCTTGTAGGAGAGCTCGTTGTTTCCGCTGCTGCTGCTGGTGTGGTTGACTCGTCGTTTCCGCCGCCATCTTCCTTTTTCTGCAATTCGGCCAACACGCGACCGGCGGTTCCTCCAATCCCGGCCACATTGATATTATTGATGGCTTTTCGCTTTTCTCGTTCTTCCGCTAATTTTTTGTTTTTCAATGAAAACTGTATCAACGACGGCTTGCTCTGTTTTTCGTATGTACCACGCTTCATATCACGTACCTGCATTGACCACCTTCAAATCGTGCTTCAGATAATGAAATTTGGACATGTTGCGTTTCTCCAGATTGTGAGGATCCTAAAACAGGTGACAGTGAGCCACACTGCACGGTCCGTGTGGAATATGACATTTTTTTCTGTTTTACCTGGATCATGATGATATCTTTCCGAGTAAAAGGTTCGTCGGTCAAAAGATCTCGCCAGTATTTTGCTTTGATATTGAGACGTTCGATCGTATCGTAGGCAAACACATTACCCGAAGTCTTGATGGCGGCAATGGCGGTGTGATCGCTGAATACTTTATAGGTGACAGGACAGTAGTATTCGTCTTTGTCGTTCTTGTGGAAGTGGAGTTGAATGAGATCTTTGGCAGCAAGTGGTTCGCCGGTCACTGGATTGGTGCCGTATTTCTTGATGTAGGGAATGATGTGAATCAGGTCGAAGACAATACCGTCCGCAGTGCATACGGGATGCTCAAAAGGCTGCAGTGACAGTGAACAACAGTAAAACGGTAAGCGTCGAAACCCTTCGTTACGAGTGCGTCCAGTCGTTCCCGATGAAGCGCCATGCTGACCCACTTCACCACTCCATTCGGAATGCGTAATGTAAAGTTTATCCGTCCATTTACCCATGATTCGCTATAGAAAGATTCACCCGAACGAAGAGAGAGAGAGAGAGAGAGAAAGAAGGGTAATGCTTTAATTTCAAATTCGGGGTGTGATGTGACGTTCATTCAAATCAATCCCCAGCGTTTGCAAAAATTATGGTCCCGACAATTCCGTTCACGCCCTTTTTTCTTTTGGTTTGGGTCGGTAGTGTAATATCCCTTTTTCTTGCCTCGTTTTCTTTTTGTGTATTATGCCAGAGTCCGAGCCGCTTCGTCACGGCGGCCTCTCCACGCAACGACGTAACCCACGACCGCACAGCTTGATACCGGATCCAGACGTTCCACCCCTCATTCCTCGATGGTAGGTCGAGTTTCTTTTTTTTTTTTTTTTGCCCTCCTTTATGCACAGACACACACACAGCAGGACTCTGTATTTATGATTCCCCATGGCCAGGTTTCACTCCATCAACAACCCTGTCATCGATCCCATTGCCCTCAGAAAAGCAAAGAGTGTCGGTTCCCTCAATAAAAAGTCGCCCAAACCACCAGCAGCCCCCAAACCCAAACCCACCTCCAAATGGGTCCCCTTTTCCAAACGGGATTCCACCGCCCTTGAAAAGGCCTTTCAGGTAAACACCCACCACTCTTTTGAAAGTTGCCCCGAAACCATGCGAATTGCTTGTTAAAACGCTGTTGTTATGGTTTTTTTGTTTATACAGAATAACGACGTCCGAGCAACGGTGCCGGTGAATGAAGATCATTTATTTGAAGTGGATGTCACACAACGCACCATTAGCCCAGTTTATTGGGAAGGACCGACATTTGAGGTACGAAGGGCGACGTGGTTTATGCAAGGCGATGGATCCAAATGGATGCCCTGTGAAGAAAATTTAGCCGAACAGATCGAACTAGGCTATTAGTAAGTTTTTGCTTTAGCGTCAAAATACGGATGCAAAAAGTGTGGTAATATTTATCGGTGGATATTAGTAAATACAAACCGTATGTCGATGAAGCTTCCATGGACGATGCGAGTAATTCAACCTCTTCGAAACCTGCCGCCGTGTTATCGCAGAGCAAGTCGGACGATAGTACCGCCGTCAGTACGGCCGAAGAGAAAAAATTGGAAATGAGTCTAGCCAAGCAACCGGTGGAGAAACAGTGGAATCTGCTAGGCCCTTATTTGGGACAATACATCATCTACACCGGTAGCAATACGGCATGGCTCCTATCGTAAGTTGTCCGGGAAAGAAAATACCCACAAAAAGAAAAATACATTCGTATTAATGCAGCGATCCTGTTTGCACATTTTTACAGCAACAGCGCCAGCAGTAAACTCGCGAAATCGATTATTACACGATTGACCAATAAGCAGAACCTTGGAGGCACGCGGTTGATCCGAGGGTACCCCGAGGTGGAAAAGCAACAAAGCAAATCCAAAGGATCCACAGCTTCAGCCGTGGTATCCAAACCCGCCGATACCGAAAAGAAGGCCACGCTTGATTTCACCACCACCACCGATACCGATCTCTCTGCGAATGAGACCGCCATGACCGAGAAAGAAGAAGATACCCAGCTCACTCAAGAAGCCGAAGATTACGACAATGAGAATAGCGAAGAGGAAGTAAGAAGCATTGATCATCTCATCTTTGTCGTTCACGGGTAATTTGATTTTTACTGGACAAAATGAAAAACTCCCTCTCCCTCATCCAGGATTTTTCTGTAGTGTTGGGCAAAAAATGTCGGAAAGGACGGGCCAGACCTTTGTTCATGGTAAGAAAAAAATTCTGTTACTAATGCGTGATTTTTCAGTGGAACAAATTGACCGAGAGCTCTATGGGTGTAGATGTAAATATTTTAAGAAAGACACTCAAAACAGCTTACCCTACCGCTATTGCCTCCACGGCCACGCCGCAGCGATCAAATGGAATTCAGTTGCTTCCGATCATGTGGCGACAAGAGATCAAGTTTGGCATGGCCTCCGATGATGAAGAAGGCGTTGAAACAGATTTAGGAACTTTGGGCGTGGACGATGGTTGTCCCACCTTGGATGAACTGACCTTGGACGGCGTTCCCAATTTGCGAACCATAGTTTCCGACGTACTCATGGACAGTAGGTATCGACGCGCATTTTTGTGTAGAGCCAAGACAATTAATTTTATTGGAGTGTCTGTATGTTATTTTTTAGTTCCTTTATACATGACGCCCAAATACCGTGATCAAATGACCGCGATTTTAATTCGTGAGATTAACCGCGTCTACCGTCTTTTTGTACAAAGAAATCCGGGGTTCCTGGAACGAGATGGAAAGGTCACCATTTTTGGTCACTCATTAGGCGTAAGTGCAAACAAAAAAAAAAAAAAAAAATCAGTGCCACCCGCGGAAAGTGAATGCTGACGATATGATGTTGACTAGTCGATGCTGGCATTTGATATGCTTTCCATGCAACCTGCAGGTCCAATAGATCCCAAGTCGGCCTTGTCGCCTGCCACGACCGACTCGTCCACACGTGGCAATGCGAATGATAAAAAAATTGTCCCTCTCATCTTTCCAGTGCAAAATTTCTTCGCGGTAGGGTCACCTTTGGGGGTCATCCTGTTGCTGAAAGGCCATAACATTGCTTCGCGAAAATCCATGGGTGTCGGTTTATCGTCTTTTAATGAATCCGTTTCCACACCTTCCTCTCACATCACTTACTGTTACCCCGCCGTGGAAAACCTGTACAATATCTTTCATAAGGTAAGCCAAACCATAGTTCTATAGGCACGAGACCAACTCTTTTTATTGATGATCGGTTCATGCTCATTTTTTGCAGTCGGATCCTGTGGCGTATCGTTTGGAGCCGTTGATTGCACGACAGTACAGCGCAAAGTTGAAACCTGAGCCTGTGCCTTACATCAAGGGGGGATTGAAAAGTGTGATTGATGCCGGATTTAACGTGGGATCTGGGATTGCTAATCGTGCTGGCGCGATGTACGAATCCTTCAAAATGGGCCTGACGACGAATTTATTTATGCGCGGACTGGGGCTGTCACGGCAGCAGATTTATGAAGATATGCATCCCTCCTCTGATAATGACGACGATCCGTCGCCAAGTACCACCGGAGGAAGTACGACGCCAACTGAATCGTTGAGTAGTTCCATACGAACAAGGTCCAACAGTGATCCTACTCGCGCCTTTTCGGGCAAGTCGACGTATTCTTCTTCCTCTTCTTCAGGGATGAAACAAAGCCATGCCCGCAAATCGCCTCCTATTCCGCTTCCCACCAGCGCGCCTTACTCAATTGGCGCTCGAAAATTACGCATGCTCAACGTTACTGGCCGAGTCGACTACTGTCTGCAAGAAGGATTTCTTGAAAATCCATACCTCAATGCATTCAATGCACATATGCAGTACTGGCAGGTACGTTCTGCTTTACCCGTTCTTTTGTTATCCCCTTTCTTTCTTTTGCTGCTGTCTACTCTGTTTTTTTTTTTTTACATGCTGTGGGGACGGTCGTGTTGTGATGGTGGCAAAGTGATTGACTTTTTCTTTTTCTTTTTCTTTTTCACATTATAGGATCTGGATGTGGCAGCGTTCCTTGTTAGAGAGATTTATAGATAGGTTACTTGAATGTTCCTGTAAAATACCATTTTTGATTCTAGTTTGTAACGATACTCATCTGTTGTTGTGAAAATTCATAACAATGCAAGCATGCGCAGCATGATGGCTGCAATGGCACAAACACTATTTGGCGTTTCATGTACTCGTTCTCCTCCTCGATTTGTGGCCTTATTTGTTTGCAAGTCCGCTCAAGGAACATCATCATGCATGTTTAGCTGGGCGCCTGTTTTCTTTTGATTTCTCTAATCCTTTGTTCTTGTTATTTCTCATTTTTGCACCATGTCCAGTACAACAACCACGACAGCCACCGAAACCTGTATTGCTGTCAAAGAGACCGAGAAACTGCGGTAGGCAGGGCGAAAAAGAGGAGCAATCCTCGTGTGATATCTCCATATTGACCATTCTGCTACCTCATTGATGATGCAGAAAACCTGAATGGGCCAGTAGACCTCTGCTGGGATTTTCAACTTGGTCGACGCAAATTCTTGACGATGTACCGGGTTACGGAGGCCAGCACATCAATCCATGGTTGTATAATTGATCTCCTTTCTTTTCAAAGAGCGCCACAGCTTATTTTCACATTTATTAGGTTCAACGACGAAAAGATCAGAGACATTTCGGATACAATGAAGATCAAGTTACCAAAGTATCAGTACATCAATATGGATTCTGGATGGTAAGTGGAATGAGCCATAGCCACGCTTTCATCTTACACCTACTCACTCGTCGAGTGAAACGTATAAAGGTCAAATGCGTGTGATCAATATGGCCGCTGGATGTATCGTTCTGATCTGTTTCCCAATGGGCTGAAACCGTTGTCCGACTACCTCAAGACAAACGGGCATCGTCTTGGGATTTATATTTTGCCAGGGATCAGAAAAGATGCGGCCGACGCCAATATGCCGATCAAAGGTACGAACCATACGTTGGGCGAGTTGGTCACTCGCAAGTTGGAAGGCAACGGGTTCAAAGGGACGACCTATATGCCTGACGAGCATAACGAGCTGGTGCAAGCCTACTACGACTCCATTGCCGATCTGTTTGCAGAGTGGGGCATCGGTTTTGTCAAGATTGACGGGTGTGGGCCCGGTGGTGGCGATCAATTTCACACTCACCAGTCACCGGATAACCGGGCGTGTTTGCGAATGTTATCAAAAGCGTTTCAAAGACACGATATTTGGATGGAATTGTCGTGGTATCTTGACGCTGCCTACGTTGAAGATTGGATAGAGATCGCCAATGGCGCGCGCGTGTTCATCGATATCGAATCTTACTCCACGAAAACCATGACTTCGTCCCATCGGGTGTTTCAAAGATTCAGCCACGTGGAACGTTGGGTGGAAAAGGACTTGGTTGGTCGTCCCAACGGATTTTTCCTCGATTTGGATGTTGTGCTCGTCGGCATGACCGTCAATGGGACGTGTATCGATGGTCTCGATAACGACGATATCCGACAATCGTACATTAGCTTTTGGGCCATGGTGAGTTCCGTGCTTTGCCTAGGGGGGGACCCGCGCATGATTCCCGAAAAGTATTTGTCTATGTTGCATCATCCGGGCATGCTGGCTATCCACCAAAGCGGTGTCGTTGCCAAGCCTTTGGGGACGACGGGCTTATGGAATAATCGCAAGCAAGTCTGGTGGAAGAGGCTTCCGACGGGCGAGATCTACGTTGGACTTTTCAATACCCATGTATATCGCTTCATGCTAGGGCTGAGCCACGAAATCAAATTTCGTCTCAAAGACTTCGACCTTATTACCGCTGAAATCAAAGATGTGTGGTCCGGCAACATTCTTGGTGTTTACAATGACAGCTACAGCGTCGTTTTAAAACCAGGACAGTGCAAGATCTTGCTTTTAACCGCAAAATAAGTCACTAAAAAAATTTCCCATCCATGCGATGAAGGATGAGCGGTGCATTTTACTATCAGTTTATCCCGATATGATCTAGTTTTTTTTACTTTGTTATTCCTTATTCTTATTATTATATTATTTATACAAAAGCTTCTTTCCCTGGAGCCTGCATGAACGATCTCTATAAATGGTTCTTTTTTTTTACAGTCCGAAAAAAAGAATGCAGAAAGGTGCAGCTGTATTAATGAAGACGAAGAATAAGTCGGAACCAGCTTTACAGTATCGGCTTAACCTTATCATTTACACAATGAAATCCCAAGGGTGATGGCTTTAACCAATCCTATTCATCCATGCTAGCTATTTACAGCCGACGATGGAATAACCCTTCTCCTGTTCGATAGTTGTAGCATGACACAGTAACTAATATAATGCTACCCTTTTCATCGCCTCAGCTGTATACATTTTATACGACTGGATGGCATGGTTTGATCTGACACCAGAAAGGGGCAGCAAAACAGGTTGCTGTCAAAGTGACTGCTGGAATGAAATTCCGCCCACCTTTTAGGAAAAACGCTTTTTTTTTCTTTTTGGCAGAACCAGTGAACCCCCTCTCCACCTTTTTGTGTGTGTGTGTGTGTGCCTATGCCCGATACACCGCCTTCTTCAACGACGACTGCCAGTGGCGCGACTTCTAGTCACCCTCAAGCGGGGGAGACTCCAGAGAAATTGTTTACTCCCGAAGAAGACCAAATGCTGACGGAGCTTCTCGCCAACTCGTTTCGGTACATATGAATGACCACGATGGACAATGGAAGCGATTACTGAAATATAACATGGATCCATTTTGTCTCTTTAGCCATATACACGACTCGTCGCGTATTTATCGTGATATGGATGAAAAACAAGATCGACTGAATGCGCTCGTCGGCGTACGATCGGAATTTGGCAGAGATGTCAAGTTGACACCGAATACCGCCAATCTTGGTAAAATGACTTGCCCGTTCCCCCTTGTATTGACTACACCATGGCCAGGGTTCTAACCTTGTATACATGAATAGAACGATATATTCAGACACTGAAAACGGAAATCGACACCAAACGGAAACAGTAAGATTGGGCTTTCTTTTTTCTTATTGAGGATGATGGCTGAGATCATGCATAGGGTGGAAAATCAAAAACAAAACGCGATCCAAGCGTTCAAAAATTTTGCTGAGCAAGCCATTACCATTGGCCTGAAAGAGATTCCCCAACTCAAGGATTACTTGAAAGACGCTTTCAAGCAATATTCGGATGTTGTCATGACCGGCAACCAGCGCGATTTTGATCGCTTGGAGAAGGAAATTGCCACGGTGAAAGCCGAGAAATTGTCGGTGTCGGAAAAAGACGGTCTGTTGGCTTCTTTTGACGAGTTCAAAAAACAGGTGGAAACATTGCAGAAAACACGAATGGAGAACGCAGAAAAACAATTGGGCGCACAGATTAGCAATGTTCGACAAGAATTGGAAAAGATCAACGATCAGCATATTCAGAAACTGGCGGTGAGAGCATGCGAGAGGAGCATGGGGACGCTGACGCGCGGTTTGGGCTATTGCGACACAAAGTATGTGAAGGACACGGTGAATCAAGCTTTGAAAGACAATGATGAAAAGACACAACGTCTCCTTTTGGCTGAGCGATCCGCGTTTCTTTTCCGCGTCAACGAGCTGCAGCAAATGGTGAACCGTCAAATGAGCTCCGAGAAATTGCAACAAATGATGACCAACTTGCCTCAACTCCAGAATCTGAAACAATCCCTGGATGCCATGGCCAACACCGTCGTCAGCTTACAATCCCAAACGAACCATTCAAAGAATCACGCCGCCGAAGGCGATGCAGCCAAATCGGTCGTCGAATTGCAAAAACAAGTCAACGATCTCTTCTCTCGAGTGAACAACATGGATGATCTGAAAAAGTCAATGAACGATTTTTCTGCGCGGGTGGGCAACGCGGAGGAATTGAAAAAATCAATGAATGACCTTTCTGCTCGAGTTGACAACATGGCAGAACTGACAAAACTGATCAAGGATCTTTCTGCTCGAGTGCACAATATGACGGAAATGCAGAGTCACCCTGAAAAAGCGACACGATTATCCGAGCAAGTACAATTGACCGAGCCGGGGCAACGATCAGCGGAAACGGACACGAGGTTGTCTAATATGCAGAGCAAGCAATTGGAAGAATTGACGCATCAGATGAAAGTATTCAAGAACAAATGCAATGCAGTGGATCACTTTAGTCGGGTCAAGTTAGGCGAACTGCAAAAACAAATTGAAGATTTGAATGCGCGTTCCAGTCAGGGGTCATTCACCAGTATGGACTTGAATCGGAAACGTCCGCGAGCGGACGATGCATCGATTCAAACGATTCAGGAACAATTGGCGACGCTGGAAACCCAGCATCGACAACTGGTTGACTTTATTTATCAGTTCCGAACCAACGTTCTCAGTCTGAAATTCCCATCTCGATTGGAATCTTGTATATTACATATAGAAGATATACTGTCGTAAGTCTCATAGCGGCCGTGGAAAGGTGAATGACGATGTGGTGTTGTCCCTTACCCTGTTTTTATCCCATCATGAATAGTTCTCATGAACAATTCATAGCTTTTCTTGTGAATCCTCTTGTTGCATCGGAAGGTCAACAAAAGGTGGCCTTGCCTGCAGCGCCGAAATCAGACGAAGAAAACACACAATTATCACCTACGGTGATCCACGCTATTCAAGATCTTGTCAAGAAATCGACGGAACAAGCGACTGAACCGTTGTTGAAAAAGATTCGAACGCTGGAAGAGAAGCTTGCACAACAAACTTAAAACCTCTTCTAATTTGCAAACCCGACATTCACTGCATGAATTTCTTCATGTGTCCTGCTCTTCCTCTCTCCATTTTTCTTTTTCTGCCTTTCATTGACCCATCATCGCATCATTCCCTTCTTCATAACTCGCTTTCATTGAGCGACATCACCTTCTTTTTTTTTTCCTCAAGGCAGAACTAGCAAGTGAGTTAACGCCTCGTTAGGAAAAACATCTACATTAAACCCAACACACAAGCCGGAGCCGACATTCTTCCATTTAATAAATGACTCTATTTTTACCATGTAAAGATAACCTGCAAAAGTACATAATAAAAACCCCTGGATTTTGAACTGACAATCACCATGCAGAAATCCAGATTGCCGTGCTGTAGTAGATACAAAACAGTAGTAATTTATGAAAATCCGGCTTTTTTTTATGGTGTTATGGACAGAAAAATAAACATTTGAACAATGATAAATACAATGCAAGGAAAATAATATGGTGCATGATAAAAAGAACAAACAAAAATGAGAGACGAAAGAGGGAAAGATTTAACCAAGACTCCACCACGTACTCAAGGTATCAAAAGTGATGAATGAATGGGGATTGGAACAGTCAATGCGCGCATGTTTGTCTTCCACCTAATTCATATCCATTAATCAACAACCTGTCCGATGGATCAAGAAACCAATTCACTTACCTTGGGAAGACCAATGGTGGTGCGTGCAGATTGTGAGTGAAACGCAGCGAGTTTGCCAAACCCTTGTCGACTAATTAAACGGTAATCGGTGTAACTGAGGAGCCAATTTTCAATGATGGCGCCATTCACGCCATCCAGCAATTCTTGGTGACTATTGTCCAAAGCAACGTCCTTTCGATACTTGGTTGCCACCGTCTTGGCTTCCACATGACTAATGGGCAAACCCGTAATCACTGCCGTGGTCTCGTTGAACGCTTCGCCCAAGAAACGACGTGCCAACGATTCATCGGTATTCAGTGTGATAAACTCGTCTCGCAGTTTCACCGAGTCGGTGATCAAGAAATAGACCACATGTTTATGCTGGGGCAACCGTTTGGCTTCTCTTAGTTCATTGGCACAGTGGAAGAAGTAATCCCACTTTTCCAACGTGTTGGTATCGTTGTCTGGATTCACCATGGCGCTATCATCGGTACGAATCTATCAAGTGGAATGATCAGTATATAAGAAATACCCATCGATGCCCTTCAATGTATGTACCTGCAAACCGATACTAAGTACACTGTCCATTTGGAAGAGCTGTCTGTAAGCTTGAATAAACTGGCGGGATCCAACGGTCGGTCGGAACAGATAATCGGACAGACATCGGAACGTGTTTTCTTTGGTCAAACCCATGTCGGCCAACATTTGCGGGTAGCGATCGGATTCTTGGAAAGTACGAACAATGTAACCTCGGTTGGACTGCATTTCAACATACTAATTTGTTGCATCAAGAAAGAGGCGCATTAAAAAATCAACTGATCAAAGGTTGATAATAGGCACAAATCAACTTACGGAAGCGTTCCAAAGCTGCTTAAAATCTTGGTTGGCCCCGTTGGGAAACATGAGTCGGCCAATGGCTCCCCATTTGACATTCAGCGTATTGATCGATTTATAGCTCAACATGGACTGATTCTGCCGATCGAACAAGGTGCGCATTTCTTCGGGATTAAAGCGCCAATCGATGTGAGGTCGTTCAAACACTTCTTCCAGGGGTAAAGGATTCGTCGGCTCCCAATAAGCCAAGTAAGCCCGATTCGTCAATAACGCGTAAAAGAACGTGGAAATCATGCCTTTGCAAAAACACAGAATGAATAGTTAGTCTTTTTTATGCCGGGAATTCGTGGCCATGACTTTTTTCGCATTACCTGTCATACGATCAGCGAGTCCGCCGCATCCGTGACTTCCACGGTGCCTAGGATCTTCTTTGCAGACGTACGACACATAGGTCGGTGGATCCTCGTGAACAAAACTCTTGAAATCACCCGCTTTGAGCCGTTCCAATTGTTCCAGTCGTCGTTCGTGTAAATCCGTGTACTTTGCTTGCCAAATACCGCAACCATCGTCGGGTTCGTTGGCAACGTCGAGCTCTCCATCGGCTTGCCAATTTTCGCAATACTGATTATAGTCGCGATGAGATACGTGCGAAAGCGCATCGAGCAACGTGGTGTGTGGGCTCGGTGGTGTGTAAGCGTTGTCGTCGGCGGGCTGGATCATGGTATCGATGTCGAGTCGACAACTAGTATTTCTCAGGACATCGTCACCCAGTTTAAATGGGGACGATGCCATTGTTCCTGTAGGACTTGACAGTCTACCTATATTTTTATTAAGATTACATCATTGGCATCTCGAGTATATTGGTTTGCTGTATGAGCAGCGTGAACCAAAACACCAGGCAATGTGCTCCCCTGAACACAGGTCCAGGTTACTAGTTGTTACGTACCTGGAAAAAAGAAGGAAGTAAAGGCCATCACGACCACGGCCAACATACTTGCCATCGTAAGGTATTTGGCTAATTGATATTTGCAGTGCAGTTGGCGGGTTTCCTTGAGGCTAAGGCCTACACGTTGGTATCCGGAAGTCATACTGCGTTGATTATAATTTTTGTAAAGAAAAAACTTTTAGGGTTGCCTCTGGTTGAGTCCAGAGAAACAGGCAAGAAGACAAGAAAATAATAAGAAAAAAGACCAACAAGGAAAAAGAAAGAGGATCTACGCTGAGTTTGTTGCTATTTCCATTAGCTTGGTTTTATATGATTCCTCGAAAAAAAGCGATCGACATCCCATTGGAGAGCATGGTTCCGAAAGCGGCATCTGAAATCCGAAAACACAAATGACGTTGGTGCAAAAAAATTTGGGAAATCAAGGATGGGAGGGATCACCAGTTATTTTTAAACAGATTTCCCTGCTGACGCTGCATGTATTCACATAACGAGGGAGTGCCTTGTAAGTTTTTACAGTACCAGTGATGAGGTTGCTCTCCAAAGAATCAATGGAACCTAAGCAAGTTTGATACACTTCCCCGTTTACGATAAAACAAGTGCAAATTCTTGAAATTTTTATAATCACGAGTCCAATGGACTAGATTGCTATTAGACAATGCTTATTTGGCTTAGATCAGAAACAAGAAATGAACATCTGTATCCTTTTTATAATGTGAACCAGACTTCGTTTTATCCACTATTCCCTTTTTTTCTTTTATTGTGTTAAATGATAGATTCCATTCAAACAAAGTTCAATCTTTGATTTTGCGATTGTCAATTATTTTTTGCGTACAGGATAGTCGATTGAGAAGAAGGACGAGATCGTGTAACCCTAGCTCTTCTGGCCTATTATTCTGAGACGGCTGGAAATGAATATGGAAATGACGGGTTATTTTTCCTGTGTTACCGCAGATCATTGATCTTGTCGAATGGGATGGCTACAAAAGTTTTGAAAAAAAGAACCTTTTTTGTTTTGTTCGTTTCGGCCGGTTATTATTATTTTTTTTTTTACTGAAAGGAGAAGAACTAAAAACGGGAATTCTACGACTGTAGTTATTAGGCATTTTCTTCCAGCTGTTGGATACATTGCCAATTTCCTTTGGAGTCTTCTTTCCACAGAGTGACTTTGTTGTCGCCACAGGATACCGCCAACACGTTGCCTGAGAGCGACCAACTGACGCGCCAAACGACATCTGGGAATTTTTCGCCAAGACTTTTCTTGCTCCACTTTGATGACGGACTATCTTGTGTCCAAATAAGCACAGTTTTATCCTAAGTACACGCTAAGTTAGCACTTGTATTCCTCCTTTTTTCTTTCTTTCCTGATCTCAGGGGGGGGGGGAACGTTACCTGTGAGCAGCTGGCAAGATAACTTCGAGGCAGTCCGACATTGGGTGCCCACGCCACATCGCGGACCCAGTCCGAGTGTCCTTCCAAAGTTTCTTCTTCTTGCCACTTCTTGGTATCCTCTCTGTGAATGAAAGGGAACCACTTTTTGGTCAGCGGTCTTGTTTTTCTAGAGGGATGTTCATAATGTTTTTTTACCTCCAACCCCAAATCTTGATAAGATTGTCGCAACCGGCCGAGACTAGCTTTTTGACGATATTGACATTCGGGGCTCCGCCATTGGTTTGGATCAAACTTCCAGGAATAGCTGCGGGTGCCCAAGTGACTGCATTGCATCCAATAGCATGCGCATCAATTACAAAAGTCTCCCATGAACCATCATCTGTAAGCAACATCATGAATAAACCCTGCTCATTTCTCTAAACTTATCCTATCATCATCCGAGCGTACCTCGATACTCAAGAACGGAAATTTTGCCGTCCGATGAAGCACATGCCAACATGGCGCCAAGTTCATGAGGAGCCCAAGAGACAGAATTCACTATCAAATTTTCGCTTCAATCAGCCCAAGAGCTGCACACTTTTTTTTCTCTTAAGGTTTCGTACCAGATGCTGTATGTACGTTGTGTTCCTTGATTTTAGTCCAAACACCATTCTGTTCCTTCCAAATGAAAACTCGTCCGTCATAGGCGCACGAAGCCAAAATCGAACCGAATTTTGGATGTGCCCATGCTACTTGCCACACCGGTGATTCGTGTCTAATGAATATCCAGATATGCATATGATTAGAGTTCATTGTTGGGGAGACATGCGTCATGTGTATTGTTCGTCCGCGCAAGCTTACCCTGTGAGTGTTTCTACGAGACGTTGTGAATCGCCATCAATATCAAAAATCTTGATGGTGCGATCCGACGAAGCCGTTGCTAAACGGCGCGAGTAGTAGTCTAATTGCGCATCATGCTGTAAAAGAAAGTTAAACCACTGCAGGATGAAAAGGCACGGGACGTCCGGAAGGAAAAGAGCATGACGGAAACCGAGGGAGTTTACTTACAATCATATCTTCATGATGGGTTTCAACGGTATTTGCCGGTGGTTGAGACTAGCAAAAAAACGGTCATTTTCAACTGCGTCATGAAATACAAAGTATAAACGGGCCCACACTTACCATTGCGTAGAAAAGCGAGGTGGGTGCAGAGTGTGTGGACACGTTGCAATAGCGAGAAAGGGCCAATGTCGCTGAGTGGCTGCTGAAATCAAACTCCGTCATCGCGGTCTCATGAATGACGTGTACAAAGTGATTTTTTGGTGGTGGTTGCGTCAAGCTCGTCTGCTTAGTTGTTCAGCACTCTTTTTTTGCTTTAATACCGTCATCCCCCATCCTCCAACCGCGAAAAACAATGAGTGACGAAGGAAAATTGGAAAAAATGGAAAAGGACTTTAGTCCTCAAGTCGATGCATTGTTGCCTGAAACCGAACAATTGGCTAGGGTACCTCTTTTTCTTCTTTTTATCCACCAATGAACCAACGATCGCTTCGAAAAATACTGATCATTGCTTGCCATGATAGAACGGCCAATTGAACGAAGCTTTGGATAAGCTGCTGGCAGTGGAAAAGCAAGCCCGTAACGTAAGTGATCTGGTTCAATTATCTATTAAAGGATAATAGCATTGTAATCCCTCGACAAAACTCTAGGCGGCCGATCAAGCGTCCACCGGTCGTATTCTCGTGCATGTGATCAAGCTGTGCTTTGAAGTCAAGGAATGGAAACTGCTCAATGAACAAATCATTCTCTTGTCAAAGAAGCATGGTCAATTGAAAGCAGTAAGTGCTCCCAAGCTAATGCACCCGTGCCACGGCGTATGTATTCACCACCTCGAGTAAATCTAGGCTACCACGAAGATGGTTCAGGAGGCCATGTCATATCTGGATGAGACCCCCGACATGGAAACTAAGCTCGAATTGATCGATACACTTCGCACAGTCACAGATGGAAAGGTACGGTCATGAACACTCGAATAAAGAAGAGAGTACGTCTAATTAAACACTTTGGGTGCCGCAGATCTATGTCGAAGTGGAACGTGCGCGTATCACTCGATTACTTTCAAAGATTCGTGAAGATCAAGGCAAAGTGAATGAAGCAGCAGATATTCTTCAAGAACTTCAGGTAGGGATTGCATGACAAAAAATGATTCTCAGAATGGCCATACCGTTTCTGACTTGTGCATCTTGATTTTTTCGGTTGTAGGTTGAAACGTTTGGTTCGATGGAACGTCGTGAAAAGACCGATTTTATTTTGGAACAAATGCGTCTTTGTCTGGCCAAGCACGACTATGTTCGAACACAAATCATTTCAAAGAAGATCAATACAAAATTCTTCCAGGAGAAAGAGAATGAGGTATGTTGTGGCCGGTCGCTACTACTTCTATGTAGAACGATACGCATGGCAATGATTATTTACGACAAGGCTCTTTTTAGGATCTTAAATTGCGTTACTACGATTTAATGATTCAGCACGCATTGCATGAAAATCAATATCTGAATATCCACAAGTTTTATAAGCAAGTCTATGACTCGGAAACGATTCAACAAGATGAAGCCAAGTGGAAAGAGGCAAGTTTCAATCATCCGTCGGGGATGGTCGAGTAATTTTTTTTTCTAACCCGCTTGGTTCATGGCTATGTTTAGGCTTTACAAAATGCCGTGCTCTTTATCGTATTATCGCCTTATGACAATGAACAATCCGATCTTTTGCACAGAACTTTCCAAGACCCTCACCTTGCACAAATCCCGCTATACAAGTACGTAATTAGTTATCCTCACGAACCCATGGTAGCTTTTGTACTGAAATGTCCTACTTTTTTTTTGTATAACAGCGAACTCACAAAGTGTTTTGTGACGACCGAATTGATGCGATGGTCTGCTATTGAGGAAGTGTATGGCCACCATTTGCAACAGACCATGATTTTCGACAAATCATCAGAGGAGGGAAGAAAGAGATGGGAGGAACTTCATCATCGTGTCATTGAACACAATATCCGCGTTATCGCAAAATACTACACACGAGTGAGCACCAAGCGTCTGACTCAACTTTTGGATCTGAGCGAAAAGGTAAACCCGGAAAAAAACCTTGATTTGGATATGCAATGAAAAAAAAAAATGGTGATGGGAGACTAAACGCGCTTTTTGCACAGGATACTGAGGAATTCTTGTCCAAGTTGGTGGTATCCAAGACGATCTATGCACGAATTGATCGTACGGCGGGGCTCGTGTCATTCAAGGTGAAGAAGGACGCTAATCAAGTATTGAACGATTGGTCGAGCGATATCAACTCGTTGCTGAATTTGGTGGAGAAGACATGTCACTTGATTTCAAAAGAAGAGATGGTGCACAGCATTGCCAAAGTGATGTAAACAGAAAGAAACCAAATGATTTTTTTTTCTTGTGAATAAAACACAGCAGCATGTATGCCTGTATCAAAATAAGATGGTTCCTTGTGTATTTGATTTGATGTAGTTTGATGGAATGGAAGAAATTTTCACCGATTCTGACCAAAGCAGATGCACATTTTCTTTTTGCCTGCTCCATAGCAAAATCGGAAAGGTTCAGCTTTGAACCTTACCGATTTCCACCTCACCGAATTTGCTGAGACTCTGTTTTTTACTCGCTTCCGTAGGGAATCGGTAAGATAAAAACGACAACGTTATCGATTTTTACTGATTTTTTTATAACAGAGCTCTGATTGGCCAGAATCGATAAGGTAAGAAGCCAAAAATCTTACCGATTCTGACCAATCAGTGCTCAGACTCTCTTTCACCTGTTCTCTGTAGGATATCGGTCAGGTTGAAAAGCAGTATTTTTTACAGAATTTCATTCACCTTAAAGATTCTGATCAAACAGATGCTCATTTTCTTCTTACTTGTTCCATTCGGAAACGGCAAGGCGAAAGCAAAAATCTTTTTCAGGATGGGAAAAACCCCTGGCACAAGACGCGGAGAATCAATTATTCGTTTGGCGATCCTTGACTGTGATGGCACAAAAACTGTCAGCATTTGGTATTGATGCTTTTTTTCATGTGTTAGGCGCATGGCAGAACGGATTCTTTCTTGCATGGATAGATTTAGTGGTTGGCTCACGGTCAATGGCGCGATTATTTGATGCTGATATGAATCATGGCAATGCCTCAATGCACCTATGAGTGTACGAACTTGAAGTCTGGATCGGTTCTTTTTTCTTCAGGCATCCCTGGTTCTCACGTCGTTGGAGTATGCGAGGCCATGCTCCCTTTTTTATTGTGCTGCATTTCTACCACAATGACATGGTGATTCAGGGTGTGAACCTCATAAATAGGTCAGACGTGTATTGACTCATGTCTTGTAAGCGTGTGCATGGGCGATCCCATCGAAACAAGGTCCGACAAAGTACGTCACCAGTTTTTTTTTTTTTTTCTTAAATAGGGTTTAAAATTTTTGCTGCTTTACACCGAGGAATCCAGAACATAGTACGAAACCATGTCCGAGCAACCTACCAAGGAACCCGTCGAAGACAAGAAGCCCGAGGAAACTTTTTTTGAGTAAGCAAAAAAAAAAAAGAGCGTGCCAATGCTTAGAAATGGAATGACTCACATTCAAAATGTCATTAGCGACGAAGGCAAGCCCATTTCCAAGAAGGCTTTCAAGAAGCTTCAAAAGGAAAAGGAGAAGGCCGAGAAGAAGGCTGCCACCGCTGCTCGTCTTGCTGAAGAAAAAGCTCAAAAGGAAGCCGGTGAAGTGGTAAGTGGGGACACGTGAGGCAATCTGTCTAAAGACTTCTTGGTCATTGAGCTTTTTCATGTCTGTAGGATTACTCTCGTGATCGCTATGGCAAGCTTCCCATGAACCAGTCTCAGCAACGCACAGGTAAAAAAGTCGCAGGATGTTTTTTGGTTGGTTTGAAATGTGGCATTGATGATTTTGGTATTGTGGCGGCTAGGCGCTAAGCGTGAAGATATTACCACGATCAATGCATCCCGCGCTGGTGAGAGCGTCATTATTCGTGCTCGTGTCCACACTTCTCGTGCGACGGGTAATAAGATGTGCTTTTTCGTCCTCCGTCAAGGTGTGTCCACTATTCAGGGTATCATTACGGCCGATGCCGATAAGATTAGCAAGCAGATGATCAAGTTCTGTGTTGGTATTCCCGCTGAATCTATTGTGTTGATCGAGGCCACCGTGGCCAAGCCCGTGGAAGAGGTCAAGAGCTGCACTATTTCTGATGCGGAATTGGCCATCAACAAGGTCCATATCATTTCCGAAGTCAAGGCACGTTTGCCCTTCTCTTTGGAAGATGCTTCTCGCCCCGAAACCGAGTATGAGCAGGAGGATACTCAGCTTGTGCGTGTCAACTTGGATACACGTCTCAACAACCGTGTGCTTGATTTGCGTACCACCACCAACAATGCCATTTTCCGCTTGCAGTCGGCTATTTGCTTGTTGTTCCGTGAGTTCTTGGTCAAGAAAAACTTTATGGAAATCCACACTCCCAAGATGATTGCCACCGCTTCCGAAGGCGGTTCCAATGTGTTCAAGGTGTCCTACTTCAAATCCAGTGCTTTCCTGGCCCAGTCGCCCCAGTTGTACAAGCAAATGTGTATTGCTGCCGATTTTGGTCGCGTTTTCGAAATTGGTCCCGTGTTCCGTGCCGAAGATTCCAACACCCATCGCCACATGACTGAGTTTGTCGGCCTCGATATGGAAATGGCGTTTGAAGAACATTACCATGAGGTGCTCGATGTCTTGGATGAATTGTTCGTTTACATTTTCACCAACTTGAAGGAACGTTACACCCGAGAAATCGAAACTGTCAAGAAACAGTATCCCTTTGAAGATTTCGAATTCTTGCCAAAGACCTTGCGTCTCAAGTATGCTGAAGGTATCCAGATGTTGCGTGATGCCGGTGTCGAGATTGGCGATTACGAAGATTTGAGGTAAGAGTGGAAAATATAGTTATATAATGTCACGACGCAGTCGCTGATACGTTCTTTTGTTTCAATTAGCACGGCCAATGAAAAGTTCTTGGGTAAACTGGTCAAGGAAAAGTACCACACCGATTTCTATATTCTCGACAAGTTCCCTCTGGAGGTGCGACCTTTCTATACCATGCCTGATCCGGAGAATCCCAAGTATTCCAACTCTTACGATTTCTTTATGCGTGGTGAAGAAATTTTGTCGGGAGCTCAGCGTATCCATGACCCCGACTTCTTGGAAGAACGCGCCAAATTCCATGGTATTGATTTGTCAACCATTCAGCCATATATTGACGCTTTCAAGATTGGCGCTCCCCCACACGCTGGTGGTGGTATTGGTATGGAACGTGTGCTCATGTTGTATCTTGCTCTTGGCAACATCCGACGCTCCAGTCTGTTCCCCCGTGATCCCAAGCGCTTGGAACCCTAAAACAGAAAACTTTCTCTTGCATTATCAAAATTTTGTTGTGTTGTAATAAAAAGCAATGACCTCGCTATAGATAAACTTGTTTGGTCGTCCTTTGCTCTTATATTACAGTCCAGGTTTTTTTTTTTTTTTTGTTATTCTATTGGTGTTGGGTGAGGGTGTTGCCGTATTACTATTACAATGACGAAAAAATTAAGGAGGTAATGACTAGATTAGGTGTGGTATAATGGCTCAATATATTACGTCTAGGCCATGGAGTCATTTATATCTGGTTTTTGATATCTGCGTGCGCGTCTTGTTTGCAACCATGGAGACGGGGGTCTATCTGTCACATGAGCCGGCGCTACACGATTATTAGAGTGACTGGATGGAGCTGCAAGTGGTGGCAAACTGATCTCGTCAGCTGAGGTGGGTGAGGAGGATGTCGTGGTGGGTCGACTGAATGCCAAGCGACTGGGTGGCGCAGTTGGATAATATTTGTAATAGGCATTCAGGGCGGCAAATAGGCCAAACATGATGAGTCCTATGCCAAGAAACCACAACCCGACTTTTCCGCCATGGACACTAATAATTTGGTTGATAGCGTCCGAGAATGGGTCACGTTCGGGGACCATCGGTTGTCGTAACGATCTGAACATGTAGACAGCCACAAACATGAACACCTGTCGAGGGATATATAATAACCGTAGAGATTAGTTTTCCTTATTTCCAGATCCGGAGTATCGAAAAAGACTTACACCGGCCCGGGCAAGGAATCCGAGGTGACCGAGCATATAGACGAAATATTTCTCAAATCTGGTACAATGATGAAGCATTAAATCGCGGTACCAGCGTCCCGAGAAGCCGTTTTGTATCTGTGTAACGAAGGCGATGACAAATGCAATGCCAAACACTGCTACTGCCATTTGATGAATCCAATCGCCCTGTGCCCAGCATGTGGGGAAGCAACCGGTGACCTGGCTTGTCGTTCGAAGATGGCGTTCTTCCATGGATTCCGATAACAGCTCGCCAATCACCACGAGATATACAACGTACACGATACCCGAAACAATGGGCGACAATCTGTAACGAAAGAAGTTTTGAAATACAGACATCGTTCTATCTGAACCTTGACCGGTGGAGCCTTCCCAACTACAGCAGATTCATGGGAAACAGTTGGCACATGAAAAAAGAGAGGAGGAAAATGGGACTCACAGCTTACTTACAATCTCCATATAGCGTAAAACAAGATGCCGACAAACATGGCAATCAGAATAGGGGTACCGCCGATTTCAAATAAGCCTAGAAATAAAAAGGCGCCCTGTCACCGATAAGCACAATAGTAGTATCAGGAACAAGTTCATGCATGAGTGATTGCAATTGCATCGATTTGTAGTTAGTAGTTGTTCCCTCTTAAAACGGAATTTTTTTTACCATGGGAGATTCGGCTTTGACCTCCGTGCTGAGATCTTGGGCGGTGGCGATGCATAGACCGCCCATCACCGAGTAAACAATGCCTTTGGCCACAAAGCCGATACGGCCCAACCAACGTACAATAGCTGCGTGCTGCGGTTTGACTCCCGACGGGTATTTAAAGCTTTGCCAGCGTTTTTGTCGTTTGGTGAGTGGCGGTGTGAGTTCTTCAGGGTTTGCTTGGATACTGGGACGTCGGCTCCCAGGCGACCGTTTTGCTATGCGCCATACAAGTTGGACAAGCCGATTCTCCGAGAGAAAATCCAACATGAAAAATAAAATTAAAAAAAAAGCAGGGAATAAAAGTGAACAAAAAATTTTTTTACAATCAGGCACAAAAGAGTCAAAAAAGCTTAATGCTGCAAGAGAAAAAAAGAAATAAGAATAATAAAAAAAAGAGGTACTTTTCACGGGATCAGCTTTGCAAACAGGTGAGTAACCTTTCATGGTCGTACACAGTTTGAAAAATGAGACAACGACTCGCCGAGTGGAGCGGCTTAATTTCACCCGCGCGCACGTCCTTTTCCAATGAGCCGAACCACAAGGCAAAAGTAGACATTTACAAGCCTGTTTTCATTTTTTTTATATCACGTGGACTGTTTTTTCATCCACCAGCAGTCAATGCAAGTCAAGTTCATCTCCAACTATTAATTAGGTGTAATAAGGCCCAATAACAGGTTCCAAAGTTGGTTTGTATCGTTTGTTTAGCGAATATTCCCGTGTTCTCTTTTCTCCATAACAATACGAATGCCGAAACCGAATTCAGAGAGGCAGCGTCGGGTTCAAAGGTGTCATGACAATACTTGAGTTATTTCCTTTTTGAATTCATTATGAAAAATACAATAACTAGCGGTTATGAGCCAAAAAAAGCAGAGGCAAGCAATCAAGGTCAGAATAAAAAAAAAGGGAACAATAAAAAATTATCCCATTTTTTTAGGCCAATGGATTGCGTTTCCGCCCATTGATTGCCAAGAGCACCCAACCGCCTCGTGCTTTTCTAATTGCTACCCATACTCGCATCATTGCTTGGTCTTGATGACCTTTTTTAAGCTTTCAAAAAGCAGTGATAAGAGCTTATACCCCTGGTCAAACCGTAAGCTTGGCGGCCACAGTCATTTTTCACCGAGATGGGGTCACGCTGCCACTTCTGTTCCTGGAGGCAATATCCTCATTTTTGGCGGAATGCATCGCGGTCATGCCAAGAAAGACCTGATTGCAATCGATACAAGTGAGTCATTCGAACTGCGAAATGGACCGTTTTCGACAAATTTGAAAAATGGATCAAAAAAGCTGATTGGGCTCATGTGTCTCTAGGTAACCTGTCAGCCAGTGTCATTAACGCACACGGCGATATTCCCCCACAACGTTGCTCAGCCACGTTGGCAACCCTAGGTCATTGTGCGTTACGTAAGTAAAGGAACAGTGAAACAAATAATATGATCCCAAGTAACCCACTCTTGTTCGATGCGATGACAGTCTATGGCGGTGCTCCTATTCAACGCGACCAGATCTGGGATATCAATGTTTATGCGTTTCAAATCAGTAAGCGGTTCGAACCAATGAGTTGGAAGGGTGGAAATATTTTGGGGAAAAAAAAAGAATGACCGAAACGAACAGATACTCGGCAATGGAGTCGTATCATTTTGGAAGGCGAAGCACCCATGCAGCGATCAGGACACTCCGTGGCGGTGATGGATGGCATGATGATTGTTTGGGGTGGACAGTGCGGGACACACTACTTCAATGATTTTTTTGCTTTCCATTTATATCCCTGTAAGTCCATGTCAAAAAAGCCAATGGTGTACAACATACTCGGACGCTCATGATTTTCTTTCTCAGCCAGTGCATCCCATGGTCAATGGCGAACGATTCTTGCCAAAAACGAAGGCCCCAGTCCTCGTGCCGGTCATGGTTCCGTGGTGTACCAAGATAAACTTTACATGTAATTTGGAATACCACGATGGATGCTTTGCTGGTAACACGTACACTTACCCTTTTGACTGGATGATGATGTAGTTTTGGAGGAATGGACGATCAGCGACTTTATCAGGACATGTGGTGCTACGACTTTGAAACTCGATATTGGGCCTGTCTCCGTACCGTCGGTTACATTCCGTCACCGCGCGCTTACTTTGGGTGTACCCTGATGGATGGCGTCATTTATGTATTTGGTGGTCACGGCGCCGCGGGACAACGTGTGGATTATCTAGGCGACTTGTGCGGTTTCAAAATATCCAGTAAGTGAACAGTCCGAAAACGTCGAATTAGCGTACAGCGATGATGACCTCAGACCATGAATTATTCAAGGTCAACGTTGGTATATGTTTCGAAACATGGGAACCGCGCCTTCACCACGGGACCACCTGAGCTTCACCAGTGTCAAGGGCAAAGGTTACATCCTCGGAGGATCGGCGGACCATCCAAAAATGGACGATGCCGCCCTGGCTTACATCTTGGACAGCTGTAAGTACTTGTGTATTTTGGCCTAGGCCGTGCTCCATGAAAACTCACCACCAAGAGGTTAGCCAAAATCAATTACCCTGCTGAACCTGTACCTACATCGCCACCCCCGTCTGCAACGTTTTTTTCACCCAATAGACTCACTTCACCCTCGCTTCATTCTGATCCCTCATCCCCTCTCTCACCCACGCTCGCTGTCAATCATCTTCCGGTACCGCCAATGTCGGACATGGTGAGCTTCTCTTCCAACTGTCTCCCCAATGATTTGAACCTTAAGATGGCGATATCTGAAACAAAGCAGGAATGTCCATCGATGGATCCAGCAATGTCCTTTTCTTCTTCTCCTTCCATGATATCCACCGACCACCTCAATGGCCATACGATCGATACTCCAGCCGAACCGAATCATAGCTCTTTTGATTCATTGCCGCATGAAATCAGGCTACCCTCCGGGAACCCGCCACCGCGGCCATCGCGGGAAGGCGTGCATTTAGATTGCGGGTATCAAGATACGTTGGACGTCGACGTGAAAGAAGAAGCATCAGCGCGAATGGATCCAAGACATGCCAACACTGTGCAAACAGAACAAAGTCGGGAATCCGGATTGGCACCGTGCAGGGGGTCGGTGAGTGCACGGACCTTGCCGCGCTCCTCGGCATTGGACCCGGAGGAGCTGCATGCATTACTGTATGAAATACACGCACGTGATGCGACCATTCGTGATTTAAAGATCAAGGAGCAGTGGTGGGCCCTCGAGACTGCGCTCAGCCACCAAGACGATCCTCAACGCCTGGACGAAAAGACAAAAGAGATCATTCAGCATCGGAACGCCAGTCACACCGACGAAAAACTGTTGACGCAACTCATGGCGGCCAAATCCTTGTTACAAAAGGCCAAAAGCACTGCATCTCAACAGAGCCATCTCATGTCGCGAAAACTAGATCAAGCCGATCACGCCCGAGTCTCTGCATTGAATGAAGCGGCGTACTATCGATCGAAATACGAGGCCATCACTCAACAGCAAACTGACGATCTTGTCCACATTGAGCGTGAGCGTATCCTAGATTTACAAAAGCGATTGACCTCGGCATTAAATGAAAACGATGCGGACAGCCAATTGCTTCAGCAATTGCAGCGACGAACGCAACTGGATCAGTTGGGTCGAGTAAGAGCGGAGGAAGCGGCAAATCAAGATCAAGAGCGGGCCAAAAAAGCGCAACTATCACACCAACGGACGCTGACGGAACTGTGCTTGCTGCATCAGCGTACGGTGGAAGCGGAAGAACAAGCGCGTAAATATGTGGTGGAAATCGCTCACTTATCGAGTCGATTGGCGGATGATTTGATGCAGTACCATCTTCACGATGACCGATCCGAAGTCATGATTAAACAATCGCAACTGGAATCGGCCCATTTTGTGGCGCGGAATGAGACCGCGTTGTTACGACGACAACTGGCGGAAAGCAAAGATGACATTGCGCGATTGCATACGTTGCTATCAGAAAAAGAGGAAGCCATCAGCGAATCTCAGCACCGGCTGGAGAAATGTCGACTGCAAATAGATTTCTGGAATCAACGCCAACCAGCCGCAACACCCCATTTCAATAAAATCAATGGCGCAAATGAGGCGGCCGATTGATTCGTTATAGGAAAAAAAATTACCATGGTTGTCTAGAAATATACATTTTTATAAGCATGCTGAAGTTAAGGGGGAATATGAGGCGATGAAGAGAATTGTAATAACAGAATAATAAGACCGAGAGCAGATTTAGCCTTCGCGCCATTGATGCTGACAGTTTTCATTGCAGCATTTGTAAAAGATGGACATGGGTTCATCAGCGGATCGGATCTGGATCTGCATAAAGTACGCTCGTTCATGTTCACACTTGGGACACGTAACTAAGGCAACCGACGAAAACAGTGAACAGTGAGCGATGACGGTTAAGGAAATTAAAAAGTTCTGCAAGCGCACTAACCTTCAGTGGAATCGACATTCTCCCATGCCGCTGCACCACCCAATACGTCGTCGACTTCCTTTCTTTGCAGCAGTTTACGAGTGGTATGCTGCGGTAAGAATGATCAGTTTTTAGGTTGACTGTGTTAGAGGAAGTCAAGACAACAAAAAACTTACGCGAGAGTGGATATTGTACATGTAAGGGCATGTTTGGCAGAAAAAGGTCTGTCCACCTTCGTTTTCAATGAGCAACAGATTCGAACACTGCGGACAGAACAGCATGGAGAAAAAACAATGGTCGAACAGAGGCGCACAAAAAATTCCCCATAATCTTAAAAAAAAAAGAAAGAAAAACTCTGAGGGTGACTGCTGAGTTTTCCGCTCTTTTTCAACCGGCACCTGGGATCGCCCTCTTTTTCTTTCTTTTTTTATGCAAAAAACCACAATGACTACGCCACGCGCTTACAATGACATTCCCAATGAACTGTATTACTTGCGTAAGCATTCCTTTTCTACACTTCATAGTGGACAGTATTGACTTACTCAGTGGCATGTCCCTTTCAATTAGGCCCCAATCTATCCCCTTCCTCTCTCACGCGCTACCAACTAAAGGCCATTCTTCAGTCACATCACGTTCCTATACCTTCTTCACCTAGCAAACCCACGCTTCTCAGTTTATATATGGACCATATTGAAGCAAACAGAGACGCCATTCTCGCCAAGTACAAAGAAACCCATTCACAACCGGTTGGCGATGAAAGTATGTCGTCATTGCCGTCTTCCGCTGGATACAATTTTCGGCGAAAACCCAAAAAGGAAACCCTCCAAGTTACGAACAAGGTGGTCAATAAGAAAGCACCTGACCACAAGAAACGAGAAAATAAACCACGAAAAGCAAAAAACCCGTCGTCTTCATTGGTAAGCCCATTCACAATGAAATATCTGAGGGCCTGCATAATGTCTCATTCAAAAATATATTAAAAAATTATCTTTAGGAGCGCATCACTGATTATTTGTTTCCTGGGTCTCGAAAAGGACAAGACAAGGTAAGCTAAAACATCAAGTTTAATATCATGCTGTCTCCTGAAGTTCAACCATAGGTCATAGCCTCATGGCCCGTCACACCGAGCCCTATTCCCACCGAAAGCTCCGGCGAGTCTGAGGATCCAATGGCAACGGAAGAAATCTCTGAAGACTTGTCCCATGAAGCGTTCGATCAAGATCCTGAATCATACGAACCATTTGATGCAGCGTTCAATCATGATTCTGAACCATACGAACCTTTGGATTCAGCGTTCGATCAAGACCATGAATCATACGAACCATTTGACGCAGCATTTTATCAAGATCCTGAATCATACGAACCTTTGGATGAATCGTTCGATCAAGCCTATGTACCCTTCGAGATCTCCCACGATGAATTCGACCAAGATTCGGAATCCTCTGCAACGCCTATTGATGATAATATGTCACCAGAAGAACCGATCTTCACGGACGAATCGGGCGAATCGGACTCTCAGGAAGCGGTCATGATGACATCCCCAGAAGACGATATCGACGATTATGCCTTTAATGATGACCTGTCGACAGACAGCTATGAAGATGATGATCCGTTCCGAGATTCTCCTGATGACAGCATTCACCAACCATCCGATGCATCTCCTCCTTCTTCCACTCATACTTTGTGGAACCGTATCCTGGAGAAAAATCCGCTCAATTTCAGACGCCCTATCAACCAACTTGACCGTCTTTGGCAAAATGGCCCACAGGACGACCGGCAAAATGTAACATTGAATGACACCGCAGATTATCTGGAGCATGCATCCGACGATGACGAGTCCTATACCGGTGACGACGACGACGACTTGGATGATGAAGAAGAGTACGCCGCAGAACCCATTCCTGCTGATGAAGTGGCTCAACTCATTCTCGGTAAGCATTCTATTTCCTGACACTTGGATCACCGCGTTATTTATTTATCTAATTATCTGAACTAGACAAAGATCGTGATGATGCCGAAACTCAATCCGCCAAACAGCCAATCGCTCGTGAAATCATCCAAGCACCTACCTGGAAATCGCTTCAAATGCACCGTGTTCGAGACTACTTCTCAAAAGCTCATCGCTACTTAAAGTCATTGCTGATGTTTATCACGGTCGCCTTGACGATATTTATCTCTTTTCAAATCATGTTACGAAAATTTAATGGATACTGCAACTCGCCATCCTTTGATAAAGGTAAAAGGATATCGACAGCATGTTATGATGGATCAATCATGTACTTAAAAAAAATCTCATTAATAGGTGCCTACGAAACACGGAAGCCTACTTTACTGTGGCCTTGTATTCCATGCCCACCAAATGCTCGCTGCAAGTTTGGAGAGATGACGTGTGGGTCTATTTTCGAGAGACGCCATTGCTGGTACAACCGGTTGGGATGGCTACCAGTAGCCGATCAATGCGTGATTACTGGCAACGCCAAGGATTACATCTCCAATACCCAACGTACCATAAAGGATATCCTCATCTATCATCAAACAAAATCACTCTACAAGCAATTGCTCGATCACCGCGACATACCACGAGCCGCTTTAGTCCATGCACAAAAAATTGAAAAGAAACTGGTCATGGATCAAGTCCGCCGCAAATGCAAGGTAAGCTGTCAAACAGCTTGACGCTCGTGATCTAACTCCTTTCCATGTATCTGGACCTATTACTGATCTGCGTTAAATTCAAGATACCAGATACGATAGAAAAAGACGTGCTCAATACATCTTTATCTCTTCTGTTGAACGAACCCACTTACCATTACTGGGAAATCGACGGACGAACGTACCTTGGAACGGATAATACACGGTTCACCTGGGCAGCACGGTTCCGAATGTTTATTGCGCGATCTTCCGTGCGCACAGTGTTGTTGGCGGTGTTAATGTCTATTATGACGCCTGTCAGTATTTTTTACCTGTTGCGCACTATTCGTGAAAAGAAACACCAAGCAAAGCTGAATTCTCAAGTTGAACAAATCTACGATATTCTGACCGCACAGGTAAACAAAGCCAACTTTTTATCTCCATGTTCGATCCACGTACTGAACTTTGTTTTTGCACAGTATCGAAAACATTCGGAAAACCCTACGTTATACCCTGAACCTGGATGTGGATTATGGGATTTACGTGATCAAGTGCTAGGCACCCATGATCGGACAAGCATCATGCGAGATTGGGAACGCATTTCCAAAGCCGTACGAAAACATCCACTGATCAAACAGCAATTTCGTGAAGTCAAAGGACAGCCGCAGGAATTCTGGGAAATCGCGACATAATCTATCGTCTGCCAGCCTCTTTGTTTTCTTTCTCTCTTTGCTCAGGAACAACCATTGTAAATAGTATCGGATCCACTTGATCGCTACTTTAGGATACATTTAGAAATCTAATAATCATATAACCATCACGTCAACGCAGAAAGTGATTGCAAATAAAAAAGACACTGGAAGCTGACCCATGTCATCCTTGCAACAAACATTCCTAACCAATAATCACTCTATCGGCCATACTCAGATACAGCGTCGCCCTGATTCGAGCATGATCCCTCGTTCTTATTTTTTTCAGACTCTTTTTGTTCTTCCAACATTTGTCGCCAAAGAAACTGTTACTTGTATTTGTGTATAAAATCCATCCCATGCAATCCATGCAATCAATTGCTCGGTAATTTTGGTAGTTCAAGATGGGTTCATCTTTGGCATATTTTTGATTTGTAACATGACGCGCGCGACATCGGCCCGTAAACCAAGGCAGTGACATATCAAAATTATCCTTCAGTCTTTGCCATAGCACTACCCAAAAGGGATCAGCATAGACACTAAATAAGAAGGCGGCTATGCAACTTGAACCATCCATGAATCGTTCAATTGGTGCCTCATTCTGGATGCAGAACTTTGTTTTTTCAAATGACCCCCAAGCTTGCACCTGAAACGAAATAGGTTCTCCATTTGTAAAAACAACTGGTTTCGACGATAATCAATTTCATCACAGCAGTTAAGAAGCTGCCAGCGGGGTGCTTTCTCTTATCTTCTGTATGGTGTGGGTATTTACCTGCGTCCTTCCCCTTTTATGTATCCTGCGGGACTCTAACAATGTTTTTATGATGCCATGATGCAAAGACGATAAATACATGTAAGGCCGTCGCAAATGATTTGTCTAAAAGTATTTTACCGAGCCACAGCTGCTCTTGCAGATACAGTATATCAATGTCAATGACTACACGAAGCATGCCAAAGTAATTAATATAATGCGAAAACCTAACAACCGCCAATCCATGATGAATCAACTCGGGAGAAATAGCATTTCAAATATTCTGGCGACCATGAGCGTTTTAGAGCGCTCAATTGAGGTGAATGACTTTTGACATGTTTTGGGCCGTTTAAATGTGAAGGCCTTCGAGTGTTGTAACGCAATACCGATTTCAAACAACACATTTTCGGGGAATCAGTCCTTGAAATTGTTCTTTCCCTTATTTTACCGTTCAATGGCTAAAAATAAGACAGATATACAAATTTACAGTAAGTGGTCTGATTATTCTCATCATGTAAGTGCGAAACTGTCTGTTGATTTATGAAGGCGTAGTTCCTGATCAAAAGCGTCCTTGGTAATGGAATAAACAATTTGACATTTAGATCAGCTCTGTGCTCCAAGCCCAGAAGGGAGCATTTTCGTTCGGTACATACGTATTCCAGTGCAACCAATTATTGAAAGGGCTCGGTCAAATGGTTTTTGATGGTGGATGGCGTCATGATTAGATGCCGTTTCGCCCAATAGTCACATGGTAGTTGTTTCAACAATTGAGCCGCTTCAAAGTCTCGTCAGTTCTGGTCTTGTCAATTTCACACAAAGCGTCAATGCGATATGGTTGCAGTACTTCTGTAGTCGGTGGATAAATGGTCAGCCAATCACATTTTGTATTTATACGATAAACGGTGGGAAAGTATCCGAAGCAATCATTAGGGGTGTATAGAGGACATTAACTCGGCGACCACCGATCCACTCGCAGCTGCGCGATGCGTTTTGAGTCCTGACATGGTTTCCTGAAGTGAAAATTTTTTCCCCATTAGGCACCTATGCTGCTCAAACTGTCAACTACAACTTACCAGCGGTTGACGACTGAGGACAAAAAAACGTTCAACCCTCTTTTTTCCTCGAACTTGCTTTTCGACATGAGATCTGTTCTCGGTTCATATTCCGGAGGTATTTGAAGGCTGCAAAGATTGTAATCTTTTTACATGGCAGCCAGTAGGAAAAGAAAATAGATGAGATAAGAAAAGAGGATTGGGATGGTAAAAAAAAAAAAAAGGTGGAAGGATAGTTAAGCGACAACATTGTTTGGCCAGTTTTATAAATGAATGCAATTTTTAATGCTAAATAAATTGGATAATGATATACGTACAAAGTATGATAAAAGAAGCATGACAATGACATCACTTCTTCAACTGATTGTATGTTGCCTTCAGAGTTTCAAGCTCCTGTACTTAGCAAAATGCCCAGTGCTGCGCCCTTCTTCAAACCATTTTTTTCTAGTCCATACGCTTATGCTCACACAAAGCGTGAAAGTAATGGTTATGAAACGAATAGGAGACCAAAGAAAAAAGTACGCTCTGGGAAAATTTAGAGCCACCCTATTGGCTGAGAGGTTTTTTTTGTGGCATCTTTGAATTACAGTGAGTGTCCTGGGCGCTCTTTTGCATTCAAATCGAAGAAACATAACCTCGATAAAACCATTGCTAGTTACAAACGGTTCAAGGAACTCTGAAGGACGAACGCGACGGTTACGTGTTATAGGCCCTTGAGATGGGCCATGCGATGGTCGAATGTCAATGTTCCCAAGAATCTTGAGTGTTGTGCCGTTTCCCGCAGAACAGGTCCCAACTGAATAGGAAATATTGAGGCTAATGGTATTTTAAATAAATGTGTTACATTGCATGAACCCTGTGGGGTCAATCTGTTGCTTACACCGGTCCGCTTTCAATAACCATGTCAATATTAAAAAAAAAAAATTAAACAACAAGGTCAACTTCCTCAAGCCAAGTAAAAAATACTTTTTTGTCTTCATGTCTGTGTCTCACGCCCAGATTTTTTTTTGACGCGTCAAGCGGCATTTAAACGCCCTTTTTTATTCTTGTTCTTATATAAACCCTTTAGAGATCCGCTTCTTTTTCTTTAACTCCTCTTTCTTCTTTATTGCCAGTAAGTAGCTTTAATCGTTAATTTTTTTGTCTTTCAGAGAGAAACTAACTTTTCTTCTAGAAGAATTTATGAAACAACTCACCCGCTCCTCAACCACCACCATGGGCTTTGATCCCAACAAAAAGCGCGTGACATACAAGGAGCTGCCAATTGACAAGACCAATGCTTAAATTAAATCTTGCTTGCTGTTCTCAACCATATTTTAAGGGGCCAAGCTCTAGGCCGCCCGCACTCCTCGCTTTCCGTCCGTGTCGTCCTCTTCGGCGACTTCTTCGTCGTCTTCGTCCTCGTCTACTCGTTCTCATCGTTCTCCAAAGGTCAGTTTCATATATCACATATATCTCATCTAGTCAGCTCTCTTATTTTGAGTACTAACGTTAGTTGCATGAATAGGGCGGCCACATTTACCGCTCGTTACGCGAGGTCGTCATACGATGAATATTATGATATCTTTGAATAAATGCATTTCTTTCGTTAACAGTGATGCAGTATATACTCAACGAACATATGTTTATGTCATTTATCAGCTAGCTGATGTCTTCTTTGATATGTGCTTGCCTTCTTCTATCTTCTCTCTGAATGACTTGGAGGATTATTAATGGATAGACCAATATGCCAACGACATTAAAAACACAAATGATCTATTAGACAATGATTACTGATGAGTGTTTATATGATTCCTAGTTTTTTGCCGCTTTAAAGATGGATTTCCCATGGAAACAACGATGTCTGGATCTTAAGTGGAAGATGACAGCAGAGAAGAATATCCGTCTTATTAATACGATACAAAAAGTAGCTCAGAGCATTGCCGGATTACACGAACATTAATTTGAGAGACCATTGTTATATACGAAGATAAAATAAGACGGGAAGTAAGAATCAAGAAACTCGTCAAACTGAAGGTTGTCCTCTTTATTCGTACTTTGTGATGACTATCTACATATATAATTTAGTAGAGTCCAGTTTCGGATAATGTACGATCGCACATACAATAAATGGACGATCAAGTATGATCGAAAGGTAGCGTGGGGTGACATGATCCACAATCCATGGGTTTGATGGCAGTATAGAAAGTCTGTGATGAGTATCTGAGACTGTATGGAAAAATGTGATATGGAAATGAATATGTGTATCCAGAAACAGCTCAGATAGCATTGACTTTGGCGAAGGAATATGTATGTCAAATACAACAGCCACAAGATGACGATAAAACTTCAGACCCTCATTTGGTCTTTGGCCTCTTTCACAAGAAAGACCATAACAAATTGCTAGGCCGCGTTGGTTATTCGAAGTTCTTTGAACTGTTTACAGTGGATATACTTTTGTTTGAGGGCATTTTTATTTTACTAATTGTATGAAAAATCTCTGAGCTTACCTGTTGATCAATGAGGTCTCAACCGAGAGGATGGTTACACATTAAAGAGCAAAATCTAAATCGATCTGCGATGAGCCTTCAAAAAGGCAAACTCTGGTGTCATGGCAATATGGTCTCATGTCATAAATGTATAATCTGTCCTCTGTGGCTGCTTGACATTGGCAAAATCAATTGAACAAAGTTACTTCCCTAATAATGTACTACTAGAAATTTGCAACAAAAATATAAACACCAATGCAGAGCACCAGAGGCGATGCAGATTTGGAAGGAAAATTAGAATCTGCACTGACTGCAACAGGCGCCCAGAGCAAATCAACAGGTTATTCTAGTGAAGGAATTGATTCATCTAGCCTTTTTTTTTTTTTTCTGATGCTGCTATGCTGAATAATATGGTCCGAATTTGTGAGTGCGGTTTTTCATGTTAGCTTTCATTGATCATTGGAAGCGAATTGTTTTTTAGACCATTAAAAAGCTCTGAAGTTTTTCCAACAAAAAATATTTCTTATTAAAAATATACCGCAATATACAAGCGTTAGACCCATCAGCCTCTCTTGTGTGGCACCAGTTACCTCGAAACCCCTTTTGCTTTTCGATCGGTCTGGCAGAAATATATATGAATAAGATAGCAAAATGACATTGGAAGAGGAAATACTATAGAATATTACCTCGCCATTTAAAGGAGGGACGTGTTAAACAGCTTATCAGCGTTGTGAATGGACAAAAAGATTGATGTATCGTAGCATATCCTATGAAGTTCTACGGATTTATTTATGACGACTTGCTTGCCTTTGAAAGCCAGGACATTAACATGGTCCTTCGTTCAAGGATGCAAAGATTTTTCTTTATGTAAAAGGTGCAACACAATGGTAGTAAAAATTTGCTCGTTTGTTGGGATCAACGGATTCTCCAAACTGAAGCTACAGAAAAAGGGTGCAGGAACGCAATCATCCTCCTCTTTGATCAATGTGACGTGTCTAAGAAATGACGAAATGCGACATCTAATTGAAAATAATTGACGGCGGAGAAAGGAATCCCGATTCGGAATTACAGCCCAGCCATTGCCCGTTGCTTTCCCTTGTCAACTATGTCTTTGAACAACCAAGCTGCCAACGGTAACTGCATTAGCGGTCTGCATTATTGCCATTATAGCCACTAATCTCAAGTTGATTTATATAGAACGTAGCGCATCCGATCTCGCTAGTTCGTTTCTGAATTCGGTCGGTCAGGAATTGACCGGTTCTGAAGATCCTCACGGTCACAGCGTAAAAGGTAGGATAAATCAGTCAAAAACAAATAAAAGAAAAGCTTGAAAATGAGAGCAAATTGAACGACGAATTGAGTTTGCTGATGTTAATGCTTGATACTTTGGGGTTGTGTGTGTGGGTTTAGCTCGGTACGAGGACGACTATTACGGCAATCGCAACGACTACCGTCACAGCAGCAGTCGAGACGATTACCGAGAACGCAGCGATCGAAGAGAAAGAGATCGTGAGAGGGATAGAGATCGCGATAGAGACAGAGATCGACATCGTCGGAAAGATAGAGATAGAGATAGAGATCGGGGTAGAGGCCGTGATAGAGAAAGCAGCAGACGACATGGAGGCTCCAGGGAACGTCATAGTCGTGATGAGAGACACCGAAGCAGTCGAGACGATTATCGGTCATCCAGACACAGTAGACGAAGTCGTAGTCCTCGTCGTCGTGAATCGCGTCACAGTAGTCACCGCAGTTCAAGCCGCTATGGTGGTGGTGGTGCTGAAAGCAACGTTGTACCACTTCACTTGCGTGAACGTAAACTGGATAACTGGGACAAAGCTCCACCGGGAATGGAGGGAATGACGGCCGAGCAAGTGAAATTAACAGGCATGTTCCCTTTGCCTGGACAAGTCATTGGTACACGTGCACCACAATCCTTTGCTGCTCCAGGCACTTATCCTCCTATGGGTGTTGCTACTGATGGTTCAAGAATTCGTATGACCCAAGGGGCGGCAGGTCCGGCCGCTCTCAACGCTACAGTGGCCCGACAAGCACGACGATTGTATGTGGGTCAGATACCATTTGACATTGATGAAGGTCCCATTGCATCATTTTTCAATTCGATTATGAAGCAAAACGGCTTGGCTCAGGCAGACAGTGTTCTGGCCGTACAGATCAACCACGATAAGAACTATGCGTTTGTAGAGGTAAAAAAAAAGAAAAAGCGGGTTTAGGAAGATCAATAATACGTGGGATTCTAACCATATTGCGTTCTTCAGTTCCACGAACCTGCCCAAGCGACTGCGGCGATGGCATTTGATGGTATCATGTTTAATGGACAACCGTTGAAGATTCGTAGACCAAAGGACTACGTTCCTGGCGATGAATATACGGAACAGGCTCATGTACCAGGTAATCCATCAAGTATCATATCAGGCGATATTCATAATAATAACTCTTCGTATTACAGGTCTCGTTTCCACGATTGTACCAGATACCCCACACAAGATCTTCATTGGAGGTTTACCATCGTATTTGAATGAAGAACAGGTGATGGAACTGCTGAAATCGTTTGGTGAATTGCGTGCTTTCAACCTCGTCAAAGATACAACCACTGGTCACTCCAAGGTAACTAGTTTTCCGATCTCTCTTTGACAATATTTAATAGGATGCGATTGGTGAAGGATGTGATGCTCATATACTTTTGTGCCAATTGATTTAGGGTTTCGCCTTCTGTGAATATGCGGATCCCAGTGTCACTGATCTTGCATGTCAGGGATTGAACAACATGGAGTTGGGTGACCGAAAATTAGTGGTGCAACGTGCCAGCATAGGGGCGAAACAGGGTGGTGCGGGAGCCGAACCGCAAAACAGTGCTTTGCCGATATCGCTTATTCCAGTGGGTGGAATCAAGGAGGAAGATGCTACTCGTATTTTACAATTGATGAATATGGTTACCCCAGAGGAGCTTGAGCATGACGAAGACTATCAAGGTACATTGATCATCGATAGGTTATTTTTCTCAAAATAGCTGTGCCACTAACACTTTATATTCTATTCAAGATATTTGGGAAGATATTGCAGAGGAATGTGGTAAATTCGGTACGATTGTTGACATGAAAATCCCACGACCACAGGAACAACAAGCGGTGCCAGGTCTTGGCAAGGTAAAGCCAACGAAAAAAAAAAAAAAAAAGAAAAGAAAAGAAAATGAATGGGGTAATGGAAAAGAAATGACTAACATGGATTAAATCAGGTATTTGTGCGATTCGAGACAAAAGAGGAAGCATTGGCGGCATCTCGGGCTCTTGCAGGACGTAAATTTGCGGATCGAACCGTATTAACTTCTTTCACGGACGAAGATAATTATCTTACGGACAACTTTTAAGCCAACCCAATTTTTTTTATTGTGCTTTGTTCTTTTTTTTTTATTCATTCTCTCCTGTGCTTCTTTGTGAACTCTGCTTATGTATCTCTTCTTCCCTTGTTGGTTATTTTATTTGACTGCGAGAATTTTATGTTAATGTATGTGAAGAATTGTGTCTATCTTTAGTGGAAAAAAAAAGGGGGGAACAACGGAGTATCGTTGCATTCTATTTTTTCTTTTGTTTGTCTTTACGAGCCTGCCATTAAAAAGATTCTTCCCACACTTTTTCTCCTAATCCATCGGTCCAGTGGGATTTCATCTTGGCCAAGAATTTATCCTTTTCAAGATACCGTTCTCTCAGCCATCGAGCCAAACCTTCGTCGTCCGTTGGCAGGTCTTTGATAGCAAAACGTTTCACATTAACATGGAAATCATACTCAGGATCCAAAGATTTGGCATGCACCCGAATCATGGTAGGTGCTTCGTTGAAAACTGCATTTGTCGCTCGATGTCTGTAAACGATGGTGAAGTCTGGGGATAGGAACAAAAAAATCAAGATGAACACCATGTATGCTTGGAACTCAAATAGCAATAAGAGGATGCAGGAACATACAACTTACCATAAACAAACTCAACATGGGAACCTCGAAATTCTTTAACGCAGGTAACAAAACCTTTTGTTCTTGGGACCAGAACGTTTTCCATAATGGGCCAACCACGTCCTCGGGAGAACTCTTGACACTGTCACCCCAAAAATAAAAGGCACCATTCACTTTGTATTGAGTGTTGATGATCTGTTATAGTAGCACGAGTAGACGTTACCTCTTGTAGCTTCTGGGGGGTGAAACGCGATCCTTCGACATAATTGATGATCCATGCCGGTGTTTGAAGCTTTTTGATGCCATCAAATGTTTTCTGGATCTTGCGTTGATCCTGCAACCAATTACGTTTCACAAACAAAAATCCTGCAAGCTGGCAGCGCCCCACACGAGGAAGATGACATTTAAAGACGATTGTTCATGCTTTAACCCAATAATGTTCCCTCTTACTTACCCACATTCCCCATCCAAAGAAAGGTAGCTGGACCCAATAGAAAAGTGATTAATGCTTATTTCTTCTGTCCTTTTTTTTTATGATACACGCGGGTTGGAGCTTACCCATTTGATGGAATCCTTAACAAAATACTACAGCATACATTAATTAGTTGAAGAAAAGGTAAAAGGGTAAATACATGAGAATACCTTGCAATTATGAAGCATATGACGACGGATAGCCACAGAATGTAACATGTAGAAGTCGGTCCAGGAACGGTGATTGCTGATGACCAGTGCTGATTCATGATCAGGAATAGGATCGCCCGAAAAGGTCACCTTTCCTTTTTGCACCCGCTATGCCAGCCAATATGTGAGAATGCCCTCGCGTCAAGGAAGGGGGGGGGGGCAAAACACAAATGTACCGATTTGATCTATGACATACCTCAAAGATAAACTAACAGAGCATAGATAATGAGTGTTGGAATGCAGAATGGAAAACAATAAGGAAATGCCGAGTGACATACCTGCATAGTCTTCCATACAACACCCACGAGATGAGAATTGATCCGTACGACCCATCTTGTACTGAACGGGGACAAAACAAACGAAGACAACTGGACCACTTGCAGTGTGCCTGCCATGCTGGAACCATGGTTCGGTTATTTTATTTTGCGAATATCAAGGGGCAGTAGATAGTTACCCGAACAAGGTAACACCGTAAAAGACGGTGCGAACAGCTTCCGTAATGGCACTAACGGCTCTCATGGATTGCACTGTGGCTCGAATGGGGAACAATCAATGTCGGCAAGGGCCACTTATTCACTTTTTTTCCCCCGCAGAATTCGACATTTTTTTTTTCGGTGCAAATGGAAGATTTCAATTGCCGAGACGTGTCGCTCGTATTATTATATTTTTACGATAAAGTGATATCGTCTCATTAGCTTTTCCTTTAAAGCTTTCATATGGTATAATTGTCGTCTTCCCATCTGTTGCTACAAACGTACTAAGCAGTAGCTGCTGATCTGTTGTCTGCCAGAATAAGAAAACACTAGGAAATGAAAAATAAAAATTTCGAAACTTTCAGATAATAATGTGTTAGGAGACAATGGAGGGCACGCTAGGCGAAATATAACGTTTCCTACAGCAGCTTTCAAATCGAACATACAGACTACCTGCAACTCCTACCTTTATTTACTTTTTGCATTGCCTTACATTTTTATATCTTATCTGCTGCTGTAACGTCTGTGCGATACCACTCCAAGAAGGATAAGATCGGCGCCTTGTTACGAACGGGTATCCAAGTGAATCACATTATGTGATACGTGTTTTGTTTACAAACTCCGTATGCCTTTGGGATTCGCTCATTAATCCGGAAATGGTATACAGAAAGAATTATGGAAAGTTGAAAGGTAACCAAATCACTTTTGTATCACTTTACAGAAAGATGATGCGGGTGTTGCAAAAATGATGAAAGCATCCCCGTCTACTCATGTATTCCAGCAACAGACCTGATCAGTATAGTACAAGAACATTGGATGATGTTAATCATAACAAAGGCATACTACATGGAAGAATAGGTCTTGCCCCTTCCATATGGTACATATCGTGGTTTTGGGGAGGGAGATTAAGACTACAGCAGAAATACCTCACTGCCTACCTTTACAGGTTAGTCAGCAGGTGAGATGGATAATTAGAAAGTGCTCTCTTGACATGATCTGTGATATCAATAAATAAGAGCACGAACGCCATTGTCAGTGGCACTGTCGGTGTGACCTACAGGAACAGATGAAATAAGAGGAAAATGGGAACGAGCAAATGTGTGTTGCCGCCAATTCAGTTTCCGCTTTAGCTTGCAAAAAAAAGGATTTGGGCGATTAAACCTTCGATCAGGATCTTTGTCGACGGTGGATGGTGGTTTCTCTCTTTTTATTTGTTCTGTTATCTTGTTTATCGGCATCTGTGGTACTTTGACCTGCCTCCTTTCGATTGCACCATTGAAACGCTTTTTGCCTTTTTGTCTCCTCGGTCCTCCTTCTTCTTCATATCTCCTATTTCCTATTGAAACGTTCACCAAACATCCACCTCTGCATTTCCCAGACTTTCTTCATCATCCATGTTGCAACCCAAAGAAAAGGTGAAACCACCTCGCAATCTACGATCGGCTCGGTTGTCAGTTGTTAAGAATAAAATATCCACACCTATCAGCATCCCCGTAACCCAGTACGCTTCATTAGCCCCACCCAGAAAAGTCATCAAAGCACTGTACGATTACCAGGCACAAAACGGCAATGAACTGTCTTTTGCTCGCGGTGATTTCTTTCACGTCACGGCACGAGAAAACGATCCTCAGTGGTATGAAGCGTGCAATCCAGCTACCAATTCCAGAGGTCTTGTTCCTGTCACCTACTTCCAGGTCTTGGAGAAGAACGATCGTAGCACCAGCGAAGTCATTTCCCCAGTGAAACAAAAGGCTGACTCCGGATTCGTCGATGATCACGAAAATAACGGTAAGTGATTTCCACCGTTAGAAAACTATTCACGTTGAGAGATCCAATTACTTTTTGTCACGACGTCTGTTTCTCATTGCCGCTTGGTTCTTTCTTTATTGCTCTTTGTCTCTCTCATTCTCCCTTACAGCATCTAAGCGCATGCAACCACTGTACGGTATTGTGTTGTACGATTTTCAAGCCGAACGGTCGGACGAAATGGACGCCAAAGCTGGAGAGCCTATCATTGTCATTGCGCAAAGCAATCAGGAATGGTTCGTGGCGAAACCAATTGGACGTTTAGGCGGACCTGGACTTATCCCGGTGTCTTTTGTGGAAATCAGAGACGCCGTGACAGGCAAAACCATTACCAATGTCAACGATCTTATGCACACTTCCGCAGCGCCTATTCCTCGCGTGGAAGAATGGAAAAAAATGACCCAAGGCTACGAAGCGTCCAGTATTTCCTTGGCCAACGGAGGCTCCGCAGTTCAGGCACACAGCATCTCTTCTTCCGTTTCATCTTCCTCGCTTCGAGATAATGTCGTCGACGATTACTTTGTTCGTTCCAACGACCACCAGCACCCCGACACCATCTTGAATAGCTACGGAATTCAGCACCTTGCGCAGTCTCAACCGTCACCTGAAGCTAGCTTCTCCAATCCTTTATCTCGCGGCAAGGAACGTCCAATGGATGATCGATTGGGTGTTGTTAGTGCAACTATTGATTCTTATATCCTGGAAGCCGATCAATACTGGTTCATTGTATATGCCCGTCTGAACAACGGAAAATATCGCGTATTGTACCGGTTATATGAAGGTAAGCCGTCAAGATTGAGATAATGAAAGAGGGAATGGCGACTAATCGAAAAGTGTTCTGGGGCTTTTAGACTTTTATGATTTCCAGATTAATTTATTACACGAGTTCCAGATTGAAGCAGGCAAAGCCGATCGTGAACGGATATTACCGTACATGCCCGGACCACTTTCACACGTAGACGAAAAGATCACTGGTAAGTTTCTTTGGCAGTGTATGCTTCAGAACATTGTGAAACTCACGCTAATCATATGTACTGGGGGTTTCACTTATTGCTATAGCGGAACGACAACAGGATTTAAACAAGTACTGTGAAGAGTTGCTGGCGTTACCACGCTACATATCACAAAGCGTTCTAGTACAGAATCAACTGTTTGGAATCCACGAAGGAGATATTGAAACCGATAACGATCCGAGAATAGGTGCCCTACGGTTCAACAGTCAGGATATGGTTCAGACGTCGAGCACACCAATAGCGAGTACTGTGAAGTTGAAAATCGTACATAAAGAGGATATTTTTGCCATCAAGGTGCCAGTAGACAGTACGTTAGAAGGATTAAGGAAAAAAGTACATGAGCGATTGGGCTTTGAAGTTCGTCTACGGTATAAGAGCGAACCTCATGGCGACCATCGACCACTAGAAGACGAGAAAGACATGGAAGAAGCTTTTACAACCGCCGTTAAGCTCGGCAAATTAACGGTGTACGCGGAATAATTCCTCCTATTCAGCACAAAGTAACGCAAGCACTATTCGAACTCCCCGTTACGGTTCGGTACTCTGTTTACATCCCAATTATATAAAGAACGAGAAGCGTTAGTAAATTGCTTCTACCATCATAGAAGAGCTTAAAAACTCCTCAAATTACCAAAAATAATGTCTATTGCTACCAATGTTTCTGCGAAAGTGGTTTTTAATGCATTCAAAATCATGAAATTTTTCCTTTTGGCGTGGATACTGATCCTGTTCTTAACTTGTAAACATCCAAAAGTCGCAATGAACCAGTTTCCTGCCATATACATTACTTGTGGCGAGAAACACAAGCACCTCTCATCATTTTAACAAGGATAGGTAAAATGCTCCTGATCAGACAGCGACTCCCAGAATAGGGCATCAACGCACTTTCTGGCGTATTCTCATGATGTAGACGCTCCTAGTCTCGACTCGCAAAACAATCGACTGCTAATCACAAAGCTAGACCTTCTCTGGCTATTCCGAATCAGCTAGAACCACTCGTATCTCTTCCAAATGAGACACTGCTGACGCTGAATTCTCAAACGTCTAACGATGACAAAGACAAAGACAATGCCAAATATGTGCCGTCAAATCCAAATCGTCCCATTGATGATGAGCTTAAGCTCACTGAACAGGGACTTGTGCAACTCCACTAGGACCTGCAGGAAACCCCCTAGCTCAACCTTCCGTGTAAGCCCTTCGAAAGACGAAATATACTGCCGGTAGTTTCCCCTACTCCAATGTTTAAATTATGATAACAATAGGTCCATTCAACTGCTGAAACCTTGCTTAAAATCCGCGGCTGCGACAAACAAAACGTTCCCAATATCTCCGCTCAATCGATTGTCATCTTCTGCCCATGCAGGATATACTGTTCCCAACAATGCAATTGGGAAACATAAATATCCACTGATTCCGTGGTAATCAATGCATTCGAGCTAAATATTGCGGTGTTATCTCCGTCGATCCTGCGCTTAAGCGTATTTCTCAATTACAAGGCTTGATGGTTGCATCCTATGGGTCAAGGTTGCATACGTCCCATTCTCTCTTTCGGTCTTTTTCACTTTGCATGATTCACATGTTTCAACCCTGACGACGATTCGCTGTTTTCCACACTCTTCTCAACTTGTACTCATGTGAAAGCTTATCTTCATGGATCCCACCGACTATTCTGCTCCATCAATCACTCGTTGTTCTCTTCATCCACCTTGGTATCCAGACTTCAGCTTGAAGGAGTTGCTCCTAATCCCATAACAAACTACCGCAGAAAGTGATGGTTGTGATTGCTCGTTAATATAGGAATCTCTCAAATGCTGGTTAGAGCCACGTCAAGACTTATCGGAAAACCCTTGTCTTTTTCATGAAATTGCCAGTATATGTCTGTGTCTAGCACTTTTCCTTGTCATGGCAACCGTACATAGATATACGTCATTATGGCACACTCGCACATCGAAATTGGAGAAGGCGATATAAGCGTCGCTAGACCGTCCACATCATCCACTGATGCTTCGGTTCAACGACGGTGTTGCTGGCCGTAAGGAGCAACAGGAGACTTGACTTTCTCCGAGGCTATTCATGGTTGTTGTATTTTATGAATGAGCAAGGCTGGAGCACAAATGGCCCTATGAGACTGTTCCCAGAAGTAGAACTGAATAAGGCTTTGATCCTGGGCTCGATGACAGCCGCTGCTTCAATCTCCTTCCTGAGCCCCTGAAGATATGGTTCAGGCACCACAAACAACTAAAGTTCACCAACAGCTCAAGAGAAGACTTGCAAGCCCAGCCTCCAGGTTGTAGCCTTCAATCACTTGGAAAAAATTACCATCCATTGCCTTATTTTACGAATATGCTTATTATAATTTAAATGACCCGGGCAAGGGTTGTGTCCGATGTCAACAAATTGACAAAGATCATCCTCAGTCTCATGTAAAGTAACCAACATTGGAAGCGCAAGGATACTTTTAAGCTCTCATGATATGCTCTCATGATATCTACATAACTTTCAAAGTCATACACAGTTATGTAACCACAGACACCGATCATTTGTAGGCTAGCTTTGCCGATCTTGGGGGTTTATTAATTTTTATTGCCTGTTTTTGTCCTCTGTGTGGTTTTAATAGTGTTTACCAATCCTTCTTGATATCAAATGACCATGTCCATGCCATGTGGGTGTATCCGTCATCATCAACAAATTTGCTCTATAATGCAGAAATATTATCCGTTAGATATACACCATCAACTAAACTCACGGAGTAAGAGCAGAAAATAAAAATAAAAAAAAAGGTTACCTTGGCTTCGTAGTGACCACGAGCGAGTAAACCGGAAGGAGCTTCCTCCAATTGGAATTTCTTTTCGTAAGCGTCAGTGGAAGGGCCATAGGAACCAATCATTTCTTCAGTCTTGTCAACTAAAAATTTGAGTAACAATTTAGTCACGGATGATTCGAAAGTATCACAAGAACATGGGGATAAGGGATTCACAGATGGTTAGAGAAAGGGAAAAAGAAAAAAAAAAAAAAAAAAAAAAAGAGGCAGGGGCACGGTAATGATGAAAAGTAGAGAATGGCTATTGGCAATCATATCAACTTTACCTGTGATACCCTTTCGCTTGACAGCTTGCAAGTATTTCAATCCAGAAACAACATCATGCTGAACTCTGCAGAAAGAAAAAAGAAAAAAAGACCGAATAAGCAAACCAAAAAAGTAAGGATGGCAGCGCATATCACGTCAAAAAGAGCACGCACCTGAATTTGACTTTCATGCGGTATTCGATACCTTCTTTGATGGTAAATGGGGTATTCTTTGCTTCTTCAATAGCAGCTAGTGGAAAGGAGTTTTGATAAGAAAAAAAATCCAGATTTCACATTTTCGCGTATCCTTGGAGAAAAAGGGACATAAGGAGCACGTACCGGTGGTGGACAAATCGACAATGACATCCGGACGACCTTCCACCTCGAGAGCGATATACTGAACAACAACCTAAGGTGGAAAGAAACAAACCAAAAGGATAACAAGAAGCATCCGGAAGGCGAAAAAGGAAGTAGAAATTAGACACACACACGCATATTCACATATACACAAAGGGTGACAAAGGGGGATTTATCGTTACGTCAACCCGATCTCGGGCAATCCCAGAAACTGTTAACTTACTCTGCGGGGATCATCTTGTGGACCTAGTGATGTCGACCAATCAGCACTTCATCATCCTCAGCCTGGAAGGAAGAAGAAACTCAAACGTTACCTGTAGCTTGACCGAGGCCAAGCGATTGTTTCCACTTGTTCAACGACTCATCTTGTGCGTCAAGGTTCTGGTACTCGTCCAAAGTCTTCTTCTCACCAGGCTTGTAACCAGCGGTCTGAGAGGGCACAAGATCGTCTTCTTGATGATGTTCAGTCATGACGAAAGAAAGTCAACGGTTTGTAACGTGATAACGAAAAAAAAAGAAAATAGAATAAAGAGGAAAGAAAGAGAAATATAAAAAAAAATTACACAAAAATAGAAGTGAGAAATTAATGGGCAAAAGGGCGGAAATGGGGCATTTATTGGCTGAGCTTGTGCTGTGTTTGGACAACCAAAACGTGCTTGAATTCGACGGGCTTGGGTCGCCGTTGTCCCAGGTCCGGGAGCCTACCGAATCTTATGTCACACTTCATCTTGCTCCCTTGCAGCACTCAACATTTCAGCATAGTGTCCCGTCTTTATCCGTTATAATATCGGACAAGCAATCTACTTTTATCTTACCCATAGAAAAAGTCAAAGTGCTGTATAGCAGGAGGTGATAATTTCGGTTGAACTCATTCATGCCTTTTTTTCGTTTCATAACTGAGTAAAAGGGTAATCGGATACTGTCCATAAGCTCTTCCGGTTGTCTTTCGCGTTAATTCAGTATATCGTTTTTGGAAGGGAGCTTGCTCCTTGTTATTGGGTCACACGCGTCGTTTCTTAGCGACGAAAGAAAAAGCACGATGCAAAGCAACCGTTTTTGAGGCGGATATTGAAATTTTCAATGTGGCGATGACTTTCTCCATGACAAATGTCCCTTGTCCATTTTCCGGATGGCGAAATATGGCACCCATCTTTATGCCTAGCCCCTACTCATTTCGAATGCTAATACCTCTTAAAAAAAACTTTGGGTCGTGGCATCAACATTTCCGAAGCACTTAACACTAGCAGCTGCATTCTCTACATACTGTATACGAAGTGCAAAGAACCCACGTTTATGTCATCTGGTCGCGAATATATTACTTTGCCCGAGAAAGACTTCCACTTGTATTCCTCGGCAAAGACAAGAATATTCAAGTATTGAAGACGACTTCATTAGTTTTAGATCACCTCCGTTTAATGATCAGCATACTTACGAGTCCGCACGACATGCGAAGCTCGTAATCTCCTTGGCAACCACAGCAACAAGCGTCGATGCGTAAGAATCGTGTTCATAGAGCCAAGATTTACCGGCTTTCTTGATTCTAAAATTCTCCATAAACTTAGAAATGCTCTGACCTTGAACGATCGCGCACCCCAACTGCACAAGCCTTCAAGGGCAACTGATCATTTAGGTGCTTTTCAAGTGACAACGTCAGCTGTTGCTGTTGCCACTTGTTGAGATTGTTACATATCATCGTTCCTGGCGATCCCTGCTTGCTACGCAGGTATACGCCAAAATATCGACGAAGGAGGTAATGCTACTTTTGAATGCTCGCTAAAATGAATTTCCAAGCCGAATCTGTCATCTTTTGACCGAGAACTTCGTAAAGTGCTCCGAGAATTGCGTTGGTAACGATGAAGCATACGTCCTGGGATATCTCGAGTTGGGCGTGAATGAGCGACAGGAATAGTCCGTGGTTACTCGAGTACATCCCCTCGCCATATCTTGAACAACCTTTGCTGCTCTAGTTTGTCAATATGCAAGCGAATTGAATCAAAGGAGTCGTTACATTGAAGCCGCTGCACTCAAAAGCGTATGTTGCATCAGTTGCATGTCTAATCAAAGTTAAACTATGTGGGCCGAGATGACGCAAATAGATCATAGAAGCAGCTGTGAAAGACGGACAGAAATATGCTATCAGACAAAGATCTTTGTTTATTGATTCATTGTTTGACACTGATGACACAGAATAGCGTCAAAATCGAAAACATCACAAACATTTGCACCATCCCAGGATTATCATTCACCGAATATCGACCAAAAGGACGATTTCATGAGTGCGTGTCGCGATGGCCACCTTTTGTTTCTATTCTATTGACTAGGCAAACTCTTCGAGATTCTGTTGCAGGATATGGATCCACGCAACGACCCACCTTACGACCCACCCAAAGAACAAGTATCTCCATCACCCCTCTCTTCCTCGCTTTTTTCATTTCATCAATAATATATAAAAGGGTATATCCATAGACCGCGAAACCTGAACATCGTGTGATGACAGACAGGTATTATATAAGCCTATGCTTTCCTCTTGTCTCGTCTCAGGAAATGCTGTACCGATATTCCGGCAGGCATGCAGATATTCGAGGCTTAAGTTTTATGTAATAATAAGAAAAAAACAAAACCGTTCCTGGGCATTGGAGTCTTTTTATAACCGAAAAAATTTTCATGGCGGAGTTAAATTTTCAGACATGGCGTGCGGCACTAAGGGCAACCAGTAAGAAGCGCGAAATCGACCGGCAAAGTCGTTTATTGAGTTACAAGAACTTCTTTCATTTTTTAAATCTTTTTGCTTTTGTTTCTATACAGTGAACAGATTTAAAATGACCGGAATGAAATCCGGGTCACAGTCTGTGCAATTTATACTGTAGCTGCCGATATCCATGACGGGGTGTCAATCGGAACTACTTCCTCTCATAAGCCACGCACCACCATTTTACCGACGACCTAGATGAGCAAGATCACGATACGGGTGCCTTGGTGGAGGATAAGGACCACGACAGATTACGTCCACCGTCTTTAGCAGGACATACTTCATCTTTCTAGGTTTCTTCTTCTTTTTTATTTCGTGGGGAGTGGCTGTGCTGAGCGATTGCAAGTGCGAGTGAAACTTTGGAGGCGCTGTCTGTGTGTTGTACGGTCGCAGCCAGATATGCGATGCTACCTTGTCCAGTGAGGCACGATTCGATACCGGAGCGAGCATGCATCGTAATAAATCCTTGCTCGCTTCATTTGCGGAAAGAAAAAAAAAATAAGAATGCAAAAATGGTTTAGTTTTATTATGCATCTTATTGTTTGGATCATACCCAATAATACAACCTTCCGATAAGCACTCTGGCAGTACGAAATCTGCATGGAGCATGCGTTGTAACAAACTTGCATCATTGGCACCCAAAAACGGGTAACAGCCGACCAGCATACGGTACAGAGAGATGCCAAGCACCCACACATCTGCAAGTCCTGCGCTGTATTGTTGATGCATAATCGATTCTGGTGGGATATACTGCAGATTCCTGTAGATCGATCGCATTAGTATGAGCTTTTTCTTTAAATCAAGGAAATATCGCCGTAGGCTAATGATCCTTTTTTTTATCCAGCATATCAGATTGAAGAGTAAAGAAATTACCCATAAAACGTTTTTGATTGGTGGTTAATCTGAATGCTTTGGACGTTATAGTGCGTATCAAATGATAGCTTCATGATGGTGGGCGCTGCGAGTTGATATGTTTGTTGAAAGCGGTATAGGGCTTGAATCCATCGTACGAAATATCGTTTGCATTGTTCTTCGTCGTTGATAATGTGGGGGATTTTAGGGGCATAAGTTGTTGCAAGTACAGGTGGTGGACAATAACTGGCGGTGGAAGACGAGCCAAAAGAACTACAAGAGATGTGACTTGACGAACTCGTGATACTTGCAGCCTCCAAAGATCGGTTTGAGCGGGAGATACTGGAAGATGGTTTAGTGCTTGCTACCTCATTTTCCTCTTGAATCGTATAAAGCGGCATGTGAGAACGGGTTGAGGATCGATGCCAAGGCGATGAAAACCATTGTGACTATATGTTTGAAAATGGTGAATAACAATCCACCATAAGAAGCCAAGAAAAAATCAGAACAATAAGAAGGAAATAAATTCTTAGGAGGCAGGATATGAGAGCAAAAAATAGCACCAAACATATGCAGGAGTGCGGCAAAGAAATGATTTGGGAGATAAACAATCACAGAGAGCGATTGTGGGTTATTGTTTTGATAAATAGCCATCTTACCTCCACAAAGTCAAGGCGTTGTCTTGCCGATCCGTTTTTTGGCATTTTATAATTACCCGGTAGTGGAGGATGGTTCGGTGAAAGCATCCGCCAATGTGATGTAGATTTTCGACGTTGGCCCAACTTGTAACGATGTTTTGCGGTTAAACATTGTCGCCACCATGCAAAATCGCATCGAAAATGGAAATGGAGAAAAAACCGTGAATGTATTGGTACTAATGTTGTCATCTAAGCGGATTACTTTGTTTCGAAACCAGGAAAACAGAATGTTTGACAATGCGGATTACTTGTTTCGAAACCGTGGAAACAGAACGTTTGACAATGCGGATTACAAAGAAATAGTGAGATCAATGAGGTAAAGGAAGAAAGATGAAAGGAATCAAGACCAAGTAAGAAAAAAAAAACAAAATCACGATGAAAATAAACATGTTGATAATAACGCAAATCAGTTGCCAAATTCAGAGGATGCAACTACCCATCACGGATATTCAGGAGCAACCGTGTTTCAAACAATTAGGTTCTGACGACTGTCAATGTCATAGACGCGGGACATTCAGGGCAAGGGTTGTCTCCCATTGGCACAATAAAAATAGCATAAAACCCTTTCATGGAAGATGAAGCATCCCTTTATTTCCCTCACAATAAAAAATCACTCATCCCAATATCGAATTTCAACCAAACTCACCTTTGGTTGACATTAATTGGCGGTTTCACACCATCAAAATAGATAAGGTTGTCTTCACTGCATATCCGATAGGTTGATGAAACCATTTCTCCTTAATTTCAATTGTCTTGGTTCGGCACAATTTAAAATCTGAATGTTGTAAGTTGAGATTCTTCTTCGTAAATGAAGTGATGCAAATAATACAATGCAAGCAATAATATGAAAAAATGAGTCTATATCTATTAAATAACGAAAAAAAAAAAAGAAAAATGACAGATCGGTATAGATTAAAATATTGGGTTTCGAGAAAGAAAAAAAGAAGCTAAGCTGTAAGACTAAGGCGCATTTCGGCGGTAGTCATTCATATCGCTTAACGTCTGGCCTTGCGGAACAAATAAACGAAGAACATGAACGCAAACACGTTGAACACGTAGTAAGCGCAAAGGATACCAAAGTCACGCCAGCGGTTATCGAAATGCCACCCGATACGAGTTTCATAATAGTCGTTACCAGCCGAGTATTGGCAGTAGTTGCAAGTACCAGTAGCATTAGGATCTTCGAGGTAACCCAGACCGCCGCTGCTGAAATAATTGGCCATGTACTGTCCGCAGGTTTGATTCGGAGGAGCGTTGATCTGGATAAAGTCGTTGGATCCACAGACAACAGGGACACTGTCCATGACATTCACAACGAGACCTTCAATCAAGTAATGATAGGGATCTGTAAAATCAAAAACAAAAATGATTAATATACTTCGTCCACACCTTCAATCAACCAGCGACAGATGACTTACCAAGCCAGTACATCCAGGATCGCCAAAAGTAAGGCATAGCTGACGGAGGTTGCATGATACCGGCGAAAAGAATAAGGATAGAGGTAAAGAAGGGATTGATGACAGCGGCCATAGGAGGAGTCGATGAAAAGGCGGCAATCATGAAACCAAGAGATACGGAATACAACAAGAAAACGATGAAATGGATATAGAAGAAACCAATACGATCAGACACATTCTGGAGACCGGCAGTCCAGTAGAAACAGAACAAGAAGATGGTCGACAAGAAGATCAGGTAAGGGATTTCCACAAGAATACAGGACAAAGCGAATGGAGCCCAGCCATAGTATTTGGAAGCATGTTCACGACGGAACCACATACGCTCTTGCATAAATCGGGGTTGGGCCAAAATAATCAGTGCGTTACTCATCAACAGCGTGGTGAAGACAGAGAACATGCGGTTTTGCATATCGGCCGGCGAGTGACCCAACTTCCAGAAAGAGAAACCAGAAATTAGACCAATAAAGCAGACGTTGAAAAGACGACCCATGTTGTACGTAGGGCAACGCCACCAGGACACGTTCATACGCTTGTAGACCAGCCAGAATTGTTGGAAGAAGGGCAAAGCATACGTGGTAGCATGACGCTTGCGATGAGGATCGACCGAGCCGTGAATACTTTCGAGTTCGGCTTCCAAAGCCTTGGCTTGAGAGGAACCAGCCCAGACATCGGCCCAATCACGCGTCGCCTTACCAGCAGTACCGGCACCGACACATTCCAGAATATATTCAGCAGGGTTGGCTTGAGGAGAGCACTTGGGACCACCGTTGGATTCAAAGTAATCAATCATAGTACGAGCATCTTGACCGATTTCACCAAAGTAAGCAGTACGACCACCACGCACCAAAAGCAACAAGTGATCAAAGTGTTCAAACAGGGTAGCCGAAGGTTGATGGATGGTACAGAGCACGGGCCAACCGGCGTCAGCGAGTTTACGAATGAAACGGACAATGTTGTACGAAGATTGAGCATCCAGACCAGAGGTAGGTTCGTCCAAAAACAAGAGCTTGGGTTTACCGACCAATTCAGTAGCAATCGTCAAACGTTTACGTTCTTCGACCGAGATACCAACACCAGCTTCAAGATCGCCTACCAAAGCATCGGCGATCTTTTCCATTTCCATAAGCTTGATGATTTGTTCGACATAGGCATCCTTTTCTTCCTTGGGGACTTCGGGACTTTGACGCAAATAAGCCGAGAACTTCAGAGCTTCACGAACAGTAGCATTGGGATTGTGAACATCCATTTGTTCACAGTAACCGGTAATACGTTCGAAATCGACATTCAAGGGTTCACCATTCATGTAGATACGACCTTCCACCTTACCAATGGTCTTTCGCTGAGCCAGGACATCCAAAAGCGTAGTTTTACCAGCACCGGAAGAACCCATCAAAGCAGTAAGATTACCAGGTTTGACAATACCGCCGATATCATTGAGCAACTGCAGTTTGCCTCCCTTGACAGGGACCGTGTAATCAATATGGTGCCAAGAAAACGTGGTACCATCGGTGACAGCTTCCATTTCTTCATCGGCTTCAACCACTTTGGCTTTCATCATTTCTTCTTCGCTTTCTTCCTTGGGAGCTTTGCCCTTCTTGTAAACCTTGGTCACACTGCCTTCTTTCTGGAGTTCGACGTATTCCATACCCAAAGCCGTAATCGCAGTGAAGAAAATGAAGAAAAGGATCACGGCGACAAAGTTGATCCATCGCTGCCAAGTCTCGTAACCGTAAGCAAAACGCAAATAATCGTCACCAAGGACGTAGCTGTCGCCAGGTTTGCCACCAGGAAGAATACAGGTCTTGTACTGCTGATCATCGTAACCAGGACCGAAAGGAACTGAGTTTGGACCTTCACAAGAGAACTCCATACCGGTCAATTCGTTAGAGATCAAAGCTTTGTAACCATAGGCAAGAGGGTTAATCCAGTAAATCCACATCAACCAAGGATGCATCTGCGTGTAAGGGATCCTAGAAACGCAGGGAAATAAAAATTGCAAATGTGAATATCTTGATCGAAATGCAAAGAAAGCAAAGACAAACAGATGAATGACTTACTGATAACCACAGTACACCAAGGCCGCAATCAAGAGAATGCTGGACAATTGTGAAGCAGTGAAGAAATTGGGAGACACCGCACCCCAGAAACGGAAGAAACCGTTCATACACAAATTGGTCACAACAAGGATAATAAAGAAGGTAAAGAACTACGAACAAATAAATGTTAAGAATAAACAATTCATATCCAGAACCTAGAATGACATTTTACCTTTCCTGCATCCAAGACGAGACCCATCATGAAGTAGACACAGATTTCAAAGACCAGGACTTGAACAATGGCCAATGGGATATCGGCAATGACGGTAGCAATATAGAAAGCAGAAGGATGATACAAAGCAAAATGTTTGTGCTTTTCCAATACACGACGACCTTGCATGAAAGCAGCGAGTTCCGATTGAGCGATCAGAGCATTGAATAACAGAGAGAACAAGAAAGCACCACCACGAGAGAAGGCACCAGTACCATCGACAGGCATCATGAAGAAAACGGAAGCCATAATAAGACCCTTGACAACGACACCACCATAACGAGAAATGAGAGCACCGCGGTCACCGAGAATCAATTGGAATTGACGGACCGTCAAGGACTTAACTTGCTGATAGTACGACACGGTGAAAGGAGAATGCTTGGGAGCACGTTTCTGATGAGCATCCAATACGGCTTGTCTAAATCGTTCATCGGGGCGATCCTGGGAAATCTTGGCTTCATAGGCATCACGCTCGGCCATCATTTGATCATGCAATTCGGAATTCTTGTAGGCGGCTTCAAACTGGACGGAGTTCAGGGGAACCTTGCCTTCGTAACCGGGCTTGAATTCACGTTCGTTGGCATTACACAAACCGGTCAAGAAATCAGGTGTGGATTTACGATCGGGGCAATGGAAGCCCATATCCTCAAAGTACTTCTTGGCAGTACTAGTAGGACCAAAGTAGATGCAACGACCTTCATCGAGAACCATGACCTTGTCGAACAAATGGAAAATGCTGTCAGAGGCTTGATACAAGGTGGAAATGGTAGTCTTGTGCAAAATATCGGTCATAATACGGAGCGAACGGACATAATCCAAAGCAGAAGAAGCATCGAGACCACGGGTAGCACAATCCCAACAGTTGATGGAAGAGCGAGTCGTCATCTGTTCAGCAATCGAAAGACGCTTACGTTCACCACCGGAAAGACCACGAACAAAGGCGTTACCGACCATAGTATTCATTTGCTTGGTCAAACCAAGCATGTTACCCAGCATATACAGAAGCTTGTTGATAAATTCGCTCTGAGATTCACCAGGCAAACGTTTTCCGGGGGTCTTGTTCTTCAAAGCGAAACGCAAAGTCTGCTTGGTAGTCAAAGTCGGGTAATGAAGATCTTCTTCTTCGTTGTAACACACTTCACCACGGAAATGTTTGGCAAATTCACGAGCTTCAATACCACCGTAACGGACTTCACCTTCGATACTGGTATAAGACTTGCGCATATTGGACAGGACACGTAAAAGGGTAGTACAACCAGCACCGGGACGACCGAGAACCAGAAGCATTTCGCCGTCCTTGCAGAAACCGTTGTTGTTCTTGAGAATGGTGAAATCATGGCCCTGACGACGACCCCATTTCCAAAATTGGACAGCTGAAGCAAGCCAGGTATAATTGGTGGAGATCACTTTGGCGTCTGCACCCTGACCTTGTACTACCAGATCCTTCCAGACAACGCCCATATGCTTTGGGTGGAACCCGGCTTCGGCACCTTTCTGATTTTGATCTGATAAAAAGTCGGTCAAATCGAAATCACCGGAACCCTTCTCGGCGTCGTTGACTGATTTGCGACGGGACTGTTGAGTTAATTCACGACGGAGTTCTTCGTAGTTGGACATGGCATCTTCAATATTGACGGCATTGCCGTCTCTTTCACCGTATCCACCTTCGGTTCGACGCGTGTTTTGACGTTCGAGATCGTCTTCAAGCACTTTTTCCGACTCGAAATCGTGTGAGTGAACGGCAGTAGCGTCGGACGGTAAGCGTTGATGTTGGACAGGACGTCCTTGTTGCTGTTGTTGTAGATAAGCATCGTCACGGTTGAGGCGCTCATCTTGCAGCCCTTGTGCGGCTGGCATATCCATGATGAGGGAAACGAATATGGATTATTCAGCAGTAATGTGTAACCGCGCGCGAGAAAAGCAAAGACACAAAATTCCTTTTTGGATATATTCTACCAAATACAGTAGCCGAAAGTGATAGAAATTCGCAGTATATATCTTGCTTAATAAGCAAAATAAACGAATGATGAGGGGAAAGAATTAAGAAAAGAAGTTGGTTACAACAAGTTCGCGGTGGATCAAGGGGAAAAAAACCCTCATCTTTATATAAGCGAGCTGTTAATTTGAGCGGGAAAACCGAAACATGGCCTGAACTATTGATCCGCCATCTTATTCGTCGTTCGGGAAAACTATTGAAAAATTTTCTGTACGGATGCCTCATTTCTTTGGTTCAGACAAAAGTAGGGTCACTGAAACCGATCATTCAGCCAATCAAAATCATGCATGATCCTAAGCGGTTACTATATTTAGAAGTGTACCTCATTTCAAAGGGTAATTTGTTTTTTTTTTAAACTTTCGGCAGAAACCTTACTCCGGGCTACGGTTGTTTTCTGAGTAAAATTTGGATATTCGAGAAGATTTTCAAGACCTTCGATTCTTTCTCAAGTGAAAAAAAAAAATGAATGCTCATTTTATTATTTACATGTATGTATGAAATTTGTACTTCAATAGAAGAAAAATAAAATGTTGTAAAGATGGTTTGTATATAGAGGAGAGAGAGAGAGAAGAAAAAAAAAAGTCTAGATTAATGGGTTTTAAATGATAATGAAAAAAAAAGGAACACAGAAGAATACTTCTTTAACGTCTACCCTTGCGCTTCCAGTAAACGAGACCGACAAACACAAAGACGTTGAAAGCGAAGAAGGCAATAAGGATACCAAGATTGCGCCACTTGTTCGCTTCGTCCCAGCCAAAGCTAGTGGTGTAGAATTCTCTGCCAGACTTGTAGGAACAGTAACCGCACATATCGGTGGCATTAGGGTCGGCGATATAACCAGGAGCATGGAACTCTTCAAAGAAACGTTGCATGTATTGACCACAGGTTTGACCGGCCGGTGGAGTGAACTTGAGCAAATCTTGATCACTACACTCGATGGTGAGATTTTCCAATTCGTTGACAGTGAGACCTTCGATGTAATAATGGAAAGGATCTAATAATAACGAAGAATGTTAGAATGAAAATGTTTCGATAAAATGAATTGGTTTCAAAAATAGGATGCAAGATAGAAAAACTTACCAAGCCAGTACATCCAGGCACTCCAGAAGCGAGGCATGGCAGAAGGTGTTTGCATAAGACCAGCAAACAGAATCAACATGGAGATGATAAGCGGGTTGATGACAGCCGCCATGGTAGGAGATTCAGCCACCGCAGCAATCACGAAACCGAGAGTAACGGCCCAGAACACGAGGAAGACGAAAATAATATAAAAGTATCCGACAGTTTCCGAATTGTTGGTCATACCAGCGGTCCAGTAGAAGCCGAACATGTAGAAAGCGGCGTAGAACACGATGTAAGGCATTTCGACAAGAATAGCCGAGATAGCCCAAGGCAACCAACCATAGTAACGGGAAGCATATTCGCGGCGGAAGTACAATCGTTCAGTCATAAACTTGGGTTGAGCGAGAATAATCAACGTCATGGCCATAATGAAGGTCGAGAAAAGAGCGAAAAGCTTGTTCATCATATCCGAGGAGCTGTTGCCCAGCTTCCAGTAAGTGAAACCGGTAACAAGAGAAGTAAACATGACATTGCAAAGACGACCAATATTGTAGTTGGGAGCACGCCAGTAGGACATGGTCATACGCTTGAAGACGAGGTTGAACTGGGTACCGAAAGGAGTAGCGTAAGTACGAGCGGGACGAGTGGGGTTGGCGTTGGCGGTTTGATGAATTTCTTCCAATTCTTCTTCCAAGGCCTTGGCTTCAGACGAATTGGCCCAGATATCGGCCCAATCGCGCGTAGCCTTACCAGCCGTACCGGCACCGACGACTTCAAGAATATATTCAGCAGGGTTGGCATCGTTGGAACACTTGGGACCACCATTGGATTCAAAGTAATTGATCATGGTACGGGCGTCTTGACCAATTTCACCATAGTAAGCAGTACGGCCGCCACGGACCAAGAGCAACAAGTGATCGAAATGTTCAAACAAGACGGCAGAAGGTTGATGGATAGTACAAAGCACAGGCCAGCCGGCATCAGCAAGTTTGCGAATGAAGCGGACAATGTTGTACGACGACTGAGCATCCAAACCAGAGGTAGGTTCATCCAAGAAAAGCAACTGAGGCTTGCCAACCAGTTCCATACCAATGGTCAAACGTTTGCGTTCTTCAACGGAAATACCAAAGCCGGATTCAACACTACCGATCTGAGCATCACCAATATCGTCCATTTCGAGCAACTGGAGAATTTGTTCGACGTATTCATCCTTTTCGGCCTTGGGGACCTCCGGAGGTTGACGCAAGTAGGCACTGAATTGCAAGGCTTCACGGACGGTGACAGCGGGCTGATGGATATCCATCTGTTCACAGTAACCAGTAAGACGTTCGAAGTCGGTCATAAGAGCTTCACCATTAAGATAGACGCGGCCTTCAACCTTACCCAAGGTCTTGCGGCGAGCCAAGACATCGAGTAAAGTAGTTTTACCAGCACCGGAAGAACCCATCAAAGCAGTGAGATGACCAGGCTTGACAATACCGGCAATATCGTTGAGCAATTGAATCTTGCCACCCTTGATGGGCACTGTATAGTTGATGTGGTGCCAAGAGAAAGTGGTACCAGCAGCGATCTTGTCCATTTGTTCAGTGACTTTAGCCTGTTGACGACGACGTTCATCTTCTTCTTCATCAGTACGGGGCTTGGGAGCCTTGCCGGGCAAGTAAAGCTTAGTGAGAGAACCGACGCGAGCAACACCACCCCATTCCATTGCCAAAGCAGTAGCAGCGGTAAACAAGAGGAAGAAGCCGACAACAGCGACGAAATCGGGAGCCCAGATGTGGTTAGGTTCATAGGACAGATATTCACGGAGGTAGCTATCACCACGGACAAAGGCTTCACCGGGCACACCACCTTGCATGGTACACACCTTGTGGGCCCAATCGTCGTAACCGGGACCGAAAGGAACGGCATTACCAGCACCATCGCAAGAGTAAACTTGATCGTGCATTTCGTTGATAAGCAAAGTCTTATAACCATAGGTCAAAGGATTAATCCAATAGATCCTGTGAAGAAAAAGGGAATTGGTATGAGTATCCCAAAATATTCAAAAAAAAAAAAACCCAGGCAAGTGATAACATACCAGAATAACCAAGGATGCATGGCCTTGTACGGAATCACGTAACCAGTGTAGGTAACGACAGCAATGAGAATAACACCGGAGACTTGAGTGGCAAGGAAGAAACTTGAGCTAATGGCACCAAAGAAACGGAAGAAACCGTTCATTGTCATGTTGATAAAGAACAAGACAATAAAGTAGGTAAAGAATTTGCCAGCTGTCAAGTTCAGACCCATCATGAAGTACGAACAGATTTCAAACAAAAGCACTAGAAGAAGAAAAATGTAAGTACAACGTTCTAAAAGAATATGACGGGAGTATAATGGATGCTTTACCTTGAACGATCGCGTATGGTACATCCATAACGACTTGAGCGATATAGAAAGCGGATGGTCGATAAAGGGCAAATTGTTTGTGTTTTTCGAGAATGGGACGACCCATAAGGAAACGGACGAGTTCGGATTGAGAGATGAAAGAATTGAAAAGAACAGCAAAGAAGAGCGCACCACCACGAGAGAAGGCACCCGAGCCAGTCAAAGGAAGATTGAAGAAACAGGAAGCAGTAATCAGAGCTTGGATAAGAATGGTACCGTAACGGGAAATCAAGGCTTCTCTATCCTTGATGAGCAAATGGTATTGGCGGATAGTCAAGGCCTTGACTTGTTGGTAAAAGGAGGCAATGTAAGGTGCTTTGTTACCGGCACGCTTTTGATGTTCTTGGTCAACAGCGGCACGGAAAGTGTCGGCTTGGTTGTCGCGAGCGAGTTGCTGTTCGTAAGCTTCCAATTCGGCCATCATATCCTTGTAGAGGGAAGAAGCGTAGTAACGTTCCTGGAATTCCTTAGCATGGGATGGTACAGAGTCTTCGAAACCGGGCCTGGCTTCACGTTCGAGAGGATTACAGAGACCAGTCAAGAAATCGGGAGTGGATTTACGAGGCGGGCAGTAGAAACCCATTTCTTCAAAGTAAGCCTTGGCACGGCTGGAAGGACCAAAGTAGATGCAGTAACCTTCGTCGAGCACAAGAATCTTGTCAAACAAGTTGAAGATGCTGTTGGAAGCTTGGTACAAGGTAGCGATGGTCGTCTTGTTGAAGACATCGGTCATGATACGCAAGGAACGGACGTAATCGAGAGCGGAAGCAGCGTCGAGACCACGAGTGGAACAATCCCAACAGTTGATGGTAGACTGAGTGGTCATTTGTTCGGCAATAGAAAGACGCTTACGTTCACCACCGGAAAGACCACGAATGAAGGCGTTACCGACCATGGTGTTCATCTGCTTGGTCAAACCAAGCATGTTGCCGAGCATATACAAGATCTTGTTGACAAAGTCCTTCTTGGTTTCGTCGGGAAGACGTTTGCCGGGCGTTTTGGTTCGGAGAGCAAATTGAAGCGTTTGCTTGGTGGTCAAAGTGGGATAATGCTGATCTTCTTCTTCGTTGTAACAGACTTGACCACGGTAACGGTTGGCGAATGTCTTTGGATCAATACCACCATAAGAAACTTCGCCCTTGACATCGGTAAAGGCACCTCGCATGTTGGCAATGACACGAAGCAAAGAGGTACAACCAGCACCGGGACGACCCAGCACGAGAAGCATTTCACCATCTTTACAGAAACCATTCAGGTTTCGAAGAATGACTTTCTTGCTTGTATTACTCTTTTGGAATCTCTTCCAGACAGCAATAGCATTGTAAAGGAAACTGAAGACAGTAGGAATGGTGTGAGCTTCGGCACCAAGACCCTAAAAATTCAACAGGCGAATAAAAAAATTATGATTAATGACTGGACGGGGGAAATAGAATTTTCGATTGCGAAGATATTGCATTCGTTTCTCACCTCGACAACAAGATCTTTCCAAATGACGCCCAAATGTTTGGGAGTATGACCAGCTTCTTGCTGCTCGCGGTTCATGCCGTGCAAGAAATCGTCGAGACTAAATTCATCACCGGCAGCGCCTTCTTCGAGTTTGCTTTGAGACGCAGAACGGCGGCTAATGTTGGTCAATTCCCGCTTTAAATTTTGGTATTCATCCAAAGCAGCTGCAAATAAATAAATAAAAAAATAATCGGTTAGTGCCCTGTATTTTCGTAAAGAAGTAGCTATTGCCATGTTCCAGAGTAATTAGGAAGAGAAAAATTTACCATCGATATTGACGGCATTGCCATCGTTTTCGCCATAGTCGTTTCGTCGGCCGTATTCGCCTTCGATAACAGTATCAGCGGAACCATTGGTGGAATTATTATCGTTCTCCCGCTTGGGATTCGATAGAGACGTGGTATCGTAGTTTCCTGTCTTTTCTTCCATGTAAAAAGAGAAGAAGAGGTTTGAATATGACAAAAAAACCGAGTCTAGAAAAATCAAAGATTCGATGGATCAGGCCTTTTATATAGTTTTCCGAAAAAAATCTGCAGTTGCTGTGTAACAAGGTGGAGGAATAGACGCCGTTTGGGGGGGTTTTAGTTTGTTTCAGACTCAGAATGTCGGCCGTAACGGTGGCTGAACTAACGGCCCGAGTAGCATGTTTTCTAAATGAAGAACAGCGCCAATCTTAAAACCTGCTATCATCTATTCATCATCGGAATCTTTAACTTGTTCCCACTGTAACAGTGGTTTTGAGTATTCAGAAACAAAAAAATGGCAACATTAAACGGTCAATAGAGACGAGAAAGTGCTTCCAAGTTTGTTTGCGCGGAAAGTCAAATTACGCGACAGGAGTTCCACCAAATAAAATTCGACATTTTAAGTGCATTAACGGTTCGTCCAATGAAATTGCCTGGAGAATAGCGTTCCGTGTCTTTTTTTTTTTTTTGTTATGCCGCAGCAAATGACGATAAACAGAAAAAAAAAAATTTCGTCTACAATGTGTCGCAGCAATGACACGGCAGTGAGATGACATGGCAAAAAATGACATAATTAAAAAAAAAATATAATCAATAGCGCGATAGTGTACACGAAATAACCAAATTTGTGCGAGAAACAACACGAAAAAGTCATGAGAGTCATGCCGAGGGTGCGCGTAAAGCTTGTCCAATGCTGATTAATGTATGGGACGGACTTTAGATAAGCTCTCCACAATGTTTCCCGGTGTTGATATGAATCTCGGAAAATGTCTCCCCGAATCTCCTCCAATATTGCACGTGCCGTCTCAAAACTTGCGGTCCTATAGGATGCCCGCTCGAGGTTTCCACCAATCAAACTTACCCTCATCGATGTACAGACAACGATCAGCGTCAACCAGGATGTTTGACAATCAGCATTCTGTACCACGCTTGATACTGGAATGCATATCGACCTCGCGCCAATGTTTACCGGGATACTTTTGAAATAAATTGGATGCTTCTCTCTGCCTTGGCTATCTTTGACATGTATCCTGTAACCTCTATTTACTCGGCAACTTCTACCACCCACTGCAGAAATTACTCGATGTAGGAAAAGACGCGAATGCAAAGATAAATCACATGACTTGGAGTTGGATCAAAATCCGTCCGAACAAAATTTTTCTGCCCGTGGAATTTCCCACATCGGGTGGGACACAAAGTTTAGCGTGTCAAAAATACTCGCACCTTTTACAATAATAGCTATGCACAAGTGAGCGTGGATAAGAAGTGAATAAACATCTTTATTCCAAAACGATTGTGTGTGTATAGTTCAGCTGCGTAGACACGACTTTAGTTTACTTTCCATTGCTTCTGTGCACCACGAGGTATGGATCTTTAAAGGGGACATTCAGAAAAATCTACAAATTGATTTTTCAGGAGGCACTGGATAATTTGTTTATTGTGCTATCAGATGTCCACAGCTCTTTTAATTAGCAAAATTTTTGTTGTTCTGATATGACGAAAAGTCAATACAGTCAACATGTCATACGCCATGTCTAAGCCCAACCTCCTTGTGAATCATAGTTGTTATCTGATGAGATGACCTGAAAACGATGTGATACAGTGATGTAAAACTACCGGAGTAACGACCATTCGCTTTCAAATCATGTTACATGTATCATTTGTTTGTGAAAAATAACTCCGGGTCGAAAAGCTGCAGGACTGATGTGTGGTCTGCCGCAGCATTTCAGACACGCACCTGTTCGTGTTCACTCCCCCCCCCAACATCCTCCTTGCCTACATTTTTCCTGTATAGAACAGGAACGTCCAAAAGCCGTTTTATACAATAGTTTAATGAAGATCCTAATACATTTTTCATATAATCAGTGCATGGGTATCGATCGGCCCATTCAGCTCGCGTGCAATTGAAACCTTGCTTCAAAGTATCAACTAGATTTTTGATTTTATCACAATCGCGGAGAGTAACAGAATAAGGACATCAAATGTTATATTCGGTAGCATTTTCTTTATAAGGAAATCAAGTATTTGAACGTGAGGGTACGGCAGAAATGCCTTCTTCGGGATATCGGTATATGTTATTCTAGGAACAATCCATCATCTTTTTTTTATTTTTTTTTATTCAGAAGCACGGTTAACAAACGGTAAGATATCCGTCGAACTATTCTCTTGGCGCGCGAGCGCGGAACAAATGATGGATGCTATTTATGCGGCCATTCCCATTGCTTGCTGGACATGGATAAATTGTCGCCGAAAACCAACAAATGAGAGGCTGGCTCCGGGAATAAACTAAAAAAATTTTGATCTGCGGTCCCCCACCAGAGCAGACGCGATTTGCCCAATCGGAAAGCTACATCTATCGCCATTTTAAGTTTTTAATCGGCCAAACGCTGGTAATTTCGACATCTGATAATGGAAACCTGAACTATTTTTAATCCAATAATATTAAGTGTTTTTCATCTTTATCTGAAACGACATTCGCGGCAACTCGCAGGAAATGAAGATTTGCAGAGCCTGCTCCTATCTCCTATCATTGAAAGATCAGAAACCAAAAATTCCAGGCAGCGGGCAATTTTTTTTGGACTTGCACATTCGTTTTTTCAAAAAGTGATGTCGCAATTAAATGCATATCGCTGGATACTAAGAAATAATGTCGCAATGCAATCAGAATTGACAGAAATCAATTGGTTTTCACAGGATCGGCATTTTGGCGTTTTTCATTGGCCAATACGACCAAGGATCGATGTGCTTTGGTTTTGAATACAGAGCCCTTTTTTTTAAGCTGAACAAATTGTTTATTGAAGTATATTTAAACTTTGTAATTAAAGAGTTTTGTCCACTTGCGTTGGAGAAAACTGTCTTGCATGAAAATGGGGATATTCAACCATACAATTTCTAAACACAAAAGACAAATTGGATGTTTCATGAGCATAAGCTGCTGTGCGTGCTTCTGCAGCGAGACTGTTAAGATTCGTGCGAAATGCCAATATGGACGGATTTTAGTGTGCTTGCTCGCTCATGGTATTTAGTCTGTCTACAGGCGCAGGCGACGCCGTCTCATGGGTTCATTGACTGGGTAACTTGTAGGAAGTCTTTGCAATTTGTGTATGCGCTCACGACGGATGAAAAAGCGATCTGACCTGAAGTATATATATCGCTGTTGCCGCGCTTGCAGAAATGTCTGATCTTGCCCTTGGTGGAGGCAGATGACAAACTGTGCCAACCAGTTCATGGTTAGATAATAAATATTATTTGTTATTTGTTGATTACGAACGATTTCTATACGCATAAAGGGTCCAACTCAATAAAGTAACTTGACATGACGTTTTTCAGCAGCTTTCCTCGAGTATCAACGCGAACAACGTTTTTTCAATTGGTTAAAGACGAAACATCTGATTGGGTATGACACTGTCCGTTCAGGACTACGGCTCCCCACTATCCAATAAAACGCAATGTGTCCACCCGGAAAAACTACCTTGATCGCTAGTTAAATAATCAGACCGCCAGGCGTCCACCCGCGGCGCCTGGTATTATCCGGCTCTGATAATGACCTGATGATGTCAATTTTTTTCGCAGCATCTGGAACAGCACAACGTAGTAACTCGCAGGAATCGGAAACTCTAAACTGCTCCCATATCTCAAAGATGGCTAATGGACTTCTAGACCCGTCGTATTTTGACTCATATGGGAGTCTTCGGGGAATAGCGCCGAGACTTTCTTCGTTGTGACCATGAACCTTGAATCCATCTGTTTTCTGTTCTCCTGTGATCGTTGGTCGTACACTGGAAAAAATGTCCTTTGTAATGGACACAGTAGTTCCGCGACCATGATCCGTTCAAAGATAACACCGAACATACTCGATACAGGAAGCATAAATAGTATTGATAGGTTACGGAATTAATCCATGGATTAGAAACCACGTTACACATGACTACCCGCTAAACGTGCCCTTCAATTGATCCTCGCTTCAATGGATTCGTACCTTTAACCGTTATCTTATCTCGAAACTGACCTTTTCACTTTCAACACAAACAGGTGACAATATATGACGGTATCTGTTGCGCAGCTATGCTCGGTCCAAACGTATAGCTCGCAATGACAACGTAAAACATCAATAACTAATTTGATGTACGGTTCTCATGGAAGCTAAAATAATTGAATCCATCTTCCAGAAGGGCAGTGATATTGATTGTTTCAAAGTTGTATTGATAGGAAAACAAATGCAAGCGGAGTAAAGAATGTGAAGAACTATACACTGTAAATAACCGACGAGTTCGTGAATGATATCAATGCGATGAGTGGAAGTTCGACATCACATAGGATAGATGATGAGATTTGAGAGTAAGCAATGGCTGACTCGGCATAAAATTTACAACAGATCATAATCATCCAGCTAAAAAAAAAAAAAAAAAAAAAAAAAAAGAGGGACCTGAGTTAGCAGCGTGTCCAGCGTAAGGGTTATAGATGTAAGTCGGTTTACCTTATCATTATACTTGAGAATCTTTCTCTTGATCTTGGAGGTATCGACCCAAGTAACGTAATCTTCCATGGTTCGGTTGACAAGAAACGCTGGATCAGTAATGGTAGTGGGACCCACACGAATATGACCTTGTTCCACAAAGGTAACGGCTTCTTTCACAGTTTCAGCCATCTTGAGACGGCACATTACGATGGGTAAACGTCGTCGACAAAAAGCTGACACTGTAATCTTGTTGCAATCACTGAATTTGCTGGTCGAGGTGATCAATCCCATGGAGTAGAGTTTGTCCAGCAATGCCTTTTCTTGTTGTGCTCGGAAAGGATCTCTTGAATCAAGCAACGAAATTTTGTTGGCGAGCTGTTTAATATTGCCTGCAAGTTTGTTGTACCTGCAGATCACCAGTAAGTAAGCCATCGTTGTCTTGTATTCCGATCGTTTAAATTATACTTACTTGTGATAATCCTCTCTTTTTTGTAAATGGTATCGACGAATGACCTTGATCTCTCTTATACTGTCATCCTTCTTCCATTGTAAAAAGTCGACCTTTTTCAAAAGCTTTTGTTCGTGATGTTTGAGTTGACGCATAGTTCAAGATCTTTTTGAAGAGAGTAACACTTCAGCCTTGGTCGGGAATACCAAAAAAAAAAAAAAAAAAAAAGCTATTAAAGGCTGTGCTCGTGACTGTCAAAATTCGGGTCAACCTCAAATCGGCAATTTCCCATCTGGTTCTTGTTCGAAAGAATTCCAGCGAACACCAGTGAAGTAAAGCTAGCAACCAGCTTATGCTCTAGAACATGGTACAATGCGTTATATAAGGAGGAGCAAAAGGAAATCCGGATAATTTGTTTTCCATAAAATGGCGTTGATTTAATGCGTCTGTCCTGGATCTAACCCAAAGCCGCTTAAAAACAATGCGACAAGACAAACCATGGTTTCCATGGTTCAACTGTAATCGGCGCCAATAACAACCGTCGATCTTTTTGTCTTCTCCTCACCTTTTGCTCAGAAACTGTACGCAATATAAAAATCTGAGAACATATACCATATAATGTTATGGCACAAAAAACCTAGTCGACAGGCCTATTGAAGTTATTTAAAGAGAATACATTTTGGTACTGTCGGAACCGGCAGCCTGGGAAAGCTACTTTCCAAAGGGTCATGATATCATACACTATAACCGCCCATATAATAAATACAAGTTTAGCGCACAGTCTCCTGTTAGAGGAAGAAGCTGTTGGGGGCATTTTTTCGTTTCATGATTGTGCAAAGGCATATCTTAAAAAAAAAAAAAAGGCTTATAATTGCCGTCCTTTTTTCTTCATTTGCTTTAGACGCTAAAATGGGGTGAATGGTTGCGGCTTCCATTAAATTTAAGAAGCGCTCCAAGCATTGGGCCAGAAGTTTTTGCCTCCCAGATTTCGGAGAGGTGATATTTCCTTCCACTCTTCTTTTTCCAATTTTGTTTAAACAATCCAGCCCATGTCAAGTACATCCCTGTTCAAGTGGATCGGTCTTGTATGTCTCTTTTTCCTTTATTAGTGTCTCCTGGTTATTTTTATGGAGGCTAAACCTTTTCTCTAGGGTCAGTCTGGCAAGACCGTCATTGATAATGATTGCTTGGACGAAGGAGAGCGCTATTTCGGATTAGAAAATGTAAGTGCAATAGATCGTCCTCTTCTTTCAATACAGAAAATAACTCATATCTACTTTTTTATTACAGTTTGGTAATACATGGTAAAGTTCAACAAAAAGTACCAGCTCTTGTTTTACCGCAGCATTCGTAATCATTTCTCTCTTTTTTTTTTTCAATCGCTTGTAGCTATTGCAATTCCGTTCTGCAAGCTCTTTATTATTGCAAACCCTTCCGAGAATGTGTGACCAATTATCCCCGCCCTTTCTTGCAACCTCAGTCTACTCCTCACCCTCTTCATCCAAGCTCACCTAATGTCGGATCCAATTACTTCTCTTCCACTACCTCCTCGAATTCTTCCTCCCCATCGCTACCAAACGCTCGCTCTGATAACGCTCACTCTTCTGCCAAGGACAGTCCTAATTTACAACGATCATCCTCGCGTAGCAACGGTGTTATGTGTACATCAGCAGAAAAAGACCAGAACGGTGTTCAGTTATCACCTGGCATGGAAGATACCATGTTCGCAGCATTGAAAGACTTGTTTTGGAAAATTGCCACACACAAAAAGAAGACCGGCGTGGTCGCACCGGTTAATTTCATTAACAAAGTCAAAAAGGAGAATGGTATTGTGAACTTCATATTTTCTCGGCAACGGTTTGCTTTGATGGAAATTTGACTCATGGATGGCCTGTTTTTCCTTAGAACTGTTTCGTTCCAGCATGCATCAGGATGCCCACGAATTTCTCAACTATCTGTTGAATACCATTGCAGAAGACGTACAAACATACCAAAAGAAAAAATCTCAGGAGCACGAGAGATCGTGTGAAGTACCCAATGGACATGCATCCAATCATCAGCAGAAGAACGATGGCACAGATACTGCTTCAGGTAAGCTTGAATCTGAAAAGATCCGACGTAATCGTCAGATATCCCTAACGTAACAATAGACGGCTCTACCGAAGAATCATCTAAACCACCGCCCACCACATGGGTCCACCAGCTTTTTGAAGGTGTTTTCTCCAACGAAACCAAATGTTTAACATGTGAAACGGTAAATGGACATTCCCAAGACTTGTGCAAATTTTGTTGACAAGAGATAATTTATACTGGCTGGTGTTGTAGGTGACGAGTCGCGATGAATCGTTTATGGATTTGTCAATTGATGTAGAGATGAACTCGTCTATTACGTCTTGTCTACGGCAATTTTCAGCAAGTGAGACCTTATGCCATAAAAACAAATACTTTTGCGATGTATGCTGCGGTCTACAGGAAGCGCAACGAAGGTAATGCATTATTTGTATTAAAATGCAGGAGTGCTTACAAACACAGATCATCAACTTTATTAACCATGTCTATAGAATGAAGATCAAGACGTTGCCAAACATCCTGGCTCTCCATCTGAAGCGCTTCAAGTACCAGGAACAATTGCAGAAATATATAAAGTTAACTTATCGCGTGGTATTTCCTTTTGAACTACGCTTATTTAATACGGTAAGGCAAAACCGCAGATCGGGAATCTATCATCAATGTAACCATGACAATGTTCGGTTAGTGTGACGACACAGACGACGCGGATCGGATGTACGAATTATGGGCCTGCATTATTCATATTGGAAGGTAAATTTTTGTTTCTGTTTGGTTCATTCAGGTGCTAATCTATAACATATTACAGTGGCCCGCATCACGGACACTATGTCACTATTATTAAAAGCAATGGCCAGTGGATGTTATTCGATGATGATGTGGTCACGGTAGGTATCACACACCGTTTTTGTACTGGACATGGGTTACTTATTCACCATTTTTATTCTTTTACAGCCTATTCAAGAGGAGGACATTCAGAAATATTTTAGTGATTTACCGGGAACTGGCTGTGGCTACGTTTTGTTTTATCAAGCTGTCAATCTCAGCATGGATTCCCTGAACATCTGGGATGGTGTAGAGGAAAACGTATCTCGTTCGGATGATACAAGTAGCAACGGCCGGCCGTCTACTGTATCACCTCTGTTATCACGAAAGCCACCTGGACCGTTGCGTTTGGATTCGGCGTCGTACGATCTCGGTTACAACACCCTTTCGACGCCAGCAAAGGAAGATATGCATGCGCCTGAAATTTTTGGTTCGGTTCCAATGACACCACCTGCAAGCATGGTCACTGAGGAAAAGAAATCTCGCTGGGGCCTAAGTAGAAAAATGCGGGAAAAGAAGGATAAACGATAACCAGCATGTAATAAATTCCACCCACATGTACCAAGTCACCCCTAATCATATACAAAACAAAATATGATTGAGTTGTTATTTTGTTGTTCACGCAAAAGGATGGGACAAGAAGTGGTGGATTATTGTCGATTTGGCAATTGATCATGTCCTTTATGCAACAACTGAAAAAAGGGAAGGAATTAGTTGAGTATTTTTGGAGATGCTTCCTGGATCACACATCGCATTTTTCCATCGTTCAAAATGGGTAGGTGGCTGAGTTGGAAAAAGCCCAAATTGGTGGACCTCTCCCACCAGCCTCCCATTTGAGTAAGCAGTCACACCTTCCGATTCCGGACCAGCCGTGGGCCGTCAAAGAATCTTGTGCGTCTCGGCTGCCACAGAACCTCCTCTTTTATCAGTTTAATACCATGGTAAGCATATGGTGGCATGAACACCGTTATGAGGGGGTGAAGGATGGGTAGTAAATAGATGCATCTGATGGATGAATGAAACAATTCGTTGGGATGCAATGGATGGATGGATGCAGGGATGAATGGCGATACCATTATTTCGGATGGATGGTTCAAAGTGAAAATGGCAACCCTTGCTCATCATCAGTTATTGCTTATTTCAACGTAGTCCGGTAAGCGTGCCGCTCCCAAGAAAGTTGTTGAACCCGTTACCTTGGGTCCCCAGGTCCGTGAAGGTGAACTCGTTTTCGGTGTTGCCCACATCTTCGCCTCCTTCAACGACACCTTCGTCCACGTTACCGATCTTTCCGGCCGTGAAACCATCTCCCGTGTTACTGGTAAGCAGATCGTTCATTTTTACCTACAACCAGAGTGTTGCATTTATCGTACTCACAATATAATGCGTATGAATAGGTGGTATGAAGGTCAAGGCTGATCGTGATGAGTCTTCTCCTTACGCTGCCATGTTGGCTGCTCAAGATGTTGCTGCCAAGTGCAAGGAAGTCGGTATCAACGCCCTCCACATCAAGATCCGTGCTACTGGTGGTACTGGTACTAAGACCCCCGGTCCCGGTGGACAGAGCGCTCTCCGTGCTCTTGCCCGTGCTGGCATGAGAATCGGTCGTATTGGTAAATATCAAGATAAAAATCGCAATGTGGATTATTTCGTTGCAGTTACTGACGTGTCATTTTTTTCTTCTTTTTTTACAGAGGATGTCACTCCCGTCCCTACCGACTCTACCCGCAGAAAGGGTGGTCGTCGTGGTCGTCGTTTGTAAATTGTTTACACCATTCGTGTTTACTTTCGTTTTTGCATAAAATATACGAATCCACGTTTTGCCATCTAAAACTACACTGATTTATTTGTTTATATGCGTTCCTATTCTGTGGAACATATTAATGATGTTCATTCGGATTAATGGCTGAGAAACTCAAAGGGGGGGGACTGTGGATGGATTGGGGGATACGTTCGTTGATGGTTGGGTACAGTTTTATATTTACATTGGACATATGAACGACATGTATTATTGAGGCTACGATGTCTATATTGATTGAAGCATTATCATGCAGGTTTCTGAGGGTGATATTTGGGTGGGACATGTGAAATTTGATGCACCCGTCAATATCGTGGTGTTTGTTTATGTGATGTAATCAACCATCTCTAGTAGCCTCGAATAATCTTAATCACCTTCTGGCTATTTGTCCGCCACCGGGATGTATCATTTCTCTCCATGTTTTCCTTGGTTTTTACTCGGCTCGACGAAAGTCATATGTAGATAGGCTGGTAGTTAATTATTGCTGGTACTCTAGGTGGATATCCGGTGATCCAAGTGCATTGCCTTTAGTGCAAGAATTGACACAAATAATCAACATTCAGTACAACGTCTCGTCTTATTGGTGCTGATTGCCCGTATATTCTCGATTGTCTTGGGAACCAATATATATTTACAGTTGCTATCAAAGCTTTCTGCTTGCAACTTTGCACTCTTGCGACCGTCCTCGCCATTGACGGATCAAGAGCAAGCTGCAAGCCACATTGCAAAGTGTCATCAACTACGGTTCCACAGGATAAAACATCACAACGAAAAGTCACATCAACTTGGCCTCCATTAATTTCCTTCTCGTCCCAATAAAAGAGAGATGAGCACGGATCAAAAAATGCAAGACAACGAAATTTGCAGTGAAACTGACGATCCCCATCTACACTTGTTGATCTGTCCTTTTATACGGGCTTATCAGAACGAGTGTTATATTTACTTTTTTTCCTTCTTTTTTTTTGGTGACATGGTAAAATGACAAATGGGGCGACATTGGCGCCCACTAAAAAAAAGAAAAAAAAAACATGGGACGTTTTTCATCACTCCCCAAGTTCTGCAAGTAAAGATTTACCATGTTACGATGCTGTTTGGGATTCAGCATGTTACACATTGTGCTCGATTGTGCAACACATCTTCGCGTGGCAAGTTCCTTATTTGGTGATTGAAGGGCTTGTTTCCAATGTCTAGCGTGTTGAACGGACTTATTGTTCATCATTCATCAGCAATTAGTCTTCTGGCGATTGCAATTTTTCCTGTTCTTCCGGTTTTTCGGCAAATAGCATACCGAAATCCAATTAATAAGCCTTTCTTATCCTCTTTTTTATACTGTTCTGACGGCCGATTTACTCCTCTTTTTTTTTCTCTGCATTGGTTTTTTTTGGTTTTTTTTTTCTCTGATTTGTTTTCGCTTTCTTTACTTTCTTCTCTTATTCATCTTATTATTGCCATACTTATATCATTTATATACATATACACATAATCTCACACTGCCGTTGTTTATATTTCCCAGCCTAATCGTCTCATCATGCTGGATCATGTAGAAGAGAAACGATCGCTTAAACTAAAAAGGTTGTTTCGATCCAACCTAGCCCCACTTCATACGACAGGATCCTCCTCACCGATGCGCAAAGACTTGTGTATATCGCCACCCATCGTACAGCATTCATCTTCCATCTACTCCCTCGTTTCACCGATGCGGTCCTCCTTTGGTCAAGCGGAAGAATCGTACCATTCAATGTCCTACCATCCGCTTTCACCTCCGCCATCCGCGCCTCGTACTCATAAAACAACTCATATGGTTTCACCAACACCTCGCACAAGCAGTCTCCAAGCTATGGGACAATCGTCGGTCCGATATGCTCCCTCTCGTCCATCGAACGCTTCGTCTACCTCGCGCCACACTCATTACAGTCACGTAAATGCGCAACAGCAAGGCCTGAAGGACCGTATGGCTCGTAGTCTTCGTCGACACTCTTGCTCATCGGCTGCAGTCCACAAGCAGATGAGAATCAGGGATTCTTCGCCCCCACCACTCCCAACCAATAAAAAACAACTGGATCCCTCGCCAGCGGCTGCTATGGCTACCTTGCCTGCGCCCAGTAGCGGTAGCAAATCCACCCCTCTGCGGAAAGTCAAAACATACAACGTCCAACGACCGAATCACACGCTATCGTCGTCGTCAGAGAGTCCTGAAGACGAAGCTGAACGGCTAAGGAAACAAAAAATTCTCGAGGATCTAATTTCAGGCCGTCGAGGTAGCACGCTCAAGCTATCTCTGACACCCAAAGTACTATCCTGACAGCCTTTGCATCCATGCATTCAGTGATCAGGAGCCTTTTTCCTTTTGTACTTCCGTATCGGAGTCTCGCTTTCTTTGTTGAGGTTCTGGAACCCAGTCGCTGTCATCTGCACAGTTCCCGTCCTCCATTGTGACAAAGTACGATCCATCGATTTCTTTATCTTCTTTTTCTAGTTACAAGCTATTAATCTTTTCCTAATTACATAATTTTCCTTTTTTTTTCACAAGCATGTCGTTGTTAAGATGGTATATTGGTCCGAGACCATCGTTCTATCTTTTTTAACCACACACCATAATCACATCCATTCTATAAAGTTCTATATATGTAGTATGCGTTTCTATTACTATGCTTTTTTGTCCATGAAATCATAGAATGCCTTTTGTGGCAACTCCACATTGCCTAGACAACGAATACAGTTAATGCAACTTATCCCCACATCATGAATGGTAGTGCTGGCGAACTTACCAATCATTTTCATTCGCTTCTTGCCTTCCTTTTGCTTTTGCAGCAACTTCATCTTTCGCGATACGTCTCCGCCATACTGGATTCTCACCATATTAGAACTAAATCCAGTAGACCCATGACTCGACTCATATACTTACACATTTGGCTGTAACGTTCTTTCGTAAAGCGGATATTCTAGACCAAGTAATAGATTTTAGTGTGAGTGTTTAATCATCATCATTCAATAACTTACGTTTCTCTGGCAACAATTTTCGTTCCGATCGCAGTCTGGATCACCACTTCGAATAACTGTCTCTGAATGACATTCTTTAATCGTTTCACCCAGTCACGTCCAATTTGCTCCACCTGTGAACGATGCAGAATCACAGACAGTGCGTCCACCGGTTTGGCATTAAGCAGGACCGTCATCTAGAGATGCAAATGAATATAGGCTCTCTCTGCCTTTTTTTTTCGGGACACGACGTACTCGCGCCGTGCAGCGTGCAGATACATACTTTGACAAGGTCGCTCTCCTCATACCCGGCTTCTTCATAATCGAATGTAGCGTATCCTGAGGAACGGCTCTTCAATTCGTCGTAAAAATCTTGGACAACTTCCGCCAAAGGTAAGGTGTATTTCATCATCACACGCTTTTCATCGATGAATACGTAGTCTTGCTGTTCACCTCGCCTGCTCTGTATGGTACAATTTCTATGAATTTAACATTGCGTCGCTTTTTTTCATATAATTTCCCTCCAACTTACACCGCAAAGTTCGATCATTTTTCCCATGTATTCCTGAGTGTTAGTGTTAATATGACATGACACCATGACATAACAATCCTTCATGGAATATACCTCTGGGAAGATCATGGTAGCCAGTACCATGGGTTCTTCCAATCGGGACACCTTGAAAGCACGCTCTTCCGAATCTGGGAAATCTGATGGATTTCTTACAATACGAGTAGTTCCGTCTTTGAAGACCACTGAAACATTTCGAGTTTAGCAACTGCACTCTTAACATCAATCCGTTTCTTTGGGTTGTATGCTTGAATTTCTCACCTCTGTAAGGTACAGTAGGTTGCGTCACAATGATGTTGGCCTCGTATTCCTAGATAATATACGTATGGTCAAACCCGGCTTTTTACTTTCAACTGTACAATATTTGGTGGCGTAGCCTTACATTTTCCAGACGCTGTCTAAAGACATCCATATGAAGAGTGCCCAAGAATCCCAAACGCCAGCCTTGGCCAAGTGCGTTACTGCAAGTTGCGATACGCTGCGTGAGTTCATAATAAGATAACATTGCCATGGTTTGTTTTACCTTGTTTCTTTGTGCACACTCACACTGGCATCATTCAGTGTCAGTTTCTTGATATTTTCATCCAATTTTCGAAAATCGTTGGTGTCTACAGGAAAGATACCAGCAAACACCTGAAACAAGGCAAAATTAAACAGATTGATCACGATTACTGCGACTATGAAATACGATAGTTACCATCGATTGAGCCGGTTGGAAACCCGGTAAAACTTCCACTTTTTGGTTGACATGGTAGAATGTATCGCCGATGTGGGCTTCCGAAGCATGTTTCATGCCACATACCACATACCCTACTTGTCCCGCATGACTACAACGAAAATTGTTCACGTAAGCCCCCCTGCTGGCTTGTGGTAGGTTGACATAAAGTCTCTTACAGATAACCGGTAGACATTTGTTCTGGATGCATGATTCCAACCTATACTTTATCCGTGAGTTTCCTAAATAAATGATGGACCATTATTTGAACGATTGCATACGTCTGTCACTTCATATTTGACATCGGAATAGGCCGAAATCACCTTGTCACCTATTATATATTACAGTTGAGTCGGTTTGATTCCCGCAGCTAACTATCGTTCGCTTCATCAATGCACTTACCTTTCCGAATGACGCCATCTTTTACGCCGAGCATGCATACAACGCCCACGTATTTGTCGTACCAAGAATCAAATAATAATGCCCGGAAAGGTTTCGTTATAGAACCGTCAGGACTGATAATTTGTTAGTGCAAAAACCGATAACTTTACATTCTCGGAATACATCCTTACCAAGGTATATGTTCAATCACGCTCGGCAAGACCGCATCAATGTTAATGCCACTTTTAGCCGAGATCTGATGATCGATAAATATTTTGCAGATCAACTCAAGATTTGAGAGTGGTACTTACTTGTAAGATATCAGAAGCATCTAATTCAAAAGCACTTTGAATCTGTTGTGTGACACGCTCAGGTTCGGCACCGGGAAGATCAATCTATCGATAAGTAATCAGCAAGGAGAAACCACCACAAGAGCACCAACGTGTAGTGTGAACGTCTTGGTGGATTTACCTTGTTCAATACGGGTATGATGTGCAAACCCTCACCGTAAGCTAGATAAAAATTTGCGACTGTTTGCGCTTGAATGCCTTGAGCGGCATCCACTAGCAATAAAGTGCCTTGACATGCTGCAAGAGATCGTGACACTTCATAGCTAAAATCGACATGGCCCTAGGTTTTTCAACTTGTCAATTGATAAAAACAGAGGCACCTTTTACTTTAAAGCCTTACTGGTGTGTCAATCAGATTCAGCAGATAATCTTTGCCTTTGTATTTGTAAAACATGGAAATGGTCTATTTGAAGATCAGAAATGAATTCGTTTTATAGGCATTGTTCATTCTTGTCATTTGTACCTGCGCTTTGACGGTGATACCGCGCTCCCGCTCCACTTTTAGTTTATCAAGCACTTGCTTATTCGATCCATTCGCAGAGATAGTGTTGGTCAATTCCAGCAATCTATTACAACCACTCATCAGCCAGCGCTGGATCAGTCAATCCTAATTTTTCGTACCTATCCGCCAGAGTACTCTTTCCATGATCTGAAACACGCGATATTTGGTAAGCACAAAATTCATGAGATGATGCCCGTAAAGTTACACTGCAGCTACTGTACCAATGTGAGCGATAATACTAAAGTTGCGTATATTCTCTGCAGGAAACAGTGTCAGGTCCACTTGTTTTTCCCGATCGGCTGCTTTTAGTTTCTACAAGTACGATGCAGTCCTGCTTAATATGCTTTTCGAAGTCTGCCATTCGTTTCGACGAGCTTTGTACCTCCGTTGTACTCTTTGAATACCACCGTTTGCCGAGAGTAAAAACAGGAGACAAGGTGAATCTCGAATAGTGCGGCACAGTATACACATTATTCTTGGGAATATACCGGCAAACCTGACGTGCAAGTGAGTATCCGGTAAATCCCATGGGTACTTTTTGCGATGCTGGCAGTGATCAGTGATGTTCGGAAGCTGAGGTTTTTTTTTTTTTTGGCAGGGAGTTCCCAAAAAGGCAGCCTTTCCTTGTGACGACGTTTTGACTGTTAAAACCTTCCATGACTCGGCCGGAAGAAATGCATCGCTTTTTCTTTTTCTTCGTTTTCCAGAATGTTGCGCATTACGGCAAAAACCATCAACGCCACCGCACCGAGGCGAACTTATACTTCTATGATCTCTAAGCGCCTAGGCAATGGAGCGCATTATCATGTAGACGTGGCGCCGGCAGCGCTTGTTCATTGCGCAGCTAAGCGCTCGTTGTGGCGAAATGCAAGTGCTTCGGTTTACTTTGGTAGCCAGCGTTTCTACAACGGTACGTATGAAAAGAATGGGAATACCATGGTATCTGTCGAAGAAAGCTATATAATCGCTTAACCCACTGTTAGGAGGTATGCCTCAGGGCGGTCTTCGCATGAATCCAAATCAAGAGCAGCAGCAAAAGCCATTGGAGCAATTCGTAAGGATATACGTCTGATACAAAAACTAACTCGGTCCAACTAATTTTGATGTATAGGGTATTGACTTGACAGCCATGGCCGAGAAAGGCAAATTGGGTGAGTGAACTTTTTTATTTTTTTATCGATATATCGTGATAAGTTGCTTCCAGCATTTTCCGGTGTCGGGGAATGAATTTTTGACAAATTATGCAATGGCTAATTATTTTCGCATGGGCATTTTTAGATCCTGTCATCGGGCGTGACGAAGAAATTCGACGAACGCTTGAAGGTATGTATGATAAAAACAAAAGATTGAGAATACAGTAACTAAAACGGATGTATCTTAGTGTAAATATAACAGCCACTACTTTACCACTTTTTTTGCAGAGGATTAAAGCATGATATTAGATTGGCGCGTCGTACCAAGAATAATCCAGTCTTGATTGGTGATGCAGGGTAAAAACGCTATAATTTTTATTGACGAGATAGTATCCCGTCACTCACACTTATTGCTGTTATCGCTTTCAGTGTCGGAAAAACGTCTATTGCAGAGGTATGAGCATTTGGTATCAAGCTGCTCATATGGGGTTAACACATCAATTAGGGTCTGGCGCAACGTATCATTGCCAATGAAGTGCCGGAATCCATTCAGAACAGACGTGTTATTGCGCTTGATCTCGGTGTACGTATCAAAAGCAACGTGTCTTTATGCCAGATAAACATGCTAATGGATTTGAGTTTATTTTAGGCTCTTGTTGCCGGTGCCAAATATCGGTATGTCACTTTCTTTTAAAGTAATGGAAAGTATTCAACATTGGCAACTGAAACCATTCGCTAGCGGTGAATTCGAAGACCGTCTTAAAGGCGTCCTGAAGGAAGTAACAGAAGCAGAAGGAAAAATCATTCTCTTTATCGACGAAATTCATACACTCCTTGGCTTGGGTAAATCCGAAGGCGCCATGGATGCCGGCAACTTGTTAAAGGTTTGCTCTAAATAGAGGCTTATCTTACGTGATCTCTTTTCTAACCAATGACGTTTAGCCGGCTCTTGCTCGAGGTCAATTGCGCTGTGTAGGTGCTACGACGGTTGATGAGTATAGAAAGGTAAGCTGCCAAAGCGGTGCAAGTCCGGCTCCTGATAGGACATGCTAAGAAAAAATTTCGCTTGTAGTATATCATGCAAGACCCTGCGCTGGCCAGACGATTCCAGCAAGTGATGGTAAGATGTTTATGCAACAGATTTATCCGTCGTACGTTGTACTCATACCGTATTTCGGTTTTTTGTATTAGATTGATGAACCAACTGTAAGCTACTGATACGAATGTAAGACATCACTGATAATACTAATCTCTCTGCTTCGGATGATACAGGTGCAAGACACAATTTCAATTCTGGTAGGCTTTCCAACATTTTGTCAACCATGACTCTCCTTGCTTCACACTTTAAATTTCTGTGATTTTTCTAGAGAGGATTGAAAGAACGTTATGAAGTCCATCATGGTGTGAGAATAGCGGTAAGTAATCTGCAACTTTTGCATTTCATGATCAGAATACTGAGAGATCATTGTAGGATTCGGCACTCGTATCGGCTGCCATACATTCGCATCGTTATATTACCGATCGATTCTTGCCTGACAAAGCTATCGATTTGGTTGATGAAGCGTGTTCGAAACTAAGATTGCAACAGGAAAGCAAACCAGAACAACTCGAGAACCTTGATCGTCAGATCATGACGATGCAAATTGAACTGGAATCGCTGCGTAAAGAAACGGACACTTTATCTGTGGAAAGAAGGGAAAAACTCCAGTCAGATCTGAACGAGAAGCAGAAAGAAAGTGAGCGCTTGACGTCTCTTTGGAACGACGAGCGGTAAGCCCCTGTCAATCGGGATGACAATGGCTGAAAAAGATTTTCTCATTATGACTGTTAGACAAAAATTAGAAGAAGTCAAAAAGATAAAGGAAGACTTGGAACAAGCTCGTGTGGATTTGGAGTCAGGTATGCAGTGATCTGGCCAAACTTGTGTCATACGGACCACTGAGCGATGGAATCTTTGTAGCTCAACGTGGTGGCAACTACCAACGCGCATCCGAATTACGTTACGGTGTCATTCCTAACCTGGAAAAGAAACTTCCAAAGGATAGGTAAGCGTACTGCCGATATCTGTTTGGGTGGATTTTGACACTGGCATTTTTGCTTTTATTTTGTGTGGTTAGCAACGAGGACAATGCTACGTCGTTTATTCATGAACGTGTCACTTCGGATGATATTGCCGGTGTTGTATCTCGTATGACCGGCATTCCCGTCACTGTATTGTATCGAATGTCTTTAATGTTTCTGCCACACAGTAGACTCACAATGCATTAGAATTTGATGAAAGGCGAACGCGAGAAATTGCTCCATATGGAGGATGTACTACGTCAACGCGTTGTTGGGCAGGATGAAGCTCTTAGTGTAAGTCACCAAACATCGTACTATCGGAATCCACTAATTAATATTTGGCTTTGACGCGTACCTTTTTCATAGGCTGTTTCGGAGGCAGTCAGGTAGAGCACTGTTTCGCAACTTGTGGCAAATTTTATGCAATGTACTGATTTGTGAGTTCTTAAAGATTGAGTCGCGCTGGATTACAGAACCCATCTCGTCCCATTGCTTCATTCCTTTTCCTTGGACCCACTGGTGTTGGCAAGGTAAGTAACATTTTGCTTGAGATCGATTTTTCATCAATGTTAATACTTTTTTTTGTTTTAGACTGAACTGTGCAAGACTATTGCCAAATTCTTGTTTGATTCTGAGAATGGAATTGTGCGTGTTGACATGTCCGAATACATGTAAGTTTCCCGCGTGTTTCTTTCCAATGCAAGTGACATGCTTCGCACTCACACTTTTAATGATGACAGGGAGAAATTCTCCATCAGCCGCTTGATTGGTTCGCCACCTGGTTACGTTGGTCACGAAGAGGGAGGCGAATTAACTGAAGCCGTCCGTCGCAAGCCGTATGCTGTGGTGTTGTTGGACGAAATGGAAAAGGCACATAGAGATGGTAAGCCGAAATGCTCCTTAATAAAATTGTCCACATCGGAAAAAGAGCTAACGACTGTTTCATTTAGTCTCCAATATTTTGCTACAAGTGCTGGATGATGGTGTGCTGACCGACAGTAAGTATAACGGTATTTGAAAAAAGAAGAAAAGAACATGCGTCTTACAAACAAACAAAAAAGGCAAGGGACGAAAAATCGACTTCCGTAATACCATCATTATCATGACCTCGAATTTGGGAGCCGAATCCTTGACTGCCAACATACGTAGTGATGGTCTGGTAGATGACAATGCCAAGCAACAAGTGATGGAAGCTGTTCGCTATGCATTTGCTCCTGAATTCATCAACCGTATCGATGATATTGTAAGCAACAGTCAATAGGTGCAATATGAACCAGCAACTAATCATTAACTCTAGGTGATCTTTAACGGTCTGTCGAAACGTGCCCTTCGTGAAATTGTGGATGTGCGACTCAAAGAAGTCGAGGAACGCACAAAGGATCGCCGCATCAAGCTTGATATCGATCTAACTGCTCGCGATTGGTTGGGCGAACGAGGTTACAATCCTGCCTATGGTGCCCGACCTTTGAACCGTTTGATTCAAAAGAAGTTGTTGACCCCTCTTGCACGTCTTTTGATTGACGGTGGTATTCGCACCGGTGAAACTGTGAAAATCCGTGTCAAACAATTGGAAAGTGGAGAGACGGACATTGAAGTGCAACGAAACCATCAAGCCAGCAAGGATGTTCCGGATGAACAAGACGCGTTGGATGCCAACATGGCCCCCGTAGGAGACGAAGAAGAAGCTTTCAAAGATGATCAAAACAAAGACAAAAAGCAGATTGAATAGAAACTGTCCGAGTCTTTTTTTTTTCATCGAGTAAATTCTTATTATCAAAACAATTCTTTTTGCAACAAGATGATTAGCGACCATTAGCTCTTTTTGAAGAGAAGTGGTTGATGATACGACTGGCGTCTTAGTAGCATCATTTAATTTGGATTTTTTGTCAGTTATACTGTCATTTATACTGTATATGTCCTTTCATTCTCTTTCAATTTTCAATGAATCGAATAATACATAAGCAGACGTGCTTCGATCTATGAATTCATGCATCAGTGGGGTGACTATTGTTTCATCCATGGAAACTGCAATTTTCTTTTGATTTTCTCTCTCCCTTTCTTGCTTGATAAACCCTCACTATCATTGTATCAAAATCCCATCCGCATCCACCATCCAGACCATTCTTATTCCGTGTATCTAACTTGGTTAAATCGACTACCATCCTCAAAAGTAAGCGTCGAGTGGTCTTCCATCGATTTTGCTCCGGCAAAACAGACTCACCTCTCCTTTGCTTCCATCCTTCTTCCAGCTTCCGGTTTCCTTTTCTTTTCGCCTGACAAGTTCTGGATGCTACAAGTTGACTTTCTCTCGCCATCCATCCATCCATCCATCCATCTGGCGAAACAGGATGACGTCAAAGGCCATCGTCGGTGGTGTACCTCTCTTTTTCATCAGAAAAACGCTTACGTGTCCTCTTCATGTTCCTCTCCTTTGGATTGCTTCTCATCATATGGTATTCGAGATGTCTTCCCGATTATTGTATTTTGTATTTTATATTTCATGTACATATTCTTTTCGCAGTCTTTTCCTCTTTTTTTTTTCCCACAGGGTTTTTTAGGAGGTTTTTTTTTTTTACTGACGCGACCATTGTTTTTTTATCACCATGTACTTTATTTGTTTTTCTTTCTTTTTATTCTGGGGACTCTCGATATCTGGAATCCACCTCGAAATTACCGTCACTTCTGGCCAGTCAACATTTTTTGCCTGCTCAAGCTGACCACCGATCCATCGCTTAACTGCCCTGGAAGCAATTTTATTTACCGCATCGAAGAAGAAGCTTACCTGGCGGTCCGTATCATCTTTTTTTTCCGGTACACCATTTGGTTCAAAAGGCAAGTCCAATTTCTTCTCCTTTTCTATGATGTAATGAACGTATACTAATTCAATGTCATATAATCCAAGTCATGTCAAGCGATCAATGGCTATTAGATACCCAACATACCCACGCATCTTTCTAGATCTATCATAGCCTGGGCGGGATGGAACTGAGGGAGGGAACCAGTGCTGCTTTGCGCGTGTTCAGAAACAACTCACGTTGCATGGTATTGCCATAAGGTTGTCATTAATATACCAAAGTCCGTCAAGAGTTCTCGCCCAGGTTATGCCGTGTATGCGTTAGGCTTTTTGTCTGACGAAAGTCGCTCAATGTAAGAGGGCGGCCTCCGGTGGCAGGCGGCATCCATTGCACAGCGGGTGTACGGCTTGCTAGTGATGACAAATATTGGTCACTAAAGATGACGATTATGCGAGAATACTTGTTTCAAAGAGGTCATCATGGCCCTGTATCCAACTATGGCCAACAGCATGACGAGAGGGAACTGTTCCCTGCAGGAAATGGCGGGTTTACTGGTGCACTTTAGGGTCGGTGCGGCCTACTTGCTACGCAATTGCAAGGGATTAAATGTGAAAAAAAATGACTGAGTTGCTGCTATTTTGGGGTTCGCACAAGGGTCAAGTATCGAAAATTTCATGGCTATTCATGTGGTAGGTGAAATGGAAAACGTGTCACGAGATTTCAGATGGCGACAAGGGCTGAAATTGTCTGAGCAAGAGCCTTGCATAATTCATACTTCGTTTATCTTTCTGTTTATCTGTCAAAAAATATGCCTGTGCGAGAAGCTGATAAAGTCGTCTACCTTGAACACCCTTCTGGCGCCAAAGCCGAAGTTTCCCTATTCGGTACGTAGGCGCCTATGTAAAGAAGCTTCATTTCCATAATTAACATATCGAAAAAAAAAAAAATAGGCGCTACATTAACAAGCTGGAGTGTCAATGGAGAAGAACGTATTTTTGTGAGGTAAACAAGCTTATCTGAATGTTCAAGCTCCTTTTTTTTCTTGATTTTGCCAAACTTAATTTTATTCGACTTCAGCAAAAAGGCTTTGAGGGATGGTTCGAAAGCGATTCGTGGCGGCATTCCTATTTGTTTCCCCATTTTCGGCACCAAAGACAAGATCCCGCTCCCTCAGCACGGTACGGAGTCAGGACGATTCAGTGAACGCGTCATACTAATAACATTGTTCTCATGTGGTCAGGTTTTGCGCGCAATAACTATTGGGAGTATGTTGGCGACATTACCGATGACGCGAATGAAGTCGCTGTTCGCTTTGGTAAGAACCCAAAAGCGGAGCTGGTAGATAAAAAAACGCGCTAATGGGTGTGACATGGTTCGTGTAAATTTTGTTTTTCTAGTGCTCAAGGATAACCAGCTTCCTCAAGACACGCGAAGCAAGTGGCCTCACTCCTTCCGCTTGACGTATACTATCACGTTGAGTGCCAAGTCCATCAAAACATTCTTGGTGGTCAAAAATGAAGACGAGGATACGTTTGAATTCAATACATTGCTTCATTCTTATTTCCGCATATCGGTAAGATAAAGATACGGCGACCGGCTTCACCGGTTTACTAAGAGGAGTTCCTATCGTGCAATAGGATGTGGACAAGGTTTCTGTATCAGGTTTGAACGGATGTCAAGTGATTGACAAAGTGGAAGGAGGCAAAAAAGGCACAGAAAGCCAACAAAACGTTACCATCTCGTCCGAAGTCGATCGTGTGTACATGAATACGCCCGATCAATTGCACATTATCGTAGGCGATGCTCCCGTTGTGAACATTGAAAAATCCAACTTGAAGGATACAGGTATGTGCATCACGACCACGGAATTGTTTTGTATTTCACCATTTCTAATGAATACGTCAGTTGTGTGGAATCCATGGATCGAGAAAGCAAAGGGTTTAGCTGATTTTGGTGACGAGGAGTATAAAAACATGATTTGTGTTGAAGCCGGTTCTGTAGCCGATTGGGTCAAATTAGCTGGAGGTCAGACATGGACAGCCGGTCAAACCTTGTCGATTCCATAGATTATGGCAGCAACACCAACCATTAGGTGTTTCAAACTATGAATAAAAAATGACAAGTAAAATAAATCCAATGATGGGAGGTTTTTCATATACGCTGGCAGCCTGCAATGAACAACCTAAAGTGCGACGCCTGTCGTAATGGGGAAAAAAAAGAAGACAACACCATCGTATTACCGCTGTTCAATTCCAACCTAACAAAGCCACCCCCCCCCCTTCCTTTTCCGCACCTTTGCTGGGAGAGTGTGTGTGTTCATTTGATTGTACTACCGCACCTGGTCCGCTGAATGATTCTGATAAAGACGGTAATCTGTCGGTCTTTGTGTTTTTTTTTCAAGGAGGAGATTGTTTGTTATCTTTTTTTTCGTGTAACACGGAAATGCATGTCTATCTTTTGGAGACATGGTTAATGCAGTCAAAATTTGTAGCGATCATGCGTAGTAAATCATAACTGGTGTAGATGCATAAGAAACTATTCACCGACCAAGACGAAGAGCTTTAAAGCAAGAGTGTTTCTATTTGCGAGTATCCGACAGCATTACAATCAATGACATTTTGATTTCCTATCTTGCAAAAAAAGTCAGGGGAGAAAGTAGTAGAAAATGACCACCGGAAAAAGTTGCGGTTTTCATTGTCCGGTGGTTCCAATCGTATGGCAAAGGATAACACATCCCCTCCCCTCCCCCTTTTTTTTAACCAGCCCTTTTTCTTTCTTTTTCATTCGACTGAGCAAGTGAATGACTCGATGGACAAATTAAAGGAATTGAGTTCCAAGGCTGAAGACCTTATTGATCGCGTTGGGCAACCATTGAAACCCCATATTCCCCTCATTGCCCGATTCCTCATTGTCGCTACGTTTCTGGAAGACACACTCCGTATTTTCACACAATGGTCTGATCAAGTTCAGTTCATGCAAGACTTTCGACACTTTCCAAAAGGCTTGAGCCATCTTTTCCTCGGCCTGAATATCATCGTAAGCCCCGGATAGAGAATAATAAGTTGATGGTATTGGAGAAGAATAACGAGAGACGAATTCTATAGACCATGATGGCATGCTCGGGTTTGATTATTGTCAAGAGATACCAAGAATATGCTGTCTATGGATTACTGGGAGTTGTCATTGCCCAAGGTCTAGGTTATGGATTGATATTCAATTTATCATTTTTCTTGCGAAATCTATCGGTGATGGGCGGTCTTCTCATGGTATTGTCGGACGCACTTCCCAAAGGGAAGCAAATGTTTGCTGCTCTTCCACAATTGTCAGAGAGCAATCGGCGTACTTATCTACAACTCGCGGGACGAATTCTACTGATCTTTTTGTTTGTTGGATCCGCGTTTCATGGTGAATGGTCATGGATGCGCGTCTTTGTGTCAGTGTATGGTCTCGTTGCATGCGTCATGGTCGCGGTGGGTTTCAAGGCCAAATGGTCGGCGATGTTTCTGGTTCTCTTTCTCTCGGTATTCAACATTTTTATCAACAACTTTTGGTCGGTCACACATACCCATCTCAAGCGCGACTTTTTAAAGTACGATTTCTTTCAAACTTTATCCACTGTGGGAGGATTTTTGCTTTTGGTCAGCACAGGCCCTGGTCTTTATTCGGTAGATGAGAAAAAGAAGGCGTTTTAAGTAGCTTGACCTAGTTGTACTGCTCCATGTCAAAAATATCACAAAAAATTTAAAATATATCAACATATGATTCCTCTCAAGTAAACCTTGAAAAGAAAAATGATAGGATTTAGCCTCTAAAATGTGAATCCACATCCTTGATACTATTGTCATTTGTCAATGTTCTTTTAGAATGGGTGAGTGATTGGTGGTGGTTCCAGAGCAAGTCTGATTTTGTTGGTACCGTTGCCGAGGTAAAGAAAACCCGCCATGGACATTACCATTTTTCATCCTTCCTGAACCCTTTTTTTTTGTATTCTATTCATTAACTACGTTCGGTGCACTATCAAGTAGCGTCTCGTATTTATGTGTGAATTTGTAGTCATATTTCACTTGGATATCTGGCAAAAAAAAAAATCATGTAGATCAGCACTATATTATGCAGGTTTTGTCGGAGACCAAAACCGGCTTGTTGCCTAAGCCACCGTATATGGATAAAGACTGACTGATGCATGGCCCCGCCTTACTTCAACAGCTATCAAAGATTTTCTTGATTTTCAATGGGCAAAACAAATAAATGTATGGATTTGGGGAGCAACTATAAAAAGTAAGCGAGAAAATGCTAATAAGTATCCATTTTGTAGTTAAAGTCGATCCCGCCAATGTGTCCAAGCATGCATCATCCTCTGTCACTGATCCTTCCGAAGCAAAAACACGTAAGCATCCATTCATTGCTAATCGTACGATATGAATCTCACGATAGTTTCAGCCAAGGAACGAGTCGAAGCCGAATTGAAACTTTTGCAAGCACGTAAACAGCTGGTGTCGCTTGATCCGCAGCAAGGCAAAATTCATCGAGTAGGGAAAAAGGTCACCAAAAAGGGAAGCAACTCCAAGAAACAAAAGAAGCTGGCACGAGCCCTCATGGTAGCAGATAAAGAAGAAGCCAAAGTTGGTAAACAGCTGGAGAAACTGGAGAAACGCAAGGCTCGAAAGTCGGTATGGGAGTAAACCTCGTTCGTCCTCTCTGTTTCGTATTCCCCTTGCACGACCTCTCTCTCTTTTCATCTGTATTGTTGAGATTCAGGCACACCCACATTATCATTTTTGCATTCCTTTTTATATTACGAGCCGAGACTCTACCGGCTAATCTATCATTACATTTTTTTTATATTTTTTTTTTTTACTTGCTTGCCAGTGCCTGAATTGACGCCATGATACGGGTGCCAATGGTCAAATGGCTTGCTTTTTTCAGTGCGCCGTAGCTGTTAATCTGAACAACACTGGCACGATGGTCAGTTGGGTAACAACGATTCTCTTGGTAACGATGACTCAGAGATTTGGTTGCGGACAAAATCGCTGGTCGCGAATAAAAATGCTTGTCGTTGCAATTGAACCATCGGCTGGACGAATCCAAACCGGCAGACACGCCTTTATCCTTTTGGCAGATACCATATAATTGAACGAAATCAGTATCGATGCACCTACATTCACGGATATGAAGCTCCAAGCAGCTGGATGATGATGGATCATATCAGAGAGTCTGTGAGGAACCAGACCAAAAAGAGTGGATCTTGACAGAAAAATTGACGTTGAATTATCACTGTGCTAGGCATTCGATCCTCCAATGTATAATGGGTCTGCAATCGAAGGAAACGCCGTCCATCAAAGCGAGATTGCCCAGTACATCATGAATAAAACTACTTTTGCCCCTATCACCAACCTGAATGCTCACCTATACCCCTATGCACCAAATCAAGGAAAGTGACACACTCTGGAAAAATGCTTGGAACTGGCAGCAAGGAATTTGCAAAACTTGAATATTTCCCATGATTGGACCCGCGAGCATATCATGTTCCCCTGAGGGTCGTCATGACACCTTGTTTTAATCTCTCGTATTCGCAGAAACAATGATTGCCAAGGTAAGTAAATGAATGACCTTTGGCAGTCATCGAACACGTTCAGCGCAGACTCGCTCAAGCTTTTATATCACACTTGATCAATTTTATATCCGAGACACATATATCACCCATTCCACCTCTTCTCTGACCTGGAACATTCGCCTTTTATACGGACGTATGTTCCATCTACCCGTCATCTATCTCCTCCTCAGATCCAGACATTGTACCTCTATTGGAAAGTGTCCTTGAAAGAAAGAGATGACTACTTGTAAATACCCCTCAGTGTTCATTGTGTAATAAGATCGTCATCATACTCAGGCTCATTGACAGTGGGACTCGTTTGCTGTATTCCAACCTGATCAATTACATATCCGACGTGGACATCACCAGTTCAACCTCTCATTTGACATGGAGTACACCCTTCCATAAGTCCCGATAGTCTTTCTATCGTTTATCATCTCGCCCTCAGACCAAGATATCGTTATTTCTATCGGAAACTCACGCTTAAAATGACAATTCCTCAGGAACCATATAAATATCCATCAGTGTTTTATTGTGAATAAAAGGATTATATTTTTCAGACTCGTTGACACCTTGAACTTTTTCAATGTGGTCCTAGCGCATAGCACACTTTCATTTTCAACCCATACGGATAGGTCACGAACACCCAACCTGTCACTTTTCAGCTGGCGTTCCTGAAATATTCGCTTGATGCACCCTTGACAGCTCAGCCTCCTCTTTGAAGCATGAATCCCATGGCAAAAGCTTTTTATTTCTTAGATGCCATGCATTTACCGCATCCCAGCAAGATATATTGATCGCAGAACCATTTCTCGCATCTTTCTGCCGTGTCATCAACATGACTCTACTAAACCCGCGAGTCCCTTTTTCCGCTTGTCATTGTAAATTAAGGCTCGCTACAAAATCTTTGAATTTTTTCTGTCAATGCCAGACCATTAATATCCATGTGCGCATTATATATTGGTGCGGTAATTGACCTGCTGGTACGCTATGACTATCTGTATCTGAATTCGCACATACTGGTCGTAATCAGCTCATCTCTAGGTATCAAACCAGGCCCAAGGTACCTTTCTTTGCATGATCTTTTTTTATGGCCATCACACTGCATCATAGCATCAATCTGCCCCTCCTCAGTCGATGCACCGTGTATCTGATCTGCAAAACTTATTGCAGATACAAAAAGTATCAAAATGCACGAATGCAAAGGACAACGGGTGATCAAGCTTAGTGATGATGCTCTGAAGCACAGCGCCGACATGGTTTCATCTTGCATCCGATGTACTCGTTACTGCTCCGTTTTCTCTCTTGACTCACTAATCCCACTGTCACAGACTGTAGAAAACGAAATGTGATATGGAACCAGTTGACCGCGCTCATTTCGAAATACTGACAAAAAAAAAAAACCATTGCACACACTTTACTACCCTCCCCAAGAGGAACTCGACAAAAGTCCCTGCTTCTTTTAGCAACAGCAACCCGATCCTGCTCTCTGTTTTCCATCCGCAGATAGACCTTGATCCGATCCTTTTCCTGCTAATGCTCAATCTCCATAAGCCACGTCCGTGCACCTGTGGCTTTTTTGCACGTACTGGTCATCGCCACCTGCTCTCTTGTTTGATCCTTTCGTCATGTCTTGATTTGTCTTCCTCCGGGAGTCTATAGAGCCGGCGAATTAGTAGTAACAAAATAAAAACAATAATAAATCGGTGAGAATCCTTTGATTCCCGAGAGAGTGTTTTGTCAAGTAGGAAAAGAAAAAATTACTAGAGAGCGGCAATTAATACAAGGTATGTCTTTTATACTATATCGGTATTTTTAGATGTGGTACGACCCATGACAGAATAAGGTGTATTTTCCATGAAGCTTTATCAACGATCGTATTTTTCATACGGCTTAGAGTTAATCATCGATCATGATTATTATTATGTAAAGATGATGGAAGAAATAGACGACGGATATAACCAATTATAGGGTGTAGTTGTGGTATCGGTTTGGATGTGAGGTTGATTCACATAAGAGAAAACGGGTAGATCAGACGTAACATAATGATATGATCCTGGTCGGTATAGTGATTACACGATCGTTGGTAATTGTCTTCTCTTGTAGATCGGATGATATGGATTAATTATGAATGACCAAGTGATATGATGGAGTGGTATCATACGGATGAGAGGTAGGAATGGTATAATCATATGTACAAATACGACGGCGTTGCTTTACTTTACTTTACTTTATCTTCTTCATGTATTTACTCCATTAAATGTCATTTCCACGGTAATTGGGCGCGATTTTATCACTTTTTACTACTTTTCAATTTCCTCGGGAAGCGGTTTCTACAGATTCGAAACTTTCTGCAGCAGATCAAATGGACATATCAGAAAAAAAAACAAAAGCTTTTATTCTTTTAATGTTATAACTCTCATTTCCGCGCGCTCTTTACTTTTTGTCTTTTGTGCTTTCTTTTCAGTGGAACGTTTTCCCATAGACCTCTGTCGCCCCACGCTTTTTAGGCATGGTTCCCTTTCTTTTATTTTCCCATGTGGTTTTTTCTCTAGAACGTACTTTCTCATCGATCTAAGGCGTGAAATAGCCAGAAACGGACATGTGTTCATACACCCTTAATAAAATAAAATCCTCCTTTGCTTTATTTTCTACGCACGGTTGCCTTTGTTTTCCTCCTGTGCATTTTTTAATTGCACATTTTCCCATCCATGGATCCCGTCCAAGCGAGCAGTAGTTCCCCGCCAAGGACGCGTGTTCACTCACCCAATAAAAAAAATGCTTTTACTTTTTGTTTTAGAAACACACAATCGAAAAATAAAAAACCAATACACCCCAAACAAAAAAAAGTCACCAACAAAAAGTATAAATATTACTCCCACAGCCGGGACAAAAAGCAAAAAGATTGGGTCTCTCCGGGAATCGAACCCGGGACCTCTCGCACCCTAAGCGAGAATTATACCACTAAACCAAGAGACCCTCTTTGATTTTCGAAACTGGGAGTTTATTTACAAACCGCAAATTCAAATCACGTGACTGGAGTATCATTCATTGGTTTTATGCATAGGATCAGGATATTAACCGGGAAAAATGATGAGAATCCTTTATCAAATTGTGATATAGTCTCAGTGTTTTTACCTGTCGATTGTGGCGATGATGGTAAGAGGGAGTAAATGATATCCCATCTCTGATTGTGATATATGAGAGAATTTAGAGCAAAAGAGACAATGAGAATCCTTTGAGACTGTTGAACGGTCTTTATTTCGATTAATGTGATCTGCCTATTTATACTTTAGTCTTGAGTCGGAATTAATAATTATCAGTGAGCAGTACTCGGTTATAAGGTGTATTAGGAAGGATCCACATGCTGTGATGTGACAGCTTTACTCGTATGAATTGATCTCAGCAATAGATCCAGGTTATGGATGAAGAGGCTCAATCGGTATTCTAATGGAGAAGCTCACTCAGAATGGAAACACGTCTAGATCCCGATCTTTCCTGCTTGGGAACACCAGTCTAGGATGGATAATACGACAAGTAGTGGATATACCACACTGATATTGAAGGTAATAATTGGGTTGAGTGTTATGCACTGATTACGGGAGGATCAGTGCAAGCTGGACAAGAGGGTGGTGTTAAGTGCTTTCGCAAGACAAGGACAAGACAAGACAAGAAAAGGAATACAATAAAACAGGAACAAGAAACAAGAAACAAGAACGAAATCGGAACAAGAATAGAAACAGGAAAAGAACCAAGACAAGGACAAGACAAGAACAAGACAAGATGAAGAACAAGATAGTATGAGAGAATACACACACACACACACACACACACACACACACACACAATTCTTGACTGAGGTTTATTTCATGAGAAGAGATCGGATATTTATACTAAAGGATCGGATACAGAACAGACGACGATAATAAAATAATTTAAATGAAATGCAGAGCATAACATGAGGTAAAGCATAGATCAGCAAAAGGAGAGGACAACGGTAAGAGAGGAATATAGAGACCAAGTAAGGGGTATGCGCATGGACCAGCACGGCAACAGTGGAGAGCATGCTTGGGCCAATAATATACATAGTCGTGTATTATGGCCAAGACAACGTGTACGCGGGAATGGTCATGACAAAATTTGAAGCTGCCCTGGAAATTGTTGTTTTTTCCCATTGTCCCCTAAAAAACCAGTTATTTGCTCCTTTCGGGTCTCTTTTCCCTTTTTCTCCTCACTATCGCCATTCCGTGTATGCAGTCGCCTTTTCCGCAACCATGTACTAACTATGGCCAAACGACCTACAATGTGTCTTACATCGAAATTGCGATATTTTTCTTACTGATTTTTCCATTTGCGAATGCATCACTCTGCGATGTTTCGACTTATGGTGTATCTGCGTGCGATCTTCCTCATTGTGATGTTCTCTGCATCGATGAACGAAGTATTGCCTACCTCAGATAGTTTGACGAATATAAATACCCTCATATTTCAATACGAAATAAAACAGTGAATAACATACCAACACGTCTTCTCTATCTTTTCTCTCTCTGTTGCGACTTCTAAGCTGCCCTGATAGCGCACCTCTTCTTTTCTTTTTGATAACACAGGATACCCCTCGGTGTTACTCTTTTCCTTTGATTCTTATTCCAGACAAAAAGACATTATGACGACCTGATCTCGATTCAATACATATCGACAAACAATATATCTGGCGCGCACATATTTTTTAAACCGATCCGATTTTAGATCTCTGGTTTTCCACTTGTATTTTCTTACCGGAAAAACACACAACAGCGTATGGGCCAGCATGGCAACAGTGAAGAGCGTGCTTCTTTATTGGGATTATTCTTGAGAGAACACAAACTACCCACATTATCGCAGCAAAAGGTGAGTTATTAAATTCTGGAGGAAGATGACCACAAAGGCAAATTCTATACGAGTATAATACATAGAAAATATATAATGACGATATATAGACATAGGCATATGCGTAGGCATAGATAGATACAGAAGATAATGGATATACACAAAAGGAAGAATAGAAATCGACATAAGAAGATGGACATAAACATAACTAAGAGTAGATAGAAACATAACAAGGAAGGATATACGGATTCGATTGGATAGAAATATACAAAACGAAAAGCATAGGCATAGGCATAAGAAAGGAGAGTCAGGGATATAGTGAAGGATAGAATAGACACAAAGAGATAAAAGATACAGCAACGAAAGGAGTGGGAAAGTGGGTTGAAATGACAGAATTAACGAACGGGGCCGAGAGTAAGATTTTTGCCATTGAACGACCTTGCTCTTGATATATACACGTTGCGTTTCACTCTTTGTAACGAATCGAAGGAATCGGATGTTCACCGGCACGTTCCGGAAATACTTTTTGGATCCGAGAGCCACAACTTCCATTCACCAACCCAAGGATGGTCTTGGTGAGCTCCAGAAATTCGGTCATAGTTGTCTGGAAGCAGACCGTTCCGGTTTCCAATCGATGCACCATTTCGGGGCTGGAAAACGAGCAAACACCACCCTCGGGAAACACAGAGTCGAGATACTCCTTCAGAAGCCAAATGGAGTTGTCTTTTTGAATTTCATCAAACTCCTCCATGGTTGCCTGGCTGGTACGCACTTGAAAGGCTTTACGACCAATGCCGTTACGCGCCTGGACCAATCCCCGTCATATCGGAACCCGGGACCCGGACAGGTTGACCTTCAATTCTGGAGCGTTCTTGGCCCCATCAACGGGAGGCTTGCAGGATCATTTGATGGCAATACTTTTACTAAATCCGCACTGAGAGAAGATGAGTGGTCAACTAGTCAAGGTCGCTAACTGATTAGCGTAGAGCGCAAAGGAAAGATGAGAGTGAGGAGTTTCTAAATTATAAATCACCTCTTGTCTGAATAAGATTTCTTTTAAACTTTTATCACGCTTGTGCTATTTGACACGCTGGCGCACAGATACCTCGGGCTGGATATTTTTGAAAAATAAGCATCAATCTCTGATATTCGTCGATTAATTATCGATAAATTGCAAGGCGATCTTTCAACTGCAGACTTTTGCTGGTCTCCATTCCATCATCCTCCATCTATAGTACGATCTGTTACTATGATGGGGTGATATACATAATGAATAGCCATCGTCTTTTGGCTTGAAGTTAACATGATAATGTCCCAAAATAGCTCAAATCAATCAAAGAGCACATAGTCCCCCCCCAAAAAAAAGGGACTGAAACGGAAAATCACTCAAGCATATTGAATCATCGATAGACTGGGATAAACGTCCGTTTTTTAAAAAAGTGGTGGAAAGTTGCGGGTATCAGTTCGTTGTTGTCACGACACACCATATTATACTGGGGTCGATGTATATTCCATTGTTTTGAGAATGTCTTTTGATACATCGGGAAAAAGAAGCAAAAAAAAAAAGTCAAAGATAGGTTGTGTCTGAATCGAAAAATCGAGAAAGAGTCAAGTATGCTACTCTGAGCGGCAAAAACATCAGAAGAGAGGTGTTGGTATGTTATTTACTAGTTTATTTCAGATTGATCCTCAAAACTATTATACCTGAGAAAAACTATGCTAGAATCTCTGTAGGTAAAGTATCGAACGTCATACGTGAAAATTGGAATATCAGTTTGTACCCAATGGGTAATCGATCATAGTGTTAGATTCTTGCAATGCTTCTTCTTCAGGAGTTTGAGGTCTGTCATGTCTGATGCCCTGCTTCTTCCTATAATCCCAGGCGGACGAAGCAGCAAGTGTCTATACACACTAGTATCGCGCTATCCTTTGAACCTTACCAGAATGAAGGCTCATCAACATTTTGTTTACGCTTCTCCTTGTGGTCTAACTTTTTAAAATCAATACCAGTGGCTTTATTAATCCTTTAAAGCCCATTTTCGACGCTCGTTAAGTACGTAAATATTTGCTGCAGGGTCTTCTCGAAGATGAATCTTTTCCTCTCTCTCGATAACTCAGTAGAGAGCACGATGAAACGCTTCCACGCCGTTCACCGTACGCACTTGGTGGTTTAAATATAATATAAAATGCTGAACAGGTCAGCATGGTCGTTATTGCTGTGTTCACGGAGGCTTCTTCTTACAAGCTCTAATCTACCACATCTATTTTCCCCGCAAAACGAGCAACAAGTATCCATCAGATATAAAAATACTCAGCGACTAACAGATGGAATAATCAGTATATTGACAGTTCAGATACAAAAAGATGGCAAGAGTAGATCAGGGTCTTGGTGCAATACGAATGACGGTGCAAAGGCGACGAGACCCTGATGGCACGTTTCTAATGTAGTGGCGTTGGAGATCACGTATGGTTTCGAAATGCTTTTGACAAAAGCATTTGAACCTTGCACTAACTATAACCGTGCCTTGTGGACCCCGGTCGCAGCAATTCAATATTAACAAAATAATGGCGTCCCCATTTGGAGATGTCACTATTCCATGCGTGCCAGGTGTGATAGTGAGGGTGATTCGTGTGGCGCCCTAAAGATCGGTCGAAAACCACTTGGAAAGCGACCGACTCATTATCAACGTGAGGTTGCAGATTCGGCGGAGCAAGGTTAACGTAACCACCCTGGAGGAACCGTCCGTCCAAGAACTGGCGGAGAAGACCCAAGGCATCGGTGTCCTACCTAATCAGTCCCTTTGACCGTTCACCGGTACTTATCTGCAGCGGTTTCCGCCGCTGGTTTGCTGGGACGTCGGCATGGTATGGAATGACTTCAATGGCAGCCGTGGTATCCCCACGCCGAAGGCGTTCTTGTTGCCAAAGGCGAACGAGGTGCACAAACACCGATACACATCTGTCCCGGCATCATATCCACCTGACTGTAGGGATCCGGGAAAGTCTTCTGTTACAAGATGCTTCAGTGCGTCACCACTCGATTCGATTCTGGGGTTGCAGATGCACTTTCGCGACCACCGCTTTTCAATGCGCGCCATCGATGAGGCTCGACGGACAACGTTACCGGACCTTTTATTAGTGCATTTCACTGCACCGAGACACACCTTGGTAACACTGACACCACCCTGGGTACGGCCATAGTTCGTTTGCAGCAACGGCCAGCCAATGTCGGCGTCATACTCCATTTCTATGGACCCAACGGTCATTTGCTGGATTTTGTCTTTGTCGATCCATTTCCCAAAAGTCATGATGCAAGAAAGTTATAGTTTGATGACTCTCCCTTCTCAGACTTATAAATCGCACAAAAAAACGCCCACCTACACGTGTGGGTGGGAATATAAGCTTTGATTTCCTGCACTGCACATGGTTGGGCGAAAAGTTACTCCTGAGCAGGTAAGCTTAGCCAAAATTCTAGCCATCAATTAACACGTTTGATAGTGTGCATTTTTCAATATGATATTGTCTGTGAGAGCACCAATTGATACGTGGGGTGGTCTAATTCTGTCTCCAAGCGGGTAAGGGAAAGGTAACTTTGCGCGTTGTTGCTTGATACGAATAAGAAGGTAATTGGTTGTGTTACTGTGTTACGATTGATTCTTTGCTATGGCAATAGATAGTGGACCGTATATTTTCCAGTATTTCTTGCTTCGTTTGTGCAACACTTTTACTGATTGATGCATCAAACTTTATGCACATGTCACTCACCCTATCTTGCCCCATATAATGAAGCTTCTTTAACTTCTTCTCCATTTCGAAAGTTTTTACTTGTTTATCGCGCGTCAAGATGTCCCGCTGAGCCGCTATACGATGTGTTCCTTACCAATTGCCGAAAGGGCACTCTTTCTATCATCGGTAGTTTGCATCATGTAAAGCAAAGACCTCGCACAGTGCGCGAACATCTTGCTAGGGGCATTTCTCCTCTTACTAGCCAATCAAGATAAAAATAAAATAAAATAATGATGCCGCCACGATACATTTAGTTTGGCTTTATTTATTTCGTCAACAGTTGTAGATGAGGCTGAATCTGCGGTCAAAAAGTCTGTCGATGAGTCCTACAGGGGAGTATGATATGGACCATGTCGTTAGCACCAATAATGCGCCTCTTGAATTCTGATATTGATGCTGTTTACGGAGAGCTCGTTGTGGACGATACAGGGGAAATTGTCGATGGTTACATGCGATTGCGCATACCTGCAGCGTGAAAAGGATCACGCTTCACAGGTAGAGATTATTCAGAATTTTTTCCAATGGCAAAAAACCTTAAAGTCTTTAATACAGATATAGGGTCGTCTCGGGCTTACTATAAATACAAGCGCGTGCTGTATTTCAATGTGTACCCGATAACCATCTTTGGCATGACTATTTTAGGGCTTCAATGACGTCGATACTGTACTTGACGTCGAGCCAGTGCGGCAATCGAGATGCTCGTTCATAGCCATCCAGCTTTTATTCCTCTTCTTTGGTACCCATTCTTACGGTTATAGTGATTATATTTCTCTCATAGATCATAGCATCGCCGTGGCTCCAGGAGTACTTTTCCACGACGTGGATACCAAACAAATCACATCGTTTCATATACTTCTTGCATGGTCCTTCATTGCCACGAAAAAGATTCAAAATTGATACTTATAAAGTAGGTGATGATTGTCCTATGGAAAATGAAGAGGGGGTTGAAAACCGGCACCCTTCAGCTGGCTCAACCACACGCTGCCTGGTGCATCAATATTTGATAAAAAAGAAAAAGAAAAGACCAGGGCATGGATCATATATATCCAACAACTTTTGCCATCTGCAAAATGCTTAAAAAAATCGTGCCTTATTTTAATTACTGAAAACAGCCTCGCCAGCTGCAACTGCTTCGTGCGTTTTCTTATTCACCATGTAAATATTGAGATAATATGTAAAAAGGGAGATAAATGCAACCCTACAATCGAAAGCGTTAGCGTATAATTGTCGAAAATAAATATTTTACTGCCATAATGGAGTAATACGTACATGATGCCGGTGAAACCCGGTGAATCTTTGCTTTTTACACTCTTGCGGGAATTGAGCAGCGACGAAACACCAAAGTAAGCAGCAACCCACGGAACAATCTTGAATCGGTTCTGTGCAAAAGAAACGCATTAGCTGACCAGTGTCGAAAACGGCCAATAGTGAATCCCAAAAATAACGTGTTGTTGCAAACTTACGCGAATAAAGATGGATGCCATACCTAAAAAAAAGGTTGCGTTGTTAGACGGGATGCCAAACGAAACAGTAGAAGGGTTATGTGACGCTTACCAGCATACAGTGCTATATTGGCATTCACATCGGCCTCACCGTCTACTGCGGGCGGCATGTGAAATGGCACTATTTTATCAGCTCGACGGGGATCTTTGGCCAGAGATGAAGCCATCAGTAGTCTCTATTTTAAAGAATGCAATGGGAAAGATATCACCTCGCGACGGTGGCCGAAAATCTGAGTGAGCAGGAAACTGTGACACAGACCAACGGGGTGAACCCACCAACTGGCGTAATGTGACTGCTTCTTACTGGGCCAAAGGCAAATGGTGCTGATGGCCGACAATTTTGCTGCTTTCTCTGGCTCGATTCCAACCCCCCCAAAAAAGCAGCATGTCTTCCAAGAGGTACGAAAACGCTTTCAAAAGTGTGCTTACAAACATACTGACCATCTTGACAGTAAGAGTCGAACGGACTTCATCTGTCGCGTACGATACCGAAATACTTTACCTCCGGTCCCGTTCCCGCCAAAGTTATTAACCATGCCGTCCTTAATCGATCGACACATACCTTATAAAACAAACAGCCTTGTGGAACAAACGCCTTACTCATTAGCGATGGAATCGGGAAGCACGGCCCCTTTTGAAAGATCACTCATTGATTATTTGGATGTTATGGAAGTAAATCCTGACGAAGGTAAGCCAGGTGTCCTTGACCAAGGCGTTTTTTTTTATTCTTTTCTCCCATCGCCATCCCTCTCTGCTCACTTCGCTTTTTTTTTTCTTTACCAGCTACACAATTAGAAGAGTACGTTGCAGAAGAAGATAAAATTCTGTTAACGACGCCGAGAGATGAGCAAAGACCGGCCGGAAAAGGGGGACGCAAAACCAACGTCACCTGGTTACGACGATCAGAGTATATTGCTGCGGATACGCGAACATCTACCTTGCGACGAGAGGCCATGGAGCATAAATTCGCCATGTCTGCTCGAGAAGCTGCGAGGAAAAACTATTCAACGTACGAGGGACAGATTGTGGGTATCGAGAAAACGTTCGCCGCCCCTTCACTTACACTACAGCATCCTCGTACCCGAGCCAAGGCGAAGCGTATCATTCCGGTTTTACCTGACATGACGACGTGGGAGAATACGTACATGATTGGTCAATTTAATGGAGAGCCTGCTGATGAGAAAAGAATGCATCGACGGGAAGAGTTGGCGAAGCGTGCGGCTGAAGCACAGCAGGGAACATCTGGAATTGGAAAGAAACGACCTTCAGAGGAAGATGGCACAGATCGTGGTGTTCTTCATCCGATCACAGTCACCGATCCAGATGATCCAGAGGACGAAGGTGACAGTTTCCTCATTTGGTTCCTGCCTGATGAACAAAGCACATCACGTCTAAAGGCGCTCAAGGCCGATCCATACCAAGAATTAAGTGCAGAGGTAAGTTGTAACAAAGGGAGCAAGAGGGGTTTCTACTTGTCAGGACATGATCTAATGGTTTTTTTTTCAAGCCTTTGACATATTATTCTGTGCGTGAATACGAGTATGTGAATGACAACGCACCACGTTCGCAGCACATGTTGTTGGCGATGCACCAAGAAGGCGACGAACAACAAGCAGTCTACAGTCTCGTAAAGAGCAAACTGACAGCCAAGCAAAAGCGCGCCACGGTAAGTAAAAACAAAGAAAATCACGCAGTCTCTTGCGTAACTCAATGTTCAACTTTACCTAGAATAAACGATTTCGCAAATTGGAGGAGGATGAGGGAAAGCCGGATATACTCAAAGTTACACTTCAGTAATAAAAATGCTTTGCATTGTAGTATTTTGTCCATGCAGTCGAATCATATCCAAATGGATTCTGCATTTGGCAACTCAGACAATGGCTAGGTCAGATAAGCTGGGAAAAAGTGGCCCCGGGCAATTCTGTATCTCGTAATCCAAATGTGGGGAAATTTTCCCCGCATAAAAAGCCAGCAGTATCTAATTTGCTCAATGACATTCATCCTTTTTTTTTTATCTTCTATATTACAATATCATATTATGGCGGACACTCCTATACGATTTCCCGAAAACCTTCGTCCATTGGAGCCTCAAGGTCCTGATCTGCTGGCAGACGAACGTAAACGAGCCACATTTGACCCAAAGGAATTAACGGAAATTATCTATGGCCGTGATTATCTCGTTAAACGGGATCGTATCCTGAAGATCCTCACCAATGATCCCATATTGGGAGACAAATCTCACCGCTATTACACTGGTCGTGATATTCGCTTCAAAAAATCTCTCGCTGCGGCCAAGCGTATGGTAGAGCTTATCAAGTAAGTCGAGTTGCCGTTGTCAAGTACGCGAGTCACCCATACGGTATTATTGACGATTGCTCTATAGACAGCATAACTGGTCGAATGAGGAGCTCGGCATTGCTGATTTTCTTTTTGACGAATCCGGTCCGGTAAGCAAGCCTACTCCGTCTAACGTGGTGCGTCCAAACTTCATTTCTTAATTGACACTATGTACTAGTTCCGTTTGCATCGTAGCATGTTCATGCCCACCATTGAAAACCAAGGCACCGAAGAACAGAAAAAATTGTTCCTCGAGCCTGCTCAGCGCTATGAAATTATTGGTTGTTATGCGCAAACCGAGGTAAATTTCCCTCTATTTGAACCAACGTTCCTGGTAATTTTGGACTTCTCACGCACGCATGATTTTATTGAAAATCATTAGCTGGGTCATGGCTCCAATGTCCGTGGACTCGAAACCACTGCTGTTTACGACACCCAATCACAAACTTTTGTGTTGCAGTCGCCTACTTTAACAGCTTCGAAATGGTGGATCGGTGGATTAGGCGTTGCTGCTAATCACGCCATTGTCATGGCCCGGTTGATCAGCAACGGCAAGGACCATGGTCCGCATCCTTTTGTCGTACAGATTCGGGACTTGGCTACTCATAAAGCTTTGCCCGGTATTACGGTGGGCGACGTTGGTCCCAAATTTGGCTTCAATACGGTGGATAATGGCTTTATTTTATTTGACAATGTACGCATCCCGCATATTGCTATGCTTGCCCGTTACTCGCGCATTGACAAGAACACGGGCGAGTATATCAAGCCACCCAATTCAAAACTCGCGTATGGTACTATGGTTTATGTCCGGGCCAACATTGTATTAGGTATTTTCTCACCGTCATCTTTATGCTATTTACAAGGCATGGTATTGACGAAACGGAAAACAATTTACACCAGAATCACGCTATGTCTTGGCTCGTGCAGCAACCGTGGCCGTTCGGTATTCCGCTATTCGTATTCAGGGATCAGATGCCGCGAATCCCAAGGAAATTACCTCCTCAAACACTGGAAAAAAAGTACCCGTCGAGACGCCCGTGCTAGATTATACCATGCAACAATTCCGATTGTTCCCTGTTATTGCTCGCGCTTATGCCTGCCATTTTACTGGACAAGAAATGCATCGTATGTATGTGGAAAACCAAGCCAAGATGGCTCAAGGAGACTTTTCTTTTCTCGCTGATCTACATGCCTCGTCATCGGGACTGAAGAGTTTAACCACAACCATGGCCGTGGATGCCATTGAAGAATGTCGACGTGCTTGTGGTGGCCATGGTTACCTATTAGCGTCCGGCCTTGGTCAGTTTTATCAGGATTATTTACCAAAGGCTACCGTAAGTACTTTTTGTTTTACCACCGCATCCAAAAGGTCAACAAAATTAAAGAGAGGGATTTTTTCTTGCAGTGGGAAGGCGATAACTACCTGTTGACGCAACAAACTGCACGTTATCTGTTAAAGACATTCCGATCTGTTCGTGCCGGCAAAATCTCGACAAAGGATGCCAATTTCTCTAGTTCGTACATGTTCGAATATTTATCGGAACCCAACGCCCGTTGTCCTGCTACCAGCGCCACGGATTTTGATAATCCAGAGTTATTGCTGTCTGCATTCAAATTTCGAGTCGCCTTCTTGATTGATAAGGCCGTGGCGATGCTAGATGAGGAACAACGCACATGGAATGACATGTTGGTAGAGATATACCGTATCTCTCGCGCACATTGTCAATTGCTAATGGCCTCCAACTTTGTTCAAGCCGTATTTTCCCGGCAAGATGATCGAAATACGCGTGCATTGCAAGATGTAGCCCGTCTTTTCTGCTTGTTTACACTTGAGCAAGAGGTCGCTGACTTTTTGACTTGTCAATATCTCTCCCCAGCCCAGGCACTACTGATTAAGCAGCAGGTGATTGTTTCCCTTGGAAAAATACGACCCAACGCGGTGGCGTTGGTGGATGCCTTTGGATTTCCGGATTATCTACTCCAGTCGGCCCTTGGCGTTTCCGATGGCCGTGTCTATGAAAACTTGGCAGTCATGGCGGAACAGGAGCCTCTCAATCAGCGTCAAGTCGTCGTTGGTTACGAAGAGCATATCAAACCACTTGTCTATGCTGGAAAACATCGCTGGAACATTCACAAAGATGGCAGTGCTCGACTCTAAACACTAATAAAAAATGGCAGATTGCTTGACTTTGTGACCCAATGGTTTGTACCCAAGGATATCACAAATAAAATGACAAATCACAATCAAGGAACCTTTGTGCGCTCACGTAATGCTGTATGCAATGGTTCATTGATTAATGCGCAAAAAGATGTTGGAACATTTGACGCCGCTGGAGCGTGGTCAAGGTTTATTTTATGATGTGATTACAGTCGCTAAAAACAAGAATCTCGTTGTTAAAATACATGATGACAAAAAATAATATAATATTGAGATAAAATGGATCAAGTTATTTCTTTATGGTACATATAAAATAGGAACGAACTAGGAAGCATCGATTACGATCGACGTTCGACCGATGCTTTCAGGCCGTACTTCATTGGCAATGTCAAACTTGCGTCATAAGTAATTTTTTGTCCGGGTATCAGTGAGAATTTGTACTTTTTCAACAGCAAGACGATAGCTACCAGTGCTTCCAAGGTAGCAAGATTTTGACCTATCGAGGAAAAAATCAGAGGATGAGTGGCCTGTTGCATCATCGTCTGTCTCTTTTTCTTAATCCCCTACCTAAGCATACTCGAGGTCCCACATGGAAGACTGGCCATTCGCCTTGTGATCTCTTTTGAAGTGTACCATCCTCCGTCAACCAGCGTTCAGGTTTGAAAAGTTTGGCGTCCGAACCCCATATCGCTTCCGATCGGCCAGCTGAGTAGGTCGACCACAGCACATAATCTCCTTTTCGGATTATCGTGCCATCAGGCCATACATCATCATCCAGGGCGTATTTCTGATTAGTGGGAACGGGAGGATGCAGACGAAGTACTTCATAGAATCTATCAATTCATGTGATTAGAAATTTAATATCGATTCACGCCATTTGCAAAACCTACACCGCATGTGCATAAGGCATCTTTTTAATGACTTCATAAAGAGCTGGGGCATCAGATTCGATGCCGTCGACAATATGGGTGTTGATTTCTTCCAATAGCTTGCTTTCAATGCGTGGATGGAGCATCAAATTATAAAAGGTCCACGACAAAGCTTGTGCTGTTGTATCCCGGCCAGCAATAAGAATATTGATGATGGTATCCCGTAATTCTTGGTCATTGAGCGGTTCGCCTGTTTCATTTCGTGTATTCATGAATCGAGATAAAAGGTCACCATAGCTTTTTCCTTCGGCAAGTTCTTTACGTCGCGTAGCAATCACGTCGGCGGCGAAAGAATTCAACACCTTCAAATGATCGTCGGCCGTCATTCTCCATGGTGTAAAGATCTTGCTCATTAACTTGTTGAATGAATAAAAGGGATCGATGAAACGCACAAAGGAGTCGCGTTGACACTCATCAAAGGCAACAGCAAAGGGAACTTTGTCTTTCCGTGTCATTGCATGAATATTTACTCCAAAGCCCAACCTAAAAAGCATAGATGCGTGATTTAATATGGCATAATTCTCGTAAAACCATAGCATACTTACAGAACAAACGAATCCAGCGTGAATCGATAGAACAGATCGTGCAAATCAACCGGGTCTGCCGTAACAGCTGCTTCATCGAGGATGTGCTTTTCCATGATCTGTAATTCATTGATAAACACACTAATGACGACAGACATTTTAGTGGGAATGTGAGTAGCAAAGGGGAGGAAAAAGGAAAAACGCTTACTCAGTGAAGGAATCTCGAAAGTTCTTCACGTTAAAGATGTGGCTAGCAGTCTTGCGTTGGTATCGCCATTGTTCTCCATTGGCATTAAAGATACCATGACCAAGCAGATCGATGGTAGACTTGGAGAAATGGGGTCCTTTGACATAGTTTTCGAAGTTGACTGGATTATTCCAATGGCTTGGTTAATGTTTTTGATCCTGTTTTGCGTGCGAAAAAAAATCGATAACACGTGCCTCTTAAAAAATGCTCTACATTGCGCGGATCGATGGTTTGGATGGCAAAAGGCAACCCGAGAGACGACGCAGTGCTATTTTGAGATTAATTATCTTATTTTCAAACCATGTTCAATCCACCATACCAAGTTAGCGCATTAGCTTGTTCAAACGTTTCCGTGGTCCAATCATTTATATCATCCGTTCGGGACAGCATCTTCGGCAAATTACCAAGCAACGGCACGCCCGGGACATTGGGAACGCCCTCGCGAAGTTCATCGAAAACCGCCCTATCTGGATATTTAATGGCTAACAGTGAGAGAACAGCCGCAGTAGCTCCACCGGCTATAGCAAGCGCTTTTAGCGCGGATGTATCGTAAAGGGATGTCATACTGGTAACTTGAAAAAAAGTGCAGACGAGTTGGGAGAGAGATCCGGTCAAATGAAATCACCCAATAAATACCAGAATTTTTTTGCAGGATGACACGGGTTTTGCTAAACCCCAGCGGAGATTGATTCACCCGTCATGGTAGTTCATGTCGTCGCCACAAGTTTTTGTATTCTTTTATTTATCTTTCTGTATTATTTAAGCAAGATTTCACCAGATACAGTTAATACTCGTCAATTAAAAGAGTGCTGCAGCCGGTATACTCTATTGCTGCATACTGCTGCGGTTGTCAAGCAGTAGGCTGAGATTTGATGTCTTTGATTCAATAAGCTCAAATTAACCCTAAAAGGGAATCTCACCAGAAATAAAGTGGGCACAAAGGGCCGGTGATGAATATCGAAAACAAAGAATAAATATTTAGCGCTCAGACGCTCTACTGCAATTCTGGATAGAGAGTTGCTCTTAGCAACTACAACTGTTTCCTGAATCCAAAAAAAAAATCAGAGTATGCGCCTTAGATACACCCTGTCTATAAAGTCTGTCAAGGCTTTTGCTGCTAAAGCCGAGCTCAGATATGATTTTATCAATGTTTAAGTCATGCGAAAACAATAGAACAAGTTTACATCACATGCGAAAGCCGAGGTCGAAAACGATTTGACGCATAATTCGATAAACATAAGCCACGGCAACTTCCATTTTAGTAAATCCTCGCTCGGCATCGGATAAATTCGCCAAAAGAAAGAGTCAAACGGACAGGTTCGGAAAATCGATGGCCGGGATAGATCCATTATGCGTGTTACGTCAAATTCTGCTTTCTCGATATTCGACAGGGCTATGCAGCAGTAATACTGTCATCAAGAGTCAACATTTGATTTACGAATCATTAAAAAAGCAAAAAAAAATCATCGAAAGCACTGCTGACAATGCCTCAAAATCAATAACCGCATAGCTTTCAGAATATTACGACGAACAAAGTTTCAATGCAATATGTAATGTTTTTTATTAGTTCATTGATCGACAATGACTGTATGCGATGAGGAGCTCTTTCTACATTATATGTATTTGTATTGGTTGTCTTTTCTTACCCTACAAGGATTCTGAGTTGCAAAGTAGGTTCCACAGCACCAGGTTTTCAAGGCTCACTGTGTTGCGTCTGGTATAGGTGGTTCCTGCAGCTGTGCACATATTATCTTCCAAACCTAATCGATGAACGTCCCACAGCAAAACCCTTTCGTTGAACTTGTTCACCGCATTGCGTATCGCAATGGAAAACGCATTGCTTCTTCCAGCATTCCACGCCGTGGAGTCCATCACATTACAGCAGAAATATTGCGGCGTCCGCACCACAATCAATTGATGCGGGTAGATGGTTTCAACAGCATGCTCTAACAGGTTCGTAAATGCTTCGGCAAATGCGCTAGGACTAATCATATGCATGGCAATGTCCTTATTTCCGAGCCCAAACATAACGACATCAGCAGCCGGAATCATGCCGACTTGTTTTCCCATCGCACTTTTCCAGTCGTCTGTGATGATGCTTTCGATCGTGTTGTAATAAAATCTTGTATCGGCATGCCATGTCTCATTGATGACCAGCGGCTCATTCGGATCCATGGTCCACGGATAGAGTTCGTCTTTGGGATCTTCATCGTCGTCGTCGCATATGCATTGAGCATTGGTGTTTTCGTTACACCATCGATTGGTCGAGCTGAAGGCTTTCAAGTTTCTAAGGGTACCGAACACATGTTAGCACATGATACTAATTAAGCCATCATAAACACCACTTGCCTTCTTATATTGCCGTCGTCCCATACATGAACCACTTTGTTTTCCAAGCACTGGACGGCCTGACTGGTGCTGATGTACTCCATACGGCAATGGGTAGGAACAAATAAGCGACCATTTTGCGCGTGATCTTCCTGAGCGTCGCCAAACATGCCATAAAAGTCAAAAGGGTAGCGCGTCTGATAATATGTCTTGTCCATCCACATTCCCTCCATATGTGATGAGTTTCGCAGATCACATAAAGGTAAAGCAGATTGCCGAGGTTTCGACGGAGGCCCCACGATGAGCTTATTCGCCGACACAAATCGTATCGGCTGATATTGATGCAGAACCGGACGTTCCCAGAAATAAGAGCGATACTCGATCACCGTCTCCAAATGGTATATGCCAGCATGAGTGAATTGAACAGAGGCAAAATAAGCGTTTGTTTGCTTGGCGTGTTGTTGCATAGCAATAGGCACTTTGGTACTATTGCTTGTGGCGGTGGTTACCAGACTATCTGCTGGTCCTATGTAGCCGTCCCCTTTTCCGACAGAAGTAGCAGGTATGGGTCCAAGCTGTCAAAATGTTTAGGACCTAAAGCGCAGTGAGGTTGCCCTCTCTCTCTGTACTTACCAGAGTGACGATACAGATGGTATCATCTTCCTCCATATGGACATTGTCTGTTATAAAACTGCCGTCTAGATTAAGAAATATGGATTTCGGATTCCAGCCGTCCCAATATTGACGATCCGAGGCACTACTCCCAAGAATAAGTAAAAGGCAAACCTGCCATCACGAAGGATACATACAGCCAATCAATGTCGACTTGATCGCACGCGGTTGGTTTTGAAGTGGAGGAAACCTTGGTGGTAGCCGGGACAACAGAAGAATCGCTTTGCACGTCTTCCAACGATATATAGCTTGCGTAACGCAAATAAAGAATAGTAATCAACATTGTAAGCAGAACAGCCCCGAGCGCAAAGCTCGACCGCTGCGTAGACGAAACTTGCATACGATATTATCCAACAATGTCAATAACTTGAGATGAAAGGTCGATGACAGTGCCAAATTTTGAAGGGACGCAAATACCCCGCCCAAGTTCTACTTTGGAAGATCCCCTGGGCGTCGCCCCGATGGCCCGATATATTTTTTCACTGGATCGAACTCCGCACTTAATTATTACGAGTAATTCAGACACACATGTCGCACAAGTAGTAACTATTGTCGTGTGAATACAATGGTATGTTGTATCTTGGAAAGGGGTTCCAGCTGACCAACGACGCTTCTTCAGATGAAAAAGCCGGGGACCAAGCGCGTGCTGCGTTACACTGCCCTTACAATATTACCCAAATGTTTTCTCCGTAAGAAGCACTGATGAACTTTGTTCAGACCAAGTAAGAATACTCAACCAAAACTATTGCATTCTCATTATCATCATCGTCACTTTGTGCCTGCACTTCATAGATCGACCAAGGAAAATGTACCAGCAGCTTCCCTGTTGCATATTAAAGCTTTTTGCCTAAAATTTATTTAGCATACAGCATACATGTTCTATTTTCTCGTCCGATGGGCATTTTTTCGTCGATAGGCAGTAACAAAATCGGTCAAGATTCGTCGTACTTTGGTCCACTGTTTGCTCTGCACCGCACTATCAAGGAATAATCAACGATGAATACCCAAGAAATTACTAATACACCAATTTTTTTTTGATCCACAACGTACCTCATGTAATTTTCCAAAAACTCGTTCTTTTCAAGCGTCGGCAAGTTTTGTTCCGGGAGGCTATCCATGATGCCCACGATCCATTGGGCACTTTCCGCCGGTAATAATTGTGCCAGAGATTTTAAACTCGAGGCGACATCGGGAATCATATCCCAGTGGTAATGATAAATAAGCCCATTGAACAGTAGCATCACATAGTTTCTGCCATATTCTCGGATCAAAGTCACAATGCGCGAACCATTCTGCCCAATAGCCGCCGCGCTCCTAGCTGTATCAGGCGTCACAAGTTCATCTACGGATAACGCAATGCCGAAAAGTCGTCGATAGAATGTGATGACAGCCGTAAGCGCCTTTTCTTCTTCTAGGGATAGCCCCGCAAGACCAGCTTGGAAAATCAACGGAAGTAATGAGCTTTGAACAAGCGATGTTGGAGCTCGATCCAAAAAGGATGTGACCAACCGGAAATAGTCCTCAATCACTTTTTTGAAGAGTAGCAATACTCGGTTAGTCTTTTTGTAAATTTGTTTTTTCTTGGTATTGATGAGCTTACCATCAGGAATATCATCGAATTTGCGGCCATTGATCTTGCTGAAGACTGCATTACTCAAACGTTCCAGGAAGTTGAAACATGGTCCGACGGCTTCGGTTCCTTCTACGGCGTACTCGCGTACGACCCGTCCCGCAGCCCATATATACACACTAAGGCCATTTTGTTCAAATCCAGTGATTATTCTCTCCATCAACTGCGGTAACATGGAAACAAAGTGAACATTGTAGGATTGAACGCAGCTCCTAAAGATTTTGCAGAGTGGTTCGCAAAGGGTACTTTCATCGCCATAGCTGGAAAGGCACAGATCGAATACAGGCCATAATTCTCCAAAGAAACTGACACAAGGATGTGGTTGCCCAAGAGGAATATCGGGATGAATGATCTCGAAAAACGCACCAATCTCTTCCAGAGTATCTAGAATGAGTAACACGTCAAGTTAACACGCTGATTTCTTGACGGCGGTTGGGTTTCGTGATGAAATTCAAAGAAAAAAAAAGAGCTCAACCTTACCTCCTGCGCGAACACAGTCATCCTGACTGAGATTACTTTTACCTCGTGATAATAAAGTGTGAAGATCCTGAGCAAGTGGCATACAGAAAAGCTGCAAAGCATTTTGTAATTCGGCCACCGGAAGGACGGCCAGTACGTGAGCAACGGCTTCGGTCACTTCTCGTGCATCAATAAACGGTAACGATTTGATGACATTAACGTAAAACAGATGCAATTGCCCAATGTAATCCACCAGCAACTATTGTTTCAGTGAATCAAAATAAAAGATTCATTAACTGACCACTCTTCAACCGTGCGTGTCATCACTGAATTGACTTACGTTGCTGCAGTCTTTGCACAGATGTTTCAGAGCCAAAGCACTAGCCGCGGCTACTTCATCATTTTGGAATCCGGCAGAGATAAAGTTGAGTTGATAGGTGATGAACTGTGGATGATGTCTGGTCCACAACGAGTAGCGCGAAATAACGAGTGTCGCAGCGTAACGGATCTTGGGGTGGTCGGGAAGTTTGGAGAGAAATTCCATGATCTGCGGCATGACTTCTCCTTCAGTGACAGGGACTTCGGATCCCATCGCACGAAGAGAGAAAATGGGTGCTTCGATTTGCTGCCAGGATGCTTGATCTGCATTTTGTAAAAGAGCGGCTAATCGGTTCATCGGTTTAGCAAGACATTTTTGCGGACCAAGAATACGACAACAGTCTTTCAAAGTATCACCCATTTCGTGGCGGAAGTCACGAAAGTCATCTCGTTCAGTTGCTGACCATTCCGTCACGTCTTCAGGGTAATGCAGGTGATCGATGATGATGTCGACCAATCGATCAAAATAGGACTGGAAAGATGATATAGCGCCTTCGTAATGAGATGTGGTGAGTGTGTTTGTTAATTCGTACCAAAATTTGAATGTCATTTGCGCAATGTCGAGGTCACTGTAGGCTGTGCATTCGCAGATACCATCCAGAATGGGAATAAATGATTCTTGATGTTGAGCAATCAAGGACACGTAGGCTTCACCGGCTTCAATATACATTCGACAAAATCCGCGAACCATATCGGTGTCCTCCTCCTCTTTGGCCTTTTTTAAAGCCCCAAGCATAGGCGTGAGACGTGGGTATATCTTTTCGATGATGCCTTTGTACTCCATAACATCCCTCGTTTCATATATGATCTCGCAAACAACATCCACGGCCACGTCAAATAGATCGTCTTGCAATAATGCTTCGAATGCCAAATTGAGTAGCGGACTATTGCTCAACACGTTGATGTCAATGTCGCCTGTACGTAACCAGCTTGAAAGGCATCGTAAAGCGGAAATTTGAATTTCAACGTTGCCAGCTAATTACCAATGCGTTGAGTTAAGCAGAGCGGAAATAAGCAATGGCTGCGTTGCTCCGTTTTACAGCGACTGTACTGACCATTGGTTTCCATATATATGAGGAGTAATTTCAGTACCTCGACAGCATTATTCTCGATAAGAGTGACGGAGCGATCCTTGAATTCTTTGTCCTACCAACAGCAGATCAATAACTACCATTTTGTCACAAGAGTTGATTGACTTTGACTTACCGAAAGCGGTAAACGACTGTTGCCGCTCATTTCTTCGGGTAATACTTTGAGGAATTCAAGAACGCAAGGGGCGGTTTCGACGGTTTCGCCAAATTTGCCAAAAATATCTTGAATAGGCGTCTTCCAGTCGACAAGCTGGATGGCGAGATCGGCGACAGCTAGACAAAGCTGTATCATGAGAGCTTTGGGACCGGAAGTTGACAGCCATAATAGTTGCAGAAGAGAAGCACGCAGGGAATTGCGAGCAGCTGCATCTAGCTCACACAGATCGTATGTAATCTAACAATGAACGTTAGGGATTTTGTTCTTTTTTCTTTTTCTGCTTCTCAAAGGAAAACGGCCTACCTTTTGTCTGAATGTCTGCGCAGCAAAAAGACGCGACTCCAAATTGCTGTCAGTGGAATTTAACAGATAATCGGCGACTGACCAAGCTTCGGGCTGTAATAATAAACAAAAAAGTGAGCTTGAACTCACTCGAGAGCGAGTAGGATAGTAAGTAGACGACGGGGCAAGTACCTGTTTTTGGAAATTTTCGAGCCACCGACTGGCTTCCCTTTTCGATTTAGGATCACCAGTGGAGTATAAAGCCGAAAGAGCTGTCAAGACTTGAGCTACAGAATCACCAGACATTGAAAGTTCGTTTTCTTGAATGGCCCAAGATCAGCAAGTGGTGCTCTTTGCAATACTAGCAAAAAAAGATTCAGCTTTCCACGCCCTATTTTTCCGGGCACCACGCTTCGGTTCCGGCCATTGCCGGTCTTCGAAGTTATGATGTGACGTTGTTTTGCCCGGCCGGATATTCGACTCGCATACAATTCCCTCAAGTTCGGGGGTGGAATCAACCAGGAGCCTGAGCGTTTCAACACGCATGTGGTTGCGAGTGCCTTTCGGAGATCAAAAGGGGTCCACTGTGACAGTTGGCCTTTTCAACTTTTTTGAAATACGGAGCAAGTTGTCAACGTCTTTTATACTTTTTGGACATTCGCTTATGGACATGCAACATTTCGGTATTTCGGCCGCTGATATCAATCACGGTTGTACTTACCGTCCAGTGGACAGAAAATATAACGAAATGGATGCTTTTGACTTTGAATACATTGGGCAAACGGTTTACGACTTGGCCGAGTCTGACACCGAACTTGGTCCGAGGATAAAAGAGGCATTGTCAGTTATTGAAAAGGCATATCAAACTTATGGGTAAGCTATTGAAAAAATGTCTTGGTTCTATGGGTTTCCTGAGAAACGGACTTTAATGTGTGGCATGGTGATTTAGATTCTCTGCTGTTTCGCTTTCTTTCAATGGCGGTAAAGATTGCACCGTTCTTTTGCACTTGGTTGCTGCTGTTATTTCACGTTTAGAAACGGACAACAAACTGTTACGTACAGTTTTCGTTACTTACCCGAATCCCTTCCCGCATGTCGATGCCTTTGTGAAAGCTTGCGCATCTCGATACAGGCTTGACTGTGTCTCTATTCCCGGACCAATGCGACCAGCTTTACAAGAATTCCTTAATTTATCAGACCCCAAACCAAAAGCGATATTTGTTGGCATTCGCCGGACGGATCCATATGCTGGTAAGAACAGATGTTGGCTTCCTTGCTGTTTGTTTGCCACTTCTAAACGGGGTTTCCTTTCTATTCAGAAAATTTGACGCATTTTGACAAAACTGACGAGGGCTGGCCCGAGTTTATGCGCGTTCATCCTATCATCAATTGGCACTACAAAGATGTATGGGATTTTTTGATCAAACTAAAAGTGCCTTATTGCTCGCTTTATGATCAGGGGTAAGCGGAGATTGATCCTCGTCTATCGGATCAAGACAGTCGTATTCATTTCAAGTTAGGTATACATCTTTGGGCAGTATGGAGAATACACATCCAAATCCGGATCTGCAAAAGAGAGATGATGACAATGGATATTTCCCTGCATATCAACTACTTAACGAAGCACATGAACGCTGTGGAAGGATAGGCACTTCCAAACGATAAATTTTGGCTCGATGCGATATGGATGGATACCACAGGGGAATAAATTGTTTGTCACTATCAATCATCTACCGGCAGCAAGAAGATGATTTCTTTGTGAAATCTAATATGATATGATATAAATAAGGGTGCTTCTTCAATTGACGGACAGAATCAAATCAACAAGACGAGGTTGCACAAAGATCCTCGTTTTGTAGATAGGCAAAGCGTACAAAGACAATCTGCTGGCCTTTTTTAAATAAATATGGCAGTTGAACGTGGGAATTCCCAAGTAGGACATTTTGTTTCACTGGGTAAAATAAGTTTCCCCTACTGATTTTGGCTTAGTCATCAGTAAGATGCCTGTATTTGATTTTCGGCGAAAGATCTCTCATCTATAAAGACACCGTAAAAGACAAAGTACATCCAATATCGATCACATGGCTTTTGTCAAAAGGAAACATCGTGAAAAAACGTCCTCATCTTTCATTTGCAACTTTACTATTGAAATTCCTGAAAGTTATAATGTAATATATCAAGGGAAACTTTCTTTGGCCCAAGGCATGATGTAGAATCTGATTGGACAGATCAGAAATATGCTATGCAGCAAATTTCCATGGGACGGTTTTATTATGCGAGAGTAGAAAGAAAAATAAAATAAAAGAGGTCATAAGTTATTAAGCAACAAATGCAAATAAGCAAAAAGGTGGAGTAATCATAAAAATGTAGAATACACATAAATAACCAGGAAAGCAATGAAGGAATGGGCGGGTTGAGAAAATCAAATGGATCATATAGTGATGGAAGTGGCAGTGGTGATGGTGGTGTAATTCGCATCTTCTGGATTAGTATACAATACCATTCCATGGGTTGTCGTACGAAAAGATAATAAATATAAAAAAAGATTTTTGTTCTCATTTCTATATAATGACCTCGCTACGGTTTTGCTTTTCGATATTTTTCGTCTTTGGATTTGTTCTAGCTTCGTAACATTACTGGGGAGGAAAAATCAAGGAACCAATTTTGTCGTCGGACCTTGAACTGAATATCAGCACTTGGTTCTTCCTCTTTCCCTCATGAATATCGTTTTTTTTGTATCTCTCTCTCATCGTAGATCGGTAGTCGCAAAAGGAGATTCTGTCATGTTGGACGAAGCGTATGGTACAAACTGAGTAGACGACGGTCCAAAGTAATGCTGCTGTTCTGGATGATGTGCTAATATATCGGTCCCGTTGTTGGCCGATCTTAGAAAGGATTCTGCCGTCGTAGGATGACTGTCGTTTCTGGTGCCTCTTTCAGTTATGGTACCGGGCTCTGGAGCATTGACAGTGCTTGCACCGGCGGCGGTAGTGGTTTCAGAGTTGCACGGAGCAATACCAAGTACGTTAGGATAATATGAATTAGGATACGAGGACGAAGGATAACCCATGTAAGTCGAATGATGATAAAATAGCGATGGCTGATGTGAAGATGGCATGGTGGCTGGGGATGCGTTGTCGCTGTACTGTTGAAACGTAAGGTTCGGTTGGAACGACGATTGTAAAGTTGGTTGATACTGATAGTGATGTAGGAAATCGTCTTCACCATGACCATAGATTCCGTTCATATAAGGCCGTCTGGAAGACGATTGCGTTATCGTCACATAGTTGGAAGACGTATTATACCCGGTTTCAGTGGATGAGGGACCGGTTGAGGATATATCACTTTCTTCATTGATGGGTGCGCAAAGAATTTGGGGCATTGTATCGTATGCATAACTGTGCCTGGAGATGTAGCCACGCGGGCTCGATGTTTTGGAGGTAAACGTGCTGGGACTTTGGCCTCCATTTCGCCGGGTAATACAAAATGGGCAATTACGCACAAACCTAGCAACGAGTTCTTTTGGAATCCAAGAATACTGTCTTCGCACCTAAAACAATAGCAACGATTTTAATTTACCTGACATTTAATGGTTTGAATAAAATGAAAGTTTTTTTTTTCTTTTTTGTTACCAATGCGGAGGTTTTGTCTCTGCCACCATGATGTGCATCCCTGTGAGCCTTCACGAGGACAAAATAAATTTCTTCCTTTATAGCTACGGGCTTGTTATCATGACACACAATATCCATGGATCCGTTTTGCAGTTGAAACATCTTTTTCACCCAAAATCTGAACTGTGCAGTGGAAATAGCCGTGTTCCTGGGATCCCTGAGAACTTGCTGAATTAGAACGTAACGTTGCTGATCGACAAGTGCTTTGTCTCTTTTTTTGGGGCTAAGGTTTTGTAGATAATCCTTGATAATGGCTTTGAACTCGTCTTCTGTGGGTAACTGGTTCTCATCATCAAATGCATCGTCAGGCGGAGTTGATTGCTGAACATAGAAACGGCTGCTCTCTTGAAGATCGTATTCTGTGTACGGATAGGAATGGTGCGGAAGCGAGATAGCTGGCGATTGCATAATACCAAAGACAACTGTGTGAAAAAAAGGGGAAAGGGTAAAAGAAAGGGATGGTCTGTGTGTTGCTATTGAAATAAAACAAAAAGAAATAATAAAAAAAGGGAGATGAAATATGCACAGTTAAATGGTTTCGGCGGCGCGGCGATTATCAAGGAATGGTTATTTCGGAACTTAAGCTTCCACAAACACGTCAGGCGTGCGGTGCAAGAGTGGGTAGAATATAACATGAACACATCCAATGCCATGACCCATTGTCCGATAGTCGGAACTTGCCATTCATTTTCCTCTCTCTGTTTATCATACCTTTCATTGCTTCACTGTGCCGATCAAAAAATTCAGGGTCCTCTTCTGACAAATTAAACTTGCTACAGGGCGCCAGCCGTATATATATATATATATTTCGTAGAGGAATGATCATTTGGTAGTCCTACCGTTATTTGTTTATTATCACATTTGTTATATGTTTTTCTATTGCAAGCTTGTATGTAGGGTTTATGGTGGCTATTATGTGTCCATATTTACCGTCAGCAATATCTATCAATTTCTTCCATTTGGTTAAAAGCAATCCAATTTCAATAAAGCCTGATTAAGAAAAAAAGAAAACATTTCTACATTGCAGCAGATACTCTTTTTCCGCTGGGTTGGGCATGCCAAGTACATCTTCGATACCACACGAACTTTTTCGTTCCCCTTATTTTATCCGGCACTGACAACAATGTATATCCCTTTCCTGAATGAATAGACCCTGATTTGGCAGATCAAGCCGTGCGGCTCGGATTACCCAATATTTGTTCTTTTTCTTTTCTCACCTTTATATAACTCTATTCAATCTTTTAATAAAATGTCCTCTTCAAATAGTATTTTGCGGACGCCGATCCAAAATCATGGCAAAAAGTGAATAGAACAATAAAGTTGTTGACATGTCCACTAATTCGATGATGAGAACAATTAAAAATGCAAATAATGAAAATTTGGCATTTTTTATATAAGACACGAATGGAGCTAATGTGCCATAAGACTGGAGGATACAAACCTCCCAGTCGCTAAGGTTCCGTCTATCCATCGTTTGAAGAATGAGGATGACAGTATACTGAACTTGTATTATCAGTGTGATGGGTCGGAGCTTGCGAGGTAGGAAGAGGAATGCCATGTTTTGGGTCAGGAATGAACCGGACTTTCTGTGAAAGTTCATGTCGCAAAACAGCATAGCCATGCCGTAAATCGGCTTGTGAAAAAAGCCCAAGAACTTAACATCGCTTGAGTACGGCATCCATGATAAAGGGGTTTCATTCATGAATGGGCAAGAGAAATGGGCATGAATCTGGTTGCTGCTTACCGATATGCGTTGGAACGACAAACAGATGAATTGATGTCGTCCATTGATTCTGTTTTGATCGATGCCTGTAAAGGCAGCCGACATATATAGTTCATTGTGCCGATTGCACAAAGATATATATGCGGAGTACTCACCGATTTACACCAGGTAATTCAAAATCCACACCATTGCCTATTAATCGCGACGTATATTGGTAGTAACCATTGGCAATTTATTCAAGATTCCAAAATCGCTCAGATTCAGTTTGCCCTTGACGAGAATAACCGGCGGTGGAAGAATATCGAACTGCGCGCCCTAAAAAAAAGTCGCGCGTGACACCAGATATCAAAGCTCTCATGACAACAGCATACTATAAGAACGTTCTGTCAATAAGAATGTTAACCGCGCCAATTGTAGGATACGGAAGATCAGGGAGAAAGCACAGATTTATCGCGGATCAGGAGATTAAGGGGAAGAAAGGTCCCAATTATCGGAAAAAAGGTGGCTAAAGAAATGTGGAAGACACAACAGAAAACTGGACATACGAGACATCTAACTGATGACAAGGTTCCAAGATAATGTTGTATGGGGTCGGGTTATTCTTGGCTTTGCACAGTGTTTGCGGGGCAACATTATCTTGGCATGACTCGCATATGTGTAAACTATGGGCGGTAACAATTATGCGTGTTCGTGAGGCAAGGAATGGATCGACGTAAGTTTGCATGAATAAACAATGCATATTGCAAACGGTTTGGCAACGACCAATTGTCGGCGACTGGGGTCTGTCCCTAGTGAGGGGGTCCGTTTTTAAGGGATCAACGCCCCTGGGACAAAGAAACCAGTTGGCGGTAAACCACATTTGAATATAAGCCATTTTTTTGCCGGAAAAACTTTCGCGATGCAGAAAACTCTTCCTTTTTTCTTCAGTATTGTATGCTAGCATCTGCTATTACATTAGAGGTTTAATGGAGACATCTCGACTAACTTTCGAGCGTGTTCACGAGCCTTGAGTGCAGACTCGCTATTGTCTGTACCTCACCAGAATATGCAGATCAATTCAATCTGTAACCTACTCTATTTCAAATTTTCCTACGCATGTCAAATAGAAATACAAAGCGAAAATCCCGGACCGAAAGACTATGTGTATGGAAGCTTATCTAACACGGATCACAGACCCAGATTCAGGGGCGGAGTCCGGGAGTGAATGGAGCACGTACCACTCGGATCAATCTTCTCGGAGTAAGATTTAAATTACATATTCAGAGATACCGGATTGTGGCCTCTAGTAAACTACCGCCGGTAGTCTTTTTCGTATCAAAATTTCAAAAGCTAATTTATGAAAAAGGCAATTAGATAGAATTGTAAAAAAATTACGGGTTAGCTTTCTAACTTGTCAAAATCCAATAATTTGAAACCAGCCGGTTCAAAAAGGCCTTGCACAGGTGGGATTTTTGAACACTTTTTTGGGCATCCTTTACATTACAGCTTGGCTGCAAGTGCTCAATTTGTATCATATAGCGTCGAGAGAATAACATTAGGCCAGCAACCTCATTTAAGAGGTCCACCAAGGTGAACCGTGTTTATGCATCCCATTCTCCCGTGGGATTTAGCTTGTTATTTCTAATCGAAGTTTACAATCCAGATATAATTGCCTAGAATGTCTCGATGGTGATCATTGCCATGTTATGTTAGTGATGTGTTTTTGTGTACAGTTTTCAACTATCCTTTATTTTGAGATGGGATTTCTCCGGATTAAGGATTGGCAGTTGCTGATTATTTAGAAACGGTTCTTCAGGTATGAAATGAAATGATCTATCATGCTTTGGTTAAATATTTACAAGGCTCGTGTTGGAATAATTTGGATTATTTGTTCATAATCGCTGTAGACTCCAATTTACAATTTCCAGTAACAGAACAAGGTTTTGCTCCCGCCCAACATTCTTGAAAACGCCAAGTTTTCGCGCCAGCTCTGATTTGTTCTGCACTGGCATGTATTCGCTTCCACACTTGTCGCACTGCTTCATCAAGTTTTCTTTTTTGATCGATCGGCATCGAGTACAAACTAAATCTTGAAGTTGGTAGGACGCGAGCCAACGTTGGACTTCGGATATCATGCGATCTTCAATCAACGTCTTGTCGTATTCCAGGTGACATCCACGGCAACGCCACGGCTGTAATTGCCCGTTTTCGCTCATCAGTCTGCGATCACGGCAAAAGTCCAGATCCGTCGTATAATTGCAGTAGGTGCAAATCACTTCGGTCAACTTGTAGTATTCGCATGGGTTGCGAAATTGGGCCTCGGCACTGAAATCGCTTAGTCCACCAATTGCTTCCAGAACGCTTCGTTTCAAGACGCGAACTTGATCTTCTACGCGTGAATCCAGCGACATGACAGCACATACTGATTTCGTGAATTCCAGAGCCGGGTTGCTAAGCGTTAGATGGGACCCTGGAAGTTGAGGAAACGCAAGTTCGGAGCCCGCCTGAACTAGGTGATCGTTTTGTCGTGCAACAATATCCGGAATCCACTGAAGAATTTTGCGCATGATGTTGTGTCTTATAAAGTCTTGTAATTTCTCTGAGCGAGGATCTGGCATCGTCGAATCCGCTTTTTGTATATCAGCGGTAATGGATCGGGGAAATTCTCGTTTCGACTGATGCATCTTGTAGATGTAAGCTCCAATGACTTTTTTGAACATGTCTTGGACAATGGGAGGAAGATAATCCTGAATGTTCCACTGCATATGAACCGTCGATCCGGACCCACGCTTATTGCCGCCACCGTTGTCCACTAGAATTCCTCCGTAGTTCATTTCGTCCATCCACACCAGCATATCCCAGTAATCCACTGACGATAAATCAAGCACTTCAAAGATCTGCTTATGTTGGATAGATCGATACAGGTACTCGCAATAGGGTTGCGCACTTTCGATGGTCTCCTTGGACGTCGATAACATGATCTTGTAAAAGTTGGCAAACACAATCTTTGCACCTAGTCGCTTGAACTCCGCCAGTAGTTGCATGAATACTTTCTTCATCATGCCGTGAATCACACCATACAGAGAAGGATCATACATATTGGACGTGCTGCTGGACAACCAACGATGCAACGTATCGAGCATCATCTCACCGAGCTTGTTGTCTTGAGCTACAGCTTCATAAAACCATTTTTGTACCGTCGAACGCAGCATGCTGAACGTTTTTCCGGTCACCATTCCATCACCGAAGCTCGCCGTGTTGTGAACAATGCCCTTGCTGTAATCGTCAAGTGTATGAATCGTATTGTCGAATCCCGTGGAGCCGGAGGTGCCCTCCAATTCGTTGATGATGGGTGCCTCCAGAATACTGTTGAGGCATAACCGCATCAAATCAATTTCCACACATACGTTTTCGTACACGTCAGGATGGTTCAGTTCGGTGTTCACGAGTTCGTTCATCATAAACGTGTTCTCGTCTTCTTCTCTTCCACCTAGATCGGGTTTGTTCGCAGGAGACCACCATAATACCATGTCACTGCTGATCAGGCGTCGAGATAAAAAGACATCAGCCATGAAAAGATAAGCATCATCTGGGAGATTACAAAACGGTACGTTTGCATATCGTGCTTGACCCAAACGCTCGTTAATCCAGGTGCCCAATTCAATGTAACTGTGCAGCATACGCTTGATGGCCGGTTGAAGCCAATTGAGGGCGTCAAATTTGTTATCTTGCTGGAGTGACGGAGTTTTCAGATACGGAAATTCATTGAGAATGCGCACTTGCTGAACGATGTAAGCCGAATTGCGCGGTGAACTGATTGCAATCACGGTTTGCCCTTTTTTCTGATCCTGATACTTACGCAGTATCTTGTTCACAGCACGGAAGACCACGCGTTCTGATTCGTGATAAGATACAGCAAAATCCAGATCAGGCTTGTATTGCACGGTGTCGCTTGCTTTACTGTCAGCATTCTCATTCCAGGTTTCCTCATACTTGGCTTTGTAGAGACGGTTGATGTTTGGCATTTGATGATTTCGCTGATTGGTACCGACGATAAATACATGACACTGGTCTAATGCTGCTCCAACGAGCGCAAAGACGTGGCGATTATCGCAGTTGACGTGATAAAGGTAGAGAAAGTGGAAATCCTTTGGCTGCAGTACATAGCTGTTGATGCTGTCTGTCCGTGGGGTCAAATCCGACAGATCAAAATAATCATCCAAGCTTTTGCGCACGGCTATCTCCTTGGCGACCTCACAGGAGGTTCCAAGCTGCAGTACCGCCCGTATGTGCAAAGGAATCTGGGTCTCGTAGACACCTTCGGTTGATGGATGGCTAAATATACTGGAGAACTTCTTTTGTTCGGCTTGAAAATCTTTCTCATCCATGCTGATGTGAAATAGATTGATACAGGGATGGGATCGAGGTAATGTCCTGACACATTTTGTGATTTCGCAGGATGGGCTTTCGCGCAATATCTCGGTCGAATCTTCTTCTCTGCTGTTGACATAGAATGTGCGAGGCACCCTCAGTTTCACATTGTGAAGACGCCCTTGAATAACGACCCACAAACGATATTCTCCCTGCACATCAGTTTCAGCGATATGTAGGATGTCCCATCGACTAGCGACAAGCGAGCCTGTTTGTCGTCGGAAATATCCACTGACGTCGCTGCGATCGTGGAGCCGTGACGATTGGTTTGCTTTTCTTCGCTTTAACCGAGCTACACGTTGTCGTTCCCATTTTCTCTTTTGATATTGTAGCCAGGCTCCGTAGTCGGTGTGCATATCCGGCATATTTGCCGGCAGATCTTCCTCCGCCAGCGGGGCTTCTTCCTCATCGACTTCCATATCTGCTGTTTGGCGCCTTCGTTTGACAAGTTTTGCGACCTTTGACATGTGAACCGCCGATGCTTGGTTACCTACACCTAATTCCTCGATATCCTGCATTTCGATGTCTATCGACTGTTCATTGGCATCATTTCCGTTTTTCGTGGTTTCGCTAGTGTCATCTGCAGCGAGAGTGGGCGAAGCTTTATCAACCTTTGTAAACAGGTCGGTGATGCGATATTGCTTGAATTTATCGTCCTTTGCTGCCACACGATTATACAACCAGTCCGGATGTCGCACTCTGGGCACAGGATTAAGCACTTTCTGCATAGCCGCTGGAATGGTGATGAGTTTTTGGATAACCGATCCGAAACGTTCCAAGTAGTAGGGCCAATCGAGGATCGTACGAATGTCAAAGTCGACCAGAGCGTTATCCTTGAGCCATTTTCTGAGAAAGTGTTTCTTGACGCTCGATTCAGCCGAAAAGATGGCGACTGGAATAGCTCGTTCAGACACCGGGAGATCGTAGGGACGCGCAGAGATGATAAATTTACAGGCCAAGCCCTTGTCCTTCACCATTTGATCACCCAAAAACTCGGCCAATCTTTTTGCTGTGCTGATGGCGGTCGACTTTTGTGATCCGTAATCTTCCAGGGTCTTGGACATACTTCGATTTTCGGAAATCAGATCAAACAATTCGTCGTCGTTCAAATTGGCAGCTTTGCTGTAAAGAACATCCAACCAGCGATTGGCGACCTTGGCTACGGCCGCATAGCATTCTTCCAAATTGCTTCCGTCGAGAAACACCTTGAAAATTTCGGACTGGAAAATCTTGATGAGCTTCAGCTCGCCTCTTCGCTTGACCTCGAAACCTTTCAACTCGGCCAATGAACCATCTTCATTAAAGACAGCGTATCGCTTCTTGAGCAATTTATCTTCGACGGTAGATGACGGCAAAATCATCGCACGGTAAGGACCGTCGATTTCGAAAAAGATGCTGTTCTCGCTGTGCACGCTGTAATCAAAAGTGTCCTTGTTCGTCAACGTCTGATACTGATGGTTGGTGAATTTGGCGTGGACAAGGTGGTTCAGCATAGTACAAGGATAGTCGATCTTGAAGCTTTTGCCGTTCTTTAGCTGAAACTTGAATGTTTCCGGAAAGCTTTTTGGTAAAATACACCAAATACCGTCTGTATCCAATTCCAGCGGTCGTCCGATCCGTTCCACCAGCTGACGAGCCATTTGAATGATTTTCGCGCCTGTAAGACAGACGATACCCGCCATTTCCAAGGAGTGCCATCGGGCGCCTTTTCGCATAACGTAACCATAAAACGAGTTGAGAATACATTTGTGGGCAAGCTGAAGGGAGTCGTACAATACAATCATATTTTTCGCCTCCGCCACTTTGGTAACTGAGCCTTCGCTGTTTGCTTGGTCCAAGTTTTGTTTCCATTTTTTATGTAAACCCTTGTACTCGTATCTTCGATCACGAAATGCACGTACAGTCTCGATATAGAAAGGATTCTCTCGCTGACAAATAATAGATTCTCGTTCCATCGTTTTCGTCTCTCGAACTTTTTTGTACACACGTTTACAGTAATCCGTCAGGCGTTTATGCAGTAACGTTGTCTGTTCGGCTTCGCTTAGTTCATGCCATGGTCGGGGGGCACCGTTAGGGACTTTGGGCGGAAAGGTCTCTTGAGTCAACTGATTGTGAATCATCTTGTGCTCGTTTCGTTTGGCTGGAAAGAACTCGCCACGCCATGTCCAAGTCATACGTCGATCGCAGGTTTTACCGGGTCGGTTGAATTCGCATGTGGCACACATGGATTCATCAATCATAGCGTCCGGCTGTAAGCGATTGGTGAGAATAATGTTTGGATACATGGCAGCCACATCCAAGTGATAAATAAAGGGTGGTTCATGCCGAATGGGTCTGTCTCGCAAATCTTCCAGTTTGGCTTTGATAGCATCGCGAACTTCATCATAATTGGCGATATCATCGACGCTCTTCTTCTCTTCCACTTGAATTGTAAATTTCAGCGCGTCTTCAAGCTGATCAATAAGCTGGATGATTTTACCCTCGTTAGAGTTTTTGTGTATAGACAGAGGAAAAATACAGTTTCAACTACTTACTTGCTGCGCAGCTTCCGGTTCGATTTTGAAATCACTTGCAATGTCACTGCGAAACACACCAGCTTCGAGAGCTTCCACGTGGCCACCCACGTACGTCTCACTTTCCAGAAGATGACCTTCGAAGATTTTGCCCGTTTCTTCAGTGTGTTTATTTGGCATAATCACGTTGACTTTGTAAGCTTCGACCTAAAAAAACATGAAGCGAAAAAATGTAGAGTAAGTACCAATTCAGTAAAACGAATTAGCCTCGGTAGCCTTGATCAATGAGCATCTATTTCAAATATGATACTGTTGCTACATACCATAAGTAATAGTTCGCAGAGAGTACCGGAACCTTTGCGGAGAACTTCGTCAGGAATCAAAGGAATGATATTGCACAGAGAGAAAATGAATGGATGAACATATTTCATGTATAGATAATACGTAGCGACAGCGTCAGAGACCGAATACTGTGCCAGCAGTTGAGGTCGTTCTGCTGCAAACGGAGTCATGTCTTCTGGATCCAATTCCATTGGATTATATCCCAATTTAGCCGTCGTTACTGCTTTGAGACCCTGACTGCCTTGGGGTAAATATGAATCGCGCTTCACCCATCGAAACGCATCCATGTGTGACGCATGTTTACACTTGTATTCATCTTCCTCATCCTTGTAAACGCCAATTTCCTACAGTTGCCACGGTAAGCTAAATGTCCGGTACAGGTAAGCTTGATCATTTTTTTCTTTTACCTGATACATATCAAGACCATGAATCTTTGCTCTGGCTTCAACAAAGGGCCAATCGAAAAAGTCACCGTTATAAGTAACATAGATCGACGGTTTGGCGTCCTGAATATGTTCAAAGAAACGACGTAACACAGACAACTTTTGTTTTGGTGCATAAAAAAGTACAGATCAGCAAAAGCCAAAGTTTCTCACCAAATAATAAGTCCATCCTACCTCGTCTGATTCGTTGAAAATTGTAAAAGGACCTTCAAAGTCTGGTTTTGGTGTATATTCGAAATCTTCAATATCTTGACTGACAATTTCGCGATTGGTAATCAGATAACCCTGCATGGATACAATGATCAGTGAGTGATACATGAAACGATGATACAATAGAATGGAATCAAAAGTGCTTACCCTTCCGTCGATCATGTAAGAAATCATCATGATTTGATCTATGGAAGCATCTGGAAATTTGAGTGGAAGTTTGGTCGTTTCAATATCAAAGGCTAAAATGACAGGTTCCGGACGATGAACCAGATCCGATCTTCGGCTGAGAGAAACCGTCCCATCCGGCAATGCTTTGACTGTGTACCAGAGACCGACTCGAATATCGAGGTCGATCGCGACACGAGCATAATATGGAATATCGTATTCACGGATATCGATAATATTATCTAGAGCGTCCTGGGTACTCCTTCGTGAAGACATGGATGCCAAATGCGATTCGTGATCGTACTGGATATTATTCGCTTCGCTAAAGAACGAGTATATTAGACATGCATACGTCAAGCTTAGCATGATAATGGCCACTCACTTGACGACGTCGGCATATGTATCGGCAGCATTTATTTTTGCCTGATTCTTCTTCACCAACGGTAGGATAAATTTGCGAACAGTTAGCAGATCAGATACGTTTCGAAAGTTGAGCTGTATGAAGGTGCGGGAATTGCCAATCAAGTGGTTATGCTATGAAAGGTTACGCAAGGTTATTAGCCAATCCACATGAACAATATCTACGCCAGCAATTCTTACCTGCTTCAAATCCTCTTTTTGCACACGTTTGACAGACTCAATAGTTGTTTCGAATTTTCGACGTAGGAACTCCTCCACTTCCGCTTCTGTACCGCGCTATTGATTTGATGTATTGAGTATGAGGATATTCCAGGTTGTGCAATATTTTCGATCATCCTTTTTTTTTTATACCTTGCAACCAATGTAAAAATAGGGTGAGTACGTCAATGTGGATTTGAAAGTTTCTCCATTCTCGTTGATGAAATAGTAATTGACGCCAGCTCGACCTCCGGGCCAATCGTCATCTTCAATGATAGTCTATATGTTTGTTTAGAACAGCAGTTCTCATCCGGTCGTGGTAACACAGTCAGGGTCAATTTACCGCATGCATGTTGATCAACCATCCTAGGCGTTCAGGGCCGTCTTGGTATTTTTCAAATCCGAATCTACTCTCCAGTTCATCGAGTGCACGAATATCGTCAAATCTTTGATCCAGGTTGGTCGGATCGGTAGTTGAGCTTGAGGAAGGTAATCCATATTTCTGAAAAGCAGTGGAAGAGGTCGGCCTATTATAGCCTGCCCTTCGTCCTCTTCCTCTTCCTCTATTGAATTTCGACGAGCTTACGCCAAATTCTGGCCTCAAAGACATGGTTGACTGAAACGCCAAAAAAAAAGACACGCTTCAAAAATTATTAGGAACGCGTTCCTCGCGTCTTTGGTGCGGAATTTGAAAGTCTTTCCAGAAGCAGCAGTGGCTTCACCTGGTCCATTGGCGTGACTATCATTTATTGATTTTGAGAGGAATAAAGTTCCAATGGCAAGGATTTTTTTTTTCTCTCTGATCTCGGTAAAAATTACAAGATGGTCGATTTAGCCACGAAAAGAAAGGATGCACCTGAGGGTCAGGAAGGACAACAGAAGAAATCGAAAATAGGTACTAAGCGGATCGATACCCCCATACATAAATTGCTGGATAATCCTAACGATCTACAATTTATGAATAGAATCTCGTAAAGTGCAAAAGACGACTCGCCTCGAACGAAAAGGCCATGATCGCAATTTTGACATGATCGTCAAGGCCAAGCGCATTTGGGAACAATTACGTCGTGGTGATATTAAACGAGAGGAGCAGAAAAAACTCATGGAGGATATCATGTCTGTGATTACCGGAAGAGTGCAGGATGTAAGTGGGGAATCTCTTGAAATCATACATCAGTCTATGCATGACTAAATATTGTTTTCCATGGGACATAGGTTATTTTCAAGCATGACGCTTCTCGTATTATTCAGACTTGCTTGAAGAAAGGAAATGGAGAACAGAGAAACCAGATCGCCGAAGAGCTCAAAGGCAGATATGAAGAGTTGTCCAAGTCCATGTATGGAAAATACATTGTGGCAAAGGCTATCGAATATTGGTAAATCAACAGATCGTCATTTGGGAAGTAATAGTATGCCTGACTTTATTTTATTTTATTCATTCTTCTAGTCACTGGCAACGAGATAACATTTTGTCTGAATTCCGTACACATGTCCGTAAGCTGATCCGTCACAAGGAGGCGTCCACCGTCATCGAAGCTTTTTACGCCCAATTTTCGACGGCAGCACAGAGACAAGAATTGCTGGCCGATTTCTATGGTCCCGAGATGACGCTTTTCAATAGAGGAGGTGGCGCCAAGACGTTGGAGGAGTTGCTGGAGACGTTACCTGAGAAGAAAGATTCCGTGTTGAGATACATGGCCGAGACTCTTTCTGGATGTATGGACAAAGGAACTATTGTTCACAGTATTGTGCACAAAGTGTTATTGCAGTACCTCACTTTGGCTGGCGAAAAAGAGCGGGACACTATGATGGCGATGTTGTGGGATCAGTTGCCAGATATTGTTCACACTCGGGAAGGTTCTCGAGTAGCGATGATCTGCCTGTCATACGCCAAACCGAAAGAACGTAAGAACATCATCAAGGCCTTCAAGCCATATTTAGTCAAACTTGCGTCCGACGAGTATGGATATCTTGTTTTATTGCGTCTCTTGGATGTCACCGACGATACCATTCTTGTGAGCAAGGCTGTATTAGGAGTAAGTTCTTGTTATATACCGTTTGTCGATTGCATGCTAATGCATTCATTTCACCCACAAAGGAACTGAGCAAACATGCGAAAACTTTATTCGCCGACAAATACGGTCGACGTTTCTTCCTGTATATCTTGACCGGACGCAACACGAAGTATTTATCCTACGATACTGTACAATTCTTGAAAGCCGGTGACGAGATTAGAGTGAGGTACAGTGAACAGATTGCATTTGGTGATAACGTACACATATTTATTCGTATATTAGCAAAAAGGATCCGGAATTAAGAAGCGAGGAACTCCTGAAGGCCAGCTCTCCCGAGTTAATACAGTTAGTCACCAATAACGCCAATGATTTATTGCGTGAGAAGTTATCGTCGCAGGTCGTTCAGGAGATTATGCTTCATGCTGTTGGTATGTATTACTGCATATTTGCTTGAGGCCATTATAATGATGCTCACCATAATAATAGGTGACAAAGATAAAGCTATCGAGTCTATTTTATCTTTGGCAAAGGAACCTATTGAGACAGAGGACCATATTTTGGAACATCGATTTGCCAATCGCGTGATCAAAGCAATGGTGCATGCGGATTCGGCGGCCGAAACAAACGACAAAGGTAAGATTTTTTTTACCAGCTGTGATGCCATGGACGACAGGCTAATAACTGGACATCAATTAGCCGTGGAACCCCTAGAGTTTGCACCAAAGCTGCTTGAGTGCATCAAAGATAATCTCGGTCACTTTGCCACTAACTATGGCAGTTTTGTGGTTCTTGCTCTTGCTGAAGAACCGTCGACACAAAAGGCTGTGAAGAAGATCCTCAAACCACATAAACAAGCTATCGAATCTGCAGCAGCAGAAAACGCTGGTGCCAAAAGAATTCTGGAAGTGCTAAGCGCCAAATAATTCATTCATAGCATTTTTTTTTTCAAGCAAATTCATGTATATCATACAACACAATAAACTAAAAATACTGCTCATTATGTCCTGTGGGAAATTGTGTATTTTGAAAATAGAATGATATATGCGGAGAGTTTAGCAACCTGGCATTACATACATCGCTCGGTTTTGGGATTATTTCGGGAAGCACAAAGAGTGATGTCTAAATCGAATCTATTTCCAGAATTGAATTTGAGGTAGCATATAACGTATAACTAATTAAAAAATGCCAGAAAGTGATACCAAACTCGAGCATTGACTTGGAAGCTTTTGAACGATTCATTTGAACCAGACGCCAAATGGCAGCGTTTTTAATGGATCACAAACGGCCCTCGCGCAGGGAAGCGGAGACAGGCTTCTCAATTTTCAAGAGAAGAATGACACCGGTCCTGCAGTTCAACCAAACATGCGAAAATATAGCAGATCGCAAATGGAGAAACCAAGCTATAGTTGCTGCTTCTGCGCTCGCGTATTTTGAATCGTTTACATTCATAAAAGCACCTTTGACCTAGTCAAGAATATCCTTTTTGCGGACATGCCCCATGACTTCGCAACTGCCTTGGTCACTTGCGGTCTCTGTGTTCTGTCATCAATGCAACATGGTGTACTGAGGCTGACACCCTTTGTTTCGTGGAGTACTGCGTGAGCGTTTATTGTCATAGCAATATTGAATACACGGCTTCAAAAACAAAACTTATACAAAGGAACAGGGCAAAATAGGGACAAACTTTCTAACATACAACAAAGATAAAAAGAATGTGCGTAAAGCCTGAAGCATGTCGCATATCGCCTTCGCGCTTTACCATAAGCTATACCGCACGCTATATAGTGCTGTAGTATACATTGGATGCTGATGGCAGCATGAGTGACATGGTGCAGCCCTTCTTTGCATCGCTTACGCGAAAGATTTTTTTTTTTTAGGCGCGCAATGTGCGTCGAGTTTTTATTCGTAACCACGTCCTAAGGAGAGGTGGAGGGAATGAGGCGAAGCAGAAATTAATTTAAGAGGGCAGGTAGCTGTGATTCAGCGATTCGTCGTGAGATCAACTTGTGGATGCGGTTGATTACCTCTTCAGGATTGAATACAGTGTAATGGAAGATAAAGGCCCAGTGGGCCGACCAAATCCCGTGAAGGATGGCTTCAATGATTACAACACTCTTACAGTTGGGAGGATCGCGAGGGAAATCGAGCTGATAGAGTGCCTTAAGGATCTGCGTTTCGTTGACTGGGAGGAGCAGTAGATCGGGCCATACACTCTCCCGCACCACTCGTTTAAGGGGGCATTGGTATAGGAAGTGAACGGGAGTGTCAGTCGAAATAGTGCAGAGAGGGCACTGGTCCGTGAGGTGAACGGTCGGAAGTAGTCGGTGAAGGAACGTGCGACTAGGTAACTTCGAATACAGGATTCGGTACCACAAGTTGCGGGTGACTGAGGTTAAAGGAATAGACCAGAAGCGGGCCCATAGCGTCAAGGTGGGGGCGGGGGTCTCATGGGGATGATTGGCAGCCAGAACCTGCCGTCTAAGCGTTCTAGAGCGAGCGAGCATGAGGTCTAGAGGGCCAAAGGACCACCATGGGAACAAGCATTGGGCATCAATTCTCGTTGAGGCGGCAAGGAGTTCGTCTGAGGTGATTGGGGCGGGAGCGTAGGCACTGATCACGAAAGGCCGAAATAGGATCTGCCAAGAGTCCAATAGCTTCACGAGTTGGGCGATGGCGCGTCAACGCCGAGGAAGCTTGTTGCGATGTTTTCGACGAAGGCAGTTATTAGGTGGATCAAAACTTAGCACATCAGACACCAAAATGCATTGCCGAGAGGCTGCAGCAATCACAGACGCCACGGGAGCAGTGTGTGGTTGTGGGGGTTTGAGAATGGTATCCAACAGGGGTAGTTGTAAGATAATCTTGGGAACGATGGTAGCCTGAATGAGGTTGTCTTGAAAAAGATCCATGGTAGCGCATAGGTTACCAACAATGGAAATAGGAGTAGTGAAAATTCGGGGACGCAGGCGAGGGTATAACAAACACAAATAAGGGTCTTGGGCATTGCTCCAGTGGTGGAGAAGGTGAAGAATCAAGCTGTGTATGTAGGACCGATGTGGATGCTGCAGATCGAACAGTGGTTGGAGCCAACATAGTTGCAAGGCTAAAGCTTGGGCCGGTGGGTGTAAGACAGCTAGTCCGCCGTGAGGACGTTGTTGTATAAGAGTGTGATACGAAACTCTAGGAGACATCCCCTTGGTCAAGAAACCATGACTAAGACATCGGAGCCGATCCATGAAGGAATTTGGTACTGGGCACACACGTAGAACATGCCACAAAGTGGATAGAATCAACACATTTAATGCCGTGGCTCGACCTCGAACCGAAAGTATCCGTTGCGATTGAAGCTGGCAGGCTTTCTCCACTTTTTGAAGGATGGCGGTGAAGAAGTGGTCGCGTTGACGGGGCGTGGATGACAATGGGTAGCCAAGGTAGATTAGAGGACTGTCGCTTGAACGGTCGTACCACGAACGGATACCGTAGGTAGCGAGAGTCGTACACCAATGTGTCGACGGCTGACCTGAAAGCGAGATGGCATGTGTTTTATCAAGGTTGATCTTGGCGTTGGTGGCTTGCATATATGTTCGGAGGTGGACCATCAGGCGTTCGATGTCGGTGGTGTTATGTAGGAAAATGAAACAGTCATCAGCATAGGCGAGGATTTTTAGTTGTGCTTCACGACAATCTAGTGAGGGCAATGGTCGATCAATGGCAAAACCTTGGATGGACTGGTCATGTAATACGCGTTGAACCAGGGGCTCGAGTGCTAGATTGAAGAGAATGGGTGACAGTGGATCGCCTTGGCGCACACCCGCTGTTGTTGAATAGAAGGTGATAAAGCACCGTTGACGTTGATACGGATGGTCGTACCAAAAAACAGCTTCTGTATGCAGGTAATAATGGTCTGAGGAAACCCCCAGCGAGGGAGGCACCGGTTTAGGTAGGACGGATGAACTCGGTCATAGGCTTTTTCCATGTCTAATGACAGACCGATGTCATTGGAGGCGAAGCGAGAGGCGTGGTCCATGGCGAGTTTAACGGCCATACCATGGTCGGCAATGAAGCGGCCAGGGACGAAACCGGTTTGGAACGGACTGATGATGTGCTGCCTAATGGGCACCACTCGGTTGTTCAGGGTTCTGGTAAATATCTTTGCGTCCGTGTTGATCAAAGCGATCGGACGCCAGTTGGAGAGTGAGGTTAAGTCCCCTTTTTTCGGTAGAAGACGCACACATGTGTCGGACAAGAACGTGGAAAACAGGCCTCCTTGAGGGCAGCATTATATACTTGAACAGCAAGGGCAGCATACAAAGGATGATGAATCAGAAGCACCAGTATTGGATACGGTAAGCCATCGAGTCCGGGGCTGCTTTGACGAGGCGATCGGTTGACTGCTGTTTGGAGTTCATCCAAAGTGATGTCTTGTACCAGTGAAGCGCGAAGGGCGGGAGGCAGGCCACAGGAAGGGGGTAGGTTCTCCAACAGGTCGCTCGTTGCCACCTCATCGACAGGTTCGGGGGTATATAATTGTTGGTAAAAGCCGCAAGCAGCGTCGTGCATGTGCTCCAAGGTGGACTTGGTTTCGCCGGTTGTTGGGTGTGTAAGTTCTTGCATATTGCGTTGAGCTGCTCGTTGCTGGGTGACTTGTTTGATATACCCCGCAGATGTTTCTCCTTGTTCACGCCACCGCACATTGGCATTGAGAGACTGAATGTAGACAATCTCGGTTTGAACTTCTGCCAGTTGTCGGCAAATGTCTGTCAGTTGGGGCGGTGTTTCATTGAATCGTTTTCGAGCGCGCAGCAGCTTGTTGCGTTGGCTTTGCAGTTTGCGTGCCAAGCGTTGACGGCGGGTGGCTTCGTAACGACCGTGTTGTCGGCATGATTGTTTAATCACTTCTTTGGCACGATCCCAAGCGGCCTGGGGGTTATGTTGGGCAAGAAGTTGGGGGTGAGCTTGAGTCAGATCATGGTGAACTTTGGCGCGAAAGGCGGCGGAGCGGGCAAGAAGTGGGTTGGCACGCCACATCTCTCGTCGGCCCGCAGCAGGTTGAGGCCAATGTAAGGTGAAGGATATCAAAGAGTGGACAGTCCAACTGGGGTTTAGGAATAGGGTGGTTGGGGTAGAGCTAAGATGGCGTAGCATATCAGGCATGAATATGTAATCAATAGCCGATGTGTCTTTGTAGGTTGGTAGATACGGTTGACTGGGATCGTGGGGTGTCATCATGTTGTGAAATCGCAAGGCCAAGAAATTCCGCCAAGCCGGTGGAGCACGATGATAGGAGGCGTCTAGTCGCTCGTATGAGTAATTAAAGTCTCCGGCAAGAATGGTTTGGGCGAGGAGGTGATGGTGGTTGTCGTCTGCCATTAACGGCATCAATTCGTCAAGATAGAAGGTGTGGCGACCGGAACGGTGCGATGCTGGTGCGTAGATATTGAGTATGTAGAATGAAGGGAAGTTGTTGTTGACATGCGTAACTTTGGTCCAGAGGCCACGTCCGCTGCGCAAAGTAAGAAATGGTTCAAAACGAATGGACGGGGTAAGGCTAACAATGCCGCAGTACTGGCTCCAGACGCCATCATAGGCGTTGAGCTGTGCTTGAACGATAGGATCAGGGTTGATATTAGGAAGGTGAGTCTCTTGCATGATGAGGATATGGAGAGATTGAGATTTGAGGTGTCGAATGAGATCGCTTTGATGCACTGGCTCTTCGGTTTTGTGAAGATGGCGGACATTAACAGAGCCAATAGTAACTTTCATAGATAATGTGTAGATTATTGGGATCCCTCGTCGTTAGCGGCGGAATCATCGATCAACATCCTGTCTATATCGTCAGGAGAGGGGGTTGAAGTGGGGGCTTGATGATTTACGGTGGGCGTCGACTTTTGGAAGTCGGCTGTGGTAACTGAGGCGGTTTGGTTGGTATTTTTCTTGGCTTTCGACCGAGTTACACGTCCAGTATGGTGGGGATCGGCAGCGTCGATCAAGTGTTCGCCGGCGCGTTTCATGTCAATGGGTAAAGCCTTGGTCTCACGCTGTAGTGGGGTTGCCATATCAGATGCATCAGCTTCAGAATGGCTAAGTTCTGTGGCATCCGTCCCATTAACGTCGGTGGAGGCGGGGCAATGGGTATGGGGAGCGTGGCACCAGAGGTGGATTGCGAAGTTGAGGGGGTTTGCTCTACTGAAGACAATGGTTGTAAGGCTGCAACCGGAAGACGGATGAAGTTCTTTGGGCTTGTTGATGGGGCAGCAGTGGGTGAGGTTGCTGCAGAAGATGCAGGGGTCGAGGGCATTTTACGAGTTTGCGTCTGCGCTGACTGCTTGGAATTCGTGGGACGAGGGTTAGATGCAGCATCATGTGCATGTGAGACTTTGGGTGTTTTACGAGGTTGCTCGCGATGGGGGTGCGGGCAATCTGTGGCCTTACGGCCGCGACGTGAGCAGTTGAAGCAACCTTGGGCAGGAAGGGTCGGGCAGGCATCAATAGTGTGCGTATCGTCATGGCAGTACCGGCAGTAGGCACCCATGTCTTTCCAGGTCGCGTAAAAATGACGGATCGTTGAACCGACAAGTCCAAATTCGATACGGTGGCTTAAGCCAGAGGCAATATCATCGCCTTCATCGTTGGCGAGAACAGCACAACCGTATCCTTGGAACCAGCCGGCAGTGGCACGGTAAAGGCCAAGGTGTAAGACTGAGCCAAAGGGTGAGAGAGCAGCACGAAGGCCTTCTTCAAGTTCTTTCGCAGGCAAGCTGGTGGGGAGTCTTTCCAACTCCAATTTGATGATCTTTTTGGTGAGTGGCAGGGAACAAATAGCAGGGTAATGATAGCCGTCGACCTGAAGTCCTTGCTGGACGATGGAGTCACAGGTTTGCTGGTTGGGCATGGTCATTTCATAGATAAGGCGGCCTTCCTCACGATGTGGTATCATGCCAATGCCGATGTCCCAGTTGGGAACGAGGTTACGGGCAGCCGTGAAAAAATCGGCTTCCTTGATGGGGTGCGGGGAGACATCAAAAAAGACGCTATGGTCTTCAGTACCACGTCGGAGAAGGTAGGGTACCGGTATCTGACCGGTAGTCGAAACAGAATTGAGCTGTTGACGAACAGCGGTAGAAGCACAGGTGTTGAGGGTAGTAAGGTACTGATGTCTGCGTCCGTTGCGGGATACAGCGTTTTTGGCGATTTGCGCATAAGAGATGGTGTTGCTAGGTAGTGGGACAGCCTGATGGGTTGACGATTTGCCAGTAGAATTTGGGACGAAACCATTCGTGGCTGGAGAACCAGTATTGTTGGACAGACCTTCCAAATTAGGAGGGTCTGTAGAATTTGTTAGCAATTGCTGAGGAACCATGCTTACGCGAAAGAAGTGTGAGGCGCTGAATTTCGCGAGTTTTGTTGCGAGAATCGAGCCAATGAAGTGCAATCGCGGTCATAAAGCAGGGTTATAAATCGAAGGTTCGCAAAAGGTATAAAAAGAGGGTGTTTTCCTCCTTCATTTTTCTTTCTTTTGTGCGCCAGTTCGGAGCCGGGGCTACTAGGCTGGTGGTTTCTGGTGAATATGGATGCCTGATTTTTGTCAAGCATTCGGGGTATGGCGAAAAAATCCGAAAAACATCTTCTAAGGATAAGGAATGGTCACCTTGGAAGAAGGTTGTTTTCGTTACCGTCGACCCTTCCGCCTGGGCAACTGACTAGCCATCAGCTTGCTCATTGTGCGGGAGGTATGTCGATTGGTTTGCTTTTTAATCGCAAAAAAAGGTAAATGAAAAAAAAGGCTTTTTTTGCCTTTATTACTCTTTCTCAACTTCTTGTGGGTTGAATAATAAAATAATAAAATAATAAAATAATAAAATAATAAAATAATAAAATGAGCTTAATGTCCTGTTTGATCTAATGGCGTCGACGCATTGCTCGTCGCGTTTGCGGGTCCACTTTTTGATGACGATGACGCCAAGAGCGGTCTTCCTCAGTGCAACGAACAACTAATAGTGCCACTTTGAGACATTAACTGAGCCAAGTGGATGTGGGCGATACGGATGAGGGTGAGCTGCGGCGGCAGAAAACATGACGGGTTTTCAACAAGAAGAGTTTATTGGATGTTTTTATTGAATAGAGAACAGATGAACGACAAACAAAATAAGAAGGCCTATCTTGTTGTATGTCTTTCTAGGCTAAGCTAGTCTTTTCTTTTTCGATTATCTGCCTTTTCTCGGCCGGTCCATTTTCTTATAAAACAGATCGCTTTGACGTCACTTAGGGCATCAAATGAAACGGCCGTCATATAAAGAAGTAAAGAATTTTCTTTTTATTTTTCTTTTTATATGAAGTGGCATAGTTCGTGCAAGAACTACTTTTTATAGTGATTATTTTTCATAGGCGTATTTGCTAAACTATAAAATGCAGAAGAAAAGGAAGTAGAGCGGCAGGGAGTATGCCTTTGGGAGCTTTGGTGGCAAGCCATGACTTATACCAATTTTTTCAACATTGCGATGGCGATGCTTCTAGACATGTGAGACTAAATGCGACAGTTCACGTTGCAACTTTTGTGATGATAGGACTCTCGCGATCAGCCTTATTACTTTGACAGGAACCAACAGGGTGGTGAAGTCATGGGTTTCTGCCCATAAAACTTGCAACTTGACTGTAAAATCATTATTTCCAAAAACGAAGATTGGATACCAGAAACCAAGGATTTTTTTTTCTGACATGCAACAGGCTAATTTGAGTGATGAATTTTCTCCAGCGGATAAAGGAACTCCTTGTATTTTTATTATTATTACGCACGATGTTATCCACTACCCGTCTTTGTGAAATGATTTGCCGGAGAGCTTAGTTGTGTATAGAAGGCACCAAAATCAATGATAGCTTAGAGTACAGACGAGAGTTATCGAAAATGATGTTTGTGTAAATTCGAGGTAATATACCGCCTCGTATTGTTGACAGAAAGCTAATTCTCTCTCTTCGAATGTTGGTCTCATGCTGCATAGAAATTTTCATGCCGGGTGCGGCTTCACCGCTCGCATTTGTGGACTTGCATAATCAAATTGCCCGGCCGAATCAGTTCCGTGGCTTTATCGTTATGCCAGGAAGTTAACAATATATTATTTACATGACCAAAAGCAAAGGATTGCCGATAACATCAAAATTATGGCTTATCTGCTCACATGTATCGATAAACATCTGCAGCTATCATAAAAATAAAGGCGTAAAATACGATATGAAATACGCATTACTGTGAATACGATGACGAAGCCATTAATGTTTCTCCCTATTCTTTTGCTAGCCGTTTCGGCTGTTTCCAGCCGGTCTGTTAAGTGGGTCGGTGACGCACTAACTGCCTTGGCTTCCCACAGTGTCCCACTGGGTCGTATCAAATATGTTTGCTTCAAGGCAAGAGGAAGCTGATTACAACTGCCCGCCTAGTGTATGCCCATCTTTTGGCGGCGAATGTGACGATGGGCCTGAAGACTTGTTGCTTCCAATCCTGAAAACGTTATTTGCCGACATTATAAGCTTTGGAGCGAACAGAGTCCAAGCTTTTCATTTTACTCCAGTTTTACGGCCTTAGCGAATCCACTTTAATAATCGAATGCACAGGAATCGTCCGTGTAAAAGTTGTGGGATTATTGATTGATTACTATAACCATTTTCCAAGTTAGTTTGTCCTGAATCCAGAAGACAGCGTTGAGATATATAATATCCTGACTAGCTCACGAGCTTGTTGAACTGAGCCCTACGGTTCTCAATTGGCGGTATCCGGCCGAAGCGAAGCAAGGGGGGTCTTTATTCGGTCCCTCCACCGGAAAACGCTGGTTCGTTGAATCCTCAACACAAACCGGTTCTACTCAAGTGGGTGCTCGGATCCCTCTTTTAGATGATTATACTCTGATAAGTTTATCTGAAAAACGATGCATTACAAAACATCTTGAAGTATAGACAAGATAGACTACTGTATTTTGAAAATGGTGGACTCAACTGAAACATAATATGTACGCGGCCGCAAACTGTTGGCCTCAATGTTAATTCTCATTGGGTTTAAAGCTCATGTAGGCTCGGCTTTATCACTGGCATGTTTGTGAGCATGCAAATAAGCTGTCAGAAAAAAGCAATTGCCTGTATCCGGCTTACCGCAAAATTTGCCAGTACGTTAATCTGCATAAACGAAGGACAGTTAGGACAGTCATGCTAGGACTCGTTCATTTAAATTGAACAACCGTAACCAAAGTCTTTCAACGCTACCCTAGCTCGTACAGCAAAAAAGAAAACCATTGTATTGCAATAATTATGTCTGGAATTTAGCCACTCATTGACCTTTTTTTTTATTTTTTATATTGATTTCCAAGACGCACTTGGCGGATGCAACTTGTTCCATCATTGTTTGTATCCGACGATGATCGGAAATTGTTAAAAAAACGTTTAGTACAACAAGGTGCAAAATATTCATGGTGTATTGTCTGCGGCGCGATAAGAGTGATGGAAGCTATAGTGCTTTGTCGATGTTACTTTAGGTGGAATCTAAATAATAAAATAAAAAAAATAACTGCCGGTTATAATACCACAACTCAGCACCACATTTGCTGTGCAACTGAACTTTGATTACCAAAAAAACTGGGGGATACGATATATTTCTCGGAGAGCTTAATTGTGTAAATTGGCACCTGATCAATGAGTAGCTCAGAGAGAATCAAGGTGTACACTTCTTACTAAATATGCTGCCTCGTATTGGTGACGGGAAGCTAAATTCTCTATCTTCGAATGTTGGTCACATGCTGCATTGCATGTCGTGAGCCTGCATGCTCAAATTGCCCGAACTAAATAGTTTTCGTGGCTTTATCGTTATGCCGGGAAGTTGCCAATATATGAACCTGACCAAAGTAAAGGATTGCCGATGAATCCAAGTTATGGCTTATCTGCTGATACAATTTCTATCAAAAACACCTACATCCATTCATATAAATAAGGGCGATAAAATACAATATGTGAAACACGCATTACTGTGAAGCTATGACAAAGCCATTGATGTTTCTCCCTATTCTCTTGCTGGCCGTTACTGCTGTTTCCAGCGAGTCTCTAAAATGGTTCGGTGACCCACCCATCTGCCCTGAATTTCCAGAGTGTCCCCGTGGGATGTATCAAATATGCTCTGCCTCAAAGCAACAAGAAGCTGATGAACGATGCCCGCCTGATCTTTGCCCATCTTTTGGCGACAATTGCGACTTTGGTGTGAAGACATGTTGCTTCCAACCCTAAGCGGATTGCTGACAATATAAGTTTGGAACGACCAAGGTCCAGGCTTTTTATTTTACTCTCCTTAGCCAATGCATTGTGATAATAAACTGTGTAGGAGACGTTCGTGTAAAATTTGCGGTAGCATTATCTGCTTACTGTAGCTGGTTTCATAGTTGGTTTGTCGTGAATCCAGAGAATAGCGTTGAGTCATATAATATCCTGACTAAGTAAGGGGCTTCGTTGAATGGAGCCTTGATCTTCTCACTGGGCAGTATCCGGCCACAGACTCTTGCTATACAAACTGACTGTATTTAAGCGGGTGCTATCATCCTTTCACGTCGTTAAATACTATGCGTAGTGTACTGTCTTCTTTCGTGGTGCTTATGTTAAGTGCAGACGTTCAAGTGGAAAGGATCGATTTCACAAATCACCGAAGCTGCAGGTCGGTAAAATTTATGTGCAACAAGATGGGCACGTCCCATTTACTTATTCAGATAAACATTTGCATGGGCATCTTCGGCAACTACGGCATCTGCGGCGGATTTTGCAGACGGGCTCGGAAACCACTCGTGTCGAACCTGGCCACTGGCCCATCTATTTATGTTAAACACACACTGATTCCGCAATATCCGCACCGACGAAATATGTATGCGAAAGTAGTGACACTTGAAGTTCCTTGTCAAGGAACTGTCAATGTACTGTTCCAGGAACGAATTGCAGGTTGATTGCCACGTTTCCTAAGCTGCTGTGGATTCTCTGCATTGGTTGCACGAATGCAGCAGTGAAGCTCACTGCTCCTGCCCACATTAGGCGCCAAGAAGAGGACGACTTTATTTTCTTACTGGTTTATTCCAGATACGTTTTCCACGGACAATAGCAATAGAAGAATAAAAAACAAAAGGAGTGGAAGGATAGAAACTGTTTGTTTATTCATCATGGGGGAGGATATTCGTATTATTTTGGATATTCTATAACGATTGACTATCTCTGTACTATTTTCAATCCAAGGACTGGGGCCACATTTAAAAAAGGGAAATGTGCTCTCAAAGAAAGGTAAAGCGACCATTTACTTTGGAAATTACCAAGAAATGGATACTTACGTTTTCTTATTGTTTTCATTTTCATTTATAATGATAATAACTCATCCAACCACCCACCGCCATTCCCAGTGACCCCCAGTGAACTGGGCAAGCCGAAGCTTGTTCCCCTATCCCACCCCTGAGACTGCGATGAGCTGCCATGATACCGATTTCACCTGTGAACCACCCACCAATATACATTCGTTTCCCGACTTCGTGCAAGTTGTGGGTTAGGGTCCCCGATAGTGCAATTTCATAAAAATCTCTTTTTTCTTGTTGTTCTCATTTTTTATGCTTCTTTTCTTGTTATCCATGTTGTAAGAGATGCTATATAATGGATCCGACCAAATACAATCGCTTTTCATCTCCTTTTTAAAACAGAAAAAGAAGATAAAGTAATTGGCAGCGACTTTGGCGGAGTTAAACGTAGGCGGTAGCCGCTGCCCAAAGTCAAATACCGGCTGAAAGATGGCATGTATAGTTTTTTTCTTTTCTATCTCCAATGACAACGCATTTATTTTAGCAACTGTGTACCTTACTCCGTAAATAAAAAAACTATACATGCCATCTTTCAGCCGGTATTTGACTTTGGGCAGCGGCTACCGCCTACGTTTAACTCCGCCAAAGTCGCTGCCAATTACTTTATCTTCTTTTTCTGTTTTAAAAAGGAGATGAAAAGCGATTGTATTTGGTCGGATCCATTATATAGCATCTCTTACAACATGGATAACAAGAAAAGAAGCATAAAAAATGAGAACAACAAGAAAAAAGAGATTTTTATGAAATTGCACTATCGGGGACCCTAACCCACAACTTGCACGAAGTCGGGAAACGAATGTATATTGGTGGGTGGTTCACAGGTGAAATCGGTATCATGGCAGCTCATCGCAGTCTCAGGGGTGGGATAGGGGAACAAGCTTCGGCTTGCCCAGTTCACTGGGGGTCACTGGGAATGGCGGTGGGTGGTTGGATGAGTTATTATCATTATAAAAATGAAAAAAAAATGAAATTGAAAAATAATAAGACAATGAAGTATCCATTTTTTGGTAATTTCCAAAGTCAATGGTCGCTTCACCTTTCTTTGAGAGCACATTTCCCTTTTTTTAATTGTGGCTCAGTCTTATTAGAGAAATACTCGTCAAGCATGATTTTAGTCCATGGTTCTAGAATACTGTAGCGTAATAATATCCTCCCATGTCATGAATAAATGTACAGTGTTTTATCCTCGCATTTCCTTTATTCTTTTATATCTATCGTATGTGAAACCCTCTCCAGAATAGACGAGCAAGACAATAAAAAACGACAAAATGAAAAAACAAAAGGTGTGGGAAGAAGACACCGCTTCTTGACGTCTAAAATAGGCACCAAGTATAAGCTTCATTGCTGCGTTTGTGCAAATGATGTGAAGATTACACAGTGGTAATCAGCCTGTAAGTCGTCCCAGTAATAGTACAATAACATTTCCTTGACAATGAACTTCAAGTGTCACTGCTTTCGCATCCATTTATTTTGTTGGTGAGGATATTGCGAAATCAGTGTCCCGCTTGTGATGATCTTAAAGATGAGAGAGATGTCAGTGGCCAAATCGATAGAAGTAATTTCCAAGCGCGTCTGCAAAAGGAATTTGTACTTACATTATGGCGCTCAATACAAACTGTAAGCGAAGCGTTGGGTGGAAATCAGTGGTCATTTTACTTTGGAAGATGTCTGATCGTGGTAAATGGTGGTATTTTGACCGTGATTGACACTGTGAGCGACAAAATCGGTAGTTTCGTGAACTGCAGCACGCATGAATAGATTTACTTTTGTAAGCGTGCTACGTTCGCCTGGTGCTTCCGCGTCCTTCTTCATACCTGTTCCCAGATGATTTTCATTTTTCGTATGTTGTCTCACACAAAAAGCTCCCAATGTTCATCCATACCAAACCATAACGGCTCCCTGCATTTGCATAGCATACGAATAGCTCTCGATCATGTTTTCCGACACAATATTCCAGACATCGACACACTCTGTCCACAGAAATGGAATCATTCACTATACGACCTGAAATTCTATTGCAGAGATCCATCCAACGCTTGATCCATTGCCCGCACAGATGAACCTCATTCCCAGGTATGCAAACGCCTGCTCGCTAGAATGTCAACCGCCACCGTCTTTTTCCCTCCTCGCTTTTTGGATATTGCCGCTGCATACACTTTTTTTGTCCAAAAAATCAAACGAAATGCCCCAAAGGCAACAGCACATGAGGCAGTTGCCATTGGTAACGGAACTTTGAAGCGTATTGTTGTTTATATTTGGTCTAAAAATAATCTGTGATAAAAAGTTATCGGCACAAGTTCAGATACAGAGCTATAAAAAACCGTTTCCTCTTCTCTATTGTTGGGGTTGCTCAGCAAGATAGCCACGGTTTTTGAAATCAGTGTAGTATTCTAAATGGTGAGCGCGAGTTGAGTCAAAAAGTGATCTTCTCACAGCATATCATCGATTTTCCCCACTTACTAATATCTTCCTTTCTTAAAGGTGCTGCAAACTTGGGGATCTCAATGAACTTTTCAGGCTGCGTAATAGCTCTCAATCCCAAGCTATTGTAATAACGTGTGGTGATCTTTCCTCCCGCCTTTTCAATAGCTTCTATCGCTTTTTGCGAAGCCCTTGATACCTCGATCGTAATGGGGATGTCGAATTCCTCCGCACCCTGAATGCCATGAATAAGTCACAAAGGTTGTAGATTAACGGACAGAACTTCAGGACGTACCACGCTCAATAATTTGACACCGTCTTCGATTTTATGTATACATCGACTGTCCAAGAGATGCTTCATGGTAATCGGCTGTGATGAATCGATTCGGCCAGAGCGAATCCAGTGCTGCAAACGATCCAAGTTCAGTTCCTGATATTCTTTACCATGACTAAAGAATGTGCTCTAGGTTAATGAAAACATTAGCAAGCGTAACGGTTGATTGGTATCCATACAGGTTGTAGAAACCGCGCTTCGGCAGACGTTTGACGAGAGGAGTTTGACCACCTTCGAACCATGGTGTCGGTTTACCGTTGCCCGATCGAGCTTTTTGACCCTTGTGACCTCGACCGGCTGTTTTGCCTTTACCAGATCCTGGACCTCGACCTACACGAGTACGCTATTGAATGGTTAAATCTTGAGAAAACAATTGTAAACAAGCTGTTTTCGGGTTGTACCTCTGATACAGCGCCGGGGTTATCAGCGAGATTTGCCAAATGGAAGACAGTCTTTCCGGATTGGGACGCAGCGCTAGCGACACCACGGCTAAGTAAGGGTGTACGGACTGCTGTTAGACTGATCGCACGCAACATTGATGGACAGTGGAATATAAGGGACCGGCAAAATAAAATAAATAAAAGAGAAGATCCCGTTCCAATGACAGGCTCAAGTCCCAGGTTCCCCTAATTTTCATTCTCCGACGGGGGTGAGAGGAAAAAATTTTTGCTTCCACTTCCATCGCTCAAGGTCTGCTTTACCGTGCCTAGCTGACATATGTCAGTTATGAGTAAGGTACTACCGATTGTTCAGAAATAACCCCTATCCTAAGATAAGGATAAAAAAGCTATGCACCTTGAGCAGACCATCACCCGTCTGCCGGTCCTGATTCAGATCGGGCACTGGTCTACAGTTTTATTTAACTTGCAGCCACAAAGTTTTTTAAAAATGCCAACTATTCATGGCATAAGAAGCGAGAGGGCCCTTTTTCTTTATTTGTTTTTAGTCAAGATATACATGTGTTTTATGGTTGCGAAGGATTGAAGCTGCTGCCTAAATCGGCCCATGCTTTCCAATAATCTTCCTGGACCTTGCCGCAGGTTTTAAGACCCCAGCGAGTAAGAGAGAGCATCAAACTGGTTTCGAACATGAAAGCTTGCGTGTTCTCTGCTACACGCACAGGTTTGAGTTCTTCCTCGGAAGCCTTTTGGAATACATTGGCATCAGGTCCATGCGGAGTCATGGCACTGTGAAGAGAACCTCCTCCGGGTAAGAAACCGCCCGTCTTTCCCTCGTAGTCGCCCAAAATTAATCCCATAAACTCTGACATGCAGTTTCGATGGAAATAGGGAGGACGGAACTATATAAAATATCCAAATGGTTTTAGTATACAAAACACGATCTTTCAGGTTTTCTTTTTGTTCATACCGTGTTTTCCGCAACGCCCCATCGAGGAGGAAAGATGACAAAGTCGGCAATCGCCACGCCTGGCGTATCGGATTTTGCGGTCAACACGGTAAAGATAGAGGGATCCTATCATTTAAGACATGTTCAGCTTTTTGCATGATCTTTGCAGCTGGATTAATCCTACTCACGATATGATCAAACGACACCGAGTTAATGACACAGAACTTGGATAAATCGTATTTATACGGGGCATAGTTGCCATGCCAGGCTACGACGTCGAATGGTGTATGGTTTTGTTTCGCCTCAAACAATTGCCCGTTAAATTTAGTAAGAATGCTCCATTCCACGTTGTCCTCCTCATTGTAAGCCGCCACGGGGGTCTGGAAATCGCGTGGGTTCGCAAGTCCATTAGCGCCTATCCGTTTTCATATGAGTCAATGCATAGTTGGACGCAATGCATATAGGTTGACTCACCAATAGGACCAAGATCGGGCAACTCAAAGTGGGCTCCAAAGACTTCAAGAACGTAACCACGGCTGTTTAAAACAGTGAGTATGACGATATCAAACTTGCAATATGCAAGCACTTACACTGGTCCTTCAGGCAAATTCACCGAGTACCGCACACCACGTTGTATCACGCAGATTTCGTTGGGCTTGACATAAATCTTACCGAACTCGGTGATGATGTCCAATGCACCGTGCTGGGGAACTGGATCGATATGAATACAAGGTTAGTCAAGATGGAAATCTTTGCATTGCCTATTATTTTATCAGGGTTTACCGATCATCATGTCGCCATCTGAATTGTAAAAAGCCGAACGGTCCATGCTCTTATTGGCGGTGTAGATGTGGACCGCAAGACCTGTACGACAAGCGGGATCTCCAGCACCAGCTAATGTCTTGAGACCCTGCACAAAGTGAACCTGTTCGTCTTCTGAAGGCAGGTCAAATGGGCTCCATCGCAACTGAGTCGGTGTCACCACACAGTTATCCCCAAATTTAGACACTAAAAGGTTGTCGGGCAAGGCATATGGTTTGAACGGAGCGTGGACGACAGAGGGACGAATACGATAGAGCCAGCTACTCTACTGATCAGCCAATTTTATCCGGAATACTATATCGTATCAACTAATCTCGTTGTTACCTCCTTTGATTATGTGTACGTGGTACTGTGAAGGCTGTTCCCGACAGCTGCTCGGCGTAAAGATTATAAGGGCACTTTTGAGGTGTGTTCTGTCCTGAAAACTGAGGTTAGCGGCACCCCTACCCTGATCGGTGTTGTTCACCTACTCACCCTTTGGAAGAGCGCCTGGTAAAGCTTCAGAGGTAAAGTGATTGCCAAAACCTTCCTGGTAAGAGTAACTATATGTCATTATGGTAAAAAAGAGGAGCACCTGTCGCCCCATGGGGTATCTGTTCTTTTATAGATAGCAGACCTAACCGTGGGAAAAAGTAGGGTAGTTTCCCACAATCGCTCTCGGCATCCCCAGAAGTTGCGCAAAACACATGACATCCCTTATTTATCCGATTGTGCTCTTTTGATCTGATTACACTCGCTTCTTTCCGTAAAGGGTCGGACGCCCCGTAGTAAGGACGATCCACGTTGATGGCTTTCAAATATTTCACACAGCGAAAAGCAATTTAGTGATGCGACGCATATGGAGAGTTATCGTCCCACGACTCACACCTGTCGTTTATACCGCTGCATTGGGTTCCTACCTTTTTTCTTCTATCTCGATTTTTCTTTTTCATAAATGATCCGCTTTTATAACTTTTGACCAAGCCAATAAGAAACGAACCCCCGCCTTTTTCCACACGTTGGGAGTTTCCCCGCCAATTTGGCATATCAACTCTGGAGATTGGCAGGGGGTCACGGTAATGAAAGAAGGATACTATAGGACTGTCTTTTGGTACTGTGGTGCTAGCTTCCTCAAAATAGCGAAAGTGGAGTATACATGAGGAACATTAGCAAAAAGATTTACGCCATCAAGATGCGTAAGATGCAAACTCACAACATTATCCATGAAACAGAATGGCTGGCCCTGCATGCAAAAATGACCAATGCACCTTTCCTAGAAAGAGCCTCACAATACACGTATATTTGCAGGTTACTGTGAGCATAGAAAGGGCACTATTAATGAATAACAGGTTATTATGCACATTACACATTGCACAAAAGGCAATTCGGCGTGGATACGAATGTAAAATCGATGGGCATATATAATCCACTTTATCTTGATCCAGTAATTTAGCTACAGATGCTCATGAATCCAAAACACGTCGGCTCCATGTTGATCCTGCAACGAATTGCACCACATTTTGCTTTTCGATGGTCCTTGAAGCTTATCTGGATGCTGCAAGCGTGAGAAATTTGTGATGGCCCCAAGAGTTCGGGGAACTCATCATACCAGCTTTTGTTAAACTATAAGCTCGTGACACGTAAAATAGCCACAGAAAATCTACTTTTATACAGTCCGGGAGTATTGGATGGATTGCCACTTGTGTGAACGAATAAAGGAACCTTTTGTTCGGTGATCTACCTTTATCAGAACGGGATTAATATTCGAAATATGACGATTTATTGGCAGACCAAACTGGGATTGTCTTATCTCAAGATGTAGCAAATCAAATAGCTGCAAGTATGCTTATTTTCCACGCTGATGTTCCTTCCTGCTTTTTTTTTTTTTTTTTTCTATCTGGCTGCATTATTCACAGTCCGTTGTCTAGCCATTGCTGGAAGGATAAAACCAGTGAATTGTCTGATCTTGCAGTACGTATTCATAATACTATAACATCATCCTTAATAAGCAGCAACTTCAACTTGCATTCACATTACCGTTCAAATGCAAAAATTTGCTATTTAACAGGTGATTTACGTGCAATACCATATGCGGATGTATGCGCCACATGGGGAAAAAAAATAAGAGATTTCCCCTTTCTTTCTACGACTACAATTGATTGGATACGAAAAATAGACTTCCAAACCCCGCAACGAGTGAGTAATTTTTTTTCCCTTTGGAACAGAATATACAAAAGCTGGCACAGTAACTGTCTGCAAGCTTATCCTTTCTTCCCCATTACTTTGGCTTACAAACGCTGGCGATTTGATATTACTTGTCTATATTTGGTTTTGCCACTGTAATATTGGAGCTTGACAAAATCTGATGGAGAAACCTTCTCAAACCCATTTATATGCGGGAATACTGATTTATCGATTGCAAAGAAACATCGAATATTTATTGTTAAGTGATTCATTCTCAAATAAGAAACATTGGTTCTGTCCTAAAGGACAAGTGATCGGGTCTGAAGACGAACTCAAGTAAGTGATTTCGTGTAAGCATGGAACAAGCGAATGACTTATTAACGAAAAGTGTAGATGTGCCTTTCGTGAAGTATTCGAAGCAACCGGATTAAGCCCAAAACAGTATCGTGTTGAACAAAAATTCAAGGTTCAACTTAAATACCTTGCAGGAACTCGGTATGTATTGATTCAGCATTGAATGACTTCCGGGACAAGCCATGCTAAACGTAGTTTTTAGCCCAAAAAAAGTGATCTACTTTCTAGCACAATTGCTCGATAACCATGCACGATTATTACCCAATGCCGAAGGAGTTCATTTCCACTGGTGCACTGAACAAGTGGCTGTCGAGAAGGTCTTGTTCAAGAGCATGCAAAGCGTGTTTAGCCATACCCAAAAATTTGTTGAGATGACACAACAGACACGACGTCGACAGTATGATTCGCATGGTCATGCTGTAAGAAATGGATCCTCGGACGGTGAGCATCGTCACAAACAGTATGATCAGCAGCACACGAACGGATCCATCTTTCGCAATGTGGATCATACTCCCTCTTCGTTGAATCAGCCACATTCTGGCTTCAATTCCCCCTCCGCTGTGATGCCTGTGCACCCGCGAATTAACCTCCCCAAGCAGCAACAGTCATCTCAGCAACAGCAGCCTCAACAACAGCAGATATCGCATCCATACGCAACATCGAATCGATCGCACTCACATGAGAATAACAATCCACTCTATAAAACGCGTTTGTGCGAAAGGTTCAAACTGGAGGGTAGCTGCCCGTATGGACCAAAGTGTACGTTTGCTCACGGTATTGGTGAACTACGTGAACGTGTTCAGCCAGTTGGCGATACGGAAGAACGGGAGAACCGCGGTTTATCTTTTGCAGCCGGATCGAATACCTCTCTTCTCCGAAATTCTGCGGAAAGCAATCCTCTGTACAAGACCAAACTCTGTGAACGCTTTATGGTCGATCAATTCTGCCAATACGGGCCCAAATGTCATTTCGGTACGTACCATCAAAATGGGTTCACAGATACAAGTAGTTAATGCGTTATCGATGGTTTTTTTTATATCTTAAAGCACACGGAGAAGCGGAATTGCGACAAAAGCCACAATCATTGTACCCATTGGACCGTGAGCAGGAGGATCAGAATGGTTCGTACCGGTCTTCACCACGACCGGGGCATCGGCAGCAAGAGAAAGACAAGGAGAGAAATGATGGAGTGGTGAAAGATCGACAGTTTTTGCGAGAACGGTCAGGACGATGGAGAAGGGACGATGATGGAAATACGAGACGCGAACGAGCCGATTCAGCCACCTTGAGTGATCATTCAACCGAAGATCAATTTGTGCACCGACGAGCTCAGCCTATGGAAACTACGAGATCGCCTCCTGACGTGACGCCAGCGCCGATGTATGGAAACGGATCTGCAATTGATACAACCACCGATCGATTCTCGAACCTGGATTTGAAGCCGTTGAGCTCGCCAACCCCGAAGCGCACTCCGAATAACGTCGTAGCACCTGCACCTGTAAAACAGGAAATTCACGAAACGATACCCGCAGCACATATTCTAAACACGAGAGAAGAGATCGTGGCGACAGATAAATCGTGGATGAAAATTGTTCATATCTCAAAGGAAGAACAAGCAAAGTTGTAAGTCGACTACTAAAACCTGTCACCGTGTTATTTTGTACTGATTGACCGTGGCGAATAGTACTCCCCCGGTCAGTAGATCGCCAGCCTCCCCTCCTTCGAGAAGTGGACAAGAAGAGGCCATCATCAAAGATTTGAAACAGTTTTTTAAGCAACATCCAAACACTGAGATGATCAAGAATGGAAAACTGTCCGATGATGTGAAAGAAGTGACCAAAATCGAGATGAGAAATGATTTATCCAAACCGCAACTACTTTATATACTCCTCGTTAGTTTACTGGAAGATGTCGGTAAAGATGGAAGTCAGTCCTGCAGCATCAAATCGATTATAACAAACCGCAACCATCTTTTCAAAACGGTAAGCTGAAAAATTCTCGTATTTTCTTGCATGTGATCCACTTGCTCAACCAATCCCGATGTTCTTAGTTTGTGAAGACTCCGGCTGATCAAAAGACTTTGTTAAAAGCATGGGAAAGACTCGTGAAGCACGCAAATGAGACCCTTTTAGCGAAAACATCGATCGTATTGTCGCTGTGGTACGAATACGATCTTGTGGATGAGGATGTTTGTATGGCTTGGTATGAACGTCTTGAGGAGAATAGCGACATCAAGAGAAGAAGTTCAAAATTTATTGAGTGGCTCAATACTGCCGAAGAGGAAGATGATAATGAATAAAACTCTAGTCATGTATTCATATATTTATTTCAAAAAATCTGAACATTGGCTTTCTTGACCTTAAGGAATTGGTGCTGAAAAAAAAAGAAGATAATGCGGCCACATCATCGCAACACGCACACTCGCTTCTGTTTCCATCGCATTGAAATACAGGACGTGGAATACAAGTTCATGTTGAATTTAAAAGGTTCCAGTTGAAATAAAAGTGCCTTATATCGTGTTAACGAAAAATCCAAGGAACGCATAGCATCTTGTGATATACGAAACAATCTCCTTCGAGTCACAACAGTATATCGTAAAGAGCGAGCAATTTCAAACACTTTAATAATAGAAAGGGCGAAAGATATTTTTTTAGTCGTTCGTATTTGGGAATCATTTACAGAAAAGAAGAGTTATTGGCACCGTTCAATCAAATGTTGAACGACAGCAGGTTCAGCCAAGGTAGAAATGTCACCGAGTTGGTCAGCTTCGTTATTGACAATCTTTCGTAGAATGCGTCGCATGATTTTTCCTGAGCGTGTCTTTGGCAAATCATTGACAACGTAAATACGCTTGGGCGTCGCAAATGGGCCAATGACCTTTCGAACTTGGAGTGCCAACTCCTTGTCAAAGTTGTCTGATCCTTCCAAATTGGGCTTCAGAGTACAGAAAGCATGGATGCATTGACCGGTTAACTCGTCGTTACCGCCTACCACAGCTGCTTCAGCAACGGAAGCGTGACCAATGAGTGCCGACTCAATCTCTGCCGTAGACAAACGATGACCGGATACATTGATGACGTCTATTCAAAGTTGAAAGTGTGAATTTTTTCCTCGTTGAAAAAACGTTCAAATAAGCCTATTCTGTTTTTTTTTTTTTTTTTTTTTTTTTACCATCCACTCGTCCGCGCACCCAGATATAACCATCAGCATCGCGGTGAGCTCCGTCACCGGTAAAGTAATAGCCAGGATACGGATTCAAGTAAGTGTCCAAATAACGATAATGATTGTTATAGACGGTTCGAGCCATCGATGGCCAAGGTTGAGCGATAGCAAGTACGCCTGTAACATTGTTGCCTTGCAACTCTTCACCGGTCACGGGATCCAAGATGGCAGGCTTGATGCCAAAGAAAGGCAATGTGGCTGATCCAGGCTTGGTTGCCGTTGCACCGGGCAGAGGACTAATGACAATGGATCCGGTTTCGGTTTGCCAGTAGGTATCGACCACCGCACAGGCGCCTTTGCCCACATTTTCATGGTACCATTCCCATGCCTCTGGATTGATGGGTTCGCCCACTGAACCAATGACACGCAAGCTTGAGAGATCATAGTTTTCCAACCATTTGTTACCGAGGCGGCGGAGAGCACGAATGGCGGTTGGGGCAGTATAGAATTGGGTGATCTTATGTTTGTCAATAACTTGCCAGAAACGGGAGGGGTCGGGGTACGTGGGAGTCGATTCGAAAAGAACAGTGGTCGCACCGCGTACCAAAGGTCCGTAGACAATATAAGTGTGACCAGTGATCCAACCAATGTCGGCCATGCACGCGTGAACATCGTTCTCATGATAATCAAAGATGTATTTCAGGGTTGCTCCGGCTCCCAAAAGATAACCAGCTGTCGTATGAAGCACACCTTTGGGGGTTCCTGTAGAGCCAGAGGTGTAGAGAAGGAACATAGGATCTTCTGCATTCACAGGGACTGGAGCACAGTACGGACGGGCTTTGGCTAATTCTTCGTGCCACCACAGGTCACGAGCGCCATTCCACGGGATTTCGGATCCTGTACGACGGAAAACCAGTACATGTTCCACCGTAGGGGCATCTTTTAATGCTTCATCGACGATGCGCTTGGTGGCAATATTTTTACCACCACGACGACCTTCATCTGCCGTAAGCACCACACGTGCGCCACAATCGCGGATACGATCACGCAAGGATTCAGAAGAGAAACCAGCGAAGACAACCGAATGCACCGCACCGATACGGACACAGGCCAACATGGCAAAGACGGCTTCAGGAACCATAGGCATATAAATGGAAACATTATCCCCTTTGCGGACATCCAAACTGGTTAGAACATTGGCCAAACGAGAGACTTGTTGCAACAACTCGCGGTAGGTGATTTTGCGTACGTTCTCAGGCTCATCGCCTTCGTGAATGATGGCAATCTACAAGCATAAATGGGATAAGCATATGAAAGAAAGCAATCAATAGGTGCCATCTTGGAAGCGGAATAATTATAGTTTTTTTTTTTGGTCTTTTCTCACAAGGCTTTTTTTTTCTCGGCCTTCTGCTTTCTTTCTTTGGATCGCTGTCCGTAAGAGGAAAGCAGAAAAATAAGAGATAAGGTTACCTTGTCAGGATTCGCCAGAGCATGTCTGTCAACACAGTTAAAACAGGCATTCAGTTCGCCTTCCACAAACCAAGCCACGTCTCCCTCCTTGAACGACCCATGCTGGACGGTTTCAAAGGGCTTGCTCCATGATAACGTTTCCTTGGCCAACTGAAAATATATCACAAATGAAAAAGTTAAACCATTAAGTCACCTTTTTGAACCGATCCATTCCATTAGATCCACGATAACCTACATCACCGAAAAATTTGGTGGGATTATTCACACTTTCTTCCCATAATGACTTGTACTGTTCGATGCCTTTTACAAATGGTTCAGGTGTGCCTTGCAATCTTTTGGGAACGGGGTACACGCGTGTACACTCTTGAGCTTCACCAGCAGTCATAATTGGAGTTGAGAAAAAATCACAGGGAAGAAAGGAAGAAAGAGTGCAAGAAATAAAGATGAGGAAAACAACCCTATTTGTATAAGTGGGAAAAAAGGGAAAAAATATGCAGTGAACCTTTTCTTCCCCCAAAACTTAAGATGCGGCGATCATGCCGCATGCAACGCCGTGGCGCTTCATGTGACTGTTTTCCAAAGATGGATTCAATTTACTGTAGGATCATCATGTGCACCATTTGAGCACTTTCAGATTATCTAAGCGACGGTTTTTTTTCCCTTTCACTTTCAAGATGTTTGACAAGTATACGCAAGCTTTTTTGTTAAACCATAAAGATTATTGTTGTTCACATCATGCGACCGCGGCTGTTTTTGTATTTTCAGCCTTTCTCTTTTTTTTTTGCATCAAATATTTCTCGGAAACAAATCACATCCACGAAACAAATTAACATGCAAGGTTGAAAGTTAAATTTTTTTCATTTTTCTTTTAGTGAGCAAGAATAAAAAGGTAAAGAGAAGAAAAAAAAAAACCAATAAAGCGAACGACGAACAACATGGATAATAGAAAAGAGGAATGTATATTTACGATATTTCTTTTTCCGGACAAAACAAAGCGACATTAACGGAAAGGAGATGAGAAACGAATAGAAATTTTCTTCTAAAATCAATACAATAAATGAAGCAATGCATTAAATATTTAGAGCCTTTGAAATATTGAAGTTGGAAGAGAAAACTTACCAAGAAAACAGAGCAATGGAAATAGATGTTTTAGGGTCCCAAGGACTCATACCGCCAGATACGTGCTCGATTGTCGCCTGAACCGGTGGCGAACATCGGGCTTCTGCCGGGGCTAGTGGCGACGGAAATAACTAGAAACAGTACACAACAATTGTTAACGAGACGAAAATACAACAATAACGCACCATCGGTAAGTCACAATGGAGACCCGAAGAGATAATCACATACCCGAATTTTTGTGACCTTGTAACATGAATTGAGTCTGTCCCGTTCGAGGATCCCAAAATTGCACACCACGGTCTTTCGAACCCGAGACAATCCAATTGCCATCAGGTGTGGTGGCAACAGAAAGCACGAAATCCTAGTAGGTCAGGTTAATAATACATCAACTGATACTGAATATGACACCAAAATCGCCACTTTTTTTTGGTCTCATTTTCGCCATTTCTAGGCTCTTATTTCTTGAGTGCGTTTCAACTTACTTTGTGTCCTGTAAACACTTGCTTGCATGCATTCTTTCCACGGTCACCAGCATAAGCACGATCATGTGTCCCTAATGCCCACATACGGAGAGTTTTATCCAAGCTACCACTGATAAGCGTCTTGCCATCGGGCATAAATGCCACCGAGTAGACACTATCTTTATGACCATCCAAGCGCTCCAACGGTTGACCCGTGACGGCATCCCACACACGCACGACCTTATCCAAACTTCCGGCGGCCACAAGTCGACCATCAGGCGAGATTGCGACACTGGTCACACCAGGATCCTTTTGATCCATATCTTTGATACGTAACACATGCATGCATTGACCATCTTGCCAGTCCCAAATTCTTGCCGTGCGATCGCCGGAACCGGACACCAGGATTCGGCCATCACGACTGAATTCCAAAGAGTAAATATCTTGCTCGTGACCTTGTAACACGCGTCGGATCCGTTTTTTGCCAATATCCCAAATCTATCATCATCATTGCGTTCAGTTCAGCAAAAAAAAAAAAAAAAAAAAAATTAGATAATTTGTCGGGTGGCAAGACCACGTGGTGGTTTCTTGGTCTTTTTGATTTCAACTTACGCGAATTTGTTTATCTTCAGCACCAGTAGCAAGATGCTTGCCGTCGGGACTAAAGCTCACAGAACGAATGTACAAATCACCATCACGGCCTGCGTTTTCATCTTGAAGTACACTATCAAAGCCCAATATCCATCAATAAGCATTGCATCTCATCAGCCAGGGTATCCGACTTGATCAACTTACGCAACACGAACGGCTGTCACAGTATCATACACATATGTCGCCTGATTACAACCGGCTGCCAAATAGCGACCATCGGCACTAAATTTAACACAGCACACCACACTACCATGCTCGAATGTGTGAAGCAAATCGACCTTGAGATAACGCTGTGCTTTTGGATTGAATCTACAAAATGAAATTGAACCGAGGGACGTGAATATTTCAATTGCGACACTTGTGGTTTGCTGCCATTGACGGTATTTTTTCTGAACACTTACAAAGCAAACCAATCTTGTCCTTCGACCTTCATGTTTGCAGGGACATTTTCCGGATCAAAGTCGGCCAAGGGAGGATTGGCGGTCGGCACAGGACCGACGGGTTTCAGAGATTCATTTCCTCCTCGTCCAGAAGTCACTAGGAAGTGGAAAAAATAAGACAATCAAGGTACACAATAAATATATAAGTAGATGAAAAATGACGCGATTTTGACAAAATGTACTTACTTTGGGGTGGAGGTGTGCCAGTCGGTAACGGCGAACTACCATTCATGTAAGGGGTGCCTGCTGCAGTAGGATGGGGAGGAGGAGCGCTGGAAAGGTGAGCCGAGGTGGGAGGTGGTGGAGGACCACTAGGATAACCAGCTAGATGAGCGGGTGGTTTGGAATCCAACATGGGAGGCGCAGGTTGAGGATATGCATTCGATCCTAATGAAGAAGAAGAGTCATTTGTTGAGCATGCAATTGCTGGAGGTAAAGTTGTTGATACACAAAGAGCAAAATAAGCTCGTCAAGAAGTTAATGGGGTGCTTACCGCTGTACATGGGAGCATTGCTGGTGGGAGGAGGAGCACCACCGTGTTGAAGCTACAAGCGACGAATACAAGGAATGAGTTATATGGGAAAAAGTTTTGGGGGGGGGGTGGGGGAAGAGAGAGAGGAAAGGAATGGGGGACAAGGCGATGAAGTTTGTGTAAATGCTTGCCTGATCCAATTGCTGACGAAGTCTGGCAATTTCTTCCTCATATCTGTCAAGTAATGTCAATATAAGAAAAAAAAACGAGTCTCCTGAGAATAAACTAGTCCCGCACTCACTGTTTCTTGATGATCTGCTGACTTCTTTCGAGATCGATAAGGTTCTGCTGGAAGAGGTTCATTTCCTGAATTTGGCTATTCACTATAAGAACGAGAAGAAACGAATAAATGGTCAATGATGGATTGAGAAATGCAGGAATGAAGAATTAGCGGGTATAAAGAACATACTCTTGTGTTCAAATTCATCTCGTTGAGATTTGCAGACCATGGCTTCTTGGGCCAACTGGTCAAATTCGGACTTGACGGCATCAAGAAGCTCAATGAGTCTACTTGGAGTAGGTGGAACAATGGGCCTGTGATTATAAACAGACATTTGCGACGGTAGGAAAAAGTCCCCAACAAAGCAAAGGGAGAAAGAAAACGTAAAAAAAAAGAAGGGAAAGGAAAAAGAAAAAGAGAGACCCAAAGAGTCGAAATAATTTTTTAGAATCCCGAGCGCAGGCACCTTGCCCACAACAACTGCAATGTCTGAGTTGATCACACCTTCTTGGGACGGCGGGTCTTAAAATATGTTTTTTTTCCTTCTTTCTTTGCGGACAGTGAAATCCCGCCCAAAATGAGACCACTCCATCCAACGAATCAAGGAACAATGACCGATGGCGCAACCCAGCAAATTTTCGGATGGTCTCCAACAGCTTGTTTGTATGAATATTTCATGTCACATCCTCATTTTTCATGTAATACTGTCTTTATTTCGTGGGCAAATTGGAGGCGTGCGCTTTCTCGTGCTCATCGAATGGAAACAAATAACCAAACTTGAAATGCTGAACCACAGGCACTTTCTTCAATACCTCTGCAATATACATCTTTGCCATGCCGGAATTCACTTTGTTCCAGCTCGGCACAGTGGAAATGTCATACAACATGGGTGAATGTTCGTGGAATGGTCCTCGCTTCACCTATACACACACAAACCCCACCACACCGAGTGACAACCGTAAGTATACGGCAGTCAACCACAAGCGTGTCATGTTTCCTCTTACCTCAGCAATGTATTGAATACAGCGAAAATACATGTATTCACCCGCCATGGCTTCCACAATTTCTGGCTGTAAGACGCTTTTTGGTTTCAACCGAGGATGCTCTAATCGTCATCAAATCAATACACGCCCTTTGGTTCCATTCAGACTCAAACTGGACTTACCGATCAATTGCTCGCTTCCCCAAAGATAGGGTAGAAACTGATGATCGTCGAGTCCCCACACACCGTGACTGCCAGCAGGTTCCAAGGTATATGAGCGCTGGATCTTTCGAACCAATTCAAGGTAGCGTACGAAAATCCGGAGGACTAATGCTTGATAATCCTCGGGTTGAAATCCTCCCAGCATCGTCACTCCGCAAAGCCATGCACAGAAACTCAATTCATGCCCTGAACCGTAATCAATACGTACAGAATTGCCAAATGCATTGGTTAAATATTCGTTCAGTTCTGGGACGGCGTCGTGCATGTTCTGTGGCAATACACTGTACATCAAGCTGTCCGCTGACTATTGTCATAAGAAAAACCGTGAGACTCGTCACAAGCAAGCTGGTGCTAATTCATTTTTACCTGTTGCAATTTTTCGTGCCACTGTCGGAATGCTTTGTTGCCAAAGCGTTGCGGATTCTGGAGAGGTGGAAACTCGGCGAGCCAACCATCCAACATATCCAGCATATCCAGAACGCGCTGTGTTTGCTGTGAAAAAGAAGCCATCGTTAGTTCTCGGCATTGGTTCAGAAAAGGCTATGAAAGGGGAATCATTATATTTACCAGAGAAACATGGCAGGGATCCGATATTTTCTTCTTCAATACGCTACCGTTGAGAAGTACAATAAACGTCAACAATCGACTGAATGCTTTGGAATGGAGAAATGTCTGTATGTCTTTGGCTTCATGGATACATTTGCGAGGTTCGGTAGGAATGTAGTTTGAGATCAAGGAGGGCAGTTGAGGTTGAATGGCTTCCATTAATGGTGAACTCTTTTGACACGAGAAGGGAGGCTGCTTTTCAAATCACGAAAAAGGCCTCTCAACAAAGCCAAAAATTTGGTACTGCGCCTGCATTACTTTTTTTTTCTGCCTTGGACTGCTTTTAGGTTCAGACATTCTTGTCTCTCTCTCTCTCTTCTCATTTCATGGCAAATAGACAAGCGTCTTCCCTCACCTCGTTTGATACGGGTTACAGTGCCGATTCCACTGAATTCTGTCCGTTTCCGGGATATGAGCAATATTTAGCTTGTGGCACATACCAGTTGGCCGATGATAACGATACCAAAGTACGCAGAGGAAAGTTGTATCTCTTCACGGTCGATTCGAATGCCGATACATCTTTGACCCAGCAGCAGACACTAATTACACCCGCCATTCTCGACATGAAATGGTCTCACGCTCTCATTGGAGATCAACCTACATTGGGCGTGGTCGATTCTGTCGGTGGTTTGCAGTTGTATAGTTTCAACACCGAAAAAAGGCTGGCACCTATATACCATCTCCAAGTGACTGAAGATACACAGATATTGGCATTATCTCTTGACTGGGCAAGCCGGGTCGATCGTAGCTGTCGTGACGTAGTGATTTCCCACTCGGACGGATTTCTTTCCATTGTTGCACCCACCGAATCGCAATGGATTAGACAGCAGCACTGGCAGGCCCATGATCTGGAAGCATGGATCGCAGCGTATGATTATTGGAATACAAATATTGTCTATAGCGGAGCGGATGACTGTCTTTTCAAAGGATGGGATACTCGATCTGAAAATCAAATATTCCAAAAACGGCATATGATGGGCGTTACAACCATGCAGTCCTCACCACTACGGGAACACGTGTTAGCGACAGGAAGCTACGATGAAAATATCAGTCTATGGGACACACGATCCATGCGTCGCCCTGTCTCTACTATTCAAACAGAAGGCGGTGGTATCTGGCGTCTAAAATGGCATCCAACCGAAGCAAACAAATTATTGTCGGCCTCTATGCATGCTGGAGCCTTTGTTATTGACGTTGACGCTGAGCTGAATCCTTCCATTACTACCTCGTTTCTGGATCATACATCAATGGCTTATGGCGCAGACTGGTCGTATGCACCAAACAGTCATCTTGTAGCTTCTTGTTCTTTTTACGATCATGTCATGCATTTGTGGGACGCGGATCGTTGGTAGTCCATTTATCTATATAATTAAAATCTTTGAAAATTAGCAATTTGTAAATCACATGACTTGCACACTAAGCTATCGGAACCTTTTTTTTGTGCCTTCTCTCTTCAGAACCTCTTTTTATTCTTTTTTTTTTGTGCCTTCTTTTCTTCTTCAACTACACTAAGCTATCAGAACTTCTTAATATCTTTTTGCAATACACCAAGTCATTAGAATCTCAATTCTTTCGATTCTTTCGATTGGTGCCTTTTTTTTTGTTCATCTTTGAACCATGCCTCGCTGCCCATCTTGCAACGGCAACGATCACCAGCGTTCTACCAATCGTCGTTGCCCAAATTTCTCTCCACGAAACACTACTATAAATAATGGGCGAAACAATGAGCAGCAAAATGCGGTTTGCACCAGTTGTGGTCAAACAGGACATCGTCGTCGCTCAAACCGCCATTGTCCCCTTCATAATCAAGACGGAAATACAGAAAATTTCACCAATGTGGCTCGCGATCCCAATGTCTCGATGCCAAATCTTCATAATGTAGGAGCCATGAATGTCATCTGCAGCCACTGTCAGGCACGAATGTGGAGTGGAGAAAAAATTGCTGGAAGTACTATGAATGATCCTAAGTTTCAGCTCTGTTGTGGAAATGGTCAATTTGTACTTTCTCCTCTCAAACCCACCCCTCCTTTGATTGCCTCGCTTTTGACAGGGACTGGGGCGCAAGCAAAAGATTTCCGGCTCAAGATCAGAGCTTATTGTAGTGCTCTCAGTTTTACTTTTCTTGGTGTAAATTTAGACAAAAGTGTAATGAATGGCAGACGGGGCGCTTACTGCTTCCGTATTCATGGAAGTGTTTACCACTTGATGGGATCGCTACTTCCTGCTAATGGCCAACGACCTGCATTTGCACAAATATATGTCCATGATACTGACAACGAAATATCAAATCGACATGCAATTGCAAGCCATCTCGCGCGAGACACCTTGGAAGTACTTCAGCAATTAATGCATGAAACCAATCCTTTCGTCCATCTTTTCAAGACAATGGCCCAATACATAGAGGATAATGGTGGTGCTTCCAACATCAGAATGATTATTCGAGCTGACGGTGCCCCAGATCCACGACGCTATAATGCACCAAATGCTTCTGAAATTGGTGTCATTATCGGTGAAAACGCAGAGTCCTCTGGAAGGGATATTGTGATCTGTACGCGTAGTGACCAACTGACATCAATCAGTGAGATGCATCGCCTGTATGACTCACTCCATTACGTGCTGATATTTCCTGAAGGCGACCCTGGGTGGAACATTGAAACTTGATCGACCAGAAATGGAAAAGTCACCGTGATGAACTACTACAGTTTCAGATTGATGTATCGAAAAGATGGACACCACTTGCACCTCTTTGGCCGACTCTTTCAGCAGTATATCATAGATATGTATGCCAAGATGGAACAAAACCGCCTCAATTACCTTCGCCTCAACCAGTCCCGACTGCGTGCTGATGTGTATTCAGGCGTACAAGATGCTCTCCAACTTGACGACAACAATATGAATATGAATTCCATCGGTCAGCCTGTCATCCTTCCGTCGTCATTCATTGGCAGCCCTCGAAACATGCAACAGCTGTACCAAGATGCAATGAGTATCGTCAGATGTTTCGGAAAGCCTGACCTCTTCATTACATTCACGTGTAATCCAAAATGGCCAGAAATTCGGATTGAGCTTCTTGCTTCACAGACAGTATCTGATCGGCCAGATTTGACAGCACGAGTTTTCAACCTCAAGCTCAGAGCTCTTTTGAAGGATCTAACAAAAAACCATACACTTGGAAAAGTAATTGGCTACGTTTATACCGTCGCTCATTCCGAATTTCTGGCCATTTTGGATTACACGTGAATGTAATGAAGAGGTCAGGCTTTCCGATCAATCAAAGAGCATAAAATGTGAGTGGAGCTCTTTTTTGAAGAAAGGTGATTGACGATACGACGATCTGGTGTTTTGTAGCATCATTTAATTTGGGTTATCTGTCAGTTATACTGTATATGCCCTTTCATTCTCTTCAGTAATCGAATGATACATGGAGCAGATATGCTTCGATCTGTGTAGCTCATCATTCATGCATCAGTGAGGTGACTATTGTTTCATCCATGGAAAATCACATATTTTGTCCGAATTTTTTCTTCTTCTTTAGTTTTGCATCTCTTCTGTTTGCCTGGAAATCCCTCACTATCATTGCATCCATCATCCATCACCAGACTATGGCGTGTATCTGATCCGGTCGATTCGATTATTATGAAAAAAGGTACCTTTTGTGTGATACGACTATCCGTTTTTCGACAAGAAAAAATTTACCTGTCCTTTTTCTCTATTCTGTCTTTAGCTTTTGGTTTTCTCTCCGGTTTTCTTTTGCCTGGCAAGCCATTCAAGCCATCCATCCCTCCAAAATCTTTCTACTTTGTTCGGGCACCAGATTGTGGCCAATCCGGTTTTTGTCGTCAAAGGACATCTTCGGTCGTGTGGCTCTCTTTCTCATCGGGAAACGCTGACGCGTCCTCCTCATGTTGCCCTCATTTGGATTCCTACTCTTGATATCGTCTTTCATGTAAGTATTCTTTTCGCAGTCTTCCCTCTTTTTTTCGCCACAGGGTTTTTTGTGAGATTTTTACTGACGCAAGTTTTATTTTCTTTTATTTTTACTCGGGAAAACTATCGATATCTGGCCTCCAGCTCGAAATTACCGGCACTTCTGACCACATCAATATCTTGGCCCTGCTCAAGGTGACACCACCGCCCCAAAAATATTCCGCCGCTTAACTGTTTCTGCAAGCAATTTTCTTTTCCGCATCGAAGAAGAAGCTTACGTGTGGTCCGTATACATATTTTATTTCGGCACAATGTTTGATTTAAAGGTAAACCAACCGCAAATGTTCCACTTTTTGGCCCATGTGGTTGACCTGATCATCATTCTTGCATTGGCAGAGTGACTATTGTTTCATCCATGGGAACTCATTCATTTTGTCTTCAATTTTTTCTTTTTCCTTTGGTTTTCTCCCTCTTTCCGTTTACCTGAAAAGCCCTCACTATCATTGCATCCTCACCCGCATCCACATCCATCATCCATTATCCAGACTATGGTGTATCCGGCGTCTATCTGTAACCGGTCAAGTCGAGTATTATCAAAAAGGTACCTTTTGTGTGATGTGACTATTCGTTTTTCGACAAGAAAAAACTCACGTTCTTTTTTCTCTACCCCTTCTTTAGCTTTTGGTTTTCTCTCCGGTTTTCTTTTCGCTTGGCAAGTCATCCATCCCTCCAAATCTTTCTACTTTGTTCGCGCTCAAATGTGGCCAAACCGGTTTTTGTCGTCAAAGGCATCGTCGGTGGTGTGACTCTCTTTTTCATTGGGAAACGCTGACGCGTCCTCCCCAGGTTCCTCTCATATGGATTGCTGCCCGTGGTATCGTCTTCGATATTTCTTCCCGACCATTTTATTTTGTAGTTGTAGTATGTATTTTGTATTTTAGTGAATAGTCTTCTTGCAGTCTTTTCCTCCTTTTTTTTCCCACAGGGTTTTTAGGGGGTTTTTACAGACGCACCTATTGTATTTACTTTTTTTTTTATATTTGTATCCTTTCTTTATTTCGGTCGGGAAGCCCTCGGTATCTGCTGCATCAAACATCAAAGGTAAAATATCTCAACGAAATTTGAATCAACCAAAGAGCTTACTAACTCATTTTTTTTAAATACCCAACATTCCCACACATCTTTGTAGATCTATCATAACCTTGGGCGGGACAGAACGGAGGGGGTCAATAAGTGCTGCTTTGTTCATTAAAAGTGTTTCATGGTATGCCAGAGTATTGACATTAATATACCAAAGTTCCATCAAGAGTCTCGCCCAGGTTATGCCGTATTGCGTTAGGCTTTTGTCTGACGAATGTCGCTCAATGTAAGAGTGCGGCATCCAGTAGCAGGTGGCATCCATTGCACAGCGGGTGTACGGCTTGTCTATATAATTAAAATCTTTGAAAATTAGCAATTTGTAAATCACATGACTTGCACACTAAGCTATCGGAACCTTTTTTTTGTGCCTTCTCTCTTCAGAACCTCTTATTATTCTTTTCTTTTTTTTTGGTTTTTTGGTGCCTTCTTTTCTTCTTCAACTACACTAAGCTATCAGAACTTCTTAATATCTTTTTGCAATACACCAAGTCATTAGAATCTCAATTCTTTCGATTGGTGCCTTTTTCTTCTTTGAACCATGCCTCGCTGCCCATCTTGCAACGGCAACGATCACCAGCGTTCTACCAATCGTCGTTGCCCAAATTTCTCTCCACGAAACACTACTATAAATAATGGGCGAAACAATGAGCAGCAAAATGCGGTTTGCACCAGTTGTGGTCAAACAGGACATCGTCGTCGCTCAAACCGCCATTGTCCCCTTCATAATCAAGACGGAAATACAGAAAATTTCAATTCTAGGCCCAATGTGGCTCGCGATCCCAATGTCTCGATGCCAAATCTTCATAATGTAGGAGCCATGAATGTCATCTGCAGCCACTGTCAGGCACGAATGTGGAATGGAGAAAAAATTGCTGGAAGTACTATGAATGATCCTAAGTTTCAGCTCTGTTGTGGAAATGGTCATTTTGTACTTTCTCCTCTCAAACCCACCCCTCCTTTGATTGCCTTGCTTTTGACAGGGACTGGGGCGCAAGCAAAAGATTTCCGGCTCAAGATCAGAGCTTATTGTAGTGCTCTCAGTTTTACTTCTCTTGGTGTAAATTTAGACGAAAGTGTAATGAATGGCAGACGGGGCGCTTACTGCTTCCGTATTCATGGAAGTGTTTACCACTTGATGGGATCGCTACTTCCTGCTAATGGCCAACGACCTGCATTTGCACAAATATACGTCCATGATACTGACAACGAAATATCAAATCGACATGCAATTGCAAGCCATCTCGCGCGAGACACCTTGGAAGTACTTCAGCAATTAATGCATGAAACCAATCCTTTCGTCCATCTTTTCAAGACAATGGCCCAATACATACAGGATAATGGTGGTGCTTCCAACATCAGAATGATTATTCGAGCTGACGATGCCCCAGATCCACGACGCTATAATGCACCAAATGCTTCTGAAATTGGTGTCATTATCGGTGAAAACGCAGAGGCCTCTGGAAGGGATATTGTGATCTGTACGCATAGTAATCAACTGACATCAATCAGTGAGATGCATCGCCTATATGACCCACTCCATTACGTGCTGATGTTTCCTGAAGGCGACCCTGGGTGGAACATTGAAACTCGATCGACCAGAAACGACAGAGTCTCCATGATGAACTACAGTACTACAGTTTCAGATTGATGTATCGAAATGATGGACACCACTTGCACCTCTTTGGCCGACTCTTTCAGCAGTATATCGTAGATATGTATGCCAAGATGGAACAAAACCGCCTCAATTACCTTCGCCTCAACCAGGCCCGACTGCGTGCTGATGTGTATTCAGGCGTACAAGATGCTCTCCAACTTGACGACAACAATATGAATATGAATTCCATCGGTCAGCCTGTCATCCTTCCGTCGTCATTCATTGGCAGCCCTCGAAACATGCAACAGTTGTACCAAGATGCAATGAGTATCGTCAGATGTTTCGGAAAGCCTGACCTCTTCATTACATTCACGTGTAATCCAAAATTACCAGAAATTCGGAATGAGCTTCTTGCTTCACAGACAGTATCTGATCGGCCAGATTTGACAGCACGAGTTTTCAACCTCAAGCTCAGAGCTCTTTTGAAGGATCTAACAAAAAATCATACACTTGGAAAAGTAATTGGCTACGTTTATACCGTCGCTCATTCCGAATTTCTGGCCATTTTGGATTACACGTGAATGTAATGAAGAGGTCAGGCTTTCCGATCAATCAAAGAGCTTACTAACTCATTTTTTTAAATACCCAACATACCCACACATCTTTCTAGATCTATCATAGCCTGGGCGGGATGGAACTGAGGGGGGGAACCAGTGCTGCCCTGCGCGTGTTCAGAAACAAATCACGTTGCAACGTATGCCATAAGGTTGTCATTAATATACCGAAGTTCCGTCAAGAGTTCTTGCCCAGGTTATGCCGTGTATGCGTTAGGCTTTTTGTCTGACGAAAGTCGCTCAATGTAAGGGGGCGGCCTCCGGTGGCAGGCCTGCCATTCTAACCACACCCATGGTAGCATACCCTGAGTCTACCAATAAATATCCCCAATTGTGATCTTGAAGATCACGGGCTCCACCTAGTCTATATAATTAAAATCTTTGAAAAATTAGCGATTTTGTAAATCACATGATCTACACCAAGTTATCAGGACCTGTTAAACCTTTTTTTTTATCTTTCAACCATGCCTCGCTGCCCACTTTCACGATAATAGGCGAAACAATCAGCAGCAAGATGCCGTTTGCACCAGTTGTGGTCAAACAGAGCATCGTCGCCGTTCACATAAAATGTGAGTGGAGCTCTTTTTTGAAGAAAGGTGATTACGATACGACGATCTGGTGTTTTGTAGCATCATTTAATTTGGGTTATCTGTCAGTTATACTGTATATGCCCTTTCATTCTCTTCAGTAATCGAATGATACATGGAGCAGATATGCTTCGATCTGTGTAGCTCATCATTCATGCATCAGTGAGGTGACTATTGTTTCATCCATGGAAAATCACATATTTTTGTCCGAATTTTTTCTTCTTCTTTAGTTTTGCATCTCTTCTGTTTGCCTGGAAATCCCTCACTATCATTGCATCCATCATCCATCATCCAGACTATGGCGTGTATCTGATCCGGTCGATTCGATTATTATGAAAAAAGGTACCTTTTGTGTGATACGACTATCCGTTTTTCGACAAGAAAAAATTTACCTGTCCTTTTTCTCTATTCTGTCTTTAGCTTTTGGTTTTCTCTCCGGTTTTCTTTTGCCTGGCAAGCCATTCAAGCCATCCATCCCTCCAAAACCTTTCTACTTTGGTCGGGCACCAGATTGTGGCCAATCCGGTTTTTGTCGTCAAAGGCACCGTCGGTGGTGTGACTCTCTTTTTCATCGGGAAACGCTGACGCGTCCTCCCCAGGTTCCTCTCATATGGATTGCTGCCCGTGGTATCGCCTTCGATATTTCTTCCCGACCATTTTATTTTGTAGTTGTAGTATGTATTTTGTATTTTAGTGAATAGTCTTCTTGCAGTCTTTTCCTCCTTTTTTTTCCCACAGGGTTTTTAGGGGGTTTTTACAGACGCACCTATTGTATTTACTTTTTTTTTTTATATTTGTATCCTTTCTTTATTTCGGTCGGGAAGCCCTCGGTATCTGCTGCATCAAACATCAAAGGTAAAATATCTCAACGAAATTTGAATCAACCAAAGAGCTTACTAACTCACTTTTTTTAAATACCCAACATTCCCACACATCTTTGTAGATCTATTATAACCTTGGGCGGGACAGAACGGAGGGGGTCAATAAGTGCTGCTTTGTTCATTAAAAGTGTTTCATGGTATGCCAGAGTATTGACATTAATATACCAAAGTTCCATCAAGAGTCTCGCCCAGGTTATGCCGTATTGCGTTAGGCTTTTTGTCTGACGAATGTCGCTCAAGGGAAGAGTGCGACATCCAGTAGCAGGTGGCATCCATTGCACAGCGGGTGTACGGCTTGTTATGTAACATGATTAGAGGTATCGTCATTTTTCCCCTTGCATAAATCATCATTTTTCTAAAAGCGCTAGAATACAAGACTTTTTAATGACTTGTCCCTTTGAGGATTGTCTGTGTTACAGTTTATTCAACTTAGAAATCCGTGACCGATTCACATTTCTTTGTCCGCCATACGAGAGTATAAATATGAAAAAAATGCGCTCAATTTTTAACATGAAGCGTAAAGCTCTGATGGAAGATCTAAAGAAGAACCATGTTTTGGGAAGAGTCGTTACCCATGTACGCACGATGGAGTTTCAGAAACGAGGCTTACCGCATCTTTATACTGCAATGTTTCAGTTAATAATCAACAACAATTTTGGCAGTAAAGGTGCCCGGGCGGAGCACTCACTTGGTCCCAGAGGACCAAAAGTAAGTCATTTCTCGCGCCACACGTTGATTTTGAAGGTTGAATACTAAACGATAATTTGGACCAGCCTGTAAAAAAGAAGCGTAAGAGGAACCGTCAACGATAAAAAAAACGGCGAGGGTCCGCCTTCTTCCTCTCCTCCTCCTCCTCTTCCGCCACCACCGCCACCAGCGGAGCCGAACGAGCCGCATTTGCGGCTCGCAAAAATGAAGTTGTAAATAAATTGTTCTTCATTTTGTTCAAATCTTGGGTTTCCTTCTTTAGGACTTTCTTGGCTGAGGGATCGGATTGGAATGATCTATTGGAATTCATATCTTTTGATACTTGGTGCGGTGGTATACCGAATGGAGGGTGAAGATTTTTAGTTGCTTCAAATTAAAAATTGGCCGAATTTTCCACTCGTCATCCGACTATTACCTGTGTGTTGATTTCACATGACAATCCGAACTTGACCATGCAGAATCACGGAACTCTATTCCGTACAATTTTTTTTGGGGGGAAGTAACAGGACTGGGGAAAATTCCAACGTTGTTTCTCCACCAATGTTTATTTGAACCTGGGTGATCGGATGACTGCATCTCATCAAGTTGGGTGAAGCCGCAGGGTTTTGGTCCATCATGGTACGTTCATCCGTAGCTGGATAAAACAAACAACCGCACAAGATGACCATCACAACCATGAATAAATCGAATTCAAATAAACGTAGCGTCTGGGTGAGTCGGATGAGAGTGTAATGGAATAATGGTGTAAGATGTATGCATTTTTCACTGTAAACAATAGAATAAAATAAACGTGTGTAAAAAAAAAGAATCAAATGTACTATGCGTCTGTCGGAGGTGGAGGTGGGAGATAGAGGCCATGTGCATAAATGTAGTCAATTACAGGGTTGGGCAATAAATACTTGATAGACATGCCGCGCTTCACAAAAAGCCTAAGATACACAGCATCTTCAGTTATCCTCTGGTGAAAAAACCCTACTTGCACAGCGGCAAATTACCTGATCTTTGTAGAACTAATATCGTTGTGAATTAATTGTTTGATGACAGTAACATTCATCTATCGTTCCGCTTTGTTAGTCCCGCATCCTCGCTGCCTTGGATTCTGATTCAAATAGAAATTACCCGATGTTGATAAAGAATATCGTGCGATAACAAAAATCCATACACGTCTGTTCCGGTTCTTTCAATAATGACACAACCGTAATAACCGACAATATGGTGCAACTATGCGCGTTACCAAATGTTTAATCCCAAAATACAGGGGAGAAGGTAGTGATACTGATTTTTGAAGCACTTACATCATTTGGTGCCCAAACACCTGGATGACCAAAGGATGCAATAAGATCACCGCCAGCCAGCAGCATGATCCGAATTTTCCGCTTTCCGCCTAACCAACCGCATGTGTTAGGCTCCCATATTCTTCCGGAGATTCACTTGAAAACGGATTTAGCTCCTTACCACTCTTGGTCCGAATACCTCCTCCCACCGTATTCAGTTCATGATCAAAATGATCCAATACCACCGCTGTTCGTTGGTATGTTGTTTGACGTGATTCCCACGAATCCACCATGAGCCAATCGGAAGTCGATTCAACCGCTAACTGGCACATTTTCACCCGATGATAAGCCTTGGCCAATCCTTCTTTCATATACGCATCACTGACAGGGGAATAATATCCTGTCAGCAGCTCATAATCGCTGCGTTCTTTGATGTGATCCAGGGCCATTTCTGCAGATAATGTGTGAGGTTCCGTTTCCCTCTTCCTCAAGCTTTCACTAAGACTTTTAAAGCTTACCAAACATGCGCAGGTGCAAATAGGTGATGGGAGAGAACGAGCCACAAGCTACCAGTACCAGCGGCGTTTTATTCTCATCTAAGACAAATCAAAATATTCAGCATCGGCCGGCATGGACAGACTTTTTGCGTAAATGGGAAAAAAGAACGGTGGCTACCTTGCATGACCTCTGGCAGGTAGTGTCGTGGAAAGACGTATTCTTCTTCGAACCGCGCTGGTGTCAGTGCATCGGCCATGACGTTGGTGGCTGAAGCTGAGTCATGCGAGGACATAACCAACGGGAAAAGGTGGAATAAGAAACAAAGGAGAAAAGGGCAAAAATGGGACAACGAAAGAATTTGTTTCTGTCTCTTTTCTGACTTTGAAAACTGATTATCGATCATCACCTCTGATAATGAATGATCACATCCCTTCAGGACAGCTCGTCTTGTTGCAAGATCTGGCAGACAATCCTGAAGCTTACAATCAAACATCCATTCGAGCTACAGGATTGTAAGTCTACAGTAATACTGAGCGCTGACAAGGACTAAGTGCTGAATGTCTCAATTGCAATAGATTACGCAGCTATCGTCCTGAATGCAATGAAGCCATCATTGAACACGAAGGATCCATTTTACGGTTAATGACCGATCTCATTATACCTTTTCCCTTTGAAACTAATGCACTCATTCAATGCATTGGCGAGGTTCATCTTGAGGAGGTGAATACTGAATTTTGTTCCAGCGTGGCTGGGCTCTCTTCGAAACCCACTTACTCACCCATCACCGTGCTTTTCTAGTCCAATCAAGAACTCGTTTTGCGACCACGGATTGTACGCAATGTTGATACATTGGATATGAAACTGTATAAAGAGCGAATACAGTTAAGCCGAAAACTTAATATTTAAGCCCTCTTGATACATCCTACAGCATAGACCCACAGCCGGATCTTGGTGTGCAACAACATTGAACACCAGCCACAATATCCAACACATCTAGACTCTCTTGATGTTTCACTGTAAAGTTTATCATGAATATCAGAAAATTAAATGTCATCCACAAAGAAATCCCCAATTTACAAACAAAAAGATTCGAATCAAAATGTCATTAAATGCAGATACAGTATGGTAGCAGCATTTTCACAGACATTATCTGAATACCTTGGATAAATATGACGAAACAGAAAAAGATTAATAGATGCAAGCTCAATTAGATGTCGTGCAGTGATAAAGCGAATTGTCTTCCTGCGCAGCATCCAAAGAGAGGAAAACAAAAAAAGGACACCTCACATCCGATTTGCTGTGGATGTTGCAGTGACGTGGTAAAATAAAAAGGAAATGACATGAAATTAACCCGTGGGTTTTTGCTGTGTAGTATCGTACATTCTAATGATTTTCGTTTGATCGGAATCGGCCTGAGAGAAGGCGAAACCGCGTGATTGCTTGAGTCGTTGGATCTTGCGCACCTTGTTAACAGCTTGGCGGAACCGATCCATGCGTGGTCGATAATCGGGCAAGTTGAATTTTTGAATTTCTTGGATGTAATGATAGCTGCGCGTACGGTACATGCGTTTGTAACTAAACAACAGCGATTAGTTTGGGGTCAATTTATAACAACAAACACCATACTTACTATTTCCAAAGATAATCTCGAAGAATGCAGGCAAATGGAATCATAATGAAGAAAAGCCAATAATTCACATTGCCAAACAGCTGAGGTACAATACCTTCGTATTCCAAAAAGATGCCCCATGGCAGCAACGGCCCCACATAGGCAACAAATGGCAAAAAGATAAACCAAATTACCATCGAACCAGGAATCGCCAAATACGTATATTTTGTCCATATGCTGTAAGAAAACCTCATGTTAATATGCAATCTTCTTTTGTTATCCCAGTTTCTATTCGGTTACTTACTCTGAGATGAGAGCGGCTTTCCACAGAATGGTCGCTAAAGTAGCACTGAAAATCGTGGTGCCGACCCACCATTGACCACCGGTCCATCCACTTTGAAACACGCCGTCCTCTTTGAACGCCACCATTCCCAAGAAAAACAAAAGCTATTATCATGGTCATGAGATGATGCACGTTTATGCATGGTATCCGAAGGAATACTTACAGCTGAATGATACACAGCATTCAGGATCCAACCCCAAAATCGCTTTTGGTTGAAAAATTCGTTACTTTGGCCGAGCATATAGATTTGCGGGTATTTATCCAGCAGTCGAGCTGATGTGAACTGATCGAAAATGCCGATAGCCATTGGTGGCAGAAAGGTAAAGATAACGTTGAAGCATGACATCGTCCACGATTCATACAACGTTTGACCCGAGAATCCATTAAAGATAGCATACTATAAAACATTATTTCGATGTTAATTTTAGTGGACCTCACCGCAGTATGTGTTTACTTACCCAGAACTGTGTTAAATACAAGGCAACATTTTTGTAAAAGTAGAAAAAAATCATCTTGCTCAGTCTCTGGTATGCCCAAGCACCGTGTACAAGCAGTAGTTTTTTCAGGAACCGGAATTGGGAAATCGCGAAATCGGCACTTCGCGCTGCTTGCAGACCTTCCACACCGCTGATACCAACACCCACATGGGCAGCTTGAATCATGGACACATCATTGGCGCCATCTCCGATCGCCAAGAGAATAGATTTTGAATATTTCTTGACCAATTTTACGACGAGTGCTTTTTGTAGAGGAGACACACGACAACAAATGACGGCCTTGCACAAAATCGCCAAGTCGTAAAATATTTTTTCCAAATCTTTTTCCAAAGCAAATGTAAGCGCTTTGCCTTCAATGACGAGTGCCAAAGGCTATACATGATGTCCAGCCGTTAGTGCTTTGTCACATTGTCACCCTTTGACTGAACCCATTGCCCGTTCCTTCATTGATCCATCTTTCTTACCTCATTCTGAGTAGCCCTTTGCAACTGCGCATCTTGCAACTTTCTCTCGAGAAACAAACGAGTAGATTCATGATCTTCTTCGTTGCAGATAATGAGATCCATTTCTTCCGTCAAAAGCTTACAGCTGTAGCCAATATTGATGGCTGTTTCTTGCCGATCGCCGGTCAGTACCCACACCTTAATGTTAGCCTCTTGCAACGTGTGAATGGTATCTGGCACGCCGTCTTGAAGTTTATCTTCAATTGCCGTTGCACCCAATAAAAACATATCCTTTTCAATCACTTCGGCTGCTTTATCCAATTCTTCGGCACGATCCACCAAGGTCGTTGCTGCCTTGTCATAAATCTGCGACCAACGAGCATACTCATCATCCGAAATTTCGCGCATCGCGTAGCATAGCGTACGTAAACCTTCCGATGCAAATTCCTGATAGCCAGTCGTTAGGTAACCCGCTACACAATTAAGATGTAAGAAAGACGACTTACCTCCAAATGCTCCAACGTAGGATTCATAAACTGATTGTTAGCCGCAGCTAGACGTTCCATGATCACAGTATCTGCACCTTTGCAAAAAAGTTTGATCTTGCCGTCGATTCCTTTAAGAACTACGGACATGCGTTTTCGCGTAGAGTTGAACTCGCACACGTTTAAAATTTGATATTCCTGATCCACGCCTTTGATTGTACAGTGGATCGAATGAGGGCGTCGCGCATAAAAGTGGTACTGAAAGATTTTACTCGCGCCGGTAACAAGAGCACCTTCGTCAGGAGAGGATGCCTGGTATACGATCTCGTCGCTATCCGCTTTCGTTTCTGGAATCACCGTATGGCAGGTCATAAGCGCCGTCAGAAACTCGTGAATGATATTGGCGTGCATGGATCTCTGCAAATGATCGTCAAGTTGCTGAAAGGAATATTGGCCGTGACTATCGTACTCGGATTGAGGGCGCCGATCGGGATCAGCAGTCGTAGCGTAAGCTAAACCAGCAATGGAGCACTCCCGGAACTCCATTTCGTTGCATGTCAGCGTACCCGTCTTGTCCGAAAATACGTATTCGATCTGACCGAGTTCTTCTATCAAGCTGCTGCTTCGTGCTACGGCAGGTGTATTGGTCTTTTCGTAATAGATGTCAAGATCGTTATCAATCATCGTTGCTTGAATGAACTTGACAATTTCCATCGTCACCATCAAACTGTTGGCACGCAAAGAGGAAGCAATATTCAGTAACAAAAACTTGACAGCTTGATCTTAATAACGAGTGATTACCTGATAGGAATAAAACTATTAAACAGAATCATAAAGGTGAGAATGTTGAGCCCGAATTCGCGTCCTCGTTCTGTGGCTGGGATTTGTATATAAGACAACTGGTCGCCATCTCGTAGCTATACAGGCAATATACGTGAATCACAATTAATGAGAGGAAAACGGACCCAAAAGATAATTCGGAAGAAAGAGGTAGTACTCACGGAAATTGCAAGGTTACCAACCGAACAGAGAATGCTCATGAGGACCAGCATACTAAAAAGATACAAGATATTTCGATTGGTGATACGCGATACATTGGATGTCTTGGTTGGCTTTTTGCTGCATAGAAAAAAAAAAGGTTAGAATTCAGCGGGAAGGTTACTAAGCATTTTTTTTTCTTGGAGATTTACCTGGAATTTAACATGAGTTTTGTTTCATGGCCGGTGAAAACAACGAGACCGTAGATCCAGCTAGTGTTTCGAAGTTGCGCGCCTCGAAGCAACAACTTATTGGGATCAAGAGGCAGGTCTTTGGGTTTTGAAGTGCCATCGTCAGTTTGCATGGTTAAGGCACCGTCATAGTTGTAGAGTCGATTGTTGGGCTGTTCGGATTTTACAACTCCACTGAAACCGGCGATCTGCGCAGGTGAGACATACTTGGCCGTTTCAGGCAACGCTTGTTTGATTTTCAAGTTGATTTCTCTGTGAAAACCAATATCGGATTAAATCAAACTTTGAGTAAAAAAAAACCGCGATAAATCGATATAATCAAGATGATGGTTTTTACCCGTCCAAATTGCTCGTTTCGATATAACATAGACCTTCCGGTTCGGAACTGCTGAGCAAAATCAGATCGGCAGGAAAGAATTCGGAACTCTCGATTCTGCAAATATCACCCACTTTCACATCCCGCCAACGCTTTTCAACAAACTGAGATCCATCAAAAATCTTGCATAATCGAGCATTTAGTTCACGATCAGATCGATGCACACCCTATTCAGTGGGGAGATCAGAGAAAAAAATTAAGACAATAAAGGAGGTTAATACAGGTATGATATTGAAAGTGATTGAAATGATTTCCATCACGCATCAATGTCGTTGTCCCGGTTACTTACAAAGTCTTCAACAATTTCTTTGACTGCCGTGATGAGGAGAACGATGACAAGTGGAACCACCGTCGTGTAACGTGAGGTGGGAGAGATGTTTGGGATTTGCTGTACGATGACGATGAGAGTACAAAACAAAATGGTGACCATCAGCCACATGAACTGCAGTTTAGGTGATGACGAAAAGAGGTGGGGGGATGTTCCTTCTTACCTGGACACCCGAGATGAACAAAAAGAACAGATTGGCCGTTTTGCTGAATTCTTCGTACAAAAATTTCGGTAAAAATGTGATGGGATTGTATTTGGCGGTTGAAACAGAGTTGCCCATGAATTTTTGCTGTTCGTTCAGTAGAGGACTGTTGATGTGGACGATGCGTGGTGTGCCATCCGGTATTTGTTTTCGTTTCCAAAATAGATCTCTTACACTTGACAGTCTAAATTTAGATCGTTTGATGGGTTTTTCGGTGATGGTTGCATGGCTATCATCAGTGGCGGGATCCAGCCGCTGTTTTTGATGATAATCATTGTCCTTATCATAAAAGCCTTTTTGCGGACTGAAAGAGTGTTCGAGCATTTCCGTCGATTCATTATTATATTGCGAAAAGGGCGACGGATGTGATCCGGTGGATGAGAACGAATAGGCAGGTGCGAAAGGCGGACGTCGGATCGTCGAAGAGTGGGCCAAAAGTTGAAGACCTTCTTCATTCTCTTCAGGTATGGTCCGGCCATCATCCGAGAAAGAGGCTTCTATTATCATTTTCAAAGGATTAAAATCAGACAAGAGTTGTACGGTACGTTATGCAACCAAATAATTTTCATAAGCCAGTTGGGCTTTTCATAGATCTGCGTAAAACATGGATGAAACGCGTTTACCTGTGTCGAAGGAACCCATCTTTTTCAAGGTTGGAGGATACAACTTTGTACAAGAGAAAGTGTTATATTGGAAACTGTGGTGCAATCGATGGAAAAATGGAATGTAACTGAGGTAACAAGGAATCTGAGAGATGATGGCTAGGAGTGTTCCTCAAAGAACATTAGCAATCACACGTAACAAAAAGTTTAAATTCAGATGAGTTGTGAATGCTGGGATAACCCCACTGTACAAGAATAACAACTGAAAGAACAATAAAAAAGGAAGGCGAAAACAACCCAAGAGAAAGAGCAAAAGACAGGGAAAAAAGGTAATATGAGAAATAAAATGGGATAAAGGGGAACAATAAATCGAGGAGAGCCTTCCTTTTTTTTTTTTCTTGGGTGTCTGGAAGGGCCATGGATGCCATGGTTCCTTTCTGAGCCAAATGCGGGAACTGAAATCTTATTTTTCAACCAATGAAAAAAATTTCAACCGCCCGGTTGTCAACCACCGAAATAAGGACACTACCAAAATCGTTACACTATTCATTCAGCCTGTCCTTTGTTGAATCTCTTCCATGGTCTGTCGCTTTATCCCACATGATTAAATGCTCAGCCCTCGCGGCACAACATATACAGCTCAAATAACCGCGTCAAAAGCCATCATGATACGGACTGCTTTTCAATCAAGGGGAATGGAAACAGATGATCCCCGCTCGTAGCCTGGTTAGTGTAATAGAAAAAAAAAAGGAATCGCACGCATAAAAGCACACAAGCATGAATAAGAAGTACGGTAAAGCACATATTCCATCGAGTCAATAGACTCACAATGTAGCCAAAAGGGAAATGTAAACTTTTCCATGCTATAAATATCATTTGAGTTTTGCACCCTGAGCCAAAATGGAGCGCTTGTGTTCTCAAACGATTTTTTGCCCACACCATCTGAGGATGAAGGGATTTGCCCATCCTTCGCAAGCCTGTATCATCTGGTACAAGCAACTTTGTTCATACACCTAAATCCAAACCAAATCAGTCTAGTTCATTAGTCTTACTGACGATTCTGCGAACGACTAAGGAGAGGGCCACTTAGCGACGTTGATAACAAGTAAACTGTGAATGATAAGAATGGGTGGTCGGCTGCGGTTTCTAGACCCGATTTTGTGGATCACGGATATTTTAGAATGGCCAATGTCTCATACGGCGGATAATGAATTTTTTTGAGGCTTGCTCTTACCTATTCCTAGAGTCTGTGTGTTAGGATCGTAAAAATAGCTCCAACAACCAAAGCACAAAATCCGCTGTTATAAGCATACGTTTTTGCAAAAGATACCAATGATAGAAAAGAATGATGCCGCAACGCAAAGAAAGGAAGATGGCAGAAAACCTGAAATCGGGACTACATCGGACAATTAGCTCCGCTGTCACCTAATGGCTAAAGTCTATCCAATTCGTGATCTGCAACGAGCTATTCCATATTGTTATCGGATCCAATCATTGATGTCCGACAGCAACGAAGCTAATTTCTATGCATCGTCTCTGTCTAAAAGGTTCAGAATTTTTCACGTGCAGTTTCAGAGCGTGCCGTTCTCGTATTCTTCAATGTAAGACTTTTTTTGATTCTGTGTTTATGCTGTTGAGCGATCGTCTGCATGGGTGTATGGTCTTATTGTTCGCTTTCAGTGTGGGGTACATCACCTTGAACGCATCCAAAGTTCCGACGGTGATGAACCGCCAAGAAATGCTCACTTTCTGAGATTGAACGGATGTATTTTTTGTGCAACAACCCATTAAAGCGGATCCATTTTTTTTTCATACCTCATCATGCTGGCCATTTTGTTCCCCACACGATCATCAAAAGACTTTGGATTCATTTTTTTTTTTTTACTGTAAACGTCACTGTTGCAGCTGAACACATAGAAGTATTATATACAAGTCTTTGAACCTGTAGCATCAATGCTATGGTTCAAAGGAGTTTATTACGTCGTCATTTGCAAAAAAAAAGGATCAAAACAAGACCACATTGTCATGAAGTGGTCCATTAAATAAGGATCACGAGCCCTAACAAAATAATAAGGACAATAATTAAACAGCAAATGCAATAACCAGATTTGCTTTCTGTACCAAATTCAGTTAGAACACTCTCTACGACATTCCCCGGGTGATGTATAGTGGCTTTACCTTCTTCACGTTTCAACACATCCGTTACGCGATGCATAGCTCTTTTGAGACGCCCTTCCGTACGATCCACATGATCGCCTAATTCGTCCAGCAGCCTAATAACATGCCATTATTAGATACTATACACTTGTATCACTCGACTATCTCCATCTTACACGACATGATCATCGATTTCTCGGTTCATGGTGCCCGCAATCTCTTTTAAATTCACCAATGTCCCTGACATATTCTCTAAATGCATATCTTGCTCTTGCATCATTAACTAACAAGATTTTAGCCGACGATATCCCAGTTGTACGTTCTTAACGCCTCCAATACTTACCGTTTGCTGCTGACTCTCGTTTTCAATAAACTGGGAATTATCATATTCATGCCTGGATTGAGAACTGGCGGAGGGTATCATGCGGTTTGGAGACGATTCCTAAATATAAAATATATCAGACTTATTTATCGTTGGTAAATGTTCCTTGAAAAAGTGTCCGTTACATTTCTCCAGTCTTTGGGAGGAGGATTGGCCATGGTATTGCGTATAGTTTGAATGTTATTCCGAGATTGAGATAGAAACGCTTTGCGGTTATTCAGTTCGGATACCGTCAAGTTAAACTGCTGAGGGTTGGCTGCCGCAGCAGCTAACGCTTCGTCAAGATCGTCCAAGTCTTGCTCAATGGCTTCCAGACACGATTCCAATTCGTCAGCTGTCCACAGCAATTCTTGATTTCGCGGTGACGAAACCGTCTGCTGAATTCGTTTCCAGGAAGCGAAGAGATTGTTGGCATTGACAAAGGCATCTTCGACTTGTCTATCGATTCAATTAGCGACAGAGTCATCCTTTTTTTGGTAGTTAAATGTACCGTTTGACAATAAGAAAAGGATCGCTGTCTGTCATGTTCGCTTCTGTGTTTCTGGCAAATGCTTGAACAATCGAATCTACCTCTACGAAAGGCGGAATTTTCGGCAGCGATGAGCGACCGTGACGGGGTTTCAAATCAGATGAAGCGTTGAAAAAATAGAGAGTTCAGGCATTATATTCCAAGAGCAACAACGAGCATCAATTACAAGAGTTAACCTAGTTTGTAAAAGTGACAAGTCCCATGCTTTATGTCCTAAAAAGTGCCATTTTGCTTTAGCGAAACTCAAAGTATCTGCTGTTGATCAGGCAGTGGATCAAAGAGGAAGCGAATCTATTGATATGTGTGTTAAACGGCGCATCTTGGCCGAGGCTGGCCAGATTTCGGATACGCTTGATTACCAATTGAGGGGTTGCCTTATTTGACATTTTCCTTTGGTATTACAGGTAATATTATGGCTGCATTCAAAAGTGATACAGTAAAAGATCAAGAAGAGAGCTTAATCATCAGTCTGGATCCCATCCGCAAGCAAGCTAAACGAGAACTTCCCCTTTGGCATGAATTCCCGTCCCTCACTTACACACATTACGAAAGCAACTTAAATCATGTGCACAATCCTTCCTCAATCGATCGGCTGGCGCATAGTGAACAAGTGCGTGTAACAGTGACATGCTCCAGAATGAGTCGAATTTTCCATCTACTCGGCGTGTTGATCTTTCCCAAAGGCAAAACAACGAGAACCTGCGTTACTGGATCATTTTTTCCCTTCTTGTCGTTTGTAGTAATAGTTTGAGTATACATAGTGAGTTGGCTATACAAAGTATGCGAATAACATATTAACTTTACACATATTTCTCGATTTTGCAGCAATCGTGGTTGCAGATCATCTTGAGATTTCAATACTTCACGGTAAAATGGTCTATTAGAGAGAAGCAAGCCTTGTTACCAAGGTATAATTCCAGATACGTCTAAGTTACGTAAGCAAACCGATGAACCCAGGGGAAAAATGACCAGTTGTTTCTTATACCATGCTGGACATGATACAGTTTCACAAAGAGGAAAAATTTACATTACGGTCCGTGTATCGTCATGAGTTCAAGGATAATAAGATTTTTTGGCAGCGAGAACTGTTACTGAAAACTGGAGCCACATGAATCCTCGATACCTCATGGCTGTTTCTCTTTGGCACTGGACCGTCCTTTAAGGTGTGATTGGTCAGATGTGTCTTTTCTACAACTTCAAGGTGTGACATTAAAAAAGGGCCCCTCATTCTTTGGAAAATTTTATCTTCCTTCATCCAATTTATTGTGAGAATGCGTTTGATTATTCGTCAAGACTACGATCAAGTGTCGCATTATATTGGTATGCATATTTACACGCGTTATGCTTCGGAAAGAGACCCTACTAAATTATTTTACAGCAAACTACATCAAAGAGCGTATCAATGAATTCAACCCCACCGAGGCGCGTCCCTTTGTTCTGGGATTACCTACAGGTTCATCTCCTATTGGTGTCTACAAGCAGTTGGTCGAGTTTTATAAAAGAGGACAATTAAGTTTCGCCAATGTCATTACATTCAACATGGACGAATATGTGGGATTAGCTCGAGATCATCCGGAATCATACCATTCCTTCATGTGGAACCACTTGTTTATGCATGTGGATATTAAGCCTGAAAACGTCTATATCCTCGACGGCAACGCTCCCGACCTTGACGAAGAATGTAAAAAGTATGAAGCGGCTATCGCACGTGTCGGCGGTATCGAGCTGTTCTTGGGAGGCATTGGTCCTGACGGCCATATTGCATTCAACGAGCCCGGTTCATCCCTCACGTCCCGCACCCGAGTCAAGACTTTGGCTTACGAGACCATTCTTGCCAATGCCCGATTTTTCGACGGTGATATCAGCAAAGTACCCAAGCTGGCTTTAACCGTTGGTGTTGCGTAAGTTGCCCTTTGCGTTGTACTGCATCACTCTCTTTTTACTCATGGAGTTTATTGTGCATGTATCATGCAGTACCGTCATGGATGCACGAGAAGTTGTCATCATTATCACGGGAGCTCATAAGGTAAGCGCATGTGACATCATCGTCTGCGTGGCTTCATCATACTTAACAAGTAATTTGGTTAGGCCATCGCTTTAGCCAAATGCATCGAGGAAGGGGTGAACCATATGTGGACCGTGTCCGCTATTCAAATGCATCCAAAAGGGCTGATTGTATCTGACGAGGATGCCACGCTTGAATTGCATGTTAAAACCGTGAAGTACTTCAAGTCCATCGAACATGTTCATCATTCCTTGATTGGACCTGAAAATCTTTCTCTTCAGGGCGGGGTCAAGCAGCTAAAGAGTCGGGTCGTCATTGAGACACACTCTGCCCCATAATCATCTATCGGACAGGCCCCTTTGAGTGAATTGCAGTAGAGTACCTTGCTATCGATTGTTCCATTATATTTTCTTCATTGCTTCTGCAGCACCTGTAAACAAATAACAGATCCTATATGCATATTCTTGTAAATGTACGTGTAATACAACCCCTTCATTAAATGCCTTATTACTGTATAAACATTCGCGATGCACGAATCACCGCTTTGACTGTAATTTTCGACGACATGTAGGCTTGGAAGGGGCATTTGTCTTTTTGTTCACAGCACAGTACTTTCGTCTACAGTACACACTTTCTTGATATGACCCTGTTTGTGAAACGACGAAACTTCTTTTACGTTGGAAATATTCACTGTTGGTGTTCTTGCGTGCGTAATCCATTAGGTTATTTCAAGAGAAATAAAAGTGCAATTCATAGGGTATAACCACATGCAGCGACAGTGATTTTTGTTTATTCTGTGATTTTCATGCTTTGCAGGTATTCCATGAGCTCGGTCATGGTCATATTCTTGGGTAAAGTGCGTATAGGATTGCCTTCGTAGTTGAAAGTCATCAACTGCGAAAGATTGCTTAAATCGGGAGAAAGAGATCGTATTTCGTTGTTGCTCACGTCCAGTCTCTTCAACTGCTCCAGCTGCAAAATCGAGTCGGGAATTTCAGCAAGAGTATTCCAAGCAAGTGCCAGCGTTTGGAGCTTGGGTGCGCTCGCTAATACGCCTGGACTGACTGAGGATAGACGATTGTGAGAAAGTAACAACTCTTCCAGCATCGGTAATTGCACGCTCATTTCCTGGTCACTCATCAGGTCGCTGATCTGATTATGCTGTGCATCAAGCCGCTGCAGAGAAAGAAGCGAGATTGAAGCTGAATAGAACCATTGACAAATCCATGAGTTGTTGGGATCTATCACCATCGAAACATCTGTCCACGTTACCTGGAAATAGTACACGCAATCTGTTTTGAGAAATCACAAGTTCCTCCAGTTTTTGCCATTCGGTTGCATGCTCGATCTTGGGAAAACTGGTCAATTGATTATGCTGAACATTTAGTTTGCGGAGCATCCCGAGCTCGGTCAATTCTCGTGGTAATTCTTTGATTTGGTTGTTGCCAAGCTCCAAAATTTCGAGACGATCGATTTGAGCAAGTTCCACAGGTACCTGCGTAAGCCGATTATGCGACAAATCAAGCTCACGCAGACTTTTCATTTTTGTCACGCACGAAGGAACCTCCTCGAAATGATTATAGGGGAGTTGTAATACAGTCAAGTTGCGCAATTGGATGAGTGATTCGGGCAGTGTCGACAGCAAGTTATGGCGTAACTACAGCAGCGGTATTGATCCAACGTATTCAGCGTCCCCTTGTTACACCATGCCGCAGTTGGATCATTGACTTACATCCAGCAAGACGAGAGCACCAAACTCTTCGCCAACTCTTGTATCCAATTTCGTCAACGAATTGTCACCTACGATGAGCTTGTTCAGTTCCACAGCGTCGTACCAAGCATCGTCAGAGGAAGAGCTGAAATCCACAACAATGGAATTGGGGTCAACGTGGTACCTGAAATACGAAGCCAGTTAGCTCTATCTCCATCGGGGGTTTGACATACCACTTACATATTCAGCACTTCTTCTGGAATTTTATCCAGTCCACGGCTAGAGATATTCAATTTTCCAGATGACTTGGCTTGCCGTATCAGTGTCTGCAACTTTGCATTCGGCGGTGTCACTTGATTGCCAAATGCCTCGCCTCGACTAGCGTCAGGCCCCGAAGTGTATCTCTCAGCTCCTGTAAATACACGAGATTTCGGTGGCGTTTCTTTCTCCGGTTCGACATTGGTTTTACGAGCCACCTGTCTCGCTCGTTGTTGCGCCATAAAGGCGCGCACACCTTCGGAGGCACGCGCCTGTGCATAAGGTGAAGATTTCGGTCGAGGCACTTTTGGAGGATCAGCATGCGTGGACATGCCGGAACGGTCTGTAGCTGTTTTACGGCTACCAATTGCATTCGGTGGTGGTACCGTGACATCCGACGCATTTCTCTCCGTTTCTGTCTTTGCGGTATCGGCGGGCTTGTTGTCCTTGGAACTTTGAATGTTCGACTGTTTCCCGGCTAAGCGCAGTAATGACGCTTTGGTTTGCCGAGGTTGAATGGAACGTCGCTTATGCGTGGTGGACATGGGTATCGGTTGGACAAGAGAACCGTAAGCTTTTGTTTATAAGAGTCTCAGGAGAAGCGTTGGACCGTGAAGTGGGCAATATTTGAACCCAGACACACAGTCATGCCATAATCTCAAGTCAGTGAGATTCTTTACAAAAAAGTAAATCACGAATGAATTGTGTAAATCAACCTATTTTAACCGTAAACGTAATCATCAGTATCCCTCTAAAGCAGCAGATTCCATGGAAGGAAAAAGTCATATTCAGGGTCGATTTCAGGATAAAAGCTTATAAATGCGTGCTCTCCAGCGAACATGTCCATGCAGGAACCGTGTGAGAATAAAGATATAAGGGAAGCAAATTTATGAGTGATGTGGGAAAAAAAAAATACTATGCTGTGAATCAATGACCGAGAAGTTGTTGTTGTTCTTTTTTCTTTTTGCTTTCAACTGCCACACGCATAAATCCATGCACTTTATCGACAGCTTCGTAACATAAATCATGACATGAAAAATACTAAAGAGAATGCGTTAGCTGTCTTTCTTTTATCGCTGATAGTACCGTATGTAAGCTTGACTTGCCTGATTTTCGTCAAAATGACCCTCCGAATCCGATAGCAGTACGTGAGGTGTCTTGTGCAAATTATCAAATGCGAACGTGTGAGTCGAAGCCGCATTCTGTAACCGTAGCAAAAATCATCAGCATCAGCAATGATCCATAGTTCCGCCATATCAAAACATACTTGGATCTCTTCAACAGTAGGGTCCAGAATAATCTCTTTGGAAGATGCATCAATGATACATGTTACTGCAGCAGCCATGTGCTTCATGGGTATGCCGGCATCTAATAGTGCCAGTGTAATCGCATTGATCGCTGCTGCCATTACCTACGCAGTATAAGTACTCTCATTCACCATGACAACCTGTCAGTTTCTCTTTTCAACATACCGAGCCATCGTCTTTGATGATTTGAACCACGATCTGAACAAGCGTACGAGGCATCATACCACCCAAAATGACGGGTTCAAACGCAGTTCGTAATGTCGATTCCATCAACTTTTCTTTTGTTGCAGGGTACCCCACCGCTGGTCGCACAACTAGTTCAACCGTAGCTTCGTCCATTTTCTCGTCACGAATTTGCACATCCACAGGTCCCACCACTGATACCATCACCGATGTTTCCCCTAAACATCCACGTATTAAGCTTATTGTTGCTTTTACACCATGATTCAAAGTCTGCAAACATACCTAGTTCGAACTTAGCCGATCCATCAGCACGATTGAGAATATTTTGTGACGCGGCAAATGCACGCAATTGCGTGTTGTCGGTACGGCGATCGGGACGAATGACCATGAACCAAGTATGTAGAAAGCTGTCTTCTCAAAGCTCCATCGTTCGAGGACAAAAATGTTCCCCAGTTCCGGTTGCAAAACCTCGAAGTCACAAGATAGTCACAGCCTTTTTCGGAGATTCATGCAATCCAGTTCAAAGTGAAAAAAAAAAATGGTTTGTAGTTTGGAAAGATTGTGTTACAAAATGAAACTAACGTGGGGCCAGCCATGCGTCAGAAATTGTACGTAATGTGGTAGCTTCAGAATCTAGCATATGCAACCCATTTTCGTCTTTGGGTAATGGATCGTCCGATGGTTTCCAACCAGAATAATATCTCCTCAATATCGAGTCAGTTTCCATGCCCTCATTACTGTTACATTGCCATTCTTCTTTTGATAAAAGGTCGGATACAAGTTGCAGCATGGATTGCGCAGGAACAAACGTGCACAAGTCGGTGCTCTTGATCAGGGTATGGAGGAACCGCAGTGAAGCGTAAGCTTTTCGGCAGTGAGTGACACTTGCGCCACGGCACTGGAGTATGTACTGTTAAGAATGGATAGAAAAGGGGGATAGAAAAGAAGGTCAATAGGCAATTTTGTAGCTATGTAGACACACCAACTTACTCGATGCATTTGTATGGCATTTCCCAAATGACTGAGAAACATTCGGCTTTGACAGTCATACTGCGTGAAAATCCAACGTTCAAACACAAGTGTTATCAGATCAGCCGCTTGACGGCAAAATTGAAGAGCCAGATTATACGGAAAAGCAAGCCCGGTTTCGTGCCTCGCGGGCAAAAAATGATCAAATAACAGCATCCAGTTGAATGCATGCTCCAATAACACGATACATTGATATCGATGATACCATTCTGTAGACTTTCTATGCCACAACGTATGTATTTTGACTTGGTCATCCAATGCATCGTAAAATCTTCTTAGTTGGCGCATAGCGTCCGTGATTTGGTTCAACGTCTCTGTTTTCTTTGTCAAATCGCCTGTATTCAGTTTCTCCTGGATTTGCTCCCGAAGCCATCGTGTTTCAATCAGGCTGCTCAAGCAATAGGTGTGATGGACGTCTTGGATGGCCATACCATCACATACGGATGGCTTTTCCACACTAATGTCCTTTAGCCGAAAGGAGGTCCGTCTTTGTTGTAAAAGCGGCATTTGCGTGTCGAGTAACCATATGGCCCAGAAGAGTCGCCTTTCGATCTCGCATTCTGCTTTATGTACATGATGCTGGTATGTGGCACTTTTATGTAATCCGAGTGAAAGTGCCTTGCTTATCGTCACACCAATGCCCACATACGCCTGGTTCAACTGGTTTGTGTCGATCAGCCTCACCGTTCTCAAAAGACTGCAGTATAAACTTGAGAAACTGTAATCCGTAAATCTGGAGCTGTAATGTTTCATACAAAATTCGTTTGGCGGTGGGCTTGTGAAGAGGCCTTGAGGATAGTGAGCGCAAGAGGATGTCGATGCGTACAAGGCGCCAAACTGCGGATGGTTGGTAAAGGATTGAAGTATTTGTGGGGACATAATCACGGTGAAAAGACATGGACATGAATCGTTTTGTTCACTAAGAACACAAGACCGTAGAATGTCCGGGACGTAATAGTTGAGAGGAAGGCACTGCTTTAATGGCAGTGATGAGGTGTTGGATTTGGTCGGTGGGAGATGATCAGCGCATGTATCCTGATAAATATCCTGCACTGAATTCGGTATGACGGTTGCGAGTCCAGATGTCGTTTCCATATCGGTAATAATGCGCTTGTGACCACCAGGCAAAAGTGTTACTTCCCATCCATAGCTCTGGCTCAATCTTGCCACATCATCAAATATGGGCTAACAGAAAAAAAAATGGTCTATGATGGCTGCAGAAGAAAATCAACCCCTCTTGTTGCAATCACGTACCATTGTTTGCGTATCGAAAAGCAGCTGCTCTATACAATGCGATATATCCTGAATCTCAGTATACATATCATCCCGTTTCTGTCGACTGGAAACATGATCGTAGCGTATACTGTGATGGGAATAACTACATTCGCTTTGACTCCTCACACAATTACCGCAAGTAGGTCGCTTCTCATCACACTTGACATGACGACGACGACACCTAACAACCGCCTGAGTATGCTACGCAGATACCGCACCACAGTAACCTAATGGTCTTACTCGTTGCATTTCTTGGACGGTCGACTCGATTTTGAGATGGAAGCAGATGGAATATTCGAAACGGAGGATCGATTTTGATCCATTCGACAAAGAAAAAGGTCCCAAAAATAAATTCTTAAATGTCTGTAGGTAGCACAAAAAATGATCCGCAGCTGTTAACCGTCTTGTTACAAAGATGGGCAACAAATCATGACCGCTGTCTCTAGCAAGAAACGCCGATCGTGTGAAATCTGCATAAAGTACGGCAATCAGTCGCATGGTGTTTTTGACACGATGGAATGCTAATTCGTTTTTGATTTTCAAACAGTTGTCGTTCGGCACGCAAGCATTGTGACAAGAACCGCCCATGTCAGGCTTGCCATGAAAGCAACAAGCGATGTTTGTATGCCACCCAGTTTCCCTATACTCATCTCCCCCCAGAGAAACAAGCCGAGATGCTGGACCGTCTGCTCGCTGATGCTCACGGACGCTGGGAGCTTCTTAAAACCTACATCGATCGTCGCCACTTTGGAAGTACTGGCTGGCCAGTCACGAAGTCACCACCCAAGCAATTGACGTCGCGGGAATTACCTTTGGACGTTCCGTCTGAACATACGGTGCAGCGATCCGCGCCACCTTGGGCTGCCAACATGTCATGCTTACTTCACCCCGGGATAGTTCACGAAAAGATGTATAAAGCGAATTTTGATCGTAACCCTCAGATGCTCCACTGGATGCATCACAGTCATTCCGAAACGGCTCGATCCGCCCAGCAACCTCTCCGTTCAGAAAATCTTGCCGTCTCTTACGAAATCGCACGGGCCATGATATCATCCGATGAGTTGGATAAGTTGATTTGCCTATACAACGATTGCTTTTCGTTCTCTGCATTGCCAGAATTCCTATCTTCACAGCCGCATGTATACAATGAAGACGGCCGATTCCTCGTGGATTCGGTACTCACGCTCATGCTGACTCACGTTGTCAATTTGCACGCTGTGCAAATGCCGACGTATCATCAACTAGCCGCTGTCTTTTATCGCCACACCATTTCACTGCGCGACCAAAGATTGGCCGTCAACCCCGATATTCTATGCCTTCATGTGACGTATAACCTGATGCTCTATGAAGCCGAGAATGGATACGTGAAGGAAGCTGCGGCGTCAAGGCAATTGATGACGGGCATGATGAATCATCTGCACACAATCTATCACACAATGTCGGTATGGCAGCAAAATCTTCAAAGGCACCTTTTCTGGGCGATCTTGACAACCGACGTCACAGCCCATCGCTTGGTTATGGAGCCACGGATTTTGCAATCACCGTATATGTTTATTGGCAAACAACGTCCTTCACCGTATTCTTTGCATGTAGTGGATAGGCTCAAGGAAGAATATATCTACTTTCGATGCAAACTCGCCACCGTCTTGTATCGCATCTATTGCACCTGTTATCAGCAACAAGAGTCGACTGTCCATGGCTCAGAGATTAAAGAGCTTGAAGATAATCTGTGGACAATTTACGATAAATTACCGTGGTGGATCAAAAGTCAGGAACAGTTGTCGGACGTCGATCTTGAAAATAAGCTAGGGTATGAAGGATTGGGCACAGATGGATCCATTCATCCTTTTTGCAAACAGCTTTTGAGGAACGTGTGGATGCGACGATTACGATACCACTTTCTCGTCGAATGGCATGGTGCTTGGTTGTATCTATTTCTCGTTTTTCTCCCTCGGTCGGGCGATATCGTTCAGCTACCGTTTATTCGATGCCTGGAGCATGCCAAATGTGTGGTGGATATCCTCTCAGAGTGGGCCAAAGACCGCGATTATTTCGACTGTTACTGCTATCCTGCATTGCGATCGATCCTCATGACTTTCCATGTCCAGCAATACTTTCTTGCATCAGACTATGCCGACATACGGGACAAGGGGCATGCGTTAATGACTCAGCTGTTGTCCGTGCTTGAAAGATCCACCATGTACTCGCTGTATAAGAGCAGCGCTTTTATTCATACCATGCATCTACATGCTACTCAACGTCACTTTTAATCATATTATATGTTTTTCTTGTCAATTCAATGATACCGTTTGTCCAGCAGGCATCCATGTGTTTTGTCTATCCAATAAAACGTGGGTATAACAAACCAAAGTAAAAACCAACGGCTACTCGAAAAGCTTGACCAATAAGCCCGACGAATAAGTTTTAGTTGCTGTCTGCAAAGAGCAGTATCCTCTACCAATGCTGGCGGCTACATCATTACCACTGTCACCTTTTGCTCATGGCTTAGAAAACGCTTATCACCAAACCAGCAAAAGATTAAGGATAAGAATAAAATGGCTCGATTTTATTTTAACCAAAAAGCTTATTTATACTGTCTTATTACTATGAAAAAAAGAAAAGCAAAGAAAGATAAACTAAAAAATAACCAGATGGTTGACCAAACCGACCCCGACAACAGTGTAGGGACCCCCAAGCCTTGAAAGACCCAGGTCTGCCCAAGTCAAAAGACGAGGACAGCTTCCCCATGCCCACCCCTACACTTTGTCGGGTTAGTAGAGACCGCAGGACTTGTCGTACTTCTTTTTCGCGTCCACGGCCACCACGCTTGGTACCTATAAAAAAAGGAATGCTGTGTCAAAAAAATAAAACTGCTTTTCTTTTATATCTTTTTCATTTCGTGGGAAGATTTTTTCTCAATTGTGACGGGTATGCAAAAGGACAAAGATAACGTAACACTCGCAAGATGGCTATTCCTATGAAGCCAACATTTTCTGGCTTTTGAAAGATTTGAGAACCAATGGCAAAATTTCGATAGGCCCTAAGAAGAAAGGGACGTTGAAATGATATCGTCCAAACGGATCATGACGGATGGAAATAAAGGATGGCTGGTTCGTCCGGTACTCTCAAAGAAAAAAAAGGCTCGTCATTCGGAATCCCCAAGTAACAGCAACAAGTCGAATACAACCATAACTACCAAGTGATTGATGAAACTAATGGATGGCATGGGGAATTCATGGTTTGCGTTTATTTGCTTTCCAGACATTGCAGGCGTAGAACGTTGAAACCTTCTTTGATCAAACTTGGATCGAGAAGCCCTTCCGATCACTTTTGGTATGATATCGTCCCTTTCTCAAATTATATTTGCAACGATTATTAGCAATATCATCGGTGTTAAACATATAGCTCCGCAGGGACAAAGAAGTATATCATATATCCCATTCTCATGAGTTGCCTTGGGTTTGACACAATCATTGGATTTTTTTTATTTTATTTTCATTGATGGACCCGAGCAAGATCCGCCGCTCCTTTTTTTTGACAAGCAGTCAGTTAAACTTTAATTGCACAGCAGCATTTCTGCAGCTTCATTCAACTTGTCGCTTTACTCTCTTTTGCAACATCGTTTCCCTTGACCATCGTTATATTGAATTCTGAAATTTCTGCATCTTCTTTCATCGAGACCTCAACTCGCTAGAAAAGATCGTTTCCGCAGCGTATGCTCTTTGTTGGTTACATTGACGGAGCCAGGTTTCAGACGAAAAAATACTAAGCCAATTTTAATTGGGATATTTAACAGAAAAAAAGCTTATCTTATACGAGACCAAAAGAAAGCCCCATTTTGAACATGGATAAAAACTATGAGAAAATGCGGTTCACAACCGCCTGGAAAGTGTTACAGAATGATGTATATTATCCATCGCTTATAGACCTTTTTCGCTACTGAAGAAAATGGTGGAGAGTGAAGAAAACATGGGGTTGCACAACAGGAACGTGCGGGACAGTGCTGATGCTTCTTTTTCATGCAATAAAGTAACACAAAGAAATCGCACTTTTTTTCAAGTGGATAAGCGAACATTTCATCTTCACCTTTCCTTGCCGCTCTACATACGATCTACCGGGTATGTCGAAAAACAAATTTCCTGTAACCATGAGACCATCAGAAAAGTTTGTGTTCTCAGTTTGATTTGTTTGGAACCTTTGACACCACGGCACATTAACCAAGGTAACTTGCCAAAACAAGAATCGACCCTTCCGCGGTTTGCAAGGCATTTCAAAATCATTCGTTTTCTTTCCATCATGCACATTTGCAGAAAATACATGTGTGGTATATCTACTACTTGTCGTATTATCCATCCTAGACTGGTGTTCCCAAACAGGAAAGATCGGGATCTAGACGTGTTTCTATTCTGAGTGAGCTTCTCTATTAGAACACCGATTGAGCCTCTTCATCCATAACTTGGATCTATCGCCGAGATCAATTCATACGGGTAAAGCTGTCACATCACAGCATGTCGATCCTTCCTAATACACCTTATAACCGAGGACTGCTCACTGATAATTATTAATTCCGACTCAAGACTAAAGTATAAATAGGCAGATCACATTAATCGAAATAAAGGCATCCAACAGTCTCAAAGGATTCTCATTGTCTCTTTTGTTCTAAATTCTCTCATATATCACATTCATAACGCAGAATCTGTTGGCAAGATATTATCCTTAGAGGGTTAGCCCAAAAGAACCAAATCACTCAACTTCAACCTGAAAGCCGCAAAGGATGAGGATAGAAAACGTTATTGAAGTACCCATTACATTATTATAACATCTATCGAAACCAAGAAACGGATAGGATGGCGTAATGTGAAATGCTGCTATCATTGTTGCCTTGGATGCTCGTTGTTGTACAAAAATTATCAGACGATGAAAATATGGTGAGTAGCTTGAATATTTTGATGATGAAGCTGCTCAATTGGAGGGGAAAGAGCTCGAATCAATCTAAAGTGAAAGTTAAAGTGAAGTAGAAGTAGTTAGGGATCGCAAAACATAGATGAACAACAATAAATCAGTTGCTCATGGTTTTATTCTTTTAGACGTTACTTCGGCAACGGTACACTTTATGCAAGTATTCCTGGTTCTATCTCATTTAGTCTTCGTCGCCGGGAGAAAGGCATCACATCTTGCCTGCGATTTATCAACTTGGTTTTGGCGGCATTTGGTAAGGAAATACAACCGGCAGTGATTGGTGCATTATTAAGCTTTGCCACCGTCGATCGCTGCATGAAATACTGTTTAGAACAGCATTCGTGGGACATAACGTAGATTGGGCGTAATTTCACGGATTGCGACCTGTCCAAAAACAAATGATGAACAAAGAAATGGAACAGATGAACTGTGACTGATAAGGTCCGAACCTGTACAATCAAAAAGGTAGTTCAACGTCCTTCTTAACCTTAATCATGCAGTCTTGTTCTTGGTGTTCTCCACAGTTCAATAGTTTGCTCAGCTTACAGGGTCATATCCGGAGGAAGCATAAAAAGCAACAACCTCCATTGTTTTTGTCGTTGAATCAAGTATTGCCACCGGCAGCGTCAAATGATGTATCGCCATCGCCATCGAATGAACCGTCGCCCTCGTAAGTTGTTGTGCCTTTCTTTTTTTTTGTTTCGAACAAGTGGCGTTGTCTCGTTACTTTACTGATTCGAGAATCAGTGTTTCGATGGAGAATGGGCCGTCTTCATCTTTGTCCTCGGAAAAGTCGCGAACGCTGTCACCGATGGCTGATGTCCCTTCGTCCAATTCTCTCATCGCCCTTGTTATCATCCACAGTCTCTTCGTCGGCAGAGAGTTCACCATCTCTCTCGCCTGCCACATTCACTGTTCGTCCGCCTGATTGCTTGGCTTGTGAAATAACGTTTTGGAGATATTCTGGCATATACCTATGCAATATTATCATTATTTGTCCCGTGCGGCCAAAGGCGGGAGACCGTACATGAGGAGATCCAGCTACTGCGACGCGGCGTTATATTCAACAAAGGAACGCACCCCACTCCAAAGTCATCAGAAGGAGCAAAGTCGACAGCATTGTGCACGATGTGAAGGAGGCGGAAGTCGTGGACATGAACGACATGAAGATGATGAACGGAGAGATCGAGTGGTTGTCAACTTCTTTTTCCAGGCGCGGGGTCATAATCCATCATCAAAGTTGGCTGACAATGGCTGATTCAAAAAAACCATATAACCTTCTCATTGTCTCAGCCTTGGCTATAAAAATGCGGTTGAATTACATGCTGCGACTTCCCTTCTGTTTCCTTCTTTCAATTCCCCTCCCACTGCCTACGAAAAAAAATGATCCTGATCACCGCCTCTGTTCGTCTCGCGCCAGAGCCAGTTTTTTCATTCACATCTCAGAGCTGTAACCTATCAGTCATCTTGAGGACCTCGTCTTCCGGGACCCCTATCACCATATACTGCAATTCAAAAACGAGGCTGTGGGCAGCATTAAATACATGACGAAGGGATCCGCTTGGATCGTTAAGGGTAAGAGTTGTCACTTATTCGATCCATCCATCACAAAATTTTGACGCCTTTTTCCAACTTTAGACTAGTCCCGAATCAGTGCATGGGTCAACGAAAACAATCGTGCCCGAGTTAACGTATCCCTGACCCTAGATGAAATACGAGAAGGGCTCATAATGAACCCGGATGGACACATCGTACGACAAGGCCACCACCACGAGGAACTCTCATCTTCAAGGAAGTTGATGTTACCCATATTCTCTTCAAGGACAAATTCGAATTCTCCAGAAAATTGAAAACCCCTTATACTCACCATAAAGGCCGTTCTTGAAATTGACAAGGAAATAATAAATAAAGAAGCTTTTTACTGAACCTTGCTTGCGACAATGACATTAACGTGGGCCTTTGTGAAATTGGGATTTGTATTGAGCTATTTGTCATTCAGATCGGGGTCATTATACAAAGTATTAGTTTTGTAAGTAAATTGCTATTTTATCCGATACCATGAGCACAAAGAAGAAGGGTTATTGCTGTCACCGGGTCCATTGTTTTCTATGAATCGATCAGCAACTGCCAAAAAAAAGGCGGGGATGTTCCTTTTCCGGCAGTTGATTTGAAAAGTAGAGCGCCAATCAAATCGGGCTGTGACCGTTTAATTTTTTCGGTTCGATTTTTTTCGCTGCATTTGGTTCACTGTTGGGTTTTTTTTTATTGATTCCACCACTCATGGTAAGCATACGAACTTGAGATCTATTGCTGTTAGTTATGGCATGACTTATATTATTTCGAATTATAGAAAGTAAAAGCATTGTCCCGTTCGTCTAACGACTATTTGCGTGAGCGATCGCAAGATATTCACAAGATCCAACGCAATCTGGATCCTTCGGTGCATCCGTTTGAGCAAGGCCGAGAATACATTCGTGCGTTGAACTCGACGAAATTGGAACGATTATTCGCCAAGCCATTTGTTGGTGCTCTCAGCGGACACATCGATGGTGTTTACAGCATGGTCAAGCATCCCAGCCGATTGAACTCTATCATTTCTGGCAGTGGTGATGGTGGTAAGTATTGGCATAGAGCCAAGTCACACCTTTTTTTTTTTTTTTTTTTTTTTTTGCAAATGGATTGCTTATTGTTTGGTAGAAATTCGTATTTGGGAGCTTTCTGAGCAGCGAACAACATGGACCACTCGAGGTCACACGGGCATTGTCAATGGTGTGTGTGCTGGATCAGGTGAATCACAATTCTTGTCATGTTCCTCAGATAAAACGGTTAAAATTTGGAACGCTTCCGAAAGCACCGAAGCGTTGGAAACTTACATTGGAAGATACGCATTTACTGGTCTGTCACATCATCGCAGCGATCCTGTGTTTGCTACATCGGGTAATACAGTCGACGTCTGGGACGAACATCGATCGGAACCTATTCACGAGTTTGCATGGGGCGCGGATTCCTATCAGACTGTCAAGTTCAATCAGGTCGAAACCAATATTCTGGCAAGTTGCGGTACCGATCGCACCATTGTCTTGTACGATTTGAGAACGAACAAACCATTGTCGAAGCTTGTCATGTCCATGAGAACTAATGCGATTGCGTGGAACCCTATTGAAGCCTTTACATTTGCGGCTGCGAATGAAGATCACAACGCTTATATTTTCGATATGCGAAGGATGGAGAGCGCCAAGAACGTACTGAAAGACCACGTGTCTGCCGTCATGGATATCGATTACTCTCCTACTGGTCAAGAAGTCGTGACCGGCTCGTACGATCGCACTCTGCGTGTCTACAATGTACACAAAGGTCACAGTCGAGATGTATACCATACAAAGCGAATGCAAAGGTAAGCCGAACCCAGTACTTTAATACGTTGTCTCTCTGGCATTAGACACTCATCGTGTTTGTTTGTATTTTTTTTTATAGAATTTTCTCTGTTCAGTTCAGTATGGATAGCAAATACGTTTTATCTGGATCCGACGATGGCAATATTCGTATCTGGAAAGCGCATGCATCTGAGAAGATGGGTGTTAAAGATTGGCGCGAGAAGAACCATCTCGAATATTCACAAAAACTCAAAGAACGATTCTCTCATATGGATGAAATCCGAAGAATCGATCGTCACCGCCGTATTCCTGGTGATATTAAGCGGGCAGACAAAACCAAGAAGGAGATGCTTGCAGCACAAAAGAGAAAAGACGACAACCGACGCAAGCACAGCAAAAAGGCGGCAGAAGAAGAACGCGTATCGGAAAGAAAGAAGGCGATCATTGGCGTCGCAAAGTAGACTGTTTTCATCATTTGTTCATTGGCATTTTTTTTTCCTATAATTCCCAATATGTTTTTTTACTCATGTAACTGTAGAATATATCAGCTTATTTCATAGACTCAAACACTTTCCGAAGATGCTTTTGTGCATTGTGATCGGTTTAAGGTGATGGGTAATACGCGTAAGGGAACCTTCATGATTGTGCTGTGCTCAATCCTCATCGTTCCCATGACATACTCAACAGAACGGAAAAAGGGAAAAACATGTAACCATGACTATGAGTTGTCCAAAGCAACCGCTCACGCTCAATGTGAAAGTTTGGATGGCAAAAAAGTTATTTATACCAATGAGGGCAGACTAAATTATTTGTTGTTGCCATCTGAATCGAAAGATGCCTCGCTTGAAAGAGAACGACGTCGTTTGGCTGGGTTCTTTCTTTGCCCAGCTGAAAGTTTACGTCGTTTACAGCCAGATGAGGATGGGTATCGATGTTGGAGCGCTTCTTTATACGTTGAGCAGAAACTTTAGGCCGCTTACAGCAAAGAGGTGCCTAATCGTCGGGGTTGGCGCGTTTGCGACATGGCAAAAGTGAGGTTAACTGTTGATCTTGGTCCGGTTGGTGGAGCCTTCTGGAAGCAACCGGATCAGAACGGGATGGAGTACGTGCTTTTGGAGTGCCCGCCTCTGAAATAGGCGGGTCAGAAGACTGGCGCTCCATTCCCTTGTCTAGGCGCGAGCGCGCGGCGGTGGGACAGTTTTCTTTCGATGACCTTGTTTACGGCAACGGAAGCACCCATCCCAGGGGCAACGTACGGGAATGACGTTGGCCACCTTAGCCTGTAATTTTAACTTTTTCTGGAAGGTCGTCGATTTCGCTGTGCAGCTTAATGGTGACGTACCACTTTGTGAGGGCATCTCCATAAAACAACGGGGTTCAGCTTTTATAACATGCCCCAATGATTTAAGTGATTCCCTGAATGAGCCTACATCACAGCCAAGGGGCAAAGTCGAATAGGAATCGTCGGGCACCACGATGAACTGTCATTGAATGGAGCAAGTGCGAATAATCCGCAACTCCTTTCTTATATTGTATAGGCTGCTTTGTGAAGAAGGCAGCGAGAGAGATAAAGACAGACTTGAAGCCAATCTTCTGTGCATTGTGTCGCGTTAAAAAGTATTTTGCGGTGATTTAAAAACCTAAAATTCCCCAATTCTCATTTCCTCTTGAACCGCAGCTCTTTTTCTTTCCTTTGAGACCCTCTTTCACTGTCCTTCCTTTTGGTGTCTTTTTTTGACCATTAGTTGCCTTTTTTTTTGGTCTAATTCAAAAAGCTACCGTTTATTTTTATGAAGGTCCCAGCGTTGAAAGAATCTTCAGTGCGAAAGCGCCGACTGCGCTACCTCAAGCCTTATTACTCGCGACAGCTCAAACGACACGGAACGCTCCCGAACGATACAAACGGTAAACTCGTGGTTTGGTTTTTTCAATTTTTTGTCGCCCTTAACCTTGTTTGTGCCGCTGAAAGATGATGCTTTGATTTGTGGCTCCTCCACACTTGAAGACGGCTTAGAGCTCACTTGTAGCACTCATGGTCGGTTTCAGGGCTCACCTATATGACCAGTCTCACATATCCTTTTGGAATATTAACCCTCACTTGGGAATATAGTTTTATCCGATACTGAATTGTCTCATAAAGACGACACTGAGGCTTCCAATACTAACCAACGCGATGGTAATTGGATTAACTGCCAAGCCTAAATACCGAAAGCTCAATTTAACCTCAAAAAACTTGTCCGACTTGTGTAGCAAATTTGACGCCCCTTCCAGTGGAAGCCTGTTCCACCATCTGTGAAACTGACCTTGCCATGGGAACTTTGAAGGTTGCCTTCTCTACCGCTGAAGAGGACGGCCAAATGGTCGCTCCTGAAGACGCTCCCTCCGGTCAGAATGACCCTCCATCTCACTCTTCATCGGATGCTGAAGGTGACTCAAGTGAAGACAATGATGAAGAAAGTGGTTCGTCTGATGAGCAGGAAAACTTGAATGAAGACGATGAGGAAGACAACTGTTCCTCTTCGGATTATTATGAACCTGACAGCTCTTCAGCGGACGAAGCTGACGAAGCCCCATTGATTTCTTTCCTTGTCCATTCTGGCCAGAATAAACGCCCATGGGCTGAAGAAAAAATTGTTGAAAACGAAGAAACCGGCGCGGATGTTGGTCCATCGCACGTGGAAGAGGAAGAAAAGAAGCCCAAACCGCCGAAACGCCGTCGTTTGCGCAAGCACATTGATACGCTTCGCAATATTAGTGCAAATGAACTGGACAATCTGAGCGAAATCAGCCAGCGTTGCACTTACGAACTGCTTTCTCCGTCTTCCAAGGTGTCTCCTGTTGTTGTAGGCCACACTACTGGTGTCCGCCAACGCCACCTCAACCGAGCCAAAGCATCGCCATCCCGCCTTGATCAGCTGGCGCAGCGTGAAGTGACCGATTTGGATCTGAGCAAGCATTTCTTTATCCCCGAACAGTGGGTTACCAAGGACAGTGGAGAACAAGCAGCTGCGTGCAAATCGGATGGTGAGGATGACAGTGGCAATAGTGGCACCGATGATGTGATGGAAGCTTGTTCGGAACGTCCTGTTGTCGGAACATCCTCGGTTCCTGACAATGCTTCTACCACAGAGGTTAACCCTTACGGCGAGCTTCCTACCTCCAACTTTCCTGAAGCGACCATCGCGCCTACTTATTCAAACCTTTTCACCAAATTCTTGCATCGCATGTCTCGAATTTTCTTGCCTGACGGTATTTAAAAAAGAAGGTCATCTCTCATCACATTAACAATTTCTTTTGTCATTATGTATCCCCTTTCGCTTTTTCCTTGCCTGACATTTTCTTTTAAAAAGAGGTCTATACCTCTCTATAGTATTAATCCCACTTCATCGTCCTTTTTATCATACCAGTTCTTCCATTTTACCCACATCATAGCGTTTATTATTAAAATAAATCCGTAACCTCATTGTGTTACAGATTCTTCTATCATACTGTGATACTGGTCTTGTCCTGGGTGGCAGTCTTTTCTTTACCGGCAATTCAACCTTTAGATTCTGCGCCTAATGTCAGCAGAGACAAAATCACCTTAAACGCGAATAAGTCATGTTGAATATCGATACGATAATTAAGTGCTTTCATATCCATTCGGATTTCTGAATCCGCTAATCTTAAAAAACATCAGGCCAAAGGATACTCTGAGTTAAGAAGGGGGCTTACTGCACATCAGGATGATCCGGTTACTGTGGCACCGAAAGAATATCAAAATCTGGGGCAGTTGACCAAAGGTTTAACAACCCTGGCGGAAGCTGATTAAACTTGTTTCTTTCTAGTGTATCCAAATCAGACATAATCCTTCTTTGGGTACGTTTTCACAGAAATTCACACCAAAAGCCGCTTAAAAAACAAAAAAGAACTGCCAATAAAAAAAAATATGCCAATATCACAGTATGATAGAAGAATCTGTAACACAATGAGGTTACGGATTTATTTTAATAATAAACGCTATGATGTGGGTAAAATGGAAGAACTGGTATGATAAAAAGGACGATGAAGTGGGATTAATACTATAGAGAGGTATAGACCTCTTTTTAAAAGAAAATGTCAGGCAAGGAAAAAGCGAAAGGGGATACATAATGACAAAAGAAATTGTTAATGTGATGAGAGATGACCTTCTTTTTTAAATACCGTCAGGCAAGAAAATTCGAGACATGCGATGCAAGAATTTGGTGAAAAGGTTTGAATAAGTAGGCGCGATGGTCGCTTCAGGAAAGTTGGAGGTAGGAAGCTCGCCGTAAGGGTTAACCTCTGTGGTAGAAGCATTGTCAGGAACCGAGGATGTTCCGACAACAGGACGTTCCGAACAAGCTTCCATCACATCATCGGTGCCACTATTGCCACTGTCATCCTCACCATCCGATTTGCACGCAGCTGCTTGTTCTCCACTGTCCTTGGTAACCCACTGTTCGGGGATAAAGAAATGCTTGCTCAGATCCAAATCGGTCACTTCACGCTGCGCCAGCTGATCAAGGCGGGATGGCGATGCTTTGGCTCGGTTGAGGTGGCGTTGGCGGACACCAGTAGTGTGGCCTACAACAACAGGAGACACCTTGGAAGACGGAGAAAGCAGTTCGTAAGTGCAACGCTGGCTGATTTCGCTCAGATTGTCCAGTTCATTTGCACTAATATTGCGAAGCGTATCAATGTGCTTGCGCAAACGACGGCGTTTCGGCGGTTTGGGCTTCTTTTCTTCCTCTTCCACGTGCGATGGACCAACATCCGCGCCGGTTTCTTCGTTTTCAACAATTTTTTCTTCAGCCCATGGGCGTTTATTCTGGCCAGAATGGACAAGGAAAGAAATCAATGGGGCTTCGTCAGCTTCGTCCGCTGAAGAGCTGTCAGGTTCATAATAATCCGAAGAGGAACAGTTGTCTTCCTCATCGTCTTCATTCAAGTTTTCCTGCTCATCAGACGAACCACTTTCTTCATCATTGTCTTCACTTGAGTCACCTTCAGCATCCGATGAAGAGTGAGATGGAGGGTCATTCTGACCGGAGGGAGCGTCTTCAGGAGCGACCATTTGGCCGTCCTCTTCAGCGGTAGAGAAGGCAACCTTCAAAGTTCCCATGGCAAGGTCAGTTTCACAGATGGTGGAACAGGCTTCCACTGGAAGGGGCGTCAAATTTGCTACACAAGTCGGACAAGTTTTTTGAGGTTAAATTGAGCTTTCGGTATTTAGGCTTGGCAGTTAATCCAGTTACCATCGCGTTGGTTAGTATTGGAAGCCTCAGTGTCGTCTTTATGAGACAATTCAGTATCGGATAAAACTATATTCCCAAGTGAGGGTTAATATTCCAAAAGGATATGTGAGACTGGTCATATAGGTGAGCCCTGAAACCGACCATGAGTGCTACAAGTGAGCTCTAAGCCGTCTTCAAGTGTGGAGGAGCCACAAATCAAAGCATCATCTTTCAGCGGCACAAACAAGGTTAAGGGCGACAAAAAATTGAAAAAACCAAACCACGAGTTTACCGTTTGTATCGTTCGGGAGCGTTCCGTGTCGTTTGAGCTGTCGCGAGTAATAAGGCTTGAGGTAGCGCAGTCGGCGCTTTCGCACTGAAGATTCTTTCAACGCTGGGACCTTCATAAAAATAAACGGTAGCTTTTTGAATTAGACCAAAAAAAAAGGCAACTAATGGTCAAAAAAAGACACCAAAAGGAAGGACAGTAAAAGAGGGTCTGAAAGGAAGGAAAAATTAGAGGAAATAAAAAAAAAAGGTGGACTTCAAGACATCCAAATGAAATTGAGGGATCGGCTTTAACCATCGCTTTATTTCTATTGGCTGACACTGCGAACTCACTCCACCTCAAGCGAACATCATAATGGAAACCAGCAGGCCCTTGGGTAGACCGGCAACTATCCCATTTTGCACCATGGAACCATTTGCTGGATTTCATACAATAAAACATCCACATAAACATTTTATTTTATCTCTTTTCTTCGCTTGGCTACGCGTTATTACTTTTCAATGCAAACTACTCCAGAAAAAAGAAGAAAAACCCCAGAGAGTGTTCGCGCTTACTCGGTTAACGAGAGATCGTCTCCCACGTGATGAATCAATTACATGATGTTTCGTCACCAAGTAAGGTATGTAATAAGTATGCAACAAGAACTGTGCAGACTTTCCATACATTAGAGTATTCTATTTCGCGGGTCTTATGTACTGATCATTGTTCTGAGTCTAGCTTTTCTTACCAAAGTCATTGAACATCCTTAGGTGGAACATCGTGTCCTGAGTGCAACGCGGTTAGGTGAACATATGCGCCCTCCCAATCAGGATTTTTGAGAACGCCGGAGCGTGTACCGGTTTAGAAAGACACACGTTATCTCAACCTGCTATTGTGTCTACCAAAGTAGCCACAAAACTGGAGAATCAACCTTTGTCGTTGTTACCTGTTGCATCTCTGGATGTATATGGTTTAAGCATTGTTGGGGTTATGTGTGCTTTAATCGTAGCTGCTTAAGCAAACCAACTTCAGCCCAATCAATGTCGATAGTGAGGACCAGTGGTCCCGGTAAACTTTGCTGGTCACTCAGTTGCTTCTTTTGAACGCTTGCTATGTGCTTCGAAGGACATAAATCCGTATTTTTTCTGTTACTTGTCAACATTGGTGTGCGTCGACGTATGGTGTCTCCTAGCCCCCATGGTACCGGTGATGCCGGTTTAGAGCTTTCTTCCTTGGTTATGAGTTTGCATTTGTTTGCGGAATCATTTAAATCATTCTGATGCGTTGTGAAAACCGGATCTCTTTGCACGGAAAGCCAGTCCAAGATCGATCACCTAGGTTTCTAGTGTTGGCTACTTCTTCTGTACGTCAACTGATCTAAATCAGTGATTTGCTTTGCGCTGTCTGGCTCACAAATTGACTTGCATTTTCCGAAATGATCTTTTTACTGTTCTTAGAAAATAAGTGTTTCTCGGAAAAGTTGAAATGTAAAGGTCAGGGTTACATGATGATTAAGGATTTACGCAAATCGTAGGTCGGGTAGTTGTATGTTACAGTGATTATTTTGGAGGAAGCTAGGTTCAATAAATACAGCAATAGAATACATGATGGGAGCAAAGAGTAATTTACATAATCAAAGGTTCATCGCTGTTGGAGAGTCGATTCAAATGGAGATAAGCATCCGTACCATAACTATTAGAAAATATCAAGATGTGAATCTATGTAAATTCTTCTTAACCAATGATGCCTCAACCACTCACCCTTCCATGGAGATCAACTTCAAATCGCCACCAAAATATCGAGCATACTAAAAGTAAGAGGTGGCGTGTTATCAAGGCAGAATATCCCAATAAAGTAGAGCTTAACTTACCAGTCGGGAAATAGGTAAACCATAGCCGAATCCAGCCATTGGTGCTTTGAATTCGGTCTTGTTGAACTCTGGTTCTAATGATTGTCGTTGGGCAGTTGTGTACTATTGACAAAATTTGGATTAACCTCATTGACGCATAGAGAGCACACCGATATCTGTATGATTCACTTACCATGTACGTCCATACATGTGGTATACCGGAACGAGGAATACCACCTCCTTCATCCGAAATTTTAATCGTAATATCTTCTTTACCGTGTGCAATGATCAGCTTGACCGGCGGATATTCGTCCTCGTAATCGGGACCATATCGCTCCACCACGGCACGTAAGGAATTTTTCAACAATTCGAAAAGCATATGGTTGAGATGCGACGGAACATACATGAATTCAATGTCACCAGGACAATACATCTGCACTTCAGGTGCTTTAAACAGGCTGTAATGCTCCTCGCAGATAAACCTCGCATTAGCAATGGCGTCTTGGGCGATCTCTTGAATATTGGTATGCGTGCAAATGATGCCCACATAATCATCCCTCGTTGGCCCTCTGTAAAGTGTTGAGTGTTGGCCTATTAACATACGAATGCCAATACGGGACATGTAAAAACGATCGAGGAACTCTTGGATATCAGGAGACAAGGTACGTAATTTAGAATGCTCCTTGTATTCGAGGATCCCCTGTGCTAATATCCGACGATGTGTGAGAGATGGGTAAAAAAATAGAAAGATAACAGAAGCTGTTCGGCTTACCCATGGTGGTGACGACAGGATCGTGCCTTCGTTTGATGGTTTCGATGGCTTTTACAAAATCTTCGGTATATGTGATAATATCGGGGGAGCACTGAATATCATTGATATCATTGTAATACCTGTAGTAGCCGAGTATGAGAAAGAATACGTTTCATTGAGTCGATGTTTCCCCTTACCGATGGCCTATGGGGACGGATGGGAATTGGATATGGTTATTGTATACAGGTTGACCCAGAGACGGATTTGGTACACTGCGGGGTAAAGCGCGGACATTGTTATTTTGAAAAGCCCGCTTGAAGGATTGTTTCATTGACGACGATATCCGCGGAGCAGGCATTTCAACAAGTTCCTATTATGATAACATCCTTGATATTCAATGACTTGACCTCTTGCTTGGCTTCATGGAGTCCCCTTATAAATAATTTACCTGAAATGACTGTGCGTACCAATTTTTGACCTTGATGATCGACGGCATTCGACTTAAACTTTTTGGTAACTCTTCCAACTCTTTCACACGATGGGCTAACCGTATAGGTAACTCCTCTAATATCACAATAAACAAATTACATCTTGTTTTCATGCCGATTGTGCTTCAGTTGCTTGCAAGCATTGACATACCATGAAGGAATTGACTCGCTTTGAAAAGAGTAGCGTTGGATGGCTTTTGACCTGTCAGACTCTCGTTAGTTGTCAGTGCTTCTTGTGTTTTTGTGAGACCTGACGAAGCATTACCAAACATCACCATCTGGCGCAGTGAGACTCCCGTTTGCGGAAATCTTGCAAAGTGCTTTATCTTTTCGTAAAGTGGGGGTTTGATTTGGAACATGGACAAATGTTGATGTTAAATGAGACGGAAAGGAACGGAGCCAGAAACGCAGGGCAGTGTCGGTGGGTCGATTATGATACAACAGAGCAACTCAGTCACAGAGGGTTTAGCCGCCGTTGTTCAAAAACTCATCGAACCATTTTATCAAATCATCCACACCGTTTTCCCCGGGTTACACGATACCTACTTCTTGGTACTCATGCTCGCCAACAATGCCCTGGTACAAAAAAAAAAAAAAAAAAAAAGATCGTCCAACTATGCCACACATATAGCAACTAGCTTATACTTCAGATATCAACGGCGTTTTCATCATCCTTTATGGTGTTCATTATCGTACCATTCGCTGGTTGACAACAGCAGCCATAGGGAGAAAAAGAAAGTAGAAAGGCTGATCGTATGATTTCGGCCACTGCCCAGCAAAATTGTCTATACCATGCCATTTTTATTCGTCAAAAAGAATCTTCAGCATGTAACAGTAACACTTACAGTCATCCATTCTCGATATGGGAACGGATTCTCAGGTCGCCATAAACATCCGGTCCATGGGCGCTACAATGGCGGACTTGAAATGTTCACCTTTCGTTGGATCTTGGCATCCACCCCGCATTTTGGGTCATTGTCAAAATGGTGTTTGTTTCAATAATGTTTTTATTCTTTGGACATAGTAATGCATGAAAAGCATGGGTTAGCAAGAACATGATGTTGGTAGTTTTTTCATCCGGGGCTTCGCATGGATGTGGTATCGCGGATGTTCGTAAAGGAAAGAATCAGTTGATTCTGGAATGTAGTGTGTTAAAGTGCGGTTTTCTGCTCAGCAGAGGAAAAAGTGATAAATGATAAAAGAGTAATAACAATAGCAGAAAAATCAGCAGAAAGTAGAAGAAGATAAGTGAACAGAAAAGATTAAAAATACACGGTATAAAGTTGGCATGGCAGCATTTACAAGGTACGTGGTTTTTGACCCATACACACGCTAAAGGACCACATGGCTTCGGGCAGCTTTTGGCATTCCTGGCAAAGTCTCTTTAGAAAGAGCGGATAGTTCTGCGGTGCGATGCCCAAAGGTTCAGCCAAAAATGGTTGGGCTGTTTTAAAAATAGTGCACGCATCCCATAGAAACTCTCGATTAACATGGTCGCTCCGACCTACATTTGAAAGAGAAGAGAACAAAAATAAGGTTGAGCACGCCCGTCGATGGTATCTTCACTTGGCTTACCCAAATAAATATCCTTTGTCTCGTAATGCTCTATAATAAAGCCTGCATTTTGTTGCAGAGTGGGTAGCTGGGACGCTACGTGGGGTTCTTGACCACGACTGAAGATGGTGTCCTTGACTACAAATAAAAGTGCCGATCAGTGATCAAATAAGGAAACTACCAATGCTGCCCGAAAATACCCTATACTTACAGACCTGACCGGCCCAAACGATAAAATCATTGCCTCTTTCCTTCAAAAGGAGAAACATAAAATAAAAATAAGCTTTTGGATTTCCCACGACCCGGATAGCCAATGTTTTTGCTGTTCTTTTTTTTTGTGTGTCCATCTTAAAAAGTTGGAGATCAATGACTCACCAACATACCGCACTCTACGGATTGTAGATATCCACCGGGTTTTAATACACGATATAGCTCTTTAATGACCGTTGGCCATTGTTCCTTTCGCAGAGCAATGATAAATAACCGCATATTGACGAAATCAAATGTATTGTCGGGAAATGGTAACCGTTCGAGTACATTGGCTACTTGGAAGCTCACATTGGAAGGTCGGATATTCGTTGGAAAGATGTCGCACATATCCACGCCAATGAAATTGCTGCATGGGTACTCTGTGGCCATATCCTATCATTGATTCATTCATTCCAAAATAACACATTCTAATTAGTGAGAACCGCATCGATCTTGCACTTGAGCATTGGCGTGTATATACCATTAACCATGTCCCTGGACCGCATCCAACATCAAGGACCAAAGCGCCTTGTTCTAGTGGCACTGATTCACGGCATTTCTCAACTACATTGCTGGATAATTTCAGTTATGCGTCAATAAAAAAATGAAGTCCTTTACTCGATTGCATGTTGGGGAACTTTCTTTTGTCTCGACTTACCCTCTAAATAATGTTTTCAAAGCAAAATGTTGCTACGGACTTGAGTTACAAGCGTTGCTCAACAACCACAGTGCTAGAGATTACTTACGCCAACCAGTCGATCGATCTCTTCATCGTCATTGGGGAACCAGTACGCTGAACTGGAGACATCATGAAACTTTCGTCCAAACCGCATAACGCTGCCGTCGGACGATCCTGAATTGGTCTGGAACTGGTTTTGACGTTGGCTACTGCTTTGTCGTGCTTGACGTTTTTTACTGCTGGTGGAAAATTTGGCTCCCATAGTGATAGGTCGTTGAACTTCGGATTCGATAATAAAGGGAAAAAAGAAAAAAGGAAAATGGGGTCAATTTCCTGCTTCGACAAAACGAAGAAAGAAGAAAGAGATCCGTTTACGGCGAGATCCATTATTCCGATATCACTATAAGTTGATGTGAATTGTACAACGGAACCATGGTGTTTATAACGACCGTATTGCTGTGTCACATCAAAGCGTGGGCAACCTTGTTCCTTCTTTGTTCAATCTTTCTCAGAAGCATTATCACATGGTCCGAGCGGCTTGATTAAATTCAATAAACGACTCATCATTGGCCTCAAATCAATAAAATAATGCTTTCCTTCGGTGCCACAGCCAATTTCAATAAACTTATATCATCATGTGATTCTAAACATCCTGGGGAAAAGATAAGGAAGCCATGTCTTTTTACGTAAGCCGAATCAGGAATTACTCTTCTTCGTTCCAAACGCGTTAGTACAGCCGGATTCTGGCTGTGTAACTTGACTAACCCAACTGTCACCAGAATTCAAAATACACATGGAGTGTAAATGTTTTTCCTACGCTTTCAGTTTGACTGATCTAGTCTTGGACCTCGTTTAACAATATCGGAAAATCTCACAAACTCCTGCAGGAAAACTCAAAAAATAAAAAAAAGACATAAAAATGTATAAATCAATGAAGCGTCGTGTTTTCAGCCTGCCCTCATGAATAAAATGATACAAGAGGGAAAATCAGAGGTATGACTAGAATCTTTTTAATATAGGAAGAATAGATCCGATCTTCGGGCAGAAAGCGATGTCGCCTGGGAAAAATTTGTTCTCCTCTTCCGTCGAGTACTCCAACTGCTAAAGCAACGAAAAAAGAAATAGCTGATCCAAAGTCCCAGGTTTTCATTGGTTTACTGTATCTCAATCGCTGGTCCAAGCTATTCATATCAGCTATTTTTGTCGCAGCAACTGGTTCAGCAGAGTGACATTAATCACGTTTATTTGGGAAAGATCGCGTTTAGAGACTCGTGCTGTTTGTTCCAGTAGGCTATCAGATTGTGCTTTAGTTTGGTGTAGCTGTCAGAATGAAAAAACCCGGGCATGGGTCATTTGAATCTCAGAATAGAAAGCACCGAACTAGGGACGATGGCGTCTGTGCCTTTTTCGTGCGTATGGGTTCGTACGTTGTCATCGAAACAGGGCAATTCAGCAGATCATTTTTTGAGGAAGAGAAAGAACATCTTATCTGGCTGGAAGCGAAATGCTGCTTCAACTATCAAGTTTGACACCTGGAAAATCTTTTTTGCTTTCACAAGGTGACTATCCTTCTCAATGTTGGTGTCATGTTGTGCGACGTACCTATGGAATGAAGTGCATTTATAAATTTAGCGCAGCCAATGATCCGCCATCGACTTATTCTTTTCAATAAGATACAAATTCCAGAAAAAACATGTTCTTGCAACATGAATTTACTCATTAAATGACACATGGTTTATTCTTGAGGCAGCAGATTCAATGCCACTGAAAAAAACAGATAAATAAAATTTAAAAAAGTAAGGTCAATTTCTTTAAGCAAAGCATGTAAAAAATAAAAAAAAAATTCCCTAGTAAGGGGAAAGGCCGTTTTTTCGGCCTAACTTTTGGTGATTGGCTCAAACAGATCCCCGACCAAAAACTTTCTTTCCCTTTCAGGCATTCGCTCTCTGCTTTTTGGAACCTTGTTGCTCTGCGAGTGACATCCAAAAACTTTTGCGGGGAAGAACGGTCCACCAAGCTTGTCATAGTGGAAGTAGGTGCAAAATTTCAGATGCGAAAAGTTTTCTTTACTAACTATTCAATAGCGACATCTGTGTAGTCCCGATGCGAAAGGAATAACGGCATAGGGATAAATTTATCGGATCGTTGCTTTTTCGCTTTCATTAATTAAACTAATTCCCAGATTAACAAGTGTACTGTATTGCAAATGTCGTAGAGTTTGCAACAAGGAATGCAACCAGTTTTTTACCAATGTACCCAACATTGTTTGAAAACAGTGCCACAATTTTTCAGATCGCCGACCTCTTTTTTTTTTATACTTTTCAAAGACAATGGATTAAATTATACTAGTTTAAAATGCAAAGGAATATGGTAGGTAGTTCTTTAGCATGCAATAGGCCGACTTCTTTCTATGCCACTTCATCAACATGTAAGTTCCCGGATCGCATACCTGTATCAAAAATAAGATTCAATGTGAGCGGTACGGGCCTGCATTCACTTTATCATTAGCGACTTACTCTCACTCAAAGGCACTGCCTCTACGTATTGTTGTTTGCTCTTCTTCTTCTTCTTCTGAGGTCGAATAACAGTGACCGGTATGGCCGATTTGTGTACCAGGTACGTAGAAATGGAGCCCATTAACAGACTGTCGAGAAAATTGGATTTCCGTTAATCGCCCAGTTTTATGCATTTTCCTAATGCGGAATCACTTACCCTTTCACGGTGCCTCGACCCCGACTGCCACATACCACCATCGTCAAATGAAGCTCCTTGATCTATACCAACATTGCAGAAATCTAGTTAGCATGGGCCTTTTCTCTAAACCAAACCCTCTTAATTCAAAAACGTACCAGCTTTTTCAAGACCGATTTCACCCGTCCAATGATCGCATATGTGTGGAGTTTGATATCAAACAGCATCATTTGGCTCAGCATCTTTTTCGCTTCGTCCGTTACCGCATGTGAAGCCTCCTCCAGCTTTGAATGAATCAACTCATTGTTAGAAACCATCCATACCCCCATGTGGATTCCTGTGTTACCTCTTTATCTACGGTCATGCCGGATGTATCAGGATTATCCTCGCGATTGAGGACTGTGGCAACGTGCAATTCGTCACCATCACGCATCATGGTGCCCATTGTCCACTCAATAGCGTAGAAACTTTCTTTACTGAAATCGCATGCCACAAAGTAGGCGCGCGATTTCCGTTTGGGTAATTGACCTTCCAACTCGCTAGGTTTGCCCGTAGGCCCTACTCCATACACTTGTGTAACAACAATACGATCTGGCTCAGAGACGACGCATGGAGGTTCGGCAAATACAAGTAAACGACGATGGAGAGATTGACTGCGGTTACGCAAGGATTTATCCTTCTTTTGGGGATTATCAGGCTGCGGTACAGGTATATGGCGGTTCGATTCAGTTCGTTCCAATAGCTCGGGATCTTCCTCCCATAATTCTTCCTGCTCCATAGGATGATCGTGCTCGTATCTGTTGGTCTCAATGTTCTGACGTTCTTGAATCCTTTCCATTTCTCCCCATAACAGATCCATCTGACTGTAATCTGGAGACACATCCTCTGATTTTGGTGTCGGTCGTTCAGCCGGTTTGGCGGAAACGATCGTCTGGTTGTTATCCTTTTTCACTTCATCTGCACCTGCTGCGATTTGTTCTTCTTCATCTGACGAGACAGATTCCGTATCACTTTCTTGTTGTATTTTATTCTGAAGATCCTCGGGTTCTTCTGCTTCTTCTTCTTCGTCTTCGCTTTCGTCTGGTGGGGCTGTATGGTCATTTTCATCCACCTTGTTGATATCTTCCAGTTCCGTCTTTAGCCATTTCCGTCGCACGGGCTCTTCAGTGTTTACTGGATAGGATATCTTATCCTTGGTGGTATCTACGCCCTTGGTGCTGTTTTTAGACATGGGTGGAGTAGAGGAAAAGAGAAAAGAGAAGGAATGAAATCCATGCTGAGTTTCATTTCCTTCTCACACGATTTCCCATAGCAAAATCCGAAACCAGAAAACCACAGTGACAAGAAGGTTTTTCTAAACTCCGAAACATCACTCGTGCACTGGCTTTTTTTTTCCACACACAATTTGTCGTATGATTGAACCACCCCGCCATGTCCATTCAAATCCGCCAATTTTCCTTATTTCTCGAATGGAAAAAGATTGATTTTGATCTTTTAATGATGGAAAAAATATACAGATATACGCAAAACCCTTGATTCTTTTGATGGTTGAACACAGAGCTTAAGCGGAAAGGGAAAAAAAATGAGATGGCAGCTGGCCCGAAGAGGGTGGGGTGGATATTTACAGGAAGGTGAGAAAGAAAGAAAGAGAGAAAAAGAGGAAGATCAATTTCCTAGCCTTCGTATTTTTCCACCCGATTTCTCGTAAATGAAAGGGAAAAGTTTTCGAGATGGAAATTGTGTAAAAGAGGGTGAATTTTTGGGTGAATATTTACAGAGAGAGGGAAAAAGGGGGGTTTTACTTGAACCAAACGTCAATTTCGTCGTCTTCATCATCGTCTTCCATGAGACTCGCTATCGTATCGGGATCGTAGTGGGCGGGATCGTCACGTACATAGCTGAAGCCTTTGAAGGCGGATTGGATGGACGTGCTTAATGCGTTGCGTTGGTATTTCTGGGAAGCAGAGGGAATATTGATGGCTTTGCTGGGCAGCGAAATGTCCGACGCATCGGAATCATCATCTGAAAATACACCTTTGGTGTCACGGTTCTTTTGCCGGGCACTGGGACGGTGGGGTGGCTGAACCTTCTTTTTGGAAATAAGATCCCAACGAATACCCTTGAAGAAAGGATGTTGCTTGACCTGCTTGACATCATGGGCACCTAGACGTTGACGAGGATCGCGGTCCAATAAGCGGCGAATGATATCCACGGCCTCAGAGGATAGGAAGGACGGAAATTTGACGGACGCTTTGCAAATACGACGGTACAAGGTTTCCAAGTTGCTGGAATGGAACGGTGGCAATCCGGTCAACATTTCATACAGCAAGATACCAAGACTCCACCAATCGACGGCTTGTCCGTAAGGTTGCTGTAATACCATTTCGGGAGCCAGGTACTCAGAGGTGCCACAAAAGGTGCGGGTGTGATCCGTGTTGTGCAATTCCTTGCACAGACCAAAATCGGTCAGAGCGAGATGACCTTGACCGTCCATTAGAATGTTTTCGGGTTTCAGATCACGATAGACAACGTGGTGGGCATGAATTTCTTCGAGCGCGCACACGATTTCCGCGGCATAGAACCGCGTATGTTCTTCGGTCAAGCGTCGTTCACGTTGCAAATATTCGAACAGTTCGCCCCCAGGCAGATAATCCATGACCAAAAACAAGTCATCGGCGGTCTGGAAACTGTACTTGAGCGATACAATAAAAGGACTTGAAAACGTTTGAATCAACACATTGCGTTCGGACAGAGTGTGAGTGACCTCGTTTTGGGCAATCAAGGCACGCTTCGAAAGCACCTTCATGGCATAGATGCGGTTGGAATCCTTCTTGATGACTTGATACACTTTGCCAAAGGAGCCACGACCGATCAGTCGTACAATTTCGAAGGAGTCAGGTGTCAACTTTTGCGCCTAAATAAAAAAAAAAAAAAATTCAACGTTACATCAGTTTGTCGGAGTGTCTTGATCTTCCTATTTTTTTTTGTTTTTCTATGGCGACGATGTGTTACCGTTTCTACCCCACAATAGGTGGCCTGTACACGGATTTCGCCGGTAACTTGATCTTGGTTATCTTTTGCATCGGGATGCGGCTGGAGTCGGAACATTAATTCCACAGTCTTTTTGTTCGGCAACTGAGGCTTGAGCGACGCCATGCTCAAGGGACGAGGGTTGCCATTGGGCAAAGGATTACCACGATCGTACACAGAAATACAAAGTACGCCTTCGTTGTCCTGGACATCACTAATGGTTTCAATTCGTCAGCATGACAAAGTTCCTATTTTGATGTTGGGGATTCCCCGAACATGTTAGACTTACAAATGGTCGGTATAAAGCCACTTTGGACAACTGGCTTTCATGGCGAGTTCAAACATATCATAGGGACTAGGTGGTGAAGTGGGACTCTTTTCCAAAATTTTCGCGGGGTGTTGATCAAGGGTACACATAGCATGATCCTTGTAGGATAAGACACAATAGATGTCTGCTTTGGTTGGGTCGACAATGGATAAATTACGTGCTTCGACAATGGTAAGGGTAAGTCGACCGGCGACATGGTGCACTACAGGGGCAGGAGGGGCGGCTACTGGCGTCTCCGGCTTCGTTTTGATGTCTGTCAGGGCTTGTCTAAAAGACGCGAGTGAAAGTGACGAACGTGCATAACGTAGGGTTTCGCCAAGTTTGCCGAGATTTTCGCTTAAGCTGGTCGATAATTTGGGACTGGCATGAACAGCGATATTCTTGATCAAGGAATCCGTATAATCCGTCATGGTGAAAGGGAAAAAAAGATATAGAAATTATCAGTATAGACTATGCGATTTCTGTGTCTTTTGGTGTCTCCAGGATAACACACAGATGGAAAAACGAAAAATGGGACAAAAATAGGTTCTCCCTTTTTATATGGACGGTTTAAGCATCTTTTGGTTGGGGGAAACTTTTTCCCCAGCGGCAAGTATCCAAACATGGCAGCTTCTCTTTGTTTCGCCCAACGAAAAAATTCTGTAGGCGGACCTTGATTCGCCCCATTCTCAGTCATCATCGATTATCATTCACGCTTATCAATGGGTCCATGTCATTCTTTATTTCCTCAATACGTTCACGGCAAAGCGTACTATTTGGCTTTTTGTAATTAAAAACGAGCTATTCAAAAGCCATGATATTGCCCAATCATGCAAAGAAATTTTTTTTTTAACCGCTCATAAAACGGCGATCAGATTTATTTGTTCAACGATGATTGGTGCGGTTATTGATTTTCTAGCCAATATGGTTGGGGGAATGGCCAGTGGAAAAAGATCGCAAATCGATGGATCCAGAAATTTTTTTTTTTTTTCATTAAGCTTTTGGGATGTTTCGCTCTCTTATCATGATGATCCGTTTCATTCCACCAATGTCAAAATTGTCATAGATGGTAATATTGGCTGCAAAGAGATAGACATAATTGAAACTGCGAAATGTATTAAAGCCATGAATGGTGTATTGGTTGATGTCCATTGATGACACCGTTGTTGTGGTTTGGGGATCACAGGTTCTTATGTTTCTGTCAATGACTAATGGAATATCTTTGCATGATGACACTTCTTTTGGCTCTTTGAAAATGTTGGGATACAATACAGAGTCAAGAGTTCAATCGTCGGACGCAAACTGCATTTGGCGAGCGATCTATGGGGATGATTCCGTTTTAGATTCCAGTGATACGCGTCGATGGTGTCCTGCTCTCACAACTTACCTCTTCTCCGCTTATTCGATCCTGCTTTGACCAAGTCAGCATGCCGAGAATTAGCTTCTGGTCCTTCGGATCAATATGGTGATTGTCTAGCACCCGCTGCAGTTGCTTGTCTTTGTCGTCGTGTTTGGATGATTTGGGAAGAAAAAAAATGAATTTCCTTGCGTCGGGATAATCAAAGATTTCCTATTGATCCTCCAATGGTTTAGCCACACGATCTTCCCAACAAGTCCATTTCCTTCTCTTTTTCTCTTTGACGGTCTGCTCTCTTTTTTCAAAAACCGCTACCCCTTGCCACCTGTTTTTGGGGAAGAGCAAGATAAGCGAGTAACGGCAGAGACGAAAAAAGAAAAAAGACGTATGATGAAACCATACGGTATGGCAACTTACACGCTCAAGTATGGCGTCGCTTGGACGCCCTAGAACTTTGATGATCTTGCCTATTTGCTCCAAATCCGTCTCTCCATCGAAAATTGGTTTTCCAAGTAACAGTTGCCCGTAGATGGCACCGAGCGACCATATATCAGTAGCAGGGGTATAAACGCGATAACCGAACAAGTGCTCCGGTGCTTTATAGTATCTTGACAGCAATAAAAATAAGACATTGTAAAAAAGCAATGTTCAAATCTACACCTACTGTTGAAGCTTGCTTACCTGGTTCCTACTTCTTCAAATACGCTACTTTGTACGGGCTCGTTCAAACGATGAGCACACCCAAAGTCACTTAGAACCATATGCCCATCTTCATGAATCAGAATATTGCTTGGGCTCACGTCGCAGTGAATGATATCACGGTGATGTAGAAAATTGAGACCCTGCGCAATTTGTTGGATAGCCCTGAGTGTAAACGCATGATCCATGTGCTGGTTGACGTAGTGCTGCAACGTATGACTGTAATAGGGGAACGTTAAGCATGTCACCGAGCCTTTTTGTTCTATATTTATCAAATAAATGATCTTGACAAATTATTGAATACATCCGATGGAGGAATCCATTGGTACGAAAGGGAAACTTACATGATGACGGCATGATTCTTCTTGTGACCGAATCCCTAGCAATGAGAGTATATGGACCTCCCGTTCACAATGACGCGTCACAAGCTGACCATGTTTGGCATTGTATTTCTTCACGGCTATCCATTGATGACTGTCCGGTGCTTGTACTTTCTCAACGGTGGCAAAAGTACCTGACATGACGGGTGATGGTGGATTGTGTTGGTGTCGTCCTCGGTGCGGCGAACCAGTTTCCTGCTTCGGAGTTTTTTTTACGGACCTTATCTTCATTTGGCTCCAATGCAAAGCAACAAGGTCAAACCTAAAATGAGCCATTCATATTGCAACTGAATAAGAAACAATTCTTGTTTGTTCCATTAGACTTGTGGCGAAGTGTCTGTGGCGTAAGACGGAACCATCATGACTTTTGAACTTAACCTATTTGTAGTCATGGTTGAGAGTGAAATCCAGGTTCAAGGTGAACACTTATTATATAAAGAAGCGAATGCGTACACCACGTCTCGGAAAGCGAAGAAAATCCTTACCGAACGGATTTATTCTTGACTGTTGGATTTTGAAAAAAAAAAAGAAGACTCGACACTCCATGGCCAACCACTCCTCTCTTACTCATTCGTCACGTTCAACGTCACGTCTATCGATGGGCATGCTTATGCTCGTTCTGTGTGGACTGCTGGCTTCGATGGTCGCTGCCCAAGGTGAGGCCAGTGATATCAAAGTGCCCCAAAACTCGGAATGGCTTAAAGCTGTCGACTTGTCAAGAGTCCCCGATATTGCGGTGCGTCCTGTCGGATCCGGTATCTGTCCCAACGCTACATGCGACGGTACCGATAACGACCGTTGCTTTGAGAGCTGTGGCAACACACCCACGAAAGAAGATGTGTATGGATGTCCCAAGGATCACCATTGGGCATTGACCTTTGACGACGGTCCGAGCAAATACACTCACGAACTTTTGGATCTCTTGGATAAGAGCAACATCAAAGCGACCTTTTGCGTGCTAGGCTCCCACGTGAAAGAATTTCCAGATGTGCTTCGACGAGCATACCAATCCGGTCATCAAATCGCTTCGCACACTTATTCTCATCCTCACTTGATGAGCTTAACCAATGAACAAATCATCTACGAAGTCAAGGCCACTGAGGAAGCTATTCAGGAAGTCCTGGGCATTACACCCAAGTATATCCGACCACCCTTTGGTGAAGCCGATGCACGTGTGAAAGCCTTGTTGAAATCCATGGGATACAAGGTTCTGCTCTGGAACGTGGATCCCACCGACTACGATGTATTTAACCTCCCCGATGCTCCTACCAAAATCCAAGGTGCTTTCAAGATGGCGGCCGCCGGCAAAGACACAGGTCTCAATCCCCATGAAGACGTCGGTTTCATTAGCTTGCAACACGGCAAGTATCCAGAAAAAGTGCCAAAAAAAATAATAATTCATGAATTAACCTGCTTTTACTGTTTTTAGATCTTTACAAGGAATCCATCGATCAGGTGCCAGTAGTGATCGATTACCTCAAAGGCCGTGGCTACAAATTTGTCACCTCGGCTGAATGTGTGGACGATAAAGAACCCCATCGATCGCCCGCTCTGATGCGTGCTCAGACAGTCGATAGAGCCGCTTCAGCATCCACCTCGGCTTCTTCTTCCACCAGCAGCGCGGCCAAATCGTCCTCGACCGCCAGCAGCTCATCGAACGAAAATATCGCTAGTCCTACCAACTCCCACTCCGGTGCCAATACGCTTTCCACATCCGCCTCTTTGCTCTTGGGTCTTGTGGCTCTCACATTCATGTTCTCAGCTTAAAAAAAAGTCTTCATTCATTGAAGGTTTTTTTAGCAGCCATTTTTTCTCTTGTTGCAAAATAATACATCGTTCTTACCAAAATACATACGTGCATGTAATAAGAAAAAAGAATAACTATACCAATGGTGTCCATCAAACTTGGGTTGTGCCGGGAAATTTTGAAAGTTGATGAGATTGGTGCAACGTTGAAATTTTGATTGACACTCACAAGCCACTGCAGTTACAATGACCTCTTTTGGCAGTCCTTGGGTCTTGAGTTGCCACTTGTTTAAGCTCGTGATTTCATGCTGTGGACTCGTCTTCGTCCGTGCATCTCCTCTTGTCGACCTTATTTTCAACGATCCCTTCACATGAGTGCCGTACCTGCTGCTGTAGAGAAACTCGACACTTCCTCATCGAAAGAGTCTGTACCAAAGGAATCTCCACCAAAGGAATCTCCACGTAACGAGTCGCCGGCCGCACGTAAAAAGACTAGTAGACAGCGAAAAGAGCATTTCCAATCCACCTGCACTCGGAAATCCGCCGAAGACAATGGAGCCGAGCCGGTCCCTTTTGAACCCATAGTCGAGCCACGATTACCGAAAAAGAAAGTGGCCCTATTGCTGGGCTTCAATGGCACCGGTTTTCAGGGCATGCAGATGTAAGTCAATATGACGGCTGAAATTATGCGTACACTCGTACTTGACTGTTCTTATTCGACCTGGGAATTGTTCAGTAATCCAACGGCTCGATCGATCGAGAGTGAAGTATTTGAAGCTTTATGTAAAGCCGGCGCGGTATCGCAAAATAATGCCGTGGATCCCAAAAAGGTAAGATCATTTGTGAACACCGACAAGCGGATAAAAAAGACTGAGGAGAATGTCAAGGTTCAATTAATGCGTGCAGCACGAACCGACAAAGGTGTCCACGCTGCAGGCAACATTATCTCGCTCAAAATGATTGTGGAAGATCCGGACATTGTAAAAAAAGTGAACAGCCATTTGTCGGAGCAGATTCGCGTATGGGGTATGCAAGCATGGATGTTGTTGGTTCTTTTTTGAGCAAAAAAATGATTGATCATGCAGGAAATTAGGCTTTGTCGAGACCCAACGTTCGTTTCATGCGAAAAATATGTGCGATTCACGTGTCTACGAATATCTCTTACCAACCTATGCGTTCATGAAACCCGCCAAAAAGGAATATTACACGGCACCCACATCAGAAACCGACCTCCGCATCACAAGCAATGTAAACGACGAGGTGCGTTACGTGGCGCTCAGTACGAAGGAAGAGATGGCGGAAAAGTACACCTACAGGATCAGTCCAGAAAATCTGGATAACTTTAGAAAAGCAATGGCATGCTTCCAAGGAACGCACAACTTTCACAACTACACAATTGGACAAAGTTACACCGATAAGAGCTCAAATCGTTACATGATCAGCATACAGGTACGGTCCTTGAAGAATATGAAGTTAGCGTCTTTTGTTTACACATCGGATAGGTGGATGATCCATTTTGTATTCATGGTATGGAATGGTTAAGTATCAAGTTACATGGGCAATCTTTTATGCTTCACCAGATTCGAAAAATGATTTGTAAGTAGTGTGTAAAACTGCACAGGACTCAGTCATGGCGACCGCACAAGCTAATATGTCTTTTGATAGCCATGGCTCTGCTGACGGTGCGAAGCGAAACACCGTTGTCCATCATTCCAAAGACGTTTGCATCTGCCAAAGTCAACATCCCAAAAGCACCGGCCTTAGGGCTGCTGTTGGAAAGACCCATCTTTACGGTTTATAATCGTAAAGTGGAAGAAAAGGGGGAGCGTCAGCAAATTGACTTTGATGTATACAAGGTGAGTGGATATATCGGCAAATGGGCCCCAGACGCCATGCTCATGGTTTGTATACGCGGTAGGACACCATTGATGACTTTAAAAAACGGTGGATTTACGACAAGATATTTGAAAATGAAAAAGCAGAGCAGGTGTAAGTGTGGAGCTGATTGATGGTCACGGAAACGTGTTTATAGCTAATATTTGCGGCTGTAGTTTTGACACTTTTCTGCTGTCCTTTGATGCGAACCTGGGACCCGCCTACAGCTATTTCAACTCGGAAGGCACCATTCCGGAAGACGCTATTTTACACACGAAATTCTCCGTGCCTTCTCCTCCATAGATCGAGTCTCAGTACCAAGTAGTGTCAATACGTGGCGCTGCACAATATCATCGCTTAAGTAAAAGTTTCGTTTGCACATTTTCATCATTCCTCAGTATCCCTGCAACAGAAAAATGATCATTTCCACAATCACCCTAAAAATCATCAGCACATTCATATTGATGCCTATCCTTTTTTTTTTCTAATCAGTCCGGCTTTCATCACTGCGATCATGTAAATAAATATTGGATTGTAATCCTGTTTCTCGAATGCAAAGTTAAACTGCATTGTTTTTGGAGGGGAATAGCCATAGTGATATAATCAGCGAATACAGAGTGATGGAGTTTACAGGAATTTAAGAATATATATGTGTCAAGCGGTATTGAAAAGTTTTTCATTGTTCGCGCTTCTCGACCGTGACCTTGAAACCATACTTCATGGGAAGCGTTAGGGATACTTGGTAGGTGATTTCTTGACCCGGGACAATAGAGAACCGGTATCGTTTGACGAGAAAGATGATAGCCACCAGTGCTTCAAGCGTGGCCAGATGCTGACCTAGGCATACACGCGGGCCAGCATGGAAAGCGGGCCATTGTCCCTGCGATTCACGACGAAGCTCGCCCTCGGCAGTAATCCAACGTTCAGGTCTGAAATACTTGGCATCAGGACCCCACACTTTTTCGGATCGTCCTTGGACAAACGGGCACCACAAGACGTAATCGCCTTTTCGGATATGGGTCCCATCAGGCCAAATGTCGTCATTCAGAGCATACTTTTGATTTAAAGGAACAGATGGATAATGACGAAGCACTTCGTAAAACCTGAAAATGACTTCAGTAAATCTAATTACAATATTTTGGTTTTTCTTTCGAGGTACGTACACAGCATGAGCATAGGTCATATTCTTGATCACTTCATAGAGTGCGGGTGAATCATACATCAATTCATCGGTGATATTGTCTTCAATTTCCTGCAACAATTTCTTTTCCACGCGGGGATGGGTCACAAGCATGTAAAAGGTCCATGACAGTGCTTGAGCGGTAGTATCACGACCGGCGATAATAAAATTCAGAACAATATCACGAAGTTCATCGGTGGAAAGTTCTTCGCCGTTTGCATTGCGAGCATTCATGAATCGCGACAAGAGGTCCTTCTTGACTTCGCCGTTGGCTAATTGAACACGGCGTTGTTCAATGACTTGTCGAGCGAAACTGTCGACTGTGTGAAGGTGGTCTTTCATGCTGCTGCGCCAAGGCATGATCGCGCGTAAAATGCCTTCGGTCACTGGCCAAATAGGATTGACAAAGCGCAAAAATGTATTCTTTTGGGCCTCATCAAATGCCGCTGCAAAAGGTACTTTATCTTCTGAAGCGAGCGCGTTCAGCTGGACACCAAATCCGAGCCTGGATAGTAGGCAATAAAAAGTGGCGTTAGTATTTCGATGAATTAACATGAGGGTGTTCACTTGCATGACAAAAGAATCCAACGTGAATTTGAACATAACGTCATGAAAGTCTACGATTCGATGTTCGTCGGCGGCTTTATCCCAAATATGTTTTGTCATGAAATCGATCTCTTGAACAAACACACTACAGTACATATCACATTATCATGTATTCCATGGCGTGACGTTTCAAAGATTTGCTTACTCTGTGAATTGATCTCGAAAGTTTTTGACGTTAAAGATATGGCTGGCTGTTTTGCGCTGGTATTTCCATTCTTCCCCGTTGGCATTGAAGATACCATTGCCAAAGAGATCATTCATGCCGTGAGTGAACTCTGGGCCCTTGATATAATTTTCAAAATTGGCTGTAATAGAAAAAGCATCAGATACCAAAAGTGTTAATTTTACTGCTGCTAGGAAACATATATGGCTGATAATTACTTTTAAGGATATGCTCCACATTCCGAGGATCAATGGTTCCAACATGGCGAGGAATTCCCAAAGCTGACATTGTCCTGCAGACGAGTATTGTAGAAAAAAAAATAATTAGATGAAACATTGGAGGGAAGGAAAAAGCTGTCAAAATGGCACTTACAGTGTCAAACCATCAAGGCGAGTGAATCCTTCTTGAAGAAATTCATGTATATAACTGAGCCACTGTAACAACAAAGGCAAGTTACCGACCAGCGGCCACCCAGCTTGAGTTTTGATATCGGCACGTTTGGAATCAAAAACGGCCCGATCATAGTAGATGCAAGCTAACACTGCCAAACTGGCCACCGCTCCTCGTCCAGCCATGCGACCGGGACTGGCTTTGATTTGATCGAGAATAATTGAAGCCATAGCACAAAAGGAACCAGATGGTGTTCCGAGAATAAAAAAAAGCAGGAATGATATAAGAAATAGAAAGGAGAAATTTGAATGTCTTTTTTTCATTTTATAGCCCTCCCTTGATTCTGGTTTGATCCTGTGGTTAGTCGCGAGTGACACGAACAAATCAAGCGGGCATAAAGTAAGGTGAAGCGTACAGTACACAACATCACGGTTTTGTGTGGGGAAGTCGGTACAAACGGTGTACAAGGATGAACCAAAAATCCGCCTATTTCCCCCATACACCTCGGCAGGAACGCTGAATTTTGTTTTATCACATGCGGCTATTGGTGCAAAAGACAGTCTGCTTTTCACATGCGCTGCTTTAGACTTCGTTTTAGTGTGTGATCAACCCCACGGCAAAGCATAAATATCCCTCCGAACGCCCCATTTTCCAGCCATGAGAGCTACTCTTTACAGATATTCAAGCCGCAAACTCTTCTATTGACAGATGTTTCATATCGATCCACATCCACATCATTTGACACTCAAAAGCTTGAAACCCTCGTGCATTTTTTCGTCGCCCAGTTGACATTTGATTGAGCAAGTTGGCTATCAAGTTGATCAGGCGAACAGAATCTTCCCGAACAAATAACAGGCTCGATTTTTTTCTTCTCCACAATAGACATACAGTAGTTGATGATATTCGTGAATTAAACACAAACTTGTAAAATAGATGGGTCTTCCTACCAATCAATATTCTGCTTTCTGATAATCGCACCTTAATTGCATTGAATGTTTCTTCTCGTTATTCTTCATAATACCAACAAATAGTCGTTCATTGAACGTGGCTATAAAGAAATAAAACAAGTAAATGAAAAAAAAAAGGAAAAAATAAGCATGACGGCTACAACTCCACTTGAATGACTGATGTTGAATGATAAGGCAAGAAAAAGGAATAAAGGACAACGAATAAACAAACACAAAAGAAAAAAAAAACACTGAAAAACTCTTCTACATAATGAAGAAAGCTAAAATCAAAACAAGTAGAAGTAAAAAAGGAAAAAAATAGAGCTATAAAAAAAAGGAGATGAGGGTTCGGATAGACATACACAGATGATAGAATTTCATATAATGTGGAGGATTTGCAATGGGAGGCGGAATGGTATAAATAAAAATAACGAAGAAATAACAGAGTTGGAGTAAGAAAAGAGAGGGATATAGAAAGAAAGGATAAAAAGAAATAGTTGAGATCGCATAAAGCTCATCAGCACGTTGGGATGACGGGAGTTCAAAATTGAAGCAAGAGTCGTACTGTGCCGTCCGATTTGATCTCCCATTCAACCGCCACCTTGATGCCATCGACAAAGTGTTGAGCTATAACAGCATCTTCCACCAAAACAAGCACTTGGTCGTAGTTCTTTTTTGTTTTCTCGTGTGGAAACTTCAGGTTGGCGTCTTCGGATTTGGATCGTCGCCAAAGCACTTGTGATACCTGACTAGGATGCAGCGACAGAATAGAACATAATCGCACAACAAGTTCTTGCACCGTCAAATGCTCTAAATAGATACGCTGTAACTGGATGGATTCGTCGTTTGTCAGCGGTGATGAGGTAGGATGACGAAGATACTGACTCGGTTTCACTTCAACAAAAAGGGACATGGCTACACACGAAAAAAAGAAAAAATACCGATCAGCATTCTGTATGTTTGCAAGCTGGTGATAATACATTTATTTACCTAGACGGCGTTTACCAGGTTCAGGCGAATGAGTAATTTCGGATGAACTCAACATGGCCGAAGCTCGAGTTCCAGTTTCGGAACGGGCGCGTTTGGTGCCGCTCGTTTTGGCCGGTGGATAAGATGGCTGAGAATGGTAGGCGTCTTCGATAAGCTGGTTCGTATAGCGCATGGTCGATGGAAGGGCGTGAACAGGTGATGCTTGCATTTGCGTGCTTGTGGATGAAGGTGCCATGCCAGGTGTGCAGAAATTCTGCGCAGGCGAATAGATCGAAGGCGAAGTAACGGTAGTCGTTGTACTACTTCGACGAACAAGACTAGCAGGCGACTCGGGTGCCGATAGGACCATCGATTCAGGCGTAGGCGACGTTGGGATTTCACTGAATACACTATAAGGCATGATTGGCTGATTGTAAAGTCGCCACAGTGGATGTTGCCGTGGATCCCCTTCCGCTACAGGATTAATACTCACGTTAAGAACACATTTTATAATGACTATTCCTTTTATTTTCCTTGCTTACCCATAATTTTATCGAGCTGCTTGCTGATCTGTCGTGCATCGTCTTTATTTTTGCGCTCAGCGCCCTGTCAGTGATTGCTGTGTGAGTAGCAGAAACCTCAAGGCACGAGCATCATTTTCGAGAAAAATCTACCTTATCTCGGAACAGTTTGATCTTGCAGAAACATTCTTCACCGTAGCGGGTCATTTCGTGAGTTTCTCTATTGGCCGAAGTAGGCGATGTTGCTGACATGTCGGCCGTGGGTGAAGGTGCCACCTGTGTCTCCATGTGTGCTCGAAGGGGAATCCCTTTCACACCTTTGATACGTGAAAAGTCGGTGGAAAGACAATTGAACCGCACGAAAATTCGGGCGCCTCGATGACCATGCCAGTCAAAGGTGATGCGATCGAAGCTGGGGAATCGAATGTTGAAAATGCCCGAAGACTGGTTCGCATCTGTGCAGAACAATACATTGTCATCAGCAAGGTGATACGGCTGGTGAGGAAAGAAAATTTTAAACAAGTGGGAACCGTACCGAGATCAATGGCTCGAATATCCTGCGTGTTATCTTGTTGACTAATCCAGAAATTCCAATAATTCAGTGCAACCTTGCGATGCGAAGGATCGTGAAACATTATCACAAAGGTACTTGTCAAGGTGCCGGTATAGCCTTGCTTATCTTGCAGCTGAATAGCATACGCTTGGCCTCGGTTCAGATATGTAATCGGTGCATCTTCCGTCTTTTGTAAAGCAGCCGTCGAAGCTGGAATGATTTCACGTCAATCATCTTGTTATACATTTCCAAACTACTCCTTTTTCAAAATTTACCTCGTAACACAACGTGAAATCGCAATGGTCTATATCAAGAATGTCAAAAGAAAAAAAAAAGGGAGAAAAATCAGTTCAGTCATGTCCATCAATGAATAAAACACCAAAAGCCATGATGTGTCGTCTAGGTGCCATGTTTCCTGTTCTCCTTTTTTATCGTGTTCACACGGTAACGGTGACACCAGCTGCAACGCACTGAGCCACCTGGCTCATTCGGGGATCGATAGATGTAGCATGTGCTCCATGCTTCGTTTCTTTAATATTTTTTTTTTGGTCTTCCTCCCTCCCCCCCCCCCCACTTTGTGACCCTCGCGGGTACGCGACCTTTTGATGTGCATTGTCTTTTTCGTTGGTGTGTCTTTTTTTCTTCCCGAGAAAAACCAAAATCCACTCTTTCCGCCTGTTCCTCCCCCCCCCGCAGCCTCCCCCAAGAGAAAAAAAAAGAAAATAGAAATAGGAGGTATTACTTACATCTTCTCGGTTCGTGTCACTGGTATGTTCGTAGCACAGGGATTTTCATCGGGAGACGGCATCGGAGGTGGCGGAGATGCAAAGGACACGGGCGTGCGAGGCATGAACGTTGATGTCATGGTGGCATTGGCGCTTCGATGGCGTGGATGGTATTGTCGATTTTTATGCGACGTATTGATGGGATGAAGCGATTGGATTGGATGATGAAGCATCGGAGGACAGGGCATGTTGGGTGAATCGACAGCTGTCGGCGAAGCAACGGAGTGAACTGTGCAAGAAGATGAGGAAGGGTTGGGAAAATAAGCATATGGTGACACGAGGTTGACATCGGAGCGGTCGGTACCAGCAAAAGTAGGAGACGATACTTGATGCCACATCGTATCGTGCTGCCCGGGATGGAAGTAAGCGTACATGGACGAATCTTGATTGGAAGGCGCCGGTTGTGGTTGCGGCTGTTGCTGGGACGGTTGAATGGGATAAGGAGGAAAAGGCAGTGGCAAGGTTACGCTGGTCGGCATTGTCGTAGGTGGTGTTCCGAAGGAATAGGGTTGCGAGGCCGTGCTGGACGGTAAACCTAAAGTCATTGGTGTTATGACGTTGGTCATTATCATGCCGTTATTCATCGTTGCTGCGGTGGCCGAAGGTAAGGTCGATGGGGGGTTTTCTTGTTTGCATTCCATGGAGTCAGACGTCGGTTGTTTATACAGAATACTGAGGGTCGAAAGAAAAATCGAAGGATTGGGTTAAAATAATGCAATGTGGATCATAGTATCGTCATTCTTATGCACTGCCGGTTTGGATTATTTACCTTTTGCGCGATTGGTTTGGAGACTGCAAAAAGTGAGTCTGATACGCAGCGTTGCTCGAGCCGTAATGGTTAGCAATCATTCAGTTATCAAAGTTTTCGCTTTCTCTTGTTGAAAAGTATTTTGTCGTTTGCGTCTTGTTTTTGCCCTGCAATTCGACGGGGATAAAATGAAAAAGAATAGGAATAAAAAGAAGTAAAGTTTAAAACCTTTGGCATGAAAACTTCGAGAATATTAGCTTTACCGTTCTGTGATACCGTGGCTCGGGTTCGGGGGATCGCTGAAAAGGAACGTGAAAACTTTTTTTTCCAACGTTTTTGTTTGTGTAGGGCGTCTGTGAGCGTTTCTGTTTTCGATTACTTGAGTAGAGGAAATAATGCAAACGCAATGTAAGCAAGATGGACAATGGAGCGTTTTCTGGTTCCACTGGGATGGATAAAACCAGTGTCAATTGAAATACAGAAAGTCTCAGAGAGTGGAAAGCACAAAAGAAGGATAAGCTGGAGAGGAAAAGAAAAAAGGAAATAAACAAAAAAGAAATCAGCCAACGATGGATAAAATGGAAAAACTTTAAAAAGCCATGCCAACACTGTTTCTATGACGTGCAAAAGAAATAACGATAGAACAGGGAGAAAACGAAATGAGGAATGAGGAGACGAGCGGAGGCGAGCAAACACGGAACTGGGGTTCGTCTCTTTTTTTTTGACTGGGAGTCTGTGGGTGTGCTTTTTTTGATTTTCTTGTGTAGCAAGTGATGCTCTTACAAAATGCCGATGTGGGATGCAATAGAACGTAAAAAAAAAAAAAGAAGGGATAAAAGGATGGATGGAAAAAAAATAGAAAGTAAAAATAAAGTGCGATAAACTTAAATGGAAATAGTAACTGAGTGCAAGGACGATGGTGGTAGTTGTCGAAAGGAGTTCCAAGCTAGCCATACTTGACAAAACCCACATAGATGACACTTGCCCTGTACTTGTTTTTTATCAATACACTCGCTTTCCTATGATGTGTTATTTTTTTTTGTACATTGTATTTTTATTCACCCATGGTATGTCTGTCGTTTTATTCTGATCATCATTCAATCTATCGATAATGGCTTCGACCAGACCAGGAAGAAATCTTTTGTTTACATGGAATGGAACACAAGAGATTATTCAGCTCATTCGTTTGTAAAGCACTGACATTCTGTGGAGTCAAAGGAGGCCGACTGAGGCCGTTTCTCTGCGCGTTTGCCTAAGGAGCTTTCCACGGTGGATGAACTTGCAAAGGAGCACATTGCAAAACCAAAAAGAAACGAAGAAACACGAACTAAGGAGTGGGTGATGGAATGGGGGTGTTTGCACCATCTCGCGCTGGTAATGCGGGAGCCCAGACCATCCCTCACATGACGGTGTTAAGGTTGATTGACACGATGACGACCGCTTTGTCATTGGTGTCAATAACATTGTCAAAAATAATAATGCAGTTATCATCTCTAGCAAGTTTAACTGACAAATAACTCGACAACCTTGTTTTTTTATGGTTCATTAAGTTCATGGGCTCGAGTAAAGTGTATGAGAATATTAATTGTTGATATTTTGGGCAATCTCCTATTTCCAGCTTCGACCATTTGATGCTGTGCTATTATGATCGTCGTCATTAGTTTTTTTGGTCATGCACTGTGAACCAAGCAATAGATTGGCATTTTTCAAAATGTCGCCTACTTTCGAAACGTTCGTTGTTTCATCCTAAGCAGTTTTCCATTCCTTTGTTGTCTCCAAAGGTGCAACAAGTTTCATATATTCTTGGTTTGGATGCTCGCTGAGCAACATCACGTAGCTTAAACTGCATGCATGAAGGACGTCTAAAAAAGGTAATAAGGCCTGCATCGTTGGGAAATATATTCCATAATTCCTTTTTGTCGCATCTCCTTTTTCTCTGTCAAGGAAAAGCTCAATATACAGGTCATGTGTTAAATGTATTCTTGGTGACAACACAATGTTGCCAAAAAAATAAAAGGGAAAAAGACAATGTAAAAGCTTGCAATTCAAATCGTTATGTCAATGATTCGATTGAAAATCAGTCATCCGCATTTTCGGTTTTGAATCCCCTATCAATTTACAAAACCAAAGACCTGGTCTGAGGAACCTATTTTTTTTTCTCTTGCAGAAACCTATTGTTTACCTTGCGTCGACTCCTAGATCTTCAGCATTAACATACTTTTCGTGCTTGGCCCCGGACAATGTGCCTAGACTCCTTTGTCAAGATGCAGCTCGAGGGATGGAAAACCCCCTGCATATGTTCTGCGCAATTTACTGTCTGAGACTGGCCTTACTTTTCAGTCCGTACCTGGTAGGCACACAGTCCATGGAAGGAATGGTTTGTCTGCAGTTCCACACAAGGTTCTCCCTTTTTAGTACGATTGTCATGCTGATCATGTAGAATATGTTTATTCGGCGATCGACACTGATGACTACTTTTTAGACTTTTGACTGAATTTGATCCGTGACACATGATATTGGCCAATATTGTGACTCTTTGTTATGTAATACCCATCACCTATTCGTCAATATAAGGTTTTTGGAAGTCTTGGATCACTAAGGAACAAGTCGCACACATAATAGGAATGATAAACAAGCCGATCATTCTCGCGCTCGTTATCCCCAATAAGTAATCGAGATACTCACTCGGTTCACATCACCTGATCCCTGCTTCTACTAAGCTTCTCGAAAACACTGAAACACTTTCCTTAAAAAGCCTCGACGGCTGTCAAATTGAGGAGCCATAGGATCGCCATCGATCGCATATTGACGCTCTGATCGGACGGGATGGGAGTCATCTTGATTCATATGCATAAGGAGACTCATTTCACTCGCTTGGCCTAGGGATCATCGCAATCATCGCGATCAGTGACCTTCAGAACTGGTGTACTTCATTGTATTCCAAACCCTGAACCCACTTCTCAATAGGATGAATGGTGTCATTGAAAAAAAGAGGATCGTCCGGTTAATATTTGTCCCCAGTTTTCATAGATCCAACCGATCTCTGCCCCAGCTACTCCTTTCTTGGGTCTGTATTTTGCAGTCACCATGAAAATGGGTAACCGTGAAAACCCCAATCGGTGCAATATTTTACGAAAATGCATCTTTATGAATGCATTGTCTAAGCTCTGGTATCATTCCATATTTGCAATGCACTTCAATACAATCGTGACAAATCTCAATGTTTTATGAAACATGCTTGACTTGTTCGTGCAAGTAGAAATGCGCTGATGAGCGTTCCTGCAACTACCAGTGCTACTTTTTTGCGGGAAGCCGTCAACTAAGCGGCTTATGCCTGAACAAAGAAGCACTGCGAATACAGCTTTCTCGGAGATTTATTATCCGTTGCAATTGGTATCACAGAGATAATAGGCCGTTGAAGAATACTTTTTCAATATTGGCTGCCGTCTACCAGATAATCATCTATCGTAGAAACCGAACCAAGATTGCTTATTACTGAACCTCCAATGTGTGGATCCAAAAGCAGTAGCAATGGTTGTTGAGATGATGCCTCAACGAAGTGCAATGAACTTGGCTACAACAAAAACCATAAGCATGATTTCCTGTGGTTGATCCGAAGAATCATCGAATGCGTATCCATTGCTTTCTTAAGCGATTAAGAAAGATTTGGCATATATATCAAACAACGTAGAACTCCGCGATCTTGGTCGGAAACCATAGCGATGGTAAAAATATTGAAACAATGGACAAACGTTACAGTGCCATCGGGATGTCCGTCCTTGCGCTTTTGGCGATGTCGCTTTCTACTTCTTTTATCGATGGCATGACTCTGGCGAGCTATTCCCTACTTTTCAAATAATAACGACTGGTTTAAAATAAAGGTCGCAAGAGGGAGAAACCGCGAGAAAGAAATCTCATACTGGACACACTGAAAGGCTGATGTTTGCTGGAAGGACAGCGGAAATCGTGGGGTTTGAATCATGCAAATCCAATAAGCGACAATAAGAACGTCTTCGATTGTCTTGCTCGCAGTGCATTTCGTTTTAAATGGCAACTTCTTTACTGATTCACAAAAATTTACATTCCATGATCCCGGTATGCGTTTTTGAATAACCCATTGTGAGCTCTGTAGGCAGGGTTCTGCGTCTGCCAATCTCTATGAATGTTCTCTTTCAGTCTGACGCCAAAGGCACGAAATATTGAGGTCATCGCGTCAGATGCGCTCATTATCTTTGAAACGCACCAGTTTCTAAATAAAATTTCCAAGAAAACTCTAAATCGTTGAAAAAGGTCGAGAAACAGTTCAGTTTTCATTTTTATCAAACATGACGGAAATATTGCTCAATAATGGATCCAGGCTATTCATATGGATGCTCAACCGAATACGTACACATTAGTGGATACATATGGCCCAAATTTACTCAACGCATACAGTATGCGCTGTACGATTATAGTTTTGATGATGTTTCATCAAAGGGCGCGTAATGTGGGATCTACAGTTGTGCAGCGAAAGTATAATTCGTTGAAACTTTTTCATTGTTTGAAGCGGAGCATGGAGAGTGCAACTATGATGAAAGACTTGTTACAAGTTACCAGCCACTACGCTAAACTTCACCTATTATGGTATCACAATAGGCTGAGATTAACTTGCAAGCCATCATGGGTGCTAAAACCTCTTTGGAATAGACTATATACCTTGTTAGAAAGACAAATAAAATTAAAATTGTCTTTTTCTTTACCGTTTTATTGCCATTGAAGGTGGCCATCATAATAGAATAGCCATTTATAGAGATTCCGTGATGTATGCTCTATCAATGCAAGCGGTTCTTGCTATCACCGGCGTGTTTCATCGCGACATGTATCTTCGATATGGGTAGCCTAGTTAAATATAATGCGACACATCATCCATTTTCATGTACTTATCCCATTGCAATGTCGAATTCTTCCAAGATGCATGTGCTTGGCCGTGTATGGTACCTGTCACCATTTGTTGCCTGTATGATGTGGAAATGGCTAATAGAAAACGCGACGGCGATCATCAAAAGAAACAGAGACAGAATTAAGCGGTGTGTGCTGTATATTGCGGCGGAGCAAGAAAAGCCCAAAATTACCAGTCCACCGTGGTTTTGACAACTAGCCGATCACCATCGTTAATTCAATACTTTTTTGCCTATTACTTGATAAGCCCCATGCGCGGAACTCAGGAATTTCTTCTCATTTCATATGTGTTACTTATCAATTGAGCCGGGTCTTACGGGACTAAAAGAGCATCCTTTTTTTTTTGGCAAGTGGACGGTCCAACTGGTGACGATAATAAAAGCCACTCCAAAGCCAAAGCCGTGACCTTCCCGTTTTGATGAATGGTCTATAGATAAGTAAAATGGGGGATTTTCCTGCTCAGATGGGGGAGTCATTCGACAAGTCCGTAAGTTATCTCATTCGTTATGATTTAGAAAAACATTCTTCGAACATGGTAAAAATGCCATATTTATACTTCCCATTTTCCAGCATGGACTATTTCCGGCAATCCTAACTTTAAAAATAAGTCTTTCATTTGAGACAAATAATGTTTCATATTATTGCAAGAGCGAATGAAATCAAAAACATCGGGCCAATAAAATATGCCAATTTGGATGCGCGTGCGGGGCAAACAAAACGATTGCCAAGACTCAAACAGTAAAAGATGGTTGTAGAAATTGGTGATGTTAATAAAAAAAATTTTACGAGTGTAATGTCATGTTCCCAATTTTCTGCAAAAGCAAAGCAGACGTTACAGAAAAACGAATAGCATGGAATGGCAAATGAACGTCAAGGGTCCTTTCACCAGGAGATAATTCACCATAAAAGGAAAAACTCAGATGAGGTCTAAAAATAAGATGGCAACTTTTTTGTACGCGGAAATCAGAAACCTTTGATCTTCAAATTAAGGTTTTTAACGTCTACAACGCATGATGAACAGTATTTTTTGCATCATCTGCATGTTGAAAAAGGGTTTAGGCGACAAAATTAGCATGGATCCAGTGTGGGAACGACTGGAAAAGCAAAAACAATGGGTTAGAAAAAGGGCAATGTTTTTTCTCTGTCGAAAGTAGTTCATTGAAACATTTGTCCGTCGCGAGTTGTGTACAACATTGGTTTGTGCTACCATTACTATTTCTATTCTTCCATAAATCAATTAGCAAGGACAAAAAAAAAAGCCTTATAAGTCGCCCGTTTGGACAAACGATAGAACAATAGCTGTTTCTCTTTTTTTTTTTTTCCTTTCCTTTTAGCAAGTCGTGGTTATCTGCCCAGTTTGCTCTACTTTATTCAATAACAAAGCTATCCATTATATATCGTTATCCAATGCTTTTCCGCGCTCTTAGTATTATTGCCTCGGTGTCATTAATTGCATCTACCGCTCACGCCGCAGATAAACAAGTCGCTCAAATTGTCGACTCGACCAATTTTTGCGTGTTCTTGCCACCCACCGATTCCAGCGATCGCAACATTGCCGATACCGAATGGAATGCCAATGCTTTTTGTATGGGCAACACTCCTAAAGCGGACAGCGCCGGCAAAATCCCTGCCGGATTTATTCAATCAGCTCATTTTGTCGCCACCGATGAGTATGTGCAAGTAACGGGTCAAATTGATCCCAAGAAGGCCAATCTGGACCCCAAAGATGACGGTGGTCAATATGACATCAAAGCTCCCGACGGTTCATCGTGTGCTGGCTGGGACTATTATGTCAATCTAATTGAACCTTCCGGTAACACCTACTGTATTCGTTGCTGTGTAAGTACACAAACAAGAAGATGATGTCAGAATACCTATATTAAGGTTATTAATCCATTTGTGGACCAAAAAATATATAGAATGACAGCCATAACTGTAACCGTGGTATTTCCGAAAAGGGTTGTGCTCACATCATTCCTGGTGATTACAGTGGTCCCATGGATGGTTCGGGCTCTGGCACCTCGACCAACGAAGGTGATGACTCGGATAAGGACGACAATTCTTCTACTCCTTCCTCCACCACATCGAGTGCGGCACCCACCAGCACGCCCCCCAAAGATGACGATTCTTCAAGCAGCAGCAGCAGCGACAACGACAGCAGCAGCACTTCCAAAAAGGACAATGAACATCCTACCGGCAGCACTACCCAGGATGGTTCTTCCACTCAGCCTACCGCTGATTCTTCATCTGATTCATCGGACAGCAACAGTGGAAATGACGGTAACAACGGTCAAGGTAACGGCAGCGCTACTGGCAACGATAATGGCAACGGCAATGACAGCAATAATGGCACTGGCAGCTCTGGCGATTCATCCGGTCAGCAAGATGGTTCCGGCAACAGTAACCCTTCTCAACCTGATACTCCTGCCACTGCTGATCCATCTACTAATGCCCAACCTTCCGACAGCACCGGTCAAGGTGGCGTTGCTCCCGGTGTTAGCTCAAGTTCTTCTGTACCCGCCATGCCGTCTTCGTCACCCGCCTCCTCCGCTGACCCCAATGCCAATTCTAGCCCCAGCTCCAACACGAATCCCAGCAGCAGTGACTCTGCTCCCGCGGGCGATGACTCTGTCACAACGCAATCGGTCGATAATGCCGGCGCTCTCTTGGGTCCCAATGTCTTGGCATTTGCTGCTGTGTTGATTACCTTGGGTTTCTCCATGTAATGTTCGACGGTCTTCTAATTTTTAACACAATCTAGAACCCTTTCTTGTCTATTTGTAATTTATATACCTTTTTTGTTCTCGTTATTTAATTGTCATGTTCACCGACTCTCCATAAAAAAATCATTGGAATCCTGATACATCGTTATCTACAGCGTTCATGATATCATATGCCATATTGGGTCAGCAAAAAAAGAAAAAGAATAGCTTTATTACCATAATAGATAAAAAAAAGCCTATTTTTGGTGAAATTCTCCAAAAAGGCAGGCGATCGTTGTGTGCAAAAAGATTGATTTGTGCATTCTCAACTCGGTCATTGGTGTTTACTTTTACTTTATATATCAGTTATTGAAGTATTCACCACATGATACTTGACTCTTTTTTTTTTTTTTCTTTGGACGACACTAGAGTCAAACAAAGTCGATACTCAGATGTGGCGATACACCCGATTAACACGGCACTGTCTTTACTTGGTGGCCAAAATGGCAATAAAATTATGTGTTGCCCCAAAATGATGAAAAGCTACAAGTTTAAAAAAAAAAAGACGGAAGCTTACCTCTTTCACAGGACTTGATAGAAATAGAGATGCATGAACCGACTTGTTATTATGCGCTTTTTTTGATTTATGGTCCTCATTATCTTCCGTTAGGATACGGTAGATCAAAGTTCCAACAAGGCGATTACGTGTTTGTTACTGTCATGTATGAGAACTTTATGTTAATAATCCCTTGTCATTAGAACTAATTAATGATTTGGAAAGTAACGACATATTGCTTGCATCTGTTGGGCACTGGATACGCTCGAATGATCACTGATTTCCCTTTTTCAACAGGAGGAAGGAAAATAAAAATGGAAAAATGAAACACCGAAATACAAGCGCATTATGTGTGAACCACACAATGGACACAAAAAAGGCGTTGGAAATGATATGATAATGGGTAAACAAAGCAGCAAAATTGCAATTTCTGTCACTGATGTTTATTTTTCCGCGTAAAAGAGGAATGGTCATGCTTGCATGAGAGTGCGTGTTGACGCGTCTTTTGGTGGCTTTGATTTCCCATACTTTGTATGGCGGGGTTTCCCAAAGCTTTCGTTTCTTCTCCTTTGTCTTTGACCCTTTTCGCCATTGGAGTTCTTCACTGCCCATGTTCACTCGTGCTCCATCCCAAACCAGCCATATTCACGGTCCCTTAGAATCCACTCTTGTGGACAGTGGTGGACCTGAAAATGTAACGAATTCCCCTGGGCCTTTGTCGCCTTTTGTCGAAGCTTTCCAGCGATCCCAGTTTACTGCTAGGCACGAGTTTCGCAAATTCTACGATTCCGTTTCACAATGGACCCAATTGAGCCCACGTTCATCCAAGGTAACCTCAAACGAGCAACTAAAGTAAAAAGGCCCAGAACTGATCCACGGTTTTCCTATTTACAGCAACGCATCAGAAAACGCGCTCACGAAAATTCACCGCGCCGAAGCCGTCTCAGTGCGGTTGGCCATAGCAGCGATCACTGGTCACGCACAGAGCGCTATCGCAAGTCTCTTGTGGATAACTCGCCGCAAACGCATTGTGGTAAGAAATAATATAACTTTCAGATATATCTCTATGCAATTTTTTTTTCTAGAGAGCTAATTGGGTATGTGTAGAATCGGTTCCCTCTTTGGAACATGGTGCTACGCCTTCAACACGAACGCCATCCATGGATAGCGCCTCCCAACACTATCCATCGGAATCCTATGGGGCTGTCTCCGCGAATGACCAGCCACGAGAACACGTCGATTTAGCAGTTTCAGAATACACAGGGGTGGCTGCTGATCAACCCAATGAAGAACACGAAAATTCCATATCCTATACGACTGGACGCATTAGAAACTACAGTCCAGTATCACATACCGATGGCACCTATCAAGAAAACTATCACGCATCGAGTCCATACGCAGAAAAGTTTCCTCATATCCATCAAGACTCTTATCATGATCAAGGTTCATACAAGAAGGAGGAGGATACGCCTTCTCGTGGGCAACGGAACGGCGAACACAGTCCTTACACCATCGAAGCTGACGAGTATCGCCAGTTGATATATCAACGTAGACGATCGAGTGTACTTGAACCTATCGATAACCAGGAAGAGTATCGTTATTCGGCTGCTGGCAGCTCCACCTCCTTTCGCCGCTATACTTTGCAACAAAATGCAACGGCTGAACGTCCGTTGCACGCCAGCTATGCAGGCCGCTCGTTGCAACACCGTGTCACGGAAGAAGGCGAGCGCTTAGAAAATTTGCAGCATAGTTTGAACGATGTATTAAAGACCGTAAGTGAGATGCAAAAATGTGCAATTGTGGTATACGTTATCTTTTAACGTCTTGTCGATCTGACAGGCCTCGGAATTGTCTTCCCGTATGAACGACAATGACAAAAAAAGAGTTTCCATTGTCCGTTCACCTTACCCCGATTCTTCAAACGCACAGACAGCATTCTCTCCGGATGAGAGGACACACGAAGTACACTCGCCCAATGTCCCGCAGGGAATACCTCTGTCGGATGTCGATCGTGGCAGCAGACGTGATCGACTGTCTCTTTCACAGCCGGACTCGGAGACCCGTCGCGCTTCACGTTACTCTGCAGAGACTCCCCGTACCCAGCTGTCTCGTCATTTAAAACGCTTTACAATTGGCGCAAGGTCCCCTCGTGCGAATTCAAGATCTCCTGAAACAAGGATGACAGCGTCGCCCCACAGCCGCACGCCCGTTCGATACACGCCATATGGATTGGTAAGTCCTATTGGAATACGTCTTGGTTTACTCTTACTAACGTATTCTACTGCTGGTAGTCTATGCGAAGAATTTCTTACAGTGCAGTTTCTTATTCGCCTTCCCTCCAGGATATCAATGATACATCCAGAACGCGGCTAAGATCCACACGTCTGATCAGGTATGAAAAAAATGGGTGGTTATTTGCAAAGCCAACATTGTACTGAGTCACTCTTTGATCTGCCTTGTAGATGTCCTGATGGTTCGACCATCCCCAATCCTATATGGCAAGAGATCTATGGTGAAGATACGGCTCTGGAACCGAAATCTGCCGAGTCTTCTCCAGATCATCGTGTGTCTCCGCAATCAAATTATCAACAGATCCAAAGCAGCCCTACATTTGATCAAAATCCAGTAACAATCCAATATATAGGTCATACATTGACCCCTTATATCATTGTAAGTCGCGAGCTGTATTCTCCCGTTGGTGAAACGTTTTGAAACTAAAAATTGACACTGGTTTAGCCCTCTCCTTCGTCACCATCCAGCGGTCGAATTCAAAAGCCTGCATCTACTCCCAGTGCAAACACAAGGTTACGAACGGCTATCATAAAGTCCCGAGAAGACAGGGCATCCATCTATTCAAACGGAAAAGCGGATTATTGGAATGATCCATCCAATTCACATCGTCGACAATCTTCCGCTGGGTCGCCAGCTCGAAGTCAATCATTATCGCAGCACATTAATCCACGATCTCATGCCTCGCCCATCCCATCTCGAGTAAACGCAACAGCGCAGTTGGCTCCCCGTCACGATGCCAACAGAATGTCTGTACATGCTAGTGTAAGTCGTAATGAATGTATGAAAGAAAAAAGATTGGCGTTTGCAGGTCCTTAAGATTGATGATATAGGCAAACGATGAAGACTTCTGGCAGACCACCGTCTCGACAAACTCTGTTCCGACCACGTCCTTGACCGCACGATTATTTAAGATTGCTGAAGAGGAAAAACAAGAACGAGCCTACTTTAGCCGTAACCGACATTGATGTTCTTCCACCCAGTAAACACCCTCATATGCTTGCATTCATCTTTTGCCACATTCAAATGCATCCAATAACAATATCCTTCAAACATGTGCCAATTTCGGCTCGTTACACGTACTCTGTCTGCACATGGCTCGCGGTGTGTGGTATACTATTATGTTGCGTGAAAAGGACAATGAACAACGGACAAGTGACAAAATGTGGATCTACAGTTTATTACAGAGATGGGATTTTTGCAAACAATGACCTGTGCCGTATATGTTGACAAAAGCTGCTGAAATGGGGTTTCATTGGTTTAGGTAAAGTGAGTCGAAAGTATATGCGGCCTTTCGTTGTAAATTTTGAGTATCGCTTGTCCAAACAAACCGTTGGCCCAACCAAACCATGAACGTGTGTATGGATTATCATCTGTCAAACGAAAACAAATACATGAGATGATAAACATTGATACGTACGTGTGGGAGTGCATATATGTGTCCATGTCATATCATTACCATCAAAGACATTAAAGGATTCGTGGATTAGCCCGGTATCGTCCGTCGAATGAAGGATGATTTTTAACGCTTCAATAATTTCTGTATCATTGGTAGAGGTCAAGATCTGATAAATGAAATGTTAGCTAGTAGCCCCAAAGAATCCGCTTGATCATTCTCCTCTTACACGAACAATCTGTGACATTGGCCAAGCGTGGCTGAGTCCAACCTGCGCCAGACGTCTCCGTTAGTCCCACGTCGTCTTTACAACTAAAAAGTACTTTTTTTTCTCCAAACTCACATGAGGTCCGCCAATGCCAGCACCTCGAGGTCCCGAGAAATAGTAGGGATTTGCATTGGAAAGAACTAACCGCCGGGTGTTTTGGTATATGGGATCGGTTTCGTTCACGAATCCCAACCAACTCAGAGATAGAAGTGAAGGTACGTTGGCGTCATCCATAATCAACGAAGAGCCGTAACCGTCGACTTCATCTATTGCGTGTGGCGTTGCGTTAGACTGAAACTGTAAAAGACCATTTCATGCAGGGTTGATTAACGTACATGCGAAGCATTCTCCGACGTCTGGGTGACGTACGACGCCGTACTTGTAAATGGCATTTCTAATTTCTGTGGATAATCGACTGGCCTCGTTGGCAAGGATCTTGTTTCCATACCGACTCTTTTCCAGTACTTCTGCAAGATGAGCGAGCTCGACCGACATCATGGCGTTTCCAGGAATAAAAAAGGGAAAGATAGTAGCATCGTCCGAAGGTCGGAACAGGCTCTTGATCAGCCCGGTCCGTCGGGTAGGATTGCCGCGACCGTTCAAAAACTGGGTTTCCGTTGGTCGGTCGGTGGTTTGCGAGAATGTGTAGTACGTAGGTAAGGGAGTACCTGCAGAAAAAAAGTTTTTGTAAATAAAATTATCCTCTGCATCGAACTAAAGACTCTGCACGTATGGAGAGACGATGACGAACCAGTGACACTGTCAAATGTTGGTTCTTGTTCCTGATGAATGACCTTGATCACGCTTTCCACTGCTGTCATCCATGAGGTCGAGTTGACAAATGTATCATCTCCTGTGGCGTGCCAATACTGATATGATAGTCCCAAGAAGGAGGCTAATGAATCGACCTCCCATTTATACTCGAATACTAACAGATGCATCAAGGAGTGAAATTAAATTCAAATGCCGATGAAAGAAAATCAGGTACGCGCTCCAGCTCGCTTACCACCGGGCTTCAAGTGCACTGCCCGCTTTCCCATACTGCCGACCGCAAGAGATCGAGGCTCGGAAAAAGCGTTTGCGTAAGGGTCCAAATTGATAAATTGTGCTTGAAGATAAATGGCTCCGAGGAATAGACGCTTCAAAGATAAATCTTGTTTCACATAATCGAGGTAGGGTAACAGCTGGTTGGCAGAATCTCGAAGCCACATGGCGTTGATGTCACCTGTAATAACGAAGGATAATGGGGTACATGAAGCTCGGGTAGTATTGAGACATGCGACTTGCGCAATGGTGGTATCAAGTGTATTAGGATATGCATTGGTGAACAATCGTGCCAAATCCAAATCTGCAATCTAGCAGAAATGATTTCATTACTTCTTATGTTTGTGCGGTGGCGGTTACCACATGATTGCGTGCAGGCCAAATGACAAAAACTCTACTTTAGCTGTAACGGTATCAATGACAGATTCAATCACGCTGCTAGTGAATCGACGACAAGCTTCCATCGGTCGTTGAAAAGGAAGATTCAAAGCGCCACCACTGCCAGGATCATGAAAATGCTTCGAATATCTGTTCAGGCATAGTCATACAAAAGGTCAACCAAAAATTGAAAGAAAAAAAACATATCAGAGATAATAAAAAGCTTACTCGGCATAATCAGGACATTGGGTCATGATGCAATGGCTGGTAATATATAAAAAGCGCAAGACAGAGAAACAAAAAAGAAAAAAAGGTTGAAAAATGTAGAAGAAAAAAACAAATAAAAAGGAAAAAATAATGGGCTTTTCAAAAACTCCATTGTCTCCTGTTTTTATACTCATGCAGACGTGATATTCACCACTGTGGGGTGAATCAAATGCATCAAGAAAAAAAATAGGAACCAGAAATCAGAAGAGCGACCCCTTACGCGGATCGATTTTCCCTTAAAAAGCATTACAAAAAAAAAAAAAGAGATGGAAAACAGTAAGCGAGATGATTTATTATGTCAATGCAGCATCGAATGGACAATGACCCGAAGCATCTGCTTGACCTTGGGCCGCATATAACCAATAATGGTATAAGCAATAGGTGACCGCTGGCGCCAAAGACACCAGAAAATCACAAATGCCAGGAAAGAATTGATGACTGCATGTTGTACCAAGGATTTAAGGAATCGAACCCACGTCCACCGCAGTTGGCGTCTTCGTCGTTCCCGTTGTTTGATAGTTTGCCGTAATGCATCGATTTCTTGCGCTAATAATGCCACATCGTCTTGCAGCATTTGTACTGCATACTGCGACACGGATGCGGTGGAGGGCGGCGGCGATTTGGAAAATTCAAGGTTTTTCTGCACGCTGCTGTGATCCATATAACTAAACTCGTCCATCATGCCCTGAATGTGTATCATATAAGGGTCCATGTGGCGCGAAACAGGTGACATGAGCGGTGTGACAGGATAACCATTGGAATACGTGGATTGAGTGGAAGGACTGGTGACCATTTTCAGTAACGGCTCATCGATTGCAACCGGTGCAAACGCTGGTGGAGATTCAGTATCGTTTTCGCTGTCGATGCATGCATCGTCTGCAAGTGGTAACGTCAAAAAGAATTAAGGGCCAAGAAAAAAAAAGGGATGCATGAGACGACCAGTCTAACGAGTGCATAAGCGAGAAAAATCATGCAACATCAGTTACCTGGTAATAGATCGTCCAATTGTAAATATTGAAGAAACTCCACATATTGATCGTGTTCAGGATGGTCTTCAATAAACTACAAGATAGCTCTCAAAGTTTTAAAACTCGACTCGCAATTTCTCGGCTTCACATGAATACGACTCCTTTTTTTTTTCTTTTTACCTCCAACAGCAATTTGGCCAGCAAGTTGACGTAGAGTTTCTGCGCTTGGACTGGATTTAGAGATTTCATGGTTTGCCAAGCTTTCCTATTTTGGGCGCTCAATTGTCAGCGAGAAGGTTCCAAGGCACAAATAGGAAAGGGAAAGGGAAACGAAGTTGTCTTTACCATTTCGCGTATTGAATCTTGTTCGTGGCCGGTGGTGGAGAAAGAGTGCAATCGCCTTGAGTGGCCTGTTTGTAGAGTCCATAGAAACGGAGTTTTTCGGTCGCGGAAGGTTGCAGTGGACCGTCGTCTGGCAATGTGCGAACAATGGCTAATGCTTGGCAAAACTGATGTTGGGTATCTTGTAAGGAATGCATGGGAAAATGAAGAAATAATAATAAGATGAATGGGAAGATCCTGTTGCAACAGAATAACGAGTATATAAGGTGGAGCCAAAAATCCTCGAATAGCGCTTAGTCAATAGGTATATTTGCCGCCCGCATTCGGCAATGTATAATCTTCTCTCTCAAAGTCAGCTGTTTCCCCACAATATCCAAAAGGCATCTGCGGCATGACGATGTATTTCTGTTTTTTTTTTGTTTTTTTCACTGCTGATACACAATCCAAATTTATTCACAAAATCCATTATTTCCAATTACTGATTGTTACTCGGATTATTACTGTTGCTGTTGTTGTTGCCGCTGTTGTTACCACCCATGAATTGACGTGCCCTGTTATTTTCCAGTCATCAGCGTTAGATCACGGAAGTTTTTTTCTTCTTCTTTTTTTGTTGTTAAAGACAAACTACTTACATATCCATCATTTCAGGGTTTCTCATCATTTCGGCCAGTCCACCGCCGCCACCACCCATCATTTGCTGAGCCCTAAAAATGAAAAAAAAATCGTACGTTAAAAATTGGAATCGATCTGTGCGCCTTTTTTTTTCACAAATATAAAGTGGATACGTACATTCTTGCCACGTCGGGATTGTTCATCAAGTTATCCAAAGCGCCCGATTGCATCATTTGCTGGGCCATGGTCATCAAAGCCGGGTTGTTCAACAAGGAACCAAGATCAGGCATACCGCCTGCCGAACGAGGAGTTTCTCCGACTTCAGGAATTGATCGTTCCATGCTTGTGTTACTAGCCTTGGCCTTGGCTGTCATCAAAGAATTCTGAATCGTGGTGTTGTTGGGATCCAAAGCCAAGCCCTTTTCATAAGCTGCCACAGCTTCATCGAACTTCTTTTGGCAAAACAGAGCATGGCTATACGCAGAGTTGGGTATTGGTGAATAACCCGTGACTCCCAAATTCACCGCCAAATCCGTCTTACCCTAATCGGCTGTAACCTTTGCTATACTTGGGATCAATTTCCACGGCTTTCTTTGCATCATCCACCGCCTTGTCATGATCTCCCTGCTGGCTGTAAGCAGCAGCACTACAAGAACACAGACACAGTCAGCATTACTCTTTCCCCATCACTATCCTCACAGTAAAGCATGTAGCAAAGGAAAAGACCGCATACCGGTTAGCATAGTAAACAGCCTGCGAGCCATTGATGGCAATGGCTTCCGTATAGAGTTTGATGGCTTCAGGATAGTTGCGCTCAGCCACCTTGCGGTTACCGGCGGATTTCAATTCGTCGGCTTTCTTGATGTCTTCTTCAGACAATTCCTTCTATTTCCGCATTTAGAAACTCACCAAGTCAAACCACTTGGCGATCCTCGTCGAGAGATGCCATAAAAAAGATAAAGAAAAAGAAAAAAATAAAGAATACACTTACCACAGCTGGAAAATATGAAATGATGCAACAGAAAACCAAGACCAACAATTAGGATTTCACGTACATCGTGCGCGCATCATTCATCATAAACTTACGTTCAGCAGAAGCAGGAGCGGAAGAGGCAGTAGACGAGGATGCAGCCGTCTAAAGGAAAACATTCATTTAATGTTCAGTACATTGGCACGTTGGGTTGCGGTCGTCCGTTTGTGATTCGAGCGTGCGCGTACCTGACCCTTTGACTTGGACTTGGTCTTCAAATACACTTCGAAAATAGACAACAAAGTGGCAGGTTTGGTGCTGTAAGCTTCTTTCTGGGCAGCATCGGTGGGATCCACACCAAATGCTTCACCTATACATTGCATGGCCACTGATGACGAGCACAGACGAAAACGTAAGTATTTTACTGTCCATCCCCATCTGACCACATTCACGCACTATAAAGTTACCTTCGACGCCTTCAGCTTCATCTTGCCCGATGGTACCATCTTCGCACGACTTTTGAAGAAAATCAAGAATAGAAAAGACCAAGGCTTTTTTGTTTTCGGAGGCCATGATGATAATGAATAAGGAGAGAAACAAAAAGAAACGAAAAAAAAATGGCGTCCACGTGATTGTTGGCTTGCTTGTCGGGGACCGAAAAACGGCTTGCGTGGACGGCCACATTTGGTTCGTCTGGCTTGAGCCTGCCAGTCAAATTTGTCAAACACAAAATGTGTGACAGATGATTCTTGTCATGACGACGATTTTCTGTTACTTTAGGAAAACCAACGTAACAAAACCTTATTTTACTATGGAATCTTATTTATCCATTTTGAACTAGAAAAAAGAGGTTAAACAGTGATTTCTTTGACATCATTGTTGGCTGCGAAAAAAGGTCATCATGTTTACCGTGTAAGTGGGAAGGGGGGGACGTGGAGAGGTTAAAAAGAATAGTCGACACATATCGTAGCGAAAAAAAAAGGGAAAAGAATGATCCACCGTGATAAAGCAGGGGAGAGGTATCATTAGTTCCTGTCTTGACGTTCTACAATTGTTGGCTTTTTTCATTTCGGAGAAAAGAAAATCAAGGGAAAAACTCTTGTTCATGTATGAAATAACGAGCACATAGATAAGATAAGCAATCTTATTGGGTCGCAAGTGTGCATAATAATCACTCTACATAGAAACTCCATCGTCAAATAAAGTAAAAAGGGGAAGCGCATTCGGCCTACCCTATTTGGTAATGATAACAGAAACCCAATCTATTGGTTACTTCCGAAAGACAAAAAAAGAGAGCTAAAAGATTTGTAAATCAATTTAAAGAGTTCCTTGCTGATCCTCATTCTTTCTGATTTTTTTTTCTTTATTTACACTTCTATTCCACTTTCTTATCCTCTTTCATCTTTACATCATTTCTATCGAATTCAATGACGCGATCCAGCTCTGGCAAAGGTCCCATTTTCGTTTCGGGCACCGATGGCGACAAAGGACTTGCTGTTGTGCAGCAGCTGCTTCAATTGCCGGAAAAATATTCCCATCTTCCGCGGTACCCGGTGTATGCCGGTCTGCCAGATGCCACCACGGCGCGAGCACAAACACTGGCCCAACTGGGGGCGAAACTCGTCGCCTTTGATATCTTCAACGACCATCAAGCTGCTGTAGAGGCTTTGAAGGATGTCACCAAACTCGTTCTTCTCGTCGATCCTCTTAGTGTCCGTATGACGCGAAGTAATGCGTATCCCTACGGCAAAGCGTAAGTTTGCTTCCTGATTTCTGTGATGGCCATCAAACTCCATTATCGGACTGACTCAACCAAATTTGAACTAACTTTTTTTTCTTGGTGGTGATTTTAGTTTCATTGATGCTGCCAGGGAAGCCCACGTGGATCATATTATTTTCCTTACTCCTTTCTCGCCTTTGGATCCCATTTCCAAAGTGATGCATTCCCATCATTCGTTGAGCCATGATGATCCCACCTCCTATCGACATCAATTCATGCTGATCGAATCGTATCTGCGCAGCGAATTTGACAACAGTCAAGTTACTATTTTGAGATATCCCGGTATCATGCATCAACATTTGCTGGTGTTTGGCAAATATATTGCCGAGCACAATGCCTTTCCATTGCCGACCAAACTCATGGAAATCACCGTCGAGACTTCCAACATGCTGGACATTGCACGTGCGACCGCTTGCATTGCGTATTCCCCCACTTTACGTCACAGCAGAAATGCGTACAAGATTACGGGGCCCCAATTACTCACACTGCAAGAAGTGAGCGCAAGGGTTTTGACTGGTCTCAAACGCGACGTGGCTTTCAATTTGATGGACATGACCGCTCTGAAACAGATTCTATGTGACAGCCTCGGCAACGAAGATCATGTTGTATTCCTTTTGGAGATGTGGGGTTTACAACAACAAAAGTTAACAGGTCGACGTTTCGAAATCACTCGCGACTTGGAAGCTTTGACGGGACAAAGCGGGACAACCTTGAATGAATTCCTTGACGATGACACGGTGCGTGATGCTTTCCATATGACATCGCCCTCGGTTGCCTAAACTACCACACGATACCACCCGCTTTTTCTTATTTTTTTTCTCCTCTCTTCTCCTCTCATACTCCTAATTGACTTGATTTAATTTTCGTTCTTTGCTTTCCGTTGTTTTTATGTCCATTTACTTTATTTTGTAGTACATAGTCATTTTCCTTCTACTTTTTTTTATGGGGATATTCCCCTCCATTTGGTGCTTATGAATTACTTTACTGTTTCACACCTATTTCAGGCACATCCTGTACACTTGAATCCAAAATATGCAAATATCATAATATAAATATTTTCTCTGATCATCCCAGTATAGGTGTGTTCTTCCAACGATGTTAAGCTTTTCTTGTGGCCAAAATTTTCTGTTTAGGATGAAAAATTCTGCAACGAAGAAAACAGTGGATGATGGCTATTTCATCAGTCAGTCATGCTTGTTTCATATGAAAAAAAAAAAAAAAAAAAAAAAAAAAAAAACTTTTTGCGTCGTTTTATTAGATATCACCGGGTATTTCTTATCATCAGATCCCTTATCCGAATTGGAAATGCGAATGTTTGATTCCAACATGGTGTCGGCATTTCTGATTCCGAACAAAGATAACCAAAAACGGCAGAACCGAATGAGCAGCTGCTGCCCGCATTTTACTCTCGACGCAGAATAAAAAAAGTCCGATGACGTGCCGTTGCAGTATCAGTTACGATATGATGCACCCCACTTGTGCCCTGATGCAGAAGATAATGTGCGAATGATCTCACCTTGTGCAAAATCCGACTATCGATGAACCTTGATCATCATAACATTACTCACAAATTGTAGAAAATTCCTTATTTGTTCATACGCTTTCCGACCTCACGCCATGGCCAAGTAAATCACCGTTTTATGATTTGCAAATTATTTGCCGGCATCGCTACCAAAAGTAAAATAAAAAGAGTAGCGTTTTGATGTGTGTCAGCAATAAATAAAATGGTGTTAAACCCTTATAGCTTAGGTTTATGCTTTCTTCCATATGATTCAAGCAACAAAGATGGTATCATTGAATTTCCCTCGTTTTATTAGCTCGCTTTCCAAAAAATCAGGGCAAATCATTTCCATCACAATACATTCATGATCCCTTAGAAAAGAAAAAAAAAACCAACCCGAAATCGCTTTCTGTCGATACTTTTGGAATGACAGGCATATACGAAAGTAAGACCCTATCCATCACGACATAACTGGTGAACGCTTGCAACATCAAAGCCCTTGATTGTGCTTAGACTAAGGACATTATCATTTTTTTTTTTTTTTTTTGATAACGACAGCGGCGACATTTGTCTCTTGGAAGCACTTTTGTATCATATCGTAGTCCCATGACTGTCGTGCGACCTCAAGATAACCGAAAAAATGCACCAATGAAAAACGGTACATGGATCGCCCATCAACGGACTTTTACCAACTCCATTACCATGGGAATTATTGAATCGTGGCCATTGGTGCAAAGCCCAAGAGCAAAAATTAGCAATCAGTGACTCCAACTTTTTGTTGATAAGGTTCTGAACAGAGTTATCATTATTTTTCACAACGACTTTAATCGGATTTCGCATGTGGAACACACCATTTCCATTATTAGATCTCAGCCAAAAATCACAGCTATGCCACACTGATGAGTTATTCTTGAATAAAGGAAAAAAAGAAGGCTCAATTCTATAGCTTACCGATAAGATAACGCCATCCATTGATGAAGGCTAGATCAAAACATCCTTTCCAGAGGCATTGGCGAAAAAGCGCACCAAGAAAGCGATAATCATGAGAGTAGTATGAGGTGACAGATGAGAGTTGTTTCAGTTGATGACGTTTAGGAGTGGCTCGACCGCACAAAATGTCCAAGGTGGCGGGGCCTTTGTATTGATGGATATCGGTAGGGTTGAAACCTACGGTGATGTGAAAATGACAAGGTTTTAAACCATAATGGTGACGGATTTCTTGACCCAGAGGCCAGCACAGTACGCGGTACATGGTGCATGCACCGTTTTGTTTGTCCACAATTCGACCCATGCCCAAGTCGGTGGGAAGCTCCCAGCCATCATTGGTCGGGAAATGGGTCTCGATATCTTTGAGCAACAAACGCGCATTTTTCATCCTTTCCTTCTTCTTTTTCTCGTAGCCCAAATCCTCCATGACTTGACCCAATTCCACAGGATTAATGAGCGTGACGTGATGATGATCGCCATCGCGCTTTAAACGGTTTTCCAGGAAAATAGGAGGAACGGAGCCTTGGCATTCGAATGCAAGGTCGTCAAAATAACTTCCAACAACCGAAATGTAGCCCGGCTTGGCTTGCAATCTCATTGTACCATCAGTACCGGCCATGAGCTCGTACAAGAATCGGAGCCACTGTTAACTGTCCATGTAACTCTCTGTTGAAAACGGCATACACACGCTTGCCAAAGGGAAAACTTACGTGACGAGGATAGCGAATATCTAATAAATACGGATGTTGGGCCACGCAGTATCCTTGGTGGTAGAAGCACCAAGTCGGGAATACAACGTTGACTGAGGAAAGAAGGAGGCTAGAAAAAAAAGACGGAGCATCAAAAATACTCTGGAAATTCGTAATGTATTGTGAAGCATCGGCCAAAGTGATACGACCAAAAGGCAACCCGTCTGTCCTGCCTCTCACCGGAAAACAAAGTCCGTCTCTTTTTTTCCCTGACCTTTTTTCCCTTTTTCTCCCTTGGAACTTTTACAACCTTTTACCATTCTTGCTTGGATTGACTGTTCTTTCTCGTTTTTTATTTCTCCTGCACAACTTATGTCATGGACATTGCCAAGGTTCGTTTCTCCGAAGCGGCCCACTTGCTGGACAAAGGCTGTGTCAAGGTAAAATGGATTTCCTATTGAGCATCACGAACATTGGCCCCGCAATCAAAAAACTTGCACTTCCTCTATGCGCGAATCTCATACTTACGGTGGGCTTTTTTGTTTTTGTTTTTTTTAGGATGCTTATCTGGGATACCTCGCGGTGCTGGAAATATCGGCCCAAGAATTGCGCAACGTAAAGTTTGTTCACCATAGTAAGTATTTAATTTTGGTCTCCTTGAATATCCGATAGCAGTGTGCTTAGAATGCATTGAAACCCAATAGCGGTTGTAAGTCGACCAATGGATTGTGAAGAATTACTGGCTACTATCCATTCCAGTCTATATTCTCTCGAAGATATCATCGTGAAACGGTCACCGGATTCGCCACGATCCAATTTACCGTCGGCAAGATCCACTCCTCCTATCCCGCCCAAACCTGCAACACTTCAAAAACCCAGAATCCCGCCCAAACCTACACCGTTACAATTGCAACCCCTTATTACAGAAAACTCTAAACCTACCACTCACTTTTCTCCATCACAGCCAAACGTGCCTTATCCCATTGTCTCCATACCCGCCTTATCCTGCGACACTCCCGATCCCATCTGTAACGAAACGCCAAGGATACAGACTGATGTAGTCACAGAGCAAGAAAGTGCAATGGAAAAGAATGATGAAAATAAAGAGGTCCACGACTTGCTGACCCAACAAATGACCGAGGATCGTAAGTGAGAAAAGCAAAGGATGGGCGGGGGTGAGATGGAGGGACCCTTCGGAACCGCTAAATTTACAGAAAGCTCGGAAATTCCTAAAACCATCCTTTTTTCTTCTTTTTTCCTTCTTTTTGTTTATGTTAGATGATGAGTTGCAAGAAAGACGAAACTCGCTTCATTCACCCGAGGTAGAATTGGGGGTCGATTTTACGTTTTGGAATACAACTCAGTGGAACAGTTCCATGGAAATGCAAGAGACTGCACAATGGACACCAGACAATGTGTTGCGTCAATCGGTCATCAATGTCAGCCTTCTCGTCCCAGCTCAAACCCACACCGGCGAAAGTCTTGCACCTCCCATGCTTTCACATACCGATCCATACGTACCCAACATTCCCGCCCCTCCTCTTCTCACCCTTCACAGGCAATTGCAAACAAAGTTGGATGAACTGGAGAAATCGCTGAACGAATGCAAATTGTGGCGCCGTCATTGGCTCCATGCAGCTGTTGATCCCCCTAATATGGCAAATCATCAGCTTGACCCTGATCTCGACAACAAGATCCTGCAGCGCACTGCATCCGTGGCTGGTACACGGGAAACCCTAAATAAGGTCCGCACATTGTACATGAGCGCAATGACGGTGCCCGATATCCTACATCTTCCTCCTCATCTGATTGCGTATCAATTCACCCTCATTGAATCCGCCATTTTTCGCGATATACCCATCAGCGCCCTTTTGTCCCATTCGCCTCGTTCCCCACACCCGAAAATCACCGCTTCCACCGACTTTTTCAACTATGTCACACGCGCTATCGAGCACACCATTTTACTGCCGCAGGAGGCTTCTCGGCGAGCCGAAATTATCCATCGCTGGATCAAGATTGCTGCCAAGTGTCTCACCCTGCACAACTATCAGACTTTAAAAGCCATTGTTTCTGCTTTGGGCACGCCCCCTGTTCAACGGTTACGGCGCACATGGGAATGCATTCCTCGCAAACGCTTGGGCAGGCTGGACCTTCTCAACTTGCTGATGTCGGAAAGTGATAACTATCGCCGATTCCGTGAACACATGGGATTAAGGAAAAGCCGCAAATGGACGAAACCAGTGGTTCCCTTTCTCGGTGTCTTTATTCATGACATGACCTACTTGGTGGCTGCCGCCAAAGGGAACAAAGAGGACGATCCCCGTGTCCAGGATTTACTGTCCCTGTTCCAAATGTTCCAAAACGCTCCAAAGTACTCACAACAACCTCCATCGTTTCTGATGAAATCCGCACGAAAGCCCATTTTTCGCACAGGTAACATTACCAATGCCTTGCCGTTTACCAATCCGTCGACCAAAAACCCTAAACTGCATACTCTGACGACTCATGGCGATGAAGACGAGCAAGTGGAATTGGAACAGCAAGTAATCACGCAGTATCTACTGATGCGACCTTGGGTGAATGAGAAAATCATTGATGAACTCAGTCTGTTACGGGAGCCTCCCAAATCTCGCGCTGGATCGATGCCGAATATGACCGTTGGGACTAGTCGATCGAGTGCCAATGGAGGCAGTGGAACGTATTCCGGTAGTCTCCTAAGCAACGCTAGCTCCCTGGTTCGTTTCCAAACCAACAGTGGGTACAGCACCACCACCTCGATGGCCAGCTCCGACCAGGAACCGGTGACACCGACCACGCCTACAGGAGACGACAGTCGTCGCAGCTCACTTGTTTTCTGGCCGTTCCGAAAGAGTATGGATCTGACGCGGACAGTATCCTTTGCTGCATCTGACAGCTGCGATGATGTTCGAATATGGAGCGACGATAACGACGATGAGGATGAAGATGAAGACGGAGCACGCATGCTTAGCGCGTCTCATGTTGGTTTGCAACGAAGGATTTCACTTCACAATCGACGTCGACCTATTTTAGGACCGCCTCAGTCCGCTGTCCAGAAGCAGGCCACAGGCCATGCTCGCAGCTATTCCTTGCCATCGGCCAAACTAGCCGTTATGGTGGAGCCGTACCCAGCATCGGAACGATAGAGGTTTCATTTGTATTATTTTCGAGAAAACAAACATCACACCTGTAAAGATACCATACATTCATGCGACTTGCCCATTTTTGAATAAAATTGTTCATTTTTCATCATGACACATAGGCATGTGTTGTAACCTCCAACAAGAGGACAAAAGTACGTTTATTATACGTTAAAACGGTTTTGCGATCTGATGAAAAAATGAGAGAGTTAAAGGGGGGTTTTTTTTTTTTTTTTTTTTTTCGTCCCGAAGACATCCGTATGGATGAATAGCGATAGAGCGTCACATTGTGACGGTGCTGTGCAGGTGAAAGTTGAACTCAGTTGGGAACCGCCACAGTGCATAGACAAAGTAAGAATACCACGAGCGAATCATGTCCAACGAAGCAGGCATCACTCAAGGTCGGTCGTCCGGCGACACGGACAAAGTAGAATTGGTTCTAATCCTATTCTTCGTTCCCTGCGACTTGTAGACGAAGCAGCTATTTACGATCGTCAAATTCGACTGTGGGGTCTTGATGCCCAGCAACGGTAACCCGCTCCGCCCGTTCCTGCCATGCTCCCAGTGTGTATGCTTTTACTCAACAGACATTTTTCTTGCAGTATTCAAAAAGCACACATCCTCGTAGCTGGTGTACGTGCTTTAACCGATGAAACGTGTAAAAATCTTGCTTTGGCCGGTATCGGATCGCTGACACTGCTCGATCACACCACTGTCATTCCTGAAGATCTCGGCGCTCACTTTTTCTTTAAAGAAAACGACATTGGTAAAAACGTGAGTTCTCTTCCATGTAAACATGTACGTCAAGGCATGATACTGATTGAGGAGGGGAAATTTTAGCGCGCGGTGGCAGCCGTTCCTGCTATTGAGGCCTTGAATCCGCATGTCGTGGTCAAGGTCGACGAGGGAAATATTGCCGACAAAGACGATGCCTTTTTCGCTGAGTTTGATGTGGTATTACTCATTCATGAAAAAGCGGATATCTTGGTGAGTCAAACCCCCCCCCCCCACAAGCGTCTAAAAAAGAATACATCTTCTCATGATGCTTAGACTCGCGTCAATGCCATTCGAAAAGCCCAAGGCAAGCCATTTTATGCTGCGGATGCTTTTGGCTGGTTTGGGTATATTTTCTGTGATTTGAATGTTCATACGTACATTGAGTGAGTTTATCTTATTGGGATGGGTAAGGCGACGAGAGATCTTACCAGATTTTACGACGATGATAATATAGAGAAAAGAAATCGTTACCGGCAGGCGCCAAGGCCGGTCAGGATCCTGTGGTGACCAAAACAACGTGCGTAGAGCAATATGTTACATTGAATGAATCGCTGCAAAAAGACTGGTCTAGCATGTCGGTCAAAGCATTAAAAAAGAGGATATCACCGTTGGCGTTCGTTATGCAAAGTAAGTGCTCGTTAAGCTTGTCTACTTGTCAAAGAGGGAATGCTGATCATACCTTTTTTTTCCCTAATTCAGTGATTTTACGGTTTGAACAAAAGCATCATCATCTTCCGACACAGCAGGAGCTCTTGGACACTAAGACACAATATTTGCAAGAGTTGGGCATATCAGATAGCACGGTCGTGTCAGATGACCTCATTAGGTAAGTTTGGCAAATTTCCGATAGGTTGTGGGAGATACAGATATTGACAGGCTTTATAAAATACCAGCATGGCATTGGACTTGAGAGAGACTGAACTGTGTCCTGTGGCCTCGATCGTTGGTGGCGTATTAGCGCAGGAAATTATCAAAGTACTTTCTGCAAAAGAACTTCCGATTTCAAACTGGTTCTTTTACAACGCTCTCGATGGTAAAATTATCAATATCAAACAGCATACAAAAGGGAAAAATAATAATATTGTTTCGATATTTTAGGAACCGGACTCATTCATCGATTGTAAAAACGGGCCCTTTGTTTGACTCTCACAATGAGGTCTCTCAAAATGTCAGAAATTTCATTATCCCACAACAGTAAACACAAAAAACTCAACTTTTGTACATTCCCTTTTTTTTTCTGCTGGAAACGGTTCATTTTTACCTGTTGCACCATTGGATGAAAAACCTCATTTTTCCCTTTTCCATCGAATAAATGTTTTCTGTTCTGGAGATCAGCCGCAGCAGATTTGGGGGCAATCTGTGGTTGAAATAAAATTTATACAGATGCGCGGCTATAGAATGGGAGGGCCTTCCCAAAATTTTTGGCTGATTTTTTTTTATGTAGTGCAGTTGACACTAGCACTGAGACATTGGGAAACTGGCCTGCTGATGTTCGTCCACGCACTTTGTAATTACAAATGGCAAAGCGACGGAGTTTAAAATAAGACGTCACAGCTATAAAAGAGGAGGATCACTGGCCCGGTTTGGCCTAATTTTTTCCTTTCTTTCCCATTTTTTCTTTCTTTTCCTATCGAAGAAAATGGCCAGAACCAAGCAAACTGCGCGCAAGTCCACTGGTGGCAAAGCTCCTCGAAAGCAACTTGCAACCAAGGCCGCTAGAAAGTCGGCTCCCACTACCGGTACGATTCTTACCTACGACTCTTCTCGTCTAACCTCTTCCGTTTTCTTCAGGGTAGCTAACAGTTGTGTTTTCTTTTCTTAGGTGGTGTGAAGAAGCCCCATCGTTATAAGCCCGGTACCGTCGCTCTTCGTGAAATTCGTCGATACCAGGTAGAGTTAATTTATACATCATAAAAATCATATCAAATATACTCATCCTTCTTTTTGTTCTGTTTTTTCACTTTGGATGATATAGAAATCTACTGAGCTCTTGATTCGCAAACTTCCCTTCCAGGTAAGCACAACGTAATTTCGAATTTTTTTTTTTGGTTCGCTTAAATTTTTTTTTCTTTATTCTTCCCAATAGCGTCTGGTTCGTGAAATTGCCCAAGATTTCAAGACCGATTTGCGTTTCCAATCGTCTGCCATTGGTGCTTTGCAGGAAGCCGCTGAAGCTTACCTTGTCTCTCTCTTTGAAGGTATATCTTTTGCCTTTTTATAATGCTGCGCAATTTTCTCTTTTTTTTTTACATTTTTTACTGATGCATGATTTTGTGCATTTTTTTTAGACACCAATCTTGCTGCTATCCATGCCAAGCGTGTTACCATTCAACCTAAGGATATTCAACTTGCTCGTCGTCTCCGCGGTGAACGTTCATAAATATACATCGTCGAACATCACCGACTACGCTCGTCAATAGTAAATCCCGCTTTTATGAATACATCGTTTTAAAGCAATAAAAATAATGTTTGTGCAAAGTATAATCCGTAAAAAAAAAGTAATAATTCAGTTGGTCTAACTTGGAAGAGTAATTTGTACTCCAGGATCTAGATTAAGTAAGCGTTCATGAATGGCTTTCATGGCCCCGAGTGCCTTGCTTTCCTCGACCACACATGAGATGTTGATTTCCGACGCTCCTTGTGAAATTATCTCGATATTGATGTTGGCCTCCGCCAAGCATGTGAACATTTTCCCAGCAATACCGACCATGTTTTTCATCTGTTTACCAACCAATGAGAGAATCGCCATGTTGTGAATGACGTCGACCTACAAAATCCAATGCCCAAAAAATTGAGTTCAACTAGAATATTGGACACTGGTCCAACAATGGGTTGCGGAAAATATATTACCGTGCCCAATTTTTCCAATTCATGCCGCGCTTTTTCCAGACTGCTTTCTACCATATCAATGCCCAAGGCCATGGATACATGGACTTCGGATGTAGAAATAAGATCGACCACAATGCCATGCTCGTCCAAGGCGGTGAAAATCTTGGCAAGAAAACCGTGACTCACGTTTTTTCGGTTGGAGTGGACGTTCAAGACGCAAATGTTATCTTTGATGGTGATGGCGGTGGGGTGTTTTCTGGATAAATCGTGGTGATACCCGTTCTGGGCTAATTCAAAGCGAGAAGGAGGGGGAGTGGCGTGGCCGTTGGGAGAACGCATGACGGCATCAGGGAAGATGATGGTTCCTGAGCCAGCAGGATTTTCTACGTTTTTAATGCGAATGGGAATATCGGCTCGAATCACTTGTTCCATGGTGAACGGATGAATGACTTCCGAGCCGTAGTAAGTCAACTCGGCCGCTTCTTCGGGGGTAATAAAAGGCAGCAATCGTGCACCAGGAACTTTGCGTGGATCTGCCGTGAAAATGCCATCCACTTCTTTCCAAATCTGCAATTCCTGAGCTTGCAGTCCCACCGCTACCAATGCAGCACACAAATCCGTGTATCCACGTCCAATCGTCGCTAAAAGACTGCCCGGCACATTACCAAAAAAGCCTGGAAAAATGGGATCATCGGTTCCCGTTCATCGTTTAGCTATATGCTGCGGCTGTTGCCCAAACCAATGCCTCTTACCGGTCAACACGGGCACTTTGTTCCCACATTGTCGAACAATGTCACTCAGTCTTGCACCGAGATAACTGTAAAAATCTTGGTCCAGTACTGCGAATTCTTGATCAATGATATTGTTCAGCACAACCAATTCACTGTCAATGCCCTATACAGAAAAAAAAAATGATACAATAAAGTTAAACCGAGACGAAACAAGGACTTTTGTCAGTTATTCGAGAAATGGCACGAAAAAAAGTAAGATATTTGCTTACTTTATCTTTAAGTACAGCGGCTACAATGGTGCAAGAAAGACGTTCACCAATACCGACGATGATGTCTAGGGAACGAGGTGATATTTCATCGATAATCTAAAAAAATCATGGTCATTTCAGATAGAGTTTAGTCGTCGCCAAGGTCCGCTCAGATCCAACGGGTAATATTAAGAGAAAAACTTCTTGCATGCTTTTTCGTCCTACCTCAGCTGCTTGTAAAAACGACCGGAGTTTCACACAGTCTTTCTCCAATTGCGCTTCCAGTTGTTGCAGAATCTCCGCATTTTTGACGTGTGCTCTTGCGGCTGCCAGATGGTCTTCTTCTATTTCTCTGACAATATCCAGGTATTTCGAAGAACCTTCGGTTAATGCCTCCTCAGCCGCCCGCAATAAACTGTGATTGAAAATACGCATTGAGTTTTCCATTGGACGGGCAAATATTTTCATCATCTATTGTATCTACAGAGCCTCCATACCGATTGGTGGTTCCTTTATCTTTCGATTCACCGCTTCGAGCCGAGCAGACCACAACGACCCGATTTGAATTCATATAAGAGCTAGTGTGATATGTATTGCAAGTGAGTGGCGATGGTGACGAACGAAAAATTGTTCCTGGGGAGAGAAGGTCTTACGGGACAATGGTGGAAGCAATGACTTCTAGGAATTTGCCTACGCTAGTTCCGCCATATTTCTGAACTACCCAAGGCAGGTCCGGGTCATTTTGTGATGATGGTGATGCCGATGACATTATACGTAAAAGTAAAAGAAGGAAGCTGTTGGTAGGTTTAAAACCATCATGAATCAAGGTCAAGTCACAAAGAGATGATCTCTTTCGATGTTCAATCTCAGCTGTGGCCAAAGTTTACCCTTTGTCATCCTCATTTGGTGATTGCGCCATCGTAGCAAACTTTTTTATTGATTCTATTACTTCTCATCTACAAGAACCTTTTCATTCATTTATATTATTTCTGATTCTCGACCGGTTGATATAACTATTTCATGTTACTATGCATTTGCGATGTGATTCATTTCAGAAAACCCAGCAACCAATCGCTGTGACGATGGATGGCATGGTTTCTATCACGATCAGTCGATGATGGAAAACCGTAATTCGACTCGCAAGATAAAAACCCGTCGTTTACTATTGTCCATCCTTTACCGAAAACTATAAACGGCTCCCATCCTCATTTCTCAATGTAAAAAGTTATGTCACAGTCATAATGAGATATAAATGATGTTGTACTAAATTTCATGCCTGAAAATGACTCAATAATAACTCACCTCATAGGGCGTCGGTCACCCAAAACTCTGGTCAACAAAGTAGATTGTACCCTGGAGCCCAAGGACCCATAGGCATGTATGAGCCCACCTTGAACTTTACGCTTGTTTTTCACATATTTATGTGAACCTAAGCGAACCAGGCATAGGCTAGAATTTTGGAACCCAATAGGACAATTCATTATGTTATGACGTCGTCTTCATCAACCGAGTCAAAGCATCCACCATGACCAGCGGAGCCTGCGTGATCAGGTGTGCCTAGGGCTTGTAAAAGATCAGATTACCTCTTCAAGGAACCCCATAGCAACAGCAATCCATTTCGGGTTATTGCTTACCAACAAGCTATCACTGGCAGCAAATCGTGTACGATTGCCCATAAAAAGCTACCTGCGACAACTGAAGGGTTTAATTATTGCGATAATGCATGGCAGCAAGTGTTTTTATTTGTACCGTAGTATTCCCCTGTTAATGTCTTGGTTTTCTAATCTATTGCATATTTGCATTTCATGAACTGTATCCTTTTAAACGGTTGGGGGGGGGTATTGGATTGCGTATGACTAATGACTCTAGCGAAGTAATATATTCTTCTTGTGTGTGGAATGATGTTAAGGAGCTGAACATGGTCCCGATTCAAAATTGAAGTCGAAGGAAATCATCAAGGAGAAGAGTACAGTTACCCGAGAAAGAAGACCCCATTCCTGCCATAATGTACCGAGAACCTTTGTTGATCCTGCAATCCTTGTATCCAATCACACTGGCTATCTTGTCCTTGATACCATGTCTTGAATCATTAGGTGATGTCGTACAATCGAAGCGTGATAGAACCCTTTGATAAAGGACGCCGCCTTGAGCACCTGCTCCTTACATAAGATGATCCCATGGAGGTCCAAACTGCAGGTCCCTTGAGAAATAACTCTTGCGCTACGAGAAGCAGCAGTATATTCCATCCCAAAAATACGAGATGATTGAAGTTGACGTTGCTACTGATGGCTCACCGGCGGCTTCCCGAAATCGTACCCTGTGTGTCAGCTGTAGGGAGTTGATGACGCCGTCGACATCATCTATTTTATCTGAGAATTAGTGGCCTGACCAGATGTTTCGCGGTACCGACCGATCAGGGAGCACCTCTTGCACGACGTAGCATGCGTGCACCAACATCCAGAGTTGCCGGATGATTCGAATGATCCTTCATGTTGCAGCCTGGTACGATTCGGAGCGGAGAAAAGGCAGCCCAATTTTCAAGTGGAGATATCTTCCCAATCCTGCAAACACGCTCAAAAGTTTTTTGCTTTGTTCATCATCCACACTCTCCTTTCGTGAAGTGGTACATGAGCATTTGTTGCCCAGTCATTATTTGATATAAGGCTTTAGGAGAGACGAAACTGGTGTAAGAGGGACAGCAAAATAAGCAGATCCATCTTTCTTATGAAGCCTTCTCATAGGCTCTATAATTTCTTTCATTTTTTTTTTTTGATCAACGCTTGGGACACTCCAAAATTTCACTCCAAAATTCCTTTTGAGAAACAATGAATTCGCCCAGCACACGTCATCATTTGCCGCGCGTGTTCTTTTTCTCCTTCCTGCTTTATTTGCTGCGCCTGCGTAAGCTTCTTTCGTTCATCCAGTACGAAGAGGGTTCGAAAAGAACCTGCCCGTGCCCATCGTCAAAGCAAGAAGAAGGGACCCCTTTGAATCACATGGCGGGTGTTATTGCAAGCAGAAGACGTCAATTCTTTCGACTTTTCTGGGAATGCTTTCGAACCTTGATGAAAGGATCCATTTCAAAGAAGTTCACTGTGCAGGTAAGTAACCGAAAATCATTTATAATTAAAACTGTACCGTATATTAAGACATATTTGACCGACCATAAATCGTAAACAGCCACATGAGGATCCTTCGAACAACCCGGTCACTGTTGCCCACAAAAAACAGTGCTTCAACATGTCTGCTAATACGAGCAGCTTCATTCACCGAAATAATTTGCTACCGATGGTGTCGGTTATATGGTCAAGATGAAACTTTGCTGATCGAATTATCGTCGGGAAGCCTACGTGAAGATTTTGACCATACACTTGGCGATTCTCTGAAGCTGCTCGAGAATTTGATTGCCGTTGTCAATACGTACCGTGCCAAGTATATAATAGTGACAAGACAGCCTTCCAAAAGCTCACGGTACTGGGGATCCAGTCTGTGAAGACATCGGTATCACTCTCTGTCACCGAGGATAGGACATTTCTTTATCAAACGCATCGAACGACTGGAATCCCGACAGAAATGAAGCAGCAGTATTGTCTCGTTTCTCTTTTCGAGCTTCTGGCCTTTCTACTGGGAATTACCCCCCCCCCCGGTTGTACATACCTCGAGGGAATCAAAGGAGAATACGACAATACAATCAGGACCAACGGGTTTCATGACCTGGTAGTACAAGCCAAGAGAGGTGTCGAAGAGCGACAACTTCGTATTCTTCCGCCCTGCGTACTCGGTAGGAGATACCGTCAAGTCGTCGAGGAAACCGAGGTCCCTCTGGAAGTACAAATCAAACGACATTATAGCCGCGATCTGCGATTCTTGGGCAATGCCGGTTTTCAAGCACGCCGAGACCAGCTGGAATACTTGCATAGGCGCCACATGGACAGGCTAGACCGCGGAACACTCCACACGATGGCACCTTGCCCACCGACCGTGGAACTGTTCAGCCCGCAGTATACCACTTGGTTTATGGGCGCAAAACCTGGAGTGCTCATCTATCGAGTGGCCAATGCAAGCGGCCGCAAACCCAATGCCTGACCTGGACGAAGAAGGGCAAGACAATACCTGCCATGAGCAAGATGAAGTCATAATGCAACTTCAGAAAGAGCATACTGGTGTTATTTCAGTACCAAAAGAAAACACCATGAAGGGACTTGTGTTGCATCAACTTGTATGATTGTTCATCTTTAGTCATTTGTATCATCATTCCAATAGTACATACCATAATAAAACCCGTATTACCGTCTTCAATGACAAAATTGCTGTGCTCTGACACTGTATTGCTTTAGTGTTTGTTATAACTTGTTTGATTGTTGTAGCACAGGAAAGTGTGCAAAACAGCGTGTGATATATCCGTTCGGAGTAAAGTTTGCAAAAATCCAAAATGTCAACGAGACTGAAAATATTTGCTTTATTAACAATGAACACTGATGGCTAATTATATGCTTCCTAGGTAATTCTCTTTTTAAAGGTGAGTATCCGCTAAAAGGAACAATTTTTTGGTCTGAGGAGGGGTGGATAAACGGTAGAAAGGAATGTCCGGACTTATAGGAAGGACGTATTCTATGCCAAATGAGAGGTCGGATGGGTGATATCCATGTCGGGTATGAAGGCGTGCAGGAAGGTAAGACGTTAAGAAGGTGTGTAAAAAGGTGTACAAGAAGGTAAGATGGTGTGTAAGAAGGTAAGAAGGTGCATAGGGAGGTGCATAAGAAGGTAAAAAGATGCCAAGAAGGTTGAATTACGTTACTTTTGCAATGTGCACTGCATTGACAGTTTCCAATGTCCCGTTTGTTCTCTTCAAAACCAACCCATACAAAGCTTCCTCTCTTCTACTGCTTCTGATATTAAACCAATCATTGCTTCATTAAATTTAATTGTATTTTTGGAATTTGCTGCGTGTAGAATTTCTTTGTCGAGGAGAAAACGCCAAAAGGTTGTAGTAAGAAAGCATAGAGGAAGTGAGGGGAAATTAAACTGTCACCACTTATTTTTTGCATGAGAGGGCATGTTCAAGAACCTATGGGCCTTCACCTCTTGGTGAGTAAGTTTATGCTTTTTATGCGTATAAATTGATATGATATCCTTAAACATGTATATATTATTCATATGAAGATGCTTGTCAAGAAACTGATAATAAAGAACGTTGTAACTCTATTTAGTCGCCAGATCACCAAGACTTCTACATCGTCGCCACACATCGCGTTGGCTGTGTATAAAATACCAGGTTTAGTCATCCCGTTTTTGCTTTCCGTCATTAACATAATACGAATGAAATAAGAGTACAATAAAGCAACATTAGACGTCAAAGTCGCTATCATTTGCACTATAAGAAAGTGAGAAAATGCATTATTCCTCTGAATAGACGTGTAGAAGTTTAAGGTGATGGTCTCACAATATGCGACCAGATTAAAAATGAATAAATACGATATGTTTTAGCCTTAAGGTTTCTTTTTTTTCATTTGATTCCGCATTTTTGTCATTTCGCCGCAGTCCCGTATCGTTCCTAGTATATATTCAATTTTCCATGAATGGTGAGAACTAGGAAAACTGCTTGGAGAACCAATAATATTGTATCACCTCGATCAGTATAGCCCCAAAATTTTTCTGATACATACTTGTATATAACGAGGAGCGTGCTATTATCAAGGCACCAACAAAAAAAAATGTACATAAAAGACGAACAGGGTAAAGGTGTTTTTTATGCTTATCTTTACGCTATTTGGGAGCAGCAATGACGCTAATAAACATGGGGAAGGTTGTGTTACTTGGCTGCGGTTGATTTTTGCCTCGGCATAACGTGATAAAGCAAGTTCCAAGATTGCAGATGACATTGTACCACTCGGTATCTAAAGTGAGAAAATACCTCTTCGCGATTGATCGAGAATCGCTAATGCGGTGCCTCAGGTTACTCGAGACCTAGACAGAATGGGAAAGTAAAATCCATAAAAGGAAGGTGTCAGGATGACGTTGATAAGGAACTTTTTATGGTATTTTTCCCAAAAGGCAAATCAGCGTTTATTCTCTGAAAAAGATTAACATCCCGAAACATGCGTTGAAAAAATTTACAGTTTGAATGAATAAGTTAAGACGGATGGATGCATTCCGCTTTTTGCAAATACGAATAAACTAGATAAAATGACAAGGGAAAAAAATGGTACAAGGGAAAAAAAAGCGCTTTGAAGACCTGCGGAAACCGATATCCGAATTCAAACCAGCAAAAAAAAAACCGAGATTGTTTGATCAGTTTTTTTTTTTTTGTTTTTTTCAGTGATGGATGGTCCCGCTTATTTCGTCAACTGATTAATGTTTGACGGGAAACTCTTGTGTGAGTTGTGACTAAAGCTTGCACCATAGTTTCGTCGCCAGTGATATTCAGCCTAAAGTTACAAAAGAAGTTTTTTGTTTTGTCAGTAGATGATCAAACAGTATATGCGATGAGGTGCATACCTGTTTTCTAGCTTCCCATGAATGATCTGGCATGACGGTGCTTGATCGTCGTCGTGCCATTGCGTGTGGTGACAAGGGATATTCTGCGTTTTGTTCGGAAGTTCCCATCGAATTGCGTCGGTTGTTCACATAGGCAGCGGCTCCTGCTGCACCGACAGCGCCCAAAGTAATGATAGTTCCTGGTCCTGGCATTTTTGTGTTTTCGTTTGAAATTGATTGAAGTGAAGAAAGAGATGTGATTTGAATTCAGCGACGCTGGATCGCCTCAATTTAAAGCTTTTTTTTTTTATGCGCAAGAAAAAAAAAAGCATCCGAGGCACACCAGAAAAAATCCCAGTGGCCAAGAGCCCGATCTGGTTTATGAGGTCATGTGCATGGGTTGTCTTGATTTGCCTTCCTAGTGTGTGAATCATGCAAAACAGGTTCAATTAAACCAATCAGAACGCAATCCGCCTGTTTAAGCAAATTTATTTGTCCACCCTTCGTTTTTCATAAAGTACTGATTCCCTGCCAATCTTTGACTTGATAGTGCTTTGAAAGCTTATCTTGACCAATGATAACATATTATCTTATCCAACTATTTTCCCTCCTGGTCACCTGGTAACTATATGTCGTGAGAATGCACCAAAGCTATAATCACTTTTTTTCAATGTTTCTCAACATTTCCATGTTCCTACAGAAACAAACCAAAGATCTTGACCGTTTCAAACAGAATCGTATGTGATTGGTTTACGGGCTTGACCATCTTTGCCCTTTATGACTTGTTTCAAAACCTCTCGCTCGTATCTCATTTCGGAGGCTTCCCAAATCAGGTCTTCCGTCCGGAGAGGTCAACTTCAAAATGAAAAAAAAAAGATAACGGTATCCGAGTAACATTGCACGATGCAACCTAGAGATCTTCATCACATGGATATACGCAAGATTTATGTTGCCAAACGACGCAAAAGACTTATTACAGTAATCTAAAGAAATGAGTTTTTATAACATTGTGCCATTTCAGTATATTTACAATGATCAACTAACAGAAAGAGCAAAAGGGGGATAAATAGCATCATCATCGTCGAAAACAATAATAATGTAGAAAAAGGACCAACTATCATGACAGGAATCTTTCAATTTTTTTTCTACTCTTTCAACCCATTATTGACGTTTTGAACTATATTTTCCTGTGGGTAAATCTATCAAGAAAAAAGGCAAATTAATTCATTTCCATTATTCAACAAATGACATGGGTGGGATATCTGCTTACATCGCCACTGTTCGATGGAGTCTAGAAGCCATTGTTCGGTGACAACCACTTTGTCTGAGGTGATGGCGTGTTTACTAATGATTATGTCCGCATCTTCCGGTTGGTTCACAACCTGACCACCAGCCTTGGTAATCAATTGGTTGGCAAAGTCCGCGGACATGAATGTCGAGGAAATATAGATGTTCACGTTGGAAGGCAAGACTGCATCCTGTTGACGTGCGGCGGAAGCGCGAGGGAACCATTCCAGTGCTTCAAACTCGGCTTCATCAATATACTTTTCCGATTCGCCACACTTTATAATCCTATAGGTATATGTGTCCAAGGTTGCCGTCAATTTGGCTTATTGTAGTTCATAATTTTGCTGCTCCTTTGCCCATGAATCCTACCATGATGGTGTGACGAGCCATATTCCTTGCACCATGCCAAGAGCCACCGATTCCGTCATTCGCTTACGACCAACTAAAAGGCGGTAAACGTTAAAAAATCCGACTAATCCTATTATGGAAAACACGCTCTTCAAGTAACTTACCAATAACATGCGTAGTGCTGTCATCCACTCTATTTCTACGGTTAGTCCACTGATAATAGACATGAACGACGAAAGAAAAAAAAAAGAGATACTTGCGATTTAACGACTTCGAAACGGCCGAGACGTTTGATAATTTCAGTGCACTTTTGACGTGTCGCCTCATCCAAACTTGTCATGACCACAGTGGGCAATTTGGTTGTGGTTGGCTGCGATGCAGTAGCTGCCTCGGAGGGTAAAGGCAGCAAGGACGACGATTCGGACACGATCGAGGCGTCGGACGTTCGTATGGAACGTAAAGGAGGAACGTAACTTCCCAAGCTCAATCGAGAAGGCACGCCCATGGAGCGTCGTTTGCGTTTCAAACGCGGCACGGTCGGACTGCTCATACGTGATGGTTTGGGGGTATCGACTTGGCCAACAAAGAAATCCGCCTTGATTTGTGCTTTGATTTCATGGTCAGGGGCTGTGGTTGGAATAACGACGCCTTTGGCCTTTTTTCGACGTTCGTCCAGTTCCCGGTTACGTCGATCGAGTGAATCCTGGTAATTGTCAAGCGGCGATGACGTTCGGTCATGGTTGGTGTTGGACGGTTCGGCAGATTTGACGTCAAGTCCATCGAGTGCCAGTTCACTGAAAGTGGCAGAGATATTCGAATCTTTTCCGGATAAGGCAGTTGTATCCGACAGGTCACCGGTTTCCCAAAGGGAAGGATCCATTGTTTTCCGACGATGCGCTGATGATGATGAGTTATTATGCAAATGCGAATGTGTATGCGACGATAAAGATGAAGATGCTGATAATAAAGATGAGGATGATGATGATGATGTATGCCGAAAGGACCGTGGTTCCGACGCACGGCGAGGATCCGGTGTTATATGGATGCGAGGAAGTCCTTGTGTTTTTATTCGTTTCTCGGATACGGAGGTGGGAATATCGCTACCATTCGCTGCTCCCGATTCTTTATAAGTCTCGATCCAGTGACCACATTTCTAATGTCTACTTACATTCAGCGGCCAACGCTCGTAGTCGACTTGGTTCCATCGATTTACGCCTCTTCTTCCCTGTTAATGCCAATCCTTGAGGTCTCTCTATGAAAAAATCCTTTTCGTCCAGCCGTCGTTTTTCGGTTTTGCAGCTACCAGAGACAACAAAGATTGTATGTCATGAGCTCACTCTTTTTTCATCGCCACGTTATGGTTCACAATTTTCTTACCGAGTAATCCAGAGCAGATTGACAATGTAGACATTTTTGCTCAAAGCTTTTTGTAATGTGGTAGACGATCCGTTCTTGTACACAAGATGGGTTACAGCATCTGGTTAAACATCAGTGTCAGTCATGCCAGGTTATCATCGTGTTGTTATTAGTTTCGTAGATCGTGAATCGCGATTTCTACCTGAAAATGTTCGACGGGTCTAAATGCAAACAATAACGAGATGTTTAGCCCCTTTAGATTCAAACAGTTTACCGCAAAATGACCTCTTTACCTTTGCTCCCATGGACTGAAGTGCTCTTTCGAAATTCTGGGACACATCGTCTCCGTCTTCGGTTCTGTTACCAAGGAGAAAAAGAAAATTCAGCCATGATCAATAGCACCAACCAAAGGAATTATGAGGTTGTCAATAGCTTACCTAATGTCAAGACAAGCAACGACGCCCTTCAAAATCTGAGTAGGATCCGTTGACGAAGTGGTTCGATTTCGGTGAAGGCGAGGTGGTGGATCGTTGGTCGTGGACGAGGGCGATGGCGAACTGTTGGAAGTGGTGGGGGTGATTTTAAAAGCGGACAGAAGCGATTGCTGTTTCTTTTCAGGTGCGGCAGTGCGTCCAGGGGGTAGGTTCTGATTCGAAGAGATCTGACTCTTGAGTAGACTTCGTCGTTTCGGCTTACTGACAGAGGGCCGTGGGGCATTCGTCAGTGGAGAGGACACTCTACTGGATGCCGACTTTGGCGTGCTCGAAGGCGTCATAATAAAAAATGGTATGTTGTTCTTGGTTAAAAGAAACGAATAATAATAATAAACCAGGATATACTGTAATTTGGTAGAAATAAAAATATAAGGGAAACAAATCAAGGCGAATTGAAATATTTCGTGTTTCTCGAAGAAAATCACTGGGAAAGCGCGTCTAAATAGTCACGTGTAGGCTCCGCTTTTGCTCAGATCAGAATCCCATATCATTTCTTACATTTCAAACTGTTTGACAATTGCCAAGTAACAATTCGAAAATAATACGTCGATATAAGTTTGCCTTACTGTCAACATGAAGAAAAGGAAAAAAGAGTAATAATTGAATTTTATTCAATTCCAGTTATAAAACGAAAGGGACAAATTGATGGTGAATCCAGATATCACAGTGACGGATGTTAATGTATTTTTACTCTTGTGAAATTCGTTTTACTATTGTTGAATTGACAAAAGAATTGCAAGCAAGATGCCTCGAAAATGAGTCGATGCCAATCTCTATTGGGAGACAAGTGTGTATACGTTGCTCTAGCAAACGAAATGCATTTGATCTTTTCTTTTGGTAACATCTTTATTCGTCATCCTCCCTTTATTTGCATTACTGCAGATAGCATCATCAATCGAAGAAACATCTTGCGAGAAGTGCACGTATACCATTGCATATTAAAAAAGAGTATGTAGATACCCCCAATTTCATCGATAATGTACTCATTCCCATATCATACAAAATCCTCGGGTGAAAAATTCTGCTGTCCTATCATGCTGTGAATCTAGTAATCAAAAAACGTCATCCCTTTCCTTTTTTTTTTATTGTCCAGGTTGTTCCAGAGATCTATATCGACAGGTATGGGTGACATTTTTTTGGGGGATGTTTGTGTCGTCAAAGAATGACATATCGCACGCCATTAACCAGATTATTTTGCTTTCTCCAATTCGGCGGGCGTCTTGGTCTTCAAGGAAAGCGCGTGTAATCCTTGGTTCAGTTCGTCACTCAAAAGACCGTAAATCATGCGGTGGCGTTGCATCAAAGACTAATAAAGATACCCCAAGTCAAAAAAAAAAAACTCACATTTCCATCGCTCTTTGTTTCTTTTGTAAGCCATAATCCTAAAACCCAGCATTTACCTTGCCCTGGAATTGTTCGGAAACCACGGTCACTCTATGTACACCCCGTTATTACCGTCTGTGCATTCGTTGCTGTTTAGGTCTTATGCAAAGCTTACCGAAAGTGGGTTTCTTTGTTGGTATTGCCCTTCATTGCAACATGGTGAGCATGTAAATGCGATTCGTTTATCGTTTGCAAAACGGAAGGTTGTAATGCGTCTGTAATCTTTGAATAGTATTTCAGTGGGTGACTGTTGAGTGGACGAGTTGGCGGGATTAGGGGAAGAGAGAAAAATAGTTATATACCTTTTGTTCAATGGCGGTCTGAACGGGACCTTTTTCTGTGGAAGACATAAAGTTATTGAGGAATTGGGAGGAAGCAGCAGCGGAAGAGTGAAGGCGGACCAATGAACTCGTTGGCAATGTAAGTGAACGAGTAATAAGCTGGAACATGGAATTTTAAAAGGGAAAAAGAAAAAAAAAGGAAGGAAAAAAAAATTGAAAGCGACCCCTTGTTCCTTGGGGGAGAGCCGGATTCTGTTACGATTTCCAATTTCCAAAAATTTCAAATGAGATTTTTGAAGAACCGATCGTCCCTGTTCTTTCATTTTGTTTGTCAGATATTCAACAGTTTTTGGGGTTTGAGGTGGGAATTCAAACCTGAAAGCAAGTGAGGTTCAACAGTTTACTCATATATCCACTTGATGTTGGCTTCTTGAAAACGACCCACCTCGTCATTGATCATGCATTGCGCCATGGCGTCGGGCCAACTACATACACAGTAGCCAGCAGTACCGACAGTAACTTGCTTTGTACAGTTGGTTAAGAGGCAAGCATTATATTCATGATAACCGTATCTGTTGTAGCGTAACTTTCTTTGCCCCAGTGTCTGGGCATCTCTAATCGTTGTCCCTGTGATGTCCGCGTCGTAGTTTAGATCCTTTGCACCTGCCAAACTTGGAGTGGCGGACGGATCGGGCAGGCACCCGTCAAGCGCTCTGCAGGGACAGAGAGGCACATAAGATCGAAATAATAATAAAAAAAACACGAGATACTTACTGAGGGACAGAAGGCACAAGCCAGAGAGAACATGGGCAAGGATTGATCAACGAGAAAAGAAAATGAGATAAGACGATGACTCGACTTTTGAATGGATGCTTATTACAAATATTAGAAAGAATATGGAATGAAAATTATAGATGTAACGTACTACACAATCTGATAAACTAAAACAGCGACAGAGACAGCTCAGTTAATACGCTTCATAGCGGTCCCCTATTAATTTCATGGCAGATATTCCTGGCCGAAACTATCTGTACCATGATGGTTCCCTCACACTAGTTATTATGTAACTCACGTCTGAAACGTCATGTCAAGTCCTAGAGTCACCGTTTTGGCCATCCTTGAGAGATTTGAGAATACTGGCTGAAAGCCAGCAGTCTCCGAATCTACCGCAACAAATGGAGCGTTACTGACCAAAGACAGGGTTTGTGACGAGCTGCGAATGTTCATGCGCGCAACGACAGAGTAAGCAAGAACCTTAACAAAATAGTCTTTCGTTCTTATGCTCGTGCAAGTAGTCAGCACTTATCGCAAAGCACAGACAAGAAGGTTGCAGTGGCATCACCATTATACTATTTGGATTACAGATCCACGATTTGATATCCCGGGGAATAAACCAACGCGATGGTTCGAGTATTTGCTATGTCAACAGTTTCTCGTCAACAGAAAGAATGATCCGCGCAACTCCGTATCGATCCCTCAGCAACGAATGACGTCCAATTTCGAAATACAGCGAATTTTTTTTTTTTCATTTTCAAAGTAAAACTGGACCTCGCAAGCAAAAAGAGGAGAACATCACGCCAAAGTGATGGTGGGACAGACTTGCAACAAATTTTGATTGGACTGGACATGGCACCGTTTTGCCGAATGCATGTTTGTTGCACCATGCCAATTTTATTATTTTTCTTCATATTCTATCCGCATATCTCCTCTAGGACGCAACAGAAACAAATCGCTGCCAAGCTACGAGTTAGCGGGAAAAAAAAAAGGGTTAGCAACAAGGTACAAGTGTCTTGAAATTTATATCAATATTACCATCCCCAACAGCATGATCGATCACTGCTAGGTTGTGGTTCTTGCTGTACATAAATGGTTTGTGGCGGAGGTCTACATGGAAGAGTGTATTGAGCAAAAATTGCTTAAGGTTTTAGGTGTTCATTCGCCAAGAGTGGGGCGAGACAGAAATCCTTACGCTGGCTGATAGTATCCTTGTGGAGGAGGTGCTCCATAACCACCGTCGGGTGGGGGTGCATAGTATTGCCCTTCGCCGCCGGGAGGTGGAGGATATCCGTAGGGTTGTGACATGTTGGTTAGATTTTTGTTTTGGTGAAGCGAGACAGAAAACCCGTCAAAAGTAAAAGGAAAGGAAAAGAAAGAAAAGGGGATACTGTCATTGCCGAGTCTTTCAGTCCTAAACTTATAACTTTTTTTTTATAAATACCAAGCTGTCGTCGCACTTGTGATCGCTTGGTCCCATTATTCTCGGAAAACCGGAGAACTCGTCTCCAGCAAGTTCGTTGTTTCAACAATGTTCATTCTGTGTGTCAAGCAATCCGTTTACCTTTACAGCGCTTCCGACAATCTGTAAATGTGTAAATGTACTTTTAGGGTACTCTGACTTTGTGTACGCTACCGAATTTGAACGCTTCTGAATTAATATTATAACTGGATTTGTACCTTTTTTTTTTCTCATACCTTATTTGTTCGTTCCTAGTGGACGGTGTCACATCTGAGAAAGCTCATTTAAGATTTTTTCAAAATTATTGATGGATCAGGTACCAAGTTTTCTGACAAACAATCACGAATCAATTACAAAAAGCCCATATGTAAACGATGGCGGTCTCTGGACATGGATATGTGTTATTTTTTGGTTTCAGGGGTGTCCATACAAGAGTTGCTACATTGCCCAGAATTGATCCCCAGTATATTAGGGCAGTGAAGGTTGACCCTTGAGGCACCAGGTTTTCTAATGCATAGGCATACATTGGTTGTGCTGATTCGCATGTTTACAATGAAATTACCTTATATTACGGTGCCTCGTCTTGTACGATTTCGCATATATGAATGTTATGAATAGATGAACTGCAGCAATTTTCTTAATTAGAAAAATGCATATCTATAATCAGAATCACTTTTTATTATTATAGCTTCTTTTTCTTTGGCCAATAGATACGAGCTTGAACTTTGCCTTGCTTCCCCCTCAGATCAGATACTGCACATTTGAATACGGATCCATTTTGCTTGACAAAAAATCGATCGATCCAAGTCTTTTTTTTTTCATCTTTAAATAGATCATGAATCGTTATAATGACTTGCATAAAACACCGATGCAAAACCTTATACTGTAAATGTCGCTGATAGTGATTTTCTGCGCCCCCAATGCATCAATCATGGTAACAAAGTCAATTGGAGAATTGATGGTCCGCCAATGGCTGGACATTTTTGCATGTGACAATGGCAATCGCAAAAATTCTAGATCGCACTTTGACATCAATCTTCGTCATCGTTTGAAATATCGTGTCATGAGCGAGAGATGTCAATTGAATACAAACAATTCGCCGGGTAATGCATTTTGACTGATTGTTTAAAATTTATTGGCGGTCATTGCTTATAACATTGCCAATATTATATGGGACACGCCCCAAGATTGCCACTTGCATAGACATTATATAAAGCATGTATAAGGTAATTGCACCAATTTAGAGCCATTCTTATTATTCTCAGTCTCCTCCGGTGTAGCGTTGCTGGTGAACAACGACTTGCAAAAAAGACATCTGTGAGAAAGTAATCATCCGAAAATTCGGATGAGGTTTTCACAGTTCTTGGCAAGTGCAATAGTGCATGATTTGATGGGCGGTAGTGTGACATGGCGCCAACGTGTGCTCTCGGACCTTCTCTAATTAGAATCAATTATTCAGCGCTAATTGTTTTTTTGATCCGAATGAACTCAGTGTTTTTCAAAACGAATGGTTGCATCCCTTAGTTTGTAACGCCCCTTGTTCACATTGATATGGGCTCATTCGTCTCGCCACAAGTGTGGCGCACAAGAAAGAAAAAAAAAAGGAACCTTTTGGATCTGCGCTATCATGGGGAGGGGGGACACCGATCTACCTTTGAATGAGCTTGTGTTCGGATGGACCACTTCATTTATCCGTTTATTTTTACCCTTGCCTTTTATGGTAACTTCAGCAAATTGTGGGTGTCAAGAAAAGGTAACCATTCCACCCATTTGCCATACCAATCCATGACCGAATTGGTATTGACCTTCCATGGACTTTTTTTATCGACTTCTACTAAATTGAATTTCAAAAGCTATTAGAATTCTCCTAGTACAATTTGGGATCGGTGAGGGGTCATAAAAGCACTTCATTACAGGTCAATATCTCATGTCAAACTCCGATGCGCACATAATATGCTTGGGCTTATATATAAATAAAGGCCTTTTTCTTTTTTTTATGGGTCTCAAAAAGCCTCTCCCTCTGTTGCTCCTTCTGGCCCCCCCTTTTTTTTTCTTTTGTGATCCATTCATAGCATTTTGTTCGTCTGTTGAACCATGAAGGCTAAAACCATCGTTCTCGGCGAATACGCTCATAATACGGTGTTTCGTCTCTATCAATTTGCTACACCATTGACACCACCATTAACGTCACCACACAATGATGCGAATACGGTCGATTTCTTTTGTTTGGACGATTTGGACAATTTATTCTTCACTTCCAGTCATTATCATGCGAGTAAAAATGAAATGCTGGCCCGTTTCTATCGCGATCATCCCAATTATTTCTGCAAAGATCACGAGGGTCGAATTTATGTGATTGTCAAAGCCATCAGCGAAATAGCATCCAAATTGCAAATGTTTGTCTTGTACGAGTTGTGTCGTTTGACGGAATCTGACATCCAATCTGGTGCCGTGGTATCCATCTTACGCCACGTCCCTCAGTTACGACCGTGTCCGAGCCTCGGTGAAGAACACGAATTCGCCGCCCGGCCCTTGGAGGGTCATGAAGGATTTCTTATCAAGCAAGAACCCAGCTCACCGGCCATTCGATTATCCCCACCAAAGTAGGTTGATCATTCCTTCATTCCATTATTGGCGCTCCTGTCGATTAAAAAAAAAATCGTGCTTCAAAAAAAAAATACTGATGCATAAATTTTTTTTTTTATATTTGATTTGCAGATCTTCGAGGATGGTGGAATCGATGCAATTACCTCCGCCGAAACCTTCCTCGCTTTTGCTCAAGCGATTAGCCCCCAAGCATGGTAAAACACCTCAACTTACCATTTTCACCCCATCGTATGCTCAAAATCACCACGCCGCAATTCATTCCGCCCCTTTGCGACCCATGGTAGCTACCCAACGAGTGAAACCCAATAAAATTGTCAAGCGACAACCATCGTCGCGCTTGCCGCCTAAAACGGCTTCAGCTATTACGGCACCTTACAAGATAACCGAATTCCCGAGTCCACCCATTGTACCATCGCAACAACCGGCTACTTCCACTGCCACGTCGACCTCGGTTCATCGTCCATCGTCCGCTTCCAATGCTGCTCACGCTGCAGCAGCAGCAGCAGCAGCAGCGGCCACCGCCGCCGCCGCTGCCAGTGCTACGGCCTACCGGTTCAATGTCGCTCACTCGTCTGTGCCAAAGACGCCTGCACCACTGACACAGAAGCAGCAGTTTCTTCGGCCATTTGAATTTTTGTACGACAATATTGAGCACACACAAACCCTCAAGGCCACGTTGGATGACCAAATCCGTCGATCGTCCACGTTGATCCGTAGTCTACAATCGTCTGGCACAATGATAGAATCTCTAGTACGGCGCCAAGTGCGAGAAATGGTGGATCAGGAGTTTGACGATAAATTAGCCGATTGTGTTGAACGGATTCACGCCCTGGAACAACGGTTGCAGCTACGCGACGCTCCTTTATCACCCAAACACTCTCCTTCGCCATCGCCACCGGGCCAGCCTGCATCGGATAAACAACCAATGATAAGGGAAATGTTTTCTGAACTAATGAATCGTTTGGATCAACTGGAAAACAAAATGGCTCCTACAGTCGCATCGTAAGAGAGAGACCCAAAGATCACATACGCACACGTAGATAACCGAACGTAAAAAACACACACACAACCCAAAAATTACCCTATAATCACTTTTTGATACCCCCTTATATTTCCTTTCAGTCCATTCATTTTCCACATATACATCCTCAATGCACCTCATCCCAATTTAGCATCGCAAATACCTTGGCTTCCATTTATTCTGTTTGTTTGTTTTTGTTTTATTACCGCTACAATCAATAATACACTACGTTATCTGATATTGACACGATGATAATGGAAAATCACGAACAACTTCTATTTTTAACTCGGTGAATGAACTCCGGTTATTACACAACAAGAATCACATTTTTGTGTATTTTTTTTTCACTATTTGGAAAAATCAGGGCATTACTTCGTTTTTGATAAAGGTGCGACAACCAAATGGAGGATGGGAAAAAAAGAAAAAGGAAAAAGGAAAAAAAAAAGGTAGGTAGATCTTTAGAACCATCCCGAATCTTCCTCTTCGACCGTGGTATTTCCATATGCGTCTGTTTGAGTGATGGTGACATCGTCACCAAACCAACCGTCTTCACGTTCAACCACCGTCGTTCCGCCATATTCATCTATACGAAATAACTCTGTTTAACCATCCCCCGTACTTCTAGTATATGTGTTTATTGCCGTGATCAATTCGATGATCACATCACTTACTTTGCTGGATAATGGTTTCTTTGTCATGGCCAAACCAACCACCGTCTTCTCTGATAATGGTGGTGGAGGTATCGCCGCCATCCATTGGTGGAGCGCCATATTCAGGTTGTTGACCATATCCACCATCCATAGGAGCCGCTGGTGGTGGTGGTGGTGGTGGTGGCGCACCATACTCGGCGGGTTGTCCGTAACCGCCACCATAATTGTTCTGAGATTCGCCTGACCAAAAGAAAAACAAAGAATTAGCCCGATTTGGATAATAAGACCACTCTCCCGGCCCCTTCTATCAATGAAACCCTATCTCCTCCCGGTTTTCCAAGCTTTTGTTTTTTTATCCTTTCAGACAACTTACGCATTTGTTCTTGACGTTGCTGTTCTTCCAATCGGTCCAAACGTTCGCTTTGTTCATGTTCATGCTCCACAAACTCACTAATAGCGTAACCAGCTAAACCGGCGGCTGCAGCGGCTCCAGCAACTTTCATACCAGTCGACATACCGCTGTGTTTCTGAGCGGGAGCGCCTGGAGCAGGGGGATACCCTTGAGGAGGATATCCTTGTTGTTGCTGAGGTGGATAGCCACCGTAAGGACTTGTGACACGTTGCTGCTGTTGCTGTTGCTGTGATGGTGGAGGTTGATATCCATTATTGTTTCCATAACCCGATGGTGGTTGCGGCACAGGAGGAGCAGGAGAATAAGCGCCACCTTGAGAAGGTGGAGGAGGGTAAGGCTGCTGACCGTAAGGTTTGCCGTAACTTGAATTTTCACCACCTCCATAACCTCGCTGCTGGTCTTGGGAAGGAGGTGGGGGATAAGGACTGCCCTGGTTGCTGCCGTAAGGTGACTGGCTTGGTGGCGGTGGGTAAGGCGACGAACTGGGGGGATAAGGCGACGAACTAGGTGGATAAGGCGAAGAAGTCGCTGGATAAGCCGAAGGTTGAGGCGGGTATGGGCTTGCCTGAGGCGGGTATGGTGACGATTGCGGGGGATACGCCGACGGTTGCGGTGGATAAGGCGCCGATTGAGGAGGATAAGGCGCCGACTGAGGCGGGTAAGGCGATGATTGAGGCGGGTACGGCGACTGAGCTGGAGCGGCCGACGGACTATTGTAACCACTGTAAGGCGACCCTTGAGGTGGACCGTATGGATTTTGTCCAGGTGCCTGCAAACGAGGATCCTCCCATGTGGTTCGCTTGGTATTGTGGTCTATGAAATAACTTGATGGTCGCCACACTTGCTTTCAGTATACAAAATATTTTTGCTGACAAAAATAAGCGTATCCAAACTTACTAGCGACCTGTATCCGTTTGACGGGCTTCCCAACCTAAGTGAATAGAAAATATTTAGCCGATGTTCATGGGTATCCTGATCGTGAATTTCAAAAAAGATATATACCCGGTGGCATTGGTCCAGACATGTTGTGTACAGAAAACGACTGAGGAACCCTAAATAATCAAAGTGCTGAGAGGAGGAAAAAGAAGAAAAGAAAGAATGAATTTCTAAACCCCATTTTCTTGGTCAGAAAAAAAAAGCGTCCGTGTAACATGTTCACCAATAAAGCAGTCGATGACTTTTGAGCTTGGTTACACTTTGATTTATTGCAAGTAAGCTTTCTTCCTTTTTTTCATCTTTTTTATTTTTATTTTCTACTACGGAGTCTCTTGGGAAACTAGACTAATTACTTGCGAAACACGGCGCAGATGCAACTATAGTAAAATAAATTACATTTTAGTATTCAATGGGTCCCCCCTCTCACCTATAATTGCACACTTACATTGTCGGGCACGTAATACTCAGTATTCACATCACGAGCTTCTGTTACTTCGTAAGCGCAATCGTCCAACGACACCTGGTCCAACAATATGGAATCGGCCTTATCACCGTTATTCACTCGCGACACGACGGCTCGCATGATATCGTGACTGATAGGATCTTCATAATCGGCGGCCGCATAGTTCTGAACCAGCTTTTGAACCTGCACAGGCGTCAACATCCAGCACACATCGTAAATGATCTTGATATCATCCAAAGTGGCCTTTTTCAGTTGAAGCAGTTTGGTAGCTTGCATCAAATGTTCTAGCTGCAACGTGGCATCCGCCATTTCGTGGGATTTACACCAATCCTCCAATACCGTCAGGTTATACTGAATTTGCATCGCTAAATTTTTTTTTAAAGATCAGCGCATAGGCATCACTCCGATTCATTTTCATATTAGCTTCTTACCTCGTTTCCACGAGTTAAAGTTGCGCCGCATCACCACATCATTAAAGGTACTGACACCAATATACTTCAATAATTCCGTCAGCAGTTGCTCGGAAATGGCTTGTTCAATTTCATAGCGTTTCATGGTCGCGTAACTGGTGTTGAAAAGGTGCAACACATCCTCCATGGTATACGCCGGCTGAGTTCCGCCAAGACTCTTGCCATGGAACCGTCCAGACTCGGTCGCATTAAATCCCGGTAATAACTGACTCTCCACAATGGCCGGGATCACCATCTTACTGAGTTTCTTCTTCAGTTCACTGGCCACGTGATTAAACACATGGTCTTCCAAGCTTTGCAAGTCGTACTTGAGGTTCTCCAGCGTCTTTTCAATCTCGTGCCATTCTGCATCCGTCGAACCACGCTTGTTGCCTTGCATCTCCTTCTCCAGTTGACGTCCCAAAGAAATAATAAGAGAATACAGCTCATGGATATTCGACAGCCAGTACAGACAAGGCACAATCGCTTCTTCGCCCTCGTTGTCCTAGACAAAGAAAAAAAAAAAGGGATCGTCAGTGGGAAGCCACTCTGTCGTCCACGTTCTTTCTCACACGACTTACCACACAAACATCATCAATCGCATCCATGACAGCCAAGAGCAATCTTTCAGCAGCAGCCACGTATCCATAACGACACATCTCGATACTGATGATCGCGATGGTGTGAGATGGATAGAAGAGATCCTTTCGTGCCAGAGAATTCGGAGGGCTAAGGGTAGCAAAATTGATCGATTTGACCACCGTTTCCACGATTTCCCTCTGCAGGACCATCTCTTCCTTGAAAATGGCATGCATGATTTCTTCAGGCGAACCAGTAATATCAGCCACTTCCAGTTCTTCCACTTGTTTCTCCGTGCACATCTCGGTTTCTTCAGCGTTTTCGTTTTGTTCGCCCGAAACCGATTTGCTCTTTCGGTGATGTCGATTGTGCGTGTTGTGACGATCGGGCGACACGCCACGTCGACGTTCACGGTTGGACCAAGGTCTTGAAGGAATGTGACGTGATACATGCTGCTTGCGGGTCTTGTTGAGGGTCTGAGACAACTGCGATTTGAGCGTCGAAATCTGTTGCTTCAACTCGCTCATATTAGGCACCTCGGTCGTGTCCACGATGGATTGCGATGTTTCTCGTAATTTCGATACTTCATCCTTTTGTCGCGTTAATTCTTCGCTCAATCGGGCGATTTCCTTATCTTGCTGTTTCAGTTTGGTCAACGATGTGATGTACTCTTCCTGAAGACTGTCACGCTCGTGCTGTAACTTGGACCATCCCTCTTCGACCTCGGTAGGTTTGCCAATCACGCCTTCCAAGTCCTTGGCTTTTCGATCCAGCTTGTCGTACTTGTCAATCCATGTACGCACCTGCTGTTCAAGCTGCGACGCTTTGCTGCGGAGTTGGAACTTTTCATCCTTTTGCTTGTTCAGACTCTGAGTCAATTCCACCACCTTGTTCTCCAGTTTGTAAGACACTTCCTTGAAGTGACTCACAGAACGGGCCTCGGCGCGCAATCCCATCAATTGACGACGAGCAATGCGACGACGAACACATGTTTGAATGCGAATAATGTGATTTCGTTGAGCATGATATCGCTTTCGCACCACCCTTGAAGAAAAAAATATGACACGAATCAAGTCTTGTTCCAGAAAATACCATGTGCAATCCAAACTTACCAACCGCGAACAAGTCTTTGAATTTGCACAGCCGCATTATGCTGACGAATCAAAGCATATCGTTTACGAGCAATGAGACCTCGAATTGCTAATAGAAACAGAAACGACACACCATCGTTCAGCAAATAGTTTAACAAGGTCGGCCAACGGTTTCCAGTCACTTACCAGCTTGAATGGCCACGATTCTTGCACGTTGTCGCAGATAGTCCTTTCGAACCGTATATCGTCTCCAGTTCTTTTGAATGACAATGGCCGCTTTCTCCTGACGCAGCAACTCTAATTTGCGTTGGCCCATTTTCTTGCGTGCAATCTGCTGCAATCCAATTGCGAGTTCTTTCATACGCAAGTAACGTGCACGCACAATGTAGCGACGCATGTTCTTTTGAATAAGAATTGCACACTGATTCCAACGGTCCGCTCGCAGTTTTTCCATGTAAGCCAGCTACGATCAAGTAACATTTTTTGTTCAATCCTTGTTCTATCACTATGGAAAAATAAACCAGCAAGATACACAAATATTTACCTGTCCAGCGCGGAAGAAAATCTTGGTGAGACCAATCTGATATTTATCAGCGTCATTAATATAGGTATCCAGGATGGCCGAGCACAATCGTTTGGGATCGGCATTTTCTTTGGAATCCCAATACTTTGATTTAACAAGTGCATAATATCTATAAAAAAAAGGAGATTGTATTAGGACAAACGAAAAACACATCGGTAATCGTACTGTCAATGACTGACCTGTCAGCAAATTCTTCAAACGTCCATCGCGAAGGATACCCGGCACAGCTGATGCGAATGGTTTCCAGCACACCACAAGCTCGTAACTGCGAAAGTACCATGTTGGGTTCAAATACCCAGGCCACTTTGGCTTCATTGGGCTTGATACAACGAATGTAATGCACGTTGGTTTGACCAATGGTATCCATCAGGTTGATCAAAGAAAGCTAATTTTCTCTTTCGTCAGAACAAAGGGTGCTATTTGCCTTGCCGTGACTATTAAGCAACTTACTTTGAAGATGGAACCAAGGGTCGGCTTCTTGGCCGCATTGACGGATTTTTTGGGTGTCTCGGCCTGAATGAAAAAGGAAATGCAATAAGTAATTAATGACCACCTGCAGCAGGGCGAGTTTTCTGTTTGTTGGGCTTACTGGGGCGATAGGGCCGGTAGAGCTTGTGGCTGTTTGGATCAGATCCACCAAAAAGGAGGATTGCGAGTTTTGCAAAAGAGTTAAATGTTCTTCAGGAACCGTATCCTTGTTCTTGTCAATGAACCCTTCAGCTTCATATTGCACATCGTGTGCGTAATGAACCACTGTGAACGCTTCATTTGAAAATCGAGGCTTTTTGAAATAATCCTGGTAAGTAGGTGCGCTGAAAGCTTGGTATAGTTTGTTACAAAAGCCTTGATCGGTTCCTGAAGGTAGACGTGATTCCTAACGAATAAGTTCATTCAGTACGACTGATTTCTGGTCACAGTCACGGTTCTCTTACCTCATCCAACAGCGACAGGATACCCATTTTGGCTTCAATCATTTCAATGCACTTTTGGTTATCGCTAAACTCGATAAACTTCCAATCGATTTTTTCGCGAACATATTCTTCTTGCTCCAGTTTAAACACATGCTGATTGAACTATAGACAGCCAATCATCGAGGGTGAGTACAAATTGTGAATCAACAAAAAAAATATGCAAAAATATCATACCTGTTGCTGAAGCTTCTCGTTGGCATAATTAATACAAAACTGTTCAAAGGAGTTCTTCTTGAAATGTTCGAAACCATAGATATCCAGCACACCGATAAAAGTGGCGACGGTTTCGGGCTGTTGGCAAGACAAACTGTCATTGACGACGCTGACGAGCCATTCAAACAAATTGGCATAAATGTACTTGGCCACCGAATCACGGACGACCTGAGCTTGAGTCGGGCTCAAATTGGTGACGATTTTCTCGGACCGAGTGACAATTTGTTTACGGACAATCCATTTTTTGAATTCACTAGCTTGGATGCCCAAAAGGCGTGTCGCTTTCATTAGCGACGGTTCATCCTCACTGAGAGCTGCATCATTTCGACCCCCAATTTCAATGTTGCCGATATGCAGTAAAGCGGCCAGAAGGCGGAAAATCTGCCATTGGGTCTGTACGGAAATGCCCACCAAGGAGAGCGATTTTTGCGTGAGTTCAAATTCTTCAGTATCATTGACGCCTGGGATTTCGCCTGTTCCGCTTTGGTTCAAATAATGAAAATCCGTCCAACTCTTCAAATCCAATTCCTTGCGTTCAGTGGATGGAGCACCAGCACAGAGCTAAGGAGTGACTCGCATTAATAAATCGATCCTGCCAAGCTCTGCATGCTCTTAGTCATGAATTTGTAATTTTCTTACCTGATAGAAGATGTGATAGTTACGCTCGGTCTCGGGTTGGAAAATCAGACGAGACCGTTCCAACAGATACGTTCGAATCTTGGCTCCAACAATATTGCATTGTTTATCAAATTGAATCTACCCATTCCATATTTTAATTCAGCTTTGCCCTCTGGTTTTCCAACTTTTCTGTCACCTACCTCGATATACTTGCCGAAACGAGAACTGTTGTCGTTTCTTGTCGTTTTCGCGTTACCAAACGCTTCCATGATCGGATTGGTGGCTAAAGTTAAATAAAGTTAGATTCCTCAACAATCCTATGTATTTCAGTTTTTTATCTGTGGCAAAATTTTACCCAAAATTTGTTCTTCTACTTCGGTCATGCTTCCGGCAGTATTTTTGGCCTGTTTGCCTGCTGCTTCCTTATCATCGGCCGTGGCAAAGTAACGCATAATGTATTTTGCACTGACAGTTTTACCCGCACCACTGTGAAGAAAAGACACCAGAAAATCACTTTAGCCTCACATTATCTTTTTTTAGGTCCATCCACGCATCCATGCATGGTTAATTAATTCAACCTACCTCTCTCCGGATACGACAATCGTTTGATTGGACTGTTCGCGTACCATGCAGCGGTAAGCATCTTCGGCAATAGCGAATAAATGGGGTTCCAGTTCTCCGCGCCGTCGGCCCGAATACTGTTGTATGATATCCGGTTCGTACAGCGACACGCGGGCAAACGGATTGGTGGCAATCAGCACGATGCCGGAATAGGTATAAATATTACGCTGCAAATAACGCGTACGGATGGTATTAAGCACTATTTAAAAAAGAAAGCAAAATAACTCATCAACAAGACCGTGACAGCGCAAAAGATCAATCGATCGAAAAAATGGGCTGATGTTTACCTGAAGGTTCATTAAGATAGCTTAGATTAGTTAAATCGTCGGTATTCTCCATCTTTGGCGGATTTCTTAAAGGAGGCAAATTGGATCCTTTTGTTTTCTGTAACTCTGCCATGGTCGATTCAAAGACATATTCCTGTTCCCCACCCCCAACAAGTGTTAATAATAATATCGTTATCTTATTACAAGCCTAGTGTCGAGTCTCGAGGTTGCTTACTTTTGATCCGTCTTGTTCATTCTGGAATACGATCTTGACATGGGTGTCATCTACATTGTTTGAAACGACGGCCGCGGATACCCAACCTTCTTGATCGTCGGGAAACCATGCCTCGGTTCCTTTGGTGTAGACTTCGAGTTGCTGAGAAATGGATGGCGGGGGCATCTCGCAAGGAAAGACAAGTGAAGAATTAAGGATTTACAAGTGAAATGATGACGGGTTGAGATGAAGTAGAATGGACGAAAAAGCCCCGAGCGTGGGGTTTGGTTTTCTCGTGTTGATATGTAAGGGCGCAAGCGCTTGGAAAGAGGGAGTGCGGCGGAGGCGGGGGCAAGGCGAAAAAATAAGAAAGGGAAAACAAAAAGGTCGCTTTATCCCTTTTTTTTCTATTCTGCTGATAAGGAAGGGGACATTCAAAACGAGTATTTGCGGGATTTTGCTCCACCGCGAATGAAAAAAAATAAATGTCACGGGATTTTAGATTCGATTCGTCTTGAGCATTTCCAAATCCATGAATCGCGCACGCTGCACTTGTCAAGTACGCTTTGTCTAGTCAAAGCATGGTCGCACAAACAAGTTAGTTTGGACTCAACCAACCGCATCGCCTAATGAAACCTTGGCAGTGTCGGTTTTTTGTGCTGTTTTCTTGGTCATTCAGGCACAAGATTGTTTACGGTTTAATGGACCTTTTTGACAGTCTCAAACGGATCTTTAAGGAGCCTATGATATCTATGCTCAAGCACAGTGAGGCCGGGTGAGAAATAGATAGAATCAGAGAATTAATTTCAGGCACCTGAAACTCTAACAGACGTTGCCCGGACATCATTAGAAATGTTTCACTTTGGGAAACCAAATATCATCATGCAGCTAATTCAACAAGGAACCTCAAAATTTTTGTTGTTGGGGAAACCTTAGTAACGGATACAATGTCATAAAGCGATCAGTTTATCATTAATTAGGCCAAACACTGCATTGTTTATTTGTTCAACGTTTATTGGCATTGTTCCTCGAATGTTTTCCATAAAGATTGTACGAGACCATCGAGGGGCAGTGTAATGTTTTCGTGAATCGCGGCAGGTAGTCGGTCTCGTTTCAGACCAAGCCATTCCATCGGTGGCGTGGCATCGCCCATCACTTGGAGCTGCGGATAGAAATCGACCGGTTGAACTGCACGATATTTGATGGCTTCGCTGGGACCGGTCGGTGGTAATTTGTCCGGTTCAGGACTGTCACTGGGTTCTCGTGGATCGGTGGAAGCAGATGAAGGTTTTCGATGGAGTGAAGCTGCTTTTCGTTTGTTCACACCCACGCCACTGTCAACACTTTCCGTATCGTCATGACCGGCAAGACTGGGAGCATTTGTTTCGCCCGGTGTGGTGCTTGGTGACGGTCTTGCCAGCTCGCTTTCCTTGGCCCGCTCCAGTTGGTTCTTATACATGCTGTACATTTCTTGCAGATATTTCATCAACCCAAGGTTCAGTGAAACGTTGACACGACCATCGAAATTGGCTGCAAACGTGTGATCGACAGCCTGACTGATCTGATTGGAATCCATCGTTAGACGTGTTGTTGGAATGGTAAAGATGCGAGTACCACCCCAGCTCTTGGTCTTGGATTCGGCGGTGACCGCCAAGGTCCTGTCTTGGGCCATGAGATCCTTGCTCGACACGTTCTTTAGCAGAGCCGCGTTCAATAAATTGATTGTCAAGACACGATGCATTCCTTCGTCACTCGTTGGCGCTTCGCTCAAGTTGGCATTAATCTGTCGGGCATGGACCTCAACATTATCCACGTCATGGAACTGGTTGGGATAAATCACAATATCGAGGCCATCCATTTGTATGTGCACATGGCGGTGAACAAGTTGCAATGCTGGTGAGTCTTTGCGAGCCTCTGCGGAAACGGCTGACGAAGTATAAGTGGACTGGGTGGGTTGCGTGGTGGTCACGTTTTCCCGCACAGGCGCGGCAGGCACGGCAGGCATGGCTGGCATGGTAGGCATGTCCAACAGTCCGGCTTCCATTTTCTTCTTCTCCAGTAGCTCCATAAAGCGTCGGTACATGGTGATAATCACAGGAACGGTTTTAATCGACAATCGTACAATCATTGCCCGCATGTGGATCGACGTCGTCATTTCGTATTGACCCTCTTTCGGTTGAATTATCGACGTTAGCTCAATGGGATCTTGCACAAGATCAAGGATATTTTGATACTCGTATTCAAACGTCGCGCGGGCACCGTCCAGGATCACATGAGAAGACGAACTGTATGCTTGGACGCCGTCCTGGACTTTCAGACTCACATTCACCAGAACCCGTTGCAATTGAGCGTCGCCGGAAAGTCGGCCTTCCGATGAGACATCAATGTGATCAAAAGAAAAACTGAGCCCCTTGCATTGCATTGGTACGTGATACACCGTCATGGAAACATTGTTCGGTACGAGTGCAATTTTGCCAATGGCTTGACCCATATCAACCGACAGATTGACGGTCTGTGAGTGCACCGCAATGTGTTTGGCAAAAGGCTTGGTAGGTAACGACGCCGATTCACCCGATTCAGTATCGTTTTCTTCCACGATCGTGTCGGAAGGAAGCAACTTGCTGCTGGTGTTGTGATCCGCCTGTGCCGGCGTCGTGTCTGGCACAATAGCTTGATTGAACCAACACGCGTACAATGTCAGGAGATCTTGCAAATGGCGAACGTTGAGGTCGGTGTGGATACAAGGAATATTCACCACCACCGAAATATCGTCGTTTCGGTGAATCGCACTGTCGCGAGGTAACATCAGCGTGACATTGAAAACCAGTTCATCGACCTTGGCTGTCAGACAAGCTTCCGGTGAAAAGTGATGTTTGATGGTGGTCGACAGATCATGGATCGACGCCACACAACTCATTACGCGGGTTCCCGCAGGATCGTAAAAAGCATTGAGCAAGAATTGACTTTGGTCCCAGCCCAAGGAACACACCACTTTCGACGTCGGCTGGCAGCTCAAATCCAGTTTGGTACGCGACAAGCGGACCAGAACCGACGCATCCAGATTATCCACGTCGGTGGTGGTGGTGGTAGTGGTGGTGGACCGTTCGGCTTTACGTTCGCTGGATTCCTGCATTCCCAGTTTCAGACCGGCCACCACTTCGCGAAGAAATTGCACAAGCGAAGGATGCAAAATGTTGTTACTTTCATGGATAAGGATATCGCCGTGGAATCGTCGTGGAGCATCGGATCCGGAGGCATGCGCGCCAAGCGACGTTTGATAAATCATCCATGCATTCAATCCCGGCAACTTGAGCGTAGCGACGTTGCCTTCGGTGGTCCGTGATAAGGACTCCATCCCGGTTTTGATGCGCAGGCTTTGCTTTGGGCTCTTTCTTCGTACCGTGTCTCCCGAATGGCGTTTGGGATACATTCGCACCACTCCGCTTTGATATTCAAACACGCCAATGATCTCCAGATTTACCACTTCGCTTCCTTTCTCTTCAGGTTCTTGCTTTGTCATAAGCTTGGTGTTGACGGCAAATTCGTTGACACGGTCCATACTCTTGATGTAAATGTCGTTCAAACTGTTGATGTAATCGGCAATGGTGCCGTCCAGATCCACTTCGAATCCGCCCACCTTGGCATCGATCTTTAACGACTGTCTCGATTTCTGACTCTGCGCATACAGTTTACACACAATCGATGGCAGCAGCATCTGGTTCATGCGGGAATGTTTTTCGGCTACAAAGTGATCTTCATTGCTCTGGTCAAATCGTTTCACACATTGAAGCGAAATATTCTCCAGGACGGCGGTACTCGTTTCGATATTTTGCGTCAATAGTTCGAGAGAAACGATGGAGAACAACAAGGCGCTCACTTCTTTTGGACTTCTCGCCGACGAGGAGTGATGTGATTGCGTGTCCAGAGGAATAGCAACGCCCAGCTTTTGAATCCGTAAGCAGATCAGTTTATCCTGCCATAACGACTGGATATCTTCCTCCATGCTGGCCGTGTCGTACTTGAACGATTGGACCAATCGTTTGGTATTGGCGGCCAAGCGTTCCAATTCCAGTTTCTTGAGCTCTCGCTTCTTCTTCAGTTCGGCATCGTAGTAAATATAAATTTCGGCCAATTTTCCCAGCGCAATGGGCTGCATGACGGTTTGAATTTTGGAGATATCAATGTAGAATGAACCTAAAGGATGATTGGGTTGATCTTTGGACGTGATTTGAGAGGAACACCCAGGCAAGTAATTTTGAATCAAAAAGTCAATCACGATGTACGCGAGTCGATTTCTTCTCGAGAATGTCTCTTTCTTGGCTCGCGACGTCGGGTCGTCCGGGTACGATCCACTGTTGTGATCCAGCGACAAGGCAAAGTTGCGTCCTTGGACCTTCCATGCCAATCCTTCGGGCGATGGACGATCCCCGTGGGCTACGCAATCATTCGAAACGGAGGCTTCCAGTGCATTGGATTCGAACAGGACAAGCGCTGAGGGGCTTGAAGCGGAGATGCGAAGACCATCGAGCAAGAAATTCAAATGATATCTCAACGGTTTGCCAGACGAAGAAGCGGGTGTCGTGCCTTCCGTCGACGGTTCGTGGTGACGTTGTTTCGAATAGGACAGCACTTCCAAAAGTTCGCTAATTTCATTGCCGAGCAAAGACTGGGCCGTCAGCAACGAATCGATCATGGCGACGTTGAGTGACAGCGAAATGAAATCCACGGAAATCATGGATCGTAGTTTGAGTCGATCCGCACCACCATCCGATACCGATCTCAGACTGCCTGTACTGCGAATACTGGGAATGGCAAAAACGGTGCCACCGTGGTCGTGGATGGCTGTAGAGGAAGGTGTTGCCGGGGCCGTGTTTTTGGTGATCAAATGTAATTCTTGCTTGGACAACTGGATCGCGTACTTTAGCACAGACACACCCTTGGGTTGGATTTCATGGGCCAATGCAAAAAGATCTTCCATGGAATATTCCACACTCAATGAAGGCAGCAGATCCGCACGGGCCACCACCGAATTCAGAAGCACTTGGAACCGAGAATCGAATTTCCGTCCAGTGAGTGGCACCCCTTTGGCGGGATTACTACTATTGCTGTAGGCCATTTCTTTACGCTGTTCTTCCCATTCATTCAACAGGTTTTGAAACATGAAATGATATCGCTGGCCTTGTTCCGTACGCCATTCTTCCACGAACCCATACAAGCGCAGTAAACTTTGAGGCGCGTGAATGTAGAATTTGCGAACATTGCAAAACAGGTTGAACAGTTGTCGCTGGGTATCGGATTTCCCCTTTTTGGTGGATCGAGCCGGTTGGCTGAGATTTGCATTGACCGTGGGATGATCCATGGTAATCACCAGCAGTTCCACTAGTGTGGCAAGTCGATCCCGGTGTCGTTGCATCTCAAAGAACCGTACATCTATAAGATCGACCCCGCCCGCGGCTTCTAACAGAATACGGTTCTGCGCGTGATGCATATTTTTTCTCGATGTTTTGAAAGAACTGCGGACCCCGGACCCGGTATCGGAATCAGCTCGCTCCGAAGAGGCAAAGAACGCCGTGGGCGTCAAGCGTGGATTTGACAACAGAGCCGAGCCTTGAATGCCCCGGATCACGGATTGCATCGTCAACTTTTGAGCTCGCGCGCAAATATCGATATCATGCACATCCACGAGAACTTGCGCCACAATATCCACTTGAGCCAAGATTTTTTGCAGGTCGAAAGAGGCATCGGGTGACAATGATTGAGAATGGCGAGAGGAGAAGGACGAACTGGAGTGGGAAACAGCGGTGGCTTTACTGGTATGGGATAAACTGCGTATTTTGTTGGTAAATACACGTTGCACCATCAACATGTGTCTCGCAAAAGCAAGGATGGCCGGATTGGCTCCTATTTTCACGGAAGCGACACTGCCTTTGGCTACAACATCCAAGTACCCTTCCGATGGGTGCGTCTTGGCGCGATCATCGGAACTGGGTCGCGGAGGCGACACATCGTCGGAAGGATCGCCGATGGTGGGACGCTTGAAAACGCTGTCGAGGGCCAGTTCGATGGACCGGATAAAGATGCTATTGTCTTCGGTCACTTCTTCCTCTTCGTAGATGCAGAAACCAAACTGCTGCAGTGTAATCTTTCCAAGATTTACCGAGGACGTCAACAACCGCACAAAGTCCTGGGTACAGCTACTCTCGATCATGGACGACTCTTGATGAGATCGTTGGTTGAAAGGCTGCGTAAACAGTCGACAGTGAGCAATATCGTCATCACTGATCTCCCAGCTTCGCCAGCGTGAAAATGTCTGCACGACACTACTGAACATGTAGCGTGAGTCCACATGCTGAATTGCGCCGCCCGAAGTCAAACGATACTGCAACTCTTCACGCGTGGAAGACGGCATGGATCGTAAGATATGACGCATACGTGCCAACAGTTTCCATCCGACATCGTTGCGAAAGTTGCGCGATCCCAGACGAAGCATGTTGGTAGGTTTGGTCAGGAACAGTGGATCGCCTACCACGTGCGGGTCGTTGGAAAAGTTGGCCAGCTCATGAATGAATACCTGGATTTGCCGCGACCGGCGCTCTTGGAAGCTTTCAAGAATGTCCTTTAAATCATCGACAAACACCAGCCAGGAATAGACGGCGCCCACCAAGATTTCTACGGATTCGGTAATAATAATCGTTGACAGTCCACCAATCTCCATGTTGAAGTAGTTTGGTTTTTGCGCGCCTAACCATTTGAATGCGAAATCGGAGAGTTCGAGATCGACGACGACCAGTTCGTTTGTTGCATGGGTCTGGTCTTCTTCCTCGTTGCGATGACGTTTGATGGGCTGATGCTGACGTGCAAGTGGGATGCCAAAACTGACAGGCTGATGCAACGGTTCATGACGTTCGCTAATGTATCGCACTTTGCAGCCCAGTTTACCGGTGTCAATGTGAACGCGCGATTCCTGGAATACCAGCTTGGATTCGGCCACTGAGACCTGTTTTTCATCAAATGCCAGATCCTGGAATTTGACGCTGCCGATCATGCGAAAATCTTGGAGAAAGACGTCGGCTGAACATAAAATAGTATTTTGGAAATCGTACTGTGTCTTGATGTGGGATTGTCCGTGCTTGTAGATTGGCAGATCGTCAGGGATCATGACATTTTGAATAAAGTGCAAATACGTTCTGGGCAACAAGACGGCAAACCGAGTGCAAATATACTGATGGGTAAGGTATCGGGTCAGCTGACCAATGTATTCAATTTGATGCGAATCAAGCATGGTTTCCAAATCCCAATCCTACCACGGAAAAAACGGGGGTTAGGTCTACTTGCCGCTTCATGCCACTGTACGTAAAAATAACTTACATCTTTACTAATGACTTCGGTCAACTCTTGAACCACCTTGACCAGAATGGGAGTGAGCAAGATGGTTACAGGACAAGTGGCTTCAATCACCGTCGTCGCAAGGACTTCGTTTCCTTTGCTTTCATCGGCTTTGTTGGCTGTTCCCCCGTCAGATCCATCATCCGAAGCACTATTATGCTCTTTGAAGAAATACTCGGTGTCGATATGTGAATCATTCTCAAACTTGTACCGTTCTTCCTTCTAATTGTATTCATGTCCGTTTAGTACTATTTATCTTGGCACGTTCTTCTCTACTGACCTTTTCGGGAACTACCGAAGTTTTGGGTGGAGCCAGAAAGGGATGGAAAAACGGATGGCTGCGATCTAGGGTTGCAATGGCGCGTTGCACTGAATACCGCTTGAGGTATCCGCTGTAGGGAATGGATGGTGGAATCGAGGTCGGCGTGTAAGCATTTTTGACCGTGGTATCGTACAACACATCATTCACAGGATAGGTATCTTCCACTAAAAAAAAAAGTATAAAACCGATGCGCTTGATGAAGATGGTGTCTTTGCATCTGTACCTTCACTTTCCATATCACTCATGGATTGAACACTCGCTCCGCCGTAGCCATCAGAGGCATAGTCTGAAATCTCCATTTCGCTGTATCGCGTCGAATATATCCCTTCGGAATTGGCAGTATGGAAAGACTCATTGTCGCGCAATACAGAGCTTCGCATGGAGGTTCGAGACATGGGTACGCTATAAAAAGAAAAAGAATAAGAAAAAATGACTTGTTGTGAGCTTCACCTTGGTTTTTTGTATTGCTAATTTCAACCCTTACTGATCAATGATTCTGTCGTCGTCCGATTCATCGTCCGTGTTGTAAGTTGGCGACCAGTTACCGACAAACGAAGAAATACTGGGACTGCCAGTGGAACTCTTTCTTCGGCCAAAGAAACCATCCAGCGTCTGAGAGTGGGTGGAGTGCGCCGAACTTGCGTTCTCTATGTGTGAGGTTGGCTTGTCGGCTATCAAAGTGGCCACATTAGCATCATCATAGTTAAAGGATGCGCTCAAGAACCTTACCACAGTAGAACGAACGATAGGGTGGAGCGTAGAGTATGCCAACATGATGCTCTTGAAGTGTGTTCACTGATGATCGAGAACCTTTTTTTTTTAAAAAAAAATAAAAAATAAAAAAATAGCAAATCCCCTTAATGTTCCTTGTATCATTGTATCTCACTCGTTTTTCCACTTACTGTCAGTGTCATTATCCTCATCGTAAAGATTGACGCATCGACGCGTAAAATAGTCCTGACTGCTAATAAATGTTTGTTGCTTGGACCGTTTTTGCTGCCAATCTTTTGTCTGGCGAAACAGAGTAATGTTCAGACCAAGCTCCACTTTGGCGACTTCGACCCATGAGAATTCGGATTCCTAAGTTAGTATGGGGTTTTTTGTTAGCGATACATTGAGTTGATTGGATGGATGAGTGAAGCAAGAGAAAAATCTTCTACCTGACTGTTGCCTTGTTTTGAGGGATCTTGGTTAGCCAAGCAAGTGGTTTCAATGGCTGGCAATTTCACTGCGATTCGTTGGCAATACTTTTCATTGACAAGGTTATCAAAGTCAACGGTCATGCCATCCTTGAAATGAATGCCTGTGGCGGTATTTTGACTCATCAAATAGATATCGATTTCTCGAACCGACGCCTTCACAAAGGTGACATCCGGATCCGGATCGGGAGTCATTTCTGCAGGAACCGCATTATCTTCATCAATGAGATTGTACACAAACGTCTGTGCAAAGCACATGGTGCCCAGCAAAAAAGACGGTTTGATTTCACCCGTGATGTGTCCAATGTCAAACTCCCAATGACACAAATACGTTGCCGTCTCTGGCAACGGGCCAAATAATCGGTGCGCGTAAATGCTCGTTTCTAGGAAATCCAGGATTCGCTGTGAATATTTCTCATCATGCTTTTTTCGTTCCAGTTCCACTGACCATCAATAAAGATAAAATTGCGAGGATCACGAGCGTTTTTGATTCGAAAAGGGGCTTGCTTCTTGCATGGATTCGGATTGGAATCTCTCGTCCAAGTAATCGGACTGATGTTGACGTGCATATCTGATGAACAGTAATAAATGTAAATATTAGTCTAGTTATTTCGCGTACAATGGATGCCAGCACGAACCCATATAGATATCGAGATTTCGAAGCTCCAGTTGTAATTCTTGAAACTCCAACTGTGAATAGTGGGAGCATTCGTACAGATTCTCTGGCAACATGAGAGCGCCATCCAGAACTTCAAGAAACACGTAAACTTCAAATGGGTCTTGAACGGGCTACAATCATTGTGAATAAAATCACCATTCACGCCCTATTGACGACATGTATCAAAAAACCAACCTTGGCTTCGCCCTGCTTTTTCTTCATTTCTAGATACTCTTGTGGGTTTTGTCGACGATATCGATACTCTTCAATTGTCCAGAAATTGATCCAGTTGCCAAAGTAATTGTCGCGCAAAATGAAGAGGTATCGTATCACCGTGCCGAAAAGTTTGACCGTAACTCCATTTAACTAACAGTCATACCGCTTCGGTCAAAAAGATCATACTGATACCCAACTGCCCTCACTTACTGTAACATATAAGCTTGTGCTTTCAATATGAGTGGCGACGTCAATCGAGGTATAGTACTCGTAAGATCCGCTAATTTTGAGCCCCAAACAAACAGCAACTTGGGCATCGTCTTGTTGCATAAAAGCATTGAGTGTATGCGACGTCTGCAATGATATTCCAATTTTGCATTGCTCGACCTAAGAAATTTTTTTTCTCCATGTTGATATCGAAAAAAGAACTTGATCCTCCACGTCTCTGTATAGATAACTTACGTTGGCATCAAATCGAATGGTGTTCACTTCAGGTTCAAAATCTTGCAGAGGCAATGTAATGTCGAAATATAATTTCTGCGCTTGTACAACAAGAAAAGCTAATCATCATTTCGGAATAAGTCCAAGTTTTCCCATTTTCATGGAAGAAAGACGCTCCGCTTACCGTTGTCTTCAAGAGAATTTGGGTTGCTGATGACGTTGTGTTCATTCACGCAGAGGTATATATGAGGCTGGGTAGCATCCAAGTGAAGTATGTAGGTAGTGGGTATAAAATGCAACAGATCGACGGGAGGCGAGCTAGTCCAATCCTTGATCAGATCTTGCAAAAGGAAAATATGATCGCGTAATAGAAAAATGCGAGGTCGTGCTGCTTTGCAAGTGATATTCCAAACGCGGTGCGCATTCCACACGAGAGGGGTGGGCATCGCCACATGCAACTAGGACACGTATATTTAATTTGATCTGTTATAGAATGCTGTTTGAGAAGATACTGGCTTACTTCAAGGCTAGGCAGCTGCAATAGCGAGGCATAGTTTATACTTGTTGAAACATCGGGTTCTTTGAGGTGGACGTCTAACTTAGTTACGTAACCATCGGCACCAAAGACGAAGGGAACCACCATTTTGACCGATGAATCCTTGGCAGCTTTCAAGTCAATCCAGCCGTAAGGACGCGTATAAAACCCATCCGCGCCGATATCCAGCTCGGCTGATCCGGTTTCGTACTTCCAATCCTTTGATTTTTCTCGAGTAGGAATTCGAAGGGTCGCCTCGGTCATGAATTCCAACTGAAACTTGAATGCTGTGGCCATCCGCGATTGGCCTGGTATAAGCCGCGGGGTGGGGGAATTATTACGGTGAGAGTTGGGGAAAAAGTAATCTTGGATGGCAGCCCTATAACACGGTTATTCTCATTTGTAAGCAATTGCCCGACAATATGATTTATCCTCCTCTTACCGCTGCCGATCCGTCCATGGACCGTAATAAATCATGGCGTTCCAGGCCAAGAGTCGCACGCCCCACTCTGGCGGTAGGCCGCCGTTCCCAATATCGGTGCCAATGCCTGAGAATGTGCCTGTGGACGCTTCGGAGGTTGGAACAGGTCCCGCATAATCTGCATAGTAAGTGATGGCCATTTCGCTGCATTCGATAACATTATTCACACGTGCATATTCTTCGTGATACGTCGTATCATTTGTTTCGAGCCCAGTGGTGGGTCTTGCTGCAGCACTCATCAAATCATGCATATGCTGCATTTCACCGTACTGCCTTGTTCGCGTTGCGGGATGAAGGTATTGCAAAGGTTTCCATAGCCGAGACCAAAACCTAAAAGAATAAGCGTGTCAATGAAATTTGGTTTTCTTTGTTATGGCTGACGGGTCCCAACTCACGTCGGCAAGGTAGGTTGGATCGTTTGCATGGATTTGTCAATGTTTGTGAAGTCCATGTTATCTTTGAGACTAAGTTGCGGTTTTCTGAGGACGAGATCAAAGACGGACTTGTAATAATCCATGCTACTCCGTGAAGGTACCGTACTCCAAATACCGTTGGCTTGCGCGACCTGGAGGAGGATCATGGTGCGGAGTTCCATGTTACCAATGATTACCGCGCCGGTGGTACACTCAAACTGAATTGGCATGAGCCGTTCCATCAACGAATCCTGCACACCCGTCGGAGTCTGGCTTTCCGGATCAACTTTGGGTTTGGCGGGCTCTGAAAGAAGGCGTTCAACCGAGTTAGGATTGGCGTGTGCCACCCCTCATTTTTAGATTTTTTTTCATATTCACCTTTAAGTTCAACGTCCGAGCCTGTGGACTGGTTGGTTGCAGTGGTGGTCATGCCAAGAATATCTTTCATTCTTTCGTAAGCGGGCGCATTGTTGTAAATGAACCATTCGAGTCCTTCCACATGGCAGACCACTCGACAAGGATGTGGGCTGTTATTTTTGCCTAGAACGTGTGCCAAGCAGATTTAGCGCCATCAGTGTCTGTGCGTTTATTTTGAATCGATTGGAATAGACTTGCCTGTTTTTTCGTCTTTGGAATTTCGCACATTGAGTAACCAGTATCGGATAGCGATATGGCCCTTTACGATAGAAATTGATTGATTGGTTGAAAGATATCGAAAGTTCTTGAACAGGATACGAGCGCCTAAAAGTGTCACACGCACGGAATCTAAAACGGCCCACGTCGTTAACTGGTTTAGCCCATGCACTTTTTTCCCCTTCTCCCAGCATTAATGCTCAATGAGTCTTCGGAAACTGTGATATTACCGACTTCAATGTAGGCTCCATAGCGTCGCCAGGTATATTGGTTGATGAGCCACGTTAATATTTGGCCGGCAACACGATTAAAGTAGAATAAGAAGAAGAGGACGACGACGATGACGACGATGCAGTAAACAAAGAACATCCAAAAGTCCAAGCCCGATTGGACATTGGAATTGGAAGATTGCACTGCCGCTTGTAGGAAGATCATGGGTTGAAATGGAGCAAAATGCAAACGGTTACTGATACAAACGAGTCAGGCACATGAAGAAAAATAAGGAAATGATCCGAGAAAGTCCAAAGTCACGATGAAATTCACGGTTGCTCAAAAAAATCAAACTCCCGCCTGGTTATTCATCCCAATCCAGGAAAACCTCAAGCCAATTGTTTTCATTGTGCCCAAAAAGAAACATGATACAAACCGGAACCTTTTCCGTATTGCATTGGCCACAGCATTTTTTCATTGTCTTGTGACCTCTAGCGTTGATGATGGAGCCCTGGTCCCAGAACCAACAGGGCATCTACAGGCATTTCCTCTTTAGAACGTTCATGCAACCAAGAGAGATCAACAATTATATGGCTCGCTACACCCCAAGCATACAGGGAAAAAAGCACTTATTACAATAATCAGCCTTCGCAGAGTCGTATATTAATATTGCGGTCGTAAAAAGATTGTAAAGAAAAAAGAAAGATAATTTGCTCTAAATACGTATATATGTACAAAAGATCCCTAAATCTACCAATGGCAAGCAACAGTAGAAAGCGTACTTTCATTTCGGTGGGTGATTAATTTCTCATACTTGCAAACAATTCTTGCAATGTAGAGAAGAGCATCCTGGCGACTTGTTCGATATAGACTGATATCCGAATAACGAATGGAGCGATTCTATCGAAGCATACGCGCAATTGATGAGAGACAAGCACACGACGAAGCTGATGTTGAATTAGTGTGTGAATGTAATCTTTTGCCGCCAACATATGGCGCACACCCTGGAGTTCCTTCCAATGCATCGTGTCGTTCATCGACCAGTAAAACGTGTTGAAATGATGGATGCCGTTCTCCACTGTTTCAATCATATAATCGCCGGCATGTACAGCGTGTTGTACCAGTCGTGACGCTGTCAGGAGTAATCGAGGCTTCACATGATCTCTGCATACCTGTGCAAGTGCGATTGGCATACGTTGCAGCGACATAAACGTTGATCGAAAAATGGTGTGCAGATGTTGGAATACAACGTAGTTTGATAAAAGGAGTGACGGAAAGATTATGTACAGTAAGAAAATCAAAGGGATACCGATCATTAGGATTCGTCGAAAACGAGAAGCCTGACAAGAAATTTAGAGAAACAGTACAAGAATACAAAGGACACGTCCGTTCTCACCGATTGTTGTGTGCTATCGTCTCTACCCAACTAGAAAGCATTAGTCAAGGAACTCCAGTGTCTGCAGGTTTTCTTGCGTGCTTACCGTGTCCGGGGATGGCAATGCTTCATCTTCATCATTGTATGCTGCATAGGGCACAGGAAGCGTTTCTTCCAAGTCATTGGCAACCGAAGGGGTGACTGATTTTGTCACGGCTACGGTGGCATGGCAAAACCAGATTGTGGAGTGAGTGAGATAGTCTGGCTACGTTAGCCGGTGGAGCGTCGTGTTACCTGAATATATTCCTCTGTTGGTTGAAATAGAAGAATGCTTGTGTTTTTGTGTTCGCGCAGAGAATTTCAGCGAACTATAGGATGTCGTATTCGATAGTGTTTCCCAGTTCGTCATGGAAGCTTCAATGGAGGTGTGTACAAAAAGGCAAAACCAGGCGTGTGCGGCTTCAAAACGCGAACTGCAGGTGCCGTAGTGGGCAGTCACTCACTGGTTTCAGTGGGATGGCAGTGTGCGCATTGTCCACCCATTGGATGGTTGTTCCACGCCTTCACATGCTTACGCAATAAAAATTATGAACGTCGTACGATTACAACTTTCCGTCATTAAGGCAAAAGAACATCTGGTTTCTACTCGTTTTTCTTATTGTAATTTTGTTGTCAAATTATGATATTTGATCATCATCATTCTCTAACATATGAAAAAAAAAAGCTGATAAGTGCAAAAAAAAAAAAAAAAAAAAAAAAAAAAAAAAAAAAAACGTTTTCCTCCTAAAGACATATGATTTCATGGAGAGGTCATGATGGATTGTTCTACAAGTAATTGATTAGTTCTGCCTTTCCATTCATGTTATAGTGAATGGAGCCGTATTGGTGCGCTGGCAAAGGAGATATGAAACACTGCAGTGCTATGCAACCAACATTGCCACACAAGACACACTCCATATATAGCCACTTTGTAAGTCTGATTGACTACAAACACAAGTTTTGGTCGTCATGCATAATGGCAACACAAGTAAACATAAAGCTTGATGCTCCGGTTAACAAACATTGTGCACGCAAACGTTACTATTTGTGACGGATGGAACGGGTGTTGTTGTTGACCATATCATCACTTGATGGTTTACTTGCATTCCTGTTGTAAAAGTGAGTATTGTATAGGGTAAGAATGTTTTTTCTTTTTACAATAACTCGGTCCTCAACAACGATTATCTGCGGTTTCACAATATTAGCCGTTTCGAGATGGTTGGCCGATGAGAATGATGGCAAGGGTTTGGGGGGACGGGAGGAGGGAACGGGTGGAGGAATGATCGTGGATATTGCGAGATTGCTCATCATCTGTCATGTCTCCAGTATTTGGACGGATGCTCGCACAGTCAAACATAAACCTTAATTATAAGCATGGCCAAACCAAGCAAGGTCATGGCTGGTTCTACGCTATAAAAGTTTTAAAGTATTACTTGTTCTATACCAGGGGAAAAAAAAAAGAGGTGAACATCGACAATAACCGTGTCATGTGAGAAATAGATCATCTTTGATCATCATTCGAATTCAAACGCTGCTAATATAATTGTCGCTATTTTAACGGCACGAAACATTATCAAAAACTGCTTTTGTAATAATAAGCATTGGTGGTAAAAATAATTCTTTTTCTTTACCCAGATTTCCCAATTGGGTTTTCCCATGGCCAGAATTTGTAAGAAAAAAAGAAGCCCATTCATATCGCTTTTTTCGTTGACAAAGGGTTTGCAAGGTAAAGAGTTGTTGTCACACTTTTTTTTTGCACATTGTAGGGCGGTGGTGCCATATTTTTCAGTAAAAAGAGAATGTGTTCGGGTACATTAAGGCTGCACGTGATGCTTATCTGACCAAGAAAGGAGAAGGGCATAAAAAAATGGAAGCCTAGACCATGACTGACCTGGTTCTTATTTTATTGCTACCATTTTTCTTGTTGATTGATTCACATTTCTTTCTTTATCCTTTTTGTACTTTTACGTTTTCTTTCTTTCTTTCTTTCTTTCTTTTTATTATACATCTTTTTTGTATAATATGGTTCAGGCGTTAGATCTTCCACTTTTAGCGTTGGCCGTTCCTAATCTTCAGAAGCTCAATGATCTCTCTGCTGATGAATTGTCGTGCATGTGGACTGGTATGAAACAAAATGCTTTTGACGACTTTTATTTTTGTTTTCTTATATGTGAAACGTGTTAACATTTGATGCAATATGATTTCAATTAGTATTTTCGAAATGTAAAGATAATTTGGAGCATGGCAGACGACTAGAAAATATGAGCTGGCGTTTGTGGTTTCGCGAAACCGCTTCTCAAAAGCAGACTTGCAACGAACCCCATCCTACCCAGAACCCGATTCCTATACAATCACCTTTAGGATCGCCACATTCCAATTACTCGCTGAACGAGAGTCCCAATTCGACTGCAGGTCCACAAACGCCCAAAGACCATGATCGACGAAACAGCTCCATGAAACAAGCATCCACTGCGTCATTTAAACGCATCATCTCCTCTTTGGGAATCAATAAACCGGATTCTCGACCACTCAACGTTCTCAGTCATACCGATCACTTACCTACCAACGTCAAAGCACTCTGTAACCCTATAACACCCATCACACCAGTCTCGTTACCCCAAGTACCACCCTCTGTACCTGAATCGCAACCACTGAATGCTCCGACACCCATCACCGCTCGTCCTGGCAAATTCTTTATCTACGCTGAGGACGAATCTGATCATGGCGACTATCGCTTTTCCTCTGACGACGATGATGACGAAGAGGAAGTAGAAGAATACGAAGACGTTGATGAAGATGATGATGAAGGCACGGTATGCTCGGAAGAAAACGATGATGGTAATTGGAGCACGGTGCGCTCGGATGATTTCGAGCATGCGTATCAGCAACAATTCGTGAAACGAACTCCGCCATGCGAAAAGCGAGCTCAGAGTTCGCTGCTATCAAATCTGTTGAAGCAACCATTGCAACCACTGGCATGGAACAAAGCACGGATCACCACGCCTACCATGCCGCGACAACGACCCCAAAGACGCACCAAGCGTAACTGTGTTTCACCGATCACCGTTACACCAAAATCCTTTGCCACCACGACCACGACCGTCACAACCACCGTTGACTTGTCAGAGAGTTTAAGGAATTGTGTCGATTGGGAACGGTATCAAAACGTGTTCCCTGGAGGACGCCCTTTTCGCAACCCAGCCATGACTGAACCATCCATGCCAACTTTCTACATCGAGAGTTTCCGAGGTTGGTAAACAAATCCCTTCCACAAACATCCTATTGAGCGATTCTTTCGGTCACAGAAAGAAAGACAGAAAAGAAAGAGATCTTACCATTATCTTATCGTACATCATTCCATAACCCCTTATTCTTCCTTTATTGCATATATTCATGTATTTTTCATTATCACTCTGTCAGCCACTCGGCCCATATAATTTGTTCCGTTGAATCGTTTGCTTTTGTCTTTCTATCGTCTGGTTTTTTTTTTTTTTCGTTGTTATCTGCATTTTCTCTATCGCTCAAAAAAGTTTTCCTTTCTTTCCCGTTTTCCGTCATCATTCTTCCACCAAATCGACAAGGTCGCTGATCGAAAAATAAAAAATAGTGTATCCAAACCGTGTGAAATAAGGATAAAAAAGAGTAGTCTATTTTTTTTTTTTTTTTTTTTTTTTTTTATCATGATGTTCGTGGACCCAAAAGAAATGACAATCCTGATATGATATGATATCAATGGCCCGTCATACAGCGTTCTCTTTCTATCCTCATTACGTATTGATGCAAAAAGAAAAAACTGATATAATGGCTTCAATTATGCAATGCATGTCTTGTTTAAATTTATTTACACATATAACTTGTGAACAATCGATGATCAAAATGGTCTAGTATGGCTTTTTTTTGGTGGGTTTGTTCTCTATTGATGACGTTCTTCTTTTTCAAGGTTTTTTTTTTTACTCCCATTCAATGGTAGCAGGAGGCTTGGAGCTGATATCATAGACAACGCGGTTGACACCCTTGACTTCGTTGATGATTCTGGAACTGATGCGCTTCAAGCACATGAACCATTCAGCACTGGCAAAGATATCGGCTGTCATGAAATCCTTGGTCTCCACGGCTCTCAGGGCAATGACTTGCTCGTAAGTACGGGCATCACCCATCACACCGACGGCCTTGACAGGAAGCAAAGCAGCGTAAGCCTGCGAGATTTGGCGGTAGTAACCGTTCTTCTTGATTTCTTCAATGTAGATGTTATCAGCCAAACGAGCAATTTGAACTTGTTCCTTGGTCACCTCGCCCAACACACGGATGGCAATACCGGGGCCAGGGAAAGGATGACGCCACACCAAATCATCATCAAGACCGAGAATGTGACCAAGTTCACGAACTTCGTCCTTGAAAAGTTCACGGAGAGGTTCAATGAGCTTCAACTTCATGTCTTCCAACAAACCACCAACGTTGTGATGAGTCTTGATGGTAGCACTGGGGCCCTTGAAGGAGATGGATTCGATCACATCAGGATACAAAGTACCCTGCAAGAGATATTCAATTTCACCACCACATTCCTTGTCGATCAAAGCGGCCTCGGCTTCGAAAACTTCGATAAAGGTGTTGCCAATAATCTTGCGCTTCTTCTCGGGATCCGTGACTCCCTTCAAGCGGCCGAGGAAAAGTTCGGAAGCGTCGCTAATCTTGAGATTGATACCCATCTTATCGACAAGCATCTTCTTGACGTTTTCACATTCGTTCAAACGCATGACACCGTTATCGACGAGGATACCGTGGAAACGGTCACCAATAGCATCGTGCATCAACTTGGCAGCCACGGTCGAATCGACACCACCAGAAACAGCACCAATCACACGACCGGTAGGACCGACGATCTTGCGAATACGTTCAATTTCCTTATCGACGAATGACTCCATAGTCCACGAAGGGTCGCAGCTACAGATGTTGATAACAAAGTTCTTCAAGATAGCCTGACCGTCCACGGTGTGAGTGACTTCGGGATGGAACTGAATACCTATTAACAACTCTCGTCAGCAAGGATGTAACAATGTGGCCATCGTCTTTTTTAAAACCTACCAAAGTAAGGCTTCTCGGGATGAGCAACAGCAGCATAAGGAGCAGTACGGGTATTGGCAATTATGGTGAAACCGGGAGCGGGTTGAGAGACTTGATCACCGTGACTCATCCAGACCTTTAGTAAAGTAAATAAAAATTAGCAAAAAGAAAAAAAAGATGGGCAGGGTAACGTATTGTCTCGGTCAAAGAAAAAACTTACCTGAACTTCACCGTTCAAACCTTCGAAAAGCTTGTCAATGAAGGGATGATCGGGGTGCTTGGAAACGGTAAGCACGGCATGACCGTATTCACGGTGCTCGCAAGCTTCGACTTTGCCACCCATGTAAGTGGTCATTTCCTGGAGACCATAGCAAATACCGAGAATAGGAACACCGGCATCAAATACAGCAGGATCCACACGGGGAGCATCCTTGTCATAGACCGAATAGGGAGAACCGGACAAGATGATACCCTTGGGCTTAAAGTGGAGGTCGGCCATCTTTTGCGTGCAAGGCAAAAGCTCACAGTACACACCGAGCTCACGAATACGGCGAGTAATCAAGTGAGAGTATTGGGAACCAAAATCCAAAATAAGGACGGTGTCAAAGAGTTCGTTGACTTGCGTAACCTGCTCTTGCGTAGTCATGTCGAAAGGAATGTGGGGATGATTATCAAGGGTAAAGAACCACCTTCGGGTCAAACGAATAAATGATCTGTTTAAAAAAAAAAAAAAAATTGGCCCCGGTCACACAACAAGTCACGAATCATTTGTCATTTCTGCACGACACATCTGCATGCATGAGCGGGGTTGCGGTTGCCCTACCCGGCCATCCAAGCCACCTCATTATGGTGCCGGCACCTTTATCCTCCCAATAGGAAGAAGGCTGATTTCCAGATATTGTTGCTTCTTACCAACTTTGCGGGAAAAATTCTAGCACAAAAAACCATACAATATGAGTAAGCTTGTACCGTACAACACCTTATCCTTTTATATGCTCAAAATTACGGATCTAAATCAAAAATATTTGCCAAACTCACGCAAAACCACTATCTTCGAATGCAAAATCCCGCTATTTAGAAAGCGGTCAAATGGTAAGGAAAGGCCCAGATGGCAATAAGGAGATCTTCCTTAATGGTCATCGATAACACAAGCCGCTTATCGAGTTTTTCATATGATATGGGAATCAAAATAGATGACAGTGATCGAAAGTCTTGAAAAATTTACTGTGTAACATGTGTAACAATAGTCATCGATTAGGAAGGTTGTCTTGGCCGCAGTATTTGAACATCAACTCCATTAGTCCTTCACTCTGCTTTTGAACTGGGATTCGCAACTATTTACACTGATTCTCTGAAGTGAACTGTGAGGCAAAAGAGTAGAACGGCGGTCCAATGCAAAATGGAGCGTCTATAAATGGAGGGCAATCCATTTATTATTATAGGCGCCAGAATAGTCAATTCGATAATTTGGTGATTCCGACATGGTTAATGCAAAGAGCGCAATATATGAATGTTGATTGAAAGTGTATAATGTTGATATGATGGTGTTGTGTAAACATGGATAAAATGAGAGCTTCACTGTTCCTCTTGGTCTTCTTCATCTTCTGTCTCTTCTTCTTCCTCCTCCACTAAACCGTCTTCTTCCGCATCGTAAACGGGTAAACTGGTTGATTCGGCACATTTGATTTGCAGCGATCGTACATTAGGTGCTCCGCCTGGGACTGCAGCTACGATCTTTTCATACGCGCCCATGAAATTTTCAAATGCCTGTGTTTCGTTCTGGGCCATGGTGGCAATTTTGACGGCACTAAGAAGAAAGATGGGAAAATCAGTCACCGTGAATGACGGCAAATGCGACAGTAAGAAAAACAAAAACACGTACTATTGGGATCCTTTACGGAAATTCATGTAAGTTGATTTGACGGCTCGTAATACTTCTTTTTGCGTGTCCTTTTTAGTCAGGTCCACAGGAATGGGCTCTCTAAATTGACAAAAAGTCTGTCAGCGTCCAGGGTGGTTGCCGTTTCAAGAGTGACAAGAACTTACTTTCGCTTTTTATAAAATTCGAGCCCGAGAATTTGAGGTAATTTCTGGATCAGGCGCTGATCTGCCATCAGCATGTCATAGTCGTCCATCAATTTTTGCTTGGCTTCTTTCGTCGAGTGAAATTTACGCAGCTTGGTCAAACCAATGACTTTATGCACGCCTTTAACCTTTTTTTCCAAGAGTAACTCCTTATATTTCGACTGCGGATCTTCAGTGATTAAACAGCGCTGAGCTCCAGGAACTTGCGCGCCATGCTTTAAAATACTGTGGTCGAAATCGCGGTTAGTCAAGCTCCATTGTCGAAAAAAAAAAAAACTACTTTATAGCTTACATGCGCTTCGGTTCGCTTCTCACTTTAGCAATTTCATCAAAGGTAGCAATCATTAGCCACACCGTTTCTATTTTTTCTTCATGGTCATGCTTCTCCATGTATTTATACAGAGCTTTAAAGGCCTTGCGTGCCTAGGAACGTCCAACGATAAGAAAAATATTAGGATTCAATTTCAGTACTGTTTTCGGATGAAGGCTATTGACAAGCCATACCTTGACATCGCTGACGTTGATACTCATTGGATCGGGATTATGGGGGCAGGGAATATGCAAGGTAAATTGATCGAGGCTAAGCCTTCGGTGTGAGGCGGATGGACTGGCGGGAAGAGGATTGCCGTGACTGTTTATTAGGAGACCAAAAAACAACGAGTGAATTTGGCATAAGGCACCTGTTTCCCATCACTGGAATTCGTTTGACCTTGATCTTACCTCTGTTGACAAGACACCATGTCTCAAGATAATTTTCTCTTCCAAGACATCTTTGACATTAAGGATATTGATCCCAATGGCAAGCGATTCGACAGAGGTAAATGATGTTCTTTGTGTCACATGGTTATTATGGTGTGGCTAATCATGGAGCCCTTTCTTTTGCTTCTTCACAGTCGCTCGTCTCATTGCTCGTTCAGAAAACTACGAAATGGATCTGACGTTAGACTTTAACTCGGAATTGTATCCTTTGGAAATCGCTGACAAATTTTCGCTTGTGTTGGCGTCGTCATTATCTTTGGAACCCGTCACCAATGCCGGTGGTGTGGAGAAGCGTGAAAGCTGGCGTAAGCGTGCTCCCGGTGAGCGCGATCTCAGTGATGAATATGAATATGTCATGTTTGGCAAGGTATACCGATACGAAGACACAGCAAGCGGTACGGGTGCAACCACTGTAGCGGCTGGTCAACGCGTGTCGGTCTATATATCCTACGGTGGATTGTTGATGTGCCTCGAGGGCGATTATAGACATTTACAGAATATCACTGTAGGTGAAAATGTATATTTGTTAATGAGAAAATAGAAAAAATACAAACAGCATGGTGAAAAAGGGATGACACAGAGGAAAAATGCGCAGTGGAGCATGTGCTGGAACTTTTCACGGTTACATGGTAGAGAAAATCAGAGATTGGTTGTCTTATTATTGTTTGGAAACGTACCATGACACCGTGCTAATCTAGAAAAGGAACTTTGCTCCAATACTGATTTTGGGTGGGTACATCAAATCGCAAGATCCTTGTATTACAAGTGCCGTCATAGATTAAGGGCATCCAGTGGTCATGGTATTTCCAACAAATCTACCCACTGGAATCGATAGACGAGGCATAATTTTTTGGACGATATGAGACTGCTACGAGCCAAGATGTGATGGCCAAGAGCGGGGTTTGGAGTCGTTGGTCAATGAGCGGACTATCCGGATTTGGAGAGCGGCCGGCGGCAGCTTCCACAACAACTCTTTCCAGCGAACAACAACTTCACACAGTCTAGCCATCAGCTTTGTACATAGACACAATGGTAAAGAAACATGTCGACCGGCATGATATCTCCATTGATATGTGGTTATGTGGAAAAAAGTTTGGCTAAAACGCTTAGACATTTATGTAGGACTTTTTGTTTGGTCGAAGAAAGACACCGGCAGAGATGTTACGCCAACATCAGCGTAGCATTACCAAGGCACAAAGAGAATTAGACCGCGAAAGGGAACGTTTAGAACGACAAGAAAAGAAACTTATCATGGACATTAAAAAGTCAGCAAAAGCGAATCAAATGGTGCGTTCCGTAACCGCTCCTCATTCCGACCATGTAGCTTATATGCGGTTGTGGTTTCTTTGTTAGAGCGCTTGCAAAGTCATGGCCAAAGATCTTGTTCGCACACGTCACTACATTCAAAAGTTCTATCAGATGAGAACGCAGTTGCAGGCCGTCGGTTTACGAATCCAGGTACGGCTTACTGGTTTCAGGGTTTTGTTTTTACTACAGAGAGTAACATGATGATTGTGTTTCACAGACCTTACGTTCCAACCAACAAATGGCCGAAGCTATGCGAGGGGCGACCAAAGCCATGTCTTCAATGAATCGACAAATGAACTTGCCGCAAATACAAAAGATCATGATGGATTTTGAACGGGAAAGTGAATTAATGGATATGAAGGATGAAATGATGGGTGATGCGATTGACGATGTCATGGGAGAAGAAGACGATGAAGAAGAAAGCGAAGAAATCGTCAATAAAGTGTTGGACGAAATTGGTATCAGCTTGAATCAAGAAGTAAGTGAATCAGCCAAGCGCTTGCGTGCACCCAGTCTGACAAGCATGATTTTTCTTTCTTTCTTTCTTGTTACAGCTGGCAGAAACACCTACGGGCATCAAAACGGCTGCTCCGGTTGCTTCTTCGGGAGAACGTATTCCGCAAGCTGAAAGTATGTCGGCGGATGATGCTGCATTGCAGGCTAGATTGGATAATTTGAGACGTGAATAACGGATTGAAGGCATCCGCATTACGTTGATTTGGGTATCAATAATAAGCTTTTTTTTATCTCTCTCTCCCTCTCTCTCTTTTTTCCTTATCTTCTTTCATCACGTTTAAAAAGGACATGTACTATCGTCTACTGTTTATCACTTTTTTGTTCCCTTTTTTCTTTCTTTCAAAACGAGTATTTAATTATTGTTCCCCTTTTTTTTTTGGTTTATGGTGATTTTCGCGTCGTTATTAAAAATCCAACATGAGCTGATTCAGGATACGTTCCAAATGTTCTACTTCAATACGATTCTCTTGTACGGAATCATTCACTTCCGTCTGCTCGGCTGCGCGTTGCACCGCTTCTACAGGTCCTTGGTTAAAGCCTCGCATAGAATAACGTCCCAACATTCGATTTACCGGAAACGAACAAACGAAAGAATTCGCAGCACAATGTCAATGCATCTTTACTAGCTGTTTGGATAGTGAGGATGAGAGCAAAAAAGATTTACAAGCTGCAGATCTAACGCACATTGGCCGAGACATTACCTTTGGTGTTGGAGTCTTTCCATACCAGCTTGAAGATGGACTGCAACGTCTCCTAAAACCAATAACATTATAAGCAACTTTCACTTTCTTAGAATGACAAGACTACCCACTGGTGAAAACGTCTCAGTATCGGCATCCATTGGCAAAGCAAGAACAGCACAGCATCAGCGCTGCTTATGCGTGTTGCCTTGGCTGTGACTGCATTCGCTCAATCAAACCATTCATGCACCGCTCAGGCGTCCCGCCCGGATCATCTTGTTTTTGGACAGCTCACCGGGACATCGATTTGGATTTGACAAATATCAAAGCTTATTACACTTTTTCAGCATCTATGCCCGGATTCTTATTTCTTTTCCACCTATTTCGTGGAAGATCGTAACCATTAGTAGAGTATGCTTGTGGTGGTTCTTTTCTTGTTCTTTTTTTGTTTTTTGCGGCCAAATTTCCATTATCAATAGGCGACCAATTACAGTAGATAATGTTTTTATGATATCAGAATACGTTGACGTAAATCCTCACTAGGTGCGTTGTCTCCAAGGTAGCATTTTGAGTTGCTCACCGAGGATTTTGAAGGGCTTTTTTAGTTAGCCTGCAGGAGCAATTTTCTTGCCACCTGTAGCAAACCTGTGAACAAGGCAGCGAAATCAGTGCTGATTGGATCTTTTAATAAAGCTCTTATCCATCATTGAGCCGCATTGTCAACATATTCACACCTAAAAGAAGTCTATATGCATGCTTATTTGCTGCCAAGTTATATATGTCGCCTTGACAATGGTCACCTAAAATTTCGGGGGTTGTATCTGACAGAAAATGATTGTTCCTCAACCGATCAAAATAGTCCAAGTGAACTTAAAATATTGACATGAACATGGTGAGGGATTTTTTAATCAGGGATATCAATGCCTGTTATGGTCTCGATATTCATTCCCTGGAAACTATTTATATTACTGCACCGCTCATATCTTTTTATCATTAAACGGCATGTTTAATTAGCATCATTTTTATGCCTCGAATCTAATAATTCGAGTCAATAGACAGTACAGCAGATAGCCTACTTTTTCACATCGCTTGTTTTTCTTACATATAGCAAACCGTTCCTGGTTGAATGTGTGTTGAGGGTTAAGAAAGGAGTGGACAAGCTTATGTTTTTCCCTGTTGACTTGCCTTGATCCGGAGGCATTGGGGTTGCTTTCTCTTGCAACAGGAGTGACCAATGTTATTCTGGCTAGAGACGTCGATGTGAATCCTTTTTTTTTCTTTTCACTACAGACTCGGTAAGGGGTTCCGAAATTGATAGAAAAAGGATATTTTTCATGCACTGGTGCAAGCTGCCAGTAAAAGGAAACAGAAGCCACCCACAATCCTGAAAATGGCCTTTATTCGAGGGAAAGCACCAAAAAAAGAACCTTTCAATTTTTTTTTCTTTTTTACACAGCCATTAGCAGAATAAGGAGACACAAGGGATATCCAAGGAGATAGACATATATAAATCTCCCCTTTCTTTGGGTTCTTTAGCCCATTCTCCTCCGAAAACACATCGAATGGAGTGTTCCTCTTGCTCAAAAAAGGTCTATTTCAATGAAAAGATTGAAGCCAACGGTCAACCGTACCACAAGACATGCTTTAAGGTAAGGTGGGTTTGCTGCCATGGTTCTTTTGTACGTTTCTTGCTAATTCTCATGCGGCGCCGTCGTTGGTTTTTGTAACAGTGTATAGAGAAGGGATGCCGTTTGACATTGGCCAATTTCTATTATCATCACGGACAACTATTCTGTCCAAAACATGTCCCCAAGCTTCAGGCAGTAATCCAGCGTATGTAAGGATATATAACACTCATTACAAAAATCATCTTCTCCGGCTTGCAGCGTTTTATTGACCGTACAATATAGGGCCGTCGTCTCAGAATCCACCTAAATGATGAGTGTTTCTATGCCATCTTGTTCCAACACATGTTATTTTTGTTTTCTTTGTTTTTACTTTTTCTCCAATGCATGCATAATTGAAGAATAAAAGCCCAAGACCCCGACTATGGAAATGTACCACAAAAATCAATTAATTGAGCCTTCTGCGCAGTCCATTCGTTATTAAAAAATAGGCTTTGGAGAGCTTATTTTCTGGCAGTTGCTCATTATACCGCATTCACTGGCGTTTCATTTCCGCCTTACAATATAGTTTGCCGTACTCCTTAAGAGGTGGTTTTTTTGTCAGTACGATATTACTGGCTGTCATTGATATTATATTGCTAATATATGGTTTAATTTTCGTCATTCCCCATAAGAACAAAAATCTCGCGATATCAGATTGCAGATTGCTACTCATAGATTCCATTATTTTCCGTAAAAATATGCAAGATGTAATGGTTCAAACCCACTCTCAGCTGCAAATATATGCTTATACGCTATCAAATTTATTTAGTAAAAATGGTTAACCAATATCAGATGACGCTATATGGCAGTGTGTTTGTTTGTGTGAATGGGTGCGCTTCCGATATGTTCCCGGTGTTGGATTAACACGTGAAGACACACTTGTTCCAATCGGCGTTTTAAAAAAAATAGGAAACTATCGTCGTTCCTGAATGAAACACCGCATGTAGAACGTTAGTAACGGCTTGTCTAATAGACCCAACTGCTCTGAAAAGCATGAAACATGACTATCTGCGACAACTCGGCGTCATTGTTTTTTTTTTTCGCCCCAACTTATCACTTGACGCCACAATTCCATCATTTGATCGGTGTAGTTTAATATGAAATAATGCAATAAAGGAAAAAAGAAGGACATCTGAAATACATGCAGCTGCAATGATTGAAGACTAAAAAATTGGTGCATCTGAAAGACTAAAAGTAATGCTAAAAATGCTAATGATCGAAAAGACGGAGCGGAGGTCAAAGAGGATAACGGATGGGACAAAAAGGAGAAAGGGAAAATGGAAAACCAGCAGACGAGGGAATTCTCCAAGCGAGGATAGCGGTTATGCTTCCGTGTGGTGAATGCCATGCTTTGAATGAACGCGGTCCACTGGAAGATACACCAGATACACGACGAATGCAAAGTAACCAATCGTGAGCAGCACAAGCACAGGTGGCCACGACAGCTCTTTGAGGTAGCTGACAAACAGATACACATTGAATCCAATGACGATCCACGAGATCAACCAGTAGAGCATGTTGGCCCTTTTCGAATTTTTGAATGTCGATGTCATGATATTGGACGAAGCCGTTAATTTGAGAATGGGAATAATGGCCGTAGGAAGACATAAGCTGAATAAAATAAATGGGAGTACCATGGATCAATACAACCGGCCATCACAGATAAAAGTTTGACCAATAGTCTTTCGTTACCTCTGCAATACATTCAAGATTTCACCCATTGTATCAAATCGTTTGACGGCCAGTACGGCGACAAGCATACTGGGCACGAGGGCGATGGCGCGAGTAAGTGCCACTCGATGCCATTGTTTCTTAAAGATTGCACCAAAGAAACCCTCCACCACCTACAACCAGCAAATCCAAAAAAAAAAAAAAAAAAAAAAAAAAAAATGCAAATTAGATCGGTCACATTCAAGTTGTCGGGACAAGAGGGATATATTACATATTGGCCTGCCAAGGTGCCTGTCATGGTTGAGCTTTGACCTGCAGCGAGCAGACCAGCTGCCCACAAGTAGCGTGCACCTTCACCGAGGGTGCGGCGTAACACATCGGAAGCGTCATAGAGACCTGGCAATTGGAGAACATCTCGATCCGGTGCGTAAAACACTTGGGCAAACACCACAACAATGGCCAGATTAATGAAATACGAGGTCAACAGTGCTAGACCTGATTCCACAGCGAAATAAAAGTTGGCTTCCTTCTTTTTCTCCACTGTCGGCTTCTCTCCGAGATTGCGGGACATGACCAAGGCGCTGTGCAAAAACATATTGTGGGGCATAATCACCGCTCCCACCATACCAACGGCTTGAACCGTAGCTTGTTCGGGAATTTCTGGAATCAAAATGCCTTCCACAATATGACGTATGCTCGGGTGGGATGCAAACATTTCTGCCCAAAAGCATCCGACCATCACACCGATGAGCACCATGAAAAACACCTCGATTTTACGCACACCATACTGTTGCAGCCACATAAAAAGGAAGGTATCCGTGGCCGTGATCAACACGCCCACCCACAACGAGAATCCGAAAAAGATTTTTAGAGCGATTGCGGTTCCGATGATTTCCTGAATATCGGATCCAATAATCGCAAACTGGGTGAAAAGCCAAATCACAAATGAGATCGGTCGACTGTACGATTGTCGAATTAACTGGGCCAAATGATTGCCTGTCACTACACCCAGACGTGCACTCAAGATTTGGATGGCAAGACCTACGATCCCCGCATTGAGCGGTTTTTTTCCTCAGTTTGTCTTGTTCTGTCGTACCAATCCGGGGTAAAATGGCTACACATACCTGCCGCATGCGCCCAAAATAGTAACCAGAGTAACTTATAACCTGCGATCGCACCCGATTGAAGATCCGATTCAAGGTTTCCAGGATCCAAATAAGCGATCGACCTAAGAATGAAACCAAGATACATTGTCTCAATATCAACCCAAATTCAATTCTCATCATGATTGCATCTTCATGATATTCCACATTATCACTAGCAAAATCATACGACACTCACATGAGCCAACCTATGAAAAATCAAGAATGATAAAAAAAAAAATTTAAGTACAAAGGTGTATATGAAAAATTAAAGCTGCTCGTCGCTTACCAGGGCCGGTATACTGCATCAGTTTTGAGAAAGAGAAGCGTTGCGAGTTACTGTCTGCACCGGTGTCCACTTGACCTTTGACATCGACTTCAATGTCCCATTTGTTGGTGGTGGTATCGTTACTGCAAGCTTGATAGCACACAGTGGAATTATTGGAATGAGCGGAACTCGAACAATCGAGCAAACAAGAAGAGCAATCCACCATGGCCCAGTGACAATTGTGCAAAATGAGAAAGGGCTGTGCTTTATATATAAGTGGAAGACAAGAAAGAGGAGGCAAATTCAAGGGAAAGGGGGACGATCTGTTATTTAAGCGGCCATCTTAACACTAAAAAAAATTCATCTTCCACACTGACGTCAGAGACGAGAGAAGAAAAAACAAAGACCGCAAAAAGGGAACGAACTATCATGTTTTAACGACAAATACAAAATAAGGCGACATTACACTAAACTATGGATACAATATAAAAATATCATTTTACAAAAATAAAAAATAAACTAAGGAAACTGTTGAGTGAGAGAAATAAGAAAAACTATGCACCTTTAATACCATCCACGCTATATCTGCCAGTCGAAAACCTTGAATGCGCCGGAGTTACGGGGTCGTTACATCAAGGACTGCTCTTTAGCCAAACGTCGTCTTTCCATATTCCACTGATCGGTCTTCTCGCCTAGCACAATTGTGTCACGGCTTTCCACTTCCATATGCAGAATGACTTGATGATCACACCAAGCGAGCAATTCATCAAGTTTTCGACGGATATCCCACAGATATCGCTGCATAGGGGAATAATAGGCGCCCGTGTTATCGGCTTCATTGACGTATCTGCAGAAAATTTGGTTACGCTTGGGCCTTCTTTTTAGGTTGTGTGTCCAATGAGAACAGTCACTTACTTTTCAGGAGGCTGGATTGCAGGGAGTTTGGGATACAACTCGCGTGCTTCTTTGATCGCCTCATATGCGGTCTCTGGAAAATAGACCCTTCCTTCACCGAGATTCGATTCATGATTCGACTGACGCAGTTCGACGATAGCCTCCAAAATGGCTGAATCGGCTGCTTTCAATAATTCACGCACCTTTTCCAAAGTCTTGTCATCTTCAATAATCTATCGAGTTTCAAATAGGTTGAATAACTGGTCTCAGCTTTGAATCACCATTGTATTACCTGATTTAAGCTATCCTTGATTGTTTGAATCTCTTGTTTGCGATTTTCCAAAAAGGTTTCATCAATGGCAAGCTAACATAAAGAAATGAGGTTTTGTGCAACGCAAGGAAAAAATCACCAGTCCATTATTTACATTGTCCAACAACGTCGTCAAATCTTCACGGTATTTTTGAAGTGTTCTATAATCGACTTCATTCTTCTCGTTCTGAAACGCCAAAAAACAGTATCTATCGTCAATAACCGCACCTTATCACTGACATTGATGTATTTCACAAAGACTTACGGGTGTTTCCACGTCTTTGATTTGATCGTTCATGTTTTCCACTTTATCTCTCGCTTCCAACACCAATTCCTCGGCTTTCTGCAATCCTTTTCTAGCACGATCTCTTTCGGCTCGGATTTCGCACTATCCTTCATCATAAGAAGAGCGGTTCCGAGAAAAGCCAATATGCTACACCTACCGTAATAAGCAACAGAAACCACTGAAGACTCCACGAATCGAGATTCTTAATCTCTGCCTTCCAAACCGCTCTGTATAAAAAACAGAAAGCATTCTACATTATAACACGGTTCCAATGCTCAATGGATGATGCCAATGCGCTTACACTTTCGCTTCGGTCTCGGCCAACTCTTTGGTTAACGGCTCCTTGTCTTTGTGCATTTTGCGCAAAATAAGTCGAGTTTCGAGACAAGGACGTTCTACGTGAGCAATGCCTGCAATAGCGTGGGTCAATTCATCAATAGATTTAGCGATATCACTCGTTGCCGTGGCCATGATGAAGAAAAAAGAAGGTGGAGCTGTAATAGATACAGTGAAACCACGATTTTGGAGGGTTTATTTCATTTCTGTTCACACGGAGCTTAGAATTTCTGCTCACGTATTCTTCAGCAAACGCTGATATAATCTATAAAAAGCCCTGTCATATAAGTCGACTTTCCAAGAGAAACATACAAACCGTATATTCCTTTCATAGATTTTTCTATGACGTGCTTTGGAGTCCTTCTTTCACGATCACGCTAGGTGCAGAATTCCTTCACTTAATAGAAAAATGGAAAAGCACAGATTTCTTGCACGTGATCCCCTACTGGGAATCTGCGTTTTCCCGCTTTCCCGCCATATAATCCCCCCCCCTTTTTTTTTTTTTGGTTTACGTCCATAATCTTTTGTGAAAGATAGTGCTTGTTATAAACATCTCACTCGACAGAGAAAAGGATATATTTTCTTATGTAGTCCAACCTTGTTGACCAGTTCCTGATCAGTTGTGGAACGTACAAATTAAGCCAAATGGGGTTTTTATTCCTATTCCATCTTTACTGCATGAAAAAGCCTCAGAAGACACTTGACATTGACACTGCTTCCGCAACTGCTGTATACAGACAGTCAACGATTACAAATATTAAAAACTACCTGAAAATTAAACTACAAGAATCACGATAATAATTTCCTGCAAAACAGACGCTTGAATCAGTACAGCTTTTGGGTATCATAGTTTTCCGTTCCTGACATATTCTCATTTTCTGCCACAAGGCTGTGCTGCGAATGCTAAACGGCATTATATCTATTCTTTTTGTAAAAGTATTAGGTGTCACATCTTACCAAAGCAAACAAGCCTGTAACATAGGTGGATATCTCAATCTAGTCGTCCCATGTCACAAACCAGTTTCAATCGCTCATGCTTTACAGCGTTGGGTTTATACAGTACAAATTACAGTATTAGTGTGTCAAGATGAATTCAAAGCGATGCTTGTTTTTGGAATTCACATTGTTGTTCGAACAGTTCAGTCTTATATCCTTGTATTGTCTTCCACAGCAACCAACATAGGTGGATAATTACTCGACTTGCAAAAAGTCAATGTTCTTGCTTGAAGCGATATACCAAGCTCTGGAGTTTATATGCGAAGATATGCTTGCATCATATGTTGGTCGGGGACGTAATCGGATCAGCAACCATGTTCACAAGTCAAGGGACATTGTTCAAGAACAATCATGCTTTTAGGATTGTTGAAAATTACCGGACATGTATGGAAATAAAGAGCCAACGACCTGCTTTGTTGATGTGGTGGTGGGCAGGATTATCCATGATTGGTGTCTGTGCCCGATTCTGTCTAATAATGCTGGTTGGTATTGAGATGCATGGTGCTACTTCATTGTAATAGATGACTTTAGAGAGGACCGGAACCTGGTCCCTGCAAATTGTCTGTGTGTTGGCAGACTCCTGAACGACCATCGTCACGACTTTTCAATCCATGGGAAACCGTTTAAAGTTCCATTCAGCCCTATTGCATGACAACGAATGTCCTATGCAAAACTATGTTTTAGATCAAATTTTATTGTCATTCAAGTGGGGATCAAAAGGCTTTGGACAGTGCAGTATCATGTATATCTCCAAACCCGCTATCTACTTCACGTGACATGGACCGTATAGAAGTGAATGCGTAATCATCGTCGTCTTCTACTACGATAGCGGCATCATCTTCGAATGGATTCACATAGGTGGATTTGGAAAATTCCTTATTCGTATATACAGCTTCGTTGAGCATACGTTCAACTTGTGCGTTTTCTTCCAGTTCGATCTTTGGTTCAAACGATCCATGTAAACCTACACGCATCCCGTGAAAAACATACATGGCATCACGCTCGGAATGACCTAGTTTGGATTCACTCTGAAGACAGTGTTCCAGTACTTGCCGCGCGCGTTCTACCAGATCTTCTATTTCTTCCTCGTCGTAATTCTGATTGCATCCTCTTACAGAACTTCGTCGTCGTCGTCTTGAAAGATGCTGCAGCGCATATCGAACGGCAATGTGAGCTTCCATACCTCCGCGACGATGCAAATTTTGTCCGTCGCCAATCTGGCTTAGCTGGTATTCCAACTGTGACAGGAACTGGTTTCGAATATGGCAAGTCGGAGAAAGGACGAACAAGAGATAATTCAAAGTGTAGAGTCTATTGGTGATCATTTCCCATACGGCGTTCATTTCATCGGCGGACAAGGTTATGGTGGATAATGACAGGGACGGTTTGGTGGAGGGTATGGAAAAGAACATCGACAAGGTTTGCTTGATCCTAGCCGCCATGAAGAATGCTCGGTTTTGGCATCGTTTATCGTTGAAAAAAAAAGCTCCAAAGACATCTTCATACATGCCACTTTGGGCTTCTTTGGAGATCATGCGCAGTGTCTCTGAAAAGCTGTAACTGTCTTTGTTTTCGGTTCGCTGGTTGCATAAAGCCGATGGCGAACGGCAGCCGGATTGGTGGTGAAAAGGGTCGATCGAAGCGACCGCTGGATTAGAAGTTATTGCAGATGGTGGGTCAACCGGTGTATTAACGGTAGACGATGCTCGACATTTCAGTGATGACAGTTTCATAGATCGTACACCGGAAAGCTTGGAGGAAAGGGTCATTATGGGATTATAAATAATTTACAAGAAATACAAAAAGGAAAGGGTAAGAAAAAGAGGGAAGGAACGAGTATCTCCTGTAAGAGATAAGAAAAAAGGCCAAGTTCAAAAGGAAATGTAAGAGATGAAGAATGAAAATCGGTGCTGAAGGGGGTCAGAAGTAGGATGATTCGCTACTAAATAAAGACAATCTGGAGAGTCCAGACACGTTCCCTTGGGTGCACATCCCACCCAAGAATAGAATCCCAAAACCCGTTTCCAATTCCGTCCACTTGGAAACCGACGTCTATTCCTTTCTTTTGACGAATGAAAAACTTTTTTCGCTGAATACAAAATCGAAAACAACGAAAAATAGGACAAGTCAAACAGTGAATATGATAGTTTATTATTAGTTTAGTTTAGATGGGGTATGCTGACAAGAAAAACAAAAAGGAACCGAAATCTAGTTCAAAACGATGTGAAGATGAAAAAAAAATTACCTAGATTTGGTGGCTGAAGGGAAAAAAAAAATGTCATGCGAAGGAACTTATAGGATGGATCCAAGAAAAAAAAAAAACCGGAAGCCCCAGTTGATCAGATCCTTGGCCAGTTTTTTCTTTCCCTCAACTAAAGGTATCGGGAACACTGGCCTTTTTTTTTTTTCCAACAGGAGGCTGCCTTGAGGAACGAAAGAGCCGTGACCAGTCGCCAATATAAAACCGAAAAGAAAATGGCGCGGCTTCTTGGGCCATTGCGGGAGTTTAATCACAATGTGTGATTGTTTTCTCCGCTTCGGTCATCCGCTGTTGCAGCCAAGTGGCGAAATTGCCACATTTCAGAAATTGGGAGTAAAATTCTTTGATGGGATCCACTGTAGAAGTGCGCGTTTTAAAGGTTGATTTGAAGGGTAATGGTGCACCGTGTTCTTTGAGCGATTTCAGGAACTCGTCGGTGCGAAAGGGTCTGAGTCGGCGAGGGTAAGTGGTACTGTGCACAATACTTCAATGAGCTATGAGCCAAAAATGGATACAGTAGGTCGCCACGACTGTTTACCTTTTGTTGGGAATAAGTTCATTAAAGTAACGATCCAATGGAGCTAAAAATTTCTCGGTGAGATCCAGAAAGTGGCGTCTGAGAATATTGTTCAGCAGCCAATCTATTTATAACTCATGTCAAAAAAAAAGCGATCAACGTTTTAAGCAATGTTTCTGTTTTTGTATTTTACCTGGAGGGTGTCCGCGTACCGCGGCTTCAGTAAGCATCCTCAAAATTTCACGATCTTTGCTCAATACCGATTTACGTTTTGAAGTAACACCCTGACATTCATGGGATGAATCACGCCATGATTAGAATAAAAAATCCAAGGCAAAAAAAAAGTAACGAGCATCGTCTGCCTGCCTACCTGGACGAAATCAAAAATAATATTTGATCTGGACCCCAAGCCCGCTTTGGACTTTCGTGAAGAATGCATATGGTTATTATGTGCAGTGATTAAAGTGCCATCTGGTTTACTAACAAAAAGCATCGTGCGTTGAATATTCGGATTTTTCCTTTTTGATACATTTGGACGTATCAACACTTACCGTAGTTGTTGCCGTCCCACGCGCACAATATGCGGCCAGTGCTCAATGGCAGTATTAAAGAAAGGATTTGTGACACCCAGTATTAAGTTGCACGGAGGCTAAAAGTGTGTGGAGTTGGTTGATACGCGCCACATTGAGCCAAATAAGAAGATGCGTACCTTGTTTTTGGTGACAAATGATTTAAAATCCGAGTCTTGAATGGTGAAATAAGGACGGTAATCGCCACAATAGGGTATCTAAAAGCAATCATTAATACCCTTCTCTCAGCGCATACATTTCTCTAAGCTGTGAGCCCATACCGGAGCAATCAAGTCAACTAGGCAAATGACGGCTTCGCTGCACACACCAGGATCCGGGGCCATTACGACAATAGGTTCACCAAGGAGCACCAGTTCCCACAATAACCACAAATCCTTTAAAATATCTTTAAAGTGATGGTATAGTGCACCCACCGGCAACGACGCCATAATCTATTCCCAAGAGGCGCAAGACTCAGCCGACTGTTGCTTTTTCAGTTCAACGGTGATCATCCCTTAACAATTTTTACCTGAAGATCCGGTTGGTGGCGATTCATGTCAAATGGGCTGGTTTCCAAAAGCTGAGGTTGCAACGATTGCGGTAAATCCACTTGTAGTAACCGACCAAGAAACGGCAAATCCAACATTTGGCCTTCCTCTGGTGGATCCCTGCACATTGGGTTTGTTAGTTTTGCTAAAGGGTTTCCTTTTTTTTTTTAATTATTTACCAACTGCATATATTCATGCATGCTGCTTCCAGCATGGGTTGACCCGTATCGAAAAAGGCCGGTCCCAAAAGTGCCACAATGCGAGAGAACAATCCGACAAACGGATGTTGCGACAGTAATACCAGCGATTTCTAAAAAGGAAATGAAGATCAGTCGTGACCTTTTCAATAACCAATGTGATCTTACTTGAAAATATCCTCGCCGGATCGTTGGATCTTTCTTTTGTCTGAAAAACACATACCCGTAGAGGAACCCCGCGTTCGTCGTAGGTCCTGAATTTCGAATTTTATCATCATCAGTCATTCGATTGCATACCATCACGATTCCCCGATTCTCCTCCCTTTCCAACGATTCGTCCCAGTTTTTGGAGCGGAGATTGCTCCGACGTGGACCGTACATGGATCACGGCTTTCATTGTGACTTACCGGATACTGCAAATTCGGAACTCGTGGCACGTACGCGAATGTTATACACCTGATCTCCCACTTCAAATACGTTGGAATCAGGAAATGCCGAAAAGCACCTGCCGTAAACCAAAAATATCAGTCACATTGCTTCATCTAACCTCTACTCATCCGCCATATCCATACACGTTTTTTTGCTCGGCTTCCGTTAATTCCATAGGCGGATACACATAATCCATGGCTACGCGAAAAGAGTAGAGTTGAGTCAAAGTTTTCAGAGGGACCAAGGAGAGTGCATTTACCTTGTCCGATCTCGAGATCAAAGTTGACGACACAGAAACCGACTATCCACTTGCGGAACCGCTTCAACTCTTCCGGATCTAGCTTAAGCATGGTGTCTTTTTGGTTTTCAGTAATGTCGACGTCCGATGTACGATGGCGTGAAGGTCGAGCAGGAGCGGAAGAAGCAGATGTCGGTCTGGCAAGTGGAGCACCATAGGTACGTTGCGAAGGGGATGCTGAAGCAGGAAGAGGTGCGATGGCAGACACGGTATCTTCCAGTAGGTCTGGTTGTGAAGTTGAAAAAAGCGGGCGACTAGGTGTGGGTGCAAGAAAAGACGAGGAGGCTTGCTTTCGTAAAGAGTTGTTCCATGTAGGTGAGTCGCTTATATCGGCTTCCTGGTGCAAGCTTGCGGTATCAAATTGAGAGTGATAGTGAGAAGGAGGAGGAGAAGAAGAATAGGTGGGTGATGCAGGAGCGAAGGGTCGCTGATCAGCTACTCCGGAGTCTATTGCAGACGATGTACCTGACAGCGACAGATCTGACTCCATAGGAAGCAGAGGAACGATATTTGTATATATGATAGTTCGAACGACGATCAGAGAGACGCCAAAAAAAAAGAGAGAAGAAGCAAAGAAAAAAGAAAGGAAAGCGGGGGTTGGAAGTCCAGTTTGAATTTGGAAAAGTGCTGAACGGATGCGTGGGATCGGGGTCCCAATTTGTTCATCGTATATTGCTTTTTCAGAGATCTGGAAAACATCCAAACTTTGCACCTTTTGGTCAAAGCGTGTCCTCCTTTCTCATCGTCGCACCTTACCATCTATTGGTTCCTCTATTCAATCTCCGGCCCTTCCCTTCCCATCGCCCTCATCTAAAAAACCCTCTTTCAGAACTGCTCACTCAAACCATAACAGCTCCTTTCACCCTACATTTATTGTATCAGCATTGTTTAGTTAGCATTAGTCTTCTATGTTCTTGAAATAAAACGAAATGACGTGACGCAATGTAATGGTATTTTTTCAATTCCAGGTCTTATTTTATAGATCCGTGGGACCCACAAGCGGACAACTCTGTGCATAAGGTTTCTGCAGCTTGCTACAGTTTAGTCAACTCATTCAGAAATTGTGGATGCAGACAAAAGGTTTGAAATTCTGCAGTTGCCGACATATATATGCACTAGAATTTGTTTTCCTCCAAAAGCTCAAAGATCGCTGGTCCTCACCACTTCGTACAAAACTGAACGCGAAATAGAATCCGCTTATACCGAGCCTAATACGTGCTCGGTAGGACGCAGCAGGCTCTTTGTATGTCCAATATTGGGATTCTCTGATTTCACGAACTATCAGTTCAGTGAAATGAATAGCCGGCCGTCGTAGTCTATCGGCCCTAATCCCAATTTAGGCGCAAATCAAACGTCTTTCAAGGATAAATAAAGTAGTGTTGCCTTACGTAAAGTTGTGGAAGCTGTATGGAAGAGTGACAAAAACGTTATCCTTTATCTTTTATACATGACCATCAATTTCTATTGCAAAATGGCACACTCCACCTGCTATTGCGGATATTGAAATAATGCTTGGTTTCAAAAATATTGTTGGTTGCTTGGTGTTCAGCCAATCAGATCATCCCACCAAATAAATTGTTTTTGGGCGTAGAAAACCCTTCCTTCTCAATTTCCCTCGCGCTTGTATCTTTTTGTTCATCATCACACCATGGCATCTTCCGACGTAAAAGACCAAGTGAAGGAAATTGTTGAAGCTCCCAAGCAATTTATGAAGGACGGTATGCAGTTCATTAACCGCTGCAAGAAGCCTGATCAGAAAGGTAAATTCATCGTTTCTGTTTCCTCATGCCTTGTACACGAGTCATTCAGTCAACTCATGGATGCTTTTATTATTCTAGAATTTCTTAAAATCACACAAGCTGTGGCCATGGGTTTCGCAGCTCTCGGTGCTTTGGGATATTTTGTCAAGGTAAAAATGCAACCACCCCACTTTGTCTTTATCGGAGGTAGAGAGAGGAAGAATAGGAAGTAGAGAAGGATTGGATGCGTCACGTTCAAAAGATATGTGGTGTACACATATAGAGACGATTTTATTACGAAAAGTGGTAGAATAACGTGAAACTGTCGTCGGTCAAACTTGACAAAGCGCGTTGAGAGGTTGGAAGGGTGTGCGGTGAGGCGAACAACGCCGGAGAAGGATGTGAAGGACCAAAAACAGGACTCGGCAGTGTTATTAATCGGTTTTCTTCTTTTGTGTGTAATAGCTGATCCACATTCCCATCAACAACATCCTCGTCGGTGCTGCATAAATCCTGGAAGTCTTATATACGCTGTCACCTTTTTTTTTTCCGTTCATCCACACTCTCTAATTGTTCCTATTGCCAACTCTTTTGGAAGCACAGTCACGCCATTAAGCGAAAAATAAAAAATATAAAAAAACCCTAAATCATCTTTTGACATTTTTGTATCTCTAGTTAAAAACATCAATATGGAGAAGCAGATCCTCGAGGTAGTTTCCAAACTAGAAAACGTAAAGTACACATCACTCATCTGAGAAATGCGCTATTAGCTTTTAGAATTCTTGCATCAGCCTAGCTTGGAGGTGAGCACAACGACATGATCAAATAAAACGGAGATCATTAACCACCTTGAAAAGGTCCGCGCCATTGCCTTGCATCACATTGTACCTTATACCGCTAAAACTTCGGAATATCAACCCCTCCTTATCAGCAACCGAAAAACCCTTTGCAAGGATTTGAAAGCTCTTGTCCGAGAGGATCCCGTATGTATTCGAAAAAAAAAAAAAACGTATTCAATCTGTCATCACGACATTGACCTCGTTCAGTAGATCACGGCCCACGATGCCATCAAAGGCCTCATCAATCTTTCGGGCGATCCTCGGGTACAGGAAGAATTAGACGATGAAGATTTCATCAAGTACTTGGCTCTTCTTATTACCGTAAGTCATTTAGCGGAAAAAAATTTGCATCATTGGATGCCGGGCACTGATGAATACATTATTTTGGGGTTCTTAGATTCCCAAATCGGTGACAGCGGATGTGGCCTGCATGCTGTTATCCAACATGACCAAGTATGAACCCGTCTGTGTAAAGTTGATCAACGCTCAAATCAAGCCTTTGCCGGAACTCACAAAATCTGATCGCTTGATGGATCATCTTGTCGAAGTATTTCATCGTGGACACAAAAAGGCCTACAATGATCAAGCAGAGTTCCACTTTTTAGCCAGCGTATTCTCGAATGTCTCAACTGTAAGTGCCATATGAACAACTTGCATTTTGCAATGTCATATTCTTACCATCGGCGGTTATGCATTAGATTCGACTCGGTCGCGTCTACTTTCTCGAACCTTCAAAGGATGACGGTACGGCGCCTTTGACCAAGTTGCAGATTTTCACCGAAGATGGGAATGTCATCCGTCGTGGCGGTGTTAACTGTACGATTAAGAACTGCTGTTTTGAAACACGACAGCACGAGAAACTCTTGCACGCCGATGAACTCAATACTTTGCCGTTTATTCTTCTTCCGTTATGTGGCAATGAAGAATACGATATGGAAGAGTTTGAACAGTTCCCTGAAGAAATCCAATTACTTGATGACGACAAGAAACGCGAAACTGATCCTGTGTTGCGAATGATGCTTTGCGAAGCCTTGGTCTTACTGACCACCACACGTTTCGGCCGCGACTACTTGCGCGAAAAGCAAGTCTACCGCGTCATCCAACGCTTACATGCGGCAGAAACAGATGAAGATATCAAGGAAAAATGTGTCTCCATTGTCGATATGCTCATCCGTGATGAAGGCGCCCCAGAAATCAGCGAAGTCAAAGAAGAAAACGAAGAAGACGAAGATGAAGATCTCATCATTGAAGAAATCGCATAAATTTACCTGTAAAATTGTACAAAGCATCCAATAGAAGAAATGGTTTTTTTTTATTTATTTTTTTTTATTCAATCGTCCGACAGAGGCCCCTACGGCGTGCACGATGTAGGCTCTCAACATCATCTCCCTCCCCGCATGCTGGCTGTGATTGCGTTAACACACCTGTGCAATGTACTACATGGCTTTTTACATGTCGCAAAAAATATATATGATGATATTCTACAAGATCCAAAAAAAAGTGTACAAGGAGAAATTTACAAGGATAGGAAACGTCTAAGCTGTAAACATTGAATAAATTACAAAACGAGTGTTGGGGGCAAATTCAGACTTTCTGTAAGTTGAGTTAATTGAGCATTATCAGTGATGCTGTCTGGTAGGTATTGGCTGATCAGCGACAACCCCTTGTAGAATGCTTGAATGTTTAGTTCCGCAAGCAACTGTTCAAAAGCGCAAACATTAGAAATTTTCCTCATACGGTTTTGATTATCTTATCTGACTTCAATCACTCACCTGTAAATCGCCTGCAACATACTGCTTTAAAAATTCATCGTCGCCCATGTTTCTGTCTTTGCCATCCGCATTTTCAGGGTATCCATACATCACAATAGCTTGGTAACATCGGGCAATAAGAGATAGACGATCCATCAGTTGTTTCTCCATGTCATTGGATTCGGAGCTTAAGCGACTACAACCTTTACATGAATACCACTTTGTCTCTGCATGTTTCGTGCTACATTGTTACCTGATGATATAGGACCACCAACGCATTCCTATGAGATGCCGCCGGCTTTTGCTGTATTTATGGGTGATGCAGCCGATAAATCGAATCAATTTCTGAACAACGGGCTCGTTCTCTTGGATTTCCCAAAACGTCCCCATGATTACGTCAAAGGGATCTTTGGTTTTATCCATGATAATTCCATCCACTGACTCGTGCTTCTCTACATTCACATGCGAATGTTCCAGTAATAATCGCGACGCAATATTACGGATGTGAGGACCAAGACTCGGTGCTAATGTCTCAGCAGGAATGGCCTAACATCATAGAAAACACATTAGACCTCCCTGTTGTAACATATAATACAACGGTGTAATTACCATTCGAAGATAGACGGCCAGGATCTCTTTCAGACTACGTTTGGCGATAATGAGTTGCACCTCGTATTGCTCATCGTCTTCCGAGGTTGGACCCTTGTTAACAGCCAGACACGCCGATTGAAATCGTTGCAGCGAATCACCAAAAATCCAATAAGATTGATTCGACTGTAAGCTTGGCGTAACCTCCTCTTCTTCTTCACCATGTTCTTCAAGATCTTCATCCCAATCCATGGCTGCTTCGGCAGCCATTACTGCCTCTTCCACCTCGGGTGCCTTGTCCGCCAAAGCTTCCTGCTGCTCCGCGTGTTCCGATTCTTCCACAATAGTATCCTCCACAGAAGCTTCATGCAACGGAGCAATTTCTGTGCTTGCCGCATTCGGGGTAATTTCCATGTCCGTCACGGTTGTTTCTCCCTTGTCAGCCGATGCCACCGGTGCAGACTCTTCTGACGATTCTATGATTCGACGCGCAAGGTGGCAAAAAAAAAAATTGTTAAAACGCGTTATTTATCCAGGTATCAATCATGGATCGCGTACCCATATCACCATACAGAAAACGATCTACGTCCTCATCTTCCAGATGTTCGCGAGTATCCGTCCCCGGTGCTGATGGTGGTGGTATAGACGAGCCATCGATGACATCGCTTTCTGCAAATTCTGCATCACTGAGTTTTTGCTCAGTTGGCTGCTCTGCTACTTCCACTGTTGTTGAAGCCGGAAGTGACTGGGGTGTGCTAGCGTTACGAGGTAAAGTTCCAGGTATCGGTAGTTGATCTGGTTCGAGAAAATCGCTGAAAAGTTCTTTCATGATCAGGCGCGTATCGTCGTTGACGGATGGACATTTATAAACAGGTGTCAGACTCCTGCGGAAAGGGTTCCCCCATTGTTAGACATACTGTGCTCAAACCGACAGACCAAGCTTTCGTTATTACCTGATCACGCCTTTCTCAAGCATAATACGCATGCCACAGGCGATAGAACGCTTCATGTATTCCCTCATGGGTGGATAATATTCGTCCATTGAGAATTTCAGAAACTCAACAAGGCTCGACGTGATGTGAGGGTATCTTTCAGCTGATCGTTCCATTAAAAGCATGGCAGGTTCTATGGCTCGCGTTAGCAGCAGGATTAGGGTCACAGCTCAATACATTCATACCAATAAACATCAGATTATCCAAAGCCGTAAAGAATAACCAATCATAGATTAGGGCTGTTTTGACATTGGCGGTAACCACAGGACTCTGAAAGTATAAAAAGTAATTTGGAGATAAACATAAGATGACGGTTTACAATTATGACAGGTGGTTATGGAGGAAAAAGGTTTACCTTGATAGCTCGTAACATACTGCCAATAATGACATAGCGTGGTACAATGTTACTTTGCAATATCTGGTTATTCGGATACCAACCTGCAGTGATATAACGAATAACATCGACAAAAAAGGGTTCAGACTCTGTCGTTGATAAATAACGTTGGATAAACCATGAAAGATTGCGTTGATACGCATTGATCCGTAACTAAAAAAAAATTATGTAAGTAACCCAGTAGTAATAGCTACTTGACCAATACTTTGGTCATCCTAACGAATACGTACATTTTGGAGGATAAAGAGAAGTTTATGTTCCATGTCCGGTGTAAGGCGACTTCGCAAAAATTCTTTGGGGGTGGCAGACTTTAGTAGCATATCGATGCCTATCTCGAATCATGAGCATATTAAAAGCAAGAGTATGCACAGTGATCCACCTACCCGTAAAATGCGAAGACATTTTTTGAGGTGCATTCAATATATCATCCCATAACTGGGTAATTTCGGGGATACCTGCCACGTCGTGTAGCAAACGGACCAAATCTCGTCCAATCGCACAGCATTCCATCCACTACAACTGAGCAATGAATATCTGTCATCCCTGTGAATTTTTCTTCAAAAATCATACATTACCTTTTCTCTCAGCAGACCTACAACGAACCGAATCTCTTTCTGTTGCAAAGCCGCCCACTGCTGCCCTCGATGATCACTGATGAGTCTTAAGAATGTGTAAGCAGCGGTAGCAACCACACGGGGCAACATGAATAGCCATCGTCGATGGGTATCCAGTAACTTGAGAATGTGTTCAACTAAGAGAATATTGTGCTGACCAGTATCGCCGCATTTGATCTGACGAAAGAGACACAGGTACAAGGTATCGATGTTGGGAACGTCAAGACTCGTCAGCTCGTTCATGATCCAAAACATCTAATCAATCGTGTCAATTTTAAATCGTCTTCCTTGCCCAAATCAAAGCCCATTACCTGTTCCTTGGTACGGAGTTTTAGGCTCGAAAACCGTAATGAGATGGATAAAATATGCAATTTCTGTATGATTGTAGCAAAATTATCTCGGTTCACAAAGCTGAGGCATTGAAAATGCTGTAACAGTACGTATTTAGCACAAACTGCTAGCCGCATAGATTTATGAATCGTACCTTGCGTGCCAGTGGAGGTTCCGTCAAGGCACCATATAGTAAAGCCGATACAGTCTCGTTGTAATCTCTTTTGCTTTGCGATACCTGTAGACTCAAAGATTCAGCAGCAAGTCCATTCAATGCGCTACTCTAATTAACAGTGTACCTTATCTTGAAGGTAACTGTGGAGTTCAATATCCGTCTTGTCTTTGGCTGCTGCTTTGAATTGCGCGTAATAGCGAGCTAATTCCTGTCAAGGAAGAAAACATGAACCGTGGACGATCAGCCGTTGTTTCGTGCATCATTCAAGTAAAATCGACATCGTACCACTTCAAGCTCATCTTCTTGATCGAGAACATCAAAGTCGAATAATTCCAAACCCGAATTGCCGTGAGGATCCATCCCAATCGTCTCAAAATCGTGGATTCCAAACGACGGAAAAGGGATTTGAAGACAAGCCTAACGCTCGCGCACCGTCATTGGCCAGATTTTTAGCAAACGTTGATTGGCCGAAAATCGAGCTGTATTATCATTGCAGCAAGCCATGAGTGACCAGAAGCAGAACAAAAAAAAAAAAAAAAGTTGCTATGTCCAAAGAAAGTAATTAAAGCTGTGGTAATAGAAAATGAATAGTTAAGCATATAGAAAAGCGCTCAAAATTTAAAAGTTTTCTGCGATATATCAATTCCTTTCGCTAAACGGTTGGAGGGGCTTGGACATGCAAATGCCCAGCGTTGTTCAATCTGTGATTCGCCGAGTGACGATATACCAACAAAGTTGTGTTACTGACGCATATTATGTAAACAATCTCTGTCTGTGGGAACCCTCATATTCGCTAATAGGGAACTGGGTTTCTTTTCTACATGCCTGAAAAGTCAAAAAGTATCTTGTGTACACTATTCTGAACAACGACCCCAAGCCCGCGATAAGTTTGAAATAACCTCCTGATATGCAAGAAAGAGGATCCAGATCAAAGCCAGAGAAAGCTTAGATGCTATAAAGACAACATTTTTATTATACTTTACCACGGCAAACCTTGTGCGACTTGGTTAATCCGTGTCAGTGGATTAGGCTGACAATGTTTTTGGCTGTGTGCAACATTGACTGAGCCCTTATTATATTGCAGGACCCTGAAATCTTTTGCATACCTAAATTTCCTCGATTTTTGTGGCTCCCTCTTCTTTCTTTTTTTTTCTCTTACACTTGCTCATATAGTTATCAATCAATTTATGACTGGATCAGATGAGCGAACGAGTCTATTGCCTCCAAGCATAGATGAGTCATCCAAGGACTCCTGGGAAGCTTTGCGCAAATGTGCACGACCGTTACTGGCGGCTAATTTCATGGCGATTGTCAGTGGACTGAATGATGGCAATTTGGGGATTATTCTTCCAGAACTCAAACGCTATTATGATATTCCTGATCAAACGGTCTCTCTGTTTTTCCTTTTCAATGCTGTTGGTTTCTTTTCCGCGGCTGGGATGAATGGATATTTAGTCCATCGTCTGGGGCAACTTGGTACCGTCTATTTAGGCTCCTGTCTCCTGCTTGTGGTGTATATCCTGCTCATGAATGGGTTTATATTTCCTGTCATGAGTGTCTTGATGCTGTTCCAGGGCGCAGGGGTCGCCTTGCTGGATGGCGGCATGAACGTTTATGTGGCCAATGTGCCCATGGCCACGGTCATGCTGAATGTCTTGCATGGTAAGACGAACAGATGGCCGGTGAGAAATGGAGGGGTTGAATAATCTTGGTACTTACAGTTATTTCTTGATGTTAGCTCTTTATGGCGTTGGAGCCATGTTAAGTCCTCTTGTTGGCACGACCTTGCTATCTTACGGGTTGTCCTGGAGATATATCTATGTATTCCTTGCCGGAGTGGCTTGCTTCAACTTGATCTTGGTCGCCGTATGTTTCCGCAGCAAAGATCTTGAAAGCGCAGAAAGCGAAGATCCAAAGATCGATAACAGCACAGTACGTCGGGACGCTCTTATGAACCGGATGACCATCCTTGGCGCAGCGTATATTCTCGTTTATGCGGGCGTAGAAGTCACGATGGGCGGCTGGAGTTACACTTATTTATATGAAGGGCGTCACGGTGATCGCATCGCCATGGGTCGAGTCACCGCAGGTTACTGGGCAGGATTGGCCGTCGGTCGTCTGGTGCTAGGATACCTCGCCGGAAAATTTGGCGAAAAAAGAATGATTACACTCTATACCACCATCACCGCCGTTCTACTCGTCGTTATATGGATCGTACCCAACGTTTGGATAAGTTCTATTTGTAAGTGCATTCTTGATGACTCCATGATTCTGTCATCATTTGACCTTTTTTTTTTTAAAAAAAAAAAAAAATCGCATTATAGGTATCGTATTGACTGGGTTTGCTATTGGCCCGATGTTTCCTACAACGGTGTCATTGGCCTCCAAAGTGCTCCCTAGGAATATGCATGCCACGTCGATAGGGTTCATGTCTGCTTTCGGGGCCGGAGGAGCCGCCTTGTTTCCTTTCTTCACCGGTCAATTAGCAGGCCATTATGGCATCTTGATTATGCCGTTGACATGTCTGGTGATGGCAATAGCTATGCAGCTTATTTGGGGATTCATGCCCTCAGAGCATCAAAAGTCAATAACACTACGATCGGCTCAGTAATGATTTGCCAACTGAAAGATCGTACATTTGCAGCCTCACTGTCTTTTGTAATAGTTGTGAGCATCAAATCATTGGGTATCACGCTAAGCTTTTTCAACTTGGCTCGCTCCAAGAAGCTGCTATTATCGGGCCCAAATGTATTTGTATAGAAACTTTTCCTTGTCGGTTTCCAATTGTTTATACTTCAATGAGCATCACGAGATCTGATTGAAAAAGGTCATAGTGTGTCTCTGATTCAGACGTATGTTGATGGAAGCAGATGTTTTCCATCACTGATTTCATAATACATCTGCAAGGGCGAGCTCCACGCGCTGAACACGTTCACCCAAAGCTCGGAAGCCGACTAATGAATCAGTATACATCGCCAACCGAGAAGCTTGCATACTTGTCGTCTGCTCAGAAATGTCAAAAAAAGCTCAAAGGATGGAGGCTTCAGTCTGTGAAAACTCTCCAACAGGAACAATAAAGTTTGGAACAAATGAGGCTTGTAACTAAGCGACGGAGCAGAAGTCATGACCAGCGCATACCAGGCAGGCTTGCCACAGATAAAACGCTGGCAACCGTTACAAGTCTCTGCCACTTCGTTGAGCGAGATAAAAACTTTTGGAAGCACTGATGTGTTAATCCTCACTCGCTCTAGTTATTACCAGAAATTTGCACTCTTTTCCCTTGACAACGGTCCAGAACTGCTCATTTGAATACAATCCAGGAACATGTGGGCCAAGGGTACCAACGTTAATTTGCGACGATTTAAGATGCGTTCCTATTTCGCTGGAGCATCTTTGCGCCAAGTTCACAGTAGAAAGTTTATTTTTCATTTCATCAATAGTAGATTTTGTATGATCGATTGGGTTTGTAAGAGTCCGTCTACCTTCCTTGCGGTTGAATAAAATTGAATCGCAACAAAGAACAAAGGACTCTGGTCAATCTAGGATATCCTTGTTGACAGAAAACCGGTAGAGCGGCTAGCTGCCATGAGGTATATTGGATTCCTAAGGAAAAAAAACATCATCCTGGAAGGAGGTCCCTCTATTTAAATTTTTTTCGCCCTATCATTTTTCGCCGTCACTTTTAAACGGAGTGGCAAAAGAGAAATGAGGGGGATTCCATATTTTGACGTTCTATCCAACGAAAATGCTAACAGATCGCAGAAACTTTTTAATTTTTGTATTGATTGCTGGAAAGATTTGTAAAAAAGAAAAAGACATCTGAAAAGCGATGATGTTACTTGATTGTTTATTTTTTTTTTAAAAAGAAAAATTTAAGATGCATTGGGATGATGGTATTCTTTAAATGACGGGTCCGTTTAAAGGTGGAGGATTTTCTGTGGGCATCTGCGACATGGATCGCTTCCATGCCACGCGAAGCTGAGGTCTGATGGATTCTAATTGGGCAACGAGTTGTTCCCATGCTTCCATATCACGATCTTGCGCATTGCCACCAATTTCGAGCAACTTCAACTTGGGAACCCCACCTTGTTGGAGAATTTGTACCATGGCTTCCAAATCTTCGACCTTCATACCATTGCAGCCCATATCCAAAGTCACCACACCGCTTGTCTCGAGCGTCGGCAACAGATCTAATGATGCACCAAAACCGCCCACTTTGTTACTGAACAATCCGACATATTCAAAGGAGGTTTCCAGCAGAGCTCCTAAACCGATGGGGCCAATGGTGTTTTCGCCCAATTCAATGGTGCGCAGTGACTTGAAATTTGCCGCAAGTGCAATGGCACCATCATCATCAATTCTGTTGTTTCGCAAGCGAAGTTCCACCAGAGCACTGTTTTCCAATTGGCCTAATTCTGCCAGTCCACGAACGTCAATACCGTTACTGTCAAGCCACAGCTGCTGAATCGTGCTGTTGCAACGCAAAGACTGAGCGAGCGTGCGCATCAGGGCATTGCCGTTCTCGGTCTGTTGTTCCTCGTCAATCTTTGGGGCGATTTCTTGCAGCTGACCCGTTGGCGTTGTCGCGGTTGGAGGTAGCTCCAAGACTTCTTCGACGGCCGCAACATTGGACAGCTTCAGAATGCGAAGAGTCGTGTTTTCCCTTAATGCCTCACCGATGGCATTTGCACCATCAAGAAGTGGGTTGTCTGATACATTCAAGTGTTCCAGCGCCAGTCTGGGCAACTGCGCGGCAATGTTTCGAGCGCCAGCCGCATCGATATTGTTCATCGCTAGATTCAACTCGCGTAGGCTGTTCAAGGTCAACTCGGAGCAATCGGGCAACGATGTGAGGTTATTGCGTGCCAGGCTGAGCGAGGTAAGTGTGTTGTTGGCTGATAATGCGCGGAATATATGCGATGCCGATTCTTTGGTCAATCCTTTGTTTTCGAGATCCAGCGTGACGAGACCTTCATTCACCGCAAGTCCCTCGCTCAAAATACGAACGAGTTTTCCATCGTCAGCGGTACCAAAATTAGCGTCACCGATATTCAAGATTTGAAGCGTGTCGTTGAGGGTTAATGCTTCAGCGAGTTGTTCCACAGCATCGGCATCCAGAGCATGACCTGAGCAATACAACTCTTTAAGCGTGGTGTTCTGGGCGAGAGCCGAGAAGATCGCCGCCAACTGAGCACTGCTGACTTGACGGAAACTGAGAATATGTAATGACACTAGTTTCGGATCGTTGGTTAAGAGTTGATCGATCCATTTCTCCACAGCATTATCGTTGCCGCCCCACACCATATTGACAAAGTGGAAAAGCAGAAAAAGGATCAAAAACCCGCTCTGATCAGAAGACCTGTCCAATATAGAAAGCAAGTCACAATCCCGAAAAAAAAAATGCAGATTGAGAATAAGCATGCTTTTGATCCAGTGATAAAATTTCACCATACATTAAGTAAGTTGAGCATACTTCATAGACTTACAGTAGAAACTTGTTACAGATATCATTACAATATAGTTTTTGGTGAAACGCTTAATTACAGTATCGATTGTAAGCCTAGGTAAGAATAATCATAGCATAACCAGAGAAGGGTGACCGGGATAAAGAAAATTCGGAAGAAAAAAGAGAGGAGAGGGATAGAGAAAAAAAAAAAAGCAAGGCAACAAACAAAAGGATATTAGAAAACAGAAAGTAATTATGAGGGGTCTTGGGCTCGTCTATGCCTGTTCCGCGTCTTTTGTTTGAGCTTCCGTAGTAGCATTACTGTTGTCGATGGGTGTATTTGGCTCATCGGAAGCCACTGGCTTGACATCTACACTTCCGCGCCTGGGTACTTCGGACGCCTTGGGAGTTGTTGTGCGTGGAAGGGGAGAAGATTCGCTGGATGGAGGGGGGATTTGCATTTTGATAGCTGATGCAGATCCAATTGTATCCCCTTTGATACCAAGATTTCCTAGCGTCCAAGATAGCGCACCCATTCTATATTCACAAATCCAGTATTACTTAACAACAACTTTTGGAAACTTTCAATGTGGGGGATATTTACCTGGCATAGAACATTTGCAGACGTAATCTCATGCATTCGTGATACAGATCCGGGATGGTTCGACTGTTGTAGTAGCCTTGACGTACATTGCGTATAAAGACATAAAATTCACATACGGCCACTAGACGATCGCGACAGTATCGATCAATGCATGCCCAATCATCGAAATAAGAAATCCGGCATCGATATGGCAAGGGAAGATCAGATCTACCGCAGGCTTGACATCCCGCAAATGGACCATTTTGGCTATTGCCGCCACTGAAGCGTTCCCATATCATGCTCTTGGAAGCTGAAATTTTCAGTGGCATATCTGCTGGGCGTTTGGCTTGTTCTTCCGCGAACCCAGGAGGCGCTTCTTCAATAAAACAGGTGTTCATGACAATGGCTTCGTTGATTTTGCGGGCAGACAGTCGCGAGTTGGGTCCGAATCGCAAACAGGGTTCCACATCTTCCACTTGGCAATTCTTCATAAACGCAACGGTGTGGAGCTTTTTCAAGGGAGCCGTAGTCCCCAATCTTACCAGTTCTTGGAACTCATCCAACATCATTTGATCGATGCCTGCCGAACTGATGTCAGTGGAGCTTAATCGATCGGAAAACAGGCTGGCCAGATCCTTGACAGCTTGCTGTTCACACCCTTCCGGCGACATGATATCATTGTCTTGTGATTTTTCCACGGGCGAAGATGCCGGTTGCTGCCCCATAGACTCCATCTTTTGGCGTAGCTCTTTCAGCTGCATCTGCTCGGCCACCAGATGTTCTCGTGTTTCTTTCAGTTGATTCTCAAGTTGTCTCTGAGCGACTTCCAAGTGGTATTTTTCTCTCTTCTCATTGGCTACCATGCCATTGGCTTCCTCAAATAGACGTCGTGATAAATCTTCCAGTTCGCTTTCGACCATGTCTTTGGAATGCTGAATTTCCGCCACTCGTTCGATTTCGTCGACGTATTTATCGTTCAAGAGTTCCATGTCGTTCTGCAACGCTCGGAATTCTTCGGTTTTGATATCCAATTGTCGTTCGACGTTTTCAATAGTGGCATTCAATTTTTCAATCTCTTCAATTTGCTGGGCAATCTTTGCTTGCTCTTCGGTGAGCTGAACTTGCAAGGACCGAATTTCTCGTTCGTGGGCATCTCGTTCTTTTTGGAGTTCTTCCAAGATGGGTATCGGGCGATCACACAAAGCACAGTATTTGGAATCTTTGGAGATCAGGATATGGTGGCATGGACAGTCAGCGGTGGATGGTGACGATCGTGAAGGTTCTTCGGTGGATTCCGCGCTTGTTCTCGGTGGAGTGACCATTTTGGTATTATTAGGAAAGTGAAAAAGTTGCGGTGAAGAGGTGCTGGGGGAGAGAGGCAGTGAAGGAGGTAAAGGGATGAATTTCGCTTCCGGATTCATCGCTTCGCTTGGTGTGTGAACTTTGTCAATGACAGCTTGTAAACGTGTATAAAGGTTGGCGATATCCTTTGCAGTGATGTCCGCTTCTTCTGACTGCAAGGCGGCCGGCGCGTTCTCCTTGTCATCGCTCATGGTGGGACTGTGTCGACTCTTTCCCGTGGTGAGATTATGAAAATAAGAATACGTTTAGTTATTTCCCTCTTGTGTCTTATGGTTTTCTTTGAATAACGGGAAAATACAGACGCAAAAATAATCGGCACCAGTGATTGTTCTCAGTCTCGAAACAAACAATGCTCCCCAACCCACGTGACCACAGTCCAATGGATACATCCCGGAAATAGCAAAATGTTTAAGCGACCCAATGTGATTGGTTCACTGCCAGCCAAAAAGCATAGCATTATCTTTTGCACTTCCCATCACATCATATTTCCAAAAACTTGAATAGATCCATTTGCAGCATGCATGTATCCATGCTATATATCACCGAGAAAGTATTTGTCCGTAGCGTTCTGCAAGTCTTGGGTTTCCAAGCAGTATCATCCTGAACGATGTGCTTTGTGTCCCACCTTCTTTGTGTGAATTGCAAACTCAATGTAACACGGTTCCGTGCAAAATTAAGTAATGCCATGTCAAAGAGCAAAATCATTTCGATGAGAATAATATCAAGATGAGGACATGTATGGTACATTATTTATTGATCTATGAGATATTTTAAAAGTCTTTTCGTTCTTTCGGACAGGGTCTAAGTGCTTTTTGCGCTTTCAGTGCTTTCAATGTTTTCTAATGTAGGAGGGGTGACTTGTCCTCGCCACATTTCTCGGACTACTTTTCCGTTCACAACATGACGATCGACTAAATCACGCACATGACACTGACGAACATTGCCGTACATGTGTCCGCCCAGCCCTCTTTGATGGATAATCACATTCCCTGCAAAACGATGTCCTATTATGCAAAACGAAAAATAATTGGGATGAGTCTTCAACAACAAACAAACAAAAAAAAGGCCATTCGTCCTACTCATCATTCAATTACCTCCAAAGTGACTTGTACCCCATACTTCTACTTTCTTGTCCAATCCCAGTTCTTTCAATGATTTTCGGAATTCGTCAACGAGCATCGGACCGATCACACCACATCGCTTGTCGCGCTGAGTGTGCGTGCACACAAGAATCACGGCGTCCACACCTTCCATCTTGTCATGTTCTATCTCTGGCAGTTTCGGGACCTTGCAATCCATCCACAAAGTATCCATGACCTTCCAGAAAGGAGATTCCTTCAAATTCTTTGGGCTAACAGCGGGATATCGGTTAAAATCAGGGAACACCAAAATATCGGAAGTGGGCCATGCGGTTTCGGACGGTCGTTCACACACCGTAGGTAATAAATCGGTAAAGTCATTCTTGGTTTTCTTAGCCTGGATCCATTCCATCAAATGCCCGAGCAGCGTTTCCATGATACCGCCTTTAGCCGTTTCGACCTTGCCACGAGTCCATTCCAAACCGTCGGGACCAACACAGATAACCATATGACGATACGAGGATGGACCGACCATATCTTCGGTTAATTCAATCTTCTTTCCAAGTACCTTGGGAATAGGATGGCTTTTGCAAGGCACGAAACCGTTCTCGGTTGCCGCGGCAGCGTCAGGGCAGCAAGGTTCGAACCGCTGGAACGGGAACGGCTTGGTATCAAAGGGAATGTTGGATTGATGGCGAACACCAATACGGGTCAGTAAAGGTGAGGATCGCTTGAATACAATAGAGCGTAGCATGGACATTGGTTTGCTTTCTGATTTCCGTTCTGCATTTACATTTGCAACAGCGTCTTTTTATATTTCCTCTGTCAAAGAAGCAAATCAAAGTCCGGCACCGAGTCTCCCCGTCATTTTTGGCTGGTCTGACTGAGCTCCATTTGGAAAGATGACCAAATTAAGTTTCACTCCTGCCCACCTCTCTGTTCCAGATCCAAGAAAGAAATTTTCTGTCTGATCGGTACAAGCATCATTCCCATTATATCTTATGAGTATTTGGTGAAAAGTGTGCGAGTATAGTCAAAGATAGTCCCCCGACCCATCAATTGTAATTGGGCTCCAAATCGTGGAATTTGTGCGAGAAAAAAAAATTGATCTCATAGGAGAGACACACAAGACAATTGGTTGTAAAGAATTGTATTACATAGAATGACTTTCTTTGTAGAGCTAATATGGGTTGCAATATACTCTTTCCGGAAACCACTTGCACATACTTTGTGTAACATCTTTTTCTGCATCTCTATTCAAAATGGTCTCGTTCATTCTTGAAGAACGGGTTGGGAAATATGAATGGTGGAAAGATGGACAAAGAAAATGTATAATGAATGCAGTATCAAAAAGAAGCAAAAGATCAGATATGAAGAATGGGGATCGTGGTAGGCCACCACGACGACCAGCAAATCTGTCAATAAACACCGACAATTCCTGTGATTTGATCGATAAAAAGCCCTCACTCGTGCGAGACGAGATCATGGCCAGTTGACGGAGAAGTTTGGTCGACTTCGACATCAAGGTTGAAGGGAGGTCATTGAACGAAACAACGCTGAAAAAATCGAAGATCGACATGAGATTGGATGACAAAGTGGCTACAAGCCAGAGCGATGCCAGACAACCATTCTCGGTGCAATCTCCTCATTTTGTGTTGCGAACGTTTCGGTGCGACGTCCAAAGGCAATGGATCCATCGAAAAAGCGTAAAACCGCCAGACAGTAGCAGATTGCTGACAGGAGAACGAGCAAGCGTGGAACTGTCACTGACCATTACTTGACTTCCTCTCAAGTATAATGGACGTTCTAGACAGACATGAAAATGTTCAAGGACAATTGTATTGTGATGGGTAAGGCGCTTATCCACCAACACGAGGACATCCGCAGGTATATACAAAACTGTGGATATCACTGCATGTACCTCCCGCCCTATAGGCCAGAGCTGAATCCGATTGAGCAATTTCGGTTCATTTATAAACGCAAGCTCAAGAGAGAGCAGCTTTTGGAAGAAGAGACATCGACAATCAGTTTCCAACGGCTATCCGCGACCTTTTAGAATTTTGCAAATACTCTATTGCTAGATTCGATGATTGTTTGAATAGAAGGCGCGTTTTGCAAAACTGAACAACTGACAATTGGAAAATGTTGGTCTTTGGTTGCGCAGTGAAATGATTAAGCTTTATTTGCCAAGTATTTCAGTTATAATGGATGGTGCATTCTCTTGCCTTTGAGCTTGATTTATCCGCCATTGAAAACAAGGTTGCAATTTCCTGAGATTTTGCGGGCGGCCCACTGGTGGACAAGGGAGCGTCATTGACGCAGCAATTCCAAAAGATGGACGTAACGCGCAGCAGCATGCTGAGATTCTTGGGCGTGATAATGAGTGGAGCGATGCCAAAGAGTTTGGCACAGTTTGTCGTCCAATTTCTAGCTTCGTCAGACTGTAACGCGAATGGCAATGCTGGCGGACATATGCTTAACGCGATCGCCAATGCTTTGAGAGAGAAATTGACTACATTGTCGCTGCACCAATGGATATCAGCGGCTCGACGGCGTGTTCGCTTTCTGGTAAATATCGATAATGGCATCTTGCGCCTAACTTTGCTTTCTTTGGTGTATCCGGTTTCTGTTCCGGAGTCTTTATCCAGTGTTAGTCGAGAACAAAAGAAATGCCGGAGACGCGCTTCAAGCCATTCAGTGCGGACAGAAGAATAATACATCGCAGCGCACTGGCTCGTCCGCAGACCGATGTTGGGAGGATCCTTCAAGATAGTATGAAGTACCAACGGATGGACGATCAGCATATACCAGCTATCGACAACAAGGCGTGAACAGTCCAGTCGCGAGTATGATGCACCACTTCTGGGTCACGAAGAAGGTTATGGAAGGCAGCGTAATAGCAAATGTAGTCCATCGTGGATATGGTGTGGAATTCCTTCAAACGATAGGTGGGGGCCGGCGAAAATTCATCTGACGACAAGTTCGCGTAGAAAAAAGCATGCCATTCGGAAGGAGCGTCCCAGCACCATTTTTCCTCAGCTCGACAGTTCGAGCGTGACTGTCTGAATAAAGCTGGCCCAGTCTTTCCGTTTTCCTATTCCCCTTTTATCATTATTATTGTTTCTTTTGTAAAGGCATTGAGATGCTCAAGTCAGTAGGCTGTGCGTTTGACGAGCTGAACCTCTTTTGATACCAACCCTCGGGGCTGCTTCACAGAATCTGGCTCCTGGAATTGGGTTCTCTTTCTTTACAAACGATGTATTTTGGAGTTTTTGTTCGTGAATTTAACGCCTACTTTTTTTTTTGTTATCACAAATACATGTTGAACATGAGCAACAACGAAGACAGTGCAAACGCGGTATCGTTACTGTAAACGTTTCTACAACTAAAGAAGACAAATTGGGCTTGCTGTACTGTACAACGATAAACGTAGCGAGAACAATAAACACGAAAGTTGTTATACTTAAAAGAGTTATCGGGGAGCTGGTAGCGGCTCGATCTCTATACAAGATACGTGTAAGAAAGAATAGACGAGCAAACTTAAGGGACATTACAATTTGCAGTCAACAAAGGTGTCCGACACGATGCGGGACTACACAGCATAATCAAAAGAGTCTGAACCTGCACTTCATGGACAATGATGTTGCCTCTAGACTGGAATTTGTAGAACTGGGTCTTGCCAAGTTCATAGTACGACGCGGCTTCCATACATTTGGTCTTTCACACATCTACACATATTTTATATCACTTATTTCATTACCTTTACTTGGATGATGCCCTATACTGTATACTGAAGATACCGTCAATTCTTATGACTTGAAACCTCCCATAAAGCTTGCGTGTCAAAACTTTTGTTGTTAATTGGTTTCGTCAATCCAGCGCACTTTATTTATAAAAGATTGTGCTCAAGCGTTTTTACTCTTTTAAATGTTATGCCGCATCGTTCTCAAAAGGCATCTGATATATAGTAAAGCTTGTACAAAGTCCATGCCCTGCTGGTGTAAGGTGGCCGCTGCAGATCCATAGAATGGTCATAACACAAAGCGAAAGCATAAGAGAGCAAGTTTCGTTTGCCTAATGAACCCATCCTTCTTCAAATTTCTCCCTGGAATCCCTCCCCATTTGGACACAACCTTTCTATTGGAGTATTTTCCAGATAACTTGTAATATTTCCAACTCGACATGTAATCGCCATCACTTGTGCGCTGAATTTTTCACTGATAACTGTACGGTATGCGAGAGCATTCATTGATTGGCTCTGCCAACTGTATATCTTTAATCTCCGCAGAGTGACACAGAAAATCGCGTGTCCCCTAGCTCGAAAGCCACCGAATTTCCAAACCATTAGGATATATAGCCAGCCTTCCTCCTCTCTGGAGCCATGTCCACATTATTTTATCCTCAGTTTTTATCACGCATTCGCCCCATTCGATTGCATTCCATTCATATCTCATCGACAATATACAATTATGAGTGATAACGAGCGTTCAGGGCCTACCGGCGACGACGAACTTTCACTGCCCAAAGGTATAAATCAACTTTTGCATAACCTATAGGATCACTTGTCCAGTCTGTAAAGCTCACGCCGTCCGCACTTAATCTAGCCACCGTTCAGAAACTGATCAACGAGATGATGCCTCAGGATGTCGCTTGTGCAAAAGATACGCGTGACCTTCTAATTGACTGCTGTGTCGGTAAGTTTTTTTGTGTTCCAATCGCGCGTCAAGACTTGGGAAGAGAAACCCAAAAAAAAGCGACAACAGGAGAGTTTTATACAGATTAGCTTAATGTTTATTTGTTACCTTATACCCTAGAATTCATTCATCTTATTGCATCGGAAGCCAATGAAATTTGTGAAAAGGAGACGAAGAAAACCATTGCGGGTGAACATGTGGTGGCTGCTCTTCAAGCACTAGGGTTCGAAGACTATGTGGAAGAGGTAGACGAAGTATTCAAAGAACACAAAAAGCAACAAAAGGTGGGAGATAAGAGTTCTCTTACGAATGGCGATGCAATGGAGACATTAACCATTTGGGTTTTCTTTTTACTTGCTTTTTTTTGGTGACTAGGATCGAGATAAGAAGAGCACCCGATTGGAGAACACGGGTATTTCAGAAGAGGAATTATTGCGACAGCAAGAGATGCTTTTTGCCCAATCACGTCTAAAATTCGAAGCTCAACAACAGTAACTCCCGTCTTCCTGCTTGCTCCTTGTTCTTGTTCCGTCATAAACTGTATACAGCATTTAATATCTTTCCGCTTTATTTTCCGAAGATTTATCTCTCCATCCTCAAGAGTATCTCCTTGACTCCTGAACCGTCGTCCATCAGATTTTCTTTTCACATTTTGTATGCAGACAATCCACGTCATTGTAATGTTTGTTTAATTTGGATTGACATCATGGTTGCATGGTCCTGTAGTTTCCTTTTTTCAATGAGGGTATCACTTTGCAAATGTGGATGATCTTGTATGCTGTGGTATCAATGATGTATATTGTCATTTATACGTGCTTGTGTCTTTTTTTGGTGTAATTAAATTATTTTCGACGAGCATGAAACTCCCCTGTCAATCATCACTTTATAGTGCAGGATGACCAGCAGCGACAACGGCCGCCAATACAAATATAAAAGGATATCGATGGATGCTAAAATGTCCACCTTGATCATGCTCCGATAATACATCCAGCGTGATTCCATAATCCATAGACCAGAAACAGCATATTTGCGTTAAGCTCTCTAAAACTGGTATTTCGATTAGGTTATAAGATGCCTCTCTTTATGTACCTTTGCCAAAGCCAAAGAAGATGGACATGTGGTGGTTTGAGACGTGGCAAAAAGTCAATATCGTGATACCAACACGATACCAAAAATAATGCAACGTTTCGGAGGGCATGACCATGACCATATCGCTCGATTGCTGCGGAAGATCATGTTCTAATTTATCATTTCTCATCTTATCATACTTCTGTGAGGTATCTGTAAAGTATCGTGAAACCACTGTCAACTAATGCAGGAAAAACCGATACGCAAACTTAACGGCAGCTTTTGACGACACTCATTGTTGTGAACAGTGTTAATTCAATCACTTATCATATTCAGATAGTGACATGGCTTGCCAGTTTCCCTTCTACGTCGATGACATTTTGTTGCTGGTGTCTCGTTTATTTCAACGGATTCGTTCATCAGGAGCACGTTCGGCAAGGAGCCGGAAATTTCGTACTATAAGCGTCAATATCCTGGATAGATAAACTTTGCATGATCTGCCAAGCTGGTTGAATCTGGCTCGAAACCACCATTCATCATCGGTACCAGACAGGCCGAACACCCGAGTATAACAAAATATGAAAAGCTTTTGAAAGCGTCATAGTAGACAGCTTATCAAAGAAAAAAGAAAAAAGCAGAAACAAAAGGGAATATGCTTATATTACTGCTGTGAGGCGTGTCGATCTCAGAGAACGAGGGCCCGATGAAAACGCCGTTTTATTCCTGATCGGTTGAGGCACATAAACGACACGTGTGAACGTCACTGGTTGCTTTAACCGCACGTCGACATGCTTTGGTATCTGGTGAAATATTTCGCAAAGAACGTAGAGTGCCATAGTGGACTAATGACAAGCATCAACCGTCATTTTTTATTATATGGACCGGCACAATTCATACAGTGACAGTGCGCAGCCAATCACTTTTATCTTATTTCCTCCACGCCTTTTAATGACATAACTGATATCATGTCATAAGCGTTCAAAGAGGAAAGGACCGATTTTGTTCCTTATTATTTTTCATTTACTTTCAATTGGGAAGGGACCGGCCATCGACGAAGTAGACACGCCGTCGAATCCGGCCCAAACATCTAAAAAGCCCCTTCTAAACTATAAAATTACCTTGTCGGGTAACTGAAAAATTCTTAAAAACCAGTCGCCGCACGTCAAAATTAGTGTTAAAAAACAGTCACATGGTGTTCCTTTCATCATATCATTTGGCAGCTATTGCGCTCGATGCCATTTATTCATTCAAAAATGTTGGATGGAGGTTATGGAAAAGTTCAATGGAAGGTGAGAGCTTTCTGCAAAGGGCTATTCTCAATGTTAATCTGGCGTTTTTCTGTAGCATCATTTAATTTGACTTTTGTCAGTAACATGTGTGCCGTTTTACATAATATGCTTCGATCTGTGTAGCTCATCATTCATGCATCAATAAGGTACTATTGTTTCATCCATGGGAACTCTATATATTTTTGTCCCCAATTTCTGCTCTATCTTCTGTTTATCTGAAAAACTCTCACTATCATTGCATCCCTCGCATCTATCATCCATCATTCAGACTATGGCTTATTCTGCGTGTATCTGTAATCGGGCAAGTCGATTGTTATCAAAAAGTACCTTTTGTGTGATGTGGCTATCCGTTCTTACAAGAAAAACTTACCTGTCCTTTTTCTCTATCCTTTCTTTAGCTTTGGGTTTTCTCTCCGGTTTTCTTTTCGCCCTGGCAAGCCATCCATTCCTTCAAATCTTTCTACTTTGTTCGCGCACCAAGTGTGGCCAATCAGGTTATGTCGTCAAAGGGCATCGTCGGCGTGGTGACTCTCTTTTTTCATCGGGAAGTGCTTACGCGTCCTCCTCAGGTTCCTCTTATTTGGATTGCCACCCGGGGTATCGTCTTGATATTTCTTCCCGGCCATTTTATTTTGTAGTTTGTAGTATGTACTTTGTATTTTATTCGATAGACCTTCTTGCAGTTTTTTCTTTTTTTTTTTCCCACAGGTTTTTAGGGGGTTTTTACAGACGCACCTATTGTTTTACTTTTTTTTTATATATCTGTATCGTTCCTTTTTTTCGGTCGGGAAGCTCTGGATATATACTGCCTCACATAACAAAGGTAAAATATTTTGACGACATCTGAATTAATCAAAGAGCTTACTAACTCATTTTTTTAATACCAAACATTCCCACACTCATTCTAGATCTATCATAACCTTGGGCGGGACGGGACTGAGGGGGTCGATAAGTGCTGCTGCACCCATGTTTGGAATCATGACTGTACGGTATGCCAGAGTATTGACATTAATATACCAAAGTTCCATCAAGAGTCTCGCCCAGGTTATGCCGAATGTGCGTTAGGCTTCTGACGAATGTCGCTCAATGTAAGGGGGCGACATCCAGTAGCAGGTGGCATCCATTGCACAGCGGATGTACGGATTGTTAAGTGGGGAAAATCAAAACGGAAACGCCTTTCTTTTATACTTTTTGCTGAATTACAGCTACCTTCCCTCTTAAATTAACTTTTCTTCGCTCCATTCCCTCCACCTCACCTTAGGACGTGGTGACGGATAAAAACTCGACGCACATTGCTCGCCTACAAAAAAAAATCTTTTCGCATTAGCAATGTAATGCGGCTGCGCCATGTCATCAATGCTCCCAACGCTGCCAACAAATAAGCTATGTACTGCATACAAGTTGCCAAGGGTAGCATATGGTCCGCTGAACCCTCTTTTGACAGGTATTCAGAATATACGCGCGTTCTTGTAACTTTCTGTTTGAATAGTGAGTTTCCCAGCTTCGCACTGCCCAACCCCTCATTTATCAGTTTTGTTTCTCCTGAAACAGCGTAATCAATAACGCCATGGCAAAAATGAATGGTCATGTACCATTGCACGAAACCAAAGTGCGGATGACGATCAACGTTAAACTTTGAGCATGTTTGCACAGGAAAAAAAGGTTTTCTCGCCTGCATCATAGCTTGCTCATATGAATGTGCCACTGCCAATACCAGACGATGGCAAGCCAGCACAGTAACAGCATGCTTGAGCTCGGTTGTGTTCTGTCATATTTCCGCATAAATGGATTGACCTGCAGGATCGGCAGATCATCTCCACTTGAAAAATCGGGCTCCTTTCTCCGCTCGATTTCATATAATATGGGACGAATTGTCGGCGCTCGATCAGAATATTGCATTCCAGTCAACAGCTTAAAACGAGATGAAGCCTGATCTGAGAAGCCCGTCAATAAAAACAATAATAAGAATAAAAAGAGGGTTGGGAGGCTCGTCGACTGCTTGGACAAAGATACACAAATAGGTCCTGTACTGGCAACCATCACACCTTCGGCGCAAATCCGGGAGAAAGCAATCGATTGTTGCCTACCTTTATGCCATGACTTTAGTGACACTGGTTGCGATATCCCTGAACGACATCCTATATCATTGAAGAGAGTATTACTTTATACCAGATACGTACGCAACAATTCCCTTGACAGAGATACTTAAATGCCATAAAAAAACACCTGAAACAAGTTTTAACTACAAAAAAATGTTAAGCAGAGGTTAAGTACACAGACAATAATGAAAGGGAATTCTCACGTATTCTGTTTCGTGATCTTGGAGGAAAGAATCATTACAGTTTTAAATTTAGCCTCCGTTTTGCATTTCTATTCAGATCTTCATCAACGGAGTTGTCGCGTACATGTATAGTATAAAGCGATATTCATCTTTAAAGATATATGATACCGTTCAGTGGTATCACATTTGCAGAGTTCATTTCTTTATTAGAAACTATGAACGGGCACGATAAACCAGAGATGTATGGGATGTGAGAATTAATGATATGGAAGACAACATGTTCGGAAACCTCGGATGCAATCAGAGCCAAAGTCGCCACAGAACGCGTCGCAATGTTCTTTCGCATCTTTTACTGTTTCCGCTACGCAAACGACTATTTCATTGTCCTCACAAATGCCTGGTGCACAAGATGGTCCCTCAAATCCGACCACCGAGCGTTGGAAATCGTTGATATATAGCAAGTAAGAATAAGCAGAAAAGTAACATATGGTTGGGCATGTTTTTGCTGTAAATGAAGTATAGAAAAGCGGTCGAAGAGATAGGGGCTTCCTGAAAATTCATCGTGAACTTTAAATAAAAAAATAAAAAAAAAGCTGCTGCCATGTATGGCAGTGGTTACGGTACTGGACCGGCATAGGCGCACAAATAGAGAAGAATAGCCTCAGAATTGCTCTGTTGGTGTGCCTGCCCCAATTCTGGGTTTATGAAACCTGCGAAAGATATATATCAAATCATGACGCTTCCCAGACCTGCAGTTACAGGAAGAAAGTTGTTTTCGCACTAGTGCATATTTGGCTAACAGCCTTCCTAATGCAGTGTTAACTGGCAGCATGTCCCAAGAACCAAGGATTATTGGCTCAGCGGAAGAGACAATAGATGCGACAACTAACTTCTCAGACAAATGTGGAGATATTGAGGATCTGAACACTGCACAACCGACTACAACTTTTGTTGTCTATAACAGTAAGTTCCCATACACCTGTTTTTTCATCGTACCAATTGTTCCTTTTTCCAATAAAGAAAGCTTCATGGATTCAGTAATACCGTCACAATAAAAAATGTAAAAGCAGAGATTAATCAAAGCAGGAATGGTTCTTTCCTGCGAGTTCACAAAGCAGGATCCATGAGAATGCCTTTATTATTGCCTGTTTAAAATGCACTATGTAGACTGCAAGCTTATTTCGAGACAACGTAACATTCAGTCCCGAAACTGGCTGTTGAAAAAGTTTGAGTCGTATATAATTATTGCAATGCGACCGTATTCGGTAGCGTTTCTCTTCCGCAATTCTATGCTCCCATTTTTAATCCATAATACCACTGTCATAGGACACCCAGCATTTACCCTTATGGTTGGGTATGGAACAGGTGAGGTCTTTGACCTTTCGTTGGTATCTTGGTTTTGTTTTTATAAGCGGATGAGTTTTAGGGATCAATAAAACGCTCCCGAACATCACCGAGACCGTTGATCTAAGAGACGCCCAAGTCAAGTTTTATATACGCTGGAAAGTAAGGAAAAGGTCAGTTGTGATGTTATAGATGCTGCCTTATTACAGTGCACGTTGCATCGAGCACCGACGCATGAAATTTGAGCGCTGAGACCTGAATATCATATTCCCACAAGTGTATTGTACCGATTTATGCCGCTTCGTATTCTCGGGAAATTGAATCATGCCACGAATGATACAGGCTAAATTACGAGTTGTCAGTTCATACTGTTGCTTGTTACGCAAGGTTGTCGTGCACTCCCTTCATGTGCGTAAAAACCACACATGCAATCTCATTTTTCGATCACTTTCCTGCATCGATCGTGAAAATAGACTGGTATTAAACGCATTTAGTGTCTCATTTCGTCTCATCCATGCGTTTCACACAAAAAGCTGGTAAAATTGAGGGGCGAATCTATCTTAGCGGAAAAAAGTTCGATGGACGTCCATTAGCATACTAAGGGAGTGAAAAACTATGCAAATGACGCAATGTGGCTATACTTGAAGCATTGCATTATAAAGGGATTAAGTATGATTTTCAATGGTTTTAATAGTACTCACTGCCATACATGAACAGCGATGTTTTAGTTTCACGATGCGTGATGTCAATCAGTAATACCACATTACATAGCAGTTAATTTCTTTATGAGAAAGTATGAACGAGTACGAGGGTACCATAAAGCAAACGCTGTACGGGCAGTGAGTTTTAATCGTACTCGAGACAACAGACTCGGTAGCCTGTGTTACAAGTGGTGTCACCAAACCCTTGACATGCTCGTGGGCAAAAAATCTCTGCTTGCTGCTTGGAGCGCGCGCTGCAAATCTCCATTTCAAAGGGCTCACATGGTTCTGGTACACAGTTAGGTCCATCACTTCCGACCCATCGAGCGCTGGAAATCGTTGAAATAGCAAGTAAGGATAAGCAGAGAGTTAGCATGTGTTGGCTATGGTGGAGACTTTCGTTGTAGATAAAGTACAGAATAGAGGAAGAGATAGGGCAGCCTGAAAATTCATCGTCGGCTTTAAATAGAAAAAAAGTTGCTGCCATTTACGAAAAAGGACAACTACTGTCATTCGACTATTTCTTTTCCAATTGTACGCCTGCCCCTATCCTGAGCCGTGACCTCGGCAGAATTTCTTTTTTTATTAGTGCGCCTATGCCGGTTATGCACCGTGAAGCCTGCAGGTTATAAGTATCGTTAATGACGCTTCTCACGCACATGTGGCAAGCAACATTAAAATACGTTTTCACAATCAAAGCTATGTAGATAACTTAGACTTCTAATGCAACGTTTGAAAACAAACCCTAGCGCCTTATTTGTAATAGATATTGTGCTGAAAAGGTTTGGCAATAATGGTGAACTGAAACAGTAGTTGCAAATGGGACGCTTGGGTTTGTTTTAAGACAGTGGTATATCCACTACTTGTCGTATTCTGCATCCTAAACTGATGTTCCCAAACGGAAAGATCGGGATTTCAATGTGCTTCCATTCCGGCTGAGCTTCTCCATTGGAACCGATTGTGCTTCATCCATAACTCGGATCTATCACCGCGATCAATTCATACGGTAACGCTGTCATTCACAGAATGCGGATTTTTCCAACACCACCTTATGCATATAACCGAGGACTGCTCACTGATAATTATCAATTTCGACTCAAGACTAGAGTATAAATAGGCAGATCATATTAATCGAAATAAAGATATCCAACAGTCTGAAAGGGTTCTCGTTGTCTCTTTGTTCTACATTCTTTCATACATCACATAAGTTGCGAATAATAAGTTCATGTGCCGTTGTTACGAAGGATTGTCGCACAGAATTCCTTGATCCGTGCAAAAAAGCAGAAAGGCAATCTCATTTTCAATCTCTTTACTGTACCGCTAGTGAAAACAAGGTGGTATCCAAAAATCTCATGTTCAATTTCGTCTCACCTATGTGTTTCACACAAAAAGATGGTAAAATGGGGGGAACCTCTTTAGCGGAAAATAAAAGGGCAATAAACCGTCCATTAACATATAATGGAGTGAAATATCAGGCAAACAGCGATGTAACCGTCTTTGAAGTATTGCATATGAAGGGACTAGTTTCCATTTTCAATGGGTTCATAGGTACAAATCCTGCCATACATGACCAGCGAGATATTGTTTCACGATATGTGACATGATCAGTAATACCACGTTTGCAAAACAATTCATTTCTTTATTAGAAAGTATGAGCCGGTACGATGGTACTCTAAAGCAAACAAGGTATGGACAATGAGGGTTACGCACTTCGGGAGACAACAGGTTCGATGATTTTCCACACAAGCGAGGTCACCAAAGTTTTCACGGCATCCTTCTGGGCAATTCGCCCTTGCTTCCCCCGGGAAGCGCGCTGCGCAAACTTCAACTTCATTGGGTGCACATTGTTCTAGGTAACAAATAGGTCCATTTCTTGCGGTTCCATCGAGCCTTGGAAATCGTTGGTATAGCAAGTAAGAATAAGCAGAAAAGGTAACATATGGTTGGCCATGGTAGGACTTTTGCTGTAAATAAAATATAGGATAGCGGTAAAAGCGATGGGTGCTCCCTGAAAATTCATTGTCGGCTTTAAATAAGAAAAAATAATTGCTGCCATGTACGCCGCCTATGCGCCTGTGCATCCTTTGCTGTAAAGCCTGCCGAATTTTTTCTCTATTTGTCCGCCTATGCTGATTCTGCGCCATGAATTTTGCAAAACTCTCTTTTCATTTAACGTCTGATGGCGGGGAAACAGGAAAAGCTAGGAAAGCCAGCTGTATTCTCCACTCCACTTGAAAAGCCCGCTGGTCTTACATCCTTGAAGATATTCCCTTCCAACTACAGTCAGTTCTTCAACGTTGCGAAAAGCGTGGGTGGCAGATCCATGGCAGATTCACAACCAAAACTGTTTAGATTCAATTCGTTTCCTTTTTGCGGTTTCCAAGTCATCAGACGTTGGGAAACTGTCATGGTATCTCCCTTAAGAAAAAGGAAACAACAAAAAGAAAACGAATTGAATCTAAACAGTTTTGGTTGTGAATCTGCCATGAATCTGCCACCCACGCTTTTCGCAACGTTGAAGGACTTACAGGACTTGAAGGGGAATATCTTCGATGTGGGACCAGTGGGCTCGCCAAGTGGAGAGGAGAGTGCCGCTAACAAGGTTCTGTACAATTCATCGCGCAGAGTCAGCATGGGTGAACGAAAAGAAAAGGAAATTCGGCGGGCGCTGCGGCAAAGGATCGGCACAGGCGCATAGCCGCTCTACTTAGCATCAGCTGTTTTTATACTTAAAGCCGACCATGAATTTTCAGGGAGCTCAAATCTCTTTTTACCGCTATCCTATATTTTATTTACAGCAAAAGTCCTACCATGGCCAACCATATGTTACCTTTTCTGCTTATTCTTACCTGCTATCTCAACGATTTCCAACGCTCGATGAGTCGAAAGTAATGGGCCTGTTTGTGAACTAGAACAATGTACACCCGATGAATTCCCGGCCTGTGACGCGCGCTCCTCACTGGAATCAAGGTCAATTTGCCCAGAAGAATGCCATGAAGACTTTGGTGCCACCATTTGTTTGGACGGTTATCGAATCTGTTGTCTTGACGAGTATTACTCAATACCCTTGCCTTGCTTGCTTTATCGTACCTTTTGTACCCGTTCATAGTTTCTAATAAAGAAATGACTTGCTATGCAAATGCGGTACTACTGATCGACATCACCTATCGTAAAACAAAATTCGCTGTTCATGTATGGCAGCATTTGTATCTATAAAACCATTGAAAATGGCACCTTGTCCCTTCATAATACAATGCTTCAAGGACGGCCACAGTGTGCTGTTTACATGATTTTTCACTTCATTATATGGTAATGGACTGTTGAATACAGTGGCCTTTTGTTTCTCTGCCATGAAAATAGTCGCTCCGTTATTACCATCGTTTTTGTGTGAACGCACAGACGAGACGAAATGAAGCATTAAATGCGTTGAGTACCAGTTCGTTTTCACAATCGATGCAGGAAATTCATCGAAAATCAAGTTGCCTGTCTGTTTTCGACACGCATCAAGAAAGCCTGTACGACACTCTTGCGTAACAAACAACAATACGAACTCACAATTCGTAACTTATCCTGTATTATTTCGTGGCATGATTCGATTTCTGCGAATACGAAGCGACATAAATCGGTACGATATACCATACTTGCAGTAATATGATATTCAGGCCTCAGCACCGAAATAACACGGATTGGTGGCCAATGCAAGGTACACTGTTTCGCAACATTTATAACGTCAACACTCACCTTTTTCCTTGTTACTTTTCCAGCGTATGAAGCCTGCTTCGCGCGCCTCCGAGTCGAGGAATTTGCTTGGATCAAATTATCTTTCACAAGTATTTTGTTGGAAACTTTTTTTTTTTTTTTTTTTGGCAGTAAATTTTCTGTGCACACACGAGATGGGCAAATATTTATTTGCAATTTCTCTGGAGCCATACTGTATACGGGATAAATTTCGCAGTAAAAACATGAAACTTGCAGAATGGAATGGGGCTGAACCCAATATGCTGGCAAAAGTTTTCGCCGTGGCGTACCGTGGAAATTTTGATCCATCTCTTTTTCCATTTTACTGACATGGAATAACAAACGCTTTCTACACATTCATTTGAACATATACAATATTATATTGTTCGTTTATGCGAATGATACGGATTAAAAAAGTCTCCATCCTACTTTTCAATACATCTTGTTACCAGAAATATTCCGTAAAGTGACCATGTAAAATTATTCGTTTCATGCGGGGAATCGATGGAGGGCTGTTAATTTTTTGATCTGCGAATGTTTTTCTGTTTTGTTCATTTTAACCAAATTCTTATAAATTAGCCCAATTGAAAGGCCTAGTCCGGGCTTTCGTTACTGTAGGAGTGCTTCTTCTTTATGCCGTTTCTAAAGCCAGCCAGCCTTGCGCGCCGATTCTGGCGCAATATGACCCTTCATGAAGTAAACATGCCAATGAATGCTGCCGTGACAAAAGAACGTCGCCATTGCTGACAGTTTCCTTGTTTTCCTAGTTGTCGGGTAGCTTGGGGGATCTCGGTACATTACTGCCTGTTATGATCTCATTAGCAGTGTCGGGTCAGATCAACCTGACCAGTACGCTATGGTTTACGGGTCTGTGGAATATATTGTCAGGCATAATGTTCCAAGTGCCAGTTTGTGTACAACCCATGAAAGGTATATTATATTGCCATAATAAAAATCAGAAATCGGGTCACCGGACACAAAAAAAGATCTGATAAACGGTTTACGTCGTCCCTCAATAGCCATTGCAGCGGTCGTACTATCCAGTAACATGTCGATTGAAGAAAATATGTCGGCCGGCTTGAGTACGTATCTCTCAGAGTTATTCTTTATGCAGCAGACGAAACATTCTGACATTTTTGTTACAGGCGTGGGCATGTTCATTTTCTTTCTCGGTGCGACTCGTACCATTCACATTGTTGGAAATTATACCCCGGTTCCCGTTGTCCGTGGTAAGTCGCTGCAGCGGGACAAATGATGCATAATGTTGTGATTCACTCACTGCGGGAAAAAATTCCAGGTCTTCAACTGGGCACTGGTATTCAGCTGATTCGAAAGGCGCAAGGTCTCGTTGCCAATTTACAGTGGAAAATTGTGGCCGAGAATTGGGCGGATAACTACACTTGGGTTCTTTTGTCGTTTATTTTTGTCTTTTCCTGTTATCGTACTCGGATACCGACGGCTTTGATTCTGTTTTTAATTGGATTGCTATTTGCGCTCATTCGCATGTTTGTGACAGACACGGAGTTGAACTTGCCTCATCCGGTAGCTGCTGGTCACTATCCGGATACCATCGTTCGTCCTACCCCGATCGATTTCGGAAACGGTTTTGTCAACGCTGGCCTGGGTCAAATCCCTTTGACCACTTTAAACTCCGTCATTGCCCTCTGTGCCCTCATTGATGATCTTTTTCCCGACAAACATGCAAGTCCTGCCACCGTTTCCATGAGTATAGGCATCATGAATTTGATTGGCTGCTGGTTTGGCGCTATGCCTGTCTGGTAAGTCGGTCTTGCCGTTATACGCGATTATTTGGATGGGCCCGTTGACAATGTGGGTTGCTATAGTCACGGTGCGGGCGGTTTGGCGGGCCAATACCGATTCGGGGCACGCACCGAGGTATCAGTCATTGTTTTGGGAGCCTTTAAGCTATTTTTTGGTATTCTTTTCGGAAGTTCCTTGGTAGGCTTGCTTCAGGTATTTCCAAAGTCCATTTTAGCCGTCATGCTCTTTGTCTCGGGTGTAGAGGTAAGGAAAAAGGGAGAAAGTTAGTGTTGGCCATGCAATTCATTTCAGAGATAGTTGGCTTGTGCGGTTCGTGTGATCAACCGAGATGAATACGATGAAGAAAGGAAAAGAGAAAACTGGACAATTATGCTTGTTACGATGGGGGCACTGGTAGGCTTTTCAAACGACGGGATCGGGTTTTTGACAGGTCTGGTTGCAGCTGTGCTGTTATCTGTACAACGCCTGGGCGTGCGTTTGTGGTTCCAACATACATGGACCGGCTTTCGGGAATTGCCGCAACGATGGAAAGATCAGAAGTTTGATGATAAAGGTCGAGCTTTACCCACATCGTCGCAGTTGACGCAGAGCCCATCGACGAATGAACCTTTAGAAAACCAAGAGATCCTCGTCTTCAAGTCGGACTCTGACGATTCGACCAAGAATCTTCGACAAGAAGAACGTCCACTTTCCTAGTAAACTTATTCGGTTTTTTCTTGTTCTTTTGTCGGACTGCTCCATTGCCAGTCATCTACAGTATTTATTCTCTATTTTGATTTCATGAGTGAATGTAGTAAACAGAGATTTATGGTTCTTTAGGGCTGTATTGTCTGTTAACATTTTGTTTCTAAAGATAGTATGGCTCAAGGGGAATTATTGTATTTACAAACTAAAAGAAAAAATGGTATTCATGTCTTCAACTGTTCTTTTCAAGACGAGCTCGGGGTGAGGGTAATTGTTGTTTGGATCTCGAATGGCGTCATTGATGATGCGATATGTATTGATCAGCTGACGGATGGCGCCATCGTGCACTTGCCTGCAATGTTGTGTGGCTGATAATCGACGCAATTGGGGTGGAATATCTGCGCCCTTCACCATCAAATATGAGTCCAATTGTGACATGATGCTACTGAGACTTTGAGCATCCATGCCTGGAACTGATGACAATGGTGTCTAGCACAAAAAAACATGTCAGTTTGCTGTGAAAAAAAAACAAAAAAACTGATTCGAGCTTTATTCTTACATCCGCATCCTTCTTCTTCAAAGCTGCATCCACTTTGTCCAACCCTGATTGCTGGAGAAGCTCCTGATACTAGAGTGCAACCAATGTTAATAACATAGCGAAACTTTTCGTTGCACATGACACACAACAAATGTACCTCTTCATCAGATATTTCACCCAGTAGTTCCTGTATTTGTTCAGTTAGGCTACCTTGTTTTTTAGCCGTAGCCGGATAGGCTGATAATGCTGACTAGAAAAACAATTTTCGCCTTTTAATGCCAACTTCTTTCTCTCGAACGTATGTTCCCAACAAGACTCTCCTACCAGAATATGCTGCATACAATTCACCCGATAGATATCTTGATCCAGTTTATCAAATTTGAGGACCGACATTTCACACATGCGTAGTAATGGATCAATGGTGGCATCGAGCGTCTCGCCAATCTCAAAATCAGGAAAATCGCCCGTGTTGTTGGTCGCCACCACCAGGGAGGAATCGTAAGATGCAAGAATTTCTTTCTACAACGTAGTGGGTTAGCTTCATCTAGCTCGCCTCGCACTTTGTCGGTAGCAATCCATACCAGTTGCAGTGTTATATCGCGGACAGTGGGTGAAATTGCCAATTCTTTGGTCGGTGGCTAATGGCAATCATTCATTAGTCATATACGTATTCAACCTACGGTCATTGTCAAAATGAAGCTTTACCTCTGTGGATTGCAGCAATCGTTCAGCTTGCCCACTCAGAATCTTGAAAAAGTATTTGTAGGCCATTTCGGTGATCCTAGCATAGACGTTATAAATTATTAGGTATCGAGTTGGCCCCGCAAAACAAAAATAGCGTCTGCTTACTCATAAAGGGTGCGGGCCAAATAAGAGTCTTTTCGCAAGAGCTTTTTCATTGTCACGGCATAGAATTGGATCAAATTGGCCATACGGTAAGAGATGATGGCGCCTGGTTGTAAAACGAGCACTTGTTCCATACGTGTTTTTAATGGACGGCATGTTCCTTCCATCGCACAGTCCAGCAGATCGGCAATCGCCTCATCGATCTGGTGAACAGAAGTTACCCCATCTAGCTCATTCGGCGAGCCTAAGTACAGCCGCGTCAGGTAAAAATGATACGCCGTCCTTTTCCTCAATCCTACCTCTTTCTGGCGAAGGATGAAACAAGCTTTCCAGCATTTCCTTTTCGCCTGCACATGCCTGATGAACCCAGGCAAGCATGTCGCCAATATAACGCATGGAATCGTGTGCTTGCAATTCAATTGGTCGCGGCGTCCCGCCCGGTCCTCCTCGCGTCAATGCGTTAATAAAGGCGCGTGCCACCGCATCACGTCGAGCCACCGCCAGTTCATCCATAATCGTTCTACACGATTACCCAATCATGTTATGTCTCATGTAAAGACTTAATATCACCAAAAATTTGCCATCTACTTACTGAAACAAGACCGGTCTCTGGCGCAACGCTTGCAATGCCTTTACCATTAGCGTATCCACGATAATGGCATCCCCACCAAATGATCCACGACTCTCATACTGTGTCCACCGATACAGCTTATCGTACGCCGTCTCCTGATAGGCCGCCATTTTTTCCATGATCTGTTGGCTATCGAGCGCACAAGACATATGAACACATTCCATCCGTAAAAGCACATGTGATTGGTTTCGACAAATTACCCGGCTTGTTGGTTCGTCGTCATTAGCAGCAATTTGCAGTCGCTGTGAATTTGTTGCAGATGCTTCAATGCTTTGAAAAAGTCCCCACTGATGGGAACAGATGAAGAGCACAAAGTACTGATTTCCGATTCACTCAAAGTAAACTTTTCCAAAAATCGATCTACAATAAGAATACGTGTAGCACACGCCGAACTTGAAGGTGTCCTGTGAATACAACTGCTTGTTGCAGTCTATTTGCAAAAGAAAATACTGTACCTCTGGTCTTGCAAATTCTTTGCTTGTTCTACCATGAGATCTGTTTTTCCACCGGCTTCGTCCAATCGTTGTTGCATCTGCTCACAAATATTCTCCATATCGTCGACTTGGTCTTCTAGCACACCTGCTTGCTGCGGAGCTGAATGAGGAACAGAGCCTACCAGTGTGTCCTAATATTTCATCCTACCTTGACCACCATTTCCAATGCATCGAGAAACTTTCTATTGGCTATGATTTCCTTTCTTTCTATTGTGCCTCGAAGATTGCGTTGCAAGTCGACTTTGTCCAGGCCACTGATAGCGGACAGGGCTGTCACGGCTGCTTTGGTTCGAGCATCGTCAGAGACGGAGGAGCCTAACACTTTGTTAAGCTTGGCAGCGAGTGGCTTATTTGGCTTGTTGGAGATAAAGACAGGAAGAGGCTCCGGAATCGACGAAAGCTTAGCTTCATCCTGTTCCATGACGATGCTTTGTTAAATTGCAAGAAATACAGCAAAGGTGTGGTCGGGGTTTCAAGAATTCTCGCGCGAGACGAGGCACGAACGCCGTCACACACAGGTCGCGTGTGCGGACCTGCAAAAATCACTCTGGAACAAGGAAGAAGAAGAATGAAAAAAAAAGGTCGCGGGACGTGTGTGCCTTTTTTCTACTCCAGCAAAAAAAAAAAAAAAAACCGTGTTTCTTTAGATCAGCGTATCATGCCGTTAACGGATGCTGATCTATTAGCTTCACTTAGAGACTTTTCGCAATGCAATGAAACGCTGATTTGCAAAGTGCGAACTACGGTGTTGGAGCCTTTCCAGCCCGACGTACGACCGGAAGCTCTCAGTCGCGCAGTCAAACCATCAAGCGCAGAATTCAAGACAATGACCGTTCGTCTCGCCCCACTAGCTATGCGTATTATGAACGAAAATATCAATTCACTTCGTCGGCTTAAAGAATCGCGTCAAGAAAAATTATATAATCGTTCCGCTATTGTTACGTGTCTCATTGACACATCGCTTTATGCATTTGCCGCATTGAAACATATGAATGCCTACACCACACTTAAACCTCTGGATCTGGAAAAGACAATGTCCAATTTGATTGGCAAAATTGTCGACTTGGGTGAAGTACGTTTTTTTTTTTGGCAGTTTTTCCACTTTGAATGCGCATACAGCTGCTAACTTGGTATTTACAGTATGGTCGCGCGTTGGAAGAGTTACGTAAATTCCGCACAAATCTCGCCAATATCGCCAACGTACAATTCGATTCGCACCCTCCCATGTCGTCGAAATCAAAATTAGTCAGCCCAGTGTCCGCTTCACCTCGAGCCAGCAAAGGAGTTCTTACCGAAATGTTGAATCGAGGAAATGACGATCTGCGAATGACAGTATCGGACACGTGGATGGGAAAGCACGGGCACATGTCTTCATGGGACGATGACATGTTGCAAAAATACGGAGATCTTTTCAATTTTCCTCTCGATCCAAGCATCAATAATCCAACAATGATATTGCTTGTATTGGCATATCAGATGAACAGTCTTCGCTGCTGGTGCGACATCAAAGATGGTGCATTGCTGAAAGTAAGTCATCCTACAAGAAAAAAAAAAAAAAAAAACACACGGACGAAAATGAATTTAACAACGTAAAAAAGTACTTGCCTATGTTATTGAGCCGATCAGGCAATTTCCTTGATTGCTGCGCATTGCTCAAGAAATTCGATCCAATCACCTCAAGAAAACAATTCGATTCGTTGCAACGCATGCTATTCAGAGCTGCAAGCAAGTTTCCCTCATCAGGTACGTCAAATCTACCAAGCAATGTCTGTTGTTTCTTCATCATCACTCATTCTTTTCTTGTATGTATTGCTTTCAGAAGGAGCATCATTACAATCGTTCTGTCTACAGGTTCTGGCTCTCAAAGCCGCATTTTACACCGAAACCGCGTCAATTCAATCCCTCTGTTCTCGCCTGGTTCGCATGGGGATTGCTTACGAACATTCCACAAAACAACGTAGGGACCCTCCTCGTCAAATCTAAAGGCATAAGCAATCGACTGATCGCTTTTTAATCTTTTATCTAGCGGAATATGCTGTGGTTCAGAAATGCTGCAGTGATTTCTTGGAAATTATTGAACCCAACTCCCAGAATATCCCTGAACTCGACGCCTACTTTGTGCTCTGTGAATACTATGCTTACGTATCCCGAAAGGTATGTCTCTCTCTCCTTTTTTTTTTGACGAATTGAATAGATGGTTGATCCTGGTATTCTGTTAGGCCAAGAGCTACAAAGGAGCATTTTACGCCTACAAACATATGATGCAACCCCTTCGCCGTATCCTTCAAGAAAACAGTCAATGTAAATACTATCATACGGCTTATGCCGCCAATGCTAAATTAGCATTGGGATCGGTGCAGATTGACAAGATGGTGATCGACGAAACTTGTAAGGCCCTTCTTTGTACGGAAACGATGAATCAGGATATCTTTTTTGTTGACTCACAATGTGGCTCTAGACGCCGACATTACCACGACGTTGAATGAGATCTGCTCGTGTTCCCGCATGGTTTCTGCCGCCATTGAAAATCACAGAACCATCGACGACTATACCGAAATTGCGTTGAAAAACCTGGTCAAAAGCATCAATGGATTCCGACAAAGCTGTAACCGACTTTACGACTTTATTCAAAAGAAGACCAAACAACGAGATACTACCATGAATGATTTGCCGCTTCAAGACTCGCCCACCATGGAGCCTTCTTTGATCGACGACGACTCTCCATGTGAGAAACTTGTCTCACAACTCGGCAATGCACTTCAGCACTGTAGCGAGCTTTTGCCTGATAATCTGCAGTTGTTGAAGAAAAAGGTACGTGTTTTCTAGTTATCGTACAAAGAAAAAGAAACATGTGCATGACTAACAAGAATTTCAACGAACCAGTCATGGAAAGGCAAATCAAAGCAAATCTCACCGTCAGATCTTGTCCTTTCGCATGTCGATATCATGATTCTTCTTGCCAGAATGCATTTTCAAATAAGCATCGAAGATACATACCAGCAGGCATATGAATATCTTGCGACGGCCGAACAGCTATGCACGGATACGGGTTTCTCTACGGGTTATCGATGGTTATCAGGGGAATTCTACGCCATGGGAGCCAAGATGGCAGCAGAAAGCATGTTCTCGACAGCCCGATATCCTTTACGCAAAGCATGTGTCTTGCTGGAGAAAGATCATCATCGTATCAATACCGACAGTGGCCGCCTACAACTCTGTAAGCGATACGAGATTCTCGGCACATGTTGCCAAAAGGACGGCCGCTTTGAAGTAAGTCGAAAAAGTGGCGTCAACGGAGCCCAAGGCACAGGACTTAACTATATATTGTGTGCTCTAGGAAGCGGTCAAAGCCTACCGCTTGGCATTGAAACGTTTGCCGGCTTGTTCCATTGAAGAGTTTGTTAAATATCATAATCAATTGGCCGTGACGCACATGATTGATCGCCATCCATTTGTCCCAAAACTGATTGATCGATTTTTACGAACGTCCATTATCGATCCAAATCAGGAGTCACTGACGCTTGCAAGTGAAATCATGGACCTTTCCAGCTTGGATTCCGCTCAACGATGCATCATCCAAGAATGCGAGCTAAAAGTGATCCATTTCCTGTCTCTCAAGATGGACTTGAGCAAACTGGAATCAACGCTCGTGAATTCCCTGCTTCATCACTACTCGGCAAAGGATTATCCTATTCGAAGAGCAAGGTAAGAACTTATATCACCTGCTACCATACTATATTTACAGACCAAAACTGACACCATGGTGCCCTCAACAGAGTGGTGCTGGAGAAAATTCGTGTTGAACGAGGTAAACCCGAAGCAACCGGTCCATCATCTTTGCAATCACAGTTGCAACTTGGAACAGAAGCGAGCGAACTACTTTCTTTGGAGGTGGGATCATCCTATTGTACTTTTAAAGTTTATTTTCTACTCTTATTCATCCTTCTTTCTTCTTGCAGGGTTATGGAAACGACGACAATCTTCTTCGGTATCGACGTCATTACCTGGGTTTAGCCTACTCTTGGATCGGCATTTGCAGACGAGAACTAGATGAGGATTCATCCAGTGTCTTTGTTAAAGCTTTGCATCAATGGGGAACCATTTTGAGAAACGTTCGTCCGATTTATAATTCTGGTAAGCAAATGATGGAAATCGACAACCGCAAAATAGTCAAGTCATGTGTTATTTCCATGCAGATACCACGTCAAAAGAAGATTTGAAACATGTGTGTACCGAAATTGATGACATTGACAGACTTTATGGTCATCTTCGTAAGTACTAGGGGAAAAAATCGTTTGAAGGACCTATAAACATGAATATTGACCAATTCCCTCCTTCTCAGGCGTTCTCGCCGATTTGTTTGCAGTCAACCGTCAGCTCACGTATCAGGTGAACGCCCTACGACTGTTACTGAAACTGAACAATGGACTACGCGAAGCTTCGGCAGACCATATTTCCTGTAACTATCCTTCAGCTGAATAGTGGAAAAGATGGCCTTTTCTGGTTAACCTTTATTCCGTAGCTTCCATTATCATTAGTGCGACGATCGGACGTATTTACAGCGAATTGGGCTACTCTGGCAAAGCCGTGATTGAATTTAGTCAAGCCAAAAGTGCCATTCAATCCAAGCCATGCTCGGAACACGCTGAATTGGCGTATCTCGTATCGTATGCCTATCATCTTGCCCTGTTGCGCAATTATGAAAAAAGGTACTTTTTTTTTCCTTGATAGCAGGCCAGATTTTATCGTTCGAGCGTCTCATCCATGTGTTTGGGTTAAACTATCAGCAAGCAGATATTTAACAGTGCCAAGGCGATCTGGCAAGTTTCTCATATGGCAATCGATGATCATCCCTACCGTGCCGCCAAATTTCATTTATCCAACAGTCTGATGCTTGTCGACGCCTACTTTATTAGATCCGTCATTGCTTCGCAAGCAGTAAGTATATGAGAAAAAAAAGAGTAAATGGTCACAATGCTAACGATCTTTTCTATGGTAGGAAAATCTGGATCAAGCTATCAGCGACTGCAACATGGCTCTAAAAAACTTGAACCAATGTGCCCAGTCCATCAAACGAAACCGCGAATCAAAGATGGATACTCTCACTTTGACAGATCCGTTTGCAGACGATTCCAAGGATACAGCGGCACGTAAGCAATCCGAAAGTATCGTAGCGACTGCAGTTCAAGTCGCCTTTAAAGAATCTCAATGGGGTATTGCTTGGGTAAGTCGGGGATGATTGCCTTTTGTTTTCTTTTCAAGCCCATTAACCTTGGTTTCTTTCGGCAGAAAATGAATGCATGCTTTGAGCGTCTGGGATCTTTGCATATGACGCGTGGTTCATGGCGCGATGCTCAATATTATTTCGATCAAGGTCGTCTTCTCGGTGAACAGCTGAAATCAGATGCTATGAAATATCATTTTATGTTATCTCTAAGCGATGCCTATCTTCGCTGCGCCGATCTCAATCATTGTGCAAGCCAACTCGAGGAAGCTTCCAATATACAGCCCCATGTAAGCCAACCATTTTCTCAGCCCTGAATCCTCCCTATTAAACTTTCAATCTTTTCAGGGATTTGCGTACATTCGAGAGGAAGCGGATTTGAAAATGGCCAACGGCGAGTTGGACGCCATCCGAAACTACCTTGACCAAGCCATTGAATCTTATGATAGGGCCGATGAGCTGTTCCAGAAATTAACCGACTCTGGTTACATTGCAACTCTGGAAAATCTTATTGAAAGGTAAATGGCCCAAGTCTAATCATAAGGCAGCATGGGACCCAGCTTACCCATTTGTCACGATGTTAGTGATGATGAGATCCAAAAATTGAGTGAAATGGCCAGCGAGGCACACAGCTTGGATAGCGGTTTACGAGGTATGTGTGGAATATTGACTTTTCAGTTTCGTGTCATCCATCTTGACGAGCCATGATTTATCTTAGATACTGTTCAATTTGAATGTCGGCCTCTGCAAAGTATGAGAGGAAGCAACATTGTGCGCAAAGGTAAGATAATAGTACACACCACCAGCACCACCAAATGATCATCACTAAATGATTGTCTTTCAGCATTGATTACCGCACGACAAGAATCACCTAGTGTTGCCTTGAATATACTCGAAAAGCTGGAAGAATCGGGCGTTATGCCAGACGAGGTACAATTTCAATAGAAACACGCCTCGATGCCTTTTTCACTGACTTGCTGAAACTATAGGTGGAATTGAATGCTGCTATTGCTCACATTCGTCTATTGCTGGTTCGTCAAGAACTCATGGAACGATCCGAGACCTCGTCTTTGTACAGCAACGGTAACCTTTAACCCTTTACCTGTGTCTGTGTTCTTCGTTGCTCATCATCAATTTATAGTGCTGACTCTACCGGCCTTGAAGATTCAGCAACGCAGTTCGGTTGCCAAACGAACAAATCTGGGACACGATATTCGCGTAATCAGAGACAATCTTACCCATGCATTGGAACGTATTCTGGATGCTCACCGGACAGGAGCTACCAATGCCAGAATCCGTGAGTTGCACAACTTGTGCATCGAAGCCGGTCGCACCATGTTCCTGAAACATCACTTTTCTGCCAATGGACGTCTCTTTGTCAACAATTACGCGGCTTTAAGTGCCTATTACCTCGGTAAGCTTTCAACTTTGGCCACATTTGGTGTTTGTATTCCGTATTGACTTGGGGATTTAAAAGAAATGGCCAAATCGATCAGCATCCGACGAGAAATGCAGGCATGTCTGGACTCCAAGCTCAGTGATCCGAGATTACGTACCACGTGTCAAGATCAATGGCCCAAGGATTTCCATGAAGAATCAGCGGACGAGGATTTGATGGAGTTGGAAGAACCGCGTCAACTATTCAACAATCCCCCGTGGATCCAGACGTGGTTGCATCAACTGCGCAATCAATATTCAGTGGAGCATGAGTTGGATGATGGCGAATTCCAGGAAAACTTTGTAGACATCATCCCAGAACCATGGACAGTGTGCTGCTTGACGATGGATATTCATCACGACGATCTCTACCTTGTACGCCTACGAGCTGGCGAATCCCCGTTTGTCGTCAAATTACCCCTGAATCGACTTGGCTGGCGTTCAGGCGCAGAAACTGTCAACGGAATCTACGAAAATGCAGCCACTGAATTCAAGGAAATTATTCAACAAAGTGACGATACAATTCACAGCAGTGCAACGTATATGGAAAACAATGATGTCGACGGTTGGTGGAAGCAGCGCATGGCTTTGGATCAGAGATTAAAGATGTTGCTCACCTCTATTGAGCATGACTGGTTCGGTGGTTTCAAAGTAAGTGCAACCTGAGATCAAGAAATTGGGACGCTGGACTCATCAGGCTATTTGCGTATTGCAAACAGGGATTACTGTGTGGGCAATACCAAGAAGACGAAGAAGCACTGTCGCAATTGTGCCAGATGGTCACTCAACTGGTGTACAAGGCAGCTTACAACATTACGGACGATCGATCCTATTCGAACAAGAAATGCATCAATATCAACTCTACCATATGTCGTATGCTGGTGCGTTTGGGTCCCGATCCTTCCAGTCAAGATCTTCAAGACGTCATTTACTATCTGCTGAGTTGCTACGAAAATCAAGATGTCATTGTACAATACTCGCTTGTTGACATGCCTCAAGTAAGATCCATTCATCTCAATATACGTGTTATTTTCATGTAGTAAATTCATTGCTTGTCCATTTTAGTTGCAAGAACAATTCGCAAGTGCCATTCGACGATACCATCAGAAAGCTCGCAAGGCGGGAGTGGATCCCATGCAGCGTTTACCCAACGACCATGTCATTCTGATTCTGGATAAATATACCCAAGTATTTCCTTTGGAAAGCTTGAATATCATGCGGAATCAATCGGTGTCGCGTTTACCGTGTCTTTCCTTCTTACGTGATCGCATTCAGTACGTCCGAGCCTTCACGAACCACCAAGTCAATACGGAGGGGGAGCAGCCTGAAGCTTGGACAGATTTGTGCGTAGACCGAGACAGCGCGTTTTATATTCTCAACCCCACAGGGGATCTCAAGCATACCCAGAACGAATTTGAGTCTCTTTTCAACAACATGAAAGGCTGGACTGGACTTGTTGAAAAGCGACCCATGGAGCAAGAATGTCGCCATGCCCTTCGATCCAAAGATCTTTACATGTAAGCAACGAAAAAATTTGTGATTGCACGAAAGTTTTATTGAATGACCGTTTTTGCTTCTTTTCCCCTAGGTACTTCGGTCACAGCGCTGGACAGTCGTTTATTCGAGGTCAAATGATCCGACAATTACCCCAATGCTCGGTTGCCCTCTTATTTGGATGCAGCAGTGGCGCGCTTGGATCGCAAGGCGAGTATGATCCACAAGGCTATGTTCTCAATTTCCTTATGGGCGGAAGGTACATTTTTATTTCATCTCGGCACAAAACACAGTGTGTGATGTTGGCAATTGACCGTTTCATTCTTCTCTAGTCCTGCGGTTGTAGCCAACCTTTGGGATGTAACGGACAAGAGCATCGATCAGGTGTCAAAGAAAATGATGGAGGCCTGGGGTTTGTTCGACAAACGTACCAGTTCCTGTTCCTTGATCGATGCATTGAATGCATCTCGTAATCATTGCAATTTGCCTTATCTCATAGGTAAGTAGAGGCTATAGTTTGTATGAAATCATCCGTCTTACCTGACTGAAAAAAAATGAATTCAACTAGGCGCTGCACCCGTTGTATATGGCATCCCTGTTTATTTGAAACCCGTGGTCTGATCGCTGTCATTGGCCATTGTACATTTTATTTTCTCCAACATTTATGCGAGTACAATTGTTATTATATAAAAAAATTCCTCGATTATTAGCTTGATACTTGGTTTCTATTACCAATTGTTGCCTGGTGGACGGTAACCTGGTTGTGCTGCAGACGGTCTTGGTGGGTTGGTTGAATAGCCGTAAGGAGCTTGTTGTGGTGGCTGACCGGACGCTCCGCAAATCGAAGGATGATATCCTCCCATAGGATTATTATTATTATCGTGAGACGGGCCTGGAGCGTAATTTATCTGGGGAGTACTATGCGGGGGTCCACTCATTGGCATTGGAGGAGCACCCGCTGGAGGATGAGGCGTGGATGGAGCATAGGATTGTTGGGGATAACCCGAATAAGGACGTGAAGAAGGCGGCATCGGTCGTGGTTGCGGTGGATGGGTTGATGGAGGCATCGACGGTGGCATCGATGGCATGGGATACTGGTTTGATTGTCCCGGATGAGATAGTGGGGTTTGTGGTTGCTGTTGTTGGTAATGTTGTTGTTGTTGTTGCGGATACGGTGGCTGTGGTGGTGGCGGCTGCGATGGTTGTGGTTGCTGGGGTGTCGAAGCTTGCATTGACTGCGGTTGTTGCTGGGATGGCTGCGATGGCGAGGGTGTGGCCTTGGTGGCCAACGAGGGTGAGGGTGCGCTTACACTGAACCGTTGCGAGCTTGATTTAGGTAAAGAGGGGTATTCGATTCCATTTTTTCTAGCACCATCCTGTCGCTCCCCCTGAGTTTCTTCCAAAAACTCGGCTTTTCAAAGGGTCATGTCAATTCATGCACAAGACAAAAAAAGATTCATTTAAACTCTATACCTAATTCGGAGGTCGACAATTGTCGATATGTTTTTTCGGGAGCTGTGAAAACAATGGATCAGCAACAGATTTACAAAAAGAGATGAGATGGAGTGATTGAATTCACGAGACTTACCGGCTCCTTCAGTTATTTTGTCGCTGGAGAATGATGAGGTGGACGATGCATTTGCATGTATCAATTCGTTCAACGTATCACGAAGAGAGGTCAGCTTTGATACCAATTCGCTGTTCATGCCATCACGAGGGTAAGAATTGGATGATCCCATAAATGGTCGCGTTTCCTTGTTAACCAAGGTTGAGTGCTTAGGTTCGCATATACCTTGTTATTTTGCGCCCCTTACCTTGTCAAACACTGTGATTTTCAATAGATTACTCTGAGAAATCGCATGACTAATATCCACATCATCTATGGAATTGAGAATACGTGAGCATACAATCCATGTTCATAATTTGACAATGATTGATGTACCTGTCATACTGATCATATCGCCCTCTGCGAATAAAAAGAAACCTTTTAGTTTGCGCCCGTCCACAGAGAGAAATATAGGAACTACAAACCATCGTCGGTATATTTGAGGACAATATTTTCTGGATTGGAAAGGTCGCTCTTGAAGAGACGGTACATCATTAGGCATAACCTGTAATGAAATTGAAGAATGAGTGTGGGTGGCCTGCAGGTTGGAGCAAAATAACGCCTACTCGTCGTATGTTGGTGCTTGGTTTATGGGAATACGACGAATGTCATTGCCGCAACGGCCTACCAGTGAAAAAGCAAAAAACGAAACAGTGAGCAACAGCAGCAATGCGGTTACAGTGTATCGTCCTTCAAATTACATTTCACAATGATATCGCCCGTGACAATTTTACGTAGGTCAGTGTAGTCCAGGTGGGTGCTCATGGGGTGGGAAGAGATTTTTTTGAAACGCAGGTTCCCGCTCCTGGAATAGAAGCATGGTTTTTTTGCAGCGTGGTTCCAAAGGCACAGTCACAATCACCTTGAGCATGAATTTGGGAAAACTGTATCAGTTCATGGCTCTTCCACCAAAAAAGTGCAGCCACTGTCTGACAGTGACACTTTAAGCGGTTTTATCCATGCGCTCGATCGAGACAGCGTCTTAATTTCTTGGGCTCAAATGGACCAGAAGCAGGCGTTGATGGAGGTTCATTGTTTGATTTGTTACCGTTATTAACCGCTCGCCTTATAGTACGGTAGAGCAAAGCCTTCTTTTATGGTGCGACATCGACTGGTTAGTTGCCTGTCGTTGTTTTTCTGTAGTATTAATGTTTCCTTTGTTATTCGCTTTTGACATTTTTGCTCATCATATTTATTATTGTTTTTAAATCTATCAAGGTCTCTTTATTATTTTATTTGGGGTATAAGAGGTTTTTACTGACGCGCTCTTCCTTTTTTAAAAGCAGTTAAAAATACCTTTTTTTCAGAAAAACTTGGTCTCTAGGATGTATTCTTCTAATAGTGCACTGGTACATGCTAGTAGTTACTTTTTTACTTGCACAGAGACCACGTTTTTATTTTCTCCACAGACAAATGTTTTGATTTACGAGAGGACTGTTTCGATACCTCCTTGTGAATCAATCGAGTTTTGGATTATTATAAGGTGGAATTGGAATGGCTCTGACGATGAGGATGATAATAATAAGGTTAAGTGTAATTCTCTTTAGATAGAGTATTCAAGTACTGGTGATTATTTTTGAGCAATACTGCGCTCGGTCGTTTCCGAGAATGTTCTTGTACGACCGAGTATACTACCAAACAAAACGGAAACGGCAAGCCAAGCCAAATCAAGCGGACCAATGTGGTTATTGGCGAAATAGCTAAAATTGGTATCAGGTGAGCTCATCCGCCAAGCCGATGATATGGCTGAGTTGGGGGAGGAAAAGAAGAATGTCGTACAATCGAGCTCATTTAACAGATCATGAGGATTCTCTTTGAAATTTTGACTGTGGCGTTTTTCCCTTTTGAAACATGAAAGCAGTGCCATCGGAGTCAAAGGCAAAAGGGCGCGCAGCGTTTTGATCACAGTGGGTGGAATGACCACGTGCTTTTTTACCGTTTTCGACTCAATCTAATAAAAACTTATCATTTTTCTGGCCAAACTCATCATATTTTTCATTTTCCTCCTCTTTTCTTTCCTTCATTTCTCTCTTCCTCTTTCTCTCCTTTCAAAAAAAAAACCATCATGTCGATTTTACGACAGCAACCACCGCCAACCAGTTTTCCAGAGAAAATGGCTAGTGTAGCCTCCATCAATGATGGTTTATACCCGGTCTCTTTAACCTCACCCCCCGCCGCGGACGGTAAACGACCTCAGCGCGACTCCGCTCAAAGTACGTCCATGGAAGAACCTATCACACCTGATAAAGAGGTTAACGAATGGCGAGATCCACTCTATCATCCCGTCCCCACTCCCAAACGTTCCTTCACAACCTCGGTTGTATCCGAAACTGAGTCCAACCTGACCGTCGAAACCGAACTGAAACGGCATTCCACCATTGAACGCCATGACCCCGATGATTCGCACATCCACACTTCTTCTTCAGGCACCCGAAAATCCAGCAGTATCCGATCCTTGGGGCGTCATAACACCACCGGTCACGCTTTCCATGCATCTGCCCATAAACAAATGCGCATCTCGGAAGAGTTTGAAAAAGAATTATCGGCCCGACGAAAAGCGTTTCGCCGCCTGTCTCGACGACGACCTCACGACAACGAAGTGGACGAGGATCGAGTGCTCATAGGCACTCGCATCGCCGAAGGACATCAAAACTACGTTCTCATGTACAACATGCTGACAGGCATCCGAATTGCCGTTGGTCGAGTATCGGCCAAAATCGACCGTCCATTGACAGACGAAGATTTTACGGCTGCACATAAACTGGCTTTTGATGTGTAAGGGCTTTTTTTGGGGGGGGTGTTGCCTTTCTCCTTTTTTCCTCTTTATCTATTTGTTTGTTTACTGATTCGTTTTATTGCATCTTTATTTACTTGATCTAATTCTATGATGCTTCTGCTTTCTTGCTTCTGTCGCTACAGGACAGGTGATGAATTAACGCCCGGTGCCAAGTATGATTTTAAATTCAAGGACTATGCTCCATGGGTTTTCCGACATTTGCGCGAAAAATTCGGTATTGATCCTGCGGATTACTTGGTAAGATTCAATTTTTTTTAGGCGTTTAGCCGATCTACAGGAAAAACAAGAAAAAATAGAAAGTTAAACGACTGATTTAGATTTCTTTGACGAGTAAATATATTCTTTCCGAACTGGCTTCCGCAGGAAAAAGTGGCAGCTTTTTCTACTATTCGCGCGATTACCGATTTATCATTAAAACCATCCACCATACGGAACATAAATTTATGCGTAAAATTCTAAAGCAATACCATGATGTAAGTGTGCATGAGTCGACGGTGGCTGGTGTTCCTGCCGCAGTCCGTACTAATCTTCTTTTTTTTTGGTTATTCTATAGCACGTCAGTACGAATCCAAATACTTTACTCTGTCGATACTACGGTTTGCATCGTGTTAAATTACCCCATGGAAGAAAAATTCACTTTGTGGTCATGGGCAACGTGTTTCCACCCAATAAAGACGTCCACGAGACATATGACCTTAAGGTATTAAAAAAGATGAGAGACCGACATGATGTTTCTGAAGCCTCCCGTCGATGAAACTCACCTGTTTTTTTCTCAAATGTATTTAGGGCTCCACGGTGGGAAGATTCCTGCCTGAAGAAGAAATTCGAAAGAACCCGTATGCTGTCATGAAAGATCTCAACTGGGTCAAGCGAGAAAAGAAATTGCAGCTGGGTCCTCGAAAACGTAAAATGTTTATCAGCCAACTGATCCGCGATGTCAAGGTAAACCGTCTATGTGAAGCGCAAATGATGACGGGGGTCAACTCACTGTCCACTTGCCTGCTCCCATTAGCTTTTGATTCGTTTGAATATTATGGATTACAGTTTGCTTATCGGTGTGCATGACATGTTGCGCGGTAACAAAGACAACGTGCGCGATTCCACATTGCACTTTTTCCAGGTAAATGCGAGCAAGTGCTCCCCCCACCTAAAAAAAAAAGTGGTAATGCCATGTCATCTAATTATGATATTTTGCTACAGCCCGATACCAAACGTGTAGAACGAAGAGCGACTCTCAAAATGCATCGTCAAAGCAAAGCGCAAGTGGTACGCAAAGCCATTGCCCAGGCGAATCCCGATCCAATGGATGTTTCAGAGCTGCCAGAAGATCCCTTTGAAGAGTAAGTCGACACATACGGCGAGATAAAGAAAGGGAGGAACAACCACTGATTTGAGATAAATCTAGGCGTCGCAACTGCGTGTTTTATTCAGACGATGGTGGGTTCCAAGCAACGGACGAGCAAGACCGTCCATCAGCGATGCTGTATTTCATGGGCATTATCGATATATTGACGCCATATGATATGAAGAAAAAGTCGGAGCATTTCTTCAAATCGATGACTCAGGACAAGAATGCCATTTCATCCGTGCGACCGTCTCACTATGGAGACCGATTCATGGGTTTCATGGCGCAAACGTTGGAACACAGCGAAGACGTCCCTCATGAATATCAACTCAGTAATGAAGGTCGCCGCTAACGAAAAACAACCGGAAAAAAAATACCTTGTATTCTAGACTTTCGATGCATCCATATACACTTTTTTCTTAATTCACTCATATCTTTTCATCCCTCTTTCTCCCGTTTCCCTTTTTCTTACTCTTCCCATCTATACATATCCGCTTGGTTTTATCTATCATACCCTAAAATAAAAAGAATTTGCGTAGGTTGGTATTATTGATATAATATAGAAATGTACTGGATCAAATATTACAATTCAAAGCAAACTACAAAGAAAGCAAAAGAAAAAAAAATCTTGAAAGCAGAGCAACTGTAAAAACAATGAGGGATTAATCGACCGACACAGAATTCACGTCACAATTCATGGGGGGAAAGGGAAAAACCATATGAGGAGATGAATTTAATGCTGTAATGAATAAAATTGTAAATGAAAAAGATCCGTTGGTTTCTTGTTCTTTACTGGTTCCCGGATGAGTAGTTTGCGGGAAATTGATACATCCATCCCAATTCATTTCCGGTCAGTTGACCAGCAGCTTCCATATCGTTTGTCATTTGCAGATCGAAAAAGTTGTTGCCTGTGATGCCGATCCCCGGTGAACGTACAATGGACTGCAGCGCGGCAGCAATATTTTCACTATTGTCGCCGAGAATCCAATCGGTGCATGAGACGCCGTCACATGTGGATGCAGATACATCGGCAAGGGACATTTTCCGCATCAGGGTGGGCGGAATCGGTGAAGGGGTCATTGTTTGCGGAGCCGAAAATAGAGATGCATTGGGCGCCATCGAGTTGAATCGCGGTGGTACTTGAGAAGGTGGCATGGTGGCAGGTGGGGGTGGGGGTGGGAAATTCATAGGCATCTCCCTTGCAGAAGAAAAGCTGGAAGGCGAAGTCGACGACTCGTTTCTGTTGGCTTGGACTCGCTGCATATTACTATGCATCGCATACAGATCGCGGATCATAAAGTATAATTTATCGGCCATGGCCCAGTAAATACGCATCGACTAGTGTACGTGCACACATAAATTTAGTCATGACTCGAAAAAAACACAATAAAATTGACAACAATGTAAGGCGTACCTGCAGGAGCTGAAAGTGGACGGTGAGTGCCTCCCTGGCTTTGTTGGCTTCTTCCGGATTGGGTGAAAAGGTGTTGTTGACAGCAATGGTAGCTACCGTGTAGGACAAGTACGTCAAATACGGAGGCATCAGCGACGTGCAATTGTTAATGGCTCGAAGCATGTCCGTGACCGCATCCACTGCCTTGGTGCATTTTTTCACACTGTCATTGATGAAATTTCGGAGCGCCGGTTGAATCATTTCTGAATTGAGTGTGTCAGCCATCACCAACGAAGGTCGATGTAGAAGCACGGTCAACGCGTTGTGTAAAATGTGCGCCTGATCAAAGAAAAAGACGTATATCAGATAATCTACTGTGCCTGCTGAAATAAAACAAACATACCATGACAAAGCGACCTCCATCGATGGAAGAATTGGTTCGGAATTTGTGTAAATTGGCGGCGGTATTTTGTAGATGCGGGGGCAACCGGTCACTCCATTCATCGATCTGACGGTCCAGCTGGGCAAATTCGGATTCGGGATGGTACGGCGGTAGCGATGATTTGGTGATCTTCCCTCGATTGATAAACATGGTTAATTTACCCAACAATACAATGGCATGCAGCATGTAAGCGTGACAGCTCAGTTCCGGTTTCTGGTCTGCGTTGGCAACATTGGTAGGCGCTGAAATTGTCGCGGTCACTCGAAGCAGGTTGCTCTCCTGTAAATCTTGAATATTAAAGTAGGCCACTCGACTCTTGTCAATTGTCTCGGTATAAAAATGTCCCCTCGTCCATCCATCTTCATCACTCGGAAGAAACAGGTCGCAATCCTCGTCTTGCAAAAACATCGGTCGTCCCGTCGCTGCACTTTGAATTCTGGTTTCATCATTCCAAATAAGCATTGGTTTACCAAACATACCCATTTTGCATGCCCTGGATTTATTACCTGTCTAGGACGAAAATGGACCAAAAAGTACGACGTCGATATTCCTGCTGTAACCATTTCTCCGCAGGTTGAGGCTGCGTGAACCCGTCTTCGGCCTCTTCCTCTTTATTCAACCCCAGTTCAAGCGCCATGCGAATTGCCATACCAGAATACATCCAACTCCTATCAAATATCAACGTCGCAAACAAAGGGAATCAATATCACAAAAAGGTTCAGTTCCCGGCAACAAAACAAAAGAAGCTTTACCTTGGACCTCTGGCACAGCCGAATTCGTGAAGTGTAAGCAGTAACAAGGCTTGAACGTTGGCTAAGGAGGGATCATCGATGGCTTTGACAACGTGTAAATCTCGAGCTTTTTTGGCATATTTTTCACCGGCATGCCACGCAGGAGTTTCTTTAATATCCGGACGACTGGAAAACCTATGAAATCAGAGAACAATAAATAAGCCAAGACAAGTTCTCCAAACCCGGAGGGTCTTTTCTTTCTGCTTACCGGGCGGCGACGGACATGACGCTAAGCAATAAGAATTCGGAGCATTTGCCTTGACGAACGTCTTGCATAAACGTGCGTGGGTCCAGCACGGGGATAGTTGTGTAAACATTGTCGAAAAACAAGGTGACAAGGTGTTCGATGACGTCCCCTGGAGGAAGCACTTGTTGATCGTTCGGTATAGGTGACGCTTCCATTTTAATGGGTGAGGCAGTGGGATGGGAAGGGGCGGACGAGGCGGCGAATTCAGGTCGTACAGAGTCACTGGCTGTGCTCGTGGTCATGGTAGTACGTCGATCGTCTGAAGTTGAAGAAGTGGGTGAAAGCGCCACTTTTTCATCCTTGCCTCCGGGATAAAGTATCTTTTCCATTTTATCAAGCCGTTTTTCTAACATTTCAATGTAGCCCTGCCGTGGCCCTCGTTTCTTGGTACTGGGAATATACGTACACTCCCGATTCAGTTTGACACAATTCTTGCACGAAGGTCGGCCACCATCACATTTGATCTACGAAAAAGCCAGATCAAATCATAAGTTCCCATTTTGCCGTGGATCTAGAAAAGAATGCCCGTGCATTGGCATGGGCACCAAGCGATGTGGTTTTGTTCTTACTTTCTTCTTCCGACACATATCGCAAGCTTGAGTCAGTCGTTTACGTTTATGCTCGTTTGAGCTTCCTTCGGTGACGGCCATATTAGGTGGTGGAGGCGGTGGCGCTCCTGCATAGTCTCCCGTGTGCATCATCGTATCTTCCATAAATATCAATCTCGCACCCTGATAAGAACCCTTTCTTCTATCAATTTTTTTCTCTTTTTCAACCAGTTGGCCTGGGCAACAATAACAGGATAGAAAAAGGAGATAAAATAAAACAAGCAACAGAGATAACAAACAAAAAATTACGACGGAGATTGTCCCTGTCTCAAAAAATAAAAAAGAATCTCAAGTGGAATTTCTGGAGGAATTCCAGTAAAAAAGATAACACAGAGAAAAGAGGAAAATTTTTGTTCCAAAGATACTGCTCTCCTTTTTTGGTTCGAAAAGAGTAGAGTAACAGGAGGACCCTCACCCTGGGCAGACCAGCACATCTTACTCATCAATTCTATGCCCAGTCACAAATCATTTCAGACCAAGATAAAAAAAAAAAAGTGTGCTGCTGCGCCATGCTTGTGGTACAAAGAGCATACAATTCAAGGGAACCCATCACCTCTCTCAGCGGATGGACGTAGACTGCTCATTTCTCCCCAGCTTTGTCAGCGTTCGGTCAGTCTAAAATGTAACAGAGATTTTAGGTTTCAGACTCCCCTTTTGTCGAAATCGGTTTCAGATAGCCCTTTTTTGCGTTCCGTGGAGAAATTTCTCCATCTCTTCTTCGTCATGGGAACTTAATCCTGCATATTTCTACCATGCCCAATGACAAAACAAGAAAGATCCTGATTGGTTTTCTTCTTGATGGAGTCGAATCTCTACATGAATGACGAAGTACCCAATCATGGCTTCCAGATATCGAGAAAGAGGGCCGAAATGACTGGCTGAAGTAACAATGGGCTTTTTTTAAAGCCAGATGCAAAACGCCACTCGACATTCAGCGCCCAAACAAAATTCGTGCTTCAACACTCGTATTCGTCGTAAATTCCCTAAGAAACTCACCCATCGCGGCTTCCATACCGTCCCTCACATCCAGAAATCGGCGCATGGGCCGGAAGTAAACTCCGTTCTCTCGATTGCCAATACTGGAATCCATCATGATGATGCGCTCGTCCGGAATAACGAGACAAAGACAGATACTCCAATTGGGCTCTACATGGCAGCAGACATTCACGCCACACACGCGCTGTAATTGCATTGCATCGTCCAGGGGTCAATAACTTTAGGTTTCGTAACTGGCGAAAGGCCTGAAAATCTCATACCAGGGACTGTTCCAGCATGCTCCAACGTTGCATATGTACTTCCATTGTATCGAATATTTTCCAGTATGATGGATCGAATCATGAATTCTTCGCAATTCTTCAACCATGGGTGTGGTTAGAATGGCATGGAGGCGTGCCAGTTCTAACGTCTGAGGATAGAGGGCGTCTTCCCATGTCAGAACACTAAACTCGCCGGGAACGGTTTCCGTGCTGCCATCATCATACTCGACCCGGGATGTTCACACATTCGCATGAATTGTAACACCAGCACACGTAGACCTTGTAATTTGGCGAACACCGACCAGATCAATTCACCCCCGTGATCCACGCATCACAATATTCTTACACGACGGCGATGGCATTCAACTTACAATATATGGCGCCAACATGAGAGTTCGCCAGCGACGACACACGGCGACCAGCGCACATAACGTTTCGGTGTTAGCGCATATAACGTTTCGGTGTCAGCGCATATAACAAAAAGATCTCGCAAAAGGCAATCGTCATTGAGCATGTATATGGGCGTATTCTACACCGAGAGAAAAATCAAGAGTGCATGACGTGCTTAGGGTTGTGCATAACCGAGTTGGTGGAGCTGCATAGGGCGCGTCATTGACTGGTGGTCTTATGTGGCGGGCAAAGAGGAAAGACGTGAGAAACCGATGGTGGCGGCGATTCTTTCGCTAACCAGTGTAGCCAGCGCACTGATTAACTAGACGCACGGACTCACCTTGGGCTGGGTATTTACTTCCGTCTGATTGCAAGAGCAAGTACGACGGCGCAGTGAGGTTTTTGGAGAACAAGTCTTTTGATAATATCTGTTTTTCATGTGCGTGGAGGAGCTAGGTTTTAAGATGCTCTGTGAATTTCTGGTAAATGACCGTGGCAGCATTGGTATCTTTTGGCACCTAGCGGTTGACGAAGAGGTATCGATTGCACAGGACAAAGCGTGGTTGAAGGAAAAAATTCACTTCCAATCATCACTTGTCATTTTGAAGCCACAGTCCCATATGATTGGCTGTGATAAGATCTATCCTTTTCACTCGCCCATACAACCATAACATTTTAGACAAGCTGTATGGGTCATTTGATTTGTTCAAGTAAAATATCATTCTATTCGGGTGATATCTTTTACGAACACTGTCTCCCATAAACCTGATGAAAACTATGTGAAACTGCGATCGCTTAAAGATACAAGGCGGTATTATTCCCGATATCAATGAATACAACGAAAGATGCTAGAGTGAGCAGTACGCAATACTTAATATGATAACAATATGCTCGCTTCAAACACCATAATCATTTGCTGTTCCAAAAGCCTCCCAGACAAACGATCGTGTTCTAGGATAGTTCTCACATAATATTAAAATTCTGTAAATATTTCCGTATACTAGCACTAAAGTGAACTACCGGTCATCACACTTGGTTTTGACGCTTGATGCAAAGTGATTATGCCGCACTTTGCTCGTCGACAGGGTGTGTGGGACCTGAAGACCAACTGTTTTCAAAGTTGGCGGCTTTTAAATTACCAATCGTTTCAGAGATCGAATACAACCGACACAATACCAATGGCTGTTTGGCCTCATTAAATCAAAGCGAGACATCCGCTGATTATGAATTGTCTTTTTTTATTATTATCACGGCCAAAAACGCATTTCTTTGTGACCTTGAGAACGAAAGAGCGGTATATATACGGTATCAATGTAAAAAAAGATGTTCAAGCAATACAAATGAATTACTCGGAGCTGCAAGTGGGTATCCACAGGATATCGGTGCAATGTGTGCCTTTGACGGAGGACAGTCGATAACTGAGATAGAGAAAAATCATGCAGACGATCACCAACAGTACGAATAAGATGAGGCGACAACGATGACGACGAAGCGTTCCATGGTCACCTCCAGAATTCCAAAATGCTGTTTCAATATCTTCTATATGGACAGGCACGGAATACAAAGGATAGAGCATGGAACATGAACACCTGGAAGAGGCGTTGAAAAAGAAAAATGGGCAAAAAAAAGGCACTGTTGCCGCATTATTTTGGAGCGGCCTTCACCACGTCACTTGCGAAGCGAAGGGACTGGCGATTGAATGTTTCAGAATACGTGGTACGAATGGCTGAGACCGAACCAATGGACAGGATTAATGCGAAACATAAACACCGACATGCATATAACCCAGAAAGCCCTTTTTGCCTCTGGCACTCCAATACACAAACCATTTGACGAAAAAAAGGATGGCTTGCAAAAAATATGTTTATTTTGTGTCTATATTCAAAACTTTTTTTCCCGTTAAACTGTTAGTTATTTTATGAGGAGAGTTTAGGCAACTGCAGCCATGACTCCCTTGGCAAGGTCAAAATCATATCTTTTTGATTGATCAACCAAGCACACTTTTCATTGGACCTCATTTATTAATTTTTTTTTTCTTAGAAAAAAAAAAGTTAAACCCTGTCCGACCATGAAGCCTTGCTTCTCTTTCCTCAATTTCGCTCTTTTTCGCATTTCCATACCTCCTTTTATTCATTTTGACGGTACCATGAATGGAAATGAGAGAGACGAGCGAAGGCGATCGCTAGCGATATCTGCTTTGCTGAACGAAGAACCTTTCGATCCCCTTCCTCGTCCATCATCCCAGCTACCCACCGCTGAACAGAAACGGCTCAATCGAATGACATGGCCAAACGCTATCATGATCGATGCGTCGTCGTCCAAATCTTATCATGCCACCGAGGCCGCCGATGCCGCCGACTCCTCCTCGGATGCCTGGGATTCGAAAACTGAGGATGGACATGAAGACGGGGGGATGACCAAAACCAAACGGAAACGGATATCGGCTGAACAATGCAAACGTCTCATGGAAGTTTTCGATACGACCAATACCCCTAGCTCTGACGTTCGTGAAGAGCTCGCCCACGAACTGGGCATGACAAGCCGTGAAGTCCAAGTATGGTTTCAAAACCGACGAGCCAAACTCAATCGTACCAAAGCAGCTCACAACAACAATGGATTTTTCCGCTCCCGCCAATCGTTATCCGTCATGCCTCCTATCATGACTCCCGTCCGGCCCAAACAACTGGATCTCATTTCCGATCGTCCACGCAGAGCGTCCGCACAACCCATCATGCAACCATCCCATTATTCTTCACCTCTGCTTCCGTCCGAACGTCCATCCTCATCGCATCGAAATTTTCATCCTATTGCGCCCATGCCACCGGGACCTACTTCTTCTGCTGCCCATGGGTTTTCACCTTTCGCCTCCCAATCCGGGTGGAAACCCATTGCTCCCAAACAACAGACACCTTATTTCAACGATCAACCTTCGCCATTTGCATCCAAGTACCCTCCCATAGTACCCAATCCATCCTCCATTCACCACGTTATTGCCGATCTTAGTATACAACCCAGACACGATGAACGATCTCCCGTCCGAAAACGGCCAAAATCCGTCATTGGCACGCTTGGCTCGTAGATCGGGCTCCGTCAGCAAAACAATACTCTTTTTTGTTCTGTAAATGCTTCTATGTATATAGTTCTTCTTTTCCCAAAAACCCAATACACACTACACACAAGTTTTCGGCGACGCCAAAAATTTACCATTAGGAACCGGCATGTCCTTCTTGGGAGTACATGCCTGGCACAAAAAAAATACGAACTCTCTCTGGCAATTTTAGCTGCTTGTGAGAAGTGAGACTGAGTTTGACTTCTTATTCAAATGCAAAAGCTAACCTGTTGACCTGAAGATGAAACCTTGATTAAGTAAAACCTTGTAATGAGAAACTTGAGAGAATTATTCCCAAACCGACTTTGGACCTCCGCCTGTCACTCAAGCCTATCACCCAATCATTTTGCTTGGACAGATCCGACTCCCATTCTTATTGGTGTTTCGAGGGCGTTCTCCAATGTTTTGATTTTTCAGACCAATCAGACCTTGGCGATTTGTTTGGCGTGCGCGTTAATAACACATCAAACAAAACACCCCAGCTTTCTAGGAACCAATGTTTAATGACTGGTTGCTGAAACTTCTGTGATAGGAAGCGATGTCAACCGGTTGTTACATAACCAAGCCTACTTGGGATGAACATCAACTGACAAAACATAGGATTGCTGCCGGGAAATCAAACAATAGACATATCTGCGCAATACTCCAAGAGACCATTTATAGCGTGGCCGTCATTTTCTGTGGCTAGAATTAGCTGCTTTTAATGAAGTTGCCGATTCGTTCCTCTTATCAAAACAATGAGAAAAAGGATGATTAAGACGCTTCATTTATATACAGTCACCACTCGTTTTTGGAGTCATCTCGGGAAGCACGAAAAAGTGATGCCTAAATCAATTTGATTTTAACATTCAAAGTATAAATAAAAGTGATGATTGGAAAATCCAGAAAAGCAATTCCAAAATTGAGCGGTGACTCTTTGCTGCTTTGCTCAGATCCTTGATAAATGCACAAAAGTGACAACATTTCATTCGATTACAAACAGCCCAACCTGTTATCGTGGAAAGAAGCGGAGAAGGAGAACTCAGTTTTCAAGAGGAGACAACACTGATCCTGCAGTTCAAATCAGTTTATGCGAAAATCACCAAATCGCAAAATGAAGAAACCAAGCTACTGGTGCTGCTGCCGCGCTGATTCGTGTTTCCATCACTTGCATATATGCAAGAACATCTTTGATTATTCTTTTTGCGGACATGCTCACATGTGTCCGCATGCGCTTTGGTCTTGCGCTCTCCGGGTTCCGTCGCCATTGTAACATGGCGCACTGAAACTGACACCCTGTTTCGTGGAGCTATACGTGAATGTTTATTGTCACAGCAATATTGAATATACATGGTTTCAAAAACAAGATTGACATGAAGGGACAGGGCAAATGGGGAAACTTTTTAACATACAACAAGATCAAAAATAGTGCTAAAAGTCTGAAGCATTGTCGCATCAGCGTTCAACATAGGCTATACTGCACTTTGTAGAGCGACTGTAGTATACATTGGATGCTGATGGCAGCATGAGTGACATGGCGCAGCTCCTCTTTGCATTCCTTACGCGAAAGAAGAGTGAGGCGCTGAAGTTCGCCAGTTTTGTTGCGAGAATCGAGCCAATGAGGTGCATTTGCGGTCATAACACAGCGTCACAAATCGAAGGTCCGCAAAAGATATAAAAAGAGGGCGTCTTTTCTGATCTCTTTTTTTTCTTTTGTGCGCCAGTTCGGAATCAGGGGCTGCTAGGCTGGTGGTTACTGGTAATGATGAACGCTCCGGTTTTTGGTAAAGCATTCGGGGTATGGCGAAAAATCCGAAAACCATCTTCTAATGATAGGATTGGCCATCCTTTGAAGAGATTGTTTTCGTTCCCGTCGGCTCTTCCCTTTGGGCGCCTGACTAGCCATCAGCGCGCTCACTGTGGAAGGTATGTCGGTGGGTTTGCTTTTTAATCGCAACAAAGGCAAATGAAAAATAAAAAAGTGAGCTTACTGTCCTGTGGACGCGAACTACGCCAATTTCATAGAAAAAGAAAAAATAATTGAAAAACACGTTGCCTCATTCGCACTACGGTCGTTTTCACTTGCTTTCCAAGCGACTTCAAAAGCGGTTTGTTAAGCCAAGAAAATGGACCGGCCGAAAAGAAGGCAGATAATTGAAAAACAAACAATTAGTTTAGCCTAGAAAGACATACAGAAGGATAGACTTTTTTATTTTGTTTGTCGTTCATCTGTTCTCTATTCAATAAAAACGTCCAATAAACTCGTCGTCCAAAAATCCGTCCTTTTTATTCATGCTTGCTGCCTGCCGCAGCTCACACTTGACCCGGTCACTTGGCTGAGTTAACGTCAAAGTGGCCTATTGGTTTTTCGTCTCACTAAGGGAAACCTCTCTGGGCTTCATTGCCGTCAAAATGGTGGATCCGCAATGGCGACGACCAATGAGGAACTTGTGTTAACGGCATCAGAAACAGAATAAGTGTTTATTTTTGCTAGATGTGTTTTGTTAAACCATCAAAATGCATATAATAAAGGAGACCGAAAAGAGGACAATGATGTCTGTCCTTTTAGGAGCTTTGGTGGCAAAGTCACGACTTTCTCCAGATTTCCCATAGTGGCGATGGTGCTTCTCAAGCACCGCAGGCCAAATGAGACTCGCACGATCAATCTTTGAAATTTCACAAGAGCAACTTTTAACTTGCAAAAAGAAGGCGTCTACTGATGGCATCGTTCCCTTTCTGGGAGACGATTTCTCTTCGTTTGCATAAAAGTGCCAATTTTCTGCATCTTTTCTTTTGGGCATTCTGCAATTGTGCCGATGAAATTGAAACTACGCCAAAAAGGTTCCATTGCTGGCCAGACGATGATTACGGAATTTTAAATTTGGCAAATTGAAAACGTTGGATTAATTGGTTTAGGCGGATCCTGTCCACCGTTCGCGTAGAACGGCAAAAAAAGGGGGAACCGCACGTGAAGTAACAATTTAATCGCCTCAAAATAATGCGATAAGAAGATGAAAGTAGCGACAGCCAAATTTATTTGCACAACAATGAACAAAAAATCATCCATCGATATTCCTGCTGGAAGGGATCAGCCTGCAAGTTAGAAAGATAATTCAAATTCCGACTCGGATGGAGGATAATGCTTGCCATATATGGAATGACATGAAAAAAGGATGATCCTTTCTGTGATAGTTGTGTGTCCGCCCAATTCGTCTGTGCGTTGAACCTCTGTTCTTATACCTTAAAATTTACGCTCATCTTGTTCACACAGCACTGAGCATTGTAAGGCTACTTTTTGGTTTAATTTGTGTATGCCCACGGAGTGGCAGTTCCAATGTCTGATTCCTTCTGCTGGATTTTAGGTCCATTCGATTCCCTCGTCCACACGATCCATGGCTATAGCCATTTGGCCCTAGATACCGTTTGTCTCCATCACTATCATGTCAAACGATCTTTTGCTACGTCTCTTCAACTCTAGCTATTTTAATGTCTGGCTCGCTGTATCGTATCTTTACCGGTATGCGGACAATAGCGGCATTCAGCATTACCTGTGCAACGAATTGCGCAAGTTTCCTTTGAGCGAAATCGAATACTACCTTCCTCAGCTCCTGTACGTCCATTGCCTGTTCAACTGTGCTCGACTGTATTGTGCGGTTACTAACTAGTTGAATTAGCCATTTCCTGATGGTGCAACCGGATCATTCGGCGGCTATTGAAGCATTACTCGTTGATCTTGGAATGCAGTCGCGCCATGTCGCCGTCATGGTAATTTGAGCCCACGTGTGACAGCTATGATATACAACAAGATAGCTAAACAAACTTGGGGGTTGTTATTGGGTTGTAGTGCCTGTGGTATCTTCAAGCGTATTTGACCGATCTCTCATCGAATCCGTCCGATCCCGCTTTTCAGCTTTGCAAACGCGCCTTAAATACATGCCACTTGATAATTTTCGATGATGCGGAAGAGACCGATGACCGAGCGTCGATGCCCTATCCGACGTTACCAAGAGTGTCGGGAGCGGTGGCAGGGATAGGGGCTGTACTGGCCGGTATAGGACAAAATCTGGCTTCGTTGCCCATTGCCAACTCGGCCAAAGCCATGAAAGCGGCTCGACAACGTGATTCGCTACACAGCACCTCATCCAGTCGACACAAACCATCGTTGTACTCGGCCAAAGAATCACCCAGCTTACCCAACTTGGTAGATCGCGGGTTACTAGGCGATCATTTTTCATCCGCCTTTCTTTCCCAACCGGATCTCCCGAGGACAAAGACACAAGTAGTGCATCACACAACGGCAAGGTCAAAATCGTTGCGGATAGCTCACGGAAAGCATGGTTCAAGGATAACAAGGCCGGGGTTGACATCGTCCGTGACAATCGACCCATTGTCAGGGTCCAACGCCTCTCGACTCAGCAACGAATTAAAATACCCACATTTATCATCCCCCGGTTCTGATTCGGGGATCTCTTTACCGATCAATCCAGCTCCTGTGTACTTGACCCGGATTCCTTCATCGACTAGTTCCATCAGCAGCAGTCGGAGTGAAGATCCCTTTGACGATGACGACAGTTTCTACGGGACCGAAAGGAAATCTCCAAGCAAAGAATCGACCGTTGATCTGACGCGTCAGCGGCAGTTACTTCAATCCAGCTATTTCCAATCCGAGATCCAATTTGTTCTTGCCCTAGTGAATATTACCACGCGTCTCCTCAACCTACCTAAATCGGCCCGCATGACATCGCTACGAGCGGAATTGACCCTGTTAAACCACAATCTCCCTGCCGATATATGTATACCCCTATGGTGTCATGCAACGACAAAACACCCACATCATCACCGCATTGTTCGCATCCAGGCTTCGGAAGCCGTGGTACTGAATTCGGCTGAAAGAGTAAGCTTACGGAGAATTCATTAGAGCATGAAAAGTAGATGTTCATCGAAGGGATAGGCTCCATATATGGTGTTACTGGAAGTATTGGAGGGCGATGGCAGCATAGAAGAAACCTCCTCAAAAGACGACGCGGACACCGCCGCATCAAGCAAACAGGAAGCAGTTGGCAATGTAACTCATTCACTTTCGGAAAGCATTGATTTAGGCGACTGCAGTCCTGCGCAATCCCCCTTGTTCTTATCAGCGTCGGCTGGCACCGAATCGCAAAAGAGCTACACGCCGAATGGTACGTCACCCCTGACGCCTGAGGTGATGGATCATACCAACGATCACGCTGAACGGATGCATATGGCGGCTATTATGCTGAGTCAGTTGCAAACGACTGGCACTGGCGATATGGCCGGGCCACGAACTCGTCCTGAAAATGAAGCCATCCGTGAACGCATCATGCAACAAATGCAACTTTTGGAACAAGCTCGCATGGATAAAATTAGGTCAGGGCATTTCAACAGAGACGTGGAAGAAGAACAATGGAACAAGGATGACCTCGCGAAAAAGATGATGCAAGCATCCGAAAAAAGTAAACCCATCACGGATAAAGAAGATCCTAGTGGTAAGTCACTGCCCTTTTCTTGCTCATGCAAAATAGTCTGACCAATCATTTTCCGCACTGCGCTGCAAATGCAATGCAAATAGCCGCTGTTTTCAAAGAAGATTGGCAAGCGAAAAAGGCGAGAGTCCAGGCCGCGTCACCGTACGGACACTTGCCTCACTGGCAGCTGATCTCGGTGATTGTAAAGAGTGGATCGGATTTAAGGCAAGAACAATTTGCTGTGCAAATCATCCGCGAAATGCAGAGAATTTGGAAAGAAAATCACATCAACGTGTGGGTGAAATAGTGAGTTGAAACAAAGCCATAGGCAACGCGCGTACAAAGTGTTCCCATTTTTGCCATAGGGAACGTTATTCTAAGCTTCTCCTTTTTTTGATCTAGTTTCCGTATCCTTGTCACTTCGAACCAATCGGGATTGGTCGAAACGATTCGTAACACAATGTCTATCCACTCTATAAAAAAGGACGCCTACTCTCGTATGAAAAGTGGTAAAGCGTGCGTTTTCACATTGGCAGATTACTATCATCAGGTAAAGAAGATCCTTGCAAAACAATCAAAAAAAAAAAATATCAAAAGAAGGAGCGTCATGATTAATGATGGATCTTTTTTTCTTTATTAAAATTGACAGCGTTGGGGCCCTTTGGATTCACCCACGTTTTGCGAAGCGCAAGATGCATTTATGCGTAGTCTGGCGGGTTATTCTGTGATTTGCTACCTTTTACAAATCAAAGACAGGTGAAAGCCTTTCCAACGTGCAAAAGCGTTCATGGATATTGATGCATTTTGATGCCTTGAAACCATAGACACAACGGAAATCTTTTGATTGATGATGCGGGTCACATTATTCGTAAGCGTCTGTTTGTTTTGATGATGAAGACTAGGGACATGAATTGAAATGATGAACATAATAGATATCGACTTTGGTTTCATGCTATCGAATTCGCCTGGTTCTGTTGGTTTTGAAATGGCGCCATTCAAGCTATCTCAAGAATTCATTGCCATTTTGGGCGGTGTGCAAGGGAAAAAGTTTGCTGAATACAAGGCACTGATGAAAACGGCTTTCTTGACGTTGCGGAAACACAGCGAAAGTATTCTATTGTTGGTGGATCTCATGTCTCGTCATTCGAACATGCCGTGCTTTCAAATGGGCGAACAAACCGTACAACAGCTCCGCGACCGATTTCAACCGCATCTCACCGAAAGTCAAGTGGAAGAGTTTGTGGACAAACTCATCACAACGAGCTGTGGTAACATCTTTACGCGACTCTATGATACTTATCAATACTATTCTCAGGTAAAAAAAAAAAAAAAAAAAAAAAAAAAAAAAAAAAAAAAAAAAAAAAAAACCGCTGTCGCGCGGAAACCGCAACGAGAATTTCTCACGGTACTCTTTTCATTTACATAGGGAATATTGTAAAATACATAAAAAGTCGATCAAATAAGATCAAGTTAAACACCAACAGTGCTAACGAACCCTCTTGAACCATTTTCTTTTTAAAAAAAATTGGTGAGGTGTTAGTTATGGACCTCTGTTTTCATCATTTCGACTTTTTATGTTTGTACTTTTTTTTTTCTCCCTCTTTTTTTTCACGCGTTTGAATGAATGATGGAAAAAACGACATGGAGGAAATCCACAGTCATCCGCGAAAAAGATAAACATTTTCTCAGACATTCCCTCAGCATATTAACGTCACAGTACAATGTCAGTTAGGCCTTTTGTTTTCTGGGACATTCCAACCAATTGTCTATCCTTTTATCAAGCAGATAAAAAAGAAAAAGAAAGCGAAAAAAAGGAACACGCACAGAAGGAAAGAAGGCGGTGATATGGCTGGGAATATTTATCGGAAAAAAAAAACCGCACAGGCGAGAGGCTGATGTCACTTTGTGACTGTGGTTTTCTTTGGTTCGGAACATTCAAAAGAAATGTGAGGATGAGAGGAGCGTCCAATGGTTTTACGGGCATCCTATAAATTTTCCGGGAAGAACAAGGGCAGAGTTTGGTATGCTCTTTGATTTCTACATGCCACATGACGCCAGTTTTCTGGTAAATTAAAAAGAAGATTGTTCATTCTACTGTTTTACTATTCTTAAACTCGTCAAACCCCTTTTTTTTTTCTTCCCCGCCCCCCTTTTGGCCTCAAAAAAAGTCCGCTATGAATCCATCTTCTGGAGCATCCATTGAATGGGAGGCCGAGGTAGGAGGAGGATGAATCATTCATCGTGCATATAGATATACTACGTCACATTACACCATAAGCATAAGAACCACCCATGGCTCATCCTCCAATTGATTTGTAGATGAATATGATGCAGACGGTGCCACAACCGGTGAGTTTATTCGAAAGATCTACCAAATAAATCCATCCAATACCATTCACTGATCCATGCATTGTTTGTTGTTATCTATTTCGTTTTATTGTTCTTTTTCCTCCAACGATGATGATACATGATGTTATCAACGATCTTCTTATTGGCGTGCTAAAGGCACTGCAATCGATGCCTAATTTGCATTCAAATAATCCACCCAAGGAAGCCAATCACCATCTCGAATCCATGGTAAATGCAACATGCATTGAAAACAAAAACGAAAAATTGATATTGGTCCGGTCGGTGATATTAAATGGAAAGCTGTGACTCTTTTAGCACCTTGTGATATCGGATGATATGCGAACAGGCGGATTATCAGCGACACCGTCGCCTAACCATTATCTGGTAAAGGAAATGGTACAAAGATATTAAAAAAAAGTATCCGTCGAAAGCCACACGATTGACGCTTTTGTTATTACGTTATCATCCATCTCTGTTGGTCTTTTAATTTTACGGTAGATTATGTCGCCTAATACAGGGTCTGGTCCAACTACGGATAATGAATCGGCTCAAGCCTCGTACACGCCTCGAATTCAATACCGATATCCACGCATGATGATGCATTCTCCAATTATTTCTACGACACGCAGTCACAGTGTGAAACGCAATAAAAAACCCGCGACATATTCGAGATGGACGGCCGAGGAAGATGATCTACTTCGTCAAGCCGTCGCCCTCCATGGCCCTCACAAGTGGGCTTCGATTGCCGCTCACGTTCCCAATCGAACCCCGATGCAATGCTCCACCCGCTGGTTGGGTGCTCTCAAGTAAAATGTCCTCTGCTATTTTTCTGAGAAAAGAACAACAACTGATCATTTCCTTTTTCTGCAATGCGTTTAGTCCCCACATTCATAAAGGGCGCTGGACGGAATATGAAGATAATATTTTAAAGTATTCAGTATTGGAATACGCGAACTATACTGATGAAGAAGGCAAAACGCAACCTGTGCCTTGGAACAAGATTGCTGAACGCATTCCCAATCGAACAGGAATTCAATGCCAGGCACGGTGGACAGAAGCGTTGGATCCGTTTGTTCGCAAGGGCAAGTGGAGTGCGGAAGAAGACGCTTTGTTACGTGCTGGGGTGAATAACCTTGGTTTGAGCTGGATTCGTATTGCCGAAACTATCCCCGGGAGAACTCAGGTAAGCTGGAGTTAAGCAAGGCAAGGCAAGCCGAGCCAAGCAATGTATAACGAGTCACTTTTATTATATTTAGCGTCAATGTCGAACGCGATGGATGCAAATCAAGTACAAGGAAGAGCGACAGCAACGATGCATGAATGAGCAACGAAGTGGTAGTGTGGATGATGGATCGTCGACGAGTTGTGCTTCGACGGAAGAAGAACGTGATTACGGATCAGCGGTGGGAGGAATGGCCACGTCGGTGAACAATGGATTGCCATCGACGTCCGGGTTCGTTAAACCGTTTTTTGTGGTGGATGATTTTGATACGAACCTTGTCAAACGAGAACCCATGGATAACTATCCCATGAATAGCTTTCAGCAGCATCCCCATCATCCCAGCGAAATGGCATTTTTCAAAAATGACGACCTGTCCTTTTTCACCAATCCCGATTTCGACGCTTCTCAGCAAGATCATCGCTTTTCATTTCCAAAATAATTCGTTTGTTCTTCATGCCACATCACCTCCATAAGAAAGAAAGAAAAAAAAAAAGAAAGCTACGTCCCCGTCCCCAATAAACCATCGATAAACCGCTAATAAAAATTGTTTCCTTTTTATTTCCGCAAATCATGACTATTACAGTAGGTTTGCATGACATTGTTGTTAAAAAAAAAAAAGCCACCATACCATGCGATCCAATCTTCATTGGGTAAATTATCCAACCCGTATAAACACCACAATTGACAGGGCTGAGAGCTTGGCTGAATACAATGTTGTATTTTAATTGTTTATTTTTTTTATTATTTTCACTCTATCAAAGAGAGAAAGGGAAAATAGCCTAGTATACTCTTTTTTTTTTTTTTTTTTGTTTATTTGTTTAGCTGGAATATATGGCGTGGTAATATTTACAAAGTGGGGGAAAAAAAGGAACGTGGCATAAAAAGATGGGAAATTCTTTGAAGGATGACAGCATTGAATGGCAAATGTTTTTCTTTTCTTTTTTCTTTCCTCAGTGAACGGTCACATGCATCTGACATTCAGCAATGTTCATGAGAATTTGGGCAGCCTAAAAGAGATGAAAAGCATGAAATGAGCTCACAAAGTTATTAACGGATATGGTAAGCGTCGAATGGCGACGGACGCATGGGTTTCTTTTTTTCTTTTTTTTTTTTTTTTACCTCCAATACTTGGACTTGTTGCTTTTTGGAAAGTCCGAGACGATGCTGAATATCTTTCCATCCATCGACATGTTCCCAACAGTGACGTTTTAAACATGCAGCATGTTTAAAGGTGGTACCACAACGGTCGCACATCAGGTCACCGTAGCCGGCACACATATCGTCGGTGTCATCGCATGAAACCGATAAAGAGGTAGGTTTGGCAGCGGATGCGGTGGAAGCAAACGAAGCCAGAGTGGCTGCGGCAGCTGATACGGAAGGATCTTCCGTGCGAGAAGGAAGTTTATCGGTGGAGCGAGAATAAGGTTGGGGGTTCCCCTCCAAAGAAGAGGAGGATGGATGAGCCGAAAGGTGTGTGGAAGGCGGAGTTGAAGGGCGGATAGATCGGTCTGGGTTTTTAGTGGCATCAATCACACGATTATTTGATTGAATCCCATCGACGTCCATGGGGTTATTGTAGTAAGGATACTTGGATGAAGAGTAACGGGGACGTTGAGGAGGATAATAAGCGTACTGATAAGGCTGATGAGAGTGGTTATTTTCCACGGTTTGACGGTTGTCAGTGACAGTGGGAGATGGATAAGCATAGTAGTAGGCAGAAGAGGAAGGTGGTGGTGGTGGCGGAGGTGGAAGATGATAACCAGGAAGAGTGGAAGGAGGCGGCAAAACGTACATTGAAGTTGTTCTGTCATCCAACTGATTGGGGTGAGGCGGGGTGTCCGAGGGATGAGAGTAAGAAGGGACTAATAAGGCCGAAGGAGGTGGTAGCATAGTGGAAATTGATTACAGAATGCAGAAAGTGAGAGAGTACGGCGGTGTGTGTGTGTGTGTGTGTGTGTGTGTGTGTGTGTGTGGATGACGATCAGAAAAAAGCTGACCTGAAATCAATGAGATTTTTTTATTTTCGCTTTCTCCAAATGCAAGCAATGTAAAAAGTCAAAGAAGAAAAAAGAAAGAAAAAAAAACAAGAGCGCTTCCTTTTTACATAAGCAAAAGGCCACTCAACAATGATATCAGAGAGAGAGAAAAAAAAAAAAAAAAGAAGGGCGGAGCAATAAAAAAAAATATTTTCTGCCTTTCTTCTTTCAGAGTCTTTTTCTTGCCTAATTCTGAAACATGGCTTCTCGTAGACTTTTCACTTCCGTCTCACTGAGATTGTGGCAAGACCTTCCGCAACTACCTCCTCGGAAAGCCGATCCACATCGATAACAGCTTATAAAAAGAGCAATCATTATTCACCTTATAAAAGATCCTTCCAAATCCAAAAAACTTACAATTGTGCTCCACACCGACAAACCACATGATCGCATCCAATCTATACCAAAAAGAAAACAAGTGTCAAAAAAAATTTACAGGGTTCGGCTAAAAGCTTCGTGGTTGCCTAAGAGAACTTGCCTGTTTGCTGACGGTGTATCGACAGCTTGGACAACGGGTCCATCCTTTGTCCTGGGCCAATTTACGTGTGGCCAATGAATCGGCTCGAGTGCAAGTGCGAGGACGAACAGAGGGACATGCTTTATCTGTAGTTGAATCAATTCGCTTTTTGATCAGTGACATGAGGATCCGTATGAGCCCACGAGGTTGAGGTTTACATGGATGCCACGTTGTTTGACATGCAATACAAAAGCCGCGATGACATTCCATACATTCGCCAAATCTTGATCTTCCTAAATGTTCTTCAGGATCCAAATCGTGAACCGCTTGACAATCCGGATGCGGACAATAGACCTTTTTTGGGGAGGAAGGGGGAGGCATACAAACTGCATAAGTCATTGTTGCTTGAATACATACGACGTGTGTGCATTGGGAGGGGCCATGAAAGGCCACTGTAGCTTACAGGGTTTTTGATGAATATTTTTTCAATTCTCATTGTCTTCCATCGATCGCGATCTTGTTGATTGTCATATACTCGTTCGAGTGTTTCGTCAGTATTCATGAAAACGCCACAGTTATACATGGGACAAGGGATCACTTGAGAGTTTTCTTCACGTCGATCATCGCCATAGGTTTCGATGTAAAGACGCATACATTCGTAACACACTAGATGCAAACATACTTGGGATGGAATGTTGACCGCTCTATTATTGGCATCCACAGAAGAAACACTCTGCGAACTACTTCCACTTGCAAATGGCTCAAAACAAATACAACATTCCATAATACGTAAGCAAAAATAGTACTACTGTTAAGTTCTGAAAAGATGATAGGATTAATGTTACAAGTGATTTGGGTTGATGCTCTTTTGTGGCCTTTTTGTGGCCTTTTTGTGGCCTTTTTGGTTGTTTTTCATGCTTTTCATTGATTTATTTTTGAGAAGGAAATGACACATTATCATTTTTTGTTTAAGTGATAAACAAAAACTGAATACAAGAGCCTGTCACACGTTGTTGTCTCAAAACCCGCCCATTCTGATCTATATGCACGCAGTTTTAATTGGTGGATTATGCATCTTGCAAACCGGAATTGGGTTTCCTTACTGCGAAAAAAAAAGAAAAAATAAACAGAACTGTATAAAGGGACCAAGAAGGGAGATGTGCTGCAGCTGTCTTTATTTTTTTTGGTTTTGATCCATCAGGTTCCATTGGATCGATGGTCTCGTTGGATCGGCGATTCGAATAAGGAAATTTCCTAATATGGATATCAATCCCAGAGAAACGTCGTGTGGTCCCAGCTGAAAGAATGGAAGAAGAATCTATTTTGTTTTTTGGAGAAAAAAAAAAGAATCGACTTTTTTTTCTTCAGAAGTTTCCTAAAGAAGTTAGACGTGTTCATGGTATGTCTTTTTTTTTTTCCCCACTTTGAAACTGTGTGTCCGATTAATGCAAAAAAATTAATCTTGCGATTTTCTGCTTGTCAAGTTGGTCTGAATGAAAGAGAATAAAAATAAGGAGAATTTGGCTGAATGGGATGTTTCTTCCCCTTCCACGCCCAACCCCGGTCCCTAAAATGTAATCAACATGAACTCTTTTTTTTTTTTTCCTCATCTTTTTTGTTTTCCCGCGACGTGCCTTTTTTTTTTTTTTTTGTTTCTCTTTTTCCTTGATGAACAAAAAGGATCCGGTGGATTTAGGGTCTAGACAATTTTTACGCCGTATGTCGATCCCTACTTTTTCATGATTCCGTACAGAAAAAGAAAAACTTTTAGTACTCCGTCGTGGTCAGCCACCCACTTCTGTAGGACCAAGTTGCTGATTGGTGCACTATGCCAGAAAAGGTGAATATTGATTTTTGGCCGACTTCCGTGATCATGCTGATTGCGTTATCCTTCCATTGCCAACTCCCAAATCTCTTTTGACTATAGTCATGGAAACAATAAACCATAGTTTCACTCCATAGATAGATCTCATCGAATCCATCTATATTTTCGGTAGAATCTCGTTGGAAAGGCAAAAAAAAATCAACCCCTCTTTTTTTCATTATTATTATTTCCCATCCTGATCGCATCGTTTGGTATGAACGGAAACTGAAAATGGCTACCAATGGATTCTGGAGCCAGGTCGATCCTTTCTTTTTTTTTTTTGGCCAGAAATAGACACAGAAAAAAAAATACAAACGCAGGATCCATTAAAGTTGATTGGTGGACCCAATTGAATATTTCCATATTTTTTCAAAAACCTTATATCATGACCTTTCGGCTTGGCCTTTGGAATATTTTTTTTTCTTTGGTGCTTTTTGTTGTTTTTTCCTTTTCGCCCTTTTTTATATTTTTCTTTTTTTTTTTGTTTTTTACAAACCTCATTGCCCTCATTTACCATTTCCAAATTATGATCATGATGACTACCTATACTGCGTCAACCAAAGGCAAAAAACCCTACAAAAGCTGGCTGAAAGATGGTGTGAACGGAGGTCCTTCTTCAATGGATGTTCTGGTCAACTGGCTTGCTGTCAAGGCCAACTATGCCAAATGGCGGGGTGATGACAGTGAACGTACCCCTAAAAAAGTATTGCTCGAAGGTATCATTGAACGTATGCGCGAAGTCGGGATCTATCATCGACTCGCCAAAGATGTCGCTTCCAAAATCTCTACCCTTCAAAGCAATTATCGAACCGCACGCGAATGGAATGATACCGAAGGAAAGAAATTACGACAAGCCGGTGCAAAGGAAGAAGCCGTTCATGGTAAGCAAATTATTTCTCTTTTCTCATTTCCCCAGAAACCAAAAGAAAAAAAATTAATGTCTCATTATTTCAATTTGGCGCTTAATTTGCGTTTTTTTTTTTTTTTTTTTTTTTTTAATTTCACAGAGGAAATCTTGAAACGGTTCCCCTATTGGGATGCACTTCATGAAGTATTTGGTAGCACTCGTACGTCGGCGTGGCCCATGTCTATTAGTAGCATTATGCATCGTGTCGAAGAAGAAGAGTTGCAGGAACAATTGGAACGAGAAGAACACGAAGCAGCAGAGGAAGATGACGAAGACGACGATGAAGCGTTACAACCTCCGCTTCGACGTCGACGATTGAGCGATAGTACCATTGATGCCCGTTCGTCCCATTTGGCCGCCGGGTCCACGAATCCCGTCCTTATTCGTCCCATGCCTCGAGTCATGCCCATCTTATCTTCGCGTGCTCAAAGCCATTTGGAAAAACGCGATGCATTGCTGGCCGAATCCTTGGTCCAAGTCACACGAGAAAAGGAAGCCGGTCGAATGAAACGATCGCAAGAAATGCTTGATTTTCTACGTGAAAAACGAGTCGAACGAGAACAATTATTGATGGAAAAGGAAAAAACACGACGCATCAAGGCCAAAGCCGAATTGGTCAAAAACTTATTGGAAGCCGGGTTCTCCAAAGAAGAAATCAATGAACAACTCAAAGAACTGTGACCCAACCCATCAACATCCCTTGTTTCTTTTTAATTTTTTTTCTTTCTCCATTCATAGACGCCACTATTCATCGCATCTCTTTTTTCTTATTCTGTAATATTGTAGCTACATCTTCACACAAATTCTCTCCCTTTTGTTTTTTTTTTTTTCTTCTCTTCCAAACTATCCCATCACCACCCACACCCACACCCACCCACAACACCTCACGGCAGCATACGTATATAACGCACCACCATACGCACTCTTAAAAAACACACAAAAAAAATAGCCAAACTCCCCGCATACGGACGAACCGCAATTGACATTTATTTTTCTTTTTCATTCACTACTCTCCATGGCGTCTTTTCCCTTCCTACCAACATGATAATACTATAGTCCATTCACTTTCTGGTTCCAAATGCCTTCATTTGTCTTCATCATTACTCTCTATTAGACAAGGCATTATTCCTCATTATGACATTAATGCGTCACAAAAAAATATGTATTTTACTTGATTCAATCCTCCATCATTGGTCCCGCTCTCAGTCACTCAGTTTTGCATACTGTGTTTTGCTTTTTCAATTTAAACTTTTGTTGTGGAGAAAGAAAAAAAAAGAGTCACGAGAATAAAGTTTGCTGATCCCGTGAAACTGGTCATGGCATCCGATGCAGAAAACTAAAAGGGAATTGAACATCAGCCATTGTGCGATCCCTAGATAATAAATTACCGTACCACACACACACACAAAGTCGCTTTAGCAAGCTGGAAGGAGATGGCTCTAAAATTGGTCATAAGAGCCTCAAGAAAAAAAAAAAAAAGATGTAGAAACACACCTTTTTGATCAAGTCTAATAGCAAGTTAATATGAGATTGGTATTCTGATTTTTATTTTCTCACGCGGCCAACGCATTTTCAGGCACCCAGTGTCAAAGATGAATAAGAACTGTTCAGGGCCATTTTTTTAGCGGATGGGCGGAGTATCAATGACAGGCATAAAGGGCCAACTATGGATTGGATCCGACAGTTTGCGTAAATCAAACAACAAAAGGACTCCACACACCATCTTTTTGCATATGTGGAATATGCATGAAAAATGAAAATAAACCATGACAACTGGAACAAAAAAAATACCAAGGGAGCAGAAAAATCAGGCATTGACGAGTCACCGGATCTTTTTTTATACGGCAGGCATTCGCATGTGAAAATCTTTTTTTACTATCTGTCCCTTTTTTATATTTCATTGGGTCAACGGTTTTTCATTAGCGGGGTTTCGCACAGATTTGGGTTCTTTTTCTTTAGTCTCTTTTACTCAGTTTCCTTTTCCTCCTCCATTGCCCCCCATATTCACATTGCTTGCCGACCATGGAAGCTATTCAACATATTATATCCGATCCAAAATATCATGACCTCTTTGCCATTCTTAAAGCATTCCGTAACGGCATTGTCTACGGTGCTAAAGTTCGATTTCCACATGCCCTCGTCATGACATTTCTCTTTAAATCTGGACCGTGAGTGAAAAATGGGGCATCGCAACCAACCACCGTTGTCCGGTCAGCCTAATCCAATAAACTTAGGCTAAAGACAAAGCTCTTATACATCTACAAAGCCACCAAACAGCATGCACAGAACCTGGGTATATTCGCTACGATCTATAAAACAATGATGCTGATACAGAAACGGATCAATGGGGGTAAAGAAGAAAGCTTTCATCCCTTTATTGCCGGTCTTGTCGGTGGTTACTTTGTCTTTGGTGAAAACAACGGCATCAATCAACAGGTAAACATATTTTTCTTCCCTTCTGGTGCCCTCTTTTGTTTTTTGTCACGAGTGGACAGAGCGATTGTCATTTGATATCATGTGATAAAACCAGGCATTGATCGAGCATGGTCATTATTTTAGATTATCCTTTATTTATTCTCCCGTGTTGTCATGGCACTCGTCAAGATTCCTGTGAAAAAGCAAATCTTGGACGCTCCCAAGCATACCTATCCTGTTTTTGCCGCCGTCGTCTGGGGGCTCGTGATGTGGCTATTCAAGCATCAAGAAGATACCCTTTTACCCTCCCTTCGAGCCTCCATGGTGTATATTTATCGCGATTCCGAGTACTGGCATTCCTTACGAACCTTGTTATGGCATAATAAATAAAATGTAATGTATATCCTTCCCATTGACCGTAATTTTTTTTCTTTGCTGGGAGATGTGATTAGAAAAGAAACTTGACGCCAAATTTCGACAGTGACGTGAAAAAAATAACAAAAAATTCCCCCCTCTTTTTTTTCTCAGTGTATATTGGTTCTCTCTTTTTCACAGAGTGACAGCCACTTTATCTCCTTCCTTCCCTTGTCGTTCATCCTATCTTTCACTTGATACCCTTTATTATTACAACGGTCATTGTTGTCTTTGAACAAAAGACTGACACGGCATCATGGGAATTTCTGGATTTTTACCGCTTCTAAAATCCATCCATGAATCAGTTCACCTGTCGAGTTTTGCAGGAAAAACTGTGGCCGTCGATGGCAATGTGTGGATGCATCGTGGTGCGTTTACCTGCGCAGTCGACTTGGCAACCAATGTCAGCACAACGAAGTAGGTTCTCATGCTCAAACACACATGCAATGTTCACGCCTACTGACAAAAAAATTGGATGGACCCATGTTTCAGATACGTGGATTACTTTATGCGGCAGGTAGAGATGCTCTTATGCTACAAAATCATTCCCCTGATTGTCTTTGATGGTGAACCTTTACCTATCAAAGCCTGTACCAACGATGAGCGAAGAAGGTGAATCATCACGACAAGGAACATTTGTGTATATTTCAAACTACTAATGTATGCTCATAAAACAAAAAGACGTCGCGAAGAAGCTCTGGAAAAAGGTCGTTTGTTGATGCAGCAAGGCAACAAAAAGGAAGCATATGAATACTTTTGCAAATCGGTGCAAGTAACGCGCGACATGGTGAAACAAGTGATTGCGGTATTTATCTCTCCATTCAAAGAGTTTACAATGGAAAAAAAAAAAAGGGACGGTGACGCGGATATTGAATGTTGACGGAAATAGGCCCTGGAAGCGAGGAATATCCAGAATGTGGTGGCACCTTACGAAGCCGATCCTCAGCTAGCGTATCTGATGAAAACCAAAAAGGCCGATGCCGTGATTACCGAAGATTCCGATCTTTTGGTGTTTGGATGTGATTGTGTGATTTTCAAGTTGAACAAGTATGGTGAAGGTGTGCAAATTCGGCTTTCGAATCTGAACCGATTGAAGGAAATGAAACTTGGAGATTGGGACGCCACGAAAATTCGACACATGTGCATCTTATCCGGCTGTGACTACCTGCCTTCGCTCCCTGGCGTCGGTCTCAAAACCGCCTATCAACTCCTCAAAACTTACAAGTCGGCTGATCAGGTAAAAACGCGTCATCTTGTTTTTTTTTCTTTTCTTCTCTCTGTTTTGCACCCTTTCTCCTCTCCACTCCTCCTCCCTCTGTTTTCTCTTTCTCTTTCTACCCTCCATTCACTTGACAGCTGGGTAATCTCCACCTTGTTCTTACGAATCATCCATTCCTCAGGTTATCAAAGTGCTACGATCCCAAGGAAAGATGAAAAAGATCCCTCATTATCAAGAGGCTTTCCATCGTGCTGATCAGGCATTCATGTATCCATTTGTCTTTGACTTGGATTTGCAGCAAGTGGTTCGCCTCAATCCTTTGGAATCCAAAGATATAACACTCGATTTCTTGGGCGCCCATCCTTCCAATGTCAAACTGCCAACCTCTACACCTCCACTTCCATGCAATGATGTTAGCGATGCCAACAAGGAAAATATCCCAGTAAGTTTTCTCATAAATTGACAGCCCAAGCGATTGCTCGAGAAAGGGATACATAGTAACTGACAATTTTTTTAAAAAATCAGCCGTGGATGCGCGAAGCGTGTCAACCAGTGAAACAACTCAATGCGGCGACGTTATCTGATTTATTCACGAAATCCAGTCAGCGCGCCAAGACCAAAGACTCGCTTAAACAGACCAACGTTCTCTCGTACTTTGCAAAACAAAAACAAACCACGACGAAAACGCTCTCAAAAGAATCATCGCCAATAACGACCGTTACAACGACGACGGTAACCACATCGACGACCACAGAAATGAAAACAAAAGCAACAACCGCGACCATGACGACGGCCGCGACAACCGCGACAACCGCGTCGGCGACGTGTGTAAAAAAGACTTCCACCGACCTTCCATCCGCCCAGCCACCCTGCAAGGTCTCAGAAGAAACAATCTCAGCCATTCTGTCAGATGAAGACACAGATAATCTGTTTGAAGCAGCGACAGAAATCGCTGCAGACGAGCTATTAAAAAAATGTCAATCGATGCGAGAATCACTACTAGCCTTGGATACCCATCGGGTACCAGCCCAAGATATCCGTATTGATGAGCAAACAGTCGCTATCAAACTTATTCCGCATGATCCACCTATTTCCAAACCGACACCCACCGTGACCACCTCGTTTCTGGGTAAACATAAAGTCTCATCGCCCCACTTTCCAGTCAAACGCCGATTCACTCTAGGCGATGCCACCAATCGATTATGCCTGTGAACCCACCGTCATCTCCCACCCCCAAACGCATTCACCTTGACGATTGAAAAACCGGCAAAACAAGAAAGAAGAAAAAGAAAAAAGGCCGCTCATCTTTGGAAATCCTTGGGTTTCAACAGTCTTTTTCCATCATCATTGATTGCTCATGTCGACCTTTCGTTCTTTCTTTCTTTCTTTCTGTTGACTCGCTTTTCTCATTCCCTTTTCCTTTGTCTTTTTCCTTTTCTTTTTTGGTTATGCATTCAAAACTCATTTCATGTTCATCTTTTTATCGATATAATCATTCCCATTTTATTTATCGTTTTCCCTTCAAGTTCCTTTTTTCCCTTGTATTCCACACAACACCCAAAGACTTGCCAATAAACCACAAGTTAATCGTCTCTATGGAATTTCATCTGTAATGCTAAGCTTCGGAAAATCGTTTGTCTCGAGACGCCGACGCTACGTCTTTTTGCTGCAACCAAGGGCACAGAGATGTTGTGGGGAATGCTGTGGAAAAGAAAACAGTCATAAAAGCAGTAAAAGGAATTCATTACTCTTGGTCATTAGTAAATTACCTGAAGTTTGACAATCTATATAAAATGCTGTGTAACCCATGGACGTTTTGCATCTGTCAGTTTGTGTCATGGAACATCATACAGTATTCGCACCACAAAAAAATCATCACTAAAATCGGCAAATGGGTGACGACTCGGTCGATGATTTTCGGGTTGAACAGATTTTCAAAGTGCTCGTTAAATGATTGTGTTGGATGCAGTATAGCCTGTGCACTCGGTTCTTTTGTGCCCAAGGATTTACAAAAAACTTGACGTGAAAGCACCAATTGTCCCAAAAAGGGCAAGCCCACATTGGTTCCATCAACTCGCTTCTGACTGACGAGGTGTGTGATTTTTCTTTTCTTTTCTGTTCCCTGACATCATTTCCTTCCGTCTCCATATGCTGCACCCAATTTATACGGTGTTATACCTGTCAGCAGCTTTTGAAAGAAAAAGGGTCATTGTGAACAAGACTTTCGGCTGTAAGCTTCCGGTGCTTCCCAAGGAGATCACACCTTTGATTGGCTTAAATTTTGATACTTCTTTTTTTGCCAGCCTTTTTTTTTAATTTTTTTTATTATTTTCAACAATTTTTTTTTTCTTCCCTTATCAATTTGCTTGGGTGTCGGCTCATACGCGTGCTACCGTCATTGTAACTTTTTGGTCGTGCCGATCCTCTTTCGAACCAAAAATATAAAGGACCTTCAGCTGCAACCCTTCATTCACAGGTAAGTAATACCGTCAACCCTGTTGCAATGAACTCGGCCACACCTTGATCTCCCTTACGGAACGTCAGACCGGGCATATTTCCTCATCGATCCTTATTTTGCTTTTTTTTTTCCCCATGACCTCGTCTAGTCCGTCCCATTCCACTCCATCCTTCCGTTACTATTGATATCCCTCCTCAACCTACCATGGAAGAAGACGAATTCGATTACGAATCGTTGGGTGCCAACTCTACCATGGGTCAGAATGCTATCGCAGGAGCGTTGGCCGGGATTGGTGAGCATTGTCTAATGTTTCCCGTTGACAGTATAAAGGTAAATTTTGGGTACCATTGGGATGGAAAAAGTTCATGGTGGGTATAAGGATCGTCGTGGACTCACGTCATGATGATCCCCAATTAGACACGCATGCAGGTTTTGGCTACAAGTGAAACCGGCGTCACTACGGCGAAATCTGTGTCAGCAGCGGCGAATGACTTGGTGAGACCGGGATGGCTGCAATCGCAAAAGAATCTGTGGCGAGGGGTTTATTCGGTGGTGATGGGGGCTGGACCGGCCCATGCCCTTCACTTTGCGACCTACGAATTCTGTAAAGACGCTTTCGGCAAATACATCACTATCGATCCTGCCACTTCTACCGCCACCCAGGAGAATTTACGGCAATTAACAGTATCAGGAGCAGCAGGAGCTTGTGCCACCTTTGCCCATGACGCTTTAATGACCCCTTTTGATGGTAAGACTACCTGTCTTCGGGTGCTTAACAATTGAAAAGGCTGTATCATAAAACAAAACTGACGTTTTTCTTTTTTTGGGGGCGGGGTTGTCATGGATGCAGTGATCAAGCAGCGAATGCAGTTGAAGGATTCCACTTATCGATCGGTGCGGGAATGTGCAAGGAGTGTTTACGCCAAAGAAGGCTTGACCGCCTTTTACATCTCATTCCCTACTACGTTGTACATGTCGATTCCTTTCCAGTCGGTACAATTTGCCACATACGAGTACTGTTTAGGGATCCTGAATCCGGCCGGTCAATATAACCCGAAATCCCACGTCGTTGCTGGTGCCATTGCCGGTGTCTTGGCTTCGTCTGTGACGACGCCTCTGGATGTGATCAAGACGCTACTGCAGACCCGTGGTACATCGAGCGATCCAAGGATACGCAACTGTTCAGGTTTTTGGGATGCGGCCAAGATCATTGGCGGACGATATGGATACCAAGGCTTTTTCCGAGGATTTAAACCGAGAGTTTTGACCCATATGCCCAGTACTGCCATCAGTTGGAGTGTGTACGAGTACTTTAAATGGTTCTTGTCAAAAGACAATGACAAACCCGTCAGCAATTCCTGAAGCTCCACGGCAAGAAAATCATCTACCCAAAATATTCATTCCCACCATGGACAATTTTATTTTTGAACAAAAAGAACAAACCGCCATCACCAACACCACCACTACTGCTCAATGGGCCATGCTTCCGAAGCCGCTCACAGTGCCAAAGGATGAAAAAGAAAAAAGGAACAAAAAAAAAACCAAGAAAACCTCATCATCAAAAAACGAAGAGGATGATTTTCTTTTTTTTTCGGACAGAAGACCATCGTCATCACTGTACTATAGCCCAATACTCTTCGCTTCCCCATCTCCCCTCCCCTTTTTTTCCCTCCTCCACACAATGTCTATCATTTTCTGTATCCCACCCATACTTTACTTGTCTTTATTACATCATTTGTGTAGAATACTAATCTTTTTTTCTAAAAACATTCAACCTTTTTCTGATTTCTGTTTTCTGAACGCACAAGAAAAAGAGACAAGTAGAAAAACGCGACGTTGTACAGTTACTATGGGGTATCTTGTTGTTGTTGTTGTTGTAGTAAGGAGAAGGCAGAAGGTTCGTCGTTGGTCGCTGGGGTATGAGGGGACTGAAGTCGCCAATAAGTTCTGGTCATCGGCTCTGTCTCGAGAAGAGAATGAATCTCATTGAGCGTTTTCGTTGTAGCCAACATGCCAAATTTTCTAAAGGCAACGATTGAGATGGACGGTGATGATAAAACTTTTGGTTGATGAGAGCCTTACCGGTCAATCAGTGCGTCTAATAGTTTGCCCGTCTTTTTCAAAGCCTAAAACACCATGGCAACAAAGAGTTTACATTGGGCATGAAGAGAAGTGGTTTTTCTCTGTGGTTTTCTCACCAGCTGCGTGTTGGCGGCATAGTTATCCACTTGCACAAAAGATCGTGCCGCTTTTCGCACATCGTCATGGGAATCCGTGTATCGTGTAATGAACTACAACAAGAAAAATACAAGACTGTGTTTAACGGTGAATCCATGCGACAAGTTGGCATGTTGTTGCCACACCTTTAAGGCTTCTGTCCAGTCGTTCAACGTCTTTTCTGCTTTGGAACGACATTCTTCTTTGCTATTGAGAAAACTATCGTCGGTTGTATGGTGAAGCGCACTTTGGAAACTGTAAGTACTGTGTGACGGCGTAGGGGTAGGCGTTTGCCGACGAGACGCCATGTCTCTGGGAGAATCTAAGGGAAGAATACCGGAATCCCCCCCCCCCAAAATTAATCTCCTTTTTTCTTTTGACCTGCCAATGCACAGACTTTGATCATTCTTCCGTCTTTGTTTCTCTAAAAAGCTCTAAAAAGCTGCCAAATCTTGTCATCTATGATAGTCTCTTTGAATTGGCTTGTTATTTGATTTTTTTGATTTCATTTTTTTTTTTTTCGCAACCGTTTCCGAGGAATGCAAGCATGACAGTTTCAAAACACATTTGTTGTATGATTTGGAAGATCTATTTATTTCCCAAATGACATCAACTATGGACCAATGAGAAGAATACACGACTGAAAAGAATATCAACCATTATATGCGGTGACTACGCATCTAGGCGAAAGAAGGTACTGCAAAGTCCTGATCCAAGGATGAAAAAAAGAGTAGAAATCATATAAGTGACTGCTTAGTCGGTGGAATGGCAGGCGCCACAATTAAGCTTTGGGGGAAGAATTCCGTATAGAGGCACTACGGAAAAGAAAGAAAAAAATTTTTCCCTCTCTCTTTGTTCATAATTAACAAAATGTGTAAGTGAAAAATGAAATGAATCAAATGGGCTGCGCTCAATCAGGTTACTTGATGGTTCTCACACGAATGCTTATTTTTTTTCAGCTGGAAAAAAGAAGGCTCAGAAAATGTCGCTGTCCGATTTCTTATCGGAAGGAAGTAAGTAGTGGATTCAAAAATGGAAGGGTCTCTATACTGTCGGTCCTTTTGGCTGAACGATCCCCACGACTCCTTTGTTGGGTTCCTTTGGCATTGACATTGTTGTTTGCTCTTCTAGCTTCCAGTTCCTGGGCTGATGACTTGGCGGATCTTCCCACTGCTCGTACGTATCATCGACTTCTTTTTCTTTTCTTTGAAATCGGCTCACGGTTCTTTTCTAACTAATCCTCTTTTTAATAGCTGCTGGTATGCATTCTTTAAGAGCATCTTACGCTTGACGATGGAGACGGTTTTGCTTAGCAACTTTTTTTTTGTTTCTTTAGCGGCCAAGGAGCCTTCGGCCGGTTTCGGTGCTTCCCGCGGATTCGGTGGAGGAGGTAAGGCGCAATCACCCGTGACAGTGACTGGGAGAAAACACAAATGAGAAAAAACGAGGGTTCTCAATATGTGAAATTCTATTTTCTCGCAGATCGCGATTTTGATTTGCCCCGTGGTCCTGCTCGTAGCCGTGAAGGTGGTTTCGAATCTCGTGAGCGCTTCTCTCCTCGCGCTGAACGCACTTTCACTCCTCGTGCTCCCGTCGAGATGCCCACCGAGCCTCCGTTCACGGCTCGTATCGGCAACTTGTCCTTTGAAACCCTCGAAGATGATTTGGCCGGTTTCTTCTCCAACATGAAGGTACGGTTCTCTCATTTACCTCTGTGCATCGTGCTTGATTCATCATATATGAAATAATAACATTTTATCATTCGGTGGAAATAGATCAATAGTGTTCGTGTTGTTCGTGACCGTGAAACGGAACGATCCCGTGGTTTTGGCTATGTCGAATTTGAAGACATTGATTCTTTGAAGGCTGCTTTGGATTTAACAGGAGAGGTATATTTGATTTTGACCGCGTGGCAGGTGAAATGGTATACTGAGTGTGTTTATGTGGTTGTGTTTCGCTCTTACAATATAGTCGCTCCAAGGTCGTGGTGTCCGCATTGATATTGCTGAGCCTCGTAAGTAGACAGATAGAGTTGACTGGGATAGCAAGGGAATAGTCCGATTCACACATTTCTTTTTTATCTTTCAGCCAAACGTAGTGATCGTCCTGAACGTGGTCCTGATCGTACGGATGTATCTTCGTGGCGTCGTGCTGGTCCTGTTGAACTTCCTGAAGCTCCCAAGCGCGAATTCAGCAGCAGCCGTGGCGGTTTCAGCCGTGGTGGTGGATTCGCTGGTCGCTCTGACAACTCATGGGGTCGTCGTGATGGTAAGTTGTTCGAATCATTAGGAACGATGGGGATCGGTTAGAGGAGCAAAATCATACAAGGAAACAAAAAGAAAGAGAGGAAGAGAGGGATTCAAAAGGAATAATGGATGTCTGACTCGGTCCTTTTTCTAGCACCTTCTGAGCGTCCTCGCCTCAACTTGAAGCCTCGTTCGGCTGATGCAGGTGCTTCCAAGACCGAAGGTCATGCTTCCAACAAGCCCAATCCTTTTGGTAACGCCAAGCCTGTGGACAACGAAGAAGTGTTGAAGCGAATTGAAGAAAAGAGAATGGGCAGCAAGCCTGAATCCGATAGCAAACCTGAATCGGATAGCAAGCCTGAATCGAAGGAATAAGCGGACAGGTTCCGCCAGCGCTGTATGTTAATCATTTTTGCGTCGCTTTTTTTTTCTTGTTCTCTCACATCCTCACATAAAAACGAAAAAGTCTAAAAAATCACCAGAGAAAGATAGATGAGAACGAAAAAAAAAGCTCGTTTTTCATCTTTGTCGTTTATTTTTATGAATTGAAGTTTCCTTTTAAAAAAACACCCCTATTTTATGATAAAAACTGTGGGTGGAGAGCTACATTTTGCGTGCAAAAGAATGACTGGCGGGTCTCTGGGTGCTGGCGTCAAAAAAAGGCAACCAGACAATGTGGACCGTTCCAGAAATTGAATATGGTGCTACCTTGCCATCCACGACTGCAAGTAGGATAAGCTCAAAGAAAAAAACTATATATGGTAGTAATACATACCACTCCAAAATAACAGAAAAAACTATCGCTGGTGCTTATAGTCATATTTTGGTCATGTTGGCATACTCATCCACCAGTAACCAAGAATAACTCATTCCAGTTACCTTGCTCGACAAACAGTTGAAATTGCGGCGTCTATCATACAGCATGTCATAAATAAGATCAGTACCATCCATTATGTCGATTAATTTCAATAAATATCATAATAATGTTTATTGTATGTTTATTATCTTATGAATAACTGCTAACTAAGCCCGTAAAGGGATCCATTGCTGTTGTTGTTGAAACAGGTTCATCACTACAGTAATTGGGCCAGAAGGAGCAGATTCATCTTTGGAACAGGAGTACCAGTGAAAAGGACTTCTTTTGTTTGATGAGGCTGTCTTGAATTAACGCTGTAACAAGCAATGTCGTAGCCTGTCAAAACTAACGTCGTAGGTCAGTTCAAAAGGATCAAAGCCCGATCTCACAATTCTAGAAAAAGAAGCACTTTAGAGATTGCCTCGTGTGCGTTTGAAAATGATGATGCGTCACCACGACTTCTTGGCCAGAATAGATGTTATACTGTATTCGGAGTAGACTATCATAAAATCATCAAATTCAAATGAGAGTCCACTTCCACTTATTGATTTGGACTTTTTTATTTTATTTTCATTTTTCCAGTAATGTTTCCAATCTCTTCTGAATAATGTCATATAAGTATTCAATATTCTTATGCAATGAATAGGTGAATTATCCGGCAATAACCGTTCATATGAGGATGTTTGTCCATTTCATCCAGAGTCGATCTCAAGAAACTAATCTACTGGCTCGTCACAGTACCAGAGCTTATACTGTAAGTCGCTAAGATCTTCTCTTATTTTGTGATGCCAAGAAGGCATGATGAGGCGACATCATTTTTCAGATTGCACCCGGCATCATGTATGAAGTACGGCTTGGTTTATAAAATTTGTACGTTTGTCTTTGATTGGCAAAACGACATTTTTTTGACTGACCCACAAATTTTTTTTCGGGCAAGGAGCTCAATGTTACGACTCGGTTGAACAGAGCTGCCCATCTTGTGGAACGCCTAGACATTTTGTCCCACCTATCACAAACATCGTAAGCACACACAACATCGTCGATCACAAACTAAAAATGAAACCCAAAACACGTGCAAATATTTTTCGCTATTCACCCAGCGCTTTTGGAAAGAAACATAGATACATAGCCGAGGGGGCCAAGATAACCGGTAATCAAGGTAAGAGCAACATTTTATTTCTGTGTTATTTTGAGGCTTTTTGATTTTCTACTTAAACCTTTTATGGAATAGTAGTTCAAAATAAACCTGTGCCTGATTTTTACTCAATTACGGGAAATAAGAATGGTCCGTTGCACAAATGAGTTTATCATCCAACTCAGATTATTATCTGGAACTGGCTGTAACCTGCCGTCTAAAGGCCCTGATCAATTTCGAATAACACCTTGATAAACTGCATAGAAATGCATACGTCATGCATATCCCGATAATCCATTGGGGACAAGAGCGGCAAAATAGCCTCGCGATCCCAAGGCTTGGTAAAAAAAAAAAAAAAAAAAAAAAAAAGTTTGCAGGTTGAGTACAGAAATCGGCTAAACTGGGATACTCGTAGATGCATGGCTTCAAGAGAATGGACGATGACTGGTTCTGAAAGAAGAAGCTTCGATTTTTTTTCCTGGTGTCTCCACAGGAACCTGATTGTTTATGATATGCATGATGTGAGTCCCGATTTGGGCTCATCAAGAATTGTTTTGGCAGTAGGGGTCCTCGTTTGCTACAGTAACATGCAGCATCCATGGGAGCAGAGACAGATCGCCATGCATCACATCATCGGATCAACCATAGATGACACCAGGGCTCTCCACCATGGATTTATGTTGCACATCTTATTTTCGCGCTTTTGTTTAACGTCACATTTGGATGATTAGATGGAGTGTGTGTATTCATGTATATGTATTGAATTCTTTTTGTGCTTATACTATGAAACCAATGATTAATAGAGTGTAATACTATGTGTGAAAGAAAGAAAGAAAGAAAAAAAGTGATACTATGGAGGGAAAAATACATTAATCGACAAAAAGGAGGCGCAATATGCAATGATTCGTTGGTAAAACGGCGGGAAAATGGCAAGTGGGATGTGAAAAAGATGAAAATAAGAGACGATAAAAAGGAAATAAATAAGCGCAAGATCACTGGTGGATCCAGTCTATGAGTTTCTGATGTGATAAATGAGATAGCCAGGTAAACCATAGACTCCAAAACCCATGGCTTTGGCCATTTTGGCAAAACCTTCGGTTTCTACTTGATGCTGGAATGGGTAAGGTGGGAAATTGGCGCCTTCACGATGGACATGGGCCTTGACAAGTGTAAATGTGGCACCCTAATTTACGAAGTGTGTAAGTATACAGAGAATCCCTCTTGACTCAGAAGAGAAATGGACTTTTTTTTTTTTTTTTTTTTTTTTACTTACCACACCATCCAGAGGAACCTTTTCCATTTTACCCAAATGTGTAGGCATATCGACCATCAGATATCGGTTGGTTAAGAATTCAAAATAACCTATGCAATAAAAAAAAAGGCATGAGAACTACTTCTTTCATCCATCGTTCCACCGTTTCCCTGATTTCCAGCCGCAAATAAGCCTTTTTTCCATAGATTGAGTGCGTCGTGTAACCTCTTTTGATGCAACTCAATTCCAATTTCCCCACATCAATCAAGTAGCGTTTATCCAGTTTTTTGTTGTTGGACGCAAGAACCCCTTTTAGATCTTTTTTTCTTTCTTTTTCTTCTATTTTGTTCATGCTCCTGTCCTGCCATCTCTTTCTTCTTCTTTTTTTCTCTCTCCCCTTGATTCTCGCCTCTTTTCTCTCTCTCTCCCCCCCCCTCCCGTCTCCTTATCCCCTTGAGATCCTCTCTCCTTGATGTTGAATGGATGATAATACACACCTTCTAATAGTACATAGTCCTAAAATCAATAAAAATGAATCAAATTTTTTGTTGTGAATTAGTTGGATGATGAAAAAAGTTTCCATTATATCTCAAGTGATGAATATCAACTTACGGGATCCAAATCTTTCTGCATTTCCAGGGAACGTTCAGTTTCTTGCCAGTTGTTCTTGTCGTAAGCCCAAAACGATTTATCTTCGGTATCCAAGAGACAGTTGGGGACCACGACATCGACGTCGACGCTTTGCAAGTCTTCCAGAATGGAAGCAGGGTATTCAACGACATCGACATCCAACCACAGAACCCAGGCATGTTCTTCACGAAGAGCGGCAGTGAGAAGGTAGTTGCGTGAGCGGGCCATGTAGGATCTTCGCAGGGGCTGCATCTCAAAGGCGTGACGCTTATCTTCTGGCAACTCAAAGCTAAAATCCTTTTCGTAGATAGAGATCTGATGGTAACGTTGTTCTGGGTCGTCACGGTTCATGAGTTCCTGGGCTTTTTCCTTGAGCATAGGAACGGTATCATCGGTGGTATCGGAGACCAAGAATGCCATGGAAATGAGATGCTTGGGATAGGACAAGCGGTCGACGAGCTCGAAATAGCGCGGTAAGTAAGCTTGTGCATTTTTTAAAGGAGTCAGTATCAGGACATGTTCCTGGTTATCCTTGGCATTGGAAGTTGCTTCGAGATCGTTGAGATTGATAAAAGTGGCCTGATTGCCATAGTGAGGATTGCTGCTGGAGAAAGCCACGGCTTCATTGATGGTGCGGATGGTACGTCCACACGATCCAAGACCCACAGAGGTCCGAGAAAACGTGAGAAGGGAGAAAACGATAAACGACATGACACACAACAGTGTCACGGCCAGTCGCTTGTTGCCTCGTACAGGCGAATACAATCCTGATTTTTCGTTAAACACCATGATAGACAGCTTTTTTTTTTAACTTGCTGGGGGAATAGGATCGCTAGTAAGAAAAAAAAAGTTGGAAGGAAAGTAGGAACGGGAAAGACACACCGCTTGCGATGGAGTAAGATAAAAAGGAAGAAGGAAGAGGAAAAGAAAAAGAAAGAAAAAAAAAGTGGAGCAAAATAGTAAATGAAGAAAAAAAAAAAAAAAAAAAAAAGGGCCAAGAAGAAAGATGTATTATTTTATAGCGTAGATCCTTTTTAGCTATTTCATTCTCCGCAATTATTGATTGGTAGTGATTAGCTGCTATTTTAAATAACCGAAATCGCAGCGGGTGTTCCTTGCTCTATTTTTTTTTTTTCTTTGAACAAACTGGAAACACCGCCACCAAGCCAAATGGTGACTCAAGACTAATCCAAATTCGGGAATCACCGATTACGGTTCGTTCCCCTTTGAAAATAGACGTCCACAGGTTCTGTCCCTTTTTTCGCCAAGAATGTCCAACACAACGATCCAGTTCGTCCGTGCGAAAAAAAAAAATTCATCTATTTTTAAACATGGTGATCAATTTTTAACCAATGTTTTTTTTCGTTCTAGTCTGTTTACTTCTGCGCCAAGCAACCTATCACCACGGCCAGCCATACAATAACAACAACAACAACAAACAACATCCAAAAGGCTCCATGACATAATTGAGGTTTCGGAGTAACCAATGAAAAGCTTAAAAAATGGGTTTTTTTGGACCTTGTTTCTATTTTCAGGTCAGCTACGGTTTCTGATTGACAAAAAGAAAGGAAGAGGTTTTTTTTTTCTCTTTTCCCTTATCGTCAAACCAACAGCACTCAGTGTCAGATCTGTTCAGCCACATCAAAAAAATTTCCTTTCTTTCCTTGTGACAGGGTGTCCTGCAAATTTGTTGTCTCTATATTCCACCACTCTGTGTGTACTTCACTGAATTCCTGCATGGACCAGGAACCGGCTGGCTATTCATAATAAACATCGTCAAAGGAAAAAAAATGACATCAAAATAACGTGCCAAATATGGTTTTCATTCCTTTTCATCGCCGGCTGGAGCGGGAGAAACCAGGTTATGACAAAAGAATTGAGGCCCGCCTGATTATTTTGTTTTTTAATTTGCGTACTTCTTTTTTCGAAAGCATTACTTGCACACGTGAAGGTGTTGATTTGATTCTTTCACTCCATATCAACTTTGGAAGGTTCTAATAGGCTTGGAGATTATACCGTGTGTTAAAACCGATTCGAGGGTTTGCACGTGGGATCAACATATGATTCGATGATAGGTAACACGATAATATTAAAAAGCATACCAACCATTCTTATCTACAGTGTCACAACACGCACCGGTTTGGCAAAAGATCGACTCTTAACTCAACACTGCATTCATGAAGATCCACTGCCGATCTCCAGAAATCGGCTCCAGAACCGCTCGGGTAGAGCTTCGGTTGATTTAGTTCCCCCATATGCTATTAAATGAGTCATTTCTTTTCTGGTCCTGCCTCGATCCTGTTCAACAACAAAACAATTGCAGTAGGAAATTTCGCCTCCCCCAACCGGCCATCACTAATTGCACTCGAACCAATTAGTGTAACGGCATATTAATTTTTTCCTGTATGCATCTGAATTTGGCGGCCGGCGCAAAGTGCATCAGAGTATGCAAGTCCTTTTACCGAATGGCTGCCTGCATCAGATATTGAAGCCGACTTTGACCATACGAAAAAAATTGGTAATGTGGTTCCAAATGGATGGGACCTTTATATAATTCACTGTTTATCATCCAGTATTCATCTGTGGCATGCTGGTTCATACGCAGGTGAGGGTGGCGGCTATGTTAAAATGCCAGAAAACAATCAGGTACTAGGTGACGCTTCTCTTTTCTTCTTATGATACTGTAGATGTTTAATTTTTTTCGAAATAAAGATCCTTATAAAACCAAGGTATCGCAGCTGATGTTTTTGAGGCTTCTCACACGGTCACTCCCGAAAGGACTGGCTCAACGGCAGTCTACCAGAAAGTCTATGGTGTCTGTCAAAGCTCTTTCCTTCCTATCTTTCAAGGCGTCGTCTTTTTCTTTTCCGAGGTTGTCCCTTTTTTTTTTTTTCAGGAGTCATTAATAAGCTCCAAAACACCAATTTTGAAAAATACGAAGTTCGTATACTGGTGATTTCATATAACAGTTTATCAACCACTGATCACGAGCTGTTCCGGCGCGTAATTTTTTTCAAGTTAATAAACGATGAATGTTACTACGTAGTCCTGAAGACATGGTTGGCTCTTCGGGAAACAGAGGCGTATTGAGACTTACAGGTATGTTAACTGCACAATTTGCTATAACTGCCATAACGATCTCTGAATTTCTGCGACCTCAAGTTGAATAAACTCTATTTTCCATAGACTGACATCACAGGGCAAATATATTGCGTATTTTGATGAGATCACTCATCATATTGAGCAGGTGACCTCAATCATTGTACAAACCTCAACTGGACCAGATTGCACCCGGATATTACAACAAATGGCATAACACCAAGTTTTGCCCTTCTTCCAGCGATTCAGCGATTCAGCTTGTGGTGTCATCGGCGTCTGAAAAGCTTGTGATGTTGCACAGACGATTATTTGGCAAGAATAGCGTGGAAGCATTGTAGCCGTTGAGTCGTCAAAAGAATAAACAAAAAGTTAATAGAGGATAACAGGCATAAACAAGTGAGAGAGTAATGAAAATTGGAGCCTTGAGCAATTTGTATGGATGAGGGAGAAAGGAGAGAAAAGATGCAGGTTGTGATAATGGTGATTCTCAAATAGGAGATTTTAAAAACGTTGCACAATCCCCGAGTGCTTCTTTCTTGATTATATTGCGCTTCACATCCATCCCACCTTGTTTATTCAAGGAGGTGTTTTTGTTCCATAATCACCTCCCCATGTCCACTCACAAACAACATGTCCATTACATTCTGCTGGCAGAATTCGATATCGATAAAGGCGCTTCGCTAAAATATCAATACCCAACCGAGACAGGCACAGACGAACAGTAAGTCGTATTACTCTCCACCCTTCTTCATCCCTCGAGAAATAACCGCGCATGGAAGTGTATTATCTGAGCTCATGTTACCGGATGGAGCTCACTTGCGAGCCGAAGATTGGACCATCTTTTGTCTGAATCAAATGATTCCCGATCCAGAACAAACCCAAAACACCAATCGAGATGCCCAAGAGAAACCATTGCTGTACGTTCTCAACTTGGTACGCACCAAACACGACGCCACCGCACGAAGGTAAAAGAAGCCGAGTAATTCCTTTTCGGACCATTTACTTATGAAGCCATTGACAATGGGAAAAAAAAAAAAGAGGCGCACGCGTCAAAGCCATGGCCATCTGCACTCGACATCAGTTCTTACACATATACAAGGTAAACCGCCCTCTCGCCACAATAGTTAATGATAGGTGCAAGTGCTGACGCTTTATCGAATTTATTGTCTCAGCCGGTATTGTTGCTAGCAATGGAGAAATATTTTGAGAATCCATGCAAGGAAATTCTCGAATCACTATATAAGGCCGTGAATTCCATGGATCTCAGTCGTATCCCGAACTTTACATGGCATGAACGTCAAATTCTGCGAGCGTCCAACAACAAGTCCATGTTTGAGGAAATGTTTGTGGAGGAAGCCAGCGAGAAACTGGCCTCGCCCACATCAGCCGGCACCAGTTCCAGTAAATGGGACGGATTCAGTAGCGACGATGAAGAAAGTACAAGACTGCGCCGCGGCACTTACATTGATCTCACCTCGGGCCAGATGCGAGAAATCTTGCCCAGCCTAAGTAAAGATCGCCATTTTTACGAAACCAAAATTGAATACGAAGGCATCAAATTACCAATCCGTGTCCCCTTGACCATGAATGCCGAAGAAGTTGGAGATGTAAGTTGAAAAAATACCGCGAAATGATATCATATCATATCTCATCATGCAAATTTTGAATCCCTCCACAAATAACCATGCAGTTCTCCTTGATCAAATTGATCACCGCATTTTCCCGTTCCACCTCCACGCAGCCTGGTTCGCCCAATCCACATCATCCTCATCTTGATAGTCCCGGCCCTTACACGCATCCCATCATGATTCTTTTAAACGCATTACTTACACAGAAACGCATTGTATTTCTCGGTTACGGCCACCCTTCGGGCGAAGTTGCCAATTACGTCTTGGCTGCTTGCGCTCTCGGAAGCGGCTGCGGTACCGTTCTTCGAGGCTTTACTGAACGCGCTTTCCCCTACACAAATCTGACAAGTGTGGATGACTTGCTGAAATGGTACGTCCTATCTTTATTTGCTGCGCCAACAATGATCTGCTCAAACTGATGTATTTTTTTGATTTGATTTTGTGTAGTCCTGGGTTCATTGCGGGTGTAACGAATCCCACCTATGAGGAACATACGGGTTGGTGGGATGTGCTTTGCAACATCACGACGGGCAAAATTACGGTCAGCAAGGATATTGAAGTCTCCAGTCTGAGCGCTCGCAAATTCTCAATCCATTCGTCTTTGGAAGAAAACTTTGGCTCCATTTCCCTCGGTCGTGCCGCCGCCATGAATGCCGCCAACAGTCAAAACAACAAGACCGATGACAAAAACGCAAAAGAGAAAGACATGGATACAGAGTTTATGAACGATGTGCGTAGGCCAAACGAACAAAAAAAAAGTGACCATATGGTGCTGATACTCTAGATGGGATTTAGGTTCTTGCTGCCATTCAAGCGCATTACGATGAAACGTCCATCCGGGCCAAATTTCAGGAATACGTATTGCGGTTTGTGCGACTGGCCGGTCTTTACGAAGAAGAAATGTATCATACGACCAAAATCGGATGGGCGGGTAGTGAGGAAAATGAAAAGGATAAGTTATTGGGCCATGGACCTGTGTTTCCTGATGAAGCCACGAAACAGCGAGAACTGGCCGCCAATGCCGGTCGCATTGAAGGCTGGCGACAAACCATCTCTTACAGATATTATCAAAGGGTAAGTAACTGCGAAAGAAAGCCAGGCCAGAAGAGGATGCCGCATGCTGACGAACTTTTATGTTGTTTTTGGCAGGATTTCTCGGCATGGCGTGAAGAAGCGTGTTTGCGTGATTTGGATATTTATCGACAGATCACCAAACTGAAAAAACTGCGAAATCTACCTGAAAATGAAGTCATTGCGATATTTGAAGCGTTCAACAAACGCATCGTATCCGACAAGGAAATGATTGAAGTACGGCTGTCCCCAATCACTGCCCCTGAATATCTTGATCATTCGTTCACTAAACTCTCCCTTTTTGTAGTTTTTATCTCATTTACCACAACATCAAGGCGGTTTGACACCGCTTGGTATTGGTCTTTTGCACTCCTCAGCGACGGTCCGTTCTTACACTGTTCAATTATTCAACCGTTTAGCCAAAAACCCGGTAAGGAATTTTTTTTTTTTTACTTGATAACCCCAAGAATTGTGTGTTATTCATCATCCTCTCTTTTTTTTTTTGAAACGATAGACTGGGTTGAGATATTTACAGGATCTATCACGATTCCAAAAACTGACATATGAAAGATTAAGTCAAAGCATGATGAACGATAATTCCTCCTCAACTCCTCTCACCGCAGCATAACCTCTATGTATCTAAATCGTTAATTGTATTCCAATCATTCAACTCAAACCATAATAATACCCTAAAATCTGAAATATTAAGCTCCAGCCGTATACAGCTTCACATGTTGTATGATTTCCAGTCTATCCACACTAACCGATCCAGCCAAACTATTGAGTTGTAAAGAATCCACGAAAGCATTGATCGATCACGTGATGATGGGCGGTCACGGTGCCCTGATTTGGCAACAGCAAAATCCCTCATTGCAATTGTGTTCTTTTCTGTTTCGCTTTGGTCCTTTTTTTTGCCACGCTCAGTTGAACATGTCATTTGTGACTGAAAGAGAACGAAGAGCCAATGCGGGAAATCGGTAAGTGGGGACTCTCAATCGGTCGTCATGGGTGGACCATGTCACTTTCAAATGTTGGGTTAATGTAAATGTTACTGACTGGATTAAAAAAAAAGCATGCGGGCCCTGCTGGATCAGGAAATGGACATGGAAGTGCTTTTTGAAGAGAATGAAAGCGATGACGAAGAATTCATTACAAGACGTAAGTCATGGCAGCGCCAAGTTGGCGGTCAACCCGGTCGTATTGACATGAACCGTGTTTTATATAGCTGAGGATGAGCCTGAAGATCGCCTGGATTCCGATTTCGACATCAATTCATCGGAAGGCGAAGAGGAACAGGAAGAGCTAGGGAAAGAACAAGATAAAGTTATTCAGCGAGAGGAACGTCAGGTAAATTGTTCACGATATCCCCTCCCAAAAAAAAGAGGTTGAATAATTGGGATTAAGCGTTCTCTACTTTTTTTTAGACACGGAGACCAGCGTTACGGCATCAGGAATTCCTTCACAAGCCACGTCCAAAGGCGGCGGCGGCCGCTGTCAAGATGAAACCTAGACCTGTCAAGGTGGTGCGAGAGGCAGAAGGTCATTTTGCACCTCGACAATCACTGCGTACCAATACCGTATTGAACCGCATTCAGGTCGAAGAGCAGATACGCGAAAGTAAGATGCGGCGATCTCAGTTACCCAAGCGAGATCGGCCCACCACACGTCATTTGACACAGGAAGAATTGTTGGCCGAGGCCGCTATTACGGAACAACAAAACAAGGCGTCGTTAAAACAATGGCAACAGATGGAAGAGGAACGACGAGCGAAAGCCAAGAAAAAGGATACCCGAGCTATCACCGGTCGATTTGTACGATTTCACTCACTGACGGATGGGAAACCGGAAGAACGACCTAAACGACGCAAAATCATGCTCATCGCATCCAAAGACGATGGCGGGAATGCGATGACCGAGATTACCGATCCTGATGCAGTGGACTGGCAGACCAAATGCGATATTGGGGAAAGCGAGATGGTGGGGCGGAATTTGGTCTCGTTCCTTGAAGCTCGATCGGCCGAGGAAATGGAACAAGGCGAGCCCGAGATCAATACGAGTGGATTGAACGATCGTCAACTGGATCGAGTCGACATTATACCCGAGTTAGAGGACTGGCTCCATCGGGACCCAAGGCCTCTTCATCCCGTTTTGTGTCCCATCACAGGCACCGCGGCTCGGTACCGCGATCCAGCCACACTGACGCCTTTTGCTGACAAGGAGACGTACGCAACAATTCAATCGTGTCTTTCCAATGAATGGGTGTGGTGTCCGTCGTTGGGCATCTATGTTGGGAAACAAGGTACACGTGGAGCCACTGGAGTTCCTGAAGGCTGGCAACGCATGTTAACAGGCAAACGTCAAGACGAAGGAGACTGGTTATCCGAAGATGGCCAAACACCTCAGTATCCCAAATGGCTGGCCAATAAGAAAACAGGCCAAGCATCTTCATCATCACCCACGACCCGACGATCCCGTCACCTTTCCTCACCCTCCCCTTCATCTTCCACGTCCGTTTCCGCCATGGATCACACTACCACTTCATCGTAAATATCACAATATATCCCATCATCGCGTTTCACATGATTGTAAATAAAAAATATATTCGAGAAAGAAAGAGATGAAAATGATAAAAACACGAAAAAAAGAAGAGATGACCATAATATAAAATACACACACAAGTGATCTGCAATACTATTCAAACTAAGGAAAAAAGAAACAAGATAAAAAAAGAAGAATGAAAACATGGTGAATCATGATGTAAAAATATGATGATTTTCTATGCAAAAGCATGATAAAAAAAAAAGGCATTGCGTATTCCTTCCGGCCGATTGTTTTTTTTTTTTTTTTGGTTTATGACCTAGATAGACAGAAAGATGGAATGAGTGATGTGTGACGAATGGGTATACACGGGGCATTTGAGCTTACATTCTGTATTCGCAATGTTCTTCGGCACTACCATGTTCACCCTCAAAAGTATAATCGATGATAATGTCCAAATTTCTGGGGTTTTCCTTGTTGGGGACACAGACCAAGCGACCTTCGATGCTTTCACCCTGGTTGATGTTAATGGTGTCGGGGGTGTAGAAGACGGTTTGCTTCCAGTGGGTGTACTTTGCGTGAGGGCCGGTCGAGAAGTAAATGGGCTTGTGGCAGCAAGTGAATCCGATATCGAACCATGACACAAAACCGTGAACGTAATCATTGCGAGCGGCGGTTAGCTTGAAGTTGGTGGTGAAGGCCAAATCTTCCTTTGTCACGGTAGTGATGTCAATTTCCTTGATGACGCAAGGGGTGCTGACAGCGGCCTTGACTTCGACGGTATCGACCAAAGGTTCCTTGAGCACGACCTTTTTCATGGAAGAGTAATCAAAACCATAGACATTGTTCCAGTACTCGACCTTTTCGTCCTTGTATTCACCATCCTCAATGGCGGCAAGATACATGGTGGCCTTGTCGGGGAAAATCAAACCACCAGGGACGAGGTACTTGTCGCGGGCAACCAAGACAGTGTCGAGCATGGACTCGTACAACAAGAAATAACCCATCCATTCCGACACAATGATATCCACCTTGTCCACAGGCAACTGCACTTCTTCCATTTTGCCTTGAATCAGGGTGATCTTGTCGGACAAGTTGTTGTCAGCCACAATTTGACGCGCTTGATGAATAATGTTGGACATGTCAATCTAAAAAAAACCATTTGACGAGTCAATCGTTTTGTGTCCACTGAACTGAGGTCTCCTTTGTTGTCGACTTACGCCATAGACATGTTTCGCACCGGCCTTGGCACAGAACATGGACAAAATACCAGTACCGCAACCCACATCAAGGACGACCTTGTCTTTGAAAAGATGCTTGTTGTTGTAAATAGCCGAACGGTACGACAAGGTACGAACTTCATCCTTCAACATTTCCTATAAGAAACCCCCACATGTAAATATACGCTCCCTTTCGAGCTTTTTATGTCTTGTTCTTACTTCGTGAATGCCTAATAAAAAGAAAAAGAAGGAATCAGATACCCAGATCCCCGGATCGTAAGAGTTTCTCTTTTTATTCGGCATGTCAGCCGATCCCGAACAAGCAGAGTGATGAAGTACTTACCAAAGTGAGCATATGAGTCAAAGTAGTAGTCTTTGTTTTCTTCCGTATTGGCCATGGTGTGTGATTGGGGTGCAAGAGAAAGGATAAAAGAAAAAAAAAAAATGCAGGAACTTCCTTTTACGCAAACAAATAAAAAAAAAAAAAGTCAGTCCGATAACGAGACAAGAACAGTCCCAGAAAAAAGAAGGCTTGATTGCTGGATCCTGCTTGGTGCTGAAACGCGGAATTCCAAAATTTGGCGAACGATGGTTGGTTCACTGCTTTTTTGCAATCCAATAATTTTTTTCGACCGCTTGCCCAATGCAAGGCCATCACACTCGAGAGAGGGGGGAATTGCTTTGAAAAAAAAAAAAAGTGGGAATGCTTCCCAAATTGGCCAAGACTGTTATGGAAACCGCAAGTAAAACAACCATCAGTCAAGTCACTGCAAACACAGTGAAGCTGAGGAGTCCCAGTCCACAGTATATGGCTATTGCTCAACAGCCATCCACAGAGCTCGATGAACCAGCCAGGCAACTGTTGATCCTTGATCTCAATGGCACATTGGTCTCTCGAACCAAACAATCGTCCATGTATGTCCGCCCTTATCAAGCTCAATTTCTGCAATACATCTTTTCCAACTTTGACGTCGCCGTCTGGAGTACTGCTCGACCGGAAAACGTCGCCAATATGTGTCGTCTGTTTGGTGAATTCAAGGACCAGATCGTCATGATATGGAATCGTACCCATTTCGGATTAACACAAGCAGAATACTATGGCAAGACGAAAACGGTGAAAGATTTGGAACGGGTCTGGGATTACTTTGACGATGAATACAATGCTTATAATACCATCCTCTTGGACGATACACCCTCCAAAGCCGTCGTCCAACCTTACAACAGCATTCATTTACGGGAATTCGATCATCTGTTACCAACGTTTTCTCAGTACGGTGACAACGAGTTGCTCCACGTCATGGAATATCTGGACAAGTTAAAATACCAGAGCAACGTGTGTAGTTTCATGCGCCAGTCTCCTTTTATTAGTCCTGATCTGAAATTCTCGCACACCGACAGCTTTGTTTGCAATCACTATCTCTTTAAATCGATGCGACGAGAGCCCATGGTGATTGACTTTGGGCAGCAGTGGGAGAGACAAGAAAAGAAGAAAAGCCACGAAAGCGCAATACAACGTTAATAAGGAGAGTCACGACTCTTTTGTTTTGGGGATGCCGGCTATCCTATCCTACAGCACCACCACCCATCGCATGCATAACCATCTCTATTTTATCTCTCTATTTGTTTCTTTCTTTATGCATACAAGCACGTTTTCATCACCTTGTAAAATAACATACATTTGCAAGGTAAAAAAAAAAAAACCTAATCTTTGCACCATACACTTTTTGGTTTTTTATATCTCATTGACAACAAAAACAGAGGATGGCTTTTTAAAGAGCGTTTCATGCATTTTTCTTGTGCAAAAGCATGATTTGGATCCATGTCTTTATTATAAGTCCTGTCTTCCAGAAACCATGAGCGATCTCGAGAAAAAAAAATAGTCATGATGTCTCCTGATCGCATCGATGGGATCCTCTGTTTATTTATATATCCGGGGCATCCAGGAGAAGCAGGATCCCTCTAGTCTATTTCTGTTGTTTGACCCATCAAGTTCTTTTTTTTTGTTTTTCTTGTCTGTACTTAACATTCTTTAATACATCGTTCTCGTCGTTTTATTCACTTTCCTTGTCAATTATTTTTTTTTTCTTTCTGTTCATTTCTATTTTAATTTTGTTCATATGCTTTATTTGACCGACGATTTAGGCCTCTTGCCTTTTTTCTTACCTTTTGGTATCATTGGATTTTATCGGTACTTGCTTTACTTTATCAAGGTGGCTGCATGGCTGGCCTACCGACCTCGACGACCAAAACCCAATCCAATCTATTTACCAGAGGAGGATGTCACCATTATCGTCCCTACCATTGACGCCGGAGAAGAATTCAAAATTGCTGCCAAGAGCTGGCTCGCCTGTCGACCGAAAGAAATCATCATTATCACCGAAACCGGCATGCGTGGACCATTACAGGAACTGGCGAACGAGGTCGATCCTGATAAAATTCGAGTCTTGACTGTACCCAAAGCAAATAAACGACTACAGATGGTCGAAGGAGTGAATGCAACGACCACGGAAATTGTCGTATTTGCTGACGATGATGCTATCTGGAAACCCACCATGCTTGACTACATTCTCGTTTGCTTTGAGGATCTAAAGATGGGTGGAGTCGGAACAAGCCAAACCGTGCACGCCGTGGATCCCAATGGCCGTCAAACCCTCTGGGAGATTCTCGCCGGGTTTCGTCTCACCAGTCGCAACATTGAAATTGCCGCGTCGACCCACATCGATGGTGGGATCTGCTGCCTGTCTGGCCGCACCGCCGCGTATCGTACACTTATTTTGAAAGATCCGGCCTTCCAGTACTGTTTTACCAACGATCTTTGGCTGGGAAAATACCCATTGAATTCCGGTGATGACAAGTTTTTGACTCGTTGGATGGTGTCCCACGGCTGGAACACGTATGCACAGGTCTGCAAAGAAGCCGAACTGTATTCAACGTTTAAAAACAATTGGCGATTTTTGAAGCAAGTGTTGCGTTGGACACGAAATACCTGGCGATCGGATTTCCGCTCGTTGTTTACCGAACGATTCATTTGGTATCGACACCCATTTGTCGCTTTCACCATGGTCGACAAGATCTTTAACCCTCTCACCTTGCTGGCTGGACCGGTGCTCGTCGGTGTGTTTGCTTCGCTTCAGGAACAAAGGGCCGGGCCTACCAATCCCCCCTTGCCGGCTTGGAACATCACGGTCTCTTACATTTGCTGGTTATTGTTCACTCGGTTTATCAAGCTGGTGCCTCATTTTTTAAAACGACCCAAGGATCTGTGGGTACTTCCCTGCTGGCTAATTTTTAATTACTACTTTGCCATCATGAAGATCTACGCTCTGTTTACACTTCACGTCACCGCCTGGGGCACACGCGCCGGCATCGGTGAACAACTCGCTGCCGACATCAAAAAGGAAGCCCTCGTTCTCGAAATGGAAGAAGCCAATCAACAACAACATCCGCATTCATCTTCTTTTCATTCCAATGAAAAATAAGACGTGTGTACCTGGATCATTCAATCAATCAACGACGTCTCCAAAGTAACAAACAACAAATTCACCATCAACAACTCATCCCTTCCCAACTTATTGTCTGAACCCCTGAGTTTTTATTTCCCAGCATACAAACCTTCTTACATTCAATAAATTATCTTTTTTGCTATTGTTCTATCATATTAAAACCACCGCTGTATCTTTTGATGGCAATGAACCTTATCCTTTGAGTTTTTTTTATTTTATTGACGGTGTTTAAAGCGTTATCTGGTCAATAAACATTGTGTGTGCGCAGAGTCGCCTATCATACAAAGGGGAAATTCCAAACTTTATAATGATTCACTGCATTGCTTTTTGGGTTCGTCTTTTCATCAAATGGATAAGCAGCTTTGGACAACGTGTCGGGAATGGGGCGAATTTTTGTGCAACCCGGAAATGATGGCATGCACTGGACTAAAAAAGGCAACTCGAGTCACACCAATACAAGGCCAATGAAAGTCCCTATTTCAGGACAGACAGAATTTTTGGACCCCTTTTTGATCTCCAATATCAGGTTCCTCTTTTTTTTTTTTTTTTTTTCTTCCGCTTTACTCGTTTGCAATCATTCTGCCTACAAGTCATCGTTCGTCAAGCCCTACGGGTTTCACTCATCAACGGCAAAACTCTACCGCCATCAAAGTAGAACATCAACGATCGTGGTATTCGAAAATGATGAATGCCACCAAAAACCGGAAATCCCTGCTCGTAAAATGTGCATTAGCAGGAGCGGCTATTCTTTTGCTCTTGTGGATCCTCATGGCCAATGACAGATACACGCCTCTCAAGTCTTCCTTAACAGACAATAACGATAAAGGTACGTCATGAACATGTCACGAGTGTATTCTATTTTTTGCCTGAAGGGCTTTTTTTTTTTTTGGAACTAAACCATGCTATTCTTAGTGACAGTGGAAAAAGAACAAACAGAAACAGCAACAGCAGCGTCTGAACATTGTGCGACCCCGTTTCCTGGTCGGCCACTGGTACAGTATGCCATCATGATTGACGCTGGGTCTTCGGGTTCTCGTGTCCATGTCTATCGATTCAATTACTGCAAGGAAGAGCCCGAACTAGAAGATGAAGTGTTCAAAATGCTCGAACCGGGTCTTTCTTCGTATGCAGACGATCCTCAGGCCGCCGCCGGATCGCTCGATCCACTCATGAAGCTTGCTGTCGAAAGTGTTCCCATCCACTTGCAACACTGTACCCCTATTGCCGTCAAGGCGACAGCCGGTCTGCGGTTGTTAGGCAAAAGCAAGAGTGATAAGATTCTTCAAGCTGTCCGTCATCGCTTGGAAACCGAATATCCTTTTCCCATCGCCGGTCCCAATGGCGTCGAAATTATGGATGGAAAAGACGAAGGTAACAATAAGAAAACGGGTGCACAACAATGAAAAGAGAACTGGTGCTGATGTGAGTCTAGGTGTTTATGCGTGGATTACCGTCAATTATCTGTTGGGGAGATTAAAACCGAGTCAGCGAGGCAATTCAGCGGCCATTTTTGATTTGGGAGGGGCGTCAACTCAGATTGTTTTTGAACCGACTTTTGAATCACCCGATGCGACCATGGAAGAAGGCGATCACAAGTATCGTTTGGAATACGGTCACCGTCAGTACGAACTGTACCAGCACTCTTATTTGAACTATGGTTTGAACGAAGCACGCAAACATATTAAAAAGGCAATGATTACTCGATGGAAAGACGAGGGTCTTCCGACCGATCGTGTATACCATCCGTGTTTGCCGAACAATCATACGGAATCGGTCGAGTGGATGGACGGCAATCGCACTGTGTCGGTGGAGCTGGTGGGCACAGGAGCGGGACACACCGAATGTCGTGCGGTGATTGAGCGAGTGTTCAACAAGGAGAAACCTTGCACGCTCAAACCTTGTGCGTTTGACGGGATTTATCAACCGCCTCTTGTCGATACATTCAAGGATCAGGACTTGTATATCTTTTCGTATTTCTACGACTTGACGCAACCACTGGGAATGCCTGCGGAATTTTCGGTCAAAGACTTGGGCACAGTGGCTCAACGTTTGTGCGATGGCCCGGCGGATCACTTTCGACATATTCCAGGCGCGATCGCTACCTTGGCAGATACCCCCGATTACTGCCTCGATCTGACGTATGCTTACAGCTTGTTACGGATCGGTTACGAGATGCCCGTTGAGCGCCTGGTGCGCACAGCCAAGAAAATCAATGATGCTGAAACTGGCTGGTGCCTGGGTGCTTCCATCCACATGATTGATGAAGTTAAAGTGTGCAAAATAGATTAAATTCCTCCATGTCCCCCCATCCTTCCTCTTCCCTCCATAAAAATATATCTCGTATTTATTTTCGTAAATTTCGGCATCGCTTGCATGGTTTTTTTTTTTGGGAACTACGTGTACCCGTCATTTTTGAATGGCAGAGTTCACGGGAAAAACAAAAAAGTGACGATGGAGAGTATACGTCAGGTAAACAGGTGAACAACATAATCTTTCTGGGTTTTAAATGCGGATCAGCAACATCCAAGAAGCACATGCTGTGTAACCCGCCATTTTAAATGATGAATTGCGATTTCAGAGCAAGAAACTCTGGAGAGCGGCTGGAAATCGAAGCATCCATGTCTGTGATGATTCATGCAATCGACTGTCTTATTTTTCGAAAAAGCATCCATTCCATTTATTTGATGCACACGACCGTGCACATTTAAATCCTCTCCCCATCTACTTGCGGTTGCTACCAACCTCACTCTCTCGACACTTGACATGCAACGTATCATGGATGCAGGAAAAAGTTGTCCACCATTAGACTATTGGCCAACGTCTCTATGGAATCCAGGAACAATTTCATGATCGTATGACCCACTTTTTCTCAGAAAAAAAGGTTCTTGGTTTGATAAGCTGAGTCAGATCCATCATGTTATGATATGATGTTGTAAGGCAGAAAAAAAATGGCGTCAAAGGATCATATTTTGATTTTTAGAATTCAAGAATGACTCAACAGAAAAAAGCTTGAGTTTTTGTTTTGTCACCTCGTGGCTCTTGCGTGGCATGAAAAATGTGATGCTTGTTATTCAACCTCAAATAAAACCTGGGTGTGTTAATTTTTTTTTTTTTTTTTTTTTTTTTTTTTGGTTATGATATCATCCAACGATCCTGTGGTTCATGATCGATTCTGCTGCGGATACTGAAGCATCAGATATCCGAACTTTTTAAAGTTTGTGGCGGTAAATGCGGAGTACGGTCCGTTTCATTTTAATGGAAGCGACGCCCACGTGAATCACGTTGTGATTGGTCGTCCAATGATTGTTCAATAATCGATCCTCTTCATCACTTTCTCCGTCGTTATCAATGATCATCCTCCTTTGTAAGATTAAAGTTTTTTAAGGTTATTCCAAAAATTAGATTTCAATAAAGAAAAATGCATTCAAGAATGAAAAAAAGTCACCTGAATAACATGCAACAAGATCTTAAACTATTTGAAATGTCAAGTACTGAGTTGTATTGATATGCAGGTCCCATGCGGGGTATACGATATGCAAAGCAGGCATTGATTCACAGATCCCCCATTCTGCAAGTAAAATTAAATTTTTTCATCGGCAATAGACGGAAACAAGGTTAAAAATTACCGAGAAAAAGAACTTTTTTTTTACCAGCACATGATGATAATAACGGAATAGGCTCTTTGGTAACGTTGTAACCATCGGGAACAATCTTCTCACGGTCATTATTATCATAGTTTTTTGAACAAGGTGGTTTAAGTGTTTACGCCGAACCGCCGCGAAAGTTAAACAATGCTAAAGCCAAAAAGCCATGGTGTATCTGAGATAAACTGGGCTAAACAAAGGATGTGTTACCAAAAAGTAAAATGCAAAGGTAAGAATGATCGATGGGCCCGCCCGCCACTGTTGAGGACGATTATTCAGGTCGCGCGGTTAAATTTCAACCGAGCTGTCACAGGATGACGGGATTTGAACTTGCGTATCCAAAGATGCCAATTCGACCGAACAAACCCAGATTGGCTAATTCATCTTTGGGATTGCGTGCTTTGACGTTATATTGCGTTTTGACAACTATTTAAGCTGATTTTTACCATACAAAGCTTCTTTTTTTTATTCCATACCTTCTTTTTTGTTTGTTTCCTTTTTTTCTCCAAAAAAAGTCAATATATACCTGAAACAGAATCATGGCTGGCCCTATTGTGCTCGACTATGAACCTGTTTCATATGCGAAAGAATTTCAACATTTCGGACGCAAACTTCCAACTTATACCAAGGATTACATTACCAATTTATTTCCCATCATCTATTGGATTCATCGTTACAACCTTACCTGGCTGATTTCCGATGTCATTGCCGGTATTACCGTTGGTATCGTCGTCGTACCCCAGGGAATGGGATACGCTAAAATCGCGAATCTGCCTCCTGTAAGTTGGACAGAAAAAAAAAAAAAAAACAGATGTCGAAAGATCGTCCTACCTTACTTATATTTCCTTTTATAGGAATTTGGATTATATTCTTCATTTGTGGGTCTTTGCATCTATTGTTTCTTTGGTACTTCCAAGGACATCAGTATTGGCCCCACCGCAGTCATGTCACTACTTGTTGGACAAACCATCACTTCCATCACCACTGAAAGCAGCGATTACACCGGACCACAAGTCGCCATTCTTTTAGCCTTGTTTGGAGGCATCATTACCGCATTTCTCGGTCTGGTTCGTCTTGGTATTCTCGTCGATTTTATTCCTGGTACGTCCCATAAGAAAAAAAAAAAAAGACGACCACCTTGACGGTATACAGATGTACTGATCTTTTTTTTTTTTTTTTTTTTTTGAACAGGTCCTGCCATTGCTGGATTCATGTCTGGCAGTGCTATTACAATTACGATTGGACAGTGGCCAAAATTGTTTGGCATCAAGAGCGTGAATACCCAAGATTCGGCGTATCTTGTATTTGGTCATTTTTTCAAGTATTTGCCCGATACACATCTGGATGTCGCTTTTGGTCTTGTTGGTTTACTGTGGCTGTACTCTGTTCGTTGGGGAACACAATACTTGACGAAAAAGTACCCCAAGTATGAAAAAGTATTATTCTTTTGCAATATCATGCGTAACGGAATCCTCGTGATCTTTGGTACATTGATCGCCTATTTGATCCAACTTGGGCGAGATACCAGTCCCATCAGTATTTTGAAATCCGTGCCTTCTGGTTTCACCGCCATGGGCGTCCCCACGGTCGACACCACCTTGCTGAGCAAAGTTGCCGGCACTCTACCTTCCGTTATCATCATTCTAATTCTCGAACACGTCGCCATTGCCAAGTCCTTTGGCCGCATCAACAATTACAAAATCCAAGCCGACCAAGAAATCTTTGCTATCGGTGTAGCCAACATTGTCGGCAGCTTTTTCGGTAAGCTCATAACAACATTTATTACGAAAAAGTCATGCAATCGCTCACGCATGTTGATCAGGTGCCTATCCCAACACTGGCTCGTTTTCAAGAACAGCCATTACAGCACGTAGTGGTGCACGTACCCCGCTGACCGGTGTCTTTGCAGGCTTGGTCGTCTTGCTGTGCTTATATGTTTTGACACCAGCATTTTACTACATTCCCGATGCCATCCTTGCCGCAGTGATCATTCACGCCGTGGCGGATCTCGTCTCTGGACCGAAGTTTTTGCGTCAGCTTTGGTATATCAATCCTTTTGAACTGTTTACATTTGTCGCGGCGGTCCTCATCACTTTTTTCACCAATGTCGAGTACGGTATCTACGTTTCGGTCGGTTTGTCCATCGTTTTTATGCTCTTCCGAATTGCTCGTCCACGTTACGCTGTGTTGGGCCGCATTCTCATCCAACCTCCTCCACGAGATACACCGGCCGGGTCCGTCACCGGAATCAAAGCCCCGTCGTCGAAACAACAAGACCAGGCTTCCAGCGAGGCTACCTTGCCGCAGGAAGAACCTTACTACATCTACGTCAAGGAGAACCATCCGACATTGCAACATATGGTGGAGCCGCCACCTCCTGGCGTGCTTATCTTCCGTCTCGATGAATCCTTGACGTATCCCAACGCCAGCTTTATTTCCGACAAGATCATGCATTACATCCAAGACCATTACGCTAGTGGCCAACCTCCACCCATGCGCAAAGGTGATCGTGCATGGAACGATCGCCGCCCACTCGCGAAAACGCCCGATCCTGAAACCGCCAACCAGGCCACCGAAACTCTTCCTCCGTTGTGCGCCATCGTTTTGGATTGTTCCGCTGTCAATCACTTGGATTCTACCGGAGTCCAGAATTTATTGGATCTTCAGTTGGCCATTAATCGATACGCTGACCGTGAAGTGGAATGGCATTTTGCCAGTCTGGCCAGTCCCGCGATTCGAAATGCCCTAATCACCGGCGGTTTTGGTACCCAAGGCGGTCGCGGCCCTTTGACGGGCGAACTGTTGCCGGTCGTACCTGCCCATCAAGATGGACCAAAAATTGCCGAAACAGCGCCCTGCCACAGCGTATCCACTCACGGCGATACCAATTCGACGTTTACCCAGTCTTTGGGCTCGGCTACGCCATCTTTGGCTAGCGGTCAGGGCGAAGTCGATATCTCCGAAAAGGTGGAATACAACCCTTCCATTGATTCCTTTGAAAGGGAAAAGAAACGCCATTACCGCCAATCGTATGTCATGAATATCGATGCCAACGGATTTATCCAATACTACCCACGCTGTGATCGCGGCATACCCATTGATCGCTATCCTTTCTTCCATTGGGATCTCGAAGAAGCCGTCCGTGCAGCCACCTGCGCCTATGCTCGCCAGAAACCCTCTTCCACTTAGAACCCGCCAACTTGTTCTAATCTTTTTGTGTAAAATATTTATCCCATCTTCGAAAGTCTTTTTTATTTGTATACCAGCACTTTTTCAATGTATTTACTGTATTTATTTACTGTATATTAAAATCTTTGGAAGTTATGCACGTTAAATCATGTGCACGGTTTCTGATTAGCTAAAAACCAAAAACAATACATTTGACTGGGCACAATTGTGTAAAACAAAACTGACTTGTAAATCACATGCTCTCCAGATGATCTACACTAACCTATCAGGACCTCTTATTCTTTTTGTGTCTTTTTTTTTATATCTTTCAATCATGCCTCTGGGTAAAAAGAGAAGGAGACTGTGGACTACAATCAAGTGGAATTTACACATCTCTGCACCAGTTGTGGAACACAAGATAATCCGAATCCAAATGAAAACGGAAGAACCGTGTTATTTGCCGGGTGACATTTCTATTATCAAAACTCGATGTAATATGGACGACGATTGTCTCTTAGACAAATGTGCAAGGTTTGACTGTGTCTATTGTCGCTCCTCATCATCAGAGCACGCAGATCAATTCAAATTGGAGATCCACTTTTTACATGTTAAAAACCTGTTTGCAAGTCCATGGTGCCTGAAGCATAGCTGGAATATGATCTGACATAAGATCGAACGTAATTCTACAGACACAAGCTTGGGCACCCGAGTTTGAGCATGTGTATCACAAGCACAAATATGGCACTTTATTTATCATCAAATAAAATTTATCAGTACTAGCTGGCCCACATATTTTGTAAGCATTGATAAAGTGGACTTTGTTATCAGTCTTGGGTGGAGGATTCACCATGCATTATGGCAAATTCGAAGTCAGCAACGCCAACCGTCATCGCAGCCCAAAGCACCTTTGAAAGAAAAAATCAACGTCTGGAACCAAACGGGTGTCCTTTCCAGATACTAGAATACCCCATGAACTCATTAAATCCAGCATGTTAGTTTGTCTTCACGTCTGGAGGCTTATCACTTGAAGCTCCATTGGCGTGAGCAGCCTAGGCTGCCACAGCACAGACCATCCAAAGATTGCGAGTCACAGAATAGATATACTGTAAAGCATGAGACGCTGTTTCTTTTCTGGTAAATCTTCCTCTTCCTCTTTATCTCCTCATTTCCTAGAACTGCACTCATCATTTCTTCGAAAAAGGTTTCTGATATATCAAAACCTCCATCAGGGCCATCGGCTGGCGCGAAGAGTTCATCCAACCGTTGCGTGAGCTCGTAGCTCTCGTCCATAACCTCACCAAACACACTTTTCTATTCGCGAAATACATTTTCCTGTCAGAGTTGTCAAATGGATTTGAGCTTCACGCTTAAGTCCAAGAAGGCTTTTTCGTTGAAGTCTTCCTCTCGCTCACAAACAGACGCACGAGAAGCAGCACGGTCAGAGCGGCAACTCGAACATACCGCGAACTGATCGAACCGTACGTCGAATCTTTTTGTCGACACACGTCGTTTACGCCACCAACTCTCGCAAACACCCAGCAAATTGCGCTATATCAAGCAAAGCAGATATATACCGCATATATGAACAATGCCAAGTATCGCTTTGGACAACATTTGCGGCGCCTGGTTAATCTGCTTCTTGACATCAAAAACCGGCGAAACAAAACCTTAAAACACAATTGCAAAACGAGGGCTTATCTCAACGTGAAATATCAGCGAGACTTTCAACAGAAATCTACGAGCCCGCAAGGAAATTCAAGCTTGATATCGCAAGCAAAAATTCGCACACTGATTCTCCATTTCTACCACACTATGATTTTTTGCAACCATTTTTCAATTCCTACGCATCGACATATCAATTCGCGAAAGATAGTATTTATTATGATGTCAAAGCTTCCCCTGAAAACCATTTTCTTGCATTTTATCGGTTATCTTGCTTATTTTCTCAACGAGGTTGGCGCTCCTTCACCTGCTTCCCGATTCGTACCGCCTGGTCGCCGCGGTACATGCTGATTGACACGCAGATCCTATATACGCAAATTCTCAACCTGAACCAAAGAAGCGTTAAAGGGCTAAGCAACCTTGATCTGTGGAGCCGGGTCGTGGATCTCGACAGCAGACCTTTCAAGCAAACGAAGGGCAAAGGATTGTCAATTTTATGGAACACTGCAGACTGATGGCGTAGGGGTGAGTGTCATCAAGCAAAATTTCGCAAGTCGCAAAGGAGGGCGGCAACAAAAGGCGAAGGTTCTGGACGAAGATGTACCGTACGTTGACTCGCTTGCTCCAATTGGGCAAAAATGCCTGGAGGACCGCTGTATGTTGGTCGACCCAGGACGAAGTGATTTGCTTTTCTGCATGCATGAGTACTCCGAACCAAACGCAAGGATTCGCTATCGTTACACCTCCTGCCAGAAGGCGAATGAATTGAAGAAGAAAAAGTACAGAAGAATCAGAGAAACATTAGTGAGCCAATTCCCAAATGTCAAGACTGCGCAGGAGAAATTATCACAACATCCCATTTCAGTCAATGACCTCATTGTCACAATCTACGGGAAACAGCAAGCGTATCTCGGGTGCTATCGAATTTCTATGCGAACACGACGTCAAACCTATCAGGATACCCTCTTTTCCGAAAACTGCGCCTCTCAGCCTATTTCAATCAATGCCAAGCAGATTCTCGATTGGCGAGAACCATAAATTTGTGCTTTGGATGGGACTAGGATTTAATCATGGGAAATTGGTCGCATCAAATGCCAAGTTCCATGAGCCGATCAGAGGTGTAGGTATGCGGCGGATGCTCAAAAAACAAGGTTTCGAGGTGTACCTGCTCGATGAATTCAAACGTCCTCGTGCTGTCCTGACTGCGGCGATCCGTTGGAAAAATTCAAGAAGGTGCCCAATCCCGGGCCATACCGACGAACGAAGCAGCCAGAAGTATTATGCCATGGTCTGTTAAGGTAACCGATGAATGAAAATGGATTTGATATTGAATGTGCTTACTCACGTTTATTCTTAGATGCACAAACCAAAAATGTAAACATGATCATGACTATAAATTATGGAATCGAGACTTGGCTGCAGTCCTTAATTTTCGCAAGATCCTGTTTGGCCATCGAGAGAATAACGAAAGGCCGACACTTTTCAAGAGGATGCGGGCCGAAGCGGAAGCCTTGAGTAGCAAGATTCCAAAACATTCATGATATCATCCGGATCAGTTATCGCTGTTCCCGCACCTAGATGCCCTAGGGGTAAGTTGATTATTTATTTCCAAAAGTTTGCCTCACATGATGACTCATGCCTTGGTTTCTATTCATAATCTACTAGTACGATATATAAACCCTATACTTGTCTCCAAACACTAATTTACAGACCAATTTTTATGAAAATTTGAGGGCAAGTTGATTTCATCCAACGTATTTAATAAATGTCACCCTGGTCATTTCAATCGCTTGCTGTACCGCTGAGAAAATAAGAGAGGACAGTTGTGCTGTGGTTATGGTTGGTACATCATTCCGCTATTTTCCACCTTTTAGAACATCAAGTTGCGTCAGAGCGATAAAGCAAAGTATTTGTGTTGACTCTTTGCACCAGCAAATAGCGCAACCAGGAACCATGTTTTCATCAATATGAGCTGCATCTGAATATCTTTTGAGTGTTGTTCACATAAGTTGCTCTGACCTGAATCGATGTAAGTGGAACAGCCACCTAGGCTAAAAAATGGCTGTTGAATACGCGACAGTTCCTGTCTCATCAGGTGACAAGAGGCTGGTGCAAACGAATTCCGTGCCAGGCACCAGAGTTGTTTCTTTTAGACGACTGAAATAAAACGAGCAATGGGAAGAAAATACCATTATTGACATTTATATGAAATAGTTGGACGAGTTCAGTCCAATAAAGCTGAACTTTTGTTATTGAAAGCAATGTTGCCAAGCTATATCGAACGATGAAACGTATTTGAAAATGAGCAGGCGATCATTGTAGGTGACAGTATCATCCAGAAACGTGGTATTTCCCAATACAGGTTTTTTACCATAAATGGGGTTCAGCATGGCTCAGTGACATGGTGATCAACTCATGAAGGAATATATCCACATTTGGGCGCTCATTTTACTCAGTCGGATGGCACGCAAGCGTAATTTTTTACTGAAAGCAGCACAGTGCTCGCGACATTAAGTGCGTGCAAACAAACAACTCGGATCGCATTGCAATTTCACTTTTTTTCTTTCTTGGTTCTTTTCGGTTCGATTTATAATCCCGACGAGCGTAGTATTTTTTTTTATACCGAGCACTCTTTGGTGGTTGCTTTAATTCCTTTCATCAGTGTCAGCGTTCCTCTTACAACATTTGTTTAGTCAGCATTAGTCGCTTAATCTTTCAAACACAACAGTAACTTGTACTTGTTTCACCAAGACAACGACATAAGTGACGAAACAAACCAATAACCAAGTGGACTTTTGTTCTTTTTTTTTCGAACGTCATGTAGGCATTTTGGTCATTACGCACGTATTGTTGCCCGATTAGAGATAAAGGACCATGATGCCGAAACTAATCGATCGACGGTCAGACACCGAGCCTGTTTTAACCGAGACTCTTGCCGAACAAGTAAGCTGGACATGTACGGATATATGCGTCTATCGTACACTATTTGACGCGAGTGGGGTTAACAATTTTCTCAGCTCCGATCGTTTCTTCCCAGGAGATATGCATTGGTATCGCAATGGAAGTTATTGTACAGTCTGGATCAGCATGGGATTAGTTTGGCCACATTATATCGAATGATGCGGAAATATAAGGGACCGTGTATCCTGACCATTAAGGATGCAGATGATCAGGTATCGACTCGTATCACCGACCTTGGTATCCATGGTGTTCATTGTCAAAAGAACGCTTTGTAGATTTTTGGTGCCTATTTGAGCGAGTCATTAAAACCTAGCTCACACTACTACGGCACAGGAGAATGGTAAAACAAAGGATGAACAAGCAGGAAAAAAGAAAGAAAAATGGCTGTTTATGCAAATTTTTTTTTGGTTAGCTTTTTATGGAAAGCGACAAAGAGCGGTATCAAGGTTTACCCGTGGACAGGCAAGAACGAGTACATGATACTGTCAGAAACCAACTTTATCGCCATTGGTGGAGGGTAAGAGAGCATGAAAAGAAAGTAAAGAGCGAATACAGGCATCAGAAAATTAACCATGAATTGTGATGAATGATGATGATTGACAGGGAAGGGAAATTTGGATTATGGGTCAACGAAGATCTGGAAAAAGGATACAGCGAGCCGTGTCCAACCTTTAACAACGAACGACTATCACCGCAACCCGAATTTGAATGTATAGAATTAGAACTGTGGGGATTCCAAGAACTTTCCCCGACACGATGAACCCTACCTTGATCAATTTTCCCTCGTTATTCTGTTGATCTTTTTTTTTTTTTTTTTTTTTTTACCAATGACTATCCAAACTCACCACCCAATATTACAGCGGGAACAAGAAGAAAGGAAAAGGGTCATAGAAATTGTTTATGCTGAGCCTAATTTTGAACACATTATGTCGTGCCTCTCTACAAAACAGTTCTTGCTTGATACGACTTTACCACATTCCTCCACTATGCCGACGACCAATCGTACACGGTGACTGCTTTCAATATATATATCACGGCAACGCGGATCACCGAATGCGCAGGAATAAAATCATATGTAAAAAGCGACATTAAACAGCGTTGTAGCTGATGTGCCACCTCGGTGGGGCAGTTGTGGGGGACGGCATTGCGCGACCTCAGGGAAATGTGTGTCGAAACATGGCCAGCCTATCCCATGGGTTATGGAAATCCAAGTATTTTATACGATAATTGCTTTCTTTGAACAAGATTTCTCTAATTATATTTGTTCGTAACGTTGAATGGCCAATAATAGGTGCGTAATTTACTTGCCAATGTCGCCCGTGATCGACCCCACGCAGCTGTATCATACCTACACCTTGAAAGATCGATAACACATCTTTCAGGCTCATGAATGAGCATTCGATAGGACTGTAATAACAGTTTTCTATCATTTTCCGGGAAATGGATGTGATAACGCATGGCATCTATTGAATGTAGATAAGTATAGGCTTTACTGCTTTGGCTTCGCTTGGATGAGACTTACTGTAAGCCAGTATTTCATTTCGGGAGTCAACTCCGTCGGGAATCTGTAGCTGGAAGGGGAGTTTTGATCGGTAGGAGAGCCATTTGTAAGGCTTCTGTATTCTGTTCCGATTGACTTGATCGTAGGAACGCTCCGTTTAACATTTGTGTGAGCCGAACTGAAGGCGTGGTTGTGAGCTTTCGGCTGAAAACGAGTTTAAAAACCTTAGTGTTGAAGGATTTCAATCGAGTTGAATTTTTGTTGAAGCTTACCATAGGTTTTGTATTTAGACTGGAATACGGAGATAAACTAAAGACGTCTTGACCAGTTGATAAGCCGCTTGTAGACTTATGGAGTCCGCTTTGGATTTAATATGACTGCAGGAACGTTTTTGCCTTTTAAAATTTTTTTGAGATTCTGCTCATTGAGAATTTTTTTGAACATGATGTCAACATTGCAAAACTTACCTGCGAAAGAAGAAGCAGGAATCGAGGGCAGGGTTTGTAGAGTACCAATAAATGGTAGAAAGAAAAATCTGGATAGTGGCAGTCTTCTGAAGTGCGGAAAAATCGCCTGTCCGACTTGGGGAGAGTGGCGCTGCGGATTGCCTGTCCGTGCGGTGTTTAAATTAAAAAATTTAGCCAATGAACGCGGTGGAGTCACTTGTGTGGCGTCATTTGCGTGGCGCTTTCAATGGGCAGTGGCAGAAGACAGTTGTGCCCAATTTCTTCGGTTCGGATCAGGGTAGTTGAGGCGATATTTTTTCGCGCCTAATTTTGTGTCCACCAATATTGATGTTAGAGGACCACTGGTCCTTGAGATTTTCAATAGATAAACCTGGCGATATTTCTTGGTTTTCAAGGCGCCACTCATGCGGAAAACTGAGTTGCGGAACTGATTAAAAAAGGTTGGTCAATGCGTTAGTCAACAGGAACAGAAACTGAAACAAGGCCTAAAATACCATGGTTAACGACGATAGATATTCACCATAAAAATGATGTGGCAGTTTCAGCTTGGCCATCGATCATGATGCGGAGTAGAAGGTGGCGCGTTGGCTGTAACGAGCATACAACGTCATGGCTGGGTGCAATGGAGTTGGCATGAGGCTCATAAGCATACACTTGCGATTTGAAAAGTAAGTGTGTCAATCATTGTATGGTACGAGAACGACTTGACCAGTGTATCACCACGGCTTGGGGCTTCTTGGCCTCACGTTTGCACGACGAACAAGGTTTTAGACGGTTTTCGAAGACCTGAGTGTTCACAGCATGCAAGTGGTTTAAATTCCTCATTACCGAGCTATTTCCATAGGCTATTTTGCCGTGATTGGTTTGAACTTTCTCGGCTGTGCACAATTTCCGTCACCACTCTGAAACATACGGAGGAGATGAACGTCGTTCTACAATATTGATCCATCAGCGAAATTAAAATATGGTTTGGCTACCATTCGATATCAAAATCTTTTATTGAATATAAATGAGGTAGTCCTAGGATGCCAAGGGTACGATACCGAAATAAAAAAAACTTTTTCATGAGTATAGTATTCAAAATGATAAGATTGGCTCGACCTGGCAGAGGGTCTCAGACATCAAAGCATAAAGTTTATTGATAACTGTTTGCATATCGCATGAACGAACTCGTGTCACCATGGACCAATACCCTGCCATTGCTTGAAAAGAAGAAACACCGCCGGACGTTTCATCCATTGTCAGTCACCGGTGCTCCGGTCCGGTGGTGTGTCACGAGCTCAGTAACCGTTATACCAAACACTTTTTGTACACAAAAAGAATATATTAAAAGCAAGGTACCAGAATATGATGTAGTAAAATACAGCAGTTGCGGAACATGTAAGCATACATCGAAATCAGCTTATCTTTTTCGGTGCAGAAAAGGTACGGGATTTGAAAACGGGATATGCAAAAATATGGCACCACCACGGGAACATCTGTCAAACAGTTGTCCTGATCAAGCATAAGCAAGCAGCTGATATGTTAACGACTGAAAAAGTTGAAAGGGAGGGCAAGATCAAACGAATAATGGATTTGTATGTATGAGTGGGTTGCGAGTGGGTCATGTGAGAAGTGCTTTGGAGCTTTGGAGAGCTTTTCTGGCAACTTCATTGGATGATTCGTTTTCCAAGCCAACCTGTCTGTCTTTTTTTTTTTTCTTTGCTTTTATTACTTCTTCTTCAACACTTCCCCTATTGTTCATTGTTATCGTTGACTCTAGCAAAATAATAGCCAGCCGTGGGTTATTGTTCGTTTTCATTCTTTTAGTGTGCACAATACAGCGGCCCTGAAGTGAGAATGCTGAACGGCTCGACTCCCAAGGCTGTCAGTTTTTTTCGTTCTACGACATACTCATTCCAGCATCATGAGCCACCAGTGCCACTGCAAAATGACCAGCTCTCAATGACAAATTCGCCACCATCGTCAAATGCTTCTTCATACAGCTCAGTTTCTACCCCTGGTAACTCGCGTCCTTCGTCCTTTGTCGGCCTCTCCAGCTTATTGCAGCCACTCAAAGGCCATGCAGGAATGGCCGTTTTTCACACTTCCCACTACTTACTGCCCACTTCCTGGAGCCACAATCATCCGCAGCACAAGCCGTCATGGTCGGGTATATCCGCTGTCAATAATCCTGTCGCCTTACCGCAACATGTCTTACAGCGTCCACGCAGCATTTCCAGTCTGTCCAAACCGACACACCCCACAAGTGATGACGTCGATACCATGTATCAAGGGAACAGTGAACAAGACGAAGAGGACCATCTTTGGAGTATGGACAGTATTGACGGAACCACTTCGGATGAACAGGACGATACGGCCGTCGACCTTGTGGCCAGTCTTCAACGTGACAGCTGCATAAACAATTTATTCAAACCGACGTTTTTCGAACATGATTCCATTTTACCTGACAAGAGCGGGATAACTCGCAAAGTACAAAGTGCCTGAGTAAAAATGGACGAGTCTGAAGATGATAACTGATACTGTAATCGTTTGTGTTTTAGATTGCCGACTTGAGAGTGGAAAATGCGGCGTTGTTGGCGATCAACACGACTTTGGAGACGACCGTGCAACGTCAAGCCTCAAGGATTGCCGAGCTGCAAGCACAATTACAATCGTAAGTGCCATTATCGGCTTGGGAACAGATTTTGCTGAATTCAATACGGCAAACACGACATTCTGCAGAAAAGAACCTGGATGCATCGTCCTGGACAGAGCACATCAGGTTAGATTGCGCGATGGTCACACCAAACTCTTTATGGTGAGTCATCACCGGGTCTAACTATATTTTTTTTTTCATGGGCATACACGAATAGACTGACATGACTAGCATGGAAGAGACGGAGACGGAATGGATTTGTGAGCACATAGAGGCCGATCTGATTTATTTGCGGGTCAAAAAAGTGATTCATCACTTGATCACTGAAGCGGAAGTGGCCATTGTGCAACAAGCCAAATTACCGGCACTTTTGGAAAGAGAAATGTCCAAAGGCATGCGCGAAGCTCTGAAGGAACAGCTCCATGAGCAAAGAAAGGGTAAAAGAAAATCAAAAGTCAAGATAACATACTAAATCAAGTTACCGTAGGTTCTCCTTCGGTGGTGCAGCGACTATCAATCCGTCGATCATCTTACATCGTTTCACCAGAGACACCACGTCGGTTGTCCGATAAACGTCTACGACAGAATCGATCGCCGCCTACCAGCAGCGCCCCAAGATACCCTTCGTCTGGTCATACGGCCAAACCAGCGAATAAAGGCAAGCAGACCATCCGTCCTCGAAGAGAAGGATCGTCAAGGACATCGTGTTCGGCTCCCGTGATCCGTCCTGCATCAAGCAGTATCTCCAAAGCCACCAAAAAGAAACGTTCCATCACCACCACCAGCGTCCCACCCAAATGGCAGTATTAATGGTAAAACTGAAAAATCGAAATGCTGCATCAGCATGTCCTGCCCTGCTTTTTAGCCTTTTGCTGCCATGGATGCTGTCCCTTGTTACCATTAATCACCTCACTTTGGAGCTTCAACCGATAATATCAAGAAACCTTGACTACAACAACGGAAATTACGTGGATACGATCGAATAATAGCGGGAAATAGCCTAGCGAAGTAGTGCTGAAACGGAGTGGAATAGTAGCAAAACGATAGCAAAGTGGTCATCACCTCTTGTGACATGGATATGAACCAGACAGTCGTGCTATGCAGCACTGTCTCTACGACGGAGCAAAGCTCATTTCTTGGAAAAAGTATATATATTTTTTTCTCCTCCAATTCGACCGAATAACCCATAAGCGTTGCTGAAAAAAAAAAAAAAAACAATGGTGGATAAAAAAATGAAAAGGAAGGCCCAAGTACAAAGCGTAAATGAACGACTCCAAGACAAAAAAGAGACAGAGGAGGGGAGAGAGAAATAAAGAAAAGATTTGTTTACAGTATACGGAGTGCTGCTGTGTCCTCTTGTGTATTCATCGATATGCTATTCCGTTTTGAGGGAAAGACAGAAATAAGAAGAGAGGAAGAACCAGGAAGGGAGGGAGAGAGAGAGAGAAACAAAAGCAAGCGGGAAACGGATGAGAGTTGTAAAAATAGCTAGAGTTTTTTTAGAGCTTGTTGTTGGCGTGATGGGACATACTCTGACGTGGCCAATCGTATTTGACGTTAGGTCGGTCATAACCATAACTCTTGACAAACGCTTCGAGTTCCTGGGGACCTCGAGATCCATAGGCGTATGACTTGACATCGACTTGTTTGTCCTTGCCATCAATCTTGTGGAGGAGCGGAGTAAAAATCTTCCATGCCGCTTCCAATTCGTCGTCACGCACAAAGTTGGAATGATCGTTGCGCAACACATCGAGAATCAGCGATTCATAAGCGTCAGGAATTGACAAATCCGTATAACGATCATGGTAGGACAAGTCCAAGTCGGTTTGAATGGTTTGATACGAAAGTCCTGGTTGCTTGTTGTTGAATTTCATATATACGGCTTCTTTGGGTTGGATACGCATGACCAATTCGTTGCGAGCCGAGCCAGCAAACAAGTTGCCGGCGACTTTACGGAACTGAATGCGAATTTCCACTTTGGACTCATTCAATGCCTTGCCAGCCTTCATAATAAAAGGCACACCTTCCCATCGTTCGTTTTGGATAAAAGCCACCAGAGCTGCAAACGTAGGGGTCAAACTCTGCTTGTTTTTCAAGGTGTCGTCCTCGAGATACCCCGGTTTGCCATCCGCACCCACGTACTGTCCCAATAAAGCATTCTTCAATTCGATGGGAGGAATGCATTTGAGCACCTTGACCTTTTCATCGCGAATCGCTTCCGCATCGGTCGAAATAGGTCGTTCCATAGCAATCAACGTCAATACCTGAAGCAAATCTGTGGACCACGAAAAATGCGGACGGATAGGAACGGATCAGCCTGAGGTTGTTTTTTTCCCACCCTTCCACCCCCCCCCCACTCTGCGCATTTGGGTAACTTACGGTTTTGCATCACGTCACGGATGATACCAAAATCATCAAAGTAACCGCCTCGTCCTTCGGTACCAAAAGGTTCTTTGAATGTGATTTGAACGTTATCAATGTATTTGCGGTCCCAGATGTGGCCAAAGAAGACGTTGGCGAAACGAAGGTTCATGATATTCTTGACCATTTCCTTGCCGAGATAGTGATCAATACGGTACACTTCGTTCTCGGAAAACAAGGCTCCCAGTTCTCGTGCTAAATGATTGGAACTTTCGGTATCCATGCCAAACGGCTTTTCCACGACCAATCGATTCACGCCTTCCTTGCCATACACGTTCTTCTTTAAACCTTGCGCAACAGGGATGAAAACCGAAGGGGGAAGTGCCATGTAAAAGACGCGGTTCTTCTTGCCGGAATCCAATCCGCGCTCGGATTCGCTGTCACTGATAGCCTTTTCGAGCGACTGCCATGACTCATCCTGATCGTACTGTCCTGCATGGTAGGTTGTGATCTTTTTAAACTGTTCCAACTTCTCTTCATCGTTGACCTTGATATAAGCGGTCACGCGGTCAATGTAGTCGTCATGGCTCATTTTCGTGCGAGCGTAACCAATGATGTGGGTGTTTTCCGGCAAAAATCCATTACGGTAAAGTCCAAACAAAGCAGGGTATGTCTTTTTCTTGGCCAAATCGCCCGAAGCGCCCAACACTATCACCCTTTTACATCAGTTTCCATGCTGTCTTTGTACCGTGCGAAAAAAAAAAAAAATGCGAAGGTTTCCATAAACGCCAACCAGTTCATTCCCATTCACGATTGCCTCTTTTAGAGAACCCCACCTTGGCCCGCCCCGCCCAAGCACTGGCAACGGGTTTTGTCTTACCAACGATAGTGACGGCCCCTTGAAGTTCCTTGGCAACTTCATCACGCATAATCTGGATCGGCGAACTCATTTTGTTGTTTGCTTTCAAGAGAAAAAAAATATGAGAAAAAATAAGGTCAATCGAAAACGGAAAAAGAGAAAAGAAGGAAAGAAAGGAAATGACCAAAAAATAAAAAAAAAAGAGGAAAAGGGCCAAATGCGTCGGCTTTTCAAGCATTTTTTTTTCTGCCCGACCGTGTGCTGACATAAAAAAAAAAAAGAAGGTTTCTAAGCGACCACCATGACAACCTTTTTTTTTAGAGCCGAGCATGAATAAATGCTTATTCATCTTTTTACAGTGCGTGCCATTTTCCTAACTTGTGTATTTGCAGTGGCTCTTTATTCTGTACTACGCTCTTGATCAAGTACTAGTTTTCATGATGCCTAGCATTCAATTTTCATTATTTTGCCATGGATTAAGTCCATCCCGGCAAAACGAGAAAAAAAAATGTTGTGACTGTAATTGTGATGCCGACATTCACAATGAAACGAGATGATCCTATCAGTGCTTTCGGTTGTAATGCACTTATACTCCCCTGCAGCAGTTGACTATATCATACATATGCACTCCTGATAATGGTGACTGTGCTGTAGAAAGTTTGTCCACCAATTCACTTGGGCAGGATGGAAGAGAAAGGTGGTTTGCTGACAACATGTTGACGCAATTGGCCGATGATTAGGTGATCGGTTGCTTATGAAAGCGAGGTGGACTTGCTTTTTCATCGTCCGTCATTTTTTTTTATTTCTCCGGTCACACGAAAACGCGAATCCCAAGGATCCATGCAAAGTCGGCTGTCAGACTAATCTGATTGAACAGAGGATGCGCTTTCTTTATTGGCGACGCCATGGGCGGAGTCATCTTGCATCCAAATTGCGCCATCGAGCAACTCTTTTTTGGTTTTCCCTCTGTCTCTCCCCTTCTTGGAGGGCCATCGGGCCACTCTCCCCTAATTATCTCCGGATGCTCTTTTTTTCGGGTCAAAACTTTATTTTTTTTTCTTCCTTGATTTTCCCGTCCGTTTCCCAAGTGCTTATGAAAAAAAAAAAGACCCTGACGACGTCTTCTCCTTCTTTATGCAATGTTTTGAGTAATGTTGTTCCTCATGGGGATTCATGTCCGGCATCTCACCAAGTTACCGGCGTTGTCAGTCGTGCAAAAAACGATTACCGCTTATCAATCACCATCAATGGCTTATCTCTCTTGCGGTTTTGTTTTTTTATTGTTCCTTGTTTCCCGCTGAATCCCGTCCAGCGGTTTTCTTTGTTGATTGATTGCGCATAATGCATAACAACTTGACAAGCTGGTAAATCCCAAAAAAACCTCTCTGGATTTCCCTATTTGGATTTACCCGACCAGTCTTTGGAAAAATTCCCATGAACATTTTTTCATTCATATCTACCATCAAATGAAAAAGGCGTGCACTTTCTGTCCAACCTTAGCACGCAATTCAATTTTTTGGGGTGCACGCTGACTAAAAAAGAGTTGCTTGCCCCAGGATTGGCTAATGTCACTAGCACGACCACTCATCTACGGCTTAAACCATGTTCCGAGTTTCCGGTCCATGACGCGCAGAAAAATGAGTATGATTAACCCGAAACTCCCCAGCATTTCCCCAGGCTGTCGGCCTATTTATCAATGCATCACGCTAACTTCCATGATTGCTTTGCCCCTCTAGCAACGCAGAAAGAGAGAAAAAGATTACTTGCCTGTGTGCTGGTCAAAAAGCATGACTGAAACTTTTGGAATCAATGGCAACGCATAAAGTTTGCGCATCTTTAGTTATGCCGGAGCTTTTCAAAGGAAGACATTATTGGTGTGTCAGGGGATTAAAACGCCTTGGCTCTTTTTTTTTTTTTTTTTACGTTATAGAAGGCTGGCACCAGTCTTATTAAAAAAGTTGCGTCTATAATAAGCTTACCCACGGTGCATGTCGATCTTTAAGAGTATAATATATATCTTCTTTGGATTGTGTGGGCTCTGAGGAGGAGGATTCCAAGGCATATCGGGAGTGGATGTTCATGTTGCGGCATATAATCAAACTCCGCGTTCACATCCGATCTTGATGTCAGTAGCATCGCGGATTGACCTTCATTAGCACGCGTAAAACCTATCCTAAACAATATCTGTATTACAGCCAATTTCACCAATGCCATTTGGGGAATTGATCTTTTTTTTAGAAAAGAGTTTGGATAGCTTTATCCAACAAGAATTGAAAAAAAATATGATGATGGGTCTCGTCGTCACCGAACTGCATCGCCATCAACGAGGTTGGGCGAGAAAACTATCGGGAAATCTTATAGTCCTTATCAGATTCTAACCCGCCTTTGTCGCTTTGCTCATGATAATCAACAACCACATCTGATTTTTCGTACTTGTCCTCCGCTTCATTGACGCGCCACATTGACATATTCCTCCTATTCATGGCCATCTCGTCCACCATACAGATGAAAAACTCTTTGAAAAAAAAATCTTATATATTTTTCCCGCTTTGGAACAATCTATATACAATATCGTGAATAGGAAACTATACTTTGCGTCGCTTTTCGCGACCTCCTGCAGAGCCACTCGCGCCTTTCTATTAGAAAAGAGAGCAAACGTTTTAGTAACGGTTTATCATCAGTGTCTCTCAGTCGATTGTATCCTGTTACCTTTTGATCGGCTTCCATCTTGTCTAGTGCCTTTTTGAGCTCGAATAAGTTTAATACGGTATTTTGAAGATGCTCGTATTTGCGACACACTTGCTCAGTAGGCATAACAGGTCGCGCGCCTAATACAAGTGCACGGGGATCAGTAATCACACTTGTCTTATATTACGTTAAGTCGTCTAGAATTTCGCTTACCAATATGGAGATCGGCCATCAGTTTCAATACTCGTTGTTGCATGGTAGGTTTGATACCAGGCAATTTTTGACTGCGAACATATACGCCAGGAACAAGCTTTTCTTTCTTTTCTGGGACCTCTGTGGGAAAAATCATGATCGGTTAAAGAATTGTTGTGGAGTGTCGCAAAGCATTGCTTTACCTTCTGCGATGCCAGCCGATGCATTTGATATCCTACGTGCTTTCTTGGAAGCGCTGGCTTCATCGACGATGGACTTTTTCTTTTTCTACAACATATTTTAGTCCCGCGAACCCAACTGTGTCCTCCATTCCTTTTTTTTGAATTACTTTTGTGTCAGGTGCACTTGAGGTTCCTCCAGCAATACCGATCCCACCGGGAGTGGATAGAGGCCCGCCGGTACTCGGTCCATTGTGAATCGGTGTCATGGGCGTGGAAGGAGCTTGTTGCGCTTGTTCGAGTTGAAGTGAGTTTAATAAACTTTCACGGCCACGGGTTAACCGCATTTCGTTTTGCTCAATCCTTCGTGCTTCAATAAATAAGGCTTCCTCCTCTTCCACTTGTTCCGCTGTTCGATCGAATAACGCTAAAAGCATTTGTTTTCTCTCCATTTCTTTCGCCTTGTCAAATGCGTACTGTTGCACAATGGTTTGCCGATCATGCACACCATCGCCCACTGCCGATCGCGTTCGCAGCAGAGCTCGATATACACTACAATATCGATCTTTCAAATCCTTTGACAATAGTTCATAAAAGGCATTAGCCAGTGCCCCATTATGATTAGATGGATCAGAGACATACTTCTATTGACCTTGAACTGTCGTTGTACTGATATCTGTCTGCAATGACGGGAAAACGCAAATCGTATCGGCGACACAGGTCGAACAAGTAATCGGTTTCCTCTTTTGTCCACTCTGGATCTAAGCATACCAAAAATCAGAGATCCGTCTATTTGTGACAACCCGATATTTCTTGTCGTGTAGGTGTACCTGTTAGGTATTTTTCGTATTCTTCGTTGGAGTACTCGATGACATCGATAACTTTGTTGAATTTGGCAAAACTGTATTCTGCGCATCATTATAGTTTTATGTGTTAGCATCTCACTGCGCCATTCGTTTTCCGCTGTGATGTTGATTTTCTTTTCACAGATGCTCATAGTACATACCGCTTGTTTCTGCTTCACTGGCTTTGATCCAGTGCTGTAATACAAGATCATCGGGACGAGCTGGGTTGGTAAATGACTGAAGTACCCTAAGATAACACATGAAGAAATGTTGGCCATCAAAAAGTGCAAAGAAAAAAAAGCATAATATGATATATAGATGTACCATGGTTCTGCTTTTCGTTTTGTGTTGTATTTTGTTTTATAGGTGGGTTTGACGAATGCAATGGGAGGCACACCTCCAACCAAAGAATAAAGGTCTTGATGGGTTGCTTCTACATTGAATGCATCTCATTTAGTTGCTGTTATGTACTTAAGATTGGATATATAAGTGTTTTTAAAGTACCAGAATCCTTTATTGCTGCTGAATCTGTGGCCATGATGTGTATGGCATGCTTTCTCTGGACAGATAAGGAAAACGTATAAAAATCAGGCCAAGCGAGAAAAAAATTCCACGTCACATTTACTACTTGCAGGCGATACGGTAATCGCCAGAAATTTGACCATTTCCCCTCTCATCCTATGGCCTCTTCAACAGGCATCCACACTTTGAAAAATACTACTATCGACAACTTCTTGTCGTCTCTTTTTTCAGCTTATCGACATCAAAAGTGGGCCATTAAACTGCCATATTAATGTCTAGAGCTGCAAGTTGTTTATACCCGCGCAATAATATGCGAAAGCGGAAAACAAGCTGATACCATCATATATATACGGTTAAGAGAAACATATGTCACTGCGTTAGATTATATGCTCTAGACGCTTTAATACCCCACCATAAAGTACTGCAAAGAAACAAAATTGACTCAAACAGCCGATCCATCCTCATTTTAAATGACATTCCTGACCAATGTCGATGTATTTGGTTGACGAGGTTGGTCAACAAATTGGCTGACCAACTACTCTGGATAATTCGCTTCAAAGTGTTCTCAAGTGTACTAACAATGCTTGTCAATTTTCTGTGCAATTCTTCGGATGCCTGATGAAATGAGACATTGGCCGATTTCAGAATTTATGGCTAAAGTTCTAAATATTTAATTTATTTCAACTTTGGTATGGACGCAATATATTGCTTTGCTTTTCTCCAAAAACCAAATGTTGGATACAGACCTTCGGCAACGACGGTATTCCCCGTATGCCCCTCATGATGAACCGAATCATCCACCGGAAACGCGAATAGTAGAGGACAATGTCGATCAACTAAAAAAGGTATACTATCTATCAAACGTTAGATCCATATCCAAATATTAATCTATGGTCTTTAGGAAGCGCAATCAGCTGTCGCACATACGCAGATACTGAAGCAGCATCGTCATGCTCAGTCCGTCCTCTCCATCGTGGCCTTCTTTATCTCTTTTTACAAAATTTGGTATCCAGCCCAAGTGGTGTAAGTGGCGCCACATACAACCGGTTCATCAGATGGCTCTCAACTAACCAACGTGTCATTTCCAAGCTTTGATGAAACCCATTTTGGCAAATTCGCAGGTTATTACATCAAGAGAACTTATTTCTTTGATGTCCATCCCCCACTCGCCAAACTGATGTTTGCTGCTGTGGGTTATCTGCTGGGATTTGATGGACAGTTTGAGTTTGAAAATATCGGCGAGACCTACATTGGTCAGTCGGTGCCTTACATCGGGTTACGTGCTTTACCGGCCACGCTCAACGTTGCCAGTGTCGCCTTGATGTATGGGATCATGCAGCAATCAGGCTATTCCCTTGTCACCTGCATCATCCCCGCGGGCTTGTACCTCTTAGGTATGACTGGAGACTCACGTCCTTGTGTCTTTGTCTGACCTCTGGAAAAAAAAAATAGATAACGCCATTGTCGCCCAAAACCGATTGATTTTGTTGGACGGTATCATGATATTCTTTATGCTGTGTACTATTTACTCATTTGTACGATTCCGAAAATTACGCCGCAAGTAAGTCTAGAACATTATGGAAGCGAAAGCCATAGCTTTATGTGACATTCTTAGTGAGTTTTCCGTATCATGGTGGGGATGGCTTTTGGCTACGGGCACATGCATGGCACTTAACCTGAGGTAATCTGGTCTTGAAGGTTTCTGATTATCGTCCGGTTCAATGACGCTTACATTCTGTGTAGTGTGAAAATGGTTGGCCTATTCTTGGTGGGCGCGATCGGCATGGCAACGCTGGTGGATATGTGGGAGCTGCTTTGCATCCAAAGGGGGCTTACATGGAAACGACTCAGCGGTCATTTTATCGCTCGATGTGTGGGTCTGATTGCTCTGCCTATCATTGTTTATCTTGGATCCTTCTACATCCACTTTGCCGTCTTGACTTTTTCTGGACCGGGAGATGTGTTTATGAGCGCAGATTTCCAAAATACGTTGCAACTGAGCCCTTTGAGACTTCAATCACTAGGTAAGCACATAAATAGGACAAACAGACCATGGCTCAATAATCAATGGTCCGATGATTGCTTTTTAGATGTCGAGTATTACAATAACATTACGCTGATGCACAAGGATACGAAAGCGTTCCTTCATTCTCATAATTATAAGTATCCCGTTCCTTATGAGGATGGTCGAATCAGTAGCGGAGGCAAGCCCATTTAACTTTAGCGCGACAAAAATATCAAATCACTGAATAGTTTTCTTTTTTATTACAACCAGGGCAGCAAGTGGTGGCCGCCAATGAAGTTGATGGAAACAGTTACTGGCGTATCCGACCTACCAAGCCGTTGCCCATAAACGGTGAACCCGTGGTGGTGAGACACGGCGATGTCATCCAGCTGGAACACATTGAAACCGAGTCGCTTTTGATTACCCATGATGTGGCATCGCCTTTACTGCCATCACAGCAAGAATTCACCACGGTTCCCTTTGATGAGCAATATTACAACGATACATTGTTCACTGTACACATCGAGGGTGCAGAAGAAAATTCTGTATGGCGTACATTTGGCCGACCCGTGCGATTGATCCACCAAAAGACAAAAGTGGCTCTGTGGTCTCGCAGGGAGAAGTTGCCAGCATGGGCATTCCATCACCAAGATGTCAACGGCAACCGAAATCAGCTCCACAGCGGCACTTACTGGGTAGCCTCCGATATTCAGGGTCGGAACGGTAAGCCAACTGAAAGAGCCTAGTGGGAAACAATGGAACTCAACCTTGTTGTAAAGCGACCGAAATCAATCAAGAAAAAGAATACACGGTGGAGAAGCGACCTTTTTGGCTTGATTTCCTTGAGCTGCAGATATTAATGCTGAAATACAATTCGGGTCTCAAGGACGACCATCCCTATGCATCCCGGCCCGTTTCTTGGCCACTCATGCTACGTGGCGTGGCGTACTGGGGTAACGAGGCAACGCGTGAACAGATTTACATTACCGGCAACATTGCAGGATGGTGGATAGGTTTAGCCTCTTTGGGTCTATTTGCCACCATTGCAAGTATAAATGCCATTGCTCAAAAACGCGGCATTTCCCTTATTCAAAAGCGTAAGTATTACCTGGCAAAACATCAGTTCATGACCTAACATTTCTGTAATGCGACAGCTGTGCGTCAACGGTTCATGAATTCTGGAGGATTTTTCGCTGTTTTGTGGCTGCTTCATTATTTTCCGTTCTTTGGCATGCAGCGAGTACTTTATCTTCATCATTATTTGCCGGCCGTGATATGCAACTACCTATTGGTGGGCACCGTATTCCACTTTCTGTTTGTGAGCGGCATTGATTTTCCCGTGACAGGCAACATCACTCTCCAGCGTGCGCGTGGATCCATCAAGTCATGGCTGGCTGCGGTCATGCTCTTATCCACGCAATTGGCCGTTTTCGTCTTTCTCGCGCCTCTCACTTATGGCAATCCAGGCTTACCGTCAGAACAAGTAGATCGTCGTAAGTTATTTAAGACCTGGGATCTTCAGTACGGTTCCAAATAATCCGATCTATACTGGTTCCTTTTTCTTTGACATATATGATATAAAGGTCAACGAAATTGGATCTACGGGACAGAAACATCATTACAACTCAATAAAGTCTTATATTTCATTTCACGAGTTCGGCGACGCTGCGAATCACCAGCTCAGAGTCCCCGGCAAAGAATATAGAAAGAATAAATTGGTTTGATTTTATTACAACGCAAAACATTCTTAATCCAGAAGCTTATCCACACTGTTTATTACTATGAAAAAGATAGCTAACAAAGAAAAACTAAAAAAAAAAAAGAAATAACCAGATGGAATGACCAAACCGGCCCCGACAACAGTGTAGTGACCCTGAAACCATGAAAGACCCAGGTCTTCCCAAGTCAAAAGACGAGGACAACTTCCCCATGCCCACCCGTACACTTTGTCGGGTTAGTAGAGACCGCAGGACTTGCCGTACTTCTTTTTCGCGTCCTCAGTACCGCGCTTGCTACCTACAAAAAAGGGAATGTTGTGTCAAAAAATCAAAACGGCTTTTCTTTTATATCTTTTTCATTTTGTGGGAAGGTTTTTTTCGAATGTGACGGGCCATATGCAAAGGGACAAAGATAACGTGACAGTTTCGAGCTGGCTATTCCTAAAAGCCAACATTTTCTGGCTTTTGAAAAGTTCAAGAACCATTAGGAAAATTTCGAGAGCCCATAAAAACAAAGAGACGTTGAAATGATATCATCCAAACGGACCATGACGGACAAATTGGCAAAAATAATAAGGGAAGCAGGGTAAAAAAAAAAAATATTGTTCTTCGATAAGTGATTGGTCAGTTGTTCGTCCAAAAGCGCAGCAGGCACTCTCATAGTAAAACAGCTCCTCATACAGTATACCAATCAACAGCAACAAGGCAAATATGATCATGATCATCAAGTAATAAACATTATCAAGCCGAAAAGATGACATGGGTAATGCATGATCGGCATTCACCTGCTTGCTCGTTCGATGCATTCATAGAAACACGCAACCTTAGTTGATCGAATTTGGATTGGGAGCCCTTCCGAACAGCTTGGGATTCGTCTTTCTCTCATTTTACTTACAGCACTTACTAATAATATCATCGGTGTGAAACGTATAGCTTGGCACGACAAAGGGGTATAGCATGAATGGCACTCTCATGCATTGCCTTGGTTTAACACAATCATTGTATTTCTTTGCTCTTTTTTCATCGAAGGCCTGAGCAAAATCGCGACCCTTTTTTTTCTTGATATGGAACCAATCAAAGTCTTAATTGCACAGTAACACTTCCACACAGCTTCACCCAACCGACACTTTTCTTCCTTTGCACAATTGTTTCCCTTGACCTTGCTTATATCGATTTTGAATTTTTCGCACCTTTTTCGTCGAATCTCATTTCGTTGGAAATGGTCGTTTCTGCAGGATAATCCCTTGTCGGTTACACCAACGGAGCCAGGTGTCAGATAAAACCAAGCTGGGATAAATAACAGAAAAGCTTTATCTTATACCACATCAACAGAAACCCCATTTTTGGGAATGATTAAAGAAACCATAGGAAACGCGGTTCACAACCGCTTGTAAATTGTTACAAAATGGTGCTCATGATTGAACGGGTACTTAACAAACATAATTTTATCCTTTGGATAAGGATGAAAAATGTAAAGGATGAAGATAAAAGGCAGGGAGGTCGCACAACGAGGACATGCGGGAACGGTACTCATAAATTCATGGTGTTGCCCCCTCCCCTTCCTTTTTTCATAATGAAGTAAAGCGAAGAAAAAAGAGACTTTTTCAATTGGGTGAGCGAGCATCCCATCTTCATGTTTCCTTGCCGATCTACAGTACGTATGATCTATTGGATGCATTGTAAAACCGGATTTCTGTAACCATGAGACCACTACAGAAATTCGGATCCTCAGTTTGATTGTAATATCACGGCACATTAACCAAGATAACTTGCCAAGATTAGAACCGATCCTTCCACGCTTTGCAAAACATAGAAACGAGAGAGTATGACAAGTCAAAAGCTGTGAACATACGAAGGAATCGTTATCATACTCTGGCAAAATACTGGGTCTTGTATTTTAAAATAAGGCATAGATCATTCCCTTTGTTTATATCCCTGATTTTTGGGCGGACGATAATCAACTTTTTCGTTGGCCCGTCATGGCACCAGACTCTGATGAATATCTCTTATCTCACCTTTCTATAATCAAAGTGTGGCACGCGTATTCTGACAAAGGCAAGTTAACTGGAGCGAAGTGTGTATAAAGATGTAACCTGCATTCATTCATGGATGATACTGATGTGTATTGTACCGGTGGTTGAGACGAAAAATCGCGGTTAGGTGGGGTGTCCAGAACATTCCTTCTTTTTTTTTCTTGACGAAAATTGATGTCATTGTCTTTAAAGGTTACTCTTCCTTTTCCTTCACATGAATGTAAAAGGCAGTTTTCCCCATCCTTCTCCTTTTCCTCTTTGCCTACTTTTTTTTTCTTGGTTCTTTTTTCTTTTTTTTTTCTGTGGCAGGTTATTCTTCACAAGTTGGATCATCATGCTCGCCACACCTATATCACTTTCCATATGCTGCTGGAACATGTGTATGCAGCGCGCACCCTGATGACTGATGATGACAGTCTTTATGGCAATGTTTTTTTGTTACCATAATTCCACACATTCATTAACATTCCATTTCTTATATGCAAGCACAGTAGATACACAAGTGACGAAGAACGGTGTTTCCAGGCTCACGATGACAAGTTACCGAAGACTCAAGCAAGAAGGTTCAAGCAAGACGACGCAAGGCTCTAGTTGCAAGGCTCAATAAAAAGACAGAAGGTAGAAAGAAGAAGACTCAGCTCAAGAAAGAAGAAAGAGGGTTTCAGACTCAAGAATCAAGGCTTAAGAAAGAAGAAGTCAAGACCTTTTCCGATCGTCAAGATTTCCCGGTGCACGACCCTTTGATTCCTCTGGCGCAGTTGGTGATTATGAGTGGGACTTCCTGAACTTTTCTTCTTCCTGAGAATTGATGTTCACTTCCTGAGTCCTTTGTTTCCTTAGGGTTTCGGTCTTCCATGGCCACCCTAACATTTTTCTTTTGGTAGGTTATCTTTTTCTTTTTATTCTTTCTTTTTTTTCTGTCATCGCTTGTCATCAACGTCATCATCCGCTGCTCGCTGCTCGCTGCTTCCGCCGTGGTTCTCGCCTTCCATGGATACAAAACATCCCTTTGATCCAAGTTGCCGCCTGTCTGGTTTTCCATAGTAACATTTAGTCAGTTGCACGGTATCTTTGTAATGTCTCTTTATTTCATTGCTGTATATTTTGATATAAACACCGTTTTCATTTCTGATAACATTGCTATGCTATTAACGATAAAGCGTTTTTATAAAAACTGATATTGAATGAAGCTACCTTCCAATATCTTATGATCGTTTGTATTGTAGTTGAGCTGGCTACAAAACGCTTCCTTTACGTTTGAGAAATGCTCCATGCTTGCAGCGGCAGGGCACCCGAATGAACGTGCAATGTAGTTATCCGCGTATTCTATGTTCTCCTATGAAATGTGAAAGCAATATGCAATCGGTAAGACACTTCCAGAACTTCCGCGACATTTTCAATATCCAACTTAATGTGAAGAATACGTAAGTCATAGAAAGTGGCTCACAAAAAATCTAAAAAATGCGAGGGGTAACCAGAACGACATAATTTTCCAAATAAACGACATACTAAAACAACCGAAATACACTCCTTTCCAAAAGTCACCGCAGGATTCTGAAATTTTTTGTTTCTCAGGATGGCTGACAGGTGTCGCGCAGTGATAGAGAAGAAGGCGGTCAAACGTCATATTATATTTTTTTATATTTTTACATCTATGAATTATCGAATATTTTGTCTGTGAATTTTGGAGTTGTTCTGAAGACCTTATTATGGACACTGTCCATTAAAACTTATCACTGCATTTTTTCATTTTTTGAGAAAATTCTCAAAATCCTAGGGTGACTTGTGAACAGGAAATTGTAGCCGACATTTCAAGTCGAATTGGATGCGACATGTTTTGTTGGACAACGGTGCTGTATGCTGCGGACCTTGAAGGCTTGTGTCATGTTTTTTTTTCATTCAGCTGTGACCTGTGATTGGGTCTTTTTCGCCATGCGCACAGGACGGGATAGTCCAAAAAGTCATTTTTCCCTTTCTCTCTTTCCTTTGCTCGGTCATTGGAGAAAGCACGATCCTATTACCACCGGTTAATTATTCGTTCCGTTTTCCCATCCTTTATTCACACAGCAACATACCATGATCAAGATTTGGAGCATGAAGGCCAAAGAGGCTGCGGCTGAAAAGAAGAAGCCGAAAACAAGTGCAGCGCAAATTCGTGTGCAGAAAGGTAAAATGGCCTCAGCATTAAGCACGATTGGTCACTTGGCATTCTTTGATATTGACACTTTGAACGATGAATTCTTCACAAAAGATTTGGCCGAATTGGAAATTCCAGAGACTATCAAACTCGATTTCCCTGATCCTGCAGATATTCTCAACTTCAACGTAATCATCACTCCCGACGAAGGTAAGTTACAACCGTAACTCCAATCACCGCAAGGCACTTTTTTTGTACAGCACTAAGTGATTGACAAATGAATCTCAATTATTGAAAAAAAAGGTTTTTACAAGAATGGCGTTTTCCGATTTACTTTTGCCATCAACAACAACTACCCACATGAACCCCCAAAAGTCCATTGCACACAAAAGGTACGAGGGAGAATCAAAAAGAACAGAAGAAAGGGGAGAAAGAATGTTATACAAGGAGGAAACAAGTAAAAGAGGAGAATTTTGGCAAGTGCCTGATGACAAACTCTTTTTTTGAATGTAGATCTATCATCCAAACATTGATCTTTCGGGTAACATTTGTCTAAATATTCTTCGTGAAGACTGGAAGCCCGTGCTGTCATTGCACTCTGTCTTGGTGGGATTACAATATCTATTCTTAGAACCCAATGCTGACGATCCATTGAACAAAGGTAAGAAAATCACAATCACCCTCTTTTTTTTATTTTCCATGGTTACTGTGGTGTGATCCAGGCTACGTGGATATGTTTCCTGTTTTTTTTAATAACCCCTGTTCACCTAGATGCTGCTGACGATTTGCGACACAGTCGAAGAAATTTTGAAGCCAATGTCAACAAGTCGCTTTCGGGAGGTTCATTCAATGGCGTCAATTATGATAATGTATTGGCATAAAAGCAAATGTATTAAAAAAAACAGAAAGAAAAAAAAAAAACCAAAAGAGAGAAAAAAAAAAGGCCCAAAAACCATGAAATGTGACCCACAAACTATATCCTGCAGATGATGAATGGATTCGAATTACCATTTTCAGCAACACGTTGTGCTGTGTTCCCTTCTCTTTTGTATTGTATGTGATTTTTCCCTAATTCACTCTCTCCGCTCCTTTTCAAACCTTTGTTACAGATTTAACTTACTGTTGCCATGGTTGCTAAAGTGGAATTCGCATTGCTGGCCGAATGGTCTGATGCTATTGATCAAGCCGACTTGAAACGCATTCAAACTCTTCTTTCCAATTATCCTCTCCTAATTTCCGTAGCACTCACCCCCACATTTGTCCATGATGATCTTCAAAATAAGTTGGCTTCATGCCCTTTTCTTGGATCCACTGTCGAAAATCTCAATGCCCTTCAGTATTTACTCGCGCAACCTAATCTTGACCACCCATCGCCGGTGATATCATTCTTGCTGGAGGTACAGTATCCCTTTACTTTTTTATGCTCTCTTGTAAAAGGTCTAGCGTTGACTAGATCTTGAAGCAAACCAGTGTGCAACTGTTAGAAACACAAGTGTGGGGCAACGAGCGAAATACAACGATGCATTTGGCGAGTTTTCTGGGGTATCAGCAAGTTCTACAACAGATGGTATCTAAAGGGGTGGCCGTCGATATTGCCAACGATTTAGGTTACCTGCCTGCGGATGTCACGTCAAATGAAGCATTGGCACAATGGTTGACAGCAAACCAATCAAAATCAGTCAAAAACGATTTTTCAGAAACGCCGCCCAAATCACAGAGTGGCAAGAAACCGCCGGTGCAAGGCCCACGTCCGAATTACAGCACATCCAGTCGGTTCCGAGAATTGCAAGCTCTGGCAGAATCCAGCGCTTTGGCCGAAAAGAAGAAAGTCTCCGGCCCTTCGAGTAACAAAAAGTTGATCCATGTGCGTTCCGGCCACGTCGAACAAACGTTGCAGAAAGTTACGAGTGAAGAAGAGGAAAAAGAACTGCAACGGGAAAGAGCCCGTCGTCAAAAAGAAGTATCTTTACTCGTGAAACGGTCAGCCGTCAAGAACAATCCATTTCTGAAAATGGCGGAACAGAAACAGCAGCAGCTCGCCATGAGCGCTTCCTCCAGCACGTCGACACCGGGTGTGTCGTCAACCGAGATATCGGCCGAAGACGACGCCACGGAAATCAAACCGAAACGCAACTCTAAAGTGATTTCGTCCCTAAAGCACAAATCATGTGTTTCCTCGAGCGTATTCCGGCAGACCGAAACCACGACTGAAGGGAAACCTCTGCGATCCCCCAATCTATCGCCGTCTCCTTCCACGCCCAATGATGATCACCCGGACCGTCAATTGTCGTACTTATCACTGCCATCATCCGACCACCCACCCTCAGATACAGCTTCGGATTCTGATTCTGAAGAGAATGATGACGATGATCATCAATCCACAGGACACGCGGACCACGAAATAAAGCAAGCCCAACAACAGCCGGCGTTGGATGATGTCGACAGTGTAAAAGACGAACCACAAAAAGAAATTCAGACACAGAAAGATGGTAAAGACGAAGACCCAGCGATTCAGTCCGATGCAAGCAAAGAGAAGGATCAGGCGAGCACCAGTGTCATTCGTGCTACGTTAGATATCACCAGTGGACGACGATTAAGTGGCAGTCAGAAAGCACATTGGTCTCTCGGTACCAGTGCGTGGGCGGCGGCATTGAATAAAGAATTTAATTTGGAGGCATTAACGAACGAGCGGCTAGTAACGACGACCGCTACAGCCAAACACGATGATGAAGATCCAGAACCAGCCTCCACATCTGTTTCCAATGATAAAAGCGATCATGATACCGAGGATGAGGAGGATAACGTCGACGAAGACAACGACAACGAGGAGGAGGATGATGATGATGACGATGAAGCATCGTACGATGGTACTATCCGCGTGTATTTACAAAGCGTCGCCACCCATTTTACACAGCGAGAGTGTCTTTCGGATGACGGCTCGGGCGATTCGCACTTGACTTCGACATTTAGTTCAAGGCGTGGTTCAATTGTTGACAGTATGGATACCTGGCCTCCACCTTCGCCTCTGGCATCGCGCAGTGACTCGCCCAAACGCGAAAAACCCATGTTTGGTACCATTTCCGTGCGATCCACGGCACGTTACGTGAGTCGGCTGCCACCTTCAGAAAGCCAAATTTTTGAAAACGATGACGACGAGGAAAATGAACAAGTGGAATCGAATAGTGCGCCCTCGGTAGTGAGTGCGGATCATTCGACCCAACGAACACCAGGACCATATCCATCCACGTTGCAAGGGTTAGCATTACCGACAAGTCTGAGCACAAGCGCGCTTTGCAGTCCTCGCGGCGGAAAGCATGGTAAACTGTACATCCGGGTGAATGGCGTTCACGATATCTTGGTTCCTTTGCCGGCCAAAGAACGAGCTTATGTGCGCTGCATTGTCAGCGATGGGCGATACGAGTACATGTCTCGTTATGAATTATTGGCACAACACATCGTATTTGACTATGAATGCATGATCGATACTCATCCCGACATGATTCTGAGCATCTCACTACATGTACGACCGGATTATATTGTAAAGTCCAAACCTATCACGCGATTATTCACCTCGACCCGCAAACGCAAGGAATCACTTTCGGGGTACATTCATCATGAAGATGGGGCGCTGGGTCAAACCCGCTTTGCGCTCGCTCACATGTTATCCGCCTGTTACCAAAAACCCTATGCTGCGAGCTTCCACTGTTTCAATGCTTGGTATACGCGATCACCCAAGGAACGCCATCGACAACGGCGCAATCCCAACCAAGATGTACTAAAAGTAGTTGGTAATTTCGATGTGGAAATGCTTTATCTACCAGTCTCCGATCCATCACTCGTAAGTACTTGCTCACAAAATAAGACCGTGTTCATTTTGACTGATCATCATGAATTGTTCTTAGCCGATCCCTCGCAGTTTACGTGAATGTGACATGGCCATTAAAATCCGTCAGTGGAACGAAACCTGCTGGCCTTTAGGTTACTCTCTTCCCGTGAAAATGGCCGCAAACGAAACGTCCTTTACCCTTGATCACTGACACCAGTATTCCCCCTCCCAAACTACAGCTTGATTACAATAAAACATCCAAAAGCTGTATCTGTACACAGTTTTCTCTAAATAAATGGCCTATCACAATGTCATGGTTGACAAAGTTACAATAGGAATTAACAAAAGAGCCCGTCTCTGATGTGCAGGGCATTTCGCTGGATGGGGAGGCCGGGATATCGTGTTGTCAATGGTCACGGAGCCATTGCTCAGTTGCGCAGAGTAATTTACGTTCACCATGTTTTTTTAATCCAAAAATAGAGAGGGTGTGGAAATATTGGTTTTTCGTCAAGTCCAAAAGTATGTACATTATAGATTTCTTTAATAGTCATCTTCTCGGTGAGCAAAGAAATGTGTGTAGGCGATAACTATAGGAAAGAACAATATGTTGTTCAACATTCTGACGATCCCATTCCCCCTGACCGGTTCGAGTACTTACTTGTGCCGTACACCAGTAAACCGCCGGCAATACTCATGACCATGGCCGGCACCGTAATCTATTGTGAGCACGTTCAACAAGGTGAGCGATTCAGATGTACACAATCATATTGGGTAGTCGTTACATCCGCCTTTGTGGCTGTGGTGGCGGCGATACTTACTACATCGGCATGTGCCAAGACAAATGGTAAACCTGAATATCATGGTTAACAACGGTTGCTTAGTTTGACTGTCCTTCCTTTGTTAACTTACAGAATCCGGTAATAATGAACATGCCGGTGATAAAATGACCGGCATCGATAATGCCGCTACGAGTAATAATACAGCATTGTATGAGCTTGTGCCACCCATGTCCGCTCTAAATCACTGTAAATACCTGTTATAATCGGACATAATATCATCCTCGCCTGCACATCGCGCGCACAGAGCATTTGGTAGAGGTGCAAGTACGTATGTAGCCACTGTGGAAAAGTAAAAAAAGTCAGCCGGTCATGGGGGGTTCATTAACTACGGATGAAAAGAGAACAAAAACGAAAGAGTCGAATCTTACCAACGAGCAGTGGCCACCAATTACTGGAATTGAGTGCGTTAGCAGTAGCATAGAAATGTCATGACAATAGAGCACTTACTAATAAAGGGCACATGAAAGGATAACTAAGAGAAAGCCGATAGCCAGCACAAAAGCCAAGGCAATAATGCTGCAACCAAGCTAATCAGACATATTGTTGTGTGGATAAAAAATTACAAGTAGCTTACGCTAACATAAAAAGAGGTCATTAACAGTTCCAAGGTGCCATGATGTTTTCTGCTTACTTCTTAAACCTGCCATGGGGTTAGCGAATAGAGTTGGAAAAGAAAGTGTTGCCTGGAGAGAGAGCGGAATTTTTCCACTTTTTTGAACTCCTCCCCGCTTGTATTTTCGATGGAACAACCCACACAAAGCACTGCAATGGAAAAAAAAGGGTCCAACCACATCGACGCATCATTAAAACAAGATAAAAAAAACAAGATATACACCAATACAATACAAGCTGTGTAACCGTGAAAAGAGTCCCTTTTTTTTTATGTACGTTAGTCCCAATAAATGATACGCGAGCAAAGTGAGAACTGAATATTAAAACAGGTCGGATCGACCGTTGCCTTGCCAATACTACCTGAACAAGTCGTTGCCCTTCGGTTGACAAACAAAACTATACCTTTTCATCCGCCATCAAGGCATATTGTCTGGAAGAGCTTTATGATCGGGAGTTTTCATTCTTCCCTCTTGCCTTTATGCAGATCCTGGATAACGCTGGTGATAATGCGAATCTTGGCAGCTTTGTCCCACCTTTGCCCACCTGTTTTTGATCACCATCATCAATTTCTGGGTGTGAGTATGGCTGCCTATTTTGACTATAATCAGGCGTTTCGATCGGATAGAAAAAAAGTTCAAGTACGCTTCTTTGACGATGGTGTAGCTGGTTTATTTTCATTGGATAAGCGACAAAGAACGTCACGTGATCCTGGCTTGAGGGACATTGGGTCCGTTCAAAAAGTCCCTAATTGCCTGTCTTTGTCAGCAACAGCTATTGGTTTTCGTGCGGATTCAACATGGCCCTGATGGACGATGATGTATGGGGATCGACCGATGATGATCAGGACTATGATCGTTCCATTGCCGAAAAAGAATGGACCCGAATGAATGAAAATCACGGCAATGTAAGATTAGTCATGTCATGGATCGGTTCTCGTCTGTATAGATCTTGCGTGACATTTTTCTAACGTGGTTGTCTACTCTATCAGGAAGGGTACAAGGAAGGAATTATTGAGGGCAAGGAAGTCCACATGCAGCGTGGCTTCGATCGTGGCTACGAAGAAGGACTTGCCAGTGGCACAGCCATTGGTCGCCTGCGCGGTATGGTGAGGTAAGATGCTGGTATCGCCCCAGGGACACCGCAGGCTCTGAAAACTGACGATTGCCTTTTGCTGCGGTGTGCCGTTCCTAGTTCGTACATGTTATTCTACTCGCACATCCATCCCGATACGGGCAAAGCGGAGAAATTAAAGGCTCTGTATGATGAGGTTTTGCCACTGGATGTAGACAGCCTGTACAGCAAAGACTATTTTAGCGAGAATAGTACGAAAGATGCCGATTACATATCACCGGATGAGCATATTCACCGATGGAGGCAGAAAGTAGAGCAACAACTGCACGACATTGTCGGTGGGAATCCATAACTTCATTTTTTATTGCATTCATAGAACAAGTTTTCTCTTAATTTTTCTTTTTTTTTTTTTCTATTCCTTTCATGGCTTTTCAACCACGAGCCGGTCTCCTCTAGTATAAAGTTGACTGATGGTCGCTTGACGTTTCACCACCTGTAACTCGGTTTCTGCCTTTTGAATGAGTTGGTTGATCTTGTCGGGATTGGTTTCGTTTTGATGGGCTCGGAATGCATCTCTTGAACGTCGAATAGCATAATCTCTAAAGTTGTACGAGGCAAACTTGTTTCCGTATCGCAGGAAGTTTCGATAAAGTGATAAAACGTGGGTACGAGCAGCAGTGGCGCCTTCCATTATGTGTTGGTGAGTGAACAGTGAGGGAGCGATGTGAGAAGCGGTGAACACTGGGTTCATCCACGGCTCTTGATTGGATGGATACTACTAAGCCACCCAGTTGGTCAAGGCCGTAAAAGGCAATTTGATGGGCCCCACCCACCTAGAAGCGATCTGTGTTCACTGTGTCTCTTAGTCATTCAGTCAATGCCACCACTAACAAGTCTGATAAATAAACTGGATACTGGTGGTTAGGCGATTGCACTCTTGCGGCAAGTAACTCCAGTGGATAAACAGTAACCACGAATTATTCTTCGCATAATACAGCGCCACCCATGTCTGGTAACCATAGTTGTAAGCGCGTCCAGTTATGAGGAGGGGATCTGATGTTCCCTGAATGGCTGGCCCTTTTCTTATTATGGTTTCCTCCGCGGGTATTTAATCTTCATGGTGAGTTGCTTGGTTTCTTTCAGAGTCGGCAATTCAAGTCGCTACTTTTGTGCCACTTCGATTCACCGCATTTGATTATTGAACAATAGAGTGGTCATGCCGAACCGATCGTTCATCCACACTACATTCCTTAGTCATCGAGATGGATATTATTTATGCTTAAGGTTCTGTAGACAGTTACCAATGTCAGTGACAGTGGCAATGGTTGAGAATTTACACCTAAAAAGTGTCAAACGCGATATTCTTTTCATGCTGCGGAACAGAATAAAAGAGCCTTTTTTTGTGCGGCACTAGGAATTTTTAGTCTATTATGCTTTAGTTTGGTCATTATGCCAATGCAGTGTTTGAGGGAAAGTTTTTTGGTTCCCCAAGCCGGATTTGCTGCGGGTCGAATGTTTCGAATGACAAGGGATTCGACAAGTTTAGGTTCTTATTTTTGATCTCCGAAACACAGTCCCAAGTGCGCTGTAATGCGTGACACGCCTCGTCTTTTTTTTTCGCGTTTTTTTTTACCACTTTTTTTTTCGTTCTTTTATCTCTATTATCATATATTTCCACCATGTCTATTGACGAAGCTACCGAGAAAGCTCTTATGGCTCTTGACGATGAGTCCATGAAGATCGCTGAACAAGTTCAAGCTTACAACCGCAAACTCATGACGCCTCTCTGGACCAAACGTCGTGACATTCTCAAGAAAATTCCTGGCTTCTGGGGTCAAGCCGTAAGTGACCAACAACAACAACAAAAAAAAAAGAAAAAAAGGATCTTGACCTCATGACACTTGGGTGGCTGACGCAAATCTTGATGTTAGATTGGTAACACTCCTATGTTCGGACTTGCCACTGGTGACAGCGACGTTGAAGCTTTGGAAAACTTGGTCGACTTCCACGTTGAATACGATGAAAAGAACCCCGATTACCGCAAGGTCGTTGCTACGTTCAAGAAAAATGATGTCTTCAAGAATGAGACTTTGACCAAGGAATACACCATCAACCCCGAAGAAGGCAAGGTCTTGGCCAAGTCCACCATTGACTGGCACTCTGGCAAGGTAAAATGTTTAGGGACTCCCAGTGACCCCAACGACAGAATCCTAATATTTACATGTCGCGGGTATAGGAACCTAACAGCAAGAAGCGCAAGAATGATGCTGATGAAGATGATGATGAATTTGCTGCTTCCTTTGTCGAATGGTTCGCTGATGATGATATTCGTCCCGGTATCATGTTGAGGTAGGCTCCAGGCATCCTGGATTTACCATTTCTTTGAACATGCCCTAATCGTCTTTTGTAAACCCATAGTGAGGAAGTCTTCCCCAATGCGTTGGAGTATGTATTTAGGATGATTCTAGTGTACTCTGGAGAAAAGGTGACTGACTGACGTAAAACTTTTATAGATACTATCAAGGTCTTGATATCGATGATGACGATGAGGATGACGATGAGGAAATCGACTTGGCATCTGAGGATGAAGAGGATGAAGGTTGGTTACTGGCGTGAAACTATCCAGCGTAAATGTGACTCATCTGTGTTTGTAGAAGAAGAAGCTCCCAAGGTCAAGAAAGCCAAGAAATAAGCATCTTTCCATTTTGTCGTTATTTTTGTTGCAAACCGATGACAGACAATGTTAATTTGTGTATAGTTCCCATTTCTTTTTTTTTATTATATTTCTTAAAAAAGTTATGAATGCAAATGAAAATGTGGTTGTAAACCGGTATCATGGCCAACAGAAGATGGGAAGACCCACCAGAGCCATCGTTTGGCTAGTTGCAAAAACAACGTGATGATGTTGACGTCAATCTTCGTGCTAATCAGTCAAGCCCCACGCTAATCTCTTGAATCGGTATTCGACAAAACCGCGGCATGGTATCCAGGGGAGAGAGATCTAAAGCTTTTGTTGCTCTATTTGCTGTAACCATGCTTGCCTTAAGCTGCAAAATAGGGCAACCGCGTCTTCCGATCCATGGTATGCCGCCATGATATCGGATAACTGATCAAGAGGTGGATCGCATGAAGCAACTAATGGTACGCAACTAGTGAGAAGAAGTGATGGAGACTATCCATGTTGGGCAGGTCGCTTACCGGAGTACGGACTTTGTGACATGTTCAGGACAAGTACACAAACGCGATCGGGATCATCCAGATCAATAGAACGAAATTCGAACTTGATTTCATTTTCTGTAAACGAATAGTTAGCACCAGCACCCACAGTGACGATAATGGCTATGGTTTCACATGCCTTTTTCCGTGACGATACTAAACTGCAGGTACTTTTCGTAGCTTGCAAGCTCATCCAAACTCATACTATTGTAGCCTGCGATTTCTTGCTGTTGCTCCAAAAGTTCTGAGGAAACGATATGGCATTGTATTAGCACAAGTAACGACTGGAAGAACGCGAACAAGGACTGCTGCACCTTTGATGTGGCTATTCTTTCTTTGTAACCACGTATTGACTTGGTTTTTCAATTGTGTTTGGGTGGCCATATTGTTTGCATGACGAGCTTGTTGTTGATCAACCCGGCTTGACAGAGCCTGGATCGCTGCTTCTTTCTCGGGTATCTCTGTACAAAGACGAGTGGGACGAAATGAGGTCAACAAAACGAAGGTCGACGATAGAGCGAACGCAACTACCTTGATTTCTACGATCGATCAGTCGTGCGTAGTGATCAATGTCAGCTTGAAGCCTTTGTTGAGCATCTAAAGTATCAGGATTTCAAGTTAACATGGTGAATGAGAAAGATAATGAGACTTGATCGCGCGTACCTTGTAATTTAGTGACGGCATCGTGGGCGGGTTGCTGAATGGGTAAGAATGAAGCCTTGGTTTGTTGATGGTAACGTTTCAAGCGGCCCAGCGTATCGGATAACCTTTTTTCTATTTCTTCAATGTGCGAATCTATTGCTGGCGGATGCCATTGTGAGCCATACAGTGAATCTTCGCTCGGCATGGGAATGAAGCGATGATTTAATGATGAAGGGACAGCCATTAGAGTCACGTCAAAGCAGCGCTTGAATATTTTACTTTTTTTTTTCTTACACCGACAAGACAGCTGCGCCAAAATCAACCGCTATTCCACGCATATTTTGCAAAATCACCCAGTAAATATTACTGTCAGATAATCGGATAGCCTCAGCATCATAATACTCCTCTCGCCATCGACTCTGGAGTCCAGTTCACGGCTAGTTTCTTTCCCTCAGTGTGCAGCAGGAATACGATAAGACGATCATGTGTGGATAATAAATATATAAGTGCCATTTTTTTTATTACATTAGGGTGGTTGACAAGAATTGATGGTGTATCTACAGCTCTTCTCGTGAATCGAACAAGGGAGTAGAAGGTGGCTCAAAGTGAGTGGTGGCAGAAGGAACTACTTTTAAGTACTTATCCACGGTCGTGGCCGGAATGTCCGCCTCTGCATGATCGTCTAAACCTCCTTTTAAAAAGATACTGTTCTCGACCGTACCTTGATTATATACCGTCGTGATCCATAACACCAACCCAGCCACAATCATCGCCAGCAATAATGTATATAAAGGATTCACAGAATCTAAAAATTGGAATCCTGTTAGTCAACCGGTGTGGATCCCACAGAGCACTTGCACTTACGAGATGGGAATTGTACCGGAAGACTCACTATGCGACATGTGTTATCTGCGGAGCCGCTGGCCAATAGACGACGATCGGCACTGATGGCGATGCTGGTGATCGAGAATCCGTGAGCATTCTTCAATGTGGTCAGCACCTACCGTCGATCCTGGTTAGATATGATTCAATTTTTCACACCTCTCATTTTTCATTCAAAAATATACCCTCATATTCAATGCATCCAAAAGAATAATTGATAGGTCAGACGTAGCAATAGCTAACAATGCGCCGTCACGACTATGGAGACCACCGCAGCGTTAAAAGATGAGTGACATGAGAATAGAATAAAGCTTTTGTTACCTCAAGGAGCAAGCGGTGATTGGTTTGTTCGATACCTTGACCATTTTCTGTTGCTCCAAACTGTAAACATCAAATTTGCATACAAAAGCACGATCACGACCGTTGACGACCGCAAAAGCCATCTCCTTTGTGTAACCACGTCCGTGTCTACAAAATTGTTTCTCATTGTGTTTACATCTGCTCGCCATTTCTTGATAATTGCCCTTTCTGTTTTTTACCTGAATGATCGAAACTCGACTTTTTGTTTCTTTTCCAAAGACGAAGCGTGAATGGTTTGAACGATTTCACCTGCATTTTTACCGCGCAATCGCACAATGCGTAATGCGTCTCGTGACACGCAGGCTAATTTAGCATTATCATCGCTGATATCCACATCCAATATCTCTGACTTTTCCAGTTCGACTTTATCCATGTGTGCCTCGAATTCCGGGTATTTGAAAACGTGGATCTCGCCATTGGTTGCGCCTGTGGCCACCAATTTGCCGTCGTGACTGAATCGCACCACTTTCTGTAAGGCCCGGTGAATCTGGTTAATCCATCGTGTTTCTTCCCTAGCTTTGTACCATGTTCAAAAATTCTTACCTGATAATCATCTGCGTTGGTGCTTGCCATTGACTTTATCGTTTGTTGACAATCGATACTATGTCCATTTTTCGATGAGTTACCGGAAACCAAATGAGTCTCATTTTCATGTTGGATGATAATTTACTTGGTTTCCGAGACGGACAAGGCTCGACAGTTTTGATTATCGCCTCGTTCCATGTGGTCTTTACTTTGATTGACGCCTGCTACCACGACGTGATCCTGAGCGACACACGGTTAACTCGGGAATGACTCGACACAATTCTGTGATGAAACGATCGCTTACTGTTGGATGCACGTCTAAACACATGGGAGCATCTTCATCGGGGGACAATTCCAACGAGGCTTCCTCTTCCAGATCTTTGCGGCGAACATCAATGCGGTACGATGACTATATCAAAGCAAACCTTTGAGAAAACTGGGATCGGGTGAACAAGACCAAGCAGGATGAACTTACCACTTTATTTTTTATCCCTGAACGGCCGGCTCCTCCGCCTCCAGCCACTACCAGTTGGTTCTTCTGGGTGAATCCAAGTCCAAAAACGGGAATGCCAACAGATACCGAGAATGAAGGGCAAAGTGACGACATGAAAGGGTGTGATGACCAAAAAATAAAATTCAAGGGGAACCGTTCGACCGCTCACTGCGTTTTCCATTGATTGGTCGTTAGCTCAAAAGTTCGGAAAAGGATGCACAAAGTTTTGATACACCGCCCGCGAATTCAATACGCAAAACATTGAGAATCCGCAATAATAAATAGTCCAACAAACCCGTATATGGCATTCTTTTTTTTGTTCCAATTCACTCTTTTTCTCCACTTTTTGATCCGTCTTTTTTTTTTTTCCTTCTGTTAATGGCAACACAACAGACACACTCCGATATTGAAAAATTGGATCATATCGATGATACAGCTATCAAGGATGACAGTCTCGCCAGCGAAACGGCAGCTGAAGATTTAGACGTTGCTACGCCGGAACCTGAAAACAAGAACAAGAAGACAGGACTACTGCAAAATCCCTATTTTTGTGGATTCCTACTCATTCTCGCAGGATGTGCTATTGCCGTTCAAGCTGGTAAAGGATTTAGCCAATCAATGATCGTTAAATTATCGACTCATTTCCATATGCAACAGGCTGCAATGCGACCTTGAATCGCTATGGTGGACGATCCTTCTCTTCCGTGGTAACCTTTGTCATGGCGGCCATTTGTTGTTTCATTTTCTTTGTGGTGGATCTCTCGTTTCTCGGAACCCCTCGTCCTACCAGCCGATTGAAAGGTATCAAACTAAAATTTCGCACCCACCACACCGTTTTCACCGAATCGTCGGGACTGAATTTCCATTAACTTTCCGCCAATTTTTTTATAGATGCACCGTGGTTTGCCTGGCTAGGTACCTTATGCAACTCCCCATATGGTTTATTATTTTATCAAACCTAACGTTATCGCATTCGTGTTACAGGTGGAATACTAGGTGCTTATTATGTCATTATCAATATTTTAACCGTCGCTAGATTGGGTGCTGGCACCGTTCTAAGGTATAATTTGAAGCTGTGTATATTTTGTTTTTTATTTTGGCATACTAACTTGCCTATCTAGTATATTTGTTTGTGCACAGGTAAAACACAAAAGTTATTGCACTGATAAATTCAGGATACTCACATACACCAACAGGTCATTATGGCATGCATTATCGATCATTTTGGTCTCGTCGGTGTTGCGAAACGACGTTACACATTGTGGAGAATGCTCGCTTCCCTGGGTTTAATCGGCTGTGTCGCCGTCATTGCCAGATTCTAAGTAATGTGACAACCCAAGTCAAAAATGTAGAACCAGTATATAGCAATTGAACGTCGTGCAAATAGATAACCTTGTCTCCGAAAACACACCATTCGTGTTCCCATGTTGCAAATAGTGTCAATGAAACTTTTGGTGATCTACTATAATCTATTTGTGAAAGGAAGTCATATTGTCGTTCACTTCGAATTACAGTTGTATGGCGGCATTGCTTATCAAGCACCAAGCTCGTAGTTAAGTTTTGAGTAAAGGTGTAATCAGAGTAGAACTTAGGGTCACGTGGATATCCCACTATCCAAAATACCCCAGTTGACGTTGCATCTGTAATGATTCGACCGATAATAAACCAAATGAAATTGCTCTAGGTATAATAAACGTCAGACTCTCCTTTGTATGTGCCCCCATTAGCATTGAAGCCACCGACTGTTTTATTTTTACTGTCCTTTCTGCCGTGGCAAGTTTTACCATCCGTCACGTCAAAAATGATATATTGCACAGGATTAAGAACGTGCCTGCTCAGCCAAGGCTTTGGTATAATTGGCATGTCATGGTCAATGCAAAGCACATATGTCTTGTTAAAGATTGACGATAATTTCTTTACAGTAAATCTAGTATGATTAGGAAATAGTGCATACCAGTAAGCTATAGGTTGGCGGAAAGCGACACTGTGATCAAAGAAAAACAAAAAGGTTCATTTTTCTTAACGTCCAAGAAGTGACAAGTGGTCACAATCCAAAATGAGTCCCTCTCCAAAAACTTTATCTTGGTTGTACCGGTAATTTACACCTGAAAATATATGTAAACCTTGAAGAGTATGCGGATGTCAATTGCAAAGAATACTGTAAGAGCCACTTTGTATGATTAGTTAGTTTCAACGCGGTCTGTCTTGTTTAACCATCATTCGGAGTGAACGGCTGTGATGCGATGGACCTGTCTCGATAGCTATATCTATTTTCAAGATTTGAATGGATTCCCAAGGTTTCACACAATCGGTAATGATAAAAAAGACCATAGATCAAAAATACTCGGTTTTTTTCCTCCTTATGACATTGCCATCTTTGGAATCAGGGGCACGTGATCGCCGAGGAATCGGACAACGCTCGTTTTGGGCAAACACTGTTTTACTATGTCTTTTCTGTCCCCTTTTCCTTCTTTCCCGTGATTAATTTGTCACCTACCTGGCACATATATTATTGTGTTTTAGTTAAAATTCAGCTCTCACGATACAAGTACATTTGACGTATGTTACTTTAGGAAATGACCTGGAAGCAGGAGGCCGTACCTGGGATAGCATTTTGTCCAGGCAGAAAAGCTTGTTCGCAAACATTCTTCGATTTGAGATCCTCCTTAAAAGGTGTAATTCGGAACTCAGAGATAGTTTAGTGTAACTGTGATGAGTAATTCTGTTTGTGCAAGTTGGCAAATCTTGCTTTAGTTGCATAGGTGATGAAAAATGGTCTCTTACCTGTACAAAGAGAAGTAGTTAGCAGTCGGCAATCTTCGCCGTAATAATACGTTTACAGTACATTCTTCTTAATATTAGTCACTTCTTTGCGCTGCCTAGATCATCCTTGCATAATGAGAAAGAAAAAAAAGTGAACTGCGGCTTTGTAAGGTGTTGTGGGCCTCAGTGGCCAAGGTAAACATCCCCGGGGTGTGGGCAAATGTCCCATTACTCAACATTTTGGCCTCTCCCAATTGAAGTTGAAGTATGTACCATTGAATGCATCCAAGAATTGGAAAGAAGCCGATTCCTATGGATACACTACCCTAAGCTACGGTAAATCAAAAAGATCATGGGAGTGGCGTTTTGACACATCAGCCATTTGTCATTCGTATCCTTTCTCATCTACCTAATAAGCTTTTTCAATAATGCACCATAGTAAATATTTAAATAATATCCAATAACTGAACCAAAATGTTTCTCTTGCATGTCGTATCATGCATTTGAGTCGGGAGATTTCATGGCATTGTGAGCTGTTATCGAAATTCATCATAGAGTTTTCGAGAAAATTCTTCACTTAGATACATATTGCTACGGCATTATACGATCATCAACACTATTTACTGTATTTGGCTTTTACAGAGAAAAAATTCCTAAAAAAGCTCGCCCTGCATTGATTTTGATCAATGTTGTTTTGTGCAGTATCGTGATTGCCGTTAATTTCCTTTTTCTTGTTTTTGTCCGTTTCAATCTCACCCTCTAAGCAATATGATTTGTCACCGAATGAATGGTTAATCATTCTACAGCTATAGTCAAACTTAAATATCAACATACAGTACAATACAGGGCTAAACTAGTTCGGCAGATTATCCAGGTACGCATCGTATGATTTTATTTCTTAAAATGCTGCAGCTCCTTTATTGTAACATCAGTTCGCAGGTAAGCACTGCACTTTTGACGAATCAGTATATTTTCAGGATAGCTATAATTTGCAAAGGATTCGGAATTGAACCTTCAGAATCGTTGAGGCAAGCATTAAAAAAGAAGAAAAAAAAATAGCAGAGAAAAAAATGAGAACTTATTGCAGATATTGAACGATGTTCATGATCTACGAATGAAAAACAAACAATAGGTAAAAACCGTAGTTAATATGCTATGATGAAATGATCTTCCCTTTTCCCCTTCTTGTGTACAAAAGCATGACCAAGAATATGATGAAATCAATGGGTTCGCTTTTTTTTTTTCATGCAGATTTATGTTCTTGAATCAGCGATGCAATGCAGAGTGAAGCGCAATGTCCGAATTCGGTGAGCTAATTTGGTTTACGGTGAGGATGTGGATAAATGGATTCGTGATAATGGGCAAAATCTGGCAACTGTAAGGTTCTCAAGATTGATGACGCGAACCGTGGCTGACAGAAGAGATGAGTTTTGGAAGTGGTTGATCAGGTAGGAAAGAATTTTTATGCAGACTTCCGGGGGAGCTGCCTTGAACCATGAACCTATATCCAGTATGCGGAGTATGCGACAGCGAGTTGCCAACTCCAGTGACACTATGATTCTGTGGTTGTACGGTTAGCGAGCCCTTTCGTAGTAATTTCGAATAATCTACGTAGAATACAGGATACGATGAGTGACGAAAAACGATAGACTGAAACCTTTTAAATAAAAGGAGATACAAACGTAGTCCACAGGCATTGCAGAGTGTTCGAGCACCGTCTGGTCCTCGTCGCCATTCCGGTGTTTCAGTGGTTTGGCAAGAGTGGCAGTATAATCCAACCAGACTTCGTTTCTGTAAAATAAAACAACCGGATAACTTAGAATGCTGCGTCTGTTCTGACATGATTCGGAAGAGCTCAAAGGAAATTCATCTTACGTTTCGACGCTGATATTTGGACCTTGTTTGATCCGGCATCTTGCGTGCTCGACGTATCATTCGATATTCCGAATCGTCAAACTATTGATAAAGTTTTATGGATGTTAACATTTCATCAACATATTGTTTAAACTCATCTATCTGCCGTTACCTCCTCAGAAAATGATGATGTTTGACTCTGTGCCTGTGATGGACTTTCATCACCCGTTGCGGTGGCCCAGGATCGTTTCCTGTTCGACAACTGACGATCCAAACTTTGAAGTGTCTCCAGGATATGGTGGGCAGTATCGGTGGCTCCTTTAAATAGTAATTCACGTTCTTCTTCATCACGTTGACCTTGATGATTTTTATACGCTGATAAATCTTTGCATAATGAGCTGCATTTCTCAATGATCTTATCGTAAGAAAAAAAAAAAAGAAAGAATAAGCACGATACAAAGGATACAAATGATAAGCTGCTGACTGATCGAGGTTTCACTTTCTTTTTTTTTGGAGGGGAACCATACCTCATGTAGATCCGTGGGTGGACTTGGAGAGTGTTGGAACGAATGGGCTCGCTGATAAGACGACGAAGGAGGGGAAAGCACGGGATCCAGTTTTGGCGTTGATTTGAGAGGGCGATACAGGTGATAGGAGGGTGAACGAATTAGCGGTGATACGGGAGGTAATGCCGGTTTGCTGGAGCTATTAAGGTCAGGACCAGTTGTATTTACAGAGGACGGCGAAAGTAATGGGTATAGATGCGATAAGTGTGGAAGGGGTTGCTTGTCGGTTTCAGAAGACTTGGGCGTGAGGGAGGGAAGGACACGATACGGTTGCCATTCGTGCGATTTCGGAGGATCAGTACTAAAGTAAGTTGAGACTTATACTGAGATTATCAATGCGTATAGACCCGAAGTAGTTTGACATTGAAAAAAAAAAAAATTCAAATATCCAACTACTTTTAATTTTTTTTTCTGGTTTTATGCTTATATTGAACATACTCCGTTTCACTACTTGCGGCAACTGAATGAGACTGCGACGACGATGGTGAAAGGATCCCACTGTCCCTGCGGCGTTCGGTCATGCATAGTTGAGAGACATCCATACAGTTGGAGCGATTTTAGAATCGGGAAGAAAAAGACGAATCCGTTAGGAGAAAAAGAGGAACAAGGGTTGTCATAATGAAAAAAATCCGCTCAAGATCATAAGTTGATTGCCCTCAACGGAAATCAAAAAAGTTCACTTCTCACTTGCGTCATCCTCTTAGTCACGTGGTGGATACAGGGCGCGCTGTTATTTCAAAAAGTCCCTTTCTTCTCTTCTTCTGCGTGTCTATATTGCTTATACCACTCCCAATGATGTTCTTTTCTTTTTGTTATTATTTTACTACTCCACTTGATGAATGTCAGACAGGTTTCTCTTTGACTTTTAATGATCTATAAATAGATGGGGAGAGAGGACTGTATAGAATAACGCAATCCATCAAAGGGGATGATTATCGAATAGCTTCGTCTTTTGACTCAAAATTACCACTCAGAATCAAAGCTCCGTTTGCGTCTAACCTGTCATTGAAGTAGGTGCCGTTTTTTTTTTTTTTTTTTTTTGATCTTCACACTTTTAGTATTGCTCGTATCCGTTTTTCCTAATTGTGTATTCCCTGGAGCACTGGCTCTGGTCACTGGTAGCCAAAGAAGGGTGGCGCCTGTCATGGCTGGACTATGTTTATTCCACCGTCTTTTGGATTCTAAATAACGTCAACAGATGGCGGCATACTGGTACGGCACGCGCTCTTTTTTAGAATAGCATTTGAGATCGGCTTTGACTCGGCACAATGATCTCTATTTTAAGCCACAGGACTACATTCAATGCGTTCATTTCGATCATAAAACAGTGGTGATCATACTAAAATCCTATCATTATATGTCCTGTGATATAGATTCACCAATCTGTGGAGGAGTTTGGTCGAAATACAAGTTGCGCGGATCTGGCAGATCTCGTTTTTTTCAAGCCGCGCCGAGGTTTTAGCCGATGGATCGAGATTTGTGGTTTCATTTTCGGACATCGTAGAGTAATTTGTTTCAAACAAGTGATCAGAAATGGGGATCCGGTTGTCTACGTTTCCTTTTTTTGTGGATGCTATATTAATATAATTTATTTGGCCTGATCATTGCTGCTACAGTGCTGCGATGATCCAAAAAAAGGTTTTCCGAGAAGGAAAATATCGAGATCTGGAACGGAGACACCCCCTTTTTTGGGAAAAAGACCATATGGCTGAGTTACAACGTGGTGCGACAATAATCGTGATTGTCAAATTGCCATTGGCAAGGTCCCAACATGGTGCTCACTGACAAGCTTTTTTCCGTCCTTCCCCCCCCAATAAGCTCCATCGCAGATCATGACAGGAAACATCATCACCACAAAATTCCGATTGGCGTGACTTGCCAAAAAGAGCTCCCCGTTCTATTTTTCTTTTATTTTACATTAGAATGAGGTGTCTGCAATCAAATCTCCATTTTAGATTATATCGGTCTCCCTGAATGGCCTGGCTCCTCACGCTTACAAAAATCAGTTAAATCGATAAGAAAACTTTTCCTGCATTTTGATTCCTTGCGAGATTGCGCTCCCTGTCAAAAAAAAGGACTTACCGGCGTGGTATGCTGTGGTCCATACCGCAGGGCTACCTACCAACTGAACAATCGAGACAACCCGCTTCCACGCGCTCATTTCCTATTCTTCGTTTACAACATGAGTAAAATAAGAAGAACATGGCATTCTGTGTTCCCCTTGATCCCACATTATCCAAATATAGTCCCATGCTAGGCAGTTTCCAAGGAGCAGGAGCAACTCTTATTTTATCGTCCTTCCGCAAAATCACGGTATTATTTATCCCATCAAGATAGGCGCCTAGCTGCCTTGCGCACAAATATGATCTGTTGAAACCAGACATACAACCTGGAAACCGCTTTGTTACTTGGACCAAATAGCGTTTGGTGGCCGTTGATTGGGCCCCTGAGAAATTGCGTGTGTTTGAAACATTTTTTCTCTTTTGTTCTCTACCAAGCATGCTGAAAGCCGTTTCTTATCTTCCGTTTGCTGCTTTCTCTGGATTGTTTGCAGCCTTATCCTCGGTTTTTGCAAAACTATTTACGGATGAGCGTACCATTCTCCTTCATGATCTGATACTGCACTATTGCGTACCACCGCAACTTGCAAGCACCATTCCCGTAGAGGTAAAGTGCCGGCACGAACAGTAGCCGCTATCTTCCGCGTTCTGAGCATCCAAAGCGTAGGTCTCATTAGGTGCTACACGTTTATTATGTTTCGTCTTAATATTCGGTTGCAACTCGGTCATGTGGACGCTCTTTACCAAAGCCTTGAACATGGCACCCTCATCCGTTCAAGTCAGCGTCATCAATGGCGCCGCCAATCTCAGTGCCTCGGTAAGTTTCATTGGGCTTTATAGAACTCAAAATGGTCATGGGAGACTAATGAATCAAACGAGCGCAGGCATTATTGGGTTATCTCGTATTTGATGAACCGCTCACGTTGCGATGGTGGTGTGGAGCCAGTCTTATTCTAGCAGGCACGATTTTATTATCACGATCACAAAAGGAAAAAACTGAATAAAGCGGGTCAACGTTGATACAGCGCATCTACGACGATTTCACCTATCAACTTTCCAGCATCTAAAGTAGCCAAGTGACCCGCGAAAGGAATTTTATGAAAAGAGGTGCGGATACCCTGTTGTTGGTTTAGCTGGTGCCACGCTTCCATCAGATTGCACGTGTATGTATCAGCTTCTCCAACAATTAACATCTGATACAGAGGAAGCGGGGAGGTCATGGAAGGGGTCGTCGCGTTTGCGTTGTTTGGCGGTAATGCGTAGGCGCACGCGCGTAAACAGGTTGTCAGCGCTCTATCGGACACACTTTGCATCGCTCGTTGCGCTTCTTTTTGTGTGGTTTCATTAACGCCTGAGCATATGATAGCTTCACGGACTGCTTGCATATCGTGACTATTGGTGTCGTGACGATAATCATCCATCCACGTTATGCGCGGCCAGACCATGCCGATGGAACCACACGCGATGGGGATCAGGCCTTGTATCCGATAACCGAACTGTAACCAAATATGATGTTTTTCTCGATAGCACACTTGACTCAGCATTCCGCCCATCGACAACCCGCCAACAATTAAATCCATCATGGGACCTGGATTGTCCAGTTTGGATTTGAAATCTACCAGTACATGTTGCAGATCGTCCATCATTGAACTGAAATCGAGAGAATCACAGGGTTGAGAGAGTCCGTGGCCTCGTAAATCGCACGTAATAACGATGTGTCCAGCTTCAACTAGCACGGTTGCCATATCATCAAACTGGTGATGATCCCCTCCTGCACCGTGCAGTAATAAAACGATCAAAGGATTCTGCGAAGTAATGGCCGGTCTTGATACAAAATAATGCAGAGACACATCGTCAGTTGAAACAGTATGATGATCCATCGGTAAATAGGCAAGCAGTGTGTGCCAAAGTGAGAATCGATCAGATAATAGCTTTTTATTATTATTCCAATTGAATCGCTCATTCCATAGCGTTTATATCGTATGCCTTTTGTCTTTTGTTCGATGTTTATAGCGATGAATAAGACAATGCCATCTTTCCATATTTGGTTATGCAGATGCATGCGACTCCATGAACCGCTCAGCCGATTAACTCTTGCCAAACTCGGTCGTATCTAGAAGGCGCTGTCAGTGCTTGATATTTGTCGCCGCCAGGGAATAACAAAAAAATTAAGGACTCACTCTTCATACTGTCGAATGTAACCTTCCATGAAACCGAATTTGATGGCCACTTCTCCCGAGACATTATTTTTTTCTGTTCTTTTATTGAGTGTGTACCACGCCGTTTGGTTGGCTTCATCCGAGTAATGTCTCGCTACGCCATCGGATAATCCTCCCGCGTTGCGGTCAAATATGTTTTTGAAAGGAATGCTGACTTCTCCGAGAAAATCTCGTCCAAACGTATCTTTATCCCATACGGTGATGTTGATAAGCGTGGGCAGTTTGCCCGGTTCCAAGGGTACATCGAATTCAAAATTCCATACAGGATCCAACGTTTGATCAATCACCTTGGTCTTGTATTTCTTGCTACTGTATTACAGGTACAGTAACATGTAAGTATGGGGCCGATATCATGAATGCAAGAAGGGTACTTACTTGATACGTACGACGGCGTAAGGATCTGAGAGGCCCGATTTATCCCTAGTTCATGTGAGTCTTTAGGCTCGTATTAAGAGTGATGAGAACTTGCAAGCAGTCAACGTACGCGGCGGCGAGTTGTCGAGCAGCTAAAACACCAATGCGAAGCTTGAGGTTGGAAGCCATGTGAGAGGGTCAGCAAAAGTACGCAAATAGATGGGGTTGGCCAAAGAGAGACAACAATTATGTGCAAGGAAAAATGGCATCCAGAGAAATCGCCAAGCTTGAGTGTTGCACAAGATGATTTCCATCGGCAGGTAACACAGACGCTATACTCAGCACCCGCTCACCAAAGTCCCTTTCTTGAACAGAACATGGCCTGGCTGACTCGGATATTCATAGCCGAAAAAGCCACAACTCCAACGCGTATGATCGTTTTTATCATTTTGTGCAGATGGCGGCTGATCCACAGCAAATGACCTATCCATCAGTCAACCATATGAAGACCAGAGAACCAGTAAATCGTATGGCAAGGATGGTTGGCTGATTTCATGAATATTGAACATGAGAGGATCCTGATAACGGCGACCAAGTAAGCGAAAAACTTGTTTGGACACTGCATGATGATGATCCCTGGAATTTTTTTTACCAGTCTCATCGCAGCTCCTTGCATTATGTCACTTTACACAGTGCCTCGGAAGAACTGAGAGCAAGAGAAAAAAAAAAGGCATACCGAGGAGTTCTTTTTGATCTTCAACATAGAAATGAGCTCATCGAACACTTGCGATTCATCCTTTCTTTGCTTCGTCATTACTCGTTTTATCATCTATCAATCGCACCTATATGTTAGCCATTTGCCATCTTGTGCAGTCATGAATGAAAGAATTTTCTACCCCCAAAAAGAAGTAGTCAATGATAACCTGCCTTGCCGCTGACATATTTCGTCACACGTCATATAAACGGAATGTTCACTACTCAAGCCGTAATTTGTCTGCGATAAAATGGATGGAAAGCCGATCCTGCGCAGAATGATGGAATTACAGTTTGCACAATTACGCGAAATGATGTACAGAATTGTGCAAGAAGGACCTCGTCCCAAATATTGCGTATTTTTCTAAAACTATACCATGCCTTTAATGGGTGAGATAAAGAGAGGTCAATGATCTCTTATATCAATGGCATGAGTTTGTTTTCAAAGAGACTGTTGTCTAACAAGACGGAATGAACGGTAGGAGGGGCCTTGTCAATATCAGAGACATGTGAGCTTAGTTTGGCTAGGGTATGAAGATCACAGAACGACATACCAATATCCAAGGTCATACGCCTTGATCTACGGTTTACTGATAAAATACAAAGGTAATATCGATCGATATCACATCGACAAACCCTGAAGTCACCGGTTACATCACCAACAGAATTGAATACTACATCTATCTTTCGCTTACTCATGTTGCTATCATATACTGTAATCGGCAATACCAACAAAGCAGGCAGGTAAGTGATACCGTCTACATACGTTGCTAGTGTGCGTGTGAGTTTTTCGGCCGATGCGTCTTAGTAAAGATCGTTCAAAACAGCTCCCTGAAGTTTGCCCAAATTCATTGTTCATTGTCGGTTGGGTCATAGCTGCCTTTGTCGCCAATAACCACTTGCGATCTCCCATTCCTCCCCCCAAAAAAAACCGTAGATAGTAGATTGATAAATGATATGTATTTGTCTTGTGGTTTTAAGATTGATTACTTGAATAATGTTTCATTTAACGGTGCATGACGCCACGGTTACTTTATGTAATCTTTGCTTTGCCCCCCCCCAAAAAAAAGACGGGGTCGCAAAAAGAAGTGATAGCTTGGTCTATAAAACACTAGTGTATAAAAAAAGGAAGTCTCGATTGATTATTGGGGGAACCAAAGAGAGAGGGAGAGATGGAAAAAAAGGATATACACAAAGAGGAAAAAGAAAGAAAGGAACCGAGGGGTGATATCATATAAAAAAGAGCGAGAGACAGAGAGAGGAAAAGTGTATGTGGATGGTTTGTATTCAAAGCAAAGAAAAGAAAAGAAGGGGGTGCCCTTAGCAGGAGTTCTCTACCACTCAACTCTCCCTGGTAAAAATCTCCCTAACCTATCCCTTTGGCGCACATAAATAGCACTAATGGGAGATGCGTTATCAATCGAATCCACCTTTCTTTTCTTTCTTTTCCTTGTTTCCGTTTTCCTCTATTCTTTTGTTACAGATCAAGATGAAGTTCGTCAGTACCTGCTTCATTGCTGCTGCCTTGTTCGCTGTCACCTCGGCTCAAAAACCTATCGTTTCTGTCACATCGCCTTTGTCAGGCACTAAATATAAAGCCGGATCAGAAGCCATCATCTCTTGGATCAACCCTGCCGTACCAAATATCCCACAAATCGTTTTGGCCAGAGGTCCGTCGTCCGCACTACAACCTGTGATGACCATTGCACAAAACGTCAATGCCGCTGACGGAAAATACGTCTGGAAGATCCCTCTCGAAATCGAAAACGGTGATGAATGTGAGTATCATTTTGTATCCTTCTATTCCCTTTTTTGGGGGTTCATCGTACGCTAATCATTTTATTTGATTGGATAGATGCTTTCGAAATTGGTCAATCACCCGATCTGGCATTTGCAGGTCCATTCACCATCGAGGGAGGTGTCGGTGGCACATTGCCAGCGTCGTCAAATGGAGGTTCATCGTCGACTTCCAACAATGGCATGCCCGTCGGCGGTTCGCCTGCCAATGCCAACAGCAATTCGGCCGCCACGCCGGCTGCCCCTGCCAGTAGCGCGCGAGCTAATCAAGCCGCCGCTCGTCCTTCCGGATCCAACTCGGCTTCCTCCGTAGCTACCCGTTCATTTGCTTACGTTCAAATGATGACAGTGGCGGGTGTGGCTGTGGTCGCAGCAGCTCACATCCTCTAAAAAATCCGTAATTTGCTTCTTGTCATTGTTTTTTGATTCACTAATGTTTCTTTGATTTTCCTTTCACCATTCTTGTTTTCTGTATCAGGACCATACATTTGATCTTACCAAAGGTCAGCACTTTCTGCTTCCATCGTCTTTTCTTCGTTCTATCTCTCTCGAGTTTTGTTTTGTGTTCTTTTTCTTCTTTTTCATCTATAACCATAGTACACAATAAAATTACGCATAGTTACTCTTGCTTCATGAGCACAGGAAAAAGTCCAACGGGAAAAAAAGCCTAACTCAGGGGTATTCGTTTTCACATCATCATTCTGCAGCACATCTGCATGCACGCTTTTTGAGTTTGCTCGAATCTTTCGGAAACGGGCATAAACAGACACATTTCAGCGCTTTCGTAGTTTTTATGCACACTGTTGAGCCATCAATCAACCGACATGAGATCGGCTTGCCAACTACGGAAGACCAGCGGTTTCATCTTGTGCTTCCGGCATCAAAGGCAGGTTAATTGAATAGGTCTGGTCTCTCGCTTATCCTGCGCTTGTCCAATTTAACCAAACGAACCAGCTATTCGGGCAATTTGGTGCGGTTAGACAGAACATCGAAAAAGAAGTAAGTGGCGATTTCCTTTCTCTGTAGTGATTTTGATGCACGCCATCGGGTTCTTTCATTGGTGCATTTATTTCATAATTACCTTTTTTTTTTGGAATCGTTCAGCCAGCAATAAGTTATATTGTAACGGTTCTTTACACAACCAGCCCTAAGAGGAGTTCATTGCTTACAGGTTCACAAAAAAGACTGATTATTGAAAGAATATTCCATCAAATCATCCTTGGAACATACATAATCTAATCAAAGTTCAGATAAATTCTAATTGGAATACATAACTCTTTACTGCATTGTCTGACGGCTCCACTAATGCAATAGACACATTATTATGCATATAAAGATATCGTTTGTCGATGCGAGCTTGTTAATTTTGTGAGCAAACCGTCTGAACACTCGTTCACAACCAATCTGGTCCAACTTCTCTTTCCTTCCAATATACGTAGTCTAGATTCCTTCACTGCGTTATCAACAGTACGAACGATACACTTGAGGTTACAAACTGCAGCATGTATTCGGTGCAGGTTGTTTCTTGACACTTTATGAGAATTGTCAGGAAAGCGATTTCCAGAGGATACAAATGGCCCATCGGTTCTTTCTGTTTCTTGCTGAAAGGAACATATCGTACAATTCGAACTGCTGCTGATCTAACGGAACGTCCATTTTTTTTTCTCAGCTTCTCAACTTGGCAATTATAACTACAGTAACTGCGCGTTTGGTATTACATAAAGCACGCAGCAACGGCGCTGGCTGTCCCTAGGCGAATCACCTTTACACCCTCACACGCTTTCAGCAAGCATGCATTCGTTGTTATGCTGGTCAGGCAATTACAACCCACAGTATTACAAATGTCGATATATAAACCATCTAATGATAGTCACATTATACAGTAATTCTTTCAACTAGTAGCGTTCTGGATGATTGTCAGAGCCGCGCTTTTTCATGTGCATCAATCCGCGAAAGCAAAAAACTACATCTTTTTGTGTTCAACACCGCCGATCGTGATAGGTATTCAGGGCCGACAGGGAGTGATCAAATTTGGTAATGCATTCGGTGGGGATTTTTTTTTCTTTCTTGTCTGACTTGCTTCTTTTTTTTTGACACGTACGCGATTGACACCTTTTTTGGGCATGTCACAATCAATCAAGCGTCGGGTCAGTTCAGACGACGAAGTCAATGGGACGTCTTCTTCGGCAGGTCATTCTTCTCCTGTAAGTTACAGTAAAGTATTCCGTGATTCCTCTGTCTAACAGAGAAAAATGTCAAATTAGAGTAACAGCAGTCAGAGAAAGCGGGCCAAAGTATCGCCAGCCCAAGATAATGAAGAAACAAGCGACGATAACGTTTCCGTCTCTGAAGAGTTGGAAGTGCAGCAAGACGCGGAACATACCAGGACTCAAGTCGATATCTCGTCTACGCTGGTAAATCTTTTGTCAGATCACGAAATTAAAAAAACTCCAGTCAGTGATTAACCTTGCTTGATAGGATGTCGCGGAAGCAGGCACCATTGCTCGCGTCGAAGTCGTGAACTTCATGTGTCATAAGTACCTCAAAGTGGATCTTGGACCAAAAATCAACTTCGTCATTGGTCACAACGGCAGTAAGCTCATAGCCGCTTCACGATTCATACTCACCTATTAATCGTTACAATTAAAGGTGGAAAGAGTGCTATCTTGACCGCGATTACCATTGCCTTGGGTGCCAAAGCCAATTCCACCAATCGTGCCAAAAACCTTGGCGCTCTTATTCGTGAAGGTGCAAAGTAAGTGAAATTCTGACCAAGTGTGTCTAGATAAACAGAGACTCAATGGACGGCATTCTATAGCGCTGCGCAGGTGGTGGTGAAAATCACCAACAAGGGTGCCGATGCCTATCGACATGACATTTACGGCGATTACATTCAGGTGGAACGTAAATTGCACAAAGACGGCACCGGTGGTTATAAGATCAAGGATGATAAAGGAAGAATTGTCTCCACCAAGCGAGAAGAATTGACCGCCATTTGCGATTTCATGTCCATCCAAGTTGACAATCCCTTGACTGTTCTCAGTCAAGACAATGCGCGTCAGTTTCTCAACTCCAGCACGCCTCAGGATAAATACAAGGTAAAAGTCAAGAAAAAAGGATCTTTTTATGGCCACCAGTCCTGACACTATTCTGGTAGCTGTTCATGCGTGGTACGCAGTTGGCTCAATTAGCCGAAGACTATGATGCAGTGCGTGAAAGTATCGATATTACGCGAACCATCCTTGAACGTAAAAAGCAGTTTTTGCCGGATCTGCAAAAGAAGGCTAAGGAAGCCGAAATTAGATTTAAGGAAATGTTGGAGACGCGCGAAATTGATACCAAGATTGATGAGCTCAACAATGAACTGGTCTGGGCTCAAATCATTCGCAAAGAAAAGGATGCAACCGCTGTCAAAGCCGATGTGGGTCTAGCCGAAAAACAGCTGGAAGAAACCAAAGCTCGCTTGGATCGTTCCAAAGTAGGTCCCCCCTCCCCATTTTATAACTCTTTGCCGCTTCTGATCTATGGGGACACGATAACTCACTCTTGCTTTTAGCTGAAAACCGCCAAGTTTGTTGAAGAAATTCAAAATATGACCGAAAAAGTCGATGGCTTTAGACGCTCCAATGTTCCCGATCAAACCGAGAAACGAAAACTCACGGAAGAGAAATTGGCAAAGGAGGAGAGCTTGCGTGGGCTTGCTGTAAAGTATTATCCATAATTTTGCTTGGTGTGAAGGAGAGGCAGCTAATACTTAATTGTCTGAAGAGCGATATCCGTCAAATCAACAGTTACGTGAAAGACGCCAAAGCCCGCATACAGAAATATGACAGCAATATTGCAGCCGAAAACGCTAAGCTAGCTTCCATTAACCGCGATAAAATGGAAAAGATCAATGCCAAGATCAAAGAGCTCACCGAGATGAAGCATCAAAAAGTCAGCCAACAGCAGGAGTATAACCAAAAGCAAAAGGACCTCAACGGCGAACACGACCGATTAGACAATAAATCCAAAGAGCTGACCATGAAAACCAGAAATCTCAAGTCGCAAATGGATGATATTCGAAGCACACTTCGCAACTTGCGAGCACAGAAAGAGAACAAGCTCAAAGCATTTGGATTGAACATGCCGGATGTGTTGAGTGACATTGAAGCCGAGACTCGATGGCGCATGCGAAAACCCGTGGGGCCGTTTGGTCGGTACCTCCATTTATCCCATCCTCAATACGCAGACGTGTTGGAAGTGGTGCTTGGAAAACAGCTCAACTCTTTTGCTGTGGAATGTTTCCAAGACAAGGCCTTGTTGATGCAGATTCTTCAACGCCGCAACATGTAAGTCCCCTCTCAACGTCAATCAAAAAAGCAGCCAAGAATCTTACCGATACGTTTCAAGGGCCCGTATTCCCATCGTGGTCGCCAAATACGATCTTTTCGATTATTCCCAAGGTGAACCTCTCCCCGAATTTCTTACCATTCTCCGGGCGCTACGTGTAAGTATCTCACAAGATGAGTGAAACAGAGAACTTCCGTTCGCTGACCAGTTGTTGTTGATAGTTTGAAGATGAGTGGGTCAAGCGTCAGATGATTATTTCGAGCAATATCGAGCAAGTGATTTTGATGGAGGATCGTGCTGAAGCCGATCGATTGATGTATCAACGTCCCGCCAACGTCAAAGGCTGTTTCACCAAGCACGGTCACAGCATCGGTGCCAAGCAGGGTATGCGTACCGATACCATTAACAAGTACCGGGGTCCGCCACGGTTCAAAAAGGATATCGAGCCTGAGATTCGGTAAAACGATTATGCAGATAGCGCCTTGAATGAGAAAGTTTATCTAAATGTGCCCTTTTTCATAACTTGTAGAGAAGCGGAGCAGAATATGCAACAGTTATTGGGCACAGAGAGACGCTTGCAGGACGAGTTACGACAATGTGCTTCAGAACTGACCAGGGTTCGCTCTCAGTTGAACGAGGCCAAGGTAAGACCGTGATAAAATGACAAGTTTGTATCTGTATAACGACTAACGGGATTCCACAAAGTCCGCTGTCGCGAAATTAAGCAGTGATATTCGTCGCATTGACAATGAAATCGAGCGATATCAGGAAATGATCAAAGAAGATGAACCAGTCAACATCGCTGCCATTGAAGAAGAAAAAGCGGTAAGTCTCGTGGTTTTTGTGAAGGGTAGGGATATTCGACGATGAACTGAGAGCCCCATTTCTACCTGTTGTGTGTAGGAATGCGAGAAGAAGATCAAGGCGCTGGTTGGCCAGTTTACCGGATTAAAATCGAGCGAACGAGAGATTCATGAAAGCTTGATTGGCATCACCGAACGTCTCGCGGAAATTGAAGGCGAAGAAGAGGCGCGAGACCAAGAAATACGTACCATGCGTGTATGTAATCTGTTCTGTTATTTTGCTTTCCTTGATGCGCAGTAAGGACAAACCTAAAGAGAACTGTCTCTTTTTTAGGAAAATATTCAAAAGATTGAAGCCTTGCGATCCAATGAGCTTCAAAATGTGAACAAGCTGCAAGAAAAGTATGATGCACGCGTGATCCGCCTGGAAAGTCTACGCAACGAAGCTCGACAGCTCGAACGAACGTGTCAGGTACAGGATGGATAGAGACTAGACATGGACCATGAGTGCTGACGATTATTTTTGTTATTGTAACGCAGGCTTGGATTGAACAAGCCATGGCAGAATATCCCGATCGTGTCGACACCAACCGAAGAGCGGAAGAGATCCAGCGTAAAATCCAACATTTGGAAGTGATTCGTACTGAGAAAGAAAAAGCGTAAGTGTGTCGAGATCCATAACAACAATCCAAACCATGTTTGCGACAAACAAACTCATGCTTCCTACTTTTCTTAGAGTCGGCGCCAGTTTGGAAGAAGTGGAACAGGAAGCCAAGGACGCGTTAATAGCATGGGATGACGCTAAAACCTCGATCGAACAAATGGAAGGCCTCATCAAGGTAAGTTTGCGCAATAAGGCATCTGACGAAGGCATGTTGCCTGACTGTGATGTTGCGATCTTTTTTTTAGAATATGAAGGTGATGCTGGAAGAACGTATGGCGCGCTGGGACGTCTTCAAAATGTACATGTCATTAAGTGCCATGGGTCATTTTTCGTATTACATGCATAAGCGTGGTGATACCGGTCAATTGAAATTCAACCATGCCAAGGAACGCCTGGAGGTTAGAGTAAGTAATCTGGCGCTGAAAATCAATGGAAAAAAAGAAGGTTCTCATATGGAAATGTTTACTCTGAATGATCTCAGGTGGCTACAGGCGATCAATTCCGAAAAGGCACTCGACAGAAGGATTCCAAATCACTGTCCGGCGGTGAAAAATCATTTTCTCAAGTTAGTTTGCTTCTTTCACTGTGGCAAAGTATTTCTTCTCCCATATTATGGTAAGCGACAAGGGCCTTACGGTTCGATTTGAAACATAGCATATTAATCAATTTCTTAAAAGTCTTGATGAATTTGACGTATATATGGACGCTGTCAATAGAAAACAAAGCATGAAGATGATGGTGAGCATATTTCTTGAGGATCCATCCAATGATATGTCGCGATTTAACCCTTTTGATATGTTGCTTTGATAGATGGATTCCGCCCATGAGAACAGTTCACAATATATCCTCATCACACCTCAAGGTATGGATGAACATAGGCTACTCACAAAAAAATAAGAAGGGGGGAGGGTGGGCGTGTCAGTTACAACGGTTGGTATTCACCTTTTTGTTTTCTTGCAGATGCCAGCAACATGAAACCGGGACCTTATGTGACGATCCATCGCTTGGCAGATCCGGAACGCCATGCGGAATAGAATGTTGGGTTGGGGGTCATTTGTAATGTAATTTTATTCTTTTTTTCTTTCTCGTGGTTTCGCATCACCAAAAAATGTACATGATTATAAATAAAATAAAATCTTGCCAAGCTTATTGTGGTTGAAACATGGAAACTCATGAAAATAAGCTCACCAAGACATCAAACGAGAAGGTAAAGAAATAGAGAAAAGTGTGCAGCAACGATTCGCACGTCATGTGTTACTATGGATTTGTGTTTTCAAGCTGTTGTTACACTGTGGCAGGATCAAACCGATGGTGGCGGTTTGCCGAATCCATAATGGTGTCGTACAAATTCGGCTTCGAACTGAAGTGGCTGAAGCCGTCTTCTCATGTCAGCGATAGGACTATAAAAATAGATACGATCGCGCGGTGCCAAGATGTTGCACTGAGCGGAGAGTGAATTTTCATGAATACAAATACAAAATCGAGGAACGAACTAGCTTCTGGTTTTTTCACCTTCTCCTTTTTCTTTTCTTTATTTTTTGGACTCCATTTTTTCCAACTCTTATGGCCACTAAACGCCAAATCCACAGTGCACTATTTTTCTTCGCCGTAGTAGCAATACTACTGGCGATGGTCGATGCCTCGCCTCTTGTAGCTCGAGCCCCTTTGGATGATCAAAATACAATCAATCTGCCGAGTATGTATTGAATCGGAGGAAGAAAAAAAAATAACAAGTTACAGAAATGCTAAATTTAATGTACCCAATGTTTTTAGTTTCTGGAGCTACGGTGACTGTTCACAGCGTGATTCTCAGTATCATTTTATTCATTACGGGAGGCTACCTTACCTTTGCGGGAGGTGTGCATCAATATTTCACCATGTTCATCGTTGGATTCTATGTCGGTTCCAATATTGCCTACATCATCTTGACCAATGCTAAAGACGACTATGGCCCAAACACCGATACCATTTTACTCGTGGTGAGTGTGGTGGTCGGTATTCTAGCCGGTGCCCTGCTGTCTTGCTGTTTCTTCCTGGCCGTTTACCTGTTGGGTGCTTTGCTCGGTTACATGGCCGCTATTTGGTTATTGTCGTGGGTGGATAACGGTCTCATTCAAAGCAACTGGGGCCGTGCCGTGCTTATTATCTGTTTTGTGATTGTTGGTGTGCTTTTGATGGCCTTCCTTGAACGGCCCATGATCATTATTGCCACCGCTTTCATTGGATCCTTTGTTATTTTTGTTGGTATCGATCTGTACGTCAAGACCGGTTTTGTCGAAGCCATTAATTCCCTTATTCGCGCCAAATCATTCGACGGAAGCGCATTCCATTCCGACAGCAAACTTCGCGGTATGTTGGGCGGTTGTTTAGCCTTGGCCGTGGCCGGCTGCTTGATCCAGTGGCTCATGATCCGTCGCCGTACCCATCCTCCCATGAGTTGGTCGCAGCGTTATCCTGCTGGTCAATACGGTTGGCGCCGAGTCTAAATGAAAACACAAAAGCATATACATATTTATATCTTTCCCCCAAGTCCCGTAGTGTAGTAACCAATCAAAACCATCATATCCTATCGTATCGTGTCTATGTAAATAAATTGTATCATTATTCTCTTTATTTTCGTTTTGAATCGGATAATCGGCTGGTTCTGTAAAAAGGTAACCATGCCATTCGAGAATTTCTTGAACTAAAACTTGGTGCAAACGTACGATGGATCATCATGCTCCAAACTTTAGTGTGATGGCTCATGATTATCCCACACGCAAATCGACGTTTTATGCATCACAAAGAATGATATATTTCTTGGATGCCACTTTTTTCTGTATAATCTACCAAAAAAAAAAAAAAAAAATACTACCACACACTGAGAAGCAGTAGATACATGTAGTAGGCAGAAAATAAAGCGTGTGCGTTCGCAAACATATGAATGTGTGTCAAATCGGTTTTACTAAAATAGTTTCAGAAGTGATGGTCCCCGTCTCTGTCTATTTCGGCAATGGGACTTTTTTGGAATGCCGATGCTCAGCAAGCGACTCTAAATAAAGACAGACTTTTTACACATGAGCGCCAAACTACCGGACCTCAACAGTGGTGAACGGTTCAGCTGTATACGGATTGACATAATGTGAACTGATAGGTACGGAGGCTCCCTCGGTCACTGCCTTTGATAGCTTTTCGGTTAATTGGCATGTCATGTGTGGCGCAGTCGGGTGGACTTTTTTTTTTTTTTTTTTTTTTTTTTTTGGCCTCGTCGCCAGTGCCGTATGTCACTTTAAAAGGCCCTGCTTAAACAGTGTTTGCTATTTTGAAAGAATTGAACCACTTATATTGACCCACTGCCCTTCAAGCAGCGAATTATGCCTTGATGAGTTAGATTAGAAGCACTTTGTAGCTCGGAAATTATCCATTCCATGCTCCATCATTCAAATAGCCATTGCGTGCTTACAGTTATTACCGTGAAGGAACAACCGATCTTGATCCTTTTTTTTTTGTTTGGCTTCAAAGGTGGAGACGTCATCTGGATCCCATCTGTGCATTATTTATTGTTGGTCACTTGGGCGATGTCGCTTTTTCCGGTTCCCCAGGCTGCAATATTCAATCCACAAGTCGGGCATAAACTGCTCCTTATTGCCCTGTTTCAAATGCTTTTGAAACGGCGCTCTTCTCCTGGCTTTCACAAATTCTTTTTATTTTATGAATGCTATAAAAATAAAGTGAAGACACAACATGATAACAGCTAATTAATGTTAAATTATTTAAAGAAATTTCGTTGGCACAATTTCTTATTCCATGTATATCCTTCTGAGATGCGAAAGCAAATAGAATGATCATTAAGCAAAGTAATCGCGACGAATTTCCACAGCAGATGTTGTGTATTTCTAATTGAACTCAACATCCATCGTCTACAGCTGTACCATGGGTGTGGTTAGAATGGCATGGGGGTGTGCCAGTTCTAACGTCTGAGGTAGAAGGTTCGATCCATTGGTAGAAATCATAATTTTATCCTATCATCTTTAGCGCACTTTTTTGCACGACGGTGATCTTCTTACAGTAATACGTTCTTGACCGCACGATGAACTGTTCTTCCTTTCTGCATGGCCACACACGATCAACCAAGACGACTGATACCCTGGATTTCAAATTCAAAGCAGTAAGATAATTTGCAGTGATGGTATATCCAAACGCTGATATTCACAAATACTAACATGAGCTTCTTTTTTTTTCTTTTTTCTAACTAAAGTCTGGAGGAGGACTTCCATATTTTGTGCAGAAAATCGACCGTCGGCGCAATAGACGGTTCAGCTTATTTGGTGGATGTTGTAGGCATCAAAAACCGTGATCGGCATCCACGTATCCAACAGTAACTGCCTTAACATCGACCAGCTTTAACCGTTTTGCAAGTTCTTGACCTTCGTCACGCAAAATGTCATTTTGGACCGTGATGATCAAAGCGGGAGGAAGTCCTTTAAGCTCCACAACTGAGGCCTCTGAGGGCACTACCGTAAGTATAACGTGATATTTGTGCAAGCATACGTATTATTTCCCTTGGATACATTATGTTGGCTACAACGCTTTCCAACTTGCGAATAAAAAAAAGGTTGTTGGCCCACTCTCCACTTTGCTATATGCGCCATCTTAGTGGACGAGACTCTGTTTTTTGTGTAACCTCAATCCACTGCTCTCAAATTCTGCATACAAATTAAACAACCTAGCATAAATTGAGTCCGCTAAACTCGAAACGGTTCAAGGAACTCTGAGGAACGAACGCGACGGTTACGTGACACAGCTTCCTGAGATGGGTCATGCAGTTTTTGGATGTCAATGTTACCAAGATCTTGAATGTTGTGCCATTTCCCGCGGAACTGGTCCTAACTGAATAGGAAATATTGAGGCTAATAGTATTTTAAGAGCAGGTGCACCAAATAAAATGAGTTGCATTGCATAAACCCCGTGGGGTCAAGCTGTTGATTACACCGATCCGCTTTCAATAACCATATCAACAAAAAAATGATCAAACAACAAGGTCAACTTCTTTAAGCCAAGTAAAAAAATACTTTTTTACGTTCATGTCGTGTCTCGCGTCCAGGATTTTTTTTCGACGCGTCGAGCTGCATTTCAAGATCCTTTTTTTTATATTCTTGTTCTTATATAAGTTTTTCAGATCCACTTCTTTTTCTTTATCTTTACTTTATTCTTTGTTTCAGTAAGTAACTACGGTCATTCTTTCAGCCTTGCTGAGAGAAACTAACTTTTCTTTTAGAAATGTCGACCTATGAAGAATATGTACGACAAATCACAGGGGAACCCCAGCGCTTACCCTCAGTCCGGGACATAATGCGCCCAACAATCCCACAAAGACGCAGGACTCACCAGATCCCGCCGTTCAGTAAGTTTATTTTTTGGGTTCAGATTTGCTTGTTGTTCTATATCTTGTTTATTTCTGATGATAGCTCCTGCACTGGCCAGGTACTTTCTAGCGGATCCACGACGGATGGACAGCCCTGACCGTAATTATTCGGTTTGATTTCTATACATTGATGTTATTAATCATGTTTTCTGCTCCAAGACGCGCGATTGCGTCGAGAACGAAGATTGCGGCAACGCATTCATGAAGTGAGCCGCCAGCCGCTCCCAACACCCCGTCCTTCGCCCGGTGCTCCGCCTGTGGCCGCACCTGTTGTTCCCCCTGTTGTCTCGCCCGTCGTCTTGCCCGCTGCCTTGCCTTCGCCTGCAGCTTCGCCTGTGGCGTTGCCCGCTGCTTACCCGTCGTTGCCTTCGTCTTCTTCGGCGTCTCCTTTCTCTTCTTCTTCTGTCTCCTCTTTTGTCTCGTCTTATTCATCGTCTTCGTCTTCATCCGTCTCTGCGTTCTCCTCTTCCTCCTCCTCCTAAGCTAAGTTCCATACCTTATATATATGATCTGGTCAGCTCCATATTTTCTGAGTACTAACTGTTAGTTGTCATGAATAGCTTTCCTTCCTTTCCGCACATGGCACTCCATGTTAATTTTTTAAAAAAATATTTGTAAATAAATACGTTTTCGCACAGTTGCTATGTAGTCAAATGAGACAACGTTTTCCCATATGTCAGCTCGTTGCTGCCTTCTATTAAGATCTATTTGCTTTCCCCTAGAATCGCTGACTTTTTAGCTATGAATAAAAGGGTTGCCGGTCGAATCGCTCTGCTCTATGATTTATGGCCATCTTATTGGACGATTTTTTTTTTCTGAACCTGGTTGCACTGCTTTGAGCTTCTTTTGTGTATGAATAAAAAAAAATAACAAATTGCGAATAAGCTCCAATCGAGCAATCGTTTTAACCTTTCTGTTTTGGCAATTTGTCCTTTTCGTTTTATCTCTTTTTACCTTTCTTTCTGCCATCGCTTGTCATCATTCTCGCTCGTTGCTTGCTGCTTTCCCTTTGGTCCTCGCCTTCCATGATTACATAAAATCTCCTTGGCTCAAGTTGCCGCCTGCTTGGGTTTCTGTAGTATCATTTAGTCGGTTGGATATTTTTTTTGTAATAGCCATTAGTTTGGTTTCATCAAATTTGACATAAAGTCATAGAAAGGCTCATTTTCATTATGGTCTTAAAAAGAGACAACCAGCAAAGTCAGGAAAAAGGATTGTACAGGTATTTAATTCAACTTATTACAGAAGAGCATAACCATGACCGATCGGCTTAGAAGCGGGGGTTTCATACATACCTAAGGACCGATCTGACATGAACTATAAGCGTCGTCCTCCAGCGTTTCTCTCGTCACGTCTGACTTTGTAATAAACAATACAATCTAGTTTAGAGAGCTAAAACACGGATGATAATACAAGCAGTTGATCCATCGATCGAAGAGTAATTTATACAAATAGTCATCACGAAATACGAATTAATAGAGAACGAGTTTCAGTTTCAGAGTATTTCTTGATTCTCACTATTCTTTATCATTCGTTTATCTTCGAATAACCAACGCAGCGCTTGTTTTCGATCTGTGAAATAAAAAGTTACTGTACCGGCCCAATCACTCTGGGCTTTCCTTCATGATCCCCAAGCTGGTCGGAAGAGCTCCCAATCTAAATTCGGTCAACTGGACCAATCAATTACCAAAGACCAATTGATGTCTTTCTCTTTTTATTATTTACCCTGCATCCCTTATTTCTGCCAATGTGTCCGTCATGATCCATTTGGATGATATCATTTCAGCGTTCCCTTTCTTTTATGGGCTATTTGCCATTGGTTCCTAAACCTTTCAAAAGCCAGAAAATGTTGGCTTTTTAGGAATAGCCAGCTTTGCGACTATTACTTTATCTTGTCCCTTTGTATATGGCCGTCACTTTTGAAAGAAAAGCCGTTTTATTTTCTGTCACAACTTACTTTTTTTTTGTAGATAGCAAGCGCGGTACCGTGGACGCGAAAAAGAAGTACGGCAAGTCCTGCGGTCCCTACTAACCCGACAAAGTATAGGGGTGGGCATGGGGAAGCTGTCCTCGCACACACCGCTCGAAAAATTGTGATGGCAATGATCTTGAAAGAAGTAACCGTAGATATGCAATAGATGTTCTACAGCTGCAATCAAAAATAGCAGAATAACATCGGATCTGGGAATCGCATTGAATTTAAATCACCAAGTGCAAGCGTACACGATAAGCCGTGCCCACAAATGGATCACACAATTTTAATTCACCGTCACCGATAACCAACTTCCTGTCAACACGTCCATACAATGTCTGAATCCATATTTATTCAACACACTCACCAAAAAAAAGCAGTATATATCTGAAAAGTACCTTTGATCTATGAACTTGCAACTAATTCTCCACGAAGAGGTTGAATACCCGCTGGCGCCACTCATCACTCAAACAATCCTTACCTCTGTGCCAAAGAAAGCAAAATTGTACTGGATTCCCAACCGCGTCATGATCTATGCCATATCCGTCACCAGGGATCCTCTAAGTTACTGTACTCCTCATGAACGTGGGTACGTGCTTCTATTTGCTGTAAACCAGACAGGGCACAAGGCTAAACGGTTGCGTTGTAAGCTTCGAATCAAACACGAACAGAAGTCAACAGTTCGGTCCATCCTCTCGGCAGACCGCTCGTACTCACCTCCCTGAACGTTGCCAAATGAATTCATCAGATATTCATAAACATCCAGTTTCTGCCTCCTTATCTGTCCACTGATGGAGCCATTGATTGCTTGATTTCAATGCGGCTGATCAACCCATTCAGACCGAGCTAACTTAACCTGCACCGACACTGCCAAGCACATTGCCTTCCCGTTTGGGAATAGTTGCTATGATACCATCATTCGTCGATGTTTGCGCAAAGCCTGCCAATTTTTGATATCATGTTCCCATGTACATTAATGTTGTTACCGTTATTCGTCAAATTCCGCTTAAAGTCAATGCTTTTCCAGTTGTCCGGCCATTCCTCGGTGTTTCTTGCCAGATATCCGACTCGGGGGCCTCATATACAAGGTCATCACAAGTAATGTGCCCATGTTGTCCGCAAATTGAAACCTTGCTACCAAGCCCAAATTTCCCATAGTCTGTATCAGGTTGAAATCTTTTGATGAGTATCCATGCAAATAAGGTAGCATCCTTTTACCCAATTTCCATGCCCCTACTTACTTGCCATCATACAGCTTTGCTTTTGTCCTCAATATACTCTCGAATTCATATGTCTCGACCTGTTCGGAATTTAAACAACCCTTAGCCGGGTTCGTACGGTGCGTCAAGTATCATGGACAGTGATTCAACAAAGTAGATGCGGCGAATGGCTCCGGAACATATCAGCCACCTTGGAAATGGTGTAACAAGTGCCACAGATATCGTCAACTAGAATACAATCCCGACCGCGAACATCAACCACAAGAATGAATTCAATGCTTCGAAAATATGCGCCGTTCTTCATGAATAAAGCAAAATCCATCTGCAAACGATTGGCGATTGAAGTAGCGCTGGAGTGGAGGAGGTTCGTCAGCCGCATTCCTTTTTGATCAAATGGTCATATCGATAAAAGAAAACTTTCCACCGTTTAGGACCACCCGCATTTTGATAACTGGAAATCTGCAACTGAATGTACTTGATGATACACGGACGGCTGACAAGGTTACTCACTAAGCAATAAAACAAGCCTTGCAATTAGATCACACAATTGAAAATCCAGGCACCGTCCAGCGTCCACATCCATCAAATTACCTTTTGTTCATCTCGTGGTCGCTATGTCTCCCATCATCTGAGCGTCATGAAGATCCTTTGCAATGATAAAATCAGCCTCTTGTTCCGGAGCCAGAAGAAACCCACAAGCACAGATTCTTATCGTTGCGATTTACCTTCTAAGAGATCAGGTAGTTAAATGTCTGATCATGGAGCCACTCACGATAGGACGATTTCTCGGTTTGGGTTCCAATCGGCGCACCAACTGAACTAACACGAATGCTGGGGAGTAACGGTCTTGCTGGGCGGGGGGGGGACAAGAGAGAGGCACCCTCAAGCTTTCCGAGCGACACCGGCTTGACAGCTCTAGGAGAATAAGAACCGACCGCAGTGATACCTCGGTCGAAGCAAATGCGTTGACCATAACCACAAGATTGTTATTGCAAGTCCGTAACCGCGATTGGATAATGTACACATCGTGATCTCGACCGAATGTCTGACTGATCCGCTACCATCTTCTCTGCCACGTATGCACTGTGCTCTTCGGCATGTCATCGCTGGAAGCGCACGAATAGAAGGGACCAAAACATACGTTATTCATCCGTTTCCTTCGGCAATTCAAGTTGTATTTGTACCTTTCGAAAATAAGTAAGGAGATATAGTGCTGCATTTAGCCGCATTGACCAGTTATTGCACAAAATAAGAGTTAAATATTTTGACAGAGGTTGCACAAAGAAAAAGCAAGTTTGACACTGACGTGTTTTGCTTGCTTTTTCCGGAATTGGAACTACCCTTACTGATTGGTTGAGATGATATTTACCTATTGGGATGACATCGCACCTCCATGATGAAAAATAATGAAAATCGTATCACTGCAAGGTGAATATGTATTATTCTTAGCCAATGATATACGACGTATTAAGAAGAAAGAGCAATGCACCAGTTTTGATGGACTGAAATCTGACAAATGTGTCGTGTGGAAAGTACTCCGAGCATTCACTGTATTCAGGGCACACAAACAAAAAATTCTTGGCCAATAAAAATGCCTTATATTTCCACAGCGTAGGTTTTTGTTCTTTCTCCTTTCCCTACCTGTTTGACAACAAGAAGCACAGCATTCAAGATCAACAACTGCAAAGACCAATCTTGAAAAGCTATGACGAGTGACCCTTGTATCCATCTTTTAAAGTTTTTCGAGTTGAGTATGCTTTTATTTAAGGATGTGATCTTTCTACTTATGCAAAACGTTATCAGAGCTTAAAATCCAGGTTACTCAAACTGAAACACAGATCCATCAGGTAAAATCCAATGTGATTGAGGCCGAACGACTTTTTATCCTTCAGGTTGAATGCAAGTGATATATACAAGATGGACAATTACATATCCGGCACAGACACCACCGATACGATCTATTTTCACCGACATGGATCTCTCCTTCGCTCGGGATACTTCCTATCTGCCATCATCTTCTCAGATCCAAACGTCGTTGTTGCTGTCGGTGGCGCATCTTTAAAGAGGCGAATAATTAGGAATCATATTCACACTCATCAATAATCATTGTCTGATAGATCATTTATGTTTTTAATCTCCTTCTGTCTTAGTCTATCCTTTCTTAATCTGATATCAGCAAGCCATTCAGAGAGACAATAGACGAAAACAAGGACATATCGAAGGAAGACATCAGCTAGCTGATAAATGACATGAATAAAGGTCCGTTTGTGTATATATCAGTATTGCAAATCAATGTTTTTATTCATAGAAATTTATCTGATGACCATCTCCCGAATCGGGCGTGGAAGATGGGGCTTCTATTCATGTAACTAGTGTTAGTACTCAGAAGACTAGGGCTGACCATGTAAAATATGTATTACGGACCTTTTGAGGACGAGGACCAGGACGAGGACCAGATGGAGGACGAGGACGAGGACCAGGACGAGGAAGAGAAGACGAGGGCGAAGGAGACGAAGACGACACCAAAGTTGAAGACACGAAAGGGACCGAGGACAGGAAAGGGGAATAGGAAGACGAAGGCGAAGACCACGCCGAAGAGGAGGGGAACGACGAAGAAGATGACGGCGAGCGGGCAGGTGACACAGATGAAGGCAAACGCCGGGTCTCAGGTACAGACATGATCATAGGTCCGGGCGAGTGCGCAGGCAAGCGAACAGGCGAAGAGCTGGGAGTGGGGAGCGCCTGTTGTCTGACCTCGACCATACGCCTAATCTCAAGTGCACGCTGTCGACGTCTTTCCTCTTTCAGCAGAAAACCATGATTAGAAACATCAATTATAGAAAAACCAAACCGTATGCTTACTGTGGACCCTATGTAAATGGGACGACGGTTCGTGCCAACCGGGTGGAGTCAGTGTGCAGGCTATCATTAAACGAACAAAATTTAGAACAATAATGCAAAATCGAAATTTAAACAATGAACTTACAAAATGTCCTGAAATCGTGTGTTCTGCGCGGTAACGGGGACATCGGACGCTCGAAGTCCCTAGCCGATTTCGGTTTGGGCGGGAGCGGGAGGTTCATCTCTTTCAAAAATTCTTCAAGGCTTTGCATTTCTAAGGAAAAGGTTAGTTTCTCTCATTCTCAGGTTAGTTTCTCTCATTCTCACAGAAAAGTTAAAAGAATGACAGTTAAAAGTTACTTACTGAAACGAAGTTAGAAAGAGGCTAAAGAAAAAGAAGTGGATCTCACAAAGGTTTATATAGAACAAGAATAAAAAAAAAATCGACGTTGAAATGCCGCTCGACGCGTCGAAAAAAAAAAAAAAAATTCTGGACGCGAGACACGATATGAACGTAAAAAAGTATTTTTTTGCTTGGCTTAAGGAAGTTGACCATGTTGTTTAATCACTTTTTATTGTTAACATGGTTATTTAAAGCGGATCGCCGTAAGCAACGGAGTGATCCCTCGGGGTTCATGCAAATGCAGCACAGTTATTTCGGTGCACCCGCCCTTAAATACCATTAGCCTCAATTTTTCCTATTCGGTTGGGACCTGTTCCACGGGAAACGGCACAACGTTCAAGATTCTTGGGAACATTGACATTCGACCATCGCATGACCCATCTCAAGAGCCTATGACACGTAACCGTCGCGTTCGTCCTTCAGAGTTCCTTGAATCGTTTGTAACTAGCAATGGTTTTTTCAAGGCTATGTTTCGCCGATTTGAATGCAAAAGAGCGCTCAGGACACTCACTGCAATTGAAGGTGCAAAATAACTCTCGGCCAATAGGATGGCTCTAAATTCTTCCCACAGCGTAGTTTCTTTTTTTTATTTCTCCTTTGGTCTATTAGCGTTTCACAATAAAGAAACACAACATTCAAGATCATTGGGAACATTGAGATGCAACAACTGCACAGCCCATCTCAAGGAGCTATGACACGTAACCGTCGCGTTCGTTTCTCGGAGTTCCTTGAACCGTTTCGAGTTTAGCATACTTCAATTTTGCTATAGCTTCTTTTATTCAGTGATATGTAAAAAAGGTCAGAGCACTGCCAAGGTTACACCAAAAAAGATTTTAGCCAATAAGATGACCAAAAATTGGATTTGTTTTTTAACACCCTTTTCGTCGCCTACCCATTTCACAAAAAAAGGCACACCATTCAAGATTATTGGGGACATTGAGATGCAACAACTGCACAGCCCATCTCAAGGAGCTATGACACGTAACCGTCGCGTTCGTTTCTTGGAGTTCCTTGAACCGTTTCGAGTTTAGCATGCTTCAATTTCGCGATGGTTTCTTTTATTCAATGGATAGTGAAAAAAAAAAAACTCAGCTTCTTTGTGTATCCTATGAAAAAAAAAACCATCGCGAAATTGAAGCATGCTAAACTCGAAACGGTTCAAGGAACTCCGAGAAACGAACGCGACGGTTACGTGTCATAGCTCCTTGAGATGGGCTGTGCAGTTGTTGCATCTCAATGTTCCCAATGATCTTGAATGTTGTGTTTCTTTATTGTGAAACGCTAATAGACCAAAGGAGAAATAAAAAAAAGAAACTACGCTGTGGGAAGAATTTAGAGCCATCCTATTGGCCGAGAGTTATTTTGCACCTTCAATTGCAGTGAGTGTCCTGAGCGCTCTTTTGCATTCAAATCGGCGAAACATAGCCTTGAAAAAACCATTGCTAGTTACAAACGATTCAAGGAACTCTGAAGGACGAACGCGACGGTTACGTGTCATAGGCTCTTGAGATGGGTCATGCGATGGTCGAATGTCAATGTTCCCAAGAATCTTGAACGTTGTGCCGTTTCCCGTGGAACAGGTCCCAACCGAATAGGAAAAATTGAGGCTAATGGTATTTAAGGGCGGGTGCACCGAAATAACTGTGCTGCATTTGCATGAACCCCGAGGGATCACTCCGTTGCTTACGGCGATCCGCTTTAAATAACCATGTTAACAATAAAAAGTGATTAAACAACATGGTCAACTTCCTTAAGCCAAGCAAAAAAATACTTTTTTACGTTCATATCGTGTCTCGCGTCCAGAATTTTTTTTTTTTTCGACGCGTCGAGCGGCATTTCAACGTCGTTTTTTTTTTTTTTTTTTTTTTTTTTTTTTGTAATTCTTCATCTATACAGACATTTGGATATCCACTTCTTTTTCTTTATTTTTCTTTATTCTTTATTTCCAGTAAGTAACTTTTGATTGTTGAATCTGGTTTTTCTGAGTGAAATTAACCTCAGTTTTAGAAATGTCGACTATGAAGAAGATGTACGACAAATCACAGGGGAATCCCAGCGCTTACCCTCAGTCCGGGACATAATGCGCCCAACAATCCCACAAAGACGCAGGACTCACCAGATCCCGCCGTTCAGTAAGTTTATTTTTTGGGTTTAGATTTGCTTGTTGTTCTAAATCTTGTTTATTTCTGATGATAGCTCCTGAACTGGCCAGGTACGTTCTGGCGGATCAACGACGGATGGACAGCCCTGACCGTGAGTATTCAGTTTGATTTCTATACATTGATGTTATTGATCATGTTTTCTGCTCCAAGGCGCACGATTGCGTCGAGAACGAAGATTGTGACGACGCATTCATGAAGTCAGTTGCCAGCCGCTGCCCACTCCCCTTCCTTCGCCCGGTGCTCCACCTGTGGCCGCGCCTGTTGTTCCTCCTGCTGTCTCGCCTGCCTGCTGCCTTGCCTTCGCCTCCTGCTTCTCCTGTGGCCTTGCCCGCTCCCTTGCCGTTGTTGTCCGTGTCTTCTTCTGCGTCTCCGTCTTCCTCTTCCTCTTCGGCGTCGTCTTCCGTCTCGTCTTCTTCTTCCTTTGTTTCTGCCTCCTCATCCTCCTCCAAGGTAAGTTTCATAGATCATATATATAATCTGGCCAGCTGTATATTTCCGGATACTAACCATCAGTTCCACGTTTAGCATCTCTCCCTCGGGGCCATTTGAAGCAAAAACTTTGAACAGTTTAAGACGCTGCTGGTAAGTGTTATAATTCCTTCGATTCACCATGCAGTTGTTCGACTTCAAATTTGACAATGATTAAAATATCATATTTGTTTCTGTAGGATAGGAGTAGACTAAATAGGAACTATTGGGGCGAATGATAGCTTATCTGGATATACCAAAAGAACGATCTGTTGCAGCGAATAAGCTTCGGTCGATCGATCATTTTTACTGCCATATGATCCTGATACTGTATTCTTCAACCTTAAAACCATCATATCATTATCAGCTCTACATATACCTCTGAATCGTTTATTCAAGACCATATCAACCGTACCGGTTGTCTCGGTATCTTACAACGGGGGCCCATGCTTGAATACAAACTGTTGCAAACGTCACGGAGATCTCCAGTTTTTTATTATTATTTTTGACATCGCTCAAAAATTTGCCGTGTTCTATGAAAGTACCATTGTTTATTACGAATGAGGACAAAATGTAGGTTGGAGTTGGAAAACCCGTGACAAGGGCAAAAATAGCTAAATACAAAATTGCATATATAGAAGCGGAGAAGCATAGGTTGCCCTGGATCTTGGCATCAAAACAAATTTGGAGTCTATCCCGATGCCTGCAGAAACTAAAGAGAATAATTCACGTGAACAAATATTATCAAGAACAATATAGTCATCTATTCATTTTTGAAGACAATACCATGTTCAACTAGGGGAACATAACATAGAACCATTTCGACAGAACGTATGCTACTTGGACGAGAAAATCTACAGTGGCTCTCCCAATTCATTTCCTCCGACTCCCTTTAACAGATCAACAGTCGATCCAACAAAGCGACCAAATGGTGCTACCTTTGTGATTTATGTAGAGCGGCCATTCTGACATGTGAGCCTCTCCCATCCATGAGCAGCTCGGAATAGTGAGCAAGGTAATATTGCGACACTTGACCAAATAAGTACGGTATCAAGCCCAACTGAAACCATTCGAGTCATTTATTAGTGAAATATTCGTTTCGCACAGATAAAAGGGATTCTGTGATAAACAGTTGCACAGACATAACACAGGCAATGTCAAAATCAAAATGGGTACTGTATCCACTTTATCTGTTCGAAAGCCTTGAATCTGTTGCAAACACAAGAAATCAGAAGAAAAATCTAACGTAAATCAACCTAATTACTTTGCTGTGTACTAAAGATCATTCCGAATTTGACGTCCAATCTCTTCAAATAAAATTTGCGTGGTGCCCGGGCATTCACGCTCCGCAATCTGAAATGCTCTTCGTAATGATTCCAAAGCGGCTTGACTCTTGTGGTTTCGACATCCGGATTGAAGCTGAATAGAAAGCAAAAAGAAAACCATATCCGAGTCAGTTAACACTGTGATTATACACATGCCAAGTAACCTTTTCGCATGATAATGCACTCACCTTGGCAAGCAAAGGCGTGAGTGCCTCTTTGAGGATAGCTTCACTTCGAGCCGCATTAATGTTTCTTGGAGAGAATGGCTTCACTGACGACGCCGCTGTTGCTCCTGGGGCACCTCCATTGGGGGGATGCATGGACGATGCATGTCCGTGATGAGGTTGATGTACACCGTTTTCTGGCCCACGAACCGATGGACGAGTATACTTGTCCGCAGCGCGAATTGTGTCTTGATTGAAGTTCTCACTCGGACTATTTCTTAAAGCCAAATTTTGCATCGTCGACTACAGCAATCCGGGATCAGTATCTATCTTTATCAACCATGATGTTCCCATCCTTTGCTTGAATGTCACACGAATGACTCACCGTTATCTCACTTGAGCGGGCCATGGGAGAAATTTGGTTTTTACTTGCAGATCTTGGAAACTGGCCACCTCCAAGATGCTGTTGTTGCTGCTGATCCATACGACCATGCTGCAGTTGCTGAGGCGATTGTTGTGATTCATTTAAAGAGTATCGACTGTACGTCGATGGTATCGGGGCTGCTTTGGGAGGAACCGGCGCTGAATGACGGACGGTGCCAAAATCCCAACCACCATCATCCTCTACGTCAATACTATCCGTTGTTTTTAACATACGCCATGACATTAAACCGGATAGGGCATTCGTTACTTACTTTGATTCGTCTTCAGAAGAATCACTGTCTTTTCCATTTCCCATGTTGACCCATCGTTCATGTGCTTCAATAAGTTCCGTCAAATAGGCAATCTTCTTTGCGCTCTTTATGAACTTATGCTTTAAAAGATCCTTTGCCGTCGGCCGCTACAAATCATGTCAATCAGCCGCCTTTCGTAATGGGTAACCACGCCCTCCTGTGGGCTGATTTTACATCATTTTGTCAACTTACCTGGGCGGGATCCTTTTGTAAGCATGCATTGATAAAGTCGCGGAAAGTTTTACTGTAAGAACCAGTCAAGGTGGGCGGCTGGCTCTTGGGTATAAGGAATAACACTTTCATAGGATGCAGTTCTGCGTAAGGTGGTTCTCCTTTCGCTAGTTCTATTGCGGTAATTCCCAACGACCAAATATCGGCCTAGTAATATTATGAATTAGGAGATCCGCAAAGTCAGCAATCGAAACAACCCATGTCCAAGCGACCAGAATTTGGCTCTGCTTATTACCTTGTAATCATATCCCGATTGCTTAATCACTTCAGGCGCCATCCAAAACTGTTGATCATATAATCAATATGGAGTTTATCCCGCTTGGTCAGAAATGTCCTTACCGGCGTTCCAACAAATGTATTCTTTTTCGTTAAACTTGCTGTAATCTGAAAAGCGAACTTGATCAATTTCCGCAACTAGGCCGCATCATTTCATAGTTTCACTCACCTGTCCTGACACACCGAAATCCGCCAGCTTGACTATAGCAATAACAATAGAACAAATGCTTGCTTAATGCCCATATCATATGCTGCGATTATCAGTGATATGTACCTTCACCGTTGGCACCGAGGAGGATATTGGCCGCTGTGAGATAAATGTCAGCAATACGATACTTTGGCGAGGTCTGTATTCTATTTTAATAGCGACGTCTTTACCTTTGATATCTATCGAAAAAGGATGAGTCAGTTGAGTTTTGCTTAAGAATGCGCCATGCAAAGTCTGTGTCACCAAATGAAACCTTACCTCGATGTAATTTTCCTTCTGTATGCAGATAATCCAATCCTCTAAGCAGCTCTCTCAGGATGATGGCGATGTATTCCTCTCGAATCACGCCGGCTTTCATCTACAAGAAATAGTGAAACCTGCGATTCAGTTTTATCATATTCTGGATGGTTATATATCGTTTTGCTCGTAGTACCAAGTCACTGCATGATCCACCTGAACAGTACTCCATGATGATCCATAGCCCAGCACCTTTGAGATAGGAACCATAATATCTGCACATGAAAATACACGATCAGCGCTTATCATAAATATGAATGACCCGACAACGGTTCCTTTTCATTGCTCTTACTTTGTAACGTAGGGCGAATCCAACTGGGAAAGGATGGCAATCTCCTGCTGAATATCGTCAATCTCATCTTCGGCGCTTTCCAAATCGATGATTTTTATCGCAACAGGCTTATTCGTTCGTTTATCAATGCTACAAGTTTCCCCGTTCCTTGTCAATACAATAAAGAGCATTTTTTTATCAATCCAATTATCAAACATACCCTTTAAAAACTTCGCCGAAAGAGCCCTTGCCTTTACTGATGGAGTGAGTACAGGCTGCAGATGAACAACATTCCACACAATTGTTTACGTACCAATGCGCTCTTGCTTAATGTAATAATCTTCAGGATCCGCGGAATGACGAGCGACGTTCTAGTATAAAAAGAACCTATCAGTAAGGCAAAGGAGCGGAAGTTGAAGGTCATATGCAAGTGAATATTCGACCTACCATGGTTTCGATATGCGTTTGTTTGACAAGTAGTACGATAATAAATTATAATACGAAAAAAAAATAGAGATCGTGGTTGATTATGGATGTATTTTTTCCTTTTTGTTTTCTGTAAAAAGTCAAAGAACGAAAGACCAGTAAAAAAAAACAGTATGAAAAAGGGACAAAAGAAAATAAGCGATTAAAACAGGATGCTTAAAGGGAAACTACAAATTTTTGAAAAGGAGACAGAGGGGCAAGGAGGAAACTGAAAGTCAGCCATCCAAAAATGGTTATTGGTAAACAGCACATCGTAGCATTTTCGGTCAAGGCACGTGCTTCCAACTTGACAGGCTGCCACTAGGCGATTTCGGCAATCAGTTTTGAAATAACAGACTCGCTGCCAAATCAGGGTTCCCTCCGGACATCTCCAATGCATGGATCGCTTCCTGTAAATACCGTGCGAATAACGTCAATAAAAAGAAAACGCTTACTCAATCTTTTTTTTTCATTTGCAGAAAGCGTGCATACCTGTCGACTCACACCAAGATTGACCAAGACATTGATATCACTTTCTGGATATCTTGTAGTGGTTTGAGATGTGCTCGGAATCGTGGTTCCCGTCGGTGGCTGCAACGTCCCTTCTACACCCTGCGCCGCATTTGCAGCCGCTTGCGTTCCTGCAACTCTTGCTTCACCGGGCATTTCGTCCTCCGCACTTCCATGGACCTATAAAAAAACAACGATAAAAAAAATTGTCATCATCTCCCCGTCTTGCTCGAAGAACCCATTAACTTTTTTTTTTTTTTTTTTTTTTTTTTTTTTTACCTCAATCATGCGTTGTTTTTCAGGAAGTTCATGTTCATTCAAAAATGGTATATCGGCATCATCAAACGTCAGTGCATTTTTCCGAAGATCGATGCATGCCTATATTTGGTACAAGGGTGAAAAATTTTCATTCGATCAGTTCACTGCGTATGGAATGATAATGGACAAGGGATGCCTTACTCTGTGTCTTCGTAACATATCCAAACCAAATAGTAGTTCAGACCCTTTGCCTTCAACAACTATAAAGGAACAGGCCAAAAATAGATCTTTTGATAATCGCATCTGTGCGCTGTGGATGCGACCGACAATTTTGGCGGTACCTACACCCTTTGCAATACCATTGAATCGTGTATCCACTAGACGCATCAATCCACATGTTTCCGCGGTTTCAGGGCTAACTGTGAAGTCTAGTCAGTACCCAAGGTTTTTCTCTCTTTGCACCGAATTCCCCAAACTTACTAACGGTGCTTTGTGCACCAGAGTCTACAAGCGCCACAAGTTTATGCCCATTAATTTCGACATTGATATATAATCTAGTCACCTAAAGTAACGTTGTTATTAGTCATCGCCCAAGCTTGACCATCAGTGACGTTGATATAACTAACTCTAGCGAAAGATTCTGGATTGTATTCCATGGCCGCTTCCAAGTTGGCGGCAATATTTTGTTGACGGATGGCGTCTTCGATGCGCTTTTGTGCTTCGACATCAAAAGGATCGTCATTGGCTGCGACCTGATACAGATCATATTGCATTCTCTGTTAACCTACAATTTTTCCATCCATGGCAGGTTTGAAAAAAAAAAAACAGCATTCTTGGCTTACCAATTGTGTTCGTCGCTGTTCAGCTTGTCGACGACTTTCCTCAATTTGTTGCACCATTGCCGAGAATCGGGCAGGATCGTTCAGAGCTGCTCTGGCCAGCTCGGGATTAGTCTATGAATGATAGTATCTTATTATACCCGTCCCATTAATTCCATCAGTGTGTTCTTCGAATTGTATATTTACATTTGCAAGTTGCTGTAGCAGACGTGGATCGCGTACGACATGTTGGCGCATAAGGTCAAAGTTTGGATTTCCGCTGCCGGCACTAACCATCAGTCAGAACACACGGCTCTTTTCAGCGAAGAAGTCTTCACATCTATTGCCTTTTAAAACACTTTAACCTACTTTGCATTGATGGCTTCCAAGGATGATTTCTGTCGCATGAGGATCAATTCGTCTTGGGTTACGCCATATTCCTCCAATGTCTTTTTAGGCTCCGTCAAAGGCTGCCCGTTGTGATATAGGATTTGCTGCTCGGGAGAGGTTCCTGACTAAAGACATATACATGTACAGAAAAAGAAAGAGGAATGGGCGGGGGGATAAAACATGGTGAGTATATGCATGTATACATGGCCACCACCGTATTTAATCATTGGACCAAGAATATCGCATAGACAAGGTGTTCTCCTAGAATCATCGTACCTCGACTTCGAGCAATGCTTTCAAATCCTCAATGGCCATTTGAGCATCTATTTCTAGATTATAAATTTCGTCGGTTTCGCTAGTGACAATGATTCTCATATTGGAAAGTTTGAATGAAATAGGGATGAAGGAAAGAGACGTCGTCGGCTGTGCCAGGAGAAAACGGGCTGAAAGAGGCCGTCGGAATTTCATCTCGTGACTTGCAAAAACCATCATCAAACTGTTCGGCCTCTGCAGCAGTAACAAACAGCACGTTGGTAGCCAACAGAAAGATGGATAATATTCATAGACACGCTCTGGATTTTTCTTGTGTATCAGTTTACAGTTTATATAACTTTAAGGGTTATGGAACTTGATTATAAGGGTAATAGATCAAATCAGAAGAGGTAGAGGAAATGAAAGCAAAACAAGGGGGATACAAACGCAAGACAGTGAATAGATAGCAAACTTAAATGAAGTAACAAGGGGAGGACGGAAAAAAAAGAGTAAAAAAACAGAAGGGTTTAGAACGGATCAAGCATGAAATTATAAATTTGACCAACGGAATGAGTGAACTTTTGGACGCGGGGTTCGTTGGTGGATAACGTGTAGAGCGAAGACAGCATATTGGTTAATCGGGCGGGAAGAACGGAGGTGACGGACTTGACAGCTGAAGAGGGTATGAAGTCCGTCAACGGTATTCGTACAGCAGTTTCCGTTACGGGACGTGGCCGCAAGACACGGCGTTTGCGGAAAACATCGACCACCGACTGATGTCCCGCTTCCACAGCTAATCGTTCGGCCGTCTTACCAACATGGTTCCGGATCTCCAAATTACTTTTACCAATCAGTATCTTTACCAGCTCCAGTTTGCCAGTCCAGCTCGCAAAATGAAGAGCAGTGAAACCATTGTTGTCAGCCTTATTCACATCGCAACCCAGTTTGATCAACGCCTTCACCAGTCGCGCATAGCCGCAAATCGTCGCCAAATGTAGCAAGGTATGATGATTACGGTTTGTCAGCGTTAAATCACACCGATACCGTGTCGGCATCACCGTCACTGCAACCAGAGCCGCAATGATCTTCTCTTCCAATCGAGGCAAACACAGCGTTCGCGCATTGTAATAAGCCGCCGAAGCCGCTTGAATGGTCAGCATTTCCCGGTAGTCCAGTTGCAATCCTGCGCGACCAAAACTGGTTGTTCCACCTTGTCCTTTACGTTCGCCTTGACCGCTGTTGCCACCACTGTCACCTTGAACGATTCGCATAGCAATCTGTCTAGCATCTTCCACTTTGCCCATCGTTTTTAATCCCACCACTTGAAGAGCCAGTTCCATCAATGCTCGATCACTTTCGTCAAAGTACGTGAACAGGACCACATCTTGACCTTCCAGCATTAGCGGATGCTCTTTGAACGACACTACCACCGGCCCCGCCGTCGCCGCCGGAGGAAGAATACATAAAAGGGTATTGGCACTCCAACAGTGGGTCGGCACCGCCGGATTTTCGCCAAACAAACACGTCAATCCTTCATAGAAATTTGACCCCAACACCGTGACCTCGGCACCACCATAAATAGGTCCCTCGGAAGGAATTAGACGATGAAGTCGTGGTAAATTCGTTGGTTTCCTTTCATCTGCCGCGGCTTGTTGTTGTCTTTGCTGTTGCTGTTGGATTTTCGCGTATATGTTTTGATTGTTTTGCCAAGACTGTTGGGCACCTAAACCACTGCCACCGAAGCGTCGTCGATATAATGCGGTTTGCATAGGATTTTGATTAAAATGAGATAGTATCTGTTGTTGCTGTTGTTGCAAAGTTGCAAGAGAATTTTGCTGATTTTGCTGCTGCTGCTGCTGCTCCTGTTGTCGTTGTGGTTGTGGAAGCGTAGTGGGCGATAGGGATGTCGGTATCATACTGGCATTGGCCATTAATTGTTCCATATTAAGATCGTTTAGGTTTAAAGAGCCGAATAGACAGTCTTGTTGCAGCTGTTGAGTGAATGTGACGGCATCCTGTGCCTGTTGACCAAGATGCGACAGAAGGTTTTTGGAAGACGACGGATGTTTTTCCAGCCCCACCCCTTGTGACGAACTGGGATCCATGGTTTCGTCAAAGGTGGTGGTTGCAGTGGACGTCACTTCTAATTTGGTTGGCAACGGAGATTGTTCGTGAGCTCCATCTTCCCCTTGAGACGTAGGCGTGGCAGGCGTGGACGCCACAGGGCTCGAAACACCAGAATCGGTTTCACCATCAGCGTTGCACATCAGCATTGTACTTGCTTTTCGTTTGGTGTTGACAGGAGGCTCCATTTCCACCGGTGAACCTTCGACTTCGGCTCTGCTTCGCTTTTTACCAGTGGTTTGCACTTTCGAGCTCTTGTGATCGTCGGTAATCATGATAGGTGGGGATCGTCCAGTCGCAATTACTTGATGATGATGATTCTTCAGCGTAAATACAATCCTGAATGCAAAAAAAAAAAAAAGATGAATAAACCGGAACTGATGTGACTAAACAACGGCTACAAAAGTGTACCTGAATCCAACTTTTTCGCTGTGATGACGACAGTAACATGTGACGCGCGTAGGCAAGGTTGCTTCACCACCGTTGAATTCCACGTACTCGGTGCAATTGAACAGTAAAATCTTTCGCCGTTCTTCTGCCATGACTGCCTCGTCCTCCAAATCCGGTAAATCATTGGCAAACAAAGCAGCTACTTTGGCAGCTCCTCCTTCTTTGTTAGCCGCACGAGCTACTTTATTGTCACGCTTCCTCTTTAACCGTTTGCGCTGCAGAGAAGAGTAAAAAAAATTAATATCCTACCATGACAAAATAAAAACGAGAAAGTCTTTTTACCTCTCGATGAACACAGCTGGTGCACATGATAATTTCGTTGTCAGCATGACTATCACAGACCACGGCGGCATCCAAGATCAAGACTTCGGAATCGGTCAATGCAGGTTTCTCTTCCGTGCCGTATTTGGTGTTTTTCCGCTTCAGTTTTTCTTTGGCAACCATATGCTCGGGCAGTTTTAGATGGGACCAATTGGTCGCCAATTCGCCTGACGAGGTGTGAGCCAATTGCAAGCATATCTTGATTTGCGTCTCCACACGAGATTTGGCCCCCGAAGGTGGAAGACCAAGTACACGAATGTGGAACTGACTTTCATATTTGTTCCTATGCAAAATTTCGAACACGTTTTAAAAAACGACTGGTTCCAGCATGCCAATAATTTGGCACCATAAATAACATACATCACCGATCGCTCTTTGGAAGGATCGAGAATCAATCTGTCAGCTGTGCCGTAGTCGTCATTACCCGAGTCCCCGTCCTTGGGACCTAATAACACATTTTGACTACAGCAGAAAAAAACCAGAATGCATGAATATATAATGAATGTTCCCTCATTCATCGCATAAGCATTCAATGAAAGCTTACCCAGGCACGGCAGTCTGTGCCAAGAAATCTTCAAAATTGAGGCAATTTCGGGCCAAGATGGGAATAGCATGCAACAAAGGATTGGTGAAAACCTGCAAAGATTAAAACAATAAAAAAAGCGTCAGTTTTTGCATTATTGATACCATAGCAACATGAATGATTACCTGAAGCAATGAAGTAGAATCTTTGGACTTGGCTTTGCCGTTTTTCTTGGCCGCTGCATTTCCGCCATTAGCGGACGATTGTCTGGCAGGCACCGAAGGGGTTGAAGAAGAAGCGGATGGGGATACTTTCGGGTCTGTAAAATCGATAAATGGTTGAGCGTCGTTCATTGTGAGTTGTGAAAAATCTCGAGATGCTGTCTCCAACTTGGGTCGCTGCTGCGTTTGTTCCTGGACTGCAAGTAGATAAGAAGGATCCAAAACTAAGAAAATTTGAACACAAATGTGAGCGAAGGAGATCGGAAGGGTAGGAAAGGGGAAGAATGGCAATGCCAAAGACTCGCATACCTTGGGGGTTGTGAGGGTCTGCAAGTTTATCATCAAAGGAAAGTTGTTGAGCATTATACTCGGCGACTTGATTTAAAAAGAAGTCCATGACATCGTCGTTGGCGGGGTTGTTCCCGGTAGGATCGGGCTGTTCATGACCCAGCGGATGAGCGGCGGGAGAAGAGAATAAGCAGTCGCGATTATTGTTATCGGCACTGAGGGATCCTACTTTGTCTTGTGACTCCAATGAAGGGGGCATGGCCGTCAAGTAGGATTAGAGTGTAATGGGTGCACAGGATTTTTAAGGAGGAATAGCTGGTATTCGAAAGGCGGCAAAAGTCGTTTCGGTGCAATAAATGTAAACAATGTAAAAATAGATATGACAAAAAAGTTTAAAAAAGTAGGGAAACTATCAAATAAAATGGGATATATAGAGAAAGCCAAAGATGGATATAACTGGCCCTCGTTGCGAAACACTCAAAAAAAAAAAGTTACAAAAAGAAAAAACACTTTTCTTGTGCACAGCCTGTGAAAACACACAATTTCCTGTCGGAGTTTAAATGTCTGGATCGACGTCATTCTAATGGCTCGATTTGTGCCACTCCCTTGACAGAGATGTTTCTCTGGTTATTACAAAGCAATACATTTATTACCACTGTCACGATGCAATGCTACAATAAAGTGCTATTCATTTATGACTGAAAATACGTCTATTTTACGATAATTGAAATATGCTTGGAAAGGTTGGTTTGTTGTGTGCAACCCAAGCATATGAGGACTCATGATCGCATAGTGAAATTTTTTAATTTGCAGTACCTGGTTACCATCTAATGAACACGGCACAGATTGGTTACGCTATGCCGGAAAACTGTTATTTTTTGTTCATTGAATGAAATTCGGATAGGAAACGAAGAAAGCTGCTTGACGCCAATAAGCGACTGTTTTGTTAGAAAAGACTCATTTTGAAATTATCTGAAGCCATCTTACGCTAATCCTATTGTCCCTTGAGATAGCAATTTTCATATGATCCTCACCATTAGGTCAGATGGATATAATTTAATGCCAGCTTGAAATGTGATGACATTTGAAGATTATTTTGTCTCATACGATTTGAAATGAAAGGTTGACTATACAGTAACTGCACAAGTCCAACTTGCGATTACCATTTTTTTATTTCCTTTAGGAGAAACAGACAGTTGACTGCATTCACATCAAATAAAACCACTCTGAATTGGCGAATGCATCAACTTTCACCCATACAGCTGTATGATATACACTGTAATTGACTTGTCATCGACTCGTCAATCATTTGACAACAACAACGTACGCAAGTCCTCGGATAATCCATGAAAAATTTAAACAAAGAGAACCGTGATGTGTCCCCTTTTGGGTGTTTCTGCGCATGAAATTTGAGTCGATGAATTAACTGATGTGATTTGCACGTTAAAGACTTGGATTGGCTTTTAGTGTGGATAACAAAAAAAAAAAAAAAAAAAAAAAAAGAGTAGAATGAGAGAAAAAAAAAAAAGATATTCAAAATGCTTTGTTATTATAAAATTTATGTGCTGCGAGCAAATTCGACCCTCAGAATGAGATTATCATAACCACGACCATTCACAGCGCCCTGAGCCTTTTCAGCATCATCTCTATCGGCGAACGAGACAAAAGCGAAACCTTTGCACAATCCAGTATCGCGATCGCGAGCAAGGAAGACACGGGTAATATGACCGAAACGACCGAATAATTCGCGGATATCTTCTTCCATCACATCTTCCGACAAGTTGGTCACACGGAGCGTAGCGGTGTCATCACGCTTCATATCGCGCATCGATTCTCCCGCAGGAGCAGCACCACCCTTGTTACGCAAATGAACAGGCACGTATTTGCCGGATCCACCAGCAGCAGCGGCGGCGGCACCAAGACCACCAGCGACATCGGCAGTGGCTGCATCGGCCGCTACATTCATCACAATAATGTAAGCACCACTGGCCATGTGAAATATATCCCATGTTTTTCTCATGTTTTCTGTTTTCCATCCCTCTTTCTTACCTTCCAATTTCACAGCCTCCAATGAAGAAGCGATTTCGTCCAATGGTTGTAAAGTATCCTTGTAAGGACACTTGGATGTAAAATGCTCGCCCTTACAGATACGGCACATAATATTCTTGGTGGGTTTGAGTTGTCTACGGAGTTTGTCTGCTGCTTCTTCTTCTGCCGCGGCATCGACGGTCTAATATCACATGCCAATATATCAGTGAATCCGTGCACAACAAGCTCCCCGAATGGAATGTCACTGTTTCCAACGAATATTTTACCTTGCCAGCGGTAGAACCGAGCTTCAATGGGATATTCTCACCAATAGTGGTTGTGGACATGTCGGGACCGGGTTTGTTGCCTTCTTCTTCACCGAATTTGGCCCACTTCTTTCGTTGAGCAACAGCCTTGTTCACATGTTCGGTTACGAGCTTGGATCGGATTTTGCGGGTCACCTTTTCGAACAAAAAAAAAAAAAGGCAATCACATTAGCTATCCATCATTATGGGCCATGCCGTAAGCTACTCATGATCCTACTTTGACTCTCTTGCCATCGTCGTTTTCTCTATAGTCAATGATGGTTTTGATACCGTTTTCGTCAGTGAAGACTTGAGTCTGATAGGCATCTGTATAAAGCAAGTTAGTACGAGACGTTTCGAATAGTGAAAGATCAATCACGGAATGGCGCACACCTTCTTCATCTTCAATCTCGTCAGCCCACGATTGCTTGGACGGTGCTCTATAAAAGCAAATAAACGTTAAAAACGACAATTTGAACAAGGATTGATGGAGTAATGCCGAGTAAAAGAAACTGCACTTCAAGGATCGCAGGATGCCATATCAACGTACCCTGTATCTACAGCCATTATATAACAAGCGTCGTTATTGATCAAAGTCGTGTTCCTGCTGGGCGTATCAAATGTGCTTTTTTTTTGTGATCGAAAAAATCAGAGGCTGAGTTGTTGATGTCATCAATTTGTTAAATGTCCGACTATAAGTCTACTTTCATACTCCGGTTTTTGTGCTTGGTCTTAATGAGCTTATTTCAAAAGCCATATGAAAGCCAAGGCTGGACATGCCAACGCTGACGATTAATCAAGGGAATTTGGTGTGAACTCTTTTAAGATTGTATTTTCTATGGTCTTTATTTCGTACAGAGCATTGATGATTTGATTGAGCAGCATGCCTCAAGAGCAGCAGGTTTACAGTATGCAACCGAACTTGACTCAATTCAACCAACCACCAATATTTGAGCATGCTTTGCTTTCACCACTGTTTGCAAGAGGAAAAATTGATATAAAGCACGATTGGAGAAAATTCAATGACAGATCAAGAAATGAAAAATATAAGCTTTTTACGGGTGTGTACAATTCGGACGTGATGATGTATATTTAAAAAAAATTTGTACAATGGCGTACATTTACAAACTGATAGTCTGCTTTCAGGACTTTAAGGCTTCCAAAGCTTTTTGAGGTATTCATCTAGGAGAGAAAGGGAGAGAGTGATATAATCTAAGGGCATGGGATGATGGTGCTGAGAATAGAGAGAATATGGGCATCGTTGACGTTCTTGGTCTGGTCACAGAGAGCTTTGAAATCTTCAAAGGCCTTTTGGAACTCGGTTTCCGCCAAATGACCGTAACCAAGCTCCTTGCATCGTTCACGGAAGGCATTACGGCCAGAATGTTTACCAAGAACAAGAGCGATATCCGTAACACCGACAGTTTCCGGTGTAATGATCTCATAGGTTTGTCGGTTCTTGAGCACACCGTCTTGATGGATACCGGATTCATGAAGGAAAGCATTGCGACCTACAATGGCCTTGTTGGGTTGGACCATCATACCGGACAGTTCCGAGACCATGCGCGAGGTTTGATAAATGAGCTGTGTATTGATGGTGTGATGGACAGGGAAATAGTTGGGATGGGTATGGATTGCCATGACCACTTCTTCCATAGCTGTGTTGCCCGCACGTTCACCAATACCGTTGATCGTCACCTCTACTTGACGAGCTCCATTCTGAATGCCAGCCAGCGTATTGGCCGTCGCCAAACCAAGATCGTTGTGACAATGGGTAGAGAAACGAACCTAATTTCAATAGAGACGAGAAAAAAGTATAAGATACTGTTTGCCATGGCGCTTTTGCAAAAGACTCTCGTTGTCCTTTCGTCACGTCTTCCCATTCTCCATTGATTTTGTCCGATACCCTATCCAATCCCCTCCCCTCCCTAGTGGGGCCCCTTTCCCAACAAATCCAGTGCATGCTCTCACGTATAGTTTGCATGTCAAAACCGTACCTTGTCTGCGCCAGGGGTGTGTTCCACCAAATATTTGATGAGGGCGCCATATTCCTCAGGGGTGTTATAACCAACGGTATCGGGGATATTCAGAGTAGAAGCACCGGCTTCAATGACTTTACCAAGAACATGGCACAAGAAATCACGATCGGATCGACCAGCATCTTCAGGGGAGAATTCAATATCATCGACCAGCGATTTACCCAGAGTGACAGCGGCAACGGCGCGTTTCACACATTCATCTCGATCGATTTTCAGTTTATATTTCAAGTGGAGGTCCGAGGTAGCAAGGAAGATATGGATACGTTTGCGGGGAGCGTCGGCAATCGCTTCGGCACATTCTTTGATATCGGTAGGTACGGCGCGTGCAAGACCACAGATAGTCTAAAATGCAACCCCATCAGTAAGTCGAATAGAGTCACACCAAGGCAACATGGCAACACCATCGCATTTCCTTTTTGGGGGATTAAGATTTGTGCCCATTAGTTACTCACCATAGGTTCGCCAATCTTTTCGCGGTCGACCATCAGGGGACCGACTTCACGGGCAATCCGTTGTACTGCTTCAAAGTCGCCCTTTGAAGCAACAGGAAAACCAGCTTCCAGAACATCAACACCAAGACGGGACATTTGCTTTGCAATCTGAATCTTTTCGTCTGTATTGAGGGTAACACCAGGTGACTAATATCAACATAAAACCACCATATCCAAGGTTAGTCAATCCATCTTTCAAGTATTTTCTCAATGAGAACATTCGAGCAATAATACTAAAAATTCTCTTCCCATTGACCATTGCAAGAAGAAAGTGTGGGAAAATAGAATCCATCTATATTCCAGTACCGAAAACCCACATCATTTCACCGCCAAACACCAAAAAGCTGGCCATCTTCCCCACAATCGAAGAATATAATAAAATAAAATGCAATTTCTTATCGTTGCGTTGTTCGTACCTGTTCACCATCGCGAAGACTTGTGTCAAAAATGATCAATTTTTCGGTTTGTGCAGGCATGATTGAATTGAGGGGAGTTGTAAAAAATAGAGTAGCTCAGTTAAGGAGGAGAATTGGGGGAAATCCGAAATGCACAGCAGGAGTAATCAATGATATATATATACTGCGAATAAATAATTCAAATAACCAGGGAAATCTGATATGTAAAGAATAAGACAGAAAAGGGCCGAGGAACCATGGACGTTATATAAGAGAAATGGTTTCCCAGAAGATTTTAGAGTCTTCTTATCACAGCCAATCAAATTCAAGGATCTGCAGAACACAATTGTACTCATTTTGGGTCCACGCATGATACGGCCAGCCATGATTCGATATTTCGAATTTCCACCAATCACAATCGAGTTTTCGTCTGTGACATTGTGTGTCAATTTTTTGGCAGTTGAACGCTGGGCATCATCAATAACTTGACGAACGGGGCGATCAAGCTTTATCTACTTTTGGAAACTCTTTCCCATTGGTGCATGAAAAAAATAGTGGGATTATCCATATTTGCTGTAACCATGCCCACATGCCTCACCACACCCGCCCTCACGGAAAAAAAAAAAAGAAAGTGAATTTTTATTTCATGGTGGAGAGTAAAAAATGACTATTTTAGTATGCTAAGCCAAGGTTATCGTTTTGCTCAGGTCGCTAGTGAACGGATAATTGAATTGAAGGAAAAAGGGGTGGTTTGGATACTGTGAAAAAGTAGGTTATTGGGGATTCACCTTCTTTTTTTTTCAAAGCGTGAAGATATCTACCATGGGATGAACTCGTTTGCCTTGTGAACCTCTTCTAGAAACTTTTGCAGAAAGCACTTGTAGAAAGACATAAAAATTAAAAAGGTCAAATCCAACCAAAAGAAATAAAATAAGGAATAAAAATATACTTTTGTTAGTTCTTAAAGACTCTCCTAAAAGTCTTCACGCTATTGTCTCCTTTTTACCAATAAGAAAAAAAGGAAACCAAAAAATAAAAGAGACTCTCTTTTGTTTTTTATCGCTAACTATTCTTACTTTTTCCTTGAACATGCTCCCTAATTCTTTTTAAATATATCGACAGCAGCAAAAGTAGCCAGAAAAGAAAAAAAAAACGTCTTTTGCTTTACTTTGCTTTGCACTATCCTTTTTTATTTCCGTTTCCTGTTGTATACATTCTTTCTTTTGCTTTTCCACTTTTTTTTTTGTTTTTAGCTGCTTAAGCTTCACCTTTGTTTCCCTTTCCTTTCGTTTTCCTTTACGATCCTTTCAATTGCTCCTTTTGCTCTTCTTCCAAGGTAAATTATTACGAGAACAAATCATCAAATTCATTCAAGCAAGTAAAAGAGGGAAAAAAAAAAAGATCGATCCAAACAATTCCTGCTCCACACCTTTTTTTATTGCTCCCCTTATTTCTCTATTAACGCAGCTTGATATATATTTTTTTTCTCTTTGTCTTTTTTTTCTTTTGCTTCCCTTTATATTCATTATTCTATCTGTAAAATCAAGTAGGAGAAAGTAATTGATGGCTTCAAAAACGATGTCGAGACCCAGCTCTTTTCTCCGTCGAGCGTCTTCCCCGTGTCATATGCCTCAGGAACCATCGGTCACCATGGCCAGTACCTCCGTGGCAACTCCACCATTGCCTAGCAACGCCGGTATCGGTAGGGACAGTGAAAATAACCACAGCCGTCCTTCGTCTCCTGCGCTTGTATCGACTGGTAAATCGCCTCTGCTTTCGGTGCCTCATCTCGCCGATTCATCCGGCGCTCGTCGACGCAGCAGTAGTCCTCACACGAGCTTGGAAATTACGCAAGCTTCGTCCATCACTGGTACCTCACCGTCGTCATGTAAACCCATATCTATACGCCCTGCTCGCTTCATCAAGGCAGCCAACATGCCTTCTTCCACTACCCATTTATCCGAATCGATGGCTTCATTTGTGCAAAGTTTCGAGGCTTACTCACACAAGCTGTACATCGAAGGGTACTTGATGCGGCACAACGATCCTGGTAGTAACAAGAAACGCACCCGATGTTTCGTGGAATTATCCGGTCCTACCTTGACCTTGTGGGATGCGGAGCTCCAAATGCCCAGCGTTATGCCGCATTATGTCAATGTGGCCGACGCAAATGTGGTGTCCCTAAAGGAGGGAGAAGTGAAAAAGAAACACGTGTTTTCACTCCAACTCAAATCTCGTACCATCCTCTTTGAAGGTTCGGATGAATCGACATTGCAACGCTGGATAGCAGCTATTCGTCTAGCCGGATATGAATACGTCAAGTTTCATCAGCTATTCACGCATCGCTTGCTCAAGACCTTTCCACCGTCCCTGACCCCAGCCACGGGCACCACTACCACATTATCCGGTTTTCTTCAGGTTCGTTCAGCCGATACAACCGAATGGCAGCGCTACTGGGCCGTCGTTACCGATAAGAAGGACGAACGACGTTTGTTCTCCTCAAAAAAGAGCGTCGTCGCTTCTTCGCCGTCTCCTTCCCTTCACGGTCATACGGCCACCCCGACCCCTTCTTCATCATCTTCCTATATCTCATCCAATCTGCATCACCAGTTACTTTTATACGAGACCAAAAAATCCAAACAGCCCTTAATGACTCTCTCCTGTATCTACCAAGCCTACGCTGTTTACCCCGAAGCACCCCAACTTATCGAAAAATCGTCGATTATGCGTGTCGAGGACCGTGATACCCACCTATTCCTCATGGCCGATACGAGTACGTCTATGCAGCAGTGGTTGCTGGCCATTTACGACGTGTTCAAACTTCACGGTCGTCCGCAGACATTGATGGATAACACCACCGACCCTGCCGCTTTGAACTTTGCTGAACCTATCCAGGGACATGCATTTCCCCTTCAAGCCGACGATGCCTTGCGAAATATGAATACCCACGACTGCCAGTCCCGGCTTGATATTGAACAATTTTTCAATGACTGCCTTCAGTCCAAACTTCAGCAGCCGCTCATCGTCACCTCGCGACCTTCCGCCAACAGTCGCGCTAAAAGCTTGCCCCTTATTACCGTCGCCTGTGAAGGAAACTCTGTGCCCGAATTGGCCGGTCAACCGGATCCAACCGATTCGAGCCAAATTCACCCCACTGATCCAGCCGCCGAAGTCGCTGGCACCACGATGAAATTTGCTCGTCAAGTAGCCGATTCGAGTGATGAAAGTGATAATGATACAGATGAAGAAGACGAAGAGGAGGACGAGGATGAACAAGACAGTGACGATGAACCCATTGGTAAAAAGCAGCCGGGGATGGATCATCCTCTGTTTCACTCCTCTAAGACACCTTCGGCATCCTCGTCCTCCGCGCTGCCAACCAGTGCGGCCGACTCGCTGATTCCCGATTTTGATTTCGGCAATGGCTTTGATGTGTCCGCCGACGAGCGATCGCGACATCGGGCCAGTTCCACCAGCAGTTTTGCCGTAGCCACCACGACCAGCAGTGAGGACGATACACGTAGCAATGGACGACAGCCATCCATGTCGGTTAATCACTCGTCGTCATCGTCATCGGCCGCTTCCACCTCCTTGTTTGGCGATTTTAGCTTATCAACTGATTTTGGAAAGTACCTCGATCAGCCTACACTTCGCAGAGAGTTTCATCGACGACCCTCGGGTGAACAAAGCAGCCGTCGCAGCAGTTCTGGTCACGCCATGTCGTTTGATCGTCGTCGTAGCAGTTGGGCGGCAGCTGATTACGATGGATGGCATGGAGATGGTGGGGATGAGGAGGAGGAAGAAGATGAAGAAGGAGAAGGAGAAGGACATGCTCGTCACCCTTATGACGACGACGAACACAGTTATGAAAGTGATTTTGATGGACCTTTAATTCCTTCGTTGGGCGATCATTTTGCACCTCAAAATTCACTTTTGGACAATTATCTGGGTGAACAATTGAGTGCCAAAGAACAGATCGAGTATGCGCGTGCAACCGGCCAACCGTTGATCCAGGTACCAGCCAAACCAAGTGCTCCCAACGCTGGACTCGTGGGCATGATCTCGCAACGTGAAAAGAATCGAAAAGAAGGAAATGGAGCGCGTGTCAGTGAGCGTGTCCAACAACATCAAGCCGAACTGGGCCACATTCGATTTGAACGTGAAAAAGAACGACGTATCCTTGAACAACGACAACAACAATTTATGAAGCATCAGGTAATCTTATTTTGCCATCTTTTTTCTACGGAATTGTTTTAATTGTGTTCATGCATGTCATCAATTTTCAATAATGGGGCTAACACAAAAATGTAACCATTAGATGATGATGTATGCCAATGGATGGCCTCCTATGGCCATGATGCACCCTGCGTATATGCAAAACATGCCCATGATGCCGTTAGTCGGTCCACCGTCTCCAATGTCACCTGTACCGCCTGCCAATGCAATGATACCATATGCTCCACGGCCAGTGATGAGTCCTTATCCAGCCAATGGTATGAGAAGTCCTAGTTTATCTTCGCCCGTGAGCCCTGGGATCGGTCGACGATTATCGAGACCTTTGGTGATGTTGGATGACGACGAGAATCCTCATTATCACCCAATGGGACGCACCTCGTCGCCAACTTTTCGAAAATCCTCCATACCTTCACCTTCCGGAACCTCCAGTCTTCGTCTGTAAAACCCCATGGTGTGCTAATAAATGAAAAAAAAAAGAAATCGCACACATAATGGCTCCCGATTGTTACATTATTCCTCTCACATCGTTATCCCACTTGAGCCAAAAGCGCTTTTTTTTTTTTTCTCTTTTAGCTGTTTTTTTAATCTTTCACTTTTTTTGAATTTCAAATTATTTTGCGACTTCAAGCTCAAATAAACTATGAAAGTAAACAAAATTCCAATAGCAATAAAAGGAGACGATGGTGCAAACAATTTATTTAACATGAAAATGAAGCATAGCTGAGAGTGTGTCTACCAAGTTATTCGTCTGTGCCTCGTCAAATGAAAAAGTGCTAACAAAAAAACGTCAAATGCGGTAAAATTCTATTTGCTCCGCGAAAATTCGAGCCATTGCGCAGCTTCATTTTGTTTTTCCTTGGTCTCATTTCTTCGTGCTCAAACACGCCGATTACTCCTTGTTTCAGGGAACATTTTTCAAAAATTCACTAGGTCCAAAGTCGTGTGAGCACAGTCAACGGGGTCATGGTCGAATAATGTGTAGTTTCGTGGGGCTTCATGTCCCATAATACAGGCAACCCCTCACTGAAGACGTAAAGGAACAGGCGTGCTTGATGATACAACGCTTGCTGGCGACCAGTTTTGCAAGATCGACTTCAAAATTTAAAATTCACCAAGCAAAAGGTGAATACCGAACTCATTCATATATTTTATCCAGTGACTAAAGAAAAAAGGACGACACATTGCACAGTAACAAGAAAAAAGTCCTTGACAACCATCTGCTACATCGGTAGACGACCAATTTAAGTTTGGTTGTACCATGTGCATCAATGATTTATGGTGCTAGTCGACAAAAATAAAAAGATTCAACCCCAAGGTGAAAGGAGCTAAAAAAGAATCCCTCAAGATTTGCTCATGTTGCGGCACAAAAAAAGCTCAAAAATCAAAAGCCCCTCTTCAAGGTTATTCAATGTAGCGCATGTAACAAAATATTGGAGACCGAGACGTGAATACCAGTCGCAGCATACTGGCTTCATGGGCAATGACAAGTCCATCCATGTTCACGCGGCAAAACAACAAACAGGAAATCCAGTGATGGTGTTCACGCCTGGGCGATACAATGCCTCGCGGTAGGTAGATAACTGTGTTATTGAAAAAAAACTTATTCGGCCTTGGCTTCTGATAAAGTGCTAAAAGCAAAAGGTTCGAATGGGATACCATCACCCATGTAGAATTTGCCATCGAATTCGACCCTGTAAAAAATTGCAAAGGTTTGAGTAAGACCGACATTGGAGAAAGATAGAAAAACATATTTACCAGTGAAGACGAAGCGCGTGAAGGAAAGCAGATAAACCTTCCATCGCCAGCAAAATGCTGAGGGTCAAGACAAACCACATAGAGAATCCAATCACTAAACCAATCACACCAATCACCCCAGTGAAACCGAACCAAATCTTCAAGGTCATGTCCCACAAAACGCTTGACAATTCTGTAATACGTGTGTTAGTCCCGTTTCATTATGACAATTTCAGAAAGTCAAACTTACGGGCGTGAGCAAGCGACAAGGCCCACAAACGCAAATACGAAGCAGTATTGGAGATACAGTTGAGACAGAATTCAATGGTATGGATTGTTTGATGGATCATTTCTTCGCCAAAATCAAACTAGATAAAAAACAAGAGCCGCATTTGAGCAAGTGATGATATGTATATCATTGTGTGCAAGAACTTACTTCTTCTTCTTCTTCATCGTCGTCTTCTTCAGCGACCGTAGATCCAGAGACAGCACGACCGGCTTCATCACTGTCATGATCCTCGTTGCCAACGGATTCATAACGATGCTGACTGTGCTCTCGCTTCAAGTAGTAAGGCTTGGCAAACCACATCCACGGCACGCAGACGACCGCAATCAAAATCAAGACTGCTTGAACAGGACCCTATGAACCAAAATGTCAGTCCCGTAAAGAGCCTTATCATCCTAAATGCGGGCTTACCTGGCCAGGGTACAATTGTTCCTTGGGATCGACTTTGCCGGGCGTCAAGAACATGTAAATGAGCATATTGAGAAGATTGGGTGGAGCATTATGAATGTGATGACCATTTTCATCCAAAGCCCACCAATCGACACTCCACTTGTACATGATACAGAAGATCAGATAGCCGAAAATGCACTCCATGAACAGGATCTGAGGCAAGAATTCAAGCCAAATAAAGACCTTGCGATTGTAATGGATATGGTTGAATACGTTGAGACAAATAGCAAAGGACATCTGTAGGTGACAAAAAAAAGGATATGTCATGTCAGTCCGACAAGAGTATCACTTGCAGAAAATTGTTTGACACGAGACTTACGTGAACCACACCCAAGATGATAGCTTGTTTCATTTTGTACGAATTGGTAAATAGAAGGAAATTTTCAGATCCGTGCCATGACTAAAAGATAAACACGTAGTGAGCAAACTGGGAAGGTCTGTCAAAGAAAGGGTGAATTTACCGGATCCAAACCAAATGCATAGACGTTGCCATTCGGTACACCTTCCACAACGTCGGTCGAATTGTACTCGGTCGGCCAGTCAAAGCCCGACTTGAACATGTTGAGACTGAGCGAAAAGATATCGTTGTAGATAAAACCGGTGAAAATGGAAAAGATGGCCATCAACAACATCATGTAACGACCGGCAAAGAACATTTTAAAGATCTGAAGATGATCAAGAGTCAGTATACAAGCAACCAAGGAAAGAACAGTATGATTTTTTTTTTTTTTTTTTTTTACCTCGCCATTGTTGCTTGCCAGTTTCTTTTCATTCAAAACAAGATACAGGGCAAACAACAGCATCAGGAAACCGTGCCCGATATCACCAAACATGACAGCAAACAAAAACGGGAACGAAATCACGGTGAAAAGACCCGGGTTCACTTCGCGATAACGGGCGGTGCCGTAAGCATTGATGATACTTTGGAATCCTTCCGTGAACTTGTTGGTACGGTGGTAAGTCGGAGGCTTCTTCTTGGTACGAAGCACAGTGAGGATAGAGGGTAAGTTGGTACCAGATGCATCCTAAAAAAAATTGAACGAAGCGAACAGTTTTAGAGACGCCGAGTCAATGGGCAGGATGGTCAAAACTTACAGTAGCATCCTTGAGTGCATGTTGGATTAAAGGGATATCATTGGTTGGGCACCATCCTTCAGCAATGAGGCACTTGCGATTGACATCGTAGTTGAACAAGTTCAATGTATGGTATATGGCCTTTTCCTTGCGAACAATCGTAGTCCAAGCTGTCAAGTTTTCGGAGATCTTGACAAGCTCGGAGCGGCGGGTTTGGCTGGTATTCGACAAGACCTAGTATATGGAAAAAAAAGAAGCACTTCTCAATATGACATTGCTTAGGCGACGAGATGGAGATGGTTTCTTTGTTTCTTACGTTGTTGAAATCTTCAATTTGATTAGTGACTTCCAACAGAGCATCACGACGCTTATCCAAGGAATCATCGATCGAGTAAAGCGTACCGCCCAAACTCTCAGAGATCTTCTTAATCTTGGCAATAATTTCACGGCCGTGAGCAAAGATGGCAAACACGTTCTTGTCCACCACTTCATCGGTCACAGGATCGACAATTTGTTCATCGATTTCCGCCGAGTTCATGTAAAGATTACCACGCAGGGAACGCCACAACACACGTTCAAAGGTCTGCATACGTGATCGAGCAATCACACCGGTCACGTAATTCAAGTTCAAATGGTTCAAATCATAGTGAGCTTGCTCTTCCACATCATGGTCCAATAAAGGTGCGGTAGCATCGTTCTCATCAATGGAGGGACGGATCGTATCTTGTCTGGATTCCACCTAGAGTTCAAAGCAATACTGTCATCAGCAACCGAAAAGCTCAAAAGCATGTTGTTGTTCAGGGGAAGGGATGAAGGATGTCTAAAAGAATGACAAGCCCAAAAGATTGATCAGTGTTGTATTTATCTACCTCTTGAAAGAACACGTTGGTCTCACGCAAAACGTGTCGGAGTTCGGTCAACTGGAGGTATCGTCGTTGAAGCGTTTCATAAGAGCTGTTCATTTGGGACACTCGGATTTCATGCTCTCGGAGTTTCTCTTCAAGGTCATCAATCTCTTGAGCCGACCGCGCGCGACTCATGGATGTTGCTGCAGTCAACGGACGCTGCGGGATATCGGCTTTCGTGATTTGGTTTTCAAAAAAGCCTACAAAAAATTTAGAAACCAAAAAAAGTTTAGCGGGAACTCTCCCGTCATTCAAAAGGATTCAAAGTGTTTCACGTACGACACTGGCGTTCCATTTCGTCCAGTCTTCTAATCTCGGATACAAACGAACGTTGGAAAGCATTGACATCCGGATTAAGCTAAAAAGTGAAGGGTTAGATAAACAAGCGTCAATGGAAGGTTTGCAAGACTGTCTTGTTGTTACAGGGAATAAAAGAAAAAGAGTAATGAGAGATGTCTTACGTCTCTGAATTGGACTTTGCCAAGTTCACCCAACTCGGCAACACAAGGTTGAGCGACCTCTGCAGGAATATAGAGTTGTATTAGCGACATCTCTTCCGAGCGGAAGAGCGTACTCGTTGCTGCCATGGTCAAAAGTAGCAAAAAGATAAGAAAAAAACGGTGCTCTTTTGAGAAAGGGAAAAAAAAAGGGAAGCGAACTATCGACAGCGCCCCCACAGGCACCGAACGGAAATCCAGCGTTTCACTCCCCGTCAGCCAACCAACTCCTCCGAACTCATAAACCATACGTCATCATCTAGAGAAGGCATGTGCGGGCCCACCTGAAGAAATCAGAATGGGCTTGTTCAAGCTTGCTGGATCGACGCGGGATATTCATTTCTTACCCACATTGTACGCTCGATTGACACGCCATTACCAATGTATAATCGAGAAGACAACCAATCTTGAACATTGGGATGCCTGTACCGTTTTCGTGTTTGTATGCAGTAGACCCCATTTCCATCTTCCCAAGAATGTCCTATTGTCTTTTTCTTTTTTTTTTTCACAGACGTTGCGGTCGACCCTGGCAAACGACGCACTGGTGCATCAGGGATGTGAGGTGTTGTTGTAACAGTCGCACCAAGCAAAACCGCGTATCATATCGTAGATACTCGTTGAATCATTTGCGCTTTGGACTTGCCACTTTGACTTGTTTGTGTTGTTCTTGGCAAGGTGTTGTTAATTGATACCATGAGGTAGTTTTTATATCAAGCACTGTGATTGACAATGTGACAGTAATTTTATCAAGTTGTTATGGATGGGTTAAAGAAATCTGGTGTCATACATGTTCTTGGCAAACCATCGATTTAACAAGCCGTACGCCTGCTGTGCAATGGATGCCACCTGCTACTGGACGTCGGCCCTTTACATTGAGCGACATTCGTCAGACAAAAGCCTAACGCAATACGGCATAACCTGGGCGGGACTCTTGGTGGAAATTTGGTATATTAATGTCAATACTCTGGCATACCGTACAGTCATGATTTCCAAACATGTGTGCAGCAGGACTTATTGAACCCCTCAGTCCCGTCCCGCCCAAGGTTATGATGAATGATGTGTGGGAATGTTGGGTATTCAAAAAAATGAGTTAGTAAGCTCTTTGATTGATTCAAATGTCGTCAAGATATTTTACCTTTTTGTTATTCGATGCAGCAGATATCGAGAGCTTCCCGACCGAAAAAAAGAAACGATACAAATATATATATAAAAAGTAAAACAGTAGATGCGTCTGTAAAACCCCTAAAAACCCTGTGGGGAAAAAAAGGAGGAAAAGACTGCAAGAAGGTCTATCGAATAAAATACAAAGTACATACTACAAACCACAAACCACAAAGTAAAATGGTCGGGAAGTAATCCAAAGAAGAGGAACCTGAGGAGGACGGGTAAGCGTTACCGATGAAAAAGAGGGTCACACCACCGACGATGCCCTTTGACGACAAAATCGGATTGGCCACATTTGAGCGCGAACAATGTAGAAAGATTTGGAGGATCGATGGCTTGCCAGGCGAAAAGAAAACGGGTGAGAAAACCAAAAGCTAAGAAAGGATAGAGAAAAAGGACAGGTAAGTTTTTCTTGTAAGAACGGATAGTCACATCACACAAAAGGTACCTTTTTGATATTTACAGAAATCGACTTGACTAGTTACAGATACACGCGCGATAACCATAGTCTAGATGATGCATGATGCATGATGGATGCGGATGCGGGTGAGGATGCAATGATAGTGAGAGGCTTTTCAGGCAAACGGAAAAAAGAGAGAAAATCAATGAAAGAAATTGGGGATAAAATATAATGAGTTCCCATGATGAAACAATAGTCACCCTTATTGATGAATGATGGGCTACACAGATCGAAGCATATTATGTAAAACGGCACACATGTTACTGACAAAGTCAAATTAAATGATGCTACAGAAGAACGCCAGATTGACGTTGACAATAGCCCTTTACAGAAAGCTCTCCCCTTCCATTGAACTTTTCCATAACCTCCAATCCAACATCTTTGAATGAATAAATAACACCAAGCGAAGGAGCTGCCAAATCCATATGATGAAAAGGAACACCATGTGGCTGTTTTTTAGCTCGCAAATTTTGGCGTGCGGCGACTGGTTTTTAGTTTGGCAAGAATTTTAAAACATTAGAGATATGCTCTGATAAACAACCATTTTTTAGCACATTATGCATCTATTGATCTCACTCTTCTTATTAAGGGCTTGGCATTCAGGCAATCATATGTCATTCATCGGCTTGTCAGATCGGCCATCTCACTGATCAGACAATGACTTCAATTTTGTTTTCTGTACTCCTTTTACCTATTCCGATATGTATAGTGGCATTTCCGTATTGCCGAGGCTTCTCCAACATGGAATAGTCTCTTGTGTGCAGCCAACACGTCAAAAATGTGGACATGATCTCTCTTCCTTGTTTGAAGACATGAGACCCCGGCAATAAAGGGTTCTGAGAGAGATGTTGCTTGTATGTATAACAGAATCTGCATGCTTATGCGCAATGTATTTAACCAAATTCGTCCATCACATTATTAAAAGAACGATATCGTGTTGCAAACGTGCAAATACTACAAAGTATAAGGCACCGTGATTTGGGATCGTAAAAACAAAGCCTGTTTGAAAAGATGCATTCAATCATTCAACTGGATAGGGCCACTTGATTGTTTTTGACGAATAGACAAAGCACGGTTGCATCGTAGTCAATGTGCCTTGACGCATTCAGTGACAAAGTTTAAATAGTGCGATACAAATGCCAATTCATGACCCCAAAACGCGGATTTCTTACGATAACTCGTATTTACAGTTTTCTCAGGTTGGACAACACACAATCAGCACGTAGCATCGGCTCATCTGGAATGCCAGATGAAGGAATGCAAACTCATTGGTGACTCAGGATGACATCAACTAAATGATCTTTAGAACAGATTGTACTGAAGAGGAAATGGGCAAAAGCGTGGATTAGGGAAAGCTGTCTGGTCAAGGAAATGCTGTTCAGGGAAATATAAGCAAGGAAGATGACGATGACTGACATTGTTCACTTGGCGCTGTGTAGCTTGTTATCAACTAACATATACGCTATGCCCTATTGATGATGGTCTTGACTGAATGTGGGTGCTCAATAGATTGCTTTTTTTTTTTGTTTTGGTTTTTTTTGATCTGTCACCAAGGTACCACGCGATCCATAGTCTTTTAAAAGCGGGTTGGAGGCAATGCAGTGCCCACTGCATACAGAAGAAGAGGGTACAATATTATGATGCAAGGAAAAAGGATGATCTGATGCTTCTTATGTAAGCTGGGCAGCCAAAGGATGTGGATGAACCATGGTTGGTTTCTTTTCTCGGGAACTTTTCCGCATTTAGTTTCCATGTGACGAGTGTTTCTGTAATTTTTTGGTGGGTTGCTTTTTTGGTTTTTTTGATCGTCCTCCCATCCCCGATCGGCATTAGCTTTACTTATCTTTCCCTTTTTCTCTTTCTCTTTCTTTCCAACCTTTTGTTGGTTCTTTTTTCTTTCCAACCTTTTGTTTTTCATCGTTTTTCGCTTTTCTTTGGATATTTAACGCCTATTCGCGTTCTGCTTAATCGTCGTATATGATCAAAAACTTTGGAAAGTTCAAACAGGTAAAAAGATGGATACAAAGGAGACGCTGGAACAACGGCCAAAAAAATCACTGTGGATACGATCTTGGAAAGAGCTCGTTTGGATTCATGATCCCATGTGAAATACAAGAAGAAGGGACTCTACCATACATACACATCACGAGAGTGTGGTATATTTTTTTTTCTCAGCGGGATTCTTTGGAAATGGAAGAAAAGAAAGTCGAACGGGCTATTTTTTTTTCTTTCTTTCTTTGTCTCGCCCAGTGGTGTCGGAGTTCCCAAAGGCTCGTTGTTCCAGACGCCCCTAATTTAGATCTTCTCGAAATAACTTTTTTTTTTCATCAACTCATTAACACTCATCTCCTTGATGGCTGTTTTTTTTTCTCGATGTGTAGTGGACCGGTGAACGGTTAGGTGGAGCGAAAACCACTCTTCAGACTGAAGATTTTCAACAATTGGAGAACGAAACGGAAGCACGTCGTACCGGGTTTGAAAAGGTTCATGATGCCACGGTCCTGATGCATGCGCAGTTATGCAAGAAGAAACCGTCTCCGGAAGATGGTAAAACGAAATGCTCCCCCATGGCCGCCGTTGCGAACTGCTGGATCAGCCACGGTAGTGCCTTTCCGGAAGATTCAGCTTTAGGTAAGCTTTTTCTCAGATATCTGGGGAAGGAAAGGAGAGGGGGAGAGAAAGAACGCTAGCCACATATGCTGTGCATCTCGATAAAATATGACCAAGGAAAAAATGGAGAGACCGAAAGACTCCAAGGGATACGAAGCAAGTGATTTGATGTATATTGATGTGATTTGCATACAGGAGTTGCATTGGTAAATTACGGCCAAGCCGAGTCCCAAATTTCAATGTTGGGCGATGAATTTGCAAATCAAGTCAAAGACGGTTATATGGCTACCCTGGAACGTGGACTACAAGAATATAAAGAATACTTGTCACTGAAGAAGAAACTGGAATCACGTCGGTTGGACTATGATGCTAAACTGAGCCGTCTCCAGAAATCCAAAAAGGAAAAGCCCGAGTTGGAACAGGAGACTCAGGCAGCCAAAATCAAGTACGAAGAAATTGAATATGACATCATCCAGAAGATGGCCTATCTTCAAGAATACGAGGTAAGCAATGTGGAAGTGGTGGATCTAGGAGCGTGCAAGGTTCGAAAAGCTGATGGGGAACAAAATAGGATGAACACTTTGAAGCGTTGACGCAGCTATTGGAAGCGCAATATGCCTATTTCAGTAAATCGGCCGATCTATTGAATGAAGTGCGTTCCACGTGGGGTCAAGGTGTGGCTTCGGCACCGATTGCTCGTAATATGATGCATACAGTGTTATCGAGAACCTCGAGCTCTCATTCAGCCATCGGTGGGATCGGTGGCATCGCTCCAGTGGGCCGTTCGAGTCGCCAAGGCAGTATGGATGACTACTTTGGCCAAAACAACGATGTCTCCAGCCACGGATCACGATCGCCTGGTAGTCTGCAACAACGTCGCCCTAGCAGCCGTAAACCTAGCTCCGACAGTCTTAGTGTAGGTGGCCCACCTCCAAGACGCATTCCCAGTCGCACCTCCCTTCGAAGCAACCATAACAACAACGATGATCTCATGTCGTCTGGATCCCGTCTTACCCCTCCTACCATTCCTCGACGTCAATGTAAGCAGAAAGAGAGAAACAAAAACTGACGTGTTGGCCTTTAAAAAAGTCATACTCATCATGCCTCTGTTTATTTTATTTTTTTCTTTGATGGACTAGCTCAAGCATCGATTGGGACCAAAAAACGACGCAAGGCCGTGTATGATTTTGAGGGAGCAAGTAGCGATGAGTTGTCATTTGCGACGGGGGATATAATCACTGTCATTGATGAAGTGGATGAAGGATGGTGGTTGGGTGAGGTGGATCACGGCGGTGCAACGAAACGTCAAGGTATTTTCCCGGTGAATTATACCGAAGAATTGGTCGCTCCACCTATGCCTGCCCGTCCATCCACTTCCACCAGTCATACCTCCCAGATTCAAGAATATCCTGTGGAGGAAGCCATGGCCGAAACCGAGTCGCCTTTTGCTGATCATATGACCAATGGAAACACCGATTACGGTTATCAGCAGTGTCATCATACACCTACACGGACGTTATCGACTCACAGTTATACCAGTGCCGCCCCATCACCACCTCCATCCAGCTCGCTTCCGCGTGGCAACTCTGGTGTTCCCGTGAATCTGGCTTCCAAACCGAGCATGCGAACACCTCCACCACCTCCAGCGGCGCGTCAACGTAGCATGTCCAACACACCCAAGCTCGTTCGTACTGCTCCTCCTACGCCGCAATCACGAGCCGCCCCAGATTACTTCCAAGCATCGCCTGTCGCACAACCGGATTGTCAAGACTGTGGGTGCAACGACTTTAGCGCTAATCTTTTCAAAAAGGGCCACTGTAACAACTGCTTCCACAAACACTTTTAAAAAGAAAAACAAAAAGAATCGATTTAGAACAATTTTGTGCAACATTGACCATAATCGCAAATGCACTCATCCAATTGTGTCACAATGTAAACATTAACATTGATATAACAAAGCATTCCCTCACCCCTCCTCTTTTTCCTTTTTCCCGCTCATTAAAGAAGAAGGCCCAGGCTGTCTCGCGAATAGAAAGGACCCTCTACTTACCCCTGACAATTTACAATCACTTTGTCTCTTACCCCCTCCGCCAAGCAATTACACAGCACATTACTCATTTCAACCCGCCTTGATTGCAGTAAAAATGACTCGGAATTGATTCGTTACTCATTCTTTTCGATCTGAGTTATTCGCAACGATGGACAATAACATAATTGATCCAAAGTGAACGTGTCATTACTGTCACAAAAATGTCAGCCGATGAATGAGAATATTCTAGGTGCCTAAATCCTTTTAGGAAATACAGCAGCTCGTGTGTAAACGGTGAACAGCACACTGTTATCCAAATGGATTTCACACTATTTTGATTGCTTGCTGAATCTATAAATACATCTGCAGATAGCGATCGATGCATGGTACGCCAATCGCCAACCGACGGGAAACCCCTAAAACTGAACCAAAAATGTATTGTTGTTTCTGAGCATCCTTAGCTACAACATTGCCTTTACTCACCAACACACATCTTAGTGTGGGGTATGTGAGTGCAAGTGTGAGCAGCAACGACAGGCATACTAATGTTGCAATCAATCCCGTGTCAGTTCTAGCTTTCCATGAACTTGCAATCACTTTGTTGATGTTGTTTCCAAGATGTCAGAACGTATCCACGATATTATTGAGCCATGCACTGATGTTATGAGTATCTTGTTTCCTGCAAAATTGGTGTTTTTTTTTTCCTTAAGTTCTGCTTCATCCACTACAACCAATAAATGAGTGCTCATCATGTGACTGATGAACAACAAGATATATCATCACGTTTTGAAGCACGGCGTTGAGAAAAATGAATGACTAGTAAGTCTCTCATTATGTGTCTTGAGAGGTGCTCTCCGTCTATCGCCCGTGAACCATACGATCGTCCTTTACTAAACATTGGGTAACTGATGGGAACACATTGAAGCCGATTCATACATGAGTACTTCATTAGATTGAAGGAAAGCCAACACCGATCATAAAGTAGGATATGAAAAGTCTCAGGGTGAAAAGTGGCCCGAGCTAGTGACCATCAGTTGAACAAACGTGTGGTGATGAAGTGACAGTGAGGGATGAAAAGCATGCGCGCAATGTGTGACTTAAAAGATCACGCGTCGGTCCTATCCCATCTTATTTCTTTTGTGTAGCCTATCCTTGGTTGAACAATAATAAAAGATTGGGAATCAATAATCACTTTTTGCATTCTTGTCCTACGCTGTAATTCTTTCTGATTCCATGACAGGTCCAGTCCGACCACTGCGCACAATAAACAGACATTGAAAGCGACAGCCTTGCGATTCGATGGAAAAAAGAAAATAACTCACATAACGAGGGATAAATTTTTAAGGAGTTCAAGTAAACTTGCCAGCCAACCATGAAGCTGCAAAATACTTTCGTTAATGTACACATGACAGATAAATAAAAAGGCTCCTTGATAGTGAAGGAGTGAGGCTCTCTGTGCAACCTATCCATGGATACCCTTTTTTGATATTTCGGCTTCTACCAGTAAAGCGATGTGAATGTCGCGCAACTGAGAGACAGCCAAAAAAGACAAAAAAAAAGACAATGACTCAGGGTGGGATAGGGTCACGCATCGTTTCTTAAGACAGGCTCAGGTTTGGGTTACAGGTGTCCTGCATACAATCAACCTATTCCTTTTTCCATCGTGTCACCGCACTCACACAAGCAAAAGAAACAAAGAAGAAAGCAAGGAAAAACAAAAATAAAAATAAAAAGTTAACCCCAGATGCTTTGATGCGCTGGATGAGGAAACGGTGCTCATGACAGAAAACCAAATAAAAAGAGGAAGTTGACGTGAGATGGAAGACTTGACTTGTTGCTTAAAAAATTTGTTGTGCTGGCAACAGCCGTTTCCATGGATGTCAATTTAACGGGGAAAAAAGTTGGTGCAGCAGGCGCTATGGTTATTAGTTGTTGCTAGCTGATCACTATGGCGTGTGAGAACCAGACTTTTTTTCATCTCAAACCAAAAATTTTAGTGTCAAATGGCGAGTGATGTCATTGAAGCTGGGCTTCAATTGGCGGATTCGGGCACTCACTTTTGAGAGAGAATGGGGGGGGTGCGAAGAGAGAAATGAAGCACAGATTGCCCGCGGGGGAAGGGAGAAAAAAAAAAAGAGAGCGTGTCGCGTTCAATAGCAAAGAATCTTTTTTTTTTTTTAGGTTTTTCTTTTTTTGCCGCTCGAATTCTTTTCTTTCCATCTTTTTTATTCTTTCTTTTGGCTTCTGTAGTTTTTTGCTTTGACTTGGGCTTTCTTTTTTGTCTTTTTGTAATGACGGAACGTTTCGAATTTCAACTACCTGACAATATGCCTGCGATACGCACGTCGATTATACGGCGAATTCAGAAACGTAAAGCTGGGTTGAACAAGACGGGATCCAAACGACATAGTTCTGTTGATGGCCATCTCGATAATGGTCTTCCTTCTCCACCCATAGAGACATGTACTTTTGAAGAAGGCCATGCCTACCCACCCTTACTAGAGTCTAGAAGTATGTCCAAACAACCACAGCCAAAAGAGCCATCCCCACCAGCACAGACGTCCGACGTGCACTCGTCTTGTGCTTCACCCAACTCAAGCACCATCTCCCCTCCTTGTTCCACCTCGAGTGAATTAGATCAAGAGACTGTGCGTCAAAAAATTAAGCAACTGCAGGAAGAAAAGCATAAACTATTCCAAATCATGAAAGATCTGTTGTCACGCCCACCTGTTGCTTCCAATCCAGCACCGGCTTCGCCTGCCAGTACTACCACCGCCACGGCGACGCATTCTCCCACCATGGATACCACCGCGATGACTCTTCAATCTCCTCCTTCTCCTTCTCTTCCTTCTAAGGATACTGCCGTGGCTACGACCGTGACCACACCGACCGCGGCTACTGCTCTTGCTGCATCTACCCTTCCTCCTTCGTCCCCCTCCTTGTCCTCCGCTTCACCCTTGCCGTCTCCTGCTCAGTCCGAGCCTTCACCATTCAAACGAGAACGTACTGTTTCTGAAAAGATGGAAGACTATCGGCGTTCCGTGAGTCGAGACCGTCGTCACAGTCGATCCCATAGTATGAGTCAGTATGAATACCGATTCTCGCCGTCATCATCGTCCATGGAGGGGTCTTTCCACCCATTGCCATCTTCCCCATCCCAACGTTATCACTACAATGATCGTTCACGCGCACCTTTAGCATCGTCAGCTTCACGTTACTATCCAGATTATGACAATCGAGTGCCGGGTGCCAGTCGCTATTCTCCTTTACATTCTCCCAATACGTCCACTTCCCATGCTTGGTCAAATCCCGCTTACATGGTATGTTGTTATAACCCCCAAAGAAAAAAAAAAGGGAATAAAATGGTTATGACTAACGTCTATTTTTTTCTTCTCTCCTTTTTCTAGTCTCGTCGACCACCTTCGGGCTTCCCTCGGTCCGGCAGTGGTCCTATTAGAAACAACTTCCGACCCTCCAGACCCCTTGCCGATAGACACATCCCACGTTACTAAACAACAACAGCATGGATTTCATGACGTTTTTCCTTATATTTTGTTTTCTCTTTGCATCTCATGACCTCTATTTAAACATTGTGCATAGTTCCGATATACCATTTTTATTTTACGTTATCAAAAAACTTTGAAAAAAGAGAAATCCTCCACACACACACTCCCCAATTCTCATCCTTTTTTTTTTCTTTGTCGTCCTATAAATAGTGTACATGAGAAACCTTTTTTTTTATCTTCATGGGCGAACCATGATGTTATCTCTGTGAAACGAGTCTCGCTTCGTTTCGTTTTTTAATGATGGTGTCTTTGCTTTCTTTGTTATCATCTCAGTTGAAGGATGACAGGTTTGGGCGGAAGTCGATTTTTTCATGGGGTTTTCCTGCATCGTATCTTTTTTCTCATCTTTCAAAAAGACGGATGAAAAAAAAAAAATCAGACGATTCTCTTTTTTTTTTCTGCACAGTGTTTTTTGTTTATAAATTTTCGTGTGCGACGGTGATGCGTTTATTCCAAGCTTCTATTGCTTTGCTACTTTTTTATTACATGTACAATCGTTATCTTTCCATGACTTCTTCTCCTTCTACCGTGGCGGTCATTGGCAGCGGACTCGCCGGTCTTTCCGCGGCCATTCAAGCTCATGAAGCCGGTCATGTTCATGTGGTCTTGATTGAAAAGGAAAAAAATATCGGGTAAGCAGTACTAAAAAAGATTCGCGCCTTGCTTTCTAGCTGGGAACGCCATGCGAATGATATGATTTTGTTATTCTTCAGTGGCAATTCCATGAAAGCGACGTCGGGTATCAATGCCGTTGAACCTTTATCGAACGATACCGAACAACTATTTGTTCAAGATACACTTCAATCGGGAGGCGGTTTATCCAAAGCAAATCTAGTGGACAAACTCGTTCATGAGAGTGAGGAAGCGGTTGCTTGGCTCAAAGCACACAGTAACGATCAATCATTGGATTTATCGGTTCTGTCTCAATGCGGAGGTCATTCGCGTGCACGAACCCACCGTTGCCCACCGCGACCGGATGGTGGACCCGTGCCGGTGGGATGGAAACTGGTTGATACATTAAAAGGCCATCTTTTATCCTTGGACCATGTGAAAATCTTGACAGAAACGAGAGCTTTGGAACTGCTCAAGTCTGAGGATCAGATAAGCGGTGTCAAGGTAGAAGATGGTCACGGTCAGCGAGAGATCAAAGCCGATGCCGTGATTCTGGCGAGCGGCGGTTTCGGAGGGCAAACAGCGACAACACAACCTGACCAACGACCATCGTTGATGAAAACCTACGCACCACAGTTTCTCAATATCGCCACCACCAATGGTCCATGGGCCAACGGAGACGGAATTCAACTTGGTTTGGGCGTCGGAGCCGCTCTCCGAGACATGGTACTTTATCCTAAAAAAAGGAATATGGCGTGGGTACTGGCAGCAACTGATCAAAATCGTTGTTTTTAGGATCAAGTGCAGATTCATCCTACAGGATTCATTGACCCTCAACATCCCAATGCATCGACAAAATTCTTGGCCCCCGAAGCGTTAAGGGCTTACGGTGCGGTGTTATTGAACGGACAAGGCCATCGGTTTGCTGACGAATTATGGCGACGGGATGCCTTGTCTAAAGCGATTTTTGATCAAGCCAATAAAGTGACTGAACGACCGCATAGTTGGATGACAAAGTTGTCGCTGACAGTTCCCGCCGCCTACATGGTGATGACAGACGAAGCCGTGGAAGGGTTTGGAAAATCGACGCTCGGGTTCTATGCATCCAAAGGATTCTTTATCAAACACGACACCGTGGCATCGCTAGCGACTCAGTTGGATACGGATGCGCAAGAACTACAGCAAGAGTTTAAAGACTACGACGAACATTTCGAAAAACAAACGGCCGACGCGTTTGGAAAGACTCGGTTTCCGTGCCGTTTGTTGCCTGCTCACGGAACCACGTACTGGGTGTCGATGGTGACGCCTTGTGTGCACTATACCATGGGAGGATTACAAATTGATGAAACGGCCCAAGTCATGAATGACAAGCAGCAACCCGTGGTTGGATTATATGCTGCAGGTGAAGTGACAGGCGGTGTTCATGGTCACAACCGTCTGGCCGGCAACTCTTTATTAGAATGCGTCGTCTATGGTCGAACGGCCGGCCGCTATGCCGCCAACCATGCTAAAAAATCCCATCAATCCCCCCAATAATCCCCCACTGACCGAAAATCATACTCATCCTTTCTTATCATTAAATTGAACCTCCACCTTCACAAATGGCTTTTTGTTATATTTTTTGTCCTCATCCATCATGATCAAGATGGTGACGATATTGATAATGTTGATGCTGCTGCTGCTGAGTTTTGGTTAACAATAAGCCGTATCACCGTCCAATTATGATCGAGATAAATGATGACAACACATAATTTGGTTATGCCGAGTCAACGGAAACACGCCTGTTTCAGTCCAAGCTGCGAATGGCGTGATATTATGTTCAAAACTCGCATGATTATTCCATCTGATGACAAAACTCGGTGCTATGTCTGGTAATCTGTAGATACAGTGAGGAAGCTTTTGTGCATGGTTTTCTAATGCATGGATTCGTTTTATCAGCGTAATGTGCCACCTGTTGATACTGCCTTGATTTGTCTAATCAAAACGAATATTCAGCAAAGTCTCTTCTGGTTGCTTGGTTAGAACGGGACCCGGCAGTTCTCCTATTTAGGTGTTATGGTGACAAGTGGTGTCACCAAGTTATATAACAAGTCATTTATTCAGGCACCCTCAAAGATCCCCATACATTTAGACAAGAGTCGTGACATGTCATTCATATTAATGGCCGGAATGAAGGATACGAAATATAACCTTTTTTGAGTTCCAGTGAGCCATTTTAGCAAGTTTGTAAGCAACAGTCATAGTGCATTTCCCTCGGATAGCTAACGACACAGTCATCAAATCAAGTGGAAGCAGAGGTTTCAAAAAGAAAAGTGGACGGAATAAGTTTATATACAATGGTTTGTTACCAGCAAAAAGCGGTGTTATTGTTGGCACGAAGAGAAGAGAGGATCAAATTGTCGTATAATTGCTCTATGGCAGATGGTATCGGTTCAGTGGACGGGGTATATGCTTGATTGGGAATAAGATGTTGATGTTGCACCAACCATGCCAAGGTGTGGCCTGCCAACCACATCATGCTATGTTGATCTGATGCGCTGGGAATAGTAACGGGCTTGGTTTTTTGTTGGATAATTTGATCGATATCCCAGTGAGGCATGACCACGTGTGAGACGAGGATGGAATAATCGGGACGGTAGGTTTCGCTTGGTTTGGACCCACGCACACTGAGATCTTTGTGGAGTGGCGAAGCCATGCGTGGCGAGGAAGGCGTCGCTTTCTGCAGCAGGAGTTGATTCTGCCGTTTCAACGTATCAACTTCCGATCGTAATTGTTTGTTCTCTTCTTCCAGTTTCTCCAACTGATTTCCAAGTTGCTGAGCGTGCTTCTTGTGATCATCGACTTGCGCTTCCAGCGCCGTGATATACTCTAATAGAAGTGTTCGGAGAAAATTAGTGTTTTTGTTTTGACAGTCAGGGGAAAAAAGTAGAGAGGCAATCAGTCATCAAGGGAGAGCGGCAGGGAAGTAGAAAGAGGGAAGGATATCAGGGGAAGGTTTTGGAAAAATGCGGGATCATCATGTATATTTTTTTTTTAGTTTATGATGCCATGAACTCTATGAAACTTGTCTAAAATGAACTATACTATACCCTTTCTACGAACTCTAAAATTGCGAGCCGAGATCTTGTTTCGTAGTTGCCGGCGTTCTTTGGGTGTCAGTCGTTTGATGTCGATGCCGTCCGATTCAGCGTACGCTTCGAGAGACATCATATCTTCGGCCAAGGTCGGTTCCTGTTTGACCTTTTTATCACAGGTAGATATTGACGAGTCAGAAGAAGGACAGGGCGAGGACGGGGGCGGGGATGACTTGATAAGTGATTTCGGTGCAATGGTCTCTGGTAGGGAGGAATCGGTCGCCGGATGGTCGGCGTTGTGAAGGAAAAAAGAGAATGACTGCATGTCGGGGCTGGGGTCAACGGAAGAATCCTGGGGCCATTGTGACTGAAGTTGATCACGCAGAGCCAAGTGCTGCCTCGCAATTTCGATGAGACGTTTGATTTGATCAATGGTGGATAACGACAAATGGACGGGTGGATACATGTCCGTTGATATGGGCGAGTCTTGCTGACCTATGGACGATGGCAAGCTGGATCCTTGGTCGGGTGACACAGCGGAGTCCAACGAAGAAGACCCATGCGATCCAGTGCTGAAATGGTCCCCGTAAAAAGGATCATCACTTGAAAACACGGTATAAGTCGGTTCTTCTTTGATGTACGGTGTGGTATGTGTGCTGGTTGTATGGGCATTGACCCATTCCATATCAACAAGATCTTCAAATTCCATGACAGACCGGATAAGCGTGCAATAAAAGAAAGGAACAAGAAGAAAAAGAAGCTGTTAATGGTACAGTTGACAGAAATAAGGAGACACGAGTGACGATAGCCTGGCCGTGAGTGATACTGGACTCTAAACTAATCTAATAATGAACAGCAAATGAGGATATGAAAATAAGTACCAAAGGAGGTAGAAGAAAAAGAAGAAGAAGGGAAAAAAATTAATCAGATTGGGAACAAGAAGAAGAAAAAAAAAAGGGGGGGGGTTGGGGCGATGAACTACAGAAGGCAAGAAAGAAAGAAAAGAAAGAAAGAAAGAAAGAAACAAGCCAAGCTAGAAATGCAAAGGATAAAGACCGTCGCACACACAAAACAACCACCCACGCACGCACATACACAAGGCACATATACACACGCCTCATCGCTACACGTTTAGTCAAAAACCCCCTTAAAAAACTTTCTTCTCTCATCGTTGCTCTGAAACCATCATCACATTTTTTCTCATCGGATTTGCTTCTTTTTAGAATCATATCGTTTTCTAAGCGTGATACCTTGTAAACCTTGCAGTTTGTATACCATTTCTTGGATTGCCATGACAATTTGATCCACATTATGTATAGAAACGGTTGTGGTTTTTGTTCGGGTCAATGCTGCATGTCCTACCATATCGGTCACCCACCGCCCCACCATCGATCGGCGGGATCGGATGGCGGGGCGGTGCTTTGATTTTTTTGAGTTTTAAGTTGGGTTCCTCTCACGAGTTAGGTTGGGCTGTTTGTCTAATTCCTTTATTTGGGAAGGAAAGCAGTATCAAACAACAGCAGCGATCATGGCGGTAATGCTTGTGCTTGTTGGATTGCCAGGCTCTGGTAAAAGCACCTTTTCCAATAAGCTCATCCAATGTCGACCGGTAAAAAAAGCTCAAGATTTTTGGATACAAACCGCCAAAGGACTGGTTCCGCTCACCCGTTCAATTGACAGGAATGGCAACGAGTGAATCAGGATGATCTCCGATCACGCAAAGCTTGTGAACATGCTACGCGGGAATATCTCAGAAAGGGATACAATGTGGTGATTGATCGTTGCAACTTTGATCCCAAGCAAAGACACACTTGGGTCGCCATTGCCAGAGAGTTTAGGATTCCCGTCTATTGCCTGGTTCTCACCACCACCCCCATGGTAAGTTTGATCATTGGGCAACCCCAACTTCTTTTGTTTTCCTCAAATTAACCCACAGTTACTTGTGTCTTAGGAATGTACTGAACGGATTCACGTTCGTGTGGATCATCCTACCGGCGTGATGGGGGAAGAAGGCGTATTTATTATGCAACGGTTTTTGAAAAACTATATACCTCCTACCGAAGAGGAAGATGAAGGATTTGAGCGAATTGCTTATCTCGACCCAAGTGTTGACATTGAATGCTCGGTAGAACGAATTGATGCAGCTTTACATTTACTGCAGTTGTAAATATTTCAACAAGAAAGGGTTAAAGAATAGAAAATTTCATACCACCAGTTATTTCATTGGCAAAAGAGAGAGAGAGAGAGAGAGAGAGAGACAGAGATGATATAATACAGTTCAGAGACGATGGGTAAAATATTCGAGAAGAAGTAGAAAAAAGAGAGACGGGACGGATATTCAAAAAAGAAGAAGAGTTGGGATTTGTAGAAGGGGGCGCATAAATTACAAAGGAGTCGGTGTGGGTGCCGTCTGGTTCTCACCGACCACGATATTTCCGTCACTGTCACGCAACACCAAATCGGCTTTGACGAAATCTTCAATGCGTGGATACTCTGCTTTTTCATCCAGTTGTTCTTGGCTCCACGCTAGCATTTTCAGGAGATTCGGTAATCTTGGTTCGTTCTCTCTTGACTGGCTCATGAGAATCGCCGCGTTGAGTTCGCCGGCCGTTTTTTGACGTTGACCAGGATGAAGCAAGTCAGATACAGGCGATGCCTGGATATCCTGAAAGGCAAGCAAAGCCATTGTTCGTTCCAATTCTTCCAAGAACTCGGGATGTTCCTCTCCACGAGGCGCCATTTCCTCGGCCGCAAACTCTAAAGCAGCCTCATACTCTCCCTTGCGAATCAATTCAATCAATCGCTGCTGCTGCAAGTGAAAGAACAACTGAGGATTGGTATCTAGAATCTATCAACAACACCGACCATGGTGACCAAATTTAATAACCAAGGGCGTGGTTTGGCGATTACAATAAGACAAGCAAACTTACTTCGGGGTTCAGATCATTGACAAGATCAATGGCAGTGTCTACGTCTCCCGATTGAATAGCATGACGAATATCCATACGATCCTGAATGGATTGAAGATCCACCGAAGGTGTTAACCCGCTTTCCAAGCTAAACTGTTGTGCGGCATCCTTGTAACCTTCCACTACAAGGTAATTCATCACCAGTTGATTGAGATCTCTAAAAAGAGAATTAATGAGTCTCGCGCCCACTTGCCGTAGTAGAAAAAAGGGCAAGAGCATAAACAGTGGAGATGGAACGAGTGCTTACTGCTTGTTCACTTTGACTTTGGCAAGTCGTTGTTCCCATTCTCCCATGCCGATAAACTTTTTCAGGGATGGCGTCGTTAAATTGCTCATTGTATGAACTGAATGGATTCGTGTGCGTCTGTCTATATGAAGTGGCGATAATGAATAGACGGAAAACCCGTTTGATAAATAACCAAGATGTGTGTAGGACTTCACAAAGACCCGGACGAGAGAGAAGCAGAAAAAGAGAAAGGGAAAGCGGAAATTTTTATGCTTCAGTCTTTTGGGGTATGACGGTTTCCTTATTTGGTCAAAACCTTGCAACCCACCATTCAATGGGGGACCCACACGATATGGAGCTTGGAGCCAAATAAATGAGGGATCAGTCAAAGCAAAATTATACATGACATGGTGCATGTTTTCATCGTTGTTTATGAGATACTTTTTGGGATTCTAAATGTTCATATGCTTTTTGAAATAGTTGATGAAAAATGTGGGTGGTTAAGAACGAAGTAGAAAGACAGATTAATAGAGAGGATTAGATCATTTTTTCGGGATAGCAGAGGGTCAAGTTGTCTTCGCCATTGTTGCCGATGACGGTGACAGGTTCGGAATCTTCGGCTTCCTTATTCTTCATGGCAATACGTTCATCACGCGTCAAAGGTCTTGCTCTACCGCAAATCTTGGCACCGACCCATCGCATCCAGTATGGTAATAAGGGTCCGGACAGAGCTGCGGTCCACCAATCTTCGCGTGTGGAGTAATCGGGATGGATACGACCGCCGCTGGCTTTATCGATCAGGTAGACGAGACCATTGATGATCACATACGAAAAGATACCACCAATCACACCATAAGCAATAGAGTAGGTGAATGGCATGACGGCCAACGTAATAAACGCCGGGATCGCATCGCCAGGATAATCCCAGTTGATGTTACGGATACTGCTGGTCATCATGGATCCCACCACAATCAAGGCCGGACCGGTTGACCACGGAGGGAAACTGGCGAAAATCGGAGAGAAGAAAATCGAGATGAAGAAACCAAAGCCTACGGCCAACGCCGTAATACCCGTGCGTCCACCTTCGGCAATACCAGCGCCGGATTCCACAAACGCGGTACATGAAGACGTACCAAAGCACGAACCGATCGTTACACCGATAGCATCGCAAATGAAAGCGTACGTCGAGTGTTCAAAATCGCCCGTCTCGTCCGTGAAACCACCATAATGCGCCATGGAATACATAGTACCCGTCGTATCGAGAATATCAACATATACCAAGGTCACCAAAGCGATCCAAAAATCTTTGGTCGACAGGTCGAAATTGAATCTGCCCAAAACACTGGAGAAAAAAATATTCAAGTTAACATCCATTGACATGCGCATCCCTTTGTCATTGTGAGCACATACTGATCCATTTTGTGTACGGTGACAACCTTTTTGAAAAAGTCAAACATGGTTTGACCCGTTTCGGTGTAGGGAAAGTAGGTCACGGCATTGTTACGGGGCCAGGAAGTGATGGCAATGAAAATAATAGCCAGCAAAATGGCGCCTCGTACACGATACATCAACAGCATGCACATGACAATCAAGCCAAAGATTCCCATATACATGGTACCGGATTCCATGTGACCCCATAAGCATACACCATCGGCGTCTTTTGCTTCGGGAGGACATCCACCTAAAGAGCGACACACGTTTGTCAATCAATTATTTGCTGCAGAAATTTTTATTCTACCGAATCAAACAAGCTCACTTACCCAGTGTGACAAGTGTGGATTTGTCCAAGCTGACCAAGCCAATACCTGCGGACGATTGGAGACCGATAAAGCATAGATATAAACCGATACCGCATCCCATGGCAATCTTGATACTCATAGGAATGATCCTTGCGAGCCATTGACGTAAACCGAGCAATGACAGGAGCAAGAAAACAAGACCTTCAATGAAGACAGCAGATAACGCAGTTTCGTAGGACACTTTGCCGGAACCGTGATATCCCACCACGGTATAGGTGAAATAAGCATTAAGACCCATACTATTTACATTGAAAAATCACACTTTCAGTGAGTCATGCTGTTCATTCGTTCAAAATTTTCTTTTCCCGACCGAGCCCGAGAAAAAAAAAATCAAACAATAAGGAATTTTTTGGATTTAAACTTACCCAGGTGCCATGCCGAGAGGCAAGTTGGCAAAGATGCCAATGAGACAACAAGAGATTAAAGCAATAATGGTGGTGCCCATGATCAGATCGAGTTTGACTTGGTACACACAGTTCATATAGTCCGTATTGAGATCGCACAGTGGGTCGTCGGCGGTGCCTTCGCATACGCAAGTGCCACCACTTTCGCTGATAATCGACGCATTCACCGAGATAATATAAGCCTAATGAAATAGTCATTGTGCGTCAGTTTAAACAATCCATTTGTTTTTATGTGGATTTGCAGGTTTAGAGAATACGGTACCATGGCGAAGAACGTCGTCAGGCCTGCTCGAATTTCGGTCGAAAATCGGGTACCTTTGCGTTCCTTCTTGTGACCCGAGCCTTCAAGCTGGAAGTGTTTGCCGACGCGCGAACGCGCCACAGCATCATCCAGTCGAGCGATCCAACCCATTGCCGTTATGCGTGCAAAAAGAGAGCGAAAAAAGAAAGTGAGGATAAAAAAGCGAGAAAAGATCAAAGAGAAGACATTAGATGTCTAATTTTTTCTTTTTGCACCGAATATAAAAGGTTTAGCTTCTTTTGTGGTACAAAAAATTTTATCGGGATATGTTTATCGCTCAAGTCTGTGTGGGCCCATTTAGCTTATTTTTTGCCACAGACCACTCATGATTGGTTTGGCCGTGATTCATACCCAGATAAAAATCATATTGACGCACAGTTGGCATATTTACTTGTCCTTCTGATAAACATTTGAAAGTCTCAATGGCATGACAATATAAAAAAACAAAAGAGCCGTTACTGTAGCTCCCTTGTGGTTTCAGTTCCACAGCAATTAGATTTACCTTGAATATTTTTTTTAATTCTTTATTATTGTTTCACCAGATGGATCTTTTTCCGTTATGAAACTGGATGCATCGCCGCTCACTGACCGCTGTGAGTAATCCGTCGCTGTTATTATTTTCGTCCTGTCCAATCGACGATGCCCGATAACCGGGTATGGCTTGGTTTCGGAGCCACGGTCCCTACCACGTTATGACTTTTTATATAACAGGTATAGTTAATGGATGGTTTATGCTATGCGGCATTGTTGTCAACCCTCATTCGTTGGAGCATAAGCTTCCACAATTCTCCAACAGTTTATCAATTCATGATTTCGTAATCCTTTCAATTTTATTAAACCATCACTTCACAGGGAAAAATTTTTCCAGATCTGTGATTTTCACTGGTGGGCGGCATACGAAAATGGAATTCGCTTTGAAAATCAAAAACATGGAATCACCCTACAATAGGTAAAATAGATCTTGTCAAAGGCGCCACAAACGCAAAGTGACACCAGGACGTACAACCACACCGCTTCGGTTGCTCCTCGCTTTTCAGTAGATGGTTATCGAATCATCGAAACCGATACATGGATTAAGGAACCCCAGCGACATAACATATGATAAGCAGTAACAATAACTCTGAACACGTGCGCTTTGACACTATTTTCTCAAACTTTGTCAACTTTTGATCTGTCAAATATGCACCTGTCAACGTTCGAAAAACATATCGAGAGTCCAGCGATGATGACTGTAGCATGCTCTATTTAGCCAAGTTCAAAATGGGGCTACAGTGAATGAACCCTTTCCATATATACCTATTTGAAAAAGACTTTCAACGAACCTATAATTTATGCGCACTGTCAATGTCTTACTGCAATGGTTAGTCTTCCTAACGATATTGTCATCCACTGTGGGTTCTCACTTGCTTCTTTTTTAGAGGATCAACGCGAAACTATTTTTTGAAATGCTGGATCGTGCCTGAAAGCTCACATGATCTATCTTTGATTTCATGCGCCCTGGCTTTCTTAGAACTCATTATGCTACTGGACAACGATCCGATCGGTATACTGAATATGCAGACATGGGTCACCCCTCTTTTGGTGAGTTTAGCGGAATAAAGAAGGCATGATTGACGGTTTCACGGTTAGTCTGGATCACCAAAAAAAAAAAAAAAAAAAAAAAAATGGATCATTTTTCATGTCGTCAAAACAATGCCAAATGTACCCTTTCTTCAATTCGATAAACATCATGTTTTCACCCTCCGCTTCGTTGCTTAGAAAAGATAAATGCACACTAATTTCCTCGGCCATCTAAAGGAGGACAACCACGTTCATCTGCACAGCTCAGCCGAGGATCCCGTTGCCTGCATATAAAACAATAGCGTTTCATGAATTCGAAAAACTAGTGGCATGGTGCTACCATGTCGATACTTTTAGTATAGCGCCGGCTTTCATTCCTGCGGTAAACTGATGGATGCGACCGAGTGGTTTTGAAATAGGAGTTTTTGGTTGAACAATGAATAAATTCCAAAATAACATCGTCGCGTAATGGAAGAAGGAGAAGAACAGTAGGAGATGGACGGTTTAGTTCCCAAGCTTTCAACCATTCAAAATTTAAGGGAACAAAAAATCGCAAGCCAAATCTCTCCGTGTTGGCCCACCCAACGTTGGTTCCCCAGAATCCTCCAAATGAAACAACTAACAAGACGTTTCTATTCAAGATGGGAGAATGGACAACAATCGCCTTTGTAGAGGTTATTCGGGGAACCGAACAGCGCCAAATTGTAAAAAATAAAAAAAATAAAAAGACAATCGAATTAGTTGCGCATTTAAAAAAAGCTGAACGCGATAACACCATTGCCATATAATCCTTATCGGAAATAGATGGATTACTTGGTGTCAGGAAAAACTTGTCCGTTGGATCCAAGGCCATGAAATAGGCATTTCAGTCGAGGAGGTCAAACAACATGCGAATGGAATTTCCAATCAGGCACTTTCGACATATATACGGAACCACTGCGCTGCCAACTTAAACCACGCAACAAGCATCAAGCACCAAAATTGCCATGGTCCATTAATTAACCGAATAGGAAATCAAATTCATTGATCTATCTGGAACAAATTGCCTAGAATCAATATAAATACTTGCAAATCCGTTATTGACTTTAACAGCATCAATTTCCAATATGGTGCTTCAAGGTATAAAACCATCCTCGAAAGATGGATTGCAAAATTCTATTGTGCAGTATATTGTTGTTCGGTGGCAAAAAGTACGGACAATATCGCATAGCAGCAAGAAAGAAGTCATCACCGGGAGATGATCGATGTAAGATCGGCTAACCATGTGACTAATGATTTACGGTTCTAATCGATATTACACTTCATTGCAAAGGGCCGATTTTGGCGCTCGGTGTTTCTGCAGTTTTTCCCGAAAATTAACAAGAATTGCTCAGACAAGTCGAAAGAACGGCCAGCTTGTAGTGTTGAGCATTCATGGATATAATATATCAAATTCAATAAAGAAAAACAAGGGTCAACCTAAAAGCAAGCTGAAAGGAGCTAAAGCGTTATCCTTTTAGGTTTGCTCATGTTGAGGCACCAAAACCCTCGAAAAAAGGTCAAAAGCCGCTCTTCAAAGTTCTTTCGGTGTAGCGCACGTCACAAGATTGGGGACCCAAATGTGAATACCTGCCGCAACATGCTGTCTATCGCTGTTTCTGGCTTTATGGGCAATGTTCGGCCATCCAAGTTTATGCGACAAAGAGAAACGCGAATGGATGTGTTTACATCCGGGTCGTACAATGCCTCGGATGGCACATAGAGATTGTGTTTCTGTGAAAGTACAAATATGTGTGCATGGACAATCTTTTGGATGATCGTTTGATTAGTTGTTGGTCGTTTTCTAATCATGGATTATAGGAGCTCTTAGGAGCTGTGTTGTTAAATGAATCCAAGCACCAAGGATCCTTGGGTTTCCCCTTTTATCATCCATTTTTTCCCCTCAGTTCCTTTGCCGCCCTAGTCAATATCGGCCTTGATTCGGTCATTGTGCTTTCTTCACGCACTCTTCCGTTGGGTGTTTCTTATTTTTTATTTCTCTGTCTCTCTTTTTTTGTTGAACGTTCTTATTGTTTGTAGAAAATTCTTTGTCAATATAAATTTAGCTCATCATGGCTGATTCGCCAAAGACGGACCACAGCTATGGCGATGAAAGCGATACCGTCTCTATTAATACCAAACGTCGATCATTGGACGAATCGATTCATTCTACTGTATCCACCACCAGCTCTATTCTCAGTTCGGCCAGTAGTAAGATGGCGCGATTCCCTCATGCGGTGAAATCCACCATTGTGTCATCGGTGAAAGGCATGGTCCAACGATCAGGACGTACGCCATCGCATAGAAACCGACTATTGTCTTTACGACCTCACTCCATGGCCCGTCGTTCCGACGATAGTATGCATCAATCCATGGGATTACCCTTACCGAGATATATCCGTGAGAGACATATCAGGTCTTCCGATGATCAGAAATTTCCTTGCCAACGATCATGCAGTGCCCAACAGCTTCGTACCTTGTTCGCCACTTCACCTTGTCCTTCCATAGATAGTGAGGATCCTTTGGAGTGTGTCTCTTCTAAGAGTAGCATGTATGATCTCCATCTATCAGCTTCTTCCGACGACCGGCTGCATCAAAAGAGTCCTATGGTTGGCCAATTACTGTTTGGAAAAGAAATTGATAAAACCATGGATCTACTCGAACATAAATTCGTGCTCACGCCGCCTTCGCCTTCACGATCATCCATCAAAAGCCGCAATCTACCGAACAATGCATCCTCAGCCGCCGGGGCCCATCCATCTCAGGTACGATCATTTTCATTTTGCTTTTGGTTTCTCATGTTGCGCAATTTGCAAGTACCCAAATGAGAAACTGGAAGCGCCCGGGTGACACCGTTGACGATATAGTTAAGTATCTTTTTTACAGCATCGCGGTCTCACGGTATCTTCCAGCACGGTATTGACGGCAACACTTCGTACATTGCACAGCAAACTGTTAGCTGACTGTGATCAAGTGCGGCTCGACAGTCGACAACTTCCCGTCAAATCTGTCCAAACCATCATTGATCATGTGCGAAAAATGCTGGACATGGTAGCGTGGTCTCGCCACGAAAGCATCTCCACTAAGCAATCCATGCTCGATGAATTGAGAAGGCTAGAATCCTGGATTCGGTTTTCAAGTTCAATTTCGGTCGATGAGCGCTATACCATTGCAAGTAGATCTCCGTGTTTTTCTTTTTTTAATCAATGTGGACAGTCTGAAAATACCAGGGAAAAAAAAATTGAAAATGAGAGACAGACAGACAGAAAGAGACAGGGAAGTGGAATCCTTGTTATCTGGAGGTTCTAAATAAGATTGTATGGATAGATATCTTCGCTGAAACATTTGATCAAGCAATGTTTAATACAGTATTATGAATCGCAAGAACGACCGATAATCGTTGCATGTCCAGACTATTGGGTGGAAGGAAACAACGGTGCGTCGACATTTTTTGGGGCTCTGGATCGTGACCCGGAATGTTATGAACAATGGGGAATCGATCATCAGGACCCACACGCACATTGGTTCAAGACCTATTTTTCCGGTCAACCTTACAGTGCCTATTGCGGCTACAGTGCCTATGGCGAGCCGGTATTGATAACCATGATCAGAGAGAACGACGTCGACCGGGTCATTTTGCGAACCACTCAGGTAAAAATTAAGGCTAGCGGATCCCCTTTGTTACAGAAACACATAGATAACCATGATGGAAACTACAGTCTCCTGATCATTGCACGCTCGCCCATCACGCCAGTTCACATCAAGAAATCCTTGAAGCTGTATGCTCCATGTTGTCCTTTCAACATTTACGCCGCATGGACGTTTCCGAGTCAGTTGAAGCCGACATGATCAAATTGGACGAAAGCACGGTAAACAATCTCCTTCAAACCCTCCTACTGTGTAAATACGAAACGGTACTCAGACCATCGTATTTCCATGTTTTCATCATTTTCTCTGTGGTTGGGGACTGGACGATGGATGCGTTTTTTCTTTTTCTAGGTTCACTCGCGTTACAAATTCGGCGTGTTGTATGTGAAAGCCGGACAAACGAAAGAGGAAGAATGGTTTGGGAATGACCATTCCGACACCTTTGACCGGTTTCTCAATATCATCGGCGAAAAGACCCTACTGCAAGGCTATACAGGCTGGGCCGGCGGCCTTGATGTGAAGAGTATGCATACAATAGCCTGGCAAAAAATCTGATTCCAAAACTCATTCGTGTGTGCTGTTTTAGGTGGCGATTCCGGAGAATACACCTACACGGCAACGTGGAAAGAGAATGAATTAACCTACCATGTGGCGACCTTGATCCCATCGAAAACAGGTGATGTTCAGCAAATTCAAAGGAAACGACATATCGGCAATGGTAGGCGGTGGGGCGTAGGTATATGTTTTTCGCAATAGTATACCAATCCATTTTCGAGTCTAGATATTGTGTGCATCGTTTTTGTGGAAGGAAAACAGCCATTCAATCCGCAAGCCATTCGATCGCAGTTTCTTCACGTATTCATCGTTGTCCAAGAAGATATCATTGAGAATCGCACCGCCTGGAGGTAATATGACATTTTTCAATGGTCTACTTTGTTTACGTGTGGTTCCTGATGACGATTCCCATGTTTTTTTTTCTCGCTGGTGCGATAGAGTTGAGGTGGTTGCAACCAAAGAAGTGCCTATCTTTGGGCCGCCGTTACCGGAACCTGCCATTTTTTTCGATGCGGTTGAACTGAGATCGTTCTTGCTTGCAAAATGTGATTATGAGTCCTACTATCTTTTTTTTTCTCCCTTCACTCAGAGACTGATTTGGATGATTTTTTGCTCGGTAGTGGTAAATGCAGAATATGCGGCTTTAAAATCGCCCAAGTTTGCTCAACCAATGTCGAGAGCACGTGAAGGCATTCTTGCGAGTATTGTACAGCGAGCATGGAAGACTGATCAAACGACAGCGCGCGATATCAGCTGGCCTACCGACCTTTTATCGCCCATGCCTTCCAGATCCAATCTTTATAGAGACGCGGGGACGCCTGGCCACGGTACCCTCAGCGAAGGGAAGGAAAAAACAAGATATCTTGAAGGTATGGCTTCATCATGATGCCAAAACTTTGACAACACAGTTCTGACGCCTACTTTCTCAAGGTGATTCCTATCTTTTGGAGGATGACGCTAGCGATGTGAACTGCACTCGACGACTGACCGCCTCCCAATCCAGTGGTGCGTTACTGAATATTGACAAACCAAAAGAAAGTAAGCCGGTTTTGATTCCTCCATGGTATACACAAGTGTAATATGTACTGACTTTTTTTGTACTTCTGCACGTCCAGAAGGTCTTCGGCAGCGAGCACACAGCATCTTGTCATCCTTTTCCCATACAAGTACACTGAAAAAAGCAACGGAATAGCCTTCGTTATATCAACAAACAGAAATCTAACCGATTTCAAACGTATCATATAAACTGATAATTTTAGAAAGATTACTTGCTAGAACATAAATAGAATATTAGGCACCTTCCGAAAAAAAAAAAAAAAAAATATTAGACAGATGAAAAAGCAGACGATGATTTAAATACAGATGAATGGATGGATAAAGTAGGATAGTGAAAAAAAAAAAGAATCAAAAGTGAAATTAATCAAAGATTTCCAACGGCATGAGCTTATCATGGCCAAAGACGAATTCGTTCTTTTTGTCTTCTTCTTCCAGGAACTGATTGGGCCAAATGACCAAATGTCCCTGAATTTGTTTCAGCAAATCACGCACCGTTTCTCCTGTCTCGTACATGATAACGGGTTCGGTGGTCACCACGGCAGCGGCGGCGGTTGCCTTGGTACCGTCCTTGGCGTCTTTTCTTCCAAGATAGATTTTGGCCATTTTCAGGAATTCGCGATGCTGATCCCAGGAACGTACATTATTGTCAGGTACAACAAGGAAACTTTGACGGAAAAGGTGGGTATTGCGACGCGCAGTAGCATACCAAAAATCTTGACACGCGTCGCTCAGAGGATCCACGAGAAGATTTCGGATCTCCGACGCTGTGTATTGCATGGCCAAACTGTCCACGGGAACACGGCTGTAGGACGATTCGGGATCCACGCCATCCCCGTTATTGTCCGTGTCACAATCCAAAGTTGTCCAGAACGCCGCATGCTGCTCCTTGAGGTTTTTGCGTTTCTTGGACCCAAACATGGACGCGCTGGAATGACGATGTTCTGATTCGGATTTCTCCTCTTCGGGTGAACTGGTACTGTCGCCAGTTTCTTCCCTGGTCACAGCATTGGTTTCCAACGTCGGTGAATTCGGCTGGGCGGCAGCCCCAATGGTGCAGTCAGCGGGATCGTCTACCATGTATTTGTCGGAGGGTTCCTCCTTTTCGGAAAGCGGTTGAACAATGGGCGGGATCGGCTTCACGCGCGATTTGTCCACATGCTTTGTAAACGCGGGCGACGTCGATGGGTCGTCTTCCAGGGTATCCACATCGATTCCCACATGCTCACACATGAGTCGCAAACGCAACGTGTGAGCGAATTTACTCACTTGAGCAGGTTTCCCGTCCACCGTGGAATCGATCATTTCTTGATCCTGCACACAGGCGGCGATTTCCGAGTCTCGGGTGCCGAGCTGCGATCGTTCATTGATATTGGCGGATCCCATAATGACGGTGCGATCATCGACAATCATGACTTTGGCATGAATGTACACTTGTTCGGTGACAAACTCGTTATTCAACTCTCCCCAGTTGCGAAGACCAAAGAAGTTGATGTAGTCATGGGTCCGCTCTATGCCTGCCGCACGCAGTCGGCCCAGAAGCGAGTCGGGCCCACGACAAATCGACAAGAATTGGCAATGCATGATAAGTCGTACCGTGGTAGCCTCAGTTTCTTCGACGTTCGCTTCAAATCCAGGGATCAGCGGAATCACAATAATGGCGCGCCATCGCTTATTTTCAGCCTTGGCTCGAAGGATCCGCTTCACCAACGCATCGCCAATCTTGTTCTCAATGACGGTCATCCCACTCTTGGTCGACGTGACAAAAAACTGATTTTCTAAAAGGGGGAAAGACGGATGAGGGATCATGCAGAAAAGAAAAAAGAGATGACCACGTTGCCTTACCGATATAGACAAAGTGTTCCGAATTTTCAATGGTATCCACGTAAGCGCTGTGAATGGATTGTTCCACATGGTTGAGGTTGCCAATGCTCCATTCAGACACACTACGAAGAACCTGCACGTCGCATTGCCGTGAAGTGTGAGGGTGACAGAGCCGTCGATCGTTCGGATCAATCGTAAACGATGACGGAAGATCCGGTTTAGGCACCAACAACGGTGTAGGTCGTTTTGGAGCGGACGGTTTTCGGCGTCTCAAGAAATTCCATCGTTGAACAAAGTGACGAGCAACATCTCTGGCTGACTGACCGCACAATCGCATGGACACGTCATGCCATGGCATGCGCGGCAATTTGGATCGATCCATATTATCTTCAAATGGTCGATCGAGGGTATGAAAATCGAGAATGCGTGGATTCGAGTAGTCTTTGCCGGGCCACATTTGAGGGTGTCGGTTGTTGGGATTCAGCGTCGGATCGCCTTCATCGACCACGGCATGTGTGGCGGTATCCCATCGACCAAAGCAAAGATCGATGCCTCCAATATACGCAATGTCATAATCTATGACACAAATTTTCTCGTGATGGGCCCAGAAGAAAATGTTGCTTTTGTTGAATATATCCAATGCACGCGATGGATGGCGCTGGACATGGATATTATCCGACAACGAAAGCAAATGCTTCTTGGCGTAATGGGAATACAAAGGAAGCGCCATTGCCACCTAAGAACAAAAAAAAAAAAAAGGAAATCAAATAGTCAATATCCAAAAACAGTAACCTCGATTTTCCTGATATCCGTTTATCACATTCCGCTGCGTACCTCTTTATACATCACAATGTAAATCTTCACGCCTTGATCGGCTTTACGCTTCAACAATTTGTCTAAACGCCATTGGAGATTGTGGGCTGCTGGACGGCGAAGATACTAGAATGCATATCGACCGACGTCAATACTTTATCCATCCGTCTTTTTCAAATGATTTTTGAATCTCACTTACCAATTCGGGGGACTGCAAAGAGCAGAAAAATACCAAAGAAAAATATAGCCATGAATAATAGAACAAGGGACGATGGAAATTCTTTCAACTTACCAGCCACCAATCGTGGATGTAGATGCATTCTTTAGCATTATCCAGGGCTACTGACACATCCCACAGATAATCGCGACCATCAACAAACCATGTGGCTTGAATGTTTTTTCGAATCGGAGCAAAGCTATCGAATCGATGTTGCTGGCACCAAACAGACGACATCATGCGTTTGATGGAATCCTCAAACTGTTTGGCCAAGGTCTCATTCTTGGCTCGTAAATACCATAATCCATGCAAATTCTTCAAGCACAACGTGGACCGGGCGCCTGTCCAATGTCGATTCGAAATCAATTTTGTCCCCACTTGCTTTCCTTTCCGGATATCCGATCGCCACTGCCGCAGGGCCTGATCACTAAAACTCATTCGAGTCACTTCAAATCCACCATCGGCCAAAAACACGTCAAACAAGGTATCCTAATCCAAATAAAAAAAAGGGTATTATGCACCATGAATACAGGTAGTCCATGATAAAGTATCAGATTTTTACCTCGTGAGGCCCTTCCACACAGACTATGTAGCTTTCGCGAACAACAAACCATTTGGGTCGATGCGACGAACCAAGATGTGTGGCAACGACGCGGCAAAGACATCCTTCGGCTATCGTATCGGCGAATTGACGCGAGTGTTTGGGAGCGTGATCGGAGCGAGTCACAATGGTTAGATATCCTTCTTTGCCATGGTACCCATCCGGATTGGTGGCGGCCAACTGAATGCCAATGGTTGAAATTTCCAGGAATTTGCATAATCGATTAATGTATCCCGTAGGCACGACTTTCTGAATAAGGAGTTGAAGATACTCTTGCAAGACTGGTAAATATTCGGTATTGGGTTCGACAAGGATATTCGAGTTGGAAGCTGGCTTGTCCAGCTGAGGAAGATGAATGTCGCTGTCGAGAACCGAGTCCATATGAGACGGTGGACGATCGTCCAAGGACTGATCATCGCCTTGGCCAACCTTTTTCTGCCCAGCATGACGAATGGGTAAATTAGGAAAATGGGGTATTCGGGTTCGCACAATATCATGGCTGCGGTAACGATAATGAAGCTTGACGAAATCCCAGTACCGTCGATGCACCACCCATTTTAGGTTAGGACCGTAAGCAACCGTAATTTTGTAAGTGGTGGGACGTCGTCGTTTTCGAATGGCTGTCATGCCGCGCCGGATTTTCGGTCGTTGCACCGGCGGAGTTCCGTCATGCGGGTCATCGTAGGATACACTGACGGCAATTTGCGACAACAGAACGGGAACACGGGGATTATCATGTTCGTCTCGTTGCAACGAAAGAGCCAAGATCATGGCCGGCAGTAAATTGGCTTGCGCTTGAGCAATAAGAGTGTCCGATTTCGGAAGACCTCCACGATGAGGATCTCGTGGTTGACCACCTCGATCGCGCAATGCCAGCTTCTTGATTTTTTGCCATCCTTCGTAAGGAGCGGTTTCAAGACGGTTGATGACGCGAACCGCCGGTCGAGTGGTCCGTTCCCGAAACGAGGGTTGTGGCGCAGAGAGTTTGGTGGTGGCGGCCGATTGTTGACGTTCACGGAGGGTGGTCGGGAGATTGTCGGTATCACGCAGATCAAAGTTGGATTGGGACGATTGACCCAGTTCAGGTTTGTTGGGATTGATGTTTTTCCACCACTTCAAAAGAAGTGAACTGTTGGAACTGCTTTCTCTCTGTTGCATGGTGGGGCGAGGCATCCTATCCATTGTTCCGTCCGGTGCCTTTTCGTCCTTTACATTCTGATCATGATCAGTAGATATCACTTTCGTATCAGTCGTCAACGTCATGAATAATGATGATCTATTCGGGATCAGATCCGCATACAATACAATTCAAAGAAAAAACGATGGAAGAAATAAAACTACGAAAGAAGTTAAAAAAGAGAGAAGGAAGAAATAACAAATAAGGAGAAGATGGTGCAAACAAAAAGAAAAAAAAAACTAGAACAAAGAAGAGCGTTTAGAGAAAATTATCAACTCCCCTCTAATCATAATCGCACATATTCCCACATTAACACAGGCTGGTTCACCATGAGACTGATCCACCCCGGAAAAGAGAAACACGGAGCATTGCCCAAAGTCACTCTTTTTTTTTGTTGTAGTGCCTTATTTTACTGCCGCCAATCCATCAGAGGGTGGATTTTCGAGTGGATACCAACGAAGTAACATCACATCATCAATGCACCCTGAATGGTTAAATGTTTTTTGTTTTTGATATGATGCCTCTAGGCATGTGAACCTTTAATAAAATGAACGCTTGAAAGGTCCCAAAAAATCTCTCAACAATGACGTTATGTTCGTTGTGTCACAAAAGTTCTTACTCAGACGGGACAGCCAAAACAATGGGTTTTTGAAAGGGTTAAAAATAAACGGAAAAAAAGAAACAAACAGAAGCATTCATTCCTAGTTTTAAGATCGTCGTACCGTTCAATCGTGGCTGTCAATTTGTTTCCTTTTTGTATGACTCGAAAAGTAGTTTTGTTGATAGAATCCATGGCGAGGTGAGGTGAACTCTAATTCACATTGTATCCGGGGAGCCCAGCCATTTGAAACCATCGAAAGATCGATGCACTTCAATGACGAGTCATCGATTGACAGTCATGGTAATGCAATCATTCACACGTCTCTTATTGTTTATCTCTGCAACATAAATCATCCGTGAGTATCTCAACATAAGTTAGGCTTACTTTTACTCAATGAATGGCCTTTTTCGTTGGGCTGGCAACCGGATGGTTCATTTGGTTCGGAATTTGGAATATGAGGTTCTTGCGTTGTCCTGGAAATTGGCAGCTTTTGAGCTCTGGCTTTTTTTTCATGCTTGACGCTTATTGGATGAACCCGTTTGGTGCGCCATATTGGTCCAGGGGAGACCATTGAACCCTTTTTCGATTGGGTGCAGGTAGGATAGCAACCTTACTTCCGTAGCCTGGATGACAAGGAGAAGGTAGGATTCTCCGTGTTTCCATGGAAAAAGGTAAGTTTTTAATTTTTTAGGAGAGGCAGACATTGTCTGATTTGATTTTCTGTAGACTGCACAAGACCTCATAAGGAACGGTTTGCTTGTCATGAAGGCAGAGAGAAGAAAAGAAATGCAAGTCCGCTCGATCCCTTTTTTTTTGTTTTTTGGCAAATTTTTTTTTCTGGGTCAGAAAAAATAAAAAGGCTATTTTATAAGCTTTACCGCGTCTCCAAAAGGACCTTTTTTTTTATTATTGCTATCGTGCGTGTGCGTGAGCTACTGTGTGCGTCTTGCGTCTGTGTGTCTGTGTGTCTATTTCCCAGCGCCTTTTGAAAAGAAACCCTCCATACGCATTTCCTCTTTTTTTACCTTCTTCTTTTCTTATTCCATCCGTCGTCATGGATCAAAACGCCGTTTATCAGTTGTTCGTCGCAACGTACCATCCCGATCCGAACGTTCACAAACAAGCCGAACTCAATATCAGAAATGTAAACTGTTTGTCCTATTTCCCTCACAACAAACGAGTTTCTCCACTTTTTGCCAGTCAATATTGATGCGCCCTTTTGATTCTGTAGCTTGAAACTCATAATGGCTTTGTTCCCGTGGTTTTGCAAATCCTCGCTTCTGAAGAACTCGAATTGGGCGCTCGTCAAGCTGGTACTTTGTTTTTCGCTTAATGGTTCATGTTATTTGATATTGTTGTCATCTCACAAGAATTTTGTCTTGCTTCTTGATAGCCGCCATTTACTTCAAAAACCGTATGAATAAGGCTTGGGATCGATCACGCACAGCCACCATACCTATCAATGAAGAAGATCGTACCATGGTTAAACAAACCATTCTTCAAGCTCTCGTCACAGCACCTAATGCCGTAAAGTAAGTCATGACAACGAACGGGGACTATGGAAGATAAGGAGGTTTGATTCGGTAAGAGTCAGAGTTTCAGGGTAGCTGACCGAGACCTTGTAGGGTTCAATTGACTTCGTGTCTCAACACGATCTTGAGCAACGATTTTCCCGACCAATGGCCCAACTTTGTAAAGGAATTGGAGACGTTTTTGACTTCCTCGGATGTTCGTCTTGTCTATGTCGGTTTGTTGGCTTTGCGTGAAGTGGTCAAAGTGTACCAGTAAGTTGACGGATGGAAATCGCAGGATACGTTGATCAAGTTACTGAGATTGGAGTTGTTGTTTTTTTTGGTGTTTTTTTTATCACAGATGGAAATCCATGGAACGACGAGAACCTTTGCAGCACATCATTCAGTTGACATTCCCTGCCATTCAATCGATCTGCAATAATCTCGTGACCTCGGACAGTTTGGAAGCGGCCGAGATGCTCAAATTGGCTCTTAAAATTTATCACTCGGGTATCCAGGTAAGATCGCCGTTGGTTGTGCGCGGCTCAATGGTATGTGAAGGATGGTGAGGCTGATTTTTTTGGTGATGATCGTGACAGGTGGAACTTCCCAAATGTCTTCAAGATCCTTCGTCTTTGGTGCCCTGGGGCACTTTGTTCTTGCAATTAGTAGATAAGCGGATCCCCATGGAAGCGCTTCCTGCAGATCCCGAGGAACGCGAGAAATACCCATGGTGGAAGACCAAGAAGTGGGCTTATCACTGTCTGAACCGTTTGTTTACCAAATACGGTAATCCTGCCTTGCTCCCTCCCAGTGCGTCCAAATACACAGCTTTCGCCAAAGGTTTTGTTGCCAACTTTGCACCCAATATCTTGCAAACGTATTTGAAACAAGTGGAAGGCTGGATCAAGAAGGAATTGTGGATTTCAAGCAAATGTCTGGCTTTGACAGCCGCCTTTTTTGATGACAGGTAAAAATCGGGATTCATCCGTTTGTTCCCATTTTTCATGTGACTGACAAAATGGTCTTTTTCTTCTTCTTTTTTTCTTTCTTCCAGTATCAAGCACAAGACGACGTGGGCCATTCTCAAGCCTCACACCGAAACCTTGGTGGCACACTTTATCTTTCCTCAATTATGTTTCTCGGCCGAAGATGAGGAACTGTGGACAGAGGATCCCGTGGAATATGTGCATAAAAAGGTGGACCCCTTGGAAGACTTCCATTCGCCTCAGACGAACGCAACCAACTTTTTGATCGATCTTGCACGTGATCGCAAGAAGCATACTTTTATGGGCATTCTTGGATTTATCAACAGTGTACTCAACAAGTACTTGGAAACCCCCGAAGAGCAAAAGGACGGTCGTGAGAAGGATGGTGCTTTGTGCATGATTGCTTGTCTTTCGCATCAAGTCTTGAAGAAGAAATCTCCCGTCGCCAACATGATGGAACCATTCTTTGTCACCCACGTATTCCCCGAATTCAAGAGTCGCTTCCCCTTCCTTCGGGCCAGAGCTTGTGATATGGCCAAACACTTTAGTGATTTGGACTTTGCCAATGAACAGGTAAGCCCTCAGGTAACAGGTATAGGAGGATATATCGTTTTTCCAACCAGAATATCTGTTTTTTGCAGAATCTCGCCATTTTGTATCAAAACGTGCTGGATTCACTTCGTGATACGGAACTTCCCGTCAAAGTGCAGGCGGCTTTGGCTTTGCAACCCATGATCCGTCACGAAAGCGTTCGCAATGCAATGGTGCCTAACCTTCCTTTCATCATGCAAGAATTACTCAACTTGACCAACGAAATCGACATTGATACCTTGGCTTCGGTGATGGAAGAGTTTGTGGAAGTGTTTGCCGAGCAGTTGACACCGTTTGCGGTTCAGCTGTGTACGCAATTGCGCGATACGTTTTTGCGTATTATGGAAGATTTGGCGCAAAGCAACCAAGCCGAGGATGATGAAGAGTTCACAGGTGACATCGACGAACTGAGTGATAAGACGATGGCGGCCATGGGCGTTCTCAAGACCATTGGCACGTTGATCTTGAGCTTGGAAAGTACTCCGGAAATTCTGCAACAATTGGAAAACGCGCTTTTGCCCGTGATCACGTACACTCTGGAGAACTCGATCCTTGACATTTACGATGAAATCTTCGAAATCATTGATTCTTGCACGTTCTCGGCCAAGCGAGTCACGCCCACGATGTGGAGTGTGTTCGAACTGATCTACAAGGCATTCAAATCAGAAGGCATTGATTACATGGATGAAATGTTGCCTCCTCTGGATAACTACATTTCCTACGGCAAGGATGTGTTTATCAGCAACGAAGGTGTTCAGCACATGATGTTTGACATTATCGACACCGTCATGAAGAGTGATCGTTTGGGTGAAAATGACCGTGTCTGTGCTTGCAAACTAATGGAATCCGTGTTGCTGAACTGCCGAGGTCATGTGGATAGGGTAAGTGATGCGATGGTGGATTCTAGGCATGCTTATGTCAGTGATTGATGACATGGATGTTTATTTAGTTGGTGGCGCCTTTCCTCAACTTAGCTTTCCAATACATCTTCACCAACGAGATGAAGACGGTGGAGTTCAAGGTGCACTGTTTGGAAGTGGTCATTAACTGCGTCTACTATAACCCTGCGCTGACCCTTCGCCTGTTGGAAGAAAACCAATGGACCCAAGGCTTCTTCACCATGTGGTTCAACACATTAGACAAATTCTCAAGGTCAGTGAGCAAAGCTAGAAAAATTGAAACTGTTACGATGGAGACTAATTTGGGTGTTACTTTTTTTAGAGTCCACGATAAGAAGTTAGTGATTGTTGCCCTCTGTGCTCTGTTGGAATTGCCTGGTGATCAAGTCCCTGCGTCTTTGCAAGCTGGTTGGTCCCAGATCTTGGCAGGCATCTTGAATGTATTCAAGAGCTTGCCCAAGGCCATGGAGAGTAAGTCTTTTTTTTTTGTTGGCGATTCATCATTTACTTAAGTATGATACTCTATCTAGATCGCGCAAGCATGGAAAAACTGTATGGTGATTTCGATCATGATGATTTCGACGGTGAAGATTTTGATGCCGACGAAGACGAATTGGAAGAAGGAGCAGGTGAGCTTTTTTTATATCTTACAACGAAGATCGACTTTTTCTTCGGATCGAAAAAATAATAGGAGACTTTCTTACATGATCCAACTTTAGATGATGATGATGTGCCTGATCAGGACAACGAGTATTTGGAATATCTCGCTCAACAGGCCGCTACCCATGCGGATGACGATTTCGATGAATACGAAGATGAGATGGAGGAAGAGATCCTGTTCGAATCACCTTTGGATGAGATTGATCCTTACATCAGATTCGAACAAGTATTCCGAACCATGCAACAAAGCAATCCTTCGGCGTACACGCAACTGACCAAGGATCTGGACGCGGACCAACAAAACTATGTCATGTCTGTCTTATCAACGGCTGAACAGCATCGAAATCAACCTGCCGTCTCTACCAGCGCAGCTTAAAAAAGCGACGTACTCCATTTCGATGTTTATTTTTTTTTCTCTTTGTTCCTTGTTCTACATTTGTACGTGTGTGTTTGCTTTAAACGTTTTATAACCTTTCCTTTTTTTTTTTGGTCTTTTGCATTTCAACCTTCCTGTGGCCCATTGAGCCATCTCATGTCTTTTTTTCTCTTTCTTTTCCTTTATTACATAGAGTAGTTTTATCGCATTGAATTTTTCTTCCTTTTTTCTTAGTTTAGTTTCTATTATTCTCGATTCAAATGATGTTAAAAAAATAGTTCTGCCTCTTTAACACTGTAAACGTGATTGCTGTATACTTTTTGGCTTCTTACATTTATGCACAATCAAAGTTTGCGATGCGTTTGCTTGTAAAGAGTACCCACTTTGTTTGAAACTCTCATTAGCTTAATTTTCTTGTATAGAATGCAAGAAGTGTGTTCACTGATGATACAATATTAGGAGGTTCGAATGGCGGTGCCTCTCACTATTTACTTTTTATTCTCTATTGAAACATGGCTTTCTTCAGTCACTGGGATTTTTGAGCCGAAGGTAAGTTTCTCAAGTGCATTGGATGACCTTTCTTTACTGTGCTAATGATACGTAAAAAAATGAGGCATGACCTATCATAACATCTTTTGTGACATTTTGCATGTCAATATATCTTTAACCAGGGTTGTCGGCCTCTCCCCTTTGCTATGGTTCTTTCTCTGTTGTCTGTATATATTTCACCGGTTCAAGGTTCCTTTCTGTTGAGTGCTCTAGCATAGTTTATTGTAGTTGTAGTCTAGTTTGCTTGACTGCCTTTGAACTCTGCTGCACTGGTCCTTCTTATACAATGCGGGGGTTGAAATTGAAAGATGGGGTCTCCTTTTTTGCGTCCACCAATGTGTCATGGTATATAAACATGTCGAATGGTGTCCGCACAGAACAACGATAAACATGAGCGATGAATATTTCTTCTTCTTTTTCCTATTTTTCTTCATCACCACTCTCCTCATCATCATTACCCTCAATAGAGAGTCTAACTGAATTGGCTTCAGCGACATCGACGCTTCCGTACTTTCCTTTCCCACCTATCGTAACCGAGACGAACCCTAGCGGTCCGCTCGACACCAACTATCGTTACGGAGGACCAGCCCCAGTGTATCCACGTAAGTACGCAATTTGGGTTCCTCTGTAAATGCATTCTAAAAAATCCAGGTCATGGACAGCTTCGGTGCCTGGTTCCACGGCCAAGCCGATCCAACCGCTGAGCAGTCCCGGCTTCAACTATTTTTCCAATCATGGTTGCCATCCCACTTATTCCTGGTCAACTATTTCTTTGTTACTGTGGATACTTGTCAGTCATCAACTTTCCAGATCTGTACAACTATTACTATAAACTTAGAGCGCAAGCTGCACTGATTACAACAAGACAAAAAAAAAATTCCGCTTTTGTGGGTCAACGAAAATAAAGGGTTATGAATGATCAGCAGCAAAAAAGATCGAGGTGTGAACCAATAGATTCAAGAAAAAAAACAAGCGACTTTAATGTTGATAATGCTGCATAGCTCGGTTTACTTATTCGATGCACTGCAACTTTGAAGGTTATGACGTGCATGAGAGTAAAAAGATGAAAGAATTTCTAGTCCAAATTGATACACGAGGAAATCACCGTGAAGAAAAAAAAAAGCACCACTGATATGATGGATATTGTCTTTACATGCCTTTGATGAGCATCCAATAGATTAGTTAATGATGTCAACTTTTGAAAGATGATTAAACAACGATTTATTTGATATGTACGTCGAAATGCAGTAGAGCCGAACAATGAAAAGCGTAGAACGTTGTTTTTCTGCTTGTTTTCATGGCTGAAGTTGAAAATCTCCTTTTTTTCTTTTTGTGTGTGTGTGTGTCTGTGCTGTTATTGCATATTTTCAGCTCTTTTTGAATTTGTGTGAACGTCGTTCTGTTTCAACTCACTTTCGCAGAGAATCCAAGCTCCATGCCTTCAGTTGATCATAACGCGATGGAAGAGTCTTGGGTCTTTGACTTTGAGGCACCCGGTCAGGGTTTCCTCAATTTACCGAACAGTGTGATGGAACGCATCTGTCGATCGTTGCCAAGTCAACAGGACAGATTTACCATGTGCCTTGTGCACTCTACATGGGTCACGGCAGCCACGTCCATTCTCTGGGAAGCACCCATCTTCCGTAACCCGCAGTCGTTCAATCTGTTTATGAACATCATTCGAACTCACCGACGATCCGCCCTTTTAGTGCGTCACTTGCGCTTATGTGTCCACGATGCTCAATATGACACCATCTTCCAACCCATCGTACACTCCACCCTCCCACGCCATAATATGAAAGCAAGTATTCTTGCGAATCCGCAAGTCATTCTCATTCTTTCGAGGCAATGTGAAAAGCTTCAAAGTTTGACCATTTACGGTTGGCGAATCGAGCCTGTGCACTTGGAACAACTGAGCAGCATTCTCTATGATCTTCGAGGACTACATATCATCGGAAGTAACTTTTCTCGTACCAATCCATTCACCATGAATCGCATTCTTCCGTCGTTAAAGTCCCTTTGCCTCGATGGCAATTTTCAGCTTTCCCGAAATTTCATGTCCATTCTCACTCACCGAGCGCAGTCATTGACGCATCTCCAGTTATCCTTGGAAGGCATGGACGCCGATGCTTTAGCCTGCTTATGCGACGGCAATCTGTACTTGCACGAACTCACCCTCACTCACGCTGTTCATATTCGCGATTTACACATCTCCAGACTCCTGCAAACGTTTCCCAAACTTACGACTTTCCGCCTTGAAGGTGCAGCCAAAATCACCCCGCGCACCTTCTCCCTTGCCTTGGCCATGTGCCCAAATTTGAAGGACTTGGAAATCCGGTCTTCCCCGACCGCACTGGAGCAACCAATCGACGATTCTTTTGACGTATGGAATGGCGATCATGTGCCTCCTCCATTGCAACGATTGGTCCTGGAAAACATGAATGTCAATGACCAGCTTTTTACCGCAATTGGACATTTCTTCTCCTCCTTAAAGACTCTCGGCCTGAAACAATGTCCACGCCTGTCAGACACATCCATGGATACAATCATCAGAGCAGCACTCGGTCTTCGTGAACTCTGTATCATTCAATGCCCATTTATCGGCTCAGGCACCGTCCAATCCCTCGCTCTGTATTCTGCTCATAGTACGCTCACTAGTTTGTACATCGAATCGTCGGCGCAAATCGGTCCCAGAGACGTTCACGATCTCTGTTGTGCCGGAAGTGATCATCGTCTCAAGCTTCTCCGTCTCGTTGGTTACAAAGATCTTGCTACATCGGTGATTGGCAGCTTTGCCGTTGAACGTTTGGATCGTCCGGATGTGCAACACGCGCATTCCAGTGCATCAGCCCAACCGTTTACTATTACCCTGGATGAAACCGTTATTGACGCTGTGGCCAACCTTGATTCCGCCAACGAACCCGATCTGATGGTGATTCCCGAAAATCGATACCTTTCTGGTTTGCACGTCATTGCACTTGCCAAGGAACTTGGCTTATCGCTCAATACGCTCGAACAGCTCCTAGATCGAATTCAGGTAAGTCGAGATTTAAAAATGCATAAAACCAGCACAGAAAAGGTTAAATCGCTTTTTATTTTAGAAGGATACGGCATATCAGGAACAAGTAAAAGAACCACAACACGCTGTCCCTCCGCGTCTCAATCATGTCACCCCACAACCATCTCTGGCTCCTCCTTCACGTAAATAATATAGCATCTACCTTTGATTGCAAAATTCACTCATTCTATATGGCTTTTTTTTTACATATATATACAGATCAACCTGCGGCTATGCCGAAGAAACAGGATCCACGATTGGCAGCGTTGAAAACTCAGTATCAAGCACGACCTACGACGCCAGCTCTGTGGGCTAGAGCGGATGAAAGTCTGGTAGAGAATTACCTTCACGGCATTGGCAATGGTCCCGTTACGGCGACGGTTCCAGCGATGCCATCTCCAGTGACGACCGTCTCTCCGGTCAAATATGCCGCGCCAATCTCCGAAACTTCGTCTCCGGCACCTTACTCTGAAGAAGAAGAAGAGGAGGAGGAGGAGGAAGAAGAGGATCGTGAGGAATACCATGAGGAAGAGCATGAGCATGAAGACGCAGGGGAAGTGGAAGATGAATCTGAAGTTGGTTATGAAGAAACAGGCAAAGAACATGAGTCGGCTGAAGAATGGCCGGCCGTCGGACGTACACCTGCCAAACCCATTGATCTCGGCGGCTGGGGAACGACCCAAAGTGTGCCTTGGTCGAAAAAGGTGTCTCCTACAACGACCAAGCCAGCGGTGAAACCGGCCCAACCTTGGGCGCCGAATAACCTCGAGCAGGCATGGCAACAGATCCCTCTAGAACCCGGCCAGATCCTCCCCAAGAAGCAGAAAGGTACCAAGGTTTTTACAGTTGAAAACAGTAACTGGGGTACGCCGAAAGCATACGTTCCTTGGGACGATCTTCGAACGCAAGGTTTCGCCCATGATGTCTTGGAAAAACAAAAGAACACTGTCTTTTGGAAATTGGAAGACGGTGTGTGGAAGAAACTGTCAGCGAACGAGACGGTGGAAGATGTCATTGCGCGTGGAGGAACGACCAGTTCAGGAAACGATTTTACCCATCACGTTCCCGCCAAGCCCGCCACGTTCCATCGACCCAGACAATCCGAATCACAATCGCAGGCACACAGCAGCAGCTTGAGTTCCGATAATGAGAGCATTGACTGGGATGACGATGACGGGGTCACCATCATTACACACCCGCAACCGCCCCCCCACGTTGGAGGAATACCCGGCGCCAAACCTCGTCACCGATCAAAGCCCGTGCCATCCACAGGTAAAGTATAGACCTTTCTTTCTTCGATGGTTCATGATATGATTTGACCGATGGTCATGTTATGATGTTCATCTTTTTTTTTCTCAGCGTCCTCAGAGGCGTTACGGGGGGTTGTGGAACATCCTGGTCATCCAAAGTGGCTCCCGCCGGATGAGTGGCGAAGGATGCGGGAGACACGCATCGTTGAACACGGTTTAGATGCGTCCCCGGATTTTGGTCTTTCCAGTGAAGGGTGGGAAAGCGATCATGGTAGCCAGGATGACCAGGATGGTCGGGAAAAGGACCATACTGGTACTGCCAAAGGAGCCGAGGCATTGAACTTTTGGTCGGTTGGGTCAACCAATCAAGTTCACAACGGTCAGTTTTAGTTTGCCTATTTATCAACATCATTTGGTATCCCCTTCTTCTCTGTACCATCCCCTTCCTCTTCTGCAAACCCCCCCCCTTCAAAAAAAAATAGATATGTATGAGATTCTGGTACTGATCGTTTGTCTTTTTTTTTATTCTGTAGACTCCAAGAAAGCAGCTCCCAAATCTCAAGCACCATGGCCCAGTGTCACGATTCCTTCTTCCAGTGAGCACGTAGAGACCTCGTCTTCGGCGACAGCAGTGAACTCTTGGCACGATTTCACAGCGAAACTTGCCAAAGATAACGCGGCGACCAGCCCGATGCCAACCGTGTCTCGTTCGACGCAGTCTACCGTTACCACTAGAGTGGAAGAAACTCGCGTGTCAGTTCCAGAAAAGAAGTCGGTCTCCAAGGCGCACTATGTATGGGATGAGGCTGACGACGAACAAAGTGCTTTAACCACACCCAGTATCTTTGATTCTTCTCCTCCTCATCAACCACCACCATCAGAAAAGAAATCCGATTTGCTCATCGATACAAGCGACGTCGTCAGTCCACAGTTTTTCTCTAATCCCCCTGCGGAAAAGAAAATGCCGTCCATATACGATAATTTGTGGCAATCGATTTCCAGTCTCACACCGGCAGAAACGGAGTCACCCGTCATATCGGCTGCTGTCCTGGAATATACCGACGCGGTGGATGAACAGCAGAAAGAACTGGTGCAAGAGCAAGCATCCAAACTAGCTGTGGGAGACGTTGATAGACCAGAGGAAACCCCTAAAGAATCTTCTATTCCATTGGCCAAAAACGACCATGATGATATGAAGGAATTGAAGGAACTAAAGGAAGAACCACAAGAGGAAAAATCATCATCCATCGATTCTCCCGTTGACTCTGCAACCGCTCCTTCCGCTGCAACACCTTCTGCTACTACATCTTCCGTGGCGACCCCCATTGCCAGTACGCCTGTACCTACCGACGCCGATACAGACGTATCAAAATCGAATGATCCAGGTAAAAAGCTGGTTCAGGTACACATTGAAACATGTAAATACGGTCATCAACCTCTTCGTTTATACGAGGTAAGTTTCATATTTTGGCCAACTTTTTTGCATATTGAGAACTGAATTATTGATATTTCTTGGATATAGAACCGTGATCCTCGCGAGGACGTACAAGCCTATTGCGAACAATACGAGATGCTTGAGCATTACGATCGAATTTTAGAAGCTGCGCTGGAAATATACACACAAAAGAAGACCAAGCGAATCCTTGGCAAGAAGAAGAAGAAGCGAGCCGCTTCCAATGTTTCCACTCCCACTTTAGATGATAAAAATAACTTGCTTTAGATCTGAGGGAAAAAAGGGAAAAGCATAAACCAAAATCATTCATGTATATTATAAAAATTTCATACTTCACCTTCCATTTCAGAAAGTAAAATAAAATCGAAAACACAACACAGCCCAAATACACATAGTACAGTCAATCTGACCTCTTTAAAGAATAAGATCCATGGTAAGTCAGCGATGTTTCGAATAAGCCACGCACCGATTTGGTCTTTTCGTCGTCCGATGGGTGATGTCATTGAGGAGTTGGTACTCCGAATATAGACAACAAACCTAACAGCGGCAAAAATCTCCCTTATTCGTCATTTTTCTTTCTCTTGTGCATTTTAACCCTCAACATGCGAACGACTCTTTTTGTTGCCGGCTTTGGTTCAAGAATTCGAGCAAGAGATCTCGCTTATGAATTTGAAAGGTACTTGCAGAAACGATAATAGACGGAACGTCGGTCGAATACGAGCGTGCTGGAAGTGGTAAATAGAAAAATGAATGACGCGGCTTTTTTTTCTCCACGTTGTCCCTTTCTCTCTTTATTCTTTTTCCCTTTCATCGGTGGGTCCATGGGGTCATCCTATTCGGATAAACCTTGTGAAAGAAAAAGTGGGACGAAAGGAGGAGAAAAAAAAAAGAAGTGAGAAGAGCTGTAAAAAAAACTCATTTTCACATCGAGAGAATGGTCTGCACGTGTCGATCGACGACGAAACGGATTCCTGATCACAACGACTAACGAACCTACTCTCTTCCTCTCCTCTACTTTGACTTCTTTTTGCGCGTTATCCTACGGTATTGCTTTTTGTCATATTTTCCCGTCAACCTTGAACCCTTTCAAAAGATATGGTCGTCTAGTCCGTTGCGACATTCCGGCTCCCAAAACCTATTCATCCAAACCGTAAGTACTCGCTTCGTTGGACCCATTCTCCATCTTCCACCGTCAATTAGCTCACCTGTTATATTTCGGTGGATTCAATAGTTATGCTTTTGTTGAATTCGAAGACCCTCGTGACGCCGATGATGCCTTTAACGAGATGCACGGTCGACGAATTGATGGTTATACCATCAGTGTTCAGGTACTAAAAGAGGCTTGCTTCTTAAGAAGAACATGTGTACTAACAACAAAAAAAAATCACACAGTGGGCTAGAAACGCACCCAGTGCTTCATGGCGTTACGATCGTTCTCCTCGCCGCAGACGTTCCCCCAGCCCTCGTCGACCTATGCCACGACGTGCTTCGTTCGGACGTAGTCGCAGCCGATCTCGCAGCCCTTATCGTGGCGGACTTGATCGTCGTTCGCCTTCTCCTCGTGGTCGATCGCCTCCTCCACCCGGTTATGAACCTCGTCGTCCCGATTCTCGTTCGCGCCCTTTGAGAGGACCTGAAGAAGCCGGAGGTTATCCTCTTCCTCCTCGTTCGAGATCTCGTTCGCCTCTTCCTGAACCTCCTCGTCGCGAATCTCGATCGCCGTCGCCGAGAAATAACCGCACTCCATCTCGTAGCCCCGAGCACTAGATTTGTCTTTTTTTTACATCGCCGGATTTCTAATTGTTTATCTTCTGCATATTATCCTTTTTCCGAAACAAAAAACTCTTTTCAACCCGATCTTCGACGTTCCTTTTCAGAAATAAAAAGCAGAATCCCAAAACGAGACAAAAAAAAACATTATCCACGCACCGCTCCGTCACTTTTACGCGATAGTTCTTGACATTCGACCTCTCGTCTTGTGCAAATCACCTGCCTCCCTCCTTCCCTCACTCCCTGTAATGAGATAAAGAAATACCATACGGATCTCTCTGTTGCGAATAAAACCCTGCATCCACTTAATCCATTCATTTCCCATAAAGTGTTAGGCTCTCTCTCTCTCTCTCTCTCTCTATCCGCTTCTACACAATGCAAATCATTTTCACGTGACTCAGATGATGAATAAATCAAGTTATTTGTTGTTCTTCTTCTTTCCAGGCACAGTCGCTTTACATCCGACGGCCAGATCCACAAAAATTCAGAAAATATAAAAATTTCGAATCGTATGCGTAAGAGGCAATCATGGTTGTTATTTTGTTTAAATCATGGTGATTATGGCCTTAACGTTGGAAACGGAGTGTCTATGATACAAAAAGAGGAGCGTAACTAGCAAAATGATGAGTTGAAGAAAAAAAAGTTAAGCGATTACAAGTGTTTGCTCAATCGTGCCAGATGGTAATTGATGGTATTCTGGCTCTTTGTTTTCTTGACCTGGATAAAGCAAGTACAAAGCAATGGATGAGTACACCAAAGTAAGTTGCTTGTTATTTTTGGGTGCAATCAAACTTACTGGTTTGGCTAAGCAGTCCGTCAGTGATTTGGCGGTGGTCATGCATCGTTTGTCGTCGATACCGGAAACTGCCCAACATTCGAACAAAGCCCCCATTTCCACAAGGCAGGGGCTAGCTTCCATGATCTTTTTCGGTCGAACCTTGAGTTGCTTCAACTTCATATCGGCGGCAAGTAAACAGAAAAAAGCGCTTTCTTCAAGACGGCCCACCCCCAACTACACTCTCTTCTTCTTTCACCAACCCCCGGCATGACTGTTGAACCGGGGTGTGGCTTAGGCTCCGTAGCCCCTCCCCTTTTTCAAATTCAGCCATCCTTTCGGCTTCGGGAAGCCCTGATGAGGATATCAGGACACCCATCATAACCCTCATTAAAAAAAATCACCCAACGTGTGTGACTCTTGTATGGATGTTTTGATGAAATCTCAGGCCTTGAATACCACCAAAGACTAATCTTGAGATAAAGTTCTCTCAAGTGCGCACCTCATGTCGCTGCCGCAGACGCCGTTGCCTTGTCAATACTGCATACAGCGTATCTATTTTATTTGTGGCAATGCAGGTTATCAGTTCCCCTTTGCAATGTTGCGTTGAAGAGTGGCGATCAGAATATCCTCTTCTTTTCCACAGAACTGCTCATTAGTACTCTTGCACTTTCCCTTTTCATAGTTTATGTTTCACGGGGGCAATGAGTCAATCGAAAAGCAGGTAAAAAACAGTTTGCCCTCTACCGATCGGCGAGATTATAAGACGCGAACAAAAAGTGAGAATCTATTGAATTCGTAAAACGTTAAAGACAGCATTGCGAATGACCGTTTTGAGTTTTGTCTAGAAGGGTTTCGGCATTTTTCTGGGCCAAGACCGGTTCCTGGGGCTCATTTACGCTGGAACCATGGAGATAAAAATAGCAGCAACGGGTTGCACAACGTTTTATGGAATTTGTTTCTTTTGATGATGGGATCGGTTCACTTTTTTTTTTCTGTTTCCTCGTCTGGTCAAACAAGAAACAGCTAACCATTTTTTCATTATCAGCACCACGCGGACTAGAAAAAAAAAATTGGCCATCTGTAGATCACTCCGACTTATCTTATGCAACAACAACCTGATTGTTTTTCCATGTTCACCATCGCTTTCGTCGAGGATCGACTTCACATCACATCAGATCACATCAATGGGTATCATTGTATGCTTGAAAACCACACGGAAAATAGGCTGCATGGCTTCATGTGATGCCTGGCCTCGCGATGCTATTAATGAGAAATCTGTGCAGTTTCTGTTCTTCTATAAACCTGTTGAAAGATGACTGTAAAATCGCAGGATATCTATTATTGTAAGTAAAAAATACTCAGCAACCATTGTATTTAGCTCTATAGTCCTCTTTGAATGCAATGCTTTTCACCCTGTGGATGATTCACTGTCCAAACAAAATCCCCTGCTAAAGAGAGAGCTAACAAACAAATCTGATAACAAACTTTATTCAATGAGCGCACTAACTTGACTTGCGTAATCAAATGGTTTTATATAAAGTGCCTTCTCTACGATGCTGTATAGCGCAAAATAAGATCATCGACCTCAAGGTTTGATGGACACAATCCGGTTGACGAAAAAGTTTCTTTTTTCCACCAAACTTTCAATGGTGCCTGTCCCAAATTAGGATTTAGATCGGTGGCGGGGATTTAAGCTATTATTATTGTCTTGGTGACCCGCGTTCTCCGATGTCTTTTTCCTTCTTTGCAACGCACATCACCGGACAGTGTATTTCTCCATGGTGATCAGAGTTAATCGGGTTACATCATCAATAATGGGCCTTATAAAAAGAAGGCACTGATAAATAAAAGAGGAGAAGGAAGAAGAAGGCTGGTTGTTTTGCACTTGTGTCAAAATAGCATATTCGAAGATGGGATAATTAACGCGGTACACCCGCTTTCTCATGTCTTGTGTCACATTAACCTCCTCTTCCCCTTTGGTCATTTTTTCAGCCCCCTCTTCTTTTTTTTATTTTATTTTTATTTTCTGTTTCCTCTTTCGCCTTCTTTTCCTTACTTTTATTCTTTCTTTCCTCGGGTCTTGTTAGCCTTCCACCTTCCCTTCGTCATGAAATTCTCCCTTGCTGCCACCTCTGCCCTCTTATTGACTGCTTTCGCCACGCTCGCCAAAGCAGACGAATACGCCGATGCCATGAAAGAGTGGTGTGATGGTTTGTTGTCAAACTTCTTGTTGACTTTTTTTACTTTGGTTTTCTTACGCCAAATACTTTTCCAATGACACTAGGTTTGACTGTCACCAAGCCCGATGATCAAGCCATGATTGCTGCTGGGGCTGAAACCGATGTCACCGTCAGTAAGTAGCTGCTGCCTTCGCAACTAATGAAATGAAACGTTTGAACTCCAGCCGTCTTACTCATTATTACTTCACGATAGCCCGAGTCCCTAACGACCATCAAAAGACCATTACCGGCCTTGATGTATGTTTTTCCCCTTACCACACACACCCTGTTGTCCAAACCTAATCATACTGACGTGATGTCATTTTGGATATCTAGTTATACTCTGTAGATCAAAACGGCAAAGCCAAATACATCAAGAACGTGTGGCATGGATCGTACGAACTCAACCAACAGTCTACTATCAAGGACACTATCCCCAGCAATGCCACCGCAGGTCTTTACTACTACCGGTATGTAGGCTGTGAACCAATCAGATGCGCGACGCTAAACCATTTTCTGATTTTTTTTTTTTGGATTATAGTGTCTGGGTTACCAATCAAATTAACGGCATGCACGGTCCTGATTGTCTGGAAACTTCACATACGTTCAGAGTATCGACCGCTTCGCATCAGAATGCTGACGGTTCGATGTACTACGCCGAAGATCCCGACGATGTTACCTTTTATCATCCCGAACATTTCAAGGGCTGTTTCGGCCTTTCTGTTGAATATCCTCAAGAAGGCGCTACCGTGAAGACAGGCGAGCACGTCCGTATCAGTGTCAACCGTGACTCCGCATCACAAACCGAGTCATTGCTCAAGGTCGATCTGTACAAATCTACTGAAGCCAACAAGGCTGAATACATTGACACTGTCTGGGAAGGAAAGGAACGTTTCGTTGACGCCTTCACTCTCAAAGATCATCTTTCCATTCCCGATGGCCAGTATGATGCTGATGCTACCTACTATTACACGTATGTTTTTCAGAACCTTATCCTCTGAAATTGGTTCGTTATCGATGTGTCTAATATTTTTGTTTTTTTTTTCTTTTATTACAGTCTTGAGGTTACATCAAACAAGGTCCAGGATGAAACTTGTACCTTCCATTCCCAAGGTTTCAAGGTCCAGAAGAACTAAATCCAGTTGCTCTGTTATCTTTGTTCCTTCCCTTTTAACCTCATGATCAGTAGCAAAAACAAACCCAAAAAATACCACAACTTTTGACCAGTGTTTTTCTTTCCTCCTTTTCTCTTCTATTTTTTTTTTCCTTTTTGTCGTATTTTCTCCTGAATTCTTCTCTTGTATTTCGTATCATTAAATGATGTATGCACCCACAAAAAAGAAAGCCACTTTAGAATCCACGTCGCCCAAAAAGCAATGCAACGATTCTAACCCTACAGTCACCCGAAAAGAAAAAATTGCCATGCTGGCTTACTTTTTTTTCCTGGAATTAGCCTTGGCCTCTTTTTGATTGAATAAAAGTCTTCAAAATTATTGAGCTGTGAACCTCTTGTTGCCGGTCTTTCTTAACGCCGGCCAGTAATACTGTTGGAGTAATTCAATGTATGTGCCGGTTGGCATTATGGGTCCCGTTGCTATAGTGTAAGAGAGCTTTTGGCAATTGCAAACTTTGCAACGTTTCACCTTTGCCTTGCAAGCGTAACTGTTCCAAAATTTCAGACGGCACCGAGAAAGAGCTAAAAAGAACTATTGCTGTATCGCACTTTCTTTAAAAACAGGAATCGATTCAGTCGACAAGATCACCTTAATATCATCAAACCAAGGAGGGTGCAACTCGATGCGATTCCAATTGGTATAATGTGTTATCCACCTCGAAACGATGTGTATCCAAATAGAGAACCGCGTTCAATAATAGGGATATACAATATTCTTTGTATGCTTCTATCTAAGTATTTTATCCGGTATTTTTCACGGGGTCCGTCCCTCTTGGCTGCCTGGCAGAGACCTCTTATTCCAGCTTATGTTTCCCTGGTTTGAAATCATCCATATTTACGAAAAGAGAAGTAAAGATCGCCTCTTCCCTTTCTCGCCCAGTGGGGGACTCACAACCATCCTGATATCATAGTTGCTCCGTGATTTCAGTCCCAGTAGTCCTCTATGTTCCCTTCACCGTTTTCGGCGTTGTAGTTCAATATCATGTCTTGTCTGTACCGCTCCTTTCGGACGTACGAGCAAATAAAAAACTGAGGGCAAGTCCTCCCTACAAAGAAAAATAGATGTATATCCTCAAGTTTAGAGAAATTTTATCTCTCCTGAAATCTAAATCTATGTCTTTGTCTTTATTCTCGATTCCCCGGTTCTCGATTCTCGATTCTCAATATCAAGACTTATCATATAACAGTTCAAGTTGAAAGCTTCTAGTGACACGGTGCTGTTCCGTGCACCATTCACATTGTAGTGGGCAGATCATGCCAAGATGGAAAATATAAATGGCGACTAAATCTACTCATTTCCGGATACGACTATTAGTGTTACAGAGCAATTATCTCTTAACAAGGGCTCCAACTTGCTACGATCTAGAATATTTCCATGCATATTCTGAAGCAATGAAAGCTACAGCTGCAAGCAATGATATTCGCCAGTCGTACTTGCCAGCTGTGCGCTCATGCAATGGCTATTCTCGGCGTTAAAAAAAAGGTTGCTTGGCAGATCTATCTTCTCCTTTTCCTTTATTCCAAGTGGAATTACAGTTCCTTGGATCCATCTTACCCACAAGGCAAGTCTTTTGACCTTATTACAGAGTCAAGGGCCAGAGAATCAAGGCGTCGCCCGAGATTCCGGAATTCCGAAATTCCAAACACCACATTGCAAAAAATTAACGTCATTGCAGCTGCATCCTGCGATAAAAAATTAACATTTTGAAATTTTACCACCATTGTTTCAAACTTGCACTATTTATCCAGCGTTTAACATGTTCATGCTCAAGACCTTTAGACCTCTGTATTTATCGACACGTCATGTCTCTTCGACTGGCTTGCCATTGCTTGCACGCGCTCTCGCCACCCAAGCGTCATCGGACAAATATGCAGAAATTCTGGCCGCCAAACACGACGAACTCAAAGACATGGATAGGTAACTTGCGAAAGTGTGCATGCCTTGCAATTGGAATGGCTCATTCCGCGTGCAGAAAGGAAGTAGAAATCGATGGCCAGAGTATCATGCTCTCGCGACTGAACGGTCGCTATTATGCCACATCCAATTTCTGTACGCATTATGGTAAAATATCTTTTACTCCTATGGTTTGGCTCCTCTATGTCTTTTTTTTTTCTTCTATTGCCTATTTCTTACACCTTGTTACAGGAGGAAAATTGTCAGAATCACCGCTAGCTTCTGATGGCCGTGTGACATGGTAAGCGTCATCGCCACAAGTTTGCGATGCACCGGCTTTTAAGCGACCTAACATGGCTATATTTGCAGTAAACTTCACGGCGCGTGCTTCAACGTAAAAACCGGTCGAGTCGGTGAGTTTGAGTTGGATTCATTCATGATGTATGCATTCATTCATGGTTGAACAATTTAGAGGATGCACCGGCGTTGGATAATCTTAATACGTATGAAGTGTGTGTCAAGGATGACGGTATTTATGTGAAAGCGGATCGCAAAGCACTCAAAGAAGCTCGCCATCTTCCGCCTTATGCCAAACGCGACAGTGAAAGTAAAGAGACCGTTGTTATTATTGGCGGTGGAGCAAGTGGAGCCTCCGCTGCACAGAAACTTCGCGAGGTTCGTGGAACCAAAAAAAAAAAAAAAAAAAGCAAGCCAAATGCCCGCATCTGACCCCCCCCCCTTTTTTTTTTGGTTCAGGAAAATTTCCGAGGACGCATTCGCATCGTATCGCGCGAAAACTATCTTCCCATTGACAGGTATTTCCCTCCTAACGGGTTTTTATTGCGAGTTACTCTGCTCACCCTCTTCATTACTTTTATTCAAGAATCAAAATCACGAAGCAGCTCGGTATCAACGACGTTAACGCTATCACCTTACGATCGCAAGAATTTTGGGATAGTTTGGATATCGAGTTCCAATTGAACACGGTAAGTTCTGCGACCGTCGACTTACACGCTCGATGGCGCATCAAACCTCCATAGCAAGAGAGCATGGCTTCTTTCAAGAAACATACTGAACTCAACAGGTCTCTGTTAGGATGCTGATTCCGTGGATACACAAAAGAAGCAAGTTTTGCTCAATAACGGCGATAAGTGGTCTTACGACCATTTGATCTTGGCATCCGGTGGATGGGTAAATATCAGCCGCTCGTATTTTCAAGCACTGATTAAGCTAATGCATGCTGTTACAGCCGAAAAAACTGGGTCTGGAGGGAGAAAATCTGGGAAACGTGTTCACCATGCGCACATTGGACGATAATCGGAACCTTGGAAGAAGTAATAAGCTTTACAATTATGTAGCATGAGAGGATAAGTTATGCTGACTGATATCTCTGTCATGAAACTTTAGCCATTCACAGTATCAAAAAGACGGCAGGACGAAAACCTCGCGTCGTCATTATTGGATCTTCTTTCATTGGCATGGAAATTGCAGCGGCTATCAGTGGGGAAGCCCAGGCGACGGTAATTGGCAAAGATGCAGTGCCTTTTACCAAGATTCTCGGGGAGCAAATCGGTCAAGCGCTTCAGAAAAAACATGCTTCCAAAGGCGTTCAGTTTATTATGGAAGCCGATGTGAAATCTTTTCAACCAAAAGGTAAGGATTACCGGTCGATCGTTGCCTATTCTGAACCGCTGATTCAAACTATTTTGTGAAACCACCTAACAAGCGGACGATCCCTCCAACGTGGGCAGTGTCATTGTGGATGGCAAAGGAGAAATTGACGTGGATGCCGTGATTGTGGCCGTCGGCGTGGCACCACAAACGAATTATCTGAGTACAACGGATCTTCCAATGGCCAAAGACAAGAGTCTCATTGTTGACGAGTATTTCAGAGTCAAGGGAACCGACAATGTATATGCAACAGGTAAAAAAAAAAAAAAAAAAAAAAAAAAAGGGAAACATACAACACCACGTTTTCTATGGTAACTGAAAAAGGACACATGGTGCGCTTTTTTTGCAGGGGATATCGCCACTTTCCCTTATCAGCATACAGGCGAGCAAACAAGAATCGAACACTGGGGTTATTCCGAGAATACAGGACGAACCGTAGCAATGAACATTGCCAAACACAATGACAAACATCCATTCACGCATATCCCTTATTTCTGGACAGTAAGTACCGCCGGATCTGCAATATTTGTTGATGAGCATTGCTGATCTCTTGCTTTTTACGCTGCTTTTGACAGGTTCAATTTGGAACGACTTTACGATACGCTGGACATGCAAAAGCATTTGACGAAGTCATCATTAACGGAAATATCGATCAAGTCGACGACTATTCTTTTGTGGGATATTACGCGAGTATGTTGAAATCGCTAAGCATCAATCTTGTTCCATGAACTGATTATTTTTGTGCTTTGCGGATTAGAAAATAATGAGATCTTGGCGGTTTCTTCTTATAACAAGGATCCGGTCGTGAGTTACTGTGCTGAATTGGTAAGCTTTTCCCCAAAAGCACTTTCTCTTTCGCCAAACAAAGATTGACTTCCTTGTCTGATGTTAGCTTCGTATTGGTAAAATGCCCACCGCCGCTGACATTCGCAAGGGTATCGATCCTTTGAAAATCCCTCTTGTCGTTTAAATGATTTGTCAATGTTTTCGCCTCGGGAGACTAGGAGATCTGCCTTGTTTGCCTCACACGTAAAATTCTTCTTATTTATTTTCAATACTCGTAACAGCTGTTGTGATGAACCAAATATACATGTACATATTTTTACCGAGATAAAGTTGCGTCGTGTAATTGTATTGAATCCATCCCCGCATCAAAACACATATTATGCGATGCTGTTTTTTGGTGCTGTGATAAGGACGAACGAACATCGCTCATTTCAACCTTGTTTATGGAATCTTCAAGCGACATTTTCAAATGCATTGCCATTAAAGAATTAGTCATTTCGGTACACGATGCAACCAATCAAGCAGACAATGCGTGCCTTTTTCTCCCTACGCAGAAAATTGGTTCTCCAGCTTTTAGACAAATAAAAAAACACATTCCTGTTGATGTGCATCGTATTCTCTCTCATTCTTTTCGGTCTTTTAGCGACCTATCACTCAATAGTAATGTAAATAAAACCAATCGACACTATAATAGGATCACGAAACAGTTGTTAAAAAAAAATCACTCACTTTAGGCAATACGCTTTAAGCCTCTTGGTTTGCATAAAAAAAAAGCTGAATTTACAGATTTTTTCTTCTCTTCTTCAAAAATCACAAATTGACAAGAGACAATACACTTACATCTCCACTAATAAAGTCCATACCTTACAGCATATTAATGCAGCTCTTGAAATAGGCTATAAAGAAGCAATATCAAATAGTTTTTGGGCGCGCTTAATAGTGGTTTTTCTAAAATTTGCCAGTGATTTTTGCCTTGACTATGTGATGTATTGTCAACCAAAATTTTCAACTTCCGCGCAAATAGTTCAATGGTAGAATTTCAGCCTTCCAAGCTGAAGGTCGGGGTTCGATTCCCCGTTTGCGCAGCGTTTTGCATTTTTTTCTCGCGGTGAAATATTTTTTTTTTTGGATTTGTTTCTGGATTGAGCATATTTTTTTGAGCGGAAGCTGAGAAAAATAAGATGTGGGCAATGCAAATCCGTTTTGAAGAGCCAGCGAGACAGATTTATTGGGAATGTCATGCATGACACTGATTTTTTTTTGTTGGAAGTCTATGCGGTAACTGAAAATTAACAAAAAGGCAGGTAATAAGCTTGCAGATGCAAACAGACTTTTATGTTCCGCGTCAACTAGAGTGAGACGACTGTATGATACAGCGAAGAAAGCACGCATATTGAGGACCATCAAGCTTTTACCGATAATTGTAAAGCTTGCTTTATCGTCCGATGTACAACAAGAACCATTGTCTCTACTCTCGAAAACTTACCCCCCCTTGGTTAAATACTGTATGTTTACTATAAATTTCACGGTAGCTGCAGATTGCGCATGAGTCCATTGTTCGATTGTTGCTGTGTTTTGTCTGTAGCTGGCTTTTCCATTGGCATGTCAGGCACACAAGGGTTGGCGGGAAACGAATCAGGTTGTGCATCGGATGAGGGATGAAACACCGCCCAAATTGCATCAAATGTTTGTGCCACTGTTTGTGCGTCAACAGTAAATAATAAAAGGACGAGTTTGAATGACTCGGTTAGGCTGAAGCATCGCTTATCTAGTAGCTTGCATATCGCTTTGGATAGAGCCTCCTTTTTTTTTGATTTCTAGTCGGGTTCCTTTCACCCAGCAACGGAGGGTTTTGCCATAGAAAGCTCAAGCATGATCTAAAGAGGAATCTGCGATTTCAGGCACGTGAAAAGTCCACGGACGATGGACAATGGTCTGAAGTGGTCTGCTCTTTATACTATGTACTGCTGACATGTTGTGTCTGTATTCCATATTGAAGATCGATCACATTTTGGGATTCCTGTGGCAAAACGACGCGCTTTGGATGCTGCTACGGATGAAAGACCGTGAGTAAAAGACGGAGAAAAAAGTAAAAAGATCGAATGGCTTTGGAATTGTAAGTCAAAAGTTTTTCATCGTATGTCACACCAAGTTGCAACCAAATTGTTTAAATTCGGAGCAAGCAGCATCCCGGATGCACCAAGTAAAAAACGAACCTTTCCTTTCCTTCAAGCTTTTCCTCAGTCCTTTTTCACTATGGCGGAACTACCAGCTTCGGCTTTCGAGCCTACTTCCTTCCAACTCGACCAAAATGTGGCGGAACTCAAGATATCGGAACCCAGAACTTCCATGCCCGATAACGCTTCTACAAGCAGCGATGCCAGTGATCCGGCCATGGAGAAACCACCTCATCAGGAGCTTAGCATGGTCATTAGTGCGCTTCAAAATACGGTAGAAACCAACAAGGCAAAAGTAACCCCGGAACCACAGACTGGCGATGCAGAAGATCTTCATACTGGTCTTGACTTCAAGTCAGATGGCGGAAATGACGCCGAATCCCTAACTTATGTTCCAGCCGAACCTGTTAAAGAGGAAACGGTTCTTAAGCCGCTCGATACAAAGAGTTCCATGTCTTCCGTCCCACAGCAACAGCAACAGCATACCAATAAGGAAGAAGAAGAAGAAAACGAAGATATTGCTCCTCCGACACCGGGACCTGTGCCTGATTCCCACGTGGACTCCGGTCGATCCAGTGATGATTACGGCGATATGGCCACTTACAGTGCCAATTTGATCGAGTTGTCTGGCCTCGATCTGAAAGCGATCCGAGAAAATCCTTTATATCCGCGGGAACAAGAGAGAGCAGGTAAAATAAGGGTGGCGCAAACGGGTTCTATGGTTCGAGCGAAAAACCTTATCCATCTTTTGGTTTTTAGATGAGCCTGTTCTTCGTGCAATTCGCCATCTTTTCAATAACCGCTTTATGAAGGCGAAAAAGTTGTTTGAGCGCTATGCTTCATGGTGAGAAGAACACAGGGAATGGGAATGAACGACAATTGCCATCAGAGGTGCTAAATCAAGAGATTACAGTGATCCTTTGCATGCTTTAGGTCTTGGTTCCATGGCTTTTTTCAAAGCAGTCATGGTAGGTGGTGCAAGACAGCAGAAACAAGTCAGACAAGGAAAGTACCGATGACTGAAATGGAATTTTTATTAGACAATGGATGACAAGGTGTCCAAACATGCGATTAGCGTTCTCACCGCAACTTATGGGCTCGCCAGTGCTCAAATCGATGCGGCTACCAAGAAATCCGTGGGCGATTCCGTTGTTCAGTATTTTGCTTCTTATTATCAGTACATCAAATATTCCCGCGGAAATGCATTACCAGCCAGTCCCAAACCCGCCACAAAGGATGCTATCAGAAAGAATAATATCACCTTTGTACCCAACGGCGTATTACGTGCTCACGTAGCCAAAGCTGAAGCCTGTCTACAAATTGCTATTTTGAATCTCCTGCAAGAATCGGTTTTAGGCTATATCAAATGCGGATTGAACCTGCGACGAGGTAACTGCAATCAGCTGATCTCGCTCTAGTCGTCTTTTTGTCTTGCTAACATGCCATATCTCTCCCCCTACCGCATCCTGCTCTTCCAAAAGCATACACCAGTTACAGTCTGGTATGGCAAGAGTACAAACGCATGGGTCAACTTTACAACGATTACATCGATCGAGATACAGTATCCGGTATTCAGTTTGGGTAAGGGGGAACTTGCTTCAATCCGGCTTTTTTCTTCTGCGTGTGATACATCGGACTCATACGTGTGGATGCTACGGTTAGTATTGGTGCCGTGCATTTAGTGTTGTCGACGCTACCTCAAAAGATCTTGCGTATCGTGTCCGCATTTGGATGGAAAGCCGATAAGCACCTTGGATTTGCTTTATTAAAGTTGTGCTTGGAAGGACGACGTATCCGGTCCCCCATGGCCTCGTTAACGTAAGTCATCACTTTGAATGGATTGGTTCTTTTAAACCATGACATATGACTCACGTCAAGCCACCCATATTAGGTTACTCGCTTATTATACTTTCCTTACCTCTTACTGTCCACAGATACTGGCGGATGAATTTACACAGCCAGCTATTGAAGTAAGTCGAGCAGATATATACAGGAACACCGAGGGAGGCATTTTGGAAACCGATGGGGAATGGGCGACTGATACTCTCTACTTGTACAGACATTACTGGATGCTCAACGTGCGTATCCGAATTCAGCATTTTTCCTTTATTTCGCCGGTCGAACATCACGAGCAGCACGTAATCTCACGCTTTCTAATCAATCGTTTATTTACGCCATTGAAACAAGCAAGAACGAGTGGGCCGAAGTAGAAGTCGCTCATTTGTGTAGCTATGAGATCGGATTCAACTATATGATGCAGCACAACTGGGAAGAAGCGATAAAAATCTTTGAGATGCTGCGAAAGGAGCGATATTGGTCGCCGGCGATTTTCCGATACCTTGAAGGCGCGTGCTTGGATATGATGGGCAAACGAACCGAAGCCATCCTGGCGTATGCTGATATTCCTCAGTTGACGGGATCGAAAGCAGCAGGAACAGTGACTATGGAGCAGTATATTGTGCGCAAAATCAATTCCCTACAAGCTTCCGGATACCAGGATATGGACATGACCTTGTGTGCCTTGGAATACTTGTGCCTGTTCAATGCTTTTTCATTCATGGATGCACCACTCCTCGAGCAGAATCTCAAGAAAGCGGATCATGCCCTTGCTCAGATTTTGGAAGCCGAAAAAATCGAGTATGATATCCGCACGCAGGAGCTCCTGCCGGAAACCCCGCCACCGCAGTATTTTGATCAACGAGGTACCCTGTTACTGATCAAGGCATGCATCCAAAATGCAATGGGCCACTACCGCGACTCGATTATCCACTTGAACTGGATTATCGATCATAAAGATATGATTGTGCATGACAAGTGGATTGTTCCTTTTGCCTTTTGGTAAGTCGCCTAAAATTTGGTATACAATATGGTTGGGCATTTAGGAATTGACCGTTCGTCATGTACGGATCTTTAGGGAAGCCGGTGTCACCTCGTGGGGTTTAGGCAACAAAGTTCGCGCACGCTATTTCTGGGAAACCGCGCTTGGATTCACGAAATATGACTTTGAATACCGATTAGCTGTGGTGAGTATCGTTAATTTCGATCACCTGCACTTGAATAGCAACGATGGCTCATCTAATTGATAACTTATTGTATTTTTGGTGGCTTTTTTAGCGGGTCAACTTGGCTATTACCAAAGCTGAAGAACTTGGTGTCGTGTTGCCTGATAAAGAAAACCAGAAGCAACCTCATTCACCAAAACAGGAAATGATGTCAAGCAAAGCATCGTTACCTGAGGCGGAGACTCGTTTGAGTAGCGATTCCGTCACGTCCCCCACGCCGGGTATGAGTTCAAACACCATGCGAAAGCAGTTCTTGCATACATGAAGAACTTGATGCAATAACCGATAATCTCCCAAAACATGAGCTAGAATGCGATAGCGCAAAAGAGAGAGAAACTAAGATTTCTCCTTTTTTTTCCACACTATGATATCATACCATGTCAGGGTCTAATTGGAAAAGAATGGAAAACTCTTGTACTGTATTTTCTTACCTCTAATAAAGATTGATGTGTTCTTTATTTCATTGCAAGGTCATTTAAATTAGTGGATGTTTCTCCAGAGCGATAATATAATAAAGAAGAGAAGCAAAGCAATGATTGGTTGATGCACAGAAAGAAATTCCTGAACCTGGGGTCGTTGTTGCTTTTCCCTTTTTTTTTTGGTCAAGTCAGTTACTTGAATGTGGGATGGGTGATAGGTGTTACATAGTTTATTCTTTGACTAAGCAAAAGCAGCTAGAGCCATGTCTTGAACTCTTTGCCGAAATCTAAAAGGGCCAAGTTGTACACCATCTTGTACACATCATGGTCAGTGTTTTTTTTTATCAAACATTGGGGTATGTCCAAATCGGGTTTAGAGTAACACGGTGTTAATCAATGGGCGAATATGTGCTACCCTGGCGAAACCTGTCATCGAATATTTGGAAACTCTATCTAAGATCAACAGAAAGCGAAATTCGGGGAAACAGAGAGTTGAAAAAAAAGCTAAACTTCGACAAGCTAGTGCTGTAAACGATACTCATGGGTTGAAGTGGAGAATAAGATTACGCAGTTCTCCGATTTACTGGAACCGTTCCCTTAGTCGAAGCTCCATTTTGAGCTTTTCTGTCAACCGTGTCTTGCGATGGTAAACGGAATCCCTCGTGAAAATTGGAACGAAGACTTCCGATAGGTGCTTTCTCTCGGTAAACATGGGATTGAATCGGTGACGAATTCCTACTGGCAATTTCCGATCATTGTTTTTGAACTGAGTTCCTTTTACCACAAGCTGGTAAGCTGGTAATTGAAGCCATCTCATATACTAATGAGAACTAGATTTCGGAACTACAACTGTATAGGATAAACGTTTAGTCGCTCTAACATTTTTTTTATTGCAACTACAATCATGGCAACTTTTTGAGGAGGCCACAAAGGAAATGGATGATGTGTATTATGCTGTTGTTGTCTTTTTGGTTTTTTTTACATAAAGTATTATTTACAAATCATACTGGCGGAAACAGATACTCGATCAACGAAATATCGGGGAGATGATTGAATGACTGCGATTATTGTTGTACAGGAATACATTCAGGAGCGGGGGCACTGGGGGCGGGATGAACCCAAGAGTTGATATTGACATAGAGGGTATAGATCATGATACCAATACCCCAGATAGTGAGGATCACATCGCCGGTTTTCTTCCAACGATTATTGGCCACTTTATAGTGGAACATACCTAAAGAAACAATAGGTTAGAATGATGAGAAATCATGAGAATACAAATGTTGGCGAGTATATTCTCAACTTACCAGGGAAGATGAAGCAAAGTGGCATACAAGCTACAGAGCCGACCAGCGCGACAAACTTGTTGAGACTATCTGCACCGACACCGAAACTGACGGCGGCACAAACAATGGCAATCATGGAACGAACAAAGTTTTTGCCCCACTTGTACTTGAGGGATGTGCGACCGCTGCGGTTGGGACCATAGATACCACGTTCAATGATGGTCAGAGCAGGATACAACATACATGGACAAGTAAGGATCATGGCTATCGCATACAACAGCTGGACAGTGACCGACAACGGTTGTCTGGGAAGATTGGCCACCACGCTGGCTTGAGTATTTTCACCATAGGCAACGTAACCGATGGTGCCAATGAGAATGAAAATGACCGCGACAATCACCATACCAATGTTTAAGACACGAGGGAATTTTTCGGGTTCCTTCATACCTTCAACGATAGGCACGACTAGAGAATAAAATAAAATAAAAGGAATTCCTGTTAGATAAAAGTATGGTAATAAATAGAGCGATTTAAAAAAACTGTGAGGCTTACCCATGCCGACGCCTTCGAAAGAGAACACGGCGGTACCAATCATGAGAGCAAAATCATTTGGATTAATGTTTTTAATATTGGGGCCAGGACCGTTGTGAGCGATTTGAGCCGAGCAGAAGTACAGGACGCAGATAAGACCGAAAAGAATAAAGACATCGGCAATGATCGCAAACCAAGACAGTCGGACAATCTTACGAGTCCAGGTGACAGGGATAACAATGGCAATGACCATCCAAATGTAGTATTTAGCCTCAAAAGGCGAATAACAATTTGACAAGGTTTGGACGGCGAGGCCAATGTTCTCAGAAATGAAAATCAGATACGATGCGACGAAACCCATTTGCGAGAGACACAAAAAGAACTGGACGCAATAACGTAGCCAAGGACCGTAAAGCGCATAAGCAAGGTCACCGTACGAACCGCCCATCAGGCGTTGCACCTTGACGAGAAGCTGGAAAGCAACAAGACACAGACAAGCAACGAATACCATGAGACAGATGGAAAAGATAAGACCACCTGAAACAAATCTGTTATATAGAAAAATTGATGGAAAAAAAAAGATTAATATACGCGAATCAAAGTCATTTAGCTTAAAGTTTTTTTGTTTTTTGTTTTGCTTTTTGTTTACAATAAATCGAGAAGGGAATGAGGTTTACTTACGAGCCAGGCAAGAAAATCACACCTGTACCGACGAAAACCTTCAGTAACATAAACAAGGCTTTGGAGGGCGATCCGGTGCCTTCGGGAACATGCTCAATCTGTTCTTCACTAAAAGATTTTTCACAGTCGGCGGACACTCGATCGTCTTCTTGATGGTGTCGCTCAATTTCTTCTTTTTCAGAGGTCGGCTTGGATCTAGCTGACAGATAACTCTCAATTTGGTGATTACTCTGGACAGTCGGTCGATTATTGGGTATGGATGACATTGTTTTAGATCAGTTGAATGGTTACGCAAGGAAAAAAGGGAAAAGATTACAGGATATGGAAAATAAAAAAAAAAAGTTTCTTTCAAGTTGAAGTGAAAGAACAACAGTCCAAAAAAAATTTACTAGGAAATGAGAAAGGAGCTATTCAAGAAGGGTTTTAAAAGTTCAGGCAAGGGTGTTGTAGGGCTTATATAGAAACAGAAAAAAAAATGGCCCGAATAAAAAGCAGCCTAAACAGCCGCCAATTTTTTTTCAGGCACATTCATCACCGTCAACCCAGACATCTTTTCGTCATTTTTTCTCGGCCGCGACCAACTCCGCTCAGCGAATTACCCGTGGGAAACTTTGGCGGGCTGAAAGCGGGGAAAAGGAAAACAGTTGGAATGGCTGGGATATCCAGAAAAGATTAGAACGGAAAGACGGTAACAAATGATTAGTTTATCATAACAGCATGTGCTGCTTACTCTTGGCAACCTAGGTTACCATGTACGAGAAACATATGCAACTCATATCAGAATACAATCTGAAAATGTCATTTGATTTGCGACATTGAGAATTATTGAATAAGAACAAAGGTGCCTCTTCGGCGGCAGAATTCGTGGTTTGCTGACATTTGAATCCATCATCAATCCGCGGAAAGTGGTGTAGGATGAAATGGATCTTCACTTTATTTTGTTGACATGCCGCGTCTCGGTTTAAGTTGGTTCCATTTCACCAATGATTGGTTATTTTGGATTCTTACATTGGCGCTTAACATATAACGCAAAGAGGCGACAAGTTGCCGGTTTCCACCGCATCCCCCCTCTTTTTTTTCACGATTGTCAGTGATATTACGTTTCACAGTGGCTGCACTATCAAATTTGTGCTAGGAAGGTGCAGTATCGCGCTTCATCCCGGAAAAGGCATCTGATGCATAAATGTATTTCAATGTAGGGCGAGCGAACTAGGATTTCCTAATGTTCTTCATATTCTGTGTCCATTGGTGTTTCGCTGTTTCTTTAACAATCATCAACCAATGAATGACAAGGCCAAATCTGAACGTCTTTGACCATGCTTCAAGCTAAAAATAAAACCAAATGATCTCACTTGAATAAGCAAAACAAAAAAAAAAGCGGAAAAAAAAGACCGAAAAAGAAAAATTGTGGGGAATAGGTAAAGGGACCAATAGGAAATATTATCTGAGTCCAAGTTCGTTTGTCTCAAATGGGATAGGCAAAAAGGGATGCCAGTGGCACATGGACCAAACTGTATCTGACTTTTTTGGGGGAAAGAGCCGCGGGGGGAAAGCAACGGATGTCGAAATCCCCCGATTTGAATCCGTTCTAAACTTTATTTGGAAATTTCTCGCTCCCATATCGTGACGAATCCAACAACACTTCGTTACCCAAATGCAAGGACCTTGTGGGTGGCAACCCACTCCTGCATGAACTCAGAAAATGTGAGCAGAAAAAAGTGGCAAAACAAGATTTGGCATCATTATCAATGTCTAAGAAAAAAAAAAGACATGTTCGTCGCATTCAGGGCTCTCAGATCTTCCCTTTCTGTCGTGGATAGAGACTAGGCGTGGCACAAGTAAACAAACAAATAAAAAGGAAGCAAACATCTTGTATCATTGATCATAGCTTGCTCAATCTCAACATCCGTGCTTTTCTTTTTCCCGAAATAAATTCGATTCGAAAAAATTGTATTAGATGGTAGTTGAAAAAATCACAAAAAGACAAAAAAGAATAAAAGCAACAAAAAAATGGTTTAATTCTAAAATTTACAATGATAAGGGAAGAAGAAGGAGATTATATCTTGCGAAAAAAAAATTACTCTTCCAAGTATTCCTCAGGCGAAGGGCAAGTGCAAATCAAGTTACGATCACCATAGGCATCATCGACACGAGAGACCGAGGGCCAGAACTTCTTTTCGCGAAGGTGAGCCATGGGGAAAGCAGCCAATTCTCGGCTGTAGGGTCTGTTCCAGGTGCTGGCGGTCAAAACTTCAATGGAGTGAGGCGAGTTGCTGAGGACGTTGTTGTCCTTGGGCACCTTCTTGTCAATGACTTCCTGGATTTCTTGACGGATCTGGATCATGGCATCACAGAAACGGTCCAACTCAGCCTTGGATTCGGACTCGGTGGGTTCGATCATGAGAGTGTTGGCAACAGGGAAAGACATGGTAGGACTGTGGAAACCGTAATCCTGAAGACGCTTGGCAACGTCGATGGCTTCAATACCATGGGGAATGAAAGGACGGATATCAACGATGAATTCGTGACCACACTTGCCGTTCTCGTTGGTATACAACACTTCGTAGTGAGGAGCAAGACGGCTCATCATGTAGTTGGCGCTCAACAAGGCAGTCTTGGTGGAATCGGTCAAACCGTTACCACCCATCATCTTGATGTAAGCCCACGAGATGGGAAGAATGGAAGCCGAACCGTAGGGAGCAGCAGAGACGGGACCAGTGGCGTTTTCACCACCAGTGGCAACGAGGGGATGGCCAGGAAGGTAAGGAGCCAAGATGTCGCGGACACCAATGGGACCCATACCGGGACCACCACCACCGTGGGGAATACAGAAAGTCTTGTGCAAGTTCATGTGGCAGACATCAGCACCGATTTCGGCGGGCTTGGTAAGACCGATCTGAGCATTCAAGTTGGCACCATCCATGTAGCAGAGACCACCGTACTTGTGAATGACTTCACAGGCTTCAGCGACACCGCGTTCAAAGATACCAAAGGTCGAAGGGTAGGTAATCATGATGGCGGCCAAGCGATCCTGGTACTTCTCGGCCTTGGCCTTCAAGTCATCCATATCCAAGTTACCCTTGTCATCACACTTGATGATAACGACATCCATACCGGCCATGGCAGCCGAAGCAGGGTTGGTACCGTGAGCGGAGATGGGGATCAAGCACACGTTACGCTTGGAGTCACCGCGAGCTTCGTGGTAAGAACGGATGCAACGAAGACCAGCGTATTCACCCTGAGCACCGGAGTTGGGTTGCAAAGACACAGCATCGAAACCGGTGATTTCTTCCAAATCCTTTTCCAATTCTTCCAACATGATACGGTAACCTTCAGTCTGATCAACAGGGGCGAAAGGATGGATGTTGGCGAATTCGGGCCAGGTGACGGGAATCATTTCAGAGGTGGCATTGAGCTTCATGGTACAGCTACCCAAAGCGATCATAGAGTGGACAAGAGACAAGTCCTTACTCTGGAGGTGGTGGATGTAACGGAGCATTTCGGTTTCAGAGTGGTGAGTGTTGAAGATCTCGTGTTGCAAGAACTTGGAGGTACGCTTCAACTGAGGAGGGAAGGCAACCATACCGTCAGCAATGACCTTGGCAGCTTCATCAATAGTCACGGCAGCATCGGTCTGGAAGACGGAAAGCAAGTCGTTGACGTCGTTCTTGGTAACGGTTTCATCCAATTGAACAGAAACGGTGTGAGCGTTGATGCTGCGCAAGTTGATACCCTTATCAAGAGCCTTTTGAATGATAGCAGAGGCGCTGTCGACCTTGATGGACAAAGTATCGAAGAAAGCACCATCGTTTTCGATGGTGAAGCCCGACTTGCGAACACCTTCGGCCAAGACAGCAGTCATGTTGTGAATGCGCTGAGCAATGTCTTTCAAGCCCTATGAATTCAAAATAAATTTAGACCCATGAACTCCTTTTGTGATTTTTTCCCTTCTCCAATGCTTACCTCAGGACCGTGGTAGACGGCATACATGGCGGACATGTTGGCCAACAAGGCTTGAGCGGTACAGATGTTGCTGGTAGCCTTCTCACGACGAATGTGCTGTTCTCTGGTCTGCAAAGCCAAACGGTAGCAAGGGTTGCCACTGGCATCCTTGGAGACACCGACGAGACGGCCGGGCATGCGGCGCTTGTGTTCTTCCTTGCAAGCGAAGAAAGCGGCGTGGGGACCACCGAAGCCCAATGGGACACCGAAACGCTGGCTGTTACCCAAGGCAATATCGGCCCCAAACTCACCGGGGGCCTTCAAGAGGGTAAGGGCCAACAAGTCAGTGGCAACGGCGACTTGACCACCAGCCTTGTGCACGGTGGCGGTCAAAGCTTCGTAGTCCTGAACGGTGCCGCGGGTGTTGGGATACTAAATTTGTCCAAAAAAGGCAACTCGTGAGTCAAACCTTTGAACTCTGATGCCATCGTTTCCAAGAAACCCAATGGTTTGATCGCCGCATCAAAAAACAAGTTTCGATGGCGAGCGACTCTAACAAATGCGGATAGGGAAATTCTCTCTTTGCTTACCTGCAACAAGACACCGCAAAGATCCTTCTTGTTTTCTTCCCACTTGTAGGTAAAAGCATCAGCAACAACGACGTTGATGTTGAAAGATTCGGCACGCATCTGGACACAAGCGATCGTCTGGGGATGGCAGTTGACATCAACGATGAAGGTGTTCTTCTTGCGGCGACCGGCTTGCCAGGTCATCAACATGGCTTCGGCAGCAGCGGTACCTTCATCCAACAAAGAAGCGTTGGCAATTTCCATACCGGTAAGATCAGTGACCATGGTCTGGAAGTTCAACAAGGACTCGAGACGACCCTGAGAGATTTCGGGTTGGTAAGGAGTATACTATAGATGGATAATTTTCGTCAGCAACGCAATGTCAATCATAAGTCTATTTTTTTCTTCGCTGTGCAAGAGCATGCTTTTGTTTGACATACCTGAGTGTACCAAGCGGGGTTCTCCATGACGTTGCGCAAGATGACATTGGGCACAACGGTGTTGGTATAACCAGTACCAATGTAGGAACGGAGGACCTTGTTCTTGGAGGCGACGGCCTTCAAACGTTCCAACAAATCACGTTCGGTGATGCCTTCACCGATAGCCAAAGGCTTAGGAGAACGGATGGAAGAAGGAATAGCCTGAGCGAGCAATTCATCGACATCCTTGACACCGATTTCCTTCAACATAGCTTCAACATCAGCACCCTTGGGACCAATGTGGCGACGAGGGAAAGTATCAAGAGGAGCGAACGTTTCCTTGGCAGCAAGAGGTTTGGTGGTGTGCTGAAGACGAACAAAGGTCTTGGTGTAGTTGGCAGTGACGGCGCGAGTAGGAGCGAGAGACACCAAGCGTGGTGCTTGCACGGGCATGCGTGCAAGAGCACCCCTTGAACGTAAGGCGATACGGGACAGCATAACGAATGTGAAGCCCGGTATGAAGAAGAAAGAGTGATGAAAAGAAAAAGAGAAAATCTTCAGATCGGCTTCAAGACGGGGATCCTTATATGAGATGCTAATCTACGATTGGCTCCCCGCGTGGAGATGGTTGGCTTCATTGAACTGCCATTACAGGAAGGCCTTGGTCCCGAGTCAATCCACTCTGTCAGAGTAGTCACGGTCAAAAAAATAAAAAAAAGTATGTATTTCTAAATACAGATTCGCTCCTTATAAAATCGACGTGATGTTCAACACATAAATGGCAACCGCCTATTTTTTGTCACTCGTATATTTGTGAAAATTGTCGGCCGTCCGAAGAAAAATCTTTGATCTCATCTTGTATTCGGAAAACAATAAAAGTTTTCATGCAAAAAAAAAAATAAATAAAAAAAAAATAAAGAGGAACCCCACTTGTTTTATTTTGCATCACCATATAATAGCGAAGATCACATTCCCTTTCTGTCTTGTTCGCCTTCTTTATCAAAACTTCGCTTCTCCTCGGGCCTCTTTTGCTTAGACTGACTCATTTCCATCCTCCACTTGTTATTCACATGAACATCTTTTTATTTGTTTATTTGCTGTGGACAAATGTCATGCATTTAATCCACCATGGGTTTTTTTTTTTTTTTTTTTTTTACATATTCCCACCTCTTTTTTTTTATGATCCCATTTATAGGAACATAAGAGAATAACTTAAAAAAGAAATCTAAAGCAAACCGTAAAGAAGGCAGAAGAAGGACCACTCATGGTCCAGTAACTTGGAGGTTCGGAATTCAACTCAGAAACAAAAAAAAAAAGTAAAGATTTCCATTTTCAGGCAGCCGAGCCCTGGCAAAAGAAGACCCCCAAAAGTTACCGGCACATTGTCGAACATTTCCGGTCCGGACTCTTGAGTATAAATTTAAAAAATAGCAAAAGTCGTGCCCCCTGGCTGGATTGAACAACCGACCTTCAGTTTACAAGACTGACGCTACTACCACTGAGCTAAGAGGGCTTTTTTGTAAATTTTACGAATTACGATGATAGCGGAAAATGTATTTTTCAAGCTCCGAAATTGCGCATTACTTGGAACTTACATCCACACCTCTAAACGATGCATCCGTCAACCAAAATTATGCATCCCTGTTTGGTAGTATTCACGCTACATGCTGATGGTTTGGATGCATGTGTAATAATAGAAGTTGAGCGTGTATAGTCGATTTTGTTGTGGCGGAGTTTGATCTTTGGCTGAAGACTGAATGTCCGGTGCGCGAAGCTTTGCGAACGCGAGGGACGTGCAAAACCACATATCATGATGCCAATCTCTTCTTTTTTGAGCGTCTAAATTTCCATCTTTCATTGCGTAATTTCTGATTTAGGACGTTAAATAATAATAATAATAATAATAAGAAAACAACTATGCTTGTACTAATTCTCAAAGTTACGGAAGATTTCGTAAGGAAAAAAAAATACAATTTTGTGAGGAATGAAAAATTGGTAACTTTATTCCCAGTAACCCCAGAAGTTTATCTTCAGGATTATCATCTTTAGCCTTGTAGCGTATTTATGCTTGCCTTTCGGACCCCTACAATATATGTTCGCTTAAATTCCGTACGATAAACTGCGTTATTTACCGTAAATCATGCTATTTCAAATCGCAAAGTTTCTAGACATACATGCGCCAGCGATTTTTGTCTTGTAGAACATTTTTGCGCAGGACGTTGCTAATTTCTCTGTCCTGGTAGCAATTTGACCATAACATGGCTTTTTTATCCACGAGTTCGATGAATCCAAGCTCGCATTTTGCTCCGATATATCTTCAAATACTAGAAAAATGTACATTAATTGTTCTCATGTATTTGATTAAACATTCATGCGTCATTAGGTTCTTTGATGCGTAATTTCTTGAGCGATATATTTTAAAGTCGTTGAGTTCTCTTGAGACACGTTCAACCACGTAAATTACAAAAGAGTACACATATCTGGAAATACCGAAATGCAAATTAGACGCCTTAGAAAAATTGGTGAAGCGCAATGATTTTTTCTCTTGAAAAATTATGCAACGGTCGATCAGAAGGTATTATAGCCGTTTTGTCCTATGGTATAACATCGACATTCGGTCATATTTGGTTTGTCGACTATTTGTAAGCGATGTCAGTGGATCCAATAGCAAATGGCGCAAAGAAATCACAATCAAAGATCACTTGATATGATTACTCCCATAAACTTAAAAGTATGGCGGGCATGATGGTCATCAGAAATAATATCCAGTTGCAGTCTTTTTTTCCGTCATATCTAATTGATTATCGGTATTGTAAGATAGGCGGCCATTTATTTGATAGACCACCGCTAGTTTTTCATGCTCTATGTTTCAACTAATTGTGTAGCAATATTTTGGAATCTGCGAAAAAATACAATGAATGGAGACCGAGGAGCTGTTATTGCGAAAAGTAAGAGCATTATAGTAGCCAATACTCAATACAGAGGGTCAACCTATAGCACTTGACGAACGTCATTAACAAAGTTTTTGACGCTGATCGGCAGTTGTAATGCAAAAAGAAAACGCAGCATGGGATGTTTGGTTAAGCTTTATCCTGCTGCGGCTCAATTGAGAAACAGCACCTTTTTTGTCTTCGCGCGATGTTGCGGAGCCCAAAGAGCCAAGAGTTTGAGCAATTTCAGCAGGAAATGTTATTTCGGCCCTATGCAACGTAGGCAGGCTGCTCCCAAGGTGTAATTGCGTCGGTAGTTCTTTATGCTCTGCATTACAAAGTCTTTTAAAGCACTCCACCTGTTCTGGCGTCTTTCTATTTTAGGACACGGTTCATAGAGTTTACTGCGGCAAAATGGCCAATGCCTAAAATAGCAAATTTTTCTTTGAAGCCATGCGCAAAAAAAAAAGACATGCTTTGACCCGCAGAAAGCCGTCACAAAATCAGGTTAAATGCGCAAAGCGGGTCCAAGCGTTGTGGATTCTTGTTTTCGACCGCAGTAAGAATCTCACTGCAAGCAGCCCACCGCCATGCCAGCCGTTACGCCTGCTCAATTAGCTGTATTGCAGAGAAATACCAAGAATATCCGAAATATTTGTATCCTTGCTCATGTTGACCATGGCAAGACGACGTTATCCGACTCCTTGTTAGCCACCAACGGTATTATCTCTACCAAAATGGCAGGCAAAGTCCGTTATCTAGATTCCCGAGAAGACGAGCAGGAACGTGGTATTACCATGGAATCAAGTGCCATTAGCTTGTATTTTAAGCTTGTCAAAGCAGCGGCTCCCGTTGAAGGCGAAGGTAAGTTGGAGACTCTTTAAAAGCAGTGGAGCGGCATAAACGGTACAGCTTGAACTAATCAATCAACCCACTTCTTTCAGACAAACCGAAACATGTGACGAGCGAATATTTAATCAATCTCATCGATTCACCTGGCCATGTCGATTTCTCTTCCGAAGTTTCCACTGCATCCCGACTGTGTGATGGCGGTCTGGTGTTGATCGACGTCGTCGAAGGTGTCTGCACACAGGTACCTCTTTTCTTATAATGGTTTACATAGTTGGACGTGCGCGGCCCCTCCATACTAAAAATCTCTTGGTAGACAATTTCTGTACTGCGACAAGCATGGATCGACAAAGTACGACCGGTTTTAGTGCTCAATAAGATGGATCGTTTGATTGTCGAACTGAAATTGACGCCGCATGAAGCGTACCTTCACGTCAACAAGATCCTCGAACAAACAAATGCGATTATGGCTACTTTCTTTACGGGTGATCTGATGGCTGACGAAGCTAGAAAAATGGAACTTGATAAGCTTAAACGCTCTCAGGCGGATGCTGAAAAAGAAGATACAGAGAACACAACTTACGATTGGAGCATGGAAGAACGAGATGATTCCGATATTTACTTTGACCCTGCAAGAGGCAACGTTATTTTTGCCAGTGCTATTGACGGTTGGGCTTTCCGGTAAGATCACTACACCATGTTCAGATGCACATAATGCTGATATGCCGCCAATTTCTGATGACAGGGTCCAACAATTTGCTGGTTTGTATGCGAGAAAGCTCGGCTTCAAAGAAGCGGCGTTGCAGAAATGTTTATGGGGCGACTTTTATTTTGATCCCAAGACGAAGCGTGTATTGCAGCACAAGCATCTCAAAGGAAGGAATTTGAAGCCGATGTTTGTTCAATTGGTGTTGGAAAATATTTGGGCCGTCTATGACAGTGTGGTGATTGAACAGTAAGTTGATGCTTGATGGGTAGGTATAAAGATACAGATAGCTTTTCTGACACAACTTTCTGATTAGGAATCGCGAACGCACCGAAAAAATTGTAGCTGCTTTGAATATCAAAGTATTGCCCCGTGATATGCGATCACGCGATACACAGACGCTTTTGAGCGCCATCTTCTCCCAATGGCTACCTCTTTCCACTTGTATATTACTTTCCATCATTGGCCAACTGCCTCCACCCAAAGATGCCCAGCGTATCCGCTTACCAAAGATGCTCCATCCCGATATCCAACAAAAAGATTCCGAACCCCTTGAACCCCAGAATGAAGTGGAACGAGCTCTATACTGCTGTGACACGTCGTCAGACGCTCCAGCCGTGGCGTACGTAAGCAAAATGTTTGCTGTACCAATCGAACTTTTACCAGAGAACCGACGAAAGCAAATGACGGCTGAAGAAATGCGAGAACGCGGTAGACAGCAACGGGCGCTTCGAGCCGCCGCCGCCGCAGGCAGCCCTATCTCGCCCAATGGCTCTGACGATAGCCACGGTATTCCATTGAATCTCGATCAAGCCACCATTTCAGAAGAAGACGATTCCCCCTCGGAAACATCGCCAAAAGAAAAACTAGAGGGTGAAGAGCTCATTGGTTTTGCTCGTTTATATTCGGGTACGATCCGTGTAGGACAAAAATTATATGTCCTTGGACCCAAATATGACCCTCAATATCCTGACAAGTACTGCTCCGAAATCACGGTCGAGAATTTGTATCTCATTATGGGTCGTGAGCTTGAAGCCTTACCTGAAGTGTCAGCGGGTAACGTTTTCGGTATCGGTGGATTAGCGGGACATATCTTAAAAAACGGTACCTTGGCAAGCACCAAAACGGATGTGAAGAATATGGCAGGCGTCGCCATGGAATCCTCTCCCATTGTCCGTGTCGCTTTGGAACCTGAAGATGCAGGTAAGTCAATTGTTCCTATATCTAGTTCTTCACACTTTTTTTTTGGGACTTGCGATGCTAATTAAATCTCTGCAAATTATTAGCTGATATGGATAAGCTCGTGGAGGGTCTACGCTTATTGAACCAAGCTGATCCATGTGTGGAAGTACTTTTGCAAGAAACCGGCGAGCACGTTATTTTGACAGCTGGTGAATTACATTTGGAGGTAAGTAGTAAGCTTTTCGTTTTTAATGTAGTACGTATATATTCAAGCATTATTTTTGTAGCGATGTCTTCGCGATTTGAAGGAGCGATTCGCGAAAATTAATATTCAGGTATCGCCTCCTATTGTGCCATTCCGTGAAAGCATTGTCAGTGCAGGTACAGTTCCTAGTCGTAGAACCCAGTGTTAAAGATGTGACTGATGTTTAACAACACTTCACAGATTTGCCTTTGACTAAGCAAAAGGACGAGATAACGATCCCTCGTGGCACATTGGAAGTCCCAACCACTTCCAAATACGTCAGTATCAAACTACGCACGGTTCCCCTTCCTGCAAATGTCACGGAATTCTTAACGCAGCACGTCAGTACGATCAAATCGATCATTGACCAAAAGCGAGCCAAAAGAAAGCAAAAGCACTCGGAAGATGATAAAGAGAAGGAGGAGCAAGAGGGTCGCACGGATGCCAGTATCATGGGCCCAACTGATAAAGTGATTCTGGCCGATGAATTCCAATCCATGCTCGAAAAGGAATTTGAAATAGCTCGTCAATCGGGCGGTCCCTTTGCACACCTTTGGGATGGCATTGTATCTCAGTAAGTGATAAAATCGCAATGACCAATTTTATCGTACGTTCAAAGACTGACTTAGATGAAATAGAATATGGGCATTCGGTCCTCGACAGATTGGTCCTAATCTTTTGGTGAATCGTATACCGGGCTATATCCGAAAATCGTTCTTTGACATTGGTACAACCAACAAGAGCGACGCCGCAGCAGAAGGGGTATCTGAAGATCACGCAGATGAAGTACTGAAAGTGATTGTGGAAGAGGATGGTTCTTCTAATAACTCCGCGCTCAACATTCTCGATTTCGACTTCCACATTCATACTGGTTTCCAGTTATCGACGCTGACCGGTCCTTTGTGTGCCGAGCCCCTTACAGGGGTGTGCTATATTGCGGAAGACTTCATCGTGAACCGTGAAGAGATGGTCAACGCTGGTGGTGAACCGATTGATGGTAAAATTATTGAAGAACATACAACCAAAGCATGGTGGGCGAAAGACTAAGCATTGCATAGTACGAAGCCGCTTGGGATTAATTCAAGGACAAGTTATTTCGGCCACGAAAGAGGCATGCCGCCAAGGTTTCCTTGATTGGTCACCTCGTCTTTTGCTGGCCATGTATACCTGTGATATTCAGGCTTCTGGTAAGCGCGTAAACGACCATGCAATATCCGCATGTATTCATATCTCTCGTGCTATGTAGCGGAAGTGCTTGGTAAAGTCTATGGTGTGATCTCCAAACGCAAAGGCCGAATCCTTTCCGAAGATCTGAAGGATGGTACTACTTTCTGGCAAATTCGTGCGCAACTTCCAGTGATTGAGAGTTTCGGGTTCTCTGATGGTAAGATCTAGGAAGGAATAAGGGAATTTGCACAGTTTGTCTCTGACATGTATGTCTTTGCACACAGAAATTCGAAAGAGAACCTCTGGAGCAGCTAGTCCTCAGCTTGTTTTTAGCGGGTATGGCGATGATAGGATATATCGTATTGTCTGGGTTGTTACTAACGCGCTTTCGGGTGATGCTAGGTTCGAAATGCTTGATCAAGATCCATTCTGGGTCCCCACGACCGAGGAAGAATTGGAAGATCTCGGTGATAAGGCTGATAAAGAAAATATTGCCAAGAAATACATGGATACCGTGCGAAAGAGAAAGGTGAGCTAATTGTGACTCCTCATTGCGCAAGCAATCCCAGCTAATGTGGAAAATCTGCGTAGGGTATGTTTGTGGAGAAAAAATTGGTGGAGCATGCCGAAAAACAAAGAACTTTGAAGAAGAACTAGACCAGACCGGAGAAAAAAGACTATAGAAACCTACGCAGCAGATCACTGTCGGCTTCTCCTGTAGCATATATACAGTTTATTCGACTTGCAGCTATAAAAAATAAAAATAAAAGTCCACTGACAAAAACTGAAGGTGCAGCATGCCAGATATGAAAAATCAGTGATTGGGGCTGCATCAAAGGAATGTCTCACTGAGTTTCCTCCACAGTTGACATTTTTCCTCTGCTGTTTTAAATATAGCGGTTCCCGTAATACTGCACAGAAAAACATGTGTGGGCGTTTCGCGTGTTCACTATGTCCGGAAAGACTCCGAGCAAGACTGAAAGAAAGTGATATGAGCTCTATCAAGGAGACATGGATGGACGAGGATAAATTCTATCCTAGTTATAACGTCGCACCCCGAAGATGGGTGCCTGTGGTTCGTCAAGATGAACAAGGTGAATGCATTCTACAGACTATGGTGAAGTGACACAAAACCTCCTTTATGCAAGTCGTTCTACAAGCTCATGGTCCTGTTTGTGTACAGAAATGGGGCTTTATTCCGTGTTGGGCCAAGCAGATACCAGATAACCAGGTACTACTTAAGGATACGTTTGGTCCCAGCTGAATCTCATTGACCCATGCCTAGCCGATCAATGCACGAGACGATCGACTGATGGAAGGTCAGTCCATGTTTGATGCGGCCAAAAACAAACGACGCTGTATGGTGGTGGCAGAAGGGTAAACGTACACAAAAGATCGATGATGGAAAGATCGATATTCCTGAGCTGAAAGATACCGTAGATTTTATGAATGGCGAGTGTTATCGGGCGGCAAAAAGATTCCGTACTACACGAAACGCAAAGACGGGAAATTGATGTTATTCGCAGGATTGTACGATGTATCTCATCTGAATGACGGTAAGCAAGGACGTACCGTAAATAGGTCGCATAATTTGGGGGTTTGGAGTTGTATGGAAATGCATCATATTCGCATGGTTCATATCCCTCATGCCATCAACTATCAGAGAAATTGTACACATGCACCATTGTTACCACCAGCCCTTCGGCGGAATTTTCATTTCTGCATGATCGTATGCCTGTTATTTTGGAAAATGGATCAGAAGATATCGAAACGTGGCTTGATCATTCTGAACCATGGGGAAAGAAGCAAGTGAGCATTATGCGGCCGTATTCGGGCGAGTTGATCATGTATGCTAGTGTTTTCCAAAATGAATTTGCGTGATCTCATACTTCTATTCGTTAGCTATCAAGTAACAGACAAAGTGGGTCCGGTCAAAAACAATTCCGCCGAGTTTGTGGTACCTGTGGACGAATTAAAAGGATCAATCTCCAACTTTTTGCAGAAAAAGAAACCCGAAGCAACCGCATCTCCTGTTAAAAAGGAGGAGCCTGATGATGAAAAGAAGCACGAAATCCTTACTGCCGCAAAACGAAAAAGGGAAACTTCGCCAGCCGCCGATGAGAAACGCGATACAAAGCCTGCTTCCAAAGATCCACCTCCAAGTGCAAAAGTTCAAAAGGTTGTTAAAGATGAAAAGGAAGCGACCGATCAGCCCAAAAGCAAAATTACAAACTTTTTCCCCACCAAGAAAGACACTTGATCAAAGCGATCAAAAAGTCATGACTCGTTCACTCCAAATAAACGACACTAATGCACAAACCTTTATTTCTGGGGTATCAAATGGTCTACAGAGTGTCCCAGTAATAATGGTCCATCGTCTTCACATCCTTTGACTCCTCAACGTTCCCCCTGCATTTTACCATCATGTTAAGGCTCTATTGTTGTTTGGCCTAGATCAATCACTGAAGTACGGCGCCACAACGGCTGAGCCCGACTTTGACCAGTTTGCAAGAATACATTGTCTGCTCTCTCACTTGTAAAAAACGGTATTGTGATTTATGGATTTAAATGGAATTTGGGACCTTTGCATTGAATGTATCACATAAATATTGCCACTGTAAATGCTCCTTCATTGCGTATAACGACCTTGCTATTCACAAATGAGTTAATACAACCATAGACGTGTTTTCCTCTTTTACACATTCGACATACGATTCCTCATATTCAACTGTGATCGTTGGGTATTGTGCATTCGCGTCGGGCTCTCCCTGATTGTTTAGTTCCTGCGATGTGCTTGCAATCGCAGCAATGAAGGCTGCTGAATCTGGTTTTGCAATTCCTCGTGCTAGTTTATTGCGTTAGAAACTTGTATATTATCAGCGTGCTTCCGTGATTCTACCTCCAAGACACAAGCCCATGTCGTCAGCCAGCAGTACCCCTTTCACGCCATCTTTATCAGCGCTTCAACATGCAAAACAAAACGGAATGAGTTATTGTAAATATTTCAAAAGCAGAAGCGATAAGAGGGAAACAATGCTTACATCGTATCAAGAAGCGATATCAACCCGGCTTCCATATCAAAAAAGAACGTGAAAAGAAAAAAAGGCAGACTTTTAAACTTGAAGACGAGAAACAAATCGTGTGCATTGCTCACAGTCACATAAGCCAATTTTAATAAACCTCGCCGCAAAAGTTGAGCAAAAGTCTACAGTATCATTGGATCGAAATACACAATACGGTACAGAGCCAACCATGTTTTGCGAATATTCACTGATTTGCATCTTTGGCTTTCCATTTTAGCATACAGTTCAAAAAGAGTGAATATAAAAGAAAAACCTCACATTAACCAATCCACAAAACGTAGAACACGCACCATGTCTCTAACGAGACCAAGACTTATACCTTAAGCACAACTATAACCGAATAGGATAAAGTGGCGGTGAGGTTAATTAAACTCGCTTTAAGCAAACGGCTGGCAATATCCCTTTTCGCAACACCCGATGGCACATGGCAATCATGCATCATTCATCTCCCGCTCGTGTTTTATTGGGTGGATTGGCGCTGTCCGGCCCGGAAATTGATGTAAAGCAGTCACAAATATGAGCCGACACATAAAATTTTTTGAAAATTTCCAAAAAAGGCCCTCTTAGCTCAGTGGTAGTAGCGTCAGTCTTGTAAACTGAAGGTCGGTTGTTCAATCCAGCCAGGGGGCACGTATTTTGGCAGTTAATCTTTTTGTTTTTTCGTTTTTTTTTTTTGGATTCTGCAATCGACGAAGAACAATAACAACCATCATTGGCGGTCTTTTTTTGTATCGCAGATTCAATGAAAGAGGCGGCGCTGTAGATAAAGCATCGAATTGGTACCGTAAAAGTGATAGGAAACCCCAATGATTTAGAATCGTAGCAAATTTTTATGCTGCCCAGTGCATCTTAAAAGAAGTCCGTAATTTTGATGGGTTCTGTCAATGTTTCTTTATCTGTCAATGGGTTTGAAGGAGCTCTGTCTGAATGCAGGACGGGATATCAGATTATTTTTTTCAATAATAGATAGAATAGCGCTCGAAAATCAGTCGATGCACGCAGTGCGATTAATCATCCGCCATGACTGTCGCTGCCATAATGCCAGATATTGACCATGGGTGAACGTATTTCTGTACCTTTGAGCTTCATGTAAATAGATAATAAAACAAACTGCGAATTTTTTATCAAGCGGTATCGGTAGGTCACTTCCCATGGCGCTCACGCCGGAATGAAGCAGCGGCACGATAGATGCAATAGTGTAAGATAAGATTTTTCTAAAAATTACCATCAACCCCATAAGGAAACATGCATTTCTATCCAGTTACTTTTTACGTGCTTGTTTTTATTTGCGGGTAAATCTTCAGAGTCTTAAAAAGATTTCAGGCAGAAGTACAGACATTGATGGAATCGATATGGATTATCCGTGGTTCATTGTATATCTTTTTATTTGCATAATCAAGGTGCCGATGTGCTTTTTTAAGCTTTTATTGTTTGGGCTGAGGTTCCATGGATGAACCCCCTTAATTTGTATGGTGTGATGTATTTTAGCCATTCGGCTAAAACGCAGTATACCTGTTGTCGTCGTGTAAAGATAAACTTTCATTTATTGATTAAGGAGGGTTAGAGATGGTGGTGGAATTCAACGAATGATGGAACATCAATCATGCATACTGCAGTAGGTTAGAGAATTATACTATCCATTCAATATTTGCTAATCATAGGATGCTCTGATCGCAGGCGTGCGCCCTCAGGCAGGACAGTAGAGACGGTACCTTTTCCCCCTTGTTTTTTCCTTGATCTCTTCCCCTAGCTGTCAATTCCCAAAAGAAGTGCTTTTTAAAAAATCCCCTCTCTCCTTTCAGCCAACAGCTCCTCCTCTTAAGACTTAATTCGTCGCGGGATCACTTCTCCTTCTACTGTCATTGCTCTTTCTTTGTTGTTGTCTGCCTTATCATGGAAGCTACTATCAGTGACCCACCAATCCATCCTTCGCTTTCTTCCACGGACACTCAGGAACCAACCTCAACTACCAACTTACCACCTCTGCAGACCGCCGTGTTGCAGCTAGATACTTGCGATGTGACAATGAGTAGATCAAGTGAAAGCAGTAGCGATGACGGATCTCGTCAAGGCCATGGTCATCACGAATTACACTCTGTACTGAGCGCGTTGAAACACAGTCTCTCGTTAAAACAGCAAATACAGCCCGTTGTCATGTCGCCTGCAGACAGTGCGACTGATTTGCGAGTCTGTCACGCCGATGATATTAGACGACCTTCCGATGGCACTTTGGGCGATACCAGCGAATCCGACGGCCGGTTATCCTTGGAAACACCCAGCTCCGGCCACGGCAACGATTCGTCAGAAACAGAAGGCACAGTAGTGGATGAAGAGGTTCAGCCTATCCCCGATCAACAGAGTGTTTCCAATCCTGGCAAAGCCCAGGATAAATACGAGGACGAAATCCTTGATCTGCGGTTCAACAATGCCAACTGTGTAGCGCTCCGATCAGTGGACCTGAAAGACGTCGAGCCCAACCTTCTCAATCCTCGAGAGCAGGAGAATGCCGGTATGGTGATACCTATTTTTTTCCATCTGTAGTTTCTCTTATGTGTAAGCTCACACTCACCATGTATTTTTAGACGAGCGTATTTTGGTCGCCATCCACCACTTGTTCAACAATCAATTCACGAAAGCAAAATGCATGTTTGACAGACAAGCAGCCACGTAAGTGCTTACTTGGTATGACCGCGTCTTTGTTTTCCCAATAACAAATCTTCCATTTAACGCGGATACTATAGCGACCCTCTTCACGCTCTTGGTTTGGGATCCATGGCGTTTCTTAAAGGTAAGCGTTCTTCATCCCTGAATATGTCATGCGATACTTATACCTCCTTGTAGCTGTGATGGCAAGTAAAAAGTAGATAGCACGATATAGCAAGGAGCCAGGGCTGATATAACAATAGACAATGAATAACCAAACAACACAGAATGCGATTGAAGTGTTAATGTCAGCTTACGATGTAGCCACGGCTCAAATCAATGGGGCAACCAAGCGAACGATGGGCGACACCGTCGTACGCTATTTCACCAACTACTACAATTCCATCAAATTCAATGCCAGACGCACAGGCCTTCCAGCGAGCCCCAAGCCGGCTACACACACCAGCTTGGAAAAACACAAAATCACATTTATTCCCAACGGCGTGCTTCGTGCTCATGTTGCTAAAGCTGAATGCTGTCTGCAAATGGCTATTCTGAATTTACTTCAGGAAAACGTCGTCGGTTACATCAAATGTGGCCTTAATATCAAACGTGGTAGGTTAAAATTATTCGTCTTATCGTAGGAATGGATCTAGCTAATGTATCCCATCAGCCTATTCCAGTTACAGTGTTGTGTGGCAAGAGTATAAGCGTATGGGCCAGTTATACAATGATTTCATAGACCACGATACGGTGTCAGGCATTCAATTCGGGTAAGAACCTTTTTTGATGTAGTCAGAAAAAAAAAAGAGCAGCTTATTAACGTGAAATATGTGATAGCATCGGTACGGTCCATTTAGTATTGGCCTCTTTACCACAAAAAATTTTGCGTATTGTCTCCTCCTTTGGTTGGAAGGCAGACAAGCATTTAGGGTTCGCCTTATTGAAACTTTGCTTGGAAGAACGACGTATCAGATCGCCTATGGCGTCGCTCATGTAATCATTACACTTTTTATAAACCAAAAAGTATTTGATGGTCTTTTTTTCTAACGGCGTATTGCGCCATATTATTAATACAGGCTCCTCGCATATTACACTATCTTGACCTCACACTGCCCGCAGATCCTGGCTAAAGAATATACCCAACCTGCCATTGAAGTAAGACCGAAAGAAGGCCGTGTATATTGAATACATTTCATGATGTGCTTATTTTTCTTTTTTAAAGACATTACTAGATGCACAGCGATCCTATCCTAATTCTGCGTTTTTCTTGTACTTTGCTGGGCGCACATCACGCTTGGCCCGCAATTTATCGCTGTCGACGCAATCCTTTATGTACGCTATTGAGATTAGCAAAAATGAATGGGCCGAGGTCGAAGTCTTGCATCTCTGTAGCTACGAACTGGGTCTCAATTATATGATGCAGCATAATTGGGAAGAAGCAGGAGTCCTATTTGAGCAGTTATACAAAGAAAAATATTGGTCGCCTGCGATCTTCCGATATCTGCATGCAGCTTGTCTCGAGATGGTCGGTCTCCACACAGAAGCGATCCTTGCTTTTGCCGAAATCCCTGAATTGGTTGGAGGAAAGACAAACTCAAGCACTGCTGCCACGGAACAGTATGTGCTGAGCAAGGTCAAGACTTTCCAAGCAAGCGGTTATCAAGATATGGACATGTCCCTTTGTGCTCTGGAATATCTCTACATACTGAATGCATTCGATTTCATGGACGATCAACTACTGCAACAGAGCCTGGCACTCACAGAGCAAGCGCTTAATCGCATTCTTGAAGCGGAAAAAATGGAGTATGGTATCCGTACACGAGAGCTCTTACCAGAGACGCCGCCCCCAGAATATTTTGATCAGCGCGGAGCCTTGCTTCTATTGAAATCATCTATCCTAAACGCAATGGGCCGTCATCAAGAATCCATCATCCATTTGAACTGGGTTATTGATCACAAGGACAAGATAGAAACCGATAAATGGATCGTGCCCTTTGTCTTTTGGTAGGTCACGCGGTGAATCTGTATCTATTTAAGAAAGAGTAGCTGCTTACGGTTCGTTCTTGATATTCATGAAAATTGGTGTATAGGGAGGCGGGTATCACTGCATGGAGCCTGGATAACAAAAGTCGAGGACGCGCCTTCTGGGAAACGGCCCTCAAATATTCCAAATATGACTTTGAGTATCGACTCGCAGTGGTAAGGCAAACAAAGAAAATGATGAAGAAATCATTCCCTTTGATACTAACCATCCTTCCTAGCGGCTCAATCTTGCGCTCACACGAGCTAACGAGCTCGGCATCTCATCCTATGAAACCACAGCATCTCCTTTGCAAATGAGAGACAGCAGCGTATCTCAGCCCAACGAAACTGAACCAAGTGAATCATAATTTTCTCATCACTAATAATATTTTACAATATGTACGATAGACATTCTGCATAGGATCTGTTCTTCCTATAGAGAAAAGGAACACATTTTATATACGTTTTTCAGCATCAAGCTTTTTTTTTTTTGGATTACACCATGATATTAAAGATGGAGATATTGGTAATTTCTAAGTGACGAATCGTTGCCAGTGTATTGGTCTTGATGGAGTTTCTAAATGACGCATTTGGTTCAAGGAGGCTAAAGGAGTTATGGATGGTCTACTCAAAAAAGTGTTAACCAAAGACCGCGCCATAAAAATACCCAATGTAGTCTATTACCTGCCATGAGCACATTGAAACGGGAATTGGCATGCTGCCAACGCAGTAATTATATGCTGACAATCGCTTAAAGTCAGCAGATCATTAAACATGATGGCACCTAAAGCCGCATGAGACAATCGCAATATATCCACGTATATTTTCATTGGAATTACCTCGGCAAGCTTTGGATTTTAGGATTTCCATCATACCGTGAGGGCACATCTGCATCGCCATATCTGGAAAATCGTGACCTTCCAGCCAGTAAAGGTATTCTTTGATGAGATCGGCCAACATGTCTTCATTGATGATACATCGATCAGCCACAAGTTGAGGCAATTGCTCTATATAGATCGTGTCCTTTCGACTGTCGTTCACACTGAAATGAGGTGAAGCTTCCGAAGTAATAAAATGACGCGACTGAGCCAGCGAAGTGCGGGAAGTTGACTTGCGAAAGTGGCATGAAAAGTGGATGCCCCAAGTATGCAGGTAGGGCGTAAAGCGTACCAACAGCTCATATTCATGAGACGTCAGCTGAATCTTGATGCCGGGATCAATATGTACAGTTTCTATAGGATCCATTCTGGCCAACATTTTTTCCAGCTTGATTCTTTCATCGGCAGCATGCTGATCCACAATCACCAGATTTTCTTGGCCCTTTAATAAAATAAACTTGCCATCCACTTGACCAAGGACATCGGCTTTCAAAAGATCTTCCCGCGACAGTTTGATAGGCAGTTGTATGCCTTGGAATATCTGTATCAGGTTTCAGTTACTGAACCGCTAATATCAGCAGCATGATGTACCTCATATCTCTCATCCCTCTCATCCATAGTCTCCATAGAGCCGCTCTGAGGGGCCTCTTCTAGCACAGACGTTCTATATGTAAAATGGAAATAGCGAGTCAGCAATACATAACGGGTCAAAACTCATACGCAACAATTGGCACCTATGTTTGACATCTCCCCTTCCTGAGCGTAACGTTTCTTTTCTACGGGGGCATGCGTTAGTGTGAAGAGTCATAACTGCTTTGATGACATTGAGTTGTACAAACATGGACGAAGGAGTGGTTGTTGTGAATTTCTTTGTTCCTTCATGATCATCTGTTGACGATGGGTATCGTTCTACTTGTTTATACTGGGCATCAATGGTTTTCACCAGCGCACGATAGCTGCTTTTGTCAAGAAGTTCAAATCTATGCAAAAAAGAAGCAGTAATACGCTCAAGCAAGCGTTTCAAAGTTGCATGAATCTGTCAAAAGGGTCAATTTTACTTTTTTCATACACCGAAATAGAGGACATATATTACCTTGTGTTCGGTCGTCAGTTTTTGGTAAAAGGATATATCACAAGTTGTCATGGAAGGGTGGTCGATGAAAATGAGAAACATGGGATGTTGTGCCATGAATCGTCCTTTAGCTTTGCATCAGTGACAAGTGCGATTTATCAATCCTTTACTTTGTGCGTTACCTCGTTTTTTACGGCTATCCGACTCGTCATTGTCTGGCAACTACAAACTGCAGGTTGATAGGAAGGATCATCCATGACGCACGACACGCAATTATACCTGTGAAGTGTTACTCGAACTGTAGTTCCATATACTGGTTATCGCTTTGTACAGTTCCGCGGTTGAAATCCACTGTCGATTGATATCTTGAAGGTCATGAGTCAATATTTCCCATAAAAATTATGATGTACTACTTGCATATATACTGGTGGATCTAATAACTGATGCATGAGTAACTCTGTAATACAAAAAGAACCCAACTATCAGAATCGACAACCTTTGTCGGTACGCCATGTACTCCAAAGTATGCATGTATTTTTATAGCATGGTCAGAAAGTGTTATCAACTGCAGCGTCTAGAAGTAAGATTGGTAACTATGGCCGTGAACCGTGATCCATCACAAACATACCCGTGAGAGACTGTCACCAAATACTTGTCGAAAAACATCAGCACTGGAGCCACACTAACCAGAGAATCAATTTCATGCAAGTTCCAATGCAAAGAAAAACTCGTCTTACTTTTTTGACCACCAGTAATTTTGTATTGCGCGATAAATCAGTCAGTGAAAAATTGATTTCGGGATACGGAAGTACGATCTGGACCATGCTTCTCCTTATGGAATCCATAGTAACCTGTGCATTAGATAGATCCAGGTTTCTCTTCCGACGTACAGGGTACTGATGGCACGTTAAGCACAGCAAAATTTGAATCGCAGGATTTCATGGTCGTGGTTACCTTGTAAAACAGGTCTTGCACGGTCACGATTGTTCCTGATCGATACCTAGAATCCAAAGTCCCTTTTGTCTTTTGCATAAGCGCCCCTCCCTGTAGAGTGGCTTTAGCTGCCGTGCTAACCAAAAGTAGAATAATAATGCTAGGATGGTACCTTCCACAGCGCCATGTACGCATCTTTCTCTGGGGCATGTCGCGAAGTGATCTGTAAAATGCTTGCTTCAGCTATGCTTGCTAGAGCTGGAAAAGAAAAAATTATGAGTGTGGCTGCCAAATCTCGCCATTACGCATAATACCTTCGCCGCGGAATCCAAAAGAGTGTGTTGACTGCAGATCCGCTATTGTATGGCACTTGGAGGTGACTGTGCCCATGGTTACCTTGACTGATGTGCAGGATAAATTGTTTACTATTGTTCACGTACCGTATCGTGTGGCAAGCTGATCCAAGTCTTGAGATGGAATGCCCACGCCATTGTCTGTCACTCTCACAAGGTATTTGTTGATATTGACCGCTACATCAATTGATGTTGCGTTGGCGTCCAAGGCTACTTTACAGGTGAGTCGCCTGGCAGGATAATGAGTTTCTTAGAGGACTGTATACCGTTGTAGACGAGTTCTTGTAGACACGCTTGAAGCGAAGTAATGACCAGTGATCTGAAATTGTGACAAAAGTCAGCATTTCAAGAAAAACATATATTCTTTCCAGGTGTTTACGATTGTATTTCGCGGATAACCGAAGGATCAAGATGCCGAACGGATGTCATAGTTGCTACATCATGCTTGGTGCACTTTCCTCGCTGAAGACGATTCACCGGGAATTTATTCAATTCCAAATTGATATTCCGCATGTCATTGCATAGGTCACCCATTTACGACGGTAATCTCTTCGATAAAGACAGGAGGTAAAAAAGAAGGTGTTTTATTATTAGCTTTTTGATTTTATCATTACGTTCACCATTGCCTTGCTACAACAGTTTTGTATGCCATTTAATTATTTTTCAGTGTAAGCTGTGGTAACCATTTAAATGACAACGATAATGTTTGACCGTCTTGCATTGCATAAGTGAGACGTTGCGTCCTTTTTGTGTGGATTCATGTGTCCAAACGAAAAGATCAATATCGAAGCGGTTGACGCTGGTGGTAAGTTGCTGTTTACGGGTTATACCTCCGGGGTATCCACAGCAATGAGCTTCTCGCAGATGGTTTCCGAATTTGTGAAAATGGCTACACTTGACTGTTGCTCATTGTTATCATCCTCTGTGACACATCGTTCTTTGTCGTCCATCATGGTATCGTCCAAATGCAAATAAAACGAGTAGCAAATCAGTAAACCAATAACCTATTAAAGCAGCAGTTAGGAAAGTGATCTGATGTTGTTGGTTGCCTTTTCCGTTTTCATCAAGATGAAATCCGATTTTTTACCTGAATGAATTTCAGTGCCCAAAGAGCAATCCCCCATCGATAAATTGGTTCAGCAAAGGCTTTGGCCAGTTTTGGAAAGCAGGGATGATCATAGCTGGACGAGGTTAGCATTGAGCGATCGGAAGGGGAAAGGAATCCTTGACAGTGCCATTCGCTTTCCAGGTGGCTGAGAACGGATGACTGATCGTACGCTTGTTGCCATGATTGGTTCAACTGATCTTGAACATACATGTCTTTATCCAGTAATGCCCATGTCGCTCTTGATACCTGAAAGCTGATCAATGCGATCAATGGTAGAAAGCACTAAACATAATTCCGTTAAGTTGCCTTTTAAGGAGTAATTAGCTATGTGTGAGAACATACCCAATGCACATGTTTGTTTGATCGTAGACTACTGAGCCCTGAAGCGTATAGTGCTATGGCCAGTAAATGAAGCCATTCCAGTTTGAAGGCGAAGGAAGGGATAATCTTGATATTGTCAGAGGTTGATTCGAGTCCTGACAGTTCTGTCAGGAAAGAAAATGCGTTATGACAGGTGATGTATCGGATTATGAAAGGGATCAGTGAGATGCCGATAAACTAGAGAAAATAGGTTCGCCATTACATTGTGGTTTACGAAGCTTGGTCACAGTTATCAGGATTACCATGGATGTGAATGTTAATATAGGGAGCCATATTCGGTGCTTGGTAGATTTTGTAAGAGTCGATCCAGAGATCTCTTCTTGATCATACGGAAGCCGTATCTTTCCTAGTTGCTGCGATATCATCCTTAATATTTGTACAATCCGTTAAGGAATGCAGATTGGCGAGAAAAGTCCATTTTGAATGATGGAATGGCTTTTATAGTAAAACTTTTTTTTCTCTTTCGTTCCCCTTATCTGAAAAAAAAAAGATCAAGCATGTGCATGATAAAAAAAAATTATATGGAAGCGATCAATTGGATTCAAAGGAATTTACGTCGTTTTATTTTACCATGATTCAATTGATTGATTGAAAACTGGGGTTCTTCTCTTCTTTTTTTCGTCACACAGCTTAACTTAAACAACTCATCCACGTAAATAATACCACAATGGCAATGGAAGATCTCTCCCATCTACTGATCTTCCTCCGAAGCAGGAAGATTCACTTTGGGATTGAATAAAAGTGCTTCACGTCCCCAGAAGAAGTCCTATAACAAACCATCAGTTCGATTCGTCATATGACATCGATCCTCATAACTATTTTTTACTCACCCTAGCTCGCCAATTGATATACTCGTATTTAACCCACTCCTTTGGATGATGAGCAGCATGCTCTTGATGCTTGCGATACAAATTATAGGCGTTGATACCAGAGGCAAGTAGTCTAAAATAGCAAGACGGATTTAACAGCCATGATTTCAAAAACTAACAGTATTATACCTACGCAGGAATGCAAACGAATAACGCAATTTTTCTCCAAGTCTCAGCAGCGTCTAAAGAGATGGTACGATGAGTGAATGGGGTACAATGAGCAATGACGATCAGAAATCATCCTAGCCGCTTTACCTGCAGCGTGATGCTTGATAGCTTCGCGCTCAGCTACGAAATCATTCTTGGCAAGGTTGGTCTGATAACGAACACCAAAACGGCGAGCGGAATGGAGTTGAGTAGTGAAGAAAGCACGCGAAGCCATATTGCAAACTGACAGAACGGAGTGAAAGGCGCGGTGATCCGATGGAGAAGAACAGCGGTGTTCGTGTTTGTATCACGTGGGGAAAAAACCCGAGTGGCTGCGCTGTTTGGCATATTTTGAAACCGCCTTGCACTGGACGCTGAGATTAAATCATTATACAACCAATGCATTCCTGCAACGGAAACAATGCAAGTGTGGAATCACCCACTTGCTTTTTTTTTTTCTTCCACCTCAATCTGAAGCAATAATATCAAATGGGCATTTTTTCTAACAGTCATTGTACTTCATTATTGTCAGAACAATAATGCTCAATCATCAGAAGCATCTGTATCTTTGCTCCCTTCGTTTGAGCATTATCCGACTTTAAAGGGGGGCATATTCGTCTGCTGAATCATCGTCTCAAGCTCTGTCACTCAATCTGGCAAAAAAAAAAGAGTGTATAGGGGACTCAAATACGCTTAGATCCGAGTATCATTGGCACCTCTTTTTATAGGAGTCAAAATATCTGAGGTTGATGAATGGAGAAAGGATCATCTCAGAGTGAAGAACGAGGTCGTATGCTCTCTCGGCCGTTCTTCTATCAAAGTGACATAGAAAAGAAATTCCAGGCGCCCAAACGCTGCCTTTGTGCACAAACTTCTTGCGCTTTGGAGTATGAAGTAGTGTTGTTGGAAATGCCTTGTGACTGAAAATTAGCGCGCATAACTCCCAAACATTTTAATAATGGTAGGTATATGCTCTGTACTTCCAACTGGTTCTGTGCTATTTGTGCAGCATATCCCACTGGTCATATGCCAACAATAATTTAGTCATAAACAATATCGCATAGAATATGACAATTGCAAGCATGAATAATTACTGTGTGATAAACGACAACCTGCAATCGCCTACGTATACCATTCGTTAATTGGCAAAAGGAGGACGGATGGTAGTTATGTTATGCATGAAAAGCGGGAAATCTAGTGCCATCGCTGGTGATCTTTTTCTTTTTTTTTCTCACGCTTGGCATCAATCCCGATTGATTCGGTGGCGAAATTTGAATATCGGAGAACGAATCTTTGGAAGGTCTTAAACAACAACAGTAAAACTTTGTTGGCAAGAGCTTCCTCGATTGGGATATAAATGCTCAGGTGCAAAAAGCAGTATGTGTTATTTTTTTCAAAAAGGATTGAGTATTCTAACTTCAATTTGTGTATTGTGATTTGTGAGTTGGTTATCGCTGTTTCATTCCGGTTTCGGTGGCCAGGAGATAGCCAAAGGAAATGCAAATATGATTGGGTAAAACGGTGGCTTTGATTTTTTCAATGATTCATGGTGAACTCCGTTGCTCGGGAACTCTGGTGCCTGTGCGTTTGGCTTTTCTTCTTTCCCTTTTTGATACAACTAATCGATAATATGGCCACAACTGCCACCGAAGCACTTCCCGTAGGATTCGCGATACCCAAAGTTGCCCAAGATCTCGTTGCTGGCACCGTTGGTGGTTGGGCACAAGTCGTGGTTGGTAAGTTACCGAAGCTTTGGAACTTGAATCTCGGTGTTCCGTCCCGGGCATCAACGACATAGCTCATTCTTATTCTTATAGGGCATCCCTTCGATACCTTGAAGGTGCGTCTGCAAACCCAACCTTCACCACCTATTTATCGCAACGCTATGGACTGTTTCCGCCAACTGGTGGCAAAGGAAGGAGTAAGTGTAGACAACGGTAACGAGTGTCAAAGGCACAGGAATAATAACTTGTTTCAAAGCCCAAAGGTCTCTACCGTGGTGTCGCTTCTCCGCTAGCTGGTATCGGTTTTTGGTAAGTCATCCTTTTTTGTTGGATCAAATGCTCCTACCCAGGGAACCTGCTGATCTAAATATCATACTTTCCCTTTATCAGCAATGCGGTTGTTTTCATGTCCAACGGAGAGTTCCGTCGTATATTGCAACAAGGAGATGCCAGCAAGGTGCTATCATTGGGTACGTAACTCGCTATCATGGAGCGAAAAGGGGGAAAAGGATCGTTAAACAGTGGAACTTTGATATGATAGGTGAGATCGCTATTGCAGGCTCTCTAGCCGGTACAGTGATGGCCTTCTGCAACTGTCCCATTGAGTTGTTGAAGGTGAAGCTGCAAACGCAGGATCCGGCTGGTGTCATTGGTGCTTCTGGAAAGCTTGAACCTCCTGTGAGTTTTAGATTTGCTGAGTCATGGGTCTCGAACTAATTTTTCTTACTTCATCTTTTTGATCCTGATAGTATAAAGGAGTTTTGGACTGTGGTATGCGAACTGTTCGAGCCAACGGACCTCAGGGCGTGTATCGTGGTTTGGGCATCACTTTGTTGAGAGATTCTCCCAGTTACGCTTTTTATTTCGGTACGTAAAAATAGAGTGCACTATATAGCCGCAAGCTCACCAGTTATCCTTTCATAGTCACATATGAAGGATTGAAGCGAGTGTTCCAGTCCATGAAGTCTGATCCAAATGCTGAACTTTCGACGTTGGATCTGTTAATGGCCGGTGGTTTGGCCGGTTTCGGTGCATGGATTCCCGCTTATCCTCAGGATGTCATCAAAAGCCGTATACAAAACGACGTCAGGTAAAGGAAGAAGGAACTTCGTCTGCTTTGGGGAGTACTGCAGAATCTTAACCTAAACCATAGAATCAAATCGGTGTCAGCCGCTGTGCGATCGTTGTTACGAGAAGGTGGTCCCAGGGCATTCTTCAATGGCGTCGGCCCTACCATGGCCAGAGCTTTCCCCGCCAATGCAGCCACTTTCTTTGCATATGAAATGACCATGAAGGCTATGAGCTAAGATGCCGTCGACTAGGATAATAAAATATTAGAATATTTTGAGCTTATATTGCACTGTTAGATTTGCGGTAGTTATATTTTCATTCGTTTGTAACATAGCATCTATAGAACTGAACATCACATTTAAATAGAGATTACCTACCATTCATTACCGTCGATCCCGATAAAGTACTCTGCGACGACCGTTTCGAATGCGGTGTCTCCATGCTTAGTGGCAATATCTTGATAATTTTCCTTACGTCGCCGGGTCTCCGTACTTGGTACTGGCGGCCTAAAGAACTGATCATTCTGGGCGCATGAAATCAATATATGGGAACTGACTCTGTCCGTGATCAACAGATGTTTTTGCATTATAAAGCTTTTAATTTCCATGGCAATACAATAACTCACAGCATGGATGCCACCCACAGCTAGTTGTAAAATATGTTCTAATTACTAGCATGAGAAGCAGAATATTGTGGATGAATATTAGCTTTGCAAAACGACGCCTGAAAGTTCTTTTAGCAGCCAAATTATCATTATATGATTCTCCATATTGTTAGTCGCATGAAGAACCAAGGTTGAACAAAATTTCATCAGGAACATTAGGGATTCAGTCGAATCTTGAGACAGAAAGCGTCGATGACTGTCGCATCAGCATAGTCTGTCGTCAGTGCAATTCCACGACAGGGCAAGTACGAAACTAACAGTCGCGTATATAAGCACGGGCAAGTTCATATAACTTATCAAGGCTAATGTTTAAATTGATCAAGATATATCAGAAAAAGGGGAAGACTGAGAGGCATCGATAGGAAGCTAAGACCGTTGCCTGGATTGTGAGGGTAATAAAGCCGGTTACAGTTCCGAGTGACCAGCAAAAAAATCCCTGAGTCAGCTTACCGAAGGTCTCTTAGATCTTTGAAACAATATCAACTGTGTAGACTCCTGCTCAAAAGTCACCGTAGGAATTTCAAAATTTCTAATTTCCAAAAATAATAATCGAAAATGCAATGATATGTTTCGATGGACAGCGTCCATAATAAAAGGCCATCCGAACAACTCCAAAATTTATAGTTGAGATATCCGATAACCTGTAACAAACAATATTTAATACAACGTTTGACCGCCTTCTTTCTCTATTACAATGCGGCACCTATGGGGCATCTAATCACTACAGAGCTTGCAGGCTTTCTGGTCCTGTCCTGGTGAGGATGTCTTTTTGCTGGTGGCCCCCGTCACGAAGGTTTTTCGTTTTTTTTTTTTTTTTTTTTTTTCCGTTGTCCGCGTTGCTTGCCTGCCCCTTCGGCGTTGCTTCTGTTCCTTCCGGACAACTTTTTTTTTCCTGACCTTGTCTCCCGCTTGTGTCCTTTTCCGGGTGGTCGTGCTTGTGGTCGTGCTTTTTTTTCTCTGGCGTTCTCTCCTGTGTCCCTTCGGTTGGACGTCTGGTTTTTTTTTTTTTTGGGGGGGGGGGTGTTTTCCTCTTGTCGTTCCTGGATGTTTCTTGGTTTTTCCTCGCCTCTCCTGGGCGGTTATCGCCGTCCTCCCCAGGATGCGGACTTCTGGAAGAGGTCCAGAGGTTACGGTAAGTTTTTCAATGAAGTAAGAAAGCTGTATAAGATATACTTTCACTGACGGCTCTTGTTTTCTTTATATCTTCTTCTCTCCCTAATCTGGTCATTTTCCAACACGCGAATTAATTATCTTTTATTTACTCTCATCATTTGATGTTTATGCTTTTTTATGTCTTTTTCTTGTATTGCCATTTCTCTTTTTTCTGTATCATTAGTTTGCATTTTACTTTTATGAGTTTCAAATTCCTACGGTGACTTTGAAATAAACAGTAAGAAGTCGCATTCAGCCGCGAGTCGAACTTTAGATTGTTTGAGAAGAGACGCTCAAAAGACTAGATTTCCAGACCAAAAGTGAACTGTCGTTTATTCATGGCAAGTTATACTTTTGTCTATTCTTCTATTTGATCGGAGACTATCATGAGGCAGGGTTGTTATACTCTGGTAGGCGATAGTCGGAGCTGTGGCTTGGGTTCAGATCCCGATGATGACGTTGATGGGTTCACGACAATGCGACGAGCGCGCATCCCAAAAACGTTTTGCAGAGAAAAGATAATTTGCCGTGATGATGTCACCTTCCCATTTTTTTTAATGTGCAACTTTATGCATTTGGGAAAAACCACAGGATCCTTGGCAGTGGTGCCAGTGTTTTAATTTTTGATTATATTACTTCTTTTCTGATAGCATCTTGATGCGGTTGTCTCCTGCAAGTCCAGAGTATAATGGCATAGCAGCTCTTAATATTCTTTACGAGGCTGGTTCGTTAAAATTTTTGTCCATGCTGGCTGAGTATACCATGGACTCATTTTAATCGCATACGAACGAATAGGCCTAGATGAAAACAATAGACCAATTGTAGTTTTGAGCGCTTGCAAGTTCCCTGATCCTGATGTCGTGGATTATGACCTCATTTTAGAGTAAGTGCTCCGAACTCATTCTTCTCAAGTACAGGAAACTCACATTGGCGCGACGGCAATCAAAAAGCTACCTTATGCAGCGATTGTAGGTCATCTTTGCCTGTATTCGACTCGCTCGGAACCAAAATAAGCCAACTTTAATGTAGGGATCATTTTGTGGAAAATGATTACGTGCTTGTTTTCTTCTCGTCACCCGCTCTCTATCGACCGTCGTGGTTTTGGCTGTTGAAAGCTTATCGTATGCTGGATCGCAAGTAAAATTTCTGAGTGGGAAAAGAAAGAGAGAACGCAAAAAAGGAGAGCAATGGGCTTAAAGTTTTGAAAACTTGCAAAGGTACAAGAAGAATCTCAAGTCATTGCTGGTCGTCCATTTAACTACGACTTACCGAGTTATTTTTGATTTGGCCAATCGAATAGCAAGGTAATTGTACTACTGTTTATTATTCACTTGGGGAGAATGCTCGGGAAACATTCACGCTGACCATTGTCTTCTGATAGTCCGAAATTTGCTCGCAAGTTGCACTACATCTCATCGCTGCAGGAACTTGATGCAATCATCCCCTTGGGGCAACTGAACATTCCACAAGCGGTTGTTGATTATGAACTCCAGTTATCGCCTGTGACCACATCCGAGTCTTCCCGTTCAGGAACCAAGCGCCGAGTCCAAAAGAAGGTGGTAACACCTTCAGTGGCCTTTGGACGATCTTTGGAAGATCTAGCCCAATTGGAAGGTTACACTGCACATCCCTCCGACGATGATCCATTTATTCCTGAATTCGTGCGTCGGATTATCCAGCATCTAAAGGCATCAGGTAACGTGATTGCTTGCTTTATTTTTTGGTTTTGATCTTTAGTTTTATTGCCTTTTTCCCTGTTTGCAGTTGGCTAATATTGAATAATCAGGACTCCGTCAGGAAGGATTGTTTCGCATTCCACCTTCCGCCTCCGAACTGCAGCAAGTGAAACAAGCTTTCAATCGAGGTATGCATTGTCTCAAAACGATAAATGGCATGTGGAACTCTGGTATAAAATACTGCCAAAAAGCAATGCCACCAAGAGTTATTAACAAAGGAGAAAACACACAGTTCATGTGAAAATTATGAAACTCATGCTTAATATTTTTTTTAGGAGAAACTGTGGATTTAGCGAATTACGATATTCATTTATCAGCCGCTTTACTGAAAGTCTTTCTACGAGAGCTTCCCGAGCCACTGTTATCCGCTGATTTGGCCGATAAACTAGAGGATTTGACAGGTATAAAAAAAAAAAAGAAACAAAGGGTCCCTTTTTTAGACGGCGTTTAAACCGACTGAATTTTTTTAGACATGGATTCGTATCCCCAGGAGCTTTTGAAGCGGGTTCATTCGCAGGTGATGGAGGACTGTAGCAAAAGAGCGCATGTTGTGGGATTTTTACAGTATCTCTTCAAATTCCTGAACGAGGTAGTACAGCATTCGAACCGCAACTTGATGACAGCCCGAAATCTGGCCATTGTATTTGCTCCGACCATAATCCGTGCTGCAGGCAGCGACGGATCTCCCGTACCCACCACGCAGGATGCGGCGATTGCGCGTGCTGCTGTTTACATGCGACAAGTGCAACGCGATATGTGTATTATTAAAATACTTATTCAAGAATATCACGAACTATTAAAATGGTGAACAATTGTTTACATCGCTTATTTCCATCCGGTGCTTGTTCCCCAAGAGGGAAAAAGCCAAATTCAAAAAAATGTATACTTTTTTTTTTCTTTTTCATTTTAAAAAACCGCTCTTGGGGGGATTGAAATGCCGATCAGCACCGATGTTTGGGAAGCCTAAAGTTTTTGACTTGCTTTAGGCATCAAGGTTACAATTGTTTTTTTATTCTTCTTTCTCTTCGATTTGTTGTTCAAATCCTCTTCCACTTTTTATTCCTTTTTCCTTGCCTTTTTCCGGTCGCCTCCTTAATTTCCTTTTCTTTATAGCAACACGCTTTATCTTGCCATTTCTTTTTTCATCGTCTGAAATCTTTCTTTTTTTTTTTCTTTCTTTCTGAAGTCCTCTATACTTCTCCAATCTCTTTCAAAGCAACAAAAAAAAAAAAAAAAAGACCGTGAATAGATTTCATCATGGAGCCTTCATCTCCGCCGCCAAGCCAGCAACCCCAGTTGCAAGAGGAGGCCAAGGCTGCTCAAGCGGTAGCCAATGAGGCCATCAAAACAAGCGCTCCCGACAGCAATGTATATACGTTTGATGCAGAACTGTCTCCTGCTCAAAAAGAAGCCCAAGCCGAGAAGAAGGCCAACCTGGGTACAATCGATAAACAGGCGCAAGAAAACAAAGCACCGCCCTTGGCCACGGACCTTGATACTGCAGACACGTCAGATATCGCCGCTGCGATTTCATCGGCTGGAGCCAAAACCGTAGCACCCGCACCTGCAAAAGACCAAGACACGTACGATATTCCCGGTACTTTTACGGAAGGGTACCGCAAAGGTCTTCCAGATTGGTATAAAGTAGGCTGGACCGCATTTTCAGCCTTGCCTAACCCGGGCGATGAAGTCATGATGACCAACCTCAGTCAACACTTGGATGCAGATGCATTAGCTGAAATTTTCAAACCGTCGCGTACAGACAGTGGCGAGAAAACCGACGATCTCATATCTCAGTTCCTCAGCGAAGCTTATTACGGTGAATGGTATCATAATACGGCGGCGATGATCTTTGCCGTCTTCTTCACATGGCTTCTGACTCGATTTGGGGCCGGTTTAATGGGATGTCTTGTCGTGGGTGCATTCTTAGGTAAGGTGTCTGGAGGGGGAAAATAAAAATAAAAGGAAAATAGAAAGTACGGACGTGGATGGAAGGGCGAGATCTATTCCCTTTTGGGAAAGACGTAGCGTAGGACAAGAAAGAAAAACGAAACAACGGTCTTGGCCTATTTTGAGATGGGCGCCATCATTCATGTTACTAATCTTTCCCAAAACCTTTTTTTGCAGCGACGTACTACCAAACATCTATCCGACGACTCCGACGTAATGTTCGTGATGACTTGCAGCGAGAAATGATGACCACCAAGTTGGAAACCGATACTGAGACCGCAGGATGGATTAATCACTTCTTGTCGCGATTCTGGCTTATTTACGAACCGGTATTATCAGCTCAAATCATTGGTATCGCTGATGCCATTTTGATTGAGAATACACCTTCGTTCCTCGATTCCATTCGTCTCAGTGCATTTACTTTGGGCACCAAAGCTCCCATTGTCGAAAGCATCAAAACTTATCCCAAGACAGAGCCCAACGTTGTGGTAAGTGGTTCAAAATCCTTTTTTGTAAAGTGTTGCTTGAAGTTTCAATTGCAAGTGTAACTTAAAAAAATTCTTGGGTTGCCCTTTTAGTGCATGGACTGGAAAGTCTCATTTATTCCCAACGATGTACTGGATCTGACCCATCGTGACTTGCAATCCAAAGTGAACCCCAAGATTGTCCTGACCATTCGCGTCGGTAAGGGTATGATTGGTGCTGGTATGCCCGTTCTTCTTGAGGATCTGGCCTTCAGTGGTACCATGCGTCTGCGATTCAAGCTGTTCAATGAATTCCCCCATGTCAAGACCGTTCAAGCCTCCTTTTTGGAACCTCCCCAGTTTGATTACTCTCTCAAGCCTGTTGGCGGTGAAACGTTTGGTTTCGATATCAATAACGTAGGGCTATTGATTTTTTGGATATGCACAAATGTCCTAGGTTCGCTCAATGCTGTTTTTTTTCATTAGATTCCCGGATTGCAGACTTTTGTCCAAGAACAAGTGCATGCTACGCTTGGTCCCATGATGTATGCACCTAATGTTTATACTCTGGATGTGGCTGGTATGATGGCCGGTACCACTGATCTAGGTAAGCAAGCTTGTGTGAGATAAAAAGTGTCTTTTTTTCTCGATGATAGACTTACAAATGTCCGTTTCGATTGTTAGATTCCGCAAACGGTGTACTGGCTATCACGGTATATTCCGCCTCCAATTTGAAGGCCTCTGATTTATTCGGTACCTTGGATCCATATATCACTTTCCATATCGGCAATGTGCACAACACCGAGTTGGGTCGTACCTCAGCTCACGAAGATCAGAACAATCCTAAATGGGATGAAAGCCATTTCGTCCTACTCAATAACTTGAATGACTCTATTTATTTGCAAGTGATGGATCGTAATTCGAATCGCAAAGATACCCCTGTTGGCGTTGCCACATGCGATTTGAAGGATCTTGCTGAAGCCAACAACGTATTGGAAGGATTGAATCTAGTGGTACTCCGTAATGGCAAGGCGGTCGGAGAAATCAAATGTGATATGCGCTACTTCCCCGTGTCACGACCGGATAAACAAGAAGATGGCACCATCATCCCTCCTGCTGAATCGAACAGTGGTATTTTACGGTTTACGGTCCATGAATGCAAGCAACTCGGTGGAGAGAAGAAAGGCGGTCTTAGCCTTCCTTTGGTGGGAAGCTCGGATGTCAATGCTTATGCGATTGTCCGTGTGAATGGCCAAGAACGTCTACGCACCAAAGCGTTCAAACGTAGTATCAATCCTCGCTGGGACAAATATGTGGAAGTTTTCGTCGCTGATAAGACCATGCTGGATCTTGGTGTGAACATCGTGAACAGCAAAGAATTCAGTGAAGATGAAGTCATCGGTCGGTGGCGCTCGAGCTTATTGGATATGGAAGAACAGTTAGTGAAGCAAGGTTTAGACTGGTGGAGTCTCAAGGATGGCGCTGGCAAGATTCATCTCAGTGCTGTCTGGAAACCCGTCGTCATGACAGGTTTTGCTGAAGGATTGGGTCATGGTTCTTATCGTAAGTATCAGTAGTCTACGTTTCGTTTGCCCCTCATCAGAGGAGCGATCAACAACCTTTTCTACTATATGTCTGTTTGAGCATTGATTGATTGAGGATTGCGGGGTCAATCTTTTTTTGTTTAGGTTCGCCCATTGGTGTGGTGAGAATTAAATTCTTTGGCGCTAAAGATCTCAAGAACGTGGAAGCGATGACGGGTGGAAAATCGGATCCGTATGTCCGTATCTTATCGGGAATGCAAGTTCGTGGACAAACCGAATATATCGACGACAATCTGGACCCTACGTGGGATACGGCCCTCTACGTGCCTGTTCACTCCATTCGGGAAGACCTTATTTTGGAAGTCATGGACTACAATGAGTTCCAGAAGGACAAGACTTTGGGTCAGGCTGATTTGATTCTCAAGGACATTATTCGGGAAACCACCACGCCTGATGGCCAGAAAGTCTATGAAGGCGTACATAAATCACCGCAGGATCGGTAAGTGAAAGGAGAAAACACAACGTTCACCGTTGATGAATGGGATTTTTTTAACATTATTCATAGTCACGCCGATTTACTTAACCATGAGCGTAAGAAGGGCAAGGGTACTTTGCATTATGAAGTGTCATTTCATCCTACCTTGGAGTTGGCGAAGAAGGAAGATGAAAAGAAGGATGAAACTCAAGCTGCTGAAGCCCCTGCAGAACAAACTAATGGAACTACCCCAGCTCAGCCTGACACTGAGACCTCGACTGCTCCTGTAAAAGAAGAACTGCCCGAGAAAGATTTGCATGGTGAGCTTATCAAATATACCGAAGATAAACGAATCGATTTATTGGCCTACAACTCCGGTATTCTGTCCGTCACCATTCACGCTGCTCAGCTGCCGGAAAAGGAAAAGGTGACGGCTGACATCTTACTGGATTCCAATGATGCCCAGTACCGCACTGCCCAGGTCAAGGGTCGCGACTTGCCTTTCAATGAGACCGGTGACGCTTTTGTCAAGGAACTGGACTTCTCGCGCCTAGTGGTTCGTTTGAAGCCCGTCAAGGATAACGACAAGGAAGATTCCTATGTCGGTTTTTGGACAAACCCCGTTCGCGATATTGTGAAGAAACTTCAAACCCGTTCGGCCGAAGAGCAAGAACTGATTGAACTCAAAGGCGAAGAATTCAAGTTGTTGGAATGTCCTGGTGGTACGATTCGCTTGAGCTTCGCTTACCGACCCGTCATCCAGTTTGCTTTGGACCCCAGCGAAAGCCTGGAAAACCAGGGTAACCTCACGGTCACCCCGTTGAAAGCAAGCAATTTGCGTGCAGCCGATCGTTCAGGTACCAGCGATCCCTTCGTGGTCTTCCGTTTGGATGATATCAAGGTTCACAAGACAGAGGTGTACAAGAAACAGCTTAACCCGGTATTCAAGGATGAAGTCTTCACGGTGCCTGTTTTGCGCCGTATTGGTGCACGACTGACCGCTCAGGTCTATGACTGGGACCAGATTGGCAAGGATACGTTGCTCGGTGAGGCGCAAATTCCATTCATGGCGGAGCAACTGGAAAGTTTTGCTGCCAAGGAAGTGGAAGTGGACCTTGGCGAGGGTGCCACGCTCAAAGTTCGCTTATTATGGCAACCACAATTGTTGGCCAGAAGACGTACCGGTACTTCCTTGCTGTCGGCAACCACACGTATGTTTACTAGCGCTCCCGGTGCGGCACTTGGTGGTGCCAAATCCTTTGCTGGTGCCGGTCTTGATGCTGGTCTTGGCGCGGGAGGCAAAGTATTTGGTGCTGGCGGTAAAGTGCTTGGTGGCGGCGTGTCTGTCATTGGTGGCAGTGTATCCGCTCTTGGCAGTGGTATCCGCGGTATCGGACGTCTCGGCAAGAAAGAGAAACCGTCAGCCGCCGATTCTCCTGTCACACCCAGCCCTACCAATTCCTCTATCATTGCTGCCGAAGCACATCCCACTACGAACGGTCAGCCTCTCGTTGAAGCTGCCTCGCCCGTCGCTCCTGCCCCAACGCATATCAGCCGATCGACGAGTTCCAATCTTCAAATGGACCGAAAAAGTATGGATTCCACTATTAGCGGAACAGCGGCACGCTCCATTGTGAATACAGACAGCAGCGGTAAGTAATGGATATAATGTCACATACATGCAGCATGTACCAGAGAAAGGGAAGAAAAGAAAATCTCATTGAGTTTATGGATGATAGATGGGTCTGCCGGTCGCGACGGCACCATCCATGTGACGCTTTCTTCGGCTCGAAATTTGAAGGCCATGGATAGAAGCGGTACCAGTGATCCTTATGTTCGTGTCCGTATTGGCAACAAGGTGGTTTACAAGACCAAACATATCAAGAAGACTTTGACGCCAGAATGGTAAGTTTCAATCGGTCACATCAACGTTTCTGCCGCAGAATGTCTCTCAGCGACGGTGCACTAAACATTGCTCTATTATAGGAACGAATCGTTCTCTTACAGAATCGGTTCCGGAAAATCCGTGATGGATATCAAGGTGAAAGATCACAACACATTGAAAGATGATGTGGATATTGGTGAAATCACATTTGATGTCTGGGAGCGTCTCCAAAATGGACAAACCGCTTTTGATGGTTGGGTGCCTTTGACACCTGAAGGCACGGGCGAACTTCATGTTCGTGTGGAATTGAGCGACAGCCTGGAAAATGGCAGCTCAGGTCGTGGACTGTTTGGCAAACGCATCTAATCTCTTTTCATCCTATTAATGTACTATGGATTTATTATCTTTTTTCTTTCTCTACCTAAAATTTGTACTCTCTATTGGATTATTTCTCTGTAAAACGCAGCCATATTTTGGCAATGGATCTCCAATAAAAAACAATATGATTTTGCGTTCGAGGAACCTTAGGCCTTGAAAAAAGGCAATTCGAAGACCGCCATGGGCGACTGCGTTTTTTTTTGCGCTCACTGTGAATTTCCTTGAAAGCCACCTACATTTTCAAAGATATCCAATTGCAGCTGGTCATTGCTCCACTGAGGCTTTGTTACCAATGTTTATCCTTTCCGAGATTGAGGACACAGTCAAGGTTGAACCCAACGATTTCCGAAAGGATAATCACATTGCCATTACGGATGTGCTGAACGAAAAATACGCGAATAAGGTCGGTAGCGTTAGCAACAGGCCCTTGAAAGCTACTTCAATAGGTTGGATGTCAATATTCCGAAACTAAGCACAAATGACGAACAGATAGTACAAGAGGTTGGCTTGTGCATTTGTGTGTATGATATCTTGCATGCCTCCGATGGATTTATCCTGTATGGTGATGGTTGTAGTTACATCAAAGGTAAGAACCTCGAGCAAGTTTGCATCGATGATGCAAAGTGACAAGACGGTTGGCTGACAGAGTGACAACAGTCCTTTTCCGCGTTGTTGTTTTCCGCCCTTTTGTGGGTGAAATTTTAACAGGAAAGATCAAGAGCTGCTCACCGCGAGGTGTCCGAGGTAAATATTTTCAGAACTGATCATGATGTTGATTTGGTGGTGGATATTGAGTTGTTTTCATTCAGTGACTATGGGATTTTTCGATGATATTCATATTCCCGGAGCGGCATTGCAAGCAGGATCCGAGTTGTAAGTGTGGCGGCAAATAGATATGAATGAAGGGGTTCGTGTTCCTGACATTTTTTTTTTTTTTTTTTTTTTTTTTACTTTGTTTGTCACAGTGATCCGGCTGAACAAGTGTGGGTATGGAATTACGACGGAGAAAAACTGTTTATGGACATTGACGAACCGATCCGATTTCGTGTATTGCGAGAATTCTTTACCGATACAACGCCTACCGTGCTTCCAGCCTCTGGATCTCAACAAAGACGCCAATCCATTGCTGATACCTCGGCAAATAGCGATTTAGTAGCGAACTCCACTAAAATACCTCCCTATTCCTTAACTGTAAGTGAAGGGCAGTGTTGAATCGAGAGGATACACTGGATGCTAACGTCATATCCTTTTGTAGTGCACAATTCAAGAAGATGGTTTAGGCTTATTATCCTGGTGGGGAAGCTAAAAATTGTTTAAATTTGATGTTGTCCTGGTCCTTTCTTCATTTTTCCCACCTTAATTTTGTACATTTAGACATCATTTCTGTTGTTCTTTTCTTTCTCGATCTCTTCATATATCATAATGTAAATCATCTTATTCACCACATGAATATTTAAGCTGTGACATGCACGGACTTATAAATCGGCTTCTTGTGTTTGTGTGTCAAAATACAATGCGGGCTTGCATGGTACAGATCAATATTAACCTGTGGGTTATTGATCTGATCGTTGACTTTTGATAATATTCAGAAAGAAATCTCAAAGTAATTACGAACGACAGCAGAATTGTATGAGCCCAACCCCCTGAACAACACGGACGACCAGATAAGCTGGTTGATCAACAAGTCTTGTCGAAAATCCTACTTTCAAAGCTACACTTGTAAATCTTTAGTCGATTGAAGAAGACAGGCGACAATAACCAGACAGTCTATGGGCGGACAAATCATACAGAAGATTACTGCAATTCATAGCGGCGAAACAAAAACGTAATTGCAAGACTTTCGGTGCCACCTCTCAAAAAGCCCCCCGTTAAAGATTGGTATCAAAACACGTTCATTGGATTTGCCTGGGACTCAAGGCTACGGAAACAACCTTGCAGACCGCTGCTTAACATGGCTCTCAATGTGTTTTCACATCCAAAAGCTGGGTTGTATACATCATAACAATGGGATAGAGTGCTTTATTACAGCATTCAAATTGATTTTGAAAGCACTCACTGCAGCAATTCTCCTATTGACCAAAATGCAGCTTCATTTGCTTTTTGCAGTGAAATCAACATAAGTTCTAAAAGCAAGATCGAGTTTCTTCGATATGAAAATGTATGTTCAATGGATCTTGCAAAGAATAATGAAGATACTGTATTGGATGGTTGATTGTTTCGTTTTATTGTTTTTTTTTTTTTTTTCCTCTGAAATAAAGTTAGTACCGGCGATTGTTGATGATGTTACTGTACAACAACAGACGATCATGTATCACAGAGTCGTGCAACCACTATTAAATGTGTCTTGTCTTTGACATTTGCATCAGAACAAGATCCAACACAGTCATAGTGAATCTGCAGTGGATCTATCCTATGGTTCTGGCTCTCTATTGCAAGTACCACGCACACAGCCGTTCAACAGCAATCCAACCGGCTGAGCCATCCGCAGCAGTACATGTGTTTCTATTCCTGACAGATTCAAGGCAGAATAACCACTTTAGGTTTAATGCTGTTGCACCGGCATATTAAATCAATTCGGTATGCCGAAACTGTTCAGCAACCTTGTGAAATGCCATATCATTAATTTCATACAGCGTCAAAGAGTTGTTTTTTTTTCTGGGGAGAGGGGACGATCCACCAATGGATATTTTCTTTTCCATTTGCCGTACTCTTAATTAATTCTATTGTGCCTTATTCAAATTTCGCCGTTTATTAGCTTATACGGTTGATCCAAATACTCGGGATCAGTCAGCACATCTTCTTGATTTCAGACATCCGGTTTCTGACGAATTATCGGAAAGAAGCAGTATCTGATTTCATATTTCTCAGTGACCGTCTTCACCAGAAACGCGATTCGTAATGACGACAACGAATGCAGGATCGGATCATGGAAGCGATGCTGAGACACGCAAGATTGAGCCTCAACGACATGACTCGGATATGAAGGACCGGTATGAAGTGCCAAATTTGACGTGCGATCACGGTCAGCCATCAAAGAAGGCTTTACCAGCACCCACCGCCAGAAAAAGCCATTCAATGACGGACGTTTATAATGTACCGCCATCGACCTTGCTTTCACTATTTTCGCGCAAGAAAGTTGCGTTAAACAATTATTTAGGCACCACGACATGGACTTCGTTACTGGCTTCGCCCAACCAAGCGTGTGCTCACGAGTTTTCAAGGATAAATGACTGTCCTGCAGGTCATTTTTGCGATGCGACGATTCAAACGTGTGTACCGCAGCATGGGCTCGGTGAACAATGCACACAAAGCTTAGAATGCGCGTCGCATTATTGCCATCACTCTCGCTGTGCATCGCTTGATATCGATTATACCAATAACTTGAAGAGTGGCCAGATTGCCGGCATTGTGATTGGTGTGGTGGCCACTTTATTCTGCTTCCTTTACTTTCTTTTATGGTGCCAAAACAAACAAAGTCGGTTACGACTCCAACGAGCCAAGCAATTCCAGCAGTTTCATAATATTGACAGTGAGCTATACCCACGACGCAAACATGGTGCTAGTACCGGCCAATGGGGCTTTCTTTCCCAGGCTTTTCGGAAACCGGCCGGTTCCAGTGACCCCGAGAACGAAGGTATTGTTCACTCCAACGAGGTGTTAATGCCCGACACCAAGAAAAAAACGGAAGACGAACAACGATCCATCACAGACACAATCTCAACCTATAAACCCATAATGCCACAGTCCAAACCTTCAGATTCTTTTGCATCTGACGTGTACAGCAAATATCAAAACGGACAAACAGCAGCAAAGCATACGAGCATCATACCCATTGGGCAACCGCTCAAACCCACGACCGCCAATACCCCGCCAGAGATGCCCCAGCCGCTTAAAAGACAGAGTTACGACCGACAATCAACCTCCAGACATAGTATCTATAGTCAAGGGTCGTATACAATAGGGCGGCCTGTCCGGCAATCGATGGCCAGCAGTGTCTCTACGATCACTGAACGGACCCTGCATCAAGGCGGACTTTGGGACGATGGCTTGGTTTCCAGTTCAGGGTCCGATCGGCATTACTCACGCTATTCTTATCAGAGCCAACAGCATTCGGTGTGTGCGTACGACGATTGGAGCTATCATGAAGGTCCTATATCGCTTTCTTCTTACACGAGCGATCATGATTTAGCATCCATAGCCAGAAATTCCATCGCTTCGGCAATTACATACCATCAAAAAAGGTACTAAAATCCAATAAAAAGAAAACTCGTTCACATCATCAGTCAAGTTGCACAAGAGGTGACGAAAAAAGAGAAACCCAAAGCAACCAAAACCTAGCACCGAATGAACATGGATACACGGAACACCGTCCGGTGTTTTTCGCTACTTTGGGAGCGAACGCCGAAAAAAACAAAGGAAAAAGCCATTTTGGCAAACGCTCTTTTCTGTTGTCTATTATACGGACGTGGCTTTGCTGAACTATTCAAGCTTTTCTTATTGACTTGTTACTTTTTTCTTTTTCTGTGTTGCCTCGTCATTTCTCGTTTATCGTTTCCATTTCTTCATATACTTCATGAGCGATAGCAATTCCACTTCTAATCCGTTCGGTGGCAATCCGTCTGAAGCGCAAGGAGGGCTTTACAAGGCGATAGGTGTCACCTTAGCTGTAGCAAGCGGTAGCGTTGGAAACATTGACTAGAGACCTATTTTCAACATACTGATATAATATGACGTCTGTAGGGTTGTTTATTGGCAGTAGTTTCGTGTTCAAAAAAAAAGGTTTATTACAGTCCATCGAGCGTTCTGGTAAGTCAGCGTATTCACCGAAAGAAAGGGCAAAATGTATTTTTTGCATAGAGATTAAATACTGGTTTCTACTTCGAAAAGGTGGCATAGCTGGTGAAGGTTACAGTTACCTTAAATCGGCGATGTGGTGGCTCGGCATGATACTCAGTAAGATTGATGAATAAGATCCCGCAACCACATATAAACTGCGCCATAATAATAACGGGCACTATTTTCCTTACTAGTGGTCGTTGGGGAGCTATGCAACTTTGTAGCTTATGCTTTCACGCAAGCCATCTTGATCACACCTTTGGGCGCATTAAGCGTCGTTATCAGGTATGAATATGGCACCGTCGGATTTTGAAACGTTTTCTTTTTTGTTTTGACGATCTACAAATACGGCAGCGCGATATTGTCCTCCATTTTTCTCAAGGAAAAACTTAATTTTCAAGGCAAAGTCGGTTGCCTGCAATGTATTGTTGGGGCTGTGGTTATTGTGCTGCATGCACCGGAGCAAAGTGCTTCAGATACTTCGATTGACACATTTCAGCATCTGGTTCTTTCCGTTGGTAAGACTCCCGACCGTTTTTGTTTTCATTATCCTGTTATGTGTATGGTTCCGTTCAAGTCGATCTGGTCGCTTATGTAATTGTCTAGGTTTCCTGGTCTATGCAGGAATAGTTACGCTTATATCACTGGCGCTTGTGCTGTATTGTGGGCCGCGATGGGGCAAAACGAATATGCTCGTATACATTTCTATCTGTTCGCTGATTGGCTCGTTATCGGTTGTATTCACCCAGGGCCTGGGATCCGCCATTGTTCACTCGATCACGATCAGCAATCAATTTACCCACTGGTTCATTTACCTTGTGATTGCTATTGTCGTTGTTACTCTCATTATTGAAATCGTTTATCTCAACAAGGCGTTGAACCTATTCAACACGGCTTTGGTGACGCCCACTTACTACGTTATATTCACGACGTTGACCATTGTCAGTGCTTCGGTGCTTTATCAGGGATTCGATGCTTCCGGTGCTGATATCGCCACATGCGTTCTTGGATTTATATCGATCTGCTCAGGTATAGCGCTTCTCCATCAAAGCAAGAGTGCACCACCATCCAATGAGAACGTCTCCCTGGGCAAAAAGAAATCCATCCTGCGCATGTTTGATGTGGAAAAGCAAGTGACCCCGCTCGATGAGAAAACAGAGATTGAAGATGAAGGCATCGGTATTGATAAACCTGGTTTGGCTGAATTGTTCCCCGCGCCTTTCACAGGCATTGGCAGATATGCCAGTACGACCAAGAATCGAAGCCGAACAATGTCAGGTTGCTTGCCAACTAGATCACGCACATCTCCGTTGGACGATTTCACAACACCCCATTCAGATACTCCGGACACAGATTTTTACAACGCAGAGGAAAATGTCAAAGAGAGTTTAACATTGGCACAGCCCTCTTCACCATCCAGCCTTGAACCTCTGACTGTCCCCAAATCACGCCAAGGTAAACTGAAATAGAACGATGGCGTTACCAAGCATATTACTTACCAAACGTTCATTATTTTTGATAACAGATGCTGATCACCGAGCCTTTTCGAGCAGTAAAAGTTACAGCCAACCATTACTTCAGTACGAATCAGGCACGTTTGGTCGCCAAGTCACCGATACTTCACCAAATACTCCTGTGACCGATGGTCACAGACCCAAACCATCCAATAGTTACTCGCGGCGGACCCAGCATGATCTCAGCCTATTCAGCTCGTACAGAATGGGTCTAATGGATGAAGATGCTGATGACAAAGAAAGCCTCGTCAAGCATGCTTAGATCGAATGATGTCTTTTCTAGATTATTTGTATTATATTTGCTATATATTTGTATTCTGTATTATTGGTTCACTAAATAGGTGCTCTTCTATGAATGTTAAAGTTGACCCTAGTTGTCACGTCGAATCTCACATATATACCGCTATCTATACACAAAGGAACCATAAAATAAGATGTCGGTTCATCTGATATCACAAAAGACCAGGCTGTGTTTATGTGTGTTCTTGCTCACGTTGGCAGCATTAGTCAGTTGGAACACGAAATTGGAGCGGAACCGGGGTTTTGCTTGTCCAGTATACGTCGTTTACTGGTGGAATAGGGTCGTACAACGACTGGGGACTTGGACATAAAAATCATAACTGATTGGTTGATGATTTGAAATGGAAGCCCACACGACCATGTCCTTTTTTTTTTTTTTTTTTTTTTTTTTAATTCGACTTTCCGACCTTTTTTTCTTTTTTGTGGAGTTTCCAGATCTAGTCCTGTCACCTTTTTCTTTACGATTTCATAGAATTTCTAGATTTATGTTGTCACTCCTCCCAGTCGTACAACAGCTTGATTGTTTATCCATTAAATGTATGGTATGATCATCATTCAACGACTTGTTACACCAATATAAATCGAACCATGTCATCTTATCAGATCAATCTTTAATCATCAGAAAAACTCAAGCATGCCTGATGAAAATAGTGCTCATCATGTAGCGGTCAAGATCGTAGAATGAATCCAATGAAAATATATGAATCAATCGCCGATCCGCGGTATGCATCTGTGTGTTCTAGCGTTTCTTTACAATGAAAGATCCAGGACATTTATGGAGAAAGATATACCCTTGAACAAAATATGACAACTTATGATCTTACTTTGTTACGGTCAGTCGACATTTTTGGTCGTATTTGAGGCGCATTGGATACTACCTAGGTGTTCCATACTTTACTTTTTCTCCTCTTTTGTATACTTCGATTTTATTTTTCCCTTTTGGGGCGGGAATGCGATCTTTTGAGATAACGCTCCATGTGGCGCTGTTTAAGGATGTACAATGTGCGTCCATGGCGTGCATACAAATGTTGACAATCAGATGTCCGTTTCCCCAGCCCTGGAATATAAACTCAGTTCACCGGTGGCACCAGTTGCCTAATTCAACAATACATTTGAAATCATCAGATCCTCGGGAATGCACCATGTTCGCCTGTCCAACGTATCTTAAGTACAGAAAAAGGAAAAAATGAGAATTGAATGGAAATATGTTATCTGATCCTTTTCAAAGTTAAAAAAAAAAAAAACGAATAAGGTGTAATTTTATTTTTAGTGTATTGGGATAAAATTTCTCAACACAAGTAGTATGCTAGTTATTATTGTAATTAAGCTTTGATATTCATAACTTCGTCTATAACTTCTTCCTTCTTATCGCCCTCGCGGTTGACTTGAATAGCACCCTGGCTGTCAACGTAGTTCTTGGCATTTTCAAGTGCAGCATCACCGTCGTCCCATTCACCGGCTTCGGCTCGACGGATGGCAGCGCGCTGGTCCTTGAAATAAATGTAGACGAGTGACAAAGCAACAAAAAGCCAATAAAGACAATAACTGATAATAGTACCAATTGTGGCAGTGTTGTTCCAACCCAAAATGGAGTTGAACACTTGACTAAAAAAAAAAATGGTGTCAGATTTTTCCCTTTTGGGCAGCTTAGTACCAAATATGACACTTACTATCCACCGGTGGCACTTGTCTTTTCTTCAGGGTTACCCCAGGACACATGCCAAACTGTAGAACATCATGATCAGTCATACAAGGAAAAAGAGATCAAGTGAGTAATGAAAAATATTACCAGCTGTGGTGACCTTGTAAGGAATGACGTCGCCACCTTCTTCTGCGGCTTCACCGCCAATGACCTTGTTCCATTCGTACTGTTCAAAGAAACCAACGGCTTTGGCCATCAGACCAGCAGCCACAAGGTACAAGATGACCGTGGAAATAATGAAGAACCAACGTAATCTGAGCATGGAACCACCACGGTAAAGGATGTAACCCACAAGAGCACCACAGATGAGACCCATAATAACAGGGATGGGAATGGCTTTGGCTTGAACGTTAAGTGATACCTAGAAAGTAAACGCGTTGGATGATAAGGAACACGTCGTGTAATGACCATCCACGGTGACATTTTTGCGCTACTTACACCACCAACAAAGACGACAGCTTCCAAACCTTCTCTGAGAACGGTCATAAAGGGAAGAATGAAGAAAGCATAGCGTTGCATCTTGAGCTTCCACGATGACTTTTCTTTACTGTCTTTTTCCATGGCTTTGGCCAATTTGACCTTCCACTTTTCTTGCATTCGTTCGGTTTTCAGCATGGCGATGCCCATAGCAGTGATCATGATGGTAGCGACGAGGGAAAAGATACCTTCCCAAAGATCTTCGGATTCACCCCACACGTCGCGAATAACCGTGTACCAGACAGCAATGAAAGCCGCACCAATGCAAAGGCAGATGAAGAGTCCTACCGCTGAGCCGATCCAGACTTGGTTGCGGAGACGCTTATAGATAGGCGAGCTGGTTTCAAACATCTTTTGCAAGAATGACAGCAACACGGACACGATGATGGCAGCTTCACATGTTTCACGGAAAATGATGAAGAAAATTGGCACGTCAAACAAGTCTTGACCCATGATGAAGAAAAAGGTTCAGACAAAGAACGAATGAAGAAAGAACAGCAACGGAAAAAAAAAAGACAAGTTGAATTGAAAGTATAAAAAAAAAAAAGACGGATCAAATTTTTTTTTTTAAACCAGCATGTATTTTGGTCAGTAAAAAGATGCGTTCCTGATCTATGAATGGTGATGATTGTGTACGTGTACCTTGTCGATCACCCAGCCAAACGTACCCCGACAAAAAATTCAAAGTCGAGTCAGCCAATTATCTGATGGAAACGGCGGTGTTTATCTGATGAAAAAAAATCTAGATCATAGGTTACACCATCAAAACACAGCCTTTTTTCCCTAATTTGACAAGGACCTGGACTTTGTACTACACGACACCTAGCATTGCACCAACTAGAGATCATGTCAACGTTACAATAAAGATTGACAAAGATAAAATGACCATATTTCTTTTTTTCCGATCCACGGCCATCCAGCGGATCAGATTACAAACTGCACGACTCGGTACCACCTCCAGTCCCATCATCTTCTTTTTAGGAAAAACGAATCGACAAATTATTTTTCCTTATATTTAATTTTTTTTTGCTTGCCTTGTTTATTTTTCTTATCTTTCTTTTCATCAAGGTCCAGGTGATCCTCTGCTAATATTTCTTTCCTGATGCGATCGTTGGGAACAGTACTTCTTGGTTTGGCCTCGATCGGTTTGGCTCAAGCCGCTCGCGTGGTGTATGACTGGAACATCACCTACACGACGGCGAATCCCGATGGTCTCTTTGAACGACGCGTCGTTGGCGTCAACGGGAAATGGCCGTAAGTACCTTAAACCTCAAAGAAAAAAAGGCACAAGAGAATATTAACTTGGCTTTGTATTTTAACAGTCCACCCCCTGTGGAAGCCACCCTCGGCGATACTTTGGTGATCAATGTGCACAATAGCTTGGATGAGCCTACCGCTCTCCACGCGCACGGCATGTTCCAAAATAACACTGGCTGGATGGATGGTCCCTCCATGGTCACTCAATGGTAGGTGTTCCTGAACCTGTTTCATTTTCAGATCTTGTGTGAATTGACATGTATTTTGCATGCTCCTGTTAGTCCCATCCCTCCAGGTTATGATTTTACCTATGAGTTCGATATTGTTCAACATGGCAGCTACTGGATTCACAGTCATTACATGGTAAGTCATCGAATCGGCCCATGTCAACCCTGAACTATCATCTCATCCGTCTTTGGTAGGGTCAATACATGGATGGTCTTCGTACTCCTTTCATTCTTCACAGCAAAAACGAAACATACAAGTATGATTATGACGTTACCCTTCCTCTTGAAGGTTTGTTTCAAGATTTTCTCTTTTGATTTATGCTTTTTTGCCTTTCACGGTAATTTTCTCATTCATATTTGTCTTTCCCTATTTGGCGTTATTTTTCTTTTTCATCACAGATTGGTACCACGGCCAAAGTCATGATAACCTCGCTACTTTCTTGAACGTATACAACCCTACCGGTGCTGAACCTGTCCCAGGTACGTACTTCTGCAAACATGCTTCATTCGAGAACGTGAATGTTTATTCTTTGTTTCACAGAGTCCGGTTTTATGATGCACAGCGTCAACTCAAGCCTTAACTTTGTCCCTGGCAAGACTTATCGCCTTCGTCTTATCAACATGTCTGGTTTCTCCATGTTTTACTTCAGCATTGATGGTCACGACCTTGATATCATTGAAGTCGATGGCGTACGTATACTGACTATTGCCATGGTGGCGAACTTTTTTTTGTCTCGTTTACACTTACACATGTTTTCCTATGACAGATTGAAACGAAGCGCAAGACCGTCAAGAGCGTTTACTTGACCGCTGCCCAGCGTGTGTCCGTTTTGGTGACAGCCAAGAACACGACCGACTTCAACTACTACATGCATGCTGACATGAACATTGATATGTTTGACCAGTTGCCTCCCGCTTTGAAGACCAGTAAGTTTGCCCACCGAATGGCAATTATGGAAATTAAAAAAAATTTGAAACTCATTTCTTGTCGCTGTTTAGATTTGACGGCGCCCATTTATTATGATGCTTCCCACAGCAAGTTTGCTCCCAGCGAAGATATTGGCATGGCCAGTGATTTCGACGACCTTGACCTTCCTCCTGTGTTGGTTGAGGCCGCCGTTGAGCCTGATCATCAAGTGAACTTGACCATTGACTTCCAAGTCACCACGGATGGTATCAATCGCGGCATGTTCAACGGCTTACCTTATCTTTTGCCCAAGGTGCCTACTTTGAACACTATGCTTAGTCAAGGTGAACACGCTTTGAGCACCGAAGTGTATGGTCCCCAAACCATTGCCCACGTCCTCAAGCATCTTGATATGGTCGAAGTTGTCTTGAACAACTTGGATGCCGGTGCCCATCCTTGTAAGTCGTGTGTGACGTTATTAAATCTTGTTGCTTTTTTTACTGACGATCACCATTTTTTGGCCTCTAGTCCATTTGCACGGTCACGTTTTCCAGATTGTAGCTCGTGGTCCAGGTGTTTATACTGGTAACCGCAGCCAGGCAGTGTGGTCCCTGGATAATCCTACCCGTCGTGACACCGTGCAAGTCCCTGCCGAAAGTTTTACCATTATCCGGTTCCGCGCCGATAACCCCGGTGTCTGGATTTTCCACTGTCACATTGAATGGCATTTGGAATCCGGTTTAGCCGCCACCTTTATCGAAGCGCCCGATGTCGCTCAGCAACGTATGAAGCTGCCTCAATCCTTCAAAGATCTGTGTGCTGCCAGCAATATCCCGGCTGAAGCCAATGCGGCCGGAAAGCAAGGCTTGGATCTCAAGGGAGCCCCCAGTGGCATCGAATTGATTCCTGATGCCTTTACCGCCAAAGGAAAAGGTGCCCTGGCGGCTTGTGTTATCGCTGCTCTTATTGGTATGGCTTCCATTGTCTGGTTTGCTTTTGCTGATCCGGAAAAGAAGGCTCGCAATATTATGGCGGCTAAACAGCAACAATCTTAAATTGGGTCAATCATGAATGTATGCTTGTACCTTTTGGTTTTATTAATTCTTTTTTCTTGTTCATCTGCTTCCCACTTTTAGACTCTTAATTTTATACTCCATAATTTTTTTTCGTTATAGCTTCATCAATGTTGTACTTGGAGCAAAACCAAAGTCCACGCAATATTACATAAAGCAACTCTCATTTTGTTATCTTTTTTCTTCGTCTTTTTGAATATAATTATTCATTTTATTTAGTCTGTATTTGGCTTGTATATACTATCCGTCATGTAGCGAATTCTCATGTTCAGTCTTCACACGACTGGAACTTGCATTGAAAAAGACGAAGCAGTGAAAAAGACGAATCGGCGAATTAGCGCATTACATATCCCACCGTATGACTGTAGTTCACAGCAAAAAATGCTGGGCATAAACTTGTTACAGCTTGCATAAGCACCAGGGACATCAATAGGCCTCTTGTACACCAAATGGATGCAAACAGCAGCGAGTGATTTTTCGTCGTTAAACATTTAGGCGGAAAATCAGTAAGGGTCATCTCTTGCGTGAACCGGTTACTTTGGTCATTCCGCGGAAAGGATCCTCACATCATGCGTTTCCATTCAGAAAAAAGCTAAAAAAAAGGGAAGGCCGTTCTTTATGGAACCATGTTACCATGACAGCACAGGGTTAATTGACAGTGAACTGCACATGGTAGCCGGCATTGACATAGACGGAAATACAGGCCATAATCTATTCCTGGAAAGGGTATTCATCAATGAAAAGGAAGATGTGGAAGGTTTTTGCGTGATAACAATGAAGAGACGGATACATTGGGAATTTTTCCATTTCATCCGCAGTTGGTGGTTATTGGTTACAGAGTGACCGAGGTTTCACATGCATGGAAGCCAACAATGAAGGAAAAAAAAAGGGTCGAAAAAGGGTCCACTTCTCACGCCTCCGCTGTTAATGCAGATCATCACCTGACTAAATGGTCTCTGTTGTCTCGTTGGTTTGTCTGCTTGCTATTTTGCCCACAGCTTACACCTATTAGGTAATATCATGGATAAGGTGCAGCCACATTGTTGCTATCATGACAATCAATAGTATCACCAGAGGAACAATCGTAAACGGATTTCCAGTGTCTTTGTAAAGACCGATAATGAGTGCCCAACGCATGTAGAAAAAACGCTGGGCATCTGCCAATGGATGGTATGACGCTCCAAAGGAGAGGGCATAAGCGGATATTGAAATCATTTGAGGGTGGGATTATTTTACAGCAGCGATGGTTATGTAAGCTTCTGGGAATTTTTTATTTTATTTTGGGTCGGGGATTTGGGGGGGGGAAAACCTAAAGTTTTCCCTTTGTGCGGCTATACGATGGAAACCATGCCACGTTAAATGTTTCAAAAAAAAAAGTGCAACCAAGAAAGGTTTGGAGTCTCTCAGGTTTTGCTTATGAAATCCAATCGCATGGTGTGTTCTTTCCCCACAGCACGAGTATTTCACTCATGTATTTGCAGGTCAGCTTGTGGTACGACGTCGCCTCTCCCACATGACCGCCCGTAGCCCTCTTCTTTTCCGCCCTCCTCTCAGTCAGGCTTTTGACGAACCCAAAAAGGTGAACCACATGGGGATGAGTGCAACTATGGTATTTGCTCATCAAGCTAACGGGGGAAATTGGTCACAAGGCGAGGAAATAAAAAAAGAGGCAACAAGTAAAAAAAGAGACGAGACATTTTCCTTTTTCGCCTGTAGTGTGAATAAATGGGTGGGTGAAAACGGGACATGCCGTAACCCGAATGAGACCTACCAACCATCAATGGATGATCATGAGACATATAATGAATACCGGAAATCGGACGATGAGGAAATAATCCAATGAATGATGGGCTCAAAGGAAAAAAAAGAAAAAAAAAGGGTTCAAGGCAAGGGTCCACAAAGGGAAGTGGATGGTTTGAAATGCCGCTCAATTTTCTTTTTCTCTGGGACGATTTCCCCGACTGAAAAAAATAACCAGAGCGATTTCCATTGGACCGAAACCGTTTGGGTGATTTTTTTAGGCTGAACGAACGGTTACGATATAAAATAAGAGACATTTACGCACCGGTTCTCCCTTTTGACCCTTGTTTTTTCCTTTTTACTTTCCTTTCCTTACCGACAACCCACATTCTTTTTTAAACTTCTTCAGTCATGTCCGCCGCCGCTGACGCTCTTTTCAAAGATATTGAGAGCCAATTTTTGCTCACCAGAGATCAACTGGCTCCCATCATCAAGGGATTCATTGAAGAATTTAAGCACGGTCTCAAAACCCCTTCCAAGGGTCTCGCCACCATGATTCCCTCTTTTGTGACCAAATTGCCCAACGGTAATGAAACCGGTACTTTCTTGTCCATGGACTTGGGTGGTACCAATCTCCGTGTGTCTGCCGTGCAACTCCAGGGGGATGGCCGTGTCGACGTTCTCGAAGTCAAGCGTGCTGCCACCACCGAGCTCAAGACTGGCAAGGGTTCCGTCTTCTTTGACTGGATCGCCGACACTGTGGAAGAACTCATCACCAAGAAGGCTCGTCACTTGTTCTCCGAAGAAGAAGTTTCCGCCAAAAAGACCCTTAACCTTGGTGTCTGCTGGAGTTTCCCCGTAGAGTAAGTTATATCCAGATATGCTAGCCCAATATTTTCTGTCGTGATATTGAGGCCGAGAACGTTTCCAATGCTAACCTTGTCAATGTTTATAGTCAAACTGCTGTTGATCGTGGTACCGTCCTGAGAATGGGCAAAGGCTTTACTTTGGAAGATGTTGAAGGTCATGACCTGGCTGATTTGATGCACGCTGCCTTTGAACGCAAGGTAAAGTATCTAATGAGAGAAGTAAAGGAAAAGAGAGAGAGAGAAAGTGTGTGTGTGTGTGTGTGTGTGAGAAATAATATGGCGATTGACGAATCAAATTACTCATTAATCATTGGTTGGTTTTTTGTGCCTATAGGGATTGAATGTCAAATTGAACGCCATCTTGAACGATACTGTGGGTACCCTTGTGGCTCATGCCTACTCCAACCCTCGCACCCGTATCGGTTTGATCTTCGCTACAGGCATCAATGCCGCTTACCCTGAACCTGTTGAATCCATTACGAAGCTGTCGAAGGAAAAACGTGATTCCTATCCTGCTGGTACAGAGATGCTTCTCAACACGGAAATCGACATCTTCGGTGGTGACTGGTATCTTCCCTTGACCAAGTACGACAAGATTTTGGATGACAACCATAACCAGCCCAAGTTCCAGCTTTACGAAAAGATGTTGTCCGGTGCCTACATGGGTGAACTGACTCGTCTGATCGCCCTGGACTTTATCAAAGCCGGTGCCTTGTTTGGTGGTCACATTCCCGAAGGTTTCGGTGAAGCCTGGTCTTTCCCTACCGCTAACATGAGCATGTTCGAACGTGATACCACCGTCAACCGTGAGAAGAGCATGGAAATCTTGAGCAACTACCAGTTTGTCAACTCGCCCACTTTGGAAGACATTGCCATCTTGACTCGCATCTGCCGTCTCGTGGCTACCCGTAGTGCCGCTCTTGCCTCGGTTGCCATTGCCGCCATGATTGAACAGCAAAATCTTCACAACAAGACCAACAACGATATTATCGTCGGTGTCAATGGTTCCACTTACGAATTCTATCCTTTCATGGAAGAACGTATGCACCGTGCCCTCCGCGAATGGTTTGGCGTCGAATTGTCTGACCGGATCAGACTCGAAATTGCCAGAGAAGGTGGTAGTGTCGGTGGTGCCTTGATTGCCATGTTGTGCCGCGATTAGATCGGTTCCCTTTGGGTTTCCTTTTTTTTTTTTGTGTATCATTTGTTATTTTTTTACCTTTATCTCTCCTTGTTTTGGTTTGTCTTATTTACTGTAGATAAAAAAGCAAAAAAGAAAAGCATGGATCATAGACAAAACCATGTGTGTATTTTTATACTCATCTCCATGTTTCCACCCTCAATAAATCTTTTTACCATCCTATAATTGATCCTAAACTTTTGGAGTTTGGTTGACTTTTCCGATTTCTGCTTCGATGTTGTCTGTCTTGATGTTCACTCAAGAGACGCCATACAAGAGGTCCTTCAAATCACGGATTCACAAACCCACGTTATGACTCTTCACAGATCGCTAGGGAATCTTTTGCCTTCATTGATCACCTATTTTTTTTTTTTTTTTTTTTTTTTTTTTTTTTTTTGCAGGAGCTTCTTAGCGTCAGGCCACATCGATAGGTGATGGGTGCTCAAAATTGATCTGTTATGATGACCTTTACACTTATGACAATGCAACAAAATGCAAACCACACGATTTACTCCCAAAGTATGATAAAACTGTTAGTATGGTTAGTTGTAAACTATGCGCGCGTTAGTGCGTAATGAATTTTTTTTTCTGGGTTCATGCATGAAAAGTTGGCGGGAAACGGGTTGCCAGTCACCGTTTCCGTGACTCTGAATGGCCGCTTTTTTCCCTTTTTTCCCTTTTACAAGTGTCTTTCCCCCTCCTTCACTGTCGTTTTTTCCTTTTTTTTTTCCCACCATTTCGTCATGTCGTCTCCACAAAGTCAAAATAATGTATTCAGACAGCAGCAGCATCTCTATCGATCCTCCCATTACCTTGCCAAGTCCAAGTCTCCTCCCGTATATACACCGCCCGTAGCCAGTGAAGCGTCATCCGACTGGAATAAAGGTAAGCTTTTCGTCATCCGCTGCGGTCCTCCCCTTCTGCCCCAAAACGACTCATCCGTGCCGTCATTTTTTTTTCTTAGGTCGTAAACGACGTGTCTCCGAGGATGAGGAAATGGGGGGACTCTCCAACGACCCTTCTCCACCTACGGAAGACCGCTCGCTTCTGGAAACTCGTCCCACCATTGATCGTATGCTGCACTTGACAAAACGCAATCGATTAGGCGTTCAGAAACAATTTCCCATCACAAAACTTTTAGGTAAACGGAAGATAATCTCAACCGAACTTACGCTCGTCATTGGGACACTGAATATTAAATCTTATTCTTTTTTTCTCTTTTCTTCCCAAAAGCAACGTTGAACAAGGACAAGCTGATTGAGCTCATCAATGACTTGGTGGATTCCAACCCGCATCTGCAACGTGAAATTGATGCCCATATACCACCTCCTACTACTCAGTCGGTCTCTCTTGTCATTGGCAACCTCGAGAAAAAACTTGCAGACAGCTTTCCGCTAAATAAGAACCCCCAAGGTGGAAAAGACGATTACACGTTTAATCGAGTCAAAGGCCCTCTCATGGACGTTGTGGTAAGCAAGCAAAGTGAAGCAAGGCAACCAACAGGTTGCCAAGATTCGGTTTGGATACTTATCTTCCAACTTGAACATAGAATGCATTATTGGAATATGCCGATCATTTCACCTCATCTTCGGATGAATTTCCTACTACGATCTTCTCCTACCTTCATTATGCGACATGTGTCGCCCATCGACTACCGACATGGGATAACGATGGTACGTGTATAACAAATCTGCTCTTCGAACTAAAGATTGGATTGAATGGCAATCCCTCATGATACACTTTCAAACAGCACATAACCAGATTAAGCGGGATCTTTATTCGAATCTTGTTTCTTACTGGAAAAAAGCCATTGATATCGCTGCGACAAAAGCACAGCAGGGTAAAATTTACGGTCAGCAGATGGTGACAGAATGGGCTAGACAGTAAGTGGTGTTATAAAGATTTATGTATTGAAGAGAACTTGCAGCATGCTCGCCTTAGATAATGAATGCAATTGCTTAGGTTGGCAAGTCATAATGCAGAAACGCAAGGTCTTTTTGATGACGTGATACATGCATTCACAGTTCAACTGGGATGGATCATCGGTATTGAGAAAGGCGTATCGGATCATCATTTGTTTCGCGCCGGTGGCGGATCGGATGTTTCCTCTTCCCTACGTCGGACAATGTCGCCTTCCAGTACTTACACCCCTTCCCATCACTGGTAGCTCACTGATCTTGTTCTCAGTGACTTTATACCTTTTTTGTCTGTACTGTATCCGCATGGTCTCCACACTCTTATTGCTCACCATTACTATGTAGCTTGTAAATAGAAACCACTCTTTATCCCCTTCCGCCATCTCCTCGTTTCTCACAACTGTCACTTTCCAATAATAACACTTTTTACATCTTCAAAATCTTGACAGAAAGAAGTAACAACAGTACACATGTTTAAGACTCAGGATTGATTTACCTTGTTTGTGCGCATGTTAATGACAGACACGAAATAAATAATCCTTGAGTTTTGCCTCATGTGTTGTTGTCCTACCTTTTGATCCTAGAACCAACTTACAGAATCCGTATAACGGGCAACGATCTGATTGTTTCATTATGTGTCCATAGCAAATAGCAAAACGATATCGTTCCAAATGATAAGAAAGCAAGCAAAACTCAAGCAAAATGAACATTGACTGTTCCCTCATCCCAGCATGAATGTCGGATCGTGAATCTCGGAAAAGCGAGCAGTCATGGAGAGTAAAAAAAAAAAAAATTTGTCGCCAGGAAGCCCATTGATTTGAATTAAAAAAAAAGTGCGGTATTTCCTTTGCTTTTTTGCACGCATTTTTTTTTTCTTTTTTCTTTTAAAGCATAGGTCTTATATCTATTCATGGGTGCGCCAGAAAAGTCATCCAGCGACAGTATCACTTCCTGGCTGAGTTCCAGTCGTCCTTCCTCTGACAGTCCCACCAAATCCAGAATGGCTGTCAAAGATATCTTTAAAAATCGTCCTACCCCATATACCAGTGTTACGGCAGTCAGTCCGTCGCGTTCACCGGTTGCTGCCGATCGTTCACCAGCAAGACAAGCATTACCATTCTCTCTGGGTTCACCGCGCAATATGTCATCCTTTGCATCTCGATTGTCGCGTTTCCGTTTGTCAGAATCCCCCACTTCGTCCCCCACACGGTCCATGTCCGTCGACTTGAACCGTGACGATGACGACGATCGTTCTTCTGTCGATTCCAGTTCGCCAGTGGTGACGCGAAAGCTGCGTGAGCGTAAACCGCGACAGCCGATCCAGTTTTCCGATGATTCGGACGAAGATCAAGAAGACAATGTGTTCATGGAAGCGCCGGCCGACGACGATTCTGACGATCAGGCGATCGGTCCCGCCAGGCCGCGACGTAAACGGCGACATATCGCTGACAGCGATGAGGATATGGACGATGACGATGACGATGACGAGGAGTATCAGGAATATGTAGACGATTCGACGAAAAACGAACGCGCGCATGAAGCGTCGACGGCGTGCGATAAAGCTGTGATGCTTCGCAGCATTTTCCCTCATATTAGCTTGGATGCCATCACTCGTGTTCTCAGAAGTACCAATGGCAGTGTAGTGCTTGCCAGTCAATTGCTCGCCCGCAATCCAAGCTTAGCCGCCACGTCACCGGAAGGAGCGTCTCCTGACCGCCCCCGGCCGAGAAAGCGACTTCTTCGAAGGCAGATCGATTTATCGTCGGATTCCGAAGAGGAAGAAATCCGTACGCCGGCGTCATACGATCCTGTTGCAGCGCTTGGCGAAGCGAGAAAAACGGCCCAAACCGTGCGTTTCTACAATAATGCAACGTCGCAGGAAATTCAGGACGTGACAGGCTGCAAACCTGAGCAAGCAGAACGACTCATTACCAAATTACGTCCATTTGTGGACATGGAAGACTTGCGCGAAAAATTACGTCAAGAGCGGGGATTGAGTGAGAAATTCATTTCGGCGTATGTGGACATGATGGATGGTTACTCGGCGGTGGATCAAATCATTGAAGAGATCGAACATGTCGGAGGCAATCTTCGCAAGATCATTGATGTCTGGGAAGACTTGCAGAAACGCAGCCAAAGCGCAGATAGTAGTCGCCAAGGCACACCTTCGTCGGATGATGCGGTGGATGAATCGGCAGGCACACATCTCGTGGAGCTGCCGTTCGCAACCGACGCTGTCGCGGACGTCAACAGTGATGTATACCGAGATGCCATGGACGGGTTCTTGACACAACAGCCCAACTACGTCAGCAAGACAATGCAGTTGAATAATTACCAAATTCTTGGCGTTAATTGGATGCTCTTGTTATATCGCAAAGGGTTATCGGGAATTCTTGCCGACGAAATGGGACTGGGTAAGACGGCACAAGTGATTAGTTTCTTGGGTCGACTGTACGAAATGGGAGAAAAAGGCCCTCATCTGGTGATTGTGCCGGCTTCCACGATTGAAAACTGGATGCGTGAATTCCAACGATTCTGTCCGAAATTGCATGTCGTCGGTTATTACGGGACGCAAGCAGAAAGAGTGTATCTTCGCGATGATTTGTTGGAGAGTCGAGATTACCAAGTGGTCGTGACCACCTATACCATGGCGACGGGCGCGCGTGAAGATCGCAGCTTTTTGCGAAGGTTGGGATGCAAATCGATGATCCTTGACGAAGGACACATGATTAAGAACTGCACTAGCTCTCGTTACACGCATCTCATGTCGCTTCGCACGCCGTTCCGGTTATTGCTGACGGGCACCCCACTTCAAAACAATCTGCAGGAACTGGTGTCTCTGTTGACCTTTATTATGCCCGACATGTTCCTCGGCAACGAAGAAGAAATTCGCAAAATCTTCAAAATCAAAGCCATGGCCACCACATCGTCCCGACAACGCCACGATTCAAAACATTCTGATACAGGTAACATTGCTCAGGTCCTGTCTCGACAACGAATTGCTCGCGCCAAAAAAATGATGACTCCGTTCGTGCTTCGTCGACGCAAAGCCGATGTTTTGAAGCATCTGCCTCAGAAATTCCAAGTCATTGAACGATGCCCCATGACCGCCCTGCAGAAAGAAATGTACGACCGCATCCTGAAAGAATCGCAACGATCTTACAAAGAATCTCTCGATGCCAAAGCAGACAAAGCCAAAGCCAAAGCAGCAGCTGCCGCCGCCAAACGCGCCACGTCGTCTCAATTTGAAAAGTTCTCCAACATTGTTATCCATCTTCGCAAAGCCGCCGATCATCCACTTCTCTTCCGAAACCTCTACACGGATAGCAAAATTCGTACCATGGCCAAGAAAATCATGAAAGTATGTACCCTTCTTTCTGTGGTTTTTTCTTACAGTCCCCGCTTACCGAAAGAATGTACCATTTAGGAGGAGCAATATTGGGATGCTAATGAGGAATATATCTATGAGGTAAACCTTGGAAACTGTGCGATGTTGGCATTATCCACTCAAACTTTTTTTTTTTTGCCATGCTGCTTCTTTAGGATATGAGTGTCATGTCTGATTTCGAATTGCAGCGGCTATGCAAAGAACACAAGGTACTGCCTGCGCGAATGTCAGCTTGTATGTATCTGTTAGTAATACAGTCTTTTTTTTTTCCAGTCGATCCAATCCTATGCGCTGAATAACGAGGAATGGATGGACTCTGGCAAAGTTCAGAAGCTAAAGGAATTATTACCTGATCTCATTCAAAAGGTACCGTTTCTTCCTCCTACTGTCGCTTGAAAAAAGGAAAAATTGGGCTGATAGCACTGATGGCAATTGCAATATAGGGAAGCAAGGTGTTGTTGTTCAGTCAGTTTACCCGAATGCTGGATATTCTGGAACTGGTCATGGATACCTTGGGCATGAAGTATGTTCGTTTGGATGGTGAAACCAAAGTGGCCGACCGACAGCCTCTCATTGACGAATTCAATGAGAATGACGACATCCACGTATTCCTGCTAAGTACCAAAGCAGGCGGGTTTGGCATTAACCTTACCTCTGCAAAGTAAGAAACCAGACACTTCTTTGATCCTGATATTGCTTAGTTGCAATGGACTGACCCCTTCCTTTCATTAGTGTGGTTATTCTCTACGATATGGACTTTAACCCGCAAAACGATAAACAGGCCGAAGACCGCGCTCACCGTAATTTATCATTCCATTAACTGTTCAAGCTATATGATCCCTGTGTAAACTAATACATATCATTGAAATAGGTGTGGGACAAACCCGCGACGTTACTGTCATCAAACTGATCGCTGATCGTACCATTGAAGACGCCATCCTGAAAATGGCCGAAATCAAACTTCGTCTGGATCGCAGCGTTTCCGGTCTCGGCGACGATGACGAAGATGAAGACGAACGAAAAGAAAGCGTACACACTTTGCTCAAGAGTGCGCTACTGACCTCGGCATAGTCAACAAAGAAAGGAAAACAACAAGCCAATCAAAGCATTATTTATCCCAATTTTATTTCTCACATCATACATTGATCTTTTTTCATTTCATTCATTTGATACATTTTTTTTCTTTTTTTTTACATTTAGCATGATTCAATACATTTGTCATTTACCATCATAAACATGTGTCTAATGATTCAGAAATGGCAGATATCGTTTACATTCGTCGCTTTTCTTCTTGCAAATCGTTGATGGCAGTTTGGATTTGTTTGCTGAACCAGACGCGAGTCGTTTCTTCTTCGATAGGAATCACGCGAGTTCGAGGTAATTTGAGATGCAACAGGACACCGTCAATGCTTGATTCGCATGAATCCACGGTTTCCAGGGGCTGCTGCCATTCGACGCTCAGTTTTTGAGTTTCCAGTACAATCACACGATGGTGCGTCAGTATCGCGACATTTTCATCATTTTGAATCGTACAGTGGGCAAGGTAAATCTCATGGAAATATTTGCCCCCTTCCAATTCCTTCAGCCAGATCTGTCCCAAGGCTTCGCGTTGTGAAAACGGCTGTCAACAAGATATCAGTCATACTGAACAGTAAAATAATCCACACGTCATGACATCTACTCACCACAAGGATATCGTCTTTGCCAATATACCGAGGGAGACGTTCTCGACCAATATCGCTTGCATCAAAAATGGTGGTCGTCTCGCGAATACCGGCCGTGACATTGCTAGCAAAATCAAAAAAGCCCACCACTGGCTTTGTCACCATGCTAAATACAAGCGGTAGAGACATAAGTGTTTCTTGTACTGGACGAGAAATTTGTCACTAGCATTCTTACCCTACGACTCCTTTGCCGAGACCGGCTGCAAATCCAACCACTCCGCCCGTCTCTGCACCTTCCATGGGACGTTTCTATAATATGAGCAAGCAGGGATTAGTACATATTTTGACATTGCCTTCTATTCTTTTTAACAGTGCATCGATTCATGCCCTGGGCTACTTACTACCAGACCGGCCACTCCACTGGCAACGCTGGTACCCAAGTAGGTGACGCCTTGGGTCACACCGTACATGGCGTGTCGCGGCTTATTGCGTGTCAAGTTCATGCGACGGCGATCTTGGAATTTCTTATCCATAGTTGCTGCGGATAATCCTTTGCCGAGACTGCCTGTAATCCGGCTCACGCTATCTGTCAAACCAAATACGCTCTTCTTCATGAAGCCGCCTACACCCTAAATATCATGTGTATATCCCGTGAGTTTATCAATGAGGTAGAAAATGTTTCTTTCAAGATGATGTTTACCCTTGCAATGCCAATGCCGAGGTCCTGAGGTCGATCGCTCATGATAAATCCTTGATATGGCTCGTAGAACAGTTCGCCAAATCCGGAACTTAGGTTGCTAAACAGACCTACGGGGTTACCGAGGAAATCGGCGCTGCCCAGGACTTTATGCACTTGATAAATGACTTGATCTCGATAATGGAGCATGATACGGGAAGTTAAATCGGCCGAACTTGCACGCAAGTTGTCTACCATGAGTGCGTTCAACTTGATAGGTGCATCCTAAATTTTGGACGGTGAGCAAACATTCTTTTGCCGCAAATCCTCACGAATTCCTCATTTACATTCACATTGCCGATCGTCATGGTGAAAATGTTGAAGACGTAGCTAAAAGGAGATCCACTTGCACTTTCCCTAGAAAATTCGTTTGTTCCCCATCAATACCCCATGACTTCTGGCAAAAGCTCTATGTTTCCTCTTACGTGGCTTCCATTGCGTTCACTCGCTCTGTTCGCATAAACGAAAGATTTAACCGCATGGGCTGGATACAAAACTCTTCGAAATAGTAAATCGCTTGTCGCGCTCCGATCTCCGGTTCAGGTATCGCTTTGGAAAACACCAATGCATGGCTAAAACAAAACAAAAAAATCAGTGAATCCCCGAAAAATGTCATTCGTTTCATGAGAGTCTTACTTGTCTGGCTGCTGTTGATTTTCCACCGTAGGGAACTGGGCAAATTCCAGCAAGCCGTACAGGAAATCTTCATCCATTTCAAACGTCATTTCTTGCAAAAGGATGGAAAACAGTTTGAAATAAAGTACGCCATGCACTAAGAGTAAAGTCACCATTGAGTCCATGCAATCAATCGTGGAGTAGTTGGTTGATGTTGAACTTACTATCATCCTTCACTTTGTCGAGCGCCATATGGAGTGTGGGATGTACAGAGGCATTGTTGGCATGTTTCGGCAAGGTGGTGGGGAAGAATAAAATTGGATAAGTGGAACCGTGGAACTGGTTATCGATTTGTAGCCATCGGATACTGGTACGGATCGATTGATACATATTGGAATCGGTATACTTGAAGTCGACATCTTTCATGGTCGCAAACGCGATTTCCTATATATAAGAGAACCGTGAATAACCTTAGGGAACACGTACTCGAAAATCATGCTCACTGCTATCCAACGTACCTGAACTTTTTGGTTGACCACAGAGAGACCGATACCGGCCAATTTCAATTCGAATTCAAAATTGACAGTGTGTTCGACATCGACCGTTTCAAACATATCGCGTACGCTTCCTTCTCTGGAACTGGAACCGAGCGTGGACGCCGCCGATGATTTGAGACGGAATAAACTTTGCGTGGGATCGAAATCCGTCAAGACAAGGACTAACGAAGCCTCCCATGCGACAATATCAATCGATAAAGCTCCCGCGCCAATCACCACTCTACCAGTACTGTCCCGTTGTTTCTAGATAGAGATCCGCTTTAGTTTAATCTCATAAGCGACGTAGCATCCTTTAGAGACTTACCCGGTAACGGAAAGGAATCTGGGTACCGATTGCTTGGAAATTGATACTGCGTTTCTTACCGTTGACTTCCAGCATCAACCGTTTATCTCTGGAGATAGGCATATCCCATGAATATCTCAAAGATCGCCCGGGATCTAAGCCAAGTCGTTTGACCGTGCCCAACGCTTTCTTTTGCTTGTCTTTCAAATGATATTCTTCGAAACCCAGCTCCTGGAAAAAAGAAAATTAGAAGCTCTTCCAAGCCTTACGCACACAAACGGAAACTTACCTCTTGGAAAAAGGATACAGGAACGCTGGAATTGTTGATAATCATATAGGGCCATTCCTTGGTCTCTTGGAAGGAAATAAAAAGCGTAGCGTCTTGAAGATGAATGTTGATTTTCACCAGCAAAGGCTCCGATTCGCCTCTGTCGACTTTGATGAAGCTGTTGCCGATTTCTTGCAAATCAAACGGAGCGGACCATGCATAATCGGAATCCTTCAAATGAAGACACAACCATTTGATGGCTGTTTTACTCATATGATACAGTGGCATCTTTTGACCGGGATCAATAGGATGGTTTTCCGTTGAACCAAACTCGCGATATTCAATAGGCAGCGACAGATTATTTTTCAGGATGAATCGAGGCGCAATGGAAACCAATTTGGTAAGCCAGTACTACAGAACGAAACATATCTCTCTAAGCATACCATATTGCACCATGATCTTTTTTGCATAAAGTACACTCACCATGCCTGTTCCTTCTTCAACACGAATACCGGCGTGAATTTCCGAGACATTGCCATCCGTAGCCAAAGTGACTTCTTGTACACTGCCTACGGCTTCAAAGCTCAACGGCTGTCATCGGTAGATTAGAAAGTAAAGTAACAGGATCAGAAAATGTAAATTCTTCTGCATTACCTGACTCCATTTCGATCCATCCATCGACAGCAAGGCGCGATTATGACGATTGAGTTCCGGATAGGAAAACATAATGGGCACAATCTAATATCAACCATTCATCTTAAAGTCAATTCACCGGGAAAAAGTTGGACTTTTTTGACGAGGATGTCCTACCTCATCTGATGCAGAGCCAGCATCATGTATCTCAATGATCGATTTGGCGTTTCGACGTGAGGCGCGAGGTTTAACGGTGAGCGGTAGAGATGTTTTGTTAAGGATCAGGTACGGCGCAAAGATGGTCACCTTTAAAGCGTCGCTCGTTTTTGTCAAACGACTGTGCCACAAAGAGTTGTAAAGTATATTAGAAGTTGAGCTCTCGTGGAAACCAAGAAAAATGACTTACGCTGTATTCATGCATAAATACCACGGTCTTTTCATGTTGTCGAATAGAGTTAGTGGTTGGGCCATGGAAGCGTCGTACGCTTTAGTTTGGATATCAATGGAACCATGAATCTCGTCATCTAACAATCCCATCCGTCAGTGAAGTCAATGAATATACCAGATCTGAAGGTTTTCATTTACCTCCGCATTGTACTTGAATATCGAAAGAAATGTTACTGCCGCTTGTAATGTGGTACATGTGGGTTGTTTCGCCTTTAGGCACATTGGCCTCATAGACACGATCAATATTTCTTTCCTTGAGCTTCAAATCAAGACTGAAGGGTAACAAATTTTCAATCTGAATAGGTGGGCTCAATTGCACAGTCATGAAAGGATATTGCCTAGTAAAACAATGAGCCCCAAAAGTCCCCAAGATATGCCAAGGTCACAAAAGGCAAAAGCAAAGGACCCTTACCTTGCAAGCGAGCTTTTACGATCAAACTTGCCGTACAGCTGAAAGTAAAAGTTGGGCAAATTTGTATCGTGGGGTTCACATACAATGTACTTGGGACACTTTGGATGTGTAATATCTGACCACTGCAGTATTTGTTTGCTCCAGTGATATTCGTCTGTTATCAGTAGAGTCGAGTTTAACAAGGATTTTGGGCAAGCAAGCGAGCGATTCCTCTAATGCTGTACTCACCTGAAGGACGAACAGCGAACCAGTACTCATAAACCATGCCAATTGGCACCGCAAACTCGTCGTGTGCCTCTGATTCATGTGCAACATTATCAGGATTTGATACTCGCCCCGTGCAAAAGAGTTTTTTCGTCACTCACCAATGGTCCAGACCGGCGACATCATTTTGCGTTTGGCATTGACCAGGACCAACTGCAGTGATGCTTGGGTCTGATTTTGAAAGACAAAGCCGCTGCGGAAAATCACCGTTTTCACATGCTTGTCCAAACGAATGTCGACCACTAGACGATGAGCGATGCCGTGCACTTCCGGTTGAATTTTGTAGGCGTGTTCACCCTCTTTATCCACAGCAATATGAGTGAAGCTTTCCCAACCAAATTGTTCCACTTGAATGCCGAGCAAGTTCTTGCCAACATTGATTTTCTATCGGATTTTCATTTTTTTGTCAATAGGTTAATTTTCGCCCCAATGCGCTCACTCATGTTTTTCCAACATGTACCTCTCTGCGTTTCTTCCAGTCACGGAAAGTCCACGGCAAAGACTGGCCAGGATCTAATTGCACAATGCGTGTATCACCTTCTTCAGCATCGTCCGACATGTTCCACAAGCGCAACGGATACCCTGTATAGTTTTTCAAAACATACGGTCGGACCTGTTTCTGAGACGTTTCACGCAACGGTTGCACATCGTTTAGGGTCTCCGAGATAGCCAGAATACTCTCCAGGAACACATGGGTCAAATTCAGATTGAGAAGCGTTTCTGATTCCAGGTTCACGTGCATCGATCGCAATGCAGCATCTTGCCTCAACTTTAGCCCAAAACCCCAAGGCTCCAACAACGGTTCCCAGTGTGAGTTTTTGAAATTAAAGTTGTTTGCATAAATGGAGAAATCCACGTCGGCCACCAGCTAATTTCAAGAAAAAAGCATCATTCAACACGATTGGCTTGTTTCAGTGTCCCCGATGCAAATTAATACTTACTGCTCTCGACCAATCTTTGACCTGAACAGTAAAAGGCTGCATGACAAGATCGATAAACGGCAAATCGTGCAGATCTTCAATAAGGACCAATTGCAATCCTTGGAAACGGGCAATCAACTAAAATGACAACAAATAAAATTCAACAAATGAGCGATGGGCATCGTTTTCAATCCTCTTTTTTTTTTGCGAGCTTACGGATTCTTTGGACATGACAATGTAGGGGGTCACTTCACGCGATCGGCGGGTCGACTGAATGAGTTCCGACGAGTTGGCACCGACTTGCAATGGTGAACGTGGATCGTCGTGAGGGTAATCGGATCCGGAATCACGGTGTTGTAGACCTGACACATCATCGTCATTCATCGATTCGTGCAGCAAAGGAGGCTGCCCGGATGGCTGACTAGCAGCATTGCCCATCAGTTCCATGGCTTTGTTAATAATTTCCATGATCAACAGTGTGTCATGGTACGACAGGCGCAGGATAATGGGTTGCACATCCAGTTGGATCACCATGATATTGTGACCCGGGGTTGATGCGGAGGTTTCCAGCTTCAAGCCCACACCGAACTCTTCCACAAAATGCGACGTCGATTCTTCACGAATATCCATTCGACACAAGACCATACCAATACCAATAAAATCAACACGCAAATCTTGTTGCTGAACAATCGACAGCTGGTCAAAGGAGAAAATCACCGCTTCTGACGATCGTTGCTCGGGTTTGGCCAGACAAATGACTTCCACATCGACAACCTGAACACGGTATCGCAGTTGGGACGCATTGGTACTGGACGAGGGATTGGAGGCCGCACTGGCAGCGGATTGCTGTTGACGTTGTTGAGCCGTTGCCGCTTTCACCTCGGCTTGTTCGGCGGCACGGGCACGGCGAACGGACGGGGTCTCGAGTGCTTCTTGGCGGAATTGTTCACGTTGCAATTCGGCAAACCGCTGCGCATCACTGCGTACGGGGGATTCATCGACAAACGGGGTCATGAAAAACTCTTTAAGCAAGAACAAATAATCGAGCGACAAAACAATTCGAGGGCTATCGACGGCCACCCAGATATCCATCGTCGGTTGGCCGTTTTCCTTGGCAGATATCAGCTTAAACTGAAACTGAGGTCCATCCAGTCGATTCGCCGGTAAAATGTCCCTGAACTGCGAATGCGAATTAACACGGGTATCGGAGAAATTCATCGATAGCATCTGCACTTCCAACGTCATGGATGCATCCGCCATGGTTTGAAGTTTCATGGACGTGTCATTGAATGACAATCTCGACAGTTTCTGTTGATCACGTTTCTCCAGCGGTAATTCAGGTCCCGTCAAGGCTTCAATAGCAATGGTATCGACTTTGACCACCATCTCTAGCTGAATTTTATTGCCATTGTCCGGTTTCGCGGTCGTCGAAGATCGTCGCTCGTCCGAGTCTTGCCGCTGATACGTGCGGCGGGAAGAAGCTCGATCGGTATGCACGCTATGTCTTTCCTGGTCCTCTGTCGTCGTTTGATCTTCCTTGTTTTCTTTTTCCCTGGACGGGAACAAGAAATGCATGACTCGATTGTAAACTTTCAAAAGCGAGCAAAGTTGGTGCTCCGTCAAAGCCATGCCGACATTGGAAACGGTACCCAAGATGCGCGTGGAGGGACCGGGCGCCTTGTCCGATTGCTCACACGTTTGGATGTGGAACGTCAAATCCAGATCTTCAAGAATAGGCAGGTCGCGAACGATCATCGATTGGTTCTCCTTTTGAACGGCGTGATGCGAACGAAGACTGATGGAATAAAGACCACACTCAATGACATTCACTGGCACCGAGACGGAGTGATAATCACGACGCTCTAACTGCTCAATGTCCTTGAAACTGTTCACGGCCCGGATCTCGCCAAGGTAAGCAATGATGGTATCGTCCATGTTCTCATCATCGGCCACAGGGAAAACGACCACGGGACTCTTCACGCCAATGTCAAAGTGGAATCGTGTACTTTGTTCCTGCAACTGCTGCGCTGTCTCGGCCGCGGCGCCTCGCGCTGCATCGTACACCGTTTTCATCTGGAGGAATTCGGACAAGAAATCGAGCGTGGTTTTCGCCGAATCAATGAATAAAAATCGGAAAGATCCCATTCGCATACGGAACTGTTGGTGATAGCCTGGGAAATCAGGCGCTTCAGCATCCAAGGTCTCGTAAGTGAAACTGAGCAATTCGTCGCCCTCGATACTAAGAATATGGGTCTGCGAAGGACTGTCGCTGGTATCGTGATTGTTGGCGTCAATGTCGGTATCATCGACCAGTGAGAAACTTGAGAACTTGCCCATGACTTTCATGGTTTTTGGGAATAGTAGAATGGTAAGATGACCATACGCCAATTGACCTGTCCCCAGTCGCATGCCATTGTTGTTCAGAATCAAATCCAAACTGTCCATCTGCAGGTTCACTTTGATAGTGCCTTGATTCGCGTTGTTAGCTTTTTGTGGAGGTGGTTTTTGTATGGATTTCGGTCTTCCCAAGGACAAACGGCGAGAAAAGAGGCTGGAATGGTCATCGTGTTCGGCGTGCTCGGCGTCTTCCTGGGATGGTGGAGGCGCCGTAAATGTGTTGAGAATCCAGTTATACAGCGTCAGAATGGAAGGACGCGTTACAATGACATTGAGTGTCGATAGAGCGACATCGACCGTTTGATCGAACCCGCCAAAAGATTCTTCGTACAACGGATGCGCCGGGTTGACACGCAGGTACTTGACATTGACGAGATTGTTCTTGGTTTGCTGGGCCTCTCCGCGATGATCAACGACATCCGAAGTGACCAAGTAGTGAAACTCGTCACCGTGTTCCATGTGATCAATCACATTCAAAGTACGCAAGCACACTTCCACTTGCATGTCGTAAGGTCGCGACAGAAACATCAAATCAAAGTTTTCCAACACTAGTTGGCACAGTAACGTATCGGTGGTGGTGGTATCGTGAAACGTCGTCTCGTGAACAAAAGCCGACACTTTATCCACCTGAAATGTAAACTTGAACTGCTCTTGCTGTGATTTCAAGACGGAGGCATTGGACACGGTGGATTTATTCGTTGAATTCGTCGACGCGGCGGTGCTGTGATGACTACGTTCGGTGGTGAAACTGTCTGTATCGGAGAGCAGGAGATCATGCATATCGCTGTTTCCCCACAACCGTTGCGCAAGGGCATTTTCATTTTCGAGGGGGGATTTTTTGGCGACATCTTCACCGTCAGTGTCCAAAGACGAAGTCGGTGCGACAAAAAGATCAATGATCTTCATCAACGTCTTGTACTTGCTGTCCGAGAAATTGATGGATAACAAGGGCAAGTGGCCCGATACTTTGAACTTTGTAAACTGCGTAGCGCCAGGGAGAATGCACAACTCCACCAAAAATTGCATGTCAATGCGTTCAATCACATGGGATTTTCTACTCGTTTCGGTCGGCTGGTCCAATTCCGTCACACATTGCTTTACATTTGTACCGATCAGGACTTTGGTCTGAGTCAAATGAACATTGAACTTGTCATACATAAGCCCTTCCAATTGGCGGTAATCTTCTTCGCTGTACTTTTGATCGCCTTTGGCTTTGAATTCATTCACAAGCTCCTGATTCGCAAGATCACTGTCCACGTTGATATGGCCGGCATCTATCATCATAAAAGGCGAGTTTTCATACATGCAACTAGGGACATGGATTGACAATAGACGATTAGCCATTTTTCTATGGCTTGGCTTAATAAAAGCATGGTCATCGTTGTTACCTTTCGGGTATAATGATAATGGGGGCGTCCATATTGATATCCAATTCGATGGTGGTGTGTTTTTCTAAAGCGTATTCCAAACCGGCCCTGGTTTGTCGTTTAAACACTTCAATTGTATCGCCAGCCACCTCCATCAAAGCATTAATGCTTTCCATGCGAGTTTTGGGGGGTTTGAAGAAAGCAAGGATGTCCATAATCACGGCCGGATTGTATATAATTTCCAAATGACGCATGGTCACCGAAAGCGCATTATCAGCGGTCTTTTGGAGCGGGCGTTTTTCAAAAATGACGTGGAGGAACGGCTCGGTATGGCCCTCCGTGCCTTGTTCAGATGGCGGCGACCGCGCTGCATTTCGCCCAAAGTTTGGCATCTTTCTTGTCTGCAAAATAGATAGCCTATATTTGTAAAAGCTTCCGTTTATACCGTAGCATTTTTGAGCCCTTCAACCAAAAAACTTACTGGTCCTGCGTGGATTTTTTCACACCGATGAGTTGCGGGTACAGTGTATCCTTGGAGGCCCCATCGTACAATTGGATATCGCCAAGCCCGGCTGCTATTTTCAACGATTCGACGTATTGAGTGACACCCACCGTCACCGTGTCAAAGACGATGGAAGCCAGGTTTTCGGGATGCTCCGCATGGGGTCGACGTCGAAGCGTAAAAGAGCCTCGGTTCAATTTGGTATTCAAGATGAATTTCATGGTCTGTTGAAAAAAAAAAAAAAAAAAAAAAACAATTGGCTCGACAAGATTGGTCGCGGGCGGGTGGGGAAATCATCGAGTATTAGTAAAAAGAGACACCTACATCTTTGGGTATATCTACAGTGGCGGCAATGGCCGCCTTTTCTTCATCGTATTCTATTGCGTCGTATAGTTCCCGTTTTTGCTCTTCCGTCATGACCGGTGCATCGTCATCCGTCTAAAGGTTGCAAAGTAAAGTAAATACATCGCCATTCATGGTTTGCATCCAACAAGAATTGGGCACACACCTGCTCAGTATCTGAATCGTTTTTACTACCACTGGACCACCACGAGCTAAACCAGCCTTTGCTTTGTTGCGATTTCTTTTGTTCCGCTGGCACAAATGAAGATTGAGAGTCAAAATGGTGCGTCAATTTTACGAGCAAAAATGATTTTACCTATTTTAATCTTTTCTCTTTTGAGCTTATTCTTGGCGATGCTGCGATAAAAACGAATATCTTCAAAGCTGAGTTGACGTTCCAATTCGTCCAATTGGGTGATCTGCTCTTGAGTGCTTTTCTGAAGTTTACGAGCAACGTAGCAATCAATGTAGGTCAAGCGTTGATCACGTCGTTTTCGGAAATGATCCCAGCTCCACTTGTAGTTTCGTTCATGGATCTCGGATAACACGGCTTTGGCTGCAAATTGGAAGTATTCGCGTGGATTCGTCTTTGGCGTCATTTCTTTCGGCGGATGGAGTTTTAAATACTTTTTTAAACCGTCGCTTCATTAGAAACTGGTCAGTGATGTGAAAGCAATGGGGAATGCTTGCCTTTTGTTTCTTCAGATTGGCATGAAATAAATCGAGCATGAGAATCACATCTCGATATTGGTCATCATCCAAGGCAAAGTCGAGCTCATTGAACAGCAGAGTGACATTAAATTTGGCGGTATCGCGATCGAATTTTTTGTTTAATTGAACCTAAAAAAATGAAATGAGCAACGCTCGTTGATCGAGTGGCCGCAGAGAACGCAGCGTCCTCTTTTCGTATATTTACCTTTCCAGCTCCCGAGACAGGCTTTAGTATGTATTGATGATGTAAAGAAGGGTCATCTTCTCCTGTGGGAATCTGCAGAAAAGACCATTACCCGGTCAAAGTGTCAATATGCAATGTGATGACAAGCCTTGAAAGAGAGAAAAAAAATAACTTACCAAATCGGTAAACACCTTGGAAGCTTCTTCATGCGACTTGCCTGCCAATGACGTGGTATCCGTGTTCCAATACACCGATAAAGATTGGAGGGTAGTGAGCTACGAGAGAATTTACATCAGTGTGAGTGGGGCTAGCAAAGCCGAGCCAAAAAGCGGGATTCTTGAACAGTTTCTCACTTTGTGAATGGTATTGGTGGCCTCATTGATAAAGGTGGGATTCCATTCTCCGTCAGTGGAGACGGCACTCAATTCTTTTAAAGTGATGCCGGCAGCAAAAGGATGACCAGGATCCGAGATACTGTCTTCGTAGCGAATGTGGATATTTTTCATGGAGAATTGCAAATTATCGACAATTTTGGTGGTCAATTGTGATACAAACCCGTCATCTTGAGGTTCGTCTTGATCTTTGGGTGTTTTCTTATCCTTGACTTGAGAACTTTCCATCACTTCGGCCGTTGCCAATCGTCGCATTTTCAATTGTTGCGCTCGCTCTTCTTCTTCTTCCACCGATGTCTAATTGGGGGTGTACGACGATCGTTAGTTTTTTCTGCTGAGACATATCGAGACCCGGCCCATCTTTTCCCCATATCACATACGTTGGCCTCATTCTTTGGCGCCGCAAGCAAATAAACGTGGTTGACAAACACTTTGACGGGCTTGCTCTTCAAATTGGACCAAGGAATACTGAGGGTCAATTCACCGAGATAACCTGGGAACAGAAAAGGTAAGATTTGATTTCATTTTCACGGCACTATTTCGGTAGGAACAAAGCTGAACGCGACAATACCTTCAATGACATCGATAGGAAGGTCCAATTTATCCAAGGCTTCTCTTCTCAGTTTTAGATCCCGAAGGTTTACTTCGCCTACGGTGGAGGTTGGTCATTATCGGTTTAAAAAAAAGAAGTCTACGTGTAACGCCGACATTATGCAAAAACGAGAGGTGGAAGAAAGTATACCATTCCAAATACCAATCTTTAGCTGGTCATAATTGAGGTTGGAAACATAGTTTCCTAGAAATCGATTGAGAATGGAAGCGACAAGCGATTCCAACATGGTAAATGAGGGATGACAGTGGAACCCACTTTTTGGATAGAAAAGAAGATGTTCCTGCACAGACGTCGTTCAAAAAACTGGAAGCGAGCTTGAATTGAATGAAATGTGACGTGCATTGAGCGAGACTTTCCATAAAAGGAGAAACGAACGGTCCTTGAAAATCGACGACCAGCGATCAAAAAAAAAAAAAATACCTTCAAATGAAGACGAATGAATCATTTCTATTGTTATTTTTCTTTTCCTCTCTAGTATCTCTTTTCCTCTACTCATCTTTATATACCTGCTTTTATTAACTTCCCAGTTAACTTGAACGCCTATCTCTATATTTTACGTTTGACTGTTCTATTACATCACAGGCAATGACAATGAATGAAACTACTGCAGCAACGCCTCTGCAACAAGACGCTCTCCGGCAGAGCAACACACAAACTTCTGCAGCTCGTACGTAAGATTCCAATTGCACAGTTGCCTGAATATCTTTGCCTCTCTTTCTCTCTCTTTCTCTCTGTCCCGAGCAATCGACTAATGAATGATATTATACGAATAACCGTACCATTGGAAAATTGGTCATTTTATTTTTCCGTTTTTATCTTTCTTTATAGGCCATGAGCCTTCTACGGCCGATCTGTCGATGAACGAAGCCGTGAATCATGCCTCAAACGAAGATGCAAAAGTGGGTCATGATGATGAAATGTCACATCCAGGCAATGACGACACGTACGGAATTTATCCAAATAAGGAAATGAGCAAGATTTATGGTTTCAGCTCAGCTAAGGTGGCAAATCCCCAATTTTGTTTAGGATCACCCAAGTGAAAGGGTTTCTTCAACGGTTGGGACTCGGTCCGTTGCTGAAATCCGAAGAACAGCGAAAGACGGAAAAAGAACAGCATCGTAAGGATGTTATCGATGCGTCGTCCGTCCGCAGTGTTAGTTCGGCGACTTCCGGTAGCAGTGGAGATTCGTGGAGTAGTGAGTCAAGTAATGCCGAACCGGTCGCATTCACTTCGTCGTCGGAACTCGGCCTCAAGTATCCGACCAACACCCCGATTCACAATGTCCCGTATGTCAAGGTACGACATTTTTAAGCGTCCGCCTCACCACGATCACTCCGTTGATTAATCATCTCTTTTGTTTTTTTTTTTTTTTCTTCTCACGCAATTGGAATCAGATGAAGTCTCACAATAAAAAGAACCGCGCTGGTCTTTCCCGTCTCGTCCAGGTTCAAACATTATCGACGGAAACGGAAACAGGCGAAAGTGATCACGGAGCGATTTGGTCCATTGAATTTAGCAAAGATGGAAAATACATGGCGGCCGGAGGTCAATCGCGCGAAGTGTTGGTGTGGCAAGTACGCAATGCCGACAATCATGACGACAAAGATGCTCCCGACGTAGAAGATTCCATGGACGTCATTAATGAAATGCCCATTGCCCGATACAAAGGTCACACAGCCGACATTCTCGATCTCAGCTGGTCCAAAGTAAGTAGTCGTCAACGTAAGCACAGAGAGTCTTTGAGCCTTTTTTTCTGACAGAATCTCCATAGAATAACTTTTTATTGTCAAGCTCAATGGATAAAACAGTTCGGTAAGGGTCATGAACATGGGACCTGAGTACGCAACAACCGTGGAATTGTTTTTAAATAACAAGTGTGGATGAAAATAGATTGTGGCATGTTTCCAGAAAGGAATGTTTATGCGTTTTCCGTCATTTGGATTTCGTTCCCTCAATCGAATTTCACCCCAAGGTAACAAGACTCAGCCGCAGAAACCCTGCCTGCACACATTAGAAAATCAGATGAATTAAGACATCAGCTTCATAGGATGATCGTTACTTCCTTTCTGGATCGCTCGATGGCAAGATCCGTGTGTGGAGTATTCCTGAAAAAAAGGTGGTGTTCTGGAACGAGTTACCCAAAGAAGATATGGTGACTGCCGTCGGGTTCACATGGGATGGCAAGATGGTTTGCGCGGGTACCAATATTGGCAATGTTTTCTTTTATGATACACACGAGCTGAAGTATCACACCCAAATCGCAGTCAAAGAATCTAGTGTCATTGGCTCAAGAAAAGGACGAAAAATCACCGGCATTCGCGCCATGCCCGGCATGCTTCCCGATGAAGAAAAGATCCTTGTCACCAGCAACGACTCTCGAGTGCGTCTCTATAATATGAAAGACAAGAGTCTCATGTTCAAATTCAAAGGCCCGGTATGCCAGTCCATGCAAATCCATGCCAACTTTAGGTAAAAAATTAGTCAACCTCCATGAAAGTAGTTTTTGGATGAAGCTAACCAGCTATCGTATTGCTCAGTGATGACGGACAATACATTATCTGCGGATCCGAAGATGGCGGTGTTTATTTGTGGACGTCAGAACAAGTGAATTTCTCGCCATTTCATCAGTTGCGAGATAGTCGAATCAAAGCGGCGGCGGCTTTGGGCAACTATGGGGAACAATTGGTCAAGACAGCGATGCAAAGTACGACCGCGGAGGGACAGCCGACGCGTTTGTCGGTATGGTTGAAGCGTGGTAGTGATCGATTGACGAATCATAACGAACACTTTGACGCTCACGACGAAGCGGTCACGGTGGCCACGTTTGCTCCTACGAAAACGCGACAAATCCTTGCACGATCGGGTCGTGATATCATCTACAAGCATACACCGGTTTACGTCCGTGTGGCACAGGATGTCACGACCAAAGTGGATGAACACAACTATGTACACCAGCAGGATTCACTCGATAACTATGTGGAAGCCGACGAAGAAACGCGTAGAAAATACACCTATCCTGACGGCCACATTCTCGTTTCAGCCGACTATCGCGGCACTATCAAGATTTGGCGCATGGATTCCGGTATCTACGAAACCACTGTGGCCCCTGCAAATGATACAGTGATTACTGCGGTGCCTGTCGCGGTGAGCACGCACTCACTGAAATCCAAAGATTCGGATTCGAAAACTCGATTGAGCGGTTTGTTCTCTTCCTTCCATCATTGAAAAAAATCCCCTCGGTTTACTCTTTAGTTCTATTGTTTATTCTTGTACAGTTCATGCTTTAATGATTTTATGAAAAATGTAGCTCTCTCCTTATCCTTTATATACTTTCGTTGCAAATAGTTGCTTGTCAAATAAATATCTGTATAACACATTGTTTCCCAATATACTCGGCCATCTATTCGACGAGTCAATGTGAAAAAATGGTCGCCAACGGCATGATTCACTACTTCCAAGTATGACAATGTCGAAAAGGAAGGTTTGGAAATCGAGTGCTTGTATAATTGATATCAAGTGAAAAATAAAAGAGCGTTCAGTTATAGCCTGGTTTGATATACTCTGGTCAGGGTTTGCCCATGTGACCTACCGTGTTGCGTGGTCATTCCTAGCACAGATTATCATGCAAAAAAACCAAGTATTCCAAGATTTGCAACTCAGCCTAGGGCGCAACTGAGGCACATGGCTTAGGCTGGATTATTGGTTCTTTATGGGGCCCATCGTTCATAGACAGGGACAAAATACTGTCAATAAAAGCAGATATGGTAGAGGAAGATAGTTTGAGGAGGCAGCAAGTGTCATTCTGTGCTTGCTTCTTTTCTCTGCTTTTGGTGAAGATGACCTTTGTATGTGACAAGTCAAGGTTGGTCATGGAGATAATGAATATATGATTTATTGAAATACAATATGGTTGAAAGTGATTTAAAGAAAATAGTCGTTCACTTTCTACAAAGAACGAGTCGCACATTGTAAGCTCGTATATTGGTGACATTGATGTTCATATAAAGATGTACCAGAAAAGAACAGAAACAACGGTGGAAAGTGCATATGGATGAAAAAGCAAAAGGTATAAAAGGAGATGGCAAATGTTCTAAGCAAGATAAAACAGCAATCGAATGTGCTTTATAAAAATGTGGAGTGCATTGAATTTGGTATGATTTGGTTTTCCTTTTTTTGCTCTGTGGTTCCTTTGAACTCGCGGCAAAGAGGGAGGAGACTTAGTGGGCGTCGACCCATTCCCAATCGCTGAATCCGTCGCGAATGAGATCAGGAAAGTTGGAAGGATTGGGGTGGGTGAGGCTGGCGATAATAGAAGCGTCCTGATCCACGAACCATTCAGTGTCCGCCAGACGATTCAGTGGGTTCTGCTTGTGTTTTCCTTGGATAGACACACTGCCACTGGGAGTTGGTTCACCGGTGGAATCCTGCCATATTTCGTCGGCATCCTCTTCTCCGTCGGTTTCCGATGCATCCGTCTCGCTTTCTGCCGTGCCAGTCTCTGTTGGCCCTTCACACCAAACCCATTGGGATTGTTTCCGTCGTTTATTTTGTGCTCGAACTCTTTTCTTGGCAACAATTTGAATACTTTTCTGCAAGATGATATTGGTGTCTTCCAAAGCTTGTGTTTCTTTACGTAAAGAAACGATGGTTTGCCGCAACTCTTTCAGGGTGTCGGATGGCGGAGAGTCGACGACCTCATTTTTGTTTGCGGGTTCTGAAGCATGCACTGTGACGTCCTTGGCATGGGCGGGATGGTTGTCATGAAAATCCGGTTCTTTTTTCACCCACGCACCAGGGAGTCCCCGATCGTCGTTGATGCTACTACGTTTGACAAGAAGACTATCGGCGGGACCGGGAAATAAAACGGAAGAGACAAGTGCCATAGGCGACACGGATTCGGTGATATTGTCCTCCCACTGTCGGTTCTTGGGAATACCGGCATAAGAACCAGGAAGGTGATAGTCCTCGAGAGCTTCAACGACACTCATGCTCCGTAGTTATGAAGAAAAAAAAATAGAAAAGAGTTTCCAAGTACCGCAAGTGCAGAAAGAAACCGAAAAAGAAAGAAAAAAAAAGTGTAGACAAAACAATCAAAAGAGCAAGAGGAAAAGAAAGAGAAACAAAGGAAATCCCAATTACTTTTTTGCACACAAATCAAGCACCAGTCATGAACACGTTGTTCTCAGGAGAAATGGAGTTTTTGTCCAAGGATCCCGTGCCACCCCACTTCAAGTCAGGTGTTTTAAGTAGAAAAAAAAAAAGGGAGGATCATATGGCTCGGACATGCAGTTACCAAAAGATATTTATTTGAATTGATTGTACGCCGCCACTAAAAAAATTCAAACCATTCCGGGATGGGGTTCTTTTTGAGACTTTTAGTTGGCTTCCACTGCGGGGGCTTCAGCGGCAGGGGCAGGGACACCAAAGTCCTGGGCAGAGGGTTCAGTGATGACGGACTCATCCTTGGGTTCGAGGATGGTGACGATATCGGGAAGGGTCTGCTTGGGACCGTTGCGACCGGTAGGATCGCTGTCCAACATGATCTTGACCTTGATACCGAGAACACCCTGACGCATCATGACGTGACGAACAGCGGTGGTGATGAAATCGCGGGTAGGTTGACCAGAGTGGATCATGAAACCATCGCTGAACTTCATGGCCTTGGCACGAGCGGCACGGAGCTTGCCAGAAACGACAACTTCGCAACCCTTGGCGCCAGACTCCATAACGAAACGGACGACACCGTAACAGGCACTATGTGACCGGTCAAAAATCAGTCACTCAAGTTTTCCCCTTCTTCAATCATGAACTGGATTGTGTTGTGTAATTCTTACCGACGAACAGCCAAACCGTTGAGAAGCTTGAACTTGACGGACTCGCACTGAGCAATGGCGCAAAGACCACGGTTCTGAACACGTTCGGCGTAGAGTTCAACCGAGTTCTCAGAGAACTTGAAACGCTTCTGGACAAGGAAGGTCAATTCTCTGATGCGGCGACCCTTCTCACCGAGAACGTTCTGGGTGTGAGTGGCACGGATGATGATTCTAATTATGAATTGAATGATAAGCAAACATCGCCATGTATGCCGAAGAATATTGCTCTTCGTCCTTCCTTTACTTACTCAGTGCGTGCAGGGGTAACACGGACTTCGACACCAGCATAGCCATCTTCGGCAAGCTCGCGGGTGAAGAACTCGTTGAGTTCAGCATAGAAGACACCGTCGGCGACCTTGAAAAAAAGAAGTTAGTCTATCCATTCAAGGGACGTTTTTAATGACATTCATGCCGTTACTTACGAACTGTATAGGGAGGGAAGGAAAAATAGAGTCGAGTATAAACAATCAAAGATAGGTCCATCGTCGAATAAAAAAAGAGGTGCATGCAGATAGGAAGTAGAGAAAAAAAATAAAAAAAGTAATGGTAAGTATATACTGTGCTTGCGTACGGCGTAGTTACACTCTCTCTTCCGCTTTTGCCATTCGACGGTGCCCAATGTTTTTCACACAATTGTATTTTTCCTCTATGTCGGTTGCCGCATCGGTATAAGGATGATCACTGGTATTCTTTATGACCGGCTTCAGTGTAGTAGGATCAATCCATCCATTCCCGATCCATCCATCCATTGGGTGTTTATTTTCGAATCCTCTTTCTCGACGCATCCATCGTGTATGTGTGTGTGTATCCATTGAGTCCATCGTTTGGCAAAGCGTTCACGCACCTTTCTCTTCTTGGAAATTTGAGCGGCCATATTACGAAAGAGGAGGTCTTCTGAGGATCGCAGGTGACCAGGCCACTTGAGAGCGGGCCGTAGCGTGCGTCGTGTGACGGCTTTTTGGCCGCGCTCTCTTTCCGATGCTCTCTGGGACAATTGAGAATCCCAGTGGTGGCTGAGTTCGGTTTCAAATGGTTGCCACCCAATCCATGTATGAGCTGTGCGCGCCACAACTGTTATGAGCCATGGTTGTTATTCCATGTTACGCTTTTGGACAAATTATATTACACGATGAAGATGACTTGAAATTGATCACGATTATTCTTTGTACGGTAACGTATAAGCAAAAAAGCATGAACTCATACAACAAAAAATAAAGAGACTTTTTTTTTGTACACGCTGAGAATCATAAATTTAGCTTTTATCAAAAATGGTACACGACAGTATCAAGAAAGGAGAATTCCACAACAGCATTTGTATTTCTGCTTGCCCGTTGGGTAAAAAGTAAGCTGTAATATTAAAGAATGCTTGCCAACTGGAGTCCATACGCAAAAGAATTGGAAGCACCAAATAAACGAGTCATCAATTTGCAAGTACCTTTGGCGGTGCAAGTTAGCCATGAGAAGAATGAAATCTCGATGCATTGAATGCAAAAGTAACTGCAAATATAGAAACCGATGGTATTCATAAAATGGTGGCGCCCCAGAATGCATCAGCTCGCAGAAACATGGCATCGGATCTCAATTTTTTCCAAGGTGGTCATGCATGCATCGAGGTGCTTTGTTAAACTTGCATATATCCCTTCTTTTCTTTTTGGTTCTCTCTGAATGTGAATAAGCAATAGCCTACCATCAAATTTTGGGAAGCCAAGGAGAAAGATGGCATTCATCGGAAACAAAAGCCCCCCTATGACCCCTTCGGCTACGTTTTTTCTCTGTTTGATGGTATTCTCCCCATTTTAGGGAAACGGGATAAGTCCACTGCAAAAGAAACTTGCAAAACCATTTGTGGAATTGTCGATCACATATACTACACACACTGTTGATCAAATTTCTCACGACTTGCATCTACTTTCATTCTCGTTTCTACTCCACATGAGATTCCATCATAATGAAGAGAGCATAATGGCATTGAATGAAGGACACCTAGCAGTTCAAGTAGTCTCGTTTTTCAGGCAAATGAATTCACTGTCGCAAAGGAGTCTGCGGTCAAGGCCAGGCCTCGGCGGAGTTCCTTTTTCTTTTTTGGCGCGATGCGTGGGCGAGCAAACAGGTGACTGAAAAGAAAAATGTTAAACAGACCACATGGTTGCTTTGTCGGTTGTGGATTTGGTAACTAAACGCCCAGAACATGCTCGCTCAGCATACCAAAAATGGCCTAGATGAAAAAAAGCAATCGTTGAAGCGACAAGCTATAAAAAAAAAAAGAACCGAATACTGTGATCACTATCGCTTTATTTGCAAGACGGCTCAACTATAGATGATTAATATTAGCATAGCATATCAGTATATTGCCACTCTCGTGATAAAAGGAACAACATTGAAGTTAGTCAAGATATCATACAACTGATAATCAAAAAAAAAAAGATGGGTTCATGTGCCCCTCCCACTTTTAGACGTATCTATTTTTGTACAAACGAAATGACGGTTCCTCCAAAAAAAAAATCAGCGTTTATCCATACTGATCCCATCTGTTTTGAAATCAACTCGGTTAAATCGTAACCTATATGGTGAAATATACGATCCATCCAGTCAATCCATGAGGGAAGTATGAAGGCCTCATATAGTGAACCAAATCTTCAATCTTCTTTTTTTTTTCGTGGTCATTTGAATCACTGTGGTAAAAAAAATCCCATCATTGGTCCTAAAACAGCCTATATTCCGCTGATTAGATGTTAACCAATTTACATGGTAAATGAACCATGAATAGGTCACTTGTTCGGTCCTTTTAGGGGGAAGAAAAGGGGAGGATTTATTGAAAAAAAAAAAAGAAATCCATTAAATGTCGGGCAACATGAAAAATAAAGGAATTGACCGACCTCTCAATATCCATGGATACCAAAAGTGTCAAGCCAACTCGATTGTCAAGCCAACTCGATTGATACAGAAGAAAAAATAAAGGAGGACATGACAAATGAAGGAAACAATGGTCATAACGATGGACTGAAAAAAGGAAAAAAAAGAATCAATCCGATGGAGCATCCATAAACATATGACAGGATGTAATACGCTCATCGTTGAAACTGACAAAAAAAAAGAAGAAACGTAAAGAAAGAAAGAGAAAAAGATATGATACATCATCAAGAAAAAAAGAGAAACAAAACGCAGAACTGTACAATACTTTCAAAAAAAAAAAAGAAACCATTTCTGGCTTCACAGATCCAAAGAAAACAACAACCGAAGAAATAGAGTAAAAATACACACCGTAACTCATGTCAAGATAAAAAAAAAAGCATCAGCCAAAAAGAAACCCCTCCTTTCAAGAAAAATGGGACAATGTAGAAACAAAAAGCAAACAACAAATATACAAGAAAGAAAGGGTATTTGAATCATGCAAAAAAGAAAAGAATAAACCAAAAAAAAAAAAGAAACCAAAAGAATAATGAACAAGACAAGTTTCGGTGGGTAAAATGGCATGTGAAGTCAAGAAAGGATTCCCAAAAAAATAAAAAAGATATCGAAACAACTCGTACGTCTTCCTCTTGTCAAGGTGAAGTGGGTGCCATTTTTTTAAGTGGCGGCCACTTGAATATTCAACATCGATTGTAAACCACGCTGGATTTCCGTGAGATGATGGTGTTGATGCGATTCGATATCAGGAGCGGTCGCCATTTTGGAAGGAAACAAGGGCGTGGGATGAGTGGAAGTGGAGGGAGAAGAGTAAGGCATCAAGAGACTCAACAAATCCTTGGATTGATGTTGAAGCGAGGCAGAGGAGGAGAAAGAGGAACCGGAGGACGAAGAATGGAAAGAGGGACTGGTGGTGGTGGCCGGTCCAGAATAGATGAGGGAATCCAAACCAGGGTGATGATGGAGAAGGGAGACAGTACGGGGACGGGATGACACCATGGGAGAAGGTGAGGATGAATTCGAGGAGGAAGTAGTAGAGGATGAGAAAGGATCACGGAAGGCAGGAATGGGCAAAGTACTGGGAGCAGGAGCGTTATTAAACGTTGGACCGGCATACATGTGGTCCACAGCGCTATTGGCCCGACGACGTGAACTAGGTGAAGGTTGTTGTCTGCTAAACCGAAAATGGGGAATGATCAATAAGGGATGTCCTTTTCTCTTTTTTTTTTTTTCCTTCCCCGTTTCTGCTTGAAAAAAAAAGGCTTAGGGGATATAATAATATTTACCTCTTCAAGTCCAAGGAAGATGAAACGGTGTGAACGGATGCGGCTTGAAGGGAAGAAGTCTTGGGAGAACCCTTGGGGCGTTTCGACTGACGACGTGAATGCGATTTCTTCTTTCCGGTATCAGAATCCTCAGTCTCAGTTGTCATGGACGACGAACAACCGGAACTAGTATCCGACTGCATGCCGTCGGGTTCTTGTTTAGTGCGGTCACTACGGCGACTTTTCTTCTTTGACTTGTCCTTCTTTTTACTCTTGCCGCTCTCACTGTCCGAACTCGATGATGAGCCAGTCTTCTTTTTATTGGATTTGTTGCTGGACTTGTTCGAACGGGTGGATTGCTGTTGCTTGGGTGACGACGGCAACGGTTGCGAGGTGAGAGACTCTTTCTTGGGATGAGCGGACTTGGAGGAGGAGGAGGAGGAGGAGGGTAGGGTAGGGAGCACCACTGTTGTCGTGGGAAGGGAAGTACAAGCACTGGTCTTTGGCTTGCTGCTGACGGCAGAGGATGACGATGAGGTAAATGGTGAATTAGGTAACATAACGGATGAACAAGCCATGATATGTGTGAAGAAGTAGTTTTTAGTGCTTAGTTGTGAATAATGCGTAGGCTCTTATTTTTTTAGGGTTTTCTGGAGAAAGGAAGAAGAATAAAAAAAAAAGAGGAAAGGATAAAAAAAAAGGAAAAAAAAAAGCTGTATAAATGATAATGACCAAATAGAAAATAAAGGAAGAAAAAGAAAATAAGAGCAAAAGCAAAAAAAGAGAGGAGGTTATAAATATGCTCAAAAAAGGAGATTCAACCAAAAGTAAAACTGGGCCCACCCAAGCATGCAATAAAAAAAAAGCTTAGGGATTTTTTTTTATAGAAAGCAACGTGCTTTCTCTTGTTCCATGAATATCCCAATGAAATTTTCAAAATTGCTGCGTCCTTATTGGTTCATCAAAAATGGAAAACTGCAATGACATCAATCACAGCAATCACTTACAGAGTTCTATCTCCGCCATTTTTCAGTCCCAGCGGATGAATCAACGTCATTTTTCCCACTCGCCAAACGACGGACCCATCCAGAAAACGAAGACCGATTACCCAACGGAATGAAAGAAGGGTCGCAACTACGTAATAACAAAAGCACATCAAAACGCGCTTTCACGGTGTCCCCTAGTCAGGTAAACACACAGAGCAGTTGGATCGGCATAGAGTATGTAACATACATATTTGGAGGCACAATGAAAATTGGGCTGCACTGGTGATAAAGATATGGTTAGAGTAGGCAGCTGTTTAATTTTCAAGGAGAATCTATAAAAAAAAAAAAAAAAAAAAAAAAAAAGTCTAAACGTAGATCATCAAGTTCTTTATCATCCGTCCACAAGGGAAGAAAAGGGGATGATGGGAAAAGAAAGGACATGCGCACATTCACGCCGATATTACAGAATCATGGAGAAAAAGACTAAAAATGATGGGACCTTTTGGTTCATCTTTGGGTTGGACAAGGAATCCAAAGTGCCTTCTTCATAAAATTGAGGTATGACAATAAAAATATAGTAGCCTTTCATTGCACACCGTTCAACCTAAACTCATCGCCACCCATCACCTTTTTTTTTGTGCACACACACACGCGCAAAAAAGAGAAAAATGAACCCAAAAGAAAAAAAGACCAGACCAGGAAAACAAAACCAGCTTATGCCTGTAATCAAATACCGCATGACCTCCCAAAACTGGATCTTCTTTCAACTCTTTTTTTCACCTTCTTTTTTATTTTTATTTTCCAACTGTCTACTTCTTTAACATTTTATTTTTCTTTTTCCTCTCTTTTCATCCATTTTTCTTTTTCAGTGTGATTTCTTTTCTTTCTTCTTTTTCTTCCCTTCTTATACAGTTGTCTATCAGTGTGTTTTTATTTTTTCTCCAAATCGCCGTTCAACGCCCCCCTTTTCTTTTTTGGTAGTTTTGAAATACAATGTCTAGGTTACCTAGTGCTCCAGGTGTATCCACTGGGATACCGCCTCCGAAATCCAGGTTGGCTCGACAACGGTCCCTTGACTTGAGACATCGCAAGATGCAAGATCAAGCCCCCCCTCCATTGCCACCATTAAAGTCGTCAAAATCAACCAGAGCTTCACTTCGTTCGCGCGCGTCACTTTCTTCTTATGAAGAAGCCGAATCACCCAGCACCTTATCACGTTATTCTCTCTCATCGATCGGGTCTACGCAAACCGCTCTTACTACACCGCGCTCTTCTCTGACGTCTACGAAACCACCCACCAAGCGTCTTTCGTCTGCCAAACCGGCCTCGTTGCCGATGCCACAACAACAGTACCAACCAACGCAGCAGGTCCCACTCAGAATCACAGAAACACCTACCCCCATGTCACTACGTGTTGGTGAACGAGTGGCGGTCGATTCACTGGGCATCGTAGGCACCCTGAAATTTTTGGGTACCACCCAATTTAAAGTTGGTACCTGGGCTGGCATTCAACTTGATATTATCGGTACAGGAAAAAATGATGGCTCAGTGGCAGGGTAAGATCCAACTCAGTATCTTTTCATTTTTTTTTTCTTTTTGGGCTTGGTCTGGCCTATATTTCTTGTTCTCTGCTTTTGCGCGATCGTCATTGCATGCACGGTTTTATTGCGTTGCTGTCACGAGCTTTTTCGCTTCTCCCTTTTTCGCTTAAGGAATCACCATGGTCACATCGCTTGATTACCCTCTAATTTTTTGTCAGTCTTCCTTGAAAAATATCATATGATTTCAAAGAGGAAGTGTTCACTAGTTCCGCTTGTCTGACCTGATTTTTTTTTTTTTTTTTTTTTCAATGACAGCATCCGGTATTTCCAATGCCCTCCTCAGACCGGTTTATTCATTTTGGCGTCCAAAGTGACATCGCTGGATCGGGATTCGGATTCGGTCCGATCGTCCTCGCCAATTTCGCCACAACAGCCTCGTCCAAGATCCGGGGCCTCCAACCGCGCTTCCATGTCCAGTATCAGTTCAGGCTCAAGAGCAGCACGTTACATCGGTATGACCGCTTCTCAGCTTACCCAGCGTCAAGTATCGACCAAAAAGGCAACACGTACACCCTCGATGCAACCCGTGCCAACCCATCCGACAATCCCCCCCGTTCGTCAGTCTCATCCGTCGTACATGGAACCGCCCTCACCCTATCGTAGTCAGGGATCCACCACTTCCCTTCCAGGCGGCATCCCGTCTCCTGCAGTCACGCCTACCAGTAACAGCGTTCACGATACCGATGTCGATGATTACTGTAGTCAGGAACTCTTGTTGAACGGTCACACCAATGACGGAGCAAATCAACCCATGCTCACAGACACACCTCAGCCAATGAATCTGGTCACGTCCAAATCAAGCGTTCCTTTGTTGGGAAGTGAAGGATCTCCTGATCCGGCTCAGCTACAGCAAGACATTGGCCAAGCCATAGCCAACGCCCAGGATGCTACCACCTTGCGTGTGCATCAGTTACGCTTGAGGGTCGAAATGCTCGAAGCCGAAAACAAGTACCTTCAGCTGAAAAATGCGGAAAATACAACGGCAGAACAAATCCTGGAACGGTCCATTGTGCTGCGTAAAAAGAGAACCAAAGGGGAAGGGGAAGCGGACGACGAGGAGGAAGTGGAGTATTTCACCTTGGAAGGTCATAAAGCAATTGTCCAAGAGATTAAGCAAGAACATGCCAATGCGCAAAAGAAGTGGGAATCCGATTCGGAAGATTTGCGCACCTCCGTGCAACAATTGGAATCGCGCGTGAAAGAATTGGAAGCGGAGCAAGCCAATTTGATCAAAGAACGGGACGATTTGTTGCAACAATTCAACGACATGCAAAGCCAAAAAGCACAGATGGAGCGTAAATTGCACGAGTACGAAGAAAAGATTGCCATTGCCGAAGCCAACGCGGCGGCAGCTCAAGCGTCCCGGGCCGTGTCCACGACGACGTCGAATTTCTACTCGGAAAATCCCGAAGAAATGCGCGAACGTCAGATGCAGATGGAAATGGAGATGGAAGAAGTTCATGAAAAACTCGCTTCGCTGATGGAAGCCATGCGTGCCAAAGACATGTTCTTGGGCACCTTGTCGGAACAAGTCGAAACGCATCGCAATGCCGTTGAAGAAAAGGAACGAGAAATCCGTCGCACTCGCGCCGATGCCGATCGTCTCATGCGGGACAAGGAACGGTTGCGCGAAGAACTCAACGATCTGGAAAAGAAGTACATGGAACATCAGGATTGCATCACTCGTGACGATTACGAAAAGATGAAACGCGAAGTGACTCAAGCCAAGGATCAGCTCGCCAAAGAGACCCACGTCGTTGAAGAGTATCGAAAACGCATCGAAGGTCTGGAGCAATCCGTGGATGAACTCAAGCGCGCAGGCATGGAAAGCATTGAATTGTATGAAAGCTCGGTGGAGCTCCATCGCGTTGACATGGAAGCCATCAATGCCCGTTTGATGGATGAACGACGCAAAGTGAGTGTCTTGGAGACCGAGCGGGAAGATTTGCGCAAAGCAGGGTTGGATGCCATTGAAGCGTATGAAACTACCATTGAAGAACTGAAAAAGGAGCAAAATTCCACCGCCGAAGACCATGCCTTCCGTCACAAGGAAATGCAGTCCACCATTGATAAACTCAAACAAGAAATCGCCCAACTGGTGAATGCCAGTGATCACACCGAAGAAGTGGAAAAGATTAAAAGCGTCTGGGAAAGCGAACGCCAACGGTTGGAGGAACAGATGGAGGCCAATTCGCAAGCATTGACCCGTGAACGTGAAGCGCAAGAATCGCTCAAGCAAGAAACAGAAAAGCTCAAAGAGCAATTAAAGGAAACCGACAAGATGACCAAGGAAAAACTCAAACTCGAAGAACGACTCCAGCGGTTGCAAGCCGACTACGACGATCAGCTAACCAACCGCGACAAGTACTTGGACGATGTGCGTCTGGCCGTGGAAAACCAGAAAAAGACGGAAGGCGATTTGCGTCGACTCACGGAAGCCAAGGAAAAAGCCGATCGCGAATTGGCCACCGCTTTGGAAGCACTGAAGCGCGCGGAAACGGAAATGGCCAGCTTACGTGAGCAAACCCCCGTGGATCATGATCTGTTGGCCAAAGAGCGTCAGCAACACGACAAGGATATGGATATCCTTCGTCACGAAATCGAGAAACTGGAAGCCGAGAAAGTGATGCTAATCAAGCAAAAGGAGCAGGCAGAACTGACGGCGGCGCAAACAGCACAGGAACAGGCCAAGACCGACACTTCAGAGGAACTTGCCTCTTTGCAAGCTGAAAATCGCCGGTTGACCACCGAGAACGAGCGGTTGCTTGAATCACAGAAGCAGGCGGAAAATGAATGCTTAAAGTTGATGGAAGAGGTGGAAAAACTTCACTCTGAAGGCGTGCTGATACAGGAAAACAGTGACTTGTTGAACTGTGCTACGGATGATGAACGCATTGCCACCTTGCAACAACAACTCGGTGACGCGAAACGCCAGTTGGAACGGGTGCTTCTCAAACACACCACGGAAACCCGGCAGTTGACCGAGAAGCATGCGGAAGACGACCGAGCCCGTCAGCGAGAAATTGCCGCACTCAACCGCGATGTGTCTGAATTGGAAAGCTTGATCGAGTCCAAAATCTTCAAGGAAGCTGACCTTGAAGAAGCCCTGGAATCCGAACGCAAGCAGGTGAAACGGTTACGCAACGAATTGGGTGATATCAAGGAGCAATTGGACGAATTACGTCGCGACAGACAAGTGCAACAATCGTTGACGAGCAGCAGCACGAGCACCACAAAAAGTTCTCAGGAAACCATGGCAGGTCAACCAGAAACAAAAGACGAAACTAGTGGGTCCACCAAAGAGTCGCTTTACTGTGAAATCTGCGAGGTGTCTGGTCATGATCTGATGAGTTGCAAAGCTGTTTTGACCGAAAATCAAAATGTACATGCAAGCAATGAGGAGTCTCGACCTGTAAGTGGCGATGCATCGACTGGTTCTCTGTAAACGTTGTTTATTGATTGATTGATTGATCTCTATCAGTACTGTGAAAACTGCGAAGAATATGGTTTCCATACCACTCAGCAATGTCCCAATCAAAACGAAACCTATTAAGTCTACCTTGGCTTGAAAAAACGTCCCCTTCCTCTCCTTACCCTATTTCGTCTGTGGCTATTTTCCTTTTCGTGTCTTTATTATATCCCATTGCTTTGTCTGTTTGCTTTTTATTTACCCATCTTCTGTGATATCTTTTGTATAATTCGATACCCCTCGTCCCCCCCCCAAAAAAAAGATGTAGACTTTTTCTTCTTTGCTACATATCAATTTTTCCTTCCCTCCTCGCCCTTGCTTTTCTCTGTATACATCTTTTTTTTGTTTCATAATTTTTTTCCGCCGTTTTTATAAAGCTACTTTTCAGAGTCAAATTCATCATTGTCGACAACTGCTTGCGAAATTATAAACTTGGGTTGCTGGTCCCCTCGGATGTATCTTTTGCTGACTGTATCATGGAGCATGCACATGCCAATATGTAAATACAAGTGATCCATTTTAATTCTTTTCTTTTATCCATACACACATATACTCTATTGAATCATCAAACTACATCAGTCGTCTCCATAAGTCGACCTCTCATATCAGCTGCATCGGCCCAAAAAAGCGAGACACTGCCTTAGCAAACGAATTGGAGGTCCACGTCAATAGGATGAGATGAGCTCAGTTGAGGTCGTTGAGAGTATTTGTCGCGCAAGATATCGCGAATGGTATTCAGCAATTGCTGGTATGATTGATGTGGATTTTCTCGCAGAGCCGCTAAAAAGGATAAAATTATTTCTGAGCTCACCCACAGTATCGCGCTACCCCGCAAGCAAAAAGACTTACTTGTGAAAGCGTGACTCATGGCCCCTGTCGCCTTGCCTGCTTCCTGAGCATCGGCCGAAGTCTGGTCGTCCTTGCATCTGTGGAATAACAATGATTAGCATGACCACGAAATACGGTATTGGCTTTTCCTATTGTGACTAAAGCGTCATTGGCTTTTTTACCCTGAAAACATAATCACATCGGCCGGCGAACTGTTCTTTTCCCTGTTTTCTTCGGCTACATCGCGAGCACTCATCAATTGTTTACCAAGGGACATGATGGATGATAAAGCGCCTTGCTTATCGCCCGTCACGTACGCAAAACCAGCGGATAGTAAGCCAACCCCAGCATCCTTGAACAGGTTCTTTTCTTTGATGACACCTTGCGTAGAATATACATAGGGCAAATCAAGGGCCGTGCCTGAATGACAACTATCAAAAATGGCCGTCAATCGACAGCCTTGGCAGAGGGGTTTGACCAACAGATCATGCATATCCTGTGGATGGAAAAATCAGTTCCAACGATCGATTTGGATTAAAATGCGATTTCATCCAACATACATCATCGATCAGCTGTCCTGAATCCCCTTCGTAATCCGTAAAATCAACAGGATAAATGGTTTCGTCAAATCCATCGTCTTCATCCCCACTGGTATCATGAACCTAGACATCGGCTACGTCAACCACGTCGTAGCGTATAGCATTGTTATTCTCATTGCTTACTCGGCCACCGTGACCACTGTAGTGAAAGAAAAATCTATACAGTCCCGTCAGTGTATCCGTATATCTGTTGTGCCTTTTTTTACTTTCACATACGAATCATTGGGTTGGCAGTCATGCACCAGCCATTGCATTCCTGCCACAATATTGGCGCGAGTGGGAATAAATTTCGGGTCCGTTTGATCATCGGTTAGAATCACCATATCCGCCTAAGTTGCAAAAACATCGTTCCACTTTTGTGTTACCTTCAGCTCATTGACAGACACGAGCTTATCACTTTTTCTGCCTTTTTACCTCGTCAAACCCATACAGGGTGGTCAAAAACTCTTTTACATTGTGAACGTCATTGATACAACCTACGGTTCATCCATCAGTCCCATGCCCAACCTGTTGGTTCTCCTTGCTCTGGGTGTTCTTTTTACCATTCAGTTCATTTGAAGTGCCGAAGTAATTAATTCCAATCAGCAATGCACGCTTCTTTCCTTGACCTGGTTCATACACAGACAACACCATTCAAATTTCTTGCGACGGACAAACTCGTTTGTAGCCATCTCACTTACAGTTTGACAAGCGGAAGTCTGGTGGCGGTTTATCCTTCAGAGCCGGGTGGACGTGCAAGAAGAATTGGCTGTTTGAAGCGTCAGTTTGTCCCTCGCCATATGGAACTAAGTGTCGTTGATATCGGTTTTTAGAGTGGATGACGAAGGGCGCAGACAATTTTCCAAAAAGTGTCACCAGCTGACTTGTGTCCTTTTTTCTTCTGATCTTATTTTTTTTCCACCCAATTTTCCTTTTAACCGACGGGTTTAAACTTACCTGGATATGGAGCGGGATTATGAGCCGACAACGGAGGTTGTGGGTAATTTGGATTGGGATTCTGCATGTCTTCCTGCGTAAACATTGGATCGTAATAATCTGACGCCGGGTCTTCATAACCGTGCGCGCCATTGCGTTGATAGACGTACTATACATTTATTCATGTTTATGCCAGATATACTACCCCATGTCATCCTCGTAGAAGCTTACGTTTGAATCATCCGGGCCTTCACGAGATACTTCTCGGTCAACAGGGTAAGGTGGTGGAGGGGGTGGAGGGGGATAGCCACCAAAGTTCCAGCCTACGTTTTGAGGTGGAGGCGGGGGCGGATAGCCATGATTGTAATAATAGTTTTGTTCGCTCATTGAAAGGGGAAGAAAAAGAAAACGGATGAAAACTGTAAAAGAAGAAAAAAAGTAATAAGAGAGGATAAACTTTTTGATTTTAAACTCTTTCAAATACTATATTTACAGTCACATCAGAAGAACAGATGTTGGCTTTGCTTTTTTTTTAGACTAAATATAAAAAAAAGTAATACTAGGGGATAAAGGTATTCTGGTTATTCATATTCGCCGCTGGCTGATTTTCAGAGAAAAAGGTTTCCCAAGCTACACACAGGCCAAAAATCCCATTGGATTAGCTTTTTTCTCTTGTTTTGCATTTTTAATTGCTGTGCCTTTAAATTTTTTTTTTACCTTGTAAATCAAAACCGTTGGCGTTTTCCGTAAAAGGCGTTCCTGCAGAAGAGAACAGCTGTTGCCAGGTTGCTTGTGTTACCGCCGCCGATGCTGGCAAAGGATCGCCGGTTGAAAGCCATGAAGGCGTAGCCGTGCCTTGAGCAGGCTGAGCGGGTGGCGCGGTGGTGGGGTTGGGTTTCATGGTCGCTGAAGGTTCCTGTTTTGGCCCATCCAGACCAGAAACAAGCTGATGCATACTCATGGGCGAAGCGTTTTCATAATGGGAAGGGGGTTGGCTGATCCCGGAAGAGGACGGGGAAGAGGAGAAATTCGAAGTCTGCGACGACGTCGGTCGGGGTGGGGGCATCGTGGTGTTGTCTGATTTTTTTTCATGTTCCGCCGACGATTTGCCTGAAGCGGGATCGGCACGCAGTAAATTGAACAAGGTCTGCATGAACGCAACAATAGGCGGACTGTAAGGAACATCCTCACACAGCGGAATCATGCACTCATCCATGCTCAGTCGCACATATTCACGCGCCATCGTCGCCACTTCAGGATCCGAACTTGTGCAATTATACACATGAATCAGTGCAGCCTGGAACACAGAGTAAGCTGTCAAACGAGGCCCATTTAAAAAATCCAATCGTCAGTACCATACCCTGGCCTTATTCTGTCTCCTTTAACCTTTGTTTTTTACCTGCAAAATTCCATCCAAATCGACAGATATTGACAGTGGGAACGACGCGTGCAACGTCAATGGAGGCTTTGGCGGCGTTCATGCATTTGCGAACAGACTGAATACACAGTTCTGACTTGCTGTCTTCACCCTCCAGGGCAATGAAGGGTCGTAAAAGTAATACAATCACAGCGTAATAGCACACTGTCAACGGACCTCCTTCTCGCAGCTTGACAGTATCCTGATATTTCTCCGGCTGTCGTCGAATCAACTCGAGATCTTCGGGCGAAATACGATAATTTTCAGGAATTTGAAGGAACCACTCCGTCAGCATACGTTCCAGACTCCACACTGTTTGTTCCATGGCCACGGTCTTGTATCCGTTGATTTTCGCTTTGGGTGAATAGATTCGTCGAAGCACTTCTCCAAGAATTCCTGACAGCTTGGTGAAATTAACAAACACGGTGTAATCCGCATCATTGTTGGCTCCATGAATCATGGGGAGATCAATATCGCAATCGGAATCCGCAATGGCCAACGGTCGTCCCATCACCGCACAACACCAACGATCGGTCAAGTACACACTGTACCACAGCCGTTTTCGTGATTCAATCAGTTGTTCCGATACCTGACACGTCGTCAACGAACGATGCAATCCAAGATCTTGAGCCTAAAAAAACCGATACATATAAATACCGAGGCCCGACACAAAATATTCGTGCGACTTGAAGCTTACCATGCGGACGGCCATGCCAGCTAGAATCCAGTTACGGTAGCCGGTGGTGGAGGAGGTTGGTTGGGCACACAGGAGGACCAAGGCTCGAATATTGGAAATCCGCGGCACCAGATATTCTCGGCGTACCAATTCACTGGTCCGTTCTAATAATGCACGCAAAATGGAATCGCGTTCCACATTGGCTTGGACAAAAATGGGGTTGTCGGAATTTAAGAGAAAGCATGCATACACGGCAATGGCATAGGTTAACAATGGTGATGGAGCAGGCGACGTTCGACCTTCAAAAGCGTCCAAATACTCGTCTTTATCAACAACAGGTAATGTGGGATGAGGCATGCGAAAATACCTATCCATCAGGCAGAGTGTCAATCAATGAATCCCAAAATCGCGGGATCCTGGAATCCCGGGGTCAAAATTATACTTACATATAGACTAGTGCTTCCAGTACGCGGCGGGGTATGACATAGTTGATGGTTTCTTGCTCATTGGAGGCCAACTGGGAGGCGTGTTCTGCATCGGTGGTGTCTCGTACTACCATTAGATCATCATCATAGACATTCATGCGTCGAAGACGGTAGGTGCCCTGATTTGATGGTATTGTGAACAGTTTGGAATTTTCGCCATCCTTTTCAGCCGGAACGGATTGTTGAGATTCCCCCACTGCGGTTTCATGGGTTCCTGACGTGGGAGACTGGCGTTCGGGGCCATTGGAAGGTTCGCCTTCTTTGGAGTTCAGAATGTCACCTACGATATAGAAGCCAGACGAGCTTCCGTGATATCGAATGATTTTGTCTTTTGTTTGTCCTGCCACCGGTGGTTGCGGTGAATGGGTTGCTGAAGACGATGAAGAAGCCGATGGCAGCATGTAAGGTGCGGCTTCGGGACTAGACGACATGGATCGTTGACGTTTATGCGGTGATTCTGAAGTTCCCGGTGATCCATTATTGGAATGCATTTGTTCCACAAGTTGCTCCATCTTTTTCAATCGCGTCTCTAAACTCTCAATGTATCTGTTGCATAGAAATTCATGCACAATTTTTTTCGTTAGCATGGAGCCCACGTGATCTGCATTCTCAACCCATTTCTTTTTTTTTTTTTTTACCCTTTGGGAGGTCCGCGCTTTTTAGCAGTCTAAATCAAGTATGGCAAATCAAAAGCATGAATACCGGTTATGCTCTTTATATATATGAAAAGATCTTACATCGTTGAAGGTGCATTCCCAACCGTATTGCCGGCACGTAGAACAAGGTTGAGAGTCTTTGACATCACATCTAGAAAAAAAAAGAAACAATAAGCGACTTCAGTGGGATACAGCGTGCATAACCAAAACTCCACACTCACTTGATTTTTTTGCGTCGACATATATCACCTGTAACACAACGCTAGTGAGTCCTGAGACCGTCAGGAACATGGACGAAATCAAGCCAACTTACATGCACGGGTAATTCTCGTTCGTTTATTCTTTTCTGTGGGAGCCGGTGGGGGAAGAGGACGAGCCGCTATGGGGATGCCCTGTATCGAGCTACTGCTTGTGGATGCGTAGGGAGACCAAGAAGACATGGAAGGATTGTGCATTGGTAATGGTTCGTTTACTGGCCTCAAGTATGAAAAAAATCTAAATTGCCTCTGTTCTTGGGCTTTTTTTTTTTTTTTTGTGTAGTCTCCCTGTGGAACTGTGGTGTGTATTGTCAAAAAAATAAGGTATGCAATATGACTGGGTCTGTGTTGGGGAAATTTCAAAAAGAGGAAAAGAAAGGGAAAACTGGCCAAAAGACGCTAAAACTATTTCTCCGGAAAAAAACCAGTGGGTTCAGGAAGAAGGCAAATCGGGTGGACCGGAGATTGAATTGATCGTGACTCCGGCCACGGCGTCCCCCCATGTATTAGACCCATTGACGGGCACACCGGGACGCACAGCGTCTTTGGACGATGAAACAGTTTGTGCACTGGAGGAGTTACTGGTTCGTAAACCAAAGGTTGATGGTTTTACTACCATTACTACGGCAACAATTACAATGACCGCCGTTAAACACAGGGTAGCGGCAATACGACACCGTTTCTTCCAAAGATAACTTTCCAAAGGCGACTGAGATCCCACTAGATTGCTGCTACCAATAAACCAAGCCAGAGGACAGAGAAAACCTAGAAAGAACATGTAACGTTCGATGACCAAATGGAAAGGAGACGATGGTGCAGATGCATCATGCGTTTCCGCGGCCACCCGCGGTTCTTGATGAATAACATCTTCTTTGTCAAAGTCATCTTTGAAATTGGGAAGAAGAACGGACGGAGTTTGGAGGCATTTTGGGTTACTCATCGTTTTTTCGCGTAGTTTAATTATTGTTGTAGTGGATCCAAGTTTCTTTTTTTTTCTGCGTCGATTATTAATGCATTGGAAAAAGTGCTAGAAGGTTTGTCTCCTTTTGAACAATCACATCCAAGCATGATGAGCGGAGTCTTTTTCAGTTTTAAAACGTATCCATGATCTCACCCCATGTCTGATCCGTATAAAAAGGAGGCCACTTTTTTGTGACCTCTCACATCACTACAAGTTTTTTTTCCTGTTCTATATTAACTTTAACAATCATGGTTCAAAATAAGCAAGTTATCTTTACCAAGGTCCCTACCACTTTCCCCGAGGACGGCGAACATATGCAAGTCCGTGAGAGTACCATTGATCTTGATGCCCACCTCACTTCGGGAGAGATTATTTTGAAGAACCTTGCTTTGTCGGTCGACCCTTACATGCGTGGCCGTATGCGAGATCCCTCTGTCAAATCGTATTCTCCCGCATTTCCTTTGAACCAGCCCATGACTGGCAGCACCATGAGTGTCGTGGTCAAGAGCAACCACCCCAAGTTCAAGGAAGGCGATCTTGTCTACGGTAACACCGGTATGGGTATCTTTGAAGAATACACTCGTGTCGGCGGAGTATATCTCGAGAAAGCGTATACTGTGCGCAACGAGCCCAAGGAAAACGGATTGCCCATCACCAATTACTTGGGTGTTTTGGGTATGCCTGGTATGACCGCCTATGTTGGGTAAGTGTTAATAATAAATAAAAAATGCATCAAGCCTAACGCACATGCATGGTAGTTTGTTCAAGATTGGTGCCCCCAAGAAGGGAGAAACTTTGTACGTTTCAGCTGCTTCCGGTGCCGTGGGTCAACTGGTGGGTCAAATGGGCAAGGCGTTTGGTCTTCATGTGGTCGGTTCCGCCGGTTCGGATGAAAAGGTCGAATACTTGAAGTCGATTGGTTTCGACGGTGTGTTCAACTACAAGACCGAAGACATTGACGACAAGCTCGGCGAACTGTGCCCCAACGGTATCGACATTTACTTTGAAAACGTCGGTGGCAAGATGCTCGAATGCGTCATCAAGCGTGCCAACAACTTTGCTCGCATTGTCGCCTGTGGTATGATCTCCCAGTATAACCGCGAACACCCCGAACCTATCCACAACTTGATGCAAGTCGTGGCCAAGCGTTTGCGTATCGAAGGTTTCATTGTCGGTGACCATTTGGACATGGAACAAGAATTCAGAGAAAAGGTGACCAAGATGCTCCTCAACAAGGAAATCCAATACAAAGAATCCGTTGCCCACGGTATCGAAAACACTCCCAAAGCCTTGATTGACGTGCTTCGCGGAAAGAACTTTGGCAAGCAAGTCGTCAAGATTGCTGATCTGTAAATACAATGATTTAACCGTTTTAAAATGTATCAAAGCTCCCAAATAAAATTAAAAAAAAAATCATAAAGAACAAGCACATGTAATGTATGAACCAAGAAAGGTGGCTTTCGGGGACAAAGCGTGTATTATGAAGGAAGGAAAAAAATGCCGGATTAGGGTGGAATGCAATTGAACATCAGGACCAGCCTGGGATATCTTTTTTGTGATTTCTATACGAAAAAATAGGGTGCAGTTATTAGGTTGAAACGTAAGAGGGCCAAAACAAAAAGGAAGAGGAGCGATGCGTACAACAGGATAAAAAAAAATAGAGGCGATGAGTAAGAAGATCAAGAGGCCGAACCATTGCTGTCCACGGACGAAAGTAACGCTTCCAATTCATCATCTACACGTTTAAGATAAAATTCTTCCTGCAGCACCGTCGTCAAAATTTCCTTTCGAAACGCAACAAACAGGTCGGCACTAATATTCAAAGTGTGAATTCACTTTTCAGTCGAATGACAGGTGCAAGTCGCTACCTTTCCAAACGTTGCATCAACAGTTCATGAGATACAGCAATGTCCTTGTCAAATAAGGATGCTTCGTTGGCCAACGCCGTTTCAAGGCATTCCGTTACTTTTTCCAACAGTCGATGACCCGTAGCCTACAATATAACGGGAGATCATTCCGCCATTGTAAGACAAAGAGGCTTTTGCGAATGGAAGATGGATCTATGCGAGGAATGAATGCTTACAGTGGTTCGAAATTCGGACAATAAATGACGTCGAAGTTCGTCAAAGGTGCCTTTGCGTTTAAGATGAAGTACGGCGTCTTCCGGAGTCATCAAGACGATGGACCAATGGTGAAAGGGAAATAGGCAAATGAGGAGAAAAAAAAAAAAAAGAGAAAATCACTTGGTTGTATCTCAGCAGCACTGCAGGTAATTGAAGCTCCGAGGAGTTGAGAGTGGATGTATAGAGACAAGCGACAGTTTTTTATTTTTTTACAATTTTTTCATAACTCCTTTGACCATTGAGCGCCTTCAGGCGGTCGAGTACGTCCTTTTTTTGCGGCTGTTCGCTGAAACCATCCTTTTTTTTGTATTTATGGCTGAATTTTTATATTTATTATATTGATATTCCGCAGCCCTGCCAGCTTCAGCCGCCAGAGCGTATTCCAGTTGTGTCGTATTCGAGTCGTTTTTGATAACACCAGACGATTTCAAAAGCGATATCGAAATCTTTGCGCAGTTGTTTGGCAAAGTGCGATTGGGGAATTTCATTTCCTCTGTATGGAGCTGGATAATCCGCGCTATCCATGACAAAGAGTGGTGTGCGGGCGACTCGTCCATGTACCAGTCGAATGGAGCGAGTTGCGTTGCAGCGTGCCAAAAGTAGTTGTACGTAAAGCGTATGATGCGTAACTGCTGTCCCAACTGCGAATGATTCTTTCTTGGTCGACATACGTTAGTATCCTCTATCGCAGCGTTTTCATAAAGCGTTCGACGATACCCCCGAATATGGTAAGGGGGCGTGAAGTTCAACTGGACCTCACGTCTTTAAAGGTGCATTCCCGATAGAAAGAACGGTGTCTTGGTCTGAGGAGAAGATAATAAACGATAGGAAAATTATCCGGATTCATGGGAAGCCCGCGTTCCATGTTAAGTGAGAGGTCGAATGGGTGATGTCCATGATGGATATGTAATTGATCAGGTTGAGATATAACACAGTCGCAAATGGGCTGCACTCTCCTTTGTCGACAACCTCCCGGAGTTCTGCAATGATGTTATTCATGTCTGTCCAGGAATCTGAGGTCTTGATCACAGCCTTCGGGTTCGCTGGATTTACTTTGGTGTCTTGGGTAAGTTCGAAGGACCCGAACGCTTCCTCAAACGAAGTGGACATGACTGCATGACCAGCCCCTGCAAGTATCGCGATGCAAGCTTCCCAAGTGCGTTGGCGCTCGAACATAGCCCGCGCTGTGTGGAAGGTCGCCAACCGCCAATTCCAAATAAAATGAAGACTTTACTGGCTTCGCTCAACTGCAAATGCAATGTACAAGCATTCCGCCATTTGTGTGTGCGAAAAGACGAAGAATTCGAATAACTGGCACCACAATGACAGATGAAATGCGTGTGTCGTTGTCTGTTTCGTTTTTACTCCCTGAAATCTTGCTGGAACTTGGTGCTTCCATGACCACAAACGTGCGACAAAAAAGGCCAACACTTGATATATTCGAAAAATCGAAAGGATTCCCAGAGAACGTCGAAATAATTCGTGTCTTCTGCTTGCAACAACACCACCTTTGTGCTTCAAAACAGCCTTCCTTCTTGCTCTGACGATAGACATGGGCATGAGGTTTGTTTGAACCCTCTTCGTATGGTGGACCGAAAGATGTCTACGCAGGCGCAGCAACTAAAACAGGAAGGAGAAAGAAGACGCGCGGCAAATGATGGTGTGCGAAGGTAAAAACTAAAGTTTCTGAGTGACATCACGTTTAATGTAGTGACATTGATTTTTATTGGTTGCGACATTACTTGTTGGAAGAATTGTATGAAAAAAGATTGGAATGACGAATTGGGATACACTGTTTTATACTAATGACAATAGTCAATAGTCGAGATTAGACGGTAATCTATTGAAGAAAAAGTGGAATCGACAAAAAATATCAAATGAAAAGGGATTGCCAAGGTTGGGTCACTCGGAAGTTCATATTGCCGAAGCAGGACATTAAAAAGGGACTGTGAGTGGATAAATTAGTTCGGCTCGGCCCTTTTCATTCCTTTTTACACAACTTTTTTTTATATCTCCAGTGTGTGTGTGGGTGTTGGTTTTACAAGGCAAAAAAAAAAAGACCACCTGTAAATTTTCTTGCATACAACTTTCTCATACAAACCGGGGTGTTGTTCAATGTCAACTTCAGCGCCATGGTCTAATCAGGCGCGATCCCAAGCACCTTCCACTTCTTACCCTCCTTACACTCAACCGTCCATGTCCAGTCCGACGTCCTCAGCTCAACTACCCCAGTACGATCCGCAGGCCAATATGTATCGTCCTTTACAACCTCAGCCTTACCCCACAGCTCCCATCGCACCTTATCCACCATCGTATCCACCTTATTCATCCGTACCCATATCGTCGCACCCGCCTCGAGAACCCGAACCAGAAAATAAAAGAGTACGCATAAGTCGAGCATGGTAAGTTTGACTGCGGTTAATACATGCCAAAAAAAAAAAAAAAAAAAAAAAAAAAAAACCAAAACCCCCACGGTTGCGTTCCGCCACCTTATATTTTTACCAGCCTCATTATCCCATTTTCGATATATTCATACCCGTCATTGCATTGATTAGTGATGCCTGCCGACGGAAAAAGATCAAATGCGATACAGCCGGTCCCGGTAGTACGTGTAAAACTTGCAAATCATTGAAAATCGAATGCACATTCAACGACAGGCAAGTCACGGACTCTACCTCAAAATTAAAAAAAAAATCCCAAGCATGGCTAACATCACATGCATTTTCAATGGCTCCTTTTTGTTTCCCTTTTTGTTTTATTTACCTTGCTTTGTGTAATATTGAAACACTGCAGTGCCAAGAAACGCGGACCTCCGAAAGGGTAAGTGACCTGTAAAAAACAAGGATCCGACAGTGTGGAGGTTGATTTTTTTTTTCTGTCGTACCATGTTTGTGTATAGGTACATTGAGATATTGGAGAATCGTTTAAAACGTATGGAGAAAATTCTCGGAGGCCTCGCCGAATCGAAACAAGACACCGCCCATCCTGACCATCCAGAACAGCAAATCACCAGCCATCGCCCAGACTATCCAACCTCAGTGTCACCTTCTTCGACGTCCGCCCCTCCTCCGAAAAAAGCATCTTCGTCCGAACCACAGACCTCCCTCGATCCTTCTCCGTCCGCCTCTTTGTCCTCTCCAGTACCACTCCCTCCACCGTCGCGTTCTCCCGATGATCCAGTAACATCATCGAAATCTACTCGTTCTCGATCTCCTCCAGAACAGAAACCGCTGGCCGTCGAACTTTCCTCTTTAAGTACGGAAATGAAAACGCGATATATTGGTGACATGAGCCCCTTGCCCTTTCTGGCACGTAAAGTGGATTTCGAGAACAGTGAATTGTCGTCCCACCTTGGATTCAAAATACGTCGATTTGGACAAAGTCTCGTCTGGTACGAAGAAGAAGATAAATCGGGTAAAGGCGCCAATCACAAGCTATTGGAAATGCTGGGCATGTTGAAACCGGGCGAAACCATCAATACATTGAATGAATGGATCTACAAAGTCGCAGGGTTGGATAAAAGCATGAGCGATCGTCTAATGAAAGTGTAAGTTCTGACTCGTCATCGTTGTCGTCGTCGTCATATACTGATGGATCTCTTTTGGAATGTAGCTATTTCGCGTATATCCATCCTGGACTCCCCGTGGTAAACAAGGCGTTGTTTTTGAAACAATATCGTGGGGAAATTGGGGATTATCCATCGGCACCCTTGTTGAATGCTATTTATGGCGCAGCCGTACGGTATATCGACACATGTCATTTGTTCGGAGGCAAAGTGAATGCGGACGGCACGAATTGGGACATTCCGAAAGGCTGGTCGGAACAATTATTCGATAACCTGCTGACGTATGTTAAAGGGCGTTACAGTCCATGTATCGCTACTATCCAGGCCTTGGTGATTGGACAAAACCATCGTGCGAGTCTCGATGAAAAACTCAACAGCGGCTGGCTATTAAATGCCGCTGCCATACGCATGGTAAGTCCTCATAAAACACACATACACCATTGGCACTGGGCCGCATGATTCGATGGGGCTGTATAAAAACGAGCGCAAAAAACCAGTGAAAAAAGGAGGGCGGGAGAAGGAAAAGAGATGAGGAAGAGAGAAAGAAGAAAGGAAATACAAATTTTTTAAACTCACATTATGTGATTTTTTTTATGCATCCTAGGCTCAGGATTTGGGACTTCATCGATCCAGTGCAACGTGGGACATTCCTGAAAGTGAAAAGGAAACTCGCAAGCGAGTGTGGTGGTCAGTTTATATCATGGATAAATGGTCAGCCGCTGCCACCGGACGTCCCCAAACCGTGTTTGATGAGGTAAATAAGAGGCTGCACATCAAGTGTCAATGTTTTTTCGGCTGTGAACTGACGCGCGATGAATGATAGGACTGTGACGAAAATTATCCAAATGAGAGTGCGAGTTGGGAAGAGGTGATGGATGTCATGGAACGCCAAGGCGAGAATGAGGCTGATGCAGATTACCCGCGATTCCCTTCCTTGGACGAACATGTGGCGGGAAAAATCAAAGGGGAAAAAATTCCCATCTATCAGCCCTTTGTGCAACTCGTGAAACTGTCCGAAATTCTCGGTCGCATCCTGCAGGGATTATACACACCGCTCGCCAAACGTCAAAGCGCCGAACGTGGTAGTGATGCCATTGTCACTTATCTCGATGCCGCTCTATCCGAATGGCGCAGTGCCCTTCCCCCAGCTCTGCAAATATCGAACGTCAATGTACGCCGCCTTGATCACAACGGTCGCACCCCTTTGCTATCCATGTCAGGTAAATTTTGTCTTGGACCCTGTTTTCTTATTTTCCTTGAACAACAATAGACTGACATGTATGGTTATTTTTTCACGTCCAGGGTTAATGTATTTATCGTACTGTACCTTGTTAATATTGCTTCATCGTCCTTTTATTGAAAAGGAAGGAGGCCAGAAAACGCGGTCATCATTGTCGTCGCTCAGTATCTGTACGAGTGCTGCGACACGGTGCGTGGACATTGCGGCCAAGATGCATTACCGCGATTTCTTGCTCGTGTCTTGGAACTTTGCTATTTATCCTGTGTTTACCGCGTCCCTGATTCACATTTATAATGCAGCCAACTCAGATACGATCGTGTCCGATGAAGCCAAGGCCAATCTTATCAAAGCGGCAGCGGTCATTAAACGGCTTTCAAAAATGTCTCAAGCGGCCGGCCGGTTATATGAGGTACTGATGAAGCTCATGGAAGTACGCAATATCTCGGTGGAAGAAATGATCCTAGACGAAGAAGAAGAGGATACGCGGGACGATCCAGAAACCCAAGTGAAAAAGAAGAATAGGAAAAGATTGTTTACCGATCGAGCCTCGGTGATTCAGAAAGAGGCCATAGCCGCTTCTTCGCCAAGCACCGATGGCCGAAAGTTGGACGATCTGACATCAAGTGTATCACCGCGGGTATCGGATGTAGGACGCGGTCAAGCGATGCATCCTCAAAATACGAATGACAACAAATCACCTCAAAGTCTGATGAATATCTCGATACCGAACTACGCAGACTCGGACAAGGGAGGTACGACTGGAAACAGCAGTGCCGGATCCACGCCTTCTTCGGCGGTGAACAGTGATTGGATCAACGGGTTGTATTCTTCCATGCAAGACAGTGGACGCCAAGGTAAGTTTAAATCGCGCGTGCCACGGGAAAATATGCGGCTTCCTGACGGAAAAAATCTTTAGTGAGTGCTGGTACTACGCCGTCGCAAGAGGCAGATCCACATTCGTTGCGACAGTTTGGACTGAGCATGGACCAAATGTTCATTCCTTTGGAGCAGCTGGGCGAGGCAGATGTGCACAGCAACATTCCAATGGAGCAACAAGGTCCACAACCTACCATGACCGATATTTTAATGTCCAACCATCCCATCAACGGTTTCTTGCTAGGATTTCCTCAACTGAATGCGATCCCGTCCTCCACTTCACCTAGTTCTCAACCGCCGCCGGCAGTGACGGTGCCATCGCATGGTATGCCTGTATCACAAGCCATGTATCGTCCAAATACTTCGTCCGAGTATCGAATGCCCGTGGAACAGGCCCCCATGCCTCTGCATGAAATGAATCAAGGGCTTTTCAGGAATCGTCCTGATAATCCTTTCTGGTCTGTCCCGAGTACAATAGAAATGGCCGATTGGACAGCCTATTTAATGCCAGAACAACTTCAACAACCGCCCTCTGGCAATCCACCGTCCTGGCCCAACGGCCATGGCTGGATGTAGTATTATTGACCTAGGAGAACAACCGTCGAGGGAGCCATATGTACGATTTTATTTATTTACCACTATTTTTTTTTTGAACAAAATCCATCATGTATTGTAATTGCATCATTTCACCCAAATTTTACGTTTCATCTTGCCAATCTTGTCATACAGTCTTTGTGACGCATTTGACCTCTTTGTTAAAAACAAAAAAAAAAAAAAAATGAATACTGGAAAGCTCACCATAGAGGACACCAATGGTCACAGTAATGGAGTTGATTATCTTGGCTTATATAATGTAGAAAAAATCACCATTTTTGAAATAATGCGCAATGTGAGAAGAAGACACGTTCCCGAACATGATCGTCCAGTGACATTGGTAAACGATCCGTTTACTGTACCGGTATATCACCCAATTCGGACAGATGGACCTGTTCATATTAGTGCCAAAGATAATCCGGCCAAAGAGATGATCTGTTGTCGGATTCATGCGTGTGAGCCCGACCACGACTACTTCTGATTCGGTCGTATGAGACCAAACAAACCTTTTACTGTCTGATACAGTACATGCAACAATATGTACGTATTTGTTTTAATCAATCGCATGATCGAGAATATTCTACTTCCAAAATCCAAGCGTATAGCTCAACCAAACCGCTGCATGTGGAAAGTTTGGTTCTGATGATGTTGTACTACGGAATTTTATTATTTGAAAGGTTGATGGAAAAAAAAAAAAAGACGAAAAAATGAGATGAAATAGGGCATGAGGGATCGGGTGGTTTGTTTGTTTTTTTTTTTTTTTTTTTTTTCCTTTGAAGAAAGACATGAGGGGATGCAGTGATAGGATCATAAAGGAAGTGAGGGGAAAAAGAAAGAGTCAAATACTATATGTATATACAGGAGAAAAGGTCTATATCAACGGGTCACCTAGACATATAGAATGACATTATGAGCATAACACTCGAAAGGGCAGATTGGATGAGATGACTTACCTAGCATGGGCCAACTGGGGAGGTACCGTCGATCCACCAGAGGCCATACTTGGTTGGCATCGTAAAGCTCTATGAATTGTTGATCCATTGAACGAGATTTCGGATGAGAGAAACGTCTATATTCATCAAAAATGGATGTGTGGCTCCAGTTCTGCAGTTTGCGAAGGCATCCAATGAGACATCCCGTACGGTGCTGTTGTCGAATGATGGAACAAGTAAGTGATCCAATCGCCATTTTATATAGAAAGGAAGCTCATCAAATGCTCCCACGCGCTACTCACCTTTCCCTTGTTACAGTGAATCAACATTGGATGATTTCGTTTGTCTAGACGCTACGTATCAATAACCGCTAGCCAAGACTGCCTACATTTACTCCATAATTCTCATACCTAACATGGCTGCCAGTGCAGCGTTGATTTTATCTTCGGGTACTACGAAACAAAAAATTTCATGCCACCATCAGCCCCCGCGTTCGGATGTTTATATGAATGAACTTGAGACTTACTCTGGACAAACGGTTCCTAAGGGAAGCAAATGGTTTTTAAGTCACAACATGATGATGCAATAATATTTTGGTCAAAGTTACCTTGTTACCGGCGATTCCAAACTGTAAGAATTTGATGCCTTGTTCTTCCAGAAATTTCATATTCTGCTCAGGATACTCTTCAAGAATGAGAGTACTAGACGAAATAGTGTGGGTGAGTGAGTGAGTGAGTTTTTTCTTCTGACGCACTCTTCAGCTTACAGGACGCTTTTTAGTTGCAACTTTTTCAAGAATAAAAAGTGCTTCTTTTTGGGAAACGAGCTGCGGTAAATGTGTTGACAGACCATGTTAAAGTTCTCTGGAGGAATTAGCGCTTCCTGGAAAAGGTCGGCGTCATCGTGGGGATTGAAAGGAGCATCGACAGACCAAGCCGGTTCAGTAACAATAACGGAATGCATGCGTTGAACGTTTTCCTTGTCCTTGTCGTCTATCGGTTGCTGCTGGGCATGGGCTTCAGTGTCAGCCATGGTAGGGGATAAAAACCGAAAAACAACAATGATGCGCGGACTTTGAATGCCAGTTCGAACAAATTGAAGCCGGCACATCCAATTTGCCCAGCTGACGTATAAAAATTGATTATTGGCGTTCTGAGTCGAGAAGGAGCACTCTTTGGGGGGCGCTCACGGTTTTTTTTTTCTTTCCTTTCCGTTCTCTGTATTTCTCTTGGCTTTTTTTTTCTTTATCACTTTCATCTTTCCTTTCCTTTTTCAGTTGCACTTTTTTTTCGTCCCTTTGAGTCTTTTTATTTTCCCTACTTTTTTTCTTGTCATGACTACTCGTTATCAAAAGGTAAACTTCTTTCTTTCTAGTCACTTTACTGCCAATGGAAAAAGGCAAGAACGCTGCGGTGCTAACTCACTCCTGTTTCCATTATAGTTAACTGGGGTAGATGATTCGTTCGATACCAACACACATATGGAAGGAGGGAGTTCTTCGCATAGCCGACGATCGTTTGACCAACGACGCTGTGATTTAGAAGATACATTTGACGAAGTATTGGACGACGACGATAATGACCATCACGAATCGCACCGACTGTTAGAAACCTCTTCGTCTAGTGTGCCAGCCTCTGACGTCAATACCACCCAGTCCACCATACCTGATGCGAATCGACCGGCGGTTTTGCCCGTTACCAACGATGGCGTCTTTTCCAACATGTCGGCCAAACCGGAATCCCACGCTGCCAAGGTCGACGAAACCCCACCCGTAAGTGACAGAGAACATTTTTCCCCGTTTTACCGTATCCGTTACTCATCTTCTCCCTCATTGCTTCATTGCTTTGATTCTTTTTTTTTTCAGGCCTACGATGAAGCTATGGCTGATGCTACCCCACCTTACTGGCAAACCACCGTCATTGCACCGGCAGGCATGGGCGATATGATTTTTGTCGAGGGCATGCCCGTAGGCAATATGCTCAGTTTTGCATGGAATCTTTTAGGTAAGCTGAACCACAAAAGAAACTTGACCTCACATTTCTTTTTTTTTTTTTTTGACGCAAAAACAAAAAAAAAAAAAAAAAAACTGAATGATATTTGTTTTTAGTATCTGCAAGCTTTCAATTTGTTGGATTCATGTTGACATACTTATTACACACATCACATGCTGCCAAGGTAACGAAAAACCTAAAAAAAAGAAACCTTGTCATCCAACAATCTAACTCTATTCATATTTTTTTTTGTCAATAGCAAGGATCAAGAGCAGGTCTTGGCGTGTCGTTAGTTCAAACCGGATTCTATATTCGAAGCCGTAAGTATAACACACACACACACACACACACACCTACAAACCAATCCTGATGACTAAATATATTGCTTTCCTTTTTTCTGTTTTCTAGGAGGTTCATTGGACGATGGGTATTACGATGATGAAGGCGGTAATTCAGATAAAAACGGGTCTGACGAAAGTAGCGGTGATGCCGATATCATTGCGTATTTCCTAATGATGTTGGGCTGGTTTATCATTATTCGAGCCATCGCGGATTATGCAAGAGCGCGTAATATGGAGAAGATTATCGGGGCTGAACCTAATGCTGATGCCATGGTGTAGCTTATTTTCATGCATCTTTTCTGTAACCTTAATCATGTCAAATTCCCTAACCTTATCATCCCCATTGTTTCCCGTCCTTTTTATATGTACACACACAACTCCCCTGTGCTTGCGTATGTGTGCGTGTTATACAACTGTCCCTCTCTCTTTGTTTCGCTGCGTCCCTTTTTTTTTTCTCCTGTTCCTTTTTTCGTCATCCATTTTACCTTTTTACATTGGGTTCCTTTTTTTCTTATTTCTCGAAATTGTAAAGCCATATATTCCTATTTTCGCTCATCATAAATTTTAACTTTTTCTCATCCGTTTTTGATAGTTTGATCTGATACTTCTCCATTCTCCAGTCATGAATCAGTTTGGCTGACAATGGCCGTAAGAAACCCACATCCTCCATTAGGAAAATGGCATTGATATCCATAGAATCAATGTATTCTGAAAATTACTGTGTCGCAAAGGGGGGGGGGGGGAAGAGGCGTGCTGTGAAACACTAATCATTGAATGACCACGGCCTTCTGTGTTGACATCCTATTCTGGTTCCTTCTCCTCTGAACTATAAACTATGCATAAAGAACTTTAATGGAGCTACGTGATGACTGGAGAGACCATGATTAACAAATCATGGTACTGTCCAGGCAAAGTCTGCTGGTATACAAAATATAGACGCACGGTGCATAACAAAAGAAGCATGAATAATCAATTGGCCCTGACCCTTTTGCATAATGGATGGAGAAATATGGCGCATGATGTGCATAAAGGCACCGACCGAGTTGGGGACGCTCATTCAAAAAATGGAAAAAGTCACAAGTTTGGAAAATTTATAATTATCGCCAAACGAATGCGAGTGACAGGTTGTTTTGTGTATCGAGTATAAAAAAAAGGTCAAGATGGACGATACGTTGGCCCAAGTACGAGAAAAATGCGCTCTACAGTTGGAGATGTATCAAAAGTGTGTGGAGAACTATCCTCAATCTTGGGACAAGAGCTGCTTGCAACAGAAACGTGCATTGACCAAATGTTCTGAAGAAAAGTAAGTCTTCTCCGCATGACCAAAGAGACACCAACGGCTCATTCAAACAATCAATGTTTTGCAATAATTAGTGTTGGCATTTTGAAATATGTCAAGCAACATTGTTTGGCTCCCATCAAGGCCTACGACGAATGTCTCGCTGCGAATTCGGAGAATCCCGAAGCTTGCGTCAAAGCGCTCAAAGAACTATACTTTTGTACCGAAGCCACCACTATTGCCTATCGCGATCAACAAGCCAAAGAAAACAAGCAAGAACCATCAGCGGCTGCTGAAGCCAAGAAAGATTAATCCAATGCTTCAATGGCTGTCACAAAAACGAATCACTTCCCTTTTAGCCCATCATTGAATAATACGTCCGTACTTTACGAGTCACACATGTTTAGATCTAGATGCAAGAGTGTGCTTTCCCCCTTTCGACACATCATTTTTTGCTTTGAAGCAACAATACAGTATCATTCATTTAGAGCCACCAGCGTAAATCACGGCATTGACTACGGATACGTGAAACGGCCTATGGTGCCGGGTGCGAATTGACAGAATGCAGAGCGTAGCAAAGGGCGTGGTAGTCATGCATACAGAACTGTTCAAAATTTGCAATTGAAAAACGGATCATTGTTACTTTTGATTATTTTGGGCAATTATGGATGATACAAAAGAAATGACAAGGGCTACTAAAAACAAGAAGGTGATAACGGTGGCAAACAGATGAGCTAGCAATATTGTACAGCTTGATGTGTTCGACTGGGAAACCAAGGAAAATATGACATGTCGTATAGCAAAGAGCATTTAAGATCCTAGGTTTTTCATGCCATCCAACGTAGGGTGGCTCTGGAATAACCAAGTCAACGGTAGTGAGCTTTGCCTCCAATCCAAGATAAATGGTTCAAGTCCAATAGAAAAAGTGGTATCTTTCTGTGCATTACAGATGAATATCTTGAATCCCTTTTTGAGCATAAGTTTCCAACTGTCGCTTTCCTTTTCTCAAAAGATATTCAATAGTAGCAAAGTCCGTTTTGCGGACATTATAGGCACGAAATTCACGACGAATGTAAGCGTAAAAATGAGGTCGATTGGCCTACGACAAAGCATCGATTCAACTTTCATTAGCTACGGCACGATCACTTTTCCTTGTCGTGGAATTTTTCAGAATCCTACTTGAGGTTTCGCCCGTGCGGCACGAAAACATTCTCGATAAAAGTTGATCACTTGTTGCTGTAGCCCGGAGCGCTTCAATGGTCCTGCCATTATTCCAGAAAGAATGACGATTCGCGAACAAGTTTATTCGTCCTTACAAAGCAAAAAGAACTCGCTCGGGCGGCTCTTTGGGCGCAGTCACCGCAGCCGGCAAATCCCCTGGAAAAATGGGACCAACTCCGCTCACTCATGGGCGAAATGGTTAACCCATCTTTGTTGGGCGGCTGCTCTGCAAAAACGAAAAAGTTGGCCCACTGTCACTTCCATCACCTTCTGCTGACTCAGCAGTCGCAGGATTTCCCATTTCCGCCGTTAAGTAGCCATGTTACTGTTTGGTTGCACGGTTCTGGCTAGTGCTTGTCTCACTGTTGCATTGCCACTTCCTATCTGCCCGAAAATGAAGGATCGACGTCATTTTTAGAACCAAGGTTAATGTCATACAGCAAAGGCAGTGATTCGTATTGAACCAATGAAAACCATTGTTGGATTTGTGTTCTCCATCTTTTACATGCCAAATAAATATAGCGCTTTTATGGATTTTCGTGGGGGGGGGTGTGGAAGGAAAATAAAAATTCAGTGCCCCCAAAAGCCCGCTGGCCACAAATAAGCATTTTTCTATTAAAACTTCCTTCTTTTCTAAAAAAGATATGCATTTGTCATTCTATGTCATTCGCATTCTATGAAAATCTACTGTTTATTTGATTGGATGAGCTGCTTAAAAAAGGGGGCGGGGCAGAACAAACGAGGGATGAAATGACTTCTTTTTTTTTAACCCACAAAGATCCCTGCGATGGACACACAGACAAACCCACCGTCAGACAAAAGAGACAGATGACGAACCCAACGTGGCGGACATAAAACGGGATAAGGAAGAGGACAAAGATGGACCATTGGTTACACCATCGAACCAATGTGGGGAAAGATAGAGGGGGAGCATGTTATAATTATTTTTTTTCCGGATTTTTTTTTTTGGTGTTTTTGGTATTGGGATGCGACAAAATATGTATACCGAGGTAAGGCGTATATGAGGGTGTGCGGTGCGTACGTGCATGTGTTGTGTGGGTGGCTGTGTGGGTGGGTGGGGTGTGTATACATGAGATCCTTTTTCTTCCGCATCCGTCATAGCGTCATATCCGTCATCCATGCTTTTTTTTTCCGCCCAAAGCAAGCTCGAATGGATTATTTTACAAGGAGCGAATTGGTAGTCAACTGGATCGGGTCACAGTGAACGATCTGTGATTGTCAACTATTCCATGCGAGTCGAAACGGCATATTCTGAAAAGGTAACGATACGAAATGATCGGTGGCCGGCAAATTGGAAAGGGTATAAAGACGGGTGGTCGAGGCTGACACGATCCCTTTGACTTTGGAGTAGGTGCGCAAATGATCAGCTACTTCGGCCCGCCGAGCAACGATATAAGCTGTAACCCTTGGATCCAAAGGCACCGAGAAATCCAATGTGTCATGAATGTTTTGCAACACTCGACACAGTTCCGCAGCATCTGGACGGTTCTCTGGCCGTGGTTCGAGGCATGCCACGTAAAGCTTTTCGTACCACGCTGGTAAGCCCGGCACAGGTTCAATTCGGTACACGTTCTCCGAGACCGACTTTTTGCTCATATCCAATAAGACGTCCGGTGAGGGGAAAACCACCTTGCTCACCAGTTGCCAAATAATGATCCCCAGACTGTAGATGTCCGATTTCTCGGTGTACACGCCTCGTCGCACTTCCGGTGCTACATAGGGTAATCGTCCATATACGGCTTTGGTCAGCGCCGTCACCGACGACGATTCGCGTGAAGGCGTCGAAAATCGATAATCCACTAAGAAGTAGTCGCTGTCCGTACACATGATGTTGCGCGGGTGCACATTGCGATGACAGGTTTCCGCCTTGTGAAGATCGGCCAAATTCACCGTTAATCGTAGAATGGTGCCTGTGATGGTTTTCAAATCCAAATCCTCCAGCGGCATTTGTTGCATATGATCTTCCAGATTGCCATCATTGCTCATCTTCATCACCATCATCAGATCTCCCGTACTTTCACACACCGTCAAGCCTTGAAAAAGCAGTGGTAAAAAAGCTTTCGCTTGAACCGAGATCTAAGCAACATGTAAGGATAAGTAACTCAAAAAATATCATCATTTCTCTCCCCTAAATTTTTTTCCCTCTACACATTTCCTCTTTCCTCTTTCTGTTATATTATATTCACACGCCATTCCATTATTTGCCACCTTCCCCAAGAAGTTCCCTTCTCTCCCCCCCCCCCACACACACACACAAAGATCCAACCGATGCTCTTTCTCTCATTTCTCTTTTCCCATTGTACACCCCGTCCTGCTGTTCGTCTCTACTCGTGCACCGCTCCTTCACAGCCTCTCCACAAATGTTCCAGAATGATCAAAAGTGTTGCTGTGTTACCTCGTTCAGGACTTTGTCATCGACAATTTTGAGGGCAACTCGTGTGGGCTGAACGTCGTAAGGGGGAATCATCAGTGTTGCGTATACGGCGGAAAATCCACCCGCGCCGATAAATTGCATGTTGGAAAACCATCCCCACGGGAACCATTGCATGTATCGATCCAGATCGTCAATGAACAGTTGTCGAACCGCTTTACTGGCACGAGGATGCGATGTGTTGATCACTTTTTCGATACCGTATTTCTCACCCAGTACTTTGTAAGACAATTGCTGTCGCCAAAGGAACGACCAGTGCTGTATATAAAAGGAAAAAAAATACTCATTAGTGCTCACATGACAACTATTTTTCTGTGGCCGATGGAACAGAGGGAGGTGAGTTGATGGATACGTTACCCAGGCATGATCGAATTCAATAGCATTGTCGTTGTAGTATTCGCAGACTTCTTGGTAAAGTTGAGCGAGTCTTTCCGCTACGGTAGGTTGAAATCGACGAGTGGATGGGATTAATGCTTCAAGACCGAATTCCTGAGGATATAACTCGACGAGTCGGGTGATCGCTTGGCGTGTCTGATGCACAAGCTCGTCGTTTAGTTGTTGCGTGTACAATAATTCCAATTCTTGTTCGTTCATACGCTTGGGGCAGACAAAGAAAAAGAACAGAAATGAAATAAAAGGGAACACAAGAAGAAAAAAAAAAGGAAGAAAAGAAGAGCCGAAGTAAAATAAAAGATTAAAAAGGGTTGATTTGATGGGGGTTCTCTGTAGTGATGGCAACTATATAAATAAAATCGAAAATAGATATGGGATACGAAGATGAGAAATAGAAAAAGATAGATCTGGAAGGACAGAAGAGAGAACCTGACGGGAGTGGAAGAGGGAAAAAAGAAAGTGTGCAACGAGAGAAAAAAGAAAAAAGAAGGCAGGGAATACGAAAAACCTGGCACTGGGATTGGTAAGAAAAATTTAGACCCCCGGACCGCAAAAAAACAACCAATTTTGGGATCGAAAAAAAGAAAAAAAAAGGCGATGAATTGTCACAATCACTGTGTAACGCTTCTCTGATTGGACAATCCGGTTCCTTCGGTCGCTAATTTTCCATGACAAGAACCACACCACATCGGCGGCCTTCCCATTTCAAGTCCATTCATTTGACTCTGTGTTTTTATAGATTGTTATATTTCGCAAGTTATATTTATTATGAGTTTTTTTGAATATTATAAACAGTCGCACTTTTTTTTAGAAATTTTATATGTAAAAAGAAGGGAAATGAAATAAACAAGAGGAAGGAAAAAATCATAAGGATGGAGAGAATAAAACGAATATAAGAGGAAAGTGAAACGTGGAATTGATATGTCTCAGTTACCACTTGAGTAGAATATGAAAAAGGAGAACGGAGAAACTAGAAAACGGAATTTGAGGAGAATCGAGACGAGACAGCGGGGTAGGGATGGGAAGCACAAGAAAAAAGAACAATAAGAAAAAGAAGGAGAAGAAGAAAAGTATGAATATATTCATTGTCCTTCAGCTTGGCTGTCGACCCGCTGACCTTGTTATTGTTATTGTTATCGTTGCTGTTGTTGTTGTTCGTGGAATGTTTCCATAGGGAGAGGATTCATGCATCTAGCATTGAAGAATTGTTTCGAGATTCAAGCCCATATCGAAAGCTCGCTGTCTCAGGTACGTGTACATTTTATATTGTAATTCCAGTAAAGGAGAATCGCGTTTATCCATTCCAGCCTGGGAAAGATCAGCAAGGTACGACTGAACGCCTACAATTAGTCGAAGCAACGAGTCGTTGTTGTAATCGTAACCGTCTAGTAGACCCGGCTCTTCTTCGTCGCCTTGTACTTCATCATCTTCTTCTTCTTCCACCTCCATCATGTCATCGTCTTCTTCGTCACAGAGATAATGGTTCACATAATAATCATTATAGTCAGCTTCCAAAGCGGCGTTCGCCATCGCTCGATCATAATCGGCAAAATAGGCCTCTTCTAGAGCCATGGCGTCGTGATGATCATCAACGTAATAGGAGCAGGGTGCAATAACTGGATGGACATTATTATGCTCGCCGTTCATAACCGTGACTGAAGGAAAGTTACTGATGAAGTGAAATAAGAGAAAGAGAGAGAGACAATGTCCTTGTGTTGTTTATCGTAAAATGATAACACAAGAACAAGGAAGCACTGGAAAGAAAAAAAAAGAAGGAAAGAAGAAAAGAAAAGAGAGAGAAAGGATGAAGAGAAACGAGACAAGAGGAGAAATGATCATGAAATATAAGCCAAAATCCCTCAACAGAACATCATCCCCTCTCACTAGTTTGGTGTGAACTGGGGTTAGAAAAACTCATCCCAGACGTTGCACCAGAATGTTGGACACGTTTTTTCACGTAGGTGAGCCTGACACCCCACCTACCTTTTATGGAGTTCGATCCTGTACGCAATAACAATCAATATCCGTTTTCTATTATGGCTAAGGTGACAACAGCATCATTTTATTTATCGCTTGATTGCGTTACTATCATTGTTTGGTGCGCTGTTTAATTGATACTAAAAATGCATGACGAGTGCACCATGCCGGTGTGTCCAAATGAGGCAACTTCTTTTGTTTTTACTACGCATCGACTCATGACGCTGACTATTTTCTGCAAGTCTAATTCAAATGATCCAGTGGCGTAAATGAGGTATTATCAATTCGCTCCATGCAAGCTGTACGCCACACGTGTTGCTATTATCTGAAAAGTAAAATCATGACAGTTTTTTGTCATCTTTTTCTCCAATCCCGTAATGCCTTGTATCGTCAATTTTGCCTTGGCATCGTGTACTTTATCTCATTGTTCCTCGCTTGCGGGCCTACCAACCCAACTAAAAAGGAAACTTGTTTTGGCCGGCAAATCATTCATCTACCCGATAGTGATCTGTTTTTCTTTGTATCTCGTCAATCCTATCGCGCGATAAGCACGGTATCCTAAGCAACAAACATGCCTATTATGTCTGCGAATGAACCAATCCGCATTGTCAATGAAACGACAGAGATTCGTGTGCTCCATCATGTCGAAAAAGCATTCATTGCAATCAAATGATTGTTCGCGTGGCAGGTCGTCATCATTGAAGCGTGACATGGAGGCGCGGCTACTACATTGAGCGGCAGTGGAATAGTACCGGAGTTTGCAATGTTTAAATTTGAAATCATGATCACGAACAGCGGGTTTGCATAAGGATAAGCCGACAGGTCGGGACAACATAAGCCTTATTTCAAAGCATTCCTGTCCATCGAATAAAATCAGAGTCAGCATTCATTAGTTCTATATTTACGACACACGAGACCGGACCATGTCGTCGTTTTCCCCCCTTGATACAAGGATCGTCATCATTATTCCCATTCAGCGTCCTTTGAAACTCGATGTAAAAATAGGCCCATATTTGCATATCATTCCATGTCAGATATGACACTTGCAAACTAGGCATATGATATATCTTGTCGACACATGCTCGATAATCCTTTTGCAATTCCAAGACCACTAGATCAAGGCAAGCTCTCCAAAAAATCAGTATAGATAAGCATGGTATAATCTCGCGACCCAAAAAAAGAAAATTGCCAAAGCAAAGTTGGTCCAGTCCCAAGGACTGCTTGCTTAATTAAAATGCTCAAACAAGAAAAAAAGAAGTAGGAAAAGGAAGCGAAGATAAAAATAAGAAAATCACAATTGTCCAATGGGGTTTGCTTTTTCAGTTGTATGACAACCAAACAATTTTAAATACTTTTTCGTCACCTTTCCGATGAACAAAGGAGAAGGAATCTTCACAGAATTGCATCGGCAACCTTCCTTGTATGGGTTACTCCCCTTTCAAATATATATAAGCCTTATGGGCATGTCACATAGCAAGTTAACCCATATGATGACGAAGCATTATGGTCCTTTGATACTAAAATGAGGACAATCTTCCTTCTTGCTTGACACCTCGCCCTTCGGCCCTTCCAAAAAATAAAAAAATAAAAAAATATACACTAAGCGTTGGCTTCACATGCGATGATGCTAAATTAACAGAAAATATTGAACCAGTGTGAGATCATTTCGTTGCTCTCTAACAGGTCATGGAATAAGAATACAGCGTCCGGGATCCAAAGTCAACACATTGACCATCAGAAAGACATGGATTCACGCTGTACCTTGGTGCGCGCCCATAATTTCAAAGCAAGAACGTGCGATGCTTCTCACATTTTGAATGGTCCGTCGCACATAACACACGGAAGTCCAACTGACAAAAGGTACAGGAAAGAAAGGTCTAGTTCGAATGCACGGGCAACAATTGGCATAAGGCGCCATGCGGTATCTACAATATGTGATGCATGCCCTATGCACGGTCATTCATGACACCATGGTTTCATAATTTTAAAATTTTGGCATAACCGCATACTGTAGTGGGCGGCATGTATACATCAAAACTATCACAATACACGTTAGAGGTCCTTCCAAAATTGGATCAGCCATGATTCAAGATGGTTTGTTCTTTTCCTCCCAAAAGATTGTTGCTCCAATTTTCTTCTACTTTGTTTATGGTAGAAAAAGAGAGAAAGAAAAAAAAAAGGCAGACAGGAAAAAGCAAAAGGATCAGGAACAATTACAGGTAGAAAAGACAACTATTTCACAAGGAAGGGACTGGATACATGATAAACTGATATCTTACAATGAAGAAATAACAAATAGCAAAGGTAATGAGAGGATAAAGGGGAGGGATTGGAGGTGAGGTATAGGGATGTGTTTGTATATCTCAGCTATAACTTTAATACACGGCCATTTTATTGGCCGTAATCTCTGGATAATCATCGAGATCTCTGAGCTTTTGATGCTGGTTATTTCTCTTGAGGCGGGCGGCATAAGCGCTGATAACCGAAGCGAAATAAACCTAAAAATATCAGGCCAAGCCGTGTCAACAACATTGGATTCTTCATCACCTTGTTTTTATATCATCCATGGATGATGCATCTGGTTTGCTTTTTTTTTTTCTTTTTTTTTTTTTACCTGAAATAAGTTGCCAACAAAGACGATCAAACCGCCGACAATCAGTAGTTGCTTCGCCGCTGTGGCGCAGGACTGGGTAAGATTATCGCCGCCGTTAGGAAGTTGCACAGGCGTGTAATAGGAGGAAGAAGATGAAGCCAATTCTCTGGCCACTTCGGCACAGCTTTCCACCAGAAGATCTCGTTTGACGAGGCATAAAATCCACAAAGCAAATGTGACAATCAGTAACAAAATTGTCACCAACCAATACAAAATCTTGAACACCCCAATCATCTTTCGATTTTGCTAGAAAAAAGAAAAAACAAAAAGACCGCCCCGTCAGATCAGTTCCCGTTCGACAAAAGGAATGAACAAAGGGTAGAGAGACTTACTGTGATGCTGCCAATAACGCCAAATAAGGAACTCACAGCATATAAAGCTATCACACCCACGGCAGTCCAATAACCGGGAGCGGTAGAAGAAAGCATTGTATTGTCATAGCCGAGAAAATCTGTTTTCAGAGACACAGTTGAGTTTTCGAGTGCTGTCAAAAAAATAAGATAGACAGTTACCATCCCGCTTGATCAAGAGGCCGACCAGCCACAGAATGTAAACAATCTAATAGACGGAATCAAGTCGGTTAAAAAAGGGATAAACGAAGACATGGCGACGAGAAAAAAGAACTGGGATTCAATGCTTACGGAAGACAATGACGCAATGAGCAAGACGCCAACACTTGAAAAATGAAAGCATTCATGATGAGTGAGGTGACATTATTACAAAGATAAAGGTTATCAAGGCGTTACCGAAGAGGAATGCAACAACAACAGTGATTAAGGCCCATGGTATGCAGAAACACGGAAGGTAGAAAGGAAAAAGATCCGCTGCAAAAGATTCTGAATTTTTTTTCGGTTCTTTGTTGTTTCGTCCAGATCACGTTGTGTTACGATGAAGCTATTTATACTAGAGAGACGGTATTGAACCGGAAGAAAATCACACAACATCCTCGTCGAACGAAACCCTCCTTTTTGATGAATTTGTCCTTTCATATGTGGAGAACAAATAAACGCACATAACATCTAAAAAGTCAATATCATAAACACCAATTATGGTCATTTTCTGTACCTTGCCATGCTTTCTCCTGACAAAAGAAAGGGACAAAAAAAGGCGCACTAAAAATCCACACTCCTTTTCTGGGCTTGGACCGTGTCACACCATTAACCTTTCCAGCCAGTTGACTTCGCCTTGCATCCCACCCACAGTGATCCATTGCCATGGCTAAGCCTCACCAAAAGAACTACATACAGTTACACTATTATGCCATGCTTAGGATAGGCCTCCTTCATTGACTCTTTTTTTTTCCTAATCACTTGTATGCACTATTTTTATCTGTACTTATCATTCAGATGTGAAGCCCGTCTGTGTCAGCAAGCATACCTCTGTGATTATGCCGGGGAACAGCCAAGACGATGTTTTTAGGTTATAAGGGCAAGGGTGGAACCGCCATCCAACCTAGTTTGTTGCATTATGTTGGGTAATAGTTTCCCATTTCGATATAAAAAAAAAAGGTTCACTCGGACCATCTGTTTTTTATCCTTTTAAAATGATGCATACATACGCTGATTTTACAGGGCACAGCTGCATACGCAAAGCAATGCCCGCGATATTCGATCTTGGTAACTTTTTTGTGGATCTTTGCCACAACAAAAATATGCCACAGAACAATGCACAACAGAACAAGACACAGAATCCTTAAAACTGATTCAGTACAATATAGCCATTTTTGATAAGTCAAATAAGTATTTAGAAATGCCATCATATCTCCTATAGATCTTCATTTCCAGTCGGAACTCCAAGCATTGCCGAATGAAGCACCACCCTCTGTTGCCAACGCAAAAGCGGACACTTAGCGAAGCATGGCATATCCATTGTTATGGTACTCATATGCATCAATTTCTCGTTACTGTGTATCATAGTGGTCGACCAGTGTAGTCTAACAGATGTCTGAAGCATGTAAAAATTGGTATCCTGTTACCCGGAGTTGATACTTCAAAGACCGGAAGAGCGTGTAGAGAGATGCAGCAGATGTACAGATATCGATCTTCATATTTTGGGAGTCGGGTCTCACCTTCTTTGAAAGTCCACTGCCAATAAGATATGGGTGTCGCACAATGTGGCCATTACCTCTGCGACTGATCAGACCTTTCAAAAAGGGGATTTACACGCTGTATAGAATAGAAGAAGCAACGGCATAAGTGTGGCAAGGAGTGAGTACCGTGTCTGCTGTTTTACAATACCACATGAGCGACATGCAAAGCATACTGATCCAAATGGGGCCACCTAGTTACCATAACAAAATCTCACAGTTTCTAATCACTTTTAAAAATTTTAACAGGACCTCAATGACTCTGCATTATCACTGAACCCATAAGAAAAAGCTTATTTGATAGTCTTGCTTGTCAGGCGGGCATGGCGAACTTTTGGATAAGACGACCAACCTGTTCCAAAAATAGCAATGTTCCTTTTTTAAAACTTTTTTTTCACCAAAAAACAAAGCGCGACATTTTTGGCCATTACACTTTATCTGTTATTTTTTTTTTCTTCTTCGCCTTCTTTATCTTTTGTTTTCTTTCTTAACTTTTTTCTACTCTTCATTTCTTTTTCCCTTCTTTCCTTCCATTAAGCTTCTTTGCATTCATTCACTCCTTTTTATTATTTGTCAGCAAAGATACCTTCATATTTTTCTCGATGCGACCATCTTTTCTTCGACGAGGTCTGCTGTTTGCCGCTGTAGGCACATTCAGTAGTACTTGGTTCAACCCAGTGACAGCCCAGTCGACTTCGGGTAAGTTTCTCGTCACCCAACCGTCCCTGCCAATGACCCATGGCAACACCGAATCAAAAACGTGTGTGGTGGCACCCGAGACATATTTGCTTTCCAAAATGCACTGGCCACCACGTGTTGCCGAGCATACTTCGATTAGCCGGAGCCCTATTCGGCCGGATAATCTTTGATGATGAGAAGCTTAGTGTTCGATGTCTCGATGGGTTGCAGGCATTCATTGTAGAAAAATAACAACAATGGACATTAAAAACTTTTTGTTCATCAACTAGACGGAGACATGTCCCCACCGACGACGGATGATCCAGGTTCAGTCTCAGACCAGCTTAATATTTTCCAGGGACTAACCTGACTCTAAAAAATCCAAATACAGACCAGACGGTTCCTGATGTCAGCCCGGACATTGATAGTCCAGACTCCGTTTCAGACAATGGCAACGACGCAACGTCACCTGCCGCCAACGATCCATCGAACGCTCAGGCTGCCCCACCCGGCGATGACGGCCAAGCCGGCAATGGTAGATGATTTCCTGATTTGTGGACCAACAAAAGAAATACCCTACTCATACTGATTCTACCCACAGAATCGCCATCCAATGATGATGCTTCTCATACCAACCAAGATCCGGGTATGCCTCAAGATAACGGAGCAAATGACGGTAACGAAACGCCGGACGACGAAGACGCGGATAATGTGGAAAATGATGATCCTAACAACGATGAACCCTCCTCAACAGATACTGGTAATAACGGTGATACTGGCAACGACGGTAGCACCGGCAACGACGTGAATAATGGCTCTTCAGACGGATCTGCGGACGGATCCAATCCCGACAATGGAAGTGGTGTCGACGACAACACGGACGATTCCTCGAATGACGGTAATACTGGTGATGATGGTGAAGAGGATGATGGCGACGATGAAATTGATGATACAAGTGATGATGATGGCTCTGACAATTCCAACGATCCCACCGATTCAGATGGTTCACAGGACGGTAATACTGGCAATTCTGATGGATCGGACGGTGGCTCTGGCGAAACGAGTCCAACCGATGGTGGTTGGCCTGCGGTGCCGCCTTCAGCAACAGAAGATCCCAATGCTGGTGGCAGCAGTTCCATCGATCCTTCGACTGCCGTCACACCTGTATATTCTGCGACGGATTCCTATACGCCTGAACCTACGTCGTCTTGGATGCCACCGAGCAGCAGCTTACCGAGCGGTACATCTTCGGATATTTCCAGCATTCAGCCATCGTCATCGGCTGACCCCAGCAGCACGCCAACCGGCTCGTCGTCGGGAGACAGTGGTCTTTCATCCCAGAGCAAGGCCATTATTGGTGGCGTGATTGGCGGTGTCGCCGGTGCCGCGATTATTGGTGCCATTATTTTCTTCCTTCTTCGTCGAACCAAGCGAAAACAACGGGCCGACATGGAAGTATTCACGCCTCAGGCTTACGAAGAAGACGACCATCGATCGTCTTGGGCCCAAACCCCCATGTCCCATCAGCCATTGTATTCTGCCGGCTACGAACACCCGCCGCCACCTCCACCTCATAACTATAATTACTAGAAACAGTGGAAACTAGCAATAATCTCTGTATTTCGTGTACTTTTTTCTTTTCTTAGTCTTTCCTTTTCTCGCATCTCTTTTTCTTTTTGAACGGTTTCCGCTCAATGCTTGTAGTGTACACCAAGATGAATCTTCAACCCCCCCCCCCATTCCCCCCATTAAGTTCTTTATATTTATTTTTACGCTTATAAGTTATCTTCATAATAGAATGACCCATTTTCATTTTCTGGTCAAAGGCTCAGTGTCACACAAGGAACTAAGCAAGCACGTTCTCATCATCAAGCTCAGAAAGGAAAAAGGTCAAAAAATAGAAATTCAATGCAGGCCGAAAAACGCTACTTTCTTCATGTTTAAAATGTATTCCTTAGAAAATAACATCTTCATCCTCTTGATCCAAAACATCCAACTGGCCGGTTTCGTGCGCAGCATGGAATTCTGGAACTATGGAACAAAAGCCATCGGTTAGATCATCATTGCAACGAGTAAATGAAAAAAGGTTACCTTCTTCCAATTGACGAGCCGCTTCAACCGTAGCCAAGACTCTTGATGCTTCTTCAGCAGCTGCACGATCCTTCTTCTTGCCTTGCACCTTCTTCAAGCTAAGGAAAATAAAAGCGTGTTACATCTAGGCCTCTTGTTCCATGTAACGATGGATAAGTTTACCGGAAGAACTCTTCTCTGTCCTGCTCATCCAGTTCCGAAATGATATATTTAATGGTATTCTCGTAACGTGGAATGATGACATGCTCGATAGCGTTCACACGGCGGTTGGTGGCCTTGATGACTTCATCTAGAATCACAAAGGCCGTCTACAGGATATTGAAAACAAAGATGAACCGGTTGATGCGCAGGTTTGATGGTGATCTTTTTTTTAAATTCGGTTCTTACCTGTAAACTGGCCAGTTCCACCAAGGTTTCTACTGCTTTCACATATACTTCTTTTGCTTTCTGCACTTGTTGACCACCTCGTCCGAGACCGGTAAACTCGAAAGCTGTGTCACGAGAAGAAGAAAAAAAAAAAAGGTTAAAGACGATCAAGCTCTGGTAGACCGAACAGAATCTCTTACCATTGCCGCCTTCCGAATATTGTTCAAACACAGGCAACATGACACCTGACACATTTTCCTGCTTTGCACGCACACGCAGTTGAGCCGTCTTGGATGCTTCCTGAATTTGATAACTAAGTTATAAATGATAGAAAAAAAAAAAGAAAAAAAAAGGCATGAGTGGTCACCAAGATAAAATTGGTTGGGTAAAACGAGGAGTGGGTTGGTTTCTAACCTGATGTCACCGGTGATGTATTGTACTTCGGCTAGAGAGAAGGAAGCCACTTGCATAACTTGGCCCATTTTACGTTTAAGCTAAAAAGGACAATAGTGATATATGGTTTCAATATATGATGATTCGACGTTACGTTGCATTTTTCCAGGTCAAGATACCTCATCAATTTGTTGAGTGATAGTTCTGAAACGTTTGGTGAGTGCCTCGGCTTTACGTTTGAGGAGCGAATGACCCGTTTGAGCACCCTTCAACTTGGACTTCATGGTGGTCAATGCCCTATTACCAGTAGAAATCAACGTAAATATATCCACTCTGACATATAAAAACAAGATAATATAGGAATAAAACTAGACTCGACGACGGCTGGGTCCCACGATGGAGTGGTGAACACGAGTACAGAAAAAAAAAGTCAGCCATAAAGGAAGTGTGCATTTAAACCTTACATTCGAGTTGGGAAAATGCTGATACGTTGATTAGCCCCGGACATGATGCTCTACTGAATGGTATTTTGAATAGCGAATGGGCTAGATGAGCAGACAAGGGAAAAAAAAAAGAATAGGACAAACAAAAAAGAGCACGCTGCCTGACGGCAAACCACTTCACCGGCGACTCCAAAGCACTCGCCATCACTCAAACTCCGACACGATAGCTCGGTGTGTCCTGATTTTGCACGGCAACGTCATGCTCCTTAAAATTGGCAGGAACCAACCCAGTCAAACACAACACTTTTTCTTTTATTAATATTATTATTTATAAGATGAAGAGGTTTCCATCTTCTTCCACGATTGAAATGGACGCATATTATTATCAGTTATTGCCGCCCTGGAGTTGGCTCCCTGCTGGAATGCGTGCGTTGCCATCACAAGCCAGTGCGTGTACTTGGATCGACCAGCTATTATTATGGCCTCCACGCGCTATTTGATTTTAGAATCTATTCGAGAGTTGACACTGTTTTGCTTGATCATTCTGCTTTTCTTTACACCTGATTATGCCGATTCGGGAAAGAAAAAAAAAGGTCCTCGTAAAATATTCAAGAGTTCTCCTCCCGAAGCCAACATTTTTCATTTTCCAAAATCTACCATGCTTTGGAGTGGCCCTTTGCAAACTTTTGTCACTGTCAAGGCTCCAAGATTAACCGAATAAGGAGAAGGATGCACCATGCCATCTCGGTTCCAGACGAAGTGTAACCTTGGTTGCATTCAAGGCATCCTAACATTCGGTGCCGACGGCTATAGGAGAGTCGACACGACCCCGCACGTATCGCCTGATCTGGGAAGAATAAGAAACCCTGTGAAAAAGAAAACTAGAGATTCTGGTTGAACTCGAGTTACTCCACCCTTCAAAAAGGATGGTCATCACTAGTACGCTTTGTACGTAAGCACGACCGCCCCACTACTATCGGTAGTGTAGCATCTGTTGGACTCCCTCGGCGATGATGATTCACCACATTAGATATCGACCGGTTTGCATCGAGTTCCAGTTACCGTAGATGCCATAGAAAGACATACTTCCTCGCCAAGCAAGGCGAGTTCACTTCAATGCGGGGCGGATTATACATCGATCGGTCCTTCAATAAGATCGCTGTCTGATTGCACGTTCCATTAGAGGTATAAACTACTTGTAGCAGTATCGTCCTTGATGGATAGCATTTGAGTCGTCGAGTCGACGCATACGTGTACTCGGGGGATGTAAGAGGGAAACATATCAAAGTGGCACAAATGACGCCATACATGGCCATCAAATCAGAGAATTTTCACCTGTTGATAATGGTGATCCTTCATTCGATATGCATCGTCATGCTGTGCCTGTAATAATACCCCTTCATGTTGGCTTCAAAGGGAAATCAACAAAAAGGTTATAAAGCTCCTTTGATATTCTTTATATCATTTTGTTGGAAATGTTGACTAAACCTCACGGAAAAACGGTCAAATAGATTCGTGATCCTCTCAAGTACCAAATACCCAGCAGACGATGTCTTGCATAAATGCTAATTTCGACTCACGCATACCGAACAAAGAAAAGCCATACACCGGATGGTAGAAAAACAGTCTACCACAGGTGATTTGAATCAAGATGCTTTGTACCGAGCCGAGGGAAGCGTGGGTGCGCGGCGTTTTTGTTCGTTTCAGTGGCTCGAGGTCCGACACTGGGAATACCAGTGCAACCTGTGTCAAAAAATAAAAAGACAAAAATGCCAAAGAAGTAAACCCTACCAAGCCAACATGGATATGCCCCGAGTTATTATCCTAAGGAGCCTCTGCATTCATAATTGGAACGATTATTTTTGAGTTCCTACTTATCGTTATTTTCCATGTTGTCCAACATTCTCGGCAAAGATTAGACCAGTCTAATCATTCGTGCATCATCCAATGAATTTGAAATCAGCAAGCAACTTGGGGAATCACAGTCCCGTATGACGCAGTGTATAATTGACCTGCCAAAAGTTTCTTTCTCTTTTTTTTTTTTTTTATTTCTGTACCCTTTTTTTCACCCTTTCTTCTATACATTTTTTTCGGTGAAATCATGTCCTGGGATCCTAATTACGCCGAAGATCAAGGCTTTTCTCAGCCTCCGGCCGACAATGGTGGCTTCGATGGTGCTGCCGAGCCCCGATCTCGACGTCCTGAAGGTGGTAACGCTGCTCACGAAGATCGTTTCCGTACCTTCAACTGGGCTTCGAACCGTTCCAGATACGAATACAACGAGAACGCTGTTGGTGAAGATGGTCTCGCCCTCCGTGATGAAAAATTGGAACAGGAACTTTTCGAAGTCGATGCTGCCGAGCAGCAAACCACTTTGGACTTTTCTCGTTACGAGAGTATTCCCATTCGTGTTCAACGTGGTGAAGCCCCTCCCCCAATCAAGAGCGTAAGTTGAGAAAAAAAAAGGAAAGCTTTTTGAATGCCGTTGACTCATAGTTTCGGGTTTATAGTTCGATGAAGCCGATCTCCATCCTGTCATGAAGGACAACGTGCGTTTGGCCAAATATGCCAAACCTACCCCTGTTCAGGTAGGTACAAGCGCCCGTTGCGTTTATAAAAACGAGGGGCAAGTGGTCTTTTTTTTTATTTTTCATTGTCACTTACATATGAACGGTTTGGTAATAGACCTACTCTATCCCCATTGTCACCTCTGGCAAAGATTTGATGGCTTGTGCTCAAACAGGCAAGTTATTTTTACAATTGCGGTTTTCCTATTGGCCAGAGTTTAGTCCAGAAAAAAAAGGGAGAAATACAAATATGAAAAACACTCTTTTTGACATGAGTGGGGAAGATGAGAAAAAAAAATGAAGAAAGAATAGGGGCGCTGACACCACTTTGTTCATTCTGTTTTTCTAGGTTCCGGTAAAACTGCTGCTTTCTTGATTCCCACCTTGTCCGCTCTCTTTGGTTCTGCCAAGGAACTTGCCAAACCTCGCCCTGCTCCTTATGAGTACAGATCTTACCGCGCCGAACCCTTAGTGCTCATTCTCGCTCCTACCCGTGAATTGTGTTCGCAAATTTTCGACGAATGCAGACGTTTCACCTACAGAAGCATGCTCAGACCTTGGTAAGTCTCCTCACCTCTCACTATTTGGAGATTTTTATATGAGAACCAAAGTTTTTGTAACCTGTGAATACGTCATTAGTGCCGTTTATGGTGGTGCCGATGCTATTTCGCAGATCCGTCAATTGGAAAGAGGTTGTGATATTCTGGCCGCTGCTCCCGGTCGTCTTATGGACTTTATTGAACGTGGTAAAATCGGTCTCAACCGTGTCAAGTACCTTGTCCTTGATGAAGCCGATCGTATGTTGGATATGGGTTTCGAAGCCATCATCCGTGCTTTGGTCTTGAAGAAGGGTAAGTCACTAATTGTATTTGTTTTGGCGCTTTGTACCCGTGACTCGACTAGAATGCTAAATGTGTTTTTGTAAACGAATAGGTATGAACCCTGATCGTCAAACTCTCATGTACAGTGCCACTTTCCCTCGTGCCATTCGTGCGCTTGCTCGTGACTTTTTGAAGCCCGACTATCTTTTCTTGAAGGTCGGTCGTGTCGGTGGTACCACCAACTCCATCACTCAAAAGGTATGTTGGCTGTTCTTGTGGATTCAAAACAATTAGAAGGATTTTTTTCTCAACACGCGTGAATTAGGTGATGTATGTCAACGAAGAAGACAAGCGTGAGTCGCTCCGTGCTCTTCTCAACTCCCAACCCCCCAGCCGTACTCTTATTTTTGTTGAGACTAAGCGTAGTGCTGACAGGTAAAGTGTTTGGAATGTTTCATTCAAGGATGCGGTGATGGTTTTTTTTTCATTTTGCTCACACAACGCGCATTAGCTTGGATCAATATCTTTTCGATCGCAGCTTCCCCTCTACTTCCATTCACGGTGATCGTACGCAAATGGAAAGAGAAGATGCTCTTCTCGGTTTCAAATCCGGTCAAACTCCCATTTTGGTCGCTACTGCCGTGGCTGCTCGTGGTATTGATATCCGTAACGTCATGCACGTTGTCAACTACGATATGCCCAACGATATGGATGAATACATTCATCGTATCGGTCGTACTGCTCGTGTCGGCAAGTCCGGTTTGGCCACTTCCTTCTACAACGAACGCAGCATGAACTTGGCTCCCGAATTGACCAAATTGCTCAAGGAAAACAAGCAAGAAATTCCTGACTTCTTGCAAGAATTCGTCACTGATGACAAGTACGTATTTTTTGCTTGCTTTCTTTTTTTGTGCCTGCGGATATATTAATGATGTGCCTTTTGTTTTCTTTTACTTGCAGCACTTGGGATGAAGATTTGGATGATGATAACGTCGAGGCTCCTAGCTATGCTGGACAAGAATATGTTGCTCCTGCTCGTGAAGTTCCTGGTCGAGGTCCTCCTGGTGGTGCTCCTGCTGGCGGTGAATTTGGTGCCGGTGATTTCGGTGCCAGTGGAGGTGCCGGTGGATGGGATGCTGGTGCTGCTGCCAATGGCTGGGATGCTGGTGCTGCTGGCGGTTCCAACGACTGGAACGCTGGTGGTGGTGGTGATTATGGTGCCGATAGTGGTTACGGTGCTACGGATTACGGCAACAGCGGTGGTTACAACGAACGTCCCAAACGTGACGGTGACTGGGATTGCCCCAGCTGTTCTGTTAGCAACTTTGCTAAGCGTACTGAATGTTTCAAGTGCGGTACTGGTCGTCCTGAAGGTGCTGGTGGTTTCGGCGGTGGTCAAAGCCGTCCTGGTGAATGGATCTGCCCCGATTGCGGTATCAACAATTTCTCCCGTCGTACCACTTGCTTCAAGTGTGATGCTGCCCGTCCCGAAGGTATGGGTGAACCCGCCCGTGGCCCTCCCCCACGTCGCGATGGTGACTGGGATTGCTCGTAAGTACAATTATTTGTTGATGCATCTCTTTCGTTTTCGGTTGTTGCGGTTCGACTCATAATTCTTTTTTCTCCTTTTATGAAGATGTGGTGCCGTCAACTTTGCCCGTCGTACCGATTGCTACAAATGTCACGCCTTGAAGGATGGTGGTGATAGCGGTTATGGTGGTGGCTATGATCAACCTTCCTACGATGCTGGTGAGACTTCCAACTTTGGTGCTTCCGGTGGTGATTGGAATGCGGATGCTGCTGCTGCCGGATGGGGTGGCGCTGCTGCTACTGAAACTCCTGCTGCTCCTGCTGATGGTGGATGGGGCGCTTCCAACGACACACCTGCTGCTGCTCCCGCTGCTGGCGGATGGGATAACGGTGCTTCGGCTGCTCCTGCTGCTCCTTCTACGGGCGGATGGGGTGCTTCCAACGACACAACTTCGGCACCTGCTGCTAGCGGATGGGGTGAACCTGCTCAACCTGCTGCTCCTGCTGCTGGCGGATGGGGCGCTTCCAACGATACCCCTGCTGCTCCTGCTGCTGGTGGATGGGGTGAACCTGCTCAACCTGCTGCACCGGCACCTTCATCAGGTGGATGGGGTGCTTCCAATGACACACCTGCTGCTGCACCCGCTGCTGGCGGATGGGGTGAACCTGCTCAACCTGTTGCTCCTGCTCAACCTGCTGCACCGGCACCTTCTTCAGGTGGATGGGGTGCACCTGCTGCTGCTCCTGCTCCTGCTCCTGCTCAACCCGCGGCTCAAGATAACGGATGGGGTGCTGCTCCAGCTGTTGCTGACGGTGGCTGGGGTGCTGCTCCCACTGCTTCCAATGGCATGGGCTGGTAAAAAATCAAGAACATCAAAAAAAAAGAGAGTACAACGACCTAGTTTCTTTTTTACTGTCTCAATACACTTACGGATATAGTCTCATGCATAAAAAAAAGGAAAAGGATCTGTAGGAATTTTTTTTTCATTCTTCTTTTTTCTCTTCTTGTCTAAAATAACTTGTTTCCCCATTGTAAATTACAGAATCCATTATTTCTTGAATAACATCTTGCAAAGGAAGGAGACGAGGTCTGGTCTGGAGAAAGGGTTTTTTACATTGTGGGGGCTTTCAAGTTTTATTGCAAAATTACAGATGAAAATTTTATCAAGCCAAAGATGAGTTTTGGATCCCTCTTTCACTTTCCACTGGGACCAGGTCAGTTCTTCATGTACAATAATCTGTAAAATATAAAGAACAAAAGAAAAAAAAAACTACAGAGTATAATAAGGAAAAAAAAAAAAAAAGAGGATGAAAGATGTGGTTTTTTTTCTCTCGGGCGCGCTTTTTTTTTTTTAAAGAGGATCAAAATGAGATTATTATTTTTTCTTTTTCGTTTCCAAGGATCCATTGGGAGTTTTAATTGAGGATAAAGTTAAGCATTGCTTTACTGTTTCTTTTCTTTTTATCGTCGTTCGTGGAAGCAGGAGAGGGAGCAACCTGTTGCTCAGTCGCGTAGCTTGATGGTGGTGCGGCCGCACTTCGATAATCATTCTCTTGATAATTTCGCGACGCATAGTACGGATGGCCACTGGGATTCATTCTCTCTGAATCGTCCGGAGGAGGCCTTGCATTGGATGGATAATAAGGTGGGGCATAGGTGTGCGGTATCGCATGTTGGGTTTGGTATGGATGCATTGCATAAGACGTGGAGGAATGATACAAAGGGTGTGGCTGTTGCGGTGGTTGTTGCAGCTGCTGTTGATGTGGTGGTGGTGGTGGTGGTTGTAGCTGCTGCTGTTGTGGAGATTGGGAATGAAAACTAGAATAAGGTGTTTCTTGTACTTTGGGTCGATAAACTACGCCGGCATTGGGACTCCGTGACACGGCCGGGATCGATGCTTGGCGAGGATAAGATGAAGATCGAAACGCCACCGGTTTAGCAGATATAGACGCTTTCCACACCCGCAACTGACGACCCCCATTGTTCTCCGTTGCTAATCGCATGTCTTCCGCAGGCGATGCAGATGATTCCGCTGAGACTGCGTTCGGTGGCGGAGCAGGCATCATCGCTGTGACTGATGCGGTAGCGGCTGGTTCTCCAGGATACACTTCTTGGTCATGTCGTTTGATCACAGGTTCACTGTGAGAGCTACTAGGAGGATTGGTCTGAATGTAATTACCCTGAGCATGGTAATTAATGAACTGAACCGATCCTCTTGGCGTTGTCGTCGGATAATTAGGCGTGCCCTGACTTCGAGACGCTCTCACGGGTGCTTCTTGCTCACGCATGGCCACAGGCTCCGCTTGTCGCTTGGTATCGTTACCCCTTTCGTTTCTTGATTGCAAAATGGTCGCGAAATCATAAGGATGCTGGGTTCGCGGTTCCTGTTTTTGCGGCTTTTGAACGGCGGGTACTTGCGGTGCGGAAGAAACACGTCGTTGAGCAGCCGCCGACGCATCAGCGTTCATTCTAGTACTGGGTTCAACGGATGTCGTCAGTAAACTGTGGATATTGCTTGATGACGCGGGCTTTTCCTTCGTCGGGGATTCTTTGACCATCGGTTCCTGGTGTTGCTGGGATACCATCGACGACCGAGAAGCGGGATGATCGGGTATGGAATGAGAAGGATGATGAGCCCTTGAATGAGCAGCGGCAACATGACTGTAGCTTTCACTCAAGGCTCTTCCGTGACCGGATGAAAGCGGCGGTGGATGAGACGCGATATGGGGAGAAGAAGGATGCGACATGGAATGAACATTGGAGGCCGAGAAGGACTTGTTGGGCGTCTTTCTTGCTGTAGGAGATAGACTTGCGTCTGTGGGTTTTGGAAACGGCGCATGTTCTTCGATTTTCCGTAATTTCGGGGACGGCGCGTACGCATCCGATGTTTCGGACCGGTCCATGGTTGTGGCATGATCGCCAGTGGCTTGACTAGCCACAGATGACTTGCGGTATCGCGAATGCTCCACCGGAGAACGCACGGTGGGAGACGGCACCTCGTGCGCCTTGGTAGGGCTCACAGTAGCGGGTTTCACCGCCTCTTCTGTTGCGCTGGTTGGCGCATTGGGTTCTGGTCCGACCGTTGATGCGGTGGTCACATCCGGTCCGGATGGCTCAAAACGAGAAGGCTCTTCCATCTTTGGAGATCGAGGCGACGGTAGCTTTTGTTCTGCAGAGGTAGCATCTGATACCAAAGGAGGCGACACTTCAGAGGGAGAGGCTTCTTCGTGACTGGCTTCTTTGGTCCATGATTTCAGTCGTTTACGATCAATGTCCTCGGTGGGTGTCTTGGCTTCCCGTTTCTGCGCCTTTTCTGAAGCTGTGGTGGTGGTCGTGGTAGCGGCATCCTCGGTCGATTTTTCCTCTTCCTTGATCAGCGGGCCATGAGACTCGATGGAGCTGGATCGCTTGGATGATGATGTTGCTTTGGTGGATTCCAAAGTGTCGGCCGTGGTCTCTTTCCCTTTGGACTTTGGAGCTGATGGAGAAGATTCTTTTTCGGGAGTGACAATGTCGGACGGACGTCGAACGACAGAAGAGCCTAGATCAATTGAACTTTGCCGTGAAGTGATGCCAATGTCGTAAGAATCGGTCTGATGATGATCGCGAAAATAACCACCGGAATTACCAACCGAGGGGGAGGGTAGAATGGATGCTGAAGAAGGGCTGATCGCTGATTGATGATTGGAATTGGTAGACGTGGAAAGGGATAAAGTGTCGGTTGATTTAGAAGTCGTCGAAGAAGAAAAAGATGGCATAGGAAGGCCTTTTTCACGGGCTTTCCATGCTGTACGCACTTTATCCATATGAGCCAGTAGTTGTTCTTTGGAGACGCCATTCCGGATACTTCGCATCGTATTTTTTACCATGCTTTCGTCGTTGGCCGCCCCTTTATCATCACGGAATCGGACAAATCTGGCCGAGTTTTTTTTTTATCGTTAGGCATGTTCCTTTTTTGCCCACCAAAAAAAACACGTAATTAGAAATACATACCTCCATCCCCCTTTTCGTGTGGTAGGTGCATAGCCTTGCTCGATAATGGTCATTTCCCAGTTGGGATCATATCTAAAATGATAGTTTCCATAAGTCATTTCCCACCATAAAAAGCATGTCTCTGTTAGGATGAGCCAACCTACCTGAATTCGGCAATACGTCCATCTGGTAAATGACTTTTCCATCTGCCAAAAAAAAAAAAAAATTAAGTAAACAGGATTTCTTTTTAAAGTAAAAAAAAAATAACGAAAAAAAAATAGGTGTGATTGATTGATCATGACCAATAAGGGTGGAGGTAGGGACGACGAATCAGCTTTTTCATGCAAAACTAAAGGAAAACTTACTGTGATGCCAGTGCCGGTTCCGGTTGAAACTGATCATAAAATTTATAGGTTACACCGTGCGATAATACTTCGAGGGAATAGATCGGCTTGTGTTCTTTACTCCAACGAGCAGAAATTCTAAAATCAACGGTATGATGTTCGGGAGGTTTCCATTTTAGTCTAGTCCAGAGAAGAAAAAAAAAAAAAGATCCGTTAACAGATCATCCTTTCGGCTGCGCTGTGTGTATCCCAGATTTTTCGGTAAAAAGCTTACAGTTTTTCGCATGTGCCTGAAACGTATGGGTGTTTGACAGGTGTAAAGATGACCCCGTCACTTTCGTGTTTCGATTTGGCGACTTGATCAAACACAAGATGCAAACCATACGAACGTTCCATTTTCTTCAGTTCAATACTATAAGAATGGGTTTCCCACACACAAAAAACCACAATCAATCCTCTTGTTTTCCTGTCCATGTCTTGACCTGCTTGTACTTACGTAAACGGGGGACGTGGTACGTGACGCAAACTGGCATTGAAAGGCTGAATAACTTCTTGCTGTGCCATCTAAAAGACAATATTATTACTATCAAAGGCGACTGAGAGAGAACAAAAGGGACTTACACCTAACCGCGTGTTGAATGAACGTTGCGTCACAGGCACGGCATTGATCGCCATGAGATCAAATACCAGAAATCGCCATGATGTCTATGGAGATGCATAAGTTTTTTCTCCATTCCCCTTTCCTCGTCCTGTTCAAGCGACGTCTCTCTCTTTTTGCGTACCTGGTCGTTATCTTTATCCATGACCAATTCCCCATCCATCAGTGTATCTTTTAGGTATTCCTTTTCCCGCCCGCGTAAAGGAAAAACTAAATTGGGGACATAGTACCATATTCGATTGCGGTCAAACTTGGTAGAGTAAAAGAAACAACGATATGAGTGTTTTTGGGGCCCTGTTGTTTTCCTAAAAACCACTTACGAGAAAAGCTGCGGGGCCTTTGGGTGAATGTACAAAGAACAAAAGATATCGTTCACCGTCATTCTTTTCGCAAACGAAATAATCTTCGCGTTCCAAATCTCGTAAATGCTTTGCGTCGAATGTGACAGGTTGTGATCCGGGAAAACTAGAGAATGGTCAATGCATAAGATGAGCTTTCGGATAAATACTGTTTTGGCTGTCAAATATGTTTATTTTTTTTTCAACCCTTTTCTTTCTTTTCCCTCTCTCTCTCTCTCTCTCTCTCTTTCGTTCTCTTGTTTTTCCTTTTCTTTTCACAGACTTATAGAATTCCCCTTTTTTCGCTTTCGTTTTTTCACCAGGTTGTAGAACTGGCAATTCACATACCCATCATGGTGGATTCCGAATATAGACTTGACTTTGTTATGCAAGGTTTTGGAGTAATCTGGATCAACGCGTTTCCCGATAGTTTCTGGTAATGATGAGCGTTCACTGGTGACTGTGTGTTGTGCTGTGGTTGCTTTCGCTTTGGTCGATGATAATTGGCTTGCTGCCATGGGGAGGAAGTTTTTAGCGAGGTTGATTGAAGATGAAGTCGGCGCGCGTAAAGGAAGGGGAAGAGGAATCCACTGTAAAGTTGACGGCGGACGTTGGGTCAGGGATGGTGAAATTCTCCAGCTTGACGAAAGTGACAAGAGTAGCAGGCGGCTGTAATTTGGAGAATGGTAAAAGTGACAACCGTAGACTTGGAAAAGCAGCAAGTCTATACAACCCGACAAGGATGCAAGTAAACAACAAAGCAAAAAGATAAAAAAAAAAGCACTAAAAGCACAACACCGTCAGTATCCCAAAAAAAAAAGTGGGAAATGAAAATTAAAAAAAATTGAACAATTCGCTTATTTTTTTAGTAGGCAGCCCTCTTTTACGTACGTCATTCTTTTTATTTTGGTCCGCCTCAACCCCAAGGCCTTTTTCTCTTTCCTCCCATCCTCTACTTTTTTTTTTTTTTTTTTTTTTTTTTTTTACAAATGCACCATCATATACTACCATTTTTTTTCCCATAATGTTCCTCTTACTGTTTATCTTTATTCTCTCAAGTGACTGATGTTGCTCAACTTGGTCCAGCGTTGCTAACTCGCCGAACTGATGGCTGACACACATCATCACCCACAGTTCCCATACTTGCGCACCTGATGAACTATTTGCAGGCTTCACAAGTTGAGCCCGTAAAGCTTACATGGAGTTGTTGGATACATGATTATCCTTGTACAGCGTTACTATATCTGTGCTGTACCGATGCTGTATGTATGAGTGGCTTTGTATCTTCGTCATGGCAAAGTGTTTTACAGCCATGATACCATTCTTTACTTGTACTTCATGTCCAAACAAGTCAGCAAACATGGACTGGAAGCTCAGTGATGCTCAACTATCATTTCACAAGGGAACGCTTCCATTTCATTTGCTCCTATGAAGAGAACCATTCAAATTGAATGTGTACCCTATCAAGTCAGTCAGTTTGGTTACGTCTTTCTTAAGTAATAAGGATCATGTGGTAATAGACTGAACAAACATGGGGACCATCATTTTGACTTCAATGAACTTCCTTGTATTTTTCTGTAACATGGTGCTCACTCAACAAGAAATTGTAATGCTAATACGCAAAACAGAAATGTTGTCTTTGGCAGAATGTGCTGGAGCGGCTTACAGAGCGTGGTGCAATAGACATGGGTTAGAATATATGCTTGCGATGACTGCTGTGATTGGCTGGGAAAAAGAGATTGATCAAGTACGATTTCTGTTGAATAAGACACGATCTATCCCGACTTCTTCAAAAATGATAGCTTCCTTGCACTTATCGACACGATGGCCGTCTTACAGACTACTGAAACATACGTTGCAACGAGCAATTTTGTTTGATTTTTCTTCAGACCTTGTCGTAGAAACAGGGTTCCTTTCTGGTCGATAAATTATCTTTTGAGAGATAAATGCGGCATGCGCTGTCGTTTCGAGATTATATGAGTAGAATAAGATGACGACTCGTTCTGATCAACCCGTCTGATGTGTGCAGCGGCTTCATTTAGACCTCGTTACTGTATCATTATCAGGCGAGAATAAATTGAACATGATAAAGTCAAACATGGTCTTGTTCGTCATGTATTATATCACATTTTATATCGTGTCATTATTGAATGAAGTTAAAAGTTGTGGAGGCGGACTTCTGACGACCTTTCGTAAATGCCACGCTTCGGTTAAAGTGATTGTGAAGACGAAAGCAGCACGCGACCCACGAGTTTCCAGATCCTGATTGCTCACGTCTAAGGAGCCATATTTTGGTCGTCTCGGCACATCATAAAGTTTGTGCGCGATCGGATCCCTAATAAATGTACTTGCCCAGATAATTAAATGGCCTGTGATGTGGCACTTCACTTCGACATCAATATGTATATCACACTCTGTCACCAGATAAAGTTTATAGAGGATGCTGCATCTATTGTGCACCTGGAATTTTGTTTAACCACGCACACGTTTTTCAATGAAACGACCATCCTTGCGCCACAGACATCATGGTTTACAATGCCAAAAATATCTAGCACAGCATAAAAAAATATCGTTATTAAATAAATATGCTTGTTACTGATGCTTGTATTGTTGCATATGTGGTGAAAGGAAAAAAGACCGAGTCACCCGTAATGGAATGACTGATTTCTACTACTCCTCACCTTCCCCCGCCAAGAAAAAAAAAGGGAGGTGTGAGAACAGCGACAGCCACATATGTGAGCAACTCCCTATTTCTCGCCACAGACTATCCCTAAGAAAAAGTTCACATCGGCCCAGTTGCCCATATATGATACAGAATTTTAGGCAATTTGAATTTTCTATGGCAGTATAAATACATCTTTGCAGCGTGTAAGGGTTATGCGGAAGATTGCTTTGAATTTTTTGTTTATTGGTGATAGTTGTCATAGGTATGGCTATGCTGGCATCCCCATATTAATTTGGCGACTCATTTAACCCATTTTATTTTATTTAAACGATCCTCATTATATTCGCAAATCTTATGTCCACTTATGTACTTGTCGTGGGGTTTGCCATATGCACAAAACTTAAGCTCAATTGTTTTGTTCTGCACAACGTGAAAACGTCATTGGCATTTTGCTTGAAGGATATTTTTTAGCAATTAAAGACAATCGAAAGAGTAATGAAGGCTTAGAGAGGTACTTTTTAGCAAATATATTTTCTATTTTTATTTTTCTTTTGTCGTTCGCTTGGAAACGACCAGGAAACGGTGCTCCAGCAGCTGCTGGGCGGTGGGTCGAGAAGCTATTTTTGACAAGTGTTAGTATTGTCCTTTCACTCAAATGTAAATATGGGCATATAATAAAATACCTGGCGAAATTGCCAATGTACTGGCAAGGAAGTCTTTCGCCTCGTCGGAAATCGCGATGTGCGTCGGAAGCGCAACGTCTTTCACCTGAGCGAAATCCACTTTTCTAAAAAGGCAAACAAAAAAAATGTCAGACAAAAATTTGGTAGGTAAACCATATAGCAGAAAACTTACTCGCTGCCAATCCATAATGATGAGATGTCATCATGGTATCGGCCAAAAAGCAACTTGTAACTATGGTCGGAAGTCAGTATAAATAGATAAATAATACAATGAAGAACGAATAACTTACGCGATGGCCCCAATGGACCAAATATCGGCAGCCTGGTCGTATCCTTTTCGGGTTTTGACTTCAGGCGCGACAAAGTGGGGAGTGCCGCAAACGCTGTAGAGAAAAAAAGAAATGAGTACTCCATCTACTGAGCGTGAACATTTTTGGGACATACCTTGTGCGCTTGTTTTCACGTACGACCGCGGCAAGGCCAAAATCACCAACCTTCGGCTTCAGGTCTTTGTCCACCATGATGTTGCCGAGTTTCAAATCGCGGTGGACGATGTTGCGGCGGTGGAGGTAATCGACTGCCTGCACGATTGCCTTCATGTTCGTGCGGACCAGCCGTTCGCTCATGGGGTCGCGCACCAGGTGGGCCAGCGACTATCATTGTACAATTAAAATAAATAAAAAAAGGATCGTAAGCATGGTGTGTTTCAAATTTAGTGTGTCAGATAATTTACCTTGTTCGCGCACAATTCCATGACGATGTACACGTAGTCATCATCCTCGAAGCATCTACGGAATCGCACGATCCCGGGATGGCTGAGCCGCTGGTGCAGCTTGACCTCCGCATCGAAGCGCTGCTTCTTCATCAGGATGATGCGGTACTTCGGTACGACCTTCACCGCAAACTCTTCACCTTCGTCGTTGTACGCCCGGTACACCTGGGCAGTGGCACCCTAGCATGACAGACAATTTAAAAGTCAGTAAGGGGCGGAAGCATGGCGACGCTTTTTAATTGTACTTACTTGGCCCAACTTCTCGGTCAGGGTATATGTCACCTGACGGCGCCAATCTTCAGCCTCGTGGGGCAGCTTCAGGAAAGGGCGGCAAGCCCGGCGTCGTGCCTCGTCCTTCTTCTTGTCTTGAGCGGTCGGCTTTGCAGCCGGAAGAAGAAGTTTGGTGGCGGAGGACTTGGTTCGCGAGGAGGTCTTTCGGCGAACGGTTTTCGGGGAGCGCTTTTTAGAGACAATCATAATAAAAGAAGGTTTAAACGAGCGGTGGTGAGAAGAGGAAGAGGGAAAGAGATATAACGATCATTACGCGAAAGATCGCGCCTTTTTATATATCATTTCCTCAATCGAAAAAATTTATCGACGCGTCGAAAAAAAAAAATTGGAAAAAAAAAACGCGTTCCGTAAATGAAGTCCCGACTGTCCAAAACCTAGCAATTTTTTTCCTATGGTAGCAAAGCGGTGCGCTGCAATGTTATTGTGTATGTAAAGAAAGTTTAATAATAATAATAATAAAAAAAGACTACAAAAACGTCCCTGAACTACGGACTCCCAAAGCAGTATCATCACCATTGTCTGATTGGAGGTTGACGTTAGATTCGGGATTTTCTACGTTGTGTTACTTGGCAAAACGATCGCCACAAACATTGACTTTGAAAAACGGATCATATTAACTGCGTTTCGGATCAACCGAGACTTGATCCGATGCAATACACCCTATTCCGTTTTCAGTAGGTTACAACAATTGCATCTGCAACACTATAGTAACGATGAATCACATTTTTTGAGCTTAAAATTAGCAGCGGAATGTTTTTGTTAGTCCCACCCCTTGAACGGGACAAGCCATAACTTTCGCCATTGACGTGACATGGAGATGCAACAACTCCATTTAGCATCTCAAGTTGCTATGACACGTAACCGTCGCGTTAGTCCCTCAGAGTTCCTTGGAAACGTTGGAGTAAACATGCTTTCAATATTTCTTTTGATAACTTCTTTTGATTTCCTACCAAAAAAAAAAAAAAAAAAAAAAAAAAAAAAAAAAAAAAAAAAAGCTCAGTAAAAACGGAAAGGAGTATAACATTCACCATTGACGTGAAATGGAGATGCAACCACTGAATTCCGCATGTCAGAACGCTATGACACGTAATCGTCGCGTTTGTCTCTCAGAGTTCCTTGAAAGCAGTAGAGATAACCGTTCTTCTCTCTACAACCTCTTTAATCCCATATATAAGAAATAAAAAAAAAATTTAAAAAAAAAGCTCAGTCAAAACAGAAAGGAGTACAACATTCACCAGTTACGTGACAGGGAGATGGCACCACTGAATTCCGCCTGGCAGGACGCTATGACACGTAACCGTTGCGTTCATCCCTCAGAGTTCCTTGAAAGCTTTCAAGTTACCCACGCTCCTCTTAGACAACCTCTTAATCTCGTACAAAAGGAAACAGGCAGGCAAGCCCCCCCCCAAAAAAAAAACTCAGGTTACACAAGATTCAGTGCGAAAAAATAAGGTGGTGGGCCAATGAATAGTGAACAGATTTTCTGGCAATGTGCCAAAATCCCTGGTGTGGCATCGTCTGTGCAACACTTCCCTTTTTGGCATATCCACCAATCAACGGGTTGTGTTTGCGCACGGATGGATCCAACGGCATTTCCATGACTCCACGAAAATAACATTTATCTTTACATGATCGCTTCGGTCATAACAATTAAAAATCGTCGCAAATAAAAAGCTTACATTGAACCAACTAATAACAAAAAAAAAGAAACTTTTCTGTCGTATATCTAACCTTTTTTATTTATTTATGTATTTATTTTAATCAATTTGGCACAGTAATTGCTGAAAATATTATTTTTCTATGTGTGCATTTTGACAACGGTCGTTTTTCACTTTATTGACAATATCCCCAAATTCATTTTAATTTGCGAGCGAACATCAAGTTAAAAGAAGGTGTCCTATTGATTGTAGAAAACGATGATGGTTTTAGAGATAAAATAAAAGTTTAACAAAATTGGATCGAGAAACCAGGATAATTCGCCAACTGTATCAATGGAAGTGCTACTAATAAGCACAACAAACAGATTGCAAAGGAACAATAACCGACTTTTCAATGCAACAAAGAGGTTTCCTCATGTATTTGTATATCTTCTCACATTTCATATTCAATTGGTTTAGAGTTTCTCACCTTCGCTTGTATAACATGTCCGATTTTTGCTCTATTTTTTATTTTTTATTTCTCATATATGCGATTAAAGAGGTTGTAGAGAGAAGAATGACTATCTCGCTTGCTTTCAAGGAACTCTGCGAAAAACGAACGCGACGGTTACGTGTCATAGCGTCTTGAGAATTGTCATGAGGTTGTCGCATCTTCATTCCACGTAACCAGTGAATGTTATGCTCTTTTCTGTTTTTACTGAGCTTTTTTTTTTTTTTTTTTTTTTTATATGGAATTAAAGAGGTTATAGATAGAAGAACGGTTATCTCTACTGCTTCCAAGGTACTTTGAGAGACGAACGCGACGGTTACGTGTCATAGGGACTTGACATGAGGAATCCAGTGGTTGTTGCATCTTCAATTCAGGTCAATGGCGCAAGTTACCTTTTTTTCCCGTCCAAGGGGTAGAATCGACAAGGAAATTTCGCTTATTCGCAGGCATAATTCATCGTTACTTTAGTGTTGCAGACGCACTGTCAGGACTTACAGAGAGCAGAAAAGGGTCTCTTTGGATCGAATCAGGTCTCGGTTGATCCGAAACACTGTTAATATAGTCCGTTTTTAAAGTCAATGTTTGTGGAGATCGTTTCGTTTAAATGATACAGCCGGATAATCCTGCATTCAACAAGTGATAATTTCCCAATTAAAACAATACTGTGGTAGAGGTCCGCAATATGTAACGCTAAGTAATTTCTTTTTTAATGAACTTGTTGCATAGCCAACAATACCACAGTGCAGCGATTTGCAATGAACAAAAAAAAAACAAAAGACCGCTTTGAATTTGAACAACTGGGAAATCGGAACGCATTTTGTTTTTTTTTACGTTCCTTTTCACCAAAGGAATTGCATGAGAAAAAAAAAACTATTTAATGCCGTCCGATGTTCGCGTCAAGTCGCGTAAACTTTTTCTTTGATCCTCTTCACATTTATCTTACTTGCGGATCCACTATCAATACTTCTTCCTCATTATGGTGTTAACCAGAAAACACCCACCCATTGCAAGCCTCATGAAGAAAAAACCTCAAGCCATGCAACACATTACGTTGCATGCAAAACCTTTGCCGAGTCAAAGTGGCGTCATGCAGACCGCCAGGAACCAGGCGACGGCATGCAAACTTCTACCGAAAACGGAAACAAAACAATGGTCACTCCTTCCAACTGTGCAGGTCACAACAAAAGCGGAATCGAGACGTCGAGATCGTAAAACGTTCTTCGCTTTGCCTCATAAAGCGCATGATGCTGCCACGAACCGCACTTTTACACTGGAATGTAAACTGGGCGAGGTAAGTAATATCATTGCCGTTCCTCTAATGACTCAGTTCTTTGACGAGATTTTGCCTGTCATGGCAGGGAGCGACGGCCGAAGTCTTTCAGGCGTATGACTCTGAGGGTCAACAGTTCGCCATTAAAGTTATTCCCAAGACTCGCATTGCCAACTCGTACCAAAAGGCCCGTTTCTTTGACGAAATCAAGCTTCACCGAAGATTAGACCATCCCAACATTGTCAAGTTTCATTGCTACTTTTTTGATGCAGAATACGCCTACATTGTCATGGAACTATGTGAAAACAAGGTAAATATTTTCAGACAAAATAGGTTTGAAGCATATCATGCTTATCATCCATTTTTTTTAATGACAGACTTTAATGCATTTGTTACGAGAAGAGACCGTTTTGAGTGAACATCAAGTTCACCATTTTCTGGTCCAAATTCTGGAAGCACTTCGTTACATGCACGCTCAGGATATCATGCACGGTGACTTGAAACTATGCAATGTCATGCTAGATAAAAACAAGAACCCTAAAATCGGTGATTTTGGTCTGGCAACTTATGTCTGCGGAGAGAAACAAACGGGGTATGTGTCTGGCGTCAGGACACTCTGGAAATGCAGCACTCATTTTTTTTTCGATCACAGTCTTTGTGGCACCCGCCATTTTGTCGCGCCGGAGGTCAAGAACAAGAAAGGCTATGACAAATCCGCCGATATCTGGTCCATTGGGGCCATTACGTAAGTGGTGAATTCTTTTTTACTGTATTCGTGGTTGATTATGCTGATCTCCTTCTAGTTATACCATGTTATTTGGTCGTTACTACGACGAGAAACGATCGCTGTGGAATGATGGCGTGTAAGTTGACACTATATATTGCTTTTATTCGAGGGAAACGTGTTTGACAGATTTTTTACTCTATAGAAATGTCGGATCGGCACATGTTACTGAGCTCGTCTTCCCAACACACATTCGTATCTCTGATAACACCAAAAATTTCATCTCCAAAACGCTTGTCTTCCGGCCTGGTAAAATCATACGTCCTTCGTTCTTACTCGAGTAAAAAAAAAACTAACACTTGTCTATGGGCTCACCATAGAATTTCGCTGCACTGTTGAACAGCTGTTGCAAAATCCGTTTGTCAACAATAGCCAACTGACTCCCTTGCCGAACAAAAAAAGCGAGCCATCCAGTGACCGCCCTCCTCATGAACGTAAATCATCACCCATCAAGCGTAAGTGATTCTATATTAAAGACCATGGTCTCCTTTTTCTAATGCTGTATGCTGTCATTTTAGCGAAATATACCTACAGTAAGCGAGCGAGACCGATTCATCGGTAAGTTTTGAGAACGATATGTATGGAATTGATCTCTCATAAGCCATGATAGTGAACAAGGGCATTCCCGAAATGACGAAGAGCTGTACGGTCCGAAACGTCAAAAAACCGCTGTATATGAGACAGTCAAACTGTCAAATCTCCGGATTCGTCCGGTCATTGTGGATATGACTTTGTAAATAGAAATAATTATTATGTTGTATTAAAAAGCAGCCTGTTGGATATGTCTTTTGTTAGTGATTTTAACTTTCTTAAAACTGCGTACATGCATGTATGCATGCGCCGGGTGAACTTTGGATTTTTCGCAATCGCATCAATCAGTTTATGTAAAAATTGGTCGATTTTTACCAGGCACAAGCTGGAGTTTTTGGAACATCAGAGCCCAATTTATTCTTCTATGACTCATCTCATCAACAAAATCGAAATCATCACACCAAATGCCAAGCGAAGCCCTGCGTGTTTGGTTCTCTGGAACCATTCAAAGATCAAACCCACAAACGGTGCAGGAAATTGCATAGCAAACGCATTTGTTTCAGTTATTTCTAGCCAACAAGCTACCACTGGCAACGGATCATATTCGATTGCCCATGAAAAGTCGCTGGTCACTGACCAGCAAGATATTGAATAATGATGTGTTTTATTGTGCTGTTGCAGAGTAACTTTTGTGTAACTTAGCGACGCTCCTTCATTGGCCATTTGCAGTTTTGACATCTCCAGCGCAAAGATAAGCTTATCCATTCTAATTTGCATTTAATTTGACATTTGGACCTATGATACTGATACAATCATCTAGGCAAAGCATGACTATTTGTGAAAAACCGATGACGGAATCAACTTTGAACGTGTCAACACAAAACCTTCTGATAACTATAATACACGCTGAGGTAAGAAGTTTCTCTACCCAAACTTCCTCGGAATAGATGTCATGCCATTTTTTCTCACTAAAAGACATCAAACCCAATTCCTTTCTCTTTACGCAATGACGTATGCGCATAATACTCACACAATCCCAAACAGGAAAATGCTGCGATCCACTGAACAGTAATCAGACTCGGTTCACACTATACCATCAATAGTTTATCATGACACCTAAAGCGGTCATTATTTCATGACAAAACGATCTTTGTATCCCCTTTCAACTGCCATACACGTATGCAGCAAATCATATCCCATATATAAAGTAAGAGGTCGACAGTAAAACATTGTTCTGGATTTTGTCTTTTTCCCATTTATTCAATCAATTGATGCGTATCGTTCGCTTAGAACTTCATGTTGTGGGGGAACTGACCCTTGCTGAGGCCAAAGGAAGTCTTCAAGTACTGAGCAAGGAGGGGTTGCTTGGCGATAGCAGCAAGGATTTCCTTGTCAAGAGCCTTCTGATCAGCCACCTTGGATTCGGCAAGAGGAGCCTTCTTCTATAAACCACCCCCCAAAAAAATAATGTCAGATGCTGTACTCCCTTGATTTTTTTTGCTGCAACATCGTCTCCCATCATCATGAAGGATAATGCCGTTTTTTCTTATTGATAATTACCTGTTCACCTTCCAAGAATTCCTTCTTGTTGGAGGAAGCAGCCTTCTTGAAGTAGGCATCGCTCAACTTGTCATCAACCTACGACAAACCCACATGTCAATATCAAATATTCCAATCATGCGCCTATCCAGTCTTTCCAAAATGGTTCGTACCTTGACGGAGGAAAGGTCAATCTTGGTGGAGGTGGCAATGACATAGGCCTGGTTAACACGGCGCAAAGGAACACCGTTAACCTTGAAAGGACCAGTGACCAACAAAAGACCGCTGTCCAATTGCTTCAAGAAGACAACACGCTTGCCGCGGAAGCGACCGGCCAACAAGATCAAAACGGTACCGGGGGTGATGGTGGAACGAAGAGGGACAGCCTTGGCGGACTTGCGAGAGAGCTTGGGCTGGGGAACATCCTCAGCAGGGTAGAAGCGAGGAGCCTTCTGGGCGGGAATGGTACGCTTGCCACCGTTCTTGGCACCCTTGACTTCAACGGACTTTTCGGCAGCGGTTTCCTTGGAAGGAGCAGCGACAGCCTTCTTCTGACGCTTGTGCAAAGCCTTCTTGGCGTACACGGAAGAACGGCTGTAACGGCTGACGCCAGGAGCGAGGAAGCTGTTTCTAGGGGCGTGGACCATTGCAAATGTACACCTCTGTTCAATTCAATTCAACCAAAAAGAATTCATTTAGTTTTTGTCATATTTCAAGGCGATTGATTCAATGGATCGAGGGAGGAGAGCACAGCTTGAAATTGGGTTGAATTGGATGTGTCCATGATGATATCGGCGGCGGAGCTTGCTCATATAATTCCTGTTCATTCATCCATCCGTATTTTTCTCCAGTAGATCACATCGTATCAATCCATCGTTATCCGTTGACCATCTTCTATCCTTTTTGCTGTATGGGCGCTTGATTTCGAACTTATCTCCCCTCCTCTATCCTTGTTATCTGTAGGCATCATCTCACTACTCACCTATTAGGCCGGGGAAAAAAGAAGGAAGATCTCTCACACGCTTTGGCGACACAATTACTTGCTCGGACTGAGACCGAATGCGTACCGGACATTCAAAGTCACATCCGCTCGTTCCAATCCGGTGAAATCTCATACTAACCCAATCGTCTATGCGTCTATCGTTACTATTCTTTCCAATCGGCTAGGTTTATTCTCTGGTAGACAAAACGTCGCAATTTGACTATTTGGTTGTGGACTCAAGCGTTGCGTTCGCAACAAAAAATGTGCCTCTGTAGTTCCATCTCAAGGCTGATTTCTAGTTTTCGCAGTTCAGCAGGAGTTCTTTTGACTACTCCTTCTTGCTTTAATATGCCATAAATTAATCAGTGCACTCAAGTTATTGTCATGCTTAAGCGCCGAGCCATCCTCGCAAGTGCCAAGGTTCAATGCATGAAATAATATGGCAGTTGGGCGGAGGCTTAATTTACATTTGACGTCACAATCCCACTTTTGCAGGTTCTCTTTTTTCTGCTGCCGCTATTCTATTCGTTTTGGTTTTTTTTTAAAGATTCGACTTCTTTGGGCATCGTGAATCCAACCCATTTTGCTTTGCTGACATAACTACAGGATTTACAAATTTTTCGCTAAAACATGTCAGAAAGAGTAGGCATTTCTCGTTTTCAATGTGCCAATAACAAGCTACTCATTTTGTTACCATTTTGTCCATTTGTAGGGAGGTCGCGGTCATTATCACAGCGGAGGACGAGGTGGCGAACGAGGAGGTCGCGGTGGACGTGGAGGAAGTCGTGGCGGTCGCGGCAATTACTACAACAATCAACAACAAGAGAAACCAAAGAAAGAATCTATTTTGGACTTGAGTAAATACATGGAGAAGAAGATCCGCGTACGATTCAATGGCGGTCGAGAAGGTAACTTTTTTTTTTCACCATGCCATGATATATTGTATGATTTACTTATGGAACGGGTTATAGTTGTGGGTAAACTAATGGGATATGATCAACTGTTGAACCTGGTATTGGACGACACAATCGAATATCTTAAAGGTAAAGGCGAAGAAAGATGATGGTGGTGCAGGAGGGGTGCAAGTAACAGCCACTGATTCTTTGATTTCGTGCCAAAACCATTAGATCTGGAAACTGGATATGTTACAAGCCAAACACGAGAGTTAGGATTAGCGGTATTGCGTGGCACTGCTGTCATTTTGATCTCACCTTTTGATGGCATGGAAGAAATCGAGAACCCTTTCGCACAGTAGACCCCCCCAAAAAAAGTTTTTCACTCAACCCATAAAACAAGAACAACACAATTGTATAAAAACGCAATGAAAAAAGAAGAAAGAAACATGATGACTGGTTATCGATAACACGTTTTTTTTACAAGATGCATTTTACGGACTGTGTAGATCTGCTTCTACAGTGGGATATGTTTTTGCTCCAACCAATCCAAAGAGACATTCTCTAAATGTTCGTCGAAATCGTTCACCTTGGTGTAAACAGCCCCACTCATTAAGCCCCGTAGTTTGGCAAAGGTTTCATCATAGGTAAACTTGAATTCATTTCCCGGTGTGAAAGCTTGAGACACGGGTCGCCATTGCTGCTCTTTGTAGATATACGGCTAACATTCATCTCACATTAATAACCACGTTCACTTTTACTTGCCATTCTCGCTTTTTCTTTACCGTGATAGCGCCTTCATTCTTTTCAAGGTTGGCCAATTTTTCGTTTCTGATCTGTGATACAAAAAGGGAAAAAAAAGTTTTCAGGTCATTGGGATGCAGGGTCAAAAGCGAGAGAGAGAGAAAGGTAGTTACCAAGAAGATCAAGGCGTGTTGAGAATTTCGTCGGATGGTGTCCGCCACACGGATGGCATTGGCATGTAGACTTTTATCATCTTCACGTTCATTCGCCTGATACCAGCCTACGATGGTGAGATCTTTTTGCTTGGCGTATAATTCCGCTTGTTGTAAGGCGACTTCAAGCATGGGAGTTTGAGAGGTCCAATGATGAAAGAACGGAATCGCATGCGTTACATCAGTCACACCGGTCGCGCCAAGTTTGCCTAATAATACACCGCATACTTCGGCCCAAGGGTATTTGGCTGCGTGTAATAGAGGAAGAGCGTAGGCAGAAAAGGTTACGTTTGTCATGGTGGCAAGAGCATCGGCTAAAGTGGACCTCGAATGGGCCTCACAAGAAGGTCCGGCGATGTCGGTGATTCAATTGTTATGTTCGCTTCCAAGTGATGCTCAGAGCCAACTCATTAACACCCTGTCCTATTCATTATCAGAATATTCTTCTAGCAATTTCTTCATGATTTCAAGTGATGTTGTAGATAATTATTCTGTACATGGTAGGTTTTCTTTTCTATTTGCAATTCCACGGGGATCTTCCTTCTAGGCTACTTTGATCGTATTCATCATCGTACAAGATAATCAGATAAGAATCCCGGTGTATTTAGCACGTTTATACCGTTGGGACAACTGTGGCCACTGAACGATAAATTCGTCCGCAAAGTAATACAATATCTTGCCTGTCAGCGACAATGTGTGAACCCGAGCAAAGGATTCTACGTAGATGATTTGGATGGCTTTGATACCAAGGTACTATGCAAATTTGAAAATATTAGGGAATCGCATCTCACGTCAATTATTCGACAATACATACTCTGGAAATATAGGCCAGGATACAAATGGGTATACAGCTGCCTGGACCATTACATAAAATCTATGCCATGTCATTATTTTCCATGTTCAGGCAGCACAGTTTTTTTCCACAGAGAAGCCTTACGAGATCGGGCATTTGTCGAAAGAATACAGTGGCTGACTGTAAAACAGCTTTTGCCAACGACCATGGTACGGTTGCCCAGGGCTGACCTACGTGACGAGCGCGAGGTATTCGGTGAATAGCATACTAGAAGCTCTCAAATCAGTCTTTCTTCTTACAGTGTTATTCTTTATTTTTGGTCTACGGTATATCCTTTACCTGGTCAGCGCTGGAACCAAAGTTTGTTTCCTGCATTTTAGCTTTTTCTTTACTCAAGGCGTCCGTGTCGGCAATAATGTAAGAGCGCGGTTGATATCTTGCTGGATCGAGACCTTTCATCATTTGCAACATTTCCGTGGTATGACCTCCTAATGAAGCCAGATGAGCGACAGGCATTCAACCAACAATTGACCTGACCGTTTTTACCAGAACCCAAAACAATGCATGTACTACAGACATTTATGGTTCGTTTCGATTTGTGTGAGGAGGATGGTAAAACTTGCCACAGCCGAGTGATCAGCAAAATGAGGATGGTGGAAAATATCAGATACATGAAGCTGTGAAAATTCACTTGGCGCTGTCAAAAAATTTTATCACCAAAATGCATTATGCTCGAATAAAATGAAATAAAATAAGTATGTCAAGATATGAAACGAACACAGATAATACAAAAATTCAACAACGGAAACGAAGGGCATGGTTTTCCCAAATGAGTACAGTAGCAAAATCGCATAACCACATAGTAACATTTGAATTCAGAATAGTTTTTTCGTGCTGTCCACTGTATCCTATAGAAACTAGAAATAACGGTTAGTTTGTCCTTATAGCCTTTTGATCAAGATATTCAAGCAATCATAGACACCGCCCCGAACTCCCATCCTCTTTTAACCTGCCTATGTTTTGCACTGCATTGTCATCAATCCACAAAATCTGGTTTTTTTTTAATCATCTCAGGTGCTGTGGAATGGGGGAATATTGGCGGAGTGAGGACTAAACTGAGGATGGGTCGATTTGGTTTAATATCGTGATGACAACCACGGGACTTTATTACGAGATTTGTCGATGAGAGCATAAAATTCGGAGATGGGGACCACAAAACCGTTATTAACACTACTTGATTACAAATTGGGAGTGGCGGCTCTTGGTAGATCGTAGCCTGAAGGGAGAAGTATTCTGCTCATTTGGTCCGCCATCACCTCGAAGTCGTCAGTAGCATTACCGTGGTTCCAGAAGCAGGGATCAATGTCGGACAACATATCAAGGTTCTTAAGCGAACAAGTGGAGCTCCGACAGGGAAGAGGCAACGGCCATGGCACCAATTTCGGTCATCGTATACAAGTGTTTGTGGTGCTTACGGAAACGAAGAACGAGATATGAATGCAAGGCGACCACCCAAGCACCATTTTAGATTGCCCTTTCGTCGTGCGATTCCCAGGCGAAGAATGTCCAAGCAAAAACAGTGTTCTCTTGTGGAACTATTTCCAGGCGTGACCTCACCAAATCTAACAGGTTAACCGAAATCATGCTGCATCAGGGTTCATTGTGAATAAAACAATCCTATTTTCAATCTCGCTGACACCTTGGACTTTTACACCTTTGATCCCGACGGATATATCATTGGCTTTCCCCATTGATTTCGTCTTGGCATCAATCCCAATGATGATTCGCGTAATGGTCATGAATTCATCGTCTTTGAGGTGGTTGCCCTCTCTAGAGTCGGTCGTTTCCATCAAATTGTTGAGAACATGGTCACATAGGGAGTGTCATGTCGCTAGGGCAAACCCTGGGACTTGAATGTGATGTCTTCATTCGATGCCAGAAAAAGAATATAAGAAAGAGCCAGGAGTTCTTGCAAGTCATTTTCAATGTTGAATTCCGAGTCGGTTAGGGTTATTCGTTGCTAGTATGTACGAAAGAGTTCAGTGACATTGACGTTGTGAATTAACCATGGAGAGATAGATTCATTGGATGAGGACTCGTTGGAGTTGTCATTGTCCAAAAAAAGCTGCAGATGGTGACGGTAACGAATCGCTTACTGTAATGGTCGCATTGCTGTGGATGCTGATGCTTTTCCTTGTTGGAATTTTCCCAGTTGGTTTCATTCTGAGAAGTGCTTGCATTAGAGGTGGAAATGAAGCGGAAGGAGAATTGTTGCTGCGGTCAACGTGAGGTGTTTTTTCCACAATAATTTGGTCCATAAGAGTTGAACAGGAAGCATGCGTATCCGACATCACCTTTGACCGAACTTGTTCCTTTCAGACATCAGTGCTGTCCATCGATAAATTCCATTGCTTAAGTTCGGCTAACAGGCTAGCTTTGGCATCTTGTTCAAAATATTTTTCAAGAATAGTTCGGTGACGCGTCAGGCAGAAGGCACTGCAACTCCACTGGTTACGGTCTGGCTGCTCCTGTTCTTCATGCTGAATTGTCAGACGAATGGCACCATTGCGCACGGTCGATTTTGCTCTTGATAGCGCAATAAAGACAAGTTATGCGCAGCACTTACCGGACGCGCTCTTCTGCTGGTATTTGGGAGTTGCACACCCTCCTCTTGCTTGCAATAGGCAGTGAAAGGTATTCACCTCTTGCAATTCCGGATCTTGTTGGTTAAGCAGGTAATATCGGAAACCCTCGCATTGCAAAAGTGCTTTTCCAGACGCGAAAGATTATATCTCTACGAGACAGTGCCACCAAGGCGGGATCAAGAGAAACAAAACTTGTAAAGTTATATAGTGAAGAACTTCATCATCACCTTCAGATGGGACAGCTTGTGGATACGCACCCGCAATGTCGTCCAGAGTGGGAGAAAGGGTAACAAAGGTCGCGTCGAAATTCCACCTCACATAACGCGGAGTTTGGGGTTGGACCTAATTCCGCTGGAGTGAATAGAGGCCCCTATTATTTCCCTTCTCTTTATCAATATTTTCTTGACCTACCTCAACAATGAAGATGCTTGCGGCTAGTAGTCTCTGGATGAACGTCCTTGATACCAACCATTGCAGCTGATTGAATTCAGTCAATCATGTTCTTTGACTTGAGTTCTCTTGGGAGGTGAGAGTATGGACTACCTCCAAAAGAGCAACAACAACCGGTTTATGCTGTTGGTAATACCTTCATAGAAAAATCGCAATACTAGAACAGCAACGGCAAAAGAAAAGCACAGTGTTGTACTATATCTTTGCTTTGTTCTCTACAGTTGAACTCTGCGCTATAACCGTTTTTTTTTCTAGGGGGACATCCCTTGCTACCGACACATCCAAACCGAAAATGCAACATTTTATAGCACAGGGACAGTGACAGGCCATTATCTAAGCTTTGTAAAGGCTACTCTCGACGAAATGGACAAGTATCCCGAAATGAAGGGACACTACCTTGTCATGGATAATGCTCCTATTCACAACTCAGCAGACATTGGTAAGTATATCAATTCACGAGGATACAGATTCGTATATCTTCCTCCATATTCTCCTGAACTGAATCCAATTGAGCAGTTCTGGTCAGTTGTCAAAAGTAAAGTTAAGCGAAATAAATTTTTGGAAAAAGAATCGCTAATGACTAGAACTAGTGAAGCATGCGATAGCTTGTATTTGACTGATTTCAAAGGCTTTGTTTCTCATTCTGTCAAATGCTTTGATAAATGTTTAAACAAGGAGAGATTGTGAAGAGTTTTCTTTTTTTTTCTTTTTTTGTGCAGGCTGTCTTTTTTTGTGCAGGCTGTTTGTGTAGACTGTCTTTTTTTTTGTGCAGGCTGTTTGTGCAGGCTGTCTTTTTTTGTGCAAGCTGGTTGTGTAGACTGTCTTTTTTTTTGTGCAGGCTGTTTGTGCAGGCTGTCTTTTCTTGTGCAGGCTGTTTGTGCAGGCTGTCTTTTTTTGTGCAAGCTGGTTGTGTAGACTGTCTTTTTTTGTGCAGGCTGTTTGTGCAGGCTGTCTTTTTTTGTGCAGGCTGTTTGTGTAGACTGTCTTTTTTTTTTGTGTACGCTATCTTTTTTTCTTTTTGTCATCCTTCTTTTCAGCAACCTTTTCTTTTTATCGCGATGGTTACAATCAGCAGAGAACAGGCTATATGCATGTTTTACTGTGAATCGTATAATGAATCAAACGTCGTCAAGTTATCAAAGTTGATTGATGACATGAACAATATCGAAATCTGTTACTCGGACGATCCAACAGAGCCTATGTTAATGTCACTCAAATCACTCTACGCTAGTCCCTTCAAATATCATCAATATCCTGCTTTTCTTAAGGACTGTAAAAAGGACAAGGATAACAATCATGCCAATGGATGAGAGAAAACACAATTCATATATTTTTGTTGTATTTTTTTATTTAAACATACAAATTTTGGACACAATAATAATCTTTCCTACTTTGATCGTTGATATGGCTTCTTCCTGCATTCAAATTTTTTTAACATTTCTGGCTCATTCAATAGCCGATTTCGTTCATAGACATGAATGACGCTCTCGGTTGGCATGGTGTTGATCATGACTTTTTCAAGGTTTGGATGTTGTCTATTACAAAAAGCAGTTAATGAGCTATTCTGATTTCACAGGGTTTCATAACTATCCGCTTACGTCAAGAAGCCGTACAAGTCATTGCAGTTGGTTGATAAGCCGGCGTAGTCCAATGCTACCAAGCAAATTTTTTCTGTATTCGTAATGTACGCCAGCATATCTAGTAAAAAGAAGCAATCAACAAATTTGGATACAATGAGACACTGATTTGCTTACCTTGAGTATTTCCTTCCGCAGATAACTGTGTGAGCAGTTCATCTTTCTGCTTCATATCTCATTCAGCCAACGGATCATTAGCCTGAGAATTATAAGAGACGAACACGTGGTCGACTAACGATCATTCTTTTAACTGTCGACACATGAGATTCAATAACTTGATCCATGTTTTGTGGTCTTCGGCTCCTTCTGACTTTCTTGCATAACCCAATATTTTGAATCTTTGCTTCTTCAAATTTCGAATCTCTGTTTGGTATTCAGTCAGGAATCGAACAATCCTTTTCACGATTTCGGCTAAAATTTCAAAAAAAAAATTAATCCGTTGCATTTGTATTCTTAGAACATATATTCATCCTGTCTTACTAAAATATTCTTTATTTAGAATGTATAGCGACCGAACAGAGATCATTGAATTATTGGCATAACGTTTCCTTTTGGGCTTGCACATCAAAAAGTCAACTTTCTTTGATGAACACCAGTTTCCGAAAGACGTGACACTCTTGTCATTGAATATTTCTGTATGTTGCAATAATGTTGAAAATATGTCGCCATTCGTAACATTTTTCTCTTCATAGAGTTGGTCGCTACCCGGATCATAAGGTAGAAAACATGTATTCAAGAATTGCACAACCTGTTGTTGATTCGCTGTATAAAAGTAACAAGAGTGTTAATATTGGTGTATCTAGTGTCAGCTGTGCTTTCATTTTTTTTTTGTTCACTTTACTGAGAATCATGGGCAAGAGATACCAATAGCCCAGTAGTACAAAGTTCTAAATTTATTTTGTTTCTTCAAAATTTTTTTCTTCTTTTCTTTTCTTCTTTTTTCTACAATATTCAACAAAATGTCATTTTTTAAAACATATGAATCTTTTCTTAGATCTATTACAAATGAAAAAGAAGCTATTAAATAGTTACAAGAATAAAATATCTTAAAAATACAATATTGTAAAAAATGTTTCGAAAAAAAATTAACAATAGGATCAAGAAAAAGAAAATTTAAAGAAGAAGAAGAATATATTGATAAAAACACATATCAAATGTATTGTCATAAACATAATATAGAGAAAGGATTATATGTAAATTCTTTTTTTACATGATCAAAATTAAGACCATTCAAAATCATTGAATTATTATATCTATGATATATTTTGTGTAAGTAAATGAATATATTTATATATATCTCATACATTAATGTAATTTTATTTAGCTTGTGAACTAACCAAAGTCTCTTTATTGACTGGAATTGATAGAAATCATATTTCTTTTTGGTTTCAAAAAATTCACGAAAAAATACATGATCATATTATGGCTGATTTACCTTGATGAATAAAGTTTAAATTATTATATAAATGAAAAAATATCTAAGATGACAAATTGTTTAAAAAGAAAATAGAAAATAATTTGAAGATGTAAATAATAATATTTTTTAAAAACGTCTCTATTTTGAAAAAGAAAGATATATAATAAATATAATTACAATTTTCTACATTCATATTATTTGAAAATCATAAAATCTGATTATATTTTCTGTATTAACAAGAGAATATTTTATAATTTCTGAATACATCTTTATTGTTGGATATTTCTTATTATCTATCTGTTTTTATATTTTTAAAGTATTTTTTTATTTTTTAACTATAAATTATTATCAATAAATATAACTTTTTATCATTCATAAAGGAATTCAAATAGATGAAATAATACAATTACAAATATATTTATCATTTATAATAAACTATCTTCTAAATAACAAATTGTGTTCATTTTATATATTTTTTACAATTTTCGATTATTGGTCTTATACAATTTATGTCTGTTGTAGTTATTTTAGATATAAAAAATTAGAACACAGAAATCAATATTATTTGAGGAACTATCTATATCAAGATAATAAATACATATATTTTTAGATAATAAATGTGTATTTAAAGATACAATTTTTAAAATATTTAAATAAATGATAATTTATTTTTAAAAATATTTAAAAGTGTATCGATAGTTTTTTAATTGTGTTTTTAAATAAATAAATGGTCAGAGGAGGTGTCTGACGTGGGTAGCATAAACAAAGTGTTGCTACTTGTCTATGGGTGTGGTATCATGATGTTGTGTGGTCGTCAACATTCATGATACGTTCTGAGGGTAGTGGCTGTTCCTCTTTGTTAAAATTTAAATTCCATTTATCAAGTTCCTTTTACCCTATATTATTAATGAAATAGATAATAAAGAACATGATTATATTCTTGGAGGTATATATTGTTTTATTGTTTTGTTATTTTCTAATTTCTTATCTTTATAATAGGACTTGACAAAATTGTTGAAATTGACGAATGCTGTATAAGAAAAAAAAAACTGAATAAAAATTGTAAAGGAAGTAGATAATCTCATATATGATGCAAAATATATCTTTTTTTTAAATTATTGTATATTATTATTTAGGAATTTCTGAAAAGAAATGGGTACTTGGTGGATATGAAAGACATTCAATTCTATCAAAGTTTTTTCTTATCCTTATTGAAAATCGTACATCAGTGTCATGACCATTCCTGTGCACACATTGTCTTGGCGATAATGCATGACCATGTGTATTACTGGTCCAAGCACACTTCTTCACTGTTGCCATGCTGGTTCATGCGCTTACCTCTATACTTGCTCTTGTGTTCTTCTCTATCGTTGTCTTTTCTCCTTTTATTGATCTATGTATTACCTTATGTTATGCTCTACATTTCATTTATTTATTTTATTATCATTGTCTCTTCTGTTTTGCATCTTTTAGTATAAATATCTGATCTCTTTTATGAAATAAACCGCAGTCAAGAATTGTGTGTGTTGTGTGTATTCTCTTGCACTACCTTGTTCTCCATCTTGGTCTTGTCCTTGTCTTAGTTCTTTTCCTGTTTCTATTCTTGTTTCGATTTCATTCTTGTTTCTTGTTCCTGTTTTACTGTATTCCTTTTCTTATCTTGTCTTGTCCTTGTCTTGCGAAAGCACTTAACACCACCCTCTTGTCCAGCTTGTACTGATCCTCCTGTAATCAGTGCATAACAATCAGATACTTTGTTAAACCTTATACAAAAACATGTCCATCCAGTAAGTCTCATTATAACAGATTGTTTTTCAAGTTATAATGGTATCAGTACAAAACTACAAATGCGACATATAACCATAAATCATTCAAAAGAATTTGTTCGTGATGAAATAATTTTATACACACTAATTCTATGAGATAATCATAATATATATATAATGATAATAAATTCACTAATGAAATAAAGTAGGGTTTTTGGATAAAATTAAGAAGATGGATACCTAGAACAAAGAAAGATGATGACAAATATGCTCATTATTTTATGGAATTATTATTTAGAAAAAAAATATGATCAATGTTTGATGGAAAAGCTTATTGATATTTTAAAATAAAAGCCAAATTAATGCGTCTGTATTTAAAAATTGTGTGTTACTGGGTTTTAAGTATATCTTACCGAATCATGTGATCCTGAACCATTTCATTCTCTATTACATGCGACGAAATCACATTTCTGCTGATGTACGTTTTGAATTTGACAGGGTTTTGGTTGATTCTTGTTTGACAAAGGAGCATAGGCTCTGTTGGATTGTCCGAGTAGCAGATTTCGATATTGTTCATGTCATCAATCAACTTTGATAACTTGACGACGTTTGATTCATTATACAGTTCACAGTAAAACATGCATATAGCCTGTTCTCTGCTGATTGTAACCATCGCGATAAAAAGAAAAGGTTGCTGAAAAGAAGGATGACAAAAAGAAAAAAGATAGCGTATACAAAAAAAAGACAGTCTACACAAACAGCCTGCACAAAAAAAGACAGCCTGCACAAAAAAAGAAAAAAAAAAGAAAACTCTTTACAATCTCTCCTTGTTTAAACATTTATCAAAGCATTTGACAGAATGAGAAACAAAGCCTTTGAAATCAGTCAAATACAAGCTATCGCATGCTTCACTAGTTCTAGTCATTAGCGATTCTTTTTCCAAAAATTTATTTCGCTTAACTTTACTTTTGACAACTGACCAGAACTGCTCAATTGGATTCAGTTCAGGAGAATATGGAGGAAGATATACGAATCTGTATCCTCGTGAATTGATATATTTACCAATGTCTGCTGAGTTGTGAATAGGAGCATTATCCATGACAAGGTAGTGTCCCTTCATTTCGGGATACTTGTCCATTTCGTCGAGAGTAGCCTTTACAAAGCTTAGATAATGGCCTGTCACTGTCTCTGTGCTATAACCATCAGTCGCACGTCCAAGCTTTCTCTTTTTGATACGCTTTGGAACTCGCAAGCTAACATTAATTAAGCCATTTGAGGATATTGCACCTAAAATCGATGTTGCATTTGCTTTCGTTGTAGGCACTGTAACTATTGCAGGAGTGCCTTTCTTTGACCAAGCCATACCCCGTTTCAAATTAATGTGAAAGGCTGATTCATCAAGAAAAACACAATTTGTTGTGAAATCCAGGTCAGTTTGCTGCCACTTTTGGACCCAGTCATATCTTTGCTGAATCTTTTCCTCACTGTTCCTTTCCACAAGATGAAACTGTGCTTGCTTAATTGAGAGATTACACCGAGTTGTCATAAAGTTGTAAACAGTACTACGAGAAACGTTGAGACCTTCAAAGTTTTGTTTCAAACTTTCCACCACTTCATTGACAACGGCAGAAGGGTTCTCATCAATATTATTTAAAAGAAACTGTTTATGCTCTTCCCCAAGAATCCGATGCCAACCTGACTTATTTTTCTTCTCAAAGATGCTTTCAGGGTCCTCGTAATAACGTTTGACCCATCTCTGTGCTACTCGAATATGAATACCTAATTGCCTTGCAGCAGCAGAAGCTTTCAAGCATTTGCTAAAAAATAAATGAAAAATCTAGTCTTGTCTTCATCAGAGTAAACCGTATAGCGTCGCTTGTTGCATAGTTCTATATCAATATCTTCACTATTCCTCTTATCCATAACTGGATGCATTACAGGATTAGGCCTTTCCGAAGGTTTATTCATTAGGAACTGAGTACGAGAACTTATTGTTTCAATAGCGAATAGCTTCTCATCCACAACAACATCCATCGGCTCAACTCCATTCTCATCAACTACGTGCCCTTGTCCATCTTCATAAAAAAATTGCATACTCATCTTCAATATCTGTAAAATAAATTATAAATAGGAAGTAAGAAAGTAAAATGGACACAGAAATTCGTCTCCCCCTTTTCTTAAAAACAATTGATGCCAAGAAAATTGGATAAGTACTAAGCGACAACTAAAAATAAACGTAAGTTCATAACACGTGAGCACGATTTTATTTTTGGATCAATCGACATCATTGTTGAACGCACAATTTTTTGCACGACATTAAATTCAAAATCAGCGACTTTACTTTCTGAAGTGACTGTAATGGCGAGTTTAATTGTTGAATGTGGAGTGACAGTGCGTGGGTTTGAATTGTCTTCAAAAGAAACTTGGATCGCCGATGTCCAAATAAGGAAGTCCCAGGACCCGTCACAGAAAGTCAGAAAATTTTATCGCACAGATCTTCGTTTTTTCTTTTTTTTTTTTTTTTGATTCAATCCATTGAACCATTGGAAAGAAAAAAAAAAGGATAATAATAGCCCCACCCAAGGACACTAAGCTTTTTTTCTTGAAGCCTCCGAAAACAAAACCCGTGACCGATGGCCAATACATATCAAGTGCCTAGTATAGAAATCCAACCCGTCAAACGAGACGAAACAGTGACTCGGCCTCGAACGTTTTCGCTGTCCTCCCTTGTAGGAAAGACTCGTCGAGCTTATTCCGTCTCTTCCGCTTACCCACCCGGGATTCATCCAGCTCTTGCAGTGCCCGGCCATAAGAATGCCAACGACCACTCGTTATCACCAAGAGATTTCGCCGCCCTGGACAGTGTCTGGCGAGACGGAAAAGGCAAAGGGTTATCCAACCTTACTGCCGCCCAACGTCGCAATTCCGTGGCGGCGGCTCAACGCAAATACGAAGATTTCGAGCAAAAGATGGAAGCCGCTCCCTTATTTGTCCTCGTATCGACCTATTTAAACTATCTGGTTCTTATTCTCTTTGGTCATCTGCGAGACATTTTGGGTAAACTGTTTAAACGAAAAGAATATGCCCACCTGAGAACAAACGAGGTATGCCAACTGTAATGCATGCCTTTCATGTCACTCTTACCCTCGTACTAACCTCCATTGGTATAATAAGGGTTATGCCCCTCTGGTCTCTGATTTTGATTCATTCTATACACGACGCATGTATCTTCGCATTCGGTAAGTCCAACTCTTTCATCTCTCATCGCACGGCCGTGACGACCCCAATGGCCCATGGACACCCTCAGACCCTTGGAGTATTGTTATGCTGATGCCTTGCGTTCGGTAGTGATTGCTGGAATCGACCCATCACCGGTGTTCCGACAAGAAAGACCATGGTTCTTGAGCGGGAATCAAAAGATTTCAACAAGACGTTCAAGTAAGAGAAAGGAATCATTGGGAAGTTGGGCGGGCGCCGTCCGAGCTGGCATATTCATTTTGTGCTGATTCGTAGGTTGACTGGACGAAAAATTGAGACCATCAATTTCGCATCGTATAATTATCTTGGTTTTGCCCAGAATACTGGCCCTTGTGCGGATGCCGTGGAAGAATGCACTCGTGAATATGGTGTTGGCGTGGCGAGCAGTCGTCTGGAAGCGGGTTCATCCGATCTCCATAACAGACTGGAGAAAAAGGTCGCCGAGTTTGTTGGGAAAGAGGATGCCATTATCGTGTCCATGGGATTTGCTACCAATGCAACGACCATTCCATCTCTGGTTGGCAAAGTATGTGGGACATCTGAATTCGCAGTGTACACAGTCATTTTTAAGAGTAAAATTTCTAACTTTGTTTTTGTTGGATAGGGTTGCTTAATTATTTCGGATGAGCTTAATCACAGTTCAATTGTATTTGGTGCACGATTATCTGGAGCTTCCATTCGTGTATTCAAGCATAACAATATGATTGATTTGCAGCAGTTATTACGGGAAGTGATTTCTCAAGGTCAGCCGAGAACACATCGTCCCTGGAAGAAGATCATGATCATTGTGGAGGGGCTGTATTCCATGGAAGGATCCATTGTCAATCTGCCAGAGTTGATTCGGTTAAAACGACAATACAAAGTAAGTGTTGAGGAGTGAGTGAGACGGCTTTGATCGATCTTCTTATTTTGGACGAATGATATAGTTCTATCTTTACGTGGATGAAGCGCATTCCATTGGTGCGTTAGGCGAAAACGGAGGTGGTGTTTGCGATTTCTATGGCATTGATCCGAAGCATGTGGATATTTTGATGGGAACCTTTACAAAGTCCTTTGGTGCCGCGGGCGGTTACATTGCAGGCGATAAGGTTAGCTTTTTGATTGGGAATACAGGATGATATTGACGCGGCCGGATGAACTCATCAATGATATAGGCAGTCATTGATCACCTACGCTTGACTAACCATACATTCTGCTATGCCGAGAGCATGAGTCCTCCAGTGACACAGCAAGTCCTGACCAGTTTGGGCATTATTCAGTAAGTGATCTAATCACCATTTTCCTGCATGGTGTGTACGTCATGCATTTCTGACCAAAATACAATTACAGTGGTGAAGATGGGACAGACGATGGGCGAAAGCGTATTCAACAGCTGGCCGATAATTCGCGGTATTTTGCGAGCAAATTGCGCGAAATGGGATTTATTGTGTATGGAGATGAAGGCAGCCCTGTGATTCCATTACTGCTTTTCAACCCTGCCAAAATCAGTGCATTTTCGCGAGAGGCGTTAAAACGGGGAATCGCTATCTGCGTAGTAGGGTATCCAGCCACCCCCATTATCAGTTCTCGGGCAAGGTTTTGCGTCTCGGCCTCCCATACACGTCAAGATCTGGGTAAGTTCCGAGATGTATACTATTATTCTTGTTCCCAAAAAGCTGACGTAAGGATCGTTCTTTTTCTTATAGATGATACATTGGAGAAACTCAGCGAGATTGGTGACCTGCTGATGCTTAAGTTTAAACGTTCCAGTTAACTACTGAGGCTTGTCATGTTGCTGCCGCTGTTCGTCGACAACCCTTTTTGTCCTTTGATCTCGTTTTGTCGAGATCCTGTACAGACGACAACAGTTTACTATTCCCCTCCTTTTTTTTTGACTTCTCTGTTTTTCACTATACTTCTTCTTAATCCGCATTCTTTGTACTTTTTTATTCAATGACTGCATGCTATTGTTATCTATTAAAATTTACGGTATTGGTTACCTTGATTGATATGATCTTGACCAAAAATTTGTATTCTTGAATATTAGAAATTTCGCCTACCTTTTCGTGATATTGAGAGACACCCCGTGATAAAACGGCAAACATCTTGGCAGAAGCAATATTGAAAGGAAGAATAGATGAGTGGCTTTGTTGATGGATTGCTAAATGGGTGTTCGGCCACGTGAATAGGATCCTTGGTTTCATGCAAATTTGAGTGGTGTTCGTTTTCGTCCCGTTTTACGTACGCCCCTTGGTCCCCGCAACTGCTTCAGCCTCCACAGAGCTTCGTCCCTCCTTTCGACCTCAAAAAATGACGGCTCCTTCTGCATATCCCATTGCGGGGATATTTTATTTTCTTACTCATCCTCAGGTACTGACGATCGATTTCAACGAAAAACCAAACCGACAGTCAACTCAATTCATGATTTAGTTATGGATGAAAGCACTGTGTCCGTTTCTGTTGACTTTGATTGTCGGCATTGTATCTCTTGTGCTGTCATTTGTGTTTCTGTTACCACTGCAAGCCCACGCTTTGATCAATGCGAACTGTCCTGCATGGCTCGCTTGGCTCGTTTCCGTCATCTTTGTCTTGCTGGAATCGGCAATATTTGACTTGATATTCTATGCTCTCATGTTGCCTATTTTCCAAGACGTTCTTTTCGATGCTACTATCAAGGCCCGTGGACTTCAGCGGATGTTTGATACCCGTATTCCAGTATCCGGTCTCGTCCTCTGTTGTCGCGGTGTATCGTCCGGTCTCGTCCTTGTTTACATACTCATTATCGCACAGGTACCTTGATTTTTTTCCCTTACAGAATTCTTTTTCGTCTGTTGTCTTACCAGTGGACTGGGATAAAAATAGATCTTGATCCTGATCATCACAGCACCTTTGAACCTCATTCCCGTGGTGGGTACAGCTATTTCATGCTATATCAATGGATGGCCCGCATGGTAAGGAAAAAAAAGGTTTCCCTAACTGCTAAAAAGCCATACGAGAAAAAACTGATGGTTGGGATTTGTTTTAGTTGGGGGCACCATATTCACTATGATTTGGAATTCCGCGGATTCTCTGTCAGCGATTCAAGACGATGGGCATGGAAAAATAAAGCCGCCTATTGTGAATTTGGCGCTGTAGCTGTTGCACTTGAATTGATTCCCCTGTTCAATCTGTTATTCATGTGGACCAACGTTGTAGGCGCTGCACTGTGGGTGTGTGACACTTACGAAAAGAACGAGAAAGTTATCAGCAAGCAACAACGTCAACAACAATCAGCAGGCTTTGTCGATCATCTATCGATTGGATCCTTTTACAGACCTCATAACAATGTGCCGACTCCAGAAACTTTCTCTCCGCACTCCATACTATCTACCAACAAACAAGGGTAAGCCGATTTCATTTTGTAAAGGCAGATCGATACAACTATTGCTCAAACGTTCTCCAATCACAGTTACAGCCGTATTTAAACGGTTTTCTCCATTGTGTATATCCCCGAAGTGTAACCCCCTTCCCCTTCCCCAAGTCAATTATCACATGGAATATCCTACATGACGCTGCATTTTTCCAAACAAATATATACCACTTTTACCACGATCTCCCGCAGGACGAGTTTGAAGCACTCGATCTGTGAGGAACCGTTGAGACATGTGTTGGCTGGAGTAAATTATTATAAATGCAACAAGAGCTTGTGTGTTTTTGGATGCATTTGTAACCAAAGCCATGAAACAAGGTGGTGACAGGTTTCCATGGGGGGCAAGACTAGGAAATGTTGCATTACTTCTTGCTTCCATTGCACATTGTGGCGATCAAAATGAACTGTGGAAGAGTGGGGTTTTTATCCAATGAAAACTGTTCGTTTGTTCTGCTGGAGCTATCGATTGGATTTTCTCCTGCCTTGAGCGTATCAATTTACACACTATAAATAGTATAAAATAGATTCTAACCCCAATGTTTTCGCCCTGACCTCGTTTTTCCTTTCCCGTCTATCCTTGAAGTTGTCTTGCTGTGCTTTTTCACTAGTAGCATAAAACAAGATTTGGCCGCATTGCAGCATCCTTTTCTCTTTTTTTTCCATTATTGCTCAGCGATAATAAGATACCCACTGTGGCCCTTTTCTTTTGTTCTATTTCAGCGGAGCCATGAGTCAAACTGCCATGTCATCGACGGCTACTTACGCGACGGATACAGTGTCTAGTTCTTCTCACAGTCAGCACGTTGTTCAATCTGTCCCTATGAGCGCAGGGAACAGTACGTCGAGTTACTTGCAGACTGGGCGACAGCGGTCTTCCGTCATTTTTGATACAAATACCACCCTTTCCGGACCGGTGCTTCCGTGGATGAAAACCGAGTCGAGGAGTTCATTTGGCGCATCATCGCGTACGTCCCTCGACACATCCAGTTTTCATGTTGTGAAGCGGTATGCACCTGATCCTTCACTTAAAAAGAAGCAACGATGGACCGCTCATAAATGGTGGCTCCTTCTTTCAAATACAATCGTAAGCTGCGACTTTTTACATGATCCATTCAAAACATACACGCTTACCATCAATGCCATGATTAGTTATTTATCTATGGATTAGCCATCTTATTATTGGGCTTATTAACTATTTTCAAATGCAAGTGGAGAAGAAAAATACCATTGCTAAGCATTATCATTCTTTCTCATATGTTTTTCGTTTAAACTTTATGTAGTTTATTTACGAGCCGATGTCGTTCTTGTAGGACAGCCTATCATTTTAAATCGTAAGTTGCTTTACCTGCATCGAGTGTTTGTGATACAGACAAGTAAATGACCACTTACTCTACGACTCAGTGATCACGGCAACCGGTACTTTATGTCTCATTACATCACTGATTGGTTACGCCGGCATCATGCTCAATAACCGGGCCATTCTTACTGTGTACAACTTCTTACTGTGGCCTTGTTTTGGAATGATTGCTGCCATCGGGTATGCCTCGTACCGAAAAAATAAATGGAATCTCGAGGTATTTAGTTCAACTCCATCAAAATCAATCAAGAATTGCCCCTCATACCATTGACTGTTCCTTATCTGTAGGGCAAGCTATCTTATCAGTGGCATTATGATCTCTCATCCGATGGCCGAGCAAGAATTCAGGCCAATGTAAGTGACTCTAAAAATCAAAACCTATGTTTATTGCAAATGCTACGATGAAATTCTGACAAAGCTTGCATATTGCAGCTGCACTGCTGTGGATACAAGGCATTTTCAGATTATAATGAACGATCAAACAAGTGCTTTCCACGCACATTACTGCCGGGATGCCGATTTAAATATCAAACGTTTACAAGGGAAGCGCTTACCAAGACATACATTGCGGCCTTTTCCATGGTACCTGTCCATTTATTTGTCATGTTCTCAGCGCTGCTCTGTTCGAATCACATCAACCGTCGTTTCAGAAAACGGTTGCCTCCAAAGATGTACCGCCTTGATTATAAGGGGCTCGTTGAAGGCACACCTACAGGAAGCTCTCTGAATGTGCATAAAGAAGGACTCCAGCAGCGTCACAATTAATGGTAAAGTCTTTACCATATAGCACGTTATAAACGTTTGAAGAACTCTTAATAGCCTTTGATCGTGAGCATCTCACACACATCACTCTATCAAAAAATTCACTGGCCCAGTTTGCCCTATCCAGATTTTCAACATAACCCATTACAATAATAAACCCCACATGACATTGCATTTTATCTAACATGCTACTTTTTATACCGTACAGAACGCTCGGCACCAGTAAATCAACGTTACTGCATGGACAGATGGAAACAAAGAAAGGGCAATTGTTTATGAATTTTTTTAGTGGGTTGAGTATCCAAAAAGAAGCTAAAAAAGAAAGGAAGAAGAAAAAAAGACAATTCAACATATACAGCCACAATCGCTAACACATTCATTTTGACAAGAAGAATAAAGAAAAAGCAAAGAAGAAATCCAAGGAAATGCAGAAGAAAGGAAAAGAGAAGAAGCAAAGAAAAAAAAAAGTAATTATAGTTGGAAAAAAAAAGTAAGAAATAAAGAAAAAGAAAGGAAGTAAAAACATATGATGAGCCAAGACGTATCAATCGTCGTTCTGTTGATTGGATCACTCTGATATTTCAGTTCGTTTTCTTTGTTACGCTGACCCAACAGGAGGACGTTCGGTGGAGGGAGACACGGATTCTTTAGTGTTTCGTTCTCCTCCATTGTCAGATGATGAAGCATGCTTGTCATCTGTCTCCATATTGGTATCTGCGTTCGATGCTGACTTGACTTCCCTTGACGGTTCCTCGGATGATGTTGTCTCGTGGCGTTCCTTGACAGGAGAGCCATGGGCTTTTTCAGCCGACGATTCGCGTTGTTGCACATCCGACGCCGATTTAACCTCATTTTGCGCCTGATGATCATCGGATTTTAATTTTTTATGCTCGCCTTCCGCTTCCTGTGAGAAGCTTCTCTTGATGGCGGTCTGAGGAGCGCGACCCATGCTAAGCAATGTATCAGCGACGCTTTCATCATAATCTTCATCGAGTTGTCGCGAAGGAGCTGTAGCGGGTTTGTTAGTTTCCATTGTAGATGATGCGGCAGCAGTGGGTGCTGTGGCGGTTTGTGGAGAAGAAGTAGTAGGTGAAGCACTGACACCTTCCTTTGATTTGGGTGTCATATCATGTTCTTCATGATGCATATCGACCGCCGCAGAAGAAGGTGGAGCTGGATACCGTCGGTAGTCATTGCTTGGCGATCGTGTTTCAGACGGACGTCCATACTCGTGCGATGGAGTCACGGGTCGACGTGCCGGTGGTTCATCTCTCTCTGGTTTTCGCGACTCATCCATTCCTTCCGTCGCCTGTGCCATGGGACCGCTGGGGGCGGGAGCCGGACCAGACACCGATGGTGCTGATTCGGGGTAAGGGCTGGAAGTCGGATATGAAGCTGAACGCGAGGATTCTTCATGATGCATGATAGGTGTACGATGAGGCGACTCTTGAGGAGCGGAGTAAGGTGACACTAACTTGGGAGGATAAGGGGACGACATCTCGGTTGGTCTTCCTGGCATTCTAGGATGAGGCGACGACTCATATTCGCGTGCAGGCGGGAGTGGTCTTTGTTGTGCCGGAGGGAGAGAAGCCGAAGGATGATGGTCGTAGTGGCCGTGGTAAGGATCGCCGTGATGTTCAGGACGAGACGATAAATGATGCTGCGGTCCCTGTTCGTACTGCGACGGAGCCTTCATAGCCGGAGCTGGTATCTGTGGCGGACGGGAAGTGGGCGATTGAGCCGTCAAGTGAGCGGGACTGCGACCATTACGGCTAGTATCCATGTGAGGAGGCACATCGGGCGAACGCATTTCCGGTTTCGCGTAAAGCGACTGACCCACTGACATGGGAGGAAGATTCGCCTGCGATGATGGAGGCATCATGGATCCTGACGATGGTTGTTGGCGATGCTGACGAGCGGCATCTTCCGGATGAACGGGATTCATGGGCGATCGCTCCGAAGGAGTGGAGGCACGACCGCCTCCAATACCTGGTATACGAACATCTTCACGTGGTGTAGGTGTTTGATACTGCGAGTAAGGGCCCGGTGAGTGACGACCAGGTGGACCGCCGCCAAGAGTAGGCAAGTCACGAGGAGGAACACTGCCTTCGTGACCAGGCATGCCATGCTACGTAATGATTCCATGAGCACACAAAGTTTGAACACAAGAAAAAAAAAGAGGGGACACAACTCACATGATTCACCATGGGCAATTGTGGCGTAGGAACGCGATCATCCACAGGAGGACGTTGTGATCCGCCCACCGCAGTATGATAAGCTGACATGCTCGCAGGAGGACCAGAAGGTGCCGACTGGAAATGAATAAAATGAATTAATGACCAAGTAGGGTATGACAGGTTAGATCAAGTGGTCCAACGTACCTGACCATATCCCGCGCCATTCAAAGGCTGAGCATTGGCGCCATTTTGATATTGACTCGGGTTACTGACGTCTTGTGGTACAGGGGCATTGCCAGCACTAGATAACGCGTTAATTCATCGAAAAAAGGTCAATACAGTCCAAGGGTAGAAAAAAATCAATTACGTTTGAGAAGGTTGAGCACCCTGGGATTTGCGAAGTAGTTCAAGACGTTGCTTGATGTGAGGATTGGAGGGATCCAATTCGGCAGCTCGGTGATAGGCATCCAAGGCATCTTGAATTTGATTGTTGCAGGATTCATACAGTGTGCCCAAATCATACCACACTTCACTGATGTAAGGGTTCAAACGAATGGCTCTACTGTAAGCATCCAATGCATCCCGATACTACAACAGAAAACACGATGAGCCGAGAATGAATATGCCAAAAAGAAAAGAAACATACCTGATTGATTTGATAGTAAAGCACACCAATGGAGCACCAGAAAGTGGGATTACGCGCGTCGCGGTATACCGCTTGCTGATAGGCTTCATAGGCTTTATTGTAATTCTGTTCCGCCATGTAGCAGCGACCGAGAAGGTACCAGGATTGAGCATCATTACTGTCTGATTTCAGGGATCGTGTAAGGTATTGAATAGCTAAATTTTGATTGCAAAAGGACGTGTTTTGTTGATGATAAAGCCATCCGAGCTGTTGCAAGACTTTGGCGTGATCAGGATTTTCAGCCAACACGCGTTCATATGCTTCCTTGGCTAATTCATACTGTAACAAAAAAATGATAAATACGTGGTCTTCATCCAAAGATCCATGAAGAAAACGAAATCAAAGTCATACTTCTTTCTGTTGTTCATATACATGACCGGTTTGAAACCAAATGTCGGATTCAGTGAGAGGTCGTGGAGGCGAGTGAAGAATATAGCGGAAGCACTGTAAAAAAAAAAAGAAAAAAAAATCGAAAAAGTGAGAGACATGTCAGAGATGAGGAATGATGAGAGCCTTACTTGAAGTGACAAGTCAAATTTCTGTTGCTGTTTGTATATGATGCCTAATCGGAAATAGATCTCATTTGCCTTTTCAAACTTGGGATCCATTTTCATGACAGCCGAAAAGGCTTCTTCCGCGTGCTCCAATGATCCATAGCGATCATACAAAATACCGATGCCATACCAAAGTTTGGGATCCTGGATTCAAATAAGTCCAATGAGTATCCAGCAATGGATGGCTATCGAGTTACGCTTACCTTGGGATTCGAAAGGTGGTATAGCGCTTGTTGATAAGCATGGTAAGCTTCCTGCAAATTATCCATCATCAAATAGCAATGTCCAAGAGCGGCCCATGTTTCGCCATTATTTTCTTGAATCGATAAGATGCGCTTAAAGTATTCCACAGCCTAAGGAACGAAGGCGTAAGTATGAATTGTCATGGTGACGCTTTTTGTTTTACAAAAGCTCTGTTTACCCTTCCAAATTGTTCGCGGCCTCTGCAGAGTGACGCGATCTGGGACAAGGCAGGTATGGAATAAGGATTATGTCTCAAGGCTGACTCATAGCAATTCATAGCCTTGTCGTAATCCGTCATCATTTCAGCAAGATTACCTAAGATGGGCCATGGTTAGACCAGATACGGGACGAGATGGAAGGGGAAAGAAAAAAATAAAAGCTGTCAAGACAATAATAGTTACCCATAGTGAGCCATGTTTGCTCGTTTACAGCGGCTAGCTTTTGTGCAGCCGATATCTGCTGATGAGGTACGGCAGAAGACATTGTTTGTTTTTGGTAATCTACAAGAACATTCATCTGTGAGTGATCGAATTCAGGTTTGCCCGGAAGTTCCAGTCAAGCATCAAGAGGTCATGAGAAGAAGAAAAAAAAACTGCACTTTCTCCACGACAACCGTATACAGCCTTATTGATACTTTTTCCTTTTTTTCCACATTTTTGTTTAAACGCGATGGCAATTTTTTAGAGGGATTTACCTGGTTCACGAGGGGATGGTCGAATAGAGCAGATTGAGAGAGATGAGATATGTGAAAGGAAGGGTTACAAGGAAGACAGATTGTGAGAGAGTAAAAAAAAAAAAAAAAAAAAAACAAGTGATTATGGTTTGTGAAAGATCAAAGGGTAAGGAATGGGAAGATTCCAAAGCGAAGCAGCATAGACACTCGTACAGACACACACCCTAACACACACACGCACGCACAACACACAACAGCCAAAAAAAAAAAAGCTTGGTCCCGAGTCATGTTTCAGAAACTCCGCATAACAAAAAAAAAAGATCATCGATTCACTCGACTTTTTTTTTTTAAAAAAAAAAAAAATACCGGCACTGCCGAGTTTGGGTTCCAATGTCGGTGAAAATGGTCCATGTCACACAGCATACTAATGCACGTGGCAGAAAAAAAAAAAAAGACGACGACATTCAACTCCCCCTTTTTTCAAAAGAAAAAATAACGTCAGCGGTACACCATTGACGTTTCTATTTTGTATTTGCATGATCTTGTTTATATTTACTGGTTCATACATTTTTTTTTTATAACTTTATATATAAATATCTAAATTTGTTTACTGTTCTCTATCCTCTGTATTTCCATATAATAGAAAAAAGAAAATCCATTGATTTTCCTTTTTATAATATTGTCTTGTACTATGGAAAAAGAAAAAAAGGTGAATCAACCTTTTTTTAATATCTGAACTTGTCTTTGTTTCCCCGTCATTTAGTTGCTCAACAAAAAATGCACCTATTTTAAGCCACTTTGTACATTTGGGTCATTCTCCATCTAATTTTTCCCTTATCGATGACCATTCCATCGAACCTTTGTCCGTCTTTATTTTAGGATGAATAGGGAAAGGCGTACAACATATATTTGGATAGAACCGTGGGCATTGAAGCACAATGAACTTTGTCTTGTGGCTAACAAGCGCCTTTTTTTTCTTTTTTTTTTTTCAACGGGGCAAAATGACCCCATTTCTTTTTCTGTCAGCGGCTTGTGTTACGTTACACATGTATCTCGTAAACCTTTTTTTTTTTCCTGTCCTCATTCAAGGGTAACACTTGTACAAAAAGGAAAAAGCTTACAATAGCTGATCCTTCCTGCCTGGGCTGTACTCCGTCTGAAAAACAATTGCATTATCTGTCATTGGCCCAGAAACAGGGGATAAAAAAATCGCTTATCTGAGAAAATTGAACCTTTTTTTTTTGTTGTTGTTGTCATGGTTCTAACCATTTCATGATGACATTCCGTGCATTTCATTCCACTAGCTCCGGCAGATTTCCAGGCATTGCCTGTCGTACCATTAACGGAAACGTTTCATAATCCAATGACTAATTTTCACATTCGTCACCGGAAATCACACACACACATGCTGTTCCTCCGATTGAATTCGTGGATGTTGATGTATATGGACTTCCAAATTGCCGGAAATGCCCAAAAAGTTAATTCTGCATATCAAAAAGCTTTTTAGAATGCATCGTCCGGTTCGGGCAAGCAAAAAATGGCATCATCATGTTTCTCATCCTTGACAGCTGCGTCCAATCATATTATATCGTTTTTTTTTTTGTTTTTTTTCCATTTGACAATCACCTGCCTGTGGCTGTCCGGAAAAAACCCTTCCTTTGTGTCCCCACACAATGTCGAAAAATATACCTCTCGCGTGTCGGACTTTGGTCCGACAACAGAGTATCTCCTCTGCAAAGAAATGGCGCTAAACCGCAAATGGCATTATTTGGATGTTTCATTTTTGTAGGATGCAGTATGCGGAGAACAAGAAAAATAGATCAAGAACACATAAAGAATGTTAGAAAATCAAAAGAAAAGTGGTGGGTGGGGAAGGGGGGAAAGATAAAATAAAGGGCGAGCTGAACAGAATGAGAACCAGTAACTAAAGAATCACCAAAAAGGAAAAACCAGTCAACACAACTTTGGTGGCGTGCATAAAATAAAGTCAAAAGAGTACTGAGTATAAGAGTAGTAACCGAAAACTCGAAACAACCGTGACAAAATGCTGACTATGCATATTACTTGTCTATGCACCAGTATTGGTAGGATCGGTGCTTCGAACAGGTCCCAAAGTGCGGCACATGGGATCATCAAAACCATACATGACATCGGGACGATTCGTCGTACGCATGGTGTCATTGGCGAAACCCTTGGGTACAGCACCTTGATGCTGCATGGGAGGTTGAGCTTGCGAACCTTCAGGCAAAGAGTTTACAGGTGACAGGCTTTCTGTTAATTCAGGCTGAACTGCCTCCTTTTCATTGGAAGCATCGTCTTTGTTTTGCTTGTTGAAAAATGGTATACGCATTATGAAAGAATATAGAGAGAGAAAAGAGAGAGAGAGGAATTACCAAAGTTTCTTTCACTTTATCGTCACCGTCTTCTGGAGCGTTATTCAAAATTTTGATTGCCAATTGGATCTCCGTGGCTTTTTTCGTGCCACCCGCTTTTGCCTCGTCATTTCCCGAGATTTCACCACTTCAGCCAATGTCCTATGTTTATTGGAAATTTTCGTACCGTAACTGTCCGATCATGGTACTGCGCCCCGCTTCCATCGTTTTTGTCAATATCATATATGATGATGCGACGTATTCCATAGTGACCCACAAAATGCCAATAAATTATTACTATCAATACCCGCGGAATACCTCGTGGGAATGTCAGAAAAGATCACACCGCAACAAATTACGATTTACGATCCGATATTTCATGATCTCTGCGTCCTTATCGCAAAATTTCAGTGATACTGTAGAACTACTCCGAAATCGCTCCATTTCTATTATAAATGTCATACCCGATGTGAACTTGGCAGTGCATTGTCTGGGGCCTCGACTCTTCGGAGGCCATCTTTCTAAACAAAAATTTCCAAAGTGAAACCGACAAGAGCTTTGGCCTTGCATCTCTTACTACCTTGATACTTTCGAGATACCATGGGTTAATTTTTTTTTTTTTTTTTTGAGGAAAAGTATGATTTGATAAATAACGAAACGACCCATCAAATGCAATAGAGCTTTTCATAATAACTGTTCAAAAACAGTTCTAATTTTTGATGAAAACAGGCAGGCACGAGAAAAAAGAAGTGTACGTTGCTGTGAATTATTCTTTGATCCATAACTCGATTTGGCGTGGAAAAGATGACTCACTCGCAAAAAACAATAATTTTCAGAAAGCTTTGGATACTATTTTGTCATTCACCAACCCAAGCAAAATCATATCAGCTTCTGATTATCTTTTGATGAGATATATTGACAAGAATGATCTGTCACAGGCTCAAGTTGGCATAGAGCTGATCGATCGTTTGGCGGATCCATTCGAATAATAGCTGGAGCAGATTAACCAGTCGGCAGCTAATATGCTAACTCTCTATGATGTATCAACAAAAGAGTCGGCTATCTATCATTATGAGCTTGAACATTCATCAGATGCTGCTCAGCCATGGTATACACTTTAGCCTGAGCAGTATCATGCCTTGTTCGGAACCCACAGTGCGTGTTCTTTGTTTGTCTGAATAAAGCGTGCAACAATGAAAATGAAAAGGGCGAATCTCCAATTGGCGGGAAACTCCGCCTTCTTCAGGGCGTGACGTTGCGTGCGACCCTGCGCATCAACTGCGAAATTTTTTTTTACTGTCGCCTTTCAACCTGCTTCATTCCTGAATCTCTTATTCATCGTCAAAAAAAAAACCATGTTTATCCGTCCTACTGCATCGGCATCAAAATTCGTTAGAGTAAGTCCTATTGTGGCATAAGAATTTGGAGCATTTCTTGCTCCTATGTTTGTAACACGCTTGTATCCATGGGAGCTGTCAAAAACTAATGACACGTACTTAGTGCTTTTCGGCTTCTGCCACTCGCGCCAACTGTAAGCATCGCTGAAGCACGTTACATGCCTTGGCCATAGAATTTATCTGTATTATCCTTTCTTTTTTTCTTTTACTCAGTGAACAAGGTCCAGCTTATTGGTCGCGTCGGTGCTGATCCTACCGTGACTGAGGTCGGCGACCTCCGTGTCGTTAACTATACTGTCGCTACATCAGAAGTTCGACCTGATAATGAAGGTAAGCATTGGTTTTGGAATGTCAATAACAACTAGTATTCCTATTTGTGATGCTGAAATATGATGTCGGTGCCTAGGCAACCTTATCAAAAAGACCCAGTGGCATCGCATCAGTTCGTGGAAGTCGGCTGATTGGTTGCCTAACAAGGTTAAGAAGGGGTAACAAACAGCAGCTTTTGAGGGATGGTTGTCATGTGTATTAACTTGATACTATTGTGAATGATTTAGTGATCTTGTGTATGTGGAAGGTCAATTGAGATACAAAGAATTCACTGACAAGGAAGGTGTCAATCGCGTCAAGGCTGAAATCTCCCAATGTAAGTCATTCAAGACGTTGGAACATGTCAATAAAACGAGTATGTGACTTATGACGGTGTACATTAGCTTCCTTCCGATTACTGGCCACTTCAGGCAATAATGAAGAAGTCAGCGAAGAATAAGAACGGTTCTTCTCCTTCATTGATTTTTTAGTGCCAATGGCTACATGTACGATTTATTTCTTTATAAATGAAATTTTCTCATTTTGCAAGTGCGTATCTCCAGATGGATAGAGCATTCAACAAAACGACTGTACGAGTTTTGGATGATGGCAGCGTCAAGATGAGGGACCAAGCGAAATCTATTTGTCACTATTGGATGAACTTGCAAGGAAAATAAGCTAATCAATGCTTTGCTTTATGTTTAAACTTTTTGGTGAAAGACGATGGTTTACTTAAGATTGAATAGTTCACGGGTTGATATCATTCCTCAAGAAAAAAAAAAAGGAGGAAAATGCGAAAGAAAGAGGGGTATATGGCATAAAAGAGGATCAGTGCGTCTTGGAGTGATCCACTTTTTCAGACTCCATTAAACTGCGAGTCCATTTCTCGAGATCTACTTTCTCCTTGGCAGCCGATACCAGATACTCATGTTTCTGCAGTGATAATAATCAAATATGGAAAGGTCAGCTACCGCGAAAAAGAAATTGGTCTGCTTGCATGCCCTATCTTATCTTACCATCAAATCACCAGGTGTGGCTCGGAGCTTCACATCTTTTACCAAACTATACGCGTAATGTCAAATTTAGTAAACCATGCCCAGATCGTGAAGGCCTTCCTCTTTTTCCTTTACCATTCATCGACAAAATTTGTCAGCACAGATGGGAATTTGTTTGGCGGAAAGGTCGGCACCGGTTCATTGACGATGTGTTGCAGCAACTCGAAAATGGACAAAGGCGTGCCATCTGGAGGAAAGGGAAATCGTCCTAAAGCCAATTCCATCAATGTGATACCCAGTGACCATACATCCGACTTCACACTGTAAGGTGACCCCATGATACGCTCGGGCTGTCAAAACGAAATTAAAAAAAAAATAACCCAGTGAGTATCCATGTTTACAAAAATGGCAAGCGGTAACCTGAATACATACACTCATGTAAGAGCTGGTGCCCACAAACGTATCTGCCACCGAGTTGATTAGCTGCCCAGACACACCAAAATCACATAGCTTAATTTGCCCCTGCGAATTAATCAGGACATTGGACGGTTTGAGGTCTAAAGAGTTATCGAATGAGCCTCGCTTTATTTTTTCCACGGACAGTCATTAACCATACTAGAATGATTCCACTTACCGCGATGAATGATACGATGTTCGTCATACAGGTAAATCAGTCCATCCACAATCTGAAAATCACGATTAACATCTGAAAAGAATGGATTCCTTTGAAGCACACTTACCGCATAGGCAATTTTCTTCAGGACATCCAAGGGTATCGGTCCGTATTTTTTGTAAATTTTGTCCAAAGATCTATTTTTTCGTTTATCAATACCACCGTCGTAAACTCATTAGCCGCCGGCCCATTTCTCAGGTACGCTCTATATTGTCCTAGTACACAACTTACCCAACATCCATGTATTCCATGCAATACGATATATCACTGCCATTCATGAACGCTCCATAAAAACTCACAATATGTTTTGAGTTGCAATCGTGCATAAACTGTAATTCTCGCATAATCTGTTTTCGCACTTGCATATTGGCTTCCACATGAATCACCTAACAAATCCACAACAAAATGATCAATCTTTTTCCATCCACTTTGGCAAACTCTGCACCCAGGGGTGGGTCTTGGTTAGCAAAAACAGTCCTCGTACCTTTCTTGCCATGATAGTGTTTGTTCTGATATGTAACACTTTGCAGACCGTACCGCCATTGCCTCTACCGAGTTCATCCACCGAAGTAAAGTCTTCTGGACGCAGATCCAGCCGCAACTCCAGTCCAATCTCCAGTTCGCTCAATTGTTCGCAAAGTTTGCTGTATTCTTCATCTAGACCTTTCGACTTGGTTTTGCTTGAATCAGAGGAAGATGGGCTCACCACGACTGGTGAATTGTCCAACTTCAGGTTTTTAAAATTACGCTTCTTTCGTAAGTTTCCCTTTGAAAGCATCATGTCACGTTTTTAGGTGTGGAGAAAAGCAGACTTATGGGACAAGCAATCACTTAGTCCCTGTCACCCACTCGTGTTCAGAAAAAAAAAGCAAATAGGATAACCCGACATTCATCCTATTTCAAGCGGAGATCATTACAAAAATTGTCGCCCAATCACAGACCATACATCGGAAGCGAAAAGAATTTTCGCAACAAGCGCATTTTCTTGAACCAGTTTCGCGTAGAACGTGGGATTTTACATAATACGAACCCAATGATCGTACGAAGCAAGCAATAAACGGAAACATTCTGTTGATAAAAGTTTCGCCGTTTATCCAACCATTCAAAGTAAATTTTGAGAGACCATGAAAGACTATGGTACATTTAAGGAAAAATATGGCATCAGTTCTTTGTGAACATGTGAGAGAGCCAAATGTTTCTCGACTGTGGCAGGTACGGTTTGTTTTGTTTCAACGTAATCATATACCTAAGCTACATAGTCGCAGGACCTCAGAGAGAAGCTTCTCTCATGTCGGTTCTACTTTTGCTTCAGAATTATTTTCCTGTAACGATGAGAATGATAAAAAAATTCGCCACTGGAACGCCCATTTACGTCGAGGAGGGCCAGTAACCATGGTAGAGACATTGAGGTTTTAGAAAAAGACGCGTCTGTATCTTAGAAGTTTCAGTGATCAAGAGTAAACAGCATATAAAATAGTTTTGCGGACTGAAGCCTGGGTTGTCATTGATACTTCTGCCCCTTGTTTTGGATAAGCAAGTATCCGTACCATCATAATAATGTGAAGGTTTCTTTTATTTCTCTTTCAATATTCTTTCTCGTGCTGCCAAATACTCTTTTTCGCGTTCAGCCAACGTCTTTACAGGCGCTGATGTAGCCGGGTCCTTTCTCGTTCCGGATCCTCGCGGAAAATTGCTAGGCCGTTTCAGAATCTTTATCTAGTGGAGAACCCAAGTCAACGCTTCAGCGTATCTAGGGAATTATTTACCGTTTATTATACCTCTGGTTTATACTCAGTACGCGAAGAATCGGTGCGAATCACAGTTGGTGTAAGGGTCTGATTACTGGATCGGGTTTAATAAGGTTGACACTTGAATCAAGATTCGACCAAGGAATGCTTACGCTTTTTCCCAAAGTTCTTTGCTCTTTTCTTCTTCAGTTTTCTCTTTTCGTGTGCTTTTCACCGGCGCGTTATAATCTATAAGCTTTCACAAACCGTCATTGGACGACATGGGCCATGCACTGAACTATCGCTACTCACACCTGCATCGGCTGCACTTTCCCAGTCATCCCAAGGATCATCACCCATCATTGACAATCGACAGCCAGAAACCCAAACAATGCAGTGCTACAGGGGTTGAATTCGCTTAGGGGGACGATGCACGCTTGCTGTCTGACGCGACCGATTCGCGAGTCAATTTGAAAACAGAAAACAAAAACAGGAAAAAATATAAAGTTTAAATCAACGAATTTTTTTTTTATTCAGCTAATGAGTCTAATGAAACGATCTTTCCATCCAGGCCAGCGCTCAAAGTACCTATATAACAAAATATGGATGAGCATACATTGTTTTACATAAACTGCATCAATCAATTCTATCCGATTCATTGTAGATAGGAAAACATCAGTGTAACTATGACTATATATACGAGGTCATTACACTCTGCGAACCAGAACGGTTTGCAAAATAAGTGCTCCATGTAATGGGTAGATTATCATCACTGTTTTCCATCCTCAACTCCTCGGATAAAAACCTATATTACAAGATGGTACTTACGTGAACTTCAACCGATGACCGTGTCTGCATCCAACGGATGGATGGATGGATGGATGCTGTAGAAACAAGCTTTTACCATGGATGGGGCCAAAAACCTTCCATTTTTATAGACAAAATTCAGCGGGCTTCCTTTGATCAATGTAAATTTAACCGTCACGAAAATTTCCAACGGTGCCTGAATTTCTGCTTTTGTCAATGTCCATTTGCCTCGTAATCCTTGCTTTCATCATGTTTAAAAATATGCTGGTAATGATGCTTCGAATCTATTAAACCTATAATGGGTACAAAATACACGACTTGGATTAAGTCTATAGTATAAATCACAGGAAATAGATTCATTTCGGTGGCGTGTCACACAAAGGCTGAGTTGTGAATTCCCTTTCAGCGGCACCTGTGCATCCAAGCCTCTCGATCTTTCGACTAGTTGAACCTGAAGGTGATTGAAATGCAGATGATCGCCATACTTGGTTCGCCCCAATATGCAAAATGGGATAAAATGATGATAACTACGCCGTGATACAGGGAGCAAACCGTTCATCAATCAACAGGCTCGGCGAATCTTGATGCCAATGGTTACTGAATATCCGTCCAATCCTCAGTTGCAAAGAATTGAACCATTGCATCAAAAACTTGTTGCTCCCACTCCACATAAGGAATCAATGTCTGTCCCAATCATGAGCTGGATGACCGGTCAGGGGTCATAAAACACTGGACATTGGTATCAGGGCAATGGTTGATATACAAACAGTGTGCCATTGTACCCTATATCACTATATCCGCCGATGTGCTTTCTTTTGAGCGTAACTTATTATGCTTTTTCTGTCAAACAAGGATTTCTGCGGCGCCATACAAAAAAAGCCACTGGACTACAGATAATGCAGCGGGATGGAATAAGAAGTTCCACGTGACTCACTGTTGAGGACGGTGTTCGAAAAGGAAACACTGAGTTTCTCTCTCGTTGTTCCATTTCAGCTATTTGCCGTGCATAGCATTCTGTTTTTTTTCTGTTCTTCTTTTTATCCTTTGTCTCCATCCCTGTTGTCTCCATTTCACGTATCATTTTGGAATGCCTGAAGACCGTATAGACCTGCTCAAAATAGCAAAGGTTCGTCGTTGTCTAATATTTGTTCAGACGATCAAATGCATTGATGAAATAACCCATACAAGGTGGAGGATGTACAACTCGAAAAGGGTCAGGAGGTTCTTACCGGCACTCTCCATTTAACCATTCATAATCTCATATTCCATCACGACGATCCGAGCCAAGAAGAACTTTGGGTAAGAATTCAACCTGGTCGCCTGTTTCCTGCAACTCGTTCACATTTATTCATCCTATCATTTTTTTCCTGCTCAACTCATTGTATATGACTCTTATATATGACTTTTTACTTGCTTTTTTATTTGGTTATGATGGTTCCTATGGTTATTAGATTCCTTATCCGATTATACACACCGTTGAACGACGACCGCCGTCACTGCAGACGGGACGCCATCCACTATATATTCGTTGCAGAGATTTTTTGATTGTCACCATATCCATGCTGAAAGGCGGTGAAGCACAAGACGTCTATGATAGTATCCAAAAGCTCACCTGTGTTAGTACGTGAATCCGTTTGATCCATTATTTTTTTCAATGGTCCTTTAACATACTGTTCAATTAGCTTCTACGGAACAGCTTTATGCGTATGCTTACAAACCTCAACCGCCATTCACAGCGCAGGGAGGTTGGCGGATCTACGATCCTACCAAAGAGTATGAACGTATGGGTGTACAGACGACAAATCATCAGTGGCGCTATACAGTGATCAATCGAGATTATACGGTAACTATCTCCTCTCTTTCATCACCAATCTGTATTATCGAGAAATAGTCCTTATTTTCGAGAGCGGGTTTACTTTTTTTCCTCACTTTTTGACGCATGATCTTTGAACTTATTCGGTTGTTCTTTTTCTTCTTTTTTTTTTTTCGTATGGAGTATTCGCCCACTTATCCTCGTACTTTTGTCGTTCCTCAAAAAATCAGTGACAATGTCCTCAACTACGCGGGAAAATATCGAAGCAAAGCCAGAATTCCTGCATTATCCTATTTACATTGGCATAATATGGTAAGGAAAGGTACCCTGGACCGATTTTCCGGCTGGCTTTCATCCGATGCGCCGTTGTTCACCCCCCAACTCTCGCTAGGCGACCATCACTCGCAGCAGTCAACCGTTGGTTGGATTTAAGCAGGCTCGATCCATCCAGGACGAAAAGTTGATTGAAGCCATCTTTGAGTCGAATTTACCCCCGTCACAGGATGGCAAAGCCGTCTACGGATCCACTGCCGCTAACCTGATTGTGGATGCGCGTCCCGTAGCGAATGCTGTAGGTAACCTCGCTCGCGGCGCTGGCACCGAAAATATGGAAAACTATCGTGGGTGCAAAAAGGTTTATATCGCCGTGGACAATATTCATGTCATGCGTGACAGTCTTGCAAAAATGAGTGAAGGTAAAAAAAAAAAAAAAAAAAAAAAAGAGCAACAAACGAATGCAATACGTCAGTGGTTTAACTGAGATGGTCTCTCGGGTTTCTTAGCGATGCAAGGAGCGGAGAATAACGGGCAGGTCAATCGTATAGGGTTACAGCGATCGAACTGGCTTAAGCATCTCAACATTCTTTTGGAGGGAACTTGCACAATTGTGAGAAGCGTGCATGTGTATAATTCTCACGTGTTGGTCCATTGTTCCGACGGTTGGGATCGTACGGCGCAGCTGGTATCGATCAGTGAACTGTGTTTGGACCCGTATTATCGAACGTTTGAAGGATTCATGGTACTGATTGAGAAGGAGTGGATCTCCTTTGGTCACAAATTTGCCGATCGATGTGGGCATCTGTCCAATGAAAAATATTTCGTCAACCTATCGCATACTGGGGGAAATGCCGCAACCAATACGATCAAAGACATGCAGAACAAGTTTTACAAGTCCAATTACTATCAGCGGGAAACCAGTCCAGTCTTCCATCAGTTCTTGGATTGTGTCTATCAGCTTGTTTACCAATTCCCTACGCGATTCGAATTCAACGAACGAATGTTGATCGAACTTCACTATCACGTGTATTCGTGTCAGTTTGGTACGTTCCTGTTCAACTGCGAACGTGAACGCGTGACCCACCAACCGGAAAGCAAGACGTCCAGTATCTGGGATTATTTCAACTCTTACAAAGAAAATTTTGTCAATCCTTTGTTTGATCCAAAGAAAAACGAAGATATTGTGGACGGCGGAGGCGTTTTATTCCCGGATGCACGCAAGATACGATACTGGGCCCAGTTATTCAATCGAAATGATGATGAAGTGAATGAAATGCCCGTCTACGCTACGGTCGGCAATGGACCCTTATAAGTCAGTCAAAGAACAACAAGGCATCGTTGGCATTATCAAAATATCATGTATTTTTTATATCTTTTTTTATTGAATCGCTGAACTTTTTTTTTTCCTTTTCTTATCTCTCACACTCTCTTTCTTCTCTCTCGTCACGTCCGCCCCATTGCACATCCCTCGATCGAAAATATCAAGTCACTGACGGATTATCTTAAAAAAAGAGATTACATGCTGTGGTTTATTAAAAATGCAAAACAAAAAAAAAGAAGGAAAAACATAACAAAAAAAAACAGAGATGTGTTTTTCTAAGAAATTTTTTTTCTTATTCCATGTCCATGGCTTCCGGTTTGACATAGGTGATGGCTTTGGTGGACTTGTCTAAACCACCCCGCCAGAGTTCAGTGTTCCATTTGGGATACATGCGTTTGTACAGATACATCATGACGGTATCTTGCTGCGTTAATGCTCCGTCAAATATACACTTCATGTAACCGTGTGTACCAAGAGACTCTCGAATGTGACCCACACGACCATATTTGGTGACCAGCTGTACCGGCTTGAACCAATGAACATCATCCGGGTTGAAGAACATGTAACGCACAACAGCCGATCGTTTGTGCACTCGGAAAGGATGGCCACTGAGAATAATACGTTTGGCAACGATGCGTTTTACATTGGTATTGACAAAAGTGCCGGTGGAGACGAGAATGGGCTCGTTGATGTCATCGGTTTCCTTGTAAAACATGCATGGTACTTTACCAAACACCACAGGACCGTACACGGTGGCTATGCTGGAACGACCCATTCGCAAGAATCGTTCAAACTTATGCACATTGTTTGTGCTCTTGTTCGTATTCTGGGAATAGATCGGTCGCACAGCGTACCGTCGGAAGCCTACATGCAATACCATGGGATCCTATTGACGTTTCTTAGCAACCTGATATCCGATATAACCAAGGAAAACATTTGTGGCAATTTTTTTTACCTTTGATCTCACAGGCTCTTCGTACGCGTTATCGCGAGTGATCTGGAAATTGAGCAAGGACATCTTGTGCTCGTATTGGAGCAGACCAAAAACGATGTAAGGTCGTTCCACATCATACATTTCTAGTTGTGGTTTCGATAGCCGAGATGAGAATGTCATCCCATTTATGCGTTCTGGTTTCCAATAACTTACCGTAAGCGCCCTTGGGCACATTCTTGATCCACAACGTGATACGGTTACCAGGCTTTACATTACCTACAATGGCCTGACTGACGACTCGGCTCTTGGTGCGGAGGTAATTTTCGAACTGGAAAATGCGAGCATAATCGATAGGCAAATTCTCGTAAGGATCCCACGGTGAGGTTCGGAAAGACTGCAATCCTCGATAACGTGCAAATCGTTCTCTGGCAGCAATGTGCATGGGTGTATCAATTTCATCAGGAAATTCCTTGTGATTTTCGAATTCCTTCTGTCGACTCTTGAGGTATTCTTCATATCTAAGCAAATAACGCAAAAAAAAAAAAACATTAACATCCGGCCCATCATCACACGCCGTCTTTTGCTCACAAAAAGGTCAAGAGCAAAATGCAGAGATATAAGGATTACTCACTGTCGTGCTTCTTCCTCAGCATCGAATTCATCATCGTCATTATTCTTGCCTTCCATTTCGATCTCTTCGTATTCATCGTCATCGGGGAAGGAACTCATGCCTTCGGCAGGCTCCACATCGTCTCCATCATCCATCGTACCGATATCAGCATCGACCATCTCTTCCTCGTCGTCATCTTCGTATTCGCTGTATTCCTCATCCTCTTCATCAACAATCCAAGCCGCTTGGTAGGCTGAAGTACCTTTGGGTACACGCTTGGTCTGTTTTCCCTCTTGGCTACGCATCTGACGAACGCGTTCTTCGGCTTCGGCCAACTCTTCCTCGGTAGGCCATGTCTGTTCATTTTCCATAAAATCAGGTTCATTTTCAGCTACTAAATCGTCCTGTTCTGCAGGATTAGGGGTATCCACAATCTCGGCGTCTTCTTGCATATCACCGGCTCTCGCTTGCAACGGCGATGTTGTAATCTAACGATAAAGATCCCGAGTTCAGAATCCGACCAACTTTCTCTCTATGCACTGCCCTCGTCCTTATGCTTACCTGCTGCAATTGGAAATCACCAAAGTTCTGCAAGTGGACCAAGCGATTGGCGTTGAAAGGATTGCCACGAGCAAATCCAGTCACTTTGAGAGTACCGGTTTCCTGAAAGACATAAAGTAAGTTCCACCATCGATCGACCCAATATCCGGCGGGCCCAATTTCTTTCTTACCTCATTGTCAGGTTCGTATTCTACGTTATCGGCCAGCATATAAGGATGCAGATCACGCCAGGCGAGAGGTTTAGGTCGCTGAGAAGTGATGTGACGAAGTACATTCAATGCCTCGTTGTCATTATCAAGAGAGTAAAGATGTTCTTCCTCGGGAAAGAATTGCTGTGTGAAGGAGACGAGGGATTTCTTGACGGAAGGAGCAAGTTTGGGAGACACACTGTTCAAGTGCTATAAAATCGGGGTTCCACATGAATATGCCGGACGAACAATAAAAAAAAGTCAACCTGTTCAATATTTTTACCTGGACAACGGGAATGACTTTGACAAGACCTTGGTTCAAGACGCCCAATAAACAGTTGATACCGAACTGATCGACCTCGACTTCAGCGGACATGAGAATAATGGCGAAATCGGCTACTTTGAATGCATCCATGACATCGATGAAATTGCGACGAAGAGGAACAAGCTGAAGTTTCTGTTTGAATCGCTCGACATTGAGGACCGAAGCTTGGCCCTTGACGGGAGGTTCGACTCCGAGGGTCTTGTAAAGTGCGGCAATAGCGTCCTCGACATCGCTGTCAGGACAAAGAGGAAGCACAGGAACGATTTTGGGAGCGCCATGTCTTCCTTCAAAGATGCGGTTCACTCGAGTGATTTCCTCTCGCTTCTTTTGTTGCAAAACTTTGGCGGCATAGCGACGATCGACTTTGGACAGATTCTTGCTTCCGGGTTGCTTGACGGAGACTCGGTTCACTTTGCCCTTGGAGATCTCTTTCAAGGTGCCTTTACTAGCGTGCCGAGACTTGAACGGCTTGTTCGACTGATGCAACGATCCAGGTCTGTGTCGATGCATGTTGCTTTCAATCAATCACCAAACAGTAGATCTGCTTTTTTTTTTTTTGAAAAAAACACAGTTTCAAAAATCTCTCTTCTTTTTTTTTCTGATCCCGAATTTAACAGTCATACATCCGTTTCCGGAAAATGCAACACGACAAAATTTTGACAGATTTATGCATTCAGGCAACATCGGACGATGACAACTCTGCGATAGAAAAAGAAAACGGTGAATGTATAAAACTTTTATTGTTGAAAGTGGTTTGTTTTGGTGCATTCGGCGTGTGTCCTTGTCATGTCTGACTTTCTCCTATCATTATTACGGTCGACAACAGAGCCATGGGGACAAATGATCCAGTGCCATTTAAAGCATGCTTGTTTCACGAAAAAACACCAGAGATTTGTAACGCCAAAATGTTCGTCCCTGTTGCCTTGGAAAAGACCAGCGCCTTTGAATGAGATCAAGTATAACAAACTTCGTCTCTTTTAAAACACCGCCTTCAACCAAGAAAAGAAGACCCCGCTCAACTGCAAAATTTCCAAAAGTGGGAGACCGTGAAAAAAAAGTTGACTTTGAACAACCCAGCATGGCAACTTCACTTGTCAAGGTTGGCGAACTGAAAGGCCATCAAGCGTCTGTGTGCTGCATAGAATATGCCAGGCAAAGCTTCTTGGGCGACCATGTACTTGCCTCTGGTTCAGGTAGCAGGCTTGCCCTCCGTAAATGAACCGTGACTGATCCACCGTGCAATGTGTTAGAGGATGCCACGTGCCGCATTTGGGATTTGCGATCTGGCAAGGTGATCAAAGGTATCCATAATTTAAAGGAAGCGGTGAGTTTCTCACAAGGAATGCGTGCCGTCACTTAGAGTGATAATGACCTTATTTATTTTTCTAAAGGTTGGAAGCGTCGCGTTTGCAAATAAACCGGATCTTCCGCACTTTTATCTTGCTTCCGGCAACCAAATTCATATATACGATTTGAGAAATACCGCCATGATTTTAACCACCTCGGAACGGCAATATGAGTTTAGTGGAGACGAGATTAATAGCGTACGTATTTGTAATGGCTCAGAAGTAACCATTGAGCTCACCGTGGGACTTCCATAGATTGATATGCATCCAAAGAAGAACTTTTTGGCCTCCGGTGATGATTGTGGTGAAGTAAAAGTAGGTTAGTATCAAACATTTCAATCTCACGCTTGAAACTGATTGCTGATGCCTTTGTTTTGTTTCACCCTTTTATTAGTGGACTTGGACAATCACAAAATATACAAGCAAATTAAAAAGAAGCATCAAAGTGTAAGTAGACAAAAAGTAGAAAAGAAGTTAGATCATTGGCTGATGAACCATATCTTTACAGATCTGTATGGCTGTAAAATTTCGATCTCGAAAGCCTTGGGAAGGTAATAGAAAAGAATAAGTAGCTTCATTGATGTGGTGACTCAGCAAATGAACAGTATGGTCGGGTGGTCTTGACAGCAAAGTATACAAGTGGGACTTTTCTCGCGGCACACCGATGGATGTGTATGATATGGGTATGTCTTGATCCTTCACCGAGATGAATATGCTCTAAATTATCACTTTTAACTTAGCAAGCGAGCCTGTAAAAGCACAAATGTTCAATCCTCCGTTTGTCTATTCTCTGGAGACTTCTCCTGATGATGCATGGATAGCTGCCGGGTCGGGTGACGCGAGTATCCACTTGATCAGCAATACACGCAATAGAGACGCTCCCACTCAATTAATATTGGAAAATGGCCATACCACCATGGTTACTGCTCTGTAAAGTGTTGATCCGCTGATCAAACATTCTAGCTGCTGTATCTAACCAAGAAAGTTACATGGTAGCGCTTTCCTGGAACCCACCGAAGAATATCCTGTTCGCTTGATTTCTGGATCGGCCAATGCCTCTTTAGCCTACTGGCAAATTTCATCTGCACAAATTTCAGGCGCACCCATCATTGCCAAGCCGCTACAACTGGACCCAACCATGACAAAGCTCAATTCCTTGCAAGTTTATGAACTTGACAACCAAGCTTATATTGCTGCTGCGGGTGTAGGTTCTTCAGCAACTACTGGTCTTATTCATATATATGAATTACCCTGATTTGCATCGATTTAAAGCCCAAAGACGCAATTCTTGTTAGTATTATATTAGATAAAATGAGGGAGAGCGTTGTACAGTACAAGAGAACACCCTTAAAATTTTTGATGCAACCTAGGACGCTGGCGGTGATTGGATTTCACCGTCACGTTTTCGTTGGTTGGGCGGACTATAAAATTTCTGGCAATGGTGCGCTCGTCAAAAACAAAAACAACAAAAAAAGAGTCCCTGTTCTCTTCAATTCCAGGCATCGTCCATACAGAACAATATGCTTCGTAGTGTCCGTGCTGTGCGAAGCGCATTAGTCGTTCCCTCGCGCTCTTTTTCAGCAGCTCCTGCTGTCTTTGCTGGCCGTATCGGTGCGCGAACAAAAAAACCGGCAAAGAAGTACGATGTCGAAGCCATGGAACCCTTTGAGTTCGATGATCAGACGACGATTGGTCACGACTTGTTTAACAATATCCGTGAAGTTCGTCAATATTTGAGAAAGACAAACTACGAATTGCCTAAGCTGAAAGGTACCGGGATCGATGGCCGTCGCCGTCAACCACAATGACAATTTGACAGCTCAAATAACCTCTTTTTTTTTTACTTCCCATTAGCTTTCGCCAAACCATTTGTACCTCCCTCCAGCGACGCTATTCTGAAGTTTAAATCACACAACTATTTGGGCGAAGGCCATCCTGTAGAGAAAAAGGCTGTGTTGTCCGTCAAGGTTTCTGATTTGCAGTTGAAAGATGTCGAAAAACACAAGTTCCTCTTGCTGTGTGGACGTCGGTATCAGGTCGACACCGATGAACTGGTCATGTCGAGCGAGAAATTCCCCTACCGAAAGCAAAACAAAAAGTTCCTCATTGATACATTGAACCGACTGTTAGCAGAGGCAAAGGTAATAAGCATGTGTGTCTTGTGGAAAAGTGTGAAAGCCATCGAATTAATTGCTTTTGCGATTGATATGAATAGGATGCAAAGGACACATTTGCCGACGTTCCCCTTGATTTACCGCAACCCAAAAAGAAGCTTCAGTTCCCCATGGAATGGGCACGACCCGCACAACCCAAATCCGAAGAACAAAAATAAGTTATAATAAAAATGTATCATATAGACACAAGAATAAACACATCAAGCAAACAAGAAAAAAAAACCAGAGTTGGATTATTTCAAAAAAATATTTTCAAACAAACAACACATCGAGGATCGTTTTGGTCTTTGACGATGCAACGTCAAAGGACCTTCGACTTTAAGCTTTTATGAAAGGATGGGCTTCAAATCCGGCTTGAGGTGACGATTGGCATCCAAAATTCCCCATGCACTTTCAATGCCTCCCTTGTAAGGTTCATCGATGGCAGCGAACCAAATCATATCAATATTGCGTGCTCGTACTTTTTCAAGCACATCACGCAGATATCTATGGTTGCATTGATGAAAAAATGTCAGATAGGTGATTTTCTCTTGATCCTTTGTCGCCTGGACAATAACTTACGTGGCTTGATTTTGAGGCGATGGCACTGACTCACCAAAGTTGGGTCCGGAGGTAGGCCATCCAGTTTCCGAAATACGGACCTGTTTACCTTGAGCTTCCGAGACCAAGGAGTCATAGTGCTCTATGAGTTTGGTCGCGCCTTGGTCAACGGTGACACCTTCCCAGTAAGGAAATGCGTTCCTAGTTTCAGTAAGTGTGTTCGTTGTTAATACGTGTGTCGGGTCAAAACCAGGGAAACCAAAAATAAATTCGACGTATTGTTTGTATCTTCTCCACAACTTACATCATGAGGAAATCGATCTGTTTCACCACTTCGGGAGGAAACTTGTAATAGACATCCGCGGTAGCCACAGGAATTTTCTTTGGATGAACCAACTCCTGGGTACGCGAAATATAGTTGACCATTTGTTGAGGGGTGGTTTCATTACGGTAAAGGGCTTCCGACCCAACAATGATACCATCGACGTTGCTCAAATCATGTGTATTGACCAACGATTTGAGGGCCTCCAATTCCTTTTCATACACGTTGGGGTCGCCGCTCACCCACATGCCAAGGTAAGCCCGCATACCAAGCTCTTGGGTGGCTCGCAAAACGAGATCACCTTGTTGACAGGCAACCAGAGTAAAGATACGAACACGGTTCGTGTAAGGCTTCAAGGCTTGAAAATCGCGCTTCACATCTTCCAGCGACGGGCAGTTGACAGTATTCATACCGTAGTTGAGCCCATAGAAGGGCAAGGCCGCCAAGGCCAATGGCGTAAACGCACAGAGCAACAAAATGAAATTCCACATAATTCAATCTGTTTTTAGATCGATGACAGTTTAAACTGCAATAGAAACAATAACAAAGAAAAGACCACCCAAAAAAAAAAAAAAAAGATCCACTGTGCTAATTATATATAGGCCAGACAAGTAAAAAATAAATGGGCTAACGAAAAACATAGCCAATAATGCCTCCTTCAGTTCATTATGAAACCACCAACTTGTCCCATGAAGATATGAAATATTTTTGGTTTGCTTTTATTTGATCTCGGATTTGGCGTGTTTCGGAAGTTGAAAAATTGAATGTTTTTCTTTTACTTCTGGTACGACCAGACGTTCTTCAAGTAGCCATCCTGAGTAGCAAGACGGTTGATGGAGTCATCAGCTTCGGCTTCCTTGCGAACGAAACCGCAGAGAGCGTAGGTGGAGAAGGTCTTGGTGTAGCGACCCTCGGCATCGACATCAGCAACGTTGAGCTGGATGGAAGCGTGGTCCTTCGCGTTAATGAGACGGTTGGTGGCCGAGCTAAAGTAGAAAAATGGGGCTCAAAATCAATCACACTGGGTTCCCTTTTTTTGTCTCTTTTCGTCGTTCTATGTCATCGTCAACGATACGAACCACTTGCGGGGAATGTAGAGATCGACGAGTCTGCCTTCAGAGTTCTCCATGGTTGTTGTGAAAGAGGGGGAAACAAAAACCTTCGCCCGGTAATGTCGATTAAAAAAAAACAAATTTTTGCTAAGCCACTCTCAGAGTTTGCCTTTTTGAAATTCCGACATCCAAAGCCGGTGCCTGCATCATTCCCTGTTTGTCATACAAAGGGAAACACATTGATTTGATTAATTCTCATTCATGAACCTGAGCGCACTCATTCCATTGACTTTGATCATTGCCACTATATTATTTTGTAAACTGTAAAATAGATGAAATATATCCCCTTTCCACGTTGTCATTTCCTGGCCATCGCAGCTGATTTTCGGACCGTGGATATTCTTTACGCAACCAGAAATAAAAAGGAAAAAAAAAGACTTTTGGACTAGTTGAATGGCTGAAAAACCTCGTTCCATCAAACGCGAGTAGCAACATGCTTCAGATTAAAAGCACTTGCCGATGGTTATTCGACAGACCTAAGGGAAAAACAACGGTACATCGCTGAATAGCCGATGCTACGGAATAAGTGGTTTGTGAACGCTTCCGGTTTTATGAGACCAAGACAATTTCACTAACAAGCCGTACACCCGCTGTGCAATGGATGCCACCTGCTACTGGATGCCGCACTCTTACATTGAGCGACATTCGTCAGACAAAAGCCTAACGCAATACGGCATAACCTGGGCGAGACTCTTGATGGAACTTTGGTATATTAATGTCAATACTCTGGCATACCATGAAACACTTTTAATGAACAAAGCAGCACTTATTGACCCCCTCCGTTCTGTCCCGCCCAAGGTTATGATAGATCTACAAAGATGTGTGGGAATGTTGGGTATTTAAAAAAAATGAGTTAGTAAGCTCTTTGGTTGATTCAAATTTCGTTGAGATATTTTACCTTTGATGTTTGATGCAGCAGATACCGAGGGCTTCCCGACCGAAATAAAGAAAGGATACAAATATAAAAAAAAAAGTAAATACAATAGGTGCGTCTGTAAAAACCCCCTAAAAACCCTGTGGGAAAAAAAAGGAGGAAAAGACTGCAAGAAGACTATTCACTAAAATACAAAATACATACTACAACTACAACTACAAAATAAAATGGTCGGGAAGAAATATCGAAGGCGATACCACGGGCAGCAATCCATATGAGAGGAACCTGGGGAGGACGCGTCAGCGTTTCCCAATGAAAAAGAGAGTCACACCACCGACGATGCCTTTGACGACAAAAACCGGTTTGGCCACATTTGAGCGCGAACAAAGTAGAAAGATTTGGAGGGATGGATGGCTTGAATGGCTTGCCAGGCAAAAGAAAACCGGAGAGAAAACCAAAAGCTAAAGAAGGGGTAGAGAAAAAAGAACGTGAGTTTTTTCTTGTCGAAAAACGAATAGTCACATCACACAAAAGGTACCTTTTTGATAATACTCGACTTGACCGGTTACAGATAGACGCCGGATACACCATAGTCTGGATGATGGATGATGGATGTGGATGCGGGTGAGGATGCAATGATAGTGAGGGCTTTTCAGGTAAACGGAAAGAGGGAGAAAACCAAAGGAAAAAGAAAAAATTGAAGACAAAATGAATGAGTTCCCATGGATGAAACAATAGTCACTCTGCCAATGCAAGAATGATGATCAGGTCAACCACATGGGCCAGAAAGTGGAACATTTGCGGTTGGTTTACCTTTAAATCAAACATTGTGCCGAAAGAAAATATGTATACGGACCACACGTAAGCTTCTTCTTCGATGCGGAAAAGAAAATTGCTTGCAGAAACAGTTAAGTGGCGGAATATTTTTGGGGCGGTGGTGTCAGCTTGAGCAGGGCCAAGATATTGATGTGGTCAGAAGTGCCGGTAATTTGGAGCTGGAGGCCAGATATCGATAGTTTTCCCAAGTAAAAATAAAAGAAAATAAAACTTACGTCAGTAAAAATCTCACAAAAAACCCTGTGGCGAAAAAAAGAGGGAAGACTGCGAAAAGAATACTTACATGAAAGACGATATCAAGAGTAGGAATCCAAATGAGGGCAACATGAGGAGGACGCGTCAGCGTTTCCCGATGAGAAAGAGAGCCACACGACCGAAGATGTCCTTTGACGACAAAAACCGGATTGGCCACAATCTGGTGCCCGAACAAAGTAGAAAGGTTTTGGAGGGATGGATGGCTTGAATGGCTTGCCAGGCAAAAGAAAACCGGAGAGAAAACCAAAAGCTAAAGACAGAATAGAGAAAAAGGACAGGTAAATTTTTTCTTGTCGAAAAACGGATAGTCGTATCACACAAAAGGTACCTTTTTTCATAATAATCGAATCGACCGGATCAGATACACGCCATAGTCTGGATGATGGATGATGGATGCAATGATAGTGAGGGATTTCCAGGCAAACAGAAGAGATGCAAAACTAAAGAAGAAGAAAAAATTCGGACAAAAATATGTGATTTTCCATGGATGAAACAATAGTCACCTCACTGATGCATGAATGATGAGCTACACAGATCGAAGCATATCTGCTCCATGTATCATTCGATTACTGAAGAGAATGAAAGGGCATATACAGTATAACTGACAGACAACCCAAATTAAATGATGCTACAAAACACCAGATCGTCGTATCGTCAATCACCTTTCTTCAAAAAAGAGCTCCACTCACATTTTATGTGAACGGCGACGATGCTCTGTTTGACCACAACTGGTGCAAACGGCATCTCGCTGCTGATTGTTTCGCCTATTATCGTGAAAGTGGGCAGCGAGGCATGGTTGAAAGATGAAAAAAAGGTTTAACAGGTCTTGATAACTTAGTGTAGATCATGTGATTTACAAAATCGCTAATTTTTCAAAGATTTTAATTATATAGATAAATGAAAAGTCACTTTAACGAAAAAAGGGAGTCTCTTGGACACAGATTCTTATGACAATCCGTCATCTATTGCCTGGTTTTTTGTACACTGTTTAAATACATATTACATGATATTCGTTTATACGTTATGGCCAAATTTTATCGAGGGATGATCGTGCATTTGTGAGTCGTGGGAACTAACATGAGTATCTTAATTTTGTCAATTTTTCTTTTACTTCATGAAAAAAATTGTAATATTTACAGTGAGAAAAAAGAAAGATAGAGAACAGAAATTAATGATAACCATCGGCAATCCATTGGTATAGAGGACTTCAGCAAAGAACCCCCTATTCGTCACTATACTTTTGAACCGAGTCAGTTCACCTGGGCCAAACGTTCGGTATTTGAAGTATCCATATTTCACGATGAGGATCTGGAGGACGATCTCGCCAAGGAACACGAAGCGATCGAAGTGTCTGTTGTTTTTCAATCCCAGACTGGTGTTCAAGGTAGGATACAGGTGCTGTGGATAGTTGAAACGATACACGCTTGTAGTTTGAATTTGTACTATATCCTTGAAAAGCTCCAGCGTCGGTGAATCCGAGAGCTCCATACAGCGATCATCATATTGTAGGATGAGTTGGCTCCAGTCGTTTAAATGGAAATACCCGATCAAACGACGCACAACGGAATAACCCCAGTTCCGCCATATATTCGCACGAGGCCTCCATACTGCTGCTAGCATAGACAACGCCAATTGATGCTTCTACAATATCGGCTATTTGTTTTACAAAATCGCTAATTTCCCAAAGATTTTAATTATGTAGACTAGTAGCGCCTGTTGATCTTAAAGATCACAAAGTTATGCTCTTTCGGTCTGTAGTTTGTCGTTAATCTGAGGCTAGTGTGGGAATAGTAGCTGATTAACGATGCGTTTGGAATGGGATGCTCCATTTGCAATATTCAGAACTGCGCACTCGAATTTGTGTATCCAAAGGTCTCGCTTGATGGTACTCTAATCCTTTGTCAATAAGCGGTTGATTTTTCGGTAAGATTTAGTTGATGTGCGCATAAATCTTTGCGTATTCAATGGACAACAGAGTGGCACAGTCTCTTTTCCTTTTTTTCCCGAGGGTCTTGCCCCCCCCCCTGACCTACCGCCACATAACGATCATTTTCTTCATTCACGACAGAGGAACAACAGTATGTATGCAAAGTTAGGAACGGAAATAGTCAGTCATCGTATTATATTAAATGGAAGAGACGAAAATAGATAACAGAAAAAATCATTACTTGGGAATACATAGCATAAGGATAAAATCAAAGGGAACATAAGGACAAAAAGCATACAGTAAGGTAGAAGAATAACTTGAAAAATCATAGCAAAGGATGAAAGCAAAGGAGCAGACAAAATACATACAGTAAAATATAAAGGAATAATAAAATCAACAACTTAAGGGTAATGACATAAAATATACAAATGAGGAAACAAAATATAACATAGCATAGTGCGCGAATGATTCAAGGACATCCGTCTCAACGATCCAGCTGCTCGCTCGCAAATACTTCGTTGTACACAATGTTCTTAGTGTAAGCTCCAGTCGATCGATTATTCGCGTCACGGACAATCATGATTTTTATTGCCGACGGCCTGCGCACGCGCGACATAGCAACATAAAGTTGCCCATGAGAGAAAACCGGAACAGCTAGGAAAAGGCCTTCCGTGTCAAACGTTTGTCCTTGCGCCTTGTTGATCGTCATGGCAAATGCGAGTCGGACTGGAAATTGGCGACGTTTAAATTGGATGCCAGTTTCATCGGATTCGTTCGTCAAGGTGATCCGCGGTATAAAGACCCGGTTCCCCACGTTCAGCCCAGTTGCAATCTCTGCCTCAATGACATGAGCTTGAAAAGATCGGCATATTAACCGGGTTCCATTGCACAGCCCTTGCGCTGGATCATATTTCGAAGTAACATCACTGGGCACCCAATCTTGAGCATTAACCGATGTGGAAGTAGGCTTGCTGGGTTCATAGAATTCAGTACCTCCATTTGATGAATGGGTAGGTCTTCTTCTGCATCCATGCTGTCGGCACTTCGGTAAACTCACTTCTCCCGGAAACTTTTCGGTCACCTTTTCATTAAGAAAGGCTACATCGATATTTCTTGGGGTCAAGATAGCACCTCCGGTCAATAGGTCGGTAGGTGGGACATCCTGAAAAGTAACACCGTATACTGCATCGATGATGGCATTCGGCTCCGAGGTTTGTAATAGCATTTCGGCTGGAATACGGATTTCGTCGCTTCGGATACAGGGTTCTTCTCCGTTGCCAATGCGCAAAAGTAGCTGGCGAACTTGTCCAAAACCTCTGCGTCGTCGTTGCCGGTTACTCGTGCCTGTTGGACGCGCATGTTAATGCTCAGGCGAAGGTTTGCGACCGAAGACCAAAAAGAAGCTTTGTTCAAGCATTGCTCGACTGTTTGTGGACGGGTTGCCCTCGGAATGACCGGAAGAACCTGACGGAAATCGCCACCAAAAACGACAGTTTTGCCACCGAATGGTACATGCTGCAGAGCTGGATCTCTGGTTGCCATCAAGTCTTGCAATGTACGGCTGACGGCTTCGAAAACGTATCGGCTCATCATTGTAGCTTCATCCCAGATGATCAACTCTGTCTGGTACATCAACTCCGCTTTTTCGGTTCGCCGCGGGATATGGCACGTGGAGTGCTGGTCCACCTTCAACGGGATTGCGAACTGTGGTAGAGAAGTTATGAAAAATCTGTAACAACAGCGACCTACAAACTGTAAACTGCATCGATTTTGCGCGCAGAAAATTTGTTGCACTGATTCAATTTAGCCAATAAAAAAATTCCGTGTTCTGCAACTGCTGCAAAACTGGCCAAGCTGAGAGGTCGAGGATGTGACCGACTTCCTCATAACTGAGGAAAGGAAAGATTCATTTTTTAATCTTCCCTTATTATTTTTCATTTTCCAAGATTGGGGTACTGCACTGGTGAAGTAGCCACGACACCAACTACAGCAACCATTTAAAACCGCCTTCTAAACTACAGAGAAAAACTAAACTAAAAAACCCAAATCTGAGGACTTTTGTACCGAGACAACAGTGGCCACAAGACCCCATCGCCAAGGACTGCTACTGGCTTACCGATGAAAAAAAAACTGTGAAAACTCAACGGAAAGGCCTTTCTTTTATACCTTTTTTCTGGAAAATGAGCCTAAGCCAAATTTGGGCTCTTGAAGCATCGAAAGCATCATTGGCTGGATAAGGGCAACAAAAAATTCTCACAGTCACAACGCTTACATTAGATTTTGCATCCATGCCCAAAAAAAAAAAATCGCGTTACGGCTGCAATATCTCTGTAACGCTTCCAACGCTGCCAACATCAAGTTAATTTAGTTTAATTCACAAAATAGCTATGTATTGCATACAAGCCGCCAAGTGTAAATGGTACGCTGAACGCTCATTTGCCAAGTATTCAAAATTAACGCGCGTTTCTTGTACTTTCTGTTGGGTAGTGAGTTTCCAGGCTCGCACTGCCCTGCCCCTCATTTATCAGTTTCCCGTTTCTCCTAAAACATTGTATCAATAACGCTATGGCAAAAGTTCGCTCATGTGCCATGGCAATGAATGCTTATGTACCACTGCACGAAAGCAAAGTGCAGATGACGATAAAGGAAAAAGATTTTTCTCGACTGAATCATAGCTTGCTCAAGTGAATGTGCCACTGTCAATACCAGACGACGGCAAACCAGCACAACCGCATGTTTGAACTTGGTTGTGTTGTGGTATAATTCCGCATAAATGGATTGACCTGCAGGATTGGCAAATCATCTCCACTTGAAAATCGGGCTCCTTTCTCCGCTCGATACCATACTTAGTGCGGACGGTTGGTGCTCGTTCAGAATGTTGCATCCTAGCCAATAAGTAAGGTCTGAACTGAAAAGCCCATTGATAAGAATAATAATAAGAATAATACTAATAAAAAAAAAAGGGTAATTGGGAAGGTCGCTGGCGGCTTGGACAAAAATACAAACACACGATCCCTGTCCTGGCCTCCATCACACTGTTTATTATTCACACCCTCAGTTCTGATAGCATGCTCGGGTCGAGAGTTCACACGAAATAACTTATGCTTCAATAACAGAATGCAGATGTCTGGAGTTGGTCGAATCATTTGGGTAGCGGGATTTGTATTTCCATTTGGTTGATGACGACCCCTGTTTCCTCAAAATACTCACGAACAAAATAATCGGTTGACCTTTTCTCTGCATACTCTCACAAACTGTTGTCAATGGACCGAGAATTATCACTTATCTGCTCCGATAATAACTTCGAAGGCGTGTACTTTCCTTAGAGAAGCCGCTTCAATCGTGCTCTCTCATTGCGCAGAGTGCAAGCTTTTCCTGCATATCTCTCACTAGTTGTTACGGATCGGCCGAGGTTAAGCCCTTGACTTTTGGCCCTATTCTATGAGGCGTACTTTCTTATATAACAAGTGTCTTCTACCGCGCAAGTAATACACAATGTCCCCAATGGATTCAGCCTCCTCCGTTTCTCACACCTTGAACACCATTGCTCAGCTCTTCCCGCAAGACGAAGTACGAGCGAGATTCTCCCAACGGATGGCGGACAAACTATTTCTAGAAGCCCTAGAAGTATTTGCAACCAAGCGCTCACTTGAACCTTACGATTATCGGTGTTTTGAAACACTTGAAGGTCAGTAAAATGTTGAGAGAAAAAACAAAGAAGGAGATCTCAAGCGCTGTGTATTAAGTCAACGGTAATAAAGCTATTACTGCCTGTGGTAGCTTCGTCAAGGAGCCATGTTTTAAAGGCCACACATGAACCGGTTCTCTAGGCGTGTCACTGAAAAAGAAGATCTTTTTGAAGCTAGGCAACCTTCACTTGCTACAGACGCGGCTTGGTAATCCTATGGAATCATCGACTGAAGCGATCTGTTGCTATACTGGAACGCAAGATGCAGGGTCGGTTGAATCAATTGGCAAGTCTTGATGGTGGTGCATGCACGCGCTCAAACATGGATTCGAAGTTTTTGATTTGACATGTGCACATGACTTGTGATGACCTTGTATATGGCGTCCACGTACAAGCCGAATATCTGAAAGAGAACATCGAGGAATGGCCGGATCAAGTGAAAAAGCATTCGTTCTTTTCAGCGGTATTTGACGAATGGGATGGCAACAACGTCGACGTCCATGGGAGCAAATGTGTCAGAAATTGGCAGGGCTTTGCGCAAACATCGGTGTATGAAGATATCGTAGCAACTATTCTCAAATGGGAGAGCAATGCGCATGGTGGTATCGCCGCAGTTGGTTGACTCGGCCTAAATAGCTTGACATCGTTTATCAACTTTGAAATCAATCGATCAACGGCTTCATTAGCGGATATATACAGGGGGAAAGTCTGAAGGCATGCTTCGGAATGTATTCGATTTACCCGACGAAGTTCACACAGGTACCGACGGCGGCCTGGTGAAGGTATTCTGGACAGAGCTGTTTCTGAACCAATGCGTCAATGGCGAGCGTTTAGGTTTGCGCCTTGACTGGATTTCTCAACAAATAGAAGTACATAATGCACCCGGATGAAGACTACAGTAATGGAAGAGGATCTCTGGGAACGGATATGGCGAAGATCAAGGCGAGGTTGGGGTCCGGCGCAGTTCTGCTTTCTTTGGTACAAAGGTAGGAGGGGCTGTTGCGAAAGTGATGCATAATGAGGGATTATCCAATATCTGTTCGGGGAGAAGCAGTTGCGAAGTCATCGATAAAGAGCAATTCGCAGGTTAGGCTGTTTGTTTTGACGGTGTATTGAAAATAAATGCGGAATTCAGACATTGTATGCGAGCGCGTTGACAATTAAGAAAATTAAAGCATTATGAAAATGGAAGTTCGCTCTCTTTTCATTCATATTTTCATGATGTTAATTTATAAGTTTTGAAGAGTGTTGGTTTCGGATAACATTTTGATCGATCCATGGACGAAACATGTATGATTGATAATACAAGAGATTGATGTTTGTCCAGAAAACGTGTGATCAATAGCTAAAACTGTATGTCAATATAAGTGATAAAGAGAAAATGGATATATTTATTTATCCAGGAACGGTCGAGACCGTGAATTCAACAGGTCAAATACAAGACAATGTGCCAGATTTTCCCACCCTTTCTTCAATCTGGTTTCTTTGTACCTTTGTGCAGTTATAAATATTCAAAGTTATGTAAAATATCCATACAGGCAAATTGCATTTCCAATACGGTGAAATGATTAGGTAAAGCTCGAATTGAGATTGTTGGAATAAAGGTCTTCCTGTCCTTTGATGCAGTGGTGATTGTTTGGCAATTACTTTTTTATGGCGCTCCTTTTATGGACTGTTGTGTCGGTTAAGACATGCGCATGGACGAACATCAACGACCACATAACATAAAAGTATAACAACATCAAACAAAATAGAATGTATCTTCCACAATGGTTAATACTTTGACCGGGTGAATACACAGTAATATATTTAACAGTTTTATCATCCAGAAGATAAACTCATCGTATCCTTCTCTGATTATTGATAAATGTGTAAAATCTCAGCCATCACCAGGACGGCTGTGAAACGCCGAGAATCAGTTTATGCATGAAATGGCGATGGCATTTTGCAACAGCGATCACTATAGCTAGGATGAAATTGGATCCAATGCCAATAGTGGAGCGGAGAAGTCCCTTTACCTACATGGATCCGGCGCATGCACCATCTAGTTGAACCTTTTACTTTTTCGGCATTTATTTTTCCGTTCCTCCATGCCCCAGTAAAACATATTCAACCAACCATGGTGCTTTCTGACAACAGAAGCTCCTCTCATTTTAGCCCTTTTGTAACTGACATGTGCAATGGAGGTTACGATCCGCCTTGGCAGCTCAGCTTTCCTTAAATCGATGGAGCAAAACATTTTTTTGAAATTTGGCGCGGTTGACTGCCGTGTCGGATACAATCACCGCTCGATTTATTGATACTCGAATTTGAAATATTTTTAACGTAGGAACCACTTTGGGGATTCCCAGTAATACAAGCTACAGTATAAAGTATTCCAACCGGTTTTGGCATCAGGTATCATTCTGAAGCGAGAATAATTCGTAAACCAAGCACGTATGCTTACTCCATATATATTCTTCCCAAATTGACGTCTCCCGACTATCACAACTGATTTTCAAACCATGATATTCTTCCGCAACAACAACACCCCCCCCCCCCAAAAAAAAGACTTTGGGATTCATCCACTAGCCTTGCGGAATGGGTGAGCATCCTCCATGTCTCAAGTATGAGTAGCACGTCAACATGCTTCAAGTTACAATAACAGCACTTACCGGTTATTCAACACAATAAAAATTTCCATACCAACGTCTATGTACGATCTGCGCCCTAGGCATAGTTGTGCAAGCTACCACAGAATTTCATTACCTTATGTTTCTCAGATGAAACGTTCTTTAGCTCTCGATTCCCCAGCATACACATAGTAGCCTAGTTTCATGCCCGGCAAGCTAAGGGAAAACAAGAATAGATCGCTGAACAACCGGTAGTTACGGAAAAGTGTTTTGTGAACAGTTCAACTTTTTGTGACCAAGACAACTGGACCAATAAGTGAAAAGTCGAGCAAGAGTTTTAACGTATGTGCATACAGTAACGGAAAAAGAGGGTCTTCCGGGCACAGGTTCCTATGGCAGCCCTTGATACTGCATTCAAGAACACCTATCGCATGAATTTTTTTAATAAGCTCTTTAAACTACATATAAATGACATTGGCTTGTATATTATGCCCGTATATTTGGTCGTCGGATTATCGTATTCGTGAATCGTGGAGGCCGTCATAAAGTGTTCCAATGCTGAAATCCGTTGCTGTCAGTTGTCATATCTTCTGCAAACATGAGAAAAAGGGATGGGGTTTCGAGTATATACATTATCATTCTTGGCATGCTGTAAACGTGTACTTTACGATGTATCATATGTGTTCCATTTGTTCGGGGGTAAAGTCACGATACTTCATCATGAACGGTGGAAATACTTCAATGTGGTGCAGGATGTAATGCTACAGAGTCAAGGTGTCGTCCGAACAATCGATAAAACATTACCTCAATCGGCTCCACTTGAAACCCGGCGTCAACATATGCTGCACCAAAGAGGGCTTGCAAGATGTTGGAGAATCTTTCTAACATTATGGGAAATTGCCTCTTCAAGGCCTCCATGACATTCATTGCGAGTGCGCCCGACAACCTGGCCGCCTTTACGACACTAGATTTGAATAGCGCGTTGTACGATCCAATGTCCATCGGCAATCCACTGGTATAAAAGACTTTGGCGAAGAAATCGTCATCGAGTACATGGTCTTTGAACTGAGTCAGTTTATGCGGGCCAAACGTTTGGTATTTGAAGAATGCATATTTCACGATAAGGATCTGGAGAACGATCCTACCAAGGAACATGAACCGATCAAATTCTCGATTGTCTTCCAAGCCCCGACTCGTGTCCAAGATAGGGTACAGATGCTGTTGATAGTTGAAATGATACGCGCTTGTGGTTTGAAGTTGCGTTATGTCCTTGGAAAGCTCCGGCGTCGGCGGATCCGAGAACTCCATACAACGATCATGATATTGTAGGATCAGTTGGGTCCAGTCGTTTATATGAAAATATCGATCAAACGGCGAACGACGGAATATTCCCAGTTCCGCCATATATTTGAACGATGCCTCCATACCGTTGCTAACATAGACGGCGCCAATTGATGATTCCACAATATCGGCTAGTTGTTTTGGGATAAATGGTCTGGGTATAGAGTCCACCGTATCTTTCAAGTGGTAATTGGCCCGCATGGCGAAAACAAATGGTTTCCAAGACTGCGCGAAAAAGCTAGTGTTGGCGACGTAGCGCCCCAGGTCGACTTGGACGGCTCTGCGTTCTAGGTATTTGTTCGTTTGCATTGGTTCATAAAGAAAATTCAGATCATCTTTGGGATTGCTGGGATAGAGGACATACACCCATACTGCCGCTGCTACCCGCAGCACAGTGTCTATTAACGTTGGACTTAAATTGAGACGGAGCTCGATTTTTTTTTTTTTTTTTTTTTTTTGATTTCCCGTTGTTTGCTTACCTCCAAGGAGCTCCAGACGTTGGTAATCATATGCCTCTCCTGCTCGTTCAGTAGTGAAGGCTTCTAATAGTAACCGATCTGTTGCTTCGGCGCGGAATTTTTTTCGCACCTCATCGAGAAGCAACAGATGCTCCAATTTATGTAGGATGTGTGGAAACCAGGAAATCGAACCGGGCATCTCGGGCAGCAGGCTATCCTTTGAAGCAGATGAAAGTCGTCGGAACAATGTATTGAACAACTTCTCATTGATGAATGAGTCTGTGTCGAACTCAGCCCTTTTCATAGATGTTACACTTACCCTCCCGTCATTGGGCAAATCAAGAATTCTTTGAAATTCCTCGGTACTGATCGGATTTTCAACGGCATTTGCCATATTGACAAGTTCAATCCAGTCGACAGCCGCTAGCGCTTCATCTATCGACTCAATGGCCTCGATTGGTTCGCCATTGTAGGAGGTCAGAGGAGCCATGAAGTATGGGAAATTTTGAACCAAGCAGAAAAAGTCGTGCTGCGTCATAACTGATAGTAAAGCGATTGTCGCATTGGCTAGAATTTCCAAGCATCCTTTGGTAAAAATCAATGGGTATTTGATGGCCTGTATTGAGACTGGAATATCGTTTTTCCCGGAGGGTATAGTGAAAGATGGGCTAATCGGTAGAGGCTCCCACGTAAAGAGGCATAAGCGTCGCACACGGCGCTGGTTGAATGGACGATCAGGAAATTCTAAGCTGATGATCGACATGTATAGTTGACATATGGCAGATGATGTGGCTGAAATGCCTCGGTTCATTAACTGCAAGGTCTCTTTGTAGCGGATATTTTCTAGACTTTGTCGCTGCTGCATCCAGAAGTTTGGGATATAGATAAGCGAAGACTGCTGCAGGTGTGATAAGATATCGTCCAGTACATTGAGGGAATAAAGCTTTGTACATGCTGACAACACCACTTGGTTCAACGCCACAAGCTCGGACGCCTCTACGTCAGATGATAGTTCGACAAATGGTGCGGAACTAGGAAGCTTCAACGTACAGCGATAGCCACCACCGCTCGGAGAGAACGTGAACAAGGGACCAAGGTTGTGATACCAGCTGGACGCCAATGAGAAACAGTAGTAACGAATAATATCAACGGCTAATTCAGTGCCAATCTGCAAGCCTGATAGAAAGACACACGATGGAGTCCCATGAGGCTGATAGACTGTTGAATCGCCATTTGTCATGTGTGGTTCGATCTTGAAGCTGCGTACCGGATTTAGAATCTGTTTCTCACCGTCTTTCATTCTCATTTCTTCGTACCTTTCTTCGAGCTGTGGATATTCAAAGTTATGGAGAACGTCCATATGGGAATATTGCGTTTTGAATACAGTGCGCTGTTAGGGAAAAAGTTCGGATCTGGATTGACCGAGATAAACTCTTCGTGTTCTTTCGACTGCAGCGATGATTGCTTGGCGGGTATTCATGACGGTGTTTCCTTTTACGGATATGATGTAACGCATGGACAAACGTCACCGATCGCATAAAATGGAGATTACTGCACCAAGCAGAATGTAATAGACCCTCTGTTGGGTAATTCCATTGCTCGGATGAATAAACCATAGAATACTTACCAACGTAACATCTTTGAAGCGTAAAATCATCATATCTCTCTCTGATTAGTGGTATGTGTAAAACCCCATGAACGTCATGGAAACGCTGGGTCAAAAGAAGTTTGGAGATGCAATTCGATTTATTTATTTTTTATACCAAAATGGTCTCATACAATCATTTTTCAGCAATAAATAGTATATGGGTAAAAAGTGGATATTTTGAGAGTAGTAAGAAAAAAAATAAGACAAAACGTGATGACATAAAAAGAGAATATGGAAATAAAAATACAATGTAGTAGTACGTAGAAGCATAAGCCTTGGAGTGGTGTAAAAAAAAAGACTGGCTAGAAGAAAAGAGTTGGACCCCGTATATATACCAGAGATAAGCGCCCAGAGTGTTGTATAGGTTTGTTATCATCGAAGCTATGGGACGGGCAAATCCTTTGATACGAAGATACTCTATTCAAATTACCGTACTCCGCTATGATATATGATCTGAAGAATCGCTGTTTCACGGTTATCCGGAAAGTATTTTCTTAAGGCTAGAATTGCGATCCTAATCTTCCCGGTATGGAACAAATCCAAAGGATGGATGAATACGGCAGATGACAAGGTAATGCTATACCACACAGAGGAATGGGTTGTGCAGGGTGGACCAAGGGTTGTGCTGTTCGATGACCGATACAAGTGTCGTCTGTCAGCATTTTCTTGGGCTATGCCAACAGAACAGTCGATATCTTCGCCCTCATGACTCTCAACTTGGCTGGAGCGTTTTCGTATAAGGCCACGAGTCACCGTTCCTGTCGAACACAAGGCGTTATGCGGCAGAAAAGGAGAGATGGTTCGCAGACATACTGATAAGGCATCACTAAACTCGAGTTCAACTTGGACGCGAACAGTGGACTTGCGAAAGCAAGGAGCCTGTGTCTTCGTAGTTCCAAGAGTAGTGTTTCCAAATATCATACCAGGCGGTGCCCACATGCGATGCCATGACCATCAGTCGATCCACGTACATCCTTGCACCTTCGCCAAAAGGCTTTCAACTCCTTGGCAAAATCGAACGCCTAGAAACTTGTGCTCTTCACTGGACTCCATACCTCGCAGCATTTCTTCCTGCTGGTCGAATCAGGGCCACGAGTATTCTACGGGGAATTTGATCAAGTATTCTGGGTCGATTGGACGATTGGTGTTTTGATCATCGTCGTCGAAAAGTCGTTGGTGGCTCCATAGGTACGCCAATCCAACCCATGATATTGCTCTGCGTTACTTCCGGGGTTGCGCTTCGACTTGATGCAACAATACACAGCATGGGGACCAGATGTCGAAGAATCCTTATATGTGCGCTGGAGATAACGTTGTTTGGTGGTCGGATATAGCGGATAACGATCGTCGGCACATAGTACTTCGTTAAGTGGATCCAATTTTACCGCATGAAAATTACCACCCTGCTCCTGAGAAAGATCAGGGCACGCCCCAGATAAGTCAGTCGGTCTCAGAACACGGGAATCAGCGACTCGTTCTCCAACCGCATCCAAACTTGCTTAAAAGGACGTAAACGAGGAACGTGGGTTGGGATACCAGCTGGACATCAATTGGAAGGAATCTTCGTGTAGACTGTCCACAGCTACTCGAATGCTATGTCTCTACTCTTGAAAGGAAAATGAATGAAGGGATGTCGTTGAAATTGTGAGGCTCGCCATACTCACCAGCAAGCAGTTTCCAAAGTTGTTTCCAATATCGGAGCCAACGATGTGCGTTATGTTCTTTGGAAACAATGAGGGACCATAGAAGCTTGGTAACTGGCAACGCTGCGCTTGCATGAGGTAGAAAGGGGAATCTAACCAGCCAATGAGCTTGCGCATAAAGAAATATCGCCTCGAGCGAATCACTGAGTAACTGTCGCAGGGCCGGTTCACTGATGGAGTCAGGTGAATATAACGTAGAGCAAAACTCCTGGGCGGCGGCTGATTGCACCGTAGACGGGTTAACACGCAGGATACTACGAGTGGTGGAAATGGCCTTCACAAATAGACGGTAACGTTCACCAGATTCGCGGCAAAGACGAACGGCTTCAGTTGCGCAAGTTCAGTGAGTTCTTCTTTAATAATTGGGATCTGCGAAAACGGAGTGGAGTCGGTGTGTGCACGTAAAACGATGAATAAAATGGAATGATGACATAAGCGCGTCGGGAAAATTATGGTTCTCTTGAGTGTCATCTCACGGCATTACAACAAGCATTTATCAGTTATCTGGTAACTTCACGGAATGTTGTCTTTCACGTCTCGCAGTCCACGGAAAAGTAGCCGTAGTCCGGATGGGCTATTTTACATGCTATTCCATCTTTCGATGCGACAAATACGTGCCTTGACAAAAAAGCCTTGAAGCCGATCTCTCGCGATGTGTCGTCAACACCTGCTTCCTTGCGCGCTCATGGGGCCCACCTGTTTTCGCAATGCGGGTCAAGCATGATTTGAAAGTCCGGCGAACTCCTTACCACGACCATTTCTACGGAAACAATTGGATGACATGGCAGAATCATCAATTGGTGTCCGTTTATGTTGACAACGGTATGGAGGCGTCGATCACATACATGGTGAAATTGGGATTGTTCCGTTCTTCGCAGTTTGATGAATATTCGCACGTAAACGACTGGCGCCAGCTGATCGTTCAACATCAGCGCCGTATGGAGGTCTGTGATCCACCACGACCTGATGAGCTGGTAGATATCACGGAAATGCAGGCAACCAGCGGTTACCATTTTCAAAATCTCCAGCATTTATATGCGGTACTGCGCATTGGAAGCAGTTTAAAGTGACTTGAATTCGAACGTTTTGCGTTCCTCGGCCGAATCATTCTGCAGTTACTCGTCACGGAATACTGCTTCAAGAAATATCCAAGATTTGGGCCGAAGAGACTCACTCAATTCAGCAGCTGTGCACTGCAGAACGCATTCTTCGCGGAGGTCTTCTTCGCATCTGCATTACCTCAAGATATAATACAGTACAAGGATTTTTCCAACACCCATAACTTCGCAAAGGTGATCCGGCGTTCAACAGTGTGGTATAGCACTACCTTCTCACCTGTCGTATTCATTCATCCTTTGGAATCCGTTCCATGTCAGGAAGATTGGGATCGCAATTCTAGTCTTAAAAATGTACTTTTCCGGATAACTATGTAAACAGCAATTGTTCATATCATATGCAGTATAATAGTGGACAACGATAATTTGAATAAAGCATCTTAGTCTCAAAAGATTTATCTGTCCTTAATCTTCGATAACAACCTATAGAACAATCAGGAGATCCTCATAACACAATCCGGGCATTGAACATGCACTCTCCAGGGACGATAGACAAGTTCTCGCAGATAGTGCAGGCGCTGTTCAGGGCCGCAGCTTGTAGACCGCAATTTCGAAGTCGAACCGGTCGAGGTGATGTTGGATCGGATACTTTGACGACACCTGTGAATTCTGCAGCATTGCATTTCGCCCGGAATTCTTTGGACTCATCGAAGCGTCGCCGCCCGCATCGTAAAAAATTGTTGAAATTCCTAGGAGGTAAGTAAATAATGAGAGATCGAAAAGAAAAAGCAAGCACCGTCTTATTTAAGTCAAGCGTAATAGATTCAGTGCTGCACTTCGCAGCAGGCGTCTCTGCCCTCATTTCTTACTTTCGTTCGTTAACGCCTCCCATAGTGAAACGCTACATATGAATATTCTCGATAACTTCGTGTTATAGAACATGAACGGCAATAACAAAGTAGAAAAGGGGGATCCCCATAAGATTGTCAACGACTAAGTTTGCACCTCTACCAAGCATCAGATATTTCACGAATATACCTACTATGAACTTGTTTAGAAAAGTTAGTTTAGGCTATGAAAATCTCTTGCACAACTGAATTCCGTCAATGAGTACGTTCTTGCCTTCGTCTTAAATATTCGGATTAGCATCATAATCTGATGCAAAACTACTGCAAATTTATGGTACAATAAGTACCAGAAGGCAGGTGCCGGATCGGCCGAATATTTGGTCGCGCCTTTCATGTGGAATGCGCGTCCCTGACCGATCCTGAATCCGGTCCGGAAAAGTTATTCCAGAAGAATTAGGTTTTCTTTACAACGGTTTATTATTGTGTTGCATTTTGATCATACCAAAGTAAAGTATCATCATTTCCTCTTCATAGATTATAAATTTGAAAGCATACTTGTAATGGCCTTTTCATCGCGGTAGTGATGGTTGGTCTTTGTCGGGATTTCAAAGAATACCAAATAAATGCGAGGCAGAGAGAAAAACAGCATGACGCGCTTCTGTCTTATTCGCCATGCCCAATAGTTACAATCCTATTGTACGTACGGCATTTATCACGCCTCACAAGATCGTAATTCTTTTTCTCATCAAAAAATTCTGCCAATTTCAATTCGACGGTGATATCCTACCAAATGTCGTCGTGTTCCTGGTTGATCAAATTATGGTACGACAGCCGAGCGACATGGCGTGTATCTGCGCGATCATGACCGATCTAACTTGAATTCGACAGGCCACCGAAGAGAATACTGAAGCTTCCTTGGACGATCTATGTATTGAACTTGAACGCATCGATACTACAGAAGCTGACCCGCCATTGCCAGAAGTTATACAGGGAGAGGTACGTAGCAAGCATGTTCGAGTACTGATTGAAGAGCGATCCGAGTAACGCCATGCCTCTCTGTAGTTGGAGAAACTTGAAACTCCCGATGACCTTTTCGATTTTATGCGATGTAAGGCGCTCATTTTCGATTTTATGGGTGGCAATTAATTATTCACAATCCATGCATTAATTATTGCCTTAAAGCTTTAGCGGATGTCGTCGATGACAGCGATGATGACGTAAGTCCACATAGTTGTCCAGTCTAGTTTCACCTTTGCTAATAGACTATTAACAAAGCGAGATGCCGAATCGGATATAACGCCAGTGGTAAGTCGGATAAGAACATCAATGTTTCCCTGAATATGCGCTCAAACTGGGAAACCCCGGTTTCATGATCAGGAAAAAACCAGCATCTTCGGCATATTTGTCCGCCGCTGTCGATTAGAATACTTTCGATGTGCATTTCAGCAGCAATCAGAAATATTTGTTGCATTCCGAAATTACCTTAGTCGCTCGGCAGACGATAGATATTTGGAACGCATTATCAATGAGACTTCATCCTCCGATCGTTCCTTGCGCGTTCCACTTGATCTTGTGGAATCTTACGAGAACGACCATATCGAGGGTAAATATCGCAGCATATTATGTCGCCAACAGTCACCAATAAGCAATGATAAAACTGTAGGATGGATTTGTGATCATCACATCAACAAGTTCTTGGTATCAGAGGCGGAGTCATTGGAAAGTAAGCCACGATGAGAAACAGGAAAAGCGACCACCCACTGATAACCATGCACCACAGAAACTGGGGACAGCTCGCTGCCAGCCGATAAGTTAGACCGTTATTTAGACTTCATCGAACGCCAGGCACCTGACCTCGCACGTATTCATCAAGTCCGGTAAGCAAGCTGACTATATCCAAAATTGTGCTATCTGCGAATTAAAAAGGTCATGTCAATTAATCAATTGATATAGATTTCTAAACTACATTCGGATCGGCGAATATGAAGGCGCGGTGGCCCTTGCGCACCGCTTTTTCGACATTTTCTTATTGAAAGATCATGAGTAAGTAGATTATAGAGCCGAGTTATTGACATGGTCGAACTGACATCTTGTTGCAGGCCTTTTTTCCAATATGCATTACTGCAGATGGGCATCGTGGAAGCACAGTTTGGACATCACGCCAAAGCCAAAGTGGTAAGAGACTGTGGATGAGGAAAAAGGGTAACAGATATTCATACGATTTATGACATTGCAGCTCTTTGAAGAATCGCTTACTATCGCTCGCCAGTTGCAAGACGAAGATTGCTTGAACCAGTTGTTGAGGTAAGGAAAATACAATACCAGACAGTAATAGTCAAGCGGCGATCTTACGTTCCATAAATGCAAAAGTTGGTTGAGGTTCATCGAACGGGAAACGTCGAAAGATACCACCACAAGCAGTTACCCTGCATTTGTACCTAACCGTGAAACAAGCGATAAACACAATGTTCTCTACTTGCAAACAATCGACAAGCTAACTCAAGCACGGGATATGTTACGAAGAGTAAGTTATGTCATTGAACATGAAAGTCACCTTTTCTTTTGGTTCTGATTTCTGCTGTTAGGGAGACGCACCTTCGAGCGTTTTTGAAGCACTGTATCAAAGCGCAATTCAAGGAGCTCTCAATGAGCAACATCATATAACTCAAGCGCAGTATCTTTTGAAGGCGGTTATGTGGAAATACTATGGTTCGTTGCCGTCCTTATTTTTGTTTTTCCAAACATGTTGAATGTACTTTTATTAGGTAACAACGCCCTCTCAACCGCATATATGAAGATCGCAATGGACTTTGAAGACGCACCTGCCGACGATCTCGAGCAAGCTTTCCTTCTCGCATCCAACACGGTAAGCTTGCTTGTTCAAGCATCTTCGTGAGCTTGCGAAAAATAGGCATGAACGCTAATCCAGTTTTACCCAGTATGCGGCGATGGGCGACTATGAGTCAGCTTTAAAGGTGATGCGAAAATTTAGTAACAAGAACAAGGAACGCTACCACCGATCTCTGGAGTGGAAACACATCATGGCGAAAATAGAATACGAGCAAGGACGAGGACATCAAAGGCCCGACAACACCCTTTTGTCACAGTATCACGATATGATCCTTTGGAGTCACCAGGAACCCTCGGATCGGTTCTTCGAAGCTTGGCACCATTTTGCTATGTCCAAGAAAGACAACGATCCAGTTGAGGTAAGATATCGCCTCTTTTTCCTTTTGCATCGCGGACATTTCACTAAGTAACATATAGTGTCAAAGAATACTGCAATTACTTGCACAACATTTAAAGCGAAGAGACAACATGAAGCAGTACATGGAAAATCAAATTGCTCAGGCCCGGCTGCAATCGGTAAGCATAGACGACGATCAGCAGAATCATTGAAACGGTAATTTACGGGCGACTTTAGGATCACGGGCAAACAGTATCCGCTATTCGCCGACTAGAAGAAGTCCTTAAAACCTCTCTGGAAGCCTATGATGCAATCCATTATTACACGGCTACGATCCTTTTAGCCAAGCTTTATGTTCGAGAAAGCACGGCACGAAATGCGGATCAAGCTCTGATCATGATTGAACAATGCGTACCTCAGGTGGGTTACTCATACTTGATCTCGGCTGATACAGTCGACTCATACTCATCTTTTTTCACACTTCAGGTGTTAGCTCTTGGGTCGCTCCAGCTCACATCCCTGCTTTTCTTTACGTATGCAGAGGTGTTGTCGGATCACGGTCTCAATGACGGTTGGTTTCTCAACTCGGACCATATAGAGCAGTGGACTTATGCTTTCTGTTCAGAGGGTAACATAGTTGACATCAGGAAATTTGAGGAAGCTTTGCATTACGTTACAAAAGCTGAACAAGGTAACATCATAACCACCGATGCTGTCACGTTTGTATGAGAAATCTGACCAATTTTAGCAGGGTTTAAGCAAATCAATGATCTTTCGGAACTGAAATCCGCCTTGATATTTAAAGCGGTCGTGCTGGATACCCTGGGTCGGATAACCGAACGCGATGAAATAGCTGAGCAAGTTCAGCAAATGTCCTAATGATCCACTGCAAAACCTACTATCTTAAATCTTAACAAGGCGATGGAACAGCTAGGGAAAATCCAGCACGCATCCTCATCGTCAATCGCATGGTCTAATAACCTTGACCTCCAGTATTATTCTCGCATCTGCATCAACCATACCTAATTTAACACAGCATATCTATTATTAGCTTCCCTACAACTCGCGCATCATGTAGTACAATTTGTAGCATATACTTCTCAAATCGAAAAAATAAGAAGCGATAATGCGCAGCATATCAAAGTTTATTACCATTATGAACTATATTGTTGTTGTCATTTTTACAAGTGCACCACGTGCTACGAACCCTTTGTCTAATTATGTACAGAGAGAAATGATAAAAGCAGAGGAAGTATAGAAAATAAGTAAAGGAATAAAAAGGAAACCAAATATGGTACAAGTGTCCTTTCAATGGTGAGTGGGACTCGAGAGCGAATGAACAGAATAATCTAATTAAGACTGTCATGGGGCATTAGTTCCCATTCCTCATAGCACACTTTGTATGACACCAGAATCCCCTTCCCCCGATACTTACGTGCCCTTGCAACCTGCACTACCACAGAGACATGGAATCTTTTCATTTTCGATTGGGAATTTGTAGTCGTACGTGATTTCTTCACCAGGCTCGATATCGCGATTCGCATAAATAACAATCTTCTTGTGCTTATCCACCGTAATAATTTTAGCGGTACAATTGGGCTAGCAAAAAAATACATCAGTATCACCAAGTTCTCCAATTCAATGATCAATAAGAAAAAGTATACAAAGTATGCATTTACTTACCGTACAACAATGGTTGATAAATCGAGCAATGCTTCCTTTTTTGGTGGCATCAATGACGATATCGTCATCCACACGGAACAAGTAACTACTGCCAATTCCGCAACGTTCGTATTTCTTTTCCCGTTCTTCAGCAACTTGCTGTCGAATGACTTCGCCGACGTATTCAATCACCATATCGTGCGCATCAATATGTTCTTCCGCAAACAGACCCCAGTCATGAATAGGCGATTTAGCAAACCGCAGTTGTTTCTTGCGACTTTTTAGTTGGTTAAACTTGAGAATATCGGAATCGGCCAACGCTTTCTTTTGCATCACCATGCCCACAGCTAAACGACGGTTGTTCACTCGGGTCGTACGTGAAGTCATACGTCCAGCCACGGCCGGCGTATCAAAAACTGCCTTATTTTTGGGCAAGTATGTGGCTTTCACGGCATCGGGGATCGGATAATAGCCACGGGCTCGAGCGCATCCACCCTTTTTGTCCATTGTATCGGCATGCACAGGTTCAATGGCATCTGTCACAAACCAAAGTCAGATTTCAAATTTTTCTCATCAAATAGATGTGCGAAAAGACGAAGCTTACCTGGACGTTCTTCCGCGCCTTCTTGTTGTGGACGCAGCTTTTCCAGTATAACGTTACGCAAAAATTCAAAGTCTTCAATGTCTTGTATTTGGTGGAACGGATCCCATTCCGGATTTTCATGTAGCGCCATCGTCTGATCCTCATCTTTCAGCAATAATTCGTCATCCTCATCATCTGATGCCAGCAACAATTGTTCCCAGGTCGTCTGGTCCATTTCTTCCTCCTTTTCTTCCTCTTCCTCCATGGTGTCATCAATGGGTTTTTCTTCTTCGGTATCCACAGACACTTTTGGTTCCAGAGGTTCCGCGCGAGCATTTTCCTTCATGCTTTCTTTCTTCTTTGGTAAACGACGGGGTTTTACTGGTCGCTTACGTTTGGGCGGCGGAGCGGATGCCAGAATCTCTTCATCGTCTTCGTCAAAGGACTCTTCAAAAGTATCGTATTTTCTGGATTTCACTACTAAATGCTTCTTCTTACGTTTCGTTTCCGCGGGTCGATTGACATCCATATCTTCACTATCATCGATAAATTCACGACGCTCATGATCGCTTGAATCTTGTTCCATCAATTCTTGTCGGTGCAATTCACGCAAAAAGGCATCATGCTGATCTTCATCGTTATCGTTTTCATCGCTGAGATAGTCACGAAGCCGTCTTGGTTGCTGCTTAAGTACTTTTTTGGGTGCAACGGGGGCGGATGGTGTCGCGGCGGCCGTTTCATCGTCACTCGACGATTCAGTTCCTGAATGATACTCGCCCTCTTCTGAGCTTGAAAAAATGTTCTGTAAAGGCGCATGTCGCTTCCTTCGTGGCATCTCGGCCGCGTATTCTTCCCCTTCTCCCTCTTCCGCTGTCAGTTCCGCAGGTCGCTTCTTTTCCGCAATGGGTTCAGGAACCATGGGTTTACCAGGTGTATTCAACTGAGATGAAGACGCGGAAGATGATGTTCGTTTTTTGAACCGTGGCAGATGACTCAATGAGGGTAACGGACCGCCCAATAAAGCCTGCTCTGCGTTTAATGCGGTTTGAGGGGTGGAAACGCTGTTACTACGCGATGAAACATTGTCGGATGGAGAAGAAGTGGGTGGGGAAGAGGTTTCCTGGTCGTTCACAGGTTTTGCATCGGATGTTCGAGATGATGGCTTGGGTTCAGTGGCAGCGGGCTCGGGTTCTCTGATTTCTCGTGCCTTACGATTTGCTGGGTTCAAAAAGTCGTAAATGATAGGGCTCACAATTCGGTTTTTCAGATCTTTGATGAACACATCCGCCAGTTGCTCCAGCAACAATCCTTTGGACAGCTTGATAATGTCTTGTTTCGTCATGGGAGGGGATGCTTTTTTCATCGGAGACGATACAGGTGATTGTGAGGAAGATGCAACCTTTGGTGTGTCCACGGTCATGGGTTCGTTTTCTCTTTCTTTCTCTTTTGTAGGTGTGGTGACGGTCGACGAAGCAGCGGGAATAGAAGTCGTCGTATCAGAAGGGAGATCGGAACGCAGTAATGGTTGTCGAAACGATATTTCAAGGGTATAGCCCAGTACTTGCGTCTTGTCGGTGGCGGCCAAGGCTCGCTTGGCAGCATTCATGGAATCAAATACGATATACCAGTCATCAGCATCATGATAGATCTACACATCAAGGAACAGCCGGTAAAAAGACGTTCATTAATTCCATTTTCAGCTTGCTGTCGAAACCTCCTGTGCTGATCCACTTACATCTATACAATTAAAGTGGTAGAATGCTTTGCGTAACTCTTCAAGTATACCGCGCATAAAAGGTAAGCATTTCCGTGAGATAATGAGTGATGGTTGGGTTTCACTCAAAGGTCTGGACGCAGGGCGCTACAGAACGGACAAAGTCAGCTCAAACAACGTTCCACGGGCAAATAAGATCAAAGAAATGATCATCCTAATATATTACCTCACGCGATCGTCGATCTTCCGACATCCAATAATCGTTTCGACGTCGAGGGCGGTCCCGCTCCCTTTCTCTCTCGCGTTTCCAGTCCAAATCCCTCGGGCGGTCACGTTCCCAACGGGTGGATCGAGATGCATAATCGTTCGGGTAATAGCTCATGGGTTCTCGACTGATACTGCGACTTCGACTTCGACTACGACTGGAAGCATAGCGTTTCTCTGAAGTAATGCTCGGACTCCGTCGGTTTCCCCAAGCGGAAGGCGGTCGATTTATGCGTGGCGCTGGCTCGTAGTGATCGGATTCGATTCTCGAGTTGGATCCATACCGTGAAGGTGGCGGTGGCGGTGGTGGTCCGTAGGAGGGCGCATAGCGATATCGGTCTTCCCGATATCGATGATCGTCATCAAAGCTGCGGTATTCTCCGTATCGATAGTCTCGTGAACGGTCATATCTTATTGACATGGAATCATGGCGTGATCGTCGCGGGGATTCATCATCGACAACTTCACCTTCTTCATGGTGTGGGGATGACGGTCGGCGATGAATATCTACATCGGAGGGACGTTTGAGCAATGTCGATTGTGTGGTAGGAGGGACGGTGGTGGTATGAGTGGCAGTGGTAGTGGTGGTAGTAGGTGTGCCTGATACGGTCAGTGACTGCGTCACCTCGGCTATGGCTGCTTTTAATTTGTCCCCTAAAAGATTTTTTTTTATCAGTTATTCCCATCAGATGAATAAACGTAATTGGCTCCCCTTTCCCCCCAAAACGACAAAGAAAATCTCCCGAAATAATGCGCTTCTTCTACATGAAAAAAAAAGCTTATTGATAATCTTACCAGTTGGATCGAATTCCACTTTGACAGAAGATGAGGACCCCATTTTGCGGCCGTTGCCTTTCTCAACCGCATTACACGCAGCAGTATGACCATTTCCCTCATCATCGTTGATGAACGTTGCTCGAGCAATGCCTAATGAGCCGCCTGTGGCTGGGTGCTTTTCGATCTCTACGCGTTCCACTTGCCCATATACTGAAAGATAGGTGGCAATTTGTGATTCGGTAGCTAATGGTGACAGTTGAGAGAGTAAAACCGTCGTCGGGGGAGCCGGTCCTACAGAATGTTCATCAAACTACAATAAGCATGAGTAAAAAAGTAAAAAAGACAAACGGAATCTAAAAGACCATAGGAAGACAAGATCATCGTTTTCTGTTTCGCAGTTACGATTTCCCTATTCCTTTGTTCTCCTCGCTCATGTGCGTTACCTTCCAGTGGACTCTTTTGAGAGCTTTGACTAGTGGCCGTCTACCACGAATTAACTGTTTGCCATAATTGAGAACAGCTAATCGTGGATCTCGAGGTTGTACTGATTTATCCTATATCGGAAAGAAAAAAGAAAACCTCATCAGGAAACTAAGCTTTGCGCTACCGCACCATTCGGTCTCATTCAGGGCAACAGCATTACCACTTCATCTTCAAATCGATATACCGGTGTGGCGCTTTGTTTGGCATGGCTGCGATCCAGCTCCGGGTCATACACAATACGGTAATTGCGCACCAGTTTAGCTGTGTTGGAAGATTTGCTGCGCTGAGAACCAGGCAAACTCTCAGTGTTCTGTATAGACCTAATCACGGATGAGCTAAATTGTCCTAAAGTCGATAGTCATTGGGCCATGGCTGCACATGGTCTTTTCTCACTGATGCTATACCACTTTGAATCCATGAGCAAAGGCACTAAAAAAAGCTTTGGAAGCTGGCACAACACGATAGTGAAAAAGGAAAATAAAAGTCCGATTAATTGCACGTCAGCAAAAGTGGCGGACGTTTAAATTTTCCCACCTCTATTCTTTTTCCCTTCTTTCTTCCCTTTTTACTCTTTCTTATTTCCCTGCGCACCTCACCGACCTTTCCCCTCTCCCCGGCCTGCTCAAAGAAAAGTAAGGCATGAATACTGTAGGACGGTTAAATAAGAATATATATTATCGGTTCTTTACTTTAAGACATGGAACTCCAATAAAACATTGATAAAGCAACAAGAAGAATAAATAATGATCATCCACCAGCCGAGTCCTTCGGTTATATGATACCCATTCATGTTGACGACAATCAATGTGCTTAATAACACAACGATGAGACCAGTCGAGGAGATTAAAATAGTGGGCGCAATTTCTAGTTCGTAAGGTTTGCCCGTCAGCCAAGTTTGGTAAGTGGATGAAATGCCAACACCTAGAACCATGTCTGTTGGGTCAAAAATAAGTGTCCATGAGTACCTCAGGAAATAGTGTGTACACATAATCAGCATCATACTCACTAAGCAACGGTCCTGCATAGCAAGCTGAAATAGCCATCGTAGGAAATCCCATCTATTGAAACAATAAACGTTATCAGTAAGTTATATGTTCCCAAGGACATCGGCGGAAAAAAAGTTAGGTTATCAGAAATTAAGGCAAAGCTTTTATTGACCTTGGCAATCGCCGTATTAGAGACAAGATCTCCGACGCTGTTTCCCTACAAAAATGATCAGACAAGTCAACAACCCCTTTTTCCCGTAACACAGTTGGCTTGCTTTTTGTTTTGTTCCTACCACTGCAAAAATAGTGAGCCCCATGATGGCATCACTGATATTAAAAATGGTACCCAGGGCCTATCGTCATTTGTCATCCATATTAGAAACTGGGTTTCATCACACCGAAACATAGAACATGTACCTGCAAAAGGCCAACCATTTCATTGGCTAACAGAAAGATCCAAATCAAAGCGACAACGAACCCTCCAAACGACAGCATCCAGTACCACTCTGGAGGTTCGTCCGCTTGAGTCTTCTTCAGTACCACGACCGCACCAATGGCACCAATCACCACACCATATAAAATACAAAGAGCCGAGATGTATCCGTTCACTAATTCGATCACAAGCGATAAGTGACCCAGTCAATGTGTCTCAAAAGGTATTGACACAAAAAATATTACCTGTCATGACAATAAATACAAATATTGTTGCACACATGGCCTGCGTAGCTAACAGCCATCGACACCACGGTTGCGATAATTCGGCAATTTCTTCTTCAATAACAAATTCTGAGCCATTATCTTCCCGGTAATCGGCACCAGGATCGGATCCAGGAACAGATAAGTAGCCCTTGCTGGACATATCCATAGCTGCACTGGTTTCGGGAACAAAATCATCGTGAATCACTTCCATAGCATCGACTTTCAAAACGTCCGCTTCGGCCACCGGTAATGTCAATGTAAAGATGAACACAAGCGGCATGGCCACGATCGAACTGAGGCGGGCAAAAGTCGATTTATGACTCCAGCCCTGCAATGTGGGAAGCAAAGTCTGCCATATACTATCCAGTGTGATTCGGAAGGCTACCCATGCATCGTCTTTGGACTTGTCGTGAAGCAATTTGGCGGCATCCAGAACATCCTCCTCATCTTCATTATTGTCGTCGTGGTCACGGTCGTCATTGTACTGAATCTTGATATTGATCGGTTCATGATGGGAGGCTGGTAAGGGAAGACAGGGAGGTTGGTCATAAGTTGTTGGGTGCGGACTTGCGTAAGGACTTTGCCGTGCAGATAATGCATGCGATGATTCCAAACTATGCGAGCTGTGTGGACTAACAGGTGCCGCTAAGCCTGAAGAGGACGAGTGTGGAGCTGCATCTTTTGGTAATTCAGAGATGGATGTACTGCATTCACTGACAGGATCTTGTGATGAAGACGCAGGCGCAGCAGAGGAAGGGGTATGGTCGATGCCGGGAGGTGCTAGTCGTATTTCGGGGATGGCAATATCATTGTGATCGCTTACTACAGGCCGGTGATGGATGTCTGCTGGTCGGGAACGTTGATTGGTGGAAATGTAGGTAAAATAATCTTCGGCTACACCGGTACTGCTGTGTGTGCTGTCGGGAGTGGTAGCCCGTCGATGGTTGCCAGCAACGATGGGCAAAAGGGAATCAGCCACGGTAGAAGATCGAGGACGATTTTTTGGCCGTGCGGACCACATGCCGCATACGGAATTCTGCGAAGTACGATACCACGTGTGAGGAGGTAACGAGGTATCGTTGCGAGTGCCGGCATCGATCATATGCGAAGAACTGTTATTGCGCCGAATAGCTGTCACCTGTTCTTGAAACTGCATTTATCATTGAGCAGGGTGCGCAGGTATGTTAGCACATCGGTTATTTTTTTATCTAGGTTGCCAAGAATAGAATGAAAGATGATGCGATGTTTACCTCAATCGCGCTAAATAAGGAGGCTCGAATACCGACACGCGGAGAGATAGGACTGCGGTAAAGACGGGATGAAATGGAGCCATTGGTGCTAGTTGTACGTGGTAAATTCAACATAGAGTCCAAGTGCAGGGAAGACCGATAGGAAGCCGATTTCAGTGACACGGGACGAATGATATGACCCATATGTTGTTCGCTGTTGAATGAACAAGGATCGTTGAGGAAGCCATGGTCGGGAATGGCTAGCCGAGGAGGTTTTGGACCTTGTTTGCCTATTCATTCACAGATGAGTCGGGAGAGGCTAGACAAACAAAGAAAACGGTACCCCAAAGAGAAACAAATAAATAAGCAGGTCGAAATGTTTCTTTATTTACCTTGGGAGGCTAAAAGGCGTGATGTTTCGGAAACCAAATCTTCGTTTGTGCTGTGCATGGAGGCAACCGACTTGGGTTCTAATTGGGGATGTATCTCGGTATCGGCAGATCGGTAAGCACCAAAGACGACGGCGAACACGTAGGCTAGGTAGTATAAAATCAAGGCAACGCCATGGTACCAGTAGATGCGTTGATGATAGACAATCCAGGTCAACAACATGATCGCACCAGTCAAAAAGGATGCATCGCGCATGAATGTGATCCGTTTGGATTTGAAAGGACGAATGATGCCCATGCAACCGGATACCACAGACACGATGAAAAACGCGGCCCCAATCAGTTCGCCAATCGCCATCGAGCCAGCCCCTGTGTTCATCGCACTAGCCAAGCCAGACGGACGTTGAAAACAAAATCGAAAATCAAGAAAGGAAATTCGATAGGTTAGACTTGTACCACCCAACATGTAAAGCTTGGGCACAACGGTGGTTGGCTTACCTGAAAGTGCTAAATAAATCAGGACTACCGTTACCAAATGCGAGAATGGTTACGCCCGCCTTGATATTTTTTTTATGGTTAATTACTGTATGTAATGTACAAGGCGAAAAAAAAACTGAAAAAATCATGAGATCATCATACGTACCATGCTTTCCGATAATTGAAGTTTGGATGATATCGTTTGCAAATTCGGACCTATCGATTCAAAACAACTAGAGTTAAAGTTTATGTCTCTTTTTTCTTTTTTTTTTTTTTTTTTTTTTGTTCGGATCTTCGATTGGTGTAACAGTTACAAAAAAAATCGGAAGCGACGACGCTCACTGCACCGAATAGAACCAACAAGCCAGAACACTAGACATTAAAAATAGGAAAGAACATAAGCAAATCCATGAAAGGCTTAGCTGATACGGTTCTTTCCATGTTTGATCCCAAAGACCGAAATAATATACCAGTAGTGTGGCAGAAATGGGGCGCCATAACTCTGAGCAATAGTAAAACCTGAGGTAAACGCCGCTAAATCCACGACATGCAGACTTTACAAAGGCGCATTGATCCTGATGCTGCTCTATATTAGCACACTGCAGCGTGCAAAAATAAAATAAAAAATTGGGAAACGATAAATGAGCCGTCAAAGAAATCACTTGGTCGATAATTATGCACTAGTTATCCAATACGGATCTGGGTGCCTTACAGTTTTATGGTGGCGAGACGTGAATAGATTTATAAAGGCATTTGTTGTAATAGACTGCTGCGGTTGTAAAGTAGTGCCTAGCACTGAGAAGACAAGTAAGACGACAATGAGGGCAATGACCAGCAATCTCAGCATGGTGAGGCGATTCTGTCAAACGTATACAGAAAGCCACAAAAGCAAAAATGGTGCAGAGAAAAGAGCCCGAAAAAAAAAAGAAAGAAAAAGAAGAGAAGCAAAGAGAAAAATGAAAAAATAAGCATTTCATAAAGTGATCGATCGCTCGCCTTGCCCTCACTTTCCTGTGGTAACTTTTTTTGGGATGCATATGATAGTTGCATCAACAACTAATGTCGCAGCCTACAAAATATACGTATCAACACTCTGAATCACACCAATCACAAAACTGACTGCTAAATTTTTGGCTGGATCACAGTCGATTATTACGGATTTTCTATGGTAAATGTAACAATTTTGAAAGACCGGATAGAAAATATTACTGTACCTAAAACCCAAACCAACTCTGAATCACAGATACAGTAATGATGTTTAAAATGTTTCTGCACACGACAATAGGTCGTGCACATCGTCCATGTAGCATAATTTGTAGCATCTAGCGTAACTTTTATCAAGTAATGTTTCATGAAGCATCGGTGCTAAGTGCGTCAATTGAGTTTAGATGAATGCATTGAATGGCACAGTACTTGGCGAAGTAAAAAAAAAATTGTGTAGCACTGCAAGATAAATGTTTAATGTTCTTTTATGTAACAAGCCGTACACCCGCTGTGCAATGGATGCCACCTGCTACTGGATGCCGCACTCTTGCCTTGAGCGACATTCGTCAGACAAAAAGCCTAACGCAATACGGCATAACCTGGGCGAGACTCTTGATGGAACTTTGGTATATTAATGTCAATACTCTGGCATACCATGAAACACTTTTAATGAACAAAGCAGCACTTATTGACCCCCTCCGTTCTGTCCCGCCCAAGGTTATGATAGATCTACAAAGATGTGTGGGAATGTTGGGTATTTAAAAAAAATGAGTTAGTAAGCTCTTTGGTTGATTCAAATTTCGTTGAGATATTTTACCTTTGATGTTTGATGCAGCAGATACCGAGGGCTTCCCGACCGAAATAAAGAAAGGATACAAATATAAAAAAAAAAGTAAATACAATAGGTGCGTCTGTAAAAACCCCCTAAAAACCCTGTGGGAAAAAAAAGAAGGAAAAGACTGCAAGAAGACTATTCACTAAAATACAAAATACATACTACAACTACAAAATAAAATGGTCGGGAAGAAATATCGAAGGCGATACCACGGGCAGCAATCCATATGAGAGGAACCTGGGGAGGACGCGTCAGCGTTTCCCAATGAAAAAGAGAGTCATACCACCGACGATGCCTTTGACGACAAAAACCGGTTTGGCCACATTTGAGCGCGAACAAAGTAGAAAGATTTGGAGGGATGGATGGCTTGAATGGCTTGCCAGGCAAAAGAAAACCGGAGAGAAAACCAAAAGCTAAAGACAGAATAGAGAAAAAGGACAGGTAAATTTTTTCTTTTGTCGAAAAACGGATAGTCGTATCACACAAAAGGTACCTTTTTTCATAATAATCGAATCGACCGGATCAGATACACGCCATAGTCTGGATGATGGATGATGGATGCAATGATAGTGAGGGATTTCCAGGCAAACAGAAGAGATGCAAAACTAAAGAAGAAGAAAAAATTCGGACAAAAATATGTGATTTTCCATGGATGAAACAATAGTCACCTCACTGATGCATGAATGATGAGCTACACAGATCGAAGCATATCTGCTCCATGTATCATTCGATTACTGAAGAGAATGAAAGGGCATATACAGTATAACTGACAGATAACCCAAATTAAATGATGCTACAAAACACCAGATCGTCGTATCGTCAATCACCTTTCTTCAAAAAAGAGCTCCACTCACATTTTATGTGAACGGCGACGATGCTCTGTTTAACCACAACTGGCGCAAACGGCATCTTGCTGCTGATTGTTTCGCCTATTATCGTGAAAGTGGGCAGCGAGGCATGGTTGAAAGATGAAAAAAAGGTTTAACAGGTCTTGATAACTTAGTGTAGATCATGTGATTTACAAAATCGCTAATTTTTCAAAGATTTTAATTATATAGATATAACTAAAACTAACTATGAGCATAACGCACTCTGAGAAAGAAGAAAACCACCATGCTCAACGGGAGTTGAGCTCTGATGCTTTTGGACAGCTTATTCAACGACCGCTTATTTGTTGATCGCCGATTTTCCAGGATATCAGCAGCGTCGACTTCAGTGATCCCTCTTTCGGATGCCACGCCTTCGACTGCGCGAATAATCCGGAGACGAGTATGCAAAAACTGGCGCTCTATATCAATAAATTATATAAGCATGTATATACAGTCCTACCCTCATCTGAATACCCTTGTCACCTGAACGCCATCGGGCTCCATGGTTTTCTTCAAGTTGTCGAATAGCAGCAAGACCAACTGACCATTTCCTCCACAAGTCTGTTACAGTCGTTACAGACCGGCTCATACTGTATATGGAGGGGCGTTCTTCAGAGGCAACAAGGTTAGCGGCTAAAGACCCATTTGGCGTCGACTGCTCTGAAGACAAACTGGATGCCATCTCCAATGACAAAGGACCAGTAACAAACTGGAATGACCTTGCATAATCTGACCCAAAGCAGGAAGGATCTTGCGCACATCTTCTTGAACTTTCTTGTTCGTTTCTTCCGCCTGGGCAACTTTTGCAAGCAAGGCATCGAGTCTATTGCTCACGTCGGGGATCACTTCACGCAAGCGCATTTCCTCGGGTGTGCGCCCTGTAACGCATGCTTGGGTAGAGATTAGCTTCAAATGCCATATATTCTGAGCTCCTGAAAATTTCGTGCCGAAAGATGGGATGGTCGGGTTCAAGTCGTCTCATCATTGCCGATCTTGGAGAAAAATTACCCGCATCGTCTTGATCAACCGCAAAAATCCTTGACCGCAGATCGTTCGAGGGCAGCCATCTTCACGCTCGATTTTTCAAGCCAGCTGTCAGCTTGTGGGAACACTTGCTTCTGAAGAATTTCTGATGAGGTGACCAAACCGCGCTCAAGCCAGAAATGCCCTGGTTCACCAGAGAAACTGTTCATGATACGGACTGATTACGTGGGAGACATGTGAGGTAGCAACGCTCCATGCTCTGCGTATTCGACCGTCCATGCCGGCGCAGCTGGTCTTCCCCGTCGCTCCATTAACTTCGGCATGGCGCGCCCCTGAGCCGCGTCCGGAATGCGTTTTTCTTGCGGCTGTGGATATTGCAAGCTTCAAACGCCTTGTTGACACCTTTCAACTATGTCTCGTACGATATTTCTTGCTCACGGTCCCTTCCTCTTGCGACCTTGATATCGAACCGATCCTATGGTGACTTCTGGAATAAAGTGTAATGGCACTGGCCAACTAAGAAAAGATGACACTATCCAATCAAAGTAAATTCATTTTCCCAATGACATTGTTTCTAAAAAACTATGAATTTATATTTTATTTGCTGTGACATTACTTGTTGGAAACACTCTCTACGAGTTTGATTATTACATGTCGCATTTTCCAAAGTCGCATCGAGAATTCGGTGACCCCAGACGACAGTGACGGAGAACATTGAAGTTCTGCATCAATTATAACGGTTCAGTTGTTTAATCCTGGTTTGTACGATATTCATATCTTGTACTATATTCACAACTTTCAGCATAACTTTGACTGATTACTCGATACTGTAGATTTGATTCTCATTTTACAAATTTGTGAGTCTACTTTCTGTTTGATTGGGACTTCTTGACAGTGCCTTGCGCTGAATTACGGGTCAGGATGACTGAAGTAAATGCTAGCAATCAATGAATTGCTCCCTGTGATGATACGATGAGGGCGATATACATGTATTTAGAATTATTTCACACAACATGCGTCTTTCCCGCTATTGCCTCGCCCAAGCTCCATATGTCCAAGCGTCTGAACGGCTGCAGTTAGCCCGTTGGTCCGTGTCGAACGTGTTGCATTTTTGTTTGTTTTCCAATTTGGCTCGAACTTTTTCGATCCGGCAAAAATTTAACATTCGCAGTTGTCATTGGCCGTCTAAGCATAACGACATCAAGAACGACAAGAATGGCAAGGCCAAACGCTCGAATCACTGATCAGAATGCTCAAAAGGCAACTTCTTATTGGAGGCGTTCCGATTTCCCAAAATCACAATCATTTTGCGACGTTTTTCTTTGGAAATCAAATGAAACATGAAGTGGAAAACTGAAAATGGAGGAGGTTTCAAACTATTTAATTTCAATCCAAAATCGTCTATTGGGTTTGGGGAGTCAAGCGACTGGGGGAATAATTACAAGATGATTTTTAAGAATGGTGTATAGATGTACAAAGAGTTCTAGGCTAAGAGGAGATAAACAAAATATACAAAAAGAAAAAGGAATCAAACTATTATTTATGATGGCGTTGGGCGGGGTTTAAGGGGAGAATGAAAATGGGGAAGGGAAAGCGGATAAATGTTTGTGATTGAATCACTTCCCTTTACTGTGTTGAGCACATTGAGGACACTGTCGGATACCGTTGATGCCAATGGCAGCATCATGTATTCGATAAAGACCATGCTGGTCGCATTTACGGTAACACCGGTCGCAATAATCTTCGGGTGAATTAGACAGAGCTCGATGGCAATAAGGACAATTCCTGCGACATGTAGGACAATCCCAACCAGAACTCAGCACTCGGCCGCATTCACAAATAGCCGCGTCTGGAAATTGATCGTAATTATCGTCGTCGTCGTCATCGTCGTGTTGATCACTTTTGGAGGGATCAGGATTAGGTGATGCTGCAGACATTAATTTCGCTCCGACGTGGCAGTCAGTATAAGACGGCTGCTCATCAATATTGTTCATAGCATATGGATGAAAAAATAAAATATATAGTCAATGTTTAAAGAGTAAAAAAAAAAGTTTCTTTAAATCGAAAATCAGACAGAGAAGATGTACTATATATACAAATGAAAAAAATGCAAAAAGGAAAACGCTGTTTTATCTCGTGGTTTCTGTTCCATGGCTTTGAAATAAACGAAAAAGATAGCTTCGTCTTGCTTTTATTGTCAGCTCAGAAACACAATAATTCGAGAAAATACAACATATTCTTTTGAGATATCCGGGAAGTGTACCTGATGACGGCACGGGTAAAGAGTTTCAATGAAAAAAATAGCCACAATTCCCCAAGTCAAAGATAAAAAAAAAAAAAATGGCGTGAGCGCCAAACCAAATGGAAATGTTTCAAAATCATCAAATCGAAAATAACTTGCGTTGAATTATAAGACAAGTTTCAAAGGGAGCAATGACGGTGGAGGTAAATATTGATAAGGAACATGTTATATCATAGCTCGTATAGCTTACAAATACCTGACTAACAGGCTCTTTTTTCTATTAACCTTAGGAAAATCTTTCCTTTTTGAGAGCATGATCAGGGACGTTGGATTGATTGGTTATGTATGATGAGTGCAATATCTGCGATGTCTTCGTGCCTGTCTGTGCTGTCGACGGTCAGCTTTGCGTTGTTGACGTCGACATTTGCGTTGACAGCGACGTGTCGGACATGTAGATACCGAATCGCCTACCGATTCCGGGTTTACGGGTGGAATGGCGGTGGTAACGTTTCCTTCGGTTACCATTCTAGAAGCTTGTTGCCTTTTATCGACAACTGAGGTTATAATTGACCTCAGGATGCCTAAAAGGCCCGGACGACGACTGGTTGAATGGCTTTGATAAATGGGCTCGCTCGCATATTGGCCGGAAACGGCTGATGTGTGATTGCTCGTATACGCTACTGCGGCTGGCATCGGTGGGGATTCAAGGCGATCGGTGAGAGAAACAGATTCGTAAGGTGGGGGCGGTTGTTCTTCTTCATGGGTCGTCGTAATTAGACTCTCTTTATGATGTGACATGGTAACGAATGAATTGTATTGGGGTTATGCTATCGCCTTTATGGCTTGATCAACTGGGGCTATTTATATGAGTTTAGAAGCCACAGTTGCTTAGCTTCTTGGCATTGCCATTTTGGGCGAGAATTCACCGAGAGTTGTGTGACAGTTTATATTGTGCTTGTTTCTTTTACAAATCACAATCTCAGCATGAAAGTGTCAAGGTGGTACCAATCGTTCAAATCAAACGTTCAACTCACCATTATGCGCAGCCAGAACAAGCTTTCGTCGCATGTGTGAACTTGTGAAATGACGCATGTACTCCACATAAAGCGTATTCCACACAAAGATGAGGCACATCCTAGATCATCACAACAAGAAGCCGATCAAATTCCTTTTTAAATCCAACTCATTTATTGGCTAATTTAAAGTAATGCAGTATGATGATCTTAATTTTGATAATTGAACAAGAGTGCCAGCTGTCGTTGAACATGGGAACAATAAGAAATGAAAGGTAGGTTGCTCAACCTCTTTTTGTGGTACAGATGACGGAATGTCTGAATAGATTTTTTTCCGGTTCCGATGATTTCAAAGCCAACTTTTTTTTGGGGGATGGTTACACAATGTCTGAAAAGTGATGCAGGTCCAAATAAACGAGCAAGGAACAGCATTGATGCTTCAAAAAAAGTGACCGCAGCTGTGAGAACCATAGCAAAATGCTTCATGATGTGATGCCATCCTTTCGCTATTGCGGAGTATTTTCAATAGAACAATATAAAAGCCTCACAACCTGGACTCACTTTTTATCACTCAAGACAACACGTTATCATTTTTCTTATCAGACCTATTTTTTTTTCTGACCCTTCCGTGAACAATGTCGACTGATTTCCTGGACGAATTTCTCTCATATTTCCCTGATGATCCGAATCAACCGAAACTTGGCGCCGATTCAAGCGCAAAGATACCAACCACGGTGAATTGGATGCTGGATGAATTATTCCACGCACATTCCGATGATTTGCCAAAGGACTGTCAGATGCAACCATGTCTGCTGGAAGATGATGATGATGATGACGTCCTGGAAGAAGAACAACAAAACAGTGTGTCCATTGACCAGTTCCCTGGAACCCCTGAGGTTGACCATACCATGAACATCAATAAGCTAGAACGACCTCCAAATATGTCAGCCGACCATGTGTTATCTTCTCTGCATGGAAGAAAAGATTCTTTCTCGTCCGACACAGTCCCTGAGCTACAATCACCCGATAGCGATACGGATTCTGATTCCGATGTGGAAGCCTTGGCCGATTATCCTTACGCCAACGATGCGCCTATTCTCTTGGAATCATCCATTGCCTCCAGTTTTTGTACGTTCGATGATGACCCCGTTCAATGGCCCGCATTCCCAGAGGATAGGCCCTGGTTACGACGATCGAAGCGCAGATCTCTCCTACGTCTCGCAAGACCGTCGCTGCAGAGCCTGTTCACCAAATTCAGTAGCAAAACGAGTGTGCCCACGGTAGCGGAGAAGCCGCGTAAGAGGCTGTCAGCTTCTCAACGACTCACCCAGTTCTTCCGACGTCATTAAGACGCCATGTGCCTCTAGACCCTTTTTCTGAATGGCAAACTTGCCTCTAGCAGTTGCCAATCTTTTTCGTTGTAAATAATAAATATCATTCGCATTTTGTACATCTTTACCAAAACTTCCCGTCCATTAAAACACATTGACGGTCACACGCATAGAACCGATGAAAATAAATCAGAAAGACCATCAAGATTTATTCAAACTTACTGAAAACGTTGCCTTATTTCGATTTTATGACATTGGGCGGTTACGATAGTAACTCCAATTTGGGAAGTATTTTTGAAATCCTATATATGGAAATAACCGCCATCTGAGAAACTGGTTTTTTCCGATGGCGACCTCCCCATTTTGACCAAATTAGCTCCAGACTTAATCAGAAGGATACAGCACGAGTATGGGCACTTTATTAACTATCAATATTGCTTTGTATGCTGCTGGCTCATGCTCTGTATGTATCATTTCACCTTTGATTGTTAATCGTAGGTAAAAGAAATTCTTCCGAGTAAAAGGTTATCTATCATGCAAGTTACCTATATGGCTGCAAATTCAGCACATTTTCCTTTTACTACTGTATCAAGGAAATCGGCTATTCTTCGCTTGCTTCTTGATTCGTCCTGCATGGTGCCCGCGATACATGCACATCGACACTCACGTATTGTATACGCATGTCCTCAGCTTGAACCAAATTCAGTGTCAAACCATTAAGCAAACTCGATCTTTGGAGGCTGGCTGCAGGGATCACTTGTTGACAATTCTGTTTGGTCACCGAGAAAAACAAAATTTTTCGAGTTAGATCGACAGAGACAGCACTGTCAAGCAGCAAAACTTGGAGCATTGTGTTTTACGGATCAGTTATCGTTATTCTCGCAGCAAATTATGACCTCAAAAACGTGGCCAAATATGGACCCTCACCCCTTGGTTTCCTCATAATCTCCATCTCCACTATCATAGCACAATTCTCTAAAAACTAACCAAAGTAAACCAACGAACCGTCTTTCCGAGCCTTTACATCATAATACTATTGTGCCAAAGGAGACCATGATCAGCGTCCACAAAAAGATTTAAGGACTACGATCGGACCGAGCATTTGATGGATTTTTTTTCAAGCTACCCCCATGAAATGTGATACGCTCGTTGAACCGGGCACGTAAAAAAAAAAAAAAAAAAGAAAAAAAATGGTACCACACTCTTCGTCATACCCACGACTGATGGCTCATGCTTTTTTTTTTTCGATCGTCACGGGGCAGATGCCTTGTAAGGATATGCAATGAATGGTCCTGAAACCATGACCCACCATAGTTTTGCGTGGTGTGCATGTGTCACGACCATCGGTTCCACGCGTAGCCGCCATGCGGTTGCGCCACGAACGAGAATGAATCACCGCTTCTGTTTCTTGTCATTTTCCGTTATGACGTTGTCAGCAATCTGGCCCTAGTGATATCATCTTCTATGGCGATCTTTTGGTTTCCAAAAAGTGATTCAGCAAACATCACACTCACAGCAATCATTTTCCGCCCCAGCTTGGCACGCAAGCAACGTCCGCAAATTTCACCTTGACCCAGCCAAGCTCAGCCACTTGTGACTACTTTACAATTCCCGATTGCGCATTGCCGAATTTGTCGCTGCGAAAGGGGGGAAAAATCGAGTTTTTTACATTTCAAGCTTTTCGGATACCTTTTTTTTTTAAATCTCGTTGATCATGTTGCGTACAGTGTAAGCATATATCCACCTGGGCATTACAGATTCTGTTAGTACTAACAAGCATATAGTAAGCCGAAAAACGCTCGTTCCAAACGTTTCTTGAAGAACCGCGAGGCCAAAGTTCATGAGAATCCAAAGACCACTTTGTTTGTTCGAGGTTCAACCACCAGCCAAGTGGTGAATGATGCTTTGAAGGATCTGGTACATATTCAACTTACTCACTGACATTTAGGCATGACAAATACTAATCGACTTGCGATCCTTCGTTTTTAGTATGCTTTAAAACGTACCAATGCCATCTATTTCAACAAAAAGAACGAGATCAAGCCTTTCGAAGACGATGAAAAGATTGAATTCTTCTCACGCAAAAACGATTCTTCGCTCATGGTGATCGGTACTCACTTGAAGAAACGACCGCACAACTTGACGTTCGTGCGCATGTTCAATTACGAAATTCTCGAGATGATCGAGCTCGGTATTGAAAAGATGACGGCTCTGAGCGAGATCAAGGTAAGCCGATTGGGAAGACTGTAGTTATACTTTTGGCTCGGTAGCTAATGCAACCATGGATGGTCTCGGTCATTAGGGAACCAAGAGTTCGCTCGGTATCAAGCCTTTGCTTGTGTTTAGCGGTGACATGTTTGATTCTGATACAACACACAAGAACTTGAAGAATTTCTTTTTGGACTTTTTCAACGGCGAGGCCACCGATGCCGTCAACCTGGGAGGTCTGGAATACGTAATCAGCTTCACTGCCACCCCCGAACGCATTTACGTTCGAAGCTATTTCATTCAAATGAAGAAGAGCGGTAGCAAGACACCGCGCGTGGAATTGGAAGAAATGGGTCCTCATTTTGATTTCGTCGTTCGACGTACCGTGGCACCCAAGTCGGATCTCTGGAAGTCGGCTGTGAGAGTACCAAAGGAAATCAAGGTAACCTATTCATCGATCCCTCATCAGGATATAGAACATAGTTGATGAACTGATGTCTTGTTTTTTCGTTTATTTTTAGCCCAAGAAGGTGAAGAATATCGATACGGATGAAATGGGTGACAAGGTTGGACGTATCCATATGGGCGATCAGCAGTTGCACAAGATCCAGACCAGAAAGATGAAGGGTTTGAAAAAGCGATCTGCGGAAGATGACGATGACGAAACATCTGCAACAAAGAAACAAAAATCGGATGAGACGGATTAAGCTTGTCCTTGACCCACTAACTTTTTGTTAAAAATTTGATACACTCTTTTGGGAAGGAACGATCTACCATTTTTTTCCCAAAGAACCTCCAATACAGCATACACAGAAAGCCACCATTTTTTTCATTTCAAAAGCAACATTTATCTCTTATTCTGTCTATAAAAGAAAAAGCATTATTCTTTCATGGATTCACTTGTATGTCGATAAGAGCGTCCAAAGTCGATGCAAATTTAGCTCCTATTGCGAGGAATATTTTACAGAACACTTCATACACCGTTGTTGTCCTTCTCCAAGATATTGTTTCTTGAATTGAACAACAATAGTTATATTGAAAGATAAAGCATAACAACACGTATTCCACAGGAATAGCATTGTTTCTACTAAAAATGTACATGATTTGTATTTACATTGTCATGTCGACAACGACACGACGCACTCGAAGAGTTGATAATTTTACGGTCTCATGGACAGTGGTTCGTTGGCGCTTGGGAGAATACAGGTGTTCTTCCTCTTGAGAGAACGATTTATCACTACAATATCACCACTTATGAGAGACAATTCCACATGTATCGTTCTTAAGTTTACCTTTGATTAGCTCTCGATCGTTTACTGTAAGTATATTTCGCCACCGGTGTTTTCCATCCTACTGACAGAACTTGTTGTCGAAAAGCTACATTCACAGCTTACAGGATTAGAAAAGAAAAAGCAAAGACTATGAATTTGGAGGGCTTACGTAATGACGCCTTGACACCTGGAGATTGAGGAATTTGCTTTGATCGAACGTCTGCCGGCTCAGACAATGGTGCTGGTGTTGGTATTGAGTTGGTGTTGGCGTTGGCGTTGCCAAGGAAAGGACTTTGAAGCAACTGCTCAACGGTGCAGCGCAATTCTAAGGTGTATCATTCAAGTGTCACTATTTGTACTCGCATGTGAACATTTAATATGTGATTTTACCAGGGCGGAAGACAAGGGTTTTGGATATGAAATTTTTGGCTTGGTTGGAGATGCGGATGTGCGAAGGAAAGACGAGTTCAGTGACCTGTGGAGATCCGATATTTCTACGGACGAGAATACTATGAGACACATTTCCCTCAAATAAACGATGTAGCGCTCACTTACACGCCATCATACCACGCCGATCTTTCCTCGTTGTGATAACGTCCAAAAAGCATGGTATAACTAGAATGGGATCAGCATAATGGACAACGAATACAGTAGAAAAAAAAAATTTCACCACTTACGTAATGGCCCCAATGGACCAGATATCGGCAGATTTGTCGTAGCCTTCCTTGTTCTTGACCTCCGGCGCGACAAAATGGCGGGTGCCACAAAGACTGTGATCGAAAAAAAAAAAAAAAATGAGTGCTGCATTTCCAGAGTATCATGACGCCAGACACATACCCCGTTTGTTTCTGTTCGCAGACATAGGTTGCCAGACCAAAATCACCGATTTTAGGGTTCATGTTTTTATCTAGCATGACATTGCATAGTTTCAAGTCACCGTGCATGATATCCTGAGCGTGCATGTAACGAAGTGCTTCCAGGATTTGGACCAGAAAATGATGAACTTGATGTTCACTCAAAACGGTCTCTTCTCGTAACAAATGCATTAAAGTCTGTCATTAAAAAAAATGGATGATAAGCATGATATGCTTCAAACATATTTTGTCTGAAAATATTTACCTTGTTTTCACATAGTTCCATGACAATGTAGGCGTATTCTGCATCAAAAAAGTAGCAATGAAACTTGACAATGTTGGGATGGTCTAATCTTCGGTGAAGCTTGATTTCGTCAAGGGAACGGGCCTTTTGGTACGAGTTGGCAATGCGAGTCTTGGGAATAACTTTAATGGCGAACTTTTGACCCTCAGAGTCATACGCCTGAAAGACTTCGGCCGTCGCTCCCTGCCATGACAGGCAAAAAGTCGTCAAAGAACTGAGTCATTAGAGGAACGGCATTGATATGTACTTACCTCGCCCAGTTTACATTCCAGTGTAAAAGTGCGGTTCGTGGCAGCATCATGCGCTTTATGAGGCAAATCGAAGAACGTTTTACGATCTCGACGCCTCGATCCCGCTTTTGTTGTGACCTGCACAGTTGGAAGGAGTGACGATTCTGTGATTTCTGTTTTTGGCAGCAGTTGCGTTCGCGTTGCTTGGTTCCTGGCAGTCTCCATTGCTCCATTCTGAATCGCCAACGGCTTTGCATGTAACGGAACGCCTTGCATGGCTTGGGGTTTTTTGTTCATGAGGCTCGCAATGGGTGGGTGTTTTCTTGGTAAAACCATAATGAGGAAGAATCGAGGATAATGTGTTCAGAAAAAAGATAAAATGCTAAAGAGATCAAATAAACAATTACGCGAAAATTCGCGCGGCATTAAATTTTGGACATCTCATTCTGACAACGAAAAAGAAAAAAGAAAGCCAGAAAAAAATAAAGGGAACTCGACATGCACAGCAAAAAGCACAAATTTCACCATTCATGAAATCGAGATCAACAACTGGATTCGGCACCTCAAGAACCCATGACACGTAACCGTCGCGTTCGTCCCTTGAAGTTCCCTTGAAGTACTGAAAATATCCAAACTCTCTTAATAACTTCTTTAACCGCATCTCAACAAAAAATTAGTCGGCTTACACAAAATTCATTCTGTCAACAAGGAAAATAATAAAAAAGGGTGCAAAGCAAGATCATTCCCAGCCACATAAGGCATGAAATGATCCGACGCTTAAAGAGCTTATTTCGTGCATTGAAGAAAAAAAAAAAAAAAAAAGTTCAGTAAAAACAGAAAGGAGTATAACATTCACCATTGACGTGAAATAGAGATGCAACCACTGGATTCCGCATATCAGAACGCTATAACACGTTACCGTCGCGTTTGTCTCTCAGAGTTCCTTGAAAGCAGTAGAGATAACCGTTCTTCTCTCTACAACCTCTCTAATCCCATACCAAAAAAAAAAAAGCGAAAATCGGATATGTTAAAGTGAAGGTAAGAAACCCTGAGACTATTGGAATTATTCCCAACAAAATTGGATATGGAATGTCAAGATATACAAGTACATGAGGAAACGCCTTTGTTGCATTGAAGTAATCGGTTATTCGATCTGTTCATTTGTGTCAACGAATAGCACTCAATTCACACAGTTGGCGGATTGTCTGGTTTCCCGACCGATCTACATAATTTGGTTGAATCCATCATATTTTCTTTTCTAAAGCCGTCATTCTTAATAGAGCATCTTAAGTTGATGTCCGTTCGTAAATTAAAATACACTTGGTGATATCGTCAATAAAATGAAATAGGACAGTTGTCAAATGCAAGCATAGAAAATAATATTTTCAGCAATTACTGTGCCAACTTGAAATAAATAAATAAAAATGGAAGATCAGATATACGGACAGAAAGGTTCCCTTTAATTCTTTATTAATCGGTTCAATGCAAACTTTTCATTTGCGAAAGCGATCACGTAAAGCTAAATGTTACTTTCAGGGAGTCATGGAAATGCCGTTGGATCCATCCGTGCGCAAGCACAAACCGTTGATTGGCGGATATGCCAAAAAGGGAAGCGATGCACAGACGACGCCACACCAGGGATTTTGGCATAGTGCCCAGAAAATTTGTTTACTATTCATTGCCCACCATCTTATTTTTTCGCACTGAATCTTGTGTAACCTGAGTGTTTTTTTTGGGGGGCCTTGCCTGCCTGTTTCCTTTTTGTATGAGATTAAAGAGGTTGTCTAACTGGAGCTTGGGTAATTTGAAAGCTTCCAAGGAACTCTGACGAACGCGACGGTTACGTGTCATAGCAACTTGAGATGCTAAATGGGGTTGTTGCATCTCTATGTCACGTCAATGGCGAAAGTTATGGCTTGTCCCGTGCAAGGGGTGGGACTAACAAAACATTCCGCTGCTAATTTTAAGCTCAAAAAACGTGATTCATCGTTACTATATGTTGCAGATGCAATTGTCGTAACCTACTGAAAACGGAATAGGGTGTATTGCATCGGGTCAAGTCTCGGTTGATCCGAAACGCAGTTAAAATGATCCGTTTTTCAAAGTCAATGTTTGTGGCGATCGTTTTGCCAAGTAACACAACGTAGAAAAATCCCGAATCCAACGTCAACCTCCAATCAGACAATGGTGATGATACTGCTTTGGGAGTCCCTAGTTCAGGGACGTTTTTGTAGTCTTTTTTTATTATTATTATTAAACTTTCTTTACATACACAATAGCATTGCAGTGCACCGCTTTGCTACCATAGGAAAAAAAATTGCTATGTTTTGGACAGTCGGGACTTCATTGAACTGAACACGTTTTTTTTTCCCAATTTTTTTTTTTGCGACGCGTCGATAAATTTTTTCCACTGAGGAAATGATATATAAAAAGACGCGATCTTTCGCGTAATGATCGTTATATCTCTTTCCCTATTCCTTCCCTCTTTCCGTTTTTTTTCTATGCTTCTTCCAGAAAAAATCCACCGCTCAGAAACGCTCACCGAAAGTCCGCCTCGCGAGACATTTGTCCGCGCAAAAAACCGGCCAAGAAGGGCCCCGCCTCGACTGCATCGCGAACCAAGCAGTCGAAGACCACGACGACGAAGCTCCTTCATGTGAAGCCAACGGCGCAAGACAAAAAGAAGGAGGAAGCAAGACGCCGAGCTTGCCGACCTTCCTCCGCTTGCCGCACGAGGCCGAAACTGGCGCTGGCAGACAACTTACACCCTGGATCTGAAGCTGGGTCAGGTACGTTAAACAAGAGCATCACCTCTGATTTGGTCGCTCACTGACACAATTCGTCTGTCATGCTAGGGTGTGACGGCCCAGGTATAGCGGGCCTATAATGATGAAGGCCAGATGTTTGCGGTCAAAGTTGTCCCCAACTACCGCTTAATTCTGATGAAGAAGCATCGTTTCACTGCCGAGGTCAAGCTCCATCGAAAGCTGAACCATCCCGGAATCGTAAAGTTCCATAGATGCTTCCATGATGACGATTATGCGTATGTCGTCATGGAGTTGTGCGAGACCGGGTAAATAATTTCGGATAGAGTATGGGTGAAAACACGACATACTTACCAGCCTTACTTTAAATGATAACGATAGACCCTGACACACATGATGAGCAACGCCAGCACATTGAGCGAGCGGGTGGCTGCTTTGTTCTTGAAGCCAATCTTGGAGGTGCTCGAATAGTGCATCGCGACTTGAAGCCTTGCAAAATCATGTTGGGAAAGGACCTGAAGCCAAAAATTGGCGACTTTTGGTCTTGCAACGGTTGTCCGCAAAGACAAACCCATGAGGTACGTACCAGAAATATTAACATTCAGTCGATGGAGTACTCATTTTTTTTTTTTATCTACAGCGTTCGCGGCACTCCCCCACTTTGTCGCGCCTGAAGTAAAAAACAGGCAAAGCTACGATCAAGCGCCAGATATTTCGTCCATCGGGCCATGACGTAAGTGATCTGTTCTTTCTTGTCCTTCATTGTATGTTTATTTATTCACATTGACCCCGATCATAGTTACAGAATGCTGTTTGGACGCCACCATGATGATATTTCATCATTATGGATCAGTAGCGAGTAAGTTACGCTATTTAATTTTACCTGAGAAATTTGTCTCTTTAGAAAAGTGGAATTCGCTAAAGTGAAAGATGTTGCGCTCCCCTCGCACATCGCGATCTCCGATGCGGCGAAGGATTTCCTTGCCAATACATGGCAATCTCACCAGGTAAACGATTATATGCCTATGTTTCCATTCGAGTGAAAATTCCTTACTGATACTGTACTTGTCAAAAATAGCTTCTCGTTGCATCGTTAAGCAGTTGCTGGACCATCCTTTTCTGGGCGTTTGAAAGCCAAGGTCAAAAGATAAATAAAAATATTTGTTAAAAGCACTTCTTTAAGCCTTCATTACTCTTTCCGTTTTTTCTTTGATTGCTGGAAAATTACATGCTTTCTTATAATGCCTACAACGCCTTGCATGCATGTGACAATGAATTATGTGCGTTCATTTTCTTTAACTGAGTCAACAATTCGTCAAATTTACGAGCGAACATTAAATCAAAAAGAAGCTTCCTGTAACCAAGGAACAAGAGCGACAATTCTCGGCGGTAAGAATATGGGAACGAACAAAATTTATATTTTCACTTTGCCTTGAAATCAACATGCCTTTCGTTCATCAGTCATTCTTATGAATTTCCGTGTAATGCACGATAGGCATGAGAGGATCATTAAGGCCAATCAGTGCATGGAGTACCTGACGCATTACCAGGAGTTATTTCACGATGATCTATCCGAGGCCATAGTCATCAATGCCGGCTCTTCCAAAGGGTACCACGGATGTCACTCTTTAGAGAGAAACTCGTTAAGCTTTTTTTTTGCGAAGGCAATTTTCAAACGTTATGTTACTGCCAGCAAAAATCGTATTACATATCATACTTGCTTGTCAGTAATTCGCTGTAGGTTCACGCTGTATCGTTCAGCAGCTGTTGAATATCCTTTCTTTGTCGTTCCATACCAAGGATAAAAAATAAAAAATAAAAACAAGCACCTTTCTAAGCTTGTATTGCTCTCTTCGGTTTTTCCTTAGTTACTGGAAATCGTCCTTCAAATGAAACATCAATGCTGTTTCCCTATTATGCAAGTCAAAACATTCGAGCTTACTTTTTGTGAGCTTTTTGCATACGGTAGATCGCACGACAAATAGGGGATATAAGATCAGTGAATATGGTTGGGATCGTTTTTTTTTTTTTTTGGAGGAAAAGAAAATGAGCTAAATGAGTCGTCAAATCATATGAGAATGTAATCACCGCCATAGTATGACAATCACCACAATCACCACAAACAAACAAAGGTCAGAAAATTCATCAAAATTCTCTCAGACTGCAAAAATGTAAACTGTAAGTGCTCATCCTTCACTTAGGTAGCCGTTGTTTATGGGAATTATGAGCGTGAACAATTTTCTGAATCAAAACGATATTTGCTTTCCGCCAGTTAGCATCAATTGCTTGGGATTTTCGTGCAGAAATTTTGTGGTATTCGAGAATAGAGACAAATGCGGTGAAGCAGCGGAGTGGAATACTCTCGAGGTATCATTTTCAGCAAAGAGAGAAATTCAGTGTGAACAGGTTGAGCAGCATATCATGGAGTTTTCGAAAACTCGATGCTTTGCAATACTGGCGAGCATCGTATCGTAGCAAATCATTAAGGGGCCATTAAGACTGAAAGGAGATTAAGCAGACGTAACTATGCATGCTCAATGTACCATGGCGACGAGGGTAATCATTTGCTTCATGAAGTGATACGCCAACTGGTTTCCCCATTTGATGTTTTTTCTGTCTTTGACTTGGCGTTCACATTCTCGCTGACCTTTTTTCCCTGTAATCTTTGAACATTCAGAATCAGTGATCCAATTAAAAAAATTTTCGTGGTGTTCGAAGCTGATGGAAACCAGTCGCAGAGGCTGAACCAATCAAGTGGATGATAATGGATGAAATTCAGGAACCCAGCCTGTCATTCCAATTAAAAATCATGTTTTTTTTAGCTCCGTAAATCGTTGTCACAGTGTTCGGTGGCTGAAAATAAGGTATAAAAAGTCGCTCCAAGTAAGCAACCAGGTAGTTCTTTGTCTTTTTATCCTTAAATCGACTGAAACATACTTTCTAGTATGCATTCTGGCGGTGATGAGCTATTGCACGACACAGTTGTAACAGTTTCGATGTTCAGGAGATGTGCTTCGGTACGTTGAATGACTCGGAATTGGTGGCTGACATGCATCCAGATAGCTGAGCCAGCACGATCTTTACATGGATATTTTATCAAATTTAAACAAACCAAAAGTAAATGAAAAAAGGCGAACAGAGCTTCCACGTCAAGTTTTGTGAATGGGAAGTTGTGTGGAAGAAAAGTTCGCATTACGGATAATGCTATCGTCGAATACAATCGAATAATAAAATACAAAAATTTTTAAACATTCATTGAATTGTTTGACTTTTTTACGTCGGCCAGATTGAAGTAGCAGTTCCATCTCGTCAACTTGGTGCGAACAAGCCGCTCATGATGAGTGTACTGTAAACAGAAGATTGGGGAAAAGATGAAAAGTAGGATACCTTTGTTAGCACATGTAACCAAGTAACCAAAAAACCGAAAAAATTTTCGTCTGTTTTTGAAAGTGACTGCATGTATTTTTCATTGGACCTTTGATACAAGAAAAATCTTGGTTGCTCGCTTATTGTGCTATTACGCACTGTGGGAAAAGGGGTTGGCTGCCAAGCGTAATATCAATGAATGAAGCAAATTCGGCATACAATAGGGTTGACTGAGTGGAAAAAAATAACTAGTGCATACCCAATTAGCCGTAAGTGGAGATGGGATCGCAAGTCAAGCGGATCAACTTGGCGTGCCTTCATTGGACATTTTTTCAATGGTCACGGTCGGTGAAGCCCAAACAGGGATAGTTGGAACCACAAGGAGATGATGCACTGGTTGACGGACTTCGAAATTTGGAATTCAGCGTTCATTGGGTTCTCTCCCTTTCCTTCCCCTTCGTCCTTTGCTTACTGTTGCTCACCTTTTGCTGATGGACAATTCTTTTTTGAAGACACCAGCTGAAGTGTGTTCACACTTTGGTGTAGACCCCAATAGAGGTCTCTCCGAAGACAAAGTACGAGACCAACGCAAAAAGTTTGGCCCCAACGGTAAATTGTCGCCCTTTTTTTCCTTTTTTTTTTGACACCTATGACTACATGTCACTGCGGTTGCAAGAGAGGGGTCATTACTAATCAACCTGAAAAACCACGGAAACGCTAACTCTTTCTTCTTTTATTATTCTTTATACTGTAGAATTGCCTGAAGAAGAATCGACTCCATTATGGCGCCTTATCCTCGATCAGTTCCAGGATCAGCTCGTGTTGATTCTGCTCGGTGCTGCTGTTATTTCGTTTGTACTTGCTCTGTTTGAAGAAAATGAAGGATCCGAATCGTCGACTGCATTTGTGGAACCTATTGTTATCTTGTTGATTTTGGTGGCCAATGCGACCGTGGGTGTATTGCAGGAATCAAGCGCCGAAAAGGCCATTGATGCCTTACGTGAATACTCTCCCGATGAAGCCAAAGTGTTGCGTCAAGGTGAATTGAAAAAGGTGCGCGCCGAAGAATTGGTGCCGGGTGATATTATTGATATTTCGGTGGGTAACAAAGTTCCCGCCGACGCTCGTGTGTTGGAAATCTATTCAAGTGTGCTTCGCGTGGATCAAGCATTGTTGACAGGTGAATCCGTCAGTGTCAACAAGGACGTTGAACCTATTCACGATGTCGGCGCCGTCAAACAAGATCAATACAATATGCTGTTCTCTGGTACCACGTGTGTGCTTGGAAAAGCCCATGCCATCGTTGTGCAAACCGGTGCCGCCACCGCTATCGGTAACATTCATACCTCCATCACCTCTCAGATCTCGGAAAAGACTCCCTTGAAGCGCAAATTGGACGATTTTGGTGACACCCTTGCCAAGGTCATCTCGGTTATCTGTGTGCTTGTGTGGCTCGTTAACATTCGTCACTTCAACGATCCTTCGCACAAGGGCTGGATTCAGGGTGCCGTTTACTATTTCAAGATCGCCGTCGCTCTTGCCGTCGCTGCCATTCCTGAAGGTTTAGCCGCCGTCATCACCGCCTGTTTGGCTTTGGGTACGAAGAAAATGGCCAAGTGCGGTGCCATCGTCCGCAGCTTGCCCAGTGTCGAAACTTTAGGATGCACCAGCGTCATTTGCTCCGACAAAACCGGAACCTTGACCACCAACCAAATGAGTGTCTCACGTGTAAGTTTAAGAAAAAGGAATGCATGCAAAACAGTGTGTGTGTGTGATAAAGAGAGAGAAGGAGGAAAGAGAGGCGGAAAGGTCGACGGAGTTAATTAGCATCGTGCATGGGATATTAAAGTGCTAATTTTCTCTTTTTCTTGACTCTTTTAGGTTGTGTCATTGGCTAATACCAGTGGTGGTTTGAACGAATTGTACGTGGAAGGCAGCAGCTATGCTCCGGATGGTTCGGTTACAACCCCTGATGGTAAAGTCGTGACGGCGTTGCCTGCTCAGAATGTCTTGGCTCGTGAAATGGCTTTGGTTTGCTCTCTTTGCAACGAGGCCCGCATCACTTATGATGAGGTAAGCGCAAGTGGTAAAAAAGAGACGAAGCATCGATCGGTTACTGATGGAGTTATTCTTTTTTTTTTTTCAAAAAAAATTAACTCAGGCTACCGACGTATACCAGAATATCGGTGAACCTACTGAGGCTGCATTGCAAGTGCTTGTGGAAAAATTCGGTACCGATAATCACGCTGTTAACAACGGATTGGCTTCTCTGTCGAAACGCGAACGCGTGACGGCGTGCAACGATTATTTTGCTGGTCAATTCAAACGTCATGCTACTCTGGAATTCACCCGTGACCGTAAATCCATGTCCGTCATTGTCTCATCGGATAGTCAACATACTTTACTCGTCAAAGGAGCTCCAGAGTCCATTCTCGATCGATGCGCTTACGTCCGTGTTTCCGAACAAGATGCTCCCGTACCCATGACCTCGGTCCTTCGTGATACTTTGAACAAGAAAATTCTGGAATACGGTCAAGGCCTGTCGTTGCGTTGCATCGGTTTAGCTAAAGTTGACAATGTGAACCCTGCCAGTTTTGATTTGCGTGACCAGACCAAATTTGCTCAATACGAAACCAACATGACCTTCCTCGGTTTAGTCGCCATGATGGACCCTCCTCGTCCCGAAGTGCGCGCCTCTATTGAAAAGTGTAAAACGGCCGGTATCCGTGTGATCGTGATCACCGGTGACAACAAGAATACTGCCGAAGCTATTTGTCGCAAGATTGGTGTCTTTGATGAGGACGAGGACTTGACTGGCAAGAGTTACACCGGCCGTGAATTTGATGATTTGTCGCAAGCTGAAAAAATCGAAGCCGTGAAACGCGCCAATCTCTTCTCTCGTACGGAACCGGCTCACAAGCAACAGTTGGTCGACTTGTTACAATCCTTGGGAGAAATCGTGGCCATGACGGGTGACGGTGTGAACGATGCTCCTGCCTTGAAACGCGCTGATATCGGTGTGGCCATGGGCAGCGGTACCGATGTGGCCAAGTTGGCAGCGGATATGGTTCTTGCAGATGACAATTTTGCCACCATTGAGAAGGCGGTCGAAGAAGGTCGCGGTATCTATAACAACACAAAGCAATTTATTCGTTACTTGATTTCTTCCAACATTGGTGAAGTTGTGTCCATTTTCTTGACGGTTCTGTTGGGTCTCCCCGAAGCCTTGATTCCTGTCCAGTTATTGTGGGTGAATCTCGTGACAGATGGTCTTCCTGCTACTGCCTTGGGTTTCAATCCTCCTGACCACGATATCATGCGTCGTCCTCCTCGCAGTGGCAAGGAAGCTTTGGTCGACGGTTGGTTGTTCTTCCGATACATGATCATTGGTACCTACGTTGGTGTGGCTACCGTGTTTGGTTACGTGTGGTGGTTCATCTTTTATGAAGGAGGTCCTCAGATCTCTTACTATCAATTGGTAAGCTTTTGAAACGACCTGCATTTTATGAAACGTGGATACTAATTGAATTTCTGGTTTTACAGTCTCATTTCCACAAATGCTCAGACTTATTCCCTGAAATCGGCTGTGAAATGTTTACAAATACCTTTTCTCAAAAGGCGACCACCATGAGTCTTTCCATTTTGGTCGTGATTGAGATGTTGAATGCCATGAACAGGTCAGTACAGTCATTACTCTTTGTCTTTGAGCTGTGCGGATTGGTCGCTGACGGTTTTGATTTTGTGTAGCTTGAGTGAAAATGAATCTTTGTTGACGTTGCCTCTTTGGGCAAATCCTTACTTGGTTGGATCGATTGTGCTTTCCATGGCATTGCACTTTATGATTCTGTATGTTCCTTTCTTCACGAGCCTTTTCGCCATTGTTCCTTTGAACTTTGAGGAATGGAAGGCTGTATTGTGGATTTCTTTCCCCGTGATTGTCTTGGACGAGGCCCTCAAGTGGATCACCCGCACCTGGATTGCTCCACCCACTGTTGTGCAAAAGACCAAATCAAAGAAAGAATAATTTATTCTTTGGGCCATTGTAAATTAACCCATTTATTCCGTGTTACGGTTCTCCTCTTCTTTATCATTTAGAATAAACATTTTACACACTCTCTTTTATAACAATATGCTGTCTTACATTGCTGTTTTTGTTAGGTGGAACGAATTTTGACTCTTGAACAACTTTTTTCTTCTATCTAAGAACTTATCCAAGTATGAATGTTAAGACTATTGCTCTCAGTGACCTTCCATAGGATGACAGATGACCAAATATTATTGCTAAGGACTATTTCTGGCAATGGCCTTCTACAGGGTGACAGACAAAGGTTGGATAAAACCGTTTCATGCGGGTTGAAAATTGTCACTGAAAATTTGTGACTTGGCGAGACAATCGTGGATCAAAAGTGTGTGCTTTCGTTTGTTCGCCCAGTGCACAATACAAATACCCGTCCTGTCCAGCCATGTCACCAATAAATAGACAGTTGATTGTGGCAGCACTGGCGGTTGGCATCGATTATGTCTCCACATTTTACGTACCATCAACCGCTCTCATTGAAGATCCAATCAATACACTCGCTGTTGCTGTTCCTGTCTTGTTTTCCGCTCATGCCGTCCTTGTCTTCCTGTCCCTCTTCTCAAGAACATCGCTTAAATCAGCACTGGTAGGTGCCAGTACCCACCCATCTCGTAATAACTTGGATTATTAAACAGCCTCGAAAAAAAAGACATCCCTTGGCAACGCGATCCTGAGTACCCTTTCCATGACCTTTCTTTTGTACATTGTGATTGTATTGTTTGGAGCGCCATTGACCGAGTAAGCCTCTTCAGAAACGTACCAGCGTCGATAAACTGTGAGTATCTAATATGAACGACCTAGGAAACTATTCCAAACCGTCGCATTCGCAGCATACCTATCGATTGTTACTATTATGCCGGCATTTGCTGCATTGGCACCTGCGGAAGGCAAGACTTGGACCACTGTGTTCTTGCAACACTGGTAAGTATGGAGAAGTTTTCGTCGCAAGACTTTAAGAACGATTGGATGAAATGAAAGCGAGTATCAACTATATGTTTTATTACAGTCCACGTACGTCTGCTGAAATCTACGCTTACACACAAACAGTGTGTGCGTTATCCGGAGCATGGATTGGCGCCATTGTCTTACCGCTGGATTGGGAAAGAGATTGGCAGGTATGGGACGAAAATCACGGGATAACAGAATTCATTGAAAAGGAGATGGCTCACAATTATATTTTACTTTTGTGGTTGGATACAGGTATGGCCGATTTCGTGCATTATCTCGACTTTTCTAGGTCATGCCGTGGGCGTCATGGCGGGTTTGGTGTGGGACAGCATCAAATACATTTTCGCCAAAAGAAAAAGTGAATAAAACTCATACTCGATCTTCTTCGATTTTTGGGCCTTTTTCTTTTCTCAAGATGAACAATAACTTGCAACCATAACAAACGTATCCTTGGAAATCAAACGAAGAATGAACGGGATAGAAAAGAATTAAAAGAGAAGAAAGACTACATGTACAGATGAAAACGAACATAGAGAGAGAGAGACACACACACACACACAAAGAGATAGAGAGGGTAATATAGAGATAGAGAGAGGAGAGTAAGAGAGGTAAGAAAAAGGAGAGAAAGAAAGAAACAGATACGAAGTGGTAAAGCGAAGAAAAAAAGAATAAAATAAAAAAGAGGGATCACACATCAAGTAAAATAGTGAGATGACGAATTGATGAGATGAGAGAGCAAAGGCCAATAAAAAAAGAAGAGAAGAGGGAAATAATAGAAACAAAAAAGAAAAGGAAAATATACAATAGGGGGGAAAAGAGAGTCGGCCAATTCATCGTTTTACGATCTGGTGTGTCCTTCGGATGGTGAAGGGTCTTCTTCTTCTCCGTCTGTCTCATAGATGCTCCTGGTAGGCATCACAAGATTTTTATCTTTGAATATCCCTTCCAGCGCATTGATCCACGTCTTTCGTTTCTCCATGGCATATATTGCGTTTTCGGATAACGTCGTTTTCGGCGCAGAGGTTGATTTTCGTTTCTTGGACTTTTGAATACGCTGAAGTAAAAGAAAGCATGAGTCTAGGACGAAGCATGAAAAATGGAAGACCTGCAAAATGTACTTACGAATCGTTTCATATAACACTGATCCACTTGAGCATCGAGATTATCCAGTACATGTCGATACTGTTCGTATTGCAGTTGACGATCCACTACGTCTAGTAATCGTTTTTTCCGGAATTCATTGACCTTCCCCTGTTCCTTTAGTTCTCTTTGCAAAAATCGTAACTCTGCACAGATTTCATCATCTTCACGAGTACTCCAATCCACCTATGTACATTCGCGGAAAAGCTTATGAGTAAAGAAAAAAATGACTTGTGTGCGTATCTTCTCGGTTTCCTCTTACTCCATCTTCACCAAACAAGCCGGCGTATTGCAATTCACGTTTTAAGCGTTCTTCAAAATCCAAAAGATCTTCTGGTGGCTCGCTTGACATTTCGGCAATGGTTCTACCTTCAAAATAGTGATCACTTCGTCCTTCATCGTCACTCAAGTTGCTCTGACGGTCGTCATCGTCGGCACCCATCCCCATCGATACTTCTAATGCATCATCCACTTCTTCAGGAACTAAACTGCTCAACAGTCGCTCCGTCAAAGTGCCGCAGCATAAATCATCGTTTAACAAGTAATCATCCGTCAATGTATCTCCCGGACCAAGGTATTTTAACCGTTCCTGCGATGGACCGCCCAACGTCGAATCATGACTGCCGTGCCGAAATCCAGCAGGTGAGTGGGTCCGACTCTGATGTCCTGTTTCTCGGTCTTCCTCTGCCCATGTTTCCAAATAAGATCGGCCGAGCGCAGGTATTGAAAATAGTTTGGAATTATCTGGCTGTTTGTCCAAAGGTACGAAACAATTCGTTAATTATCATATATCCCTTTCTCCCATTTATTTTCTCTTTTGATCCCACCGTTCTCACCGCTTACCTTCTCCAGCAAGAATTCTCTATCTTCCTCGCTCAACGGACGAAAATAAGGTTCGAGATGAGTCCAGAAAGTTAGGATAGGAATTTGATCTTTGGCTTTCACTCGGACAAAATCCACATCGTTACTGTTTTTGGTGCTGCCTGTGGCGTGATTGGAGGGCTTGGGCTTGTTATGTTTGCCTTGCGATGAAGGAGGATAGCCTTCGTTGATACCGTGCCCTCGTCCTGCAGCAGCAGACGATGACATTTTACTCGAAGATCCCGAGACCTTTTTCTTCTTTAAATAAGTGTTCTACACGGGGAAGATTGTAATGGTCGTTAGTCACTGTTTGGACCATGCATACTTTTCACATTGCAACCTCAATCAAAAACTTACATCGACGGATTTTGGGGTGTGTTTGGAATGACTTTGTGATCGTGGTATGGAGGGTGGAGACATGCTTCGAGAGGTGAGCGAAGGTACGCCTTCAAGCTTTTTGATTTTCACAATGTGATGAGGTGATTCTCGGCGACTGTCTGCTAAGATAAAAGAAAATAGAGAAAAGGCAAATCAATAGGTTGAACAATGAGGAGAAGAGGGCGGAAAAAGAAGGTTTCACAGAGCAATATCAACTGCATGGTTCTCGGCGGTACTTACAATGTTTAAGTTCATCATCAGTTGAATCGACATCTTCCCTTCGTCGTCGTCGTCGCAAGGTTTCCAAGGCACTAGATTGGACAAGGATATATGTGTCAATCACTGATTGCCATGATTTTCATGTCGAATAATACACCGGTTCCCACTTACGCTTGTCTGTCCATCTGACTCTTTGGTATCGAAGGCGATGACGGTGACAGATCCGATGGATCATCTACCATGAAATCAAAATTTAATAAATAAAGAATCAATTCCAGGACAAGGTTGTTGTCACAGAAGAGTAGCCGTCTCCTTCCAATTCTAAAAACAACTTACCTAAACCAGAGGCTTCCTGCTTGATCCGCATTTTTTCCAGCATAGCGTTGACATTCTTTCCGGAAGATGGCTGTTTCTTATGCGTTCCAGTATCTATGATCCGACATGATGAGTTGCGACTGTCCTCTCTCCTATTGCAATGCCTTCATCGCCCAGCTCTCAAAGGTTCTACGGCATAATAAACCCAATTCTGACTTACCATTGGCTTCACGGATTTTCACATTTTTCTCCAGATGATTCAATTCCTTCTTTAGATGCCGTAGTCTTGCTTCCGAATGAGGCAACAATCTTTCCAAATCGGCCTTGATACTTAGCAGTTCCTGCGACTCTGGAATATTGCCAATTTGTGAAGCTACGTGGGATGATGCTGATGACTTGAATTGTCGATAGAGAGCGGCAGTCGATGCCGACACTGGAGTGGGCGAACTGTACTGACGCGTCAAATCAGTATCCATAAAAGTCGAATGAATGGTATTGCAGAATATTTTGTCGCCGGCAAATATCAGTTCATAAACTATTGAATAAGTGTACTAATAATAAAAGACCACACTATTCTCCCCTTGCAGTATGTTCTATGATACTTCTTTTTTTCTTCTATCTTCGTCCAAAAGGTCAAGGAAGAAGTGCCGGCCGATACAAGTCACACGTGACATCACTAATTCCCGGTCGATTTTTTTTTTTTTTTTTATCGCTGGTTTACATTTTACTTTAAATCTCATCCCTTTACGGCTCGATCAATCTATCACATGGCAGCAGTAACAACCGAGAACAAGCCAAAGGACGTGAAAGAAGCAATTGGTGGTGTGGTTGATACCGTGAACAAGCGTGTATCAGGTAAAATTCGAAATCAATAAAGTTTTCTCGCCTGATCGCAAGTGGATCAAAGATGGATCATTAAACGATGATTTGGTTGTAGGCAAGGCATGGAAAATCCAGAAAACACCTACTGTACGAGCACAAAAGGCCAAGACTCTTCGTCGATCGTGGGAACAACGTACGGCGGAACGAACCAGAATTCAGGCTGTCAAGGCGTTGGAGAAACAATTAAAGGACGAACGACAAGCCGAGAAAGACGTAGGTTTTCCATATAAAAGTAGACTTGTTTTTTACTTCTTCTCTCTAAATTCACTTCTCTCCATGAAATAGCGAAAGCGAGCCATCACTTTGGAACGTAAAAAGTTGGCAGAGGAAAAGGAGCGTATGGAACAGTTGGCAGCCAAGGTAAGTTGTTCAAGATCGAGATTATTAATGAGCCAGGTGTTGATCTTGTATGGAATTTGTAGATGTCGGCTAAACGCTTACAACGATTGAAGAAGAGAGAAATGAGAAAGAAAGCCAGAGTTTAATGGAACTATACCGCATATTTTTTCTTCATTACGTTTTACTTTTTTTTTCACCATTTCTCCTCGTATGATTCAAAACATTGTACATAAAATATAAAGCATCTTTTTCTTTTCTTACTTATCATTCAAGTTTATATCAGCTGTTTAGACGTTGTGGCTAGTAGGTAAAAAATGATGGTGGGTGGCAGAGAATGTAGGCTATGAATGTTGCTGCATGATATACACAGTTTGTCTATGCCATCCGAGGATGATGGTGCTTCCATCCCCGTTTGAACTGAGTTTCATGCTCGCCCTGAAATTTCCCCACCCCTCGGACTCTGATAGCGGAGCTGTCCAGTGCTGTCATTGACAAGCGTAGGCATATTCACAAAAAAAAGAGAGACGCATCGTCGATCTGAATTGTCAAGAGAGATCGGTCTGTCATTCTGGTTTGTCCCCTCTTTTCATGGCAACTCACTGTGTCGTAACTCGCCATATTGTATTCGTATGGCGTTTGGTAAAAGACCAGCTAAAGACTTGATCGTCTAATTATGGAATACATGCTTTCGAGCTGTGTGTAGTCGATAAGCTTATTCAACTGACGCTGAGTCTTATTTTTTCACCGATTGAATGGCAGTGTTACGAATCTCTATTTTTTCCCATATCATCCCATTTTCCCCGCCCCCTTTGCTTTTTTTTTTTTTTGCCCCCTGACGATGCGTAACATGGAAACACGGAGAATGAAACCTAGCAATATCAAGCTTTATTCCTGTCAGGGTTCAACGCCATATCGACCATGTCAGCTCAGCGAAAAGGAAAACTTGGCGAAAACAAGGTATTTCATTTGCTTTTGCTGGTTATCTCCAATGAGGGACATCGCAGGTAGAAGAGGCGAATAACAAAAAAAGTAAAAAACAAAAACCTTGAACAAACAAATAGTATCATCTGCAGCCATTGAATTTTTCTCTCACAAATCCATCCTTTTTGATTTATTGCCTTTCGACTGCCCACTTTGACTTGTGCAAAATATAATTAATTGCCACCGTCGATGATTTATCTCATTCTCCCAACCTAAAATGTAAATGCCATGGGGTGTGACAATATAACATAAAAAGAACCAGATACAAGGTTCAAGTGGAAAAAAAAGAAATGATGCTTCATCTTTTACGATGCAGGAGCGACTGCATTGCATGTACTGGCAGCCTTGCGAGAAAAAAATAAAAAATAAAAAATAAAAACGAAAACAGCCACTCGTTCCGTTTCATCCGTCAGTTCTCGCTGTCATCTATTTTGTTTTCTTGCTTTCTGTGCATGCATCGTCATCATTCGTTTTTGGATGAGAAGACGATCGTATCGTAGGTTGCAGTTCCTTATTTGGAGATCAGTCCACTTTGATTTGCTATGTGAGGGCGTGTGTTTATGTTGCTTCATTTCTCGCTCTGTATTTGCGACACAACATCATCTCTCCCCTGGTTATTTTTGTGCTATTCTTTTCACTTGAAATATTTTCATTCTTTTTTCCCTCTCTATCCTCCTCCACAAACCAACCACATTCTTTTGTTCCCCTCGCTTGATTGATAGTAACAGCTTTTTGCTATCATTTTGACCACTTACTTTCCCTTTCCATTCATCCACAAGTTCTCATTTTCGGTTTTCGAAACAAACTACCTATCATTTTGAGCTTTTCTGTTCGTTTTCCATATCAATCCTTTTCAGCTTCCCTCTTATTGGCTAGTCCTAGTGCTATCGTCTCTTAGTTCCCTTCACCAAAAACATATCAATCCACCACCTCGCGTCTATTTCCCTATTCATCATTATAAACGCATTCTCCCTTTCAACAGATATGACTGATAATAGCAAGTTCCTGTTGACCACGGAATATACATCCGATTATACTTTGTCTCAACATCACCACAAGATCCAATTGTCGGATGAATCGTTATTATACCATGGTAAAATTTCGACACACTGTTTCTCTGTCATTTTCGTATCAACAACAGTCTGTCTTCGCGATATCTTATCTAGCTTTTATTTGTATATTTTTTTATGCACTTGATTGTTTCCTGTAGACAATACATTCGATTACAACGCCAATTTATCTGTAGGCGATGTTACGACATCTGCTGCCGCTGCAGCAGCTGCAGTGGCTGCAGCATCGGTGTTTGCCGTGCCTTTGTCGTCGCCCTCCACGACCGTAACGTATCAACCCTGTGACTTGAACGACTTGATGATGAATAGTGATGATGCAAGTAACCCACATCAACCACAACACCACCAGCAGCAGCAATCCCGTGAACATTCTCATCATTCACAGTCGCATCCCTTTTTGGTTCAGCAACAGCAGCAGCAGCAGCCACAGCTTCATTCGCAGGGACAGATGCAGCCACAACAGCAGACATTGATGACGCCAACTTCGACGATGGCTCCCGTCATCCACACATCGACTGTATCCGGTAGTATGGCGCGTCAGCATGAACCTATCAGAAGCCCCGATACCCCAATGTCATGCTGCACGTCTCCCGCGCCTGCCCCTTTAGCCGCCACTCAAGGCGCCGGGAAATCTGCACAATTGACAGGCCAATTCCTGCCTTGTTCTCCGACGTCCCCGAGCGCCTCCCCTTCACCATCCATGCTTCATCATCATGCGTCCACCCTTACTGAAACGATTGCTCGAGCTTCCACTTTACCCGAAGCCTTCTACCCCGAGTTTCTGCAGTATTCCAAAGAAACTTATGAGCAATCTACCAGCCCTCACCGTAAAAAGCGACGATGCAACAATGTTAATAGTAGCTCCCCACCCATGAATCATCATTTGATAGAGCAGCAACAGCAGCAGCAACAGTCATCATCTCATGCCGCAACACGGCAGCCAACATCGGTACCACAGCAACAACAACAGCAGCAGCAGCAGCAGCAACAGCAGCAACCGATGGCTCCCAACCCGACAGATATGATGAAATCAGATGACGATATCCAATGGGAAAATAGCTCGTTAAAGTGTCAGCCACCTTCGATGAACCAGTAAGTACAATGATCCATCATGCAGTCACTTGTGGTGAGGCAAATTATTGATTCATTGGTTATTGTTTCAGTTTATCCAATTCTGAACTTCGTCGCCAAATTCATATCCAATCCGAACAAAAGCGACGAGCACAGATCAAGGATGGTTTTGAAGATCTACGAAACGAACTGCCGAGTTGTCTCAATAAAAAAATGAGCAAAGTTGCTCTTTTACATCGCAGTAAGTGTTTTTCTTTTGCAGTGCATGAGCAAAGGGTTTGTCCTTGGGTGGATCGGGAGAGCTATGATTTGTACTTGGTTTGCATGTGCTATAAGAATGGATTGAGTTGATTCCAGTTGGCATACGTATTCAAATGTATGCGAATCTATGACTAATAAAAATGTAGCTGTGCAACACATTCAGCATCTGAAAAGCACACAAATGACCATTCTCGCCGAACTTGAACGGTTGATCAATGAAAATGAGCAGTTGCGAAAGTAAGACGTTTTTTCAGGTTTTAGCATGCTGTCTGTTGCTTGGATAATGCCAACTAATTGATATTCAGATTTCAAGATAGTGTGCTGCAAAAACAGGCGCTGGAGAAGATGTACCAGATGAACAATATGTGATTTGCGCTTTAAAAACGTCAGATTATATTTCTTTATTTTTCTTGTCAGTATTTCTTTTTCTTATCTCATTTGTCCTCTATGTTGTCATTTTATTTAAGGTTTATTCCCCTTTTTTCATCTTTTTTCTTTTATATGTAAACTCTTCTGACAAGCATTGTAACTCCTCTTGTCCCCTCGATCTCTCTCAACCCCCTTTTTCTTCTTCGCTGTCTCTTTTTTTTTCTACACTTAATGTTGTATATGCATCTCATTATATATGCCCGATTCTTGCAAAAACAAAAGGTTCCCTTTCAGCTACAGATTTTTGTTTCATACAATAGTTTGTTAATATGCAACTTTCAATGATGCGGATTAATTGCATTCGTGCTCAAGAACGAATATACTCTACAAAAAAAAATGATCGTTCTACGTATAATGGTATGTCAGGCAGAAACATCGCCGCTATTGGTAACCAGCCGTTACATAACAGTTACTATCTTCGACATGATAAAGAGAAGGTACAATACCTATGACACGTTCTCCAACTGTCGGAGTGCTGTCACGACATTTAACAAGTTTTGCCGGTGATACTAGTAAAAAGAATGTTGACGCTTTGTTGTTCTTTATTACCGTCCACCCATCCATGAGGTATATGCGTTTTATATTTACAGCTTAAAAAGCACAAACAAGATGTGTCGGGGAGAGGGGGGGGGGGGGCACACAAGTAAAGCGGCCCTGAAGTGGAGATACCGAGGCTGAGTTTGCTCGGTTGTCACCAACCTACTTTCCGGATAACAAAAATATACAACTGCCCTGTGCTTGTGTAACTCTGAGAGCAAGAATAGTTTCCTATCATGACATCCGAAACCAAGCGGATTTGATGAATGCACGTCAAATGAATTACGTTTTCATAGGAGCTGCAGACAATCCGTGACTCCTCCTGACTGTGTCATAATTTACCAGATGTCAGAAAAAAGGGCTGACCTACCTGACAGTGAATAGACCATGGTCCATTCTCTCATATATGGTCAGAATGAGACAGGATAATTCCCAATGGCACATCATCATCCATCGGCGATTTGTTTTCCGCTGAACACAAACGCATGTTTTGAGTTTTTTTTTTTTTTTTTTTTTTTTTTAAAAAAAAAATCATTGACATGAATTTTGGTCGGCAGCATCTCCTATGTTTCCTCTCTGACTTGCTCATTTAGCTAATAAGGACCAAATTCTCTCAGGTTCGCGATAATGTTATAGCTTTTTGGTGACAGCAAGTATCCTCTATATGAAGTTTTATATCCCGGGAGTCGGAGGTCGTTTTTTCACTACATTTCAATACGGTTAATGCCCGGCCATGAGCATGAACTTTACAAGAACCTGATGAGCGTGCGATGAAATACACGACGGCCAGCAGATAAAGGCATTTGCCGAGTTCAAATATATCATTTGGAGACCGACTGTCACAACAATTAGAAGCGGAGTCCTTCCCAGACTGCTTGATTTGACTGATGGAGGGTGGAGCACCAGACTGCACCAAGTAGGATGCAGCTGGTCTTATCGATTCGATGCATCATTTTTCTATGATGACATCAATATATATACGGATGAACGGATAACATTTTATGTCAAAAAATCGAACCATCCTATTACCTTTTGCATAATACATTTATTCGATACAACCTCGGCGATCTAAAGAAGAATGAGTTTATGCTGCTGAAAAAGAAGATGTCAACATTTGACAGCATGAGTCTAATTTTTTTCCCTCTTTTCTTTTCGGGTCCAAGATGGAAAAGGAGGCAGCAGCAAAAAGGAGACTATGATGCGCTGTGTACCACATTGCCTCAATTGTACGCCTTGCGCGTGCTCTTTGTTGGGAAGTTTCGCACACCCAATAATAATCATCGTGGCAATAATAACAATAATAAAAAAAAGAGACCACTCTAGCTTTGCTCCCTTCCTTTCCTCACCCCCCTTTTTTTCTTCTCTGCTGTCCCTTTCTTCTCGCTCACCACTACATCGATTTCGACTGACGATTCATTCCTCACTCGATACGCTTTTTTAAAGAACTCCACCTGCTAATCATCAGGTGACAAACGGACAAAGTAAGCCATGGGCCTCATGCAAACTCCATCTCCAATACTTAGCCTTCTAGCAACCCCCTCAAAAAGAACAAAGTAGTGCGATACTCCCCTCCGTGATACCACCGAGAAGAAAGATAAAAACGAGAGACGCAGCGAAAAAAGAGAAAGAAGTAAAAAAAAAAGTTCAGTAACTGAAAAACTACCGACTACACGAACCCAAAGGGAAAAACGTCATTATTTTTTGTCGACGCTGTCTATATCATGGAACGTATTCCCGAAGACGAAGAGCAGCAACGACTGCCTCCACTTCCCTTTCTCACTAAGCCAGTTCATCCTTTTGAAGCGCCGTACAATAAACAACGTACACCGCTCGGATTGGCTCGACCGCAGCCGCAAGACCCACTAGCCATTCGGTTACAATCCTCACCCCATGGTATGAAGCAATCCTTACCGCCCAACCATCCCTTGGCTGGGTTAATGCATTCATCTCCGCCAAGTGCAGCCGCCCTGTATCAACAACAACAAATGAACCGCTTACATTATTATCATACCCGACCGCCCGTTTATGTCAGCAAACCTTCCTTTGGTTTGAAGGATTTTGAACTGCTCGATACTCTAGGTAAGCTTGCGATCCAACCAGGCTTCCCTCCAGTTCACTTGGTCGACCATGGAGGAGTCATAAATCCTGGTAACGAGGTTCAATAAGAATATCATCTCATCAACGTTGTGTATTATTTCATACGTAGGAACGGGTACCTTTGGTCGTGTGCACCTTACCAAATTCAAACAGACCAACAAATACTACGCTATGAAAGTGCTCAAGAAATCCGAAGTGATTCGATTAAAACAAGTCGAACATCTTTTGTCAGAAAAGCAAATATTAGCGTCCGTTCGTTTTCCCTTCATCGTGGATCTGTAAGTGGGGATCAAAAAATCATTTTCACGGGCATTTTGTCTGCATGGCGAACAGTAGAGGAACACGGCTCGGATCCGATTCGCTGATATTGATGAATGTTTTTTCTTTCAGATTTTGTACCTTTCAAGACGACGTGAATTTGTACATGTTATTAGAGTATGTGGTTGGTGGCGAGCTATTTTCGCATCTACGGCGCGCCGGTCGCTTTACGAACGATATGACTCGATTTTATGCTTCAGAAATCGTATTAGCCATTGAATATCTGCATTCAAAAGATATTATTTACCGAGATTTGAAGCCGGAGAACTTGCTCGTCGATCATCAAGGTCACATCAAAATTACCGATTTCGGATTCGCCAAAAAGGTGGTGGATCGGTAAGTGAACATGCATGTGAAAATTTTTGCCGTCGGAAACGGCATGGTATGATCCTTGGTTTCTGTGAAAGTGTTGTACTGATGGGCGCAATCACCTGTTGTCTGTAGAACATGGACATTGTGCGGTACCCCTGAATATCTGGCACCCGAAATTATTCAGAGTAAAGGTCACGGAAAGGCCGTCGATTGGTGGGCACTTGGCATCCTTATTTTTGAAATGCTGGCAGGGTAAGCTGGACAATGCTGGGAGTCTTGAAAAGAAAAAGCGTCATCACAGGACTGACCATCGACGATGCGGCACAGATACCCTCCTTTCTTTGACGACAATTCGTTTGGCATTTACGAAAAGATCCTTGCGGGCAAAGTACAATTTCCGGCCCATTTTGATCCACTGGCCAAGGATTTACTAAAGCGGCTGCTAGTGGGTGATCGAAGCAAACGATTAGGCAATCTCAAGGTAAGGATAAATCATGATCTCGGAGAAAAAAGACGTCTCCGCCTCGATCTATTTTCTTTTTTTCCACTGAATTAACGCTTTGAATTTTGTGTGACAGGGAGGCTCGGAGGATGTGAAACGGCACAAATGGTTTAGAGGTGTTGACTGGCTAGGTTTACTGGACAAGAACGTGCTGGTAAGTCAAGAATTGGTTGCCACACGGCGATGTATAGGTGATTGATTGTATGTAAAATGGTTACTGGTTAGGCACCGATTGTTCCGCCTTATCATCATCCTGGTGATACCGGTAATTTTGAAAAATATCCAGAAACTGTGGAGATCGAGACCGATGTTCACACGGGCGAGGATCCGTACAAGCATTTGTTTGTGGATTTTTCATCTTGATCTTGTTCCTTTTTCTTGGTGCTTCCTTCTTTTACTGCGCATGCGCTCGTTTCTGTCAACTTTTTGTCTCGTCGTCTTCCCTTCAATCCTCCTGGCGCTCTCTTTCTTTTATCTCCAAAGACACATTACTGTTTTTTATTATCGTTCTTTTACTTCTCCTTTTCTATCAGCACGAACTCATAAAAAATTGGCAAGAGCAAAAAAAACCAACAACCGCCAAAGCCTAGTATCACCCCAAAAAATAATACTGTTTCCATTTCATTCTCTTTGACTTCCCTCGCCCTTTTTTTCCTTTCCCCGTTTCTCAGCATGGATTCATCCTGGTTTTTCTTTTTCCTTTTCCTTCTTTTTCTCATTCGTTATAGTTCATAAATACACATATACCACTCTCTTCTTCTTCTTCTTCTTCTCCATGGTAATTTAAAGGAACAATCTTTCATGTATTTAGCATATCGGACTACAGCAGACCCAATCCGGAGATAAACGATCAACTAGTGTCATGAGACGGTAAATACAAACGGCATGCCATCACTTAACCCAAAAGTTCCGCTTCTTAATGATATGAAAGACTGGATTATCGTCATTACTGGGTCCACTCTCAACCAGCAATGAGAATTTCAAAAAAATATATGGACTACATGCATAAGCTATAGGGTGACGCCATGCATCGCGAGGGACTAATTTTACTGTGTCAATGCGGGCGTAGATTTCGATTTTAGAGATTGGATTATTGCGGGAACTCGTGTTATTTTTCTTATACAAAATATAGTCTACATTAGGTTTTTTCAAGGGATCATTGTAACTTTAGAATAGTACTTCCATTGCGGAGGATTCTTTTTTCTTTCTCTATGACGGTGCATCGACAATGCCGCCATACCGTTGGGATAACACTTGTCGCACGTCCGGAGTCAATGCAGACACGACCGCTTGCCATTGTTCCTCTGGCATCAAGTTTTTATACCCCATTAGGATCTAACAAGACGTGAATATTTTCATTTTTCTTATTTTTCTCAAGTCTGATGTATCGTCGTTTTACCTCGTTGAATTGTTTGAATAATGGAGGCGTGGGCAACTGCCATTGTCCTATAATTTTCATGAGGACAATAATGTCCTACATTTGCCAACGCATACATCGTATCAGTAAGGGTGTTTTTATCGTCCGTCAAATAACCCACCTGGATGCCCGCTTCCGGGTTGGCTTTAATTAATTCACAAAATCCTTGAAAGGCTGAGTCCTTTTCGCCATTTTCTCGTACTGTAAATGATACGGCCAGCCACGGTTTGATAAATTGTGGCAAATGGGCGGCTACAATGCTGGGACAGGCTAATCCAAGTCTTCCAATTGTGATCATTGCGTTTTCACGTAATGAATTTGGGATCTCGGGAGCAACCAGTAAAGGAAACAATCGTTCAAGAAGTGGCTTCACAAATGGTTCCATATCAGCCAGCCATCGTATCGCAATTTCGCCGGCGGCCCAAATGGCATTGTTGCATACGGAAACATTTTGAAAATTGGGTCCAACTTGCTGCAGAAGTTCCGTAAGAAAAGCAGGTAGATAAGATCGAAGTCGTTCAAAACAAGCGATGGCCAAATCGCCAATCAAAGCATATGTTGACTGCAGCACTTCCGTGACGGGGTCCTACGCATACAAGTACCATAATTAGGTGATCAACAGAAAAATGACGGACGGACATATCGGCAAATGGGATGATAGTTTACATGTATACAGACGGCTAAAAGGGACAGGATGGGTGGATCGGATTTTGCGACCAGAGGATCGACTTCAGCCCCCATGCCTTGAACCATGCCCGACAATAGATCCAGGGCAACGACCATGAATCCAACATCGGGCGGTTCCATCATGTGCGGTTGTTGATCAGCAAGGTACGTTTCGTGCAGAGTTGATGCGACCAGTTTGACACATCTTGTAAACACCGGCTCTGCAAAAAGAGCAAATCCAGTGCCCAAGGCTGCGGTGATTGAGGAGAGGCACTAAACGCAAGGTTCGCATATCATTACATTCACTCTTTAGCTTCATTTTTATGCATACCTCAAGCAAGGGAAATAAATCAGTATCTTGATCCGAGAGATCGTTCCATTTGGCAATTAGGGGTGGCATCATGAGGGACAAACATCGTGGGTGATTGAGAGCTGAGCCGACGGATTCTGCCAGGGTGCCGAGAGCATCATACAGGATTAGCAGATTTTTATGTTGATACATTCGAAAAGCGGTGGTCAAATTCACCAGAATAGGTTCGAGATACGGCACCAACTCAAGCGTCGCTTCTTCCTCCAACATGGCAAAAGCAGAGCAAGCAGCTTCTTGCACGCGCTTATTTTTATCCAACATGCGTTGTAATAAACTGTACAATACAGGTTCGAAGAACGTCCCGCGTCCTTCAGGAGTAACACATTGATCGACGCACCAGCGTGAAAAGCGACCAATGGCCCAGCAAGTAATCGATCGAATGAGAGGCTGTTAAAGGACCGTCAATTGGAATAAAAAACAATAGGTTACACTGGATGCTTCCTTTATCATCATCGAATAATTGTCTTACCTTGGTATCATTAAGACTCTGGAGAAGATAAGGCATTAACTGCGGCAAATGAGGCGCAATCGTATCCACTCCTCCTAAAACATTCCAAAACCAATTTTTTCCCCGAAAATGAGAAAAAAGGAAATACAAGGAAGATCAGAACCGTCCTTATGGAGGAGGCAGTCAATGTGAATCATTCCACTGGTTCTACTCTGCTTACCTTCAGCCGCGGCACCCAATGCAAGAATGCCACTTTCTCTTTCTTTCCAATCTTGACTGAAGAGATTTTGATTAAGCAAGGGTAACAAGATGTGGACAACTTTGTCTTTGTAAGTGGAGGTGAGCACATCCAATGCCGCAGCACTGCATTTACGGAGTGTCCATTCCGAGAAAAATTCATCATCTTCCAAATCGTCATCATCATCCTCGTCGTCTTCATCCTCTTCATCCAAGGATTCGTCATCACTCATATCCGAAGTAATGTCATCTTCAGTTTCGCCGGCTTTCAATTCATCTTTGGTCTTATTTTCCTTTTTACTCTGGGTATCTCGTTTCGCCTGACCGTGCTTATACCGATAAAACCGTGGTTTGATGGATTGTTCATCATCTGCCACGTGAGCATCTTCTTCATCACCACTGAACATCAACAGATCCATTTCCGAATACACCATGCGTTTCAGTAGCACAGGTACAATGCGGTCCAGATAAGGTAAGAGCCGATCGTGAAAGTCGCGCACATTGACAAACTGGAGCCAAAAATCGCAGGCTTCCAGTGCGACTTGTTCATTGTCATCCTGGGTGCAATACAGCATGTATTCGACGATGGAGGGAAGCGAAGGGGCTAGTTTGTCAGGACGAGCCTCAAGCACCATGACGAGCGATCGACATATTTCTTGACGTACTTCGGCATTCTCGTCGGTGGCTCGAGCAAACAATCCAGCCAAGAATTGATCCATATGGGTCATGAGCGACTGTGACCGCAGCAAAACAAATTGACTGGTGGCTGCCATGGCTTGTACTCGCAACCTGGGATCGGGGTTGTGGAAAAAGGTGATGAATTTAGGTATCATGTAATTCAGTGGACGATCGCCTTCAATCTCTTGGTCCAGATCGCGGGCAGCGTCTTCACACACCTTGCCCAACGTATCAAAAGCCATCTAAAATGCACGTATAAAAACGTCATGTTATCATGTGCTCTTTCTTTTTTTCTTTCTTTCAATATGACGCACACACCATCCGCATCCGTATCCGCATTGCATCCCCCATTCCTGCGCGCACTTTTCCTTTCCCAGTAACTCGCATCGGCCTAACCCCATGCTTCTTCATGACTTTTACCTCTACTGTGACTGGATCAGGACTGTCAAGCTTTTCCATGAGGATACGTAAAATGTCGGGCCAGTTGTGTACCTGGCCTCGAGTGACAATGGCCGTAATGACAGAACCCACGGTTTTTCGGATATTGACATCGGGATCGGGTTGGTGAAGAGCTTCGATGCAGGATGTTTTGATATAATCGAGGACATGCAAGGGAATAGTATTGAAAAACGATCGGATATTGTTTTTTAGAGTAAGTCCGGCAATGGCCCGTGTATACGATTCTTCTTGAGGCATTTTGGTCAGGATGTAGACAAGATACGAGTTATAATCCGGAATTTCATTGAACGAAGCCAGTTTCTATGTTCACATCAATACAACTCTTTTTGAGAACCAAACTTTTTTGCTCTGTTTTGCTTGTTTCTGGCATGTCCTTTGTAGCAAAAAAGTAGAAGCATTGGGTTGCCAGAGGTGCAAGCGTAGAAAAGATAAGAAAACAAGCAAAAAAGATGTACATGTAACAAAAAGGGCCAAAAAAAAGAAGAAACAGAAATAGACATAAAGCTACTGGAAGCTTACTTGTTGAACTAAAGCTTGGTCTCGACCCTCGGGCTGAATGGCTCCACGAAGAAGAATGAGCAATTCGCGTAAGCCCTGTTGCTGTGGCTGCCAATGGGCCATGGTGCGATCAGACAGTTAATGAGAAAAAACAAGAAAACGCCAGGCTATTGAAAAAGAGTGCAACAAAAGAAGACTGCAATAAGAGTCAAGAAGCGAAAAAAAAGATATACAAAAGTGTACAATAAAATATGTAAAAAAAAGGACAAGGAACACAAGAAATCAAAACCGAGAAGCAGCTAAAAAAGCAATCAAGCAACGGTCGTTTCTTCGTATCTCCACCCCCGCCTCCCCCCCTTTTTTTAGCCTTTGTGTTTGTTTCGGTGCTTGCCATGGTACCCTCACTTTTTTTTGTGGTCATTCCGTTGGACGAAATGGGGAATGATGAAGGTCCTTTCCCACTTTTGTTCACCGCCCCGTGACAATCCACGATTACGTGCAACTTAGAAATTGCAATCCCTCAATTGACTTGCTTTGTGAGATGTGCAGTCAACAAAAAAACAGTCGTTGTCTTTCACTTTCCAAACTCAAAACAATATTTTTCTCTTATCGGCTTTGACTGCTGAGAACGTGCTTTGCAGTTGTGTTTGTGCTTTGCATCTGCGTCGTATGAGACACGAAAAAAACAATGCCCTCCCAACACACAGCCCTGACGTCATACAGAAGAACGGTGGCCGCTTGCTGCTCAATCTTTTTGTGTATCGTCACTCAAACACGCTTTGTCACACAAAGTGACACATAACCTTCTTTCCTCTTGCACTTGACCAACGCCAATAGCAACGGTGACATGATAAGCAGCCTCTTCGTAAAATTCTTTGTTGCCCTCAGTTAAAATGCTATGACAGCAAGATATCAGATTCATCGCTGCCGTGGAGTCGACCAAATTACAAATAAACCCTATATTGTTTCCATGCAAACAGCCCGCCAAAATCGACTAAGCAAATAGAAATTTTTAACACAAAGGATAGCAGCAACCAGTATTCAAGTCTCATAACATGAGCTACAGTACGGCGAAAATGCATTGGGAATAACCAAGATTTAAGAGATCCAGCATTACAAAGCAGGCTATGAGCTGAGATTCAAGTGACATGGCGCACAGACATAGACCATTTCAGATATCCGCTGCTGTGGTCTATTTATAACAAGAACCTCAAAGACGGCATTTAATTTGGTATGGATTTATTTATTTTTTTTATGCTAAATTTTGCGATTTACAAAGATGCATTGAATTCTGAACATCGCGCTAATAAGACAGAAAATGCAAGGTGATCTTTTCCTTACTCTACAGGAATACGGACTGCCTTTTGGATATCTTCTTGTCGTTTAGGGACGGTCACCTTGAGAACACCATCTTCGTATTTGGCTTTGATAGCATCCGCTTGGATACGAGAGGGTAAAGTGAATGCCCTTTGGAAGGAACCGGTCACACGTTCATTGGTCCACCATTGTTGCTGAGGGTGGGCTACCTCGGTAGATGTCGTTGCCTTTGCAGGCACATTTGCTCCAGATGTACCTTCCGTTGCGGTTGCGGTTGCTGATGCTGCGGAAGTTTCGGAAGTGGCGGATGTGGCGGACGCTGTTGCCTCGGTTGTGGGTTCGGACGATTCGGCCTTATGCTGGTCAATCTTGCCACGCAGGACCAAGGTGTGCTCATCGGCCATTTCGATTTCGATGTCTTGCTTCTTCACACCAGGTAATTCAGCATGTAGTTCATAAGCTTCAGGAGTTTCTCGGATATCCGTTGCTGGATACCGCATTAGCGGAGCGTAAGCGGATCGTCGAGCCACATTGAAGATGGGTTCGTCGAACATTGAGAAGGCACGTTGCATGTCGCGGAAAGCTTCAGAAAATAGTCGCTGAGAAAGAGCCATGATAGTTTGTGTGTATTATTGAAAAAGTAAATCTAAAGATATTGTCCTGCCCTTCGTTGCTGTTGTCCTTTTATAATAGAGACAGCCCTCCTTATGCATACCGTGATTTTTTGACTCACTTTTTGCTCGAATTTTCCGGCATTTGCTCGTCCCTTGATATCAGCGGTAATTCAATCTCCGTCAGAAACATCATGCTTGTAATTTCATTGGTTAATTCCCCTGCTATCTGCACTCATTTGGGATGGCTCCGATTTCCGCAGCATTACATTTTTCCAACCAACCACACACCTTTACAAGTTTCCTTATCAATCCACGGTTTCCGGTTCTTTCTCGTGACCGCCAGTTCCTGCCTTTTATGTTCTCTGCAAATTACCGGTTAATTGTCTAGAAGGTTCCCAACAATGCAAATAGTGTGAAAATTGACCAATAGCTGGTGGAAAGGTGTGCCCTTGCCGGCTGCTCTACCTGCATTGCCCCAAGTCGAACACTGGACCTGAACGGACATTAACTCATTGTGAGCTAGTTGGAATATTGTAGGACAAATGGGATATGGTGATCGGGTGTCTTTAATAAAAGTTTTCCAGTATAAGAATTATGAATGAAAACAAAGAGAATGATTATACAAATAACAAGGAACCGCTAGATTTCAGCAATGTACTTTCCAGATCTGACAGACGTTTGTACTTCCATTATTTTAGCCCATAGAATCAAGTTATCCTCCCCTTTGGTTATCTGCACTGAAGAAAACAGTTGCTGCTTGGCTTCAAAACGGATGGCTAATGGATGGGGTGATCCTCTTGATTTGGTAGTAAATCTTGCCTTGAGCACCGATTCCTCGTCACCGTCGAGCTTCCCGATAGGCCACACCATGCATTGCTGCTCGACGAGCCATTCACCAGCAGGAATACTCTGAGCATTTTCGACATCGCTGGTGACGGTTGTCATCAATGTGATGTTCTCGAGTTGCAACGCCTTGTTCTTGGCTCTAAATTTCACCAAAAGACGGGATTGATCGTCATCGCACTTCCACATTGGTTTAACAATCAGAGGGACGTCGTTGACATTGTTTACTAGATATTTCATGCACATCACCGGAATGTCACCGGCGAGATGGAACATGTTTGTATTCAGGCGATACACATCCGTGTAACCCTCCAGTAATGTCACATAATTGGCGTTGGGGCTGATTTGACTAATCATATCCACATTGTCGAGTCGGAAGCACACGGGCGATGCGCTTTCGGACGGTCCCTGATACGTCAGATAAACTTCACCCCAAACTGCGGCTTTTGTTATTTCGCCTTTCTGAAGGACGGCATGCACGGTTTCTGTGATGCGGACTTTGACCTGCGGCAACTCGCCTGTAAAATCGACCGTTTTCTCGCTCGCTCCGCTCGCGTTGACGAGGTTGGAATCGAAATCATCCTCAAATGGCGATACTACCGGAGGTTCCTCCACGTGAGTCGGCAATGGTGTCAACGTATCAGGAGAAGGTGTAGCGTTATGAGGCTGATCCTGTTCTTTTTCCATCACTGGATTCAAAAGTTGCATAGATCGCATGTTCCTAGGTAAGAATAATAAGATGAGTGAGCACCTTTCACACATCAGCATTTCCATTTGACAGCTTACTCTCTTCGACCGCGTGGACGCTTAGGTGTAGATGTCTTTTTCTACAAACAAAGGAGAATATGAGTACATTGGTGTGAAGATGATATGGTGACTGTAACTATAGGAACCTCTTTCAGCAACGATGCTACGCGCGTAAGGGCCACAGCGGCATGTGACGCATCTTCTTCCTTGACCGTTTCATTTTTGATGTCCACCTTTAGTCGTCCGTTGGCCATCATACTATCCACTTTCTTTTTTAGCGATCACTTGTTTCCTCCATAAGCTGAATTTCAATATTACCTGCTACTGTCTGACTCTTCACCATCGTGCAATTGGGACAAAGATGCAATATCCGGCCAAGCCGCACGATCAGGGGGAGGAATTGAATAGCCTTCCGCATCCACCAATACCTTGGGCTGTAGAAAAGCGCATCTAAGCATGAGGTATTGGCTCATTTTTCTTCCGTGTTTCCATCCAACTTACTGGTTGCTGCGATGTGCCGCTCATGAAACTTCCTGTAAAGCTGGGCGCTTTTCTTAGCGAAGGAGGCGTCAGCGACGTCGGCGAGGCGGGTGTATCGGCGTTTACAGGTGAATGCAAATCGCCGGATTGATTTTCGTAACTGAACGCATTGGAATGAATGCTGCTATTATCACCCATACTGCTAGCATGATTCGAATGGTATTCGTGAAATTCGGGAGCCATGGTATCTGCATTAACATAGCCTGAATCAGCCTTGGGTCGACGACGAATGGAGACCAACGTTGATAGAACTAAGACGCAGGTTCATACAGCATGTTAGTGGTGTTATTTTTCCAAAACCAAATGATCCAAACTGGTCTCTGCAAAGATCTCTTTACATTTTCGCTGTTTTTCCGGCTTTTTCAATGACTTGGTATTTTGGAAGCTTGATTCGGAGGTGCTCCGGGGTAAAGAGTCGGATACGTTGAAAGAATCGAACGATTTCATGGACCGAACGGTTTTCGATTGTGTCGATGCTTCAAGCATGGTGGCTTTGTTCATGAGGGCGGTGTGTGCTGTGCCGCAGAAAGAAATAATTTCATCCTGAACGTGGAAGTTGTTGATCGCTGTCAACGTATCACCTGCCATCTGGAATGGTTCAATGATTTTAAGCACTTAGTCAGCATGGAGTGGAGTTTTTTTTTTTTTTTTTTTTTTTTTTTGAAGAAATCGTACCTCGACGCGTTTGAGTAGTTGGTCGTTTTGCAAGGCTTCAAAGGCTGCCATGTACGATTGAAGAGCTTGCCATCGATAATTTTCTACTGCCTCGTATTTCTATTGTATAACTGATTTTAGGAATGGAACAGAAACAAAATTTTCATTATATTGCGCTTCCTGCACAAACTACACAATTTACTAGCACACTTACATACCTGAATGTAATCGGGTGCGGAACGTTTCCATTGAGTTTGAAGTGTGGAGAGATGTTGGGTGTGATCTGCTAGTTTTGATTCTGCATCTTGCTTCTTCTTGCTACCAGCTTTGTCTGCAGTATACTTTTGCTGTAAATAGACTGGTGAATGGAACTGTGGCACGAATCCGGGGACATAGAAGCATGGGGGGAAGCTTACTTTTGCAATTTTCATTTGTGCATCCTCATAATCTTTGACCAATTTTTGGAAATCCAGGTCCATCTAAAGGTCGCAACATCCAACGATTAATTACACCTCCTCAAAATGATTTTTAATTATGGGTGATCCAGTATTTCTTTTTTTTTTCTTTTTGTCCGGGATACTTACAGTTTTAATACTTGCATAATCTGGATTATTTTGAATGCACGACCGTAGCGGACGTTCAATAGTTTCCGTCATTTTAACCGCCATGTCGGCGTGGATGGTGGAAGTTTCGCTGAGTTCGTTTCGTAGCATATCCCACGCAGGGGCAAGACCTCTATCGAGAATTCATCGATGTTCGTGTCGTATATCCACCGATAGCCTTTCCTTGATGAACTTACCCAAAAGCTTCTTTATCAGGCACAAATACTCGCTTGGATAGTTTTGCCAAAGATTTCGCATACTGTTCTTCAACAAGGGCTCTAGAAAATCATTGTCAAACCTATTTAGGCTCTATTTCCTTGGCTTTTATTTTTCCCCCACCAATCCAAAGTATCCGCGTCAAAAAGAAAAATCGTACCTTTCTTTAAAATACTCGGCCAACTCGTCGTTGAGCTTAAATGAACTTCGCAATCGAGCTTGCATGGCTTCGATTCCGTGTTTGGGTCGGTCGGTCTATAAGAATTTCAAAGACGGTGATTGCCAAAAGTCAGAGATGATGAAGTGAACAAGGATGCAAGTGCTTCCATCGGTACCAAAAATGTCCTTAAATACGGACTTGTGTCGTCCATGAGATCGATGGTCATGATGCTGCAATACTATTTTTGGATATGCAGTGGGGTTGGCAGTAGAAGGCTATATACGAAAAGGAAAGCAAAAGAGAGACTCGAGTGGAAAACGCAAAAAAAGTCGGGAAATGGAGAAAACGGTGAGAAAGAAAAAATGAATGGGTGGGAGATGGTGCTAGATGAACCAACAACAATAATAATAACAATAAAAAATAAAAAAACTCGATGACTTCAGATTTCCGCCAAAAAAAGAGAAGGAATCAAGAAGGAGTGCAAGAATTTGATTGGTTAATCAACATATCAATAAAAAGCATGTTGTGAGACGTCCTCGTGTCAATATCGATATTTTTATCACTTGGCAGTTATGTTATATATAAAAATACAAAAATGATTCCATTTATCACACGCAATGTTCCAGATGAAGGAAGAGCAACACTGAGGATACGTTTTTATGTAATCTTCGACCCGCTTTTCCCCATCATTTCAACCCTAGCACACCCGATCCTCGTCAGCGGCGTTCTGCCGGAGTTGATATAAAAAGGGATCGACCGACATAGCCCTTTAGGCAGGAGCCATGACCACAAGACATCAAGCTTGCATCGAGGAGTCTAATTGACGGCTGATAATAGAATGGCAATGTACCAAAATGAGTACAAAACGATGATTCAACCCAGGTTAAAAATGAACAAGAGCTACCTTTGCAAGCATATGGGTTATTGACCCGGAATGACTCTCTCGTACGTTTATTTTTATTTTTTTCAAAGAAAGGTAACGAAATAAACTATAAAATTGGATTGTCCTATTTCATTCATTGAGCTTCATTTTTAATCGAGCCAAGCGGTCGGATCCATGGTAAGAAGTGATAAAGTTAGATAAACACTCTCCCCTCCGCTTCTTTTCCATTACAGTACGAAAAAAAGCCCCCTTTTTCCCCCGGATTTCCTTTTCTCCGGGTCATTGAATTTCTTTTCTTTTTTGATCTATCGCAAATGGATACGGTAGAGTTTAATTTATTTATTTGGCGCACAAACCTCGGCGACTGGAATTTCGAGAGTCCATGCCTGTGATTTGAGCAGACGGTTCTTCTACAGCCGAAGCTATCCGGTAACCTTGGGCTCGGTATTTCGATTGACTATAATGTAGGCTCAGCCGTCGCATTTTATCAATGACCGTTTTGGAATTTCGTCGTACACGTTGAAACGATATCCGTCGTTCGCGTTTTTCAAACTGGGTATAGTCATAATCCAGGAACTCCTCTTCCATGACCTGACGCCACTGAGCATTCTCGGTCACTGGTCGCTCCGCGTCAAAGCTTGTCATCCTCGGTTTGGATTGACGTCGTGATTGGATCAAATCGTCATTATCGGATTCAAGACGATCATTGGTATCTCTTTTTGGTATCTATGCATTCGTTCGTTAGAATTTGATATACAAATCAACACTATGCAAGCGGGAAAATCACTTACTTTATTACAGTGAGGCTGATACGGCGGCGTTACTTGCTTTAATTCAAGTCCTATCCAATCGAGATCGGCAAACCATGGATGCGCAAGAACTTGTTCAAAGCCTGATGCATAACAGCCTAGTCGATGGTAGGGTGATTTGTCCAGGAACTAGTAGTAGCGGAAAAAAAATAGTACAATAGGGTGCGGTTAGTAGCCCAAATTAATGACTTTTTTTTTTTTTTTCTGTTCAGTTGAACCTACTTGACTAATGCCATTGATCCCCTCGGGCGACACGGTTGCGTATGCATGATCGGGAAATAAAACGGGTTGATGAAGAATTTGACGTGTCAAATCTTCGGTAGAGACGCCTTTGAATGGACGCTTTTCAGCCCATCATTTTAAATTGAGAACATGGGAATAAAGATGCCTAAATGAGTACAAGCTTACCTTGCCAAAGAGAAGTTCGTATGCGACTACGCCCAAGCTCCACCAATCTACGGAAACAGAGTATCCCATGCGTCCCAGAGCTTCCGGAGCCATGTAAGCGTGGGATCCTGCCAGGGACCACTGTAATGTTTGCTTTTCATCAAATTGAATGGCCGTATTAAAATCGCTCACGTGCGCATTTCCCCTGGCATCAAGTAAAATATTTTCGGGTTTGATATCTCTGAAATAGAAAACATAAGTCCAATGAATAAGCTTGGAAAAAATAAAAGGCGATTCACTGCCGTCAGCAGTTGCCCAAGACCAGAGAAAGGGAGCACCTAGAATATGAATGTATACCTATGTGCAATGCGATGTTGGTGCAAGTAATTGAGGGCGAGAGCGATTTGGGCAATGTAAAAGCGGGCACGGGATTCTGAGAAAGGGCCCTCAGTCTGCAGAGCGGAATGAAGATCGCCACCAAGCATGAGATCAAGCGCCATGTACAGATTGGTCTCGTCCTGAAAAGCGTAGCGTAAATTGACAATGAGAGGATGGTCTATTGTTTCGAGTAGTCGTCGTTCGGACAGAATATGGTTCGTGGCTCGCTGGTGGATACATTTGTCTTTGTGAATATATTTAAGAGCAAATTGTCGACGCGTTTGTTTATGTCGAACAATGCGAACTTTGCCAAAAGCGCCTTCACCGATCACTTGCAATAACGAAAATTGATCAGGATGAAATCCTATAAAACCGTGTTGTCGATACACATCTTGATAAGAATATCTCCAGTGAAAGCGGCTCATTAAAGATATCAACTAGTACCTTTGATATCATTATCGCAAATAGGTCGTATTGTGATTTTCTGTTCGTCGTCGTCTAGGGTTTGTTTGCAGCATAGAGACCCCATAGTTTTTATCAATAACGATGCAAAACTCAATGAGTGAAATGTGCAATGAGTAGACACCTCAGAAGAAGCCAAGGTAAAGAAAATAACCAACAAATGCCACAAAGATAGAGAAAAGTAATCCGAAACCCTAAAAAAGATCAGACAGAATAAGAAAAAAAAAAAGAAGGAAAAGTGTCTGAACACTAAAATGGTTTCCCAAATTTTCGATGTGTTTGATCATGACTGCAACACGCGATATTTAACAAACAATAGGTTCAGACAGTAACAATCATGACCTTGCTATTCAATCTAAATAAAGCCTCATAAAATAACCCACCTTGACGGTTGTCGGTCATCTCATTTGTCCGTGTTAAAGCCTGACCCTTATTTTGCTTTCATTGTTTTTTTGTTCCTAGAATATGTTGCAGCATGAACTTTCCCATAGGAGACCCAAAACTTCCGATCCAACTTTCATACTCCATTTCGTATCACCTGAATCGCACAGTCTCATCCATCATTTCGTTGCGGCTCTGTGGTCCATTCAACTTATCGTCGATAAAACCTTATTTTTCTCCAATTACCGCCACTTTCTGTACGACATGGCAAGACCCAATCATTCGTTCCTTTGGATTTAATTGGAACGAACCACCAAAGCAAGGTCGATGGAGCTTACCGGCACGACGGTATGTTTTGTGTTCTTTTTTGTTTGCCAAAAGCACTTGTTTTTTGAGAAAGTATAAGTTGAGGCATTCTGAAACTCCAAATACGTCATCAGGACTTGAATTAGTATCGCTAATGAAATGGCTCCTCTATCACTTTCAAAGTGAACAAGTCGTATCGTACTGCTGATCGTACTGCTGAGATTGCTGCCTCAATCTAAATTCAAACATCGATCAGAGCAGCGTTCACCTGCACCTTCTCAGCCAGGCACTTCATCCCGCATCAATGTCCCGCCTATCTATTATTACGTTTTGACGATGGAATGAGGGCTATCCTTCCGTAGTCACTTATCCAATGTATCTGAAACCGTATGGAATATTTACAGTTGCTATGGCTGCTGATTACAAAATGAACGATAGTCAGAATTGTTCACAGGTATCCAGGTGGATAAGGTTACACGACGACACTGTTGGTCTTTTAATGAGCCCACCGCGAGTCTCAGATGCGCCTCGTCTTCGCCAAATGGGCATCATTTTGTCTGTGTTTGGTCGATCAACGAGCTTCCCCTCCAACTTGAGTCTCCCATCAGAGCTACATATCACCGACATGATTCCAAGTCATAATGATTCAACCTTGTTCTGTAAATCAAAGGAAACATCGGCTGCGTTTTTCGTTATTGATTCAAGCTTAAGTGTTGAACATCCATTTCCAAATTGAGAAAGCTACGATTTCCCATGGCGACATGAAACTTCATATGTCAGCATGGATGTGGCGGGTCATTTTCAGACCAAAACAAAGAACATTTACGATATGCAACCTCTCGATCTCTGCTACGATGTACATGTTGTAATAATCAACGTCCATGTATTAGTGCCTTCATTGCGGTGAAATTTATCAACTTTTGCATAGTAGATACATCCGTGGGCCAGAAAGGAACCTTATTGCAACGTTTGCATCTACTGTGATGAGCATTGTCATCGGGTTTTAAAATACGAAATTGGCTGAAAGAAGACCCAGAGTCCAGATCCAATAAACACTGGGAGCCCTCAGTTGAAACCATCGCTCATTTTAGGCTAGCTGGCTTGGAAACTCGCTTGGTAACGAAATTGAAAGCTCCGACAATGGACGCATGAAATAAAGAGGTAATCCCAATGCAAAGCCGTAGTATCCAATGAGTGATGAAGCAATTTACACAAAGGTTTTACAATTAGACTGAAGTAGTTTATGGGAAAAGCGATAATTTTGGCCTTTAGCAATCCATATCGGCGGACCAAACTTTCACCCAGTCGATGGCAAAGGCACCCTTCTTTGTATTGTCCCAGGTATCTATCCATTCATCTCGCTTGCTCCAAAATTTTTCTGCAGCGTCAAGATCATTGTTACGCCAAGGCTTTGAAGGTGAATCTGGCCAATAGCCCGTAGTACCGCCTACCGCGACATCCAAGATCTGTGGGATAAACACCGTGATCAGCCTGACCAATTGCCTGTAACTCACATCGATCTTTTTGGCTTACCAAATAAAACTCTTGATCAAACGGTGCAGCAATTTCACCATCGGTCCACGGATTCATGGACCAGCTCGGAAATTCGCCTCGATTCCAGAATGGCTGATCAAAATCCACTTGAAGCACTGTTCGATTATCAACAGACGTACGTAAACCTTCCATGGACCATTCAAGACCTTATTTTTACGTCGTCAAAACAATATTCATCAGAGACTGCTTTGTCGGTTTTTTCTTTCTTTCAACTGACCATATGTATGAAAATGATCGGCAAATGTGGTATTATCATCGAGAATGGCTTCTGCATGCGTCTGCGCATATCGATTGAGCATTTCATGAGGGCCCCAATGTAAAGTGGAACTGATCATCGTGGTGTTTCCATGCTCGTACTTGACATTCCCCCGCGATTGCAACTAATCATGTCATGAAGTGGATACACCTCGTATGATGAAAAGTTCTTCACTTACAATGTCAATCTCTCCTGGATCAGCGAAGATTCCGTAGATATGTTTGTCAGTTACAATCTTAAAGTTTATGTCGTCTCTGAACTCACCACTGGCAGGCCACGAGCCGTAAACCGAATCTTTGGGTAACATCCAGATGGATGGCCTAGATAATGCATGGTTAGAGAACTGTGATGGATGTCTTTTTACCTCAATTTTTGTATCTTACCACAACCAATCACCGACGGGCAATCGTGCACGGACCTCGACTTTGCCATACCGCAAGTTCATCGACTGACGAGTTCGAAGCCGTGCTGATTGGATACGGTGCTTAGGTAGCGTGTTCGCGGTCGACTGTGAACAAGCTGGGCGAAAGTTTTTGAGTGGGCGTGATCATTCTATTCATGTGAGGAAGAGGTGAACACCTACTTTGGTCACTGGTGTCACTGCAGATGTCAAGCTTTTGTTGATGCGGTAGACTAAGGTATAATTGCATGTGTCAGTTACAGGCATCGTGTGGTGAGTAGAATTGGGATCCAACCTCATATGACTGTGACGTCGTAAAGGCTGTATGGACTCGGCATCGGATGACCATGTCGGTTTGATATACAGAATGCCAGCTTCGATGAAACTGTTGGAGCGGTTATTGGTGAAACTAATAATAGTAGCCATTTTGAGTTTTTGTTTGTGCAACTTATATATAGACGACTTTCAAAGTGGATCGATTCATGGATGATGATCGATTCTTCCTTACGTCTGAAATTCTCCTGTATCTTTTAGAAGCCAAGTTGAGTAGGCGTGCTACCAAGAGTATGTTCAATTGATTCTAGATAATTCTTGATTCTTCACCTTTTTCCGAGGTGACTTCATGTTCCCACTTCTTATGATCCAAATGATTGAAGCCATCTTGAAAAATGAGACAGTGTTGTTTGAGAGTGGGCGGTTGAATCATTTTCAAGTATTCGTCTTCCGTCAGTTCAAAGGCTGATGCGGTAAAGAAGCACCATGAGAGCAGCAGTAATAAATTGATCTTCATGATGAACAACAAGAGAAAGGAGAATTCTTGCGACAACGGTTAGGCACATTTTCTGTTCAACTTGAGAGGAAATGGAATCCATTCCAAACCAAACTCATACCACCAAATCCCAATTCTTTCCCCGCATATGGAAATCTGAGTCTGTTGCCCACAAGTCCACCAGTTCAAATCACACCGCTTTTGCCACTCACTGCTGTTCAATTTCCTTGTCTCTTTTCCTTCTCCTTTATAACCTTTCTGCCTATCTTTCTTACTCTCCCTGCATATTGAAAGATGTCACTTCGGAACCGAAGCTCATCGAAATCGCGCCGTTTTTCTGAAGCGGCCCTTTTACAGTCTCATGACGCCGATCCCAAAGATCGATTCACGGATCTTGCCGAGGCAGCCTTGGATGAAGCGGATATGGAAGAGGAACAGAAAGGTGTAATTCAGGAAGTTGTCGAAGCGTTGATTGCGCGCAGTGGAGCGCCATTAGTAGCTGAAGTCATTTCGGAACAACTGCGAAGCCAAGACGTCATTGAACGTTTAGCGGAATCACACGAAGAACAACGTCAACGTCTCAGAAAGCGACCCAGCTCTCCCGATTCGGTTATCGCTCCCAACATTCTCAAAGAGCCCGTCACCGAACCTATCCCTGAAGAGGCCGCAGCCCACGAAGAGGAAGTGGAACCGGTGGCCTTGCTTTCCGAGTACCTGTGGCGCTTGTTTCGCCTTCTTTTACTCGCCAGCATCGTCGGCTTAATCATCCATTTTGTTTACGCTCATTCTTACGAAACATACGTGTAATTGGTGACGATGACTTTTTTCCTTGGTGGATGGCAGCCAAATTTTATGTGCACTGAAACAACGGGTCCTGGCAGCATTTCATTCAGATGATCATGCACCTGGTTGTTTCGATCGAATTTTTTTTCTTGCTTGTACTCGATGCGACGACTTGCGTACACCCAATGGTGGCCATCGGAGCAGTGCTTTAGCTCTATGCATACAGAAAGGGGAAACGGTTGGCGACCTTTTTCTCCCATATGGATTCGATTTTCATGCTATTTTTTCGGATCTGCTTGCATTCTATGGCATGGAATCTCATTAACCAACAAGGCTTGGCAACAAAGGATGGCTGCATACTACACATTTGAACGTGGGTTTCTTCGCATAGTCATTTCGATTCGGTTTTCACCTTTCCAAATTGGGTAACAATCTTTTGGAGAACGAAGGTTGTGGAACATCATTGACGCAGCGATACACTAACACCACACAAGAGTATTTCGTTCCTAATAAGACAACATTTTTTCTTATCTTTCTACTCTATGGAAAAACTGAATACGGTAAAGAGCGGAAAAGGAATGAAATAAAAATGGGCCTACAGCAGCCGGTGCGTTTTAAGACCGGATTTAGAAATGTCTATTTTGTTTGCTTGCATTACCAATATAACAGACGGAAGAAGCTCGGCAGGCTTTACAATCATGGGGTCGCTATGGTATCTTTAGTGGGTAGCTTCATATTATGTTTTGCAAAAAAAGAAGGAAAACAATACCATATGGATTCATCTGATTTTGAGACTAGACGGATCAATAAGCACTTGTGGCTGCACCTCGACCAGTTGGCAATGAACAAGGCCGGTTCAAACAGGACGGCTGGGACCAAGAAAGTTTCTTCGGGGAGCAATATCAAGTCGAAAAAGATAAAAACTCAATGCTAAAATACACGAATACAAAGAGATGGGGTTAGAAATATTGCTAACCAATTCGATGGATTTATTTGCTCATATCTGTATCATGATGAGTACTCAATGATTCAGTAAAGTTCAGCATCCGATGAGATATAATCGCCTTATACAGTAGATGGATGAATTAAATTGGTGGGAAGGTATTGTATGGTGTTATGATCGATAAAGCTTGAGAATGTTGATTGCATGCAAAAACATACGATGGGTGTCCGAAATGAGAGTGACAATGGACACATGGATAAATTTATCCAGCATCGACTAAAAATATATTGACATCGATGAGCGGATATGCTGAGTATACAACAAAAACGCACCGATCAAACATTTTTATTCAATGAAGCTGTTCAGCAAGTCAACAATAAATGCAACAAACAATGGAAGATTTGATAGTTTACATTGAGCCTATGTTATGCTTGTTTATAAAAGCATTCCTACCATCAAGATGTGCCTTGAATCCAACAACTCAAGCTTCACGAACAATTGCTTTTGATGATAATACAAACCTTAATTTGGTACCACCTAAACTTTATACGGAAGACCTTTCATGTGTGTTGCGCGGATTGTTTGACAGCTGCTTGGTCTTTCCATCAGAGAGAAATCGTACTTCATCGTATCTCGCTCAGTTGATGGATACTGTATTTTATTCATTCATTCGGTCTGAGATACAAAGAGTGTGACTCGGCTTTGATTCAATAAAAAGGGCTTTTTTTTTTCTTTTTCTGCTGCAGAGCTGCGTGTATCCCATACAGCCAAAGTGCTTGTTTTTCTGAATCCACGTGTTATTTTTAACGAGCATTATTACGTCGCGATTCTTTGCAGTCAAATAACGTTGCAAAAGTTATTCAAACGTCTCTGAAACGCGCTCCTGCTATAAAGGTGCGCCGTAGGTCGTCAACAACGTACAACTTGTGCATCCGCTTTCTCAGATAACCCTAACACTTATTTTGATATATCAAACAAACTTCAGCCGACAAAGCAACTCACCAGCGGCGACGACGGAGGCGTACTGTAGATTTCCGCTAGTATATTTTGGAACAAAGAGCAACCTTGCAGAAGCTTTCCAAACATACCGAATTGATTTAACGAATATAACAGGATGGGATTTTCAGCCTTCCTTGGAGTGGTGCTAAGTGTTTCTGGGATGCTTAAACGCAGGAAAAGGTTCGCGGTTCCTAAAGACGCGAATAATATGATCGGCAAGACGAAGTATGAGGAACATGGAACGGAATATACCATTATAGGAAGAAAGGAAGAAAAACAGTGGTTACTGTCGTATAAAACCATAGAGTGGTAACATACCAATAAGCTTCGACGGAGGCGTGCAGTTGAATCGAGTGCACCGACAATAGCGACGTCCAGCACAGTAGTCTTGATCGAGCTGTGATAGACATCTGCCCCAGAAAAATAGCTTTGATCAATCACCCCAACAACATCAACTATTGACATACCTAGGATGAAGTCCCCAATAATGAGGGCACCGTGGTTTAATCATTGCAACAGGGACGTCTGAGAACGGTAGTTATCAGTCCCTCGAGATAATGTGTCATCGCGCGCTTACCTGACGTTTATGATAAAGATCGCATTGTAGTCGCGTCCATGCCGTAAAAGACTTGGTGACAGAGACCTAGCAGGAATTTCGTGAAATAAAAGGTGCCAGTTATGAATTCAATAAACTAATACAATTTTACATTTACTTGCTGGTGCAACTGATCTACGGAATGCTTGGTGAGGATCGCCGATGTAAAGAGCGAGGTCGCCGATTGAGTTGGGACGAAAGGAGACCGTAGGCGTCTTACAACACTGAAGCACATTAAATACGTCCTCCTATGTGATGCATACAGAGACCAGTTCCTAAGCAGCAAAACATCTTCATATATGTATGCCTGAACCTAAACGTCGTCGCGAGGTGATGCAGTGCTATGCCCAGAGGTTCCATCCTGCGAGAATTCCATTCAAGCAGCTGCTGAACGTCTAACCGACAGCTCCCGATCCATTCTCTGCGAACAGAAGAATTGACGAACCAGAATAATATCTCTGACTGCGCCCAACAAACTGCCATATATGGATCTTCAATCAAGCATCAGGGAACGATGGGCGCTTGCATAGCACGCAGCAAGACATACAGAAATCAAACGTATGAGAATAAATCCATGGTTCGCTTGCTCCATAACAATGACTCATAAGACTATGTAGCTTGGTTACGAGCTTCGATGTAATGGACAACATACTTGATGTATCCCTATTTACAGAAGTAAATGCCCTGTCGTTAATAGGCTGTACGCATAATGCAGAATCCCAAAGTCCTTACTTTTGCTGGGTTCCCCATATTAAATCGCCGATTGGTTGGACTGGCAGGCCAATCGAAAGCGACCCATTGAGCTTCGACAGACTGGAACTTTCCAAAGGCGACGCCGTAGTCGTTTTTGCTGAAAAGTGTGAATAAAGGAACAGAAATAGGGTTGATCAAGGGGTTAGTATAATTGATACAAAATGGATAGTAATGGACGATGTTATCTTATCTGTTTTTGTAACGGATGCACCAACAGAAAGGCGAATAGGGGAGACCGGCTGTGAACAAACTTTTCGAAGGCGCAACTAGGCAAGGAAGTCTTGAAGCTTGACTTGAACGAAAAAAACGGCCGGAACGTAACGAAACCACATTAAAAATATAGTGGATTGAAATTAATGTTCAAACAGTAAGGAGGAAGAGAAGGATGCGTACCTGGAGTGGTGTTTTAGTGCGGTTGGGTATGTTCGGGAAGGTTCTGCGTAGGTCGCTCTCCGTTCCAAATATGGTAATGGAAAACTACACCTCGGTCGCCCGTGGTGGGTTGTGTTGTCGTTGGAGCATGTTTCATATTTTAAAATAGGCGTTAGATTGTTTGAAAATGCAAAAGCGCAAGTTTGTACATCACTGAAAACCTACGGCGTGGCTCCACCCTGATAAGTAGCGGCGCGTTTCAGGGTCGTTTTAAGTAACTTTTGACAACTTCGTCGCCGCATAAAACAAGGCTCCGCATTCGAATGCAAAGTTTGGCAACATCGGTGGACCCTTTTATTGAATCCAAACCGAGTCACGCTTTTTGTATCTCAGACCTAAAATATCTATTCGTTGAGCGAGATACGATAAAATACGATTGTAGGATGGCAAGACCAAGAAGCTGTCAAACAATCTGTAGCCTATGCAAGACTTCCCGTATAAAGCCTATAGGTCGTACCAAAATTAAGGTTCCATGAAAATAAATTTTTTCGTTAGTATTTTTTATATTCCGTTTTGGGACAAAATTTCCAATGTGGGGCTCGGATGTCGGGTTCCAAAGCATATGTTAAATAATGATATGAAAAATGCTTTTACCGTCAATTTCAATGTAAACTAGCAGATTTATTGCTGTTGCTGAGGTTACTGTTGGCTCCGTTAACAATCTTACTGAATATCCTATTTGATCGAATGCTTTTTTGTTAATTTTAGCCTATCCGTCGATGTCATGTCAATATCATCTCAATTGCTTTTGGAAAATCCTCCCATGTTCTATTGTCACTCTTGTTCCATCCGATCTCGTTACTCATTATACATTTTGCATATGGTCGTCATCCTTATGGGCTTTTGGCCATACCACCATACGATACTTTCCCATCAGTACTTGGTTCACCCATTTAGTGTTACCTGATACCGACCTTACTAAATCATATAGATACTCATCCAAAGGCATCCAGCCAACAGGTTCTCAATATTTCTTTTTCATATTTTTGTAATCATGTATTTTACATATAACACAAACATTGAGGTAACCATCTATTCCGACTTGATATTCCTTTCCGAGTTCTTGGTAGCGGCCATCTTGTTCGAACCGGCCTTGTTCATTGTAAATTGGTTGAGGTCCAACCACAGACGCGTGAATTGCTTTCTATAAACCCAAGTCAAATGCATCCGTATGATGTACGATCGATCCTGCAGGTCATATAGGAAAATAAATCATGCGAAACAAAAAGATCACAGATAGAAAAATAAAAAGCATATCCTATTGCCAAAAAAAAAATTCGTTACCAGAGTTATCTACTTTACCTTTACACAGTGCATCAGAGACAGTGTTGTGGCTGGGGTTCTTTTTGTAAAACGTATCGACAATATGAGACGTGTGACAGATAATATCCTTATTTGGTAGCTTGGGCGACGAAAGCATATGGCGTCGCATAATTTTTGGGCTTTCATATTATATCCGGTTCCTGATTTTTCTCTCACAAATGTAGCGGCCGTTAATGGCAGTTTATGTCATTATCTCGGTCTGGGCATAAAATCTGCAGACCTAAAAAAGTATAGAGTGTATTTTTCCAGAAAAGATCGCAAGGAATTCTTTGAACGTTCTACGATCGATTATCATGACGACATGCCCTATCAAACAAATAAAGAGTTTATCGTAATTTCCGAAATATTCATTGTCGTTTCTTTGTCTTGCTGTCACGAACCAACCAAAGGCTGATCGTTCACACAAGTACCGAAAATGCCGCCGTCCGACCAACGCGCAGATATACCGAACAAAGAAACACAACCACCGCGGCACGACCAAAATATACCAACCTCCCACCAAAGCCGCCCCACAACAGGTCAAGCGTCACAGCCCTCAACCGAACCATCGCGTAGCAATGCCGCGACAAACATATCACAGCAGTCGTCTGTGGATGATCATGAGCAACATTTGAGACCTACCTCAGCTGAAACTGCTGACACAACAACCATTCCGGCCAAGTCAGGTGATGCCATGCCGGCAGCACAAGAAACAGCATTAGCACGACTTCCTTCCGTCGACGAACTTTCAAGGTCGAACGATCAATGCAATAATAATACCAATACTACTATGACCGATCCCATGACCCATGCTCAACAAGCACACCATTTAACCGACATCGAACAACACGATAGACCCAGTCACCTTGAGAAACAACAAGGCAGCGACTTATCACTCATATCGGCTTGCAATGACAACGATGAAAAAGTTCAGTCTGGCGAAGAGGACGTTCTAGAAGAGCCTCCTGTCGACGGCGAGCCGTCTCACCGCTCACGGGTATCGTTTTATTACACACCACGCAACCGAACGAGTGTTCTTGATCATTCGTCTTCTCCCGGTTCTGACGCCAACCTATCCGTGAATCGTTTGCAGCTCAAAGAAGATTCATATGCGGCCTATTCTCCTCCCCCACCAGCGTTTCAGCGCTCCCGGTTCGCTTCCGTCCCGCTGAAACAGGGTCGTTTGAACATAGATGCTGCATCTGTATCTTCTCCCGAGACAAAAGATATTCCTTCACCATCTCGACAACAGAATACTCATCGTCATTGGTTCCGTTCTGAACGTGATCAACGATCCAAAGAGGCCCCGGCTGCTCTTCCTTCGCGGGCTTCAAGATGGGCTCAGTCACTTACCACTAAACGAAGTCGATCCATCACCATCGCCATGCTCAGTCGGCGAAACCTTCACCGACAAATGAACACTCTCCAGGTCGATCCATCGTTATTTACCCCTTTCGAGCTATCACCGGCTCAGATCTTGACGCTCAAAGAGCGAAGCGAACAGCCTTCTGATACCACCGACGCTGCTACGAAATTCACACATACCTACCCTGATATCTCCCGTATTCGACGCCGACCGCCGATTTTGGAACATGAACGACGCTTTAAATCTTCACACAAGGGCAGCCTTCACGCTATTGCCGCTTGCGGAGAGGAAGTGGTGTTAGGCACGCATCAACTCCGTTTATGGAATACCAATACAGGCGATTGTCATCCGGTTCTGGAAAACATGATCCCAAGTGATGGTAGTGTCAAAGTACGCGCGCTTGGATTTGCACCGCTGTGTCGACCGAACGACAGTGGCCGGATTTTGTGGGTTGGTTTGCAGGACGGTTCTTTGACGGTGGTGAATATGGAAACCGGTGAAACCTTGGGGAAACGCATGGCGACTCATCGCAATGCTGTGAGCTTTATCTTACGGTATCGTAACACAGAACTGTGGACCATCGACGAAGCCGGCGTTCTGAACATTTGGCCCGTCTTGTCTGCTGCACATCAAAATGGCGATAAACCTTACAATCCTCTGGATATTACCATTCAGCGGCATCAAGTGGCGGTTGCTGCACATACCGCCCTCATCATTGGATCGGATTTATGGATGTCGTCAGGAAGGATTCTGGATGTATTCCAACGTCAAGGAAAGAATATGTCAAAATCACCGCATGTACGTATCCTAGGCGATCTCGGCAATATTACCCAGCTAGCCAGCGTCCCCTGCCATAAGAATCGATTGTTTGCTGCGCACGACGATGGCAAAATCAGCATTTGGAGCACAGATACTGTGGAGAGAATACAATACCTTGTGGTGTCGGAAACCAGTCTTTGTTCCATGGTTGTCGTTGGGGATCAGTATTTGTGGATCGGCGACGGCAAAGGCGTCATCACGGTCTACGACACCGCAAGCGATCCATGGGTAGCTGTGAAATCTTGGAAAGCACACGAAGGCAGTGTCACCCATATGATGGTTGACGATTCCGGTTATGCTCGCGATGAAGTGACTACTCAGGTCATCAGCACGGATACCAATGGATGCATCGCCGTCTGGGATGCTTTACTGTCGGAAGATTGGCAAGGTAAGGGGCTTGACATTACGATATGGTTATTACGTTGTGGGCCCCTCATGCTTTTGCTTGCCTTTAGAGCAAGAATTGGGACAGTACATTGATTATTACTGTAAATATCGCGATGTCAAGATCAAAGTTTCTTCCTGGAATGTGGATGCTGTGAAACCCGATAAATTGGAAGATGCGGATCATAAAGCTATCAAGCAATGGCTCGGCGACCTCGATGATCCCGATATCATCATCATTGGTATCCAAGAAATTGTCGATCTCGAATCAAAGAAGAATACAGCTCGTAAGTGATGGATTGAGATCAACATGGATGGCGTGCTCAACTATCTGTAGGAACTTTATTACGCGGATCACGGAAAAAGGAAATGACGGTGAAGGAGTCGGACGAACTATTGACGCATCGATATCTCAAGTGGCACGACTATTTGACGGAAGTAGTGAATCAAAATTACGGAGCGGACAACTATTGCACGATAAAAACCGATCAGTTGATTGGATTATTCAGCATCGTGATTGTGAAAAAGAAGGACATTCCTCGCATATTCCATTGCGATTCCACTGTGGTCAAGACAGGCATCAAGTTGATGAACAAGGTTCTCTATGGCAACAAAGGCGGCGTCGCTATCCGATTACTGTTTGATCATACTTCCTTTTGCTTCGTCAACTGTCATCTTGCGGCCGGGCAGCATCGTGTGGCCGAGCGAAATGCGGATGCCAATGGTATTTTACACACCGCGCGATTTCCTGATCATCCAAACTACCTTGATATTTTCGGCAACGGTGGCGATGGCAGCCAAATTCTGGACCATGAATATTGCTTTTTCAGTGGCGATCTGAATTATCGAATTGAAATGCAGCGAGAAGACGTACTTCGGCAATTGGAAAGCGAGGACTTGTCAAAGGCTAGGGAAGCACTGTTGCGGGAGGATCAGTTAAACCAGCAACGTACCGGGAATCCGTTGTTCCCACTTTTACTTTTCAAAGAAGCGCCAATTCAATTCAATCCTACTTACAAGTATGAACCAGGCACAGAAACGTATGATACCTCGGAAAAACAGCGCATACCGGCATGGTGCGATCGGATCCTGTTCCGGACTCCAGAAAGCACAGAGAATCTGTTTTACCGACGCTATGGAGTGACGGCTTCCGATCATCGACCTATTAGTGCCGCGTTCCTGGCCAAGGTCAAGGTCATTGATGACACTCGAAGGGACGAAGTTCAAGAAAAAGTGAAAACAGATTGGGAGCACCATATTGCCAAAGTACTCCAAAAGAAGAAGTTGCAATACTTATGGAATTACGATTTGTGCGATATGCATGAAGCTTATCAACGCTTGACCGCGGCTCGCTGGAACATGCAAGAAGCACTTTCCGCCTTGTTGGTCGAAAAAATACCCTCCTGATTACACTGGTGATGGCAATAAAAGTCATAGCAGTTCAGAACATCTTTTTTCCTCATTCATGCTTTTACCGATCACTCCATTTGTACAATACTGTTTATCGATGAATTTGATGATGTTGATGGAGTGTTTCAGCTCCAAAAAAAATATTATTGGTTTTTATCAATCTGATCGAAAATAGACATGGCGATGAAGGTAATGATATTGAGCTTGTCTTCGACCCCATATAATAACGCAAGTAAGTTTCACTACAGAGTCTTCTCCCAAAGACCTCGCATCACCTCTTTTTTTTATAGTGTATTAAACAGAGAAAAACGGAAAACTGATGGATGCAAAAAGTTTCAGAGTTAACAAAAATAAAGCAAAAAGGTATTCTTATCTGAAAGTGATTCGTTCTTTCTTTTGGGATTTTACGATAAAAGATCATCAAAAGGGGATTTGGAGGACTTTTGCGAGCCGGCAGCGGACAAGGGTGGAGTTTGATTGGAAGATGCCCAGTTGTTCCAGCCAGCACTGATGCTTGAATTTTTCATGGCATTCATGGAGGGACCTGTGTTAGGCTTGGATTGATTGCTGTTCTTGCCAAGCAAGTCCAACGAGACAAAGGACGACGCTTGAGACCACATACCACTGGGCAAGTCGGCCTTTGGTGTGGTATTGGTGGCGGGGGCGGCTGCAGCAGGCGCCTTGGAGTTCACAGGTGACAATGGTTGGGACGAAGGAGCCAAGCCAGGTGAATCGAGCATTGACGTTTGGAAGAGTGGTGGTTGAGACTGAATAGGGGGTGCAGGTTGAGACGGAGCGACGCCAGGCGAGGTAAACGAATCCTCATCCAAAAGATCAAACAGATTAGCGGCTTTCTTGGGAGCAGGAGCCGCTGGTGCTGGTGCTGCGGCTGACGGCACTGCACTCTGAAAATCATCAAAATCATCTAATGCTAAAGTACAGATTACACATAAGTCTTTCTGCTCCTGCCTCTTACATTCCCCATGCCAAGTTTACCCTTACCGCCACCACCAGCAGCAGACGTGGCTGCAGCAAAATCGCCCCAGTCATCGTCGGCTGCTTTTGCTGTTGCTGCTGCTTGCTTGCTAGAGGAAGCCGGGGCCGGTGTATCATCAAAATCAAACAGGGAAGCTTCATGGGCAGAGGTGGACCGCTTTTTCTCGACCGGTTCGGATTTGGTAACGACTTCCTCCTCTTCATAGAATGTATCGTATTTATTGCCGCCACCGTAGCGGTCAACTCGGTCGTCCTCGTCATAGAAACTGCTACCGTTCATACCGCCTTCCATACCATACATCGAATCACTGCCGAAACCAGAGTATCCAGATGAAGGACCACCACCGATGGCGGTCATGGTTTCGGAACCTACCCCGGTGTACTTGTTTCTGTTTTGTCTTGCTTTTTTACGCTCAGATTTGATAAGATCAGTGTTGCTTAACAGGTCGGCAATCTCTTTGGCACGGTTACGAACTTTTTGTATGGTAGAAAATGGAAGTAGTAAGCATCAGTGTATCCATGGAGTTGATCTTTTGCTGTATTGGTAAAAAAAAGCTTACTGTTGATGCCTTGATCTTTTCCCTTTTCGTCAATGTAATGAAAGTTTCGCATGATTTTAACGGTAGATATGTGTGACCGAGCATCGTCCACGACTCTTTCGGAGCCATTTTTGATCAGGTACTCCAAAAGGACCAAAGCCTTGGAAACGAAAAGAATAAGAACGAAGGACAAATCATACCAATAGTCATGACTTGATATTGATTTCACAATCCAATGTTTAGCTTGTCTGCAATAGCACCTACTTTGTATATTTGTCGCCATTGTCGTGCTTCCTTTTCGGTAAATCGCTTGTATAGCGTTGGCATGATCTCATTGAAATATTGGCTAAAATAGTGTCAGAATAAAAAGAAAAGTCCTTTGTCGCGAAACCAAAAAGAAAGTCCGCTTCTATGCCAACTTACTAGTTGTAAGTGCCTTGTGCAATCTCACGCATGAGGGTGCTGGAAGCTCCCCATGCTTCGTTATTGGTGGCTTCATGCACCTTGGCTTCCATCTCTGTGTAGTTAAGCACCACATTCTTACTAGTTGATAGCGTCATCATCATCAGTCAACTAGAATGCAACGGTTCATTTGAGCGAGTTAGTGGCGCTTACACTTTGTTAATAACGTCCTGTGACAAACAATCCACAGATGTAAGTTGCCATGGTTCATTGGATGGGTAGAGTTCTCAGCAAGATAAACTTACCCTGACTTCCCACATGTCAGGGAGTTGAGACGTAAACTGCGATAACGAGTTCATCTATGGATACAAAAAAAAAAGTCTATGTCTCTCGTTTGCACCTTCACAAACAGCAGCTTCGTTTTTTTTTTTTTTTTCTCAGCTGCAATTTGTCTGCAGGGCCGTTAGGCGGAGAAAAAAACCAAAAAAAATTAGGAAATCACTTTGACGTCAGCACCACCATGATGATTAATTGGCGGGAGTTGAAAGGACGGGCGTACCGAGCATTGATCGAAAATGGCAAGCGGGACGCATGTCATGAACCCGCGCGCCCTGAATAGGTTTTTTTCATTGATCGTCGGCGGAGATATAGCTAAGCCGGTAAACTGCACGAGCGCGGGTCCCAAAAATAAGTATATAAAGGGAAGTGTTTCTAAATTTCTCGCCTTGTTTCCAAATTTCTGCTTTATTCAGTTTTTTTTTCTTCTTTCTTCTCGTCTCGCTCATACATCATGTCGTCCTTTCAAAGAAAGCCTTCTGCCAACGGTGACAGACACCACCCTCACACACTTTCCACCCTCGTAAGTTATTTATTATATTTCGCGAACAAGGGGAACAATAAGCGTGAAACGTCAAATGACGGTGTTCTTATTTCGACACGTTAGGATTTCCAAGGTGCCAGTTCAGCTGCTGCTGCCAAGGCAATGAAGTCCGAATTGAGCAAACTCGGTTCCCACATCACGAATGAGGACCAACGCAAAGTAAGTGAAACGTAGTTTCGCGCTTAAGTAAGAAGGTTCAGCCAATCACTGACGCTGGATGCCCCACGCACGCACCACAGTACTTTGCCCAGGAAATGGATGGCTTCTATATGCTGTTTACACGTTTCCTTGATGAGAAGGCCAAGGGTACCAAGCTGTAAGTTGCCATGGATTTTTTCTAAGAAGGAAAAAGTTCAAGTCTCGGGGAAACCTGGGTTTCCTTTTGATCGATTTCTTTGCAAGGGGTTGAGGAATTTTTTGATTCAGGCGATTAAACTTGTGATTTTTTTTAGGGACTGGGATAAAATTCAATCGCCTTCATCTGAGCAAGTGGTTCCCTACAGCGATCTCTCCGAAAGTCTTTCTTCCAGCGAATTAGATAAATTGGCCGTGCTTAAATTGAACGGTGGTTTGGGCACCACCATGGGCTGCGTCGGTCCAAAGTCTGCCATTGAAGTGCGCGAAGGCATGACCTTCCTCGACTTGAGTGTTCGCCAGATCGAGGTAAGCCTAAAAGAAAAAGAATAGAAAGAAGAACAAGGAAGGTTCCAGCATCGACAGGTGCTGAGGATAAAGCGGGGATTAAAAACTAATCGTCATGTTGGCGTAGTATCTGAACAAGAAGCATGATGTCAATGTGCCGTTTATCTTGATGAACTCTTTCAATACGGATGAAGAGACAAAGCGCATTGTGCAAAAGTATGCAAGCCATAACGTCGATATCATCACCTTCAACCAGAGCCGTCATCCTCGTATCAAGAAGGAATCATTGTTGCCTGTGCCTCGTTCTGCCGATTCGCCTATTGAACAATGGTATCCTCCTGGCCACGGTGATTTGTATGAATCGCTTTACAACTCCGGATTGTTGGATCAGCTTTTAGCTCAGGGCAAGGAGTATCTCTTCATCTCCAACGTTGATAACCTTGGTGGTACCGTGGATTTGAACATCTTACATCATATGGTCGAGAAGGATGCGGAGTTCTTGATGGAAGTGACTGATAAGACCAAGGCCGATATCAAGGGTGGTACCTTGATCGATTATGATGGTCATATCCGTCTTTTAGAAATTGCTCAGGTACCGGATGAGCATGTCGAAGATTTCAAGTCTATCAAGAAGTTCAAGATCTTCAACACCAACAACTTGTGGATCAACCTCAAGGCCATCAAGCGCGTTATGGATGAAGAGGGCATGGAATTGGAAATCATTGTGAACCACAAGACTACCGAGAGCGGTGAAAAGGTGATTCAATTGGAAACTGCCGTCGGTGCTGCCATTAAGCACTTCAAGAATGCCCACGGTATCAATGTGCCACGTACTCGTTTCTTGCCTGTGAAGTCGACTTCCGATCTTTTCTTGGTGACTTCAAACCTGTATTCCCTGGTGCACGGTGAGTTGGTGATCAACCCGAAGCGTATGTTCAACACAGTGCCTCTGGTGAAGCTGGGTGATCATTTTAAGAAGGTCGCGCATTTCCAGAACCGATTTAAGACGATTCCTCATATCCTCGAACTGGACCACCTTACAGTGACGGGTGATGTCACTTTTGGCTCTCACGTCGAACTTCGTGGCACGGTCATCATTGTGGCCAATCACGGAGAACGTATCGATATCCCTTCAGGCTCCATTCTCGAGAACAAGGTTGTCACTGGCAACCTGCGCATCCTTGATCATTAAAACAAAACGGAAACCGGTTGTACTTTCCCTATACTTATTTGTCTAAAATAATATACTGTATGTTCATATCCACATAATTAAATTTTTGGGAAATTAGCGATTTGTAAATCACATCAACACTAAGTTATCAGGACCTGTTGAACCTTTTTTTTTTATCTTTCAACCATGCCTCGCTGCCCACTTTCACGATAATAGGCGAAACAATCAGCAGCAAGATGCCGTTTGCGCCAGTTATGGTCAACAGAGCATCGTCGTCTTTCGAATAAAAATGTGAGTAGAGCTCTTTTTGAAGAAAAGTGGTTGATGATACCACTGGCGTTCTTCTGTAGCATCATTCAATTTGGGTTTTCTGTCAGTTATACTGTATAAGCCCTTTGATTCTCTTCATTTATGATGATCGAGAGGGTGTTCATCTTTTTTTTTCCGGTACACCATTTGGTTCAAAGGCAAGTCCACTTTCTTTTCCTTTGCTATGATGTAATGAACGTATACTAATTCAACGTTTTTCAATGTCATATAATCCAAGTCATGTTAAGCGATCAATGACTATCGAAAACTCAAATAACAAAGGTAAAAATAACTTAACGAAATTTGAATCAATCAAAGAGCTTACTAACTCATTCTTTTTTAAATACCCAACATACCCACACATCTTTCTAGATCTATCATAGCCGCCTGAGGGGGCCAATCAGTGCTGCTTTGCGCGTGTTCAGAAACAAATCACGACGTAAGGGATGCCATAAGGTTGTCATTAATATACCAAAGTCCGTCAAGAGTTCTCGCCCAGGTTATGCCGTGTATGCGTTAGGCTTTTGTCTAACGAAAGTCGCTCAATGTAAGGGTGCGGCCTCCGGTGGCAGGCGGTATCGATTGCACAGCGGGTGTACGGCTTGTTATTCATGATTCAGGCTATTCCACTGAACTTGTATTTAAAGCACAGCTTGCCCGTATAATATATGAACGAATAAATAGATGCACAAGATCTACAGAGTAGGTTGGCGTTATCTATTGCGTGAACAATGATTTTTTCTTTTATTCTTCCCGGTTGCATGAGACGATCCCTCCGATTTGTCCATACTGAACCAGCGCCACATAGCTCACCCACGACGTACAGATTTCGATGCCGATCATTTGGTCTTTCGCATCTTGTAGTGTAGCGGGCAAGATGGCACAGTACTTAGCCTAGTTAAAAAATTGTGTAGCATTGCAATGATAAATATAATGTTCTTTATATAATATAACAGAGCTAAACTGAACTGACTGTGTGTATCACGCACTCTGGAAAAGAAGAAATAACCACCATGCTTAACGGGGCTGAGCTTTGATGCTCGTGTACAACTTATTCAACGACCACTTTTTGGTTGATCGCCGTAACTCCAGCATACCAGCAGCGTGGACTTCACTGATCCCTCTTTCGGATGCCACTTCTTCGACTGCACGAATAATCCGAATACGGGTATGAAAAAATTGGCTTTGCTGTAAGTATTGACGGGTTTTAGGATCATTTAAGATCAGTGCAAGCTGTTTACCCAACGACAGATACTTCTGGATTCAGCGGATTTTTGATCTTGAAGCGTGGTGTTCCGCAGATGTAGGCTTCGTCCAAATCGTTCCGTGCGTTGGTAAACATCATGCACCCATTCGAGCGCATATCGTACTCAGGAGATTTGACGGGATATCGCTCGAGCAGGGCAGCTTTCGCTTTGTAGTTGCTCGGCAACGGCGGAAAGACAACCGGAACATACTCGTTGATGTCTTCAATCAGCTCCTCCATAAAGCGGTGCGGGATCTTTCTTCGGAAAGCACGCTGATGAAGTTTGATGCAGAGCTGTAAGCTTTTCCAACCGGTGCCGTGTTGTGGAGGCTGAAGTCAAATGTAGTCGTGCGGTTGCTGCTGGACCAAGATGACTCCTCGTTGGCAGCTTGCACATTCGGAGTGTCATCGTCCTCTTCTGGGCCGTCACTCTCGAGAGCGCCCCCATCTTCATCGCCGTCGCGTTCGTAGGCTGCATCATCATCGGTGTTACCAGCTTCATCAACCAAAGTATGAAACATCTCTGATCAACCAGCTCATCGTTTGTATTCCACTCCATGTTATCCAACGAATCGTCTTCATTTTCAGCAGGTACTTCGCTTCCAGATTGAGGGGGCGCATAATCATTCACGCATCCCATTTCATCAGCACCAGACACGTATGACTGCAGTAATATTTTTCGCTATTTAAATGGATATTGGGATGTAAGGCCATACACTTACAGCGGGATGGCTGATGAAGTTCAGCGTTTCATCAATCTGTCTATAATTTACTTGGCCATTTCAAAAACACATTTCTTCTTATGTTTCGCTCTTGCGGTCTCAGCATATTTAAACGAGGCGCTGCCAATGGAGCGATAATAATTGGAGCATTGATAATCGTAGCTTTTAGGTGACATGTTTAAAGGTCGACAGCTGAGGAAGGAGTTGAGTTGTACAAATGAAACGGTTGCGCCTTTTTCCCATGGTGACTCACTCTCTATTTGTATCATTTGGGCGTTAAGAATCACTGGCCAGCGGCATTAAATTTTGATTGGTTTATTTTGTTGAAGCACTTCAAGTCTCACCGTGCTTGACATCGCTAATGACCTATACTTACAGCAAATTAACAAAAGATCTTCCTCGAACTGTACCAGTGGTAGATGATACCGACATACTGGGACGAAACAGCTTCCAAGATCATGGATTGGTCAATTTCCGACGATGAAAGTGAGATAAGACTCCGAGCCTCTTCGATGGACACTACTACTGGGCTCATCCGAACAGCAACGGACCATAACCCAATGATAGCCAGCGTCATTAGTCTCACAAAGCGACGAGATACAATGGACGAGCATAATCTGACCCCATGGAAGTGACAACAGATCCCACTGCATCGCATCAAGAAAATTATCCTTATTATAGGCTAAAAGTGAACGGATCTCCTTAGGGGGCCACTGTATCACCGTTGCATGAATGTTTCACAACGCTTGGCCTCCAAATGCTCGTTAAATCGGTTCTTAAAACAAAAGTGATCGCGGTAATTTTGTCTCCTCGTTTTTTTATTTCTTTTCTTCATGAAGATTGTGGTCAAATCGCCCTCAAGCCACTGCCTATTTTACCCTCACTTTTTCTCGTGGAAATTGAGGAATACCTGTCTTGAATGAACAGAAGACCGCTGTACGCCTTTGGAATATTTTGCTCTTTTCCGGATCCATAAAAAACACGCTTGCGTGATATATTTCATCCATGACAACAAAGCACCTGAATTTTTTTTTTTTTTGTTATTTTTAAAAATGGGACTAAGCAAGGTAGCATTGGTATATACAGAGCTACATTGGGCGATAATATAAATGTCGCATGTTGATAAGTAATCGCAAAGTTGAAGAAGTAGAAAGGAATGAAGTAATTTGTATGATGTACAATACAGCGAATCCATGTTCCGCCGGGTTGAGAATGTTTGGTTTTCTTTTTCTTTTTCTTTTTATCGTCTTGCTGCTTGGTTTGCCGTCTGTTTTTTGTTGTCTGCAAGTATACACAAGTATTGGTATTTACTAAGGACGTCGGGCCACAGAGACCGGCCTTCCCATTCGAGCCCCACCTCGCCGCGCCACAGGTCGACTTCGATGTCGATCTCCCGCCTGTCTGGAATCAAGGCCGTTCAAGGGACGTTTGCTTCCCGTAGTATAAGTATCTGTCGATCGTGGTTCTTCTTTGGGCAGAAAATTCATAGGCACTGGTAGTGAAATAGGAAGACCAGGTGCGATCCCCTGAGTGGGTATGGGTTCTTGTTGATGCATGAATGCTGGCTGAACGTTGTCATGAGACGTACTGCCAAAGGGAACAGAGCGCGGTCGTGTTGTGGATACGGATCGGACCATGGCGGGCATCGCACCCGTTTCGCTCAATCGATCCTCCACCCATTGACGAATAACTCTGTAAGATACGGTGTTTCGACTGAATGATTTGTTGGATGGAAAGTGTTCTTTCACATATTTGCGCATGCTGACGAGATCATTAATGTAATCAGGAAGAGTCTGTGATCGTCGACATTGAGATATGTACAATCCAAAACCAAGGAATTCCATAGGCCTGAACAGAACTCGTTCGCCATTCACTTCCATCAAGGGCTTTTGCGCATCCGGATGACGAGCAATCTCCTCGAGGATTTGTACGGTGTGTCGAAGAGATCGTTTCAGTGATTCACTGGGTTGAGCGCCTTCTCCATTCTTGGCGAGCCATTTCGACAAATGTTGGACGGTGGGTTGAAAGTCGGCGGGCCGCACACTGACTAAATAAGCCAGTTGACTTAAACACTGAAATAAAATGGATCGTTCACCAGCGATCAACAATCCCAAATCACGGTATTCTTGTAATAATTCTCGCAGAAATCGTGCCATAGCCGAGTCGTTTGCATTTAGCCGTTCGGCTGGTGTTAAAGATACACCCAACTGCACACGTGAGAAGATTTCTAGCTACCAATCATGATGGATAATATTAATACAAATTGAATATTGGCCTTCGAGAAAATTCTCCATAAAATTATTAGCTCTGAAGCTTACCTCTTGATCATCATCCAAATTTGTGTATTCCACTTTGAATTAGAAGAAAAAATGGTTAACAATGAAACAGTTTGTTGCGTGCGTTGTCATTTATAAATGCTTACCACAAATAATTTCAGCATCGTTGAACCGTCGCAATGTCTCCTCATCCAAATAATGCCGTACTTTGTCTGGATGAACAATGCGTAAATAACATGCGTTCATCTCCGCTCTATGATCTCCTTCTTTTCACTACTTACTGTGATAACCTAGTCGTGAATTTTCCTCCATTTGAACTTTATCTCGCATATAATATAGAGGAATGGACGTTTCTCCTTCCTCGGTGGCTGGTTTGTACGCTATTTCGTTATGCATAAACCTGATCCACATGTCAAAAGGCGTCAAAACAGTGATTTGTGAGTATGCAAAAAAGGAATAGCGATCAAAGTCTATCATTGGCAGTATTTCTTTTACCTTCGTATGGACGTGAGTCGCTGCTTGCCGTCGATGCAGATTCTGACAGTTTTTCCAGTGTCTTTCATTTTGCGTACAGAGAATATGAGTGGTGGAATGTAATAGTTATTCAGGACGGAATCGATGAGCATGGACATTTTTGGAGTCGGCCATACCACCTCTCGCTGATAAGGTGCGTCCTATGATCGTGATTCATTTCAGTCAACTAGCTTCATTTTAAATCTCGATCTGTTGCCCAGACTGTCATATTTACCAATAAAATACCGCCGTTGTCCAGCAGCTCTAAGCAACAAATCAAAGTTATGTCAATCGATCCAACACGTAAAAAGAAAGACACGTTGTTGTCTTTACCTCTCAGGCGCCACATGGATTGTACGCGGGTACTGGGGCTACTTATTACTGCAGCTGAATTCCCAGACATGACGAAAGTGGTAAAAAAAAAAAGGACTCCCGTATTGAGTTCGAAGAAAATCGGTTTGAAATGCTGAAGCGTCATTGGCGGAGTTAAAAATCGTATACAAAGAAATGAAAAAAAAAAAAAAACCGCCCTTTTCCGAGCCCACCAATTTTTCAAGAAAAACAGTCGCCGAACCTGATATCGTTTTGGTTTACGAACCCTTGACGTCTGTATAGTCCTACTTTGTAAGGCTGTCGCTATGACCGGTCAAATGGCGAAAAGAATATCCAACGGTTAGAAATAGGCTTCATATACAATCTTCATGATTTAATAGATCCATTGTCAATTTTTAGGCAGTGTTCACAGTTCTCAGTGCACACCCTGATTTTCGGCTAACGAAATAATGAATTCGGGAACACGAGGCCGATCTCTGTGTATAATAAACAGCATATTATACACAATCTGGTGTCATTCTGCAAGATAGTGTTTTTGTTCATTTGTTTAATATCGCCAATCAAAGAGAACACATAATATAAAACGAAAATGCATGCTCCTTTTTTCCCTCGGTGATGAATAATGAAAAAAAAAAAAAAAAAACGTACATTCAAAATGCCAATACGTTATACAATAAATGGAGAGGAATATCAAAGAAATTTCAGGGAATTATTGTCGTACAATGAAAACACTTATCATCATTTATTGAAAAATAAGTGGACCTTTGTTTATCTTGCTAGCTGGTCGCAGGTAGCTTTTCATAGACAATCAGACACTGTTTCGTTGCCAGTAGTAGTTTGTCGGCAAGCGATAAATGAAACAAGTACGTTTGCTATGGATTTTCTATGCAGTTTGTGGGATTGATCTTTGGCAAACTCCAGAGACACCTGGACAGACGGACTCCGTTTTGTCATGGTGTGATCTTCCGATTCCGTTGACGAGACGATCATGGCAGAAATGTTGACCCGTACAGTAAATTTCAGCTCGTGCCTGATAAAAATCGTCCAGGTTCAAATAAACAATGATTCGTGTGAATGCGTAAAACAAGCACAGATCTAAAGATGGTTGGCGCATGCATGCATGCGTGCATGCTTATCCACGTTTCCTTCGTCATCAACGTTTTCCTCCTCTACCCGTTCCGGCCCAAGACATCAATATGTGTTTTTGGCTCTAAGCAAGCGGCATGATGGATCAACCACCTCCCGCACATGGAAACAAATGCTGTTGAGTGATATGCCATCAATTTTGACGGTTTTCTCAGTAGTTTTTGCATTAAACTTTTAGCTACACTAACTGATGATGCATCTGAAAGTTTCTCATGAATACAGTATGACCCGAAAGAAACTGTCATACTCCTACTCAAAAATACGACGTCGGCCGTATTTCTTCCTCCTCACAAAAAATGCTCTCGGAAAAATCTTACTAAATAGGGTTGACCTGTCTTTGACCCGCGCAAACAGGGTTATCGAATTGCGCTGCAAAGGGCTTAGTTTTGGTCATCATACAACTCGCATAGCTGGTTACTGCATTACTTCTTGCTTGCTATCCTTTTCATCTGCTCATTATTCATTTGAATTGCATGTATTATTGACAAATCTCTGTCAGAGTTCCACATTATCAAAATTAACATGAGAAAGGGGGGAATTTCGCAGCGAACAAGGCCCCACCAGCAACATGACCCAACAATTCAATTTCATGTTCATCAACGACATAATTATGTCGTCCTTTGTGAAAAAAAAAAAAAAAAAAAAAAAAAAAAAAAAAAAAAAAACTGTTGCGTGTCCACCTTTTGACGTCTGTAAAATGAACGGGTAAAAGGAAGAACAAGCAATCAAGGCATTGTTACTTTTTTTATGAATTCAATAATTGTGTAACTTTTTTTCTTGTGAAAGTGAACTAAAAGCGACTTTATTTTTGAAAATATACCATTATTTGTTGGACGTCAAGGTGTCTTTGCACGACATTAAATTTCAAAAATAACGACTTTATTTTTGAAATGATTGAATCCATGATGAACATGTCGGCATTGCGCTTATGTAATCTGTTATTATTTTATTTCTCCTCTTACCGGTGGCAACTATTGTTTTATTGAATTAGTAAGCTGTGATGAGGCATTACAATCTTCTTTTCGGTGGATGGTTCATTGAAACGGTTCTGAGGAGTTTGACATGTGTTGGAAAGCAAAATAAAACAAGTTAAGGTTATGTTGCCAGATATTGCTATTCACACGACGGTACCACGATAGTGCTTCAGCATACAATTATTTGGTATTCACTTGCCTTGCTGTTTCATAAGACGTCCCCAAATCGCTCATCTAATAAATGGCATTACGCTATACAATTCAAAATACGACTGGCAGATTCCGTTTGGAAAGCCAAATAAGAAAAAAAAAAGCCTCAAATCCGTATCGTGCTATAAAAATGATACGCAAGGCTAGATGCTCTTTTTGGTTTGCGCTAGTGATGCGCTGCTAAGATCACCCCATGACTTGAACGCAGTGACAAAAAACGAAAAAATAAAATCACCACGAAAAGCGTGGACCATGCTACTTGTACACTGTTTTTGCAAGAAACGATGTCTGAAATGAAACCCGAAGACTATGGATTGGGAGCACAATGATACTCTTTTTCTATTTCGTCTCATGAGTCCATGACACTTGTGTTCCCATGGATAAAAAATCGCGTCCAAAACGGGTGACACAAATGAAAGGAACATTAACGATATTTCAATTGAAGAGCCGATAACGGTCAAGAAAAGGTACAATCTTACGGGTTGGATGGTCCACCGGAATAACTGTATTACACTCATCTATAAACAGCGGGCTCGTTGATAATAATACATTTTGTTTCTCCTTCTTCTTGTCCTTTTTTTGGTTTTCTTCTTTTTTTCTTTTTTTGTTACCATTTATCTTTGGCGGGGAAGATTCCCTTTTGTGATTCATCTTTTTTAAACGCTTGGTGATTTTCCCTCTCCTCCCCCTTCTTTCTTTAGTTTTAACTAAAGCAAAATAATCCTTTTCTCCCCCCCTTCCATTCTTTTTTTTTCTTTCCTTCCTTCTACTTTGTTAAATTATAATATCACTTGCTCATCTTGTCGTGGTTGTCCTTGTCATGTCGTCGACCAACACCTACGCCCAAGAAGATGGCGTGTCTGCGTTACATACCCCGCAGGAGCAGTTGTGGAAGATCATTAGAGAGCAACGCGTCATGATACAGACTTTGGAGAAAGACAATGCCAGATTAACAGCCCAGCGCGACGGGCTGGTCGATAGAGTTCATTGTCTGGAACGTGATTTGGCCCGAACTCAACGAGCCGCCTCGATCTTGATCACACCTGAAGCCATGAGAGAAATCGCTGAAGCAGAAGAAGCAACCACACCCGTTGAATCATCATCGCCGCTGGATCCGCTGAATATCAGTTTCTCCCCCCTCAGTCCCATGCCGCCTCCACGGTCTCCCTATCGTTCATGTAAAGAAGCTGGTAAACCGCACGAACTGAGCCATGACGGTCACGAACCCGCTCCTTTCAACAAAAATTCCGTGTCGCCATCCACCGCACGATCGAGATCGGCTGGTTGGGAACCATCGGCAGGAGGGGATGACGAAGAACGATCGCCACCCGGTACGCCGGCACCTGGACCTCATACACCAACATCTCTACGAATGACCATCATGGAAAAAGATGCTCAGCAATATGCAAAATACCAATCGTCGACAGCCATGAAATCCGTGAAAAGTAAACCATCGCCCGCCTCCTCTTTACCCGCTCCCATACCACCGCCGCATGGATCCCATCTTCAGCAATCCAATCAGCGAGGCACCATGATGCCCATACCACCTATACCGAGTAAGTCCACGTCGCTGGATATCCGAAGATCCCCACGAGCGCGCGACTCCATGATGCCTCCTGCTCGTGCTATATTGGATCATGATCCGTCCGTACGGGCAGCTTCACCTCCTTTATCGCGGTCAGCCACCTACGTGCCGTATGTCGTACCCAGCGAAAATGCATTGTCTTTGAACGTGCCCATGTCTGCAGCGACCACGCAGCGTAGCAAACGAGAAAGCAAAATGTTTACAGGCCGTTTGGATTTCTCAGCCATGGGACCCAGTGTACCTGACATTGACGAAGATGGGGATGCGCCGATCCAGTCGGAAGAGCCTCACGGCATGTTTAGTCCTTTTGACAATTTTGCCAACATTTCCATCAAAGTGTTGGGATCCAATATTCGGACCAATGACAGAGGCAAAGAGGTGATTTCATTCGTCATCTCTGTCGGTAAAAAGTCCAATGCTCATGAGAAAGAGGGCTCTGACGCCGATTTTGAAGAATTATGGCGTGTGGAGAAATTGTATTCGGATATTCTCGGTCTAGACACCAAGGTACACTCCGTTGCTTTTATAAATGTGACACTTCAATATCGCCGCATAATGCTAATCTTGGCTTATTATTTCTCTGGTTTAGCTGAAAGCCCAGCGCAACCGGGCGGTCACCAGTCGTATTGGCAAATTGCCAGATAAGGCATTGTTTGCCACCAATGCTCCAAGTAAAGTCGATCAACGCAAGGTCAGTGGGCTTTCTATGTGACACGAAAAAAAAATGGATACATTCAAGTCGCCGGTTCTGGTTCAGCATGCGGACTTACGGTACTTGTTTTGTTAACTCTTTATTTATTTTTTGCAGATGGCGTTGGAGCAATACTTGCGGCATGTGGTGATGTTGCCTTTGGACGATATTTCTGATCTTTGCGAGTTCCTCAGCACGAATGTGGTGGGACCTGAATATCGGGTAAGTGTGGCAAGGGAGCACGAAGCACATGTCAAAGAGTTACAAGTCAGTTCCTGATTGGCTCGTTGAATTTTTAGCGTCCAGCGGGCCGAAAAGAAGGTTATCTTACCAAGCGAGGTAAAAATTTCGGAGGATGGAAAACCCGATACTTCGTGCTTAATGGGCCCGTGCTCGAATACTACGATTCCAAGGGCGGCAATTTATTGAGTACCATTCGATTAACGAATGCCCAAATCGGTCGTCAAACTTCGGCCAATAATGTACAAGCCCTGGATGACAGTTTCACGTCGGTGTATCGTCACGCTTTTCTGATTATGGAACAGAAACGGACAGGATCGTCGCATGTGGTACGCCATATTCTGTGTGCTGACTCGGACGAAGATCGTGATGAATGGATTGAAGCGCTGTTCCTCAACATTCGTTTTGATGATACCTTGGATGCGACTCAACCTAAACGGGACGATCGAAACATCCCGCCAACCATCGCGAAACGCAACAAAAAACCAGAAAAGCCGCGTAAATTATCCAAAGGTGAAATTCGCACCGTGTCGGCCGCGCCCATCAAAGACATGAAGCTCGATACGGGGGCCGATCTTCAAAAATTGATCTCAGTGCCTACCATTCATATGGCACCCTCCCCAAGTACAGAGAGCATGCCTGAAGGAGTGGGAATTGCGATTACTGGTTTAACCCCCAGTTTCTCCAACGAAAGTTGTGAATCACTGTCACTTTCATCCTCAGTACCGAGCAATACATCGACCGCATGGTCAGCGGATCAAGCCACGTCTCCCCAGTTTGTCAGTACAGGAAGAACGAGCTTCGATCAATCATCGGTGCGTGGACTCCAGACGCCCAAACCCACCATGGTCCGTCGTAGTTCCATGGTCAATTTACTGCATCACGCCGAAGAAGAGAATGGATCCCGTTCAGGGGCGACCTCGCCTTCGCATGGACGTGAAAGCGACGAATCTTTGGAAGTGCCTGCGGATGTCACGGAAAAGAAAACGAAAAACAAGTCTAACCGCATGACATTCTGGGGCAAAAAGATGTTCAGTAGTAGCAGTAACAGCAACAGCGTTGGCGGGAACAATAATGCGAACGAGACAATGCCTGTGCCTGCCAATCCACGTCCTTCCACGTCCACATCAGCCACCACGTTTTCGGAAGCTTCACGACCAAGCACGACGACGTCTTCTGGTTTCCGCAGCTTTTTATCAAGAACGTCCTGTGAATCTTCGAACGATCGTCAGTCACAGAAAAAATCCATGTCCGAAGAACCGATGCCCAACAAACAAGTGTTTGGTGTACCCTTGGAAGAAGCAGTACGCGTCTCGGGTGTGTCGGAACGATACCCTTTACCAGCCATTGTGCTCCGCTGTATTGAATACCTTGATGCCAAAGATGCGGTGTTGGAGGAAGGCTTATACCGTCTCAGTGGCAGCAATACCATGATGAAATCATTAAAGGAGAAATTCAACCAAGGTAAAATGAAAAAGAAAAATTCATCCTCTTATGTTGATAGACGGAAATGGACTGAATGTTGTTTTGTCCTGTAGATGGAGACTTTAATCTGTTGGCCTCAAAGGAAGAATATGACGTGCATGCTATTGCTGGTCTGCTGAAAATGTGGTTGCGCGAATTACCAACGAGTGTGCTGACACGAGAGCGTCGAATGGATTTCCTGCACGTGATTGGTATGATGAGATGGGCTGCAAACGAAAAAAGACAAAATAGAAGACTGACCGATTTGCTTTACAGATTTGTTGGATCGCAAGGAACGCGTCAATGAGCTTGGACGATTGGTGTCGTCACTCCCGTTGGCGAACTATACTTTACTACGTGCATTGACAGCTCACTTGATTCGGGTGGTGCAGCATGCGGATGTGAACAAGATGACGATTCGCAATGTGAGCATTGTATTCTCACCTACGCTCGGTATACCAGCTACTATATTTAATCTTTTTATGAGCGAGTTTGAGTACATCTTCTGGACTACCGAAGAGGGCGATGCAGCGCCACGGTTGCTGGAAGAAAGCGAGAAAGAAGAAGAAAAACAAGAAGAAGCGGTAGCAGTAGCAGCAGCGAGTGAAGACGAAGGAGGGTCAGGGGCTGCTACAGCCACGAAAGTTGAGAATGGATTCAAACCACTGGGACGCAAACCTACCCTGAAATTACGCGAAGAGCACGGACGCAGTAATCGAAACAGTGTCAATTACATGGACGGCGCACCTGTCGCTATCGTTGATCTGGAAAAGCATATGGATGGTAAGCTTGCTTTTTCGAGTGTGTAGAGTCACGGGAACTGATGGACTCATGTATTTTTTTTTTTTCAGGTCCTCCTGTGCTTGACGAAGAAGTGGACGAGGTGGACGACTTGACATTGACGGTTGGTTTGGAGGAAGAGGCGGATCTATTGATCAATGAAACGAGCAAACAAGGTGGACCAAGCGAGGCATAGATGGCCGTTTTCCTTTTATATAAAAAAATTATGTAGCTTTTACAGTGTGTTTATTTCCCTTCATTTTCAAATTCTTCCTTTTATCTACAATACCTATTAATCTTTCTTTATTTCTTTTTCTTGCCTTTCTCTATTGATATTTATTTCCCTTCGTTATTATTATATTATTTTTTTTAATATTCCATTCACAAAAATGACGCAGATGCACATTACTTGACTCGTATATTTTCACCAAAAAAAAAGGAATGGGTTGCATAAAATAATCAGACAACAGTTTTACGGAAATGCATGATGCAAGGAGATTTTTACCATGCTTGATTTGGACTTGTATTCACACAATGGCATCATGATAAAAATTCATATGCGCTGTAAGTCACATTATTTTTTATCCTTCTTTTTTCTTTGGCCGCTCTCCTTATCTACTCTTTTCAGTGGAGCTAAGGGTGGGCTGATAAACATGTGTGAAGATCCATATTTTCCACGATCCATGCAAAAAGATGTTTTTGACATAGAAAGGAGATTTTTAAATGGCATGATAAAAAAGCGGGAACAAATATTGATCGGTTATACGATGGGCCTTGGATTCTCTTGCTTTAAAAGCACCCTCGGGTTTGTTTTTTTCGTCTTCTCTTTCTCTCGATGTAGGTCCACAGATCATTGCATGATTCTTTATGCTTTCTTGCATTGTCCGAAACATTCAATAACGCAATAATCATTAGGAAACTACATAAATATGGCGCTGGCAAAACCCAGTATGGTTGGAAGAAAGTAAACTTGCATTGCTGATCTTGGAAATCGCCACTTTCTATTTTTTTCATGCTGATCACACAAGTTGACCAATACGCGAGTACCATTCCATCAGGGTATAGTAGATAGCTTGCCATATAAAGTCTGTTATTTTTTTCTTATACAGAGTAGATACGTCATTGTGGCCACGGAAATTGCATGATGAGTGATAAAGTACTACTGGATCATCCATAATTTATCCTTTAGATTACCATAAAACGCTGACACTTGCTTTTTTATTTTTATAGAATAGCCAAAGACATCATGATATCAATTCACTTGAGCGATATGTAAAAAAGATTAAACTGGTGAGGGCTGCCTACGACAGTTTATTCAATTCATTACAGCACGGGATATTTGATGGTTTATTGACAGCATTTACCCGAAGATGGAGACAACCGCTTCAATACACAATAAGGGGGTCTAATCAATACGGAGCAAGGAATCCGTACCGCTTTGCCATCGGTGCCAATAGCGTCGCCCAATCCGCAATTTACCTTGTATATTTTTATACGTCCAGCCTCCTTTTTTTTTCCCTTCTCCATTGGCGAGGCAAAACGATGGATGTGATAAAGCCACCGATTGATTAAAAACGAATGATCCACCCCAAAGAAAAAAAGGCAACAAGAATCGTGGATATTCAAGTGGCAAAAAAGAAAAACAAGAGAATGATATATCTTAAAATGCAGACTGTATGCAGCCAAACATCCGTCCATGATATGGACGTTTTGGACAGGTGAGGAAAACCGCAATTCCATCCAAAAAATCGATGAAAAAGCAATGAGTTATTTCCTTTTCTGCTATTTATACAGTTTTCCCTTGCCTTTTTCTCTCTTTTCCGCTTCCTTCTTGCATATTGCTGGATCTTTTTTTTTCTGTTCAACCATCGTTTTTTTTTTTTTCCTTTTCTTCTTTTTCTTTCCCTTTCAATTGATTCAATTGTTACTTTTTGCTTACTGATTTTCTTTTATTGCTCTTCCCGTTTCTTCATTTTATTTGCGCTACTTCTCTTTTTCGATCGTTTCTGTGTTCTGTTCAATGGCTAAAGAAGACGATGTCACCAACTTTGTCATCGGCATCTTTGTCTCACTAGGTAATGCGTTCGATCGCACGGTCAAAAAAAAAAGAACTTGTCGAAGGCGCAAAAAAATAAATAAACCGAATGCATTCACAAAACACGACATGACGTAATCTCACTGTGGAAGTGGTGTTTTATTTTCGGCAGCTGCTTCATTTATGGACGCCTTGGGTCTGAACATCTTGAAACTGGATCATGTCAGGGCAGAGATGAAAGAAGCCCATGAAAAAAGAGGCGACTGTGGCCGTCCGTTGTGGCATATCGGCCTTTATACTTATATTGCAAGTCAGCTTATTGGTAGCACCATCGCTCTCAGTGAGTCTTCCCATTCTCCGATCCCGCCGCTCGTTATGCAATTCTTCTCATTCTTGTCATCTCTCTGTTTCTTAGATTATCTCAAAACACAGGTAATGAATATCCCAAAACAAAACAAAACAAAATGGAAAAAAACCATCAATGCAAAGCCAAAACAAGAAAATCCCAGTTAAGCAACAAGAGATCATTCAACTAACAAGGAAAAGGAAATTTTTCCTCTTCTTTTTTCGTCTCTGCCGTCCAACTCTTTTGGTGTTTCTCTTTTTCATTTTAATGAAATCAATGATTTACCTTCCGGTAATTCCATCCAATTGTACCCCCTTGGCTTCCACTTGTGGTCTCCTTTTGTGATTTTGCCATGATTCCAGTGGGTCGCCCCTCTCGGTAGTGTCGCTCTCATCTACAATTTCATCTTTGCCAAAATCCTCGTCGGTACCAAAATCACACGCAAAGATGTCTTGGGAACCTTTGTCGTGATAGCCTCAGTGATTTGGATTGTGGTATTTGGTGGCATGTACAATGGAGACGATCGTAAGTGATTTAAACCCATCCAAACCCTGATAAACTACAGCTCACAGACACTTTCTCTATCTAATTTAGCTGAAGAATCCATTTCGCTGGAAAATCTAAAAACGCTATTTGTTCGACCTATTTTTATCATTTATTTCAGTGCGCTAAACATCATCACACTCTCTGGTATGGCTTTTGCGGTTTGGTCTCGTTGGGCACTGGCGGACGATGCGAGGAAACGACGCAATCAGTTGTTCTCGTCCATGAAACCCAAAAAAATGCGGCGTCTCATTGGTCTATTGTTCAGTTTGGTCGGTGGAATGCTGGCCAGTGAGACCTTACTGCTAGCCAAAAGCGGGTAATGACAGAGGGAGAGAACGAGAAAGGGGGCTCTAAAAAAAGGCGGAATATTACGAACAAAAAAAAAATATGGGGATTCAAATCATTTCGAAAATGAGCCTGTGTTTACTCCAAGACGAAGAAGTTAAACTAACGAAACAACCCCACATTTCTACAGAGTCAAGCTGTTCACATTGTCTGTCAGTTCGCAAGTCAATCAATTCACCGACAACACGAGCCGATTTATTCTTTTAGCGTTACTCTTGACTGCTATTATGCAGGTACCGATGCCGATTAATTTCATTTCACTTAAAGCCACCAATTTTTTTTCGTACTTACCATGTTGAATCTAGGTTTACTGTCTCAATTCGGCACTGAAATTGTACAATTCTGTGGTCGTGGTTCCTGTATTCTATGGCACTTACACAGCGCTCGGACTTGTCAACACCATTATTTATCTGGATGAAATTGGCAATTACCCAGGCTGGGCCATTGCCTTGGTATTTGGCGGCATTGGCGCTTTGATCTATGGGGTCTTTTTGCTCAGTTCGAAACCGGATCTGTCGCATCCTATCGATAATGAAGAAGAAATCACTCCAGATCAGGAAATGAATATCCTCAACCTTGATTCCTCCAGCTGGCCTACCGCCAAAGAAGAAAAAGAAGCCGCTAGTGCAAGGTTACCCGGCAGTCTGGGTGAAGCGAGCGGAAGTCACCAGCAACTCGTACCGCCTACGACCGATCGCGATTTCAAAACCAACTCTCACTTACAACCGACCAGTCGAGTGCACCGCTGGTTAGCGCGTATACGCCACGTTGCTGATCGACGATCCATAGATCATTCCAATGATACCTTTATTGGGTTACAGACCAATCAAGTGATCAATGTCACTATCCCAGTTCCCTCCCAAATCGATGCACGGAACATCACAAGCGATGCGACCATTCACCAACAAGAAGAAATATTAAGGCATCGCCACTCATGTCAACCGTCTTCACGAACCTCCGATTCCAACCTTCAACTGCACGACGGTTCTCCGCTTGCCTCCTCCACACCCGATAGCGCCAAGGTGAAGCCTTGATTGTCCCCGTTTCTTCAAAATCACAACACCCAATCATGATGTCTATTCTCCTCTTTTTCGTTACACATATTCATGTCAAACCATATAAAAAACCATTCATTCATCTTGGAATGGAAAATGAATTGTATTATAATGCTAAAAAAAAAGATCTCTCTGCCTTTCTTTCCCCTCATTTATGTGTTTGTTTTGATGTGTTCTGGGTTGTATGGTTTGCGGTGGTCATGAAAACTCGTAAAAGTGATCTTCACCGATAAGATCTTTGATATCTGTATATTCTTGAAAATGGAAAACGACAGGGTCAGGGACATTGTTATGTTTTTTCGTGCGTTCGAAAACGCTGCGTCTATGATTTCCTGGCTTACCCAACTGTTTCAATATCCGCTCCATGTGCGGCATAAATTCACGTCGCGGAATGTAAAGGTTAAATTCAAGATCCGCAAACACGGCAAATTCGTGCTTGTACACATCGTCTGCATCGACATCCAATTCTTCGTCAATGGCCTATCATAAAAACAGTTGTTAGAAAACATGGATCAGTGCATCCCATCCCCCAATCAACCGTATTAAAAAGTGCTTTTTATTGAGTTTACCTCCAACAGTCCACCGCAGTGGGTTCCTTTGGCTTCATTGATTTTATTGGCCAAGAATAAGCAGCAGCCCGCAATGAGTTTTCGGTTCTTTTTGGTCACTACATTCTGTACGCAGCAAGAGTATGTTAAGTGCGTCATAATAGGCAAGAGGAGAAAAAATGACCGAATGTACCTTTATCACGAGTTTTTCAAAGTAAACATAAGCGTGGGCCAAGGTGGATATTTCAAGATCAACCGTTTGACCGATTTCCAACAAGTGCAGTTTGATGGCCCTAATTTTGCTCAACGTAATTTCAGGTGGTATCTCTGGGTGGGCCAGTTTAAATTGTTCGTTTAACTCTCGTTTTAATTCGGAAGACCGGATCATTTGCGGAGTGGATGTATTCTGACGGTTTCGTTTGGTTTTTTTTTCCCATGCGTGAGAACAGATTGGCACATCATTCCATTAACTTGAGCAACACTGTACCAGAGAATGAGAATAATTGGCAGAGATTTGATAGCTGTCGTTATCCAGCATGATGGGATCGTAACTGTCTTTTTGACCCAGTGTCTCTTCCATCGGTTCGCTATCACGATAAACATTTACCAACGACAATTCTCTAAAATTCAGCTCATGGCCACAACTTTTTTACCTTAGAGAACCAGAAGCCACAAGGAATTGAGCATAAGAAAGCGCTTTTCGATGGCGGTGATGATCATGACCCGCAAGCTGCTGGTGTCTAACAACCATTCCATGTTACATCATCAGGTAGGAGGGAGTGACCATTTTTATGGTTGTATCAATAACTTACAGATAGCCGCGATTGACGCCAGAAGGTTCCGACTTTTTCTTTGCTGATTGCTTAATCTTGGATGTGTAGTAGCGAAATACAGAGAACAGACCGGACCCGCCTTGTTCATACTGTCAATGGAATGGGGATCAAAAGTCAGTCAACATAGAAGAACGTAACGTATCATAACGAAAATTAGAGAGAGATAACGTTACATCTTTATCTGTCGGAATGGACTTCTTTTTAATCTTCTCTGAAGCAATAGGGCGTTCGCTGTCTTCGCGCGTCAGTTTATGGTGTTGCACGCTATCACGACTTTCCAAGGAGGCTCTACGTCGATTCGTAGCACTGTCTTCGCGCGAATCGAGTTTTTTGGTAATGAATGAGTCTTGACCGGCAATGAAACCATGGGTCATAAAGGATGAAGCATGGGGTGGTGTAACCTGATTCTTTGAACCCACAGAGGTACCCTGGCGAGTAATATGCTCTTCAAGAGATAAACTGCTGTCGGTTGAATGCAACGATGCAGCTATTTTGTCCAAAAGAATGGAAGAACAAAGAAAAAAAACAATTGGTATACATGAGGTATTAAAAATTGCCAAGAATCAGTAAGCTTCACCTCCAATATAGGAAACATGTCGTCCTGCATCTGCATCGGGTATGGGATACATGGCCTTATTGCTGGATTCCGCAGCCCACGGCATGGTCTGGATGCCAATGTGACTTTGGAATGCATTGGGTTCATTGTTATCTTGATGCGATATGCCTTGTTCATTTCCAAGTGCAATGTTGGACAGAAAGTTGAAGGCTGTGGGTCTGGAAGTATTACGCCTGGTTTTACGACTTTTCGTCGTGCCCATGAGCGTATATGCGAACTTGGAATCTCGAATAAAGCGTTGAGCTATAGAAGACTTTATCTATAATAAAGTGTATTGGACTTGATACTATAGGTGTTTGTCTTTGTTCCGACGAAAATGGTCACCACTATGCATCGCCTGATGGAAAAGGAGCAAACAGGATAACTAAAACAAGCAACTTTTGACAAGAGCGATTTTTTCTTTTTTGTATCTCACGTCACGGAAATTTTTCTGCGGGGATCTTTTTTTTTTTTTCATGCTGCCCAACCTTACGGAGAAACAATTATCCTTTTTTCCTTTGACATGTCGGATATGGTCCGACCCATAATCCATGCCTTATGAATCATAATGTGCTTAAATACATAGGGAACACTTTATAATACCTTTGAACCTAGTACGTTGGCATTGTCAAAGAAAAAAAAGGCGATGTCAAAGGCACTTCAGCAAAGCAAAACTTCACGTGCTCATTCGTGACCAAATTAAAAAAAATCTTGCAACAGAAAAACATTGAGCTTGGGCTGCCCATTTAGATAGACATGCTTTCCTGAGAAAATTATTTCTGTTGCACAATGCATGGAATTTTTCGCTCTCCTTTGGATTTGTCTTGTTGATTATTGTCATTATTTTATTCCTATCGCAATCGAGTGATTTGAACGTCTAGGAGACTGCATGGTGATATATGTACTCTTTTCTTGGCAAATGATCCCGTTCTGCTTACGTACAGGCAGCGTAAAAGAAGCAAGGCCACTATCAGAATTTGCACCATGACGCAAGAGCTGAGTATCAGAGAGCATCATCATCAACGAAGCAAAGCAAACCGAGATTTGACCTAAATAATACAGCAAGACATCAAATAAACATGGCTTGCGGGAAAGAACTAGTCATTTTAGACATCACCTTTGACCGAGAGGTCTAATATTTTTGCCAAAAAAGCAGGACCATTGATATAGTTTTCACTGCTTTTCGATCTTGAACTATCCAGTCCAATGGGCAATGGGCATTAGATTGTATGTATTACGGTCCTCTGTGCCATAACTTTGTCCTTCAATAGTGATGTTCCAGTTTATCTTTGAGCGTAATACTATACTGGACATGGCATGACATTATATTTTGTCCATGTGCGACTTCTGTTAGAGAGGCGATCCCCATTTTTGGGAAAAAGTATAAAATGGGCAAGACCCCTCTCGAAGAGGAGATTTTTGACAAAAAGGAAGCGGATAAAATCACTCTCCGTCAGAAACCCGTGGATGATCCTTCGAAAACTTTGCTGGCGGTGGTTTTTGTTCCTCTAAACTTTTTTTTTGATTTTTTGCTTGCTTTTTCTCACATCAAAACAGACGTATCCAATGAACGAGCAGTCGCCATTATTGAGTTTACGTTCACCAGCAATACCGCAAGCCAAGGCATCGGTTTGGCATGCCATTATTATCATGTTTCTTGTGGCAATGGCTGGCGGGTACGCTATGTTCTTTTGATGTGATCCTCGCCAATCCATGGAATTTAATTTTTTCTTGACATGGACTATTTTCTAGAGCGTTGTATGCTCCACATATTCAATTCTACACGGATATCTTTTGTGAACGGTAGGAGAGACCGAGAAAATTTCAGAAGTTCGCCCACTTATCTCGGTGGACTTTAGTTTTTACGAACAAAATGGCGACATTGCAGGCATGCCAACTCGTGATTGCGCCATTCCCCAAGTTCAAAAGACAGTGGCTCGAGTTCAGGCCGTTATACTGCTGCTAAATTTCGGGTCAAGTACGGAATCGTTCACCATTACTTGCTTCACCGCTTGTACATGCATGGTCATTCATTCGTTCTTGTAGGTCTTGTGAGTGCAGGATTTTACGGGTCACTGTCTGATCACAACGGCCGACGAATTGTACTACGTATATCCGCTGTTGGTTTCCTTATTGGTGCCATTTGCAATATTCTCGTCGCGCAATACCAAGCTACCCTTGGCATCGGTTTGCTTTTTCTAGGACCCTTGTTGCGTGGTGCAATGGCCGGTGACAGTGTTCTTATGGCAACAGTGCAAGCTTACATTACCGACTGCACCACTCCACAAAAAAGGTGGGGCCACTTCCAAACTATCCATACCTTGTCTTTGGCCTGCACAGACATCTTACATGCACTATCGTCTTTAAATAGAACCATCATGTTTGCGCGAGTAATGGCTGCCGTGTTCATCGGAGCTGCCATCGGTAAGCATTTCGGCCTCGTTTCCCTGGTAAATTGTAATGCATGCATAGGCTCAATCATGTTTCTTGCTTAGGTCCTGCAATGGCCGGTGCTATTCTGCGAGTAAGTGCTTTGGATGGTTTAGAAATCAAAAGAAGAAAAAAAATTAACGGGCATGAGCAATTGCATAGAAAACCGACAGTCTTTTGTATCTGTTTTACGTCATCCTCATTATCCAGATAGTGATTGTGCTGTACACACTATTTATACTTCCCGAATCACATGTCCTCAACGACGACACTGACATCAAAGAGAAAAATGTGTGGGATCAATTTAATCTAGTATCTGCGATGCGGATTTTATTCCACAACGAATCTCAACATACCTCTGCCTATGCGTTGCCGCTGATTGCCGCTACTCAGTTCCTCACGTCGATTATCGTTATGCCGCCGACGTTGCTGTATGCCATGCTAAAATTCAAATGGACCGCTTACGAAAGCAGTCTGTATGTTAGTTACTCCGGGTTCATGCGTCTGCTTGTCATGGTGATTGTACTACCGTGTCTATCATGGCTCTTTCTCAAAAAGGTGCGTTTGCCCAAGCCGGCAAGCAGGGAAGCCGAACAACGGCGGATTATTCTGTTCGATCTTTGGATGATTCGTGCGGGAACCGCTATTGACGGGACGTCTCTCGTGATTTCGGGGCTCGTCAGTCATGTCGGCGCATTTGTCGCCGCGGCCGGTTTGCACAGTTTCTCTATGTTGGCGCAACCTTCGTTACGGTCGATTATGACCAAGCTTGTACCTCCATCCCAAGTGGGCCAATTGATGGGAGCCGTGGCTGTGCTGGATTCACTCGCTGGTAAGTCAGATGACCTCTCTGGGGGTCCCAATGGGGAAAAATTCAAAACTAATGATCCACTAACGTTGTCGTATTTAGTCATCATTGCGCAATTGTGCGTTAATACGATCTACAGTGCTTCGGTGGCTACCATGCCCAGTTTGACTTTTTTCTTGTGCGCTTCCATCGCTTTTCTTGCCTGTCTTTGTACGTTGGTCGTGCGCCCCGACATGAAACCGGATCACCGCTCAGCCAATGTCGAGCCATGACGGAAATCATGCAAACCAGTACAAGCTTTGTCATGGACACACTTCCATACCCGTATTACTATTATTATTATCATCTTCATCATTATACCCTTCGACTTCCCGAACTCCCATCATCAGCTGATTTGATATCCATCCATCTACTCTGAATGCAATATCCAAAAAAAAATTGTATCTTTGCCATCTATTTTGTCTAATGCTACAGAGTAAGACATGGAGTTCTGATGTTTATTTATTTCCATCCGTTTCTCTTACAATACGTACATGCAATTCAAGGAACCAAAGGAGCATCAACAAAATGATTGTCCACCTACTGCGGTTTGCATGAATAAGCCCATTCATACATCATGATTGCCGCATTCATCGGTTCCCTTGTTGCTATTTTGAATGTTGCAAAGCAAATAAGACAAAGATAGGATGGGCGCCCTGTGGCGACTGATATGCTGTATTGGTTGTCGCTCGCTTTGAAATGTGTCAATTAATCCAACAAGGCAATGGCGTCTGACTAAACTTGCTCTATCTGGGACGATAATTATACAGGGAAAAGAGAGAGAAAGAGAGAGAGAGTACCAATGATGATATGTTATTTACAAATTTATATATACAGGATTAAGGCGTGCCTATATATAATATACATATATACGGGATGCCGGGTCAGGAACTTGGTTTGTGTGGTTTGAATAGATGGTAAAAAGAGGCTGATGCTCTCATCATGAGAGGTTTTTGGTTGCAAGATGAAAAATTTCCCCTTTCGGTGATTTTTCTGTCCTCTCTTTTGGGGGTTTTGGAGATGGGAATGATGGCAGCATGATGAGTTTACGGATGAAGTACCGCTGTTTGTGGATCCGGTGCCTCTGCCGAGTGGGGGATGAGGAAATTGACGGCCGGGGTAGAGTTGAAAGATTGCTGGGTGGACACTGGTTGGTTGTTCCCACTCAATGCTTTGCCTAAGCCGATCATAATAAATGTCAACGCGATGAGGGTGCCTACGGATATCATCAATACAGCAGTCATCCAGCGACGCGGTGAAGGTTTCGGAACCTCGTTCGGTGGTGAAACAGGTGGGAAGTACGACGTTGCACCAGGTGTACCTGGCGTCAACATCGGCGCTACTGTGGCGGAGGTTTGATTGGATGCCAGATCCTGCACGTGGTCTCCAGCGAGCGAGTCATCCGGAGGGTCGATCTCCTCGTTGCTATTTTTGGTAACCGGATGTAAATCATGTTTCGAAGATAAAGGCATCGAAGTATCGCGATGACACAGCGCTTTCTGAAGTCTGTCAGAGGACTGATGGATCCATGTTTTGAGCCATGAACGTGCCGGTTGATGAGATACACGACATCGAGGACAAAGCGATGTCGGCAATTCACTGACCGCGGGTCGTTTGCTGTCACGACAGAATGCATACGAACATTTGGCGTCGAGGTGCTCTTGGTAGATTTCCGATAGATCAATACGCAAAACGGATTCGGCATATCGTTTAGCGGGATCAACATGAACAGGAATGTAAACCGAAGGAATACTGTTTACAGGAAAGGAAGGACGTTGCAAGGCATGTTTCGGTACGGCAGGTATAAAAGTCAAGTGGTCATTAGAGGATGAAGAGGAAGGAGGCGACAAGGAGGGAGGGATTGCCATAGGAACAGAGAGAGAGACGAGAAATGCTAGAAACCGCTCAATGATGATGAAGATTTGAAATCAAGAAAAAAAATCGAGTTTCTATGAGGAAGAGTATTGAAAAGAGAGAAAAAGAGACAACCGTTGTATTATGGATCTGCAACAAAAAAGGTCTAAGAGAAAACTAGTTGCATCATGTGAAAAGCGGGTAACAAGCAAATGATGAAGAGCGACCGATTAGAAGAATAAAAGAAGAAAAAAAATATGACGGTAATGGATCGACGTTATATAAAAGCAGCAAAGCAAAGTAAAGGAACCAACAGGATCAGTCAAGACTGGGATGAAAGCGTTCCTTTTTTTTTCGGGTTGAAGGTTTTTGGATTTTTTTCACAGGTACATAATTGAACAAAAGCCGATGAAATTTCAAGGCCGAGGAGCAGACCGAACAATAAGAAAGTCTGGGGAAAAAAAAAAAAGGAAAAAGGGAAGATCAGACTTCGAAACTCGCTTTTAATTGTATAAGAGATTGGAAATTAGACGAAGCAGGGACTCCAAAACCAGCAATTAGGAAGCCATCTTCGCATGATTTCTTTAACTCTCTTGCTCATTGCACGTCGTTCGGTTCGTTTGAAGATGCAATCGTCGTCATAGTGATCGGCATTGACAACGGCGAACCTTAGCAACTACGATGACTCGGTAATTCTGGGTTTTTTCCAGCTGTTTCTCCCTTGGGTTTTTTTTTTTTTTTTTTTTTTTCCTTCTCTGTCCTGCAAGATGACTCCTTTTTCATTTAAACAGAGAATTTATTTGAGAAACAGGTTGAACAAGGCATTGTTTAGGTTTTGCCTAACATTGCTGCATAACATTGGCGAAGAAAGAAAGAAGACAAAAAAAAAAAAAAAATAGGCAAACTTGGGTTCATGTTGAAAAACAGAGAAATAAGAGCAAGGCATACACAATATGGAAACGAGAATTTACAAATAGAGGATCCAGCATGAAGTGACCTACGGTCAGATGAATAAAATGCAATATGGTGGATTAAAATTGACAAAATCAAAATAAACACATGAAGGTATATGAAGAAAAGAAAGGTTAAAATCAGTTGGAATAAAATACAGTAATACATTTTTTTTGGGGGGGAGGGGAAGAGGGTAGGAGGGATCATCCCATCGATAGAAGATTGGAGCAGGACCTGCCAGGTTGCCGAAGAAAGAAATGAAGGGATGGGAAAAAAAAAGTTGAGAATGAAAAGTAAAAAGTATCAAAAGATGCATATTCAGAATAATCAGAACTCCTTGTTTTGTTTGAAAAAATTATGATTGGGTGAGTTGTTGTAAGGTCGGTGGATCGACCGTGAAGGGGAAATGGTGGAAATGTCCGACGTGGAGGAATATCCAGAATGACGATCAGGGCGAAATTGACAGCTGAGGGAACCCAATTCCATATTGATGCGTTTCAAATTACGATCCAAACTACGCACTTGTGCCATCAAATCGTCATGAGCAATACTTAGTTCGCGATCGACATCGTCCAATTGATCTTCGGAATCGAGAGGATAAACGGTGTATACGTTCTTCAAGGAGTGGAGCAGAATATTGATCGAGGTCCATTCATCGCGGAGATGATCAAGGACCCCTTGGAGACGATCAATCTCTGCCATTGGAACCGGCATGGAGCGATCCGCGGTGCCAGTTGTCGTGGACACCAAGGATCGGGGGCGTTTTGGCTTGTCACGACTAGGACCGCCATCAGACACGTCGACGGATTTGCGCTTGGACGTCATGGGCGAGTGCGGAGAACAGGTCTTCAAACATATAAAACGATGATCGTCTTTAACCAAGTATAAAATACCGGAAAACATGCAAGATCAACAAATCAAACAGGTCAAAGTCAATAGTTTTTTCTGGACCTCTTTGTCAGAGAAAAAAAAAACGCTTACAACGAAGCGTGAAGATCGACAAAAAAAAAAGAAATTAGACAAAGAAAGTGAAGAGATGAAAAAAGGTGGAACAAGTGGAAGGGATTGGAATAGAGCAGTAGAGAAAGACTAGATAAGAATGAGAAAAGAGAGGTTGTGCTAAACAGATTCAGTGATAATTACCGAAGGGTAGCAATGGTCAAGAGAAAAAAGTAAAGAAGCATGACGTTCCAGAAAATCGGTATTTATTAGGCATCACTGTATCTGGTTTTCACTAGCCACAACGGCGTGGCGGTGCGGATGGGTTCCTGATGCACGCAAATGTTGTGCTTGCAGCGCTTCCAAGGAGACGAGGCGAGTGGTGCATAGCCAAGCAACCCAGAAGCTGAGGTTGAAAAAAAAACTAGACATGGCGGGGGGGAGCACCACCTCCATCCTTCCCCCCTTTCCGCGCCACCTGCCATTTCAAGCATAAACCCAATGCCATTTTCATTGGAGTTTCCGTTAATCTGCCAAGGTCTTTCATTTGTTATGGTGCGTAGTGCTTTGGGTTTGGCTTGTCGGTGTTTAAGAACAAAAGAGAACATGCATGATCTGCTTCTTTTTGCCGTTCTGTTGGGTTTCTTAATATGCCCGTTTTATCTTGCACATCAACATCGACAGAGTCTTGGCAATTTGATCTTTTTCTCTCTTTTTCCGCCACCATGCCTTTTCCAGCAATGGCCCTGTCTTCACCCACATCACATTATTTGCCCATCCTTAACCTTTTTCTACTTTGCGCATATTATCAGGCCACTTTTTCCTCTTCCCTTTTTTACTCATCTCCTGCAATCATTACAAAGTTATTTGTCATGCATCTCTACAGCGTTGCTCTCATTTTGCTTTTTCTGCCCTGTTATCGTCACACCTTGCAGCTACCGCATTTCATTTTCAAGATGGCTTGAGTACCTATCAAAAGAAAGTACCGTAAGGGAAGCAAAAGATAAACAAAGCTACCAACCTTGGATCATCATGGTCCAAGGGGTAGAAAAACTGGAAATGCTCATCTGCCTTCCTCCCACCCCCACACGGCACCGCCCATCGGACACGCACGCTCCGGGCGGCAGTCACAAATTTTGGCCGACCGTCGGTCCACCCTTTTTCCACGCTTGGGATGCCATCGGTTGTCTATTTCTTTGTTCATCGGCCATCATGCAGGAACCGCCCAAAGCGCCTCGTCGCGAACATCACGAAGAACATCAAGTAAAAGCGTTGGAAAAGCATCAAGAGTTACAGGAACATCCGGTGCCTCCCGTATCTCAACTTGCCCGCTCGCAAAACGCTCAAGGACCGCACGACACGGTCGAAAGACGCCATCCGCTCACGGCCAAAGAAACCACGACCGATAAAATCATGCCGGTCCGACGTTCCATACCACCAGCCATTCGCAACTTTTGGTTCGCACGTCAACGATTCCGTAAAAGCAGAGATCCCACCGAAGAAGAAATCAAATACATGGAAGACCTACGTCTTCAAGATCTCCAATTCTTTCAAAAGGAAATCGCCTATTCCCCTGCGTATTACGGTAAGTCATCACAGCAGACAGACAATACGGAAGATTCACAGAAGGACTCACCTCCTTATATATTGATAGATGATACATATGAATACAGGTATATGATCTTTTTGACAGTAGCATAGATGCGATCTGACGTGACGTGACGTGACGCGACGAAAATCACTGACTCTCTTTTTTACAGACACGTTATTCTGCCAAAGGAAATTTCACGCTGGCTACCAAGCATGGACTGTCTTGAGGAATCGGAATGGAGAGAACTTGGAGTCACGAAGATGACAGGTTGGGAACATTATATGGTTCATGGTAAGTAACGGTGACTTTGGTTTAAATCGTCGTGATCATTCACCTTTTGATTTTCCGTATTTTTGCCGCAGCACCAGAGCCGCACATCTTGCTATTTCGACGAGCACGGCAGAGACGAGAAAAAGTAAGCTTTGAATTGGATTTGTGGTATATGAAAAAAGAACAAGGGCGATCCATACTGACGTGTATAATGTAATTAGCCGCCTCCAAAAGAAGCCAATGAAAACGTCGCACCTCCCACTGAAGCCAATGAAGCGACCAACACCACTTCCTCTTAACGTATCCCAACCTTTGTGTATTTGTACAGATAGCTCCTAGCCGATATAATGTTTCCCTCATCATCGTTTTTCATTTTTTTTAACTGAAAGCTGCTGTCAACTCTTTCAACCTAGCCAGTCACTATATTCGCCATCCAATCCCCTATGAATCGTACTACCAAAAAACACGCTGCACACGACCTATCCATGGTCATGCAAAGTGATGTACTCTATATGCCATAAACAGGTTTTCATTCTTTTTTTATCATTGTTGCATTTTGTATCAAACCCAAAAAGAAAATTGAGGATTTTTACGGCACGTGTGTGACTTTCAAGTTGGGCAACAGAAGGGCATTGATGGTTCCGTCCCTGCAAATGAATACTCCTGTCTTGCTTTTTTTTGCGCCCTTCTTTTTTTTTTTTTTCTTATATTGAACCCCTTTTATCACGATGGTGTGCCCTCATTTGGAATCCAATAACTTTACTATTCCCACCGCTCATACAAAAGTCCACAAAGAAGAATGTACTCAGTGCTTCGATAATCAGGTGCTTTTACTTGTTAGAATGACGTAACCACGGGCTTGTTTTAACCTCTCCCATTCCTTCCATAGGATGGTCCTCGAGGTATTGATGTGTGTTTGACGTGCTTCAACGGTGGCTGCAGTGACGCTCCACGTCAGCATGCCAAAACCCATTACGAACTGACTCAGCATCCCCTCGTGGTGAATATTCGGCGGATCCTGTTGGACAAAGCGAAAAGAGTACGTGTGTGTGTGTGTGCATGGGTCGGTTGTATTTGTCCCTTGCAGAAAAAAACCGGTTAAGGAGACGATTCGGTACTGACCTTTTTTGCCGCTAGCCCGAAGACGGGATGCCACCTCAAAAGATGAGCAAACTCGCCATTGTCCCTGAGGACGAAATCAACGAGTACGAATACATTACCACAATACGCTGCTATGCCTGCGCCGGTGAAGAATTCTCTACTGATACGAATCCAGAGGTATCGTAATGGATCAGCAACGTGTTATTTTGGTCGCATTAACCGATGGGAGTGGCCTGGATATTAGGTAGCCAAGGCAGTGGAAGCGGTGCTGGCCGCCATGTCCTCGGCGAAGCAGTCGGAAGTGAAAGCGTGGGAGGAAGAAATCATCGCGTGTGAACATACCGTGTGCCTTGTTCAAGACGAGCCGAAAAAATTACAAGGCCAAGATTTAGCTCACTGTGCCGACTGCGAATTGAAGGAAAATTTATGGTTGTGTCTGACGTGCGGTAACTTGGCCTGTGGCCGACGACAGTACGATGGTTCGGGCGGCAATAATCACGGTTTGGAGCATTTTGACAAGACGGGGCATGCTGTAGCATGCAAACTCGGCACCATTACACCTGAAGGCACTGCTGGTAAGATGGAAATGATGAGCTGCGGTGCAACGGGTAGGAGCCTCGCTGATGAGAAAAGGAAATTAGATATCTTTTGTTACTTGTGCAATGATGCTCGATTGGATAACGATTTGGCCACCCATCTTGAAACGTGGGGAATCAACGTGTCGCAGCAAATGAAGACAGAAAAGAGCATGACAGAATTGGTACTACCCTGATCCGCCAATTCGGAGAGAAAACACGCTGATGCCAACCCTACTGTTGTCTAGCAATTAGAACAGAACCTAAAATTTGATTTCAGCATGACCACCGAGGACGGAAAGCAATTGGAGCCCAAGTTCGGTCCTGGCTATACTGGCTTGATTAATTTGGGAAACAGGTAAACTATTGAAAAGAAACCAGCCTTTAGTTCAGTGACTTGAGCGATTGACCGATTGGCCGATGCCTATTCGTACGATGTAGTTGCTACATGGCGTCGGTGCTTCAAGCTGTTTTCAACATTTCAGCTTTCCAACATCGATATGACGGTCAGCTTCAGGATCATGCAAAGACCTGTACTCGAGAACCCGCCAACTGTTGGTACTGTCAGCTTCACAAGATTGCTGATGGATTACTGTCAGGTCGATATTCCCAACCGCAAACTTCTAACAAGGACGAACCGACCACGCAACAAGGCATCGCCCCCACCATGTTCAAAACGTTGGTCGGCAACAACCATGAAGAGTTCTCCACGATGCGACAACAAGATGCGTTTGAATTTTTTCAATTCTTCTCCAAATCCGTCGCGCAAAAAGAACACGCCAACAAGGCCCAGGATCCCACAAAGTTGTTTGAATTTTTGATCGAACAACGATTGCAGTGTGGCCAGTGCCATAAAGTACGTTATCAAACCGAAAAAACCAGCAGCATCTCTGTCAACGTGCCGGCCAAGAAACTCGAGAGTGATGGCGAAGATGTATATGAACCTGTGACATTTTACGAATGTCTCGATACATTCATTGAACAGGAAGCAGTCGAGGGATACAACTGTCCCAACTGTAAAGAAAGGACCGTCGCTCACAAGTAAGGACTTTGGTGTGCTTGTCACGCATAAAGCTCCCTCTGGCTTACCCACTTCACTTTCCAATGTGGCATTATAGATCCGTCAAGTTCAGTACCTTGCCTCAATATCTCGTCATTCACGCCCGACGATTCGCATTTATCAACTGGGTGCCAACAAAACTGAGTATGTCCGAAATTCAATTTATTTGATCCTTTCGCTTGGTTATTCATTGGTTGGCGATCTAGATATCCAGATCCAATTCCCTGAAGGCGCTATCCAATTGGACAAATATGTCAGTGCTGGGCCTCAGCCGGACGAAGAAATGCTGCCAGAAGATGCACCAGCCATCCAAGGTAACCATCAACACCTGCGAAACCAACTATAACCCGTACTGACATTTTGTAGAACCTGCCTTTGATGCTGCTGCTTTGGAACAATTGATGGCGATGGGATTCCCCGAAAACCGATGCAAACGCGCCTTGATGAACACCGGTAATAACGGTGCTGAAATCGCCATGAACTGGTTGTTTGAACACATGGAAGATCCAGGTATGGATACGGTAACAAAGAGGAAAAAGGCGCCCGTTCTCAGATGTCTCCGTTTATAGATATCGATGAACCGTTGGCTGCTACGGATATTGCCCCCACCGGTGCCTCTGATGACCAAATCAATACATTGTGTGAAATGGGATTCACAGCATCCCAAGCCAAAAAGGCGTTACGGGAAACGGTAAGTCTGTTGCAGGAAGGGGGAAAAAATAAAAATGATCATCTCTAAACACATATACACGTCTCCCATGTGTAGAACAACGATACCGAACGTGCTTTAGACTGGTTGTTCAGCCATCCTGAGGATTCGGGTGAAGAAACAGTGGATGAGCCCATGGCCACAGATCAGCCTGCAGCGGGAGGTCAGTCAATATTGAACAAGGAAATAGGGGCTGTCCAGAGACTGACCTTTTTGATTTATAGATGCCACGCCTCCTTTCAATTATGATGTGGCATCATTTGTTTCCCACAAGGGCACGTCCGTGCATTGTGGACACTACGTGGCCCATGTCTACAAAAACGGTGAATGGATTTTGTTCAACGACAACAAGGTCGCCGTGACTCCCAACCCACCCATGGGCGAAGCCTACTTGTACTTTTTGCACCGACAAGAATAGACCACATGTAATTTAATGAAACGCTATCAAAACAGTAAAAAAGAGAGAATGGTGTATGTAAAGGAGGATGGGATGTAGTAACAAGCCGTACACCCGCTGTGCAATGGATGCCACCTGCTACTGGGATGTCACACTCTTACATTAAGTAACATTCGTCAGACAAAACTAACGCAATAGGCATAACGTGGGCGAGACTCTTGATGGAACTTTGGTATATTAATGTCAATATTCTGGCATACCATGAAACATTTTTAATGAACAAAGCAGCACTTATTGACCCCCTTCGTCCTGTCCCGCCCAAGGTTATGATAGATCTAGAATGGTGTGTGGGAATGTTGGGTATTGAAAAAAAAATGAGTTGGCTCTTTGATTGATTCAAATGTCGTCAAGATATTTTACCTTTGTTATTCGATGGCAGATATCGAGAGCTTCCCGACCGAAAAAAAACAGAAACGATACAAATATATATAAAATAAAAGTAAAACAATAGGTGCGACTGTAAAAACCCCTTAAAAACCCTGTGGGAAAAAAAAGGAGGAAAAGACTGCAAGAAGGTCTATCGAATAAAATACAAATATGCATACTACACACTACAAAAATAAAATGGTCGGGAAGAAATATCAAGACGATGTCATGAGAAGTAATCCAGGTGAAGTCAAGCGTAAGCATTTTCCGATGAGGAAAAGAGTCACACCACCGACGATGCCCTTTGACGACAAAAACCGGATAGGCCACATTTGGTGCGCGAACAAAGTAGAAAGATTTGGAGGGATGGATGACTTGCCAGGACGAAAAGAAAAACCAAAAGCTAAAGAAAGGATAGAGAAAAAAGAACGTGAGTTTTTTCTTGTCGAAAAACGGATAGTCACATCACACAAAAGGTACCTTTTTTATATTTACAGTAATCGACTTGACCGGTTACAGATACACGCGCGATAACCATAGTCTAGATGATGCATGATGCATGATGGATGCGGATGCGGGTGAGGATGCAATGATAGTGAGAGGCTTTTCAGGCAAACAGAAAGAGAGGAGAAAACCAAGGAAAAAAGAAAAAAATGAAGATAAAAATATGTGGATTTCCCATGAACGAAACAATAGTCACCCTACTGATGCATGAATTCATAGATCGAAGCACGTCTGCTCCATGTATCATTCGATCATTGAAAACTGAAGAGAATGAAAGAATATATACAGTATAACTGACAGAAAAACCAAATTAAATGATGCTACAAAGACGCCAGTTTTATCATCAACCACCTTTCTTCAAAAAGGGCTCTACTCACATTTTTATTTGAAAGACGACGATGCTCTGTTTGACCACAACAGGCACAAACGGCATCTTGCTGCGGATTGTTTCGCCTACTACTGTGGAAGTGGGCAGGTCCTGATAACTTGGTGCAGATCATGTGGTTTAAAAATCCCCAATTCTCTCAGATTTAATTGTTTAGATAAATCAAAGTAAAACACCAATATTCGAGGCAACCATTGAATTTCCAATTCACTGAACATAACAATCATAATCAATAGAAAATCGTCATCAGGAGACAAGGAAACATAAGAGTATACTCCACACAATGATATTATATTTGAAAAAAGAATGATTTAAAAGAGAAAAGCAAATGAAAAAGAAAGCAAGAAATGAAACTAATAAACAACGTATTCTACAAGTAATTTTTTTAACCTCTGAAGGTTCCCATGACGAGGGCCAACAGGGCCATTCGGACGTAAAGACCGTAGCGCATTTGACGGAAGTAGGCGGCTCTCTGGTCAAAATCGACTTCAGGTTCGATTTCATTGACGCGAGGCAAAGGATGAAGCACGATCATTTGCGACTTGGCCTTGCTCAACACATCGTTGTTGAGAATGAAAGCGTCCTTGACACGCAAGTAGTCTTCTTCGGATGAGAATCGTTCCTTTTGCACACGGGTCATGTAAAGCACATCGGTTTCACCAATGACTTCATCCAAGCTACGGTACACGTTCTGCTGAATACCGGCGCGTTCGACTTCTTCCATGACATCCTTGGGCATGGGAAGTTCTTCGGGGCACACATAGTTCAACTTGACCTGGTAGTAGGCAAGGATCTTGACCAAACTGTGGACAGTACGACCGTTCTTCAAATCACCAACCAAAGTAATCGTCAATCCGTTCACGGTACCCAATTCTTCACGGATGGTAAAGGTATCCAAGAAGGCTTGCGTAGGGTGTTCACCAATACCGTCACCAGCATTGATGATTGGCACCTTGGAGTACTTGGCGGCCAACTGAGCACTGCCGGGTTGAGGATGACGAAGGACCACGACATCAGCGTAACAGCCAAGAGTACGGATGGTATCGGCAAGCGATTCACCCTTTTGCACCGACGAAGCCGTCGCACTCACAGAGACCACTTGACCACCCAAACGGTACATGGCTGCTTCAAAGGAAGACGAGGTACGGGTGGAAGGTTCAAAGAACATGGTGCTCATCACACGGCCCTGGAGCAAATTGATCGAACCATAGCGTTCCACGAGGTTGCGCATTTCGTGAGCGACACCGAACAACAAGTGCAAGTCGTTGCGATCGAATTGCTTGGAACGCAAGATGTGCTTGCGGTAGAAAGGCGAACGGCTGACGACACGGGCCAACGAAGCCGAGATCTCGTAGGTAGGAGGTTGCAAGGTCACCATTTGCTGATCCATGGCACCGGCCAACTTGACGGAATCAGTGTTGGTGGAACGGGGCATCTTGTTATCGTGAGCAAATTCGGGCACAGGGAGCGTGGCGGCTTGCTGTTCAATCTTGGCGGCTTCCTTGACAATGGGTTGCACGGCCTGGGCTTGGATTGAGACATCGCGACCCATGTTACCGTCGGAACTGCTGGTACCGTCCATGAACACGGTCTTCTCGTTCATCACCACACGATGCACAGCACCAAGAACCTTACGTCCAGCCAAAGGAGACCAGTTGGCTTCATCGTGGGGCCACACGTGCTGACGATCCACTTCGATTTCCACATAAGTATCGGCCTGAGGAGCGAGGTTGAAGATGTGGCGAGGGTTCTCGTAGAAGCGATTGGCAATATCCTTCAACTGGAGACGACCTTCGGACACGGCATTCAACAACAAGGGAAGAGCTTCGTTTATACCAGCGGTAGCCGACACGGGTTTACCGAGTTCAGCAGCCAACTTGGCAGGAGTGGAACCGACGGAGAAACAGTCAATCATGGCCAAGTTCTTCCACAAGGCTTCCTGTTCCTTCTTGGTAGGCAGCAACTTGGTGTTGTTGAATTCCTCGGACGAGAAGAACAAGGCGTACACCGCCACATCGCAGGTCACCTTGAGACCCTTCTTCTTGCTCATTTCGATCAAAATCAAATCGTCCTTGTGCATGACATTGGAAACGTGGATGATACGGTTGTACAGGGAAGCAAGCAACAAGATGGAAGCCAGATCGGTACCCTTGGCATCGGTCACCACCAACTGATCGCTAGGCCATGAAGAGAACACCGAGTCAAACACAGAGACCTTGCCACTGCCAATTTCGTCCGTGTTGATGTACACGGCGGCGGAATCCGAAGCCACAGGAGCGAGGTGAGTGGCATTATCGGCAGTTGCTGTTACGTTCAACAGATAGTCGGTGTGAGCAGCCTTGCGAGCGACTTCACCGAGATGTTCGAGCGAGCTGACATCCTTGACGTCTTGAGCAATGGCAGAGATGGTGGTGAAACCGGCATCCAGCGAAGTCTTGGCGACGGCCGTGAAATCGGCGGTCTTGGGCAAGTAGCTGTTCACGTTGAACAAACCGGGCAAGGTGGCACTGGTATGGCTGGTCTTGTAGTCGACGCCGAGGATATCGAAATCGGTGGCGCGAGCCAATGCTTCAACAAATACCTTGGCACACTTGACGTTGGTCAACAGAGGAATCGAGTAGTCGACGGCCATACGACGCGAACGGTAACCCTTGGACATGTACGAGGCAGGACGGCGGTAACGATTGCGAGAAGGCAAGTTGATATACATGTCAATCAAGTTGTTGGACAAGTGCTGTTGCAAAGAGTACTCGGCCTTCATCTTGTCATCACCATCGCCATCCAAGGTTTCCAAGTGCTTGACGGGGATGTTGTGTTCCTGGATAAAGTCGGCAGTACCGGTGGTAGCGAACAAGTTGTAACCCAATTCGTGCAACTTCTTGACGGAAGGCAACATTTCCTGCTTCTCCTTGTAAGAACCAATGGACAAGAGAATGTTCTTCTTGGGCAACTGGAAACCGGTGGCCAACAAGGCCTTGAGGTAAGCCGAGTATTTGTCCTTGCCGAAACAAGCGACTTCACCGGTAGAGGCCATTTCAACACCCAAGACGGGATCGGCACCGGACAAGCGGCTGAAGGAGAACTGAGGCACCTTGACACCGACGTAATCCTTGGGCAATTCGACCTTGGGGTAGGGCTGGACGGGAAGACCTAACATGGCATTGGTGGCCATTTCGATCAAATCGACACCCATGACCTTGGACACGAAGGGGAACGAACGAGCGGCACGCACGTTACATTCAATGACCTTGATTTCGTTGTTCTTGGCAATGAACTGAATGTTGAAAGGACCGGTGACGTTCAAAGCGCGACCAATCTTGGCCGTGGCATCTTCAATCTTGCGCACGGTTTCGGGGTCGAGATCCTGAGGAGGCAACACCAAGGTGGCATCACCGGAGTGAACACCGGCATTTTCAACGTGCTCGGAAATGACGTGCATGATCATTTTACCGTCCAAAGCAACGGCATCCATTTCGATTTCCTTGGCTTCTTCAATGTACTTGGAGATAACAACGGGATGATCGCGAGACACGGCGGCGGCTTCCTTCAAGTAAGAAGCCAAATCGTCCTTGGAAGAGACCACGTTCATGGCCGCACCGGAAAGGACGTACGAAGGACGGACAAGAACAGGGTAACCGACCTTTGTACAGAAATCTTCGGCTTCATCAAAGCTGGTCAATTCTTTCCACAGAGGCTGATCGACACCAATACGATCACACATGCGCGAGAACTTGTAACGATTTTCGGCATTGTCAATCATCTCGGGAGAGGTACCAAGGACCTTGACGTTTTGACGGTACAAGGGAAGAGCAATGTTGTTGGGGGTTTGACCACCCATGGACATCATCACACCGGTGGAATGTTCGACTTCATAGATATCGAGCACACGTTCCAAGTTGATGTTTTCAAAGTAGAGACGATCGGCTTCATCGTAATCGGTAGACACGGTTTCGGGGTTATAGTTGACCATAACTGTCTTGACACCCTTTTCGCGCAACGTACGAATGGCACGCACAGCACACCAATCGAATTCGACCGATGAACCAATACGGTACACACCTGAACCCAACACCATGATGCCCTTGTCTTCAAAGTCAATATCATGCTCCACAGCATTGTAGGTCATGTAAAGGTAATTGGTGAAGGCAGGGAACTCGGCAGCCACTGTATAAAAAGAAATCGGTGAGTCAACTGATATTAAGCAATGACATGAAGTGAAAAAGTTACCTGTATCGATCTGTTTGACGAAAGGAGTGACACCGTACTCTTGGCGCAAGCGACGAACAGCCAATTCATTGCTATTGATCTTGGTGGCGATTTGACGATCCGAGAAACCGAGTTGTTTGGCGGAACGGATAAGGTTACCGGGCAAGTTGGCCTTGGTGAAACCTTCCAAGCGCTTTTCCAAGTTGACAATACGCTGCAACTTGTTCAAGAACCACTTGTCAATCTTGGTCAATTCCCACACACGGTCGACAGTGTAACCCTTGTGCATAGCATTGGCAATAGCGAACAAACGCTGGTCAGAGGGGTTCATCAATTCGTCATCCAAATTTTCACCATCAGCAATATCATTCTAAACAAGAAAAACGAAGTAAGCCATCTATTTCTTCCAATATCGTACCACTTTCTTTACCTTGCTGAAACCAGGGAAGTTGTAGTCAATGGCACGAATGGCCTTTTGGATGGTTTCTTCAAAGGTGCGACCGATGGCCATGACTTCACCGACGGATTTCATGGATGAGCTCAAGGCAGTGCTGACACGGTTGAACTTCTTGAGATCCCAACGGGGAATCTTGACCACGACGTAATCCAACGAGGGTTCGAAACAGGCACAAGTGACCTTGGTGACACTGTTCTTGATTTCGTTCAAGGGAATACCGAGACCAAGCTTGGCAGCCACAAAGGCAAGGGGATAACCGGTGGCCTTGGAAGCCAAAGCGGAAGAACGCGAAAGACGGGCATTGACTTCGATAATGCAGTATTCCTTGGAGAAGGGATTCAAGGCGTACTGAATGTTACATTCACCGACCACACCCAAGTGACGAATCACATTGACAGCCGTGGTACGGAGCATGTTGTAGTCTTCATCGGACAAGGTCTGGGAAGGAGCGACGACGATGGAATCACCAGTATGAATACCCAAGGGATCAAAGTTTTCCATGTTACACACGGTGATACAGTTATCTTGACAATCGCGAACGACTTCGTACTCGATTTCCTTCCAGCCCTTCATGGAACGTTCAATCAACACCTGAGGAGACGTGGCAAAGGCCTTATTACACAAGGCAATGAGTTCTTGCTCGTTGTTGGCGAAACCGGAACCGAGACCACCCAAAGCGTAAGCGGCACGGCAAATCACAGGGTAACCAATTTCCTTGGCAGCGGCCAAAGCTTCTTCCTGGTTGATGGCCGAAGCGGACTGAGCACACTTTTCGTTGATTTCATACAAGGCTTGAGCGAAAAGGTCACGATCTTCGGTGGTGATGATGGTATCAATGGGGGTACCGAGCACCTTGACACCGAGGGATTCGAATTCATCCTTGAGCTTGATACCGACGTTCAAGGCGGTCTGACCACCAAAGGTACAGTAGATACCATCGGGCTTCTCAAACTGGATGACCTTGCGCACAAAATCGGGGGTCACAGGAAGGAAGTACACCTTGTCGGCGAGACCCTTGGAAGTCTGAATGGTAGCAATGTTGGGATTGATCAAGATGGTGTAAATGCCTTCTTCCTTGAGCGCCTTGATGGCTTGAGAACCTGAGTAATCGAATTCACCGGCCTGACCAATGGACAAACCACCGGAACCGAGAACCAGGACCTTGCTGACATGGACACGAGGGTTCTTTTGCACATTTTCAGCCTTGGTACCACCGGGCATCTTGATGGGCACCAACTTGTTCTGATCGACACATTCCTTGACGGTGTTAATGAAGACATCGAACAAGAATTCGGTATCGCGAGGACCGGGGGTGGATTCAGGATGGAACTGGACGGAGAAAATGGGCAACGACTTGTGAATGATACCTTCGTTGGAACCATCGTTGGCATTGACGAACAACTCTTCAAACTCTTCAGGAAGCGAAGCGGCATCGACGGCATAACCGTGATTCTGCGAAGTGATGTAGCAGCGACCGGAGATCATGTTTGTACAAGGAATGTTCTGACCACGGTTACCGTATTTCATCTTCATGGTCTTGGCACCGGCAGCGAGGGCCAACAACTGGTGACCGAGACAGATACCAAAGATGGGCTTGTTACCGGCCTTGAGAAGAGTGGAAAGACGGTGGAAAGTGGTTTCAACCATGGTTGGGTCACCGGGACCGTTGGAAAGGAAAAGACCATCATAAGAATCCGCGGGTTCCGAAGCGAAATCATAGTCCCAGGGAACAACCTTGAGCTCGACACCACGGAAGACGAAGCAACGGATTTGGTTGTATTTCATACCGACATCGACGGCCATGATACGCAGGGTACGGCCAGAAGCGGTCTTGATGGCCTTGGCGGGATCGGGATAGTACACCTTGGGTTCCTTAATGGAGACTTCAGCGACCAAATTACGCTGGTTGGGATCGACCCATTCGACATCCTGATAATGCTCCATCCAGGCATTTTCGGAGGCAGAATCGGTCTTGGAAGAGCTCAAACCAAGGGCGGCGGCGGCCGAATCCAGAGCAGTCATGGTCTTTTTGGGGAACAAAATTTTAGCCAATAGCACACCTTGCTTGCGGATCTTCTTGGTCAGTGCACGGGTGTCAATGCCGTAAAGGGCGGGCACATCGTTCTCCTTCAACCAGTCCGACAAAGAAGAATGGGCCAAGTAGTGAGAGTAGTCCGCACCATAGCTACCCACCAAGAGACCGGCCACATGGATTTCCGATGATTCAAAGTACTTTGGAATATCCTTCAACAACTCGTCCATCTCGTCACGCGAAGGGACACCATAGTTGCCAATCAAGGGAAAAGTCAACACCAAGATCTGACCACGGTAAGAAGGATCGGTCAACGACTCTGGATAACCAACCATACCTAAACAGATCCTTGGTATAAGCCACAGAAAAAAAATCTCTCATTGCCATGGAAAAAACGAAAATAAAGAAAAATAGCAAAGTAGAAAGAAAAAAAAATTTTCTGGATCTCCACACACGCCAATCTGATCGGACTTGGATTGCACGTCAAACTTCCCCATTTTTTTTTCTCCACTCTTTTTTCTCAAAAAAAACCAAGAGAAAGAAAAACTGGCAAGCAAAAAAAAAAAGAAGAGTCTTACCGGTTTGGAAAACGCATTCACCAGAGATACTCTTGGATTCCGAACCAAAAGAGATACCCTGGAAGCTAGTTCCATCTTGCAAGACCAGAGCCGCGGTAGTGACATCCTTGGTATCCTCCATGGCCGTCACGGGACGGTGGGGAGCCGAAGGCGATCTGGGAGTGCAAGGAACCGGAGTAGCATTAGCCGAGGGAGCAGGAATGTGCTTGGTGCTTGTTCCAACAGCAGGAGCCGTTCCAGCAGCAGCAATAGAAGGGATAGGGAAGTTGGATGCCATTTTTTCTTTCTTTCTTTTGTCGTTCTTAAGATGTTATAATGTACAGTGGAGAGACTTTTTTTTTCTTTTGAGGCAATCACAACAAGGGAAAAAGGGAGAGCACAAGAGAAGAGATTGTTCCGAATTCAGTTAGTCACAAATTCTTTCAAAATGATCCACCTTTTTGTTCCCTTTGCAAAAAAAAAACTCACAAACTTAAAATGCGCGATATGTAAGAATGCTTGAATGTGTGTGTGTGTGTGTGTGTGGAGTATACTTGATTATATAAGCGCGAAGATAATAAAAAGAGATCAACACAATATATAGTAAGAAACTTAAAAGAAAGTAAAAAGAAAAGGCCTTATATGGGAAGTGGAAAGGGTATTCCGGGGTTCGTCAGCCGAAGAAGCTGAAAAGTTCCATGTATCCCAAAAGCACGCTGTATTTATAACGATGTCAGCGTAAAATTTTTCTCGCTGGGGTTCAATTTGACAGGCTAAAAAGCCGATCTACCCAATCACATTGTCGGAACAGGACAAGCTTTTGTGACGCTTCTTTTTGAATCACTTCCGACAGCACACTCGGGGTCGGAAAGGCAACATTGAGGCTCCGTCTGTTATTGGAAAAAAGTTTTTTTTTTCTTGATTCGTATCTAAGCCTGCTTTTTAAAATTGTCAAAGAAATCGGATCAATAGATTAATGATAAAAAGGGATCCTACAAATAACACCATCCGCTTATGTAATAAAGGCGTGCTTATTGTGTGGTAAATCATTACATGGAACGAAATACCAGTGTGCCATTTCATGAAAAGAAACCAAGAAACTTCAACTCAGGCGCGTAAGCTATTTTAATTTTGCGATAGTGTGTTTTCATTGATTGGAGCGATCCGGAAATGGCCATGCTCGCTTATTGAAAGGCTTTTTCCAGCGCGTTCCGAAACATGTCATCATGTCATTGGAGAGACTGAGAAAAAAGATCGATTTAAAGGGTATGAAATCGGTGCATCCCTCTTATCGTTGGACAAATATCCACCTTGGCTTTCACAGTGGACTACACAGATCTATGCTCCGCTGATCTTGTCATATGCTATTCATTTTTTCATTTCACGATAAGCCACCTTGATGTGGTACCAGCATTCACCGGCTTCGGATATTCATTAACGTTACATCAACCCATATGATGTGTATGGGGCAAAAAAGCCTTTCAATTTAATGGCTAAGAATCTTGGAGCACTGGCAAATTACATTGTTGTCGTGTATGCCATTTGACGGAAGGCTTGTTGGAACGCGTAGCATGTTATTTACTTGTATGACCAAAGCATCTTTTTCGACAGTTGCACAGCTGTTATCCTGATGAGGCAATCCGTTGGATCTCGTAATGAGTTTGACAGTTGCCTTTTACGACTTTTTGATAAATATTTGATTTCTGTCAATTGATTTCAGTCCGCAATTGAACATTAATAAGATCATAACATTAAAATTTCATGGACCCTTTTTATCAGGTAGTGTTTTTTCTTACTGGAACTTGTTTGCGACATTTTCGCGTGTAGATCAACTTGTAATTCGCAATTCAGTGTACGCCATAGCATCGTCACATGTACAAATACTGAGGGAACTGTCATGGCACATGCTACTGTATACCTATGACGAAATGTTAGTGGCGTGGGTTTCTCACAGACATCGTTCTTCTTCTAGCCATCAGAGATAAACCAAAGTTTATTGATAATCCCAACCCACAGGGCAAAGATACCTGGTTGGAAGAATTTTCTACTTTATGAACTATGCTCCTTAACATCTATGCACGGCCAATGCGTTACGTTATGCTCAAGGGTTGTCTGCACCATTAATATCAAAAACATTTATTCGGAATAACAAGCCGTACACGCTCTGTGCACTGGATGCTAGGTGGACGTCGCCCCCTTACATTGAGCGACATTCGTCAGATAAAGCCTAACGCAATACGGCATAACCTGGGCGAGACTCTTGATGGAACTTTGGTATATTAATGTCAATACTCTGGCATACCGTACAGTCATGATTTCCAAACATGTGTGCAGCAGCACTTATTGACCCCCTCAGTCCCGTCCCGCCCAAGGTTATGATAGACCTAGAATGATGTGTGGGAATGTTGGGTATTAAAAAAGGAGTTAGTACGCTCTTTGATTGATTCAAATGTCGTCAAGATATTTTACCTTTGTTATTCGATGGCAGATATCGAGAGCTTCCCGACCGAAAAAAAACAGAAACGATACAAATATATATAAAATAAAAGTAAAACAATAGGTGCGGCTGTAAAAACCCCTTAAAAACCCTGTGGGAAAAAAAAAAAGGAGGAAAAGACTGCAAGAAGGTCTATCGAATAAAATACAAATATGCATACTACACACTACAAAAATAAAATGGTCGGGAAGAAATATCAAGACAATACCATGGGAAGTAATCCAGGTGAAGTCAAGCTGAGGAGGACGCGTAAGCGTTTTCCGATGGAAAAGAGAGTCAAACCACCGACGATGCCCTTTGACGACTGAAACCGGATTGGCCACATTTGGTGCGCGAACAAAGTAGAAAGATTTGGAGGGATGGATGGCTTGCCAGGGCGAAAAGAAAACCGGAGAGAAAACCAAAAGCTAAAGAAAAGATAGAGAAAAAATAACGTGTTTTTTCTTGTCGAAAAACGGATAGTCACATCACACAAAACATACCTTTTTGATATTTCAATCGACTTGACTGGTTACAGATACACGCGGGTAAACCATAGTCTGGATGATGGATGATGAATGCGAGGGGATGCAATGATAGTGAGAGTTTATCCCAGTAAACAGAAGATAGAGGAGAAAACCAAAGAAAAAAGAAAAGAAAGAAGACAAAATATATGTGGATTTCCATGGATGAAACGATAGCCACCCCACTGATGCATGAATACATAGATCGAAGCACATCTGCTTATGTATTATTCGATTCATTGAAAAATGAAAGAGAATGAAAGGACATATACGTATAACTGACAAATAAAAATAAATTGAATGATGCTACAGAAGAACGCCAGTCGTATCATCAACCACTTTTCTTCAAAAAGAGCTCTACTCACATTTTTATTCGAAAGACGGCGATACTCTGTTTAACCACAACTGGCGCAAACGGCATCTTGCTGCTGATTGTTTCGCCTATTATTGTGAAAGTAGGCAGCGAGGCATGGTGAAGATAAAAAAAACAACGTTTAACAGGTCCTGATAACTTGGTGTAGATCATGTGATTTACAAATCGCTAATTTCCCAAAGATTTAATTGTTTTGCTGTATAAATGAAGGGACAGTGGATTATTCTGCCAATTTAGGGTCATTTTTATTGAAGAAATTTAGTGCGTACTAAGAGCTCAAGCTTCATAACTAAACGCGAGACAAATTCCTTTATGCGTGCTTCTTTGCTAGTTTTTTTAGTTTTTTTAGTTTTTTTTTTTAAATTTTATTACTACTTTTATGAATAAAATAATGTCGAGGAGATTAAGAAACGCTCATTATTGATCAATTTAGTCGTGCTTTTCAACTTGATTCTGAAGACATGGAGAGTTTATATTTTTCGCGCAGGAAATATCCCCGATGAGTAGCCCATCGCACTTTGACACAATTTAAATGAACACAGTGGCTTAATGAAATATTTGCTTCAAGAGAGGCCGAGATGATTTGTACGACGAAAAGAGTAGAGTGACGCTATTAATTGTTCAAGGTGCCTCCAAGCACCAAGACGCAATTTTTGGATCTTTCTGACTTGGTTGGTGTCGAACATGTTTATTACCAACTTGGCAATATTACTGACTATCATAGGAGTTACTTTTTAGTTTCAGGTGCTGTAGAGGCTTCTTCTGATGGGGGAGACACGACGTGTTGCTCGCAGGCATTAACTTGCATATAAATTAAGTTGTCATTCAGAAATTAGACTCACAAAACGTTTATGCAGTAGATCTAGTATGTAATAATTCAATGATATATTCATCAAAAGAAAGATGTTTACATCTGCTCGAGGTCAATTCTTTTCGTCCTTTTTGCTATTAGATTCGTTGCAGGATAGAGTTTCAGTAAGATTTATCTTGATGACCCTCATTCTAGTATAAACCGTAGCCATTGATTTAAATGGATAAGCGGGAGGGGTGAGAACAAAAATTTCTTCCAACTCTAATCACCGTGCCGTGACAACAAATTTATGCTAAATTAAGTATTCAAAGTCGTGCGACTTTCTGGCCATCCACATTGGATATCATGACTCTTTGACATGGACAAAACAAGACATTTTTTTCTCTAGACAATGTACGTTTTTATTGTGATCAAGTTTCAATTGGGTGGAACAAAGAACAAAAATGAGTCCATTTTTATTCCTTGTCTGTTGTCTATTTTTGGAAAGATCGCCTCCATTCCCGACGGGCTGAGGGACAAGTTTCTTTATTTATTATTCAAATTGGGGGAAAATTAGACACCTTTCAACTTGCAGCCATAAAGAGTGACTATTTTCAAGTGTCAAGAAAAGGATCCACTTTAGTGAGCGATCCTATCGATATATCCAGGAACATGGATTTGTCCAATCCTTTACCTTGTTCTTCCCAGGAGCATTCTGAAGACGCCAGAACCACTCCCTTCATAGGATTTTACCCAAAGTCAGCTATACCCACCAGAAAAAGTACCCTCAAAAGAAACTATACCCGTTCCAAACCCATCAATGTCAAGGAATTCGAATCCGCATTTGAAGAACACGCCTCCACGGATCGCACTCGACAAGCATCAACAACGCCCGCCGCTGAAGTTTCATCATTAACATATCATGGCAGCAATCCGCCTCTTGTGCGAGCTCATTCACAGCCTTTGTCACTGGAAAGCCCAGACACATCTTACTATGCATTGGAAGAAGCCGAGTACTCTGACACGGCTAAATTGACAGCTAACATTGCCGATGTCGCTCGAGATGAATCGCCTCCACCGTCTTTTCAATCATTTCGCCCGTACGAGCCTGCTCCCGTCAGTGCGGACGAAGATTTCAAAAAGCGGCAATCGATCCGTGAACAAGTACAGCAACATCAACCTTTACATACCATGGCTGCCGCTATTCGTCGCTTGTCAAGACGGGTGGTCAATATGAATAATTTGGCCGACGTTTCCCCGCGTCCCCATCGAACATCAATTATGCTGCCGATTCAGGAACCAGTGAAACCGGTATCACACGAAGACCGACTCATTTCAACCGTGGAAGAAGTGATCCCCTTGACCGTGACTTCATCCAAGAGCAGTACCCGACCGTTATTACCCACCAACGATGCAGCACCACCGTCCGAGAATAGAAACGAAAAGGATGCCGCCAAAGAACCCGTGCTTATCAGTAACGAGATCTATCTGGTTGGCAACAGTTGTGGCATCTTTTCTCCCGAAAATCCACTTCGTCAATGGATCGCCCGATTACTCTGCTGGCAGTAAGTGAACGGCAGAAAAACGCAACTATTGTATAAACTCCGGAACATCCGGGTCATGACTAATTGCTTGGTCTATTTTTTATAGATGGACAGAGACATTGATCATGCTACTCATTGCACTTCATGGTACGATCCTATTGGTAGTGGGTTGGGGCACGGATCCCACGCCTGAACCGGCAAAAACATGGGGCGAAACATGGGATCAGTATGCTCTTCTGGTCATCTTTTGCTTGTACACGTTAGTATCGCTGATTTTATTTTTTAAAGCATGATTGTATGTGTGACAGTGCAGCTAAAATCACGAATCTGGGATTTTTTTTTTTTCATGATGATTAGGTTGACCGCCATTGCTCGTATTATCGTTTATGGCTTGATCCGCAATCCTCGTCAACGCAAAGAATCCGCGTTACCGAAAGCGTACTTGCGACACAGCTGGAACCGCATCGACTTTGTCGCGGTGATTTCGTACTGGATCCATTTGGCACTATTATGCACCCATCAAGAAATTGTCGATGAGACACGACGCATCCTGGTGTTCAAAATGATGTCGGCCATTCTTCTCTTACGTTTACTGAATGTCACTGCAGGCAGTAAAGTCATTCTTCACAGTTTGAAAAAGGCCGGACCCCTACTAGTGCGCGTGCTCTTTTTCGTCGGTTTCTTCTTTATCATTTTTGCGTAAGTTCACTCAATGCAGCACTTTTGAAAAACTTGAGCAGAGGGGCCGATCCTTTTTTATTTGATTGATCTAGCATTATCGGGGTTCAATGCTTTAAGGGCTCTTTTTTGCGTCATTGCGTTTGGACAGGCAAGTCCCCCACCCTTGAAGATGTCTCTACAGAACCATTCCTGTATTTACTTTTATTTTTTATTTTTCATCCAGATCCTGAGGATCCATCGCATCATGAAGAATTGCAGCAATACTGTGGCGGATACATGGAAAATGGCCAAGTACAGCCGTTTATATTGAAGAACGGAGAAAGAGGGCCTTGGTCGAAAGGGTTCATCTGTTCCGAAGGATTGGTGTGTCGTGTAAGTTAGCCGAATCCATTGCTAGGTTATTGCAAAAACAACACTGTGTAACATATCATCTCTCTGGATCCAGGAAACCGAAAATCCCTTTGGTAATACCATCAGTTTTGATAACATTTTCTCTTCCATGCTCATGGTCATGATTATTACTGGAGGTGAGTGATCGGTGGCTGTTCCCCTGGCGCGCTCGTTTTTCTTTTTTTCTTAACCCACCGTACGATAGATCAAACGTGGACAGATCGAATGTATGACATGATGGATGCGGATTATTTTGTTGCGTGCCTTTACTTTATCGTGATTGTCATTGTTATGAATTTCTGGCTCATCAATCTGTTTGTGGCGGTGATTAATGAAATGTTTGCCAAAGTACGTGAAGACTCGCAGCACTCTGCTTTTACCACATCGACGTAAGTGTATTTTGAAAAAGAGGAAAAAAAAAAGATTGAAACCATTGACCATGGGCTCCCATTCTTGCAGTCGTCGACCTGTGTTGGCCGATGCAGACGAAGGCTGGTCCTTTGGCGATGGGGTGAAAAAGCAAGTAGAGAAACCGTCGTTGTTTGCCATCGTCGTCACCAAAATGCGTCCTTTCTGGATTGTCCTGGTAGCCGTCGACCTTATTGTAATGGCCTCGAAGAATAACGACATGTCACCCGACTATCTTGAGCTTCTAAGTATGTTCATGAGGACTTGTTTTTTTTAATTGGATAAAACAGAGGGAACTTACATGCGCTACGGTAGGCAAAGTGGAGCTGGGATTTTCTCTTGCTTTTCTGCTCGAGATCCTTTTGCGACTCGCGAGCCAACGACGCCACTTGAAGGTGTTTTTCCAAGATACCATGAATCGGGCCGATTTGTTGATTGCCGTAGTAACCTGCATTATCTGGATTCCTCCCATCCACGATCATCAACTGGTGTATGCATGGTTGTCTGGTTTCCAAGTCCTGCGTATCTATCGCATCGTCGTAGCGATTCCGCGTATGCGTAGTTTAATGGTACAGAGTGGAAAGATCCACGAGAACGCATCGTTGCATACGTATTAACTTCTGTCTCTGCAGTCACGGGTGCTCGGTAGTGTGCACGGTTTAATCAACTTGGTGTTCTTTATTGTTCTGGCGACCTTAATCTGCGCTCTAATTGTAAGTCGATAATGCGGATACAAGGGTTACGACTAGATCGACCCATTGATATGTGGAATCTTTAGGCCTTTCAACTCTTTGAGGGAGTATTGAATGATAGTGACAACGAGATGCGCTTCTTTTCCATTTACAATTCGTTTGCTGCATTGTATCAGGTAAAAAAAAAAAAAAAGGTGGAATGTCTCTTGAAAAATACAAATCCATTAATTAGCACCCCTCCCTCTACTCGCTGTCCACGAAAATAGCTTTTCTCGGGCGAGGATTGGACCACCGTTTTATACGATGCCATGGAAGCCGGCGCACCCACAGGAAATGCCGCTGTTCATGCCACATTTTTGGTCCTGTGGTTTGCCTTTTCCAACTGTAAATAGGATCCAATGCGTTCTGTTGCTCTCACGTCAACTCGTGGACTAATTTAAATTTCGGGATGATTTAGTTGTGCTTGTCAATATGTTTATTGCCATCCTCATGGAAAATTTTGAGACGGCCGAGGAGCAAAAGCGAGAGCGGCAAGTGCAGCATTTCATCCAGACGACCGAGGTGCAACTGGACAGTTCCGATGTGACGAGCCGATGGAACATTTACCGTCATTTCCGTGAACAACCCAAAGGTGTGACCATCAATAACATGCCTACCAATCTTGTTTTACCCGTACGAAAGAACGTCATTCGAGAGTTCATGAATGGCCCCGCAGAAAGTACCGTGCTTTTGGATAAAAAGGTAAGCCAAATGTCCGAAGCGTCGCCTGGATATCAGTCATGGGAAACGAACCGCTCGTTTGTTTTTTAGAAGCCCAAGGATGAACCGAATTCAAAAGCCAAAGAAGAAGAGGGTGGATGGATTGCGAAAGTACGCCACACGCTCAGTCGACTTCTCACGCACAGTCATCGCCATGACAATACGTCCACGGTCTTTACGACGAATAATACGACAGGCGGACGGATCATCAATTCGGATAATCTCAGCGCGTTTGAACTGCTCAGCTTATTTCACGATAATATGAATCGCAGCAATACCAACAATGGATCGCAAACGTTGCGTGACGTTATTTCCAATTTGCAAGAGACCGCCGTCGCACGGTCGGCCGAAACTACCCAGCATGATCTCGAAGAACGGCGTGCGCTCAAGCAAGAGTTTATTTTGAACCATCCCACGTACGACAAGTCATTGTATATTTTTTCGCAAAGCAACCTCATTCGACGATGGTGCCAACTCCTTGTGCCGCCGAGTCGCGGTGAACGAATGTACGGCACGGCGCCTTCGCGTATCGGGAGTCTGATATTTTCCGTCATCATTGTATGCTGCGTTGTGACCAACGTGGTGCTCACGGTGTATAACTCGCCCGTGTATCAATTCGAGCATCGTCATGATCCCGACAAATTGAAACGGCTGGCTCACGCCGATTGGGCATTTACGGTGATTTTTACGGTGGAGCTGGTGGTGAAAATCATTGCGGATGGTGTACTGTGGACACCCAATGCTTATTTGCACAATGGGTGGAATATTCTGGATCTATTCGTGCTCGTTACTCTGTACATGTCCAATTTTGGCAAATTTGCGGCCTCAACCGGTCTCGAACGTGGTTTTCGTGCCTTTAAAGCGTTGCGAGCACTCCGCTTGATCAATTTACTGAATCCGGCCAAGATTATGTTCACGTCGATCCTTGTCACGGGTTTACCTCGAATTCTCGATGCGGCGGCCCTGGGCATCTGTCTGATTGTGCCTTTTGCGCTGTACGGTCAAAACGTGTTTCAAGGTCTGTTTTATCAGTGCAATGATGACGATGATCTCATTGGCAACAAAAGTATGTGCGTCTATGAGGCCATGTTGGAAACTCAGGAACCCATGCCGGACGGATCGGAAATCTACAAACCACGCGTGTGGTCGAATCCGTACGTGTATAGTTTTGACTCGTTTTGGAAGTCGCTGCTAGTGTTATTTGAGATCGCGAGCGGTGAAGGGTGGGTGGATGTGATGGAGACGAGCATGTCGATTGTGGGCCGAGACCAAAGTCCGCAACAGGATGCGAGCCAGCTGGCGGGCATCTTTTTCATGGTGTACAACTTGGCCGGATCCGTCTTTGTGATTTCGCTGTTTTTGGGAGTGGTGCTTGAAAACTTTGCCAAGCGTAACGGCACAGCTTATCTTACGGCGGATCAGCGTCGTTGGTTGGATCTTAAAAAGCTGCTCAACCAATTACGACCTGCGAAACGGCCCAAAGTGATTCCGACCGGCCGATTTCGACGGAAATGTTACGATGTGGTGGTGGAAAAGCGCGGCAAATTCTACAAAGTGATGACGGCTATTATTATCATCAACATTCTCATGCTGTGCACCGATACCGATCACGATGACAGTGTGCCTGGACTCACGGAGATCAAAAGTGAGTTATTCCTCCGTTTCAATGGCGGACCTTTAATCGAGACGTTGCATCAAAGGATTGCAGGGCTAACTTGGATTTTCTTGTTTTTTTCTTGCACGCTTAGGTTATGTGTATCTTGGGTTCATCTTTATCTATTGGATTGAGATTTCCATCAAACTATTTGGTCTTGGATGGAACTCTTTTCGGCGCAACGGGTGGAACTTGTACGACTTGGTGGTAGTGATTGGAAGTGCTATCAGTGTGATTGCAACTCTTGGATCGCAGGTGCACCAAGTCAATGTGGAATCACAAAAGCTTTTCATGACGGCGCTGTGTTTCAAGCTAGTGCAAAGAAGTGATAGTTTGAACCAACTGTTTACGACGATGCTGTAAGTAGTGGGACCGGCCAAGATGAAACACGGTGTGACAAGTGGTTGCTGACGCATAAGGGTTTCCCGATTTAGTGCTTCGTGTTGGCAGATTCTCAACGTGTTTGCAGTTTGGTTTGTTGTGATGACGACATATGCCATCATGTTTATGGAAATCTTTGGTTTGACTAAATATGGCAGTCAAGCAACCACGGAACACATCAACTTTCGAAGCTACGCCAATACCATGACTTCCCTCGTACGCTATTCCACAGGGTAAGCACCTCGTCTTTTTTTTTTTTTCGCCGTATTTGTTTCGTTGCCTCACTTCGTATTATTCTTTATCTGCAGAGAGGCATGGAACTCGGTGATGCATGATTTTACCGTGGAGTATCCCAACTGCCATGTGGCTGATAATTACCTGGATTCGGATTGCGGCTCGCTGCGTTGGGGCTATTTCCTGTTCTTATCCTTCAACATTATCTCCATGTACATCTTTACCGCCATTTTCCTGGCCGTCGTCGCCGACAATTTCTCTTATGTCTATCAAGTGGCCGCCAATTTCTCGCTGGTGAACCGAGATGAAATCAGAAAATATCCTTTTTTTTTTTTGGGAAACAGAGGAGAGAATGGAGGGAGTGGATGTCAAGGGAGATGCTGGATAGGCGGATGGAGCATGTACTTGCTATTATTTGATCCTTAACGATTTTGTTTACGTTCAAGAGAACTTGGGCCGACTTTGACTTGGATCGTACCGGGTTTATTTCATCCAAACATTACATGGCGTTCTGGCGGGTAGGTGGTTTTTCTGGGATTGATCTGACATTTTGGGAATGTATATGCCGACTCACTATTTCATTACAGCAATTGAGTGGCATCTTTTCGGTGCGAATCTACGACCCAGAAATATCATACAAAAATCTTGTGAGCAAATGTATGATTGAGGAAGCGGTGGGTAGTGCCACCGATGATCCCTACCGTATCAAGGTAGATCTGGCAAAACTGAGTGAATTACTACGTCCTTTGGACAAACCCACCATCCATGCACGCAAACGGGATCTCGATATGCTTTATTGGGTAAGTGATTGATCCACCCATTTCACAGCGCAATTGTCTAATAATAGTCTGGGTATCAGGAAGCGGCCATGGTGGAGTCCAGTAAAGGCGTGTCGTTCAATCAGATGTTGCTCATGTTGGTTCAACGAAAACTGATTGTACCTGAAAACGCGCTTGTGTAAGTGATGCAGATGATGACTTTATTTAAAAGTTTACTCATGAAGCATTGCCACAGCGTCGAAGAACTATTGGCGAATCGAATGAAAGATGACACCATCAAGAAACTCATCAGCATCGATCGCGTCATTGGTTTGATCGAAACGGTCGTGTTACGAAAGAAATTCCTGCGACATCTGGAAGCGAAAAAGTCGCAAATGAAAAAGCAGTGTGAGTATCTCTTGTGCCGTGCCTTGTCTCTCGGTATCGATATTGATGAAGTTGCTTCACTGGTTGACGCGTTACGCTTCTTTAGTGCCATCCATTGTCATTGACCATGGCGATGTTCATTATCACCACAGAAGGGAAGCTACGGGTAGTGCTGCTTCTCCCTTGTCAACCTCCATTCCAGGTACCCCATTATCACCTGCCAGTGACGGGAATCCATTCGATCATTTGCACGACGAAACATCCCCACGTTCCTCAAACTACCCGTAAGTTATATTTCATTACCACTGATGCTGTGTGAATGGTTCTTGACAAATTTTGAATGTAGGAGTCCCACCTGGGAACACTTGACGATGGAACCTGATGTGGATGCTGGATATACAGCACGAAACACCCCCGATGATGCTTCCGGACACAGTCTCTGGCATGGTAAGTGGTTGGCTTGGGTGATCTGTGTGGTTATAGTATGCTTATACTTTGCATCCTTGATAGATCTGCTTCAGGAAGAGATTGATCACTAGAAATACCACCTGTACCATACTAAATTAACATTTGTTCATGCCATGTTGCCTGAAGTTGTAAATAAGAACACTATTCGGAACATAAAAAATGAAGCATTCTGGGTGATATCGCATCTTCATGAACTTATTGTAAAAGATGACCTTTCGGTAATAAGTATAATATACCCTTCGGATAGGTCGAAGAAAGACGATTCCGCCCATGTACTACTTTCTTTACGTGGTGTGTGCTTTCACCTTTTTAAAATACAGAATCCCGAGGAATACCGATCATGGGATGAGCTTATCCTGCAATTAAGCTTTTCTTTTTTCTAACTGCGATTCAATGCTCGCGTGGCAAAAAAAATGAAGACCAAGTTCTTTTTTTTTTCGGGAAGAAACATTGAAACTCAGATCAGCATGAAAATGGTGGCTGGTGTCATGAAAGATAACTGGTCACAAAAGCTGGGAAGAAAAAAAAAATCCCAGGCATCAAAAAAAAAGAATAATTTTTCTTGCGAGCATCCGTTTTGGCACAAGTGCATCGATTGCGAGAACTTTTCAACCATGGCGGCCCCTGACAAGAAGCACAATAAGGGCAATTCAAAGGGCAACTCAACGCACCAAAAGAACGACGGTAAACGTTTCAACCGCTCGGAGAAGCCCTCGAAAAAGCAGGACAAGCGTCAACAGCCAAAGAGCGCTCCTGGCAATGACAAGACGTCCCGACCCTCATCCGCCGAGAAATCCACCAAAGCGAAAGCAGACGACGACAAGTTGCTTCAGGAAATTCTTGCCCTGGGCGGTACCAAGGGCGATGTCAAATTCTTGGAATCGATCGATATGGACGATAGTCAAGATCTTGTAACCGCTGCCTCGGGAGATGCTGATGCTGTAAGTGTCCCCCTGTCGGATCCATGTCACTGGTGGGACGAAGTGCTTACAAGGTCTTTTTTTACAGGATGCGCTCAAGAAGGAATTGCAAAGCTTCATTAGCAGCATTGGCTTGAAATCGGATCAATGTGAAACTGTGGATGACAATGAGGTGGAGGCTGCAGCACCAGCAGAGGACGACGACGACGACGATGACGAGGAGGAGGAAGAGGAAGAAGAAGAAGAAGAGGAAGAAGATAGTGAAAATGACGATGATGAGGAAGAAGAGGAGGAAGAGGAAGCGGAAGACGAGCAAGAAAGCCCCGTGACCCAACCTCTGAAACAGCAGACACCGACTCGATCCAATAAGCAATTGGTTAGTACAACGATATGCATTCGGTCGGCTTAAGCGAGTGACTAATATTATTTTCCGTGGAACAGTTGATGGATCCTACACCGCATTGGCACAAGGTCGCATTACCGGCGATTGCAGTGGAAGGTGTGCAACGTTTGCCGGCGAACGAAGTGGCTGTCAAATACGGTTATGCGATGAAGTTGCTGGAAGAGGAAAATGAGAAGGCTGAGAAACATGGACTGCTTTCATCATCTGACCGGTCTTTCATGTCAAATATTTTGACCTCCGGTACTTTGAACGATAAGATTTCGGCCTTGACATTATTGATCCAAGAATCACCATTGCACGCGTTGAAGACCTTGGATACGATGATGACCATGACCAAGAAGAAGGGCCGAAAGGAAGCGGTGATGGCCATCATGAGCTTGAAAGATTTGTTTGTGGGCTCAATGTTACCGGATCGAAAGCTGACTTACTTTGCTGACCGCCCCCTGGCCAGTAACGACGTGCAGGATAAACATCTGTTATTGTGGGTCTTTGAGGATCGTCTAAAAAAGACTTACTTTGAGTTCGTGCAGCAAATTGAGGTAAGACAAATTTTTCAAAAAGGAAACAAAAACAAAAGAAAACATGTCCTGTGATCACGACCATGTTTGATCATAAAGGAACACAAGAAGGATTCTTCCCCCCCAAGAAAAAGGACATGTGGAGTCATGCCGATATTAATGCTCCATTATTTTTGGCTTTTTCATAGGCTTTATCACACGATACATTAATGCATGTCCGATACAGCATGGTGAAATGCATGCATGATCTCCTGAAGGGTAAAGCTGAGCAAGAGCAAAATTTGTTGAAATTGTTGGTGAACAAATTGGGTGATGCGGAGAACAAGGTGGCAGCCAAAGCTTCGCAAATGTTGACCGAGTTACTGGTGGCCCATCCTGGCATGAAGATGTATGTGGTGCGAGAAATCGAGCAACTCCTCCTGCGGCCCAACGTCACGGAGCGTGCGCAGTATTATGCCATCATTACACTTAATCAAACGATTTTGACGGGCAAGGATACGGCGGTTGCCAACAAATTGATCGACATGTACTTTGTCTTTTTCCGACAGATCCTGAAACTCTCGGAAAAGCATGAGAAAGACGCCAATAAAGCGGCGAAAGAAGAGGCCAAGAAACAACAGCAACAGCAACAACAACAGCAAAAGCAAAAGCACGGTAAAAGCAAGAAGAATAAAAAGAACGACACCTCGGCTCCCGTTGTGCAAGTGGATGAACTTCACGCCAAAATGATGGCAGCCATTTTGACCGGTGTTAATCGTGCATTCCATTTTGCCCAAATGTCGGATGATATGTAAGTGGGGAACCTGGGGTCTGCATAAATGAGGCGTGAAATGGCGCCGATGCTTTAGTTTGATGATAATGATGATAATGTACTGACTGGTTTTTTAAAAAAATCTATAATAGTTTTGAAGCCAACATGGAAGTTTTGTTCAAGATTACGCATACGGGATCGTTCAATACGGCCATTCAAGCGTTGACACTTGTATTTGCGATTTCCCAAACGAAAAATACAGCGTCGGACCGATTTTATCGAACTTTGTACGAATCGATGCTGGACCCCCGACTGGTCACAAGTTCCAAACACGCTATGTATCTCAATTTACTCTTCAAAGCGATCCAAGCCGACTCCGACACCAAGCGGGTGAAAGCGTTTGTCAAGCGCATGGTACAAATTGCATGCTATCATCAGCCGACCTTTATTTGTGGTATTTTCTACATTCTAAGTCAGGTAAAGATCGAGGAGAGACTCAAAAAACTAAAAACACAAAAAAGAAGGAGGAGACAAGAGAGAACAAGAGAGAGAGAGAGAGAGAGAGAGAGAGAGAGAGAAAGAGATTGTGTGTGTGTGGAAGGAAATGCGCGGTTGCAGAAAGTCTAAAGGATGCTTTTTTGTTGTTTTTTGTTATTTTTGGCAGTTAATGACACAGCAGCGTGGATTGCGTGCTATGTTAACGACGCCGGAAGAGGATGATGAAGAGGAGCATTTTGTGGATGTTTCAGACGATGAGGAAGCGACAGAGAAGGACCAGAAAACCGAGAAAGATGCCACCACCGAAAACAAGCAAGCAAGCGAAGGTTTCGAGAAGGAAGAATACACGTCTTCCAGCTTAAAGAATGCGTACGATGGAAGAAAACGAGACCCTCGATTTAGCAATGCCGAAAAGAGTTGTCTCTGGGAGCTGGTAAGTCATGCCAAAAAAGAAAAAAAAACCAACCATCGATGGCGGGACGAGGTGTTGATTGGATAGGATGTTTTGGATTGCTATTTTTTTTTGTTGGGGGAGTGAGAATGTGGAGTCCAAAGAAAAAACAAATGCATGGGCTAAGTAGAGGCGGAACCCCGAGATGGACCAAACAGACCCAGAGGATGAAATTGTCCCGATGACTGATCTTGTTGCCTTTTTTTTTTCTTAGATACCATTTAAAGATCATTATCATCCAAGCGTGGCGAAATATGCTGAAATTCTGCTCAAGGGCGAGAAAATTAAAGATCAGCCTGATCTGCATCATCACACGCTGATGCATTTCTTGGACAGATTTGTATACCGTAATCCGAAGAAACAAGCAACTACCAAGGGTTCGTCCATCATGCAACCGTTGGGCAGTCGACGGGACGGCGGAGTCATGTTCACACGCGGTGGTGGTGTATCGCAGACCAGTGTTGCACTGAACTCGGAAACTTTCTGGCGCCAACAAGTGAAAGATGTGCCTGTCGATGAGGTAATGACTTAACTTTTTTTGGGGGGAAAGGGAAAAAAACATACAAGGGGGCAAAAGAGCTAAAAAGAGGGGAGCTGAGTGAAAAAAAAAGTTTACTGGGTTGAATGATTGTTTCTGTTTGATGATGATGATGTCGGGGAATATGCGCCATCTTATGCTATTGTTTTTTTTTTTCTTTTTTCGATCACCAGGTCTTTTTCCATAAATATTTTACACAAAAGGCATCGGGTGCCCCTGACCAGCAAGCGAAGAAAACGAAACAAGGGGGTGATGAAGAAGATGAAGAAGAAGATGAAGTTTGGCGTGCCATGGTGTCATCTATACCCGGTAATTTGGATAATGATGAAGAAGATGATGTCGATGTAGACGAAGATGAAGACGATTATGACGACGAGGAAATGCGGGCTTTAATGATGGAAGACAGTGAAGGAGAAGTCGAGCCTGAAATTGGATCGGAGCCGGAAGGCGAAGACAATGGATCGATGGATGACTTTGAAATGTTGGAGTTCTCAGACATGGACGAAGAGGAGCAGGAAGCCTCGGCGACCACGAAACGAAAACTGATGGATGCCGACATGGAAGAAGTCGAAGACGATACTTCATCACACAAGAAACAGAGAAAACAGAAGAAACCTCGATTACCTACGTTTGCTTCATATGAAGATTACGCCAAACTGTTGGAAGGCGATGAGGATGAGGATTAAAAAAAAAATATGAAGGCCCAACGAAAAACCTAACCATCACACAACAATGTACAGACAGCGACCGATTAAGGGATTTCAGTGTCCGATTCAGGAAAAAAGAAAATAATAAAAAAAAGAAAAAAAACATGGTTGTTTTTTTGATAGAGCGACAGTCAATCGTCGATCGGAGGAGTATGAAGCGGAAGGGCAAAGTCAAGAAAGAACATGGCCAATGACATACCGGTTATGCGGGGTCGATCGGGATGAAACAGACAACTGAGTTCGGGTTGCTAAACTGTCCAATGGGGGCAACGGTTGCCAGACAGAGTTGGACGTCCGACTTATTTCAAAAAAGGTCCATTTCCATCTCCCGCCGTAAGTTTTTTTGTTTTTTTTTTTTTGCGCCGCTCCAAGATTGAATGAATCCCATTCGTACTAGTGTAACGTAACACGGCTAATTTAAAGAGGTTTGAAGCTAAAGAAGAGCATGACATGTAAGGGGGTTTTTTTGATGGCGTGGGTATCTCTTTTTCTACGATTGTTGTGTGGGATAAAATGAAAAATGAGGTATAATACTGGGGAAACAAGTAGTTCATTGAGATTCAAACAATGGATTTCCATGGTGTGTCATTTTGAAATAGAGGTGTAAAAAAGGTTATCACACCATCGTTTGAGATCTGGCTTTTTTGTCTAAATGTTCCTTTTTTCCAATTCCGGGCCCGTAGTTCGTACTACGTTGTGTCACTTTCAAGGCCCTTTTTTTGCTGATGAATATATAAGTCCAAACTTGTCTTTTCCAACTAATTCTTCTCTTCTTTGGCGTTTTTATTTTTTATTTTTTTCTCTTCGCTCTCTACTTCTTATCTTTCACTTTTTTTTTCTTTTTCCACGCGTTTCGTGGGTCTTTTTTCATCCTTCCTCATCTTTTGTCTGGCACAAGCAAACTTTTCGAAAGAATCACAATTGTTGTTTGCGTGAAAGAAAAAACCGATTTCATATCAAGCAACTTATCTCTCTACTATTTCATTTTCTCTCCATCTTTGTTATCATTTGTAGTCTTCTTTTGACATTTGGTTTTTGATTAAGCCGTCTAAACGATTGACTGACCTAAGTTTCATTACTCTTTTTTTTTTCTGTTGTATTTCCGGTTCTTCTTTTCCCTTTTTCTTTTTCCCCTCCTCTCCAAATCAGATACAAGTTTTTATTATCATGCCTGTGTCTATTGAATATAACTCGCTTCGTCGCATGAGCACAATCACCGTGCCTAAACAAGATATTAACTTTGAGTAAGTTGTCTCCTTTCTGTTTTATTTTGGGTCTTTGTTTTGACATCTTTCCAATGTCAAAAAAAAAGCAGAGCTCAAAATAAATTCACAAGGATTTATGTTTTGTTGTCAATAAGGATCACTTTTTTTTTCTCAATGACTCACCATGGTTTGGTTCCTTCTTTTCTCTCTCTCCTCTCACAGCGCGTACGATTTTCAATTGTGTCAACCTCAGAACGATATCAAAAACGCCTTTGAATCGCGTGAATTGGAAGCTACCTTTTGCCGTGATTTTGCCTGCTGCGGTTTAGTCCTGGATGATCTTCACGATCTTTTGCAGCACTATGAAGAGTGCCATGTCCGGTTAGAAGACGATGATGGTAGCTTGTACGATGAATCGGAATACTGGACTCCTTCGTCATCGACCGCATCCTCTGTGAGTGGCGGATCCACCCCTGGTAGCCCAAATTTGAGCATTGACACCAGTCTGTCTTCGTTGGGTTCGGCCGTGTCTCCTGGTCCTTCCACACCTGTCATGACAGAAGAAATCAGTACCCTCAAGAAAAAGGCCGCGGCTTATCTGTCTGATTTGTACAACTCCTCCGCTCCGGCCAGTCCCACCGGTCTTGCCACACCTTCCTCATATGTTTCGGGTCCGCTGTCGCCTCCTTTGGAAGAAGATGGAGAAGACGAGCTGCTTTTGGCCAAGAAACCGACCACCAAGAAACGATCGTTTGGTCAAATGTCCAACAGCAGCACCTCACCGAGCCATGCCTTGGAACTCTTGACTCAATCGGCGGTCAAAAAGTTGGCCTTGGCCACTGGCGATTTGCCTACACCTATTTTGACAGATGAAGACTTTCTGGCCCAAGCCGGGGCTTTGCTGGCTTCAGCCAACGCGAATGCTGCGGCGGATAAACCATACAAGTGTCCTGTCCCCGGTTGCGATAAGGCTTACAAAAATCCCAATGGTCTAAAGTATCATAATCAGCATGGTCACTGCAATCTGGTCACGGATGAAAACGAAAACATGGCTTCCAAACCTTATCAATGCACGATAGGTGATTGTGGCAAGCGATACAAGAATTTGAATGGTCTGAAATACCATATCGAGCATTCTCACATGGCTGCGCTGAACCATACTTTGGCCACTATCGGTTCGTCATTTTTCCAGCAACAACAACAACAAGCGGCATTATCTGCGTTGACATCGCCTACCGAGTTTTCCCCGGAAGCGTCGCCTATCTTGCCTTCAGCTGCTTTGCCTTGTCTTTTCTAAACAGAAGAAAAAAGACCTCTCAACCTTCTCCTACTCCTCCTCCTCCACCTCTCCAATTGCATATTCATGTTTCACTTTCTTCCTTTTTCTTTCATCTCCCTTTTTTCTTCATTATTCATTTGATTTTCCTTCTGGTGCTCCGACAGAAGAAGCCGTGTTTCTCCTTTATCTCATCTCACTGGATATATTGGAACTGGAAAAAGCACTCTCACACAAGCTCGCATATTTTATTTTATTTTTTTCTCTTTTTCTCATTTCCACCATTTCCATTTGTTTCACGAATATTCTCTCTCTCTCTCTCTCACACACACACTCAATCTCTCTATTTCTCTCTGTCAATCCTAAACTTCTTTGATGAGGTTTTCACATGAAAATTGACAACAGCAACAAAGAAAAACAAAAAGCTATTATTTTCTTATTTCTTCTTTTATCATCCCCTTTTTTGTATGTAAATATCCGCTCTGGCGATAGTGTCCTTTGCAAGTGTTGTTCCAAGAACAAGAAAAAAAATGATTCATCAAACTTTGTGGTGGTGATGTCTTTTTCGCTAAACATTTCCTTTTCCTTTTTATAAATATTCTTCCAAATGTAGTAGTTTCGTTTATCATATTTTTTATTCTTATTTTCACTCATCCATGATTATCATTAAAGGAACAATTGCTAATAAATACGTGTAACTTTAACCACTGTATGTCCAAATAGAGTTAAAATGAGGTATAGACGATGGAAACGAATGAATCAAACCATGGTTGGTGGCAAGGCTTTTTTTGGGGGGTGATCAGATCACAGGGGGATTTCGTTGGGTGCGACACAATATTACAAACAACTCCCCCTTGCCGCTTATATTTTTTTGTATATTCAATCACTCAATCACCGACCTGGGTGCCATGCCGCTTTTGTTATTTACAAGTCCGCGGGGTTTGGCTTGCTCTTCAATTCTGAGCCTTCCATCCTGGCTCAGCTTCCCTTTTTTAGGCCTTCTATACGGAGTACGAAAAACCTTTTGAAATCGGCTGTATGTCTGCAAGCTTTTGAGATAACGACGCAAGAGAGCTGTTGGAAAAATACAGGGATAAAAACCAATTCAAAGTTTTGTATGTATTCCACAGTTTAGAAACAAACGTTTACGAATCTCCTGACCATTGCCGTCAGTTTATGCAGCGAATGTCTTGCCACATTGACCGGCCTGGTCCTGAACTCCCGCGCAATATGGAAAATCCTTTGCCATACGCTGCGGGGGGAAGTTTGCAAGTCATATACAGAAGAGCACGAACCAGAGCGCGAAACCATGTGCTTGCACTATTTCGGATCGTACAGCAGCAAGAATATTGCGGCCAAGCGGTAGATGCTCCGGGATCGGGGAAAACGGTCAATCCATCGTCGCCAACAAGTATAACACGACAAAAATGTGTCCTTACTGTGTGCATCATAATTGAACATATCATCGCTATCGCCGAAACCGTAAGCTTGGGCGCGCATCAAAGTTGGTCGTTCACTGCCGAAATCTCGCATTGCCCGGCAAGGCCATTGATTCTACGACAGGGAGTCGTCTTACAAACGATAGTGTCGACACTCTTCAACAAGGCCTTTTCGTTTACAGTCACCGTTGATGGACAGGCGTTGCCAGAATACCGACGGTCCAATCAAAACACGAGATATAAACTCACAACAACAATCTCAAAATACGCTTCGGACCGAGTATGGTCATTGAGTGTCACCGGCCGACACGGATAAAGCAACTTCTTTTTTCTATCTCCGTTGCGTGTATAATAGACCGGTCGGTTTGGAATTCCTAATTTTTTTTCGTTTTAGCACGGTTTTCTTTCTTTAGATTTTCATGAGTAGGTGGCTTGTTCCGACATTGACAGCATTGACAGCTTCCTCGTGTTGCGTGGTTCAGTTGGTGCTGAATGTATTCTCAATTTCGTGTGCCGGATTCGCCGTTTTTACACCCTATCGGTCTCTTTTGACGGCCTGGACGCTGATCTCGGTCTCTTTCATTTTATGGAAACGTGGTGGACGGTCATACTCCGACGTGATCGCGTTGCTCGTTGTGGTGTGTCTGTTGATCAGTCCAGAAATCGTTGAATTCACCAACCGGCATTCCCGCTCGACAATGGACATTCCAGGCACCTTCTACCTCGTTGGAGTAAAAGGCATTAGCTGTATGGCTTGTGCAAATCGCATCAAAAATACCGTGGATAGCCTTGATTGGGTAGACTCCGTCAGTGTGTTCTTTGAAAATAATTCAGTGGTGGTACAAACCGCTCATCCGTACGCTTACCGTTTATTGCCAGAGATGATCCAATCCATCGAACCACTCAAATACCAAGCCGTCATTCTAAATTCATGGTAAAACGACATCGATCCAAGATCGACAGGCAATTATAAGAAAAAAGGGAGCCTTCTTAACCGTGCATCATCATCATCTCAACGAATGGGTGTGCCCTTGTTGCCTCCATCGTTGTCTGTAACACGCTTTATTACGCTGTGCAACCTTGAATAGAAGGATTTTCGCCCCTAAATTATATTGACCAACCTTTTTTTTTTCTGCCCAACCTTTTTTTTTCTCTTTGTTGCTTTCTTTCTTGAGTGTATTCACCACTCTTCCTTTCCTCTCCTTAAATACAAACGACCTTCCTCAGCGGATCTTTTACCCGTTCTATTTCTTCTTTATCTTTTCTCCCGTTCTCTCATTCTTTTCTTCGTTTTTTTTTTTTTTTTGCGCTCACCGGTCTTTCATTTCATTTCTCATTTTCCTATTACTTTGCGTCGTTAACACAAGATGAACAATGAGTCACCATCCTTGGCCTTCATTCTAATGTCAATTGCAGCCGTGATGGGACCGTCACTGGCTGTGCCGTTACCTCTGGACGCTCACATCAAGCGAGCCGAGCCAAGTGAACCCTCCGACGGTGCTGGTTCAGGTAGGCTTTTATTTCGTTGTTCTAATACTGTTCAACGGCACGTTGACAGATCTATTGCCTGTTTGATTTTGCCATGGATACATATAATTAAACAAGGTTTAAATCATTGGCTCTTTGTTTTCTCATTGAGTTTGCCTTGGCCAAGTTTCCTTGAACCCCACTTCCCCGTTCAAACCACGAAAATACATAGGCACATGCTAATTTGATTATATTACTATTATTATTAATTCAAAGAAGATAAAGACAAAGACAAAAACAAAGAACCACCCAAACAACATAAAAACGAGGAGTCTAAACCAGTCGACGATCCCAAGGTTTCGAATAAACCGACTTCCACGGAGAAAAAGACAGAACCGACTTCGAAATCGACAACAAAGAAAGAAAGCTCGGCCAGTCCGACGCACGAAGGTTCCAAAAAACCGTCGGAATCGAATACACAGCCAACGAGCAATCATCATCCATCCAAAGCTTCTACTACTTCGCCCAGTTCCTCCAATGCTTCCAAAGACAAATCGGTCGCCACTCCATCGTCGAGTTCTCCATCCTCATCTTCATCGTCGTCGTCGGAATCTCCTGCAATCATTCCCCCTCCCAATAACTCCATGGACCAACCTACTAATGGCTTGCCCACTCAAAGCTCCGTAGACGCTGATAAAGCTGAAGCCAACCCCAGTTCCGGTCCCTCGGGTGGCGCCATTGGCGGGATTGTGGCTGCGGTCATTATTGCTGTCGCCGGTTTGGCCGCCTTTGTCGTTCTTCGTCGTAAAAAACGAGCAAAGGCACTTCGAGCACGCATGTCCAGTAAGCCGGATCCGTTCACCATGGGTTTCGGAAGCCATGATCCTCCGCCGATCCATGATAACCCCTTCCCGCCTCACACGGCCTATACCGCTAGCATGACCACGCCTCTGCCCCAAACAGCCCCGCAACTTCAATTCTCAGCTCCACCGACGGAACCCATGTCCTCCGCAACGGCCATGCCTCCAGTCGCCTCGGTTCCCATGACGGCGGTTACCGGTGTAGGTGGGGCCGCTGCTACGGCTGCTACGGCTACCGGTGCTATGGTGGCCGCTCAGCAACCGCCAGCGCAAGCGACTCAGCCCGGTTCGCTTGGTGTGTTTACTGTCATTTCCACGTACACACCTACGCTCAGTGATGAGGTTGATATTCAACCGGGAGATCAAGTAGAAGTGCTCGTAGAATACGATGACGGTTGGTGTCAAGGTATTAACCTATCGCGGGGTCACGTTAAAGGTGTTTTCCCCAAGCACTGTGTAGACTATGCAACCACTCCTTCCCACAATGCCCCTCCACCCAACGATGAAGCCGACCGCATGAAACGAGTCAGCTCTATGTACATGGCTACCACTACCATCCCCACCAACTAAAAATTTCCTTTTTTTTTTTTTCTTCCCTTCGATAAATATACTATCAATAATAAACTTTTTTGCGTATATGAGATAACCCTCCCCCCAAAAAAAGAAAAGAAAGGAAAACAGTCCATCAGTATCAACAGAGAAAAGAAACATAGGAAGCATATGCAGCTGATTCAGATACAGACGTTGGACAATGACAAGAGACGGCAAAAAGGACATTGGCATCTGGCCTGGCGGATCGCGAGTGGGTTTTGTTGAAGCACTGTAGCAAACGGTGCTTCTTTGCCTTGGTTTTGTGTGAACCCCGTGAAGGAGATCATGATCGATGGATGTGACATCAGACTACCACTTTCATGAAAATCTCTGATCAATGGATAAAAAAAGTCTTGATTGGCAAAAAAGAAGCAAGGGATACATGGCATGCACTCCTTTTGAAGAAATCAGACACCTGACTTTCCTAATCAGGTAATCATTCATTGTGCATTTTCGTTTATTCTTTGTTTTTTTTCCGCTTCAGCTGTCTCCATTGCTGTTATTCCCAGTCATGCTGTTTTTCATTTACCCAACAAACCTTTTTTTTCGGCATTGGCCATTGTGTGTATGAGTGTTGAATGATGAATTTGTTTTTTCTTGTATGTGAACCTGTGTACCTGAAAGGCAACAGGTGATGGATCACTGGATTTGGGAAATAAAGGAACAAGCAATCCAAGGATTAACTGATGCACTGTATGGTTATTGAATAAGGACAGCTTGAGAAGAAAAGAGGAATGAAAGAAAGCAAAAAAAAAAAAAAAGGAGCAAGTGCACTGATTTCGCCACACACACAGTTTGTGTGATTAGATCAAATAAAGGCTCCATGAATCCCGCGCCCTCTTTCTCTTTTTTTTTGAATCTTTTTTGTCATTCCATTTTCTTTAGTCATTCTAGTGAATCGTATCATGTTCAATCATTTGCCTGATGAAATAGTATTACATGTATTGAACTATTCCCAGACAGATCTCGTCACTTTGTGTTCCCTTGCTACAGTTTCCAGGCGGTTTCGCCGTCTTGTATGTAGTATTTTGCAATGCACCGTGTTACCGGCTATTCATCTGACAACCTCCATGGACCAAGAAGGTCACGGGTGTGCAACAGGGTCCTATTATTTTTCTCACCTTGATCCAGTCTCATTACAAACTACCTTTACAGTGGCCACGCTTTCCCCACGCAGGTATGTCTGTGACAGCAGTATGCAAGCGCCCAGGTTGCGGCGACTTGCCATGATCGATACACGGTCGAACCCCACGTGGTCTTTACGGTGTTCAGCAGACACCCGACCATGCCGTGATAATGATGATGGTGATGATAAAGATAAGAAGCGTCGGTTAGAAATCGTCAAAGCATGGGTAACACGATCCACCAGGGGTCGGTCGTCCCTACGACCTCCCCATTCGGAAAATTCAGTTTGGTTCCCTTGTCAGCCACTCAAGCTAAAAAAACCGGGTGTTCAGGTTTTGCACGTATCTCAGCGATCGTTGCTAAAACGGGAAGCCCAATGGAGTTTTGTCTATCATGTTGGTCTGATGGATACAAAGTGGCGGTGTGATCAGCCACCACCACCATCACCACGACCAGCGGCAACGAGCCGCGAACGACTCACCGCGCAGTACATTATTCCACTTTCAATTATAATCAACTTGACGGTGCTATCTCAAATGCAGCACCCACCACAGGCTGCACCACGAACCCAACGGATCTTGCAGTGGGTCAGCGCCCAATGGCCCGTCATTCAACGTCCGAGACCTTGCTCATGATCGGAGTATAAAAATTATCCAAGGATAGGCTATGCTAACCGATTTTGGTAACGATCACTTTCTCAATAAAAAACGACAACGGCCCGCTTTCTCTTTTAGCTGGTTTTCTTTATTGAATCACACCCTGTCCATGGCATCTTTGACCCGAAATTTCAGAAGATTGTCCAATTCAGAGGGTGATGATGTCGCATTGTTGGAAACCGATCATCGACGATTGGCCCAGTCCGATAGCAGTGACAGCAGCAGCACCGATGAGGAGATCCTTGACGGCTTGCTATCTAAAGTAGGCTATGGCCGTTTCCAGAAAAAGCTATTGGTAAGCTTGCCCCACTACCCACGTCAAGTGGCTATTTTCGTCAGACCCTTTTTTTTCCCCTCCTCCTCCGTGTGTGTTTTGTAAAGAGAGACAGACTGTTAATTGTTGATTGATTGATATAAACGATCCTATAAAAAAAAGATTCTATGCGGATTTGGTTGGTTAGCAGATAATGTAAGTTACTCCAAATAAATTCACTCATACATGATGATTTTTGGAAATGCTAAAAAGTGGAATACTTAGATGTGGCTTCAGGTACGCACGATCATTCTTTGTCAAAGCTCCATCACTCTTCTCTTGTCAAAAGAGTGATGGTCGGTATATTCTCTGCCATCCGGTATTCACCAACTCAATATGCTTTTTTTTCCGGTCCTAATTTAGGCTGTCGCTATCACGCTACCCCGCGTTCAACGTAAGTAGACCGATTTCCTTTTTTATCACGGGAGGGGGGCATATCTATGCAGGCAAAAAAAGCAAGTTCCAGTTGCGATGAAAGGGATGGTGGGATCCTGAGTGGTGGGTCCCATGTGCTGGGCCCAGGTACTGGATACGGGTGGGCAGGAAACTGATGAGTGAGGACCATGTTCTTTTAGGGCATTTCGATGTGTCGAATCAGTGGATCGGGATCTTGTGTAGTGCTCTGTTCACGGGCATGACGTTTGGGTCGTTCTTCTGGGGTACCTACTCGGATTCACGCGGACGAAAGATTCCCTACACAATGACACTGCTTATCACTTCTTTCTTTGGTATCTTGTCCAGCTTTGCTTTCAGCTTCTGGAGTTTATGTGTGTTGTTGTTCTTTCTGGGATTTGGCGTAGGCGGAAATATGCCCACCGATGGTAAGTCAATCACCTTGAGGTTGCATGTTGGACAAGTCTGATTTGATAAATTATATAGGCGCTCTGTACCTTGAATTTCTTCCAAAAGAGTATCACTATTTATTGACCTTCATGTCGGTGTTCTTTTCATTTGGCGCCGTATTGGCCTCTGTTCTGGGGTACATTATTTTGCCGTCCACGAGTTGCCCTGAACCTTCCATCACCGATCCCAATCCGGCCTGTGATGTAGCGACTCAAAATATTGGATGGCGTATTCTATTATTCAGTGTGGCCGTCATTACCATGCTAATGCTGGCCGCTCGGTCTTTATGGCTCAAACTACCGGAAACCCCGAAATACTTGCTCAGCAAAGACCGCATCAATGAAACCATCATTGTGCTGCAAGATATTGCTCGCATCAACGGAGAGACCGTCAGCATTGATCGTTCCGATCTTCCCAATGGGGTGCAGCGAGATAAATCACGCTTACCACCGACAGAGGCTGCCGAAGAAGAGGCGTTCCTGCAAGTGCCACATGCCGAAGGAGGCGAAGAAGGGTTGACTCATCCTCAGCACCGACGATGGTCGTCCGAATATCAAAATGGTGGCTACAACGACCATGAACCTGAAGACGATGATGCGGTCACGGATAAAATGTTATCAGAACTCTACGATACACGGTCAAGGAACAGTCTGGCCATCCTGTTTTCACCGAAATGGCGTCGTACCATTATTTTGGTCTGGTGTATTTGGACGTTTACTTCGGTCGCGTTTACCATGTTCAACGTGCTTCTTCCCAAATACCTCGAAACGCTCGGGTTTGAAGGCGAAGCGGCTCCTACCCTCAAAGACGTCTATTGGGAATACATGATTTATTCCTTGGCTGGTGTTCCAGGCTCTGTGGTAAGTGCCTAAAACAGACAAAGGAAACAGAGAGAAGCATAGAATTCTGATTGACACGAAAAAAAAAAAAAAATTAGATGGCTTCGTACATGATTGAAACACGACTTGGACGTAAAGGCACCATGGCATTATCGGCGTTTGGATCATCATTATCACTAATGATTTTCTCCGCCATTGAATCACGTGTGACCATGCTACTCTCGTCTTCGGCGGTGTCATTCTTGGCGACCTTGCTGTATGCGGTTATTTATGGGTATACACCTGAAGTATTTGACACGTCTGTGCGGGGCACAGCGGTTGGTTCTGCTTCGGGTTTGGGACGAGTGGCAGGAATCGTGAGTCCCGTCATTTCGGGCATTCTGCTCACCATTCGACCTGTATTACCCTTATACGTCAGCGTGGTCGGGTTCAGTATCGTCGGTATTTGCATCTTATTGCTCCCTTACGAAACCCGAGGCAGACCACAAGAAGACTAAAGAGAAAAAAAGACTTTCTCTTTTTTACCATCCTATTGGTGTGTCATCCGACGACGAACGACCCAATTATCCCATTCCTTCTCTATTTCCAGACATGTTGCGTTGTTCGCTACTTTTTCTCGTTTTTCTCTGTCAATATATAGCTTGCATTTGTTGTTTCCTTTGGCTTTGTTTTCATACACTCTGTCTCTATCTCAATAGACCGTTTTCTCTCACTTTTTCGCATGCTCCATCTACTTCTCCTCCTCCTCCTTCCTATATTCGTTATTGTACTTTCTCTCTTTTCCTTTGATATTTTTTTTCAGTAAAATAATAACACTCACAGGCGATTGGGGTTGGTTTTCCCCCTCTCAGCAGACAGTCAAATCTATTTATTGTTGGTTTTATGAATCCATCCAAGTTTTCGTAGTCTTTTCACCAGTGCAGGTGTAATGGCAGCTGTCAATGATAGTCGGAAAGGTAAAAGCAACGTCTTATGGATACCGTAAGCGATAACGAATAAAGATGTGAAGGATGGTTTCTCTGCGGTCGTCCCTGGTTCGAAAGGTTTATGTTCTAATCCAATCCAGCTTTTCACCTTGTAAAAGACCCAATCTTCCATCTGCTTGACACGATCGGCGCCCTTGACACTGATAACCGCCATGGTTAAACTGAGGTCCACTGCGCTCAGCGCCAGATACACCCCCAGTCCAACAGCTCCATATTTTTTCATGAATCCTTTAATCTTTCCCTTTGCGGAAGTCGAACCTGATTCGTTCGTTGTGCTGTAGTATCGAGAGATTATCAGATATCGAGACGGAGGTGACCTCAACAGCAGATTACGGGTGTAAGGAGTAGAAATTCGTTGCACTGGCTTGTCATAATAACGCAGACATCGAATCAACGGTGTATTTAATCTACAGCGAGGTAAAGAGCGCAGCATAGGAAAATGAAAGGTGATAAAGAAAGGGAAGAGAAATGAAGAGAAAACTAACTGCAGGGTTTCAGTGGCTCTCAGAAAAAGGGAAAGCATGACAGCACAGCAAAATTCAAAGACAGCACAAGGATGTGATTTGTTCGGAAGCGGTGAAAAAGCTATAGCGTTGAGATGATGAAGGATAATGACTATATTTGGAAAAAGTAAAAAAAAAAAAAAGAGAACAATTTTCAATACAAAAGAACTATACAAGAATACAATACATTTAAAATGTAATCCGATAAAATGAAATTTAACAACCGGGTCGATCATTCGTTGGCATTGGGGTGGGAGTGGTGTCGGTTTCGGCGTGCAGACTGTTGGGACTTTCTCTTTTGGCGGGCGGAGGAATACCGTTCCAACGAGCCTAACAAGCGCCCCCGTCAGTACTGATGTTGTTTACTCGATCACTCACTACATTTCAACAATTTATACGTACCAATTCCTCTTCCAATCTACCTTCCTTCTTAAGCTTCATACGGCGATCCACCAACACACCCACATTCACCATGTAATATACTACAGATTTTGGAAGACGATTCGTTAAAAATAAACTTTTTGGTCGTCTTATTGTTTGTTTTTTTGTGCGTCTCGGTCCAAGTGGTTTACCTGTGGTGCCAGCAAGGAAAAGCACCATAGACTTTTGTGCGATATCTGCGAATGACGACGAAAGAGGCATAGTCTGTCTGTGTAGGGTGAATAGAATATGAGACCAAAAAAAAAAAAAAAATGCGCAAAGGACACTCTTATTTCCCTTTTTTTTTTTTTGGCGTGGAGAAAAAAAATAAAAGAAACCGTGTGACGCAATGTCTGCAGTGGGAATTGCCCGCCCGCCTACTTTCAATGCGTAAAATTTATTCGCCTTGTATCATTGACACCATGGGGCTTTTTTATCCCTCTCTGCATGGGAGGTTATATCTCTTTAGTCCATCAATGATCCGTTTTCTTATTTTATTAGCATTTGAATGGTATTTTAAACTTTAAGATTCAACTTGTGTTCCATTGCAGCGTGAACATCCAACATATCGGTGGACATGGCAGGATCTAATACAAGTCGTTAGTTATCCTCCTCTTTCTTGTTGATAAAATAAACGTCTTTCTTACCGTTCAGGAAATCTTCAAAGTCAATTGTTTCGTCTTTACCCATCAAAATATCGAGATGCAGATTGGAAGAAGGCAAGACCGGCAAACGATGACGCTAATAAATGCAATACAATATATAAGAAAAAAAGTCCAATCATAGTCTTGCGCGTTCATAGTTTTGCCTACCTTTGATACTGTTTCTGTTTCCATCATCATTTTGATAGGTGCATGCATACCATAGGCTTGTCGTGCCATATTCAGCTTGAGTTCCCATTGTGTTTCTTGCCACTAATCCGCGACTTGTCAGTTACAGTGCTCCATACGATCATTTGGTATAGAAAAGATGAATGGTTTTTACCTTGTTGAGACGATGCTCTAAGGGATGGCCAGGTAATACTTCGGATTTGATAGAACGAGTACCGTACCGAAGAGCGTCGTGATTGCCGAAATCGGCGTGTGTCGTATCGTAAGTGGACTTTACCGAAGTCTCTGGAAGAGCTGCTGGCGCAATACGGAAGGACTATTTATCAAATGCAACAAAGGTAATCAAAGTGTCAATATTTTTCCCTATTTGTTCCTGATCGCTGTGAAGACGGACCATGATAGTGTAAAGATAAGTGAAAATGAGTTATAACAAAGAGACCCAAAGAGTCCACGAACCTGAAGCTCGCTTGCGTGGCTACAAAAAGATAGTCACAGGACTCCGTGTCCAATCATTGGATAAAGTCGCGCGTGTCGGCCGTGCAGCCCCCGACAACGTCAAAAATAAATCCACCTGGTTGTGAAAAACAGCCCAAAGACTTCACAGCATATTCTCCGATGCATAAAGTTTCGTTCTTCCTTCCCGTGAAAGTTATCAAATACACGAATTTCGCACTGGATGGTGGACAAGATATTCAAGTGTAACAAAAAGGTGGATAAAAAGATATCAGTTTTTTAATCTTGTCTCTGCTACTTGCACCAATTTCAGTACCTTTTTGATTGCCAGCAATACCGACTCTTTGATGTAATCCTTTCTGAGTCTTTGGGACAAACATGGGTAGCGTATGTACCAAGTATCGCTTTACCAAGTATCGCTTTACCAAGTATCGCTTTTTATCATTCGGATTTGAGAACCCTTATTCTCCTTTGTTAGGCTTATCTTCTGTTGTAGTCTGAGAAAGGGGACATATCACAAGTACCCCCGAGCGAGGTAAAGACATTGAGGACTACTGTTCGAACGAACAGGATATTGAAATCAAACTATGCTGTAGCTATTATGCATACGCTGTCTCAGCAGGAGCATACATCTACTCTGGATGTGAAACGGTGAGGATTCCTGTGAAGCTTTGCCAGGCTTGGAGCACCAAATATCAATTTTTTGACCCATTTCTTGGCTCCCCCCCGGCGGTCGTGTCTGTTCGTGTACTGCTCCGAATAATCGAATGGCCAGTGAGTTTCAATATCATTTTTGGTGGAGAAGCCTGGCGACCCGGTCGGTTTCTTTCCGCGGTCATGTCATTTGGTGGAGAAGCTGGGCGACCCGGCTGGTCTCTGTCGGCCGTTGAAGAAAGAGCATCTTTTCTGCTAAAAACAAAAAAGGATTAATTTTGATGCCGCATTTGAAAGAAGATCTTGAAACGGCAATCTCATAAGGAAATTGGACATTTCTACATCTGTGAGAGCAACATACGTAAGATTCCGGTGGAGAAAAAGTTAAGCGTTCTAGTCAGACGGCGTGTGCTAGCCAAATATTGCCCTCTCTGAAAACATAGTAATGCATGAGGTCTTCGTTTTCTATCTCATCTCTACTGTATGTTTATTCGCGATGGATCATACTCCAACCCAATGCCAGGACGTTTTTGATTAAGATCTTTTATAACAAAGTCCTGGTACAAAGGCTCATGACACTTTACCCTGACCAGACTGAAGCTTGGTCTTCCTTGTGCAATGACTTTGAATCATATGCTCATTTTGTCCATCCCCAGCTTCTTCAAGCAGCCGTCTCACTTCGAGTGTTGGGTGTCTCCGCTTTGCATTTCGCCAACAGCTCCTCCATAATTCTTGGATTCATTCTACAGCTCTCATCACAATTGTATGCGGTCATTGTACCGCACTCCTATTCACATTCTCCGGAATGCCTAATGGCAATGCAAATACCCGATAGAGCCCGACTTCTTCGGTTATCCTCCCAAGCCACCGCGGTGTTTATAGCCATTTAGCCACTTGTCCCTCAATATTACACATGACGCGCATATAACAATAACTACAGTAAGTACCCCAGTGAATTCTATCGACATCAGTGAACTAATGCCTGTGAAAGCAGCACTTGGCAAAGAAATTATTCAGAGGAGTTTGAATATGCCGATCCGCCCGACTCCCCAGCGAATTTTTTTTGCTTTGTTATAAAGAAACTGTCAACATGGGCCACCTTCTCAAAGCCCGACTACTGTTTTGGTCTGCCATACGATACCGGCAAGCCAAATACAATGCAAACCAGTTTACGTGTGGCGCAGTGTATAGTGGGCGCAGCCGACGGTCTTTGAGCCGTTCCAATGGCCCAGAATGCCCCGTGAACAGCTGAGTTTCGTCGAGGACTTGGTGATGAAATACTTGTGTCTACTTTGGGTGGGCTGGTTGTCCAAGACAGCTTGCATTTAAATGGGAACAAAGATTTACTGCAAAAATTATCCCCCAAAAACCCATATGACCGCGGCTCTTTTTGGCTTCCAAGGCAACGATTCGTTCACCATGGTCAAGAGCTACTTTTCTAGGAAACGACGTGGCGCAGGTTTGATCTGGCCAAGATAACCCACATCTCGGCTTTGACGGATCATTTAGGAAAACCCTTGAGCCTCCACTGGCGAATCACGGTATTACAGCGAGTCTCATTCCGTTGTTTCGACCGAATTCATTGTATACCAGATTAGGGCAATATGATATACAATCACAGCTGTGGCTTATATGGCATAGTTTTGTCAAAAAAAAAAAAAAGGAAAAGAACTCGTCATTATCCCATGATTACATAAAAGCAAAAACATTCATCCCCAAAAAATTGAATCGCGTTGCTGGCAACAACAAAAAAAAAAAAAAAAAAAAAAGATTCATTGGACGATCCTAGTTTCGTGTATTACGTCATACGCTTGCGATTCGGCGGATGAATCATCGACGGGCGTACATTGTGCAAGGTTATACAAGGAATTAATGATCGACAAGCGACATAGGGTCGTACTGGTAAACAATTGAAGTCGGAAACCAAGGTAACAGAGAATTTGTTTTAGTATGCTTTGGTTGTAATTGTATGCATTGGACCATTATATTTTGGGCAAGCTCAAAAGGAAAAAAGGAAGCGTCCAACAGCAAAGCGGGATAGTTAGTCAAGAAGCATTAAGTTAATCCCGAAAATTTTATCCCTGACTCCGTCTGCTTCTTGTTTCTTTTTTTCCTTTTTTTTCCTCTTTTCTTTTCTTTCTTTCGTTTCTCTTTCTTTTTTCGTTTTGTAATTTTTTTCTCTCTCTTGTTACTGCGTCTTGTAGTGTTTTTTTTTGTATATATTTGTTTGATCTATTATCATCACATTTTAGAATCTTGCAAGACTCATTGACATATTTTTTTTCATCCAAGTGACGTCCTTTCCTTGTTTTTTCCTTCATCCCCACAATTTTTCTTTTCTCTTTAAGTGTGCGCACACTTGTTCTTACTCCTTTTCCATTTTTGCCTACCATCACTCATGTCTTTGCCGATACTTGCAACTGGATCACGTCAACGAAAACGACTTCTACTGAATATTCTGAAATGGGCGGTGATTGGGGTAGCCATGGCTCTTTTTTCATTCGTCATCCTGTGCAGAATCGAAATAAATGCTCGTGTCTATGTACGAGACTGGCTTGCGCCTCCCAAAGCACAAATCATCGAACCCTTGTCATCATCATGTTTCCGTAATACATCCTCCTCATATCCTTCCCGTCCGTCCAAATATCACCACAACTTTGTACCGGGGCTTCCCACCTGGGAAGAATACACTTGCTACGATTTCGCCAGCATGTTGTATCCTTCTCGCAATCAATCCATCAACAAGACAACTTTTCACACTTACTGGTCAAAAAATCTGACGTCGTCAACCGCCTTTGGAGAAAAGGAATTTGCTGTCGTACGTTCATTCGTGGCCACCCAAGACGCCGCAGAAACCGACTTAATTATCTGGATAAGTCCCGAAGACGAACCGGATTTGAAAGCTTCACCTGCCTGGCAACATCTCTCTCAAGTCATGGAACGCCTACGCTACGAAAAGCTAGACATGGACTCACTGACAAGCGATACACCGTTAAAATCATACAGTGCTTCTTTATCGCAGTTACGACCGGAAGAAACAGTGAACCTTATTCGGCTTCTTGTACTGTATAACCGAGGCGGTGTGTGGTTCGATTTTAATACCATGTTTACGCGCGACCTCTCACCGTTACTGGAGCATGAATGGATAGCCCAAGGAAGCTGTTTTACGACAATGTTTGGTAACCCTTTTGACGGGGGCTTGCTTCACTTCCGTCCTCAGTCTCCGTACGTGTGTGAGTTGATGGCCGGGGCCAGCGATGTGTTTGAAGCACGAAGACGAAAACAACGAGGATTGTCTTACAACGACCGTTTGCTGGATAAACGGACAAAAGACCCCTTGGGAGCGGGTCTCTACTACCGAATCTATCGGCGATTGCTGCATCATCGTATCACACCATGGAGTGTCTTGCCGTGGTGCTTTACCGATCCTTCTCAGTGTAAACAAGTCAACTCGTTACCCAGTCTGGCCGCCAAAACGTCCTTCCGTCATCAACGAATTACCCAAACCTTTGCTTACCACTGGCACGAAGGATGGTCCTTTAAACCTGGCGATCTGTTTAAATATCTCGAAAGTCTGCACAAAGAAGCCGTCGGTTGGTAAACTGGTGGTCCACCGGCTGTCGGCCGCCGCCGCCACATGTTAAAAATAATAAGAGAAAAAAAAAAGGAGGAAATAATTTCACCCATCCACGTCAACAACCACAAACTCCTGCGTCAATTTGTTTTCTTTTTACTTTTGTTTTGCAGGTTTCTGTTCATACCCTCAACTTTTTCATATTCTGCTTAATACGCTAATTCTACATTCTACTCTTATAATAAACCAAATTCTTCTTTTTTTTTTTTTTCCAAGCCAGTCAATAACCATGGCAATCCAAGATTTCTCTCGTGAGGATGTGCTTACTTGTTTTCGATATAGTGCAGTAGTGTGGTGGGACAGAATTCGGTGGGCGACACAGCTTTATGGATTTTTTGAAGCTCCTCCAAAATACGATTTGGAGTGACATTCCGTATTTGTTTCTTTGCTGGTCTGATTTTGGGGATGGTGCGACTCCAACATTTCTACAATACCATCCCAGCCGTGTATCCGATTGGATTAGCAAAATGAAAAGAAAGACTTGGAACGTTTGAGAATCTGGTATCTTGGGCTGCTTTGTCACAGTTACTACAGTGTGAGAAAGAGGGGCGCTTTTCTTTTTTGTTACTGTATGTTACAGGCCAAATTGTTCCTTTTATGGCAAAAGAAATAGGATTGAATTGACTTTTTTTTTAAGAGTTTAAACCATTCTACTAGTTTGTGCACAATTTCTGCGATGAAGAGTTAAAAAAAACTGAATGATAAATAACAAGTGGTCTGTTTGATGCAAAAAAAAACCCATCCCGTATTCGCTTTAACGTCGTCTTCGACTACGATGGTCACGATCACGGTCTCTTTCCCGTTCTCTTTCTCGCTCCCGACCATGATCTCGCCGATCGTCCCGTCGATCTTCCCGCCGGTCATCGCGCCGAGTCTCACTTCTCCGGTCATCGCTTCGCCGGTCATCACTTCGACGTTCGTCCCGTCGATCATCCGTGCGACGCTCTTCGGTTCGTCGTTCCTCCGTTCGCCGTTCTTCCGTCTTACGTACCTCCGGTCGTCGTTCTTCCGTCTTACGTTCCTCGGGTCGTCGTTCTTCGGTACGACGTGTTTCGGATCGTCGTTCACTGCGATCACGGTCCTCTCTTCTTTCTTCACGTCTATCTTCCCGTCGGTCCTCGCGAACTCGATCCTCTCTAGAAAGCATTATAAATGTGAGTCGTTTCTTGTCATCAAAAAAACAACATATGCAGTGACTTCTTACCTGTTGCGTTTTTCAGCTCGACGATCGACTTCGTGATCATCTTCATCGGCGTGTCGTTTCCGGCTACTTTCTCTGTCGCTGGTGCTACTAGAGGTGGTGGGTCGTCGTTCTCGGCTGCTTCGTGTACTACTAGTTTGTGAACTGCTTAAGCGATCGTCGCGTGATGTGGACATGGATTTGGTTGAAGATCCGCCCACGGCATCACGGCTCGCTTCTTTGCTGGAAGAGGAAACAGAAGGAGGAGCTAACCGTGACGATTCACGCGCCGCTTCCCGAATCGCTTCACGTGCTTGATCTCGTACCCGCGACGATTCTTTGGCTTCGGCTCGACTGGAGGATACCGAGGTTGATTCTTTACTAGTTGATTCACGAGGTGAGCCTCGAGAGGTCGATTCGGTCGATCGATGCGATCGGCTGGTGCTGCTTGCCTCGTGACGACTGCTTAAACGATCTTCATCTGCACTACGAGGCTTCTTGCCCACACTGCTGCTACCGAAATCTTCACGGCCACGTTTACGCTCCGACAAGGGCGAAGAGGCACCATCGGCCCGATCGGCTCGATCGGCTCTATCGGGACGTTCGGGACGTTCTTCTCGACGGGAAGGACTCGAAGGTCGAGGCGAAGCACTTGGAGTCGATCCCGTGCCATGTCGACTGCTACTACTACGCGCCGCCGTCGCCGTCGCCGTCGCCGTCGTTGCCGCTGTCGCCGCGACCGGTTCTGGCTCCGGATCCTCAATCCCCAAAAATACGTTCTTGCTCACCCATCGTGCTTTGCTCTTTTCAATCAAACCAAGATAACTACAATATCACGCATAAATTAGATTGCAAAAGAAGAAGACGAAAAAGGAACGAGCCGTAAGTAGTCTATTCCTTCATTCTCCTTCTCCCCCCCCCCCTTTTTTTTTTTTTTTCTTTATCAAGCGTACCTGCGGGCCAGCACTTTGAGATCGTCTCGTTTTTCATGAGTCGCCAGGGCTTGAGTGGCTTTGACAAGGACTTCGCCGTGTTGTCGAATAGTGGGAAAGTAAGGAATGAATTGGCGAAGGATAAGAAAAGCGTTGCGGATTTGATGGGCTTCGCCGGATTGAAGCGCTTGTTCGAGAGCAATGCTGGCTTTCAGATGCCATTTGTGCATGACGCGTTTGAATTCCATGAAACTAAGCAAGTCTTCCTTGGCCACTTCTTGACTGGTCGACTGGACGTTCCATTTCTTTTGAAAGCCAATCAATCCATCGCCCTGCGCTTCTGCCACATACGTCTTTTCATCTTGATGCCACTTGGACATTTTTGCAAACGTCTTATAAATAAATCGAGCATGAATCGTCGTCTCATAGTCTGTGAACGTCATCAAGGCCGCCGGCAGATTTTCAGACAGCACCTTGTCAAACAGCGTCAAGCTGGAGAAATTCTTGACACCCAGGCGATGCATCAACATGACAAACTCGTAGCAGTACACGGCATCGACTTCGGAAATCACGCTACGTGGTAACAAGCAGTGTTGCATAATGGTCGAAATCAACGTCAATCGATCGGCGTTACTGGGGAACCAGCGGGCTTGCGAGGCCTTTAACATGGTGATGGTCTTTTCCACGGCTAACTGATGTTTCGGTAGATCTTCGCGAAGACTGTCCAAGCACGCTTGAGCATGTCGTTCCGCTTTCGCTACCACCGAAGGTCGGTTGCTCTGGTAAAACGATGAACGGGAATCGCGACATTGAGCAATCATATCGCTGTGTCGTTTCATGGCCGCCTCATAGTGTTCTACGGGACAATGGATATCGTAGAGTTGCAGTTGCCAGAAAATCACATAGAATTCAGGACTGATAACACTGCACACGCCAGTATCCGGTAACAAGGTGGAAATATGATCGACGAGATGCTGGTAAGGTGGAAGCGGACTATCGGTGGCCATCTCGCTTTCCGTCAGTTTCTTCATGGCATACCGCGTCTTGGGTCGAACAATATGCATGACCACATCCGACGGTAAATTGTATTCCTTGACCAGCTCTGTGGCCTCTGGAATCATGGCGTTGTATTCTTCTTCATCAAAGATGGTCACCAGCAGTTCCGAGTATTGCAAAAAGGTTTGATGGACGCGGTCCAGGTTCTGAACCAATTCCGGAGTGCTGACGGAATCTTTGGCGGAACACGCTTCGTTGAGTCGATACAGCAGAATCAAGATTTCCAAAGCCATGTTGTCTTTGGACAAGGTCGCTTTGAGTCGCATCAACACGCGTCGTGTCGCTCGTCGGTTATCACTGGAGATTGGTTGAAATGCTTCGGCTTTCAGCATGTCACTGCATCCGGCCGAGGTGATCTGGTCATCCGTCAAGGTACTGCCGATAATTTCAATGCCGGATAACTTGGTGACGAATTCGTTGAAAAGCACGAGGTCCGGGACCGAGTCATCCAATCGTAGTCGAAACGCCATGTAACGTAACAACGGTGTAGGATCGATGCCTTGTTTCTTGTAAAGCATGCCTGCAAACACAGACAAGGCACGTAACCACGACGAGGGAATGCCGTCTTCCTTGACCTTGATTCGTTTCATGCGTCCAGCGCCTTGCGATCCCGTCCATTTCTCGGTCATCAAGTACCCGAGCACATCGTAGGCAAAACTGCCAATGTATCGACACGCATCGGCCATGTATGGGGCCAAGTTGTCAAACGCTTGCAATTGATCAAGCATGATATTGAAAACAATGGTTGGATTGGAATGCGCCAATTTACCGAGGTCGCGACCGCATTGACGCACATCGTTTTTGGACACTCGGCGCATGACCGACTTGACATCGCGTTCGGTGCGTGCTTTCAACAGTTTGGTTTCGATCGTCTTTTTATAAAAATCGGTAGCCCATTCGCCGTACAGTGCACATCGTTCCTGAAAAGTGAGCAAGTCGAGAATTTCCCAGACTGCCGCCATGGTGCCTGGATTGTTGCCGCTGAAAGAAATGCAAGGGAGCAAGAATTCACGAAGCATCGTCATGCAATGGACTTTGGCCCCGGGCAAATCCGATTCACGTTCCAGCATATTTTGTACAATGATCACCAGCTTTTGATACAAATCGGGAGCCAAGTACGACTTGTACCCGGCAAGACGCATCAGTGGCATGAATCGCTCCGTAAGATGTTCAAACGATTCGCAGCGTGCCAGATTCTGGGCCCAGTCCTTGTAGAAAAACACGTAATGACGTTGTTTGTGGAAATCGCGATGACCGTCCATGAACACGTCGGTTGTGAGCACCGTCTTCATTTTCGGCATGGGACCCACCGTGCCATCGCTGTGCACCGGCAACTTGGCCCTCAATTCAGACTCCTCGGCACATTTGGCAAACAACGTACGACACGCTTTCACTTCTTCGGAAACATATTTCTCGTAAATGGGATCCAACATCACATCGCACAAACGATACAAATCACGAGCCAACTGGGGATGCATATCGCACAATTTGTCGTATTTCGAAAACATCAATTCTGCATGGTACGTGTCACCGATGGTGATGAGAGCTCGCGTGAGTTGATAGATATCGTTTTCCGTATAAACCTTTTCCTGAACATGACACAATCGATTCGTCATTTAATCCTCTGCTCGGCAATAGATGGCGATGCCAAAATCCCCTTTACCTTTTTCTTTTCGACTTCCTTCGGTTTAGCCTCGCCTGTATTGACTTTTTGCGTGGTGCCTTCTTCCCCCAGTGCACCATACATCTACACTTTCACGATCAGTTGGGTCGCTCAGTTATTGTCACTTGCAATTAGAGAGCTTACCGCGAGTGCACCGACGCTGTTGGTCTTGATTTCCTTGTTCATCAATTCCATGTATTTGTTTTTTCGTTCTTCCATGCCTTCGTCATAGGGTCGCAACTGTGCAAGGAGGACCAAAGGGTCAATGAGACGAGAAAATCATGAACGAACGCCGAGGTGGAGATTTACTTACATAAGGAAGCAAGTCGCCCAAGCGGATCAATCCATTGGCGATGAGCAAGGCACACGCATAGTAAAGAGTGGGCGGGGCTGGTTTCACTTGCACTTGTTGGTAATGTTCGAATTTGAAGCCTAGCAAGTGGGCCATCACGGGGCAGTTGTACTGTGGCGTGGGTTCTTTTGCATTGGAAGACCCCTGTGGATGATCGCTAAAGGACAACTGTTGGATCCAGCCCGACTGTTTAAACAACTCCATCCAAAATGTAAAATTGACAAGCAACTCCTTGATGAAAAAGTCCAAAAGAATATCCAGCACACGGTTCGGGTCCAAATGAAAGATACCGATATTGGATGAAATGGTTTCCAAGAACTTTGGCACTCGATCCAACGGCGTCGCTGGAGGATTGCCGTAAGCATCATACTCCAGATCAATGCTTCCTTGCAAAATATCGTTGATCAATGCAGAATAGCCGGCCATATCTTCTCTTGCAAGATTGAACTTGTTCTGCTTGTACCTGAAAATACCGGCCCCGTTCATTAGGTTAATAAGACATATTTGCACACACCCATATATATATTGTTCTGTCGACATTAAAAGAAACGTACAGCATGGACGTGTTTAAGCGGACCAATCGTCGGTCAAACATGGCTTTACTTGGAATGACTCTGGCATCCTCCAAAAGTTGGCTGGAAAAGTGAATTTTGCAATCAGCGTCAGACAGGAGTTTGGCGTCCTACAAAGAAAGAAACGATTGCAATGATTAAGCACGGGGTGACTGAATACAAAAAGAAAACAAAGAGACCATGTGCGATAATTACCAGTAATGCTTTTATCATGGCCACCAGATTGTCTTTGTACTGTTGCATTTCTTCCTTGGTTTCGTCGTCGAGTTGAAGTTCCTGCATGGATTCTTGATGAACATCTTGGGTTTTGAGAGAATTGATAAATAGTAGTCGTGCATCAATATGGTTGGCAGCAAACACGCCGTCGTCGTCTTTGACAAGTGTGTCCATGAGTTTGACAAAACTATCGATCGAACGTCGGCCCGTGTAGGCATGGTAAGTGGACCGAGAGATCAGTTGGCGTAGTCCATTGGTCTTTGTCAACGAATAGGACGCTGCGTCTTCCTTTGCGCGTCGAATCTCGTCTGAAAGCGATTCCATGCGTCTTTCAGAGAGTGAAAAATATGAACGAAAAACTTTAAGTTGAAGAGAAAATAAAAAGGAAAAAGATTCACAGACAGAATGGAATCCTTCACTTGGGCGTTCGGGGTTTAGTTTGCTTATTTTTTCCACTCAAAATGTCAATTCTATAAATCCTCCAACGAGCCAGCCACCACAAAAGCGAACTGCATCCTGACCCGTTATCCGACTTTTTTATATTGTACTCTACGTTAAAATTGGGAGAAAGATTGTGGGATGCATATGTTGTCTTAAGATATAACAAAGACAAATCTGATAGCGCGCTCTGTCCGTGGTAGAATGGCAGCACATCGTTGGACCTGAAATTTGTTACCCTGTCAGTTCTTTGGCCTACAAGCATCCACTAATGAATGCTCAATAAGGCCAATGACTTTTTTAGCCAGAGGTCAATGTAGCCAATAGAAAAGGAATGCAAGTTCTCGGGGAAGTCATAACTTTGGTCAAGGGACAACGTCTTGTGGTTGTTTGTTAAACACTCCATGATAATCCCAGTATAACAAGTTTGGGTCACAAATTTGTGAACTTGGTCACAGATGGTCACAAATGCCGAAAAGCATATTGAATAAAATGTTTCTTTATCAACAGATATAACGATCATCACCGACTATAAGCAGGTATAGATCACAGAACTAACGATTCATGCCTTTATTATCCCACCTCCCCTTTTCTTTTGTTCTTACTAAATCTCGCCTCAACATAATATATACCTTTCTGATTACGATCAATTATAGTTACTTCTTCACCAAACATTTCATTAGAGTTCAGAGGATATCTGGAATATCTTATCACAGACGCAGTTTGCACGGATTTCCAAGTTGCATAATGCAGCTGCTGTTTTGCTTTATAATGCTTCGCTTGCTTATGAAGCTTTTCGCGGTAAATTTATTGCCTCATTCTCTACGTTTGAAGAGATTCATGTAATGGAACAAACCCGTCTTGCCGATCGTTGCATGACTCTTTATTGGAGCCAAAATTGTGAGTATTGCCCATAACGGTGACTGTGTACATATACCGCGCGTCAAGCTCATTGGCTCTTTATTCAGCTAACTGTGCAACGAGATACCTAAAAGGCAGCTTCCTCCACCGGGCCTCCTACATGACCATTAATTGTCAGTCTCACGAAAACACCAACACAGCAGTATCTTGCACCAAGCCTAACTCTATATATAAGCAACCTATGACAATCTCGGCAATTTGCTCACCACAGATCAGCGCAATTGCATGCGTGAATTAGATGTGTAAATTTCAAGCGACTAGTGGCGAAAAGATGTGTATTGAAGAATTTAAACGGTCAAGCATGCTAGACCATGAAAGGCAAATCTTATCTCAATGTTCACTTTTCTGAAGAAGAAAACCCGTCTCTCTCAAACGACGCTACACTTCAAGCGGTCCAAACAGCCCAGGATGAAGAGTGAAGAGCCTGAGCCTGAGCCTGAGCCTGAGCCTGAAACTGAGCCTGAAACTGAATTGAGTACTTCGTCATCTTCAGATTGTGGTGGACAACTTTGACAAAGGAGGATTCTTGTAGGGTTCTTCGAAAGATGTGACCCGGAATTTGTAAACACAATGCGGAGCAAAACAGACTACCTTGGACTTCTTTTTTGAGAATCCAATAAAATATCATAATCCCGGATCTTTTTTCAAAGAGGTGAAGAAAGTGAGGTTTGGGAATTCTGCAGTGCTTGGAAGTGGATCATCCTTGATCCAGAGAGGAAAGAAATAGGGTTTGGAAAAAAATAAGGGGCATTATTTTTTTCCCCATCTGTGATTTTCACTGTTTTAATCAGTAAAGAAGTATGCACTTTTTCCCATCAGTGATTCACATGTTTTAATCAGTAATGGAGCACTGTATGCATCATTTTATCCCATCAGCGATTTCATTGTTCATCAGTGCAGTAGTAGGCACTATTTTTTTCCCAGGGTGATGTCATTGCTCATCAGTGCAGTAGGAGGCATTATTTTTCCATGAGAATGGCATATAAAACGACTGGCATCCAGGCTTTCTCATGTCTTCCGCATTCTCATCTTTCTATCTTCATTTTTTTTCATGCCCCCTAAAAGACGCCGCATACAAGATGAAGATATTCCTCTCCCACAAACCATTGTACCCATTTCGTCGGTTGAAGAAGCACGGCAAGCTCTCTCAAATGCATCCACATCGTTTATTTTGAACAGTATTAGAACACTGGCTATCAAGTATAACGAAAAACACGACGACGATTTTTGGGATGATGTAGAGCGCTACGAGGCGGCTTTAGAGACCTTACTCGCTGATTTTCAACAGAGAAATCATCTGCCCAGAGGAATGTTGCAAGGCATCGAAGACAGAGCAGGTGTTCGACGTGGTTCTTTTCACAGCAAATACCAGAAGTTCGATTTTATCAATATTTGGAGAAATGCCTTGGATCAATTCTTGGAACTCAGTGTGCAAGCCAGGCAGTCCGTTGCTGCAAGCTCTTTTGCCGGAAGTTCTACGGCTGAAAGTTCAGCTGCCGCGACATCTTCTCGACCCCAAGTATTAGAAGAGCAGATCTGAACATGCTCTGTTTCACTACTATCGATATTGCGAGAAGACTTGTCTTCAAATCCCACAGATATCAAATCTGCTTTCGAGCAAAATGACGATTTCAAAGGCCAATTATACAGCGGATCTACGTGTTATTATCAGAGCTATGATGATTCTTTGCGCGACAAATAAATCAGAAAGTAAGTACACAAGCAGAGGGAATACCAACTTGTATACAAATATGCTCATTTTTGCCAAGGCGGGCCTAATTCTCGCATTGCTGCAGCGACCCTTTTATCAACTATCCGTAACAAAGATATGCTGCAGGGCGGATACTTTGTCGCAACTCCGAATACGACGGACGTTCCAACGCTCTTCAATGCAGAGCACATTCAGTATATTCACGCGCGGTATTTTGGTCCCAAAGGGCCTCTTACCCGGAGCAAGAGTATCCAAACTGGGAAGCGCTGCATCGAGAAGAATTCGCGTCTGTTGGAAAATATACAGTTCCGTCGTCCATCACCAGTGCGGCGCAAACCGAAGTAGCCACCAATATCAAAAACATGTGGCAAGGAAAGCTGCTCCGAAAACTCCTTCTAAATGTGCTTCGTCTTCTTCTTCGACTACATCTATCACCAATCTGAGAAAAGAACTATTTTGAAAAGATCCATACCATGAAAAAATAAGAGAGGTGAGCTCAATAGGCATCACAATCGATGTCGAATAATCCTTAACATGGATATTTCAGGTTTCATCGCAACAAAACTCTCGCAATTCACAACGCAACATCGTCCGCCTCGAACGCCACAAGCACCTAAAGCGACTCCGAAAAAACAGGAACGTCGAAGCCTCAAGCAGACGCCTGAAAATGTTTGAAGATAGCTTGGTAATAAATGCAGCATTTTGCATGAGGTGTCCTTTTTCTTTACTTACAATAATCGATAGTTTACCACTTCAAGACAAAGGCATGACAGAAGCGATGTAAGTAGCAATACTCACCGCGATACTTAGTATGATACTAACACAAATGCATAGCTCATCGAAGAACTCGCATCTCAATTGCATTATTTCCCGAAAGCCACAGATGTCGATCTCAATATAGACGATGCTGTCGACGATACCGATGCTGATGACGAAGGGGACACAGTAGAAGAAGTTTCTACTTCCATTGCAAGCAGTTCCAGAACTCGTCCGACACAAGTCTCAGCAAAGGAGCCATCGCGGAGAAAACAACGAGCAATGCAGGCAATCCTTACCCAGCTGCTACTTTCAAACGTAGACGCTGTAGGCGAGGAAACTATCATAAAGCGTTGGGATACTGGTCCTCTTTCTGAGAAGGAAATCCAAGCTATGCTCCTCGTATATCGAACCCTTCGCCCTTTTGTTCCTTCCACGGGAAATACTGCGCCTATTTCCGCCAAGCTACCGCTTGTTATACTCGCAAATTCGATTTTACATTCGGCAGGATACGGGAAATTTAAACAACACATCTGTCCAGAAGTCAAGCCTGGAGCCGTACATTCATTTCCGATAGACAGCGTGGCTATTTATCAGATGTTCGGACCGGTAGAGACTGGAAGCCGAAGGATCAAGTCCATCAACGATGCGCTAGGAAACAAGCGACAGGTTTTTCAGTCGATATTTAACCTGGATCGAATCAATGTTTTTATTTATGTCTGCAGTGCAGCAAGCTGTAGAAGTTCAGGAAATATGTGTAGAAATGAAGAATATGTAGGGGAAGCTACAAAGAAATGTTGTGTAAATGTAAATGGAAACTCACTGTGTACCCAACACGGTTTATCGTTCCGCGATCGTATCACCTACGATCCTTTGGGCATCGCTGTAATCACTGAGTCCTGTCTCCCCGAAAAGCGCCGGCCAGTGTCGACTTATGAAGAACGGAAAAAGCTTCCTAGCGAAGAAACCCATCGACCGACCTACACGCAGTCAATGCTCGAAAAGGTGATCAGTTATTGTGAAGCGAGAATCAAATCGCTCGAAAGCCGTATCCGGTCATCACAGAAAAATGCAAAGACTTTGAAGAGCAAGGTTGTTGAAACAGTGTACCCTTGTGGCAGCAGAAAACAAGCAAGCGCATACCGAAACTCACAAGGCTGCCAAAACTCCATACAACGATGCGCTCACAGCCTATCAATCGGATGAAGACTTATCTCTCCAACGAACGAGCTAGCAAGTATAGCGCACGAAAAGTATGGAAATAAATATATTGTGTATCATAGCAACTTTCTCAAATGATGTATTTAGACTTTGCAAGATATTGACTCGGGAAAGAACAAGAAGAGAAAGAAGGGGAAAGCTAAAGATGTGCCACCACCGTCCGATACATGTCCAACTGTGCGAAAGCCAGGGTGTGAGAATTCAGCGGCACACATGAAGCCCGACCAACTCCCTTCCGACAAGCTCTCATTCGCTGGAACGGATTATGGCATTGTGACTCTTGCCACGACTATGGCTGTCGGACAAAAGCAACACGCGTTTCATCTCAAGCTTTTCAACCACTATGAAATTCTGGAAGAAGAAAAGCCGGACCTAGAGATTGACGACCAAGAGCGTGGATACTTTGTTTTTGACAAGCCATTTACCATTTCCGCCGATCACTTGGATTGGAGGACTCGTTCATTTGAAGCGAGAAAAAAGCGAGAGATGAAGAAGAAAACGGTAAGGATGAGTATCGATGGTTATTGCAAGTATCTAATCATCCAGGCCTTTTTTCCTTTTTTTTTTGGTGCACGATCTGTAAGACAGACAAGGGGAAAGCTGCTGCGAAGATGGAAAGAACGCTTGCGAAGCATTCAATGTCAAATGCGTTATCCGTTGCTAAAGTGCTTGAAAATCACAAGGTACCACATCATACAAATGCTGTATTGAGACTTCTGCTTACTGACTTGGATTTGTATTAGATGGCGCAATCAGCGAGGGATGATTTGCGAGCATTTTATCACTCCTCCGCCGAACGCAAACTGAAGAGATTCATTCGACTTCAAACGACACGTAGATACACGAAGACTGTGCAAGAAGAAAGCAGCTATATTGTTGGCCAACAGAGTGGATACGATTTGCAAGGCATCAAAAAGCTACCCGTTCGTATGATTGACGTTATGGGAACGGGTGTTGGTCCACGAATCGGTGGACATGCTCGTTGCGGTGGCAAGTGGCACAAAAAGCTGGCCTCCAGGTACAACCCAGTGACAATGACGAACGAACATCAAACAAGCCAGCGATGCGTTTTCTGCTATCAAAAAATAGTCCACCCCAAGAAAACGTTCATCAAAGACGGAAAACAAGTCCAACGAACTGTCAATGGGTCTGCCACCTGTATCAATAGTAAATGCATCGCACGACTCAACGGTTTCTCCACTTTTCCTCGCGATGCCATGTCGGCGGTAGCAATATGCCTGGCAGGACGAACAACGATGGAATTCGGAAGACCACTCGCGACTTTCGATCCATCTCGCACAAAAGAAATCAGCCAATCCTATGCTGAAGCTCAAGAAGCACTTGAAACCCGGCCCAATGTGCAAAGATTGCGGCCTGAGGGCACCCATGGTTAATGGGACAACTCCAACTTGCACAGCTTGGGGGTGAGTTCAAAAAGAAACTGTCAAACTTTTGCAAACTCCGCGTTCTTACAGATACCTCTACAGTATCATATACTTGAATTTATAGCAGCCAAGAACACCTTGTTCGTCTTTTTTACACTCACGGTGTACAACACTGAGCGCCTCCAACATGGAGGCAGAGCGGGCAATGGTTCTTCTTTCTTTTTTTTTGCCGTTTATCAACGATATTCAACTCAACGAGGGCATCATTCCGCTATGAATGCTTTGTGTTTGTTACTTGACAACATATCTCAAACGATATGCCTATATAGGATATTATCTGCTTCTAAAAGCTGCTCAAATTTGTCACTGCAGAGCTCTTCTAGCCCAAATAAATCGTTGCGCCTAGATTCTTTGGTGATGTTTTCACAGTCAAGAACGTTCGCCGCTCGTGGATTAAAAACCGAGCATAGCCTTTCTGTGGCTGTTTAAAAAAGATGTTCTCTCTGCCTACTGGCTACTGGCATCCAGCTACTCGTATTCATGTGCTGTGTTTTTCAAGTACTTCCTTCTAAGTGAGTCCAACCATGGGCGATTTTCCAGTTATATGCTCCCCCCTCTGTCATCGATGATTGTACAAAGAAAAGGGTCCGCTAATGTGAAGAAAAACTCAACTTTGAATAAAGCAAAGAAATTTGATAAAATACAGGAATGTGTTTTATTTCAAAGATGTTACAATGATGAAATTGGCGCACGCTGTGTTTTGACCGCCTTTTCTCCTTTTCTTTACATTTTCTTCGCGACAAGTGAGAAACTATTACAGGCAATGAAGAGATGTGTATCCTTTTTTTTTTCCTTTAATCGCAGTTGCCGCAACAGCCATCCTTGGCTTCTTGTTCTTGTTTGGCACAAGCGCAGTCGCTACCGCATTGACAAGCCTTGGCCGAGTTTCTGTGGTCGCCGAGCAAAAAATATTAGCTCTTGTTCCATCTCGCCCACTCCATTTTCTACTTACTCTCCGCAACCACAAGACTTGGCACATTGGCAAGAGGAAGTACTGCACTGGCAGTTGTCAGGTTGGCAAGTGCACGATGATCCACAGCAATCGGGGGCGCCCATGATGATTGATATTGACTTTGGACAGCGAACAAAGAAGAAGAAAGTAGGGGAATGGAACAAAGAGAGGTTTGAAAACCAATTAAGCGCGACGCTTTTGTTTTATAACCACCGAATTGACATTGCGTAACGTGACGAGGATGACTCTAGAAGCATGAAACGTGATGATATGGATGTTAGGGTTCACACTTTATTTTTGATTGGCGGCGGAATGTAAAGGAGACAAGTGACAAGAGAAAATAGACCATGCGATGAAAAAAAAAAAAAAACCACAAACAAACGAAAAAAAAAACAAGTTTCAAGGTTTCTGACCAACGGCTTGTTTACAAGGTGGAGGAATTGGTGCATGCTCGTCGATGGGAGCATGCAATACCCGGCCCACTTTAAAGTACTTGTGATGGTTTTCATAAAACTTCTTCCAATGGTCCACTCCCTAAAGTTGAAAAGATGGATTTGCAATTCCAAGATGAAACAAAAAGGAATGGTTAAGTTTGAATATTTTCTATCGCCGGTTCCTTGAACATTCCTCGTCCAAACTTTATTAGGATACAGTACCTTTAGCTGTTTTTCCGAGAGACCACGGAGATCGTGGGTGAGATGGTCCTGAAAACACCCAGTCACGTAAGCTCGAGCGGCATCCTTCCCAGCAAAGTGATGATAACTCGCTCCCTAACCCACTTTGTCAGAAATTGTTTGTCGACAGCCTTCTATCCAGAGCCAAAATAGACATCACGAGTAAACTTACTAAACCGTACCACATGGATCCCGCTGTCACGTCATACACGTCGCCGCTAAAGAGAGAAAATCCACGTCAATATTTCAAATCTGACAGTGTGTCAAATTGGCAGGAGAACACGTACTCGATGGCTACATAAATCGGCAAATTGGGATTACTGCCGTCATATCTCATCAATTGCTCCTCGGAAAACACCAGTTCCTTTCTCTACAAGACAAAATACGGGACGTTATTTAGTTATAACGGCGGGCCAAAAATCGATCGATGCAGGCTAATGCAGATACTTGCTGGAATGTAGGTATTCAAATTGGTCCATTTGCCTCGATAACCCCAAGTCCACGTTTCGGTAATCAGGTACGATCCCAAGAAGAACAAGATGATGCCCCACAAGAGCACTGTCACCCCCATCTTTAGGACTCCACCAACCGTCACTCCTGGCTTTTTTGACTTGTCAGTAGGCTTTTCCGCTGTGGATGCTGACGATGAGGTGGGTGCTTTTCTTCTATGGATCTCGCTTGTCATACAGTATGCGGAAAGAGAAAAAGGCGATTCAAGCCGATGACCCGTTATTTGCTAAATTCTGATTCCGAAAAAGGAGAGAAACATGAAAAAAAAAAGTTTATCTTGCAAAATCATCGGCCAATGGTTTTGGCTTCCTTTGACGGGCACCGATTCTATAGCATGGGCCGTATGCAAGTCTGACACGAAAAAAAAAGGTACGAGGAAAAAAAAGGACAATATGGTAAATGAAGCTTATATATTGTTTTCTGATATCAGACCAAATACAAAGAAAGAAAGAGAGAGAGACAGTGTGTGTGTGTGTGTGTGTGTGTGTGTGTGTGAAAGAAGAACAAGTGGGTTAAACAACAGGATGACATTAGAGGCCAAAGGGAAAAAGAAAGACACAAGTTGAACAGGAAGCAATTACAATTACACATCTAAATAAAGCTAGCGGTCAAATAGGGGGAAACACATGGGAAAAAGACATGATTACTACAAGGAAAAAACAATAAGTGAACATGAATAAAACACACAGTGAGGTTAACATGGTTAATGGTTTTGAAAAGCGGTAAACGCACTCGATTGGAAAGACGGTACAGTGGGTATCGAGAAATCGCCGCCGATGAGCGGATGCACATCATAGCCTGCAAATACTTTGCTGGTGCTCGATAGAGGGGCCGACAGTGTATTCATGGTCATGGCTCTCTGTGGCATACGTTGTCGTTCCGGGGCTTGAGGGGACGGTGGCGGTTGATACGATTGGGATGGTTGCATTGGCGCGGCCGGTTGGGTTTGCGAAGGTTGCGACTGATGCTGCTGTAATTGTTGTTGATCCCGATTGATTTTGCTGTGAATCCGTTTTCCGTAGGGAGTGTGACGGACCGACGGAAGGATGGGACGAATACATTCAACGAGCTGTGTGTGAGAGAGTTCATCGTGTTAGGGGGCTAAATTCAGGCACCAAATTACAACGGATGTCCTTTGTCTGTACCTTTTCTCGCTGCGACGGTTCGGCATAGTCCAAGGCCGTTTGTACCACATAATTCGCGTATGAATCGTGCAAGAGTTTCTCTAGGCGGGGTTTATCCACCAGTTCTTCAATCAGATGCCTTCGTGTATCAGTTTCGGCGACGCGGATGCACTAATCAAAAGATTCTCAATCAAAACTGGCCTATCAAAGAAGAAAAGGCTTGAATCAAGATCCACTGTACCTTTTCAATTACATTTGAGCTGAACTTTTGCACCGACAGAGCGGCCACATGACCGATAAACTGTCGGATCAACCGGTCGGAAAACATGGCATCGCCGAGATCCAGGACGTACTGAACCACATAGTTACCATACGGATCCAACACCAGGGTCAAACCATGACGGATCACCTCCACTACCAATTGAGTCTATGGAGACGTCAAATCCGTAAGTGGACATTGTCATTATCCATGCTAACTGATGTCTTTTTTTGGTCTGCCCCTTATTTTTAGTACCTTTTGGTGATCGGCTGAGAAATCGATACATCGCTGCAAAACACAGCAACCGTGACGATGCGTCGCCACTTCTACACAAAATTGGCTGACAGCATCATAGATAAACTGCTTATCATCCGTGGATAATCGATGCAAGCATCGTTGGATGACATGGTTGCCATTCAAATCTTTGATCAATGTCACCACATGAGGTGTCAGAGCACCCACCACCAGAGTAATCTACAATATACACACACAGAGAGAGAAAAAACAGAAATAAAAGTGAGTTGATGTAAAATGAATAATAAGTGATAGGATGATTTTGTTACCTGCTGTGGCAAAGTGAGGAATTCGATGAGTTTTTGCATGGCTCGCGTACCATGCATATTGAGAGAGATGGAAACCATGTCTTTGGCAACTTGTTCAACAATCATAGTACGCTGAGTGTCGGTACAGTATTCCAGCAATTTCTGACAGAGGTAGTTGCCAAAGGGGTCTATGCAATGCTCAGGTTAGGGATGAGATCATCATCAATCACCCTGATACCAAAAAAAAAAAAAGAACACCCCTAGGACCAAAGTGTAGCCATCACATATTCCACTTTTTTTCCTTCCTTTTCTGGGGGGGCTCCCGTTGCATTGGGTTGGTGAATAGTCCTACAATGTACCTGTCATGAGTTCTACAAAGTGGGGAAACACTTCTTTAAAGATGACGTCTCGTTGAGCTTCTTGGCGTTCTTCCAACTTGCGTTGGAAAAACCGACAACCATATTGGTCCTTGCATAGGGGATAGATCTGGCCGACGACGTCGTCAAACTGAGCAAACATGAAGCGACTATCGGATTGTTGTTGTTGTTCACTGAATCGACGATTGGGGATCATGGCAGTTTTACGCGTAGGCGAAGGTGGTGTGGAGGCCGGCAAATGGTTCATTTGTCGTTGCAGCATTTGGTTGAGGAACACTGGATTGACTTGGGCACCACCGTACATGGTGGCCAGTGCCGTGTATTGTTGGTACAGCGCCGCATGCTGCATAGCTGGAAGATCACCAAAAAAGGCAGGAAGGACAGGGGTTGTAGCCGCATAGGGCGTTCGGTTAAAGGCGGTGCTCAATGGCGGCTGAGGATACGAGGGTGGTGGGTACCTATCCTGACGTGCATCGTTGTTCTCTCGGAAACGGAAAGGCATCATGCCAATATCGCTCGATCGTCGTGCCGCAGCGAGATCGGGGTTAGAATACGAAGGAGACAACCGTGTACGATAACCGTCCATCATCAAGTTGTGCTTTTTGGTTTTGCTGAGAGCCGAGAAGGACATATCGATGGAGTATTTTCTGAAAGGCACCGAAGGCATTTCTTCCACCAAATCAAGGATATCATGTGCACTCAGACTATTGTCATTCCAATACGTGGTAGGCTTGGCACTGCTGGTGGTATACGCTGGTATGGTCGTGGATTGCTGATGTGAAAAAAAAGGAAGAAAATTTTTTTAAGGAGACAGAAGGGTGGAACGGAGAGACACAAAGAGGAGATGAGAAAGGAAAATGGAATCAGCCCAATGGACTTGTATATTTTTTTTATTGATGTGAGGGCTTACCGAACACGGATAGCTTTCACGACGAGGTGACAAGGTGCCGAAATCGTCTCTGTCAAGCGGTAAACGCATGAAAGGCGGAGGGAGTTTGGTGGTAGGATGAGCCGGATTCGCGTGTTGATAGGATACTGTTGACAAGAATATAAAAAAAGAAAGAGGTGAGTGGTATTGGGGTGAATCCTAATAAAGCAATGGAAACGTACAGGAGGATGGATCGGCGTAAGAGACTTGTGGAGGTTCCAATAGGGTTGAATTAGGAAACAAAAAGAATTGATCCTCATTTTCATGATTGGTCAAGGATGGCTTGAGAGTGTTGGGCGATACCAACCCGTTGCCATAGATGCTACGCATGGTGGCTCTTCTGGGACCAACCAACAAAAACAAAAAAAAAAGTGACACAGAAGTTACACCAAAAGTGATGGTTCGTGTCAAATATGTCTCAATTTTTTTTTCTTGGACAGGTGAACTTACTCGTCGGATGGATCATTTAATATTAAATTGGTGAATGCTTGACCCAGCGAGTGGGCTTGATCGGATTCCAGGGAATCGGTTTGAATGGAAGAAAAACGAGTAGAACACGAAGACGACGACGAAGGATCGGCCGCTGCACCACCGGATGAGTGCATGGGATCGGTTTCTGTCATTTTCAATGATAGATCATCCTCTACGCAAGCAGTTTTGGAGGACGATGTCATAACGGGTTTTTTTCACTTATTATTGGATGATGGATGGGGAACAAAATTAAATAAGTAAACAACGGGTAGATGCTGGTGATGATAATGAAAGGGAGTTGGGAAAAAAATAAAGGAGGAATAGCTTGCGAGTGTGTCAAAATAAGATAAAGAAGAAGAAGAAAAGGTAAAAGAAAGGAAAAAAAAATACAAGAGAAAGAGAGAGAGAAAAACGCAATGGCGAGCGATGAAGGTAAGAAGACCAGGTCCACTCAATTTCTATTGGCGGATACATGATATTCCCCATACAGCGGGCACCCCTTTGGGGGTTTTTTTTTTGGCTTATTTGTCGTATTTGCATCACTTTTTGGCACTGCCCAAGTGCCTTGTGTTTCTCCATTTTTTTTTTGTTGATTTTGCCCTTGTTCCTTTTTGCCTCTTGGTTGCTGTGAGTGGAAGATGGAACCACCCTTATTTTTCTTTCCCCTGACCCTTTCGTATCGCTCCTCTTTTTTTTTCTTATGCTAAGCGAAATTGTCCCCCCTTGTTTTTTTCTGTAGCTTGACTGTGGATCCACACAGAAAACTTGTCAACGTATTTTTAGTCAATGTGGTTTGCATTCATTCGTTTCTCCTATTTCATGCCTGGAAAATCTCCGGCACGAAAATTGAGGATGCTGATCAGCATTCATATTTCTCAGTGACAACAGATAAGCATTTTTTTTCTATTCAAACTTTGTTTTTCCTTTTTTTGGTGGATCTACTATCCTGGAGAAAACTAGAATCAAAAGAATGTGATTGTATTTAAACATAAGCTATGCAAAAAAAAAAAAAAAAAAAAAAAAAAAAACAAAGAAACAAGGTAACCAAAAAAAAATAGAGTTTAATGAATCCCATTATTGCTATTCCTTATTTTGTGATTGTATTGAATGGACGGAACGAGTTCCATGGATACTGAAGCTTGGTGCCATGTTGTTTCTCCATGACAATTCCATTGGTCCTATCGATAGTAACAAATATCCTCTTGCAACAAATTCAGCAACAGCTGAAAGGAGAATCATAAAAATCTCCATTAGCATTGATAATCGAACGAGCTTACTAAAGTCTGGAAAAAAAAAAGAACCCTGCGACAGCGCCTCGTCGAACAGCTTAATTTCTTTTTTTTTCAATTTTCCCCAAATTGTAACATGATGAATGCTTTGCATGCTTCAACATTTCAATGCCGCAATAAAAAAAACTCCGATTTATCGAATGTGTTGTTCTACGAATGCCAAATTCGGTTATTCATGTCAATCTCATTTCACCCTGTCTGAGTACCTGGCCCCCTTGTTTTTTTATATATAGTCATCTCTTGAGTGCTTGTACATACTACGTTACTATTCCGTTTTCAAGCAAACAGTTGGTGCGCAGATCATGTCAAGATCCTACAGTCTGTCATCAAGCCAGCAATGACAAGGTGGCCGAATAGGATTGACATTCGAAAAGCAGGCAGTAAAGGTAGAGATTGAACAGATGTTTGTTAATAAAGAATCGTTGGCACATGTCACCCCTTGCATTTTTCTATGGACTCGTGTAGATAACTTGCAGTATGTATCAAAGCTTATCTGAGCAACCATTTCATAAAGACATAATTCTCAACCAACGACGATCGAATCGCATGGCATGGCATGATTTTTCTTCTTTCGTGCTCGTTATTCATAGTTCAAAGAAAAAAAAAGTAACATCATATCGAATTCTATACAATTTGCTTTCTTTTTTTCTGGGCTCTCTTATTTTTTCTTTTTTCTTTTTTTGGGTGTCAACATCTGATGGATGCAGTACGGAAGGGAAATAAATATAATGTGGGCATATAAACATTCACATGGAAATCAGGGCTTCACATTTGCAGATCAAACTCATTCCAGCCAGATCCAAGGAGTAGAGTTGGATCCAGCATAAAGGAATTAGCGGTGATGTCAATCATGGTTGGCATGGCTGCGTAATTAATCGTATGAAATGAGGAGGACGAAAACAGGTGCTGATGCGGATTCTGTTCATGGTATGGATGGCAGTATCCATCCAAAGGAAGACTTGGATGAGATATCCGACTGATCGACGAAGTGCCACCTCCTCCATGCGAACTCATGGAACGGGTACCAGCACGTTCGGTGGGATCTGAAACAGAAACAGGGTAAGCAACCATGACCACGAAAAAAGCTTTTTAAGTCGGTAGCCTTGATCCACTTACTTTGCAATGACATATTGTACAAGGGCGAATAATTCGCGAGCAACGTATTGGATGAGGATAGAGGAGGATCGGCTACCTTGGGTGCGGGAGTATAAGAGTAGTGAGAAAAATGGCCTTCCGTTGGCAAAAAGGGTTCCCTTGAAGCAGTGTTACTACGCTGATAAGGACGGGTCATTGTTGTGAATGGATTTGATTTTAATGGAGTCATTGCCACACCCTGGGATGGCAGGACGGGTATAGTGGAAAGGCTGTGCTGTGGGACAGAGGAGGTAGCAGAGAATCCATCAGATAACATCCATGTGGGTGAAATGGATGATTTGGGAAGATGTGGTACGACACCCGTTGGGGTCTCCGTGGCAATAGGAGAGTCACTACTTTGAATACTGCTACTGCCACTACTGACACTGTTCGACCGTCGCATTGCGGTGGTTTTGATGACACGGCGTTTGGTTCGCAAAGACGAAGACTGAGTTGACAAGGGCGATGAATCCAGATATCGACTACCAGGCGTAGATTTATCTACAGATACAAAAACCAAAAAAAAGAAGGGCTCAGTAATGAGTGGACGCCGTTCTGGTACGGGCAAGTGACGGTTATCATGTTACCTCGGGAAGGCCCTTCGTCGAGAAAGAGAGGAACACGGAAATGGCGATAATGGAGCAACTCGGTTGAGATCTCCATGGTGGCAAGTTCCGGCGACAATGACGGGGTAGGTAACTTGTCGGCCAGGACATCGTCTTTGTTGTAGTAACTGATGAGGTGTTGTTGCACTCCGCCCATCATGAGGGACATTGACTTTTTGATCAGTCCATTCGTTTTGAACCGGTAACATGGTTTCAAGGAACCTGATGCCGTGCGATCACGTTGTTTTCTGTAGGGGTACGAGACCGAGGTGCATGGTGGGTACGACTTGGCGTCGTCCGAAGACTCTTCATCGACCAGTGGCGTTTTGGTCTCGAGTTCCCGATAAATCAGGAAATTCCCCAGGATACGGGACGGACTCCACAAAAGACCATCGGTCCATCGTTTAATACCTGTTTTGCAGCAACCCATGAGATGATCTGGGGGAAAAAAACATACTTGTCATTTGTTCTTCGCCTTACCACTTTCATTTTCATCAAAGCAAAATACGGTGCCACTCTGTACGAGTTGACGTTCTTTATCTTGAAGTCGTCGGCATATCCGTGGTAACAAGCCTCGCTTGCAAGCCTCAAAAATCAATAGTGAATCCCGAGTGGTTTCAATGTAACCGTGATATGTTTCGACAAGAGTCATCCAAATTGAAAAATGGTAAAAAGATGTGCAACAAACGTTGATGGAATCAAAGACTGGGAAAAAAAAAAAGGAAGCTCCCCTAAGAGAAAACACGACGATGATAAAGAAAAAGAAAAGGAAACACAAAAAAAAAAAAAAAAAGTGAGGTAATGAAAAGGAACAAAATGTAACAAACCGAATTCTTTTCAAGCTTATCCCAAAATATAAACGACATGTTTCGTGTCATGCTTTCCACTGTTGTTACCGATGTGAAAAAAAAGAAAGGAAAAAAAAGAGTGATGATGATGATGATGATGGCGAACCTACTTATTTTCGACGGACCGTAGATCAAAGCTCTATTGGTATGATGACCTATACTGTTCCATACGAAAAAAAAAAAAAAGGAACACGGTATGCCAGCGAAGAAATAGATGCTCAAGTCTGCTAAAATTGTTTGTTTTCCAACTTGAAAAGAGGTCCATCATTTTTTTTCCTGCTAGTCTACATGGGGCCCGGTGGTAGAGCAAGTCTGAATCAATAAGCGTAAGCGCAGTATTTTCCAACCATCACATTAACTCCACGAATGAATCACAGGATACAAAAGTGGTGGCTCACATGTCATCATGCCACGTGCCTGCATGATCCAGCGTTTGGTTCATGGATAAAGAAAAAAAGAACCCGCCACCAGCCATTCCGCAAGAACGTGTGTCATTATTTTCTCCAATTAATGTACATTTGAAACCATGCCATGAAATCGTACAGTGATGCTTTGCTTAGAATGGAAATCGGAGGCTATTTTTTGTCCATCGCTATACATTTCTGTTATGAAAACGATGATCCATAAAAGCTTCATTTACCCATCATTAACGTCTGAGACCAGTTGTACCTGGATGTTTTATTTCTGCATTATGGATGCATCACCAAGTAACACAAAATGCCCCCCACAAGTCATGTTCTAAATATTTCAACATGGTTTTTCCAGCGATCCACGATCATTCGTCTCATCATCCCTCCTCACAAAAACGACTGACGTAATTTTCGGTACACGATAACAAACCCACGGACCCTTTCTCCGGCAATGCCCACCATGATCCGTGCCAAACCCCCTCGTGAGTAGTCCAGGCACCCATGCCTTAATTAGTTTATTCTTTCACTGACGCTTTCTGCAAAGAGCCTTGTTTTATATATAAGAATTAGTAGAAAAGAAGTGGATATAATGGAACAGGCACGTGAGATAAAGTAATCGATCATAACAAATGCCAATTCTACGAGGGAATCACACCCTGGAGATTCTCAAATTATTAGTCTTTGAAGGATGATCATGGATATATAAAGCCTATGCAGACGATGAGCCTGACAGTTGCCCTTGCTTGCAGAGAAGATGATTCAATCAATGGTTGCAAGAATGAGGTACTTACAAACAACAGAAGCATTGCCATATTGACGTTTGTTATGCTATACTGGCTATTAGTGATTCCTTCAATTGCAAAGCGTTTGGTTCACATATGCAAAGCTTTGAATGCTAGAGAGTTGCATTGATCCATTTGGTGGCAAGCTCACTAGGAAAAATCAGACAACGGATGGCTTGTTTCCAATAGCCGGTTCTCCTATCAAGTGTGAAAAATTGGATCATTTTTACAAAACCATGCATGTCATTGCGATTTTGTTTTTCATTATCGGTGAGGATCTGCATAGTGCGGATAAAAGCCATCGGTATGAAAGGTGCATTGTATACAGGCCAAAGAAGCGACAGAAGAATGAAAAAATGCTGATAACCGGGCATCGTGCTACGCAGTGCAGCGGATCCGTTTTGATCACATCAAATGGTTGTAACTCCAATTTATCGCGGATGATTCTACCAAGACCGTCCAAGACGTAACAAGCAAATAAAGACGTCTTTGTCTTTGTTCTTTGCCATGGCCTGGATAGAACGGCTGGGAAAAGGAGAATATGGATATATTATATAGCAAAAAAGTGGGTATTTTGTTTACGCTTTGCAAGTTGCAGTTATTTTCTTTCTTTCTGCAAGATAGTGTGGTGTGAGATGTACGGTTACACAGAACGCAATAAAAAAACAAAAATAATAAAAAATAAAGTCGGATGACGGGGATGATACACGGTTTGTTTGTGCTCTTCTGGTTGGTTTGAAAGAATCGGCCTTTTTTTATTTTATGCCCACCCCACTTTCCACACTCCACTCGTCATGACCAACGCGGACGTCAATGCCACGCTTCTTCCTACTGACAATGTCAACACCATGTCCAAATCTCTCTCCTCACTTCATTTGGCCGATGCTCCGTCGTCAATGAAAACCAAGAAAGACACCGCTTCATCACAGCAGTATACCGTCGCCGATCAAGCAGTTCGCCAACTGCTGTTGAAACTGGACGAGGTACTATTTTTTTTATTGCCTCAACTCATGGACCCATCTGGTCACTTTTTTTGCTCAATCTTGACTGAACTCGATGGATTAGGGAGCACAAACGATTGCCAATTTACGCTCTATTTTGGCACTGAAAACAGCCGAACTGAATGAACTGCTTGCTCAATTAGACATGACCAATCAGGTCATTGTCAATGTAGAGGAATCTACCGTGCAAATTGAGAACATGTTAAAAGAAATGGGCATTACAGACGAAACTCAGGACCGTCAAGCCTTGTTGCTGAATGCCGAAGCCAGTTTGCACTCGGCCATCAAGTCGGCCAACAGTCTTTATGCAGCCGAAAGCGATGCATGGAGTGCGCAGCGTAGGTACGTTTTGCGACGACCTTCTGCGGGAACGAGCAACAGTGGTATCGATCCAGAACCGCGCCAGGTAAATAAATACAGTTTCTATTTTGATCCCAATGCGTCGATCGAACCACTCAAACTATGATTGGTTCCCAATAGCCAACCCACTCCAAGTTCCAATCGAAAATCCGATACAAGCCTGACAGCAAACCTATTCTACGTAAACTCAATGAGTTGCTGCGTCATTTGGAACTCGATTCTGGAAAATTCTTTGAAAGCATTGGCAATATCAGTAAGTTTCCCGTCATTGAACTTACCCAAAAGAAGGAAAAAGAAAAAAACGCCACCGCAGAATAATGGGTCATGCGGATATTAATCCTCATTTTCAACAGATGATGTCCAGGCGTTGCAAAAAGCCTATGTGGATCTAGACATTGCGAAAACCATTTCGTTATCGGCTAAAAGCAACTTTAAGAGAAGAACCATTCTACTTAAAAGTGCTAGAAGACGCAACATCTTGGAAGAAGTCAAAATGGTAGGTTGGCGAACATCAATTGAATATCACACATTTCCGCTCACGTAACATTTTATCATTCATCTAGCTTGGGGCAAAGATAAGAGAAGGCGAAGCATTGTGGAAAACTTATGCAAGAAATGCACCCATGTTGATCGATGGTCAGGATATTATTGCCACCCTTAATCGAGAAGACGAGCTTTTAGCCAAGAACGTAAGTGCCTTTTTGTCTCTCCAAATTTTTCAATTCACCCATGATTGATCATGCTTGCCAAATGGATCAGTTACCTGTCCATCCTTCGCGTCTTTCGTATGACAGTCATGTTAGACGATCCCCTTCCATTTCTTCCTCCAGTCACGGTATGAAACCGAGTCTATCATCACGATCGAACGAATCGACCGCTTCGTCTACACGCACTACTGCTACGCATCGTCCTTCGCACAGTCGATCACCATCAATTCAGTCGGACATTTCGTTGATCCCACCGCCACCGTCTCAAACCGCCTCCCCTCGTACAAGTATGTTAGCCGGTAGCCATAACAAGAAATTGTACCGTCACTCCGTCGGTGCACGGCCAAGTCCGGCCAAGGTGATTGCCACGAACCCGACAGGACCACGAGTAAGAACGACCTCCATAACCGCCCATAAACCCAGTCCCACCACGATCAAACCTCCCACAAGTACAATCACCAAACCTAAAGAGCACATCTCCTCCATCCCCACACCCGTTTCTTCTTCTATCCAACATGACTCAACTATGACCACTGTGGCCAAGAAATCGACCACCGCCAAATCAAACCAGCAACGCGGCCCTGGATCCACACTTCGACTACGAAGTGTGCTTGCTAAACGACAGAATACCCTCGCTAAGCCGTGAGCGTAGAATATGCGGAATATGAAACCACCCAAACAAGGAAACCACCCTTCTGTCTCTTTGGGAAAGGAGACCCAGGGGAGGGTAAAAAAAAAAAGGAAAAGACAAGATATTCAGAAACTACCACAAGAAAGACTTGCATATATCCAACCCAAAAAAAAAAAAAAAAAAAAGACACAAGGACGTTGAATAGGTGGGGTCACGGGAGTCTGAAGGGGGCCAACAAAAAGGAAAAGGGAAAGAAGATGTAATAATCTGGTCACACCTTCTTAAAAAGAACAGGCTGGGTGTGATGTGAATGTCCTTGTCTCTCTGGGAACCCATTCAGCAAAAAAAGTGCCCCTATTATCATTTATCTTATCCTTTTATAATTCACTCTTTTCACTCTTTCTCTCTTACGATGTACAAAAAAAAAAAAAATATCCACTCCTTTTCTCAGATCATCTATTTCTGCAACAGCACCATATTTACTTTTTTTTCTTTTTTCTCTTCATCCTCTCTCTTTGATTCCTCTCTTCCTCTTTTTTTTTATTGTTCTTGCTTTTTTTTTATATACTTTCAATTCAATCGTACCGTTATCCTTTTTGTTTCATTCTTCTCTGCTCTTGTCCTCTTTCCCGACTTTTTTAAACCGTGTAAAAACCCGTACGACAGAAATAAATTCAACGCTCCAAACGAATACCTGACCATCCGTCGACGTTGCTTTCCTCCAGTTAATACAATTTTATTTAAGTGATCCAGCAGATGACCATGTCAAGTTGTGAATCGATATCTAGGCGACCCATTAAAAGTCGACTGTCGTCATCACCACCACATCCAGTGAACACCAAATGTTCAAAGTCACTGAATCACAAGACAACCCAGTCGCAATCCGATACCACCAAGCATACGCCAAAATCATTCCCATCACACGTCAAACGTTGTTCACTTGGGTCGATTACAGGCACCAAAAAGCCGATCTCATCGATTCATCATGCAGAAAAAGTAAGCACCGTCTTCCATCGGATGATCCGTATGACGATAGCATTCGACTACCCATTACTAAAAACGGCAGTATTCACGAAATACCATCCTTATTTTTTTATTTTTTTTTGCATAATCAGACGATTTGGCGCTCACCTGGCCACTGCGAAATTCCAAACATTCTTGGCAACGCTTACTTGCAATTAAAGCCTGTGGAACAACATCGACCGAAGAAAAGCAAACCTTTGCAAGCCGGTCCTACACGGGTAAGTCAGGGTTCTTTTTTCCCCTCTCTTGCTCCATCCTAAAAATAAGAAAGCAAGGGTTGCAGAGTTAAGCGTGAAGATCGGCAATCACGTAATGCGCATGAAACCACTGTTCCCTTGCTTTTTTTTTCTAAAAAAAAAATATTATACTGGCAACCCTAACCGGAGTCCACCCTACTGATTCCAGTTTCCACTCTTGTTTTCTTTTTCTCTGTAGCCACCATGGTATCCTGCGTGTGCAACAGCTCATTGGACCCCACCTCCTTTGGCACCATTAAATAAGCCCTTGGAAAGTTCATTTGAAAAACGACTCAAAAAAGCGATTCCAAAGATTCAATTGTTGAACAATACCAATCCCAAAAGCCGTTACATGGGATCCAAAGAAGTCGGCACCGGGGTGAATGGTGCGGTAGTTCAGGTCACGGTACGTGGACATCACGATATTCGACTTGCCTTGAAACGGTGCAAATTGGACGACGATCGTGAATACCGAGCCGCCATTGTCCGCGAACTTCGAATTATGGCCAGCGGTCACACCAACCTTATTAAATTGAGGGAAGCTATCGTGTTTCAAAATGAAGTTTGGATGGCCATGGATCTTATGCTTTGCAGCGTGTTTGCGGTTCTTTGCCGTCGAAATTTACCCGAACAATATGCTATTTATATTGTGCGAGAGGTAAAACAAAATACACTGAATTCTTTGGGAAAAAGTCGGTGTTTACATGATGGTTTAATGTTGTCATGGTACTTTTTTTTTTCTTTTCTAGACATTGAATGGATTAATATATCTTCACAACCGAGGGTTCATTCATCGTGACGTAAAGTGCGAAAATTTGTTAATTGGCAACAATGGCGAAATTAAACTTGGTAAGTTACGATAGAAAGAACTCATTCTGTAGTTATATTAGAATCAATGCATCAATCTGATGGATTTCTCATGCGTTTGTGCCACTCTTTTTTTTTTCGTTTTAGCCGATTTTGGCCTTGCTACGAGCATGAAACATACCAATCGAGAACGATTAGGCACTGCAAAGGTAAACTCCATCATCCGTACCTTTTTATAAAAGAAAAAGCATATTTACCTTTTACATTTTTTCTAGTGGATGGCGCCGGAAGTAATCCGGCAAGAAGCTTACAATGAAAAAGTCGATCTGTGGTCCCTAGGCATTACTCTAATTGAAATGATGGATCGTGTTCCTCCTCATTACGCTGTAAAGAGAGACGAAGACGTGTTTATTAAAATTCTCGAAGATTCCAGTCCAACGTTCACCTACAGCTATCCTTCCATTTATTGCACGGGACTTGTCGCCTGGTTACTTGAGGAGAACGTTGAAAATCGACCAACTGCCAGAGATGTGGTAGCTGTAAGTATATTTCATCCATGACCTCCTGAACGATTAAGATACAGCACACAACATATGACTCCATGTCACTTTTTTGTTTGCCGTGCTTTGATTGAAAGACTCATCGGGAACCATTTGTATCTGTAGGAATTGGATTTACATATAGAGCAAAAGTTGCTAAAGATGGTCGATGCCAAGGAATTGGCAAGATTCGTCTCAAAGACACTGGCATAAAGGGATCGTTGGATCCAATTTACACACAACAACTATTGTATTTAAGCTCATCATGAGCATTAATCCTTTTTTTTATTATGTCTCTCCCTGCCTTTTTCCCTTACACATATCATACTAATTCATATTGTCCTTTTTTTTTCCCATCATTAGCCACCATGCATTAATATTGATAAAGCATCCTTTTCTCATCATGATTCCTATCAGTGCACATTGATTTGGAAGATACGGTTCCATAAGATGAGTTGACATATCAGAACTTCCAATCACAAATGCTGTACAAGAACGAACGATGAGCACGGTCGGAACAGTAACTTTTTTTGTAGCATTCTTTGATGAAACGAAAAAAGGAAATCCGACTATCTCATTCGACGTATCATGCATAATAATCAGCACCGATTTTGTTTTGTTCGCTTACTTTCCTTTTCTTCCTTTCACTGTTACCTTTTTTCCCTTCATCAAATATACCATTGCCCTGATGATCCTGCTTTCAGCCCACCTTGTCGAGCTTCTTCTATTGCTGTGGATAAGCAATGCTGCAGCGACCATGACCCCTCTTTTGAGTTATCAAGGTAATTTATCATGTGGATATGTGCGTTTCTATAGAACTGTCTATTCAAAGAGTGACCTTGATCACGGCACGATTCATTTCAAGATGGAAATGCTTGTCCTGATTTCACTTATGCATGCCCCGAATGTCCACTGGGTCAACGTTGTGTGTATCCGCACAGTGGCGGGTGTTATCAGGCCGGCATTCCTCGATGTGTATCCAATGATTGTCACCGTGTTCGTTGCCGCGTTAAAGCGCTTCCTTGGTAAGTCAGCCATCCATTGGATAGGTAGACAGCTGCATGGATCATCTTGACACTCACACCTACGGATATGCAGTCCTTCGGAGTGCCAATACTCGTGTCATTACAATGGTCCTCCGTGTTGTCCATTCTTGGGCGAACCTTTCTGCGAACCATGTCAAACCTTTGTTCCTTGTCACGTCGAACCTTGTCCATCCGAATGTCCCGACCGCTGCTTCTATCCCAATGCCGATTATTGCTGTCCAAAGAGCGGGAAGCCAATATGCTATCCGTCAAAAGACAGCAGTACCATTGCCAGTGCATGAATCAATCAACAGCAAGAACAAAACCGTTATTCCTCACCTATCTATTTCTCCATGCCTAAAAATGAGCAATAAATATGACATGTCGTCAGTCACAATTTTCTCTCAAGACAGTAAATGAAATAAAAAAAATATCAAATATGTGGAATATATGCGGTTTTATGTACAGAAACAAGAATGAAATTTTAGAGTGCAGCTTGCCAGGCGCACATACGACCATCTTCGCCTCCCGATAGGATACTCTGAGTGCGTTGATTCCAGTAGAGAGAGCGGACAATATCCGAATGAGCACCTTCCAAGGTCTGGCATAACTGAAGCTGACCAATATTCACATGGAACAGCTGGACTTGGCCTCTGTCAACAACCGATAAGAAAAAGAGTTTAAGCATTTTTCTGATCCGATCCGCGGGTTGGTTTTTTTTTTTTTTTTTTTTTTTTTTTTTTTTGGTCATGCTTTCCAACTTACGTAAGTGATCCTGTCATCAGGTAAAACCGCTGCGCGTCGGCATCATAACTACAATCTATCGCATAGTTCACATTGGTCACTCCAATTTCTCGAACATCACCATAATCGCAAATCAGGTCGCCCTAAGATAAGATGACAGGTACGAGAATGAGCTAATCAGACGATGAAACGAAGTTTGGGTCGCTTGCAACAAACCTCCAAAGTGTGTAGTGAAAAAGTTTCAATGTGGGTGAGGCAGTAGAGATATTCGGCGTTTGGACCAAAGTAGCCTGCTTTGTTGACCGAAGAGCCTGAATTCACTACGGAGATCAAAGCCTCTTCTTCGTCGAAATCCGTTACATCGTAGTTATTGACTAGTCCGTCCGTCGAACACGAAACAAACTGCGAAGGGATGGTAGGATGACATTGAATCTATATTAAAACAAAAACGCGTGAGCACGTCGAATCGAAATGCTAACAAAACCGTATATGGAACTCACTTCGGTAACATCGTCGCTGTGTGAATCCACAAATGTGTGTAAAAGGGAAGATTGGCGCGTATCAAAGAAAGCAATTTCTGCTTGATGTCTCTCAGTCAACAGTTCGGTGCCGACGACGGCCATGGTATCGTTGCAATTAATATCAAATGCGGTAAGAGGCGCATTGTCTATCAAAGGTGGGTTGTTACGGTGGTGAGTGGCGTCCACAGGGTGTTCTCGTGTAAAGAAGAATTACGGTTTTGCCTTACATGCAAAAGTTTGTACTGGTTGGGCTCCTACTCTCAAGTCCCAACGTGCGAGCCTTCCGTCTTCGGAAGCCGAGAAAAGGTATTGGTCATTGTACACTTTGATCTTGGAGATGCGTTTGGTGTGAAGGGCTCCAGTCATGGCGAGTTGTAGCGTGGCAACATCGTAAAAACGAATCAAGTTGTCCGATGCCGAAGCGATGGCGTATTGACTATTGGCGGTTACATCGAATACATAATGTTCGTCTTGCCAACCAAAATCGATACTACGCACCAACTGAAATGGACGTAGAAGACTGCGATCCACTTGAATGTCCACCATGGCCCTTTTGGCTTTGTAACGAAATGGAGAAAATTAAGGACCCAGAAAACAAGAAAAAAAAAAAAAGAAACCCAGCAACGGCGTTCCCGGGTGAACAGTCCACTCACCGGAAGCGGAATTTCTGCATGGATTGATTGACACGTTGCAATTTATGGTTATTTCGAAAAAGAAAAAAAAATCTTTTGAATTCTTTTGTTTCTTTTATATTTTTTTACATGATGCCTGGTCGACCTCGTATATTACTACCACATCAAAAGCTACTGTTGGCTTTATACCCCGTAACCGTCTTCTTATCGTTTCTGTATTCCGTCCTTGCCAAACCAGGCCCCAGCTATTTCAGCAACAAACGGAATATCCTCAACGTAGGCTTCGTCAAGATTGGATGGTTTTGGGTTACCGTGGTCTATTTTGCCTATCTATTGCTTGTCCTGTCCAAGCGCTTGCAGGATAAGCAACGTTTAATGCAAGGTTGTCTTCGCTATGCCGTGGCCACCGTTTACTGGTACATTCTGACGCAATGGTTATTGGGCCCGAGCTTCATCGATCGTGTGTTTGTGGCCACCGGAGGCAAATGTTCGGCGATTGCTGAAGAAGCAGACATTAGTGTTTTTGAAAACGTATTTCAGCAAACCGCATGTCGCAAACTGGGCGGTCAATGGGGCGGTGGTCATGATGTGTCGGGTCATTGCGTCATGCTGATCCATGCTAGTCTGTTTTTGCTCGAAGAAGTACGCTGGCTGTTTTACGATGCACGACCGCTGTCCACCTTGAAACAACGAGATCCCACCGCTTGGAAAGCCGTCGTAGGGGTATTGGGTCTGGTAGCCTTGTGGTGGTGGATGCTCATCATGACCGGTGTATATTTCCATGGTCATTTTGAACTCCTGTCAGGCTGTTTCTTTGGTCTTCTCGGCTGGGCCGTGTTGGTAAGTAAAACTTTTTATTGGAATCATTTCGGTGGCTCTTTTTTGGTTAACTGGTTTTTTTTTTCATTTTACAGTATCTCGGTGTCTTTCCTCGTATTCCCGCCATGGATCGTCCTCCCAACATGTTTTAGACATAGGACCCCTATCAACTTTTTTTTCTTGCGCTAATGTGATTGTACAGTAAAACTCGCCCCTCTACTACTTATACATATATTAAATCACTCACTCACTCACACACACACACACACACACCAATATTTACTCTTTTTCAACAAATCATCCTTTGGGCTGCGGATGAGTGTACGCATAGGATGAATCATTGTCACATGCCTTAGCTCTTTCTTTCATATTCCGACTCTAACGAACTCAAAAGACAGAAAAGGTGTCTATTGGGTTTATTCTTCGCCTACTTTCTTCAAATCTTTCATGTTGGTAGCCTCGACGGGAGATCCGATCAAAATGAGTTGCTGAATCTGAGTGGTTTCCTCATCTTCTTGGTTGTCAGCAATGAATAACTAGAGTAGACCGAAAAAGGATCAGTCAATTTGGTTCAGCTGTGCTCGAATGAAAATAAGTGCTTACCACCAAGTTTGTGATGTTTTGGAATTTGACGAATCTCAAGTTAATAATAGCATCGTCTTCAAAATCTTTGGGTTGTAATTCCAGAGTTTGAGTCTCTTTGATTGTATCGGTATCCTCAAAACCAAGATTTTGACGATTAGCGTACAATTTGATCGTCTTGGGCGCTTGGTCTATACCCCAAACATCACGCATTAGTAAACAGCACAACTCTCTCGTCCCATTGAAAACCTACTTTTGTTCGCCACCTTGATCTTCAACGAGTGCAACTTGACAGCTATTCACGCAGAAGTACGTTTTTCAGTCACGTATTCTCAGGAACCGACAAATCCTATCCATCCTGTTTTTCTCTTACGTTGATTGAAAGGGATACTGATAATCAGCTGCTCATCGACATCACTTTCCAAATACGATTCGTCCGCTTTAAAGATATTTCTGACGCCATGCTCTTCTTGCTGATTCAAGGCATCCATTTGATTGGGGGTGATGTATTCCGTCAAGTCACTCTAAATATCAAGCAGCAGACGCCTCGGTAAGTTGACATGGATTCTTCTACTCCGTTTGACAAACATCTTACGTGTCCAGGAGCAGCAGCAAAAGTAGTATTGCTGCCACTACCGCTGCCACTGGAGGATGATTCAGTTGATCCACTGTGTTTCTTGACGAGTTGCTCCAGCTGGGGAGGATTAGCTCCCTTCATTTCGTCAATCTTGTTGCCGCGCAAGTAAAACTGGAAGGTGGGCCTACAGGTTCGCCCGACACTTTGTCATTTTTTTGTGTTCTGTTTCCATCCCTCCAACCCTCCATCTCATTCATGGCTTACATGGCAGAAATTCCGCATTGGCTGGCCACTTCCTACATCAACTCCACAACGTCAGGTTCTTGCTCAGTCTATACTTTGAACGATGCTCGACCTACCCTTGCTTGGTCGGTATTGATCTACGGTGAAAGAGACCTCACGTTAATCAGGCATTCACGAAACAGGTATATGCCAAAAAACGACGAGAGCAAACAATACCTTGATAAACATGACATCAGGATATTTTGAAGCCAATTGGGTAATGAAAGGTGCAATCACTCGGCAGGGACCGCTATACAGGATAGACCGCGCGTCATTGATTTTGAGTATGGGTTTTCTCTTGACCTTAGTCTGATTTTGCACTTACCACCAATCGGCATAAAAGTCAACGACAATAAGCTTCTGAGTAGAAGCCAGCAACTCTTGGAATTCGGCGGGGGTTTTGGGTTGCTTAGAAAACGACATGATGGATAAAAAGTCAAAGAGAAACGAGTGGTCAAAACGCCTCGTCTCTCCTTGAGCGTCGTCCGCCCAACGATTTCAAATGCCGCCCCAGTCAATATTTTCATCATCACTTTTGCTCACTTCCATGCTGTGCTTGTTTCCATGTATTTTCGGCCATTTCTTCATATACAACTTAACTTCTTCCACGGTTGTTGCCTTGATCATACAGCAGTTTTGCAGGACGTTCGAAATCTGCCTTTTTGCAAATAATTTTGGGCTAAAATTTTTGCATATATGTTGGTCCAACTTTTTTTGAAAACATTTCGCAAATGAATAATGTGAAATCGAGGTTTCAAGTCCGCCAATGGAAAGGGAAAAAATTGCTGTACCATTCAACTCACTCTTTCCAACGCCCCTTTCTGTCTCGTTCCTCTCCATGGCGAAATACGCAGTGATATGTGCCAGTAATCAGAATCGCTCCATGGAGGCACATAATGTGCTTAGGTATTTTCAAAACTTCATGTTTCTTTTTGCAATAAAGGTGACTAATGCGTGTAGGTGATCATAGTAAGAAGGGATTTGATGTCTCGTCGTACGGCACTGGCACCATGGTACGATTACCAGGACCAAGTATTACACAACCCAACATATATCCTTTCGGCACTCCATACGAGGACGTTTATCAAGAGTTAAAAGCCAAAAACGAACAGTTGTATACACAAAATGGTCTGTTAACCATGCTGGATCGGAATCGTAAAGTTAAACAAGCACCACAACGATGGCACGAGAATCTGGACATGTATGATGTGATTATCACTTGCGAAGAGCGCTGTTTTGATGCTGTAGTTGAAGGTAGGGAACGACATCATCAATCAGTGAGGTTTGTAGTAACTCAATGCCTTGAAAATTAGACTTGCTGAATCGAGGTCAAAACTACAACACCAGCACTCACGTTATCAATGTCGAAATCAAGGATAATCATGAAGATGCCTTGCTCGGAGGACGAGCGATTCTTCAGCTGTGTCAAATGGTATGCATTTTTGGTTGTGACTGTTACTGCGATTCTCGGTCTCCATTAACTCCTTATTGTTATCTTAGATTGAGGCATCTTCGGATATTGACGCGGACATGGCCGGTATCATTGAACAGTTCACCGAACGTAACAAGACGCATCCCATTCTTCATACTGTAGCTTATTTTTAATCACACAATATTTATGTATAAACTATTTTCATTCCCGCATATCACTCTGGATGGTTTTTTCTTTAGCGTAGAACATTCGTTTACTAGTGGGTGATGGTGCATGTAGACGAAAAGAGAATGGATGAAAAAAAGTAACTTTAAGTAAAGAATGAATGAAATCAAATTACATGTAAAATACAGAATGCAACATAAACAAGATAATGTAGTAAATTAAAAGAAAATAATAAAATGGCAAACGGGGATTGGATACGGTAAGCGTATGGATGAAGGTGTGAGTGTTGACGATCAGCGATCTTGCATTAACATCTTTGTGACGGCGTCTTCGCCTTTCATTTCGAGCAATCGTTCAAAGGCGAGAAACTTTTGGTACCGATGTTCCGATACCGGAATGAGCCGGTCTTGAGACCCATGCTTCTGATCTTTCAAGGAAGACTCGGTATTGTCCTGGATAAAAAAGCGAGTGTCTTTAAGTCATACAGCCTAACCAAAAGTTGGACGCATCGACTTACATTCACCGCTGCAATAAGCATGCGCAAACGGTCTTGTTGCTGTTCTTTGGAAATCGAATGTACATCTTCATTGCTGGCTTGAAATGAAGCCAGTCCTTCCAACCACTACAAGAAATTCACTGGTCAGACCTTTTTTTTTTTTTTTATCCGTCACAGAGGCGTATAAAAAGCTTACTTGTTGTGTTTCGACCGTCACTGGATATGGCATGGGGGAGGTTTTGTATTGCGAGTCATTGGAGGTGAGCGGGGAGGGAAGGGTTTGATGGTGATAGATGGAGGTGGGCGAAGACGGGGTCGCCACTTCAAGAGTCGTGCTTGGAGAAGAGGATGATCGAGAAGAACACGGTTGGCGTAACCTGGAGAAAGCCATACATTGGGTTAGAAGGTTGCACCGAATGTAAACAATGAGCCGTGGTTTGTCCTACCTTCTCGCATAATCCAAAAAATTTAATTTAATGGCTTTGGCCGGCAAGCGATACACCGTGCCACCGTATTTCCACGTTTGATCTTCGATCCCTGCACCCACCCCATGTCCAGGTACGTCACGCGTCGCCCGAGACCCGTCTTCTTCATTGTCGCTACCATCAATGATATCAATATCGCCATCATGAGCGTGATGCGCACACGTGCATTCGACGGTCCGCGGACGTTTTCGTTTTCGTCGACGGGGCTATAATAGCAAAGATGCCGTTAGAACACTGTCAACAAGTGAGACAAGGTATTTTTGAAAATACTTACCAAGGCATGCTCTACATGATTTGGGCACATCCATTTCTTGGCAATATTGGGCGGGGCGGGCATAGGCGGGTTCAAGCAATCCATGTGCCAATACAAAGGACAATAATCACATGCGATGATGGGTTTCTCCAGCGCGGTTTTTCGACAAGCATAGCACAATATGAAATTGCCATGTTGATCTTTCAATTGATGATAATCAGGTAGTAATGGTTGCCCGTTCCTGATGATATTTCGTCAATGCATTAGCTTCTCCGGACATGACCGCTATGGCCTTTTGAAAAACGTACTTGTACTTTACTGGCTTTACGATGGTGTTGTCGACATACCCGCCGAGCTTGTTGATGGAGACTGCAAGAGAAAACATTACTTGTAAGTCTGATGAACCGTCATCATTTTGGTCAAAATTTATGTTGTACCTCCTTCGAAGAAATTGCGAATGTGGAATGGTAATTGAAATGCTTTGGGATTCTTTGTCTCCAAATCTTCAAACAGACAATGAAAAAGACCTTGCGGGGCGGAAATAGATTGCTGGCCAATGTTTCTGGATGAGCACAAATAGAGATTGGAGGGAATAAAAGACAAAAGGGCTTACATTGGATTGTCGGTGTAAACATTCGTTACAAAACCACGGATCTTTCATTTCGGCCACTTGGTCGGCTTCCATGGGAGGTTCAACGCAAGAAAAATGAAAAGCTTTGGGGCACGCGTCGCAGCAGATAAATCGACCGGTGCCTCCGCAAGTGTCACAATAGTCATTGTTCTACGGATTGAGGGGTGGGGTCAATGCTGGTTCCTTTTTTTTTCGATGTATGTTGGATGATCCTACTTTTTTGATAACCGTAGCTACTGGTTTTGGCGAAGGAGAGGATTTATGTCGTTGGGATCGTCGCACGGTGAACTGAGAATTGGAGGTTCTATATATTCAAAACGGGGTGAGACGAACGGGAGTTCGGGTTGCTATCTCGACAAAAGGTGGGACCATTGGACTCACTGTGTTGTATTGGATGGTTTTCGAGCTGGTTTTTTGGGTGTGGGTGGTGGTTTCGAGTTCCTCGCAGACGATCGTGTTTTTGGATGACGGGCATTGGGCGAATGAGCTGCCGTACTTCTCGTTTGCCGCATAGATGGTGAAAATGGAAAGGAGGATCAAGAAAAAGGAATCGACTCGATCAACTTGGACAGTACGTCGCTGGAAATGGGCATACAAAACAAACTTATAGCGTCGAAGCAGCCAAACAGTTCGAGATGACGTGCAATAACAGAAAAAGAATAAAAAAACAAAAAAAAAACCAGCTGAACCCTAAAAACAAAAGGATAGGATACTAAAGAAAGATGGCTTTTTTTGGGTCTCTATTCTTTTTGAATCCTTTTTTCGGAAACCAGATGCAACACCAACTTTTTCTTTTTTTTTTTTTGCAATGCCCTACTAAATGAAAAAAATTTAGCTCTCTACCATTTTTTTACGTGAGTCCATCTGTTACTGCTATCGATACTGCCATCCCCTTCCACCTTCTTTTTTTTTCTCTATCCACGTTTGATAATTTCATTATTATTTCCAATACTACTACAATTGCTCTTTGTAGAACACGTGTTCCCGGTCAACTGTTTTCCAGCAACCTCATTTCGAACCATGAGTGCCCCATGTTCTTTTTCAACACAAGGGTCATTTCGCCTTTTTGTATTCTTTTCCTTCCTTTCCCTCCTTTCCTTTCTTTGCTAAGCTCTTATTGACTCAGTATGGCCCTATCACTTGCCTGTTATTACAGCCAATTCGAGAGAAAGATAGCAGCCTTAAACGGTGACAAGGAGAGAAAAGTAGCAGATTCACGCTTTAAACAAATGACAGCTACCGCGATTGGTTGAAAATATCCAAAAAAAAAAAAAATTGGCAATCACAACAATAAGAATGACGCTCATTTCGGACATGATCTTGCCCGACAAACCGCTGCAAACCGAAAATAGTGCAGTCATCCAGCTCCACCAAGTGCCCTAATTCATCATTGCCACGTATTTTTGGGTCTGGAGAGAACAAGACTCTTTCAATTATTGTCAAAAAGAAGAGATGCACATGAATATGAGTATCTAGTCAGGCCACGCTTATTCTCAACGGTTCATATGATTGAGTTAAATTCCAATATCCTCAATACCGGTACTCAATCATGTCGTCACAGGATCTGTATTCTCCAATTTATGGAAAAAGAATTCAAGGATTCTTCAGTATTTCTGTACAAGCAAAAGATATGCTGCTCACATTAATGTATTCGTAAGTATGAATTAGGCCTGTTGATTGCGTCAATCTGTGGACGGTGACTTGGTATAAAATATATGAACAAGGCTCTTAATGGAATGATGTGCCAATTGGATAACTAGGCGATTAATCGGCCTTAACTATGAAATTATTATACATGAAGGAGAAGGGTTACATGGATCGTTTCTTCGAGGATTCGCCGGTCGTTCCACGTGATCGTTTAAGTGTTTTCGACGATCCCATACTGGTGGGGGTATCATTGTAAAAGATGGTTTGTTCACCGTACCATATCTTGAGTTTGCCTTGCGCATCGGGCAATTGCACCTTTTGATATGGTTTGATGAGCGAGGACTGCAACGCATCGTCACCGCGCTCTTCTTCGCGTGATTGCCGTGACACACGCACTCTTTCTAATATTTTTCGGATATCCTCTGCCCGTTTCTTTCGCCTTGTCGATTTTTCTGGGTCTTCTTCGTGGGTGACCGAGGATGTCGCTGTAGACAACGTGGCCAACGGTGACTCACTGCGTTCCAACGGAGGTACAGGTACAGGCGTCGTACCATGGGCATGATCTGACGCCATGACCGGTAACGGGCTCTCACCTCGAACACTGTCATTTTCGTGAACCGAAACCTTCTCATCATCGTTGGCATCCGAATCCGAGGAAATCAATTCCTCTTCGTCGATGTGGAAAGGATTATCATCTTCTATTGTGGTGTGCATTGGCCGGTTTTGAAGATCAATCAGTTGGCGGTGTTGATTCTGCGCATCAATATCGTAAGGGAAAAACGCTTCTGGGAGTTTCTGCTTTTCGTCAAAGCAGTGCCGGATCCATAAAGGGGACACGACACGAATATTTCGTTCCAACGCTTGAAGCACGAACCGGGGATGTCTTTGTTTAACGCCATTCACCATACTGGGAGCATGCACAATGTGGGTGAGAGTGGCGTGGTCGATTTCTTCCACCACTTGTGCTCCCAAAGCCAAAGCTTGACGCGATAACCGTTGGCGCTCAATCAATGTTCTATCAAAGAATATGACGGCACCGTTCAGGATCATGGCCAACTGCGGATTGGAAACCACGACTTCCTGATCGCTTTCATCGATGGTAGGTCGTGGCGGTGGACACACCACCTGAGCGGCTAGATTGCGTTTACGACGAACGGGCCTTCGTGCTGCCAACGATCCTCGGGTCCGTTTTCGTGTACTATTGATACCCGCAGTACGTATGGTAAATGATTCCGCTGTAATGACATGAGACACTGGACGGGACATGGCACGGCAAAAAACAGAAAAACGCGAGGAAAAGCACAGGGGACAAATTCTTTTTCCAACAACTAGGCTTTTTTCCTAATTTGGCAATCGCATTTCAACGCGGATGACGTTTCATCCGTCACAAAAGTTCACGCAGTGAAATAATATTGCGTCAAAATGATAAAAAGCATTGAATAATGATGCACACTAGAGGGAAAAAAGACGATGACCTTTTGTCATCGTCAACAAATTTATTGGGCGTTCGAGGATAGCGCTGGTTTTGTTGAAAAAGAATAATATCATCAAAGGCTAGGCCATGATTGGATGGAGCGCCAAGCACTGGTTGGCTACAAATCGCAACATAGATACAGAAAAACGTCATCTTCATCTGGACTGGTCATGTTTTCTGAATGCCAGGACGGTTCAGATGCAAGAAAATAAACTTGTCACCTAGACTTGTCTGGGAAAAAAAAATGTGCCCAAACACAGGTGCGGAAACATTACCGGTTTGCATAGGAGTGTTCCTGACTTTGCAGTCTCAGTCATTTCGCGATAAAAAGGAAATAAAAAGAAAAAGATCATCATCACCTTGTGTGATGTAAATAAAGGCATCGGTGTGTGCACAAGGGTACCTGTAATAAATAATTCCAATCTGACTTGTATCATTATCTTTTCCATTGTCTATGAAAGCAAAGAAAATATATTTGAAATGCACGGACAAGCCGTGTATTGTGGACTTCCATGCATACATCATCTGATGCCTGGAGAGCAAAAAGCAACCTAAAAAACACCGATGCACCCACGCAGCCTTTAGGTAGTTTTGATTGATTGGACATGGCAATTGCACTCGTGACTGAATGGAAAAAAGTGGAAATAGTGAACTTTTAATCGAGCATTCTTTGTCAAGAAATTTACCTGTGAGAGCAGAAGGCAAAAACGAAGCCCAGGACCTAGGACAGAGGATGACAACAAACAATGTAAGTTGGTCCCACTCGAACCACGTGGGGGGGGGAACAGCTTCAAGCTATCAAGATATTGATGCATTGTCATGTCATGCAGAGAACAGAATATGAATTTTCCCGCGTAAATCGTCATAAAACGGTATGTAATGCTTGTGCGTCATGACTACTGTGGGTATTTTAGTCGGGTGTTGTTGTAGGCGACTCGCCTTGTTGTTCGTTATTCTCTTTTTTTTCGAGTTGGAATTGCAATCCACACTGACGTTCACTTTATCACCTGAAGCACCAATGCATTCGTCCAAAGAAGCTATTCCATATTTTCAGAAACAGTACACCAATCCAGTGCACATATCCGGACTCGGAAAGGAAAAAAAAAATCGGGCCCACGGAAGATTCAGAAACTCAACTCAAATAAACTTTTCTTTGTTCTTTTGATGAAAAATAACTACAAGAAAGGTTTCCCGTGTTTTCCCTTTTTCCACAAGATGATTTCCCTACCTTCTCCCCCCCCCCCTCAATCCCCCAGAATGAAACGACTGGTCGAATGATGCTTTTTTTTTCTTGTGTGTTCCCCTGTTTGACACGTCCCCCCCCCCCAATTGTCCGTGCAACTGATACCTCGCTTTCAGTAATGTTTGACGCGCAATAGGTGCATAGACTAACCTTCCATCGGCTGACACGCTGTACTCACCTCACATCTGTATGCAGTATCACTCTTTATCGTGAAAAGGATAAATGAATTTTTAATCATCTTGCTCGGATCTTCTTATCAACTTTAAAAAAAAAAATTAGGTCAGGTCATCCATTCTTTTGCTGTGGTTCCATGTCTCGATGACAAACAAAAGAAGATGGACATGGGTGGTCTTTTGATCTTTTTTTTGTGAACACCAAAGATATTGACATGAGATTTTTGACGACGAGCCACAAACAACAAACGAAATACGAAAAACTTCATCATATGTGAAACGTTACGCTATGCCGGTGATCCGTCATATCGCTAAGCTTTGTCAAAACTGGCCGCCCTTTGTTTTCCTGGAGATAAAAGTGTTATAGCTCCCTTGTTTGATGTCAAGGCAACAATAAAGAGACCGTGTGATCTCTAAATCCAAATGCCATGGCAACATTGGCTCTTGAATTAAAAAAATGGGAACTCTTCCATAAAAAAAGGAAGCTAAAAAGAAATTCACATGCAATGTAGTAAACCAAAAAACAAAAAAAAAAGATTGCTTCTTTACGAACAAGGGAATCCCAGCAAGAGATCATTGAAAAAGGAATAATGGATGACGATACCTTGATATGAAACGTTCACGCAGTATTTAAGGTTTAATAAAACATAGGGTATGAGGTCAATCAAAATCATGGGATTAAAAAGAACGACATTTGAGACCATCCGCTGAAATGAAACGGGAATCCCGAGAGAGGAACACTGTGATGGCTTTGCCATCCTTCTACCTGATCGTTTTCAAACCATCACTGTTCGCATTGATCATGCACAGTAAAATAAGGTAACTTAAAATCATGATGCAGTCCTCCCCTCTTTTGATGTAATCATGTTCTTTTTATCTTTCAGTCATCCCAAAAATAAAAGAAAGAAAAACGCAATGCACTCACCCAGCATTGGAACACCAAAGAGAGAAAGAGAGAGAGGAAGTAAGGAGAGACAGGAAGGAAGAAAACATCAGCACTTAATTTAACCATACTAAGCTAATGGAAAAACAGATAAACAATAAATAATGACTAGGATTTACACTTGGGTTTTTTCCGCCCCCATAAATACTTGGCTTAGCCGCACCTCGTCAAATGCACAAAAAATAAAAAACCAACCGAAGAATCGCGCCATTTCCTCTTTTTTTTTCAAGGCCCTTCTTTTTTTTATATTTCTCCTTGCTTTGATCGACGAATTCTTTTCTTCTTCTTGTATTTGATATCTTTTCTCATGAATCCATCCACCGGAAAACCGATGGCACTTGCCTCGATTATGGCGACTCCTATGTATCCCTTATCGCCACCACCCAGTGACTCGATGACTCCTCCCCATCATCATCCTTTGGAGCCGTATTTCCAGACTCAGCATCGTCGTCATCTTGCTATACTTCGGTCGCCACCCACTTCACCTGCCGAACACGCAAAGACCATCGAAACATCGGCACCTTCATCCCCTCAGTCCTATAGCTCGTCCATTTCTTCCAGCAGTCTACTGTATGCTGCTCCTCCACTCCCTCCTGCGGCTGCCCCGTCCTCCTCTGCCTCTGATCACGGCACCATAGGAGTCGCTGCTCCCCCACTTACACTGCAGGAACGCCGGCAACGAAATAAGACCGCCTCGGCCAAGTATCGTCAAAAGAAAAATCAACAACAGCATGAAATGCGACAAATGATTGGTCAATTATCGGAACAGAATGCCGTGCTGGAACGTCAATTGCAAGAATTACGCATGGAAAACGAAAAACTCAAGGCCACTACCGACCGATTACGCGGCAAAATTGTTGCCAGGAAAATGCTGAAACAGTGGATAGGTCGTCAAAAAGAACCCACCCATGTATCACTGCAACAACAACAACAGCAGCAACCCCATCAACATCATCATCACTCGCTTCCCTCCAAATTGCACTCCTTTCGCCCCTCCCCTTATCCCACCCCATCCACCGCTTCCCAACCCTCGTTTAGATACGTCGATACCGATGATGAAGGCGACCTCGCTATGGATTCCGACAGTTTGGCCTCTGAGTGATCAGCTATCCAATGTTTTCATGACCTGAAAAAAAGTTTTCTTGTATATATTTCTGATATCGCATCCCATCCCCCAATCAAATTCATAAGCACCTAATGATCCCATATTCACACATCGTCCTATAGGACAAGGAAAAAAATTATAATTTCTCACTCGCTTCCCTGCTCGTAGCAGATTTATCTTATTTATTCATGCCATGCCATCTTTCTTTATTGTTTACTATCTTTTTCTTTTTTCTCTCATCTTTTGTACGTTCTCTGAATTTGTTCATCGGTGATAAAGTTGGGTCGTGTCATTTGTTTTTTCTTTTTCCTTTGCAATAAAAAGAAAACGACCCTGTTCATTATGAAGTTCCGTCCTTGACTTATTGTCTGTTTAGTTCTGTTCCGCCATAGTCAACTGAAAAGATCATGTAGCACTGTTTCTTCCTTTTATATTCCTGCTGTTTTTTGCTTTATAGAGGCAATTCTCATTACTGCGCAAAAAAACGCTTTTAGTGCTATTGCATTCACTGGGACAACTCTCTCAATGACGTTGGGAAGATGCATCTGTATCAGTCTCCCCCACGGTCGGATAGTGGTTATGTGACGCGAGGTATCCATACGACATCAACTCATTTTTGTCAGCTTGTTGTAATTTAGGATTTTTTAATTTCTATGGTTTTGAACGCGGCACAGGAAGTGATGGATGGATATTATAAAGAATGTATAGGGAAAAAAGTACGGACCGGGTTATTGGGTAGCGAGTGGTGAATGTCGAGATCCCAATCCAATCTCGGCTCCTGCTACTTGTAAGCACTCTTGGATGAGAGTGACGATGATTGGATCGCCACACGTAATCATGTGGCAAAGAGCAGGATACAGATAAAAGAGGTGAGCTTTAGGACCCGATAACAGTTGATATTTTGCCGTATCTGTGAACACCTGTTAGTCATAACTCACCCTTTTTCTACCTCGTGCAATGTCAATAAAGTACCTTTCACATCCTCATGGAATTCCATGATATCTTCTTTGAGCCGTAGTTGAATGGATTGTTTTAAAAAGAACAGCATTTCTTCTTTTCGTACTCTGCAAATATCATCAAATGTTCATTGTTAATATCATGCTATGACAAAGTTTATCTTGTAGGGAAAAAAAGCAGCAAATCCCAGTTTTTTTGTCTTTGTTTTATGGAGACATCTCACCCCATCAAGTACCTTGGGAAAGGACAACGACCCATCAAAGGTTCATCGGCCGCATAGTTTCGTAGAATCGTCTCGCAACGGTCCAGCAACACTGGGATTGTGATTTGCGCAATACGATGTCGCACTTGAGGAAAGTCTAGCCGGGGATCCGGTTAGCCCACGGCCTTGCGCAAGTGAAAAACAAAATGCATTGAATACTTACCGGTGTGATCGGCCGAACAGAGTCCAAACAACGATTTAAAGGCCGCATACGCAAACGCTTCTTTCATGACAGGCACAATGGTTCCTGTGGTACCGACCAACTCACTCGTCCGTTCCTGAATACCTTGTGCTTTTGTCCCACTTTCAATTGCCAATTGTTTGGTCGGACGTTCATCTTCTGCTTCCGTTTCGGCTTTTCTGTGGGCATCACTGTCATCGACATAGTACAATCGCGAGCTTTCTTTGATGACATGGACCATCTTCTTGATCACTTCTTTCGGAACGCGCGCTTCGCCCATGTAGACCATGATATCTTTCTGAATGATATTCAAAGTCATAATATCGAATTGTTCATCTATATCTAATTCTTCAATCGACAGCGTGGTTGGCGGTGCACTGCGCAAGTAGAGGAATCACATCAGTAACAGTTGCTCATGTTGACTTCCACTTTTGGACCATTCGTTACCTTGGTGATAAGAGACTTCCTTCAAAAATATCCACCAAAGTCCACCACACTCCTGAAAACCGTTCGAGAGGTACGTCTGTTACATTAAAATAAAGAAGCCACGGTGAGTACTCTTACTGTCAACAGATGTTCGAGTTGCCCAATGACAGAACCCTACCTTCACCCAGTGATTGCATGACTTTGAGACCGACCGACAACACGTCGAGTAATCCTGTGGTGGCCATTTTCCACAAAGGCGTCTTATCGTCGCCGTGTTTATACGAAGGAGGGCAATCGTATTTTAGTTTCATGGGCAGGCCGTACGAGCCAATAATCCGTTCAAAGACGCCGTCACTGTAGAGGACCGGGTTGTCGACGTGACTCTTGAATAACTCTGCAACAATGGTACTACATCGTTTGTTGAGAGCAATGTAGGTCACGGTAGAGAATTTGCGTTGATTAGGCGGGATGTATGCTTTGGATTTTTGGGGATCGTCCTGCGGACTCAGGAAGGCGAGGGTCATGTACTCTGATAGATCCATGAGCACCAATGGGGCCACGCCGGGATTTTGCATATCCAAGACTTGGAACACCTCCAGTATGGCTTCCTGAAGTGGGGACAGATTATCGATATCCGGTCGATACTGCGGGCTCGTGGGGTACACCATGACATTGCGTAACACGCCCAGCAGGGATCCCAAATCTTCCAAATTAAAGGTGGGCGCAATCACACGATGAAGCGCAATGAACATATTCACGTAAGCGGTGAGGGTATCTTGGGTAAAATCTTCGGAAATGGGAGAAATGGTCGATGACGACAGTGACAAGGTGAGCGAGTGCAGTTCGAGGTCCACGGGACGTCTTCGCGCCTGAATTTCTTGCAATTCTTTCTCGCTTAATTTCGAGCTCATGATCCCGCCACCGATGGTTTCCCAGGACCCCAAAGCCTGTCGCCACAACTTTGTAATCTTTTCATCAATCTCAAACTCGGGTGACAGTGTCACGATGCTGCGGAAACTCTTTATGCTTGCCAAGGCCACTTCCTGACTCGACTGTAGGCACGAATCTTCCAGGTGCACTAAAAGGAGCGACCATGCTTGCTCAAACCGAGGTAATCGATACAACTGCGAGAGAAAATCGTTGAAAATGCCGGCCATGCCGGTGAGCACCAGCACCTTGGTTTCGTCCCACTGTTTTTCCGCTGTATCACGGGAATGATGGAGCATGAATCCGGACGAATCACGTTCCATGGGTGGCGACGACCCAGCCGATCGCGCAGACAACATCATCCGCGATGCACGAATCGATGACATCTTGACCGCATCCAGCAGAGGAAACAGCACTTGCCACAGACAGGCATTCCAGAGTTCTTCGCTCAGCATATTGCCATTCATCATGATGGTGCGGAACAACGTCTGATTCGCCCCGTTGCGTACTTCGGGCCGCCAGTCCGTGCATGTATGCGAGAGTTGCAGTAACAAGATCATCCAAAGAATATTGTACACTTTCCGACTTTGTTCGTTCTCAATGGGCTGATCCACGTTCATGTCTTCCTTCGCAATTTCGTCTTCTCCTTTGGCGGTCTCACCTGACATGAGTTCCGACTCGGCGTTTTTCACCACTTCCAAACGTTGCGTCTGAATAAAATCCGCCAAATTCCACAACAGTCCTACGGCCGTGAGACTGATGTTGAGATCTTCACTCTGCATGCCAAACGAGCCCAGGGTCGCGATACATTGGCGCAGACAATCCGGTGACAGCAATGATAAAAAGTCGGTGCAGATCAACTGCAAACTGGCAAACGCGACTTTAATGAGCCCGGCCGACGCTTTGATACTGTGCCCGCTCAAGCTGTGACCCGCAGTGCTGGCGGCCATGAGGGAAGACGTCGTCGTATCGATACTGGCACGTTCCCCGCTCTTGCCATCTTCATCCCCGTTTTTACCCTCCAATTCATCCTCATTGTTCGCATAGTCGTTTTGTAAACTGATCGACGTGGTGGTTGCGTGGCGTAACATGTCAAATATCAGTCCCCATCCGCACGTAAAGGAATGACCCGATGTCTGTAGTAGATTATTCAGCGTTTCAAGCGCCATTTTTTGGACTTCGGTGAACGATTTGCCCGTGCCCCATTTATCACTGCCCGCCACTTGACTGGGACGCCGTGATTCGCTGCCCGTGCTGTTATTGATACATTGATTCAGAGCGGTCAACAGTCGCGTTTGAATTCTTTCATCGGCCTCCTTGTATTCGGACAGAACGTGGTCCATGGCGGTTAAAATGATGTCAGAGATGGCTTGGCAGCATTGAGTTCGGATCGGCGAAGGCGTGGTAGCGCAATTGGCGGTGGCAATGAGGTGCGACATAATGAGATCCCACACGGCCGCATCGCTTTGTGGATTGATGAGCCGATTGATATCCAGCATGACAATGTGGCGCAGTTTATCGATGGCAAATGATTTGTGGTTGAATATTTTGGCTTTGAAAGATTTCGTCAATGATGAGGAGGCGTCAGTATCGTGGAAATTCACTCCCGTGAATTCCGCGCTTAGACGACACAACGCCGTGGCGAAATCGATAAAGGCCTGTTCGTTGAGGTATTTGCTGTTCTCAAAAAGTCGGTTCATGGATGTTTGAATCACAGCAATATGATCCGCATCCATCATTTGGGTAGTCGACGTCGTCGTAGGATTGCCGGGCGATAATGCGGGATTCGTGCCAGAATTGCTCTGGGAACTGGTCAAGGTGCGTCGAAGGTTCGGTGTGGTGTTGTTGGGCGTGCTGACGCCGCCTTTAGGGGTAAGACGACTGAGCAGCAAGAGGTCGGCTTGTTGAAGTGTTTCAAGCACCAGGTACCAAGACGGTCCCAATACACTACCGAGAAACATGGCAATGTTCAACAGGATACGTAGACTATACAGATTTTTATCGCTAAGTGTCATATTCGCGAGGATCTGTTGTTGTTGAACGGGCAAATCGGTGTAAGCGATCGCTACAGGAGCAGCCACTGCCATGGACGATAAACTCGATGAACTGGCGCCCGATTTCCCGCCAAAAAATCCTGCTGCCGAGAACACTGAACTGGCAGGGATGGCATTCTTGCACAGATTGGTGAGGAAGGCATCGCGAGGAACGACGAGATTCAGCATGCCGCATACGTTTGTAAAGTTTTGGTACGATCGCATGGTACTTTGGAATAATTCTTCGTCGATATTGGTGGATAGGTAGAATGACATGGCGGCTAGTAATCCCGGCCAAGCATCGTTGGCCATATCGGTAATGAGTTGCAGATCGTCTTTGATGGTGACTTCCTCGGTAGCCGATTCGTCTTTTGCCTTGGAGTCCAAGGTCGCGGAGCGTTGCGTTTTGGACGTCGTCGTGCTCGTGCTACGTCCGTTGCCATGCGAAAACCGCGGTAACGCGTACCCTGCTAATCCGTCGGCGATCGAATTAAGACACAGAAGTGCCAAGTAAAAAATGTAAGTCTCCGGAATAGTCGGAGGATCGGCCTTGTCCAGTTGATCAATACTAACAATTTTCCACTTGTTCATCAGATTTTATCTACATTTGTCTTATTTGTAGTGATTCATTTCCTTACCATTGGATGCGCATCGTCGATGAATTGGCGCTAATGCAATGCTCATTTTGTCCGGGACTGCTGGCACTGGGGTGATTGTACGCGTGAGGCGTGGTGCTGCCACTATGATCGACACTGTCCCAAGCGCCTTGACTGGCCCCAATGAGATGAGGCTTTTCCGAAGCCAAGCGACCAAACGCGGTGATCATGTCGCGAAACACGTTGGTAAAATTATTTTGTCGATCGTACCACTTGTAGATCGAGCACAGCAAGTGACAGTCACCGCACACGCCGCGAAAGATTTCCATCGCAAGCACTCGCTGCCAAAGCGGATTCTCTGGCTCCAGTACCTTGACAAACATGGACAGGAAAATCTCACACTCGGTGATCTAGACGCATTTTTTGGCATCCGTCAATACACCGTCTCGCTCCCATGGATTTCGAGTGGCGTGACCTACCAATATCTCGTTGAACTGTTTGATAAGAATGTAGACGACGCGGGTAAGACGCATGGTTTGAGGAAACTCGTGTTTTTCAGAAAAGATCTTCAGAATGAGCGGACAAACTCGTTCCCTTAGGAGAAATATCAGCTCTTTATGCTATTGAAAACCGATGATAGGAGGTTGAGTCTCTGGTTTGCTTCTTTGCCCATTTTCCCCAAGGTACTCACTTCCGGGAATAGTGTGTAATGATTGGTCAGTACACTTTCGATCAATTCCAGGCCAAATGTCTTTGACAGATGACCTAACCGAAGGTACTCGGCTGGTTCACCACTCGTGAGCAAGCACAAATCTTGGAACAGATAAAACGCATCCTTTGCGCATGGATGCAGTAGAATGGTCTCATCTCTACTGAGTTGCACCTCTATCCATAGCAACCAATATTGCGCTACAATTAGGTTTCCGCACATCCGAGCCCACCGTATCCAGCTTACCATGTTTCGCCTCTTCCTTGCTTAGTTGCGCTGCATCCTCCTTGGCTACTTTATCAAAGACGAAAATCACCAGTTGCCGTAATGTGGCTGCTGCGGTATTATTCACAACGACAATTTTTGAATCTTGCAATCGAAAACATATCAGCAATGCCTAAGGAAACCCTCGGTTAAACAATGACAAAGTTTTGATCCGTCTATCTCTGATCGCACCTCTGCCAGAATATCATCATGAACACTTCGATAGTTTGTTAACAAGGGCAACACTGTTTGTAGTATTTTGAGCTGAATTTCGACACCGTGCACGCTAATATCCACCAAGGTTCTTAGAATGGTTCTCACCGACGTCTAAGAAAAACGATGACTGGTCAACATTCTTGGATAACCTGAATTGCTGGACAGATGGCACTACCTCTGGTATGGCGTGAAAGGAGATGAGCTTTTGAATGCAGCCAATAGCGATGGTTACTAGCTTGACCTGTTTCGTTTCACAGGCCAAGACAAAGGGACGCAGTGCATCTTCGGATTTCGACAATTCTATGACCGTAGGATGAGTGAGACATTGACGTGCTACCATTGGAAGAGATATAAGAAAGGATGGCAAGAGTCCATACCGTTGGCTATGCTGTGACCCGGTCGTTCCTTGAAGCTTCGTAAAATAGCGCTCAGACGTTCAGCTGCCTATTCAAACCATGGTCAAGAAGAAAAAAAAAAGTCAGCGGGTGGAATCGTTTGGACAATGGATGGGCATGCGGCGTTGGAAAAACTTACTTCTTTAATTTCGGGATGTTTCCGTCTTGCTTCGCTTGACAGCGACAGCAACTCGGTTTGCAGGAACGCTGTCAGACCACTCATGTTTCCACTTTCTGACCAAGTGATAACGCAGCAAGCTCAGCAGCTAGTATATTTTACGTGGCTGAATCGAAAACAACGAGTAGAATGTCCTTTTTGAAAAAGAAAAAAAAAAACACAGAAAAACAGGAAAAAGGAAGTATGCGTTCGACGTGGTCTGTCTATCTTGAGCTATTATACAGGTCTCATCACCCGCCCACTCCGCGCCCGACAATGGCCGGCTGAATCCTGACTGACACGTCACGCACGCAGCTTTACCTAATTTAAAATGCCGCTTCATGAATGCAATGCAAAAGGCCTCCTCTAACAACTCGCCATAACGGAGAAGCCTACCTATCTGTCTTGATAAAGGATAAGCTACCTACCTAATGATAATCGTAACTTTTTTCCTATCGTTCACTATGGTTCGGTACGAGTCGATTCAAGCACAAAAAATAAAACATCCCAGCCAGGTCGCAGATCGACTCTATGGCCCAGTGATCCGGTTAGTATCAGTAACGATATGAAAATTGCATATATTTAATTATTTCCAAGTGCTTCCGCAATAAATCGTACAATAAACCACGTAACACATTTGTTGACACAATTGGCTATTTCCTCTTCTCCATTGGGGGATTTCTTCAAGTCTTCCAAAAATAATGTTTATTGTGCTAGTCTTCACTTCCAAAACGTCGCCATACGGCATCCTTATCGTCCTCTTCTTCATTATCGGTATCTTGTCTATCTTCCCTGTCAAACTGTGAGGCATCCACCGATACGTCGCCCTCGTCCATGTACCGTGAATCGGACATTGCAAGTGACTTGTCCTGTTCAAACAGTTGACGCCCTACCCGATTCCAGAAGAATCAGAAAAACAAAAACGCCTCATGTCAGAAATAGCCTATAATGTTGATCGCACGAGTCGTATGTACCTGTGGGTCTGTTCTTTAATTCTCGCAGACGGGCTTTTCTCTCCTCTTCTTCTTGGGTTTCCATCTCTTTATCAAATTTGGCCTTCCATTCCATAAAGCGTTCAACGGTTAGCTTTGTGCCCTTGAATTTCGCTTGTTCTCGTTCCTCTTCCAATCGTCGTTTTTCGGCTTCCATGGCGGCTTGTGTTCGTTGCGATTCGTTCAACACATTGTTCAGCTCCTCTTTCAGCACGGACGCCATAGCAAATACCATGACCATGCCTAATGATTCCTCTCCCTAATTCATGACCACAATTATCATCAAGCGACAATGCAATGTCGATACTTCTGATCTCCCAATCTCTCCCACTTACAGCTGTTTGAACCGCTTGATGCAGCCTTTCTTTTTGAGCCCCCGTAAGTTCTCCAGACACTACTTCCACTTCAGTCTCGGGCAATTCGTCCGGATATTGAGGAGTGTATTTCACGTTCAACGTCAATACAACTATCAAGGAAATGAATAAGACTAAATCCATTCGTTATAAGCGGCCGTAAAAATAAACTGTACCTGGAGCGGCCTCGTCCTGATCATCGGGATGGACAAGAATCTTGAATCCTTCTTCACCAAGATCTAAAGAATCCCATTATTTCCATTAGTGGGCTGCGCCTCATGAATGTCTCTATTAAATCAACACCAGCAATTACCTTCGAATTCCTCGGGATAGATCGATTCAAGTGCTTCCAGTTCGTTTCGCTGCTCCTCAAGGTAATCTAACGGAGGAAGAATAAATAATGAGCAAGAGTTGAGTTTGACCATGGGTGGATGTATGAGATTCGATTATATTATACATTCTCAATAGATCAAGAATGCCAATATCGTGAGAATGCATAGCATTATTCTGGTAGGTGGACGTACCTGTCATTATGGGTAGAAAAGGGAATCTCGAACAAGCTGTTGGTCGAGGCGAACCAGTGCTTGGTTCAACAGGACGCTTGTGACTAACAAATTTTCGCAGCCCAATTTCGGAACCTCGCGCCGTCCATGATTTTTCCCGACAACCAAAAAGCGACCGTTTTATCGAATGCAGCTTTTTTACCATGTTCTACCAAAACATAACTTTTTCACTACATGATGCACAGAGTATATCATTAAAATTCTAATAACAATTTCTTTTGCCTTTTATGTCCTTCAACGAAGGTTAAACCCTGTAAATAAATAAAAAGAGCACCCAAGAACATCATTGATTAACTTGGCAGCTTTTTTATTTCTTTTGGAAAAATCTTTAACAACTTCATGGTTTGATTGGCAAGAGTAAAGTTATCATCTGACATTCCATTCATAAGCTCATACTTATTATGGTTGATCTCTTGCTAATTGTAATGTCAGAATGTATATAATTCTATTCATGTTCCTGATGGAGCTTCAGGACTACGAGGCTAAATACAACGGTGAATGAAGCAAGGATGAAGAAACGAGCCAAAAATCCGAGCCAGGTGCCAAACATCTATCGGAAGACCATCCTCGCGTAGAATGGAAGCAATTTCTGATCAATTGCGCTGACGTGGCTGATCACCTACATCTCACGAAAGTCCTAAAAAAAGTGAGTGCCCGAAGAGATCCTTCGTATCTCTCAATGTTCACTTCCTATTTTTACTGTCGAGAACGGTAAGCTACACTATGATATCGAAATTAAATTATTGGCATAGAAACTGAACTTTTCAGATACCCTTCTATGCTACTTATACGCGGCCCATTGGAACATTACGAGATGTATGGATACCAAGACCGGGAAAATGTCAGAAGTGAGATATTTGAATTTCACTGGGAAGCACCAGAACAGAATCTGAAGAAGAATTGAAAAAATCGGAAACGAAAAGGTTCAGCCGTTACCGACACAAGACCAGCGGTGAGAAGAGCGACAAGCGGTACGTTGGTCCGAGAGGACGCGACTTCAAGGGCCAACAATTCCCGTCCTCACTCCGCACAAAAGGCAACGCCACGCAGAATGCGAAATCAGCACAAGCAGAATCCACTCAACGGTGCATATAACATTTAGGCAACACGAATCGCCGACAAGCAACACGTTCATTATGGAGAATCAAGCTTCGGCAAGCACCAGTACGAGCTCGCGACGACCAACTTCGCCAATGAGCAACACATACATTACACGGAATCCCCCTTCACTAAGCACGTCTGGTTCTACAACAACGCCGCCATCCACTTCTTCGCAACCACAATCATCAATAACATCGGTTTTCATGAGGAGGCTTTTCGCAGGCTTAAGGTTTTCCATATCCATTCATCAAAAACACTGACGCGACGACGCGTATCCATGCCATGCAATTTTCTCTATGGTGCACCACAATGTTTCTGCCATGAGTCACCACATCAAAGATCACCAAGCGTTCGCAATGCCGTCATTTATTGCTAGACATTTTTTCTACCAATCAAGAGACGGGTCTTCGCGGCGTAAAGGATAACAAAAGTGCAAATGCCCGTGCCATAACAAGCAGGCAATGGCGCATACTCACCAATCAACTGTGGCTCATATCTGCTTACTACTATTTTTTTTTCGTCCCCATCCATTCGTTTTGCCTGTGACCCATTGCCAAACGCCAATATCTTTTGGATACTAAATCAGAAGCCACGGTTATTAAGCTACATTTCTTATCTTAACAAGCAAAAATATAAAGCGGGAATGCCAACTCCACAATTATCAACATCGATAGAATATGCCGTCCACAGGCAAAAAAAAAATGCATAAGAATCACCACTGAAGATAACAAAAACCCCACCCAAGATAAAATAACGACAAAAAAAAAATGCAATTGCTCACACCAGCAAAAAGGATCGCTCCCGGGTGGGCTTGAACCACCAACCTCCTGATTAACAGTCAGACGCGCTAGCCAATTGCGCCACAGGAGCTCCGCTGGCACCAAAATTTGGATTACATCTTCATTGCATTATCTACATGCGGAGTAATTAATATCTTATTTAGCAACCACAAAATTCGGTGTCAGCTGAGCTCCTGTGGCGCAATTGGCTAGCGCGTCTGACTGTTAATCAGGAGGTTGGTGGTTCAAGCCCACCCGGGAGCGATCCTTTTTGCTGGTGTCAGCAATTGCATTTTTTTTTTTGTCGTACTTCACTCGGATCTGATATACCGGCAAGATCACCAGAGTGGGAAACAAGAGGATTAGGGATAGGAGAGATAACGCTTTATTTTGTCAATTATAAGGAGATATTTATATGTGCTTATTCGGTCTATGTTCTTAAAGAGGATAATGGCTGAGCGGCTAAAACTTTGATAAAAGGATGATTGTACTTAGCAAGATGCTAAGCTGATTACCATTTTCGGACGTTATCCGCTTCAGCCACGACAACATCATAACATATAGACTCTGAAAAGGGCTAATACCCTTTTGTATAATAGATTAATAATCAGTAAACTAGAGAAAAGATATAAAAGACAGAACAAACAGAATAATAAAAGTCCGTCGTTTTTAGACCTATATTTCTTGGCAAGCCACTTTGGTGATCTTGACTGTATATCAGATCCGAGTGAAGTACGACACGAACGATAGATGAAGAAATAAAATAGAATTGGAGATAGATAATTGATAATCTTTATTCGTTTTGATCGAGGGGATATTTATATGTTTTGGGTTAATCTATAATAATTTTCGTAATAAGGCTTGACAGGATATTTTGGTTCTGAATGCTCAGCCTTTTCGGCCGAGCTGTTCGGGAAACGCTTGTTTGAAGGTGATCAAAGCGTCATTACCAAAAAAGGATACGACAATTTTATCTTCGGTGGTGGTTTTATTCCGTTTTTGCACATGCGTATATGACATTTCTTTTTTTTTTTTTTTGGGTTTAACAATGTGGTGATGGCAGGGCTAGCTTTCTTCGGAGCATGTTACTTTGACAGAAGGATTTCAAGTTTTGTGATATAATCTTCTTATCCAGGATGGCCTTCAATTTTTGTCCTATCGATGCATATATAAAGTTTGCGATTCCAGCAAGATATTGCACAGGATGTATGATGCATACCCAAAGTAGCTGATTGGTCGTTCATTCGATCATTAGGTAGATGCTGTATTACCAATGCGCATAAAGCGCGTAATAGTATAATATTTAGCCTTCTGGCACGTACGTGTCAAAGGCATTCGGTTGTATAAATCTTTGGTTGCGTTGAAAGAAGCCGATAAGCATGTCAAGGCAGTTGAGTGTCTTTACGCATTCGTATCATTGTCTGCAGGTTCGTCGGTTATTTTGGGAAGGCCACGATCAAGTTTAAGGAAACTATGACTTCAGATTCTGACACATTATTCTGGAATAAGTGTGATCTGATTCTCAGGTCAAGGTTCTCATAGATAAATGATGCTACAAGAAGTAATGGATCTCACACTCAGCATGGCGAGTAACGAAAAAGCCATAGGATATGGAAAAATCTCGATCGATCGATGCTTCTGCAATGGTAAAAAGGGCCAAGAATGTGACAGATCCCAAATCTCGTATGAATTCACCATGTGCTTGCGATGCAGAAGATACTTCTTTTATAAGTGGTACATTGAATGGAAAAAGAAACAATAGAAATACCTCAGTGCTGTGACCGATGGATTGTACAAGTGGTTTTATACCCATAGCAACTAGATTCATAAATGTGAACAAGGATGATTGAATTTTCGTCTTTTTATTCATTCCCAAGTCCACGGTTGCGTGTGCTGTTTCTGTCTCTAGATCCATTTTGAATTCTTTTCCGTCGGTTTATTGTTGTCGCCTCAATAAGGGCAGTCGGGTTTGAACGGAAACATGTCCTTCATTGCAAAGCCAGATGTCGTGTCCAATCTGCAATGGATCTCTGAAATGGATGTCAACATTACGCCAGAGGACGGTCGAAAATCTAGTATCATTGGCACCATTGGTAAGTCTTTTGGAATGTCTCTTCCGCACTTTGTTCTGCACGCGTCGTTTATGCGACGCATTAACCGGTGGTGGTGGGCTTGGGATTCAGGTCCCAAATCCAATAGTGTCGAAATGATCACTCAGCTCCGTAATGCTGGCCTGAACATTGTCCGCATGAACTTCTCGCACGGTTCATACGAGGTGAGAGTTTTCTTATTCCGTCTATTTTGCATAATTGAAATATCTATTTCATTTGATATTTCAAGTGCAAGCGGCAAGATTTATTCACCACCTTTTTTTTTCTTGGCTGTGTTCCCTCGACCGTTACAGTATCATCAGTCAGTGATTGACAATACCAGAAAAAGTGTGCAACGTGAGTATCACCCGTGAATAGTCAATTTTCACCAGAGGGCTCATTATAAAGGTATTGGCAGTGTATCCTGGTCGTCCCGTAGCCATTGCATTGGACAACAAAGGCCCAGAAATTCGGACAGGCAATATGAAGGATGGGAAAGAGGTAAAAAGTTTCATGCATGAACCCAGAAAAGCTATACAATTGACCGACTGGAAAAACAACAGATCCCTATCACCGTAGGTCACGAAATGATTTTTACCGTGAATGAGGCGTACAAGGACATCTGTGACGATAAAGTTATGTTTGTCGACTACAAAAATCTCCCAAAAGTCATTGAAGTCGGGAAAAAAATTTATGTCGACGATGGTATTCTGTCGTTTGAAGTTCTAGAAACTGGGGCTAACCACGTACGCGTCCGTGCCATGAACAATGGAAAGCTTTGCTCGCATAAAGGCGTCAATCTACCTGGCACTGATATCGATTTACCGGCGCTGTCCGAGAAAGATACCGCGGATTTGTTGTTTGGAGTCAAAAACAAGGTCGACATCATCTTTGCGTCCTTCATTCGCCGTGGCCAGGATGTTCGCGATATCCGCAAAGTGCTGGGCGACAGTGGTCGTACCATCAAAATCATTACCAAAATCGAAAATCAGCAAGGCGTCACCAACTTTGAAGATATCCTCAAGGAAGCGGACGGTGTAATGATTGCGCGCGGTGTAAGCTACAAAGAAAGGGATTAGAGAGTAAAATGTACTCAGTTGACATCAACCATTAGGATATGGGCATTGAAATTCCTCTGGAACGTGTGTTTATTGCTCAGAAAATGATGATAACAAAGTGTAATCTGGCGGGCAAACCCGTGATTTGGTAAAGTAGTTCGTTGAGCCATGAAAACTTTGTTCTGAAGGCCACAAATATAACATACCATTGGTGTTCTTAGCGCTACCCAGATGCTGGAATCCATGACGGTAAGTGGTTGAATGACACGGTATAAAAAAACAAGCGCCTTGCCAATATTGAATCATGGGAATGACTTTTTGTGTGTAGTATAATCCAAGGCCTACGCGAGCCGAGGTCTCGGATGTGGCGAATGCTATTTTGGATGGGGCGGATTGCGTAATGCTCTCCGGTGAGACGGCCAAGGGCAATTATCCCATTGAAGCGGTGCGGACGATGCATGATATCTGTCTTTTGGCGGAATCGGTGTTGTGTTATCCTGCTATCTTTAACGAGATCCGGTCACTGACAGTACTTCCCACCGAGACGACCGAAACAGTGGCGTGTGCCGCCGTAAGCGCGGCCCATGAGCAGAAAGCGGGAGCCATCATTGTGTTGACGACCAGTGGCCACACCGCTCGTTTGGTGTCAAAGTACCGGCCACGCGCTCCGATTGTAGTGATCACGCGAAATCCTCAAGCAGGACGTCAAGTGCATCTTTACCGAGGCTGCTTTCCCTTTTTATATCCAAAAGGCTCATCGGCGGCGGCGGCTCGATCGTCCATGAGCAGCTCACAATATCTAAGCCCTGCTGATTATATACCATGGCAGGAAGACGTCGATGCACGTATTATATGGGGTAATTGCCTATCTTGATGGTTGTTTCTTCTTTCTCCTCATGCATTCTTGGTTTTTAAAACGTAGGAATGGAACAAGCCATCAAATATGGGTAAGTAGCTGGTGTGTCCTGAAATGTTTATTTCGTTGACCTAATCCATTGCTTCCGCGCGCAAGTTTGGTAGCTCACGGAAAACCTGTAATTGCGATTCAAGGATGGAAAGGAGGATTAGGCAATACGAATACACTCCGAATCCTTATGACACCCTAAAACGGTTCAGTCACTCGGATCAGCGTAACACTACCGACGTTTCTGACATTTCCCAGCGTTCACTAGCAGTCATCCTCATATAGCGCAATGTAGCATTCAAAAAAGCAACACAAGAAAGAGGGGACGGCATCCAGATGTTCAGGGTTTTCCTTGCGAGAATAATAATAATAAAAAGAACCATTTCTTCAGAAAAGAAAGTGAAATAATAATAACCAGAGGATTAGAATTACATGAGTATGAGTAATAAGTTTTGCACTTGGAAGGGGAATACGAAAAAAAAAAGAGAATCTAAATGCCGGTGTGGACGTAAACCTGTTGTAAGCTCAAGACCGAGCCCAAATGAGGATGCACTTCGACCTGGAAAGGTTCGGCCGGTGCATGTTCACCGTCAATCGCAATGTACCCTTTGCGATCTCGTTGCTTAATCGGAGTCAACCGAAAAGCTTTGATTTTGTAATACTCCACCTACAGCAATGCAAAAGGTTCAGTTCAGATCTATTTTATCGCCGGTTTATCTCGCAAAACTTACAATATCAGTATCGATGTGGTTGCCTTTTTCAACTTTGGCAAATATGCCCAACTGTTTCATGACGCCAGGTCGACCGCGCACCAACAAAAGGTCTAGTAGACCATCGTTTGGTAAGGCACATGGATGTGACAACATGCCCCTAGCCAGCCAGGGGACCTTGCTGGTAAGAAAAAAGGCCACATCGTCCTTGATGATCGTCCAATCCGACGGCACCGGTTCGGAAAGGGAGGGTATCGTGCTGTGGGTGTGTTTGTCAACATGATCTGGAGTGTCCGAAGTGGCGGCGGTGCGGCTTGCCCGATATGCCTTTTTAATTTTCTCTTTATCGCTTTCCACAATTTGTACTGCGGCTTCCATGGGGTAAGTATGACGAGCAAAGATCTCTTGCATCAGCCCAAGGACAGTACGAGCATCGCCCATCCATCTAATGGTGATGAAAAATCCATTATTGGTCAGTCTGCGCACACGAACGGAGCAAAATGGTATGCTCTGTGATTGTCGTACCTCAAATGCTCTGTGGCCAGGTCAGCATAGGATGTGATGCCGTAGTTGTGCGAAAGGAAGGAAAAGTAACGACGATGACCATAGGTCACTGAGCACAAATCCAGAGGCATGCGAGTTCCTGGAATTTTTTAGGAGAGTTCGTTGTCAAAAACAGAGATTATTCGTGGATCATCTTTTACGCACCTTTGACGACTTGCAATGCTGTGTATGCAGGGTTAAAACCTAGTTGTTCTCCGGCTAAACAGATGCTGAGGGCATTTCCGGTGCCACCAGGAATGACGCCGAGGGGAACGCTCTGGATGGCTTGTGCAGCATCGGGTCTTTCCAGGAAGCCATTAATCACTTCATGAATCACGCCGTCCCCGCTGACGGTGACAATGGCATCAAAGGCGTCGATATCGAGGTCTTTGGCGATCTGAACGGCATGTCCCTGAGACTCGGTATCTAATTATTTCCGCGATGAATCTTGTTCAATAAGCTTGCTCATCCTTGTTTCACCGTATATATGAATCTGAACCAAAGGCCTTACATTGAACCGACAATTGGCACCCGGCCGCTTCAAAAACAGGGCGTACATGGGATTCGAACGTCTGCTTGGCGAGGCCCTGACCACCAAAAGGATTGATCAGCACTTTTAACCGTTTCTCAGGTTGCAGACCTATAAAATTCGTGCAACCTTTGTATCAGCATCTCGTTTGGGCCAGCCGTTGCACTGTAAAAAATAAAGATATGTACCTTTGTACACATCGTCCATGACTTGGTTGCAAAATTGGACGGCGGTATCCTGGTCACCTTCATTGGCCGAATACAAGAATTTATACGGCTCTAAGCGTGCATTCTTGTTCTTTGAATCGCGGTGAACAAGGGCCCGAATCTGCACCATGTTGGTTCGGTGAAGATGGGTAATGTGTAAAAGGTACAACTTGTCGATAGTAATGCCTCCATTCTTTTCGCTGGTTTGGCCAAACGAGAGACAGCTGCGGGAAGATGAGGCTAATGGGGTAACCATAAATATAATGGCTGAATCAGAAAACTCTTTGGTAATAATATGTACCTTTTTTATCCATCTCGTCTCCTTCTATATGTAACGATTGCCCATCGTAAGTCAAGTGAATGACTTTGGCTCCCTTTTTCAGAGCCAACGTAAGTGGCATGGTGCGAACAGGGAATAAGAGAGAGAGACAGAGAGAGCGGGGGAGGAAGAGAGCGACCAAAAAAAAAAAAAAAAAAAAAAAGACAAGTAGACCCACTTGAGAAACAGGAAAATCTGTCGTTCCGAGGAAAAAAAAAGGTCCACATTTAATTTAACCGTTGGCCGACCACTGTCTTATATTGAGGAAACGCAAAAGCAATAGATGGTTTTTTTTTTTATTTTTTCTCGTCATCTACTTGGCATAACAAAACTCTGGCATCCACTAACTGGTTCTCTTCGACTCTCATAGTTACCACGCCATCGTGGCGACTCAGGATCTTGACTTCCGTTTTCATGGATTCAATAGACAACAACGGTGTGTTCTTTTGGACCACCGTGCCACTGGGAGCCAGAATCTTGAGAATGCGGCATGGCATCGAAGAAGTGTAAGGCGTCACTAAAAGGAATAAATAATGTGTATACATATAAGTGCTCGGCTGACATGTGAAAAAGATAATTTCATATCGTCGTCCCGCTGGGGTTACCTCGGTCATCTTCTGTTTGAGCAGAGGCGCTCTTTAATCGGTCCTGCTTGAGAAATTCGATTTGGTATCCTTTGATAAAATCATGGACAAAAATGGACTTTTCGTTCACATCGTGCACCTGTTCAGCAAGATAAAACAGTTTCTGATGGCCATTGATGCTGCAGCGAAGCAGGCCCTTGCAGCCCATGATACCCTTGGGGCCAGGCGTTTCTTTTCCGAAATCGGTGTCGTAAAGGACAGCCGACAGCGGCAAGTCGGCTTCAGAGGTAGCATCCTTGTTAAATAGCGTGACACCACACTGAAATGCATGCTTGCGTGTGTCGCGGTTGACTTGCAGATGATGATCGTATTTAATTTCCACTTCGTCAGTATGGTTCACAAGGAACCGAGTATGAGCCGGTTTCCATTTGACGTTGCGCCAGTTGGGAGCGATATTGCGCAAATGGACTTGCTGCGATTTGCGAATCGACCAATCAAATAGCATGGCGGCGATCACTTTGTCCTGGACTTCCTCAAGACGCAATGGGTGGAATAAGCGCTCTTTTTCCATATTGATAAAATTGGTGTCAAAAGTGCCCGATTGGAATCGCGGATTGTTCATGATGCTGATAAGGAATTTCTGGTTCGTGGTAAGACCTAAAATGACCGTACGAGCCAACACCGAGGCCATCAGTTGCACCGCCTCACGACGTGTGGGTGCATGAACAATGACTTTGGCAATCATCGAGTCGTAAAATACAGAAATCTCGGAGCCTATAGGATATCGATATGGGGGTTTCTTCTTATTAGAGTTGGCGCTTGCAATCATTCCTGGATCTAGTGCGGCTTACCATCTTCTACGCCAGTATCATAACGAACTCCTGCCATCGAATGAGTGGCATTGGCTGGGCTCCATTTGTAGATGGTGCCGGTGCGTGGAGCAAAGTCGTTGTCAGGATCCTCGGCACACAATCGAACCTCGATAGCATGACCCCTGAAGGTCAAGTTCTCCAGTACACCGAGTTCTTTCAAGTTGACTCCTTGAGCCACAAGAATTTGCAGTTCCACGAGATCCAGGCCGGAAATAGCCTCAGTAATAGGGTGCTCCACTTGCAATCGTGTATTGAGTTCAAGAAAGTAAAACTTTCTGGTTCTTTCATCCTAATTTATTATCAGCGACAGGACAAGGAAAAAATAATATGTAGCCTGCTGAGGCCATGTCGTCCTACCAAGATAAATTCGGCTGTTCCCGCTCCTCGATAACCGAGCTTGCGACCTAATTCGACGGCGGCCGATGTCATGGCTTTCCTTAGTGGCTCATCCACAGCAGGTGAAGGCGTTTCCTAGCAACACCACCTCAGCAATAATCCTCACTTCTGGGTTATTTGATCTATTTTACCTCGACCACTTTCTGATGTCTACGTTGAATAGAACAATCGCGCTCATTGATGTGGTAAACGTTGCCGTGCACATCGCCAAAAATTTGAATCTACAAGTGTGCGCGAGAAGCAGCTAATGAATCAGTGAAAAAACAGGAAAAAAGACGTAATCTGTTTACCTCTACGTGACGGATGCTTTCAAAATATTTTTCAATCAAGAGTTTATCGGAGCCAAAGGCACGAAGTGATTCGCCTTTGGCCGCTTCAATCTCATCGCGTAGTTTACTTGGATCATACACGGTACGCATGCCTTTGCCACCTCCACCAGCGGAGGCCTTTAAAAGCACGGGAAACTCTAAAACCGACATCAAGGTCAGCGTGGCCCTTTTTTGGTTGAGTGTGTCCACATTTTTTGTTACCAATGCGGTTCGCTTCTCGCTCCAATGTGTCGACGCTCTGATCTTCACCGTTGTAGCCGGGGATCAGTGGGATGGATGGTGCATGAGCCTTGATAAATACTTTGGCAGCGATCTACGAAGTCGAGTAATGAAAAAAGGATAAATCAATGATCGACAGGCGATGCCGGTTTAATTTGATACGCACTTTATCGCCAATGGCACGAATGGATTCCGGGGTAGGGCCGATAAAGTTGATGCCTTGATCAATCACGCGTTGTGCGAAATCGGCATTCTCGGATAAGAATCCGTATCCAGGATGCAAAGCGTCGGCGCCCGACCGTAGGGCGACGGCAATAAGTTTTTCGCCATCCAGGTACGACTGCGCCGCTACCGACGGTCCAATATGATACGCTTCATCGGCAAGCCTTACGAAGGGTGCATATTCATCACTAACGCAAGAAATAAAAAGATTTAAGTATACAAGAAGACACGGTTGTTCACTGGTATGCATGTGAGTATCGAGAGGTACCTGTCCGAATATACGGCCACTGTCGCGATACCAAGACGACGACAGGTACGCATAACCCGGCAAGCGATTTCACCGCGATTAGCAACAAGCACTTTCTTGATCATTATGGGCGCCATGGTCAATTGCAGCAATGAAAACGACGGGGTAAAAACGATAAAACCAAAGATAAAAGATAGGAGAAAAAAAGGTCCAACAACCAAGTAAGAAAAACCAAAAGTGAAAGGGAAAAAGAGAGACGACTTACGTTGAGATAATTGGGGTGTGAGAATTCGTCTTTAACGCTGCGATGGATTTCCTTTTTCACTCTATTGCTTATGACAGTTTGGATGCTGAGTGTGTGAGATCCTCAAACCCCACTCACGGAGTTTTACACCAGCATATGAAAATTAAGTGCCTAATTTTTTTTTTTTTTTTTTTTTGGATCTGCACCAAACCATTATCACTTTATTGCCATACAGATTGAATCCAGTCTTTTTTTTTATTTTTCGTATTCACGCATCCTCAAGAGTCATACTATATATATTGAGTTGTTATTCGTCAGACACATGCACTTGTAAATGGATTTCTGAGGGAAAACTTTTACCTTTTTGGCAATCATGCCTTCAGGTGGTCTTGTTTCCACCTTTTTGCTACCAACTTCGGACCAGTTGGTGGAAAGACACGTTCCGTTGCTCTCAACAAAACTTTTCATCATGGCCCGTTTGGTGTCATCGTCGGCATTACTGTAAATCTGTTGGAAGAGCGCGTTCAAAGCCGCTTCGCCTTCCGGTTTATCCTGATCATTGTCAATCTCCTTTACAAGTTTATCCCAGTTCTTGGGTTGCCGTGCTTTGGTCGTCTCGCTCGATGCCACTATGTCGACATAAGTTAATCGGTCCTCTATGCAAACGTTACACTTGATTGGACTTACTAGGTTGACCTTGTCCGTCATTTCCTTCAAGGGCTCCCCACATGATGCCATCCATTTTCTTTTTCAGTCTGATCTCTACTTTGGTGGATAGGATCTTGAAAGAGGAATCTTTGGGAACGATTTCATGTGCCAACGGATCGAGTTCAAGCGAGAATTCTCCTCCCGTAGGCATTCTAATAACCACCGATAACTGAATGATTAAAGGATGGGGTAAGTCTCAAACACCCATTTTTTTTTCATTTTCATATGCAATCATATATGTCTTACAGATTGATCATAAAACTCGACTTGCACAGCGTCTTGTTGAAGGTTCTTGATGAAAATTTCCACGGTTACATTTTTTTCATTTTGGAACCATTCATGTCTATCCAATAAATGAGCGGTATGATCACAATGTCAATTCACATGGTTTTTTTTTATCACGCAACCCCTCGCCACCCTCCTCCCCCTCTTTTTTTTTTTTTTCGTCGAGCCTCAGAGGCCTTATTTTTCTTATCCACCCCTTGACCGTTGACCCCTGTTTCCTGTATTTCATTTTCATGCTGTTTTGTTACCTTGCGCGAATGGATGGCGGAGTTGCGGTAGACGATGGCTGCAATGGAACAATGGGAGGCGTTACTGAATCCCAAGCCGTACAGTTAATCATACATGAACACAAATAACGGATTAAGATGATGTATAATATATACCTTGGGGAATCTTTTCTTGGTTTTTACGAATCCAAGTGACGAGCGTTTTTTCTGCAGGATTGAGTTCTTTCGAGTTTTCAAGATGACGTTGTGCTTCAGCGTATCGGCCCAGTCGATGCAAGACAATGCTATCGTGTATCAAAAGTGCCAAATGTTATTTTCTTGGAACTCCATCCACAGTTATGCATAAAAACGTACCCTTGCTGCAAGTGCGCTCTGGCAAGAAGACTTCGAGCACCTTGGTTCGTTTCCAACAGCGTCAATGCTTTGGAAGCATCACTGAGAGCATGATCAAGTTGGTTCAATTTCTGATAGACGACACACCTGGTATAAAGGAAAAAGACGTTTGAGTTGGAAAGAAACGAAGACGGAGGTCGTGACGATGGAATGAAGAAGGGAAAAAAAAGGGAATCCGCGCGTTACCGTCTTAGTAAAAAGTCGGCGTTGGTGGGTTCCAATTCAATGGCCTCACCGAACAGTTGCAACGCTTCGTCGTAATCGTCGTCAAAAAAGGCATCGTTGGCCTTGGCATAGATCTCGGCCGCAGTGGACATTGTATGGTATTGGTGTGTATGTGTGTGTGAAGAGCGAGTGAGAACCCCTTGGAAAGCGAAAGAAGCGTGTGACTGTCTCCCAAAAGGGTGCTTTCATGCGGCGAAAGAAAAACCCAGACCAAAGGAAACAGCGGAGTTGCAATGGATCCAAGGATCTGCAGGACCCACCAAAAGGGAAAACTCAGGGGCTAAATGTGGGGTGAAGAGTGTGAACTGAGGCATTCAATACATGCCTTTTAGGGCCGCCAAAGAACAAACAATAAGAAATGATTCAACTCCGAAAAAGGATCGTCATTCATAAAAAGCAAAACATGTATTCATGCCATGGCCATGCCCATTTTCACCGTTTCTTTCTCTTCTTCTTCTTCTTTTCTTATCTTTGTCTCACACCATGGTGTTTGATCACAGTATACGTTCTACCAGTGAACATTTTGAAGATATTATTGACACCCTGGGAAGACCTGTACGGCCTTATCTACCCGTCGTCAGCCGTTTCCTCATTGTCGCCACTTTTTATGAAGATGCTCTTCGAATTCTGGTGCAATGGAAATATCAATGTATTTATCTCGAGAATTCACGCCACTTTCCAAGGTTCTTGGCTCAAGCATTCTTGGCACTCAATGTTGTGGTATGTAATAAAAAATTACTATCAAGTCACTAGGAGACCGGTAGTGACAAGTTGAGATGGATGCTGTGGGTGGCCCGCGTATTAACGTTTGTGTGTTTCCAAGGCCATGTGTATCGCTTCAACCTCGATCATTGGTAAAAAATGGGTGGGATCAAGCACCTGTGTCTTGACGTCCGTGATTGTAGCCCAGGCATTGGCCTATGGTCTTGTTTTTGATATGGTAGGCATCCCAACCAAGGTTGAAGGTAACTGCCACTGGATATCAGTATTGAAAATGCCGTTTCCGTTTGTTCTACGTGCGTTAGGCTTTCTTCATTCGTAATTTGTCAGTCACTGGTGGACTGCTCATGTGTTTGTCAGAGTCCTTGCTTCGTCGACGATCCAAGAATGTGTTTGCGGCCTTGCCTCAGTTATCCGAAAGTGAACGTCACAAATACTTTCAGCTCGCTGGGCGAATCATGCTGGTCCTGCTGTTCCTCGCATTCGTCATCAACGGTGAATGGAGTCTCCTGCGTGGTGCTGCATCGCTCATCAGTCTGGCAGCGTGTTTGATGATTATTGTGGGATTCCGCGCCAAATGGTCCGCTACTTTGCTTGTCACCTGTTTATGCGTCATGAATGTACTCGTCAACAATTGGTGGTCCGTGCATCACTCCTACTCCACCCGTGATTTCCTCAAATACGACTTTTTCCAAACCCTCAGCATCATGGGGGGTTTCCTGCTCCTTATTTCTATTGGCCCAGGAGGTTTGAGCTACGACGAAAAGAAGAAGGAATTCTAGAAAAAGAACAATCAAGGGAAAGAACGACGGGTGATTTTCAAATCCTGAAAAGATAAAGAACCTCATCCTCTCTCCCACTCTCTCTATCTCTCCCCTATAATTTTGTATCAATCAATAATAAGTATCCACTAACATAAATAAGCCATTTGATATCATTTGTTGAGAAAAACAAATTGCACCAAATTTACACAAAGGGTTGGGCTAGGATGTTTTAAAGGTATCTGCCACCAACTGGACGGCTTGAAGCTGCGAGTCGGTGGGTTCGTTGGACCACAGCCGTGATGCAAGACCATGGTTCAAAAAGGATTGAGGGGTGCGCTTGGTGAGTATAGGCTGGTCTCTCTTCATGAATCGTTCCAACCATAGTTTCTTTACTTTGAAATCCTCCTTCTTCACCACCAGATCGGACCAACTAGGAATTTGACTCAAGGCAGCACGAACTACGAGTCGAATACCAACGTAGATATGTTCCGACACGAGAACGGTCAGCAACGTGAAAATAGGTGTATAGGACGAGTGAAGGTCAGTGGAAGGATGGAACATGTAACCAAAGGAAGCCATGGTCACGGACGACAGCCATGCCAACGTCTCAAGATTGCCCACCCAAGCACCCGCGTTTTCTGCCCTGTAGGGAATAGGTCGTCTACAAAAAATATTTCCCCAAATGTTATGATGTTTGTGATGACATGATACTTCTCGATGGTATGAACTTACCTGGTGTATCGACACACTTTGATGGCGTCTCCTCGAAGTTCGATCCAGTTATTTACAAGACAGCACAGCGCCGTGAGCGGCCAGACAGTGGAGAACATGCTTACATAGCCAAACTAAAACGCATCATCATGAGAACCTGCTACCATTGAGACATGTATCTAAAGATATCGCTTTACCTGAATCACCATTTCAACATAGTCTGAATACACATTGTAATCGTCAAGCGACACTTGTCTGTATATTGTTTTCATCAAGCGGGCTTCTTCGGGATCGGTCGGCTGCTTCGTGGAAACAAGGGGCGACGTCTGATCGTCTGGTTCTTTGTCGAGCACTTTGTCCGTCAATTTGGTGGCTTTTGGCATCCACTTGCGCATCAGATATGGCACGACCATTTCCGTCAGGAACCCAATGACCTGGCCAGTCATGATAAAGTAAATCAGTTGATCACGTAATCGTTGAAAGTCGACCTTTTTATGCTCATGGCTGATATTGAATTCGGTAAGGTACGGTAGAACATGATCGCCAAACGGAATATAAATCCAGGCAGTAATAAACTAATCACCGCGTCTTAAGTATCAAAAAATGCCAATCACGCAACTTTTAATTCTTTCTGCAAAAATGTACTTACCAGCGACAAGTAGCTCACGAGAAAATTGGCGACAAAAATTTTCTGCGTGTAGTGATACTCCCACGAAGTTTCGGTTTTGTGCATTTCCCAGTTATTCAACAGTCGCACCCATTTGCTGTAGATACCAGACATGAACGGGATCAATAAAACGTAGCCTATCGTGGGTGCGTAGTGCTGCGAAGTATGTCAGTTCATAAAATAGTCCCAAAAGCTCTGTCTATCCGCAGTCTAGATTTTACCAGATATTGCTTGAGTGGTCCATTGTAGTATTCATGCAGAAACAGCTGAATGATGAAAACGAGGGCTACAATGAAGCTGAGAACGATGGCGCCCATGCTGACCCCGGGAAACGTGAGAGTACGACGCACAAAGATTTTCCAGGTTGGACAATACGGCATTTCTTCACCCGTCACTTCATCTCGCACGGTCCGATCGCCTTTAAAATCAAGACGCCGTTTTTCATATTTTGAACAATTGCGGACGCCCCACGACACCGCCAACTGTTGCTCTTTTCGCTTCCACATTTCAATGTACAAAACGCTCCACACCAGCATGCATAACGAGTACCAGCCGCTCAACGTGTTGCTGTGGGTGAGATATACTAACCCGCCAAGCACCGTGGGCACTGTAAGCCACATCATATAATTTTGTAGGAACGCGAAATAAAAGGCAATCTGCGAAACAGCAGTGAATATAAATCCGGAATGTCCCATGAATGCCGTTTTGTTCCAACCCGTACCTTTTCGCCAAACTGATTACGAATCTGGTTCAGATCATCGTGGTTGATATACCATTTCTTGGTCCATAAATGGATCCAATGCTATTCAATGCGTTAGTTGCTTCTGCACAATCACCAAGGGATCGCTCGATAAACGTTACCTTGTTAAAGTCATCGTCGTGAAGGGTCATGATGCTTTGGACATAATTATCCAACATGGGCGAGATATTTGCTCCACCTTCGGATTCCGGTCCGGTTAAAATGTCATAGATAATCCGTAACCTTTCCCCTTCGGTGAGTTCTTGCGGTTGTGCTTGGCTATCTTCCTCACTTTCCACCTCGTTCACGCGGATACCCAATAAAATATCTCGGACTCTGAACATCAAAACGGGGAAACGGTTTTAGTATGAGTATGCATAAGCTGGCATTAAAAAAAAGGGAAATAATCAATGTACCGCTCCCGACGACACGCTTCTTCCAGAGAATCCACGGGACAGCTCACCAGGATGAGAAGCTGGCCTTTGATCTGCCCAGGCCGAACCTGGAAACGGAGATTGACTTTGGTCAACTTGCTTGTCAGTGACTGCAAAGCTTGAGTGACCTTGGTTTCCAGTTGTTCGCGGGATTGTCCCTCGGCTGGCTTGGTAGGGAAATGGAATACAATAACATAGTCAATGCCCGCATTCTTGGCTGTAGTGGTGGTCTTGGCCCGATCGGGTTTGACGGACGACGAAGCATCGTCATTGTACAACGGCGTGTTGTGCAGTTTGTCGAGATTCTCGACATTGGGCGTCGAGACCACCGCCGCAGTAGGAAACTTGTGAGAAAATGTTTTTATTTCTTGGGATATGGTGTTGATATCCGCTGCTCGTTCGCTTGCCATTGCTAAGACTGGTCGTGCTAAACTACAAAAAGCGAAACAAACATGCAAGCCCGGCCACCCGAATTGGAACCCATTGTCTTGGCGATCAAAAACCCGCCAGTCACACAATTGTGTCACTGTGATGACAATCCCTTGGTGCAGCGAAGGGTGGAGCGAATGGTAGCGAAATTCCCGTTTGGGCTTAGCCCCACTGATCTCAGTAAGTGATAGTGTGTATCACACGAAAAAAAGGAATCTATTCGATACATCCAGCGAACAAGTCAAGGCGCTTTGTCCCGTGAAAACAGTGGGGATTTCAGTGAGCGGTCTTGGCTGCATGCGCATTGCATTTTCACCCATGATGTGCATGGGTCCTCTTTTATATGCCAAAAAATAAAAAAGATCAAAAACATAGGAAGCGAAGTGCAAAAGAAGGAACGCACAGTGCCCGTCTCGGTCGGCATAGAATATCTAGGATAGAACCATGGTATGGTTGAAATATTTTACGCGTAAACATGCGAATGCATGCACCATGCTTTTACAACGCAAGAGAAATAACAGAATAACAGCCGCATGAAACAAGGGTTTATATACGCAGCGATCTACCATGATGCGTTCTATCTTCAATGTGGAATAGTCATTGGAGTTCACGGGAAATACGCGCGCTAATCATAACGGTCTCTGAGCGATTCTCTTATGTCGTCAGTGACGTGCCATTCAGGTAATTGCAATTAACGGTCTCAATCACGAGAGGTGATCTTCGGCAGATGACCTAAAAAAATAAGATTGTTTTTATTTCCAACAAACCATCCTATCCCAATCCCTTATCTGCGCTGATTCAGTAGTGCGATCGGTTCCCTTGAATGTGTTTTTCTTTTAGCACGAGTTTTATTTTTAAAAAGATGTTTGTTTCGAGTGATGGTTAATTATAGGTACTTGAGGCATCTGCAAAACATGGCAACGCCTGCATATATCAGGGTGCCAGCATGTACGGTGCCTATCAGAATGAAAATGATGAAAGCTAGGCGTAGCCTAATAAAGCATCGAGGAGAGCGGATTTTCCATGAAGAGTTTACATTGATTGGTAGAATAAAAGGGTTAAACTTTGGCGCTTCCCTTTCTCGCATATCCAAACTGGGCCTTCTCACATAACCAAACTCGGTAATTCTTTATTGCCATAGAATAAAAAGTAAACTTGAACCGCTGTTTATTTTTCACTTTTTACTACTCCCTGATCTCAAGGGGTAGACATGCGGAAAACTTATTCTCTTTATATATATTTTCTTCTTGTTTTCCCAATTTCGTTTTTATTTCATTTTCCCTTTATTTTTTATTTTTTATTTTTTATTCTCTTTATTCTAATCCATTCATTGATCCTTTGTTGGGATCCTTTGTACCAGTAAGTTGATGTTTGAATGCTCTCGCCTTGCATGTTTTAACCGATTTGTGAACAGCCATGTATTATTCTTTTCGCTTTGCTGCTGAGGTAACCCGTTTATGTATGGAAGAGATCCGATGTCGAGGTTTACAGGAACGCAAGATTCTGAGAAAGACTCGTAAATATTTGACCAATCCCGTACACAGCATATTCAACGCAGACGCACTCACATAAGCGATTCCATTATATAGTGCCGGATAGTATACTTTGTACCAGAGTGTTTGGCCAGCGAACTTGCACGCAGCAAGATCTTGCCCACATCAGTATCCATTCCGTGGCTACCCTCATGCAAGACATCCTTTGGAGTTGTCAGGATCGCATTCTGTCGAAAAAGATTTGGCGATACATTAATTACGAAAGTAAGCGTCTCATTGACAACCTATTTTTCTCGTTTCGGCATCATGGTATTAATTACTTTAAATTGCTTTTTTCTTTTTTTTTTTTGCCATCTTTGGCAGCTTGCACGTTGTCGAGCTTGATGGCACTGTTAACGACCCAGGCCGAGCAATTGTTGATGGATATTCTCGATTTCTTGGTGGAAGTTATGCAACACAAAATGGTCAATAGGATGGATGCCTATCATTTGGGAGAAGCCATGGGCAAAGTGACGCTGGGCCCTTACAACTGCGATCAAATTATTGCCGAAAAAGCCAATCATCTATTAACGCGCATGATCATTGAACATTCTAAAATGCGGTACCAACTGCGGAAGAAAAAACCGCAGTTGCCAGTCCCACGGGGACTTCATCGCATCGATTCCGGATTTGCATCCACTCACTTTCGATACAGAGAGTACCGACCCATGACCAAATCCGAAGCGACACATGCAAAGGCTAAATCGTATGATCGGTTGATTCATAAGGTGCGCCAATCCGCCAGTGACTGGAGTACCAACGTGGACGGACTTTATGCTCTTTTGGAGGACGAGTACAATCTAGCGCCTGAACCTCCTGAAAAACCGTGGATCTCCATTTTCTCCACGGAGATGCCGACCAAGAACGATATGGCGGCTTCCCCACTTTTATACCGTATCTTGGTCGAAGCGTGTAAACCCAAGGAAACGGTGCCTGACGATCCGTTTGCTCGATCGTATTTATTCTCCACACACATAGACACAGTTGAGGCTGGCCTCAAAAGAGCATTTAGTGAATTCAGGATCCAGCATACCTTGTCGTCTCCTCCATCTGAAAAACCGGCCAGCCCTTTGCAAAAAATCAACCACTCCATCTCCCATCTCAAATTGAATCTCCGAAGGCATCGGTCGCGGCAGGACTTGCTGGATGAAAGTGGTGACGACGACAGCGACTCCGAGTCGGACGACACCCAGGTCGCGCACGATGATGTCAAGCCAGGCTACAAACCACACTCGGTCAAGGGCATGGTCAAGCGAATGATGAAATTCAGCGGAACTATCGCACCTGGCGCCGTCAAAAAGGATGGTTCAGAGCATAAAATGCTGCATGTGTAATGCCGATCCACCGCTAGATACAAAGTTTTTTTTTATCCCCTTCCCCATCCTTGCCTGTTTCATTGCTTTCTAATTTATGTGTTCTGTTTTTTTTCTTACCGTGAGAAGCGAATAAAGACGAAAAAAAAAAAGAAGGCCATCATCGGGTTCGGATGTAAAAAGTCCGCCTATCAGTTATAGTGAGGATATAAAGACCAAGTGGAGACGCACAGACCGCCCTTGCCACGCGTGGTGGCCAGAGGTTTAAAGATCGCTTTTCATTTTATGGCTGGTCACTATTTTATCAACTATTTCATGACCCATCCGAAACCATGGTGACTAGGGCTTGGTCGTACCCTATTCCCCTCCCCCACACAGGACCCCCAAAACCCGCTCATTTTTTTTTCTCAAGTAATAGCCATTCCCGTCCAATCATGTCTCGGCTTCCACGGCACTCGGAAAACGAGTCTTATCTTGCCATTTCTGGTTACCGTTACGCAAGGCGCACAGGCAAAGCATACACAAAAAAAAAGCCCATCATGTTGCATGCAATCGCCGCTCCAATGTGATTCTATTTTCCTCGATTATTCTAGAGCAAACGGTAAGGCAAAGAGGTTACGTTATTCACACGGTAAGACTGGCCGTTTCTGAATGGTCTAGTTCAGGTAGACAAGCGCGGGGACCTACATGTCATTGGTCAACGCTTATAATAATATTTTAGGCTATCCGATTACACCATGGCTATCGGCCACAAATAGGAAAGGATCATGGGAACATTTTGAGAAAACTCTATCATAGCCATCGGTTCGCGTCGTTGGGAAAAAATTGTTGTTGTATTTGTATACACGCCATAAAAAATGGAATGGCTGCCATTGGCCATAAACATCCATTTTTAAATCGATCCTGAGGCGATATTCGTACTAAGAGTGCGTGACAGTGTAACCTTCAATTAGGATCGAGACAAGACACGTTCACCTTTGCTTAAAATCGACAGCCACTTACTTTTCCAAGCAATGTTTCCCCTGTGATCCTACTTGGAATCTCGAAAAACCAAATAGTATGACATAAACAATAAACATTTGACTCTCTGTTTTCCACAACCTAATTCACCTCAACAAAAAGATTGGCACCAGATAAGTGGTTTCTTTTTTCTTATTTATTTTAACTTTTTGCATGTTCAATGACATAGGCAACCACGGTTTCTATTACTAAACAAAAAAAAAAAAGAGGCGGTCAATAGAAAAAAATGGAGATGGGTGAACAATGAAAATATGTAGCTGTTCGAAAAAAGGGCGGTGCACAATGCGGGGGGTGGAGAGAACAGTGAAAGAGTTAAGGGAAAAGGTGCATAAACAAGTTTTTTTTTTTTTTTTTTTTGTTTCTTTCAAGAATCACCGTGATTGAAACGAAAGTAGAAAACAAAAACATTACCAAAAATTCATTACAGAGCAATCATAAATATCGGAAAAAAAGTTGCATAATAAGTTAGTAGAAAGATAGAATAATCATCAGAGCTTATGGAAGATGAACGGAATAAGGATCTTTTTCACAGATTTCAAGTGTAGGCAATTTCGTTCGTCGGAAAGTCCAGCGGTTAGCGTGTTCATGATAGGTTTCTGATCACCAAGGCAAAAATAGGCTTAGTTTTTGTCTATCAGCCCAGCCAAGAAAACGGTTTCTCATTTATACCTGCAAACCCTTGATGGGCATACGCGTCGAATTGCCTTCGACGTTTTTCTTCTAATGCAATCAGCTCATAGTAAGCCGATGTATCCAATGCTTGGCGCTGGTTTTCCGATTCAAGCATAGGTTGTAAGATGCGTCGTCGGGCGTTGATAAACCAGTTGCTGATTTGATTGACGGTAAGACCTGTGCGATAGGCAAGGTCCATTTTCTCTTTTTCCGTCGGATAAGGATGCTTTTTATGTTGAACCAGCCAGCGTTTAAGAAACTCAGTCACATCCTTTGGAAGGTTGCCGCGACGACGCTTCTGTTTGGCCGTCGAATCGGACGGCAGGAGGCCGCCACTGCTGTTGCTATTGTTGCTGGTGGTGGTAATACTGACAGGAGGGTCAGCGTCACTTCTGATGGACACTTTGGCGGCAGATTCGGTGATGCCGGCAGATATATCAGTGATAGATAACGGTGGCGACAATGAGAGTGTGCGACAAAATGCAGAGGGTTCGTGATGCAAATGCATGATTTTTTCTTGAGCGCTTATTTTACTATGATACAGCGGTGGCGGAGTCGAGGTTCGTGTGAGTGGTTCCAGTGGCGTAATGGTGGGCGAAGTCAACGTCGTTGACAAACTGTCGCCCGATGAAGAACTGCTATTGGTAGTCGAGCTGGTGCTAATGTCGGGTAATACGTCGCTCGTACGAAAATCATTGGAAAAATTCGCTGGGAACAGTTCTCTTAAAACTATTGGACAATCAATATATCATTAATCTCTGGCTTCCTTTTTTTTTTTTTTTTTCGCCAGAGGTAGTTTTACCTGAAGTTTTAAATGAGAAAAGGGAAGCTGTATTTTGTCGTTTCCACCACCACAACTGCGCGTTTTGTTCCAGCATTTCGGTGGTTTTTGCCCGGTGTTCGTTAATCAATCCCCGGTATTGATTGCTTTGCCATGGCAGTGTTAAGCGATTCGAAGGGTAGTCATGGAAAAGAACAAGAGGACAAAATGTACGAGTTTCTGTCTAACGAAACAAGAAGGAAAAAAGAAAGAGATAAGAAAGAATCAGTCGCTGATTAGAAACGTGTTTCCACAAGCCTCATCCTTACATGAGACATTGCCGTTGATATATATTTTGTTTAAAGCAAGAAAAAAGAAAAAGAGAAATGGAAAAACACAAATGGTAAATAAAAGAGTAGGAAAAAAGAAGCACAATGGATCCAAGCCAAGAGTCGAATTTTATAGATTCCAGAAAAAAATTAGACTACGCTAAGAAAAAAAAAAAAAAAAAAAAAAAACGAAAAAAATCACGATTCATCAGTGCACCAAGTCACGATCCCCCAGTTTGGATGGGAGATTTTTTGCCACTTGTCAAGCGTTAGTCAAGCTGCCATACCGTGCTATACCAAGTCAGCGTGGATCACGGGTTCATTAAAAAAAGGCTTATTATGCAAACTAAAAAGAAAAAGAAAGTTGCCTAAATGCGCGTTTTGTACACTGATTCGTACATCAGCTGCCATCTTAAATCCCTACTTTGTTCTCCTCCTCGTGATCATCGTTGCAGATGTGTATAACTGTACTATATTTTTCTTTTTTGGTTTTTTGATTTGGTGACAAACCTAATGTCGCTAGTTTCCAAGTGGAACGCCGTTCCTTTGACTCCGTTTGTGCGATCCGGCGCCGTCGCGGCACCCCCCATCCCCCTTCTTTTTTCCCCCTTGGCTCATTGACGACTTTCATATTAGGCATTTCCGGATACATGGGAAAGCATCGAGCATTTTGCTGCTGTACAACAGCCCATGTCCGAAGTGTTCCGCTTGAGATTCCTTCTATTTATGTTTTGGTACGCAATGAACGGGAGTAATGCATAGACGCAATTTCTTTCAGTGAGAGATCAATACAACAGTATAGAGGATTCAAAGCTTGACCGTACCGTAAAGGAAAGTACCTGTTGACGATAAATGAGAAGCACCACAACAACCACAGCACCGTTGCCGAGGCGATGTCAATAAAAAATAATTACTGTTACCCGTGCACTGACCATATGACAACCCGAGTAGAGTATTAAATTTTTTTTTCTCGTGCGTTCCTTTGACTTTCTATTTCGCCATCTGTGTTGACGCGGTCGCCAGTAATACTTTTTCTTTTTGGAAGTTGGCCAAGATACTGTAACATCGTTCAGTATACAATGAATTTATAGTTTGTCTTGAAACCGCCGATGAACTTGGGCTTATTGTTAGGTCAATGTCCGGTTACCGCTTATGTTCATGTTGTGAAAGGCTAGTTTATTGGGGAGCACAGGCACAAAAAAAAAGATTAGCCATCAATGGATTCCGCTCCCGACTCGCCTATCACACGGAAAAAAAGAGCCCTTTGACTTATTTTTTTTTCTTGTACAACCTTTTTAATCATGGTGCTTTTCCTTATTTCCCATTTACTGCGTACCCCGAAAACTAAGGGCGTGCGCTCAACAATGCTTACGCATCGTCTTTGATTTTTGGATCTTTTCCTGATGTGCATTTCCGGTAAGTAAATTCGCTCAATGATGAACACAAAATTCAAGTTGCACGAAAAATAAATTCGCCTTGATAGGAAATTAATTCGCTATTGTTGTGCTTTATCTGCCTTCATATTCTCCTGAACTCAATCAATTAAAGAATTCTGATCAGTTGTTACAGTAAATAAAAAAGTAACTTCCTGGAAAAGGATGCCTTGATGGCGAGATTCAGTGAAGCTTCTAATAGCTTGGAGCTAATTGATTTTGAAAGTTTTAATGGGCATTCTCACAAATACTTGGACAAATCTCGTAATAAGCAAGCGCTCTGAGGGAAGCTTTCAAAAGAAAAATCATATCATTCACTCGGTTTCACGCGTTTTCACGAGTCACACCACAGTACTTCCCCCCGTTTATATATATATATATCCTTGATGCAGTAGAAAGACACGCAACGAACGATTCGCACATCAGCGTCATCGTCATATGTCCATCCTCACTGCTTTGTTCTTCAAGGAGCTCATGTCACTTATTAGCGGTGACAACATTTAGGAGCAGGATTCATGTCTTGTACTTTTTTTTTTGTATCTATCATTCTCTATGGGACGTGTTGGCCTCCATACCAAAGACAGTCAAGTTGCAGACGTGTTGGCGAAAGGTAATATCAGAAAAGAAAACGAACATGGTAAAATAAGGGGGCCACCATCCACCAACCAAACAAAAATTGTGTTCAGCTAAGGACCAATCAAACTAGGATAAAGAAAGGAGGTGAGCCCACTTGGAAAAACAGTCCAGGAGAAAGAACCATTCGCTTTCACACTTTTCCAGCATTTTCTCTTCCGTGCCAAGGCGTGAATTTTCTAAAGCCAAGCTCCTTTTCAATACTTTATCTATACACATTCCGAAGAAAGACTTCTGCGACGGTCTACAGAAGGTCGATTCTGGATTGGTTACGCCGATTGGAACGCCATAGATAAAGGTACAAAGATAAACGAGATGGGTTGCGCTTCATGCATGGAAGCCAACCGAACGAAACAAGTGGTGCCATTACTCTGAACTAAGTACGCGACTTTTCGAAAGATTAACGGGAGTCAAGACACCTACTTTTGGCAGTGACCGTATATCAGTGGCGGCTACGAAAGCGACGATATAGTATATAACCACAAGTACAACCTGGAGAAAATCGCCAACAATCGCTCTTCAATGGCGTGGACGAGTTTCGGCAGCTCATTCCTTTTCCGCGGAATAGGGAACTGTTCAGTGCCACTTACGATAGGTGGTTCCTAGGTGCAAGGGCTGGCACGGTAATACATCAGGCCGCCAAAGCAGCTGGTAGAAACCCAATAGCCGACCTGGACGAAGAAGGTATCAGAAGCCTAATGACGGAAAGGAGCTGGGAAAAGAGACGACTCTGGCATACGTCAAATCGCGTCATGCATGTTTTGCGGTCATGCCTTTGTCAAGACACATAACAGTTCCCATTTTTGCAGCGTAGTCGACCAGCTGCTGACGTCCCAAGCAGATGGGCTACAGTACACTGCCGCGTACTATGTGCACGATATCGTTGTGATGCTGGAGCATGTAGACGAAGAAGCACTGCAGCTTCAACAACACGATGCAGCAGACGTCTTAAATGAGGCGAGGCACGAACGACGAAGCGACCCGTTTACTTGGGCCCTAGGGCCCATATACGCCGGGCGTGGCTCTAGCCGCCACTTTCTGCTAACTATGGCAATCGACAAGGAGATCGCAGCTGTAGCGGAAGATGACGCAGCACTTGTTGAGGATCCTCCAGCCATCATTGACCATAGAACACGGGACGCGCTGTTAGACCACTTTGAGGATCCGCACATGCGCAGCATCCCTCTGTGTGAAACCACATGTACTCATGACGATGATCCCTGCAACTACTATGTCGTTGGTATTTCTTGTCGATATGACAAGATTAGAAGAACTGATCGAGGGAAGTTCATGGAACAAGAACCCGTCCCGTACAATCGCCAGCATAAGCATTACCGAAGACAAGCAAGGTGTCATCTCAGTCAGAAAATGTATCGATTTCGATTGGCCAAATGGACGACATGGTGTACAGACTATGCAAGACGCCGTAATCCTCTCTGAAATGTCACTCGGCGATGACTGCAAATATGCATACAAAGAAGTTTTGAGTGTCGACATTCCAATCAAATCACTGATTCTGGATTCGAGCAGATGATCAACAAATGGCGAACCCTTATTGGGCAAACACGGAATGCCTTTACGATGTTTTATGATGACCGCCCTGTAAACGAGCATTCAGGGCGCCATAAATTCGGTGTGTCAAGGACCAGCCCAGTGCAAGTTCCAATCCCCGCAAATGGCAACTAGCATGCCCGAACGACAGCTCCGGCGATAAACCGACGCTAGCCTTCCGTTTGTTGCTCATGAACGATCGCTACTACTTACACTGAATGGCTCGTATTTTATAATTTTTTACCTTTTAGTTTCCTGCTTCTGTAAAATGCCTAACGCAAGTGTTTATTTCTAGTCGACTGGTTCAGCCATTCTGGGACACCCTATATTCATGTGGAGCCATTTACTTTCCGCTCCACAATCTGCAGACTTTCTGTCAAAGCCTTATGCAAAACGCCGGATCCTCCGACAACGAGGAGTCACAACACATTGTTCATGCAGACCGCTTCCTCGCAATGCCATACCTGACAAGTCCAAGCCAGTAACCGTGTGCCATCAGCATTACCAGCTGTTTCTGGAATTTTACAATGTTGCGTACGATCAGCAGTATCAACTCTGTTATACCTTGAGGCGAGGCTTGGATACATCTCTGTCAGTCCGGCTATTCAGAAGTTTGCGACCGTCACTTTACAAGGGCAACTTTATCGATGTAAAGAAGCAAAATCCAACCGAGGATTGGTGAATGCAGTTGAAGTGTATGGCAGGAAAAAGATGGTTGACATCCATCGAGAACCATTCGGTTCCCTGAAAAACACGTCCATGCGGGCTTCATTGCCCCCATCAAGATCCATACCCGGACATCTAGCCAACGATGCTCACAAACGCCGATGGAGAAAAGTTGGTGATCGGAACGCAGTCCATGAATACACTGGTGACATCTTCCTTCCGTCTAGACCAGAGATGCCTGCCTTCACTTGGCGCGAAATCGGTGGTTTAAAACTGGGAAAGCTGGACTCGCAAGCAAGCCGAATCTATGTGGATCAAGAGTGCGTAAAAAAGGCAACTGCACCGGCAAAACTCTGCAGCCACAACGAATTAACAAATTCAACACCATCAGCCATCTCCGGCAAGTGTTGTACTTTGTTTTGTACATACCTTGGGACGCCCTGCTGGACCTGTACCGCACACGTTTGTTCTTATTCGCTGGTTCGCTGCGCATCCGACCCAGACCCGACCTTATCTAAGGGCCGGCTTGAAATTTGGAACGACACATCCGTTCTTTGCATAGGGACTCGATTGTACGCGTCATTCGGTTGTTTTCGTCCGTCGCCCTTGCAAGCTTGGAGTCTTCTCGGTCGCGTCAATCACTCAAGATTGAAATCCCCTGCCAGTGGTTGATATCCACGACTCACCCCCATCCGTGTCTTCGTCGGCAGACGTTTCCCCATCGCCACCTCCAGCCACGTTCACCGCCGATCCCCCGACGTATTTGGCCTGCAACGTGGAGATGTATACTAGCACAAGCGGTTAACCCATTTCAAGAGACTTCTCGATGGGACATCTCAGCCCCAGATGGTGAGAAAATGTAAACGCTTCACTTCTCACCAACATCTTCAAAAAAGACAACGTCTTGCTGCCTCTTGTCAACGGTGGAGTACGGCGTCAACATCAAGGCTCGCAAACGTCACTGTTCGCCCCTCTCGTTGCATCTTTGAACGGCTTCGGGCATGTACCAACATATGAGGTATATTCATCATTTGGATGTGCGGCCAGCGGTTGGAAAACCATGGATCTAGAGTAAGGCTATTGGCAACTACCCATGGATCCACGCGATCGGAAGAAAAAACCGCGTTCATTGCTGACGGCTTCCTGTACCAATTTACGTGTCTGCAAGAAGAAGATGGGTTATAAACCCGATATGATTATGCAAGCTGTCCGTGAAGGAAATACGCCGTTGGAATTTGGTGCTTGTGAACGGCGGTCCAATGGGGAAAAAATACAGCTACGAGTCAAGACTTAAACTTCCCAAGACTCTCAAAGGGTGATGAACGGGCCGGCAACTTCATGAGGTTTCTGCCACTTTGTCCTGCGGTGTCGACCATTTATGGGAGGTGCAGCTGCTGCGTGTATCGCCTGTTTCCCTAGCACATGAAGTACCGCCAGCACGTCCATCGCCTGCGACGCGGCGGTATATTCAATGGCGTTTTGCGCTCCATGTCCAACAACAAGAGGAACGTCGACAGCATCGTACACGACGTGAAGGGCACGGTGATGAATCAAGCAGAAGAAGCGTGTCCAAATATTTCTGAAAGAATATGTGCTTGTCAATCAGCGCGTCGATGCAGCAGTTTTAGAGGAGCTTCCGGATGAGACGAAAAGACAATAACATGTTTTTTAAATCAATCATGCACTCAATACCGATCCATTGCAATGTAACTATAATGTCGAACGTCATCGATCACTTGCTATTTTTTTGGAAAATGGATTATGCGCTGACTTTTTCGCAGCAAAGGAATAACAACGTTAATTTCATCATCTAGCTCGATATCATCTAAATTTGGTCGCCTTGATCGATTTGACATATTTCCCTAGGCCATCATAATAAATAAAGTGAGTCCATATTGAGTTCCGTAAAAAAAAAAAAGAAACGCTCCTAAAGTTGCACACGTTGTTGTGTACGGTGGTGCAATGTTGGTGTCACGCAATCACAGTACAACCACCATTGTCCAGAACCTTGTAAAACAAGGGGCATGACAATAGTAATTTTCAATAAGCCCATATGACGTCTTTTATACCACTCTTTGCATCCCATTATTTTTAAAGAGTATAGAGCTTCATGACAGTTACTTTGATCAACCGCCGCTTTTCTTGGCTGAAGCGGACTGTCGCTTGTTGAACCTGCCTTATTGTTTTAATTTTGTCTCTTTTGAGAACAATGAACAAGTCAGACCTTGAACGAATCAAAACCCCGCGATGGACGCAAAATTTCGTCATCTGGCGTCGTTTTAGTCGAGAATGAGGGGAACCTAAAAGTCGGTCAACAAATTTATTACATTGGCTGACACCGCACAGAGGCTCTTGTAATTATGAAGAGCCTGATCAGATGAGAGAACTTTCAGTCCACGCTTTCCCCTTTTTTGAAAATCAGGAGGCGACTGGACATAGGACCTAGGTTACTCAGCTGCAAGTAACGTAAAAAGGAAACACAGATGTCGCAGCCGCAGTAAAAATAATGGTTGAGTTGTTGCTGTAAAGAAACTTACTGATCGTTATTTTTATATGCAGAAAGTTCTTGTCGTTTAGGAACTCTTTGTATAACTTTAGGCCGCAGCATGTGTTTAGAGCAGATGCAGGCAAACCAGTGGATTCTCATATGGAAGGCTATTGAAACACATAAAAAAATCCTTCAAGCATTGGCAATGGTCTAGACAGTTTCAATCATGGGGACACTGATGAAGACAGCGTGCACGTGAGGCATCCAAAAAATTCATCAATTCCGCCCCGTCACGGCTTTGGCGAGATCGTGTTACTCAATGTCAAAAGAGTTGTCCCACTGTCATGCTATTTATCCTTCTCCACGATCCATAGGTTTCTCTTCCCTTAATTATTTGGAATTTCCTAAAAAAAAATCACGGCTTTCCCCATATTCTAAGCTTAAGAATCTGATGTAAAAATCCCACAATATCAAAAGAATCAAGTATATTCCTTCCAGTTTTCTGCACGCTATGGTGTGACTCATAAAAAATCATGCCAGCAGTCGGAACAACCGGTAATGAGCTTTGGTACCATTGTAGATTTTTACTCCATTAACTCTTAATGCGGCAGCGAATATTGGCCGAGATGAAGTGTATTAGGGCAAAAATCCATGTGCTCTTAAGCAAAAGGTCGGGGCTGGTTTTTTATTATTATGTGATGCAAATACATTATGAACAAGTGGCCAAGGTTAAAGGTGTTAAAGGTTATAAGCATACGCGAATGCTGTTGTTGCGATTGGTGTTACCGTTGGCTTCGGGGCTTTTTAGGGGTCGATTTTCAGCCACGTCCAACTGCAACTTCATAGCATTCATTCGTTGCATAAGATCATCAATATCACTTTCAGTCACGCGTTTGGTTGTAGGAGAAACGTCCGGCTGCTGTAACAGTGCGTCTTGCGCATACTGCAAATTCATTTGCAGTTTATTGATCGTCGCATGATGCGCTCGAAGTCCGTGTTGTGCCATAGCCAGCCTGGTCTTGAGCGCCATCAAGTTGCTCTCGTATTGATGGACCAGTTCCTGGCTGCCCAGTCCTTGAAGACTCGTATCGTAATCATGAGTTGCACTGGCATCCGTTGATGACGCGTCGTCCAACTCCTCGTGGCGCGACATATCCGACTCGGAGGACACCGAAAGCGACCGTTGCCGTGGTAATCGTGGCATTGACAGTGCACCCGTTTTGGGCCGCAAACTTTCCCAGGCCATTTCTACCCGCCGGTTTCTCGCCAGTAATGCGTGCACTTCGCTTTGGAATTGTTGCGTTTCAAAGGCCATCTTGTCGCGTTGTTTCAGTAGTTGATGATCCAGTTCAAGCACATGCGCTATCACCTGGGCATCTTGACCGGTAGGATCTTTGCCTTCTTGATGCGCACTTTGCAACTTCTTGATTTCCTCGAGGGTGAGCGATAAATGGCTAGTTTGCTCATGGTACTGTTTCACCAGCTTTTCGTAGATTCCCAGAATCGAGACCGCATCGATTCCTTTGCGCAACTGAAGCACCGACCTGAGTTTGTCATACTTTCGCTTCAAGATGGTATATTCCCGCTTTAACCGATCGAAATTCTTTGCATTTTTGGCGTTTTCGACTTCGATGGCGGTTTCATCGACCGCCGCTCGTGATCCCACCGATTCCGTCTGAGAGGCTTCGTTTTCATCGTCGATTTTCTTTTGTGTATCGCTGAGTTGTTGCTCAAGTTCCACAACGCGATCATGGGCTTCCTGGTATCGTAGCAACACTTCGTCAAGTTCCTTGAGCGATTCACTGTGCTCAGAGTGAGCTTGTTTGATTTCTTCTCGCAGCTCTTCAATCAGTGATGCATTCTTGTCGCCCGTTTCCGCCGACGCTTCCTGCAGTGCTTCCATGTCTGCTTTCAGTGCATCATACTGCTGATTGCGGGTGTCTAGTTCTAAGCGCACACTGTCGAGCTCTTCCAGAAGCAGCTTATGAGCGTGCATGTCAACCACGGGCGGCGATTCAGGGCTTGGCTTGTTGTTGGTGGTGGCCGCGTCTTGCTTCATTGTCTCCAAGGTGCTTTCCAGAGCCGCCTTGGCTGCATTGGCCACGGCTAATTGTTGTTCCAGATCGTGAATATACTTCTCGGTGCTTTCATCGGTTTCCTTGAGTTTCAAAATTCGATTTTTCAACTCGGTCAGCATTTCCTGATCTCGCATGGCCTCTTTGTCGGTGTGGGTCAGTTTCTCTTCGAGTTCGGCAATGTACACTTCTGCCTGTCGTTCCTGATCCTTGTACCTTCTCAGTTGCTGTTCCAATTCCTTGAGGGTCTGTTCCTGATGTTCAATCACGATTTCACACTGTTCCAGCTTGGCCGTCTGTTCCTTGTAACCAATATCTGAATGGTACAGTGCGGCCCTTGACATTTGCAGTTGCGATTCCAGTGACGCCATGCTCTTTTCATACTCTTCAATCACCGGTTCCACGAGGTGCTCAAAATCGACATCGGGTGGCAATGCTCCTCCCTTGCCCGACTGGCGTAACCGGTTGACCTCTTTTTCAAGCCCTCGATTTTGATCGCGCATGTCCGAGGCTTCCATGCGGATTTCCTGAATTTGATGTTGCAAGTCCGAAATGATCAACTGCTGATTCTGATACAGTTGCTCCAGTTCACCTCCGTCAGGGGTAGGTGGACCTATGCCATCCTCGTGTCTCGAGATCAAATGGGGAAGGCTGGATTTCGCTCGTAATTCATTTTTCAGCTTCTCAATCATATTACGTAGCAAGGACACATTATCGGTCGTCATCCATTCCTCGGCCTCGTTTTTCTCCACACGATTCTTGATATTTCTTGCGCGATTCGCGTATCCCAGCGTGTTGATGGTTTCGGATAAATTGTGTTCGGCCGGACTTACACACGCAATCATCAGCGTGGTTGCACTCCCACCCAACGAATCTTGCAGCAAGCGGGTCAGTTTGGAATCGCGATAAGGGACGTGCGTACTTCGTTTGGACGGATCGCCCAACGCTGAAATCACATTGCCCAACGCCAACAGCCCTCCATTGATGTTGATTCCTTCCTTCCTTCGATCGCCCTCAGCGGCCGTCCGTTTGAGCTAAAAAATAGTCGCCGTCGCCTTATTAGTTCTGCATGTCGCTGTATGCCAAATCACCAGCGAGCAACAAATCCCCATTTTCTTTGCTCGTCTGCTCAAACCTGCCCAGACTTACACGTTCACTACCGGCTAAATCGACAAAATGGAATTTGGAGGTCGTGATGATCCATTCGCCGTCCTCGGCTCCTTGGGCCTCGTTGGACGGTGGACGGAAATTAACGGCGCTCAACGGCCGCGGTTTCGGCTGCCTTGGCGGTACAGGGCTGGCCGAACGTGACATGGATGATCCACCCGCAGGCAGCCATCGTTCTTGTCTTAGTGTCACTGAAAAAATAGCGTGTGATCGTGATGATTTTTCATTCATATCCGTAGCACTCGTCGCTCGATTCTGCGTTCCTTGTTGCAAATAGCTAGTGAATAAAAAAAAGATCGTCAGCCGATATGAATTCCACTGAGAGAGGGATTTTCGTTGCTTACAGCAAGACATCTTCTGTACTTGAGACAAGGAGTTCCTTGACCCCTGTCCAGTAAATGTGGCCTTTGGTATCTTCGCGAATTGTGACGGGTGGTTTCTCGGAAGGAGGTGCGGGATTCAGGAGATCGATAAGTTCTTCGTTGTAGATTTCGACAAAGGAAACTTTGACGGTATATTTATACTTGGATGATGATCCGTTGGAACCCGAAGATGAAGAAGAAGACGGTGGCAAAGAGATACGCGAACGCGGATGTAAGGATTGGGGTTTGAGAACGGGTGAGCTGGGGTTGTTGGACGTGGAAGAGGAGGAAGGAGAGGTAGGACTGGGGGGATTCTGAAGACTTTCAAACAGCAACGCCACCGCTCGAGGCACAATGCCTTCATTTTCCATGTCAAATTGTCCGGTGTGCTGGGCGGTGCCCATGGTGTAAGTCTTGCCAGACGAGGTTTGACCCTAAGAAAAACAAGGAGCTTGATTAGGTTTACACTGATCTCAGGAAAGAGACAGACAGACACAGAAAAAGAGATGGGGGGGGGTTTTCTAGTCGTACATAAGCGAGAATCGTCACATTGTAGCCTATTGAACAATTAGTGACTTATTTCAGGCATACAGATTGACCGTAATTTAATAAAGAAACCACCTTGGACAAATTTTTGGATCAAGCGTTGACCCAGTACGGAAAAGATCTCACTCTGTCGGCTGTCCGGTCCAAACACGTAGTCAAACGTGAACGATTTATTGTGCGGCAATACATGCACCGTCTTGTCATGCGCTCGTAAAATGTCGTTGCTCGACTGACCAGCAAAACGAGGTTTGGCGCGATCTCGTTCCGTCAACGGTCGGATACGAAGCGCTATTAAACAAAAAAAAAAAAAAAAAAAAAAAAAGAGTCAACCCACGGTCCATTTTGGTCATTGTCACCATGTCTGCCCTTTTGTTGTAAATGTCATACCTACTTGGACAGCTGCTATTTGACCGTGGCCTTCTTTTGCCATGGTAAAATAAGAACAAGTTCAAGGGGTATATATATATATATACTAACGAAAAGAAAAAAGTAAAAAAGAGAGAAGGAGCAAAAAAAAAGTAGGAAATAGTCAATCCGTCACAAATATTGAATCTTGCCTGAACGAGGCCACTCACAAAAAAAAAAAAAAAAAAAATTACGGGTCAACACAAAAGTTGGTTACACATGCATGGTTCAAATGACAATTCATATTTCGAGCTTTGTTGAATGCACATATAAAAAAAAAATGGGGGGTTTGGCACATTTACCGTGACCGTCATTTAGGGTTATATTGCCAAATGCACACCATAGTTCTGCACATATAAAACAACCATCAACAATCAGAACTTTTCTAACTATCAATAGCTTGACCTCGACGTTTACTGTAAGTACCATGGAAAAAGAGAAGTAATGCCCTAGTGAACATGACCTGAAACATCAGATTGCTGCTGTACCTAATTCTTTTACCTCCGCGGTGTCTCTCGGTGCACTTGAATGCGTAACACAAATGTTTTCTCCCGCGTCTCCTGTCAAGATTCTTCAAATTCAAAAAGATAGATTAATGATTTGGATCGATTTTTCGAGAAAAAAAAAAGACCACCTGGTTTGTACAGAGAGCAAACATCCATCTTTCTGTTAGGTCAACAACTCTTCATATGCCACATTTGTGAAGGTGTCGCCTGTTTGCTAATCAAAATATAAATTGATGTTGTTCTTTACCTTCAAAAAAGAGAGTGGTAAAGGACAGCAACAATTCCATCACCATGGGGAAGACTGAAATGTACAGAGTCAAGGCTTATGAGTTGATCATTAACAAAGCACCAGCGCGTTTTTATGGTTGGGCAGAATTTTAAGATCAGGACCGTGCCATGCAACAGCAAAATGGTGAACATACTATGGACTCATCAATCTCTGCTGCCAACACAGATAAACCTCTCTTCATTGCATTTTTTTTTACCACGTTTGATACACATGTTTTTCGCCCAAATTGCGTTGGGAGGGAAAAAGTTAAGCAAACACTGATCGGCTTGCGATTGTTCTCGCACTTTTTTTTAGATGACAAAAAAACAAAAGACGATGCCAACCTGTTCAAGAAACAGATCAGATCCTTTAGTCCTTTTACTTTATTAAAATGAGAGGATAGATGCGCTTAAGCAGAGTGGAGGGTTTCCAAGAACTTCTTGGAAGCAGCGGTGCTGGCACCCTTCTTCTTGGGCTGAGCCTTGGAGACCTTGCCGGAAGCACGCTTCTCGGAAGCCAAGATTTCGGCACGACGGAGAACCTGGGCATAGGGGTTGAGGCGGTTCATGACACCTTGGTTGCGGAGAGGGTTCTTCTTCTGGGTGTAGGGACGCTTCTGGATCTTGGAACCGGCGGGACGGACGACCGACTGGATTTCGTCAGAGTTGATCAAACGAGCGACATCAGGGTTGGTCATGATGTGAGCAGGCAAGACGTAGTTGCTCTTCAAAGAAGCAGGGGTCTCGTAGGTACCGTAGAGTTCGTCCAAAAGGGCGAAAGCACTCTGGGTCCAGATGATGAAACGACCCAAGTGACCACCGGGAGCAAGCTGCAACAAGTTGAGGCGACGGACGTTGACAAGTTCAACACCGGGCAAGTTGCGGAAAGCCTTGACAATACCGTTGTCTTCGTTGTAGATGACAAGGGGACCACGACGCTGGCGGTGACGACGGTTGCGGAGCTTACCAAGACCGGCACGGAGCTTGCGAGAGTTGGAAACCTTGACGACATCGGCATAGGCGTTGACGGACTTCAACAAGGCAACGGCATCCTTGGTCTTGGTCAAAGTCTGGACACCATCACCAATGACAAGAGGAACTTCCTCAATCTTCTCAACGCGGTGACCACGGGCCATAACCAAAGAAGGAAGAGCAGAAGCAGCCAAAGCGGAAGCAGTGGCGAAACGCTTCTGGTTCAAGTTGGTCTTGATGTGCCACTTGCGCCAGGTCTACAATGATTCGAGAATTTCGGTTTAACCACCTCTTCTTATCTCACTTGATCCCATTTTTGATCTCAATTAAGTTTTTACCTTGGTAGGAGCGAACATACGACCACCACGGCACATGTTACCGAAAGCAGCCTGACCAGCACGGTGAGTACCGGAACCGTTGACACGAGGAATACGGGCAACAGCACGACCAGTACCCCAGGATTCAGCGGAGGTTTGGTGACCAGCCTTCTCAGAGACGGCATAGGGCTGACGCTTGTTCTTGGCCATGTTGGTGTGGACAAAGTTGACAATGTCAGGACGGATAGGGGCCTTGAACACGGCGGGCAAAGGCACAGTGCCGGAGGCACCCTTACCACTCTCAGAGTAAACGTTGATGACGGGTCTGGCAGCCGCGGACTAGTTGACACAAAAAGATCGTTAGTGAATCCATTCTCTGGGCAATTCATGCTCTGCATCCATCCGTTGCAATCCATCCACGAATGTTACAAGAAAAAAAGGACGCAGCTTGTAAGATCTATTCACAATGCCATACCATCTTGATGATCAAGTTGAAAAAAGAGAAAGATAAATTGGCTGCATCCTCATCACGATCCTATAACCGCCTCACCCACCAGCGGCCGCCCCCTTCCCCCGCTCCTCTCCTATTTAACTCCGACGTTATCCGGACCGGACCATCCAACTGCCCCATCGGGTTTCAATGCACGTCCTTTGGGCCCTGACTTTTTTCTCTTTGCGTTTTCCACCAACATTATACTGCCGACTGGGTTCACCAAAGCCATGGCGCAAAGACCCCAATCAACGACCGAGTTGAATGCGTTGGCGGCCATTCAATTCGATTCAAAAACACCTATACGACTCTACTTTCGCTCGGCCGATCTTCTTATCAAGCAAGCTCGTGTCTACAAAGCAGAAAACGATCTTCGTCATGCCTATATATTGTACATGAAGTACACCAAGTAGGCATTGTTCCAGCGTACCTCAACCCATTTCCATGCTCGCTGTTCTAACTGTTTCTATTATCAGTCTGGGCATTAACGAATTGCCAAAGCATGCCGAATACAAACGAAGCGAGAACAAACCGGCCATCAAAGTTATTCGACAGGTAAAATATACTGTAAATGCTCAGGGGGAAGCGCATAATGTTGACACTCGGTTTGTTCAGAATTGCCTTGAAGCATTGAATGCACTGGAGACCATGAAACCGGTTTTGGATGCCGAGTATCGCGCTTATGAGAAAAGAGTTCAGGCCGCTAAAGAAGCCGTCAAACGAGAACCACCGCCGGCAACCTCAGATGAAGGCACTGTCACAGAAGCTCAACGTGAATGGTCACTTCAAGAAGCGCTCAAAGGAGTTGCTGGGGTGGGATATGATACAAGTTGTCGGTACGTGAATGAGGGTAGGTTAGTGTCCCGGGGTGTTCTTGTTCTGATGAAAGGAACGGGTTAGGTCGGGTTCGGTACCTACTGCAGATCATCGAGACCAACCGAGATACGCTTCAGCAATTCATCCAAATCGAAGTGACGGGTAACTTGATTGGCGAATGGGCAATATCAGCGAAAGTGTCAATGTATGTTAACCCAGTTTTTTTCATGGTCGGGGTAGATTTTCGTATCATGCAAGTCCATTGGCAAGTATGCGACAGGGGCCCGTGTCACCGGGTCCAGTGGATCGATTCGAAGGAGCGCCTCTTTTGCCTCCAAAGCCTTCCTTTCAATCCCCTGCTCTTCCTCCGAAAATTGCCTTGTCGAATGACGCGCCAGCATTACCGCCCAAGATCAAACTGGAAGAACCAGTATTACCGACGCCTTCCATTTCGGATACGGCGCCTTCCAGTGGAGGTAACATGCAATGCCATTTTATGAATAGGTGCTCAGGTGTATTGAGTGCATTTGTTGAAACAGCTACGACGGAACGGGGAGAGCCTTTACGCACATTGCTTGTTCCAGAGTCATTGCATCAGCGGTTTCTTCGTATCGCTCAGCCAAATACCAGCAAAAATATAGAAACATGCGGTATTCTCGCTGGCACTTTGGTAAGTTTTCAGCATTTTAATATTTACAATAGACAATCACTGAAAAAGTCGTGGGTAACTTGCATAGAAAAACAATATCCTAAAAATCACGACCCTCATTATACCCAAGCAGATCGGCACGTCCGATACATGCACGACCGAAAACGAAGAAGAGTTGTTTGAGTTTCAAGATAAACGCGATTTGCTCACTTTTGGCTGGATTCATGTATGTCATTTTCTTCGCTTGCTTGGATAATCCCCCCCCCCATGAAGAAAGGGCTCAATGGACTTGTATTTTATAGACCCATCCAACCCAGTCATGTTTCCTTAGTTCCGTCGATTTACATACACACTGTTCATATCAGCTCATGTTACCCGAAGCGATTGCTATTGTATGCGCGGTCACCAAGAAACCAAAGTAAGCATTTGTGCGAGATAGGGTGAGATACGGCAAAGATGAGAAATACTAATGACTGTAATCAAAAAGTTTTGGTATATTCCGACTGACGGATCCTCCCGGTCTGGACGTCATTAGCACTTGTCAGCAACCGAGTGCTTTCCATCCGCATCCGGATGTGCCCATCTATACTGTAAGTCGAAAGCGCTGATTATCGCAAACCGCGTTCAATTTTCTTACGATTTCATTGCTATTCGCAGGATGCACATGGTTTGGGTCACGTCAAAGTGAAGGATTACCACCTTGAAATTGAGGACCTCAGAACATGATGATATTATTTTTTTCTTATATTTTATCGCCGCTTTCATTTTTCCCCCATCTGTAAATATACCTGATGCGAGCGAAAGACACTATTCTTTATTTATATATTATCTTTTTGTAATTCAGAAAGAAACAGCAAACTCAAAAGTAACAACAGCTTTGCCAAGAGTTTGTCAAACAACAACAGTGTATAATTGCTAAATGCTTGTATTTATGCGACATTGAATGGGGTGAAAAGGGTTGGTATTCTAGTAATGATGATTGAGATGCAGTTTTTACAATGAAAAGGGAAAATAAAATTAAAGTCTAAGTGTAGGGGCAAAGACGATGTGAAAATAAAATGTTAGCCTTGGGTGCATCTTCTATTTACCGATGCAAAACTGGCTAAAGAGGGCATCGAGAACATCCTCAACATCCACGCGTCCGGTGATCCTTCCCAAAGCATTGGCTGCTTGCCGCAGTTCTTCAGCAGAAAGTACAACATCGTCCGTGGATAGGCCTACCACAAGAGGAAACGCGTAAGCTTTTTCCGGAATTCATAGGATAACATACACATCAAGACACATACTTAGATAGTTGTTGAGAGAAGCGATACACTCTTGGAGATGATGACGATGACGCACTTGCGTGATCAGCACCGGGCTATTGATATAATCGTCAAACCTAACCAGAATACTCAAACATTAGACAATCCCCATCCTTTCCGTTTGTTCCGACTATCCACTTACTTTTCTTTCAAGAGATCGATCATGTCCTGCAAGAACACATCGACGCCGTGATCCGTCTTGCAACTCATGGACCATACTTTGCGCACTCCGGTTTCACGCTGAACCTTGTCGACCCATCGTTTGGCGTCCACATCTTTGCTGATATCTTCCTTGTTCAAAATCAGGTATGTGTCTTGATCAAGGATATCTCGAAGAATCGGATCAAGGCGTAATTCTTGGTCTCGCGACAGCAGTTGCGAATATGACAGTAAACAGATTTTGATATCTGAAGTTTGCAATCTACAACAGAGAATTCAGTATGATAGGATGATGGTCTTTTTCCTCCTGTATGGGGTTGGCACAATATTTTACCTTGCTTTGGCTCGCCGCACACCTTCCATTTCAATGACGTCGTCTGATTGTCTTAATCCTGCAGTATCGCTCACCACCACAGGATAGCCACCCAGGTTCAGGTTGACCTCGACGATATCGCGCGTTGTACCCGGGGTATCCGAGACAATGGCGGCTTCTCGCTTTGCTGATAATATCAGGCCGAAATGTCAGAGACGATAGTTTATCATAAAATTTCCACCCAATGGTTACCTAATCGATTCAGTAGTGTGCTTTTGCCAGCATTGGGCGGGCCAATAATCGCTACCTGAACGCCATTGCGCACAATTTCACCCACACGGTTATCTTGCAGATGACTTTCCATGGCGTCCCGTAGTTGAGTAATATTCTCATGCACTAAATTAAAAAGTCGAGTTACTCTGACCGACAACGAAAACAGGGAATGGCTATGGCCTCGTACCTTGATCTAAAACACCTTCGTCGATTTGTTCGTCTTCGCCAAAATCGATGACAGCCTCTGTTTGGGCCATGCTGTGAATGATTTGTTCACGCCAACGTTCGTAGGGGATCCTTAGTCCACCTTCGGCTTGACGCAGGGCTAATTTTCTCTGAACTTCTGTCTCTGCATTCAGCAGATCAGCCAATCCTTCCAATTCAGTCAAATCCAATTTATCATTATCAAAAGCTCTACGAAAAACAAGCAATCTTCAGTGACACCAGTGACCTTTTGGGTAGAGCAGTTGATGTTACCTTTTGGCAAATTCGCCCTGTTCGGCCATACGATAACCTTGCAGTGTCTGCAGTGCGTCGAGGACGCTGCGAACCACGGCAGGGCCACCGTGAACCTGAAATTCCACAATATCTTCTCCGGTGAAACTGTGAGGACCCGGAAACCACAGCACCAAACCACGATCCAAACTCTGCCTTGACACTGGATGGCGTATGCGACAAAAGTGGGCTTTTCGTGGTTCACTGGCTGCCGCTTTACTTTTTGTTAATCGATGAATGGCCTACATAGGGACGAATGAGGCTCTGACAAATAAGTGTATTTCGTGCTGTGCTTACCTCTTTTGCCCGGCTACCAGAAACACGAATCACTGCAACTCCTGCTTTTCCGGGTGAAGTGGAAAGAGCATAAATGGTAGGTTGTTCATGCATCATTGTCGTTGTGTACCATTGACGAACAGACGGCTGACACGTCGTGCTGCGGTGAGGCTGTGATCCAGGAATGCTCTTTTTCCATGGAACTGAGAAAGACCTTGGTGGCTGAAGCACATAAAGCGAACGAAATGACAGGGCACGGACGCAAGGTATGGTTATGCTTATCCAGCGACCGAGCATACTAAGCATAGAGTTTCTTGAAACTGATCTTTCCCGTCCTCCTGGTGGAAATTTGCATTGAAATTTTTGGACTGTGAATTTAGGGAGTGCCAAAAGAAATATTCACGCAGCAGCTGCCAAAGAAAAAAGTCAGCCACGGTTCGTTTAAACCATGATGCAACATTGTAGATCGCTCTTGATCGCCGCCGAACATCAATCGGGCCGATGTCTATTTGCAAAACGATCGTCGTCATTATGCTTTTCAACTCGTTTTACATCCACTTCCACGAACACGGCCCCTGAAACACTGTCGAATCGACAAAAGTTCAACAGAATCCAACCACCGTTGAAGCTGTACGAAAAGCTCGAGCGATTGGGGTTTGGCACCTTGCGCACCACCAAACGATATCAAACCGTACACAAGCAAAAGTCTCAAAAGACCAAATCAGTACACTCAGAAGTGGCCCCGGAACCAGAGTACCAGGTACAACCCACACACCATGTAGTCAGCTGTCCCACAGCCTTAGGTAACCCTTTATTTCCTAGTTACCGCTCATGTCATTTTATGCCGGCGCCAAAACTCCAGCCTCTTTCCCTGTTGAGAACGGAGAAGAAGTCGCTTTTGTTGGTAATGTATTTCTTTCTTGCTGTGGTCCACCCCTTTTCAAAAATAGTGGCCCGTGGAAAAGAATTAACAGTTATATCATAGGACGATCGAATGTTGGAAAATCGAGCTTATTGAATAGTCTTGCTTCAACCACCATTGTTCGAACGTCAGATAAACCGGGCCTCACCCAACAAATCAACTTTTACTCCGTGGGCCGCTTATTTACCATGGTCGATATGCCCGGTTACGGGTTTGCCTTTGTCGACGATGAACAGCGACAACAGTGGCGAAACTTGGTAAGTAAAAGGCTATGGCACTGTTTTTCTTGAAATATGGTTGGACTTATGCTTCCGTTACAGATGGAAAGGTATGTTTCGGAGCGAAAAGCACTAAAACGCATATTTGTCGTAATTGACGCCCGACACGGTAAAACATCTTTCTTCAGTCATTGTCGAAAATAAGGAGACCATGGTAATTGATGGGCGACTTTTTTTTTTTTTTTTTTTTTCGCGCGTAGGTATAAAAGTAGCGGATCTGGACTTTCTAAAGATGTTGGAAACGTAAGTTGGTTTATGAAAATGAGGATGATGCACCTTTAAACGCTGGCAACTAATGGTCGATTGGAACATGCAGGAAACGAGTCAAATTTCAGATTATCATGACAAAATGTGATTTGCAGGTGTTACCGACGCTTGCACGGCGGATAATGGTGGTTCAAGACGCTATTCAACCATTTAGGAATGCTGTGAAACATGTCATTGTCGTCAGCTCCAAAACTGGGGCCGGAATTAATCAAATGCGCAAAGAGATGCTCTTTTTGATGGGCCACCTGAAAGAGAAGGAATTTTACCAAGAAAAGGCAAACCCCAAACTTGACAAAAAATAATTGAACGTCCACAACATTTCGTTGTCTATTGTAATTATATAACACTCATCCGGAATAAGAAATAAAGCATACCATTCAATATGTTTTGAGGGTGGAATTTGAAAGTGAAAGCCCAGATCCCAATTAAAATTTTCATGCATGCTCGTGGAGGCTGACGGGACCTGAACAAGCCACTGAAACTGCTTTTCCTCGCCGTCAGAAATGGCCAATTTTTTTTTATCTTGGTCTGTGAGAACCGGAGTTTTTGGGTCCGTTTCTTGTAAATTAGATCATCAGCCATGCCGCAGATCACAAAGAAGAGAAAGCGCAGTACGCCATCGGTATGTTTATATATTAAAAAGGGTATGCAAAGTTATCCCACTGACGTATGTCCCTTCTCTTTCTAGGCTGGCAGCTTCAAAGATGTTCGACAAAAGATTCGTATGCTGGAAGCCAGTTTATCAGACAAGTCGAATCTGAACAATTTGGTGGAAATCCGTCAGTTTGCCCAGAACGACGATGCGCAAATCGTGCATGCAGCTATCCATTCGCTGCACCGTGTGTTTACGAGCCTTATTACCAAAGGCGAAATGAGGAAACCGAAATCGGTCGAACTCACCGCCAAAGACAAAGTGACCATTTGGTTGCGTGAACAGTACTTTGACTATCAAGACCGGCTACGAGCGCTTCTCGCCCATGAGGAACCGGGATTGCAGATTCCCGCTCTCAACATTCTCATGACGCTGCTTAAAACCGAGTCGGAAACATTGACCTTGTATTCGCAACGTTATGCTTTTGCCAACGATTTTTACGGTCCCATTGTGAATGCGATCATCCGCAACCCGAATTTCAGTCAACCCTTGCGCAACGAATTGTTGGAAAAATATTTAAACGTGTATGATGATTTACGGCATTACCTTTACAAAGATATTGCGTAAGTGAAAGGGCACGAGTTGACTTCTTTTAAGAGGAAGACAGGGTGGTTAACGTGTCCCCATCTTGTAGTGAGATTCTTGGAAAAGAGTCGAGAAATGCTCTTTTGGATACCGTCAAGAGTTCGAGCAAAAAACAGAAAACAAGCAAGGGAACCAGCACGAAAACAGAACAATCATTAATCGCCAACAATGCGTTTTCAATCATCGAGGCGATCCGTACCATGCCCACAGACGCATCCGAGATTGACGAATTCTGGACTGGACAACCTGAGGGAGCTAAAAAATCAAAGGGACGAGAGGGGGATCAAGACAATGAAGATGACATGGATGATCTCTTGGGTGGCGGTTTGTTATCTGAAGAGGAAGACGAAGATGCGTCTGACAAGAAAAAGACGAGTGCCAAGTCCAAGCCAAAGACCCATCCGCTTTTGCAGCTTCGAGTCCATCAACGCAGTTTCTCGGAATGCTGGTTGGCAGTTCTCAAATTACCGTTGACAGAAGAGATTTACAAAAAGACATTGCTGATTTTGCATAAGCGCGTGTTACCTCATCTCGTGGAACCCAAGTTGCTGATGGATTTCTTGACGGACTCGTATAATGTGGGAGGCGCCACCAGTCTGTTAGCTCTAAACGGTCTCTTCACGCTGATCACCGAACACAATCTGGATTATCCCGACTTTTACCACAAACTGTACACTTTATTAGACCGCAACATCATGCATGTCAAGTTCCGTTCCCGATTTTTCCGTTTACTAGACATTTTCTTATCCTCTGCGTAAGTTTAATGATGTTAAAAGAGGGCATCATCACCCCGGTATCTAACACATCATCATTCTCTGATTTAAATAGATATTTACCCGCTACATTGGTGGCAGCTTTTATCAAACGGCTAGCACGATTGTCGTTGAATGCACCACCGGCGGCAAGCGTTATCATTATTCCATTCATTTACAATTTGCTGAAACGACATCCCACTTGCATGAAACTTATCCACAGTCATGAAGCGATTGGCCAAGCCGAGGATCCTTACCGATTTGAAGAAGGCAATCCCTACGAAGCCAAAGCCTTGGAATCGTCCCTGTGGGAAGTTCAGACCCTTGCCCAACATTACTATGCCAACGTCGCCACCTTGGCCAAGATCTTTTCCGAGCAATTCTTGAAACCCAAATACGTGCTGGAAGATTTCCTCGATCACACTTATGCCACGGTAAGGCGACCTCATCATGCGTTGAAAAAAAAAAAAAATCATTGGAAACTAATACTTTTTTTTTCTGATGCGTACAGTTTTTCAGAAATGAAATTGATCGCAAGCGAAAGAAGGAACCGGCATTGGCGATAGAAAAACCTGGAGAGTGTGCCTGGGAGATTTAGATGAACATAAAACAACCTGTATTATTACGCTGTTTCCTTTTTTTTTAATGCTGTGGGTCCTTTGGGTTGTGCAGGATGTGCGGGGGTGTGGAAGTCATCTGGGTGATAGTGATGGTTGCAAGAGAAATGAGATACGGTGCTATTTGGAAAAAAAAAGGACAGGTGGGGCGGTTTGGTCAAGGTCACTGGACCGGTGCATCCATTTTCATATGTTGGCATGCAAACAACCAATCATAGGAACAAGGCCATTAGTCAAATTATTTTGTCTGTACGACGTCAACGGCTGCTTAATACGCTTGAGACTCCACCTGTTAAGACGCTTTCACTTGCACTCAACTCCCACATTTCCGTCATGGCCCCTCCTATTGCTACATTATCAGCCGCTATTGGGGTTCCTGCCTTGATCCTGATCTTGACTCACTTGAAATCATTGCCTCTTGCTTACACATTTCGTTCATGGCTGTTACTAAGATCGCTGGTGAAACGGGCCACCATGGCGCAACTGTGTCCTGACCGTACGCACAATAAAACTATAACTGCGTTATGAAATATACTCTAATTTTGACTGGGTATTTTCACTCGAATTAGCCTTATTCACCGTGGTATCGCAAGACTACCGCTGTTTACTCGATGATATTGATTACAATCAGCATATGGTAAGCCAATAAAACATGAATACAGCCAACCATCATTCCATCATTTAACGTCGACGCCCTGTGTGCAGAATAATAGGTAAAACAGTCAATATGACATGATGACACATCCGTTTTGATTGACACCATTTTGTTTAGCACGTACAACAAGATGCTTGATTTCAGCCGTATTCATCTATTGTATGCAGTATTTCCAAAGATGATGATGGAGCCAAACCACAACATATTCGGGCACAATGCTGGCGTGTTGACGTTGTTTAAAAAGGAGATTGCACCTTTTCAGCAGTACACCATCCAGACCCGGGTATGGACATGGAATCAAAAATGGTTGTGGTTGCAACATCGGTTTGTGATTCCCGCTGAAGGCGATCAGACCGAACCGACCGTCGCGTGTGTGGCTGTCAGCAAGCTCGTGTTCAAGCGAGCTTCAGGCAAAACCGTGAGCCCCGCCGAAGTGCTCGAACTGTGCGGACATTTCGTCAACAATCCAACTGTCGAAGAACGTCGCGCACGCAACTGGGAAACCGCCGCCAATCTGCTCAAACTAGATACTCTCTTTACAGACCGCGATTCTTGGGAAAATACATTATGTCTTTCCATGCTCTAATGCCGTTCTCCTAACATAGCCTGGCGCTCGCATTCCACAGCGTTTTATTATATTTGTGAATAAAGATCAGCCAACCATTCGAAAGGGGACCTGTACGAGTACATAGTGTCTGAATGCATACAGACTCAAAGTGTTTTTGTAACTGCTTTGTCTCATTTCAAAGATTTTAGTATGCATCGGCTAATTATCTCGGTTTTGATTATTATAAATACGGGCATCATACGTATACGTTTATCGAGTGTCTGTGAAAGAGCTCAGTGATTGCTTCGTGCGTTACGGTTAGGGCTAGTGCCCACTGTCCAATGATGGCATCACGAAAAGGGAGAGTCATTGAACTAAAACCGTCACAAACAATTGGGCGGCGTGATCATGCATTTTTTCGTTTCCAACACATTATATGGATAAGTCAGAGTCTCATGCTGATGGTGAACCACGCGGGGAACTGTCGAAAAAAGAAGGCCACTTTTCTTTATCTCTCATTGTGCCCTTTCAAAAGCGGAAACCGCCTTCTGTAATGTCACATTCAACGGCGTCATCCACTGCCGAGCCCGTGCCTCGCTCACCTTCCGGCCGATCGACCATGTCATTCGAGCAAATATCCGACTATGCGCGTCATGCATCGTCTTCCAGTCTTCATCTACTTAATGCTGGAGCCGCCATGTTCAACCCAGTCTCCATTGCAAACAGTATCCATTCTCTCGATGAAGAGGAACGATCCTCTCGATTGCAGGAACGAGTGAGACGAGGTAAACATCGCTATTGGATGGGGACATGCTGTGTTGCTTCGCTAAATATTCAACCATTGGAACAGTCAGCACAGGCATGGTGCGAACGCTCAAGTTATCACTCAATGACAGTTCAGTGGGTCTGCATCGGGTCATGGAGCATATCCATCGTAAAGTGCCTCAAATGATGGACAACCGTGCACAGCTGCGTCAACTCGGCCAAACTGTCCAAACCTCCAATGCCGACATTGAAGACGCTCGCAAAATTGTCAATGAATTAGACCAAATGCAAGCCTTTGTTGAAATGGCCAACATGATACACAAATCGCTCGACATTGTCAAGAATACCAAAAAATCGTGATCTCCTTTCGTGTAGGCACATAATCCGTCCTTGCTCATCGAACCAGACGAGTTTCAGCTTCCATACAACCTTGTTCACCTTTCTACAAATACCCGCGAAGACGAAGCTAAATTTCAAAAGTGCTTCCACGACTTGTATACTATATAAACCTAGAAATCATGCCTTCCCGAACCGCAGCATCCGCTATATTCAAGATTCAGGATATTGGATAGTATAGTAATAAAGATGTAAGTTTATGATTAGAATACAGGAAAAAAAGAATATATTCGGTCCATCATCATGCAACCGAAAAAAAAAAAGATAAGGAAAAAAAAAGACGGAAATAATGGACAATAGAAATATAGTGGAATATCAAAGACGGAGATCGTCTTTGCCGGAAAAAAAAAAGGTAAAAAAGAGAGAGTCATCTCCAATATCAATGTGAGGGCCAGCCGTTCAATCCATTCCGGTTTTTTTTTTTTTTTCTTTACCGAGATTATCGAAAAGAGTTTTTCATTTCTCTCAATGTATGCAGCACTTCAACAGGATCACTTTTGCCGGCAATCATTTGTAGCGACTGTTCATTGACCCGCAAAAACGGATTATACAGTTTTTCCTGACCGATTGTCGAAGGCACCGTGATGGTCTTGTCTTGACACCACGCCCATTTGGCCATCAAATTTTCGTTGTGAGGTTCAAGCGTCATGGCAAACTGCAAAATATAATAAAGAGGTTTTCGTCAATGGGTCACTAAATGTCTCCTGTCGTCCGTTTAATCGATCTCGATACTAACCTTCAAGTTGTCTTTGGTATATTCATGACCGCAGTAGACCCAGGTGTCATCGGGAAGTTTGGTGATGATGTGGAATAAGATACGGTACATATCGCGCGCATCGCCTTCAAAGAATTTGCCAATGCCGGCGACAAATAAAGTACTAGTGTTTCATACTTGGTTATCAATCCCAAGCGGTCCATGGCTGGTTTCTTTTCCCTTGAAACTTACTCTCCCGTGAATACTGCCTTTTCATTGGTGGCGGGATCCACGACATAATAACAGACGTGCCCCTTGGTATGACAAGGAGTATGCAATGGCGTGATTTCTAGTGATCCTAGTTTGAATTCCTCATGATCTTTGCACACATAATTGATCTCGGGAATGCGCGCATCCGCACCGTACACGGCCAAACCCGGCTTTTTCGCTTTTTAAAAAGAGAAGAATGAACCATCAGTAACCCCAATCCTCCAAATCCATTTTTTTGAAACTCCATTTTTCTTCATTTCTTCCTCGTTTTCTGTCTTGACCATAAATTTGTAACCGTTTTGCCGATCACAAGAACAACTTACCTACGAGTTCAATATTGCCTCCAGCGTGATCCCAATGATGATGTGTAATAAATACACTAAAAATAAAATAAAAAAAGGTATAAATGGATTGGGACGATTTTTTATGCCAAATGGATGGTGATGGTGAAACACCCAAATTCTTTGTTTTGAAAAAAAAAAGTACCTCGATAATTTGGCACCGGTCTGACTAATGACATTGAGAATCTTTATAGGTTCGACAGGATCGATGACGGCGGCTTCTTTGCTTTTCTCGTCGATCAAGATATACGAGTAATTATCTTCTAAAACGCCAATAGGAATGATTTTCATGATGGAAAAAAACTGGATAAACAAAAAAGGACAGTAGTGAGGAAGAGGATGAAGCGGACGTTTAGAGGGGGGGATGGAAAAAGTTTCAATAAAAAGGGAAAAAGAAAAGGAGGAAGCTGATTGTTGCATTTTATATCAGCGTTGCTCGTTTCTTTGGAAACTTCTTTCTACAGGATTACCTGCCTATTTAAAAGTCCGCAGAATTCATCTTTCTTTTTTTTTTTTAATTCAAACAGTTATGAAGTGCATTTTTTTCTTTCAGGAGCACCTTCTTGGAACTGTTGAAATGACATCAAATGTTTCGTTGTCGCTCTCATAGAAAAAAAGTGTAAGAGAAAATCGATTGGATGAGAACGATCCAATCCTGTAAGTGAATGCCCGCCACGCGCGCACTTTCAAAATATTCCACTGACTTGTAAAAATAACCCAAAAACTGTGTCTTGAATTACAGTTCAATACGGATCTTCTCCCTGTAGTTATGATTGCTTTTATGGAGGTCACGTGAGGCTAACAGCGTCCCAGACCAAAACAAAAAATTTGATCTTCGCCATTTGAATGCCAAAACTGGTACGTTCATTGGGTTACACACACCATTAAATGATTGCACCGCAAAACCATGAAAGGACTAAATGAATTTTTGCACACATCGGTGCATATATAATAACATTTGCACAATATTGATCAAAGGTTATCTTTAATTGTTCCTTTTCATTTTTCGGGCTATGTACAATATATACTCTACATCCAGCTTATTTTAACAGGCAAGGTTTCTCGTTATGATCTCGATATATGTATGACCTTATCTTGCTTGGTGAATATAATACATGAAGCTTATCAGTAAGGAGCCAAAGAATTCATATCCATAGGGAGAGAGAAGACAACATAAGTCATACACCGTACAACGGACAAGATCCAAATACTTCGGACGATGCAATTCTGAAAACCGGACACCGTTCAGCTTCTGTTGAGAAGCACGCTGCTGCAAGGTGGTGGCTGCCTTCCACTGTTCTGCCTCTTGCCTGTTTTCTGCAGCGCTGCCTCTCTCCCAGCTATCAACGTCAAGGAAACCCGAGAAATCGCGTTGAAGGTGGTTACCGGGTACACCTGGGAATGAGCGTTTGCATTTGTAGCAAGCCCGAAATGACCCGATACCTATATTTCGCATGCCGTAAAGGAATTCTACTTGTCTTCGTGTGTCTTCTTCTTATGAGCTTTTAGATGGCAGGGCAAAGTGATATCGGCCATTGCAATTGGGATAATCGCATACATACAGCTATTGTGCCCAAAGACTTTACGATTGAGATGTTCACTTGCATCGATACTAAATTGATTACCCTATGAACAGCCGAGAAATGCCTGAGCATCTCGAATTGTGTATCGAATTTTAAGTAACAATTTTTGTTTTTGCATTCGTATCCCTACATCAACAAGTCATTAGTTTAGGATCAAACTGTTGAATCACAGTAGATGGTACCTGTTCTTTGTAGCTGTGTGCCTTTTTGTAGTTTTATTGTTGAATTTGTTGTCGCACTCACTGTGGCGGCAAGGCCATTGCTAAAGGGACGTTTATCAGTCATAACTTTTAAAAACGGCAGCAGTTTTCTACTAACCTTCAGTAAATTCAGGTGCTTTACTTGTATATGTGTATCAAGAACTCTAGGATCAATGAACGAATCATTGCAATCTTGACAGTAGTATCTCTGGTAGAAGTAATGGATCAATGGATCATTATCATAAACCAACAATATTCGTTTTACTTTTTTGGGTATTTTGTCGTGCGTCTCCTGTTGGTGTCTTTTGAGATGACCAAGCGACAGTAGGTCTTTGGGCATAGTTCGCACGTATACCTCGGCTACAAATAATTATGTTACTGCCGGAGCTCGCGTTACTCACATCATGCAATGCTATTACCTGCAATTTGACCTCCAGTCGAGAAGTACAGAGTCTTCAATGACTCGCTGTTGGCAGGTTTTGATGTAATCGATAAAAATTTTCTGCTCAATGCTGGTGTTTTGGGGTTCTTCAGCCAGAATTAAAGCATCTTTGGTGAATTTGCCGATGTCAAACTTTCGTGTATCGGTAACTTCTGGAAAGCCGGCAAATGATAAAATGTCGTTGACTTCATGTAACTGCAGACAATGAAAGTCTCTGCCACACACACGAAAATCGATAGTTTCACAGATAACCTTATGGATAGGTTAACTTACTGGGCAATAAAACATTGCAGTCGATTTGATGTATTGGGTGCATATTCGATGAACGATAGCTCTCTTGGTCGGCCGAATCGTATTGCGACACCGCGAAATGGGCTTTCCAAAACAGCCTTGATATATTTATGCTTCGGATGCAAATGTTCAGAGCTCAACGCGTTCAAAGCCTCCAGGATCGCCTGGTCCATTTCTGGAGTCCTCAGAATTTTCAATTTGGGCATCCAAGTCCTGTAGTGGCAGATGCTGAGTCTTGTAAAATCGTACCGTTCCAATGCTGCTTTCAACAGTTTCAGGATTTCTTCATCTCTTGATGCAATCTCCATTGACGAATACGACAACAGGCTGCCGATTTCTTTGGTGTAGATGTAACAAGGCCTACTATGGCCGTCTCCAGCAAACCAGAATAGGATGAAAACCATCAGTTCCATTTTGGTGAGGCCGAAAATGAATTTACTTGCTTTTGGAACAACAGCGTTGTGTATTCGGCTGCTTGAGAGCCCAAATTCTTGTCGGGCCAAGTTGATTGCCTTTGGAAGAGAATATTTGGTCGTAATGAACCTAATGACAGCATAAAGTAGGTAACGATATTGTTGACATTGTGTAAACCATCTTACTTCAATATTGGCTCTGAAACGCCCCAATGCTTCAACATTTTGTACAGATGAGGAAAGCATGTGCTTCTGAACGCAAATCCAGTCATATTGTTGGCTTCTTTGTTTAACTCGTCAGCGGCAGAGTTTAATACGGTTAATTTTGGTCTCATCTGAATAAATAACACGTTTCCAGTCATCCAAGATCCAGTTGTGATATTGATAACACCAGGCAAGTCGCTTTTTAGCATTAGTGGCGGAGCCTATATTGCCCTTGTAAGCGGTGTATGTTGACAGTGGGATAAAATTGGGTTTACGGGCCTTGTGTGCAAGATGAGCAAAAGCAAGTCGATCGGTCACCACTGAAATTATGTGACGTTACTGCGGACCTAGAAGTGAATTTTTGATGGCTTCATTCAGGTGACACATTATAACAAGCCGTACACCCGCTGTGCAATGGATGCCACCCGCTACTGGACGTCGCCCCCTTACATTGAGCGACATTCGTCAGACAAAAGCCTAACGCAATACGGCATAACCTGGGCGAGACTCTTGATGGAACTTTGGTATATTAATGTCAATACTCTGGCATACCGTACAGTCATGATTTCCAAACATGTGTGCAGCAGCACTTATTGACCCCCTCAGTCCCGCCCCGCCCAAGGTTATGATAGATCTAGAATGATGTGTGGGAATGTTGGGTATTTAAAAAAATGAGTTAGTAAGCTCTTTGATTGATTCAAATTTTCGTCAAGATATTTTACCTTTGTTATTTGAGTTTGCAATAGCCATTGATCGCTTGACATGACTTGGATTATATGACATTGAAAAAATTTGAATTAGTATACGTTCATTACATCATAGCAAAGGAAAAGAAATTGGACTTGCCTTTGAACCAAATGGTGTTTCCGAAAAAAAAGATGAATACGGACCACAGGTAAGCTTCTTCTTCGATGCGGACAATAGAATTGCTTCCAGGGACAGTTAAGCAATGGATCGGTGGTGTCAGCTTGAGCAGGCAAAAAATATTGACGTGGCCAGAAGTGACGGTAACTTCGAGTTGGATTCCAGATATCGAGAGTCCCCCGAATGAAAAGAAAGAAAAACAAATAAAGTACATGATGATAAAAAAAACAATGGTCGCGTCAGTAAAAACCTCATAAAAAACCCTGTGGGAAAAAAGAGGAAAAGACTGCGACGTAGCCAATTACTTTTCCAAGTGTATGATTTTTTGTCAGATCCTTCAAAAGAGCTCTGAGCTTGAGGTTGAAAACTCGTGCTGTCAAAGGCCGATCAGATACTGTCTGTGAAGCAAGAAGCTCATTCCGAATTTCTGGCCATTTTGGATTACACGTGAATGTAATGAAGAGGTCAGGCTTTCCGAAACATCTGACGATACTCATTGCATCTTGGTACAGCTGTTGCATGTTTCGAGGGCTGCCAATGAATGACGACGGAAGGATGACAGGCTGACCGATGGAATTCATATTCATATTGTTGTCGTCAAGTTGGAGAGCATCTTGTACGCCTGAATACACATCAGCACGCAGTCGGGACTGGTTGAGGCGAAGGTAATTGAGGCGGTTTTGTTCCATCTTGGCATACATATCTACGATATACTGCTGAAAGAGTCGGCCAAAGAGGTGCAAGTGGTGTCCATCATTTCGATACATCAATCTGAAACTGTAGTAGTTCATCACGGTGACTTTCTCGTTTCTGGTCGATCAAGTTTCAATGTTCCACCCAGGGTCGCCTTCAGGAAACATCAGCACGTAATGGAGTGGGTCATACAGGCGATGCATCTCACTGATTGATGTCAGTTGGTTACTACGCGTACAGATCACAATATTCCTTCCAGAGGACTCTGCGTTTTCACCGATAATGACACCAATTTCAGAAGCATTTGGTGCATTATAGCGTCGTGGATCTGGGGCATCGTCAGCTCGAATAATCATTCTGATGTTGGAAGCACCACCATTATCCTGTATGTATTGGGCCATTGTCTTGAAAAGATGGACGAAAGGATTGGTTTCATGCATTAATTGCTGAAGTACTTCCAAGGTGTCTCGCGCGAGATGGCTTGCAATTGCATGTCGATTTGATATTTCGTTGTCAGTATCATGGACGTATATTTGTGCAAATGCAGGTCGTTGGCCATTAGCAGGAAGTAGCGATCCCATCAAGTGGTAAACACTTCCATGAATACGGAAGCAGTAAGCGCCCCGTCTGCCATTCATTACACTTTCGTCTAAATTTACACCAAGAGAAGTAAAACTGAGAGCACTACAATAAGCTCTGATCTTGAGCCGGAAATCTTTTGCTTGCGCCCCAGTCCCTGTCAAAAGCGAGGCAATCAAAGGAGGGGTGGGTTTGAGAGGAGAAAGTACAAATTGACCATTTCCACAACAGAGCTGAAACTTAGGATCATTCATAGTACTTCCAGCAATTTTTTCTCCACTCCACATTCGTGCCTGACAGTGGCTGCAGATGACATTCATGGCTCCTACATTATGAAGATTTGGCATCGAGACATTGGGATCGCTAGCCACATTGGGCCTAGAATTGAAATTTTCTGTATTTCCGTCTTGTAATTATATAGAAGATTTTTTATTTTGGTTTTGGGGAGAAAAGAGGGGAGCGGATGCTATTGCGACCTGCGACAGCCTTTTTATTTACTTGTTGACAGCGTTGAAGTACTCCTGGGAGTCCTTGGGGGAGGGCTTGATGGTGGCAGAACCCTTTTGCCAGTTGGCGGGGCAAACTTCACCATGGACATCGGTGAACTGGAATGCTTCAACCAAACGAAGGACTTCATCAACGCTGCGTCCGACTGGTAAGTCGTTGCAAGTAATCTGACGGACGATACCCTTGGGGTCAATGATGAAAAGACCACGGAGAGCGACACCGGCTTCCTCAATCAAGACACCATAGTCCTTGGCAATACTCTTGGTCTTATCGGCAAGAAGGGGAATGTTCATTTCACCGAGACCACCCTGCTTGCGGGGAGTGTTGATCCAGGCAAGATGAGAGAATTCTAAATAACAAAGCGTGTCAATGAAAATACAGGATATTTTCTATAAAAAACAGACGCGGCAAAACCACGTCTTAAAAGTGTGGAAAACTTACCAGAGTCAGTGGAGGCACCAATGACGGCAGTGTTCAAAGCTTCGAATTCCTTGATACGGTCAGAGAAGGCCAAGATTTCGGTGGGGCACACAAAGGTGAAATCCATGGGGTACCAGAAGAAGACAACGTACTTGCCCTTGTAGTCAGAGAGGGAGATATCCTTGAACTCACCGTCAACGACAGCGGGAGCAGTGAACTGAGGAGCGGGCTTCTGAACCTGAGCGACTAGTGGGGAGGCAAGAGTCAGCATACCATTGTCCTTGCCAATGTCATCTCTTGAAGAGACACGTATGTAAAGGCAAAAAAGTAAACTTACCCATTTTTATAATTATATGACTTGAAGAAGAAAAAAGGAAGCGGGAAATGGAACGATTGGTTTATATACAACTTAAAAATTTCGCGGATGACGGGAGCTACTTCTGAAACGTCCTTGGATAGCCGCTCAAATGGCTTACTAACCCAGGATTTACCCAATCAACGTACTCCATTTTCGAGACTATCTGCGTCCGGTTCGGAACACAGCCTCCGGAGTATCAAAACATACGAGGATATCCGTTCTTCGGACATCCAATCATCCATCCTGTATCACCGAAATCGCACCAACAGCAAGCCAATCAAGCACCTAAAATTTTCTCGATCTTTCTCTTAGTCATGAAGCCTTTGAGTGGTCGAATAGGATTGGCAACACAGTTCGGTATAACTGCGCCATTTATTTTTTTGGTTTTGTCCTTGCTCAACATTTTACCGCAGCATTTGACCTTGCTTTGGGTTTGGCTATACTCAGTATGATTCCAGTGCAAACAGATTTCTGTCGATAAAAAACAACAGGAAATACCCAAGGGTCTCAAAATTAAAATAACCTAGCGACGCCGGTTCGTCGGAGCCAATCATTAAAAATCTATCATGCAAACGCGTGCCAGGAGCCTTTGTCATGCATATCGAATGAATTATCGGCTGCCTTTTGCAGGCAAGCATATTGGTCTGACAGACACAATAAATGTGAAAAACCACAAGGTCCTCATAAAAAGTAACTTTTCGACGTTGGTCCGTCACTGTGATCGCCCAAAAGGTTGTACACAAAATTACCTGTTTTGTTGACTTGTGAGCGTATCACAGGGCATAAATAGGCATTTTTTATCGTATAGAGGGAGAGATGGAGAACATGTGGCATGGAGTATAATTACATTGCTGAGAAGCTTATGCTAAACTTGTATTTAGGTAGTCTGCAAACATATCTGCAACTCGATTGATATCTAGGGTGGTGCGCAATTTGTTGAACGCTATAAACTGTTTGCGGTGGCGCCTTAGTTCTGAAAGTGTCACGATGCGAGATGGGTTGATCACTTTGACCGAGGCGCGAGGCACGACCATGGGCAATCCTCCCGCTCCATACTCTTTTTGACCCTCGACAATGGCATTGATGATTTCCAAAGTCGCTTTATCGAGTTCATACACGTAATTGGTATCCGTCACCGGTTTCTGTTGAGTCATCCCGCATCATGTTAACAAATAAAAAAAAGATCTCAAATTGAATTTATCCTGAACTTACAGTGACAGTGGATAAATTGGGTGGCGGTGGTTTGCGCAAAATCACCGCATCCCAAATCTTGTCTCCAGGCACGGTTTGATCGTCATAAATCACTGTAAATAAAGGTGAATCCCATCGATTGCGTCCATCAGGTTCTTCGTAACGTGCAACAAGTTCATCAAATCTAATCCAGAACAAAAGATCGTGCAATTAGAAACCCACCGCCAAAAATCAGTCATCGTAATAATCATTTACACAGTCTCATCATATCCTTCAGATCCTCTGCTTGCATTCCATTCTTTCGCCATGGCTGCAGGAACTCCCGTATGGACAATGCAATGGGGTGTGCTAATGGCGCGAGCCACACAGTACAGTTGGTATCGAAATCCTTTAATATAGTTCAAATTGTCAGCAATGACAATATCGTCTTTGGACAATAACCGCTCCACGGTTGAAATCAAGCTTCCTCGAGCCTTTTTCTCTTCCCGAGCCTCTGTTCAAATTCAACAAACGAGTCAACTAAACGAGTGTTCAAGAGCGAGAGCCCCATGTAACAATGATTTACCTTTATACGCATCCTTGGCGATGTTGAGAGACTCGTCGTTGATCAAGTGGATGCGCATGGACCGATTCTCGGCTTGCAGCTTTTGCAGCAAGAACTGCTCTATTTCTTTGGCTCGACGCGTTTTACCGCTGGAAGGAAATCCAGTAAGAATGATCAGTGGCATAGTTTGACCTCACAAAAAAAAAAAAAAGCATGCCAATGCCCAAGTTCGGGATGTCTTTGAAATTCCAAGTTCTTTAGTGTGACTGTTTCCTTTTTGACCCAGATCACTGGTTATGAGAGTTTCTTTCACATATAAAAGGGCCTCTTTCACAAGACAGACATGTTTGATGAATAATGAATTGATTATGGGACCGGTTTCTTGAAAATCAGAGAACCCTTCTACCCCTCAGTGGAACATTATTCTTGTAGGCACTTTCTTTTTTCTGCGTTCGCAATTTGAAATGAAGAGGTATTACTGCTTATTTGCCAAGTTTAAGCACTATTTTGAGGAGACATGACCGAGTAGGTTAAAAGCACATCATGTTACATTGCTTACTGTGAATATAACAGGATTATTATTGAATCGGACACTGTTGGAACATGACGGTGTTCCTTCCAGCGGTCTTTTTTTTTTTTTTTTTTTGGCACTAGAGGATTTAATTTTAGGAGCGGGTGCCTTCGTATTTTCTTTTTTCTTTCTCATTTTCCTTAAATATTACTTTCCATTTTTTATTGTGGTTTTAGTTTTATGATCTTGTTGAAAAGCGTCTTTTAATTCATTCGTTTTCGTCATTCCACGTTATGCATTTGGGATTGTTGCCTCAAGAACGCTTGACATTCGATCCTCTCAAACCGATCATTCTTCGTGGACCTCCAACTGAGGACGGAACTTCGGTCTTTTCCGGCAATGTGCTCTTATCGTTGGCTCGTAATACCAAAGTCAGTAGTATTTCCGTCACCTTGAAATGTACAGCCACCACATACTGGCCCGAAGGTAAGGATTTGCTTTTTTTTTGTTTATATTTTTTGATTCGGCCATTTGTACCAGCAAGTCGGTAAATAATTGATCCCGTGAACAAACAGGCATCGGCGCACGTGGCACTCGTCTCAGTCATGAAAAGGTCTTGAGCGAACAGACAGTCCAAGTATTATCTTTCAAGGATGACAAAAAGAAAGGTTATACAAAACTCCCACCGGGCATTCATCGCTTTGCCTTTGTTTTTGTGATACCCAACGTAAAGTAGCTTCCCTTTTTTTTTTTTTTTTACTATGACGGGTTTGATGTCTCTCTTTACTGACATGCGGTTTCTTATTTTTAATTTTTGTTTCATAATTAGTCCATTGTGGAAACTATTGAGGACGTCTATGGCCGAGTAAGACATACAGTGGAAGCTCGGACAGTCGGACCTGGCGTGCCTCTGTTGAACAATTGGCATACCACCAAACAGGTCCTGGTGCTCCGTGCTTACATGTCCAATTCGTTGTTGACCAACAACTCGCTGGAAGACTTGTCACGTACGTTTGAGAAACATGTGGTGACAGGCGATGTACAAGTGGTCGTGGAAGCCGTCGCGTTTTCGTCCGGGGATATTTTCCATCTGCGATGTGTGATCCAACCGCATCGGAAAAGAGCCCGTCTGGAACACATGGAACTTTTTATTACCGAACATCGCCGTTACAACGTTCCAGAAGTGCGAGCCCATCGTTCAGAGTCCGATCATTTCCCCTTAACATATATTGGTTCGAGTTGCATCGTCGACGGAGAGATCAGTCGAGATACTACTGAAGAACTACGTCCCGTGTTCAGCAAACATAATCACGGAATTGAATTGACCGATACCATGGCCTACCGTATCACTTTTGCCACCCCAACGTGTATGCGGAATATCCACCACACCACTTACTACAAAGAAATCCTTTTCCGACATCATCTGGCCATCAATCTCGTTGTTTCTTACGTCGACGATACCTACAAATCCAACACACCGTCCCCTTCCAGTTCAACTACTGATCTCTCCCCGCCTTTGAGTCCTCATGAATCCACAGTCACATTGTCTTCCGGTTCCAGCCACGGTCAAGTTCAAAGTCACAGCAATGGTGCTGAGCGACCATCCATGGGGCACACCGGGTCGAGTCATTCCAATGCGCGATGGTTGGCTCGTTTACGTAAAACAAAGGCGGATAAAGATTTTGATGATACGTTGGGACATCGTCTACGGGAAAAAATTCAGCTGGAGACCTTAGTGACGGTATTTGATTGCCGACTAAAGGAGGATTTTGGAAGACTTCCATCTTACTTTGAACTCGGTGTGACAAAGTCCGTGCCAACGTGCGATTCCAAGGAAATGCACCACGTGGATGACACCTTGATGGGTTCATCCTCCGCCGCCGTGGTTGCCACATCGTCCCTGGAAAATCACGTCTTTCTGTGCTCCTGTTTTCACGCTTTCCGGAAACAAATGCAACTGGCTTCAGCAACCTTCTTTCTACCCGATGACAATGCCATGATACCACTCGACCGAATTCCTTCCAAACCACCCCCAGATTACGTTGACTCTTCCTAATTGCTTTAAACATTTTTCACTTTTTGTACTAATATCCACATCCTGCTTGCATTGAATTCATTGGTCCTATACACGCTTCTTCATTCCCACTTTTATCTTTAGATGAGTTTGAATCGATAACAATCTTTTTTCATTTGAATAGAAATTCACGCTTTGGCTCCGCCTTTTTGCATTGAAAAAAGCCCACATTTAAGGTTAATCATGGCATTGTCAACCGTCCAATATAGCAAGGCTACATACTAGACCTCATCTTTTCGTTTTGACGTTTTTTTGTTTTTTGTTTTAAAATGACGATGTCTTGATTGTTCATTGAGCAAATCTACTCTCACCAGTTACACCATCAATCTATTAGACAAAAGCTTAAAGGAAAAAAAGAAAAGCCAGCCATTTCATTGTCAAATTATCTTCGGGTCTTTGGCTATAAATAACTGTAGTACAAACATTGTTCTCCTATCTTTATCGCACGCGCAAACATCGATTTTCAATCCATGGTAAAGTATTCGTTGGGATGCTCAGCCTGTAACAAAGTGCAATGGGCTCCATTTTTCAATTATGAACCACAGATTGATCGTAACAAGATATTTCTCAAGTGACATCAACGCATGCATCGCGTTGAGATATATGAATTGGTCTATTAAGCAAAGCATGAATAAGCATAAGAGTTCAAAATTAGATAGTCTTTGGAAGGGTTGACAAAGTAGGAGGGTCAAAAATAGACTTGTAATCGAGTTCAATTCCGAGCAAATTGTCAATTCATAAATGCGTAAAATGAACAAGGCCTTTTTCTTTATTTTTCCTTCTGTTTTGAAATTTTTCCCCTTAATAGGTCGAAAAAAAAATGATTCCCAAAGGAACAAGATAGTGTATTGAGGTTGCACAGCGCTCGATCGTATATCGGTAAACGGTATTCAGTTCATTACTGACACTCAGCATTGAATGCCCATTGCCAATAGAAAAAAGAATTTCTAGAATACAAGAAACGGCGATAAAACGGTCTTTTATATCATCATCTTGAAAAATCAATGCGCGTTGTTAATGTCCGTTCGCATGCTAGCGTTACTATTCATGTCACGAATTATTTTCCAAACAGGGTAAAACACTTTATTCATCCTTTTTACTAACCGTTCCTCCATAAAACCCTGTGCCGTCCATTTAATGCCCAGAAAGGCGGCTTCTTTGCGTAATAAGTCACTGATTGCGCGATCACATATAACATGGAGGTATTAAAGACCCTCGAATATAAAAAGAAGTGATTGAATCGCTTTTGTCAGTGACAGATAAAGCCCTTTCTGCGTCCGCGGAGGAAAATGCGAAATTTTCAATGTTACATCAAACTTTGCTTGAACTGGCGGTGTGTGGTATTCAAACAAATGGTCGATCGCTCCTTATATTATCGCCACCCATTGTGCAACCGGTCTACAATTTGCACTCCCTAGCATTTTGAGTCTCCATATCACATCGAGAAACCTTTATAATGTCACCCATTCGGTTGCCTTTCATCCTTGTTTTTCGACTCCCATTCGTTAGATTTCTTTTTCTTTTTCTTTTTTCTTCGTGTATATATGTGATAGAGTATGCAATATCCTGTCGACCATTGTACACCTAATAGCATCCAATATCCATCTTTAATATCACTTTTATCAACCACATCATTATCATCCATGCATCCTGACACGCTCGATTTATCATTCATGAATTTGAACAAAACGTCAATGTACGATTACACATCCATCCCTTATCCTTCTGTACATGCCAAGGAGCCAGCTCCACAGCCACTGTCGGATACCACACATCCACAGCGTAAAAGGACACGAGCCACCCCTGAACAGCTTGCTGTTCTGGAAAATGCATTCAGTGTCAATCCATCCCCCAATAACCGTGTCCGTGTCCAACTATCACGTCAATTGGGCATGTCCGAACGTACTATCCAAATATGGTTCCAGAATCGTCGAGCCAAAATGAAAAACATGGCCAAGCGTTCCGCCGTGTTCCATGATCAAACTTTACGCATGCAACAACTGGCAGCCGCGGCAGCCACCGCCGCATGTCAGGCCAACGCGTTCCAGCAACAGCAGACCTCTCCCAACGGTACCGTCACGCCTAATCCCGACTTGTACTATTACTATTATTACTACTACTACAATCAACAACAACAACAACAGCAACAGCAACAAGCCCAATACGGTCGCGGTCTTTTGCCATCGGGCCCTCCTCCCACGACCGCTTCGCTTGACAATTCCATACCTCCACTGTTGTTCCAAGCACTGCCACCACCTCCACCACCACCTTTATCACTAGCCCTTGGCCCCTCCTCATCTTCCTCCTCCTCATCCATGGGCCCGGTGCCAATGTCTTCCGACAGTACCTCGAGTCAGAGCAGCTATCAGTGGACACCGCCGCCACCTCCTTTGACTGCCGTCAATCTCGCCCCATCAATGTCTACTCCCACCAACAATGGACGGCTTTTACACGGATACCGATCCATGGGCAGTCACGATGGTCGTTTGAGAGCGCACTCCGTGGGTCCCTATCCTTCCTACTCTTCACTGTATCGCAAACAGAATTCTCAGCATGAACGGCACGCCTCTGTAGACCCGTCAGCGTATCACAGGGTTCACCGGTCGTACACAATGGCTTCTCCCGCACCACCAACGGACAGTGGCCATGCGCTTCTCCTTTCCAACAAACAAATAGCCACCGAGAACACGCATCTTCGCATTGACACAACGTTGGGTAATATGAATATGCATTATAACAGCACCGGTATGGATACCAGTCATACCCTGACAAGCACGGGTCTATCCACTTGTACTTGGCCCGAAGAGTATCCAGAGTATCCCCCTTCACTAGCGCTCGGTAAGCAACCTGGACATGGTTTCATGATAAAATTTGGCTGTTGTCTTACAAACAATTGTATCCTTTATTTTGCAGCAACCCCGTTATCTGCAGAGAATACTGTATGCACACTGTACCCGTTATCAACAGAAGCCTTGCAGATTGGTACATGGAGGCGCATGAACCTTGATTCTCAAGACTTGATGTGCTTTTACGATGGGCAGCAGCGTGCTTTTGTCTGGTCGATTCATGACGGTCATCAGAAATTCAAGATGAAAATTGGTCTTCAAGCCATCCAAGGACTCGAATTACATCCTGTCGTTGATCAACCGGGTTACGTCCGGCTCGTGGTCCAGGTGTGGCAGCCCGAAGCGATCGAGTACTACATGGAAGATAACTCCGACGTCTGGATTCAATGTCAAGATTACACTCAAGACATCCAAGCCAGTTTGGTCTATGAGCATCATTTGGAAGGGTCCGCGAATGCTTTGAGAGCAGACATGATCCGGCTGGCGATGCATGAACCGGTGATTCAGTCCATGTTTCTGGATACCACTCTTATTCCTACCCATGAGGACGGACAAGTATCGACGTCCCATCAAGTGTCGTCCAACCCATCAGGCCAAGAACTCGCCCATTCAGCGGAAGATCAAGGACAGCAAGGCTTATTACTTGTTCAGGGCATGTCACCTCAGGGATAGTCAAAGGGGCAGCACAGAATGTCATTGGTGCGGCATTTGTATAATTTTCAAAATCCACGAGAACATCAAATAAAAAAAAAAATAACGAGCCAAAAAAAAAAGCGGCTACCTTTTTTTTTTCCCTTTCGTCGATATTCTACCCTAACATTTGAATCATCGACCTTGTCATCACCCCCCTTTTTTTACTACCACTCGTCTATTCATCTTTGTTCAAACCATGAGAGAAATCATCTCCCTTCACGTTGGTCAAGCCGGTGTGCAAATTGGTAATGCCTGCTGGGAACTTTACTGTTTGGAGCACGGCATCCAACCCGATGGTCACATTCCCCAAGACAATGCGGTTTCCGACAAGTCCTTTGATACCTTTTTCAGCGAAACCAGCTCTGGAAAACATGTGCCCCGTACCGTCTTTGTCGATCTTGAACCGACTGTCGTTGATGAAGTCCGCAACGGCACTTACCGTGAATTGTTTCATCCTGGTATGCACTACTACTAAATGACATGTATTTGCAAAAGGAAAACCAGTGTCACTCAACTTTCTTTTTTGTTCTTTTTTTCGTTAGAACAATTGATCACTGGCAAGGAAGATGCCGCCAACAATTATGCTCGTGGTCATTACACAGTTGGAAAAGAATTGGTGGATTCCGTGTTGGATCGTATTCGTAAATTGTCCGATAACTGTAATGGTCTCCAGGGCTTCCTTGTGTTCCACTCCTTTGGTGGCGGTACCGGTTCTGGCTTTGGTGCTCTGTTGCTGGAACGCTTGTCGGTCGACTATGGCAAGAAATCCAAGTTGGAATTCTCTGTTTACCCTGCTCCTCAGGTCTCGACATCGGTGGTGGAACCTTACAATTCCATCCTGACTACCCACACCACCTTGGAGCATTCGGATGTTTCCTTCATGGTGGACAACGAAGCCATTTACGATATCTGTCGTCGCAATCTGGACATTGAGCGTCCTTCATATGCCAACCTCAATCGTTTGATTGCTCAAGTGGTTTCTTCCATTACTGCCTCGCTTCGCTTTGATGGTTCTTTGAACGTGGATTTGAACGAGTTCCAAACCAACTTGGTTCCTTATCCCCGTATCCATTTCCCCTTGGTCACCTATGCCCCTATCATCTCGTCGGCCAAGGCTTATCACGAGCAGCTTTCCGTGCAAGAAATCACCAGTGCCTGTTTTGAACCCAGCAACCAAATGGTCAAGTGCGATCCTCGCAACGGAAAGTACATGTCCTGCTGTTTGTTGTACCGCGGTGATGTTGTTCCCAAGGATACCAATGCGGCCATTTCCAACATCAAGAAGAAGAACACCGTCCAGTTCGTCGATTGGTGCCCTACTGGTTTCAAGGTCGGTATCAACAACCGTGCCCCTGCTGCGGTTCCCGGCGGCGATTTGGCTACGGTGCAGCGCGCTCTTTGCATGTTGAGCAACACCACGGCCATTTCCGAAGCCTGGGCTCGTCTCGATCACAAGTTCGATTTGATGTATGCCAAGCGTGCCTTTGTTCACTGGTACGTCGGCGAAGGTATGGAAGAAGGCGAATTCTCGGAAGCCAGAGAAGATTTGGCCGCCCTTGAAAAGGATTACGAAGAAGTTGGCTCCGATTCTGTCGAATACCAAGAAGAGATGGACGAGGAATACTAAATTCTTTGTGATTTTCTCTTTTAAAAACCCTTATTAAAACGAAAAGAAAGAACCTTGGCTTTTTTCTAATTTAACAATCCTTCACCTCGGTCTAAAATCCCTCGTTTTCATTGCGAACGATATGCAGCTAGGCATATCGCGTCAGCCACTGTGAGCGCTCACAGCACTTCCCTAGCTGTTGACTCCTTTCTTTTGTTTTTGTTTGTTTGTTGAGCAAATTTGGAGGCTCAATAGCTCATACATCGTATCACAGTTTTTTAGTCCATGGAATGCTTCTGCCATGCTGGATCCCTTTTTGTACATCACACTTTGAAAGTACAAGTTGAATAGAAAAAGATGCAACCTCGCCAAAAAATTCATACATTAATATCATAAGAAAAAAGAAAATAGGACAACTTTATAAAACTTGTGTTTAGAGAACGGACTTCAACTGCTTTTCGACTTCTTCCCAATCATCGGTGGGTACTCGTTGGATGGTGCGTTGGAAATGTTCTTCGATGGCTCTCATTTGTTCCCAGCTTCGCTTATCGTGAACAAAGTTTATGCTGACACCGGTACGTCCAAAACGACCCGTTCGTCCAATACGATGCAAATAGGCTTCGAAATCGGGGTTATTGTTCTGATCCAAAGGCATATCGTAGTTGATCACCAAAGTCACTTGGGAAATGTCAATGCCGCGAGCAAGCACGTTGGTTGTAATGAGAACCTTGAATTCACCGCGTCTAAAGTCATCCATAATTCGATCACGCTCTTCAGGCAACATTTTTCCGTGCAAAGACACCACGGCGTGGCCTTGGTCGGTCATACGTCGAGAAATCTCATCGGCGGTATCACGGCGCTAAAAATGAAACATTTCCATCAGTTCATGACACATTCTTGCGCATCCTTGCACTTTGCGTTCCCAACCAGCTTACCTTGCAGAAAATGATACTCTGACTCACAGTCAACAAGTCGTACAGATTACATAATACTTCGTACTTGTGCTGTTCGCTGTCGCAATCCATGTAAAACTGCTTGATACCTTCGACACTAAGTTCTTCGCGCTTCAAGGAAATCTCATTGGCTTCGGGAGCAAAACGAGCAGCAAATCTACGCACGTTATCCGGGAAAGTGGCCGAGAACAAAACAATTTGAGGCTTGGATTGAATCATGCTGCGAGAATGACGGTTTTTTAGTTTTCTTTCCCAGTCACTTTTCGAAAATCACCATTCATAATGGCACTTACCTCTTGATACGGATACTCTGATCACCCAAACCGGCTTGATCCAACATGTTATCGGCTTCATCCAATACAAAGATCTTGACTTGGTTTGTAGGCAAGAGTCTTCGACGAATCGCGTCGTTCACTGAACCTGGTGTACCGATAATAACTTGAGCCTGCACAGCCTGGTTTTTGATGACGGAATCTTTGACGACAAGCTGAGAGGTGATGCTGGTGAATTTAGACATTTGTTCCACGACTTCCATGATCTGGCGCGCAAGTTCACGGGAAGGGGCCAAGCAAATCGCCTATAAAACAGAGACGTACACCAAGAGTGAGCGGACAGAATAATGGCATATCGTCTTTGATGTCGTGATTTACCTGAGGCAGTTTCATATTCAAATCCAATCGGCTCAACATAGTGAGAACAAAAGCGGCGGTTTTGCCTGTGTATTTCCCCGTGATGAACTGTCAATTAGCAACTTTAACCTTGACGGTTTTTTTTTTTGACAACAACGCCCAATTTAACGCACCTGTACCGCTCTGGGATTGACCAATCATATTTCTTGGGGGGTTAGCGAGCAATAAAGGTAAAGCACGCTCCTGGATCTTGGATGGTTTGTTGAACTTCATCGCATAAAGACCCTTGAGCAGTTCGTCGCTCCTAAATAAATTGACCAAAACCGGTAAATACGCACACACTCTTTTCTGGCCCATAAACTTAAAACTATGATGTACAAGCCAAGTTCTTCAAACGTCTTTGCCGAGTATAAGGGAGAATTGGGGTCAGCTTGCTGATCAGCCAATTTCACTTGCACGACATGAGTGCTGGCAATCAAATTGGATTCTTGGTCAAAGTTAGACGAGATGGGGTTAGCTCCTTTTAATACAAACACTACAGACGATCGGATAAAGAGTGACATATTCTTTTCTTCCCGTCATCGCTGCCCATGGTTGGTCTTTAGTGTAGTTTACCTTCGGGAGAAGAGTCGTCTTTCACAGGAGGAGTGATTCCATCGTCGGCTATTGGATGCGCACAGTTTATCGTCAGTCATGTGTTACACGGAATGCCATTGACAGCCGATGCGCTTTCAAAGCGTCTCCGGTTGGGTCTAACAACGTGGATGGAAAAAAAGTAAACTTACGCTTCGAGGCAGCTGTGAGGTCGCCCAATTTAACGGTAATGGTTTCAAGATCTAAACAATGGAACGTCAGTGGCGAGGCGAAAAAGGGTCGATCGAGGTGGGTCTGTGACCGGGTCGTGTCGAGGGCCGGGGGTACTAGGCTAAGGTCGACGGTGGCAACCATAATAGCGAGCCCCGTTTTATTCAAAAGAGGCGACCAACCAAAGACGGTCCACTCAACGTAGAAGGAATGAAATAGGTAGAAACAAACACGTTACCGTCAGCCATGAGGAATAGGAGTTGCAAAGACTACAGGAAGCAGCAGTTGAGCTGAATGAAAGGACCGTGAAAAAAATAAAAACGGTCGGAGTATCATTTTCAAAGGAAAAGCAAGTCCCTCCTGCTTTCAACCTCCGCCACGGATCTGGTTGATAGAGAGAAAAAGACAGTTACGTCAACCGAGTATTCTCACTACAGATAAGTCTATCAACCACTTTCTCTCATACACCTATCAGCATAAATTAACAGTCTGAAGCATTGAACTGATTGTCTGGTAATTATTGCGTGAAAATTATAAAAAAGAAAAAAAAAAAGGTAGTGCAAAAGGCCATCTTCCTTTGCCGTATTTCCTTTCCAATCCGAATTTTGCATGAGTTGCGTGTGTGGAAACAGGCATTGCAGAATTTTAGTCGTCTGATAATAGTAACATATTGGAGTGCACAAGTATTCTTAGTCGATCATGCGTGCAAAAAGAACTTTTTTCTTTTTGTACACACCCGATTACAGCATGGAGGGAGGGACGGGTTGTTTGACCAATAAATAAGGATGAGATTCCACAACTACTGGCTTCAGCCACTTTAGAGAACCGATTTTCTGGAAAAAGATCTGCAAGGCCATTTGCTGCGGATGCAACATTTGTGCAAAGCCGCAGGTTACGTGAGTCATTGGGGTGAAAGCCCCAGAATGTATGGTGTGCATAGCAATTTTTGGTATTTATCTGATGTTGAAGAGTGTTACGGAAAACATCAACAACGTCGCGAGAAAAAAAAAAAAAAAAAAAAAAAAAAAACTTGGCGCCATTTATTAAGCTTGCCGGCATGGATAGACACTTGCCGTAAAACCGTTGATTTTTACTGGCGGCGGGAAATGGTTTGTTCAAAAATACCGTGATGGCGCGTGAATGTGGGACAAATATGGATACATAGCATTCTGGCGATGAGAGAAATTTTTTCTCTTTCGTCTATTGATCGCGTGGCATTTCTTCCCAACGTATTGCTAATTTGATTTTTGCACATCATTTTATTTCGAATGAATTCATCTGTGTTGGCTCCACTTTTTTTTTTCTTTGCGTTAACCTGTGTACTAAAATAGTAGAAAGCCAATCACCCGATTTGGACAACCGTTCGCCTCATGTATCCTCTTTTGTTCTTAATGCCTGCATCAACCTGTTCTATTCTTAAATCATCGCCATCGCTCGTATATTTTAATTCTTTTTATTTTCTCTTGGCTTGACATCATCGTTTTCTCCTTTTTCCTCTGCTCTTATTAACTTTTTTTTTTGCACCCACTTCCTACCTCAATTCTAATTAATTCACAAGACTCTCTCTCTCTTTTTTTCCTGGACTTAATTATCATGTCAACCTCCACAACAAGAAGAAATCGCACACGTACCGTCTCTGCTTCATTGGACCCTTTTAGTCAATCTCGTCACAATAGTACCTTGGCAACGGCGGTAACGACGGTATCGACGAGTAAAAGTGATCAACGATTGTCTCATTTATCCGCGTCACGGCAACGTCGACAGTCCGTTACCAGAGCCACCGCCTCCAGCTTGGCTAAAATGACCCATGGTCTCGGCGATAATTCCCCTTCAGCACCATCAGCACCGGCAACCGAGAATGGTAAAAAGAATCTCAGGGGTACCGACATGAAATTTCTGCGGCGTAACCGCACTCAATCCATTCGTCCTTCCAGTGAATTGGATGCGACAGCCGCGAAAAAGCAGGCTACATTAGAGTCGCTTCAACGACACATGAAAACCTCTAAACAGAGCACCCGGCTTCAACCAAGTCGGACCCAAAGCACCACTAGCAGTCTTCATCCGTCTTCCTCCTCTTCCTCCTCCTCCACATCCTTGGGCCCCTCTGCTTCCCCTTCCTGGTCGTCATTGACTCGACTTCGATCCTCGATTTCCTCATCGTCTTCCACCTCTTCTGTTAAAACGACATCCAATAAAAAGAAGCCCGTAATTACCATGACCCCCGCCACACCTACCTCCACCGCCGTTGCTCCTACTCCACCGCCACCGTCGCTCGATAGAGGTCCCACCAATCGACGAGATACGTTCGATCATCGTAGCTCAGCAACCCCTGAAGGTCGCAAAAGGAATTCAGGCGGTGAGGTAGTTGCTGGGATTGCAACAACAAGGACACCCAGACGACAATCACATACACCTGCAACCGTCAGCAAAATCCCCACTTCAGCAAGTCGTCATTCCATCGCCAGCCTTCCTCACACACGCCATCACTGCCACGTCCCCAATGCTTCCACAACCACAACCACTACTACGAACACAGCACTTCCGATGCAAAGCATACCAGGGTACATGCGCCCGCCCATGTGCGAAGCATGCAATAAACATGCTCGACCCGTCGCTCCTCCTCCACCACCTGTTCTTCAATCGACCGCTCACTACCTGGGGCGTCGACGGTCCCTACCGCTGCTCAGCCAGGATCGTGAGAGGGGAAGACCCAATTTGTCTGAAGAGGCGCCACGTCTTTCGTTGTTAAGGTTTCAGGCTTCCAAACTGGAATCCTGCAAGAACCAAGCAACTCCTGAACCCAATAACAACAGCCATAGCAACACTTACTCGGGTGTCCCTGCGATATCTCAGGTGCCACCCCTGGAGAGTTCATCCTCGGACGATGATAACGGATCTCCTGTATCTCCCATGTCCACTGCATGTTGGCGTCGTCGTGGCAGCGGCAGTGGCAGTGACGATGACCAGGGCGGATCCGATCGTGGATCGTTTAGTACCGGCGAAGCCGACCGTCCATCGGACTTTGTGCAACTCATTACCACCTGTGTGGCGCAATCGACCAAGTTGGAACGGATATCAGTCGAATTGCTAGGATCGGAAAAACGATTAACGGAGCTCCTCGAGACACAAGAACCATTCGCGTGGGAAGCACGGGAAGCGCGATACGAACAAGGCATACGCGAGTGCAATGCGTTGGTGACGAAGCAAGCGCAGTTGATCGATCGAATGGAAGGCCTGCTGCTTGACAGCCACGGCAAAGTAGCCCCGTCATTCAAGATTAGTGACACTGAAGCTGTCACGGCTACAAGCTCGACATCGGTTTATGTTAATATGCAATCGCAACAGAGCAGCTACTACCATTTGCAACAGTGGCAAGCGTCCGCGACAGCAGAGGATGAGAAACGTGATCTTGCTTTATCGTTACGTTGGGCTATTGGTCAACTGGTCGGCGGTACGACCGGCACAGGCATGGTGGTTGCGCAAAGAAAGGCTCGTCGTGGCAAACCAAGCACTCTGCTTATTGTGGGCAGTTGCACAACCACGGAAGCTGGCGTTTTACCTCCGGTGAGTGCGAAAACGCATCGATTAAAAAAGAAAATACAGAAAAGACTGACGCCTTTTTTCAATTTAGCATCTGACTCGACAAGATAGCCGACGAGAATCGTTATACCATCATCAATATATCATTGAGATTACGGGATCTGATCGCAAAAGAAGATTTCAAAAGTTATCTGGTGATCAATGGGTCTCCGATGACACCGCCAACCATTGTGAATTTTCGGTGAATGCGAGGAAATGCACCACTCAATTTGATTGGTTCAATCGTCGGCACCATTGTCGAAGGTAAGCTCCACAGCCCAAAAGTAGCCCACTATTATTTGAGATCATGTGTGTCTAAACTTTTTCTGTAAATAATCAGTTGTGGCCACCTATTTTGCCATGCTCACAGTTCGAATCGCTTAATTCTCTTTGATCCTCAAGACAAAGATAAAGGCGAATGGTTAAGAGTGTGCGATGGTTGCTTCTATAAACGAATGGTGCCTTTTCTACGTCCTTGCGAATCTTAGCCCACCTTGTCCCTTGTCCTTTATCCTTTCCCCTCTGCACTCAAGAAATCCATTGCATCCTGTCGCATCACCGTACATAGGAACCCTATCCAACCTATTTAAAAAACTACACTGATCGGTTGGCAAACCAGCCCTCGGAATCAAATCACATTGCAAAAAGTTTTATCATCAGCATCCAATTGATTCCTCTTCCCGTCACATGCATTTTCTTTCAAAACTAACAAAAAAGTTTTGTTGCTGATATTCATATCATCATCCATGCCCAACAATCCATGCTGTATTTATCCTCAGGTCTCATTTCCCACGGAAGCAAATGTCCTGATCTGCATTCATTCAGAAAAAAAGCAACTGTAACAAATATACTATTACAAGCATCACCTTAATCCGTCGTAAAACAAGTTCTTATTCATATACATGTCGTTTGGTGCATATGATTTGTTGCAAACCAACGAGATCAAAGTGCTCTTAGAAAAGGGTCGCCGGGGGGGGGGGAGGAAAAGGCGTGTGTGGTTTAACTGACGGCGCTGGCTGCCATGTGTTCGTTGGAAGAGACATTGTCATCGTCGTGGCGGTGTGTTTGCGGTCTGTAGATGGTGCATGTTAAAGGGTACAAATCTTGCAGGGTTAATATGGTTCTTGGATATCGGTGGGTTGGATCAGTTGCTAATGCGGGTGCATAATCTTCATAAGACAATTTTCCTAAAGTCACAAGCCGAAATCCATAATGAGCTTAGATCCATGCAGTAAAAAAAAAAAGGGTATGTTTTCTCCAATTTTTTTTTGTGCCTACCTCGTTGAAGAAGTACCGCGTGCCATCCTGCATTGGCGGCACCCCAGTAGTCCCTACAGAGTCGAAATTTTTAAGCCGCGGGTGGAACAGATGCTGTTATATTACTGAAGCTTACTTTTGTAGATCGTCGCCTATGTGTAGTGCAGCTTCTGGAGTGATTCCTGGTGACGCCAGCGTCAATGCCTTTTGAAAGATGCGTCCATGGGGCTTTTCGAATCCGGCCATGCAACTGGGAAGGATAAAATCAAAGTAATGGTCCAGCCGTAGACTCTGAATCACATCCACTGTGGAATAGAAAGAAAAATTAAACAATTAATACACCGTGTTTTCTTGTATGGAGTGGGTGGTGGTCAATGTACCCAGGCAATCGTCAGAATTGCTTATAACACCCATCTGGAATCCCCGTCGTTTCAATTCATTCAGTGTAGGCACCACATCCGGGAATAGCGCATACCCTTCGGCCGTTCGAAACCGTGTATAAATGGCTTGAAAAAGCTGGTCGAATTTCATATCCAATTCTGTGGTTGCACATCAGTGTCTTTAGTAGTCGTTTTTTTTTTTTTTTGTCTTGATCTTACGTTTTTTTGAAACACCTGCGTCCAGAAATGTGGCATAAACCAGCTGTAAAAAGCATTGAGTTTTTTGTTAGTGGTTTGAATAAGGTCTTTTTCTTTTTCCTGTTGGCAATGGACGTACTTCTTCCCACCAATGCTGAGATGCCATCCCCTTGTGAATGCCGTAAAGAGGTGCGAGCTGCAACTGCCGTTTGTACGCCGAGCCGAAATGGTAGGTAATATCGTGCTTGGACACTCGAATGCCGACATTAGCGGCCTCTTTGGCCTACAACAAACGCTTATCAGTCGGTTTCCCCACAGCATGGCATGTCATGCCTGCTACCCACATATTGTGCAGATAAGCTGCCTCTAGGTTTGAATAGCGTGTTGTAGGCGTCAAAGGTAATAAGTCGAATCCTTGCTGTCATTATTATCGAGGTGAATAAAAGCAAAAAGTGCCAACTAAACAAGATAACGAAAAAAGAAAAAAATAGTTTCGCAGCAGTGAAGGGATGGCGCATGAATATCGGATATCCATCTTTTGCCGACAGTCACGGGCCCACCTTGTTTCAATTCGATCTTTCCTCTATCTTTTCTCATGAGAAATTCAGACTCCATTTTATCAACGCCCGGTCGGCTGCTTACAAAATAATAGAGTGACATGTGATTCAAAATGATACCATGCCATTCAAACCGTCTCTGACAGAATCCATCAAGCCCACGCCATGATTTTGTTGGCTATCCCAGCAACAGATAATGGCCAGCATCGAGAGAAATAACCACGTGGAACCTCTTTGTTGCTGCAGAATACCCCACCGATCGATCAAAGCTGGGTTTATTTTCACTATTATCCAGTCAAAATTTTCGTAGATCTGTTATACTAGTGATAAAGATAACGAATATGACAATGTATACCTTTTTTATCCCCCCCTTTTTTTTTAAATAGAATTATCACCATGACTTTTTTTGGGTCGGATAATCCCGGGGGTTATTGGGAAATCATGGAATTACCTAAAATGGGCGTGGAAATTCATGATCGGATGACAACAGATGAGACTATCCCTGCCGTTTTTGGATTGTTTGTGAAAGTGATGATGACGCTCGAAACAGGGTGACCGATCTTTCACATTGAAGACACCTTGGTCGAGAAGAGTTGTAGTTTTAAGGGCCTCGATGCCGGGTGCGTGAAATAGCCGTCACAGATTGACACACGGGTGATGTGTTGCTTGTTTATGAATATGCGCCTTCTCAAATCGATTTTCGAGCGAAAGGGGACAAATGGGAATCTCAAAAAATAAGCTAGATCAATCATTCAAAAATTCATAAAAAGTAGGATCATGATGTCAAGTTTTCTTCTATCTCTTCTAAATAAGAATGTAATCGCTGGAAATCGATGCCGTTAATAACCATCACGTTGTATATTTCATTAGGCTTCCCACGCAGAACCAAAAATTTACCTGAATTTGGGGGCCATCGATGGTTTCTCGTCCGGCTAATTCAATGACTTTATCGGCAAAAGATAATAGAGATTCTTCCATGTACAGATAAGCCATTTGGGGATTCGACATGATGTTGGCTGATTTACTCGCTGCATGGGCCGGGTCTTGAATGTTTCGACTCGTTTCAATCACAGCCACTGCATTGATGGTTATATCGACGAGTACCAAAGAAAACTTTTCTAAAAGATGCAAGGCTTCTCCGTTGGATACCATGGCGGGTTCCTCATCGTGAAAATCGGCTTGAATGTCTGTTTCTTGAAGCGTATCCAGTGACGAAAGCACGCGCGTCATACTTTCCAGTAGCTGCATGAGTCGAATATCGATGCGAATCGATCGCTGAGCTGCCGGCTTATTCCCAAAAGTGGGTCGGTCCACTTGCAATTTGTTCAGGCCCGCCAAACTGTCGGCAATCCATTGGCCACATATAAGGGCCAAAATCCGACTTTTAAATATCAGAATGGACGAAGAATATCCAATAAATGCAATGGTGTTGCTGGTAAATTCAAGGCCCAATAGTATGCATTCGATAAGCTGTTGTTAAAAAAGTGAATGAAAAAGACCAATCCGTTGCCAACTGTTTTTAGTTATTTACCTTTTCTATGGTGTAGGGTTCAGGGGAGGATTTGTCGGGGGTGCGATTCAGTGGCAGTTGAGAACATGCCAGATGGAGTTCGTTTAGTAAAACATCACAAATATTGAAAAAGTAGCGTTTGACAGCCAGCAAAAGGTCATCGTCCACGGGCAATCCCATGGCTTTCCATTCCAAACCGTGCTGCACCAGGTTATCACCGAATAAATTGATCTTCATTTCCAAAATAGAATGCAGGTACTTGATATCATGCAGCAGATCGTTGCTGCGAGGTATCGCTGTAGCTACCAGGTGATTCATATCTTCGATAGACTATTTACATCACATCGTAAAACAGGTCCCCATTTTGTTGCTCAGCTTTTTTATATTCGTAGTTGGATTTCTTCGTTTTGGCTTACCTGAACGTATGCTGCAATTTTATTGATTCGTCCTTCACACGCTTTCCACTCGGGAAAGATTTCCTATCATGAGACGCCAAATCAGTTACTCATCCATAAGGCGTCGTGTATGATGAAAATATTATTACGGTAAAACACAGTGAATGGTCACCGCTCATTTCGTCTGCGAGTTTAAGGATCTGGCCCAGTTTGGCTTTGATATCGTGAAATCGCTGTCCATCCGCTTGGGAGTCATGCGTCGTGTTTAAATCGGCGAGCAATTGATGTAACTGACTCTGCTTTTCTTCAAATAGTTGCTTATACTCTTGGATGCCCAGACCTTCCCTTTGCGCCTGCAATGCTAACCATTGACTCAGATCGATCGACCGATTGAGATTCATCGCTCCGCTCAAAGAAATACGACGCAACGTAGGTATAGGCGTCAAGTCGGCCGAAGAGGATTCATCCATATGATGGTTATCATCGGATGGCGCGGGCGAGCCACGATTGGAGGACGAGCGGCGTATGACAGGGGAACGGACAATCTTTCGGCAAGTGTAGGACGCGGCGGTGTCGGACGAGGAAGGTTTCATATCAATATCGTCTTCATTGCCGTTGCGTTCGGGATCGTTGTCGGTCATGGACAAGCTCCGGGCGATATCGTTGGCCAGGTTGTACGACAGTTTTTGCGTTTTCTTGTCGCGCAACTCGTCACAGAAATTGCGTTTACGTTTGACGGAAGCAAATCCCATTTCCAGCAGAAATGGCTCTAGGTTCGTAAACGTGCGTAGGTTGAGTTGAGAGTCGACTAGGACAAGGGAAGCACGTCTTTTTTTTTTTTTTTTTTTACCTTTGGTGGATCGTAACAAGTCATTCACGCGATCTTTGCTGTTGTCCATTTCGGGAACCCGTTTTGTCTTTTTGGGTCTTTGCTGATCCTCTTCAAAGAAGCAATCCTCTACAAAAGACGTGAACTTGGTTAAAGCTTGACGAGTGTGAGCCCCAAGTTTCGCCCAATACCAAGAAGTGTGATGATGATATTAGCACAGCGAGCCCATATATCATCGTCTGAGCGTACACCACCGAGCATTTCCTTGTCTGTAAAGACTGAATGGTCCATGGCTTTAGGGCTGTATGTAATCTAGCTGTGAACCGTTTTGGCTGGAAAATAGGCCATTAAAATTATGCGACGAAATCCCGAGTTTTGCCTCAGCTGAGTTCTTTTTTTTTTTTTTTTGATCGCTCATGGCCTCTTTTTTTTTATATACCTATCTTACATGCTGAAAACTCCGAGAGAGAGAAAGCGAAATTTCTAATTTCTGCTATAGTAATAATTCAATGGGGATTGGACTATCATCGTTATTCATGTTCATATCAATGAAGAAAAAAGTCAAGGAGTTCCGTGATTGGTGAAGCTGTTGGCCACTCATCAATCGTCATTGTGGCATGATAAAAATAAATCAAAGCCATGAATGGAAATGACATTGCAAAAGGAAATAACTTGTCACACCAAAAAAAAAGTGCCTCGATGAAAAATCGACTAGTGATAAGGAGACAATGATGGACACCACGTTAACTCTCTTTCAACCTTTACATTATCACACTTGTTAGTATTAAGCTTTTTTTTTTTCTTTTGCATCAAGAAGATTCATTTTCCACTCTCGGTTAATCCGACGGCGCATCCTTTTTCATTGTTCTGACCATTTACGCTCAAAAACTGGCTCTTTACGGCATAAAACTCTCGCTGATCCTTTTTTTTGGTTACTTTATTTTCTTTTATTGCATGACAGCTCGCTCTCCATTTTACAAATGAGTTGTTTTTCCGCATGACAGAACAGAGGGATGGATGACCTACGAGACTACATCTGGCCATACGTGAAAGAGACCGATACGTGATGGTGATAAATGATGGATATAGTCCATTGTTATTGATCATATGAGGGAAACCACATCAGGTAGTCGCGCTCGTCACTCCTCCACAAAGAAAGAAACAAAAAACTTGTTTAGAATACCCTTTTTTTTTTCTTTTGCAGTGAATGAAAGGGGAAAGACAGATCCATTTGTTGTTATCTCATTTCTTTGATGATGACGGAAATTGCCCTTTTATGGTGATTCGGAGAATTGACCAATTCTCTTGTCATGCAGCCTTCTCATTCCCCCCCCCAAATCTCACAACAACACACACATACATACACACACACACAACATAATACAGGAGTAAGTCAATAGGGAGTGAAACCGCCAGGACCACCTCATGCCAAAAAAAAAAAAAGTACAATAAAGAACAAATCGACTGTAGGCACATTCGTTTTATCGAAAGTCCAAAAAAGTGCTACAAACAGCCCACCGTATCAACACCAAGTGCCATGACTGCTACGATCTATTTTTACCCTTGACGTCTCTTATTTTTCCCCAATGCGAGTTTTTCCTCATGGCGGTCTTTTTTCTTTATAGCGAGATGGAGTCGCTGTATTGTTTACAGTGTCAAATGCAGATGGTGCTGCATGTGGACTGTCCGAGCCAGGTCTGAATCTCGGAGACTGACCCCATTAGGATGGGGGATGGCAGAGGCGTTGGGACACGTTGAAAAGATCATTGGTGTGTCACTCCTAAACTAAACATTGATATGCTATAGAAAAAGGAAAGTGAGACGAAAACGTATTCTTTCTTTGGCTGGATCCTATTCCCCTGTTTTGTTATTTCACTCGATGCACCCAAAAAAAGAACATCATTCGCTCCAACACACACACGCACACACATAAACTTCAGCCTTATTTAAGACGAGCCCTTTTTTTTTCTTGGTTGTTTTCGATCCTTTTTTTATATATTTTCTCGATTCACTTGTCCACGGACTTTTCATCTGTTTATCTTTTTCTTCATTTCTTTTTGCATCCATTCTACTCTGTATATTTTCGATTCATATCTCTTTTTTTTTTTTCATCGCCAATCCTCTATTGAACATACCATGACTAGTATCAAGCTAGCCCCTATTATTCACAGCGCTTCCGTCACCGAATTCAACGAACGAGAACAGCATATATGGTACAGCATCAAGGTCATTCCAATGTTGCATCGTGATGCATCAAGGAACGCCAGTCTGGTCACTCCGCTTCGGAAAACATATACCATTAGTCGGCGTTACGAGGACTTTGAAGCGTTTGCGCAAAAATTGCATGACCAATTTTCGTCGAGTGAGGGGGCCTTTTTTTCACGCTCGCGACGGTTCGGCATGACAACACAGTCGCTCCCCATACCGAAAATTAAAACTCGACTAAATCTGTTGCCAGCCCACAAGAAACAAATCCATGTTCAACGACAGGCAGAACTAAACAAGTTTATACATACTCTGCTCAGCTTGGATCCAACCGTCACTCAATCGCTCTGTGTAAGAGAATTCTTTGGTTGGCATCGGGTCGATATAGAGCAACGCATGACAAGCAAAAAGATACCTTTGAGACGCGCTCGCCTGACTCGGTCACGTTCCCATTTGGAATTGCAGGATCGACGGAAAAAGAAACATGTGCGACTCCATCGATCCCTGTCGCAACCGGACCTTTCAATAACATGCCGTGCCGATGACCATCTCGTGAGACGCTCCGTTTCTCCAACCTGCTGGATCCCAACACCCCCCGCCCCCAGTACATCCACTTCTCGTTGGAAACTGCTCAGACCACAGCGCCATCACCCGTCACCCAGCCTGTCCTCTCTCTGTACCCAAGCCGTTCACAAGATCATGCCATGGACCACTCGTCGAACTTCACTACCGTCCTCGGATACTTCTAAGGAACCGATCCCAATGCCGTCGCCTCCACTCCCTTTGAAACGATGTGACGAACCTCGAATGACTGGCATCGATGCTATCAGTTGTGTCAGCACGTCTTCCTCCTCGTCCTCTTTCTCCTCCGCCATCTCCCCTACCGTATCCCACATTGCTTCCGATCGCATCAAGATGAAAATTGTCTACGATATGGACAATATAGTTGTTGTGCAAGTGCCTCGGTCCATTGAACTGCATGAACTACGTCGACGGATTCAGCAGAAATTTTCTGAACCTAATCTTTGTCTTGGTCCTCATTTCAATTTATTGTACCACAACGCACGGTCGTCGGCTTCCTCATGTTGTTCCGAAGGCCAGACCACGGGTATCATCATTTCTCAACCCGAGGATTTGCTTCATGCCATGACTTTTCAATGGGATAAGCTGGAAAAAATCACCCTTCGATGTATTCTTGTATAATCTCTCATGTCTATGTGTACTGTATATAACTATTCTACTGCTACATTCCCTTGTATGAACAACCACAAAAAAGTAAACCTTTAGCTTGTCAAATAAACTTTATAATGTACTCATCATCATCACCATCATTATTATCATCCGCCTGCAATCATGACTCTTTATTTTTTTTATGCAGGTGCACCGGCGGGTATTCAACGTCAACTTGTATGTCGAAAGAAGAAGGAACCCATATTACCAGGTGGCTGGGGTTATTACTTCATGCTTGCATGCATGCAGCTTTAGCAGCCATTTTTTTATGATGATGATGACAGAGGATCGGCTTTGAATCGCTTGTGGTTTTGTTATTGTTGTTGTTGTCAAGTCGACACTAAAAATCTCAGAAAATGTTGCCTACCAATTTAACCATATAAATACAATAATATACGTATGATGCAATTGAACGATGGTCATAAAAAAAAAAAAAAAAAGAAACTAGTTGATGAGCAACTACACTACGACCGCAAGGCTGCATGGCGCAGAATCAATCATCAATGTCACGAAACACATGTGCATAAGGTAAACCCAAACTCTACTCAAAACTTGTTCATTTAGTGGCATGATTAATTGAAAAAAGTGTGCAGGACGTCCCTTTTTTTTCCTTTTAAAAAAAATAAAACGCTATAACATTCGCGAGTAACCCCAATTTATCACGCATCCTCGGACTAGACATAACAAAAAAAAAAAAAGTTCAATCGGGCCCTCTCAGCTTCGTAAATAAAAATACCAACAGTGCTTCTGCAAAAGCGCATGCTTCTGCAAAGCGTAACGCATTTCTAAGAATAAACACCGCATATTTCGGAAATAGAGAGACAGGTGGGTTTGGTGGAGCTCGCTCAATGCAATATCTTTATTTAAGCTCATCGATTCAAAAAGTCCGATGAAGCTTCTCAATATGTTGCTTTGTTTCCACGTTGTATAAAGACCTTAGAAGCTCAGTCTTGCTTGTTTAGCAAGAGTGTATTCACTAACCTTAGTTACGCTTCACAAAATTTGACGTAAGATAGGATATTGCACAACTTATAGTAACAGTAGTTCTCGCGGGACTCATTTCTATCTCCTGCCAGAAATTGCTGCGTGGTTCGTACTGGTTGCAGCTTGTTGCAGCCAGCAATGTTCTCTGGTCACAAATTTGTGAATATGGTCACAACTGGTCACAAATGCCGAACAGCACAATGAATGAAATTTTGTAATCACTCATTCCTCTTGCGAATGATTCTTTTGTCTTTCAAAAGAGCTATCTACAAGATAGATGTCTTTCTTATAATTTTATAAATGCATATAATGATCCATTATTGACTGTAAACAGACATAGATTATAGAACTAATGATTCATATCTCGTATTTTATCCTTCCTTTCCTTTAGTTCTTACTAAAGGTCGTTTCAACATACCTTATGTCTTTCTGATTACGATCTTAACTCCTCCTTCTTCACCAAACATTACATCCTCAATTGCATCGATGACATTGCTACATTATATTTCAGAGGATACCTGGAATAGCTTACCGCAGACGCAGTTTGCATGGATATCTGAGTTCGCATATTGCAGCTGATCTTTGCTTTACATAAATTTCAGTTGCTTAATGTAGCTTTTCCCGGCAGATTTCTCTCCTCACTCTCTATGTTTGAAGAACGCAACTGCTGATCCTCTTGCATAATCTGAGTCCAGAAGAAGATTCATATAATGGAGTAAAATGCTCAGGACTTTGGGACAGACTAGAGAAAAGAGTTCTCATTTTTTATGAGTAAAAAAGAAAGTCGCGGCACTATGAAAAACGTGCTAAAAAAAAAAGATGCAGTGTGACGGCGGTCGCCAGATACGCTCATTATGCACCGAATGAGCAACATGGAGCTAATGGAGCTCATGAACTTCACGTATATTTATTTCACCGGCCGTTATTCTATCCGCAAAAATAGATTAGATTTATTGAAAAAATGGTCCAAAACGACTGCTCATGTTGAAATGGTGAATGCAATGCGATGAATTGCGATGCGATCACCGGGATTTCACAATAATAAAAGCAAGAGAATAGGCTTTTCAAAGAAAAAAAAAATATTCGGACAGTATACAGCAAAAAGCTGCGGTATCAATGGAAACGTGAAAAAACACGGCATAAGTTTGGACCATTTTTTCACCCACTGTGCCGTAAAAAAATGATATGACAACTTGCAGAGTCAAAAAATAGTGTTGTCTGAAGGAACAGATTACGTAATTGTCAAGCATTTGCATACATGATGTTGCCGGTCGTGTGTAATAGGACAAGAAAAAAAAAATGAAGGAAGTCCGGCTAAAATCAAGTTGAACTGGCACAGCTTTGACTGACCCGAATGAACCGACCCCGATAAGGAACTCTACTTGGGGCGAGTGACCCCAATAAAGAATACTGCTTTGAGGGAATCTGCTTTAATTTCTTTTTCACCTCCCCACATACACTCTTTTTATTACTTAGGACACCTTTGGTGATCCGATTTTCTACTTTGGGAAACGCGGAAATGATTAAGGTTCCATCTCCCGAAATCATCTTGACACCTTTACGGATCTGTTCGGTGTGAATGCTGTAAAGTTTATCATGCAATAGTGGGCTACTGATAAACGAAGCGTCTTTATTGTGCAGCTTTACAGTAAACTATGCTAGGATACGGTATATTGCTGGACATTTGTAGCTCTGATGAACTCTGTGGTAAATCAGTGTTCAATTCAAGGTACCAAATCCAATGGACCCCAATTTTTGTGCTTGTACCAATAACTTCCGGCACACTGCAATGCTCATTGTCATGATACGAACAAGCTCATCCTCTTTTTACATCAGCGCCAGTACCGGAATAACTACAAGAAAAAAATATAAATATCCTTACTTCAATCGAAAAGGATTTCGTTTCATTCGCTTTTCCTCGTATCCGCCTGATTCTTTCTCCTATCCACTCAATTTTTCTCGTATCTCGCTCGCTTTTCATATTGACGCCTGGGAGTCATCATAGAGATAGAGGTACAGTAAAAGTTGTAAGCCAAATGAAATAGTTCGTCTTTCCGCCGCCAAGGCTCCATTTTTTAATGTCCGACTTTCATAGTTCTGACAGGGATATGGTGATAACTCAACTGTCATGCTAGGGTTTTATGTGCTCTAAGTTTGATACTGTGAACTACGACGAGTGTACTTGATACAATGCAGGGAAAAAAAAAAGCCACGAGATTTTTACCATGATGGTTAAAGTCATTATTAGTTGATGTGATGATGGACAGTCTATCATTTGGGAGCTGTCTTACTTCCCATTGCAGCCAAAGATAACAATCTATAGGAAAAAAAAGATATGCAAGCCATGGACCAGCTGTTAATGCATACAGACTGAAGGCACAGACAGTGGAGCTGTTTATAATAAACCATAACAAAAAATCTTTCAGGCGTCATAGTCAAAAGATGATCGCATGGATCCAACATGCTTGATGATTTCAGAATTGGGTAAAAAGGAAGGAATAAAAAAGATAAACATGGATCTTCATTGGGAAAATTGAGTGAGAATTGACATGCTACCACTTTTAGACATTATCATCACAATATGAAACAGTCGCATATCATTTAACGATGGAACGTCACATGAAGAAGATCCAGGCCAACTTTGGCGCTGTGGTAAATCATGACAGCATTTCAATGCAAGGGGTGTGGGGCTACTTTTTTTTTTTTTTTTTTTTTTTGGAAGATCAATCATTTTTTTGAGCCACTTTCTTATTTCAATCAATTCTTTTTACCCTTTTTTTTTACCCTTCATCTTTCTGCTGTACCATTCAACCATGATGGATCCTTTTCTGCTCTATGCGCTCCGACAAGCCATGAATTCGTCCGTCAGTGAACCATGTCAGCTATCGTCGTTTTCCACCGAGATGGAAACTGTTTGCCAGATCTTTGGTGACACGATATCCGATACCGCTTCCGATGATCACCCTTGTGTCCCTCTGACAAAAGCCGAGATCCTCTCGCTCGTTTACCATGCGGGTCAGTATGAATTGCACAGAAAACCGAAATTCTTCCCCAGACTAGTCATGGCTCATATCACAGACAATCCTCGTAGACATGCAATGGGTAGACGCCGTACGGATGCTCAAACAAACCGATACCAAGATCAACCTCGACCACACAATTCACTGCATCCATCAACAACAGCGAATTTACCTAGATACTCTTCACCTGTTGCAAAAAGCGTTAGGTTTCGAGCCCATGCGACTTCGGGAGACCGTCTTGTTCGCCTCGCAATCACTGAGAGCGGGTCATCGCATCCGCCATTTGGAAAGCACCGCACGGGACGTTATTGACCATGCCCGGCGACTATGTGAAGCGCTTGAAACTTCAAGGGGTATGTTACGACGCCTGGCGGTCCTATCGCATCGCTTAACGGATCACAAATCAAACACCATCCGAACCTCTTTATTGCATTTGCTGGCACAGTGGAAAGCATTCGAAGAATTACTTTATCAGAGATATGTGCAGAGAGTGTTTGGCCATCTACAGTTAAGCCATGACGTTGTCTCGCCTATAGGCTACGACAGAGACTCGGTGTCGTTACCGCGAGAAATGTTTTGCGATGCATTCACGTCGCTGCTTCCCACCGTACTCGATCGCGCTCTTGCTGTGCGGCTGTTGAGTGCGAGCGATGTCCAGGATTTTGATCCAAAAATATTTATTGCTCTTCCGCGATTGGCGGTGCTGGCAGGTGTAACTTGGCTGGCCCACCGTTCGGGCTGGCGAGGATCATCCTTGCATAAACACCTGGCATGGTTCCCTGGGAGACGTGACGATTTTCATGCATTAGTACGACATGTCGATCGACTGGAGGATGATACCATCCGATCGTCCATCTCCACCTCTCAACGTTACCGTTACCTCTCCATTGTTTCCGGCCTCGAACGAGCGCTCGTATCGCCTTCATCCCGTGACAGCAGTGACCATTCCTCGGAGCAGCCGATATTTATTCTGATATGCGCTTTGGCAGACAGCATTCTGTCCAATGCACATAATGCTCGACCACTCAACATGATCCTGAAGCATCTCTTCCACAGTCGAATCCATCACATCAACACTGACTCGGTCCAGCCCGCCCCCCACTCGGTCCATTTTCAATCCTCCTGCTGTCAAGTTTAACATCTTCACTAGCTTTTCCTCTTATTTTTGTACTGATAGAAAACCGGGGGAAATCGCCTGATACTCGCCTATACTTTTGTTTTTTATAAAATTCACATGCTGCATATTCTTGCTTCTTTCAAGAAAATTTGCATCTATTACCCGGCCAAATATGAGCCCTCGCTCCTTATGCAATAAATCGTCCATCACATCATACTGTGCACATGCAGAATGATGGTGTGCACTGTGACATCTGTTCTTTTCTATCCCACACCGGGTCAATACTTTTGTGAATAGATGAATGGATGAGTAACTGTCAAATTTGAGAATTTCTTGGCTCGAGTTTTTCAAAGTAGCCAGATACCGAAAGTCATGGACAGGTTATGATCACTGATTGTTGTATCAGTTGTTTCCATTTATGCAACGTGCATGTAACGATCCTCACCCATTTCAACTTGCAGATCGTTGTAGAATCATGATTGGAAGGATTATGGCATTCTGACGATGATGGATGGGGAATGTCGGACATTCAGCTTTGATTGTTACACAGACGAGCCAACACATATGAGAAAAGCTTGTCCTGTGCTACGGACGGCATTTCATTTAATTTTTGCGGAATCAAAGAGCCAAGAAATTTTAATTCATTGGTTTCTCTCCTTATCATGACTTGCAGCCATACTTCTTCATCCAACGACCAACCTACGGTTTTATGCTCGGTCGACCATGTGTCGCTCTCCTTTCCGAACGATCAACAACTCGTCAATTTAGGCGATGGACGTCTTGTCCTGTTTATCGATGGGGATCAGCTCGTGGCTCGATTTTTTGACTATTTTGATCGGGAACTTGCATTAATAACGTTACCTTCCCGATCCATGGCCTGGCTTCAATCCGAACATGTACTGATAATTCGTCCTCTTCATTCGGGACCATGGCGATTGGATTTCAGGCAAGTGTTACTGCAAGGGTCTAGTGAGTATTTGCGTCTCATCCTCCTTGTCTTCTTGACAGCGTCGTGGAGCATGAAAATTTCGTCACCCTGCAGGACATGCTCGCTTACTTTATAAAATACGAAAATCGTCACCATCTACGAAATACCCTCGTGATGATGAATACGGCCACTTACAAGGTGACACAAATTATTGCGAAAAATGTGGATATCGATGTTGGCAAACAGCTAGATGAATGGCAATCGGACGACGGTGAAGAACACATTATCAATGAAAGCGAAGAGAAAGCCAACGAAAAACTACCTGTTTACGTTGACGAACAATTTTATGCTTCGGTACGTTCCATCGCTGACTTCTTTCTCCTTTGCACACTAACATGGTTTGAATTCAGTCTTCACACATACCACTAGACTACCGATATCGAGTACGATTATTACGAGAAGGGAGAAAAAAGGAACCGGTCATGTCAGCCAGTGACTGGGCTGTCCATGGACTAATGATGGTCAGTCAAGCCCTCGCAAAAGGAATTCAAAGGTTGGCACTTTTTTTCATGCGGGATCATGCTCCAAAAAGAAAAAGCGTTCTCTAACGCACTGTGAAATGTATTTCTTGTTTTTGTTTTATGCAGTGGAACAAGGAAAATCGAACAAGGCATTGAACCTGCTTCATCTCCACTGGTATTATCCGATACTTCTCGACGATACATTGATTTGGCTTACAATGTGGCATCATTTGTGAAAAGAGGTAAAAAAAAAGAAAAAGAAAAACTTGTATTTCAGACAAACAATGGGGAGAAATTGCAACTCCACTGTGGCAGGAATTCAAAAAAAAAACTTGCCATTTCCGGATAATGCCACTGACGATCCCATTTCTATTATCATGTAGCGGCAGAAAATAGCCTGGAGGGGATCTGGGGTTCCCGGTCCATGGACGAACGAACTGCATCCCCGTCGCCGTATACCCAAAGCACCACGACTAAAATCTTGCGGGGGGCGGCTTTTGCGGCAAGCACCATTGCCGGTACTTCTCGCGAAAGCCTCATTCAGCTCATGCACAAAAAGTATGGCCAAGGTGCCAAGTATCTTTTGGAAAAAGCGTTGGGCCAGAAAGGAATGGATGCAGAAGATACGCTAGTCTATTTTGACGGTCAAGGCATTTCCAGACGAGTGGTGGATTTGTCAGACTTGGAACAGGAAAAAGAAGCGTTGGATGTGCTGTCGAACGATCAACGACAAACGCTGTTTGAAAATTGGCTGATGGAACAGAATGAAAAGGACGATACAGATACCAGCGAAATAGAAACTATATCCCGATGTTCGTCTACTTCGGCTTCTCACAACATCGACTTTGTTCAGGTTTAAGGAATCACATGCGCGGCGATTCAAAAATGACCAAGATGGCCTGAAATTCCGCATTATTTCTTACTCATCTCAATTGGAAATAAACCGCAACTTTCATTTGCATTTTCTTCTTCCTTTTTCTTCTTCGTTTTTTGCTTTCTTTTTAATCTATCACTATCTCCCTACTCTTTGATTCCTGTGCTTTATATGAAGACTTTCACTGTTGAGCAAGTAGCTGAGCATAACTCGGCCAAAGACTGCTGGATTATCGTCGACGGCAAAGTCTTTGATGTAACGAACTTCTTGGCCGACCATCCAGGTGGCAAAAAGGTCATTGTCAAGGTCGCAGGCAAGGATGCTACCAAGCAATTCCACAGTTTTCACAATGACGCTATCATGCAAAAAGTCGGATTGCCCTTGCAGGTGGGCGTGATCGGATCCGCCAAAGACAATCAACAAGAAAAGAAACAGCCAGCCGCCGCTGCAGCCTCTTCCCCCACAGCCACTCCAGCCCCCGTGACAGGCCAACTTGTATCATCTGACCTGTCACATTTTGGTGAAGGCGTACCCTACGGTGATCCCACTTGGTATCAAGACTGGAATAGGTAAGAAGTGACGTCCATTGTTCGATCCCGTATTTTTATGTCGTACTGAATTAGTCTTCCTCTTTTTCTAGTCCTTATTACAATGAATCACATATCAAGCTTCGTAAAGTCATTCGTGAATGGGTGGACAAGAGCATCATGCCTTACTGTCACGAATGGAGTGAAGCCAAGCAGATTCCCAAATCTGTTTATCAGGAAGCGGCTAAACTCGGGTTTTTAGCTGCGGTGACGGGCGCTCCTTCCAGCAAAGACACTGCTGCGTTGATGCCTTATCCTTTGGCGGCCGGTATCAAGCCGGAGGAATTCGATATTTTCCATGAATTTATTTGCGTCGACGAACTGTCACGATGTGGTTCCGGTGGTCTCATTTGGGCCATTCAAGGCGGGTTGGCTATTGTAAGTTCAAAAAAAAGTGAGGGGTTGCCATTGAAACCCCAATGGACAATGTAATCGTCTGACATGGAACGGTTGAAATTTATAGGGATTACCACCTGTCATGCACTTTGCTACACCTGAAGTCAAAAAGAAGGTTGTGACGGGCTGTTTGTCGGGAGAGAAATATATTGCGTTGGCCATCACTGAACCTTCGGCTGGTTCCGATGTCGCCAATCTCGAAACGACGGCCGTGGACCAAGGCGATCACTTTATTGTGAATGGCGAAAAGAAATGGATTACACAAGGTTTATATGCCGACTATTTTACGGTGGCTTGCCGTACAGGTGGTGAAGGCATGGGTGGCGTGTCTTTGATGGTCATTGAACGTGACTTTCCGGGTGTCAGTGTGCGTGCCATGGATTGCCAGGGCATGTGGGGATCCGGCACCTCGTACATTACCTTTGAAGATGTCCGTGTTCCCAAGAGCCATCTCATTGGCAAGCTGAACCAAGGTTTCAAATACATTATGCACAACTTTAACCATGAAAGACTCGGTATCATTATGCAAGCCAATCGCTTGGCCCGCGTTTGCATTGAAGAGTCATTAAAGGTAAGGCACCAAACCCCCACAAAAAAAAGACATCTCCAGAAAACCAGAAACTCACGCGAGACACCGGGTGGAAAAATAGTACTCTACGAAGCGCAAGACATTTGGTCAACGACTTATTGACCATGCGGTGATTCGTAACAAGTTTGGCCACATGATCCGTCAATGTGAAGCTACTCATGCTTGGCTCGAAAATATCTTGTATCAAGTCAAGACGTTGCCGGCCGAAGTGCAACCCGCGCGTCTCGGAGGTCCGATTGCTCTGTTGAAAGCCCAATCCACGCAAACTTTTGAATACTGCGCTCGTGAGGCAGCTCAGATTTACGGCGGTTTAGCCTATACGCGAGGTAAGTTGAACGATGTTGATCCATGGTGAGACACTTGGACAAAGTAACTCATCTCTCCATTTCTGATAATTAGGTGGCCAAGGGGAAAAGATTGAACGCTTATACCGAGAAGTTCGTGCCTTTGCCATCCCTGGAGGCTCCGAAGAAATCATGTTGGATTTGGGTGTGCGACAAGCTTTGAAGCAGTATACCACTAAACAGAAATTGTAAATTATTTATTTTATTAATGAAAACGTGTTTAATTGTTTTTCCATCATATTGAACATGCACAAAAAGGCATTCAAAAAGACGTTGTTTGCAGGACATGTCATAAAGGGCTTTTGAAAAATGCTGGTTGCTTTGGATCTATTTTTCTGATAAGGAAAATGGCTTTCACCCACGCAAATACAATGGTCTGTTATGTATGATTACAAATAAAGAAGAACGGGCAAATTATCAACCTAATGGATATACAATAGGCTATCTGAACTCTAGGTTTTGGCGATCGAGTCCAAGTGAAAAATAATGCTGGGAAAAAAAAAAGGGAACTGTCTGCTCTTCTGTTGTCTGATCGTTATCCGTGTGTGTGTAATGAGTTGTGTTTGTACATTAGGGGTATAGGATTCCCTAAGAATGATAATAATAATAATAATAAAAAAAGATATTTACTCCACATCCATATCTACTTCTTCTTGTCCATCTTCCCCTTCTTCGTCTTTTGCTGATTCATGCGAATTCATGCGCACCCTTGTACTAAGTATTTTCCGCCTTAGATCTGTGAGTGACACCCCCGATCGACGGACAAAACCAGGCACCGGCATATGACGGTAATCAACGGTATCTCGTTGCCATATGAACAAATCTCGCCAATCTTGATCTCGATTCAGTGTTGTGGTTTCAAAATGCTGAAATAGTAGCTTTTGCTTGCTGATGTCTACCGTACGTTCGTTCTATTGAAAAGGTTTGTCAGCTCTTGTGCAGTTTTTTTTTATTCTAGATCCACTTACCAGCATTGCTAATCGCTCTTCTCTATCCTTTTCTCGCTGTGCGGTCATCCACAATATATGCTCCCTGAGAGATACGTTTAATTTAAATACAATATATCAAGGCAAAATTCCACTTACCGTTTTTTCTCTTGCTGTTCCCACATCAGTTGTCGTTCCTTTTCTAGACGCGCTTTCTCTAATTTTTCACGCTGTTCTCGCTCATCGCGTTTCTACATAACGCAAGTATTAGACCTGTCTCGCGAGTCTTTGTAAAGCACCAGACGAGGGGCGCGTGAGATTTTTACCTGCTGCTCACGTATCCGGTTTTCATTGTGAATTTTCTCGTATAAATCATTGATATCGAAAGCTTTGGGTGGCTCTTTGGGTTTTGGCGGTGTTGCTGCCGCTTCTTTCGGCCGTCCATTTCCTCTTTCGTTCTGAGGTGTACTTTTAGCTGCCGAAGAATCCGTACCGGTGGATGACGGAGTCGTTGTGGTAGTGGCATTACTCGCCGGATTGGATGATTGCGCAAGCGCCAACCACTTGTCTTGATTCTGAAGAATAACAGGTGGCTATGTTTGGGGTCGATGAGTCTCCATGCCAATTCCATGAACGGGTGGAGAAATATTACCTTTTTCTCGGCTTGTTTCTGATGGGCTGGAGAGGGGACTTTGATGCCTAAAGCCAGCTTAGGTCGATTTGTCTCCAGCATCGGTTCTCTCGACAAAGCCAAACCCGTGGCCTTGGCGTTTTTCTCGTTGTCCTCGTCCTTTTTCTTTGCGTAAGTCATCCACCAGAACTTGTTTCCATTTTTGTCTTAAAATCATCATACCTCATTCTTTGGTTTAGCCGACAGTTTCAATCGTAAAATCGTAGGTCGTGCTAACGTCGAATAAGCGTGTTAAATTCTTGGGGGGTTTTTATAAATTGCTGTGGTGAGTTACCTGCAACCTCCGTGGCATCGTCCTCGCTTTCATGCCGCCGTTTTCCGGATAACACACTGTAGGGCTCTTTATCTTTGTCTATTTCCCAGATCGCACGTCAGAATGTCGAGGGTTTCTGCCTAATGGAGCTTATTCGCTGTTGATTTTACCTTTACTTTGCTTTTTGAGCTTCTTTTGTAATTCCTTCTTCTCCTTTTCAAGTTGTTGCAGCTTCTTATTGGCTACCAAGTGTTTGTGTGTGTGGAACGTTGAATAGGGTTGAACAGATCGAGTGGGTCAAGTGTTTTCCCTTGTTTTTACCTTTTCCCGCGCTCTTTTTATGCAATTTATCCCAGTATTTATCAAACACTTCCTCGTATTGTTTTCCGAATTGATGAACTGGATGATCTTCGGGATTGTAGACATAGCAGTTCTGGAACATGAGTTTGATGTCGGCAACAAATTCGGATTCGTTGGCGTATTCGAATTCGTTGAGTTTTCTCTCGATCGTCGATATATCCATGGGTTGCGAGATGATGTCGTAGTAATTGGTGGCCCCCCAAGCGACGGCATCAACGGGTTCCTGAAAAGGCCAACTGATATTGGCATATTTTGTCTTTCGCAACTCTTTCAGCGCGCTTTCGCAACGTTTGAACTGATCCTCCGGCATCATATCCATCCCATCATCAATGACCACCGATCCCGCATTCGAAGGTCGTTTTTCACGTTTGCCGACAACGGTATCGGGTTCTGGTTCTGGTTCGACGGGTGTCTCGTTTTCTGGCATCGTCGCAGCTAACGGTTCCGAGGGTATATCGTTGGAAGGGATTTCGGGCGTCGGTTTCGGAGATGTCTAAGCTTATAGGTTCGCAAGTCTTTTTCCTTTTTTCTGGGGGGTGCGAGAGGGGGATTCTCCAAGTGTGTACTTACATGAGCCTTTGGCACTTTTTTCATACAACGAACAAAAACTTCCTCGAGCTTTTTGCCATCGACGTAAACTGGATCGCCGACGTTATTGTAGAGGTAGCAATTGTTGAACATGAGCTGGATATCTCGAGCGAATTCGCCTACGGAACCGTATTCGTTGTTTTTCAGTTTGGCATCGACGGTTCCGAGATCCATGGGATTCTTGATGACGGTAGGGTAATCCGGTATATTCAAAGCCACGGGATCGACAGGTTGAAGAAACGCAAGCGCTCGTCGATGCTTCATGAGCGTTTTGATCGTGTTGGCACAAAAAGATCGTTCCTCTGCCGTCATTTCACGCGGCGGTGTATCGAAATCGTCACCTGAATCGAAAGCTAATGCTGCATGTTCCGGTGAAAGCACATCCATTGATTCACTACAAGTGAGCGAGCCAGTGTTAATAATACGGAATGAAACAAAGATATAAAAAAAAAAAGCCGGTGGAGTTGAGGGGTAACTGCATAAGCTACAGTTTGCGCATCGTACACAGTCACTTGTCATCGAGTACGGAATAGTCGTTAAAAAAAAAGGTGTACGCATTTGACGTACTGGAGACCGATGCGAGAGAAGACAGAAATGCATTGACGCAAGGAGATGATAAAAAAATAAAAAGTATTCACTTGCCTTGTGAATTCCTTTGTAGATTCGGGTGCCAAAGAAGTGGACCCATTATCGGACATGTTCCTTGTCGTTCAAAGAGGAGAAAAAAAAAAAGAAAAAGAATGAAAAAAAAAAAGAAAGAGTATCACAATTACACCAGCGATTCGTGGTTCTCTTTTATTCGTCAATCAACCGGGACCGGACTCTTTTGATGAATAAAGAAGAACAGGACGATGCGAATAGTGGGCGCGACCAGAAAAAAATAAATGCCCAAACTTGAATGCTTTTTTCCCTTTCCAAAATTTGCGTCTGTCGGAGCTTTAAAAACAACCGAATTCAGTTGCACCCTCTTCCAAAGATTTGTCCCTCCATTACAGATTGCGATTCATGCTATTTTACGTCAATAACAGGTTCGCATTCGCACTAAAGCGTAGCCAGCAGGGTAACATATGAATACAAAAATCAAGTTCAAAGCGTCCTTTAAAAGTGGTTTTATCTTTTATTATTGGAGATCAGGTTGGAAGGGGGATATTGATATGAACTCGAGTGAATTGATGTGAACGGAGGACAATGCTAAATAAAATTACATGATAGGGATAAAGATAACTCTGAAAAAGTTAGTGAAGGACCCATACAATCAATGAAAAGGTCAACAACACAGCCCACCATATCAACGTGGAGCTTGTCGCGCTTTGTGGATCCAGTCCAATCCAAGCGAAAGAAGATGTATTGTCCGGTAAAAATCGCGAGTCAGGAATATAGCCTAAAGGGAAAGACGCCGGTTTCCATAGAGTGGCCTCCCACAGCAACGAACGATTGCCCCACACGCAATAATCGAGCTTGGTGACCCCGGTGTTATTGGCCGTAAAATCAAAAACGTACATCGCCGTTGGATAGATACACCGTGGAATCATGTTCCATAAATGGGCAGCCGACACTATATAAAAATAATGACTCCCTGAATGCTGCCATTTGTCTCGATCCGGTTCCACCATGGACCCCGACATGCGATTCTCGCCCGTTGAAGGATCAAACTGAACATTAGTGAATTCCGGGGTCGTCGATGGATCGGCACGCATAAAAAGCCACTGCTGTTTATCGAGACGAATAGCTTCATACGTATTGACATAGCGTTTCATCCATCGTTTCTGAAGAGGACGAGGCGAGGAAGCATTGTAGACTCCTTTGAAGTGAGGATAGATATCGAAATCGGGCTCGTTGCGAGTAACATTATCGATTTCACATTGCCTAGGAGGTATATCCAGAAGAGTTTCAGTATGTTTCTATGGGTCAAAAAGCATCTTGGGAAAATGTACATACCACATGACAGCCGCATCGTCCATGCCTCGATAATGATCCCAGCGAGTTGAGATGCACTTGTCATACTTGACTTTATTGAGATGATGGATCGAGTAATTCTTGTCACCGTGCCATTTCACGGTCCACAATGTGCCGTTGAACACGGTCGAATTGGGTCCCTGGGTCGGCACCACCTGGTTATCAAAATCGATGAATTGCAAATATTGCCCAGTCTCAACGTGTCGAAATGTATAATATCCTGTCTGCGAAAAGATCAAAATGGTCAATACCAAAAATAAAACATACAAAGCGACAAGCCAGATCGTACCGGAATATGGGTTGAATTTTCAATGATCTGTGGACCGACGATGTGGGCCAGAGGATAAGTGCCTTCACCAGCCCACACCGTTCCAATGAACAAGATAAAACATAGGAACAAAAACTTCATGAATTCGTACTCAACATTGAATCACACAGCAAAACAATAAGATATAGTTTATCCCAAAATAAGTTTCCCTTTTATTATTATCATCGTCGGTTCTCATTCGTCGAAGTTCCCATAATAAAGCGGAGATGAAAAAACGGGTTCATCACGTCCATGGAAACTCATGCTCTCTTTTTGTAAGGACCTTGCGACTCTGAACAGCCGCTCTCGCCTGGATCGTGCACAACCTTATTGGAAGCACATCAAAATACATGGATAGCGCTTTCGTTAAAGGACCCTCAATGACTGTCTAGCTCGGTGACACTGGAAGATAGAAAGACCTGCTGGGATTTCATTTGCTATCATGCCTGTACCGCGATGTCCTTGAAAATCAATACATAGTATGCAAATGCAAGTTCTGTTTTCCTGAAAGGTCCGAGTCGAGCCTCTCAACTCCTCTTGCTCTGTATAGCCTGCTCCTTCCTCTGCCGGAGGGCATCTTTGGTTTTTGATACTGAAAAAATTATTCATAGTCTATTTGATACCATATGTAAACTATGCAAAACTTTATATAGGATCTTTTTAATCTTAAAGACCAGACTCCAAAAGAAATCATTCGCAAATTATTGAGAATTGTGGTACATCATTCCCACATGTTTTTCCAATTTATTTCATATGGTGGGATGAGGCACAAAGGCCAAAATGATAATTAGACGATGTGTCCTTCAAGCTTATAGATTCAGGGCAGAGTATCATTCGCGGGTGCCTAGTTCTTCTAACAAGGCTGTCATTGATGGCAATGGCCACGAATCGGTAATAGTGACCTCGTTTAGTGCTTGAAACATCATCACTAGGCGCTTGTCTCCCGTCTTCTTCTTTACATATCTATATGGAAATTCCAACCGCCTTTATTGGAGTTTTTGCAATCTTATGTACACGGTATTTGGATCCCATACTCGACCATTGATGCGAGATCGCTTCTCAATTCTTCCAGTTCTGAACAGGAAATCCCGCCAAAAATGAAAACCGAAACTTTCTTGGTGAAGATTAGTAAAAAGAAACGCAAAGAAAATAGGTGCAAAAAAAAAATCAAAACGGGATTGATGCCGGTCTACCATAAAGGCTTGACTGTTTCCACCCGTAAAAATGTATTTATAAATGAAAGGTATCATCGGTGTGCCAGCAAAAGTCCGTGGCATTGTATGACTACGTCTTCCGGTAATGACAGCTTCAAGGTATTGCAGAGTGCGACCCATTAGCCTTGAAACTGGAGAAAACGGTTTGAATTTACTACCTGTTCATAATCATGGTGATATAACAGCCTGTTCCTCCTGTCTACGGCGCATTCTTTCGTGTATGGCTAGCAATTTTTCGCGTATGGGTCGCATTTCTTCCTCATCTTCCTGGTTGAGGCGGAGTAGGGTCCATTCTTTGTTCCAGTTGCAGCGCTTTTCTTTCGTTGCCAGGAACTTCGAGTTGCTGTTGTGGCAGTTGTCCTGCTGGTTCTTCATCTTCTATAGCGTCTACAGCTTCTCGATCGGCTACTTCATCCACTCCTTCATCACTAGAATTCACGATTATATCATCTGTTTGGATTTGAGAGGGATGGTGAGTCAGGCCGGTTGTCGAGCAATGTTCGGAAAACATTCTCTTTAGGCTGACAACTAAGGTGAGTGACAAAGTTGAGCCTTCACATTCTCCTAGCATCCTGGCGAGCAGCATCACGTGACGCCGAATTTTTGTGGTGCAGGATTTCGCCGGATCAGCAGGATGCCTGCTTTTGCCGTTAGTTTCTGTCATGGATCGTAAACGGGCGAGAGAACAGTATGCGCTTGTTGCTGAGAAAATGGATGAACAGACGTTAGAAAGGGTGATTCCTGATGTTTACGGCAACAAAAAAAGAGCCATACGTAATTTCGTTCAGCAGTATCAAGACCAAGATGAAGACGACGACAATGCGTTCCCCATCATCTCCGACACTGTTGCTGCGGCACAGTTGCTGATTGAAAATCTGGCTATACCATTGTCTGCTAAAGGATCCGATGCCGCGAAAAAGATTCCTCCCGTGTGTTTTGTTCACCAGATTTATAGTGTACTCAAAGACAACACGGCCGTGGATCGTGAACTGGTAAGCCATGGAGCAAAAGAGAATATGGAAAGAGAAAAATTTCCAGTGACTAAAATTGTCGACATATAGCAACAAGCGGTCAAAGAAGGCAGTTGGCGCAAATTCCACATTGTCGGTGCTTTGGAAGACGAGTTTGTGGTGATGCGTATGGACAATTATCTGGCCATGATCGATGAGGCCAAGGAAGAATTCATCAGCGATCAATCGAATAATGTCAGCAAAGACGCTCAGGAACTGGATGCCAATCTGTTTGGTAAGTAAAATGATTCATCTGCCTTGGCCAACTTAGGTCATTGGCTCACAGCATTTACTTGTAGGTCGTTTCAAGCAATTCGTCCAGGATAAACGGTATACTGAAGTGGCCGTTACTCGTAAAGCATTGATGCAAGAGGAATTCAAGTTTACAGAGAGAGAACTCATGTAAGTGTTAAATTTATCAAAGAGGTGCTTTGCTACAGTTGAATCTAACGGTTTGGGATTCCCCAATGCAGCCAGCTTGTAAATCATGGGTTGCTGTTGCCTCACCTGCAATTGGGTTCCTACTGGTTTTCCATCCGCAAACAAGGCTTTTTCATGTCCCACTACACCAAAGGCAGAATCGAAATGCTACGCATGATTAAGAAACGCGCCACTAAAGATATGTTGGAAAAGGTATTCAACGAGTGTTTATTGAAAATGAAGGGCTCGATGTGAAAGACTCACCTCTTTTACTTTCAACCGCCAAAAAAAAAGCATCTGAAAAGTAGAAAACTGAAAAATACAATCTTTGGTCATGACTTTCTGATCCATGATTTGGTGGGCAGCGGTCGTGCGGAAAGGTATACAAGAAAGGGAGAATCATGAAGGCATTATATACAATGGCAAGAAATGGACTGACAAAAAAATGCTATAGACATAAAACGACCATGGGAGATCTTATCCGGCTCACCAACAAGGGTGAAAAAGGCCGATAAAAGCAACGAGAGTGGTCGCTATTGCGGACATCTGCCTTGCGGGGCCTTGTGGGTCATCTTAAACGGTGGGATCCGTTCGCTTCTTCTTCAATTTCCATATTTCGACATCATCATTGCCCACGGCTTTGCACCGGAGCGATTTTTTCGGGATCATGCGGGTTTCGAAGCCAAGCGACTTCGCGTGTTGGACAAAGTTATTCACGACAATATCATCTCGACGTTCCATGGCGATCAATATAATGGTGGTGGGACTGGCCAATTGCCAAATACACATCAACAACGGTCGCACCAGTTCGTTTTCGTAGACACAATCGGCAGCAAGAATGTAATTGTATGGCGATTGGATCCAGCTGCCGTACCTTTTGGTGGACGTCTCGTTGTTGGAGGATTCCAGCAGCCGAAACCAGTCAAGATACTCTACACGCAACCGAGGCTGCGGCAGAGAAGCTTGATAATGCTGAGCTTGCTGAAGATCGTGCCACCACCCGCTAATGTGCCACATGTTTTCGTCACAGTTGGTGCGCAAGACGTTGTCGACTACGTTGGGTAAATCGGTCACGACGGTGTCCAAACCGAGTGCGGCGGCCACCAAGCCGCCCAGTCCACACCCGCTGCCCAACTCTAAACAGGTTTTATTGGATTGTATCTGCAAGCAATTGTCCTTGACGGTGAATGTCGGTTTCTTCAAGGTGTCAGCAAGGTACCATGCCAACACTTTGGCGGAATCCCAGACAGTGGTGCCATGATTCTGGCTATTGTTTTGTTGCTTCATGTGAAGAGAAAGCAATGGCGATCCTAACTCAAAAGTGAATGTCGGCATGGCCTTGGTGTCAGTGGCTACCATGTTTGGCTTGATTTATTTGCCCCCTCGTGCAGTCGTGTTTGTGGGGCGGAAAGGCACAGAAACCAGAAAAATTAAAAGTGAAAGCTTTTTTCCCAACAAAATTTTTTCGTCATAGTTACTTCCTTTTACTTTCTCTCTCTCTGTTTCTCTTTCTCAATATATCCACTTGTCCCACAGATTTGAGATTTTATTGAAACACGCTTTTTCTGTCGTTACAACAAAAACACCATTGCCACGAATGACCATCGCGAACAGCGCGACTGAAGATACATGGCCCACGATCCCCGCGTTCTTCGTCACGATGAATGGAGATTCTGGATTCAGCCGACAAGATCAATGTCAGTATAGTTGGTCGAATTCGTCAGTAGTTGTGCCGTCCTCGCTGGTATTTTGTCAGGGACGATAGTCGGCAATATACTTACCACCAACGTGGGTTGTCCCATACTCTGGAAATTCAACACTGGTGAGGCTTATCCTCTATGGCGTTCCTTGTTCCTGAAACGATACTGAAGGATCGCCTCACCGTGGTAACCGGGTGGAACCTCGGCTTCGTGCCAAGAGCTAAATGGTCTTCCGAGGCTAGTCACTTATCGGGTCTGACAGTACTATCGATGATTTATTTCGCGGCACCTTTCATCAGTCCGGGTGGCAGGCAGGCTTTGGTTAGGCATGGCCCTGCCTTTGGGAGCAGTTCTCCCGCTCAAATGCACGACAACAGAGAGTATACCAGTACAGTTTAATTGAAAAAGATCTGGGTAAAAAAATTTTACAAATCAAAATTTTTTAAAAGAGGCAAGGTAATTGTTGTTCTAAGTAATCAAAAAAGAGAGAAAACCGATCATTCGTTAGTTGCTCGTGGATTTTATGCCACCGCACCAAGTATCAAAAGATATGAATTCCAATAGATCATTCCAGTTCTATCCCTCAGCCAGACAGTCCTAAAGAAGGAAACCCAAGATTTGAAAAATGAAAAACAATTTATTATAATTTCATAATTGCGAGCTGCAAATGCGGCTCGTCTAATTCCGCTGACGGCGGCGGTGGTGGTGGCAGTGGAGGAAGAGGAGGTGGACCTTGCCGTTTCTTTTGCCGGGTACGCTTTCTCTTGCGCTTCTTCTGTCTAGGCTGGTCCAAATATCGTTTAGCATTCAACCTTCAAAATCAACGTGTGGTACGATAAATGACATATCTTTGATCCTCGAGGACCAAGTTGCACCGGGGGCGGGCGCGTTTTTATGGGCTGGTTATAAGATCGTTTAGTATTCAACCTTTAAAAGCAACGTGTGGTACGAAAAACGGCATACCTTTGATCCTTCGGACCAAGTGGGTTGGTGGGCCGTGGACCCTTCGTTCCAAAATGGTTATTAATGATCAACTGAAATCTGAGATGCCTTTTCCACAGAAAACTTCCGTCATATTATAAGCTCGTAAGAATAGACAAAGAAATGTAAATTGGTTGGAATATATGGAAGAACTCATAGAGATAAAGATAATAAGGATCCTTTGCGATTGTTGGCCTGCGTATTTATATTTTTCCTCTAGAGTGGGGGATGATAGTTATCAGTGAGCAGTCTTCTTTTATAGGTATATTTGGACGGATTCATAGGCTGTGGTGTGACAGCGTTGCCCCTATGAAATGATCGGGTGAGAAAGCCAAGTCATGGATGAAGAATCTCACCCTGAGTGGAAACACATCTAAATTCTAATCTTTCCTGTGTTTGGAACACCCGTCTAGAACGGGTAACACCACAAGTAGTGGACAGACCACAATCGGTCACGGATCTCTAACTCAGCTATAACACGGTCCTAAAGTCATGTTGTTGGATTACCGTTATTAACACTAACTCTGTCCGCCCTCAAAGCCCTTTGATGGATAGAGTAGAGACATGCAGTCATCTGCTTAAAGAACTGTGGAATCACCAAAAAATAATCAAGCCTCTTATGCCAATGCGGAAGAGTATCTCTCGTCCTGTGAGCAGATATGCCATAAACAAACAAATCAACGTTCTGTGCAGCACTGCCCCTTGATCTTTCGGCGCTTCTCGTAAATGTAGTACTTAACTGTTGACGCTTGGTTACAAATAGTTTCTCTGGACTCAGTGACACCTGTTTTATGCTTCTGCTGTAAATTTACCACTGATCGCCAACTGCATCTTTCAGGACTTTACGGAAGACACCAAGCTTGAAAGCGGATCTCTCCATTTCCATGAAACATAGCCCCCTGGGCTTGTCTGAAGAAGGGGGTCCGTTACACCCTTTGAACAAAGTTCGATTCCCGTAGAGCCATGCTTAAGGATTGGACCATTCGTTGAACAAAGCATTTCCCTTGGCCGCTCATCATATCCTTATTATCAAGGCTATGTTATATCAGACGATGATTGCAGCTACCATGGCGAATGGAAATCGTATACAATGAAGAAAGAAAAGGCCGGCTGGCTTCCTGTACTGTACGGTTCTTGTATTATTGGCCCTATTTCCACTGTGCATAGTTTTTGAACCTTCCTCATTCGAATGAAAACACAAGATTCTCAAATCGTTTCTTGTATTACCGCCTCTGTTGACGAACCTGCCGAACTTTTGATTTCTGTGTCGCTTTTGCCTTTTATATTCTTCTCCTCCCTGCAATGGCCTACCAGAAGCAGACCAAGCCCTCCACTTTTAATGTTGTTTCCTCTCAAGAACAGCAAGACGAAAACATGATCCAGATGCATATCGTGAGCCCACTTTTGCAAACCCGTGGCTCTGATTCGAGACTTTCGATGATAGAGAAACCAGTTTTCATCATATGATATAAGCAGAAGACTTCTTGCTTCGCAATCCTCTTAGTGCTGACCACCGATTCATACGAAAAACTAGGTATTACTTTAACGAATCGCCTTTTTGTGTGAGCCATTTTTTCATCGGCATTGACAATGCTACAGTATTACTTAACCCTTGGGACAAAATTAATTAATTAAAAATTGCACAAGAAATGCTTTTTTTTCACGAAGCAAGGTTAAGCTCCAGGCTGTTGATCCTGAAGAATAAAACTGTGTGCATTGACTAGATGATTTCATATAATAGTTTATTCAATGCCTCTCCAGTGACAAGCGCTATTCAGATGTCGATATACGGTTTTTTGAGTGAAAAGATAATATGGGAAGAAAGAGCGAAGGGTTTCTTATGGCGATGATGACGATTCGGTTTGGCTGTTTTCGTCTTGGGATACAAGATGAGGCTGAGTTTTCACCGAGGCCAACGTGGTGATATTGACGATAAAAAATCCAATCACTACCAGCACCGCTCCCAACGCGTACTGTGATCCGGGAATGACATGCTTGAACACCACATCGCCCACCAAAGCCAGCGGAATCTGTAAAAGCCATTGTTTTGTTTCTAATTGAATAACACGAGCTTTTGTTTTGGATGCGCAAACTTACCGTCAAAGAAATGCCCAGAGTAACGACCAAAGGCGAGGTCATGAGCATGGCCAACAGCCAGATATAATCGGATCTGTCAATGGCATGGACGAATAAGCAAGCAATTGGTCAATAAAGAAGATAGCCGCTGTGCCCCACTTACAAAAAGGTGCCTATGAAGGCATTGATGAGGATCATGGCCCAAAGCGTTTCTGTCGAAGGTAATTCGAGTGGTTCAAGACCGGTCCAGTGCAAGACAAATAAAAAGGGCCACAAGAGCACCACGTTGAAAGCGCCAACGTATCCGAAAAACAGAGGCATATCGACACGAGTTTCATCGCCAATTTTTAGTTTCAGTAGTGTCGTATAACATCCGTAAAAAAGGGCCCCTAAAAGAGCAAAGATGTCACCTATGATACGCGTGGGGATTGACCAAGAGGATGCAGACGGATCGGCCGAAGAGGGATGGGGAAGCGGCTGCTTATCTGAGAGCTGATCTGAATATGATACTAAAATGATGCCTAGAAAACTAGTCATCGATAACATTGGTTCAGTCATACCATGCTTACTATTAAGCCTTTTTTCATGAGAACATTGACACCACTGGATCTACCTTATGCCTACGGCCATCATCTTGACCATTGTCAACGTCTCGACTTTGAAAAAGGCGCCAATAGCCAAGGTAAACATGCCTACCAGAAAGGAAGCGACAAGGATGGAGAAGATGAGCCAAATAATTTATAGGGTAGGCTAGCAATGGACAATTGGCATTTTACCGGATATTGAGGATAAAATGGTGGTGCTGCCTACGCTGGTATAGGCCAAGCTAGCATTGGTGGTATAGTTGGCTAAGAACCATAGGATGCAAAAACTTAGACTGAGCTTCATGGTCTCCTTTGTCGATAACCGATCGTTAGGTGACGGGGGCTCAGGTACTCCTTCTGATGCATCTTCTTCATCCGTTGCCTAGTCAACAACATCAGAATAGACCATATTTGCAAACAGATACTGAATTTTTTCACTTGCTTCGTTGGTATCCTCGTCCAATAATCGATGAGTGACGGTCATATCCAACCTGTCCGAGAATAAGAAAAAAAAGTGTGAGTCGTCAGAGGATTACTATCACCGTTCTGGTTATTGCAGGGGCACTTGCTCAGCATACTCTTCGGGAACGGTGGCGTTCTTCTTTCGTTTACATAAGAGACTGGGTATCAAGTAGAGACTGAATGTGGCCGTATTGATGTACGTGATCATAAATGGCTTGTTGAACTTTAGATCGCTAAACACGCTCTAGCAATGACCGGATAAGAACAGGTTCTCCTCCTTGGTGTGAGTGAAAAAACACATACATTCATAACAAATGAACTGGAAACCCATATGAGCACGACGGTCAGCAATGCCACGATGCCTCCTAGGTATCGCCTTGACAATCGGTCATTGAGTCTCTTCATAAAGATGGGTGCAAAAAAGAAAAAGCACCACGCGACAACCGTACTTTTTCAATGAAATAATCCGGGTCAACCGACGCCAGTTTTTACCATCAATTTTCCAAGGTCAAAGCACAAATGGCCATTCTTTTGTATACACATCACGTTTTGTAAGGTTTTGTAAGTTTTTGTCAACTTTCTTTTTTCTTTTTTATTATAAAAAACCAAGGGAATCCATAACAAAGCTAATCTACTCTTGGAGACACACAAAAGATTCAATACCTAGCAACAATAGCAGTTAGCGAATTGTTCATCTTTCAATGCTGATGAAGATGATCACAGCATGGTTTCGAAAGAAGGAAATAGTTCAGAGAGGGCAAGTCAAAATTCTCTTCACATATCTCGGTGAAGGTCCAGCGTATTGGACACCTCACCTCTGCAAAAATACTAATCATCTTTACGTATTTCCCACATCTTTCGTGCTGTGACCATGTCCACAAAACTATCGAGACATGCTTACCTTGTAGTATATCAAAAAGAACCAGTGTGTGAAGAAGAAAGATCGAGATTCAAAACAGAAAAGGTGGGACGGACCCCAACCCCTTTATATCCTTTTTTTTCCCCGCAGAGAATAGAAAATTTTTTCAGGGACTGCTGATATTGGCTGTGATTTTTTTTTCTTCATTCAGATCCAGCACACTCAGACGGGGAGACCCGCTCATTGGAACAGGTGAATGTTTTTCCAACTAAAATACATGATGTTCTGTTAGCGCGCGTGGATATGCTTAAAACAAACTCTCGAATGCAGGTTACAAAAAATAAAGTTGAGTATCTTCAGATGGTGATGATGTTTGTGAGCTTGATTGTGGCGAAAATTACGGCAATACAAGCAAGCGTCTAGAATGCAAAAAACTAGAGTGGATGGGATCAACATTTATATGCGAAATGTTTGTCTGACAAGACAACAGAGAGTGCTGAGACTGTTCCATTTGCATAATGTGAGATAAATTGCATTCCCAATTTGGGAATCATTAGCTCTCAGCATACCAATGGTAGATGAATGACAAACGATATGCGTACGCATGGACATCACTACATGATACAGTCCGTGTTGAAATCAACCCCTTTATAAAAACTACCATATTAGCCGCGTCATTCGTCAAATGGAACCCATTTTGACAAAAAGAAAAAAGAAATGATGTCGAAGCGTCGCCAGACTCTGGGCATCCAAATCCTCCTGGGCGCCATCATCCTTATTGTGCTCGGGTATACATTGTTTCCAGATACGTCAGACGAAGCGTGGCAAAAGCATACGGCTCGATTCAGACAGCAGCTACTCAATAAAAAACTGTCGTCTATTCGGCCAGGTGGCAAATCCGGTCAAGTAAAAGCGGCTTTTGTTGTTCTCGCACGGAATGACGAACTCGTGGGCATCAAAAGTGCCATTCAGCAGATGGAAGATCGATTTAATCATCGATTCAACTATCCTTACGTATTCCTCAACGATGACGAGTTTACCGATGAATTCAAGCAAATGACCTCGTCACTGACCAATGCCGAAACCCACTATGGCACCATAGATCGTTCCATGTGGGGTTATCCATCTCACATCAATACCACCCTGGCCGCCGAATGCAGAGCCAAAATGCAAGATGCAAACATCATATATGGTGACAGTGAGTCCTACCGCCACATGTGCAGGTATATATGCATATAAAATAACAAGGCACAGACCACAGTCACTGAATTTGTTATTTTCTACCAGATTCCAGTCGGGTTTCTTCTACCGGCATCCTCTTTTAAAAGACTTTGAGTACTATTGGTATGTGGCAGTGAAAGAAAAATGGGAACCGTTTATTCAAGCAAGCTCACACAATGCATGCATCATTGATAGGCGGGTGGAACCTTATGTCAAGTATTTTTGCGACATTGATTATGATGTCTTTCAGATGATGAAAGACAATGGATACAAATATGGTAAGAGTGACAATGACGTTGTCAAACCATTATGTTAACCCCCTTTTTTTTGGCCTCTTGCAGGATGGACTATCTCACTGACGGAATACATGGATACGGTACCAACTTTATGGAGTACTACCCTGAATTTCATCAACGAACATAAACATCTGATCAATTGGGGAAAAAACAGTCTTTTGGATTGGATTACAGATGACAACTGGGAAACGTACAATGGATGCCATTTCTGGTCCAATTTTGAGGTAGAAAAAAAAACCATAGTCAATGAGAACACAACATACTCAACCAACCGTTTTCATGGATACCCGATGTAGATCGGATCCCTCGAATTCTTGCGAAGTCCTGCCTACACCAAGTACTTTGAATACCTGGACAAGGCCGGCGGATTTTTCTATGAACGGTACGTGCTTCATGGTGGGAGGGATCGAACTTGGGAGTGAGGCTAATATACTGTGAATAGTTGGGGAGATGCTCCGGTCCACTCATTGGGCGTGGCTCTTTTCTTAAAACCTGAAGAAGTGCACTTCTTTAACGATATCGGGTATAAGCACGAGCCTCTAATGCACTGTCCGACCGAAAATTATTTGCAAAGTAGGTGCAGCTGCGATCCCGCTCATAATTTCGGTACGTATTCCCTCCCGGGACTAAAAACCATCACCTTTTTTTTTTTTTTTTTTTTACTTCTTTTCATTGGTCCGTGAAAGACGCTAACGATACATAACGTAACATAGATTGGGATCCATGGAATTGCGCCGCTCGTTACCGAGATCGTATTGATCGTGAATTTGTGTGGGATGAAAAGAAATATCGGGAAAAGACGAACCCTTACCGCATCGATGCAGCATAGGAAATTTACAACATATCATCCAATCATATCGCAATAAAATTCACCACGCGGTCACCTCCCGTTCGCTTGGGCTTCTTTTTTGTCTTTTTTTTTCCTTCCTTTTTTATCCGTTGCTGCCAGTTTCATCATGCTCGATCTGTTTACCATCTTGACCAAAGGTGGTTTTGTGCTTTGGCAACGCAATTTTGCACCTTTAGCAGGCACACCCGTCGACGCACTCATACAAAACGTTCTAATTGAAGAACGCGCAGGCACTGACTATTACATAAAAGACAGTTATGCGCTCAAATGGACATTTGCCAATGAAGTCGACCTCATCTTTATCGTATGTTTATATTGATATCAACTAACCGATGGTATGACTCACGAGATGCAATGTGAGTTAGGTGGCGTATCAAAAAATTCTCCAGCTAGCCTACATCGATGAACTTCTGGAGACCGTGAAACGGCTCTTTACCGATACTTTCGCCGATGCGCTTCAAGTGGATCAAGGCATTCACGGAGACTATTCATCGTTTAATCCTTTATTCAATAAAGTACTATTGCAAGTCGAAGACAAGTACGCGTCGGTAAGTGGAGGCTATTTTCCGTAAGAGCGATCCATGAGGGTCTGTGCTAACCAAATTCAAGAACCGTTCAAGAGCGCCGCGTCGATTCGAGGAAACCAAGAAATACGAGAATACCCTGATGGGATCAAAAGCAAATACAAGTAAGGCCAACATTTTTTGGCTATGCGGGCTTATTTTCTGTGTGATTGGTCTTTTGTTATTGACTTATTTGTTGGACGATTAGATGCTGGAAATGCACCGTCGGTCTTTACAAATACGAATAGATCGGTCGATGAAGATGAGATTACGAAAAATATCAAGGCTCTAAAACTTCAAGCGAGTCCTCGTATGGGTGGCAAAAGCCGGAAATCCGGGAAGGGATCAGCTAAAACAGCTTCGAATGCATCACCTACCTTGTCCGAGTACGTTTGGAAGATGGGAGAAATAAGTATCGACGGTGAATCTAATGTAGTTTGTTGTATTTCTTGGTGATGTAGTGACACTGCCGGGAAAAAGAAGAAATCGCAAAAACAACTACGTGTATGGGATGGACAAATTGCAAAGGGCGAAATGGAAGCATTAGACTATTCTAATTCGGGCAACAACACTGTTAATGCAGACGAAGCAAGCGTCATGGCCCAGTTTGTGGATGAAAGCAAACTTGGAAAAAAGAACAAGCAGGGTATCTATGAAGTTCAGGATGTCGAAGTGGAAATTGACGACGAGGATGACGAAGACAATGATGACGAGGACACACCCGTCCACGAAGCATCCACCAACACCGGTGGCATGTTTTCCTTTCTGAAAAACATTACCGGACAACGGGAATTGGATGCCCAGACCTTGGATCCCGTGCTGGCGACGATGAAGGAACACTTGATCAATAAGAATGTTGCGAGCGACATTGCTGAACATTTATGCCAAAGTGTAAAGACTAGCTTAATGGGAAAGAAACTGGGCAACTTTGAAAGTAAGGTGGCAATCACCAAGTTGGTAACAGTGTCATCTGACGTTTTTTTTTTTTTTTTTTTTGCTTCCCATTTGTCTTAGGAGTCTCCACTGCCGTACGAAATAGCATGGAAGCCGCCTTGAAACGCATCTTGACACCCAAAACTTCACTGGATATTCTTCGCGATATTGAACAATCAAGAGCCAATAACCGACCCTACACTATTACTTTTATCGGTGTGAACGGCGTAGGAAAAGTAAGCAATCCTTCTTTTTAATTGGTATTGGGCAAGATTTATTAACACGGTAAAACCCTCAAGTCAACAAATCTTAGCAAAGTGTGCTTCTGGTTATTACAGAACAATTGCAAAATCTTGATTGCAGCATGTGACACTTTCCGCAGTGGGGCTGTGGAACAGCTTCGTGTCCATGCTCGTAATCTACGGGCCCTTCAAACGAGTGGAGGAGGTATCGTCGAACTCTTTGAACGCGGGTACGGCAAAGACTCGGCCGGTATTGCTAAGGATGCCATCAGTTACGGTAAGTCAGGAAATCTTTCTCTTATTACCAGTGAGAAAGCAAAGGATCCATACTGATGATCCGGATTACATAGCGACTGTGAACCATTTTGATGTGGTACTTATCGACACAGCCGGTCGTATGCAAGATAATGAACCTTTGATGCGAGCATTATCGAAATTGGTGTCTGTGAACAATCCCGACAAGATCATCTTTGTGGGTGAAGCGCTCGTTGGTAACGAGGCCGTGGATCAGCTTACCAAATTCAATCAAGCCCTGAAAGATTTCTCCGGGCTGCAAAATCCGCGACACATCGATGGCATGATCCTCACCAAATTCGATACCATTGATGACAAAGTAAGTCCATGACGCTCGTCAGCAGGGAGAATAAAAACAGTGGTACTTAACACTTAATAATTGCTAGGTGGGCGCGGCGTTATCGATGACCTACATTACTGGTCAACCTATCTATTTCGTAGGAACTGGCCAGACATACACCGATCTTAAAAACCTTAGAGTTACCCATGTTGTGAATAGTCTTCTTCGTCAGTGAGACAAAAAAAAACCAAAAAAAAAAGCAAAACAACATAAAAAAGGACAGGAACTTGTATTTATATGCTTAGTTTTATACAGTATTATTTCGTTTGCTATTACCAAAAAAAAATCTAACCAAGTTGTTCGTTTGTCACTCCTTCTCTATTTCAATTGGGATTAACCATATATCATCTTTCCAGTTTACATCCTTTTGGCTGTACCCTGACTATTGCTGTTTAATTTTCTCAGCTGCGCTTGGCTTTGAATTTTGTATTGATAACCATGAAAGCCCGTCGACAGAAATGCAGGGATGTCGGAGGTTCAAATTAAGCTTGTATTATCCGGATCTGTGGAAAGGCCATTGACACAATTTTTTTTTTTTTTTCAATACGAGCCGGCTGTCAGACAGTTATCGATACAAAATGTGGATCCGATCGAGACATTCAATACAACGGGTAGCTCACTGCTTTAGCAAAAGATGTTACAGTTCAGAAGCACCAAGCAATGTAGTGTCTGACATGACTCGTCGTGGTCTAGTGGCCAATACGACAAGGTAATGAATGGCGATTATTATTATCGAGCAAAAAGGTCACTGGGAAACGGTGAGAACTGACTAGCAATTAGTCCCAATGTAGTCGAAATGACGAATAAACCGACGACTATTTACTGCGGAGTGGATCCTACTGCCAAAAGTTTGCATCTCGGTAACTTGGTGACCCTTATGGGATTGTTCCACTTTCATATCAGGGGTCACCAAACCATTGCCCTGGTAAATTCATACAGCTTCGTCCGTGTTAATGGCCGACCCAGAGTCTCAATTTTTTATTTGATGGATTAGGTCGGAGGCGCGACCGGCAGCATCGGCGATCCTTCAGGTCGTCAGTCGGAACGTGTGCCGCTGACGAGGGATGTATTAAGTCAGAATATTGCAGGGATCGAAAAGCAAGTACACCGCTTCTTCGCCAATGGTGCAGCCTACGCAGAACGACGAGGATTCAACTATGAAACACGAACACCCAAAGTATTGAACAACTATGACTGGTTCAGCAACATGACCGCTTTGGAATTCCTCGGCGATGTGGGAAGATATGCAAGAGTGAATACCATGTTGGCCAAAGAGAGGTAACAGGAAGCTTTTGCTTCAAGACTGCAAGACGTGCTTTTGTTATTTATGCTGAATTCTGTGCCCCAGTGTCAAATCACGCATTGAAAGCACTCAAGGCATTAGCTTTACCGAATTTTCGTATCAGTTATTGCAAGCTTACGATTTCTGGTACCTGTACCAAAATCACCATTGCCGAATTCAGGTATTATTAGAAGAAAGTCAGAGGGAAACATCGCCCAATCTTACACTTGCCAAATACCGATAGTTGGGCGGCAGCGATCAGTGGGGAAATATTACAGCTGGTATTGATTTGATCGGTCGACGAAGGGATGCCGTGTCAGAACCAAACAAGGAAGATCATGCCAAGGATGCCTACGGCATTACTATTCCCTTGCTGTTAACTTCTACCGGCGAAAAGTTTGGCAAATCGGCAGGAAATGCGGTATGGTTAGATGAAACAATGACCAGCATTTATGATTTCTATCAGGTAAGCATAGGGACACACGGCTCTGACAATTAAAAGTTGCACCTTGGCTCAAGTAGGCCATACTTAGTTCTTTATCAAAACGACGGATGCTGATGTTGGAAAACTCCTGGGGATGTTTACACTCTACAAAGAACACGATATCAAGGAAATCTTGCATGAACATGCGGTAAGCGATGGTAACGGTACATCTACCAAGAAAGGCAAGCTAATGTTGGCATATTAGAAAAACCCTGAAAAGCGGTTGGCTCAGCAGGCACTGGCAAACGAAACCACGGAACTTGTTCATGGCTGTAAATTTTGTGTTTTCGTTGGACTTTCAAGGTTCGTTCTTATTAACAAAGGTTCATCTAGTGGATGGTGTTCAGCAAGCGCAAACAGCGACCAAAGTACTGTTTGGTGAAGATCTCGGTGCTTTGAATGGACAAACGATTGTGAATGCCTTTAAACACGATCGATCCCGATTTACCACCTTGGAACGTGCTCAGGTGATTGGCCAAGGTTTGGACACCATTGCCACCTTAGCCAATGCCACCAAATCAAAATGTAAGTGTTACATACACTCCTCGTTTTTCCTTGCATTCATTTTTATCATTTTTTTCTTCAATTTTTGTTTTAGCCGAAGCGCAAAAACGAATCAAGGCAGGTGGCATGTATTTGAACAATATCCGTGTGAGCGATCCAAGACACAAGGTGGAACCGACCGATTTAATTGACGGCCAAGTCTGTGTATTAAGACTCGGTAAATCGTCGTACCACCTCGTTCACGTTATCTAGACCATCAGCCATTAGACTGGCAAAAATCAACACAGAAACATAGACGCCTGTATACTTTTTGCATGCATAAAATTGAACTTTCATATAAATTATCACATGATAAAAAAAAATGCCGATGATGATGGTACAAGAGGAAAAAAATTGAACAAGTGTTGACAAAAGTAAATGAAGAACGGTATTTAGGCTCTGAGTGGCAAAGAAAGGATCCTGAAATCGTCGGGTTTGACAAACACACCCCGTTGTTGATCCGTGTAAAAGTAGCGCACACCGTTGGTAGAACCGTCACTTTTACCCACTATAATACGATAAGTATGAGTCCACAGCCGTTTTTTCAATGACCTAGTAGAAAGCGCCTTACATCGACTTTCAAGTTCGACGCCGACCCATGTACCCTTTGCAAAGTTCACAGGGCCAATGTATTTGATTACACCGAGCGTGGGGAGCGGGCGGCGTAGTAACTCAACCTTGGCTCCGATCACCGGGGTCACCATGGTAGGTTCGTCGTCATCACTGACATCACTGCCACTACCGATATTCCATCTTGATCGGCGAGACGGTTTTCCGGATTTCCGTCCAGAGGAAGACACTTGGCTTGCCACACCGTTGGTAGCAATGTAGGGCGATTTAACCGCGCGAAGGGGAGTAGCTGGAAGGGCAAATTTTAGTCGCGATGGTCGCGGCGTGGTATCATGTGTGGTGGTATCGGCTGCGTTCAATGAACGTGCTGTGGTAGGTTTGGACGGCAAAGTCTTGGACATGATCGGGGGATCCAAGGGTAACAAGGCTTCCACAAGCGAAGAAAGCGATTCTTTGGCAGATACCGAGGAAGATAATACTTCCGGCGGTACAGATTTGGATCGTTCTTGTTTGTACAATCGTGCTTCGGTTTCCAGCGACAGTAGATGAATCAATGGCTGAGAAGACAAGGCATCCACCGACGATTTAGCGACATAGGATCCCGTACTGGGAAGAGCATGTTCAAGTGCGGATTCGGTGGATCGGGAACGAGGACGAGTCATCGATCGTGACGGCTGAGTGGAGCTCGTCCGTGCCAGTGGCTGAAGCGCGCCGCTGGAACGTTGAGGTTTCAAACTTCCAAGAGACAGTCGGCGCGGTGAAGGGTGATGGTGGCCGCCGCCACCATACGCTTTCAATATAGCTGCACCCCCCGTCTCGACTTCCGACATTTTGGATCTCAAAGCCGTTTTAGCGGCTTTGGGTTTGAAGCTGAAAATGGTTGAAAAGTCGGAATCAAAAGGTTTACTCAACGTTCTATAAGGAATACCAGTATCTAATAAATAAATAAAAACGGATCAGTACATACAGGAAATCATACCAACGTCTGTTTGCGCCACCATGTTCTGTTTTCTTTTTCTGGGTGCTTTACCTATGGCCATTTGACGCATGACGTCTTTGTCAATGGTACTGAATCCGCCTTGCGTTTTTACACTGAGCCAGCGACGACAGAGGTAGGAAGCGCATTTGGAACGGGCTTCCAAAAGCACGCCGTCCAACGCGACGTTTTTCACCACTTCTTGACGTCCTACTAGATCCCGAACTATGCCCTGATAGATAATGCCAGCATTGATGTCGTGAATGCCTTCTTCCAAGACCCGCTTGAGAAGAAAATCAAGAAAATCAATGGAAAATCCGAATCCAATCCCGTCGACGCATGACAGTAAAATGGGGTATTCTACACAGTAAAAATCGAAATGCTGCGATACCATCATAACGGCGTGGTGTAGAATAGGATCCAGCAGATCAAGGGTGGGAAGCGACCAGCTGGGAATGGGATCCGCACCTCGAAGTTGAGACAGACATAAATGGAGGGAATGTAACACATGAATTGCATTGTGTTTTGTCACGTTATGCAGAGTGAGATCCGAGATTTTCTTGATCACGGTGTCTGATTCCTGGGTCAAAGCCAAGGTGGAGGAAGCGGAATTCTCGGTGGCGATACTGCTAATCAGGATGGCAAAAGGTTTCTGGGCCCACAACGAAGCAATGGAGTGGACGGGATCCGAATAGTGACTGATGAGTAAAGGTCGCATGGAAGGGATAGAGTTGACGTTATTGTCAGCAAACGACAGCATGGACGGCAATAACGCGGCGCAATCGCCACAGGTGCATTTAAATTGATGACATGTGGCTGCCATGGTGCATAGTGCCGCGACGCTGATGGTATCAAAGTGGGCAAGATAGTCGGCGGCGAAAAATACCTTTTGCAATACACGGAGAATGTGTTTTTTGTGTGACAGACGGCGTTGGGTGGCGCCGGTCAAACGGGCCGTGGTAGGCGATGGTGTGACATGGATGGAATCGGTATAAAGGTAATGCAAGATAACATCCAGTACCACTGGTGAAAATAGATCATCCGTCAAACGAACTTCGGCACAGGTCGCTTCGCTGAAATCACTGCAAAAGAGAGCGTAAAAGTAGGTGGATTGAGCGGCGAGAAGAAATCGATGCGCAGGAAATGATACGATCGTGGACGACGATGACAAGAACGATGTATCACCGAGCTGATTGTACGATGATGATGAACGAAGAATCCCCGCTGGTGTAGCAACGTCTCGGGGAAGCGATAACAGGGAAGAATGATCACGGAATGGTTGCGGTGCCGTGCCTGATAAATTGGCTGCGTCGGATGAATTGGCTGTGTCGGACGAATCGGCTGTGTCTTGTAAATCGGTATCGTGCGGCACTACGGTAATGAGTACATCGGTTGCCAAGTGATGACTCCTCATCTGTGTCAGGTCATGCAGTAATTGATCGTAGTCGCTCTGGTTATCGCCAGGGCGTGGAAAAAGCGGCATGCCTAATCTTAACTCCAAGGCATTGAGTTCGGCCATGATCGATGCGGAAGGATCACATAACGTTGATGTTGGGTTCTCTTTGTCGGGAGACGCCGTCAACGACAAAGGCAGCCAGTCTGCAGTGTACCAAAATCGGAGCAACGCAGCAAACAGAGGTTTCGAGAAGATGGCACTCAGATCAATCTGTAGCACTGACGACGTCGATTGACTGTTATTGGTCAGCTCGGGTAGATATCGTTTGCGAAATGTTTCGGGGGTGCGTGCCAACAGGATAGCTACAAGTTTTTAAGAAGAAAAAAAGAGGGAACATGTGGATCGTTCAGCAAAAACCAGTTGAAAACATGATGGCGTTGATGTAGATTGAAATTGATGGCATTACCGCGATGAGCGCCGAGGGCGCCTGAAGAAAAGTGAAAAGTGACATCAGCGAGATAGTGGTGCGGGTTCTCAAGAACAGTATGCAGCGAGGTTCGTAACGTTGGATTGGGCGGACTGAACATGAAAATGTAGAAGCGAACAGTCTCTTCGAATTTTGTTTAAAATGCGAGAACAAGAAAGACGAAAGGTTACAAATTTGTATAAACAATATATATATAATCGGAAAGAATAGCCAACTGTAACCAAGAAGGATATAAACCTAAATTTTGTTACGTAAAAAGAATATAAAAAAAAGCAAACCAGCAATGAACACAGAAAAAGAAAAAAAAATCCATTACAACAGCTTGCATCGCACAGCCGGAGCGGAGATTCAAGGCAACGCGGGTTTTCCACTCCGTGAACGGATAAAATCCCAAAAGGCATAGGAACCAAGAACCAGTTTCCATGATTTCAAAGTGACAAACTTGTCGGGAATGCGCCACAATAGCATGACTCCATTTATCGTGTCCCCCCCCCCCTTCTCCCCTTTCTTCCCCCCCCCCACCCTTTTGTGTCTCAGCTCTCTCATTGGATACATGAGCCACACCCGATCTGAAATAGTCGTTCCTATTTGCTTTCCAGCAACCGTGGACGGAAACTGAATCTTTTGTGCTGGTTTTTTTTTAGCATGGAAATCGGAGAAAACGATTTTCCTTGATGCCAAGCACAGCAAAAAATGAATGACATAATGGCAAAATTAACTCATAATAATAAAGTTTTTTCTGCCACCCTATGCACAATCATTCATCAGTAGACCCTCATTGAGTTCTTTTCCCAATTTGGAAAACTGTAAAATGAAGCCAGTGTAGCATCATATCACAAAGGGGAAAAAAAAAAGACTCAAATGTGCGCGCTACAGCCAGCAATCGATGCATGATTTCATTTTGATAATTCTGATAAGCTTGCTAGCCTTTGTTGATTTATGTGATAGATTCACAAGAACAGTCAGACTATCCATCATGTCATAACTGAATCGTTTTGTCTAGCGTTTTTTTATTGACTCTTGCTGCTTCTGTTCGTTCCATGGCATCACAGGTACAAACAAACCGTCGTCAAGATTCAAAGGATAATCCAATTTTACTATTGTCGAGATCTTATCATTATTATTTGTTCCCAATTAAAACATCCACAAATTGAATACTGGTATAAAAATAGCCGTTGTGTGCGTGATGTGTGATGTATGATGGAGGGGCGATTGATCAAGGAAGCACTTTGCCGGGATTCATGATATTCTTGGGGTCAATGGCTCGTTTGACGGTTCGCATCAATTCGACGGTGCCTTCGCCCAGTTCTGCAGGCAAATATTCTTTCTTTCCGTAACCTACACCGTGTTCTCCCGTCACTGACCCTTCCATACGGATGGCGCGGGTCAGCAAATTCTTGTTTAGCCGTTTAGCCTCGGCGTATTCTTCAGGTTTGGACTTGTCAAATAAAATAAATACATGGAAGTTTCCTAGGAATTTCAATGTATATAAGCATGGTCTGTTTATGGCTAGATGGGCCTGTTCCTTCATTTGCAAAAGAATAAACTTACCGTCACCAACGTGACCCACCATCGGTGCAGGAAGGCTGGAAGTGGCCAGATCCTTCTTTGTCTCATCAATCAACTCGGGTAACTTGGAAACCGGTACCACGACATCGGTTGTCCAGATCGAGGCATTTTCCTTTAGCAAAGTCGAAGACCACAGACAAATCTACCCACCCAATTTTCAGCCGTTTAACGGTCGGTTCAACGGTAACACTGAATAGACTGACTCCTTGCATTCCTTTTCTTTCCGATACCTCTTAATATGCTCCTTTCCGCCATCTCTTTTTGTTTCTCCACCGCCTGTACTCTTTTCTCATTTATTTTTACCTTGCGCCCTTCCCACAGATCGGCTTTTTCGTGGTCGTTTTTGGCATATCTGAACGTGCCTCCTTGATGGTCTTTGACAATTTTCGATACCAGCTCAATTTCATGCTCAATCTGAGGCTTGGAACCAGAGAACTTGAGGAATAGGGTCGGTCGTTCCTTATGGCCCAAACTTGGGTTGGCAAGATTCACGGCTTTCATCATCAGCTCGTCCAACAACTCTACTGCTCCGATCTGTACGCCGGCTCGGATCAGGTCAGGGACAACCGCGGCCGCATCACGGACCGAGGGAAAATCACATACGGCCACTGAAAAAAACGAAGCCGGATTTTTTTTTACAGTCAACATTTTGTGTTCCTTCTTTTTTTGTCTTTCTAATCAATGATCATCTTACCTGTTTCTTCTGGAGGAATCACGGCCAACTTCAAGGTGGCTTCCGTGACGATGCCGAGGGTTCCTTCCGATCCAATCATGAGACGTGTAAGATCGTACCCTGCAGAGGATTTTCTACAAGCATTCACGCTCGATCAGCAATGTATGCAGCAATAAAATTGACGACACAGGATAACTTACCTTGGCCGTTGTCGAGTTTTAATAATTTGTCCATTGGGCAAGACGACTGTTAAATTCAGAACCCACTCGCGCATGGTACCCCAGCGAACGGCATTGGTACCTGAACATCCCGTACCCACCATGCCTCCGATACAAGCCCTACGATTTTCATCAATACATCTTCGTCTTGGCCCAACTGCCACAGTGCATCTTACCCTGGTCCAGGATCCAGTGGGAAAAAGAGTCCATGTTTCTTCAATTCAGCATTGAGATCTTCCCATCCTATACCAGGTTGTACGACAATATCCATATCCTCTGGATGAAAGGCGACAATATGATCCATATGCTCGGTAAATGAAATGCAGATACCACCTCGAGGAGCTGAAAAATGACCTTCCAATGAAGTGCCTCCTGAAAAAGGAATAATGGGCAGACTATCCAGAGCCTCTGTTAGAACCGAGTTTCTGTACGTCACTTGGTTAGCTAGTATTATGGGCACACCTGAGTTCATTGGCTATCTTGACGATAGCGGCCACTTCTTCGGTACTGCGTGGGAACACGACGATATTGGGTGCGCCTTCGTTATGGTAACTGTTATTGGAGTAACCGTGCTGGTTCAAAATGTCCTGATCCACCGTGACATGCTCCGGAGGTAACACCGCTTGCAGCTTGCGAAAAGCTTGTTGAATCGTCGTATGGCTTGGAACAGTAGGTTCCTTCAACGATGACTGTCCCAGTTGTTGAATTTGTTCGGTGGTCGGTGTTGCCACCGGTTGTTGCAAGTTGGAAGTGCCAAGCCAGTATCCACCGCCAGCGGCTGCCACGGTGCCTGCCAACCACGGGAACAGGGATCGCTTGGGTGCAGCACTGACATTAGCCTGAGTTTGGTAACCACGTTGACATGTCCAACGCACAGAGGAATGGCAAACGCGTCTCATGGAGTAACAGCAAAAATGAGAGATAGTTTGTCAAGAAAAAAAAAAAATTGAAATTGATGCTTGGCTCCAAATGAATTATGCAAACAATAAGAAGAAGGGAAAAATACAAATAAAGAATGGAATGATATAATCTAATCTATAGCGTGGTAATAAATACGGACAAAGGTTGCACTGTGCTCTGCCGGTTAAATAATTAGTGACCTTTTTATAGTTTGCTGGCATGGCCCGACTTGGGCAGCGATGTCTCGGATGATGATCCGGCTTGGTTGGCACGTCGCTCCTGTTCTTTCTTGGATAATCGAACAATGCCTTCCTGAGCCGTGGTGGCAATCAGTGTACCATCTCGACTGTAAATACTACCCAGAACAACTCCCCTTCCCGAATTAGTCCGTGGGCTACGAATATCGTACAAAAGCCTACCATCACATAATTCACATCGCTAAATCAGAACCCCTGCAGTTTTGGCACACATGGATATGAAACATACCATTTATCAGCTCTTGCTGGAGCATGGAACCACATGGAATGGTCCAAACTGGCCATCATACCAATTTGCCGTTGAGGTACTCCGTTGGCTCGAGCGGCCGTCCCGATAAATCCACTGTCCGATGCATAAGCAATGATACACGCATGAAGACGAGCATCATCGCCAAGCTGCCCACGAGTTTTAAACCATCTTCGCTAAACCAGTCACCATCGCCATTAGTCCTGAGCCAGACTATCACGCACATCCTTCTTGAATAAAAAAAAAAAATGCTCACCGAAACTTCCGATGCTGCCAATTTGTCGGATAAAAAGACATCTTCTTGTCGAGCGACATCCAGATCACGATAATCAACCGGGGAGCTCTCTTCGATTCGTTTTTGAATGTATTCGCGCATTTTTGGCGACAACTCGTTATTTGCCAGGTATTGCTGAAGACGTTCGGTATCACTAAGTCAAAAAGTAAAGAGTTGATCGTTAACAAAAAGTTGATGGTTCAAACGGCTGTACAGATCAAATACGTACGAAGGCAGAGTTTCCGGATCGGCTACTTCTGGCATGATGGTCTGAAAAAGAGAAAAGTGTTAATGGACCCAGTTCTACTTTTTTCACTTGAAAGATCCTGTGCATTCTCAAGTGACTTGGGGCGTATTCTTACCTGATGGTTAAGAGAAATGCTGTCATCTTGTTTGGCGAAGCTGAAACTGCAGATAAAAATGGCTCGGCCCTTTTGGGTGGCGGTGACGGATCGTGTAACAAAAGAACGTCCATCGCGAAGTCGTTGAACATGGTAGATCACGGGGATCTCCACATTACCTGGGAGAATAAAATAGCTGTGAAGTGACTAGACATTTGTCATCAAGAATTCGTTCGTTATTACTTTCTGCTTAGCCAACCTCCTGTGACCCCAAAACCTAGCTTACATGAATATGATATTCCTCAGGCACAGTATTAAATGCCGCTCTCAATGCTTGCGCCACAATCTATATTTTTCCATCATCCGTTTAGCATATTTTGAGTTCTGATATGTCCGTGACAACGGTTGCCGCTTACTTGTCCACCAAAAGCACCTCGAGCCCCCAAAGGTAACCAGAGCTCCTTGCTCATGTACAGATTGATATCGATTTCTTGGACATCCACTGCTTCTGCAATGAGTTTGGCAAAGTCTTCTTCGGTATCGTTTGGTTTATCGGTCACAAGGGTGGATTCCTCGTTTCGGTCCGAGAAAGAAATGACAGCAGGAAATGTGGATCGTGGCATGAGGTGAGAAACGGTCTAGGAAAAATAAAAGCAGAAGAGAGAAACAAGTGAAATACAGTGAAGATAGATAGCTTTGAGTAATTTTTTTTATATTATTTTTGTCCAAAATAAGGTGTCTCCGCCATTTTTCGGCTTATATTGTCTGACTAAGGACGTTTCTCGATTTTTTTTGTCAAATAAGAATGACAGACAAACCAAACTTATCAATGGTTAAGCGCCAAAAAACACTCCGCTCTTCCCAAGTCTCCCATCGTTCATATTATCGTCATTCGCACTATCACACAAAACCATCCGACTACATGCGCATAATAGATAATAGATTATTGGCAACGCAGTACACATGACAGCTGTGAGTCACTCCTCGCTTTGTTTTCCATGCCAAAGGGCAAAACAAAGAATATGCTGCAACATTGTTCAAAAGGCAAAAATGTTTTGCCCCGTCTGTCAACGGAACTCCGCCACGCACTTCTTTTCATTTGTCATCGGGAATTGAAATCCAAGCACATCCAATCAACGCAAAATTCTGACAGATGAATCCCTCTCACCCAATTATTTGACGATACTCTGACAAAGGGACGTTCAATGAAAAAAGGAAGTATATGTAACTGCCAAAAAATATGGTTATTTTCTAGTGTTTGATTTTTTTGCTGTCTCTTGGTTGATCTTGGTCATTGGATCGCTTTTGGGCCACTGGAGCGGCTTTCAGCTTCTCCAATGTTTTTACGAGGATTTGCTTTTCACCCAGGCGCACCAAGATGGCATTCTTCTTTGCATGTGAAGAGGAAGATTGTAAAGATACCACATCATCCTGCGGATCGACAGATGGCTAGGTCAGTGTGCGTGTTCCTCGATCAGGAATAAGTGATCTATCCACTCACCTCCAAAGACGTTGGGTATCGCGCCAAGCGTTGCTCCAACAGCTGGATCAACAACTGTTTCGCTTCAGGTGTTAAACGAGGTTTGGGCAATTTTTCCTTCTCTGCCATCTTTTCAAATTCCTCCGCACTGGATCGATATACATGCACTATACACTCATGTCAACCTCAAAGTTTTTCTTTTTTTGGTGGACGAGTTCGATCGTTCAGTGTTTACCAGCAATGATGAGCTCCGGAGGCACGTCGTGGTCTGTATCGATAACAAAGCAACTAGAGACAAACATATAAGTTATGACCCAAAAACATAAAACCCTACATCACCACCGACTTACTCATCCATCACCCCTTCCTCCAACAAAAAATCAGTCTAAAAAGAAAGGGTCAGCTTCTTGATTCCAACTCTCAATGGGCTTGGGTGTGCTTGCGGTACCTTGTTCTCAATTGTCTCAGCGTCTTGGTCGGGAGCACAGACCTCCACCACAAGTTTCCCATCGATTTCACACAAGTCGAATGGATTGTTTTCATCCGCAAAGCCATATTTGCGAAGCAAGTCCGCATTGCACAGATCACCATAAGTGTTGTAAATCTGATCACCAGCAGCGATCGGTTTAATGGCTCGCATCTGCAGCGCTTCTGGCTCATGGAATAACCGAGCATTATTGAACCCGGTTTTATGGTTTAGCATATCAGCCATCGGAACCATGGCTAAAAGCTCCTCGGTCTCTTCCTCCTCTTCATCGCTTTCCTCATCTTCTTCCTCCTCTTTCTTGTTTTCAGCATTTTCCTTGGTTTTCAGCGTCGTTGCTTTGGGAGCCAATTCATCGTGGAAACTGTAAGCCATGATCAACGACCCACAGATGTGGAAAAGCTCGACATTGTGGATCTCGGGGTTAAAGATGTCTGGATGAGCCTATACGCCTCATGAGTTACTGCACATTCTGCGGGTCGGCTGCTTCAGAATATACCTTGATGATAGGTTCAATTTCATCTCGAAACATGGTTTCTGCTTCTGTCTTGCCGATCTTGGCTGTAGCACGAAAACAGTATCAGCAAAAGATGGCATATCAATTACTTTAGCTGGATCCACTTGCCAGGAATATCGGTTCCCTCCAACTCCTTCATCTCTTCATCTTTCCAAAACATTGGAGTGGTGAAGTCTTTTGGCAAAACGTCTGCATAATTATTGTCAGTTCCTCTTCGCTAATCGAATCTACTCGAAATGTACAAACCAAAGTAAGGTTTCCAGAAAGAATCAGCCCGCTGACTTTCGTACATCATGCATAAGATCAAAGGATTCCAACCCGTCAGATTATCCAGCACCTGTGCCATTCCCTCGACTTTTCTTAAAGCCGAGGTCTGTGAAGAGAGCAACTGCTGGCGCGCAATGGAGAACAGCACGTCGCCTTCCTGCAATAAATTGCGTTAGATCCTGCGGGCAAAATCGTAATCACAAAGCTCAAAACATTGTTTTCGATTCTTGCCTTGATGTCCTTGACAGCTACAACACCGCGTCCAGCGTTTTCGTCGCGATAATCCTTGAAAGCAATAGCCGGTGACAAAGTAGCACCGTTGGTCTCCAACCATTCCCAAAACGCTTTTCCTTGTGCTTCAAATGTCTCCACCATATTTTCCTTACTTGCAATGCTCGATCGTTTTGATCTATTTGTTGGCTTTTTCTTTTTTATATGGTGAATTGAGCGGGGCTTAGAAATGCGATGGCTGTCAGAATGTCAGACGGTTGCCAAAATTTTTACAGCAAGACGTTTTAAAATTTTGGTCAAAAGTTACGGGTCTAAAGAATAAGGCAGAATAGCTCATGACACTTTTTTTTTTTTTTTTACTTTTTTTATTATTGTATGACTGAAGTTTTTAAAAACAGAAGTGTGATTTCTTTTTAATTACATTGTAGAAAGTAAGATGGCTAACTAGCAAATTTATGCCAACTTTTCTTGAAGCACCTTGTGGAGCTTGTTGCCATCGGCGGCAAAGTTGCGGATACCTTCTGATAATTTCTCGGTAGCCATAGCATCCTGGTTCATTTCCCAACGGAAGGCCTTTTCATTCTTGAAGTAGCTGACCTTCTCCATCTTCTTGGCGTTGGCCTTTTCGGGGCTCAATTTACGTTCAAGCTTCTTCTTATCCTCCTTGAGTTTGGCTAACAGAGCAGGCGAAATGGTCAAGAAGTCACAACCGGCTAACTCTTCAATTTCACCCGTGTTACGGAAAGAAGCACCCATGACAATGGTCTTGTAGCCGTTTTGTTTGTAGTAGTTGTAGATATTGCTAACCGAGATCACACCGGGATCTTCGGCGCCCTGGAAGTCCTTGCCGCTGGCTTTCTTGTGCCAGTCAAGAATACGACCAACAAAAGGTGAAATCAGAGTCACGCCGGCTTCAGCGCAAGCCACGGCTTGAGGGAAACCAAACAGCAAAGTCAAGTTGCAGTGGATTTGATGCTCCTGTTCGAGGACATGGGCTGCCTGAATACCTTCCCAGGTGGAGGCGATCTTGATGAGGACACGCTTCTTATCCACACCTTCATCTGCGTACATCTTGATCAAACGCTTGGCCTTTTCAATAGTTGCGTCCTTGTCAAACGATAAACGGGCATCCACCTCGGTCGACACACGTCCGGGAACAATCTTGAGAATTTCGCAACCAAAGTTTACCAATAATTTGTCCATAGCCCAATCCGCTTGTTCTTCGGGTTTGCTATCAAGTCAAAGTCTCCATGTTAGTTTCTCTTGCTTCTTTTACGGAAACGGAATGATTGCTTGGCTTACCTGCACTTGGATTTGGCATATTCAATGGCATTATCGATAAGCTTGGCATATTGGGGCTTTTGGCTTGCTGCGAGAATCAGCGAAGGATTGGTGGTAGCGTCTTGTGGTTTGTATTCAGCAATAGCTAGATAAAAAAGTGCAAAGGGTAAGCTCACTCTAGTCTTGTTATCATATAAATTATATTGTCAGCTTACTTTCAAAGTCACCAGAGTCAGCGACGATGGTGGTGAATTGCTTGATTTGATCGAGAACAGACATGATGTGATATTAACAAATTTGAGAAAAGGTTAAGGGAAAAAAAGAAGAAACCGATAATCGCGAGCGCATGAAGTCTGATAAATAAACCAACAACTGAGTTTTTCTGAGCTTTCTAAGCATGAATAAACTGTACGTCATGCTTATATTTCTAGTGTATGATTGGAGGGATAGCCCATCTTAAAAATTCGTGGGTTTCACATTCCCCCAAAACACGACAAAAAAGCGGTACTGCGTTTGCCGACGCGCGATACGCATTATATAATGCAAAGTGATGACCACGACTCGACGACATACTCACCATGATCAATCATAAGCCTATTTTTTTCTAAAATACAGCAGTACAATGAATGATAATAGGAAAAAAGAGACTGCGTTTATATTAGTAAGCCCTACAAAATCGCAGACAATCTGGTTTCCCATCAGCAGGGGATTCGTTGCAAGGGTTTTCAACCCTGTCCAGCGGGAAACAGTGACTCCGACTGTCAGTAAAAGGCAAAAAAAAGTCGTGCAGACTTTGTTTTACAATCGACGAACTTGACCGTATCCGATGGTGGATTCCATGGTGGATTCCATGGCGGATTTTATGGCGGATTTTATGGTATACGGTACACTAGAAGTTTGAAGATGGATTCTTTTCCAAAACTATAGTGATGATTTTTTTTTTTTGATCAATAAATTGTAATGTACCAAAAAGGAATGAATAGACCTATTTAGGGCTGATTAGGTCATCTTTTTTAGGCGCGAATAGGCTGAATTATATTGCCACACTTCCCTTCAAGTACGACTATAGCGAGGCTGCACAGACCTACCGGAACAGATTACATATTCTACTGTTCCGACCTTTCGGTGGCTGTTCAGGCCAATATCGAGGTGATGAACCATCATCATCACCATTAATCCTACTTACTTCATGTTGAAGCTGTCCAACTGATATCATGGGTCGCGACTGTAAAGATAAATAGAAAGAAAACCCATGAACTGAGCAGGTTCTCACCCGATCCGCGTCTCACTCTCAGTTTCTTTTAGACGGGCGCGGATATACGCTGGACTGCGAGCTGACGTGCAGCGTATGTACAATGCTGTGCTTCTTTTGGCAAGCCGGTAATACGTCTGTCCGACTATCATTAGATATAAATCACATATGTATATAAACATAATATGGTGTAACGAGACGCCTCAGGGGGGGGGGGAGGGGAGGGACTGACGTGAATCTTGACCTTAGCATTCCAACCCCAATGACAAGCGGATTTCAGACTGAAGTTGGCACCAAGGATGCAGAGAGCGGAATTGCGCGAATCATGACACTTTTTGTACGTTCGATTCATGTGAAAACGGGGTATTCCTGAACATTTCCTTGGACTTTTATGCCATGTTTGGTATTCAACTTGAACGAGGTCGAAACTGGGCTATCAAAGCTTCTCTAAAATGTATTGCTGATATGTTGCAGGCCGTTTTTCTTGTTGTGTACTTGAAGTAGCGTATTTTAGTGGCGAGATGTGTCAAGAAAGATAGAAAGAGAAATTAACAAACGTGCTACTAATGCCAACGGTTGTGTGATTTGACAGTACATTTTACCACCAACTGCCAAGCATCCCTGATCCTTGGTTCGGCCAATATCGGAGTTTATGTATGCCACTCAGCCCGGTGACGATGGTTCAGGACTACAGCAATCCTTCAAACACATAAATGAGAATAAACATTGGCACTGAATAATGCTGAGTGAAATACTTCCGTCACGTTTGTCATATATTTGTCCAGCATATGCAAAGCTCCACTCTGCTGAGCTTGTTATATGTCAAAATTATGTTGCGGATGCCCAAAAAGTTTCTGGAAATTCCCCTGTTGCCATTTATTTCTTGGCAAACCCGAATACATCGACTGCTGGGGAAGTCAAGCCATTCCAAGATGTGTTTAGTAAAACGGGAATACTCGACTTCATCGTAAATCGATAGAATGGGGCTTCTGTACCAGAACATAACCCTCTGCTGCAGCTCGTCATTTACTGTTTGTCGCTATATCAAGAGCAGTGATAGCTGTAAGGAGCATTGTTTGTGCGACAATGCAAAAGCGCATAAACTGAAGCAGTAAGAAACTTATATGTCAGTCCGACCCACTTGACTGCTGTTGCGAACTTGACTACAGTAAATATCAAGCCCCAACACGGGCCACTTTATGTACAGCAAAGGAAAAACGTCATCTACTCTTGATTCTATAAAAAAAGTCATTATCTTGCGTAATCAATGAATATTCTGCTTTTATGAATAAGGTAGATGGTCAAATAGAGTCCATCATGATGGATGCGGGATAAAAAAAAAAAAAAAAAAAAAAAGGCACATGGTTCTTTTTTATTTTTTATTGATCGGTTTTTTACTTTTCCTGTTTCTATTTTCTTTCCCGCATTTTCTGACTTCGGGAAAAGGATGGAGAAAAACAAACGAAAGATAAGCTGTCTTCCATGCCGTCAAAAGAAAGTCAAGTGTGATGGGGTTAAACCGCATTGCGGTCGATGTGTGCGGAAGCAGTGCACTGACGCTTGTGTCTTCACCGCCCCGGGCACCGCCGGTCGACCTCCTAAAAACGCTGTGGTCAATAAACTTGTGCTGACCGCTCGCCACAGTTCGCCATTCTGTAAACAGTTCATCTTTGAAAATCTCGTTCATCCCAACTATTCGCTCCGTGATCCAGTATGCCATTCGCTGGCCATGAGCCTCCAACAAGTGTTTGCCAACATCTTCAAGAATCAACTGACCATGCAGAAATGGACCCCGCAGGACCAATCGCTCATCAGTGCAGGTTCGACGACTCAGATGCATGATCTGCGACCTTATTTTAGCTTGTTGATTGCCGATGTGTGCTGTCTTATGCTGCGTCGATTGGGCGAGATTTCAGTCAATCACTGTGACGACATGTTGATGGCATCCCGAGGATTGACGCTCGATGCCACGGACGACTTTTTTGGCGGCTCTGTCGGTACTACTGCGAACCCACTTCAATCCTTGTCGCCGCAAGAAGCCCTCCGATTGATTGAAGTCTTTTTTACCGTTCATCCATGTTGCATCCTCATCAACAAAACGATGCTTATGCAAAGCTATTGGACAGACACTGCCGATCCGTTACTGTTATCCGTTATTTGCGGTACAGCCATGCACACCACCCGTCTTTTGGAAGGCAAACCGCTCTGTCTGTGGTACGCAAGCTCATCATCGACTCGCAACCTCTTTTTGGATTATGCCTACACTCTGTTGCATAAGACCTCAGGCAAGGCGACGTTCACTCGATTCCAAGCGGTGGTCCTACTGGCACACTTTGAAACCATGTTTGGTTATCCCAAACGTGGATTTGCTCTGTTTGCCGTATCGTACTCGATGGCGGCAGAGCTCGGTGGGTTCCAGCCTTCCTCATCCGTCAGCAATCCCATTGAAACCGAGTTACTGCAGCTCGCTGTCTGGCTTGTTTATATTTCCACCGTAAGAGGGTCCAGTGAGAGTAAGTCAATCGATGAGATTTATCGATCAATCAAGGAATTCACTCACCCACTTTTTCTTCTCTGATATTGTAGTGGGCCATTTACCACGTCGCATGCTGGTCGAGTGTAAAATACCATTTCCCCCGATGAACATTCATCAAAGTGCATCGTACCAGTTTGATTCGGCCAACAACAATGTGCATTTCATGCGAACCTACCCGTATATTTTGGAGTCATTCTATACCAGTGCCGTGATTTCGCATTTTAGCTGCCAACTATTACTGCTTCTTCCTGCGATGCGAGGAAACATATTTGATACCAACAAGCCTCGGCCAAGTCCACCCGAATCGTTTGAAAAGTTAGAGTCCGGTTTGCATGGCGTACTACATGAATTTGCGGCATTCATCGATAAAACCTCGAAGCAGTGGTCTGTCCAACAGTTGTACACGATCGAAACTGTATGGTTATTATATACCATTCAGTGCCAATTTCTTCGACGAACCCTCCGTATGATGAAGGAGAAAAACGCGTTTGCAGATGGGAATGACGACATTTCGATCATCCTGGATAAAGAATGGTATCAACTGCTCGATCCCATTTACCTAGATCCGGCGGATCCAGATGTGGCGGTGCGAATTCAGAATATCCTCCCAACCGTATTCAAGATGGTCGACAAAACGAACCATTTTCTAGCCTCTCCCGCCCATTACTACGATGATCGCATGCTGGCTCCCTCGGAAATCATTCTATCCAGCATCGAAATGGCCAGCCGTATCTTGATTCTCCGGTATCAGTTTGTACAAGAAGCGCAAGTGCTTCAGTATTTACAGACGCTTCGTCAGTTATCGCTGAATCCCATTTGGACCGGCTGGACGGGAGCCGATTCCGTACAACGGCTCATTCAAGATTTTCTTACTGTATATACTCTTCCCGATCAAGCATCTTTTGCTTTGGATACAACCTTATTCAACACCTACTTGAACACATTGCTACAGACCAACAGTTGGCTCAACCTACCAGGTACAGCGATCCCATCCTATTCAAAGTCCAATTCTACCGTCGGCAGCAGTTCATCCGAAAGTAGTCCATGGCTTCCTGGATCTGATCCTGATCTTTCCTTTTTGAACGACCTTTCTCTCTATGCCACCCAACCATGTCCCGCTCCTACACCCCTGGCATTGGAATGGCCCGCGGATGCATCATCCTCAGTAGTGCCGTTTTGCAATGTATGTTATGGTATCCAAGGCTGCGTTTGTGGTAATCGTACCTATCAGCCTCCGTTGGATCTCACTGAAATTTGAATTGTTTTTACCTATCTTGCCCTCCCCGCTATTCATATTTCCACTACCTCACTATCCTTATTTCATTTTGCATCATATATCCTTTTTACATTTCATTCCTAGCATTATACTCATTATCATTCCAAAAAAAAAAAATCATTAAAGAGACGGTTTGCGAATTAAGACCAACGACTGGGAGTCTGGCTATCTGTCTAATTCGTTTGTGAGCAGCAATGTTCAACGGACTTTGAAATCCGCTGCCCTTGGTGACTATGGCAATGCCACATTTGCATGCTTTTAAAGACCCCAACAAGATGAATAAGCCATTGTAAGCATATGGGTTATTTGTATAGACTTTTTTTACGTTGTTTACGTCGTATCAATGCTAAAATAAAGAATATACACATATTTAGGAGGACAATGATCTTATTAAGGCACCAAAAATAACTGGGGACCTCAACCCACAAGTTGCGGGTAATGAAATTCTATTGTATTTATAAATAGAGAGTTTGGGTGGCTGGGCGTCAAGTCTTCGGACCTCTGACACATATTAAAATTGGAACGATACAGAGAAGATTAGCATGGCCCCTGCACAAGGATGACACTAAACTTCTGAGTTGGATTGGTTCTACGGAACCGCATTTTTTTTTTTGCTTCTTGTCAGCAAGTATCGTATCTTTTCTTGGTATCTAAGGTTCACGGTGTCATTTGTGTTTGTGTTCGTATCTGAGCCCTTTTTTATTTTTTGGTTGAATCGGTTAATGTCCACCTTTGTCGGCATATGATATCAGAGTCGAATTATTTTACAAGCTCCTGGGAACAATCTCGAGCTATAGGTCTGCAGATGGCCTTTCTTTCAAATGGATACGGGATTTTGCTGTTTAGCTATTGGTATTCCAGTTCCAAATCAACAATCATATTTTAGCCATGATGCCGTAGAACTTCTTCCTTCAAGTAAACATTTCGTTTTATGGGCCAGCTCATCCGAAAGCTGACCTCTTTAGCCAAAACTACCCTACCAAAAACCTGCTTTGCAAAATCGATGTGGAATAGCCAAAGACATATTATGTCTCCTGGTCAGAAAGAATCACATGTATCTTCTCTTTTATCACCTATGTCTATTGTCCGTGAAATCCGTATCTAAATAGTTCAGCGAAATCTTGAAACGATAAACTACTTTGTCTGGGCGGCAAAATTGTTGTGCAAAAGCAGTTTTATATGGTGGTCACTTTTCATGCTATCATATAAAAATGACAGCTGTGAGTGATTGAGAGTGCTTCTCACTTTTGAGCCGCCGCAGCTTTTCGTAGTTATCATAACTTCAAGATCGCATCCCACAGATAGCTCGTTCAACGGCTGAATGAAATAAAAGAAAATTCTTAGAAGGATAGTTAAAGACGCTCTATGTGAGAACGGGATAGGTTATTATATGTTGGCGAGACTCGGTCAAATTGCTGATAAATTTTATGGCTGAGATCCGAGAAAAACCATAACAGGACGCAGCCCTTATTGCTGTGTTAGGTTGACGGAAGCTGCCATGTCACACAAAAAAAGGGACTGAGGGGATAATCGTATGACAGAGAGACACGGAAGCCGACAAAGTTGCCACTAGGGCCAAATTGACGAAAGATTCCAGTCAAATATATTGTCTGCGCCGTATGATTACAAATGATAACGCGATTTACCAGCATGATGGTCTAATGACTTGAATACATAGGACCATAGTAGAAGATAGTCTGCATGATAAATCCCCATTCATTCAAAATGTTTATCCTGTCAGTCAGCACTTGCCAAATATGAACGGAGTCCGTAAATTACAAGGACGTTTTATGGGAATACTTCATCACTGATGACTGGATCCGTCACTGGCCATAAACTTTATCGTGTGTAAGAATAGGAACACTCTAAAAAGCATCCCTAATTTATGGAGATCATCTAGTGGCTAATGATCACAACATCAGTCCGAAATAGATAAGGACGTGTATCCCACTTTCGGATGTCAACAGGACAACGGCAACATATCATTCGGGGTTTGATGAAAACCATTAACCAAACATGGTAAGGTTGGAGCAAGCTTTAGAGTTACCCATAATTATGCTGTGATGATCGGCTAGCAAGCTGACTGAGAACCTCAAGTGCTTTTCCATCCACCATCCGCACCGCAGACCATACAGGCATCGAATGGTTGACAGCGTGTCCCTGTGAAACAGCATGGTCTTGGTGAGTCGTGATTAATATGCGGTAATGTGGGAAAAAAAGAAGTCTGCACGGTACATCGATAAAATTTGGACATCTGTGCAGCACAAGTGGCCCACTCAATGTGGTTTGCCAGGTGTAGGCTGTGCGCCTTCTCTGGAGTTAGTTGCCATTTTGACTGCCCGAGCGAGATATTTCCATTTCAACAAATCAACGCCGTTTGCTTTGCGCCATCTCCACTGCACAATTCGACAAAGCCCAGATACTCAGATAGTGGTCTCGATGCGTCCTGCCCTATGCCACATCTCAAAGAGAAAAAAATGAGTCCAGAACTGTTGAAAATGAGATGAAGATGACGCATATCTGCTTTTTCTTGCTTGGTTATTAATAGGTTGAGCTAAGTTATGAATTATTTTTATACAGGATAAAGGCAGCAATTATCGATGCTTAGAGTCCCGAGATCATCGTGACATGGATTCACCGCAAGCTTCCAGATTCTCCATGTTTCCAAACGAGTCGATCCCACAGGAGTGTTTGTTTTTTAAGAATGGGGCTTCCTCGGATAAATCGCTTTACACAGAGTCGGACTTGCACATTAATTACGATTCAATATTTGCTTGTTCTGGCCCCAGCTTTCTCAAAAGAAATTGCCAAAGTTTATCTGATTCGTTCGGTGCAGTTCTCTTTCTTATTTTAGGAGATATGGCTGCATCGCCTAGTGTTCTGTATCCTTTATCTCCAGATATTTGAAGCTATGCGGTTTTCTTGTTTATACATTTACAAGAGCTGATGTGGACTAGATTGGGGATTTATTTTTTGCATGCTACTTTTTTTTGTATTTGTTTTATTTTTACAATTGGGCATAGAGATTAATTTACAAAAAGTACAGTGTGTGTGTTTGTATAAAATGTATGTTACATGAAGTGAGGAAAAATGGATGAAGATGAGAAAATGAGGAGAGGTGTTAGTTATTGGTACACTTTGGTGATGATGTCGGTCAAGAGGTTCGAGAAGAGTCGTAGTTCTTTTTCCGAATCTTGTTTTTTCGATTGCCGATAGAGAATGGCTCGGACGAGATCGAGAAGAATGGTGATTTGGAAATCGATTTCTTCCCGATACAGACGATGTTTTTCGTGCAAGGCTCGATCGGCTTTCAGAGTGTGGAGGCGTTGTTTAGTGAAAAATTCCACGATATGATGATGAGCCATGAGCGCCAGATCTGACGGTGTCAAAAGATCGGTCTGGACAAGTGTGCCCGCGAAATGCACCAATCTTCGGACATTGCGACGCACTGATTGGTTGAGAATGCGTGCTGAAGAAGTGAGTTTCGGGCATCGCGAGCTCAGCAGTTGGTGCTGAGCTTGATGATGGTAAAGGATGGTCAAACTATCGAGATGGCGGTTGAGATGATTGACAAGCAATCGATGATGGATTGAGCTCGCTGGTCCCGTTTCGAATAATGCGGTGAGTGTAGGATACAGTGTCGAAAGAAATTGCGTCAAAAGCTGGCCCATGCGTTTCGAGCAGTACCCGACCGGCACCATGACATGATCCAGAATCAGTCCCAACGTCTTGTCAAGATAAAAATCGAGACACGGTTCCCAATTTTGCAATGGCGTTCGATCGTAGATTTCCACGGCCAACCGGTTGGCCACGCTTTGTAAAGTTGCTTGGTGGATGTGATCGTGGACGTAACCGTACCTCAACAGGTAAGCGATCGCAGAATGCACCAGATGGTTGAAAGCGTTCAAGCGGGGTCGTGTCAAATCAATGTTGTATTTATGCCATATGATCTGATGAGCGATGGACCGGCCGTGTCGGGATACGGTTGCCAAGTACCAGACATCGTCAAAACTCAAATAACTTGACACTTTAAGAAGTAGCTCAAGTGGAAGTCGTTTGAGTAGAATCATAAAAAATGGATGAAAATAATAAAGCAAAGAATAGAAGAAAAAGAGAGAAAGGTCAATCCCTTGCAAGGTAAAAACAAGGTATTTGAATAAAAAAAAGAAAGAAAAAGGAAAGAGAAAAAGAGAGAAAAGAGGGAAAAGGAAAACAGAGCAAGGGAACAAGGGAAATGAAAGCCAAAAAAAAAAAAAAGAATGTGTCGATCCGTATTCGAGACTCTTTACGAATTCGGAAAAAGACACCATCCCAAAAGATCTTGTTTCCCCCTTTTTTTTAACATCAGCCAAAAGGACAGCCTGGGTTAAACCCTAATTGGATATGGGTCTCTTGGGCCCAGAACGTTCCTCCAAAAAAAATTATCAAAACAGCTTTTCGATGGCAGCAACACAACAATATCGATCTGTCTTGTGTATAAAAAGTGTATATTTGTGTGTATATGTGTGCATGTAGATAAAATTAGTATTATTTAAATTGTAATAAAAGGTACGGATGTTCTCTCTCTCTCTCTCTATATATATATCGCTCTCTGTCTCTTTGCCTTTCTTCTTTTTTGACGCCTCTAATGCGCTTCTATCGACTGGCTCCATTTTCGAATCGTGTGAACCACCAAGCCTCTCTGACCTTTTTGCACCTTGAACAAGTCCACTCTTTTTTTTCTTGGGATGGGGTTATTGCGAGGCGTGTGAGGCAACGGAAGCAGGAGGATCGACGGCCATTTGATTCGTTTTGTGAAGATAGGCTTCTTGGACATCACGTTCCATAACAGAGACCATGCTTTTTGACATTTCAAAATCATACATATACGTGGTGGATGATTTGGAGATATCGATGGATTGCTGCAGTCCTTGTCGGGCAAAACTTTGATACCGTTCATCTTCATAGTTGATCATTTTCATATAGATGATATTGGCAAACACAAAACCGAGGAGGGGAATATGGCAATCATCGCGCTGCTTGGTCATTTCTTCCAGCGTGACGGTGATGGAGTTGGCGGCTTCCATGCAAACATGGAGACAGTGGAGCGAGAACTGAGTGGAGGGAAATCGATCGGAAGAAAAGAAGGGTTGATACAAGAGGATGCGGTTAATGTTATAATACATATGCACATATAGCACACAGAATCGGGCAAAGGCCGGGATGTCAACGCAGTAATGTCGTCGATCATCGTCCCGACAGTAACTGTGAGAACAGGATGGGGAGGACATAGGGGATGAGGATAATCCAGAGGAGGTCGAGGATGGCGATCCTGTGTTATTCGGGGTTGGAGGGGTCACACCCGGTTGAGCATGTCGTTGCTGCCGCCATTCTTCGGGCCAGGTATCATAAAATTGCTGGAGCTTTTGTTGCATGACAAGCAAATCTTGGGGTAAGGTCGTGTCCGGTTTGCCCGCGGTTCGAGCCGCCACCAGTCGTGCCATCACATCGCTGCGAAGAATTTGGAGCTGAATAAGGTATGACCACACGGTGGAAACATAGTAGTCAATAATTTTCTGCGACAGAGGGTGCGACATGGACGCGGGCGGATTCGTCAAAGGTAAGGGCGAGGGTACCGGTAACGGTGACGGCAAAGGCGACGATGGGAAAAACAAACTCGACTCGAGCGACCTATCGGAATCGCCTTGCAATACACGATACCATGTATTGAAATAGTACAGACACCATACCAACATGTTTTCTTGATACGTCAGTACACGGCCACTGTCGTAGAGCCCTAGTTCCTGCGCCATGGTGAAGGCGATCCATTCGTAAATGTAAATGACACCAGGATACCCGTTCTGATGGTTGCAGTACGATAACAAGAACGCGGCCTGACAATTGTCCAGCGACGGCTTGTCGAAACATTCCGCCAACAGTTCGCGACCGCGTAAGCAGTAGGCCATAGACAGGGCCTTGCCCATATTGTACTGCGGCGCTTCAAACGACGGGCGTTTGCTCCACACGTGAAGCTGGAATGCATTTCGAGCCGCCATTGCACAAATAGCATAAATCAAGACCTTGGATGGCCGTTTGGTCTTGTCCGGATCACGGTAACGGGCCAGTAATTCCACAGTGTCCACAATGGGCAAACGAATGACGGAGCAACACGGGGTTCGGCAGTACAGCTCGATCAAATTATCGGTGAGTTCTTGAGAAATGTCAATTGGATAATCTTGTGGCAGCGCATGCGTTGGATGGGCCCACGAATTCCAAATCGCGAAAGAAAACGTGGACGAGGTGTGAATGGAGCTTGCATCATCCAGTTCGATGGGTTCGTCGGTCATGAGGGAAGGCGAGCGTTCCTTTTGGGGCGATTCGGGTGCGGTGCGGGATGAAATGGTCATGGACCGTTTAAACTGCTCGACCAAAGTGGATAAATCATTAAATGAATTGACGCTACTTTCTACGGAGAGCCCTTTGTTGGTGGAAGTGATCTTCCAGGCAAAAGGAGGCATCGGTTTCATCTTTAACGAATTGTTGGCGCGTATACCGAGATCGCGTGTTTTCTGAGCAAAGTCTTTGGCCATCTTGTCAATCGACTCTTGCCACTGATCCACGACCTTGTTCATGGTCATGAGTACCTGTGACACGTGGTTGGCTTTGGGCTGCGTTTTCGTGTACACACAGTCGAAATGATTGGCTTCGCAACGGCTGCAGCGAGGTCGAGTTAAATCGCACTGTTGCAGATCCTTGAAACATTTGCTGCAAGGATAGACGGAAAAGTTGTTGGTTGATGCCACACGTCGTGCGGACCGACGACGATGGCGTGACTGGGACGAGCTTGACATGGAATCAGCATCGTCCTCGTCGTAATTCATATCATCTTCCTCGGTGGTATCGGACATGAACGAAGCCAACGAACGTGTATCTTCGGAAGCGCCGGGGGTTGCAACACTTTCTCCCGGTGATACTGGTATCCCGGGACTCGTACGAGCTTGCTGGGCTAACCGTTGCAACGAGATATTTCTCGTGCCTTCTCCAGACTTTAACCGATCGCCAAATTTACGAATTTTGTCGCCCAGGGTTTCCGTAGCTTTCTGAAGCTTTTTCAGCGTCGGTGCGGCTTCCGGATAAGTACAATCGATGCCTCGTCGTTGACATCGTGAACAAGCCGGTCGACGACGATCGCAAGCATGTCTGAATCATTCATCAGTACCTCTGTCCAAATGCCAGGTCATCTATTGCCACATTTCCAAAAAAAAAAAAAGATAGTTACCTGAATCCTCGACATCGGAAACAGGCAGCTGCCAGATTGCTGTTGGACGATTCCTTGGATTCATCAGCCATAAACTGCTGCTTCGTTTACAAGTGGATAATCACGTTTTTCAATCGTATGCAAGAAGTAGAAGAGAACAAGAGAATAAAAGAAAAAAAAAAGTCGTTTATGGTTACGTCTTTCGCAATCTCCTTCCACTCAAGTTGAAAAAAATACGGATGATGAAATGAGGAAAATTGAAAGGGATTTTGAAAGGATTGAGGAATTGACAGAGATGATGAAGAATGTTGAGAAGGCAAAGAAGAAAAAACAAATATGGGTGGAGCTGCACCTGAATAAGAATAGAATAGTCCGTTTCATTCGGCCGGAGTGAATTACTTTTCTTTTGGTTGGCTGAATGTGCTATTTTTTTACCCTCTTTTATTTTATCCGTACAACGGCAGAAAGTTTGTGCGATGTTCATTCAATGACTTCTCACTGTGTGGAAATGCTTGGCTTCGCTTTAATAGCAATCTATTCTGAATACAGTCATGTTGATAAATGTTGGTGTTTATCCGTGTTCCCCAAAAGGAACAACACGGCCGTTTTCGGTGGAGCACCAAATAGGAAAAAATCACAACCCCGTCATCTCATCCCCAAGAAAGCTGTACCTGAGTCATCGTTCGTTTTCCTGTCACACAATACTTGGATGGAAATGCAGCTTGTGTGTTGCCATCCAACATTTTGCATCACCGAATGCCACCTTCACATGTCACTCATACCCCGTTGGACAGTGAGAAACACCACCATTTTACCGCATATGTATTCATTGTTCCTTGCATCTTATGCCCACGCTATTTATTTTTTCAATCGCTGCTTTTGTATTTTTGACAGCTTTCCCTCTCCATCAACCGGACAGTGGTTGAAACCCCGCAATACAGGATTTCAGAATGACGATGAACCAGAGCAATTACTGTAGGCCACTTTTCCTAATGATGTCTGCTCTCTACGCAATAATTTCAGGACTGCCAGTTTGTATGTTTGACTTATTTTATAAGTATATTTTATTTGAATTTTCTAGTCCTTAGTCATCGCCATATAGCGCCATATGACACCATCCTCGGCTGCCATACACATAGCGACACAAATATAATGGAAAAATCGAGAACAAGTTTGCCCGTATATAATTCATTCTAACTTACGTACTGATATTTTTTTTCGAGATAAGAAACATGATATCCCTTTCGACCGAAACCCGCGACGTACTTTTAAGCTATAGAAACCAAAGCGCCGGAGCTATTATGGCTAAACACACTATCTTAATGAGGCCAGTCTCTTCAATAAGTCTTTCTAATTAGAGACTGATGTGAATGGCATGCTCTTGCATTGCGTTAGCGAAAGAAGCGAACCTTGGCAAGATGTTTAATAGGGGACAGTGGAGCCAATGGAAATGGTGCATTGGCAAAGACAGGTTTTTGAAGAACAGGCTCTTCAAAAGATACAGATTGTTCGCAACGAAGCAACGTTAGGAGTGCTGACGCTACATACAGGTTGTTTCAATAGACACAGCCATTTTATGCCTCGCATTCGACGGAGATCGCGCCAACAAGAGAAAGTTTCCCCCTGGATCCCCGCACCGGAAAATGCTGGTCCGATGAACTTTTGACCTCGCCGCTTTTGACACTTCAGGTTAAACACACCTGTCATCTCCGGAATTCGAATTCATACTTTAAACGAGAAATGTTCCGTTGCGGTTGGATAATAGACGAAAAAAGCAAATGAAGGCAGCAGGACTCAGATGAGTTCATAATATACTGCTGTCATGGCCAAAAATACTTGCTTCAGTGTTGTGTCAAAAAGGCGTTCAAGCGATCAAAGGCTGCAAAATGCCTTTGATCCGAAGGCCGATGTGTAACTGTAGGCTGCTGAGTCATCGACGCCCTCGGTTGCACGGCCAAAAAACGTTGTGTAATGCAACCATTCCGCAAGAGAAACTTTCTGAATCATTAATATCATTGCATATACCAGCAGTACCATTTGTATCCGAAAATTGGATGTCGTATGTCGTTACCTTTTCCATTCACCATGTTGGAGATTCTTGTTGAAAAAAAAAAAAGAGAATTAAACAGATCGACCCTTTGATAGAGTGATACCCTAATATTGGAGCGCCGAATCGATTGCAGTACCCAGATCGACTCCACCATTTGATCAACTTGTGTTGCCAGTCTTTTTTTGCAGTTGTTCAAGTGACCCTTTTGTCCATCCTTTAGCAGATTCCATAATCGTGTCATTAAACTGGAAAGTGGTTTTTAATTTCTTTAGCGCATTATATTCAGACTCTCCCTAGTTCCAAAAAAAAGTGGGTAGATATCATGCACGCATGTGCATCATTCTCTAGTCGGGATAAGCTTGAAACTCTTCTTTTTTTTTTCTTCAACTTTCTTTCCTTTTCTTATCTTTCAATTCAAATTTCGACTATTGGCTTGTGTTCCTTTTTCTGCTCTTTTTCTTTTCCCTTTCTTGATCCGACGATCGAGCATGACCGTTTCAAACGAGTCATCGCCATGCCGCGATGCTGCTTCTCATGCGGAGGAGAGACGGCCGTTACTGGAAGGCAACGAAACAGACTGTATTCCTACCAACGCTTACATATCGACCACCTCATCGTCGACACCCGCAGGTTGGTGGGCTGAATCCGCTAGTCCACTCCCCGTCGGTTCACTCGAATCGGCGGGGTATTTCCGCACGTCGCCGCCTAATTATTATGGATCGTTGACTTCTTCCTACTTTGACAATATGAGTCCCTACGACGTGGTCCTTGATGACGGTACTCAGCAGAAACGATCCGTGTCCTTGTCGACCATGGCTCACATCACCAGAGCGACCACCACCGGGAACGGGTAGGTAGTGCAAAGTCGGCCTTCAAATCACGCACACTCGGACAACTTAAACCCCGGTTCTCTCCATTCAGTGACAGTAACAGAGAAAGCCCTCGGTTATCAGATACCCCACCACCCCATATTCCCAAGGAAGACGATGACAGCTCTTCCGATTCAGACGATTCCATTGACAACCGATCTTCTTCCAAATGGAGTTTTCTGGCAGCCATGGATCGATGTCGGAATTGGACACTGTCGCCTGCGCATAAAAAAGTGCTTAAATGCAGTATGGCGTACATGATCGGATCGCTGTTTACGTTTGTCCCCATACTGAATCAAGCTATTGGAGGTAGTTGTGTTGCCAGTCATATGGCGGCTACCGTCACGGTCTTCTTTAGTCCGGCCAAATCCGTTGGCGGCATGATAGAGGCGGCCGGGTTCGGATGGGTTTATGTGTTGAGCGCTTTTGCATTGTGCCTGGCGAGTATGGCAACCACCGATTATTTCATGGATCATCACATGTACGTCGCGTCTTGCATGGTCACGTTATGCGTGTGGCTCGCTGGAAGTACCTTTGTCATTGCGTTTCTGAAAGCCAGAGTGAATTCCCCCAGTATCAATACAGGTAAAAAGTCAATCTCGGATCCCGCGGCGACGGTGGAAGCTCACTTTTTTTAAATGTTAATGATAGCATCGTCTCTGGCATTTCTTATCCTGTTTTCCATTCTCGTGCGAGAAGGATCGTGGAACCGATCAGAGTTTGACACGACGAAAATTGAAGCAACGTTTGCCCTCGTAGCCATTGGCACTGTCATCTCCGTGGCCGTATGCTTACTGGTTTGGCCCATTTCAGCCACTCAGAAGCTCAAGTAAGTCGCATTGTTAGGGCCACATTTTTTTCGATGCAAAAGGAGAAGTCAGCGGTCATTAGTGACCTTTCTTTTTTTTTTACTGGGTTTGTCTAGATCCGATATTCATGCCAGTCTTGAATCGGTGCGCGTACTACTGAAGCTGTTGACCAAGACATTTCTACTGGACGCGGATTTGCCCGAATTTACTGCCAATACCAATCTTAAAAATGCCATTACCGCTCATTCCAGTAGTTTCGTGGCTCTCAAAGTGTCATTGCAAGACGCCAAGCGCGAATTTTACAACCTCCAGGTTCGTCAGCATGCCGAAGGATACGAGGCCATTGTCAGCAGTCTGCAACGTTTAGCACAGCATATTGGAGGGCTTCGCAGCAGCTGTGGCTTGCAATTCGAAGTAATGCGTGAAAAGGCGTCCAAACCACGTCCGGCCGGGGTGGTCATGCAGTACGATCCCGAATTTGAAGGATATCATCCTTCCGACAAGAAACAGACATGGAACGTCAAGACAGATCGCCGGCGAAAACGCTTGGAACAGAAGCTGAGACGTGAACAAACATTAATGGATATTGATGGGTATCTGCAGGAAGAGAAAGAGACCGATCGTCTCGGTGTTGCTGATCGAACCGACCGCTCCTCGCCGGCACCTCCGGCGATTCCAGCACGAGTAAAGAGAACTACGGAGGAACCAGCGGAGACGAAAAGAGGGCCTATCAGTCAATTCATTCGTACCATGCGTCCGCCCATGAAATCGCTGGCTTACACATGCAAGCACACCATTGTCCATCTCCAAACACGACTCAAGGGCCAAGCAGACAGCACGACGCCTTCGTTTGAAATGATGCGACGTAACTTGGCCATGGCCATTGTGCTTTTCGAATCGTCACAGCAACAGGCGCTAGCAAGGATGTACCACCGCAAAAAGAAAGAAATGAATCTAAATGAACTTCACTCTCGTTTGATGAAACAGTTCCCTGCCGAAGACGTCTTTCTGGTCTACTTTTTTGTTTTTTGTCTTTTAGAATTCGCCAAGGAGTTGATGGACCTTGTGGGCCATGTACAAACCATCGACCATCTAGGTCCCGTCAAGTATCCCTGGTTGTCGGGATGGCGTGTCTACATAGCTCGATGTTGTAAGCTCAATTCCTGAATAGTCATAGACGGACTGGTTTTATTGACGTATTCTTAGGCGGACAGCGAACAAGATCGAGTGAGGAGACGAACGGGTCCAAGAAGAATGCGAGCTTCCGTCCCAACGATCGCAACACACACAATACGCTGCATACCCCTGTTCACAGCGGCGGCATTCGTTGGGCTCTCATGCGGGTATGGGGATTCTTTACATGGTTTCGGCAGCACACCGTACGCTATGCGGTAAAGGCGACCTTGACCGCTCTGATCTTTTCTGCACCGGCTTTTATTCCTGTCACCCAGCCTTGGTTCCGCACTTTCCGAATGGAATGGATGTTGATTACGGTAAGAGGAGCAGTTCGTTTGCAAAATAGATCCGTACCGAGATCTTGTCACTGACAAAAAAAAATTGGAAAAAGATTATGGCCGTCATGACGCCCACTGTGGGTGGAACGAATTTAATGGCCATACTGCGTGTGTTGGCAACCATCTTTGGATGCTACGTGGGCGCGATAGCTTACGCTGCTTTTCCTGGCCAGCCGGTGATGCTATTTATCATCACGGGGTTGTTTTCCGTGCCCAGCTTTTGGATGATTCAAAACCACAAGCACGGTAAATTTGGCCAATTTTCGCTGCTGGCATACAACTTGGTGGTGCTTTACACCTACAATCACCGAGACGAAACGACCATTGACGTGTTTAGCATGGCATGGATGCGGTGTATCGCAGTATCAATGGGTGTTGTGATTGGTAAAAGTCGAATGATTCGCAAAGATGGACGGTTACAGAGTGTCTAATTTTACTATTGACAGGATTGATTGTAACCACGTATGTGTGGCCCTACGAAGCGCGAAAAGAAGTACGCAAGGGATTATCTGATCTGTTGTTGAGGATGTCGTGGCTGTACAATCAGTTGACCATGGCGTATGCAGAAACATCGGAAGAAGATCATTATGCACGACTGATAGAAGAAGTGTTTGAGTTGCCTCGTCGTGAAGATGTCATTTCAACCGAAGATTTGATCGAGCAAAACAAGGCCAAAGCCGCGAGTTTCCAGAAAATGGAGCTGGCATTGCAGCTCAACCTGCTGGAATTGCAAGGTCTACTTGTGCACGCGCCCAATGAACCACGACTGAAAGGCCCGTTCCCTATTGACAAGTATCAGGCCATGCTGCAGTCATGCCAAACGATTCTTGATAACTTTTTGTCGATGCGCATTGTGATTCTCAAAGACGTGTGGGCACTTCACGTTCGTCGCGATTTCTTGCGACCGGCCAGTCACGAATTCAAAATGATGACGGGCAATGTACTGCTCTACTTTTATTTGCTAGCCTCGGCATTGCAATTGAAGACGCCTTTACCACCATACCTTCCTCCCGCAGAAGAGTGCCGAGAAAAATTGATGGAAAGACTGCAGACGATGCCGACGGTGATGCACTCGCCGTCCCAGGACGTAGATACGGACGAATGTTACATGGTGTACTATGCTTACGTCGTCCTGATGGAAAATATTATCCGTGAGCTGGACCAGGTGAGCCTCTTTTTTTATACGATTAGATCTGTTTGAATATAGAAGCAAGGTGCTGACATCTTTCCATCTTAGGTGGGACATCATTTACGTGAATTATTTGGCTCCCTGGTGCCAGAGACGCAATGGTCACGTTGTTTTGCAGGATAACCATGGTGATTGTGCGCATGCGATGGATTAAATCGAATACCAATAAACTGCAGCAAGCAATTGGTTGTGATGATTATTGATCGTAAACAAATTGTTGGGGCTTCAATAGTGGGGGTTAATCGATCGTGGGCGAGCCCATTCCCCAGCGAGGACAGACACAGGTTACTTTTCCATGGAGTGGACAAAGATAGTTAATATGTGGTGGAAGAAACGGTAGGAAGGAAAAGGGCTAAAAAAATTTACGTCAAGCTAGCAAGATGGCGGTCGATATCAAAATAAGCTTCGACATGAAAGGTTGAGAGAGAGAGAGAGTAACCATTATATTGAGGAGAGGAGCATTGTCTTTTGGCACGTGACACGATTATCCCTATTGAGCAGAGAAGTGTGCGTGCAAAAATGGATACGCGTTGGAACCAAGAACAAACAAACAAAAGATATTTCGAATCAAGGTTTCGGCGCGTTTTCCAGGATCCGACGCATTCACAGATCACATGCTCCGACGCCATGAGTATGTCATTCCAATACATGCCCAAAATAGATTCATTTTTTGCTCTCTTTTTTTTTCTTTCTTTCTTCTGAGTGTCATGCAGCAACCGTACTCATCACAGCAGCAGCCTTATCCGCCACCATCTCCTTCTCAGAGTCCATACTATCCGCCTCCTCCGCAATCGCAAAACGGTTATTATCCGCCACCGCCTCAAGCACAATCCTATTCACCACAAAAGTCGTACTCACAACCACCGTCGTACGCGCAACAGCCCAATCCGTATTCGCAACAGCAAGCTCCGTCCGGACCTTATGCATCGAATCCACAAACAGCCGAGGATGGCGGTGCAGGCAAGGTCCGTCCATCAAGCGGGTATAAAGACGTGTGGGCCGCTATACTGTGGCTGTGCAACTTGGGCGGCTTCATCGCGCTTTCCGTCATTGGATTAGGCGTTTATCACGGCCGCACCGGTTCGTTTGGCGGGACACCGTCGGCTACCACGTATTCAGGCCTCACATTCGATACTAGCACGTTGGCCATCTTTGGATTTGCCGCGATTGTTGGCTTTGGTATCAGTTTTCTCTATCTCATGCTTGCCAACATGTAAGACTATTTTTTTTTCTTCTTTGTTGAAGGTTCGGCAGCAGAAGTACAGCGGGCTCATCTTTTTATAGATTTCCAAAACCATTGATTTACATCACGCTCATCGGCAGCATCATTGTTTACTTTGGTGTCACCATTTACTATTTCACGCAACACTATTACTCCGCTGCCATTGTGTTTCTGATATTTTCATGCCTGTATTTGTGTACGTTCTGGTGGTGGAGAAGCCGAATACCATTTGCCACAGGTACATTTTCAACCATGGACAGAAGCCCAAATTGATTCATTGATTGATTGATTATCGAATTCTTCATCACATAGTCATGCTACAGACGATCACATCCATTACCCGTCGATATCCTAGCACCATTATTGTCGGCCTCATTTCGCTTATTGTCCAAACCGCATTCAGTATTTGGTTTGCTCTCACTGTGATTGGCGTGTACGAGGCATACTACAGTACCAGTTCCAACAATGCACGTCTCAACGTGGCCATGGTGTTCCTTGTGTTTTCTTTTTACTGGACATCCCAAGTCATTACCTATGTCACGCATGTCATTCTCGCCGGTATCTTTGCGACAGTTTACTTTTTGGATAATTCCGTGAAACACCCAATCTGGGGAAGTACACGACGCGCTCTAACCACCAGTTTTGGATCCATTTGCTTCGGCGCTCTGATTATTGCGTTTGTGAACTTTGTCCGATACTTCCTCAGTGTGGCGCGTGCCAACACGGACAGTCCCATCCTAGGGTTCTTAATCTGCATTGTGCAATGCATTGTGGGATGTTTCCAAGGATTACTCGTAAGCCAAGGACGAGAAATCAATCGGAAAATGACAATGAGACTGATGATGTGAACTGGTATAGGAATGGTTTACGTATTATGCTTTTAGCGGTGTGGCTATTTATGGCATGGGATTCATTCCCTCGGCAAAGAATACGTGGCGCATGATCAAAGATCGCGGTATTGAAGCCATGATTAACGACAACTTGATCGGCAATGTCCTGTTTATGGGTAAGATTATCTGCTTTTATCAACGATTTACAAGGATACTGACTACGGTGATGCGATATGGTGTGATATGTTTTCAAGGTGGATTACTTGTTGGCGTTTTGTGCTCGCTGTTAGGCTTCATCTATCTGAAAGCCGCCAATCCTGCGTACAACCAAGGAGGTGGTATGACCCCCGTGGTTGTTTTGGTATGCTTTTTATTGGGATCTTCCATGTTTTCATCCATTGCTACCGTGATTTCCAGCGGTGTGGCCACCACTTTCTTATGTTTGGCTGAAGATCCTGATGCTTTGCGACGATCCAAGCCTATGCTGTACGAAAAGGTATGTTGTAACTTTTGGCTCACTGGTCTATGTACTCGTTTCTTCTTTTTCGGTTATTCACTGACGATTAACATGTGTGCATATTAGATTCGCGAAACATGGCCTCGCGTTGTCCAAGGTGTCTAAAGCATGCTGTCTATATAATTTCCCCCTAATCATTCTTTCGTTATTTGTCTCCACAACAAAAACTACTATTACATTAATCGCTAGTCGACTAATAACTTCAAAATTCCAAGTAACATGTTGAATTTTAAAGCCTGTTTATCTGAAATCATTGAATGGTAAAGGGTACAAACACTCACCCTTACATCGGTTGCCGTTATTTTTTTTCTACCGCCGATGATGCTTGAACGATCCTTTGACGTTAAGCTAGATCCGCCAACTAGCTTGACTGAACGGTTAGTTTAAAATGACACACTTGATGTACACTGAGAGATATTTATTTCTGTTGCAGGTCGCAATGAAGGATATGGCTTCCCAAACTACCACAAAAACACCAGTCCACAAACAACAATTAAATTAAATTAGGTGACAGTCTGATAAGCGTTCCACACTCTTGCTTCTGCATGACGCGCGACTGATCCCTTTTTTTTATATATATCATGTTGCAAGCAACGCAGACGCAAACTGTGAATTATCAAAGAGAACGTGAAGTCTCCTTGGCGCTTCCGTCCTTTCAGAAAGTGGGCGGCAGCAATGTCGGATCACGAATGACATGCGTGCAGATTCTCGATTATTATATGGAAGGCATTCGTTCCACCACCACCGATTTGTTGGATCTTGTACTGGATGGAGGCAATCTCGACATTACCATATCCTTTTTTTACTGACATTAGAGGCAAAAAGACGATGAGCTCCTGTGCTTCTATCCTTAACTTGGAATGTCGCTTTTTCAATACTTTAGCAACCGTATTAATGGACTTGAATGTGAAATCCACGACTGGATGACCGTATCGTTAATACAGGTAGGCTGAAAATCGCAAGATATACATTGATTTCACAGATCAACCTTGTGCATCCATCAAGACTATGCAATACTGTGGATTCAAGCTCAAGAATATGTGTCACAGCCAAACTGACCGCGAGTGTCAATGTGAGTGCCGCAACACGCCGCATAAAAAGGACCAAGACTGAATTTCAATGACCGCACCCAGCATTGATCTTTTACGTTCCAAAGGCTTTCATCACCACGCCCCTGTCGTATTTGCTGGAAAGATCAGTGCCGCAAGGTCGACTCAAAAGACTTCACATCTATCTGGACTGGGAGACAAAAAATATCCTTTTTTTTATGATACGTGAATGACGTTGTGTGTTTAGCTCTACATGTCTATATTACCCTTGACTATTTTTCTGTCCGTTTTTACAGCTGCAGCCGTTGAGAAGTTTGATGGAATACCCAAATGAAGAGCTGATACAATACGTTGACAATGGATTTTCCATCATATTATGTCAGCGCATGAGTCAAATGTACCCACTCATCTTTTCCAAACTCTACGTTCAAGTAAGTCGGCTATCATCGCTTAGAGTACCCTTGGCCTCTCGGCTCATTCATCATTTTTTTTAACAAGCGTTTGGCGACGTCGACGAAATACATTCCTACCATGGCGCGATCCCTGCAACGCATTGCAGATATTGCAAAGACGAAATCAGCCACTGATTTTTACGCGGACACGCGGGAAATGATTGATGTACAGCTGCATGTGAGCTAATTTGGCGGAGGCTGACAATCTCGTTTTTAGGCGATTGCTTCTCGAACGCGGATGTTGAAACCGGAAGAAGATCCCGCCAACCCCGACTTCTTCTCGAATACCGTCATTGGATTGTATTGTGCTACCAAAAATATGTCCACGCTACGTCAATGCGCCAAGGTAGAACAAAAAAAAAAACCACAAACCCACCCACCGGAAATGGTTTGTGCTCAATCAATGATACAGAGGCCTAAACCACCGGCACTTCATACCTCTACACCGTCGAGCCCACCAGATGCGCATGATACGGTGGCCAATCTGTGGTCCGCTTTCCGCTGTGACGTGGAGCCAATTCCAGAACTCTCAAATTCTCAAGCGGATGCCAGTGAAGACGAAGAGCTTAATATCGATGACCCTTTTATCCATGACTTGTAAACTGTCGAGCAACCATTGTAAAACAGTGCAGAACCTAAAAAAAATAGCCTGACACAGCACCTAGTCGAACCGGAAAATAATGACAGAAATATTTGAATTGGCGAGTTTCTGGGCTTTTTCTAGGATGTTGTCGGGTTTTTCTTTTTTTTTTTTTTTCTTTCTCACACTTGTTATTCTTTGTTTGTTAATTTTATTATGGCATCGATAGCGGAAAGAGGACTGGCTCAGTTAAAGTCATTGTACAGCAGCGAAAAAGAATTATCAAAACTTGGAAACGACCTTCTTCGTCGTTTAGCCAACAAGATTGAGATTAGGTAAAATAATTCATGCTCGTGTTTATGCCAGCAGACCGAAACGGCCCATACCATAATCCACTGAACTATTCCGTCTACACCTTACCTTCTTTCTCTTCCAGTGAATCAGATATCACAAAATTAAAAGTGGATGCCATTGGTAAATAACCATACCATAGAGTAACGAACGAGAGTCATGGGCTGACACGGATTTGTACACTTAGTCAACGCGGCGAACAATTCCTTACTAGGAGGTGGAGGAGGTAGGTCTTGCAGTTTTTGGATTCCATAGATGAATTTAATTTCTCATCACTTGTTTCAAACCGATAGTTGACGGAGCCATTCACAGGTGGGACAAAACAAAATCAATGCACTCGAATGCATGAGTTAAGCATTTAGGGTTACAGGGCCGCAGGACCGAAATTGTTGGAAGAGTGCAGAACCTTGCACGGATGCGCCGATGGAGTGAGTCATCACACTAGACCCTTATTACAACAACAATAACCTTACTAACCGAATGATTGAGTTAGGATGCTAAAATAACAAAAGGTGCAATTACGCAGTGTTTAAACGCACGAAAGCCATCAACTAACACAGAGTTCTTTTTCCTTTTCTCCTATGCTTAGGCTACAATCTTCCAGCTAAACGTAAGTCGGCTGAACCGATATTTGCCACGACAACAGTGAATTTATGTGGGATCAAAATATACGTTTTAGATGTGATTCATACGGTGGGACCACAACAGCAGCAAAAAAGCGTTTTGGAAAGCTGTTACCGCAAAAGTTTGCAAGTGTTGAAAGAGAATGGTTTGCGGTCCATTGCGTTTCCATGCGTAGCTACAGGTGTTTACGGCTATGATAATGAAGACGCGGCCAACGTTGCACTCGGTCAAGTCCGTCTCTTCTTGGAACGTGATGCTCTGGCCAATGAAGATAATGTAAGAAACGTTGTCACAAAAACAGGTCTCTTTCGGGTTATCCAACTCATCAAGCATCATTTTCGCTACAGATTGACAAGGTGATTTTTGTGTTGTTTAACGACAAAGACAAAAAGATTTACAAAGGTAGGTTGACAGCCACACAGTCATCATCACCTATGTAAGGAATGATGAGAGAAGCCTTTCTCCTCTTTTGCTAACTGAGATAATGCGATAGAATTGGTGCCAGTGTACTTTCCTGGATGGCAGCTGAATAAATAAATATGCTGTTGCTTTTTGCTTTTATTACAAAGGAAAGAAAAAAAAATGATTCTAGTTCTTCTTTAATGTCTCTTCGACACCAGGCTATCAAAAGAAAAAAAAAAGCCATAGTTAGTCCTCTGTCGTCCAACCTATCAACTGTCCGCATAACTATGTACTTACGTTGGATCGCGTGGAATACATGCTTTCTACGTTTTTCTTGATGTTGTCAAAATTGTCTTTGACTTCTTCCTTCTTTTCCACTGCTTCCTCCTTCTTTACACTGACTTGCTGCTTCACCTCTCGTTCAAAACCGGCAGCCTGGTTCTTGAGGGCATCGGCGTTTTGTTGGATCTGTTCGCGAAGCTTGTCTGTGTTTTGTTGGACGGTGCCTTTCAATTGAGCGACCGTTGCATCAACCTGCTGACGGAGATCGCACACGGTGTCTTTGACTGATTTATGAGCCGACTGCAGAGGAGGGTATTTGCTTTCGAGCTTTTCCAATTGAAAACACACGTTGTGAGTGGTCTTGGGGAACAAGTAGTACGAAGTGCCGGCAGCCAAAGCAGCAGAAGTGAGGAAACGCAACACGAAATTGCCTAATCCATTCACGCGTGTTTGTTGTGAGTTGATCTACATCTCATCTTGTCATGATTTTTGTTGAAGGAACTTCACTTACGTCTACGGGCAATAATGGTACCAGCCAATCCAGCGACACCGACAAAGAGGACGTTGGGCCAGAGTTCTTCATCTTTTGCGATAGTCTGATCCACGACAGCTAAAAAAAGGTTGAACCATGGAAATCAGACTCCAACCCGGTGGGTATATCTATGACTGCTGTTTCTTGAACATACCGTCCACATCGTTCTCGAACTGGTTCCATCGTTGCTGAATGTTGTTCAAGTGAGACTAACCCGTTTCAGTGCAACGTTAGCTACCATAATCACGGATATGTAGAGCTAATGTACCTTTCCCTCGGCAACGGTTTCGTCAGCATATTTTTGGGCAACAGCAAAGTGTTCTTCCAATTTGGTAGGTGCTTCGATGAGGACCACTTCAGGCTCAGGATCGTCATAAATGCTGAGCTACAGAGTGAGAAATGGTGACCGTATTAGTTTCACTGTCATGGGTGATTGATGATTCGTTTTTCGTGCACAAAGATATTTACTTTGGCGGGTTTACGTTCGTCGGCGTAGACGGGAGACCGGGAAACGGAAGCCACTACGACAGCACTGGCAGCAGCTGTAGCCAACTAAGTCAATAAATCCAGTCAGTATTTTGTCATCAGAATGTCGTTGGTATTTGAGTAACGACGACGGTTACCGATTGTCTCAATGTAGAAGAGAACATTGGATTGTCGTAGAAAAAGCGTGGATGTGTGGAGCAAGCACACAGGAAAAAACACAAGGACCCACCCACCCCGATTTTCGCGCGAATATCGACGTCACATCGTCATTACCGATTAATAGAAGATTGCGCGATTTTGATTGGCTCCATCGGGCCAACGGATGAATCACTGTGTGTGGCAACAGCAGCTTTTTGCAAGACCAAAAAAAAAAAAAAAAGAAAAAAGCCTGTTGTTGACACGGGTGTTGGTTCCTTACGTGTAAACATGGTACTGTCCCCCCTTTAGTGGATATCTCCTGATTATGATCCCGAATGCTTCTTTCTTCTTTTTGGTTCAAGCTTGCGATCCCCTAAAATAGTAGAGAAAGGAAATAGGAAGGAGCGAGGAAAAAAAAAGGCCCACACAGAAACTAAAAGTCTATGTGAGCTCAGTGGAGCTTGCAAAAGAAAACAAATTATGAATCCACCCCTCATAAACTTTCAGATTTCCTCCTTGAATGATCTTTTTGTCTGGTGCTTCTTGTTACTCGTTATTCTCTCTCTCTCTCTCTCTTTCTCTTCCGCTCCCTCATTCGTCTTTCTTATTATTGGGCTTTTTTTATATATATATTGTCCTGCTATTGCCTTGAATTGACTCTCGTTCCAACTTGAGCATCGGCTAAACCGACAGCATATCCACTCTTTTGAACTTACATAAAAAGAAGCTTCCCCCCCAAAAAAAAAAGAGTTAATCTAGCGTTCATGGGCCATTTTTTAAGGTTGACTCCAAGCGGTATTATCCTGTCGCTTTTCTTCCTTCGAGTCGTCTCGTGTCAATACAACGTCAAACGCATGGTAGCAGGTAGGCGCGTAATTTAATGCTATTGTCAACGAAAAAAAAAAAGGGCATTCATCAGATTGACAATTTCCATGGATACCATTGATGTTTTTTTTTCTTACGTTCTGTTACTGTGAAAAAGGTTCATGCGGTCACAATGGGAACTCTGATACTATATGTTCACCAAAAACCGGAGATACTTGGCAAAACGGCACTTGGTATCAAGTAACATGGAATCCGTCGTAAGTTCTTTGAGATTAATATTTTTGCTTCTTCCAAACATACTATTTCTGGCCTCTTTTTTTTTTTTTTTGTTCAAAATGTAATTGATGGATCAATCTTTTTTTTCCCTTGTTTTGCTTCCTCTTTTTTTGTTCTTTGTTTTCCTATATAGCTATCCTACCTACGTATCGGCTGTAAGTGTTTTTTATAATTATTGTTGCTTATTGACAGGAAGGAATAGGGGACATATTTAATGGAACAAAGAACTAACCAAAAAATTATTCATAGTCATCGTTGGATATTTATGCATATTATGTAGAACATTATCAAAATATTCCTGTCAAATCATGGCGCAATGTCAGTGTCTCCAAAGGCAACTACGCACTGCTCGTCGATGACACGTGGTTCTCGCGTCCACTCAAGCCAGGATCGGCGCCTGTAGTGCACGATTGCCTGCTGTACATGGTCGCATCAGGAATTAACCCCGAAAAGGAGATGAATAACTTGTATTCTGATTTCCCATCTCCAGTCCACATCAATATTGCGCGTAAGTGGATCATCCTCTACGGGTCTAAATGTTTCTTATCATGATATTGTGGACTCACTTTTTTATGCATGGCAGAGGTCGCCTCTTCATCTAATACCAATCATTCTACTACTGTACCATCAGACCTTGAATCAACGTCCAATAGCGACGACGTTGGAACCAAAGCTTTACAACCTTGGGTGATCGCCATTATCATCCTCTCCTCTGTTGCAGTTCTCATAGCATGCTTTATTATCATTTGGATTTTATGTCACGTAAGACGGCGAAAGCTCGTATATGACGAGAAAGGAAACGGTAAGCAAGTCGATTCCGTTGTTTTATTCCCCTGTTAACACATCAATGCTTCTTTCCGAATATCTGCATTGAGCGAGTCGATTTGACTTGTTATTGTATAATATCTCCATTGACCCGTGATTCTTTTATTTTTAGATTTATACAGCTCCGTGAGCAGCACTACATTTCCATTGACGCCTATTCAGATTAAAGCCGAGTGTTCTCCTGCCGCGCTCAGCGAACTTCATCCTTCGGATATCGAGTCATTGCCACCACCGATTATGCGTCTTCACCAGGATGCAACCACGTTATCCGCGGATCGAAAAGACTCGGTGCGATTCAAAAATTACAGCCAGCCCTTGGATGAATCAGACAACTACATCATCCGACCGCAATCGGCCATTTCATGCAGCAACGTCTCCAATCGATCGGACCCTCCTCTCACGTCTACCGATGCATTACTTATCGCAGACACCTTTCGACAGCGCATGCGACGTCCCGAGTGGCAACAAGCCCAAGATCCAGCGCACAGTAAAGAATTCCTTTCTGAGGAAGATGCAAGACAGAAACAAGAAGAACAGGAAGAAGAGGAAAGACGGAAAAAGCTGAGTCAAGAATTGCTAAAAAAGGAGCTTGCTGCTGAAGGAACGCTGATGAAGAAAGTGGGCAAGCGAGCCAATCTGAGCGCCATTATTTATCATGCAGATGAGCTGAAATAAAATAAGCCAATCCATTCCTCCTCATAAACCCTTTTCCAATAAAATATACTATAGTGCCAGTTTTTATGTATGCAGTGGGTAAGGTACAAAAAGAAAATATCATGCTTGCAAAGGTGGTCGTGCTGTAGGGGCTACGTGGGGTCGACATCGGTTGGGTGAATCGGTCAACTTTGTGGTGTCTTGTCCATCCCAATCCTGTACTGTGATCATGGGTAAATTTTCGTTCAATGGGTCGCCTTCACTACATACAATTTGAAGAACAGGCGCTGCGGTTGTTGATGCTGTTGTTGATGTTGGCGAACGAACGAGGTTATCATCTAGACAAAAGTCATCATCCAAGTCGTCGTCATCTTCGGTGCTTGCCACGGCGTGAATGAGATCGGATGCTAATACATTTTGATTGGGTGGATCTTCTTCTATTTGCTGCCAGTCATCAAAAGGCGAGCCGGGAGGGGAAATTAGAAAGTTGCGGTTCATATTGGGTACTTGTAGTTGGTTCAGTGCAGGGTCGCTGTGCAACGGGGAATGCTACATCAATGGAGCAACTGGAATGAGTGGATGGATTCTTCCGTGAAACGATGACGGTTGGCATCTTACCTGACCGTAGTACACCCGGATTTCTAAGGGTTCCAGGACACCGCATGTATTGTCCGTCCATGTCACCCACGATCGATCGAGAGCATTTTTGGCCCGCATGGAGCTTAATGTGTCTTCGTAGATCACCATAAACCTTCGAAAACTCTTCATCGCAATAAACTGGTGAAGATCGCCAAATGTGGCACATAGTTCACGAATCTCGCAGATTGCTTCTGGAGACTGGAACACTTCCTTGGGTATATCTGGAATTAACAGTGTATTTGTTGCAATGCTTTCAGCGTGAGGCATCGTTGCCATGTTATTAACAAAAATACAAGAAAAAGTAAAGGAAAAGCAGGGAAGCACGGATGAACCCAAAGAAAATTTAGACCCAAAAAAAATGAGTCTGAAAAAATTAGAGAAACGGTTTCATGGGAATCCCCGCGTTCATGCAGCACACAAGATGACCATGACGATAGAAAACTAACTTTTGTCATTTGTTCTTCTTTTTTTTCAATCATCTTGTTCTTCTTGCTCTTCCTCATTTTCTTCTTCCGCTACTTCTCGTACTTGCTGCTGAAGATATAACGTAGCCAGTAACTCGCTGGTAGTAGCTTCCTCTGTCGGCTTATCATCCCGTACTCTGATAAATCGAGGAAATCGTAAAGATAAACCTCGATCCTCTTCTATACGGCCAATGGCACCTTTATGCACAGGGCTCACCGTAATATCAGCACCTAATCATCTGTGTTACAAATATTATGCGCAGAGAACTACAGCATTGAGATTACCTTTGATCTCCCATACTTGACATGCATCAAACCACACTAATTGAAGCGGTGTGAGATCATACCTCTTTTACAGTAACAACAGCCACCATCCAAGTGATGCTAGTGCCACTTTACCATTGGGTTGAAGATCGGTAACATAGTCATGGCGAGGGGTATTCAGTACGCGGAGATTTTCCTCAGAGTAATAATCCTTCATCTCCTTGTAAAATTTATCGCTGAAACCTACATCCATACCAACCATTCGTACGGCGAAACCATATCAGCACACTATAGAGACCATAAACCGTTATGGGATTCTCCATTTTACCTGACATGCATTTGCATACGCTTTCCAACGTCTCGTTCTCGGGGTTATAGCAGGCCAGCAGGATGGGAGAATACCATCCTGCTTTGCGACCGCTACCGTACCAAGCGCCAATCGGCTACCCGTAATATCATCATTTAGATTATCATAGTTCGGTAATTTCCACTTTGCATTTTCCTCTTACAACAAGATCCAAAGAATCTCCCACACCCTCGACGTAATCTTTCTTCACTTTAAGCCAGCTTTCTACGCGCTTATCTGGAATGGCAATGGGTTACTATATAGCGCTGTAGCCGACCGCTGTATCCGACCACTATAGTGATGCCATCACTTACCAGGTTCATAAGTTGACAGTAACCCTTTTGCTCGAGCGCTCGGTTCCAAAGATTTTGGAGGATGATCCAATAATTTGACCATGATTCCTTCGCCGCCGGATCCAATACTGGCTTTGAAGAAGGCTTGGACCTTGTCCTGGTCCGTCGTAATGCCAGTAGCATCCATCGATTTTACAAAATCAAACCGATGCTTCACACGGACAAATCGTTCTTTCAACAACGTGCGGCGTTCGCGAAACGATAGTTGCAGCAGCGATTCATTGTTCAAGTACATGAGATCTAAGTGTATTCTCGACCATCGTCAAGCTCAGAATAAACGTTGTCACTCAACCCTTCATCCGGGCTTACCAAAAGCTAGTACACACTATTACTGTTTGCTTAACATCAGAGTCTCAGCCAATTCTCTCTATTTGAAAGCTTACCACTGGCACCACGATCGTGTCAAGCGTCACGTTTTTACGCGCTCGATTGCTCAGAGTCTGAAATGGCTGGATTTCTCCCTCGCTATTCATGGCCACTATCTCGCCGTCCATGATAAAGGAAGTGGTACCCTCGGACCGAATCCGCGGTAGAACCTCGACGATATCTGGGTACTTGTCGGTCATGTCCTATTCAAAAACGCCCAACTGTATAAGCATATGTATTGATCTCATCATCCTTCTGTGATGTTTCTGGGTGATTCATGTTTCAATCTACCTCCAAGTGTCGACTAAAAAGCTTGACGCGGCCCTGATTGTCCATGTGAATCTGAGCACGTTGTCCATCGTATTTGTACTCGCATGCAAAGTCTCTATCTTTCAGCTTGATGAACATATCCGTCAAATCTCTTGTGATTTGTCCCAACATGGGTCGCAACGGGACACCTGTCAATAACCGCGTTAAACCTATGCTAATCAAGCCAACGGTCACTATTCGGCTTACCAACGGTGATACCGCATCGTTCGAATACGCGTGAGACATCTTTGCATTCCATGAGCCACGGCACAATCAGATTCCAATCAGGACATTGTGCAAAGCACTCCTTCAATCCGTTTTCGGCTTGTTTCAATTTGGTGGCCAGGACGTCTTTGCTGTCATCGACTTGTCGGACAAGGTCTCCTGAAATTGGCCACTGTCCCACATCGCTCTGCATAAATACACACGCACGGGCCAAGGCGATCAGCACTGTGGTGCGCACGGCACCGATACGCAAATGTGCTACCAGTGTGCGCACGATGAACCGAACCTCCTCACCTACAGCTGAAAGTAATAGTCGTCGAACCAGTCCCGCTTTGGTATCCACGCCTCCTTTGCCCTTGACACCCGCAATTGCATGCAACGTTTGGAACACTTCACGTACAGTCAATGGTTTCGGTTTCACGATTGTCCGCACAGACGCTTTGGCTGCAAATGCCACATCCCCCCAGTCTCCGTAACGCTCGTACAGCTTTCGCAGTTTGGTCTGATTCACGCTCGAGACGCCCCGTAATGCTTTTGATAAAATCTGTGGACCGATCCCCAATTCGAGGCCCTCAAAACTGGGCGCGATCGCATTGGAACAAAGCCATATGGCGGGAAGAATGTCTTGAGGGCTATGCACGATAATAACGCGAAGCATATTACACATGATATTCAGCATTACCGTCCTAGCCGATATCGATGATACCATGGAGAAAACAGACGCAAGAAACGAGTAGGGAGCGCGTCCGTGCCATTGTCCGGTTCCAGGAAACTGTTGGGGATCAAACACCATGGCATCCGACTTGAGACTCTCCATGGTTTGTTGCTCGTTTTCCGGTTCAGGATTCTTGTGGTGAAGAAAGACAAGTGGTTCTGATTCGTCGCCTTCTTTATCTTTATCTTTTTCATCATCTTCTTCTTGTTCGTCTTGGTTGACGGGAGCACTAGATGTCGCAGGGACTTGATCGGCTAGACTCGCGGCAATGGCGGCTGCCATATCTCTGTCAAAGGCCAAAGTAGATTCGGATGGTGATGCTTCGGGGACATTGGACGGTGATACTGCGGTGTCGTCTTTTGGCGTCGACGTGGGTGACGGTTGAGCATCTTGAAGTTGTTTCTTTCGTTGACTCTCAAAAAAGTACTCTAATCCTCTTTTGGGCCCATTGTTCCCCTTTTGTCGTTTCATGATCTGCAACACATAAAGGTTCGGAATTGAGGAAGTAAAAATCAGAAAAAGCAGAGAAAAAAAGAAGGGAAATCGATGGTTGTAAAAGGACTCATTCTTTCAAACGATCGTTGCATTCTTGGCTCTTTTTTCTTTTTTCCTATCGTTTTTGCTAAAGGAAATCCCCCTCCCCCGTTTATCACTCCACAACCAAAAAGTGGCAACACCCAAGTGATTTGATGTTTTAGATTCATGTGTATTTCTGAGCAATTGTGTTACATTCTTTGAGAAAGTGATTTCCAGAGAAGGCTTAAAATGACGAAAGGGTAGTTTACTGATCCTTGACCTTCTTGGTACCACGGAGAAGACCAGTGCGGCGGGCAGCGATCAAACCGACCTTCTGACCAGCGGAGCTGTCGCGAGCGACAGTAGAAGCGTGACCAATGTGCTGATGGTTACCACCACCGTGAGGATGGTCGACGGGGTTCATGGCAACACCACGGGTCTTGGGCCAGCTGTTGCGCTTGACTCTGTACTTGTGGTAGGCACGACCGGCCTTCAAGAGGGGCTTGTCAATACGACCACCACCAGCAACGATACCAATTGCGGCACGGGAAGTGGAGGGAACGATCTTCTTGGCACCGGAGGGAAGACGGATACGGGTCTTGCCATCTTCACCGTGACCAATGACGGTAGCGTAGTTACCAGAGGTACGGGCAAGAGCACCGCGATCACCGACCTTTTCTTCGACGTTGCAGATGACGGTACCTTCGGGAACGGAAGCAAGAGGCAACACATTGCCAACGTTCAAGGTAGCCTTCTTACCAGCATAGATGAACTGGCCAGTGTACATGCCTTCGGTGGCAATGAAGGTTTCAGTGCGAAGCTTGTACTTGTAAGGATCACGGAAGACAACCTACACAAAAGCAAACCGTTAGCACGTTAATTTCCATTTTTATCCGCATTCGAATCCACATTCGTCCGGCGTCTGGTCCATTCTTTCTATCCCTCTTGATTATCAACACCATAACCCGCATTCTCCTCTCCCTGCATCCCTGATTTTTGCTGCTAATAAAGTGCGTAGAAACGGGCCGTCTGTCTGAACTGAACTGTAAGAATCGAAAAATGAGCACTCTACCTTGGCGAGAGGAGCACCACGACCAGGATCGTGAACAATCTCCTTGACAATGCCGCGAATATAACCGTGACGTTCGGCGAAATCAAAGACTCTGAGCTTGGCAGCACCCTTGCGACCGACGGTGTGAGCCTTGAAAATGCTTCCGGCACCCTTTCTCTGAGCACGAATGACACGACCCATGGCTAGTTACTATTGAAAATCGATTTTCTTCGTTAGTATATATGTCGTCTATGTTCATCCATCCCCTGTACAAGGATAACATATCGAAGTCCAAGGATGGCTGATGATCTATAAAGGATGGGCATGGATTTGGTACTTGCCTGCTAGTGGGAAAAAGAGGATGGACGAACTACAAGGTCAATAGCCACTTTTGTTCAGCCGGATGGATGCCCCGCCCCACCGGAGGCTTTCCTCCTCCTTGACTGGACATCTTTCACTAGTCCGACCCGGACCAATTTTCCGCTGCGCGGAGAATGAAGTTACGACATTTTCACTGACAGAAACACCTTTTGCACGGCTTTCTCGTCGTTCTCTACAAGAGGCTGGAAAGGACCGATTGAGTTCTGCTATGCATAGACCTTGAGGAGCTCATAGTTCGCAAAACAAGTTGCTATTACTAGAGTCAAGAGAAGATCATGGTTCGGCACTTGATTTCCCGAATTCCGCAGCAAAAAGTAAAAAGGCAAAAAAGTTATACATGTATCAGAATTTTTGTAAAGAATAATAAAGAACAATGGGAGAATAAAAGAACAAGTCTAGGGGGCGCAAAAAAGAAAAGAAAAGTAATAGTTAAAATGAAAAAGATAAGCACATGATGCTAGAAACTAATAAAATCGATCGTCTCTTTTTCAAAAGATGTCCATTTTCGTTTTTTCTCGCTTTTACTTGGGAACAGGCAAAGTGTAAGCGGCGGTCAGTTCTTCACCATTCTTGATGTCCTTGAGAGCAGTGACGGTGACTTGGTTGTTGCCATCGAAGCTCAGTTTTACGGTAGGATTCTCTTCGGATTGACCAAGGTAGGTGGAAATCTTGTATAAAGCCGCACCGACCGACTTCTTGTCCGAAGGAGTGGCACGCATGTGTTCTTCCGATGTTTCCACTTCCACCGTCTCATCCTCGGCCGATTCCACAGCGTAAGCATTGAACAACAGCTTGCCCTTCAACATCAAGTAGATTTCGTCTGTCAAGAAATCGCTGATACCCTGCACCTTGGGTCCCAACAGATTCTTGAGGATTTCCATCTCTTCTTCCGAGTCTGCCGATGCCTTGGTGTCGAGGTAACGGAATCGATCAACGTGATCCCACAAGTTGTAGGTGTTTTCCGAGGACTCGCCCGACTTGTTCTTCTCCATCTCTTCCGTCACCATGGTCGCCAAGAAACGAGCAATCATGTAAGGATATTTTCTATTCTTGTTCTTTGAGAATTCGACAAAAGCCAATTCCTTTCCTTCGGTATTGGCGTCTTCGGCTTCATCGGCTTCCTTAGGTTCCTGGTCTTCGGAAGAGACCGTAGGCTTGTTCTTTGCACACAGGTATTTGTGATACTCTTCGTTGGCTCGCTTTTCACACTCAGCACTGCAGAAAACGACCTTATCGCAATTAGCACATTCCACCTTGGTCTCCGCATCCACCTTTTTCAAACAGAGATTGCAGTAAGATCCCTAACCATGAAAAAAAAAAATGTTTAGTCAAATTTTTTTAGCTTTATTGCGCATGCCAACAAAATATTCAGCTTACCTCGAGTGCAGGATGTAATGCGGAAACAATGGGGTCTTCTTTGTAAATGACTTCGCCTTCGGCAATATCCTTGTCGGCCACCAAACCGCGACGGACAATGGTCTTGCCTTCAGGAGACGTGCCAACAGGTAATTCTCCCAACTTGACATTGGATTCCTTAGGAGGGAATTGCTCGTAGAAGGCATTTTGACGTTTTTGTTGCTAAGCGATGCATAAAAATTGGAAGATGAGCAGACCATCCTTTTTCTTATTTGTCCGGTCGTCTCCGCAGCACTTACCTCCAAGGCCATCAAGTTCACCACCATCTGGAATACGGGCTCGGGAATGGTCTTTTGATAGATCATGATCAATTCCAAAGGAGCAGGGTACACCTTGAGGGCCAAATAGAAAGGCAACACAGCATCGTTGTAGAATGCTTCACCTAGAAACAATGATTGGTATCAGCTACTCTTTCCGTCTTTTCCTCGCACCCTATTCCATTTGAATTCTTACCTTGATTGCACAAAGCTTCACCGGCAGCTACTTGGCTCATGAAATACTTTTCCTTTTCCTCAGGAGTAGCAGGGAAGGTTTCCTTGGAAGCAGCTTCCAAAACCGTTTCAATAAGCTTGACGGTGCCTTGCTTAGCCTCGACTTCCGCAGCTTTAGCGGCCTTGGCAGCTTTCTTTTTCTCGCGTTCTAAATCATCAGACGAGTCAACGGTAAGTCTTCATGCGCCGTTCGAAAGCGATTTTTCTTCCGTTGTTGCCATGGTCAATAGAAAGACCTGCACTTACTCAGTTTCTTTTTGAGACTAGGATCATTGCGACGCTTATAGTCGAAATAAGCAAGATAAGCAATACCAGCGGTCACGGCCACGCCAGCAGAGACAAGAGCAACTGTTTGTGGTTTCAAACCCATATGGAGAACACAGTGAAGGGAAGGGAAGGAAAAAAAAAAAAAAAGTTAATTGAGCTTTCAAAGAACTGGCAGCAAAAACCCAAGCATTGAGCGGCGTTTTGTGACTGTTTATCATGTTGAAGTCCGTTTTCGCATTTTCAATGTTCAGGGCTCGGCGATGTTTTGAATGATTGGGAGGAAAGAAGGACGATAAGCAGTGAATTGATTTATTATGCGAGGACATTGTATTTTTTTTACTCCACATCAGCGGCAGATCCAGCACCAGCTTGATGTTCTAATTCCATGATTTGAGTAATGGTTTCAAACACGGGGGGAGGAAGCGTCTTTTGATAGATCATCACAAGTTCCATGGGGGCGGGATACACTTTAAGTGCTTTGTAGAACGGCAGAATCGCGTCATCGTAGAAAGCCTCGCCTAAAGGGTTCCCCATTAATATATTTAAACCCGCTGGATCGTCCATCGACATGCATTAATTTTACCTTTACCACACCACTCCTCACCAGCCGCGACATTGGACATGAAATATTTTTCCTTCTCTTCGGGTGAAGTAGGATATTGCTCGGAAGCAGCAGTTTGAAGCACGGTCTCAATGAGTTTGGCCTTGGTTTGCTTGGATTCCTCCGTAGCAGCCTTGGCTTCCTTGGCCGCCAATTTTCGTTCACGTCCTAATGAAGCGCTTTGTTGGTGAGATCCGTTCCATTTTGCTTTTTGATTCATTTGGAATGAGCACTTACTCAAACGTCGTCGAAAGTCGGGATCATTCCTTCGCTTATAATCAAAGTAAACGAGGTAGCCAAGACCCAAGGTGGCAAGGACACCTGTAGTGGCGAGTACAATAGTTTGAGGCTGCATGACCAGAGGAAGTCCCAAAAAAAAGGAAGGAATGAAAAATCAAAGTGTAATTTTCTCTTTTACGTAAATTTCCCAGAATAGAAAAAAATTGCAACTCCAACGCAAGAAGAGCGAATGTATGACATGTCCCGTGTTTTCACGGCCTTTCATCATAAGGAGCCATTCAATATTATGTCGTTATCATTGAAAGCTGGTATAAGTTGATGCTGTTTTAGCAAAGAACTGTTGCACACTCGTCCTCACCAAGCAAAAACTACGCCCAGGCCAAGATCGAGCCGTCATAACTGTAAGCGGGGTTATTACCTTAAAAGGAAATTGACAGAGGAAATTGTGTTTTTTGAAAAAAAAAAAATCCGTCCATCCAGTGGGAATGACGTATAAATTATGTCAGAACTAAAAATGTGAGCGAAACCCAAACGCATAAATACCGAAGTGGGGCGAGAAAAAAGAGCGATGTACCCTGGTTTTTTTCTTTTATCTCTGTTTTAACCACTCACCTACATTACCATGAACAAGCAACTTCTCTCTACTATCGCTCGCGCTCGATTCACCTCTCCTTCCACGGCTGTCGTTGGTCGTCGTTCCATGAGCGCTTATTCCCATATGTCTGATAACGATCCCGTGGTGCTCGAAAGAGAAAAGAGAAAGCAGCAAAACGTTAGTCAACGTGAATGGAATGAAAAGTTGGCTTCTCAGAGTGAAGCAGCTGTAAGTACAATGCATAATCATTGGTAAACAAAAATAGTAAGCTTCGAGAATCATTAACGATGCTTGGCTTGTTTTACAGGTGAAGGCTGACCAACAAGAAGATGAAGATTTGCAATCCTTGCAGCAAAAGTCAGCAGAGCATCTCAAGAACCAACAGGATTAAACTGCACCGAAGCATTGGGCGACTAAGGATTTTCGTAGGATCACGTAATATAAATAGGATATCACACTGTTGGTTGTAGTAGTAATACATTTGTACATGCGCATTAATTATAAACAACCCAAAAACCATCTTTTGACAAGCTGAAAGACAAAATACCCAATGTCGATTGGGGTGGCCAAAAAACGACGATCAGACGTTTTTCAGAACAGAGAAACTGCACTGGGCAGGCATAGGCGGGGCACAGGATGGTTGCATGGGAAGAAACGCAAACTCGTGTGTTTGCAATGGTGGCTAAAGTTGCTATACAACGCAGCTGGACACACGAGTCAACACGTTTCCCTCACACACGCGATTTGTTCGCATCAGCAAATTTACGTAATCCAAGCGGGCGGATGAGCATCCATGTGGGATTGATAGAATAGGCAGGGTGGCCGTAGAAGAAAAATCGGGGCAACACGGATTCTCTTTGCTGTCGAAAAATCTCTCTCATGACGTCTACGTCGCAGAGTGAAACAAAAGCACGACGCATGTCAAAACGGTCTTACTCTTGTTTGGTACCTTTGTTGTCTCTTGGTTGGATTTGGTCATTTGCACTGTCTTTATGCCTTCTTTTTTATTTATTTATCCGGGTTGATGATGCAGTAATGAAGTGGTAAGAAAAACCATATCGTTTTTTAACATGCTTTTTTGTATAGTAAACTTGGCTTTGTTCAGCGGGTTCCAAATGGTCTGTATTTACAACGGTTCCTCTTCATGCACTGGAGACCCTGCTTTCTTCATCTACAGTTCACAGTGAATCAAACATCTGGTAAAGCCAGCAATTTTTTCAATGAACTTACCTTTTTCTCTTTGGCGAGTTTACCCTCCAATTTTGCTAGTCGTTCTTTCTCTTTCATTTCTTCTTTTTGCTTGCGCTTTTGTTCCTTTTCGGCCAACTTTTGCGCCTTGACTTCCATCTTTTGCCGCTTTTTTTCCGCCTTTTCAGCTTTCACTTCCTCCAGTGTTCGTTTGCGTTTGATCTTTTTAGCTTCCATGGCCACCGAACTTCCCGATCCCTGGTTGTTGCCAGTCTCCTTCAGCACTTTGCGACGGGCCGCGTTAATCTTATTGGTGGGCGGGAATCGAGCTCGATTACGACGCCGGTTAACCAAATATTCATCTTCGACCAATGTGTTATTATTCTCTTCCAGTTTCTTGCGGAAAACAGGTTGCAACAACCCGATAAACTCTTTTTCCGATACCACGGGTGCAAATGCAGGTGGTGGCGGATACTTGTATTGAGGTTCTATCATGATTGGGTCAACTTTTTTTATGTTCTCCATGTGAAGAGAAAAACAAAACTTACCTTGATCCGCTCTGTGATAAACAAATAAAGAAAAAAGAGAGAGAGGGACGGTTTCTTCTGCTTTAGTTAAAGTGAAACTACAGACAATGTGACAACGGATCACTTACTTTTTCATTGTATCGGTTGGAACCGCGCCTTTACCGTGCCAAAGACGAGCGGGAACGATGAACGTTTGCAGATCATATTCTTTATCAAGACCTAATTCCTTGAAACCGAAAAAGTCCTCGCCAATTTCGTCACCAAAAGCACCCCTAAATTACACTCGACATAAATTTTCGGCTCCTCTTGGTTTCTTTTTTTTTTTTTTTTTGTCTGCTAAATTGACCTACCGCATGAGCATATCCTCTTGCAACAGCGCTTCGTCGTCCTCCAGTGGCTTGTCGGCCGGAGGACCACCCTACGAGTCAAACCACTGAGTAAGACAAGAACCAAGAAGAACAGCAGGCCCAGGGGTATACCCAAATACTTACTGAAAGCAAATCTTGATACGAAGTATCCAACCTTCGCTGGACATCATCCAGTCGATGGCTGTATCGTTCGATATCATCAGTGATGTAACTTTCTAAATCAGATAACGCGCAAATGCCGTTTTCATAGAGTGTATGTAGAATGATTTCCTGTGAAAAAATGGACGGCTTGAGATTTAAGGATTTTCAACTGTTTGGGTTCCCAGATAGTACCTCGCCATTCATTTCGCGACCATAATCATCCCAGTAGTTACGTATCGTTTTTCCAATGTTGAATAAATAATCCACGAATATTTCGGTGAGTACATTGAGCGCACCAGTGTGAGCTCCCTCAAAACCAGCATGAGCAAGCAACTTGACGAGAGGACGTTGTATTAATTGATGACTAATTTCTTGGTGGATGAGGAGCGGTGGTAAAGAGGTGTGTCGATGAACGGGTAATAAGCTGATGGATGGAATAGGGGTGCCAATTTCTGTATCGAGGCTCGATTCGGTAATCGTCGTGGCAGTATTAATTGTAGTAGAAAGCTAGATTTCAAAACAATACCCAAACATTTAGTTTTCGACAGCAGTCCACAATACAGCACACACCAGTACACAAAAGAAACGGAGACTTACAGGGACGTTGTTGCGAATATTGCAACATTTGTCATACGTTAATCGAATATTGCGGAGGGTTTGAAGGTTGTGATTCATGATTTGATTGACGCCATGGTTAGGAAACGCCACCGACGGATACACATCCAGTGTGATATCACTATATCTAGTGTCCATTTCATATTATTACCTTCAATTCCCACCAGCCAAGAACATTTTTTCCAGTGCTTACTCGTTGTTTCGTTCCTCGACAAGGGAATCGGCGGTTTTCGTTTCCGAAGTGGTGGAGAATCGTCGAATGAGGTTTTGACAGGGCAGTTCTTCAGGTACACCCGGAATTTCGGGTAGACCGGCGGCTGTGACATATTCGGGTATAAACAAATCGGTACGTTCGGTATCATCTTCGTCGGCTCGCGATTTCACTCGAGTGAAGAAAAAGCTGCCATCCAGACTTTCATCGTCGTCGGAATCCAAGTCAAAGGCATCGTATAAGCTGTTGTTCACCCCATGACTTCTTTCCACCCATCGCGAAAAGCTCGCGTCGGAACATCGAATCAGTTTCAACGTCGTTTCAGGATCGCCATGCATATGCTCCATCATGGCAAACCGTTTCATTGCCAGGGGCGTTCGCTTGATCGCTGGTCGATCGCCAAACGAAAATTGATGCTGTTTATCAATATCCGACTAGTCCATACGGTGAGTACATCCTCATCGACCCTGGAATCAAGCCTTTTCTTGTAGCACTTACTGCGATCTTGGCTCGAGTTTTCTTGGTCATATCGCGCCACAGCTGATCTTGTAACTCTACAAGATCTGGATCCAATTCCGCGGTCGGATCCTTGGCTGCCTCATCATCATCAGTGGAGTGGTTGGCCATCCCTTTGCCAGAATACTGTTTACGCTTTGTTGTTTCGAAACCGTCGCGATCCGTTTCCGATCCATGAAAGAAACCATCTGTATGCGACGGTGCGGCGCTTGATTCGCGTGTCATGGAACGCTCGCGTAAGTAATGGTCCTGATCCAAAGGTGTATCATCTCGTTGCGATTTGGCCGGATGTTTTGCGGGCACTTTGGATGAGCCGGATCCCTAGATGAGATGCAAATTGAGCCCTGGTGTCTCGCTTGAAAGCAAGTTCTGTTTTCATTCCTGTACCTTTCCGCCATGTCTCGGTTGATCGTGCTCGCCTTCGTCGCTTACATAGTCTGCATCCTCTTCTAAATCCTTTACGGCGATATCTGGTACATTAGCAAGTAATCGATCGGTTTTCCGCCGCATAGCAATAGCGTGTTTACGATACTCATTGTGCTAAAAAAAAAAAAAAAAGTGAGCAAAGGGTAATTAGAAAGAGGAATGACGGGAGGTGAGCAACTCTTTTTTTTTTACCGGGGCGGTATTATAGGTAAGACAGTTTTCGTAGATCAGGTACAGATCATCGGCAAAGGCCTTTTTAGATTTGTAGATGGCTTGCTTTAATTTCTTGGTGACTGTACCCAAATCCATGGGTCGTTCAATCACTGATGAAAGACGACAAAGAGCGATCATTAATGGCTCTGCATCAATATACTGCATCATCTTTGGCTTGGATGATATACCTTCAAAATAATCCGGTGCGTCCCGTTTGCTGACTTTGTTCAAGAAAGGCATGGAATGCTCCTATCAAAATGGGGATTATTTTATCAGTATGACGGTTCGCACGAGCCCGTTGGGGGGGGGGTTGACAGATGACGTACTGTATAATTTTTTAGGCTGTTGAGCACCTTTTCGAGGGCCTCATACAGTTCTTCTTGTCCGATCTTATCATCACTGGCCTGCCGTTTCCGTAGATGCGTGTAAGCGAGCTTCCTGTATCCCTTTCATTTGTACCACCGACTGAACCTACCCATTTGGATCGATTGGGACGTAAATCCGAAAGAAGATTCCGCAATTCTCGATCTGTCAAGTCCATCTTATCACGATTGGCAGCAATGCCTTGCAGTAAATACTAAGATAAAGTCTTGCGTTAATCCTTTTTTTTCCCGTGGTGCACCGTACGCTTTCCTCCTTACTTTGATGCTAAAGTTTCCATCAGCATTGAGAATTGATAACTGTCAAATAACACATATTAGCAAAAGAGTTAGGCCAAGTTCGTTTTATAAAGGGAGCATAATCCTTACCGATTGGTGTTGCGTGTCTTTGTTTTCTTCATTGATGTCTGATTGCGCTTGAAAATCTTCCAGTTTCTTTTGTTCGCACATGGCGGAATAATCATATTCCAGAGTGTGATAGACATCGGTCAATGGGACTCGATCGTTGACCATTCGTTTCTGAAGCGGGGACGACTGAGCAGCCAGCTCGTTTTTATCGGTGGGGTCTGTAGACGCCGTCGTCAATGAAGGTTCGATCGCGGCATCGGTTGGTGCCGGTGTTGTTCGTTCGACATGTTCCGAGGAGGATATGGTTCGTGCCTGGGAACAGATATACTCGAGATCGAACGGCGAATCGTTGCAGCATGGACGTTTAGACGAATTTAAAAAGGGAAGAATGTACTCAAAGAGCATGGCTCGGACTCGAAAGGCGGCAATGTGAGTGACAGTGAGAGCGTCGAGGGCATTGGCGGTGTGAGGGGTCATAAATTGGGACCATGTGGAGAATGTGGCAAGGGCGGCTTCAAAGTGGTGAATCTCGGACGAGGTAAGGTGTTGACGATGAAGGTTACGGTTGGCTAGTTCTTTTGCCACGGCAAATGAAAGGGGCAGCCAAGGCGGTAAAGGCACCTGGTTCTGTTTCGTCAGTAAGAGCATAAACCGATGTTTTCTTGCAAACAGATAAACGACGAAATTAACAGGAAGACCAAGCTGATTGAAAAGTAACGTGCTACTCTTTGCCTTTGAAGCTTTTTAAAAGTAATCAAGACGGTGCGATCAAGTCAAAAGAAAAAGAAGTCAGCGTGGACCGATTGGAAAAAAGAAGGGAATCAAAGGACCGTATGTATTTCGTTCTTGCAACTGGCTTTGACTCACTGCAAACACGCCTGCAGAAAAGCTGAGGATAAAACAGGAAAAGAGCAAAGAGCCGAAAGGGACGGCCGAGTTGAATAGTCTTTGCTGGCACGGAATCGGCAGTCCGGCACCCTCACACTTATGTCGGCACGTGAAACGTCTTCTCCTCGGCATTTGTTGGTGGACTCTCAACTTTTTTTTTTCTCCACCTTTTTTTTAAAAGCACTATATATTTCATTTCTGCTTTTCCCTTCTTTTTTCTTTTCTCCTGCCTTTTTGTTATTGTTCAAAAAAGAGAAAAAGCCCCTTCTTTGGAGTCCATGTCTTATATTAATTCACTCAATGTGCTTACGGACGAAAGTCCTCTTTCTATTTCGGAGGAACAGTTGAAGGAGGAACTTTCCTTGTGGGCCAATGCGCAGTTCACGTTTGATACGGAGCCTGGAAGCGCGTTGCTGGATGATCTTGATAAGCAACAAACCTCAGAGGACCATCATCAGTACCTCTCGCACCATGACTTTCCCTTTTTTGCTGATATCTCACCTCAACTAGGTAAGCGGAGGGGAAGGCAAAGAAAAACGAAAGTAAAGAGATCAACCCCATATTTCCCAGTTCACTCATCTTACCATCATAGCGGTTCCCGGCTCGGTGGCGTCGCCGGCTCCATATTACATACCGCAACCATCCCATCCAGGAACACCGGTGGCCTTGCCTCGCTTAGCACCGGCGCCTAGCACTGTCATGGAAACGGAACCAAAACCGTCGTCTGCCGCGTTGCCAAAAAAACGCAGAGAGTCTACCAAGCCGCTATCTTCCCACAGACTCGCGGCCGATGAGGATAAGCGGCGACGCAACACGGCTGCTTCAGCTCGATTCCGCATGAAGAAGAAAATGCGAGAACAAGCATTGGAACAAACTGCCAAGGAAATGACATTGAAAGCTGAAGCCCTCGAAAAGCGAGTGCAGGAGCTGCAAATGGAAGCCAAATGGCTGCGAGCTCTCGTTGTGGAAAAAGATCCACAGTTACTGAATGTGGCAGATCGCCCATCGTCTTTTACTGGTTCGAATTAAGGTCAAGCAATCCATTGTTATTTATGAACCCAACTTTTTTTATATGCCAAATAGAAATGAACAATTGAATAAAATATGCACCCATCACGGTTGGTTTATGTCCTGGGATCCTTTTTTTTTTTTTTTTTTTTTTTTTTTTTTTACTCCTGATATGTCTCGCCCATCTCGAATGATGTCTTCAATGTTATTGTCCAAGTGCACAGACGATAAGATCCTTTGAAAATCCTCCTTGTTATTGTTTAGTAATATGGCTGATCTCAGTTCATCCTTGTATCCGATTTAGCGTCTGATAGTAATGCTTGGTTTGACGAGTGTAACAGAAAAAAATAAAAATGTATTATTTAAACGATGCATTTTTTTATATAGTGCATATGGTACCTTTTTCGCCTAGACTTGCGTGATCGGCGCTGATTGATTCCTGATTGGTCGTAATTCATACGGACAGAGATGCGATAGGATAAGTGAATTACCTAACCGATGATTTTACCGATTGCCACGTTTTTCACGTTAGTCGTTTTTGGTACTTATTCCCTTGTGTCATTGTCGCGCTGGAATCCTGCAAACTCCTTTCGCTAACATCGCGTGATCAACTCACGGAACCAACTTGACTGTGACCTTCCGGATACAATAGCGCATATATAAATTGTGAATGTGACGTTCCTTGCTTTGGCGTATTTCCATGTATGCCTTTTTCTTACTTGGAGTAGAAAGCAGCGTTGTGAAATCATGATCCATTTCTTTTTTGCTACCAAATTCGCTGGGTCGCCTACCATTGCCTGTCTATCATCAGCGGTTTCGTGAGCCCAGTTGATTGGCAGATCCCACTCTTTTAACGCTGCAGCTCAATTCGGTACCACCAACAAGATAAGTAACATCAGATCATCCCAAGATCCGTACGACAAAATAAACTTTGACTACAGATCGTCAACGGTTTTTTTTTTTCTTAATCGCCCGATTAGCTCTGGTATATTCACAAGATCTATAATCTACTTTCAACCGATACCTTTTTCTTTTTTTTTTTACACAATAGCAAGGCTTGATGTCAATATATTTTCAGCGTTCTGTAGGCAGCTAAAGATGCTGAAACATCTTTTTCACGCGACAGATGGTTCTATTGGAAACAGCTTCCACCCTTTGGATAAATTCTACACGCATATATGTACGCAGGCTATGGTCCATTCATTCTTGCAAATAATCAGTTCATTGAACAAGTGCGGTGACACGACTCACTTGCCTGTCATCTACTCACTGATCGTGATATAACGTGCTAATTAAGCTTTCGTGAAAACCGTCCACCAACCGAATGCAGGAGACTCGAAAACTGCCAGTGTCAATCACTTTGGCGCGACGTGCGTGTATTAGGTGGATGCAAGCAGAAAGGACTGTGATGGAATTTTCCTGAACCTCTGTATCTAATTACACAGCCACACAATAGAACTAAAATAGTCGCATTCAAAAAAATCCCAGCTTGGTTCATGGAAAGCAAAATATATTGTGCAGCTGTCATTACTAAATCACATTGCTTTGCATATCAATATTTTATACAAATGCCATAGTAAATTTCTGGTTTTTTTCGCAGAGGTTATTGAGAAGGGAATACAGCAGTTGAAATCACAGCTACTGCTACAACAAAGTTCTTGAAAACTATTTAAAAGATCTTTGAAAAGATTTTACCCGCAACGTTGGACATGCCACTGCTGCTGTGCTGCTGCTGCTGAGGTGGTTGTTGTTGCTGCTGAGGTTGAGGGGAACCGTGACCGGCTTGACCCAAAAGAGAGCTAACCATTCCGCCAATGCCACCGCTCGAACCGTGAGATGATGACTGCTGTTGCTGTGCTTGTCCACCGCCCATCAGCATGCCAAGCATATCACCTAATCCTCCACTGCCACCGCTGCCGGAGCCTCCAGACGCTTTTTTCGCCATGTATAACTTCATGGCCATCATGGCAGCTTGCTGAATAGCTTGCGCTTTGCCGCTGTCACCGCCAGCACCGTGACCTCCGCCGCCACTTTGCTTGGCAAACAATTTCGACGCTTCAGCCATGGCCATACCAATAAAGGCATTCATACTATCGCCTTGGCCGCTGCGTTCTTGATTATGCAAAGCTTGCATCGCCGCCGCGTTACCGATATCATTGGGGTTTTGAGTGTTGCCTTGACCGCCACCGTTGCCATAAAACTGCTGATGCGAGTTGTGAGCTTCCTGAATTTCGTGGGATTCGGCTACGGAAGCGTTGGATTTGCCACCTTTGACTTGTTGAAGCACCGAAGAGAAAACGCCGCGATCCTGTTCGGGAGCATACTGAGCTGCATAGCGAGCGGGAGCATCGTCGTCGTCGTCGTCGTCATCATATGCTGAATGTCCATAGCCATGGTTTCCCGGGGCCTGGGCCTGGTAGCCTTGCTGACCTGGAGGAGGTCCGTAAGCACCGTAACCGGTAGCTTGAGGCTGAGGCATCATGGCTCCTCCACCCGCGTTGTAATTGTCAGGCTGAGGCATAGGAGGATAGTTTTGAGAGCCAGGATTAGGATAGCCTGATCCTCCACCTAATAACAAAAAAAGGTAAATACACCAAACTACGTAGAATCTCAAGTAATGACTTTTACCTTGATAGCTTGCGTTTTCGCCTTGGTTGGAATTGTAATAGTTGGACATGGTGAATTGGGAAGACCGGAGACTCGAAACGGGATGAAACACGATTTGGGGCAAAGCAACCTTTTTATTTCTGCGGAGATTCAAAAGGAATGGAACTAGGGCAAAAGGCAGAATCGTGATCTTTCATTGCTCTCTGCACTTGTTGCCCTGATCAAAGACCTTGATGTGCCCTTCATCGCCCTATGCTTCATCCAGTCTGTGCTAATATATGCTTGGTTTGTTCTGTATGTTCCTGAATCCAGCAGGAGAACTATAGCCAAACCCGAAAAAGTGCGAGTCGGAACGACACTAAACTTTTCGGATTTGGTTTTCTTTTTGGGATGTCTGACCCAAAAAAAACTGAACAAGAAAAGCTAACCAAGCAAAATGCATGATTGTTTTCTTTTGGTTACAGCAGCAAACAATCCACACCTGGACGTAGCCTTCATCATCTGATTCCGAAAGCGCGCGTAGCATGCTCTAACTCACATAAGATCTGATACAATACCTTTTGCATGTAAATAAAGGAAAACATACACATGCTCGCTTCCCGGAATAAATGTTCTGCTGAATCTATTGAAAGAGCGGGGCTAGAAAGAATCGTGGCAATGAATACGCGTCTCAAGCGGGGATGATCACTTTCCCTTGGCCATTTACCAACATGCTATTCTCAAACTATGAATACTGTATTCACCTCCAATAAAGATTACATTTTACCAAAAGCTACTTGAACCACATACTCGAAAAATCAGCGTTGATTCTATGTATTCACTGACTGCGGTTTTTGACATAGGCATAATTGACAAAAAAGCACTACCGTAACAGACATTGTTAATGCTTTACTTGTATTTTCTCTGACAAGTGGTAACATGGAACATCAAGAAAGTTTTATTCCATGCTTTTTTATCCACATAAGCTTGTCCATCTAAGTCAGCTATAGGCCCTATAGGTCCTAGCCTTCTCCTCGTAGCTGATAGCGCTGCATATTTTGGCGCCTTACGAACAGATTCATTCGTCAAAGGCACCAGGTTACAATACCTTATTTTTTTGGATTAGAGAAATCTATTTATTCAAGTGTAACCTGAACCACGGCAATCTCTGTTATAAAGTGAAAAAGGTCGCAGGGTCTGGTGATGCGTTAATTGGTTACATGTAAAGTTTTTTTCGGTGTGCCATGGGCAAATAATCTGAAAATGTAGTTCCATGATTTACAGCTCTAGAAAAGGATGAGGGACTTTTTTTTTTGTATTCCTGTACACTGTGGCTGAAGGTCTCATTATCTGGTATTGCACGGTTATTCCTTTGTCGGAGCATTTCACAGGTAGCGAAGGATCTTAACGTGCCAAGAATTCTGAAATGCATGCGGCCAGTCGGCCCGTTGCAAATAGCAATCAGTTACGAATTCTCGGCTTTTTGTCACTGGACAAATAGCTACCAGCTACGGAGGCGGAGACGTGATACATGTTGTTGCTTGCTTTGATAAGCCTGCTTTAGAGGCCACATGATGTCAATATTCCCAAAAAGGTTTAAAGGAAAGATCCCGAGATCGTCGTCCCCTACTTTGCATGAAACAGTTGTATTTACTGCAAGATGCATCGAGTACCTTTTTTTTCTTTTTGTGAAATCATCATCATGTTCGAAAACTATGCTTCAGTTTATTATGTTGCTTAATATGTAACAAATAGGACGATAAAAAGAGTGAGCCAAAAAGGAGATGGTCCATGGTCTAGGTCGTCTGACAGTTGTTGATCGGCATTTGAAAACGACAAGGTTACGCAAATGGCTTGTTAATGTCGAGTTGCATTGAAGGAAACCAACGGCGCCCGAGATAAATTTGGCATTTTCGAGATGCTTTCATTCTAGATTGTTACGCCCGGTCTTCTTGGCTTCCAATATGATTGGTTTCTGCAAATTTTCTCATCAAACAACGACGTGGATCCTTTTCTTTCGAGTTTCGCCGGTGCCACACCAAAAAAAATGCTTTAAATAGGAAGCAGCATAATAAGTCGCGGTTTCTCTTTTTTTCTTATATCTTCTCTTTCTTATCTCTCACTTTTTTGCCAAAAAAAACATCATGCCTTGCGGAAAACTTGCTGTCACTGCCGGTAAGCCCTCCGAATCTTTTGCTTTTTTTTTCTCTCGAATCCTACTCGCTCACCTTACACGCTATTATTTCTTATTCACTAGTCGCGGCGCGTGGATTATCCCAAACTGGATTGAAAGGTACAGAGAGGTTTTACCTTTATACTCGTTACGTTTCCATTTGGCAACATCATACTTATCAAGAGATAAACGTAGATCCCAAAACCTTTATTGGATGTTACATTCAACCGCATGAAAAGCAACGAACAAAAAGCAACCATGGCACCGAACCTTGCTGGAATGAAACACTCCACTAGTAAGCTATAAATAAAATCCGTGGCTGGACATCATACTCACCCACGGTTTTTTATTGAACAATAAGTAATGTCGCTGATACCAACTCGACATTGCATGTGGAGCTGATCGATGAAAGTGCAAGCAACACCAGCCTGGTGGGCAATACTCAAATTGATTTAAGCAAAGTGTTCAAAGAAGGCAATCACCAGGAATGGGTTCAAGTCAAAAATGATCGCGGCGAGCCTATCGGCGATGTCCAACTGGCCATGACTTTCTCGGTATGAACTCCGCTCATTAGTTTTGTGCTTTCTTTTGTCCAGTCCTTTTTTCTCATTGTTTGGGGTTGGTGTGCTTAGGAAGTGAGCGTCCACGAAGAAATCCGCCAAGAGTATCACGAACAGCGTACTAGTTCTGTCTCGGTACACTCGGGAAGCCAGTCCTCGTTTGCCGCGCTCGGACCCGAGACGCCTCTTCCCGAGAACTATGGCGCCGGCACACCTCCTCCATTTAAGCCTCAGCCTCCTGTGTCCTACGTAACCAGCCAATCCAATCTTAGTTCCAGCAACAGCGATGCTGAGCTCGTCTCGCACGTCGAAAGACTTGGCGTGGAAGAAAAGAAGGAAGACGGCACTAACTGGGTGGTAAATTATTCGTCAACTTTTTGAAAGAACAAAGTATTAGAAATTAACTCTTTCTTTTTCTTTGGGGGAACCAGAAATATGGTGGCGCTTTGGCTGGTGCAGCAGCAGCCGTCGGTCTTGGTGCATGGGGTGCATATGAACTCAAGCAACACTATGATGAGAAGAAAGAGCAAGAGGAAAAAGAAAAAGAAAAACACAAGGTCGATGCCAAACCTTTCCATATTCCTGAAGGTTACCTTCAACCTCAGCCTCCGTCGCAGCCTCAGTCTCAGCCTCACTCGGGCCAGCAGCAGCAACACTTTACTTCAGCTCACGTTGAGAAGAAGGACAATGATTGTCATAAGCAGGTTGGCCATAAAGACGACAAACATTGCGAAAGCAAGGAGAAGAAGCATCAGGACAAGGACAAGCACTGCGAAAACAAGGATAAGAAACATCATGATAAGGAGAAGCATTGTAAGGACAACAAGGAAAAGCATTGCAAAGATGATGACAAGAAAAAGGACAAAAAGAAGCATTGCAAGGAGAAGAAGGAGAAGAAAGACAAGCATGGTAAAAGCAAAGAGAAGAAGCATGGTCACAAAGGCTCCGGTTCTGACTCGGGTTCGAGCTCGAGCTCTGACTCGGATTCTGATTAACCGTCTAATAACGTGCAATCATCAACCAACCCCACCTATTCCATACTTTGAATAAAGAAATACCCCGACAATTTTGGTGCGCACCCACTAAAACCATGATTGCATCTTCATCTAATGAGAAACCTCCAGTTGACCCCAACAATTGATAGATGGTTTGGTACTTTAGCAACCAAGCCGCGAAACATCTAATCTGTAACCAAGTGGAGAAACCATGTCAATTGCTCCAAAATGGCCCAAAACGGTCCAATACCAAGTGATTAATGAAAAAGCTTGTTTATGTGAGCAGATAATGGCTTGCATAGCATATTACAGTCATCCGCACAAGACGAACTTTTTATATAGTGGAACTTTAACCATCCTTTTAATTGCAACAATTTTATTTTGGTTTTATCATGGATTTGAAAAGCGAGGACCCCATCGAGTTTGTTGACATCAATGGCGTTCTTGGTAAAAATAGCTAATCGTAGAGTGTCCATGCACAAAGAATGTCTGCCACTGCCATGATACGTCTTGACCTCTTTCCAAGCCACCGCTATCTTGAAATCCATATGTGGTTTTCCGGGAATGACGGCCTCCGGGCGGGTTTTTCCCTTCTCGGCTGAATGGCGTTAGTCCATCGGAGGTGTATGAATTTGCCCAGGATCACCGATCAGCACGGAAAGCATGGGGTCGAAATATGTGTTCTTGCCCTTATCCTTGTCCTTGTACAAAACTTGCTTTCGCTCACATCAGTCCAGTCATTCGATGATGTGGTGACAGTTTTGGATTCTTGAGTGATAAAAATCGGCTTCCCAGGTACGAAGCATGTACTTTTGGTAGTTTCCTTCCAGAATATAAGATGGTACCTGTGGATATCATTCGTTAAATCAACTATATGTATTACCTGACTATAAGCTGTAGGTTACCGTTCTTACCAGCTGATATTGCCCATGATAATGCGCTTTTCGCCATAGTTGAGATGCGTGTACATATGGATCAAGGCCATAATGCTGGGTTCAAGGTCCGGGCTGGTGGACTGGCTGGGTTGGATGATATAGGTATTGATAGCCATATATTCTTCTTGATTGAAATGAAGGCTTCGGGTCAAACCAGAGGTGAGTATGATGCCCGAGTCCGCCGCATATCGTTGATTCTGTTTTGTCGATTCTTCTTGCAACGTCTTTTTCAACAAACGTCATCCCTGTTGTCGATACCGTTCCTTCAGCGTCCACCAAATAAGCGTCGGAATTCGTCACACCACGATTCCCACCAAGGGGCTTCAACGAAGATTTTCGGAGAGGGAGCATCAGTAACGTCTTCGATAAATGTTCCAACTCGCAGTTCAGTCATGCCTTCAGGTTTTGTCTACGGCTTCGTGTAACGGGTTCTGAACCTTCCACTGGCCGATCGAATGGTGTGTGTGCTTGTCATCCATAAACGAGATAAAACGGCGTTTGTTTCGTTGTATTTTGTTCCCCTAAAGCCCGGACGATGGCCATCGCGTCTTGATACCGTTGCACCATCTCGGAGGCCACCCAGAAAGGATGAGGGTAAAATGACCCGGCGACCCACATCAGCAGCCGAAATGTCTCGTCCATTGGATATATCCATTAGCCCATCCAGCATAGCAGTACGCAGCTGTGGTTGCATTTTACTGCGGATATATTCCAGTCGAAGCTGTTCGACCTTCACCCACATGTCGACAATGAACTGTTGGAGGAGCCGGCCGTAAAAAAATAAATAACAGTCGTCCCCACGCTCTTGCAACATATGCGCGTAGTACCGCATAGCAGGCACTGGCGCAGGTGGAGCGACATCCCCAACGTCGGCTGTCATGTTTCTAGGATTATAGGGACATAGCGAGCTTGAAACGTTTTGATGGTCTGTACCGCCACATTGGCAAAGTAGATCTATCGGGATCTCAGAAATTGGAAAATATCCAAGACAAATGTATACAATGCGGCATAATTTTTGAACAACTACTGCCAAGAGAATATGCAAAATACCTTGTTGGGTGACTTGAATAAGCTCAGCAGTTGTATTCGTGCGATTCAACGGACAACGTGAGCTCGTCATTCTTTGGTGATCCGTACGTCCACATTGACAGCGTCTGGTAAGGTCTATCCGGTTCGATAAATCTTTACAAAAAAAAAATGGCTTTTTTGAAAAATTACTTTAAGAGAAATGTGTATATATTGTGGAGAGAAATGAATAAACGGCCGCGCTTGTGCTTCTTGAACAAACGGCTGCACTTGGATAAACCGCTCAGTAAGTGTATTTCTGGAGTTCAGCGGACACAGCGAGTTCGTAATCGATGATCCGTACTTCCATAACGGCAAGGCATATTGTAAATTTACTTTTTAGTTGTGACAGGATACAACCAAATTAAAAATCAAAAAGCAATCTTCCACTTTTATATACTGTCGGACAGTGTATGGGCAACGTCCCTTTTTGGGTAAATTGTTTTTTTACGAAACAGTAATGTGGCAATGGCCCCAACAAATGCAATGTTACAGACTCTTTTTTACAGTGCATGGTAATGGCCCCAAACAGGCAATAAAAAAACCCACAGCATTGATATTTTTCGATTATAAAACCCAAAGAGGCAATGCGACATTGCTTATTTTATTAATTAAGGGCGCTACTTTTGTTGTCGATATTTTGTTGTCGATACCATGCCAAACTGCAAAGATATAAGTCCGGTGCAAATCGCCCGTTCCCACAAATTCCGGGGAGGCTAAGTCCGCACTGCTCCGGCTCATCACGTGATAGTCCGGTAAGCTTTGCCTTCCGAATGATACGAATATCCGGGATTTTCCGGAAAAGGGGGCTTATAGCTCAGCGGTAGAGCGAGGGATTGCAGATCCCTAGGTCCCGTGTTCAATCCACGGTGGGCCCTCTGATTTTTTATCATTTTTGTGCGACGTCGGGAAAACGATTAGCCAATGGAATGTAAGTAAGGTTTGCTTTTTGTTTCCATTGATGTCCTCCATCTTTGAAGAACAGTTCTATATACGTGAGTTGTGGGCTGCTTAAATTTTTATTTTCATGGTCCGAAAAAGTAAAGTTTTCTCTTTTATTGAAGGGTGAGTGAACAAACGTCCGTTGCGGACTATCGCTCGCCCTGGAAACGCGAAGTAAGAGCTCCGAAGTAGTTCTCAATGCTGTGCCATAAAAAATTAGACAATAAAGTTTTTTTGCATCCGATAAAACTTACAGAACTGTAACGTTTTTGTTACGTGGAAAAGGAGCGATTATATACCGCTGGACGTTCTTGGCCGTCAGCCAAAGCGGCTGCGATGAGATGAATGTTACGGCTGGCATTGACATCACACTGCCATAGCGTGTCACAGTTTGTACAATGCTGCACACTATGCATCACTCCGCCGTCGGCAAGCCGCAACTGTTCCAACGTTTTCTGTCCGCATTGCGAGCAAACCTGCCATGTTCAGTCAGTTGTTGCATCTTCATCATCTCTACCCAGCGGAAAACTTACTTTCGAAATATTGTATTCGTCTATACTCACTGTCACCAGCAATCCTTCGTTTCGGCTCGCCGCAGCAAGGCCCGGTACCTGTTGGCAAGTCCAGTAGGTTTGCCGCGCATAGACTCATCGCCCATGGCGATCAACGGGAATTTTGTGGTTTGGCTATAATTGACCTTGCTCCACTTGTTGGACCTAGGAAAGCCCTCGTCTTGTGAGTCTCGACTGTGTATCAAATCCTGAAACAAAAAGGAGAATTCAATGGATGTTACCTTTTGCCTCTTCTGTCCCTTTCCTTCTTTTCCTTTTGCTTGGGAGTGGCGTATTTTTTACCGCCATTTACCATGATGTTCACAAGCTCGCTCTCCGCCTTTTGCTTGCCGATATAGTTCAAGAAACGGAGCGAGGAAAAGCGATCATCGTAAAAATTGAGCATGGAATCCAGATCCTGGGATAACTCTTGGGCATAACGGATGATATTCGCTTTAGGAGACGATTTTCGTGACGGCAAGTCCCGCTCAATATCAGCAATGGATCGCCCATCAGTTACTGTCTGCTGCTTCATTGCAAGCATTTTCGCTGCCGATTCTTAACCCCCAAATTGTGGTAAAATTCGGCCGTTGAGCACCTCCGGATCTGGTGTGTTTGTTGGCCATGTCCATCGCTGGCGACGAAAATTTCCGTGATCCCTGGATCGACTCACCATAGATGGAAAGTTCTGTCGAGTTCAGCGGTAGTAAAATCTTCGATGGCTAGTTGTGGCAGGCTTTCAAGCTTTCGCCGTGTGAAAATACAATCCACACCGTACCCGTCTGTGCGAATGCTCCCAGCAAACAAAGGACGGTTGGGCACCTCGACCTCTTCGTGACTAGTTACATTCATTCTGGTCATTCATATGCTTATACAATTTGCCCCGATTCAAGCTTACCGCAACTTGGCAAAATTGAATATAGCGCTAAACTGTGCGAATGCTGTTTCACGAGCTGGAAGGAGTGGAACGCATGCTCTGAGCAATAATGACCTCAGAGTCTGTAAATCGATCGTTGCATATTGCCGGCGAAAGTGATATATCGGTATCAATGGAAATACTCGGCTTTGTTTGACGAAAGTAGATGACTGGGGGCGAAAATAGGTACTAGTATCGATCGCAGTTGTGCCACGTTCTTGAACGTCTAATAGATATTGTCGTGAATTCGCAATAGCACTTGTGGCTTCGTTGATAGTGCTCCGCAGGATTTCAATAGAGCGTACGGATAGACGTGTGGAAACCAATGGGGCAACTTCTCCAGAGCAGTTGACTTTTGTAACTATTTAACGAACTAAGCGAGAACGATATTGGCGGGGCAGAATGGAAAATTCATCGAGAGTCGTGATGAGAGTTCGCGCCCGTCCGTTGTTTGGCTTCGGTTTGTACAACTTCAACACTGTTGATCTGCTCGGCATTGTAATTTTCAGCTTCACGCAAGATGGCGTGCAAAAACGGTAAGTATTTTTCTGGATGCGCCGAGAGGCTCTTCACATTGATCAGTTTTGGGACGTTTTCAAAAAGCTGGCGAATATCGTCGATTGCGGAATTAAAAGTCTGAACGTTCAAATGGACGATGGTCAGTCTGGCAAATTCGCTGGATCGTTGGACGAATCATAAATGTAGCAGGCGATTTTTTCAGCATTTTTCTTGGTAAGTTCCTGACAAAATATGAATTAATGGCATGTTGAGATAGAATGGTTAGTAAATCTTACTTGAACAGCATTTTGCAATTTAAGGCAAAAAAAAAAAACCGGATGGTTCGATGCTCAAAATCTCAGTGATCGAGTTTACAAAAATTGTTGCGGATTGCTCGGCCGACGAAGCCAATGCGTGCTTGTAGCCGGGTATATGGGTCATGACGCTTGTGGGCAAGGTCCCAAGTATTCCTGTTAGCCGGTCATGCTTTGCCTCGGTATCTTGCTGTTGGTATTGCTGATCTCCTCCCCGTGAATGAGCTGTATACATGCGTAAAAAGAGTCTTGCGAAAAAATGATTGAAGGGAGTTCGCGATGGGCGTCAAGTAAATCCAAGATGTAATACGTTGCAAACGCTTGTGATTTAAGAGCTGCTGCGCGCCAATAATTCACCAAAATATTAATTGGTCTTGTAGTCGTTGCTTGGCTGGTTCCTCCAAGCTCAAAAAGCTCGCAAGTCCGATCTTCTTGACGAATGTTGTCCGATCCCTTCCAAGTAAAAAGTTTAGTCGCTCCTTAGGCGATATACGGTGGTCCGGACAGTGGTGGGATCGTCTGTCTGAGTGGGGTACCTGGTCTTCGTTCCTTCTAGCCACGACGCATGTTGAACAGCGTTTAGAATAGTCCACATTGCGGTTTGGACTTTCTTTCTTGCCTCCCCAACGTTCTTTGCATTTTAGGGCCTGCTTTTCTTCTTCTGATTTTTTCGTTTTTGCCCAGCTCTGGGTTTTGCCGATGCATCTATTTCCATCGATGTTATTCGTCTCGTAAAGATCGAAATGATGACAACATTACTGTACCTCTCTTTCTTTGTTCTTTCTGGGCTTCAGGTTTCAGGCGCTCTTGCTTCTTTATCTTTCTTTCGCGGACAAGTTTTGCCACTGACGCCAGGAACCCTTGATCTGGCTTTTGGTACTTTTTTTTGAAACGCCAGATTTTGGAGACGGTGGAGGAATGGTTTGTACAGTTTTCCTGGTACCTGCGCTGCTAAAGGCAATGGCTGCAAAGCACGGTTAAAGTTTGATGGGCCCGCTTCGCCATATCCATCAGAGCTTATATGTCTTTGCTAACGATTTTTTTGAATGGCAACTCGAAGGTCTTGGCCCTCTTGATCGTTCTCGTCGCTAGACTGTTCGCTTGGAAATGTATATGTAGCTCGCTGTTTTCTAATAGGGCTTTTAATATTTTCTTTACACTTATTTGATATACCGGATATTACCCTTTGTCTTTTAGGTTAGACATAAGGAAGAAGAGTGAGGAAAAGGAGCTGGTATTATTTAATGCGTGGCATTTTATCAATTGATTTTGTTCCAGTCCTTTGTGATCAGGGTGGACTTCATACAATAAACGTTATGATGGGATTCATATCAAGTTTCACGGTTCCAGGACAAATGATCTGTGTTACGATCCACTTTATCGCCTCATTAAGACACATTTTAGCGCCGCCTAATGATTCCTTTCAACGGGTGGCATCTCTGTATTGGCTTTACTCGTTATATCCAGATCAATATAGAAGGCTTAGTTGACCCTGCAGCAGCTGCGACTAATATTGTCTAAACTGGATGTTACTGCATCCATTCTTGTCGCTTCCCTAGACCGGGTTCAATTGAAAATATTGACGTATGTTGTAGTGAGGCCTTGACACCGGTTTGAGTGTATTGTCTCCACAACCATCGAGTTCATCCAGTGATTGCTTCAGTTTCATACATTTTTGTTCACCTACCCAAGCGCACACGTTGCCTAAAATAATGCGCTTCTTTTCCTCAAGCATTTATGCGTGTTAATCGGATAAATGAAAACGCATAAAAGAAAGACGACCCACTTTCAGAATGTATGTAACCGTGGTGATCTTACTCTATTTGTTAACGAAAAAAAGATCGAGAAGATCAGACTAGATAGCTAATGTAGGTCAGGACGACGTTTCGGCAGGGTTTAACTCATCGGTACAGAGTTAGCATTGCATGATAGAACTTACGTAGCATGAAAGTTTCGTGAGATCAAAACAGGTAATGCAATGTAGCTATCGGGTATAAAGGGAAAAAAAAAGCTTTGTGAGCCAAATTTTCAAATTCCGTGGTCCATGGCAACTTCAGCATGAATTTCATGAAATAAAAAAATAATTCATGAACAAATAAATCTATTTATATACTTGTGGTTTTCCCCCAAGATATGCATTGATGAAGACATCAATTATGTTGTTATGATGGAAGGAAAGGGAAAATAAACATGGAAAGATGTACCCTTATTTTGCAGCGAGTCGAGGGAGCAGCGTAGATTATCCCTTGCTGTTGTTTTGTTAGGTTTAGATATTCAGGGTCTTTTTTTTTTATCATCTGTGCTTCTCCTGAGCATTGTACTTTTTCCTTCTCAAGGATTCAGTGTGGGGTGATGCAACACATAAGAAAAAAAAAGAGCGGCAAGTGAGGAAAAATAGATAAATGAAACTGGTCGTCTGTATCGTGAGAAATCGGTTGGAATAAAGATGAGTACTCCACACACCGACTCAGCACGAAGCGAGGTTTTTTATCGAAATGAATTGTTTTTATTTCACATGCAAAAAAGAAGAAACATGATATCAATGTGTATATCAACAATAAGATTGTTCGAAAATCACACCCGCGGGTAGCTGATTCTTGCCTCCTTTGGTTCAAACCATCCTTTGTTAAACAACCGAAATGGTAAAATAAAAAAAAAACCGCAACTGACGTCAAAATACCTTCTTTTTTTTTGTCCTTCCCTCTTTTTTCATAATATATCTTAGGAGTGGAATTCGCTCATATTTGATTATTTCGGTTGTCTTCTCCTCTCCTTTCTTTTCATCGCTTTAAGATTAACCACGTTTTTCTCTTGATCTGAATCATTCGAACTTCCCAACGATTTTGATTTGACTCATTGACTTGCATTGGTGTCATGTTTGCGAAATCAAAACGTTTCCAAGATGGTGAGACAAACCGTTCGGGAGTGCTCCGAAGTGACAGCGGTCATTTTTTATCCTCTTAGTTTTGTTTCTGACGATTCTGTAATAGAGGAGAAGAAAGACTACATTCCTGGCCCTGGCGAATACAATGTCGGTGGCAATGACCTCGGAACACATAAACGATACGGCTTCTTGACCAACACCAATCGATTTTCAGAGAATCTAGGTCAGCTACTTCCACCAAAAAAAAAAAAAAAAAAAAAAGCCAGTGTGGCATTGATTATTTTTATCATTCGATCACAATTGCTAAAATAAGCTTTTTTTTTTTCAATACCATCTCCAGATGCCTCATTTGCACCTGATCTCTGTTATTTTGCAGGCGGCGAGAATTCCACAGCGACTACAGCGTCATCGGTGGATACGAGGTTATCCTTCTCTACCAGCAGTAACAAGACGGATGATGCACGATCCAGAAGGCACGTAACGGAAATGGCTCAGCAATTTGAAAAGTACCGACATGCCATGCAGAAAGAAATCGACCTCTTGCAAACCAAAAATCGCAAATTGGAAGCCTCGCTCCGAACCGTCATGTTGGAAAAAAACGAAACACAAGCATCACTGTTGGCCAAAGATCAGGAATTGGCCGATTTGAGGTCGAAAAATACAATTATCCAAAAATCTGTAAGTGTGTCGCCTTGCCATCCACCGAGAAATGGTTGATACCAAATAATGAAAATGTATTGTTTGTTTTTGTCATAGTTGGCACGCCAGGAAAAGAGTACGGAAAGATCGCCACGAGTCGTCCAACTGGAAAAGAAAATCGAGCAGCTCCGAAAAGAACTGGAGAGCACTCAAGCTGAAACGGCCCAAATAAAGGTCACCGCCATGCAGAAAGAGGAATGTAGTCAGGCATTAATGCAAGAAAAAGAGGCGGCATTGAAGGATCTGAAACAGGAATTGGAACAGCAGCATAGCGCTCATTTGAATCTCAGGAACCAACTGGAAAAATCTCAGGACGCAACAACCACGTTACAGACACAGTACCAAGAAACTCTTCACGCGTTGGATGAAACAAAAAAAGAGCTCAGCCTAGCTTGTGAACGTGCAGAGAGAAAAGATCAAGAAATTGCTGCATTACAAATGCGCGTCGGTGATTTGGAGAATCAAGTCGACCGCTGTATTGAGACTCAGCAGTCGCTGGAAGAAGAAATTCAGCAAACGAAGCTTCATCACCAGGAAGAACGGATCGTTTGGCAGGAAGAAAAAGCCGGTCTTTGTCATCTGACTGAGCAGCTGCAGGTCAAGCTGGCAGACAGCGATCAACAAACTCAAGTCTTGGAACTCCGCCTGTGTGCCGCCCATGACGAATTGGATCGGTGTGCAACCGCGCTAGCCGACAAGGACGACTTGATTGAAAAAAGCAATCGCACCATCGTTCAACTACAGAAACAGTTCTCTGTGTATCGTACGTACATGAACCGCATAGTCATCGACTGTCGTACCCAAGCCCAAAAAAACTGTGAGAAGCGAGAAGCCGAACTGGATCGATTGCTGAAGGAGTTGTATGAAGCCAAGAAATTCATTAATCGCCAAGCGCAGCATCTGGACGGGTTGAAATCGGAAATCCACTGGTTATCAAAATGGAATCGATCCCTGTGGGAGCTCACTCAAGCTCTTGACAAGGACACAGTGGCACGCCAGACGTGGCTGTTGGACCATCTGAATTTGGGCTTCACTGAAAATTTATCATGCACCTCACTCAAACAGATCGTGGCAACATTTTTGAAATCATCCGTCGTTCCGCTTTCTTCCACTTTAAATGCACCGCAAACTCAAGGTACGGTTTCATATTTCCTATTTTATAGGTTAAGAAAATTCATGCTGATGATGTTTTTGTATAGATGGTGTGTACAATGATTCTAGGTTTAGACTGATGAGTTCTGATGTGAAAGAAGTGTGAACATCCATCCGCAACCATCCCCCCCTTCAAAAATCCCCCACAAAACACACCAATAAGAATACTGCGTATCACTTGAGACACACATCAGAGAACTTGTGACAAGATACCCCCCCCCAACACACACACATTGCCGTGCTCATACCCTTGTCAAGACCACCCTTACTCTGTAATCCTTTATAATAGTTAGCGATCCCTTTGGCGATCGACATTTTGATATACCCTTCAAGTTGTGATGATTACTGAATTTTTTTTCAGTTAAAAAAGCCAAGATCTGGTGATACCCTTTCAATAAACAAAGAAGCAAACGGAACAGAAAGAAAATAAAGAAAAATGTATCAATGATAGGCATATTTTTACCCGACATTGCATAAACTAGGAACAAGATCGTAGATTGTATATTGGATAATAGTTACAAAAAAAAGAGCATCTTAAGACGCTTCAAAAACATTATAGGATATAAAAGAAAAAAAAAGACAAAACTGGTATAATTATATGATTTAGCAGGCGCATCCACTCGCTTCCGTACCAGAGTTGCTAAGATTGATTTTTTGCACTAGGAAGATCATATGCAGATTGAGTGATCCCAGCAAAAGCTTGGCAATAAGGATTTTCGCTATTTATTTTTCTCTTGAAAAACTTACTTTGATCTTTCTGGTCGACAGGGTTATTGTTGATACCGGGCAGCGCTTGGGCAATCTTTCGGAAAAGGGTCTTGACGTTATGGCCCGCCTTGGCACTGGTTTCAATAAACATTACATTTAATTCCTTGGCTCTTTTTTCGCCTTCATCCGCAGTGACTTCTCTATGAAATCAGAGTCCCCCAAAAAAAGAAACGCTTGTCAGTATAATCCGAATGCACAAAAGAAGTGTGTCTTGGAACAAGGGATTACCTCTTTTCGTTGAGATCAGTTTTGTTACCAACAAGGACAACAATCGCTTCGTTTCCTCGTTCGGCGCGTACATCATCGATCCATTTGGTCGTGTTCAAGAATGAATCTCGGTCTGTTCAAAAGTCACCGGTCACCTATAATTCTGATAAACATTCACCATGCCAACCTCCATCACCTACTGGAAATATCATAAACAATCACAGCGACCGACGAGTCCCGAATATAGCTAGGAATCAAACTACGGAAACGTTCCTAGTAAAAAATCGAAAATATGAGACTCGAGGCTTTTTTTTTTCTGAGGGGTCCGAATTTTTTTTTTTTGTCCTACCTGCCCGGCGGTATCCCACAATTGCAGACGGACCGTTTTATCCTCAAGATACATGGTTTTGGATAAAAAGTCGATACCAATCGTAGCCTGAGAATTTAATAAATACATGGTTTCTTTCTTTCTTCTTTATCTTCACAGAACCTTACCTGATATGTGTTATCAAAAGTATCATACATGAAGCGGGTAATGAGCGATGTCTTGCCAACTAAATCAGTGCCATGGTGTTAGACTCCTTTTTTTTTTTTGAACCGTGTCGAAAAAACGGTTCCAAGATATATTTACCGCTTTGTTCACCCAAGAACACCAGCTTGTATTTTCTCAAAGGGCTGCTAAAATCGGGGCTGGCCATATCGAAAAAACAACACAAAGCAAAAAGGAGCTGAAAAAGAAAAAGGTAGGTTTTAGAGTTTCGTTGTCAGCCTTGCACCAAAGACTTTCAGAGACTCAACGTTCCTCTTTTTTTTTTCTTGTGTGACTGTTGGGATTGAATCTGTCAGCGTTAGTAAAGAATATGCATGTGCATCATGAGTAAGTATTTATCGCCTTGGAGCTATACAAACAATGCGCAGCGTTATGAATGGATTTCTCAAAACGACCGTTTATTTTTTCTTTTCCGCTTCCCCACTGATCCCCTTGACCATTTGAAAGGGGTCGTGCTGCTCATGTTCATTCTCCGACATCAAAATCAGCGGAGACCGGAAAAGTATTGGAACCCACTGAGGTTTTTCTTTCCTTCTGTTTATGCTAACGTTTTTTAATTCTTGTCCAAATAGCAATAAGTGGTAGAAAATCAAAAAGTAAGAGTATAAAGGAAACAAGGGCTTTGAAAAGATTGAATGAGAGGAAAAGGTCAAAATAGAGAGAGTAGCTAACAAAGTAAAAAAAAAAGGGACAAACTAGCTGTAAATGTATCCATTATATCTGGGGTTCTTTTTAAGCGTTCCAAGGGGATCGTTTGGTGCTTCAAAAAATAATGACCAACAGCATGAATGATTATGTGAACGGGACGTTTTTTTCTTTTTGGCGGTGGAAAAAGGATGTTTTGATTTAATCGGTGGCTGCGTTTGCCGGTTTTAATCCTCGTAATTCGTCGTTGACGAACCCTTCGGCATCGGAAATACCTTTGTTAAAGCCCATCTCGGCGATCGTCACTGCTTTCTCGGCATCCAAACGCTTGGCCAAGAACGAACGCTTGTTGGAACGACGACGAGGTCGGGATGGAGGTGGTCCTTGTGCCTGCATGGCAGGTTGTGCGTATTGGGGATAGCTTTGACCGCCGCCTTGAGAGGTTAACGAAGCAACCGTGCCCAACAAATCTCCCAAGGGACCCAAGTCTCGCTTGGCCATTTCTTCGGTACCACCAGCAGGGTACGAGTCTTGTTGTCCGGCATGCGAAGGGAGTTCGTTGTAAGGTGTAGCCTGGCCGAGCATATCTGCAGCCGCGAACGACGCTTCATTGACGAGATCGGCGGCTTCGCTGTCGACCGATCCGATATCGGCAAAGTCTTGACCGGGTGCACCCTCAGCTGCCGGGTCCAAGTTAGCCGAAGCCTCAGCATCAACTGCAGAAGGTTCTTGGTTGGCTGAAGGTTCGGTGGCAGCAGTAGAAGCAGGGTCCTGGTTAGCTGATGGTTCGGTGTTAGCTGCGGGTTCCTGGTTAGCTGATGGTTCAGTGTTTGCTGCGGGTTCCTGAGTTGCTGATGGTTCGGTAACAGCGACAGGTGTATCTTGCTTCACAGGAGGCTCGGCAGCCGCAGTGTTGGCGCCTTGGGTGGCAGGTGCTTCGGTGGCGGCAACAGCGGCGTCCTGTTTGGCAGGCTCGACGGCTGCGACAGCAGCAATCATGGCCACCACAAGACTGAGTGTGAGAAATCTAGACGGATGCATTTTACAAGATAAGTGAAACTAAAGGGTGGGTAGGTAGGAGAGCCGAGCAAAAGGATCTTTATATGTCATTTTTTTGAGTCTGTCCATACAAGTAGGATGTAGAAACGTGCCTTTGCATTTTTCGTTTTTCTTTTTTTTTTTTTCATTTGAAATTCTTCTCCTTATTGTTCCCACCTACAAAAAGTCCTCCTATGAATCTCCCTAATCAATATGTCCTTCAGGCCTGCGTCTTAGGAGCTAATACATCTCATTTTTTCTCCAATCAATGGGCTTAGATTGTCCCTGAGGGGTACACATGAAATACGTGCTATGCGTCTGTGACGCATCAAGTAAGAAGGAAGGGGATCCTCCCCACCACTCATTCACTGGATCAGACTTACGATACAACGGGTTTCTGCCTGCCTCTTTGTTTTGTTTCCTCTTTTTCTGTCCCTACACGAAATTCCAGTCTGGTCCATCCTCCGCAATGCAGAAAAAAAAAGTTTAACTGACGACGAATGAGTTTGACAGGGAAGATCGCCTAATGTAAGGAGATCAACCGCGTTTTTTTTCTTTCTTTGAGCGCCGTGATCCGATCAGAAATCACATTTCATGCATCCTCATCTCTATAGGAAATTCCGACGCTTCAAGAATGTACACTAATTGCAAGCGCGCGCAAAAAAAAGTAGATTGTGTGCCTTGTTTTCTGCAGTTTAAGGAGACTCAAAAATTCAAAAGTGTGCACAGATGATGATGATGATCTAATTCATTTGAATAATGGAGGAAAAAAAATTCCATCCTCCTAAAGCCACAACAAAAGATCGTCAATTGCAAAAAAGCTACTGTACATCTTTTGAACAATCTTGGCATCATTACTGTTTTTGTAATAACTTGAGGTGTGAAATTCGAGATACAGAATGCAATGATCATCAAAATCCCCACCTCGTAATGAATTCCCTGCAATTACATGAATACAGTCAATCATTGCGCATTTTGATTTGATGATACTTAATATGCATGATTGAATCCCTGGATTGGGACATACCTTGGCTGCTGGCAGGGATCTTTTCTCGTTCTATCGAAAACTCATTACCTACTTGGGAGTATCCATTACGCAATCCATGTAATCACAACACTAGTGGATTCGGAAAGAAAAAAAGTATTCGACGCGTGAGTCATCTTATTAGGTCAATTTTTGAGGAATACTGTACATAATTAAGTTACACCAGCAGGCATACATGGTATGGAAACAGCGATAACTTGACCGGAACCAAGTAACTCTTCCAGCGTTCCTGCTTGACACTACGCCTTGGTCATTTTTCTTTTCAGCTTGTCGATCTTTTATTGTTATCTCGCTCGGTGACTAGACAGGATTTAACGAAATGGAACACCGCAGCAGAACTAGAGCTGCGGGTCGGATGTTCGATTCAAACATACTCTCTTCGAGCCATATATGAGGCTGACAGGAGCTGCACATAAAATTCATGCGTCCCACGGTATGTCTACTTGGGAGTTCCGATTCGCTGTTTCGATCACTCTTCAGCGTCTCTGACTGCTCATCAGACAGTACTTTAATGTAATTATTGAATGCCGTAATTGCCAGTAGGTGCAGGTAAAGTACGGATGCGTTCCGCAGTATACTTTTATTTGCTATCCTCATAGTCAGTCTTGCCGGATTCAACGGGCAAGCTTGGCGACGGCGCTTCGTCTGGGGTTGTTGGGACAATCGCATCATCCCTCCATCATTTATCTCGAAGAGCTGACACCTTACATTAGTATAATGCTTGAATTACAGAGTGTTCTCGATAAGCTGTTCTCTTGTAGAACACCGCATTTGAATGTGATTACTTTTTTGGGGCACTATGCGAAATATTGAATGTATTTCAGGTTCGCTATTTGACTCATGGAACCAAGTATATATGACAAGTAGAAGATAGAGAAGCCAGAAAAGCCCGCAACCAGTATCCTCAAGCGTTCGGAAAAGATTGATTATAAACATATCCGAAAGTATCCATCCAGGATCAGCGCTTCACGATGGACTTGGACACACGGTTTGAAGTCGTGGACGCGTTTCATAAAATAGATCAATGATAATACGTCCTATATTCTCTGATACATAATAGCCTCAATCACGTTACGATGGCTCTCCTTGTTGGCAAGAATTCAGATCGACGATCGATGGCGAACGCATAGTATTTATCCACATGTTAATATGGATAAAGTTTGGATCAGTCATTTTGACCAGCTAATGACAGGAAACCTGCTTGTTAGGCAATCTGGGACTTTTTCCTTTTTTTTTTTTTTTTTGGCAGGGAATCTTGGACTAATTTTCAGTTGATTTCAAAGTAGGCCACAATTTCTTTACTGATATTGACGACCTCTTATGGAGTTGTTGCCAATGACTGGAAACATGTCAGTTATGGCATTTTTTGTGATAATGCATGCGTGCCTGAAGAAAATGACACGACAGGTCTCATATGTTGTATGAGGGAAATAAACAATACCAATGCATCAAGTTATGTGGCACCAAGGCCATGATGCTGCTCATCCTTTGACGCGGCAGGCGTTGGAAGAAGTGCTTTGTCTTGGCAATCAACTAAAATACGCAAGCGCTTACTGTAATGCCAAGTGTGTCCCTTTACCTGGGACCTCTCGTTTTCTGCATGTCCTACTCCACCGATTCTACTCATTTCAGGCAACCATATCAGCATGCGTTCAGTGGTTTTTTTTTCGCCGTCTCGCATCTTCAATCAAAGGTTGCGCAAGTAATTGAAAACAGTGACGAAACGCAGTCTAGGTGATTGTTTAGGTTTTGAGATGTACTGGTAATTACTCTGTACTACGTTCCTAGCACCTGCTTTCATGTCACAAAAACTTTATGCGTAAGATACGGAATGCTGCTCACCTAATTTGCTCGTTTATTTTGGCAGCTATCGTTGCTCATCCTTTCAAACGAATTCTTCCAAAATATTGACGTAAACACTGATTATCATTGCTTTTTTAAAGTCCAGGCAACCTCTTTTCTCCATCATTGCTTTTGTTGATGCAAGTTATAAAAAGGTTGGGCGATTATGCCGGTAATGAGCATAACCAGCTTTTTTTTCCGGCTATTCATCTTTAATAATCCAACCAACGAGCTTTGTTTTGTTGTTGCTGATAATATATCGTTAATTTTTTCTCGCCGTTTGCCTTTTCATGTATCGCTTGAACAACCAAGGATTCCTCTGACGAAAAAAGTCCAAACCAATATTGTGTGCTTTTCCTCAAATCCGAAGTAATCTTATCCGCACGTCCGTAGTAATGAAATGGGTCACCTTTGACCTTTACTCGCATCATCATTTACTCAACGTCATATAATATGATAGAAGCCAAGACTTTTGCTGTGAATTTTTTGACACAAGCCTCGACTAAACTTCATAATTTTCAGTCAAAAACTAAGTTTTCCTAGTCGACGAGCTATTGATCAGCATGGAACAACGCAAGTGGTGCAAACAGGCTACTTCTATGCGAAATTTAAAAAGCTATACTATATTGATTGTTATACGTGGTTTCAAAAGCTTTTAAAAAGAAAACCATGGAGATTGATAATCTGTTTCGAGAAACAGAGACAATTGAATTTATTTCCTAACGATCACTCGCACAAAAAAAGAAAAGGACGGTAATTGAAAGCTGCCGTAATTATCACAAGTATTTTATTAAGGAAAAAGGAACTTTTGTATATGTAGAGTAAGGATTACAGTGGAGTTCTGCATAATCAAACACGGGGGAAAGTTAAGCTGATCCATTGGCACTCTTGATGGTCTTTTCCGCAGTTGCGGCTTGGTCCTTGACAGTGTCGACAGCTTCCTTGCCCTTGGAAACGACTTCATCGGCCTTGGTTTGCACTTGAGTCACGGGGTCCTGAGATGCTTCGGATTCTTCATCGGCACGCTTGGTGTTCTTCTTGATCTGGGTGTTGGGACTCTTGGCACCCACGGAGACCATCAAACCATCAACAACATCGAGGTCATTCAAAGAGTCTTTAACGTTGGCACCGACGAGCTGGTTCTGGTTGTGCTTGCTGTCCTTGTCACCGCCGATGACGGCACGCTTGGTGTTCTTCTTGATTTGGGTATTGGGACTCTTGGCACCAACGGAAGCCATCAAACCATCGACGACATCGAGATCATTCAAGGAATCTTTAACGTTGACACCAACGGCTTGGTTCTGGTTGTGCTTGCTGTCCTTATCGCCACCGATGACGGCACGCTTGGTATTCTTCTTGATCTGGGTGTTGGGGCTCTTGGCACCAATGGAAACGCCAGCACCATCAATGACGTCGAGGTCGTTCGCGGAATCTTTAACGTTGACACCGACGAGTTGGTTCTGGTTGCCCTTGGTATTCTTGTCTCCACCGATGACGGCACGCTTGGTGTTCTTCTTGATCTGGGTATTGGGACTCTTGGCACCAACGGAAGCCTTCAAACCATCAATGACGTCGAGGTCATTCGCGGAATCTTTAACGTTGACACCAACGGCCTGGTTCTGGTTGCCCTTGGCGTTCTTATCGCCACCAATGACGGCACGCTTGGTGTTCTTCTTGATCGAAGTGTTGGGACTCTTGGCACCAATGGAAGCCTTCAAACCATCAATGACGTCGAGATCGTTCAAGGAATCTTTAATGTTGACACCAACGGCCTGGTTCTGGTTGCCCTTGGCGTTCTTGTCACCACCAATGACGGCACGCTTGGTATTCTTTTTGATCTGGGTGTTGGGGCTCTTGGCGCCAACGGAAACGCCAGCACCATCGACGACGTCGAGATCATTCAAGGAATCTTTAATGTTGACACCAACGGCCTGGTTCTGGTTGCCCTTGGCGTTCTTGTCACCACCAATGACGGCACGCTTGGTATTCTTTTTGATCTGGGTGTTGGGGCTCTTGGCACCAACGGAAACGCCAGCACCATCGACGACGTCAAGATCATTCAAGGAATCTTTAACGTTGACGCCAACAGCCTGGTTTTGGTTGTGCTTGCTGTCCTTATCGCTACCAATGACAGCACGCTTTCGATTCTGAGCGGCACCAGAAACGGCTCCGACGGTATCTTGTACTGTGGTGCCAACGGTATCAGGGGAAGCCTGAACACCACTCAATGCTTGGGTGGCAGGGACTTGGCTACCAAGGTTTTCACCAATGGGGGCAGCTTGGGATACGGTTGCGAACAAAAAGACTGCTGCAGAAATAGTAAGGAACTTTAAATGCATTTTCTATAGTATAAATTAAAAAAAAGAGGTAGTGGGTAGCGCTGGAGGATGAAGATGTTGGGGCACTCCAAGGTGTCGCCTTATATATGTCGACCTCCACAAAAAAAACCCAATCCCTTTTTCCAACATCTTCTTACAACGAGGTTCATGCTTCTGAGTTTATTAGCTAGCTAGAAGAAATAGAAAAAAAGGGGAGGTCGATGCATACTCCTGTCGGCGCTGCAGATCTTGGAGGTGTTTTACAGGGGAAGATCAGAGTCAGTGTGCTGCTTGATTTGATGCTTCTCTGAGTTTAGATCCTTTTTTTTTCTACATGTTTTCTATTTGAATCGGGGTCTTTTCTTTTTTCCTGTTCGCTTTGAAGCATCAAACAACATGAAAAAAGAAAAAAAAAGAAAAATTTAATCGTCCGACCCCCGCAGGGACTTGCAAAATAGAAAGATGGAAAAGAAGACTGCGAAGCCATGATATGATTCTCGAAGGATGGTTATTCTTTGTTTCTTTTTTTCTTTTGGTCCCTTTCTCCACCTCAAACGCACCTGGGTTACTTCTTTAAGGAGGTTTATCGAGGGAGGATATAGAGGGAAATGATTCGACAAGACGATTTTTGACGAATATTAATTCACCCGGATACACAAAAGGGGTCGATTGCATTGGGAAGTTTTCATCCAAGAATTCTACGTGCTCCTTTTGTATCACCTCAACAACGTATCATCCGCCATGATGAGACCACTCTTACTATAAACATTTTGAATTTCTTTTTTAATCGTCATGGAAACTGTATTCTCTAATGTGTTTTGTTTACATGTTTAGATGCATAATTTTATTAGTCCATCACTTGATCACAGGATCATCTTCCGAAGACCTATTTCAGTCTTGTTTCAAGACATTAAATAGCATTAAATGGATGCAAAATATAAAGGAAAAAAAAAGAAGCCAGCCTATTACCAAGGGGCAATAAGCAGCGCGGTTTTCATCCTCCTTAACTCCAATGGATGGGAAACTTTGTTCAGCACCTGCGCACCACAAGATAAGGATACTCGATAAAGTGCTTCTCACATTAATACGCGAAAAAATAAAAAAAATAAAGATACAATCGCACCTTTCGACAAAAAGTATTCTGGTTTTTCTTTATTTTGTGCCTTGTTGTGGTGCATCACAGAAAAAACCAAAACAAAATCGTACGGCGAAAAAATCAACATTCATGAACCTTTTTGCTTTTCCTTCCCTGTTGTGTCGCAAACACCTCCACAATAAAGTTCACAGTCCGATGACAGGTTGCTGAGTGCGACTTTTTCCACATCGAAAGCTTGAAAGTATATCCTCTATTTGGGCAATGGCTCAGCCCGACTTGTTTTAGTTCATTGGAAATGACAAACAGGACCGGAATGATGCACGTCATATATCTTTACTTACAAGAACGTGCTTTGTTTCAGGTGGGTAGCAACTAATGGTATTAGCTAACGAGCATGATATGAGCATGATATTGATCATGTAATAAATCTTGGGAGGAGGGAGAAAAGGAAAAAAAAATGCCTTTTCCAGTAGTATGATTCGCGAATTGAGCGTGGCACCCTACAAAAAAAAAGTTAGCTTGTTTTTGCATCAAATATTTTTAGCATCTTCTCTTTTGATGCGTTGATTGCGGCGGCGCGATGAACTCAAATGTCGTTTATTATTTGTTTTGGAACAAAAAAAAAGTGCAGAATCAGTTTTTTTGAACTTGACTTGACATCAGATGGATTAGATATTGAGTGAAAAGAATAAAAAAATTTGGGTTGTATTTTATGTATTCTCCACCACGTGTATCCAATTTTTTTCTAGTTTGAGCCTTTGGATTATGAAGGGAAAAATCAAAAGGGATGTAGGAGCCTTATTCAGGAAGCGGGAGACTAACGCGGGCACTTACAGGTAGTGGATCGTCGCTGCGTTGACCCTTTTAAGGTTTATGGTAGAGACAACACATGATGGCACAGCAAAACATGACGGGAATTGTGTGGGCTTTTTTTTATAATGTGTATGAACAGGGATGGGAAGAAATACAAATGATGATGAAGATGCAAGAATAATAAGAAAAGGGATTAAATGGAGTGGATAATGACAGTAGCAGGGAAAGGATTTAAATTTTAACGGTGGTTTAGAGATAAAAGTGGCGGACATCGCCCACGCCAAAAGATTCACCACAAGACGGACATCGTCGTTGTCTGGTATCTAAACGTGCTTCAATACATTCTTTGCAAAACGTATGCATACATCTTCCCAGAAGACGACTCCGAAAATTGGTTCGACAAGCACTGCATTTCAGAAGGGCCTAAGCATAACATCATCATCCAATTAGGTAACTGTAGGCTGCAACAACACTATCCCTGCGACCCCCTTTTTTTTTTTTTTGGGCCCCGGCCCCCAACAACCCAAGCATACACACGCACACACACGCACAAAAACACTTACTCTGAGTTCTTCCACTTCCGCCGCTAATTCTTGCTCTGCTGGATTATGGCCTTGTGAAATCATATCCCATTTACGTTTCATTTTCTCGTAATCTTCATCAACACGTTTGCGTAGATGTTTTTCTTCCTCGAACGCTCGCGTTTTTTCTTTCAATAGTTTTTGGAGCTAATGCATCAAGCAACAACAAAAATAAAAATAACAATTGCCCAAAAGCAATGTTATGATAAATAAACCCATCTTCTTTTTGAACTTTGTATGTGTGTTTTGGTATCTTTTGGTTACCTCCAGGACACGGGATTCACATTCGTCCAGTGTATTTTTACATTCGCCACATTGCAACGTAACGTCTTCGATCTCCACACGACAATCTTCTACTGCTTTGGCCGTCGACCGCACCTCATTCTCCTTGTCATCCTAAAAACAAAAATGCAAACCACCTTAGTCCATCTCATCCTGCATTTCCCAAAAACAGAGAAAATGCGAAGCAAAATAGGAACACAAAAAGCCAAAACAAGACAGAAACCAGAGAAGTGAAAAAAAATGAGTATCATTACCAGTTGCTTTTCAACCGCTTTTCCGCGTTCTTCCAATTGTCGCAAGTGTTCACGTTGTTGTTCGCTTGTACGCCTTAGAGAAGCTACCGTTGCCATTTGTTTATCTTTGGCCATTTTCAAGGCCGGAAAGGTCTGGGCAAATTTCGATTTCTGATTTTTTGACAGACATGAGTGTTATCAGCCCAGGATCTCTTTCATGCATCCAATGACTTCCTGTAACCCTTACCTCGGCCTGCAGCTTGAGTTTGCACTCCCGCTTGTCGCATTGTTTGGAAATTTTTGCACTTTGCTCGTCTAATTTACCATACATAGCGGCGGCCCGATCAATCTGTTGAAGCAATTGGGTCTCATACTAAGAAAGAAAAAAAAGAGAAAGAGATGAGCATCCCTTTTCCTCCATGCTTGCGGCCTTTTCTTTCTTTTAGACTTACGCTATCATAGAAATCAATCATGAGCTGCAGTTGATTGTACTGGGTGGACAAGTCGTTCAATTGCTTCATCAATGTTCTGATGGAAGTAGGTAGCTTCTCGCCGTCGTCAATCCAGATGCGAAGCTTATTTTGAATACTTTCAACCTGTGACCTGTGTACATGCTGTGCTTCTTGCAGCGATCGCGTATTCATCACATCTTGTTGACTTTGTCTTTTTAAAGCTTCCAGCGTACGTCGTGCATGACTGCAAATCCCGAAAAACAGAATTCCAGTAAGTCCACGGTTGTCCGATCATTAAAGCAATATCTGTCTATTGCCCCCACTTACTCTAAATTGTCTTTCAATTGTGTAAACATCGCCAATTCATTCGCAAGCGGTCCAGCCTTGTCTTGCGATGAGGATGCCATGGTCTCTTGTAATGTTCGTAAATGTAGCTCCAGCTCGTCTACATGTTGCTTTTTCCCATTCGGAAAAAATAAAAGGAAAAAAAAGCAACGCAAAAAGCAATGTTGAGTCCCTGCTTCCTTTTCCCTTTTTCATGCAAGATGTTTTGGTGGATCTACCTTTGCTTCATCGGCTGACAGACGAACTTGATCATTCATGGCTCTGTCACGATTATCCCTGTTCGTCAGTTCGTTGAGCAATGTTTGAAACTGGTCCCGTTGCCCTCGAATACGTGTTAAATCGTTTTCCAGACGTTTCATCTCGGCTTCCAGGGACTGAGTTTGAGCGTTCTTTTCATTTTTGGCCTGATCCATAATTTGACGCCTTTCGATCGAATCATTATCTAGATCCTTTTCCAGGCGCGTTCGCCAATGATCCAAATAGTGAAGACGCGATCGATAATGGTCGATGGATAGCTGCAGATTCTTGACGTACTGGGTTTCCAAAAGCTGTTCATCCGATATGGTCAAAAATTGTGATTTCAAGCTTTCTATATCGGATAACAATTGTTCCCGTTCTCGCTTTAAATCTTCCATTTCCTTTTTCCGTGCGTCCACAATCAGCTGATGTTCGTTCAATTGTGATTGGATGGCTTGGTCAGCAATGGACCCTGGGGTCACCGGTTTCGTCTCTTTGGCAACCGTCGACGTCCTAGCGTTGCCCTCGGCGGGTGGCGAGGATAATTTCCCATTCGCTGCCTGCATTTCCAAATCGCCCAAACCACCGTAAGCGAGTGAGGCGACCACCGCACTTTTCGATCGATCGTATCGTTTTTCCGCTTGCACCAATTTCTGTATACAATCGTCAAATGCTTCCCTCATACTCGTTAACCGATCGGTCGTTGTCTGGAGCTGATTCTTCACGCCGTTGGTCTGTATCGAAAGCGCCTCATGTTGATTCCGCATCTCGCTTACTAATTTATGAGTTCGATCCGTCGACGATCGTAAATCCTTGATCTCGGACTGTGACCATGGCTGTAGTAAATTTTGATGCGCCGCTCCATCTACCACCATAACAATCGTCAGATCAACCGCTTCCCGAGAAACGAACGCCCTCCAAAAAAAAGAAACATTGCTATGCCAAAAATAATAAAGTATAATTACCATTCGTTGCTTTCAAAGCATCTTCCAATGCATTTGCTTTGGTCGTCCAGTTTTGGATAGGCTCCAATACTCGCGAAGCCAAAGCAATAAGCGCTTGACGAATGATATCGAGACTTTCTTGTAAATGTTCACCTGTAATGGCAGGGTCCTCCGGTAGTTCTGTTCATCAAAGCAGTGAACCAAATCAGTTATATGATACCAATGAACTCTCATCAGCAACAATATTTTTTACCTGGAATCAAAGAGTCGTCCACGTCAAACAGCGATTTGCCAGAAAAGATCAGTTCGTCCCGCAGCTAAACAATGTCAAAAATCAAAGAATCAGCTTGATCTGGCCAAAACAGACAAGTCGGTGATATCAACAATTTACCATGTTGTAATGTATTCTAACAATACTTTGACTGCTTTTGGTACGATTCTCATCCTGGGTCATGGTCTCCATTCGATTTTCCAGCAAAGCGACATTTTCCTGTGGGAAACGATTAAATACCGATCTTTCATGTCATTGCTGAGGTAAGCAAGAATCGGCCAGCCACATACCTTGACTTTGCGCATGCGGCGTAACAGTACAGTTTTGGAGACATTCTCGGGAAACTAGCGTGGGCATCGATGAGCAAGAAGCATAGAATGAAGGTGAGGGAAAGCCGTGGCATGATCATATTGATCCGATGGCGATTGGAAGCTGTCATTCCCATCGATCATCTGACATGCCAAGGCTCGGGCAGAAAATATAATTACCGTCAAACTAGTATCTAATTCGTCGGTCTGTACAGTAGGTGATTCCAGTGGGGTTGGAGACGGTTCTGGTGCAGTGGGTTCATTGGATACCGTTGTGGAAGCCGGCGTGTAAGGCGCGGCCGTAGCACTGCTAAAGCCTGTGAATCTTTTCTTGAGCGGCGGACGCGACGGAGAAGAAGAGCCTGCAATGGAGATGGGACTGTCAACGTCGTCCGCCCAAGCACGTTTCTTCTCTTGGGTTGACATTATGGGGGGCCAGGCAGACAAAAATGATTCCACCCTTTGTGGGCGGTGTTTACCAAAAAAATATCGATCACGTGCTTTCGCTCAAGGCAGGACATGCCAGAAGCAGTCCTTTCTGAGCCATTTTTGACAGATTTTTTTTTTTAAATTTGTCAAACTTCTTCCAACTTGGTCCACTTATATTCAATATTCTACTTTCAACTACTAACGGGTAAAAAACTTTTTAAATTATCTACACGAACCGTTCCCTTACTCTCCGTCTCCTCTACTTCTACACTATTCGTTCTACTCCTTTTGAACAGTAACAACCGCGCGAATACTAGACATAAGAAAATTGGAGGTTAAAACAGACCAGTTCATACATTTGTGATAAATGATCACTCACCAATCACCAGAGTGCATGGCATCAAAGGCCTTGTTGAGATCTTCAAAGTCAAAGGTGTGAGTGATGAATTCGTCCACCTTCAAGCTGCCATCAAGATATTGCTGAACGAGACCGGGCATCTCCGTCTTGCCCTTAACACCGCCGAAAGCCGATCCTCGCCACACACGGCCAGTGACTAACTGGAAGGGACGGGTGCTAATTTCCTGACCGGCACCAGCGACACCAATGATGGTGGATTCACCCCAGCCCTTGTGGCAAGCTTCAAGAGCAGCACGCATCACGTTGACGTTGCCAGTACAATCAAAGGTGTAATCGAGACCACCCTCGGTCATTTCCACAAGCACTTCTTGAATCGGTCTATCGTAATCCTTGGGATTGATGAATTCAGTAGCACCAAATTCCTTGGACAGTTTCTCCTTCTTGGGGTTGATATCAATGGCAATGATACGGCTAGAAAGTAGATATTTCCAAAATGAGCCGCTGTATATTTTTAGGAAAGAAAGGGTGACTTACCTAGCTCCGTTGAAAGCAGCACCTTGGGCGACGCTCAAACCGACACAGCCCATACCAAAGATAGCCACCTAGAAGCAAGTACGTTGTTGCATCAATACCGTGGCTCGTTCTACGTCTGCTCATTTTTTTTTTTCACTTACAGACGAACCCTTGGTGACCTTGGCAGTGCGAGTAGCGGCACCGAAACCGGTGGTAATACCGCAACCCAACAAGCAAAGCTTCTGCAAGCTGGGCTTAGGATCCACCTTGACGACGGACACATCAGCGACAACTGTACTTGAGCGTGAGCTTCTGTTGTTGTCCCTAAAAACCATCCTTCCAACCTACCTGTGTATTCGGAGAAGGTGGAGCAACCCATGTAGTGATAGATAGGCTGGCCCTTGCAGGTGAAGCGAGTTGTTTCATCGGGCATCAAACCACGACCCTACGGATCCTCGTGAATATACAATGATTATTTTACATATTACGGCGACAATTTGGTCGTACCTGAGTGGCACGCACGGATTGGCACAAGTTGGTCTTGCCACTGGTGCAGAACTTGCACTTCTTGCACTCGGCGGTGTAAAGAGGAATGACATGGTCGCCCACAGCCACATCGGTCACACCTTCACCAACAGATTCGACAATACCGCCACCTTCGTGACCAAGAATGGCAGGGAAAATACCCTCGGGATCTGTATTGAATATCCACAAGTATGAGTCCTTGTTCACAAATGCAATCATTTTTCAATCCTTATTTACCAGTGCCTGAAAGAGTGTATGCGTCGGTATGGCAGCTGATGACCAATAACCAAAAAAAAAAAAAAAAAAAAAAAAGAGTCAACATATTCCTGTGACCAGTTTTCTCGTCCTACTCTAAACAAATACTTACACGCCAGTATAGCAAATCTTGATACGGACTTCGTTAGCCTTGGGAGGAGCGACTTCGATTTCTTCAATGGCTTTAAGGAAATTAATAAGAAATGAAAAATCATAAATCCAGAGTCCGAGCCAATGGGTTTCAAAAAAGTGGCCAACTTACAAAGAGGTTCGCCCGCCTTCCAGGCAATGGCAGCACGACATTTAATAACCTTTGTATGTAAATCACTGTCAGAGTCATTCAAATAGTCATTTCGAGTGCGTGTTTGTACCTGACCAGCAGTAGCACTTTGAGACGCCATGTTCGTTTTTTTATTCAAAGAGAAGAGCGAGAAAAAAAGACGCTTTTCCACGCTTGCCGAGTTGCAAAAGGCATGTCAATGGCGAACTGTGTGACTGTGAAAAAGCGGAATTACAGCATGGTGGCGGAACATGAAAACCCGAAAAAACACCCACGATTATAGATTGGATCCGATCACTCGGCCTGATCAGCCGAGGATTGCTCATATTCTAACAAGCCGTACACCCGCTGTGCAATGGATGCCGCCTGCCACCGGAGGCCGCCCTCTTACATTGAGCGACTTTCGTCAGACAAAAAGCCTAACGCATACACGGCATAACCTGGGCGAGAACTCTTGGCGGAACTTCGGTATATTAATGACAACCTTATGCCATACGTTGCAACGTGATTTGTTTCTGAACACGCGCAGGGCAGCACTGGTTCCCCCCTCAGTTCCATCCCGCCCAGGCTATGATAGATCTAGAAAGATGTGTGGGTATGTTGGGTATTTAAAAAAATGAGTTAGTAAGCTCTTTGATTGATTCAAATTTTCGTCAAGATATTTTACCTTTGTTATTTGAGTTTGCAATAGCCATTGATTGCTTGACATGACTTGGATTATATGACATTGAAAATTTTTTGAATTAGTATACGTTCATTATACATCATAGCAAAGGAAAAGAAATTGGACTTGCCTTTGAACCAAATGGTGAACCGGACAAAAAAAAAAGATGATACGGACCGCCAGGTAAGCTTCTTCTTCGATGCGGAAAATAAAATTGCTTCCAGGGACAGTTAAGCGATGGATCGGTGGTGTCAGCTTGAGCAGGCAAAAAATATTGACGTGGCCAGAAGTGACGGTAACTTCGAGTTGGATTCCAGATATCGAGAGTCCCCAAGTCTGTTTTGCCGGAGCAAAATCGATGGTAGACCACTCGACGCTTACCTTTTTGAGGATGGTGGTCAATTTAACCAAGTTAGATACACGGGATAAGAATCGTCTGGATGATGGATGCGGATGGGATCTTGATACAATGATAGTAGTGAGGGTTTATCAAGTAAACAGAAAGAGAGAGAGAAAATCAAAAGAAGAAAGATAAAATTGAAGACAAAAATATATGATTCTCCATGGATGAAACAATAGTCACCCCACTGATGCATGAATTCATAGATCGAAGCACGTCTGCTTATGTATTATTCGATTCATTGAAAATTGAAAGAGAATGAAAGGACATATATAGTATAACTGACAAAAAAAACAACAAATTGAATGATGCTACAGAAGAACGCCAGTCGTATCATCAACCACTTTTCTTCAAAAAGAGCTCTACTCACATTTTATTCGAAAGACGACAATGCTCTGTTTGACCACAACTGGTGCAAACGGTATCTTGCTGCTGATTGTTTCGCCTATTATCGTGAAAGTGGGCAGCGAGGCATGGTTGAAAGATGAAAAAAAGGTTTAACAGGTCCTTATAACTTAAGTGTAGATCATGTGATTTACAAAATCGCTAATTTCCAAAGATTTTAGTTATATAGATTAAGCCCTATAGGACACTTTCTTTTCCAGTTGATCATAATTGAATACATATCATAGTATATGTAGGAGATATGATAACATCGATGAAAAATCACTTTCAGAATGGCGTATATGGCCTTCAACTTAAAATTTGGCTTTTATACTAATGTCAGCCAAGTCAATGATCATGGTTCGTTTTGGGTGTAGAAAATATTCCTAATTTTAACCTCCAAGTTTTCGCGCTAAATGATAGTCATTGATTCTGACAGAGTAAAATATATTATTATGTTCTCCCAATGCCGAGATGTTCTCCCTTCTTCGTTTGAATGCAATTCGAAATGACAGCCATCGATCTTATTGCTATATTGTTCTTCCCGAGCCAGTCCGCCAGCCAGCCGTAGTTGGTTCGATTGGCGTGCATGAAAAGAATAGAGATCACCATGATCATCGAAACAAAGTAGTGAGGATGTGAGCGCTTGTTTTTTTCTTGAACTTCCTTTTCGCAACTCAAATGTTTTTTTCCTGCCTGCGAGCGAAAGGTGAATGAAGTGGATTTTCCAGGTCGTGTGTAAAAAAGTCAATTCTTTTCTTTTTTTTTTTTGTGATATCGAAAAAAATGCTGATGGATGAAAGTTTGTCTAAAAAAAAACTGACTTATTTTTTTCCGTTTTCTGTAAAGCATATATATACACACATGTGCAAGGGGAAAGGGTGGTAATTTTTCTCTATAAGGTAATGAAGTTCTTTTTGGGTACTGCGATCAAGGCATCTACAGCTATTTGAACAATGCATGGTGAGCCAACTGATGGTGACGAGCAAGATCAGGAAAAAATGAAACTTACTTGAGGCATGACAGGTCTTGTTTGTTCAGCGGTCATTCTGGTGATAGCGATACCGATACCTTCAATGACGGCCAACAAACTGCCACCGACGACGGCAGATACAGTGGCGGCCTTGACACCACCACGAGCTGCCAACACACCACCGGTCAAAGCACCGGAAAGGATGGAATTCCAGGGATCTTCCTTCTGTCGGATACCCTTCAGACCGCAGTCGAATGTACTGAACAAACCACCCCAAACAGCAAAATTGCCACCCAATACAGGTGCACGAGCCTTCATGGCAGACACTGCACCGAGCATACGTTCACCCTGCGTACAGACAAAATAGATCCGTCAGTGTCCTATTCTTGAAAATCGCTCCATCATGCCCGTTTCGTTTTGCCGGCATGGCTTCATCACACTTACTCTTGGTGAGTTTTTTGCTCCCTTGACCGAGTGCCAGATACCGCCACCCACTGCACCCATAACAAAAGCACCACCCAAATCGTTCAAAATGACCCAAGGGCTTCAGAATAAAACAATAAAATATATGATTAGTTGGACGTCCGATGCTTGTTAAATCGACAGAAAAAGCTGCGCTGTTCACGCTAGGTCCTGTCATTTTTTCCCAAAAAATGCTGATTTGCCATGTCGATAGACTCACCAAGGATCTCTGGTATGATCTTGTGAAGCGTGACCCATATTTTATCAATGTAGATTAACAACGAATCGAAAGAGCTGCAATCGGTTTTCTGTTGTGAGTTGGTCGCTCCAGGCGGTTTGGCAGCTTATTTGTCGGTAACGAAAAAAATACACTTAAAAAAAATTGACTTGGAATAAACAAAGCCGGAATGGAAACCCCACGTCATGTCACGACGACGCTGATTGGCCCACAAATCAAAGGTCAAAGTCCCGCTCTTTACTTGCGCTTTGCACCACCAAGAAACGACTTCTTCCGACCCTTATGTTCTGCCTGATATGCACATTATATTATCTCATCTAACCATATCACGCATAGAAGATGGTTAATCTGCTGTTACTATGTTCTTATCGAAAGTCAAATACATCCGAGTCACGAACCCTATATTCACGTCACAAGCACGTCAAAAATTCTCGAGATTAAAGTAATCATCACCTTTTCTACTGCGTGTTTTTTCTTTTTTTTTTTTCTCGACTTTTTTCAAAGCTTTTAACATGCCACAGCATATTGTTGTCGTAGGAGCGGGTGTCATGGGTGCCTGTACAGCGTATTATCTGTCGAAACGGGCCACGGGCGATGTACGGGTGACCGTCGTGGAGAAAACAGCAGTCGCTTGTGGAGCCAGCGGAAAAGCGGGCGGCTTTCTTGCCCTCGACTGGTACTGTCAACTTTCACCTTATTTGTTGGTCTCACGTTTTTATTTCACGGTTGGACTGACCGTGGCATTCCACCTATTTTGCTAGGAATGACGGCAGCGAAATTGGCGAACTGACACGAGCATCCTTCAATTTGCATGCGGAATTAGCAAAGTCGCTGAATGGAGAACGATACGGCTACCGACGCGTGGAAACCTACTCTGTATATCTGTCGTTTGGCAGTGGCAAAAGCAACAAGGAAATCCCACGAGAAAACAGCACTATTGACTGGTTGGATACCAAGCGTGTGCGTAGTGTCGATACGTTAGGCACCGTGGACAACACAGCCCAGGTGCATCCCGAGCTCTTCACACATGCGCTTTTAGAGGATGCAGTAGCCACCGGTCACGTCCAAGTGCGATGTGGTCAAGGAGTGGCATCGTTGCTGTACGGCGACGACGACCCAACCAAAGTTATCGGTGTTGAATTAGACAATGGCGAAAAGATTGACGCGGACGCTGTGGTGATTTGTATGGGACCGTGGAGTGGCACGTTGCCCATGAAAGGACGACGAAGAAATATGTTGCCAATCACAGGGTCTCGAGCCCATTCCATTGTCATGAAACCCGAGAAAACCGTGCCTGCTCAAGCATTATTTACTGCCATTGCTGATGGCTCGCGAGCAGCTCGCACGTATGAACCCGAGGCAAGTTGGGCTGTTCAGAGGGGGGTTTTTTTTGCGGCTCAAGAAAAAAAGCTGAGCATTGTCGAATTTAAAAATATTGCATAATGTGACTGTCGGACTAACAAAAAGGGCTTGTTAGATTTATCCTCGACCTGACGGAACCGTATACATGTGCGGTCCTACGGATACAGAAGAATTGCCACAGTCAGCCGACCAGGTCAAAGTCGATTCGACGGCTACGGATACGCTGCGAAGCTTAGCATCCAAGATCTCGCCCATATTAGCTAGCGACGGTACCCAAGTAGTGGCGACGCAGGCATGCTATTTGCCTATTTCGCGTGATGGCGTGCCTCTGATTGGAGCCCACCCAAATCATCAGCAATTGTATATAGGGACAGGGCATTCGTGCTGGGGGATTCTGAATTCTCCCATCACGGGCTTGATGCTGAGTGAGTTATTGCTCGATGGAAGAATTTCTTGCCTTGACTCCGAATCGGTGGAAGCAGTTGACCCGAAAAATCGCTGTTCGTAACACAAAAACGCAGCCCCAATTACCCGACCTTTTTTTGAACCAGTGATTTCTATCGAATTTCTTAGGCTTCGCTCTTTTGCGTCTTTTTTAGACTTTTTCCAACAGTTGCTTTCAAATATATAAGAACGGAAAAAGGAAAACCCCATCTTTTCAACTCTACCGTTCTTTACTTGTTCTTACTATCTTTATCCATTCACTGATTTTGACTGAATGTCTCCATGTGGACTTCATGGCATTGGGCATTGATAGTCATATTATGCATTCAAGTCTCTGGATATGAGCTTAACTATTCTCCAGAGGAGGAAAATCCTGGTATTTGGTACGATTTGTGATTTTAAAGTCAAAGTGCAAAATGAGGCCGAAAAACGTGACCATTTTGTATCTTGTAGGGAGGTTCAGGTCGAATATGATCTTTCGATCTCTAATACGTCAGCGAAAGTGGTGCCCGGCACATCTCAAAAAGTTTATAACCGAGGTTTTCAAACGGTCTTTGCGCATCGAGATATACACGGATCCAATAGTGTGAGTTACCGGGAAGACTGTGGAAATGAACAATGATTCAAATCGGTTGTCACCCCGCGGAATGCTGACTGTCAATTTGAATTTCGGTTTATTCAGAGATTGTTAATTGATGTGGGCGATGGGTGCCCAGGGACGACCATTGAAGAGATCCAAGATCGCAACGACCATACTGCGACCAGTCCGTCCATGTCATCGCAGCCATCGATCGCCATCATGAAACGGGACGGAAGGTGCTCTCGTTGGTCCGAAAAGATTAGTACGGTGCAAAGTTTATCCCAGAATTATGGACTCAACATCCAGGCAGCGGTGATTTATGACAATCGATCTTCCGAATTCCTTCCGCAAGTGAAGCAGAATACCACCAATAAGACACGTCCAGAGTGGTACATGCCCTTGCTCTTCCAATACAACATATCCTATATGAACGATAACGATATCGACCTCGGCCAAACATGGATCGCCGTCTACTTTGTCCCCAAAGCCTACGGGGAGAGCTTGTTGCAACAATTGCAAAAGACCTTAATCTCACACAACGATACCAAACAACAATACATACAACTCACATTTCTTTTCTCTGACATTTCCTTTTCCGTGGACGGTGACGCTGCAGAGGAGGACGATCGTCCATCGTCTGACATCTGGGACCTCTTATCAACAAAGAGCGATGTCTTCCTTATTGTCATTGCTGCATGCATCGTCCTCATTTTAGGTATCTATTGCGCAGCAGTGTGGGCCAAAAAAATATCGCGAGTCTTGACCTAATTGAAAAAATGATGTAGGCTTTATTTTATTCCGATGGTATCGAATTTCGCGGTGGCGTCGATCGTCCAACACCACCGAAAACGACCATTTGGGCACGGTGGAACAAGGCGCGATTCCCCTGCAGCCCCGTGCCGAGGTGAAATGCCTGACACATGAAAAGCTCGAAGAATTGTGTCCTATACAGTCCTGCGAACAGGCCAATCCCACCAATACCGCATGTGCTATCTGTCTCGACGATTTCGAACCCGACACCAATTTACGGGTCTTGCCTTGTCTTCATGGGTTTTGCGTTGCTTGTATCGGTAAATTTCATTTTTATTTTTCCACTGGTGAAAATTCAGTGTATTAACGTCATGATTCTTTTTTTTGGGGGTCGGTTGGTTGAGCAGATGTCTGGCTTACGAAAAAGTCGAGTTTATGTCCCATTTGCAAGTATGATTGTCTTCCAAACGAAGAAGACGCCCATCGCAGTCCAACGTCATCAAGTTCTGTCGCTCCGGACAGCAGCCCTGTCACTCCCAATACATTGCCCTCGCAGGACGATCAGGCACGGCGGTAAAAAGAAAAAAAATGGCCGCAATATCCAATCATTCTACACATGTAATTATCCGCCTATCCATATACATATATATAATATACCATACAAATCGTCATGTCTTACATTGTAATCTTGTAAAGTATATGTCTGTCTAAGAAATAGTTCCATTTTACCTCCGAGGATATATAATTTTTTTTGACCTTGTGGTTTGCAGTGGTGAAACCGAAAATGTTTGATCGGCCATGGGGGATTATCATGCTGATCCCTCGTTTAGAGTTGCATTGTTTGTTTGTTTATTTGTTACACTTTTGACGGATAACATGCCGCGTATATCACCTGCTGTTACCTATGCAGTCGCCGTCGTTTTGATACTATGGCTTATTCTCGGTGCTATTACTTTACCAAACGCCACTCGATGGTTTCAAGGTGACGGACCCAGCGTACAACAAGGTCAAGATCACAACAGAGTCATTACATTGACAAGATATAATTTTCAGTGCTGACTTCTTTTCTCGTTTGCAGATGTCGTTGTTCTACCGATCAACGGAACTTCTATTACCAAAGATGCTCAATTTGTCTATGGCGAATGGCATTATCACAGAGGCGTGTCCAGCACACTCAATACGCCTGACGCTCCAAAAGATGGTCTACAGGCAAGTCTCAACAGCAATATATGACAGCCAAAAAAGAATGGGTAGATTAACAATAAGATAGGGTATTTTGTATGACCGAGGCTTATCCTGTAGCGCTCATGTTATTGAAGCCTTGAATCCGCCTCTACCCGATTCCATGGCAGCCAATATCTCCAAAATTGCGCTGGTACGACGAGGTGGATGCGACTTTACAAGGAAACTTCGGTTTGCCCAGATGGATGGAGCCAACGCCGTCATTGTCTACGATAATGTAACTTCGGAAGACTCGGTTAAAACCTATGATATAGTATGTGCGCGCTAGGTTTCATCGTTGTAACTGTAAATCGCAGCTAACCGCAGCAACCGATTCTTTTTTTTCTCGTTCACAGGAAGTACAACCCAATTCCGTTTCCATTCCAGCGTATTTTGTGCACTTGTCCGTTGGTAGTGAGTTACTGGAGCGACTTGGAAATATATCCAAGATGGGCGAAGCAGGCAGCGACTACGGTCCCGTTCAAAAGGTCAATGATGGCTTTCACACGAATCTATTGGCTCGCGTGACCTTGTGGCCTCCACGGAAACCTCTGTTAGATCCATGGCAATTTGCTTTGATTATTATTGGCATCATCCTCGTCACAAGTTTAGCCATTGTTGGTAAGACGTCGTCGTCAAGTTAATTTTTTTTTTTTTTTTTTTTTTGGCTTTCGTATTTACTCAAGCCATTAACCTTGTTATTCATCCCTTTGGTTCCGCAGTGGTCATGCAATGCCATTTATGGCGTCTAAGTCGGCAGAATAGCCGAGACTCGGACGAAGAAACGCATAGCTTAGATGATCGATTCTGGCGAGACCTAATGGGCGATTCGCGAAGTTTGATGGCACGACCACGCCGGTCGCGACTGGAACCCAGTGCTCTTGAAAAGATTCCGACACGAATCTACCCTGGCAAACCGCCCGTATGGCATACTGATCCACCCGCCAGTGAGGATGACGGTCCCGATCCAACGAATATGCACAAAGATGGGACCATTCAGAATGCAGACAGTGCCGAACCTAGCAAGCAGGAACAGACGACCTGTGTCGTATGCCTTGAACCTTTCAAGCAAAACGAGGTGTTGCGCTGTTTACCCTGTGGCCATGAATATCACTGCGAATGCATAGGTAAGCACTCATCGAAATTCCTGTTTTGGATATATAGACACGTAGCAACTCAATGCACGTTTATTTATTTTATTTCATTTTATTTGCACTGAAAAAGATACATGGCTGATCAAGAAAAGTGCTTCGTGTCCTTTGTGCTTACAAATCATTGAAGCTCAAACAGCACGACCAGAGGCGGTTCACATCAACGACGGCGAAGTTCAGCGACGACATGAGCAAACGGATGTCGCTGAAGTATGGCATCGACTGTCAAGTCATCCATCAGCAACCCGAAGGCAGCACCCCAATGCCACAGTGTTACGTAGTTTTTGGATGCAAGGTCAGCAGCAAGATTAAACAAATACATAAATGCTTTTAATATTCGATAGAAAAATAAAGCGTCCTCCTATTATTTTGTGTTGTTGTGATCCCATTAGAGACTATTCGATGAGGACGACGCGGTGGTACTCGGGACATAGAACAAGTTGGTGAGCTCTTCCTCAGTAAAGGCCGGTTTGTGCCCACTGTTTGCGTTGGGTAACAGTGTCTTTATCATTGTGGGGAGCACCCGATTGTGTCTCTGGGGATCTCCTTGCTGGTAAAGGAAGCCCCAGTTGGTCAGATTCGACGGCGTCAGTTCTTCGGTTAAAATGCGATCTAATAAGAAAAAATGACAGGGCAGGAAAAAAGAGAGTTCATACATCTCTTGTTAGGTAAAAAGGGATCCAGAAGGATTCAAAAGGATTTGAATGACTTACCATTGCGCAGGAGATTGGTGGCATCGCTGAGAATGCTTCTTCCGATAGTGTAGGGTAGTCGAAGACCAGTCTGTTTGGTACGTTCGACGATAAGGCCAACATACAGCTCGACCTTGTCTGGCGTGCCATAAAGTTCCTTGAGCGTTTCCTGGACCGATTTGATTTCAGAAAAGTCTTCAAACGTGGTAAGCTCGGTGAGATTGAAGAAGCGTCGGAACTCGTTAAAGTAACAGCATCTCAATGCGCGTGCTTGGTTGATCCCTGCAATCTCTACCGGACGAAGCACTTCAGGAATTTTCAGACCATTGCTACAATAATATATTGAAATCCATGAGTTTCTGCTAAATAGGAGGCCTTGGTTATCATCAACGACTCACCCTAACTCAGAAGCAATTTGGGTGTAACCTCGTCGAAGCATCAGAGTCAGTTTATGGTCGGAAAATAATCCAGTCTGAAGGTCACGATGACCGCCCGCAATAGGTAATCCCAAGGCGAGCTCTTCAGGCGATGCATGGACGAATTTTTCATTGAATTTCTCCCAAATCATATCCAAGACGCCGTGTTCCGTGGTTGATTTACCGCCGTGGGCCGATTCCTTGTCGTCCTTTTGCTGTTGTTTGTAGTGTTGGACCATATCCGCCGGCAAAAGGCTCATGACATCGTTGATCCACTGTTCATCCTTTTGCCCAATGGCCGCGTGCCAGCGGTAAATAAGGTTAAACTCGACAGACACTGCATTGCCGTAAACAGGAGCTTCAGGAGCAGGAAGCGGACTGAATTCAAAGTCAGAGTCTTGAGTGGTGCCCAAAATCGTACGCAGATAATCATGAACGATGATATTCGCATAGCATCCATTATTGATCAGACGCGCGGTTTGAAACAGCTCTTCGTCTTGCTCCTCCGCCGTGGCTAGCGCTTTGCCAGGGCCGTACGAGAACCGTCCATTTTCATTCTTTTCCAACAATGTTTTCGCAATGTAATTATGATTACGCGAGAATAAAACCGCCAAAGCCGCCACACCTGAGGGAATGGGGTCGTCAGTAACCATCATTCTGAAACCCAGTAAACACAACAACAAAATTGACACACACCTGGCGGTTGAATAACAAGGCGTCTATCAAAGAACTGATCTGGTTTCAAAAGGCCATTCTTCATTTGTCGTACAGATTCTTGGTTTTGGCGATTGAAGCCGTAAAGCGGCGATCTGTCAACCACAACAACAACGAGTCAGCCTATACATCACATGCTAAAACCAACGTCAACCATTACAAATCTGCATAGCTTGTGCTGAGATTCCGCTTCATATCTTTGGGATCGGTGTAGAAAAGGTCGTGGGTGATAAGGATTGCCAAATAGAGCAGCAACATGTTCACGCCGGATTTATGCGGTGTAAAGCCATCTTTGGGCCGTTTGAACAGACGATCAAAAATGACTTCAGGTGAAGGAAGGTTTTCATTCATGGGAGCACGCGATGTCACCGTGCGTGTGTAATTGCTACCGGCTTTTCCCTACAAAATCGAATAGATTAGCCCCTCTCCGTCTCTCTCTCACAATGTACGGTTGCATGAGATCCCACTTACAACGTCCGGCAAAGCAACGCTGTTTCCACTACCATCAGCAGTGCGGAAATTGTGGCCGACATAATTAACATATGGTTTTTTAAAGTCGTCCTGTCATTTTTCAAAAACCAAGCAAAGTCGTTACCATTTTGAATCCTCCTTTTCTTTTGAGAATTACAGTCCAATGCGGATGAAAAACATACATGAAATATCTTTAACAACGGTTGCGCAGTGACTTGTACCAGCTCTTTTTGTTCCAGCGATAAACCGCTCAAAATGTTGACGACCGACTCAAAGGTATTGTTGCGATCGTTGATTGGTGCATGCTTACTTAATAGCCTAGAACGAGATGCATGAGATTCAGGCGCAACAATCCATGCATATGCACGGCAAGCAAAACAAACAAATCATTCAAGTTACCTTTCAATCAAACCACCAACCAGGACCAGTTGTTGGGAAACAGGAAGTCCTAGGGCTTCTCTGATGGCGCGGGTGTTGGTAGGCGTCAAACCAAAAATGGATTCAAAATTCTGGATCAAGGCATGCTGGGTCCAGCTGGGTCCCGTCGGTTGGTTGGAATACGATGGCGGAACGTATTTGCCCGCATTGGATTTGCGAGACGACTTTTTCCGTTTGGCAGATTTATCATTATCGCGTTTACCGGTGATGTTGTTGATCAGTGATTCCAAAGCCTTGAGAAGTCCATGTTCGCCCGCTTCGGATTCAATCGCTTTGATGTGGGCATTTAATCGGCCATGGTTGTCCGTGCTTTCCTTTGGATCAGGCACGGTCTAAAACATCACAAAATAAACCAAAAAGACGTTTGTATGATTTTCTTAAAAAGAATGGGCTGTACAAAAGCACCAGCGTTTAGCCACTTACCATGGAAAACAATTGTCCTGATGTGACGAGAATGGTTAAAAAATAAAATGGGAGTGAAAGTGTTGAAAGAACGAGAGAAAGAAAAAAGTTAACAGGAACGGAAGACTATGAAATTATCTCATCTAGTACAAGTTTAACTTCGGTCACGTCTCGGCTTTACATGCAATAGCCTACATGAGGGCGATGCGAGACCAAAAAAAGGGGGAAACTTTTTTAGCATTCCGGGACTGCTTCAGTTACGAAATAAGCATGTTGTCACTGCAGTCAGATTCAATAACGGGCTACCACTTGTGATACAAGAGTTGTTTAAGCATTTGCCGTTGTTGGCATATCAACCATCTTTACCCGTCTAAGCATCGTATATCTAACTGCCATTATCTCATCGTTTTTCATCAGTGCTACTATAGGATTATCACGATGAACAAAATTGGATGCGTACTTGTACTATGCTGTATAGTCATTGTATCATAGGGAGAAGCAGTTCCGTGGCAAGTCTTTTCATTCTTTGCCAAGCCGACGACAGTAGTAAGCGGCAACGAGTAGGTATTGATAAGAGATAAATATGACAGGAATCAGGCTTGGCAGGAAAAACAAACACATTTCATCGTGTATGGCAATAATCAATTAATGTGAGCTTTTTGTTGATGCTCCGGTCAAGGATTTTTGATATTTACAGCGGCTGTAAAGGATTGAAACGATATGCAAATCTTTTTGCCACATACGCCAATTTTACGAACAACTCTTTGTCGAGTGGTGTAGTTGAGTGGGACAAAAAAAATTGACGGGCTCAACCCTTTATCCAGGATACACGATGAAAAAGGCGAACAAAAGAACAAGCCGCCCAGCCTTGAATTCCTAATATGGAATTCATTTGTGGTAGTTGCAGCGCAAGGATTGAGAATTGAGAAAAAGAGAAGAAGATGAACCCATTTGCTGTTCTGTATGCGTACAATTGCCTCAAAGAGGAGACCCTGGGCATGGTCTGTTGTGGTACGAATTTGGATGCAGCCCAAACTCCGAAAAAACGTTTAAAACGAGCAACCCGCTCGAGAATTGTTTTCTGTTTCTACTTTTTTCTTATATACCCACCTCTTTTTATTTCTTATAAGGATGACTACACCGTAAGTAACATTAAGCAAACGAAAGCTTGTTGAATACCAACTGATGATGCTATGGATTGCCCACTTGCCTTTTTACCTCAGTGAAGAGCAGCTTTTGGAACTTACCGGAAAGAAGGAGCTTATTGAAGAAGCTAAAATCGCGAATTTGTTCGATCAACTCAAGCCAGTACAATCAGAATTCATGTTAGGCGATTGGCTCGCAGGATACTATGACACGGGACATATGACTAACAAGGACTTGGCCGAAATGCGCTGGGCCGGCAAGTGTTTCCGTACAGTCAACGACATCGATCCCGTGATGGTGTATGATGACAATGGTAACCGCGTACATAAGAAGGAATTCGGTCAAGCCCAGGTAAGAGAACTTGATTGCTTACAGGATTCTGAAATTTTTCGCTGAATATTCACATGCGCATACTCATAGTTGCGCCAAGTGGAGTACCACGGTGTGGTGTCGGCGTGCATGATTTACGACACGATGCCTATTATGGACCATTTCCGATATCTCAACGAGGAGACTGTGGTTGGCGCGATGGATTCCAAGCTTCATGCGGCGATTCCTAACGTTGGCACTTTTTACTTTTACTTGACCCGAATGAAGTAAGATAAAGACCAACAAGAAGAAGAAGATTGAGGTTGAATAAAAAACATTTTACCCGGGTAATTGTGTAACCATGAACCCCTAAATCAATGATAGTGAGTGAGCGTATTGAATCTGCCAAAATAAAAAAGGATCAAACCCATCCTACCATTAACCCCGACAATGTAATTCATCCATATAAAATTTAATCGAACATCCGTTGCCTGGTCCTTCCTCTTCATCTCCCCCTTTCCTTTTTGATTCAATAATGAAAGCCACTTTTCTCTCGATGCTCGTTTTATGTGCTGTCTCCTTGGTAGCAGCTGCCCCGAACAGCCAACGCTGTCATTTGATGGTCGACGTTCACGCCAAAGCCATGTGCCAAGAATACTGTGGCAAGGGAGGCTACCAACTCGGTGAATGCGGTGAAGAAGGCATCTGCATTTGCAATCATCATTCAAAATCCTCTTTGCAGTAACCGTAAGATATTTCTTCCTCCTACATCCACGGATATATCTCGGCCTCCGCAACTCATGCTGCCGTAAAATCCATCGAAAATCAATATCACCCATGGAACCTTGTATTCTTTCTTCATCACTTTGTTGTTGTTCTCTTGTATCCAATAAAATGAAACGCACAATCGTTGACATGCGCATTATTTGCTTTCGAAATACACAAAACCATCCATGTTCCTGTAAATAGAATCGAAAATTTGTACTGAGTCTGAAACCGTGGTTGTTCATTCGCTCCAGACACACTAAAATAAAGCGACTTGTCGAAACGCTGCGATTTTTTCCAACCCTTGACACACAACGCAATCAAGCGCAAAGAACGTTGATAGCAAGTGATAGCCCATTTCGTTTTTTGTGTGTATAAAAGAGACGAGGCTATCTCTTCTTTAATTATCGATCAACCTTGCCTAGTTCATCTAGAATGAATTTAGAAGCGCGGAATCAAATGAAGCAGCATTCTATTCAAAATTTTCACGTTTTTAAAGGTAAGAAAATGGTTAGTGTCTACGGCATCACTGACTAGGATCTGAAAAAAAATATGTCCGTCGAATTCCTTTCCATTGTTCACGTGAAACAGTTTCTCGCCCAAGAAGCCCAAAATGTGTAAGGATAATGATGTGAAAGAAATCCGTGCTTGCTTTGCATCGGGCGTTCCTCAACAAGCAATGAACCATGTGTAGCCGGTCCGTTCCTGCAGCCAACATGATGGTGGGGTGACAAAACCTGTTACGGATCGATGAAATATTTATTCTCCCTAACCGAGCAAAAAATAGGACTGGCCTCTCTCCAACTGTGCATCCTACGCAGTGGCAAATCCCCATTGCCCACCGGAAAATTTTTTGACCATACTGTCAGCCCTGTTATCCCAAATCACAACCGACTTCATGCATTTTGTTTCCCGTGCACGAGCACACTCTCACCAGGATTGCTATTATTTAAAAAATGCCGCTCTTGGCAGTTATATAGCGTTCGCACACAATCACAGAAAGACGTACAGGAATTGATGTGCCAATACGAGGTTATTTATCAGCGACTCGGGATTTGTCGCCAACAGAAACGTACAAGATGATCGGCTCACACGCTACCACATGGCTGGCAGATCTATTCTCTGCAGAATGAGTTCGTCGGAGCAACACGCTTCAGCGTAAGAGTGATACTTCAAAGCAAAAAGAGCGATTTCGGAACATCTCTCGAAATGAACCGATTTTTTTTTTTGGGTTTTTTTTTGGTTTTTTTTGTGCCTCGTACATCTTTTGGGCGAATTTGTTTCACTTTTTCCCTCCCTTCTTTCGGTGCTCATGTTGCCATGATGCTGATGGACAACCATTGCATTTCCTCTGAAAACTATCCGCTTTGCACCACTGTCTTGCCCGTCGAGGTAGGTAGTTCAATCGCTTTATTCTCCAGTTACACCAGCAAACTCCGTTACGTGTAGGGTATGACATGCCACAGCTGTGTCAATGCCATTACCAATGCTCTCCGCCAACTCGACGGCATTCAGTCCGTCACAGTCAGTCTTACCAACCAAGAAGCTACTGTTGAATATAACCGTATCGTGACAAGTGAAGCCAGCCTTATTGAAACCATCGAAAATTGCGGGTTTGATGTTCCCGTGTCCGACCCACATACCACCACTTCCATCGTGCCCGTGCGCGGCATGACATGCAATGTAAGTCCCGACTAATATTATGCCCGCTCATCACCAGCTCAGTGACTTACCTCAACACGTCGTATTATACCAGTCCTGCACTCAATCCATCTCCTCGGCTTTAACCAATCTTCCCGGCACAAAGACAGTTCATGTGAGCTTGACTGACGAAAACGCTACTATCACACACAATCCTGCCACTCTGTCTCTCGCCACCATCGTTGACGTTATCCTGGACTGCGGTTTTGATGTCCCCTTGCCATCGCGCACTGGGTTGCCAACGACGACGACAACCAGTGTGGTTCCTGTGCTTGGTATGACCTGCTCTTCCTGTACGAATGCTGTCAAGAATGCATTGAAAGAGAAGCAAGGGATTTCTTTGGTGGAAGTTAGTTTAGATAATGAAGAAGCAACAATTGTCCATGATCCTTTGGTGATTTCTCTTCAAGCCATAAGATCGATCATTGAAGATTGCGGATTTGAAGTTTCATCCCGTCAACCACCGGCTAAAGCGGATCAAGACATTATCATGGCTGTGGATGCCGAATTTCCTATGCAGACGGTTTTTGCTGCGGAACATGTATCAACAGTCCAGCTGGAAGTACGAGGCATGACGTGCGCAAGGTAAAATGTGACAAGAAAAGAGACAGACTGGTATCACACGAGGTACTGATTTTTGCCGACAGCTGCGTGAACAACATTGAAAAGGCGGTTCGAGCCCATGACGGGATCCTCAGCATCAAAGTATCCTTGCTGGCCGAGCGAGCTGTCATAGAATACGATCCAACCTATATACCGACCGAAGAAGCGATTGCAGACTTTATACGCGACGCTGGATTTGAAGCATCTATTGTTCAAAAGGGCGGCAAGAACGCGTTGCAGCTTCAAGTGTTTGGCATGACCTGTGCAAGCTGTGTACATAATATTGAACTCGCGGTACAAAAGCTGCCAGGGGTGAAGACGGCTTCAGTGAACCTGATGACGGAAACTGCGAAAATCGAGTATGACGAAACGATGGTCGGTCCGCGGTCCATTGTAGAAGCCATCGAAGCACTGGGGTTCAGTGCCATTGTGGCCGATCAAACAAAACATTCACAGTTAGAAAGTCTGACCAAAGTACGCGAAATCAAAGCCTGGCGTCGTGCTTTATTCCAAAGCGTCATTTTCGCTATTCCGGTCTTTGTAATTGCCATGGTTCTTCCTGAATTTGCTTGGTCACAGCCACTACTGGATACCCTTTTGGTTATACCTGGACTCTACCTCATGGATGTGGTTCAGTTGGTCCTTACGCTCCCGGTGCAATTCGGGGTGGGACGTCTGTTTCTTGTTTCCGCCTATCGTTCTTTACGTCATGGGTCGCCTACCATGGATTTGCTTGTCACTATATCGACCTTGGCCGCTTTCTCATTTTCAGTCCTTTCCATGGTGCGATCGGTTATTACGGCATCGCCACATCATCCCTCGGTGTTTTTTGATACATCCACCATGCTCATTTCGTTTATTGTCCTTGGGCGGTATTTGGAGAACATAGCCAAAGGGCAATCTTCGTCGGCTCTTTCCAAACTCATCTCTCTCGCACCGTCAACGGCCGTCCTGGTGACCATGGACTCGGATAGAAAAGAGATTATCAATGAGAAACGGATTCCTTCGGAACTGATCGAGCAAAACGACGTTTTGAAAATTGTGCCGGGGGACAAAATTCCTACGGATGGCATCGTGGTCTCCGGATCGTCTTCCGTGGATGAGAGTATGGTGACCGGCGAAGTCGATCCCGTAACGAAAAAGAAGGGTGATACGGTGATTGGAGGGACCGTGAACGGGTTGGGCACATTTCTCATGCAAGCGCTTCGTGTGGGCTCCGATACCGCCCTGAGCCAAATTGTGAAATTGATTGAAGATGCTCAGGTCAGCAAAGCCCCAATTCAGGGATTCACCGATGTTGTGGCCGGTTACTTTGTGCCTTCGGTCGTACTCCTCGGTATTGGCACCTTGGTTGGATGGACCGTTCTCGTGGGGATCTTGGGCGTCGATCATATGCCGACCATGATGAAAATGGAGATCGAGCAGGAAGGCAAAGGCAACTGGTTCTTTGTTTGCCTGAAACTATGTATCAGTGTGATCATTGTGGCTTGCCCCTGTGCGCTTGGTCTTGCGACTCCCACCGCCGTCATGGTCGGCACCGGGGTTGGGGCCGAGAATGGCATTCTTTTCAAAGGCGCCGCTGTACTGGAGAATGGCCAAAAAGTCAACAAGATGGTATTTGACAAGACAGGAACCTTGACGACCGGCAAAGTGCAAGTGGTCGCGTGTGAGACCTGGGATGGTCAAGAAACGGCGGGCCATACCATGCTGCTTTTGTCGGCCATTGCCGAAGCCCACAGTGAGCACTTACTGGGCCGCGCCGTGGTGGCTCAGGCCAAACGCTTTACAGGCATCGACATTATGGAAAATTTGGGCACCGTCACTCACTTTCAAAGCGAGACCGGGTTCGGTGTCGAATGTCAACTCACCCTCACAGACGGTGTGGCGGCTATCGCACACCCCGAGATGCGACACAGTGTGCAAGCAATGGTGGGCAAGCCACAAATAATCGTGATTGGCAACCAAAAATGGCTGCAGGATCACCACTACATTGATTTGAGCAACGATCAGCTGCATAGAATCGAAAAACAACACGCAAAAGGTTATACATGTATTCTGATCGCGATCAACGGGGAAGCAACGGGCTATATTTCCATATCCGATGTTGTTCGTCCCGAAGCACAGCAAGTCATTGCTACGCTACACGCCATGGGAATACGTACAGCTATGGTGACTGGCGACAATGAATTGACAGCACAGAGTATTGCATCCAAGCTAGGCATCACCGAAGTGCATGCGGGTGTATCGCCCAACGGAAAGACGCAAATTGTTCAGCGTATGCAGCGCCAAGTATTGAATCCATTCGCCTCGAAACGATTTTGGTATTGCGGACCATGGCTATTTGGAAGACGAGGATCAAAACGCACTACGGTCGCCATGGTAGGCGACGGCATCAATGATTCACCAGCGTTGGTCGCTGCGGATTTAGGCATTGCTCTCTGTTCGGGCACCGATATTGCTATGGAAGCCGCGGATGTGATTTTGATGCGAAGTGATTTATCAGATGTAGTCGGCGCTCTTGATTTATCACGTAAGATTTTCCGTCGTATTCGTATCAATCTGTTATGGGCATGTGTTTACAACGTGGTGGGTATCCCTTTGGCCATGGGTATTTTCATGCCTTGGGGCTACCATCTGCATCCAATGATGGCAGGCTTGGCCATGGCCGCCAGCTCCGTCAGTGTGGTGGTGAGTAGCTTGATGCTGAAATGGCTCTGGCGCAAACCTGCCTTGGTTCCAAGCTTTGACGACACGGACTACAGCGAAGAACCGTCCATGGTACGGTTAGCGATCGTGCCCGAAGTCCCAGCAACCGAAGAAACCGTCATGGACGCCAATCCACACTGGTATCAGCCAACAACTTCCGTTGCCAGAATCGTCTCTCATCTCCGCAGCTTGTTCACTTTTCAACCGTCTCAGGATTATCAACCCCTTCCCATCACTCAAACCTTTGATCTGGAACCCGTCACCAGCCGCTAAGCCTACGTTTATCTTTATCGATATATCCCTCAAGTATCACTTGGGCTCTTTTTCTTTTAGCATGTATTCCCACTTGATGCTAAATCCTTCATATTCTTCATTTTTTTTTTTTTTTTTTTTAACTATTTGGTAATAAAACGAAGTTTCGTGTGATTGGTAAAAAGCAAAGATTCATGCCCGACCTCAGATAAGGTTCATCAAGGACTTGGGAGGGGGGAGGAGGGGACTGAAAATTTTGGCGTTGGTCTCCGCTTTGAGCAACAACAACAGCAACACAATGATCGAATACAGCAACTTATCGGGTAATAATGATCTTTGAGGTGATACGAGAACAAAAACGATAAAGACGTAAACAATGCTGCATGATTATCATGTTACAGCCAGTCCATGAGTTGCTTGTGCGCGCCCTCTCTATGCTGGACACGAACGTTCATCGGAAAAATAAAGGTATCATCGTGCGGATAGCATGGTCAGTAAAAGATGGAAGGAAATGAAAGCGGTTGATCTTGGAGCATTTTTCAATCGTGTTTGTGTAAAGTAAACTAGAAAAAAGCAAGTCATGTTCATCTTTGTACCTTTCCTTGGACCTTTATGACTGTTCAACGTATCCATGACGGGTTCTGAGGACATTGAAAAAAATAAAAATAAAAAAAACTAGAAACAAAAGTCACATTAAATGCGTGCAGTTAAAAATAAAAAGGCCGAGGATCCAGCGATGCCAAGCTGATGCCCGAGCTCTGATTCAGTGGAATGCCCCAGTCATGTCGGACGACGCCATCGAGACGTTTTTGAAAGTATTCCGTGATGAAGATGATCATTGTCACGATGAAGCAGAGACTGAACCGTTCCCGGCCTATTTGGAGGGAATCGATACTACCTTGGCACCTTTCTGTCCGACATCGGCGAGTCGTGTATTGAAGGCACTGAAGATGGCCCAGTTGACAAGGGGCGATCGTTTGCTTGATTTGGGATCGGGCGATGGTCGTTTTGTTACCGCGGCTGCTGCCATGGGCGCGGCACGAGCGGTTGGCGTGGAGACGGATGATGCATTAGTGGATTTATCACAAACACTGGCCGCGCGTGTTCCGAATGGGGAAAAGACCGAATTTATCCAAGGGGATTTACTGGAAATACCGGCGGTGCGTGAGTTCCAATGGACGGTGATTGTTCTCTTTTTGCTACCAGATCACACGGACAAGTTTGCCGATCTCTTGTGGAAGCACTATGAAAATGGAGCGCGCATTGTGAGTCTGGTGTTTAATCTGCAAGAAATCCCAGGATTAGAACTCCAACAGGCCGACGAGCCTGATGGCATTTACGTGTATTATAAACCTCCCGGGAATTTTTTGGGCTGAAAACACTCACGAATCCCACTCCCAATCCCACATGCTCGTGATCCAACAAAAAAAAAATAGCTGTATAAAAAGAAAAAACTATTCATTTCACGTACCTAACCTTATATTTCCCTTTCACTCATTTTACGAGCCATTTATTTATCTCATCTTTTTTTTATTCTTTTCTTTTCCTCTTTTTTTTTTTTTATTTTTTTACCAAAGTCTTATAAAAAAAGACCACTGTCATTCTATTTATTCACGGTTTTCTTTTTCTTTCAACTTTTCGACATGACGCGGAGAAAATCAGTTCAGGAACTCGTTAAACCATTACGAAAGCTTCACATGCTGAATGGGCAGTCATCCAAAAGGTAACCCACCATGACTTACCTGAAACAGTTACTGTCGGCATGACGACTGATGGGGTGTGCAACAAGTGTCCTCTGCGAATATCAACCGTACTAAAAGCTAGCTGTACCAAATAGTGAGTTGAGTTTAGTGCCCGAAAAAAGAGCAGAGGACCATCCACAGCACGATATCCTTAGCCGATTACCACGCGAATTAGCATTGTACATATTTCAACAGTTATGTTTTGATGACCTCGTTACGAGTCAACTTGTAAGTAGAAATGGGAGGGCAAAAATAGATTGCAAGGTTTCATCAAGGTGCCTATGCGTCTGAGCTGTGTGTGAAAATCAGGAAAAGAAAAATTGCAGTGAAAGGAAATAGATGAAAGGGGAGTTTTTTTTGGTTTGCCTTATTTGCGCATGTGGTACATTCAAAAAAAACACACACCCAAGTCAGATATTGTTTGTGATTGGCTGAACAAGTAGGTGGATAGGTTTGTCGTTTATGGTGTCGGATTGCGCAAGACACTTCCATTTGGCGAGCAAGGTGCATTGAGATGTGGCGTCGATTTCCAGATATCTATTACATGTTCACGGGGTCCGGTTCACTGACCATGCCTTGGCAATCCCGTTACTGCCAGTCGATGATGCGACTCAACTGGCGCATGGGTTTTGTGCAACGATCACAAATGATTAGTAACGAAGGCGGGCGCTTGCTTTCGGTGAAACTGAAGGATCATTTATTGGTGACCTTGACGGAGGATAACATTGTACGATTGTATCAATACAACGAACCGCACGGATTTCGATTACGGTCCAAATGGAGTTTTGGTGATGCAACGCAGCGAGCCAATATTGTGGAATGTATTGATATCCTGCCGGAGATCAATACGTTGGTCGTTGCTTTCAGAGGATCGTAAGATTAAAGTTCCCTTGATTTCCAGCCAATGGCAAGACAAAAAGACGTTGGGAAATGTGTTGTTCTAAATCGGGATCTTTTTCCTTTTTTTTTCTCATGTAGAAAATGCATTTTTTATGACATCAATCGAAAGCATAATACCGATCCTATTCAGGTCCTGAAAACAGGGGGTCATCCTTGGTTCGTACCGGATTTTATTACCCTCAACCATGATTACTTTGCTCTTTCCGGTCGCAAACCATCCGCCGTGTTTGTTTGGAATTGGAGAAAAGGTGTACGATTATGCAGCAGGGTAAGTAAACACATGACAAAAAATAACCTGAATCTCTATGGATCAATGCGAAACGCGATAACTGATACCTTTCTTTTTTTTTTTTAAAAAAAAAAAAAAAAAAAAAAAACAGGTCTTTGATAATCAACCGCACAGCGTGTATCTCTCCAATCATAATCTAATCACCATCAGTGTGGATGGTATTGTCAATGTGTTGGATATTTTTGATCCGGGAAAAGAAGCGGTGGCTTGCCGATTGCCACCCTGCAGTATGCCATGTCTAACTTACGATGGTGGCGTCAATATTGTTATGGCCCCCTTTGCTTCACGACGTATTCACCATTTTCAATGGGATGCCTTGCCAGTACCCATGTACGACAATTACGCGTCCACTTCCAATTCTACCCCCAACGAAACTTCAGCCTCCACCACCGCTGCTGCCCCCAACTCCGTGACGCCTTGTCAATCCACTTCGACACCCCATCCGTCGGAAACCAACGTCCCCACTTCCATTTCAACCTCCTCCTCGTCTTCTCTGCTTAGTTCACGCCGTTTATCCAGTACACTTACCACTTTGCTGGGCCGTCACAGCAAAAAGACCAAATCCACTGATCTGTCTGACCATGCCCCTTGTGCATCCACTGAAAAAAAATCAGCGGTACGACTAAGACGGCACTCTTCGTACAACGATTACGGTTATGCCTGTCAAATGCGCACCGCCGAATACATCAGACAGTACAGATCCAATAAGCTGATCAAACCTGTCCACCCCGATTTTTCCGCACGGTTAAAACTTATCAATTCTATCCGCACTACCCCCTTGGGCCGGCCGGCTTTGGAAACGGTCAATATAGCCATGTATCACGATCATGTAGCGACGGTGAATCGGTATGGTGATATCGCCTTGTATGCATTGAATGGTACCACTGCTGCTCGCGTCAGTACACATGATGGACAATGCGAATGGATAGAGAATAAAGCCGACTTGCGGGATGATGACGATTTATCAGATGGATACAACTTTGTTCGCTCTCGCCTTGCCATAGGCAGCCTTGGCATTGTTTACGGTGGTCGCAACGGCCAACTTTGGTGGTTGGACTTTGGCTGCAAACCGAAAAGTATATAACTGAAACAGGAAAATAATGTACATCTTATTGTTCTTAATTGAAAAAAGCTCTTAATGATTAAACCTGACCCACACAAGCGTTTCAAGTTGGTTTACATCTTTTTATATAATAGTTAAATCAGTGTAATTGATACAAGGATTCTGAAGTCTACGCTTCTTTTACATGATTGTTAGTCGGCACAACGGTTCAAACGTTTTGTGATGGCGATATCGAATGTGGCACCATTCCATTGTTTGTGATTTGACATCAAGCATGGTTTGGACGGCATAATATCTGCAGAATAGCAATGCAGATTTTTAGCGTAGGATTACGGTTCCTTTCATGTTACGGAGAAACTTACCGAAGTGGCGCGTCGCCCCATCGATCCCAATAGATCATGTTGGTGTCGTGCACTGCATCGGTCAATTGTCGCATTGGTTCCGAACGCCAGGTAGGAATATGTACAATTTCAAAATTGTTGTAATACATCAGTGGTTGGATCGCATTACGCTCCGCAAGAGTCGAAGGAATGGATAAGCAATTCTTTTGTGATAAAGCCGCACAAGTAAGATCGGGAATTATACTTTGGTGGGACGGATCGCGTCGCCAACGGTCAAAGAAGCTGAGTAATCCGTGAGTAACGTGGCGAGCATCGGTGACGACGGTGCGATAGCCGTATAACAGACGATGGCGACGCATGTATTCAAAAAGATCGACGCTAACTGGAGAGAGAATTTCCGAATCATGATCCAATCGCCAGTAATAGTCCAGATCTCGAATGGCAGGGTGATCAAAGATGTCTTTGAAGAAGAAATGGATCATGTGATTGTAGCCTGGAAAAGCACGACGATTTGTACTTGTCAAGCCGAGTTCATGAGGCGGGTGTCGAGGAAAAGAAGGCGGTAGGTCGAACTCGATGAGATAGAATGTGATGTCAAGCTGAGAAGGCCACATATTGCGATAATGCTTTTGATACTTTGGCGTAAACGGGGATTCGTGGAAAATGAGGATAGGATAAGAAGGGTAATCTTTGCTGAAATTTTCATATAGTGACCAGAGCGATTGATTGAATCGCATCATTTCTCGGTGATTCTCGGCCAACGGACGATCCAGAAATTCTATCAAGAACACGATCGCTGCGTTCACATGGTGATCTCTTGTTGTCTCTCTGGAGACAAGGATGGAGTCTCTGGAAAAGTTGGAAAATGGTGGTTGTCCCTCACACAGGGTTTCATTTTGTATATCCATGGGCAATGGCGGATAATCAGTGACATCGTAATTGTTTATGTGCGCAAGTATCGATTTTCCATCGGATTGAAACGAGGGAAACATAAAGTAGGCATTGAGATAACGCTTGGCCAGCAGAAGCGAGATAAAAGAACCAATGCACAGTAACAGAATCAAGTTTGAAAGTTTGCTAATCATTATTTACAGAAAGGGAAGCATGGATATTAGAAAATAAAGTGCAAGAACGGCAGAGACGCGATGATCAATCTAGGAAAAATAAAAAAAGATCTTCAGAAACCCACTAGAGGGAACAATGACGAATCTTGATGATCGTTCAAACCTTATATGGTTAGTCATGGATCGACACTTGGCATGGATGTATATGAAACTCCGAACACCAGCTTTGTTGACACCAGTGGCAAATGATTCCATGGCTCTAAACTCGCGTTCATTGTTATTCTGCTCTGGATGTTCGTCGAGGCAGAATTAGGATTGAATGGCGAAGCTCACGATTACAGGAAAAGGTGAAATTCAGACGCTACTGCCAATGGTTTTATAAGGGTAACAAGACAACATTTGCTTGCTGTTCACATTACTTTCAAAGGGACAGATGATGTTTTTTGGCGGTGTCTCGGACATGGCGTTCAATCTATACATCGGTATCCCAATTCAGCAACGGCCCGTTTGAGGGTATTTTATCCTTTTTATGATGAATAAAAATAAAGTAGCTCTGTAACGACAACCATCTATTTTTTATTGGCAGTCTTCAGTCACCGGTTCATCTATCTTGAGCTTTTTGGCTTCTTCTTTTTCATTGGGTGTATTTGCTTCCAATGAACGTTTTTGGCCTACTTCTGCATCTTGACTCTGATCCGTTGCATTTTCTTTGTCTTGCTGCTCGGTTTCAGTGTTCTCACTGCCCTTCTCTGATTTAGCAGCTTCCAATCTGGCGGCTTGGGTAGCTTTGACTTCGTGATAGTAGGACTCCAATCCAAAAACCTCACTAAAATTCGCATCCGTCAGGAGTTAGCATCCAAGAAAAAAGAAGGATATGAACAGGTTAATTTACCATAATGCAAGATTCGATTTGGCTTTTTGCATTCGCGCATATCGTTCGGATTTCGTGTGTTTTGGATCGGTGTTCATTGACAATAGGACATATTTGGTGTTTTGGTACATGTTGTCCATTTCCACACACTGAAAGATATACATATCAATAAGTTTGACGATCAAAGGAAAACAAGGATAGCAGGCTAAACTTACGTGTTTCAAGTAGGTTCGGACCGCTTCGTCGTAGGACAAGGGGCCTTCTTTGCGGAATGCCGATGGATTATACTGGGCACCACGCGCCATCATAGCTGAACTGCAACCTACATGCTTGGTCAGTCTCTGTATTGGGCACTGTCGTCTTTTTCTTTTTTCGTTTTATAAACGTACCAGTGAGCCCCTTTGCTCGCAAAAAGTCATTGTAGTTATAAATGTCACCATTTACGGCAACGGGTATGGTTTTCACCGCCTCGACGATATCCTTCAAGGCCTCCCAATTGGCAGGGGTCGATGAACGTTGATCCTTGGTGCTGATATGCGATGCATGGTCAAAATTTGCAGTTTTACATTGTCTAGACTTCCTGAGACACTCACCGACAATGGACGGTCAACAATTTGACGCCAGTTGATTCAATCATTTTGACCAGTTTGATCGTATCTTCCTTGTTCTCCAAAAGTCTTTTCCTGAATATCAGTCTCTATTCCTTGCTCTTTTATGCCAGCAATATTAACGTACCTGATCTTGCAAGAGACAGGCAGACCAGAATGCTGCACAAGGTTAACGAGGATCTGAAGATAACAGATTAATGTACTATCCAACTTGTATTTATCACGACACCCTGGGTGTTCAATTCACCTGCTTCAACTTTTCCGGATTGGACAACAAGGCGGCGCCCATACCACCCTGAACAGAGAACTTTTTGGGACAACCACAGTTGAGATCGACCGCTGCCACATCTTGTTTTCTACCGCCGAGTTAAAAAAAAAAATTCCATATTTCATGGTTCAAGCCCATCATTGAATCCTTACAAAGTAAGCGCTGCCTGCAGCGCCAAGTCAGGATCAGCGGTACCCAGCTGCAAGATCACTTTTCCCTTTTCCTTTTCATGCGTACTGAAACACATGGCGTGGCCCTTCCAGTACTCAATAGCTCCAGTCGCCACTAAGATTTTCCATAAAGCTTTGCATCAGTCTTTGTTCTCCCCGCGTTTTTAACATGATCCATGCGAAGCTTCACCATTCACTTTACGCACGGAGCCAATAATGCGTTTATCAACTAATTCCTCGGTCCAAACAAGATCTGTTATGCATTGTTTGTTAGATCATGGTTATTTACGCAATTGATATGGATTTACCTGCGCCGTAATCGAGGGCGGTCAAGCGCATAGGCAATGTGCCTACTCGCACCTGCAGAGAAACGACGTTAGAGTTGATTGGGGTTAATCAATTTGAAATGAGTCGGTACTCAAGTACCATGGGAGCAAGCACCAGCTTGTTGGCGTAGTCGATAGTTTCTTGATCTGACATGCTTCAAACTCCAAATGCACTACAAGATCACTGCCGCCACGCTTGACGAAAAGAAAAAAAGAGTGGCGAGGCTGGTGGACATTCAAAGTCCGATTCTTAGTGCTAATTTCGGTTCATTGCTTTTCCGACGAAATTAATGAAAATCGCCCCATATTATAAGTTGAAGCATTTGCCTTTGCTGTAGTTAACCAAGCTTAGATTTCTTCTAACAAAAGAGGCACTCGGTACAGTAGAAAGAAAGAAGAACATATAAAAGGCTTTCAAATTACTCACATTGTCCTTTCTTTTTTTACTATGCTACGCCGCAAAGTCTTACAGCCAATTCTTAGTCATGACCGCTTCGACAATCTCTCTGGTAAATTAAAAAAGATTCGTGATATTTCTTCATTTTAAATAAAAGGTATCAATGCAAATTAAAAAAAAAAAGAAGGATTCTACAATTGATGATAATGCGAGGATTGATGTGCAGGTTTAGGCATGGGGTAAACCTCGGATTCCGGAGGATAAATTTCGACTTTGGTTTCCTCGATGGGGCCCTGGGCCATAGGCGACAAAAGATGACCAGTGGTTTCGCTGGTGGCGTACATTTCGCGTTTCTTCCGAGCTTTCAGTTCCATGCGTTTACGTGCTAAGCGGTACGAATCCACACCGCAGCATAAGACATTGTAGAAGAATTCGGGAAGATATGAGAGGTAGCCGTCGACAAATGCTTGCCACGTCGATAATCTTCCTTCTTGATTGAGCGCCTTGTTGATATTGTCGTCGGGACCAAAGAATTTAATCATCACAAACATAATAACACACATACACGCACAGATAAGGATCACGTAAAGACCGTTTTTCACTGCTGCGGCTGGCCAAGCTAATCCATCGCTGGAATGGGTGCCGTCGGTGCCTTTGATGATATGGGCGGTTTCCAAAACGGACAAGAGAATTTCCCCAAAGTAGAAAATCACCATAATGGGACCTTTGACACACCAAAACATACCGTGAGCCTTAATGTGACCGCGTTGCCATTCTTCATGGAAAATCGCCAAGTAGGTGAAAAGAGCACTCAGAATGATGGAAAGTGAGATGAAATTGATGATCACCAAATAGACGTGAGCTCCGTGGAAATTGTAACTCTCACCACAGTAGTATCCTTTGACGGATGCAATGACGGATACCAACGCATCAATGATGGACCAGATAGGGTATTGAAACACAAGGATATCTGTAATAATGCGATAATGCATTCCCCATTTTGATTTTCTTTCAACAAAATAAAAAGCAGAATCCGTGAGTGAAAATGCTCAAAGTATCGGAGCTTCGGTCCCGAAAGCTTGGCAGTCGGGGGATCGGAGAACTCGCCAAAAAATAATCATGGCAATGAAAAAAACAAAACAAAAAACAAAGGAAACCCGGGATACTTACAGATTGACCTTGAATAACATAAACACTTTGGTAGTGACTCCTTCTTTAATGGTTCCTGCTTCTTCTCGGAAAGGCTTAAGATATGCTTGCAGACAAGCATACAAATTATAGACCGCAAAGGCTTCAAAAAGTGTAGCAAAGAACATGATGGTCGTGGAATAATCGTAGCGTAGATAAGAAAACCATGCCAATGTCGCGTAAACGGGAGGGTATAGCAACACACGTAATTTATGGCGTTGGATCTCTGGATCACTAGGCACAACGAAATCATCGGATCAATCTATCAGTCGGACAACGTAGTTGGGTGGTCAAAAATAGACTTACTAGTAGTTCCGCAGATGTTTCCACACGATATACAACGCGACGATCCACGTAATGAGAAGAAGAACCAGACATGCTAACCAACCAAGGACATGCCAATTCTGACTGTAAGAATGGCCAACATGAGTTAGGCATGAGCTTGGATCTCGCGTTGAGTTTTATGTTTTTTTTAAACGTACCTTGGGTGAGAGAGGAGATCTTTGAAATGAAAACCGGGTTGGGAGCTAAGGAAAATTTCACCATAAAAAGGTTAAAAAACAGGGTCTGAAAAAAAAAAGTTTTATAGAAATAATGGAAGTATAACACAAACGTACAAACCACCGTCGTTTCGAAGACCTCCAGTGGTAGGACAGGAATCGCCGGCTCCTTCACTAATAGTACTGTTGTCCATGAGGTATCAGTGTAAAGTACAGTCAAGGACAGAAGGAATTCCACAAGTAAAAAGAGGCCAGCAAGTGAACGATTGGGATAGAAGATAAAGGAAAATAAAGAGAGTCTAAAAAGGATGTGTGCATTCCACAAAGGACGCACTTTATTTTTCTGTGGGCTGTGCCTGAGTCTCAGCTGTGGCGTCGGCATCATCTTTGTGAAACCAACTGGCGGGAAAACAGTTGTGCCATTGCCAAAAGAAAGCCACAATTCTTTTATTTTTCGGTTATGTCATCTTATACACATGTCCTCGGATTTGCACCCGTAGTTGATCATTCTTTTTTCTTTACTCTATGCAATGAGGAATGTTAGATTATTTCACCATCCCAATCCTTGTCGCATTCCCGTGAAACACAATGCAGAGTCAAAGTCAGTTTCATTGCTAGACTACCTTGCTGAACGATGTCCCTCGCTTGTTGGTCACAGCGCCCAGTTCCATCCGTCCCCTTATCTATTCAACGGTCACCTTCAGACTATGTATGCCGCCATGTACAAAGATACAGCGACGGCCGATAAGATCGTCTATGAAAGGTACGTTATCATCGTGATGATATGCTGTGTGCACCGTGCCCTGTGCTGGAAAAACACTTAATTTCCCCCCTTCTGCAGGGAGTTACTGCGCATGGCCAACGGAGGTCAAGTATCATTGGATTGGACCTTGCCTGCTTCGGGTGCACCAGCGTTTACAGACAGCACACCTACGCTTGTGATCCTTCACGGCTTGACGGGAGGAAGCCATGAAGCGTACATTCGTGGGTTACTTGAAGTGGTAAGTAAGAGTTACATTCATGGTTTTGTTGGATGGGATCTGACGCGATTCCATAACCGGTACCAGGTTACTCGTCCTCCTTTCAATTATCGTGGTGTAGTCATGAATGCACGCGGGTGTTGCAACACCGATATTCTTACGCCTCAGTTATTCAATGGGGCATGGACAGATGATCTACGAGAATGTCTCGCTCATTTACAGAAAAAATTGGCACCGGGCACACCGCTGATTGGTATTGGCTATTCCCTCGGTTCCAACATCTTGGTCAAGGTAAAAAAAAATCCGCCATTGAAAGTGTACATGCAGGGCGACTATTTATTGACTTGCAATCAAATCAACCCGTTTTTTTGGCAGTACCTTGGAGAGGAAGGAGATAAGACCCCGTTCAAGGCCGCCATCTCAGTTGCCAACCCATTTGATTTCCTCGTGTAAGCGGTCTTCTCAGTCTTCAAAATACTGTCAGGATACTAAAGTAATAAGGTGCGAATTGCAGGTCAAGCAATGCATTGGAACGAGGGTTCTTGAGCAAACATGTTTATACCCGAGCCATGGCCAATAACCTGAAGCGACTATTTGAAGTGTAAGGATATGATGGATCCAACACAATACCCATGATTTGAGACTGATGACAGAAATATTAGCAATAAGGAAATGATGGCGCAACGGCAGGATATTTCTTATGATCAAGTGATGGCCGCCCAATCGATCCGTGAATTTGATGATGCTTGCACGCGCAAAGTGTTTGGATACACCACGGTGAATAACTACTACCGTGAAGCAAGTTCTAGTCAGTTTATTGAGCACGTAAAGGTACCTTTGTTATGCCTCAATGCGATGGACGATCCTATTGCAACGCCAGAGTGTATTCCTTGGGATGAAATCAAGATCAATCCGTATGTGGTTTTAGCCACGACTGAGCACGGTGGCCATCTCGGATGGTTTGAGCATTTTTATCATCCGTCCCGATGGGTCGATAAACCACTGGCGGAATTCATTGTTGCCATGTTTGAAGCCTACGATCCTCGCTTCAAGTCCGATTCCGCCCTTCTTGATCCCCAGACCATCATGCAGAACGTAGACACTATCAAACAACACCATTGAAAATCATCCCTATTGTATCATTGTATTATTAATTTTTATCTATTTATTAAATCTCTTTTTTTTTTTTTGGTTCATGCAATGACTTTTTCTTTCTTCAGGAGCAACAGGGACGACATTAAATGTTGAACACGTTGTGGAGTCATGAGCGTTAAAAAACGGGCTCAGCGGATAAAAGGTCTCACAACCTTAAATCTTTTTGTTTCTCCTTTGTGCAACCATAATCCGTACTTTATGTGACACAAGCATGGCAGGCCAGAAAAAATGCCACTGGCAAGAAATGATATCTCCTCTTCAAAAAGCATAAAAGGGACGACTGATTCGGGCCAAAAGCCCATCTGATACATCTGTATTTCTGACTGCCTTGATTGTGCTGGTAAAGATAGAGAGGTGATTGGAATCCACTGGCGGACAGTTACTCAGCGTAATAATAATAAAGTTATTGAACATTGTCCCTTTTTCTTGCAGCGTGGTGCGTAGAGAAGGCGTGCGGAAAAATAAAAAGTTGAATCAGAAAAGGATATTTGCTGATGCCGTACACTGCCACTGAGGAAAGATCAGATTTCGCACGTTGGACAAGTAAATATAGCGTGTACCACTGTCATAATTAACCGTACCGCATTGTACACAGACAGGCTTCTTCCATCTTTGTTAATTGATACTATTTATCACCCTCTATGGTGCTGATCTATGGTGACTCCGAATGCAGCCCCTAATAAACAAAAAGACGATGTGAAACTGCCGCCTCCATATTTTTTCTACCATGTGGACTGAGGGAGTGGGAAGAGGATCAAGCAAGTAGCCTATGTCAATATCATTGGCTGCTAAATTGGGGCAATTTAGTCTATCCTGATCCATTGGACAAGTTTCGGTTTTTACCATTTGTCGTGTTTATCGCCAAAGAACCCGCCAAGGATTTTGATGCAAAGAAAAAAAAAGTTAAAAATAAGCGAAACCTGATTCAAATAAAGAAGGATGATTATCCAATTTTTTTGCTGCTTTGGATAAATATTTTACGAAAATTTGAAAGGGCACCATGGGATGCAAACGGCAAGAAATGGCTGTTTGCCCGTTTTATATATGTTATGACATGTGATCAAACACTTCATCGGGGGCATGTCGCGCGATCTGAAACGCACAAGTCGACCCTGACTTATCCTTTGCGCCTCTTTACGAATGCTCAATGCTACAAGCACAGTTGGGATCTCCCAAGATTTTGGGATCCAGATCCCCATTGGGAAAGGGCGCTCAAAAAGCACCCAGCCATGTCGGAGTGTCGAATCATGGCTTGGGCTATATTTGGATAGTGGCTTTGCTGGAGACTCCATTTCCCGTTTGACGAACCATCGTCTATTCTCACGTTACACACGTCTATCGTTTGACTTTTTAAATTCTCTTCTCCGTTGTCTTTCCTTTTTTTTTTTTTTTTTTTTCTCTCTTCATAATCGGGGATCATTCTTTATTTTTTGCCCCTCTTTTTTCATCGCTTCTCATACTCTGAACTCTAACTTTTTTCTCCTTCTTCCCTCTTTTCCCTTTCATCCTTGTTAAAGCGTATCCGTCTTTGCTAGGTTTCTTCTTTTTATTAACTCGCTTAGCTCTATCGGTCTAATGTATCCATCGCAACATCCACCACCGGGGCCGACGCCAAAGTCAGAGTACGATCAATATCCTATGCACGAAACCCAATTCGTGCCGCAACCTATTGATCGCAATTCCCCTTTTGCGGACCCGTATCCGGAGGAGCCCGCGCATCAGCCTGGCGCTTATGACCACCAACCTTTATTACGAGACAACTCGGCGCCTTCGTACCAAGAACCGTATCCTCATCATCAACCTTCGCCCGTCTCACCCGGTGCTGTGTATCCTCAGTTTGCACCGCCATCTCCCAATATTCGATATGGCGAAGCTCCCCGACGTCAGCCACGTCGTTATAAAACAAGTAAGTACGATTTTGAAACTCTCTGCTCCCCTATTTTCCTGTTATCCTTTTTTGGATCGAGTTTTTATTTTTTTCCAAGTCATCCGCCCGTACTAATCAAAATGATTTTTTTTTTATCTTGTTTGAACAACAGCACGAAAGGTTAAACTTACACGTGGTAACTTGGTGCTTGATTGTCCTGTGCCCAGTCGATATTTGCAATCGGTGCCTATTAAAGATTCCAAAGAGTTCACGCATATGCGTTATACCGCCGCAACGTGCGATCCCAAAGATTTCGAATCCGAAGGCTACACTTTGCGACAGCAGTTGCTGAAGCGAGAGACAGAGTTGTTTATCGTCCTGACAATGTACAACGTAAGCTATTCCGTGTTTGGCATCCTTGGAGATACACTGTGTGACACTCAATTTCTTTTTTCCTTCTATTTTTCCTTGTCGACCGTTGTAGGAAGATGAAATTTTGTTTGCGCGTACCATGCACGGTGTGATGAAAAACATTGCTCATCTCTGTACTCGCGATCGGTCACGTACTTGGGGTCCAGAGGGTTGGAAAAAGGTTACGGTCTGTATTGTGTCCGATGGTCGTAATAAAATCCATCCTCGTACTCTGTCCCTTTTGGCCACCCTCGGTGTCTATCAGGACGGTGTGGCTAAAAATATCGTCGGCGATAAACCCGTGACAGCTCATATTTACGAGGTAAGCTTTGGCGGGATGAAATGGGGAACATGGTCTATATGGTGTACATGAATCGGACACGAAGAAAAAAATCGTCAAAGGCAAAAAAAGAAAAATAGGATGGTGGTGGAAATAAGAATTTTTGATGTTTTAGATATTGAAGAAAAAACGCCTCTCCTTTTTTTTTCTAGTACACAACCCAACTGTCAGTGGATCCGGACATGAAATTCAAGGGTGCTGATAAGGGTATGGTGCCGTGTCAAATGTTGTTCTGTTTGAAGGAAAAGAATCAAAAGAAGATCAACTCGCATCGCTGGTTCTTCCAAGCTTTTGGTCCTCTTGTGAAACCCAACGTTTGCGTACTGATCGATGTTGGTACACGACCCGGTCATACTTCCATCTACCATTTGTGGAAAGCCTTCGATATCAATTCTAATGTGGCCGGTGCTTGCGGTGAAATTCGTGCCATGACAGGTACCGCTGGTGTGGCTCTTTTGAATCCACTGGTGGCCGCTCAGAATTTCGAATACAAGATGTCCAATATTCTTGACAAGCCCCTTGAATCCGTGTTTGGTTACATTTCCGTCCTGCCCGGTGCTTTCTCGGCTTACCGTTATTCTGCGCTTCAGAATGATGCCAACGGACATGGTCCATTGGAAAAGTACTTTTTGGGTGAAACTCAGCACGGTGGAGATGCCGATATCTTTACCGCCAACATGTACTTGGCCGAAGATCGTATCTTGTGTTACGAACTCGTTGCTAAGAAAGAAGCCCACTGGGTTCTGCATTATGTATCCAGTGCTTATGGTGAAACCGATGTTCCCGATAAGGTTTGCATCAGTATTTTGCGCTGAGCATGTTCTTTTTACTCATCAATCATTTTTCTCTCATTAGGTGCCTGAATTCATTTCTCAACGTCGACGTTGGCTCAACGGTAAGCTATTTTTGTGATTATTCCCTTGGCATTATCACAGCGCTCATCAGTCATGGTTTTCTAGGTTCTTTCTTTGCTGGTATCTATGCTTTATACCATTGGCGTAAAGTGTGGACTTCCGATCATTCTTTCATTCGAAAGTTCATGTTCATGATTGAAGATTTGTATAATACTTACAATTTAATTTTCTCTTGGTTTGCTTTGGTAAGTGGACGGAAAGATAAAAAGTGCTTTGTTGAATGAACCGAATGGAGACTAACTGCGAGTTGCGATATCTAGGGTAATTTCTATTTGACCTTCTTTATCTTGACAAGCGCTCTTGGTTCCGATACCTTGGATCCCAAACCGTTCTCGGCCGAAGTCGCCAAGATTTTACACACTGTCCTCAATTATGTCTACGTGCTGTTGCTGATTGTTCAGTTCATCATTGCCCTTGGTAACCGTCCTCAGGGTTCAAAATGGGCTTACATCGGCAGTATGGTATTCTTTGCTTTCTTGATGGCGTACATGATGTTTGCAACGATTTGGATTACCGTTGTCGGTGTACGGGCCGTGGTGGAGAACGCGGATGGCTCGGTGTTGTCTATGCTTGGACAATCCACGTTCCGCAACATCATCATTTCCGTGTGTTCGACTTATGTGATGTACTTCCTTGCAAGTTTCCTGTTTTTCGATCCCTGGCACATGTTTACCAGTTTCCTCCAGTACATTTTCCTGTCACCCAGTTATACCAATATCCTTAATATCTATGCCTTCTGTAACACCCACGACGTTTCCTGGGGTACCAAGGGTGACAACACCGTGGCCACGGATTTGGGTGTGGTCAAAGCCAAGAAGGATGCCAGTGGCGAACATACCGTGGAAGTGGAAGTGCCAACGGAACAAAAGGATATCAACGAAGCTTACGAGGACGCATGTCTGGAATTGACCAAGGTCGTGCCACCGGAGAAGGAACATCGCGATGCCAAAACCAAGCAGGAAGATTATTATCGATCCTTCCGTACTCGATTGGTCTTGTCGTGGATTATCTCTAATCTTGCTCTGGTTGTCATCATTACCAATACCGCCATTCTCAACGATTTCAGTACCTTTGAGGAACGAAGCACCATTTACCTTGGTTTCATTCTTTGGAGTGTTGCGGGTCTTTCCGCCGTACGCTTCCTTGGTTCCTGTCTCTACCTCATTTTCCGCATTTTCACTGGCTAAAAAGAAAAGAGGCGTCTGCTCTCATCCATTTATCAGGCAAAACTCCCAGTGCTGTTGTAGAAAGATCCCGTTTGTCTCTATAGCTTATTCCCTCAGAACGTCTTTTTTAAAATCTCTTTTTTGCCCTTTTTTTTTTTATCTCGAAGTATTCATTTGCTATTTTCTTATTGTATATCTCCATGTCAATAAAAATAAGAAAGACAGATACATGTAATATACGCACACAAAGTTTCAACAGGAAACACAAAATTAATCAATGCCTAATGGACTCGCAATCAGCAGTATTCGATTTCTGATTTCGCGCGGATAAACTTTTTCATTTCAGTGCGAGTCTGATGGGCGACGATGCAAAATTGATTCATCTTTACGGAAATAATACAACTTACGAATTTTACGTGACAGAACGTGACAGACAACTTCCACTTTTCCTTTATCAACCAAATCATCCTACATCACATACACACATATCACCATAAAATATAGTACATTATCTACAATTGAATCCGCTGTCGATTTTAGATAGGAGATTGACCGGAAACAGTGGGATTTTGGATGATCTGTAACAGACAACTGTAAGTAGCCTTTTCACGCTTATTATTCTTGTCAAAATTGATATTACCTCAATCCAGTAGTTGTCGGGATCCAAGATGAAAGCAATATGCTTCATCTTACCATCGGTCAATCTCTTCTTGAAGTTGACACCGAGTTGCTCGAAACGTTCACAGGCCTTGTTGATGTCATCGACAAGGATAGCAATATGGCCATAACCTTTACCAGGGTCGCTGTTGCCGTTAGCGTAGGCAAATTTCTCATCATTCTCAGTACCCCAGTTGCTGTTAGATAAACTCTGGTTAGCTTTCTCACAATTACCAACGAGCTAATGTGAAGTCTCAACGTACTGAGTCAATTCGAGAACACCGGGCATGCTGAAGCACATCTTCTTCTTTTCCTCCTCATTTTCGGGAATTTGGTCCACATAAGCCAAGAAATACAAGGTGAATTTGGCTTCTTCGTGATCAGACTTGGTAATCAACCTAAACCACGCCGAGTAAGTTTTTAAGCACGCGCTTTCTCACTCGAGTCACCGTAAAGATACCGCAAATACTTACTTCATACCAAGCACTTCTTGGTAAAACTTCAACGAAGCCTTGGGGTCCTTGACACGGACCATGGTGTGGTTGAAAACATATTTGGAAGGATCAGTCGACATGATATAAAACGAGAAAAAAGGATTGAAGTACGAGTGTTCCGCCTCGCCAGGGATTTTAATTCATGGCTCAACAGTGACATCATAATTTCAACTCCGCCATGCGTCGCTGTTGCAGTGTGTCCCCGCACGCTCTTCATCCTGAACTTCTTCATTTCCGCTTCGATACTATCAATCAATGGGCATTTTTTAAATGGCCCATGATAAAAATTCTTCTATTTGGCGAGGATCAATGAGGAAAATGGCTCAAAACTTTTTGCCTTTTACCAATAGTGGTGCTTTGCAAGATACCATCCATGTCGGATATGCTGGCATTAACTGATGAAGAGGAGTGAGAGCTTGTTTGATATTGCTTCGGTATTCGTATGTCGAATAATTGGATGAGCCCTTTTCCCAAGCAATCGGACAACATTATTAGCAGTATAAACACAGTAGCGAATGTTGCAACTTCTGAAAAGACTGATCTTAACGTTACCTGCAGCGACGGTTGCACTAAAATTAATGCGCCTGAAGGCCGACCATCGGATTACTCGATATACAAATACCAAGCGCTGAGAATCAATTATCGTTCAAAATGTGGAAATTTCAGAGCGATTTTGCAATTTTCAGAGGCATGTCACTGATAACTTGGTATTTGAGGTAATTTACAAATGGAATTATGGAATCACCGGGCATAAATATACGAATCCGACATTCCTGCATCAAATTTCTGCCAGCATCCATCCACTTGATTAGTTTTCGTTCGTTTTCGACGAACCAAATAAATGACAGTTCTTGCTTCGCGTCGATCATACAATGCGTGATTTTTTAATAGACTGGTTTCATGAATTCTTCATGTAGTGTCCGTGAAAATGGTATGCATATACTACTAAGAGGAACTTTGAGTGCTGGATAAATTTGATCATAAAGATGCTGTTTTTAGTGCAGTAAAGAAAAATCAGTCATAGAAACTACAGTATAGTTTTTCTTATCTGCGAAGATGGAAGGAAACATTAGGAATGAGCAAAAAGGTGAAGTATTCAACGGACGAATAAGTGAGATAAACGAAGCCTAATTAATAGTGACTCGTTGCCATATCAGGACTGTTGTACTTTCGGTAGCAATGATTGTTGACAGTTTGTTTTCATTCATAGTTGGCGGAGAATCACCAGGATCGAAGTGGTTGTTTGCATTGGCGCATGATCCCTTCCAACGGTGAATAACGTCTTGAAGTTTTTGTAAGCAAGCTAAATATGAAGGTATCTCTGTAATGGACATTGGTATTTGCATGGGCTACTTCAAACATGATGTACATGAATTTGGTAATATGATCCATCAGATCAAACGTGATGTGATGTCCTAATACTAGATATTTTAGTGCACACCGCATCACGTACGATAGAATAACTACCGATTGCCAAATACGAAAGGCTGTATTTCGTTTTATGACGATCAATGGCGTTTTTTGTTTAAAAGTCCCAGCCGAACAAGGTCAGCTTGAACCACGTGGCGGTTTATTACCGCTTCATGTTGCACTCTGATCACCCCCAGCCCAAGGGGATGCCCGGGAGTCGAGTCTTCTTGTAAACGACTGATTACAGCATCTGGTCGTGCTCCGATCAAGTACACCAACTGCCTTGCGCTCGTCGTCTGTTACGGACGTCCTAATCCTTTTCAAAAGATACATTTAGTTAAATTCGTTTAATTTAAAGTCAACTTTTTTCTCCATACATCTGTCCTTACAATTGATGGACGATGTTATGATCCACATCGTTGAACAGAGGATTAATGATTGGCTGTAAGTATGTTTTAAAAAACTCTGTTTCTTGCATATCAATGTGAGTGATATCCAAGGGTAAACACTCAATCTTACATACAAAACATTTAGCAATTTGAAATTTGCGAGTACAGTAGTCTTTTGTCGGATAAACTTACAGGTTTCGAACGGTCAAAAGTAGTCTGTATATATGACTGTACGATTCATTGTCCACGTTTTTCAGCTATGAGCCTCGTTATGGCGAGGGAGCCACGGGCTCGAGATATTTCACCTTTTTCGACCGACTAAAAGACATATTAGAGACGAGTGATGGTATAAAAGCTGATATCTGGACCAACACAATGTCTTCCAGTTGCATCCGCATTTCAACGCTGAATTTTTGTTGCGAAATTGATGACTGCTCAATAAATGCGGCATAAGCTTCGATTCAGGAATGACCGATCAAGAAATCGATGCAGGTCAGCATGCGTTCTGCCAGGCTCCAATAGCAAGATGGGCGATAGAGCAAACAAATTTTGCACATGTCTCTCCATATACAATGGTTGAGTATTGACCCATGTTTCGACGAAATTTTTCAATATTTATTCGCAAGCAAAGCATTTGAATCCATTGGTTGTTTTGTAGATACGCCAACCATCTTAATGAAGTATTGATGATGCTTAGTATCCTGTCAACAAGGACCTTTCGTGGTATACTTACGAACAGTAACGTACTGAATATGGAAATCGCGGATGTGGTCTTCCTTTTGTCTTTGGATGAGAAGCTATTACCGCATAAAGGGTATGTAACTTGATTTTCGTTTTTTGACATGAAAATAAGATGCAGCAGGGATCCTAAAAAGAAAGGCTCGGTCTGCCGGTATTGAAATTATTGTATGTATTGGACATTCTCGTAATGTCACTTTGTCAATTTTGTGTATCCCATGATCTCACCACTTTCAGTAATGTCCATTTTTACTAATCAAGTATGCACGAATATGAAATCGCTCTGGTTCCACTTCGGCAACGGATCGTAGATTGTCAGAAATGCAACGATTGGACAAACTTTTGAGAGAAATTTCGTGAAGAAATTCGTCCAAGAAGTCTTCCAGTCGAGCGAAAAAGTGATGCAATATCTACATTGACCGCTTTATGTATTTATGAGATTGCTGAACAAGTCTGTCCAAAAAGTCAAGGAAACAGCACGAAATCATCGGCAATCGAAATATGCATGTTGAAGGGTATGACCTAAGTTGGGGCACTCGCTGATCAAACATACAGACAAGCCAAATATCATTCAAACTCAAGCCGTGACAAATTCTTCACGGATATAAATGACAAAAGGAAGACAACTATGTGGCCGACATTCCCATGAATGATCGACTCTTTGAACTCAGTGGACATATGATTTTGCATTTTTGTGTCGCCTCTTTCTATGCCGATTCCTGGTAAGCTTTATTTCATGACGCTTATGTATTTCACTGATGTATGTTATTATTGCCGCTGCCAAATGTAGTACTTGTTGTCCAGTATAAATATACCTCCATCGGTGAATCCACCTCAGTAAGCTTCTCCCGTGAAAAATCAGCTTGCTAAAAGCTTGGAAAAATCTTGATTTCAAGTTTGAAGAAAGTCTCACGAAAAAGTTTTATTTTACTGAATTAGGAAGTTGTGCTTGTGTAACTTGTGATTGATTTATATTCGGCTTTGTCCAATCGAGTAGGCGGAACTTTTGTCACAGTAAAACAATCGTTTTCTTTACCGGATGTTCATGAGCGAGAGTAAGCTAATGGTTGGAAATTCTAATCTTGCTTAGTGAATATCGCCTTCAAATGGTTCGTCTCCATCCCACGCATATATCATGGCCCAGATCTGTTATCCTTGCCTATACAGTATTCTTGATCGAGCGCAAAAAAAGTACAGCACCCAGGTATTACGTCCAGCCTATTTCTTATCTTCTCAATCAAATTATAGCTTGCATACGAACAATTTTATTACACTAAATCAAAAGTAACTCCCGTTTCGTACACATGCTTGGAATCCGCTACTTTCAAGCTGAAGGCAAATACTTTATTTGGATTGGAAAAAGGTGCTCCTCCATTTCATTGTCATTATGAATTTTGACCAGAGTCCTGTACCCGCCAACGTAGTTCTCGCACATGAAGATCTTGGGCATCGTATACTGGCGGGTAACTTTGTTGAGGTACTTCTGGATTTCATTGCCGTTGGCTTTTTTAAACGAATAATGTTAGTTCACCAGCCTTAGACATCCATTCATAAAAGCAAACTTACGCTCCTGGTCCAGATTCACGATCAAAGTTTCGGCATCATAGTCCCCAATCAAGTCGAAAGCATACTTGGTATTCTCTATGCGAAGCTGTTACAATACAAGACAGAATCGGACCTTCCCCGCTCCCACCGGGATCTGGGCTCTGTTCTCATGCTACATACTGCAGGTGGATGTGCCGAAAATAACAACATAGTTGTTTTCAATAATTTGCTTGACAGCCTCTTCGACTGACATGGTAGTGAGAAAAGAGATAACTAAAAAGGCAAAAAATGGATGCCGAGCTGGTGAGTTTTTACATGCTGTTGGACATCGCATTTTCGCTCTTGGAAAGTTAGACTCAGCACGGCGAATGTCGTATACGCACAGGCCCCGATCCATGGCTGCTCAATCCGGAGTTTGGGCAGCTCAACTAAAAAGCATGGAACTACCCATCCCAACGCCACACCTGTAATACTTGACAACAACACTTACCAAATTAATTTGTTGGTTTATGTGATTCACGGTTGATTCCGCAACAAGGAAGCATTTGATGACTATTCTATTACCTACCTTTTGTATATCGGATACACTTTTACAGCGAGACAAGCGAAAAAAAGGATCTCCCGATCTCGGATAGCAATAGTAAGGAAACTCTCACCCACCGAAGATAACAAAATAGGAACTTGGGTTAACGTAAATTTCAAAGGTGAACGCCGAAACAGATAATCTGTGAGAAAAAAAAATGGAAACTAGCCTTCACAAACATTCCTTCTTATCGTACAGAAATATCAGAATTAGGTCGCCCATGGGCCTGCTGACATCCAAGGCCGGGCCGCATAAGGCCCGATACCAACCAGACGTCATTTACGGCGTCTGGGTTTTCCGAATATTGGGTCACCACTCTTGTCCTGCTCATCCGCCAACCACAACTTCCTAGGAAAATAACCGTTTTGAGGCTCAATAGCACAGCCGCGTAGGCTCAAGACAATGAGAACTGCGCTATTCTTTCTATTCGGACCTATCTTTTCGGTTAAGCACAAATTTATCCTCCATCCAAGCAGTCATATTTCTCGTTATTACTTATTGGCATATGTTTATGAATATGAGTGGGATAATCCGTGGTAAATCTGGCGCTGCTCGGTAAAGGTACGCCTCTAAACGTCTCACATTCATTATGCTTATTTCAGAGGCCCACATGTCATATTCCATGCCTATACTGTATATATTATTTTATTGAAATTCGTGCGCGAGCCTAATACACCATTAACTAATTACGGTGAAATCTCAGTCAAATACTTTATCCTAACAGTTACTTATCTGGTTTACAAGTGTGTAAGAGCGATTTATTGAATGCGGTCAAACTTTCATACTCATGGCTAAAGTCGGCTACTATCAATCTTGGCGCAAACACAATACGTGATTGTTAAGCCATGGCGCTTTTTAATTGACCAGTCTGGTGAAGCATCATCAGAGAGTTAAAATCACCAATATGATGCTTCTTAATGAAAATGTTGGGCAAACTTTGCTGGCGGGTAGAATGCATGAGGTAATGCTCAATTTCAGTGCCTTCGGCTTTTTTTTTAAAAAAGAAAATAGTAGTTAATATTAGTTCACTAGTTCTAAACCTTCACTGATCAAACTTACGATCTTGGTCGAGGTACAAAATAAAAGGGGAGAAACCAAAAGTCTCCTCCAACAAACTGACGGCCGGGATTGTCTCGGCTATGATAAAGAGCTATATTAGAATTTTCCTTCCAAGTGGCTCTGTTCTAATGGTATATACGGGAGTCCGCCTTGGAGAAAATAGTAATATGGCGAGTAGCAACAAGTTCTAGGACACGTTCGGCCATGATGGTTAATGTGGAGATAAAGGAAGAATAGACAGAGAAAAAATGGATATCGAGCAGGTGCGTTTTTATACGTTTGCAAGACATCGCGCCTTCCACTTTGGGGGAGTTAATGTCAGCCACGGTAATATACAAACGTCCTGGTTCTTGCCTGCTGAGTTTAGAGCTCACCTGCAATGCACAGAACTGTCCATGCCGACGCCGTATAATCATTTCACTTCACAACATCAGACAGTCATTCTACTGTGTCCAGTTTTTATTAGATTCATATATGATGCGTTTGATATCACAAAAAAGCCTATTCATTTAGATGTGACCATTGAAACGAAGACACATCAGGAAAATCAAACACGTAAAATTAAAGTTACAGAAAAACAGGCTTAATCAAATACAGTAATCAAACGGTATTTGGTATTTCCATATTAGCCTTTGGTCTCCGGCCATAACTGTGCTGATGGAGGTCAAATTATGCAGGTTACTTTTTCATCTTGCATTGGCATCACCGGCTCAATACTGTTACGAAGACCTACTGAAGGAATCCCGCTGCTTCAATCATGGGTCTGATAATTGCCACAGGAACTACGTTAATGACAGTCCTTTGCCGTGTACTGTTGGCCCCGTCTTGCCGATAATCTCAGCCGGCGCGACAAGTATAGTTTGAGCCACTGAATCTAACTTTGGCTGGGAATCCTCATGAAACGCTACTTGGTTTGATCAGCAAACTTGTTCACTCGACAGCCGATTTTTTTCCCATGGATGAACCGGAACGGTCACATCCCGCTCTATGAATGACATAAATGACTGCGGGTTCTTTTATCCATTGGCAGCTGATTTGTTATGCTTTCAATAGAAAACCATCGGAACCATCCTCGATGCAGATGGAGCACTCATGTTGGTAACGTCCATTGATTTAGCTCTTGCGAACGAGGACCGGCTTTCTGGAAACCTGGCCCACATTTTCAGATCGATCAGAAATAAAGGAAGAGTATCGGTTTGAGCGGAGCGTAAAAAAGAAGGAAGCTTTGTACAACGAATCATCAAAAAACAAAGGAAGCTTAAATCTTTGGGATAACTACAAAATATGCGTAAACTGAGTTAGGCGATTTGGGAACACTTTATTAAGAATATTACTTTTTGGAATTCCCAAATGTACGATCCGTATCTGGTGGATTTAGGTTATCAAATCGATTTAAGTGTAATTGAATTTAAGAATCGCTTTTCGTGGTTCCCGGGGTCACTTAAACTGAGTGGTGACGGTACAGTACTGTATATCAAGGTCCGAGCACATTATATCAATGTAAAGCGAAATCCTCTTTGATCCACTCACCTGCCAATTTCTCTATTTACCAAGTCGATCGCTTCCCATTTGTATATGCAAATATTTAACCGGTCAGCGCTCGTTCCTTGTAACCTGTTTAGGGTGACCATGCATCACACCACAAGAACCAACTCAAAGCTTGTTCTCCCAAGCAAGCCCCCTCTAATGATAGGGATATTTCAATCCTCGTCGATAATCCGCACAAAAAGACAACTGATCTTTTTGTTTCTTTTCTTTCTTTGCTACATCAAGGCCATGCATCCATCATGAACTTGCCTTATGTATAACACCTTTACTTAAACAACTCCAGAAAACGCCAATTCTCCGTCTCCAGAAAATTCGTTATGATGTCGTTTCATGAATCTGAATCAGCCACCGTGTAGTTACCCCTCATTACGAGTGTTACCATGGCCCAAAACACTTCATTCTATGTTTATTATTCTCCCCGTTATTGACAAGACTCGTAAATCAACCGTCAAACTGTGTGTAATAAGATACCAGTTCCAAACCAAAAGCGCATGAAATTTAGCCTGACACAGATATTGCACAAGTCGCAAGTCGTTGAACACTCGAAATACAGTACTCAGTTTCAACTTCCTACATGGTCTCTGCAAAGAGTTTATGCTGTTCTAATAAGCACGGTAAGTGTAAAATGAAACAAGTTGTCCAGAATTTCTTGATTTATTACAATATGTGGTAAGTATGAAGTACGATAATCAAACAACCAGTATGACAAAGTATTTCTTCCAATAAAATGAATCACCTGCAAATAACCTGTTTTTCTCTGATAAAGAACATTCCTATCTAGAGTGAACGCTGACCTAACAATAAATCCGGTATCGCTTCACAGGCCATGCCGCTGCTACTTCCAAAACTTAACTTTTAAATGGAGGACAGTAATTTTATATTGGGAGGTAAATGTACATATCGTATTTTACGAAAGCGTAATGCTTAAAAACAATGGATCCTTGAAACCAAAAGCGCCGAGGTTTCACATGGAGATTGGATATTCCTAGACGTCCGGAGCATGCACCAAGTTCCGCTAAACAACTGCTTATATGGTATCATAGGACTCATTATTCATTAGTTCTCATAATTGACAGACAAATACTCCTGAACAGTACTCATCACGATCATCGCGCCAAGTGTATAGCAACAAAGAGGATTGAGAATGAACCATAGTGATATTAGGGCTTTGTATGGCCGTTTCAATGGTACCGACCGAGATGAAAAAGAGTTTAATGTCCAATTAGATCTGTCTTTACAGGATAACAGGGTGACGGGCAATGGTATGTTCAAGTGATTTCTGTCGCTTGAAAATAAATAAACCCTGAGCGAGAATATGTTTCAAGATACTTGGGTAGATCAATGTTAAACAAAAAGGATTAGAGTTGAGACACGCTGTTGCCTTGCTGACAACAACCACGCGCTACGTGTGGAAATCAAACACAAGGTTTGAAGCATCCAGGGCAAGTTTGTTTTCAAAGAGACAACAGCGTGCTGGGTATTGAAGCACTTGCAGAGCCTTCTGCTTCTTTCACGCGAATCCTCACCTTTTCTGCCATCATTGACAACGGCAAAAGAAATACTCCGAAGTCCCAGAACCACCTCTTCGCGGTTTCAACTGTAATTATTATAAAAAGTGGATTCGATGGATGACCATTTTCACTGCTAGATAGCAATCGTTTAGTTGCAGCAAAAATACAATCATCACACAAAAGATATGTTAGTCATTAGGTCGACGAAACAACACAGTTGGCTGGATTAGGTGCAGATCATTTAGAGTTTGTCAATGTAATTTCCCAGGCGGGGAGGCCTGTGCTCTGTTTTTGAAAATTGACACCATGCCGAAGGGAATAATGTATCACCGTATGGTCGTTATGGTTACGCTTACGCAAAACCAAGCTTGCAGTTGGTCGTGCTGCGCGCGGATCAACTGGTGAATTATTAAGAGATTGCGGCAGAATCCATCTATTCTGTTCGTTGTACGATGTCCTTTTTTCAGATCCTTGACCGTTTAAAGTTCAGGGGGTGGTTGTAATCTGTAAAGCTTGTATCTGCTGAATGTGGGTCTGTGGCCAAGCGACGCAATTTTTACCGATGGGGATCAAACGAATTCATCATGCATGTTGAATAAAGGCGGGTTAAATTGATCATCACAGACTTAATATTCCAATCGAAACATTAAGAAAGCGACTACATTATCCCATGGTTTACAAAGTGGGAAATTTCATAGATAATCGAATTTTGGGCTAGGGTTGAATGATCATTCATTGTTACACGGTGACGCTGAAATGGGACCCGTTGTTTTGATTGCCTAATTTGGCGACCCAATGACAAAAAGACAAAACAAGGAGGAGCGCCATTTTGGTGCCGTCCTATGAGATGCAGTAGCTCGGCTAGTGTATCCGCTCCATTCCAACCGGCTCACAGGATCTCGCTCCGAACAGGTAGGACAAACCTCGTCATACTCACCTTTACCCGAGGGTAAAATCGATCGCTGGACCGAATGGAGTGGCGTCAGAAGATGCGTGCCTGGCGCTCACGTCAGATTCACGTCTTTTCATCATTACCTTTTAGCGTCCCTGACGTATCCTACTGCAAAGCTGTCACATTGTCCTTGGAGATCCATTCTGAATTTTGTCGTGAGTCAATGAACCCCGTCGATTTAATTTAATTTTTTCCCCATCTTATTAAAATAGTGGCACGTTGCTTATTCTTTGGTTGATTCTGCCCACAAAGAACGTTGAGATGGATTCTACACAAGGACGTACACGGGAGTCATGGTAACCAAAAATGCAAAAAGGAAAAAATAGGCGCGAGGGGAGGGAGATCGCACATGAACAACACAGCAGTAGGTTGCACTACTGTATCCAAAAATAAAGCCCAGCTGGTGAAACGTCCGTTTTGGCTGGTCTTCTTGAACATCATCCAAGGTTCTCTCTTTTGAAGCACTTTTTTTGAAGCACTTTTTTTTTTCGAGGGTTGGAAACCACGGTCCCAACTTTTTGTATAAATACAACCCCCCTTTCGCTTCTTCTTTGTCAATTCACTCCATCAATTGTGTAGTTCTAGTCTCTTTTTCTTTTCCTTGTGTATTTTTCACTTTTTTCTTTTTTGCACATATACCCAGCTGTTTATACTTCACTTTTCTGTTTGCTCACTCATACCCTGGCTCTTTTGTCATTATATTCCCTTCATCTCCATATAAACATTTGTCATCATGTATGCTTGTAATATTACCAATGAACCCTCTATCCACTTCTTGCAACAAGAACAGCCTTATATGCCCGTCTGTACAACTGCATCTCCCAGTATACCAATTCAATCATCCTTTATGGGCATCCTGTCATCCTTCCCCATTATTCAAGAGACCCCTCTTCTGCATCATCCATCAATAGCATCGCCTTCCTTGAAGAAGAAGACTAGACCCAATGGCGGCGCCGCAAAGCCCTCCAAGACATCCGAACTCAAGTTTAAAATTGAATCCGTTGGCCATCATCCGGAACATGACGATGATTTGGAAATGTGTCCTGCGCGAACACGACCCAACTGGCCGACCCATATCGAGACTTGGTGGAAGGCATGTCATCCTACAGAAAAGCCACCATACTCTTACGCCACCTTAATCGCGCACGCCATCCTCTCCAGCAAAGACGGCCGACTGACTCTCAATGACATTTATCGTTGGATTGCTGAGCATTATCCTTTTTACGTTCTCGGTCAAGGTGGTTGGCAGGTAAAAAAAAATCGAACATTATCACCTTGGTAACGAAACCTTGTTGTGTTAACTCTGATATTCTTAACTGCAGAACTCCATTCGACACAATTTGTCCCTCAACAAGAAATGGTTCATTAAAATTGATCGTTGCCCGACCCAGGCCAATCCTGGCAAAGGCTGTTACTGGACTCTGGTAGAAGGTGTTGAACACATCTTTGTCGACAACCTGTCTCAAGCTGGGGGTCACAGTCGTAAACATCACGATATTGGACTCACTGCCGAACTGTCACTGGGTCACCGTCGCGGCACTTCCTGCTTCCATTCTTCCAAGCACCCATCCGAAACCGAGACCAAGTCACCGAAACCCAGCCAGGACAGCAAGTCCAAACCGGGTCCTGAAATGGTGCCACTGTATACCACTTTTCGTATGGTCGAGAATTTGTCAGTTACCAAGAGCTCAGAAAGACGTCGTAAGCTGAAACGTAGAAAAGCAAGACGCACCGTGGAACCCGGTTCGTATTGCGAGTCAGAATATGATTCAGGTGTGGATGTTGGCAACGAATATGTCTCTGGTTACGAGCACAAGCAAAAAAAGAAGAAACACAGGGCAGACACCAATGTGGATGACAAGACCTCAGGTGACCGCGATGAAAAAGAAGACACGGTGGCCACAGCCACTACTGCCACAGATGATTATTCCCAGTTAACATGGCAAGACTTACTGTCGGTGGATATCTCTCAATTGCAAGCTATACAGAACAATCCCTCGTATGACCCATCCTCCACTGTTTTGGAAGTGCCGACCACCTTTGATTTTTCGCAGCCAGCGACATCCATGTGGTATGCTGAAACTGAAGTACCGAACGGTTTACCAAGCCAAAGTGACATCGTCGCTGCTGCCCTTCAACCCATGGGCTGTCTTGACTTTGGCATCGATGGCCTCAATCTACCGAATCCCAGCGTATCCGAGTCAGCGGCGAATTCTTCCGCGTGCTCTGCAGCAACGAAGCATGCGAACGCACCCATGTTACTGCAGCAGCCTATCACGATCAATCTGGATGATGACGAGTATCAGAAATATCTACATTTTGAAGACGAAGATGACCTGGCCGCTACATACCCATTATCACGGTTCGCGTATCCAAGTGAATGCCTTTTCGGCCCTATGCAAGATCTATTGTATGCCCCTTTTGATGTTATGCATAATAAATAAAATACCTTATCACATTGCTTTATCAAGCCGTTGTTTTTCTTGTTATGTCTAATTCGGGAAATCGCATACCCAGAAATGGTGTTCTCCTAGGGAAAAATCCAGCAAAATGCTACGATGCTACTCCGGGAGAAAAATAAAACAAGGAAAAAAATCCAAGGCAAGCAAAACATCGAAATAGAAACATGACGAACTTTTGCAGCATGGAACAAAAAAATACGGATTTGTAAACAACCAAAAAAAAAGACATGCAACAAAGCAAATGAATAAAGAAAAACTGTTAAATCGCGCATAAAAGCTCAATAAAAAAAGGCCACTACATTTGGGACGAGTTGGTTCATTTCCTAACATTCTACCATTCACGCTGGAAAACCATGTTATGCCTCAAAAAGTTTCATTCCATGATCGATTTTTTTCGTTTCCGCCGATCGTATGGAAAACAGCGTGATTTGCATCATTAGCACCGATGTTCTTTTGGTCTAGATGCGTGATTCTGACGTAAGAAACGATCGTACAACACCGTCGGGAATAGTATACAACGACTTGATGGACCATCAAAGTCATCCTGTCACGTTTGAACTGGTCGTACATGAATTGAAGGACTTTGGATTTCAGAGTCGCCGCCAGAAAATTTTTCCGGCTCTCTGTCTTGCGCGAGTCGCTTCATAAAATAGTCACACTGGTCGTCACAATTTTGATGACGAAGAACGGCGGGCGTGCTCTTTCTTTTTTTGCACTTTGGGTCGACTTTATCACAGACTCTCGCCACAGAAGACGGTATTTATGGATAGGTATTCACGTGGTTACGACGAGCGATATCGAGGGTATTACGATCGTCCTCGTTCGGATACATATCGCCCAGGAGAAGTATATCGTCCATCCGAAAGAGATCGGGAGTACAGAGATCCGGCACGCAACTACTCGCCAGGTCGCTATCCACCGGCCACTTCACGATCACCCGTTCACAGAGGTGGTGATTCGTACCACAGGGAAAGACTCAGTTATTCCGAACGATACTATGGATCGCGAGGTTCTTCACCTGCACGCTCTGATTCGAGATCCCCGAGAAGACCTTCTTATGCGTATTATCGTTCGTCGTCGTCAACATACTCTTACACTTCACGCCGCAGTCCTTCCCCATTAACCCGACGCGATTCTTCCTATGAACGTCAGCGATCATCCTACTCGAGTACTACCGCTGGCTATCCTCCTCCTTATAGTGCTACGGCTTCTAGCCATTATTATCGTTCTCACAGCACATCGTCTCCCAGCGCTTCTTTCCCACCATCTTCCTATCCGCCGCGACGTCACAACCCTGGTACAGCTCCTTATCCACTGCCAACTTCGGCTTCCTCCGATGCAGCGGCTGTAGCCGATGCTGCCAATACTGGTGATGCTGCACCTGTCGTGCATCCTCGATCGTCGTCTTCCAGTGCGTCAAGGAGCGTACCACCTTCACCCGGCAAAGAATCAGCACCAGCGCCCATGACCAACACTTTTCACGCTAGCGCCACTTCCACCACTCCTGCACCTCTTCATCCAGCGGCCACCACCTCGCCTTCTGGATCAACTTATTCATCGCCTTACGGATACAGCCATCATCATTCTTCAAGTTATTCATCGCAAGGTGGACCGCCTCCGCCACCATTGTCACGATCCCATTCCAACACAACCCATCATTACTCCCACTACAGCAGTTATCCATCGTATGCTGGTCATCACTCTTCAGGATCTTCTTTTTCATTTCCTCCTCCTCGACCGAGAACTTCCTATGCCTCTGAACAAGAAAAAGAGGTGAGTCAACGCATCATTTGACGAAAAGATTATATTAGTAGCAAAATCACTGATAAGTTGTTAAAAAACAATAGGTGGAACGCTACGAGGCGGATGTACAGAAATTACGAGATGAAGAATTGGATGTACTAGCAGCTGCGCGCAAAAGCCGGTTTGAACTCAAGTTAATCGACTGGGAAACAACCAAACTGGAACATCAGGTAGAACTGGTACAAAAGCAATGGGATGAAAGCGGGATGGATGAACTTGTGCGCGAAGAGATGCCGCTACGATTGGCAGGGAAATCGTTAAGCAGCGGGCTATCACGTTCAAAGCTCTCCTTATAAAATAGTCCTCATTTGTGTAAATAGTAACTACTAGTGAATAGTCTAATAAAGTAAGATACGCTATCTCTTACATAGACGTAATAAATACAGTATCATTTAAAGCTATCAATAGAGCCATCGTATAAGATTCGCCTTAGCCGCTTACAAGCTGCATTTCATACGCGTTTCCTGTGACAACTATTTCGAAGTCAACCGGGGCTTTTCATTTAGGTTCGTCAATTCTCTCGCTGAAGCAATATCAGCCATCTCAGTCTTTCGTAGACAATGTTATGTCTGAACTTCTATATCATTTTGCTTCACGCTGTTCATAATTGATGATCTTTTTATTTCCAGACATTTGTACAGGCAGTATAAGTGAAAAAATGCGACATGACGGCATGTAAAGGGTGTATGTGTATTTAATCTTTTTTTTTTTTCTTTCCGCTTTATTGATTTATCGTACGGTGCTTTGTTTAATACTGGTACTTTGCTTCTTGTTTCTTAATGAATTGGGTAGAGCGATATTGCGGAATCGTGAATACGGCAGGACATTCAGTTGCGAAAGTCTTCAACATGACGGATGAGTTGGCAGTGACGTTTATCGCGTGAGAACTGGACATATTACTTACAGGGTAAGACACAGGAGCAGGCAATAGTGTTGATCATATAAAGGGTAGACATTCAGCAATAGCACAGTGTTTATTTGTTTATTTCTGTGATTGTATTTTGTGAAAAAAAAAAATATGACAGCTTCTGAAGGACGAAATTGAAGACGTCCACTCGAAAATTTATGTTTCTCGCTTTATTTACGCATAAAGATCATCATCGCCACCTTCTTGACCAAAACCGCTTTCACCGGCGGTAACACCATCCATACCCTGTGCAGAACCAGCTCCGCCTTCAGGGAACTTGAAGGTACCGAAACCGCGCTGCTGTTGCAGATTCTGAGCAAATACTTCGTATCGTCGGATATCGTTGTCGCTGACTGATCGGCGAGCAAAGCGCATAGCTTCCTCAAAATGAGCACTGAAAGAAAAAAAAGAAGTCAGTCAGTATGAAAAAAAAGTTCAAAAAGAAGACGGATAAAGAAATGAATGCTTACCGAGTAATGTAGGCGACGACATCTTCGTCTTCATCTTCTTCCATGCCGACATCTTCACCGGCTTCCTGTTTTGCCTTGCGCTCCTTTTCTTGGGCGATTTCTTTTTCAATATCTTCACGGATGGCCAATTTAGCAGCACGCTGACAGATTTCGGACAAATCAGCACCAGAGAATCCTTGAGTGTGCTTGGCAATGAAAGCCAAATCCACATCAGGGGAAACAGGCGACTTGCGCAATTGGGCCTTTAAGATGGAAAGACGCGAGCTTTCATCAGGGAGAGGGATATAGATGAGCTGATCCAAACGACCAGGACGCAAAAGAGCGGGATCAATTTGATCAGGACGGTTGGTAGCACCGATAACGAACACATTCTGCGGAAATGGAATAAAAAATGAGCATCGATTCAATCAATATCGGCTCTGATCATAATTTTTGCAGAAATAGGAAATCTTACCTTTTTGGCATTCATACCATCCATTTCGGTCAAAATCTGATTCAGAACACGATCACCTGCACCTCCTGCATCACCCAATGAACCGCCACGAGCCTTGGCAATCGAATCCAATTCATCAAAGAACATAACGCATGGCGCAGCTGCACGTGCCTTGTCAAATACATCACGCACATTCGATTCGGATTCACCAAACCACATTGTCAACAATTCAGGACCCTAAACATGGTGATCTTTTAGTTTCCGTGCTGTTGACAAATAAATTTCAAACCGATATGATAGAAATGCATACCTTGATGGAGATGAAGTTGGCTTGACATTCGTTGGCAATAGCCTTGGCCAACAAGGTCTTACCGGTACCAGGAGGACCATAGAACAAGACACCCTTGGAAGGACTCATACCAAACTTCAGGAACTTTTCTGGATGTTCCACAGGATATTGGACGGTTTCCTGCAATTCCAACTTGACATTGTCCAAACCACCAATGTCGGACCACTTTACAGAAGGTACTTCAACAGCAGTTTCGCGGAGAGCCGAAGGATTAGAAACACCCAAAGCGTACTAAAAGAGTAGTTATATCAGCGAGCGAGTCCTTTCTTACGGAAGGAATTGAATATCAGCATCAAAACACTTACTCTAAAGTTGTCCATGGTAACGGCCAGACTGTCCAGTACTTCGGTGTCAATGGTTTCTTCTTCAAGATCGATCAAATCCATCTTTTCACGGATTTGTTGCATAGCCGCTTCGGAACAAAGCGAAGCCATATCGGCACCAACATAACCGTGGGTTTCAGAAGCAATTTGTTCCAAATCAACTTCATCATCCAATTTCATGTTCTTGGTATGAATACGAAGAATTTCAAGGCGACCAGTAGGATCAGGAATGCCAATATCCACTTCACGATCGAAACGACCGAAACGACGCAAAGCAGGATCAATGGAGTTGGGGCGGTTGGTAGCCGCAATCACAACGACATTGGAACGCGACTTCATACCGTCCATCAAAGTGAGAAGCTGAGAAACGACACGACGTTCCACCTCACCGTTGGTCTGTTAAAAAAAAAGAAAAAGTCAATCGTCTCTACCCATTTGTATTGGCATCTGACTCTTAGATACCGTACCTTTTCACGCTTGGGTGCAATAGCATCGATTTCATCGATAAAGATGATGGCGGGAGAGTTCTTTTCTGCTTCTTCAAAGGCCTTGCGCAGGTTGCTTTCAGATTCACCGGCCATCTTGGACATGATCTCAGGACCGTTGATGAGGAAGAAGAAAGCACCAGTTTCATTGGCGACAGCACGAGCAATCAACGTTTTACCGGTACCAGGAGGACCATACATGAGAATACCGCGGGGTGGTTTAATACCAATGGTCTTGAAAAGTTGAGGATGGCGCAAAGGAAGTTCAACCATCTCACGAATCTGAGCCATCTGTTTACGACAACCACCAATATCATCGTATCCCACTTCATTCAAGTTTTGTTCTTCGTCTTCACGCTTGATCGGTTCACCTTCGCAGTGGATGACCGTATCTTGTGCAACCTATGCATAAATAACACTCAGCCAACGGGGCTCCTCTCAAACTTTTCCTTTTTACAACACGGCCATCTTTGTGTGCACTTACAATACAGTAATCATCGGGATCGGTTTCCACGACCTTGAATTCTACTGCACGCATACCACCGCGCACAAGGAATAAGTCGCCCTTGCGGACGGGACGGTAGGCTTCCAAGAAGTAGGGTTTCAAGTAAGTTTCAAACAAGTTGCCGGTCAAGCCTTCAACAGTGTCATCGATAGGCAAAACATGAATACGTTTGCCGTATTTGATATCTGGACATGGGTGAATGCTGATAATATCACCAAGGCGCACACGTAAATTGTTACGCACGACTATGATGATGATAAAAAATTGAAGCAGAAAAATAGAATAAAAGCAGAAAGTTAGCCCACTGCACAGCGATGTATCCGACAATTCTCTACGTTACCTTTGTTAATTTTGGCCTTGTTATCCTCCACGTCATCGTCGGCCAACACGATAAGCACTGTGTCTCTTCTCTTCTTGCCCTTGACAAGTACAGTATCACCGCGGAAAAGTTGAAGTCTTTCCATGGTGGCAGTAGACAAAGTAATAACTGAGTTATCATCATTGGAAGCATCGTCCACCATCAATTTGTTGGGTGCGGCTTTACGGCGCAAAATAGCAGTGGCAGGATCATGGCTAGGATCGACTTCGGGGTCAGTGACACCAGCATTAGGCCTAAAAAACGAGGGAAACGCAACCGATTAATTTTCTGAATGGTCTGATCGCACTTTTGCTGCAGTGGTTACTTACATCAATTTGCTTTTATGATCACTTGTAGTCATTATCAAATGAGATTATTCAATAAGGGTGAAGAAAAACTCACTGGTGGGTGCGCGGAGAGTCGTGAATTTATCTGCTGCGACACGTAATACTTCGATGTCGTTCGCCGGAGCCCCCGATAGGTCCGGTCTGATGACGTAGTTACCTTACGTCATGCAGTCCGGAGGACGACCGGCAGTTGATTTTCTATGCATTATTCAAGCTTCGTTGCTTTTATTCAACTGTGTATTGTTGGGAAGGAATATTATATTTATTTCAACCTGTGTATTGCTACCAGTAGATGAATGACAATGATTAGTAGCGGCATAAATAAAACTGAACTAAGCGTCATTTGGCCCCCAGCAGCCCTATCTTGACCGAATTGCTTCTTCGAAAATATGTATGGACGCAATAGGTACAGAATTGAAAGATATTTTTATGTCCTAATAGCATTTGCAATAGAAAATGTGGATATATGTCGTTGAAGTGAGAGAAAAGTACTGTACTGTACTGTACTTACCGTTCGGTATAGTCTCTGAAATTGTGCAAGTTGAAGGGCACAAGACCGCGCATTAGTCGCTGTACCTGCTTTCAATCGTGCATAGATTTCACTCAGTCAGCTTCCAGCAGCTGGAATCTCAAACCGGAGAAACCCATAGCATAAAATGAAAATAAAGAACAACGCCCATTGAAATTGAATCGGTGAAAGAAATTTAGCGCTTTCATGAAGTTCATGGCGCAAAGATGGTTTGTTCGAAAACGTTGATGACACAGTTCTCTTGCCTTTTACGTCCCTCATGGATAACGGTATCTAAATATTTTGACCCTCTGAATTTCATTTTTTTTTTCCCTCATTCTTCCTCGTTGGCACCGTTATTTATATGTTTAGGGAAACAAATCTCCACAAGATAATTGAGCACTGTCAAGTATGCAAATTGTAGTAGTATGCTTAATCCAACAATTTGGAAGTTCGAGACCAGAAACTGGTCTTCCCAGAAGAAGAAATACAAGATTTTTTTCTTTTTCCCATTGACAATATCGGATCAGTCATCGTAACCGATTGTTCTCCACAAACCAGACGGTCCTCCAAAATTTCGAATACAACAAGTCCGTCAAACCTTTTTGGCGTCATTTTTTTTTTTTTTGTCAAATAGGAAATCCGATACTCTGTCATTTTTTTTATAGAGGAAAGAGACATTCAAAACCGTACATTATTCGACGATCCTATTACTTAGGACGACTTGCGTTCAGCAGCTTCCTTCTCGGCCTGCAAGCGCTTGCGCTTGATCAAGGTGTTCATGTAAGTGCCCAAGACTGGTGAGAAAAAAGAAAAAAAGATGAGTCATGTTGGACAGAAAAGCGCAACAACAGTTTTCCCGTAATTTTCCAAACTTACAGAAGATGACAACGTTGAAGAAAGGAACCCAGGTGTGTTGGGGCAAGTAGTTTTGGGCAAAGATCAAACTCAAGGGAGAAACAACCCAAGAAACTTTCTGCATCGACAATAAACCATTGCGCACAGCGCTTCTAACCTGAGCAAAGGATCGACCACCAGCCAGGATGGTCATTGCAGTAATATAGACTAAAAACAAAGTACAGTTTTCATCAGCATCTCCATTTTTCTTTCTCTCCTGCTATTGACAAAAATATAGAAAAAGAAAGCCTAACCTGTGTTCATGAAGGGCGAGATGATAAGGTTGGAGAACAACAACTGGCCAACCTTGACCTTGGGACCGGTCTTGCCAGCAAACACCTTGGCCATGATTTCATACCACAAGTGGTTTAAAGGACCAGAGATGATCAAGCCTAGATAATGTTCATTATTCGTTTGAGTGCTTCATATCTCGACTAGTTGGTCGTTTTATCGTGCAAAAACAAAGTGTCGTACCATAAGCTGCCATTTGGAAAATACGCTTATCGAGTTTCTTCTGTCCCGACAATTTTTGTGCTGCTGCTTCTTGGCAACCAGAAAGGATACCGCTGGTTACGGCTTTGGTCTGAAGAGGGTAGGCAGCCAGCTGCGTAAGGTACCATGCCAAGAAAGACTGATTCGCGGGAGATACACTCATGGTGGAAATGTGTTGTGTAATGGGAAGAGTGTGGGGTAAAAAAGAGAAAAATAAGAAACCAACAAGTAAGAAAAGAAAAAGATAAAAAAAGGAAGGCCGGTCGTCCGATATATACACAACAAATATAGAGGCGGGGAACAAAGATACCTGTCATTATACGGTATCCGGTATTTAAGCTTGTCGGAGATTCAAAGGAATGACATTAAAGGATCACAGACACAGTGATACTACCGTAGATTCTTTTTTGTTCATGTGGTGTGTATTAACGAAAAAAAAAAATAAGGTAATGATGGATGAAGGGGGAATAGAGAAATGTGGGGTTGCTTTTTTTTTCTTTTTTCTGATGTAACTGTAACATACGATAAAAAAATGGAGCTGGCTATTTCTTTTTATACAGACGAATAAAATATCGCATATTTTGGACGTCAATGGGATATTTTAAGTGGTCAGGATGCCTAAAGCAGCACAGAAGAAAGATCAATCATTCCAAAATTCACAGTAAATTTTGCAGTTAACCTTCTCACCTGTACCACCTTGAATCTTCTGCAACCACGCATTCAAGGTCTTTCACCGCATCCAATAACGTGTAAAGCATGTACGTTTTGCCGCCGATCTGCAGGTGGGAAAACGATCCGGCAGACTCCACAATCTATTTTTCCGACCAAAAATGGAACAGCCATTAGTTTTTTGGTTCAGCATTGGCGTCGGGCAGATAATCTGTGGGGAAAAAAGGGAACCATGATAAAAAGGTGCCACTTACCAAAAGAAGCGCGCCTTTCTTCATGGATTGAATTAAGGTTTGAATCAGTTGCATGGCAGCCGTTTTGTTCACAAACAGTTCATTCATAACGAACATAAAAGTGATCAAGTCTGCCTGGGCGATCAGCTCATTTCTTCGCGATTCGTTCTCTTTGCTCAAAACATCGCCTTGCTCATACACGCATTCCAACTGTTCGGTCGTAAGTTTCCATTCTTGTCGTATGGTGGTTTCAAAACAAGTGAGCACCGAGGACCATGCACCAATATCTTGCATGTTCAACCGGACTTGCTGACGCTCGGCTGGAACACGTGTCATGGCCGCCGCAACACTGACCAACTCAGATCCACTGCCAGATCCCACAGCAAAAATGCGACAAGCTTTGCCTAAAAGTTTGCGTAACTGTGGACGAGAGAAAATTTCAAAGTAACAAAGTGCACGGCCGGGAACATAGGCGGCGCTGTACACTTGAAGATTCTCTTCATCCGTGAAAATACCCTCATAATCACGCTGTACAAAGCTGGCCTTGATACCCTGTAACACTTTTCCCCAGTCGTCTCTTGCAAAGGTATGATAACATGCCCGCCGAATCAGCGACAGTATGCCTAGATTCGCGATGAAAAGACAGTTTTTTTTTTTTTTTTTTTTTTTTTTTTTTCGTGAGATCGGAACTCTTTGACCATATCACTCTTGGTTCATCGTTAAATTATAGAAAAAAGAAAAAAAAGATTACTTTGTTCCGGATCCCGCCCAAGTAGTCGCCACCGTGCTTTCAGCGCTTCTTTATCATATGCCTCCTTTACTTTGGACTTCTCGGGTTTTGGCTGCAAGTCTGTGGCCATGATCAGAGCGAAAACGATGGTCAAGAAGTGCTCCAACTCCAAGCCACGGATCCAAAAAATAAAGACGCCGCTTCAAGTTTTTTTCTTCTTTTTTTGTGCTATTTTTTGCGCTGCGGTTTAAAGTGTCGTCATTTTACTATTATGCCAGAAATCGCTGAAGTAAGCTGTACGGCAACCATGCTGAATAGTCGCATCGGCTGAACATTTATTAGGTGGAATTTGCTCGAAGACAATGCCACCAGCATTGTTTGAATCGAACAATCATTGCTGTTGATGCGGTAAATGGTGGATTCCTCTTTTTGCACAAAGAACGGGCACTGAAACAGGCTCCGCGCCTTATGCTGTGTATAGACACCGGATAGTCTAGTATTTGCTGACACCACGGCCGAAGACTTTGCTGAATCCATCAAAGGGAAAATAGTGACAGATACAAAACGATGGGGAAAGTATTTTGTCTTGAGTGAGTTTCCTTGCCAATTTATGCTCTTCAGTCTATTTTTTTCTAATTTACTTGCAGTACTTGACAAAGGTCCACACATTGTTGCTCACTTTGGCATGACGGGCCAACTTCTTGTACGTGTGTGGCGCGGATGAAAAATAACCTTAGACATTTCTCTGAAAGCCCTATTGGTTTCTTTGTAGGTGAAGCATGAGCACGAGGAAAAGCAAATGACGTGGCCACCAAAGTTTGTAAAATTTATCATTACTGTGCAGAAGAAGGGGACGGACGAAGAGCCGGTTGTCATAGCTTTCTGCGACGCGCGTCGTCTGGGTCGCGTTAGGCTGGTAGACGGCGATCCACTGAAATGTCCTCCCATTTCCAAACTGGGTTTTGATCCTATGCATAATCTGCCGTCGCCTGAAGATTTCACAGTTCTTGTGCAGAAACGAATTATGCCGATCAAAGCATTACTGCTGGATCAAGCTTTTTCAGCGCAAGTATTCGCCTAACTACTCTATACATTATAGATGTTAACTTGGCGGCTTATGCTGACTTGTCTGTTACAGTGGCGTGGGGAACTGGGTGGCGGACGAAATTTTGTATCAATCACGTATCCATCCGGCGCAAAAGGCCAATACGCTGACGATCGAGGAATGTCACAATCTGCGGTTACAAATGGAGAAAGTGTGCCGCATTGCAGTGGAAGCGGAAGCCGATTCATCACTGTTCCCTGAAGACTGGCTCATGATGTATCGTTGGAACAAGGGCAAAGGCAAAGGAGCCGGAGTTCTACCTAATGGACACAAACTGGCTTTTGAAACGGTAATTTACCAAAAGGAGAGGGACAATCAACGACGACTGACAGAGTTTATGTCGTTAGGTGGGGGGACGAACAAGTGCGTTTGTACCAGCATTACAGCGATTGCATGGCTCTATCCTTACAAAGAGGAAGAAGGTCAAGGTCGAGAGCATGGCAAGCGATGAAGAAGCACGTCCCAAAAAATCTCACAGAAAGGCAAACAAAGATCGCTCCAGGCCGAAAGCGGAAACCGTTAAAAAAGAAGATGATAAATCACCCACAGGCGTGTCTCCTCGAGCTGCACGGTATATGCGTCGAAGCGCCTCAACAACATCGTTGCACAATTAAAATGAAACCCAATGTGTTTGACCTGACTTTCATGCATGGTTTATTGTATAAATTAGATTGTCTTTACATTGGAAGTCAGTGCGGAATGGGGCTGTTTTTTGACCTGTGTCCACCATTCCTATGACCTATGCGACCACACGTATATGCAAACGAATCTATTAATGGGATTGCTTTCATTCTGGAAGGGGGGGGGGTAATATCTCAATTTCCCGTGGTCGGATCATCAAATTCATTTCTTGGTATTTCTGTGAATTGATAAAGAGTTTATACAGCGTTGAACTGGGAATACCTTTTGTTAGAAATCTGAGAGTTTCCCGTCTGTATAATGGTTCCCACGGCGCGATGCCAACCCCAGCGGATGTCCGCGCTGTGGAACCATCCAGCTATCATTTACGAATTGATCACATGAATACCATTTGTGAAACCATTGATTGTGAGATGACAGATAACAAGCGCCATTGTGCCAGGGGCTATAACTGCTGTAGGTTTCCTTACCGTGTTGTGACTCTGCACATATAGCTCATCATGTGGTGTGCACAACGCTTTAGAAGCGCTTTCGACAATTTTCCATCTATCACCACCCCATGGCTGATGTCCTTGACATCAATCAGCCTGCATAAGATATAAGTTCTTTGATCATCTTTCAATCATACTACGAAAAGAATCACATATAGGGGGAGAAAAGCCCATATGTATCTGTCATTCCTCGACTCCTTCATATGCGGCGCAAGTGCTTTAAATATTGGGGAGTTCTCATGTGCTCACAGAATGCAGGTTTTAACGGGAACAGTGATTTCCGTATATGTCTACTCTCGCATAACGTCAACCCTCATTCATTTCAGTGGATTACTGCTCACTCACTCCGTTTGCAAATTGATAGTCTGATTAAAATCCGCGATTTTATCAAATGAATAATACAGCTGCTCGAATACAAAGGTAATGACCCTACTGCAGTTTATGTTATCCTGCATAGATTCCCACTATCCAATCTGTATATATCAAGACAAGTACGGAATCATTTAGGTGAGGTTCAAAAGATGTAATCGTGTCGAACACTGACAGTAAGGCAGTGAAAGTGCTAGACGCCTCGCGCGCAGCCGCACAGTGCACGACCTACAAGTTGAAGCCCAGTAATCTACACAAAATTTCTTCAGATACGACATGGCTCAGTTGAGTGGCCATTATGCATCCTAGAAAAAAGGGGGAGAGGGTTCCAAGACTGGAATCGACATGATGTTGCGATATTGAAAATGATAATATGGCAACAGCAAGTTGAGGTGTTGTCAAGATTCGAATGGAATTCATGCTCCGTCATTTTCCATATTTCTTTCAGATTTTTTTTCCTTGTCAGTTTCTTTTTTCATTCATTCACATGATAAGGGACTCGCCACTACTTTTAGCCGCATGTATTGCGTTGGCTACTGCGTATTACATCACGAGAAAAAACGATAAACGTTTGCAGCTCATATCGGCCAAGGATGAACGGGTGGTTATTTTAGGCTGCTCTTCAGGGATTGGCAAGCACGTCGCGTTATCTTATGCTGCCCGTGGTGCGAAGCTCGTGCTATTTGCAAGAAGACGAGAATTGCTGGATGCTTTGAAACAAGAATGTGAACATGCCGGAGCTTCTCATGTCACTGTGGTGGCGGGAGATGTGAGCCATCAGGATGACTTGACATTACTGATGGAGACTTGTCAACGAAGCATGGGGGGTCTGGATACGCTGATCTATTGTGCGGGACTGATTTCTGTGCTGCCTTTTATGGAAGCATGCGGGATGGAGGTCAAGGTCCAGCAGACGGGTTTTGAAGTGACGCAGTCGTCAACGTCAACGAGTGGAGTGGATGATGCGTTGGAACGTATTACGAATGTAAACTATTATGCACCCGTACGGACGGCTCGAGTGTTTCTGCCTATTTTAATTCAGACTTCAAAAATGCCCAATCTGGCGATCGTCTCTTCGATGGCCGGCAAAGTGGGTGCGCCCACACGTGCGATGTATGCAGGCTCCAAGCATGCCGTTCACGGGTTTTTCGATTCCTTGAGAGTGGAAGTGGAGCCATACAACGTCCATGTCAGTCTTGTGTGTCCAGCCACCGTGGATACAGATTTACGCCATTCGGCCGTGGACGGCGGGCTTGGGCATGGAGGCGTGGCGGGATCCACGAGCGGAAAATTGTCGCCACAAACAGTCGCTTTACAGATTATTGCCGCTTCCGATCAACGAAAACGGGAAGTGTATCTCCCTGCGTGGTTTGGCTATGCAGCATTATGGGCCAAACTGTTGGCAAGCCCCTGGGTCGATTGGTTCGCCAAGCGAAAGTACAGCAAGGTCACTAAGTAACATACAAAAAAAAGGAAAAAGTTCATTAAAGAGGTGGTAAAAATTTTTTTTTTTTTTTTTTTTTTTGTCTGTTGACCCATTCATCTTTGATACGGCGAAGGATATAGTATTTTTTATATTATAATATTGTGTAAAGGAATTGACATCATTGATCATGAAGTAATCGAGCGGTTTTTGCGTTTTTCTATTGGCTTCCCTTTTTTTTTTTTTTTTTTTTTTTGAATGAGCAAGTTGGATTGCATTGAAGGTTTGAGACTTAGCATGACCATGTGGGTGACTCGTGGCAACTGAAAAAAAAAAAAAAAAGTTTTTCAATTGAACAGCACGTGCTGACTTTCGCAGCATCTGGCGGAGTTCAACTTACTTCCGCAAGCCGTATTACATTTCACTACGATCCTTTCCATCTCACTGTTTTGCGTTTTTCTTTTTCTCTTTTTTATTTTTTCTATTCTTTTATATCTTTTTTTTTAATCGTTTTCGTGCTGCTTTAGTGATTTAATATACACATAACCATATACATCTTTCGCTTGTTCCATAGTTTTTCCATCCCATGTCACACCATACGATGCTTATCAATAGTAATTATTCCACACCTCCTCATGAAATGGAGGATGATACAAAGCTCGGACGTCGAACATCGCTTGATCCTAATACGCGAACCCTTCAGCCATTGTCATCGTTTCGTCCGCTCGATTATGCATCGCCTAGTCCTAGCAGTTCCAGAAGAGGATCGGCGGTGGAATCCACACTCCAGGGAAATAACTGGTCCTATCATTCAAATACGTCTTCGCCACCTTCTTCGCCCTCGCATCCCGCTGTTATGCGGCCGTCCCCCCTGGACCATCGGCCTGATCTCACAGGACGGTTTCTTCCGTCTCCACCGTTACCACCATCAGCCCCATGGCGACGTGATTCCCTTCCATCTATTGCACACATCACAGGTGGCGATTTCCCGCCCTCTGCTGTTTTCCGAACTCCCTCATCACCAGGATACCTTGACGATTCCATGAGACGCCATTCTATTGCCACCTCTTTCCATCGTGACAGTTCGTCGGCCGGGTCCTCACCTCGTCTGCAGCATACCGATGAAGAACCACGGCCTCGACGAACGAGTACCGTCCACACGCCTTATTCTCGATCACCCGAACTGCGAGTGAGTCACAAGTTGGCCGAACGCAAACGTCGCAAAGAGATGAAGGATTTGTTTGACGATTTGCGTGATTTACTACCGATCGACAAGGGACTGAAAACAAGTAAATGGGAAATTTTAAGTAAAGGTAACACTGCATTTATTTTTTTACCCATTTTCTCCGTTATTTTTTTCTTTTTCTTTTTTTTACTCATCGCCTTATTATCCTGCACATCAGCTGTCAATTACATTTCCGATTTGCATGAACGAGAGAAAAAATTTGCTCAAGAAAAAGAAGAATTGCAGCGCGAACTGACAAGATTATCATAATACTCATCATTTAAGCAAGCAAATCATGATCATCACACCCGAGATGAAGGGAAAAAAAAAAAGAAAAAAGGAAAAACAAGGTTTCCTCCAATGTAGTTTTTTTTTTATTTTTATTTGCATAGTCTTTTTACAAATTGTACTAAAAATTGTTTGATATCTCGTAAGCCCATGCATTTTGTGCCTTTCTCTCTCTCTCTCTCTTTTTTTTTTTGTTTTGTTGATGCGAGTTTGGATGCGTAGTTGGAAAAGACAGCAACAGCGGAGGAGGAGAGTGCGAAAGGTATCCTTTCATGGATGATTCGGTCTATTTATAACATATTGCATCTTTCCCCTTTCTCATCTCCTGTTCTCTTTTCACCACCCCTCTTTCCATTGCTTTCTTTTTTATCCAGTTCATGCTTCGTAATAAATCATTGATCGATCATAAAAACTAGGCCAGTTTCTACTGGAAACTTTGTTCCCTTTTTTTTTATCCGTGTTTTTTTTGCGCTTTGGTTCCTTTTCGCCCTTTTTGTTTCCTATTCAAAACGCTTTCCATGTTTTACGGTTGGTGGATACTCATGGCTGCGATGGCAACCATGGCTCAAGAACTCGACACACCTTCTCCAAGCAACGCAACAGCCTCTCCAGATCTTTTTGCCAATGCCACCAGTTCAAGCGGAGCTATGGTGATGCCTAGTGCCACCGTCTTCAATGCAACGGCAACCAGTTATTCTTTCATGCCATCGCCTACCACTTCAGTGCTTACTCACTTCCCAACACCGGCACATACGGCTTCCAGTTCCTCAATGATGTCAAGTTCCGCTCCTTCTCAATCTGCACCATTCCCCGACGATACCATCGGAAAATACGGCCGTTTACATATCAATGCTGCCGTTCCCAGCTCGTTTCAGTTGCCAGTATACCCATTGTTTATATCATTTTGTTTGTTGATTCTTCTGACTCTGTAGATCATATACCATGCCATATCATCATCATCATCATTAATATCTGCAATCCACAAAAAAAAGATCCTTGTTTTATTCTACCTTATTCTTCTTACCTCCTTTCGCTGCTAATTTATCTATCCAGTGAGCCTATGCATGGATGAGTCGGTTGGTTCATATGAATTTCAAGGATTTTCTCACATTAAAATCATGACGTTCCTTGCCATTGTCCAAAAAGAGAAGGAAAAAAAAAGAAAGAATAGACGCTTGGGCGAATTTCACTGATTTCACGTTTCCCTTTTGATTTTCTGCTGCGTTATTGACTTGCTCTTTTTTCTTTGCTGTTTCACTCTCTCACCAAAAAAGTTCGCATGGGTCAAAGTCAATCGAGCAAGGAGAAAATTCAGGAGCAACGGCGTAAAAGCTCCATGAGTCTAGAAGACTCCACTTCATCCTCGCGTGCACTTCAGCAGATATTCCGGGGTAAACTGAAACGTATTGAAATCAGCGCATTACATCAAGTCTTTCACGAACTAAAAACAAGCAATGACACCGGTGGAGACCGCATTGAAGCAAAAAATTTCCTGGTAACGAATGATAAGCGCATGGACCCTTCTCATAAATGCTGACCTGTCAATCATTTTTTAGGCCCACCTCGAGTTGCCGCTAGCCGTTGAACCCGCCGGTATTCTACTGTTTAAATCGTTTTCCTACCTCGGCTCTTACCCAAACTGTGCAACCGAAGGTCCCGTTCCGCTGTACATGAATGCCTTTCTGAAAGCATTCACCATTCTTACCGGAAAACTGGACACCCAAGAAGAGCCCGTGTTCGAAGACGCATTTTTCGAGTCGCTGTCGATCCTCCCCGCTCCACGTACCGAAGAGCAAGCGGTCGACTCATCCGCATCGGAGCTATCCTCTATTCAATCAGGGACTGGGAACAACGCTTTGGGCGCAGCCGCATCAAGAGAAGACGATGCAGATGAACATGATGCGACCGCTGCCCCGCGTGGACTTTCGTTGGCTGACCTTGGCATCAGCTTTGATGATATGGATTTTGAATCCAGTTTGGAGGATAAGGCGGAGGATAATCCTGGAGCCAAGTTGTCCATTCCGTCCCGTGATTTGGTAGAAATCTTTGTGTTGCTGTTATGGATTGATGAAAAGGAACGATGTGAAAAGATACATGTCGAGACGGAGACAGCAGAGAAACAGATTGATTTTGCCGCCATTCGTCGTACAGCCGATGCCATGGTCACGATGATTCATCGATACGGCGGAACATCTTCCGATGCTGATGATCCGCAACGGCAACGTATATCCCGTCATCATTTCAAACAATGGAAGTCGCGCAACGCTCCTCATCTTTTCCGGACACTCCATTCCTTCCTCTACAACAAATTTGCCATGAATACAAAGCACACAGTTACCCATACCCGCGATGTTGTGCTTGATAAGGATATGATACCTATTGTTGACCAGTCCGATCTTCTGACTGTTTCCTACACAACATTGTTATGCTGGTGTCTGCCGCAAAACTGCTTCGATGCCAAGGAATGGCATCGGTTATATTCAGGTGACGATGACGGATTTTCAATGAATCGGTTCGAAAGCCACGTATTCAAGTACTCGGGGCCGACATTGATACTTATACAAGGCCAGGTACTTTCTTCAACTCATACCAAGTCCGATGCCAAGGAAGGAGAAGTGTCAACTCTCGTTTTCGGTGCTTACATATCGGAACCCTGGAAGCATTCGAAGCACTATTGGGGCGATGAAAACTGTCTTTTGTTTGAGCTGTCGCCTCACTTTGAGGTTTTCCGACCAACCCTACACAATTCACAATACATTTACTGTCACGACGACTTTGGACTTGCCTTTGGTGGATTCAATCAGAGCATGATGACTCCGAAACCGCCGCATCATTCACGACATTCAGGTCCTCCAGCCTTTGTTTTTAGTATGGATAACAGCCTGCAAGCCGGCTTCTACATGCAAGAGAATTATCCTGAAGCGGCCACATTCGAAAAATCGGCCTTTCGAGGCCAATTCGGCTATGCCTTTGAGACGATGAGGATCGAGGTGTTTGGATTGGGAGGAGAAAAAGCGCGGCAGCAGCAAAAACGAGCTTGGTTATTTGAGAAAGAAGAAGCCTTGAGAAGAGCCGGCGTACAAATCCGACAAGAGGGCGGCAACGTTGACAAGGAGATACTTCGTATGGCAGGCATCATTGACGAGCATCGCGAGGAGCGATGAAAAGAAAGAAAATGGAAAAGAAAGGTACTGCCTAATCTGTTTCAACTGCATTCACTAATAAGTACATTATCCACATTTGATTTCAATGCTCTGTCTTATTCTACCTTCCATTCTTTTGTCAATATTGTACATCCAGCACCACAACCAAACAACCAAATTAGTCTTACTCGGGTATCGCATGATTAGCCCTCGGAGTATTGTTTGCGAGCAAAGAGAGGAATAAAAATCATTGTGCTCCAGGACGAAGCACTATTCCTGAAGTAACGGTCGAGTTATCATATTAGGGCTGCCTTTGATGAGTGAAAATAGCTTTTTTGTCCAATAAGTATATTTTCGCCTGCTTCCAAAAGACTTACTCGTATCATTATTATAGTACTAAGCAAGCAATAACTTTTCGCTTTGAATAATATGGCTGATATGTTCGTTTAAGGCCCTGCAGTATCCTTATATTTAAAACTATCGATGTCCTGACAAAAGATAATTGAAGACTAGTAGGCGCCTAGATGATATCTTATAACAACCAGCAGTTTGAAACTAATCAAAACAATTATATTCTTTATCAGTGCATGTTAATCATTAAGGATAGACGGTTTCCATATTCACTCGTGTCACGGTATACATGACATGCATGTCGTTATTCATAGATTCAAGTCCGTAAGACTGCTTTTGGGCAGGATTTCTGGCCGCAAGTCCGACGGTCCACAATTTTCAGTCTTCTTTTGCACCAGTGTCGACGCATTGCACCTGTTTGCATGTCAAGTTACGTCAAATTCACCCCCATCTCGGGTGCGAAAAACGAGGATCCGTTATGCTATCTGTTGGAAATCGATGAAGTCAAGATATTGCTGGATTGTGGCTGGTCAGACCAGTTCGATATGGACGATCTAGTGCATCTAAAAAAGTAGGCCAGCAGGCAAACAGTCAGTGCAGGCACTGTCATTCCCATACTAAAGATCCGTGTTTACAGAATAGCAAAGCAAATTGATGCCGTTCTTATTTCGCACGCTGATTTACCTCATTTGGGCGCGTATCCTTACGCTCGCATGCATTTGGGCATGAGTTGTCCAGTGTACTCGACCGTGCCTGTGGTGAACATGGGCAAAATGTGTTTATACGATATATACCAATCCAAAACTCGAGAAATGGAATTCACGACCTTCTCTTTGGAAGACGTTGACAATGCATTCGACAAAATAACAGCCCTCAGATATTCACAACCATTTGCCCTTCCTGGTAACTTTCTTTGGTGCGAGTTGCATTGAGACGATCACGTTACTTACATGATCTTCTTATCTCATGGACTACAGGAAAATGTCAAGGTATCACCATTACAGCCTATGCAGCGGCTCATACCATTGGTGGTACTATTTGGAAAATCAAACAAGATACAGATGAAATTGTTTACGCTGTGGACTTTAACCACCGAAAGGAATGGTATGAGTATCCTTCATAACAATCATTGACACGGTCCAACTCATCCTCTTTTTGAACAAGTCATTTGGATGGTACGGTTCTCCATTCCGGTGGTGTCGTACTGGATGCATTGACACGTCCCTCGCTGCTGATCACGGATGCGTTGAACGCTTCCGTGGTGCATCCACCTCGAAAAGACCGATATGCTGCCATGTTTGGTAAGCAAGCTCAAGACACATTTCAAATAGTAATGTTTTGCATTGACTCACGTCTTGGTACCAGATACAATGATTACAACCCTCCGCGATTCAGGTTCCGTTTTATTACCTACAGATTCTTCCGCACGTGTTCTGGAGCTTGCCTATCTGCTGGATCAACATTGGGCAAATTATCAATTGTCTTATCCGCTCATCATGCTCACCAATACCAGTTACCATACAGCTCATTTTGCGAAAATCATGCTTGAATGGATGGGAGACGACCTCACCCGCAACTTCTCGCAAACGCGTGAAAACCCTTTTGAATTCAAATACCTGCGTCTGTGTCACAGGTTGGAAGATCTAGAAAACTATTCTGGTCCCAAAGTGGTGATTGCCAGCAATCACAGCTTAGAAACCGGATTTGCTCGCGAACTGCTTTTGCGGTGGATGGACAGCGGTGATCAACAACCAAGGAACACGCTCATTCTCACCGATCGATCTTCTCCCCATTCATTGGCCCGAAAAATCTATGACGACTGGGATGCCAAGACCGACGAAATGGTCGCCAATGATCCAAGTCTCGTCAGCGGAACCAAGAAAGTGCCCGTAAAACCTGCCATCGAATACGAAAACAAATTCCATTTAAAGGTTTTTAAACGAGTACCCTTGGAAGGCGCGGAATTACAGGAGTATGAAGCGGCGCAGCGGGCGAAAGCAGAAAGGGATGCAGCTCAGGCAGCAATAATTGCCCGCAGCAAGACCATCATGGAAGAAGATGAATCCGATATTTCCGATATCGAAGAAGCAGACGATAACATGGAGGATCTTTTAATGTCTCAGTACGATTTATACGTACGTGATGCCGGCAAATCTGGCGGTTTCTTCAAACAGACTCAAAGTTATCGCATGTTCCCGTACCTGGAACGACGAAAGAAAATTGATGATTACGGCGAAGCCATCCAAGTCGAGCATTACATGAAAGCTTCCGATTTGGATCGCATGGAAATGGAGAAAAACATGGGAGAAGGTCCCGATTTTGGAAAAGATGTAAGTGAGCGATTTCGATCGATTTCCCTTGATTTTTTGTTGCTGATACACTCCGTCTCTTATCAATAGGCAATGCAAGTCGATATCGAGGAACCTATACTTCCCCGAAAAGATGAGACACCGACCAAATATATTTGGCACGAGCAGGATGTCCATTTCAAATGCCTGTTACGCTACGTCGACCTTGAAGGACTTTCGGACGGTCGGTCCATGAAGACCATTTTACCTCAGATCGCGCCCAGAAAATTGGTAAGCTTTACTCATTCTAGTCGCAAATTTTCCCATAGACAGGTTGTTTTATTAACCGTGTATTTTGTGTTGATAGATCATTATTCACGGTCCTGGAAATGCCACAGCGGATCTTGCTCAGGCCTGCCAACAAATGGACCATTTTACCAAGGAAATATTTACACCCTCCATTGGCGAAGTTCTCAACGTATCTGCGGCTACAAATATTTACCGTGTCAAACTCACAGATGCTCTCGTGAGCTCTTTGCGTTTTGCAAAGGTAAGTCGTGTTTGTCAATCCTTTCCCTTTCTGTAAGATTGACTTATGTGCTATGGATATATCAGTTGGACGATTACGAGTTGGTACGTGTTTCGGGTCGCATTCATTTTCCGGACGATTCTACTACACCGTCTCTGGGAATTGATGATTCTGAAGTACCATCCAAGTGGGAACCCGCTGTTTTCGTTGGCGATGTTCGACTGACGGAATTCAAGCGCTTACTGCAGAACGAAGGCATCTCGGCCGAGTTCAAAGGTGAAGGTATGCTCGTATGTAACGATCAAGTTGCTGTGCGCAAGGTAAGTCTTTTGATTCCGCTGATTTGCTGGCAGTCATGTGTTTCTTGAAAAGTTAACGCTGGGTATTGCAGACCGGCACAGGACAGCTTTTGGTGGAAGGATTGCTGTCTCCCGACTATTACAAAATCCGTTCCTTGTTGTACTCTCAGCACGCCATATTGTAAATAAAATTCGCGCCAAAAACGACCCCAATCATTCATATAAACGATGAGCTTTCGCTTTGCATACAATAGCCGCATTGGGAATCGCCATCCAACACACTCATATAACGTAAAAATAAAGCATTTCCTTTTCGTGATAACTACGATAGTTCTTTATGTTGCTGTTCTATTCTCAGATTGAGTTTCATAGACCAATTGCGAAATGACTTTATCGACCCATGGATATAATCCTTATAAATATGATACGACATGTAGTCAGACCGCCAGAAACGGTTTGGAAATACTTTCGTGGTTGATTCTTTATCTTATATCACCAAGATAGCACGGAAAAGGGGCATGTGTATCCAAACATTCACTTTTATTGCATAGAATAGTGCTAAAACTTTTCAAGACAGCAAGGCCTCGGATTTTTCAACGAGCAATAGCAGACAACGGACATATTCAACCAAAGCGCTCGTTTGATCTTCGCCACCCAAAATATCCTCCACCGTCCATGAGACCAGCTTGCCGACAGGGAGTTCCAAATTGGATTTGAACGGTTCATTGTGCAGAGTATAAAATACTTCCAGATCATACCACACCTGTCCCTTGCCCGTGACACCCATGATCTTTTCTACACCATAGCCCATCGACTTTTGGCGCTGCAGCGGCAAACGCTCCACGCGAGTGATTTCCACAACGAATGGGAAGTGAATTCGATATTTCGTCGTCTGCTTCAGCAAAATATGAGTGACTTCCAAAAAGTCGGGAATATTTTCATAAGTCATTTGGCGTGTGATGGGGCTAACACAATATCAAGTCATTAGACCACATTGACGAGACTCTTTCTCTCTCTGTTGCGACGCTTACCTGACCGACACCTTTTTGATAAAGGTTGTATAGGGTTTCACATCTGTGCGTCCAAGTTCTTGGGTGGTGAGCGACACTTGGAAATCCAATTTTCTATTCATACAATATTAGGACAAGTGGAAAACGCATCCAGGAACAATTCATCTACTACCAACCTATCAAGCGAGATCCAGTCGATTTCGGTAATTGTATCTTTGCGCATAACCACTTTTTGAAGCTCGACGTGTCCCTGATTCATGTACATAATCACTGGTTTATAGGGCAGAGCCGGCTGGTTCCTTGCGTTTGCATGAATCTCAAAATAGGCGATTTTGCTGAAAGGGCTGGGTAAAATTTCAGAGATGCGAGTGATAGTCTCTTCGGATGCGGTGGTCCTATCATATTACAAAAAGAAAAAGCATATGAGATAGGATTCTCTCACAGGTTTTAGGGCATTGATCACTTACATATTATTAAAAACAGGACGCACTCCCAATTCTTTCACGACGACATCCTTAATCTCTTGGAACTGCCAGATCTTCTTTCGTACATCCGCCGACAAGTTGTCCCACATCACTTTACCAAGCCTATTGATTACAAAACGTAAGTAATCCAATACAGTATCAGATCTCCTTGCTGGTTCAGTGAATACTCACTTTGCACCCAGTTTGATCTCGCCTCTAAAACCGCGAACACCGTTCAGACTGCAAAAAAGGACCATGAGCATTAGAACACAGCCTTTTTTTTTGGTTTCGCAATGGAGATCCTACTTACCCATCTTCAAGTGCGGTCTTCATGTTGTGTAAATTGTACTCTTTTGCCCTATGATTGTGTCACAAAAAACCGGTTATTGCATTATTCAAATTTGAAAAGGATTTCGTTACTTACATTTCTAGTAGTGATTTGGTCGGAGGTTTGGGACGACCCGCTTTCTGTAAGTTGAGACGCATGACACGCCGCTGAAGACCTTGCATTTGGGAAGCCATCGAAGGTTTTTTGGGTGCCGAGGGCAAAGCCGGGAAATCTTCTTGCGGTTTGGCAACGGGCGAAGCTACCGGAGGCGCTGCATGGGATGCATAGCTGTTGCCACTGGAGGGTCTTGGGGTGGTCGATCGTTCCGTCATGAATGTTCTATGCTCGCCCCACAACGGCGTACTATCGGGTGCTATGTTTTGATAATCGACCGGAGCCCATTCTGGCAGTGGCGAGGTTTGACCGGATGGAGTGGAAGGAGCAGATGGACGCATGCTTCCGGAGCCACGCTGCTGCGGCGGCTTGGGCCGAGGTTGCTTTTTGGGTGTTGTCTGCGCGGCCGACATGGTTTCATTCAACATGCGTTGATTGTACGCTTGCTGTTCCTGAAAATGCTGATGTGGCACCCATTGTGGCGCAGCAGGGATGGGGGCCTTGGGCATGGCCGGCGGTGACAAGTCGATCATGTCCTTGGGTTTCTGATACTGGCCCGACGCATCTTTGAAAACGGGAAGAAGAACGTATAACGGCGAAGGTAGGCCTCCTTGAACACCAATAAAGTTTTTATACACGTAACGTTCAATGTCGCAAAAGTAAAGGCCATAGTGGGGTGACTCGGTCGGATAGTGAACGCAAGGCACGATCGTCTTTCCCCTCTTACGACGTTTCTAAAGACGACGGGGTTAGTTCCAAATTACAGTGTGGCTCGCTCTTTTCCACTCACTTACGTAGATTGTTTGCAGATTTCTGAATCGCGAAAGAGCCTCTTGTACATCTTCCTCGCTCGAGCCAACAATATGGACTTGCTACTCCGCCATCTGAGATATCAGAAATCGCATTTGCCAGAGTGAGAGTTGATAATAAACTTACCCTTCCATCTAACCAACACTGTGTGTCGGTGTCATCGCCAACGATCGTGAGGTAATCGGCTTTTTGCATGTTATTCATAGGTGGACCGACCAACACGTCTTGGGGATTAGCAATGTTTTTAGCAAAGGTAAAGGTATCCTTAAAGGTATTTGCGTCCGAATTGTCATCGCTGCCGTCCGAATGGTCGCTATCAGAATCGTCTTTATCGTTATCCAATTTTGAAAGATCCAGCGGTTTGCCAGTGGCACGAAACACATCCGACGAGCTCGATGCTCTTGTGGACGCAGGACGCGACATGGAAGATCGAGACGAAGCGCGAGACATGGGAGATGCCCTGTCTTCCGACGGAGAGCGTACAATCCCCGATGAAACTTTAGGGTAGGTGCCATCCAATTTCATTTCATCAATCTCCTTGTGCTATGGTACAAATCAGGATCTTATCTGTCAAGAGCGAAGAAGAGAAACACAGGTCAGTCTTACCAGGTGAGGCAGTAGTACTTGTACAATAAGCCGCATCCTAATAATTCAATACTCCTTAGACTTTGAGCTTTGATGACCATTGCGATGATAATAAAAGTACGTACGTCTCGTCACATGCTTTTTGGGAACGGCCTTTGATGTCAAAATACTGGATGCCAACATGAATAAATACGTGAAACTCGAAGGGGTGCATTGTTACTTACCTGATTGTCAAAATCAAAGTAGATATCGGTCTTCATGCGCCGTGCAAGTTCGCTAAGTAGGAAAAAGCCGTGGGTCAGTGAGATGTCACGATTTGACAGGTTGACATTATAAACATGCTTACTCTAATTGCGTTGTCCATTCTTGGTAAGTAGCCTCGTTGACGTATGAAAGCGGAAAAACTTTGGCATTAGCTAATTAAAAAAAAGTGTTAATAGAGCTTATACTTGGATGGACTCTTTTTACGATATCCATACGCTGAACCATGCTGCAGACGAGTAAGCGTGAAGAAACAAATTGATTGTTACGGCGCTTGAACCTTTTTTTTGAGAGCATGAAAATGCAGAGTCACTATTGTATCTCCGACTCCAAAATAAGATGATTGACTGATTCCTCACATCAATGCCCGTGTTGGTTTATTCTACGTGAAAAAGGCTCCCCTCTGCCTGCTCTTGTGTTTTGCCATTGGCATAAAAGTGTCAATAGCAAAACTACAGTAGACTTTGTATAAAAGGCATCTCGTTGGTCTTGGTCATTCTCAATGGGGACGGCGTGGTTCCGTGTATTCCATGGCCGTGAGCCTATTGGCAAAACCACTCCGGTCTGTCAATAATGACGAATAGTAAAATACGTAAATTTAATGAAGTTTCATGAGTAAAGTATATTCTTATATGAAGTAACATGGCAACGCATGGGCGCAATGGACTTTATTTGGCTGAATGTGAATTGCAACGATAAAAAGATTGTGACTTGATTGTATTGGAAAACTGACACACATGCACTGACAGCGCGTGATTCGAGTTGAATGTTTTGTGTGTATCATTCTTAATGACAACAGCACCTTCTTGCCGATGCGGTAAACCGGCCATCAGTTTAGAAACGAAAAAGGCAGGTCCTAATCAGGGGCGCTGGTTTTGGAAGGTAACTGCGAAATGGGTTGATCCACCACTATTTCACTATCGAGCTCTTATTAAACCATGGTAGATAGTGTTCAACCGCCAGTTGCCAATTTTTTGCCTGGGATAATACCGCTCACTCATTCATTGTCCATCCTCGAAACACCTACGCACTCGCCTCTCCCGCCAATTCCTACAGGCAGTTCCGCCGTCCATTCGCATCCGCGCCACCAACACCGTCACTCTCAACACCTGCAACAACACTGGGAGTGACAGGCATACCGCGATCGAACCAAATCCAAGTCGAATTCAGTCTTCAATCCCTCGACACTATACGCTTACGCGCCGACTACCATCCGACCCTGCAACCCGTACTACTGGCAATACAAGACACGACATGGGACCCTCAGACGTCGACGTGGTCCCTTCCTGCAACGATCGACTCGTACAAACGCGCCGTTTGTATGATTCCGGTTCATACTCCCAACTTGAACATTCAGCTGAAAGCATTGCCACCTGCGGTGGTGGATTGGTTACAGCAACAATCGTCCAACGAACGTCCTGGAGACGAGGATATTGAATTCAGCATGCAACAACTTGAAACGACCAAATTGGGCCGTGCCCTGAAAGATTTCCAACTGGAAGCCGTACGCAAAGGATTGTTTTTCAAGGGGAGAGTACTTCTTAACGACCAACACGGTCTTGGCAAGACACAGCAGGCGCTCGGCTTATTATCCTGTTATCGTGACAAGTGGCCTGCTCTTGTCATCTGTCCATCTTCGCTTTGCACCACGTGGAAGATTGAAATCAAACGCTGGTTGCAACTTTGCGATCGCCAAATAACCACAAATTTAGCCAAAACGGCGTCCTCAGCGAAACGAAAGCAGACTTCTCAAACAACCCCTCGCAAACGATCAGCCCACGCGGTAGCTGACACCCCACTTGATGACGGGACTGACATAAGCACCGACCAAGATGCAGAAGTGCAGATGTACATTTTAAGTTATGATTATGCGGTACGACATGTGGAAGAAATAGCCGCGCGACAATTTCAATTCATTGTCTGCGACGAAAGTCACCTCGTGAAAAATAGAGAGGTAATATGATCATAAGTATGGTAATAGTTTTTGGTCATCGACTCATCCTTCTTCCACAGCAAAAGAGGCGAAAAACTTTGAAAGCAGCAATCCAGACCATCCCACACATCATTCTTATCACTGCAATGAATTTTTCGAAAAGACCATTTGAACTGTTCACACAACTCAATATACTACGCCACGATCTTTTCCCAGACATCAACCCATTTGGCGTTCGTTATTTCAACGGAAAACAAAAAATTTACGGATGGGATTATTCCGGTTTGTTACTCTAATGGATGGTCTGCTGCTGACTATCGTACTCATCTTTTTTTTTTCTTTTTTTTTTGGTCGGTAGGACGGAGCAATACAGAAGAATTGGATATCCTTCTTAAAGAAAGGTTCGCTGTGGGACGGACACAACGGGACGTTTCATCTTCACTTGATCGACAGTATCGCAAATGCATTCTCACAGACTTGCGTGGCAGAGAAACAGGTGAATTGAAGAAAACCCGAGTGGCTCTCAGCAGGCTCTTGTCTCTCCAACGACAAGATGGCGCGGATAGCGTTGGTATGGCTGCAAAACATCAGTTTTGGGCAAAAATGGTCAGTAGTAGAGAATAGTCCAATGGATGACTATCTCATTCATCGTTATCTACAGTACCAAGAAACCAGTGGAGCCAAGATGCCCTGTGTGCAAAACTATGTGCGTTACTTGCTTGAAATGCACGATAAAACTAAAATTGTCTTTTTCGCCTATCATACATCGATGTTGAATATCATTGAGAAAGTGATCAACGAAAACTCGGTAAATGTTCAAACTTTAAGAAACTCTGCGTAGCATTTCTCTGAATCCTTTTTTCTTCCTTTGCCCTACAGATCAAATTCATTCGTTTAAACAAAGACACAGACAAAGGAACTGCGGATTCACTGTGCAACGATTTTCAAACGGACCGCTCCGTTAGAGCAGCTATTGTGAGCATAGCACTTGCCCATGTTTCACCGCTTGCTTTGGAAGCAGCCAATACAGGTACGTAAAAGAAGAGGACAATGAACAACCACCCAACTTAACACCAAACTTCCTTTATCAAAGTATTATTCGCCGAGCTATACTGGGATCCAAGCTTTATTCTTCAGGCAGAAGCCATGGTTCATGTATGTGGTTCCCCTTCGTCGATTTGATGCTATACTAATATCTGATAACATTTCAGATACCTAACGAAGACTCAGACAATCACGACCAAGATACAAACATACATTACATTTTGGCTCCGAATACAACAGGTATGAATATCACTCATAGATACTACCTGATTCTTGGAGCCCTGTGTCTGATGTTCCGTGTAGATATACTTCAGTGGTCATCACTTGGGAAAACATTCAAAGAAAAAGGTAACATTTACCCCTAATGATACGTTTATACCCGATCCATTAGCTGATGTTCATGGTGCCTATGTACAGATAAGCAGCAACTTGGTGTACAGATGGCTGATGAGATATTGCTTCCATATTCAAGATCCGCTGGCGATGATGTTAACGACGACGACGACGACGGAGAGGAGGAAGATAACTCTCAATCTTTCATCATGAGTGAGGGTGATATTGAAGCCATGATTGAGGCTTCTAGGATTGCCGAAAATGCATTAGCGGATACTGTTTCGTCACAGAATGATTCAGCAGCATCCGCCTCATAAATAGCTGATCGTAAGGGGTGATCAGAATTGGGTTGTTCCTTGGAGCTTGCTCTATGTAAATTTCATCGCACGCTCTTAGTCATGTAAATCGTCACCAACGCAAGTTGTCTACCATAAGCATTTTGTTTGTTTGTATCTTTATTTTTATTCTTTTCTTTGGAGCCTGATTGGTAAATGTATTGTATGCATACGCAGGTCGTTGTTTATATGATGTGGAAATTCTGGACACCATTGAAAGCTTTTACAAAGCGGCCACCCCATCATCAGGCTATTTCTGCTTGATAAAGTTCCATTTGTTGATGGGTTGGATCTAGCGGGAAATCACATACCAAGGGGGCCTGATCATCACGGCATATCAGTCCTGTGCCGCAAGAGCGTACAAGCCATACCCCAAAGTCACAGGTCGCCCATTCAGCCGAGTTGCCACTCGCTACACACCGTTGATGGCCCACGGGAGAACAAGCGGCGCCTGCGGCGATACGATCCGACGACTGGCTTGATGAAACAGGGGAAGTCGGAGAGGAAGACGGGGAGGCAAGCAAAGGCGCAGACTGAGTAGCTTCCATTCTGCGGCTGGAGGATCTCGAAGGATCCGCGTAAACGGAGGAAGGTCGAGCAGCGGAAGCGATGACTGTGCGTGATGTCATGGTCGCTTCAGATGGTGTGCTCTCGTCTTCCACAGTATCACTCTCGCCGTTGGAGAGCGATTCCTCGTTCAACGGGCAACTAGCCGGCTTCTTGCCGTGGATCTCATTGACAACCTTGACCAATTCACCGTTATCTTGATGAAGATCCCTACATACAGTCATTTTGAGTGTCTTCTATTATCGACAAGTGTCAAAACAGAGAGCTCTTACCAAACCATGACACCCGCTAGATCTTCGCAGAGGGCATGTTTCACTTTGACGCGGAGTGACTGAGGATCGTCATACGAAATGAATGTTTTGCTCGAAGGATTAAACAGCCAAGGCGTTTGGGTAACGTTGTCCCAATGGCGGACCCATCCTTTACCCGCGGAAATAAAGTCGTCCTTGATGAGACCTTCAGAACGTAGATTTTTCCATTTCCAAATGCCTATCATTTTCGTGCAGGTTGTTAAGACTACCGCGAATTAACGGTTGATGCCGAAACAAGAAATGACCATACCCGAAAGCCCGTCAATATCTTCGGGACAAAATGGGTCTGCCCAATAAGCATCGTCCGAATCACCCTTTGGCGCGCCAACAACACTTTGTTGATACTGAGATTTCGAAGCCCTCATATCCACGCTCGCCTGCATGGCACGACCATAATAAGCCATGCCAGCCGTGAGTTTTTCTGCAGGCACACCGGCATCCTTCCAGTTTCGAATAGCTAGCAAGACAATAGCTATTGTATCAGCATACACATCTCAAAGCAGGTCAGCCAGATACTTACTTTGCACAAAGGAGTACTGTGCGCCTTTTCCTTGTTCAGCTCGGAAAGGAGCATTGGGACCAGTCAAGTCAGCCCATGCGCCATTTATATCTGTTGTTCATTGTGGTCAGTCGATGCTGAATTCTTTTAACCAGTATGGGGCTTATTAGAATACCGTACCGTAGGCCATGAGGTTGATGTGATCAAAATATGGGACGTATTCGCTCACGTCGGTCATACTTTCGCCATTGCTCGTAAAAGGTTCAACATAAACCGCCATTGAGATTTCCTTATGGTCATCGGGATACTTGGCATCCAAGGCTGCCCTCAATTCTTTCAGCAGCAGTAACAGGTTTTTCGCGTCGTCGTCAGCGTACTCATTACAACCCGCCGCTTGGCGACCAGGATATTCCCAATCTGGTTTGCTTGGGTCAGTACGACGTTTGTCCATCAACGTCACAATGAACACTAACCAATATCGACGCCATCAGTATTGTACTTGTCGATAAATTGAATGTTCCAGTCGATGAATTTTTTGCGAGCCTGCTTCGAAGCGACCATGGGAGAGAATCGCTTGGAACCTGTCCAACCACCAATGGATAGGAGCACCTTGGTATTATCTGCATGCGCTAATTCGACAAGCTTGGGAAACGAGGATTCCACGACCCATTCATCGGCAAACGAAGGAAGGTTGTCAGGGTTATTGAGGATAGCAAAGGCTACAATATTATGCAATATACCAATCAGTGATCGATTACCGAGGACCCTACTGCTTGTGGTGAAGGAAAATACCATAATTGATGTGGGTGTAGTCTTTGAAAGGGATTTGTTCTACGGGATAGTTGGCATAGAGCCAATTGGGAAAATAGCTAACAAGACAAACGGTTTAAATAAGCCAAATACTATTCGCAATCGTTCGAGGGATTATGCTTACCCAATCACCATTTTATCGGTGGCGTGGCATATGCCAAAGACCAGGCATAGGAATATAACTGAAAGTACTTTCAACATGATTGATTTTTCATCCCAAGAGCTTCCCGATTTTTTGGCTTATTTATAAGCCTCGGGTAAAACACAGAATAATGGTGAAGGGTTCATTGACTGGTATGTCGGTACGATTTGAAATGAGCAAATTTCGTTAACATTTCTGGAAGATGGATGGATGTCTAACTTTGCGATCTTCGACCTGACACCTTTTTACCCGTGAGGCCAGGTACACTATTACCCTGTCCCTGTTATTCGCGCGACTGTATTTTCGTATGATTCCGGAACCCTTCAAGGCATTATGTTAACCTTGGTTAATACTGTATTCGACCATTTAATGATACCCAAGTAATAGTGAACCAATGAGCGTTAAAATCAACCTTATTTTTTGTCGTTACTATATGACAACATTTAATGGCAACTATTATAAGGCGCCATGCACTTGTTTTTGCGAGTTATCCGATAATATGAGCTAAGCATCTATGACGCACTTTGGCTTCAGCTCATCGCCGTAAATTGGCGCAAGAAAAAAATAAGTCGCAAAGAAGGCTACGCCGTATCTACGATACATTTCAACTTTTTACGAGTTCGTTCAACAACGGTCAAGTGCTGGTCGGTTAATAGTGGGTTGCCGTAATCCGAATCTCGGTTCCTTTGTCTTTCTACTGCAAAAGCGTAGATGATTATGGAAAAATACGTCCTCGATCAATATCCTCAAGAATGCAAGCTGCCAGTAAATCAGTCTAGTATCACACATTTTTTATTTGTATCTTTGCGGTATTGCAGTAGATCATGACATTACTGCTAAAGTGATGTTATTGAAAAGTTGACGAGGTTTAAGCACGGGATAAGTCGAGGTAAAATGGTTCAATAAAGAGTCATTTTCAAATTTGTCCAATATGCCAGTAAAATGCATACGGTTTCCATGGTTTCTTTCATGTTGCCAATCGATGAAGAAACAATGCGCTGAACGTCGTGACTGTGCAACCTTTTTTTTCCTGCAGTTTTTTGGAAGAGCGATTCTTGGATTGATAGACTTTTTTGGGAATCCGGCATTTTTTTTTTTCTGTTTTTCCATTTTTGAGAGCCATCATGGTCGATCCAGCTGCACCGGTCGTGGAAGAAGAAGAAGAAGATCCTTACAATGCCCGGATCGAGCGTACTGGATGTGCGCAGGAAAGCGAAGATCTGCAAATCTGCTTCTTCGACAAGAAAGACTGGCGATTATGCAAAGACGAAATGTTAAAGTTTCGAGCTTGTTTTCAAGCCAATGCCAACAATGCCGGCAGCAAAGAACTGATCGAGTCGCAAAAAGCTCACATGAAGCAATAAATATCATCGAACTAGGCATGACTAATTCAACCTTTATCCGAGAATCCCTATAATAACATGTAAGAAAAACTTGTCAGATAATCCTGGAAATTGTTGGTACTGAACAGATCTTTAGACACTGTCATTTATTGCTGGAGAACTAGCCAGAGTTATAAAAAAAATATGCAAGTGGACCTTGTGGAAATAGAATGTAAAATACTCATATGCGTCTCTTTTTCTTGTCTCCAATTCATAAAAAGCCAGTATCTATCTAATTGTCAAGCTGCAGCCAAAACAGACGACTTTTTGTTGAGATGCCCGGATCGTGGTTGGCCATAACTAAAGGGCAGGGTTGGGGGTTTGGGGGAGAGAAATAAAGAGTACGGACCCATCACAAAAGCTTGAATCCACGCACGCAATATTTTATATAATGCAAGGATGAAACCATCATAGGGTTCTCCCTAATTTGACAAGACACATGGACAAAGGAAAGAATACAGATTTCGCATTTACAGTTTACTATAGTCAGTGACTTAGAATGATTGTTCCATCATTCAGTGATACAAGAATGGCTCGAAAAGGAATAATTGAATATTATATGTATATGGCTAATTGAGGATGGCAAGACGGATGCTGTATCTTATCCTATCGTTCGGCATCGGGCGCTCACTCACTCTTCGCATAAAAAGCTGGCCTTTCGAATCTCGATATTGTCCAGAATGACGGGCTTCTGTAGACGAGTATACAGCTCAGCGTGGATTGCAAAATTGTAAGCACGAGACAAGACTTGGAAAGCTAAAACGTGCTTGATAACAGAAGCTTTTTTTTTTCACATCATGTCATCAGTTATCACTGTGTACCGTGGTCTAAAGTTTTCGTGCTTACCAGTGATGCGAAACTTGTTGAAATTGACCAGGTGAGTGCACAATCGGGCATTCAGGTCGCTGTCTTTAATCTCACTGACGGTCAAGTTGGCACGAGAATGTTCGATAAAGGTGGGCAATTCAGCATTGAAGACAAGGTCTGAAAGGTAAAGGCCGAGGAAAGGGATGCAGCCTTGGATCAGCGATAGATCGGTAGCATACGTTTTGCTTTGGGTGAGAATGGTTTCAACTGCAGACGATTCGGAAATGTCTTCCGTGGCCTTGTTCATGGCATCCCGCACATTCTTCCAGTTCCGGAACGGTTTGGCCATCTTTTTCAGGTCACCAAAAATTTGAAGTTCATAATGATCCACCCGCTGCCACGTTTTTTCCAGTCGCGAGACTGCAGGGGATTGTAAACCCAACAGGATTTGCATCAACGTACTGTAGTTGCGATGATGGTAACATTTCTAAGTCCTGTGGGTGAGCATCTTTCTAGTATTTTGCTTCTTGATGAACCGGGAAAAAACAAGCAACTTACCAATGCAATGCGAATAAATTTCTCAATCACTTTGACCCGAATTTCGAGCGATCGTGATCGTACAATTTCAGAGGCTACCCATTGGCAAATCTGTGACAAAACAATTTCATATGAGATTCTTTTTCTTTCGACGGTAAACTCCTCGAGATATGCGTATTTACCATGTTGAAGAAATTGATCAACTGTTCAACTCCCTTTTCTTGGTCGACTTGATGAATGACGGTACCATTTCTTTTATGAACCGTGTTCGTTCTTGACCGTTTACGCCACCGCAACTCGGCCAGTTCGTTCCATGTCACTGTTTGCAACATACGTTGCTCAAGAATGCAAAACTGTTGAGCAATCAGTTCCGACCGATAGCGCAGAATCTCGGATTTGTAAAAAGGGGTGTGGAGTAAGTGGGATGCATTCAACGATTGTCGATAAAACGAAGTGGACCGGCGGCGAAGCCGTTGTGGTGTCGGAGTAACCGATGCGTGAGTGGAACATAAAGGAGACACTGGAGCAGAATTGATCCGGTTCGAAAGGGTAGGCGTAGGAGTCGAGGTGGAGAGTCGCGGCTCTCCTTCATAACTATCTCGAGCAGCCGCGGGCGGTTTGGCATCAAAGAAACGGCTCGCGGATCGTAATAAAAAAGAAGATCGTCGCTTCATAGCACGATTACTCAGGCACCGTTCGCATGACAGTTCCGCCTGTGGATGGGTGATGCCATGGAACAAGGATTGACACATGGATGGAACGGTGCGCTTGATGGTTTTGATACTGAAATTCATTTTACCGGACCACGCGTTCTCCTCGTTCACACTTCGATGCGAACTGACGGAAACGCGACGGGATCTGTTCAAAAAGGGCAAGGCAGGGGTTGACATGGACGGTCGGAGATCCTTGGTCGGTAGAGTGTGCGTGTGCATTAATCCAATGGCACTGTCTTTTCGAGAATTGATGCTGTATCTAGGCAACGATCGAATTCGGTCGTGACCGGATGTGATGCCGGATCGATTTGGATTGTGTCGGTTGACATGATAGATATCGTCAAGTGAGGTTGTACTGGTATATCGAAACGGGCTACTGGGATGCGACAGCAACATTTGACTGATATGGTCCTGCTTTTGTGCCAACTTGTGCATTTGTCGTTGTTGTTTAAGTACGTGACGTAGGTTACGAATGATACGTGCATCGCGTGGTGACGCCAGGATCACTGGATGGGTTCGAAGTTGGGTGAGAAACGTGCACAGCATGAATCGAAGCGTACGTGAAGGCATGAAATCATGAGCCCAATAATGAGTGAGCCAGTGGCGAATCACGACAAAGGATCTAAATAAACATGCATCAGCCCCACATATATCATACTTTGTTTTTTTGGATAATGATATCACTAGAATTCATGGATTGGCATGCCGGGCTACCTTATCCGTACCAAACGTCGCTCATCGTTATCTTGCAATAACGCCCAACGAAATCGCAGAATAAGCAATTTGCATAGCTTGATCGGCGTCACAAATTGGCGAAACGTTAAGAAGAAATCCAGCAGGAAATCGGAATCTAATTTTTGAGCCGCATAAAAAGAAGACAAGCTTCAGTGGCTGCAGACTTTTTTAAAAGAAAAAATCGATGTTACGAACCCATTTCCCGAGTCAATTTTTCTACCAGCTTTTCAACGGTGGCAGAGCTGAGGATCATGGTGTTATCGCGTTGGGTATAGTGAATAAAGTGGGACGAGTCATGGTGTAAAAGGTCGAACACGTGAGGATCATTTTCGACGGGAGGCGCAGGCGAGGCTGTCACATTGGATTCCATGGGTGGATCCGTATCGGACTCGCCCATGCCCACCCAGCCCAACGACTGATCGATTTCTGATTCCGACCGATGGGCAGCAGCAATGATGGCCGAGACAATACCTTTGGTGTCTGGGCGTTCGAATTCCGAGTGCCAAGGAGCATGATCGAGTTCCCCGGACGTATCCAGTGGATGAACGCTCAAGGAAGATTCGTTAATACTGTTAAGCCGAGGGTGCGAGGGTGAAGTGGCGAGTGTGAGTGACTTTCGTCGACGACCAAACATACGGGCAAACTTTTTGCTGGGAGAACTGATGGAGCTGGTAGAACCGAACGAACGGGATGCTCGATGAAGTTTTTGTCTGCGCGGTGCTGCTGATGTATGCAAGGGTTCTGCATAAGCTTGCAACAAATCCCTAAAGTTGTTGTAAACAGACAAAAAAAATCAGAAAGAGATTAGTTTAACATCGTGAGACGTCAAAAAAAAAAAAAAAAAAAAAAGAGAGAACGGGCCAAGAAAAACCAAGGGGGACTTTTTGCGTACGTGTGTGTGTGTGTTTTTGGCCTGGGGGGAAGGAGGGGGGATGATTGGAAGAAAAATAAAATTGGATCAGCAATGTACCTTGATAACTTTGAAGGTTGGCTATTGGAAGTTTCGTTGTCGGAACCTTCGGTGGTTCCCCAGCCGTAGATAGTGGCAATTTGCTGACATTCTTTGGTATTGATTTCGACGCAGGAACTGTATCGACGACAGGGCAGACGCGGTGTCCTTGAAGACCAGTGCCAATTTGAGGACGCAGCGGGTGGCGCGGTCGATTGAATATCCTTTGGTCCCCAACATTGAGTTCCATGAGTTAATGGCGTCGTGTCATTGACGGTCAACGATGTCGACAGATCGTCTACGGATTTGGATCGTCGTCTATTGAGCGTCAATGATGAGTCGCGGAGTTTATAAATAGAACGGATCGGATGATGAAAAAAAAAAAATAATTACTTTAGCAACCGTGTACTTTGTAACGAGTTCATTGAATGGTCAGTGGTATGAAAAGGAAGTAGATATAAAAAAAACTTGAAATCAATTTTGGGCTAGAATGAGATCAAAGGAAAAAGATGGATGATCATGGTGGCATAAGAAAATCGCCAAAAAAGGGACAGGCTTTTTTTTAACAAGTCTGATGCTTGTTCCCCCTACTGACTGACCTACGACGGCATACTGGATTGTGAACATGGCGGTGAAAATTTTACGTTGTTTAGTCATTCATTCCCAGTACCCCTTTAAATATGGGTTGCCGGTTTCCCCGATCATGGTCCTTGCGTTGGTAACGTATAGACCGGGCAACTGTGTCAAATGGCAACCCACCATCTGACGAACGTCCTTGTTTGATTGCATATACACGGAGCATTCGGAATATCATGCCTAAATAATCAATGAAAAAATGACCATGAGGGAGACAATGATATTCTAAAAAAAAAAAAAGGAAAAAGTGATGTTAGTCTTGCATGCAGTCATATTAAGGGTCGATGATCCGTGGGATAGGAATGTGAGTTTCTGCTCTTCTGTAATCTTTTGTAGGCAATACATGTCAAAAGAAGGACTCTGCACCAAACAGCGCTTTTTCATCATCATTATTATTTCCAGCCATAAGTGGGCTCTTTGTATCACTTCGTTTGACAATTTTGGGGATCATGCGATAAACGGGCCTAATAGAGAAAAAAAAGGTGCCTCAATGATACAACATGCCGAAATTTTTTGTTCTCAGTTTAAAAACATCAAAGAAATTTCAAAACCATTGTTGCCAAAACGCTGTAATTCTTTCTTACTCCTCGTATGACCACTTCTATCCATGAACGCTCTGCGCTTGCTCAGCGTCCATTTCGCATTCGCAAATCGCTGAAAGAACTGGTGTATAGACCTCGAGTTCAGAAGCATCGACAAGTCTCATTACCATTACCCCCGTTACCTCCTCATGACCATACCAGAGACGAATACGTCTACGACATCTTGTACGAATGTCAACGAGGGTCAGTGAAACCGGTCTAAAACTGACCAGCGAGTTGCGCTTTGGGCGGTTTTAATTATCATTGTAAAACTCACCCCATCTTTTTCCCGTTGCAGCTCATGGACAGTTGGCTACAGTTCGAAAACGCAAGTATTGGCGGTTGTATGATTCAAATGAATTGACAGTCTCACCTAGGTTGTCGTGATTAGTTTGCTTCAATTTGATCCCAGTCCATGGTGCGATGCCGATATGAGGTACGCATGGCTTTTCGTCGGGCGATTCACCACACTTTGCATGAATGCTTATTGGATGATTTAGATACACTCCTATGGATCCAAAGACATACCAATTGCCGGATCCCACGTGGGAATGGGTAAAAAAAAATCACGCAATATCGTTTTTGGTAATACGGTGTATAGCTTATTCATCGATTTCCTCTTTAGGTCAGCAAAGACTGGATGGTTGACATGACGGACGATGTCGATGAAGGTAAAAAAAAAAGAATCTGGTTTCTTTTATCTGCATTGATGATTTTGCCACAGTACGATGCAATGTCGTACGTTATGCAGATTTGAAGATGACCTATGGAGGTTGGTTCTTCATAACTAACACTTTTGAAATAGCTGGGTGGCAGTACGCTCTCAAGTTTCACGGAGCGGCATGGCACGGTACATACATCTATGCATACCCACGCGATTAGCCATCTCGGTTACTAAAGATCTTTGTGTTGACAGGAAATTACAAACATTTTCGATCTTTTGTACGACGGCGCCGGTGGATCCGCCTGAGGCATCGTATTCAACCTCAGCAAAATACCCAACAACAACAGCAACAACCAGAGACAGATAAAAGCATAACTTCCGTGCCCACCAGAACATTGGTCTCTGTCGATCGTTCGGAAGAATCTTGTTCATCTTCGCATGATGATATCCATACCCGTGAACAACAGTTATTTGAACGGATGCATCAGTGTCGATTGGATCGTGAGCGTTGGGATATCTTGCAAAAGGAGCTTTCATCCGCTGGCCCCGATTTTGAGGATCTTATTCTCCACAAAGTAAGCGCTTCGGATTCTCACTTGAAGTATGTATCCAAGTAACGCTCACTCGACCTTGCTTCATGCTAGGCACGCGATTACATGGCAATATTTGATTTTGAAAACTATAAGCAAAAGTTTATTCATGCAAGTAGTCATTTCCTGCTATCATAATTAACGGTACCATAGCTTACTAATTCTGTGCACTTAAAATAGCGACTGTTATCTGCAAAGCATCATACCCCTCATTCATCTACTTCAAGCAGCTCTTCGTCGTCTCGTCCAGTCACATTTTCGATTCCCGAAAAAGAAGCATTAAGATCGCTTTCTTTTTATTCAGACGTTGAATCCATTATTCAAGATCTTCAATCATCCTAAAAAGAAAACAACCAATTCCCCACCGATATTTCTGTTTTTTCATCATTCTTTGCATCATAAACCAATCACAACACAAAATTTTATCATGTCGTAATTTCTTATTCAATGTTTTCATAAATACCTTCATTTTGGCATGTGTCTATTCTGCAGAATAGTCTTCAATGATTACTTTTTTTGTCGACACAGTCGGTGGAACGCTAGTGAGCTATACTGTCACCCATTGATATTGGACGGGGACCGAATTAACCGCTTATCGATTTTTGATTGCCACTTTCGATTACAGTTTATTCAACTTTTGAAGTCACAAAAAAAATCGGTGTTCAAATGACCAATAAAAAAATGGAGAAGCAACCAATGAGAAATCAGATTGAACGAAACAAATTGGGAAAAAGATCATAAGTCAAAAAATGTGGTCAGACAGACGAAAAATAGAAAAACAAGTCAGTATGACTATAGAATGCAGCTGGCTTACCTGTAAACATCTACAGGCCTTCGTTTCCCGGAAAAACCAACCAAGTGGGCCAGGACGGACTACGCAGTACTGTTCAGCGCTTGTCGAACGTGGAGAGCACGCGCCGGAACCGTCGATGGTCGGCCAGTTGAATAAACTATTATAGGAAAATCATATTTAGAATTACAAATTTCTATTCTTAAAGGAATCAACAGCCTTGAGCTTACCTTCACTTCAATGCAAAAAAAAAAGACAACCTCGGAGAAAAAGATGACCTTGAAAGGTAGAATGGAGGTTCGAGGAAAAGGAAAGAACGTTGGCAGACGCGGTGGGATGTCCATTTTATAGACTTTTTTGATGGACTGCTGTTGAGCCAGTCACTGTTGGGAAATCTCGTGAGAAGTATCATCGCATTAGCTGCGATGTACCAAACAATAAGGGGGGGAGTGGTAATAGAGCAGAACTCAAAGAAGCAAACAAAAAACTTTTCATGTCTTCAAACCAAATGTGAAAGGACCGTAAACCTAGACGCGGTACTACAAGAAGCTTTTGTGGTCTCTTGCATCCGAATAAGGAGGCCTCAAAACATCAGCTGCAATGCACAGTAGACAAAAAAAGAGAGAAAGAGAACAGTGTTCCACGGAAGGACAGGAAGCAATCAAGAATCATGATACCATTCTTTAGGATAAGTCGAAGTACAGGAAAAATAGGGACCGGATGATATCAGAATTGAAAGGTGGCATCATCCATGATCGAGAACTTCTGTTCACTTGCCTTTACTATTTGAGTGAAGAGCTGTATTGTTCATTTACGGTACATGCAGTTATGAATGAAAAATATTTTACAGGCGGTGACGACGACGAAATTCGTAGTATGTGAACACTTGCCACTACATCTGCTCACCGCTATGTATCAACTCAATTCTAAAAACATCGCTGGAGTCCACAAAAGTTGCCACTTTTCAACATGTGCGTAACACTATAACAAGACATTCTCCGGTCGTATGCAACGCCGATATCAAAATGGTCAGCCTTAATCGGCTTAGGTGTCATTTTATCCTAAAATAAAAGAAAAATAAAAGGATACTGCTAAAGATCGAAAAGAGGCAGCAAGATAAGCGACTATGCAAAAATAAGAATACACTAAATGAGATGCCTTACCGGACAGCGTGACGAAGCGATGCAAATACTGAACCGATAAAAGTGTGAGACGCGACAAAGGCGAGCAAAGGACGTGTTACAAAGAAATAAAAAATAATGCATCGGATTTGGGAGTTGTGTCCTTTCACTGTCAGGGTTCCGCTGCTGCAAATCTGCTCGACAATATGAACCTGTTGTACCCCACCAAGGCCCTTACTGTTGTATCTAGCTGCTGATACAGTGTGTGCCTCACTAATTCCTCGAGATACTCGGCTCGAAGCATCTGGTACCACGCCAGCATGTCCTCCGCTGAGGAAGGTCGGACGTCCCCTCGAGACAATCGTTTGCATACAATGGCCTTGAGTAGCTCGTAGGAACACAGCGACAGGTAAAGTTCCTGGAACTCGATAGCGGCTTTTCCTGCATCATAGCTGATCGCACCAGCATGTCGAATGGCGAGATATAGGCATCTATCGGTGGCATCCGGACCGTACTGGACGATCGCCAATTCGCCAATATGTGGCGTATAGGAACGTCTGTATGTTGCTATGGATCTTTTGCCGTCGTATATCTGGTCAGTGCACTGAGCAGCGTATCATCCGATTCGGGTTCTTCTTGTGGTGATTCGATCTGATCAAAAAAGTTGATGTAGGCCAGTGAAGCAGGATACCAAGAAGATGCCAACACGTCAATGTGAAAAGTGCTGAACAAGAGTTTTGACATCCCACACAAGAACACGGGACGGACAATACGCAGGTACCGCGAAAGGTACGGTAATCCGATCGTCATGATTTGGGGGATATGCCAAACATATCTACAAAGGCGGGCAGCCGTAGGGAGCACAATAACAACCTTCAATGTGGAAGTGAAGGAAAAGGGAAAAAAAAAGAAGTCAAGTGCTGCACTTCCTCCGATTTTTCGAGAATCTCTGAAAAAGGCCCACAGTCTCATTTCTTGCCAACGTCTTTCCAACATTTTATATAAACAATGGAACTACTGAAATATGCATATACAAATACAACAAGATGAAGTAGAGTGTAGGTTCGTGGATGTAGTGGGTATTGGCTGGATCGCTCGGAAACCCATAGCCTTGCGTTCTATGACAATTTTAAACGAATATATGAACGTCTTTCAAGCGGAATAAAGGTCTGTCAGGCGCGAAAGTACATCTTTGGTGATTTTTTGGTTGCATGCCGACAAACTTTGTCCAGCCAAGTCCGCCATGGGCCCGAAGTTGACAAGATTTGCAAGTACCAACGGTGGAATATGCTGATGCTCTCGCAAGCTTGTTGTAAACTTCTCAAGAGCGCTCCAATTCGAACTCTGTTGCTGTTTTTTATAGCTGCGGGCAGTTGACGCAGTATCATATGCCGTGATTGCTGAACTGAAATTTCCCGGTTTCTTAAACATGACGGCGACAGCTAGAGACTGCAGAAATCGTGATGTCAGTTTGCTGGCTGATGTAGATGACGAGCCGTAGCCATTATGGGGCATATTACACAAATTGAAGACTGTGGCCGGCATCATGGTTCGGCGTCAAATGCTTCATGGCCGCCAGGTAAGTGGATTCGTCGACAAATCGCGAAACCAGTTGCCGCAAGGACACCATATGCGTCGGCAAATGATAATTCCCCGGATTCCGCATTATGTCAAGATAGCGCTGGATTTCGGTGTCACAATAAAAAATCTTGGCTGTCGAAGGGCGAATTGCTTGTGGCGATGCTGAAGTCTCTGGTCCGATGTCAAGTCTATTTTGTGAACGCAACGGAGCCGACATTGTTAGAAAAGATACCATCTTCCTTATAGCCGGCTGAGTTTCGATTTGGATAATCGACAAGTTCGAGCTGTCCAATCTGCATGTGAACCTTACGATGGGAGCCTTGCAGTGGTTCATAAAATAAAATAATGTTGGCTAAAGATGTAGTCGCCTAACAAATTCTCCCAGTTATACTTTTGTTGAAGGATGACATTTGTCAAGAGACGTGGTTATACTATACTGATGGAACAGGTAATTGTTCGTGGTGCACATGCTGTGTTTGAGGGTTACATTGGCTGGAGTGAGATAATTCTGATTACGAGATCTATGAAATGACTTCATACTTCCTGGTATGGTAATATTGCGTGAGGATACCAAGACAGTCATTTCTTAACTTTTGTGGTATGGCAGATATTTGGTCGCAAAATTTCACCCTTACCTTGGTCCTATGCATAACATTGCGATGGTGAAGCAGCGATGCATAGCTGCTATGGTAGAGTACTTTGCAACGCCAGCTGGGTTGATAGTGCCTTCCCTGGTTTGTGATAACGACCAAAATACAATTGAACACAAGCATGAGTATCACATAAACCTTAATGGAGACTTTCTTTTATATTACCCAGAATCCGATTACTCAAGGCACCATGAAATCATGGTAACTGACATGCGCAACTTGGCGAGGCATCGATGTCTTGTATGTCCTTTTACCATTTGTCCATCTACTGGTAGGTGAGCTTACTGTAAGATACGGCTGTTAATCGTTCGTTGTGTTTTTTCTAGATTGTGAAGTTCTTCAGTATTTCTTTTTTTGGCTAGATCTTTTTATACGATGGTTGAATATCTTTGCAGAAAATTTATAGGCGTAAAATAGGAATGACAAAGATACTATTTTCTAGTTCACTCTCTACTTTCTCTATTCGATAGAGAAAAGGATACGTGTGATGGTAAAAGGAAAAAAAAAGACAGTATTATAAAAAGTAACGATGGTGTGTCTGCTCTGCTCACTTTTGAAAGCTGACTAAAGACGTATCGTAATATTATTATGCACGAGGTATACATGATGACCACCTTTATATCATCGTCATAATTCGGGTTACTCACAAACCATCTTGCTTTGTGTCATCTGCGTTCTACGTTTTACCAGGCACCCTTGGTTTGGTGTTTCGCTCACAGAAAAACTGAGCAACAAAGTGAGAAAAAGAAGTGACTTGTTGATAATCCTACAAAATACATCATCCCTCTCCTGAAAGTTGTTCGATTGGATAGCTGACAATGGATTAACCCGACCAAAGTGATGGAATATCCGATGATCAATATATTATAGTCATACTTGTTCAGATGACAATAAATTACAGAATCACGCATCGATTGGCAGGTTGGACGGAACAGCCAAACGACGACGAGAAGCGCAACCGATAAGAAGCAGCGCATGGTTTTCTTGTCGGGTCCTGAAAACCGAGAATGGTCTGGTACAAAAAAGTCAAGTTGAGCTCTCTTTTTCCGCCCCTTAACTCCACCCCACACACACAAATCACATCACATCTTACGTCTCTTTCGAAACACAAAAAGCTCAACTGCGGAAATAAGGTTTCGTTCGACTTCTCGGACCGTTGCCTGCCCTTCTCTTTCTCGTTACCGACCCGTCCACCACTTCATTCGTCATGGCATCTGCAACTTACCAAACTGTTCCTGTCGATGATCAACCATTGCCCGCCACCGACCGACCCAAGCGATCCCGTTCCTTGGTGGCCACTTTTATGCTGGCGGTGTGCATCATCTCTTTTGTCCTGCAGACAGAACTCGCTCAGTATGTGCAGAAAACTACAAGCTATCAAAAGCCATACTTTATTCTGTAGGTTATCTTTGCTTCCTCTTATTTTTTCCAGTATGATTTGATTGCGTTTTTGTGTGATGTGATTTTGCACCTCCTAAGTTCTCCATGTTAGTTATGTCGGCCACAGTTGCTATATTTTCATGCTGCCAATTCAATTCTTTACCGAGTGCATCGTGGCCACCCCAGACAAACCTTTCAACTTGATGTATCACGTCAAAGAGACAGCGGCATCTTGTCGGAAACACATCCAGCGATCCTTGGCCGAACTGCGGCGAGAGCAAGCGGTTTCCGAAAAGTATTCCGATCTTCACTTCATTGTCGTCAAAAGTATCTGGGTGGCGATCGCTCTCACTGTCCCAGCGTACTTGTGGTATGTCAGTGTGAATTTGACCAGCATGTCCAACTTGACAGCCATCTACAACACAAGCTGTTTCTTTGCCTATTTGTTTTCCATATTCATGCTCGGCGACCAATTAGTCGCCTCCAAGATCGCGGCGGTGGCTCTATGCATGCTGGGCGTGTTTGCTATGGCTTATGGCGATGAGAACGACGATACCGACGATCATTCCATCCTTGGTATCCTTGTTGCCCTGTTGGGAGCCGCCACCTATGGATTTTACGAAGTCTATTACAAGAAATACGCTTCTCCGGTCCGATCCACTGTTTTGTTTGCCAACTTTGTAACAGGACTTATTGGTGTCATGACACTTTTGCTGTTATGGATTCCCATTCCCCTGTTACACTTGACGGGCTACGAGCGTTTCGAATTACCTGATCTTCGCACTTTTGTTTACATTCTCGGCGTGGCCTCCATGAGCCTTGTTTATAATGCCAGTTTTATGTGTGTCATTGCTTTGGTGAACCCGGTGTTTGCCGCTGTCGGTGTGATGCTTACGGTCCCCGCCGTAGCCGTCGTCGATGTTTTTGTCACAGGCAATATGGTGCCCACCTCTACCATTACAGGCAGTGTATTAATCCTGATCGGTTTTGTCATTCTCAATCATCGCGTCAAGAAAGAAGAATCAGAACAATAGATATTTCATAGTATTATACCTCTCTCTCTCTTTGTCATGTTTGACAACCCCTCCATTCGTCCCTCTCTGCCCCCCCAAAAAAATAAAAAATAAAGCCAAAATTGGATACGTGTAACACACAGCTTCAATATTTTATTAGGATGCATTGCCTCTTCGAGTTAACAAAGGGACACCAAGATGAAATGCATTTAGTAGAAGAAACCGAGGATCTTGCCACCAGCGTGCTTTCTACGGGCTTCTTCGTGATCCATGATACCAGCGGAGGTGGTCATGACCAAGTAACCGAACTGACGGGAAGGCAACAAGTTGGAGGTCCACTTCTCGAGTTCAGAGACCTTGATGTTGAAGCGGGGAGAGATGACACCGCACTTGTTAAGACGACCGTTGAGCTGGATAACGATCTTGCCGGAACGATGATCATCGACTTCCTCGAATTCACCAATGTAACCTAATAAACATAGTAAAGCATCAGTCATCGTGTTCTCATATGAAAAATTGATTCAACCGAGAAACGAAAAAATGTCTCATTGATTTAAACAAGCCACAACACAGAAACAAGTTGCGCAAGTGTAAGATCTTGAATGTTATTATACCGTAGATTTAAAAGCCATAAACTGTGTGGATAAGCAGCTTACAGCCAGTTATACTACGGAAAGGAAAAAACAACGAAAGTTGTTTTTCCCTCTTCCTCCCTTCCCAAGCAAATAAGAAGAAAACCAGAAATGCATGCTTACCGTGCTTCTGCATGACAGACAAGAACTTGACAATGACCTTGGAAGAGGGACGGATGAGAACTTGTCTCTTGCCACGCTTTTCGGCGTTGTTGATGTTGTTCAAGCAATCGTTCAAGACGGAGACTCTGACCATTTTCGGCTAATAAGAAAGCTGCGCTACAAGGAAAATGAAAAAGAAAAAAGATCATTCATCAGTAAAAAGACAGCAAACACACGAGCTTCCAAAATGAGTGTCCATCCAATAAAGAAGGGATTCATAGAAGCCATCGAATCTCTAGCAAGTAGTCCATAGACTTTTGCAAGTGATGTGTGTGTGATGGATGAATGGATGCCATGGATAGATGCAATGGATGGATAGGTAACCTACCTGATGTGTGCAGAAAGAAGAGGGAAGGTTCATCGTTGCCAGGTCACTGTTCCCTATTGAGCACTTCCCGTGACGGGGATCCAAATCTACGGTGCGCGCCGAAGTCGTTGTGAATAAAAATAACGGTCACGGATGTGGCGCTTTCGGCTCGACAGGTGCTGTGAAGAACCACCGATATTGAAATGCCATTGGGTTACATTGAAACTACGCAACGGACCTCCCACCTTATTAAAATGTTTGGGAAGTTATGCGCGCTAATTCAGTCACAAATCAGCCACGTCGGGTTTCCGCTACATAGTGGGTTTTGTTTGGGTAATTTTAAAACAAATATTTATGATTGATTGAAACGAAATGAATTACATGATTTACTGCGGTGGAGATACCTTTCTAGACCATGATACATCAATTCGATTTAGCAATCTAACAAAACGCATTACACGGCAAGATTGATTCTATTCCGTAACTCTTTTATTTGCTCATCCTTTCAGTTCTTTCAATAAAACACCCTATATTATTCTCAAACGTTTTTTGCGCTTCTTGCAGTCTTCCAGGACATGTTCGCTCGACCTCGAGAAACTATCCCAACAATTCTAGACGCGTCCAACAACCCAATGTTGCTACGACCCAAGGATCGGTAGAAGTTCGTTGCTCTACATGCCAGCAAGTGGGATATCAGCGAAGTAGCCATTCAGCTTTCCCATTGAATCCGAGGAGACTGGCTATGAGGGAAGCAAACGACAATGATACTGCGGAACGCATCCGTAGATTACCTGTATCCACTGATGATACCGAGCTCCCCTGTAGACATACCTTGGGACGCATGAATGTTGTCTGCAATTTCTGTCAGGCACACATGTGGGCCAAAGAAAGCTCATCTGGATCGAACTCCAATCCGCAGTTCCAACTCTGCTGTGCCCAAGGTTCCGTTGTGCTTCTACCTTTGGAGCCTACACCTGCAACCATCGCCCGTCTCCTTCGTAGCGATAATGAAGAAGGACGGGATTTCCGTGAGCAGATCCGCGCCTATAATACGAATTTGAGCTTTACTTCGGTAGGCGCCCAAATAGATGAATTCGTGGCCAACAATCGCAACGGAGCCTACTGCTACCGTATTCAAGGAGGCATTTACCACCAAATCGGTGGTCTACTTCCGCCAACCGAGAGTCATACCCCTGCGTTTGCCCAAATGTACATTTATGATTCCGACACACGACTTGGACACCGACATGCTGTGGCACTTTATCTGCAAAATGCCACCCTTCTCATTCTACGAGGTCTGCTTACCGAAGTCAACCCATTCGTACCGTTGCTGCAGTCAATGGCCCAAGTTTCTGAAGGAGCCTTAGACGTGTGACTGCTCATAAGTGTGGAAGACGCTCCTGATGTTCGTCGATACAAAGCACCCACGGCTAGCGAAGCGGGAGTGATTCTGGTAGACAATACAATCAAATAGTAGCCGCAATATTGTGCTCCGATCGAGAAGCCGTGAGCTTCGACGTATCAGCGAGATGAACCAGTACCATGATGCTCTCCAATATGTCCTGATGTTCCCGCATGGTGATCTTGGTCATAATATCATGGTTATGCAATGGTATAGCTACCAATTAATGATGCGAGAAAACGGTCACGACCTGCTTTTGTACGGACACCTATTCCAGCAATATATTTTTGACATGTACGCCAAGCCGGAGCAGGATCGGCTGGCTTACTTGCGACCCAGCCAGACAAATCTACATACTGAAAAACACTCTCAAAATAGGGTCGAAATATTGGCTATTTTTATATCATAACTGATGAAAAAGGAAACGATTAGTTTTTTTTTTCGATCGAGCTCATACAAGATGTCGTCAAACGACCACCGAATGCCGATGAATGCAAGACGTCGGCGTCCAGTAGCAAGTAGCTTGCCGAAAGGCATTGGGTTAGTTGTTATATGAGGAAAAAGTATGCCAAAACAAAATAAAGAGGAAAAAAAAAATTATAGACTTTTACGCGTCTAGTGGATACCGCCTACCAAAGATTTCTCATATTCACATTGAAACAACCTTGCCGTCTTGAGTGTTTCCAAGGAATCCCTTTGGTCCCTTCATTTTATCGATCGCACAAACGCCAATCTCCGCAGTTTAAGCGAATCGCACTTCCAAAGAAGATGGTCTTGTGACTGTTTTTTATGGCCGTCTCGATTTCTGGCCAACCAAAAGAGCGGGGGCGACGGATCACTTGCGGTCCACACTCCATTGTTTCCGAAAACTGCATGCTTTGCTCATACCAGGTAATTGTAAATTTTGGACAGAAACAACGTAAAGTAATTTATTCAGTTATTTCCCGGCGTGAGTGGAAGAAGTATATGGCCTCATTAGATTATCGAAAAGGACGAGCCTCTTTTACCGTCATGATAATGAAATAACAATGCAATGCAAACCACCTTCAGTACTGTAAATAAACCCTGAACTCCGGATATCCTCATGACCATAAAAGCTATTCAAGCGCATAGTCGCAGATTCCTATAGACACGTGCAGCAATAGGCACCCAAGAGCAACACTTTTAAAAGCGCACTACGTCTGATGAATTAAAAAAAAACTTTTGAGATGCATGGAGATTATGTAAGTATGTCGGCATGGTAAAAATGCTGAAATAAGATTGGTTACCTGTTGGAATTTAGTTTAATTTGTTCGTCAAAGAGACATCGATGGCGTAGGTTTTTGGCCCGCCATGACCTTTTGCCGAAATTTTTTTTGGGTCTCCATGTTTCATCCCCGGAATTTGCAAGCGAAACAAAAGTAATTTTAAGCTTCATATTACACGTCATTGTCTTTTTACACATGCAATAAGACAATTGTGTCCGCAGCCCGCATTATAACGATAGTAAAGCAAAGGCTGTCACACTCCCACTTTTTCGAAGCCTTCCTCCTGTCCAATATCAGAATAAAGATAATGACGCTACTGTTTTCGTTTTTGTGTTACGTCTCCCTGCAGGGATGTCCGTCGCTTATCCGACGATCTGATGGCCAGTTCCGATTCACAGTAATAGACAGCGTGAAAAAGGTATTGGCGGTTCACGGGCCAATGATTCGGAGGACACTCCTGCCTAACGACGGATTTTAAGCTCCGGTCGTTGCTTGGGCTGACGGATAAACCCTTATACGATGGAACGCTCCCGAAAAATGAAATGAAAAAAAATCCGGATCATAGAATATGCAAAGATCTAATTTATATGGTCTAGAGCATTTCGTATAATATATAAGGACGCTGATCCGACAATTGATTTTGTTACTGTCATCTTTAAAAAAAGAAAAGAAAAGACGCACGTCTGTTATCTCATATATCCCTCCCTGATTCACTCACTCCCTCGTTTTCTGCCATGTCTTCATCCCCGGAACCTTTGACGGTCGATATGCATCGAGTGAATTCGACCGAGACAAATGTGAGCACAATTCGTGAGCAAGTACACGACCAGTTACCTCCTGGTATCGTACGGACGCGATCCATCGTACCGTATTCATCAAGGCACACCGATCTCGACCAACACCGCACCCATGATTCGGAAAAGGGAGCGATCGTCAACTATGTCAATTGGGAAGTGGACGATCCCGAAAACCCTCACAATTGGTCTACTGGTTATCGATGGTTGTATACCATGATTGTTGCCGGTCTTGTGGTATCTGCCGCTTTTGGTTCTTCGGTGATTACCGGTCGTCTTCAGGGTGTCGTTGATACCTTTGGTGTTTCCATGGAAGTCTCCACGCTTCAAGTGTCACTCATGGTCTTTGGTTTCATGACCGGTCCTCTGCTTTGGAGTCCTCTTTCTGAACTTTTTGGCCGCAAACCCATCTATGTCATTTCGCTTGGTATATATACCATTTTCAACATTCCCTGCGCTGTCGCCCAGAATGTCGAAACCGTGCTGGTGTGTCGTTTCTTTGCGGGATTTTTCGCTTCCGCTTCGCTGACGTTGGCCGGTGGAAGCATCAGTGACTTGTTCCCCACCGAAACACGAGGTAATGCTATTGCATATTTCGCGGCTGCCCCGTACGCCGGACCTGTTCTTGGTCCTTTGGTCGGCGGTTGGATCTCTGTCGGTACCCAAAATTGGCGCTGGATTTATTGGGTAAGACATAGCAAAAATACTAAAAATGACAAGACACAGACTAAACCAAATTCTTTTGTTCATTTTAGGTGAATATGATTTTTGCTGGTGTGATGTGGATCATTATCTGTTGTATGCCAGAAACATATGCTCCCACCCTGCTCCAGAAGCGTGCCAAGCATCTGCGAAAGGAGACAGGCGACCCCTCGTACGTCACCGTTGAAGAAGAATTCCCTGTGCCGCTGTCAGAACTGATCCGCGCCAACTTGATCCGTCCCTTCCAGATGCTGGTAACGGAACCAATCTTGTTGCTCATGTCGGGTTATATTGCCATCATCTATGCGCTTCTGTATGCCTTTTTCTTTGCGTACCCTATTATTTTTGGCGAAGTCCATCATATGAATGACGGTGAAATCGGCCTGACCTTTATCGGTGTACTCATTGGTGTTGCTTTTGCATTGGTCGCTACGCCCGTTTTGGAAAAAGTCTATCGCCGCGCTGGTGCCAACCGAGCTGGAGGCGTGGCTACACCCGAAGATCGATTGCCGGGAATGATGATCGCCGCTCCTTTTGTCCCTATCTCGCTTTTCATCTTCGGTTGGACATCGTATCCGTGGGTCCACTGGATCGGTCCCACTTCCTCTGGTATCCCATTTGGTTTTGGCATGGTGCTTGTGTATTATTCCGCCAACAACTACATCATCGATTGCTTTCCTCGCTATGTCACCTCGGCTTTGGCGGCCAAAACTGTCGTTCGTAGTGGTGGAGGAGCCGCTTTCCCTCTATTTATTGTGCAAATGTACCATCGCCTGGGAAATCAATGGGCAAGTACTTTGCTGGCCTTTATCAGCCTTGCCATCGTTCCAATTCCTTTTGCGTTTTACCGATGGGGACCTCAAATTCGCGCTCGGTCTAAAACCGCGACACATTAATTTAATATCACTTTTGCATTCATTTACTTGTACTATTTAATGCTATCCCATCCTACACACACATTCACGTACACGATAGCTCCATTTCCATAGATTTAAACCTTTGTACAGCTCTACCATTTTATTTCTTTTTTTAATAGATTCAGCTTTTTACACATTATTTATCATTGTATCTTTTTGGAATCATGAATGATGATGGCATGCGTAGACCTTTTAAATTCTGGAACCACCTCCACCGGGACTCTGTCGGGCACTAGGATCCTTCAAGCTTGTTTCGGCCGTAGTCTCATGTTTGGCTAGAAATTATTCAGAAAGCAAGTGAGACATTGGCCTATTCCCGAGGTTCTTTTTTATCTCTTGTCAACTTACCGGTGGCGGCACGTTCAGTACCCCAGAAAAAGTAAACACCACCTACGACGGCAATCATAGCAGCAGCAGCGTAAAGGCCAGGACCGGATCGCTGTTGTCGGTTAGCCTCTATGTTTTTGAACGACAACATTAGTCTGAGCCAACTACTATCGAAGAAAATCATCGTTATATAATAGAACACGAACCTTCGGGCTCGCCGGCTCTGAGGATGCGAGTGTAGGCTTGTCGGGTAGTGGGGAACAATCGAGCGCTTCGAGAAAACATATTACTGGGGAGAAATTTTTGTGTAGAGATAATGGAACAAAGAACAAAGTGCAAACCCGCAATAGCCCATTCGATTTTTTAAATACGCGTGGTGAGATGGTATGTCGTGAACATGACGAATACATGTTTCGCTTTCCTGATTTGGTAAAACGTCGTCTCCAAACTCCGCGTTACTGGGTGGGAAAATTTTGCAGGAAAGAAAAAGTGAGCAACTCCTAACTCATTGGACCCCTCCTAACCCAAAACTCACGCACGCACCTCCCTGTCATGGATAAAACTACTATATAATAAAGGCAATGTTTTAGGTTTCTGGGGCCTTCGTTCTTTTCTTCAGTGACTCTCATTGACTTGTAACAGACCTACCCTGATGGCCCTGTCATATCATCGTTTACATGATGACGACGTGCTCGTGCCTGTCGATAAGACGATCCCCCGCCTAAGCGTCACGTTGAAAAGTTCGGAATCCAATCAGAATCAAGAACCGATCTTTAGTCAGGGTGATGTCGTTTCGGGGACGCTCACGATTGATACGCCGTGCCCTCTTCAAGTGGACCACCTACGGATTGTATTTTACGGCAGCGCTCAGGTCCATGGCCAAGATTGTGATCATGCTCTACCCATTGGCATTTTTGACTATCTCATCCATAAGCCGGTTATTAACACTGGCATGCGTATTGTGAAAAAATCAAGTTCCGTTCCAACCGCGCTTGAGAGAAACAGCGACGAGCAGAAACGGCTGTCTGTAAGCCACGATGACAAGCACTATCATCAGCTGACAATAACGGGATCCGAAACAGGAAAAGGCGAGGAGAGACATGAAGAAGCGCCCGTCATGTTGGGGAAACATCCTCTCCAGAAGCCGAAAACGGCTTTTCACAAGAAAATTGAAAGTCTTCTTCGACAAGTGGCCAGTAGCGATAGCGTCACGGGTAGTGCATTAGCTTGCTATGAAAACGATTCTACGTGTTTCGAACTGAACGCAGCCACGCATCACATCCCTTTCAGCCTTCGTATCCCATCGCATCGTCGTCTGGCCTCCTCATTCGACCATCCCAATTTCCCTATTCAATACCAAGTAGTCGCTCTTTTACTTTGCAAAGACAAATCCACAGGTATCGATCGTATCGTTTACGCCAAGGCACCGATGAAATTAGTGTCGACGGTATGCGTTGACGATGTGGGTGATAATGGTACAGTGCAAGGCCCCTGGTTCGCTTTTAGCGGCACCGCCTTATTGTCTCGGAGACAGGTGAAAATCAAATGCAAAAACGACGACGTACTGCTGTCACCCCCCAACGTACGATACACTTCTTGGCTGAAGCGATTTTTGTGTGCTACGGGTTTCCTCTTGGACCACCGCAAGTGGTTCCAGTGCTGTGCGCAACTAGCCAAGCCGGCATTTCTCCGAGGATCCTTCATTGATCTTCGCATTCACTTGATCAATGGCATGGCGCGCACTCTTTCTTCTGTCGGTGTTCACGTGCAGTTGGTGAAGCGTATTTTGATGACGGCAGGGATTTCTGAAACGGCCGAGACGACGACCGTCTGTGTATCGGATGTGGTCTTTCAAAATGATACCGTGTCCGACATGGATAAAAACCAATCCGTGTTGGATTACAGGCAGTTGATATTCGATTACAACCACCTGTTGCAAGTCCCCCACGATTGCCCATGCACGATCCCCTCTTCCGACACACGACATGTTTTTGAACTTCGTTACGAGTTGTGGATCTCTTTGGAAGTACGTGAAAGCACAGACCGCACGCCGCGACCACTGAATTATTCTCAGACTCACACATTGGTTGCCAACGACTTTGCCAAGGCGATGGTTTCCCTGGACAACCGAGAGGGGCGTGTTCATCATGTCCATCTTCCTCCTGTCGGTGTAACCATTGGCAACGCATAACGGTTTTTCAGAAAAAATCAAGTGTGATTCTTGAAAAACTGATCAACGCCCATCTCCCTGTCCCCATTATTTATATTACCCTTAATGCAGCTTGTTCTCCTTATTATTATGATAATCTATGATCTTCATCACCATCTTATTATTTGTGACACCCTTCTTTTCTAATGAACTTGTTTTTTGGTCATTATTTGATATTTTACAATGTGTGGAAGAGAGAAAAGAAAAAGAAAAAAACATTCTACAAAAATGGTGACAAGTATTATTGCGACGATGACGATGATGGTTCATCGGTTTTCGGTGATGCCGGTGCGGGGGCGACATAGCCTGCACCGACCACACTCTTGGCACCACGTTCGACGAACTCGGTTTTAACGGGAAGTTTGTGACTCGCGAGACGGAAAGCTTCTTTGGCGATTTCTTTACGCATGCCCGAGATTTCAAAGATGATGCGGTTCAGCGGTACACGGCATGCCCAGTAGTCAAATGTACCTTTGCCTTTACCCATACGGACTTCGTTACCTTTGCTGGTGACAGGTATATCGGGAAACACTCGCATCCACATTTGTGATCCTTTGACAGGTTTGATTTTACGACGGACCGTGTTGTGAACGGCCGTCAATTGTCGGGCGGTTAAACGAGCCCCTTCCTTGATGCGCAAACCGAAATCACCGAATTCCACTGTGGTGCCCTTGGTCGATCCGCCCGTAGGCAACGGAATTTTGCCCTTTTGCGACTTGCGATATTTCGTTCGTCGAGGAGAAAAGTTGGAAGCGTAACGGACAGTGGTGACGGGTAACGCAGCACGAGGGAGAGCCGTGTTCTTGGTAAATACATTGCTAATAACCGACGAGGTCGCCGATAAGGCGCCAAAGAGACCTCCCCTGTTCATGCTCAACATGGCAAAGGTGTGTGTGTATGTTATCCGAACCGCTGCGTTGCAAGGTAACCTTTCAAGCTGGGACGGTCAAAATATCCAAATAAACAAAAATTGAGACTGTTGATTTGCTGGGTCTGAATATCCCCGCGCAAATCCGAACCTTGGGCCCTGACCAAAAAAAAAAAAAATGCCCGTTGCTCTGGCAATCGACGGACCTCAGCGTTCCAAGAATGACACTGCAAATTGGCCCTGTCAAGCTGCTTCTCGTATTTGTTACTCTTACTCATAGCTGATTGTTTATTTTGAATTGAAACCGTTTATCCTAAAACATTGACTTGGCACAGTCAGTTCATTTGGAGGTCATTTGCATACGTCCTCATGCACCATTATAAAACAGCATTGACAAGTGTATCTGATAGTACCATAGTGACAGCATTTTGTACTATTGATGGAGAAAATATTATCTTCCATAGTGCTAGTTTTTCAGAAAATGCCAGATAAGCTACCAGGTTTGAAATGCAAGCTTACACGATCCATCTTGAGGTTGAGAGTTCAACGTATCACTTTCGCGATAGATACTGTCTGCATGCAGATAGGAAATATTGCCTTAATATTGATGTACGATTTAGTATCCTACATGTTGATACGATTTGCCTTAATTAAAAGCTGCTACTCAAGTCGTCTTGTAGATAAGCTGGTCAGTGGCAGAATGTGGCCTTTACAAATTACATTTTGTAGGGGAGACTGGATCCTAAATTTCACGGGTCACCACGTCATTGTGGACGATATTGACAAGGTGACACGTTATGGATTATGTCCAGAAGAGTAAAGAATAACAAAGCTGGTTCATCGGATGACTAGGGGTTGGCCTATGCGTCTTTCCGAAGCTTTGAGCATGGATACCGTAGGTATGGCAGCTTGAATGGAAATTTGACAGAAGATCAATCGTAATATGGGCGAGAAACCTTGATCAACAGAATTGACACAGCCCGTTTACGATTATATGTACATAAAAAGCGAGTTTCTCTTTTTCTCCAGAAGCAACTGACATGCTTGCTCAAGGCGAAACAGGATAGGATGAGACAATGCTGTATTCAGCTCTGGTATGAGTGACGGTCAACTACATAATGAGAACCATCCCCTTTATTGAAAGTTGTGGATTTTCGAGGGCTTATTCAGCACTATATCATTTCAGATGCTGAGACTCAGAGCTAATGTCAATGTCAATTAATACAGCAGGTGCAGGTGCTACCATGGCAATTATGGACAATATTATATTAGTGAGACAGGCGCAGGAGTGCGAACGATAAAAAGAACCTACATGGAATGTAAACTGAATAACATCATAGGATACAATGAACGACGAGGAACCGAACTAAAAGGTTGACCATCTTGGAAGATGGTTGATTATTCATCTCGCTTGACATTCAATATTTGATGCCCGACAAAATTTGTCCATCGTAATTAAAACGGGTCCTTTTGTTCCTGAAGTGAGAGCGTTGCATTGACATGAGAGACTAAGGACTTCCCAGTTACTATTGTCACGAGTTGCTTGGATACATACAGCTGATTTATAATAGGAAATATAGAATGGATGCAGCTTTCGAATTGTAAAAGAAGTTGTAGCATATTCTCTACAGAAAAGCTTTAATTCTACCATTTTTTGTTCGATAGACGTTCTGGAAGCAGTTTGTTGATACAAGAGACCAGTAGTGAGGTATTGAAATGCCGATTTACACAAAGTTTGTGATGCCACATCCAATGAAGTACGAGTAACTTTATGTCCCGGAAAGAGTTTTGGCTTATTGGGCCAATAATAACATTGCGATCGCTGAAAATCCTCGATGGCCATGCCATGTTTCTCTAACTCTAAATGGTCCTACACTAATGATTCATTTGTACCACTACACCAAGCGTTATCGCGTAACGTCTGATCCTGGCATTGGCCGTTTGAATACCATGGAGACATTTGCCGTTTTCGTCCAACATGGGAATTCTAAATGAACATCGGTTTTTTTGTCATCTCGCCCGCAATTGTTCTGTCTTCGCGGATGAAAAGCCCCGCAGCGAATCATGTCACAATACAGCATTGAATAGTTTTTCCGTACTTCAGTAAATATCCTTTAGAACTTTTTGGAACCTTTGGAAAACAAAAAGTGCATCCTCAGATTTCAAAAAGGTTAGGAACCGAGCTATGATAATTCATAACGCCCATCCTGGTTTTCCAATGCTTCGGAACATCGTTCGTAATATAATCAATCATAAGATGCTTGCATCACTAACCGTTTACATTCAATGAACAGATGATCTAGATCTAGTGGTTCATGACGTATTATTTACCGGGAAAATGGGAAAACAATTCCATATCTCGAAAATGGGGATTCTGAACAATCAGCATTTTTTCCACTTGCACCTTTCAAGACACTTGCAGCAGCTGGAATCATCAGGTGCATGCTGATTTTTTGACAGCTAAAGTGGCAGCCACACGCTCATCAGCCGTAGATATTGTACTATAAGTTACTGTAATTCCAAGTTCGCCGAGACTTCGGTCTCTCATATCCGATGCAAAAAACACAGAGCACAAATACCCAACATGGTGTGTCCGCTTACTCGTTCGTGTTTAGGTTAGTGTAACTGGTAGAAAATGGTTTGTTTCCTATCAAGGGCGAGCCCATTCTACTGAAACGAGTCTGAATGGCTGGATGAAGCAGTAGTTTCTTATTTAACATTAACGAATGCATCACGATTCGATTGTTGGATACTGATTATTGGTGATAAAAAGTTGAATGGATGAAAGGCATGAGTTTTGGGACGGGCAGATACGGTGCCGGGGGCGACGGAAAACAGAGAATTAAGGTATGGCATTTTGACCGTAAATAATGGTGTCATTCGTGAATCTATGCTTTTTCGGGATAGCTTATTTTAGATGGCTGCGCAATGACGTTGGGACTTTCCAGCGACAGTGCAAAATAGTGCCATGCTATTTCAAAAATGTAAAAGCTTATTGTCCAAGGTGCATAATGATAGATTCCCGAACGGTCAATGACAAGTGAGATGCGTTATTTTTTCAGGCAAGGGTGGGGAGGTAAAACTTTAATATTACTTCATTCATCAAAGCCGGAAAATGTTAGGAAAATCAGCGCTGCTATTTTCAAAAGGACGTTTTTAAGAAAAAAAAAAATACAATATATCGGTGATACTAAGGATACATAAAAAAAAACAATCAGCTACTGTACAGTTTGATCAGCTGTGTTACTGGCAAGAAATGCTGTTCGTTGGCACTGTGGACCAGCCACTAGTGGTATCCATGAAAGCGTTGTCGTTATTACGCAAGGGAAAAGCTAAATTATTCCAATTGAACATTAGCCTTGAATAAAAAAAAAAAACGGGGTTGGATGCCGGGATGGGAATTTTTTTTTCTTTCACTTACAGTACAGGTCAGGGACCAAAGGATCGGTAAGCGATGACTCTTCAGGCATCCGGTAATAGTCTAGTGCGCATTTGGAACGTTGCGTCAATCGCGGTCTGTACTTGATATTTGTACCTTTTATCGGATTTACCTTTTTCGGAAGGCTGGAAATCAGCCTTGCTTTCGAGAAGATGAGTCTTTCGTTTATCCATGGGATTCTCGAGAAGATCGGGCTTCATCATCAAATCATCCATCAGGGGGTATGAAGTCATGGCTAACCAATTGTTGTAGGGCAAGGAAGGTGTAGAAAGAGAAGCTTCCTGAGGCGTGGGAGAACCGGAATGAGTCGCCTTGCCTAATTGCGCCTGATTTTCTTCGTGAGCCAAAAGTTCGGCGAGTAGTCGCTTGTTTTCTTGCTGCAGTTGAATGATCTGGTATCGATAGCGTTCTTCTTTTGACAAGCTTTGTTTCACCCAGTCCAGCGCCTTTTCCACGATCACACTTTTGGAAGGACGACGATAACTTTGAAGATTGGGTAGCGCCAGCGCTAATTGATGGAATTTGCTATTCAAAGTTTCTCGTCGAGCTCTTTCGATAGCATTATGCTCCGCCCGTCGTTCGGCCTTGCTTAAAACTCTGCACGATGATAACAAAAAAGAAAATAAATCGAGTTAGCACACATGTTTTTTCTTATCAGTCAATAAATATAAAAGAAAAGGGCAAAGGAAATGAAACGAAAGTCATACTTTTTAGCCGGTAAACTACTGAAATCTTGATTATTATTGATGAGTTCTTGATCGAAAAGATCTTCCGTTGGGTATTTTCTCATCATGGTATTGGACGATAGAGCTTGTTTATCGGTCAAGTCGGCTTGTGTAAAAGGGAACCGTCCAAATGTCATGCCCATTGGATGATAACCTTTCTTTGCATAGAAATCAGATAACGTAAAGGATCTTCCATGCAATCCACAACGTTGAGACATCACGTAAAAAAACAAGTAGGTAAAATAAATATCGGTGATAACAGAAAGAAGAAAAAATCAAGAAAATGGAATGATAATGATAATAAAATGATATATGGGCAATAGTTTACAAATGTGAAAAAAAGAAGAAAATAGCAAGCAAAGAAAGAGTGATGGAATGCCAAGGAAAAAAATCATCCGCCTTTTTATACTGAATGTCAGCCAATCTTATTACTTTTATAGGTAAAAAGAAAAATAATCAGAGAGCGGCATTAAAAGATCGCTTAGCCGCTTGAATGTCAGCCACACAGTGAGTGGACGTGACACATCAGTTCTCCATGAGCTTCTGTGCTAGGTTGTTACGGTACCCGTGACCCTAACGATGGTGCTACAAAAGCGCTTTTTGCTCGATGACTATGTCTTATTGATAAGAAAAAACTGTCCAATCTGTCATTTAACTTTCATTCCACCCCACCACAATCGAGCTAGCACAGAGGACGGGTAAATGTAAAACGATCGCATTGTTGATCATTTGCCTTTTTTAGTCTTTTTTTCTTCACTGAAAGGCCGACTGTTGTCATGAAACGGTTTGCAGAATGAGTACAAAGTACCAGGGCCATGATGTGACAGCATCTGTCATATCAACGCCAAAGATCTGGGCGCTTTTTCCACGTGAAAACGGCTCAACTCGACAGAATAATCGTCATTGCAAAAATGTTGCTTCGGCAGAATCAATCCATTGGATTTGCATGAATCAATTAGACTACGAGTTCAATTGACAAAATGCATTAAACAATCAGTTGGAAGATGTTTCAGCTAGAACCCATCCATGGAACATTAGAGATGGTTTCTCTACACACGATGAATTCATCATCGCCCTGCATATGTGATGAAAAATAACAACTGCACGAAAACAGAAGCGTCTCCAGCTTGTCATTTGCCTTTTTTGAATTATCGTAAAAAATCTACGGTTCCTCTAGATTCAAAAAAACCCGACGGACTTTCTACAAAAGCTCAAAAGAAACGTGGATAGGCACAAAATTATCTATAGCAGGCAAAAGATACGATCGGTGACCTCCAGTTTCGGGGACACTGAAACTGACAAAAGGCATCTGGTATTTTCCGTTGGTGTGCCAACCATCGATCGATCGTTTTGAAAGCCAAACGGTGAGATTTTCCGATCACGGACCTTGGTCGACTCCATTTTTTTACAGAAACCATGAACTTTTTTTTTGTCAGCGATCGTGAAGTCTGTTTTCTCGTCTTTTGTAAGACGTCTGTGTGCCTTTAATTGAGTCGGTACCTGTGCTATTCTTAGGCGAATATATCACCATGCGCATTTTTGGGACACATAGAATTCTTGGTCCCAGAATTTTGGATACGTTGCTGAGATGTCCAAAAACTTGGGGTTTTGGGACCCAAGAGATCGGTAAATTCATCTGCGCCAATGGGACCTGAAAAAAAACCCCCCCGTTTTCTTTATCAATTGCTGCAAAAGAAATCTTTTCTCAAAACCACAATGCACAAAGTAACGCGCAAATAAAAAAGAATAGCTAGTTTGGCAGTATTATTCAAAAGAGGGCAATTGTTGTCAGTGGTGAAAAATTAACTTGCAGTATTGAAATTTCGCAAAGGTGGGAAAATAGGCAAAAGGCACTAAAACCACGCATTTTGTGCGTGGATTTCAGTATTGATTCCCCGCCAGGAGTCAAAAAAATCTAGGAGTCTCGCCATTGTTGTCCTGATGGATGTAGTACATTACGTAAGTTTGACAACATGAGCAACCTGATATTTACATTTTGAGTAAACATTAACACAGTGTGCCCATACCGACTTGGATTTTCCAGTCGAGCAAGTAAAAAAAATGCACATAACAAATAACCTTTTTTGGTCACCTCTTCATTTCAATCCCAGTCAAGCAACCTAACCTTATTTTCGTGTCCCGAGGTTACGCAATCCCAAAACTGGGAAGTCAGGTCATTTCAAAGAAAACCAAGTCAAACCGGCTTTCGTGTATTTGCAGTCGCTCCAAACACCCATGTCTCTTGATCCAGAAAATAAAGTCGGCGCGTCATTTAAAAAGATGGGATTTTTATACTTTATTTTATTAGAGCCGGTAAATTGTCAAAAGACAAGTCATCGTCACATGATGAAAAAGCGCGGTTGCAATGCAAAAAGTTATAGCTTGCCGTTAAAACTGCCTAAGTTGAACGTCAATACTTCAAGAAACCTTTTTACCGTTGTCGCTGGTTGAGAAAGTAACTTGTTCAGTATGATACCAGGTTATATTGCATCAGCGTTTTATTCTCTTATAAATTATCATTTTTCAATTTTCAAAAACTCAAATATGGCAGCACCATCATGATACATCCTCCATGAAGAGCGATTAAAGAAAAATAATGAGATGTGGTATATTCTATTGTAAGATTGCCCTTTAGACAAGTAGACAAGAAATTCTAGGCATCCGCTTCGGTATCTTTGCTCAAGGCAAGGTCAGACGAATGAGCGGTGTGATCTTCGTGGGCACTGTTGGAGTGGAAACTGGTATTGCTGGAAATGGATGTGGAGCGTTGGTGATGTGGTTGGTTGTTTGGATTTTGAAAAGGCAAGACAAAACCTCCTGGATCGGCCCGGTTTGCAGAATCCATGCTGTTGCTGTGAGCGTGATGGCGATAGGCTGGTGTAAAGACAGCATGAGGACTCAGCAATTGGGCCATCTCCTCATACGGCTTGGGCGGGGTATAGTTTTGGTAAAATTGGTAAAGCTTTTGATGTTCTGGGAGCCCAAGGTAAATAGGCGAGAAGCCGCCGACATTGGGACTATGAGGCGAGAGTAAGGGCGATCGTGGCATTCCGTGGGATTCTTCGGATACGGGGCCCTGCGGCAATGGTGAAGAAGGTTCACCAGTTTCGTGCTCGCGGACGTCATCGGGCTTGTAAAAAGAAGTTTCGCTTGTTACAGGGGAAGGAGCGACTCCAGAAATGTCCTCCTCGGCGGTGGTAGATGGATCGTCGACGGTATCTGACGCGTCAACACCATCAATATCTTCATCTTCTGCCACAGTCTCCTCTTCCGCTGTTTCATCAGCAGTTGTAGTCTCATTTGCCGTCAACTGTTCTGAATCACTGACGGACTGTTCGTGCTCGGCGGCCGTTTCTGACGATGGCAAAGGTGTTGGCGGCAGGTCTTTCTCGGTGCCATTTTCCCGTTTCTTGCGACGCGTTAGCAAAGGATTGCTTCCGTGATGAGATGTCAAGGTGCGGCGAACTTTGGCACTGTCGGGTTTCCAGTCTTGTATCGCTTGACAGGCATCCTCAACGACACGGTTTGTTTGTTCCGTGCCTGTGTTACACATACTATTTAGAATTTTTCTTTTTGCGCTTCCAAAGAGAACCGATGGAAAGAAAAATGATCAGTTACCTTGATAGGGCCGTCGTTCGTTGTTCGATTTTACAGGAGTCACATCCAACTCGTCGACAATGTATTTACCAAAGGAGGCAACGATATCCGTTTTACTAGCCATTTCATGCATGCCATTGAGCAGTAAATAGAATGCTTCACGAGCGGCTATACGTTTAAAATTGGCCATTTCCACTTCATCCGGTTCGGTAAACTGTTCCAATTCGGCAAGTTGCGACTTTAGATCCATGAGCTTGTCTACCGCGCCGGGATGGTTTTCCTCCAATTTCTCAATGCTTTCCTGTAAGCGGCGTTTCTTCTCTCGACTCGGATACAATGCGCTTTCGCGTTCGGCAATCGTTTTCATGGTAGCCTGATACTGTTTGTAGCTGTCTGTAAGCAAGTTGGAATATGAGATTGGGGTGGCATATCCCTGAACGAATGTTTCCGCCCACAAACCTGAGAAATCGATCATGATATTGGACCATTGGATCAACAGGTTGCCTAGCTTTGTTGTGACGTCCTGAGAATAACACATGAACCATTAGTATGTATAGACATAACTCGAGTCATAGCAAACGATGATTTACTGTCAGATCGTCGCCTAATGGGCGTCCGTAGGTCATGAGCTGATTAGCAGACACACGACGACTGTGTGCCAACTGCAGCCACTGGGAAGCGACTTTGGACTCGGACTCCAACAAGTTGGTAAGGTTCTTGTCTTCTTGTGTTTTGGCAGGACTTGCAAAATGGGTAAACGGATTGAAAGAGAACATGATGCAATAAAGTGAAAAAAAAGGTGAGGAAACACACAAGAAGCATCCAGGTACGACTTTCTTTTTATTGACTATGCTCTTTTCGGAAATCACTTGCCAGCTCGGACCTGCAACCATTTTTGGCCGCACCTGTCATGTCTGGAAACTTGGCACTATACTTGTATATCATCATCTTTCTTTCTATTTATAAATCAAACATTCTAGATATTTCTTCCATCTTTAACCAGGAATTAATAATAACGAGATCACATCTCTGATATCTAGGAAGCAACCCATTTTGAAATGTGCCGTCCCGCAACAACACCAAGTATGCTAACTCTCGCAGCAATGATCATTCCGGAACAGCGCCAGCACGAACATATTTCAGCACGCTCAAGGCGATGTTCCTTGAATCAAGACAAATTCTGCCTGATGGGCCATTTTAGGTGAACATGACAGTTGAAGTAGTTCTTTAATGTCAGCTCTTTGGGCTGAGCGCCGCCCACAAGGCAATAAATTTTTTTTCTCCCTCACTGTGAGTTCCCGGCAACGCCCGCCATGTCAAGATTACCATCCAGTAATAAGTGGATCCAGTACTGAAGCTCATTCTGCTCAGGTTTAAACAAAATGAATCGAAAGGATAATGTCATCTCACCTTCCCGTTCCAGAGGAAAGCCAGCTTCTTATACTGAAACTATACACTTCAAATTCGCGTCGTCTTGAGGAGTGACATTGAGACGCAAGAATTCGGTTGCCCTGTCGACAAAGAAAAAGTTGGTAGGCAATGGCAAAGCCTCAGGCGGGGCAGTGGGCTACTGTTGTGATTGGGATGGAGTCGTACGTAAGTAAAAAGATCAATACGAAATTCACTGCATAAACTGTCGGCAATGATCCTCAAAGATTCATAATAAACGCTTTCTGAACTGTAATACAATATAAAATTATGCTCCGCCCTCTATTGTGTTGTATCGCAAAGCGTCCTGGCCAGACAGATAGAGATCCCGATTTCAGTTCTGTAGGCTTTTCATACAACTGTACGGATAAAACGCCTAAAAAGGGGAATTTAGCTCTGATTGGTTGAACCCGTAGAAAAGAGGCTGCTCCCGGGGAGGGGGGAATGGGGCATTACTTTTTTTTTCTGGTCATGCAGCGGCCTCCTTCCTCGTTTGTTCTTTGTTATTGTTCTTCATGGCGGTTTCGTTGCTCACTTACGTGATCACTTTCTTCGTCTTTATCTGCAATTATGCACTCACGATCACTTCACTAGCACTTCCAAAATGGTAATTCCACATTATCAACCCACACCATGACAACTTCCCCGTTTTCCCCCTCTAATCACCTTTCCTACACTAACAAACAGGCTTACATTTGTTACTCCTGTGCCATTTTACATGGAAACCAACTATGGACTCTTTCGTCTCTGCCGAAGGTAAAGAAACCAACCAAGTCCCGTCCATTCCTTCAAACACTAAAAAGGGATCACTAGTTTCACTCGTGAGTGCCGTGTGTTTCCGTCCAACGACTACGGAGACTGCAGTGAAGGTAAGCATCGGTGACGTCTCTTATTAATGTCTCAATATTGACCGCATCGGATCTACTTTGTCACAGACGGATTTTGCGAGTTATGGTACGTAGTGGGGTTTGTTCTTTTCGATGCATAATTTGTAATGCATCGTTCGTTCTTTGTAGGCGTGCGGCGTCAGCAGGCATGTTGGTTTCGGCTATTCTGGGGGCTCTTGCGATTGTGGCTTTGATTGGCACCATGTGCAGTAGCCGTCGAAAGCGAGCAAAGGCGTGGGTCACCGTCGCAGGGTAAGTTGCCTGGTTTATTTTTGCACCTGAATCGTTTATTAATGCAATATCAATGTTTAGACTTTTTGCTTTACATGGTATGGTTGCATTCAAGCATAGGAAGAGAGTCGTACTCACGGGAAATCATTGCTTATTCACCTTTCTTTGCTTCCTTTTTGTAGCTATTCCACAAGCATTTTCGATGGGTGTTATGGCCTACCTGTTCAATCACAGTGCCACGTTCTATATGGGTACCCGCTATGACGTTTCTTTCATCCTTTGCACCATCAGCTGGTGTCTCAGTATTTTCCTTGCCGTGTTATTGTCGTTGATAGCCGTATTAAGCCCACCCGAATACTCGTATCAACCGCTTAACTAAAGTATATTCTTTGGATATCAAATAAATATATCTACCGACGTCTTTGTCTCGTATTCGACATAAACCACTATTACTTTGACGTGGGAACTCAGTGTCCAATTTGTTGGCGACATACCATGCCCACCTTCAAGTGATGCAAAGCCTACATAGGCGACAAGGTAATCAGGCTGTTACGAAGTCTTTGTTATTCAATGCGCAATAGACGTTCGTCATGTTGCTGATAATGAGAGCGCTCGGGCGTGCAGGCATATGATGACTTGTTTCAAGTTGAGCGGCCGCAAGAACCTTTGATTTCATGCAATAAATTATACTTTTTGAGTTGGAATTTTTTGTTTTTGAATAGGCGACCTGACATGCAAAACCGTGTTCAAAAAAAAAAGTTCCCATTATGCAGCCACCTTCGCCCCTTGAAAGCAAAAGGCACCGGAAATCAGAATCGGTATTTTTTGTATTTTCATTCAATGGTCGCACTTTGTTGCAATGGAGAATCCATTGGTTGATATGACGTTGGATAAATTCATTCAACTGACCACGCTGGCTTGTTCATCATCAGGTTAATACATTTCCAAAGACAAAAAGTTCAAAGCACATTGTAACTGACACATGTTTAGACGCAGTTCATAATGCGAAGAAAAATGTATGTACAATATAAGAAAACCTTAAAATCTAAATGCACCCTCATGAGGTCCAAAAAAAAGAAGAAAAAACTGCAACTAATAAGAATGGAAATCGGAGTTTTATTCCGTTTGCTTGTTGGAGTCCGTGGAAGCTCGCTCGCCAGAAGCATCTGGAGAAGAACCCGGTGTGCCATACACTGAATTGGAGCTTCCATTATCTGCACGATCATTCACAAAACCTGCCTCTTGATCGAATGAAAACGAATTATTAGCCGAACCATCCGTGTCATGAGATGCTTCGCGGGTGTGAGGATGGCTTGGAGGAGGAGTGCTTTGAGTGCCATCGGCCTTGACGACAGGTGCTGGCGATGATTGTGATTGTGGTTGTTGTTGCTGTGGTAATGTCTGCGACTGTTGCGACTGAGATGTTTGAGTTTGTTGCGCCAGCGGCTGTTGTTGTGGAAGGGATACTTGTGGTTGCTGTTGTTGTTGTGTGGCTGCTTGATTTCCTTGACCCGACTGATTATTGTCGTTACGGTTCAATACATCACTGCACAACTGCGAAAGGATATTCAATTTGGAACCTTCATCGTCTGAATCGGTGGTTTTAGGATTTTCGGTAGGCGTGGCACTACCGGTGGGTGTAGCTTCAGCGGAACGATGTTGCTGCTGCTGTTGCTGCTGTTGCTGTTGTTGCTGTGGATGAGGAAGATTGGGAGCTTGAGGCTGCCCTTGTTGAGGATTCATCATGTTCATGGCCGCTTGATAAGACAAGACCGGGTTGTTGGACGGATACATCTGCTGAATGGCGGCCGGCACCATGTAGGCTTGAGGAAGAATTTGGCCGTTCTGATAATTGACGTGGAATGGATCATACCGTTCGCCCGCATAGGTAGGATAGGGGTAATTCATTGGTCTAGGCGGCATATTACGACCATAACCTTCGGGCCATTGAACCATACCAGGAGCAGCGGGAGCACCGGTAGTCACAGCAGCAGTTGCCACACCACCATTTTCATTAGCGCCTAAACAAAGAAGATCAGTCATTTTTGAACTACTCCCATGTGCATCGATAGACTAGGACAAAAAAATAACATCGGTCCATGGTCATGAACAATCAGTTTTTTACCTTGCTTTCTCTTTTTATAGGGACCTCGTTTAATACCCTTCTTTCTTGGAGTACGCACCGAGCTTACGCAAGTATCGGCAAGACCATGCTTGACACAGCGAGCACAAGGTCTACCGTCGTCACATTTTTTGCAAGCCTTTTGACAGTTGGCTAATTCCGAGGAGTGAGTCTTTTTTTTTTTCGCTCCTGCGCAAATCGTATAGACAGAAAAATTAAAGAGAGAAACACTTACTGCAGGCATTTTTGACCTGTTGTCTCTTGGGACGTGCTGATGCTGAGTTGGCCATGTCCGGAGCCGGCATGGGTTGGCCTGGATGGGCCTGCATGGTGGCAGCTGTACCGGACTGCTGTGCTGATGGGTTCACGACGTAACCGGGGAAATAAGGGGGAACAAACTGCATAGTCTATTAATTTTATGATGAGCACTTGGTTCCCGCCACACAATCCCAGTTTAGGCTCAGCTTTAATATGATCAAACCCACTTACCTCGAAGAAACACGTAGGACAACAATAACCAAAAGTGCTGAAGTTCGGTGTACTAAAAACTGATTACAAGGAACAAGGCACGACAATCTTCACAATTCAAAAGCGCAATGAAACTAGACAAGAAAAACAAAGTTGAGAAAAAAACAAAAAGAAAAAACAAACGAATGAAGAGAAAAGCAAGTTGGAGATGATCGTACAGTGAAAAACAACTGAGGAGTGGTAACGAACCGTAGAATAAAAATAAAGTGGAACGCCTTTTACACAGACTTGGTTTCGAGAACAGAAGCTCTTGATAGGGCAAAAACCGTAATGTGGTGAAGAAAACTATCGGAGCACCAAAGGAGTTAAAGGGAAAAGGGAAAATTTTTTCTGGCCACGATTTTAAGGCCCAACATAAACAGTCCTATCCGACAGTCATCTCAGCACAAAGCCACGTGATTCGTTGAATGGGGGACCCTCGCTTCGGAGTTATATTTTGCCATGTCCTCTCACCACACAATAACAACAGTCAAAAGCTCAGAGTTTCTACAAATTTCTACGTGCTCCTTCTATCAGACCAAGTACGTTTCTCGCTTTTTTTTTTTTATCGTGTTAAACTCGTCAACAATGCAAACCCTCGATTTTGGATCTGCGCAAAGGTCCGAAGTAGAATACAGTGTCCGTGCGGGGAATTTTTTGATCTTCGACCCTTAATTATATTTTGAAACATGGCCAAAACCATGGGGACTTTGGAATAGTTTCGACATAACATATCATCCAAGCAAGTTTCTTATGATGTAGAGGAAGCGTGGCTACTCGAGGCATACTGTAGTACAATAACCAGTGCTAAAATATTCTAAAATATCAAATGAAAGGTAACCATCGAAAATGTTTTGAAATCCGGAAAAGTGTCTATGATTGTCGTCATGTTTTTTCGTACCATAGAACTCTACCGAAAAACGTTCCTGGTACGATATTTTCACTCGTAACATCATTGATGCCTGCACTAGAGAAAATATCCACAAATGATGAAAAAAAAGTTTTTACCATCAAACAAATGGAATCTTTTAGGATGAGCATTCTATTCTCATGGTACACGATAGAACGTATTACAGTACTCATACAAAAAATAAATGTGGAGAATGATGTACAAGGAACTTGTCATATTCCCTTTAAAGAGTTTATTGAGATGGCACGAGAAGAACTAAATCGCGGTACTTTTTACGTATAGCGAATTTCATCGATTCCCAAACTTCGGCGGACCTGCATAATAGCCACGAGTTCTTTGATACATTCTTCGAGGATGACCACGTTGTTGAGCAACATGGACAAGGTAATCTCGGTGCTCTTATCCATTCGTCGTGCTTGAGAAGGATTGGCAGCTTTCGGTGCAAAGGTATCTTCGTCTTCCGCATCCAAATCCAGAATCGGTTCTTCAGGATCAGTGACAAAACTCGAAGGGAATAATGGCTGGATACGGATGTCCTGCGTTCGGCGTGCATGCACGGCAAAGGGAGAGAGAGGATTATTCACAATATGATTGGTATTCGGTAACGGTGTCGTTGCTGGAGTCATCACCGATCCGGCAGCAGCCATGGCGGCAGCCGTCGTGGTCGATGACAAGGATTTGGACGGGTTCGGTGGTAATCCGTTCGGTTTGGGTACGGTCGGATACGGAGGAACTGAGGGAGAAGAAGACGGTCGAAGGATAGACGGTCGCCGGCTTTGTCCACCACCAAATAGACTCATACTCGATGATTGCACGGCTGCATTCATGACGGGGTCATTTTTCACCGGATGAAGTGATCCTCGTCGTGTGGATGTCGAAAGAGAAGGGGTGGTCAAAGAAGAGGGAGGTGTTTCAAGTTCACCAAAGATCAAGCCTTGCCATCGTTCTTCCAATAACGCATCAAACCCTTCGACTTCGGAACGATAATAATCGATTTGCTGCGTTAATGTGCGAAACAGTGTAAAGAAAGGGGGAAACGATTTGAACTGGGTGGGCACCGTCATATGGGCCGAGTTCCTTTCCACGCCATAGTCAATGGACCGGTCGTCGTCGTCGTCGTCTTCATCTACTTGGCTGGTATCAAAATGGGCATAAATATCCTGGCTGCGGATCTCGTTTTCGCGACCAATCTGTAATTGTTGTATTGGATTACCCGACTCGCTGTCCAGAACCAGTATATCGTCGGGATTCGTTCGATCGCTTTCGCGAAACGTGATCCAGCCTTCCAAGCTGCGATAAGGGCACAGCGCCAGCGAAGAGATCACCGACGTCAAAGCAAGGTTGAGCTCGGATGATTGCGCGAAGAAATGGCTCAATAGACCGAGCAAGATCTGAAGTAGAGGATCGGTCGGTTTGATATAGTGTTTATACGTTTGCTCCGTGCGCGGTTTGCTCTGTATGTGCGAAGGGATCCTGCCCTTGTGTTCATCCAATCGTCGACCGTACTTGAAGCTTCGGCGTCGTTCGCTTTTCGGCGCATGCTGTCGTCGGGTCCCTGAACGCAATCCTTCGGTGTGAAGGGTCGGTGGATAACCCCACTCGCTGTCAATCAAGGCTTCCATATCCCGTAGGTACGCTTCATAGCCCGTGGCTAGGATGTCATCCGCATGCACCTGGTCGATGGCCGATATTAGAGAAAAGTAGAGCTCGATTTCGCGAATATGGTGGGAAATAATCGTGCCTGACTTCTTGACCAAGGGAACCAATGGTTCTTCCTGGAACTCGACCGAAAGCAACTTTAACGAGTACCGATAGTGTTTGCTAATCAATGTTTTTAAAAGTTTGAGGGTGGCAATGACGGTGGGCTGAGAGCTGGATTTCAGCCGGCTAAAAATCAAGTCGCGCAGTGTAAATCGTTCGGCGGCGGTAAAATAAGGTGAGCTTTTGAATCGATCTAATTCCACGCCGGCAAATATATTCGCTTCCATTGTCGCGTCTTCGGGAGCTGTCGATGCACTAGCAGCAGGACTATCTTCATCCATTAAAAAGCCCACCACGACGTCCGACAATTCATCCTGCTGCAAAGTTTGTAAAATGAGATCAATGTAACTAATGACCGCGACAGACGATCCGTCAATATCCGAGCATTCGAGAATGGAAGGGTACAAAATATTGGAAAGGAAAATCGTGCGAATGTTCTGCAGCAACGCCACCGAAATATTCACATTTGGACACCGAATGAGGACATCCTGGCAAAACTCCAACAGTTTTAGAAATGAATCGAGTTGATATCGAAATTCCGGCGAACTGGATACTTCGACGCCCATCCCTGATGGCATGGTGCGCTGATCTAGATCTTGGCCCAACAAATAGGCGGCCGAACTTGCACTGAGTTCGCCTTCGTCTTTGATCACTAATTTTCGAGGCAGCTGCGAGTACAAGGCGCCGAGGCCGGCGGCCATGATGGTGGCAAAATCGGATTCCAAGATGAAATCGCCCAGTTGATTGGTGGCCATCTCCATCAAAAATAGCAATCCGGTTCTTGCAAAGTCGCCCGAACGTCCCTCACGATGCACAAATCGTAAAAGGTAAGTGAAGAGCAAAAACTCGTATTCAGGCTTTTTTCGTTCATTCGTGGTTTCCGATTCGAGTACCGAGGTTTCTGTAGAGGGTGGTTGCTGTGTTTGGGGCGGTGGTGGCTGCTGTTGTTGTGGATGTAATTGGGATATACGATGCGGTTTTTGAGGCGTGGTCAACCACTGTTTATCGTGAAAAAAGACATTGAGCAAGGCGGGGAATCCGTGAATCTTTGAGCAAATGATATACATGAGATCGACGAGATCCTCATGGTACAGTTCGCTCTGTCGTTCGTCCAGGACACAAAATCGCAATAATTTCACGGTCGGTTTGTGAACCGCATTATGCACGAGAAATCGATCATCCAATAAATCCACCATACTGGCAATGGTTCGAATGGACTCGCCTCGAATGCCGACGGGATAGTCGGCTTTTTCAGACACATTGACAAGATACTGCAACACGCCATTTTTCAAAAAGTATTCCATACACACACCCGTGGTGTTATCCTCTTGCCGAGCTTCCTCATCCACCAGCATATCCACCATCTGTCGAAGTTTGTCAGGAATCTCGGTTTGTTCCACGTGCATATTCGTCTTGCGATCATCGCCCACAAATATATTCTAAGTTCAAACAACATACGCCATTACTTCCAAGTTCATCAAAAAAATGGTCATTCATAAGCACAGCATCTGGGCCGCCTTTTTTTTTTGCCCCCGAATCGGGTCTTCAGGCACCACTCAACACCCGCTGAGACCAACGGCTTACATGAACATAATCCCAGCACTTATGGAACTTGGCGAGCTGCATGGCACTCGTCGGTTGAACCTTGGGAGGAACAATACGTTTCTTAAACTTGGAAAAGTAGTCCATGGCCGATATTCATAAACATCCAGAAAAAGAAAAGAGATGGCGGAAAGAAAAGAAAAAAAAGTTAGGGAGACTCCAAGCACCCACAGCTCGCTTTCAAGACACACTGGATCCCCGCTTCGTTCAAGCTCTAAACCTTACATTCATGATTGGTTGCATCGGCTCACATTTTCAACTCCGCGTAACAAGGGGAAAAAACAAGACGTGGATGATACATGTCAACGTTTTTTGGCCGACGCAACATCCCATCTCGTAGAAACATAAACACACAGTAAAAGAAAAATAGTTGGAACAAAAATGCACGAGTATAATCAAAAATGAAATCGAAAAGATTGATTGAAAATGTTTTTGTCTGTTAATGAATGAGTGTCTAAAGCAAAATGGATGTGTATTTTTATGCAGTTGTAATGCTGTCTACCAAGCCGTCGCCGAGTCGTTCAATTTCGGACAGAATAGCAGCAAAGTTGGGCACGGCCAGTTTGGAGACCTCTGTTGCGCCTTTAGCGGGTTTCTGTCAAAAAGACAAAATCGTTAGCGAAATGTACGCACACACACACACACACATCAACGCATCATAATGCAACACCTATTGGTTGCGAAAATAATGCTTACCAAAACACCGGTTGTACGCATATCGACAGGCACCGTATTGAAATCCGAAATAACTCGCCATGGTCTGGCCAAAGTCGCTGCTGGCTCCCACACAATGGCAATGGTATGACCACCATACTTGTTATAGAAAACCATCATGATATCACCATAGAGCAACTGGTTGAAAAAAGGGAATCAAACAAAAAAAAGGACGAAATAGTGAGACTCGTGATTTTTTTATCATGCCACACGAGGGTGTTTCCCTTTACCTCGAGCTCCTTGACAAACTCCGACACGGGATCGAATTGGGCATACGCTTTGTCTCCCAACTCGGACATTTTAGAACCGGTCGTTGACAGATATTTCGATTGAGGGTGTAAGTTTTGGTAATAACGCGTGCAATGCTCGGGTTTCAGATGAATCACTGCACTGTAGTCCTGCATAGGTGTGACAAAGATACGCTATTCGAAATTTCGAAACAATAAACATCTCAGAGTCACATCTTCACCATCGACAGGATGATCAAATAAACCCATACCTTGAAATCCTTTTCCGCGCCTGATACCACTGCTTCGTTCAAGACACTGCAAGACGCCTTGGCAAGGGCTTGAATACGTGCTGCAATCGGCATGGAAGGTTTGTATTTCGACCACTGTTGACCATCCAAATCCTTGGCAGTGGCAATCACCATGGCACCCATGGTCATTTTCGGGTTCTGGCCACGATGCACGGCAAAGTTCTTCATAATGGTATCACGGTCTTTGGCCGTCATCTCGCCTTCAATATCGACCATCAACGGTGTGGTTTTCCAATCCCATGTGGCCAATAAGTGAAGCACACGGTTAAATCCAGCAAACGCGCTTGCGCAAGACACCCAGGGATGAGACTCCAAGAAGACGTAGGCGCAAATCAGTTCAATGAATTCTTCAGACACGTGCGACGATAACAGATGGGATCCAAACCATCGCTTGGCAAGACGCACCGTGGCTGAAAAGGCCGGATAACGGGCACAGATGGCTTGAATGTAAAACGTGTGCATTTGTCGACGACGGAATTGATATTCATACTTTTCCAACGCATTGGCAGCCAACAGTTTCTTTGTCTCGGTTTCCTTGGTGCTGTTGATCAAATTCTTCAAGATGTCACCTTCTTGTTCCAAGTAAATGTGGCAGCGGAACACGTAGCCGTAATAGTAGACATCCAGATAACCACGGATGGCCAGTTCGTTCTTTTCACGGACATCATCCACCACAACCGATGACACGCCCTGGTTCGCCTTTAATTCGGAAGCTATCTTGAGAAGGAAGGCATGCTTGACCTTTTGCATGGCCACCAGATCATCCGGCCATTTGCTGGATCGTTCCAACTGCACAATCACGTCAATGGCATCAAAGTAACGCATGGTCGTGGGATAAGCTGTGATGTTGGCGGTGTCGACCGGGTGCGGTAAAAGTGCCGACGTGTATCGCAGGCTGGGAGAAGCCGGATAAACGTTGCTGATCAGTAAAGGTAAAGCAGTATCCACGGCGCGCAAATGTTTGGCAAATTGTCCATAGGCATTCATGACGGTCTGGAAACCCGTGATTTTGAGATTCGAGCTGAAAAGGGTGTCAGGCAATAATTTGGAAAAGTTGAGGTAAGAGTAGAATTGACCGGCATAGTAGTGAACGGCTTCATGTATGTCAAAGTGGAACTTTAACAGGTATGTAATAATCTTTTGGACAATGAGCGTTCGATTTTCGTAGCCCTGAGTTTCCCACACCACACTTTCAAGAATGCTGCCATCTTTGAATCGACGCAATTCCGATTTACTGCCCCAGAATTTTCGGAATTTATCGCCAGCCTCTTTATCTTGAGCATCGGGACCTTGATCAACCAATCGAGGAGCGTGATCAGGATTTAATACCAAACCCACAGTCATCTTCTGATCGACGGCATGCATTGGCATCTCATCGCCAAGCGACCAAGCGGGTTGCCCACTGTATTGCACGGCAATCAGATCGACACGGTTCGTCAGACCTTGCTTCAACAAGTTGGCCAATGATCGGGCAAAGAACGCAGTATAATCAGGGCAATCGGCTCGTGCCATGCTGTCGTATTGCTGGATAGGCTTTTCCCCGATTGGAAGACTACCAATTGTTAAATGAGCGTGAGAAAAATGTCCCTCTTGGTTATACAACACCGTTGAGGTAGGTCACTTACGTGAATACATTGTCAAATCTCAAATAGACATCATTGACATTTTTCAAAAAGAGGGCATCGAATCGATCTACCGAGTCATTGAAATAATTCATGGCCAGACGGGCTTCGTGTTGCAATTGAGCCAAGCCAGAGGAGGACATGAGAGCAGCGAGATTGACAGTGCCTGAAGGATCCACAATCACGACATCGTAATGCTTTTTGAACGCTTCTTGGGAAAACTAAAAAGAAAAAAGCCTTTTCTGTCAATAAACTCCCATCCATCCGAAAATGACTAACAAATCAATGATACATCACCTCTTCGTTATCGGAGCGACCAATGAAAACAGGTTCGTTGACGAAATCGTGGAATGCAAGGAAATCCAGAGTTCCTCTCAAGAGTTGATACGAGCTGTGCACGGCCGACAGCTTCTTGCCTTCCGCGCCAATACCACTTTGCAACAAATAGCCCATGACCATAGCAAACAGGAAAAGATTGAAGCCAGAGTGTGTGGACTCGACGGAAGCTAAACCACGTTGATGTAACCAGATTTTGGCCAATACAAGCGCATCTTTGAAAGCTGGACAGGCCTTGCTGTGTTGATAAAGAAATGCCAGGTTGGATGTGTAGGATGTATCAGCAAGGAGAGACGCATTGTACTGAGGCGTGGGTCGCAAAGTTTCCGATTCATCTTTGGCACGAACATTGTTGCGACCCGGTGCAAGACGCTGGACAGGGAAGGGAACCGCCGCCAAGCATGGAATAATACGAATCACACACTTGGTTTTTGAGAAATCAAGCTCGGATTTATCTACGAGACGAAAAAAAAAAAAAAAAATGAATATCGTTGCCATTCAGTTCAATCAAACAATTGTTGGCATTTACCCCCAGAGGCCTTTACAATAAGCACAGGCTTTCGGCTGTCGTCATTGACGGTAGAGAATTCCAACTGGAAGCCCTTTTTTGCATTATGAATAGCGTTGGCAAGTGTTGCAAGATAGCATGCACGCTTGTAAAAGTAACGGTAGTTGATGTGATCTTTTTCTTGGAAAATACTCTGCGGATACAAAAAAGAAATAGAATGAGTGATGCATTCGTTGTCTGCAAAAAAAAAAGAAGGGAACTTACCGCTGGCATCTCCACTGCCAGATCCACCGTAAAAGGTCCCTTTGTCTTCGCCACTGATTTTAAAGCATAGCTTCCTACGACATGAACACCTGCGGGTTTTTCAAATTTGAACTTGTAGTTGGCATCGGTAGGAGGTTGTGGATGCGGGAAAGGCGTGATGATATTGTGCTTCTTTTCCATTTCTGATTTGAAGTTGTGGAGCTATATTATATTCAACATTTCCATGAGATCTTTCTCATCCCACGGAAGAAACACGATTCCAACTGAACAGGCACTTACCAAGGTCTCCTGGCTTGAAGGGATCTTATCAAAAATGGCCTTTAAATGATGGAGGGCCTTTTCCAAAGCCTTGTGTTTATCATATTTCACTGCCACTTCACCAAGCAATTCATCCAACTATAACACAAGGCAGTCAATAAAAAAAATGCGGCTACAGCTACGCGGCCTCGATCCCGATCCGATCTTTACTTACCTCGAGCTTGAAAATATTAGATTTGTATAATTCGGCGGTTTCACGAAGTCCTTCCAATTCACCGGCGGCCACTTCGATCTTCTTCTTCTTTCCACCCGATTTCGATTTGCCAGTGGCATCATTGTTGTCTTGATCGTCGTCCTCGTTGTCTTCATCGTCTTGCGATTCCCATTCCACATCGTCATTCTCGTCAGAATCGTATTTGCCCGTCGCAGCAGCTTCCATCAAATCTTCAGCATCGTCTTCAATTTCAGCTTCCTTTTCCTCGACCACATGTTTCTTGGCCTTTTTCTGTTTGGCCAATTTGGCGATCTATTTCCGGAACAGAAAACAAAAGAGAATCGAGGACTGTCAATATGCACGATTCGTGAGTTTGATGGATATTTAAAAGAACAAAAGGTACCTTGGCGTTATACTCCCGAGACGAAGGCTTAAACTTTCTCTTTATAGCAGGTGACATGAAAAAAGAAGACAAAGCAAAACGTTCAACGCAAGCAGTCCCAAAGCGACTTTGATTAAAAAAAAATTAAAGCACCCAGCCGAACAATAAAAAAAAAATGTAGTCCTGTCGGGATCCGAAATGGCCACCTTCAAGCAAAAAAGCAACTTTTTTTTTTTTTCTTTTTGGGAGCGCGCCCAGGGTGTGACGGTTTTTCGTGCGGTCAAAGTGAAAATGGCTTAGAGAGCAAAGAAAAAAAAACCGTCGTTGGTGTTTTTTTATTTTGTCACCCCGCTTTTGCCTTTATCAACTTGGCTATTTCTTCATCACCATCACCATGCTTGTGCTTTATGAGACCGCGGCGGGTTACGCCCTCTTCAAACTTGTAGGAGATAAGAAGCTCGAGAAACCCGAAAACCTTTGGAAAGACTTTGAATCTCCTGAAGCAGCCAACAAAGCGTAAGTGGTCGATGGATGCACAAAACCCTTTTTGACACCGAAAAACCATCACGGATCAAGACAACTCACATAACTTTTTTTTTTCCGGGGGATCCTTATAGTGTCAAGTTGCAAGCTTTTACCAAGTTTGAAAACACCACCGATGCTCTCTCGGCTGTCACCGGTCTCGTTGAAGGCAAGGTGCCCAAGAATCTCAAAAAGTTCTTGGAAACCGAAATCTCGGAAAAGGACATGAAGAAGGAACAACTCATTGTCTGCGATCCTAAGCTTGGTACTTGTCGTTCTCCTTTTTATCACTTGTTACATGATGATAGGTTCCATAACTAATTATGACTCTCAAATTTTACAGGTAGCGCTGTCAACAAAAAGTTGGGCATCAAGGTGTTGTCCGATTCGACCGTGATGGATTTGTACAGAGGCATTCGTGAACAATTCGAGTCATTGGTTTCTGGTCTTTCTCATTCCGATTTGGCGGCCATGTCTCTTGGTTTGTCTCACTCGTTGTCCCGTTATAAACTCAAGTTCAGCCCTGATAAAGTCGATACCATGATTGTCCAAGCCATCGCTCTTTTGGACGATCTTGACAAAGAACTCAACACTTACGCCATGCGTGTCAAGGAATGGTACGGCTGGCATTTCCCCGAAATGGGAAAGATTCTCGTCGATAACTTGGCTTACGCCAAGGTCGTCAAGGCCATGGGTTTCCGCACCAACGCCCACGCCACCGATCTCTCGGACATCTTGCCCGAGGAATTGGAAGCCGAAGTCAAGGAAGCCGCTGAAATTTCCATGGGTACGGAAATTTCGGACGAAGATATTGAAAACATCCACGCTCTTTGCGACCAAGTGATTTCCATCACCGAATACAGAACCCAGCTTTATGAATACCTCAAGAACCGTATGAACGCCATTGCTCCCAATTTGACCGCCCTCGTTGGCGAGCTTGTCGGTGCCCGTTTGATCGCCCATGCCGGTTCCTTGATCAACTTGTCCAAGCAGCCCGCTTCCACCATCCAGATTCTCGGTGCTGAAAAGGCGCTTTTCCGTGCTCTCAAGACCAAGCACAACACGCCTAAATACGGTTTGATCTACCACGCTTCGTTGGTCGGTCAGGCTAACCCCAAGCACAAGGCCAAGATCGCCCGTATGGTTGCTACCAAGGCCGCCATCTCTCTCAGAGTCGATGCCATGGGTGAAACCGACACGCCTGATCTCGGTATCGATGGTCGCACCAAGATCGAAACCCGTATCAAGATGCTTGAAGGCCGTGTCTCTGCACGTGTCAACAAGGACAAGACTGTTCAGAAGCAGCAAAAGTTCCAGTTCAAGAAGCAGACCCAATACAACGCTCAGAACGATGTGGTCATGACCGAAACCGCTGCTCCTGAACAAAAGGAAGAAGAGGTTTCCAAAAAGCGAAAGGCCGAAGACGCTGTCGAAGCTACCACCGATGGTGCAGAAGCCAAGAAGGCCAAGAAGGAGAAGAAGGAAAAGAAGGATAAAAAGGATAAGAAAGACAAGAAGGATAAGAAGGAGAAAAAGGAAAAGAAGGAAAAGAAGTCAAAGAAAGAAGAAGAACAGTAATTTAGACTGATCCATCTCGCATAGTTATTTTTTCCCTTTCTATTTCTTTTCTTTTTGTTTATCTTCGTTTGCGCTGTTTTTTTTTATTTCTCTGCTCTCTTTTTTTCTATCATTCCTTTTTTTTACTATTTTCTTTTTATTGATTGGCAAGATCATATGATATTTTTTTCAACTGTACCCAATCATCTCTGCATAGAAGCCAATCAATTCTCGAAAACACTTGATTAAATAAACCTGTACAGATTCTTAAATCATGACATTAAAAAAACAATGAATCATACGAGACTCAACTCGTCTCAGGGGCCTTAACCCAACTGAAGTGCCCCAACTTCGGCTCAACTTTCGACAATGATGCATCATACACTCTTGTTCAGTCACCAACAGTTACTGCGGTGAATGCGAAGGTTTCTCCGTCACGTACTTTTCAGGCAGTAAAGATAACCACGACGATCAGGACCATTTGTTTGCATAGCCATTGACACGCATCAACTACTACTACTACAGAAGATCTTGACGAAGCGATCCATATCACGCATGATCGTAGGCAGTGCCGCAAAAACCGCCTCAAGTTACATAGAGCATAGAACACATGAGTTGCACAGCTTGATTTATCTAATTTAAAACGCTGGATAGTTGCATTTAGATAGTATGTATACAAAAATAATAGAAAGAAAGAGAATACTCTTTCAGGGAAGAAGGTACTATGAACGACGACGAAGCGGGTTCATCATGATATCGCTGTCGTTGACAATGGTGGCTTCGGACTCGGGGTTGAGATGATTAGAATTTTCATCGGACGATGGATCGTGAACAATAGCGGCAAACCATGATTGGAAAGACGATAACCTTCGGTCTGAACTTCGTCGTCGCGAAAGCGATGCGGCGGGCGGTAATGAAATGAAAGGGTTCGGATCCGATTTACGTGGTTCTTCTGCATCTTGCACCAAAAACGTATCTAGGGTGCCTATCGTCATTCCGCTTTCACGTCGATCCAGTAGATGCCTTGAAGTGATGCCGCTGTCTGATAGTTTGGCGGCGGCATCCAGTCCGTGATTACCCTTGTCGTGATGGCCAAGCTGCTGAGACCCGGTAGCGCATGTTTGCCCTGAAATATCGTCGCAAGACGATCCACCACCATGAGCATCATTGAACCAGATGTGCCACTGTTCCAAGTCGGAGGCATTGGCCACTTGAATCAGGATATCCGATAATCCAAGACCATGGACTTTGAGAACGTACGCTTCCGGAACACATGATGCGATCGACGCCCGAGAGTAACCAAATACACTGCCTTTGTGCGTTCGTTCCTACCGATGAATTAAATAAGCTGATGCTCGGTATTGGTTGGACATTGCAGCAAGCGCCACTTACGGAAAAGTAACTGAAATATTTGATCCCAGGCATGAGCACAATCTGCTTCATGTCCCATGCTGCCATGTAAGGGAAATATTTAAAAACGAGCTGGACTGGCATCTGCGCTTCATGCGCTTCCAACATCACCCCCTGGGCTTCGGCTTGATGTGGATGAACGTTATTGCCCAGAGGATTAGGCGAAGACAGCATCCGGTTCAGGCTAATGAGCTCGCCATAGGTTTCTTTTTGTGCTTGAGAATCCATTTTGTTGATGTGATCTGAACGTCGACGGCCTGAAAGATCGGATGCTTTGCCTGACGCCTTGTTGGAATCGGAAGGAAAGAAGAATTGATGTAATTTGGGAACAAATAACGCCAACAGTGAAAATGTGGTGGCCCACACAATCATCATCGCCGTCAAGTAATGGCGTGTATAGTAATCGCTGGTAGGCATGAAAAAAATGATGAATCCAATCAAGGCTGAAAAGAAGATATTACTATACACAGAGATCAGTACAACCGTGACGGAGGACGCCATGGAAGCTTCTTGAACCACTTACTATACAGACAACCCAATCTGTTTATACTCGCTGTACTTTGAGTAATTTTTCCCAACTGAGCGTGTTTTGAAGGCGAGAAAGGTAGCAAAAGCGAGCTGGGCCGCAGCAAAAACGGTCAGCAGCGAAACAAACACAGTATGCGAGGAGCCGGTGTAAGAGCATCCCACGTAATACGCTGTACGTGATACCGGTACATTGACGGTCTGCACCTTACTGAGGCTGAGCCAAACAATAAGTATGATCTAAAGAATCAAAGGTATAACAGTCAATGACTGATCCTCATATGATCCGACTAATCATTGACAGATAGAGAGAGACATACCACATCAACGAGCAGAATGCCTCCGGAAACTTTCAATAATTGGAAATCGGTCACCACCGTTCGCGTGATAAAGATATTATTAAAGATACGATAAATCCGGTAATTTTTCGCGATCAAATTGCTTCAAGTTTCAAAGCTTGATTAGTATCTGCGGTGTGAGTGAAAAAACGCTGCGCATCGATCATGCACTTACCCTAAAATAAGTGAATAGCCTAAATGAAAAGTCAATGGCACCATAATACAGTTGAGCTGATTTCGCAAGGCCGTAAAGAAGAACACTGAAGCATAAGCTAGCAAGAACCCCAGCAGTTCAAGGACACAAAACAAGGGACTAACAATATGAAAAAAAAAATCAGCCAACCGTTTGACCCTGCACCGGGGAACAGGCATCCCAAATTACCTCGATGCTTTAAACACGTCGTGTTTTCTGTAAAACAAGACAAGTAGCATGGTCATTAGAGCAACCAAAGTCCCGAAAGAGGCAATGCAAAGAATGACAATCGACATGGGAGAACTGTAGCCTGGATTAAGTGAAGTAAGTGCTGGAATGCCGGTGGGTGCCTACTGCTTTGACATGAACACGCTTTCTTTCTCTTTTTCTGTATTGCAAAAAAAAAAAAAAAAAAAAAAAAAAAAAGTAACGAGAAGCAAAAGAATATGAGATATAGTCACCTTGGTTGTTCCATCGTGGAACATTGGTAATGCCGTCAGATTGAGGGTGCCGGCAAGAATATTGCCAATCTCGACCTGGAAGCCGTTTTGAAGGTTAAATACTCGAAAATTGCCGTTCATGGTATCTCCGTTTTGATCAAGCACAATAGGCCCGGTGGGCCCTTCAAAGCTGGTATTAAAAGTGGCCGGGGTCATGAATTCTCCCAATTTCCCTGCCGCTAGTTCGTCAAGGGCCCTGTCTGGATGAGAAGCGTTCCGTAACACTTGATTGAAACCTTGAGCCATCACCATCATACAAGAATAGGCTAAACTAGCAGCAGAGTCACAGCATGAATAAAGATCATCGATCTCGAGAAGCCAAAATCTGGGTTCATCTTACCCTTCGTTGCTGCTGATGTTACGCTGACCTCCGTAGGGATATCTGAAAAGAGGTGGAGGCAAAAAAGAAAACGGATCATCAATCAGCAACAACACATCATGGTATGGAATGTACAGCCCCCGGGGAGGGCAATCTTACAAGGAAGGATTGAGTTTGAGCCACTTTTCCAGAAATTGATCATAAGGTGGGTAGCCTGGTAAATTCATTCGTGCTTTGAACATGAATACACCTCCGGCAAAGGTCGAGTTGTAATGAATAGGCGTCAAGTCATTGGTCATCTGAGCCGCGTATTCAATGGGATCGATAGTTTTTTTGTCTTGTGTATCGTTGGTTACTGTAGGCACGATTTTGGCATTATTGTCCAGGCGACGATGTAACACCGCATTAAAGCGTTCGACGGCCGAAACAAGTCGGCTTGTATTTTCGCCTACGGTGATCCAGACCGTATCGTTGGCAATGTAACCGCTGTGAGCCGCCACCGTCAAGGCCGTCATCTGTGCATCTTCCTCGGCCGCCACAAGCACAATTTTGACCCCGGTGCCCATCAGTGTATCGATGGAAGATTTTACATCACTGGTAGGTCCGTCGTCATAAAATGATTGATAGGCTTTGACGATGATACCGTTCATGCGCGCCTTCATAATAGCGTTTTCCGAGACTATCACCCATTTTGCAAAGTCAAAAAAAAAATCTGATCACATCAATGTACTCGGACACGAATCCACTCACGCTGTTGGCCGAAATCGTCGTTGGAATACAATACACCGAGCATGGGCCAGCCTTGGCTTATGATAAATGATAAAGCCGCATCGGCATAAAGTAAATTAGTAGGAATCGTACGAAAGAAGTAGCCGTATTGTGTTTTATCCGATAACGAATCTAATAACGGTACGTGACAAGAGACAACCAATCAGAAAAAAAAAGTATGCTTCATTCATTTCAGAGAAACACTTACTTGCAATGGCGGAAAAGGAGCATTGTGGAATTTGCAGTGTACTTGTCATGAGGGCGGAGAGCGATGTCCATGACGAAGATACATCGCCAATGACGCCAATAACACCATCCTGTATAAGCGAAATGGCGGAAAAGACGGCTTGGGTGATGGCTGCTTGGCCTTCGACGGGTTTGGGGTATGAGTCTTTTTCCACTAGAGTGATATAAGCACCAGGAATCAATCGTTTCGCATTGATTTCAGCGACCGCCATGCGAATGGCGGAAGCACCACTGCAGATCGTTGAAAAAAAAAAATTAAGTGCTCCCTCATTCACTGATGTGAAGTTTTTTCCAACCTCCCAGACAAAAATAAGATAGAGATAAAATATATCTACCTTAATGTGATAATCTTTGTCCAATTGTTATCATGTTGATGGAAAGGAAGGAGCACGCCGACCTTGAGTTCGGTTAAATTGCCCACATTTTGCGGTGAAATGTAAGTGGTGCTATTTTTGTGGTGGATGGAAAATGTGATATTATTCAACGCATCAAAATACTCTGTTAATGGAGCATTACTCTGGATAGACATTTCTTTCTTTTAGTACAAAAAGAGAGAAATATTGACGAATGACTTTTTTTTTCTTTACAAGAATAACGTAAAGATACAACGGAAAAGAGCAGAAAAAAAGGGGAACCTACAGGGATGAAAGGAAAAATAAAAATTCCACTAAAAAAGATAACAGGCCATGATTATAAAAAGGAGCACGAAGGGGCAAAAAAACCGTTCACTCAACATGGATTACAATGAGTGCAGTCTACCCTAAACTTGTACGATTGAGAACACCAAGGGAAAGGGGGAGGGATCTCTCTTCCACCGGCTACGTAACAGCAGCCAATATGGTAAAAAAAAAAATGAACGCTCCTTGTTAAAAACAAAGATGTTGACAAGGGGACAATCTACTTGCTTCTACAATATTATGCCATTGCCCTTGCGTTATACATACTGATATGTAGAGAGAGGCTAGCTGGATGACATTTCCAAGCTGCACCTTTTTGGACAGTATTCCAGTATTTTAGCACAAGAAAAAACTCTGACTTGTATCAATCCCGCTCTCAAAATGATATATCATATGCAAGTCAGCACACGACACGATGCTCTCATATTACACGTTCTATTGTTCCTGGTCATGGTAGCGCTGCAATGTAGTTACTTGTAGGTCTGGCATACCCCACTTTTTTTAGTTCAGGTCAGCACAAGCTTCAAGTAAAAACCATGATACGCAGTGTTGAGGTTTAAAGAAAGTTGAAACATGATTTTTTTTTCAGAATGATACATGAACAATAAAGCATAAAGGTTATGATACAAGTTGGATGGTTACTAAAGGCAAGAAAAAAAAAATCAAACACACAGCGATTGTGAAAAAAAAGAAGGAGACAAGAAGGGGAATCGCAGAGGAGAGGGCGTCGCTAAAATAAAAATAATAATAATAAAAAAAGGTCCAATAAAAATTGCTTAGGGAGCTGAGAGATAGATACAAGAAGAATCAAAAAATGTGGATGCGGAAGCGTGGTGATGAGTTGAAGAATCTTTGGAGGGCGGCTTGGGATGATCGGCCAAGTTCTGCAACCTCGGATGCTTTGATTGGGTGTCACAGTAAAAGCACATATTTTTGCCCAGATCCAGTCCAGGTATTGGTAGAGGCTCTTCCATGTCAGACTCCAGCTGCGGTGTGTGTAATCCCCATGACATTGTAGGGCTGATATCCGTGGTCAATGTTGGTGACAGCACCGGGGTCTTTAACATCTTCTCCATTCTTATATTCGCCAAAGGATATCGCGCAGAGGGACTCTTCAGGAATCCCTGAAATTCAGAAAAATCATACCCTAAAAGTGGATTCTTATTCAGAGCATCCGCTTGAAGACAGGCTTCAGAACAATACAACGATTGCTTTACATACGAAAATACAAATTGTCAGATCTTTGCTTTTGGTTCCTTCCTTTTTCATTTTTGAAGCCAAAATGCAGTGGGTTAACACTTACACAATCCGGTGCGATGGCCGTATCACAGACAGGACACCAATTTAAATCGCACATACTAAAATCAAAGCTGTACCACTCAAGTAGAATGGGAAGAGAAAAGCAAGAACTGTTTTTGCAAAGCCAAAGAAAAAGAAAGAAAATGAGAGAATGCACAAGGTAAAAAATAAAAGAAAGAGTACCTTGCAGGTTATGAGATCTCCGACTCCCTCCCCTTTCCTTCTTTTGGTTGACCCTGTGAAAAATTTCAGTTCCAAAAATTTCCATGACTGCTTGTTGCCTAGATCTAAAAAGTCAGATTATAATGTGATGGCATTAACGAATATGGCTTCTATTTTCACAGAGAATGAAATGAGGACGATACGTGGCCAATTTTAGAAACCCTTTCATTACTTTCAAAGAGTTTAATCTTTTGAATCCAGAATGATCTATTCAATGAAAGCTTGTGCTAGGAAATTTTTCGCATTTGATAAGCTCGGTCCGAAATGGCTGCGGGCAGCAGACATCGGAGAAGATCACTAAATCATGGTCTTGGCACATGGATACACACTTAATGAATTGCATCATTACATCTTTTGACGCAAAATACATTCGGCTTTTTAAAATGTCGAAATCGATGACTGCAAATATTGTGATAGAGGTAAGTCTCCATCAGTAACACGATTATTGTATATGACATTTCCACCTTGTCCTCAAATTAAAAAGATATTCCAATTGGCGCTTGATCGGAAATGCAAATATCAGTTTTGATATAAGAATCCGCCGCGTCTTGCAACAGTACCTCCACTCTGAGATCGACTAGGCTCTCGACCACAGCGCTCGGTGGTGGAAGCCCTCTGGAGTCTCTTTGTTAGGTCCCCGTGAGCAAGTCGAAAACCTTTCTGTGATGATGCTCCATTTTCACTTTGGTTGACGTGCACTTGAAAACCAATGGTACCCTTCTCTTTTCTGTTCTCGCATCACATACAGCAAGAAAAATGAAGGACATAGAAGGGTTTGATCGCAACATCGTTATCATGATTAGAAAATCCAATGTATCAATCATTCTTGGTATTTTTTTATTGTTCGTCCATTTTTTTATCGTCATCCGTAGCGGCGGTCGAGGTCGTGGCCTGGTTGTAGATGTTACTTGCCTATTTCATAATCATCATGTTAGTTCCACCATCGCTTCAAGAGAGCCTGAGACACGTTTTACCATTTGCCAAACTTGCACAATATTGTCTTCAGCCGTGCTGGCAAGAACCCAGGGTTCTGCAGGATTCCAGCCAAAATCAGAAATCTTATTTGTGTGGCCACCGTGCATGAACTTTTGAAACAGGAAATTTTTTAGAAATTTTGTTGCATGAGGTTTTTTTCTTCCCACAGCCGTGGACATTTGTCTTACCAAAAGTTCAGGTGGGCCATCTTCGGCATCATCAGCCGACTGTTCGCTGTCAATCCTTGACAGATCCCATACCAGAATCCTTCGATCGTTGCTTGCCGTGGCCAGAACACCTTCATGATGGGGCGACCATGCCAGTTGAAGAATTTCCGATCGATGTGCTTTCAATGTATGCAGCTTGGTCTTTAAGTTGCGCAGATCCCACAAAGCCGCCGTCTAATCCATGCAGAAACATACTCACGTGTGAATGTGGCGGCCACAGTATCAAACAAAGATCGACCACAGCTTACCTTATCACCTGATCCTGTCGCTAAAATCCATTCGCTTCCAGGGGCAAAGGCAACGCAATTGACTTCAGCCTCGTGAGCCGCGATATCGTGAACGGGCTTATCATTCGAATCATTACGAGAATCCCAACTGGAGCAAAGGAAGCAATTAATTTGGTCATTTCCGGCTGTGATGGCGGTTCCCCGCACCGACAAAACTTACATCATTAATTTTCCATCATCGCCCACCGATGCGAATATAGAGTCGTATTTCGTATGCCATGCCACATCTTCCACCCCAGAGGCATGAGCCGTATAAGTACGCACCGGTTCCAATTCCTTGTTTTCACCGGCTGAACCACCAATATCCCTAAAATAAAAATAACAACCGTGTCAGATCATTTATCCATATACCAATTCTTTTGCTTCTTAGCGTTACCATTGACAGATTTTGGAGTCAAAGCCGGAGCTCAACAAGTGACTGGATTTGGCGGGGGTGGGATTCCATGCAAGGCCGTAACTAGAATTACGATGACTGCGGTAAGTACGTGCTGAATCCACCGCAGAGTTTTGCCAAGAGTAGAATTGGGTTTACCCTTCATTGGTGTGGCCTTTGAGTCGTAATGTGGGGTTGAATTGCTCATTTTCCTGTGGCAAAGCTTGATACGTAGTACGATCAAAAATGTAGACTTCGCCTGTACGCGATTTGGTGGCAATGATGTTAGGGTTTTCGGGTTGGTATCGCGCGCGGTTCACTTCACCGTCATGCAGGATTTTTTGTGTGATGGTAATGTGCGTATTCTCCTTGTTACTGTCTTTGGCTTCGTCTACACACAGTATGTTATTTCATTTCCATTCACCTGTGGACACACTCATCGTTAACAAATTATTACCATTTTCTTCCTTGATATCGCACGGTAACTTTAGGGAAGCGATTTGTAAATAGTTGGGCTCATCGTCGTTGGTGTGCGTGCCCAACAGTAATTGTTGTACGGTGTAATTGTCCACTCTACCAGATTCAAAAAGAGTCAGCCATTATCCTTTCCTTGAACAATGTTATTCAAAATAGTATACGTACTTTTCTCTGGTGGGAAACCATTGACACGTCAAGCTTGGCCATTCCAGCGCGTGCGTGACCACCAAGTCGTAGAGAAAAGGCGAATTCTTTTTCCACATCTTGTATTCCTCATTAACGAGCTTTTCGTTTTCCTCTTCGGATCGGTTGCTGTTTTCCATGTCTATGTAGTTCGTACATCCAATTCAGTAAGCCCATTTATAATGTTTCATTGGTTATTGTTGAACGTTACCTAAATCCATCAAAGAAGTCAAAAGAAAGTCCCAAAGCTGCCAACAGGAATAAAAATTGGCGGGCAGTCGATTTCGCGAATTCCCGAGCCTGCATCGATTTGTGACGTCAGATTTGGGACTTCCACGCCCAGCTCGGTTTGCGCTTCACAATGCATAATAGCCCGTTCCTGCACAATACGAACACAAAAGTCTCTATAGAAAAATACATTTATGGCATGCAGCATTTTTTTTGTCGAAAAGAAAACAGTTACTGTCTGTAACAATATAAAGCAAGCTGGTTAATAGGTATGTCTAGGGTATATGTAGGCCTTTTTCATTTATTTTGCTGCAAATGCATAAATGACCGTTGGTCATCGGACGCCACATTACGTCTTTTTTCACAAGGCACTTGAACAAGTATTTGTGTGCGCGTGTGGGAGGAGACCGTATGCTTGATACATAGTGAGCATCCAATAAATAAAAAGAAAGAAGAAAATACTAAAAAGGGCTATTCAGTCGCATTGATTGACCAAGAAGTAAACCACTGTACAAAAGTTGGTGCCAAACTTGATCTGAATCGCAGTGTGCCTTGCTTGATTTTCCAATCTTTCAACCGTGTCACCACCAAGCGGCACAGTTATCACAACTTTTTTTTTCAATCCCAGCAATGAGCGAGTCCAGTCACATCCATCCCCAAATTGGTTCCAGCAGGAGTCCGCCGAGAAGATCCCATGATCGATCATGGCTCTGAGGAATGCATTACAAGGATGGAGTTCCGTCCCCGGGCATACATTTTTGCAACAAAACATGAACACCGTAACTAGCCTACGGACAGGTGCTATACGCACCATGGCGACTCAATATGGCTCGAAAAAGAACTTGATCGGTTTGTCTCTGCAAGATCTGCAGCAGGAATTAGCCACTGTCAAAAATATCAAAAAGTATACAGCCTTGCAAATATGGCAGCACATGTATCAAAAAGGTACGACACTAAGAGTGAGCCACAAAAGCAAAGAAAGACTGACGTTCCTGGATCCGATAGGTTGTACGTCCTTTGATGAAATGTCGACATTATCCAAGGATCTGCGATCACATCTCAAAGAGTATTACATGATCCATTACGGTGATGTCCAAGTAAGTGGCCATCAGCGTTCTTCTAATACGTTAAATATGCTGATACGCAAGAAAAGCTGGATAGGACGGCCAAGGATACCACACGAAAATTTCTGATTGGTTTCAACACCAGACAGGATCCAGGAGCGATTGTGGAAACTGTCATGATCCCCGAGAGCCGGCGAGTGACACTGTGTGTCTCGTCTCAAATCGGTTGTTCACTGAAATGCAGCTTTTGTCACACCGGGACACAAAAGTTGCTGAGAAACCTGACAGCGGCCGAAGGTAGGATTGTCCTTGCAACCCTCAAGATTTTTGCATAATGCTCACATCCCCTTGTTTTTCTCTTCCTTGACAAGTGGTCGGTCAATTTATGATTGCTGCCAGTCGGGCAGGTGATTTTCCTTTGAGAGACGATAGGAAGCGCATTGTTTCGAATGCCGTGTTTATGGGTCAAGGCGAGCCGGGTTATAACTGGAGGTAAGCCCATCCTAGATGGCGATCGGATCTCTACCCAGCAAGTTATATAACTTTATATCTCACAGAAACGTAAGTAAGGCGATCAAGATTCTCACTGATCCCCAAGGATTGGACTGGTCCAAACACAAAATTACGATTTCCACCTCCGGCGTGGCACCGGTGATTCCGAAAATCGCCTCAGAATTAGGGGTGTCTTTAGCCATCTCGTTGCATGCCACCAATAACCAGTTACGCAACGAATTGGTTCCCCTGAATAAGACGTATCCTCTCGACACCGTCTTGGCAGCGTGTAGAGAATATGCAGCCAACATGGGCAAAAAAGGTCGCCGAATTACGTTTGAGTAAGTTTCTTGTTTTTTGGCATGTCGGCCTAAAACAAAGTGTCATTGATGTCGGGATTTCTTTTAGATATGTGATGCTTCGCGGTGTCAATGACTCGGCGGGCGAGGCACGCGAGTTGGTCCGTCTGTTAAAACAGCTTCCGGCTCATGTCAATTTGATGTAAGCAATTTCTAAATTTAGCTCCACTACATGATTTCTCGTCAAACTCACCAATGTGGACTGCAGACCCTTTAATCCCTGGCCAGGTTCTGGTTATCAGAGTTCGACGGCGGAACAAGTGCAACGATTTGCAAATATTGTTATGGAAGGCGGAATTCATTGTACAGTACGACGGCCGAGAGGTCAAGGTAAGTTGTTTTCCAATCTGTTTTAAATGATCTTGTCAATGATTATTAATAATGTATGCTTTCAGATATCCTAGCAGCATGTGGTCAACTAAAAAGCTCGCTGATCCAATCCAACCGACTTGGATCCAATGCATAAACACTTACTCTTTTTTTTTCCGGACAATATAAATGTCCTCAAGCTTTAGATTCTTTCATTCTGTAGAATTCAGGGCATGAATGATGCGGCAAAATGATTAGCGGAAAGAGTAAAAATAAACTCTTTTGATTTTTACGGTCGCTTGCACAAAATAGAGTAATGTGATACATGCAATCGGATGATAAACATGCAAGGATCGGCCCCGCTTTCATCCTAAACTTCCTATTTTCTACTGAGGACCCACTTGCGTATCTCGTCTCGCAATAACACATCACAGAATCTAATATACCTTGTTCAAGCGGAACCAATATGTTGATATCTAAAGCCGTGTTGGTTCAACTTTTGATGGTCATGGAATGTATCGCTGCTGTAGGTCCACCGATCACTATCGTATTGATTCTACCCACCAAGTGGCGTGAGTGCATAGGGAAAACATGCAACTCTTGTTTTTTGTTTTCTTTTGGCCATGTTAAACTTTATGTAACAAGAAAGTCAAAAATACAGACACACCATATGCAAGTAGGAGAGCACCTGAAGTCTGATCAGGACGGTGACATCACGTTTGTGTTTCATTGATCTTTGCTTTCTTTTTTTTCATTTTACACCTTTTGGGTTTTTTTTTTCACTTTCCTTTTTTCCTTTCATTTTTCATTATCAGACGTTTGTGAATAATATTTTTATAAACACGTAATTTTTTATACTATTTTTTATACTATTCTTATCACCGCTTTTATACATACATACATACATATATACATATATTTCTATTCATAACCTTTTAAATGTCACTGCAAGAAACAAGCCAAAGGCTTGCTTTACTGAGTATCTTGCATTCCTCCCATCCGCTTGCTGGCAGTGACATTCCTCTCCCCGAGCGGACCGTAACCCCGACGCTGGACGAAACAATACATACCGACGAAGGCTACATTGAACAGCGTTTCGAACCACCCAAATTCATGGCGGAATGGTCAGATGAACAAAAAGCAGGTAAGAAAAAAAAACGACCCAATGAGGCAAGCCAAGGAAGAATAAGAAAGGAAATACGGGGAACCCATAGGCCAGTCATACTAGAATAGGGGTGATTTTCCCTGTCTCGGTTCTTAAAACGGCAACCATCCCAATGGGTTCGTCACTTGGATCTCTTAACCATCCCCCCCTTTCCTTGTAGAATTTGCCTATCAACTTTTACTGACGGTATCTACCGAGAACACGCTTCGTGTTGTGGATCGTCTGGCACCATTGTTACACCGCGATCTTTTGAGTGTAAAGCATTTTGAATTTATTTTTTGTTGGTGGTGGGATTCGGTTGGATTAGGATGAGATATCGGCGTTGAAGATGATTCAATGTTACTGACATTGATGCTGTGATGGATGACTACTAGTTGCTCCCGTGTGAGCTGGCCTTGCATATCTTGGGTTTCTTGGATGCCGCTTCGCTGCTTCAGATGACGTGTGTGTCTCGTCACTGGAAGCTGTTGAGCGATGATCAACGATTGTGGCGTCAGCTTTTTCATGCAAATGGATGGAAGTCGAATCAAAAAGCAATGGAAAATTACCTGCGATCATCTTGCCAAATATCGAAACCTTCCCGTAAAGAACTCGACGCCATCCATCGGGGTTTTTCCTCGATTCCTTTAGCACGCACCACCCCTTCAGGGTACGACGTCGCTGCGTTCTCGGCCAGAAACGCGGCTCCTTCTCTGTCCATGTCCGGACGGATACGACCCTATCGTGCTCCGGATGATTTGTTGCTACGTATACGGCAACGACGAGAAAATCATGCCTCCTCTTTATTGCTTCCGCCCCGCGATCCAATGTCCCCTTCCACTTCCTCCTCTTCGGCGGCCGATGTCACCTTTGACCCCGAACACAATGATTTTCATACCGTTTCCCATATACCATCGTCGGAGGCCTACACGCGACTTCTTGCCTGTGTGCCCAAAGGCCCCTCTTCACCCTTACCCTCGGCTTCCTCGTCAGGCACTGCTGTCGCCGCTGCCACGTTATTTGCCTCTTCCGCCGTGAGTCCTTCGTCTCATTCGCGCTCCCAACCTTTATTAACGGGCTCCATTCGCGACACATCGTCATCCAGTTTGTTACTGCGTCGGGATACCTCCATCCGAAATAGTTCGTCCACTCACACACGATCGCACGTTTACGAAGGAACCACCTCGGATTATCGATTCAAAAATTGTCCTCTTCCACGCCGTTTCGAAATTTACGACGAATCGGCTCTGTACCACTACAACGACGTCAAAGACGAACGGTTTATCAATTGGCGACGATTGTACCACAATCGAACGTGCATTGAACGACGATGGCGCGAAGGCAAATGCAAAATGCGCGTGTTCCCGCCCGAGAATCATCGAGGGGATATGCACATGGAAGGGATTTACTGTATTCAGTACGACAATGATAAAATCGTCAGTGGAAGTCGCGATCACACCATCAAAATCTGGGACATGCGTACGGGTGAATGCCGAAAAACGCTGTATGCCCACACACGGAGTGTGCTGTGTCTCCAATACGACGACGAATTTCTGTTCAGCGGCAGCAGCGACACAACGATCATTCAATGGAACATCCGTACAGGCCAAATTGTACGAACCTTGCGAGGGCACAGCGAAAGTGTGCTGAACTTGCGATTTCAAAAAGATCAAATGGTCAGCTGTTCCAAGGATAAAACCGTCCGGATTTGGAACTTGAAAACCGGTACCGTATCGCGAGTGCTGCGCGGACATCGTGCGGCGGTCAATGCGGTGCAGTTCAAAGGTAACCGCGTGGTGTCGGCGTCCGGTGATCGAGCCATCAAACTGTGGGATATGGTATGTGCCCTGGCTCTTTTCTATTTTCTTTTGCTGGAGCCAAGATAAAAATTAACGTGCAAGTGAATCATGGTGATGACAGGAAACGGGCAAATGCTTAAAGACGTTTGATTCTCACACTCGCGGGATTGCGTGTGTGGAATTTAATGGGAATCACATCGTAAGTGGTTCGAGCGATCAAACCATCAAAATATGGAACGCAGCCACGGGCGAGTGCTTGCACACGCTCATTGGGCACATGGCTCTTGTCCGGTCTTTGCAAGTAGATGCCAATACGGATCGCATCGTGAGCGGAAGCTACGACAGCAGTCTCAAAATATGGAGCTTGAAGCAAGGATGTCTGGTTCGCAGTGTGAGCCAAGCCATCGAAGGCCGGTAAGCCCAAAAACTTCGAGAGAAATGACAGGGTGGATTGTAACTGATGAAATCTATGTAGCATTCTGAATGTGCAGTTTGATTTTGCAAGAATTGTCTGTTGTTCCAATCTTGGCAAAATCGTGATTTATGACTTTTCGCATGGTATAGATACCCAATTTCTATTGTAAACAAAAAACCCGACATTTTTATAAAGTATGGTGCACGTAGCCAAGCACAAGGATGAAAGACTTTTTTACAGTAGCATCCATTCAAATAAACATTGTAGATATGCATTTACATCACTTACTACGAGTCGTCACTTCATAACCATGGAACTCTAAAACAGAAACGGCTTCACCGGGGGTCAAACCGCGGTGTATGATCCGACGACGCCCTCGGATGAGACTGCTAGATGGACAAGAATGCGAATTAGGCACGTCGCGGTGAACAAAAGAAATCAATATGTCAGAGATGGAAACCCGCGGAAGCATGGAATAGGTGACAGGAAAAACGATGTTTTTGTTTCATGGGATTTTTCGTTGGTCGGGGAATGGAATATTTTATGGATTGCTAATGAAAAATTGGTCTTGCAAGAGCAGACAGGAAGAATTAGGCCATCAAAAAAGATGAGATGCATGTGCATAGACCGGGTACGGGAGGTGCCAGAATGCTGTATTTGGGAATCTGGGAGAGCACAGAATGACTTGGAAAATGTCATTTAAAATCATTGGTTGCACCGTTCACCGGCCCATTTTCTTCTTCGCATAAGCAACTCAAAATGGACAACCCAACAACAAACCTGCGTCTTCAACCGTAACGCCATCTTGCATGGATATCTTTGTGAACATCCAATTTGCCACTGCCACGGAATGGCCGATTGACCGCGTGCCAACGAATATGCACTTTTTGCGCGGTGCCATCCTTTTGAGGAATAGCGCTTACGGACTCCCCGGAGCGGAGTTTCATCGTTTGAGACAAAACGTTTACCAAGTATTGAAGCCGAGGATGGAAGGGTAGAACGATCAGGGCCAACCCGGCAATGGGTTGAGCAAGTGGATGTAAAGGCGTGTCAAGAGGTGAATTATGGGTGTAGTAATGGGATCAAAGGACCAATATATACAAGAGAAAAAAGATGAACAGACGGAGCAATGACCAATGATGAGCAATGACTCATTTTGGACAAACAAAAAAATTCCTGTTGACTGCTTTTATTTTTAGTTCGAGTCGTTATTAAAACTTTCGATAGACGCTTTTGTTTGTTGACTTTCTTTTTTTTTTTTTCTATTCTTTAAACCAAACCATGGAAGATCTCCGTATTACCGGCTACAACGCGTTGTTGACTCCTGCTTATCTTCAAGAAGAATTCCCGGCTGTGAGTATTTATTTCCCCATTGATCATGCTTGAAGCGTGACAATATAATGCAAGAAGTGACGGGCAGAACAAACAAAAGCTCATGCACTATTTGCACCCTAGTCGAAAAATTCGGAAGAGACGGTGTCCAAAGCTCGTCAGGAAGCCCAAGCCATCTTGAGCGGTAAAGATGATCGTCTTTTGATCATTGTGGGTCCCTGCTCGATCCATGATACCGAAGCTGCCAAGGAATACTGTAAGTTCATCTTCCACTCCATGCACGGCAAACACGTTTCGGATGAATAAATAGAAAAGCTGATCCAAAACGACTTTATTTGATCATCTAGGCCAACGCTTGCTCAAGGTCAAGGAACGTCTTCAGAACGAAGTGTTGATTATCATGCGTTCGTACTTTGAAAAGCCTCGTACGACTGTGGGTTGGAAGGGTCTTATCAACGATCCTGATATCGATAACAGGTAAAAAAAAAAAAAAAAAAAAAAAAAAAAAGTCCCGTTTTCTTTGGTCGAAGAAAATGTATTGCCTTTTTGAATGAAGCTGTTCAATTGACCGTGGATGTTGTAGTTACAATATCAACAAGGGTTTGCGTGTCGGTCGCAAGTTACTGTGTGATTTGACAGATATGGGAATGCCCGTCGCGGTGGAATTGCTCGACACCATCTCTCCTCAATATCTTGCCGACCTCATGTCGTGGGGTGCTATCGGAGCACGAACGACCGAATCGCAACTTCACCGTGAATTGGCTTCCGGCGTCAGTTTCCCCGTGGGTTTCAAGAATGGTACCGACGGCAACGTGCGTGTAGCCATCGATGGTATTGGTTCGGCTTCCGCTCCCCATCACTTCTTGGGTGTCACCAAGAACGGTACCGTGAGTGTGACGCACACCGCCGGCAATCCCGATTGTCACGTTATTCTCCGTGGCAGCAATGATGGCCCCAACTATGAGAGAGAACACATTGAAAAGGCCAAGGCGCAACTGGTCAAGGCCGGTTTGCGACCCAACATCATGGTCGACTGCTCTCACGGCAACTCCAACAAGGATCACCGCAACCAACCTAAAGTGGCGGAAAACCTGGGACAACAGATCAGTGCTGGTGAAACAGCGATCATGGGCCTGATGATCGAATCACACATCAACGAAGGCAAGCAGAGCGTGCCCAAGGAAGGTCCCAGCGGTCTGAAGTACGGTGTGTCCATTACCGACGCGTGCGTCGATTTTGAAACGACCGAAACCATGTTGGACGAGTTGGCCCAGGCTGTGAAAGCGCGAAGAGAAGCATTACAAAAGGCATAAATAGATCGAATCATACACTTTTTTTTTTTAAACCGACGCAACAAGCCCCCAAGGAAAAGACCAAATTTCTCGACTCCAACATGCATTCCATTCATTCGTTTTTTTTTTTTTTTTTTTTTTTGATTTTATCCCTTTGTACTTTTCATCATTCACAACCACAAAAAAAATTACATGCACAATAATATATATGTTCTTTTGTAAAAAGCATGCTCACCAAAAAAAGATGCTTATTTTTCTTATCACTTGGCCAAGTTCCTGTTCAGTTGTTCGAAGAAGCTCAAGGAATTGATACATTTTGACATCCGAGTGATGCGTGCACAAAAAAAAAAGTGATCGCATACCATATCAAGTCCGATTGGGCTAAGCCACCATTTCTATTAGCATGATAAATCGAGAACCGGAATTCCATTCTTTATTTCTCAACAACTGCAAAAAAAAAAAAGCATGGTAGCGGCCGACGAGAAGAAAACGACACAAGCACCCGTGTCAGCGGATGCTTTGGACGATGGTTTCGATTTGGAAGAAATCTATTCAGACAATGAAGAGGTGGTAGCTGAAGATGTCACGGGTACCAAGCGAAAAGCCCCTTCATCGGCTGAAAAGAAAAAGAATGACAAGAAAAAGAAGAAAAAGGTAGAGAGATCGATTGTTGGGCGACAATTGGATCAGGGACCAAAGAGTCAAACTGACATTGTTCTTTATTCACCGATAGGCTAAAATCTCGGATGATCCATTTGGACATATGAATATCTGGACAGAACCAGTGTCCACTCAATACCAATACGTGCTGGATCGTCAAAAGAAAGCGTTACCCGATCTGTCTGCGGTGGAATTGGAAGGCGATCAAGCCCTTGTGGAATCAGCATTTGTCGATAATGAAAAGTTTACGCAGGAGCATGTCCTGGAAGCGCTTCCCAACTATATCAAGTTTGGTGTAGCTCGTCACAAACGATTGACAAAGGCCCCCACCGTGAAAGCCAGTCCTACTGCCCTTGTCATTACCCATGCCGCCGTCCGAGCGGTGGATCTGGTTCGGTAAGTCCAACAAGCCAAGTGTGGAGTCATCGGGTGGTCAGCGCGCATACACACATACTGATCTGATCGGGGTTATTTTATTTTAGGGCTCTCAAGGAATTCAGTACCACGGCCAAAATCGCCAAACTGTTTGCGAAACATTTAAAGGTGGAGGAACAGATTCAGTTTCTTGATAAGCAAGCGGTGCATCTGGGTGTGGGGACGCCAAACCGTATCAAGGCTCTGGTGGAAAGCGGGCATCTGAAGCTGGACCAACTGGAACTGGTTGTCATTGATACCGAACGCAACGCCAAGAGATTTAATATCTTTGACAACGATTCGGTGCGGAAAGATTTGTTCTCGTTCCTCGGTGAACACATCGCCTCACGCATGCAAAACGGTCAGACCAAATTGGGATTATTCTAAATTATCATATACAAAGTTGATTGACTTTGTCCACTTTTTTATGCTCATTCCGCGATTTCTTTTTTCGTTTTAATTTCATATTTTTTTTTTTTTTTTTTTTTTCAAATGCTGGTTTTTTTTTTTTCTTCTTCATTTCCCGATTTCCCCCTCTTTGTTTCTTCTGTCAACATCTCATCGTAACGCCTTCATCATTCAATAAATAGAAATAGAAGAGAAAGAAAGAAAAGGGGTTAAGGAAATGCGGGAATCATGGTTCTGGTTGAAAAGGGGGAGTTGCTTGTTTCTGATTTAGTTGCGTGTGGCAAGAATTTCGTTCTTGTGGTCATTAAGTTCGGCGGTATCCATTTCTCGGAATCCACCCGATGTGCTGTCGTTCTTGACTTGGAACACGGCCGGGCTTCGATCCAACAATTTCTCCAAGTCTTCGTCTGAAATTACTTTATCACCCTGAGCGACAATTTGTATCCGTTCCCCATCTTCCGATGCCAGGATTTCGGCCAACTCACGCACCGTCGTTTCCTGTTCCTTCTTGGATCCTCCCATACTAGAAATTGGCGTCTTGAATTTGCCTGCACCAACAACGTTAGTAAACCACCGTTCGTTTGTATCGGAATGCTTTTGTTTTCTTACCTTTGTGAATCACCAATTTCTCCAGTCGTCGCTTGGCAGTGGCGCGTTCGAGAATCTTGGCTTCCACGGTATTGGCGGCGACCAAGCGATAGACAAGAACAGGTTTGGTTTGTCCGATACGATGGACGCGATCCTGCGCTTGGAGATCCATTTGCGGATTCTACACCCCACTCAAGTCAGTAGGTGCATCATTTGCCGTTTGTTTCATTTCCACTTACCCAGTCACTGTCAAAGATAACCACGGTATCTGCTGCGGTCAGGTTAATACCGAGACCACCGGCACGAGTGGATAATAAAAAGAGTTTGATATCACTGCTGGGATCGTTGAATTCATCAATTTGCTGTCGTCGCACGTCCTGTTTCACGCTGCCGTCCAAGCGACAGATCCGCCAGCCCTTGAGTTCCGTAGCCCAGTCTTCCAGAATATCCAGCATTTTCGTCATCTGACTAAACACCAGCACTTTATGTCCGCGATCGAATAAAGCAGTTAACAAGCGATCCAAAAGCAGCACCTTGCCCGATTGCGCAGCCAGCTCGTTACTCAGGACAGGTTGATTGGTCTTTGGATCGATGGGCCAATCAAATAGGAAAGGATGATTACATACTTTACGCAGTTGCATCACAAGGTTTTGTAAATGAAGACTATTCACATGCTTCACTAAAATACGGGACACACGATGAGCATGCCAGGGAATCCCAAAAGTTATAAATGCAGTGGTTTTTTTTTTCTTACCTGCTTTGGAGACGAAATCTTGTTTTCCAGCCGCTGCAATGGCCGTATCGGTAATGGCAACGTTATTGTTGGTCTTTTCCAAGTCCTTGAAGTATTGGCGATCAGATGTTTCCTTGTAACTCAAGGTTTTCAATGGTCGGCCCGTTTTACGCTTGCTGTCGTTGGTGTCCACCTCTTGGTTTTCATCGGCATTAGTATTTTCTTCATCGTCATCCGTCTTCGTCTTGCGCTTGATCAAATAATCACGCAAATCACGTTTGAGAATAGCATCGTACAAGTTCTTTTGAGCTTGCGTCAAAGGAGCATGCAGCAGATATTCTTTCTTTTTTGGCAATGAATGCTCGACTAGGAAAAAAACACAGTCAGTCTACGATACTCCTCACAGACATCCTCAGCATCTCTTTTTTGTTGTTTCCCCTTACCATCAGTTTTAAGACGTCGCAATAAGAATGGCTTTAAAATGGTATGTAAGCTGCTGACGATATTGTCTTCTTCTTCTTCTCTCATAATGCGATCTTGGCCACTCTTTTGATTGATGTCTGAAAAATCGAACCTATAAAAAAAATGGAGCATGACGCGTTACCAAGATACATCAATCAACAGCCGTTCCGTCCCAACGTCCCCAGAATCACGAAAACTTACCATGATTGAAACATGTCCAAATCATCAAAGATATCCGGCAATAAGAAATTGAGCAAACTCCACAGTTCTGCCAGATTGTTCTAATGAAAAATCGTTGAAAAAGCTGAGCCAATGGATCCACCCTTTGTATTTTGCATCAGTACCTGCAAAGGTGTGCCGGTGAGCAGCAAACGGTTGGCACTGGAATACGACTTTAGCTCCTTGATGAGCTTGCAGTTGAGATTCTTGATACGGTGACCTTCGTCGACCACGATGTATTTCCAGTTGTAACGTTGCAAATGTTTGCGATCATTCATAACAATTTCGTAACTGGTGACCACAATGGGGAAATCGAAATCGGTTTCCTTCTTCTTGGGCATTTTGCGATTCACCATATGTTGTCGTTCCTCTTTCGATCCGTGATACAGAATCACAGAAATCCCAGGCGCAAATCTTTTTTTAGATTCAAGGTATGAGTATTTTTCGCATTGGATCCGACCTGGTTTCTTGTTTGGTTTACCTTTTGAATTCGTTGACCCAGTTTGCCAGTGTCGAGAGCGGAGTGACAATCAAGTAGGGTCCAGACACATTCATCGCTTTCAAATGAGCAATAAAACTGATGGTTTGCAATGTCTAGTCGTCATTGTCAATTGAGTGTCATGCCTTTCACTCATGTAAAAAAAAAAAAAAAACTTACTTTGCCAAGACCCATTTCGTCGGCCAGGATACCGTTGAGACCGTTTTCCCAAAGACTGATAAGCCATTCCACACCCGCCAGTTGGTAATCGCGCAGCACACCACCTGTCACCAGCAACGGTTGACGCGCAGACACGGTAGGCTTGGTTTTGGTCTCAACGTCAGTCTGTCGAAGATTCTCCTCTTTAATGGCCTTGCCAATGTTGCCGTCCGATTGCTTGCGACGTTTCACTTCCTGTCAATGGGAGAAGGGTCAGATTTTTGGATCGTTGACAACCGCATTCCACAAGGGAAAGACAAAAAAGATACTTGCATCTTCGTCAATATAATCGCCAAGACTGTATTCGGCATCGTTAGCTTTACGTTTACGCGAAGGCTGCTGGCGTTTGGTTTTGGCGGTGCTGGCTTTGGTTGCGCTGGCTTTGGGCGCGTCTTGCTTTGCTTTGGTGGCATCGACTTTGGCGGCTTTTTCACGCGCTTCTTCTTGTTGCTTGGCCAATTTCTGACCAAGGATAGTGGCATACGCACTGGATTTGTCCAGCAAAAAGTGCAAACGCTTCATACGTTGTTCCTTGACCGTTGTGTCAAATTGAACTTGAGCCTACAAAAGACAAGGGTCGTTGGTCGTGGTCAGCATTAGGGAAACAGCAGAAAAACTGCGTGATCTCCTTACCTCTACTTGAATGCGTTCTTCTTCTTCTTGCTTGGTGGTCTCTGCAAGCTGCGATTCCTCCTTCACCATCGATTCGGTCACGCCTGCATCGTTGGCCTGTTCTTCGCTGATCGCGTTACCCTACAAAAGACGGTTAGAACACCCATGTCGCAGTGGCAAAGGGGGGATTGTCACAGTTAATATTTACGTTCAAAGAAGGATCGATGGGAGTTTCCGTTCCAACCGTCTCCATGGTTAATCAACAATGAGATGTCACGATGCCAGAAAAAGCAGAAGGGCCAAAAAAAAAAAGGGTCGTCAAAAAATCGATCAAAAAAAGCGGGATCAGGCTTTTGGTCCGATTTTTTTTTTCAAGCCACTGCATCGGACACCATCTGTCAAAATTTCTTGCTCCGCCAGTCATTTCATCCACATCACGAATCCACCACGTCGACAAGGCAATAAAAATAGCACTAGTGCCAAAGGGGTAACTTTTATGAGTAAGTTCAAGTTACTATAAGCCTTCTACAGCAGCATGGGTTGGAGACGCAGAAGAGTGCTCATCTTTACTATCCGTGGAAATATACCTCAATGGTTCTATGCTTGAACTTTACCGTACATTAGGTTGTATATGTTTCATGTCATGGCACCCCATCAATCATCTGGAATAAATCAATCAAGCTGATATAATATCATTCGTTATTTATAAGAGCTATTTTTTGTGTGCTTAGCCATACTATTAGTTGCTTATCAGGTATGAAAAAACGCACAGAATCCCGTTATTAAAAGAATCGATGCAACGGTCACAGCTTTACATTATTTATATTGCAAGACTCTTATACAGATATCTGATTTGAAAACCAAAGTTGCCTGGCTACAGACTCTGTGAACAACCAAAGTGTAAATGTGTGGGTGCTCTCATCGCTAATAGTTTAAAGCCTTGGGGTCAAGTATAAGCTTTTCACCTTTACTCTATCCCATACATCAACCTTGGTCCGCAGTTTCATCCATGGTAACGATAATCATTTTTTAATTTGGATAGACCAAACGGACTCGCAAGAAGACCAGCCACTCATCATGATTTGTCTGACTTTGAAGATAAAGCAACAGTGACTTCCATCGTACGAAATGCTGGCGGCATAATTTGAGACCTTTATATTTTAAATTGCCGCCAAGCACGTATACCGTCGATTATCGGCAGTGCTTCCTGCAGGGACAGGACAAATACTATAGACAATTCTTGCTTTTATAAGGACATCCTTGGATTCTATATCTCTGTGGACTTTGGTATGAAGAAAATGGTTGACGAGCATCACCTCGTTTCTTCAACACGTCCCACGCGGACAATGAAATGCGCTCATCCTGCCATTGCAGCAGAGGCACGGAAGCATTTGGAAACAATGGCAAATTAATAAGACTAGTAAAGAATATGCACCTGTAACAAGGTCAACAAAATATACTAGCTCTCTTAAAACTGTTCCAAATGTCTTCTACAGAGCTTTATCATCTGCGAAATAATACTGCGTCGTTCATGAATCTATCCTGCGGATGTAGCAGGTTTGACGTAGTTTGGGTTATTAAAAACAGACTGAAAAATATGTGTGCACCATGCTGCAAGATGAAGACTCGATTATTCGTTGGGTGTCTGAAAATGTCTACAATTCATGCGCAGATGCATTGATTTTTTTTTATCTCATTGTTACACATGAGAGGGGCAAGGTATAATGCATGAACAAATTGTCTAAACTGAGCGCACAAAGGAAATGAAAGTCTCAAAATACATTTTACATGCGTTTCATATTCTGAACAGTAATTACAAAAAGTCAAGTGACATCTGGATCAACATGACGAGAAAAAAAAACCGGTTCAAACAACTGAGTGGAAAGAAGGACTGCGTGAAAATCAACACGAGCTTGAGACACTTTTTAAGTTTTATGGCAACAAGGAGCTTTTTGAATTCAACCGTGATCCATCCGTGAAACGCAGGATAAACTTTCAAAACGTTCATCAGTTGCGGAATAAATGATGATGGATTGAAAAATAAAAATAGAAAAAGTCGACCTGAACTGCAAAAAGGGAAAATTTAAACATTATTAAATCCATGTTTACAGTATCAGAGATTATGTGGGATGTAATTTAGATGATGTGATATTCTATTCTATTAAAGTGTTTACGGACATTACACAAGAGAAAGGGAAGAAAAGAGACCCTGCAAAGAAGGATTTATCCCCTTCTTTTTTTTAGTTTGTTCATCCCTTTGTCTTATGCTCTCCTTGCGAAATTCAACTGATGCTAAAGAACAAACTATCCAATTGAAAAGTGGCTCCTGGTGATTAGTGCCCGCATCAACGTCCAACATTGATTTTCATAAGTGAACCAACGTCCTTTTGGGTATACCGTAAAATCATCGCTGTCAGCAGACACCCTGCAATATTTTATTGAGATTTGACCCAATGACAGAATTTACAGGTAACGCTGATCGGTCGATATAAATTAAGCAGGTCAAAATTGCTATGCTGCGCTTATTTTATCCAAGTAATAGCTGCAGATACATCGGTTTAATACAAGGACAACAAATTGATTGAAATTATGATGGCAAAGCAGGGAAAAAAACAAATAAAACAAAAAGCTAGAGAAAGGGAAAAAGAAAAAAACTATCGCTAATCAGGTCAATAGTGGAAGAAACGATAAAGCCGATAAAATAAATAAAGAAAAAAAGAATAAAATATCACGCATAGCATGGGAAAAGGAAGAAAAATAAAAAAAAAAGCATCAATGATTATTAGAAAATAGCGGGTTCCCTTGAATAAAAAGAAAAAATGATGAATGAAAAAAAAAAGCAAAACAAGTAAAAACGAAAAAAAGAAGAGCGGATAAAAGAGATTCTCGAAAGCGGGATGAATGTGAGTTTTTTCATGCGTGAGGTGAGATGGGTGCGTATGGTTGATGTGAAGGTGACTTTAGGTTAAAATGAAGCAAGTGAGAAGATGGAAGGAGAACGGTGTCGTGTATAACTATCAACAGGCCCGCACAGCCCATCCTTTTTTTTCGTTTGATTTTTTCATCTTTCAATTCTATTCGCTCCATTATCATCAAAGATAATTTTGCACAAAGCTGGTGAAATGTGGATTCTCAGCGGCGTGAGTGGATGGTTTGGTATCTTTGTTAACGCTATTGTTACTGTGGCGGTGAATGCGAATATGTTGATTCAAATTGTCCGATCGTGAAAATCGCTTATTGCAACTTTGATAAGGGCACTCAAAGGCTGGAAAAGAAAAGGATATAAAGTGGGTCGTTTGAGATTCTCAGTGGAAGCACGCATCGATTTATGATACTTACGTTTTTCCAAGGTGTGGATGGATCGAATGTGTCGTTTTAAATGCTCGGATCTTTTGAATACCTTGCCACATCCTTCCGCTTTACAGGTGAACATGCGTGCTCCGTTGCTGGGGACATTGGAAACTCGTCGACCGCGCGACCGTGGCGCTTTGGACTTTGGATCATTGGTGGATTTTTCCGACAACGAAGGCAAGGTCCGACGTCGCCCGTCATTGAGCCCCGACATGCTAAAGACGGATGAAAAACACAAATCATTCATCATATCCTGATTCTCGTCCTTGGGGATCCCACTGAGACCGTTGGGTGAAAGTGACATTAGGGAGGACACAGGGGTGACAGGGCGAGAAGTGCATAAGTTGGCAAAGCTCTGGATCATCGAGGTGGCAGGGCTGGCGGCGGGGCGGGGTGTTGAATGATTGGGATCAAATAAAGGCCCCGCACCTCCACCACCACCACCACCACTGGGGTGACTGAAACTGTGATGCCGGTGAGCGGAAGAGTCGTAAAAAGAGGAACCCAGATGGTGCGATGCCGGGGCGGCAATCGAGTGACGGTGTTGTTGATGAGGATCCATCAGTGACAGAGGGGTCATGGCAAATGGATGCATGGACGAGAACATGGGACCGGCCGAACTGGTCATGGTCGGCATGGGCAATGTGCTGGTAGGATGAGTGGTCGTGCATTCCGACACGTTGGGAGGTAAATGATGCTGGTGCGGATGCTGGTGTTGGTGCTGGTGAACGTCAAAGGATGACTGGACACTGGCCGCGGCAGCAGCAGCAGCAGCAGCAGCGACGGCGGCTGTGGAGGGATCGATGAACGACATTTGATCCTGCTGGGTGGTACTCACCGAGGTATCACTGCGACTGCTGCGTTGATAATCGTCGCTGTCATTGGAAGGCGAAGAAGAGGACATGGCCATGTAGCAGGAGTCGTTATCGTAAGTATGGTTCGTTGTTTGTCCAGACAACAAGTCGGCATAACTAAAACGACGGTGAGGATCTTCGACTTCCCTTGGTTTCATGGCAGGAATATATGAAGAGAAATCGTAAGAGGAAGAAGAAGTGGACGAAGAAGAATTATTGGAAGCGGCGGAAGCAGCGGCGGAGGCGGCAGTGGACGTAGAGGTAGAGGTGGAACAAGATGTGGAGGAGTGGAAAGTAGGCGAGGATTGGTGACTGAGTGAGTTGGGATTCACGAATCTCAAAACATTATTCTGTGAATCGTGTGCAAGAGGATCCGGAAAGGATTGAACGCAGGGAGATGACATGACTTCAAAAAAAAATTATGAAGAAAAAAAAATAGGGAGCGGAAAGGATAAGGATAATGACAGTGGTTGGAAATGAGAAGTAAAAAAGAGAGCGATGCGAAATGCAAGATTTGCCAAGCGACCTTGTATTTAAGGGAGTTGCTGTCAAGTCTGCCAAGGTGATTGGTTCGATGCAAGCGTCCCAAAAAAAAAAAAGTAAAATAAAAAGTAAAGAGAGAAAAAAAAAGACTTTAGTAAAAGCTGATAGCTTCAGAAAAACCGGGATAGGGAGCAAGGTTCATTTTAAAATGATTGAAACGAATAAACTGTATAAGAACCATAATGAGACGGTGAGATCGAGACCAAATGTCAATTTGAGAATATAACAAAAAAGGTTTTTTATAAATTGTGGTTAAGATCATGATAGTAACGATGACGACGAACCCACCATGATACCCAAAAAAAAAAGTTGTTCTATTTTCACAGACACCGTATGCAAGTAATAAAACTATGAGGAAAACATTGGATCCACATTAGATGCAGACCCAAAGAAAAAAAAGAATCAAGGATTGGAAACAGTGGTAGGGTGATTTTTTTTGGTCAGTGGAGATAGGAGAACACGAGGGAGTGAGGGAGCAATGATGCAGTAAAACTTCAAGCAAGCGAGCAAGCAAGGCAACTAGAACTCTAGTTACTCACGTTCATCATACGATATATCCAACTTGGAAATGGATGCTTCTTCATGCATTTAACCTGGTTGATGCGGTACATCAACTCCAGCAGTGAATCGTTTGAAGCGAGAGCAAGTGGTACTGGGTAAACTGGTCAACATTGTGTTCTGTGGTCCCTCTCAACCCCTCAATGAGGGAAATAGGTGATCCCTTCAGCACGTTTTTCCCCTTTTTTTTTGGTTTCTTTCTGATGGCTGATCGTTGCTGTATATGATGAAGATTCATAACTTTTATTTTTTAAAAGGTAGTAAGTATCTCGTGCCCATCTGGTTTGCTGTTGCCTTTCGTGTAAAAAAAAAGCGTTGGACTAGTGAGAAAATACCTAACCTCCCGAACCCTGGATTTGGGTCGTTAAGCTTGCAAGCCAATCACCTTTTTTTTTAAGGGTCGTTTACAGTTTACGAAAAAAAGAACCCAAATGAGACGCCCTCGGTTTTTTGAATGGAAGGTTGGAAAATGTCAAAAAACCCAACATTCATAAAAAGGGTCTTTTTGATCCAGATTCATGCTCAACATGGAACATTCGCAACTTGTTTGGGCGAAGATCACATTGCCGGGATCAGGTCACACCAAACAATCTCGATTTTTCTGCATCCGCAAGAAACGATGATGTAACCTTGGGTTTTCATTCCCCGTCTTCATTCTTTCTAGTTCTCGTCGTTTCTAAACCAAAAATGACAAAAATACACATCGTCGGCTTCACCACTTGGACACACAAAAGAATCATTTTTATAGCTTTGACCGCTGTTACTTTACCCCTTTTAACACCCGACAGTTTGGTTGGTTTTTCTTCTTATATATCGGTTCTTCATTTCTTATAAATTGTTCTGAAACCTCTACCCTCATCCGAAAAATCTCCGTTCGAAAGGGAAAAGAGATAGAAACGCAAAGAACAATGGAGAAGAAAAATTGCCCAAAACCGTTCAAATGGTCATTTTTGCCCATCTTGAAAAACAAAAATGGGAAAAAGCAACTTGTGAAAAAGAGGATGAATCCAAGGTTTCAATGAACCGATAAAAAGGTTAAAGAAAAACGTACACTCGTCCTTTTTTTGCGCTCTTTTTTGGAACCCAAAAAAAAAGGTGTTTTTTTTAAACTTGTATTACAGTATGCTGATAGTCCACAGGGTAATTTTGACGAAAGAAAGAGAAACTGGCTAACTTTTTCCACCATTTCCCTTCTGTTGAATCATTCCACTTTTTCTTTTTCTTGATTCCCTTCACTTTCCCTTTTCATTTCCTCGCCGCGTTTGTGAATCACACGGACGACGAGTGCTCTTGTTTTCATTCCCTAACTCGAGAAAAAAAAACAACAAAGAACCGCATGTCACCCGCGACATTGCATGGCTTGTTTTTTGAATCGCTTACTAGTCACTTGTTTTGTCGTGTCTAACCACGTTCGTCCTTTAAGAGTATGACGCAACCATCGGCGTCCCAGAAAAATCCAGACCTACCTCCCGATTCATCACAACATAATATCGCTGACGAGCAAGATATCATCCAATTTTTCCAATCCCATCATTTGTCGCAATATACCGACCGGTTCCTCGAGGAAGGATTCGACCAAATACGATCGGTAAACTACCCCCACCTCACTTAAAAAAAAAACATCAAACGTACACTACCACCCACCTGTTACAAGCTGACGCGTCTTCTTTTTCTTTCTATTCACATGCCATCTTTCTTCTCACCATCCTATCCAATCCATGCAAAAAAACACCATTATTGACCTACTTGCCATGCATGCCATTGTATAGTTGTACGAAGTGACTGAATCCGATTTAATTTACATGGGCGTCAAACGAGGGCATCGACGGGTAAGCGTTTTTCTTCTTCCATCATCTCGGATGTACTTTGTTGCCGCAAGCTGAATCGGTTCCTTCTCTCTAGTTGATTCAACGAGCCATTGCAAATGCGAAAGGCGTGCCACCCATGGCGCCTTTGATTATTGATTATGGTTTCGGTGTAGTAAATGATCAACCTTGTAAGTGGGAGTATCCATTTATATTGATATAACGTGAAAAAAAACAGCAACAAGAAAAGGCAAATGAAAAGAACAAAAAAAAAGGGACAATGAAAAATGGGGAAACATCAGAAAATAACTCGTCATTTTTAATCTGAATGCAACAATATTTTGTTGTTTTGTTGTATTCTATTCTTTTTTCCATTTTTTATTATAACTATAAGATGGAAATCCCATTGTCTACGCGAAATTCAATTCTCAAGTCGAGCAAACGCCTCCACCGGCCGTACACACGACAAGCAGCGGGTTATCTTCCAATGAGGACGATGGGAGTGCTGGTGAAAGTACACCATCTCGGACGTGGAAGAGAAAGTATCAGCGACATCCTAAACCGGATCAGCACGCGCCTGTCAAACCGTCGTCCGCCTATGTCATGTTTTCCAACCAAGTGCGAGCGGAATTAAAAGATCAGAACATGTCGTTTACCGAGCTGGCGAAAATTGTCGGCGAGCGATGGAAACATCTCAGTCCTACCGCCAAAGAACGTTACGAACGCAACGCCATGCTGAAAAAAGAAGAATACATCATTGCAAGAGCAAAATACGAACAAACCCAGGAATATCAGGTGTGTCACCGGCCATCCTTTCGGGCTGGCTCATCATGCACTTACCTATATCCTAGGCCTACCAAGACTACCTGGACTCGTTTCGTGCCAAACATGAAGGATCCGGCCGTTCAGGTAAAACGAGAACTTCAGCTTTGTAAAAGAAAAGTGATGGTTCAATTTGGAACCGTGTCTTCTCATCGTCTTTTTTTTTTGTTTTTTGCTTTCAATTCGCTCTTCAGTTCCACCCCGTCTAGCGAAACGGAAGCAGCCATCGCAAGGGTTTTCGACCATGCATATTTTTGACAAAGGCAGTCGATCAGGGCGTGAATCCACCAGTTCATCCACTACGCTTTTTCGCGCCAACCCAGACCCTGTGGCTGAATCCAGTTCGGCCCCTCGCATGCGATCGCCTCAATGCGCCGCCGATTTAAGGTTTGACATTCACTCGTTGATTCTTCCGGATCCTTCGCCATCTTCCCCAACATCAGCATCAGCAGCAGCAGCACGTCCATCGCAAAGCATGAGCATCGAATCATCTAGTCAACACACCACGCATGATCCATCCTCTTCAAAAGCTAATCTATCTATAGAAACCTTGCCACCGCCATTAATATCACCACCTCTGCAGCCATCCTCACGTCCGCCGTCCACGTCGTCTTCCTCTTCCTTTGCTCCGTCATCCATGGCACCATCAGCAAACGATTCATCCACGTCTCATCCACGGCCTACCAATTTTGAGAGATAGTTACCGATCTCTTGTCCTTGTTTCTTTTTTTTTTTTTTTCTCCTCATTGAAAGAGGAAAAAATGTATGTTTATATCTAGACACCAACATATTATACAGTCTCCGTGTGGATCGGCCGTTATTCCCATCCTTTGCCTTACTCGTCCGGCCAGCAAAACAAAATGAAAAGAAAAATAATATTCATGTACCATTTCTGACTTTCTGTAGCCCGTTATATTTTATTTTATTTTATTTTCGTTCCCCCTTTTTCTTTTTACTTTGTTTATCATTTTTCAATGTTGGCCCGCATCCACAACATCCTTGTATTTGAAATTCTCGAAAAGAAAGAAATAAGAGTCTCAGGAACTTGGCATCATTCCCTCATGTCATTGCTGAAACAATCAAGGGAAAAGCCGAAAAAAAAGAGATGATGGCGACGGGTGGATCCCTGTTGATTTTTCCCTTTTTTTGTGCGCCCTTGATAACACGGTTGGGAAATCGTGGGTGTCACCAATGGTCACTTGCCAATCTCACTTGCCTTTTGTCGCTTTCCAGCGCGATCATGGGTCATATTAGTCATTTTTTAACATGTAAAAAAGTAACGAATAAACTTTAGTTGATAAAAAATAAAAAACGCTTGTGATCATGTATATCTGGGAGATTTGGCTATTGTATTTACAGTGAGTTATTTGTACGGTTGTCTGCACCCAATGAGGACGTTTATGAGACTCGGGATGAAATAATGCGATAATGTTCATGCCCATGACGACGGTGGTGGTTCCAAGTGGCGTTGGTAGGGTTATCGGTCATGGTGGTGATGGCAGAGTACGAGAGGAGCGATAACGAGGGGGAACGTGAACAGAGAGAGGCGGGCGAGGGAAAAAAGATGGGTTGGTTGGGACTGGGTGGAGTGTGGTTGGATGCTTCTGGTGAACGTCGTTCGTCCCATGCGTCCGGTTGCATGACTCGCGATAATCGATATTTGACTCCCAAGTAGCTGAGATAGTTTGTCTTTGGAAATACGCGGACGCGGTTCACGCCTGGAAAATGGGAATCCTGGATATCCACAAACGTGCCACCCAGACTCAACGTCTGTTCTAACTTCCACTGATTTTTCGCATCAAAAGGAACCCACTTGGTTTGCATGAAAACAAGCCATGTGAAGTTGTTCTCAATATCCTTGCTTTGGCGTGACATGATCTGTAGTCCGCTCTGTTGCAGCACTTGTTCAAAATGATAAGGATGGTTACGAATATTCGTTCTTGTCATGATTTTCAATAACCACGAAAAGTAAAAGAAAAAAAGGCCCTCGTTTGGATAAACAGGAGATAAAAAAAAAGGAAATCACTTTTTCGTTTCACTGATCAAAATAACAAAAAAGAAAAATAAAACAAATAGACGAGATAAAAGGTAGACAAAGACGACAAAAAAATGGCGCGCTTAAGAGTAGAAAAGAGTTGGGAAAAGAAGACAAACAAAAGAGAGAGAGAAAGTGTAAAAAGGCAAGTTATTCAACTTGCAAAAAAAAAAAAAAAAAATTAAAAAACAACTTGTCGTACAATCGGGCCCCCTCCATGAGATTCAACGTATGATCAACCCCATCGTGAGAAAACCGTCTCAACGTCCAGACCGCTTTCCTTTTTACTTGGTTTGGGTCGGCAATGGAGGTGGCACCTGCGTATTATTCGACGTATTCTCTTCTTCTTCATCCACATCCACCTTGTGGCGTAACACGTTGCCCATATTGTAGTGCATTGCTCGTTTCTTTGCAAATTCTTCATGCTGCTTCTGGGCTGCGTTTCAGAAGAATCAATGGCCATTCGATGGAAACGAAAAGAAAATATATAAAATGAATCAAGGTCTTAAAAAATACTGGGTCGCGCGTGGTGTGGCTATGTTGGCCCCGAACAAATGGGCCGTTGGGTTCGGTCCTCAACCTTGACTTACCTTCAACGTCATCTTCGGGTTCCATATCCTCGTCAGATTCCCAATCGTCTTCACTTAGCGACACCCGTCGAGCCTTCTTGCTGCTCGATGTACTGGATCGATCCGACTCGTTTCCAGCGTCCAACGAAAAGTCATCCAAACCCTGCATACCACCCGGTGCATCTGATAAAAAAAAATCCCCCATTCGGTGTTATAAAACGGTTACGCATAGACTCCCATTTGGCTTTTTTTTGGGGGGGGGGGAGCCAATCCGTCTTTTCGCAAAACCCACCTGGTGGCATATTGAGCACTTGATCAGTTTCGGCATTGTAACGAATGTAAGGTGTCTTTGGTTCATCAACTTTCATAGTAGAATCCTTTTGCGCTTCCGTCAGCTCCAAATTGGCTTCATCCCATTTTAAACTTGACAAAAAGTACGTTTTTTTTTTTCCGTTAGCATAAAGAAAAGCAACATGGCTATATACAATCATACGCCATTGTTCTGAACAAAGATGCTCGATGAGTTTACTTACTGAGATTCGGAGGCTGATGTGGCGTTACTGGGTCTTTTCAAAATACCCTTGATGGGTTTAGCCTGCTGTTTATGGTCACTCATCGTGAGACTTCTCGATGGTTGTAAGAAAGAAGGAAAGGTTCGGTGCAGAAAAGAGAGGTCACGGTCACGAAAATTATCGAATTGTATGCCGCGTTGTTTTTTGCTTTATTTTCCCCCTCTCTCGTATCCTCTCCCAGACGTCACCTCAACGTTTTATATGCTCCATACAGTGAAGTTAAGCTTTTAATACCGCTCTTTCCAATTGTTTTTCTTGTCGTCATGTTTTCTTCCACACTCGCGCTGGGGTATCTAAGTGTGCCAGTGACCGTGACTCACACCATGTATACGGGCGATCAACCGGTTCATCCCGAACCCTGGACACCTTCGACGCCTCTGTCTATTGCATTTTTTGTCAAACGGCCTCCGACCATGAACCGAACGATTGCCAAACATCTCATTAAACTGGCTTCTCCTACCACGATTGCCGATACCGACTTTATCCATCTTCTGTCGGGTGCATTAAACGATGCCAAAGAACCGATTCACGGCATTGTGGAATTGGGAAACGATACACTGGGAATTCTAAGTGCCACCGAACAACCCGATACCCTATTACTGCATATTGTTGAGCGGCCCCCTACACCGGCTTTACCAAGCTTCCATCGTCAGGCTCCGACGTTTGGGCCGAGTCTACAGTTAGACCAACTGGCAGCGCGACCTTCACATATTCTGCAATTGTGTCAACAATGGCCCGCCCCGGAAGCGGCCAATCATTTGCGAATGTTGGCCAACGATACCTATCACACCGCCACCCTTTATGGTTACTGGGACATGTGGCGAGTTTTAGAGGGCATTTGCATGCGATTTAATATAAACCCCGAGCAATTGATCACTATGTCGTCGTCACTTCGTCATAGCCCCGCCTGATTTATCTCGGGCCGGTGATCAGTGCGCTGTGTAAATAAACAACATACTACTGTAAATAATACTAAATAATGAAAAAACAAGTCCCAAGAGAATGTGGAAAGTAGGAATGCATGACAAAATGTTAATATCATTGCATAAGAACGAATTAGAACGAAAAAAAAGGGGGACCCTAAAAAAGAAAAAAAAAGCCCTACGCAAAACAATACAACAAGGTACTCTCATTAGTATCCGATCAGGGAATTTTTTTTTTTCATAAAGCAATACAAAAAGTGACGCTTTGGCTTTACTTCATAATCGTACTCTTTTTTCTTCTTCTTTTTCAACTTTTCCCCCTTGTACATTTTTCCAGTTTGTATATATCTTTAATTTTTCTTTTGTTACCATGCCTCGATCGATGGAACCTATTACTCTTGCAAGAGATCCTTTGCCGCATGTTCAACTATCCACGGCACCCAAGATTAAAAAACGTTTCTCTCCCCATTTTCTATATCGTCCACGACCATCTACACCTACAGAGGAAAAGGCGGCGACACCCAAACTGGAAGAAAAGACGGCCTCTTGGGAAACCACTTTAGAGCGATGTATCAAGAGCATCGTGTCCATCAAAGCCACCCGTGTGCGTGCTCTCGATACAGAAACACCCGGGGTGTTTACCGCCACAGGGTTCATTGTCGATGCTGAACGAGGCATCCTTTTATCCAATCGTCATGTCGTATCGGTAGCGCCCATTGTGGCCCAAGCCGTTTTATGCAACTACGAGGAAATCGAACTGACCCCCATCTATCGCGACCCAGTGCATGATTTTGGTTTCTTCCGATACGATCCCAGCAAAGTCCAATTCGTTGATATTCCCGGCATCGAGTTGTACCCCGAAGGTGCCGCGGTGGGCCAAGAAATTCGCGTGGTCGGGTAAGTAAAACATGATTCGGTAACATTGTTGTGGGGGACGCATGGTGGGCTGACACCAAATGTGTGTGTTTTTGTCTCTTATGGTAGCAATGATGCCGGTGAAAAGCTGAGTATCCTTTCCGGTACCTTGGCCCGCCTTGACCGTGAAGCTCCAGACTATGGTCTTGGTAGTTACAACGATTTCAACACATTTTACCTCCAAGCCGCTTCGGGTACTAGTGCCGGGTCGAGTGGAAGCCCGGTGCTCGATATGCAAGGTCGTGCGGTCGCGTTGAATGCAGGTGGCGCTTCACGGTCTTCTTCCAGTTACTATTTGCCCTTGGATCGGGTCAAACGGGCGCTTCAACTCATTCAACGGGGTGAACCGGTACCGCGAGGCACTTTGCAAGCCGAATTCCAGTTTCGCTCTTATGACGAACTGGCCCGACTGGGGTTGGAAAAACACATGGAGCAACGTTTGCGATCGCGGACTTTATCGTCGGGAGAAACCAACCAAGGTCTGTTGGTAGTCAAAGCCGTGACCCCCAAAGGACCGGCGCATGGCCTGCTTGAACCCGGTGACATCCTTCTGACAGTGCAAGGATGCATTGTGCCGTACTTTTCAGGGTTGGCCGACCTTTTGGACAATGCCGTCGATCAAAAGATACACGTGGTCATTGCCCGTGCTGGACAGCTGTGCGAGAAACAAATGACAGTACAAGACCTTCACAGTATTACACCGCATCGGTACCTTGAATTTGGGGGCGGGATGCTGAGTGATTTCTCGTATCAGATGGCCCGTTCGTATGGGCTCGCCGTTAAGGATGCGGGCGTGTACGTCGGCAGTGCGGGTTATATTTTGGGCGCCGCTTACGCGATGCGAAAATCGGTTATTGTGGGTCTGAACAACCAACCGGTGCATAATTTGGACGACTTTATCCGCATCGTGCGCGATCTTCGTCAAGGCGATCAAGTCCCCATTCGTTATTATTCACTATCGCGCGCATTGAAAGACAAAGTCATGATCGTTCTCATCGATCATCGATGGCACAAGTTTCGACTCGCCACCCGAAATGGTAAGCACAGAACAATTGCAGTTTTATCACAACCATCTGCTGAAAAAGAAAGGTTAGATGTGACAGGGATGTGGGACTATACCGATCTGGGTCAACCCAAGCTGCCTTTGGAACCAAAGATTGAACTACACGGAGCGTCCAGTCAGTCCAAAGTGATGAACAACAACGTGTACAAGAGCGATGCACAGCAACATGCAACGGAAACGGAGCAGGGGCCCATTGAAAGACTAACAAAGTCACTCGTCTCGGTGGATTGTTTTCCACCGTATGTGATTGATGGCTTGCAAAATTCACATTCGTTTGGTGCCGGATTTGTTGTGTCCCTGGATCCACCCTTGATTATTTGCGATCGTGACACTGTCCCGGTGGCGATGTGCCGCATTTCGTTGACGTTTAACAATGCGCTCAAGATCCCAGGGGAGCTTCTGTTCCTGCATCCATTCTACAACTATGCCGTTGTCACGTTTGACATTACACAGTTGAACCAGGCCGCGATTGAAGTCCACCCGGCTGAATTCAGTGATCAACCTCTCACCCAAGGATCCACCGCGCACTACATCGGTCTCGGTGGCGATGATTTACCTATCATGAAGGAAGTGACCGTTTCATCCATCACACCGGTACGCACCAAGGAGGCCACCCCAGCACGTTGGCGAGCGGTGAATGTGGAAGCGGCGCGGGCAGGCGATATTGGTGGCCAAGGCGGATTGTTGGCCGATGCGCAAGGCAAAGTTCAAGGCTACTGGATGAGCTTTGCTACGGAATCCGAACTCAACTTGCCGACCAATGTCATGGCAGGGTTGCCTTCGGAACTGATGGTGCCTGTGATTGAGCGGCTACGATCGGGTCAGTCACCCAGTGTGCGTGGGTTACCCATTGACTGTTGGACGATGCAGCTGGCCAACGCCCGCTTATTGGGCTTATCGGATATTTGGTTGCAGCGACTCAATCGGCACAAACACGTGGTGTACGTTATGGGGTTAACCGATCTGTCGAGCGAGTGTGCCAAGTTTCTGAAAACCGGGGACATTATCCTGGAAATCAATGGCGATCTAATAGTTCGCATCTCGGATCTCGCCAAGTATTCGCAGGAGCAAGAATTAAATATGGTAAGTGCATGAAAAATAAGCGCCCCAACCGAATTAATTCATTGACAGTATCTGCTTTTATTTGTGTTCACAGACCATTCTACGTGACGGCAAAGAAATGACCATGACCGTGCCTACCACGCTGTATCCTGATCTTGAGACGACGCGCGTCATTGGATGGCAGGGAATGTATATTCAGGAGGCCCACATGGCCGCAAAAGAACAATTGCAAGAAGAGATTCCCGAGGGCGTGTACGTTTCCTGCTGCCTTTTTGGTTCCCCGGCCGAGGTGTCACTGATTCCGGGTATCTGGATTACCGAGGTGGATCAGCAGCGTGTGAAGACCATGGACGACTTTTTAACAGCGATACGACAGCATCGATACCGTCAAAAGATTGCTGAAGCTCGTGCTCCGCTAGCTTTCGAAAAACCGCAAAGCAAAGAAGCCATGTGGCTCCTGGCGCCGGCGAAAGAAGACCAACAAGTCGCCAGCGTACATCATGATCCCTCCCACATTCGCGTAAAGTACATTACCCGAAATAACATTACCCACGTCAGTGCCCTCAAATTAGACCGTCATTACTGGCCAACCTGGCAAATTCAGAAAGATCCCTCCAATCCTCTAGGCTGGCGATACGATTACGATATTGCCTAATTACCACGTATAATAAATTATTATTTTGTACACTTTTTTTTTTGGTAACAGGTCTTTTTTCGCCGTGTTTTGAGTGGACGTCGACCGTGTTTGCCACCGAAAATAGGGTAGACAAGAAAAATGAAAAGGCTAATTAGATTATTGGAACCACCGTGAGTCCGACAATACGGCGACATACACTTGTTGATGATAAGAGAAAAGAAAGCCACGAGCCAAGGCATGAGTTTTTTGTTTTTCCGAGAACAGGCTGACAATACAACAGGTTAACTAGGAGATACTGTGGGTAAATGGATCAATCAAATGTAATTGTCAGGTTACACTTGCTTAATTAGGAGACAAGTCGTATCTGCCTAAATACATTTCAGTTTGAAATGTCGAAAACCGCGAGAAGCACAAAAAGTGTGCCTAAATCGAATTTGCTTCACCACAATGCTATAATAAAAGTGACGATTGAAAATACCAGAAAGTGGTTTCCAAATTGAGCAATGTCATTAAGTTAAGTTTCTCTCGCACAAATGGCAGCATTTTAATCGATCACGAAAAAGTCCCAGCCTGATAACCTTGGAGAGAAGCGGAGGAGAACTCAAATTTTCAAGAGGAGATTAACGCTGGTCCTGCAAGTCAAATCAGTTTATGCATGTTACAAATGGCAAGCAACCGGTGGTGTTACTGCGCTGATGCGTGTTTTTCATCGTTTACATATCCATAAGAGCATCTTTTGGCGCAGTCAAAGTCGTTTTTTTTTTTTTTTCAACGGACACGCTCACATGGGTCCGCCATGGCTTTGGTCATTGCGCTCTCTCTTTGTCCTGTCGCCATTGCAACTTGGCGCACTGACGCCTAACACCTTGGTTTTGTGAAGTATTGAGTGTTTATTGTCACAGCAACGTTGAAAACACGGTTTCAAAATAAAACTGGTGCAAAGGGGCAGGGCAAAGTAGGGAAACTTGCTAACATAAAACAAGAGAAAAGTATGTGTAAAGCCTGAAGCATGTGGCACTCAGGAGTCAACTATAGTTTATACTGCACGCCATATAATAATTGAAGAGGAATTTGGTTGCTGATGGCAGCATGAGTGACATAGCGCAATTCCTCTTTGCATCGCTTACGCGAAAGAAGTGTGAGGCGCCGAATTTCGCGAGTTTTGTTGCGAGAATCGAGCCAATGAAGTGCATTCGCGGTCATAAACAGGGTCACAAATCGAAGGTCCGCCGAAAGATATAAAAAGAGGGCGTTTCTTCTCATCTTTTTTTTTTTTCTTTTGTGCGCCAGTTCGGAATCAGGGGCTGCTAGGCTGGTGGTCACTGGTAATGATGAACGCTCCGGTTTTTGGTAAAGCATTCGGGGTATGGCGAAAAATCCGAAAACCATCTTCTAATGATAGGATTGGCCATCCTCTGAAGAAGATTGTTTTCGTTCCCGTCGGCTCTTCCCTTTGGGCGCCTGACTAGTCATCAGCGCGGTCATTGTGGAAGGTACGTCGGTGGGTTTGCTTTTTAATAGCAACAAAGGTAAATGAAAAAAAAAGAAAAGGCTTTTGCCTTTATTATTCTCTTTTTGTCAACCTTTTTATCGGTTGAATAATAAAATAAAAAGTGGGCTTAACGTCCTGTGGACGATCACACGCCACTTCATATAGAAAGAAAAATAAATGAAAAACACCTTAATTCTCCTTTATATTACGGTCATTTTCATTTGATGCCCAAAGCGACGTTCAAAGCGGTCTGTTTAAGAACAAAATGGACGGGCCAAAAAAAAAAAAGCAGATAGATGAAAATGAAAAAGAAACTAGCTTAGCCTAGAAAGACATACAACAGGATAGACCTTTTTATTTTGTTTGTCGTTCATCTGTTCTCCGTTCAATATAGACGTCCAATAAACTCTTCTTGTCAAAAAACCGTCCGTTTTCTTCATGTGTTCTGCCTGCCGCAGCTCATTCTCGACCAGGTCACTTGGCTCAGTTAACATCAATATTGACCCAACAGAGCCGATTGCCTTGAATTCAACTTGTGGTGATTGTGCTCATCGTGTTGGCGTTTTTAGAGCACGGTGATTGCATTGTAAAGATAAAATATCAGGTTTGCAAAAAGGCGACACAACGAATTGAAGGTGGGGCCAACGGCTGCTGAATAGGGATATAGCTTTTAGTAGTGTCTGAGATGGCGCTCAAAAGAATGATCAGCTGCAGGTCTCCTAATGATCGTCATTCCGACGAGAGACGCGTCTCATCAGCAATTAATACCAAGTCAACAGGGCAGCGAGTGAGTACAGACTATTCGAATAGCTTAAAAAAGTGGCAGCAAGCTGAACCAGGCAGTTTTAAGCTTCGATATGTGTATGTAGAGGAAAAAAAAAAGAATAAAAAAGGGAGATGAGTTGAACAACAATAGTGTGGGTATCCTATGAATAACGTATACATACAATGCAGAAGAAGAGAGAAAAAAAGAAAAAATAGCTGTGAAAAAAAAGACGACGAGATATGGAATGCGTTTTCTTTTTCTTAAACAAGAGAGGAGAGTAGTGTGGTGGAAGAAGGAGTGAAGCTAGCGCGCTGATTATCCATGTGCGAAGTGGATTTGCAGAGATGATCCAACAAATGAGCGAGCTCGGCTTTGGCTTCTGGATTATTCATCAAGGAGACCGGGGTAGTGGTGCTACGACCTCGCCCCTTTGGAAGGGCGGCATCCTGACTGGACATACGACGTGCTTCCAATCGATCGACCTTTTTCCATAAACTGTTGATAAAGAGATGGCGTTCCTTCCGCGGCGAAAGTTCGTACCGTTGTTCAGCAAAACCAGGGCGGTTCAGCGACTTATCCAGCAAGTCCAACATACTCGTCATGTCTTGCAACAATCGTTCTTCAGGGGAAATATAGTCCTGCAATAAAATAAAAAAAAATTCAGCGCCATCACAGATGAGCTTATCTTTTTTCTATGGCTCTAAAAATAGAGGGTTATTCTTTTCTTACCTGATTAACAAGTCGACCGCGATCAATGCGATCGAGTAAATGGCTCAATGCAGCAACGTCCAATTTTCGTTGCAAATCGGCTCCCATGTGCACTCGTTGGTTGTCAAAGGTTCGGGAGGCGGATTTGCAGATTTGACGAAGGAGATCGCGCAGCATATCGTGCTTAGATAATGGAGGCAACGATGCTCGCTGATTGTCCATACGTCGCTGGGATAATCGTTCCAAGGATTTTCCAAAACTGGCGGCGGCCAATTCATCGGTTTGACGCTGGGTCATGGTCACCCGTTGGTTGCTTAGCTGGGGGGCAATGGTGGTTAATCGATCAATGGCTGTCAGCAGATAATCCAAGTCGTAGCGCGATTTTTCCCCGAGAACGCAGCCGTGAACGGTGCTGTAACGGGGTGGCGATTTTTCGCAGGTGCCCACGTTCAAGCCTGGAGCGGTTGCAACCGTGGTGTAGGCGGGCGGAGGAAGGTCCGACTGACGGCGTTCTTGGACAAGCTGATTGACGACGTTCATGAGGTGTTCAAGTTGGTTCCAGAGCATCGCAATTTCAGCGGAAGCGTTGGATTCGATGGTCACAAGCCCCGCGGCTCGGTCACGTTGAAATTGAGCGACTTCTTGTTGCAACTGGACATACACATGATCGGTGGCAAGGTTCGGGGGTGGACAAGCGGGCGATGCTTCGTCCAGAGTAAATTGACTGAGTTCCAACATTCGATACACATCGCGAAGCAGAGTGGCCAGAGCACAGCACAGACTGTAATCGTTGTTGGCATCGGCTATCCATGGCTGGTGCTGATCCAGTAGACGTTGAATGTCGGACATGGTATTGGCTGGCATGGATTCACTGCGTTTCATGGCAACGGAGCTCTTATCGGTGTAAATCGAGGTTAACCGAGTGGTATTGTAGGTGATGGAATCGAGTAGACGATGGTGAGGATGAAGTTGAAGGGAAGAGTCCGACAATCGTCTCGTTTCCCGAGTGGTTGAAACCGAGGGATCGGGTAAATCAATGACCATTTTGCGGAGCAAAGAATCCAGTGCAACAAGACAGACCTGTTTCACGGACTGCAGTGATTGCGCCACCTAATTTAGGAAATCAATGCCACGTTCTTGTGCTTGTCCAGCTTTTAAGACTATTCCATGTATGCTAATGGGTCTGTTCTGCAGGCGGGAAAAAGAAAAAAAAATTGAAATCGATTCGTACCTCTGAAGAAAGAGCGCCTTCCATTATCACTGCCGCCGACGACGAAGCAGAAGGGTTATCGATGCCATCATAATTGACGGTCTCTTCCATCAGTTGCTGAATTACATCATCCGTTGAAACTAATGGCATTGGTGGGGACGAAGGTGGCATGCGAACATACGATTGAGACTATCACAGGGTAGAATGGAAGTGTCAATTCAGTGTCTATGCGCGGAATGGCGGGTGTGGTGTTTTTCATAATTTTATTTATTTTTACCATGCTTCGCTGTCGTTTGCTTGACGGTTTCTCTAAAGTGGTCATGGAATAAAAAGAAAAAGGAAAAAGGAAGAGGATAAGAAAGAAGTAGACAAGAGAGAACAGAAAAAGGCAAGAAAGTACTGATTTCGTGCGAGAGCCTATATACAAAAAACCACGACAAGCCTTTTTTAAGTGAGCTAGGCTTTTTTTTCTTCCTTTTTTTTTCGCCACTCCTTAAACCAGTCTCCTTACAACTGTAAGTGTAAAAAAACTTGGATCGCATGCATCCAAAAATTCACTCCTTAAAAAAAATCATACACATCCACCGTTCTGTTCATTTGGGTTACAATTATCTCAAAAAAACATCATGCCATTATCTTTTTTTTTTCACTTTATTATCCATTCATTTACACAACCGATAAACATCGGAGAACCATCATCCGGACCGCCGTGGGGTATCACTTTTGACAATCATGAGCCTTGATCAGTATAATTTTACCTCGGAAGACAACTTAACCCCATGTTCCCGATGTTATGCAGACATGTTTAGTCAGAAAAAAAACAACGACTAAACAATAAACCGGGTTTGGTTTTGAGTTCCATAAACTTCTTTGGTTGGATCGCAGGTTCATACAACCCAACTAAAACCCCAATCCCTAATGTGACTGGTCTGAGGACGTGAAGCGTTTGAAATGACCCATGGGAGGGGTGATACCTTGGGAATCGGTTGAATTCCCGCTCGATGCCGTTTACACTGCCGTTACAGGTAACGCCACCAAAAGCGACAAAAAAAGAGTTTTTGATCCTAATGCCACCACCTAGTTTACCAGTGATCATTGATGTTTCCACCCCCTTGAAAGTTTTTTTTTTTTTTTTTTATGTAACAGACGGTTCTCCCTCAACGGTGGTGGCCCCCCTTGAAAACTGTCACTTGCCGATCCACGCACTCCAATCTTTCTAAATTTATTCCCGCCCGCAGTTCCCTATAGGTGATCATTACACAGAATGATCTGCCCCACGATTGTCGACTCTTTTTGTTATTGATTTGTGTAAGAACTGAAAAACAGGTAAAAAGAAATGGTGAGATCCCAAAGCATCGAAAAATGAGAATTCTCGAGAAATCAAGTCACAAAAAAGACGTCCGATGGGTTTTCGATCTTTGCCTATTTTATGCATCGTGACAAATTGGGGTCTGATCGTTTTTGTATCACCTGAATCATGTTACGCTGTTGGATCTTTCTGTTGTATCCTTCCTTCTTTGTGCCATCCATTGATGGTTGGTCGTTTGGTTGGTCATTGTGGAACAGCGAATTGAAGACCACTCAACGCACAGACACTCGTGGTTGGCCCACAATTTTATTTCTTGATCTATCCACTGGTTTGACTCAAAAGAGAATGATCTCTTGCAGAAGACTGGCTTACCATCAAGGCTACCACCGAAGAACATATTCTACTTGATCACGGCCTTCGTAAAAGACTCGTTTTTACTTCAAGAGGAACGGCGTCATGTATAGATGATTCATCTTTTTTTTTTCTACGTTACGCTAGAGCTGCTCGACATGCTTCAATACAAGGAACAAGATTGCTTTAGGCGTTCAGCGCTTTCTCTCAGGAAAGGATGCCAAGCCCTTTCCCTGACAGAAACAGACACTATTCGATGTAAGCTTGGTTGGGTGACTTGTTTGTACGAGCTAACCATGATTTTTATGGTTTTGATAGACGCTGTCCTGTTAACGTTATGTGAATTGTCGACCGCCAAAATTCCCATTCCTCAACAGTGTCAACACGCTGATAGTTTATCTGATAATCAACTTGAATCATGCATCATGTACGAAATCGGATATCATAAAATCTCCTCGTTCTTTGCCTGATTTTCCAATCTTCATTAGGACATTCGCAGCCGTGCCACAAATGTGGACTTCATACAGCGGTAACAAATTTCTTCAAAGTTGGGCACTGGTTCCATTCATACTCATTTTTTATATATTCATATCAAGGATACTTTCGTGATGTGGGTAAGACGGAGCATGCAACCAATAGAATTCATGCATGATGATCGTTGGACGCTAACATATTGAATTTCGTCGATCCCAACTGCAGTTTCCATGTGTTTCGCTGTTCGTTATCCCATAGAGCGCGGTAAGGATGGGAGTATTTTTAGGATCCGCATTCTGTTCACACATATTAGAATTGTTGGAGACGTTGCATGAAAAAATTACCATGAATCAGCTCAAGAACTATGAATTGCTACGTGCCCAGCAGCAGGATTTAAGCGATTGGCATCAACAGGAAACGGAACAAATTCATGTCATCCAGCATGCTCAGAAGCAACTTCACCAAGACCTTGTCGATATAGGGGTAAAGAGCAGAATAAATTTACCGGAAAAAAAAACCAAGATCTAGTCGCTGATCAAAAAGGTCCCATTTTAGTCTATTCAACAGCGGGTTTTCCGTAATATCTCTGAGTGGATGCAGATGATCGTGGTCCAACAAGAACAAGCCGAAGCTGTGTGGAAAGAGCATGATAAAACGATGCGTCGTCATATGGAGGAAGGGGAAGCCGTTCTAGAAACCTTTATGAATCATGCGGAACAAGCGATGACAATGGTAAACACCATAAATACATGACTCAAAACGCATTCTTATATTGCAGTGACTATTGTGTAACAGATTTTCATCACCATGGAGCGTAATATGGCGCATCTGCATGCAAATGCACAGTTAACCCTGAAGCTTCAAAATGACGCCTTTAATCGATGGGAACAGTTTGAGGTAATTGGTTTTGAAAATGGATTGTACCTGCAAGAATCATGGGGAAGACTCATCTGGATTTTTCGTCTAGACGATGCAATCTGTATTTGCGTCCCGCGTCAAGGATGACGTCCACATGGTGAATCAAACATTATCCGATTTATTGAACGAAACAAGCCAGGAGATCCAGGACATGCAAAAGGAGATGGAATCATTGCATACCCAGTTGTCTTTCGCTTTTGCGCCCGTACAACGACTTGTCAAAACTCTTAAATTCTCGTATGATGTGGTGCGAACCTGGTTCCGTAAGAAAAATCTTTTCGGTTATTTTGTTCGCTTGGTTTGTTGTTGATTTTACCCACCGAAAATAGGTTTCCGGAAACTATGGATCTCTGTCTCATCCATGCTCTTATCGCTTGGATGTATTCGGTTGCCGCTGCATCTTGGCATGATAAGCTACGTTCTTATTATCGGTCTAGGCAAGTTCAGATCCTCATGGGGACGGGAGAAAACAAATTTTCTGAATTGTGAGTGTAGGCATGATTGTGTCCAATACGATCAAGCTCCATTGGTATTTGAGTCTCTCTGCTTGGATAATGGTAAGCCTCTGTTGTGTCAAAAAATAAATACGACGTTGATCATACTACTGTATCCAGCTCTGCTGTCGTTTACTGCGCCATCGTATACGACTGAGAAATCATTTGTTATTGACGGCGCTGCAACGGGTTCATTGTTATCTGCCTAGCCTAAAGTAAGTGGCATCATTTATATTGTTTCCGCCTTTGGTTTCTTTTTTCTTTTTTTAACCTGGTTTGTTTTTTAAGTCGTATCCGGTTTCATCATGCCATGCGACGAAACAATCAAACCGACACGCTGCAAAGTTTTCATGTTTACTATGATATGATTAGCATAGACCATCATGATCTGTAAAATTGCTTCTTCTGTCAATGATTAATCCAAAAAAAAAAACCATGAATATTTCGACTGTCTCGATGTTCTGGTTCCTTGATGTTTTCCCAGCGACGGGGTTTTGTCCAAATTTTTTTTTGGAGCAGCGACACCACAAGTCACAGCAAACCCAAATTTTTGGATTGAGTTCAAGCACCACCACCCAAAAAAAAAAAAGGCAGCCGAAAGGATTATACAAGGAAGGTCTTCGTCTAAATCACTCATTTATCACCATGAAGTTGGATGCGAAAGCTCTTCGATACATGTCCTCGGAGGAGTTTCGAGTATTGACTGCGGTGAGAACTTGATACAATGCTTGGCTCGATCTTCCTGATCCAACCCGATCTGATCTTTTTTTTTTTTTCTTCTTCGCTTAGGTGGAAATGGGATCGAAAAATCACGAAGTTGTACCGACCTCGTTGATTGCTCAGATTGCTCAGTTACGCCATGGTGGAAGTCATAAAATTGTGGGCGATCTTGCCAAACGGAAATTGATTGCGAGAGTCCAAAATATGAGCTGTAAGCAAAGAAAAAGGCAATACGAATCGGTCCAAAATCGAGGTCTAACAATGCTTTATTTAGATGACGGTTATCGTTTAACTTATGGTGGTTACGATTACCTTGCATTAAAGACATTTGCCAAACGAGGCTCTGTCTATTCCGTTGGCAATCAGATCGGTGTTGGTAAAGAATCAGGTGAGTCTCCGCGAGCTGTCAGCCCTGTGACGATCCCGGAATTGACGACAGCGATATCATAGATATTTACTTGGTGGCGAACGAGGACGAACAGCAGTATGTGCTGAAATTGCAACGGTAAGAAGGGCAAATGGGATAGAATTTGGAAAGTACAGGATCGATTGATTCGTGAATGAATTATTTAGTTTGGGTCGTGTGTCTTTCCGAACGATTAAATCAAAGCGTGATTACTTGCAAAAGCGAAAGTCGGCTTCATGGATGTACATGTCACGATTGGCCGCCATGAAGGAATTCGCTTTTATGAAAGTCCTTTACGAAAACGGATTTCCTGTACCAGAGCCCATCGATATTAGCCGACATTGTGTCGTCATGGAGTTGATCGATGCCTTTCCTCTGTAAGTGGTACATAACCCCTTCGATGCAACGGCTTTTTTCTCTTATCAACGGAAACAACATAGTCGACAGGTGGAGGAAGTGGCCAATCCCGGAAAACTGTATTCCGAATTAATGAATTTGATCATCAAGTTGGCGGACTATGGTCTTATTCACGGCGATTTCAACGAGTTCAATTTGCTCATTAAAAGCGATGGCACCCCTATTTTGATTGATTTCCCCCAAATGGTGTCTACTTCGCACATTAACGCTGAATAGTACGTCCTTTTCTTTTTTATTTCGATGTAAGCATGATGATTGACTCATTTTTTTTAGTTACTTCAATCGTGACGTCGAATGTATTCGCACATTTTTCCGTCGTCGGTTCGGTTACGAGAGCGCATTGTATCCCAAGTTCAAGCTGGATGTGAATCGAGAATTTAGCTTGGATGTCCAAGTGGCCGCCAGTGGTTTCAGCAAGAAGATGCAGGATGAACTGGAAACGGTAAGTAGGCTAACCAGCAAGACAAGAAGCCCAGTTATACTTAGCAATAAGCATGTTAGTATCAAGAAGAATTGAAACAAGGAGAAGACGATGGAGAAGAAGAAGAAGAAGAGGAGGAGGACGATGATACGGATTACGACGAAGACGAGGCATCGCATGTCAATAATGGCCACGTTGACAAAAAGTCATCGCCAACAGAGATACCCGCTCCTCTGAGCGAAGAAGACAAACTTCAGGTAAACAAGCGGATAAAGTAAAAGACGAGTTTATACATACTCATTATGGACGCATTTGTATTTGGGATTTTTTCAGATCAAGCTTCAGAATATGCGTCTTGGCAATACCGAGCCTGTAGAGGAAGAGGAAAGTGAAGAGGAAGAAACAGAGGAGGACCGTGATTACTCCGAAGAGGAAGAAGATGAAGCGGAAGGGCATGATCGCGGTTCATTTGATGACGATGGAGAACCGGTTCGTCTGAACAACCGCGAATATCAGGCACACCGAGACACGGAATCGAAACCGCGCAAGAAGACGACGGGAACGGCATTGACGGAGGACGCTATCAAGGACCGTGTGTCTCGATCGTTGCGCAGCCAGGCCAATCGACAAAACTATAGACAACACGTACGAAGGAACCAAGTGAAAGGCAAAGAGAAGCGAAAAAATAGAGATATTGTGAAATCTGCCAAAGGCGGCAATGGCGGTATTTTTGATTAAGCTGCACCATAGCATTTTGTATTTCATTTTTACTTCATTGATACAAGTTTTTCCCTTTTTCTTTTTGCATGTCATTCTTTTTTTTATGGTGCTGTATTATTGTCTTGTATGTAAACTGTCGCAATAGATATCGATTCGACAAGTAAAGGATGATCCTATTATTTTCTTTCTGGCAGAACAAAGAAGCGGAGATTTGGCGTGTGAAGAGGTCACGGCAGCCACCGGAAAAGGGTCCAAAAGGGAAAAGAAAAAAAAAATACCATCAAAAACTCGCATAAGTCTTTGCTGCCTTTGTATCGACTTTTTTTTTGTATATAATGAGTGAAACGATGGGTTCTGGTCAACAGCCTCTGGGCCCACGTGGGTTATCGTTGGAGCAACAAAGAGCCATTGCGGCAGCCCAAGCTCAAGCGGCCGCGCAACCTTTTCAATCGACGGATCGATCTCCATCATTTTCGCGCGATCCCAACAACTTCCAACCCATGTCACTGTACGTTGGTGAACTCGACTCGACCGTTCAGGAAGCCCAGTTGTATCAACTCTTTGAAAAAGTCGTCCCTGTCGAAAGCATCCGTGTTTGCCGAGACGCCATCACTCGTCGCGGACTAGGCTATGCTTATGTTAACTTTCGATCCCATCTCGACGGTAAGCGGAACATCCCGTGACCAATCCCCATTGTTTCTATTGTAGTTTTTCATATTGGGCTCGATGAAACAGGAGCCAAGGCATTGAAGGAGTTGAATTACACATTGATCAATGGCAAACCATGTCGTATGATGTGGTCAGAGCGAGATCCTTCTCGACGCAAAGTGGGCCAGGGCAACATTTTCATCAAGAACCTGTCACTGGACGTGGATACCAAGTCATTGCACGATACCTTTTCCCAGTACGGACCCATTGTCTCATGTAAAATTGCCTTGGACGAACGAGGCTTCTCCAAGGGCTTCGCCTTTGTACAATACGAAACCCCTGAAGCAGCCGAACGTGCTATCCAAAATACCAACGGCATGACCATTTTGGATAAAGAAATGTACGTTCTCTTGACCCTCACCCTATTTTTCTCATCGGTGATAATATCGATTAGTGCCATTGGAGAATCAGGGACTAAAATAAAGCTTATAATAGTTATGTCGGACATCACATTCCCAAAAACCAGCGCCAACCGAAAGCGGAGGAAGTCAAGCCATCTTTTACCAATGTGTATCTCAAAAACTTGGGTCTGGACGTGGATGAAGCAGAGTTGAAGCGATTGTTTGATCGCTTTGGCCCCATTTCTTCGGCCGCCATTCAACGTGATGAGCATGGATGTTCCAAAGGATTTGGGTTTATCAATTTTGATAGACATGAAGATGCCGAAAGAGCGGTCAATGAAATGCACGACACGGAATATCTCGGTCGACGATTGTTCGTTTCGCGCGCGCAAACCAAAGCCGAGCGCGAGGATGAACTTCGCAAGCAACACGAGCAAGCCCGTATGGAGAAACTGCAGAAATATCAGGGCGTCAACCTGTATGTGAAAAATCTTCCCGACGATATGGACGATGAAAAACTGCGCGAAGAATTTGCCAGATTCGGCGTGATCACCAGTGCCAAGATCATGAAAGATGACAAGGTGCGTCCTTGATACTCACACCAACGTCCTGGGAAAAGATGGAAATGCGAAAATATTGACATGTGTTTTAAATTCATAGACTGGTATCAGTAAAGGATTTGGTTTTGTCTGTTTTACCTCGCCCGATGAAGCCACCTCGGCTGTCGCCGAAATGAATGGACGCATGATTGGTGATAAACCCATGTACGTCGCTCTCGCCCAACGCAAAGAAGATCGACGAAATCAACTTGCCGCGCAAATGTCACAACGCCAACAAGTGCATCCTCTCTATTCACCCGTAAGTGGCTCCTTAGATAAAACTGAATATAACGCTCGCTAGAGAAGCCGTTGCTGATTTTCTCTTGTTGGTAAAAAAGCCAACCGCCTACAATGCTCCTGCAACGACAGCGACGATCCCCACTTATCGCGGATCCCCCGCAGCGTATCCGGCCGCAGGTGGTCTGGTTCAAGCGCATCCCAAATTCTCGCGTCCCACGTCTCCCGCGGTTCCTGTGTCGCCTGCGGTGCCCGTGGTTCCAGCATCACCAGTGACACCGGCATCGCCCGTCACCACATCGCCCGTATCAGTGCCATCCACGCCGGTGATCCGATTGGCGGATATTCAACCCATCGATGTCAAGCCTACCCCGGCGCCTGCACCTGCACCTACGCCTGCACCTGTGCAAAAGGTCGCGACGCCTCCGTCTCAGCAACCGTTAACCATGGAATTACTCAACACATACACCCCTGAAATGCAACGGCAGACATTAGGCGAACGCATTTATCGCACCATGTAAGTAGTGCTTATTGAAAGCGTGAAATGCTTGGTACAACGATGTAACTTTTTTTTAAATTTTCCGCAGTCAATCCACGTATCCTGACCTTGCAGGCAAACTCACAGGCATGTTGCTTGAACTGAGCAAGGACGAGGTCGTTTTTCTCATTAACCACAAGGAAGCATTACTAGCCAAAACCGCCGAAGCGGCTAATGTGCTAAAACAGCATCGTGCCGCCAAAAAATAAAAAACTCAAAAACGTCCCTGCATTTCTTGTTACTGTCACCAAGTAGGCCACCGCAGCAAAAAGAAATGAGACCATGCACACTATGAGGATTGCTCATGGAATCGTGACACTAATGGAATATGACCGGTTCACTGTTAGACGCTATTGACAATCTTGCATTGTGTGCTATCCTGACTGTCAGATTTAAGTTATTCTTGAGTAACAGGAAACCATCGTTATTTTATTTCTACGATATGATAATTACCCTCCGCACTGGCCAAAACAACGTTGTTAAAGCTAAAGACTGCAGAAAGCGCAATGCAAGTTAGCAACAGATGTTGCTGAGGAGCCGTAGCCGTGGTTGTGCGGAATATTACAGAGGGTGACAGTTGACGGCACGGTGAACCCAAGTGATCCGCCGTCGAAAGACCCGGTTCCCCACGTTCAGCCCAGTTGCAATCTTTGCCTCAATGACATGAGCTTGAAAAGATCGGCATATTAACCGTGTTCCATTGAACAGCCCTTGCGCCGGATCGATATTTCGAAAACATCACCGGGCATTCAATATTGAGCATTAACCGGTGTGGAGGTAGGCTTGCTGGGTTCATAGCCAATTCAATGAATGAGCTGATCTTCTTCGGAATCCATGCTGTCGGCACTTCGGTAAACTCGCACTTCTCCCGAAAACTTTTTCGGTCGTCTTCTCATTAAGAAATATATTTCTTGGGGTCAAGTTAGCACGTCCGGTCAATAGGTCCGCGGGTAGGACATTCCGAAAACTAGCACCGTATACTGTAGGTATTCTTTTGTTATATTATTTATATCTTGCATTTAATATTTATATAATAATCAATATTCATCATTTCTATTATTATATTTAAACAAATTACATTTCGATGATGGCGTTCGGCTCCGAGGTTTGTAATAGCATTTCTGCTGGAATATGGATCTCGTCGCTTCGGATACAGGGTTCCTGTCCGTTGCCAGTGCGCAAAAGGTAGCTGGCGAAATTGCCCAAAATCTCTGCGTCGTCCTTGCCGGTTACTCGTGTCTGTTGGACGCACATGTTAATGCTCAGGCGAAGGTTTTCGATCGAAGACCAAAAAGAAGCTTTGTTCAAGCATTGCTCGACTGTTTGTGGACGTGTTGCCCTCGGAATGACCGGAAGAACCTGACGGAAATCGCCAGCAAAAACGACAGTTTTGCCACCGAATGGTGCATGCTGCAGAGCTGGATTTCTAGTTGCCATCAAGTCTTGCAATGTACAGCTAACGGCTTCGAAACAAAACATATCGGCTCATCATTGTAGCTTCATCCCAAATGATCAACTCTATCTGGTACATCAACTCTGCTTTTTCGGATCGCCGCGGGATTTGGCACGTGGAGTGCTGGTCCACCTTTAACGGGATTGCGAACTGTGAGTGGGCGGTTCGGCCACCATGCAACAACAATGCAGTAGTACCAATTGAAGCCAAAGCACGAGCTATTTTGCCTTGTTGACGCACCGCAGTAAGGACGCTGTTGAAAAGGAAAGTCTTGCCTGTGCCACCAGGACCGTCAACAAACAACAAGCGGGCTGATTCGTTGCTTCCATGTGAGACACTCTGGAGAAGTGCGTCGTATACGGCATGTTGATCACGGTTTAGGCAAGATCACTCGTTGCCCGACGCTCTGAAGGTCGTTGTCGCCGAGTTCCACCGCATCTACGACACCTCGGTACAATTCCGGGCGCAGATTTGCCTGGTTTAGCCGCAAATACGTCAGCTGACTCTGCTCCATTTTGGCATACATATCAACTATGTACTGCTGGAATAGACGTCCGAACAAATGGAGATCATGACCGTTATCGCGTACCATGAGACGATAGCTGTACCACTGCATCACTGTAATGGTTCGACCGTCCGGGAAGCGTGCGTGGATATTCCAACCGAGGTCACCACGTGGGAACATCAAGACGTACTGGAGAGCATCATAGTGCTGACTCATCTCGCTGTACGTTGAAGCCCATGGCTTCTCGATCGGAGCACAATATCGCGGCTACTGTTTGGTGTGATCATACCGTCTACCAGGATCACTCCGACTTTCGCTTGCGGTTGGTGCATTGTACCGGCGAGTATCAGGTGTGTTTTCCGCACTTATGAGAAGTCTCACATCTACAGCCCCGTCCGACTCACGTAAAGCTTGCGCCATCGACAGCAACAGCGGAACAAACGGGTTTATTTCCATGAGCAGATCTTCGAGAGTGAGCAAGGTTGCATTTCGCAAATATGGAGCCACAGCGTTTCGGTGTGCCAATTGGGTGTCAGAGTCGTATATGTACAGTTGAGCAAATGCAGGAGCCTGGTTATCCGTTGGTGGAAGCAGGTCACCGATCCCATGATAAATGGCTCTTGGATGCGGTAGCAGTAAGCTCCACTGCGATTGTTGGCCACTGACTCGTCTATTTGAGCATCTACGGAAGTGAAACTGAGATTCGTATTGTAGCCGCGGATCTGTTCACGGAAATCTCTTCCTTCTTTGGTGTTGTTGCGAAGAAGACGCGCAATCGTTGGAGGTGTAGGCTCGACAGGCAGAAGCACAATGGAACTTTGGGCACAGCAGAACTGGAACTGTGGATTCGAGATGGATTCAGACATGCGCTCTTTGAGCCACATGTGTGCCTGGCAGAAATTGCACACGACATGAGGCGCCCAAGGCATGTCTACTGGGGAGCTCCAATTCACCAGACTCTGTATTACCAACAGATGCAGGTAATTTACGAAATGCGTTCTCCAGCGTCATTTTCATCAGCTTCTCTTAGGGCCAGTCTTGTTGGATTCAATGCGCAAGCTATATGACTGGTACGCTGGTGTCCCAGTTGATGACACGAAGCGCAACGGACTTCTCCCGATCCTTGAATCGTAGCAACAGTCGGTTGTTGGGCGCGTTTTGTTGGGGCAGCTGCGAATGGTTTGATTGAGCATGGCCTGGCACCCGACAGGAAGCACAGACAATGATTGACGACGACAGTAGGGAAAATTTTTTGAACTTGAGCAAATGGAATAAAGAAAGGAATTGGACCTAGATAATATCAATACAGCGTGCTAACTAAGCAAATCGTATAATAAATGACACGGTCCTCTCATGCATAAAAAGGGAAGTGCAGAACATGAGCAGACTTGGTGCGTCCGGTTTTTACACTTCGTAAATCATGTGATCCATTCTGTTTTAGCCAATCAACAGGCTTTCAGCACTAGCCACAAAAAAAAAGTGTGTTGCGCTCACATACAAAATGGCTGGCAGGCGGTGTTACGCTCCGCACTGGCCAAAAAGGTGTTGCTCTTTTTTCTCTCATACCCTGGATTTCCTCTTCAGCTTGTTGCGATGGAAGAGACTAGCGACACAGAATATTATGAACACAACGCTTGCTCAGAATCCATTACTGAAAAGAGCACGGGCGAAGAGGGGGTCAATAAGTGCTGCTGCACACATGTTTGGAAATCATGACTGTACGGTATGCCAGAGTATTGACATCAATATACCAAAGTCCCATCAAGAGTCTTGCCAGGTTATGCCGTATTGCGTTAGGCTCTTTGTCTGACGAATGTCACCAGATGTAAGAGTAAGACATCCCAGTAGCAGGTGGCATCCATTACACAGCGGGTGTACGGCTTGTTATCAAAACAGGACGATCATACATGGAGCGAAAACGTTCGCGATATTTGAGCATTTGGCAAAATATAAAGCCAGCAAGACCTTTTATCCTTTTTCGCCACCGGCATTAATCCAAATATCATGCAGTTGAACTGGTCTTGGGGCGCTGTACGGAACCAATTATATCTTTATAAAACGGCATATTTCAAAGATTGTATCGAATGCTTAAAGGCTAGCCTGATGAATTTTTATCCAATTCCCACACTCAAACGCTGCCAGCTGGTATCCATAATTTCCTATTCCCAAATTCACATGAAAAGGCAGTTGGCAAGGTCTTAACCGCTGGGAATTCAGAGTTAAAGCTTCAACATTCAAGTCCCACATTGACAATGGCGTTGATTGCTTAAGAATAGGAACGATGAATCGCATGCTGTAGTTGCCATGACCTTTTTTTTTTTTTTCGTTAAGAACGGAGTTTTGCTGACGACGCATCACGTCAAATTTTATGTCTTTCGCTGACAAATAACGTCATTTTTTGATTCCGCGGTTTTTTAAAATTTAAAAGACTTAAAGTTCGAATATAAGCGAATTAGTCAGATTCCATTTATTTTCTTTACTATTCGTTCTCTTTTACACAAATACAATACAATGAGCCTTACTTACGTTGTCACTGGTGCTTCTCGCGGCATTGGCCTTGAATTCATCAAACAATTGTCTTCCAAGGGCCACACCGTGGTCGCTTGTGCTCGCGCTCCCGAGAAATCCGAAGGTCTTAAGCAACTCGTCGACAACAAAAAGGTTTATGCTGTTACTTTGGATACCGTCAACGAAGCCTCCGTCAAGGTAAAATAAGAATAACGCCCTTTTATTGATGATTGACTAAAAATGCTCGCGTTTTTTTCCCCCTCTTGACGTTGTAGTCGGCTGTGGAAAAGATTACCGAGATTGCCGGTAATGGCGTGGACGTGCTTATTAATAACGCTGGTATTAGCGGTGACAGAAAGTACTCTTCCAAGGACAGGTAAGAAAGCAATGAGCTATGAAAGAAAAGAATGATGGTTTTTTTTTTTTTTTTTTTTTTGCTGACATATTTTAGCCCTGCTTCGGAATACATGTCCGTTTTCGAGACCAATGTGGTAGGCACTTCCAATATCACTCAGGCCATGCTTCCTCTTCTGAAGAAGAGCCAGACTCGTCATATCATCAACATCTCTTCCAACATGGGCTCGCATGCCAACACCACCTCGGGCAACTTGGCCGCTTACCGTGTTTCCAAAGCCGCCGAAAACATGTTGACCAACGTCTTGGCAAGTGACCTCAAGGACGACAAGTTCGTTGTCGTCTCCGTTCACCCCGGCTGGGTTCAAACCGACATGGGTGGTTCCAATGCTCACGTTACACCTCAGCAATCTGTCCAAGGCATCTTGGCCAAGGCCGATACTTTGGAAGTCAAGGACAACGGCATCTTCTTTGACTATGAAGGCAAACCCATGGATTGGTAAAAGCCCGAATGTCACTTGGTCACACACTAGTCACTCAAAACAAAATAATAACGAATAACGAAAAAAAAAAAAGAAAAGCGACTGTATCCATCAAATGATGATGAACTGAAATATACGAATTGTGAAATAAAGGCGAATCTACGTAAATAACGAAAAAGAAGAGAAAAAAGACAAATGCATTAGATGATATGAAATGAAGTCAAATGAGCGAAAAACAAATACAAGGATGAGAAAGGCGATTATTTTTTCGACTGTGGGAATGATTTAGGAAGGGTCGTTGGGAGGAGAGTGAGGCGTCGGGTCTAGAGGCTGCAAGTTGTAGGTCAATGCCGGTTTGTACATGGGCCGATGGTCTTGCGCGTAGCGTTGCCACGAAGACCGGGTATCGTCGTTTCGCATCAATGGCTGAGCCACGGCGGGATCGTCGTCGTACGCATACTCCAATCGTGAGCGAGATGTTTGAGGATGGAGAGCCAATGTCCAATCGCCAGATGCTGAGCGATGAGAAGGTGGGGACGGTGGACGTTGAACGGACGACGATTGGCTGATGCCGCGATGATGGCCGGGAACGGGAAGTGGAGGTTCAGCAATGACGTCGATCGGTAAGAGTGAACCTCGTGAATCCATTCCGAGCGAACCGCGTTCCTGCATCACGACCGTGGGGAGCGCGATCGATGGATCCTGGGTATGGGCTGGGCCCCATTGACTTTTCCACAAGGGCGCTTGATGGTAGGTGTACTCCTCGGTACCTAATGCGCTGAGTAACACCACCACGTTCTTCACGGTTAGCAAAAACATCAAGAACAGTGCAACACAGTGTAAGAGCACCTGCAGGTAGCCAATGTACTGTTTGTCGCGTTCCAGCACCCCCAGACCATCAATGTAGACGAGGTTAAAGATGGTGATCACGACGCGAAAGGCGGCAAAGATGACTGAGTACACGTTGATGTGACGATCCACAAACGGCCATCGGAGGTACAGTGCCGCGAGCAAGGCCAGTTCACACAACAAGACGACGACTACTTGAGCGACACCTTCCGACTGGAAAATACCAAGCATGGCACTCACAATGACTTTGCATACGAGGAAGGGGATAAAGAAAGGGTAGTGATCCTCTTTGAACAGATTGTATAAAGAACCGTAACGGAGCAGCATGGTGATGTCCGAATACATCAAGGACGACGGTCGGATATTGAAGAGCACAATCGCCACGTATCCGTAGAGCAAAAAGATGGGAAACACGACAACGATCGACGACACAAACAGCATGTACCACGGTGAAGGAAGCATCAGTTGATAAAATGACAGCGTCGCCAAAGGCACATAGAATAATGTCAGCGCACGTAAAAAGATACCTAACAGAAACAACCCATCAGCCGATCAGCCACCCACACGATGGTGAAGCTAAAAAAACCCCTACCTAACGAAAAATTGCCCAATTTCCTCGATTGACCGGCATATTTGTGAGGCCAAATCATACTCAACAACTGAACCGAGGCCCACAGTACCGCGCATAGGATGGCACAGACGATCATGATAAAAGCAAACACGATGATGCAGGTAACAAAGAGGCCTTTGTAGTCCAGATGGATGTTGTGTGCAAACTGACGCATGCCGGAACCTGACAACAAGGGGTCAACAACGTGGCGGTAGATGGAAGTGGAGTTGCTGCCGACGGTCATATTGGCAAATGGGCTATTCTTCAGGTAATCTCCTTCAATGGACGTAACAACGTTGGTCATCCATGAAATAGGGACCAATAAAAAGCTCCAGGCAAAATTGGCGGTGAACAAGGGATAAAACGCAGGATAATGAAGATTCATCAGACCACTCGTGACGATAAATTGCGCGTAATAGATGAAATCAAAGAAACTGGGGGTTTTCAAGCGTTGAATGGCTGGTGGCATGGCATAGTTGGAAGTGAAAATAAACAAATCCTGGGCATCGCCTTCAGCGGCCGTAAAGAAGGAGATGAGAAACGAACTGAGGGCGGCAAACACGGTAAATCCTACGGGCAGCCAGAGAAAAATGGCTTGCCAGGTAGGGTGCTGATACCCAATCGGGGCCAAATTAACGCACATCCATCGGCGCTGATCCACCGTCCATGCTGCATATCGTCCAATAAGATCGCCTAATGGAATAGCCGTCGGAGGCAGCTTCACGGTCTATAAAAACGAAAAAAAAAAAGTTCAATGATTCATTTTTATCCGTGGGAGAACCGGTTTTTATAGCCGAGAATCAAATTACCTTGTAGAGAGAGACGTTGACGTTGGGTTGAACAGGGCACCCGGTGTTTATGTCGGGACACAAATGAAAATTACTGTTAATAATGGTAGAAAATCCTAACACGAGCTCCAAGCGTGAAGCGGCCGATACTGGCGAAAAAAGCTTATATTAGTCGAAAGTGAAACGGAGGGTCATGGCGAAGGGCAAAGGGCCGAAAAGCACTCACGTGTTTGGTTTTGATTGAGGCTGTTGACGAGAATGTCTGAAACGCCGGTGATATTGACGGTGTAGTTTTGAGAGACGGGATCATAATATCGAGAAGCAGCCAGTGTCGTAAAATGATGTTCAATGTCGCAAACGGAAAAGTTGGTTCGACCAAACCCGGTTTCGTCCAGTGCAACAAGGGCCGCTTGAACTGGTTGTTGCAGTAGGAAACAGCCACTGAGCAACACAGCAAAGCATTTCCACATGACGAGGAAAGAAGCAATGAGCAAGGGAAAGGTTTTGCAGGTTATGGCCCCAACTGATCCTCGCCAAGGCAAAGAAAGAGAAAAAAAAATGAAAAAAAAGTAAAAAAGAGGTCACCTGGTCAACGTCAGGGCCATTGTTATTTTTAAGCATCCCAACTGGGCTTCACTGAGCGACGAAGCCCTGTTCGTGTCAAAAAAGCTATGGTGCCACAAAAGGAGCACTGGCTTTCTTTTAAGAAGCCGCAAGATGGGAACGCGTACGGTATCAACCTGCCAAGGAAAAGACGGCTCGTTTTCCACAGTGCATTGACTGCGGTAGTGGATGGATCAACCGTGTCCTTGGGTATGGCCGATCCAAAATTGCATGATACAAGAGAGCAATGATAGGAAGGGAGTTTCACGATTCATCATCATGTCCCAAGCATTCCGAATCCCGGTATCCATATTCGTATGAGCGTAACACGGGCTAAAAAAAGGTTTTTTTGCTGAATATATTTTGTTATGCCAAAAATACTCACAAGCAGTACACGCATTGACTTTCTTTTTCTTGTCCTTTGTCTTGTACGATGTGAATGCCACTCCATACTATTACGGTTATAAGCTGATACGGTTGAAATAATGGTATGGAAGGAAGCAGCCGCAGCTTATCGAATACCTTCCATCCCATAATTTGACTACCTGGCATTGTATTGATGGGGCCACGTTGTAGATGAAAACGACTTCATCTATTTATCCAATCAGGAGAGGACTGTGAGAGAAACCTCTGATATCACACTTGTTACCCGAGAGAGTGTTGGATTTCAATCAAAGCCTTACTTCATGCTCTCCAGGAGTGGAGACATGTCTATTTTCACGGTGCACCTGCCTGAGGAAACTGATGCTGTAGCAAGGCAAGATCGATTGATTCACATTCTAAGCATCAGCCACAGCAAACAATGCTGCAAACAAATAGTGCACTCCTAGTCGCCAAAGCCGCTTTACATGATTATTTCCATCGCTGCGGTCAGACAACCCATCCTTTTTTTTCCGCCAGGTTCTATTACACACAATTGACATCAGCAATCCTCCGTTTTACTTTGATTGACAGTCAGAACTTCTTTCAAACCGAGCTTTTTGCTAGAGGATCCAGAGGAAGCCCAAAATTACTTTCTAAAGGAAGATGCGCCATTTCCGAGGTTTTTACTTAGCCGGATGAATAAAGTGCTTTCAAATTTATCCGCATGATCGATGAACCGTCCGCATTCGTGGATTTGCGTGCATGTGTATTTTTTTCACAAACGATGGACTCCTCTTTTTTCTGAGATTGAATTCGATCACCCACACTGAAAAGGCTCTAGTAGAAACAAAGGTCACCGTACTAGTTATCGTTCAATTCTTTGATATGAATTATCCCATCAATTACTATGTAAAGACTACAGTCATACTTCCCTGGCCAGGGACACAGTACCGTGTTGGACGGGCTGTACTGCGAGTAGTAGAAAGATTTCGAAAGCTTAAAAAAAATTGCATTTGAATCAAATTAGTCTGAAAAGGGTTTCTCCAAGGTTCCAAATCAGCGATCAGCGATCAGCGATGAAACAATAGTTTCTCTTGAACCAAATCACAGATTACAAGATAATGAACAGATTGCTTCTCGCCCCTACGTCGCAGCCCACCAAGAGGGCATTAGACTGAATGAGCACGCTGTCGAAAGGAAAGTAATTAAACCAGCTCGGGTGCCATTTTTTATGATCTGTAGATATGGTTGAGAACAAGACCTAGTTCTCTTCCGTCCAAGGCTAATCGTCGCGGGCGGCCCTTTGGTCAATCAACGAACCGACTACCATTGGTTAAGCTATGTACAAGCTGAGAACGCGATCAGAACGCGAGTTAAACAGCATACGCTGGCCACTGAACGCACATGAAGGAGATCGTCATCTGTTTTGTCACTAACTATCGGAAAATAGTGGATCTTTTTGTGATCTTGACTGTTAATGCTTGGACCTGAGAGGGGAACCTGGCGGCGGAAAATCATTGAGTGATCGTTTCGTTGACGGATCGAATCAGGGAGACGAAGGATTGAAATTGGACATTCTTTGTTCGAATCAAAATTTATCACCGATCCATCTCACTGGATTGCTTTCAATGAAGGTAAGGGACATGTTGTCAGCAGTTTGTAGAACATGCAATTTTATATAATACGAATGGAAGAAAAAAAAACCTGCAATGTCTCCCCCACATCGCCTGTGTTTTTGGGGTAAGTGCGCAGGGGGTTCATCGCAATGTCAATTATATAAGATGCGATTGGCAGATATAAGATAAACCCCTCACGAAAAACGGGGATAGTAAAGGGTCTGATCGCATTTACCAGCTCCAAATACAGCAACAACAAAGTAGAGCGGGCTGCAAACCACATGATGCATGAGGTCCTAGACAACTTGCACCGCGCCGCGTTGCGTTGGGAACAATGGGATTTCTTTTTACAGCAATCAATCTTTGATAGATTTCACTGTCGTCATGGCGAGACATTCACTGTTGCCATTCTATATCGGTCCTTTGCAGGCAAAAAAAATCAAGTATGACCGATTCCGAGAGACCCTATGGGGACGGTGATCCTTTGTTGACTTCATTTTGTTCTTCGTTTTCCTTTTGTCATATGAATCATTTACAATGTGGCGGCTGACTGTAAATAACTCGTTGTCAAGCAAAATTGTCGTATCATTTATTCTTGACTGACCATGTCACTCGAACCCATTGGGAAGAGTAATGAGGGTCATTGATAGCTTTTTATTTTCCTGCTCCTTCTCCTCTTTTGAAAAAAGGCCTCTTTTCGTTTTATCAAGCGCGATGTATCTGGTTGGAATCTGATTGTTGTGTCGGTCCTGTTTCATTTGAAAATAAGGAGGTGAATTTTGATTGGAAGAGAGCCGCAATCCCTTGTGCAACATTTTCCTTTTCGTGGTTGTGACATTGCTTTTTTGGAACAAGGTCAGAAAAATGGAAAAAAATCAGCCCACTCATGGAATTGCAGATCCGAAATTGGTAATCATGTCCAATTGATGAGAAACATGGATGAAAAAAAACAGTTGGTTATATTTTTTTTCCTTCGTTTCGAGAGGTTTGGTCGGACAGCCCTTTTTCCCCGATCTCGCTTTTTTTTTGGATTTGCTATTGTTGTTTTTTTTCTTTCTTGGTTCTTCTGCTTCTTCTTCTTTTTCAAGATTGCCAATTTTTTGAATTTCCAGAAAAAGAAAGTTAAAATAGACTAGCATGAGTAGCTTTATTCCTCCCGATATGTCGGCGGACGGTGGCTATGACGACGACGACAATAACATGAATCGGGTGCACTATCCGTTGTCACAGTTCGACGTCGAATTGCAACAGCAAGCGCAATTAGCATTGCAACAGGAAGCCGATGCATGGCAGGACTTTGAGAATTACTTTCCTTTAGTGGACCCGTTTTCTTATACTCCGCCCGTCACCGCCTCTTCCACCCAACAACACACCAAATCGGCGCCTTCCGTCGTCCAGAATTTGCCAGACACCAATGCAACACAATCACTTTCCACCCCCACCGACATCCCCATGATTGACGGCGCATGCTGTTTACTCAATGGTCAAATTGTCGATCTCGTCAAAGGTACTGTTATACCGGTCGATCCCAACCAATTTCACCTGGACTTGCCTTCGCCCGTCAAGGAAGTCAACCTGTCACCGAGCCCTTCGTTGCCGACGCACAACCCTAGTACGTCTTCTTCACCTTGGCCCGTTGCAGCGGATCATTCAACCACCACCCCACGCGTGAAAATGGAATATCAAGATCAAGACAACAATAATATACCCTTTGCCCCCACCCCGCGTCGATTTCCTTTCTATACTCCGCCATCACAATCATCGCAGCAATCTTCCACGCCGACCCTGTCGCAACCGCCGACGTTGGATCAACTCCACATATCACATCCACCCCGTCAACCTTCGCCTCTGCAACCTACCAACCAACTACAACGACAACAACAGTTATCACCGCAGCCGCAACAACAACAACAACAACAACAACAAGCTTACAATCGAGCACATGTCCCTACCTCGATTGCTTTGCCTGAAAAACCCATGTTCCCAATGAACCAATTTTTGCAGAACCAAGGTTCAACGCCTTCATCAGAGACCACGCCTCCCTCCGCAGCCACTGATATGCTCTCCACTCCGTTTGGATGGAATCAATTATCTCCTTCCGCCGAAACCCCACCAGGTAAGATTGAGCTCCTTTTCTAATTGTGGCATGATTTTGGGAAAATTCATTCGGATCATGCCCCATGTGTAGTTCCTGAAAAGGTCGCCATTCAACGTTTGAAGTCTCCTGTGATGACGGGGTCCAATCATTCGTCGGCGGCCAGCACGCCTTTGGGGGGAGGCAAGCAGCAAAAGAAGACAGCCCACAATGCCATTGAACGACGGTACCGGAACAATATCAACGATCGAATTGCCGAACTTAAGAATGCCGTTCCGGCTTTGCTGTATGCCAAGCTGAAAGATTCGCGAACGGGAAGCAAACGATCACATCGGGCCGCCATGGAGGAGGAAGACGACGATGGCGAAGACGCCGAAGAGTATCTTGACGGTGTGGCGGTCGCGACCAAGTTGAATAAGGCCACCATTTTGCGCAAAGCGATCGAATACATTAATCATTTGAAACGAACGGGTGAACATGCGCGTCGCGAAAACACCGTACTTCAGCAACTTTTGGCCCAAATGCCTCACGGTCAGGAAGTGCTGGCTCGGTACCGTGTGCAGAAATCGCTACGCGAAGAAGAATTGAATAATCAACTCATGAAGGAGCGCGCGCTTCAGAAACAAGAACAAAAGAATCAGAAAGCAGCCCGACGTGGTAAACGGTCACGAACCGGTGGCGACCATGAAGGCGATGATGATTCTTCTTCCGCGGCTTCGGCCGACCCCATCACCCCACCGGGAGGCGTGAGTCATCGGGTGCTTATGGCGGCATTCATGGCCATCAGTTTCTTTTCCAACTCGCCTCTCACGGCCGGTCCCATGAGCGCGAATCAGTACCAGGACCATCGTCACTCGTCGCGTACCGAAAGTCTGGACACGGATCCCATTTCATCCAATTCACCCAACCCTCCGCCTGCACCCATGCCAAGGAACGATGACTTTGTTCACATGATCAATGGCTCTTCCCCCTCATTCTTCGGCTCCCTTTTCCCCATGTCGGATGGATGGTACGTATCTGTAAAATTGGCACACGCAGCACACCGCACGGAAGGAGGGTAAAAACTTAGATGACTGACTTCTTTTTCGATGTGATTCAACAAAATAGGTCAGCGCTACGAACGACGGTATTCATTATTTGCATTATTCAACTCTTCTTCCCCGTGATACGGTATTGGTTTTCATCGGCTTCGTTTAAAGTGAAACGGGTACGAAAACAGCGTCGCTCATTTGTGAATACCTCGGAACGATCCGCGACACGATCGACGGGCAGTATGGCGTCGGTGGGTATGACTCCGGGGGATCAAAAGTGTATGCAAATCTACACAATTCTGGTCAAGGCTTTGGAACGTGAGGGCGACGCTCCGCCTGTAGGAAGTTGGGCCGTCCTAAGTGCTTTGACCAAGGAAGTAGCTCGATTCGTTTCACGCCATTGGTTCGGCTACGAAATTCTCTACGATGACCATGAGTATTCCCCGCAAGAAGAGTGGACACGAGCCTGTAAATGGATCAAGCTTAACGAAGTAACCTGTTTAGGAGGTAACGAAAAAAAAAAGCCATAGCTACAGCCACTGAATGGAAAGCTTACCTTGATTTCCTTTTTTTTTTTTTGGCGCACAGGAAAATTGGATGTGACACGCTGGTCGATGTTGCATATGTGCTTCCAAGTGGTGAATATTGTGGAAATGTTGGATGATGAAGAACATGATTACGCCGATCAAGCTCGCGCACGTGTTTATGCTACGGCGGCCATGCAGATGGCATTGATGATGCCTATCCCGACCGTGGCACAAAAGTTGGCCCAGTATTTCTGGCATCAAGCCATGTATGAAGCCAACTGTGAAGATGACAATTTAATGCGATCGCTCGTCTTTGATTGCCACCAAGATGATGGCGAAGATCGTATGGAAGAAATGCTCAACAGTCGTGCTTGGAAAGAGACGCTCGAAGTGATGCAGCATCAGATGGACAAGTCCGGTTTTGAACAAGGATTATCCCTTTCTTTGACCGCTCCGGTGCTGGTGCCTGTAGCGATATTGTCGACATTCCATCTGTTGGATAATTTGCAGACCCAGTTTGGTCGATTGATCATTTCCATCACGGCCACGCCGCTGAACAGCTCAGCGACGAATGATGCCGATGCCGAATTTAACGAAACTGCATTTGATCAAATTTTTGCCATCACTTCCCCATGTACTTCCACGGCCGGGGGAGTCGAAGAAGACCATCAGCGTTTGGCGCACTGGCTAGCCGCCGTGGGATGCACCATTGAAGCGTTGTGGCGTGGTGATGTGGCTATCGCGGAAGAGCTGGCTTCGACCTTGATGCAAAAGATTCCGAAATCGGTCGTAGCCCGTGATCCCGAAGATAAATCACGAATCAATCAATTGGACGAACTGATCAAGACGTGCATGGTTCATGTCCTTCTCGGTGCGGCGTGGTTGAAGAAACAAGGTCAGGAAATTCGCGGTGTCGATGAACTGTGGAAAGCCGAAGACTTGCGTTTGAAAATCAAGAAAATCCTCGCCCACATCCATAAGCATCGCACGCCTCGACGTGCACCGGTGGAAGATAGTGAAGTCGAATTAGATTTGGAGTCGTCGGTGGTGTCGTTGGCGGAATTCGTGGTGGCCATGATTGGATTGGAAGCGTGGGTGTCGGCGTGGCAGCTGGCGAGAACATTGACGGAGAAAGATGTACGTCAGAATTGGGAACGCGACATTACAGAACAAATCCGTCATTCGACACTGACGTTACGACGAATGATCCGACGTCATTCTTTGGACGGACTACGCACGAACCAAGCGATCGTGGATCGATTGAGTCGATTAGGCAATTTTGTATCGCGGCAATTGGATGAGCTGGACTCGTCCTACGAACGTTCCGATGACAGTGAGGGATTCTTGGATGATGACGACGAACTTCACATTGACACCAGTGAATTCAATAATGATGAATTACTCACTCTGCGGACTGAAAAGGCTCTGGATATCCTTCGTGGCCTGTCCTAAACCCGTTTCCCGCCTCTGTTCCCGGAACACTCTATAAATCACTCCTACACACACATAATTCCATCCCTTTTTTTTCCCTTAACATCGTATCACTTATATTTTCATTGATTTCATTTTTTGTATCTTCATTATTATTTTGGTTTTTTTTTTTTTGAAACTTCTTGCCATTCTTTATTTTTATCAATCACATTCATCCTTTATACATATATTTATACAATATACAGTGATATTTTTTTTTTCGTTGTTCTTTTTGGTCTTTCTTTTTTTAATGTTATTCACGTGCTCTTTGCAGTGTCAAGAGAGAGATAGCAGAGCAAATACGGGTTATCATGGAGCAGTGCGGTGGGTAAATAAATACATTTTTAGATGGGGGAATTTTTTTTTGGATATACACAAGAGCTCAGTTAATGATCATATTGGCTGGATTGGCAATCGTTCAAAAGGGGGGCGAGTCGATGACGTTGATGGAAAGCTTCTGATTTGAGTTCGTTCATGCGATGCCGTAATTCCTGCACTGCGCCTTGCATCCAAAGGAGATCGTGTCCCGGCGCGGCCGAGGTGGTGGTTGGATTGAGATGGTTGGGGTATAGAGAGGAAGGGGGAGAAGCAGCGGTCATACGGTGGAGGTGGTTGGAAATACGATGAACGCGATAGGCCATGATGAGATTGAGAAAGAGCGCCAGCGCCAAGCACAAAAGCACGACATGCGATCGGTCCATGGATCGGATCCGACAAAACAAACCTCTGGTCAACGACAAGACCATCTGAAGCAGATGCCCACCATAACTCTGTTGAGCTAAAACGGTTTGTTCTCCTTGTTCATTCAAAATGGATTTTAATCGTTGATCATTCACGAGTTCCTGCACAATGTCGGTACTACGCAAAACTTGATTCAGTTTGGCATGATGAGCCAGTTGAAAATTGGCGACATCCTTTTCAATCAAAGCTGGGGTCATGACCAAGGGGAAGATCATAACGCACAAAAGAATAATAAGAAATGCTGATTCATTTTTTTTTTAATGCAATTCCACTGGCACTTACAGCTCATGAGTCCGGCCTGCTTGAATTCCGCTTGATAAGTCACTAAAAGCCGAACTTTGGATTTGCCAACGCGCGTGATGCAGGTACGCGTTTTAATGGCAAACACGGCACCCATGGGCATATCCGGTACTTGGGTCGTTGTCACCACACATACGTAGGATGAGATTTTGCAATACTTTCGTTCGTCCTTGAGGTAGCATTTGACGGCTTTGTGAGCTAAACCACGATTCATTAGTTTAAATCCTTCACTTTTTCTATCACTAACTATGGACTTCTTACCGTGACTGACATCGGGCAATTTACTCTTATACGAGCTCATGCGGATACCGTGATACCAATGTCCCATGGACACGTCTAAAAGTAGGATGGAATTGAAATTGGAAAAAGTCGAAAAAAACAACAATAGTTTCTTCCCACGGAAGCATCTCCTTTGATGTGTGGTACCTTGATGTTTTCGTTGTACTTACCTTTGCAGTGTTGAATTTTTTCCAAATAACCTTTAATGAAATCGCTGTCAAACAAGAGTCGATACATCATTTCCACCGTGCCATCGTAACATTCGTCCAAGGCAACATGGGCATAGTGTTCTCCTTTGAGTCTGCACGGACATACTTTAGCTGACCATTTGTTGTTGTTATTGTTGTTGGCATCGTTATTGGTAGCATGATGGTTGGCGCTGATTGTTTTGGATTGAGGCTGTATGGTGTTGGAGATGGGTTTCACAGGATCCGCGTTTTTATCGTTGGTCACTACAGAGCGTTTCACAGGTTGAACCACGGGTTTGGATGGAGGATTGGACACGGGTGGATTAATGTGAATGAGAGGTTCTTGATCGTGCTTGCTGGTATTGACACTGATGGTCGATCCGGTATCGTAAACACTGTCACCGTCGCTGCTCATCATATCCTTGTCGTCGTTCTTGACTGTTTCGTGATATGAATGATCGTCTTTGACTTGTTGATGATGATGATGCATTTTCCATATCTTGATCATTTGATCATAAGCATGATCACGAGATAAGAATGATGCAAATATATGCTAATAATAAAAAAAGAAAATATTATCATCAGTCTCTCATTCTTCTTTTTTGGGTTTTTGCGCGGGAGGCTCTTTGTATGTTTCTTTTTGGCGGGTTGCGCAAAGATCACCACACTTCGACAATAGGAAAATCCCAGGCCCAGAATAGAATAGTGTGCTTACTTTTGCATTGGCCGTGGCGATTTGAATGCCATTGGGTATAATCTTGGCTGTCATTCGTTTTTCGATACTAGTGATTTCCGAAAAAGCAATTACCAACTAAAATAGGATATTCAGAAAACATGGGAAAAACACCCCAATGAACAAAAGATTAGTGAATGGTTCTTTTTTGTCAAGTTTGTCCTTTCCTTTTTTTTTTCTTTGGTTTGGTTGAATGTTCGAAACCCATACTTTACATTGGTAACCCAACCAAAGATATTGGCTTTGAAACACAAGTGATGCTGCGACACGTAAATGTGACCTTGTAATAGAATCTCTTTCTGTAAAGCACATTTGTAATCTATTGGATGGAATTGGGCATGAATGTAAATAACAACAATGAAAAAAAAAGTGTCCCCCAGCCAAAATGGGCAATTGGTGACTTTTTTTAATACCAAGCAAATGCAAAATAAAAGTGGGGGGAACGGGTTTACCTTCAATGAGTGCGTCGTTATCTGGAACGCTTCTGAAAAGCGCGTGAAAGTCGTCGTTGCGTTTGTCATTGGCGAGAGGATAATCGCCACAGAACTTTTGACTAGTGTCTTCCGTGCCAAGGTCCGAGGCGGTGGAGGTTCGACTACTTTTGGTATTCCGTCGGCGACGTCGGAGGGGTAAACTGTGGTGTTTGGGACGAGAGACGACGGTGGTGGGGGAAGTGGTATCGTTGCCCAATGGAACGGGTTCGAAAGAAGAAATGGAAGAGGATCGTTCGCGGGTATATTGGGGAATCGGGGTGGCAGGGGGTGAGTCCAGGGACGATTTACGTGGGGGCATGTCCATGGAGGTATCTGTGTCCGGCGACGGGGTGGAGGATGAACTCGAGCCTTTCTTAGCATGAATGGACGTGGCCGAAAGTCGTTTGAAAAACTTTGGCCTTTGAGGTTTCAAGGTAGAAGAAGGCAAGGTGGCACTTCGTTCTCGATTGGCATGTTCGTTGCCTGAAGGGCGTAAATGGATACTAGGTTGTGAAAAAGATGACAGAATAGGTTCAGTCATTACATCCAACGTGTTTTTTTCTTTTTCAAGGAGCGTTCGAGTTTCAAGGGAGAAAAAAAAAAAGAAAAAGACTACAAGAAAAGCAAAAAGAGAAAGAAAAGGCGGCTTCGGAGAAAGGGGTTCATTTTGTATTTCGAAAAGGCTCAAAAAGCACAATTTAAAAAAATAATCATGGACCTTTTTCCCGATTGAATCTCAGACTATACCTTTTTTAGATTTCTTTTCTTCTTTTTCTGATATCCAAAAATATTTCAAATTTCGTTGATTACCTTTTGCTGCTTTTTCTTTGACCGCGAAAATTACCTTTTGTGCAACTTATGCATATGACAGCTCAGCGTCATAATGAAAAAAGAAACTTCATTGCCAAATGCAATGACACAAGAATTTCTTTTTCTGCAATTCTCTTGGTTCTTCCCTTCCTCTCTCGGCCCGTGAACCGCAGTCTTATTTCATAATGCTTATAACCTCTTCTACAGAATTCATGCACGCTAAACCTTTTTTTTTTTCCTTTGATTGATGTCAACCGGTGGCTCTTGATCACGTGATGATGCTTTTCTTGGTGCCTTGTCAGCCGCTGTATGTCAGCAAGTTTATAAAACATGGAATATCCGTATTGCCGACCGCGCACGGAAAATAAACAGGGCCGTGAACATTTTACAAATGTTGTATCTTTTGCATACCTCTTTAACCTCCGCTTTAACCATCAATGTTACTCAAAACGGCAGTCGGTTAATGTTGCTTGCCAAGCCTATCATTAACTCCATGCATCTCCCAGGCAGCCAATCATAAACAATGTCGCCAGTTCTCACTGTATTTTTAGAAAATTGGGGAAATGAATGTCGTTGAAATTGGGTTGTATTTCTTTTTCCGCGTACTTTTCTGTGGTTCAATGCGTTACATTGAATATGGCGGCCGTATTTTATATATGGCATGGAAGTGTCGCTGAGAGAGTTGAAAGATGGCCCTGAGCCAATGGACTGCACGTGGAAAGCCACTGGGTTTGCACGGCAAGCCAATTGCTATAGTGTAGGGTATTTAAGATACTGCAGCCTTCCAGTGAATGTTTTATCTGTTTGTCCGATGTTGACAGAAAAAGCCAAAAGCGGAACATTATTTCTCATGATAAAAGTTCGGGTTTTTGGACCTGACGATTTGGAAAAAACCGCCAAGTCATTGAAAGATTCGACATTCGAACACCGCACCGCAGAGGTGGATTGACCAGTAAAATGTGTGCCTGAACAAAGCATATTTGCAAAGTTTAAATCCCTGGTGGAGAATGCTCAGCATCTCACTCCTTTTTCCTGATGCCAAGCATATGAAAAGCAGCAAGGCATGTCAAGTTTTACGCTCATGGGCCATCCTGCGGTGGCTCCAAAAACCAGTTTCAAGGATGTTGAGCCGGTCTGTTGCCGGTAATCGATCGATTATTATCAGCGATGACATAGTGCGATATAACATCACGATGGAACCGCCACGGTCATCAAACCAAAGATGCCAGTAACAATTGATAGGGCTGCCCTGAAATAGCTGAAACGAAGTGCAAGACCGCAGTGCATGCAGCTTTAGTAAAAACTGACAAAAATGTGTCAAAGCTGGATTCGAATCGGAGAGCATTTTCATACGCATCGTCTTTGGTCTTTTCAACCACTCGCCTTGCGCATGAGCATGAATCATGCGAAACCGGGTCTCTATCATATCAATGATGTCAGCCACCTGCATAGCGAAAATTACCATCCAATTCCGCATCCGCCACCATCAACTTTCAAACTGGCTCCTATCACTTCATGGCGCAGACGAGATGCATCCAGATTCCTCAGCGTTCATAACCAAATTCAGTGGTGGGAACTTTGCAATGCCTATCATTGCTCCTTGTTGGATTTTGAGTTGCCCTCGCCTTTTTGGCTGCCCAAAGTTTAGTATCAGATCGGTCATCAGGCACGTCCAACCCGGATGTGAATGAATGTCTGCAGCTGATCACCAGTCAAAGAAAAGGGGGAGATTTGCAAAACCAAAAGAAGGACGGCTTCACGTTGTTGCTTCAAACTTATTTTCAGTATCACATAAAATGTTGACATGACAAATAAACAACTATAAAGCCAGGATTTGTTGTTGCATTCCGCGATCTATGGTGTTTAGATTGGAAAGGCATATTTTCTTCTCTTTGTGAATCCGATGACATATCAACGGTCTTTGCTGGAAGCTTTTAGTGGAGATTATCGTACAAATACCATGACAACTGTACTACCCAGACGTCCGGTTTTTGAGACACCCCTTGGTGCATGTTTGTAACATCAATACTCAGCAACCGATTTCTTGACGATGAAGGTTACGCAAACTTTCTTTCCGGTTATTGCTAATACCCGAACCTTGCATACCCCTGGTTCATAGAATGATCCACTTCTTTTTTTTTTAAATATGCCATATGCCCATTTATTATTGTTTCTTCATGGATATAATGCCGGGAAAGAAAGGAACATCGAGACGGTAAAAAAGGAGTGACAGATCCATAGTTAATCAAAGGGGAATAAATGAATCATTGAGAAGTGGTTTGCTTGTTGGATACGCTATTATCTAATGATGACCCTTCCTTTTTTCTCTCTTTTGGTACTGTGAAATTCAAGCTACAGGGTGGTATCGTAACGCGATGCGGTGGTTTGTATGTAACCTCCCTTGGCATCCAGATCCAAAAGATCCAAAAGTTTGTGATAAATAAATTTGTAAGCCCACAAATTGCCACGTAACCGACGGATATCGACAATGTAAAGTCCAGGCAAGTTACGGAATCGGCAAATCTCAATGGCGAAACGAATTTCCTCTCCAGAGTCGACAGTAGGATCGCCGTAAATAGGGCCGTTGCGGGATGAACTGATGGTGAACTCCGACGTATTGGATGAAATGGAAGGACAAGTCGCGGTGGTCGTGGATGCTGACGCAGTGGTCGTGGTTGTGGCAGTAGTAGTAGCAGTGTTGGTGCCGGTGGCAGGATCGGCGGCCGTGAGGTGCGGAGAAGGAATGGTCGGAGTGGTGGGAGTGGAAGGCACCAGGGGAAGCGGGTCGTCTTTAAGCATGGAAGAAGCGTACGACGAACTGTTGGTCAACTGACCCGGATTAGGAAATAGACTGATGGAAGAATCGCGACTGTGATTGAGGCTACTGCTGCTATTGGTCAATGTCTGGCAGATTCCTGCCGTGGTATCCACCGTTTCGTGGCTACGGCGACTAGAGCGGAAAAAAAGACTTCGCAGTTGAAGGCCACTGCTGCTACTAAGTCGATTCAAAGCACTGAGAGAATCACGTCGTTTTGCTTCACCTCCTTCAGATACCCGTCGCTGGATTTGGGCTCGTCGACGCACACATCTGATCTTGCAGTGGCCATCCATTCTCACCTCCAATCCCAAAGCGCGTAATGTGTGAATGACTTCGGCCAGCACCTGCGAAGGAGGACGGCACGTCAACGCCGCGCGATCCACCGCACCGTGGTGAATACGCAATTTCGGTTCCGTGTTTTCGGTCATCAGGTTTCGTCTCACAGCTGATAAGTGATGAATGCTACCGTACCCGGTACGTGGCAACGTCGTCAGTACTTGACCCACCACATCCTTGTTCAACACTTGGTCGGCAAGTGGTTGAGCTGTCAACGAGTTTCCATGGGTCGATTTTTGTTCCTTGGATACCAATCCTATAGAGACCGTGCCGACAAAAGGCACAGAAGAACAGCATACAGTAAGTATCTGGATGTTATGCGTTATCATTGGGCTTCCGCAAATGGGCGCGAGTTACCTGCAGGTGAATGACGTTTGAGCCATTCCATGACTTTTTTACCGGTGTGTGTTTTAGGTTGTTTATCTGTGACTTTCTCGGGACCCCATGAGAATCGGTTGGACTTGGGGACATGAGATTGGATATCGACCATGGGTTCGGTCGCTGATCCTCCCATCGGTCCAGGAACAGAAGCGCGTTGTTTGCGGTGAATGCTTCGACGTACAGCCGCCATGGCTTTCCGACCGCCGGCCATGCCCATGCTTACGAATTTCTTGCCAGAGGCATCTCCGTACGATCGTTGGCCACCCATATCCAAAGGTTCCTCTTCCTGATGATCGATGGATTTCCTAGCGACGGTGGCACCCGCCTCACAAGGATCCGTCAAAGTGACGCCCTGTTTGGGCTCTTCAGGCACAGTTGAATCTTTGGTTTCCTTTTCAGACTTGCCGCGTACACTTTTACGTCGTTGTGTGATAGGTGAAGGATCCGCCGTGGCACTGATGGTGCTTCCTTGCTTGATGTAATCGCGAATGGACCCATACAGATGCGATTTACGCTGCGGTTGAGCCGCGTTGGGCATTTCGCGAATGGGAGTCGATGGGTATCTTCCGCGCACCGTATTGCCAAACTTGGATCGGAACCGAGACGACGTCGAGATCGATGAATCTGTAAACTGGGAACTGGAAATGGACGAATCCAAAGTAAACATGGGCGTACTCGGGACTGGACTGGCTTCCGAGTTCGTTGGTTCATCCTTGTCAAGCTTCGCATCCTGAGCCGGATCGGCGGCTACAGCAGCGGCGGCGATTGATTCGTATCCATGGTGCGACTGTCGTTTATTATTGCTCCATTGGAACAAATGGGATCGTGGCCGAACAGGCACGGGTGTATTGCTGGCGGGGATGTCCAGTTTATTTAAGGGTTTTGAGAAAAGGCTGGTTTGGGCTTTCGTGGCTCGTTCAAACCGTGCTCGTTCGGCAACGGAGGCGCCAAACGAAAGGTTGTGGAAAGCTTGCGTACCGTACATGGTCGCTGGGCGAGCGCGATTGGGCGATCGAACAGGGACTTCCGGGGCCAACGGTTTGACCGGCGGCGGTAGAAGTGACGGCGCGAGTGACCCATGGGCATAGGGATCCCGTTTCGTCATCATGGAGGACGTGGTAAAGGTGGTGGCACTCACGGCTTCACGTTCGAGATCGTCAATACTTCGATGGAACAGGTAGCGGTAAGGTTCCAACCACGGATGATGCATGATGTCTTTGAGGGTACATCGTTTGTTCGGATCTGGCACCAGCATTTTCATCATCAAATCTTTGGCGTGGGAACTGATGTAGGCGGGAAACACGAGACGCGTGGAAAGGATGTATCGATACAGGAGCGTGATATTGTCGCCATCCGGATTGGAGGGATCATCGTCAAAGGGTAGATAACCACACAACATGGCATACAAGATGACACCGCAGGACCAAATATCGACGGCAGAGCCAGCGTAAAGACCGTCATTGACAATCAATTCGGGCGCAGCATAGCAAGGCGATCCACACGACGTGGCCATCAAATCGTTGAAATCCGAAGTAAACTGATTGGCAAATCCGAAATCGGAAACGACAATATTGCGATGCTTATCGAGTAGTAGGTTTTCCTAAACACCTGATCGCATCTCAATCCACAAACTCAATCATGTCCCTGTCTCTCTCCCCTCTCTTCGTGCATCTCTCTTTCAAATGTAGTCAGAATATCAACTTACCAACTTGAGATCCCTATGTACGATATTTTTGCTATGCATGTAGTACACACTGCTAATGAGCTGAGCAAACAATTTGCATGAATCTTTCTCCTTTAGGTATCGATTAGCGAGAATGTACTCAAACAGTTCGCCGCCTAGAGAAAAATATTCATGTCATTACTGGTTGTTTCTTGCCTTTTTTTTTCAAAGAGAAAAGCAAAATGCTTGATTTTGAATAGTTTACCGGAAGCATATTCTAGAATGATACCAATATATTTGTCTGTTTCAATGACATTGAACAGCTTAACTATATATGGATGCTTGAGCGTCTGCATGATCAAGGTCAGTATCATTATACCGTGCTGGATACATGGGGAAGGAACATATCCATAGGGTCGTACCTTTAACACGGCAATTTCTCGTTCCACCTTGTTCAAACGATGACCGGCACCGACATCATTCTTCTTGATCAATTTCACCGCTACCTAGAGTTTTTGATGGTAGATACACACGCATATATCAGACAGGTTGTCTTGCATGAAAACTCCTTTCTTTGTGGTATCCAATGGGGGTTACCTCATGCCCCGTTTCGATATGTTGACCTAGCTTGACTTTGCCAAATTCCCCCTCGCCCAGTGTTTGCAAAAGAATGTAAGGACCGAAACGTTTGTGCTTTCTCTGTGGAACGTGATGGTTGAAACAATGGGAGGCGTGGACGGGCACGGGCGGGGTCGCATCGATGGCGTGAGTGATGGCCGTCATGAGAAAAGAAAAAGAAAGAGCGGTAACGTAAAAATAGGAACGAAGGTAAAAGAGATCTTGATGGTATACGAATGAAAAAACAACAGAAAAATGAAAGACGGGGTCAGTAATAGAATCAATGAATCATGCAAGGAAATCAGAAAACAAAGGTATGAAGAAAGAAAAAAATGAGATAAAAAGAAGAAATAAAAGAAATAAAAAAAGAAGAACAAGGAAGAAGTGCACAAAGTGTAAATCTTTTTTTTTTTGAATACATTAGGCTTTACATGAACCGCTATTGGCACCAGAACAGAGTAAAAAAAAGAAAAACAAGGGGCACGAGGATCGACGTGCACAAGTCAAGCGGCGCCGTAGTGACATTTTCTTTCTTATCCAATGCATCTGTGGAAGTGGAAGTGTGTGTGTTTATTGTGGGCTGTATGCTATACACGTGTAGAGCATTGGGTTCTTCTGTTTTCGTTATGAAGGATCTGTTGTTAATCCCAAAATGTAGAAGGAAAAGCAGGGGACTTAATTTCCAGTGCGTCAAGGGTTCGCTCCTCAATTTTCATTTGGACCTTTTTAGCGTCACCAAAGATCAGAACTTAGCGCTTGATCTCTCTGGCTCGCATTTCAAAGCCGGAACGGTTGCCGGCTTTTTATCAACGTAATGAGGAAGGGAATCCTAGTGCAATCCCTCAAGATTACACCATTTTCAAATCCTTCAAAACGTATATCGATCACCAAAAACGATTCTTATCTTGTTGTTCACTCCTTTCTCATAAAACTTTTGGGCTTCGGTGTTCACAGCCGCCTTTTTGTGCCATTCAGTTCAGGGTCCATGATGATCCCAGCTGCAGTATAATTTTTGTGTCTCCTTGTGGTTGCCGCTGATTAATTGGATAGGCAAACTGTAGGTACGCTCTTTGCGGCAGAGTCAGTTGATCTGCGATCACGGCTATCAACCGTTGGGGGCCATCATAAAAAAAAGACATTCAATAGCCAAAAGATCAATGGGTCAGCTTGTTTTCGGTCATGACATGAACCCCGTTTGGACAGTTTTTCTTTTTTTTTTTTTTTTTTTTTTGGCATGGGCGCTTTATGGAAATAAATAGACTCATGGGAAAGGGTCATCCTTTCCTGGAAATGCGCGCGGGCCATCATGCATGAATTTTCCAAGTCAGTATGGACCACACACACACCCTTTATTGGTCAGCATCAATTTGACCGATGCGTCTCCTTCTGTGCTGTAGTGTCTCCCTTGACTTTTTGCTTATGCTATGCTTTCCTTTTTGTTTTTCGTTTCGCTTGTCCTTTAAACGACTAATCCGCATCGCATATTCTATTATGATTTGGTAAACGGCCAAAATGGTTAATTATAACAAGCGCTGAAAAAAAAGATAACCAATGTATGAAAATTTCATGTGAAAAAATTAGTTGCCAACGGAAAAAAAAGAGGGCGAACAAATTAGAACTCATGCAAAGAGTGAGTGGAATTAGAGGCAATGCCAAAGCATGGCGACAAGTAATGTGTATACCAAAAGGGTTGGTGTCAAATGGGAAGTGACCGAGGCAAATTCGCCAGAGGGACCCTCCATATTGGGTGCGATGGTGGGACAACTCGACAGATCGTTGCGTTTGGGGGCCGCAAGTTGAGCGTAGCCGTCAAAGTCGCATTTGGCGTTTTTGTCGTTGTGGATGTACAAATGGTACAGCCAACTCAATTTATCCTGGGGCGCACAGAAAGAGTAGATACCGTAGGCTCCTTTTTCCATATCGCTGCTGATATCTTTACATGGAATGGTGCCACATAAAGCATCCATCTGCTTGCCTATCGCGTTGGTGCCGTTGGTGGAGCTATCTGTGTTCAACGCTTTATCGGACGTGACACAGCCGAGGTTATCACGCATACACTGGCATGCTTTCTCAGAAGGCGTCGGGGGGAGTTCGAGTGGCGCTTTCCAGTTGTCTGTTTTCGAAGGACAGCTGGACGCTTGGCGCTGTTCATTGAATGCATCCATTTGAACGCCCTTGGGACTGGCTTTGGTCAATGCCGACTTGAGATTGTTGTAATCTTCCAATACTTCGGCGTGTTGCGTATTAGTATCGATTTTCACCAAGCCGTAACGGTTGTTTTCTTGCGTCCATTCATACACTACGCCGCCAGACCAAACATCGGTCATTTGCGAACTGTACAACGCTTCCACTTCAGTGAAAGGACGTGGCGTGACCAAATTGCATCCGTACTCGGTCAAGAACACTGGTTTGCTGTACGATGAAAAATCGCGCGTACGATCGGCATAACCGGATTTTTCAAACGACGAACTGCCACACCACTCGTAAAGATTGACACCAAAAAAGTCGGTCTAACAACCCGATATTTAAATATCTACCCACGCTTGCCTTGAATTATTTGACATTTCTTTTTTACCTGTTCATCTTCGTTGCCGCAATTAAAATAATCCTTGATGGCATCACGGATGAATTCATCGTCATTGCTGGCGTAACCAACGGGAATGTATCGCTTTTTGGTGTGACGAATGTATTGTTTGGTGTCTCTGATGACAGCTTTGACAAAAGCGGAGGCTTCTGTGTTGGTCTTGTCGTTGGTGACTTCGTTTCCTGCAATAAAGGCCAATGTGTTTGGATACCCGGCAAAGGCGTCAATGGTAGCTCGGTAAGCTGAGAATAGTCGTACATCGTATTCGGGCAGTTTACGATTGATGGAGAATTTGGGCGTAGCAATATCGAGAAGCAAGTAAAGGCCAGCATCGGCAAATGCTTTCATGCAAGCATCGTGATTCTTTCTTGGATCCACCTATGTATGCAAATTTATCCTTGGTCAATGCGGGGGACACGAAAACCTGAGATCACTGGTTTCTCTTACCTCGTACACGCGCACCACATTCAAACCCAGTTGCTTCATTAATGGCGCGTCTCTCTGGCAGGCAGCAGCATCGGCCAAAGGATCTACGACAGCATTCTTGCCTGTGCCTTCATTTCTCGGCTGATACGCAACACTATTTAGGTCCGCGAGTCAATGCAATCGGTTGGAAAAGAAAGAAGGATGGTCTCTACTCATTTTTACCCTTTGATGAAAAATTGCTCTTTAGTGTTGGCATCAAACATTTTATGGCCTTTAATGGTAATAGGATTGATAGCCCACGCCGTGGCAAGGCCGCCTAACAGCAACCCAAGCAAGGAAGCGCGCATGGTAAGACGACGATTCAAGAAAAAAAAAAAAAAGAACAAAGAAGAACCGCGATGGAAGTGTTTTGGGCATTTAATATGTACAATACAACCTTGGGCAAAAGGGAAACCATGGAAACCATGAACAGTCACTTAAGGAATGCTCTATCGTAACAACCGACTTTGATCCAGACATTATTTTAAGCCAGCATTCTTTCATGTCAATGTAATTGGATTTTTTTTTTCTGTACTTATTCGCTTCAACATTAAACGATCGAATTTTATTTTCCATTCCATCCAATCATCCGATCATCACTTCTTTTACTCTGCCCAACCCAATGACTGCACCAAATCATCTATGTCATTATGGCTGGCTGGCTGGATGATGTATGGCTGACTGATTACCAGGGACTCAATACGATTGTCGCCAAAAAAAAAAAAAAAAAAATCGTGTATGCATTGGCATGGCGGAGAATGAACGTTTCTGACCTGTTTTTTTCTTCAAAATGCTCACTGTACTTTTCCGGAATAGGTAGATCTTTTCTTGCTATCAGGGAGCAAAGATATTTTTATTTCAATCTAGAATGTACTGGTTTGATTTTTGTTTGTTCCCATGGTTTTCATCACTTTCCGACGTGGGTATTCAATGTTGAGCTGGTGGACCCACATTGACTTGATCGGCGCACGCTAAAGAGAAAAAGGGAAGGCCCGTCGGGTCGTTTCTGTTTCATCTCATTGAATGCAAGATCGTGCCTGAAGAATTTGAATTTTCGCTGTAGGGGACTCGCAGTCCCTCAATTTATTTTAGTGGATTCGCATCAGAAAGAACAACTCCAGCCAAAAGATAAGCGTGGAATGTAAGGGATCAGTTTGCATGCAGTCACTCACAAGATCCGGGTATTTCGAGTTTGATGTCGCGCTTAAACTCTTGCTGTCCAATCGTGCCGGCACGAAATTCAAATTAAAAGTCGTGTTTTTATGATAAGGAACTCTTGTGTCTATTTACGCTCTTCCACCCCCATTCTTTCGTTGATATCATGAAAGAAAGAAAAAACCACTTGCACGTCTTCAATATGGCTTCTCTCAGAATTTTTCTCAGAGCTTTTCAACTGAAACCCATTATCTTACAAAATGCATGCCGTCTTTTTTGCCATTGATGGGTAATCGTTGATGGGGATGGCATCGGTCATAATCTGCTTGTACACATACTTGGCATGGCATCACTTCGAGAGGAAAACAGTGTCTTTTTCGGTTTGAACATCATTTGGTCGAAACCCAAACTGAAGTGTCCACAGGAGGCTTTTCGAGGGCATAAGCAGTGATGAATTTGATTTGAAGCCGATACTGAGGCATGCGCCAGCCTGAGGCTTTGCAGATCGTGCTACTGATCCCGTGATAAGGTTGGGTTATATGGAACAACAGTTCTGTCAATTGGTGACGGGGTCTCTGCTATTATCACATCGAGCCAAAAGTTCTTTCAATGTGCGGTTCTCTTAAAGTTTTGTCGCATCTACTACAGTTCTTTGGATTTTCACTTCTCTTGGGGGTTATTATGTTTGATATTGCTGTTTACATGTTTGTTATATCCGTGGCGCATCCATCGAATGAAGCATTACTTCGCCGAAGTAACTTTCTAGAGGATATACCTGGTGTTCGCAATAAACAAAGAGTCAGCTATCTCCACAAGGCACTGCCGTTTTTGGAGGTGGCTCTGATAGCAGCGGGCTGGTCCGAGCTGGCTCGTGAGACGATTGATAAAGGTGATAGTCCTATTGAAGATAATGATAATAACTGATCGATTTGCGGAGCAAGCTCCTACCAAGCACATGTTTTTATATTTTGATTATCTCAGTGGACAGCAAGCTTAAAGTTGAGAGTGTAGCGCGCACAAGTACACAGCACAGTTGAGGCCCCAGCGACATTGGCCAACAGCTGGGTATGAAATCGGGTTACACTGCATTTGTCATTAGCGTCCTACAATCTAGATGCTGCAACTGACAATTGGCCAGCGCGCACGGGGACGTTTTCCACGGTTTTAGTCCAGATAAGCCGCCAGATATAACATGAGCTATTTTTCAGGGAGGTTACGCGGATGCCCCACCCCATTCCAAGTTTGTTCAGACGTCTTGTGGTTGAAAATGTAGGCTGAAGATGCTCTTGTTCCAGTAAAATTCATGATTATCACAATATAAACGGTGGCCATTCTCAAAGCGGGGTAGGTTACATGCACTCTACCTTGATCACGACGATTTCCCTGGGTGATTAGAAAAAAAGGAAGGCCCCTTTTTTTTGTCACTCATCGTGTTTAACTATCCGAGGAAGGTCTCTTGTAAGAAAAGCTAATCCGTTTCTGGTAAAATATACGACGGAGGGTCTAGTTTTTTTTTCTCTCTTACTGTATGCACATGTCATCATTCGAACCGCGCAATAATAGGTCTGCAAACTTTAGCCAGTCAAAGAATTACACTGATGTTGAGCGAGTATATCCAAAGAAAAAACGATTCAATATCGTCTCCCACAAGGTTTATAGGTAAGGTATCGACTGGTCAAGGGCGGTGGTCTGCCGTTGAACTTTATAAAACCTTGTGCCAGGACAGTTATTGATCAAGTGAACGGTTACTGAACTGCCGATGATACCATGAATCATCGTGCGTTTCAATAGATCGTCGTTCAAACTGGACTGGAACTCTATTTATAAAGAAAGAAATTCATTGGGTTCAAGGGATATCCTCATTTGAGATACTAGTTGTATGCGATGGCCAGCCTGGATAATGATACGGTATTTTGAGTGCTTCGTGGATCGGAAGATGACGATGTGGAAAGCAATATCTCTCATTGTGCAACATGAGCATTACAGCCAAGAGAAATTGAGTTGTGAACTTACCACGCTGCGTGTATAAAAAATTGTTACATAGTCCCCCCTTTCTATATTTGTGAAATCTCTGTGGAGACGGGTGCCAAATTCTTCGGGTGGGCGCTCGACTGAACTTGCTCCATTTTTTTTTTCTGTACTTGTTCATACGATACCGTATCGTATCATACAATGTCTCATTGGAGTGTGGTAGAAGTGATCCATCCATCCACCTTGTATGTCATTTGACTTTTTTGATGATGATGATGATGATTTGGATGGACTTATCTAAAAAGAAGGGCGCATTATCGTCACTGCGTTCTCGCGGAAAAAGCAAAATTCGGTTGAAATCTTTTTTGGAACCAGCGCATAAGGAGGGGGGCTATGCTGCGGATGACAGGCACCCGGACCGTGAAATGACGTTTTTACTTCTTTATACAGCTACTATGTATGCTTACCATCGCCAAGTTGTTGGTGCCCTTAAAAAAAAGATAACAGACGATAATCTAAAAACAGCAACCACTTTCCAACTGAAAGCATGTGAACCTGGATCGGAAATTGAAAAAAAGGCTTTTTGTACAGGAACCGTGATGGCATTGAATCCCTCTCTAAAAAAAGTAAGTTGCGGCATATTCATCGCCCCATTTCCCGCACCGAACCCAACCGGATAAGTTGGCAGTTACCCGCGCAAAAACAAGAAAAAAAAAAGACGAAATAAAAACATCCCAAAAGTAAGGAGAGAACCTGCTCCTTTCATCGATCGATTTGACAAGCTGAGGTTATTTTCATTTTCTTGATGCTCATTTTTACCATGAACTATTGACAATTGACATAAATTTTAAAAAACGGTGAATCATCGTTAATGACCTTGTTAATTGCTCCCATGCACGGTTCTTCTTTTTTTTTTCCCGCTATAATGATGAATGATGATCATACTCACGAACACAAGCACGTACAGACACTTGTAATTATCCTTTAAATGTTTGGACCATGACGTTTCTGCTACCTAAAAAGGGAAGGAAGCGCAGAATCCAGTGATAAAGACCTGACGCTAGTCCAATTTCGGATTTATTCCCCCTCGATCCTGTTATCTATTTGATCAATGGGAGAGGGGGATCAGAAAGCGGTGCAAGGCAAAGAAAGAAAGAAAAAAAAAAGTTGGTCTATTTGAGGTAATCGAATAAACATATTCAAATAAAATGATGTGTTGGTGCAGTTCATAATCATCATTCAATGCCCAAAAACTTTGAGGCTATTGGCCAATGAGAAGCAATGGGGACAAGAAAAAAATAAGAATGATAGGAGATCACTTAATTAGGTAAGCGTATTCTTCATCGGTCCTCGAACGATGTGTGATCGTATATAAACCGCCTGCACAATCATCCCACTTGAACCATTATCCGTCCCGTTCACCCAAAACCAAAAAGAAAAAAAAGAAAAGAAAAAAGAGGAACATCGCCTTGGGAACCCATCGATATCTACTCCCTTTTTCATTGTATCTATTATCGTTATTTGTATAACAAGAAACAACAAAAGTACCCTCACTAGTCTCTGAAATCTGACAATCATGGTTATCTATCGCAATATTCACAACACTCATCGACCTACCAAGTCGTCACTGACCCTGGTGATCAAAGTCGGGACTTCATCCATTTGTGACGAGAAAACACATTATCCGTTGCTGGGCAATCTGTCTCGCATCGTCGAAACCATCCTGCAACTGAAAAACATGGGTCACCGCGTGGTGCTTGTTACCAGTGCCGCCGTAGGGACAGGGCTCCGACGCTTGAATATGAACGAAAAGCCAAAGAAGCTTTCGGGAATTCAGGTAAAGCATGTGAGCATCTTTTGTCCAACAGAGTCCAACGGTTCCCCTCGCGATATTAACCAAGAGATTTTTTTTGTGGATAAATTAGGCTATTGCTGCTGTGGGTCAAGGCCGGCTTATGAGCATGTATGATGATTTGTTTGGTCAATTCAACCAGCCCGTGGCTCAAATCTTGTTAACTCGCAATGACTTGGCCGACGTATGTATCATTGACATTTTCCTTTGTTTGGGATATATCTTGTATTGACATTTCCCCCCCGTCTTTGTAGCGTTCGCAGTATCTGAATGCGGTCAATTGTCTGGAACAACTGCTCGATATGAGTGTGGTGCCCATTGTGAACGAAAATGATACCATTTCAGTTTCGGTAAGTTGTTCGGTTCGCTTGCGGGAAATGCAATGCAATGCCATTTTGTTGTCCTTCCCCCCCCCAACACACACACACCCGCCCGCGGCTCAACCCCACAATTAACTAAACGAATGAGTTATTTTTTTCGGTTGTATAGGAAATCAAATTCGGTGATAATGATACATTATCTGCCATCACGGCCGGCATGGTGAAAGCTGATTATTTGTTCTTGATGACTGACGTGGATTGTTTATACACGGATAATCCTCGTACGAACCCGAAGGCCAGGCCAGTATTAGAATGCGATGATATTGAAGCATTAAGAGAAGAGATCACCGTGACATCGCCCGGATCTTCCCTCGGCACGGGCGGGATGGTGACTAAACTGGTTGCGGCCGATCTAGCCACAGCGGCCGGGGTAACGACGGTGATTACACGCGGCGCGACCCCCGAAAACATTATACCCATCATTGCTGCCGATGATAATCAAAAGGTGCCTCTCCATACCCGATTTGTGGCCAAACCTCAACCGCTCATTGACCGCAAATGGTGGATTCTTCACGGGTTACACACCGCTGGGACAGTGGTGATTGATGCCGATGTCGCTGGAGCCATTGCCAATGGTGCGACCCGACAGGGAGCCAGTGGTGCTTCACTGTATGCACATTCGGTCAAACGAGTCGAAGGTCATTTTGTCGAACATCAGGCGGTAAGGCTCGTTGTGCAGCATACAACGGCCGATGATGTGACGGATTTTATCACCGTGGCCAAAGGCATCGTCAACTATTCAAGTGCAGAAATTGTCCGCATCATGCGTGCACAACAAAATGATATCGTGGATTCCCTCGGCTATGGTGATGCTGACTGCATCATCCATCGAGATAATATGGCCATCTCCATCTAATTTTTTTTTGTCTTTGCTTTTTATCTGTATGTCTCTTTTGTGTATTAACCCTTTTATTCTTCCCTTCCTGCACACACACACACACACACACACACCTTTTCCATCCCCTTATTTATCATCACCATCTCTCTCTTTTTTTTCATTGTCTCTTTTTCTCGCTACTTTTTGCTCTCCATCATTTATTCCTCTCTTCCTATTATAAAAATAAGTCGCTTTACCATTCTTCAGATGATCATGACTTTTCTGTCAGTTCATTCACTGTCATCAAGTTAATCGCCATGTTGACGATTCGTCGTCCAAAATCCTGATGGCTATAAATAATAGGACAGTGTATTACATTTTTTTATACAATTTTTAGTTGTTTTATTGCCCGTGAAAAATATAGAAAAATAGAAATAGAGTTGATAAATTCGAATAAAGCCTGCTTTGATTCTATGTAGTGGACTCATACCAGAGCAAAAGGCCGCAGTGAAAGTCGGTCCACTCCATGTCATGATCGGATTCCGATTTAGGGTCCCAGCTCATGGGTCTCCACAATGTGACACTGGTGGTGGTGGATGGTGAGTGCGTGACCTTGTCAACGGTGTCCGGAGTAATTTCTTCAGTGTGCAGCGCATCGAGACAAGTGTCAAACCATTGCTGCTCCAGTACGTCGTCCTTGTGTGACACTTCGGAGCCGTCATCAAGCTCGCTGGGATGGGTATCTTGCTGCCGCAGCATATTGCTAATCAGTACGTATTTTCGAATGGGAACATCGGTGCGTGTCTGACTATATTCCGCCAATTTAACAAGTGATAAATAATGAATATTTTCGGTCATGCTGGTCACCGGCAGTGAAGAGGACAGCGTATCATCATGATGATTCGGGTTATCATGGGCAAAAAGTGATGGCGAGCTCACAGGATCGTCAACTGAAGTATGCCTGAGGACCGGTGACTCAGCGGAAGACGAGGAGCAAGTAGTGGGAGAAGAAGAAGTACAATCAAGGGTGGAGGAGGCAGAAGAAGAGAAGAAAGAAGACAAGGAAGAATCGACCATCGTGTAATTTTGAAAGAAAAAAGGAGTGCTTTATAATTACTGTGGAGGTCTATCTTCTCATTTTTGAGAGGACCTGTCTTTTGCTTGAAAAATTGCCCACGATGGCGTAGACAAAAAAATAGAAGACACGCTACTGCGAACACACGGGGGGGGGATGGAAAAAAAAAGATGGAAAACCCAAAAAAAAGGAATCCACTTGAATTATATGACGTAAAGGAGCCACTCAGAAATGCCCTTTCCATCCCACAACCTTCGGAAATCTAGATGCTCACCTTTATTTTTTGCTCTTGTTATTTTTTTTTCCTATTTGTTTACTTGGCTTGCATGAATTCACCAATCGCCGCGTGTGGTATGATCGCTGTCCAAAATCAAGTTAATTACCTTTTGCCTGTCATCTTTTGGTTTCAAACCAGACCGTGATAGTCTCCCGTCAGTCAGTGAGCATGAAATCCAACTGATAGGAAGATAAACATAAAAAACACGGTCTTCATTCAAGACTAAGAATACAATGCAAATCATCGCTTGGGATACTGTATGCAATTGCCTAGCAACAACAAGAGGGGACAGAGCCACATTCCATCTATCATGGGACCGGTTCTGCCGCAGTTGATATTTTGTCTCCGAGGGAGTCTCCCCTACTTGTTCATTTCGTTCCCGATCCTGTGCACCCCGAAGACCGTCCAACCATGCCAAAAAAATCGAAGAAAAAGAAAAGCCAAGACTCTCTCTCTCATCAAGTCAAATCAAGTACATAGGAAGAATACCCGCGATATCATCGCCGTACGGATACTACGCGTGCAAGGGGAGCCTACAATTCCCAACCGAGTTTGAACAGTTCACATCATAACGCCCATCTGTCAATCCAAAAGAAAAAAAAAAGGAAAAAGAGTATATTTGTGTTTCGCCATTTGTTTATCGTCTCTATCACAATTCGTAAAAAAAAAAAAAAGAGAAAAAAAAGTTATCATCATGGGAATCCGGGTGGCAAACAGATCTATTGGAATGCAGTATCCCATTTCTCGGCCATGGCCGCTGTGCTGCCGCTGACAAACCCGGTACCTTCCGGTCGCATATCGACAATATCCTTGGATTTAGCTTTGGCTTCGCAGACGTAGCATTTCTTGGACTTTTTCACAAACATATCAATACAGTGGTTGCAAATGACATGGCCGCAGTTGCGTAACACTTAAAAAAAAAAAGGTTCCCAATAAAAAACAAGACAATGTGTGAGTCGCATGCATTCAATCAATTTGGATTAATTATTTGTTTTCCTTTTTGTTTTTTTTTTACCTGAGAATTTGATTGAGTTTGACAGTGATTTTAAGCATGCGGGGCACACAAGCTTATCTTTATTGCCTTCCTCGGCCTGGAATTTCACCTCAATCAACGATTTTAGACTACCGAAACCAACAGCGTGAGTGGGGATGACAAAAAAAAAGTCGAGAAAGGTCCAATGATGCTTTTACCTCACAGGATGAGCTTCTTTCGCAGCGTGACACATGGCTTGTGTCTGTATCGGTTTGATTTCGTCCTTGTATTGTTTTTGTGCTTCCGGTGTCATGGAAGGCTATAACATGATTTTCCCGAATAAATAAAACAAACCAAACCAATCTATGCGACCTGTTCATCTCGTGACTTACCAACCAAAAGCTGGATAACTTGGATTTGTTCATTTTGGCTTTTTCTTCCTCCAATCGCTGCCAAGCTTTACTGATATCTTGATCGGCAATACTTCGAAGCTCTTCTTCCGTCAATTCAAATTTACGTTTGGTGCCTGCGGTGGAAACGGATTCGCCGCTGCGTACTAATCACCATGTTCACCATGTGTTATTACCGAACATAAGGGTTTCCTGTCGTTGGCTGTGGGGTTCCAATCTTACCTGACACTGCGGATTCCTTGTCACTCTTGACGGGCGATGACGCCGATGATGCGGTTGGCGCATTGGTTTGGCCGATGGCTTTACGTGGGCCCAGCATACTGTTCTGTGTCTTTTCGAATTCTTCCAAAAGGGCGATTTTCGCTTCCTCTTCCTCTTTGGCCTTTTTTTCGTCTAGATTCAGCAATTTCTGTTCCAACAGTTTCTGTTCTCGTTTGATCGCTTGTTTCTGAGTTAAAATCGACTCGTACATGCACTCTCGGCATGCTAAATGTCCGTGAGAACAGGCCACTGGATCTCTGGCCGTTTGTAAACATAAGAAGCAAGCATTATATTCTCTAAATGAATCCCGTCCGATGCGTTGCTGGATTCAAAACGTAAAAATGTCAGCGGGACGTGGGGGAAGAATACTCGGATTTTGTGTGTCATCTTACTCGTTTGGTTCCGTAATCGAGTGCTTTCGTTTCATGATATGTAAATACACTTGAAGCGGTGTTATTCTTGGAATGGCGAGGCATGGTGGCTAAATCGTCAAGTCGTCGTTTTTTGGCTAACAAATAAAAGAAGCAACAGCCAGCCCAAGGCAAAAAGGTCGTCCTACAAGTTGCACCGGATTTTGACCGCAAAATAGTCACTCGAATTTTCATTTGCCGATTTTACGATTTCCCATTCTGTGGTGTTCGCACAGTGCAGTTTAATGAAATGGCCATGATATGGCGATTACGAAACAGTGAAGTAGTTTGCTAGGTACGACATGGTAATATCTTAGCAGATACCTTTTAAAACAATATAAATACTTATTCACCAAACAGCATTGCATGAATCCATAAAAGCTGACACCTACAATTTTTATTATAGTTGCATTATTCGACTTTGAATGGCGTCAACCAACGAGCACTCGAGACAAAACGATTACATCAACAAGAAGAGCAGAAGAAGATTGAAGGCCAAGGATGACAAGATTACCATTCCTATGAGAGAGCCGATTATATGTATACTCTCAGAAAGAGACAAAAATGCGCGTTAGCAATGCCGCCAAGTTCTTGGGTCTATCCCGGTCGACGGTTGATAACATCAGAGGCAATCTCGTTAAAACTACTAACGTTGTTCCTAAGACCAAAGGTGGAAGGCGACCAGAATGCGTCGAGATTACCGAAGACCAATCAAAGTTTCTTGTCGACCTTTGGATGACGATTGCGCCATAACGCTTGGTGTAATGAAGGAAAAGCTGTGTGAAAGATTTTCAGATATCCGCGAGAAGGGCATCTCGTACAGCGATGTCTATCGCCACATTGTCCAGAAATATTGGCTTTATTCTGAAGAAAACTAAGCCAGTGGAAGAAAATGCCACAATCCCCGCGTTATTGAAGCAAGAAAACAGTTTGTGCAGTCGCTTCAAGCCCTAGCTGTATCTTACAACAAATTGCATTTTTATTGATGAAGCTGGATTCAATGTGAACTAATCCGTCAACTGGGGTGGTCGAAGAAAGGAGAGAACTCAGTGGTTCGAACGAAGACGAAGAGGACACTCAATGTGACAATACTTGCAGCAATATCGAACAATGGTGTGGAGAATGCCTCTGCTAAAATGATCAAAGGGGCCACAACAGCTTCGATATTCATTGATTTTCTGAAGCCAATTATTCAGCGTTTAGACGAGACAAATGCCGCCCCCCATTTCTTCGTCATGGATTATTCGGGTATCCGTAGGGCTCGACCGTAGCAGAATTTATGAAGAACACAAGGCATCGTATACATTATTTGCCGCCATACTCACCCCTTCCTCAACCCGGTCGAAGAGACCTTTTCTAAGCTCAAGGGTTTAATGAAGAGAAAACCCGGCTTAGCCAGCGATCCGTTCTTGCATGACATAGCAGAATGCAGCAAACAAATCAGTCAGCGAGGGCCGGGTGAATCACCACTATCCCCCATAAATATCAGTCATGCCCGCTTCACAACAATTCGTCTTCACTCGCTTCACTGGTCTTGTTGGAGCGTAAATTTGGTGACTGTGAGTCTGTCCCACAGTTCATAGGAATTATAGCTACACTCATGCAGTGTGAATTCATCAAAAAACTCATAAAGAACCCTATTATAATAAAAGCAGTTCTCTTCCCCTTAGTCACAAATAACCACGGTTTTGAAGCTATTTTACAAGAACGGATACCTTTGTAAATAATTTATAATTGTGCGTCGTGCCTAGTACAATCCTTGTTGGCTTCACTCCGCTCTACCTGATTGCTATTCTTCATATCTCTTTTAGCTGCATATCGTAGAGTTACTATGACAGTTAATCAAAACAATGAATCACCAAACACCGAATAAGTATAAACACAAAGTCAAGTCGACCAGCTCCTTGAAGAGTTCAGTCAAAGAATGGTCATCGAAGATAATAAACAAGCCGAAGAATCAGCTAACGAAACAGAAATACCAGTGGAAATCCTTACCGAGTTGAAGGCATCTTCTTACCAAAAGACAACACCAAAAAGTTTAAACGAGAAGCACATAAGTACACTTCTAGCGAATGACTCTCTTCTCAGACAATCAACAAGAACCTTTTACCAGAAATCAGAAAATATCAAGTGGGCATCTCTCAAATTGCTAGCTGATTTATAAGATCACCGAAAACACCAGAGTTCAAGCTGGCATAGCAATCGCGCTGTACGAACAACTCGAATACCTCAAAGAGCATCAACAAAAAATTAGCGGAGAAGACGCCAAGATCTTGCTACAAAGAGCAAGCGAACAAGCAACTTTGGAATGGTTGCAGGAAAAGATCAGGGCAATGAAGTTAAAAACTATGCCCTCAAAGCTCTTAGAGTACCCCCCCCCCAAGCCTCAGACTCCTCGAATACGGTCAAGAAACCCAACGGAAAGCAAACGCTTTCGACGACGAATTCATCAAACACCTGTTCAAGCCAGGTTCGAGCAAAGGTTGCTCCAAAACGCAGTCCGAAACAGAGAATCCAACTAATCTTATCGACCAACCAGAGGACAGCATCGCGGAAGTTTAGGCAATACCTCCTTTTTACGGGGCTCGAGGAAGAGGTCGCTACTCCCACGGCCAATCACGAGAGAACAAATTTGCCACCTACAACAACACCAGCCAAGAATCAGCCCAACAGTAGCGCCAACGATACAAATCGACCAAACGAAACAAACAGAAACAGCACAAAAGACACCACTTATGCAACAGACGATAATAACAACAACCAACAACTCACCCAACAACGAACATTACGATATTCCATCAGATGGGATCCAACCGGAAATCGCCTCACCTCATTTTTACCACAATGGAAGAAAAATTACCAAACACCTATGGCCGTTGTCAGTGACAAAGAACGGTTACCGTCTCCAGTTTATCAAGAAACCAATACCATGGAGGACGAATCATGTGAAACGATCGACCAAGGATCAACAAGAGATCAACACTGCAGTCAACAAGTTTTTTCGGGGCGGAAACATAGAGAAAACGCCAACACAGGACAGGAGCTATCTGTCGAGTTCTTCACAATACAGGAAGCGAACAAACAGAGACCGATCCTCAATTGTCAAAGACTGAACCAGTACCGCCAATGCGAACATTTTCGAATGGAAGGAATACCAGCATTAAGGGACATCATCGAACCGCAGGACTATATTTGCAAGATAGACCTCAAAGATGCGTATGTGGCGGTCCCAATCCATCCGAACCCCAGGAAATTCCTGACATTTCTGAACGAAGAAATAGTGTAGCAGTATCAATCGCTCGCATCCGGACTAAGCACAGCTCCGAGAGTATTCAGCAAGATAATGAGGTATGCTGTAGAGCCACTGAGGAAAGAAGGAATTCAATGATCTACTATTTGGGCGATATCTGCATTCTAGCCAAGACAAAGCAAGAGATGACGAGGGTCACCCAGAAAATAATGGCACATCTACAGAGCCTTGGATTCTTGATCAACTTCCAGAAAAGCAATTTGATCCCCCAACAGGCGCAGGAATTCCTTGGTTTCCTTTTCAATTCGAAGATGACGATAACAGTCCCTCAAGTGAAAATCACCAAATTGCGACAGAGAATCAAGCAAGCGCAACAAAGCTAAGTCCCGAGATCATGCAGGTGGATAGCCAGTCTTTTGGGAAAAATAACAGCATTGATATCAGCAATGGGAGAAGCATTGCTACACATTCGTTATATGCAGAGAGACTTGGCGAAGAGCCTACAGAATTATGGTCACGACTGGGAGAAACCGTGCGGACTGTCGATGTCCAGCAAGAAGGAACTACGATGGTGGCAAGAACATATCACACTCAAGAATGACTTATCAATACAACAGCTGAAAATGAATAACCAAAAATCCAGATATATACGGATGCTTCGGAAACGGGCTGGGGAATCCCATCAGACATGGTTCAGACGTCGGGTTTTTGGACACAAGGAAAAACAGCACTCAATAAAGGTGAGAGAATTGAGGACGATATATTTTGCCTTGTTGCTCCATGCCGAAAACTTCATTCGACGATCCAGATATATAGCGACATTATAACCGCCATCAAGTATGTCACGAAAGCAGGGGGGACTTCATCGCCTTTACTTCAGGAGCTGGCAGTGGATTCAAGACATCTGCAATCACAACAATCTCCAGGTAATATACAGACATGTGCCACGATTAAACAACATCACTGCAGATCGCCTCAGCAGGAGGAAGATTCCACTATACGAGGAAGCCCTGCCAAAACGAATATTTGCCGAGATCCAAAGGAGAAGGGGACCATTGACGGTAGATGGCTTTGCGACACGAGCTATCAAGAAATTGGAACGGTTTTGGAGTCTACTCCCCGATCCGGAAGCTGAAGCCCTGGATGCGTTCAATCAGAAGTGGCCGAAGGAAGGCCTGTTTCTCCAACCACCGTGGAAACTGTTGCCAAGAGTGCTGAGGGAGATCAAACAGCAGAAGGTCAAGAAAACAGTAATGGTAACGCCATTCTGGCCCACCCAATTGTGGTTCCCCCTGATCCTGAATGAACATCTGGCCAAACCGGTACTGTTTCCAATGAAGAAATGGAAAATGGCCGCTTGGCGATTATCAGGAGAGCACACAAGGAAAGAGGCCTTACCGAAGATACTCAAAGTATCTGTTGAAAGCAAATCGGCTCAACACGCAAAAGGCATATAATCAAGGGTGGAATAAATGGTCGGCCTGGTGTAGAAGATTCCACCGTGGGATCCTGAAGAGTATGAGGTTCAACGCCTAGTGGAATTCTTCATGGAACATTCGAAGTACTCATACCATAATCCGAACACCATCCGTTCCGCAGTGGCCTCAGCTTACAAACATTTGCACCCGAACAAAACTCCAATCGCTGACCAGCCCTTGATCGCAGAAATTTTCAAGGCCAAAAAAAGAGAACCAGTTCGCATTCCATCCATAGAACAAACTGAAACATGGCATTTGGACATATTGACATATTGACAGATTTTATTAGATCAATGTCAAGATGGATGACCTACCTTTAGAGAAATTACAACAGAAGACCATTTTGTTGCTAGCCATCAGCCGCATGGGAAGGCCAAGATCGGAATTAGGAAGATTGCAATTTCGAGACGTGCACCTCATCAAAGAAGAACAGGCAGTAGTGGGCGCCTATATGCAATTTCGAGACAACAAAGAAACGCAACTCAAGACACTGAAGTTGGGCAAATCCCAGAAGAATGCATGTGCCCGGTGAGCGCCCTCGAAAGGTTCATGCAGAGATCAACGCACATGAGAAACGGCCTCCCGGAAGAACACACACTATTTCTGGCGTATATAGAAGACATATCGAAAACACGATCGGTGAAGCCAATCACAGTAGCGAACTGGATTAAGAATCAAATGAGTAAAGCGGGCATTGATACGAAGACGTACAAAGCTCACTCAGTTAGATCGGCGGCGACTACCAAAGTCGTTCAACAGGGGCACTCGATCAGGTCTGTCAAGGAACACGCAAACTGGAGCCTTACGAGCAACACGTTCGAAAAATACTCTATAAACCACCGGCCCAGGAGACACAAAGTACCGTCATTACAAAGACACTTTTTCGGTTCCGGAAAATAGTACCTCATTGGAAGGCGGAGTGAAGCCAACAAGGATCGTGCTAGGCACGACGCACAATCGCAAATAAACAAAAGAGAGCGTCTTTCGCACCCTGTAGTCAGTACCTAAAGTCGTCCGTTTCTAGTGAGAAGAATTGTCTATCACATTAACGAACCCAGTTATCTTACCGCTTTAACTCAAACATGCAAGCTCAGCGCCTAATGAACGTGGAGCAGTAAAACGAGGGAAAACGAGCGAAAACGAGTGAAAACAAGTGAAGTCGAGTGAAGTCGAGTGAAGACGAGTGAAGTTGAGTGAAAACGAGTCACAGTCGAGTGAAGTGGAGTGAAAACTGAAGTTGAGTGAAATTGAGTGTAAACGAGTCACAGTCGAGTGAAGTGGAGTGAAAACGAGTGAAGTTGAGTGAAGTTGAGTGAAAACGAGTCACAGTCGTGTGAAGTGGAGTGAAAACGAGTCACAGTCGAGTGAAGTTGAGTGAAAACGAGTGAAGTTGAGTGAAGTTGAGTGAAAACGAGTGAAGTTGAGTGAAGTTGAGTGAAAACGAGTCACAGTCGAGTGAAGTTGAGTGAAGTTGAGTGAAAACGAGTGAAGTTGAGTGAAGTGGAGTAAAAACGAGTGAAGTTTAGTGAAGTTGAGTGAAAACGAGTCACTGTCGAGTGAAGTTGAGTGAAGTGGAGTGAAAACGAGTGAAGTTGAGTGAAGTGGAGTGAAAACGAGTGAAGTTGAGTGAAGTTGAGTGAAAACGAGTCACAGTCGAGTGAAGTGAAGTGAAAACGAGTGAAGTTGAGTGGAGTTGAGTGAAAACGAGTCACAGTCGAGTGAAGTGGAGTGAAGTGGAGTGAAAACGAGTGAAGTTGAGTGAAAACGAGTCACAGTCGAGTGAAGTTGAGTGAAGTTGAGTGAAAACGAGTCACAGTCGTGTGAAGTTGAGTGAAAACGAGTGAAGTTGAGTGAAGTTGAGTGAAAACGAGTGAAGTTGAGTGAAGTTGAGTGAAGTGGAGTGAAAACGAGTGAAGTTGAGTGAAGTGGAGTGAAAACGAGTGAAGTTGAGTGAAGTTGAGTGAAAACGAGTCACAGTCGAGTGAAGTGAAGTGAAAACGAGTGAAGTTGAGTGGAGTTGAGTGAAAACGAGTCACAGTCGAGTGAAGTGGAGTGAAGTGGAGTGAAAACGAGTGAAGTTGAGTGAAAACGAGTCACAGTCGAGTGAAGTTGAGTGAAGTTGAGTGAAAACGAGTCACAGTCGTGTGAAGTTGAGTGAAAACGAGTCACAGTCGAGTGAAGTTGAGTGAAGTTGAGTGAAAACGAGTCACAGTCGTGTGAAGTTGAGTGAAGTGGAGTGAAAACGAGTCACAGTCTTAGTCTTTTTCTAACCCACACGTCCAGCCGCAGCTCACTAAAGCTCCGACACCAATTTATTGTCATCCAAGCTTCCTTCGTCCTGATAAATTATCATGGAGACGACTCTGGTGAATTTGCGATACTGTTGCCATGTCTGCAGCAGGTTTCTCGCAGATGCATCCAGTCTAAAAAGACATTACATCAAAACGCATCAAATCTTTTTGCCTTCACGCCCAGAAGGCGGCCCGTCCCGTATGGATACGCCTCAGTACACCTATATCACACAGCAAAGCGACAGAAGCCATCCATCAATACAAACACAGTATGCGTGCCTATCTTGCTTAGCGCATTACCCCAACATGCCTGATCTTTCTGACCATATCGAGAATATTCATCTGGTGCCAACATCAACCGGCAGTGCGACCAGAAACCACGACAACACCGACGGTGCAACTGTTTTAACAGAGCAAGATACAGAAGAGCCAAGCCGGAAACGACTATGCCATGTGAACACAGACAGTCCTGCCCCAATTGTGGGCAGCAATAACACAATATACAAGTTCACATCTTCGCATCAGACATATCAAGCCTTGGAGGTGTCGCGTATCAACCCAAAAACGATTGACGCACTGTCATCCATTGTGACGATTATCGCCCCTTGTAATCCGTCCTTGTCACCAGATCTCCTCTTAGACTTGCGCGAACTTAAGGCGGCCCACGCATCACTTGCTTATCTCAAGCAATTTCCCGCAACGTTTACCCTCCTGATGGGCGCGATGAACCAGCCTATCGAGAAACTGCCCGTTTGGCTGTGGGGGAATCCTGCTGAGAACGCTCTCTCTATCGCGGAAAAGCAACTCATACTGACCGTACGTTTTGTGCTGACTGATTATGCAAATAACAACAACAACGAGCAGGTGGCACCCTTTTCCGACGTCAGCGAGCGAACTTTCCTCATAAATCATGTCGTTCCCATCTTTAAAACATTCGGAAACCAAACAAAATTGCTCTCCTTCAACTGGTGTGAGTCACAGCTCATGCAACATTCTCGGCAATCTCGTGTCATGGTTGATATCGGCCAGCTGAACGAGACGACACTGCGTTTTGTCGACGGACTCGGCTTCGACAAGAATAACGTCGAACGACTAATCCTCGAGGTCCCCGGTGGGCGTTTGTCCAACAACCGCCTCCATGCGAGTGATGATACACTCAAAATCATGCACAGTTTAATGTGTGTTTTAAAAGGAGATGCCCAGACTCACGCCAATGCAAGTCTGGTCACGTATAAGCGGGTGAAGGCGTTTGGTGTACAGACGGTGCAAGACGTTGTTATCCTTTCAGAAATGTCACTCGGGGATAATTGCAAGTATGCATACAAAGAAGTAATGACTGCCGCCGTCCCAGTCAACGATAGCCACCGAAGCAAATGGTTGCCTATGTTTGATCTTTTGGCATATTTATATGTGCAACTTAACGAACAGGTCAACATCATCAGGCGGCTTCAGGAAGAGCATGATGGGGTGCACGTTGTGGATCAAAACATGACTCTCATTTCAACCTTGTATGAGCAATAGTTGTACCCTTGCCATATCTTTCATTTCTCAAGCTGATTTCTTTTTATCTTCTACGACTCTCCCCCAAAGTTATATCTTGCACCTCTTCCTTTCTATCTTCAGATCTCCCCCCAAAGTTATACCTTGCGCCTCTTCCTTTCTATCTTCAGATACCAACTCTTTATTTCTTTAAGGATCTGTATTGACTTCTAGTTTTATTTCATCTTCTTCTTATTCTGTTAACCTCCAACTTCACAAAGATGACTTCAATCGTCATAAAATTTGCCACAATAAATGGCTGCATGTCTAGGATGCTTCTTGTTACCCTTGCTGAATAAGATTAATCCCGTCGAGTCTCTACTTGATGCACAGTGGTATCGATTCAGCGTTTCAGCGTATCAGCCCAGAGAATTGTATCAGTTCGTAGGCCTAGAGTACGAGGACCTGAAGATTCGTTCATTTTTGCGTGCATTAGATCCTTACTAATCCCATTTTGCTTGGTCGGGTGCTCCTCTCTTTTCTTATTATTTTGTTCGTTCTTTTCTGATATTATCTCCTCCAGCGCGTCTGAAGCCTGGCTGTCTTCAGTCACAGAAGCCGACAGGTCCAAGAAACAACGATAGAAACAACAAGTACAAGATTTGAACGTAATAAAAACTTGACGAGAACTCTGTTCCTGAGGATGTCACTGTTTATACGTGGATGACGCTGAAGAAAGTCCAGCTGAAGAAAAGAGCAGTAAGGTCAGTGAAAACGAGTAAATTATTATTCTGTCAAAAAAATATTGGACCTTGAGGAAAACCACACTTACTTGGTACAACCTTACGTAGCCAATCATCTGACCCGAACTGCCATACCTTTTACAGAAGGCGAGTGAAGACGAGTGGAAACGAGTCACAATGGAGATCGTTACGAAAGCGGGGTCCCATTTTCCCTCATAAGAAGCCGTCACATTGACACGCCATTTCCACTAATGCTGTAATATTGGTGCTGCTTCATAATACAAGGCGATCTAACCACTCTCTTTTTATTACACCATGGGCGACCACAAACACAAATCCAAAGACAGGGACTCACGGAAAAAGTCGAAAAAGGAGAATAAAGAACGTCGAGATCACAAGAAACATAAAAAGAGTTCAAAAAAGACATCGTCGGACGATGAAGCCGATGTTGACTACTCGGATCCTTCCCTCTGGGTAGAAAAAGCCAACGACACTCCGCCTCCAGCCGAATCCACACCGGCATCCGAACCAGCTGCAGCTCGTCACGGATGGATGCTCGACGAATCGTTTGATTTTGGGTCCATGGGAGTCGCGCAAAAGAAAGAAGAAGCTCCCAAGCCAGAAGTAAGACTATTAAAGTTTTTTTCTTCCTTTGACCATTGAGACGTGGGAGCCAGCGTGAACTAAAAAAGCAAATCTTTGAATCATAGCCCAAAGTGAGTGTTTTGGATGTCAACCCATACGTCCCAACCGGAGTGTCTCTGGATAATACATCCAGCGTAAAGAAGGGCATCGAATTTGGGGACGCAGGATCCAGTTGGCGTATGATGAAATTAAGACGTGTCATGGAACAAGCCGAGGATGAACAACGCCCCTTGGAGGAAGTAGCATTGGAACGTTACGGTGTAAGTGGATCAAAACGCGATCTGATTAAAACAATAGAACGAGACAAAAAAAAGCAGAGCAAAGGGTATTGATACTTTTGAACCATTCCTAGACGATGGAAAAAGTGAAAGAGGCATTTGCCGAACGAGAATACCTGGATCAACGTAAAAGTCGAGGTGGACGCGGTTCTTCAAGAAGAGGAGAAAGCGATCGAGGCGATCGTCGAGGACAACAAGAGGGTCAGCGATTCATGTTTACAAACACGGATCCGGCGGCGCCTCAGTCGTCGTTCCGTCGTCCAGATCATGCACGACGGTCACCCCAGGAGGTGGATGAATTTGGTCGAGAAATGAAACGCCGCCGTCGTCGATCGGTGACTCCGTCGCCTTCCACCCCACCTTCGAGTTCAACCGAAGCGGCCGCGAAAAAGTTGTTGGCGGAAGCGGCCAATGCGCCGGTTCACACCCCTGTGCTTATCACCCAACACGATTTACCCAATGCTTTTTCAACCGAATCCAATGTTTCGCGTGACCAACTCAACAAACTGAACGCGAAAATTGTGAAAGCGCGATTAATTGGAAGCGACAACCTGGAAGCGCTCGAAAAGGAATACGAAGAACAGGTGCGGTTGTTCGAAATGGCTCAAGAAGCCACCGGCGTAAGTGGTCTAAAAATATTTTTGCATCGATCAATTGTACGAGTGTGACCGGCTTCTGATCCAGGATTGATTTTTTTTTCAATTCTTTTCTAGTCAAAAAAAGTGGAAGTGCTTCCCACCGTGGACAGTCAGGGAAAACTGTACGATTATGCATTATCGCGAGGTCCGGCCATGGAAGAAAGTTCACATATCGGGCAGTCGAAAAAACGAAAGGAAAAATTCGAAGGTACCCATGACCGAGTGACGGGCGAACGATTAAAGTATGCGAGTTCGGACGATACCATGTCGTTGATGGACATGGTGAAGCAAGAAAAAGCAGGCAGTCGGTCCGCGACGAACATGGACTTGGACTTTGCTAACCGTATCGTGCGCGATGCTCGATTTGAAGTAAGGCCAACTTATGTCTGACGAGGGAATGGAGGGAATGGAGGGAATGGAGGGAATGGACAAGTTGACGTCGATGTGGTCTTTCTTTTCGTTTAGGACAATCTGGAATATCTGGATGAAAAGGCCGACATCATGGCTACCAAGAAAGGGGTATCGGAGGAACAAAAAATGCGATCGGCCATTCAGGGTAAGCGAGAAAATCGAGATTGGTGTTGGCACAATCGATGGAGGAGGCAAGATCAAAGATTGATTTACACTTTTTTGGAATCCAGATTACAAAAAGGTCCAGAGTGCGTTGGATAAATGTCGCTTATGTTATCACTTCCCGAACCCTCCTCAAGTGAGCGTGATTGCTCTGGGCGTACAAACGTACCTGGCCCTGCCAAACGTGACGGAGCTAGTGCCTTTCCACTGTCAGATCATTCCTGTTTCACATGTGTCATCCACTTTGGAACTTGATAACGAAGTGTGGGATGAAATCAGGGTACGTCATGAAGGGTGGTTTCGCAAGAGTCGGTAGTGAAAAAGACTGACGTAGATTAATATGACAGAATTTCCAAAAATGTTTAATGCAAATGTTTCACGAGCAAGACTGTGGTGTTGTGTTTATGGAAACGGCGATGAATTTCCGCCAGCATCGTCACACAGCCATTGAAGTGATCCCCATTCCTTATGGTGTTTATGAAGATGCAGCCGCTTATTTCAAGGTAAAGAAAAAAAAACAACGTTAGTTGTCCAAGAGAAAAAAAAAAGGTTTGATCGATGATACTAATATCTAGTGATTGTTGGATGGGGTTACTCTAGGAAGCAATCATGTCCAGCGAAGAAGAGTGGACCCAACACAAGAAACTAATTGATACGTCGGCACGTGGCTTCCGAAACTGCATGGTGAAAAATTTGCCGTATTTCCATGTGTGGTGCGGTTTGGACAAGAGTTACGGCCACGTTATTGAGAATGAACGAGAATTCCCTTACTGGTTTGGCAAAGTAAGCATTGCTGATATGGGATCCAAAAGGGACAACCGAGTCGATTGAATTTATTGTTTAATTATTCTTTGTAGGAAGTGGTGGCGGGTATGTTGGATATTGGACCAGAGCGCTGGCGCCGCCCAAGATTTTGTAACCCACATGATAACCGAAAACGGTTAGAGGAGTTTTCAGCGTCCTGGAAAAAGTGGGATTGGACGGCTCAACTGGAACAAGAACAAGCGTAAAAAAAAAAAGTTCAATCATCGACTCTTTTTTACACAAAATGATTTTTTTTCTTTTGAAAAACATGCGTGTACTGCATGTGGATGATGGTGTAAATATAAAAGACATAGTGAAATGATATCCCGTGTAAAGCATAAACAATAGGATAGTTTTTTAGGCTCCAAAATCTCAGTGGAGTAATTAAAAAATTTCTATGGCTTTAAAATTTGCAAGTTGGACCCAAGTGATCCGACTTGTGATCTGAATATGAAAATCAAAAACCTGCAGATTCGATACCGCCTAGAGGTAAAGCCTGAAATAATGAGATAAAGTATAAAGGTCATCTTGAATGAAAAGGGATAAACCCTGCTCTTTCTATTTTCCTTGTTCATGACTGAACGGGAATCTTTTTGATGTTTCTTACTGTCATCCATATATGAAAAAACCCCAAATCGGAATCTAAAATGACGACTTTTTTCCACCACAGAATGATGCGAGTCATTTATGCTGTTGAACGTAATATGGACCGTATCCTTAGCAGATACAATATTAACTGTGTGCATAACAAGGCTTCTATAATATTATAACATATTAATCTCAAGTTATGTATTTCGTTACTGAGAGTCAAAGGGCATGATAATGAGAGGGAACATAAAGACAAGGGAATATGATATGTAAGAAAAAAAAAGTTAATTTTAGAAAAAAGTTAATTTCTGAGGATGAAATAGCGTGAAAGCGACCAGTGGTTTTTCAAGAAAAGCTAGGAACCGAACCGATAGTGAAAAATCACCAAAAAGTAGACCATGTTATGTTTGGCAATGGTTTGAGAAAAAGAGTCCAAAAACGGTGTGATTTAGTGTTTTCTTGTCCCACACGGAACACACCGCTTCTTAAAACAAGCACAAAAAAAAGGTGTGCTGCAAGAACAAAGAGAGAGAGAAAGAGCAGAAAAACCCCAATTTTTCAGGCGGCCCTTTTTCTTTTTCTTATTCAATACCCACTTGCCTTTTTTTTTTTTTTACTTCCTTTCTTCTTTTTGCATTTCAACGTCTTGTTCCCCTTTTGAATACACCGTTTTATTTTTTTTTTCTAGTTTTCTGCTATTGTCCTCTACGACGATATAAAACGATCCTTATTTTAGCTTTCATTTTAAAAACCAACAAGTCGAAGAAGCATATACGGCGACATGCTCAGTTCTTCGTGCCTTGTAGATAAACATACCACGCCGTCGTCTCAATCGAACCTTGCATCAGTGGCGACTTCGTCTCTTCACGCCAACGATGCTCCCAGCGGCATACCCGAATTTGTAAAAAAATTATTCTAGTAAGCCCATCGAGTGGGGATGACAAAAGAACCGCCACGTTTTTTTTTCTAGTCAGGTGTTTTGACCTTTTTTTTCTGAATTTGCAATAGCATGTTGCAGGATAACTCATTTCCTCACATTCTGTCTTGGGGCGTGGGAGGCGAATCCTTTGTTGTTAAGGAACCCAACGAATTTGCGCGACTGATTCTTCCCAAACATTTCAAACATTCGAATTTTGCGAGTTTTGTTCGTCAATTAAACAAGTATGACTTTCACAAGATACGCAATCCAGAAGACGGACCGCGACCTTACGGTGATCAGGTACATACTTCTCTTTTTTTTTTTTTTTTCCTACGAACCTTTTTCCCCTTTTTTCCCTCTATTTTTTTTTTTTTATTATTTTTTCATGTCGCTATGGGAGTTTGTGAGTGGTGCAGTCTTTTTTGGGTCTCCGCATTTAGACTTTTGGAGTAACACCAAAATGGACAAAGAGCGCTAAAACGCAACGGATTAAAAAAAAAAAAAAAGGAAGAAAAGAAAAAAAAAAGTGATACAATGGCATATCGTTTCCTTGCAAGGGCATAGGTGGTTTTGCTTATAACGATTTTGATCATGGACTAACAGGATCGCAAATGGTTTGATGGTTGTAGGTGTGGGAATTCCGGCATCCAAATTTTCAATATGACAGAAAGGAACTGTTAGAAGGCATCAAGGTACAGTAATAAAAATTGGGATGCATGACAACAACCAGAAGTCATTGACCGGTATCCTCTTCGTTTAGAGAAAAACCTCGGCGAAACCCGTTCGTTCAAACTCATCCACAGCATCGGCATCTCAACTTCACGCAAGCTCTCATTCATCCATTCAAGCTAAACATCGCGCATCAGGAACTTCAGCACAAGATCAACTCAAAGCATTAACAGCCCAGCTGCAGACACAAATAGAACAAATGCAACAAACACAAACCAACATGGACCATCATTTACAAGCCCTCGCCAAGAAATACACCACCACCTTTCAGGACATTGTCAACTTTAACAAGAAAAGAATCGGTCAAGATCATCTCGTGCAGAAAATGATGCAGTTCATGATGCATCAAGGTAAACTATCAAGTGATGGACTGGATTGACTGCTTTTTTGGTTGCTAATCAGATTCAATGAATTGAGTAGAAGCGGCAGCCCAGGGGATGCATTCACGCGGGCGTGACATCCATGATAATGCGACTTACTCATCGGAATCAATCTCCAGACTGGATGAAATGCAGCGGATGTTCGCATCGTACAATTCGGTTGCACAAGCCAGTGAAGGACAAATGAATCAAATCACACAACACGTGGAAAATCTGCAACACACTTTCGCTTCCGCATCGCCCATGATGTCCGATCCAGTCCCCCCTCCCTCCACCACCACAAACACAACCACGACTTATACGACCACTCAACCCAACACCACGACAACCACCGCCATCGCCACGTCATCTCCTCCTTCCTCTGCCGCGGTTCTTCGTTCCCACGTCGTGGATCCTTTAAGCGCCACCGTGACCGACCCGATCGTGGTTTCTTCGACGACAATGACCTCCGCCCCCGTTTCGACGACTGTTACCACGACACCGCAGGATGTCTTTCCCATGGAAACCGCTGCCATGATTTCGAATCCAGCCGTGGTGGGTCACGACGGAATGGCGGTGCTCACCATAAGTCCGTCTGCACCTGCAACGTCCGATACCATGACCGCCATCACCCCCGCCCCGACCGCATTGACAACTTCACGCGGTATCAAACGTAAATCACTTATTCCAGGATGGACCATTCCCCCCAAAGTGCTGTTGGTCGATGATGATTCCATTTTCCGTCGTCTCTCCACACGCTTACTGCAACTCGCCGGATGTACCATTGACGTTGCCGTGGACGGATTGGAAGCCCTCACCAAGCTGAGTTCGGATCGCTACGACATTGTTCTCATGGTAAGTCCCTTTTATTTTTGGTTTTGACATGGGAATGACCTGATGGATTCGACTGACACCTTCGGGGCTTTCTGTTAGGATATCATGATGCCTAATTTAGATGGTATCTCCGCTACGAAGAACATTCGTCTGTACGATACCTGGACGCCCATTATCTCCATGACAGCCAATACCACGGATCGCGATATTCAGCAGTACATTACGAGTGGAATGACAGATGTGTTACCCAAACCTTTGGATCAGCGGATGTTGTGCAAACTGCTTGAACGGTATTGCGCGCATCTGAAACTGGTGGGACATCGTCAAGGTCAAGAAGGCGAGATTCGTCGTAGCCTTGAACTCGGGTTAAGTACGCCGATGATCAAAGTGATTGAAGAAGGCACGCAAGACAAAGGCAAACAAGTGGCCACCCAGCAAGGGGTCGATTTGACCACGACCACCACGTTTATCAATATGCAGGATATCACTCAATTGAACGATTTCATGGGATTTGTGTCCCAACGATACCAACCTTCACCGGCGCCACCGTTGTCCGTTCCTTCCAACTTGCAGCAATTACCTTACTCTTATTCCCTTCCTGCCTCATCCGAAGCCACGTCCGTGCCAGCGTCGATGGCCGTCGCTTCCACGCTTGCCACCCCTCCCTCCGCCCCGTCTCAGGGCCATTGGCAAATTTATGTAAATAATCAATCACTGCAGCATGTTCGAGGAGACGAAGCATTTTACGATGACGGATCGATGCATGACGGTCATCGAAAGAAGCACAAGCCCAATAGCTGCTTTACTTAGCATCTCTCACGCAACCTTTTTTCTACCCATTTTCCTCAATACTTACGTCATTTATGTTTGTTTTATCTACTTTCATTGGTTTTGGCTTCATTCTTTTGTTGTTGTTTCTTTTGGATAGGCTTTTTTGTTTTTTTCTTTATGTTTGTCTTTCGTTTTTTATTATTATATATTGTTTTCACTTTTTCGCCTTTATCCCTTCTTGATGATGGCCCAGGCCGCCTTCACCAAGGGGGAGGGGGAAGGGGGGGGGGGGTGTTCAAGCCGTGAGGATGACATAGTTCACATGATGATAATACACAAATTGTATATACAGCAAGAAAACCACTTTATCTACAGAAGCTTTTCTTTTTGGCGACGTTGCAACGGCATGTCTTGATGCCGTGCAAACGCCAGTCTCTGTTCCCCAGAACAACAAACCTCTTTACATGCCAATTTTTAAGCAGTATTTTTTGTGGTAATGAACTTTGAATAAAGTGTGAATCATGCACAATCTCCACTTGAATGAATTGTGTGATGCGGTACCGTAAACTTCATCCAAACTTGGCTGGCCTTGATCATCGACTTATTACTTTGCTCATCTATTATTTTGGAACATGGTCTCAGTCTTTTTTCTCTAGTAGCCAGTCAAACAATATTCTTAATTTTTCAGCAAAACGCTTGCTTGCTTGCTTGTACTCTAAGGGGTATGCCCCCCTTTTTATACAGAGCTACCTTGTAGCTGATAATCGATGAAATATTTTTCTTCATTTTGAGATGTATTTAATTGTTGACATTATGGGAAAGAAAAAAAAAAGAAAAAGGAAGAAACAGGTAAATAACACGAAATGATAGGGAGAACAACAACAGAGAAAAAAAAACCAAAGGAAAGGGATACTTTGTAACACGGATGAAAAAAAAAAGAAGTTGAATGCGAATAAAAACATGGATTTGTAATCTAGAGATGGAGTGCTTCTTCGATACAATAGTTGATGAAATCTTTTCGATAAGACATATCCATACCGAAATGGCGACTGAGCTGTTCTCTGACCTGTTTCTTGGTCATGGTCATCAAATCTGCCGTGGCCGTAATACGTTGCACTTCCCGTCGAATATCTTCATCGCGAGGTCCACCCATCATGACCGCCGCTGCACCGGGAGGAGGAGGCGGTGGAGGGGGCATCATTTCGGCATAGGCGCTTTCACTGTACACGGAAGCGCCCGAGGGCATCATGACCGAACCAGGTCGCATCAAATGTTGATGCAAATGTTGTTGCGACATGCGGAAACTGGCGGCTGAATCGTTATACAGACCGACCGATGCTGCATAAGGTTGGTAGGTGCGTCGACTGGTCGCGGTCACCGAGGTCCCTTTGGTTTCAATGGACCCGGTTTCCCACAACTCGCTTTCGTGATCATTCCATTTCTTGAGTGGGATCGTTTTGGGATCGAAATGGCCCTCGTCCACAGGCAAGGCCTTCTTTTGACCATCTTCGCCTACCACCAAACGTGTATTACCCCATGAGAAATCGTCAAAATGCCAGAATGAATAAATCGGAATAAAGAAGGAAAACAGCGGTATCGCCAAAATGTAGACAATCATCCATCCAATATGTTCCCACTGAATTCATTAAAAACATAGAAACGGGTGAGCGAACTGTGAAAGAGAAGTTTCCTTGCATTCTTTTTTTCTTTTTTCTTCACGATTTTACCTTTCTTCGAATGATAAAGATAATGGCTTGCAAGCCATACACACCGCACAAGGTGATGATAGAAATCATCGGCACCTGACCGGCATCGGAGACCAATCGATAGATAAGATAACCTAGATAACACACGACGGCAGGCATGGCTAACGTGCTGAGCAAATCGAGAATGACGACAAATCGCATGGAGAAGCAGCAAAAACCGCACAGTTGAGGAAGAAAGACCAGCTCTCCCAAGTTATGAATGGTCGAATTGATCCATCGTCTTCGTTGCGATAGCAACACACTCCACGTTTCCGGGGCATTCGTAAGACAACATGCGTCGGCGGTGAACTTGGTCTTGTACGTCGGGAAATGTTTGAGAATCAGGGTGGTCAGATACCGATCTTCACCCAAGTGCAGCAAGTTCTTTTGATGCAACGTGTGAACCCTGTTTTCCGCATAGTCATTGATCACCTGATTGCTCACAAGTAACGGCTGATGCTTCTGAGGCGAGCGCACACGGTACATGCAGAAGCATCCCGGCAGACAAGTGACGGAGCCAAACAAGCTTTCGAATGCTTTGGCCAAAAAGTGGGAAATGTAGTATTCATAAACCTGGATCATGGTCACCCAACTATCCTTTTCATTGGCCAGTTTCGTTTCGCCGCACAGGCCGACGATCTTGGAATCGTGGACAAAGCACGATACCATGCGGTTCAGTGAGTCTGGCAAGACCTCGGTATCGGCGTCAATCATCAGCACAAATTCGTAAAAGCTCGGATTCACGCCAATAACGTTCTTGATCTGATGATAGATTTCCAGTTCCATGGGGGTCATGGGCGATTCAAAGTGTACCTTGTTCAGGAACTGCATCAAGACCATTTGCGAGTCGCGTTTGCCTCGATTGCCTGGTTTTTGACGTTCATTGGCCCCGACTTTGACCACCACGACGTACGGTACCACGTGCCCGGAACATTCATAAAGACCCGAATAGATTTTGCCCATGTTATGCTGTCGTCGACCTTCCCCGAGCGACAGGAAAGATAACGGTTCAGGGTCCACATTGGCATCGACGCCCAGGATATCCAGCACAATGCGTGGCGTAGGTCGGTCGTTGCCACTGCCGACAATCATGCCATCGCATACAAGGAACAGCAATTTGCGCTTGTCGTCGTATCGTAGCACCGCAATGGAATCGATGGTCTTGCGCAGCGATTCTTCACTTTCGGTATAACACGGTACTTGGCAGACGATGAATTTGTCATAGTCTTCGGGCTCACGGTACGATCCGAGCTGCAAGGCGGCCAAGAACTTGAACAGGATGACCGCGCACAGGAAGCCCGTGATAATCAATAAGAAGTACTCGGAGAACTGGCACTGGAGCGATCGACGCGTGTCAACTTTACCCACAAAGAACAGGTTGCGTAGACACACGAGCTGACGCATGCGCAATCCTTGATCGATCGGCAAAGCATCGAAATGCTTGGAGATATCGGTGCCGGCTAACTGACGGAAAAGTTCAACGATGCTGTTATCCATGAAATTTAGATCCAGGTTGGTCGGTGCCACTTGGCCTTCGGGGACACGCGGGGCTCGGCCTCCCATGAGATAATACGTCAAATCATAGATGTCACCGTGCAGAATGGCCCACTGTCGATGCGTGTTGATTTCGCCGAGAGGCACCGTATTGGTGGCTTGCCGGAGAATATCGGATGGTTCGTATCCCATGAACCCTAAACGGTAGTTCTTGCGCATGTACACCATCTGTTCGAAATACCAATCCGGTCGATAATCATTGGTAAAGTAGCGGAAATCGTGGTACGCAGCATTGCGATCGGTCAAATTGACTTGAAAATCAAGCACCAGTTCGTCCGGGACACGGCCCGTGGTGCCATCACACAGCGCGGAGACCTGGACCGGGAACAGATTGGTGGCGTCCTTGCCAGCGTAATCAAAAATGGCGGAATCCGGGATCACTTCGGAGGCCCAATGGTGAGGGGCAAATTTGGTGAGGTCAAACACTTCGCCACGAATGGCCACGTACGCGCTTTCTTTGGTAGATTTACTCTGCAACTCGGAAAACGAAAACACATCCTGATGAGGACAGATGAGAGGACCAAAAAACACAATGAACACCACCATGGCCGCCGATAGCAGAAAGATGAGAAAACACAGGGCCACTTTTTCACGCCACGCAAGACGGATGTCTTTTCGTTTCATGCCTCCGCAGTAATTCAAACAAGGCGACGGCATCCACCAGGTCAACAGCCACACGAGGGCCACCCATTTGCGTCGCACGCTTGACAGCTGTTCTTTTTCTTCCTCGATTACCTCGCTTGGTAAAAGAGCCGGATCACCGAGTTCCATCTTTTTCTCATCGTGCGTACTTTGGCCCTGGCTCTGAGATAAAAGATCCGAACCGTATTCTTGGCTGTCCAGATATTCATCATCGGACAATGCCGAAGACATTTGATCGTCATGAAACGAATACATATCAAACGCTCCGCTACGATGTTTTCGCGGCAAGTGTCCTAGAGAAAAAGAAGAGTAATAATAATAAAACAAGAACGATTGAATTAATATATGAGCGGCTGACCGATAAATGTTTCAAAGTACCTGTGGGCGACATTTTGGATCGCTTGGATTCCGATTTTTCTAGACTACGAAGTTCATCTTCCAGGATGCGGAAGGCCAACGTCGACAGATATACCTTTTTTTTTTTTGGTAATATCCGTGATGTTTGTCAGCGAAAATGAAAAGGTCATTGATCTTTTCTAATGGCTTCTTACCTTGTCACGGCCAATGGCCATATAAGTGGCGTCCCAATTAAAAGCGCCAGCCACCCATTCACAGCGTTCCTGGAGTGGAAGATTAGGCAATGGTTTACCGAGCGTAAGATTCAATGTGGCGGTGTATCGGTCAAAGAATTCTTCCATGGTAAAAATGGTGGTGTAATGAAGAGCAAGACGTCGAGAGAGCGGCCATAGTTTGAACTGACGGACTTGGTGAGCAATTTTCTTGGCGTCGCACGAATTGGGCAAGGACATATCGTTGGGACGAACACACAGAACAAACCAGGGGATGGTATTAGCGAGCATGGATGTTAATTCGGTCACGCCCACCAATAGTTGCTCACCAACGGTGGGTACGCCACCATTTTGACCTGATTTGGTTGGCAACGTCGACCGCAAGGGACGGATACCTTGCTGAGGAGACGACACGCGATTGTGACGTTGTCCATCGGCGCCAATCAGCTGTTCGCTAAACATTTGCGCCACCAGACCGTTGGTGGTGGGTGCACTGTAAGCATTGCCGGTAAACAACGAGACAAAGTCGCTGGATATGTAATCCTCGTTGCGATCCATGAATCCGTTGGGATCGTAGGTTACGGAACCCCAGAAATGCTGAATAGCAAACGCCCGGGCAGTGGTGGCATCGGCTCCCGATCGGAACGACAGTAATTGACCGTCGTTGCTGCGATTGGCACTTTCATACTGCTGGATCAACGAAGCATCGGTGGGACGGGGACCTTGACGAGTAACTTGAGCATTGAGAATCCCAAACATGCCTTTGGCAGGATGCACAAAGAGGTCGATGCAAGCCGCATTGTTAGGCCATGGACCGGTAGGCACGGCTATCCCTTGCTCTGCATATTCATGCAGATCCCGTTCAAAAATACTGGAGAGCATGAATTGATGTGTGACTTCATTCATGTAGTGGAAGGCTAATTGATCGAATCCACCCAACTGGCGTGAAAATCCTGGAACGTCTACGAGGGCAATGGTGCTGTGAGCCTCTTTGGTCAGTCGTTCGTTCATGTGTTCGACGATCCATGTAAACAACAATGCATAGAGAGTTTGCGCCATATCATCACGTTGCTGCGCAGCCTGTTGCGGATCAAGAAACAAAGTGGTGATATCTCGCTTGATCAACTTGCTTTTGTACGACAGTGTGCTCATGAGAGCATGGGGATCCACACCTAAAAGGTCGGCGGCCATAGCCAGGTCGTCGACGTTCTTGACAATGGCGGCATCTTGCGAATTGTTGGGGTCTTCGATGAATACCAGATTTCCGAGATGAAGAATGGCGGCGAGGACCTGAAAGATCTGCGCGATCATGTGCTTGGGAAACAGGAGGGTACGAAGGGCGGAGCGTAAATCATGGTAGTTTTGCGCATCATCCATGGTCGATGCTCGGCCGGTATTGGTATGTGCCAAGTATTGAAAAGCGGACCAGTCCGACAGACCGAGTCGCGCGCGTTCTTCTGGGGGAGCAGCCAGCATGCAATAGAATACATGAAAACTACGTTCATCTTGTCCTGCACCGGTCACCCGATTCTTTTCCAGCATATACGGCATCCATTTGGCCCCTGCAATTCGTCCCCGTTCGGTAAAATGGATATCACAATGCAAAGTGAATCGTGAAGCATTATCATGCGTTGTAGTTTTTGCATTGCCAAAACACTGTAGAATGGTATGGCCATGGAGGATTTGTTGTTGCACTCGTGTTTGTTTTTTGTGTGTACTTAGAGATACAAGGTGATGAAGTGTCTGTTTGAGTTGTTCGGTCTTTCCGCTGCCGCTCTCACCACTACAAAAAATTAGTTAGTTAACCATCAAGTGGTGCGCTGTCAAAAAAAAAAAAGAGGAAAAAGATAAAAGGCACATGCGAGCGATATAGATAAGGACGGGCTTTTTACGTCAAATGTGAGGTAGTAAAACGAGCAGAAAGACAATTCGAGAAACATTGCATCAGATCGTCCAGTTTTGATACGTACCTGAATAAGATGGCCTGGTTGATGCTTGTGCGACGCATGTGAAGGTACGCATGATTGACCAATTGAAATAAATGAGATTCTCGCCATTGATTTAATTTCGCACTTTGAGTGTCTTTGTACTCGATAACGTAATCCTCCCGTATATTATCCCAATTGGCATTGGATTGGAACGGATTCAGTGCAACTAGAACGGAGCAGTTGATACTTGTGTAATGCTGATCACGAAGATACCGTTGTCGTAACGTTTCGGTGATTTCATCTTCGCTCGAGACGTGCGTAAGATCTGTGATTGATTGAGCCATGCCTACTCATCGTCAATGAAACAAGAAGAAAGAAGGAAAAAACACAAGCACCGTTTAGAAATTTTGAGTGGCTACCGTGATTGATTTTTGACTTTTTTCATTTCTCTTCTCTTCTCAACCTACAATGATTAACTGTATACAATGAATAAAAAGTGACGATGGAGCACTTTTTGGGTGAATATCTTGTCTACAATAAGTAAAAAAAATAATATAATAATAATAATGAAAGAAGAGGTCAGGATAAGAAGGAAACAAATGAAAAAAAAAATGAAAAGAAAGAAAAAAAAAAAGGACGAGAGATGGAGGACCTCCTTAAGCCGTTGCTCCTTTATTTGACCCTCCCAAAGTCAAATAAATATAGACATCCCCTAGCAAAGCAAGATTCGAGCACACACATTAGACACATAGAAACATCCACACACAACCACAACCCAATTCGGTCTCCCCCTTCCCCCCCAATGGAACCAAAAATTCCAATCCCCTGCCATGACAACGGTCCATCGGGCCCATCAGTCCATCGGCAACCAACGTCCCGCCGAAGAAAGGAACACCCAACGATGGGCACGTTCGTTTGGACAGAATCCGCAGAATCCGTATCTAAAAAGGGATGAAATGTTTTTTGACATTGCTTAGAAACGATCTCCATAACAAACGAATCACTTGGTCAACGCATAGCATATCAATAAAACAAGCCATATCATAACAACAACATCACCATCATCGCCCACCCACTCACCACCATCAGATAAAACCCAAAATCCTCATTCGTGTGAGAGAACAACCCAACACGGTTTCTTCAAGTGGTGAATGCAAACCCGGCAACAACTTAGGTTTCTATGCAGACTCAGCTGCAAGTCTTGTGTGCATTGCATCGAATCAACAATGCTATCGTTATATATCCCCACGAATCCGAATATAAAGATGGGGTCGCTCTTTTTTTTTTCTCATGTACCATTTCATTCCACGAAGCAAAGAGTTTTACTTTTTTTTATTTTAATACTCAGTACGTGGATGTTGATTTGTGATTTTTACCCCGGGTCCTGTTCGCGTGCAGGTCCAAAGCGAAAAAAAGGCCACGGTTCAAACTACGCTCATTCTTTATTTGATCGACTCCAATGACCGATTTTCCCTGACCTCCCATATTGGGTATGACACCAATTTTTTTTTTTCCGTTGCGCACTGTTGATATGATTTGAATGAGATTTTTCCTTTTCCTTTTATTTTCGCACGGTTCAAAGAAAAAAAAAGTGCGGGCAAGTGATAAAAAGGAACCCAGGTCGGATAATCAATAATGATTGTTCGCCAATCTGCTGTTCTTGTCATCCCAGGCAACGGCCATTGGCGTTGTACAAAGATGAGACGCTTATATTATTTTTGACCCCATTTCATCCCAGAAAACCTTTTTTTCTTGGCTCTCCACCCGTTCCTCCATTCTTTTTTTTTTCTTTATTGTTTTTATTGTTATTTCATTCAACTGTAACTTTTTCTCTTGTACCTTTTTTTTTTTTTTTTGCTTTTATGAACGATATTTCAAATAATCCTTTTGCAGTCTCAAATTCAAGTCAAATCGAGTTGGATGATGCGTCGCTCAAATCCGAATCGTCGTCGCTTCTTTTGTATGCGCAGCCCGAGTCTTATTGTAAGCTGCTGGACGAATTATCCATTATCGACGATCTGTACGATACCTTTTACGACGCTGGTCAAGAAAATTTCGGTACATTTTGCAACTTTTGGGCATTATCCTTGTTTCTGCTGCTTTATTACAGCTGGACTGACCTGATATAATTATCCCCTTGATTCCTTGTTTTTTTTCCCACTCTGGTTTCTTTTTTACGCATGCAGATGAAACGGTGGTCGATGTGGCGAAAAATATTGCGGAGAAATGCCGTGTTATTGAAGAAGCACAGCATTCCGAGTTGAAATACGTCCATGACCTGCACATGTTCCAACAAGTGTTTTCAGCGCGGATTCGCATTTGGCTGGAACAATCCAACAACAAAGAACTGGTGAACAAACTCAAAAAATCAGACCAAGACCTTCACGCTCTGCTGACCTGCTATCACGAATTGGAATGTCTGCATCACGCTGTGGAAAAAGATTTACAAGATCGATTAGCTATATGGGGCCCTACCCAACTCATTTCGGATATATTTTCTAAACTTGTAAGCTGAGGTTGCAAAAAACTTTGGGGGGGGGGAGAGAGAGAGAGAGAGAGAGAGTGATGGTGCGGTTTCGTAAGGACTGGAAACCCAATCATGCGATAGCTTTAACCAAACTCACTCCATTATTTCTAAATTCAGTATTCAGCATTCTCGGTGTACAAAACGTTTATGCAACACTACAACCAAAGTATCGTAGCGCTCGACGTCCTGATGCGTGCCACCCCATTTACAAAACTTCTCGATGTATGTCAGATAACACTTATTCGCCTGACACATTTGCCATCATGTTGACCAAAACATTGACTGACTGACCGACTGTTTTTCTTGATCTTTTTTTATTCTTTATCTTTATCCTCCTTTGTGCTCCTTGCCTTGGTTGACGTTCTGTTTGCTGCGCCTACTCTGATATCAATCTTTTTTTTTTCTTTTCTTTCTTCACATTGACGACGGCTCAAATTCCTAAATGTACGGACGATCCTCCTCACAGACATGTATCGCCGATGCGGGTCATCCGACGATGCAGGCTCTCGATTTACTTTACTATCTGCGAATTCCTATTGGTCGACTTGCGATTTATGCTCAGACCCTCCAACAGCTGATCCGATTCAGTGATCCTTCGCATCCAGATTATGGTCCGTTGGTCCGCGTCACGGACAAGTTTAACCAAATGGCGACAGAGTGGCGCGCAACGTACGGTATTTTGGAATTCTCGTTTGATTGTTCTTTATTTGGCAATATTCTTATTATTTCGTATCGTTACATCACGAGAACATTACTTTTTTCTGACTGAACTGTGAAATCCCTTCTTTCTTATTCATTTAGGTTGCACGATTGCCATTCTCATTTATTAGTATTGGAAGCCGCCCATCATATTCAGTTTTGCCCAATGACCGTTACCCCATCGCGACGGCTCGTCTTGCATGGGACACTGCTAAGAGTAGATGTGGAGGATCTCAGTAATGCCGACGATTTTCGTACGTATGTTTTGTACAACGACGGACTTATATTTTGCCGCAAAGTGAAAGAGAAGAAAGAATCCAAGTTACAATTCAAGGGTACCGTGAATCTGACCTTTGCCAAAGTACGACTATTATCGCCCCAGCTGTGCACGAAAATGATGGAAGCACGCCGCACCGCCTTGTCCACATTCCGTATAAAGAAAACCGCCAAAAAAGGGTCTGGCGAACCGCCTGCGTCGCCGCAGGAAATCTTTGGATTCGAATTGATCACCAACGAAGTATGCATGGATGCCATGATGTTACCGTTCAACCACAGCTTTTCCATTGCCAACGGTCCGGCCAATATTCAACGACGACACATTTTACGATGCAGTTCCTTTGCCGAGCAATCAGCGTGGATCGAAGCCATAAAAAAAGTGCTTCACTCACTCCATAACCAAAAGTAGTAGTTTGGCTGACCTTTTGGATTATTATTTTTCGTCCTATTCTGTCATTCTTTTTCTCGTTCCCCCATTTTTCCCATATACGCTCTCTCTCTCTCTCTCTCTCTCTCTGCCTCTCTCTATCTCTTCCTGCGAATATCCGCGCATGCACTGGTGCACACGCACAGGAATTAATTCTTCCTTCCCTTCCCCCCAAAACAAGACCCACGAATGGACGCCATCACGGCCGCATTATCGGACCCGACATTATATCATCTTATGTATTCAATATGTACAAAGTAGTTCAACTTTTTTTCCTAATAAATAGCGTGTCGCGTTGCCAAGATTTGTATTACGTGATAACGATATCTGGTTGTAAAAACTCGGTTGCCTCTTTGATCCCTTCACACGCCACTCGTTTGCTGTTATACAGAACCATGATGTTGGTGGCAGGAAAGTATGCAAGGAATGGACAAAATAGGAAAGGTGGAAGCGCTTTGAACAGCGAAAAGGTGGGATTGTATTCGATAAATGATACATTTGCTTACATGATCCAACTCTAAACCATGAGAAAAAAAAAAGAAATAGAGAAAATAGGTCCCAGTGAATCATGTAACAAGTAATCATCAATTGAGCTTTTGTATTCCGAGAAGCGGGAAAACAAATGGTCCCTGACACCATCCATGGATCTCGTCCTAACCTCGGAAGCCCGTGTCACCATCCGTCAAAAAAAAGTACCCCGAGCTTTAGCGAAAATGGATCAACATGGGGTGGCACCACCCTGTTCAGTGTGAACATGAAAACAAAATGTAACTTCCACGACTTGGTCACACCCATTTTACCTTTTACCCAATCACACCATACATAGCTATCCAGCCCCACTGAAGACATTGAAAACGCATTTCTCATCACTCCCATTAGCAATAAAATGGTACGACCTTGATTGCAGCAGATGTGTCCAAAGGTATGTGAATATGCTGTTCAGAAAAGTAAAAATGTGCTTCATATGTCGGTAATTTCCTAAACTTAATCTATTGTCCAACATCATCAGAATAAGAGGAAGGAACATCCAAACCTATTCCTTTATTAGTGGGTCCGCGTACAAAGCCTGCAAACCGTGGAATATCCAGACAAGGGACGCCAATCCATGACATCCTAATTCTTTCCTGCAACGCGGTCCCTGACTGTCCAGATCTGGATACATGATTCAAGCTTACGTAAACCTCTATTTTGGCACGAATCTCCTTTCATTGTTCATCGTCAAACATGACAGGGTTCGTCCTTAAAGAAGATGGTGAGAATCCTTTTCTCCTCTTCGGCACAAACCGTAAGCAACTTCTTAAACTTGGTAAGCCTTGCGAGCGGATTTCCAATCTGGAATTGATTTCTCTCGTTGCAGCATGTGAAATGAGTCGTGTCCCCCACATTTTACTCAAGAATGGATCTCGGTCCATCGTAACAATCCATGGTGTTGAAGGCTACGTTAATGATTAAATAGACAAGTTTAATAAAGTAGGATGCGAGAAGAAATGGTACAAAAAAGCAACGCTACATGACTGTAAAGCTAACGAACAAAAATGGAGATTCAGCTAAGTATAAGTAAGCGTGGTGCCAAAGATATTATCCCAAAACTTGGATGTGATGCCGTAACCGGCTTCAAAATCTTTGTAATGATGAGCAAGATGGTATTTCTTCATTTCCTTGAAGTGGAAATCGAGCACTTTGGCATGATGCAGGTAGTAGTGGGTTAGGTCGTACAGAATATAACCAAAAATGCCACCGGCAATCACACCGTGAGACATCAAGGGAGGAAACAAAAGGTGGGCCAGCTTGATCCACGGGTAAGCAAGGAGGACAAACAATGCTGGAGGAACCACTAGTCGCAATCTATTATGACAAAGGACGTTAATAATCACCATCGTCCCTCAAGTATTTTCGATTTTGGTAATACCTGTCCATAGGAAGGTAATGATGGAATCCGTGCAAGGCGAAATGAAGAAGAAACGCAAGTTGATGATCGGGTAGCAGGTCGTCGAGATGGAAAAGGAAGCGATGCAGACCGTATTCAAGCAGAGTCCAAATCATGATACCAAATACAAAGAAAAGAGTGGTGGCAATAGGGTGATGGTACGTAAACGACTGGTACAATTGATAGCCTACATAGGGCAGCCAAATGGTCGGGATCATGTACCATACCGTCTTTGTCAACGGTTCAAGTAGAGGATGGCCGAAAAAGATAGCCGGTGTAGGTAAATATCGAGGTTTGTGTACTTGTTCGAGGTAGAATTCTTTGGTGAATTTGGCTCGCATTATTTGCGGGATCAGAGCTTGACGAAGGTCCAGGAATCGATGCTGCTTCATATCGGTATTTACATCTGTGACGGACGGATGAAAGTCAGGTCGCGTATACGTCTTGAACTCTTCTTCTTGTTGCAATAGTTGAACTCGTCGCTGATGCAGACGGGCTCGTTCACCTTCAAAGTGGCGGTTATCCTGCATAGACTCTGTAATTTCTGTTGTATCGTTTAAAACCCCTACGCAATTGTCATACAGGATTTCATAGGCGCTCTCCGAATGTTCGTGCTCCTGAACGTCTTTCATAATGGCGGTAACGTCTTTGCCCGCGTAATCAAGAATGAGATCAGCCCCTCCGGGATGATCGGCAAGGAATGCCGTGACATCGTACACTCTATCGTTCAACGTAACCCAGCAAGACGAACGAGAGGCGTGTTTACGCACTTGCTGGGAAGTAATAACCGGTAACGCCATGAATTCAGAAAGATTTGACCGAACAAGTAAACAATAAAGACCCTAAATGTCAATGAATTTTGATGTGAAATCAAAACCATTCAATTGGCCACTCCAACAGAAATAGAAAATAAGAAAGAAAAAAAAAACTCCAGATATTCGAAAAACAGAAATTTCATCACCTGATATAAATTTCATTTGTTGCAATTCGGCATGGTTTCGCCGATTTTTTTTTATGCCCGTTCTTTTGCAGCATACAAAGCAGCGAAACCGCGCGAAACCATGAAAGCCGAAACTGTCTGTGCCCGTTTGGACTTTTTTTTTTAGGTCGTCAGCAACTCTGTTACTGCCTGCAAGCTGGAGAGCAGGAGATTTGACACCCGAGTTTTTCTCTTATCCCGCTTACATAACTGATCATAACATCATCAAACATAATACGATTGTATTGATATAAAAATCGCCATGCAATTCGTTTGACAGCAGAAGGAACGGAATCCGAGCCGAAAGATACTCAGTCGTGGTTGGTTTCTACCTTTTTTTTCATCCCCGCTAATAAAGAAGCATTGGATTGCAACCTCACTGCAATTGTAACCAAAAATCCACCTTCCAGTATAATGATCATACTGTCAATAAAATGGAGGCCCACTCTTGGCTGTCATATGCTTTGAGAGACTAGACCTGTTATATTAAATAGCCAAGGGTCGCGCACTTGTAGACAGGAAAAGAAAAATGGCACTGCGTGACTGTGTTTGAATGACATCAGCAACATGTCTCTTTCGCAGTGTCGGCTGGGCTGTGGTCGCGCATACGCTTTTTCACTTTTTCGAGCCACCCTTTTTACTGCCCAAGCACCATGTCAACACCAATGGATATTGATGAGGTGCCTCCTGCCACGACACCTGTTGATCAGGAAGAACCTTCCAAAGGGAAGGGCAAAGCAAAAGACAGCTCAGAGAAACCACGCTTCGAAGTAAAAAAGGTACGAACCGAAAAGAAAAGAGACATAATCAGCACAGCGGCATAAACACAACACCATTGACACTTTTTTTCTCTTATAATAGTGGAATGCCGTCGCTTTATGGGCTTGGGGTAAGTCAAGCATGGGAGGATTGCTTGGTATGCACGACTGACCATTGTGTACAACTTGGCTATAGATATCGTGGTGGATAATTGCGCTATCTGCAGAAACCATATTATGGATCTTTGTAAGACCATCATCAGTATATGTTGCTTTGCATGGGAACCAACCACGATGTTTTTTGTTAGGTATTGAATGTCAAGCCAATCAAGCTTCCGCCACCTCCGAGGAATGTACAGTAGCATGGGGTATTTGTAACGTAAGTTGCTCTCAATTCAAAACGATTTCAGGAGTTGCGCCAGTTCATTCAACATCTTCTTTCACATGGTGATCGTTTAGCATGCTTTCCACTTTCACTGCATTTCACGTTGGTTAAAGAGTCGTCAAGTATGTCCTCTTGATAATCGTGAATGGGAATGGCAAAAGTAAGTTGAAGGAACAACGAAAAAAGATTGGATTCCTGCATGAAAATAAGATGGAAATTGAAAGCACAAAAGCTGCTCTACACAGATAACTAATATGGACTTTTTTTTTCTCACAGATACGGCCGATAAATGCAAAGATTGTGTTTGGCTCCTTTTTCTTTTTACTGATGCCTATTCCTGGTCTCCTATATTACACTGCTTTTTTTGGTTTACCTCGTTTTAACATTCTGCCACTTTTCTTACCCAGTCGAATAAATATCAGTTCATCACGAAACATGACAAAAAAAATAGTTTCAAGTACTTTTTATTCTTAAATAAGCGAAGGGAGGATGATGACAAAGAGAAGGACGGATGGACTATACTGTAAAGGAGGACTTGTTTTTATCGAAGCATGCGGAGGTAGGCGAGGAAGAGAGCACCGGCACCAGTCATGGTACCGATCATATACTGCAATATCTGGAATTTGATGGCTTCCATTTGCGTGCGCAATCCAGCAATTTCACTTTCAATGCGGGTATCCGTTTCTTTGACCTTGATCTCTTGGGCACTGGCTTCGTCTCGAATGCGGCCTTTCTCCAGATTCAGATCCAATCGCACATTGGCCTGCGTGCGCGTGATCTCTTCGCGCAGTTTTTGTCTCAACTTTTCAAGCTCGCCCTGTAATCGCTCGTTTTCCGCCTTCATCATGACAAAGTCATTCTTTTCCAGCAACTGAATCTCGGACTTTAACTGAGCAAAATCGACCTTGTACGTGTATACAGTCTACACAAAATGTCAGAGACATGTTCTCATTGGCTTGCTCGCTTTCATTTCACCTTTTCTTGCTCGGCTTTCGACACCATGCTCTTGGTCAATCCTGTCATACTAAGAGAGAAGAATGAGTTGGTTTGTGACGCTTAGTGGAATCACTACAAAAAAAAGAAATACCTTTCGGAAATGACTTCACGTAGAGAAGCCATAATCGCTTCACTTTGTTCTCTGGTAAATCCTTCATTTTCTAATCGCTCCACAAACTTAAAGGTATCAAAATGGTACTGCGATATGGATCGCACCGCCACTTGCATGCAGGGACCATGCATCGCCATGAAGCGGCTACGGGTCGTTGCTGGTGTGTTCATCAAAGCAAGCATAGCCAACAGTTAGTTTGCGTATGTCCTTGCGGTAAGTTAACGAAAACGAGTGGCCGATTACCTCGAAGGAATGGACGCACGAATGGCAATGATGTCATTGTCAAGTGATGTGTTGTAATAGTGAAAGTGGAGGGGGAAAAAAGGGAAAACTTGCTCTAATCACTTGAAGAAGACCAGTCTTTTTAGGCAAAAGACAGTCATGACGTTCCCAAATAGGTCGATCTTTAATTTTATTTCGACACATTTTTAGCCCCAAAATCCTAGATTATTCCATTCATACCCATGTTTGGCTGGCGGCGGTTTGAGTGATGGCGGTAGTTCACGTACTTTCCAGCCGGAAGGTAGCTTGTAACGAGGGGTTCGTTTCAACTGTTCCTGGCGTCGGAGACTATTTTGGGCCAGCTGAAGCGCTCGTTGTTGCTCATCAGCACGAACCGCATCGAGCCACTGGGTCAGCTCAGGAGGAAATATCGGTTGCCCTTTGTATCAAATTGGATCAGAAAAAAAGAGTCAGCAAATTTCCATTAAAACTGGTCAAAATGGGTACCATAATAATCGTATGTAATGTGGTTGCCCTTGCACTGAAGCTCGAATTCACAGAATCCGTGTGTATTAAAGTTGCGGCACGGAGGCTTCTCCATCTGTTCACGAATGAAGACCTCGGGATCTACTCCTTTTTTTTCAGAACCGGTCCATTCAAAAAGGCAAAACGACCTTGGCAAAAGTACCTTTAAACCAGTCATAATGTCGCTTCCGATTCGCTAAATGAAGCGCGCCTTCATTGTGATTCTTTCGATTGGTCGCATTATCCGGAAAAGAGCAGTTGCAAAAGTCGCAGTAATCTGCAGTCGAGTTGACTTGTGAGCAATATTTCAAATGGTCGCTGCCAGCCCTCCCATGAATACTTGCATTTTCGAGGCATTCAGTTGAAAGCCGCTTGTCGACTTCTATGCGAAATGTCAAGGCCTTTCTATAAGAGCAGTCACCCTCAAACAGCGACGACAACGCGCATGCGTTTTTTTCTTCTTTGTCAAGCGCTCAGGTCTCGCAACAAGAATATCAAAGCACTTTTTGCTTATTGAAATAGTAAGCAGTCTCGCTCCTTTTTAATTCGACTGTGAAACGACTGGTTAGAGAATCTGCTACTTGCCATCGTGCTCGACTAACTTTGCCCGAGTGGTAAATCCTACAGGGATTTGCCTCTTCCACATGTGGACCATAATTCAAGCAGCCATCGACTCTGTATTGCTCCATATGACATTTGGGAGAACACATATGTATGTGATGGATCGAAAAAGGTCCAACGAATAAAATAAAAAAAATAAAATAAAAAAGACATGTGGGCAAGTTGCAAGCCAACAGATATTGTCAATGATTGAATCGTTTTACAGTGGTTTGCGATATGAATTGACCTATGTGATAAAGTGAAGCGAGATAAAAAGTATGCCGCATTATTATCAAAAGCTCCTGCTCTCAACAAGCCACTACGGAAACAGTAACGAACGTTACATAGGCAAGAGATGATCAACTCCTTGGACGTTTAAACAAGTGTACTGCGATTTTGTTCAAAGATTCATTGTTGGCAATGATTCAGGGAGTCTCCATGACAAGGATGCACGTCCGCCGGTTGCACAATGTTTTGATGGATGCATGTGATTGCCTGATTGTGTGTCGCAGCTTTTGTGGCACCCTTCTTTTTCTTTTTATTATTTCATCACCGCACTCCGCTTTTTTTTCAGCCTTGCTGAAGCTTCTCGAAATTCTGGTCATCATCATCCCTCACGCTTCCGGTATCGTGATAACAGTAGCTAGTATGTATTTGGAATAGAGTGAAGGCTATGTGGCTATTTCTCACAATCATTGCACAAAATGCATCCATTGCCATTTCTCCTGGATAGGGCGTGGATAGAAAACAGATTTCATTGTTGCCGTTCGATAAGAGACGGAGCTAAATCTTGTATTACCTGAACAAACCATGCTTTCGATCATGTGCTCCTATTTAATAGCCTTGAAGGGAAAACACAAACGACACTATTGCCGCTATTTTCGGCGTTGTTGGTTGGCATGCCGATGCATGGAAAAAAAATGGGAACATGCCAAGATCGGTGACAATACAGTTATCATCAATGGCGAATACGAAAGTGGGATACCCTATTTCAGGCAAGAAGAAAAAGGAAAGCGATTGCATGGAGAAAATGAATATTCGATATCTTATCGACGATATACCATCCAATCATTGATCATGGTATATTCTGATGCGAGGAAAAAAAAAAGCAAAAACAAAAAAAAAGGGCCTCCTGTCATTTATGGAAATCCCCTTGCGAATGCTGCAAGTTGACATTGGTTTAATTTCCATCCCGCGTTTTCAGCAGTTATCGCGTTGATGAATGCCATGTGAATATCAACCGCCACCGGTAATCCATTGCATGCGTTGACGCTGATAACAGCAGCAGACTGTGGAAAAGGGAAGGAAAAAAATAAGATCGTCACCTATCCATTGTTTAGATTATGGCAGGATTCAAGCTTGTTATGAGAACTGTGTTTTTTTTTGTCGGTGGGAATTTCGTCAATGTTCAGTTTAGTTCCATTCAAGGCTTGACCATGAAAGGCAACAATAAGAAGCACCCTGCGCCTTTGTGGTCAAACGATAAAAAACGGTCATCTCAGGAAGGTAAATATTGCAAATTTAAATACAATAAGAGCCCCAGTGACTTGGATGCAAAGTGTAAAACAAAAAAAAAATTAATTTTAAAAAAAAGTAGTAAAGGTCGAAGAGGAACAAGGTCACCAGACATTGTGATTTCTGAAAAGAAAAAAAAAATTGTTGGTTGGGGTTCCCGGTTACAGTTATGGTTATGGTTTAGTGATCATGGCAACGAAATAGACACACAATTTTTGTAACAAACTGCAAAAAAATGATATGACTGTCCACCCAACTAGGTATAAAGATAGTCTGTGTATGGAATGCTTCATCTTTCACCAGCGTCTTTTGAGGTTTGGTTCTTTTTAGTTTGGGTATTTTTTTGTCATGAAATGGAGCGGGTTCTGATTTCCTAAAAAGGGAATGGGTTCGAGTAACACGTGAAAATGGATGTTTCACATGGCGATGAAACCAAATTCTCTCTCCTTGTTCACGCAGCTGTCCCTTCTCCCCAAATCTATCGGTTTTCAGATATCCCCATTCCTTTTTTTTTTTTTTTTTTTACCTCTTCTTTTTTTTTGGTTTCCCTTTTTCTTTTTCTTTGTATTGAAAGAAGGAATATATTTTTTGTTATCTCCTCTTGACTCTAATTCGTTCATCGTACCACGTTCCCGATCTTTGGCATTTAGTGTGCTTTTTATAACACGCAATGACACAACCATCGGCCATGTCCATTACTCAACTTTGCAGTTCGCCAGCTGCAGATGGAAAAGACCAACCTTCGACGTTTATACACGAAGACCCCGACGTCCAAATGGCTGCAGAAGCATTAGGCGATATGGCCAAAAGCGGTGGTGTACCCACAGGTACATAATCTAACATTCTATTGTCGATCCAGAAACACTTTTTTTTACTTATTTATTCAATGTCTTGCAGCTAAACCGAAATCCATCCAGCTTCCTCCACTTTCTACGAATCCGTCGGCACCGTCAACGACCCCTAGCTCACCTTTACCTACGCCTTCATCGTCGGCTTCCAACCCTCGTTATTCGTTTTCTAGTGATTCTACACAGGAAGACGTTGATCCACTGCGTCCATCCTCAACTCATATGTCTCATGCTCATTCTCAGCAATACCATTTCATGCATCGCGTTTCCAATATTCCCCTTGTCAATTCCGCCCTTCGTGCTTACGAGAGTTCCAAAGCGTCCAACAGTATGGTGAAATACGGAGCTGAAATGGTAGAGTCCTTTGCCGCTCCCATTTATGACAAGTTTAGTCGGAGAGCGCTTTCCAACGATGTCGATGATTGGGGATGCAAGCAACTCGATAAAGTGAGTTTTTCTTTATGGTTACAATGAATAGGAAAATACTCATGTTTTTTCCCGCGTGCCATAGTTGGAAGAAAAGTATCCTAAATATGTCAGTGGCCGAGAAAAGGAGGAAGATGAGGCCAATATTGCCGCTCACGCTTTGGCACGTACATCGATTTCCGATAATCATGATCGGGATAGACTCAGGAAACGACGCATTGAAGATCGTGAAGATACATCATGTGAGTCATTTGTTTACTTTTTTTTTGATACAAAAAAATGGAGGCACGAAACGCTTGATTTGGGCAATCATCCTTTCAGGCGTGGGTCTCTTTTTTTTTCCCATTATTTATCGGTGAAATGGTTACTCATTGTGCCTTTATTATTTATTTTTATTTTTATTTTATCTTGGCCATTGGGTTACAGTAAAAGCTCGATCGAGACCGTGTTCACGTTCTACTTCGCCTCATCGTCCATATACAATTACCAAGCCCACCGCCACACGTCATCATCCCAGTAGTCGATGGCATCGTATTGTTATGCATGCCGGATCGGCGGCAGGTACCACTGCGGCGGTCGTGAGTGAAGAAAGTATGAAATGTCTAAGATATTGCCTTACTTGGCTCGAGGTAGGTTGATCCACCACTGTCCCCATTCATTTCTTTTTTTTTTCCCAACCAACTAATGGCATTCACATGCAAAAATTTCATAAAGTATGCCACACAACATATTGATCAACAAATGAATATACTCCGAAGTTTTCTGGTGTCACTGGCCACCCAATCTTCGTCGTCCTCTTCTTCTGAAGAAACGGCGGTGGCCAAGGAAACATCGGCTGCAAGTACATTGGCGTCGATCAAGAAGGAGATCATTGACACGTTGCGTAAAGTGGTCGATGTCGTGAGTAAATATGCCGGTTCCGGATTGCCGGAACATGCCAAAGCCAGTGTCCGAGGATTTATTCTAGCCTTGCCAGGGCGGTGGGCTACGTTGAATTCATCGACCACCGCTTCGCCCATGAACTCCCCCCGCGTGCATCCACAAGATCCACGCACCCATGAAACCTCGATTAAATTGCTCAACTTTGGTGGTGAATCGATTGAAATGTTGCAAGCTGTGTCCTCGGTGTTTTCTGACACCATTGAACGAGCTGAATTATGGTTGCAACGGTTGCGCGTCGTCGGTGTCACCGGCACGCCAAGAACCGAAGCCGATCCTGTCCCCATGGAAACCATCAATGAACAATCATCGTCATCCAAGGAGCCGGAACCCATGGACGTGAAATGATTATAAAAAAACCAGTCGCTTTCTTTTCATTTTTGTCCCTTTTGTATTTCAGGCCTTTTTTTTTTTCTTTTCGATACTCCTCCCTCTTTTTCTTGGTTTTTCCTTTCACCCCGATTCTCCTTGGCATACCGATTTTATCTTTATATTTTTTTTTCTCATTCTCTCTTTTTGATACCAGCCTTGTGTTATTTTTTTTTTGTACAGTTCGTGAAAGAAAAATGAAGAAAAAAAAAATAAGTTTACCCAAACCATTTCAGGAATCTTTTACGTCATGGCCATCACCCGAACTATGATTGGACCAGAACTTGAAACTCCACAGTGAAAGAAAAAATGCTGAATGGCACCACGTTGAGAGAGGATTCGCTTTTTCCCTTTTCCCTTTACAATTTTCTTTCCCTTTCTTTTTCTTCTTTTTTTTTTCTCCCTTTCCATTTAGTATGGTCAAGATACCCTCTTCTAACAATCCCAATCATTCCCCACGACCGACACTACATCGTAACGAAAGTTCGTTAACACTGCTTCCGTTCACTCACAAAGTCGGGGGTCATGTCTCCATGTTCCGCTTAGCTTCCAATGGAGCGATCTGTAAAGCGGTAACGGGAACGAGGGAACGCAACTTTTACGAAGCACTGCAACGACTACCCCATATGTTGTCATTTATTCCGCAGTATATGGGCGTCGTTCGAGTATCTTACAATAACAAAAACAAGCCGGAAATTGCACTGGAACAAGACAGACGGCGACTGAGACGGCAGGCCTCTTTACGACGAACCTACGGCGCCTCGGAACCTTACTACGATGATCGGTCGACGTCCCATCCGGTGATTGATCTGGCATTGACGGTGGATGATGCGATTCCTCCTTCGAACGACCGGCCGATTGCGGAAGAATTTGTGGTGATTGAAGATTTAACGTTGGGGATTCAAAAACCGTGCGTGCTGGATCTCAAGTTGGGAACTCGACAGCACGGTGTGTATGCATCACCTGCCAAGGAAGCAAGTCAAACTTTGAAATGTGAACGATCCACCAGCCGACAATTGGGCGTGCGGATGTGCGGTATGCAGGTAAGCTACAAGTCAAAATCCAAAAATAGAAGTCGGCGAGAAACACGGGAAAAACACAAAGGCAGAGAGGAAAAGCAAGGGACATGGTTTTTTTTTCTTCTTCCCTCAACTCACCTCATCTCAGAAGTGAGGCAAACCAGGGCGTGAAGAGAGAGAGACGATGAGTGAGGAGGAGAAGGGGGGTAGGAATAAAAAACAAAGAACGACAGATCAGTTGTGTAACGAAAAACAATTGGATTGATTGATTGATTGTTTTTTCTCTCTCTTTCTTTTCGGATTCTCTCTGTTTTGGGATTTTGTTTGTTTTATATATTCCGGTGTTGTTTACATTATGTTTACATTATGGTTTTTTTTTGTGTTTCCTTTTTTTTTTCTTATTTGTAGGTTTACAAAACGGAGGGGTACGAGATACAAGACAAATACATTGGACGAAATTTGACACCACAATCGTTTGAAGAACTATTATTAAATTTTCTTCATGATGGGACACGGGTTCTTTTGGATTTGATTCCCGACCTTGTCCGGAAACTGCGACGGTTGGCGCAGGTGATTGGTTCCATGCGAGGCTACCGATTTTTTGGATCGAGTTTGCTCATGATTTATGATGGCGCCAACAGTTCTCGACCGATCGATGTACGCATGATCGATTTTGCCCACTGCGTTACGAAACAAGAAATGGAAGAAAATCTTGCCAACATGCGCTATCCTCCATGTAACCCGCATGGACCAGATCATGGTTCCTTATTGGGCATTCAAACCCTCATTGACGTGTTTGAAGACATTTATGAATCCGCCCAATGCCGGCACGCCTTGTTTCCCATGGCTACCATTCGTCCCAACCTTCCCACCACAACCACTACGACTACCCCGACAACAGTATCACCCGGCTTGGCAGCAACAACAACAACAACAACAAATACAAACATCATTACCTCCTCTTCTCACGCTTCTCCACTTTCTTTTCCGTCCACCACCTCGGCTGTGACTTCATCCGTCATTGCTTCAGATTAATGTTGTACCTCTCTCTATTTCTTGCCCCGCTACCCAACCCCTAATTTCCGTTTCTTTTTTTTTTTTTTTACCCAACTCTCTGCATCGTTTTCTGATTTCTGCTCTATTTCTCTGTCTTTTTTTCCCCCGTTTATTGTACAGTCCTCTAGTGTTTTCCTTTCTTTCTTTTCTTTGTCGTTATGTACAAAATGAATGCTTTTTATTGGTTATTTTTGCATTTTAACAGTTCAGGTTGTTGATCAATCTGACAACAGATAAAAAAGAAAAATAATAAAAAAAGTATTGCTGGTGCTTTCTAAAGGCGAGTCTCTTTTTTTCTTTACAAGGATGATGGGATAGTCTGCTTTCTGTGTCCAGATATTTTATTGTTGAGGAACAAGGGAAAAAATGCGAGCCGGGTTTTTCTTTTCTTTTCTTAGTTCATGGATTGAACCAACTGGTTGATGAATTCTTCACGGTCACCAGAGTCACCACCTTCAACAAAGTGACGGAACTTGCGAGGACGCCACATGTTGTTGGGGTTGGACAACTTGAAGGGCCACAAGAAGTTGCTGGCTTCCTTGAAGTGAGGACCAACGGTGGCGATTTCGTGGATCAAGTCTTCAACACAGATGATGTTGTACTTGCCAAGAACCTGTTCAATGACGGCGTTGTCGTAAAGGGGAATACGCTGCTTGTTGACCTTGGCGTAACCACGCTTGTAGATGAGTTCACGGATGGTCTTCAAGTTGGGAGTACCGTAGGTGACATAGGGTTCAACCAATTGAAGCATCTGAGCGGTGGCCTTGTTCAAGCGAACGAAGACACCGTTGTTGATCTGCAAAAGACGCAACAACTGAAGGACCTTGCGAGGCTTGGGAGCGATGTTGTTGATACCGCGAATACGGACAACAAAGACCAACTTGGACTGAGCAGGAACGTAGTAGTTACCGTTGGCCTTGGCCTGACGACGAAGACGAATTTCGTTCTTCTCGGCAGCCTTGTACTCGGCATGGTACTTGGCAGCGCGCTTGAAGATATCGCGACGCTTAGCCAACTTGACCTAGCAATAGCAATAATAATAACAGAACTGGTAAGCCCAATTGCTCACAATGGCCAAGTTTATGAAGAGCATGATGCTTTACCTTGCGAAGTTCAGCCTTCTGAGCAGCGGCGGTCTCAGCGGATTGCTGGGCGGCCTTTCTCTTCTTCAAGAGAGTTTCGGGAACAAGCACATCCTGAGCAGAAGCAACGTTGCTATAATAACCGAGTTCATGTCAATGGGATCCATTCACAGTACATCAACATCTTCTCCCAATTCTCTTTCTTTGTCAAAAAAAGGTTCTTTGTTCGACAGCATGTATTTAGTAAAAGCAAAGATATGAAGAGAAGAAAAAAAAAAGATCCAAGAAGCAACATTTTTGTAAACACAAAAAAAGTCGCTTCCGTTTCTTCTTGCTCACTTTGCGATTACAAAGCCTCAACAAATATAGATTTGCGAGTGGAAGGCAAACCTGCCATCTGGTAAGAACCCAAAGGAGAACCTTTCCGAGTCCCCAGATGGTCAAGCGCACAGAAATATTTAGGGAAAATAAGAGCTTCTTATTAATCCAAAACCTTGTCGTTATGGAGAGTAAACCATAGCAACAAGTTATCGAAGGACAATGTTTGATAGCAAACATTTTCACGTCCAAGAAAAAAAGAAGGAATCCAGGTAAAAGCATCAACAACAGATGGAGTAATTAACTTACTAGGACACCATGGTAAATCGACACAAGGAAAAACAAACAAGGGAAGAAAAAGAAGGAACTAACAGATGCCCGCCCCCAGCCCGCACAGAAAAGACAGAAAAAAAAATTTTTACGTGATTTTACCCAAGCCACCTCTCTGATGATTGGCTATCCCGACCACGACCATAAAACGCTTTACGTGAAATGCATGAATGGGCTTTGTCCCATAGTCGCACTCACCATTAAAAAGGGTCGATTACTTGTATCTCTTATTCCGCAGCCTATTCGTTGACATTAAGGTCAAAAATAAAAATAAAAAGCTTGGATAAGAACCGTAAAGGACTCTCATGTACCACCAACCCCTTGGTTGCCGCAGCAACTGTGATCCTTCCGATTACCAGTCAAAAGTGCGTTTCCCAATTGTCAGGAATCTATCAAAGGCAAACATCAGTATAATAGAAAGGAAAACCTGATGAAAGGCATTTTGATTATCATTATTACTTTTTCACTGCTTCCTCATTTGACAACCTATTTAAACAAAAAACTTAGCCAGAGATATGGAACAACTTGGTCGGGATCATTTTGATTGGTTCCTTACAGGATCTATTACAAAAAAAAAAAAAAAAAAAAAGAAATTGAAATAAATGGAACAAGTTTGCATGAACTATAGGAGGTATTCGTGTTTCTGACACTATCATCATGTCAGCCGATAATTTTCCAGGCGACTATACCAATCGATACTCGAGCCCATTTCCTGCACTTCCCAATCGCTCGAATGCAAGGCGTAACGACCCTGTAGATACTGCGGCGGAACGGCTTCGTCAAGTGCATATCAACGAGGTAACTTGGCCAAACCTTTTCCGGTTTAGGTAGCGAAATCAGTATTCAATTAAGCTTTCATTTTTATTTTCACAGTCGCATGGACGATCGCAGCACAAGAAGAGTCGAGGAGTGTCCATTAATCATTTGATCAACTTTTCATTCCCGGAACGACCCTCAGTGGAAGAAGACATCAGTTATCGAAAACCAACCGCAACAGCTACCACATCCTACCAACCATATCAACGAGAACGATTTATAAATGCAAAGTAGGCTGCCTTTTCTTTTTTTTGTTCACCCATGGGAGCATAAACTGATCTACTGTTGGCCATCGGTTATAGTTTCCGTTTTTTACTAAAGGCCTCGACGGAGTATGCAGTGCATGCTATTGATCCTGATGCTCATTTCGACTGGGATAATGTACAACAAGTGGTACGCAATTATTATTTTTTTCCAGTGGACAATGCAGTGACTGACGCTTGAATAACGTAGCTGGTGTCGTCGTCGAAAACACCGACCTGCCCAATTTGCCTGTCTCCACCTGAAGCGGCTCGCGTGGCGAAATGTGGCCACATCTTTTGTTTGCCATGCATTCTACGGTTTTTGGATTTGGCCGAAGCGCATCCAGGCTCACAGTCTCGGTATCGAGAGTGTCCTATATGTTGGGACTTTATTTTTGAAGCTGATTTGAAAAGCGTGCGTATCATTCACAGTCGGGCCGTGGATCCTAACAACGTCGAGTTTTGTCTTATGCAACGGTCCCATGCTTCGGCCATGGCGTTTCCGATCTCGGATTATTGGCCTGTGCCTGACAAGGTGCTTCACACCCATCTTCCTTTGGCCGCGGCACCGACGCCTTGGGATTTTACCGAAAATGCTTTGCCTTTTGCTCGATTTATGCTCGCTAGCCCAGACTACATGTTGCAGGAACGACAACGCGATGTACGGGAACTCACCGCTTCATTAGAGGAAGCAGCTATTGCTGGTGGTGACGACGAAACAACACAATGGATTGAGAAATGCATCGATCAATTGAACACCATCATTGATATCGAACAGCAGTCATCGTGTCCCCAAATCAAGCAAGCCATGGCCGAAGCAAGAAAAATTGGTGAATCCACCGCAGCAGCAGCAGCAGCAGCGCGTCAACGTAGTGACGACATTTGTACCTCGGACTATTACTTTTATCAAGCAGCTGATGGACAGCATATATACCTTCATCCTCTATACATTCGCATTTTAAAGCATGAGTTTGGGAACTATCACGCATTTCCACGACGCCTTCAGGTGCCCATCACTCACACCGATGATGTGACCATGACAGAGGTAGGCTACATCGTTTTTTCCTCGTTTAGACTCTTTTCTTTCAATCATTGACCTCGATTGTGTTGTCGGTTTTGGTGATGTTTTTTTTAGGAAGTGCGTCGAAAGTTAAGGTATCTTGGACATTTGCCCCTCGCGTGCGATATCACAGTGGTGGATCTGGATCTGACAGATGTCGTATCCCCTCAGACCTTGAGTGTGTTTGAACGTTAGTAATCACAGACTTTTTTTTTCTTTTCCTCCATTGAATCACGGAAGCTTATCTTAGTATAATTAGACGAATTGCAGTCGAGACGTGAAAAGGTACAGCCAACAGAAGATACGGGTGGAAATTCACCTGCATCGCCAGAGGAACATGCAAACGATGATGAGGCGCAGCAAGCAGAGGATGTACCGCCCTCGTCAGGCGCCACGTCAATAATGGATTTAGGTATGGAAATGCCCCCGGAAGATGACGAAGAAGCCATGTTAGAATATGTGCTTCGCTTATCAGCCGCGGAACATGCAGCGCAGCCCAATGGATCGCCGGCAGCCAGTTCAAATGTGCATGTGGAGGTGACACGATCGGATTCAATTCCTCAAGAAAGCGATCACGATGAATACGATGAATTATACGAAGATGACGAGTACTGGATGGATGAAGGCGATGCCCCATTGGTACTCAATGAGCGTAAATATCCACAGGTTGCTGGATCCACGTCGTATCGCCAAGCAACAAGGGGACATCGCCGGTTACGCTAAGGGCACAAAATCAAAGGGGGATATCAACAAAAAGTAAAAAGGAAAACCAATATAATCATCCATGCATGTATATACTTGCTTTGTGCATTTTTTTATTGATATAAATGTATTCTGTTACCATATGAATGGATGGCCAAAGATTTCGTATGCATGTCCGCAGCGGATCTACAAAATATGAAGCGGTTTTAGCGATTGAATCCATTTGCGCAATGCAATATGAACCAATATGCATTGATTTCACCGATTGATTTCGTATTTTCCCTTGCATTTCATGACAGCGTTTTGCCACACCTTTCCAACCAATGAATCGTTAATTTGATGTAGCCTAGTGAATTAGGCTGAAAAGGGCGTTGTGTATAGCAGCGCTTTGCACATGGGCGGCCCACTGCTGCGGCCGAGGACTGATATTAACAGCTATCGAATCCCCCTGCGGACACTACTTCCAGGAGTTTATCAAAGGACTAAAAAAAAAAAGAAGTTGGGTCAGCTTAGTCAAATTCCATTCACCATAAAGAGGGTGAAAATAGGAATCCGAATATGTGGTACTGTAACCCACGGTTCAGAGTAAGGATGATATGTTTATTTTTCCCTAATTAAAAAAGAAAAAGAAAAGAAACATATTCTAGCATCACAAAAAAATCCACAGCCAGAAACGATTGGCGATTGGGCCCTGAAGTTGCTCCAACCTCGTTTCGTCATGGTAATAAAGCAACATGCCAAACGCACCCAAGGCACATACACATGAAAAAAAAAGTAAAAAAATACCGAAGCATTCAATCAAAAAAGTTTATTTTGGTTGAATATGCTACGGTATGTTTGTTTTGTTTTCTTGCACTAATATTTTTTTAATACAGTAATGTCATAAAGCCAGGCATGGTTTCTTTAATATATTTTCGGGCGTTCAATGGCGCGGTATATATGCATCATTTTTTTTTTCTGTTGTTGTTGTCGCTGCTGGGATGATGTGTGATTTAGGGAATAGCAGACAGTAGGAAGAAAAAAAAACAGTTTTTAAACATGAATGGGGGAATAAAAGAAAGAGAGAGAATAAAATAAAGGTGGGTAAGGGGGGGAAAGGGAATAATGGTGGGTAAAATAAAATAGAAAGATGGATGTAGATGGATGATCATTCATAAAGACGAAAAGAAACTAATTAATATAAACGTATATGTGGAGCGAGTCCGAGGATGCATGTGCCTATTTTTTTATGTTGCGATCGTAAGTGATGGAGAAAGGATCCAGAATCCACTTTAAAATCGACGGTTGGATGCATCGGATAACTTGCATCGTTTGGAGCGTGCGGTGGTCATATCCGTCAATGACTTGTGGGATACCAATGAGTTGGAAGAAGGAGAACGAGGAGGAGGAGTCAATGTAGGACAATACACGCCACGCTTGGCTTTGGATATGTGTTTCGTGTTTAAGGATGTTTGAGGAGTCGGTTTAGCTGCATATTGATGTATCGTAGTCTTAATCTGTTTGGAATGAACCGTCATCAATCGACGCGTTTGATTCTCATCCGCGACTTCCGCGACTTTAGCATCCGATGATGTGATTTCGGAGCCGGCGGTATTTTCTGCAGACGACGATGATGGTAGAGGGCCCAGACAAGTAGATAGTTTTTTGAAAGGGGTAGTGGTGGTGGCGGCGGGGGATGTGGATATGCTTTTGTACAATGTGGATTTGGTCGTGCTTTGACGGTTGGACAGTCGGCGAAGGGTGTTGGATCGCATCGACAGTTTGGATTTGCACTTGTCCTTTACTGGAATCGACGACTTGGTCCGATAAGACGGTTCCGGTTCTCTGGGAGACAAGGTCGATGGCTCTTGTAACCATGGCTTTGAAAATATAACAGAAACAGTAATCATGAGATAAAAATGATCGTTGTAAAGAAATAACAATTGAAAAGATAACAGGTCCAATAAATGAGGCAAAAAGAAATCGATGCCCCACTCTTATAGAAAGAGGGAAAAATGATGTTTCTGATTTTTGCACAGGTGCTCAACTTACTGGTATATTCTCTTTGTTATCCGAATTAAAAGAAATGGTATGACGAGTGATGGAAGTAATGGTTTTGAACTTGAAAGCGGAATGGGAATGGCGGCGCGCTTCGAGCTTGGCATCTGAATGGAGGTCTTGCAAAGGCAAGGTACGTCGAATATCGAGATCGTCCAGCGATGCCCCATGGCGGCGACATTCGGTGACCTTGTTGTCGACGTGAGTGACAGATAAAGGCTTCATAGTGGAGTGAATGACCATGGAAAAAATGGACACACAGATATAGACTGAGAAAAGAAGAAAAAGAGGAAGAGGAGAAGACGGAGGAGGATGGAAAAGGCAAAAGGGAAGGAGGGGTCACGGTAAAAAAAAAAAAAAAAAAAAAAAAAAGTCTGAAGGGGAGAAATTTTACTCTTTTTTTTCTTACCAAGTCCGCAGTTCATAGGTCTTCCTTTTCCCAGCTGCACTGATGAGCTGAACAGCACTTTAACAAAAGGGGTGGGAGTACAATATTGTCTTATTTAATCATTCTTAGAATTAGGGAAGCAAATCATCTCTTTGTGGTAAATAAGTGAATGCACGATTTTCTTCCATTCGCTGTGTTACAAGAAAGCATTCGCAATTAAGCAAACATGAACATTTGGCTGAGTTTCGCCCAATCATGGCTAAACCTGCACCGATTAACTGTGTCTTCTCTACCAGTTACTCTACCAGTTTAACCCAATCACCCCTCGCATCAACAATTTGCCTCCATTCAACAAAGTGAAAGCGAGTAAAAACCACGCTAGTCTCCACTTCCTAATGCAAATAACAGAAAAGGAAATTTATCCCAGCACACGCATGATATACACCTTGAGTCAATGTGTTCCGCTGAAATGCTGAGGTATAGGCTTTGTCATGTTTGGTGAGTAAGAAAATGTGAAAACAAAAAGAAATTTGATATCTTAGAGATCTGAGAGAAGAAGGCCAGGGTCAATTCTTCAGTCTAGTCTGCTTACGCAGTTTGTTATGGATCGTTATTTGAATTGACCGTATCATCAGCGTTATCCTGTAGATAGAGCCATTAAATGAGGGATAAAAGAATGACAAGAGGAATTACTTCATCATCGTGACTTTTCAGTCACAGAAAACAGTGAATGCGTCACTGTAAATTGAATGCTTATTTCATGTCAAAGGTTGGTTCCTGGATAAAGGTGGTCATGAGGCATTAGTATTTACTGTGGCACAACTCGGTAAATTTTTGAACTGCGATTCTTTTCAGTATCATCCTTTGACCATTTTCTACAAATGTCAAGCACAATAAAAAGCGAACGGGCTCACAACTCCTATTGTGCCAGCATTCTACAACGGGACCACAGATACCCGGGCGTTCACAACATTAATGAACGATAACATCTGACTTCACATCAACTGTTCCTCGATTATTTCAGATATCTTCTTTCGTTACTGATCATGGACATTCCAATTCAGATGGACACTGTTTATTTTTGACACTATGCTTTGATCTGTCATTATTCACGCTCGGCGATGTGACTACTGTATATTCCATCAAAGAATAAGAATCCAGATTCTTTTTTCTATTCTTCATCCGCCTTGATATCCCTCTCCTTCTTCTTTGCTGCTACTATTGCATCGACTTTCTATCTGCATCCACCATCCAGACTAAGTTTATCATATGTAGTCGATGTGGTCAAGGTCAAGGCAATAATCAAAAAGGTACCATCGTGCGGTGTGATATCCACTTACCAATGTTCCCCCAAGATTCTGGCCCCAGCTCATGTTTCTATGCATTAGACTTTATCTTGATAAAAACAAAATGAGTATACGGCTTGATAGGTAAAGAGAAAGCAATTACCGTTGGCCTCCTATCATTTACCACCAAGCCGCCCTCGCATTCCTATGGTTTGATGCCATAATTTGCTTTTCTTAGGTGATACGGACAACGTTCAACTTCTCAAGGTAGCTAACCTGCAGCCATTGATGACGTAGCTTGATGCATTCATTAAAGCACTCGATGTGAACCTCCTCACTCTTTTTTTTTTTTTTTGTAATCAACTCATTTTTCGTCTCCTCAACTTCGTGTCGCACAAAATACTTGGGAATGTATGATAAGAGATTGCGCCTTTTTTTTCACGACCATAATATGAAATCTGTCGTGCTGTTTGTGATGCAGGAAACGAAATGTGCTCCGTCTGTTTACGGTGGTCCAGCACGCATGTTCATTCTTATTTTGACATGCCTAACAAGTCACAGAGTATCCATGACAAACCTTATTCCTTTGTAAGCACAATGCAAAAAAGTATGAATACTGTAGATCGCGTGACAGTAGCCTATATCATCCCCGATGCCAATATCCGAACCCTTCGCTCTATTTTTGATGATCTTTTTACCAGCGGCGGCTGGCCAGCTTATGGTAGACTTAGTCTTTTTCGATTTGTCACTGATATGTTTTACTGCTGCAGAAAAGGAAAGAAAAGGAACAAATAAAACAGTCAAAATCCAGGCTGATTAGTTATAAGGTTATCAATGGGATCTAGATCTATTTTAGTTTCCCGCTAGGAATCCTGATCTGGATCCACGCAAAATACGCCATAGTCATGGGAACAGAAAGGAAAAAAAAAATTCAACTGCATACGACCAAATCCAATAGATCGCTCCGAAAAAAGAAGACTGCATAACGATAATCCACGTTATCACCATATCACCATATGTGATCCCCTTCAAGCCAACCTATACAGCGCGTCGCAATAGTTGGATTCATCGAAAACGAAGAAGAAAACATCACACAAGAGATTGTAGAGTTAATTGGCTAGTGCCACAGACATTGAGTCCTAGATATGTTGTGGGATTATCTGACGTTCCGATCCAAGGATCCAGTGCAGTAATTTATAGATTGGCAGCCTAAGTCGTATTACAGATCAAAATCAGGAATTCCAAACCAATCTGGTTGGATAGGCCGTCTACCCCCACAGTGTAGAAAAAACAGAAGGACTTACTTTTTCCACGCTCGATGGATTCATCACTATTCTTGCACGCTCGTATTAGCTCTTTTGCGCTGTGCACTTGATGCTTGATCAAAGTGAAATGCCTCACTTCAACTTGTGAGTCTTGCATTCGGCCAGGTTTCTTTTCGGAAAAGTGTTGCGAGCCAGCCAATCGTTGGAGCCAAAAAAAATCCTAGTCCTTTCCATGTTTTGTGCGCGATATTTCGCGCTGATGAAAAAGAGCATGAAATAGAGAGAGAAAAAAAAGTCGTATTACTTTTATATCCCATTCTTTCAGCACCTCCCTTGCGTCGTGCCTCAAAAGCATGACACACTGACCGACCAATTTTTGAGAAGGCGTATTTTCATACTAGTAGAGACAGTCTAAAAAAGGAAATAAAAAAAGTGAGCATGGAAATGATGATAGCCAATCAATGATCAAGAACGTCTTGCTACGATTCCAGAGATCGAGACAAAGAGGAAGAGGCCTATTATGGCAATCCAAACTGGGTTTCAACCGTTCATAAAAAAAATAAGATGCCCTATGAAAAAAAAAAAGACCGTAAAAAAAAATAACTGTTTTGAACCTGACTCGCTAAAGAAGGGGCATGTTTATCGCTTTTGTCGTTCCATGACCCAATCAGCATGCAATACCACGACGACCAAAGTCGAAGCCGATCATTTGCTTCATGAAGCTCTGTGTGCAGAGGATAACGAGACCGTGGAGATGTTGGGCGCCGTGCTGTCCATGTCCGACGATGAAGATCATGATGACGGCAGAGAAGGCCACGGAAGTGAAGACGGATACTGGAGCGAAGACGACATTGCCGTTATCAAGGCATACTTTGAAAATGAAGAAGAAGACGAAGAAGCCCTGGTCATATTTACTCAGCCCAGTTCCATCCCCAAATCAAAAACATCCACCTATAATCCCGCCACTTTCATATTCTCTACCGTCCCTCCCTCTCGTCGATCCGTCGATGAAGACCGAGAAACCGTCGACCTCTATTTCGATTAACAAACCCATCCGCAGTCATAACAACGACGAACACGAACGACGATCACAAAAGAATTCGTATGTCTGCGCAAAAAAGAACCATAATTTTTTTTTTTTTTCAAGAAAAGGGGAACATCATGACAGCGGGATATGCGTCAAATTATCCATCCATCACACCACACACAATAACCAACGGAAAAAAAAAGGGAGAAAGAGAGAAGAGAGAGAGACAGAGAGAGAGAGAGAAAGGAAGAGCGTGTGTATGTGTTGTGTGTGTCTCATCTTACCATAGTGTTGGGAACGTTATTTTGAACTGGGATAATTTTATCCAAGGATCACGAACCACATTTGTCTTTATTGCCCTTTTTTTTATCATTACTTCTTTTATCTGTACATGTTTTTTATTTTTTATATTCATATTGTATTTTGTTCCATGACGATGGTGACCATGACGATTACAGCCTTGATTTCCTGTTTCTTTTTTGCTTTTGTTGTTTTCTTGATTGGACGCAAAAAGGAAAAACGAGCCACACGGCGCCGCTGTCGTTTCGGTGAAAACGGCAAATCCCACATGCCGCCGTTTGACAGATCGAAACCCGATTATTGGATAGAAAATGTTGCTGAGAATATTGGTAGAACCTACAACCTGTAAACCCCATGCACATTTTTTTTTCTCAGAGCACCCACATCGTGATCCTTGGCGCTTGGATCAAAAAACAAAAAGGAAAAAAAAGGTGGGTGGGCAACATGTTTTCACACATTGCACCAGCCGCCTTTTACGCCACCACAAACATTTCCAAACATTGAAATCGAGCAATTTACTTTATCTGATGACCGCCCTCTATAGTTGGACATGCTAGTCCCAAAATGAAACCAAGGACTTATTTATTGTTATGTAGTGATGGCAAATGAAGAATATAGAAATTTTGCAATAGAAGGTTGAACAAGTGGAAACCATAGAAAAGCGAATAAAAGATCGTCGTTGAAACTGTGAAGAAGTATGTATGCCTCTTATAATATGACAAAATGACTAGTGTGGATAAAGTAAATGAATGAAACAAATGAGCACGATCTGAAAATGAAAGAGAGTACTGTAATAAAAGAAAAATATGGAAAACAAGGATGCCGACGCCTCGCATCAAAAAGGCTTGCGTCAGATGCATGGCACCATATGCACTGCACCACACGCACCGCGTTGAAGAGAGAGAGGGTGGAAGGGAGGGAGGGAGGAATGAAATTGGCTGGATGTGGTGGAAATATCCAGAGAGACAACTCGTGCATGAGAGTCTCACCATCGATTCAATTGATCGATCATTTCCGCTTTGGTGAAACCGGCGTCTTTCATACTTTTGACAAGTTGGGCCTTGGCTTCGATGCGACGGACCTGTTCCAGTTTGGCCAACAAGCGATCGCGGCGTTCTCTTTTTTCGCGCAGAAACTCAAGCATGTCCCGAGAACGTTTCATACGACCTGCCTCCTTTTCGCGGGAAACAGTGACCAAAGAGGTGGCCAACAAAGACTCGCGCTGATCCAATTTGTTGAGCGGAACTATCCATGGGTGTGGCAACTCGGTGGAAGGACGATCGAAATCGAACGATGACAATTTGTCCCGTTTCGTTGGTTCGGACTCGTCGCTGATGTCGCTGACGTCGCTTTCCATCTCATCCATTGTTCGCTTGTGTTGTTGTTGCTGCTGTTGCTGTTGCAATACACAGTCTTCCACCGCATGTACAAGGCTACGAATAGACATGGCCCATGCAGACTCAGGTCGAGAACGCCCAAACACTGGATGGAGCTGGTCCCAATAAGGAAACCGTTTCAGGATTTCTTCTGTTATACAGACCCAAAAATAATTCAAAGGTGAGTCGTGTGCGCTTTTTTTTCGTGTCTTCCATTGCCATGCCTTGCTGTGAAGCCTTATTTCTCCTCTTTGTCTTTGTTGGTTTTTTTTTTTTTTTTGTCCTCTGCACTTCGGCCCCCAAAAAACAAAGCCCACTTGCAACCGGCGCTCCCCCAAAATAAACCACCTGTCCATTCTCAACTCAAAAAATCAGGTGCTCTCAATCGTTTGATTCTTACCACGAATCTTTTGTTGGTGTTGTCCATTTTGTTGCATTTTTTCCCCTTGTGTCTCAAGCCATGTTTGGGCCGAGCGGTAACTACTTTGCAACGTGGAAATCTTGCTGGCCACGTCTTTAGGTAATCGATGATAGATACCCACTTGACGCATACGATCAATGATTTCTTCGATAAGGACTTTTTTTGGGATCCTTTCACGTCGGTCGCCTCGCCATCGTGCATAGTTGCCTTTGGTGGCGAGCCAGTTCACCAGTACTTCCATAGACGACGGGCCTCCATGGATGCCGTCCTTGAGCCAACTTTTGTAAGGTTTCTTGCCTTTGGGCATTCTTGCAACAGCCGCCGTCATTTGTTCAGCCAAATCAGCCAACGTTCCAAATGATTTAATATTAATGAAATATGACGAATCAGGAAAAAAGGAAAGCAAAGATGAATTCAAAAAAAAAGAGTCTGGACAAGAACCAAAAAAAAAAAAAATCGTTCAAGAAGTGAATGAACCGGAAAAATGGTAGATTGGTTACCCAATCACCGATGTGGATTCCTTTTTATACAAGCTTTTTTTTTCTGTAACCAGAGGTCTCGATTCTGTAAATTTGGCGCTCAAGCATATCCAAATGGCTTTTAGCTTTCTTTTTTTAATGACAATCATTTTGTTACATTTTCGCTGCTTTCTCAATCGAAAGAGAAAATGAGTTCAAGCCGTGCGTGGATCAGGCTCAATCAGTTGGGACGATGGATTAAAAAAAAAAGATTCGACGCTTCTCTATTGGAGCGTTCATTGCATACATCAAGCTGAATTGAAAATCCATCTTCCAGAAGCATCTGTCACACCTGAACCCATTAAAAATACCGTTTTATCAGGATATGCGTAGGTAGCATGAAATCGTTGTATGGTGAAATACATCACCATGACGCTCATCGTCAACCCCTTGCACACTATGGACAACCATAGATACCAAGAAGAAAAACCTAAACATTTTTTACATTATGGACAGAAACCATGGTTTTTACGGTTCACTGTCAAAGGAGCAAAAAACAAACAGAGGCATAAAAGTGTCAGTGAAGCATGCGGCCACCATTGTTTAACTTTGAGCTAGCTGTTTTTGGTAAACCACTCATTATCCCTCTTTTTGCCACGAGTCGCTCACTCGCCCAATGGCATGTTTCATCGGGTCAACTGCTGCATACGACCACGTTCAGTGAGGCGCTTCCGTCGATCAAGATGGCTGATTTTGTAAGTCTTATTTTTTTATATTTAGATCACATTCATGGTCATTGAATAGTCCTGACTTGGTGTCGACCATGAGACGTCGGCCAATCATTGGACGATCATTGGTGGCCTAGTCAAATAACTTTACTGATCCAAGTGAGAGCGGGCTGTCAAAATAGAGGCTGGTCACAAACACTAAATGAAAGGGTTCTGCACCCCGTAAGTTTAGCGCTTTTTTTTGGCTTCACGCTACCCATTTGCCATGACATCTCGTTTCACGCGACCACTGTTCAATAATATTCAACGTTTGCCTCGCACACGACCGACGACATGGTCCGTGGCAACTCGTGGCCTTCGTCCATCGCTAGGCGCCTCTTTTGCGACCGCTCGGCCCCGACCTCAAGGTCGGCCCCAAGGCGACAATGTACGCATCATCAAGATCCCTCGCTTGCCATTGCTTATGATCGGTATCGGTTTCGCATGTCTAGGCGTGGGGCTTTACGAATATTTGACTTCGGATATTCAGAAGTATCCACCACCCATACGCCAAGCGCTGCGCAAAGCGCTGTATTACCAACAGCCGGGCAAGGATGTCAACTTGTCGACTCGGTACTTCAAAGAAGCACTGGAACTCGCATTGCAATCAGACGAAATGGAACGCGACGGGGCACCTTTGACGGGTATCATGATTCAGTATGGTGCGTTACTGGAATCGCTCGGTCGGTATCCGGAAGCACGACAAGTGTTGACGTTGGCACTTCGTCACTTGGTCGGTTTTGAGAATGATCCTCACGCCACGGAAAAGAAACCCGATCAAGCCGTCTTTGATCTCGACCTTGCCAGTTTCCCTCCGCAAACACAAAGAAAAATTGTTGGTATTGCTCAGAAATTGGGCGACATTGCTCAGGAGACCAAGCATGATGCCGAAGCGGAAAAATGGTATACATGGTCCCTGGAGCATTTACTACGTATTTCTTCCAAACCCGTCTCGACTTATGGCGACACTGACCAAGTCCTCTTTGACAAGGAACATATGCCGGCCTGGCTTACCCACACCGAATTGGGCGCAGCTTTAGAAGCGCTCGGCACCTTTTATCAAACGCGACAAAAACACAGGTAAAGAAAAAAAGAACCAGCAGCAAGAGGAAAACGCAAATCTAAAAAATGGTACGATTAGTTTGGCCGTTCATTTATACCTGCGCACACTCACTTTGGCCGGCTTGAAGACGTGTCAATCTTCTGTCATTATGAACAATCTATCGGAATCCTTTGCTGCGATGGGCCAGTTTGACGATGCCAAGTTATGGGCGCAACGCGGTTTGGAGATTGCGCAGAATCCAAACACAGGAAAAGCCAACAAAGATGGGGACGTGTGCGATGAGGCGTGTGGCGTCCTTTTGTTCAATATGGGCATGTTATTTGAGGTGAGCATGAGAATGAATGATCGCACATGTCGGTAGCATGGGTATCACTGACTTTTTTTTTAACCTATCAATCACAGCAAACCAATGATAAAGAAAAAGCCATGATTTTCTATGAACAAGCGCGAAATCATGGCCGAAAATACAAACTCCTGGATTGTATTCGACAAGCCGACCGGGCCATCAGACGTCTTCAATTTGAACAAACGCAACCTCCCTCCCTCCCCTCTGCATAGATTATTTTTGTATCATAGAACAATAACACGGTCTTTCATCACATGCTCATATGCCTTTTGGATCTGTTTGATCTGCACGAGGTTGCCTTCATCGTGCCGCGGAAAAGAGAGGGTAGAAAGGATCACGATTGCAGGATAGAAAAAAGTAAACATTGAACGGAGCTCATTTGGCCGGCGCTCAACTCCAGATCCCACGGCAACAAACGGCTGGCGAACACGGTACGTTGCGTGTTGACTTTGATTTAGCTCATAGCGGTTGAAGTAGGGGATCGGAACGGGGGCGGGTACGGTTGCTTAACTTGTTTTTGGGTTCAGTGTGACACATCAGACGATAAGACGGGAAAAGAAAGTGCTGCCTTTTTCATGCCTTTATAATGCGGATACGAATGTGATACCAAATGCTTTAATACTCTACCATCGTCGAGCCATTTTTGTTTTTTTGGCGCGTCGCGTCCTGATATACAGAAAGATTGGTTGGTAGCATTACAATGACTAGACAGTGGGTAGGCAAGTGTAAGGGCTCGGGCTTGGTTGCAGGGCAGATGAATAAATGCAAGCTTTATTTGGGTATTTCTTGACCGCATAATGCATTGGCTCTTTTTGTCTGTTCGGATCCCATGACAGCGGGTTCCCTCTCCGCCATTTTGACACTCAGCCGTGCCCCGGTTTCTGATGGTGAGCATGTGCAAAAAAAGACATAACAAGATGCTTCCACTTTTACGTTTCAAAAAGAAAAATGATTGACTTGAAGGAGGCAGCATAAAAAAATAATGGCGAACTACTGCCATTCCTTTTGTGCCCATAAATTAAGGAAATAAAAAGAAAACCCTGGTCGAAAGACGAAAGAGAGGTTGCTCGGGTCATCCGGAAACGGAAAACACTTTGTTCAGGGCATCCCATTCTTGTTCAACGCAATAGTAGACGCCGATTTTTTTCCCTTTTTTTTTTATTAGAGTTTCTGACTTTGGACGTTTTTATACCCTTTTTTCTTTCTTTTTTGCTTCCTACTTGTTTTTTTCTATACTTTTTTGATCGATATTCCCCCAGTTGACTCCCGGTGAGACAATTCATATACCCCACGGGTTGCCATGGTACACCAATTCCAACAGGGCAACAGCGAAGATGCTTGGAATGTAACGATGCAAGAAAAAAAGTGAATCTCTCCCGTCTCCTCAATTCAATAAACTCATTCATCGTTTTTTTTTTATTCACTTTTTTTCTTCTTTATGATTTCATTTTTTTTTCGTGCGGCTTCCTTTTACTGCAACGGTCGGACAGTTTAGTTGTGATGATTTATGGCGATCGAATTCCTTGCCGTATCAGCGAATCGAAGTAACCGACGAACGAACGCCGTTACTTCATCGTATCGTTTTACCGACTTCCGAAGGCGTCAGTCGATGGACCGAATCTTTCTGGAAACGCAGCTTCATTTTAAATTTTCTTCCTCTACTCATCGTAAGCATCTTCTCCCTTTTTTTTTTTATATACCTATCTTCATATCACGTCGTATAAAAAGAAAGACAAAAAGGTTAAACTGGACATGGCACATATGATTATTATTTATCTTCATACCCCAAGGTGTTAGTGTGGTGTTCCATGCCTATCCCTTTCGACGATTGTGAAACGTTACCTTGCGACTATTCAGACACTCTCGATGACGACGACCATGCTGTCAAAGGAGGACCCAAATTCATCAACTTTTGGTTCTTCCTGTGGTGGTATTACGGCATCTACAATGCGATTGCCCTGTTTCTCATCACCAAACTGTTCAGCATTTATGCTCTCAATGTAAATATCCTTTTGTCAGCCGTATCGTCGCGTTAGGGGATGACTCACTGTTTTTTTTCTCATTATTTTCCATGACACGCGTGTTACAGTGGTGGCCCAAGTGTCTTGGTGCGAAATGCACATTTGCTTTTTTCTGGTTAGAAAGCCAAGGATTGGCAGTGATCATGCACTACTTTTTACCGTCATTTGAAAAGTATACCTTGTCGTGGGTGTTTCTTACGTTCTTCACCATGTCCATGCCTTTATGGTTTGCCATGGTCATCATTCATAAAAGACATCAACGTCGTCGTGCCACGCGATTACTGGCTCCCAAAGGCGTCTTCACGCCTCTTCATCCGCTTCCTCGATGGCGTTTACCGGCCTCATATCGTCGTTTCATGTGGTTCTGCACGTCACTGGCCATTGCCCTTTTGGCTTTGATTGGCGGCGAAATCTACGCTTACATCTTTCTTTCGACCTTGCCACACACATCTCTGGATGCGTTGGCGTACGTATACAGCTGGGTAGGAGCGATCTACATCATGGACGCGATTACCGACTACATCATTTGCCGCAAAATCCGATCGCATCCTCTGGCGAGCATTTTCAAGCTGTACTTTTTCATGATTTATTTCATCTTTTATCGCAATCTTTTCGCGCGGTTACGATCGGTCGATCAATTTGCCATTGTTCAGCTGGGGTCCTTTTTATGGGTGTGCCTTTACTATCCATTGATTATGACGGAATTTGTGCATCGATGGCTCGTGCGGTTGATCGGAACCACGCTGACTTACGATGAATATCGAGAAAAGATTGGTCGCTCGTTCTATTTACGCAATCTCGCGGAAAATACCACCATGCTGGGATTTCTGATCTGGTTCAATGTGCTTCATTTCGGTCCCAATCGAGCCGCCTATCCTTACTTTTACATGGACGATCGTGACGGCAATCCTTACAACCATAACAAGACGTTCCTTGCCGCCATCGTGATATGGACGAGCGAATTAACGAGTGCGTGGATTACACGACACACCTTTCGTCGTGCATTTTCCTATTCCATCACCAAACAAGCTGTTCGTGATTTTGCCCGATACCCGGAAATGATCATTGCATTTGTGCTGCTCATGATTCACGTCCTTCAAAATATCCTCTTGGCCCTCATCAAACTCGATTTCGCCACCCAGAACCATGTATACCATCACTACCTCTAGAACCCCTATCATACCTGTACCCAGCGTCATCCTCCGCTTCCCTGCGTCTCATTTTCTCCTCCTTTCCCATGTGCCAACATTTTATCGATGTGCCGATCGCGAAACCACGGTCTCATTTTTTTTTATTGTTTATTTATTTTATTATTATTTTTCATTGTGTATGTTCTGTGTGAATGTAAATTTGTGTGATATCCATAGATGATGCAAACAACCACCACTACAAAAAAGAAACTCATTATCCTTGCCTGACGCTTTTTTTTTTCGTTACGCTTGCTTGCATTTTAGTTATTTCAAAAAGCAATACGTCGTACTGTATTCAAAATGAAAAAAAAGGACCAAGACAGGAAAACAATAAAGGTAATACAAAGATCGCAGAAACCAATCGTAAAATGATCAAGCAAAACAACAACAAACAAGCATTCAACCGTTCACTGAAACAATCAAGGAGACCGACAAGAGAAAAGAAAAACAAATCATGGGAAATACACGAGTTCAACGTCTACAAAAACAAAGAAAAGGGATTAAAGGTAGAATAAGGAAGGGGAATGGATGGTGAACTTGAGATAGGCATTCAATGCCACAGCGAATAACAGGGCGAGGCAAATAGCAGTAGGACCAGTGATATCGTCGTAGGGACCGGAAGCTCGAGCACGGATCAGCTCGCGACGACGGTAGTAAAGACCCATACCATACAACAGCGTGGACAGCGACACCAGTGTATACACGACACCACTGATTTTGCCCACAGCATCACCGGCATTGAACAACGCAATGGAAAAAGTGGCCATTAACGTCCCCAGTGACATCCATGAAAAGTAGGTACGTTCGTTGGCGAAAAACACTTTAGGTTCCACACGCAATGGCGTAATGACTTTTTTCGGCACCTTGACACCAGGAGGTAGAATCACTGGTTCCCTTGCTTTGTCGGCCCCGGCAGTGGGATGACCGAACCATTGGTGGAAAGTCTGTCCAATCGTTTTTGGCATCGCTTGCAATTTGTCCTTCCACGTTGCTTCAGACGCGTGAGGTTCATTCACGGATCGGTTGATTCCCATGTAAGAAGTCGTGGACGAACGCGCTTGACGTCCCAGAAGCGAGGTACGTTCGGTAGGTTCAGCGGCAGCAGGGGACCCCGTGGTGGAGGAGGCTGACGTGCGGCCCATGTTGACGCGGACGTCACCCGTGGGCGACTGCACTGGTTCGACGGTATTGGCTTCTTGTTCATCTTGTCCTTCCTCTTCACCTTTCAAGGGTATGGCACGACCCTTTCCTTTGGGCAACTTTTTGCCGACAGAGGGGATTTGCGATGGAAGTACGGGTAACTCTTTCAGGTCGCTGTCCATCTGCGCGAGCCAGTACGGAAGCAAAGCAACCCGGGTATCAAACATGACGGCAATACCGTGAACGAATTTGCTAAAATCAAATGCTTCTTCCAGAATGCCGCTTTCCTGCAAATCCTCGACCCATTCCGGTTCTTTTTCATCGGATGCCAAATCCAATTTGATCTCAAACGTCGCGAAGGGATATCGATTGATTTCACCGTCGTCTTTCAGATTCGTAAAGGGAAAGTTGGTATCGACATCCGGACGTCGCCACTGACCTTCCGATCGTCGCACCACTGGATCGTTGGGAAACAGCTTGGAATCCTCCCGAATGAAACATAAATCCGTGTCCAACGCCATACGCACACTCTTATCACCCGGAATCTGAAACGCCGTACGTTTATAATACGTTCTCAGCACTGAAATGAATGTGTCAACCAAGGCTCTGAAAGCATACTACTACAACCACGAGATTCCGTGGCTCCACTTACTGGGTTGCATTTCCTTTTCGAGAATGGTTCGTTGAATATCTGTGACGAGGTGTTCATAGCGGCTGACGTCTTCCTCGGAACGACCACTGTTTCGCATTTTTTGCACCGATTTTTGGATAAAGGTTTGATCACCATGCAGGTAACCGTCAATGTATTTATCCTTGATGATGAAGCGATCTTTGAGTTCGCCACGGTTTTCTTCCGCGAGTGCGCGTCTTTCCACGGCAATGAGACGGTTGTTCTTGGCAGAACCGTACCAACGCAATCGAATGACTTCCGACCCTTGAGCGGATTCCACACGTGAATTGTAAGCATCGAGATCGGCGTTGTCCAGATACAAGGACGAAATGGGAGGATCAATATTGTCTTTCTTGGTACTGTTGTCGCGGTAGACGAGGACGGGCAAATGGCGGAGCACATAAGTTTTCAATTCGAGGACATTTTCAGGTTGAACAAAGAACCGTTTGACCACGGTACGACGACCGTCCAATCTAATGCCCTGCTCCTTTAATACACTGGAAGAAGCTTTGAACGACATGGTACGACCGCCCCGGCGTACTTGATCAAAGAGTTCGGATAGTTTGATGAGAATAGCATCGTTGTTTTCATTCCAGAAAGGGCACTGATTCAATCGCACCATGAACATGGGTCTAAGCACATAGGCGGTGTGACGATCATGTTTCTTGACCATTTTAAGGAATCCGGTATAATTGAGACGCGAAAATCGAGCCAAGCGATTGATATCGTCAGCAATTTCATTGATGTTTTCCTGAATTTCCGCCATTTCAGCTACGGAGCCTTCAGGCGAGATATCCGATGCAATCTTGTTGGCCCATTCATCCGTACGATTGCGAATTTCCTTCATCTTTTCCTGCTGAAAAGCGTACACCTGAAAAAAAAATTAAAGATATGGGTCAGTTTTGTCTCTTGGTCTTGAAATAAATACTAAAAAGGGGAAAAATGATGCTGCAAACGCGGATACAATATCGCCACATATGAAGCTTTCTCCACGTCCACATACAACGGTTCATGACCATAGACACAACACACACACACACACACACACTCTCTCTCTCTCTCTCTCTCTCCTTTTCTACGTGCGCGACAATTTTTTTTTCACCGTGAATTGTCACGCATGCGCTTCCTCCTGAACCACGCATTGACCCATGGGTAAGGTGAAGAAGCAAGTATTGGTTTTTTTTTTCTTTTTACCTTTTCAAGGTTGTTATCGAGCATCTCGACAAACTCGGTTTCGTCTTTTTCAGTGAATGGTCTATCCTTTTCGGCCTTTCTCAACTTGCGTTTCAGGCCGTCATAGTCGAGGTAGTACGGTTTCCAGTCAGGATATATCGCATCCTTCAATTGAGCTCCAAATTTCATGGTGGCAAAGAGGCTTCAAATGACGTCTTTTTTAGCGTCGTTGCAACAATTGACAATGAGAAACTGTAAAAAAAGAAGAGCAAGAAAAAAAAAAAGAGAGCGGAGCTTCGGGAAGAATTGGCTGAATTTTTTTTCTTGGTACTGGCTCATTTTCATTTGCATGTCATTTGATTGAAAAATAATGAGGAAAAAAAAATACGATTGACAAGCTATCATTGTACAGTTTTCAGTCCAATAACAATTCAAAAATGATGTCACTCATTGCCATTATTCGTCATATAAAGAAAACTCACTCTAAAAAATAAGTTTGGCGGTTGCAAGAATGGTTATCGTCGTTACTTGTATTTTTCTTACGCGGCCATCATCGTTTTCATGGAAATCCCTCTGACGGAGACTGATTTTTTGATCTTTGTACAACCAACTCTATGTAAGCCGGATCGCTCTTGATGCCACCAAGCAGCTAACAAGAATACATATAATAGTAGAAACCATCTTTTTCGACATGGGTTTTGACTATGCAAGTGAGCGTGCTCTCCACCATTTCGTATGCTAGGGTTTCTTTAAATGAAAAAACAAGGTTCTTGACAGGCAACGCTTTTTTTATTTGTTGTAACAGATCCGTTTCACTTGCAAGTCCACTGTCCACCCGGTTCAGCATAACCGTATGGTTGTAAAAGTACGATTCATTCATACAATATCTCTCTTATTGGTAAGTATCTTACAATGTTCGGCGCTCGTATCCATGTAAAACTTAACAACAAAAAAGTTATACTGATTGTAACTATGATAGGCTTATGTAAAAAAAATCTATTTTTTGACGATTTGAATAATCATATACAAAAATTGGAATGGATCCATCGATGTAAATGAAAATAAGAAAGAAAAAAAGGTGGGGAGGGACTGATGATTTGTTTGAGTTGCTGCTTTAGCAGGGAGAAAAAAGAGGAATTAAAAAAAAAAAAAAAGCTTTTTGATAATTGGTAAACGAAACCATCTTCTGGTTGATATACAAGTAAGGAAAGGGAGCCCTCCACGGCCAAGACGTCTAATCGGTGTTAATCCAGGAAAGTATCGTCCACCATCGGCCGCCGTCCATCTATGTCCAAGTAATAAAATAAAAAGCCCCTTCCAAGAAAAGAAACGCAGAAACGACGAAAATATAATAACATCTACAATAAGAAAAAAACAAAAGGAAGAAAAAAAAAATGCTGCGCTCCAGAAAGCGTGGGATATATGTAAAAAGCTTTCCATTCACCCGTTTGCTGATGTTTCGTTTCTTCAACCACTCAGGACATGACCTGCTAGTGCGGTCGGAGGCCATTCGCCTTTGCTTCTCAGCGATTCTTCAACGTGCAATACTTGTTCGAAAATCACAAACATGATGGCACTCTGTAAACTCGTCCAGAACACTCTTGGTCCAATACCACGAAACAGTCCACTCATGCCTTGATGCTTGTAGTTCCACATTAACCCATCCACGATCCCGCTGTAATGTTTTGGTGGTGCTACCACAGTATTCGTCGCCGCAGTGGGTGTCGCTGTCGCTGCCGCTATTTTGGATGGATGGCTGGTGGTGGCTGCGGATGCCGCAGTCGTGGCGGATTCAAAGCTTACGGTTTTACCCGAAACGCGTGTCGGCTTTTTTTCACTGTGTTGCGTTTGAAGCACCGTTTTCATTACATCCAAAGGCGTCGTAACAGCACCGGCAATACCTCCTGCCAACGAGCCCGTCAACAGATCAATTCCCACCGGCAACTGCTCTCCAGGTCCAACACACTTTTGATGCGCAATTTTCTTGAACCGTTCTAATACCCCACTCAAATCAGTATCACTTGGTCCCAATACATCTTCCTGCGAATAGAAAGAGCCCTCACTTACCGTAACATGCAAATTGAATAGCAGAATAAGGAACATCACGTAAAATCGTCGCTTTGAAGCCATGGAATAAAGCGCCCCATCCGTCATATTTCACCACCTGTCACACAGATACCATAAAAAAGTGAGAAACCACATCGCAATCATTTTTTACACCACCGTTATCCTTCTCAATTGCCCACCCACTCGTCGTGCGATTCACTTACCACCGAGGCTGCATGCCATGTATTTCGATAATTGTAACCACTGATAAAATGGGGATTGTTGTACCGTCCTTGTAATTGCATGCGTGTTTTCAGGACTTCAGAAGGTACGTAGACAATCGAAGCGGCCAAATCACCCAGAGAACCAGCCGCCAGGTGAGACACCACTTCCGGTACGCTATTTGACGTCAAGGTCCGTTTCGTGAACTCGTAAATAGAGAAATACACAAGTGTCCCTGGAACTATACATCGCAGACAAAAAACAAACCATCAAAATGTCATTGAGAAAGGTTTTTTTTCTTCCTCCAATTAAGGTGTTGTTTGGCATGGCGTCATCTTACCTGAGCCCAGCATGGCCGGTGTCACGCCTGCATAAAGACCTCGTAGTACTCCTTCCTCTTTGAGAATCAGTCGATATGCTTGCATCATGTTGGTATATTTGAAAGGTCGATGCAAAGGTTGCCCTTGAAGACGAGTCTTGACAGTGTCCACACTTTAAAAAGAAACAACGGGCATCAATCATCCGATCAAGTTTGTCCCTTCCGTTTTGCCTCAGTAACGCTTGTCGCTAGTCCTTTTTTTCTTACCTGTGCATTATTGCATCCGCTGCCGAGCCGCCAATGCCACCTGCGATGATAACCTACAGAGACGGGTGTTATGTAGGTTGGACTTATTTTGAATGATATCATTAATTTTTTTTAGAGAATGAAAGAGAGGCATACATCAAAATAGGGAGGGTATGCCGCATTGCCGCCCGAGTTTAACGAAGGAATGACGAATGAGTGGCCAAAGACACCTTTTCGGGCATCATGGGGAACGGACATGGAAAAAAAAAAAGAGTAACAATAATCGCTTGAAGGAAAGTGCAAGTTCAAATGATTGACCAAATTTGTTATTTTTGGGGACTAGTGGAGTTTTTTTTTTGGCCTTTTTATTTGGTTCGGTTCGGCCACTCAATCGGTCGCGAATTCAAAATAACCGGGAACCGCCATTGGTGCCTCTTTTGCAAAAAAAAAACTCTTTTGTTCTCTACAAACGGAAAATAAGAACAAAAAAGCAACTGCAAAGCAGAATAAGAGAACCATGGCAGCTGCAGCACATTTCATGCATTATTTTTATTGTTGCAGTAACTGTTGCGAGAAAAGATAAAAGTCATTTTTATCAATGACGTTCGTCATTGACCTCTTTGTGATTGGAAATTCTTTGGATGCGCTGCTGCGCCTGTCAAAAAAAATATCTATTTTCTGCCGTTTTTCACTGCACATGAATTTGCGTATGCTTGAATGCTTGATAATTGATGATCTTCTTGTTACCAGACCCCAATCATCCACGTGCCTAAATTAAAAGAAAAACAAAGACCATCCCATTTTATCTGCTCTCGGAAAACCATGGCTACTACAACTTTAGATTGGAATCCCGCCATTGGCCCACCTGCGTGAAAATGATGCGTTATACGAAGATACACGATTGGGTTGACCGGTATTACCAAGTTTACTTCATCAGGTGAGTCACGGTTATTACGGCTATGCAGATCATGATTTTGGAAACTTGCCACTTGTCAAAAAGAAAAAAAAAAAGTGACGGTGTCCCGTGCCATCCTTGTGGAACCGAAGGAAACCTTTTTTTTTTAAAAATGAAATGACATAACCATGTGCAAGATCAACTGTATCAAGATCAAAGCAGTCTGGTTCCTCAAAATCAGTACGCGTATCGTAACCTAGACAAAATGAATTTACCAGACTTTTTGCGCCCTTGCATACCATCGGCCTATTGTACCCTTATTGACCTTTTTCCAACCTGACTCACAACCGTTGGCACGACATTTGTTCGAACCTATCAGATCGACAAGATGAAATTGGATCTGCCTTATTGCCCCATGGGTACAACAACGTTTAAAAGTTGTTGATGCTTTTTGATTTTGGACTCCATTCGATCAATGGAGATCTTTGTCTCCTGGCAAATCCACCCCTCAAAATGACTGTGCGGCTTTCTTTTTTTTTTCTTTCACGCAGGATAGTATAGCCAAGCTGATAAATTATAGATCATAAGTAGGAATCCAACTTATTGGATCAATAGCGCCTTGGTGCCAAACGAACCTAACTCCTTGACAATAAAAGGATCCCTCCTTTTATCAGAAAAAGAAAGTAATAAGCTAAATTGAAAAAAAATTGGTCACTCCTCTTTTTCTAATATTTCAACTAGAGCTCTTCTTTTTTTTCTGTGAAGCGGTGCGTTCCTTCGGGTATGCAGTAGTTTATATGAAAAATAAGGAGAAAACCGAGAAATTATACCGCGTCTATTGTTGAAGACACGAAGTAGCAAATCGACAGTAGACGTTATAAAAGGGGCCAAACGCGGTAACCACGCAACGACTCTTTGACGTTTCATCTCAACTTTTTTTTTTTCTATTTTAGAAAAAAAATATGGCAGCTAGATCTCTAAAGCTCGTGTTGTTCACTTTACTGCTGTACACCTGGAGCGCTACAGCACGATATTCGTTACTTGGTCTGTTCCAGAAAGATGGGTCTTGCTTGTCCGATGCAATGTGCGCGACATACTGTGTCTTTCAAGGATTTACCGTAGGCCAATGTTCTGACGAAGCAAAATGCACTTGCCGTATTCCCTTATTTCGTGGCCGAAAAACCACCGTGGAGCATCATGAAACCGTCATTGAGGGAAAAGATCATCAATCGAAAGAAACCATCAACACGGTGACAAAAGAGGATATCGTCGACAATTCCACTGATAGCAGCGATACAACCGACAGTACCGACCCCAAAGAAAAGGAAGCCAAAGACTATGAAATCAAGGATCACGAAGTCAAAGAAAGCGACGTCAAGGATGACGATGCCAAGACTAAAGAGGTCAAGGAGGCAGAGACCAAGGATACGGATGTGAAAGATGCGGAAGCCAAGGACGACGAAGCCAAGGCTAAAGAGGTCAAGGAGACTGAGACCAAGGATAAAGACGTCAAAGATGCCGAGGCCAAGGACAAGGACGTTAAAGATGCTGAGACCAAGGATAACAAGACCAAAAAGGATGCAGAAAAGAAGCAACATGGCAAGAAGAAGAAAAGTAAAGGCGATGAAACGGCAGTTGCAAAGAACTCTAGTTCACCAGCGAACAATACGATGCCATCCATCAATAATCCTGCATCGGAAAACAACCGAACTACGGGATTGGATGTAGCCATCAAAGCCGACAATACCACCAAGGTTCCAGTAGCCAAGGCCCAAGTGAATATCGACGCTGCTGAGCAGCCAAACAATGCCGTTAATCTGAACAGTGCGATAGAGCCAGCGGATGATTCTATGCTTACCGACGGTGGCGCCAACCCTGACACTGTTACTCCAGAAGCATATAACACTACCGATTATTCATCCAGCACACCCATCTAAGCTCTTGGCACTTTTTTTTTCATCTGTATCCATATTCTCAATTAATTTAATTAAAATTTTTGGGAAATTAGCGATTTTGTAAATCACATGATCTACACTAAGTTATCAAGACCTGTTAAACCTTTTTTTGATCTTTCAACCATGCCTCGCTGCCCACTTTCACGATAATAGGCGAAACAATCAGCAGCAAGATGCCGTTTGCACCAGTTGTGGTCAAACAGAGTATCGTCGCCGTTCACATAAAATGTGAGTGGAGCTCTTTTTGAAGAAAAGTGGTTGATGATACGACTGGCGTTCTTCTGTAGCATCATTCAATCTGTTGTTTTTTTTGTCAGTTATACTATATATGTCCTTTCATTCTCTTTCAATTTTCAATGAATCGAATAATACATAAGCAGACGTGCTTCGATCTATGAATTCATGCATCAGTGGGGTGACTATTGTTTCATCCATGGAGAATCATATATTTTTGTTTTCTTTCTTCTTTTGATTTTTCTCTCTCTCTTTCTGTTTGCTTCATAAACCCTCACTATCATTGTATCAAGTCCATCCGCATCCATCATCCAGACCATTCTTATCCCGTGTATTTAAATCGACTACCATCCTCAAAAAGGTAAGCGTCGAGTGGTCTACCATCGATTTTGCTCCGGCAAAACAGACTTACCTCTCTTTTTTTTCATCCTTCTTTTAGCTTCCGGGTTTCTTCGTTTTCTTTTTGCCTGACAAGTTCTGGATACTACAGTTGACTTTCTCTCGCCATCCATCCATCCATCCATCCATCCATCTGGCAAAACCGGATGACGTCAAAGGCCATCGTTGGTGGTGTGGCTCTCTTTTTAATCAGAAAAACGCTTACGTGTCCTCTTTTTTTCCCACAGGGTTTTTTATGAGGTTTTTACTGACGCGACCATTGTTTTTTTTTTATCATCATGTACTTTATTTGTTTTTCTTTCTATTCATTCGGGGGACTCTCGATATCTGGAATCCAACTCGAAATTACCGACACTTCTGGCCACGTCAATATTTTTTGCCTGCTCAAGCTGACACCACCGATCCATCGCTTAACTGTCCCTGGAAGCAATTTTATTTTCCGCATCGAAGTAGAAGCTTACCTGGCGGTCCGTATTCATCGTTTTTTTTTTCCGGTACACCATTTGGTTCAAAGGCAAGTCCAATTTCTTTTCTTTGCTATGATGTAATAAACGTATACTAATTCAAAATTTTTTCAATGTCATATAATCCAAGTCATGTCAAGCGATCAATGGCTATTGCAAACTCAAATAACAAAGGTAAAATATCTTGACGAAAATTTGAATCAATCAAAGAGCTTACTAACTCATTTTTTTTAAATACCCAACATACCCACACATCTTTCTAGATCTATCATAGCCTGGGCGGGATGGAACTGAGGGAGGGAACCAGTGCTGCCCTGCGCGTGTTCAGAAACAAATCACGTTGCAACGTATGCCATAAGGTTGTCATTAATATACCGAAGTTCCGTCAAGAGTTCTCGCCCAGGTTATGCCGTGTATGCGTTAGGCTTTTTGTCTGACGAAAGTCGCTCAATGTAAGAGGGCGGCCTCCGGTGGCAGGCGGCATCCATTGCACAGCGGGTGTACGGCTTGTTAAAGTCAAATAAATCTTCAACTACAATGATATCATCGCTAACAGTGGCTCACTGCCATATGCAAAATCCATCTCCTTCTCTTCGGTTATCTTCTGCTACTATCTGAAAAAAAAAAGCTGTTAGCCTTCTTGGAAGGCTGCCCACCCATCGTTATTTCATATCAATGCTAGATCAAGCGCACTTCTTTGGCGTTGGCAATGTGCACCGATCGCAGAATGTTTACATTTTTTACCATTGAAAATAAGTGCATCAGGTCCTTATCCACCTCGACGATAATTGGTCGTTGCTCGTTAATCGATGTCTGATAAAAAAAACTGTCACAGCAGTTCAAAGTTAGCGACTTAGTCGGTCAGATATGCATAATGCATATAATATTGTGATCATATTCATTAGCATTGACATAGATTGCTTGGTTTTGGTGCCTTTACTGTCATTCATCAAGGAATGATAGTGAATATACAAGTATGAGATGTTTATTGATTTGCGCCAAGGTGGTGACGAGGGTTTTCATGTTCACATAAATAGATGGCTTGCATGAAGCCATATCAAACCAAGAGCTGCCTTTTTATCATGACATAGATAGTGGACCGGATCATGGCAAAGTGAGTAGAAGCCCATGGACCCTATCGCTTGCTTTTTATCATGACATAGATAGTGGATCGGACCATGGCAAAGTGAATAGAAGCCCATGGACCCTATCGCATCCACCGTATCACATCTACAGTACGCTCCTAAGGTTTGCCTATAAAAGGCCTAGAACAATCAAGACGATCTTAGTGAAGTGATCGGAAATAGTAATTTTTTTTATCTTGTAATCATTCCAAGGCATGTAGGACTATCACTTGAAGCCACATGTTCCAGCCAACGGCACCAAAGCATTGGCCCAATTGGAGAAAATTGCCAATCGAACGAATCATTCAATCTGCTTGTTTGCCAGTTACTGTATGAATCCAATGGCGTTTTGAGTATGTAGTAGTTCTCCATTGTTTATATTGGTAGATCCTTTTCTAAATAATAGGATGACCCCGTCATGGAGGAGCTGCTTGAGAGAATAGGCAAGTTTGATACAGTAGCTTCAACCCCAAGGAACAACTAGCCTTGTCGTTCATGTAGCGGTAATACTATGGTATCTATCTTTTTTTTTTCAGAATCCAATATTATGATGTGTCATCCAAATGTCGGTATGCTAGAACAAAAAGATTGGCGATAGCTTGAGCGCCAAGGAAGCTTAAGTAAGACATAAAATTATTAATATACAATGCCGTTATTCTAATGATAATGAGTATAAAGGCTCCTGCAGGAATCATGCTTTATGGTATAGCTTGCACTTTGCATGTTTCTCAGTTTCATTAGGGTGCCCCAATATATAATTTTTTTGGGTGCTAAAAAAAATCGATCTAGAAGTCGGTGGGTTGACCGTGAAAGATCATCTGTTGACCCTTGACGGATCTGAAGATCCCTTGATATTGACCCTTATTCTTCCCCGCTCAGCTTGGGGGAAAAGCTTATGAAAGATATGAGAAGTTTTGTGTGAGTGGCATGATATATACGGATTGTTGATTCACAAGCAAAGGTAAAAAGTATTGGTATAAGAGCACAGACTCGCGATAGAAAAAGTCTTGCATACAAGACTGGACGAGTTTATGATAGAACGGCCCACCAAAGAGACATAGTGGGTGGAGGGTAAAAGTAAGAAAAAAAGTTCAATGTATCCAATTTGGATTGGCAGTGGAGATTCAACCTTGACTAAAGAAAAGGGCTCTTATTGGCTTGAAACCGGTTAAAGGATAAGAGAGAACTGCATTGTGTGGGTTGTCTGCAATGCACACCCATCCTTCTATCGCATCTTTTTCTTACCATCCTTCCAACGTGACATGATAAATCCTCATTCACACCTTACAGAGCGTGTCATATATTGGTTGCATGGCCATGAATTCATAGTTTCATCTTTCTTTTTTTTCTCTCCCTCCCTAAACTCTAGCTTGTTATAACTTGCAAGATACCTCATGGTCACTGTATGGGCTTTGTGGTTTTTTTTTTTTTTTTTTTGCTTGTCTAAAAGTGGCCCCTTAAAATCAAGCAACTCCTGAACCAAAAAATAAGGACTTTGTTGATGAGAAATAAGCGAGCCGCCCTATTTATACATATACGTCTTTTTCCCTCATCACTTTTTTTTTCTGCTTCTTTTCAAAAGTATCAAGAGAATCTTCTTGTTCCTCCTGTTTCTGCGTTTCTTTCTTTTTTTTTTTTTTTTTTTTTTTTTTTGGTATTGACGTTGTTTTTTGTCCGCTTCCCTTTGATTGGATGGTTTTGGCAGTGATAAACAATTTGCAAGCATAAACATCTTGGTTACAAGCAGCATTAAAAAAAGGGAAAACAAGAATAACAAAAAAACACACACATTTTATACGCCCACATATACGTCTACCTATATTTTTATTCTATTTAACTACCACTGTATCGCGCCATCCAGCGACAACGAATGACCTCCCATCCTGCTGTGAAAGAATTTGCCACTTCATCCAGTTACTCTACCATGACCAAACGACGAAATAGTACCACCACCCATGCGGCGACTTCCATTCCCACCAAATTACGCCCTACTTCACTGTGCATTAATCAACCAATGAACAATGTCACTTTAACCCAACCTTCGGCTTCGTCTCAACCTGGAGACACTCACGGCATGGTTTCCGACGGAGAAAAACAACAGAAATCATCTCGTAAAAACACATTTTCATGGTCTTCGACATCCTCAACGTTTTCCACTTCATCCAGTTCCACCCTGTCATCGGTTTCTACTCCCATCACAACCATTACTACCGCGACCCTGTTGGCGACGGTTGAAGGACTGTCATCGGCGCCTCACTTGCCTATTCTGGATGTGGAGGACCACGACGATGACGACGATTCAGACACCGCTTTAAAAAACGGCATGGATGAGCATGAATATCATGAACAGCGACATCAACGACGTTGGCGACGTCTAGTGGCTTCCAATCTGTCACGAGCGGCCTCCAACGGCGATAACACAAATGTGCAGCAAATTCTAACCGATGAACGGCTCCGTCCTTTTCTCAACATTGATACACCGGATGATGAACACAACGGAAGTACCGCCCTGATTTATGCAGCTTGTTTTGGTCACCTCGACGTCGTCCGCACATTGCTGTCTGCAGGAGCCAATATCGACATTCAAGATAAATGTAAGTCTCTCTCTTTTTTTCTGTGTGGTCCAAGACAAGGGAGACTGTCGGGAATGAGAACAGCGTCATAGGGATCGTTCAGGGAAAAAAATTTGGCATACTGACAGGATCGGATTCATAGCCGGTTGGACCGCGCTCATGTGGGCAAGCAGCAACAATCACAGTGGGGTTGTTAAGCTGCTTTTAGAACACGGCGCATCATCGACGGCAGTCTCTGCCCGCGGCCGGACCGTATTTGATTTGGTCGATACCGACAACTCCAACTTGACCCACATCTTTAGCAACGGTGACACCATTTGCTCAGAACTCGCCATTGTTTCCCAACGACAAAAACGAGGTCGTCGACGATCCAGTGTGTCGGCGCTCCCCAATCTAGATTTTTATTACCAATCGACCGAAGATGGGTATCAGGATTTTCTCGCCAACGAACCGGAACGACAACGACGGTTGATGGCTTCGATGAACGAAGAATTAGAGACGCAGGATGAAGAAGACGACAACGATCCGTGCCCATGGGAAAAGGCCGACGCCAAGCCAGCGGGCATAGACAACGAAGAAGAAATTGAATTTGCGGCTTACGAGGCATGTATGCATTCGATTGACAAATTTGACTGGGATCAATGTTTACCGCACCAAATGTTCGTTTTTGATGAAAAAGACTTGCCGCATATTCTGGATACCGCCATCAGTGAACTACAACTGCCCATGAAATCACAGCAAGAAACCCTGGTACCAGCCAACATTCTCTTTTTGAGTGCTCGATTTTGTCACCATTTCTCCACTCGCGAATTATTGTGCGAACTGCTCACCTCTGCCGTCGACCGCATTACCGACGTGGTCAAAGTAAGTGGACTTGATCCCTGGAAGCTTCGGAAGCCTTGGTTACTCTTGTGTGTGTGGGGAGGGGGGTTGTGTGTGTTGAGGATCTTTTTTTTTCCAAGCAGTTTCAATGATTAACATGTGGATTATCAAGTGTAGCAACCACGATATCCAGACGTTGGCTTTCTGGATGACAAACCTCTCGCAATTGCTTTACTATTTAAAGAGGGATGTGGGACTGGTAGTAGCGACGGCCGAGCATCAATTGGCGATTTCCGAGCTGATTTCGGAAATCTACATGATGTTGGTGATTGATTTTCAGAAGCGGATCGACAAGATTCTGGAAATGGCCATGCTAGAGTATGAAGCTTTTGACGGGTTTGGACAGGTCCATTTTGCCAATGATTGGCAAAGGTTTTTTCGTCGCGGGCGATCGCGGAAATCCATGGTTCAAAGCAATGCTATGGAAACGATAGCCTGTCAACGACCACAGGATCAGCAACGCAGTATTTCCCCGCAATCCATTGCTTCCTTGTTATCGTCCAGTCTTTACGTACTTCAGTCCTACGAAGTGCATCCAGTCATTATCATGCAAGCCATTGCTCAATGTTTCCACTTCCTGTCATGTGAAATGTTCAACCGCATTCTCACCAATAAGAACTACTTGTGTCGATCCAAAGCGATCCAGATTCGCATGAATTTAACCACGATTGAAGAGTGGGTTCATGAAAACAAGTTGCCGTCGAATTTACTGACCTATCTGAATCCACTGATTCAGTTACTGCAACTGCTGCAATGCGTATCTCAGCTGGACGATCTCATGGCGTTTATCGACACGACAAAAGCGTTTGATTTGCTGAATCCACTGCAGATCAAACGATGCGTGCTTCACTACCGCTATGAAGTCGATGAAGCACGGTTACCCGAAGAAATTGAAAAGTATACCATGCAAATTGCCAAAGATACCATTCGAGCCAGCAAAGTGAAAGGTGGGTTTTCGACCGACGGACCGAAAAGTCCCTGCCGGTCGCGACGAGTGAGTACAATGTCCCTTGGACGCGGTACGGCGCGATCGCGGCCCAACAGCGTCTCAAGTTTGGGCAGCTTGTTACTGGCGAACATGGTGGGACGAGAGAAGCGATTGTCATTGCAGAGCGAAAGCGAGTTATCGGCGGCTACGGCCGAGGACATGGACGACAGCCCGGATGAAGAAAGCACACGCGAATGGATTGTAGAGAAACGGGATTCCAGGTACCTTTTACCATTCACCTTGCCTACAACCAATACCATGTTCGCCTATACCTGGCCGAAACCCAACGAGACCATGGTGACCACAACGGACAGTGTCAGTTTAATAGCCGAATCCATTTACCAGGAAGCCAAGCAAAAATTGGGAGCGCAACGTGAGAAATCGGTTCGCGAACAAAGCCTGGTGCCCACTATACCCGAAGACTGGATGGACCGATTGGACAATCAGCATCAAAAAGAACGAAAAGCCATTGACATATGAATCAATAAACAAATAAAAAAAAGTCCTCTCGTTGATGATGACCCTGACTATTTTCCTGCTGTTGTTGTTGTCGTTGCAGCATCAACTCGCATGGATAACCATAACTAAAAGGAAAAGCATTGAATTTTGATCCGCAGCAATGACTGCATTGATGAATGCATAGTTTATTTTCTATGAGCTTAAGTGGTTTTATTCTCCATAGTCACCTCTCTTTCAACTCCTTTTTTTTCCATCGGCATTTGTTTTTTTAAGCCCCCCCCCTTTTTTTTTGTATTCTTTTTAAAGTAGCTCCCGTGTGCCTTTCCCCCAAGGAAAACCTAATCTTGGCCTTTGCCCGACCTTTTTTGTTTAACGCCTCCTTTGATTTTTCGCTGGAACTTTTTGTATGCAACGTGATCTCGATTAACAGATTGGATATTTATAGCCATGGCATGAATTGTGACTTTATTTCCAATGTCTCCATGGCCGCGTAGAAGCCATGATGGTTGCAAAGCGTATTACATCCTTTCTTTTCCCTTTTTTTCTTCCGTTCTTTTTTATTCTTCCCTTGACGAATCCCCATCACTTTTTTTTTCTTTTTACCCTCTCGTCCGACAATCCGTTCACTGATCAAGACCATCATTTCCTCTCATTTTTTTTGCCACACGCACCCGTTTTCCTTGACGGTGTTCTCTTTTCTTTTTATTGTCGCAGCACAGCCATTCTTTACTTTATCTTCAATATACAGTCCACTTGCAGCACCATTGATCGTTTTTTGCTGACGACGCCTCTCTTCTCCTATCAACAAAGCCTTAAATCGGAACCGTGTGCATCGTACCCTCGTCTCCTTTTTTACTTTTTTTTTTGCTGATGCTTCTTGCTCATTGTGATGGCGCAAAATCAAACATTTGAACCGTTCACGACGTACGCTTTTGGAAGACCGCTCGGGTACGATGAATTCAACCACATTACGCAAGTGGACAATGACACTGTGGTGGTGACGCCACGGTTCAATACTACAGGAAAACGAGAGTTAAAGGTTAGACTCAACCAGCCAAACCAAAATGAAATTGACCCCTTAATTTGTCTTGTGTTTCATTTCTCATAATTTTGTTGATATGCATGGTTTTCTCTTATTCTTTTGGTATTCTTCTCGTCCAATCAGATTGGCGTTTTACTGCCTTTTAGTCAAAAGGACGACAACTTTACGGCCGAGATTGTATGGGGGTAAATAGACGGTTGTAAAAAGAAAATCCGGCGATGAGAGCTGATGCTGATACTGATACTGATACGGATGGGTGTGTTTAGGGGTTCTTCTGCTATTCGTCTGGCTGTGAATCAAATTAATCAAAATAACCTGATCTCCGGCGCTTACATTTCGCTGATCCAGAAAGATTCCTTTCCTACCGGAATAGCACATCAATCGGCCGTCACCGATGCCGTCTACGCTTCGGTGACGCTGTTACAGCAAGGTGTGATTGGTGTCATTGGCGACGTATCCAGTTCGTGGACCAGTCTCAGCGCTCTCATGACAAGCACCCTCGAAATTCCCCAATGCTCTTTTACTGCTAGCGCCGGTAATAAAATTAGCCTTCATTTTTTCCAGTTTCAGCAAAACGGGTTGCCTAATTGTTCTTCATGCATTTTCCAGTCGCTTTTTCCGACAAGACACAGTACAAGTACTTTTTTCGTACGGTGCCCACTGAAGTGATTGTCGCCGATGTCATGTTTGCTTTTGCCGCCAATCAAGGATGGGGCAAAGTCGCTATCGTTTACACGGACGACGCCCTTGGGCAACAATGTAAGAAGACAACTACATTTTTCATTCGGATTTTTTTTTCCTTCTGTTCTAAATCGTGATCAGTTTATCAGCGTGCCATTATACAGGCCAACTTGAAGAACTTGCATGTAATCCACTATCAACCGTTCCCTGACGCTGGAACCCCCAACGACATGGATCAACTGTTGTATAACGTCACCACCACCGGCGCACGGATCATTGTTGTCGCTGTTACGGGCGATTCGCAGAATGCGCTCATGATCCATGCCGCTCAGTCCGGTTACCTTTCCGACACTTATGTCTGGCTTCTCATGGGCGACGGAAGCCAGTTGCCAAAAGCTGTTCAAACCTACAACGATGACATTGTAATGAACAACAAAAATGGCTCGATCTTGTCGTTTAATTCCACATTTACCGGTGTCTTTGCCTTTGATAACTGGCTCTTCCTGTATGACTACCCGCCTTTTGAAGCCTTTCTCGACGACTGGTCCCGCCTTAGCCCCGTCGCGTAAGTACTTGGTGGGCCACACGTTTTCCAGAGACTAATACTTTTTTTTACCTATCTAGTTATCCATTTGCGGGTCGTCGCAATATTTCAACCAATGAAGGGTAGGTAGGAAGGCACGACCAACAACCCACCCCACCCCACCCCCAAATTTCATTCCATACTCATTGAATTTTTTCACCGTCGATCGTTTCATCCTGTATACAGATTAGCCTATTCATGTATGATGGTGATGGCCCAAGGGTTTCGTAACACCATTTCACATATCGGGAATTACACTTACGGCCTAGAACAACTTGCCACGGGCGGTTTAGGCGACTCGCTTACCCCACCTGCATTCAACGTAGGCTATGTTGGGCCGGAAGGACCCATGACCTACGACAGTAACGGCGATCTTACGGCAGGGTAAATTCTCCACTGAAACATCGTGGTTTTTGGTCTAAGAAAACAGTAGAAAAAAAAAGAGAGAGAGAGCACAACACCTAACGTCTAATTTTTGATAGGAACTATATTGTGTACAATTTTCAGCACGGGATTCGGCAAACCATTGGCACCAGTATGGCGGGAAGGCTCAACTTGACCGGTACACCCATGTATCATGACGGTACTTCCAAGGTAATAAATACACTTAGTCACCCTTTTTTTTGAGTGAGAGAGACCCCCAAGTGGACCTTTTTGTAGGTGAAGACTAATTGCACGTCTTTGTGTTTCACCATCAGTAGCCTCCCCTTGATTTTCCACCTAGTCTGTCACTCAATCCGGATTTTTCATCACCAATTGCTCACGTTATTCTCGCCGTTTCTGCCTTGGGCGTCTTGTTTTCTCTTGGCATGTTCATTCTGGTCCTCATTTTTCGAAAACACGAGGTTTTTAAAGCGGCCAGGTAAAACAGCAGAAGAACAAAATCTTCATTGATATTGCGCGATGTTAAAAGTGATTGCTTTACTCTGATTAGTCCATTGTTTTGTTGCTTGGAGCTGGTCGGTTTCATCCTGACTTACTTATCGGTGACCTTGTTAATCGGCAACCCCACCACGGTTACTTGCATTTTGACTCCGCTGGCCTTCAATTTAGGGTTTCTTTTGGTGCTCAGGTATGATTAAGCTCGGCTTATTTTGACATCTTGTCATGTTACTCAAGCAGGTATTATTTTTCGGCTGGGTTTGCAGCAACTTGATTGCAAAGAATTACCGCATTTACCGAATTTTCAATAACGTTTACATTACACGCACCGTCATCACCGACAGTCAATTGATAAGAACCGTATCCTTGGTCGTCGGCGTCGATATGGTAAGAACAAAAAACTAAAGTCAACCTTATACGTGTTTTGGCAAAGAAAAGCTTCCCTCCCCCCTCCCCCAAAAAAAGGGAGGCAAGGCGGACGGCAGAAACGGTCAAGACAGGTTTTCCGCAGTTATCTAAACCTTGTCACTTTTTGTTTTTTGTTTGTTTATTTGTTGTCGTCTGGCTTGACTGTAGGTAATTCTGGCCATTGGGATGATCATCAGTACCCCTGCCCCTTTGAAAGTGGACGTATCCTTTTCCAACCATTATTGGACATGTCAGACAAGACAAGGACCACGATTGGCGTTCATGATATTGTTATCAATTTACGCGGCAGGATTGTTGTTGTTCGCGACATTTCTGGCGTACAAAACCCGACTGGCCGGACGTCACTATACCCGTTACAGTGAATGTAAACAAATGGGATTATCCGTATAGTAAGTATGGGAATGGGAGCGAAACGACGTCATGACGACCTAACGTAAAGATTTCTATCTTTTTTTTTTTTTTTGATAGCAATATTCTATTTTCATCCTTGGTGGGATTTGCGATTATTGTGAATCCGATGGGCGATTACTATACGAAGTACTACATTAGCGTGATCACGGTGCTGTGGGCGACGTCGTTTTCACTGCTGGTTCTATTCTTACCCAAGTTGCACGCCTTTGTGAGCCAATGGCGTCGTGAGGAAAAGGCGAAAAGAAAAGATGGCGACATGGCATCACCGCGGCTTCAGTTGTACAACATGTATCGGTCGAGCACGGCGGTGGTCGGTGGCATGCAACAACCGCAGCAGCACGATTCTCAACAGGAAACCGCGGAAATACTAAGTCTGGATCGCATGCTCGGCTCGGATCTTCCTGTCATGACGTCTTCGTGTGACGCTACGCCCGGCAAGGCTAGCATGGTGAGTTTGACGACGCAATGTCCGAAAGAGAGCGGGTCGTGTATTGAGGTGCATGAAGGCCGTATGCCGATTCGCAAAGTGTTTCGGTACTTTCCTTACCTTGCGCAGTGGGAAATGCAGCACATCATGGTGTTTCCTTGGCTCGGCTATTTCTCGCATTTTTCAGAACGCGCCAAAACGGGGACGGTGATGTCATACAGCCAGGCGACGGTGCATTCAGCCCAGCTCGAAGATTATGTGCTCAAAGTACACGGACAAGGACTCTACGACATGTATATTCAAGTATCGAGTCTGGCGGCCATGGAAACATGGCAACGATGTTTCAATCGACGTCTTCAGCAGGAATCGCTGTTCTTCCAACAGCCTACGCATTCTTCTTCCACTCCGCCACCCACGGCCCCAGCGGAAACGGGATCCACGGAAGATATCGCCAGTGTCGCCGACGGCCAAGAACCGTCCCGACCTTCCAAACCCAATGATTCGCTGGCTATGCTTAATTTATCCCAAGACCATTTACTGGTCCGCCACGAAAGCGAACACACATTGGACACTTTGGGCAACAGTAACCTTACCTTACCCCACTACCCTGTCACTCGTCGTTCTTCCAAGGACCCATCTACCTTCAACTAACCCTTCCACCCCTCCCTCCTCTTTTTTTTATGTAACACATCATTCGTTATCTTATCCTTTCATGCATTTTATTGTTTTCTTGTCTCATACTCATACATTAGCTTCTTCTCCCGTCCCCTCTTTTTGTTCTCTTGTATCATATTTTATTCCGCATCGGATAATCTCTTTTCAATCTTTGCCCTAGCCGGATTGAATCTCAGTTAAAAAGATCTGATAAGATTGACAATCTGATAAAAAATTCCGGTGGTGACCAATGACTCAAGCCAAGCGAAAAATGAGTGCATTCGGAATGATATTACGTCATGAACTAATTATTCGCGGGGATGCCGATGATTTTATTACAGAAAATGGTATTTTTTGGGGGTTTTTATACAAAAATGAGTTGGCAAGATGGGATGTCACAGCCACCACGAAGAAAAAGGGGGGAGTTGAGTTAAATAAGAAAGATGACACACGGTCGAAAGTGGGTCACCCAAAACAAAGGCATCCCAAGCAGGGTTCGCAAAAAGGGAAATAAGAGATTCCGGGGGGATAAAAAAGAAAAAAAGAAGTGAAATGGTATCAAGATCATGGAGGGGGAGGGTTTTTTGTGATGGTGCAATATTTAAATTTTTTTCTCTTATTTTAGGGTTTTTTTCTTATGTACAGTGCGAGCGAGTGATGAATGAAAAAAAAAAAAAAAAAAAAAAGAAAAAGAAAAAAGATGAACAAAAAAAAGGGGGGTTGGGAGGTACGGAAAACGGAAACAGTGAATGTGATTAGAAGCGATGTAAGAGATAGTGATATGTGTGTGGTGTAATAAAAAAAAGGTTTAGATGAAGAAAGCGGATCGTTTCATGGTGGTAGTCGTCGTGCTGGTTCCGGTTGCCGTGACAATACTGGGTGCGGTAGTGGTCGAGGAAGAGACAAGTTCGAAAATAGGAGGGGAAGGGATTTGGATACGAGATGAGGACGACGAGGATGGGTACGCTAGCATGATGGGTGATAAAACTTCATCACTTTCGTCCGAGGCCACCGACGATGCCGAAGAGGAAAGTGTAGGAATCGACCGAGGGAAATCTTTGAGTTCTGCATAATCGTAACCGAGCAACGGATGATGATTTAAAGCATCACTTCGAAGACAATCTTCCGAGCAGTAAAGTGAATTCTTGATCGAATAAGAAAAAACATAAAATAAAGAGGATGAGTTTTCGTTTGGTTGCATGGATCTCGCAAGAGCTTTTTCACGTACCGAAAATGGACTGATGGCACTGTCACAGTAGGTGCACCAGTTAAGATCGCTCATGGTTGGTTGATTTGGTTGGGTTGTTATAAGGTGGGTAGATGGGTGTAAGTAAAGCGAGAGAATGGAGAAAGAAGAAGTGAGAATTCTCTTGGTATGGTTGGTTTTCGTTAATTCATTTAGAATCCAAATGGACAAAAAACCGATCGCCTTTATATAAAACCGGTTGGAAAAAAAAGAGATGGAAATGACTCGGGACCCCCCGTCACGGCAGGTCAGCACTTGTCTAACCCGTCTGTGCCCCTGAAGACCATGGGGGAGATTCAATGTTTACCTCGACTTTCATTGGTAGATGATGGTCCATTTTAGGTTCCTTTGGTCGTTGTGATTCTCAGTCATTTCGCCTTTCAAGGCCCCTCCATCATGACCCACTTTTTTCCCCCAAGGAAAAAAAAAAAAAAAAAAAAAAAAAAAAAAGAACGGCAAGTGTTTGCTTGGACTCGTTCTTTTTTTTCCCAGCCACCGTCACACACGTGTTCTCATTTTTCTTTATCTCGCCTTTTCCCATCCCCTATTATAAAATGGAGCCATTCTGAGCAAATCATGGCTCATCATTGCGCTTTATTTGCATTGCTCATTTTCATATTACCTTATTGGTGGGTTCCTCATCCTTGCTCATCCAATCAGAACAAAATATGCCTCGGCTCTTGGCTCCCAAGACAACGCACTTCCCATCGCATAGACTTGTGTGGGGTGGGAAAAAAAAGGCACGCAAAAAAGTTTAAACCCTGTTTTTTTTTTTCTTTTTTTTTTTTTTATTCCAAATCATTCGCTGTAAGCGTCAATTTATCGCCTTCTGCGTAGATTTTCCTTGACTACAGAGAAACACCACGAGATGTTAGGTTTGGATGAGTCATGTTTTTGCTCATTTGTTGCAGCGTCTTATTTTTTCACGTACCATTTGCCATACTTGCACGACGTTATCTTCTGCCGTACTTGCAATCATCCAAGGCTCGGTTGGATTCCAATCAAACTGCGAAATTTTACTGGTATGACCGCTGTGCATGAACTAACAAATGAACGCAAAGAATAATCAATACAGATGCACGTCGTCGCTTAAAGCCAAATTTATCTTTCTGTCTCTTCTTCTTTCTTTGGGGAATAGCCAAAAAAGAAAAAAGGGGGTGGAGAGGGGAGGAGAATCGGAAGAGAGACAGAGAGGGAGGAAGGAATATCGGCAAAAACAACGTGGCGGCAATTCATACGTACCATCAATTCAGGTGGACCATCTTCTGCATCTTCGGGGGTTTGTTCTTGACCGATACGCGATAAATCCCAAATGATGATTTTACGATCATCGGCCGCGGACGCCAGGACGGAAGGTTCATGAGGATTCCATTCCACTTGTGATACTTGGCCCTCATGCATTTCCAGCGAATGCAATTTCGTTTGCAATTTGCGTAAATCGAATAAACCAATCGTCTGCACGCATTTCACATTCTGTCAATAATCCATGCATCTATCACGATGATTGCAACCAATTTACCTTATCTGACGAACCCGTCGCAATCAGCCATTCTTGTTTCGGATTGAACGCGACACTGTTCACTTCCCCATCATGTGCCTGAACTTGTTGCACGGGTCTCGATGGTGTGCGCGTATCCCATCTTTTGCAAAAGCAAAACATATCGTATCAGTCCACTCTGATTTCAATTCCCTTCATCTTTTTTCATGATTTCTCCAAATCGAACAACAGGGCAAAGATAGAAAAACTTACATCATTAATTTCATATCATCTGCCACAGACGCAAATACGGAATCGTCGCCGGCACTCCAACTGACATCCTATCCATATGCAATTGTCATTCTTCCGCAAATAGTTCCCAATGATGAACGTTGAAGTATATAGAAATACCTCCACACATGCATCATGTCCCTTGTATTGCTGATAAGGCTGTAATGTATTGTCTTTATCTGGTGTGGACATACCGATATCCCTGTTGAAACCCCACCCCAAAAAAGAAAAAAGAGAGCGACGGTTAGATCAAATGTTCAGGAACATGAAACAGTTGCTAGATAACAATCAAAATACACCCATTCGTGTTGTATCACTTACCAGTGACAAATGATGTGATCATATCCTGCGCTTAGTAAATGGTTGGATTTGGAAGGATGGGGATTCCAGGCTAGGCCATATCTGTTGTATAAAACATCGGATTATCACCAAAGTACACCAATAAATGAGTTTTTTTTCAAACAATCATCAGCCCATAAAAAAAAAATCATATCCCCCATGATCTTTGTTCCACTAACCCTTCGGTGGTGTGACCTTTCAATCGAAGCATGGGATGGCACGTTGTATCGGTCGATGAAGCTGTTTTCGTACGATCAAACACGAGAACATCTCCATCCCGCGTTTTCGTTGCAAGGATCTCTGAATTGCTCGGCTGATAACGCGCGGCATTCACTTCGCCTTCATGATATATCTGTTGGGTCGCATACAATCGCGCCTTGTTGTCTAGGTGGAACGTATAAACATAACGTTTTTTCTAGTGTCAGATTCTTTGTTTCGAGATTCATCTCAGAGTCGCTTACTCTGTTCGTCGTTTTTCACTGGTGTATCTACATTAAAGAATTGAAGATAGTTGGGCTCCTCGTCATTGGTGTGGCTGCCCACCATCAATTCCTGTCTTGCAAACCCATTTTCCCTGTGTGAATTTGACACATGCTTTGTTCAGTGACAGATGCAATATAATCAATCGAGCGATCATTGGGCATTTCCTTTGCAATACCTTGTAATACGCGGTAACCATTGACAGGTCAATGAAGGCCATATCAACGTCTTTGTCAGTAGTACATCGTACAGATACGGTGCCGTACTTTTCCATGTGTTGTATTCTTCCGCCAACCGTTGTTGCTCGTTCACAGGGTCATTTTCTGAGATCAGCAATCATGAGTCAAGAAAGTTGAACATTGCTTTCAAATGACGCGTAATACCTTTGTCACTCATCGCGCCTCCTAGTCAATCGTTTCGATACAAGATACAAAAAATTGCTATCCACCCCTTTTATAGGAAGCGTCAGCGATCCGTGACTTTTTTCTCTGCCCAAAAGAAAAACAAAAGTGATTCATCTTCAGCAACCCCCGCTTTCTTAGTCGCCTAATATTCATGCACAGAACCTGCAGAGATATCTGGAGTATCCGATTAGGTTTTCCATCTGCAGCCTCTATTAGATGTAAAGAAATTTCATATGTAAGAACCTTTTATTCTACAAAGTATAGTACAAAAGTGATGGTGGAAAATGTAGACATTAGTAAGAAAACAAAAAAGTGGATGAGATGGAAAACGGTATCTAGTGGATGAGGAGGTTTTTAAGCCTTGGAAGCGGCCAATTTTTCCTTGAACAGGTTCTCAGCGCCACCCCACACGGGAGATTCGCTGCGGTTCTTCAAAGCAAGCATGGTAGGCAGCAAATCGTGCGAGAACATGTCCGAGCTTTCTCTGGGCAACAACGTAGGCAAATGGTCGATGGAGCATACTTCCAAAGGATAAGGATTGCTGCTCTCGACAGGGACGGTGGGCTTGTCAAAGGTGGTGTTGATTGAGTACACAGGAATAGGGTTATTTGGGTTGGTGGTATCGCAGGACACATCCACAATCACCGATAATTGACGCTGAGCATCAATCATTTCGCGCGTAATGAAGGGAGGGATCTTGCTGTTCAAGTAAATACAGTTGATAAAGATATCTGCAAAACAAGTAACAGAAAGTTGAGTCTAACCAGTTTTCACTATGCCACCATTTGGACTATTTACCTGCTTCCATAATTTGAGGGAAAGGTCCGCCACCCTTGGTTTCATTGATATCCCACTTGATAATGTTCTCTTCGGGAATACCGCTCTTGCGCACAAAGTCAACCGCACCGGTACCGCATCGTCCAAGAGCACCCATCACCATGACCTTGGGGTACTGCTGGTTGTTGCCCGCCACTAAAATTTTCACCCACCGAAGGTCAGTTTCCCACAGTTTTCAACCACATCATCTCAGAGAAAAAAAAAAGGTTCCTAGTTCCGGCTGGGTTTCTCACGTACACGTCAAACCGAAACCCAATTGACCCAGCCAAACTTTGAAACTCTCTCTTCTCCTCCAAGAAAAACAAATAGAAAAAAAACTTACCAGCCTGGGCCAAGCGTTCCTTGGTGAAAGCGATCAAAGCATCTTCATTAGGGTAAGGCTTCAAGGCACCATAAGGAGTAGCGTTCTTGGTCAGCTTTTGATGGCACCACACATCCACACCCACAGCAGCACCAGCGAAACCGGCCATGTAACCGAAAGCAGCAACGCGACGACCTACGACAAACAATTCACATGCATGTTAAGTTAAACCAGAAACTTCACCAATTCCCACGTCCCACGCCATGGATTTTTTGAACCATTCCCCAAGCGGAAACCTTGTCCATCTTTATGTACTTACCGTTGGCATCGTTCAAGAATTCGAGATCCAAGATGGTGCCATTGCCGGCATCGAAACGGTGCAACAATTCTTTCCAGCCACCTTGGTTCTTGAAACAATGAGCAAAGAAAATGTGGGTATGATGAAGAGGCGAATCATCATTCTCGGGCAATTCTTTCAATCCAACAATGTAGGCATCCGCAGGCGCATCCGTTTTCCAGCTCATGAAATCCACAAGAGGACAGCCCACCCTGAAAAAAAAAAAAGAAAACCATCAATTTTCCATTTGTTTCGAGCCCATTGAGAACCCTTGGGCTCATGGAGGTCAGAATTGCGTTTTTGGCTTACTTTTCATATTCTTCATCGTCAAAGATACGCTGTTCAGACCGTTCGACGGTAATCTTGAATCCGGCATCCAACAAGGTCTTGGCCGTAGACGGAGTCAAAGCAGCTCGGTGCTCCATGGGCTTGGTTTCGGCACGAAGCCAAAGATGAGGTCCTTGAGTGGCAGCCATTATAGAAAAATACAAAAACAAATCTCAATCGAAAAAATAAAGAACGTATGAAAAAGAGAGAAGAAAAACGCTCACGAATCGTCGGTTTTATCTATGCAAAAACTTGACACTTTTTTCTAATTATGCGGGTTCAGATGAGATGTTGATGTGACTAGGCTATTTTAAGGTTTTCCGCACAAACTCGGAGGAAGAAAATAATTAAATCTCAGTAGCATTGCCTAATGAGGTAATCGTTTCAGATGGAAGCACCTGCCAGCCAACCTCCACATCAGTTTTCTTTATCCAAATGCAGCATAACCAAAAATAAAAATAAAAAACCAACTCAATCGCTTACCGTAAACTCCACATATGTATCTTGATGGGAAGACGACTCTAGTTTAAACTAAGGGATCGGTGTCGTTTTAGCGCGTCGGTTGCATCCGTTACCGTTAAATAAAACACAAAAATTGTCTGGTCTTGGCTTACCAGCATACACAGGATGCCATTCTGCGACACGGCCAACGACACGTCGTTGGAAAGGTCCATGGCTTTACTGCAGTACATGATGTGGGTATATCGATAACTAAGAGTCGGAATGAGTTTCCCATGTTACTCTTTTTCTACCAATGGATTGACACCTCCATTCCTTTGACTTTTTCTCACTAACCTAAAGGTGATTTCGCTATCACATCGAAAGTTGATAAAGGATTCGGAGTTTTCGGGATACTCCATCTGACCGAATCAGTTAGAACCAGGTTGCACAAAACGATGATCCTACAACTGATTATCGCTCGAGCTGCTGATGAAAATACTGTACCTTCCAGCTACCGTTGGTACCTTCGCCGGCCAGACAGAAACAGGGATCGTGGGGAGAAAAGCTCATTGTAATGAATTCACCCGATCGATCCGAATCGCTCAAAGCATCTCTTAACCACGAAGACTACCAAAGACAAGATGGGGAAAAAAACGTTTCTACAATTGAGTTCTGGGAAACAAAATCAGTTGTTCAAATTACTTACTTTCATGGTAGCTCGATGAGAAGAAGCTAATGCTTCTGTTGCACTGAGTTCCTCACTTTCTGGATCAGGTTCCAACGTGACAATTTGACATGTCGTTGAAAGATTAAACTCCTTGTCTTCCCGTCTGTCATCCCTGGGTTTTAAACTCCGGCTTTTTCATGCGGATGGTGGGGCCTGAGGGTCACTTACGATAATTCGAGATAGGATCCGGGTCCATTGTATTCCATGACACAGGGTACAGTATCATCGTTGTTTCTCGGCGTCACCAGATTTAATATATCGAAAAGCGTTGCAATCTTGACACCAAAGGGAGGAATGTCGACGTCTGCTTTGCGTTCGTACTTTAGGAACATGTGGCGTTTAAAGTAAGCAATCGCTTTCACGCAGTGCGATTCTTCCACGGATACCGTAAAACCTTCATTGAGGAAATTGCAAGTGGCAATCTAAGAAGAAAAGTTTAATTTCGTAATCATTAACGAATTGCCCCACTCCCGTCACCATCGTTCTTGCTTTCTGTATTTTTACATTTTTCAATGGAAGTGCTTTAAGTAGATTGATAAGGGCAAAGGTATTTCTGATTTCACCGTGAAATAGCACTGTCTCGGGTGGAGGAGGATCGGTCATGGCGAGTCAAAATGAACAGGAAGTATGGGACCATGACGGGAAACGAAGGCCAGACTTCGTTCCATGTTGTGACTACTAGTTGTGACTCGCTTTATGGCCCGCAGCTTCCACCGAGGAGGTACGAAATTTTTTTTTTCTTTCAAAAAAAAAGAGCTTGAACCCATTTGTTTGATCATTCAGTGAACAACATGGCCGTACCACAATCGCCCTCGACGGACAATCCAGTGTCTGCAAAGAAGAATCAAAAAGTCAAATATCTGGTGATCGATACCAATGCCATCATTAACGGCATGACGCTCCGCAACGTAGCCGAGCAATTTTACACTGTCCCGGAAGTCCTCGTAGAAGCACGCAGTGCTCACTCGCGCGAGTTCTTAACTCGTCTTCCTTTTGAAATTCAAGTGGAAGAAGCTCCCGAAGCCTCATATAAAGCAGGTAAACTTGTGAAATGCCGACCATGCCCCATTTTTTCTTTGGGAAAGGTCATCAACACATAACTTGGAGCCTGATCTGTTATTCTGATCATATTTGCCTTTAGTGTTGGAATTTTCGAAACTGACCGGTGATTATGCTTCCTTGTCTGTACCCGATTTGAAGGTGCTTGCTCTTGCACACAGCCTGGAAGTCAAGGTGAATGGTCATGACAATATTCGCAAAGAACCTGTCAAGGTAAGTCCCAGATTTTTCGCTTTTTCGAGGAAAATGGCAGCTGATTTTTCTTTGATGTAGCCACGACCGATCGGTGCCTTACCCACCGCACCGCCACCAAAACCTAAATATATTCCAAAGAAAGCGCTCGCCGAACCTGTCGTTGATGAGGACGGCTGGGAACAAGCAACCACCAAAAAGAAATACCGAAAACCTCAACATAAAGCACCTTCGACTCCTTCACCTGCCCCAGCGTCTCCCGCACCAGCCGAATCGACCGTGGCATCGGAAAAGGCTTCTGACGCTGCAAAGGAATCATCCGAACCTTCCGTTGCAGAGATCACTGAAAAATTCAATGATGTGGAAATCATCGTAGGTAACGGCGACGAAGAAGATGACAGTGATGACGGCGACTGGATCACCCCCGATAATGTGGATGAATTCAAAGCAACCGAACTCGGTGTCACCCCAGAAGAACTGCGCAATGTCGATCAACTCGACGTCGCCTGTGTGACGAGCGATTTCGCAATGCAGGTAAGAACCTTGGCGAAACCGTGAATTGCCGGTGACATATGGAATTCGTAAAACTGATGTGGGTGCCTTGTTGACAGAATGTCCTTTTGCAAATGAACTTGAACCTTGTTTCTGCCGGCGGACACCGTATCTCCAAAATCAAAAACTGGGTATTGCGATGCCACGCTTGTTTTGCGTAAGTGAACCGTTTAGAGGAAAAAAAAACAGTGGCATTGATTGATGTTTTCATGTAGTGTGACGAGTGATATGGAAAAGAAATTCTGTCCTAAATGTGGCAACGCTTCGTTGCAACGTGTTTCTTGCTCCACCAACAGCAAGGGCGAAATTGCATATCATTTGAAGCGTAATTACAAATACAATCTCCGCGGCACCAAGGTAATGTTTCTGCTCATTCACAAGAGGACAAGACTGAGGGGATCGACTTTTTTTCGTTGATATTGCTGAGGGGCGGGGCCGGTGAAAAGATGAATCAGTATAGCGGAGGAAGCTCGGGAGAGTTTCTGGTCGTTGTTCAAGGGAGTGATGTGAATGGTATACTGATACCTTATCTAGTACGATATTCCTGTGCCCAAAGGAGGTAGAACCGCCACCAACATTGTATTGCGTGAAGATCAGCGAGAATACATCAAAGCCAAGCAAAGTCAATCAAAAAAGACGGTGGTGGACATGTTTGATCCCGATTTTATTCCGTTGTACGGCAAAATGGATCTTCGCACCACCAATAACAATATGTTTGGTACGGATGTGATTGGATTTGGACGAAAGAATCCCAACACCAGTCGTCGTAGAACGGGAAAGAAGAAGAAGCACAGCCCTTAGAAAGAATACTCGTTAGGAGGGGGGGAAAAAGTTTCCAACCGTCCACAAAGAAAAAAAAGAAAGAACCCTTATTCTCCATCCATGAATGTTTCCGTTTAGACTTGTACATCATTCAAAATCCTTTTTTTATGTTGTCTTTCGCATTCCCATTTCATCCTTACTGCATTTTTGCTTTTCTTTTTTTTTGTCTTGTTTATTGTTCTTTTCTTCACTTGCTTTACAAATACAATTATCATAAAAACTTGATTTTATGACAGACAGTATTCATTCCATTGGGCGCTTGAAGAGCGAGGTACCCGTACTAAAATGATGGAATTTACTATTTGGCTTTCCAGTTCTATGCCTCTTTTGATGATTTCCAACCCTTTGCTGGCTATTATTTTTCCACCCGAGTGTGGACGTCATCCATTCTTTCGCACCTATTGCCACTTGTCACGAAAACAATTACGGCTGGCGGAGTTTGCGGCCTTTCTGCGTTCCACAGCAGAACTCGGTCAAGACGCGCAGCACGTGACTGATTAACTTGGTGAGGGGAGGGCGACTCCAACCAGGTGCACAAGCTTCGGTGGGGCTCAACCTTTTGGTGCTTTTGGTTCGCTTCCCACTGGCGTCTTTTTTTTCCCTCACTTTAACAAGAAAATAGAGACACATCATGACCGAGAATCATGCTTCGTCACCGCGGACGCAGCAGCTGTCTATCTCTCAAAAACTACTGAAAAAGATGTCCATGCGCAGCCTGGGCGACCATTCTGATTCTGGCGAATCCAGTAACATGGAATTCAGTCCGACTACATCCTCTACCCACCTTGACGCGCTCGACAATCCAAGTCATACTTCTTTGCAAGGTAACCTCAACGAGGCTGCTCTTGAACATTGGACGCTACCCGCGGTAACTGACACAACCTATGTGTTTAGGTTCTTCAGATAGGTCTTCACCTCGATCGCCTTCGTCCATCAAAGCAACCATCGACAGACAATCGGCCAAGGAACAAGGTACGTCCCTAAAGTCCCAGTCCACTTCATTCGACTCAAACACGTATTACGCAACCAGCATACTACAACGATCCGAGATTTCGAAAATACGTACAACTGATTGAAAAGAACTTGGCTTCGTTTGATGCGGTCAATGAATGGGCCGATATCATTTCCTTTCTGGGCCGTCTTTTAAAGGTATGTGTTCATGTGGCCTCGTTTCTCCTCCATCCCCCACGTTGAGAAAGTTGACCAAGCGCTAGTCATTTCAAGCATATCCTCAATTTCCCGTCATCCCCAATAAACTCACTGTGGCCAAACGACTCGCTCAGTGCCTGAATCCTGGGTTTCCCGCAGGTGTTCATCAAAAAACCCTCGAAGTGTACAGTTACATCCTAAAAACTATCGGGGTAAAAAAAAAAAAAAAAAAAAAAAAGATCAATCCGAAATTCCTGGAGAACAAGTGACTGATATTGCATGGTTGAATAGCCCGATCAGTTAGCGGATGATTTGGCACTGTGGTCCACGGGTTTGTTTCCTTTTGTACAGCATGCAGCCACGCACGTCAAGGTAGCGCTTTTTTTCTTTATTTTTGGTTGACTTTGAACATCAGCCTTCTCATTCACGTTTCTATTCTGGCATAGCCTCAATTGTTAGCCATTCTTGAAAAATTCTATTTCCCATTACGAGGAAAATTACGTCCAGCAATGCGTGGCTTTGTTATGGCTCTATTACCGGCACTGGAAGAGGAAGGAAGCGAGTTTTTTGACAAGGTACCACTGCAATAACGATGGATCTATTCTCGTGCGAGGTTGATTAACCAAAATAATGGTCCAGGTGGTATCACTGATGGATTACCTTTCCAACACCGTGGAACTGCCGTTCTTCTATTCATGTATATGGCTTGTTATGATTAACAACGCGAATCTACGTCCACCTGCCCTGAATTATTTATTACGACGATTACCCAAAATTGTGGAGCAAGAAGGTAAAAAAATAGGAAATTCGGCAAACGAGGGACAACGGTTTCACCGTGGGTATTCATTCTTCATGACAGATGTTGCCGTGGTGTTGGGTACTGTGGAAAATGTGAGCTTGATGGCCCGTGCGTTTTCCGCGACCTTGAGCGATCCTCAAATTCTCGTTCAGCGTGGGATGCTCGAATTACTCGTTCAAAATTTGTCATTGAAACACAGGTAAATGTGGAGCCACACAATGATGGGCGTGGAAAAAGAAAAACTCATATCAAGGATGATTCTCCAATATCCTGCAGAACGATTCCGTTTGATGACTTGGTGACATTGATGCGGGCAGCGCTGTCGATTGTATTACGCAAAGACATGTCCCTGAACCGACGTCTGTACGCGTGGTTGCTAGGCACCGAGACCACCTCGCAAGCGCAACTTGTCTATTTTCACGCTTATGCGGAAAAATCAGCCACGCAAGCCATTCGAGGCCTCTTATTCAGTAATTCGACCGATCACCACACAATGAACGACTCTTCCATTGCTGATGCGCAACGACCGTACAAGATCATGATCTCCTTGATGGACAAGTGGGAAATTGGGCAACCCATTGTCAGTAATATCTTTATCGACGCACTCACCAGTTTGCGAAAATATACCCAGCGATCCGATGAAGGGTCCGAGGTAAGCTAACAAAGGCGGAAGCGTATTTCAATCGCTATGATTCACCCTTTTTTCTTGCTTTTACTTTAGATCCTGCAAACCGCGAACATGTGGATGGAGATGGTGGAACCTTACCTTATTGGACTCAAACTATTCGAGACACTGGATACCAGTTTTCCCGGCAAAACTTCGTTGCAAACGGAAGACGGGGTGTCGCGCATCGCTCCTCAAGCCAATCTGGACGCAATGTGTCTTGTCGAATTTTCCCTCCAATCTTTCAAGCTAACGGATGACGAAATGAAACGGGCTCACTTGCCACTGATCTTGGCGTCACTCACTCGGAAATTGCAGGCAAGTGGAAAAAAAAGAAAAAGGATGACCGTGCTTGGATACGATGGAATGACCGCCATGCAATTTGATAGGATGTTGTTCGTCATCCTTCGTTTATCGACATGTTGCCTCACGTGATCAAATGTTTGTCACTCATCCTTTTGGTTCTTCAATTACTGCCGACGACGGTATTTGTGGATCGAGACGGTCATCAGGGCGACACACCACCCCCAGCCGACAGCAAACAATTTGTGCCTGGCATGAATGTACTGGACTACGCCCGCGAATTCTACGGTCTCCGTGGACCACACCGACGCACCGCCAGCAACGCATTAACCAATAGTGCGGTAGATGAACGGGAAATGGACACAGTGGAAGACGAAGGCGATCTTTCGACCACTCAGACAAAGAGCAATCCTAGTTTGAACACGCCCGCTAATCGTACTGCTTATGGCGCTGTACGCGGCACCGTACTTGTGAAGGAACTCACAACGAGCCTCACCTCGTTTATGAGCGAACTGGTGAATAGTTACATTGTGGTACCTGATCGACTCAATACCGGTATCGATGTGGGCGTGGATGGCAAACGATTGCGCCACATTGACGCACAATTAGAACGCGTGCTTCACCATGTGTGTTCCATTGTCACCTCCATTGCACAAGTGGCAGGACAGCAATCCCCGTGGTCGGATGGTCATGGACAACAACTACTCTTTGAAAACTTGCTGCAATGCTGCCAACAAGGTCGAGGGTTTGGCGTGGTTGATGCTGGTTTATCGACCCTATCCACCCTGGCCAAGTACCCGCTCTTCATGAATGGTCTCGTCACCCTTCATCAGAAATCCGTGGTCAAGTGTATCATGGACAAAGTAGGTTGAGTCGAACCCCATTTGCACATGGGTACCATGGGGAAATTGAAAACCAACTAACAGAATGTCACTTTTTTTCCCTCTTATTTTGGGATCGTGGCGTAGTTGTGGGGCTTTTTATCACCGAGCACGCAGTTGCTTCATGTACGCACGGTGGAATTAATATGGCTGTTGGCCGATCTGGCGCCTTCGCATCATATTGAAACCTTTATTGTGCAATCGTTGATTGTACCAGACGACACGGAACGTACCATGAGTTATGAAAAATTCGGTATTTTATGGGGATTTTCCGATAATACGGTCAAGGCCGCCACAATATTTTCACGACCCATGTTTGTGATGCTCGATTTATTAAAAGAAGGAGTCGCGCCCTTGGACAAATGGGCAGGCGAAAGCTGGATCCGTTGCCACCTGGGGAGTTATGTGCGGTTACTTGAACCTTTTCTTTCGGGTCTACTGGACAAGAGCATTCTTCGTCGCGCCGCCACCCTGAACGTACCTTATGAATACCAAGTAGTGAAGCATGGAACCAATGAACCCCTCAGCATCCCTTACTACCGGTATTTGCGGTCTTTTGATACGGCGATTGTCGATTACTTATTTCTGACGTTGATCAACCTGGTGCAATTTGGCGGTTTAAATGCCTTGAAAGCCTTTAAGCATCACACGGTTGACGTGAACGCGCCCTCTGCCGCCATGATCGAACCCGCTTTAGGGATCTCCGTTACCGGTATGTAATGTCCTACCACAAGGGAAAAAAAAGGACGACAGGGCATGGAGGCAGACGGAGTGAAAAGAAAAAAAAGTGAAAGTGTGGGGTTAAAGAAGGGAAAAAAAGTGTAAAAGAAAAGCAGCCCTGAAAAGGGATGTAGGAAAAAAAAGAAAAAAAAAAGGCGAAAAATCGGATGGATGAGAATGGGGTTCAAGGTTTCATTTTTTATTGGGGGAGGGGAGACAAAAAAAAAGTTCAATGCAACTAAGACTTTTTGATGAAAGAGGAGCATACATCATCACCCTTGTCGTATTTAGAACTAATAGTACGAATTGCGTTGCGGTAAGGCAGATAAAATTGAACACCATTTTTTATGGGCGACAGAATAATTGATTTCAAAAATTAAAATGGTAGATTTTTGGGAAGCGAACCGATGGAAAGACAGCAGCAGTCGATGCTGAAACCCATTCGCAGCATCCAGCTGCATGCGGCTGAATTGCTGTATTCGATCATCTCCAAATTGGAGCATGTGGATATGAAAATTACGCAATTGATGCAAGAAAGCGTGCTTCAGAAGCTCCTTTTCTGTATTGCGACAGGCAACCTTGAACTGCAGCAAAAATTGCTGCATCTTCTTCATGCAACCATGTCGATCACTGCTGCAGGTGCGCTCGGTCCCAAGGATACCACCACAGCGAGAGGAAATCGGCATAACCGACGTCTGTCATCGGTGGATCAAACTCATAGCGACACGATGGAACGATTCGCAACCAATGAATGGATGCACCGGTCGCATCCCAATCAACTGCACACGGAAGCGGTACTGTTGGCACGAGCGACGGCCGGTATCTATGTAAAGTGCGCGACAGATGCGTTAATGATGGCCAGTAATCGACCGATGTTGCAGCATTGGATCGATTTCGTTTTAGCCACGTTACCCCTTATACGTGCAGGATTTCGATCCATGATGGCACCCATCCTTATTGCAGTGTGCGAGCAGATTATGGTCTGTCAAACCACGGTACGGCTCATGATGCATGGTGATCACACTGAATCCCAAGGTTCATCCACCGATCCATTCACCATCCCGACCACCGCCGCTCCCACGTATAATCACAAACCGACCGATTCACCTTTGATCCGCGATCAACCTGCGACGAGTGGCAACGCCGAAAATGATCTTGTCATGTTTCTCTACTGTCTGGAAAAAATGGTCATGTTTTCTCTGAATGATCGGTCCATCTCGGATGAATGGTACCCTGGGAACCAGGAAGAAGGGACCCACCTGTGTGTCCCCATTGTGGATGACCATTCCGCCTTGAAAGGACTCGTTCAAATGGTGTACAACGACGAATCTTCCTCGTCCAATGCTTCGGTGAGTGGTTATATAGGAGATGTTGACGAAAAATGGGATGCCTGACATTGCTGGCTCTTTTATTTTCTTTCTTCTTCCAGCCGCGTGATACCATTCTCTTTCATTTGCCGGTGATTCTGCATTTGTTACTGGATGTATATCGCGTGTTTGAAACGCCTTCATGGAGCGATGATACCTCGGATTTCATTGGCGATGCCAGACAAGAAGCCATACTGCACAGTTTTGCGTACCACACACACCGTGTCAAGGCCCGATTGGATTCCATTTTTATGCGCCTATACAAGCATTGTACGATTGATTTTGTCGAAGGATTTACAGAAATCTTTTTCATGGAAAACCCTATTGCTCTAGAATACGAGGTAAGCCCATCTATTTATATGAAGCACGTTTTTCCATACGTGAGACTGATTTATGGAATGATTACCAGATCTCTCGCGATCAGTATGACCTCGTGGCTATTCGAGTGCTGTCGTCCACACCAAGCAGTTCACCGCAACACATTGTTTCTACTCTTCTCGATGCAATTCGACAGCGCACCCCTGGCATGCCAATGAGCCGACGACGAAGTATTCAGCGATCAGGAAAATTGTAAGTCCGACAAAAAAAGTGAAAGAATAGTGGTATTCACTTTTGGTTTGGTTAGAACGGATACGTCTATTATGCGATTTACAGAGATCTACTGCGATCGATTGATCGAACCGGAACCATTGGCTCACATTTGGCCACTGATTCATTCTTTTGCAAAGGACTATCTGTCACAAGCTTCGGCTTACAAGACATTTCTTCCCGGTTTGTTACGTTTGTTAACGGTAACACTGGACGGATTGACGCGATCAACAGCATTGGAGGACAAGAAGCTTCGCAAGGACGCACAGGATCTGTACCAGCGATGCGTGGATTGTTGTATTCTCATTGCGGGACGATCGTTTGATCAGAGTCTGTGGCTGCGACGAAGCACTGTGCATGAAGAAGACGATACCGCATCGACATCTTCAGACATCCTCTCCTTATCTGACACCATCATGAGCGATGTGCCACGAAACTTGTCAACCAGCAATGTGTCGGATCTCGAAAAGAAGGCCAGCTGGAAAGCACGAGAAGATATGATGATTGCACAGGTAAATTTTCGCCTTGCACGCGAATGACGTGGATTCTTCTTTCGTAGGTTGATGTGATTCATATCATCCTTCATAGGTCAACGTGTATCTGGCCAGTACGGTGATTCCTCATTTAAGGCAGTTGATTGGCGATCAAGACAAGATTAATTCGCTGTTGAATAACTTGGTGTATTACGTGGTTGGACCTGCCTTGCGCACGCGAACAATGTAAAATGAAGAATGCTTTTTTTACAGGACGATTGTATAGGGTAATAACTGATCTGACGCGCGATTTGTGTTTTTAGGGTGAGCAAAATTTCGGTGATCCTCGACCAGATCTGTGAAATGACGAAAATGCCTTTCACCTATCGTGCGTGGCGAAAAGAGATTTGGGAAGTGTTCATTGATAATCGATTCTTCTACATGAGTCCCATGACGGCACGCAAGTGGAAGACGATCATCCAAACCGTATTTTCGCTGGAAAAAGAGCGGTTTACCGAACTGATTGCTCGAATCAGCACCACGCCATCGACGGCCTTTTTCACCAACAAGGAACAGGAAACGGTCAACCGTGCGTTGAATTTGCGAAGGTTATCGTATGTCATTTTCTGCGGCACCACCGATCAGCATATCCTGCAGCTACCGCTCATCCAAGAAAAGATTGTGGAATTGCTCAAACTGGAGCACAGCGAAATGGTGCATGTGGAAATCTATCTCTGTCTACGAATCATGCTCGTGCGATTTTCCCAGAAACATTTACTCAATTTTTGGCCTGTCTTGGTGACCGAATTAATGCGCTTGTTCAATGCCTTTTTATCAAACAATGCCATTGATCGTCCGGAAGAAGCGCAAATTGCTCTAGCCGGTTGCAAATACTTGGATCTGTTATGCACGCTTGAAATTGACGCTTTTCAAATGTAAGTTGTAGCAAGAAAGGGAAACATGTAGAAACTTGATCAAGTAACCGATGCTCATATGATGGGGCCATCCTTTCCCAGTTATCAATGGATTTTTATCCGAGACACGGTGGAATCTTTAATACAAGAATCCGAAGAAGGTCCGATTCCTATCATGGACCGTATGGAGGCTAAATTGCAAGATTCGCCCACAACCGATGTAAGTAAAAAATGTGGATGAAATGCCGTGCAGTGCTTCTCATGCCGATGTTTTTGACTCACAGGAGTCCATGGTGGCCGAGATGACCGATGGCACACCTTCTGTACCGTCCATGGGACAGTTGAAGCGCCCCATGTTAACCATGCACAGTATCGGCAGTATTCGACAACTCAGTTTCTTTATCGAACATATTGGACTCTACGTGTATCAATCGTCATTCACGCTCGCCAAACCCGATATGCCGTTTATAGAAAGCTTATTGCAAAACGATCTTCTCGAAGGCGACATTGATAACGACTAGCTCTGCTCTAGGCGTCTTTTTTTCTCTGTCCCATCCCTTACCCTTTAATTTTCTCTTTTTGTGGCCATGGTCGTCTATTCCGTTTATCATACCCCGCCTTTTTCTTCTCTTTTTGAACCCAAAAATACGCGAACACCAGTGTTGCAAAGTTAACGTATGCATGACATCATTACCAAATATAGAAATTCATTGAGACACACATCGAATCATTGCCTTTTTAACATCTGTTTCTGGCATAATTTCATTATTCTCTTCCTTTGAGAAACTTTTATCTATTTCGTGAAAAATAAAGAAGTATGCCGGCTATCGTGGGATTAGCATGGGCAGCCTATGGCATTGCGGCAGCGGTAATGGTCAAGAGATTCAAATTGGGATGGCGCGACATGGTCCATGCTGATATTTTGTTGGTTTTGCTTTTTGGTGTTGGTAGGTATTGATATTGCTGAGTATTGCGTTTGCAAGATATTACAAGGATCCAAGAGTGGCGGAACGCTTGGCTTTGGGGGTCACGATGGCCTCGTTTGGTGTGGCGTTTGTCACATTTATTCTGCTACCGCTGGATGTGTTGCTGGTGTCATCGACGGTCGACCATAAAACAGGCCTTAAAAAATTATGGGCCGAGCCAGAGACGATTTATTGGATGACGTTTGCAGTGCAGCTGGCTTACTATGGTAAGGAAAAAGGCATGTTTGATGCATGCGGTGGGCGCTTTGTTTTTCTGGTTACGTTAGTAAAGCAAGACGCCATGAATAATGGCTTGCATAGTGTGTTATGGTCTGACGATTCTGTTCTGCTTTTTGGTTATTCCGTTCACCTATTTTTATTATGATGACTCTGTGCAAGAACGGCCCACCATCCGAGAAAAGTCACTAACTTCTCTGAGGTACACGTCCATATTTGGCATCATTGCCGCCGTCGTTTTTATGTTGGGATTGTTTGTTCGACCAACCGACTTGCCGCCACACATTGATCTTCCATGGTACAAGAATTTGTTGGCAGAAAGCAGTAAGTAAAGAAAAAATTTTGCCACCAGCTGCTGAAGTGATTTGATTTGACGTATTGACGACTCGTGATTTTGGCAGATGGTTCCAAAGCATTTTCATTTGTCATGGCATGTTTGTATGTGGTGGGTACCTTGATTGCCATTTTCTACACGGTAAGTGCCAACAAAACACAGGTCACGGTATGGCATCATCCGATCCGATCATCATCCCTTTTCTCCCATGCTAGGCGCCCGGATTATCGATTCTCGCTTTCAACTTGATCAAGGGAAAACGAAGCATTGATCAAGAAAATGAAACGTTGGAACATCGTTTGGCTTTGGTCATGGAACGTCAAAGAGAACTGGAAGCCAAATATGCGAACGGAAACCATGCCATGTCCGTTCGTGATGCGCGCGAGCGACAAAATATTGATGATGAAATCCATATCTTGACTCGCCGCTTGCAAGGTGTTCACGAAGATCAATCGTCGTGGTTCCAACGCTTGTTGAAGTTACTGCGTCCATTCCAGGTAAAATCTGCACATGATACAAAGAAATTCGTCAAACTCATACACACACACACATTCCACTATGCCACTTTTTGGACTACAGATGCTTTTTGGATTTTTACTGTTGGTGGTTTCTCTGGTCATGGCGGGTTCCATCGTCTTATCATTGTAAGTTATTCAAAGAATAGAATAAGAAAAAGAAAGACGGCTCATTAAATGCTTTATCCCATCAGAATCGACAAGATCACCTTTTCAATGTGCGGACGTAAATGTGGTTATATTTTAACCAAGACAGATCTATTCAATCCTATGGATTATCTGTTTGTCCAAGTGGAACGTGTAAGTTGGGGAGGAGAAGATGTGGGGTGAAAAAAAGGCGTTCGTTTCTAGTCAGGTTAGTTTGACTGTTCCTGATTTCTTAGGTTTTCCCTCTGGATCTGATTCTCGTGGCATTATTTGGACTGTATTACTTTTTGAGCACGATGGCCGGCGTAGTGAGGGTCGGAGTCCGGTTTCTTTGGATTACTCTGTATCGCATCAAACAAGGAGCCACGACCCCTCAAGGGCTTTTGTTGTCTTCTAGCCTTGTCATACTTGGGTTGCTCGCCATGAACTATTCCCTCGCCACCGTCATGGTCCCCAGTTACGCTCATTTTGGCAGTCAAGTCTACGTAAGTATCATGAATATAAAAAGCAAAGCAACATGCTCTCTCTCTACTTTACTGCGGCATCACCCCAGTGCAGAGAAAATGAGAGACAAGAGCTAGGGTGAAAAAAAAAAAAAAGAATCATAAATTTTAAAGCTTTCTTGTTTATGTTAGTGTAATTTCACCAAGGGTGGACGTCGCGACTGTGCTCATCACTTTGGCATGATTGTGCCTTGCGATATTTATGGTCCGACAGGTAAGTCGTTGATGACGGTAGAACGAGAATGAAAAGAAAAAAGGAAAAAAAGTTGATGGCTGGAAAAGGAAAGTTGACGAGGAGAAAACGGGGATGCAAGAGGATGAGTGAGAAAGAATGGGAAAAGAAAAAAATCTAGACAAGATCTCTAACCAATCATCGGTGTGTGGGCCATTTTTTTTTCTTTTTTTTAACGTACAGATATATGCACGCCTACGGTGACTTCCACGTTCTTGGATCGAATGACGGTGAATGCACCATTTTTTGGTGATATGCTTTATTACGGACAGTGGCTATTCTTGTTATCGTTTGGTCTTGGCCTGATTGTGTCGTTGTTCCGATCACCAACAAATACCGCCGCCGAGAACACCAATGACTTGATTGATGCAGAAGAACGAGAAGGATTATTGGACGGCAGACAACATACGTATGGTAGCGAAGCGTCTGCTTAAAATTTTCCCACTGCACTGTAGAGTAATAGAAATATTAACCTGCCTACATTTGCATAAAAATGCAATAAAGTAACCCATTTCAAATCTTTTTTTTTTTCGGCCATGAGATTAGAATGAGAAGGTCGATCTGTGGTCTGTGAGGTAGGTAGGCTTGGCTGTTTTGGTTCCCAGGGTGCGAACATTTTTTTCTTTTTTTGTAGTTCCCAGAATCCTATTTTAGTACGGTTATCGGGTACGTGCATACTGATTATCATCACGGTCTCCGATCTCTTTTTTTTTTTTTTTGATGGGTAAAATAACAAGGTCAAGCTAAAAAAAAAAATGTTGTGGCACTTGAGGATTGATTTGATCAATGTTAACAATGTTAATGAAGCCAATATGCTCCATTTATTTTTTTGGGTTTTTTGCATGTACTCATCGATGCATTGATTGGTTAATTCCCAAATAGTGATACACGTGAATGCAAAGAGTAATTCCACTGCGGTGGCACCGGGTTCAAGCTTAAGATCTTCATCTTATTGCCAGGTTTTGAACTGGTCAGTTCTTCCTTAAAAAGTAGGTATCAAAAAAAAAATTCATTATCCAGGTTGACGAATGTCATGCTTTATCAGTTGTGCAACCATGTCTTTGTGCATGCATGGTATCTACCTTATTGACAGATACATGATAATAATCCACACACACAGGAGTCACATCCGAGGGGCACCATGCTTGGGGGTGGGGATGATGGGGGGTAGGAGGGAGAGAGGGGGGGCAGGAATAGAGAGAAACAGAAGCAAGAGGAGATGAACGAATGAAAAAATGAAAAGTAAAGACAGAACGGGTGAGGGATACAAAAGGGGAAAAAAGACGATAGAAACAAGGACAAAGGGTTTAGCTTTCCCGAACTAGGTTTAGGGCGCGGTGGCCGTTCATCCATGGATGGGAATAAGGATGATATTGGCTTGTTCAATCACTTTTTTTGCTTGTAAAAATGTTTTTTTCTTTCTTTTTCATTTTGCCATTGGTATGATTGACTGACCGGTAAATAAATTAACAAAGAAGATCGTTCAAAAAAAAAAAAAAGGAAAAAAAAGAGATATGTTATCCTATTTGACGGGTGAACCATGGTTCGGATTGGCTCTTCCGACCAACAAAGAAAAGAAAAAACAAAATCATTAGAGTTTGGGGACCCACGAAAATTTAGATATCCGAAATAAGTGAAAGTCCCGATCGCCCTAAAGGCGAAAGGGTGGAAGGGGTGGCTTGGGGAACACGGGAGCTTTTTGGGGGTGAAGGTGGGGGGAGGACAACTGGCATCCCATTAACAGAAGAGGCAAGACAAAACGATCAATTGCTTTGCTTGCTCGCACTAGTAAAAAAAAAAGGGTGCATGTTGGTTTGTTTTTGGGGGAAGTGGGGGGTGAGGGAACGATTGGAGAAAGGCAGAACGATTAAGATGTAATTTTTTTTTATAGATGCATGCAGTGGTTGATGATTAAAAATAGTCTAAACAGTATATAAATGCCATCATTTCATTCTTTGATGATGAACAAATCACTTTTTTTGATTTTCTTCTTTATTTTCTTCGCTACGCTACACTACATCGTATCATAAAGTGATTCTTTTATCTCTTTGGTACAAATAGACACTTTTTAAAGCTTGTTTGCTGGTCTTTCTTTGCTTGTTCCGTCGCGATTCTTTTTTTCATATTATTCAGCCCTCTTTATCGGGTAAGTGTGGGTTCCACCTTGTATACCATGATCCATTTCACAGAAAACACATGGACCACCTTTTGGTTGACGGAACCCTCTAGCCGATTTGAATGGCTGGGGGGTAAAAAAAAAAAAAAAAAAAAAAAAAAAAACTCTCATCAACCTTCTTTTCTCTGAAAATGCATCTTTCTTTTTTGACAAGTATAAATATTGAATGGTTGAACTAATGAAGGACTTTATTTCCCTAGTTCACTACAAATCTCAGATCCCCTTTTCTTTCTTTTCATATACCAGTGATGGATTTCTCGAATACCTTTGATCATACCTTTCTTGCCGGTGCCATGCCTTCTCCGTACTCGCATCCATTCGTGGGTCATGAGCGATTCAATCATCATCATTTATCCTACCCTCAGGTTCCCAGTCAGCATCGACGATTCAGCTACACAGAGTTATTATCCGGCTCTGTTCATGAAGCAGATTTGAAAGAATCAACGTATGCTGTGCCTGCCACCTCGCATCTAATGAATGGTTACACTGAGTGTTCCATGCTGGTGCCTGCACCATTGATTGACACCAGCTATCTTTACGTTCCGTCCAATTACGGAGCTTGCTTGGCCAAGGAACCGGTTTATACCAGTGCGGATGAACAAGTCTCCTCTGGAGATCTGTTCCCTTCGGAAAGCCCTCGTTCCATGACCCCCGCTTCACCCTTGGTCTTGCCTTCTCTTGACGAGAATGCATTCCTGACAGAGCAACCACAACAACAGCAGCATCAAGACGTTTGCATGGGTTACGATGCCATGCTTCAAGACCTCTATGAACCATCGTACTATGCCGCTTTGAGACCTGCGCTTTCATCGTCGTCATCGTCGTCATCGACCTCTTCCCCTTCCGCTTCTTCCGCGGCTTCTGAGACTCCTGTGCTGGGCGCAATGGACTCTGGTATGCTGTTGGATGTCATGTCACCCATCTTATCGTCATCACCCACCAGTCCCGCCTCTGTTCCCGTGACACTATCCAAAAAAGCCAATAACAACAAATCAAAGTCACGAGGCCGACGGGTCACCCACCCCACTTCGGATCAAAAGACCTTTGTTTGTACCAGTGATCACTGTGGCAAGGCTTTCAAGCGATCTGAACACCTCAAGCGTCACATTCGATCTATTCACACGCAGGAAAAACGTAAGTGAACTATGATCGTCTATTTTTGCATCCATGCTGATTTTTTCTGTCATGTTCCTTGCAGCCTTTGAATGTCCTTATCAGGCCTGTGGCAAGCGATTTTCCCGATCCGACAATCTCAACCAGCATATTCGCATCCATCGCAATGCCAAGGACAAGCCTAAAAAATCGGCTCGCAAAGCATATGCCTCTACTCACTTTATCTAATTTCATTTATTGTCATGTTTCCCTTTTCTTTTCCCCACCATTAATGGATTCTCCATGCTTGCACTTTTAATTTTTTCACATCTTTTACCATTTGTTATATGCATCAGATCTGAAAAAGTGCTGATTTATGTATATAGTTTTCAATTCTCATTCATGCTTTCCTGTTGGTTTCCTTTTTTTTTCTCCAACCCTTTTTGCATCCCTGTGGCTAATGTCTCCACTATGACTTCGCTTGCGAAGCAATAAAAAAGATACTCACGTCATGTTTCATGTTCCTTTTACAAAAAAAAAATCTTGGTTGCAAATAACAAGTCCTCTTGGTTAAGCTTCAAGAATTAGCTATCCGTGCGTGGCAGGATAAACCCACAGAAGCCCTGCACTAACATTATAAAGAAAATGAAATGAATATCCCGTAATGAACTATCCAGAAGTGTACGATTCTGCCGTTTTAATGATTTCATTCACTGAGCTGTTTGAATAGTTCCAGACATTACATCCCATCAATTCTCGTGCCAGTAAAATTAGGAGTCGATGAATAGAGGTGTACTTTATACAGGTGAACTTGATTCTTTCACCCATTCTATTTGCCGGAATGGCCATTCGCTACACATTTCCACATTTTTTGCTATGCTCTCTACCCCGCTCACTTTATTTACTCTATCATATGTTGGCTTTCGCACCGATTTCATGGTGTTGGTTCGCAGCTTTCAATTTTTTATAGAATTATTACGAAAGATAAAATCCTGTGTAATGCTCAGTCAACAGGAACTGAGCAGCTTACAAAACTTCTTGCGCTGATTATAGACGAAGGGTGACATGTAATGTAGAATCGGTACAATTGGAATTTGGATGATTTTGAGCCTGTACCAACGGCAAGGAGATGCAAGCTTATACTGATTGCAGGCTGCCAAGTATCTCAACAAAATATTTTCTCACCTATTTTTCCGTAAGCCTTGTATCAAACGCAGATGCCAGTTATACTGACACTGGCCTACATAATGGCCACAGCAAAGCCAAAACCAGAGAAAAAAAAATCAACAAGGACGGCGGTAAAGTGATAAAGTGAGAGAACCTAGAAACAACAATACTTTAAAGGTTTCACTGTAAAATTCCATGCCCGTTAGTCAGATACCATTGACTACAATGAAATGCAGTTGCCAAGGTGAGTGATTGAGGTTGGTAATTCTTCGTTCTGCAGTACTACAAGCTACTAGTTTTGCAACGTCTATCACGATGAACATGGTAGATACCTTTTTTTTTTTTTTTGGCAAATCCTTTGCTATGTGCAGTCACCATTCGATTTAAGATTCATCCCGGGAGCCACGAAAAGTCTTCCTAAATTGAATCATTCATAGATCGATTTGATAACTTATGTGCACCTAATAACAGATAACAAATTTGGGAACTCCAAAAAGTGATTGTTAAATCGAAAATATTAAGTCAAACTCTTAAATCGAGTGGCGACTGTATGCTCTAGGCATGAATTGCTGTTACCGAATTCCGTGTATATTTGTGTTAATTACTGTATTATCATACGAGGTCAGCTATTTTGAAAGTAGTGGTTAAACGAGTGGGCGGATGTCCAAGATTGCTCTCCACAGCAGACTAGGATGAATATCCAATCAAATGCAGTTATTTTTCGTCAACATTTTGACGTAAAACAGCAGCCAGTGTGTATTATTGGAGAAACCTTGGGCATAGAGTTTTTTTGTGTATCATCAAGATTTTCCATGGACGTTCTTAAACGTAGTTGAAGGCCAATTTTTCCCAGAGTGTAACGCACCCTAGCACGCCACTCATTTGCTAAAAATGGTATTGAATCTCGCTGTACTGGGTCAATAAGCTCTGGCACGGTTGGATTGCTAATTGGGCGATGGGCATCATGCAGCTTATCGCGATCGCAATATTGGGAGCCACTCAAATTTTTTCTTCGCTCTGATGAGTCATGACCCCCTTATTTTACGACAGCCAACGAGTGGTTGCCCTTTCTTTTTTCTGCAAATACCAAAAGTAGTTTCCGCGATCAACAAAACATACATTTCCCTTTTGATCATGGAAAATAAAGAAAAAAATACTCCTCATGACACACTGGTTTTGGACTTCCCACAGAGTATTAGTTGATCGATTGAAGCTCTTCATCCGTATCTCTCTCCCCAACGGGGCATCTCCATCCATCTTTTTTTGGTTCCCTATTTTTTGCTCCTCCGAAACTTCCCGTGATGGCTCCAGCTTCTTTTTGTACTTGTGTAATCTATTTCATGCTTGGACAGCATCAAGTTTGTTGAACAAAGGACAGGATATCAAAAAGAGAAAGGAAAATGAGCCAAACAGATCCGCTTTCCCATGGGAATTCCAGAATCCGGGCAAGCTGGTTGGACAACAAGTTTGTCAAAAAAAAAAAGAGGGGTGTTTTAAAAAACTCTGAAGTGAAACCTTAAAATTGTCGATTTGAAAGGCTCGTGCGTCTTATCATCGGAATCCACTTGTCTTTTACAAAGCAGTAAGACGTTAAAAAAAAAAGACTTTATTTCCATTTTCTTGTCTCTGTTTGTTTGGGTTGAGATGATGATGCAAGTATGTAAACAGTACCAAACTGTTATCAATGACGACAAGGCACGCCACCAGTCTTGGCTGGGGGAAAAATACCCAGAATAATAATAAAAAAGCTTAAAATAGATGATCATTATCGTATTTGTTTGTTCGTTGCAAGCGTCAGGAAAGGGAATAAAAAAAAAAGTCAAGTACGATAGCGATGATGACATGAGGAACGAATCGATGTTGTTGTATCAAAAATAGAGGATGCACGGCCGGTGCCCAACCTGTTTATGTCGGTCCTTGCAACTTTTTATCATTCGGAATCCAGCCGGGGTAGCCCAAAAAAAAAAAAAAAAGCTTAACACCGTGCCTGGCCATTCCGACAACCTTATCATTCATGGTTGTGATGATAAAGATGGACTGGAAAAATGGTTTACTTGTTTCCTTTCTAAACTTTGTATACATTTGCTGGTGGTTGGATGAATAGCACGGTCTACGATGGTGGTACCTGATGTCATTGGGTTCTTTTTGGTGGTGGAAGTGGTATGTTTAAATTCTACCTTCTCCTACTCCCACGGATGAAGTCGCTAATTGAATTCCAATGACAAGCTGTATGACATTAATTCCATGATCCGAGTTGCACAGTCAATGACTCGGGATACCGTTTAAGGCATAACGCCGGTGAAAAAAGGCAACAGTTGAATGACACCCGTGGCATATGCTTCAAAGGGCGAGCAACTTTCGGAGCTCCAGGAAAGAAAGGTCAAAGATCGAGAGTAATAACCAACCTTTTTGTTTTTTTTTGAACGCGCGGAGAAGAGACACCAAATAGAATAAGAACATGATAAAACCAGTAAATAAAGAAAAAAAAAAAAAAGACAAGAGAACCAACACCGAAAAAAAAAAAAAAGGTTGGGAAGAGTCCAGACCATAGCATGGTGCCTTTAGTTTACGGTCCGTTAGCAAATATCAAATAAAAAAGAAAGTTTCTTTTGGGTTGAACAAGCCCGCGCACGGGAGTCCTGATACAGCCATACAGCAAAAACGAAAAAAAAAACGGTGCACCGTAATTAGAAGCATGAAGGGGAAGAAACGACCCCATGACCTTTCCTCTATTCACTATAAATGATAGTACCTTTTTTTTTCTTTTACGCACAACCCTTTTCCTTGCTTTTTCTTTTTCTTATTTTCAAAAAAAAAACAAGTTTCATTCTTTAGCTTCTGTCATCCGCTTTTTTCGTCTTTGATTGTTTCTTTATCGACAAAAAATCATGTCACATCAACCAAATTCACCTTTTTATTCTATGCCCGGCATGGAATCGACCTCGCCCAGTTTTGCCCCGTCACCTCACGGCCGGCTGTTGTCGGAAAACTTTCCGCAATTCTCGACGGGATCATCGTCGCCATTTCCTCATGGCCATCAGCACCAACAACAGGAAATGCACCGACTTCGTCAACTCCAACACCAAGCGGCCTTGCAACAGCAACAGGCTATTCTGCATCAACAAAGTAAACAATCGACATATGAAAAATTTTGATCTATTCTAGGTTTAGCTTATCCTTTTTGATGGTTTCCTTTTTTCGTCTTCTTAGTGATGTCAGTGTACCATCAACAACAGCAATCGCCACAACCTTTCTACGGATTCGGTCACGAGCAACCTCATGCTTCGGTTGAACCATCGTCTCCATCTTATTATTCCATGCAAACCGATCAAAAATCCCATATCAGTGGGGCCATCAAAAAGTAAGTCTTTTTTTTTGTGCATTCCCCCCTTGAATCAAATAAAACTAATATTTGACCGTTCAGAACCCAAAATGAAGCGCAACGCCGAGCTGAGCATAACGCCACCGAGCGTGCACGCCGCGAAAACCTCAATGACAAATTTCAACAACTGGCTCATTGTTTACCTAACCTCAATGATCGCCGTCCTTCCAAAGGGCGCATCATTGAAAGCACGCTTGAGTTTGGTAAGAAGTTATAGTGACTCTTCGCCATGATTCTCTCTACTGACATTTGGGTTTATCCATGGTAGTCAAACAGACGGTATCCAAGGAAGAACGTTACCTGAACGAAATCAACGAATTGCGCAAAGCCAATCAAGAATTGCAGAGACAGTTGGCCACGGGTAGCGTGATTGATGACACGGAAGATACCCAGTCAATGTCTGCATTTTCCGATCGATTGTCTCACAAATCATCGTGTTCGTCATTTGTCGCCACGCCCTCGGTGGCAAATTCAGGCAAAAGCCCCTTGTACCAGCATCCTTATCCCTCGCAATGGTCCACAGGAACCAATCATCTCCAAGGACTCGTTTCATCGCCGTTTGATGACAACGGCAGCGATGATGATATTAGTACCAATGGCGAAGATATTGATTCCAAAACATCCCTATCCCGTACGTATGGATGTGAGCATTGTTGATAATGTGATGCTAATGTTATTTTTTTTTCTTTTTTTTGTTGATCTTCTCCGATCTAGATCCTTACAATTGTATGATGACTATGCCGACTGATTATGCTTCTCTCTCTAAATGTAAGTCCACTTCCTAAACAAAGTTGGGTTTTAGTTCAACAAACAATTGAATGCAGCATCTGACTATGCGATGTATTTTTATTAGTACATGTCTCTTCATCATCCTTGCCATTATCCGATTTCCAAGTCAAATTCGATCCTTTCCTTCAACACTGAACGGTCCGCGCACCCTTTTTCTTTCATCTCAAGTATACCCTCATTCTTCCTTCCCTCATCGTCAATCGTTCCTCGCCCAAAAAAAAGTCTCCTTGACTATGTTGTCATTTCCATGATTTCTCTTTCTTGCTTTTATTTATTTGTGCATTATTCTATGTATTATGAGGCCAGGGGCCCTTTACCCATCATTCTTTTTCCTTTTCTTTTTGTTCAATTTTTTTTACACCCGCCTCTCTCCCTTCTGCAAAAAAGGTCGATGTTGTTGCCAGGCATTCCTTTTTGCCAGTGATGACAAATGTCCACTTTCGCATCTATCTCTGCAGAAAAGGGATAAGCCATGTTTGTCCTATTTTCATCTTGTTCTCATAGTTTGTTTTTATTTTCTGTAACATATTTTCCTTCTTTATTTTCATTCGTTTCCCATCCCTTTTTCTTTTCAATGGTTTGTTCCTTTTTTATATACATATACTGATGTGTTCTATACGCGCGCGTAACTATTGTTTCCATTCTTCCCCCATATATCCCATATGTACAATAAAAAAAAGAAAAGACCATTCTGATATTACCATTCAGGAATACAGAAAAAAAAAAACACTTGGTTCCCTTTTTTTTTACCTCCTTGATCTTTCACTGTAAGCAACACATGATACCATAACAACAATCCATTATGATCAGCACCCACCCCAAGACTACTAATCTACCCAACCACCGGCTTTGATACAACCAAGTTTAAAGTAAAAACCGATTTTCCCTGCAAAGTTTTCTTTTTTTTTTCTCACAGCCGCAGTCGCTTGCTATAAAGCATCAGTCCCACCTCTATTTCCAGCAAGGGTAAATATAAAGAGAAAAAGAAGCCGCAACCGATAAAAAGTTGATGTATTTGGAGGCTGAGGGGGGTGCCATCTCCATCGCGATTGCCTTGTTGAGAATTTTTTGGGTCTTTACCATTTATGGCGCTTGTCAGTGTCATCTGATTATCAGCATGTCAGAGCGTTGACAGCATGCTGTCAGCCATGCGTAGCACATCGTCGCCCGATATGGATGGCCGCCTGTGACCGAAATCGATTGTTTATTTGATGGCTTATTTTATTTGATGATGGCGCAGCGTGAACGTTTGTATCATGCCTTTTCAAGTCAATCTGGGCAAAAGAAGATGCCGTCGTGCCCTTTTCCAAAGAATAAGCACACAAATAGAAAGAGGAAAAAGGTAAAATGTTCAGGGGATGCACCGTATGGAAATGATTCGGAACCCTCCGAACTGGCCGATCAATGTTGGGTTGAAAAAATAAAAGCGGCGCTGGCAGCGACACCCACAAGGAAGCAGCAATGTAGGACATAGGTTACACAACTTAAACATTCTTTTTATCCTTGCAAAAACAAAAAAACCAATAATCTTCATTCTTTTTGGCCCTCTGCAGGAAATAGCCAAACCTTGTGTGGATAATAAAAAAGAAGTCAACGGATACATACATAAACGGTTGGCTTCTTTCCATTCTGAATGGGGCTTAGTACCAAAGAAGACCAATAGCGCGATCCAGGTACCTGATATAATAGTTAAAAAAGAGGAGATGTCACGGCTGCTTCAACCTCCTTTATGATTCACTAGTGCCAAAATGCCAAGCTTTTCATAACAATTTTTTGCCATTGGTAAAACCACTAGTGCTCAGAACAGCTACCCACTAGTTAAAATTCTCTTTTAAAACTATAGACCGCCATTAGACTTTCTCCCCCGTTTCGTCCCCAATGCAGTTCCCGGTAACGATTCACTAAAACAGTAATCCCGAGGCCAATGGCTCAATGTAACATTGATAGCATGGTTACATCAAGTAGATGTTTTGCTTTAACAAGCCGTACACCCGCTGTGCAATGGATGCCGCCTGCCACCGGAGACCGCCCCCTTACATTGAGCGACATTCGTCAGACAAAAGCCTAACGCAATACGGCATAACCTGGGCGAGACTCTTGAAGGAACTTTGGTATATTAATGTCAATACTCTGGCATACCGTACAGTCATGATTTCCAAACATGTGTGCAGCAGCACTTATTGACCCCCTCAGTCCCGTCCCGCCCAAGGTTATGATAGATCTAGAAAGATGTGTGGGTATGTTGGGTATTTAAAAAAATGAGTTAGTAAGCTCTTTGATTGATTCAAATTTTCGTCAAGATATTTTACCTTTGTTATTTGAGTTTGCAATAGCCATTGATTGCTTGACATGACTTGGATTATATGACATTGAAAAAATTTGAATTAGTATACGTTCATTACATCATAGCAAAGGAAAAGAAAGTGGACTTGCCTTTGAACCAAATGGTGTACCGGAAAAAAAAAAGATGAACACCCTCTCGATCATCATAAATGAAGAGAATCAAAGGGCATATACAGTATAACTGACAGAAACCCCAAATTGAATGATGCTACAGAAGAACGCCAGTCGTATCATCAACCACTTTTCTTCAAAAAGAGCTCTACTCACATTTTTATTCGAAAGACAACAATGCTCTGTTTGACCGCAACTGGCGCAAACGGCATCTTGCTGCTGATTGTTTCGCCTATTATCGTGAAAGTGGGCAGCGAGGCATGGTTGAAAGATGAAAAAAAGGTTTAACAGGTCCTGATAACTTAGTGTAGATCCTGTGATTTACAAATCGCTAATTTCCCAAAGATTTTAATTATGTAGATTTCCTTAAAGTCTCCCTGGGACGAATGGCAACAAAGACCAGACATTTATCCTTCTGGAACTTTTTCTTCTTGCATACGGAAACATGGCCTGATTTTTCTTGGGTAAAAAGAAAAAAGGCCATGATTGAACGATTCTTGTTGACTTCCTTACGCAGCACGCGCTCATGTTTCAACTTTTTATATCTTCTGCGATGGGTTATCTTATCATAAAGTCAGGAGAAATACACTACAGTTTCTCAATTTAGTTATAGACTTTGCACGGGAAGGAAGAGAAAAAATCAGGCTGCCGAGTGCGCTTTGAGCAGTTACTCGCTGTGTGACCTTTGGAAAGATGGCGCGCTTTGGCTGGATATATACCGTAGAATTATTCATCATCGAAAAAGGAATCGAGACTGACATGGTCATCTGTTTCTTGAGTTAGTGTAGTTGATCGGGATCTTGTCTTTTTGCTGATATCTGGAGGTTCTGCTCTGGTGGAAGTTTCCAAAGTAGGGATCATGTCGTCTAAGCAAGGTGGTGCGTCGTTGCCACCGGCATGGCCAGCGGGTTTTGGAATAGCGGTAACCATTTGATCGTCGGGATCCACAAACAGGGTACTTGTGGATGGCATCGGTAAAACCGGTCGTCGTACCATCGCCGATGCTTTCGACTCCGTCTCATGTTCCTGCCGCGTTACCGTCGGCTGAGTTGGCCCCGGCGAATTTCGTCGCATGAATGATAGGAAGGTTCGCCGACGAGCCGTCGGAGCTGCCTTTGAATCCAGAGATTCTTTATGGCCACCTTGATCGTTCCACCCGTTCACCGTATCGGTCGGCGCAGGCGATTGCAACGATGATCCAGACGATGATACTGTCGATATAAATGAGGGCGCGTCCAACGATGGCTCTTTGGACAACGTTACAGGATGAGGTGCAATAATCGCCCGTCGAGTGGAATGCTCTTCTTGCGCTTTGTGAGCTTCTTCAGTGAAAATAGTGGGAAAATGGACGATGAGCTCGCGAACAAGACGTTGCGGATGTCGGTCATGAACATTGATGGTTGATTCAATCTGTGATCGAATCAAAATGTAACCAAACGTGGCTGCAAGCTGGTGTACTAACTGCGTATCTTCCGATGTACTTGTCAATCTAAAAAATAAGAAATCCAAGAATTGATAAGCTCAAGATGTTCACAGTAAAAGATAGTGTAACAGGCATGCTTACTTGTGAAAGTGGGCCATTAATGCTTCCAAGGTATAATAATTGGCGGTAGGAAGCGTGGTCAAAAGCTTGCTAATGGACGCTAGTCGATTTTTTTCGTCCTGTTCTTCTATAATTTCCTTGTGTGAGTCGTTATAAGTTGCGACGGCGTTATCCAATAAAAATTCCTTACGATTAGCATAGAGCACTTTGACTGTTTCATAGAGTTCGAACGTCAGCAAGCAGTCAGGGAGCTCCATCAAGTAAAGCCGTAATAGCGATGCAACAAGTAACAGATCAAAGGATCGCAAGCGATCTCCTATCGTTGTATGATGCAGGGTATCATTGATTTCTTCTCGTGCCGTGTGCACTCGATCAAAGGGTAGTTTGGCGGTCCATACTTTGCTTTTCTCTGCAAAAACACAATAAGAATACGGCGGCCATTGCTTGGTGAGATGAGCTTACCTTCCTGATGGAGGCGGGGCATGGCTGAGGAAAGGTGTGTCAACATTAGCGCAAAAACAATGCAGTTTAGGATCAACCGGTGCAGAGCGTACCTTGTTCGATAATTTTTAAGCCTTCCGTCATGATTGGCGGCACCAGAACATTTTGCTGCCGAACCAGGTCTTCCAATCGTGTACCAAAAATTTGTCCTTTTCACAGAAAGTCATCTACGATAAGCACTTTGACTTTCTAAAATGTCATACACTGCTGTGTTTACCTATGGCGCCATGATAATGATTCTCGTAAATGATGGGGCGAGGACAAAATCGGCCAGTGTGATATTGTTCCACAATAAATTGCACATCTTTTTCCGGATTCAACGTTTCTTGGTATAACATCATACGATCATACATTTCTTTGCACAAGGGTATTGTATTTGACAATGTGGCGGCTACACTGATAAAGGCTTTTTTTTTTCTCGATTAGCATCGCCGTCGTCAAAGCCTGTGGACTTTTCTTTGCTTTACCTTGTTTAATGGTTTGGATACGTTCTAGCTCCAGACTTTCCATTTCTTCAAAGTGCATTAGCTGTAGGGGATCCGTCAGTATGAAGAATAATACCGCGGCATTTTTTTGCTTGCTACTGCTTACCAATGTTTCCTGAGTTTGCATTCGCATTTTCTCTGCTTTGGCAACGCTCTCTCTGTAGGTTTTCTCGGCCATAAACAAACCGTGAAGAAATTTATGCCATGGCTCTTTATGGCTCTTTTGTTGCCAGCGTCCAAGTAATCCGCTCGTTGACTGGCTCGTTCCAGTCCCAGCATGACGAATAATACATAAATTTACGGGGTGGTCAAGGTTGCACGTATTGTGATTTGAGCCATCTCTCTTTTCATAGGCATAATTGGGTTGGGCTTCGAAATTCTCGGTCGGACGGCTGGAGCAGAGATACCCTTGGGAGACCAAAAGTTGTGCTATGATCAAGACTTGGTCGTCAGTATATACGTAGTCTTCCTGTTGATCCAATTGGCTCCGAATCCATTGGAAGACCGTATCCCCGGTGATGAGACTCGTGGGCCAATGGCACTGTATATTTTCCGCGAGCGCTTGAAGATGGCGTTGAATCTTGTCGGCTATATCCGGATCCACAGGACACGACCTTAAATTGCGTACGGCTTGGCACTTGGCGATATAATCATTCTTGGTTTGTTCGACAATCCGTACCAAGAGTTCAAATTGGTGGATACGTTCGTGGACGACCGCTTTGGTACGGTGAATCAGCTTTTCATAACGTCCTGCAAACCGCTGTAACGGATCCAGGGCCATTGTTTTCAAATTCTCCGCTCGTACTTTATGGCCCTGAGCGAGTTCCGCGCTCTCTGCCGATACAATTTCGAAACATTTCCGTAAACCGGCGCCGACATCACGGTCAAATGCGATGCCCGTGGATGGAGGTGTTACGGTGCAAAGATGTTGACCATAGGCTTCTTCCGCAGCAATACGACGTTGGAGGTAATCAGTAATGAGTTGGTTTTCTTCGATGGACTGAACGAGTTTTTCGTGAAGCACGCGAAGACCGACAGAAAAGTTGGGATAAGGGTCAATGGAGGCGGTAGGCGACCAGAAGGCTTCTTGGAATGGGTGTTGCTGATGATGATGGTTCATCCTCTATTTTTTGTTCGCTCACTCAAGCCCAAAAATTCATGACCTCATGCGGTTAACGGATGGCTTGGAGGTCCGACGGGGCGGGAAAGGGGATATCAACACCTAATACACGGATCTGCAAATTGGTTAAAAAGTCACGCCATGCACTAAATGCCATGCAGTTTGATTCATTACAGTATTCACGAAAGACCTCACAAAACGTTTTACTAGTATTAAAGGTATTTCACTTGTACCTATACGCTCTTCCGAGGATAGAAATACTTTGCAAACAGAAAACATATGCTACGATAGATTCAAGTTTCCTGCTAATCGACCCATGCAATCAAACGGTCGTGTCTTTGTAATATTAAGTCACGGCGTGAGACCTCAATAATTTATAATAGGAAAAGAACCTGCTGTTTAGTGGATAATTCAGCATCTGTCTAATGATTTCCTCCAATGATAAATGGCCATCTTGTAACAGAGGGAAAAGGTCGTAAATGAGTGTTTTAAAGTGTCCGCATATCTTTTAATTTGCTTACGACATTCAGCATTGATGCGACCTGGCCTTTCACGGTAGCGCATTCCAAATCAGTTGAAGTCTGGAAGAATAAGGGTTTCCTTATATGATGGTCTGCCCATATCTTTTGCCAACGTCGGATAATGCATAGGATATCTTACCTATTGCATTGTGCGTTAGAACCCTGATTGCTTACTGAAATGTTTCTATCCTGGCCGGCGGGGACAGATCTGGTTCGCAGCATATCACTGCCGGGACTTGCTCGGCAAATCAAGCTTGCTTTGTAAGTAGGTCATTTGGATGCAGATGATAGCGTGCACCATCCATGTGGGTATGGCACAGACCCTATCTCTCATGTAGGGCAACCCAGGTTTTTCAAGATGACTCTGAAAATCTCGGGCTAATAATTTCCATGGTAATTCTGCAGATCAATGATATCCGCATTCCTGTCAGTAACCGAGATGTCCGATCGTCGCATGGTGTTCGGCCAGCAGTCATTGTTTTCTTTCTCTTCGCAATTTCGCAAAGATATTGGAACAGCCAAAGAAGGGACAATTTCTGCCTAAAGGGAATCACGTCGCGTGCAAATCGTGTAGACGACCAAAGACCACCATCATGGTCTTTCAACCGGCGTCAAAAACATGGCAACCGCAAAGAACGAGGCCATACAACTCGTCAGCAATACTTTGGGCATGTCAGCTCCGATAGTTGATGGTTACTTCGGCTACACATCGAAATATTATTTCGACTCCCTTTAAAAGTCAAGCTCATTCTAAAAAGCTCTTGATCAGGTCTCGATTTTCGACGGAAAACCCTGTTTCAGTAAGCTCATCACGTATCAGTTGGGTGCCGAACATTTTCGCCCGTTAAATCCTAAGCTTTCACGATATTTTGTAAGCAACCCTAGATTGGTTCAGCGACAATCCGATGGTGAGTCTTGAGCATTAAGGAGCGAGCATCCATGCAGACGTCGCTGTTAGTGGTGAAAAGGCGTCAAAGAACAATGTCACGTCAGGGGAACAAGTTAAAGATGACAAAATAAAAATGGGCGAATGGATATAGAATTATGTTTCTGCTTTTCAGGAACAAATGAATTTGGACTCCATCTTACTTCTTGGTGCCAACTTGTTCTCGTGGAAATGCAAACTGTGCTTTGTCAACTAGTGTTTATTTTCAATTGCATACATGTGATTAGAGGTGGAATTCAAAAATGATTACAAGATGAAAGTGAATGATGTGCTAAAGGATTTCAATGATATAAAAAGATACATAAAGAATGGGTGTGATATTTGCCTGATGGTGAAAAACTACTGCCGTGGTCTTGCCGTTCCTGTGCTAGTGTGACCGTCAAACCATCGGTGCTGGTTAATATACTATGATAAGGAAAGCCCCAGTCTTTCCCATGGTTGCCTCTTTTTTGGGGGGGTTTGTTTAGACAGAAATGGCTGATGTATGGAAAGGTAATAGAATAGTAGCAAATGTACCGACAGAGAGAGTTTATGACGTTGCGGTATCAGAGTCGAAGGAGACGGGTATTGCGCCACACATTTCTGGATTGCTGCTTAACAGTGTGGGGTTATCAGTGAATGAAGAGGGTTCCTAATGAAACAGAAAACAGTCAATGGAAAGGGTTCTCTTCAGTAGAACGTCCTTTATAAACTTACAGAAGTTCTTCGGTATTGACGAGTCTCCGATGATTCTGGAAATCTCTTAGTTGTTGCGGGAAAGGTCGAGTGTCCTAATTCTATTCGGACGATTGATGCCAGTCAAACGAAATGATCGTGGCATAGCATTCATCAAATAAAATGTCGGATTCCCTACCGGAAGATACATAGGAAGCGTAATCCACTGATGTCGTACTAGAAAATAATGGTGGCAAAAGAAATTAGTCAGAATTGAAAGCGAGAGAGGTCAAAAAAAAAACTTACTCGTATGGCGATCGGAGTCCGCTCACTGATCGTTCTTTTTGTTTCTTTGATCGTGAATTTTGCTTTTGCTTGAACTGTCTTAAATATTCTTGGTATTGCTGAAAAAGAAAAAGATAGAGAGAGAGACAACGTCCTCTATGTGAGCTTTTTTTTTTCCTAATGATCATCAGGATTTCATGCGTAACAAAAAGCTAGACTGACTTTGTATTCTGGGGTTTTTCGGTAATGTGCTAGAGCTGCAAGATATTCATCTTTGGCACGCATGGCGGTTCGTTCGTACCGTTGTCGTTTCTCTGGACTAAGGGTTTTCCAGCTATTTCCTAGAATTTTGGCAAGCTCGGAAAAGGTGAGATTTTCGTTCTTGAGTTGAGCACGGACGTCGTTGGACATCATGATATAAGCGGAGGGAGGTTTGACGGGAGCATTCTTATCGGGTTTGGGATGACGGCGATATCTGCGTCGACTGGAAGTAGAACTCTGAGTATCGAGTGACCCTTCGTCATTGGACGAGGAGCCTTCACTGCTGTAATGATCGCCATCGGGCAAACTGTAGCAGAGCGACATGCGGCTTTCGGAAGATCGAGGCGTTCTAAAAGGGGACGAGCTCGCGGACAGCGATTCATATCCACTTGTACTATTGGCACCTGACGTTGTACAACCACCTGTAACCGGATCGGTCGACAGTTGCATAAGATCCTCATCTAATAAAAAAAAAAAATTTGACATGCGCAGTTTAGCGGACCCATTTTTCGGTTCAGTTGTCTAGATTTTTTTATACATACTTGGAGACGGTAACACCAAAGTCAAATGTCGATTATCAGGCACACCTTTGGCTGTGGCAATTTCACGCTGGATCAACTAAAGCAGTAACAATCATAAACTATCAGTTGTTTTTTCTCGATTACCAAAAGGCAAGAATATCATTACCCTTCGATGTCCACGTTTGACTTTCATTATGATCATGTCTTCTTCGGTAATTTCATGCAGCTGCGGTTGCAATGATGATTTTTGTTATTAAGAGAGATCAAAAAAGGCAAAGAACATTCGCTTTACCAACTTACAGCTCGAAGACTGTCAAACCCTTCGGCCAAGAATGATGACAGGTATTGAAGCAAATGGCATCGTTGCAGGAATTCCTTCACATCATGATGGCCACGGTTTTCCGCATTAAACATGACTACCGAAATACCGTCAGAAATCGGCGAACTTTGTCTTGTCACTTTGGATAACTGCATCGTGATCAGTTAAGGGAAAGAAGGCTTGAAAAGGACTTGATGATGATGATGATGATGACAAAAAGAGAAAAAGAGAAAAAGAATTTTGAAAACCGGGTGGATCAGAGTTGAAAAATACGAAATGTGTTTTGGCTTTTTTTTGATTTCCCAGAAAATTGAAATCGTGAGAGCAAAAAAAAAAAAAAAAAAAATTAACTACAAAGTCGTGTCTCAATAGACAAATGAAAAAAGAGAGAACAAATGGTTCTTTAATGAAAAGGGATTGTTTAAATCCTTGTGGATGTAGAAATGCAAATTGGATATTGTGTACTAGAAAAAAAAAAAAAAGGAAAAGGGAAAAAACGATTGGTCGTTTTATATCTTTTTTTCATTCCCAGTTTCGTTATTTTTATATTTTTTTTTTTGGGTGTTCTTTTTTTTTCTTCGGCTTGCCACCTTATTGGTTTCTGTAATCCCTATTGTGTCTTTATCCAGTTAACGATCAAGAATCTTGAGTACCTATCAGGCAACGGTAGAAAATATTACCATGGTGATGGAGACGCGTTATATGAAAATTTTTATTCAATGGAGTGAATTGGTGAGTGTATGTAAACAATGGATCAATAGATGCTCGTAGATCGTCTGAGGATACAGAACCTTCTCCAGAATTCCTGTTGTGATTAGGGGAATGTTTTACTCTAAATGGGGGAAGCACACGCCAGGAGCCAGAGAACTGGAGATCGGAGCTTGACGAATTTTATCGATTAATCTGAAGAAAAGCAAAGAAAAAAAAAAATTATCGGTTTTTTCCTTTTCGTTTGCTCCATTTTCATTGGTGGTCGTCGAACGGTAGGTCCAATCGTCCAACAGCCCTGCAGTTCAAATCAAAGAAAATTACACTAGTCTTCTCGACCAAGGAATCACGCCGACACCACCGACCCTTGAAGCCCAACCCCTCATTCCCCGATTCCATACTTTGGTTTCATATCCGAGCCATTTGTTATAAACAACACCTGTGCTTTAATTGTGAACATAGAAATGCCAGCGGAGAATAATATTTTGCACCACTATTTGACTACATTTGAACTGCTGATATTATGTTATATACACAAGGATGAACAATGAATGATCAGTGAGGTCAATCCTTTATAAATATATAATAAGGAGCATGAAAAAAGGTGTCTTCCAATTTGGACAGTTTCTTCGGTGATCAGGGTCAGATGCTTTTCTAGAAACGTTCAGAACAATCAAGTCAATGCAGAAATAGAGCTTTCTAGGACATTCTTCCGTGTTCTAAAACTTTCGCTCAAATTACCTTTACTTGACCCCTTGGTTACGCTTATTTCTTCCCATTTCCCTCTTTCTTTGTCATTCTTGTCAATCTTTTTTCCTTCTCCTCGCGGCGGGAATAGCATTATTGCGAAAAAAAAAAAAAAAAAAAAAAAAAGAAACCAAAAAAATGCAGCCGGAAATTGGGATCCACGAAAAAGACAGTTACCGTCACACAAGTGGAACCAGATTAGTTTTCAGTGCCTGTATGTTGCAGACATAAAAACTTTATCGTTCGTGTATGCTATACTCTTTGGGCTTCAACGCATTTCAGCAACTTTCTTCCGATGAGTCGACGGCTATTCATTCACTTTTTCCCTTGAAGGGAATAGACCGCATTCTTTTGGCATCCTGGGAATCCACGTTTGCCCTCACAGGTAGATCATTCATCACTTGAAAAAAACGATGGCGTTTTTTTCTACTTGAGTACCCCCATGCTCAATCTTGAAAGAGCAAAATCAATTGGAGGTGTTGGGCTTCCAACCGCGTAGCAAAGATCTCTGGTATGATTTTCAGGCCGTCGCCATGTTTGGTGATCCGGTGGGCGTTTTCGGCTTCGTCGATAGGGAGACCAATGTTTGGTTGATCAGGGACGGCATGTGCCATCACTTGACGACCGATGCCAAAGATGCAGTTTACTGTGCCGGACAAAACCGTATTTATGTACTTCAAAGTGAGTGGAAACCACTGCAGACTTGGTCGTTGGCGTTTCACTTATTTTTATTTAACGTTTGCATGGCGTGTATCCCTAGCTGTCCAGGGACGTGTGGAGGTGTTTGATTTGAATGACTTGACCGTGTCCTCCCTGTTAAATCTCCCGCCTGTGATCATGTTAGCCAGCTCCACCACACACGTGCTTTTTTATACTCGTGGATCCGATCCTATCTATGCCTTGGGCAGTAATCGATTCTCTCAACTGGGCATGGATTTTCACACCGTGTCTCACCTCGACGACCCTCAACCTGTGGATTTTTTTTGTGGTCTTGGCTCGGATCACGAGAATGGCATGGTTGCATGCGGTCCGTTTCATTCCGCCGTGATTCTAGACAACACTCTGTATACATTTGGATGGAGAAAGTATGGTCGATTGGGATGGCATACAGAAGACGATGCCGTGGTTGGATTGCCCTCGTTTTTGGACAATCACAGCTCCCCGGTTGATGTTGATGTCGTCAAAGTCGCTTGCGGTTCTAACCATACAATTGTATTAGACGGTAAGGCTACAAGTTAAAAAGAATGTTTAGTTTGAGACACTCTGACGGTTTCTTGTTGCAACAGATCAAGGCACCATTTGGACCTGTGGTAGTGGTATGCAAAAAAAAAAAAAAAAAAAAAAAAGTCATTGATTTCAAGGAATATGCCTTTTTGTTCATAACTTTTCGCGGTGATGTAGACAAGTACGGGCAGCTGGGTCGACCCGTATCCCATGTTGACAAGTATGAAGATGCATTTCGTGCCTGTGAATTCCAAGATCAAGCTACGAATTGCGACGCCGGACGTTGGAGTTCTTTTATCTATACCGCCTCTGCCTAATGTACGCCTCTGTCTAGTGCAGGCCTCTGTCTGATGCAGGTTTGCTTGGTAGCTCGACCCTTCTCTTTTTTCTGGATGATTTTCCTCCAAGAAACAAAGACGCAAAAAAAATAATATGATTCTGTTGTTTTTTTATTTCCATTATCCTTTATCTATTTACTGTGATGGTTTTTTTTGGGGGGTCTATTCGTTTGCTTTGCTGCCTTTCATCAATCCTGAGATACGTTCCATGAGTTTCATGTGGACAGGGTTGGCCACGCTGTTATCTTCCTCTTCCACTGGAATATTGTCTCGTTGATCCGGTCGACTTTCAAACATATCATGAGCACTCATGGAACCGAATTTGCTTTGGTGCAGACTCTGTTGGTCGTACTCGCCCGATAAAAAGTGAGGCAACGATGGCGAGGTTTCTCCGGCACCGCGCAATTTCACTTCAACCATGGGTCGGCCTTCTTCATCCCACTTGACTTCATTGACATAGAATGTTCGTAATTTACGGTCGCCGCTGTTGCGTAAACCGACACTGTAACGCTTGGGCAACAGAGCCACCACACCGGCAATACCGGCGGCGTGACCTCCTGTGACGGAATTCAGAATACGACCCTCCACTGGATAATCCCAGCCAGCATCGTGGTCGCTGTAGGTAGGTCCCACTGTGGTTGAAGATGAACTGTTGCTGAATGTGGCATTCACGTAATCAAAGACTTGCTCCGGCACCACTTCTTTCTTTGCTAACGCTTCTTTGAATGCCGGCGCCTTTTTCGACGCTTGTTTGAGGAATCGTTGGAATTCGGCCGGGGTCATGCGAGCGACATTGTATTCCACAGTCTCCGATCGTGGTGCGGGCTTTTTCGAGTTGGGGAAGTTTTCTTTCCAGCGTCTCACAAAGAGAACTTGACCTTGGCCGGATTTCCAGGGCGTCTGATGTTCTGCTGTATCGAGGTCGCCAATGGTGACAAAAGGGGTGCGAACGACCGTCGGTAAGTTGCGCTTTAAACCCCAATCACCTATTTGTTTGCATTTGCGAGGTGTTGTGTACACTTGAGGCAACGTGCGATCGTATGTCGCTAACCGCGAATGACGCAGCAGATTCCCAAATGACTTTTCCATAGTTGAAGAAAAAAAAAAAAGAAAAAGGATGAAGTTGGCGAGTCTGATGTCCACTCTGGTTTGGCCCCCTTGCCCAAAAAATTATATTTTGGAACACTGATTGGGTGGCTTGCGGCTCGGCTCCATCCACTTTCCCCTTTCTAAGCGGTCATTCAAAAAAAATCATAGTGTTGGTTTTTTTTAATTCTCTTGACAGTGGGGATATGGAAGGATTACAAAAAGAGAGACCAAGTATTTTTTTAAAAAAAAGCAATTGTCATTCTACAAGCCATGTTTGGCTTCAAAGTAATTGGTAGCGGCAGAAACAGCCATACGTTCAAGCATGCTCTTTTTTGCCACCTTTTTATCTTCATCGTCGCTGTCGTCGTCGTTTCCACGTTCGGCAAACATTTTGGCCAACTATAGTATAGACAAATTAGTATCGTTTTCATCCTCTTTTTTTCCACCTTGAATTGGTTCAGACTTACTTCGGCAGCAGCTACAGAAGCGATCAGCTGCTTGGCCAATTTGTGTTGAACTTCTTTGCCGTCCTCCTTTTGTTTACGTTCCCAAGCATTCACTGCTTCAAAAGCAACCGCACCCGCCAACAGTTCGTAACTATGCCATCCATCTTATAATAAATCATCTGAAACTCATTCAACAAAAGTCAACTAAGCGTACCTGACGTGAGACTTCTTTTCCTTGTAAACCTTTTTGTGGGCTTTATCAAGGTATTTCTCATCGAGCACTTCCTTTTTCTTGTTGCCCCAACCGTGCCAGTTTTCGAACCAGGCTCTGAATCGAGCACGTTTGCCATCGTCTTCACTCTCATCGTCCGAGTCCACGACCTTCGGAGGATCGGCCAGCTCGACCGTCCATAACTGATTCGACGCTTGTTCGACCGGCTTGCGCTTATACACCATACAACGGGCATCTTCTTTAGGATTTTCATGATGAATGTCGGCCACGATATTAGGGTCACTCAGTGCATAGATGTAACCCGGCTCAGCTTCAAATCCAAATCGTTGATCGTTGGCCTTGATGTTTAAAAGAAAGTTTAAAATATGTCCGTAACACAAGGGCGCGCAATCGGCTCTGAGAATTTTCCTTACCATTTCTTGTTCCTTCATGTTATCCAAGTAAAGTCGGTTTTCGCCCGTAAAGATTGCTAATAAGCAACATCCAAATGATGTCCCAAGTGAATGAAAATTAGTCTCAATTGAATTTGGGGTGGGAGTGGAGGGAATATCCCAAAGCTCGTGTTTTGGTGGGTCTTGCTCGGCGTCTTTTTCTCTTCTTGTGCCTTGCACTCGTACCACCGTCCCATCGTCTTTCCAAGAATTCCTCCGCTTTACACAACAGCCCACTTACCAATAAAACTTTCCGCCTTGTGAATATCCAGGACCAGGCCGGTTGCTTTGTTTGTCAAAAAGCCTAAGTTGAAAAAAAAAGTAAATAAACGCAGTATTACTGCTTGTATTGATCATGCGCGCACCATTCTGATGGATCCACAACTGAGTATCTCGCTCAGGCGATTCAGGCTTTTTGGCCGCCATAACAATCTTGGATCGAACCTAAACAAGGTGTTAAAAGCCTGTTTCCATAGATACCAGACGCTTAATTTTTTTTTCCTTTTACAAACTTACACCTGCGTTGGCGGGATCACGGATATCCATGACTAGATTGTTCATCTTGGAGATGATGTAAAAGTAACCAATAGGAAACGAACTTTCAGGTACTGTCATAGTAATACAAGGAAAATTTGTACTAAAGTGTGTAATGAGAGGGAAATGTGAGAAAACAGGATGCGATTGACAGATCCTGGGATCCTGCTTTTTTATACTTGCCGCCGTCGCCATTGATAACCGTTACACAGCAGCAGCTTCTGAGTTGCAACTTTCCTAAATGGAGCTACTTGCCGGCACAAAGATGTGCAGCTTCGCCTGGCTCGATTTTTGACTTTTCAGGGCAAGGTACACAAATCTGTACGTCCCAACACAAACGAAATGAGACGAGACAATACAAAAAACGATGAGCTCGGATATCCATTTGAAATTCTATTCACGATGATTTCGGTAATGAAAAGGATTTGATTTTAGCTACAAGTCATGTTTTCACAACGGATGACCACCTGTAAGCTGACAGCTACTGCATACGTGCCTGACGCAGATATCGCGTCATTTTACACTGACTGACGGCGGCCATAGTCTGCGTCGAAAAAGACTGCTCCTAGAGAAAGAAATGACACAGACGCACATTATTAGATTAATGTTGCATTCTCTAACACTGCAGAAGCTGACACAAGAGCCCAATTGATTTGCCGGATGAAGGATCAAAGCACAAAATGCGCCTTTGGATCCCCATGAACCTAAATAGACACATTCAGCCACTTTTCCAAGAGACATTTTTTCCAAGTTTTTCACAGCTCCACAAGGCTACTATTTGATAAAGGACGACATACTGTAACGAAAAGAAATAAGAAACTCACTACGGGACAATAACGCAAATTAAACATGGTATAGGAAGTATGTTTGAGCCATTATAATTTATCGGTAAGTATAAGAATAATCAGTTATCTGTACATAATCATCGCTGCATGTAGATTTTTTTTTTTTTACTCATCGTCTTCATCTTCATCTTCTAACCCTGCCTCTTCATCTTCCACTTCTAATGATTCAATATTGCGCTCAATCAATGGTTTGATAAGACGGTTAAAGTAAGGATGTTCGCCCTGAGGATTAGATTGCTGCACTTGTTGGAAGTAGTGAACGTAGACATTGCCGTCGGCCCGACCAAGAGGACTGTTGATGATATAGTCGCTCAAATTGAACGAATCCACAAGCGGAATAGCTTGATCACGTACAGCCTTGCACAGTTCGTTGACTTTGCTGCGAATAAACTCGATTTGGTTCGGCTTGAAATACTCGTATTGAAGGAAAGCGCCCGCGTTATCTTCAATGGTATATAAACCGTAAAGCAAACAGATCTTTGTCAACACCGCTTGCACGGATCCGGACACCTTGGCCACACCGTCCATGAATCGGTTGAATAAATAACCGTAAGAATGAAGCTTGGCAGCATACAATCGTGATTGCGCTGTCAACACGCCAAAGCACCGTTAATATCTTGAAAATAAATTGTCATATTTCCACTTGGACTTACAGCAATGCTCATAGGCGTCATCGACATCCATGCCTTGTTCGAGACAAGCTTCAAACTCCAAAGCAGCGTGACGCACCACGTTGGCACACACCACTTGCCAGCCTTCGGCGATCACCTCGGGTTTCACCAAATCTTCCAAGGACGATGCGCTGCATTGTTTGCCAATTAATGTGTTCAGATGGTTGAGATAACCAACCCCCGGAGCGACTTTTTTGCCCTTGGCTGCTTCGCGGTAACTGCTGATCAAGTAACGTCCAGCTTGCAATGTCAGGATGGTGTTATCGCCTTCCCATGTGCACTGGACCGCAAAGTCCTGATACATGGCGGCCAGACCCGTGTAAGCTGAGTAGCCGTGACCACCGCAGGCTTGACGGCACTGTTCAATTGTGTTGAGACAGTTCCACGTACAGAAAGCTTTCAAGCCGGCACTGGTAGAATGGGTTTCTTTGAGCATCTCCATGACTTCATCCAGGTCAGCATCGTCTTCCTTGGCGCTGTCCAAACGCGCCATCATATTGTTGTACATTTCCGTCATTTCCGTGCCGGTAAAGAGCATAGCAAAGGTTTGAGCCAACAACGGCATCAGACGGCGTTGATGAATTGGATAATCTAGAAGCTTGGTTTCCACTCCGTTCGCTTTCGAGTTAGCAAACTGTCGGCGAACGGCAGCATAACGAATTGCAATGGCCAAGGCTTTCTTGGACACATTACCGCTGTCAACCACCATCGCCACACGTCCTTGAAGCAAGGCACCATACGTCTACATACAGCAAACACGGTATTACATCGACGGGCACTTGATTTTTGATGGAATAATTTACTCACCAATTGCTGCAATTTGGGTTCTTTGACTTGACCGCTGCGGGACACCTTGGTATGCTTTTGCAGCATGTAGCCGCGGGGAATTCGGACATTGGTAAATTGGATATAGCCGTTATCGATACCATCTCTTCCCTAGGGTACAGCAATGAAACGGGTTATTAGAAGGAGGTATTAAAATTTATCGCTGAACAAAGGAGAGATCATTTACCATTTTCTTGCCAATATCGCCAATATTGATGCCAGGCAGGGTTTGATATGTTTTAGGGTCTCGAAGAGGAACGATGAAGCATTTGGTGCCGTAACGTTTTTCCCTGACGATCAACTGGGCAAAGACGGCCGCGTGCGTAGCACTGTGGGCAGCGCCACCAATCCACCACTTGGTAGCGGTCAAGGTAGGAGTGTGAATGACAAATTGATCGGCAGCTTCATCAAACGTCGCCGTGGTCTCCAATCCGGGCACATTGGATCCATGTCCCAATTCGGTCATGGCGAAGCAACCAATAAAATTGGACAATGAAAGGGCTCCCTTCTCAAACCAGTAACCCAGCTGACCCGGTGTGGCGTTGCTTTGCAGAGCACCGACAAACAATCCATCTAAACAAAATCAATGATGAGTCTTTTTCTCTCTCTTGCTCCTTTTCCTTTTCCATCTTATTCATCGGAATAAACATACAATGTACACCAAAGCGGGTCCAGAAACCAGGATCGATCAGACTGACCAATTCCATTCGCTTCTTGAATGTGTCCACCGACTCGTTCTGCAAATGATGGAGCATACTGCGGAATTTTTCCATTGTACGCTCACGTAATTCTTCTTTGCTAATATCATGAATATCGTTCATCTTGAACAGAGGATCCCGCTCCAGTTCAAGCAGAATACGCTCTTTTAACTAGGTGCAACGTATTATATATGTGTCAGTAGGGTGGCCATCGAGGAGCATGCCATTTGGGGCTGAGTACGTACTTCTGTGGTTTTCTGTCCACCATCGAGCAAATAGGTCATTTCGCGAACGTTGAAAGCGGCTTTGGCACGTTCTTCTCTCATGCTGGCCACCGGGCTTAACAATTGAGAGAAGGACCTAGGTGAGATGCATGATACAATATGTTTTGCTGTACTTGATATTTACTCAACAGCTTGAGCATAGGCTTGCTCGGGCGTTAACTGCTGCTTGACAGCGTCAAGTCGTTGTTGTGCTGATGACATTTTGGAATTGAATGAGAGAAAGCTGGACGATGGAATGAATCGGTGAGATCGGACTGGACAAGTCTAGTGTATTTTAAACCAATTTTTATGTCAGCTCCAACTTCCATAAGCGGTGTATCGTCGCTGACATATTATGCTTCCATTTACTAATCACATGAGGCTACTCTACTTTATTCTACTCTATCCATGTGAAATGAATAGACACTGACAATTTTTCTTTATTCTCATGCCTTTATGAAGAGCCCTGTCCCATTGTTTATTTGACCTGCAAGCAAAATGGCCGTTTTCATATGCGATTGCACAGGACACCACAGCAACCGAATACTCGGAATCTCAATTTTCTCATTTCTTGCTTGTGGTTGCACAAACGCAGAAAGATGGGGTCCCACATGCTTTTGACAAGCGATCGGGTGGGGTGCTTGGAATAGAGTCGTGACAACACAAGGTACCTTGGGCAAAAAACAGTGTCATCATCCTTCCATAAGCTTTGCAATGATGATCATCAGTCGGCCATCTTGCAAAACCTCTTCAATTATGATCTGTCACAGCAACTCGCCTCTTTTGATCTGTCTGTATTTGTAATCCCCAGTTATTCTGTGCTTCGTGACAGAACGACAGGAATTCATACGTTAGCAAACGACTAAGCATCAGAAGACATTAAAGCTGTGTGTTGGTTGGCGATATTCTCAAAAACGGTGATTTTATAACAGTAATGGAGGACAGTGCACACACGTCTTTGATTGAGTTAATGCGCATGTACCAGCTGCTTTTTTGAAACTCTGTAGCAGGTCTATTTGTTACTAATGTCATAACATTTCAAATTACTTGCCCTCGAAACTGTTGCATGGCAACCATCAAGAAAATTCGCTGCTTATATTATGTCCTCCGCTGCTTACTTCCTATTGGCCAAATCAGAGTACGGAGTCTTATTTTTCTCCAAACATGCATTCCATGGTTCCGCACAACAATTTTTGCCAACTTTAGAGGACGAACCCATGACAGCACTCATTGCTGGATCATGTCCTCGTTAACCTCTGTAAGCATAAGTAAGTCAGTCACATCCTTGCTACTGTTCTCAAACTAACTATAATTTCAGACAAGAATCAGAAACGATTCGCCCCTCAAATAAAAGACAAACCCCGTGCACGACCACGATCCACTCGAGCCGCTCCAGCCCATGGCGAGTCGCTTCCCACGTCCGCCGAGCAACAACACGAGAAAGTTGACAGCTCTGCGAAACCAACGACGATCAACTCACAGCTTGGTCCTGTCCGGGGAGATTCACCACTTCCGCATTCACCGAAAAAGCGCAAAACATCCGTAACCCTCGACAAGACCCCAGCCGAGACTGACCAAGTCGCGCATTCAGACATAGTAGCGTTGCCTGAGAACTCATCGCTTCTGCATTCGTCCAGGAAGCGTGAAGCATCTGTAATCCAAGACAATACCACAAAGGATACTCATGAAGTCGTAGCTCCTGATGCTGCTGTCTTGGCTGACGTGGAGAAATTGATCCGTGATGTGCCTCCAGCGCTTTTAGCAAGACCCGATAATGATGCTACTCTTTCGGTACCACAGCCACTGGAACCGCAGGATAAGCACGAGACCGACGATCTATTGCAGCAAAACAATCTTCAACCGAGCTTGATCGGGATGCCCTGCCAAGCAGATCAACAACAACAACATTCAGCTATTGTACCCCATCCGCAACCTACATTTGGACAAAACCAGGAGACGGCCATGGATATTCCTAATAACACAATGTCTGTTAACGAAAGCGATGAACGCCATGAAAACATCACACCAGTCGATGATAGGTGGATGAACATGATGGAGCAGACACTCAAAGCGATTGAACATGCTTCTGAGCGCAAATGGGCAAAGCTCAAGTCAACTGCTGCCACTGCTAGGGAAAAGAAAAACTTGGAACAGTATTGGATGAAGTATCAACAAGAGGAAAGGGAAAGAAAAAGAAATGAAGAAGAAGCTGAAAAAAAGGCCTTTACGTAAGTTTCATCACGTATACTAGACAGCGGGATGTGTAAATAACAAATTTGTAAAAGCAGTAGGTCGGATGCGCCCCAAGTGAAACTTGTGAATGGCGAAATTGTTCTGGACGAAGATTCTTTAGAACGGCCGATTCAAGATCCGCCGCAAACTGAAGAAGAGATTACCCCGCAGATCGTAGAAGAGAGTAGCTCGCTTTCAGCATCTGATGTCAGGAATCAATATGACCGCGTTAAAAGAAAACGATGGACTAAAGCCGAAACGGAACGATTCTATGAGGTAAATGTAGACGAATGATGTCTTTCACAAAGTAATTCAGCACTCACTGTAGCTATTTTCATTACAGGGTATTCAGATGTATGGACTGGACTTTGGCCAAATCGCTACCTTGTTTCCGGATAGGGATCAGAAATCGGTCAAGATCAAGTATTTATACGAAGAGAAATGGTTCCCATGGAAAATCAATGACTATATTTTCAGCCATTCATGAAACCGAAACACACAAATACTACCAACTCGGTAAAGGCATCATTTCGTAATGGCCACCTGCCCATTCATCACTTGTTCGCGCGACCAAAAAAAAAACTGCCGTTTATATGAAGCGAAGCGGTTTCTGAAGGAGACTGATAAGCAGTGGTTCCGTAATAACGTCGATCAAAAAAGTCGAAGTTCGTGGATCAAGAAGGGAAGAGAGATCAGCGTACGTGGATGAACGCACGAACAATGACTTTGGTTTGAAAACGGGTAGCCCTTTGGAAGTATCTTTATTCATCATTGGTGACACTGAAGTCTGTGTTTCCTTTTTTATATATATATATATATATATTATGAAAGTGGGTTTCACATGAGCTTGCTGTTTAATCAATTGTTTGTATATGCAATGACTGCTATAAATATACTATCCTTGTGCGCATAGTTTTCCTTGTCTTGTGCCTTGGCATTTTTGTTTGCTCGTATTGATGATCCTCAATTTACAAATTCGTCATAACTATACATAGCATCAAACGATTTGGTATCGGCGGAACTGTTCTTTGTGGCTGCGTCTATCTGTTCTTCGGTTTGATAGAGGCATGAGTATTCCGGTTGATGTTCTGGCATGTAGCCGGGATTGAAGCTGTAATTATACGTCTGTTCATGTAGCTCCCACACCCCACGTCGTCTCAGCGGATGATTGGCTATCAAGAACTGCTCTTTATCCATTTTGGCAGGGTCGCTCAATTGGGTGCTGTCCAACGTTACTTCCACGTAGATGGTGTAACTTCGCATATCGTTGACAATGCATCGCATCCATCCTTCGATCACCTGTGTGGCATTTACGGCCAAAGGTTCCTTGAATAAGAAACGCACTTGTTGCCAATGAGTACGATCCGCCGCCGGTCCCGTCGACATTTCGATCGTGGTGCCAGCCGCCTCGGGGTTCGGCTGGTCATACGGTGGTGGCGCAAACGTCAGATCGAACCAACCAGCTACACCATGCATCAATCCAGTGTAATTGGCTGTCCATTTGAATGGGATGGTTATATCTTGCATTTCTTTTGTAGTGATGGTAGAAAAATTGACGTCATATCGGTCAAGGAAAGTAGGTGTGGTAATCAAACTGCGAGGATCAAAGTGTCCCACTACAGGCATACCTAAGGTGCGTTCCAATTTCAATAAGTAAAAATGGGTAACTCGATATTGTGACCACAGGTCTTACCAAACATCTCATCTCGAGCATCCTTATATAAAGCCGAAAGATCGACTCCGTAGAACGATGGCTGATCCCTATTATTTTCACTTTTGAATACGTGTGTGCTCTGGCTTCAATAAACTATCCATCTTGCTTACCAGAAACGGGCCTTGGCCATGGTTTCGCTCCACAAGGTAGCATCAGTGAAAGGGGCCAAATAAATACCTCCGTGCGAAGGATAAAGAGCACCTCCGGGCTTCAGGTAATGATCGCGAGCATAGATGTAACTTTCCAACTAGTCATATTTGATTATTCATCCTGCTGTCAATGCGATAAAATCCGTGGACCAAGAGAATCATGTTTCTTACCATGCGTTCATGGAAAAGCAATACACCAATAGGCTCAGAAACGATGGTATCGACTTTTGGGATCGGCAAATCGGGATCTTCAATCTTGGCTGAGAATGACAACAATCGTTGAGCCAACCATGCATCATGTGAAAAAAATAAAGGTGTTCACGAAGCCGCTTACCATTAATCACTTCAATTTTATCCTTCAAGAACTGATTTTTTCCATTTTCTCCCGCCGCTTTGACCAGTTTTTGCATCTTCTTGGCCATCCCCGAAGCTTCCACGGCATATACCTTGTCGGCACCAGCTTGAACCGCGAAATACGAGAGAATGCCCGATCCAGCGCCTACGTCCATGACCGTTTTGCTTTGAAACGATTTGGGCGCATTCAACAGGATGGCGGAACGATAAGTGGACGTGCGTACATTATCTTGCAGCATGTTTTGCTATCCCCATTCAAAACAAGACGAGGGAATGGAGGATGGGAAGGAGCAAAATGAAGAGAAGAACCAAGGTGTCATTACGCGTCCCACGGGAATAGTCCTCTCTCTTTTACAAGCAGTACCTGGTGTTGAAGCATGGCATAATAACCGAAATACTGAGGATCGCGATGCTCCACGCCAGGAATGGCAGTCGACGACGACATGATGTTAATTAAAGACTCGACGGTAGAAGAAAGCAAACACCCTTTTTTTTTGGTTCTCGGCCCAGCGAGGAATTTTTCTTCTTTTGACAGCTCCGAGCCTTTTCAGACCCAAAGAAAACTCCGCCACTTTTTGCACAACAGTCACGGAGTGGCACGAGACAATGCAGGAAAAATGCATAATCTCAAAGAATAGACAGCAATCTCGTTCATCACGTTGTCTAGGTTATTGTGTTTCCTATTGATTCAAAAATGATACTTCTTTGCTCGAAAAAAAAAGTCATTATGTAACTCGCAAAGATGGTTCTACGCGTGCATCTTCGTACGACGCACACACACAAGGTCAGTGATCCTTACAGTAACCGTAATATATTGATGTAATAATGAGTGTGATGGAAAAGTGATGCAAAAAATGAGATCTATAAGGGTTCGAGTGGCATGAGGTATTTTCTTCTTTATACACTTTTTGAACCCAACAAATGCGGTCGCTCGTTCCAAAACGATTCACCAATGATATCCTCATGTAAAGCCACGGGAATCGCTTTAAGCCTTCGCACAATCTCACCGTTGCGAGGAGAAACAGATTCCACTTCCCGCTAGCCAGGACGTTAACGAAAAACAACCTTTTCTTCAATATTCTTGGGAGACGTACCTTTTCACGAACAATCACGGATCCTTTTTTGTAAATTGGATCCAAATTGTTGTAATTGATGCCATAGTTTGTGAAAAGCATTTCATGCTTATCCTTGGAAAATGTACCCTATGCAATTTCCACCCATCAGCTCACCCGTAAATTGCCAATTCTGTTTGTGCCCTTACCCTTAACATCTCTTCGGCTTCCGTTTCCGTTTTTCCCGAATGTACTATAGCCCAAAAGGTGGTATTATAAAGGTTGTTGATGTGACAGTCTGCTTGCCGCCAACTCAGGTAATCGCGCATATTCTTGTCGGACGGATAGCAGACCACTCGAGAATCGAAACATGGAGCATATTGAAGCCGCTGATCTCCAAAATACTCGTGCCAATGCATCACATAATTGGAAGCAAATAGACTCACAACCGTAGATGCAATTTTGCTCGCCCGTCTTGAATATAAATTACACTCCTTTGGCAGGATGAAGCTTGAATAAAAAAAGGGTGAGCCTCTGGAAAGCAAAAGGTTTAAATCAACACCCTACCTGTATTCATCACTTTGTCCATAAGCGAGTATAATGTCCTTGACATCTTTCATCACCTCAATAGCACAGCGATTCATCAAATCAATGGCCCGCCGATCATTTGGTTTAGCAAAATCGTGGGTTTGGGAAAATCTATGGACAGGCGTTTTCAGCCGGATTCCGAGTGGTCTCACATCAAACACACAATGGAGCATACCTGTGGAAGCCTCGGCCATCAATGCGGACAGCAAGCCAAGTATTGGGCAGCAAGCTGTCGTCCGTTTCAAAACGGCGTACATACTCAAATTTCGAGTTGGCCATTGGTAAAAACGAACTCAATGTATTGCTGGTCTTTTTTTTATACAGGATTTGCTTCAGCATTGATATGCAGTCACGGTAGCTTTGGACAATGGCTGTCAAAACGAGAACACTGGTCGTAACCATGATCACAGTATAGATTAACATCATCTTTTTTCGTCAGGCAAAGAGTTATCAAGAATCATGAATATTGGTTTTTTTTTTATTTCTACTTGTAGATTTATGTTACATAACTGGCGTAGGATGACAGTTTTTTTTTTTTTTTTGAATGCGAGCCGGGTACAAAGCTAAATGCGATACAGTTTAGAAAGGACGTGCAGGACGTTGAGTAAGCAAAATGTTGTATCTCTTCTTGATCGTAATGCGGTGGCGAGAGTACTTGTCGTCGGGAGAGAATCGTGCAGGATGGGCCGACTTGGTGGCATTGCCCTTGGGATCCAACTTCTACTCGTCACATCAATCAAGAGACGTTGGTTAAACAATGAAACTGGGGCGTCATTCATGACTATTCATGCTTACCTTCAAGGTATACACTCGGTTACCCTGATCGTTCAAATAGTACATCAAATACATGGTCAGAGGTAATTTTATGAATGCGAAATGACAAGGAGGACACCGTGAGGCAGGTCTTCCCAGAATTTTGATGACAATACGTGACGCTTTTTCCTCGACTGAAAGCCACTTGATTGGACACCACATTTGGCGATGTGGCACCGTTGTCGCCGTTTTAAAATGCAAATACATTTGGTAGTTCGTTTCTCGCGCTGTCGGTGCTTGCACGAGTCTTTTTTACCTCTTGTGCAAATGAAGATCCAATGCATCGACTGGCCAGGGGCTCCTCAGAACAACTTCATTCTGAAATTGAGGCAACATACCGTCTTGTTCAATTGCTCGCTGGAAAGTCTGCAGTTGAGCACGCTTTCTAGGCCGCCTCCGCCGACATCGGACTCGACCTGTAACAACTTGGAAGCGATCCTCGCGACATTTAGTGATCACGGCAAACGCGCAGCTGACACTCAATACTCACTTAACGACAATCAACTCGAGAGCTGTGACAGTCGAAGCATATTTCGAACGGCGGACTTTGGCTTGGTTGATGTACGCGATATCGATATGGTCCTCATATCCAATTATGAGTTGATGCTCGGCTTACCCTACCTGACCGAATATTTGGGGTACAATGGCAAAATTATTGCCACAGAGCCAACCATTGAATTTGCAAGGTAGGTTTTACGGCGAGGCCTGAATATAGGTAATGCTCACGTTTATTCATTGGAATCGATAAAAAAAAAAAAAGACAGCGCATGGAAGAAATGGTCGCGTATCATCAAACGTCCGTCTCGGTTGTCGACCCGTCATCCTCGCTTCACTTTTCTCAACTGGGAAACCTCGCCTCCACATTACCCACGGAAGGATGGCGGTCCCTGTATACCAAAAAAGACATAGTCACATGCATAGAAAAGATCCAAGCGGTGCGATATGAAGAATCACTGGTACGTCTGCGGCAATACTTTCACTAAAACAGAATAAGCAACTCGGACACGGCATTCGAAAAAAAAAAAAAAATTCATGCATTTCTCCAGTCGTTATTCTCTACCTTGCGTCTGGTGGCCTACAGTTCCGGTTATTGTTTAGGCAGTGCCAACTGGTTACTGGAAACCGGCTTCAAAAAGGTCGCCTTTCTGTCTTCTACATCTACCGTTGCCAATCGTCACCCCGCACCGTTGGATCCTGCTATCATCGAATCGGCTGATGTCATTATTCTCAGCGACTTGAAAAAATCATCCACAGTGAAAGAAAAAACGTACGAGCAGGAAATGCACGGCGCATTAACGAATATGGGTAACATTTTTGGAAAGAGAAAAGACTCGTGACATTCAGGGCAAGATGGTTAATTTTGGTTTTTCAGCCATGGCATTATCAAATGGGCATAATGCTATTTTTTGCATGCCTACCATGGGTCCTCTATTCGATGTCATTGACGCAGCCTACCATTATTTGCGGTCCATAGGAAAAGAAATTGGAAAAGAACCTTATCAGGTCCCGGTATACGTCGTAAGCCCCATCGCCTACCGAAGTTTACAATACGCGAATATTTGCGGCGAATGGTAAACCTTACACAACTGATTCCCAATGATATAGTCAATGTAACGTGAGAGATGTGGAAATACAGGATGAATGCCGAACGTCAAAATATGCTCTATGAGCCACAAATGCCGCTGATCCACGGCCCGTTGTTGAAAAGCGGTGCATTGCAGACGATCCATTCCATGGTCGCTGGGGGTATGTCTGATAACATTCGCGAACCGTGCATCGTGTTCACCGGCGATTCCACCTGTATCAGCAAAGGATCGATTCAATGGTTCTTGCGACACTGGGGATCCAAAGAACAGAACGCTTGCATCTTTACTGGTAAAATTAGTCAATGACGGATTGGAAAGCAATACTTTGTGTGTGAACTCATCTCTTTGGACATTTTTGCACAGATCCTGAAGCTTCCCAAGCGCTTCAGCGAGATATACCTGCCAACTGCCGTATGCGACTTCTCTGGACCCCGTTGAATGCCCGTCTTTTATTATCAGAGATGTCAACCCTGCTACAAACCCACTGGCAATATACCAATGACAGTGCTAAGCACATCCTTGTTCCCAGTCATCCCAATGTGGACCCGTTTAAGGAGTATTGGCAACATAACAATGTCAACGTCCACGTCTACGAAGCAGGAGATATTGTAGGAATTGAGCTACATCGGCAGTGGGAAAGAATTTCCATCTCGGAACAGGTAAGCTTTAACGATGAACTAGTAACTGTCTTTTTGCCTGCTGCTATATTGACATGGACTTGTCGAAACTTGACTTGTTTAGTTAGCAAATACCATATGTACTGATCGTGTACACACCTCTGGAGAGGATAACGTTACTTACATGCCGGTGACGGGGTTACTACAAATGTATAATCATCGTCTGGAACTCCATCCATTGACCTCTTTACGGGATAACTTGAACCTCCGGATTCATCAACGGCGTTACTGGGATCAAGCGGATCTTCATACATTGATGCACCGACTGAACATGGTATAGTTCTGCTTCTTATTTAAATAAGGAAAAAATCGAACTAAAAAAAAACTAAAATTGGCTTGCATAGATTGGCATACCATCCTCATCGATGCGCCTGTCAACAGACAGTCAGGAACGTGTCTTGATCACTTTACCGCCGGATATGAATGCTTCCATTCTCATTGATAAGGATCAAACCATTGTCAAAGCGGTTGATGAATCCATACGAACGCGACTGCGCGATGCCATCGTCAATACACACTATTGAATATTTTTGATAACATATGCCATGCCACTAAAAAAGGCAATTCATCCTCTCTACCACCTAAAATCGCACACTCTTCCATTTCAGCATCTTCAACTATTTTCTTACAATAAAACTGTTTCCATTGTCCGTCTATTGAAGCTTGTTATTTTTTTAATCTCGAGAATTAGGGTTCTAATCTTTCCTCTCTCCTTTTCTCCTTTTTTTTTGGCCTTGCCTTTTTTTTTTCTTTCCCTCTCTTCTTTTTTTTATCCTTGATCATCTTTCTTTTTTGTTTTTTCTGTGCGAGGAAAGGAAAAAAAGTGTGACTTGAAGCTTCATATTTTACATGAGCCGAATATGACGAAAGCCGACATTGTAAGGAACCTTTTCAACACACATGCTGGATCTTCCCACCTACTTATCTGATTGCCTTTTCTGGTTTATTTTCTTTCGATTTGTTTCAATGCGGGATGATCCCGTTTCGCATTAGCCTACGAAAGATACGACGAATCCAAGGCCCATGGTCGCCAATAAACTACAAAGTAATCCATTTGTCGCCAAAGATGCTGCTGCCAAAGCCAATGCACCTAGGCCAGCCACTCTAAAACCAACGTCGCCGCCGAAGAAGAAGCTGACGGTTCGCAACGCCTCGCAGGACGAATCACGAACTCCAGTTAAAGAGATACGAAAAGTATCCAAGATCCCGGTTCAAAATGTCAAGACAAGCCAGTTGAACAAAGAAACCTGTCGTGGCCTGATGCCTGCGAAAACAATCGCTAAAAAAGCAGCGTCGCCGCCACCACCGTCGCCTGACAAGAAAGACGTGCCCGCTGCGCGGACGTCGCCCACCAAGATAAAACAAGCATCCACTCCGACCGATCATGGACGAGCAATCTCACCCAAAACTCAATCCTCATCTTGTGAAAATTCCTCCTTGAACAAACCTGCTACCTCGTCCAGTCATACGACAAGCCCTAAATCACCCGTCAAACGCGCAGAACCATTGACGAAAAAGACAACGGAGAATCAGGGGAAATCACTCATGGCTCCTAAAAGAGATGACTCACCCCTGAAATCACAGGGAGCATGGACCGCATCCAAGGTTGGACTCGCAACGAAACCCACTCGGCGATCTTCTCGTCCCGGCTCCACAGTCAAACCATCCAAGGCGCCCTCCTCTGTGACTTCCAGCGCGCATCTAAGCGTAGACGAACCGCTTCCAAAACCTCCTTCCAGTATAGCAAGCATTAAAGACAATAGTACCGTCAACGGTAATGATTCGGTTTCTCATCCATATGCCAAGGAACCCACTTTCGATCATATGCCTGGGGTGGGACCAATCAATTATACCAGCATGATCCAGCAATTATCTTTCTCGTATGCAGTCATGGTAGCGTCTCATTACCCTACAGTGTCCATCGATGAAGCTGAATTACTGAAAGAGGTAAGTTAACCCGCACCATTCAATCGAAGAAAAAAGGGTTCAACTTGTCTCAAAAAAGAAAAAAAAAAGTCAAAGAAAAATAATGACTTACTCAAGGCTAGCAATACGAACATGCGCGATCCATGTTGGCCAGGTTACGAACAAGGATACGTTTCGAAACGAGTATTCAGCGCGGCACAACCACTGTATTAAAATGCGCCATGGCCGATGAAGTATATCTCGAGGAGCTGCGTAGCAACAGTGTTCACATTGAACAGTTGGTGGACGAGTTGTACTATGGTTTTGAGCGTGCCAACGAGTTGCAAGCGCAATATCTGCAGCATGTGGCGGGGACACTGTCTAGTACGCCAACGACGTTGCCTGAACCTCACCATGGTGACCAACGGCTGAAACCCGACTATGATCATTTACTGGCGCGGCTTCAAAGTATCACGCAAAAATATGTAAAGGTGCCGCCGTGCGGTAGCTACGGAGGAATTACCAAAGCAGGCGCTCGAATGAATAGTGTGAGTGACGATGGCAGCATTTCAGGAGATTCGGTGTTTTCAAAGTCGGTGCGCACGAGTGTCACCAGCATGGATGCTGAGCTGTATTATCACGGCCTAGCCACCCACGACCATCTTCTTGATATGATTGAAAAGCGGTTGGCGGAAAGTCGACTCGTGTCTGAAGGAAGCGCGCGACATCAGGAAGTGCAGACGGTGGCGTTGCCCTTGACGGTAAATGACGATAAAAAGCAAGTGGACAAGTGGCAAAAGAACGAGGCGTCTATCGTTGCCAAGTGCACTCAAGTGTTGAACAAAGATGAACCAGCAGCTCTCAGCGCTATTCAAGCGGTCGACCAGTTAATTGAGCGCGTGATGCAATGGCGAGAAAATTACGACCAACAATTGGACGAGCTGCGGCAGCAAACTCAGCGGGATACCGAGACGATCTCGAAGTGTGAGCAAACCATTCGAACGCAGCAAGAACAAATAGTGCAACTGAAGCAAACGTGCAGCGACTTGCGTGCCGAGCGCGCAGAGTACGAAAGCAAGTATTTGCGTTTGGAAGAAATGCAGAACAACTCTGTTTCATTACTTGAGAAGCAACTCCAAGAAATGAAGACCGACTGTGCGGTTAAGGGTCAAGAACTGTTAAAACTGAACGGCTTTCTCAAGGATGCACAAGAGCAGTTCACCCTTCGCGAGTCCGCGTTCTTGTTGCAGGCAGCAAGTTTAGAGGCGGAATTGGGAAACGTGTTAAAGGAGTACGATCGTGTCACGCGAAACATCACCGATTTCAATGCGGAACGACATAAATATCAACAGCAATTGTTGACCGTGACGCACGAGAACCGGCATTTAGACAAATTATTGGCGGACGAAAGGTTGAAACATGTGGCCAAGGATGGTCACAGCATGACGTTACGAAAAGAATTCCGGCAGCTTATGGCCAGTGCCAAGGTCGAGCATCAACGAGCCCTGGAACGCGAGTTGCTCCAACGACAACAACTGGAAAGAGACTTATGGGAAATCCGACGTGAGCTGGACGGCAAACAGTGGGAACGAATTCATCAAGGCGTGCAAACCCATTACGTTATCACTTAGTTTTATGTTTAAAAAAATACTTTTTAATATTCTTTAACCTAGTGTTCTATATTTATTTAAAGCCTCCATGATCTGTAATAAGTAGTTTCTCATCCCTATTAGCAGATGAGAATTTTGTAAATGATTAAAAACTCTCTGAAATCCAGCATATAAAACGTGTCCGGTATAGGAAAATGAGCATGATAAGCTCATCGGGTAGATCTATACTTCTCTTCGTCACTTGGCCTCGTGTCAGACTCCAAGTTTTCCTTCTCAAGTCGTTGCATGGACCCTGCGGCCTCCGTAGACCAGACTCTTACCTTGTACACCATTCCCGCTAAACTTCGTATTGAACATTCTAGTTATACGGTGATACATTTTCCAATCCAACCACACTAATGTTATAATATTTCCTGCAAGTATAAATTTGGGCTGCACAATTTACGCGTTCTTCTCACATTTTTTATTCTTCATAATGTTGATGAGATCTTTTTCGCAGTGAGCGACCTCAATTTAATTCCTATAGAATTTTATTGGTCATGATTCAATGGATCTTACAGCCCTTCTATATTTCTCTTCGTTTGTCATTTTAGTGTGCTTTGTTCACTTTATCCTCCCTCAGCCAGTTGCCTTTTTTTATTTTTTATTTGACAGAATCTATTACTTTCCCTCTCGCTTGGTTGATTGAAAAACCAAATGCTAAAATTCCAGAGAACTTCAGATTGGCACGGTAAAGCTACACAAATGCGTAGTTGGTGGATAAAACCCGGTAGTTGTGCTTGATAATCCTTTGAGCTTTCTTTTTTTTTTTCTGTTTTCTGTTACCAATGGATATTAAAAATATCTTTAGCAATAAAGACAAAGTATGAAAGTGTTTAACCTGTTCTGTGATGAAAATATTCAAAAAGAATGAATTTCTTATATTCCCAAATGGTTTTGCAATAGAACCTTGTCCCCAAGATCCAAGGGCGAGCAATTGTCCGCAACGGACGTGTGTTCAGTCACCCTTTCAATAAAAAAATCTTTTACTAATTTTTTTCTTCAATTCGTCGGCAACACCCGCCCCTAATAAAAGAAAAGCCTTTATTTTACTTTCAAAAATAAAAAACTAAGAATAAAAAAAAAACCCAAGACCTTTAGTGAAAAAAAAGCAAAAGGTAATTGCCGTGACCTGGAATCGAACCAGGGTCAGCGCGGCCACAACGCGATGTACTGCCACTATACTATCACGGCTTCCATATTTAGTATCTGAGGTGAACATAGATACTAAAAATAAAACATATGTGATGACGTCAGTACACGTGATCAGTTATGGTTTACGAGCCAATGGAATGCTCGGATGTAGGACGCGGTCTTTTTTTTTGTTTTTGCTGCGCGTTGGATGAATTCTCTTTTATTTTTATAAAATGGAAGAAGAGAAACAGTGTGCATTCAATTATGAATGTATGCATATTATAATGGCTTTTTTATTCTTTTATACAAAATGTGTCTGTTAATGCATCGGGATGATTGAATAAAAAAGGAACGAGTTTGGAATGGACAAAAAAAAAAAAAGGAATGACTGCTATGATTTTAATCGGTATCATCAAAAACAATCTTCTTGTTGGCCCCGCCTTGCCCACTTAATGCCTTGGCCATCATTTCTTGCTGCTGTCGTTTCGCTTGCCAGGAAGGATGGAAAGTTTCCATGTCTTCGGCCATTATCTGTGGTTTCTGCGACTTATTCTTCACCTGTTGTTTCGCCTTTTCTTCTCTGGCTTTTTGATCCTTTTCTCTTTCTGCTTGCACATGTTTTGCTTTGTCGCCATACATCTCCTCCCATTTCCTACGCCGAAATTAGTATCGATCCAACAGCATATCAATCCCGTTTTTGTCCACTTACTGTCGTCGTGCTCGTTGACCGGGTCTGTTTTTCTTTTCTATGCCCTTATAATACTTGTCGAAATCCGGATCAACCCAATCCGTTGAACGTGGATTGTCTTTCTTGGCACGTTTCTTGCCGGCTTCATCCCCACTGCTGTTGGCTGTACCTTGCAAAGAGCTTACAAACATAGACGGATCGCCACTTTGTCTGTCTTTGCGCTTCTCCCCTGTGGATGCTGATCCTTCCTTTTGCTGAGTTTCCTTTCGCCCATCTTTGGCCGGTTTCGCAGGACGCCCGATAATGATCGCCTCCATCTCCTGCAACAGTTTCGCAATATCTTGCTGCACTAGCTTGGATGCCAGCAATCGCGTCTCTGCATTTTCCTTCAATCGCGCCATATCCGATGGTGGTAGCTTTGAATCCAGAGGAGCGGTCAAAGTCTGGTCTTTCTCGGTCATTGGTGAGTCAGTATCGGCCTGAACGGCCTTCACTTGGTCACTAGAATTTCCTTCCTCCGCTACATTTGCTTTCTCCGTTGCATTTGTTTCCTTTTCAGATGCGTTCGTTTCCCCAGGTGATTTTTGTTCGGAGAAGAGCAATGCCACCAACTCGTGATGCTTTAACGTTCGATGTTTCAATATTTTGCTGCGCAATGTTTTTTCGGCCAGCACGTCCAGATCGATACCCTAACATATTATTTAGGACCCTCTCCCTGATTTTTTTTTGAAAGCCAAATCCCGTAATTACCTTTGATGCCTCCAAATCCTTTTCTATTTTCTTGATATGCTCGGCTGTGATCGGACGCTTCTTTGCTGCTGTGGTATCATTTTCTGAGGTTTTTTCGTTTTCTTCAGTATCTGCACTTGTTGATCTTTGTCAAAAAAAAAGCCATGAACTGAGTGAACATTCTATGGAAACAGTTTGACAGTTCCACAACTCACGGCTCCTTTTCCAGACTTTTCTGAGCGTCACGTAGTTTCTTCTGCAGTTTTAGTGCATCGGTCGCTTTACTCTTTTTCAACTGGCTTCGCAATTCCTTTCGAGCTTGATGCTACACATCGCGAGTGAGATTTTCAATGGAGAACCGCCCACCATTGCTTATTGAATCCGTCACAATGTTTACCAGTTTTGCTTGCAATTTTCGAAGTCGCATCTCCTTGAGCTCGTTTTCGAGATCAGCCTTGTTGGCTCGTTTGTCTTGAGCTGAAGCTTTGTTCTTTTGCGATTTCCTGGCCGATGCCGCGGCCTTTGCAGAGTCAAAACGCGCATCTTGACCAATCTGTCACGTTGAAATGCGAATCAAAAAGAGTAATGAATCAGCAAGTGCACGTTGAGAACCCCGTACGAGTGGATCTTACCTGAGCAGCCAGATAATCAATTTTCCACAAGAGATTCTCTTTGGATCCTCGTTCTTTTTTATGTGCCTATAAAAACTATCAGGATAGCATTCAAAGAGTTGACTGAGCTTTACTAGTCTTACCATGCTGTCAATCAATCCCAACTGATCTGGGAAAAAAGGGAAAAGACTGTGTAAACTTTTTTTGAAGACAAGAATTTTACGTTTTCCGACTCCGACATCCGACCCACCTGGGCGTTTGCAAGTAACTCCCCTCAATGTTCGACTCGAGAAATTTACATGGATATAGAAGCTTTAACAAGCCGTACACCCGCTGTGCAATGGATGCCGCCTGCCACCGGAGGTCGCCCTCTTACATTGAGCGACTTTCGTCAGACAAAAAGCCTAACGCATACACGCATAACCTGGGCGAGAAGTCTTGACGGACTTTGGTATATTAATGACAACCTTATGGAAATCATATATTTTTGTCTTCAATTTTATCTTTTTTCTTTTGATTTTCTCTCTCTCGGTATCATTGTATCAAAAGATCCCATCCGCATCCATCATCCAGACCATTCTTTTCCCGTGTACCTAACTTGGTTAAATCGACTACCATCCTCAAAAAGGTAAGCCCTCGAGTGGTCTACCATCGATTTTGCTCCGGCAAAACAGACTTACCTCTCCTTTGGATTGCTTCTCATGATATGGTATTCGAGATGTCTTCCCGATTATTGTATTTGTATTTTATATTTCATGTACATATTCTTTTCGCAGTCTTTTCCTCTTTTTTTCCCACAGGGTTTTTTATGAGGTTTTTACTGACGCGACCATTGTTTTTTTATCATCATATACTTTATTTGTTTCTTTCTTTTTTATTCGGGGGACTCTCGATATCTGGAATCCAGCTCGAAATTACCGACACTTCTGGCCACATCAATATTTTTTGCCTGCTCAAGCTGACACCACCGATCCATCGCTTAACTGTCCCTGGAAGCAATTTTTATTTTCCGCATCGAAGAAGAAGCTTACCTGGCGGTCCGTATTCATCGTTTTTTTTTTTTCCGGTTCACCATTTGGTTCAAAGGCAAGTCCAATTTCTTTTCCTTTGCTATGAAAATTTGAATCAATCAAAGAGCTTACTAACTCATTTTTTTAAATACCCAACATACCCACACATCTTTCTAGATCGATCATAGCCTGGGCGGGATGGAACTGAGGGGTTCAATCAGTGCTGCCTTGCGCGTGTTCAGAAACAAATCACGACGTAAGGGATGCCATAAGGTTGTCATTAATATACCAGAGTCCGTCAAGAGTTCTCGCCCAGGTTATGCCGTGTATGCGTTAGGCTTTTTATCTGACGAAAGTCGCTCAATGTAAGAGGGCGACCTCCGGTGGCAGGCGGCATCCATTGCACAGCGGGTGTACGGCTTGTTAATAAGTTATTACGAATAGTCTATATTAGTTTTTAGAAAGAAAAGAATATTATACACTATACTATACATAGAATTGTCAAAATTGGATGGGAAGGAAGCACTAGGTGATCGTATGACTGTCGACTGACAAGTGGGAGGAGGTTGCACCATTCTTCTTCAACGAATGTAGAAATTTGTGAAGGGTGCGCGATTTGTAAAGCACCAGCTGATCTTCGGTTAGATATTTACGGAAGTCGCCTTCCATGTATAGTGCTTGCTGTCCCAAGGGTGCAAATAGTGCCACGTCGATCTCTCGATCTTTTCTGGGGATCAAACGATAGATAAATGAACTTTCATAGCTGTCATAATATAAAAAGGCCCCTCCGCCACATATTTCATCAATGGGCTGTCTATAAATGAATACGTCACATGGATAACTTCATTACTATTTGGAACGATTGGATAAAGTGCGTACTTGAATTTGAACCCGCGTTCCTCGGCCTTGGTCATCATCCAGCGAAGAGCATGATTGGCGAGCAGACTCGAGATTTCCTGACCCCCAACGTCGGAATGCATACCGGGAAACCATACTTGCTCCAGCTCTTGTCCATCCATTTGCTTGGAAGTGAAGCGCATCAAGGTCGGTTCAAACCACGCTCGTTGGTCGTGGATGGAAAGCGCATGGAAAGCGGATTTGACAATGGGTGAAATTTTGGTATCGTGAAAATTGTTGAGACCGTGAAACAAGTTCCAGACTAATGAAAGAGAGAAAACATGAAGGGAATCAGGCACATATATTGATATCTAGAGCTTATGTGAGCACCGTACATAACGATCCACCCATATACCACGGCAATCGTGGTACGCCAAGCGTGCCCACCGTATCGAAGCAACCCAAAAAACGAATTTTTGGGTCCATACAATTGTATCGAGTACGAAATTTCAATGCGGCGGCAGATTTAGGTCCAGAGTCGCCATCTCGATTACGGTACAAGCGATACGCGACGCTGATTTGCTCCGGAGCATGTTTGCAAGGCAATAAACCAACATTATAAATCATGCCCGCTAAACTTCGGGCAGCGTAGGCTGTCAAGAAACAACTTGTCAATCAATCAAGCACGGCCCACCGGTGTCTGTTTCACTCACCTCCTCGGCTGTAACCAATAATCCAGATCTCGTCGTTTTCATCTCGATAATTTTCGCTGAGAAAAACATAGGCATCAATGATCTGTTGACTGATGCCTAGACCAAAGATGCCACTAAATTGCTTGAATGTGGTGGTGCCGACTCCGGGAAAATATCTCGCCACCTGAAGCCACATTTCTTTGCCTCTGTCGTCTTCGCTGACAATTGGTCGGGATATGAGCACGTTTTCATACCATTTGTAAATGTTGGTTCTAGCTGTAATGACAGAAATGAAAGGATTACAAGTTGAACAATAATTAAGTATTCGATGTGTGAAGACAGTAGCGGGCAGAAATTGATGTACCTGATGGCGTTTCCCAAGTGCCATCCATACAAGCGATAATGCGTCGACGAACAGGAGGAGGAGTTGGGGTCATGTGAAAAAATAGGAAAAATGAAGGAAAAAGATATGGTTGCGAGGTCATTTACATGTCCAAGGAATTGCTTTTATACGATGATGCAACATGATCGATCCAAGATGGAAAGAAAAAAAAATCTGTAATCTAATTAAACGTCAAGCATGAAGCGTTCAGCGTCAGCGATCATGGAAAGCGGTGGGTGACCATGGACGATGAAGATGACCAGGAACATTCGCGAATCATGTGTCGACAAAATTAACAAGGAATGATTTCATGCAATGAACGCACTGCCCATATTGCGCGATCGCAGCTTGAATATCATGATCATTCATTGCTACATGTGCAATCACTGTGAAGCCATTGGATGGTCAGACCAGACACATAGAAAGGAATATGCTAAAATTTTCCAGATCTGAGCATTAAAAACCTGTTTTATCTTTTGGTCCGCTGATAGTAACCAGTAAATTATTATTTTTTTCTTACAAGAACAGAAAATACATCAATGCAAGCAGGTTTGATCCATTCGTCGCATTTTCACGGGTATGTACTTCATGCAAGTTGGCTAGAGAAGCGCCATTGGTGTCACATTTCCCTTTATCCACCATGCTATTTTTTGATTTTATGCATAAAGTGCGACATGGCTATTTTATGCACTCCAAATTTATGATATTCGTTGCTTACAGTAGGTTCCCATTACATAATAAAACTCATTAACTATAAAACGTGCGTTAATTTGTATCTCTGCGATTGCTGGATTAAACTTTTCGAGATATAGATTTGCCTCTGTTGAAAACGGTCGGTCTCCGAATAAAAAATGACCGTTTTTTGTTCGGTCAGGCCATCATGCTATACTGTCAGACACGCAAAAGTAATATAAAACACACATCAACGATGGTGGTGTTTTTGGAATACAATGAAAGAGCACATTGCTTGCTTTTTGCTTTGTGATACCATTATTCACCAGCCTAATTGCGTACTTCTGTAATGCTGTGCTTTAGCATTTTATTTATCGATCAATTTTTGATACAAGTCATGACTTATATAACAAGGGACAAGAAATTGCAGGCTTGCAGCACCTGCTTCCATTTCAGTAGTGCTCATTGAGATGTGCTAGTGCCTTTCTAGTTACTGAAAGGATATGTAGTGACGCTAATCAGGGAAACGTATAATATTGTAGTCGAAACACCGAGAAGTAAATCGTCAATCAACAAATCTTGGAAGTCATTGAAACCCTAATGCGATCATTGTCACTGTTTTGGTATCCAGTGCATTGTTGATGATTGCACAAAAAGTCGCCTAATAGGAATGAAGAGTATTCTCGAGATAAAGTTTCTCGTATTCAATCAACAACGGAACAACCAAATAAATCATCGGCGTCAGCTGGATCATTGACCTGATTTGTTGGGGTTCCTTTTTTGGTGCGCAGTTTTCCAACTCATATGACATGTCCAATGGTTTGCCATCAGCATAACATTAATGGAGAATGTACGTGTTTTTATTTTTATTTTATTTTTTAGAATGTAAGTAATGAATGAATGGAGCAATATTAGCTTATTGTGACCATTCTTTGGCTTGATTCAAATCGAGAGATGGATAAAAGATCACGGCCGTAATCTTCAGGTATTTCCCTTTTCACATTATGCCCTCTGTAAATCTATAGTTATATCGTATCATCAGATGATAAACAGGCGGGTCCTTTTCTGACCAGCTATCAACGAAGTGCTTCCTGTGTTTACAAGAATCTTTAATCTCATGTAATAAACTTCGCTGTTTGAGCATATGTTGATTTGCAACTGTCTTTTGCTTCGGTTTTTCTTGGTTAGGGGCTGCTTGGTAATGGGTCAGGACAAGACGCCGGCTCATATTTTCGTAATTTGGGTTATACAGCATCTATTCTTTGAAAAAACCTGCCACGTTGCAGGCAGACTTCCTTTCAACGTGAGGTTATACGATGTCGGATGGGATTGGGTTGCGGAGATTAAGCTCGCAGGGTTCCACCATAATAAGCAATGAAGTCTGTTCTGCAGGGCTTCTCTTTTTTTTTTTTTTCAGATGATGGTTGGATCCAGTGGCAAATTTAAGCTTTGGTCAATGTGATCTGTTTGCATCATGTCCGACAATGCAGAATTTTTGGGCACATTTTGAGGAGGATAACTTCACGTGATAAAAAAATTTGCTCACTGTGCGGATCAATCCATTGTGGTCTTTTTTTTTTCCCTTTTCCCAGCAGTGGCAGGCATGTGGTTGTCAGATGGGCAAAGTAAGTGATGCCATAGGGATGAGGTGCCTGACCATATACTCATCTTTTTTTTTGTTGCAGAAATTGGTGTGGGCTTAACTGCCCTTGGCGTGCTTTTCATGTTCATGGGCGTTTTGACCTTCTTCGACGCGGGGTTACTGGCGATGGGTAATGTAAGTATAAACTTGTTGCTGCTTTCTGTGGATAGCTCTCCAACTGAATTAGACTTTCTAGATATTGTTTCTTTCAGGTATCACATTAACTATCGGTATCCAAAAGACGGTCGCGTTTTTCGCACAACGAAACAAGATACGTGGCACCATATGCTTTCTGGGTGGGATCCTACTCGTCTTTATCAAATGGCCGCTGTTTGGCATTATTATTGAAGTCTTTGGTATTCTCAATCTATTTGGGTAAAGTGTTCCAGCTATTTTTCATTGACACTGGGTTTATCATTTTTGGAAAACGGGTGATGGATGGTTTGAAGCTCACTTTTCTTTTTACAGAGACTTTTTCCCGCTTATATTTTCATTTTTACGGCGTCTGCCCGTCATTGGATCTATCCTCAACCGCCCGGCATTGAACAATGTAAGCTTTTCATTTATCAATTGAAAATGGCCAGCAGTCAACTCAGCGTCCATATCCATAGTTCTTTGACCGATTTTCATCCTCCTCCTCCTTGCCCGTCTGAAGCGTGTACGACATCATGACATACTATATAGAAATCCAAGATCAATAGAAAAAGAGAAAAAGCAGCAAAAACTAAACTTGTCAAGTTATCGATTGTGGGAAAAACGAGCGTCGGATATGATTTTACATATTGTTTCATTCTACAAAAAAAAAAGGACTCTACCAGTCTTTGCATTTTCTCCACTAGTGGTCATATGAGTGAGGTGGCTGTGCGGTGGCCGTGGAATAGCCATTGGCTACAGGCGGTTGGGCCAACGGGGAAGGATGACTCGATGTACTTTCGGGTAACATATAGTTTGCTTCTTCTCGGTTGTGGCCGCCATAATAGTAAGGCGAATTACCATTATTATAGTAGTAAGACGGGGTTGAAGGCGCCGTGGGGGAATCGTAACCTCCGGTATAGACTGGCTGCATCGGATATTGATTCTTTTCGTAATAGTTATCTTTGGCAGCGTAATTGGCATAGTAATCGTAGTCAGGTTCATGGGCTTTGGAAGATGGATAATTTGCCATGGCAACCGGTGATTCTGGACGATAGATCTCTGCTTTGGGAGGCACGGGCGAGGATGTCACTGCCATGGGAACATCGAGTTTGTAGTCGTATCCATCGTAATCACTTTCATATATATCTGAGCTAGATTGCACGAATGTGTAAATAGCGAGCAAAAGCCACAGGAAGGCCGTTACGATGGAGGCAAGCCATAATCCATTAGATAACCCTAAGCAAATGTGAGAAAAAAAAGGGTCGGATGAGGCTGATCATAAGTAGTGAAGACTACTGTACTTACAGCAACGATAGAATGAGTCGGTACCCGATCCATAGAAGGAGCAGTAATCGGCATAACCTCTGTAAGGGCCTCTTCCGGGATCTTTCTCCTTGCCGTCGGTCCATGGAACAACGCCGGCTTGCAACGTGTTATACACAACGACGGCAATCATCAAAATTAAATTAATGACGCTCAAGATGCGATCGCCTCGAATATTTTTGATGGTGGAGATACTGACGAATATGAGCGCAATTGAGCATATAATGGAAAAACCCGGTCCTACAAAGTACAGGATGTACTGATGATTTTTTTTTAAAGTTGGGATGAATGATCCCTTTTATAGAAGCAGATCAAGCGAATGAAATGCTTATTTTCATGTTTTACTTACAGGCACGTAGTGTGGCCACCAAGGACCGGCACGATGTTGGTCATCTTGCGAGTATTTGACCAGGAACAAGATCTGAGCTATCGAGATAATGACCACCAACAGAAGAATGAGTGGGTTTGATTGTCGACATGGTGGAATGATCTTCCTTACCAATATGGCAGGCTAAAGCGGCCAAGCTAAAAATAAAGAGACTGACTCGAAGCAAGATCAGCCAAAACGCTCGAAGACGCATAGTGGTGGGTTGGCGAGACTCTGAGAAATCAGAAGGAAAGACCGAGAAAGGGGAAAAATGCAGCTCACGCAAATAGCGTAACAGAAAATGAGAATAGGTTGCCTTAAATCAGAAAATCTTATTGGATTCACCATCTCATCCAGTACGACACTCCATGCTACTATTACTAACTGGCTACTTTTTGTAAAGTGGCCTCTTTTTTTTTTAGTTTCTTCCATGTCAATGCGTCCCCTTCACAGCGCATCTATCGCTCTCTCTCATTGAATACCTTGTTAATGAGAAATAAATGAATGCGAAAACGAAAAAAGATTCCAGATCGCTTTGTAACACCATCAATGTAACACGTACAGCCAATGGAAGAGTAGCTCATTACAGTATTATTCCACTAAGAGATATTGAAGTCACATTCACAGGAAATACGAACAAAATGGGGTAGACATGAGAGTTTGTTCCAATGGAACGAACCGTACCCAAAAATAAACCAGTCAAACCAATTTTCAAATATGTGCTCTTTATTTTCATATGAATCCAAGATCTTGGCGTCGTCACGTCCTGGAGGTGGCAGTCAGAGACCGCTCGTTTTGCTTCACGTGATAATAGCCCATTCACCCACGTATTCTATAGGAGGGCCAAATTCTCAATTAATTATGAAACAAAACCATGGATCGTTATTAGCTTCAGCATCACGACGAATCATACCAGCGGTGATAGTTTTAATAATATGTAGTGGTTCCTTCAGAGGATATGCGGCATTTCCCGGTCTTTACGCCATAGAAAAATATTTGGAGAAAAAAATTTAGAGAAAAGCAAAAGGGCAGTTTAGAAAACCACAGCATTTCCATAGTTCATAAAGAAAGCATGAATAATAATATCGAAGAATACATGCCAATGAAGACTCCGCTCTGCAAGTCGGTATAGTATCCCAGATTCGCCATCATGTTTCGTAGAGCAATTGCTAGTCCACTTCATCAACTACTTGCTCCTCGCTTAACAACCTCAAGTATTCGATGTAACCGTGAAAATTATGCAGATTGAAAACCTTGAAACATCGGGGATTCACATGAAAAAGCACAAGACAGTATTCCAAAAAACTTTGGAATTCAATGCTCTGTAAGAATTGACGCTGATAACTCTGAAATAGGATACACCACACACGTCAAGAACACAATAAAACTAGGATACGATCGCATCAAGAAGCGTGCTCCGTATTGAACGGCAAACTGAGGGATCAGGATCATCGCTTTTTTCTATGGAAGGAATAGTTAACATTTGATTTATCTTGAGCGAAGCGTCACATTGTTATTTTAATGGGAAATTGGAACAAGAAAAAAATCTGGAGACTTTGCCCGCTTTGAAACGAAATAAAAAAAAAGTCATGCAAGTTTTGGTTTTTTTTTTGAATTTCCCGTTCCGTGAAAACAAGCCCTATCAAAATTATAACCAGCCGGTGAACATTTCTCTATGCTCCAACTGGTCCATCTTCCTTGTTCCACTTTTTTGACACACCAAAATGATAAATTCACTTAGTCTCAATTACTCAATAGACTATAATGAAAGCCTTTGCAATTAATAACGGCAATACTATTTCAATACCTCGGCGAAAATTCTTGAGCTAATATTTTTTTTTATCCAGTCAGTCAGATAGTTTCAGAGGTTTCAGTTTCGAGTACCAATGCTGCATAAATAGGACGACTCAATTTTTTCGGCGTGCTTTTTCACCTAATACTTTTTCTTTACCTTAGAATTTATCTAATGAGTCTAAAATACGGTTACGAACTTGGTAAGCTGTGGGGATTCTGTTGCAAGACAAACAATCGACAAGTATATACTTATCATTTCCTATTAGATGAAAATGCAGGTGATCAGCTTGGCCATCTCGTTGTTCCACCTCTCTTGAAGGAAAAAATCACCCTTTCCGGTATCAACAACACAAACCGATGGGTGTTTTACGGAACTCGACCAGAAATTCTAGAATGGTTCCGCCAACATACAAACATTGAATTTGAAAATACAATGTTTACGGGAGGTCAACCCGAAACGTTCAAGACAGACGCAGAGTTGGTGATTGATCTGATGTACTACAAGGACCCGGAACAATCCACGGTGCAATACTTGAAGTCATTTGTGGTCACTGATTATGAGAACGAGCGTGTCAAGGTGGAAGTCCGACCAAGGGTTGACAGTCGAGATCAAGCTATCCAGACACTGTGTCGAGTGATCGTGCGGAGTGGTGTGAAAGCAGGCGATATTGTCGCTGACCTAGAAAGAGAATGGTACAAACCGGTACCATCCTTTGCCCGTCAAACCATGGACTTGATCAACGATAACCCCGGTCCAGTAACAGTGCTGAGTGCCGATGCTCCTCGATCAGTTAGCACTAGCTAAATGCGCCAACCCCTCTCACTCAAAATCTCCCAACGCCCAATGTAAATAATATGTTATGAGCGTGTAGTTATGAATCACTTATTGTTGTGATGTAATAAACTATACAATAATCCCAGTGCAAAGCTGCATTTGCCGCATGTTGCACTAAAGATCATGGCTGAGCGAAAAAGAATGCGTTTGTGGTAAAGAGGAATATACGCATATGGTGAAAGCGATGGTAGCATCTATAAAAGCGCGCGCGGACCATATACTATTGCTTTGGCCACTAAATAATAATCGATGACGGAGGATTTTGGGTGTTCACTGGACTAGACAAGGAGAGATGCATAGTCATCTTGTAGAAAGACCATTTCGTGAGAGAGAAAAAAAAAAAAAAAGAAAATTATTTTTATTTCCATCATGCAGAAAGTTTTGGATGGTTCATGGGAAACATGAAAAGATGAAAATAAAACAAAAAGAAAAAATCAAAGAGATCTACATGGCTGCATCAGAGTTGGCTATGACCTGCTGCAGGAGAAGAGATAAAAAAGATAAATACATTGCCACGACGTATGCAGGAAGCTGGCTTCCATTTCCATCATCAGAAACTGTCATCATTGGCAATTTTTACCAACTGTGGTGTTGTGCAAAAACACTAATGCTTGGAGTCTTTTTTTTTTTTTTTTTTTTTTCCCTGACACAGTTCATAAAAATCGACCTTACCTTATTTGTTGAATAAATTATTTTTGTTCGAATACACATTAAAGTAACTTTTGTTTGGGTGATGCTTAGGTCAGGCAATCTCATCATTGGTTGTGCCTTTACTTACATATAGTTCGCATCAAAAGGCCCCTTAAGTTTGTTTGTATAAAGGGAAAGAGGGTATGCAAAGTGGGCTTAACTCTTGCGTCCAAGCCTTCTTCACTGAACACGTTGATTTAAATTAAAAAATGTCGGAATCGGTTGCACTGGTTTTATTAACTACTTTTTCTTTCTGTTTGAGATTTTATTTTTCTACAAGAGTTGTAAAAGGATGATTTAAATATACATTATATGAGTAAAGGAAATAGGCTATGGTGTATTGGGTGGATAGGCAGCACGGACACTCTAAGTAATGGTTCATGCTCCGCCATTATAAATATATGCTTCAAGTTTAGGGCGCAATGTATCCAACTCGACAGAGTAAGCAATGCGATTGGGACAGGAATCCATGTGCTTCAAAACATCCGTCACTAAACGTGCCAAAGGATAGGATTTATCAATGGGTCTGGGTGGTGCCTGCCGTGTTCGAGGTCGAAGGTTGGAAAATGGATCAAATTTGCCACTGGCTAAGCCTAGCTGAACGTCAACAGGCCGGCGAATGGAAGCTGCTTCGGACACCTTGCGTGAGAATAATATAAAGTCATGATTACTTTTGTGCATATTCTAATCGCAGCGACAGCAAAAGAAGAAAGGGAAGGCAACAAAAACTAGCTAGAAAGCCCAAAAAAGTGATTGAATAATGAATGCAGAAATGAGAAGGATAAAAAAGAGAGCGGAAAAATACCACTTGTCGATCAATCGTAAATGCAGATAAAACAGCCTGCACGCAGAAAAAAATGAACAAAAAAAACACCTTGACATATGGTGGCACAAAGCATTCGGCCCTTGTGTTCCTTTTCCTTGTTTTGTTCAATCACCGAAGTTCGCGTCTTTTTCTTTCCTTTTTTTTTCCCTTCTCACTGTGCCTCTTTCTCCAGTGCCTGATCGACCATTGCTATCCAGCTTTTTTTTTTTGGCCCCCTATTTTCCTCCTCATTTCTGATCCTTGAATCCCTTGATGGCTATTGTCCTTGTAAAGTTGGGCGGAGCGGCCATTACTGAAAAAAGAGGCGTTTGTCAACTGAATCCTGCACTTGACATTCTTCTAACTCAAGTCCATACTGCCTATACCAAGCTGTCAGGACAACATCACCTCGTTCTCATCCATGGCGCAGGCAGTTTTGGTCATCCCCAAGCTAAACAATATAAGCTCAAAGAAGGATGGGTATCACCACCCTCGAGTGAGAAAATAATCGGGTTTAGCCATATCCGTCAAACCTTAATGGATTTGCATCTCACGCTTCTCAAACGACTCCATGCGTTGGGTGTACCTGTGGTGGGTCTTTCGCCTTTTGACTATATCGAAACCGAGAATGGCAACGACACGCCTACTGATACTTTCAAGACAATGAGTGACAGAGTGCATCGCTATTTGCAAGCTGGATTCGTGCCATTGCTCCATGGAGATGCTGTCTTTGATCGTGTCTTGGGTTGTACCATTCTGTCGGGCGATGTCATTATGCAACAACTGGGCGTCCTGCTCCCCAACGTGATACGATGTATTTTCATTACGGATGTGCAAGGCATATACGACACAGATCCTAAACTATGCAAAGAAGCAAAGCTGATTCGCCATATCAGGGTAAGTCCCACAGACGCGTGTGAAGATCAGCTGGTGGTCGCTGTCGATGGCACAGTGGCCGATGTCACTGGAGGGATTCATGGCAAAGTGATGTGGGCGAAACGTATCGTATTGACATCCAAGCAATGTGATGTACCAAAAGATGTGATTATTTGTAAACTAGGATCCAAAGAGGCCATGCTTGCCATGCTTTTGGAACCCATCTTTTCTTCAAACGACCAGCCTTTAGATCAAAATATGACCATCTTTACACTTGACGAGTCCAAATAGAAATCAACATAGACACTCAACCTCTGGAACCAATTTTTACCATCATTTGTATATTAAAAAGAAAACAGTACGATATGTTCTATGGTTAAGCGCTTGCAACATATTGCTGGACGAGTTTGCGGGATGTTTCGTTTTGTTTTTCATAGACCTTCAATAATCGCTCGGTGGCTAGCGCATGCAGATCAGCGGCATGGTCCACGTCTTTTGAGTCCAGCAGTTTGGATGCACACTACGAGCGTGTCAATAACTTATAGCAAAACTCCAACATGATACCACGCCATTCTAAATTGTAACGCCTTCTCCAAAGTCTCCTTATGTGAAAACACGTACCAGTTGTAATCCATACAGGGCACGAACGTGATCCGCACATAATTCCAGCACACGGCAATAGTGTTTGAGGGCAAGCGGGAGATGGTTCAAGGTATAGAGAATTTCAGCGTATTTGAGATGACAGATATGGTTTCCGGGCTGTAACATGATGAGTTCTTCGCAGCAGAAAGCGGCTTGTTCGTAGCAATGGTTCGACAAGTACAGCGTGCAAAGTTCGAACCATGCCTCGTGGTCGTCGTAATACGTATCCAAATATTTCGTCAAGGTATCAATGGCTTCTAAGGGTTTATTGCGAGCTTTCAACAGCGCGATTTGGCGTTTGGAAGCAAGCTGAAGGATGACAAGGTGAGTAATGTTTCGCATAAAAAACAAACGAAAACGATCATTCCATAACTCCTTTCTACGCACCATGTTGGTGTCATCCTCTTCCAGGATGGAATCGTAAATGGCCTGCGCTTCGTCCAATTTTCCTTGAGCTTCAAAGCGCATGCCTAATAATCGTCGAAATCGCAACGACTTTTCCGAGAACCGTGACTTTAACTGATCAATGCAATGCTGATGTAACAGAGGTTCCCGTTAAATTCCACATCACGCTACAGCGAATATATAACGTGCGCAAATATCTTACATTAGCTAGAGTAAAGTCGCCCACATCCAAAGCGGCTATTGTAATCTGCTCAAGGATAGGCCAAACTAAACAAAAGGGTATGATTACAATTCTATTCCCATGCAAAACACGACGACGACTTTGGGCTTTGCTTACCTTGATCTCCCAGCTTTGCAAGGTACTGTCCTCGAAACAGCTCAGCCCCTATGGATGCCACTTTTTCGGGTTGACGTTCATTCGAGATACGATACTCCTGTAGTTGCGCAAGGGCTTGGGTGTAGTCAAAACGAGGCATCGCGTTGTGTGGGGAGGGCGGGCGGGTGGATGTATCGATAAGAAAATTCAACGCACGGGTGACGCCCAGCTCGAATGCGAATCGTACGTGCTCACGTGAGATGAGCAGGTAACACCATCCAATTGAAACTCCGAGAAACCTTTTCATTCGAATTGAATGTCCCTTTGATGTCAATGATAATCAGTGTTTGAACCTTTTTTTCTCACACCACTTATACAAAAACACTACAGAAGCAGTGATTTCCCATGGAACAATGCGTGTGGGTATTTGATATATTTGTATTATAGTATATCAGACAAGGATCACTTTTTATATATAGGATACCTTCATAATGGCTCAATATCAGGTTATTGAAGCAACACCAATGACAAGCGAGAAAGAAAAAAAAGAAGAAAACAAAAATAAAATAGATAAAAGTGAGTTTTCCAAGCTCCGACATCAGAAAAAAAAAATTCAGGTCTCAATCAGACAAGAAGCCGCGTTTCTTTTTGCCCAGTAACTCCTTTCTTTTTTTTTTTATTTCTTCTTGTTGAATTCACAAGTTATTCCCTCTTCTCCCAACTCGTTCTTGCCAGATCGGTATTTCAGCTACTTGATTCAGGGATACGGTTCTTTTTTTTTCTTTTTCTTCTTGCATTTGTTTTCGTAAAGTTCAAGTGATGAAAGCTGGTTCCCTTGGTATGTTCATTTCTTTCAAACTGTTGACATGAATTCAGCCGGACCTGAACTCATCTTAATGGACAAAATGATAGACAACATCTGCATTCCTGAATCACTTGATAAACCTATTTCTGATATGACAAGTTCTCGGTATGTTGGTTCCCTTATGTCTTATTCTTTGCATTGATTTGGAACGGCGACTTGACTTGTCGGTGGGTGTGGATTCTGATCGATTTCTGTGATTGTAGAGCCATCGGTTTTGACGAAATGACCCCCGCCGCGGAAGAATTGATCCGTATTCGGAAACATTCAGAAACTGGACCTTTGCACCAGCGATTTCGAAAGATATCATTGGCAGAGACATCGCTTCACAGTTTTCGGTTCTCTTCCTCCATCAATTCTCATGCCACCAATCTTGTCGATATGCGTCAGAGCATTCTCAGCCGGTCCGCGGCTTTCATGAAGAGAAAAGAAGATGGTGAATCATCGCCTATACGCTATCATTCATCGACCTATCATTCGCCTAAACTTGACGACATTCATAATCGAGTGAAAACAAAGAGCGCCGCGTACGGTTATCTATCGCAATTTGCTGATAAAGCAGGCAAAGAACGACACATGCATCGACAAAAGAGTGATCCTTCCGTCATTAAATCCAATCATCGTCACCGACAGCAAACACCTGTTACTCCCGATGAAGGGGAGCCTGTCATGGATCGTCTGGCTCGTACGCTGTCCTCCAGTTCATCCATTCTTTCCGATCAATCCGACACATCATCGACCATTTCCTCATCATCCGAACGATGTTCCTCCTCGTCTCGAGTCCATCGATCCTATACGACAAAACCAAAAGACGTTCAACGCTACAATCGTTCCTTCACAGGCGACCGAACACCGACTCGTGCACGATCATTTTCCCATCGACGATCATCGCTGATGCCCATTATTCAGCCACGTTTACATCATCCTACCCGCTTTTTGCCACAGCATCATGCTGTAATTACCACGCACGTCGATTGGCGCATCAGTGTTGCCAACAGTATCGCCGCTTCGGTGCTCGGAGGCGCCTACGTGAGCAGTCGAGAACTCATCAATCGTTCCATTCTCGATTTCATCGATCCCAGTTATCGTACTCATTTTATCGAATGGCTCGTCAGACGACGGGAAGCACTCGATCTACCAGATGATAATGCAGGCGGCAGGGTGCTTGCGTGTGGCGAAGTTGTAAGTATATACAATGTCATGTGCAAAAAAAAAAAAATAATCAAAGCAATCGCCCTGGTCGTTATTTTTTTTTCTCACAGTTTTTTTTTTTTTTTTTTTTTTTTTTTTTTTTTTTTTTTTTGCAGCTTCCTATTCTTAAACAGGACGGATCAAAATCCGCAGCTTCTCTCTGGTTAAAGGAAAAGAAAAGTGGTGGATCGTCTGTCTATATCTGGATTTTTGAAGAAGTATTCCAGAGTATTGTTCACGCCACTGTCAATGCGCAGGTAAGCACAAAGAAAATACCCGCTTCCAAAAAAAATTATATATAGGACGGGAAAAAATCCCATCTGATTGTTTATTGCGCAGTTAATGTTATTCTTTTTTCTATTACTTACTTATATGATGATTTCATTATTCAGGGTGCTATTTGTGAAATTGAAGATGCCGTGCGCGAGTTGTATGCATATGAGCCCGCGGAATTGCTAGGCCAACCTCTGGATGTGCTGATTCCCTCACTTGCAGGCGATGGTCTGGATCGTTGGGGAAAGATGAACCAGTTAAAATTCTTTGGCAGCAAAACCAAGCTTGGATCTCATTTTCCCGTCATTGCCAAGGCGCAAGCCATTGCAGATTCAACGGAAGCTGCATCTTCTCGTTTTTCGGTGCGCATTACTTCTATTCCTACCCTGGCCGGTCTGATGACCGTACGACAAGATGGCACAATTGAAGGCTGCAACACCGTCTTTGGAAAATACATGTTTGGATTCTCGGAAAAGGACCTTTTACACACGAACAAAAGAATGGCCGATTTAATGCCTCAGTTTCCTGCTCTTCTTCACGCCATTCGACGAGACGATTTGCTCCATCATGGCTGCATTCTGAACAATCTTATTTGCCGAAAAATAATTGCCGACACAGATAATACCCCTTACTCTCAGTATCTCAGGTCCGTCGCCGCCAACAACCCGCGTGGGTCATCCCAGGAACCCTTTGAAAAAGACCTACCTTTTATGATCGCCATTCATCGTGACGGCACTCCTTTCGAGGTTCAGATTCAGTTGAAGCTTTTGGAAGACTCCGATGATCTGATCGCCCTGTGGATTATCTTTGATCGAGAAGCGACATTTGCGCGATTTGGACGTACCAGCGGATCCCAAGCTGTATTGCCACCTGTGGATGGTGCTTCCCCACTGCCATCTTTGCAAGAGTCTCAATCTTTGCCGTCAACCACCCCCTCGGTTGCCCACCCCACCACGCCCATGACGATTAAAAAACCTCCCCGTCCTCCCTTGACCACGATGCCATCCTTTGCACCCCCCACTCCAGTCAAAGAGAGATCATTGTCGGAACTTTACCAAGCCCTACCGGCCGTCGCTTATTCTGCTCAGACCCGGGCCACCGATATCAAGGACTATGTCATTTTGGACGATCTCGGCCAAGGTGCTTACGGTTTGGTCAAGCTCGCTGTGCACAAGGACGATCCTGAAAAGGTAAGATAACAGACATTTGAATCAGACGGTTTCAAAAAGTACATGAACAGGGCTGATTTCTTTCTTTTCTAGACAAAAGTCGTCATAAAATACGTGATCAAATCTCGCATTTTGCTTGATTGTTGGACAAGAGACCGGAAGCTCGGCACAGTTCCGGTGGAAGTGCACATCCTGCATACTCTGCGAAAGATTCCTCATCCTTATTGTACTCTTATGAGTAAGTCCGTCATTGTAAATTAGTATGCTTCAGGATCATCCAACTCACTCACTTTTGTCTTCCAAGCTGATTATTTTGAAGATGAGGATCATTACTATATCGTCATGCCGCTGCATGGAGATGGCATGGATTTATTCGATTACATTGAACTCAAGCCCCACATGGCCGAGTCGGAAATCAAATCTATTTTCCGGCAAGTCGCGGAAGCGGTTCAACATTTGCACGATCACAGTATTGTCCATCGCGATATCAAAGACGAGAATGTAATTATCGACGATGCGGGCGTCGTTCGTTTGATTGATTTTGGTAGCGCCGCTTACATGAAAGCCGGCCGTCGCTTTGATACCTGTGTTGGAACCCTGGATTATTCTTCTCCCGAGGTGCTTCGTGGTCAAACCTATGAAGGCCCACCCCAAGATATTTGGAGTTTAGGGATTCTGTTATACACCTTGATTTTCCGCGAGACACCCTTTTATTCCGTCGATGAAATTTTAGAACACGATCTGGATATCTCCAAAATCCCATTTGCAGGCAAGTCGTCATTTCAACAGCTCGGTATTTTTCTGTGCTTTATGTCGCTGTAGCCTAATATGTGATAATTATCAATAGGCCCTGTGAAATTAATCTCTTCGATGCTCAGCCGGGATCTAACACAACGCCCCACCATTGAGGCGGTTCTGCAGGACGAATGGTTGCGATGAGAAGAGAAGTTTTTGATCTAACGTCTTCCTCTTCAGGATGTAAGCCTCCCTTTAGCCAGAAAATCAATTCTCCTTTTTTTTTTCTTGTAAATTTAAATCCAAGCATCATATCAACTGTTTATACCTCCATTCTGTGCACATAGCTTGCAACCTTTAATATATTTTAATTGGCCCGAGAGGGTCTCTATCTTGTAAAAAAATTGCAGCAGAAAGTGAAAAGATTTCCCAATGGGACGAACAAAAAACATTTTGTTGTTCTGAAAGCATCCGGCCGGAATGGGGCTTGGGACTAAGAAATAACTTTTGGCAATGCCGCCGGTGCTATTGGCCTTCATTGTAGCCTTCATCCACACATTGTCCTACAGGTTTTTGATCTGATATCTATTCTGATATTCTACTGCACGCAATGGGTTTTGATACACTGGGAGTGGCAGTCTCTGCCTACTTTTTACCCGCTCTCCGTGTCCTTTGGCTTATATGTGAACCATGGTAAAACGTTATATTGCGATGCTCATTATTGCAAAAACATTTTTAAGCGGTCAAACAAAGAAGGAAGTACCCATTCTTCCCATTCATCTTAATCGGTATATCTTTGACAACTGAATCCGGTCTATGGGAAAATTCACTGTCGCTGTGAGTATACCTAGGCGTAAGACATCGATGGACTTCAGCAAATGCCTTGTAAAATCTACATCATGTTGTTTCGAAAGATCACTGTGCGTTGTATCTCTATAATTGTAACACGTTGGCTACTTTCATTTGGGACCAAAAGTAAATGCAAAAGACCTCTAAGCGATATATAGCCGACGATGCAAAGGAATGATGACAATATGGTACTTTTGGTAAATCGTCATCTTTTGCTGGTAAGCCTTTTCGAGCCTTTAGAGGGAACTAAAGCCAAACTCACAGGCCTTGTCATCTAGGAGGAATGCTTTGGGAGCTGCCACTCTCTTTCCTGCGATCTCACATTCCAATCCATCATGCTATGCATAATGCTTCTTCTTTCTGTTGCCTTGACAAAAACACTATCATGACGATAGGAGATAATCAAACTTAGGAGCAAACCACAAAAAAAAAAAAAAAAAATGCAGGAACCGTAAAGTGCAAAAAAGTTTTCACAAGATCGACTTTTTGACCCACCGAGTTTGATCGTCTTTTTTCTTCCTTCCTTTTTTTTTCTTTTATCACTGTATCTCTCGACATCGTGTCGTCTTGACCCTATTCTAAATGACTGGTCAAACAAGCCATTCCATGGCGCTTGCTGGCAAGCCTAACCTTCCAACACAATGTTTCCCTTTAATCAAACCAGTCTACTCAAAAGAGTCGCAGCACAAAACTATTGTATGTATTATGTTCGCCTATCTCGTAAAGCTTGTTTAGACGTATTTCCATGGTTCTCATCGATCTTGAAATATCGCAGTTGCTTGTTACATCTATTTATAAAAACCATGCGTATCTATCAGAGACCGAATTTATCACTGTTACTGAAGCATGCAAACTGCCGCGATATATGAATCTGGCATTTTTTCGGCGCGTGCAACAAGATGAACGAGTGACCTTGCAACAGTTTCAAACCCACTGGGCCGCGTTGACCGCCGGCTCGCACGATGACGATGCTCTCTTCTTCAATATGCTAAGGAAGCCAGACTGCCAATGGCTGGCCCCTGAAGATCTTTTGCCCGTTCTCGAAGGTACAATTTCAGTCACCCATGGAACCTAGGATATAAAAATAACAAACCACCATGCATTAATTTAATGCAGATGTTGTTTTAAATCACCCGGAGCTAAGATTACTGGCTGATAATCCCATGCTTCAGGAGCGATACAGTAAGGCCATACGAAAGAGACACATGGGTTAGTATAGGGGAACTGAAATGGATTTTCATAGTCGAGACCGTGATTTGCCGGTTTTACTATCTCGGACGTTGTCCCGGTGGTCGATTGAGCTTGGCTCAGTTTCGTCGATCCAATTTCACCAAAATGATTCGATCCTTATCCCCAGAGGATGACCTTAGTCTTGTAAGTCACCATCAAAATAACGAACTGCCACGGGATTCTCGGTTCCGTTTTACCGGACACATTACCATTTTTCTTACAAATTTTGCGATAGAAAAACGATTGTTTCTCATATAAACACTTTTATGTATTTTATTCGAAATTTTGGATATTAGATGCAGATCATGATATCGTCATCGATCAGGAGGATCTCTTTAAATACAATGACGGAGTACTGACCCCCCGCGTCATCCACCGAGTGATGCAATGCGGTAAAATCGCCGCGTTCAATCGAGATGGGCCAGCCATCACCGACCGATCCAGTGGATTGGTCCTCACTTATCTCGACTTTATATGTAAGTTGGAATAACATAACCCACTTGCCAACCTGAATTTTTCTTTATTGATTTGCTTTTTCATCTTATCAAAAAGGGTTTATGCTCTCGGAAGTTGACAAGAGCACTCCGATGGCTATTGAGTATTGGTTTCGATGTATGGATGAGGACGGAGACGGCATTATTTCTAGTTTCGAACTGTACCAATACTGGAAAGAGCAAGAAGAAAAGCAGTATATGTACGATATTCCCGACGAAGATCACATCCATTTTGATGATATCATCCGACAATTGTAATGGCTTCATGGACCAACCTCGACGGGGAAACTCATCATTATTAATTGCTTTCTGTATGGTACCATAGAAACGATCTTGTGCAACCTCAATTTCCTGGCCAGTTTTCTCTGCAAGATCTGAAACGAAACGGATACGTTGCTGAACGCTTTTTCGACACTTTTCTCAACTTTGAGCGTTTTCAAATTCATGACTCGTATCAAATCCTGATCCGCGCTAAATGTCAGTCAGAGGTGGATAGAAGGGCCAGTGAAGCACAAGACTTCTCCTTAGCTAAAATACCATTCTATCCGTTATGGTATGGTTTGCGCTGTCTACAGACAGACAGGTCGTCACAGGAATGGCTCACATCTTAGTATAATGTTTAGTGGGTGGATAGCTTTTGCTGAAATTGAATATCGCCAACTTTGTCCCGTAGAACAACCTGAGCATGTATGGGTTGAAAGTGAAGGGGATTCGGAAGAAGAGCCTATTGCCGAGTTTTCAGCAGAGAATACGCATACCGATGTTAATAACTCGTCGTTAGACAATACGGCCGCAGAAAATGAAGCGTCATTCGATAAGAATTGTAGCGAGAAACATAAAGAATCACCACCAGAATCCAGCGATGAGGAAGACACTGAATCGGAGGATAAAGAAGACGATATACCTACCAGTAGTGACCAGGAAAGCGACTCGAGTATTCCTACGACGCCGACCGTCGTAGCGGATCCATCCGATGTAAAACAACCCTGGCTGTGGCAGGCTTTTGAAGAAGGTGAAGACGAGCAGCAAAATGAAAAAAGGATTGCAGAATGGATATGGTGGCTCAACGACAGCACGACGTCTTCTACACACATTCAGCAGCCACCGTAATTGTGATTGACCATTTCTATCCTTCTTGGTGAATAATTACTAGTGGTTAATAGTGGTGTTACAGCGTGTTTATAATATATGAACCGAGTTTGCTTAGCCACGAACGTTTCCTGCTGCTGCCATCTCCTATATATAAACCTAATACAAGAGGCACACGGCATTTTTCCAGTCAATTTTTCCATAACGTATTCTGAGAACTTTTTGAATGCTAAACATCCCTGAGGCGTGCATCAAAGGACCGTCCAGCCTTTAGTGTCCCAATCTGTCTTTATAGATGGTCTTCATCTCCGGGTATCCCGGTCCATAAAAAACATATTATGGCAACCATTGTTTTTTTATCTTAGCCTTAACAATGCCAACCACCCACGGAGTTTCTCTAGTCAGAGAAAAATAAAGATCATGCAAGTATCCTCCCACGAATATGAGTCAACGTATGCCTTGGGAACCCGACATCCGACTCCCACATTGGAATTTTTTGTCCCAAAACGGAATATAAAAAAGAACTTCACAAAAAATTACTTTTATGGTAATACAAACCTTAATTCGTACTACCTAAAAGCTTTATACGGAAACTCTTGCATAGGCTACAGATTTTTTGACAGCTTCTTGGTCTTGCCATCCTACAATCGTATTTTATCGTATCTGGCTCAAACGAATAGAATATTTTTATTTATTTCTTATGGTCTGAGATACAAAAAGCGTGACTCGGTTTGAATTCAATAAAAAGGCCCACCGTGAGCCCAATTTCTTTTTTTTTCCCATTTTTTTTTTTCTGCAGCAGAACTGCCTGTGTTCCATACAGCAAAAACAAGTACGTGTCTTTCTGAATCCATGAGCTGTTTTAGCGACCATACTCATGTTGCTAAACTTTGCATTCGAATGTGAAGCCTTGTTTTATGCGGCGACGAAGTTGTCAAAAAGATTACTTAAAAACGACCCTGAAACGCGCCCCTATTTATCAGGGTGGAGCCACGCCGTAGGTTTTCAGTGACGTACAAACTTGCGCCTTTGCATTATCAGATAACCCTAACACCTATTTTAAAATATGAAACATGCCCCAAACGACAAAACAACCCACCACGGGCGACCGAGTGTAGTTTTCCATTACCATATTTGGAACGAAGAGCGACCTTCCCAAACATACCCAACCGCACTAAAACATCACTCCAGGTACGCATCCTTCGTACAACTCGTCATTCCTCTCTATTTATTTATTGACGTTAATCAATTATATTTCCAACGTGGTCTCGTTACGTTCCGGGCGCTTTCCTTCAAGTCAAGCGTCAAGTCTTCCCTGCGCAGCTGCGCCGTCAAAAAGTCGTTCACAACCGGTCTCACCTTCTTCGTCTTTCTGTTGGTGCATCCGTCACAAAAACATGTAGATAACATCGTCCATTACTATTCATCTTGTATTAATTATACTAACCCGTTGATCACCGTGTTCCCTTATTCCCGCTCTACAGCAAAGACGGCTGCGGCGTCGCCTTTCGAAAGTTCCAGTCTGTCGAAGCCCAATCAGTCGCTTTCAATTGGCCATCCAGCCAATCGGCGATTTATACGGGGAACACGGCAAAAGTAAGGACTTTGGGATTCTGCATTATGGGTTCAGCCTACTAACGACAGGGCATTTTATTTCTGTAAATAGGGGTACATCAAGTATGTTGTCCATTACATATAAGCTCGTAACCAAGTTATTCAGTCATGTAAGTAATTGCTGTGGAGCAAGCGAACCATGGATTTATTCTCCCACTTTGTTTTTTCTGTATGTCTTGGTGCGTGCTATGCAAGCGCCCATCGTTCCCTGATGCTTGATTGATGATCCATATATGGACGTTTGCTGAGCGCAGTCAGAGATTTTATTCTGGTCCTCAACTTCTTCTGTTCGCAGTAAGAGTGGATCGGGAGCTGTCGGTTAGACGTTCAGCAGCTGCTTAAAAGGAATTCTCGCAGGATGGAACCTCTGGGCATAGCACACCTGGCGACGATGTTTGGGTTCAGGTAATATACATAAGATGTTTTGTTACTTAGAAACTGGTTGTCTGGGTGCGGCACGTACGAACACATATTCAATATGCTTCAGTGTTGTTAGACACCTACGGACTCCTTTGCTCCCAACTCAGTCGCCCACCTATTTTTACATTGGCTATTCATTATCAAGTATCACCTGGATCAGATATATTAGCTCAGGAAGTATGGTGCCAAATTGTATCGGTTTATCGGCATTGTTATCTGACACTTTTATTTCGCGATATTTGCGCGAGGTTTCTGTTACGATGCGATCCTTGTCAGAAATGTCAGGTAAGCGGGTCAAAGCTCGATCAAGACTACTGTGCTGGACGTCGATATGGTCGGTGCACTCGATTCAACTGCACGCCGCCGTCGAAGCTTAATGGTATGTTACCACTCTATGGTTTTTCACGACAGTAATCATTGCTTTCTGCTTAGATTTTGTGCAAATTCATCGACGGTGCGGATTTCGGTTATTGCGGTAAGGATATGAAAATCAAATGGCATTTTTAAGAAGAATCACCGCCTGCTTTAGAAAGGATTGGAAGCACTTCGGCCGAACTCGCGGTAATTTTTGCTATGTCACGAAAACGGAACAAATAATGTATACAGACCGCTCTATTCCCTTTTCATAGATAATATTCTATTTGGAATATAATTCTAACTAGCTCCTTGGCCCACAGCTATGCTTTGCAGCCTAAAGTAGTAACATTATTTCGCTGATAGCTGGCACACTCACGTCATGGAGGTTTTCCTGCGTTCTTACACAAAAAGGACAGGTATATGGTTGCTTGCAGCCGCTCAATGCTAGTTAATGACGTTGACACACTACCACGATCAATAGATCCAGACCTTTCTTCTTCCCGATGTGAGCAATGTACGGCGCATTACGAATTGTCTCTCCCTTGGTGACAGAATACGGTAAGCTTGATCTACGCCCTCCATTGAATTCATAACACGACTAACCGGTGATTTCCAATTATTGTATAGACGATCAGCAGGAAGATCTCAAGAACATGTTCCCCGTCGACGTCCCATTTTTTATTGGTCATTTCTTTCCGTTGTTGCCGCGTCTGGTTCCGGTTTGGCTGGATGATCCGCTGCCCTTTCTGGCTGGCCACCAGTAAGAGGTATGATCTTCCAACCTTGCCGTCCTTCCTGGTGTATCCGCCTCTCGGTTGCGTTGTGGCTCAAGAAGATCCTCTACGCTTGCTGCTTGATCACCAGCATGCGATTATGATTGCCCACATGTCGCTCTCCTTTCCGTTGGTTTCCGCCCGTCGTATTCTCCACCCATGATCGTCTGCTTTTCGCTCCACGGTGTCTTTGGATGATTACTCCACCCTTGGTTGTTCGCTATTCGTTCATCGTCGGATTGGCGCTCTTGTAGAACATACGTATGTTCCACACTTTGGGATGGGATGGTTTGGAGTCGGTAGCAGGTGGTGGTGTTGGCGGTGGGGGAGAAACAATGGTATGTGGGACGCGGTTGGAGGTAATGGGCCGATGGGGTTTTGAGGTGTGTGGGATTGCTCGGTTATGGGTTGATGCATTTGCGGCATCCCTGGTCGATCAAGTTCAGAGTGATAAAGGACAGACCGCCTTGCGACCGGTAAGTTTATCAGGGCTAATATGGCAGATAAAAACAGGAATGGATAGTTCGGGACGCACACGCTTGAAATATAGCAATCACGGCGAAAACGGGGACGCAGCAAAGTTGGCCAGGTATGACATCTCTTTGAACTTGAGCACACTTTGACTTCTTGTTTAAAGTTAAGGCGGGATCACTCGTGGACTCCATAAAATTGTACTCGTGTATTTTACATATAACGCAATCATTGAGGTAATCATCTATTTTGACTTGATATTCCTCGCTTGAAAAGGGAAGCTTAAATGCTGAGGTGTGTGATTGACTTGTTTTGCACTTGTACTAGAGTTTACTTGTTTACGAAAACATGGTTACTCTTACTTTAGTAGTTGGATTCCTTGAGAACCACAATCGGCTTAGATGCCCAGGTTAGGGAAAAAAACGTCGTTTTTTCCAATTCTGCAAAGGTTTATTTTGGATAAGTAAATTAAAGCTACATCACGATACATTTTCTCTCCATCTTTTCTATAAAATCTCGTCTCCCTGAATTGTCTTTCTACAGATACATGATCAGTAGCACGAAATTTGTTCAGCCCCATCCAATCCTCATACATACTTAGGTGACCTGGGATATCCTTTCCATCAACCGGTGCGAGAATCTCATCCAACATTTTCTCTCGCATATAGACCAACATGTAGGCACTGGTGAATCGTCGCAGTGATTGCAGACTGTTGCTGTGCGTCCGGTCGCTCACTTGCTCACTCTGTGTATGTTCATCGCCAAAATTATCTTCGTACACTTCTCTAAGAGCAACAGGTGTGACACGATCGTCGTCAAAGCGGAACCAGTTTGCGTCCTTTTCCGGCCTGATGAGCGCAAAATAATGCCCGCCATCCAAATCGCCGCTGTGCACCAGAACCCTAGGCGACGGAAAATCAGTGATACATGCACAATCCAGATAGAAAGAAAAATGTATTGAGAAGCAAAGGTGCTTACCCGTGCAACACATAATCGTAGGGTTCGCTTGGAGGTTCTTCACAAAATTCATCCAAATTGATTCTCTCCGGAAATTGATAATAGTCATTGATCTGTTTGAAAACCCAGAGTCAGCCACTTCAATCCGGAACCAATCCCCAAAGCATGATAGGTACCTTTATCAATGTATCTTTTTGCATGTCATATTCAAATCGTTTCAAATGCAAATGAAGTACGGGAGGAAACGATTGAAATCGTACGCCCTTTTTAGCATCTTGCAGTCCTTGCCCTTCCGCCATGTACCGGTTTTCGCCATCCATGATTTCCTCCTTCACATAATCCTTGAAAGACTCAGACACATTCTTGCAACCCTTCACATTTAACTGAATGTCTATTCAATGACCCAACGTAATAAGTGTTACTTTTCCATTAACATAAGATGAATCAAAATCATACCATAGAAATCTTCGACACACGAGGATTCGAAATTCACATTGATGCATTTGATGTAACTCTTCATTTTTCCAACAAAGAGCTTCTTAATAGAACCATCGGCGGGTGTGTTCTGTAAAAAGGTATTCAGTTTTCTCCTCCACTGTACGTTCATTACCCTCCCATCCACAGGATAACCCCATGTGTAAACGAGTTCTCTGTGTCAAACCGTACCTTCATTCTCATTTCCAGATTGTCTTGCAACACGCGGTTAAACTCCTGAATATCATGTTGCATAAACGCGTCCAGCGAGTCCCATCCAAATGATTTTGTGAGTTCCGTAGTTCCTGAAAATACCCGTGGTTAGAAGTTGTTCAAATTAGCAAGGGGTTTACCCATCCACTCACCCACAGGCTCATCGCTGTGTTCCAATTGGTAAAAGCAACGCTGCAAGGCAAGCGCTACGCTTTTGGTTGGTTCTTCGGATTCGGTCGGTATTTGATAAACAGCTCGACGAAAGCTATTGGTGCAATAAAGAGACTGCAGCAGGGAATTCATGTAGCATGTTGCCCCTTGGTTTTTGATACCGACATATCCCGTTTCCTTGCGCGAATCATAGCTTGCCATATAATGAGTATCCATCCTCGTCTTTTTTTAAAGAGAAAAAAAAACCCCGCACCCATTGATTTGAACTGAGATGGGATTTGGGTACTTACTTGATTAAATTATGCCACAGCACTCCGGTATCATCCTTGACGACTCGGACGAAAACGGACAATGTCGTTTGTCCATCGACAATGTACGGGCATTGTGATTTTGCTAGCCCCTTAATATCATAAAAGCGCGTAAAGCCCCAGTCGATTTCTTCGCTAGTGAACCGATGCTGCGCGTCTAGTATTTTATCAGTCGTCAGGTCCATGATGAAATACAACATATCCTCACTTACAATTAGAATGAAAATTGGTAGGATCGTTCTTATTGGAAATGGCCAATGCAAATTGAGCGCAAACAGCCCAATCCACCCCTTGCGGCGGATTGGTTAATTCAAGGTATACCGACACCACGTCGGTTTGATTGTTCCCTTTGGGATACAACAAGATTCGCCTGTAAAATGGTGATTGTAACAACAGAAACCTAATTAGCCAAAACATGCCAACACCTTGGATATTAATTATTCTTTGCCTAACCAGTCATATCCTCCTGCATTAAATGTAGGACCATGGCAGCGCGACTGCAAAGACTTCCAGTCTGAAATATCCCAATGTTGTACTTGAAAGTCCACCGTCTCCAGAGCTTCGTATTGGGGCAAGATTTGGGCTAAAACAGCGTCATCTAATCGTTGGACATTCTTGTATTAGATAGGCCTGAATATCAACCCATTTAACCATAGCTTCCAGCCAATGTGAAATGGCGACATGTCGACTGGTTCGCCGGCTTTATTGTGGGAGTACTCACGATTGCGTATGCTTGGTTTGTCTGCTTTCTGACTTGTGTTGCCTTTGTCAGCTGCATCGGACATTAATTTGTTCTCTGTCGGTTGATCCATTGCTGACTACTGTTTTATCTCATGAATGCACAAGTGGATAAAACTGAATAGAAAGACGGAGAACTGAGGATATAATGAGGTCTTTATTCTTTCATTAAACCCAGCCAATAATGGGGTTTTGCCTAAATGCACATAGAGATTGCACATAATGGCACTGCTAAATTGAATTTAAGTGACATCACTTAAATTTCCATTATTTTTGGTGACGTAGCTTATGTGCATTTGCGACTTTTTATGCACATAAATGAGACTCGACAGTGACAGTATTGCTTTGAATTATTTTATTCTCAAAAACAGCTATGGTATATGATGTTAGTTGAGAGGTTATAGATCAATTTTAGTGGGCAATAGTTACCAACTGTATGAAAGAAGCTTATGATCGGTTAGATCATAGAACCTTTTAAATATATCTTCATGAGCGATGAATAGTGGCAGGAGCTTGGTTCTGTGTCTTCGTTTTATAGTCACCAGATAAAAATGACTTGACGTGAGCTGAAAAGGATAATCGGATGAACGGACGAAGGAAGAGAGAAAAATGGTACAAACAAGATGCTTTGCTGCTCACTATAAGTGGTAATAGCAATGTCGTAAGTGTTGCATGCAATTAAAGCACAGTAAGGAATCGTAAACCATAAAGCTTGAAGGCGTTGAGGTGCATTCAGTGCTGTTCAATGTTGTAGAAAGTTTTTGGACAGCGTCCTTGCCGAGGATACTGAGATAGAAATCCAGTTTATCCTTCAGATGGCGCAGCATATCTGATTTGACCAGCTGCCAAACACTGTCCATTGCCTTTAACGTTATGTGCGATCGCCTGAATTCCCCAGTTTCATCTGTTCAGGACTAAACACCCGATAGGTTGACTTGCGACTGATGGATGAATGCACTACGTTCAAGTGACTACCGGTCATTGAGTATTCATTTCGGTGGTGAGTTCTCTTCTCCTTGAGGTCGCCTGCTTTTTTTTTCTTTGATTAATCTATTACAACAAGATGCAGTATAATAAGGTCTTAAGCCCTTGCCATTCATTAACTTATCCATGATTTACGTTTTTGAGTGGAGAATTAGGCTTCCGAAGTCAATTGTTTTTGTAGCGATGAATGCGATCGAGTGATTGGGTTAACTTGTGTATTTGACTAACGTCCTCCAATGCGTTGGCCATGCGCCTGATGTTGTAGGCCTTTTGGGTAATCTCTCGTCAATATGAAACAAGCAAATCATTAATGTTTCCCTTTTCTGTATCGATTGTCGTCTCATCGAAGGGTGGGACGATATTGAGCGCGATCGCACCATTACGGTACTGGAGAGTGTGTCGGCCAGACTGACCATAGTACATTTTATTGGAGCATTGACAATCACGGAATTTTGACTCATGCCTTTGCGGAGTTTCGTCTTCGATCATGCTGATCGCAAACGGAGAAAGGTTGTGCTGAAATTGAGAAATAATGACGTTGGGTTGCTCGTTGATTTACGGATGGACACCAAATGTCTCTTCATCAAGCTATTGTTTCACTGAAGTTTCCTACCAAAGTACAGCATTAGTTTCGTTCATACGAAATAGCGTATTCGTATAATTACCGATTTGATGAGATGCGATGGGAAGTAGACACCATAGCTTTCCACCAAGTACATTTGCGACACCGTGCAGCCAGGCCGAAAATCGCAAGTATAGGCCAGGCTCAAATGGTGAATCTTCTTCCGTATCGACGTTGCCCTGGGTACCAAACTGCAGACAGTATGCATCAAAGTGCGTTCTAACGTCTATGTCAGAAACTGCATACTTATGGCTGTATATATTCTCATACCCTGTACATGAGCTGAACTTCGGGTGTTGTGACCACTTGGAAGTTGGAGAAGTCGACGGCGTCAACATGTTGCCGTTGTTGAATCTTCTTCACCATTGCATTTGCTAAAGTTTTCGAAATGTAAGTCAGATAAATGATCCAATATACAATGTATTGAAAACATACCAAGCTTCTTTGGTCCTGCTGGGAGGTTATGGCCGGCATTGCGTAGCCCAAGGAAAAAAGCCGACCATACACGCACCATGTTACCGCGTAAGTTTCGGGATAAATGTTCGACAGCATCTTGAAAATACAATCGTGAATATTGCTGGTTCTCTGATGTGACTTAAATAGCAGCTGTATGGCAAAAGGAATCGGCAACATGGACGAATGCAGACGTCAACACAGGGAACTGATACAATTCTGATACACATATGATACAGTATGCTTAATAAAAATCATATATAACAGTAATAAAGCAAAACTTATTACTGACTTTGACCAGAGTTGTGATCGATCGTTGCTGGTCTAAAGTGGTTGGCAAACGTCGCATTTAACTGGTGGTACAGCCTTAATTTGGCTACATTGATAGGATAGAGTTATCATTGAGTAACCGTACAGGTATTCAATTGTATAGTTCAGTGTACTCACAGGGCGACTTCGTACTCCGTGGACATTGGTCATTACCATCTGCAACGCCCGGACCAAAAAACTGGATCATGTACCGGAGGACATTCTGCAAATTGTCCTTCCACCCATCGATGGCAATGCAGATTAGCTAGGTTTAATGCATCCTGACAAGCAATGACAAAGACTTCGGCCATGGTACGAATTCGATCTTTCAGGTACCGGAACTCAGGGAGCAGCAGAGTGGCCAATTTGCATTCACGAGCGAAGTGGGGCATTCTACCCTCGCTTTCTTGAAATAGCCGACGGACACGACGTGGTCTTCTTCGAACGGGTTCATCTGGGGGAGGGGAAGAGGCTGTTCGACGCATATTCAGTTACAGGTGTTAAAAGACTTTGGAGTATATGATTAAAAACGCAATAAAGGTCAACTGTAGGAAATCAGGAAAGTATTTATAATAAGCAAAAAATGTTCCATTATGAACATGTTTTTTGTACCATGGAGCTCTGAGGGAAATTGTTCCTGCTTTGGATATTTTACTCGTCATAGCATTATTGTATAGTTATGCAAGCATCAGAAATCTTTTCCTTACTTGAAACAACGAAATGACATTGAGAACCCAAAACTACGGGAAAGTGTCAATGGGACTCTTGTATAGTTTTAGAACGGAAAATCGAAGATAGGAACAATGATGGTATTTACATCTGCTCTAGTTTTTATACAATGATGACCCAGTTTGTATGAGATCGTGTCGGATACGACATAATCCTGGTTGGTCCTGCTCCGACTTCCGATGCGGCATCCTCTCTGCGCCCGCGCTTCAATTTCTCTTTTCAAGTCTAAAAGACTCCATCTTATTTGCATTTCTCGTCTCAAGGACAAAAAATGTTAGCGCAAAATCCGGTGTTGGAACGATAATCAGAAAACATCCAGGCCTTCTCTTATACATTTATAAGATCACTACACATGACGATTTAACAAGTGATACCAGTGTACGTAAAAGAATAGATCAAATGCCATACATCCCCATTGAAGTTTGAGTATGAGTAGAAGTATTCTATCCCTAATGAAGCTTATAGGCGTCTCTTCCCAGGTTTCCATCAGTTGGTCGTTCCGGCCGTCGGAACCACTGATTCAAAAGGCGATCGTTTCCAGATGATCGGCTAGAAATGTTATCCAATTGAACAGTGCTATTCCCGCCTTGCCACCATGTGGAAAAATTCTATTCCAGACTGTTTAATAGGCGATACCACGAACCGACTTCTTCCACCCATCTATTGCGCCTTTTTGGTGGAACAATTCGCCTTTAGCGAGCCACAATCAAATTAGTCAATCTTCATTTAAAAAAGCAGTCCTTGGCGTTGCGCCTGTGTTGAAGGAAAGTGAATACTGTGATTCTTTCGAGCCTTTTTTCAGAGAGACTTGAGGACTCTTGAAAATGGAGTACGAAAATAAGGATGGACGGAGAAGGGAGACCGAAAACGTGGCATGAGCCGCGTTCACGCGATACACACAGATGCTGCAATAAGAAAAGAGCTCACTTGTGTGCCACCCAATTGATTTCAGCAGCGAATCACACGTTACGGTGTGACATGGAATATCTTTTCATGCCATCTTTTCGGCGGAGTACCGACATCAATGATGTATTCAACAACAGTAGCGCGATATCAGATTATCCAAATCCTCCTTGACCGCTTGCACTATTTTCATAGCTGGCATTTCATCCGTTTCTGTGGCAACAGTTGACAACATCAATTCTTGTTACTTTTTACAGCAGCAACGTTCCTCTCATGCCACATATCTTCTGTACTATAATATAAAATACAGCCGTAGTATCAAGTGATAGGGATGATAACAACCAAAGGCGAAACAAGTAAAGAAAGGAGGAAAAAGAAACGTTGCCACTTGCAGGCCAATGTTTTTTTTAAAAGCGATCAAAAAAAGATTAGAGCACGAGCTCAGAGCGCTACCTTGGACGGGGTTGATGAAAAAAAATTTTCATCATCAGCAGGCAGAGATACTACCCAATCGATTTTTTTTTTTCAGCCATTCATTTGGGTTTATTATTATCGTATTATTGTGTGGCCCATTTTTTATTACTTTTCTTCTTGTGAATTCGGTACTTTTCCTGTTATTGCTCCATTCTCTTTCTCCTCTCTCTTCTTTCTCTCGATCTTTATTTTGTCTTTTTCTTTTTTTCTTATTTCCCTTTCTCCCATTTTACTATTTTCCATACTCGTCGTCATATTTATTTGTCACTCATACTGATCATTGATTTGATGGTGCCTTTTATCTAATGACGCTGACAGCATTATCGCATAAACCGTCGCAACCTTCGATGAGCAAATGGCGTCGAGGTTTCCATATATTTTCAAAATGGTCATCCAAAAAACGTAATCATTCTCCCACGACGATAGCGGCTGCAACCGAAAAGTATGTGAGACACCGGTCGACACAACCTACCGTGAAATGCGAAGATTTGACGGCCAAGGAGTTTGCTCAACTAACAGGCATCAAGATTATTCAATCACACCATGATGATATCGAGGATGATGATGACAGTGATCAAAACGGAGACAGTCATCTGGACATCCATGCTGCTACGGTGGGTTATCCATTGACGGTTCACTCGAGTCGCACCGCCATGTCCTCGGAATCTCGCAAGCCAGCGTCTTTACCGAGAATTTGGGATTCCGATTTTTGGCATGGTTCTTATCGAAAGTCTTTACCTGTGAGTTACGTATCCTCGGCTTCAAATCATACCGCAATATCATCCGTGGGTTCAATGTCCTCATCGGGGTCTACTGCTGGTGCAAGCTCGACGTCTCATGATACACCATTTATATCCCATTTGCGTCGGAGATCGATAGCCAATGATACGAATTCTATGCAACGAGGTACCAGCATCATTCGTAAAGGGCGGTTCAAAATCGTTTTGGGACCAGAAACGGGAGACACGCCACCACCTACCCCTGTTTTCGAGCAATGTGTTGAATGGAAGCGGAAACGAAACCCTTCCAACCCACCGTCGCCGTGATATCACCACCCGCAAAGAGAAAAATTTGGAATGGGAGAACACAAGGAAAATAATAAGGCCACCCAAAAAAAGAGAGAGAGAGAGAAAAAAAAAGGGGGAGGAAAAAAAACTACAAAAAGCGCTATGGTGAAACTTTTTTTTATATACCTGACCTGATACGCAAAAGGGGAAGCACTGCATCTGATTGTTTTATGGTTTCTGATACACTCTCTATCTCATTATGTATTTTATGCCCCACTTTTTTTTTTAAGATTACTCTTTAAATGCTTTACTTGTAATTGTTAACCAACTGTACATAAAAATCTCACTGCAGCGGAGCTGTTTCTGCCTCTCAATAGCCCTTTGCGAGTCAACTAAAAATTAACGCTTTTTAACCAGTTCATCTCTTTTTTGTGTCTCGTGTCGTCATGCTCGCTGCTGTTGCTCAATTTTGCGCCACTTCGGGTATCCTTGCCAACAAACAAATATGCAGTCAGCTCGCTACGGATGCCGCTCGTCAGGGTGCCAAAGTAATAAACCATTCCAATAGTCTTGATAACCCTCCTTTTCCATTTGGCCACTAATGCATCTCTTGCATTAGATGGTATTTTTACCTGAAGCCAGCGACTTCATTGCAAGTTCAAAGGAAGAAGCTCTGGATCTCACAACCAGCCTGGAAGCATCTCCATTGTTGCAGGGTCTACAACAAGTGGCCCAAGAACAGAATATATGGATTTCAGTTGGCGTTCACGAAAAGGTTTGATACTAAGAGTATCATTTATGATAAAAGTTTCCTGTATTCATGATTTGTACACTTTACTCGGTTTAGAGCGATAAGCTTACCCATATTTATAACACACATGTTGTGATCGATGATTTAGGCAAGATGGTATCGACCTACAGAAAAATTCACTTGTTCAACGTCGATATCAAGGACGGGCCTCGACTGATGGAAAGCGACAGTACACTCGCTGGCCAAACGATCTACGCACCATTGGATACACCACTGGGTCGCGTAGGGTTACAGATTTGTTACGATGTTCGATTCGCTGAGTTATCCATAACCCAGCGTCAACGCGGGGCTCAAATCCTGACGTTTCCAAGCGCATTTACAGTGAAGACCGGCATGGCACACTGGGGTAGGCCAGAGAATTGCCCAACCTTGGATTTGAGTGAACTTTTAACGCTTCTTTCCATGATTAGAACCTCTTTTACGCGCAAGGGCCATTGAAACGCAGACTTATGTGATTGCGGCTGCGCAAATTGGTCAACATAACGCTAAACGAGCAAGTTTCGGTAACGCCATGGTACGTTGACACTGCTGGATGGAACTTGAACCTTTGGACCGGGTTTGCTGACCGACTGGTTTTTTTTTATTATACAGATTATCGATCCTTGGGGTACGGTTCTGGCTCGCTGCGCTGACAGTGTCAAGCCTACTTTGGCATTGGCACTCATTGATCTTGACTACCTTGAAAAGATTAGACTCGAAATGCCAGTGTTGAACCATCGGCGTAACGACCTTTATCCCAAACTTGCATGAACTGTGGTTTCACCAAAATAAAACAGTCATGTGTCACTGTTACCGAGAGGATTTGTTTCTGACATGACAATCCCCTTTTTCGCTCCACTCTATTTTTTTTTTTCTTTTCCTCTTTTTATCTTTGCTTATCTCGTTCAATCAACCGCTTAAATAGAGCGTTCGTCCTATAGTCATGTCAGACGACGATGACAAATCCGCTCCTGTGATACCAGAGGAGCTATCAAAAGAAACTCGTAAATTCCGTAAAAAGAAGCAGTTATCAGACGATGAAATCGATAAAGGTCCAAGGCGTACGAGGGAAAAGGTCATCCCAAAGAATACATCCGACGACGAAATAGATGGTATGGACACGGACGATCTTTTGGATCAAGCGGATAAACTGCCATCAAAAATTGTATCATCATCGCTTCGCCGACGCCGACGTCTGCAACGTGCAAAACCAGCAAACCGTCCATCTGTCACCAAGAAAAAGCCGGAAATAAAGAAGAAAGTCGTGGTGACGGATCCTCAGCGAGCACGACTTTTAGCCGATCAGTATCCGGACAGTTACTGGCAATTTCACGCCGATACAGAGTATGACATGATTGGCGCTATCAATGAAGATAATCCCCTGGAAGTGGTCAATTGTCACATCAGCGATCAAGCACCTATCATCGGCATGACACTATCGAAAGACGGAATGTTACTGGCTACTTTTTCTAATGTGGGGAATGTCAAGATCTGGGATGTGGGAGACCAATTTGCTTTGGTCCGCAAACTACGGGATGCAGAGGAAGCCAATATTGACGAATTCTATTGTGGCCAGTTTGCTTCGGCCGATGGTTCCGTGATTGCGACTGGTGGAAAGCTGAAAGATCGTCACCGATGGTCAGCCGAGGATGACGATAGTCATATCCTTCCTTGCCCTATCAAGGTAACAAGGGATAATATTATACCAGCTCGTGCGACACGGCTTATTTTTTTCTTTCAATGTCTGTGTTGATATGCAAAACCAGAGTTAACGTGCAGTCTTCATAGATTTTCGACCTCGAAAAGTGTACCGTGATAGGCAAACTGCATGGGCATGCAGAAGAAATCCTGTGTATCAAATCTCTGACATTCATGAACGAAAACTATTACATCTCCACGAGTCAAGATGGCTACATCATCAAATGGCAGATGGAAGATGACTGGACGTAATATTCTTTTGTGAGGATTTGACAAAGACAAGCACTAAGGGGGTGAAACATTGATATTTTGTAGCACGTTGAAGACCTCGACCCGGATGGAAGATGGAATTACTTGTATGGCCTTTACCGTTTCTTTCCTCCCGAATACAGGTAACAAATATTTCCTCGCCGCGTGCGATGGACATTTACGGCTATACGATTTTGAGGAAGCCCAGGTGAGACGTGCAGAGAACTACATGAAAACAAGTCAATTGAACCGTTAATTGTATTTGTAGTTGATGCAGACGTTTGAGGACATGTATTCATCATACTGTGATTGCGGCAAGTTTATTCAGTGGCTAGACGACGAGGAAGAAGAAGTCGATATTGAAACAATGCAGGTGGACGAACCCGGCAGAGCCTGGTTCATCAGTCGTGGCGCAGAGATGTGTGACGTAGAGGAAGGTGTCTGTAAGTTATTTCCCTTCCTTTTTGACTAACAAAGCATAAAAAGACTCATTGTGTGGTTAGCCTCCATTCCAAATGCATGTAAATTACACAAATTGATTTATCCGACGGAACAAGGCCAATTGTTCCAATTACAAGAAGTGAAGAAATACATGGACAAGGAGTAAGTGGAGCGAGCCTGGACATATAAAACAAACATGGCGTGACTGAACATTCCATTTGCCCAGTTATCATGCCAATTCATGGCTTGTCAAGATCACATCCAATGGACGTTATATCCTCGCTCCTACGATATACGGTCAAATATTCGTCTTCAATATGCAAACAGGAAAGGTCTCGGCGGTAATGAAAGAACACGATGGTAAAATCAATAACCACATATACCTCTTATCCGCTTGACCATGTTTTCTTATACGATCCATGTTTGAAATTTTAGATGTCGAAGTTCGTGATGTCATTCTGCATCCGTACCGTCCATTACTCTTTTCCTCTGGTGATGGTAAGTACAATGTGTGCATAGGTCTCTGGTGGCAAAAATACCGTCAAATTCATTTCATTTTTTTTTTGTTTTGTTTTTGGGAATATGACAGATGGATGCGTTAAAGTGTATACATACAAATATACTTCAGAAGAGAATGCCGTGGAAAGTTTGGATGTGGCAATGGCATGAAACAAAAAAAAAAAAAAAAAAACAAAAATCTTGATGGCTTGACTAGTGCATTTACATTGAAAAGTGCAGAATACAGTAGGATAATCAGGAAATCAAGTAAAATTCACCAAGACGTAGTTAAAAGTTATCCAGGAAGCATCCAAGTGGAGAGACGTGCTCAAGTGAAGAGAAGAATCCGAGGGTGAAAGACTTAATCTCCTTGATAAGCCAGTGAGACAAGTCTGCGATGGAGATGGACCGACGCCATAATCTGTAGACATGAGAAGAGGCAAAGTTGCCTGAGACTGACCTTGACAGGTCCAATGATAAAATTTAAAGTTGGCGCAAGGCAGTCTATTACTTTTTCTCCCCCTGTACAGTGCCCTGGCAAATTTTTTGTAACCCCAATAAAATTTGGTTGACTTCCCTAATGTCTTTTTCATCCTTCAGATCATTTTTTCGGGAGACAAAGAGATGATGATAATAAAATAAATTGCAAGGTAGCAAAAATCATGACTTGGTCTTTATTGGTGGGAGTGAGGGTAGGATCTCCTCAAACATATTTGATCTTGTCGAATACCTGCGTTATCCTGATGGGCAAATGCGTTGAAACTGACGACTTTGTTCATCAAAAAGAAGAGGCCACCTTCATTAGGATGACTTCCATTTTCAATAAAGTGTATAATACGAGCTGAAAGATAGTCTAACCAAAATTATGTGCACCTGGAGTATCCGATCAGCCGATATATGAACACTTGAGAATAAAGATCTCTCTCTAACATTATCTGAGACCTACTTCATGCAGCTAGTTCATGCGATGAGGCCACAGTCTCTTATCAAAGGATAAACATGGCGTGAAGCGATGAGCGCGTCTTTTTCCAATAAAGGTTGTAGCTACAGTAAAAGGGATCGCCTCTTTTTTCATGTCTATAAAAGACGACGCATCTTCCACCCATTTTTTTTCTCTTCATCGCACATCTATTTCTTTTTTCTTTTCTTGCGCAAAACCATCTATCCATCGCGCCAGACATTTTTTTATTGCTCATTTTTATCAATATTTGCTCATACGCAATTGCACTGTAGGTATACTCATAATGACCACAACTGTGCTATTAAAACGACTGAACCTCTACATATAGCTTGCGCGCTGAAAGGCTTTTTTTTTTGTGGTCAACAAAGAAACTTTTTTTTTTTTGAAAGGTAATGTATTTGTGCTCTCAAGTGCCTTCCTTTCTTTTTTGAATGTATACCAAATCACTCACTTGCTTTGTGTGCTTCTACTGTGTAGTTTAAATAACTGAAGAACAAAGCCCATGCCTTGGCGGTGTGCGGTGGCGGCTCCCGCAATGCGGTGACAACAGTATTTTTGGTAAGTAAAAACAAAAGAAGAGTAAGTGTGGCTTGTCTAATGCATCCATCTTTTTTTGTATGTCCTTGTCCTTTGGTTTTCTCTCTTTTTTGATTACTTAAAACAACAATTACCTTGCCTCTTTTAAAATTTTTGATTTTTGCAATTAAACTGTACACCACGCTCGAGTTTATCGACTAATCTTGTTAAACGAAGCCTCATTGGTCCATATATTTTGTTTCATGCATCCATCGTAAAGTTCTTTCGACTCCAACCGCTGAGAGTATGTCTGTCCATGAGATACAGCATTGAACCCTGACCATTCTGCTTTCCGCACAGTACAATATTAAGTAACGCATGCGGAGTAGTCGACTCGGATTCCTGTCGATAGTTTGTTTGCGTTGTCACTCAAAGTTCGTTTTCTAATCTTCTTTACATATCTTGTCAGGTGTCTGGTAACTTTTTTTAGTAAGTTTTGTCGACATCCAACCGGTTTTGGAAATTTCACTTTGTGTTCATTATTCTCGCTATTAAACGTTGTAATACCGGAACAGGAACGCTTGACTTTCAATGCGATTTGTGCCGCAGCCCTTGCTTCTCTGCGCATTCAATTGCTAATCACAGCAAGTAAGGCTTGTCATATTCTTATGTTCATCACGAAAAAATAAATAGAGGAGGAAAAATGAGGATTAAATCAAAATTGTACATCGCGTTTTTATTTACGTTGGTTAACTTGTCCGCAGTATTTTCGATGATTGACTGTACTCTACAGCATGAAAAAGCAAATGAATAAAAACAAGTACGAGCAAGAAAATAGCACCGTTGAGGATTTGGTGCTCAACCCAAACTTACCTTCAGAGAGAGGTTTGAAGCAATCAGTACAAGGTGCAAGAGGTTTTCCACAACCACAACCGCATATCATGACGCCATCGTCATCCATCACCACCGTGACATTGTGTTTGGCATGGGAATCTGCAGAGGAATGGTCATGGCAACTGCTGCAACCGCAAGCATGTGTTTCACAGACACCCGTGTTCTCGTCATAGTCATCCATCGGGTGACCATCGTCAGTCGTTGTGTTACTTGAGAGATAAGCTTTGTCTCTGTTGTCAAAACCGCTGTAAATCTGGTTCATCAGATCTTCGGAACTGGTATGCGATAGTTCTCCAAGAACAGCCGTTTTATCTGTGATATGGTGCTCTACCGATTTATAAATAGGGGTGTCACTGTCGATATCGTCGGAGGGATCATGAATGGGGATCGCCAGCGGGCGTATGGGGTTCAGTCCAGCTGAATGAGGGGATGCCATGTTCAGCACATTAGTGCCAGATATAGGTAAACGCGGCGATTCATCGGTGTAAGAGCATTCGGTTGATAAGGCGTCGGGGATAGCAAGACGAAGCGATGTATATGGTAAACGTGCATTATCTTTGGGAGTGTAAGCGGACGGAGGAGTGACCGAGCCATCAGAACTGGCTGACGAATGGCTTTCGAACTCGTGGATACTGTGCTTGGATAATCCCGTCGCAAATGAGGAATGGATCATTTGTGGCGTGGCCGTGGGCGTTGAAGCTCCTAGTCCCATCTGGCGAACACAGATGCAAAAAGCAGAGGAACGCTGACAGCGAGAGCACGTTTGTGATAAAAGATTCACTGTGAAATGCGCTTGAATGAGACAATCCATACTTTTACAAACTATCAGAGATCTGTCAACGTACCATTCAGTTCAAGTTGAGATGACCGTGGTTGCGCCGTGCTTAGATTCTCTAGAGCTACATGACAACCGTCCAATGTGTTATATGAACAACTTGTGTTTATAAAAAACAAAGATTGAACCAAAGGACCTACCTTCAGCAGCCGTTTTCGTATGACAGATGCATTTAATGTGAACTTGCTTTGTCTTTCGTAACTCTCTGCATTCGGCACATTGAGATACCGGTCTCCCCTTTCTCTTAATTTCCAATAATTCTCGATCAGTATGACGACAACCCGAGGATCGATGACCCTAATAATCGAATTCGATAATGAGCTTGAAATGTTCACAAAGAGCCGAATCAAGTGTAAACAACAAGTCATCTTGCCTTTATACAGGTTAAACAAGCAAATTTTTTGACGACACCGTCTTCACCAGTGATATAGACCATCTTGGCAAACCCACACAAGTGCAGGAAGGCCTTGCACTCCTTTCTGTTTCTATAAAAGAAAAATAAGAAAAAATTTATTACTGTTTGGCTTTTTCCTTTTGAATATTTTTGGCTTGTATTTGTTTATGCTCGTTGCGGATAACTAACAAGAAGCTTGATCGTGCGAGTTCAAACAAACAATGAGGGTTGACGCCGTTTCGTCTCTTTTTCTCCTGCTTTTTTCCTTTTCTTTTGTTTTTCTTCTTCTTCTTCTTCTGGTTTTGGCAGAACTTGAGAATTGAGAAAAAAAAAATTTCCACAAAATCGAGGCACCGATAGTTGGAAACAGAAAAATTCACACCACTCGTCTTTCGGGGTTTAAACAATCGTCATAGCAGTGTCACGTGTTGGTCTTCTTTGTATTAAGGGACCGCTTATTTGGGACGAGCGTCATGAGAGCGGCTCGACCAAGAATAACATGGAATCCGCCGGGGGGGGGGCGGGTTCAATTGCACTAAAACCTACGGGTGAAAACCCAAAGCGATTTTCGCAAGCAAGTTAGTAAATGAATGGAGTCGCAGGTACTAATATCACTGTGAAATGGGACCTCGTCCAATTAAATTGCCAATGAACTGGCCAAATACCATAGAGAATGCAAGCAAAAATAGCATATGAAGGGACTGGGGGAGGATTGACTGATAGATAACTTTATTAATCGTAATAGAGGAGGGCATGGTAAGGAAGAGATAAGACCCGACGATTGCCATTCTGGCCATTTCCGGGGACCAGTGTAGAGAAAAAGCGGGGGCCAATTCAGGTTCTGCCAGACAGAGAGGGTATAACGAGGAAGGGAAAATGAAGAGGGATAGAAAGACCAGAATACATCGATTTCCGTATCCTGAATGACTTCACCGTTCGATTTCTTGGTAAAAATGTCGTAGGCCGTTCTGTAAATGCTTTGAAGCGTCAGATCCTCGTATTCATCCAAAGCGCTGATGTGTTTCTGCTGTTGAGTCAAGAAATGAATTAATGCGATCATTTTTTGCCATCGGTATCTCGACATGCAATGCAATGGAGTCAGAGTTGTATACGCGACTTGTTTTGCTCAAAGCGGACCGGGAAGAACCTAATATGGGTTGTTGTCAATTTTGATAAAATTCTCTCTTCGCGAAACCGTTTACCTGAAAATCCATCGAGTGTTGATGACCAACAGGATCGGTAGGGTACGTTTCTGATCGAATACGTTTAAGGAAGACCGCATTGATCATACGATGAACGCATGCGACACCTTTTTTTGGATTTGGACTATGACTGGCGCAAGATTTTTGGCCGTGTCATTAGGATAGTATGTTATACCCGACTTTCTGTTGTTGTTGTACTCGGTTGGCCTGTTGTGGTAAGCTGAACCGTCACACACCAGCACCGACAATGGAGCTGATTACGATGTCTTTCATTTCGTCCGTTCGGAGCAAAGCTTTACTGCAAGCATCGCTTCCTGGTACGACCGGCAAGGACAATGTATATAGGTCTTCTGTGGCTGTCTCCTTGCCTGGAGACGGTCGACCGCTAAAGTTGACACTTATAATCGCGTCATCGTCTGTTGAAACGCTTTGGATAAGACTCTCTCTCTCCATAACGCAAGATCGTCGTTGACATCAAACCAACGCCGAAAGGATTCCCAGAAAACGTCGAAGGAATCCGCAATCTCTGCTTACTTTTCTTCTTGCTTCGACGACAGGCAGAGCTCCGTTCCGACTCTTCTCCGTAACGATTGAATGAACTTGCCTAAGCAGGTGAGAAAACAAAGCAGGAACGAGAAATAGCAGTGATGCGTAGGGAGCAACTTGAAAAAAAAAAGCGAAAAGCGAAAAGCGAAGAAAGACACGCACACACACAAAAAAAAATGGCAGTCTAGGTCATGGCAGCTCAATGAAAGATGATTGGCCCAGTACTTCCGTTCCTGCATGTGAATGGGTGCATTATCCGTGACCATATAATGACCTTTCATAGGGATTTGTCCATTTCATGGAGTGTCATTTTAGAAAGTTAGTATAATGACTTTTTACAATTCCTGAGTTGATGTATCCTTGTGTCTTTGTCTTCTCTTGGGGAGATCTTTGTTTTTTACGCCTACTGTAATCAACCCTGCGACAGAGAAGACACCTAATATCGATGTTGTATTTGCTCGCATAGTAGGTAGAGTAACAATAGCCAAAACCTTTATTGGACCAAGGTTTTGAGCGGTTTTATATTGATATCAATGACTCGAAGGAAACACGGAATTCGTAAGGAAGTTCATGTCTGTATTTACCCCATTACAAACCCGACTGCACCACTCTTCCAACTTTGCTGGACTGGTTCTTTGATGAAATGGAAGTATACTTTTTAATCGATGATTGCGTTCATCGATCAATAAAAGTTGAATAAACTGTGCTGCGTGGAACTTTATCATTTGAAGAAGTCCGTGTAACACGATATCATTTCAAAAAAAAGCGACATAATTTCTAAAAATACGACTCTGAAAATGAGGAATTGGTCAACGTAATCATTGGCCTTGGATTAAACCTTGAGTGGCATTGTGCGTTAACTAATTCATTGTATATGCCAATGCAGCAACCAATTTTTTTCCTCTCCAGCAATATGGGATGTCACCACGAGCATAACTTTCACTTTCAATGCATGAAACCTGGTGTGGGTGGCTTATCACCAATCGGGTGTCAGTGACATCACAAAATTTTTCGAAATTTCTGATTGGCTGCCGTCTTTCCAGAGGAACAGCTAAGCCAGTGTTTTGGAGGTGTGGCTTTTCCTTTCTTTCTCTTTCACCAATCTATTTGAATTTTCCACCATGGCTCACTCTAACGTCTGGAACTCTCGCCCTAAGACCTATGGCAAAGGCTCCCGTCAGTGGTATGTACCTTTCTGTTGCCTTTCCGAGGAACGCTTCATTATGAAGATGTACTTTTGACAGGTCGATGGGTGCTAACCTGCCTTTTTTCTGTTTTCTATAGCCGTGTCTGCGCTCACCGTGCTGGTTTGATCCGCAAGTACAACCTCAACGTCTGCCGTCAGTGCTTCCGCGAGTACGCTAGCGACATTGGTTTCCACAAGGTAAGATGAACTTTTTTTTTCGACATGAGAAAATGGGAAGAGCTCTTTGGATGACTGACGGTTTGGTGGCTTTTATTGTCATTGATAGTATCGTTAAAACGAAAAAATACGATCGTTTTCAAGGAGGGCGTTTCATTGTTCCTTGTGAAAAATAAAATAGAGTCCTCGTCTTTGTCGGATACGCATTTTGTCTTAGTATGGTGAATCAAAACATGGTTCTTTTTAATTTTCCTCGCTCATTTCTTCAGATATCGTTCAGTGATTTACACATTTAAGTGACTGAGACACCATACTGCAGCTTCTTTGGTTATATTTTTTTTTCGTTTGGCTTTGAGGGTTTTCCAATATTACAGAATCACCAATGAATGACCATACATACAGACCTTCATCCGGAATGGCGGGTGCCGACGGACGTATCAGTCCAATGCAAATGCTTCGACATCCAGTCATTTTGACCACCGGGATTTTAGCCATTGTACGTATTTGTTTGTTGACAGATGTGTTTGAAGCGTAGAATTCAATTGTTTGTTTTTAATAGATCGGATGGATCATCGCTTTTGTTGGCGCCTGTGCAACCCCTTTGCGAAACGTCGGATGGTGGTATATCATCTATAACTTCTTTTTCATCCTGGGCCTCTTGTTTGCCTTGATGTTCTTTGGTCTTCATTACTACCGTATTCTCGTAAGCCGGATAGCAGGTATGCGGTTATGAACTGTGTTCTCATCTTTCTTTTATTTTTCTACAGTTTATGGTTCTTTTGGGTATCAGCATTGTCTATTTGACCGATCTCATCGCTCTCAGTGTTCACGACGGCAAATCCAGCGCTAAAGCAGTGGCGGCTGGCGGTGTCATTATGATTGTTGCCGAGTTCGTCTGGCTCTTCTTGTTCGGTGCTTCGGAAAATTCATGGATTCATCGAGCCATGTACGGCGCCGACTATGAAACTAATAATGGCACTTATCCTCCCGCAAAGCACACCGCCATCGGCATGGCTCCGTTACCGAATCAGCCTGGCCAGCCTGGTCAACCTGGCCAACCTGGCCAAGCTAATCAAACTAACCAAGGTAGTCCCCGTCAACCTGGTATGCAACAAGGCCCGGGTTCGCCGTCTGCTGGTCCGGGTATGAACCAGGCGGCCATGAAAGCGACATCAATGCATGCTTGTAAGTGACCACGTATTAATTATTGAATATGGATCACCATTAGCTTACCGAGGCGATTTTCAGATACTGCAAACCCTGAAGATCCTAATGAAATGTCATTCAATAAGGGTGAATCCTTGGATATTTTGGATCACCGTGGCAACTGGTGGCGAGCCAAAAAAGCCGATGGCACCATTGGTATCGTTCCCAGTAATTATGTAAGTTGAACATGACATTGTAATGAAGTAAAGAGTGCTCATCCGTTGATTTCGTTACAGTTCGCTCCTCTTACTTCATCTCCCAGATAGACATCTGCCAATTAATAAAAATTGTAGTATTATTGATTTGTCCCATGTTATCATGTTTAAATTCAATATCAAAAGATACGGATGCCTTGTACGGATAGCCATACGATCATACAATATTGTAGAACGCTGTTGTACAAGTTGCGAATTTGCTCACTGATCACTGCGTGAAAACAAGCAAACGCTTTGACCGCTTTTATGATTTGTAACGTTACGTTGAAATATCATGCCAAATTTTTCTTTTCTAAGATTCATAGCTAAAAAGCTAAACTGTGATTCAATGACAAAAAGTAAACGAGAGTCTTGTTTCCCTTGACTTTTTACTTCTTTAAGGATAGCGGCGAACGGTTCAGACTAGCGTAAGAAGGCACTGTGGATGCGTTCAAATTCAGCCGCACTTTGCAATTGAATGCATCGGCGCGTTTGCAGAGGTTTGCCGGAGGCTGCCATTTGGGGTATCTGAATTCTTGCCAACGACCGCGATACCAACGCAGAAGTTCGATTGAGCGATTGTTGAAGTGTCTGGGCAAAAAAAGACAATAATGTTATCAGTACCCAATAACAAGAACATTGCTTCTCTTTTATTTTGTTTCCCAGAAATAAAAACTTACCATGATGGTATTATGTTGTGGTGATTTGGGTGTTGCGGGGGCAACGTTTTGTTGTCGCTGCAGTTCTTCCATTTTATGACGAAGTTGATCACCGCGTTGCTTCAGTGTGTAAAGGACCGATTGCTGTGTTTGGTACTGGTAGTCGGGCACCTTTTTCATACTCTGCCATTTGCCACCACGACTGGCAGCCGACAACTGCACCACCTTGGGCGAAGCGCTGACAGCTCGCATGTCTTTGACAAGCACACGGGTTTCCAAAGCAAATGAACGGATCAGATCGCGTACGTCCTGCTCAGTATCCTCCACAAGTTTCTCTGTCTCTTTCACCTCGCTACTTTCATCCGCATCTTCTTTCTTTGTTGCTTTGTATTGAACAATATCAGGAAGTCGATCCAGACCAAGTGTTCGGGCCATATCGCAACTCTTCAAGTGAGCATTCTCAGCGCGCAAATAACGAATAGCGCCTTTCAGCGCTTCCATCTAAAAAATTGTTAGTTTCTTTGTGCCTTTTTGTTTCGTCAACTTGATGTCATACCTGATTCGTCACTTCGTGATAATTGCTCGTGTCGCTTGATGAAGCTTCTCCTTCCAGCACATCGAATTCCGACTTTTTGGGAGCGGACTGTGTCTTTTCCTCGGTTTGCACCGCTGTCTTTTTCAATTCAATGTTTTCCTGCTCCAACGCGTCGTACTCGGCTTGCAGATTTTCCATCGCTTCAGCATACATTTGTTCTTGCGTTTGAGCTTTGTGCAGATTCTCTTCCAACTGCGTTATTTGTACTGCTTGTTTCTTCACCGTTTCCATGCGTTTCTCCAGCAGCTCAACCTTGACACCGGATTCTTGCAACGCTTGATCCTACAATTTACAAATAAATAAGTTTGAAAAAGCACCACCGACAAGAGCGTTATTGAAGATGACTTGCCTTGAGTTTGATATCTTTGATGAGTTTGAGAATCTCTTCACTGTGTTGCTGCAATTTACGCTCCATATCGTGGTTGACGACTACTTCAGCCTTCATATCGGAAGCACGCTGGACCCAAGGTGCAACGCCCGTCGCAACTAGAAATATCATCGTGAGTGACAGTTACTGCATTCGTCGACTTTTTGTATCTACTTACTCTTTTCCATCTTATTGTCATTCTCCACCCTTTCCAACGTGACGCCGAGTTCGTTATGGAGCGATTTCAGCGTCTTTAAGCATCCCTCCCACATGGAGCTCTCGGCAATCTCCAAGATTTCGTCAGCCTTGTTATAGATCATTTGCTGGATAATGGCCAGACTGATATCCTCTTTGCTACCACGCTTTGTATCAATATACGCGGCAATCTGTTTGTATGTCTACATAATGATACAACAGTCTTTAGCATAAATCCCCAATTGTTTTCCCTTGTTATTTTTCTCGGTTACCTCGAAACAGAAGCGACTCAACTTGGAGCTAATAGCGTACAACATCTTGAATCGATGTAAGTGTTCTGCCTTCAAAGTCAAGGCTTGCTCCGAAAGATCCTCCAGCTGACGCAAAAGTTTTCTGGAAAAAAATAGACAAAGGTAAGCGTCCCTTTTGACAGTCTTGTATGATATGTATATGACTTACTTGGCGATGATCTTGCTACCCTTACTTTGCACGATAAGACGACCCAGAGGTTCAAGATAATCAAAATCAAGTCGATCCAAACCCTCAATGACAACGACACCTGTATAGAGGACAAAGATGTGGCGCAGAGTTCAGAACAAGACAAGGAAATAGGGAAATGTGTAAGCCGTACCTTCATTCCGACAAGCATTTTCAGCTGCTTGTTTCACAAAAGTGAGCTCGACAATCATTCGATCAGCATTCAGATCCAAAGCGCGTGTAAGACCAAAGAATTGATCTGCATGGTTATTTTCTCCATTTTGCACCAAATAAACTTCAGTAAGATGCTCGAGCTGAGCAATGATTCTATATACATCGCTTTAACAAGTTATCAACAAGAAATCGTTACGAGTTATCCATTACCTTTGCAGTTCTGTGAGACATTCTGTTTCGTTTAGTTCATCCGTGCGCATAAGTTCAACAATGCCGTTCAATCTTTTTTTTTTTCCGAATTGATGAGATTTCTCCAAATGCTTTTTTTGAAACATTGTTTATACTTACCGTCTCTCAGTGCCAACAAGATCATGGTATACTTGACCCATCTTGGTAAATGATTCTGGTTTACAGTGCTTGATATAAGTGACAAAGCGCTTGGCAAGATCGCTAAGCCAACCCGCTCGTTGTTTCATCTAGAATAGGATCATGAGTCTTACAGCAAAAAAGGATAGAATATATGGCAACAATCGTTATGGCCTTACTTCGCAAACAGAGACCAAGTTTTCACTGACGGTATCCATGAGTTTCTCGCTGATGGGGTGATTTTGGTCAAGATGTTTAATCATAAGTTCCGATTTGAACACCAGTCGCTTGAATAGCAACAGACAAGAGATGGGATCGTTCTCGGATTTGAAAAAGGTATGTGGTAGGTAGGGCTAAGAAAAAAAGAAACTGATCAGTAATTTGACAATTATCCACTTGAAGAAGCCGCATATACTATACGACGCTTACCTGGATGTAGCTTAAGCGATCGTTGGCTTGGGCTGCTTCCAATTTGCGTAATTCAAGGTCAATGGCCTTGGCTTGCGCTTTCATAACGGTAGATTGAAGCTGCATATTGAGAGACATCATCGCTTGTGATTGACTACTCAAATTACGCTTTTCGGTCTGCTCGTTCTCTTCCTTATGACGAAGTTGTTCAAGATCACTGCCAACTCATATGAGCCATCATCAAATTTTAGCCACCAAACCTCCGTCTTTTACCTTTGTAGGTTGAGCACCAGTTCTCTGAATTGCTGAATTGTGCTTTCGTAGTCAACATTGGTTTCCTCTGACGATCGCAATCTTTCCAGTTGTTCGCGTAAAAGCATATCTCGGTGATCTAATCACTCGAATATCAGAACAGCTTCTTGAGTCCCGTCTTTCGCTTGCAAGACTTACCAATCTCCGCCTGAAGCTGCTTTTCTGTTTCAATATGATTTTCTTCCAACTCATCGGCCAATTCCTTCAGGGCTTCCAAGTCTTCTACGGCCATACGCATTTCTTCCAGCTTTTCATTCAGATTCAAATTCTTTTCCGTTAGTTGTTCGACTAGGTCTTCCGCTCCAAGAGCGTCGTCCAAGCGATGTTTCAAATCCTCGATTTGCATCTCTGTAATATCCAGTTTTTCTTTCGTACGCTCGTACAGCACTACAAGGCGAACAAATGATATTTAAACGACATTCGATAAAGCAGCTACTCTACAGAAACAGCGTTGCCTTTTTTTTTTTTTTTTTTTTTTACCTCTGAATTCATCAAGTTCGTAATTCTCTTTTTCCAAAATTTTGATTTTACGATTGAGTTCGGCCTCATGATCTTTGGTTGCATCACGAAGACTAACGGTGGTTCCTGTTGAGTATCGTCGATGGCATTCCACTTGTATATGCGCCGCTTACCTTCGCAGAGCTTGCTTGAGACGCTCATTGTGATGCTCCAGTTGAACGACTTCCAGCGGCGCTTTTTCATCATCGTCCCGTGTCGGCGGTCGATTAAGAATATCTAGAAATAGGAATAGGAAGTTGGATCAAATCCGAGGATGAGCTGCGCTTTTCCCTAATCTTACCAGCTTCTTTTCGGAGTACATCCAAATCTACGCTGATTTCCTCAATCTTATCCTTTAACACCATGGCTTCTTGCTGTAGATTCTCGGCTCGTTCTTCTGCCATTTCTTTATCAACAGTCATCATTTCAAGGGATTCGATCACATCGTTGTATTTGCTTTCAAAGGATTCCTTTTCGTTGGTGGTTTCTTTCAACTGACGTTTTGTATCTCGAAGCTCTTTTTGCAATTCAGCAATTTTGTCTGATCCAAGCAAAACGCAACATCATATTTTAATAGGATTCTTTGTATTTGGCGTACATGACTCCGTTGAAAATTACCTTGTAATTTATTGCGCAAAGTGAGGAATTGCTCGGCTTCCTCCTTAACTTTTTCATGTTCCCTGTATTTCTCGCGATCCTCTTGACGCTTGCTTTCCAGAATTTTGAGTTTCAATCGCAGCTCTTCATAATCTTTCATAGGAATCATCTAATTCTTGGCGTTAATTTTTTTCCTTTTCTGGCTCACTCTCGACAACGGCGATGACTGGGGATATGATTTTACCTGCTCAAACTTGTTGACAGGTAAATTGCCTGCCAAAGATCCATAAGAGGCGGTCTGAGGACCACGCGACTGAGCTGGGTCTGTTGACGACAATCCATTCATAGCTGGATCGGGTTGTTCGTTTTCGGAAGCTTCTTCTTCTTCTTCTTCTTCCTCGGAAGGATCATGGAAATCCGAGTCTGCATGATGCATTTCTGAGTCCTCATCTTCCTCATCGTCTTCTGCGTCGGCTTGAACATCATCCGCTTCTTGTTCTTGTTCTTCTTCTTCTTCCTCTGTATCCTGCTGTTCGTCGGCTTGTTGTTGCTGTTGCTGTTGTTTCTGCAACTGCAAGATCCGTTGCTGCTGCTGAAGACGCAGTTGTTGGAGTTGTTTTTCGCGCACGTCGCTTACATCTCGTTGACCCAGTGTACTGGATCGTTGTCGTGTCGCTACTCTCGGCCCCGAGACGCTTTTTCTTCGATCGGCTGCTAGAGAAGCGGCTGTCGCGGCTGCGGCGGCTCGAGTATTGGATGGCGAACCCATGGAGGTGGGACGTCGCATTCCTGTATTGACTTGAGGCGGTTGTTCTTTTTGATGAAGACGGCTGATTCGCGTGGGAGCGGAGATGCGTGAAGGTAAAAGTGTGGAAGAGGGTGAAGGCGTTCGTTGCTGAACGGATCGAGCAGCAGCAAGACCTGGGTCGTGCGGAACGGCAAAGCGAGGTGAATCGAGACTTCGATCAGACCGTGGCGATCGTGGCGACCGGCTCCCCTCCTAAACGGGTTTCCCGCATCCCAATTTACGATTTTCAGATATCTCTACATCCACGACTATGTTGCAGTAAAGTTTACCTCGCTACTGCTGTGCACGGGATCCGAAGGAATGGGCCGAACTTGACTAGGACGAACAAATACACCGTGATTTGCTTTACAATCAAAGTAGCGTTTGCCTTGAACGACGCCGCTGTTTTTGCCTTGGGCATCATCCAACTCGATGCCGATCCATTTGCCCGTTTGGAAACTGGTGGTGCCAGCATAACGGATAGTTCCCGATTTTCCTTGCACTTGTACACGCGCACCCACTTTCAGTTCGGACGATAGTTCACTGCCATTGTAGGATGAGCCAGCCGTGGATTGACGTCTATGCCCCGACATGGCTGCCTTTTGACTGCAATCGCACTAACAGATGTAGAAAAAAGCAAAAAGAAAATATAACCAATAAGATAAAATTAGATACGGTATCACTCAGTGACAGGACGTTATAGTAATGGAAAAGGAAGGAATGAGTAGAAAAAGAGTCATCAGAGTATTCTTTTCTCTTTTTACCTTTTTTTCCTGCGATAGACCAAAATTTGTTCAGGGCCAAAGAGGCGGACTATGGATCCTTTGGCCCGTCATATGAGACTGTTGTCCTCCGTGTTACGCAAAACGTCAACACCGGCATATAAACGCAAATCACCCTCCCATCCTTCTTGGTACGATAACCTCACAGCTCCATGGTCAATAGCCTATACATCAGAGAGGATAAGTAAAACAAACGCACGCACCACGAGTTGCCATGACCCGGATTCTGTGCTTAGATTCACTTGCATTTTATTTGTCAATGTCTGATATGTAATAATACAGCCGCCACGTTGCTGGTCATCTTTATAGAATCCTTTCTATCTAGTTAAAAGCTATACTTTCAAGTACATGAACGATAGCATACAATAGCGGCATAAAAGCATCTATGATCCTGTAGTCTAGCCGACTACACAGGTTAGTATTGAGCAATCACCGCATCGATGGCTTCCACCACAGAGTCAAAAACTCGAGTATTGTCGCCTTTGAATCTTGCTTCATCTTCAGGTCTGAACTTGCCAGTGCGGACTGAGAAACACGGTTTCAGCTTATCTGACACATATTTCCTGCATTCATTCGCTGCGTACGATACCTAAGAATCGGTGCAGTCCCAAAGCTTCAGCTGCACCACCCAAATCACTGTCGACATCATCCCCAATCATGGCCACATTATGCGGGCTTTCTTCCATACCACTACCAGAACCAGCTTTGATAAGTACTTTTTTTCACTGGACATACTTCTTAATAACCATTCATCTCTCGCACTTACATTTGCTTCAGAGCCATATGGAAAAAGCTTTCGGATGGTTTTCCGACAACGGTTGCCGTCTTTCCAGTGGCGAACTCCAGCGCTGTAACCAATCGGTTAAATTTGTCCGGGGTTCCAACGAACAGCAGACCGATGATATCTCTGTTTTTACCTACCTTGGACAAATCCGCCAGGGCCCATCGATAACTGCTCGTCTTTATCTGCCAGATATTTGGCTTTATGCACAGCAATCAAAGGCACGGGTTCCGGAGTATCAGTTTTCATCAGTAATCGGAAGGCTTGGTTCATCTAAAGATGCGCACGTTGAGTGGATCCTGATCCCGACGGCAGTTCCGTGACATAATACCGTATCATAATTGAATTTTGAAGGCGCCAAACCGATGACCACGGCATTTGGATTTTCGGTGTTGACACTTTCAAACTCGTCCATAGCTTTATCTGCCATCAACAGCATAGGCCTAATAATTTATGCTGTATTGTGAGTCACTTTAAAGGGCATTGGAGGTCCCAGTGATATTCTTACCGCAAGTTTCGAGACACAATCAGATCTCGGCAAGCAGAAAGGGAGGTGAAGATCTAAGCCCACTGTTAGTCGTGCTAAATGATGTAGCGCTTGTCTGTCAGTAATTTACTTCGCGTTCTTCCACGTCAAAGCCCAGTTGGTTCAGTTGCTCCACCAGTCGACGAGAGGATATCTTGGTGGTGTTGGTGGCGAATCTGTTTCTCCGCTGGTCAGAGCGCGGATTCAAGATGGTCTTTGTTGCGTGTCAGCCCATTTACCTGAATGGAATCTTGCTAGCTTTCAAACGCTTCACCGCTTCTACGGCACCAGGAATGGCTTTTGACTCAATATGAATAGTTCCGCTTAGGTCAATGAGAAGACCCTTGACTTTGTTTGTCGCCATGTTACTCTCTTATCGCGCGGTGAGAGTCTTCACTCAACGAAATTAGTTTGATAAACCTGTGACTCCGGAGCACTACGATTCTATCGTATCGGCGGAGATACCTGATCCACAGCAGTTCAAATGAAAATTTTCACCAAAAATATAGTATACCCTGAAGTCTACCAATTGTGATCTTGAAGATCACGGGCTCCACCTATCTCTACATAATTAAAATCTTTGGGAAATTAACGATTTTGTATCTACACTAAGTTATCAGGACCTGTTAAACCTTTTTTTTTTATCTTTCAACCATGCCTCGCTGCCCACTTTCACGATAATAGGCGAAACAATTAGCAGCAAGATGCCGTTTGCGCCAGTTGTAGTTAAACAGAGTATCGTCGTCTTTCGAATAAAAATGTGAGTAAGCTCTTTTTGAAGAAAAGTGGTTGATGATACGACTGGCGTTCTTCTGTAGCATCATTCAATTTGTTTTTATTTGTCAGTTATACTGTATATGTCCTTTCATTCTCTTTCATTTTCAATGAATCGAATAATACACAAGCAGACGTGCTTCGATCTATGAATTCATGCAACAGTGGGGTGACTATTGTTTCATCCATGGAAAACCATATATTTTTGTCTTCAGTCTTATCTTTTTCTTTTGATTTTCTCTCTCTCTTTCTGTTTGCTTGATAAACCCTCACTATCATTGTAGCAAGATCCCATTCGCATCCATCATCCAGACCATTCTTATCCCGTGTATTTAAATCGACTACCATCCTCAAAAAGGTAAGCGTCGAGTGGTCTACCATCGATTTTGCTCCGGCAAAACAGACTTGGGGACTCTCGATATCTGGAATCCAACTCGAAGTTACCGTCACTTCTGGCCACGTCAATATTTTTTGCCTGCTCAAGCTGACACCACCGATCCATCGCTTAACTGTCCCTGGAAGCAATTTTATTTTCCGCATCGAAGAAGAAGCTTACCTGGCGGTCCGTATCATCTTTTTTTTTTGTCCGGTTCACCATTTGGTTCAAAGGCAAGTCCAATTTCTTTTCCTTTGCTATGATGTATAATGAACGTATACTAATTCAAAAAATTTTCAATGTCATATAATCCAAGTCATGTCAAGCAATCAATGGCTATTGCAAACTCAAATAACAAAGGTAAAATATCTTGACGAAATTTTGAATCAATCAAAGAGCTTACTAACTCATTTTTTTAAATACCCAACATACCCACACATCTTTCTAGATCTATCATAGCCTGGGCGGGATGGAACTGAGGGGGGGAACCAGTGCTGCCCTGCGCGTGTTCAGAAACAAATCACGTTGCAACGTATGCCATAAGGTTGTCATTAATATACCGAAGTTCCGTCAAGAGTTCTCGCCCAGGTTATGCCGTGTATGCGTTAGGCTTTTTGTCTGACGAAAGTCGCTCAATGTAAGAGGGCGACCTCCGGTGGCAGGCGGCATCCATTGCACAGCGGGTGTACGGCTTGTTAGGTTGATAACTGTCATGTCGGCATTTCAATTTGTTTGTTTTCTCCTCGAACATCCGAAAACATACAACAATTGCGTAATGAAAAAATCATGGAGAAACCCTAATTGGTCCGAAGCATAAAGAAGAAATTCTGGGATTCTCCGCAATACACTGCGTTGTCTTTTTTTTTTGCTTCTCTAGAATATCACTCAGGAACCGTGCATCTATCCAACCGTGGCTGCCTACTTGTTACGGACTCAATTACACCACTTGCATTGAATGGATGGATAAATCACAGTTGAGTTCCTGGTGGTCACCCGCAACTAATCCATTTAAATATATGCAAAAAAGCCTTGTTTATCCAAAGTATCAATTTGTCCTGCATATTTCATCTTCCACGTCATTGTAAACAAAGGGCCTTTTTTGTTACCTGGTGAAATGAGTTCCCATGGTAGGTTATTTTTGTTGGATGATGCATGTTGTCATAGCAAATCAAAAATGGAAATTTCCAGCACCTAAAGTTAAGGTGTGTGGACGGACCCTCTCATCTTCAAGCGCCGCTCATGCGCTGGAGCGCTTTGAGCAGATGAAAAAGAGGTCGCTATAACATCATGATTACGATGATCATGTCGGCATTTAAATCTGGCGAACTAAAACATGGCCGCTCACTGTCATTGATCATGAAAGCGTCACCTAAAACACGGAGCATTTTCGTTGAAAAACTGTATAAAAAGCCCATCAAAACTTTCCCCAGATATCTATCAGTACCTATCAATTTAGCCTGAATACATCTACAATGTCTGGACCCGGTGATCGACCTGTTAAAACTGAACAACAAATTGGTTAGTACTTTTTACATTTACATGCATTGTATCTATTCAACCCCCATAACTCTCTAACCACCTATTTCGAAAATTAGGCCGTGATGATAACAGTGCCGTAGTTGGCCATGCGTTACCCCGTGCCAGTGCTGAAACCGAGAAGGTTGTCGAAGTTGGTGAACGACCTAAGGAAGAAAAATGGCAAGATGACCACGTTACCCATCAGGGTAGCAACGATGCCAAGGGTGTCGTTGGCCAACCCCAAGTCGACAAGGAGAAGAAGAACAATTGAAAGGCATAAGCTTTCTGCTGTACATTGATTGTAACAAAACTATGCAACCTCTACTATAAATACTATTGTACAAAATAAATTGTAACTTGACAGACACGTCCATGGAAGACAATGTGGGATAAAGACACACACATACTACGATATACGAGCGCTGTATACTATGGGGGAATTCGGCTGATAGAGAGTAACTGGTTCTATGAGCGTAACAAATACCCGGCATGTCTTGCGCCGGCACCGTATTGTGAATTAGCAATTAAACTTTGGTATTGCATGCATGTTTTTCTGCGCTCGGTTGCTCAAGGTTGGGTCCCAAAGCAGCATGAAGGCAGAGATCATAATTCTCAACAAGAATGCGCCGAGTAGACCGCAGCCAAATTGAAGGTATAAAATAGTTCATGAATTTGTACTGCCTGTGTGGGATATATAAAGCTGTGCCATGACATTCAAAGATAGCAACTTGGAGAACATATTACTGTGAGCATATTCATGGCCTTGCCATTCTCTAAATACAGCAAGTAAACTGCGTGGCGTCATTCAACGCAAAAACGGATTTGATTCCCTCTTTTTTGTTTATCGCATATACAACAATGCAACATTACCAAAAATAATACGAGCAGACCCTTTTGCTGGACTTCAGCTACAGCAAAAGCTACGCTGTATCATTGAAAATCGTACAGATCACTGTCACGCATCAATTGTATTGCTTCAAGCAGTTGGTTTCTCTTCTACTTCTGCGGCTTTTTGTTGTTTTTCTTTATACGTATAATACAGTGATCCGCCCACCATGGCCAAGATTGTAAACCCCTGTGCAGCCACTAAGCATGAACATTAGCATTTCACAGATCTCCACTTGACAGCCACAAAAAAAAGCGACAAAGTTACCTCTTAGACGAAACATGTTGTTAGCGTAGGCTCTGTTGCCGGTTCTGACACCTACGGTAGCAGCCAAAAGAGCAAAGCAAGTCAATCCCACACCTACGTTACCCACGTTCGCAGTTAGCATGGGTGCTTGGAAATGTCTCCTTCATCATGAAAGCGAGTACTTGCCTGCGGGGACCAACGGCTCTTCTTTTGACTTTCGCTTCATGCGATCCCAGGCACTTTCGCCTTCCATGGTCCTTCGCATGAAATCCAATTCTTCTCTGGTATATTCTTTCATTTCTGATAATGTAATGAAGAGGGAAACCGAAATCTCCCAGTTCAGAAAAAAGCTCGTATTTCTCTTTCGCTGTCACACGCCAATCATAGGCTTGCATTTCTCTTGGGAGGATTTTTTTTTTTCTGTTTATCGTTTGAAACAATTTTTCTTGCAACGCAGCAGAATAATAACTTTAATGCTTCCAGCCGAAAGGCTACATGTGCAGGGATTATCACGAGCCAAGTTGGTTCAATTAGCATCCGCCAGGCCATAACTGGGATATAATCCATGAGTTCGCAGATTCTATTATTGAGAAGGAGCATCAATCATCTACAAATTAAGCATACTAGCCATAAAACGATTTTCCATCAGTGAAAGGTGGTAGGAAACTAAGCATGAAATTATAGGGTACTTCAGCAGATATGAACAAGTTTGCCGCAAGGGTAAAACCGTGCCATCATGTAACATAACAACCCTTCAATTCACGTGTTACGGATTAGTTTCCATCTATATTTGTCGATATAACGGCCTGATGTTGTAGCCTGGTGAATAGTAACGGCATAAACCGGTCGATGAGAATTGGGACTGTCAGTTGGTGGACGGCCAAAACGGAAAATAGTTCCGGTTTAAAAGTAAGGCCATTTTCTTCCGCCACATAACTTCAATGTATCTTCTGAACTTGGAACAAATATAAATTTGCATGATCGACATGGCTAAAATTGCTAGCCCTTCCACAATTTCCTGAACAGTTGTTCTCAGAAATTACAGGAAACCACGAGCGAAAGCTTACATTCTTAGAGAAAAATTTTGATGGCACATGTGAATCAGTTCGTGAAGAAGCAAAGGCTTCGCCTTGACTTATTGTTAAAGATGGAGGAGCAAGTGGAAAGTGAATGCCTGTGATCTCGGTTCCATGCTCTTCTTTCACGAAGCGCGGCTCTTTCCGCTAATAAGCACTGGCTAAATCGATGTTCTATCCCATTTTCCAATATAAGCTTGATTCTTTTATCGAGCAGCCGCTGCAATTACAAGATTGCAAATCTCAGATCTGAAGAATTTGCTGTACGATTATATGCTGTGCTTTTATTTCTGTGTTTCCATCATCGACCATTGAATGATTTCTTGTTGCTATTGCCAAAAATTGATTAACAAGGAAACATGATCTCGACTGCTTGGTGGAGATTGACCCTGCGGCACTTAGAGTGTCGTTGGCTGCCTATCAACCAGCTCTTAACAATCTGATATCTTTACAATTTCAATGATGAAGTCGGGGACTTGAGGTAAAGAAGACGCAGTGCGGATCGGCGCAACGTCCGCATGGATTTGGTGAAGTTCCGTTGGAAGTTGGTTTATCCTTGTGGTCTCTATTGGCAATGTTTCACCCATATGCAAACCACGCTCGGGGTAGGAACGCTCATTGATGGCTGTGATCGGTTGACCAACAAAAACAACCTCATCCAATACAGAGCACGGCTCGTACTTTGGTGTCTGTGCTTTGTGCGATATTTGCCGAGGTTGTTCGACTTGAGAAGTTCTTGCTAGGATGAACGATCTCTCGATATAGAAAATAATAGCGGTTAGCTGAGGGCAGCAAAGGAGGATTCCTTTCAGGATGTGTCATCGTGGCCTATTTGATTTTTTCTTTCAAAAAATGTATTACTCGGCAGTGCTGCAGACTGCGTTGACTATCTTTCAGCTCGTATTATACACTTTATTGAAAATGGAAGTCATCCTAATGAAGATGGCCTCTTCTTTTTGATGAACAAAGTCGTCAGTTTCAACGCTTTTACAGGAAACAACATAATGGGATATGCAGCACGTTCACCATCATCACTCGTGGTCAGGCTCAACACAAAGATAAATAAAGCTTGGAACTCAGTTATATTGTTGAAAAAAACTTATTTCGCAATATTAGACACGCGCATAGCTGCATATTGCAGGTCAAGCATACTATGAAGAATTTTCGCTTATACGCTGGCTTTTGTTTTTATTCCAACTCGGAAACCAATAATCTTTGAGAATGGCATTATCGAACCAATCAGTCTATCAAATTGACGCAACCTGCGCATTTGCCAATAAATCTTCAAACGACCATCTCAATCTCTCATTTCATAGGGTCAAATTAGACTTTCAATCTCAGCCACCCTCCTTACATAATACGTCTGTCCTTCAAAACGCTTTCGGACTGGATCCGATTCAGAGAAGGATCTTTAAATTAAAATGCTGATTCAATATGATTCATTGGCCCACTCAACAAAAAAAAAAAAGCCTCAAAAAACAACGAGGCTTTGGCGCTGAGTTCTGGTTACTGTAATCGTATTGTTCGTCTTGGAGCCTTCAAAAAAAAAAAGTCTTGTCTGTCGGCTGGCAGAAAAAAAGTCTGCGCCAGACCAAAAAAAGAAAAGAGGTCGCTCGACGCGCAATTTTCATTATGTGTCATTATTTCATCTCTGATATCATTACATTCTAAAGAAAAAGTTATCAATGGTTTATTAAATTCAGAAACATGTTGATAAAAAAAGTCTTCCAATCGCCGGTCGATTCGGTCCGTTGATGTCCTTGATAAAGTCCACGTTTCGAAGGTGGAGTTTGAAAAACCATGGTCATGGCAAAAGTTTCACTTGATTGACGTTGGTCCGAAACAAACCATTTTACCCGTCTGTGGAGCTATAAAAAGACCCTTGATATTTTATTCTTATGAATTCTCTAAAAACGCTTTTTATTTTTGCTTCACTGTGCAACGCGCGATGAAAAACAAGGAAGACGCGACGCTCGAGGTTATTCTTGATCCAAACTTTACGGGCACTCTGCGCGGTTTGGCCAACGATGTCTCCGAAGGCTGCGTGCTAAAAGGGGTATGTTTGGTACAAGTCTACCGTCCTATTAAAGTGCGTCGGCTGTTTGTCCGATTTGAAGGTCGCTGCAGAGTCAATATCAAATGCAGTACGGTGGTGGGAATGCCTTCCTCCGATGGTCTTGAATCCCGCACCTTGATTTTGAAAGAAACTGTCTATATCGATGGAGAACCGCAAGCCCAGGTTTTGGAACCCGGACTTTACCGATATCCTTTCTCCTTTGATATTCCTGGCAAATTACCCGCTACCTTGTACAGCAAACGAGGTTATATCTGCTATCGTCTGAAAGCTAACTTGTGCCGTCCCATCTTCGTGAACGATCTACGCGTTTCCCAAGACATCACGTTGCGCCGGTGTCTGATGAGCGAGCTGACCCCGATGCTCAATGTGACCGAAGAAGTGCAAGGCAAGGAGAACAGCGACATTTTAGATTACAAGGCCACCGCCCCGTCCATGGTGTATCGCGAAGGCGGCCTTATCCGACTCAATCTCGACACCCGACTGGTGGATCCCAGCACCTATTCAATTCGATCTATTTCATGCGCTTTGCGAGAGCGCGTCTCGTACAGCACGACTGGCAAACAATCCTTGACGTCTCAGACCGTGGACAAGGTTGACGATCTGTATCCTTTGGGTTGGAGTACCTTTTATCCCTCTGAAGCCGCCGACTATGATCCCACCGAAGCTCATCAATATAACGCCGTGATCCGTGTTTGCCCGCGCGTCAACGCAGATACAACTTGCCGACTGTTACGGGCCGAGCACACTGTTGTCGTTAACATTCTTGTGGAAAACCATTCCGTACCCGCCGAAGAAGGTTCATTTTCTGATACTGTTTCTTCGTCCAGTTCCTCCATTGCCGATTCTCCTCCAGCAGCTCGTTCCGTTGTTTCTTCACTCAGTCGTTCCTCGTCATCTTCGTCGCTGTCGTCTCTTTTCACTCTTGGCCGCAGTCATTCATCCGACGACGATATCAAGAATGCCATCACCTCGCTCAGCACCTTGGAAGTTTCTTCCAAGCGTAGTCGTCGTACATTAAGTAACATGACTTTGTGTACTCTGGAGTTACCGATCATTGTCACTTCGCGAGAAAACGTCTGGGAAGGTGATATGCCACCACTGCCAACCTACGAGCTGGCGGATGAGCCTCCCAGTTACGGTCAATCACTCCATCAATGCCCTCCCGCGCCCATGTATCCTGATACTGCCAATACCATACCCTTATCCGTATAATTGCTAAAATGCCTCTCCAAACATCTGTGAATAATCTCGCTTTCATTTGTATATATAAAATTTTATCATCAACCCATTTGAATTTTTTTTCCCATTTATTCAACTTATTTATGATTTTGGACCTTCGTATTCCTAGCTTACCAGTCGGTCATCTAATTCAGGCGGCAGGTTTGAGGCAGATCCCGCGAAAACCATGAGAAGTTGCTGCTGTGTATCAATTTAAATGAATCAGTCAGACTCAAAAAGTCAATGAAAGAATGATGAGTGATGATGAGAATAAGTAATAAAACATGCATTTGTATTGTATAAATTTTTTGAGTTATTTTTGCTTCAGCATTCGTTATCGTGTCTGCTTCTATTATCTTTACATGAACTGTCATAAAAATGCTATGGGAGAAATGTCTATTTTCTGATTCTGCCGGTAAAAGTGACCCGAGGACCATCTTTACGGTTCTTTTTCTTGATGACTTTGTTAAGAGGCATGTATGCATAGGGATCCGCTTGACCCTTGCGCTTAACATCACCGCTTGCTTTCTATAAAAATAGCGTAACCGTGAGTATTAGAATCCTGCCTTTTTTTTTGCATCTTCAACTATCTTTTACCTGTGAACGGTATTCTTTGCCAACTTTTTCGAATCGCTGAGCTTGCTTCTTCTTTCGTCGTTTTTCGGCGGCTCCGTCGACATCCATGGCATCGTCTTCACCCATATCATCATCTTCACCTTTACCCTTCTTGAATTTGATGCGGTTGCGTCGATCACGAACAAAACCATCGGCGCTCTTTTGTGCTTGCATGTAATAATCTTCTTCAACAACGGCTTCTTCCATATCGGCTTCATCGTCCGAGCCCTGGATCACCAGACGACCTTCTTCATCCTCATCGAAAGCAGCTGCCTTGGCAAGGTTCTTCACTTTACGCTGAGTGGGTTTGGCGGACGAAATGCGTGATAATGCTGATTTATCCAAGAAATCAATGGGGCCACTTTCTTCGCTTTCATGAATGAAAGTTTGGGCACCCGCTTGTTTCTTTTTGTTCTTCTTGCCGCCCGCATTCGCTGAGGCAGCACCACCCATCTCTTCATCGTCCGACATTTCCAATTCGCTTTCGCTGCCGTACAGCACTTCTTCATAAGCATCGTTCATACCGGACAGTTTCTTGGCTGATTCACGGTTCGCCACGGCCTCATCGTCTTCCATGTCACTGTCGCCGAGACCCGACTTGTTGCGTTTCGCTCGAAGACGGCGCTTCTGAATATTGGCAATCAGTTTCTTGTCTTCCTCAGGAATCACGTGTGCAATGAATTCATAGCTATAAAAATCACATTCTTATTAGTGACACAAATCGAGACACGGTAGGATTTTTCATGACACATACGAGAAGCGACGGATCAAACGTTCAAAAATGTGACGAATCTTGAGCTTGAAATGACTGCGGTGTTGATGGCTGCATTTCAACAGATTTTCAATGATTTCTTTCAGTTGCATTTCAATCACATTGTTTTCGAGCACGACAATGCACACTTTGACATATCCCAGAGCAGACTTGACGATCTCTCGGTTGTTGGATGCTACAAACACATTGATCGTTTGCAACAACTCCAAAGCCAAATCGGTATAAATGTCGTCTATATAACAAAAGGAATGAGTTCTCTCCAAGATCGAAAAAAAAGAAGATCTTTTATGTATCGCCGTACCTTTGAACTCGAAAAAGATGCGAGAAAGAGCAGTAATGGTGGCACTGATCATATGCGCTGTGGTACCGGCCAAACCAGCCGTCACCATGGTGAAGAATTCGCTGATATTAGCAACAGCTAAAAGAAATAATTTAGATCTGTTTTCTGGGTAACTTCTCTTTATGGGTCATACTACTTACCATCAGGTACGGATTCATCCATGCCTTCCAAACGGCTGTTCTTGACAATACCACCGGCCTTCATCTTGCGACCCATTTCAACGAGCAAGCCGAAAGCAAAATCGCGAGTCTTTTCACTTTGATCCTTGGAGCAGATGACGGCCTCGGAAAGAATAGCTGGGATAAAGTGAAGATCCGAGGACGGAAGCAAGCGAACCACTTCCAGTAAGGTCTTGACACGATCTTTACGCGCGGACATCGTACAAGAGGCGGTTGCTTCCAGTAACTTGTCTTGCAGTTCATCGAGATGGCCAGACACGACCTGACGACCTGTTTCTGTGTCGAGTAAATGGTTCAGCACCTTGTAACCCTTCTTCTGAAGAGCGGGTTCGTCTTCCTTGGTAAGTAACATGCTGGCGGTGCCATTGTACAACAAACCGGCCGATTCAGCATCCAAAAAGGGAATCATAACAATGGCAAGATCCAACATGGTATGTGACATGGGAGGCGGCATCGATGGGTCGTTGGCAGCAGCAGCACCAGCGTTATCGGCACCTGTTTCCAAAGCCTGAGATAACAGACCAAGTACCTTCTTGAACGTCGCATTGATATCCTACAAAACGAAAGACAATAAGCCAAGGGGTTTATCATGAGATCATGACACGTTGTAACACATACCTGGGGCGTTGTCACGGTTAAATAGCATTTAATGGTCTCGGCCAAGAAACCACGGAACATGGGAGCAATCTGGCTGTACACGTTGAAGAACACAGCAAGATAGTTGACCGCAAAGGAACTCATATGCTCAAGATTTTCGGAACATTCGGCCTTGGTGAGGTTGTAAGCTTTTTGAAGATCGGCATCGGTTGCGGATGATTTTAACAGGGACTGGTTCTTCTCGACGAGTAATCGAAGGGCTTGAGTAATGGTGGGACGAAGATCGGGTTGGGAGTACAAAAGCGAACTGAACCGTTCCGCCACTTCGTGGTTGAAAGCGGCGCGAAGGTCGTAAGGGAGATCGCAAAAACCGGGAGCTAAACTCCAAATTTGATTGACGAGCGTTTCGTACACCTTGGCCTGAAGAGCCAGTTCCTTCTGTGTTGCTTCTTCAGCTTTAGCCGTCAAACGATCCGCCAAGGGCATCAAGACGTTGGTGAAATAGCTTAAAGAGGTATTGGTGGTGTATGATTTTAACAAGGGAAGCAAGAAGGCACGACCGACACCCGAAGAGCCATTGGTCGCTTCCAAGTTGAGAGGAAGGACAGATAAAAATTGTTCAGGGCCCATCGTAGCAATAGCAGCACCAAGCGTCTTATCCAATTGCTCTTTGTATGCTTCGGCAGGAGAAAGTCGGAATTCACCCAACAAAGCGAGACAACCGTTCATCAAAGGAGAAGAGGCGCGGCGAAGACGTCGGAACAAGGCTTGTTGAACCACCATAACGTGAGCCCATGCTTGTTGGAAATGGACGCCCAAGCCCAATTCAGCGATGGAAATGATCTGCGACAAACCATTTTCCTTTCCAGATCGTGCTTCCTCAATCATATCGTCCGTCAGACAATACTCCACGAGCACACTAAGACAATTGGCCATCTGACGATAACAGCGCGATTCGGTTTGGAAATCGTTGAAAATCACGGTGAAAATGGTAATTGCATCTTCGGCACACTGAGCTGGGTTCATCCTAAAAATAACCGTTCCCATCAGTACCGTCCCATTCCATGATCAGTTTTTTCCACCAACGTACTTTGCATAGACAGGATATGCTTTTCCGATAATCAACAACCATGCAGGCAGTAATCGCTCATCAATGGCAGCAGGTTTCAATTCGCAAATAGCCTAACGATTTCGCTTGTTTATACACATACACTTGATGATCAACTCGGTACACAATTGAGTTACCTGGAGCAGACTGGCGAATTTCTCATCATCAATGTCGGTTTCCTGTGCATCGAAAAGGGATTCAAAGACGTCAAAGGCGCCCTTGGTCAGGAAGATATTGTTGAACTTGGGCAACTGTAAGAGAGCTTGGCAAAGAGAGACAAATTGCTACATGTAAAATCGAATATCAGCATTCAGCTGTGGGAGATCAAGCGTGCCAGACGAATAACATACACTGGGAGGCCAGTAGGGGACAATCGATTGCAATAAAGCCAAAATCTGTTGAGCCGCATGCTGGTTGGATTTGGTCGTTTCGTGAAGAACGCGAAGAATGAATTCGGCCGACATGACGGCGGCAGGATGAACGATGGTAGGTGGAGGAGGTCTCGATAAGATGGATCGAACAGCATCCTGAGCTCTCTTACGAGCCTAAACAATTAAAAAGATGTCGCTTGTTACGCAATTGCTCGGTTCCAGTCTTCCATTTTCGTTGATTTTACCTTGGGAGAAGCATCTGCGCTCAAAATGAGCAAAAGCTGATATATTTTCTTAACGACCGGCATACTCCAGGCTGCACCATCTTGAGCGATAAGAAGCTCTTGTATGCAACCAATCACCGAACGCACCACAGGTTGTTCTGCCTTGTGTTGCTCATATGCATTTTCCAACAAAGGCATGACAGTACCGAATTTGGATCGAAGCACGGAATGCGGCAACCTATGGCCATTATTAGTTTGCCGTCCCATTAGATCATATCCATGACAAACTTACTGAGGGAACACTTCATCGAGAAGATACAAGAGTGCACCAGTTAATTCACTCGAGACATCGGTAGCTTGAAGTGTGGTAATCTACGGAGCAAGTTTAGATGGCATGGTTCAGATCGAAAAACTTTAATCTGATCAAGGAACCACAAATTTTACCATGGCGCCAAAATAAGCGGTCGGTGTAAGTTCGACATTCTGCTCTCGGATCGTCTAAACAAATCGTACAATATGAGTCAAAGAACGGAATATTCTGAGTCGTCTTTTTCAGAGCCGTTCTTACCTCCTCAATGGCGAGAAGAGTCTGAGCATACTATATAAGCCAGCGGGAACAAAAAACCGAGATCAGTAAGCTAATTACAAACTGCTGTCACTAATACGTGTTATGACAATGACTCTACCAATTTCTGATTCTCCAACTTGGAGTTGGCCTGCTTCCTGATTTTCTCAAATTTAGCTTCCATGACGGGGGCGATCGTTCGAGACAAGAATGGCTTGATCGGGTGTGCGATTGACAAGACGAACAACCGGATTTTCTGTCAAGCAACTTTGACAATGTGACTGTCTATTTCGCCTATCCACAAATTTTTTTTTGCTGGGCTTGACAAAGGGTTGAATGTCCGCCTCCATTATCAAACGTTTTTGGAGAGGAACTCCATGGATGCGAGCAATTATTTTCAGATGTCACCGGACTGACCCTATACTGATAAGAATAAAAGAAATAAATCGCTGTATACTGCTGTGTTTGGCAAATAATGACATGTCAATTGTGGCGAACTGCCAGCTGCAGCACCACTTGCTCACCAATGCATGGACGGAGGAGTGCAAAAAAGGCAACTTTTTTGTGTCAGATTTTCGAGGCGGGTCACTGGTCTCCCCGTTTTGCATTAGTCACATTTAATCATATTGCTATCCCGCTGTAGACTGATCCACCCGCGTCATGACGGATTCACTCAGGTTGCGGTAGATTCACCCGACCGTAATCCCACTGAAACTGGATTCACTCGCCTCCTACGGATTCACCCAAGATGGATTCACCCAACCGTCTATGATCCAGGCAAGTCTAGTTAATGTAAACTTCTTGTCGTCGTTTTTTGTATCGAACGCTGACGTGTTAGCTGGTTTTAATACTGCTGCTCTGATTATGTGATGATCAAGGCCTTTGCCAAAGGTAATATCGCAAAAAAAAATGGTTGTCGACGTTCTTGGGATACGATTATTTTGCAAAGGACTAGTTTTTATTCAAATAACCCACTCAAGCATCCGAGTCGTATATGGGCAATAAAATGCTTAAAGATCACGAAATTACTGCATTTTAAGCCAATTGAGCAAGCCATTGCCGATAAAGACGATGTGATACATCTACAGGGATAACCTTGGGCTGCCGATAATGATTCCTCCAAATTATGCTCTATCAAGAGACTGTTTAATAAGTTGCTTGGCTTCGATAAGTCAGTTCAGGGTGTGGACTCTCTCGTGCCAGGCACCGTGCGTCTGGGGGAATTGTCATTTCGCCACTTGTGACCGTTCTTCTCGAAACTTTCGAAGCAGCGATTCCTGAAATGGCAATGCGGATTTTTGCTTTTTTTGTTGCAGCAATAATACAACATCAAGCACTCCTTCACGATGATGACAACGGTGTCTTCTTCGCCTTCCGCTGTAAATATCACTTCATCAGAGACTGCTTCTTCGGAAGAACAAATCGTTTGTCGTTGGAAAGATTGCTCGTTGAGTTTTCCCAATCCTCATCTGTTAGCAGCTCACATATCAGAAGGTACGCTTTCTGAGACGCCTGATGAAGGAGTCTATTTCGTTTAATGACCCATTGTACAGATCACGTCGGATGGAAACGAGGAGAATATTTTTGCGAATGGGAAGGCTGTCCACGGCAAGGTGTCAAGTGTCATAACCGATTTGCGCTTATGCTGCATTTGAGAATCCATACCGGTGAAAAGCCATTTGAATGTACCTACGAAGGATGCGAACAAACGTGAGTAGTCTCTTTATCGATTACATTGACTGTGGAACTGACGGTCTAGCTCAGATTTGGTCGCATGGATGCGTTAGTGAGACATAAAAAGTCAGAACACAACGAGATTGCCGTGAGCGACAACCGTCAAAAAGCGGCGGCTCGATCCCCATCAACCTTGAAAAAGAAAGCAAAGCAAAGCCGCTCAGACGACGTAGCAGTAAATTCAAAAGCGAAACGCCGGAAATGGTTGCCATCGCACGAATCGCACTGGTCTTCGGATGATTCCGATGCACCCGTCGACCATGCCGATGCCACCGTACCATCAGCAGATAAATACAAGCTGGCCAAAGCGCAATTGCGTTATATTCTACGAGAAAACGAAATGCTGAACGATGAATGGGAAACGCTTCAAAGAAAGATGAAACGATTACAGACGGAACGACGTGTTTTATTGGACGCACTCATGGCAGCGGAGGATCACGTTGACGACGACCATGTTCCCGGCAGATTGACTGGCAAGGACGATACTGTACCCCTAAGTAGTCCGAGCATCAGTGTTAGTAAAGAGGCAGGGGACATTGTTCCTCTTTGAATCAAAGCATCGCAACATGGGACTATCTGAGATATCCCATATCTTGTACATTAAAGCATCAATTTTTGAAAGACTCTACACAGAGTAAAACAAGCCTGTTTATTACAATCGAACAATGGTGTCAGCAGTGGTATTGGGATTCCTTTGGGAAACAGGAAATCTATGATATGCGTAGAGGTTATTGACATGGTGGGCTTCTTCCTTGGAATCAACGATTCTTCGTTGATCAAATCACCGCGATCGAATATCTCTTCCATTAGCTTCAACAGCAAACTTGTATAATAGGAACGTAAATCGCAAGATATTTCATGTTTACAGTATTTTATGGTGGTTTTTACAGTTACACTGGGAGGTCTGCATACATCACCATCAAGGTATACATAACGAGCATTGGCAATGACATCATTTTCTGTTCTTGGGGTGTATGTTTCAGTGTGTTTTATCAAGGTGTCTGGCCTAACAAGCCGGCAAAAAATCCACAGTGAAACACGACAGGAGTGTTAATTACAGGATGAGATAAAACCCATGAGGATTACAAAATATTACAAGAGGGAGTATAATGTGTACAGATAAAAGAATACCGTTAAGTAGTGTTGTGATGAGTAGAGGAAGCGAACGGATTGGGAGGTTGGTCGAAGCTTTGTAGTGGAACATCTTTCTTATATTCTTGGTATGACGGAGGTGGCATATCAATGACATAACTGTCTGGTTGATACACTGCAGGAGGGCGACTGATTTGGGCTTCAGATGATGTCGGCGTAGGCTGATTTGATCGAACGTAGTATTGAGGATTGTAGTCCTGGCTAACATAAGAAACAACTTCCTGCTGCGGTCCCTCTTCTTGATGACCTTTATTGACAGAACCCACCGTCGTCAGAAAATGAACCACAATATTTTGCTGATGTGTTTACTTACCAATCTGCCACCGTCGCATCACTGCAATAAAGCCGAAAATTAAAAGGACAATACAAGTTATCCATATCGCGCTGAAAGGGCCATCGAACATGGATTTGACTGCGGAAAAAGCGAATTAATAAAAAGCCGCATCGAAAGAGTGAAGCCCCGCATCTCGCATTTTATATATCCGTCAGCTTAACTCCGCGGTTCAGGCAGAGAGAATGACGAATGATGATTGGATATTTTTTTCATAAAGGAAGAAAAGAATATCCATTAGTTCGTTTATAAGTTTGGCCATGAAACGCACAGGCTATACAAACATCAGCAAACGGAAAATCCGGAAAAACCTGCAAGTAGCTCATGACATCAGCGGACAAATGCATACACTATGCGGTTTAAATTTATCCCATTTTGGTTCCAAAGAAGCTCTTCACTTCCCTGGGTCATCTGTCATAACGACTGGATAAACAGTTGACATCCAGTGTGCTTCCAACATCACCGAATTCGATGGTGAAAACGTGAGTCGTACTTTCTTAGAAACATCCCATATCGCCTGCTTAGAAATCAGCGTTGTCCTTGACACGCCAAAAAAAAAAAAAAAAAAAAAATGCAGATTATCAGCGTAATATGAGTGAAACTAGATTTATTTGGAGATAGGCATGGGAATGTTGTAGACGTGATTATCGAGGATATAAATGCGTGTATCTTCCTACTTACTCTCCTGAGCTGAACCCGATCGAACAATTCTGTGCAGTAGCAAAGAGTAAGGCTAAACGCGGTACTGTAGCTTTACAGGAAGACATCTTATCTGATGCATAGGGTGTGGTAATCGATGGTGCGTTGGGTGTCCTTTGTAGGCGTGCACAGTTGTGAAATGCTTCCAGAACACTGATCGCATACGGCAATTCTGTCACCAAGGAAGCTATCCCTTGAAAACTGTCCGGCAACTTGATCTCGGCTAATTTGAGCTTGATATACAAGCGCATGGCTGGCAGGAGGACGTAAAAAGGGATTGGTCGGCCAACAATCTGAATTCCCATGATGCCGTCGAAATTTTGGTTGTCAAGTGCATTCTTGCAGAATACGGCTAGCTTCAGGAGATAACAACACACCGAATGATGGTCTTCCGCTTGGATGACTGCCTTAGCCTCGTCGTAACCAAAGGTGGGGTTCCATTTGACGCTGTAACACCCTGTGATACAGAGATCAGGGCTCAAACCGTCTTGATGTCCATACTTCTTTGTTTCCAGTCTTGTTTCGTTGGTCCAGCGCAAATAGACACCAGCATCTTGGTCGTCAAAAAGACCGGAAAGAAATGGTTCGACAAACCTGGAGCACAGCTCAGATTCATTGACGTCCTCTTCGATGGGCAGAGGTGGCAGTTTGCGGATCAAAGAGCACAATGAGCAAATGGTGCTCCACTCCATTCTCTTCGATGGAATAGATCGGTCGCCATTCACCGATGAATGCCAGTTTAATAGCCGTGTCTTTTGGTTTTCGGTCTTTATCCTGAGCATCGCATGATCCCAAAATTACTGTTTCTGCATCAGTGGATGTCGTTTTTCTTTTCTTCTTGGGGCGTCTGCTTGATGCTTCGTCGTTCTCTTTAAACGGCGTCTCTGGCATCACGGGTCTGCAGGAGGGTTTGTGTTGTGGGTTGAGGTGCTTCATAAAGTCCTGAAGGACTTGAGATTTTGTCAAGCAGACTTGACACGCGAATCCTTTCGCCGTCTTTGTGGTGTTGGTGTGTTCTACATATGATAGAACCGCGACAACCAACGACAACTATGTTGCAGGCGTCAAATGACATCAGTCCTTACCACTAAAACTCATTAAAGCTTTCTCCAGGTAATCATGCCGGCGGTTCTGCAGAGATCTTTTGCTCGCAAAGCTTGCTTCGCGTGACATTACAAAGCTTGAGTCAAAAGAAGGACCTGAGCAAAGAAGAATATCTCGGGATAATAGCGAAACGATAGCGAAGTGGTGGCGAATGGTAGTGGGACGGTAGCGAAAATCATAGCAGAGTAGCAAAAAGACTTCAATAGAAGATGATAAACAATGAAAAATAAAAATGGTCACAGAAAGGGTTAGAGTTTTGGCTGCAGGAACAGGAGCCATTCAAAAGAGAACAGTCAATTATGCTGCGCAGCTCAATTTTTTAAACCCCACAATGGCCCCTTTTTTTCAACCTCAACAATGACGTAAAATAGCTCCCTTCTTTCTTTTGTTCAAAATGAAGAGAACGCTTCTTCCTTCCGGCTACGATCTACCAAGAGGCAGAGTCAGTTCTGGGTGCGCCCAACCTCATGTCTGACCAACGGCGTCCATGGGTCTTGATATCCCCTTTCCTATCTTTATTTTCGGTGTTTCTGCCGACGTATTGTCAAAACCGACTCCTGTTTTCCTGGTCAATCGTTGCTTTCACCACAAGCAGTACGTTGCAAACTTCACCTCACCGCAAAATCTTGGGAAACATCTAACGTCAATTATTCAGGCAATTTTCAAGACCAGGATAGCTCTGAAGTCCGGATTAGCACCCTCATGGTTCTTGCTGGATGCATCCTCTCTTGAATGGTTCACCACTCAGCAAACACTTATCGACAAGAAATGTTTCGATTTGTCCGACGCATTATATAAAATGCAACTTTCCCTTGAGGACCATTTATACGTCCTTCTTGCTTTGGCGTCGATGCTGCTTCTGTCACCGCCCAGTTACCCCCGAGGAATTGAAGCCTTTCATCAGCCATGACAATTGCTGGCTATCATCCAGCTCATCGGAAACAATACAACGTCAACCGGTTGCCGATGCCTGTTCATAGTGTAGCCAACACCCTCGCAGTGATCGGCAAGCTTACCACTGGCTCCACCAAAAGAAAAGAGGCCATAACGCTACTGAATGTCTATCATTGTCTGAACACGAATCTAAGTTTGCCGACGCGTCGTTGCCATTGGTGAAAGATTTGCTGGAGAAACAGGGCTGAGGTATTGAGTTAAACGCAGCCAAAAGTAAATATCCAACTGGAAGCCCTAATTCGGAACAGGTACGAATAAAAATTTGAACGTTGAAAGATTTTCTGAATTGATCCGTCTTAGTGTCGCGGCCGAATCTTTTCGAAATTGGCGATACCAAGAAATGACCAACGTGGAGTGAAACAATCAACGGTGATTGACGGATCCATGACCACTTATCGTTGGTCACAGCAAAACTTTTCACGGCACCGTACGCCATGTCGACGAAGTGCTCACCAAAGCGGCTTCAATCAACCATTCCTTATCCAAAAGAAATGCAAATTTGCTTACCACAAATTACGGGTCCTTGGATACATGGTGGGCAAGGACGGATTCGAAATGGACCGCGTCAAGGTGGAGAAGATCTTGCGATGGCCGACGCCAACTAGCCTCGAGCCTCACCGAGCTGAATCGTTACGTCAAGCTTATCCAATTTTATCGACGGTTCATCCCCTCCTTCTCCAAGGAAATCTCCCCACTAACCCAGTTGAAGAAAATGGATGTGGCCTTCCATTGGGGCCAGGTTGAACAACGGTGCTTTGAAAAATGCAAAATGCTCATCAGTTCGGAACCGGTGCTGGCGCATCCCGACTTCAACGGACTATTCGTTCTTTTTACAGACACGTCGGGTATAGGCCTGGGAGGTGTATTGACGCAAAAGGCCGACGCTGGAAGTAATATCCACCGGCCCATCTATTCCGGTTGCGGTCAACGCAGCAGTGATTGCCTCAGGATCTCAACTGTTTGAACGACAAGCGCTGCCGGGAATTCACTCCCAAAATCTATTCTTCAATGCAAGTTCACACCTGTATGTACCATGGATGTTTGGAACGCTAAGCTTCCCTTCAACTATTTGTTCTTCATATAGTATGTTGCTTTTCTATGACCTGTTTTGTTTAGATCTGGGTGCTTTTTTTTTTTTTTACTACCCACTCACTTCATTCATAACATCAATGAAGCTACGACTTCTATTTACATGTCATTCTTTTTATAATGAACAACTGTGTTTCAGTTCCGATGGTCAGTATATTTATAAGCTACCAAGTGTGTTGATAAACAGCGGCCAAGAGGCACTTGTTTCTTGCCTTTGCTGATTCTGAAAGATAAGTAACATGAAATAATACGTGAGTCCCCGCGGAACTTTAGCATCGGCGTAAAAGCGCAGTGATATAAATCTGACAGGTTTCCCATTTAGTGCGCTGTAGATGAAGATCATCCGTGAAACGAAGCTGCAAAAATCTACAGTGCCACAAGCAAATTTTTAATATGATCCGTCATGCTGCATGGCGTCTAGACCGTCAAATCGAGAAACCCAAGACTAAAAAACAATGAGAAGAAAAAAACAAACAAGAAGCCTGTAATTAATCCAATTATGTATTTTGATACTGTACGCCGCCTCAGGTGACAAGGGACTGAGCTATTTTCAGTCGCCCTCCTCTTACTGACAATTGTGAAGTGCAGGAAGGAATCACAGATGGTGCCTTGTGAGAATGAGGGAAAATAAACAAGAAAGAGGAGGCTGCCGATGATCCAAAAATGGAAATGACAAGGTGCATGTGGATGGTAAAGAATGAATCAAACGTTCCAAGCGGGCCAATGCTGATGGATTCGAATGTTGGTATTAGATTTCTTCAAATTCTACATCGTCGTCGTCGTCTTCATCGTCTTCCATGGCAGATGAAGCCGGGTGGGCGGAGGCGGCGGCAGGTTCAGCAGTGTCGTTTCCGTCGGCTCGTGATCGAAGAATTTCCAGGCTTTTGTTCTTTAGTGCTGGAAGCATTTCTGACCATATGTCGAGTTTTTCGGAATACTTGCTGACAGCTTCCTTTTTAATGGCAATATCTCGTTTTAAAAGCGTTACAGACTATCGGGGCCTTTTTTGAGTCTCGCGTCAACCTCGCTGTCACTTGTAAAATTTATGAAAGATCACCTCTGATAAAGACAATTGCTCATTTCCCATGGCTCGCAAACGAATATCCTTGATCTGTTTTTCAACATCAAGCATGAGCGACTTTAATTGCTTTACATGCTCTGTCAATTCTGATTGAAACATGCGCATTAGTGTCATTTTGCAGTTTTTTGGTTCGATTGTGAGTAACCGTACCTTCTTGATCGTCCTTTTTCAGCTGAGGTTCGACTAGTAAGCTTTCAAGGCAGGTGTCAAATGCTTTGCCAATTTGAACTACTGTTTCCGGAAGACTACTGGTGTTCACTGACATTCTTTATTGTTCACGCACAGTTTGAAAGCAGTTCATTCTGCGTTTGGCACTCTCTCGTGGCGGAGAGTTAACTTGTTCGTGACGGCTTCTCTGTATCCATCCGCAAAACTGCTCACTCATGCATTGCTGTCAATCGGCTTTTCTGATCAGTTATACAGTCGAATGCTGCTGCCAGATGAGTGGTAGTTTTGGAACTGTTCTCCATCCATTAGCACCATTCTTATGCCCATACACCTGCCAGCAGGTCGGTTCCTGGGAAATTAATCTTTCAACTGCAAGCATCATAAGATGATTCATATCGTGAACAAACAGAATGACCAATAGCCCCATAGATCCATTCAATAAGTTTGTCGTTTTAAGAAATGATGAAAAAAGCAGTTAGTTGCCTCTTTAAAGCGTTCAAGGTACCAAAATCGGATCCGTATCAGCTTTAACAGGCTAAGCACCTTGAAATCAGTCAACCAGATCCATAATGCAATGTATTAAAACATCAACTAAAGTGAAGTTGAGCTAGTTATAATTATTCAGCTTTTCATGCCTTTGATAGTGGACGCTGATCAGTCGACTCGAACAGCAAGCGTGATCAAGGTTGTCGGAGGCTGAAGTTGAAGACCGGCCAAGTGGCTTGGGCAGAGTGAGACTTCTTTTTCTTCGGCCGAGAGTTCTCTGCTTTCGGAACCAAAAAATTAGACACTGGAGTTTTTTTTTCTTTCTGATCGTTCATTATTCCCGCCATGGCAGCCGCTAAAGCACGTACTCAGAAAAAGAAATCCGCCGCCGCCGCCAGCAAGGCAGATAAAAAGGTTGAGAAAGTACAAGAAACCGTGATTGTAGAACCCGTTGTCGAAGAAGCCGTCGTGGAAGAACAACCGGAAGAGGAGCAACAAGAGGAAGAAATAGAAGAAGAAGAGATCATCCCCGAAGCCATTCCTCTCGAAGACTTGAATGAAAGCGATATTGACGATGAAGATGGTGATATCATCACCGAGCAACGCATCACAGTAAATAATACCGTACGTTACTCGGAATTGGCATTTAAGCGTTGGAGCGATCGATGATCGATGACTAACTTTTATTCACTGTATAATAGGAAGCCATGACCCGTATTACTGAAGATTTCAAATTGAAGAACTTACCGTGGATTGAAACCATGACTTTGACGTCTTCGGAACCTATTGTCCTCGCCGATGTCCACGACGATATGGCTCGTGAATTGGCTTTCTATCAGCAGGCATTAGAGGCCGCTAAGATCGCCCGCGATCGGTTCAAAGAAGCCGATGTGCCTTTCAGCCGACCTGATGATTACTTTGCGGAAATGCTCAAGAGTGACGAACACATGGCCAAAGTACGACAGCGATTGTTGGATGAAGATGCCAAGCTTAAAGCTTCCGAAGATGCCAAGCGTCAACGTGAGCTCAAGAAGTTTGGCAAAAAGGTCCAGGTGGAGAAACAGTTGGAGCGCCAGAAGCAAAAAGCAGACATGTTGGAAAAGATCAAGTTGCTCAAGCGAAGTAAGTTATTATTTCCCAAATACATGACCTGACAACAGTGACACTGACCGATTTTATTTTACAGAGCGGAAGGATGGTGCTGGTTCCGATCTTACATTGGACAACGATTTCGATATTGAATTAGAAAATGCCGATACCAGAAAACGAGCAAAAACGGACAAGAAACCAGTCAATTACAAGCGTCAACACAAGGATACCAAATATGGTTTTGGTGGCAAAAAACGACATGCCAAATCCAATACGGCCGAGTCTTCAGCGGAATTGGGTGGTTATAACAAGATGAAGGGTAAAGTACCCAAAGGCAAGTCCGCCAAGCGTCCTGGCAAGGCAAAGCGTCAAACGATGAGAAATAAGAAATAGTAGACTTTTTCATGAAAAACCCCACAAAGCTCAACATTGTAATAAAGTATCGACTGCATTTATTTTCACTTTTATCAACTCTGTTAACTCGACTTTTTTCCCTCGGATCTATTCTCATCTGGGTGAAAAATAAGTGAATAGGAGGCGATCTTTTCTTTTTTTTTTCAACATGGAGCGAATCAATATTCTGCGTCCCCACGTGTTGATTGCAGGCAAGTCCGAGAATCAGGGGCTTCGAATTCCTTATCGCAACATGACGTTGTGTTATGTGTGGTATCAAGTATGACATCAACAGTGTCATTGCAATGTCTTTTGTTGGGATGATATTGTATTGAAGGAAGGGCTGTGAAGAAAAAAAAAACACCCACACACATTTGCTAGCTGTAGATTTAGGTACAACGAGAGGATAGATTATTTTCTATTGAAGAGATTACTAGAATTATGGGATGAAAGCTCATTTACAACGTAATGAAATATGGTTTGTTTGTTTTTTGGTGACTATATTAATTAAAATACGGGAGAACTATGGGACTTAGCGTGGACGGTCAAGATAAGGGAAGAAAGAGTAGGTGTGTTATCAGCGAGTTTTTTACGCTTGTGTATTGAGCTCGGTCAAAATGACCACTTCTTGATGCTGCTTGATTTCCAGCTTCACAGGCTTTTCTCCGTTACCACGGTGAAGGATCTTTTCATTAAATTGGATTTCGGAAGGATGGCTCGTCACTGTGGGTAATATAAAAAAAAAAAGGGGGGGGGGAGCGAAGGAATGGGAATATAAGTCTGACTGAAAAAGGAAACTTGGTTCACTCATCGTTATCCACTTACCCCAATGAATACAGCAGCACAACACGGTTACGCACTGTTGTTGACAAGATCGTTAGCATAAATAAACTAAGATTAGAACCGTGTGTAACGCTCGGACTTACCAGGGTGATGATGCTGGAAAGAACCAGACCTCGTTCTTCGCCTTGATGCCAAAGCATGATGCAATAGTTGACGATAGCGCTAACAATGGCCATGATGGATGGCAAGAGGCTGTGTCTTGCCATGATGTAAAGATTGGTGGCTTGATAGTCCGTTTGTTGGGCAGTATTAGGGAATAACCAGTATTTGACGAAAATACCAGTATACAAACTGGCAACGAACACATCATAACAAAGTACGGCTACGGTAGCAGGCAGTTCATGCCCGATGCTACAATGATAAGGGAATTCATCACGAACGGAAGTGACGCGGAACCATGTCAACAAGACAAAGATGGCAATGTGGGGGATCATGAGACAGATATTGGTAATATAAAGTGGGCATCGGTATCGTGGTGCTCGAGTGGCTGAAATAACGTAAATCTAATATGATCAAAAATCATAGAACACTTGATGAGATGCATGGCTCGACTGGAAAAAGAATAAAAAGAAAAAAGGTTTTCTTACCTTTTCGACGAAATGCATGTAAAGGGTGACTTTGAAAACGGTGTAGAGCAAAGTGCAGTTGTAGAAGGTGAGGGAGCAGGAGATGAAATTACCATTATTGGTACTGGTAAGCATACAGGCAATCAAAGAAATTGCCCAAGCGATACCGTAGAGAACCAATAATAGACCTTGACCATAATGGATAGGGCCATCAAGCATGGCAACTTTACGTCCAAAGATCAAGGACAGAATAGTGATACATGAGACACTGTTGACTTCGGCAAGAATTTCCCACTCGTCTGGTGAATACATGAAGGCAAACTCAAATGGATCAAAAGAAATGTATTAAAAGTTTCAGGGTAAAGCTACATTTATAAACGCATTTACATTTTTTTTATGATCATAACCAGGGGATTCTAATTTTTTTTCTTGTGTCTTTTTCAGAAACAACATCCAAAGTTGTTAACCTTAAAATCATGAACCTGGACGGAGCTTATTTCAGTGTCCGCTTTGATTGCTCCCTAAATAAAGGTTGTTTTTTTGCACATTACAATGGGAAACGCGGCAGCTCCCTCCTTTCCCTGACTGCAAAATGATTGTTATCGTGATGCAAAAAGGCTTTTAGGAACTTAGAATATCATATGACTGTTTCCTTGGAGAAAGTAAGACCCCATGTTCGGGGTAACTGTTTTTTATTCGTCATGAGGAGTATCGCAGTAAGAAGGACAGACGCGTTGATCGACAATCTGGCTGTAATTCTCCTGAAGGGCTTCAGGCTATCCACAAGGGAAAACAAAAAAAAACTCAGAACCGCAATTTCATTTGGGGATTCGGGTTTTTTTTTCACCGCTTCAAGGGATTCCCTAAAACGAACCCTGTTTTTCGTGGGCAGCTGCAGTGCGGACATTCATTGTGTCCGATGTGACCGTCCGCGGACCGCGTCCAACAATTTCACCGCCTTGGACACCACGGTCGCGTCTTTTTTTTTTTTGAATCGCGACGTGTCTTTATGACGACCATGGAAGAGCCAACGAACGCAGAGGATCAAACTTTCAAGAATCTCATTCTGTCAACATGTACGGCCTTGGGCGGCATGGAAGAACAGGAACAAGCCGACGGCACGATTGTCCAAGTCTACTCTGTTGGTGACGAAGGCCTCGGTACGATAGTCTATTGCAACTACCTTCGATTCATTGTTTACTAACATTTGCCGCAGCTTGCTTGAGAGACTTGAAGCAATTTATTCGTGCTGACAGCAGCAATCCCGAAAAGATCGCTTTGCACGCCCTGGCCGAATTCAAAATCGTTCAAACCGATCTTATCCCTATCATCTTGCGTTATGCCGACAAATTACAAACGTCACCCATCGATGACAAAGAACGTGAAATAGCCGAACGATTCGTCTTGGCGTGTGGTAGGTGGCAAAACGAGAAAAAAACAGTACAATGACACGTGCAAAAGCTAAAATTGAGGGCGACAGTCGAAGTGCTCGTACCGTTGACGTGGCCTGTTCCCACTCAGATCGAACAAGAAGAAGACAATATGGGCCCAAATATGCTTCATTACCATCGCCAGTATAAATTGGCATTGATGGTGCCTGGCGTTCTGGAGGCTGTGCTCAGTTTGCTGGAAAGACCTTTGAGCCTACCCCATAGGTAAAAACATGGATCATGTCATTTAGTTTTCATTGTCAATGTTTGTTGACATTCTCGCAGAGAACGTTCTTTGCGCGATCAGACGATCATCCGTCTAGTTCTCTATTTCCTGCGAAACTTGGCGGCCATCCCTGATCTGAATGTCTCCCAAATAGCCTCCGACGATTTACTGGAAATGTCGTCACTGCAGGTGAATTCCCATGGTAGCAAGGAAAATTCCGACGCGTCTATTGACACTATACTAGGAAACAATGTTGATCCGTTTCTGCGAGTCAAAAATGATGGATTTACTGTTAACCCTGGCCTCCCAGAGCACAGACGATGATTTGGCAGAATGGAATGTGATGGTGCTGGAAATTTTCTATCACCTATTGCAAAACATCACTCCAAAAGCTGTATTCGCAACAGATTTGAATGTTCAACCGGTACGTGGGCCAACTATGATCATCGCATGATTCTGTGACGTTGGAACAACAGAGAAACGGTCTCAGACGATGGGGGGTGCGGCAAAAGGCAAACTTTATTCAACTCAATCTATACTTTTCCATAGTCGGCCGAGATTCCACGTTCGTCCAAAAAGATGGCCTTGTTGATGCAACAGGAGAATGAACAAAAGCGTCTCAAAGCCCGACTTGGCCCATCTCGTCATTCCCGATTTGGTGGGGCCTACACACTCCAAACTTTGGTAACTAATTTTATCCGTGCCGGATACTTGAAGAAAAAAGGGGTTATAACGTAGTGGAACTATAGGGCGACCCAACCCAGGTTCTTCTAAGACAGGAAGGTGGCTATGCCGATCTAGGATCACTCATGGATGAAAGGAAAAAACCTGATCGTCGTGGCAAAAAGAGAAAGGAAATGGTAACGATACCATGTGCGCGAGATCTAAGGCTTACATTGACATATTGACATGTTTCTCTCTTTACTGGTAGGATGAAATCAGTGTTCATGTAGCCTATCATCGAGCGCCTGCTTTACGATATTTCAAGCGAACTGCCCAGGATTTTGTGAAGAACTGCTTCAACAGTAAGTGAATGGTTGTTTTTTGCCATTATGCCCACTCTTTTTTTGCCCACTGACAAGAATCACAGATTTTTATCACTCCATTGTACGTGATATCCAACGTGAAGACAAGAAAATTGTCGAAAAAGATCATATGCGCTTTTCCTTTACCATGAAATGGTTCCTTGAATATTTACTTTTGGAGATCGCGGCTTCTAAGAAGTCCTCCCAGGCTCCAAAAAGGCATAAACCGAACGACGAAAAGGGGAACGACCAGGAACTTTTCTTACCTCGGCGAAATGCATCTTCCCCTACCTCGCACGAAGAGGTTGGGATAACACCTGTCCCTGCGGATGCCGACCAAATTATGGAGGAGCCAAGGGAGGAATTCGATTTCGATCTTATTGCTAATATCATGGATATCCGGGTGTTCTACCTCATCATTCGCCGTCTACGAACATCCATCGATGACAAGGTAAAGATAATCTTCGCTCCCAGTTGACCTGCACATTGTTGTTAACCTATCGAACTAGCTCTGGGTGGATGCGCAAGTCACGGCTGATTGTCTGCGGCAAATGGTAAATGCTGAAAAGCGTCTGGACCAAATGGAGAAACGTCATGTTTATATTTTCCGCAGCTTGTTACTGTAGGAGTAATGTACGAATCAAAACGCGAGGACGATCGTGCGGTAGCCGAGTATATACAAGGCAACATTTATCATGAACAGATGACTTTTGACGTGGCTATCGACATGGTTAAGCGATACAAATACCAATCCTTGGGGTAATGAGCGTGTGTAAAGATCTAAATGCTATACCGATGCTCAAATATCAAATTAGATACTTGCAATCAGCAGTGCTACTATCGCACATTCTTTTAAAATCGGTGGAGCGATTTTCCAAAGACAAACAAATCATGTTTGTTAGAAGACGCAAGAAGTCCAAACCAAAGAAGAAGACCACGCCATCAGCCACCGGTAAGTAGAAGAACCTCGGTTTAACAATTGAATAGCTAATGTAATACGAAATGCGATAGATACCAACGCAGACGAGACAACAGCGGGTAGTACGGGCACAGATGCACCTGCAGACGAGAATGTCAATGGAGCAGACATGGAGCAAGAAGAAGAAGAAGAAGACGACGACGGAGAGGAGGATGAAGAGCGAGAAGAATATAGGGAACAAATGTTTAATTTCAATGCTTTTGAAGCTGTAAGTGAGCAAACGCATGAATACCATGAAGCCCAGAGACTCATTGTATATACAGCGATATGCCAGCGACGAAGTGATCCGCGTTTACTGTACTTTATTGGAGCAATACCAGACGCTGGAACCCGAAATATTACATTGTATTACTAGTCTATTTCATCGACTCATGGTCAAACGACAAGTGGATTACATCTTTTGGAAGGTAAGTATTAGGTGTCTTATTCAGAAAAAGATTGGTTTTGTTTATCATCCCTATAGCTGCCAATTTTGGAGCTATTCAATCGTATCCTGATAGAGTCGCGGCTCATGCATCACACACCCAATTTTTCCCAGTTATTGCAATTCATTCGTTACTGTACTCGTCAATTCTTTAAGCGGGCGGAAGAATACCCATTGATTTTCATTGAAGTGCTGTTCAAGCATGCCAAATCAAGAGCGCCACAAGCGTAAACACATGTATATAGTCCTTTTCTTTTTATTCTTATCGTTAATTCGCCTACCACTGTCCATTATCATCTTGCACAATATAGATCTATTTATGTATCAACAAAACTTAAAAAAAAGTTCCTGTTTCTGTTCCTGTTCCTGTGTTCTCGTTAATTGCGGCAGTTAAACATCACAACAGATTGGTGATTACAACAGAAATTAAAAAGCGCCAATCCTATGATCCTTAAACATGAGTCATTGTAAAAATATGCATACAAATGCGCTGGCACATGTGCATTAATGTGTTCATCATAGTAAACCTTAACCTGCGACTGCTTGTCACTCTAAATTGACAAATATACCATCCGTTGATATGATTGTACTGTACTTACAACAGCGTTTATTTTCTCGAAATCACTCAATGAAATTCTCAAAATAATAATGATGATCATTACAGTATCCTCGTTGTGCAAAATTTTTGCAAGTCCAATAACGATCTCCGATTACGTATGCAAATGCTTATGAGGGAGCAATACGTTATTGAATCCTTGATAATACGGAGAAAAAGGGCTACTATTGCTTTTCATTACTTTTACTTACTCCCATTCGCATTCATTGTTTGCAAGCATATGCATGGGCAATAGGAAACAATGCAGAGATTAAGGTAGGGACGTTAAAATTTGCAGATTCTGTAACTCCTGTTTTCTATGTGGCCCTCACAGAAAAGGGAGATCTTCAGAAACATGCATGTTACACAGACACTAATTCATATCCTGTGCAACGGGTCAATGAACTCCTTTGATCTGCTTTGGGGGAACTAGCCGCCGACGGGTTGTTTTTAACGTTGTGGAGTAGCATCCTATTTGGTTTGTTTAGAGGATTGCAAGTCCGCCTGTGCAGTTTCGTTTCCATGGCCACTAAGAATATAGTAAAGTTCCCCTTGATTTTACATCCAAGTGATGTCCAGTTGTTGAAAGTAGGAATCATCTCAGGCCCACAGTCAGGAAATGAATTTTCTCTATTTCGGGAACATTAATCGATATGGGAATCGGCGATAGTCGCCGACACGATCATCCCAGTTGCAAGGAGTGACAACATCTTGTGTACTGTGTCTAGCAGAAGAATACAAGACGCGCCAACTCTTGGTATAGCGAACGTAGGAGATTAACATATATGGTAATCAACCATATTCCCAATTGCCTTGTGTTTCCTCGGCCGTGAAAAATGGATTTTTCCACTCTTAATGTTACGAAAAAATTCTTTGGAAAGCAAGAGAACACGAATGCCACACGGTTAGCAGTAAGGAAGAGGCCCGATCCCCTGATGCAGATATAAGTGAGTGGTGGGATTCTGGTAGAACAGCACTGTTGAATGGCGTCATACGGATATTACTAAGAGTATACCATGGACTGATCACCGATAGTGACGGAAAAGTTTCACACGCTAAGAGATATGTACAGAACGATGGGATTGATAGGTATACCATATAAATACTATACCATCCCTGTCATATGCATTGCCCATTACAAGTGCGCTGATAATTGTGAAAATGTCATGCATCCATGCTATAAGCATGCTGTGAGAAAAGCAACCTCATGAATATGACAGTCAGACAATGGCTGGTGCTGGCAAATTATAAGGCACACTCGATCAGCAGAGTATAATACGTCCAAAGGATGATTGAGGATCCTAAAAAGGCTTATTTGACATCGTTGTTCCTGTCACAGTAACAAGTTTCTCTCTATTTTATTATATTTCTCTTATCAGTGATTGATCATGGTCAATGCAAGATCTTGTTTCAAGAGTTTCTACTGATTAGGATGGTGTGTCACGGAATTAGGAGATCGCGTTTTTGGGATTTCGGGGATCTACCTGCACGTACTGTAGAGATGGGACAGGTGCGACATTAAACTTTCTATTCCGGTGGATATCCAGGCACAGGATGATTGGACGCGTTTTATTTTTCTTTTTCCGAGGTGATCGGAGACACAATCTCAAACACAACGACGATCCTACACAGAAAGTTCCGATTTGGAATCCTTGTCATTCCTGTCATCGTAGACAAAGTAATTTTTTCATTTTCTGAGCTTTGACAGCCATGACCATATGCAAGAAGTAACTGATTTGAGGGATTGAACAAATAAAGGTATTTTTCACCTAGCGCGTCGTTTGTGCCATGGACGAAAATAAATCAGTCGACTATAGCAACGCTACTAGCCATATTCTGCATTGCTCCACATAGGGTGAAATTGGTATGTGTAACGCATAAATTATTCTCCACTCCACAATACAGCACGGTCATGATCTATTACTTGCTCCACAAAGGAAAAAGAAGCTAATGGAAAATGGAATCGAAGTGATACTTGGTCCTTATCATGTCTCTCTGTACCCACTTGATCATGCTCTAATCAGGATGCAAAAAGCCAATACAAAAGGAACAAACTCGCGTGATCGTAAAACTGCCCTGAACAAAATGTTCTGGATTGCAGAATAACCACTGTGTTATATTTGTGTGGGTATTTCACATGAGAACACCACATTAGCAAGCGATCATTGGTGACAGCAGAAAATTCAGTTTGTGTAGCCTCAAGCCTTAGCAGCGTCCTCGAAAGAAGAGTGAAGCATGGCTCAACAAAAAAATTCATTTCCGACGCGTCCTGCTCGTTCCCATACTATAAAGTGAACCGTCCGCTCTTGACTGACTTCTTCATCTTGTCCTTTTCCTCTCTTTATCCATCTAAAGCGTGGGATATCCATTGGTGAACCAGCGCATTGTAACGCTGCGTCGGTTAAATTCATCTATCTGAACTCACAAAACTCTTTGGTTCACTTTTTATTCCCGTCATTATTTTTTGTCTCATCAGCTTTCTCCCTCCATTCATTTTTTTCCCTCTCTACTACGTAATATATAATGGTTAATAGCTCGCACGAACATCAGCCATTGCCCACCAACATTGCTCAGGACGAGTATTATCAAAATGCGCGTGATCGAAGCGTGGAAGAAGGTTCCTTGGAAGAATATATGGAGAAACCGGCCGCTCCACCGCGACGTCGATTTTACAAGAAAAAGAAATATTGGATCATCTGTTCCGTCATCAGCGCCATTGTGATCGTCGTCGTCGTGTGTCTCATTGTATTTGTCTTTTTCCCAATGATTGCTCAATCGCTCATGAACGGGGCCAATATTTCGGTCGAAGAAGCCCAAATTACGTTCAATCCACCCCAAGGTCAATCAAACGCTTTGCAACTTATCAAACGTCAAGACCAGCCCTTCGATCCTCAGTCTACTTTTTACATGTCCATGAAAAGTAAAATGAGCAATACGGGTCCCTTCTCTGCCGACATCAAGTTCCATAATCCAATCCAAGTTTATTATAACGATACTCAAATTGGTACCATCACTTTGCCGGATTCCAAAATCTCGGGCGGCAGCGGTGAACTGAATGCCGTTACACCTTTTTTGATTTCCAATACGAGTTTTTTTGCCGCCTTTTCACGCGATATGCTTGCATTTGAAAGCTTCAAATGGAAAATGAAAGGCCAGTTGGATATCACTGCTCTCTCGCGGTAAGAATAACCATAACAGACATCTGGCGATCCGTGGCATCAAATTGATAGCTAAATTCCTTTTTGGTTGATTTTGTTTAAAGTACCGCCACGGTTAACCTCGATAAGGATATCAAGCTTGATGGTAAGACAATCTTTTCATTCAACGGATTTGGCATGGTGCCATTTTTTCATTTTAACATTAGCCATTCTCGGAATCCGGCAACATTGTGGCACTCATGATCCATATTTCCAAATGTAGGCATGAACGGTTTCCCCGACGTCAGTATCGATTCCTTCAAGCTTCCGGCCGACGACCCCAACGGAGGTATCAAAGTCGAACTTGGCACCGTCCTCAAGTCACCTTCGCCTATCGGAGTTCAACTGGGTACCATCAAGCTGGCCGTCGGTTACGAAGGTGTTCACCTCGGTGATGTAGCCTCTGATAATGTGTCGCTGAAGAAAGGCGACAACAAGATTTTGCTCAAAGGCACCCTGGTTCCTCAAAACGATACCAACGCTTTGGACAAAGTGAGCACTCTCTTTTCCAACTACGTCTCTGGCAAGGTTTCCAACACTACGGCCACAGGTATTTCTGCTGCTCCCAACGGCAAGGATCCTATTGGCTGGCTTTCGGAAGGGTTCAAATCGGTTCAATTAAACGTCGCCTTGTCTGCTGCTGCGCCATTGAACATTATTCACGCTGTGAGCATGGGTTACCTCGACCTTCAGTTCAACAAAGATACTCCTTATGCTCCCATTGCTAGTGCACCCAATGTAGTCGCTGATTTCTCCATTCCTTTTGGGTTTTCCTTGAATATCACTGAAGTGTCGCAGAACATCACCCTCGGCACCAACTCGACGGGCAATTTCTCCGTCATTCAAGTCCCCTTTGTGCCAGCCAAGAGCGATCAACAAGCAGGAAAACTGCAGTTTGCTATGGAGAATGATGCCATCACGGCTCTTCCCGACAAGGAAGCGGCCTTCAACGATTACACCTTCTCACTTACAGCCTCCGACCTTTATTCTTTCCAAGTAGGCGGTAATGCTACCACCAAGACGCAAACCCCGCTTGGCCCTATCACGCTTTCTGGCATCACCTTTGAAGTTCCCACCTCGCTTCACGGTCTCAAGTTTTTGAACAGTACGCCAACTGTCATTAACAGTCTTGACGTGTCCGGTGGTACCAAAGATGCTATGCAGTTGGCGATCAATGTTACCATGGAGAATCCATCTGACTTTAGTATCGGCACGGGCGACGTGCACCTCGCCATGTTGTCCAAAGATACCCATTTGGGCGATGTCCTTTTGAGCAATTTGAAACTGAACCGAGGCTCGAATACCGTGATTGCCAGTGCGTCTTTTGATCCCAAGTCCAGCTCCGTTGGCCAAGAACTGTTAAGCTCCTTCGTCATGGGTAAGAACAACGATGTCCAGATCAAGGGCCACGAATCGTCGACTGAGGTGCTTTCCCTTGCTGCTGCTCTTGGCAACGTATCGATTGGTTCAACCTTGCCTGGTCTCAAAGCCCCGCTTGTCCAGGGATCCGCGCTTACAGTGTTGCCCAACACGATCCAGACGAGCGTCGTAAATGTTGCAGTGACGATCGCCAATCCTTTCTCGGCCGGTTTATCTATTACCAAGGTCAGGGCCGCTGCCAGCTTCCAGGGTATGCCCGTGGGCAATATTGATCAAGATATCAGTGGTAACGCTTTCAACATTGGTGGTCACGCTACGGCCAACTCTCAGCCTCTTGATATGAAGATGAATCTGGAACCTACGGCTGTTGCGTTATTGCTTCGTCAGCTGGCTGTCCAAGAGAAACTCGACACGCGTGCTTTGGATGGTCTCCTTGGTATGGGCGGTTTCCACATTGAAGGTCAACAAGACGTTAAACCTACGGCTGATATCTTCCAGGGCTTCAACATCTCCAGTTACGTGATGGATGCCATGAAAGCCTTGAAGGTCGATCTGCAACTTGAATCCGGTCTGACCATTGGCGAGTACACAAACACACTCCGGTTTTCCCAGAACCAGGTCCAGGTTACTACCGACGGCACCGTTACCGGTCTGATTCCTATTGTGGGCCAGCCGATTGTGCAGCAAATTGTCGACGGCGCTCAGCTTGCTTTCGAAACCATCGTGTTGTCGGCTCCTACCAATGAGAACTTCAAGGTACAGATGACAGGTTCTATTACCAAGACCGGTCCCATGGATGCCGCCATTAGTTTCCCTCAGCCCTTGACGGTGGCCTGGCAAGGCAAAGAACTCGGTAAAGTAACCATGCCAACGATCCAGGCCAAGGCCGATGCGGGTGCTCAGTTCAACGTTTCCGGCGACTTTACGATTAGCAACCAGAATGATATGGCCGAATTTTCGACTTATCTGATCGGCAACAAGGACTTTGTCTGGGATATTCGCACGGATACTGTCAGTGTCAACGCGCTAGGTTTCGAATTCAAAAACATCAAGATGGAGAAGTTTGTCACACTTGCAGGCGCCAACGGTTTCAAGGATGCCGTCAAGATCAACTCTTTCGATTTGCCAGCCAACGACCCTGAAGGTGGTATTCAGTTGATTGCCAAGACCAGCATCAATAATCCCAGTCAAGTCGGTTTCGATCTGGATGGCGTTGGTTTCCAGTCCATCTTCAAGGATGTAACGCTTGGTCCTCTCGCTTCCAACGGTCGAGCCGTGTTTCCTCCCAAGGGTACAGCCAACATTGAAATGAAGGGTCGTCTTGTCAAGCAAACATCTGAAGAAGGCCTTGCGGCCGTCACTGAAGTTTTTGAAAACTACCTTTCGGCCAACAACTCTGTTCTGACGGTAGCTGGTGAGTCCGGTTCAGGTCCCAATGGTCAAGTTGGCTGGTTGAGTCAAGCCTTCAAAACGCTCAAGATCGAAAACGTGGTATTACCTGGTCCCAAGGAGAAGCCTACCCTTATTCCTTCCATTACTCTCAAGGATATGGAAATGGACTTTACAAAGGATGCCTACGCGCCACCTTCCGGTTCCAAGCAAGTTGAAGCTCAACTGAAGAATCCATTTGGTTTCCCCTTGGGTGTCAGTCAGTTGAACATGGACGTCAATGCCAATCAAGACCATCACGATATCGCTTCGATGAAGGTACCGGATGAAAAGGCAACGACGAACAACGCCGGTTTGGTGACCACTCAGTTCAGCAATGTTCCTTTCTCTGTCAAGGACGATGCTCATTCATTGTTCAACGATTTTGTCAAGGCTTTGACCTCCTCCCAAAATGTTACCTTTGGTTTGGCCGGCACTTCCAATGCCATCGCCGATACCGCTGTCGGTGCCTTGAAGCTGAACAATATTGGCTTTGACGTTCAAACAAGTCTCGCAGGTAAAGAATCAAGATATACACTTATTATACTTGCATAGCGATATTCACAAATACTCTTTCTTTATATTAGGTTTCAACAACTTTGATGGCAAGAATAACATTCTCAGCTTAAAGGTCGTTGGCGGTACTAGCGAGTACGTCAAGGTCCAGTTAAGGGTGGCTTTTAACAATCCTTCGCAAATCACCATCACGGTGGGCGATTTGAGCTTTGCCGTGATGATGAATGAACAAAACGCGAACGTGGGCAAGGTTATTATGAAGGACGTGGTGATCAAGCCTGGTATGAACGAATTCGACGCAGAGATGCAGCTCGGTGGTTCCGACCAAAAGGCCGTGTCCCAAATGCTCGGTGATTATCTTACCAACGCCAAGGTGCCTTTGACGATTCAGGGTAACGAACAGTCCTCACAAATTGCCAGTCTTCAAAGTGGTTTATCTACCGTTCATCTCGCTACGACGATGCAAGGTATCCAGAGCAACCTGGTGAAATCCGTCAAGGTATCGGCTAGAGCGATCGATATTCTCGGCAAGAAGGCCACAGCGTATGTCACGCTCAACAACCCTCTCGACACCGAATATGCTATTTCCAAGGTCAAGGTCGATGTGACTTATCCCAATGGTGGCCAACCCTACAAAGTGGGACATATTGATTATGAACTTCCTAGTCCCATTACCGTGCCTGCCGGTGGTACTGCCACGACGGATGGCTGGCCTGTTTCCATCGATGCCAATATTTTTCAGTTATTCGATCTGCTGGGCGAGTCGGACAAGAGCATGAATCTGCAACAGAATGTCTCGGTAATCGTTGGTGGTAGCTACAAGTCCGAAATGTATTATTATCAAGACAAAGTAGCCACCGAACTGGATGTATCTTTCCTTGGTATCCACATTCCTTCCAAGAGCAAGGACGATGGTAGCTCCGACGCGGCCGCTAGTTCCAGTCCCGCCAGCAGTGCCTCTTCTTCAGAAACGCCTTCTAAGAGCAGCAGCAGCAGTTCCTCATCGTCGTCGACCTCGTCACCTACAGCCAGCAAAGAAGCAGAAAGTGCAAAGCCTTCTGAGAAATCCTCCGAATCCGACAGCAAAGACTCTTCCTCTGGTGACAGTAAAGCGAAATCCAGTGACTCTTCTGACTCGGACGATGGCAAACCACACTTTGTCTGGCCATTTAAGATTTAGTTTTTCTTTAGTATCCAATAATAAAAAAAATGTTTAGTTTCTACTTGCTAAGTTTTGTTCACATCTATTTTTTATTTCATCTCACAAAATATATCTTATTCTTCAATTTCCCTTTGACACCTTTGGAATCCTATTATTGTTTGCCATGCTATGAATACTAGTAAATCAGTAAAAGAACAATCGCATCTATCAGAAATTTATACGGAATATCTGGTATTATTTGAGCGTTGGGAGGACAACCAGCGGTGAACGACGCATTTCTATTGGCCAAGGACCATGGTCGATTTGTGACGTGCTTTTTACGGTCGCCGTTGGTTGATGGCTCACTGGGTGAAATTCTTTCAAGATCACACATTGTCTGATTGACTTGCCTTACTTGTACAATGTCATCGTTAACATCGCTTAGTGTCAGTAAGTAGATATTGCTGCCTTTAGTTGCTTGCTTTATGGGAAAGAAAACTAACTGCGGTTTTCAAGATAAAAATAGTACACGATTCGCACCTACAGTTAGAGGCCGTGCTCGACGTCCTCCTGCTCGGCGGCCGTCCTCCGTTGCCAGCGACAAAAAGCCGCCAGAAACACCTGAATCGGAACAGCCAGCAGAAGAAGCGGCGGCTGTGAAGAAAACATCGCAAACCACCCCATCATCGGAGCTCAATTCCACTCCGCGACGTCCTTCGATCATTATGCCTGCACCGCTTCCGGGCCATCCCCTCAGCGTTCCTACCATTTCATCGTCACCCGTGGTTGCAGAAAGCAGCACCTCAAGATCCGTGTCTCGTCAACCCGTCGTCATTCCAGCACCCGATCACGAATCGCAAGATGTATCAGTACCTTCTACAAAATCAGCAGCATCCAAAGGCAAAGGTCGAGGTGCAGCGATAAGCATTCCCTCCATTGCATCGGGCTCTCCAAGCGCAACTGATCAAGCGGCGGAAAGAAGGGCAAGTATAGCAGTGTCGCTGTCAGGAGAATCATCAAAGTCACCGAGGACATCACGACGACGTAGCAAGGCAAAAAGAGGCGTATCAATCGACACACCTGCTGCAGCTTCGCGCGGATCTGCGAAAAAGCGCAAGGCTCAAGCGATTTCTATCGGCGAACCTACGGTGGAGCCGTCCGATGACGAAGAAGAGGAAGTCGAAGGCCGTGGCCGAAGGAAAAAGGGACGATTTCAGAAGCAGGAGGTGGAGGACATGCTTACGATTGATGAAATTGATTTTGATCCTGCCGTACCCGACTACCTGGATAAGCCCATGAGCTACTTTATCCGTGATATCCAGAAAGGCATTGTTTCCAAAGCGTTCAAGGAGTCGGAATTGGAAAAGGAACGCAAGCGAAAAGCGGAGCAAGAAAAGGCCAAGATGAGCAAAGAAGAACGAGAATTAGCCACACTAAGAGAACAACAAGAAGAAGAGGAAAAGAAAAGAGTTGAAGCAGCAAAACGAGAAGAAGCGCGATTAAAACGGGAAAAGGAACAAGAAGCCGGTTTAAAGGAATCGTAAGTCATGTTGCATAGTATGTTGATTCAGGGGATGCGCTTACCATATCATTGTATGATAGATCGCATGCACTTCAGGTGCGACTGGTGAACGGAAAGATTGTATTGGATGCTGATTCACTTACGGTGGATACCTCGGCGCCGGCAGAGGAGGTTTCCTACGAAGCCATGGAGGTGGTAGAAGAAACCGGTATGACAAGAAAAGTTAATAGCCGTACGTATGGCAAGCATGTACAAAGCCCCCGATGGTCAGCGGACGAAACCGAGCGTTTCTACGATGTAAGTGCCTTTTACCAAATGCGCTTTGGTTTCCCCGGGTTACTGATGTAGCTTATCTTTCAATTACAGGTCTTGGCTCAATGTGGTACTGATTTCGAAACAATGTCTATCCTTATCCCCAATCGAACACGAAATCAAGTCCGAATGAAATTCAACCGCGAGGAAAGAGCTCATCCCGAGAAAGTAAAAGATATTTTGTATCGAAAAAGAAAGCCTCTAGGTAAATACCCTCTGTGGTCATGACTACAAATTACTGTTTCTCACATTGTATCCGATGAATAGATCTTGCCAAATTCAAGGAAATGGCGAATATTGAGGAGCTTGAGACGGTGCCTGACGACTTTCACACAATGCAACTGGCATGAACGAACGGCGTTGAGAGATTTTGTTTTCCATTGTACATACTTTAACCTCACTGGTGGCTGCCACTTCCCATTCATTCCTTCATTTTCCCATAAAAAAGCATTTAATACATGAGCATAAAAGGCTAAGAGGATTAAAAGGATTTTGTGTTGGGGAAAAACTTGATGTTTTGACGAGTTGTTGATGATTACCGCACGGTTCTGTAGTAGCATTACATGCAGGCAGATTGGAGGATACAAATATTTAATAATTTAAATACACAATATAAGAGGCAAAATAATTGCCATACAAAGTCTATAGAAAAGTGAGGTCAAAATGCAATAAGAATCCGTCGGCTACCAGCGAGCCATTCTTCATGCGATTGATTGTGAAGTTTCGATAGAATCGATGAATGTAAAATGCACCAACTAATATTCATCGTCTTCCGGGCCCATCAATGTCGGTTCTCCGGCTATAATAATATCATATTAAACCATCAGCATCATATCAGTAGAAAATTGTGCATATATACCACGATGTGAAGCTGACCGGTAGCTTCGTTGATTTCTCCACCATCGTTTCACGCGATCGGAAAATAGAATAAATTGTAAAACGATCACTGAATCAATGGACAGTTGAATGGCTCCGCAAATATCGAACTGAAGTGGGGCATGGGTATAAATAAAGTAAAATAGCTTGAAACTGTCACCAAGGAACTACACATGGGCAATTTTGATTGGCATCAATGTCAAGTCTGCTCTTGATTCAACCATGCAACTGGTGACCTACCCAAGTGGCTAACACAAGCAAGCTAAAGCCTACTGTGGATCGGCGCTTGTAATTGGAGAAAGCTTGCGGCAATGGTAATGTGCTCTCGATGCCGAGACTGACGGTTCCTAGAATTTCGAAAAAGACAGGATGGGAGCGGAGAAAGAAGTAAAGGACAGCAAGAACGGTGGTGACCAGTAACAGGCAGTTGATATAATCCAGATAACGGTCCCATAACCAAAATCTGCCTGGATGCCAACAGCGGTCAGGGCGATAATCAGCCCCTTCTTCCTCGGCCCGCAACTCATCATCAATTGATGAAGAGGAAAACGATGCCTGGATGTTGCTGTAAAGCGCCGAAGGAGCGGGATCATGCCGATATCGAACCACAATCTCCAAAAGTAAAAGTTGGGCGATAATCATGATAATGGATTGTATCAGCAGCGTCACATCAAATCGTTTCCCGAACCTAACAACGAATACAAGAAAAAATGCCCCAGTTAAGCAACACCTCTTTTAGGCAATTTTTGGCTCGAATTATACCAAAAGAAGATACGCAAGATACTAAGGCATACAATACATTAGAATTTGAATAAAAAAATGAAAGAAAAAAACAATCGCAACTATATGAAGCTCACTTTGCAAAAAGAAGAATGGCACAAGTAATAGAGTTGAAACCGGCACTCGATTGTTTGCGACGAATCATAAAGTACTGGGTAAACTGTATGAAAAATGCTGTGCTGTTGCGATGACTAGTTGGCTTAATTGGAGTACTTACTTGGTCTACATAGCCCACCACAGGGCCAATGGCCATGGCAATGGACAAGAGAACTGATGTAGCATCAACCATAGCAAGGCTATGCTTTAATTTGGCTCACCATAACCCTTTTTGGACAGCGCTCAATGCTCGTCTCATAATGCAGTCACGTCATAGAATAAATAAGAACAAAGGCGCCCATCGACAATTTTTTTTTCTTTGTCTTTCTCAACGGGGGAATGCTTGCTCACATGAAGTCACTACTGATGGGCAACTGCCGAACCCAACACTACATGTGTATTTCGACCAGCGTTCCTACTTTTGAACTCTGGTCAATTTTTGGAACCCTTTCGGGGTAACTTTTTTTTTATAAAAAAAAAAAGCGGAAATGAAAAAAAAAACTGAACTTAAAGGAGTAACAAGGCAACCAAGATGATGATAAAAAGTGAGAATATTATAAGAGGTAGTGGAGTTTGGGGTATACGTGGGCATGCAAAAGGATTATATGATTGGATGCGTAAAGGGGGGGGGGGGGATATGGATAGTGCTTAGTGAATTTGTATAGGAAGTGATGGCATCTAACATAAGAAAAAGAAAAAAAAAGGGCATAGACCGGGTTGGAAGCTAACGTAGATAGGAGTAATAGAATGTGAACCATTAAACATGATCTCTTAGTTTTCTTGTCTTTCTTGTCTTCTCAGCTGCAGGTGTTGCCTCCGTATCGGATTTTCTCCGGTTTTTCCGAAATTCCTGAGTTCTGACATGGCGCAACACAGGAAGCGAAATACGGTGGTGGACGGTTCGTGGCGACGGAAGATCGGTCATGGGCTCAACAGGAGAATACTTTAACGGTTTAGGTGGATATTCTTTAATAACAGGAGGTTGGAATGTATTCAAATGGTGTTGCAGTTGGGGCATGGAGTGGCCGTGTCCTTGTGGAAGAAATATGGTAGTATTAATGGCAATTTTGGATGGTGGCGGTAAGGATGTTGCGGATCCGCCGTCCCTGAACACCGATCGTGGTGAGGATTGGTCAAGATCGTTTTCTGCGCCATCGTAGGATCGCGTTCCCCTAAACTGGTCCAATTTGGCTCGCAAAAAAGCGGATGAACGACGTAAAAGGTCTCCAGCTGAGGATCGACGTCTGCCCTGGGCATGGGCTTTGCTAATGGGTCTTCCTGGCCCCTCTACCCCCTTCTCTGATGCCTGAACCTCATTTGACGCAGCAGCATGAGCACATCGATTAGGTGAATCAGCGTGAACAGAGGGCGTGGATCTTTGCAGGGAATGAGACTATTGCATAATAGGTGAGTTTTACCTTGTGTGGAACTCATTGCGCACGTTGATTTTACAAACCTCTAGCGAGCGTATAGTTTCGCTGTGAATCTGGGATTGTCTCTTGTCGAACTGGTGCATTACATCGTCAAAAAACGAGTCTCCCTGAGCGAAATCTCGAGGAAGCAATAGCCACTCTTGTTGTCCAGCTTTGGGTGCTGAATCGAGTGAGAGACTCATAATAAGTGGCTAAATTATATGGGATATGGATGGAAAGAAGGGTTCGCAAGACAACGAAAACAGAGAGGAAAAAGAGAACCAAAAAAGAAAACAACAATGAAGGATGCTATCAATTTTTTAATTCGTCATGCACGTGTTACTTCCCTCAAATTGATGGTTGCAAGTCAAAATTTGACACCCACTATCACCTAGAACCCTGGCGGTCTACGATCTATTTTTTTTTTTCTAGGGCAACAAAGAAATTGGGTATAAATAAATATCCTACTCGCTGCCCTGGAATCTGTTATTTCCCCACATTTGCAATCTATCACCTTTAAATCATTTAATCACCAAAGCGTTCATGTTCCTGGAGACTTTTTAGTCACGCGCCGACAATCTGAGTTACCGGTTATCCTGTGAATTCAAAATTTCCTCCTGGCACCTCTGTATTTGACATAAATACGTTCAAGAGGCAGATCAAAAGTCCAGGAACGTATTTGATTGTCGATATTTCAGAGTCAATAAGGCTTTGTAAAGAAAAAAAATCCCGCATCGCCTTCTTGAATTGCATGTAGAAGAATTTCTTGATCTTTTCGTCTTGATCTTTTCGTGCAACCAATGATCTTCAATGTGGCAATTGGTAGATTGGGTGTTTATTGAGCTTCTTTTACAATGTGTGGGAGAGAGAGAGAAAAATGAGTGGTATGCGAGTTTTATCCGGTGAGTAACAGTCTTAGATCATCTTCAATGTCTTTTGATGATAATCCAGATGTTTTTGGTGCCACCGGGAAACCAATGGCCTCTTTGATATCTTGTAGTTCGGCAACTTCTTCTCGTTGCTCGCGTTTGTGTAACAGCATGGCATGACCATCTGGAAACGCATCTTCCGCTGTAAAACAAAAAAGTAAATACAATGGATCACGCCGTCGAAATAAGGACCAATACTTACGTCTTATACGATCGTTTAACCTACACCGCTCCACATCCATAGCCCATCGTCTCTCATTCACTGTACTCAGCAACTGCCTTCGTAACGCTTGACGTTGTGACTAGAAACAAAAAGAATAAAACAAATTGCAGCCAATGAGCAGGTGCCTTGATAATCAATCATCGTATCTTCATCGCTTACAATAAAATGAACATTTGCTTGGTATTCAAAACCTTCAAACTGTTGTTTAAAGTTTTCATGTTGATATCGTCGCCATGCCTCTGCACTGCGAATTCGTCGTTCTTTCTTCTCTTCAATCTCCTCCATGAGCGTTACTAATTCCGGATGAGTCCCTACACGAATCCCAAATGCACACATGAGCCATCTTGTCTTTCAAGAAATAGTTCGCCTTTTGCTACTGTACCATTAGCGATCATGAGCGCTTCCTGATTTAGTTCCGCCATTTTCTCCTTATACATTCTATTCACACAATGAGTTTTCGCTATTCCGACAGTGGCTTCATTCAACAGTTGTACATACTTATCGCGGAGTCTGGCAAATTCGATTTCTATATGTGTCAACGCTTCCAGGGCTTCTTTATGTCGTCTTTGATATTCCTGATCCTCGTCTTCGGTTCCTGTGCGAATGAAAGGAATCAGTACCCATGTGTCTCTAGTTGGCTGTTGTCTAATATCTTGCCAAAGTTCGTACCTTCCTCTGCCGCTTTGTCTTGCTGATCCTCTTCCGCTTCTGCTTCGGTTTCTCCAGACGTTGTGGATGCTGTCTTTATCCGCATGACGGGTTGATTCTCTTTATTATTGGAAGTTCTTCGTGTGGAATTCGCCTCCATTGTGTTATTTCCTTCTTTTTTCTCTTCAGACTCTTTGGATTCTTCCGATTCTTCGATTTTTGATGCATTGTCTGGCGGTTCAATCTCTGCAGACCCTGTCTCCTGCCTACTCTGTTTCCGCCGGCTTTTTGTCTCATCCGCTTCTGTGGCCCGTGATGCTCGTCGTTTCGCACTTCGTCCCGCAATGTGATCCGCATCGGTGGTCTCTGTCTCTTTGATGGTCTCTTCATGGGTGGTATCATGGCTAGGGTCGTGATCGGTTGTCTCTTCCTTTTTCACAGTCGTCGGCGATGCTTCATCTTGTTTCTGTCGCTTTTTCCCATTGACTGTATCGATATTATCGTTGTCTTCAATTTCCTCACCAGCATCTTCATCTTCTTCCTTCTTGCGTTTGCCTAGTAACGGTATATCCACAGGCTCGGGTGACACGGAACGTGAGAGAGGAAAATCGTCGGGAACAGAGGATAAAGGAGATGCAGAGTACTGTTCGTTATGTAAATCGTCATCATTAGGATTGTCAATATCTGTTACTTCGTTTGACAGTGGTTCGGGTGAATAAGCATGCACAGCACTGCCAAATAAACCGTCGTCATCATCCAAGCGTTCAGAAGGGGTTAAAGGTCCATCGTCACCGTCCAACTGTTCGTCCACGCTTAATGCAGAAGGAGAGGACCCCAGAGATAACTTTGAGCTCTGCCTTGTTGGTGCATTGTCGTGATTAGTATCGTTGACCGTCTCCATGGAATACTTGGTACAGGATAATAGTAAAGAAAGGTATAGAAAGTGTATACAAGGGAGTAAGTGGGGGGCTTTGATATCGACCTTTTCTAACACGCGAGTCCAAAATATCGATGGCAGTGAGCAGGTTCAAAAAGTAAGTGAGGGGGGTAAAAGAATGCCAACCAATACTGTGTGGAATGGTAATTAAATGAATACAGAGCCACTCTTTGGAACGATCGTCGTTTATTTCAGCGCAAAATAAAAAAAGAAGAAGGGAAAATTGAAGGGCAACATGAAAGAACGGGAAACTGTCCGTTATGTCCGGCTTGCTTACGTCAATTTCCGGGTCGGATTTTGGACCGGGTGAGACAACCCAAACCGATCCTCTCTTTTCTCGATTTTGAGCCCACATTCGAAGAGTTTCCTCCCTTTCTAAACGATCCTATAGCGGAAGATATGGTGAGTGCATCATCCAACCGTTCATTTCACATCATAGAAGGACATTTTTGGGGAAAAGGATGCATCAGTACAAACGAACGACGATGGATGGATGGATATACACCTCGAGTACAAAAAGCAATGGATCCGCTCGACCTTTACGATTTCGATATACCCACCCTGATTAGCCCAAAAAGCAGTTCAATTTGCGCAACATGATGCCAATGGAAGGTCCCAATGTCGTATTCTTTTTCCCTAAAGGACCCTTCTATGATGCAATTTGAAGAAAGTGAAAAACGGTTCAACGATTACTGACGCTTAGGCCATTTTTTCATTTTCTAGGACGCACAAAAGCAGCCCGTTAAGCTCGCCCGAGTTATCAAAGTTCTTGGCCGTACTGGCTCCCGTGGTGGTGTCACCCAGGTCCGCGTTGAATTCATGGATGACAGCAACCGTAGCATCATCCGTAACGTCAAGGGTCCCGTTCGTGAGAACGATATTCTCTGCCTCTTGGAATCCGAACGTGAGGCTCGCCGTCTCCGTTAAAAATTCATAAAAGCGCCAACTATCAAAAAAGATCAAAAATTGAAAACCGTCTTCTTTTTTGAATAATGAAGCCTGCCTTGCAATGAACCGACTTGTTTATTTGGTCTTTTTTTATTTTGATGTGAAGTAGCTTGAAAATAAAATTCCAATTCTTGGGCATTGAATAACTAGAATCTCTATTTCTTGAACGGTTATGCCTTGTGAACTGCGAGGCTTTTCTCCACCCACTTACTGCATGAGGTGGGCCTTTGGATAAAGTCGTCACAAAACATTTGAGTGGCTTTGGTTGGACAAGCCCTGAGTCATCGGCCAGTTTTCCTTTTTGTCTTTTTTTTTTTTTCTTCCTCTTCAAGGGCCGCTTTTCCTTCCCTACCATTTTACCTTGAACATGACATCCTTGACTGCCGAGCAGAAATACGACCTCATCACTCGCAACTTGCAGGAAGTACTTGGCGGTGACGAGATTAAGAAGATTCTTGCTGAGCGAGATTTGAAAATGTACTGGGGTACAGCTCCTACCGGTCGCCCTCACATTGGTTACTTTGTGCCAATGTCCAAAATTGCCGACTTTTTGGCTGCCGGCGTCGAGGTAAGATTTCTGCAGTAAAACTCATATGCTTTTGGTGAGATGTGTATATACTCATACTTTGATTATTTCTTTTTTCTTCTTCTTTTGTTTTGTCCCTTATTTTCATTTTTCTTTTGAATTCTGCCTGCAATGGTTTATTAGGTTACCATTCTTTTAGCTGATTTACACGCTTTCCTTGATAACATGAAGGCTCCTCTTGAACTCGTGAAGCACCGTGCTGCTTACTACGAACAACTCATCAAAGCAGTGTTGACCTCCATCGGTGTTCCTATCGAAAAGCTTAAATTTGTGACCGGTTCCACCTTTGAATTGTCAAAGGAATATACCATGGACAACTTCAAATTGGCTGCATGCGTCACAGAACACGATGCCAAAAAGGCAGGTGCTGAAGTCGTCAAACAAGTCGATTCGCCCTTGTTGTCCGGTCTTTTGTATCCTGGTATGCAAGCTTTGGACGAAGAATATCTCGGCGTCGACGCTCAGTTTGGTGGTGTGGATCAGCGCAAGATTTTCGTTTTCGCTGAAAAGTACCTTCCTCAGTTGGGTTACAAGAAGCGCGCTCACTTGATGAACCCCATGGTCCCTGGTTTGGCCGGTGCAAAGATGTCCTCTTCCGATCCCGATTCTAAGATTGATTTCTTGGATGGCCCCAAGGATGTGCAGAAGAAGATTAAGAAGGCTTTCTGCGAAGAAGGCAATATCACCGAAAACGGTCTATTGTCCTTCATCAAATCGGTCTACTTCCCCCTGAAGAGTCTTTACGGCAACAAGCCTCAGTTTACCGCTATCCGCCCTGAAAAGTACGGTGGTAACATGGTCTATGATACCTACCAAGCATTAGAAGATGATTTCAGAGATAAGGTTGTGCATCCTGGTGATTTGAAAGCTGGTGTTGTCGAAGCTATCAATGAATTGCTCGAACCTATCCGCAAGGCCTTTGAAGCTCCCGAAATGATGAAACTCGCTGAACTCGCTTATCCCCCTCAATCCACCACTCAAGTCAAGCAAAAAGTCAACAAGAAGGCCGAAAAGAAGGCAGCAAAGGAGAAGAGAAAGGCTGAACGAAAGGAAAAGGAAAACGAGGAACCCACCAATACCGAGGCATCTGCAGCTGAACCTGCCAAGGAAGCATAAAAGAATTATCCTTTTTACCTTTTTGTTTTTTTTTTTTTCTTTCTGTCATATAATCGTAGATCCAACCCTTTGTTTTTGATGCTTCATCATCATTATCTTTTTTCATGTTTCGAAATAAATCATTCTCATGGTTCGTCATTCGGTTCCTTGACGCTTTTTTCGCGTGTGATCGCAGTGCCCATTGTTTGCCGTAATTCAGATTGGCCCGAACTCCGAATCCGACGTCATTTCGACTGTGTTTTTTAGGCCTACGCGCTTTTTGTCGGGTTTTTCTTTTTTCTTCTTTTCTTTTCACGTACTTGTCATTGGATTCTTCTGTGCTCACTGGAGCCGCATCAAGAATTGTGCCATGGAAATCAACGAACAGACATATGCTGCGCTTCAACAGTATTTGCAGCAAACGCTCAATCCAGCTACTCAAAAGCAAGGTATATTCCATATTCCAACCCCCTCTCATCGCATAACGCGATCAGCGATTGACTCACCCCCTTACTCTGTTCCTTTTCTCGTAGCTGAACGACAACTCGCCGAAGTCGAAATTCAACAAAACTTTCCTTTGCTCTTGTTGAAACTTATTAGCGATGAATCGGCTGATCTTACCCTTCGTTTCGCCGGATCTCTATTCTTCAAAAATTATATTAAACGTCATTGGGTTCCTGTAAGTCCACGCGCTGTTACCGCAAACGTGATTCCTTGCTTCGCGTCCCATTGGTGACTAATTCCGTTTTTTACAATAGGATAATGAAAACGCCAACCACATTGCCATGCAAGACCGAATGGCTATCAAGGCGCAGATCATCCAAATTATGATCAGTGTTCCCGAAAAGCTTCAATTGCAAATCAGCGATGCTTTGAGCATCATTGCTGAAGAAGATTTTCCGGAAAACTGGGATAACCTTCTTCCCGTAAGTGTCTTCAAACCCTCGGTCTTTGTGAATGGTATTAAGGGTCATTCTTTTTTTTTTTTTTACTGCAGGAACTTGTTAGCCGCCTCAGTCCCACTGATTATCGCACGAACAACGGTATCCTTCAGACGGCCCACTCCATTTTCAAGAGGTAGATAACACAGAGATAATGGTGCTCTTTACAATGGATCTTGCTCATTGTGTCTCTGTAGATGGCGATCCAAATTCCGAACCGACGCTTTATTCGCTGATATCAAATATGTCCTGGATCAATTTTGCCAACCTTACATGCAACTTTTTCAAGTAATGTACCCGAAAATAGTTGAACCCGACGGCGATTCCTGACGTTGTTACTCTTTATTTAACCAGATTACGGATAAGCTGATCACGGAAAACGCGACCAATGAGGCAGCTCTTCGCATTTTAGCTCAATCCTTGATTTTGCTGATCAAGATTTACTATGATCTCAATTGCCAGGATCTTCCAGAGTTCTTTGAGGACAACTTGCCGACATTTTCCGAATTGTTCTCAAAGTATCTGGTTTACGGCAATACGTTACTCGAGAGCCAAGTAAGTAGCGAGTTTTCTCGATGTCTGCGTCAAGTACTAAACACAGTGACCGATTTTTTTCAGGATGAGGATGAGGCCGGTCCATTAGAAAAGATCAAGTCGGGTATCTGCGATATCATCGAACTATACACACAACGATACGAAGAAGATTTCCCTCAGCTGCCTTCTTTTGTGCCCCTCATTTTCGACTTGCTTGCTAGTGCAGGCCAGGAAGCCAAATATGACACTGTGAGTGATCTCTTTGTTTGTCTAACATTGGTGATAAAAAGAAATCCAATGGATTGATGAATATTTTCGGTAGATGGTGTGCAAAGCTTTGGCGGTTATGACAAGTATCGTGAAGCTTGAAAAACACGCTCATCTTTTTGCTTCTGAAGAGACAATGAAGAATATGTGTGAAAAGATTGCTTTGGCTAACATTTCGATGAGAAGTGAGTCTTGCATGAATAACAAGCAGCTCCATGAATTGCAGCTAACGAGTCACTTGTTTTTAAGCTGCGGATGAGGAATTGTTTGAAGACAATCCCATTGAATATATTCGCCGTGACTTGGAAGGCTCTGGTAAGCTTTGTTTTGTCATGGCTAGGATAATTTTAATGCAAGGAAAACTCATATCTGATGGTGGGACGGTAGATACTGATACACGTCGACGAGCTGCTGCGGATTTCATTCGCGGCCTTTTGGAACGTTTCGAACCTCAAGTGACATCCATCATGTCACAATATATCACCCACTATTTGGCCGTAAGTCCCCTTCATCATTTCTCCAGTGTTTTTTTTTCTCGGATGCTTATTTGGTCATCAATAGCAATACAATGTGAACCCGCAACAGAATTGGCAAGATAAAAATACCGCCATCTTTTTGCTTGTTGCTATTGCCACCCGTAATGTGACAACTCAGGTAACTAACCCTCAGTTTGAGCTTGGAGATCTCGATTATTCATTTTGATCTGGTTAGTTGGGCGTCACAAAAACAAACGAATTAGTGGATGTCGTGGACTTTTTCAGCAAGAACATTCTGACCGACCTTCAAAGCGACATCAATGCTGGCAATCCTATTCTCAAGATGGATGCGATCAAATATCTGTACACGTTCCGCAACCAGGTAGGGATATACTGGACACCTATGAGAACATTTCAATGTATTGACATGGATAATATTCGATGTCTAGTTGACGAAAGATCAGCTCTTGACCGTGTTCCCATTGTTGGTCAATCACTTGAAGTCGAAAGATTATGTGGTCCATACCTACGCTGCGATTGCTATCGAACGTATTCTCTTCATCCGACAAGGCAAACAGATGCTGTAAGTCAAACATTGATCAGTGGACATTTTTTGTTTTTTATCATCGCCAACACGAGATTTTTTTTGTAGTTTTACCGCAGCAGATATTAAGCTGTACACCGAAGAACTGCTGTCGCTTCTTTTCGCTTTAATCGAACGAGGTGACACGCCGGAAAAGTTGTCTGAAAATGACTACTTGATGAGAGGTACCTTCATTTTTATTTTCATTTCGATGGTTTGTCGTTCAATGGATTGACGTCTGATTTTGTAGCTGTCATGCGCGTGATCATCACCAGTCGTCAGGATATGACTCCCTATGTGAACGCTATCATGAAGAAGCTCACGGATATTTTGGCCATGGTTAGCAAGAATCCTAGCAATCCCAGGTTCAACCATTACATTTTTGAAAGCATTGGTGCCCTCATCAGGTATTTTCTATCCTCTGCGTGGGTTTTAGTATGACATACCTTGAACTAAAGATGATATATACAGATTCATTTGCCCAATTTCGGATACTGCTGTGACAGAATTTGAAAATCTCTTGTTTCAACCTTTCCAAGCCATTCTTTACCAAGATGTTCAAGGTACGATATTCTAGTAAATACACATTCGGGAGACGTATGCATTGGATAACCTGATATTTGCATGATTAGAATTTACGCCTTACGTTTTCCAGCTGTTGGCCCAGCTTCTTGAACATCATACCGGTACAGAATTGCCGCAAATGTATATTGGCTTATTGGATCCTTTGTTGAATCCTGGCATTTGGGAACAAGGTAATGCACGTTGACATGCAAATATTTGAACTCGGCTGACGGCTTATCGTTTATTATTTTTTGCTGTTCATGATTAGGCAATATCCCTGCCCTTGTTCGTTTATTGCAAGCTTATATGTCACGAGGCATCAACACCATCTTGGCTAACAACAAGTTGGAGACCATTCTCGGTATCTTCCAGCAGAAGTTGGTCTATTCACGCCAAAATGATCATTACGGTATGCTGCTATTGAATACTGTTATCAAACATGTTCCTATGTAAGTAAGAAGGATAAGTGATTCGTTTGAGCAAAGTTTTTCTGGGGATTCTCACCACTGTGTACTCGATGAATAGCGAGGTATTGCATGGATACTTGCCGGCTTTGGTGGCTTCCATTATGAAGCGTCTCATGAGCAAGAAGAAAGGCGACAAGATTATTTATGATCGCTTTACCCGTAACTTCACCTTGTGGGTGTGCTTGTTCTTTACTTTGGAGCGTTTGACAAGCCCTGATGTATTGATCAGCGTGTGCGATAGCTTGCAACCAGGGTAAGGAGATGATGTGCTGCCATAGTTGGATGAACTGACTCAACCTTTGCGTGGTGCATGGATAGTTTATTTGGACAAATCATGTCACTGTTCGTGATGCCTGACCTGAATGCGCTGCGTGACCCTATTGACTACAAGACATGTGGTATTGGGGTTGTACGCTTATTGACAAAGAGCAATCTCATGCTCCAAGAGCCCTATGCCAGCCAACTCTGGCCCAAAGTGATGACATCGTTGTTCCAGCAACTCGAATTGCCTCCAGTAGCAAGCGACGAAGGTCCAGATGAACTCTATACTTTGGATATTGAAGAGGGCGGATACCAAACAACCTTTGCCAAATTGGCTACTTCAGCCCCAGTCCGCGATGATCCCACCGCATCATTGCCGTCGTGTCCTATTTATCTAGCTCAACAATTGGTGGCCATGCCAGCGGAAAAGCGTGCGCTGGTAAGTTGATCTTTGTTACATGTAGGATGGTACGATCAGAAAGCTAAAGCTTGATCCCATTTATAGGTGAAATCATTGTTGTCACAAGCGAGCGGGGCAGAGCAATTTTTACCCAAATATTTCGAAAATGCTGGCCTTTCCATGTCGCAGTTGTAAAGTATTTTATCCCACAAGAAAGTAATGCAAAGAGAGAACGAAAAAAAAAGCAGTAAAAAGATTCCTATTATACATTCTACAGTCGAGGCCACATTCTGTTAGAATGCCTAAATAAAGCAGTGTAGTTTAGGCCTACGTAAAGCAGCCAGTGAAATCTTGAGAATCAAAAAAAAAAAAAAAAAAAAAAAAAAACCCACAAAGAGTATTTTCTCTCGTTGGCCTGGTAAAACAGCGAGTGGTCCTTGCCTCAAGAACTATGACGCTTCTAGATTATACGAAACGTGGATTTACTTTTAACTTTTTCATCCTTACTTTTGTTCATCATCTAGATGATCCAGAACTTAAACAAGTGCATCCAAGCATCAAGTTCTTTCGGGAATGAACCATCTAATCCATAGAATCCGTTATGAATCGGCCACAGGGTTTAAAAAATTGCCATGAAGTGCTAATAAATAATTGCAAAAAGGTAGAACCTAGTTGAGGTATATTTCTTCACGGTGAAAGTAGCTCAAAACGGAGAAAAACTGCGTCTGAAAAAAAACCAAGACGAAAAAAAAAAAAAAAAAAAAAAAAAAAAAAAGAGCCAGTCTAATGCGTCTGAGCGTGACGATTTTTTTGCGTCAGCCATTTTTTTTTTTTTTTTTTGGCCACCTCTTCCTCAGCTGCAGGTGTTACTATAGGCTCATCACTTGATCGCACGGCAAAGTGGATACCATCACCAAAAGAAGAAAACAGGGATCGGAATCGCCGTCCAAAAAAAAGCGATTGCTGCCAACTGAAGGACAGGACGCTATGGGCACTCCGCTGTCAAATACGACGACCACAGACCACCGTGCTTCCAGTCTCGGGTTGTCACCGCTTGACGGCCTTACGTTAACCGAAACCAAGACCCACAATAGCGTCGCACCTAATGGAAATATCGTGGAACGCTCAGCAACCCCGCCTTCCTCCAGCGACGAAGATAACGAGCTGGAAAAAGCCTTGGATTCGTGGAACCATGAAGCAGAAACTCAGGCCACCCTTGATCTACCACCTACGGCTCAAATTGAACACATCACAAAATTGGAAAACAAAAGGATGGTGGAGGGAGAGACGTGGTATTGTGTTGCCAAGCGATGGTATTCGAAATGGAAACAATACTGCTCTCGATTAAACAGTGCGTCCCAGCAGACCCGAGCCCTGGGGGCGCAAGCACCTCCTGGACCAGTGGATAATTCCACCATTCTCGATCAAGGCATCCTTCTTCCGGATCTTGTTGTGGATGATGATTTGATTTTGTTACCAGAAGAAGCATGGAACCTCATCTGTCACTGGTAAGATAAATTGCATAAATTAATTTTTTTTTTGTTGTTGCCCAGCCTCCCCTCTTTTTTTTTATTAATTCTTTTTTTCTGTCGTCCACCATCATTTTAGGTACGGTGTGTCATCTGCTGCTATACCTCGACGTGTGATCAAGGAAGGCGAATATGCAAAGAGAACCATTGTAGAGTTGTATCCACCGACCTATTACCTGCATTTTATCCGCACTGCCACTTCAGCACCACCCGCATTATCCACTCACCATTGTCCCCAGATCACGCTTTCACGTACCGCAACCGTTGCCGATCTAAAGAGTAAAATTCTCCAGGTGTTCGAGCTGCAGCCTGATTCGGAAATACGGTTGTGGATCCTTGATGATTCTATCACCACCGATAATCCGCCGTTTCTCGTCATCTCGTTCATCTCTTCCACTTGGGAAAAATTGAATCTCGATAACAATCAGACCACACTCTCAGCTTTATCCCTCACAGCTAAAAATTTAGCAGTCGAATTAAAAGATACTTCCGCTGATGCTTTTCCGACCGATCATATGCAAACCCAGGATCCTCCTGCGGCGGATGTAACACCTATCAATGGAAAGCACGAAACTACTGCAACCACAAACCCACCATCGTTTACGCCGTCGTATACACCTAATACCAGTAACAAGTCGGCGACTACGGTATCTCCTACGAATAAGCCCACTAGAACGCAGGGCGTTTGCGGGTTAACCAATCTCGGCAATTCATGCTATATGAACTCTGCATTACAATGTCTGAGTAATACACCCCAACTCAGCCAGTGGTTCTTGAGTAAGTTGATCGCTTGAAAATCATGTGGTCTTTTGTTCATGCTCTTTTATGCCCATGCTTCTCACTTTTGGTTTTCTATTCTATAGGCGATCGCTATAAAAAGGAAGTCAATCGTGAAAACCCTTTAGGGATGAATGGTGAAATTGCAGAGGCTTATGGTGCGCTGATGGAAAAATTATGGAACGGAACGACAGCTAGCCTCGCGCCGAGAGATTTCAAAGTAAGCTGTGAATTTTTCTCTAGTGATGATAAACAGATGATGAACCTCATGAAAAATAGTATACAATCAGTCGGTTCAATCCGACGTTTTCTGGATATCAACAACATGATTCCCAAGAGTTACTGGCCTTCCTACTGGACGGGCTGCATGAAGATTTGAATCGAATTTTGAAAAAGCCCTATGTTGAATTGCCAGACTTTGATACGATGCCGGATAACGAGATTGCGCAGCGTAGCTGGGATTACCACAAGGCGAGAAATGATTCCATCATTGTCGATCTTTTTCAAGGTCAATTCAAAAGTCGATTGGTTTGCAACGAATGCGGCAAGGTAATCCCAGTGACATGAAGAACGTGTAATTAGCGAATGACTAAGTGATTTTGTCTTGGCAAAGGTTTCGGTGACGTTTGATCCTTTCATGTACCTCAGTTTGCCATTACCGATACGGAAGAAGCGAATCATGAGTGTGGTCTACGTACCTTACGATCCGCAGCAAAAACACGAACAAATTACCCTCTCATTACCCAAAGATGCGACCATTATGCATTTAAGAAAGCAAGTGGCTGATATGGTCCAAATAGATGATCCTTCCACTGTAGGTGCATCATGCATTCTGTGTCTTTTTGATTCGATCGTATTGTTAACGTCGCTCCTCAGTTATTGGTTGTAGAACTGTTCAGCGACAAAATTTACAAGGTCTTTTCCATTCAAGAAGCCATTTCCACCATCGGCCGATCAGATACCGTGTACATATATCAATTGCCTGTGCCGATACCCACCATTGTTTCTCGATGGAAGCCCTCGATTGCTTCCACCAGTCAGGCAGATGAATCCAAGGGCAGTCGAAACATTGTGTTTCCTGTGTATAATGCGGCTGTCTCGGGCTCCAAATCAAAGCAGCGTTCGCCTAATCAATTTGGCGGTCCCATGCTACTGTGTATCAGTGAAGAGGAAGCATGCCGAAGCGAAAATCTGTATCGTCTTATTGCTTATCATCTTCAACGTTATGCTATTGACAAACTGGCTGATGACCGTTACATTGACCATGAAGCTGCGGAAGTGCAAATCGACGATGATCCCACTGGTTACGAACACAAGGATGACACTGTCGTGATGGATCATGAATTTGTACCCAAACCAGACCTGTTTAACATGATGGCATTTTCGCGACGTACAACCTATGGCACAATGGATGATCTACTACCGACGAATATTTCCGCGTGGAATCGCACAGAGCTTCGCAGTATCCGGCATCGGGAAGCCAAGTACATGTCCGAAGCGAGCTCCTTGAACGAAAAGCCATCAGCGAGCGAAGCAAAGAATGACTCCAGCCACTTGAACCCCATTGGATCGGCGGACGATCAAACAGTCGACTCTGGATCACAGCCGGATCACAATTCGATATCCCTGACGCAACCCAAAACATCGTCTCCCCACATGAAAAGCCTCCTTCGGCAAGGCGAAGGCCTACTAGTGGAATGGCAGATAGATACTGCACGAGACTATTTTGGCATGGCAAAACAAACATTTTCACTCCATGACGATGACGAGAGTGGTGTGGATGGAGGCGCCTGGCGGGAATACATCGAACGGAAAAATCCAAAAGCTGAGGAGAATCCGTCGGCCAAGAAAGTCGTCACGCTGTCGGATTGTCTTGATGAATTCATGAAAGAGGAGCAGCTGGGTCAGGAGGATCTATGGTACTGTCCGCGTTGCCGCCAACATCAACGAGCCTCTAAAAAATTCGATTTATGGCGACTACCAGAGATCATGGTTGTCCATCTGAAGCGATTCAGCCACAGTCGAACATGGCGGGACAAAATTGATGCCTACATCGATTTTCCTTTGGATGGGCTGGACTTGACAGAGCGGGTTCTGAGTATTAGCAATCCAGAAGACGTGGCTGACGAAGACAGGTTAATCTATGATCTATTTGCGGTGGATAACCATTACGGGGGTATGGGCGGTGGACATTGTAAGTGAATGTTAATGGGATAAATTTTTAGCACTTGAAATGTTCGCTAAGCTTTACTGGATAATTTGTAAATGAATAGATACCGCTTATGCACGGAACTGGAAAAATCATGCATGGTACAACTTTGACGATACACACGTCAGCAAGGCGAATGCCGCTGATGCAAAGGTATACAGAGTTCATGTGCACTGTGAGGTTTGCAACTATCGAAATTATTGACCTTTGTTTTCCTGTCTTGCTGATAGACCAATGCCGCTTATTTATTATTCTACAAACGGCGGAGAAATGACGAACCGCAACAAAATAGCGATATAGAAAACGATGAGCATCATTAAAAAAAACACACATCATACCTCAAATCACATCAAAAAATAAACTCTACACACATTCATCATTTGCAAATTGGCCATGTAAATTACAAATGAATTCGCAAAATTCTATGCGTACATTACAAAGTCAGCAGAACTGGGAAAATCTGGGGGAGATGCGGTCACGCAATTCTTGGGATGATTGAAAGAGAGCGAAAAAATAGACGTGATTTTGCATATTCTTTTTCTCTCTCTTCCTTTTGTTCTATTTCTTTTTCTCAACTAGGAAATGCCATTCTCGAGTGGTTTTATTTAGAGAAAGCTTAAAAAAGGTTTTCGTATAATGTCATCCGTCTGGGTCCAATCATGCAACCATCCAAGAACGCTCCTACAGACATAAAAAAGCAACGGCGACGTCCGCGAAGACGATCGAGACACCGTAAAAGAAGAACAACCCATTCGCCATCCAACAAACCTTTCCCATCTCCCATCACAAAGCAAGCACAGAATCTGACCCTTGTCGAATTATCCAGGTATAAAGTTACAGTAATGTTTATTTGAACAATGAACACTGAGAACTCATGTTGATGAACTGAGCAGTGAAGCGCATGCATTAGAAAAACAGCTCAACGAATTACAGAACCAACTAAAACTCAATCGCGCGGCTGTTCCTGGAAAAGAACAAGGACGACGAGCTATTGCTATCGCAAAAGAACAAATAGCGACCACAGAAGATGAAATCGATTATGTGCGGAAAAGGTATTTGGCGCGAATGCTGTTCCCGGGAAGGACAGTGCAGTAACCATCGGTCGTAGTCTTCAGCATTGCTATCGCCAGATTCTGACAACAGATATACATTATGCTGTAACGCATCATGTAGAAGAAAAGCTGTGGCGTTATATTTTCTATGCTCGCACAGAGGAGCTCCGGCAGCGGTTGCGTTTGGTAAGTTGGCAATCACTCATCATCCGAGTAGATGATATTAACTTGTCTTTAGCTCAAAGAAGAACCGGACAATGACCTTGAGCGACGTACAATCAAAGAATTTGTCCAGCATATTGATGCTGCCTTCAAGTTTTACCGTGAACTGAATAGCAAGATCAAAGCTGAACATCATATCGACGCCAAGACCATCGGCATCGGTTAGTCGTGAACAAAGTCCTATGTATGCTTTGACTCTTCTCTCACGAAACCCTATTTTTTATAGATGTTTTTCGTAATTCTGGATCGACCGAAGAAGAACATATAGTGATGCTGCTGCAGGCCAATTATGTTTGTATGGGTGATCTCGCGCGATATCGCGCTTCCCAGTCGAAAACGGAAGATCACAGCAAGACAACAGGGCAACATTGGAGCTTGGCGAAATCGTGTTACCAAGAAGCCATCCATATCTATCGTTTGAATGGAAAACCCTACTCACAGCTTGCGCTTGTGTCGCTGTCCAGTGGAAGTGCCATTGATGTAGTATGGTATTATTGCATGAGGTAAGACTTACCGGGCGTCGTGCAAGGAACGGGATATTTAATAGCTTCATACTATAGTTTATACATGAAAATCCCTTCCACTGTTGGTCGGGACAATCTACGTTCATTCTACTCGAAAATCCGCTTCTCAACAAACCATCAAGATTCGAACGATAGCAAAGATGGTAATAGCGATGCACGCAAGACCATATCCCAATTCGTGGAACGTTTCATGCAATTTCACCGAGAAATCATGTTTGGCAACTGTGAAAAGTAGGTTTTACGCCATTGCCGCTTACAGACAGCAGATGTTTCTTTTAACACATCACTATGTTCTTAGAGTCATCCCGTCCACTGTTCATGATTACCTTTCTGCAAAGCTAAACAATTCGCTAGCACAGATCATAGCTGTTGCTGGCGAAGGTAGCAAAGAGGAGGACTTGCCCAAAAAATTCTTTCAATTGCTACATATTTTGAAGAACACCATGATTCGTACTGTCACTACTATGCTCATTACAGTATGGGATCTCAATCAACGGATGAAAGATAAAGGTATGATTTTTATTGACTGGTGTGATTATCGGCTATATTCATTACTCACACATCATGTGGTCCTGTACTTAGCTTTGCTTTCCCGTCGTCCCCAACTGCAAGAAGCTCAGTTGCGTCTACTTACAGTTGCTTTCCTGCTCATGGCATCGATTGAGAAAGCCGTCCAACATATACCAGAAAAAGTTCAATCCAACATGGACGAAATCACATACCAGAAAATGGTCAGCGCTCTTGAAGCTTCGCTTTTGCCACCTTTGTCTATCTGGTGCACATTTTGTTTTTCGAATGTTGCTATTCTTGCTCAGTACTGCGCCAATGTTGGTACAGAGAGTAGACCGGGACCAAAGACAAGTAAGAAAGAATTAGTCACGGTAAGCTTTTTTTTTATGTTCAAATTGAAAGGCCGTCGAGGACCATGTGAAATGGTTTCATTTATCGTATGATATACAGGCTGTGCAATCGTTGTTGGTATCTTTGATTCAGAACCTCGCTTTCCCGGATCCTGTGGACAACCTCATACCTGTTACTTATCCCACTTCGGAGGATCTGCTGTTGTTAGGACTCTGTCCTCTAGCTCCCTTTCAGATCACCGTTGATTTTTTCCGAGAAAATGCTTACGATGCGATCATGCAGCAAGACCCAGCCGAGGTCAAACGCCAGGTGCGATGGGGTCGTATTCGAGAATTCGTGAAAAAACTTGCGGAATCACCGGTAAAGAGACGAAAAATGCGCGCAATGGGATATGCGTATCATTGGATTGATCATAATTATCGATATATAGTCATTTGCTTTCATCCAGTATAATCCAACCGAACAGAATTACAGCGTGATTGACGAAAATGCAAAGGTGAGATTACATGTTCATCCTGTCTATGAAAAAGAGTTTGCAATTAACGGAATATTTGATCATAGCGTCAACAACAGAATCGATTCATGAAAGCTCTGGCAACGCAACGCTTGATTGAACAAGTGTCATCTTTAGAGAAGAATGTGAATAATATGGGTATCCACTCTCTTAAACCAAGCAAAGAAGCACCGCCGGATGTCTACACGGTGGTCATAGATGTCACTGCATTCTTGGACGGGTTAAACAAGATCAAGAAGTGGGCAAATCAAACCGTGAATCCCAACATGCGTCATCAACAAAGTATCCTTGAAGTGATTGTGCCCTTAGAAAGTAAGTTTGTGCTCCCTATCATGGATTCCCTGTCTCCCAGTTATGACTAAATTTACTCGCTCTCCTGTAGCTATTGATTTGCTGGATGATCACAAAAAGGGAACTTCCCACATGAATGTGCAAGCACGTGAATCTATACGGTATCTTGATCAAAAGCTCTTGAAGAGTCAGAGTGACCAGCGAAACCTTGATGCACCAACGGAATCGTACCTTCGAACGCAAAAAGTCACGGAAAAACTCAGTGATTGGGGCAAAGCGGCTGCGTATTGGATTGGTGAAGAGACACGATCCAATATTGTAGACCGTCTATTATGTGAAATGTCAGAAGACGAAGATACGGTGAATCCGTTTGCCTCGGATGATTCGGATGCTGCGTCCACCTCAAGCGTGGAATTGCCCATGTCACGTCGTCGGCGACATTATGAAGAAGACGCATCCGAGGACGAAATGGATGGAAGCGACAACGATGACCGCGTTATTTACGAAGAAAGTATGACTGAAGAAAGTGAGAATCAAAGAGAAAGTGATGATGATGCAAGTGACAGCGATGTGAATGAGGAGGACGAGGATGAAGAGGACGAAGAACAAGACGAGGAAGAATCGGTTACATTCAATGACGTCCCGCAAGCATACCGCCCTATTATCAACTGCATGCTCTTTTACCATGAAAACCAACAGAAAGAAAGTAAACCACCTGTAGATAAACAAGCTGCCCAAGTAGAAAAGTTGGTGCTGGTGACCAATGACGAAGACTTGGCCTGGTGGGCTGAAATGTTTGGCGATCCAAAAAATAAGCAACGTCTACATGTGAAGACAGTCAACGAGTGGGATCGCATTATAAGCACATTGAATTTTGAAAAGGCCTTTGAACACTCTTCGCGGCGTCGATAGAATAATAAAACCAAATTCATAAATTTTGACTCTTGCGTTTCTTTTTTTTGTAAGTGCTGGCTTTACTCCACGCTGTCGCATTCTCTGAGCCATCAGGCATATTCATCAGCTTTTGAATAACTGCTTCAATCCCCCTTCACTTAATTGCAGCATAACATTGAGCATCACATTGACTAGATGAAAAGGTCTTTGTTTTCCAAATAATAAATCTTTTTAACGATGATTATAGAAAAAATGACAAAAAACCCCTCCTCAACTGCTAACTGATATAAACATTTAAGCAGCCTGCTTCTTGGCCTGAGCAACAGCGGTGCGAGTGGCGAAACGGCGCTATAACAGAGAAAAAAGTTAAGTATGTCTGATGGATCATTAATGACATGATGCACAAATGAGGCTTACCTGAGCCTTGAACTTCATCAACTTGAATCTGTCAAAGTCGGACAAGTTGGCGCGGGTTTCACGCTGAGCGAGCTTTTGGGCCCAGGCGGTCTTTTCCCAAGCAGCAATGGTGGCGTTCTTTTCCAAGTACTTCTTAACGACCTTTTGACCGGCAGCACGGGGAAGACCCTTGACGACCAAGCTGGTCAAAGTAAGACGGCGGTAAGGATAAGCCTGACGGGCAACACCGGTGGTGGGACCATCGATGAGAGCACGGTTGTGGTCGACAATGTCAACAATGACAGCCAACTTGCCACTGTCGGCACCGTAGTTAAGGAGGACAACGCGGCCAACCTCGACTTGACGTTTGAAAGCACCTTGCTAATTGAGCAGAAAGAAAAAAATCAACAAGATCAGTAACCAAGCACAAAAATCTAGAGCCACCTGGTCTCTCTTTCTTTTCTCTCTCCCTCTCTCTTTCTTGGCAGGACGGATTAAGCATGGTCATTTGTGGGACGTTGCGTTGGGATAAATGTATGAAGGAAGTATGGATTCTGTTGCGCCTTGATTGATCGCACTGAATGTTGTAAGATGGAGCGGATCGGTGATGCTATTGCTATTTTCGATGTAGAGTCAAAGCCATAATATCGTGCTTCGTCGTTATTCCAGGTCAAAAGGTGAAAGAAGAACGGGAAAAGGCATCGTTTGATATTCCTTGTTCATCCATGTAAAGGACCATCATTTGACGATTCATCCATCCGTAACTTGCTTCGCCCATTTGTATCCATGCCATATCCGTCCTTTTCCGTGTTCTACATATGCAAAAAATCGAGATACGTACCACCATTGTGATGATAGGATCAGAGAAAGAGGGTGGTCTCGGAGGGAAGCTTGTATCGCCAGTTATTCACAGCCATGCGGATCTGGAAATTCCCTTCACGGACATGCCTCCCCGCACCACCGGACCCCGAAATAGTAGTCACGGGGATTTCTTGCGACTCTCTTCGGCTACGCTTTTTTTTTGCGATTCGTATGATCCCTTTCCATGAATCAAAAATACGGGCATTTTTCAAAAGATAACAATGATGAATTTTGTAAAGTCTTTGTATTACATATTATGGAATAAATATATGCGGTGATGCTTAGTAATAAAATCAATGCTTTGTCATACATAATCAATGAGAGACATAACGTAGTGTTGGAGGTCCGGTCTTCCGAGAGCATCTACCATGTTATCTGCTCCATCCACCACAACACTTTTATGATTCCAGAGAGCTTGGCGGCAGCAGTTTTTGCTTCTTCCTTTTAATACTTTGTCGGCTCCATCACTGAATTTAGAGCGACAGCACGAATTAAGGGTCGGCTCTTGAAGAAGCGACGCCTTCCATTGGTGTAAGAGAGGATAATGAATGGTCGCCAAAGTCTGGGTAATTCTGTCGTTTAACGCTTGATATTGTTTTTGTTCTGTCGCAATACGATCTGCTCCATCGATGGCGCCGAAAGCTAAATTATCGTCCCGAGCGTGCTGCAATGTCGATAATGGCATTGCTGAGCGATATTTTCCCAAATGAGCGTTGTATTGATCTATTTCCATCTCAGCATCGAATAATCTGTAATGAAAGCGTGATTCAGCCGTATCATTCAAGAACGTGAAAACGTTGACTGACGGTAATTGCAGGCGATGGATGCATGTCTGTTCGATATATGGGATACCCAGAGAGGAAAGATCGACAAGGGAGGACCAAAGGATTTCGCGATAATCGTTATTTTCATCATCGATACTGAATGGATCAAAGCACTGAGCATGCTGCATGTGAGACGGTTGCATACGTTGTAACTGGTCAAAAGGTGCCCACGGAATGGGGATATCGGCGAGATAGAGTGTAGGAACAATTAAAGTTCGATTGGTATACGCAGCGATCATCAATGCGTTATGTAGAGCGCTTCGCTGCATACGATAATCACTATGAAACCGCCATGGTAACTGATTTAAGCAAAAATGTTGTTTTCCATGGTTCCATTGCACGAAATAAAGAAAAGGAAAATTCAATTACCCATGTGGTAAATAAGTCATGTATTTGGTGGTTGGCTTTGAGGCTGACAAGGGTTCTTGATGATGGATGCGATGACCATTGCTATTCAACGAGATTGCGCGATCAGCAGAAAAAGTTGCTGGTTGCTTAGCAGTGAATTGGCTTTGACAGCCAGTCCACGGAAAGATAAAACTGTAGGACACTGTAAGCTGCATACCCCTCAGCATGGCGAGTTTAAGGCTCAGAATAATGATCAATAATAAACCTAGCGCACCATGATACAGTTTCATAATGAACAATGCAATTCCGAAAGAAGAAGCTGCAACAAAGAGAAAATTGGGTAATCAGGATAAAGAAAAAAAAATGCGAATGAGATATTTGGAATTAATAAAGGGAAAACGGAAAACGCCTTGGGCGTTCTCGCGGAGAATGAGGCTACTATAGTTGAAGAGTTTGACGACGGGCTTGTGTGGCTGTACATTCGAGGCGGAGCCAGTTTCATGGTATGACGACCATCATCGTTTGCTGAGCCAAGTACACATCGTACAGTTGCTCTCGGGAATAACCATTTTTGCTTCTCCGGTCTAGAAGTGTTCGAAGCGCACAAGCACAAGGGATGGTCGCATACACACAGGAGAGACAGGAGTGAAAAAAAAAAATGTCAGGGGATACCTCGAAATGAGAGATTGAATGGCCATATGGGCCCATACTCCTGACCGAAATTCATTAATTTTATCTGGTCCGCAGTTCCCTGGGCGACATGCTTCAACTCATATTGCGGCAGAAGTAAACTGAGTATTCCACACATATTTTTGTTTCCTTTCTAATAAAGAAAGTGTTTATTTTTGGTTTTTTATTTTTCGCTTTGCGATCTATTTTTTCTCTTTCTCTTTTTTTAAGGAAGAATAACAAAAAAGTCTTTTTTTCAGGTGATGAGTAAGATGTAGCACACTAAAGTAACAAAGCCATGCAGACAAAGGGTTTTTCAAAGGCCAGAAACAAAAACAACTGTCGCAAGGGTAAGTAACTCACCGTATTTAGTATCTTGGTATATAGAACTCCTTGGTAACCATAAGGTTTGAGAACTCAGCTGCATGAAGATGATTTGCAACACAAGATCAAAAAAAAAACTGTTTTGATGCCGATCATAATTGGATTGGGTCAAGTAATTGAGATGGCGATGGAACCCGTACCATTGGTTCTAAAGGAGTGGAATTGCTTGGCTTCCCTCGGAAAAGTAAATGAAATCAGCCAAAGCCAAGCCGCGATAATTTCTAATGCCGCCATGGTAACATCATACAATGTGCTCTGTTCATCAGTTCCATGCGAAAACCGACGATCCTTTTTGCTTGATTAAGACACCAATCAAACAATGGTGCTATTTCGTAATGACACTAAAGACAACTCCAAAAACATACTAAATTCCAATTTAGTCTTGGCTTTTTTGCTGTGCTGAGCTTGAAGCAATCACAGTCATTATGATGATCCAGGCCCCAATAATGCGAGCTAAAGGTGTAGTTAATAGCTTCGCATGTTGATGATCTGACTCGCAAATGATAACGACCATTAACAAAAAAAAAAAAAAAAAAAAAAAAAAAGAGCAGCCACTGATCCTAGGTTACAATGGTTCCCACCTTTTAGGGAAGTGGTGGATCTCCGCAATAGGTTATATAAACCTTTTTCACTTTCTCTTCTTTCACGGTTTCTTTCCCTTTCCTACCAAGTCAGGCTTTTCTTTTCTCCTCTGGTGTCCTTTTTAGCTTTTTTTATTCTTCTTTATCTTTTTGGTATACCTCTTTTCAGTCGATTTTTATCCATGTTATTTCTTGCTTTTATCGCCGGTATAACATTACTGTCGGTCGTCAGTGACACTTGGGCAGCGCCGATCACCGTCACACCATCTATTAGCTCGCATCCAATCACTCGCGCCGAAATGGAACGTTTTTCGGTGCAGATCGATTCATTCGCCCAGCTTATCGCGACCCATTGGCAATTTGATCACTTTGAATCGATTATCTCCGGCACCTATAAGGAGATCGCGAACCAGTTCCAGAACCATGTCCAGATCACGGTACAATCCCCTGCACGACAGCACGCATTCCAAAACTCGCAAAAGCCCGCTTCAACCATTCAACCTGCATTGCCGTCGTTGGACATTATGGATCTAGAGGTTCTGAAATCGCAAATTTTTGCTGCTATCCAGGCTCACACGGAAGGCAATTTACCGGTCGCATGGGACAAGTTCGGCGATAAGCTCGGTCGTCAAGCCATCGAAGGGTTCGTGAAACAGATTCTCACCAATCACTGCAAGGATTATGACAATGAAAAGGATCTGCAGAAAGTGTCGTCTGTCTGTTTAGCAGAAAAGGCCGATCAACTATCTGCAGAGCTCGATCGTTATGTCTCTCGTCACCTAACGGATATTTTTGATGCGTTGGATAAGCATGTGCTTCCTGATATGTTAATGCATACAACAAACGATTTGAAAAACGTTCTCGATTATTTCAACAGTGCATTTACTGGACAGGAGTTCGTTTTGGATGTTACACCATGGCAATCTCAACAACAAGAACAAGTGCCCTTAACGGATCGTCTACTCCAATTAGCCACTCAACCACAAGCGACAGCTCAAGAAGATCACCATCCTACCGATTTCTTTTCTCATTATGCTTCGCTGGCGAGATCCTAATCATTCCTGCTAAAATTCTTTCGTTGTATATCCTGACAGGATCTCGACGTTTTCTCTTTTCCAACATTTTGATTCCTCCTTTGTCTCCCGAAAAAAAAAACCGAGCGGAAGGGTTCTCACCCTTCACCCATTGTACATACCGCGATACTCCATCCCATCAGTTGCTGCACATTAACCTAAAGTGCCAACCGAGAAAAAAAGAAACCCCTCACACTCCTTATGTTCTATTTTTTCCCTTTCCAACCACACGACTTGCATTCCTTGTCTAGACATCTTTTTCATTTCATTTGCTTATTTTAATGAAATAGATGTAGCTTCATGATCACTTTGTTTGTTCTTTGTATATACCTATACCCCAGAATAAAAAGATTCATACATTTATTTATCTACAGATACAGAAAATAATGCGATTTGTTGTAAATAAAATCGGGCAAGTCTGGTCTTTTCGTTTTTACTGAATGCTCCGTAGCATTTCTCCTTAAAATACGTGCTGGTACTGCTTCCAATTGTTGGATCATCTCGTGTATCCTTATCTCTGATTTTCTTGCAAGTAGCATTAGTGCTTGAGGTGTCAGCGCGACTGATAATTTAGGTAATGAGACTATGCTGCCAAATTACCCACCTCATGCGTTCAAGTGATTTATAACAATTAGATATGAACTGTTTCCATGCAACATTACGTTTATTGGGGTTCCTTTGCTTTCTTTACCTCCCTAGCTAATTCTCTCTTGGCTCGAAGATGAGACCTTACCACAGTATTTGAAAGGAGCGCAAGTTTTGTGATTCACGTAGCATGACTGACAACAAACATGCAGACATGTTGCTAATGCAGGCACCACTAATACTTTACGTGCGCAACCGTCTCAGCATTGTGAAACTCTGTAATACTTGTTATTAACGTCGCCATGCATCTAATTATAAATGTCTCCGGAACGGCATTTCTTTGTTGAGCATGCTTCCACTGTATTTGCTCACTTTTTTTTTCTTTGGACGTCCTTTCCTTCTAATGTGATGGGACAGACGTTTATTCGCGATGAAGCCAAGAAAAACGCAATTCTATCTGACATCGCAAAATGCATTAGATAAGAAAAAAGTTTGAAAGAAAGGGGCTCAGGATTCGTGGACCAATAACAGCTGGAAATGACAATTAGAGCAGTGAATAAGGCGGCCACCTGCATGTCCCTAATAACCTTCTTCATCCGTTGGAGATGGAAATACAGTATTTTACAGTGGGCTCGCGAACGCGAAGACTGCAGTAATGTGTTGTTCCAGACATCGCCCTTGGACTTGAGTGTATAGGTTTGGGCACCTCATCTTGGCCGTATTTCCACGCATCATATGGTGTGAAGCGATAATAACCTCGAAAAATATATGAGACTACTTCTCAGTAGCAATGTCGGGAACTTTCCATTTTTTATCGTATCTTCTGAGATGGTCCTTAGACTTTGCGTACTGAAGGTTTACGAAAAGCTAAAACGAGAAGATCTTGATATCGATCCTAAATAACCAAATTTAGGATTTTGCCATGACTCTAAATTCACAAATCTGCATTTGATACGTAATCTCAACGGCATTATTCTCATTGGCATGAATCATATGGGAAATAATAGATCATTTGCACAGCCCTCAATTAATCTATTTGCACGTAAAGTTTGTTTATGTGTTTAGCATTACAATTTTCATTAGACTCCTCAATTTTTCGAGATAATAAGCACAGACGAGCCTTTCTTTTTCTTAAACAAGTAAAATACGATAATGAAAAATAAACACGGCACGATGACAGTGCACAACGTCATTGATTACCTCCTTTCACAGCAAAATGTCCGGCCTCCTAATTTGCTTCAATAATCTCTTTTTTAGCTTTCAGCTTCCCCTAGTCGACACATCCAAGCCACCAAATAAGCCACCGAGATCTTACTGCCCAAAGTGATCACCAAAAAAAAAAAGTTGCATTTAACAAACGTCAAGGTTTTTTATTGCATGACTGCAGGGGAGAAAGAAACTTAGTTCATGGACTGAACCAACTGGTTGATGAATTCTTCACGGTCACCAGAGTCACCACCTTCAACGAAGTGACGGAACTTGCGAGGACGCCACATGTTGTTGGGGTTGGACAACTTGAAGGGCCACAGGAAGTTGCTGGCCTCCTTGAAGTGAGGACCAACGGTGGCGATTTCGTGGATCAAGTCTTCAACACAGATGATGTTGTACTTGCCAAGAACCTGTTCAATGACGGCGTTGTCGTAAAGGGGAACACGCTGCTTGTTGACCTTGGCGTAACCACGCTTGTAGATGAGTTCACGGATGGTCTTCAAGTTGGGAGTACCGTAGGTAACATAGGGTTCAACCAATTGGAGCATCTGGGCGGTGGCCTTGTTCAAGCGGACGAAGACACCGTTGTTGATCTGCAAAAGACGCAACAACTGGAGAACCTTGCGGGGCTTGGGAGCAATGTTGTTGATACCGCGGATACGGACAACGAAGACCAACTTGGACTGAGCGGGAACGTAGTAGTTACCGTTGGCCTTGGCCTGACGACGGAGACGGATCTCGTTCTTCTCGGCAGCCTTGTACTCGGCGTGGTACTTGGCAGCACGCTTGAAGATGTCACGTCTCTTGGCGAGTTTAGCCTATAAGAGAATTCAGATCATGTTAGCGATCAACTGAAATATTCTCACTGTCTCTCTTTTTTTTCCCAGTGTCTGTATTCATCGAATTTTCGAGTGATGATTTTGTTATCAGCCCCGAAAGATGGTTAACGTGATAGATAGCATCGCCTTGCGGCTAATCATCGTTTGGATTTACCGTATCATCATAAACAACAAAATCATTTCACCCCTTCCTCGATGAATACTGAAGAAAAAAAAATTTGAAATTGTCGTATTCAACTTGCCTTGCGGAGCTCGGCCTTCTTGGCAGCGCAGTCAGAGGCAGCCTTGGCATCAGCCTTCTGCTTCTTCAACAAAGTCTCGGGGACGAGAACGTCGTTGGCGGTGGGAACGTTGCTATTGAAGAAAAATAAAAAAAAGGTAAATAAACAGGCTCGAGAATATCCACGGCACCATAGGTTCGAAGCATTCCACACAGATGATCAAATTATGATCAGCGTGACCAAAAACTGCTTGTGTCCGTAGATTACAAGAAGCATATGAATGCTTTAGGCTGTATAAAGCTCGTACTTCGGCCTATGGTGTAGAATGTAGTGTGATGGAATAAAACTTACTAAGCGACCATGATGACACCGTCAAAACTGATAGGGAAAGAGAAGGTCAAAAAAAATTTTCTTTGCCATTCTTTATTTTGCCGCACGAAAAAAAAAAAAAAAAAATTGGTGACGTTTGATCATTCAAACTGCGATTGCCCACCTTGAACCGTATGCCAACCAAAAAATCGCAAAAAACCTTCCACTTCTTTACTATTAGCCAAAAACAACACATAATCCATTGCACATCCTTTATAGCTATTCAAAGTAACGAGTACTGATCTAGAAAACCGGAAACAGAAGGAAATTTTCGTCGAAAAGTAGCTGATCCACTGGTCAGTGGCTTGGACGTCCATTGGCAACCCCGTTCTTCCGAAAAAACTCAGGAAACGGAAATCTTTTACTATGGTGTCTTTATCATGTTAACAATGGAGCATCGTACTTAGTAAAAAAGGAAAAATCGATAGACATCCCTGAAACAGATAGAAGTTTACATCCATCGCGGAATATCATGTTCATCACAACTCTTATTAAGATACACAAAATCATTGCATAGTTTACGGTAGGCCGATAAAAGAGAAGGATGTAATCTGCCAGCAATGCTTCAGGTTGGAGCAACAGCCTAGCATTCGATGTGAAGTAAAAACTAACTACATCATATACCCTGTGCAAAGTACGAGATGTCTCGGTCGTGGCCTGCTGTCATTATGTGCGCAACCGATAATTTAGTGAGGCTGATGATCGCGGCTAAGCGCCTTTATATTTGTAGCGTGCTTTTTCTACTTCATTTATATGAACTTGGACCTGATCCATGGTCCGGTAAACTATGGCATATAAGGCGATGAGAATCAAAGGAAAGCTCCAAAAGAAAACTTCTGTCCATGGTGCTCTAGCCAATAATGCTAGAACCGGCGCCACGGCTGTAGCACCCGCTGTCAATGATGCCATGGTGAGATCGACACGCGGAGAAGGATGGACTGCTACAGTTTTAAATGAAACCAGATCTCGGACCGTTAAATGACATGAAGTCCATAAAAGATAAATGGCGAGATAAATCGATGCGATATTCCACGCCGCAGCGAACTTTGGTAAGAAAATAATTGCTGGCAGGTGACGTTCCATCATTGGCATAGTGATCATGGGTGTGCCAGAATTGTACAGGAATAGGATATATCTGACATCGTGATTATCGCATCATTTGTTCTGCTATCCACTTGGCTCACTACTTCCGTCTTTAACTTACATTGGGGTAATAAGCAGTGAAATAACAACCAGCCATCGCTACAATACATAAACGAGCGTTCAATAGTCCGTTTACATTCTAGATTACCGCATTACCATTGGCTTGTCTTACCTGAATTAACAAATTGGAGCGATCGTTCTGCACACGCAATTCCTGCAGTAACTTTTCTTGTTCTACGGTTGCCCATATTAGTAACCTGAGAAGTCTGGCGTCTCACTTCTCACAACCCTACCTTCTTCATCCAAAAACTCGGCTTCATCTTCCACATGGGAAGCTGGTTTTAGTCGATTGTGAAGACCTTCCATGCTAGAACGCAGCGAAAATGAAAAAAAAGGAAGGCAAAACCACTATCAAACTGCAAAATGCTTTCCCATCCTTCCAATATGGCAATCTTGAAACAGTCACATGTAACAAATGCCCTTTGTCCCAAGACGTTTTGACCATTGAGGTATCATAATCGTTTCTGTTACGTGGATATAGGCATAAAACTCCTGTTTCTGAAACCGACTTCCAGACAAGTTCGCAATCCCGTCCATTGCCTGCTTCCATTTTTTCTGTGGGTGCTCTCTATCGCCGTTAACGCACTATGAGTGGCAGCTGTGAGGGTAAGCCCTTAAGACGACGCACCTAACATGTTCCACCGTTAATGCTGAGTGTCCTGTTCTTTATTTTACTTGTGCTGATCGTGCCTAGTCGGCGATATCAAGACTTCGCATACTTGTCATTGGAAAATCCCGCGCTGGTCCGAACTCCGGCCATGTACAGAATATCATAGTCCTCCGTTATATATCGATGACTTAAAATGGTACGTTATTGTCGTCTGAACCATTGACCCGATCGCCAAACTCACAAAGCCGCATAGGTCTATTATGGTATTCAGCCAATGTACTTTCAGACAAGACGTGAAGAGCTGAATTTTGCCGTTATATTTTCTAGCTAGTCAAAGGACGGCCCAACAATATGGAGGTGGGATCGGTTTTTGACTTTCTGTTGTTGGTCGCGTTTCATTGATGATATTTCTCATACGTTGCAATTTCTTTTTCCAGATGGTTTCGGTGTTTGTTAAACTGCACGGAGACAGCCCCGATGCGCTGCGCGGTATCAAAAGATTAGTGCAATTAACCCTGAAAATCAACAATACAAATCCGACGAGTAGCTATTATCACGATTTCTCCCCCGGCAAGAGTAAAGCATTTAATCCCATAGCACGTCCCGGATCTATCAGTCACATTAACGCCTTTTCTCTCCTTTGATTAGGACTACATCCTGTGTGGTATAGCGAACGTAGGTATAAAAGGATCCACAACGGACCTTATATTTTGGCGAACCGAGAAATAATCAAAAAGACATACAATGACAGGGCATACAAAATGGGGCGAGGAATCGCTGACGACGACTCAAACGGTTCAAGCGCTTTTAAACCAAGACCAGGCATCGTTGACGGTGATGATGACCATTTTATACTCGACAACGGACAAACTGCCTGTATGCAACTCACCTTTTGCGAAATACTTCAATTCGCGTGACTTTTCGGATGTCCTTTTTCGCATCCATGGTATCGACGATAGCCATGATAATGAACCAGCAATTGTTTATGGACATCGGAATATCTTGGCCGCATTATCACCATGGTTTCAAACCTTATTCACTAGTGGCATGCGCGAAACCTTTGAGAATGAAGTCAATATCTTTGGAGTGAAACGAAAACTGTTCATGCGCGTATTGCGTTATTGTTATACTCTGCATATATCCATTCGCGGTGTAGCAGATGCCTATGAATTATTGGCGGCCGCCGATCGGTATCAGATGGTGTCTCTTCGTGATGAAGTGCTGCGCTTTCTGAGACACGAAATCACACTGCACAATGTTTTGGAAATATGGTGGTGGGCCGGTAAAAGAACAAAATGATTCTCTTCTTTTTTTTAAACATCATCCTGATGGTGAAGCATGATCGCTGATGACTGCTGTTACTGGTTCCCCTGGTTTTTTATTCTTCTAGACACCTTGGATTGTGAGAAAACATCGGATGCATGCCGTCAATTTGTTAGCTCACATTTTGTGGAGTTGATAAAGCAGCCGTCTTGGATTAATGCCGATGCTCGTGTGCTGAAACTAGCCTTGCAGATCGACAAAGGTTGTTTGCCGACCGAGCAAGCTCTTTACGAAGCGGTGGTACTGTGGGCAAAGCATCCTTTATCACGTATCGAGAGTGAATCGATTCAAGACCTGAAGAAACAACAAAAGGAACCCCAAAATGACTGTGGACTGGCGTTGGAGGCAGATTCCGCAGTGAGCCAATGTGAGCAAAATCTGCGAAATCTAAGTATACGACCTGCAGCCAACCAAATTGGCACGGTGAACCAAGATGATCAGCTGACCGTTTCGAAGGCGATCGATCGTAAAGCGAAGAACGATGAATTACTGGCAGATATGTCGGACGAGGAAATGGAAAATATTATGAATGCATGTGAAGATCTCTATCAACGCCAGCAGATGCTGATCGATTTACTCCCCCATATCCGATTCCCTATCATGTCTCCAGATTATCTAGCCGAAATCGTCGAACAAGATTCTTTTGTCGTGGATCTCGCCGGCACACGTGATCTTGTAAGTCCTTCTTACCGATTGTATCCATGCTCCCCGGTCCTCATCGCTTTCAATGCTACTATGGCCATCTGTGAAATACTCATTTATCGTTTTACTCTTCTTTTGCAGCTTTATGAAGCATATCGATTCCACGCCGTCAAATCCGACAAATTCATTCCCGTCTCTATCCGTTGTCAACCACGAGATATCATTGCCGAAAAATAGCCTATTGTTTGTGTATGATCAATTCAACGCCAGACCGCCGTCATGCAAAAAGGGAAATGTTTTTTCAACATAATTTATTCGATTCATTTTCTCACTCTCTTTATTATATATTTTTTATTCTCATTTCTTTCACACACACCACTGCCACTTGGGGTTTGTGTCAATACAAGAAAATAAAAAAAATGGCGGTGTCTGGGCATGACGAAGAAGGGCAACGGTTGCTATCGCAGCAAGGCCTACCTCCTAACTCGACTGTCTATAAAAGTGTTCCTGATTCGCACATTCAGGAGGAGGTAATAGTAGTTCCTTCATCGGTCGACATTCTTCCTGATTGTGACGAGTTGCTGATTTTATTTTTTCTGTTGCCATTGTTGTTTTCGGAAAATAATAAAACAAGTTGCCGATGGCTCGATCCTGGTTCAAACGACGATCCTTCATTGCCATGGTATTGTTTCTGGTGGCCTTGGTCACCGGTGTTGCTACTGTGGCGGTGGTCCAATCTCGTCCTACGCAGCCATTGCCTATTATCTACAACAACGGAACACATGATTTCCATCCGACTGTTATCTTTATATCCCTCGATGGGGTTGTCAACCACGATCTGGACCTTTCTATCACTCCGCATTTGAGTCGCTTAGGTAGGAGAAAAATTCACTTATACTTGACTCTTGTTGGCTTACTCGGTTGCAGCTAAGGAAGGTCAGCGAGCTCATTGGATGACACCCTCTTTCCCAGTAAGTGGGATCTCGTGACGTTTATATAAAAATAGCTGGTTGACCTGATAAGATGCTGTTTCTCTTCTGCCATGCAAATTTATTTTAGCCGATTACCTTTCCCAACCATTGGTCGCTGGTCACGGGATTGTCAGTTGAGGCACATGGTATCATTGGGAATTATTTCTTTGATCCTGCACGCAACAAGAGCTTCAATTATAAATCCCCGGCTGACAGTTGGGACGCTGATTGGTGGGGAGGAGAACCGGTATGGAACACTCTGAAAAATTGCGAAAACCTAATGATCGGACAAAGTACTAATTCAAAATGCGCGTGGCGTGTCAGATATGGATTACGGCTGAACGACAACAAAAAACAGCGGGTGTCATTATGTGGCCCGGATGTAGCAGCGTGTTTTATGGAGTCCAACCGTCCTTGTCCGTTGCTTACAGTGACAATGTCTCTTTTGATGATAAAGTCGACATTGCCTTGGGTTGGTTAGATTTGCCTTTGGAAGATCGCCCCCAGTTTGTGGGACTGTACGTGCCCGAAATTGATCAAAAAGGGCATGCATATGGTCCCTATGCTTCTCAGGTGAGTGCCGCAAGGGGAGGAATAGGAGACAATAACAAAAATGTTAAAGATGGTGGCGTTTCTGTCATGCAGACGTTGAAACAACTCCAGATGGCTGACGGAACCATCGGACGATTGCTGAAAGAAATCGATGCTCGTAACTTGACCAACATCGTTCACATCATGGTTGTGAGCGATCATGGCATGTCAGCCACGGATAAGTCGCGATTGATCTATTTAGACGATGGGCTTACTCAAGAGGAACTTGATCTGATTTGGCGGACGGAAAACTTCCCGGCTTTGGCGATCCGTCCATACCCTCATGCGGACGAAGAACAAGCAGTGGATACCCTTTACCGAGCGTTCAAACGGTTCCAGGGTCAACTAGATGAACCCCATTTTGAAGTTTACAAACGTAAAGATATACCCGATAGATTCCGTTTTCGAAATAATGATCGTATCGCACCTTTATTTGTGCTTCCCGATCCTGGATGGAATTTTGTCAAGCGATCCGAATTCGATCCGGAACATGACGACTTTCATCCACGCGGTACCCACGGTTACGATAATCTATCTCCCGAGTCAAGGGCCATTTTTGTCGCCAGAGGGCCCACATTTGAACCTGGTGTCCTAAAACCTTTTACCAATACCGAATTATATCAAGTCATGTCGCGTGTACTCCAGTTGGAACCAGCGCCTAACCACGGCCTGTTGAACGGTAAACTGGAGCTGGATTCGTACTGATACAATCTAAATAAAGTATACACAAATTTTCCTGTGATATGTTGTATGTTACTGTACAGTTTAATTGAAAAAATCTGGGTAAAAATTTTACAAATCAAAATTTTTTAAAAGAGGCAAGGTAATTGTTGTTTTTAAGTAACCAAAAAAGAGAGAAAACCAAAGGACAAGACATACAAAAAAAAAAAAAAAAGACGGATGCATTAGACAAGCCACACTTACTCTTCTCTGTTTTACTGTTTTCACCGCATTGCGGGAGCCGCCACCGCACACCACCAAGGCATGGGCTTTGTTCGTCAGTTATCTAAACTACACAGTAAAAGCACACAAAGCAAGCGAGTGATTCGGCATAACATTCAAAAAGTAAGGGAGGCACTGATACAAATACATTACCTTTCAAAAAAATAGTTACTTTGTTGACCACAAAAAAAAAGAAAGATTTTCGGCGCGCAAGCTATTAGTGGAGGCTCAGTCGTTGATAGCACAGTTGTAGTCATCATAAGTATACGTACAGGATGGGTGATTTGAGCAAATGTTAATGAAAATGAGCAATAAACAATGTATGGCGCGATGGATAGATGGCTTTGCGCAAGAAAGAAAAAAGAAATGGGTGGAAGATGCGTCGTCTTTTATAGACATGAAAAAAGAGGCGATCCCTCGTACTGTAGCTAAAACATTTATTGTCCAATAATGAAGCAGGAAAAAGACGCCATGTGTCTTTTCTCATCGCTTCACGTCATATCTATTCTTTGATAAGAGAGTGTGGCCTCATCGCATGAAATAGCTGCATGAAGTAGGTCTCAGATACTGTTAGAGAGAGATCTTTATTCTCAAGTGTTCATATATCGGCTGATCGGATACACAGGTGCACATAACTTTGGTACGGAAGAAAGCATGGCTCCTTAGACTATCTTTCAACTCGTATTATACACTTTATTGAAAATAGACGTCATCCTCATGAAGATGGCCTCTTCTTTTGATGAACAAAGTCGTCAGTTTCAGCGCATCTTCCCATCAGGATTACGCAGGCATTCTACAAGATCAAATATGTATGACGAGAACCCAACACTCCCCGCCAATGAAGGACCAAGTCATGATTTTTGCTTCCTTGCAATTTATTTTATTACTATTTCTTCATTTTCCGGAGAAAAATGAACTAAAAGATGAAAAAGACATTAAGGAAGTCAACAAATTTATCATATCGGGATTACAAAAAAAAATTGCCAGGGCACTGTAAGGGAGCGGGATGCAGTAGAAATGGCGTATTGATGGGTAATATTTAATGATCGAACTACATCAACACTTTGTCAGGTAGAGCAATTGTTTCCATGATTTATTTAAATTAATGGTTGAGCTTCGTCGAAAGGGACTCGGCCGCATCACGTACGGTGGCATTGGGACTCAGCGACCGAACTGACTGAATTCGGTCGCTCCATGTCGTCTTTGAAGTCAGGTCTCTTGACAATTTTCGAATGCTTCTTTTTGTTGTATTATAATCTAGAGATACTAGTTCCTCAAAATATTGAGTGATTCGCTGATCCATCAATTCTTGCTGTCATTTTTAGAAGCGACCGATTTCGATCAAATTTGGATGGTTTTACGTTTTTTTCTCGAATGAAGCCTGCTTAAACTGGGACACATGGACAATTATTATTTATTCAACCGTGCGTTTGATGTATGTGTTAAGGGAAACAATTCGCGCAAACCATTTGGTTCTTATTACACACTTATACGCTTTGAGGACCAGATCATGACACTGGAACAGAACCAGAACGCTGATTAGCGGTATCGCCACGCCGAGAGAAACGCCTTCATCTGGAACAGCGGCCCTCAGAGATAGGATACGGCGAAGGCGCAAAAGGATTCGAGAACTGGTTGTTGCGAGGATGACGTTCGCTTTTCCCGGGTCCCGGTTGGCCCGGGAGGTCAAGGTACATCTTTCGGATGTGAAAGATGACATTCATGTTAAGAACAAAGAAATATAGAAAAACCCCTTGTTTAAATAGAACGTTTACAAATAGCGCATCGCCTCCTGATATAATGGCCGTTGTCATTCTTACCACCAGCAACAAGTCTGTGCACAGAGTGTGTGGTAGTGCTCCTCAATAACGGTGTGTTTCTTTGTACACCTTGGTGCTGCTCCTTTTTATGTTCTTGGAGCGAAAGTACCAGTCGGTATCGGAAGCTACTGTTGTGGTGGTAGAGCCACTTGAAGCGAATGCTTATAAGCGGAACAAGAATTGGCTTCGATAACACCTAAAAAGAGGGATAGACAGCGCAGTTCCCAGCGATATGTTCGCATGACGTCATGGAAAGAGAATAGATCATCGCGCCGATTGTTGGCAATATCCACGGAATCTATAGTGAAGATGATATATGAGTTCCGATACTGATATCATTCCTTGCGATCGTCTACCTACTTCTTTGTGATTCATAGTCCTCAAATACCTGTGGTCGCGTAATTTCACGTAAATTACCATCTTGGTCATGAAAGTGTTGTTTGCCTTCCCGAGTCGAAGCACTGCATGTGGCTATCAATGCCTTCGGTTTCATATCCCGGTACGCAATGACGAATAAATGCTCACCAGAGTTTTTGGACTTCGAACATTTGACATACCCATACTCATCGTTCAACAAGGCGACAATGTCAACACCCGGCATATTGCGAGGCTAGTATCCACGTTTCACCGCCTGCATAATGGAATATAGGCCGACTTTAGTTAACTTGCGAGCCATTTCTGGTGGACCAAACCACGAATCCGCAATGATTGTTCGTCCTGAGTGAAACCAAGGTTCACACAATCGCTTGACTGTAGCCACAGGGTTTCTATCGGTTCATCGCATTTTCTCGCCGCACGTTCACTAGCGAAATCCAGCCGGATTATGCATAGGTAGTATTGTCAACAACGCATTTACTGTACGTGACTTGTTGCTGGCTCGAGGCATGAGACTAAGGAACCGAGCAAGGAGATATAGCAACGATGTTATGTTGTGTAAAACCTTTAGAATAGAAAACGCGATATAAAAATAAATGTAATAAAAATCAAGGGAAGAGCTGAAAAAGATCACTTTCACACAGATAAGCCCGGGAGATGTCCTGGCGACCGTTCGCGAAATGCATCCCCTTATTTTGCCGAAATAACTTATGTCACACCTCCACCCCCTCTAAGACGGACTTCAATTCCATGAGGCTGCTTGATATGGCATTTTCCTCGTGGTAATCTTACTTTTACTGCTCCACATTCTTTATCGACGCTGTTATGCAGGTTTGAGTTAGGGGGAATATGCGCGATATGTCTTGTTGTTCAAGACTCCTCTCAAATGCAAAAAAAAATTGAATAAGTTTAGTCACAGAAATTCAAAGGGTCTCCAAGTCCGTCTTAAAGGGGAGGGATATAACCATAACGACGTGTCATTTTCGGTTGCAAAAACCGAATTGGCTCTCCGTCAAGTCATGCTTAATAGAAAAACACCCCATGATATGGGATATAAAAGAACATTTTCATGTATTGGATCGGCAGCAGTTTAATAGCGTATTTCAAAGCCATGCGTAGTGCTCATCGTTTGTGCTCCTCATGTTGGTGGTTTTTTCCTTTCTTTTTTTTTGAATAGTGGTTGGGCACGGAAACCAAAGGAAACTTTAAAAAGATACGATTGGGAGTCGAGTTCATTGACTTATGGTCTCTGTTGTACTTTTCCCTATACTACATACACATACATGTTCATGCATATATAATTATAATAAAGTTCCATCATGTACTTCTTAGTTTGGCTTTTGGCCAGAGGTATGAGCTCCACATCGATTGCTTACCTTCATATTGCCTACCGCTGCTTATTTCTGATTTATTTTGACATCATTACACTGGAAGTCCTCAGAAGCAATCGAGCTGTTTAAATGCGATTCCTTTCATGTTTTTTCTACCATTTTTTCTTAAGCTATGAAAAGAGAGAAAGTATCGTGGTTCTTTCTGGTTTGACCAATCCTTCTATGATTACCCTTTTCCCGGTATTACCTGCGCAATAGTCATCTTACCATTCTCTCCGGGAGAACGATATTAAGCTTTGGCTAGGGTTATGCGCTTTTATTGTAAATGTCCTTTTATAAGAGTTTCTTATCATCATAACATTCATCGCCATAAATATCCACAATCAATATGATAAGCAGTAACTTAATCTCCCTTATACTTTATCGATTCCTATCGAGCTAGGTTGCTCTCTGATTAGAAATCCAGCACAAGATTAACGACATCAAAAAGTGTCTATTTCTTTTTAAAAAAATACCTAAACCATCCGGCGCCACATCACCTTTAATGATACCGTCTTTGCACCATCTTAACATGCATTTCCTGTCCCTAATCTTCCCATGTAGTTGCTCTTTAAAACGCGTTTTTTCTCATCGATTCAGGGCCACCAATAGTCCGAAACGGACGCGTGTCATACACCCTTAAAAAAATCTTTCACTTTACTTTATCCCTATTCTTCCAGTTCTACTTTGTTGATCTTTTCTGCATAACAGATCATCGCGAAGCACAATAAAACGTGTCGTTTCCGGCTATCCCCGGATTAATGTTCCACGGTCGGATAGGAATAGGAAGTGCAGGTTAAACGACGATAAGATGATGTTTTATTGATAAATGAGTGGAATACTATATATCTTTTGTTTTGTACCATGGCTGTTTTTCGGCGGCGTAAGTAAACATTATGTCGTGCTCAAATGCAAAATGCAAAAAGGGAAAATACTAAAAATTTACGACAAACGATGTCGTGGCTGAAGCGGATAACGTCCGAAAATGGTAATCAGCTTAGCATCTTGCTAAGTACAACCATCCTTTTATCAAAGTTTTAGCCGCTCAGCCATTATCCTCTTTAAGAACATAGACCAAATAAGCACATATAAATATCTCCTTATAATTGACAAAAATAAAGCGTTATCTTTCCTATCCCTAATCCTCTTGTTTCCCACTCTGGTGATCTTGCCGGTATATCAGATCCGAGTGAAGTACGACAACGACCTAACCAAAAAAAAAAGAGACAATCTTGCAATTGGCAAAAGATGGAGTCGGCGAGGATTGAACTCGCGGCCTTTCGCATGCGAAGCGAACGTGATACCACTACACCACAACCCCCGGATATCGGGGAATTTTTTTAGTACCTTAATGAAAGCTAAATAGTTGTCACAATCCGAGCCGGATTGTGTCTTGTGACGTTGAAATGCCCGGTAAGCTACTGCCGCGTCCCCGGTCATGGTGCCGGAATGAAGGAAAATCTCGACGAATTTTGATGCGACTGATGAATAAAGCATGTTGTATACTGTTTGTCATAATATTCGAATTGTTGGTTTTCGTGTTTCGGATCACTCTCTGCTGGTTACTCGGTGACAGTACTGGCAAGGCCCTACGTGTTGCTTTCATACTGCTATACATATTTGGTGTACGGGTAGCTTCGAATGGAAATGAGGCTAATAAAACCAAAAGATGGTGAGTACCGCAATACTCGAGAATTTTTCATTCGTAATAACAAATTCCTTGGTACCCATATATGAATCAGTGGTATCTGATATGTTGAATGCATATCTGGTATTTCGATGGATCTTGCTGTTGGTCAACGTGGATATTACAAGCCAGAGCAAAAATTTTGCTTAGAAAAAACAATCATTGGCAAACAAAATGGGAAGGATCACTTTTACAACAAAAAGTCCTTTTTTTTCTTTCCTCTTTGAACAAAATATAAAGACAGAAAATACAATAAATACTGCAAACGTAGCAGTTCTGAATATTGTAATGGTATCATCTCGACAAAAATCACAAAATTTGAGTATCAGAGTTGGATAACTCGAAAATGGAATATAGGATACGTATAGAAAAAATAAAATAAAAAATAAGACAAGAAGCGGACAGGGACGTTGGATAATATCCCGAGAAGAGTGTTCTCTTGAAGTAACCGTCAGGGTCATTTATCGGAAAGATGGCAACCATGACGATCGCTTATCTCTTTTCTCAGGTACGGGTGACGTCGCGGTATCACTGTAGAGGATCATGTTAGTCAGTCGTAAAAAATTAAAACATTGACAGATCCTACCTTTCGCCAACCGCTCCGCCACCTCTCAAAGGCTTGGCAATTTTTCCGAAATTGATGGCCATGGCATTCTGAGACTTTTGCGATTTCATTTGATCTAATTTTTCACGCACAGCCTCAACTTGTGCGTTGAGTCTAATAAGGGGAACGAGTTAATAAGTAGACGATCAAAAGATCGTGTACTGGATACCTACTTTTCATGCTGCAATTTAAAGTTATCTTCAGCGTCATGTAGCAAACCCTCCAGATCTTGAATTTGGTTGTTGCGGGTGGCTATCACGCGTTCGGCGTGAATCACATCCTTCTTTAGCTTGGAATTTTGCTCGACGAGCTTGAAACATTTATAGCATTTAGATTCTCATTCGTAATTGGCTTTTTATCATTTAACTCTTACCTGCTTCTGAACGGTGGTTAGCTGTTCTAGATTGCGCTCAAGAATGGCCATCTTCTTTTGCTGCGCCTTATTATTGCTGGCTCTTAATATGTCATTGTATTGCTCGCGTGTTTCTTCCAAGGTAATTTCCAATTCCACGATCTTTTCGCATCGAGCTTGTAAGTCACGCATCAGACCTTTCTTCATAACATCAAAGTATAACAGCTGTTCGGTCATCATCTTGCGAATTTGTTCCAATTCCTTTTCGTTTTCTTCGGGACTGGCTTGGGTTTGAGGCCGCGAGGCAATGGCCGCCTTTTCATTTTTATGCTGTGAGTATTTTTGGTTCCAGCCATCAAAAGCGTTTTTCATAATTTCATACCTGTAATTTTTCATTGGTAATTTTCAGTTCTGTCATGGCTGAATTCAATTTGTTATATTCTTCGTCTTTTCTCTCGACTTCTTTCTTCAACTCTTCGATTTCCTTTTGCTGCAGCTCTTTCTTCGCCGCATATTGACTCTCCAGTTTACCCTAGGTAACCCCATGTTAAACCCATCGCAACAGTGACGTTTTGGAATGGATTGCCAAGGTACCTTGAGTTCGGAAATGGTTTCACTGATGTCCGAATTTCGTTTCGCTGCCATTTCTTCGTCGGCAATGGTCTTGTCCAAAAGTTCTTCATAATCCACTTCCAATGCACCGAGTCTTGTCTCAAGCTCTGTCCGTTTGGCGAGAAGGGTTTCCTTGTCATGGTTCAAGTTGCGGATAACTCCTTCGTGTTCCTCCAGCAGCGCTTTTGACTCTGCCAATTCCTGTCGCAGTTTGTTGAAGTATTCTTCCGTCAACATGGCAGCATCCCCGCTCATTTCATTATTCAGTTTCTGAAGGACATTTCTGATTTGCTGTTCTTTCTCGGTAATGGCATCCTATCACGATAATCGCATCAGAGCTTTAAAATATATCAGGAGGCTAAAAGACAATTTCAAATCCTTACCGATGGATGGAGAGATGCCATCATAAGTGCGATTTTATCGGCTTTCTTCTTCTCTTTTTCTTCTTCTTCATGATCCTTCTGCGAAGCACGTAGTTGTGCGAGTGTCTGTTTCAACTGCTCGAGTTCCGCTTGCAGTTCTTTGTTCACTTCCTTCAAAGAATCCGCGGTGATGGCACTTTCTTTACTTTCATACGAAGCTTTCTGTAACTGAAGCTTCATTTCGTTGAGTTCCGAACTCATTTGCTGATTCTCTCCTGTGGTGGTTTTATCTTGTTCTTTGAGAAGTGCGAGTTCTTCTTGCAATGACTCCAATTGCATTTCTCGATTGGATAGTTCCGTTTCCTACAGTTGCTTGAATACATATGATCTGATCAATGGAGAAAAGACACAGAACACACCTTTTCAGCTATCTGATCAACCAGTTCATTCTCTCGCTTCAAGAATTCTTCACGTTCATCTTTTTCCAATACAACCGCTGGAGTCGACGGTCTAGAATCATCGGCAATGGCTTTGAAGGCTGGTGCGGGTGTGGAGGGAGAGGTAGGGGAAGAAATCTCGCCTTTGCTTAATTTTTCCATGGACACCCAGCGAATCTCAGGCACGGTACCACCGGATCGCCATACGACGATTTCGCCCTCCAGAGCTGCAATGTATTGCTGATAGGATACAGCATCGCTTTTCACCTTCTTCAATAATGCCTTGAGCTCGGCAGGTGACAGATCGGCGTTCACCTTGGCCTTGTTCTTGATGGATTTCGCTCGTACACCGAAACGCAAGGTGGAAATGGTTTCAGCTTCGTTATAAGAAGATGGAGAACAATTAATGATTAATGTTGTGCGGGAGTTACCACCCAGGGATTCTTGGAGAATACGCGTCAATTTTGAGTCTCGATAAGGAACGTGGCTCGACTAGAACACACAAGTCAGCGAACGTTGTCCATTACAACCGATTCACAAGCAAATGCAGCAGAGCTTTTTGTTTTACCTTTCCATCTGTGAGTGCATTAATGACCATGCCCAACGCTGTCAGTGACTTGTTAATTTTCTTGGCTTCTTCCAAGGTTTGTCCGGAAGCTCCAGTTTTGCCAACCTAACGCATGCAGGAATCAGTAACGCTGCTAATCTTACTACATGAAAAGAAAATCACACCTTTTCAGAACCAGCAAGATCGACAAGATACAGTTTTCCGCTTTTGGCTGCTCCTGTGTCCAAATTTTTCTGCGTGATGGTAATCAAGACAATAGAGTGACTGCGGGAACTTTCAGCGTTCATATCTAAAGTACAAGGATTATGGTAAACAAGATAAGTCAAAAAGTATGAAGATGCGAAATGCAAAAACACATACTGGTATATGCGACGACACGGTTATTGCCGCCGTTCTTCATGACTTTATAGACTTCTTCGGTGGACGATACGTAAACTTCCAAAAGACCTTTAACATAGACACCCTTTGTTTTATCCTCGTGGATAGGAAGGTTGTCATGGGACGCTAACGAAACACACAAAGTGAGTTGAGATTGGACCTTCATGTGGTTGTGCGCCTACTGTCTCACACCCCCTTTTTTTTTGGCATTTTGTATCAATTCATTTGAGCCGAATACTTACGCTCTAGTAGATCGCGCACCTTTTCCATGTAGATTTCCATATAAGAGACTTTTACGGTGAATTCCATATTGGCGGGCGCTTGAATGATGCTAGCGAAAATCTGTTCGACAATACGGGGGATGATACCCTTATTTTCGGCATCGTCAATGTCGGAACCCTAGGAACAAAAGCATTGGTATCAAATAGAAGAGAAAGATTCAAAGCATAGATAAATACCATCATAGTAAAAGTTTTACCGGAACCCGTTTGACCATACGCGAAAATAGTACCATTGTAACCTGCGACGACATCTGTGGATCAAAAAAATTTCACAATAATGAAACGTTGAGTTATCATAAGATCGACCAAATTACAATCAGTTACAGATAGAGGAATAAAGAAAGGAAACGAACCATCCACAATAGATTTGATCGAATACTCAAATATTTCTTGTTGCCTGGTGTTCGAACCAAACACTTTATCGAAGGAATACGTTCCCTGCGCTTCTTTTCCCTAAAAAAGCCAGCCAAGTGAAACATGAGCCATGAGGGGGGGGGGTCTTGCAATGACTTGTCACTGTTCCAGTGGGTCTTCAGGCACACTTTACCTGCAAGGTTACTGATGTTCCATCGTCAGGAATGTCAATAATAGGAACACCACCCTCTCTAATTTCAAGTTTGTTTTGAGGTCGGAAACGGCACACGACCTTGATATTATTCCCAGACATGTCTCTGTAGATAACCGGCTGAGTAAACCACCATCTTGAGTTTCAATGTTGGGTAAATTACTTACTATTGCCGTATAACCTCGAAAAAAGTGGGAATGGGAAATCCAGGTAAATAAATGGGATGTTGATACACAAGGTTTTCCACACTTCAAAAGTTTGGACTGCAGTGACAAGAAAACGATGAAAAGCACGTCGATAGAATCGACACGTGACCTTGCGCCACTTAAAAAGGCTCTGAGAAGGTCCAATAGATGATGTCTGTGACATCTGAGCATTAAACCGTTGAGTATGCGCTGGCAAAAATAACGTTTATGCTTCCAAAGCGTAGCCGACCGGTGATAAATTACCCTTCTTTTCAGACCATGGCGGAGAGTATCAGCAAACTATTTACTGCAAGTAGAATTGGTCATCATTACGACCGATTTGTTTCGTTTCATCTGTAAGGAGTCAATTTCTAGAATGCAGTGTGAAGCGACACCGATAATTTCAACTCAGATGGCATGTCGTTGTGAAGGGGATATTTCCGGATTTAAAGAAAATAAAGACCTCGACTTGTTGAAAGCACTAGATTACCTCCGATATGCTTTGGGTTTGTTAAGTATTAATTCGATAGAACAAATACTCGATGTTTATTGCTGTATAACCGGTAAAGATAGACAAAGATTAAATAAACAATGCAAAATTATGGGTCCAATGGTAAGTAACTAGAATAAATCAAAAAATGACGCATTGTGATTTTCGTCGAATACAGCACCCATTTTTGAAGTAAGTGGGGAAATATACTAATCGATTGTATCACTTAATGGTTTTCTTTTGGTCGTTTTTCTTCCTTGGGCCACTGATTCGCAGTATGGGATATTGCATATGGTATGGAAGGATGTATGGCACAGTCTTCTTCATATGCACGCCTGTCGACCATATATGGTTTAATTTGCTTTCTGCTTTATATTATGCAAGCGGAAAAGTGGGATAACCAAAGCGAATTTTTCTATTCTCAATCAAGGCTGGTGTAGGTCACCTCTTTTTGGTGTCGAACTGCCATTTGCAGCCATCAGATTGAGACTGCTATTTTATTTCCGGGAAGGTCCGTAAAAAAGGGCAACCAGGGTTCCAAGGTACGTCGTCGGCACCTTCCATTCTTTCATGATCGATCCAGGCTAGTTCAAGCAGATATTTTCTTCCATCTCTTCTTTTACCGTCCTATTCTCTCTCCTACTTTTTGCTATTTGGCAAGTATTTTGCAGCAAGCTTGGTCTTTGACCCTCATCTACCCAAACCATGCTTTATCGTTCAGTGCTAACCCAGGGGCTTGCAGATTTGTAGATACCGTTCCATTACTCTTTATTCTCCAACTCTTTTTTTTATCCTCTTTGCGTTTGGACGCTTGTTTGGCATCTTATTTATTTAACCATCCTCATCGATAATTCCACATTACCCAATTTTCCTTTTATTCAAGACACAAGGTACTTCTATGCTTTAATACGCTCATGCCCTTCCATGATGAACCTCTTACTGATGCCCATTTGTCTACAGCCAACTAGCCATGTATACTCGAGCAGGCAATCATGCTCCTCGGGCCTTAATTAACCCACCTACGCATATCGAATACAAAGGGACTCGTTTTTTGATCGTAGACGCACCCAGCAACAACAATCTGCCACTCTACCTGCAGGTTGATATTGTCTCACCTCCTTCGTCTTTCGCATTCACTATCATTGACACCTTTTTATTTTTAGGAATTTGAACGGTGGAATGTTACTGACGTTGTTCGTTGCTGTGAAGCTACCTATGCCAAAGAACCATTGATTGACAAGGGCATTCAAGTGCATGATTGGGTTTTTGGAGACGGCGAAGCTCCTCCCGCGGCTATTGTGGAAGTATGGCTCAATCTCATTGAGGAGCGATTCGGTAAGCGGGATGCCGAAAAGAATACCGAAGATCATAAGCCATGCATCGCAACCCACTGTGTTGCTGGATTGGGAAGGTATGAGCGCAACAGAAAAGCTCGAAATTGCATGGTCGCATATTTCACAGACTAAAATACTTCATCATTTCCAGGGCACCTGTTCTTGTAGCGATTGCTTTGATCGAAGAGGGCATGCCACCCTTGGATGCTGTAGCCTACATTCGCGAGCGACGTCGTGGAGCCATCAATAACAAACAACTACGATACATTGAAACTTACAAATCACGATCCAAGAAACAATGTATCATTTGCTAGCAGAATTTTTTTTGAAACTTTTGTTTTACGTACATCCTTGTAGATCTAGAATGATTAATGAAGTTGGACTAAATAACTGCTCGTGAGCGAATAAATAAGCGGCCTAGCTCGTGTATCAGATGTTCTTATTTTTTTTTTCTGTTGTGATGATACGAGTACGATTTCTCTGAAAATATGATAATATCAGTAAGATGAAGATCATGCTGCAACAACACAGCCCAGCGTGATCGGCAATGACGGAGATCCTTTTTTTTTCTGTATTCCGATACCTAAACCGCAAAGCCTTTCCCATGAATAAAATAAAATAAAAAAAAAGCCGCAACCATTCATTCTGATCAATTGCATGGTAATGGTTGACTACAGACGAACATAATTACACGTTTATTTTAAAACATCAATATTTCTTATCTACAAATGCTGAGCAAGAATTTCTGCGATTTCCTGGAATTGTCGATCACGAATAAACATTGGAATGGGATCCAAAGGAGTCGAATGACTTCATATACAACATGACAGGTTTTTTTTTGGTCTTTTTTTTTTTTTGCGGTGAGTATGTCACTAAAGCAAATTCAAATTACTGGTCGGTGTGGATTGTTGCTCGCCACTTATCCTTTGGTGTCGAAATGGGTGAGGGAGGACGATAGTTCATATCTGGCGGTAATACTTGCGGGGGATGATATTTGTTCATGATTTCAGGGTGAGTCAGAGGTGGTGTTGTGTGTGGCGAGAAACGGATGTCCGGTTGACTCGGCGGTGATTTTTTCGTTTCTCGTGCTTTATAATCCTCGGTGGTGTCCAATAAAGCAGCGATAGATGGCGAATGCCGCGCGTCCACATTGGCTTTTTTGTCATTCTTTGTATCCAAATATTTGGTCCATCTTTGTCGACATTGCTGGCCTGTTCTATTGGGCATATCTTCGGCAACGGCATCCCAATTGCTAGCACCATGAGTCTTCACCAACTGCCGTAATCGGTCATCTTCTTCGGGGGACCATCGCACATAAGTTAATCGCGCCCGTTTACCGTTCTGCGCATTATCGGTGACAGGGGTTTCTTCTGTGATAAGAAGCGGTAATAGAAGTTGAGAACATGGCTTCCGCAGACAGTTGACATGTAACACAAACCTGCAATGGTAGGAGTTGATTCTTCATCTTTGGTGGGAAATACCATATTAGGCATAGACAAGAGGGCAGTGGCCGAATCAATGGATCGTTTGGAGCGTTTGTTGTTGACAAAGTCCTCCGCAGGCGACTCTGACGTCGACTGCTGTAAATCGTCTGCTACTCGTTGTAGATTCTGATCAACCGCTTTCGGCTTATTTTCCTTGGTTTCGAAATCCGGGTTGCTAAGCATACGGTCCGCGACAATACCGAGACTAGCTAAACCTGACATATTGGGACTGTCGGTCGTTGCGGGTGATGGGCGGATATCGCTTCTCATCTGGGGTGAGTACTGTTGCTGAAATAGATACGGCGGACCTTTAGCGAATTTTTGTAATGGCTGTGATTTCAGTGATCGTATTAAAGATGGAGGCGGAATGTCCAGAGATCGTAACTGCTCGCGCAAATAATCGATCTCGGCATCTTTAGCTGACAATCGAAGATGACTGAGATGAAGTTTACGAAGCAAAATCCGTCGATCTTCCATTAGATTTTCTTGGCTTAACTGAGCATCCTATAATAAGGTAAATAACAAATCTATACATTGTACTACGCGAATTATTCGGTCAATTATTACCTGAGGTCGTACATCCATAGTTTCAATGGTCTGCAGAATGGCATTAATGCGTCTCAATTTCTCAGTCAAGGTGTGGATATCTCTTGTCAGCATGTTTTTCTCGACTGAAAATCGTAATCGTTGCTCATGTTCCTACAGAAGCGTCCAACGGTTCAACCAAATGCACTAGCAGTGAAAAAGAAGCAGTTGTACTCACCGACATCATAAAGATACTTCGCATCGTTTCAATCACATCATTCACATCGGTGGAATTGTTTTGAGTATGCTTGATTTGCTGAGATTGTTTCTGAATGATATTCTCGAGATATTGCTGCTGCTCTATGCTTTCTCTGAGCTGAAATAATCCCCAACAATAAAAAAAAAAATCCATGATTAATGGTAAATTCGCGATGAAAACTCCGCTTCGTCCACATACGCACCTTGGTTTCATTGACAGAACTTGAATTCTGCCACATATCCAATGAGGGTGCTTCGTAATCCCACTACACATCATTTGTTTAGCTTGACGCATAATGGTGTATTGCCGTCCATAGGGATACTTTACTGGACACTCAATTGTAGCTGACACCGGTAAACTTTGTAATGCTGATGATCTCTTAGTTTGCTGAGTTTCAAGTGAGCGTCGTGACCGTCCGTCAAGCAGCGGGGAATGCGCTGCATAAGAAGTCTTCTCCATGACAGCAGGCGATAGTGAGCGGTTCATGTTTGGAGAACCAGTGGTCTTATGACTCGGTCGATCCTCCATAAGAACTAGGTCAATCTTCCACTTGGCGTCTTTACCCCAGAGGTCAATCTTTGATTTGACATTTACGCGACAAAACTGCATGAGACAAAATAGCGTCATATGCACGCTTTTTCTTTGCTTGCCACTTTACCTGATGTCGCACAGACTGGAAAATGGAGTCAAGCTGGTCCTGGGAAGGGTCCTTTGGTGGGGGCTTGCGTGCCGTTAAAAACGGCGATGGCGAATTCTTCGGGGAAGCATATGGTTTCAAATGAGCGGATGTCGGTGTGCGCATGGTGAGTGAAAGAAATGTAGCCGAGAAAAGGTGGGAATTGGGAAAAAAAAAACGCACGTTTTCAATTAGCGGCAATATTCAATTTCAGCCAGGGTGCAAATGTGAAGTTTGACGCGCTGCATCGGCACCGCAGATAATAAGTTAAAAAATACCCATGCTGACCCTTGCCACCATTTCCCCCCATGTTGTATTCCTTAATACTGAAACATTCAAGAACACATCCAAACCTCGCTCCTCATTACTTCCAGAAGGACTTGTAATTCTAGTGAAAAAATGTTGAATTCACTATGTCGCCCACCCTTAAAGTCACTCCTTATCCCGAAGTTACGGATCAATTCTGCCGACTTGCCTTATCTGCATTGTTCTATCAACCACAGGCTTTCACTTAGGAGATCTGCTGCGGTTGTGAGTACGACTTGGCACATTCTTTCCCTTGGATTTTCAAAGATCGTTACGAAAGCCCCTTCATCAGAGCGTCGAACTATTTTCACTTTTAAGGAAGCTAATCATACTTTTTGTTATCTGTGAGAGTTGATGCTTTTTTCTCATTACTTTGTTGAAAAGCGGCGGTTTTTTCTGAATTTCCCAGAAAAAAAGTAAGTGCGGAGATTGAACTGCGAGGATTTCACGTCGCAGCACAGAAGATAAAGAAACAATGAAATGCAGTTTAAAAAGCCTTTTTGTATCATTTTCCTTCGTTTTGCCAAAGATTAACCTTTGTTGCTTGTGACAGAGTTCAGTACTACTGTTATAACTCTACAGAGTCCGCTTGCGCACGCATATCGAACCGAGATATTCAGTAGAGCCAAGCATTTGAATTTCTGCACTCTCAATGGCTGAAGCGGTAATAAGGTAACTAGCGATAATATGACCCGACTGTAGGTGTTTACCGACGCGCCAGGATTGGCCGTCTGTGGAATAAAAAGCGCCATAAATACCAATGCAATCTCGAGCCATTCGGCTGTCAGTCGTGCATAGTTGGGGACTTTGAACCAAGCATTAGCTGGCATGCTCTGCAAAAATTGTTCAGTATTACTAGCAACGATTTCGCTGAGAAAATGGTAGATCGTAGCTCTTCCTCGCATGGAAAATCTTGAGCATCATCTAGTGGCCTTGACTGCCAAGCAGACCTGCTGCGATGACTCGGGAATCCACAATGTCCGCCGGAGTTTACCCAATGGGGCACCAGTAATTTGTGCACATCAATATCTCTTCTGAAATTCGCACAATTATCCGGGCATACCGACACTAAAAAAATAGCACTGTCAGATAAGCTAATCTTTCCACAACCAACAGCTGATTATTGATGATTTCGGTTGCAGATGTGATTCATTTTGGTTCTGGGGCGGCGTCATGATTTTGGCTTCTAATAACGGACAATGTGTGGTACATCCTGCAGCGAAATTGCGGTGAGCCTACTCCATAACGTGGGCCCATAGAACGTAATTGGTGCTGTAGAATACCGGACTGATGTCGCTATACTTTTCTTCTCTCCGCGACTCCCTCTACGATATGGTTAAACCTCATCTCGTTTCCTCCTTTGTCATTCGAAGGACGACTACGCGGAATTCAGCGAGGTATTATGTGTCCAGCTCAAGCGTAGGTCTGCCGACTGTCGATGATTCCTTCCAGAGTGTCACAATGTTTACACATTGCGAATACATTCTGTGCTTAACACGACCGACCGTAGCTACAGGGTCGCGCGAGGGACCCCATAGGTGATTTGTTCAGACCGGTAGAAATAAACCAAGTTTAAATGATCTAAAGTCCGTTTTGGCAAATCAGAGCGCCATTACTTCTTGCAGGGTAAGAAGTCATGGTAGAGACTTGAGGTCCAACGGAAAAATACGTTTCTATTTCTCAGGGATGTTGTTGATTAATCTCAGACTATCAGTTTCATTGGTCAAGAATTAAATGATTTTGAATGACTGATCGATAAAAGACACTTTTGTGTTTTGTATTCATTTTTGTATGAGAAACAAAGCAAAATGCGTCAAGTATATGCTAAGCTTAATATTCAGCATCGTCATCGATCTCGGAATCACCCAAGGAGTCGGAACCAACTTCTTCGTAATCCTTCTCGAGAGCGGCCAAATCCTCACGAGCCTCAGAGAATTCACCTTCTTCCATACCTTCACCGACGTACCAGTGAACGAAGGCACGCTTGGCGTACATCAAGTCGAACTTGTGATCAAGACGAGCCCAAGCTTCAGCAATGGCAGTGGTGTTGCTCAACATACAAACAGCACGCTGGACCTTGGCAAGATCGCCGCCAGGAACGACAGTAGGGGGCTGATGGTTGATACCGACCTTGAAACCGGTAGGACACCAGTCGACGAATTGAATGGTACGCTTGGTCTTGATAGTAGCAATAGCAGCATTGGTATCCTTAGGTACAACATCACCACGGTATAAGAGACAGCAAGCCATGTACTTGCCGTGACGGGGATCACACTTGACCATCTGGTTGTTGGGCTCGAAGCAAGAGTAAGTGATTTCAGGCACAGACATCTGTTCGTGATGAGCTTTGGCAGAGGAAATGATAGGGGCATAAGTCACGAGAGGGAAGTGAATACGGGGATAGGGCACCAAGTTGGTCTGGAATTCGTTCAAATCGACGTTCAAGGAACCATCGAAGCGAAGCGACGCGGTAATGGAGGACACGACCTGAGCAATAAGACGGTTCAAGTTCTTGTAAGTAGGACGTTCGATATCAAGGTTGCGACGGCAGATATCATAGATGGCCTCGTTATCGACCATGAAGGAGACATCAGAATGTTCCAAGGTGGTATGGGTAGTCAAGATCGAGTTATATGGCTCCACCACAGCAGTCGAAACTTGAGGAGCGGGGTAAACAGAGAACTCAAGCTTCGACTTCTTGCCATAGTCAACAGACAAACGTTCCATCAAAAGCGCACCAAAGCCGGAACCGGTACCACCACCGAAGGAGTGGAAAACAAGGAAACCTTGAAGACCGGAGCAGTTATCAGCCAACTTGCGAACGCGATCAAGGACAGTATCAACGAGTTCCTTGCCGACGGTGTAATGACCACGAGCATAGTTGTTGGCAGCATCTTCCTTTCCGGTGATAAGTTGCTCTAATAAAAATTGAAAACGTGTTTAGAGTTCATGATAACGTGCTGTTGTTGCTAAAAATGGGGGAGGAGGGGATTTATGCTCGGTGGGCTTCCACACAGGGGGTTTTGGCCCTGGGGCGGGAAAAAGGGCAAAAAGAAAACAAATTTCTTTTTTCGTGCTTTACCTGGGTGGAACAACTGACGGTAGGTGCCGGTGCGAACCTCGTCAACCACGGTGGGTTCTAAATCGACAAACACGGTACGAGGCACGTGCTTTCCAGAGCTAGTTTCGCTGAAGAAGGTAGCGAAAGAGTGGTCGGTAGCGGCTTCTTCATTGGGAATGCGACCATCGGATTGGATACCGTGTTCCATGCAGTACTAAATCAATGGATATCGTATAAGTGAAAAAGAAGCAAAGAATAATCTTGTACCTTCATCTTTCTCAATCCATGATGATGACACTTACAAGTTCCCAGCAGGCATTACCTATTTGAATACCGGCCTGTAGATGACGCGAAGGCGAATGTTTAATGACACGTAACACGAAAGCGACTCATCTGCTAGAGATGAATTACCTGACCAACGTGGACACTGATGATTTCTCTCATTTTAATGGCAAGATGATGTAGGTGTTATAAGGGAAAGTCCAGAATTAGGGTGAACGTTAAGAGAAAAAAAGAAAAAAAAAGCGACTCAATGAGTATGAAGGTTTAAATAAGGAGACTGAACAGGGTCGGGGACATTTGCGGATTACCACGTTGACGGTTTCCTTTTCCGATTATCGTTCAGACTGACCCAAAAAACAAAAATAAAATAAAAATAAGAGTATCAATGAAGAGGATTTACTCCATCAAATCCACATTGACACTTTTCAAGGCGTTTACGGCCCAGACAGGGTATCGCGCCTTGTCGCCGAAATAACCAGCAAAGAACTGTTTTATCCAGGCTGGGAATGCATCCTTGGTAATGGCTTCGCGCATTTCTCTCATGAGACGGAGTTGGAAAGCAACGTTGTGGATGGATACCAAATGACAGCCCACCGTATCCCTTGTGGTCAATAAGTGAATATACGACCGCGTGTAGTTTTGGCATGTTGAGCAATCACAACCTTCTTCGATCGGTCGGAAATCGGAGGCATTTTTACCGGATTTGAGTGTCACCACACCTTTCATAGTCAAAGCATTACCGAAACGCTAAAAACGAAAAAGTAAACAAATACAAGTCAGACAAAATTCGATAGACCATTTTTCAATGTACGATGCCAGGAAACACTTACAGCTGTGCGTGTAGGGAATACGCAATCAAACATGTCTACTCCAAGTGCAACACAAACAACCAGATCCTCTGCATAGCTGCATTGTAACCCTTTAGGATGAGTCATATCCGTTGATCATGCAGCTGCGTTGTTTTCGCAATTGCTTTTTTTTTCCCTTTCACTCTCATCTCCACTTACCCTACACCCATACAGTAGATCGGCTTATTTTTAGGCAGCAAGTCAGTACATAAAGAAACACTACATGAATGACATCAACAAAAACATGTAGACAGTAATCCTCATTGTCTCTACACTTACATTTTCCAGAATACATCCTTTTCTTCTCCACCGCTCAATCCACCAACAGCATAACCGGGCGTATCGCGTTTCACCATTTCCTCCACACATTTTTTACGCAATTCTTCATCCAAACCACCTTGGATAATTGCAAACAAATTCTGGGTATCGGGTTTCTTGTGTGCCTTGATACAACGATCAAGCCAACGAATGGAGCGCCACATGGCTTCTTCAACGCGGGGACCGGTTGTCAGCGAAGAAATCACATCATCCAATTGCATCATGATATCGGCGCCAATAGAGTTCTGAAGTGACATCGAATGCTCAGGTGTAAGCATCATTAGAGAACCGTCGTGTGGCGAAGCAAACTGAACGCCTTCCTGCAATGATACATGATGTGAGCTGTCAAAAATTCAGGCACCAGCGCTACCGCAAACTTACTTCCGTAATCTTGGCCAATTTCAACAAGGACACCATTTGGAATCCACCACTATCCTATCGTTTCAAGTAAGCAATATGAATCTCTCGACAGCTTGTTAGAGGTGGCTTACCGTCAACAAATTGCCGCCCCAATTTTGAAAGTTGTGGGAACCATTCACAAGGTCGAGCGTTTCCTGACCAGGCTTCAGACCCTACGTACGTAACTTGTCAGTCGCTTTCACCAAGCTTTTTCAGAACAAACAGCGAGTTTTACCAAATGATAGGTGTTATTAAGCATAATTTGACAGTTTGATTCTTTGATCTGCTTGGGTGTAAAGCCTTTGAGTGTGCCCTGAGTGCCCACGGGCATAAAGACAGGTGTATCTACTGGTCCATGTGGCAAAGTCAAAACGGACACTCGAGCCTTGGTTGTCGAGCAGTGTGCCGTTGTTTCGAATGTCAATGCACTCTTCATTATGACTGTCAAGATGAAGATCGCTGGACTTTCTCTCGATTGGAATAAAAAACAGTCTTTTTTCCCGTAACATGTCGGGCGTTGAATTTTTATTTTTTATTTTTATATTTTTTTTTGGAAGATGCAAAAGAATATAAAAAATCTGCTTTATTTATTGCTGTCGCATTTTTATATTTTTTTTTTATATTAATCAGGCTCTCTTACAAAGCATTTTTAGAAAGGAAGAAGCTATTATAGCAATTCTAGCATTCATTGAAAAACAATGGCGTAGTATGGAAAACAAATAGTAAGACAATTGAATGTAAAGTAATCAGTATGTTAGCGGAGACGAACATTTATTGATGCAGAGGGTCAGTCATCTAGGGCGATAAATCAAGCTCATGAATTCGAACTAACGATTTGGTTGTATTCAAAAATGAAGCCACGTTTGTGTTAGTTTAATTTACACAACTTTCGACGTCTCACTGATCCAGAATGAGCATGATATTAAGGTAAGGTTTATTTACTTGAGTGATTTGCATAAACATGTACAATAATCCGCCGCTTGTATGCTTTACATTTTTAATATATTCCATCGCTCCTTTTCCCATTGACCAAGTGACTTGAAACGGACTCGAACCGAGATAGAATTTTGGACTGGATCATGGGAAGCCCGTTTGGTTTCTCCTTCCAGCACTCTTCGTGTTTCACCCCATGAGAAGTCATCAAAATGCCAGAAAGCATAGATCGGTAAGACAAAGTTCCAGATCGGCAAGGAGCATAGATAAACTAAGCAAAATTACTTTTAGAGGATGTCATGACATGCACATGCGAGTCAACTTACTTAACATCCATCCTATATATGACATTTTCCGTGTCATGAACACCACAAGGATAGCAGGTAATCCTATAATGGCTAATAGGAGCAGTAACGGTTGTAGCTGGGCTTGGCGGCTAATAAAGATATTGATAATGAGGTAAATGGAGAATGCAATGGCTGCAGGAAGAACGATAGATGCAAGCAGATCGAGAAGGACCACAAATTGCATGCTTAAACAAGCGATCCCGCACAAGTCGGATACTAAGACCAGTTCCATAAGATTATGCACAGTCGAATTGATCCACCGTCGTCTCTGCGATAATAACACCGGAAACGTGCTCGGAACTGTGGTTCGACATTGCTACAGGATGTACTCGTGAGTGTGTTCGTGCAGATAAAGAAAGCTGTCTTGTGACGAAAATTCCTTACCGCTTGAGGTAAAAATATCATTTGCCGACGAGGAAATGTCCGTAACATCAAGGTGGACAGAAAGCGATCTTCGCCCAAGAGAAGCAAATTTTTGCCGTGCAAAGAATTAACCACCGAATGATTGTAATCCATAATGATGTCGGGACTCGCTAGGATAGGCACCCAGCCTTCACCTTTTGGAGCTTTAATACGATACATGGAAAAGCAACCGGGAAGGCAAGTGACACCTCCAAATACGGATTCAAATGCTTTCGCATAATGGTGCGACATATAATACTCAAACACCTGAATAGCTGTCACCCCTAACAAGGATGTCAATGACAAGCTCTCATATAAAAAATCAAATGTATTCTCCTTACAGGATTCACTCTTATTTGCAACTTTCGTTTCGCCACAGAGTCCCATAATCCGAGTATCGTTGGTCATCGCTGCCACCATATGTGAAAGAGCATCTGGGAGAACTTGTGTGTCAGCATCAACCTAAACGGTCAGTATTATGCATTTGTTCAAGGATGACTCGTATATGGCATATTTACCATAAGTATGAGTTCAAATTGATCGGGAGTGACGGCGCCTTTTATAATCATCGTCATTTTCCAAAAGATTTCATAATCCAGCTGTGACATATGTTCATGAAACAGTATGCGTTGATAAAAGTTCATCAACAGTAACTGCATATACAAATGTCGTGTTAATAGAGACTTCAATGATAATTATTACGATTCGCCACATGCCTGGGAGTCTCGTTTACCACGGTTTCCGGGGCGGGAAAAGGTATGCTGCTCTTCTTCCGTGCCGCATTTGAGGACAAGCAATGCTGGGATATTCTTGTAATAACCAGCATACTATCCACAATCGATGGTATTTTTGTTAATATGTAAACTTTTACGGTCTCTCTTCCGTACAAATAGCTTACCACTTTGGCAGCATTCAGCTGGCGCTCTCCTTCAGCGATGGCACGATAAGGGCATGGCAGAGGATGAACGCTATTCGGATGGAGTGACAACAGTTCTAAACAAATATCCGCGGTCGATTTCGTGTTTCCTGATCCAGTAACCATGCCATCGCAAATAATGAAAAATATCTATTTGCGTTTGGAGAGCGCAAGGTTACAATAACCGATGAATAGATACGAGTTATCGCTGATATCAGCCCTTGATCCTTCATCTTACCTTGTGGTCTTGTGAATAATGAGTACTGGCTAACGAATCTAGCGTTTTTCTGAGGGCTTCTTCTCCCTCAGAATAACACGTAACCAGCATAATAGTGTATAATGACAATGGCAAAGGACCACGCATTCCAGAAGTGTCCCCTGTATCAAATCGATAACTGGGCCTCGAAGGTCGATGAACTACAGGATGTATAGGCTCTGCAGACGAGATATGTCTTTCATCCTTGACATGGCCTACTACCGTCGTTGCTGGAGATTGGCGGACAGGTGCTGTAGACGCAAGTTGACGCGATAAATAAACGTGAAAAGTAAGAGACATGAGAAGCCGAGCTACGATCAAGATGACAATCATAGCGAGCATAAACCGAGTGAGAACTTGATAAAAGATACATCCCATGGTGTCACTCGATATGATGCCTGTCGTATAATGCGCCAATAAGCAAGATCTCGCACTTAATGCCGAAGACCACGAAGCAATAAGCATGGATCCGTCAGTGCCAACTGATTGCAGCAGTACCCGATGTACATCAAGACCAAATGGTTCGGATTGAAGCTTAAGATACGAAGACAAATCAAGTACTAATGGCCCGTCCGTTAGGCGCTTTACGATAATTTTCGGATCCGTATTTCATTTTACCTGTGTCGCCCAGCACCAGTAACTTGGCTCCTCTAGATGACGCTTCACGAACGGTTTTCCAGCTGAATTCAAGCTGTTTTTCTTTAAGAAGCGACATAAACTCGTGAAGTTCTGCTAGCGATAGACACTGTCCGTCGGCTCGCTGTAAATAATCCAATGCTAATAATTACGCATCAGTGATATACGGTAATTGACGAAAACCGGAGTAGACGCTGGCACATATACTTACAGCTGTAAGGGTTTTCAGCTCGGCAATATTGCTCCGCATTTGCTGTCTCGTACATTGCGCATGCGTCAAGATTATCTGCAGCAAATAATCTGCTGAGGTCCGCAGTCTCATAATCTCGAGATAATGTCATATTATATCGTTTCTGTAAAAATTGTGCCATTTGTGGATACGGGTACAGCTTCCCGTAGACGAGGATGCCGTCATGCCATCCACGTAAAAACCTTCCAGTTGTTTCGTTGTATAATGGAGTAAAAAAAGCGTTGACTTTGTGTTCATTCGGACATAAAAGCAGTTGAGTACCGAATGTAGCGAATCCCAATCCTCCACAGCATAATAGGATCAAGAGGCATAGCGTGACCTGTATTTTACTGCATCAATGCAAGCGTCATACTGGAAGGAACTATTTAACATATAGCGACAACATACCTTTTCCCTCCACGCCTGATGCACGTCCTTATTTTTATTGCCTAATAGCATAGACAACACATATTGCGGGATGTAAAAAGTCGGTAAATAAGCGAGCCATGGCCACCATCGCCGTGTCGGAGGTAAACGCTCGGTGGACTGTATCATCGTACGCAGTGATCGCGGGGTGGCGCTTCGACTTTTGGGCGATTGGGTCCGCAAAGAATGAGGACTGTAATTGTAAAAACGGTACGTATCAAGAATTTCACCTTGCTGAAATATAGCTGTAGCATTGGCTGCAGGATTATGCGGTTGGTAGGTTTTTCCTGGCCGCTTGGCTATTTTCCATTCCTCTGAAGGAAAGCGAGCGGGTGGGCTAGAGCTTGCAACTATGTGTTTCTGAGCAGATATTTTAGAGTGCATTAGATTGATACGACGGCATGTAATGATTGAAAGAAGAATACACGGTTACCGTCGAAATTGTAAAAATGCATTGCCCAAAATTTTGTGATTACCAAATTTAGGTGATTGTTTTTGCTTCCGCTCGAAGACATCTTAACACTCTCAATTTTTCCGGTCCTCGTTTTGATTCATTCTTTTTATTTATTTATTGATATGTGAAATGAATTACATGCATGAAAGACAAGTTTGTTGAATTGGACAGGAGTAATAAAAGAATGATGAAAGGAAAAAAAAAGAATTCCTTTAAGGAGTAAATAAGACACGGAGGGTGTTGGTGTTGCCGAGACCGCCTTTCCAGCCCTGAACAGCAACAACAGGGTCGCCGTGCTTCAACAAGCCGTACTTGATGGCCTGTTCCATACCCCACATAATTCTAGCATCGACATCTTCTTGCCATGGAGCATATTCTGCAGGGCTCAAATGGGCTTGTTGACTAGCGGCCGATAAACGGGCTGCAGGTGCGGAGGAGGCTTTGGGATATAAGAAGGGGAAACATCCACGATACAGATGTACTTGACGAGCTGTCTGTGGGTTACGAGTCACAACGACAATGGGAGCACGGGGACGGTACTTTGACAAAAGACGGGCAGTGTTACCAGAAGTACTCAAAACAATAATAGCGCCGGCGTTCTGTTCGTGAGCAGCGCTCACAGCAGCACAGGCAACGGTTTCCGTGGTCTCGGTAGGCAAGGCTGTCAGTGATCGAAGTTCGTTGAAGATAGCAGGATAGCACAGAACGGATTCGGCCAATGTACAAATATCGTGCATGGTTCTGACGGCTTCCACAGGGTACGCACCCTTGGCTGTTTCACCAGACAACATGACACAATCAGCACCATCCAACACAGCGTTTGCAACATCCGATACTTCGGCACGTGTGGGACGAGGATTATACTATATTGCATGCAAGCAAACCTCTTGGTCAGTTTCTTTTGTTCTCCTTTTTTCCCAAATGTGTTATCTTAACGAGAATACTTACAGTCATAGATTCCAACATCTGGGTTGCACTAAGAGAAGGAAGCAAGGGTAAGTACGTGCATCAATTTCTCATGGTGGATGAAACAACTTACCAAATAACGGGTTTACCGACAAGGTTACATTTGGAAATCATCATTTTCTGGGCAATAAACACACGCTCCAATGGAATCTCGATACCCATATCCTATAAAAGCATCAGGTGATGCTGCTGGTCAGCAAAAGCCTATTCTCCAAAAATGACGTAGGATGATTTGGGATAATACTCACACCACGCGCGACCATGACACCATCTGTTTCCTTGAGAATATCATCAAAGTTTTGCACACCCTGATGATTCTCAATCTTGGAGATAATCTTGATGTTACGACCATCCTCACCGAGCACGTCACGGATATCCTTGACATCTTGACCACGACGAACAAAGGAGGCAAAAATCATATCAACCTTGTTTTGAACACCGAAACGCAAATCGGCTTTATCTTTTTCGGATAAGGCGGGCAAGTCGACATCGGTGCCGGGCAAATTGACACCTTTGCGGGAACACAGCTTGCCGTTGTTGTTGGCACGGACGCGCACAGCATCTTCCAAGATTTCCAAGACCTCAAATGACAACACACCATCATCGACGTAGATTTTCTTGCCAACCTTAATCACTTTGGGAAGGTTCTTGTAGTCAAGATACATGACCTTGTCATCACAAGCATCGGCATACTGGTCGTCGGTGCTAAAAATCATCTCGTGACCCACACTGATAGGAATCTACCCAGAACAGAACGCAAAAACTATGAATTTTTCTGTTTTACCCTTACTTTAAAACCACAACCGCACTTACCTCAATACCGTCCTTCATGTTGCCAGTGCGAATCTCGGGACCCTTGTTGTCCAAGGCGATAGCGACAGGACGACCAGGATATACTATAAAAGTTTTCGATGAATAAGATGTCCTTCACGCTCAAATGATTTTTTGTTTTCTGCTTTCTGAGTCTTATCGCATTTACTAACATTCGGCGCTTTTACGCGTGTTGTCGATCACCGATTGATGATACTAGATTGGTGATCCAAACCACGGTTAGCTTTTTGATGCTCCGGATAGCTTATTTTTTTTTCTTCTCTCGTTTGATACGCCATCATCTCCGCTTCCCCGCGAAATCCCGCATTTTGCCAGACATTCTTTTTGCCATATCCCAGATCCTTACCTCGTAAGAACCGTGGGAGAAGTTCATACGAACAACGTTAAGACCAGCATTACGGAGCTGAGTAATCATCTCGACACTGTTTGTGTTAGGACCTGCCGTATAGGTGTATTCATGATTAGTCTTCCTAAAAGCTTCTCTCAAGTCGCGTTCTCTATGATTCGAACTACATACCGATGGTGCCAATGATGGTCGATTTACGTCCGGCGGTAGGCTCGACGTCGACATCCATTTGGGATATCCATTGAATGTTAGATGTAATTTCGGGAACGATAGGTGACATAGTGTAAGTTAAGTAAAGAAAAAAGAAATGCACAGCCCAGGACAACACCAACGTTTTATTTATTGTTGCAGATATTTTTTTTTTTTTTTTGGGTTCGGCATTACAATTATCGGACAGACTTTTTTTTGGGGGTGGGGGCCATCCGAGGGTGAATCAGGGGACGGACGACAAGAAAAAGAAGTTCCAGTAAGGGCAAAAAAAGGCAACAGAAAAAAAAAAAGCAGCTGAGACCAAACGTAAGATAAACGTACCATAGTAGAAAAATTGTTGGCTTTTGTTACACGGATATACAAAACATGATGTTTTTGACATTCGATACATTATAGTGAATGCTCGATGAATGTATGGCAAATAACGCCAACGATTTCATTATCAAATGTTTGCCACAACAGAAAGGGGTTACTCAAGAAGTTCCCAAGGCAGATTCTGGCACCAATCATATACCTTCTCTTATCGCTGAATGCTGGGTAGTTAAAGATAGATGTATGTAAACCCCGACTGTCACCGCGCACAATCAGTGCTCATCGTTACTTATTCGGGGTTGGCTTTCTTTATATGAGGAAGTTGTACAACAGATGAATATATACATGGGGGTTTGGGGGCGCGAGGTCGAGTGTGCGAAAGGGGAAACGGACCAAAAACGGGGGGAGAAGAAAAGAAAGACGGAGAGTCAAGATAAAGATGAAGAATAAGGGATATGATGAAATGGAGAGAAAGTTGAAAACTGGCAATTGCCTTAACGGGAACTCATTCCAGAATCAGAGCGGTTACGAAAGATACCTTCCACATCTTCTGTCGCTTGTCTGTAAAGTACATTCTCCATCATTTCTTTCCTCTCATTTGTGTTCTACATGAAGCGGTCAATGTGAGTAAAAAATAGATTACTCTATACCATGTAGTCTAGAAAAAGCGCACTCTTGCACTATCAACTTACTTCTAGCTTTTCCAGAGCATGAGTGATCATCTGGTCTCTTCGTATCAGTTGCATCTGTAGCTCTTTCTTATCTCGTACTGCCTCTTCATAAAGTTTTTGCAGCTCTTGTACACGTGCTCGATCATGATCCGCTCCTCGACTTATCTCTTCCAACTCTCGTTCCAGTTCATGATTTAATTGATGCAGCACCTTTGCTGTTTTGTCTGCTTTTGGACCCTGTTTATCCTGAATCTGACATCATTATTTGATACATTTTTGTCACGTTCCTAATCTTCAATGACGGTACTTACATCGGACATCCTTCGGTGTTGGTCGAGTAACTCGCTCATGAGCCGTATCCTGTTCTGTGCGTTTTCCAGCTGTTCTTCCAATGTCCGCCGAGCTTGTTTCAGTTCATGCATTTTTTCGTTCGAGGATCGACGCGTCCGTTTCAGTTTCTCTTCCGCATTACGAAGCAGCTGCTGGAGTTCGTCAATACGTATACGACCTTCTTCCACTTCTGAGTATAACTCGTGTACTCTCTAAAGAAGCATGGCGTCAGTTCGAAAATCAAATGGCAACGGGATGTCTGAGAGCCTTATCCTTAAACTATTTTTTCTTTTCCGCCTTACCTCTTTAAGTTTCAAGTATGCACCATCGGTTGCCGATCTTCCCTCCATGTCCGCAAGGAGATTATCTTTTTCTTGGATAAGTTCGGCTGCCATTCGATATTTATTCTCCAATTCTCGCATATCCTCTTCGTAGATATCCTTTTCACGCTGCATCGCGTCTGTCTGAGCTTCCAGGTGGTCTTCAAGTGATGCAATGCGAACATCTCTTTCCCGAATGATTTGCTCGACCTCCTGAAATTCTGCTTCCAGAGTTTGAAGATCTTCTTCGTACCGATGCTTAGCATTTTCGGCATCTTCCAAGGCCTCGCAAACTCTATTCTCGCAATCGCGGATACGTTCATCTTTCTGTACTAAAGCAGCCTCCATTTCTGCAAATTGCTCTTCCAAACTGGCGAGATTATTCTGATGCATTTCAGAAGCATGCACAGCTTCCTGGAGCTGCCGTTCGTACTTGATAATCTGTGCATTCTTCCGTTCAAGTTCTTTGTGCAACTGGGCGCTTGCATCAAGCTGTTCTTCGTATTGCTGAATTTTCTCGTCACGCATTTGTATTTCGACTTCTAGTCTGTGAAGTTCCGTATTTGAATCGTCGCTACGATGACTGAGACGTGATGCTGATCTCAATTTCCTCTCTAGCCTACGGATCTGTTCATTTCGTTCCTGATTTTGCCTTTCCAGTTCTTCTGCGTGGGCCACAACCTAAATCACGAATCAATGGGTATCGGTAAAGGCGTTTTCTAAAGTTTTTTTTTTCTTTTCCTAGAATTTTGATAGACTTTACCTTGTCTACTTCATCCTCCAATACCAAGCATTCTTGTTCCCGTTGTTCAATCTCTGCCTCCAGTCGAGCGATTTCCTTCTGATGCAGGTTTTCAAATTCAGCCAACTCTTGCGCCAAGACATCTGCGCGCTCGGCATCCATGTAGAGCGATTCATTTTCGATCCTCAACTGGTCCAGCATATCGAGTAATCCTTCCGATTCGGGTGACTGATTTTGCGTTGCCAACTGCTGCTGCAAAGATTCGCATTCTTCGGTTTTTATGCGAACTAGTTTCTTGGATTCACGTAACGATTGCAAAAGATCATCCATATTATTGCGCAACTTTTCAATATCCCTATTCTTTTGCCATAACTGTGACATCGTATCAGCGCTTCGTTCTTTCAATGCCGCCATATTCTAGAAATGAAACGTACATCAGTGCTGATTCGAGGGCTTGATTCAAACCCATCATTTTTCTTTTACCTCTTGCAGGTCGTTATTGGATTTCTGCAATTGTTCAGATTTGGATACCAGTGCATCTCTGTCGGAGAGAATGGATTTGACAATTTCGTGATCGTTGGAACCATATTCAATAGATCGGGAATGACGTTGCATCATCTCTTCTCGTAAGGATCGTATGGTCCGGTTTTGCTCTTCAATTGTTTGTTTCGCCTCATAGTACTCTTTGCGAAGCAAATCTACCTGGGATGACCGAAGGGAGGTTTTGTTGGTCCAGGGGTCAGAGTCGTCATGAAAATCCGAAAATGGGCTGGTGGTGCGTGATGGGTGTTGCGAACGAATAGAGGAACGTAGTTTAGCATTTTCTGCCGATATATTTGCCACCATCTGATGTAATCGATCATTTTCGCTACGGTATTTCTGGTTGGCCATCTTCATGGTATCGTATTGTAGATGCTCTTCTTCTGTCATGCCGTGAGGAAGTGTGCATTTTTGATTTTGCAGGATATCCATAGCCGAATGCAAGTCCAAAATTACTTTCTTGTATTTTTTCAGTTCTTGTGTCAGCGTCTGGATATTCACTTTCAGATTCACATTCTAAATTTAACAAAACCATCATCAGTTAAAAAAGATTTATCAGGTGCTGATAAAACGCCATTTCATGTGATTTTTTTTTTTTTTTTTTTCATTGTCACTCCATAATCCTCATGTCATTTTTCTTTCCTTCAGCAGCAGAAGGACTTTTATCATGATGACAAATGCACTTCTGATAGCAAAGTATAAAGTGCATGCAAATTATGATTCCAATCACGCGAATATGCACTCTGCGTACACGTATACGGAGAGTAGCATGTGGAAAAAATCCCAATGCCGAAAAACAGAACTATTACCTCTTTCAACGCATTGTCGATGTGATCGGGCGAAACCTCCTCCAGCCGTCTCTCCAAGAACCAGATTTTTAGCTTTAGACCAAAGTTCTCCTTTTTAAGACTATCAATGACCTAAGGCAAAACAGTGCGAAAATCGGGACGAAAAAAGCGATATTCATTGTTTTTGCAGGTTAGTGTACAGCCAGCACCAAGTTTCATCTGCAACTTTTCCAATGAGATCACCTTTTCCTGCTCTTTTAAAGTCAGCGTAGTCGACCTTGTCTCACGTTCCTTTTGTGATTCCAAAGGTTGGGTTTCTTGCGATTGCGAAGGGAATGACATTAGGGTACCGTTGGCGGTGTCGTCTAATATTTTTTGAAATTCACTGTCAGACGGATCAAGGTCGTCGAAAAAGTCGATATTGTCTGCCGATACATTGGAAAGGCTGGCAGGTGATGCATTGAGTTGAGAATGTGGTGATAGATAGTCCCTGTCGTCCAGTAGCGATACTTGGGTCAATGCTTGTTCCAGCGAAACATGGTCAACGGACAGTGTGCTTGCTGGAAGAGGTGATTCGTGTTGCAGCATGGCGCTCTCTCTGCGCGTTAAAGAGAGCCAATTGTAGAAAAGGATTCACGAATAGGCTAGCTTGGACTTTTTTATTCTTTATATTTGTTTTTGGATAAAAATGGAGTAAAAAGGGAAAAAGGTGAACACAGAAAGAAGAGGGGAAAATGGACCCAAAAAAAAAAAAAATTAAATGCAAAAGCAGTTTTTTTTGGGTTATTTTCCTTCTCAGACAAGAAAAGGCCCTCATTGAGGACCATGCTGAACTGATCCCAGACAGTTTGTGCATCCTTCCACATGTATTCCTTGATTCTATATTCGGTTCACCTTTTTCTTTCAAAGATACAGTTCTTTATGTCGCATAGAGTAAGAGAAAAAAAAACAACAGCTGCTGCAAATGTTCACGTCACCGGATTACTTGTTTTTCTTCCCCCTTTATCCCTGTAACTGCTTATTGCCTTGTCAACATTTCAAATTATGGTTATTTTTATATTACTAAACCTTCCTCAAGAACTGAGAACAAACAATGATAGGCCCCCTTAATCAAGCAACTTTTTGAGTGGCTGATCCTAATCCTAAACTAAGAAAAAGAAAAAAACTGGTCGTATATTTTTTTCTTCTCAAGTTATCTTGATATTCCGCGAGAAACTCGTTAATTCTCAGAGAAGGGAGCCAGCTGTAGTGAAATGAATGCATCGTTTTTTGTCCAGCAAGGGCTATCGTAACTTATTGACAAAGGCACATCCGGTTTTATATCGGCAATAAGTAGCTCTAACAAGGCAAATAAAAGCAGACCAACAAATCAGGAGACCAACAACCGAAAAAAGGATGTTCAAAACAAAATGCGCCGACATAACCATTGCTCAAGCGGGTTATTTCTTTTCCACTTGTGAATAAAGTTGGTGCGTAAGATTGTAGCTTCTATGGGTGGTCACGTCTATGTATTATCAAACCAAATATCGCCTAAAACGAATTTGAAGGCATTCAAAAGGGATCTGATTCATAAAAGTGCATAATAGGAACAGAGGGCAGTGCGGTTATGGCCAGTATGCATCTTGGTAAAACGCTAACAATATCTTACCCATTAATATGCTTGAGAAGAAAGAAAGCCAGCAATTCACCCAAAAAAAATTTAAACTGATCAGTTATGGTTCAATTTTCATAACCCATATGCCTTTTATTACGCTAAAATGAAATTTTTCTAGAACGAAATTACAAGAGCCACAGCTCTTTGAGGGATTCTCTCCTTTTCTTCGGCATTGGCGTTGATGTGAATGGTAAATAATAGTTCGCTTCGATCCGAGTTTAGATACACGGGCATAGCCACCTCATTTTCCTTCTTTACAGCCAGATGGTTGCGGACCCATCGTAGTTGCACCGTGGGTATCTTTGTGCTAGGTTCAGATGTCAAACGTACTTCGTTATCGGCCCAGTGGCCTCCTTCCATCTTCAAACCGCGAACAGTGTAGCCTTCAGAACCTTCGTGCGAATCACCAATATCGACTTCCAAAACCAATTCTTCGAGCGACCACTTATGTCGTTGAGCAGTTGCCTGTCTTGTGGCCGTAACATACGCTTCAGGAATGAATAAACCGCCGATCCATACATTCAAACTGTCAAACGACTGTTCTTGCGCCATCGATTGTACTTGGTCCAGACGCGACTTTAAGTCCGCCATCCATGCGTTCAGTGCGATATTCTTTGGCACCTTATAACGCTTCCAATGCTGAGGAATCAGTCCCTTGGTTAACCAGCTCATCAACTGTCTCAAGTGGTTCGTCTGCTTCAGTTCGCCGTTGCAGACTTTCTGCAATGACGTAATATCTTCGCGGACAGTCTGCAATAAGCTGCGGGCAATTTGGTTTTCGCGTTCAAAGAATCGGAACAATGGATCCATGATACCCGTGCCGTCGCTTTCCAGCACTGGAAGCGATTGAGGTAACAGCTCGAGCCATGACGTAATCGAATTGCTCAACGCTCTCATCCATGCAGGTTGTTGCGAAGTGGGAGCTTGCGCCGTTGATCCTTGCGAGAATGCCACTTCGTCATCGTCGGTCAAACTCTTCATCTTGCGGACCTTGGACAGCATGGTGTTGCCCTTCTGTGTCAACAAGACTCGCTCTGCGTTGCCAGGCAATCCGAGCCAAGTAGGCGGTTCACGGTCAGGGAGTCTATCCACCCATTCCAAGAAATGCTCCATCTTGGTTCCGTCAGGTACCACCAGCGATCGCTCGTTGTCGCTTCCCTGCTTCACTACTTCGAAATCGAGATCGTAACAGCGGTGACTGAATAAGGTGTTGACAAAGGAATCCAGTAAGCGTTGATCAAATTCATTATCGATACGGCCACCATAGATGGACTGCTTGAGCAGAGATCGAATAGCATCCCAAGGGATCTTCTCAGGCGAAATGTTGGCACGGCCACCCGCCGCACTGTCCAGCCATTTATCGACGGTGCTAAACGCGCAATCTTGGTCAGAATCGTTAAACTCATAGACCTTGGTCCAGCCCAAAGGAACATATCGTAAACGTTCTTGCACCACAGCATGAAGCCAAGCAAGCATAAAGTATAAGCGAGCACGTTCAGTAGGACCACGCGATAGTCGAGACGGAGGAATGCTACGCAACGATTCGTATAGATTTGCTTTGATGCCTGGTGGAGGCTCGAACATCAGAATGCGAGACATGCGCAAGAGATTGACAGGCACTTTTGGATTGGTTTCCATCGTGAGGAAAAGGCGGAAGTTGCGATGTGCTTTCATGCTGTGCAGTTTCTTTTCAAGTTGTCCGAGCCAGGAAGGAGCCAGATGGACGTTCTTCAGCATTACCCAATTACCTGTCTTGATGGCAGCAGAAATAGCTTGATCGGCCAGAGTGAAACCTTCAGCCGAACCCATGGCTACTGATGTACAACGAGTGGAAGATGACGCCACCAGGTTGTCCACACGGTAACTAGCATCATAACCAGGAACAGAGCAAAGCGCCAACGGTGTGTTACAGCTCACCTCGTCGTACACAATCTGTTGCAGATTCAGTTCGCCAGAATTGACAAATTCAGGATCAAAGATTTCCGACGCGAATATCGTTGTGGCAGGTAGTAATCGATCAGGTCGGAAGCATTTTACTACCAGTAATTTACGCAGCGAATTTGATGTAGCTAAAGACCGAATGTGATGAGTCAGTAGACACTCATCATGCACAAGTTCGAGGACGCAAGAATACTTACCGTTACTATCAACTGGTTGCCAGCATACAGGAACACACGTTTCGGGCTGTGCATGATCAATGAATTGTTTCCATTCATCTTCATGTTCGGCAATATGATCGCATAAACCACGGAAGCATTGCAAGGATGCAAATTCCTTGATACGTTGAGCCAGTTCATCGGAAATGAAAGAAGGCAGGTTAGATGCGGTCGCCGCCGTTGAACCGCCTACAGGAATATCGCCACCACTCAGTAAGAAATCGTATTCTGTTTCATCCACCGGCTCTTGACCGCCTTGCATGCGCACTTGGCACAGGAGGACGGCAAACATCGGATAATCTTCGTGCAGGAGCGTGCGCGAAGCACGTTTGTATGCGGCTGTGAAGAGATCTCGAGAAAGAATGGCTAAACGGTCATTGGGATCAGTGACGCCTTTGAGATTGGGGTTTTCATGCAATACGTATTGGAAGATTTCATAAAAGAAATCAAGCGAGAACTGGTAGAAATGGTGCACCAAGTTGAGCTGTTCCATAACAAAGAAAATAGAGCTGCACGCATGAGCCAGCGACGTATATACGGCTGTCGTTTGCTCCACTTCTTGCATGACAGTATTGGTTTCATCCACTTTGCGTGTAATTTCGGCAGCTTCCTTCTTGAGCGTTTCCAGGGTTTCGATCACCTTGTCGTCGTCGAGAATGTTACCCTTGGATTCGTTCAATGCTTGCAATAAAGACTTTTCCAAATGACGCAACTTCAGCTGGAATTCACCCTGGAGTTTGATCAAATCGGTTCGTCGCTGATCTACGTCAGGTCTTTCGGCTTTCAGAACCTTGTTCAAGCATTGACTCTGTAGACTTCCACGTGTAACAGTAAAGTTGACAAATGTCACTCGCGAACAAATATCGGGGGCAAAGTTGACTGAGGGGTCACGCGTCGACAGGAACAAGGTGAATGACGGTGAAAAATCAATGTCTTGGTTACCCAATCGGATCAATACACGGCCACCTGTGCGGCGAAGCTCCTTGTTCAGGACCGGATTGAGAATCGGATCGAGGTGTTCCACGTCTTGAATAAGAATGGGATTACCGAATCGCAAGGCACTTTCCAAGTTTTTGATAAAGGCGTCGTCCAAAAAGCTGGTTACGGTGATCTTACGATCCTTGTATTCGTTAATCAAGAAATTGGTCGCCTGTCCGGAGGGATCAATGACCAACGGATAACGGTCGAAGCGTTTCAGCATGATCGCGTTTTCGATACACAGGGCATCCGCTGGTAAGGAATTTGCTTGCCAGGATAAACGATCATCGGCAGTGGATAAGTATTCCGTCAAGGACATGTCTTGCTTGTATTGAATGCTGGCTGCTAACAGATGTTCGGTCCATTTATGCATCAGCACTTCGCGGTATTGTTGATCAAAGTAACCGCCATAGGCCAAGAAGGCAGCTGACAATAAGACGTCGCCGACAATCGTTCCCATCTGACTTTCGAAAGCTTGACTGGCTGTTTCCCAGCGCACCTTTTCCGAGGAAAGACTGCTAAGAAGAGTGACACTGCGATCGACTTTAGATTTCACACGGTCCATTTCTGCCTTGATCAATTGCGTCTCGCCAACGAGAGCGGCATATTCTTCCTTGTAGCGACCAATACTGGCTTCCAAATCGACAATCATCTGTTCAATCTCTGATGCCTTGGCTATGGTATCCTCCGCACTCTGTTCGAGTTGAGTCACTTCGTCACGCAAAGGACCTACTCGATCCAGAATTTCGGAATAGTTCACTTGCGCGGATACCCATTTCACCAATGGACCACAGGCCTTCGAAGCGCGATTCACAGCTTCGTATTCAAAGCTAGGATTGTTCATGTACGTGCGACGCATCAAATCGCGCAATTGCTTCGTCATCTGATTCTCGGTGTTGTAGTTTACAATACTGGCAATGAAATCGTCACGACGGATGATGCTTTGCACCGTCTTCCAGCTGTCGATCTTGTGACCTAACAAAGTACACACGGACTCCATGGCTAATTTCACGGCTTCAGGGGGATTACCCATCGATCTTACTTCCGTCAAATGCTGTCGCTTAATGCTGCTAACACTCTTGCGAGCTTCTGCCACAGCGGGTTCAGCGTTTGCTAAATCATTCAACACAATTTCACGGCGTTCTTCGATTTGCTATAATAAAAAACATTAAATACCCTTTATGCGTTCGTCTTGCTAATGCATGTCATAGAATTACCTTGTTTTGAATTTCCAAGGCTTTGGAAATCTCCAGTGAAGCGGCTTTCTTTTGTTCTGCTTCCTTTTCGTCCGCCAACATCTGCTTGATCTTTTCGTTGGCTTGAGCATTCTTCAATTCGAGCTGATTCTTCTTGATAGCCAAGCTCTTTCGTAGTTCTTCAACCTTTACGACGGTATCCTTTAATTTCTCCAGACCGACGTTCAAATGTCGTTGCTGCTCTTCGAGATCTTCACGCTTCTCGTTGTATAGACGGACGTAATGGGAAATAAAGTCCAAGAAATGACGCGGTGTAGCGTAGTTGTGGCGACCTTGACGCTTGCTGAGTTTGGCATTGATCTCGTACAACGATTGATGTACGTACACCAGAGCGTTTACAACGGCTTCACGATGTGTCGGGGGGATAGGAAGATTGCGATACGCAATAGGAATATTGAGAGGAGCTCTGTAGTTCTGCAGATCCAAATCAAGCGTTTTGGTGAACTCCATACCCACTTGATAGAATGCTTGATCGGGCCAATCACCAAACCAATCGAGGACACAACGATTGAACAAAGCAGGCGAAGTCGCTGCACGCGAGGCGAGACCGCCTTCAGGAGGATTCATGGTGAACACGACGTGCAGGTTACGTGCTACTTGCTGGTTGAACCACTTGTACAGTTCTTCATTCGAATCGAGCATCAAACCGTCACGCTGAGTTCCCTCCTTGCATGCTGTCATCAATGACGCATATTCGTCCCCCTCAAACAAACCAGGTACTTCAGCATTGGCTAACAATGTGTTCATACGTTCCAAGAAACCAGAGTCCAGCACGTTCGATTCATCCATGATAAAGCAAATCTTTTCACCCTTGCATCCTGCACGTCGAAGCACTGTACGCAAATCGTCATCGAAATCGGCTCCAGTATACTTGTTATGCACCTTGATCTGGAACACACTAAGACCGTTCATCCAAGCGACGAATCGAGACAAGGTCGTCTTTCCTGAACCACTGACACCGATCAACAATAAATGACCTTGTGGTTGACGGAACACTCGATCGATACGTAATACGTGTTCCAATACATCATTGAACAGGACCAAAGCCACATCCAATTCTTCTTCGTAAAACACCTTGAGGCGAGCCTTGGCGTAATCACGGAGTTGTTCACGTTCAACCGGCACATAGTACTTGGACAACCAGTTGGAGAACAGGATCGGTCTAGCCAGCGCCTCCTCCCTATTGATAGCAGGGAAATGCTTCATCGCAATCGTGTCGATCATTTCATCGGTCCATTGACGCTCGTCTTCACCGACCAAACGATCTTGGAACAGACGCAAGGCTTCATGTGCCCAGATACGAACCAGGCCTTCCACAGAAAGTTCTTCAAGAGGTTTGATCGCTTCATAAATACCGCGGACCCAACGTGTCAATTCACGAGGCGAGTAGATGTAATGGGCTTGAATATCGGGTGTGAATCGCTTCTGAGATGCTAAATACAATTCCACCATGGCCGCTGTCAGCGCTTCAGAGTAACCGCGCAAGTTGGGCACCACCTTCAACATGGCACGAGCAAAGGTGCCATAAATCTGCATCAACGAAGTATGACCAGCATAATCCACCATCACTAAAGGAGCGTGGCGAAGGAAACGATGGGAAAGGGGAACACGACCAGGATCTGTTGGAGGATTACAGGCACCGACAAACTGAATGCGTTCCAAAGTGACCCAAGCTTTATCGGTGGTACGCCAGAAACCATTATATTCTACCAGCTGGCGGAGGAATGAGATGACTCGCTGAGTATGATACTTGTCGGTAGCAGGCAAATTGATTTCATCGCAGAAAACTACGAGCCAGCGGCCGATCATGGTAGGCGATAAGATCACACCATTGGGCGTCTTTCGATATTCACAATGCTGTTCAAAAGTCTTGAGGATCAAATCCGGTGTTGTGGCACTGGAGAAGTTGAGACCGACCACTTCCATGTCGGGAAGTTTACGAAGCGCGCTGAACAATGTCATGGTTTTACCAGAACCGGGAGGACCGCAAAGAATCAAAGGCTTATGCTCAGATAACCATGAGTAGAGGACTTCCTCGTGACGGATGGTATCGACCGTAGGAATGATCATGTCTGCTTCCGAAACCTTGTGAGTCTCGATTTCCACAACAGGAACCTTGGATTCCCAGGGCACCCATTGGCCAGTATTGACGGCGATATCAAAGTCAATGATACTCTGATGGTTGGCAGCCGGAGGAAGTTCATAAGTGGTGATACCGCGGACGTAGTCACCCAAGACGGTACGAAGATCCAACTTGGCGTCACCAGAGAAACTCCAAATAATGGAATAGATGATGCGTTTCGTGATATAACCTTCCAAGTGATCTCCCGTCATCGGGAAGTCAAGATGCTGCGCATTGTATTCGAGGACATTGCGAACTGTCTTGTTCAACAATGAGAAGAAAGTGCCCAAGACACGCATGCGAGTGAAATCCATGATATGTTCGAGTTTGAAAGCATAATCCAGCGCTTTGCCAACTAGACCGTTCTCGTCGGACAGATCCACTTCCATGATGGTGGCAATGGCGCGCTGCGTAGCGAGGTTGGGAGAAATTGAAGTCACTTCATCTGTTTCTGTCAGACGGCGCGAAGGTGCACCTTCTTCTTCAATTTCGTCCATTGGTACATTGCGTAATGTTTCCAGGTAGTTGGAGAAGACCATGTTGAGACTGATAACATCTTCACTGAACCATACCATACCACAACGCGATACTGTGGCTAAAGTGGCATACTTCAGCGTTTCGACTTCGAACATGATGCGCACATTGGGAGGTAGATTGAGACGTTCACCGTTGGGTAAGGTCAATAACCGATTGTCATCCAGTACAGAGTTCAAGTTTTCAACCCATTCTGGATCGACATCACCATCAAAGATGATCCAGTGTCGTTTTTGACTTTCGCCACGAACGTTGTCCACAATTTTTCGAAGAATATGTGTGAACAAACCATCAGTCCATTCACGCGTCGTGGCGTCCAGTGTACCATATAGGGCATCTTTAGGAATAGCCTTGGGATCAATGGTATAGGCGACGCCTTCCACATTTTCGACACGTTCCAAGGCTGTCAACAGCGTTTTCCAGGCTGCCGATTTACCAGAGCCCGAAGGTCCGACCATCATCAAACCATGGTGAATATTCTGGATTTGATACAGTTGAATGACCTTTTCCATCCATGCGTCACCAGCCACCAGGCGTCGTTCTTCGCACACTTTCTTTAATTCGCGTTTAAGATGATCCAGGTTGACAGGTGCATATTCCACACCGGGGAACACATCCGTTAACAGACTATTGGGAAATGTTAATTATTTATGGGCAAATCTCGCGACCTTTGATTTCATATTATGAAAATTATGAAATCCAGTCGGGAGTAATGGAATACAGGACAGATGGGAACTGGCGACATTTCAGCTTACCTTGTGAGAAGAGGGATATCGTCAGCCACCAGTTTGGGCACCACGGTTTCACGGATACTAGAAAGGGCAAATTTGCATTTAGCTTCTATTCTGATAGTGCCGTTATTTTGCTTCTTCAGGGTGATTTACCTGGAAATGAGCAATTGCTGTTCGGGAACAGGCTCAGAGATGCAGATGTATTCCGATTTATCTCTTTCGCCAGCTTCGATATCCTTGCGTACTAGCGCCAATCGATCACGTTTAAGATTACCGGCACTCACAAGCACACTCTTGAGCGCACGAAGACCAAAATCGTAATGTGATTGAGGCGATAATTGTTCGGCACACAAGTTGAAGAGAGGCACCACCTTGGAAGCCAACGTTTCAGCCGTTCTGAAACCCTGCGAGTACAACATGACTTGCGCAATCAATTCACGATCGGGTTTCGTCATGGCAATGCTACGGAAGAGCTTCTTCAAATTGTCGGGTAAATTGGAACGGCCAGCATAACCAGGATTCATCGTGATGAAGATACCAGTGTCGGTGTTGACTTTGACATTTCGGCCAACCAGTTCAATTTCATGATTGGGGTTCGCGCTCGCTTCCTTGAGACCCAACTGAATGGTCTGCACCTGCTGTGAGACGGCGGAAAGAATGCGTTCTTCCAGACGATTGAATTCGTCAAAACAACCCCAAGCGCCGACTTGACAAAGACCAATAAAGATACGACCCATGGCCTGGAAATCAAATGTTTCGTCACAACAGAAAACAAGCACAAATCGTCCCAGTTGTACACCGAGCGCTTTGACGGATTCGGTTTTACCGGTACCAGCTGGACCAAATGGTGATCCACCCAAACGTTGTTCGAGTGCTTGCGTCAATGTGAGGTAACAACGATCGGTCAACGGGGTTTGCACGAGACGATCCACGACACCAAGGTACTCATAACCGTAGTAGAAGGAAGCATTGGCCATGTTGATAGTCAAACGGTGAATGGGGTTCTCGACAGCAGGGTTGAAATAGAAGCGCATCTGATACAGCCAGTTAAAGTCGCGAGTCGAGCTCACATTTGAATTCAGGAGTTGACGCGTTACATCACGTTGATGAACAAGTTCAGTCACCAAATGCTCGCATTTGCGTCGTTTGATCGGTGAAAGATCCAAGAGCACAGCATCTGCCAACACGTTCAAATTGCGTTCCACAAGTTCAATGGCTTTTTCAAGCGGTGTTTGGTCACCATTCTCGGCTTCGCCCATGGTGGTCAAAGCACGATCCACAGATTGAGTCCAAGTGATCTGTGCAGCAAGAACCACTAATTGAGCGGGGTACTGGTCAACCCATGCCATGAATTCTTCCGAATTAATTTCGTCGGCGTTATAGATTGCTTCCAATTCGGTCACGCCGTCAGTCATCAAAATAGCCAACGAGCTGCGCATTTCGTTCTCCAGGATGGTAAGCCAGTCATTGATCTTTGGATTGTCCTTGATCGATACCGGGGTCTTGAATACGACTTCTTCGCCCTCTTTAGAGCACATACCCAGAATAGCCGATTGGTCTTCATTCAGCATGATGGTGGCGATACCGGCAAACATCTTCTTGAAGTGTTTCTGGATACGCAAAATATCTTTACTGTTACCGATAATTTCCAAGAGATCTTCGTCACCGACAAAGTAGAAACGAGGGAACGATGCACGTTCACGCTCCAAATATTCACCCAGCGCCTTCTGGATCTTGCTCAGCAGATCAGCCAACCGTTCCAACGACTTTTGCACATTGGGAATGTTCAAAACATCCATGACAAACGGGGATTTGTAGACTTTCTTCATCACGGTCAAAAATTCGGTATTGATGCTCTGGAATCGAGATGTTTCGACTGGAAGCAGGTGCTTGATATCGACGCTGCTGCTAAAAATGCCTTCAAGGTACACCCATTGACGTTGTACGTCGATCCACACATCGAACAGTACATGAACACGGTTCAACTTGTCTTCCCAAGCAGCCGCATCTTCTTCGAAAACCTTGTAATACGGAGACAGTTTCATGGCCGTCAGGGAATTGATGTGTTCACTCGACTTGTTGAAAAGATCGTCCCATCCACGAATAAGGCGGCATTTGTTCTGATAGTTGACGAGATCCAAAACATAGTTGGCCCATGTTTCTTTCACTTGCTTCAAGAATTCTTCCAAGGCCATTTCACCTTGAGCTTGCATAATAACGTCCTTGATGACCTGCTCGTTGCGCTTCAAATCGAGATCCCACAAGTGACCAATGGTCATTTCAGCAAGAGTGAATCGTCCTTCCACACGCAACATCTTGAAGATCTGTCGCCAATGGCGTTCACGAAGGGCTTCTGATTTGAGATCGGAAACCAAAGGATTGACACGTAACAGTTGACGCAAAGTATCTTGCACATATTCATAGGCAGCGTATTGACGCATGCGATTCGGCATTTCTTTTGTAGATCCGACCAACTCGTCGATGTGCTGGCGCACTTTACGCGGCACAACAGAGGACCAAGGAGTATCGCGAATCTCGTACACGGATTGCCAAACCTTGGCTAAGGCGGTCCAGACCGATTTCAAGTCACGCAATTCTTCAAGGACAGGATCGAGACGGTCTTCGGATGTTTGTTCCAAATCCAAGGCTTCCTTTGCTCGACACACCATATCATACTCTTCCTTCAAGCGAGTCACGCGACCTTCAAAGATACTGAGCGTGTTGGTGGCAATGTCAGGCTTAATGTCGCCTTGAACAGGTTTGCTCTTCTCCCATTCAGCGCAAATATCGCGAATCTTTTGTTCCACGACTTTGTCTTCGGCAACAATCTTCATTTGCAAGCCCGCTAATGATGGTCATCAAAAAAAAAAAGTTTTTAGTATAGGAATACCTCCCACAGGGGAAACTGCCATAAAGCAAAAGAGAAATCATATTTACCGATCTGCTCTTGAATAGCGTTGTTCTTGCGGCTCAGAATTTCGTTAAAGGCACTCCATTCACCGTCGACTTGGTCGACATAAACCCAATCACTAGGAAATTGGAAACGTTGACGTTCCAGGGTTTTTTGACCTTGACGGAACAGCTCGACATCTTGACTCCATTTGGCCACCTTACGCTTCAGGTCCTGGACAAAGGTAATGAACGTTACAGCCTCACCAGTGGAATTGCTTTCGATCGACTGCTGTTCCAGTTCGTAGCGTCCTTTGGACACGGCGGTATGGAAATCGCGCATCGAGGTGCCAAGCATGCTGCCGAATTTGTTGAGGATTTCTCTCTGCCACTGATCGTATTTTTGGTTGACTTTGCTTTGCACCTGTTCATAGTCGACGACAAGTGGACCAAACGATTGCTCCGTTTCGGAATTGTCAAAGGTGCTACGAGCTTTCTTGATTTCAAGCAGGATTTGTTGCCACTTAACCAGGTCATCCTCCAAGATAGAGAACACATGGTTGGATTCAAGATCCCACAACGATTGGTACTGCAGCCAAATATTAACATAGTCGGAAACTTCGCGCAACTTGTCTTCGACGATGCTGTAGGCATGCTCCAAGGATCCATCACCCATTCGAGTGAGAAGACTAGCATAGCTCTTTTCAATGTTGAGGTTATCCTTGACACTTAAACCGCCTTCGTAACGGGAACTCTGGATACGAGAAAGATGGCAAACCACAGCGAGCCAGTCGTGGAGCTGTGACCACCAGTTGGTACGCGCCTGTTCGATTGGAGGGTCCAAGTACATCACTTGATTCCGAATACGGATTTCGTGAATTAAGGTTTGCAAAGCCGGTCTCACGTCCAGTGATTTCTGAACAACTGGTGCTTTTTCTTCCACAACGGCATCGCCTCGGACAGCTGCCTTACGCTTGCGCCGGGTTTTTGAGGCGCTCACTTCGGGAACAATGATGTCTTCGCTAATGCCTTGGAAGGTATTGGTCCATGCTTTGATAGCTTGCTGCAATCGATTGATAAGAACTGTCTCGATACGCTTGTCTAAGCCAGCCACCCATTGATCCAGGTTCGAATAATTCTCCAAGTTGAGACGATCAATCAACTTCTGAATGCGTCCAAGGGCATCCTCAAACCGTTCCACCTGATAAGGACATGCTCGCATTTCTTCAATGGCTTTCGTGATATCGTCATAATAGCCGATCATGGAATCTACTTTATCCTGGAATACAGAGACAATATTCGCAAATTCGCGCACAAAATTGACATGGCGATTTTCACGAGCATCCAATGGTGTGCCTGTGAGGTACGATAAAGGTCGATGATGCGAATCATAACTGTTGACAAAGTAGTCCCATCGTAAATTGATACCTAATTTTGATTTCGTTAGTCATTATTTTTTGTCGCCCCATGAAAGAATTATTTTTCGATTTCTTACCCTTGGTGATCATTAAATGAACTTCATTTCGATAGCCAGCGACGAGAGAAGCAATATCAGGATTGCGATTCACTTTATGGACTGTTTGCGAGAAAGTGCGGACAGTTTCCATGAGGCTTACAGCAAAAGGATAGACACGCTTAGCGTCCTTGGCAACATTGGAGATTGTGTGCGGTACTTGGAAATTGAGCCATAGCAAATTGCGAACTTCCTTGAATAACGTAATGATTTGTCCGTCAAAGTTGACGCCCAGTTGCAGTGCATTTTTCTGTACTCGATTACGGGAAATCTCAAAAATACGGCCAGAAACTGATAAGTCACGTTTTGTGATTTCTTGCAACCAGTTCTCGTAAATGAGTCGCGTATCCAGTTTTTTATGGAAGCTGCTGCTTTCAATTTGAAGCTTTTGACCTTCAGCATACAATTCCCAGCCTTTACCCAGTACATCTTCAACGCGTCGCATGTACAAGGACAGCTGACGATCGATCTGACGAGCCCAAATGATGGCTCCGGAAATAGGCGGCAAATCGCGCAATTGTGCCATGTGGTAGGCCTCAGAGTTACGATATTGCATTTTGAATTTATCGTGCAATTTGTTGATATCTTCTTTGACACTGTCAATAAGCTGTGTCTGGTATTCTTGGATAGCACCTCGGATCTATCAATGACAGATTAAAAAATTGTCATTTCGCAGGTTCTTTAGAGAAACATATTGTTCGCCCTGAGTCGACACTTACCTTGGGGCGTACAAAGAGAGCATTGAATTTTGAAAACACTCGGAACATCTCATTAGCACTTTTGGCTGTACCCAAGCGGTCTCGCAAGCGGGCAATGATCTGGTTCTCCACACGAGATACCCGTTCATTATAGGCTGTTTCTGCCTGGACCCAAATTTCGGTTCCCTCTGCAGGATGATCAAGCCATAGGAAGTGAGAAGCCTGCACAAAACAATAATTCTTCTCCAAAATGGAATTGCCCAAAGTCTTACCTGGAGAAACATCGAGCACATCAATATTCTTTACGCATTCGTAAGCCAACTTGACTTCTTCTACGGCATTGATATCGCTGATGCTGACGCTTTCTTCTTCCTCCATAACTCTTTTAACCTGGCCATCATTTATCACGGTGGATTTTTTCGCGCGAGGGCTGGCCATAACCCGCACGATGGTCTGATGCAACTGTTCATGTTGCTTTCGGAAAGCGCGGACAAAGAGAACGCGTTCCTGGAGCTTAGCATGAGCTGGGTTGATTTTGATTGGCAGGAATTTCTCAGAACGTTTGCGCGTAACATCACGAGCCACATTGGTGAACTCCTTGATCAAATCGTCCCAAGTATGGAAGACGGCTTCGGCGCCGGCTGTCGTTTTCTCAAAATCATCGTACTCCATGTACATCAAACGTCGACTTCCCAGCACTTTCAGCAACTGGTCATTTAGATCTCGGGAAATAGCCTCCACCAAGGGGAGTGCACGACGGATAGGGTAAGGGCTAATTGAAATTCACAATGAGGCCGACGGTGACAAATATGCGTCAGGCCGCGTAAACTTACGAGAGCTTGAGCTTTTTGTTAAGATGGCCAAAAATCAGGCCCAAGGATTCTCGGATTTTGTCGACATCCGTAGCCGAAAGAAGTTCGTTCAACGGAAAATCTTTCATCAACTGATTGTATTTATGGACTAGTCATATTCAAATGAGTTCAATGCTGTCAACAAAAAAGTCACTTTGCCCTATGCTACACTTACCGAGTTCCATGCCTTCCTTTAGACCCGTATCAGCGATGAAACTGACAGTGGCATGAAATCGCTTGGCATGCTTCAAGATATCAAGCGTCAAAGCTAGCAGAAAATTTTGTTAAGCAAGATTTTCTTTTTTTTTTTAAAAAAATGGTGCCTTGGTCTACTAATATCGTGGGGGTGGACAGGATTCACTTACTGATTTGATCACTCTTGAGCTGCTCATCGATCTTTTCCAAAGCACGTTCCATGCTCAGCCAAAAATTGATTTCCTGAATGGCTGCGCCATTTGCAGGGTCGCGGGACATTTTAGTGACCTTTTGGATTTCCTTAATCCAACCGTTGACGTCACTCTGGAGCTTGTTCAGGAAAGACGAATCAGAGAACAAAGTGGCATCGACGGCCTCGACCGTGACTCGTTTGTTTTGTTCGCGACACTGTATTAAATGATGTGAGTCATTCCTGTGTAAAAGCTCACTGAAGCATGTAGTATTCTTACCTTATCAACTGCCTTCTGCACGACGGGATGGATATTGAGGGAGATTTCAGGGATTTCGACGTTTTGCTGCAAATGCAATAAACTGAGTTCCAACTCAGCCATCTTCTTCTTGGCCATGGGCACTCCCATCTTGTTGTCTTCATTTTTGCTTTTGCCGGTCTCGGTGGTCGACCCATGCCTGGCATTCACGTAAGCGTTGAAGTAAGGACTAACCGCGTGGTGGATGTAGGAATGCAAGAACTCGTAAGCACTCGTTTGTCCCGGTTCATCCGCACTTGGAGCACCGGGCAGGTTGATAAGCTGGACCTGGTTTTGCAAAGGGCGCGAAGGATCCAACGTAGGAGTTCGTTTGATGATACCAACCGATCCGACGTGAGTCGGAAGGTAGGTGATTTCGTGCGACGCACTGTACGTATAAGTAATCGGGGTAGCATCATCTAGATGAGAGTACGTCAAAAAACACTGTCAATAATCCATACGATAAATGCCCATCTTTGGCAAAGGTATGAAAAAAAAAGCGTATAGCACGCGAAATGATGGGAATAGCTTACCTTCGTCAGCTTTTCCGCCTTCTTTTTCTTTCAAAATGAAAAGTACAGAGCACTGAGGATCGTTTGCGAAACGCTTGAGTTTCTCTTTGGTGTCAGGGTAAGCAAACAGTGTGCTCTCCAGATCAGCGACGTCGGCAGCAAGTATTACTGGTAAAAGGAGTTCCAGGTACTCTTGAAGAATGTTTGAGTCGAAAATCAAAAGATTCTCGGTAGGCGGTCCAGCCGGCGGAATGGATGATGACGGCGGAAGCGTAGTTTCATCGTCAAGCATCGCGTTCAATTCACAGATGATTGCCTTTTAAAACTTCGGAAAGTTGGCGACGATAACAATAACAAGGGGTATGTGACGAAACAGTATGGTATGTGACGCGCAACTTCCTATACTTCGCTTATTTTATTTTCTATTTGGCTGCGCGGACCAAAAAGGATGAAGAAGCGTTTTGAAAAAAAAAGTTCGTGAGTCCCACATCGTAGTGCATACGATTGGAATATTATGATTGGATGATCAATGTCAGTTTGTGTCACCCGTTCAAAGCAAGCCATCTAAGACTCGGATGTGCAAGCAATTTCAGGGGCAGAACAGCTGACCACCAACTGTCAATGATGACTTGCGCACCCCTCAGTGCATAAAAATATGAGCAAGTCTTCGTCATAACTCATCAACAGTGATTCTCTGAGAAATGGCTAAACAACCTTTACGATCAGTATGCCGAAATGCGATGTCGGGCCAGATGCAGCGTCGCGAGTTGGAAGGGACTTCAGAAAGTTTATCTGCGAGCCTAAGCATCATATACGCAGCAGCTTTGACTGAACATAATTATCTGCGTATGAGCAATTATTATTCCAAGGATTCTTTTGACTGTTTGCAGTAAATATTCACAAGTCTGAGGTCTTGCAAGTTGGAATTCACCAACTAGCAGTTGACAAACCATCCAGGTATAGATTTAAAACTGAAAGGAACATTCATATATTGCTTGATCAAAATGAACGTAGCCTGCAAATGGTTGGCCGCGTTTTGACACTTCTGTTACATATTATCATACAGATTTAGCACATATTTTTACAGCATTTGTTTATGTGTAGCGCGTGCAGTTTTTTTTCCATAATTGGCGATTTTCGGTAATTTCAAATTCCTACGGTGACTTTTGAAATAAACAGTATGTGTTCCCATTTATATACGGTATCTCTTTTCGTGCTTTCCATTACCCTTGAGTTACAACGAGAGGAAGTCCATCGCATAATTGAGCATTAGTGCAAGCTCATACCGTGGGCCCCTGAACTTACGACAGTATCAATCAGAGCCGCTTCTTGCGCAATGCAATCACCATTCGCTATTTATGGAAAACCGCAGCTAATGAGTGGGTCATATTGCTTTATCAATGTCTAAGAGCCGAACAGAATAGGGAAAACGATGTAACCAATGGCACATCTCTGTTTCATTCGTCCGGAGGAGGCTAATGTTTCCTTCGGTTGTGTTACATACGCGGTTTTTTTTAATTATTTCCCATCTTTTACTACGACATGCGATTTTGTGCCACTGTTCTTTCTTGTAATAACTGGCCCGCGCGCAGAACTTTGGGAAACACTTTTCTTTTCTCCAAGTCCTTCCGTAAATACATATATAAGAACATAAAGTTCGGAATAATCGGCCCTATTATAACTTACTCCTTCTTGTTATTCAATCAATACTACGTCTCATAAAAAATGGATCACTTTTCACGATCGACTCATTTGGTTAACTCACCAACTTATCACTTCCAACAACAGCAGCAACAATCGCTGACATTTAAGGATTCTGTCTTCGGCGCCAACATACTAGACAACAGTCTCCCCATGTATTTTTCTCCTGCTCAGGAAGATTCACCTCATCTATCTGACATCGATCATGCTGAGTATTCAAGTATGACATATAAAACACATCCTTCAAAGGGACAAGAATATCCCTTTGTTGATGGTACAATATTCCCGCATTCTCTTTCTCTAGAACGAACGGACGACCAAAACAAGTCATTATTGCTATCTGCGTTAGGTCAGGACCGATACACAGATCTTGTCAGTAATGTATCAAATCATCCTGCATGGGACTCAGTATTCGGTCAAAGCACATATACCAGCGATAATTCCTCAGCCCCTTTTCTCAGCAAAAATCACTACAATGTATCCGCAGCAACCATGACAACTACCGCTCCGCCAAGAGGCGCCTCATCCACACATCCTATGATACCTTGTACAACGTCCGCGAATAAAATAACGAATAGTCGACTCGTTACAGAATCATATGAAGACGATTATGCCACTCAAGCCAAGTAAGTTAGTACCCAGGACAAAAATTTCTTTCTCCATTGTTTATGCTGACATACTTGCTAGTCTACAGCTTATTATGGAAAAACGTCGACGGCGAAGAGAATCGCACAATGCAGGTACGTAAGGGCTCTGACAAGCCTAAAAAACGCTCGATCAGTGTTCCTTGAACTCTTTCACGTGGCACTATGCATTATTTATCTGAACTGCTGACCATGATCCATCCAAAAATTGTATTTTGTTTCTGCGATACAAACAATGTAGTGGAAAGACGTCGTCGGGATAACATCAACGAACGCATCCAAGAACTCGGGACATTGTTACTTGATAATATAAACAACAGCGTCATCAAATTGAATAAGGGCGCCATTTTGCGCAAAAGTGTGGAACAGATGAGAAGTCTGCAAGAGAAACTCGCCGAATATCAACAGCGTGTACATGAACTCGAAACTTATCTGCATCAAATTAAGAGACATCGAAACTGACAAAACGTGTCTTTATGTTATTAATATCTATGCTTGATGACAAACTGTTTTCCTTCTCTCTCATTTTTGTTCTCCAAACTTTCATCTTTTTTATTTTATGGTGTGCTTATCCCTTTATATGTAAATTTTCCGTTCTCCTGCTACACTCTCCTTCCCATTGTAATTTAATTTCTTGTATGTAATCTTATGTTTTAACCGTTTTAGCTTTGACTCAAAAATAAATAAATTGGAAGATAAATAAAGACACAAACGAAAAGAAGTCAGGAATAACATTACTAGAGTTGGTACTAGAGGGCTAGATGAAACTATCACACATGCACCCGAATGGATGGTAGCAGCGTGTAGCGAAAGACTTGGGAAACAAAAAGAGGTGCATAGCTTATTGGTTATCTTCATTTTCATCTTCATACAACTGACTCACCGGCCTAATGGGTGAAAAACTGTAGTCTGAATTGCTTGATAAATTCTGCAGTCACTCACATACAATGTCTCAATTCGCATTCAGGTTACGAATCTACAAACCTCTTATGGATCCGGAATCCCGTATACTGAAAATCGCTCTGCCGGTTTCTCTTGATTATGAAGTTTTCTTCCGCATCAAAAGCATAATTGAGGGTGGCAGTGTTACATTTTAAATCGATAATCGGACTTCATAAAAGAAGTCAGTTCTACAGTAATTCAATAACTGCGGAGACGATGCTACAGACGAACGTGCTTGGCTCAGTGGAGATAGCCCGATTTCCAAGGCATTTCAACGAAAATTCAGGGACTCTGTCATATTCTGGAGATTGTGGGCTCATCGTTTCTTATTTCTGTGAAAATGACTTCTATCGAATTAGTTACTTTAATGTTCTTGATCTGGCCACTTATGTTGCTTTGTTGTTTCACCGAACAGGCAAGGAGGATGATCATGTGGCAGCTGTTTATGTGCACCAACGGGTTTCTGACCCGAGTTACTCGATTACTTTTTATTATTATTTGTAGCTCCGATATGATATTTGGTTTTTGCATTTTGTGACATTGACTTGCTCAATAATAAAAGGCGCACATCCGCAGCATCCTGAACTGCCCTCACCGTATCCTTTCTTTGTATATTTTTCAATCATCTTCCATACATCACATACATCATGAACAATGGCAGTGACTACTTGCCATCGACGCAAATGCAACTATCGTCACCTTTATCCACTCCTAATATAACTGATTCTGATAGAAATGAGGCCGATTCAATGCCGTCGCAGCCGTTATCTGCACATGCCACCGCGCCTTGGCCATCAATGGAGTTTAGTCCATCCGATGAGCATAACTATCCCTTAGCAAGAGCAAAAACACCGCCAGCGATAAAAGATATACAGTTGAAACCAAACTTATCTGCATCGCCCCATTCATCAACGAAGGAGATACCATCAGATTTAGATGTATGTCCAACTTTTAAGCTTCTACATTGTTGGGCACACTGCTAATGTTGTTAATTTGTCTCTAGATCTTTTTTTCGTCCTTGCGGAAACGGTCCGCTTCGTCAATATTTCTCGAAGAGCGACGCTATACGAAACGGGCGGAAACATTGTCTGCTGCAAGAGATGCGCTTACTGTGTCGGCCACTGATACCAGGGAATCTACCCACGACGATACCTACCATGACCCTCCAATTGACACAGGGGCGGCCAGTCGGTCGCTTTCCCCTTTACCAGATTATACCTCTCAGTTGTCTGTTGCCCAGCATTCACCTGTATTTTCAAGTTCGGAGCCAGCAGCAGCAGCTGACAGTCCCAATTCCGCTTTGCCATCCCCTGTCTCTGATGTCGATGAATCTTGGCATACACCGTCACTCGCCCCTAATCAAGAGGGCCATGATTGCGTCGCAACCCCTTCAATCATCGACAGATTTGAAATCTTCCCGCCAGATATTCAATCCTATTTCCTGTTTCAGCTCTTGCGAAGATCACCCTTGAGTATCCTTCGTATGACGAATTCCGTGATCCTCGATGTTCTCAAAGTTGATTTTCTTTCCTTATTACCTCTGCATATTACCCATCGCATTCTCCTGCATTTGGATTTTCGCTCACTCTGCCGTGCCACTCGTGTCAACAGAACCTGGAAAAAGCTCATTGATGGTAATGCAGAATTGTGGCGCCACAAAATCCTGGAGGAGAGATTCGTTATCACCGAAAAGGAAGAAGTATCCAACGTATCACAAGAGCTGGTCATTGGGGAGCTAGAAAAAATGGAACCGAACCCGGATACGGAACAGCAACCGCAGTATGGTGTCACTCTGGGTGACCATCCGTTCAAAGCAATTTTCCACCGTCATTATACCACCCGTCTCAATTGGAAATACCATCGAGTTCATCGTCTTCGACTATTTGGGCAGACCAACAACGTGATTACATGCCTTCAGTTCGACGAGGATAAAGTTATCACCGGTTCCGACGATGAGCTCATCAATATCTACGATATCCGCACTGGCGAGCTGCGGCGAGAACTCAGCGGCCATGAAGGTGGCGTATGGGCGCTGCGGTATGTCGGTAACACATTAGTCACAGGCTCCACCGATCGCACGATTCGTGTGTGGGATATTCAAAAGGGCACCTGTAAATATATCTTCCGTGGTCATTCCAGCACGGTACGCTGTCTCAGCATCGTTTTGCCAACCAATGTCAATCCTGGACGGAATCAACCTCCTGTGATGCAGCCGAGCATACCGCTAATCGTGAGTGGTTCGCGCGATTCCACTTTACGCATATGGCGATTACCGAATCTGGACGATACGGATGCTATAGCACCGGTGGATGTGGATCAAAATTCAAGTGACTCGTTCCACATACATACTTTGATTGGACATACACAATCTGTGCGTGCGTTAGCAGCTTACGGAAACACTCTCGCCAGCGGAAGTTATGACCATACGGTCAGGATCTGGGATATTGCGACTGGCAAAGCTAAACATGTCTTGCAAGGTCATATGCAAAAAGTGTATTCAGTTGTTTTGGATATGGAACGAAATCGATGTATTAGTGGTAGTATGGACACCACTGTGCGTATTTGGAATCTTGAAACGGGCGCTTGCGAGCGGATACTACGAGGTAAGGTGCTTTCGACTCCCTACTGTGTCCTATGTATCGATGGATGCATGCAGCTCACATAGACATATTCATCATTTTTCAAAGGTCACACCATTTTGGTGGGTCTTTTAGGATTGGCAGGGGATACGCTGGTGAGTGCTGCGGCAGATGCATCCCTTCGGGTTTGGGACGCAGACACCGGCGATTGCCGGCATGTACTGCATGGACACCAGGGCGCCATTACTTCCTTCCAGCACGACGAGCATAAACTTATTTCTGGATCGGATGGCGGTGTGAAGATGTGGGATGTCAAAACGGGCAAATTTATCCGTGATCTTATTGTCGATGTCAATGGCATTTGGAGAGTAGCTTTTGATGATAGAAGATGTGTTGCTGCGGTGATCAGGTATGTTTGTGCTTCCTTCTGCATTGCCTCTTTGACTCACAGAAAGAACATGTCGTTTCTATAGTGACAATGTGACACGTCTCGAAATATTAGATTTTGGTGTTCACGGACTGGAGCAATAGCCACATGTTGTTTTTCTCCCTTCTTCTCATCCACCATACTTTATTTTGTTTTATCTTTTTTGCTTCTATATTATTTACAAGTCATTTACTCTTTCTCGTAATATATTATGCCATCCCATATCTTTATTATTCGATTAAAAAAAAACTTCAGTCACTCCTTATTTATCCGTTTAGCTTGCAAGAAAGAAACATGCTGTTTATACATATATGACCATGAGTGAAATATAAAAGAAAATAAAAAATAAAAACAAAAAACCTATACAACATCTCCTCTAAAAAAATCATATTTCTAATTTACTTTTGAACTGTGAAAAGAGTACGTCCAGTCAACATATCGACGAGTGTACGATGATCGAACCACCAAGCATCTCGGGGCTTGCGGTTCTTCATATCAGTCACTGGAAGAAGTTCCTGCACCGACTTGAAGGTGACGTTGTGGCCAGCAATACCGACAACAGCAACCGATTTAGGACTGTTGGTGACTTCGATAGGAGTCGACTTGTTCTTCTGGTAGGCTTCGTTCAAGGCCTCAATGGAGTGCTCTTCAGCAAATTGGACACAGCGCATAGCCAAACGAGTAGCACGGATGCGATCAAGAGGGGAGGGAGTGCCACCTTGTTGGATGTGACCCAAAACGGCGGTGCGAGAATCAAACACGTTGTGACCTTCTTCCTTGAAAATGTTACTGATAACGTCGGTGGAGTACGTTTTGCTCACAGCCTCGGTACGCAAGACAACTCTGCCTTCAGATTTCTCAGGATCATCAGCCAAGTACAAAGCAGTCAAATGGTCAACATCAGCCTGCAGACGTGCCAAATTGATGCCTTCCTCCGGAATATAGATCGTATTCGCACCAACAGCGAGGCCAGCCTCAACGGCAAGGTAGCCCGAGCGACCACCTTGGACTTCAACAACGAATACGCGACGACGGGAAGATTGAGCCGATTGCACGATAGCATCACACGATTGAACAATAGCATTGAGCGAAGTATCAGAACCAAGGGAGAAATCGGTACCGGGAACGTTATTAGAAATGGTGGCAGGTAACAAGCAAATAGGAATGCGTAAAGATGGATACTTGGCACGGGCGGCTTCCAACTGAACCAAGCTGCTGAAAGCCTCGAAACCACCAACGAGCATGAGAGCTTGAATACGATGCTTTTGGATCTGGTAAGCAACCATACCCATGTCCACATCAACACCAGGAACAGCACGGTTCGTACCGAGCTTGGAACCACCGCAAGATGTCCAACCGTCAACACGCATCCAGTTCATTTCTTCCATCGAACCACGGACAAGACCAGAGAATCCATTGAACACACCAATGGGCGTGTGACCGCGATTAAGGGCATAGCGAACAGCGGTACGGGTAGCGGCATTCATACCACCAGCGGGAGCACCGATGTGAAGAATAGCCATACGGATTTGTTGATGCTCAGGTAAACGAATCTGGCTGTCATCCAAAATAGTAGTTGCCGTGTAGGCATCGAATTCTTCGGAAAATTGAGGATCACGTAATTCCATAGCACGGGCAAAGTTCTTTTCGCTGATAGCTTGAGCCACTTCGTGGGTGAGCTTCACGGCCTTCATGAGAGGACCACGAGTGACACGGTTTTCACTCATGCCGATCATGGGAGAGGGAATATCGGGTGTGGACTCGAGTACGGCATCCACCGCTTCAATAGACTGCATGGTGGCCAAAATACGATCGGCAGCAGACGGAGAACCACCACGCTGAGTATGACCAAGGATAGTGACACGCGTATCCAAACCAAGACGATCGGTCAAGATATCCTTTATATGCTCTGCTTTGATAGGATTCAAGGCTTTATCGATAGCACCTTCGGCGACAATAATGACAGTCTTGCGTTTACCGAGCTTACGATGGCGCGAAGCAACATCACACATGACGCGTTCCCAATCATCTTCCGGTGGCGGACGTTCAGGAATGAAAACGAAATCAGCTCCCGTAGCGATACCAGCCATCAACGCAAGCCAACCGCAATGACGACCCATCACCTCGATTACGAATGCACGCGAGTGAGATAAAGCAGTGGTGTGAACTGAATCCACGTTTTCGCAAATACGATGAAGAGCTGTATCGGCACCGATCGTGATATCGGTGCTTGACATATCGTTATCAATGGAACCGACCAAGCCGACAATAGTCAAATGGCCGTACGTCTTGGCTTCCTCGTCTGTGATACGGCCGGTGCTATGTAACTCACTAACAAAATCAGGCCATTCGGAACGGAAGACGTCGGCACCTGTCAGAGAGCCATCACCACCGCAAACGATTAAAGAGTCGATACCGTTCTTGATCAAGTTTTCAGCGGCTTGAAGACGACCTTCGTGTGTTTTAAAAGGCATGCAACGGGCTGTACCAATGTTTGTACCACCCTACAGAATCCATTTGTTATTCCGTCTGCTGGCAATCGAGACTTTTTTCTAATTCTTTGTAATATTTATATTCTTTACATACCACGCTCAACCATCCATCGACACTTTTCCAATCCATTTTGCGAATATATTCTCCGCCATCAACCAAACCTAATATGATTTCAATATCAGATTATCGATCTTCGGTTTCCCGCATCTTCCCAGCCATTGCGTCAAGTGGAAAACTTACCTTGGTAACCTTCGTACACAGCAAAGATATCACAGCCTCGACTGATACCGTAACGGACCACGGCACGCACACTGGCATTCATACCAGGTGCATCACCACCTGAAGTCAAAACACCAATCTTTTTACGGTCACCCGACTCGTCAGCCACAACAGCGGCAGCCGGTAAAAATCCGGCGTGGCAGGCGGATTGCTCCGTCAACACGATGACGTTATATAGTGGATCGCGCGTATACACTTTGGTAAATGGTTGGCTGTTATGGTTTAACTGTTCGGATGTTTCCTGATATGGACAACCCAGTCGGTCTAATTGGTCTTTCACAGTCTAGCAACCAGCAGAGTCAACGGAGTGCATGATGAACCCAAAGCCATGGAAATTCGTTTCCATCGAAACAAAAAATTTCTCATTTTTCCATTTCTTGTTTGCCTACCTTGATATCATCGACAGTGAAAACCATGCTGCGATCTTCCACGCTCCAGTCGACGTCCGACGGCTTCTCTTCGGTGGCAGTTGTTTCGCATAAGACCAACTTGATAGTCACGTCGGTAGCTTTGGAAGCGTCGCTTGCCGTGAGTGTCAACCATACTTTTTTCTCGCTTGTATCCTGATCGAGTACTTTCTGGAAACCGAGGTGCTGGTAAAAGTCGATACAACGTTCGAAACCGCCCTCTGTGCTCGCGTTGAGCACAATATGAGATAATCCTTGTGACAGCATGTTAGAAAGATTGGGGAAAGCGAAAATGGAAAAAGTTGCGTCTATGTCTTTTATATCATGCCGTCTGAGATTTAAAGTTTTGAAGGGGAGGATGAAATGATTTTTTTTTCTTGTCATTTTTTTTGGCATGGGTTTAGTGATCACATCCTGATACAGAAATTTTTTTCCAATTCCGATGAAGCGACGATGATGCTCCCGGATGGATAGCAGGCGTTGCATCCGCTTATGCCGTGCCTTTCTCTACAGTGAAAGTTCGATTGGCACCAGGATGGACATAAAATGACACGGAAAAGCCATGTAATTGTGCTTAGATTTGATACATATAGTACGAAAATACATTACAAAGTTTCGCGTGATTTATTCCCTTCATGGATGATCCGTTTTCGAAATATATATGGCATGATATTGCCGATTTTTTTTATTGTCATAACAACAGACAGAGTTGCAAAGGCTCAACTTCATTACTCAAACTTCAGAAGCAGTAAAGATCATCCTGCTGGCTTTTATCCATGTGCAAGTCAGGTAATAGAGATGGCAGACGCTAAGTATTAGGCCAAGAGATCGCGATCAAGCAAAGGATCTTGTATTTATACGAATTATCTGAAAAGAAATTCTTTGACGATTTAAAAACAAATCGGATTCATCTTGTTGAAATTATTTTTTCTATCTTGCCGCGTGGCGTGGAGGGTCTGAAACAATACTTGCACATCAGTTCATTATTGAGCCTCCGGAGAATGAATTACGCTCAGGAAGAAAAGAATATAACGTTCTGTGATTGGCTAATTTCCATACAGTTACTGTTTCAAAGAAAACAAGGTTGAGAAAGTTTCTGCTTTTTTTCTTTCTTGAACAGTTCCGATAGCAAAAAGAGAAAAAATTATATTCTCGAGGTAAAGAGCTACATAAAAATGATGGGTATAATGTGTGGAGAATGAGAATAAGCATCTACTTCACGTAAAAGCCCTGACTTTCTTGAATAGCGATCTCCAGCAGTCGCTGAAGTTTGGCTTTGTTCGCATATTTGTACAGTATTAGTTGATTGAAACAAGTGTGAGCCGATGGTAATCTACCCAATTTCGTTCCGTTGAGCAAAATAACATAAGAAAAAAAAACGCAATTGCAATATCATAGAGGCAATTACCTGTCACAGTCCTCGCCGCCACATGTTATCTGAAGCCGCATTTGCTTGGTACCTGTCGCAGGTATACGATCGCTTCCTGTGACAAACATCAACAGTTTTCTTTGCAATTCCGGCAGCATTTCTTCCATGATACTCCAAAAATTCCTACATCATACGTTAACCGGATTCGTCTGTACCACAGAAGATGGTAGGTAAACAAAGACACACTTACTGGATCGTGTCTTCATTCTCATCAAAACCGTGATAATCGGTCTGGTTCCGTAATTCGTTCATTTGCAACGGTAAATCGGCCCCGCGAATAAGTAACTCAATTTCTTCGGGTCGGAATAACTGATTAAGAAACCTTATCAGTGCGGGCCGCTTTTGCGCTACATAATACATCGGGGAAGTTTACCGATAATGCATTGCCGCCACAGACGTGGTAGAATCCTTCCTTAAATGCATTAAATTGTCGTTCGATACTCCGATTCAAGATAAAGTCCACAAACAAATCTACAAACTCTTGCCGATTACTATTATTGACCACGCGGAACTTTCCATTCGGTACGAGCGGCACAATTTGGCGCTCTCCAAACACATCCAGTTCGGCAACAAAGGATCTGCAAATGTCATCTTCCACGTTCCCCTCGAAGGCCATCAGCTGCTGAAAACCATGTACTAGAGAAGGTCGAAAGACGCCGAGATCAGTGAGACCTACTTCTTGGTTCAGCAACTTTTTATAACACGCCGTTGGTAAGTGAATATCCAGAATAATGGAGTTATAAAGCGCCAGTCCCAGCACGGTTCCCACAAGAAAGAACTGATCCTCATTTTCGAAACTGGCGGGATTGAACCAACATAGATTGGACTCTTCGTCGTAAGTGAACATGCCGTATTGCGAATCGAACAATGACCGTACGAGTAATAGAAACCATTCCTTTCGCAGTCCTCCAGCGTCGACGCCCTCTTCATCCACAAACTCGATACGCAACGATTTTTTCAGATCCAGTTTGTTTTCCGCTAACTAAAGAAAATTAAATGAAAACGAGTATCAATCGATTGATATGAAAGACACGGTATAAGAATCGCTGTTTACCTGGTGCAAGGAATCTTCGATGAGGTGGTCTCGCCGTATATGCAAGGTCAGATAAGGCGAGGATGGCTTCTGATAAACCAACATGTTGTAGATCGCTTCGCGCCTCTTAATTTCCATTTGCTGCTTGGCGTCGGATTCCATGATTTGGACTTTGGCTCCCATGCTGATCAAGAAGGGATATTGACAGAAAGCAAATTTACTAGAATGAACTTGTCAAGACAGAAAAGCGCATTGCACAACAACTTGGATCATATGATGTAAAAAGACTTACGCAGTGCGAGATTGCCATGATTCATAATCTGCTAAAAGGTCAACAGTATCGATCATGATATTATAAAATTTAAACAGGGGCATTTTAGGGGATTGCGTGTTAGCAGCAACTACGCAGAACAGATGTATGAGACAAAGAAGTTCATAACCGGGAAGTGATTTTTCTTACATAATAAAGCCATAATACGCGCCGCACTGGCTAATTTCCAGTCAGTTGCGTACGCAGTTATTGAACCCTGTTTCGGGCGTTTTCTGCAGCGCTGAATTCGGTAATTGATAAAAGTGTGAACGAGATCAATATGATTTTCAAACGTTGGATATCTACGCGAAAATTGTATTATGTGAACATTTCGCTTGCTAATATATAATGAGGATAATCGACCTACGTTGTGAGCCAGTTTACGAGTGCATGATGGCATTCATTGTTGAGACAGCTGAGAATACCATATATACGCTTGAGTAGGTGATGATGATATTTCGCTTCCATGGGAAATTTGTGCTGGGTTAAAAGAGGGTTTTCCAGGATGATAAGCAAGAAGCGTATATCGCTTATCCTTCGCAAGGGAATCCCAGGACGTTTAAGCAGCTTTTCGATGGCGGTCATTAATCTCCGCACTATATCGACATGCTATAAGTGATGAGAAAATCACAAAGGATACCGTATAGTGCATAAGTATTTCAGTGATACACGAAGGAGACATCGAGAACGATTTGACTTGCCAGGTTCAACAAAATCCGGTATGCACATTGTATATCATCAAAAGCGAGGCCACATTCTTTCAAAGATACGTCATAACCCTACAGTTAATATAACAAGCTAGTCATTATATGGTTCAGAGAAGCGTATTTTTGTGCCCGATCGCCTACATTGCTAAAGCTGTTGTTAAGATTATACCAGTTGCCGAATACAGTGTCTATCAAGGTTCCCACAGGCTCAAAAAATTGAGCGGACTCGTGAGTTTCAGGTGTGCTATTGCCGACTTCTTTGGCAGCCTTCTTATTTCGTTTGCACTCTGCAACGACACGCTTCAGCTGCTTGAGAGTAAGAGCCGACGAAATCTGTCTCCCTTCTTGCCTAAGCAAATGCGGTTTCAAGTCATTGATCGTATCACACACGGAGCACTTGAACTTTGCCGCTGTTTCCGGGTAGCGCAAGTCACTGCAGGAAAAACAAAACAATACAACACAACAGATAAGCAATCTATTGTTTGGTTTACATAGCGTCATTTTCTTTGACTTTCTATTTACGCTTTCGCACCTATTGCAACATAAACACTTGCTGTAGGCCTAATCAGAGGTTGACAAATGACCTGGATGAGATGGAGTCTCGCTGAAAATCTTATTGCCATTTACCATATCTGATTTCAGTGCATTTTCTCGATCCTCATCTGGATTGAGCGTTGACGGAATTGCCGGTAATTGTGCAGCATACGGATAGTAGATGGCTGCTTTATGCATCACCAATATCTTATTGCGGCATGACCGGGACAAAACATAAGTACTCTCAATCGCTCGATCTTGCCACTTGATATATCGCATTATTACTTAGATATGAAACCGGGATATCAGCGAAGAAACAAAGAGAGGCACACGGATAAACCAGAGAAAGTAAGGCGGATTGAGTATCTGAAAGATGCTCACGAGGAAAACCTCGTTTTCTATTGGCTCATCGCGTTCCAAGGAAGGAGTTCTCTGAAACTTTTTGCATTGCGCTTTTTTCTGACACTCAGGTCACTTCAACGAGTTGTTAATAAACAAAAACAATCACGCTTTTTCGGGCATCAGCTTTTCTTCAGAATCGCAATGCACAACATTCATTCTCCATAAGGTCAAGTATTATCCAACGCCCTCCAACGCAGCAATCGCAAAATGCAAAATCCGTTGGCTTACGGAGAAGGAGCGAACGAAAATGAGGTAAACCCACATAGTGTGTATCAGTGAACATATTGACTATCATTGGAATAAGTGCCTTAAAGTGAGACTATGGCTATTGTCATCTCGCTACCTCTCAAATAGCTCTCTTTGAATAAAAACTCTACTGTAACGAGAGGCAAGATGCATTATATCCGAATGAGATGCGCACAACATAAGGAAGCTAAACGTTCGCAGAACTGATAATCAACCATGAGTATTACAGAACGAATTCTTTCCTAGCTATGGCGTACCATGTGAGATTACAGAGAACTAAAAATGTAACAAAGGTCGCATAATAAAGTTTAACGAGGTCAACATAAAACCCTTAAGAGCTGATCAGTGTGGCACAGAAGGTGTGCCCTCCTTGCCTTTATAGCGTAATCTTTTTTATCCTCCTTCTTTTTCTCCATGCGCCTTGCACGGATTATAGTCTGATGACTTTTTTTTACCGATGTCCGGTTACGCCAAAGCATATCGTACGTTAAACCCAAGCTGTCTAATTAGTGTAACATGCTCGTGAATCCAATATCAATGAACTTTGTTACTTATTGCAGAAGAGTCATTTGCAATTATTCTTTTTTGGTCTTCCCGGAAGGATATCGCACAGAATGCTAAGCCCTAAAGTCCGTTGCATTACAATTACATTTACAATTACAAATAGACGGATTCGACTTATCAAATGGGATGTTGTTATACTCTTCAAATTTTTTATAAACTGTTCCCACTAACAGCCGTTGAGAGATGAAAGATAGATACACTCAAAATTACGGCAAGCCGTGAACAACGTAGAGAAGAGTCGAAGTGGTGACCGAAGAGCAATGCAATAGATTGCGGCCCGTGGGAAATAGCATGAGTCTTCGGAGTTGCGGCTAGTAGTTCCCTGTGGATGCACAGATAGGCAGTATATTAGGGCTGAACTCTTTCAAGTGAAAAGACAATACTTTGAATGACGAATTCCTCTTTTTAACTAAAGTGGCAAGGATCCACTGTACACATGAACCTTTTTGATGATTTTTTACACGTAAAATATGGGGTAACTGTAGGCGCAGAGAATCCTGATCTTTTTTATCAGCGAGTACCAAACAATGGTGATGTTTATAGTATGAAATTAATTTGCCAGATATTCTTTGGTTTCTTTTTGAAGTACAATATACACGTAAGGGGAATGCCAGCCCTGTTTTGAAATGAGTTGTGGGAAAGGAAGAGATTAATGCAATGCAAGCTTGTGCCCCTGTATCATGGGTCGCTTATTAATGTTCGGGATAGATCACGCTTTCCGAATCAGAGTCACCCTCGTGATACAATGTCACTGAAGAATCATACAAAGTCAGGTCTCTAATCATGTCCGTATACGCTGATTGTTTTTAACTCACCTGAATTGAACCTTGCAAATGGATCTGAAGGTGGGGCTTGATAATGCATGGATTCGGTTTGGTCTAATTCAAAGCTGTCACTATATTTTCGCGAGAGTTGGGGATGGTGAATATGCGTATTATAGGGCGTAATAGGTGGTGTCATATGTCGGAGCAGAGCAAAGTTAATCGATTTGAAGAAGGGGTGGGCTTTCACATCGGAAGCGCCGGCGATAGAACCAAGTCTTTTATCTTCTTGTTTATTGAGTAAATACCGGATCAACTGCTTGCATTGATAAGATATTTGCTGATGTTTACGGTGACGTTGATTTTGTCGTGAAGGAGGGAAGTGCACGTCGGAATGTAGAATGCGAGTAAAGGTATCATTTCGGTTGCATCCCTTGAAAGGTGTTGTACCAAACTGAAACAGAGGAAGAAAGTAAGCAAAGGTGTACGAAATAATAAAAAAAGCAGCTGAGCAGTCAATGGCATTCATGTCACCTACCAGCATCTCATAGATAAGGATACCAAGTGTCCACCAATCTACAGCGCTTGTATGGCCACATCCGTGGATTACTTCTGGCGCAATATATTCTATCCATGAGTAACACTCGTTAGATTTCAATTACTTGGTGTGAAACATGGCCTTCTTTTAGCCAAGTGTTTGCTCTTACCTTCAGTGCCGACGAAACTATTGGTTCGCAAATGAGCGATGCAACTTCTCGTATCAATCGAAGGCGGCTAGTTATTGCATAACATTAGACATCATGAGCCTGTGTGTACAAACATCTGCGGGGATAAATAGACTTACAATATGAACCGAGCTCGATTTCACGATGCCAGGAGCGCCCGGCGGAAAAGATTGTTTACTTAAATCAAAGTCCGAAAGCATAAGATGTCCACTTTGATGCAACAATATATCTATGTATCAACGCTGTCAATGGCGAAGCTCGCAGACAATCGCAAATGTATGCAAGGTAAAAAGAGTTGCATATTTTCAACTTACTCTCCGGTTTGAGATCGCGATAGATGAAACCTTGCAGATGAAGATATTCAAGTGCAGCGATGACTTCGGCAGCATAAAATTTCGCATCTTGTTCGTTTAGACATCGACCGGGACGAGCTTGTAATGCTAAATGACAAAACAAAACCGCATGTATAAGCCTCATTGTTAAATGGTGCTGCGCCAAATGAAAGATTACCTCGAAAAAACTCGCCACCCATACAATATTCCATAACGAAATAAAGGTGATCCTGACTCTGAAAAGAGTGATAGAGTGTAACAATAAAGGGATGATTTGAGCTTGCCAAGATTTCTTGTTCCGCCAATACTCGCTTCACTTTGTTTCGGCGGATCATTTCCTTTTTGGACAAAACTAAAAACAAATTTGGCACCGTGAGTTAGTATTCCTGCATTTCCTTTATCAGAAAAAAAAGGAGTAGTATGTTCATGTCTCATAGTTGACGAGCCAAGGAGTTATAAGCATCCAAGAGAAACTAATGACATGAAAAAATCAAACATGCCCCTACTTCATTGAAAATAATAGGCCCAAACGTCCTTCTTACCTTTCATGGCTAATGGTTTGTCGGTTCCTTTTTGTTTCACCAGGTACACATGGCCAACATCCCCTTTTCCCAGCAATCGGATCTTGCTAAAACTAAAATGAAGAGACAGAAATTTCTTATCAGCATGCGCGTCCTCATGATCGATATGTTTATGTATTCACCTTCCGGGACCCACTTGAACTTCGCGAACTTTTACACTGTTGGCAGCATAGGATCGTCGCAAATGTGGTTGTGGTCGCATACGCATAGTAGGAGGACGATCAGAGGAAAGTGTGTCGTCACTTGTTTTGACACCGCTACAGATGCTGCTACTGATACTGCTAGTGCTGGAATGACCGAGGGTCGGCACGCACGTCGGTGTCATGGATATCGCGCTTTTGGCGGAGAATCGTGAACCGTACACGCTGTCCACAGGATCTTCGACCAACGTTTTGCTACTAGTGTAAGATCGTTTGGTAGACCCGGTTTTATGTGTGGGCCACCAACTGTTGCTTTTGCTCGGTTTTGAACACGCTGCAAGGCCAAAATCATTGGGTGTTGTCAATTTATGATCGTGTATAGGCGGCGAAGCATAATTGTGAACACGAAAAAGTGAAGTGAATCGTGAATGCGAAGGCGCTGGTATAGAAGGTATATCCATGGTCATGTTTTTTCGAATGGATATGTATTGTTGGAAGAAACAGAGTTTAATAGCTATATAACTGATGATGATACCGAGGAAAAAAATAAAAGAAGAGAAACCTTGGCTCCTTAAATTACACTTGTGGTTCTCTCTTTATTTTTTCTTTTCTTTTTTATTATTCAGCGCAGAGGCCAGGAGACAAACGAAAAATGATCGAAAGTATCTGGTTCTTAATGCATCTTCAGGGGTAAAGGGAATAAACTTCAAGTTTTGCCATGAAAGATAACTACAGGAGGCATCAGACGATTAGACGATCGTCTATTACAACTGCATGGTCGGTCCTGACTGCTCCTTTATTTCAGTGATCCGTGAGTCGACATAACAATCGGCCTGTTCAAAAACTTCAGTTAAGCCAACGGAGGTGTAACATTGCCTTTTTCCAATAGCATCCCTTAGTAACTTTAGGTCTGATCGTCTAGCTCGTTTCCCTTTTTCTATTGTCCTCACAAATGAACAGACAAAAATAATAGGGGATCATCAACCCATACTATATTTGTTATCGGCTATTTTTTTTTCTGCGTTTTTTACCATATTGATCTAACGCTTCTTTTTTTTCTCTTTGGCAACTCAATAAAGACGACCAGTGCTTGAATAAATGAATGAGTGCAATTAGACTCTTTGTAACATCACCATCACAAGGGCGTTCATGTCACGAGAAAATAGAACCCTACGCATCTTATTACATATCAAAACTTCTGAACAAAAAATGACCGGCACTTTTCGGATGGCTAGAATGACTAAGAAACAAAAGACAATAAACAAAAAAAAAAAGAGAGGAACACGAAACAAAACAATATCTAAGAAAAACCCATAAAACAAAAAAATACAACCAGGCAAACCCAAAAGTAAAAATGAAGAATCATGTAAAGGATATTTTTAGGAACCAAACCATGTTTCCCAACTCTGCTTCTTCGTTTCTGCCGGATCGTCATTATTAAGCAAATCAGCTACTTTCGTGACGGCAGAAGGAACAGGTTGTACAGTAGCGCCAGTTGGTGCTGACATTGGTAAAGGTTTCTCGGAATAATGAGCAGGAGGCACCGGCCCATGGTATGGCATCGTATTATCAGAAGATGGCGAATTGTACTGTCCCGTGAAACGATGATCGATGATCAACCGTTGGGGTGGCTCGCCAGAAGGCGTGGCGCGATGAGTAGGAGTGAAATAACCGACACGGGGCATCACGTAAGATGGGGCCTTTACAATAGATTCGGTGGGTATGGGCGTTGGAAATTGGAACCTTTGCACTGTCTGAAAATGCGGCTGCGTGGTTGTCGATGTATGTGCACTGTCGAACGCACTGCCCATTAACGGCATCTCCCGTGCATTCTGCTCTTGCCGTGCATGAAATCTTTGCACGATCTCTTTTAATCGCATCTTCTCCTCGTTATTCACATAAAAGTTTCGTACTTGAATGGCAGTTTTGGACTTCATTGCATTTGCCACTTTATCCCAATCACGACCATACTGCTCCAGATAATGCATAAAGTCTCCTCGTTCAGAGATAGACCAATACGAGGAATAATTCGGCCGCTTGCTATCCAGCAATGCTGATCGATTCGTTTTTGCTGGCGATCGTCCGCTATAATAACCGTCTACGCCGTCACTCAGATCATCGCGAGAATGTTCCATCTTGCTCGACAACGTCCGTGCTCGTCGACGCCGACCTTGACTGCTGGGCGCCGACCGCGAACCAGACATACCAGATGCTCGCTCGTCAACTATTGAAGCCGGAAGGATAGGTGATGATGATGATGACGCTTGTTCGCTAGATGGATTTACAACTCCCATCTGACATAACCCTACCAAGGCCGCAGCAGCATCTTCTTCTTCAGCATTTAGAGCATGGCTTTTACTTGCAGTCGGCTTCACCTCACTGGATTTGCTGAATAATGGATCAGCAGCAGCAGTAGCCAATGTTTCTTCGTTAAACGCGTTGGGTCCATACTTTCGCTTAAAATTATGATAAAAGTTGCGACATTGTTCTTCGGTCTTGGTTCCAACGATAAGGGAGACCTGAGCGAAATCGCGTTTGTGTTCCTTAAATGCCTCGATAGCCACGTCTTTATCACGGTCGGACCATCTTGCTGTTGGTGTAATGCTGTCTGCATTCTCATCGATAGGCTCTTTCTGCTTTGATAATGACGATGAAGGAGGAGACGCTGATGTGCTGTACATTCCCATGGGCAGCTCCGTAGTGCCAATCTCCGCCGCCAGTACAGAGGGATCAACCAAGCTCGATGGTCTTCCTTTCCGTCGTGGCATACGTCGTTTATCGCGACCACTGTCGTTGTCATCCGATCTAACGATGCTATCTTGATCTGTCGGAGAGATGGTAGCGCTAGTCAGAGAAAACCCACGTTCGTTCACAGATTTGGCTTTTGCCTTTTTCCGTTCAGCGACGCTTTCCCAGTAAGCATTGGCTTCTTCCAGATCTCGCAATTCTCGACTTTTACGTTCCGACTCCTTTTCCTTGGCTTTACGAGATACCTGAGCTTCACCAATATCGGTCATCAACGCAGATCCTTTGCTTTTGGCCTTTCGCGTCATGATTGTGGAATCCCCTGTAGCACGACGGATCGCGGCAGCTAAACGATCACGGCGTTTGAATTTACCGCGACGCCCCTTGCGCATCAATGCTTTGAAATCAATTTTCGTCTTCTTTCTATAATAAAACAAAACACATTGCGGCGCCGTCTTCGACTTGACAGCCGCGGCAATTTTTTCGAATTGCTTCGGGCATTGCATGTAGCTCTCCATAAAAGCCGTCATTTCCTGTTGCGTCCATACATCTTCTGTATCAGGGCCTGTATGATAATACGTCAATGGATCATCAATAAGCCCACTTCGATCGTCGTACGTTCGCGTTCGTTCTTTTGTGTCCAGAATCATGGCAGGGATAGTGGCGGTCGTTTTGGCTGCACGGAATTCTGGATTTCGCATTTCAGCCGTTTCTAAAGATTGGATGATTTCAAGCAATTCAGCTTCCGAACGTACAGCATCCGATGTCCATTGTCCTTGTCCAGGTCCAAATGGTGTTGAGACATGCTCGGTTTGGAAAAGTAACGCGTCATGTTCGCTCGTAAGGACCGCACCATCAAGGGAATCGTCAATTTCATCTTCTGCTCTTCGGCGCGATCCATTACGGCAAGCATATTTATCGGACAATCTACGTTCATGAGCTCGAATTCGGTCAAGAGCCAGATTCTTTTCTTTCCACTGCAGATACAAATCTTTGTATTCCTGCTTCAGCTGAAGCTGTTTCCGTCGAAGTAATTTTTGATTTGTTGCCAGTGATTTTGCCACGAAATTCTTCAGCTTGGGAAGGCTCTGCAGGTTGTTCTGAAAGCATGGGTAATCTTCGATGCGATCATGTAACGGTTTGACCCACGTTGTTTCGTTATCCCAGTCATCCGCAAGTTCGCTCTTTCCTTGCCATCCACCTAACATGCGCGAATTTTCTTTGGCTACCCTGCGGTTTTCTTGGAATATCTCTTCACACAAACGATCTTCTTCCTCGTCCACAAAGCGTAATTGGTTAATGAGCAACTGCGGCCGTCGTCGCATGCGGCTTGAATTATTCATCGGCAAATTGTCGATCGTTACTAACGCCTGACGAGGGTTCGTTTCACTAATGATTTGAAGCATTTCGTTTCTGGCTTCTTCTGCAAAATCATCGTCCAACTCCATGACCTCCCCAGGCGGTAGCTCGTCCGGAGTAATATCTGCACTACTGGATATTGTCGTATTTCTTGATGCCTGTGCAGCAGCCCCATTGGCCATATCCAGAAGCATATCTTCATACATGCTGATATCGTTCTCGATTTGATCAATTCGCTCCACAATTTGTTGCTGGGTTAATTGTGGTTCCAACAAATTGTCTTGCTGCGGAGGTACATCCACTTGATGGGGTGCAATTGTAGGAGCACCCATGATTGGTGAAGGTTGGTGCGATTCTTCCTCCTGGCCCTTGGACTTCTCCGCCTCTTGTTGTATCTGTTGTTCGGGATTATGTGACAATTCTGGATTGCTGTCAAGTGATTCTGAAAGGGCTTGCATAGTTGCAGGAGCTAGCGTTGTCATCGTTGGTATGTTCATCGTTGAGTTTACATTTGTTGTATCCAGTTGAGGGCCCAGTGCTTCCAGCATATTATGATCAACAGTTTCGCCGGGGATTGTTTTGGATCGATCTTGCTTGAAATCGTTGTTCATTGGGACGGTAGGTGTAGTAACTTCCGCTGTTTGGTCGAATGATTGAACATCAGGAGCAACATTCACGGTTAACTCGTCCTTGGATGTCATCATGTCCGTTGCTTCAGCTATAAGTGGAGCGTCGATAATGAGTTTCGAATCACCTATCAATAGACTGTTTTTGAACGAGTCAGGAGAAGAAGTGATGGGTTCAGAATTCCTTGTTGATTCATGATGGACAGCTATGAATAAAACGGGTTAAATTGAATGCAATACCCATGTTACGTGACCCTTATAAAGAAACCAAAAAGAAAAAGGAAATTAAGGAGGCAAGGGAATAAGGGAAGACAAAAATATTTTTGCAACTTTACCTGATTGGCTGTTGTCTCCTGCACTTGAAGATGTTGTACTTGTCGTCGTCTCCTCCTTAGCGCGATCTTTCTGAACGCCTACATCGAGAGCGATGCGCTGGTTGCCACGTTCGTGAGACCTATCTTTTTCACGGTGGCGAATTTCTGACTTCGGTGGAAGGACTCCGCTGCTGTTATAATTTGGTGTGCATGCTCGATCCGTGGTGCGTACCGATCGACTGCGGTATCTATCAAAATCCGTTGAAGCGGTGGCACCTCGGGATGAAGGCCGATAAACATCACGTTCCTCCATTCTTTCACGTTCAAAGTAAGATCCATGAGAACTTGGTGATTGGAGTTCACGGTCGCGATCTCTTTCACGGTCGTTGCGATCGCGGTCTCGCTCGCGGTCTCGATCTCGGTCGGGGCGGTAGGAATCTCCGCCAAAGGGTGGTATCGAATAAGGTATCGTGCTCGGTGGCGGTGGTGGGCCATAGGAGGTGTGTTCGTAACGAGCTATATAACTGAGGTAACATTGAATAATGATTTCATTTACTCTATCCTATTTCTTTTTTGGGAATGTCAAGCGGTCAGACATTCCGTTTATTTACCTATCCCGTTCACGGTTCCTTCTTTCAAAATCTCGTCGACGTTCCTCCGTTCGAAACCAGGTATCTCTGTCACGATCTCGATCGCGCCAATCGGTATAGCGGGTAGACGGGGTGTAAGAATCACCGAATTTAGCTTCTTCTTTTGTATCTTTATTACTGCTGGTATCTGATGCTGGTTTCACTCGCTCAAGACTTCCGTTATCTCGTCGAAGTGTAGAAGAAGGCTTGCTGTACGAAGGAGAAAATGATGACGGGGAAAAGGACATATCGTCTCGATAATATGGAGTATATCGATCGTCCCTGTAAGTCGCGTAGGGCCGGTTAATGTCCGCTGTATGCGTGTGTATAGCTATAGTGTACCTGTCTCTTAGGCGAGGTGTATAGCGATCATCTCTGGGTAAAATGGCTGGGCGATCTCGTTCGCGATCGCGCTCACGGTCCCTTAACTCTCGATAGTCGTCCAATGCAGCCGACATTCCGCTACGGCCCGGTCGGTAACTGGATGAGTCATAACGAGCGGCATATCGAGATAAATAACGGCCGTCACTGTAGGGTGGGGATCGCGATCGTGATGGCGACCGTGAAGTAGTTCCGCGTGAAGATGTTGTTGAGCCGGCAACACTCATATTTGATGGACAACCCAACCTGAACAGAGTGGGAAATCCTTTCTTGCAATAAGCTTTAATCCGTTCTATCGGATTGGTTCATTTTTTTGGTTTGCTGCTGAACATAATGGGACTGCTATTTGACATTACACGAGTGACATCACGACAAAACCCAGGCAAATGTGGTGCAAGTATAAAAACGCAGATGCAGTGTCTAGAAAGGTCTAGTGCACTCTCACACCTCACACCTCACCGCTGACGGCGACGGCAACGGCTTCTAGGAAGATTTCATGTATTGCGGTATGCATTTCTAAAATAATCTAATACGCGATGGCAGCCGCCAATGCCTCAGTCTATCCTAAACTCTATCTATAGGCAATCAGTGCCAACTTCTTGGACTTCGACATCCAATGTTGACACGTCGCTTCACACTTTCTTCGCAGTCGCTTCACGCGATTCTAGTCATGGCAACTCGGTTGTAGTGGCCTCCCATAGGCCGCCAATTTCAGGCTGCGATCCAAACACCGAAGCTTAGGGCGTCAGCAGACCGGCACTTGAACAAGAAGCCAACAGACTTGTACCATGCTGCTAGAATCGGCAGGATTGATCCGGTAAGTGACATTGAGATATATTACAAAATTGTGAACTAATCGATGTTTAACACCACGGATATAATTGCATTTCATCACTGCCTTGGATTCCCATCAAATCTCCACGAGAGCGGCACATTCCGTTTGTGACGCATAGCAAATATAGTGAGTGATCATAGGGCCCATCCACCATGGAATTGGAGGTAAACGATATTGAGATTTATGCTGATCGTCGATTTCTTCTCCGACGTATAAGGCACTTTTTGAAAAAAATGAAGACATCTTAGTTTCATCTTCATTATACTGTGCAGTATTGAAAATTTGGAGGGTACAGGCTCTAAAATTTTCAGCTCACAAGCGTATCGAACAGCCTGTCCACTTTTTGTTGGAAATGCATCATTTAATTTGCTGCCAAATCACTGATACAATCACTGCACTCATCTATTTATCAACAGCCGCAACTCTAACCGTCCATATTCACCTTTCATCACTTTATACATGAAACAGAAAAACGTACCCGTTATGGAATTACTGTATGGAAAAAGAAAAAGGATGCCCACCATTGATTTTTTTTCTTTTAAAAACAAACACCTTAATGATCCGCACACAAAAAAATACCATGATTTTCCACCAGCTTTTTTGATTCAACTTCTCTCAACATCAGATTTCTCTACTTTCCAAACACTGTTCGCGTGTACAATATGTTTTTTTTTCTGAAAGACTAAGTACATTACATCTGCAAATTATCCAACTTATTGGGTCCTTAATCTTGCCTATCCTTATCATCTAGACAGTACAACGCTTTAGTGACCCGATTCCCTTGATTTTTTTTCACGAACTACATTTCATACCTTCCTCTGATGCATGCATAATTCACTTGTTAGGTACGCTATTTCTTCAAGCGTCAGCACTGCTCAACTCGCGTTAGCCATCGCTCTTTTTTTTTGGTATGCTAAGGACTAGTGGTACCTCTTTTCTCGGTTGCCTTGCATACGCTGACGTTTCTGCGTATCTATTAATTCCTTTGTGTCAGGTCTTGGCTCTTTTCTCCTTAATTCTATTACAGAGCCTCTGCTGCTTTCTTCAGACACATTTCGTTCTTTTTATTCCTGCGAACGACTGTGTCGTTGGATCTTTGCTACTCCCTTCCTATGGGCTTTGCTCTTGTCCACATTTGCTTCCTTTTCCTGGTGGTACAGCTGCCGGCTGCAGATCAGTGTCACTGGCACTGTCACCTTACGCTTACAACTCTGCTTCAGAGCCAACATCTACATCCCTCGGCCATCCCGAAACAATTAATTCAGATGAGACTATTGAAGAATACTATTTTCCGATCCTTTACCCAGACGTCTCAATTCTTCTGTAACTGGCCAGGGCTTGACAACCAAGTGGCTCGCCCAAATCGTGATACAAGGGTTAGATGGGTATCTCGAATAATCATCGAATGAGTGCTTGAAGCTCCCTTGACCCGTTGCTAACAAATACAGCCGCTGGATGTCTGTTCGTTGCAACAGTCCGACTTTATCCAGTACTGCTTTATCGCAGTGCACACGATAAGGCTCTTCCCTTTACTATACAGTTATACAAAGCTATTTTACAAAACTCCCTGTCACTACGTGATACGTACAATGCATTTGCAAACATTTGAAATTCGTAGTGCCCAGGCTGGCCGACTACTTCTTTGATTGTTGACACGAACACAAAACCGTACTGGATAATCCAAAAGTTGTACATTGTCTGAAATTACCATTCAGTATCAATCGATTCACGTAACTGACCGTCTCATCATTGTCTATGAATTTACTCAACAAAAAAGCCAATCTAAATTAATAACAAAGAACAAGATACGAGAGAAAGTCTGGCCTTTGTTATTCCCATTACCCATAAACAGAAACAATGAAACAATAATGGCACCAATACATACCTCATCGTGATCAAATTTTCTCTTTTAAAAAATTGATGTTAACACAACACTATGTATACTGGTAGCAAACAAGAATTATGCTGCACCGCGATTTCTCACATCCAAGTGTGTGATCGGATCATAAAATTACGTTGGATACAACACTGATTGGAATAACCGTCAAAATAAATTACTACTGAAGCATGTTGCTGAATGACTGCTGCTATAGGATCAATAAAAAAAAAGTAAAGACCTATCTAGGATCTAAGGAAAGGTCCTACTTAGCACTGCGGGTATGATTGCTAGATGTTCTGTTGAGTGTATTTTGTCTTGGTGAGCGTTTCGAATCTTTTGATAAATGGTGGCTGAATCGTTAAGGACTTCTTGGTGCTTGCCATGCATCACATGCTTCTGTGTATCCCTTCCATTGGGTGTGGTATTCGCTTCGACCCATGCGCACTTGCTTGCAATCCACAGTAGCTTGCACTTTGTGAATTTTATCCTTGGAATTATGATATCCTATGATAAAGGTCTCAAGTAGGATGACGGTTTCATCAGCCAAGGGTGCATACAACATACAATCATTTCCCAAAACTTGTTCAGTGGTTCTTGTTGGGTGCCGGTGTCAACTTTCTGCAGCGAATGCTGGTTCTACCCCGGAGTTTCATTCACGGGACGGATAATTAGCTTAACAATTACGTTTAACTGAAATTGCTTCTTTCTGTGACTATTTTCAATGGATTTTTCTTCGGTTTAATGACATTTTGAAGGACATTAAGATTTCGCAGCTCTTTTTTTCATGATATTCCACGCTTTGCACACTACACGATATTCGACCTAGTCGTAATCGGTTCGAGTCTGCTTGGGCTAGTAGAGATCGGTTTCAGATAATTGCTTATACGATAAATGGACGAATCAGGTATGGAAAAATATCGTATGTGCGATGATTGATTATACAGGGGATTGATGACTGTACATAAAATCTGCAATGAGTATCTGAAACTGTATGGAAGACAGAGAGATAATGGAAATGGATACAGCCAGAAATAAGAACAATAACTGAGATTTCCAATTTTTTTAGCCAAAAAAAAAAAAAAAAAAAAGGATCCTTACTTGCCGAGCAAACAACTGGCAACCAAAACAAATCGTGCGCAATTGCACAACAGCCGATCTTCTGCATGATGCCCGCCAAGACAGGCAAATGAGCTTAAGGATTACAGTGGCATTTTTTTTTAAAAAAAAAAAGAACAAAAAAAAGAAAAAAAACAATGGACATAAGTAGACATTTCTTAGTGACAAAACGTATCTAATGAAAGAATTTTTTCTTGCTCATCCGTGATTATATCAAGTCACTGTATGAAGCAGAAAGGCAGGTTTGCCGTATCATTAATGATTTACTGTACTGATAGGCAGTAAGGTCGTGGTTAAGGACATCACGAAGTCAGCAACACCGAGCCCAAATGAAGAAGTATTCCCAAGCTCTGGCCAGACCCAAAGGTGGAAGGCAAAGAGCGCTTTTCACCATCAGCATCATCAAATTCCTGCAAGACGTGGGATCTGCATATCCGATCATTCTTATTTCTTATTTCTTTGATCTAAATCGACGTCATATCCAAATTCATACTATATAACTCGCCTATCATTGCATATATCCATCACTCATCCCTCCATTATGTAGAAAGTTAAACATTTAGGTCGTTGAATAAGCATGACGGAAACATTTATTTCTAACCGCATCACATCCAAATGCCGATCCAGTACGAAAAACATATCTCGTACCAACACGTTGAATTCAGATTATCATTTTCCCATGTTGATACAACTCTCAATAAGGACTGAATCTCGCAGGATTTGCTTATTCGTTACTATTGACCGCTACCTCTATAGACTCCTCAACAGCAAAATACTGTACCCTTCAAGAGCGATAATTCTGTCCTGTTTTATCTGTGCGTCCGTCGAATATAATCCCTTGCCTTGTCACATCGTCATTTATCGTAACGCGGACTATACAAAGAAGATGCCACCAACTACAGTCGTTTATAGTCCATTCAACGATGATATCTGCAGATCAAACGCTCCTAAAAATTGATTCACAGCTTCATCAAATCATAATGTAAGCAGAATTGATTGTGCAGTGCTGATTTCGAACGAAAGTTGTTTCCTATATAACACACCACTTCCGATCCTCCACTGCCGATTTTATCCTGTCTTAATGGATGTTTCCATCACACAATCGTTAATTGGCTTTTTGCGATTTCTCTGAACCAAGAGTTAAAATAAGCCCTTATTATGGAAAAACAACAATTTATCAGCGGATAGACTTTGTCGCAATTCCTCATGTCGATGCTCAACGTAATAGCCGCAAGTAATTGGTGGCAGTCCAGTCTTCGACAAGGCTTGGGCTTTGTATACGGGCGACAGGTGATCACGCTGAAGAATATCGACAACTCGGACGCACTTCTTCCCCTAGAACAAAGTACGATGCGTACCATACCTCAAGCTTAAGTCCAAGTGCATTCAGTTTTCTTTGGCTTCAGAATCAGTTTGACTGTCGATAGCGTTCAATGGTAGATGTTATGTGGATGATGGAGAGGATGGTGATGAGCTACTGTGGCAGACAACTTACGGTTGGGTTGGGACAGAGAAAAACAAAAGGTTGGGGTTGTAGTCGGAGTTGCAATCAAGGACAGCCGACTGTGGGAGAGGGAAAACGGTTCAGTTCTGGGCGACAGAAAAGGCAAGAGCAGGGTGCTTCCTAAAGCGCGTGCTCGTGTAACAGGGTGTCATTGTTTGCGCGGGTTTTGGATTACCATAAAC